CGATAATCTCCGACAGGTTTCGTGTCCCAAGCCTGATCTCTATGGCGGTCTGGATGGCGGCTGTCTCCACCACTACCTGTTTCATAACCAGAGGGGCGGCTCGCCAAGACGCTTAGGACCCTATATTGGGGAAGCAAACTTCGTCACGGGCATGGTTGGGAATTACCGCGCGTACGTGGAACGGAATCGGAGGCCGGACTATAAGGTCCGCTACTACGAAGAATATCTGCCGAGTCTCCTCAAGGGGCATCGGCCGACGCTGACGCACGGAGATGTCCAGCAGAAAAACATTATGGTCGCAGAAAATAGTAGCGGTCGCAATGCGCAGGGAGGACGGTCGTTTGATGTTGTGCTGATAGACTGGGAGCAAGCTGGGTGGTATCCTCAATACTGGGAGTTCTTTGTTGCATCCTCACCGACTGCGTTCATGTATTGGGATAGTGACTGGTGTTTAAGAATCCAGCAATTCCTTGAGGTTTGGCCGGCGGAACAGGCCGTGATGCGGATGGTGGACAGGGATGCTGGGCTGTGACATTTCAAAAGCCTAGGATACTACACATAAACGTCATGTGTTGGCAAAACAGGTACACTTAGCCAATCAACTTGATGACAATAAATTGAATAACAAACATCTGAAACTTCCACCCCCCCCGCCTTACATCCAGATACCTACAGACCTGAAGCAATTGGAACCAGAACCCAATACACGTCTCTAGGAGCGCGTGGTGCGCAGAATGCCAGCATTAATCAACGCGGGGATGGCTCGCTGATGCGTCCATTCATTACACTTGATGATCGGTCGCCGCTCCTCACCAGGCCCATACGGTTCCCCATTCTCTTTGGTCCAGATATACTCATGGAAACCAGATAACGGGCCCTTTCCCCAGAAGTTCAATCCCTGCTGCTTAGTCGGCGTGGGCAGAGCCCTCAAGATAGCCTCGATTCTCCCCGATTCGAAATCCGCCCGTGGGACCCATCCAATCTGCGGATAGCTGTGTAGATGGGCGGAGGCCCACGCTTCATACCCTTCCTTCTTATCAAAATGCATGCCGCTTGGTGCGATGATGTCGCCCGTCACGTGGAACATTACTCCCTCGTGAGTTTCGGGATCGTCTTCGACAAAGATGCCTTCGTGATAGCGCTTCTGCGGGTCGAGAGGGTCGGGTGCTACGGTGTCGAAGGAGGGGTTGAAGACCGCACACCAATCACACTGTGCGCTGGACATGTTGTCTTTGCCATAATGAGGTGTAGGCTGGTAATGATAGATGGTGGACCACGTATAGTGGACAGAGGCTAGGAACAATAGGAGCAAGAATATAATATCAGTTGTTATGAGTCTGGACACAGATGGAAAATGTCAGACACAACAGGTATACCTCTTTTATAACCCAGCGCCATCTTCTTGTTGCTAATCATAGACAACCACACCTCACACACAGATCCGCCAGGCTCACACTCCTGTCTGGTTTGATTGGCAAGGGATGGTCCGTCTACTTGGACGACATGCAGCGCCAGATGAGACAAGGCACTCGCAATACCCTCTACCTATTATCTTCAAGCTGTTGGCATTTCGCGCCGCAGGGTTACCTTTAGGCAATCGCCGCAGCGAGGTTGATTTACGCAGGTGGAGTAGACAGCGCTTAAATGAGCCAACGCTGCATGGAACAAGGCCCTAGCAGCGCCATCGCAACCTACTGGCTGCACGTCTGCCGCGTTTCTTGCTTCACTTTCCAAATTCTTTGTTCTTGAAATGCGGCTGAGACCCCACAGGGGAAATGGCGCTATCGTCAAGGCCGATTCACCCGCTGGCGGCTGGCCGGCGCTTATGTACGAGTGGAGCTGCGATACAGCTCCTGTGCCGCTTTCGTTCGTCCATGACGCGGCGTCATCGGCAAGCAGCGCATACAGGTGATAATAGTAAAAGGTCCCAGTTGAGCGTGTGGCGCGCGTAAAGTATATTGGGACCACCTAGGCTGCTCGACGGCGATGATCGACTCGGGTTTCGGCTTAATACAACCTAGACCAGTAATGGTATTCTAGCGCCCAGGACGGGCGTCAGCGAGGCGTTCAAATAGTACCAATTCACTTTTCAATACAAAAACTCGGGGAAGGTTCAACATCAAGCGTCAACTGTTTTGCCAGACTGACGTTTTAGGCTACCGCCCCGGCTTAGTGACAGTCGTTCACGCCACTGAGAAAGAGTTTCATCTTGCGCATTTCTCCATACAGGAGTATCTTCTCGAGAAGAATCAGGTCCAGACGGTACCAGACCCCGACTGCTAGCATTTCCATTACGAAGACCGTAAGTGAATCTCCTCATCATCCGCTGTCAATGCAAATAATCCAGCCGGGCTGGTATATTGTTCCGCTCCGAGACTGTAATGGTCCCAGTTGAATCTGTGATAGACCTCTATCTTACTATTTATGATTTCTGCAACCTGTACAGCTCACTGTGCCTATTAACGCGAAGGAATTGCCTGTCTTTGCAGCGACTTGCGTCCCCAGTTAGTCTGATCAGACATGTTCTGCAGTGCTCTTCGGCGCTTTTCCCCCTTGTGGTGCACTAGAAACGCTCGTACCGCTCACTGAGTCTGAGCTGGCCACACTGATCAGTTCACTGAGCCTGATCTGAGCCCTGGGATGAGCAACCAGCCTCAGGCTCACCTCAATAAACTGCAACACGCTAGGCTCTTTCACGTGCGACCTTTGCACTCTAGCTAGCAACCATTGACCCATCAACAAAAGACTGGCATCTCCAAAGTGGCCACTAATCCCGGCGATCCAGTTCCTTCGAGGTGGCAAATTGTAATAGGGCCTGATTAATCAACCAATAGATTGTCATCTGGCGCTATGTACTGGAACGCTTCAATTATGGACCCCGAATTTTTCTACACTACTATGAAGGCGACCACGATCGGTTGTTCAAGCCCTCTCACGTCGTGTAGTTAGGCCACCATAGAGGGACCTGTTCATAATATGGAGAGAAGTTTTACGCTCCCAGGAACAAGTAAATACAAGGCTCCCATGAGCATACACTATCATGTTTTCTGGTGTCCAACTAGAAATCTTCTCAAAGGTATAGATATTACAATATTGTAGGACACCCGACGAGCTTGTTCCTGGGAAGCTGGTTGTATAGTCCCAGGATCAAATCAAGCCATATTATGATCCTTCTAAGTGATTAGGCAGTTACATCAAAATCCACTTCGGGCTAGGAAGTTAGTTGAATTCATAGGAACTCAAGCCCATCATACTCCTCCCAGCTACCAGCAGAGAGTAACGCCACCTGCAGCAGAGTATATATTTGACCTTTTCTTCCTCCTTCTTCCCGAGGATACGCTTTCCAGCCAGTCGTTTCAGATCACTTAAATGCATGGTGGTGAGTCCAAACTTTTCTCCCATCTGCTTGGGCTAATCTTACTATATACCAACTATGCCACAGCCCCCTCCAATTCTTCGTGCCACAGAGGCAGCACAGATGGCCATTTTGTTCTCTCAATTTACTATTGAACAAGTTATCCATGTGCCCGAAGTTGATGCTGTTGATGCTACATGGATCACCCAATATATACCCGACCGCTACTCAGGGACACTGATCTTGACAATTGCCACTTTACCATCGGCTTCTAAGGATCTGCGGCTACATTTTGGTCTTATTGTGAGCCCTTCCGTTACTGTATCGCGTTTCCATCTTGCTTCCCCTTAGCTCTGTATCGTTCATGATGGCTGAACCAAGCAGGAGGATTTCTCACTTGTGGCTCCAGAAGAATCCAAAGCTACCAATTCGCATCGAAGACGTCATTGGCCGCACGTCTTCTGTCCGAATACGCTCCAGGTGCTTTACATCGGCTTCGAGTTGACCAATCTCGGCAGATTCAATAACGAAGCCCAAGTTCATCTCTTTTAGCAACTTCAGATATTACGGTGCGGCTTAGAGCTATATATTCCAGCATACGTTTACGCAGCACTAGACGACACCATTGGCAGCGGTGTCCAGTTGATTGTCGGTTGCACGGAGTCTCACAGATGCAGAATTGCGGATGGCGGTCACACATGTCTGAATGGAGTTGGCTATCAGATATATCCCCGAAATCTGATTCTTTGATTGCAGCGCCAAATTATCGTCGGTCGCTAGCTCCCATAGTCGTCGAAAAGCGACATTATCCACGCCGCAGGAAAATGAGAAACAACGAGTATGCGATCAAGCGGTAGACTGTCCCGATCACGAAGAGCATCCTAATGCCATTAGCACGAAAAGCCATAGGAATAGCGCAAACCAAATAAAGGCATACCATAAGTCAAATCCTGTCCTTCCTCTGATAAATCCAGTCATCTCTGCTGCGGGTCCGATATCATAAAGATAAGCCAATGGGCTAGTATACTCATTAAAATTGGCTTCTGATATCCACACCTAAATCAACTTTCGGTTAACAAAACAGACTTAAGAAAAGGTAGAAAAGAACATACGCCTGGACAAATATACCACAGCCAGGACAAATTCCATTCCTTGACCGTCACAAGCCGGGGCGCACACCCAGAAAGGGCACAGAAGAACACGCTAGTCAGCATGGCAATCAGAGGCCCGTTTTTTGGGGATGTCACAGCTGATATTATACTGGCTGCACCGTAGATACCTTATCTTTCAGTCAGCGTTCGTGATTCAAGTGGAGAAAGGGACCATACAGTAGAAATACAATAAGTTGAGTACGAGCTGGGTTGGGAAGGACGCGATGGGTGTTGTAAGTATCAGGTAAAATGCCGTGAAGTGCAAAGTCGATAAAAAAATGCGAATCAGGGTGGAGAGGACCTTGCCGAGGAAGTAGGCGCTCTCGGAATGGCCTGAGGATGATTCTCTGCGGAATACGAGTTCTAAGAGCATAATGTGAGACTTGCGCGGATGAGACACGGGTACATACTATGATACTCACTCTCTTCTCCAAAGATTTTAACGCCCGCTGGGCCAGCCGCACATCCTGAAAAAAAATCAATGAGTTTTTTCTTCATGTAGTGTAGTAGTAAATCATCTTACCAATTGTCAGACAGAGTAGCATCCCTTGCTCTGTGAGCAGTCGGTAGCTCACAGGGCTTGATAAGAGCTGGAACGGAGGGTGGAACAATCCCTGGAACAAATGTCCTTTGAATTCGTAATTGGATAGGCCTATTAGGAGCCCTGTAGCTGCGCCAGTTACAATTTCAAGCAGGAAACTGGGATATTGTCTCGTTTGTTGTTTCACGCCTCGCATGAAGGCCAAGAAAACTTGGCGATGCCATAATGCACGCCCTTGTCTGACGAAACTAAGTGGCGCGCGCAAATCTCGATTATCTCGTCCCGGCGATCCAGGACTGCTTTTTTTATGCTGGCACAGATCAATGTTATCATAGCATGACAAGATATCCATCATCGTATCGGCCGAATTGGATGCCACAGGGAAATTATATCCCGCATCCACAAAACACTGTTTTGCATCCGCAGCCGCACCGAAGTAGATCTGTCGTCCACGGTTTAAGAGCAGCATATCGTCAAGAGACGAAAAAATCTCGGGTCTCGGTTGGTGAATCACACAAATTACAGTGACTCCGTGGGTTGTCAAGGACTTGAGAAGCTCGATTACCGAAAGGGCAGTCTTCGCGTCTAAACCTGATGTGGGCTCATCGAGCACGATAATTCTAGGCGCAGCGGCCAGCTCCAAAGCGATATTGACGCGCTTCCGCTCGCCTCCTGAAAGACCTCTTCCGCCTACTTCCCCGACGAGTCGATTGCGTACACTGCTTAACCCCAGACTAGTTATAAGATGGTCAACATACCGCCGAATTTCAACGTCCTTCCGCGACCCCCCGAGCCGGATCCGTGATGAGTATAGAATATTCTCCTGGACGGTCATATCAGGGAGCATAATATCATCTTGGGGGACGAGCGCCACCAGATCACGCAATCTGTTCAAAGTCAGACTTTCATGCTCGGCTAGGGAAGATTAAATCGATAGATGTACTCAGCTGGTTGGCTAGTGTTACCATTTATGAGGACCGACCCTGTAGTTGGATTGATCCTTCCACCCAGTGTTTTCACAAAAGTTGCTATAGAGCTTCGTCAGTCATGGAGCAAATACTCAGATCTTTGAAATAGAGACCCACATTTTCCTGAACCTGTCGGCCCCATTACTCCCAAAAAAGAACCTGCAGAAATGGTCCCATCCTGTGAGTACAAGGTTTCGACACTTGACCCACTTGGCCGCATGCTGAGACTGCGAAATGCCACCTCAATGCCAGGGATAGCGCCTTGAGAGTGATGTGGACGGAAGAACTGAGCGACGTGGGAGCTGCTTTCAGTAGTGGTGAACGGTGTGTTTCTTCCGCAGCATTCAATTTCCCTCTCCGAGACTGGTTCTCCCGGCTTTCCACCCAGTTTCGCACGCGAGCGGTGGCGTATCCATCCGGACAGGAACGGCCAAGCAACAAACATGACAACGACTATATCCAAAAGAACGGCATAAAGAAGCCCAGCGGTTGGGAGTTCTCTTGTACTGCCCTCTGGGCATGCAGAAAGTTTAAAGCACTTAAACGGCTCCACAGTTCCTAGCGGACAGAAATGCCCCTTAGGACATGGAATCTGACTCTGTCCTCCTGATGGACAATAGTAGCCTGGTTGGCACACAGTTGGCTCGTATGTGCCCTGTGCATGGTTGCAGATGTTGTGATGCTCCTGAAGCCTCGTCAGACGGCATTGGGTGGTGGGAGGGCAGATCTCTGGTGGATTTCCCAATTTGTTGTTGGGGCAGTGGAACCCATCGAGACAAGTCACTGTAGATGACAAGACGGATCCCTGCTGGTTGGAAAGACATGTTGTATTTGGCGAGGTGGACATCTTTACAGGTGTAAAATTGAGGAGATGGAAGGATATAAAACCCAACCGACTTTAACACGTAAATCACATAATTATGGGCTCTCAGTAAGATCCATATGGAATAGGAAACCAGAAAGCAAGACAAAATAAACAAGCTGGATCAGCTCTGATTACTAACCGGCCCTTACATCCAAGCCTCGATGCCTGTGTCGCGAGACTCGAGACACATCCCTGTCGTCGTCGCCCATCTGATGCCCGATTTCCAGGTTTGCTTGCTGCAAGTACTTGCCCTTGTAGTCTCATAACAATAGAAAGACTGATAGGCCGGATTCCGCTGTAATGATATCAGGAAAGTAAAACACTCATCTGATACTCCTACTTGCCCGCACTAATATTCTCTACATCACTACGTGATTTGTAGCATGTAAGTGGAGTAGCTCAGATACTGACACCAATACACCTTGTATCATCAAGGGATAGGCCAGCAAGGGGTAACATATCAAGGGGTATGTCAACCTTGGAACAAGGATAGCATATGGGCAGGTACGTCTAGCTCATGAAATTTGCTGAATGCCATGTACGCAGTAGCCTCTGAAAAGGTAGTCCATGATAGGTCATTTGAGTGGGGTTGGTCCGCTGTCTAGATACAAAAGAATCACTTTTCCTGTAATCGAGACTTCAGTTACTCAAAATACACTTGCGCTCAAAAGACTTTCCCATGGCTACGCCTCGGGATATTACCATTGATAACCTCAATGGCAACTGGACTCTGGTACAATTACTTTCCCCAATAAGCATTGACAGATAGTAACCACAGGTAACCTCAGAACAAGGCGCTGTCTAGTGAGGTAGACCCAATCCTCAAACTGGTACGTATCTTCGAACATATTTTCTTCTTCATCTCAGGACTTCAGTCAAGACTAATCCGGGACGAATTAAACAAATACAGCAAGAAATAAACTGGCTTTTTCGCAAGGCAATTGCCGTCACAGACATTTGTCTCAGAATTTGCACATCTCACACTTTGAATTCACAAACGGGGGAAGATGTCGTTAAAATCGACTTCCTGCAAACCCCATCCGTCGGGAGACTTGCTTCGACTACAGAGACGCGCACGCTAAACTGGAAGGCCCAGCAACATTTCGATTACTTCTTCGGAGAGGCGGAGTGCAGGAGCTCTTTCGTCCGAGCTTCCTCCGGCTCTAAGAATGATGGCCGTTTGAGACCTGACTTTGAGTTACAAGTTGGGCCACTAAACATGGATATCAAACGGTTCTTGAGAGGAGAAATATCTCCATATGCTGATAAGACAAATTCTATCTCTGAAGGATTTCTTGTAGAGGAGCCAGGGGATGGCCAAGGTCGAGGATTGTGGGTGCACACGCATGAGAGAAGTGTGAGGTCGGATTGGGAAGTAGAACAGGTAAGCCGTGCCCCCATCTCGGAGCTTATACTCGAGAGTCGATCATATGTTTGTTAGTATTGATAGATTTTTGGACAGATCTGGGGCTTTGAAATGATCGACGAGAAGCGGTACTTCACGCGCAGACTGGTCGTCACTGGCTCTAAAGGCCGACATATCTGCGGCCGATTGGTGTACGATTTCAAGGGGTATCATACCTGAGTGTCGAGAATATCGCTCATTTAGCGCACTTATAGCGCCGCTATTCTGCAGCCTAGAAGTCCGCCCAGTCGCCAATTGCTCTGATAGTCGGAGCCGAACCTATCGAGTATTAGCTCTGCTCTCTTGCAGAAATTACGGCTTCTTCACACAGTGACGAAGACAGCATTGGGGGGGCTTTCTGACTGAGACTTCGTTGGCTTCAGCAGACACTAAGAATAGACAAGACAATGAGAGAGTTTATATCCCTTGGAAGGAGTTTAATGGAAACGAAGATTGAGACTTACGCCGTGGCCCTGAAACTAAAGATTTTGGGAACTGACGTGGACTTGGTAAAACTTAAGGCTCGACACCATCTAGGCCTGTCGTATATAGCAATCTGCTTGGAGAAACACCTTATTGTCGGGACATATCTATGTCTACCGGCGCGTTCCTGCGCCAAGCTACGAACCCGGTCATGTGACTGCCAAGAACCACCGTGTTCACTGGGATCCAGGGGTACCTTCCTTCTAGACATCAATCAATCAATACAGAATACAAGACCATTGCGTTAAGCACAACTGTCCACTTAGCTGTGTACACAGGACCTAGCTGGTGATACCAACACTTATAGACCACGATTGCAGAGATATGACTTTGCGGTGATAAACCCAGTGGTGTGATCCACTCCGTGAATTACGTTAACTAGACAGCATGATGACCGATAACTAAACGCAACCTAAACTTGCAGACTAGAAAAATCGGTGATCTGCCATCAATTGCTGTTTCTAATTATGCAAGAATATCTGCGTATGAGGCTCTGTGGCGTTCCGAGAACACCTTTCTGGAAGTGGTGTGCTAGCCCGTGTTGAGCCGTGGTTCCCGTCCGTACCCGTCTGTTGTGGCTTGCATGTGTGGCTTCCTCACCCTTCTCATCATCGGGTGCATAATTTGAGGGAGAATCGCAGCCGAATGCCAAGTTGCCATACAACCAATTTCTTTTTGCGTCTGGGCTGTCCGACGACTAAAGATCATCTCCAGTTAAGTTGATGTGTACACTCCAGCGGTAAACAAAGGTTCTGCCTGATTCGATTGATATCTGCCGCATCAAGCCCTATGAATCGCATGTACCCACAAACTCCTCCATAGGTGTCATTGATGTGAGCTAAGAAAGCTTCCATGACATCCTTTGGGGCCAAAAAGTGTTTCTCAATGGCAATCAAGGGCTGTTTCAAATATGGACTTCGACGATATTTCTCGGTTTTGACCGCGGTGAGACTATCGATTAGGCCCTCAGTGCGGTGGTAATCTTCTGCGATTTCGCCGTCCGTTACACCCAACAATTTGAGAAGAATCGCAATGAATATACCGGTACGGTCTTTTCCGAGCTCGCAGTGGATGATGATCGGGTGACCGGGTTTGTTGATGATGTGTGTGAGAATTTCGCGGAATGCCGGTGCACTTTCGACAGCCAGGTGCTGGTAGATTACCATAAAAGAAGCAAGTAGGTCGCTTGCAAGCAAGGAGAAATGCTCTTGCACGGGCTTTTTACTCTTTTCCCAATCCATGGCTGTAACACTATGCACCGTGATTCCTTGCTCCGAACCTATTTGTGGGTTCGGCTGGCCATTGTCTCCGCTGGAACGCAGATCGAACACGCAACAGGCGCCGAGCTTGTCCCGTAGCGCATGGATTCCGGCGAGTGTTACATGGTCCATATTGGCGCTGCGGAATATAATACCGGATTTGACGACCTTGTTGCCTGGGACCCTGTAGCCGCCAATGTCTCGGAAGTTGTAGAAACCGTCCAGCTCCCTGGCCCAGGGTGGTCGATTTGTCTCATCGGATGGGCTGGGAGTTTTGGAATCAGATTTGTCTTTTGCTTTCCAAAAAGATCGTAGGAAGCGGAAAATGGAATTCATCGGTAAGAAAGCAACCTCACTGGTCTCGAAAAGGCCTATCATTGAACTGACAGCTAGTGGGTTCTTTGCTCGTCAATGGAGAATTATAGGACAGTGGTTGTATTCATTCATACATGAGAATTGCTGCACTTTAAGTAGGTGCGTATGGTTGGATATCTCTCAGCCAAGAACAGGGGTAAAAGCTGCCAACGTATATCCACCAGCGAATTACCTCCTCACTTCCCAATGATGTCACAAGGCTTTGCTTTATGGGCCGTCTGAATCTTGTTCCTATAGTGATCCGTGGGCTCCTTTGAGAAAGACCGTCACCACATGCATACCAGCCCAACGGAGCCAACCGGCGCGTGTGGGTGTCCTATATATCTTCATTTAGAAAAGTGAAATACTGCCTTTACCCCCTGTTTAGCATCCTTACTATAAGAGTCATTATATCTCACTATCTATATGCAAAGCTTCTTTAGGGAGACGGATCTATATACCACAAATTGAACAATCCCTTACCCTTAAATTAGGCAATAATACTATTGTGTGATTGAATCTAGCCAAACGCATGGATGAAAGGGGTATCTATATGACACTGTGGGCTACCATAGGTATGTATACACCGCAAGTTCAGGTCTATTCTTGATATTCTGTCTTTTAGTCGCGTGCGCACCCTCCGTTGCAGCCTCATCCCCCTTGGCCTCGTCTCTCTCTGACTCCCTCATTGCCCCCTTACATTGGTCCCGTAGGTTATCACAGTTTGTTTTTCCAAACCATAGCGTGTCCGCGGCCTTGATCATGCAGCAGACGTCATTCGTTACTTTTCCGTCGTCATCTCTATCGTCCGAATCTAACCCTCATGCACGAGATCCGAACCTTTCTACACCTCCATAACACTCTTCTGATTGGGTTAGTCGCTCAGGGTTGACCTCGGCCGATCGAAAGATATATCTGACTAACTCGCAAACAACACCAGACAAGCATATGAGCATCGCCGAGCTAAATGGTCAAGACAAACCTCACTCAACGGCAGAAAATCATCAGCCGTTGGTACCCGCCGGATAGAAAGCGAGAGCTTGGCTTGGCTGAAGAACACGCGAATGTTACTGAGAGCTCACCAGCGTTCCTAGACGCATAGCCTGCATACATCCAGGTTCAAGCTGTCTTCCGCAGATTGATACTTCCTTGTTGAGACTTTTCTTCAAGCAAGGGCGAAGAATGATGTTCGCAATATTGCTTTCTTCATCTTGTCGAAACCTGAAGTCTCTTCGATATAAAGTCTCGAATTCTCTCACTCAATGCTGCCTCCGAAGGGCGATTTATTTGGGTCCCATCACCTCCCATTTTGTCGATTCGAAAGTCATGTCCTCACTGATTTTCCTGACCTTGGGCTGCTTAGCAGCGCAGTACTTAATCACATCCACGTTGATGACGACTACTGTGAGCCATTCAACTTCCCGAGTTCTGGGAATTTCGCTTCTACTTTTATTTTTCTCCGTTGAGATTATTACCGTTCCCAGGCTGTACCGTCTTGCAGCTTTGCGAATGGCCCACGCTTTTTTCTCTATGGTTAGGATGATCCACAGCTTGAATCTACTATTTTTTATCAGCCTTGACAATCATATACCTGCCAAGTCACCGTCTGCCAAACGCTTCCACGTCTTTCGAAACCTACGGCTTGCCTGGAATCTTATTTCAAGCCCGCGCGGCATAGGCACTCCATGGCAAATTGAGAAAGTCCCCAAATTTCCAACCTGGGTTTCTACGCGGGATGGCTACGTCAACCGTCAAAGATTTATCATTCGTCAGTTGTCGGTCGTATTGTGGCAGTATGCTCTGTTGGATCTCCTTTACTATGGCTACATTGCTTTTTTTTCCGAACACCAAAGCTATTCACACCCGCCTGGAACGGAGTTTTTCCTCTACGATAAGCTGTCACTTGGCCGTCTCGTCGCACGATTTGGGATTGTCATGGTCTTCCTGTTGGCGCTGAAGACACTTCTTGACCTCAGTTATAGAGCTCTTTCAATTGTTGGGGTAATCACTGGCGTAACAGACGCGGAACAGTGGCCACCTTTGTTTGGGAGTATGTCGGATGCTTATACTTTCCGCAGATTTTGGGCGTACGTATCATTCATCTTAGCCCCTTAGCACCCAATACTGATACGACTTTCCAGATACTTGTGGCATCAGTGCTTGCGCTGGCCATTCTCCACTGTCGCGGAGAATATGCTCACAAGGCTTTGTCATTGCAACTGCAGTACGAGGATCCAAGGATATGCAAAAGTGATGTTGGTTTTCACCCTGTCAGCTATCGTCCATTGCCTCAGTGCAATCCTAAGCAATACTCCGGGCGGACTGGGCTTTTTGCTCATCTTAAGTCTGACACCTTTCATCATACTACTTGAAGATTCTGCTCGGAAGTACCTGCGAACTCTGGAATTACCGAAAGGCGGAATTTTATATTTAGCTCGAGGTAATGAGCCGCTTTCTAGGTTCATCGGGTATATCTGGGTTTTGTTTGGACTATTTATCACTATTCCCAGCTGTGCTTTCCCTATCATGCGACTGCCTATAAGTGAGACGCTCTTGATGCCTTACAGCTTTGTTCAGACCTACGGTTTATTTGCTGCAACTCTTGCGGTCAGTAGCCTGGGCACTGGCATCCTGCTTTGCTTTTGACCAAGGCATCAAGGGAGGGAGTCCGTTACTATTGAATTTTGCGACAACGCATAAACAACAGCGCATACGGCATGGGAAGGCACACGTGACAAGTTCAAAAGTTGGTGGGAGTAGTAGAGAGGGACAGATCGCGCAGCTCCATTTTTGTCACGGTGTGACCCCGTTGTAGTTGATAAGAGTGTTATGTTGGCACGTGCCAAGGTGGCACGTGCCCCTTCCAATGTTTCTGGCCTTTGGAGCCTCGGGTTTAGTTAGAGGCTGCATTTATTGAGATCTTTTGTGTGTCTCTTATTCAACTCTATTCTTACCTACCTAGAGAAAGAATTGAATAGTTAGATAATATCAGCCTACTCATGAACCTGCCAGCCCGGCCTTCTCAGATATGTAGAGATCGTCTGTGTAGATCGCCACTCGGTACCTTGCATACCCTGATTCCCTTGCATATCACGAGGTTGTATCCCAGCCAGATCTCTAGGTCAGATCCATTCAACTTCTGAGTCTCACTCGTCTTCAAAGAAGAAGACCTTAATCCCGGGCTGAAGACGATCAAATCAGTCCTTTACATTGAACCCAGTAAGTACATACTAACTAGTCGAAAAACCTCTCCTACAGCGAAGACTAACAAGAGTACAGCATACGAACTCCTTTAGCATTAGCATCCTCAGCATGCCTTCGAGTATTACACCCGTGTTGGTCATATCATCCCAATCTCAACCCTCAAGCCGATTCAGGCGATCTCGGAGACACAGACCCAACCGCACTCCTATTCCGGTCTACATGGATGCCAATCCGTTCATTTCTCACACTGCGCATTCCTTGACGCATTCGTTGCCTAAACATCGTACTGATGATTGTCCGCGATGTGATCGGGATCACAGTGTTAGTCTCTGCAGGCAGAGGCGGTAGTTAGGAACATGATGGGGACATGTTAATAGTCGGAAGAGGAGACAGCAGTATGGAGGATCTTAAGTTGGAGTACACTATGAAGGGTATGGGTGCAAAGTGGTCACGGCTGGGTAATACAAAAGCAATGGAATTGAGATTCTAGGTAATTCTCCTTATGTGCCAGTAGCAGCAGATCCAACAGATAGAAGCAAAAACAGCTATAATCTTCCTCGTCGTCCTCGTACCTATTCCAGTCTCATTGGTTTCGCCTCGACAGTCATCCCCTTGCAGTGCATGATAGCTTGCCCATACTGTTCACCTTCCAACAACTTCAGAACCCGAGCGAAATTATCGCGAGTCATGTCAGTGAGTTCCCTATTCTCCAGACGGATTGCGCCCACTGCATTGAAGACCCGAGCAATGAATGGATGTTTCATGATACCTGATTACGGGTTAGCAATGGGAACGCTAGGAGAAGAGCCCGACCTACTTGAATTCAAAAACTCCCAGGGAAGGACCCCGTAGATGCGGACGAAATCTGGGATATAATCACGACCTAGGCCGGACAGTCTGTCTCCGAACATGCGCGCATCAATTTCCGCCATGTTCATGTTATAGGATATCCGGCTGAGACTGTCCAGCATGATGTTGGCTTCCGCCGCGCTGATAGAGCCGTTGACGCGGAGGTAGTTGCAGAACGTTTTCTGTCTGGAGTTGAACACATGGCCCTCGAGGGGTCGGAGTCGGTGGTTCAGTTGATCGATCTCGAACTTCAGTGCTTTCTCCTGTTCGCCAAAGAGCTCGGTGCATCGTTCATCGATCCGCGATGCGTTGCATGTGTAGTCGTCCTCGCCGTCAAGAATGGAAGTCAGCTTCAAGGTCTGTTCCTCGAGATCACCGGCAATTCTTGCGTTATGGGCTTCGAGTTTGGATATAGTCTCGTTCTGTTCGTCAATCTTTCTTTGCTGGCTGCGGACCTTGAAGGACTGCATCTTGAGCTCCGAAGACTGTTTGCTGAACCGAGACAATAGGTCTTCATATAACTGCTTAAAACATGAAATGTCGTCTTCGAAGTTGAACACAATCCCAGAATCCCCGTCCTCCCTCGTCCATTGTTTAATGGCACGAGCCATATCCACCAGGTTATCATGGTTTGGCTGGAGGTAAGCCACCTCGTCTGGTTTCAATCCGTCAATCAAGTCTTGCTGATAGTCGAGCTCAGAGAGCATCGTGCCAGCATCATTGAAGATTGTTTCAGTCATCTTCACTTCTCGTTTTTCCCGTGATAACTCGATCTTGGTCATTTCCTGAAGATGAGAAGCCAGCTGTCCCTTTTGACATTTGAGATCGGCAATCGCCTTCGTCTGTTCTTCAAGCTTGATGGCCATCTTCGCCGTGTATTGCTCAAACTGGCCGAGGGCTTCTTTGTGGCATTGAGTGAGACGCGAGATAATTTTTCACTGTTCCTCCATCTCATATTCGAGACGCCTATTTTGTTTCCGAGCTTCCATAAGATTTAGTATATTATCTTGCCGTGATCGCAGCAAGTCCCACGATGTTTCATTGTCGGTAGGTGTGCTTTGATGAAGGTAGATTAGCTTGTCATAATATTTGATTTCTTCTGAAAGAAGGAGTGACGCTGTCTCGTTTCGGTTCTTGAGGTCGAGCATAGAAGCTGTCTGCTTTTGCAGATTGCCAGCCACCTTTGTGTCTTCCTCATTGAGTCCAATTAGATCTGCGTTGATCTCCGTCTGGACTGCCGTGTCTCCTGGCTTCGGTCTTTGTGAAGGCACGAATCGAGTCATTTCTTCCGTAAGATAGAATATATAGTAAAATCAAAAGGTGATATCACGAGTGATGGGTATGGAATAGTTTGATTAATAAATGAGGTATTGTTAAGAAAGATGCTGTGGACAGGGAAATTCGGCGGATATAGGTGTGCTTGGTCTCCGATTCCTTATTTGGAAGGGAACCCCTATACTGCGTAGACCCTTCGTCATAAACAGTGTAGTAACCACCTACTAAGTGAGTACTAACCTCGCCAGTATCAGTTCCGATTGCATTCTCAGTAACGCAGTCAACTGAGTCATAAAACGTCCATTCTTTTTAGAGCCTATGGCATAAGTCATACATCATCGAATAAAAAAGGCCATAGGAAGCCAGGAAATGCATTTGCATGGCCTAGCAGGTAATAGCAGGGGATTGAGGACCCCGCAAACTGACTGAAGCACAGTTTATAATGGATCGCGCTCTCTATTACGAGAGGCTGAGTGCAGCACTTGAGCTCTGGGTACCAAACGGCCCAATGCCATAGTTCCATGGCTAAGGTGCACTTGATAAGGCAGCGCGTCTGCAAGTGGTGGCGTCTTGTAACGCAAAAAGACTGCCGGTGAGGCTATACAGTATGTGCAGCCCAATGCTGGCCAAATTCGGCGCGGTGAAATCATTTCCATGTACCTCACTATCACCATCTCTTTGGGGCAGAAATCTCAGCCCGAGAGAAAGATGCAGACATGGTCTCCTGTTTTCTCCGCTGCTGAATCGCGTTGATCCCGGTGCGGTCAGTGACGGTAGTGGCATTGATGATATTGTCGAATTCTTCATCCTCGCTTGCCGCCGAGCCGGACTCAGCATCGGAATCCACATACAGCTGCTGCTGCGGCCGAGCGATCTTCTCGGGTTGCTTCTCGTCTTCTTGCTCATTCTGCTCATTCTGGAACGCTTTCGAATTCAAGATCTTGCGGCGAATCTCAGCCATTTGCTCTTCGTCTTCGGAGTCATCGGAGATCGCAAAGGGATCTTTGTCTTCTTCCTCTTCGCTATCCTCTTCGTCATCTTCGTCTCCGCTCTCATCGTCTGAATTCCGCGCAGGCAACCGATTGGTGTTACCCTTGGTCCACATATCATCTCCTCCTTCTACACGGCTGTCTTCGTACTCGCGTTCGATCTTAGCCAGCCATTCTTCTTCCGTCCTCTTGATATCTTCTTCCGTACTGCAGGCAGCGTAGCGAGCCAGAAGTTCCTTATTGATGTCCAAAAAAGCTTGCCCATAACTGAAATGTCTGAGCAGATCTTCTGCCCATTCCAAGCGACCGCAGATAGCGAAGCAAGCGGCGAGCGCCTCCACGCAGTTCAATCGCCAGGGCTTGCCGTAGTTGACCGTGTTGGCAGCGATTAGGTAGGGAACTAATAGCAAACGAGTTAGTATACGATCAGTCGAGTCCATCGTTCGATATCTCCCACGTACGCAGTCTCTCGCATTTTCCGCCAATCCGCGACCAAGGCACTTCCTTGACTCGCACCCAAGAACATTCCACCACTGCAGCACCGTATTGTTCCATGAGGTCCTTGTCGGCAGGAGAGATAATCCGCTTGGCATTTGGCCTAGTAACTTGTCAGTGCAAACCAAGGCAACATTAATGCAATACATACGAGACAATCACGCCTGAGTGCCGTTGGCCGATATGGAGCTCCCGCATTAGACCAAGCTTCATCAATCGTTTCCCTGAGCATCGCTTGGGGTCACAGTGTCCCATGTCCCAACAAGCAGCCTTGTAAGGAGGTCGCGAAGAGACCTGGCCCTCATTTTCTTCATCGCCGCGGGGCACTCGGGGGCGGGGGTTGTTGAATTTTTTGCCTCCTCCTCGCGCAAAGTTGTCTTTCTTGTGGCGGACCATAGTGAATGATGAGTGATGATTGCAGTGAGACCGATCAAAAGTAATCTGCTCTTGTAGTAATTTGTAGTGGTAGAATCAGCGCTGATTGGAAAAAGATCAAGGCCAAGCACAAGCGCCACACGTGCAAACTAACGCTCTCCGCCCGCCTCCCCATCTGCGATTGTACACATCTCCCCTCTGGACATTGTGCACTCCAGTACCACCCCATTCAACTCTTTAATACACCTTTTCTCTCTTATTTCCGTGTCGACCGCCATCCTGGAGGCTGCATCAGCGCGAATGGCAGCTAGGGACCGCTTCGGGGTCTACGCTGACCCGGGCTCTTCCCCGTTGCAGCGGGCAATTCGTGAGTTTGGTAGAGAGTGGATGCTATATGATATATACTAATGTTTGATGTTTTATAGGACGAGCCTGCGATCCTCAAAACTACGAGCCGAACTTGGCCCTGAACCTCGAAGTCGTGGACTTAATAAATTCCAAGAAAGGCAATGCGTGAGTGCAGGCACCCATGTTGGATGGCGCATACTCATGGTTCTTACTTCCTAGGCCCCGAGAGTCGGCATTTGAAATCGTTCATCTAATCAATTCGCGGAACCAAAATGTCGCATTATTGGCCTTGGCGGTACGTGGAGAGCTCCGTGGAGAGCTCAAGTGAGCTAGCTGGCGCGGGGAAGACTGACAACTTGTTTCTTAGCTACTCGACATCGCGGTCAAGAACTGCGGCTATCCCTTCCATCTCCAGATCGCCACAAAGGAATTCCTGAATGAATTGGTCCGCAGGTTCCCGGAGCGGCCGCCCATTCGGCCCTCCAGGGTGCAGCACCGCATCTTGGAGTCGATCGAGGAGTGGCGGCAGACGATCTGCCAGACATCGCGCTATAAGGAGGATCTAGGTTTTATTCGGGACATGCACCGTCTCTTGCTCTACAAGGGTTATATGTTCCCTGAAGTCCGCCGAGAAGATGCCGCGGTATTGAATCCGAGTGATGTATGTGGACCCCACATGGTATTGTTGTTGGATAGACACTGACGTTGACTAGAACCTCCGCTCTGCCGATGAGATGGAGGAAGAAGAGAGGGAAGCACAGTCTGCTAAGCTCCAAGAATTGATTCGGAGAGGAACGCCAGCCGATCTACAAGAAGCCAATCGGCTCATGAAGGTCATGGCGGGATACGATAATCGGCATAAGACTGACTACCGGGCGAAAGCTGCGGAGGAGGTTGTTAAAGTGCAGCAAAAAGCCAAGATTTTGGAGGAAATGCTACAAAATCAGCAGCCCGGGGAACCTGTCCCCGAGGGCGATGTTTTCGAGGTATGTGATGATGTGATAGTGCCAGTTGGTCGATTTCTGACGACTTTTTCTCTACTAGGAACTTGCAGGTGCCTTGCAAAGCGCTCATCCCAAGATTCAAAAGATGTGCGAAGAGGAATCGGATGATCCCGAGGCCGTTCATAAGCTACTGGAGATTAATGACAGCATACATCGCACCATCGAGCGATATAAGCTAGTCAAAAAGGGCGACCTGGATGCTGCATCTCGGATTCCGAAGGGAACACTGGGCACCTCCACCGGAGTTTCAACGAACGCAAACAACGAGCTCTCGTTGATCGACTTCGATCCGGAGCCCGAACCCAGCTCCAACGGCAACCAGACTGGACCAGCCCAGGGTGGCAGCTCGTTGGAAAATGACCTGCTTGGTCTTTCATTAGGTGACCAAGGATCCTCTACTGGGGGTGGTATCTCCCTTGGGTCATCCAGTAAGTACTGTGGCGCATCCCTGCTGTATCACCACTGACCGGTATTAAAGACAACTTCCCGTCCATGTCAGCAAGCTCAACACCACCTGCTCCGTCACAGCCTCAACAACAGGCGTCGACAGCATTCAAGCCTAATTATGATATCCTTGCTTCTTTGAACAATTCGCGACCTGTCTCTCAATCTCCCACACCCGTCATGGGAGTCTCGCCTCAAGTCCAGGCTACAGCGAGCCCGCCGCCAGCGGCCGATCCATTTGCGTCTCTCGTCTCTGCCAGTCCACGGGCAACATCTAGTCCTTTCCAACCACCGCAAGGTCAGCCCGCTCCCGCTTCGTCTTCATTGCTTGACCTGGTCGGAGGCCCGGGTCCGTCTCCGCAACCGACGCGGCAGGCCGCAGCCGAAGACGATGAATGGGACTTTGCATCCTCACTGCCAGCCGGCAATGCACTGCCCTCGACCAACAAGATTCAAGTCCTCAACTCCCAACTCCGCGTGGACTTTGCTGCACGTCGTTTGCCGACCCAGCCGCGCCAGATCCATGTCGTAGCTCACTTCTCAAATACAACCAGCCAACCCATTTCAGAGCTTCATTTCCAGGTCGCTGTGGAGAAGGTAAGCTATTCACGCTTTTTTGTGATGTCTCACCTTCCAGATTGATATACTGACATCTCGCTAGGCTTACACACTCCAGCTTCGACCACAATCAGGCCGAGACATCGCACCTGAGCAGCAGAATGGCGTCCAGCAAGAGATGCTGATGGACGGTATTGACTCTGGGAAGGGCAACTCAGTCAAGATCCGGTACAAGGTGTCTTACAAGCTCGGTGGTGAGGCACGCGAGCATCAGGGCATGGTGCCACCTCTCGGCATCTCCTAAGCAATGATCCACCCATTTACTTTGTATTGCTGTTTTCATCTGTGTTACCCGATTCTTCCCTCTAGGTCTGTCTGATGAGTCTGTGCTGAGCTAGCATCCACACCTGTTCTAAGCGTTGCGGTTGTACGATTTGATGCTGGTAACTCCTGTCCAGCGCAGCATCATCGGGGTCCTTCTCTAATCGATGTCGTTTCCTTGGATTTGCACTCATTGAGAACTTAGCGTCCTTTTGTTCATCTATTCATGCTGTTCATCAAGATTTCATATGACTTTTTCCCCCCTTCGGCGACGAAGAGATGAATGAAAACATAGATCGACCGCAAAGAGACAAAGTACCTGGGCAATTAGAAAGACATCGACGAGCCAATCCCGTTCTCTACAGCGAGAAAGACTTTCAATCTTCACTTGTCCATTTTAATCCACTGAGAGTGACCGTACTATCCTACCCAATAACCATCACAAACCCCGCCATGAGGAAGTCCACGCCAGGACTCCATGGTCTCCATCTCCAGAGACTCCAAATGAGCACATTCTCACATAATGCTGACTATCCTCAGAACGATGGAACGAGGTAGCAAAACGGTCAAACCACAGGAACTCCGCCTACTAAATCGCCCCCCAGCCCCGGTACTTGGTGAGCACGCCAGGCACCAACTGCCGTTTTCGGCATTTAAGCCTGAAGATCTCGGTCGATCCGGCAATTAAGGATTGCGCGGTGACTCAGCCGCAACCTGCGATTTCAATGGCTAGTACTTTTGTCCATATACCGAGTATCTGTACCGAGTATCTACGGCGTGGGGGGATTTTCTCTACTTTGATGCTTTTTTGCCTCCCCGATCGGAGATTGCTTAGTTTGTCTCTCCGACTCGGAGATGGGACTGTTTTGGCAGGTGCTGTCGCTGATCGGAGTGGGGGTTTCTGTCACTGGGAATTGCTGAAGAAAATGCTTGATCGCAGATCTGCACGGTTATTCTTATCCTGACACTAGTACGACGGAGTACTACGGAGTACTAGTCTCCACGGCGTTCTCCGTTGTCGATGCAGTGGGCCTGCGATCGGCGATGTGCCGACGTTGATCGGGATCGATCGCCTAGCTAGGCCCTAGACTCCACATAGTTAATCGTTGAGGAGCGGGCCTCATCCGTATACTACAACAAAATTTTAGGATTGTAGGATTTGTTTCAGACGGTTTTCAACGGTTCTAGACGGGGCAAGAGTAGTAAGACCACCGGGCAATGTGAAGAAATCTGATATCGAATTCTTCCGGGAACCCGTCTCAAAATCGCTTAGTCTCGGCCGGCCGCCGGACCAGAGGGCTAGACCTAGACCGGTGGCCTATCTGTCAGTTTTCTCTAGAGCGTGTGTTTTTCCATGGAAGATGAAGCTCCTGTCTGATCGTAACTTCGTTGGTACAATAAATCCATTGTTCTGTCAACTCGCTTAGTTGGTGAAAGAGAATATTCATAGTACGTGATTAAGATCGTTATTTGTTGAGTATACCCTTGGCCTGTACAACATCAGATAACTATAAGATCTCCGTGATAATCTGCCCGGTGGCTGTGCCGGAAATGGGTATCCGACTATTTCCGGTACCCCGAGTACGACTTTGCTGATACCGCCATACCGGTAACCCGGGTCCCGATCATAATCATATCTAGACTCCCTGCCCTAGGGCCTAACCATATCTAGGCGGCTGGGCAGGGCGAACGGTTATCAGGGGAATCCGTTAGAACGCGATCCAGGCCTTGGTCTGGAAAGGCAACAATAGGAACCCAGATATACTGATATAGCACTAGCTTGGCAGGGCTGATGTCCTCCGACTCCTTTAGTCTTGACCCATTCTGCTGGCATTTCACACACGTTGTCGAACATTCCCCGAAAGACTACTACTGCAGCCGATCGACCGTGCAGCAACCTTATTCAGTTCTAGGTTATTGTCTTATTGGTCTGCTAGGTATAACTTTATACTGTACGTTCCTATAGAGTATAGAATATGAATGTAGATTGTAGCCCTGCTGCCGTGCACATAGTACGGAGTACTGATGGGAGATTAGGTTTAGGGCCTAGGCTGAGCACGATGTGGACCAGGGCACCAGACCGATCCGGTCATCACGTAGTTCCATGTCCCCTCGAAGGCACCTTCGTTCCCAACAGAGAGAGGAAGAAAAAAAGAGAAGTGAAAAAGATGTACTCTTCCTGCTTGAGGAAGATGATCTGCACGGAATTGACAGTAACATCTAGTCCGTATCGGGGTATGTTTATCGGGATCTGGTGTTAACCCCGCCGAGTCCCACTACAACTGTCAATGGTCTAGACCTAACTAGTTTAGTCTCTGCAGCCTTGGGGCCTTCAAGGCGTTCTGCAGAGTGAGTTGCAATGTGAGGAAATGGAAACATTCTCCGGGGACCGAGAGTGGCCCAGTGGTACCATCTCTTGGACTCGTATTTTGGGGTAGTGGCGCATCTCGAGCGGACTGGCCCACGAAGCTGGAGAGAGGCCAAATGCCCCAACCATGGATAGGCCGTCCGTAAGCTTTTCAAGCGCCCAAACTATGATCTGCTCGGTTCCATGGTACTGGCCTCGAGCTTGGCTGAGGTCGAGAAAGTGTCTGTGCTGCAGGGCTCCTTCGGTCCTTCCCCTCAGTATTTAAATATCGAACTTGCCTCCCCCTCTTTTTTCTCCTGGCTCTATATTAAAGAGCTTGAATTACATATCTTATACCCATTATGCCTTTCCCCGACATTGACCACGACATTGCGCCTATCCCCCGTTCGAGGGAGGAGAATCAAGAGAGGTATGTGAAGTACCACTCTGCACCAAGAATATTACTGACAAATTTCACAGAGCCTTTATCGCGGCCTCACGGAGAAAGGATCGCAGCTTAGATGCTCGTCTGGAATCTGCGAACCGGGCTTCTATGCTGCATAAGAAGCGCACAGGCAAGGCCTTCCACATCACCAAGGAGATAGTCGAGAAAGAGGCCATGTATGAAGAAGTCGACGAGCGATATCAAGAGAAGCGCATTCGCATGCTACAAGACCAGAACAAGCAGATCGAACAACAATTCAACCGTCACCTGCTGGCTGCTCTGGCTGCCCGCTCCTACAACAGTGCATCCTCCATCCACAGCCGCCGATCGAGCCATATGACCCCACGCCCATCAATCGATGGTGGTTCGAGCAAGATGAGCCTGGATCTTTCCAACATCCGGTCCTCATTTTCCCAGGGCTCAGGGTCCCAGGGCCAAAGTCACCTGGCAAGCCCGATGCCAACAAGTGACTCTTACGTCCTATCGCCCGCGGCATCATCATTCGATCAGAGCGGACAGTCATATATGACCTGCATGGACGGTTCAGAGAGTTCTTTCTCCAACATGATGACAGGCCCCTCAGGACTCCCAGCATACGTGGGCCAGAATACCCCCATGTGGAACACCCAAGCACCAGCCTGGAGTGGGATGCAACAGCAGATCCCAACGCCAGGGCAGACCCCAACCGACGCGAACGCAGTGCAGGCTTGGCAGCAGCAAATGATGCAACAATCCCAGATGCCCGATACAGCGACCCAAATGCGTCATTTCCGGGACCGCCTGGCCTCTGCGCCTGAGTTGTCTCTGCAGCACGCGGCTCCACCACCCCTTCCCTCAGGCTCCATCTCAGGCCCCACCACTGGCCATGGACACTCGCGCGGCCAGTCCCAACCCTCAAATAGCTTCCACAACCTCCAGCTTCTTACTCAGAGCACGCACCTCACCGGCTCCCACGTTGCGCCCTCGAGTGTTAGCTCGCCGAAGATGGAGGCCCAGTCTGCTGACACTCACTCCACTCCAGACTTCTGTCCCACGCCCAATACTCCGCTGTCGCCGACTGCTACCATGCAGGCTAAGATGTCGCCGGATGACAAGGCTGGGGGTAACGGGACTATGGTCTCGCACGAGGGGTTGGATCCTGATTTTTCGGACTTCAGTCAGTTCGCTTTGCACTTGGGCAACTCGACAGTTCCGCTTTCTGATCGCGATCACCAGTTTGTCTTTGATGATTATCTTAATGTCAACGACGATTATACCAGCGTTCCATGTTGATTTTCTCTGTTCATTGCCATCACGTCCATTACGATCTGATACCTGATATACCTTGGTGGTTATTGGCTGTTATTGTCTTTTCTTTGTCGTTTTCCTTTGGGGGATGGGGGGTGTTCGGATTGTACATGGGGTTAGCTTTGTACATTGCTTTTGTATTATATATTTTACTTCGTTCTAATCTCTTGAAAAGCCCTCTTTTTCTCGAGTTTGAACCTTGGAATACTTCGCTGTTCTTTCTCTTGCATTCTCTTTTCCACTTGCTTTCTTGTGCCTTGTATGTACCATTTCACGAAAGCTACGAATCAACTTTAATATTTGACGTTCTCTTGCCACAGTATTTCTCTATTCTTTTTTACAGAAGTTTCACCGTGGATAACGTTGCATCGTTCCGCAAACAACCTCATTAACATACACATCCCAATCCGGCGCCCCCACAATTTTCCGATGATTGACAATGCGTCCGTCCCTAACTGACTACTGCACGGTTATTGGCATCTCACATTCTAAGTGGATTAAGTGGATAAGTCCCCTTTATGGAGCCCTGCCAGCCACGCACGTACATAGCTGCAGCTGTCGGTATGCAACATCCAAGCCCTAGCCCTGGGACGATACATGGAAAGCGCCTTTTTTTACCTTTCCCTCGTGTGTGTGTTTATGTTAAAATTTAGCTTCCAAATTTGACTTTTAATGCCGCAGCTCGAAACAGCATACCCCCGACATGCAACCAACCAAATTCATTAGTGGAGTTCTAGATCACACAATTCTTGAACTATATCAAAGACCAAAGGTCAGTTATTATATGAGGGTTTTGCAATCTTCAGAAAGTCAAAACCTTGCCCTAACTACCTGCAGGTGACTACCTGATCTACACCCGGCGATCAGACCACCCGCACCCATGGAACCAAACGTCAGGCCATTTGTCACCCTCTAGTGTCTACGGGTGTACGGGTGACCACAGCTCCATGTCATAGGTAGGCAGCAGCTTCCAGGTCAGGTGCTGCGCCTCTTTAGGAACATCTCTGGCGGTACGTTGCGTTTGTATTAGGTGAGATGTGATGTCTGTTTTACATGTAGCTACCGTTTACCAGAAGTTATTCTTACGTGGTCTTTTCCGACTCTTACGACTTGCTGCTCAGGCGACTATGCTGGTTAGCGTTTTATGCGAGGGTGTATAATAGAGTTGAATTTCGATTATAGTTCGAGCTGATGCTAGGAAGAGGCTAGAGGATCTGATTCCGAATGAGAAGTAAACGTATCGGAGAGACCCCGTGTCCGGCTATCTTTCCCCCCTGCAGGTGCTGGAGTGGACCGGGGTGTTCCCGGTACCTCGGATCAACGGTGATCTTGCAGGTAGATTTCGTGTCTACAACTGATTCCTGGTATACTTATTTTCTCTTTCTTTTACAGAGCAGTAAGTAGTTTTCCATCCATCGCTGGCAGACTAGAACGAACAATCACATATGTTCTAATTGAACAAAAACAACCACAATATTCCATTTACAAAAGAATCAAAAGCGCATACGAACAGAAAAGACAAGAAAAAAAAAGAACCTCAAGCCACCACAAACCAGGATTTTCCAGATTGCGGGGTTAAGGTTGCAGCTCACGACATGCCAAGCACAAACCCAATTGGCTACCGAGAAAATTAGCGCCCGCACCGACCCATGTCAATCGCCCCTCTAGAATCCATCACGGCGATTACTTTCCCTGGGAAGATCATTGGAAATCACAGATAACTCCAACTCCACCCAATGGATCTGCTCAGGGTATTCACGGTTAAAAGCTAAAAAAAACCAGCTTACCACTTATATTCTGCGGACTGTCAAAACCTTACCCAATGAAAGTCCGACAGCCGACGGCCTAAGGGTAAATATCAGCTCGCTACTCCACTATGTATCCATGGTCCAAGTCGGAGCTGGACTGGACTACGACGCTAACCGCGGCTGCGTGGGGGATGATTGGTGGCGAGGGGCTTATCGGAGGGCTGTCAGATTGATGTGGTTATTGATCCTGGGCTTTCATTTGTGGGATTCTTGTGTCTTCGTGTTCAAGGGGCGTACCTGCATTTTGAGGCATTTTGTCGGTTGTAAAGCTGACTACTTAGTAAGAATAGGGTTAGGGAGATTCGTGATCTTGTCTAGCTATCTTTTACCCTCTCTGACCAGGTTCACGATTTCTTGGCTGGTCCACAGCGAACAGTTTGCCTCATTTACAAACAGATCTCAGATTTACAATCGACGATCTTCTCTGAAATAGGCCAGTGTAGATGTCTGGCGTGCACACGATCCACTTGCTCGGCGCAGTGGAGTTGAAAGTGGCTTAGACCGCTTAAAAGGAGGCCCGGAGAATGGCCCGGGGATAGAACAGGCTGCCGAGACTGGGGCCTGGGCGAGCGGAGTGGAGACTTGGGGTCAAAGTGAAGTGGCTGTGAAGCGTTCGTGAGATGTCAATTCTTCACCGGGGAGGGGCTGGGGTGCTGTCTACCCCAGATTCTGGACTATGTAGATCGATCTAGTAGTCTGGCTTTAAGTGGATGCGATGGTAGAATGGAGCCCGAGGGTATCCATCTTGCTTCCTAGTAGTTTCTCCAAGCAATTATATTGTGATGTGATATCCCAAGGGGAAAATAGCGCTACAGTAACTACTGACTACCTGCGCATTGACCGGCAAATAACCCAAAGTGCATAACCAAGCTACTGTAGTTATACATAAACATCACCTCCCAAGGCTCCAAGTCGCATCTTCCCGAGATACCCAAATCCAGGAAATGCATCCCCAACGCAGGCCTCCCTCCACACCTCCAGCCTCGATCTGACGGGCCAGTGAGAATCACAAAGCCAAATCAGATTGAACCTGCGTTGCTAATTACAGAGCGTATATACTTGCTGCCCCTGCAGCCGACCACGGGCACGTTCAGGCCAAAAGCCATTCCAAACTCAGGTTCGAATTCAACTCCTGTTCCAGTCCCGGTTAAATGGGCAATCTTGGGCACAATTCCAGGTTGAGGTCTCGACGTTTGTCACGATGATGTACAATGTGGGTATAGTTGCGTGTGTGGGTTCTGCGCCGTGGATGGTGTGGCGCTGGATGGGAGGTTTGGAGGTTTTGAGATTGTGTTGTGGGTTACGGAGATATTTCTCCGATAGAGTTGATTGGACAGGTCGGTGGCTTGCGGATTTGGCCAATTGGATTCGCTGAGATGGGTCGGCATTCCACCGGCTATGGTGATCTGTGTGGAGACGATGCCTCGGCTTTGTCCGACATATTTCCGTGGGGTTGGGACTCAAAATTCAGCCTGTCTTGACAAATACCTACTGTAGGTACGGAGTTCGGTACTTGATTTCCTCTCTTCTTGGCGTGCTCTTTTGGTTCAGTGGGTGAAGCTGAGCACGCCCAGAAGCATTACATAGCCGACAAACTCGCGCGCTGGCCATCACCTGACCATTACGTTGGCTGAAGGACTCGCTGGGCGTTGCTTGAGCGCTCTGGCTTGCTCACCGAACAGCCTAATCTACTTACTGCGCACAATTTTTGACTCTACGCACGACCCGAGCAAAGTGCGGAAGCAGCTCAATGAGATATGCCGTTTCTCAAAAACCGAAAAGACAATGTGGGCTGATGTCCTTGGCACAGCCAAGGAAAGCAGAAACTGTTAGGTACAATATACTTGAATGGAGACAACTTGCACATGTGCCTTCACGGTGTAGTGACGATCTATGATAGGGTCACTCATTAAACCAAGGGTCATCAAGAACTTGACTCGCTGACGCTCTTGTAGACGGCTCAAAATGCAATAATCTTGCAGTGATTTGCCCTAGCCTCACTATGTCCTCTCGTGTGAGATCGGGACTCAGCGGGCCATCAAAGTAGACTTCTTCAAGCCATTCCTGCAGGTTGTGCCCGGTGCTTTCTGTGGCCATGACATCCCCCATTTTCATCGTATTCCATTTATCTTGCCATCTCTCAGGTAGTTCATCAGTTGCCATCTCTCGCATTTGGCCAACAAGGATTGGGGACGTTATTAAAAATGTGTCGAAAGGTGGCTGGCCCGCGAACAGTTCAAAAAGCTGCCAACCTATTAGCTTGGGGTTGTATAGATTATCCGAGTACGAATTCACCCACCATGCAGCCCATGCTCCACAAATCAACACGATAATCAATGTGATCTTGAAAGATAACTTCCGGTGCCCGGACAGATAAAGGTGTATGGAGAGTTTCAGGAACAGCAGTGAGCGAGAATGACTCTCCGAAGTCGATTATTTTGGCATTCTGAGCCAGATTCCAAGAATGATTCCGGTATGAGGCAGGTCTCACAATGTATTCGGGCACGCCAGCTTCCAGGCATTTCCCATCGCGTCTTTGGACATAGCCAATCTCTGGCTTTCCCAACATCCCAATAAATCTGTCTTCTGCCAAATCGTCTGTATAAGGCATAGTGAAGGCCAAATTGCGGGTATGAAGATCTATACCAGGTGAGCACTGTCGAAAGTAGTTTCAAGAAAGTGATTTACCTCCATGTCCGATCTTTCGTTGGTGCAAACCATCGAGTCCGATCAAAGATTGCTTTGCAATGATTTTGGCGAGCTTGCCAGGAAGTCTCCCATCTGGAAATTTGGCATCAATAATGTCTGGAACGTTGGGACCTAGGAGTTCATAAACTAGGCATTTATGAGATCCATTTGGGCCCTTTAGATCGAAGTCATCGAGCATGTGTACCGTATGTTTCGGATGAGGATGATGAGATGCAAGCTCTTTCAAAGTTTGTCGCTCTCGCGTGTCCCCATCGTATTCAGTTTCTGCAACAGGGATTTTGATAGCGACATACGTATCTTCCCTGTAAACAAGCAACTTATCGGTTAGCTAGAACTAACGCGAGTCCAGCTTGTACAACCTTTGATCTCTCGCCGCCCAAACCGTTGAGTAGCCTCCCCATCCTAGTTTATGTAACACCTTGTACCTTCCGGCTTTCAAGGATTCCCCTAAAGTAATCGGGTGGTAACCGCCTTGTTGATAGCGATGAAGTGGCTCGGCGTCAACAGTAGAAATATAGGGGGTCTGGTTCATCTGACTCCTGTTTGGATGGGTAGACATGGCCCTGATGATGTTAAGCCGCGAGAGACTCCTTGGAGTAGTACGACTCCTTGTTATCCAGGAGATGGTCATTGGATAAAGCCCTTCGTGCGTATTGTGTTGGGCATACCTTAGTTCTTGCTATGTCCAGAATTCAAACATGCACGAGGCAGAATAAATTGACACCTGAAAAACATGGCATAATTGGGCGGAAATCAGACAGGGGGCTGGCAAGTTTCCTCTCACAACCGATTCCAAGTCATAACACCACCTACGTTAGAAAAGATGCTCACAGTCACTTGTACGACTCCCCAGGGTCCAGGGAAATACTGGAACTCTGGACTTTGGGGGAAGGGGCGAGGCTGGAATTCCCAGCTGACCTAGCTCCCAATGACCCCTGTTAAGTCACTTTGGCTTGCATATCACTTCGAATGACCCGGCCCAACCAGATATCTCCGTAGCTCATAACAGTATGCAGCTACCCAGCCGAGGTTGCGCAAGGTCTACGAGCTTCCTGTTCTCTCCTTCCCCCCCCTATCAACCAAGTTCCAACACCTGAGATCCTGTAACCTCTCTCATTCTCCTTCCCACTTTGCTTTTCCTCTAGTTCACAGCGCCGTCCCCCTCATCTAAACATGGGGGCCAGATACCTTTCTCACAGCGACGTCATCCTACCGATGCAGGACCCCTACATGACTCAGATCGTCGACGGAAGCAAAAACTACGAGTTTCGAAAATATTGCCTCAAACCCAGTGTGAAAAGAATCTGGTTTTATCGGACTGCTCCGCACCCAGCATTACACATGTCTGTGAAACACAGTGCGCGCGGACGCGAAATCCTGGTGATCGTCCGCTAGAAGAAAACGGGCTGGGGAATGCCGAATACAACAATAGACACAAAGACTGGGATGGCTACGATTTTGCTTACAAGATAGTCACTGTCTGTGAACTCCGGCAACCGATCACGTTGAAGGAAATGAAGGAGAAACACGGGTTCAAGTCGGCACCGAGGGGTCTTGTCTATCTACCCAAGTCGATTAACGATAGTGTTGATTTGAAGAAACAGAAGTTGGTAAGAAACCGATCGGCTTACTGTTGAATCTGGACTAATATACAGCCAGTTGCTTGATAGGAGGAATTAAATGGCAAAATGCAATTTGGATTCACTTGCTTTGGTCAGAGTGAGGACCTTGAGAGATGAATTGACCCATCTAAACACATCTAAGTTGCTTCAACCATCCCTTTACTGTGATTCTATAAACAAAACCGAGATTAACGATCGACTCGATACCCTGTAAAGATTGGTGCCTGTAAAATAGTGAGCCAGCTCACAGACGCCCCTGGACTGGTTTATCAGCCGCATCTCGAACATCGGCGGCAGGAAGGAGAGGCTCAGGCAAACCCAACTGGCGTGAAACCTCTCTAGCAGCCCAGAGACCCGTCACGAACGCAAGAGCAAGGCCCCCGGCATAGCCGAGGTTACTGAATCCACCAGCGTCAACGCCTGCTATAAGCAGCCCCGGAATCCTGGTTTTATCGGCGGTCAGGGCATGCCCTTTCGTGTCGATCGCGATACCACCGTACGTAAACGTGATGCTATTGAATGTCAGACCGAGAGCATTGGAATATGAGTGGAAGAACTTACGAAGGCTGGACCTCCATTGCATAGAAAGGACCTTCACCATCGACCAAGGGTACCGGGGGTGAGCTACCACGCCCGGTAGGGGCATCGAGGGCAATGCTCTTGTCGCCTAAACGCATTGATCGTTGATATTCATCAATGGTGCGTTTTGCCTGTACGTCGTTGACTCCCCACTGGCGAAGGATATCCACCAGTTCGCTCAATGTCGACGCACTTGCGACATTACAGCCATGGTCCTTGGCTTTCTGCAGACGATCAACATCTCCTGCATTGGGGAACAACGCAGTCAGGCAGTGTTGGAGGCGTGTTTTCTCACTAGAATAAGATTGAACAGGTCAGAATGTTGTTGGGGAATTTCCTTGCTGTGGATTGATGTACTTGAACAGAATAAATCCACGGCGCTTTTCCTGTTTGGCAAGGTACTGATTGATGATTTCGTCTCCCATGGACTCATCGACAAATCGCTTTCCTGCCGTGTTCAACAGCAGGCAATATTTGCTCTCTATAATCTGGTTAGATGCTAACGTGCGTTGAGTGGGGGTCTGATCTCACGGTATTGGGCGAGTGGAAGATAATCCTTTGGATCCACGTCTTCCGCTCGAACTGGCGCCGCCAGCAAATGGCCATAGTAGGTGTTCATACCCCTGCTAGTGCCGGCGCCTGCTTCAGTAGCCAGTCTCAGTCCATCACCCACAGATCCACGGTTGGATCGCACAAAGATGTTGTCCCCGCCTTGTCCCAAGTACTTCGATGTCATTCCCGGGGAACCTTGGAACCCCCCTGTTGCCAAAACCACCAACTTGGCTCTGATCTCGTAGTATACAGCTTCCGAGTTGGGAAGCTTTTTGCAAACGATCGCACCGATGACGGCCGATCCCAGTACACCAGGCTCCTTTTGAATCAGCTTAGCCACCGATGTGTGGGTGAGAATCTCAGAGTGTGTTTGGCTCGACTGAATTCGCTTTCTATGAAGGCCATGCAGATGGGGGATCTTAATGGGGAACCCAATTCCTGTTACATGTCAACCTCGTGGCTCAAAGGAGTTGGGTTGTTGTCAATCCTACCGATTGTCATGATACCGTCGAACCGTTTCGCGGTTGGTACCCCATTATCACGCATCCATTGTACGGCAGGGAGGTAATCGTCCAGCCACGCCTTTTGCAAAGCTGGATCCCCATCTGGAACCCAGTTTCTCAGCTTGTCATATGTTTGGGGAGCCCAACTGTTCATGGATATTAATGAGCGCCCATTCTTGTCGAAAATGATTTTCAATTACTTACAACATTCCCGCGGAGTAATTCGAGGAACCGCCAACATCGCCCTGTTTCTCAACAACCAATGTTTTCGCTCCTGCTTTCGCTGCAAAGGCAGCGCATGCCATCCCGGACATGCCTCCTCCACATACCAGAACGTCGACGTTGATAACCTCCATTATGAGTGTCGCTAAATTCGGATCCGGGAGGTTTCAAACAGACAAAGTATTTTCTTTTGAGAAATAGAAAAGCATCAGGGATTTGTATTCGATTTTCATACTGTTCATTGCTGTCTACTCCGGTAGCTACGAAATGCCTCGGCGCCGGCTATTAAATTAAGTGACCGGGTGGATCGACATCTCAATATCCTTGATGAATGAGAAGCTACTCCGCACAGGGTCAACGAATGATGTGAGGTAAAACTTTACTCCGTATTTACCTGTGAAAGATGTAGCTAGTTGTGGACGGGACTCCGAACTCGGGAGGAAGAAGGCGAGGTAGAGAGAGAGAGAGAGAGAAAAAGAAGACAGGACTACTGTGTGTTCTATGGCTGGGGCACAAAGGCCTTGCCAACTGGCGAATTCTTCTACACTGCCTAGGTCTGTACACCATTTCCACCCACTGATACCCTACAAGGACGTGATAGGTATTGAATATATATTAGCCATGCAGTGTCATATTGCGAGTCTTTATGTATTATTCTCACAACTTTCCGCTTGTATGCTTATCAAGTCCACAGCGTAAAGCAATTTCCCGCCATGAGGCCATCCCTCTCGTAGCCCAATCATCGGGTACTCTATAGACATCAAAATCAGTACAATGTCCTTACCATTGGAGCTTACACTCACGTGTCGCGTGGGTTCCACAAGTCAGGATGGAATACTTCCATCGATACCCATCCCGTATATCCAAGATCAAAAACGGCCTGTGCAACCTCAATTGCAGGCAGCACACCCCCGCGACGTTCTTCGCAGGGAAATATCCGACAGTTCCGCGATTGGGTCATGTAGGGTGGCTGGTTCAGGTCACGACGTGGATAGCACGCCTGGCTTGGGTCAGCAACCGTGGCATCGCTTAACTGTAGATACGCAATTTGATGTGGCATCACGGTTCGCTTCATTTCATCTAAACTTTGGTGGAGACTTGTTATACCTCCTGCTCGAATCGGAGCCGTGGCATTGAACGGATCGCCCGCTTCTATCGCGGCGACATGGAATGTGTCGAGACAGTGTTGAACATTGGGAAGATCGACAAGCCTAATTATCTCATGGATTTGTTGCCAGGTGTTCAGGTGAACTCCGAAGGCGGGTGCTTCGTATGCAACCTGCACGTTGTATCTCTGAGCAAGAAGACCCAGCCGCTTCATGTTGGCGGCGATGATTTCCGGGTCAGGCGTTATCCGGGTGGGATCAATAGGGTAGATACAAGATGTAATCTACAGTCAAAAGCCAAAGTTAGCCGAACACTGGTGCAATAGATCCAACACCTGAAATATTATAGCACACCTGGAAGATAGGAATCTTCATCAATCGACAGAGATCAAACCAAAGCTCCGCCTCTTCTAGACGAGACTTGATCTCGATAGGTTCAATAAGTCCATCGTATGCACCGAATGGATTCAGTGAAATGAGGGCGACAGATAACTCCTGCGCCTTTCGATTAATGTGAGCGGCAGCCGCTCTCAGGCGAGAGGCTCGGGTCGATTGCGGGAAGGACGAAGCATACGCTTCGAGACACTCAAACGCAACCTCCACTCCATCGAACCCATGCGATTTAGCGGACTCGAGTTTCCGAATGAGTGTATGCCCGGCGGCTGGTTTACCCAGTGAGTTACTGGCGATTGCAACTTTGACGGATGGCATTTTGTCGAGTACAGTAGTTGAGATCGGAAGGCCCGCGGAGTGATGATCGGACATTATGTTAACTGTTGACTGTACCGGTGGTCAAATTTGAAGCCCCGGTACTGTGTATAGTTGGATGACCCCAACTACCCCCAACCCCGACACTAATTCCGACCCGATTCCGATCAGATCGTTAAAACATAAATGGTTCATGACTTGGAACCGCACTCCATTTTGTCAAATCATTGAGACTGAACCATGCCTCTACGTGCGAAGATTAATACCCCACGTGTGGTGATTGTTACAGGTGAATACAATCATATTTCATGCTCTCCTTTTAGCCCAGAACTGACTATAACGTCTAGGGGGCGCGGATGGCTTTGGGGCTGCTATTGTGGATCGGTTTAGTCGGGAGGGATGCAAAGTCATCATACTAGATCGCGATCAAGTCAAAGGAGAGAGCAAACAGCGAGCCGACTCAAATATTCATTTCTTACTTGGCGATGTGACTCAACCGGATTCATGGCAAAAGGCCTTGGAGTTGGCGCAGACGACCTATGGCAGGATTGATGTGGTTGTCAACAACGCTGGGATTACCCATGATCAAGCTGTATGATTCTATTCTCGAAGCCCTTGATACATGTATTCTAATGCTCTGGTTCAGCCGATTCACACGAAAAGTCTGCAGGAGTATGAGAAGACATTCAACGTCAATGTCAAGGTACTGTCCCTCAAACAACCCTAGTGGGGTTTCAATGTGGCTAAATGAATATGAATAGCCGATTTTCATCAGTGCACAGATATTTGCGCCTGTGATGATAAAGCAGGGACATGGAATCTTCATCAATATTACCAGGTATGTGATACGCTCGGAATCTCATATGAATTTATTGACTGGTGTAGCACTGGGTGCACACGCCCTCGGCCAGGATTCGCTATTTACAATGCTTCCAAAGCGGCTGTAGAGGTAAGTGCAGAACCATGGAAGAGTGAATATCCGGTTATGTGGGTAAATTAACTTGTTGTTAGGTGGCAACTAAGACAATGGCCCTTGAGTACGCACCAGCAGTTCGGTTCAACTGCATTTCCCCTGCTGTAGGGAACACCACTATGTATGTTGCTCGGAATGACCCCAAGAGCGCGTCGCTAACAAAGACCAGGCTTCAGGCTAGCATTGGAAATGGTGAAGAGTCCCGCCAGCGACTGCGACAAGTGGAAGATTCTTTACCCATGAAACGGTTGTGTCAACCACTGGATATAGCTAACGCAGCATGGTTCTTGGGGTCGGAGCAAAGTAGCTTTGTAACGGGGACGACGTTGGAGGTGGATGGAGGGCGAGGCGTGTAACTTTAATTTCCGTAGCCAAAGCAGAAGCCATAGGTCCCCCGCGTTCCCCCGCAATGTAAAATTCCGGGGTTATCCCGGGGGGGGGGGGGACTTCTCGCATCTCTCCCTCTTCTACTCTTTGAGCCTAGTTCAAGTTGAAATGTCATGACACCATTCCATTTACTTTAGAAGCCTGACACTGATGTCTTCACCTGGGAATGAAAATCCGCCTAGCCAAACTCGGCCTGCCACGGCCGCGTGCAAAGGCTGTCGGAAATTAAAGGTAACGCGGTCTCCAACCTATTCTAACGCGTATCCGCTGAGAAAGGCTCCTTAGATGAGATGCATCCGACCACAAACAGATCAGCAAGGAACTGGCCCGACAGAGCCATGTGAACGGTGCAAACGCACCAACCGACCCTGTAACATTCCAGAGCCACGACCGCTTGGAAGAAAGCGGGGGGCCACAGGTCGTTATCACGGAATCGACAAGGCTTACCGCAAGCTGCAGTCAGAGTTGAAGAAAGTGAAAGCATCTCATGGAAATGAAAATAGCGACGATTTGATCAACCTGGTCCCCGGTGAAGAGCCGATGCAACAGCTTTTAGGTCCCAGTCACCCAGCTGAGCCACACGAGTCAACCCAATCGCCCCTTGGGATAGACAATGGGGAGTCATCTGCTTTGTTATTTGATTCGGGTGTTGCAACTTTGCCAGATGAGCATCCCGGAGATTTCGTCTCTCCTGGATTCCACAATGATGAAATATCCCATTCCAACCAGGAGCCAATCAGCAACCCTCTCGGGTTGTTGGCAGATGCTTCAGATGCGGCACAGGCACTAGAGCTACATCCGACATCTTCTGGTCCATCACCGATGTCGAATGTTGGATCTTCGATGACACATCACTCGGCCAACCCAGCAGATGGGGCAGGTTTCGGTCGTCAACTGCTTCATCGACCGGGCTATGTCTCACTTGGCCTCCAATTGGGCCGAGATACTCTAGAGGCGGGTATAGATGCAATTCTTGCGCCTCCTGAGAATTTCTCTCACTACTCGAACTATTTCAAATCACCCCCGCAGGTGCCTCAGCGCGATGTTGGACCCGATGTTGACCCGGTGGACCTAGGGTTGGTGACCATGGAGGAAGCATATCGCCTCTTTCCAATGTATGTTATAGAATCCCCAGTTTTTTAATTTTTTTCTTTCTTCCCCTAATGGCGATTCGTCACAGTTATTATGCCCGCTTGCATCCGGTCAATGGAATCCTAGACCCGATGCTGCATACCCCAGATTTCGTTCGTTCGCGATCGGCCCTTCTATTCACATGGATAATAGCTCTGACAGCGCAATTCGATCATGACTCGGCATCAATTGCCAAGCGACTACGCCTTCATGGCGAAAAGTTGTCGAGACATGTTCATACCTGTGGATATAAGTCCGTCGAAATTGTTCAAGGCTACTATATCTCCCTGCTATCGGCCACCCCTGCAAAAACACTAGAGGAGGAGCGTTCTTGGCTGTACACGACATACGCTTTGGGTGTAGCGGCGGACCTCGGTCTAGATCAAGATTCCCGTGCCAAAGATGCAAATCCTTTGAGCTTACTCAGTGCTTGCCATGTCGAAGCACACGATATGCATGGTGCTGGGTATTTCTCCGAGGATACTCAGTTTCAGCAGCGACTGGCACGAAATCGCGAAAGGACGTGGCTAAGGATTCTATTATGGGAGCGAGCAAACAGTGCATCCTGTGGTAGAATACGCACTTTCCCGGAAACAGACTTGACGCAAAGCATCGACAGCTGGTGGCGTCTCCCACTAGCTGATCCAACAGACAAACACACTTGTGCGTTTATCACTCTGAGGCGAGGTCTAGCCTCACTGCAAAGCGAACTCAGACAACAAGCTCATTTGACGCATCAAAATCCTCATTGGGTACGAGAGCTGGTCGATATGGCCTTAAGGCCTTGGTGTGACCTTTGGCTTTCGCAATCCGTCCCCGAATCCATGACGTCGCCGTCTGAAAAACTCTCAAATATTTTCCTTCACTATGTTTATCTCCATGGGAGACTTTGGACCTTGTCATTCGCCCTTCATAGTTCCATAAATAGGGGCCGTGACCTGGACGCAATTCGAGCGGACTGCTTCGAGGCTGCAGTTCATTGCTGCGAGCTTGCGGTGCGTGATTTGCAAACTATCGGGGAGCCACTGTACTGTATGTTAGCCCCAACTTGGGCTATGATATCCTACGCTGGCGTTTTAGCTCTGAAGCTATTTCCGGCATTGTTTGGGTCACGCGCCGGAAATGATATCGAGCTTCTTGCTTTACTGAGCCAGGTTGCCATGCAGCTACAACGTGCGGGAACCACCCCATCGCATCGGACTGGAATTGCCGCATTGCTTGGACAGCATCTCATGATGATCCTGAGAGCTAGGACGGTGGGGCTGAAGGATTCACCACATCCTGGCCAGACTAATTCAGATCCACCGTATTACCAGGGCCATTATGATGGGGCGAGGCCATTTGAACACGATCAGTCTGTACATGCGCTACCATCCGAGGCATTGGTCTCCTCAGATTATGATCCCTTCTTAATGACTGCCTCAATGTCTACACAGGGTGATTTGACTGGGGAAGGGTTTGCCGAATTTTTCAGGGAGACGTTCGGGCTTGGGTTTGGGGGTGTCTTCTGATCGGACGATGACAGGCAAATAGGACCATTGAGCATTATGTAAATAGATATTATGTATGTGAATTAAATACCAGATCAGACGCGGTACGTCTAGCAGTGGCATCATTGGGTGGGATATAGACTTGCCAGTTGGCCGGAGGCTCGCCAGTTGACGGGAAGCTTGCTGGGATGTTAATCGATGTTTAGTAGGTTACATTGGACAGAGGAGGAAACTTGAAGGAAAAACTATGTTCAAAAGCAATAAACAATGAATCCTCTACCTATGAGACAGCAGCATATATGAAATACAAAGGTACTGCTAACAAGTAGGTTTCCCTTACAAGTTACTTCTGCGGACTTCTCCCCGCAACACTTTGTTCACGAAGTCAGGATCCTCTCTCAGAGGTCGTCCTAATCCACACATATCGATGTCTCCACGTTCGACAGCCTCGGACATACGATAGCTGTCTCGCCAACCACCAGTTGTGCCAATAACAGCACGAGACTATTAATACACTTAGATCAGTTTGGGAAGAACAACAATGCCTGAAACTGATTACTTACCAGGACCTTCTTCAGCTCTTGCGCCCACTCGATAAAGTAGCTTCGTTCTGTCAGTACATGAACACCGCGGATATATGAAAAGATAGCTTACCTTCCACGTTCCTTTTGCGATGGGCGCTCTGCCAGCTCGGTCATAATGTTACCACGCCAGGCAGGGGAGGCATACGTTCCGCCCGAGATATCAAAGAAATCCACGCCAGCCTCTTCCAACCACTTGATCACAACGCATTGCTCGGCAAAGCTCTGGCCACCCTCAATGACTAAAAAGGACCAATTTTGTCAGACTTCAAGATCCAGTTCTCTCATATTAGAGTAGGATACTCACAATCTTGGCAGTTCAACTTGGCTGCAATCACGAATTTGTCAGACGGAAGTTTAGCCTTGATGGCGTTGACGATCTCCAGGATGAATCGTGCCCGATTTTCCAGACTTCCACCGTACTGCATTTATTAAACTTGTTAGTATCATGAGCAAGAAAAGCAATAGATATGGGGTTTACCTCATCCGTTCGTTTGTTGATCTTGGGCGATAGGAATTGGTTCATGATATATCCATGACTAGCATGCAACTGCAGACATTGATCAAAGTCAGCACCAGCCCGGGAGTATACAAGATGGTATTGACACTGACAATGATTCCATCCGCACCAGCCTTTGCGAGAACTTCGGAAGCCCACACATATCGAGAGACAAGATCCTTAATCTCAGCCTTCGTCAATGGTGAAGGCTTACCATACGTCTTGTTAAGACATGGCTCCAATTGCTGATCGGACGATGACTTCGGATTCTTGTTCAAAAACTCCGGCACCTGACGCCCCGGAAATTGCAATTGAGGAAGGAAGATCGCGCCCCGAGACTTGGCTGCCTTGACTGCTGGGGCAAATGCCGCAACCGGGTCCCAGGGATTGTTTGGATCCAACACCGCGTTGTTGTAGTTTTCGAGATTGTCACGATGAATCGGGATGTTTCCTGTGCAGATGAGTCCGGCTCCACCATCTGCCAGCTCTGTAGAAGCAGTGACGAGTCAGTTACCGCCCATGTATGTAGGTATTTGCACGGATTGTGACTCAGTGCTCACCCTGGTAAAGCTCCGCATATCGGTCTAGAGGCTTTCCGCAGTTCTCGACATTGTCCTCGTCGTATGTTGAAGCATATTCGCTCAGGGGGGTGCGGTACAGGCGGTTGCGAATCACTTTTCCGCAGAGTTTCAGTGTAATAGGCTGGTCGCTATGCGTTAATAGGCGGTACTGAAGATGTATGTCTGTATAAGACATACCTGAGAGAGAGGGGCTATGTGCGATGCAGACATGATGAACATCAAGCGAAAAGTAAATTAAGGAAGTTGTAGAATGTTCATGAAGCTCTTTTCTTGTGGGGTCAAGTTCATTTTTATCTGTTCGATCTTTACGCTTACAACATCTCGGAATTTGTATAGCTACATCGGGTTAATGAGATCAATATCTCGGAATTTCACAGCCGGACTTTTAATCTGAAGCCCGGACTAAGATTGCGAGGTGCGGGGGGAATCAGTCTGGAGTAAGTACCAATCTCGGAATTACCCCGAGAACCTAGCAACCTGAAATTCCCTCCCGCCACTCCTTCACCATGCGGTGCTTGGATAAAGGAAACCGAAAACGACTTCTTTGAGATTCTAGGAGACCCTGAAATAGGCCGCATCCAGAGGCATGATGGGATAGACCTTGGGCTCGGCATGCCGGAGTAGATCGTGAAGCCCTCATATCGAACACGTTGTTGGGACTCGACTCAGTCGATCAAATTAATTGACTTCGGAGAATCATTTTTATGTACTGTCGCTCCTGCAAAGGATGGTGCGGATGGAATCCCGTACGTACGGTAGGAATCATTGTACTAAGGACGCCCGATGAGCGAAAAGCTTCCGCCTCAGGTACGCCACCGCGCTAAGAATATCCGTCGCTGTTGGCAGGCCTACTGCCTGCTTGTCTCAGACGAAGGGCAGGTTGTTGCTCTGATGTTGTTCGTTGTTGTTCATTTCTCTCTAAGGGGTTCAGGTGGAAGGCTGGGTAACTAGCAGCCTTCCGCCTGACTGCTGACTAAGATACATCACGTGGCCATAGTACAAACAACAGTCGCCTTTTATTCCCGAGAATTTTGGCAACTGCCGCCCCTCCCCTGCGTAGGCGGGGCGACCCGACACTAGGTAGTCTACACTAGTTAGCAAGTAGCAGGAGGTGACGGGTTCCGCCGCCTGATCTTGCTCCAACTTTCTGCTCAACTTCTTTCCTACATCATGCCTGATTTCCGACTTCCGAGGGACATAAAAAATGCCTATATCCGTACAATTCCGGGGTCATCCAGCTGTCCGACAACAACTCGTCCTGGGCTGCATATGGTGCCATCATCACTCTTCTGCAAACCAATTTCCGTCATTGCAAGCACCTCATGCTTATATTTAATGCCGATCCCACTATTAACTCATCGAGGCGCGAGGCAGGGCAGGAGACTGATGCTATGCTAGCCCGGCTTGAGAAGGTATTTATCCGAGCAGATGATCTCCATCGCACACTTGCTCAACAGGGATGTGAGTTTTTGATTTTTCCATCTCCAGCCGCATTCAAATTGTGCCTAGATCAAGCAAAAGAATCAGGTGGGGTCTTCGAAGAGGGTGATAGGGATCATAACCGAGGTGCTGAATCCCGCGTTTGGCGCAGGATTGAGCCACAACTGGGCTATTGGGTTCGATCAAGCTTCCTTGATATGCTTGAAAGGGAGGATATGAAATTTGTGTGACACAAGAATACGGGCATGTAAGGGCCCTGTCATATGGTATGATTGTCTATGTCAAAATGTTTACTCAAATTTTTGAAGCTTTTGGGCCAGTCTGATCCTGACTGACCACCTTCTTGATAGCCGACATAGCCTTTTCGACCCCCTGTTCATTGACATCCTTCTCTACCCAGAGAATTTGCTGTGCAATGCAAACCCGCACTAGAACCTCTGTCCCAGAGACGACAGTCCAACCATTATCCTTTCCACTTGTATATAGCCATGTCACCGGGGACGGAAGATAGCACATGTCCACCACGATGCCCTTGTCACCCTTGTGCAAAATTGTATCGCAAATCTGGCGACACAGAATCTCCCCAGGTTCCCGGGGAACGGTGTTAGGAATTGTCCCAATGACAAGGTACGGAGTCTCCAAGGCTGCAGCTGCCCCAACAGTTGCGATGTGCCGGAGACGGATATCCGGTGCTGTCGACTTGAAGAATTCGATCAACGCGTCGACCTCGGACTTGATGCGGTTTGCGATGTATATCTCTGTGGACCCAAACCATTTCCAGAGAGCAAAAATTGCACTTCTGGCAGCGCCTCCACCACCAATCACCATTGACGGGCGACCCTTTGCCATGATGGGTCCTTGCGGCATTTGATACAGAATGGCGTCACGGATGCCGACACAGTCTGTATTGGTACCGATATGCTTTCTCTTCCCATCTTTGCCGAGTCGGACAAATGAGGTATTGACGGCCCCAATCACTCGTGCCTCTTCGGTCAAATCGTCGAGTAAAGACCGGAAGGTCACCTTGTTTGGCATGGTGATTGTGGTTCCAATGCAGTCTTCCGCATTGAGTTGATTCTGGAATATCGCACCATCGGTAGTCTCGGTGAGGTGAAAGGTCCACGGAACGGAATTGGCACGGAAAAAAATTGAATGCAGCATAGGTGAGAGTGATTTGGAGATAGATCCCCCAAACAGAGGGACACGATATCGCGTCGCTGATATTTGCGAGGGCAATGGGGAGCTGCCATAGACATATGATCGCTCGAGAAGATCCATCTTTGTCGAGATTTGTGTGTAACGGCAGATGCACGAATAAGAGACGCGAAACAAAAAGATTCAAGATGATAGACACCTGCAGGTTGTATCATTTAAACCAGTTATCACCCCGCATTCAACCGTTGCCGGCATATTGATTAAGTGGCCGGTATACTGATTTATCTTCAATTGAAGTGAGGCATCTAACCTCTGGTATCATTTTGTTCATTCCTCACTCAACTGCAAAGCTGGAGATTTCACTCGATCATGACGCAAGGTCCAAAGGTTCGGGTCGCTCTTGTCGGCGGAGGCACCATCGCCCCTTTGCACGCGGAGTACCTCATGTCCTCACAAACATGCGAGCTCGTGGCAATTGTGGATCCATATCCTCCGGGATCTATGCTGGCGTCGGGACTGTCACTTCCGCATTTTGAGTCTATCACGGCGCTTTTGACCTCACTACCGGATGCACCAGAGGCCTATGTGATATGTGTCCCTTCGAGCCTTCATGTCTCTGTAGCCAGAGAAGTCATCAATCGAGCACAACCCAAGGCTCTACTCGTCGAGAAGCCCTTTGCAACAGATTCAAAATCCGGCGCAGACCTACTCGTGCTAGCAAAGGAGAGGGGGTGCAAGATACTAGTTGGGCACCACCGCCGATTCCATCCATCGTTGTCAACTGCACGCTCTGCAATCGAAAGTGGCAAAATCGGAGAGATCACGGCTATATCAGGGATGTGGACAGCGAAGAAAAACGATAGATACTTTTCCGAGGCCGTTTGGCGAGGCTCTCGTTCTGCCGGCGGGGGACCGATTTGGACGAATTTTGTGCATGATATAGACGTCCTGCATTTCCTCACAGGTGCCAAGATCACCCGCATTTGGGCCACCGACACTCTAGTCAGAAGGGAGCACAAGAATGTGGCCATCGACGATACGGTAGAAGAGGGTGCCGCGATCATGGCCCAATTTTCGAATGGGGTGGTTGGAACGTTCTTGGTCAACGACAATACTGCGAGCCCATACGGTTGGGAATCTGCCACCGGCGACAACCCATCATACCCGAAGGCTGAGGTCCCCCTGGATGTTTATCGAATCTTGGGCACGAAAGGGACAATTAGTGCCCCTGACGATACGCTATGGAGCTACAATCCAAAGGTAGAGAATTGTGGCCAGGAAATTGGGTGGCATAGACGAATGGAACGGATTGAACTTCGAGTCACGGAAGGGACTCCATTTAAATTGCAAGCTGAACATCTGGCCAGGGTTGTTCGTGGCTTGGAAAATCATCTTTGCTCGGGGGAGGACGGATTAGCTGCAGTTGCTGTCTGTGAGGCTGTCATTGTGGCTTTAAAGGCCAAGGACGGGCTTCCAGTCTCGGTTTCGGATGTTTCACGTTTGTAGATTACTGTCGATACTGTTAACTCATTGATTATTCGATACATTCCTTCAACGCTGTGGCAATGTGAAGGAGAAATTGCCATCTGTGACCGCCAAAGCTGAGGTCACGTGCCACTTTTCCCATATTTGTTAAACAGGAGTGTCAACAAACAGGGATAGAAGTTTACCCGTCCTTCCAGTGCATTCTGACATTATTCACAAAGGAGTACCTCACTCATAGGATACCGAAGTATCAGGAGCCCCCGGGGATTATGCCAGCCATCAAGGAAGGTGAAAACCGCCGCCGTCAGTCACCTAGACTGACGGAAAGGTCGGAAAGCTCGCAACCAGACCCTCATGAGGCAACCAGCAGCGACGCGACCCCCGACACGACTGAGGCAACCAGCAGCGACGCGACCTCCGACACGACAATCCCGTCAACACAAGCCATTTGCTACGAAGTCAACAAATTGCGGCAAACCTTTGAATCCGTTTATTCGGACCTACGAGAGCGTGAGGACAAACTCCAAAATGCCCTCCTGCGAGAAGAAGAGAGGGAACGCCTGCTAGCCGAAGCACTATCTAAAGCCATCCAAAGGGAGGAAATCCTGAATGTCGAACTTGAAACGCCAGGGATGGTACAGAGTGGAGTATGCTATTCGCCAAAGCATTAACGAGGCGTATCAGTACTTGAGTCTGGACAAGGAGACGCCACGGGAGCTGCTTCGGTATCTGCGTCTATGGCAGTCACCACCAGAGTGTGACCCGACGTATCGAGCGTCATGGAGAAACCCAACAGAGGTCTAGATAAAGACACGGGACCTGACACATGGTTGAAAGTCGATCTTAGTCTAGTCTAAGGCTTCCCTAGGCCATAAACAGGACCTTGGCTTTTTTGTTGTGATCCTCATCACGTTTTCTGTACTTGGAGAAGAAGATCTCTAGTGTCTTGATTTCTTTGAAAGTCTTTATCAGCCGCTTCGTCACAGTCTAGTAACCGCCTTGTCTGGGAGCCCTGATTTGGTGGAGTGGAGCATCGTGTCCTTGGTCTGGGAGTCTCGGGGGCAGTGTGGAGCCTTCCATTTTGCCCGCAAGGCGCAAAGCCTTGTGTTCTTTGACGGCTGTCCCCACACGGTGCATTAAAGAATGCACCGGTTTATGGAGACGATGACTGGCGTCCAACAGCGCGGGGTATTCGATTATCCCCTCATGGTTATTAAATGATTCTAACAACTCGGAAATCATTCAATGGTCCAATTTCTTAACCATGTCATCTTCCTGGCCTCCCTCTGGGGGTAGCCCTTTCGGTATTGCCACATTATCTCTCGGCAACTGGCGAGCACATCGCCTGGAACCACGATTGAAAGCCGCCGCAAAAGCAGGCTATCAATGGATCGACTTGTTTGACGAATGCTGGGCTGCATACCTGGAAGAACACGGTTTACCTGGGGAGGAACTTTGGGAGCCGACTGAGCAAAATCTGAAAATTGCTCGCAAGTTGGCCGCTATCGTCAAGTCCTTGGGAATGCGGATTGCCTGCACTCAGCCTCTCCGAAAAATCGAAGGAATAAAAGACCCAGTCGAACGTCAAGCTACCCTCGATCTAGTCGCCAAACGATTCCCATTCATGCGAGCCTTCGACACTGATCTTGTCTTCATGTGTGCGAACATTCGAGCGGACAATGGAGTGACATCCGATCTCAAGACTGTCGCGCGAGATTTGGCGGAGCTGGGCGACATGGCAGCCGCATATTCGAAAGCCGACGGTGGACGAATGTTGAAAATTGGGTATGAAGGACTTTCTTGGGCAACGCGGAACACATGGTCCTCATCATGGGAAGCTGTGCGTTTCGCGAACCGCCCTAACGTCGGGCTGATCGTGGATTCATTCAACATCCTCGCTGTCGAATTCGCGGATCCATACAATCCTGCTGGTCACGGACGCATCTACTCAACATTGGAGGAATCGCTGGAGATACTTGTGGGATCGCTCGCCTCGTTGGCCTTGACGGTACCCGGTGATCGGATCTTTTTCTTTCAGTGCGGCGACGCGGAACTGATGAACCCAACTACCTTCATCCCTCCCACCGATCCGGAGACTCCAGCGCTACTCCCATGGTCGCGAGGCCATCGTCTATATCCCCTTGAACGCTTGCGAGGCGCCTATATGCCTGTCGAACTTGTCGCGGCTGCTGTGCTTGCCACCGGATATCAAGGTCCAATCTCGCTGGAGGTCTTCAACAATTCATTGAATGAACCGGGTCAGATGATCCCAGATGATCATGCTTATAGAGGGATACGTGGTCTTGGGGCCTTGTTGGAGACTGCGAAATCCATGCCTGCATTTTGGCAAAATCAAGTTGAATGTAAAAAGGCTATCACCCAAGTAATCCAAAGGCTTCAGCCGAACGGGTATAAGCTATGACCAAGCATGTACTATATATGCTATTCACCGTGAGTTGATGATGAATGTGAGTTACGAATGTACTACTTACTTGCATCAACTATTTAAAGAGCCAGTTTTGTACTGTCTAGCTAAAAACAGATGTGATGTCTAGGTAATGAAAGACACTTTGCATGTGAAGTAACAATACTTATACCGGAAACTCTGCATGGATTCCATTATAGTTAAAAAAAGGTGAACAAAAGGAGCACTCTCTGAGAGAAGACATCACTGAGACTTAAAACCGCGCAGTCTCTCTACTATACAATCCTCCATCAGCCAAAATGTAGTCTTTCCCCCTTTCCACCCAGCCCAACTCTGCAGCATAGCTTCGCCTCCTTGTCCCGCTGGCAATGTTCTGACTGCCCACCCATCACTTCCAGGCACAACCGATGGGGTATCGCTGAGTGTGACGGCAGGGCGCTGTTCGTAATGGCTGGCCTCCATTTCATGATGCATCAAAACCGGTGTACAGCAGGCCCATCAAAGATTTGTTCCCATTCCTTGCGAGTCTTGGTGCGGAAAGTCTTTTCAAAAAGAACATGTATGGCTGGCCAAAATTCCCTGTTCTCACGATCTCCTCCCCAGTCCTTCTCACTTAGACCGAGACCTATACACAATGCCTGGAAAAACTTCGGCTCCAAAGACGCGACAGCCATGTATTGCCCAGCATCCTTGCATTCATACACTCTGTAGTATGGGCAACCGCCGTCGACCAAATTCTCGCCTCGGGGCCGATCCCACTGTCCTGGAATTTTGCTCGAAATACGTGGTGCGGTGGCGAGATATGAAACACCGTCCACCATGTTAGCTTCCACTACCTGTCCCTTGCCGGTTGTGACGCGAGCGAATAATGCCAAGGCAATCCCCATGAAGCAAACCAGACCACCTCCTGCAAAGTCTGCCAAGATGTTTCCCGGTGGACTAGGTGGAAGAGGTCGGTTCAAGGGCGGAATTCGGACGGAAGGACCGAGCATCGACAAAACCCCCGAAACGGCCAGATAATTGAGGTCGTGGCCGGCCATTGTCGCGTATTTGCCATCGCGTCGGAAACCCGTAAGTCTTGCGATGATCAGTCGGGGATTGATCTTGAGTAAGACATCGGGTCCTAGCCCCAACTTTTCCAAAACACCGGGGCGGAAGGGATCGATAAGAACATCGACGTGGGAAATGAGGCGTTGAATCAGTTGTGTCCCCGCTGGACTTTTGAGATCGACGCAGATGGATGACTTGCCCCGAATCAGGACATCAGGACTTGGAGTATGCCCTGGTTGGACACGATCCACTCGCAACACATCTGCTCCGTTGTCTGCCAGGAGGAGGCCGGCAAAGGGACCCGGAGCGAGTCCGGCCAGTTCGAGTACACGGATATTGTCAAGGGCTCGCATCTTGGTTGAACAATGACTTTCGCGGGCATGGGATAATGGGAAATATGATCTATGTTGTGGATAAAGAGAGTAAGAGAGTATATTCGAGTAGACAAAAAGCTTCCAGGGTAGCTAGAAAAGTCCAATATCAATGATAGACTGGAATATATGTCCTAGCTGTCGTGACTCGTCGTCTAAATAAATTCCCCGATGGCCCGGGGAGACCGGATCTGAATCTATTCCAAAATTCCGAAATTCACCAGTTGACATTCGCCAAGGGTCGTTTCTCCGGGTTGACTCCGCGATCCCCCTGTCGGAGAAGACTTCTGGGGCATACATGGAGATGAACATATTTTACCCAAGTACGGCCTAGACTTGGAAATTCCAATAAGTTGGAGTCACAACGTGAGGGGAAAGGGAATTGGATTTCGGAATTACATAGTAGGAATTGGGAATTAGGGCAAAGCCGACATCCTCCATTCCGTCGGAATAGACAGTGACAGTGGCACAGAATTGCCAAATGTCGCGGAGTTTCTGCTCCAATTGTTCCGGAAGAGCCTAGTGACAAGCAGCACGTGTCGCTGTGAGATTATTGGGCATTTCGTAGGAGTAGCCTTGCCAGTTGGCGGAAGGCTTGCCAGTTGGCTGGAGGTTCGCCAGTTGACGGGAAGCTCGCTAACGACCCACAAGTGGATACTGACACTGGACAGATATTTTTGTTCATACTTTATTTACTGTACAGATCCGAGGAGGAATTGTATGCTAATCCAATAGGGGCGCATTGCAAGATGATTGGATGCAGGGTACATGTATTCTATGATTCGATACCATGTAGAACCCTTCATTCCTGACAATGTTGTACTGCGGAGAGAAATCGCAGGGGAAGGATATTTCCAATTTTTCTATATGATGACAAACAGATACAAATAGTCTACTTAGACAGAGAACAGTAAGTCCTGACAAAAGCACAGAAGCTCTGGAACTCTACTAGATATTGGCCTTCACTCGTGCAAGGTTGCGCAGTTCCCTTCTCAGCAGCTTGCCGGTTGGATTCCGTGGCAACTGGTCAACGAAAAAGACACCCCCGCGAAGTTTCTTGTACCCAGCAACTTTACTCGCGACCATTCTCTGAATTTCTTCGGAAAGTATCTTGCGGTCCGATGAGAAGACTTTGACTTTCGGAACCACAAAGGCCTGAGGAATCTCCGTGGCTTCGTTGTCGTCCCAAACAGAAGTCACAGCGGCATCGGCAACGTTTCCATGCTGTCCAATAATCTCTTCCAACTCAGTCGGACTTACTTGGAACCTGTGAATGATCAGTGTGACTGGCTCTCACTACTGGCACGGCGGTTGAATCTTACCCTTTGTACTTGATCACGTCCTTGATGCGATCAATGATGATCAAATATCCATTGGAGTCCAGATATCCGATATCACCTGTTCTGTACCATCCTGGCTCTAGCATGGCATCAGTCGTAGATTTCTCATCGTCCTTGTAGCCCCTGCAATCAAATTAGCATCTGGCTAGTGTCTATTGTCACGCACTTAGGGCTAGCTCAGCGTACATCATGATAGTGGGCGATGACACACAGATCTCTCCCGGATCGCCAGGAGAGACATATTTGCAGTTATCGTCAACGAATCGAATCTTGATGTTTGCAAGAAGAGTTCCTGTAGCCACAAGGGGGGCTCCTTTGTCTCTGACACCACTCTGAGACACACAGGATGAGAGCTCGGTGCAGCCATAAGCTGAGGACAACAGTTAGTCAAAGACCAATAATCAAGGGAGCAGAACTTACTTTGGCAAAGGCTAACACCGGGGAACTTGTTTCGAAGTTTCGTTGCAACTAGCGGCTGGTTCTGTTAGATCTTTCATGAGCATATTAGGGACGATGAGCACTACTTACCTTGAGCGGCGCAGCGGAACATGAAAAGTATTCAAGATCGGGGTATGTGTATTTCTCAGTGACTGGAGACTCAGCAAGGCCCAGGGCGACAGGAGGCACCAATCTAGCCAATGTAGCACGTTTCTCGTGTAAAAGCTGTTGGTAGTCAGTCACTTGAATTTGTCAAGTTTTAATAAGGCAAGTCCATAACATACGCGGCAAAATGTCTCCAGGTCGAAAGAAGTCAACAGACAGACATAATATCCGAGCCATGGGCCAAGAAGTGCGCACACGTAAAGGCCGTAAATGTGTGATACTGCCAGGATTAGCATTTTTCGGTCAATACGAACCAGTATTGAGACTCACGGGGCTAGAAGAGAGCAGGTAAGTCACATATTCATTAGTCTTTCTGAGAACAGAAGTGTGGACTTACTGGAAAGAACACCTCCCGCATGGAACCTCTCCAGTTATCTGGGTTATGGGCTCGCAGCTGTTCAGAAATAGCGACAAGGTTGTGATGAGAGAGCATTACAGCTTTCTGTAGGCCGGTTGTTCCACTGGAAAGAACGATCGCAGCACAGACATTTCGTGCGTCTTTACCGTCAAGTACGTATGCCTCCGACTCGATGCGGTTCGAGTGGCCGAGAAGGTCATCAGGGAACTGGTTTCACGCTATTAGTATTTATCCTCGAGTAATATTCAAGGACAACTTACCAAGGAATAACCAGGCTTGCGGTCTATCATTGTCAGAGTACTAGGCATTGTCCCCAGGTTGAGCTCTCCAAGGGCCTCATGTAGTTTTTTGAGCACCACTACATCCGCGATGATGAGTTTTGGCTTCACGACTTTCAAAGCATGCACAAGCTCCTTGGTCGCTGAGGAATGGTTGATTGTGCTGTCCAGCAAGAGTTGTTAGCAGTGTTTAGCAAGTACTTCACCACCGAGACTAACCTCACAACACCCCCTGCTGCCCAAATTGCATGTGTTGCTAGGATGTAGTCAACCTGCTAAATTTTAGCCGGCCATAATGTGGACTTGCATGAAAGAGGAAACACGAACATTGCTTCTGGCAATAATCGTAACGACGTCTCCAGGAGAGATGCCGTGCCGATGTCTCAAGGAATGAGCTGCTTCGAACGCATCACTTCGCAATTTCCCGTATTTCACGTCTTTTCCCGTCAAAGTATCTTCGCATATCACCTTTTGAGGCTCTGTATTGGATGGATTCTCCAACATCAACTGTGTTATGGACCGATCGGTCCGCATATGGACGGTGATATCGGAAGTGATTACAGCCATGGTGAATGTTCAATGTTGATTTGCAAATCAGAAAATTGAAATTGGCTTGCTCCTATTATGGCATTTACTTATAAGTATATGGAATCGTCAATAAAATTACTTACATTGGGTCTGCAAGTCTGGACAACTCCGAATGTTGAAATTCCGATTCTTATTCCGCGGTACCGGAACCAAATCTATATTCCGGCACCTTGCAGCATTTACGCAGACTATTGTTTTGAGAGGATACCTATTCCCCTGTATTTTCTTTTCTTTAGTAAATACTTCACTACGCCCCGCACATTTTCCTTGTTTGTAAGCTTCACGGCAGCCATGGACAACACGACACCCATTGAAAGACAACTTGAGGTGAAACCCGCGAGTGACGCTGGTCCGGATGTGTTCACCCACAGACATACCCTTTGGCAGCTCCAAGGTGCACGAGGAATCTTCGGCGGCATCACCATCGGACAGAGTTTGAGTGCAGCACAAGAAACCATCGCACCAGAATTCGATGCACACTCAATGCATTGCACGTTTGTGAGTGCAGGAAGTGCCACAGAGACCATCTACTACCATGTCGAGCGTGTTCGAGATGGTAAGAGCTTCATCATCCGTGCTGTGAAGGCAATCCAGAATGACCGTACAATATTCCTTGCAACAATCAGTTTTGCTCGTACATCACCAGAGTCGACCACCAATCTCCACCACGCGGAGCCTAAGCCCCCAATGGTGCCGAAGCCGCCGGCCATCGCCTCAGACGACAATGAAGATGTCTCGGGGACCCCCTACATGAATCAAAGTGTTGGAATGACGCATAGCACATCTGAGCCAAGCGCCAAGCGTATGCATCAATGGATTAAGACACGTGGGAAAATTTCGTCCAAGTGGGGCTCGCGGGCACATCTCGCAGCATTGGCGTTTATGTCGGATAGTTATTTTCTCGCGGGCCTACCTCAATCCCACAATGTATGGAGCTTTGTCAATCCCCCAGTTACCGAGTTCTACGACCGTGAAGACCGGCTTGCATTGGCGTCTCCAATTCACACTCCAATTCCCAGACCACATGTTCACGGGGGCCAGACTGTGTCAACCGAGCGTAGGGTCGGAATGATGGTTAGTCTGGATCATTCTATTCACTTCCACCAAACCAGAGACCTAAAAGTCGACGACTGGCTGTTGACAGAAGTCCAAACTCATTGGGCTGGCCAGGGCCGTGGCTTGGTGTCCCAGAAGATATGGGATCAAGATGGCACGTTACTTGCAGCCTGCACTCAAGAGGTGAGTCACACTATTCAATCTTCTGACTTCCCTCCAACTCATCTTTTTCCAAGGGTATCGTGCGACTTGAGCGGCGTTCGGATGACCATAATCAATCCGACGTTGCTTCTAAACTCTGAAATGTTATGTTTTGGTTACAATTTACAAGTTGCCAATAGTTAATGACCTAATTCACTAAGTCCCTTGTTGATAAAATGGTCGGCTCTATGTTCTATTAGTCGAAGGCTGTACCGTTATAACTATAGTAGCTAGAGATCCGGCTGCTTCGTGTAGGGAGGTGTTTGTTCAAAAATCATGCCACGTTACTTGCCCCGCTTGAATACATAGCGTGGGGGTCCGGACTTAATTAGGCATTGTTAATGTCCCATAGAAGGGTGGATGACTCCCGCCTAGAGTGCCCTAGACCCAACTATGTGTAATTTGATTCCGTCGATACTGGCAATATGGGGATTCCAATAGGGAATAAAGTAGCAGACATCTCAAAGCGCGTAAGATCAAAGAGACAGAGGGTATGGACACATGACGTAGATCGCAACGACTTAAACACAGAGTTCAGTAAATGACCGGTATCCATGGAATTGAGTTTGACTTTGGGGTATCCCTGTGGTATCCACTTCCCCGCATTTCGAGGGGTCAAAAACGGGGATCCGGGGCCGAGTCTACCCAATCCTGTAGCTAATCTCATTCCGAATCCGCCAAGCTATTGGGTTCGATAATTCGATTCAAGGCACCTCCAGGCTAAATTGACCGGTCATGGGCCCACATGGCTTTGGTATCCACATCGTCGAGTAAATATAATGACCGGTCCCAAACACCCGGATACACATTCATCTTGCACATCCAATTTAGGCTTATTTTAGGTTCAAACTGCATCTGGCTAGATGTATGTGTTATAATCCCTTGTATACCTAAATACTCAAACATTAGCATTCCACTTTTGTGTACGGCTCTTCAATTGCTCTTCCATTTTCTTCAGAATGCTTTCCCCGCCGCCTAAATCCGTGGCCAACTCGAAAGAGCACGTAGAGAATGTCTCTCTCGACCCCACAGACAAGACGAGAGAGGATAATCCAGATGTCGCGGCCCAGATATTAATGGAACAGGAGGACGTTGAATACACAGCAGAGGGTGAGTACTGATCCCTCCATAATCTCTGTCGATCTAACAGATTAGAACATCGAAAACTCGTGCGAAAAATCGATTGGCGAATTGTTCCCCTCGCGGCTTGGGCTTGCGGTCTACAATTCGTGGACAAAGTATGTACGCGAGCTTTCCATCTTGTCAATTGACTCTGACGCAAAGCAACTATTAGTCTGGTCTCGGTGCTGCCGCGACATATGGTCTTCGCGATGACCTTCACCTAGCTGGACAGGAGTACTCTTGGTGTGTTTCTGTATGACTTCGAACCCAAGTATCTCCAAAGTGCAAGATCGCTAAGAGGTTGTGTGCAGGTATTCTATTTCGGTTATTTGACAGGGTCGTTCCTGTCGGGCCGCGGCCTGCAATATTTCCATACTGGAAAGTTTATGGGTGTTGCCCTATTCATATGGGGCGGTGCCTTACTCGGATGTATTGGGGCCACAGGATTTGCTTCGTTGATGGCTTTGCGCTTCCTCCTCGGGTATGGATTGTTTATCTGTCAACAATGGGGTTTGCAGCTGACGAATGCTAGGCTTTTCGAATCATGCCTTGTTCCTGGACTGTTGCTTGTGTACGTGTCAAAGGCTCTCCGTTGATATGAACTAGAAGCTAATGCCGTGCTCCTCAGGACAACCATGTGGTTAGTGGAATGTCTGACAAGACTCATACTATATGTGCTAACTGATGAAAAGGTATACACAAGAAGAACAGCCTCTCCGGTTCGGGTTGTGGACAGTTACGAACGGTGCCCTTCCAGTACCCTTTCTAGTGATTTATTATGGTATGTCTACCACCAGATGCAGTCCTTCATCACTAACTTGTAACTCCAGGGCTTGGCCATGTCACGACTGGTCCCATAGTACGTTCATCCCCCTCTCAGTCCTGGTCATAGCTAATCTTTGCAGACATCCTGGCGACTCATCTTCCTCACCATTGGACTGCTGAGCAGTCTGACAGGCGTGCTTATGGTACGTGTGCTATTCATTTGAACCAAAGAATCAATCTCTAACTCATTTAGTTCTTATTTATGCCTGACTCGCCCCAATCTGCAAAATGGCTCAATGACCGGGAAAGGGCAATTGCTGTCAAGCGCGTTGCACAGGCGCAACTTGGCGTTAAAAACAGTAAGCTACCCGAGGAAGCTCTTCTATAGAACGCATTGATTGACTTTGGAAGGCGAGTTCAAATGGGATCAGGTGGCGGAAACGTTGGGGGATCCTCATGCGTGGTTATTGATTTTACAGATGTTCTTCTCCCAGACCGCTGGCTCTGTTACGACGAACTTCCTCGGCATTGTGATTAAGGTACATAACACCCCCAAAAGCCCCATTCGTGTCCTCCTCTAACAGATGTAATAGGGCTTCGGATACACTGCCTTGAAAGCACAATTATACACGGCTCCAAATTACGCAGTTCAGGTAGGAACTCCTGCTTCCATCTTCCACCGACTGGAGAACTAATCAATACCAAAGGCCGTCATGCAACTCCTGGTTTCCGGTGCCCCGACACTCATCCCTTACTTTCGCAACAAGAAACAGCCCTTGGCAGTTATCGCCAGCATCATAGGTATTGTCGGCGTCGTTATTTTACTCGTGACTTCCGACGAAAAGCAATACCAAAACCGTCGTCTCGCGGGTTGCATAATAATTTCATTCTCCGGTGTCAACTACACGGTGGTGATGTCTGTAATCGGAGCCAACTTGGCCGGATTCACGCGAAAGCAGGTTGTCTCATCTGCTGCCTTCTCCCTCTATTGCATTGCGAATATTGTCACACCTCAGACGTTCTTGGGGGAAGAAAGTCCACGATATCAAACAGGACTGGCGTTTGTGCTAGCGTATGTCTCACTGGTACAATGTTGGATAATACGGACTGCTAATATGGTGACTAGATGCCTTTCGATATACGTTATTCTTTCCTTGACTACATGGGTAGTCATGCGATTGGAGAATAACCGCCGAGATGCGCGCGCTCAAGAAAATCCCGACTATGTCAGCAATGCACAGGGTCCGAGTATGATCTCAGGACTCGCAGACCAGACGGACATTCAGAATAAACGCTTCCGGTATTCTGGTTGAGTTCAGTACTCATATATACAAGTCGGGTTCCATGTTTAATCATGGAGGATTTGTTATTTAACCTTAACCTAGTCCGAGAATGTTGATACGAGAGTACCTCGCGATATCCATTACAATAGTTACAGATTCCCGTGCTACTAGTTATTATCTCCACGCACAGACCTTTGTGTGAATGACTCTGCTTCGCGTGGTAAAAGTGAGTTCTCGCATGAGGCAGAAGCTTATGGGAAATGCTAGTGGGCGTTTGGTCCTCGGAAGTGTGGCAAAAAGAGTCAGATCTGGGGTAAATGCCTTAACGCCTCAAAGATCACAGATCCAAAGCATGGTCAAGTACACTTTTCAGGTGGCGCCATCGGCTCGGGACATCCGCGGCGGATGTGAACTTGTCCGGAACTCGGCATTTGCCTCAAAATGGCAACATCCGGAGTTAATCAGATAAGCCCCAAAGCTACCAAACTAAAAAAAGACCAACAAAAGCTACAAACAGCTCCGAATTGTTTGCCGAACACTTGTGTAACATGTTTATAAGCGCGTCCGATCCCCCGCAGAATTGATCTTCACCAATTCCATCGATCCGTTTCCAATACAATGACGCGAAACATGGCTGCTACTTCTCTGCGCAATATCATCGTCGTTGGAGGCTCGTTTGTGGGGCGGGTGAGTTTGTTCACTGGTTCTTGCAAGTGTGACTGTTCAGCTAACGATTTATTCAGTCGACAGCTCAGGAACTTGCAAAAATTATTCCACCAACTCATAGGGTATATTTCACCTGAGATTCGTCCCTCGGACTCCTCGCAGTAATGATGGTACTAATCCTTATGGAAGAGCAGATCCTTCTGACAGAGCCTCACAGTCATTTCCACCATCTCTTTACATTCGTGAGCATCCAAAGTCGTAGTACGCCCAGTGAAGAGAGCCAGCTTTACTAACAAATGTATATAGCCTCGTTTTGCTATCGTTCCTGGCCAAGAACACAAAGCATTCATCCCATACAGCGGACTCTTCGCAAATGCAACAAACCCAGCTGCTCATACCGTGGTTCAAGCGCGTGTCACATCCATCCGGCCAGGGTATGTAGAGCTTGATCGCGAGTGGCAAGGCTCAAACCGAATTCCATTCGATTATGTTATCGTTGCGACAGGGACTCGGCTCTCAAAGCCTGCTGCAATGGAACACGACGACAAGCTATCATCCGTCGAGTACCTACAAAAGCATCAATCTGATGTCAAGCGATCAAAATCCATTCTGATCGTGGGAGGTGGTGCAGTGGGCGTACAAATGGCCACTGACCTTAAAGAGTATTACCCAGACAAGGAGGTGACGGTCGTCCAGTCACGGCCTCGTGTTATGCCGAGCTTCCACCCTCGACTGCATGAGATCATTCAGAAGCGTTTCGACGAGTTGGCAGTTCGACTCATCACGGGGTCTCGCGTGAAGATTCCCCCTGGTGGCTTCCCCAATGATGGAACCACTTTCGACGTGCAGCTGACGAACGGCACGACGGAATCTACCGACTTCGTCATTCTGGCGACGGGGCAAACACCCAACAACAAGTTGGTCGCAGATTTGGAACCATCCACACCTGAAGGTCTCTCCGTGATCAACCCAGATAATGGGTTCATTCGGGTTCGACCGACAATGCAGTTCCTCGATGAGAAGTACTCGAACATGTTCGCTGTTGGAGATATTGCCGACACCGGGGCGCAGAAGGCAGCGCGACCCGGCGCAGCCCAAGCTGCTGTGGTGGCAAAGAATATTCAGACATTGATTGAGGGAAAGCAACCCGAAGAGAAATTTATCAAGGGTCCTGGGGCTATCCACATTACCCTGGGCATGGTAGGTCAGACCAAATGCCAGCAAAATACACAATGGATCAAAGCTAACGTGAACGGCGCAAACCAAGAAATACAACGTGATTTTCCGCAACCCGAATACCGCAGAGGGTCAAACTGAGCCTTGGATCAATGAGAAGAATGGGTGAGTCGCCCATTTGCGTTCGAATTTGATATGAACATGCGTCTAACATAGTGCGTAGTGGCCAAGAGGACATGAATGTGGAGGCCATGTGGCAACGAATGGGAATTTATGTCAACAACCCGCGTCAATATCACCTCTGAACGGAGCTTACGACACGAGGGATGGGCCTTACCTATAGACAATACATAAGATAACGATTTTCCTTTGATAACAGCCGTGGGTGCAGAGTTCCAGACGCGAGTTTGGCGAGCTTTCCGCCAACTGGCAAGTCTCCAGCCAACTGGTAAATCTTCCGCCAACTGGCAAGGCTATGTCCAAACGGTATTTGCCACGAAGATGGACATCAGAGCTACCTACAATAGACCAACAATATTTGAAAATAAATAAAGGTATGAGAAAATCAATTTATTCAGAGCTAGCATTATTTTATTCATAAGCCCCAGAGAGGAGAAGAGAGAGGAGAGCGAGAAGACAAGAGAAGAGAGAGAATAGAGAGCTTTGTCCAACCAGGTCCCCCGGAAGCTGCTTGGACAAGCGAAGGTGTCTCTGCTGGATGACTCGAGCTGGTGAAGATGACCACAAGGGTAAGGAGCTGTAAGGCGTGCTCAAACCAGCGGAGTGAGTGTCGTACTGTCGTCCACAAGAGGTTGTTTAGAAGGTGGAATCGCCGACAAATTGGGAGTGACAGATGTTGATCACAGACCAGCCCTGAACGAGGTTGTTCTCTTGTCCTTTTTTTGTTTTTCAAAAGGGGGGATGGGAGCCCGGCCTGTGGACTCGTCAGTACTGTTGTCTTAAGGGGGACAATGAATTGACTTACATGGGCAGTATCCCAATAAAGATTTCGACGCATTTTGTAGAAGCATGAGCCTCTACTCAGCGGAGACGACTGTGGGACTTGTAGGTTGTCCCAATCAGCCGTTGTTCTTCGTCGCTTCCATCCGGCCTCGAAGGGGTTGACAGGTTGTAGTTGTTGTAGTTGTTGTCTTGGTTTTTTTTCTTTTTTTTTTTTTTTTTTTTTGTTGTTGTCTTGGGCCGGCAGCGTACTGTGTACTTGTCAGTGCTGTCCAGTACCTCAATCTCCGAACTCAGCCACCATCAGAAAGCTTCCGAGGACGCATGAGACGGGCTCTACCTACACAGCTTGTATCAGCAAACTGAGATGACTGTGGGACGCCCCAGAAGGACCAAACAACCCTCCGAAGAAAAGTCATCCTTCTGGATTGTCCCAACCAGCCATCCAGTTCACTGATACAGGTCCAACACACCGTCAACGCATCTAGACTTTACGTCGTCGATGACGGCGGTTGGACCGCTGTGTAGGAGCGCCGCTATCTTGCGAACCCGTACCACAGTCTTCAGGGGGATCAATGCCCACTTCCATCGTCCATGGGCAAGGGAGACGGAGAAAGAGGACCACTGTGCAGTTCCTGCTCTGCCAGAGGAGCAGGAAGGACCGGAGCCGAAGCCGATAAAGGCGTCGAGCTCGAAGACGCCGCGAGAGGTGTACCCCGAGCGGAAGAGGCTGGAACAGTAGGCCTGGGAACCGCCTGTTCAAGTTCCTTCGCGCTCGCCTCGAGTAATCTCTCTTTGTAGCGACGTCTTTTCGCTTGCGACGGTCGGTTCCTTCTCTTCCCTCACCTGGGGGGAACCGTCACCTTCGATTTCCGCACTGGTCACACTCTGAGCCCCACCCGAAGGCGAGGCATCGTCATGCTCCGGTCCATCCATCTCAGGTCCGTTCCCGGGGGGACCGCCACCTTTGATATCCGCACCGTTCGCACTCAGAGCCCCATCCGAAGGCGAGGCTTCCTCATGCTCGGGTGCATCATCCATCTCAGGTGCGTTCCAGGGATGCTGGCAGAGCAGTGTGCCATCGTATGTCTTGGTGGTATCGCAGGTCGACTTCCTGTCCAGTGCCTGCTCACCCCCCACAGAGATCCGGTGAACCCAGACCCCCCCAGAGTGAGGGAGAACGGACACGTGAGACACGAAGTCGAGACGACTGTTCGCGGCCAAGACCCAAGCAAGAGTTTCGTCCTGGATATCCATTGCGCCGGCGATCAGAAAATCCAACTCGTGGTACAAAGTTGGATCTCCCTCGGCCACAAACTGCACACGTGCAATTTGCGGTTGGCCCTCAAGATAATCCAGTGTCCACTCAGCCAAGGCCCGGACACCAAAGGAAACAAGTCGCCGTGTGTTAGCAATCAAGGCCATGGGACCTTGGAGAAAACACCAGACAACGAGACACAGCAGGGGAACAAAGAGACCTTGCCCGGGTCCTGATTCAAGCGTGTGGATGTCGACAACTTCTTCGGGAACAGAAGTTGTCACTCCGACGCTACACCAGACCAATCCCGGGATGGGTACCATGGAATCGGTTGGGAACCAGGACGGCATGGTTACCGTTTCGGGACTGATTTCCAAGTAATCTGTGGTGTTTGCATACCCATGATCGTCTGCGGGACTCACAACGGCAGTATCACCAGCGTGAGTATTACCGGAGTGAGAACACTGGGACATGAGAGTGTCCCCAGCGCCACAGACGACCCAAGAATCCAATGTCAGCTGGAAAGCACCAGACAGACGCTGCCGGAACGACATCTCTGGAACAGTGAACCCCGGAATGGGGCGCCACTGGCTCCAGAGAGTCATACCCAAGAAGATCCCTAGGAAAGGGATCAACAACATTTTTTTTTTCTAGAGAGGGAAGATTAAGACATTAGTATATACTTCATACACCTCAAACGAAGGAGTAAGGGTAAATGGAAGGGAGGGGAAGGTAATGGTAAGGTGTCATAGCTGTCATCACATCTCAACATAAGTGAGGGTAAGGTGAGGTAGGGTAAGGCGAGGTAGGGTAAGGCGAGGTAGGGTAAGGCGAGGTAGGGTAAGGCGAGGTAGGGTAAGGCGAGGGTGCTCTGATGTGGGGGACATACTTTGAAAGGATAGGACGGAAGTTGATGAGAAGATGCGAGCGAAGAAGAAGCAAGTCACAGCTGGAAAAGCTGTGAGTAGAATCAGAGTGGTAACTTGGAGAGAGAGAAGAAGAAGAAGAGAAGAGGAAGAAGATGGAAAAGGATGGGGATTATATAGACATCATGATCTCTCAAAAGGGAAGGGACCAGAAGGCAGCAACTCAGAACAATAGCAAACATCTCTCTCGTTCGTTTGATGTGGGTTCACTTGCCTACTTCCTGAAATGGCAGTAGCGAGGTATCTGTCCACATGACGAGTCCTTTCACAATGTCCCAGAGGCTCATGGGTATTGGGTCCTTCGCCTACAGATACAGCTACTTGTGCCTCCGTTGAACTTTTCATATGGCTTGATTAATCTTATATCTGCCTATGCACATTGTAGATTCACAGTTATTATAGGCATCGTATTTAGTAGGAGATTTTGAGGCTGTAGTCAATGCGACACAGACAGCCCCAGCTAGTCAATCCATGACCATCACTACAAGCTGGTCCCACATAGGTTGTGTACTACTGTTCTCATCTTTGAGAGGCTCGCAAGCGTTTATCATGGCTCTCTGTGTCGTATCCTCGATCTGTTGCCGAAGGCGTCGACGAATCACCCTAGGTAAGGTATTTGGGCCTCCGCTTCATGTGTGGACCAGATCCCCTCAAGTCGATGCCCATGCCCTGTCACCCCAGTTCACAGTGTTTTACAGTGCGAGACAAGTTCTAAGCTGACTACTTATTGTTCAAAAAGCTCATCATTCAACCGCGTCAACGGCCTCCTGTTTAGTGAAGCGATTACTGATACCCCGAGCTTGACACCTTGACACCTTGACACGCGTCAGCTGGCCAGACCTGTGCCAGATTGGATGGACCGTTTCTGGATACCAAGATGCCATGGGCAGCTAAGAAGAGTGCAAAATGTACAAGGCTATAGGGAATCCAATTCGACACATGAAGCCTAGTGTCTTCAGACTATGGAATGCGTCTGACGTCTTTTGGGGGCTCCAATACTCCTAGGCAGCCCAAGCGCCTCAGCATAGCAACCCCGGTGGCACGCTACAGCCATTGACGTATAAGGGTACCGTTAGTGATAGAACTCGGCGCCAGGGAAGTGTTGACATTGCTGGAGCCTGGGGCTCATCGGATAGGGTACGCGACTACTCTGCGATAACGAAGGAGCCATCGTGAAAGTAAAAGGGAAGAATACAGAAGAGTCCGAACGCCTTTAACATACACATTCGTTCAATCTCAGATATTCCCAGACTCTGGGTATGGCCAGAGATTTCGAAACAGCTCCTTTTCTTCTTCATCCTTTCGCCAGCCCAATGAAAATATCTTTGAACTTACGATTATTTTCACGGGCCACATCGTAGTCTTCGGGCTCAATCATCCCATCCACAGGGAGTACAGCTTCCTCTCGGAACAGTACCAACATACGCCCGACCCCTTCGACATTTTCCTCCTCCCTGGACTGGAGCTCAATGTCCTCGCTGCTGAAGTCGATCGGGCAAGGGGTGTCCGGGAAAAGGTCGCTCCAGTGAGCTGTAATTTTCAAGAGCGATTCGCGGAGAAAGAACAAGTCTCGGTTTTCCCACACTCCGCTTACTAGCCAAACAGGTTTCCGGAGGATAGGGATCCCCGGTCGCTGGAGCACAGCCCAATGAAGAGGCGCTAGCTTATACACTTGTGTCTCGTAGTATTTGTGAATCGTCTGGCTCTCCAAATCGTCGTCAACCCGCTTCTGTTCGTCTTTACTCATGTTCTCAAACCCTTCCGGTCGTTCAGGGACGACCCAGCCTTCCGGAGTAGCAGGATGTCTACACATCCTGGGAACACCAGATTGATAGAACAGTGGAGCAACGCACGCTGATTGCCAGTCCACGATGCGGGTGATTTGACAAGTATCTGGATCAACGAAAATGTTATCCAGGTGAAGGTCCGGATGCCAAAGGACGTTGGCAGAGGACGATTCGTCGCTTGGCTGGGGGACAAGAAAATAGACCTTCCTTCCCATTGGCGGCCCAATCAAAATCAAAGAGAATAATCTTGTCTGTGTCGGGGTCAATAAGCAAATTGCGTGGTGCAATGTCTTGGTGCATAATCCCTAATTCTAGGTTCAGAAAATCCACCAGTTGAGTAAGCTGCTGTAGCCATTCAAATCGGAATGGTCTTTTTGGATTATCGATCAAAAAACCAACTGCTGCGTTTCCCCGTCGCTTCCTGCGATTGTACACCCGCGACGTTCGCGTTCGCCGGTCCGTCGCCACCGCCACGTAGCGGCTTCGCGATACGCGACCCACCGAAGCTGAAACTCGCATTCCCATCCATGCTCGGTAGCCCGCGGGTGGATCCTTGCTTCGCAGCTTCGAGGCGCTCCTTGACAGCCGTGAGTTGAGCTTCGAATCTAGGTAAGTTATTAGTATTATTTGTATTTTATACAGAACAGCGGTCGCGCGAAAGGACATTGAAACCGCAATAAAGAGAAACCCGAAAACAACGCTCAAAACAATCCATTAAGTCTCAGTCTCGAGGTGTTTCTAATTTAAACTAAAGCGGTGGCGATCGTAATCCTCCGACAGTCCGGCGCCACCTTTTTTTGACGTATCCCTTCTCTTATCAATATTGGAATATACGCTCTGTACACAGTAATTCAAAACAATAGCTGGAGAAAGACCACCAACGGTAGTAACATACCGCCCGCGGGCGCCTCGGTCCGCAAGGTAACAAGGTTCTGCACCCTCCAACTCGCCGCTGTACAAGAAGCTCTCCCCGTCGGAGATCAAGATGCGCGAGGACAGCTACAAGCAGCGAGAGGTCTTCATCAAGAAGAACCCCATAAGAGGAAACCTTCATATACTTCTCCAAGAGTGAGATACCATCTTCGGGAAGTTCTCGGTTCTGGGTCGACCCGTAATAGTTCATTCGAGGAACAGCATATGTCTTGATCCACATCATCTCATTGCGGCCGATCGCACTGGTGTATTCGGACGCATCTTTCCCTGCACGAGAGAGTGGAAATGTTAGAAACGAATGGAAATTCGATAATTCACCTCCTTACAAGGGCCACGATCCAACCTCATTTCCCTCCTACTCCCAGTCCACAGTTCGTTCGTAGTCAACGGCCCGATGGAGAATCGTTCAAGGACGTCGGATCCAGCACTCTGTGTATGAATCGCTTCTGATTCTCCGACAAGTGAGCGCAAGTCTTCCTTGAAATAAATGCAACCGTGCTTGTCAAAGGTGACGGCGGTCAACTTGTTCTCCATTTCAACAACTTGGCTTATTAGTTGAAACTTGAAGTGCCGAGGCCACCCATTCCAGACAGAACCCAGTCGTACACCAGGAGCTTTCTCCTCAATGATATATTCGGCCCCGACTGGATTGTTCGCTGCATCGGACGACCAAGACAACACCCGAGGAACAGGAATATTGAATAAATCACGAAGCTATCCATTTAGTGATGTGATAGCGGCTAGGGGTCACCGAACAGCTTACCAGCTCACGTGTGGCGACCTCAGAAGCAACGGAAAAATGTGCAGGTCCTGCGTTGGGATTCGGGAGTTTTGCGAAGACCTCTGACCCATTATCCATCTTCAAGATGAAGGCTTTATTATGCAGACCTTCCACACACTTCGGTGATTCTGGTGCCTGAACAGGGTTAGCAATTAGATCTTGCTGGTCTCGACGTGACCAGAACACACAGTACTGTGCCCCATCGCAAACATTAATTGCGATGTCCAGAAGTTGTTGCAAATTGAATTTCAAATAGCGTTTTGCGAGTTCGTATTCTTCGTTAGATCTGAACTGAATGAGCCGCTGTCCAAAGATGGCGAGCCAATCTGCTTACAGCCATCGATGTCTAGTGTATCGATACAAGTCTTCTTCGGGGATTCTTTGTTCTATGAGAACCGCATCAATCACTCGACATACTCAATTCATGAGATGACAGCTGCAAATTCACCTGAGCTATTCTGTGTTTCGAGGTAAAAGTCCGGCTGGCGCGCTGTTGCCTGATGCCCAGCTGGTCGAAAATATGGAAATAATCTCATGTTTTGAGAAAAGTAGGGGACACGAGGCTTCCCATATATCTTTCGGTTAACGAGCCCCCGAAGATTGCTGGGGAGTCTAATCATCGCTATCGGGGATGACAGGGTGTCGTTGGTAGGGGGATGGAGCGTTGGCCTTCCTTTGGGGGATGGCTGCAGGTCATGTGGAGACAGCCTGTACCCGAAACCGCCTTAATCCGTACCGGGTTGCTCTAGGAACAACCCCTGGCTGGCCGTATCGCGAGTTCAAACATATTAGATTTCAGTGTCCAATGAGTCATTGTAAATTACTGTATCTCCCCAGGCAGATCTGGTGATCTGGCTTGATCCATGCCCATAATTAGCTTTATCTATTCGAAGACAGGATTCTCCCTCTGTGCACTCACGTCGGTAGCCATCCGCCTTCACCCACGCGCATACGAGCCGCTACTATTATAGATGAGATCAAATCCTGGTACGCGCACATGTTTCTACTTCCCCGTAACTCCAGCTCGCTACTACGGTTTTCATCTGTCACCCTGTTTATCCCCAGCCGGCAACTCTCACCCAAGCTGACACTGACATCCATAGCTCCGATCGTCTATCCATATTCGCACTGTTAACTACTGGTCTGACTCGTCAAAATCCAGCTCTATGATCAAGCTCCGGAATATCGGGCCCAGCGAGTGGGAACTTTGGAAACATGAAAGACTAGCCGCACTTGCGGAAGCACCACATGCATTCCATTCAAAACTCGTCGAGTGGGAGAATATGCCGGAACAACGGTGGCGTGCCCGGCTCAGCATTCCTGGTGCTTACCAAGTCCTTGCTTTTCTCGACGGCAAGGCAGTCGGCATGGCCGGTGGGCTTCTTGCTGATGAGCCGGAGGTCGCTGAACTCGTGTCTATGTGGGTAGCTCCCGCAGCACGGGGCCGTGGAGTCGGGGATGCACTGATAGCTGCTGTTGAACAATGGGCCCGCGGCACTGGCGCCTCTAGACTCAGGCTTGAAGTGGTAAAGCACAATAACCCAGCTCGCAGCCTTTACATCCGTAACGGGTTTGTCGATGTTGAACTTGAACATGATGAGCTGGAACTAGGTAATGGGTGCTTTAATCGGGTTATGTTTAAGCAATTGCGGTGCGATAAATCTATATAATGTGGGACTTCCATGGAAGGTAGATAATGCCCAGAAGCAATAAAGCAGCACCTAGGTAGTTTTAAAACAGTGGCAGACGATACGCGAGATGCCCGCTTTGAACCTCCGTTGAATCTCTCCAATACCCTGAGAACACCTATTTCCTATTCTGCATAGAAATGGTATGTGAATAAAGGACCCTGTAGAACAGATGTGACTTGTCACCCGTGGGTAAGCTAAAGCTGGTGTAGCCTCCACAGAAGGCGTACACAGTACATTATTGGTGCAATCACAGACCCTCGGCATCATGATTTTCCGGACGGTGACCTGAAGCTAACGCTCCATCGCCCTACCAACAACACCTGTGACCTGCCATCCCCGATGATAGGTTGATTTGTGGCCATGTCGCTCCGGCTTCTGTCGCTATGACACTGGACAGTGTGACAGGCCCTCCTTTTGTTCGGACAGCCGCAACGGGCGAAGGATCCGCGACGGTTGCGACGGTTGCGACGGAGGGCTTGGCATTGAGAACAAGAGGTGGACGATGTGGATTCAGTGGACGTTGGCCATTGGACATTAATGGCAGAATTTGTTGTAAGAGGAGAATGTGGTTAATAGTTATGTGACGTCTCTGTTTACATACTGGTTGGCAGTTGCTGGGGTCAGAACAGGTGAATCAAAAGGTGACATTTGCGCGTAAGACCTCCGCGATAACTCGTAGCGCGATTGGGTAGCAAAGGCTGGAGCTTGCCGACCGGCAAGGAATGAGCCGAGAGCGCAGGCCATGGAAGCAGGGTTTCGGGAGCTGAATGCGTCCCAGGCACAAAGCTCCCAGATGCAAGTGCTCAGCTCCTCAGGGGGGTCTCACAGTTCACCTAGAGGCTCCGCAACCCACAACAGGCCATACCGCAACCGCTAATTGCGACTGCGACCTCGAGTCACCACGCCTCCGCCCGGGCCAGTGTCGAGCCCGCCTCGTGCGCCGATTCGCCTACCAAACCACCAGCAGAGGCGCCGAAATATCAGATGTGCCGCGCGTTGAAGACAGTGGAGTCGTCGTGGCGCGAATGGACAGTCAGCCTGCAAGGGCGCTCATCCAGTGAGGAGCTAGATCGGAAGTGGGAGACGAAGTGGAGGTCGGACAGCCAGAGCGAGCTGCAATGGTCCTCGCTACGGCACGAGGCTATTCGAGAAATCAAGCGAATAGCGTCTGCGAAGCGAGTACCATTGTAGCTCACTCTGCCTGTCTGTCCTCCACTTGGTCCCCCATTTCCAATCTAACACCTTGTCTTTCTCCGTAAAGAGATGATTCTTATAGCAAATACGTCTTTTGGGAAGAGCATGCGTATATACAGTACTTAGCTGCCTTGACTTCTTCAGGAAGCTTTGCGGAAATGGTATCAGCATTGAGGAAGCAGGGCCTGCCACCAAGGTTTCTGATATACTCTGTTTGCTCAAACCAATCTGGTTCAGTGGAAGCACCATTTCCGCAAAACTTCCCGAATGAAGAAGTCAAGGCAGCGAAGTATACGCATGCTCTTCCCAAATAACGCCTCGCTATAAGAATCATGTCTTTATGGACAAAAGACAAGGGGCTGAAGTGCCTCTCGCTGACCGTTCCATTGGGGGAAGGTATAGATTCCTTCAGTGGCTTCAATGATGGCAGTGTTCTTTTCCATCTCCCCTTTAACTTTGGCTTCTTGGACAATTATAGTACAGAGCGAGGGTCTGAGACCCTGTCGAGGTTTCCAGCTCATCCCCTGGGCCTTGTAAACGGTCATTGCGAAGGAGACCCGCATGGGGAATTGCTCCCTTGTCATCATGCGTGAATACCCCGGAACCTCGTACCCGAAGTTGCAGCGGCGGATGGGCCACGCACGCTGTTCACGGGAGGCATTCACAGGCCTAACCATCACGTGGTCGTCCACATTTTCGAGTTCATTTTCGACTTCAACAACCATACATCGGGTACCATTGCAAAGACCGTGTTCCACGTCGACATTGCAAAGGAGAGTGATTGGGACGCCGACCTGGCAAATGGGTATTAGTTAGGGGTGAACTAAAGGTGGATAATTAACTAACTATAGAGAATTTACCTTTAATGTTAACCTGTGGGGCGGCAAGTTGGGAAAGTCGCGGCGGAAGTCGGGCGAAATATCATGGCGGATATGGGCAGAGTCAGCAGAATACATGACACGGGTATCGGAAGACATCGTATGGCAAGTGCCCGGAGTACGAGGCAGGAGGTCGCTTCAAAAGGAGGAATGAGAGAGAAGGGAGAAGTGAGTGGAGTGGAGGGGAGGGCAAAAGTAGGGAGAAGTGGTGGATGAGAGGGACGAATGAGCGTAGATGGGTTAGACGGCAGAACTACTCGTAAGCGGTGAAGGAGAACTATGACTTGTTCATACGAGCTTTTGCGGAATGGCCGCCAGACGTCTCTACAAAGACAAGCCTTTGCTGGTTTTGAATTCTGTTCGTGAGAATTATCTCATGGTCCCATGGATCCACTTTCAATCACACCATATTTGAAATCACTGCAATGGACATGGTACTGTAGTATTACGATTGCGGTCTGCTCGACACAGTCAATTTGCCAATTATGGACCTTGATCAGATCGGTGATGCCATATCTTGTCTCAAAGACACTTTGACTGACCTCAAAATCATATGCGATGTTCAACTGGGAGGCAACGATATAAATCTCCCTGGCATAAAAACAGACGGATCATTGAGCGCAATGGCCACTGTGGACAATCTCAAGACGCTTCAAGTCCCATGGGCATTCCTCGTAGAATTTGCACTAGACAGAACGAAACGCCTACAGAATGTGCTTCCAAGAAATCTTGAACACCTGACTATTATCTATTACTTATGTCTACAGAATGATGAGCACATGGTACGAGATTGGCCTGAATTCGAGTGGCAGGATCACACAATTTTAGACGTGCTGAAATCATGGCTTGATGATCAAGACTTCACGTCGAATCTTTGCAGGATTACACTGGGACTAGGTAGTTAGATACGAAACTGACGAATATGGCTGGGAGCCTGAAATGAGGCAGCAGCTCGCAGAGCTGGGTGCTCAAGCTGGAGTTGTATTTAACATCATCTTCACAGATGAGATGTAACCAACATGCAGAGTTTGTCAATTGAGGTGTTTGGAACTACTTAACAGTAACATCATCCGCTCCTCTATGTCTCGTGTACGGCTGGGGATATCTGACATATGAAGGACTTGGCATTGGACTTGTAAGAAGTCCAAGCACAGGACAGCACAGCAGGTATATGTCCATGCACATAAGAACATCCAGAAGCTGTCCAGATGCGAAACGCAATGTATGCTTTTACAAGCCACGGCTGAAAAGCTCCCGACCAATCTCACCGCTGCGACGGATACTCTGGCTCGACGAACTGCTGCGTCGGCGACGGCTACGGAACTCGGCGGGGTCGGCCGGGTTCAGCCCGCTGGCACGGGCATGTAGGTTTAAAATGTCAGTCAGGCTGACTACTCCGACTAAGCGTCCGGAGAGCCGCGCTCCGTCTAGGCCCGATGAAGGGAGAGATTGAGAGATGGACGATGGCACTGGCACCGGCACGCCTGGGGGTGGGTATGAGTAGGGTAAATTGGGGCTTGGTAGGTGAGGAGCGCCGGATTGGGAAGGTTGTGCTAGTGGTGCCACTGGTGTGGTGAGAGGGGACGGGGGTGGAGAGTTTGCAGTATGCGATCCGGCAGTAGTTGCGCTGATGCTACCGGTAGTAGGAATATGTGCGGAGGAATGTGATGGGGTCGGCGGTCCTGATGAAGCGGGAGATTGGGGATCGGTCACCCAGAGTCTAGAGTAGAATCAGTATAGCTTTCCCTGTGTTGATCGGGGCGTACTGTAGTTACCGATGTGATCGGGTTGCCACAATCTTTGCAACTGTATGAGCCAGTGTCGATCCAGGATTCACGTGGAAGACTGGGAACGAGTCTTTACCCTCGATCAACCCCCGGGTGGACAGAATCACCGAAATGAAGTGAGTGCAGGTGTTTTGAAGAAGCGGCAGTGAAGAGGATCGAGTCAAGAGCTGCGAAGTGGTCAGGGAAGTTCGTAACCTAAGTCAGCTCGTCACTAACCTTGACATCTGCTGTGGAAATATTGCCAAGCACATTTAGATGGTTATCAACGACGACGATCGACGATACGCCCTCGTTGTTCATCGCATGAAGGGCATCAGAGAGGGGTTGATCGCCGCTGTGACACAGTGACGTGAGATTAGCCTGCAAAGCCCAACAAGTCCTGCACATCAATACATGCAACTTACTGGATCGAGATCACTTCATGAGACCCGATCGCCAGCTCACGCAAGGCTTTCGGATACAGCTCTTCAATGACCGGGAAGCTGCGGCCATTCTCCCAGAGGAATTTTACCAATCGGAATTGACTGAAGATGCCAACCACTTCTTGATCGTTCGACTCATTGACCACCACAACCCGGTGAACACCTCCACCAAATATCTCAACGGCTTTTAAAACATTAGCCGAAGTGGGAAGCTTAATCAACGGTTCCTTCTCCCTGCCAAACTTCTTGACATCGCGCAGTGGAATCGGTACGCCAGCATGAGCTTTCTTGGCCAGCTCTTCGTACGACGCTCGATGGGCTTCGTCCGGAGTAGTTAAGCCCGCTGCCAGCAGAAGATAGGAATTAAGGTCTGCGTAGTCAAACGTGCCGATGGCAGAAGTGGAGTCAGGAGTCTCGCGAATCAACAGCACGGCTGCGCCAGAATCAATGAGAATCTAGATGAACAAGCGGGTTAGTACCGAATACAACGAGTGTGCCTCGTGGTGTACCCACATTTGTAGCTTCTTCAATGCCCGTATCGAGTTCCACAAATTTTAAATCGCCTGGAGTCACCAGTTCGCCGATCGATATCTCGCGCCAATCACGACCAACAAAGGCCGGGTCGCTGGGCTTTGGTGGCGGAGGATTGTCAATGAGACTCTGGAGAGCGGATTGTGGGAGGGATGGTTGGCGGCGCGCGCGCGGAGAACCGGGCGGGCCACGAAGGGCCTCGCTCAGGCTTTGTCTGTGCTGGTGATTTGCTGGCGGCATGTGCGAAACGCGGAGCTGGCTTCGTGTGGAGGGAGAGCGGGAATCGATGCTGGAGCGGGGAGAAACAATGGCCGATTCATTGTTGAGGGAGGGGTCGGACCCTTCACGGGAGTGCGGGTTGTCTGCCATGAAGTTCGAGGGTCTCCGCGTTCCAGGTGATTATCCAAACGGCAAAGAGAAAGCTCATCAAGACGTTGTAAAAATGCAGGGTGTTTGCTTGATTGTATTGAGGTCATCAGGTGATGTTGATCATGTTAAGCGGGGTTGATCATCGCACCAATCAGCGTCCACTTCTTGGACTTACGCTGACATCATTGGATAAGTCATCAGGCATGTTCACCTCGGGCAAGATCGATAAAATAATCAAAGGATATCTAGTGTTCGGTTCTTCTTGACGCTATGTATGTAGAAGCAATGGCTAAGGGAAGCTCACAGGAGCTGAATACCTCGTGCCATTAGCCAATCCGGCATTTCTATCCCGTCAGAAGAACTCGTTCAAAGTCTTCGAGATGTCAACAGGTCCTCTCTCCTTCATGATTGCTCGCTTAGCAGGACGACCACTGCTTTCTGGTGGTTCACGTTTCTTCGTTTTCTCACACTGCGTATTCTTAGCATCATGCTCCAGCTCCATGGGACTTCGTGTGAACAAGAAAGCTGCTGTTCCTTTCTCTTTAACGTTTTTTCCCATGTAATCGGCACGTTGTGCTTTTTGGAGTCTGAATTCCAAGATGGGGAGCTCCGTATCCACGGACGATGGTTTGCTTTCGGCCGTCTGGAGACTCTTCTTGTATAGATAAAACAAACTCGAGAGATGCTCATCGATCATTTCTTCAGTCCAGGGGTATTTCCTGAACCACTCGAGTCGGCAGGCTGACCATCCCTCCATGGGGATGGGATAGTTTCTGGTCCTGTCTCTTGCAGAGTCCACCTTTGGTATAATGTTACGACAGTTAAATGCCACAATGAGCTGAAGCTCTGGTAATCCACGCAAAGCCCTCAGCGTCGCAATGGTTATCTGATTTTGGTTGCAGAACCTGATGACACGCAGGTGCTGTAGTGCGTTGGATTCGACCCAGCCACGGACAAATCCGTCTTGTAAAGGCTGTCCCTCATTGGCCAAGGAAATAGAAGGCGGAAAGAGGAAATTTTGTACCTGGGTGCAGATGTCTAGACCAACCAAGTTTTTGATTTTCGGGATGGCGGCTATCTCTGTCGCAGAACAGAAATTAGTTCCGACTGTCAGGACTGCACGCCAGCGGATATCGTCATCATTGAGGATGTCCATGTACTGGGTTAATGGCTGTCCTGGAGACCAGGCATGGAGGCAATAATAGGGACTAAGCTCGCGAAATTGCTCGGGATAGACGGTGTGCATTATTTTCCACATGTGCATTGTCTGCTTGTTGCTGCATGAATGATTAGATTAGAAAAGAAGCATGCTGAGTATTTTCGGAGGTTCCGATTGATAACCCACCATCTTTCGAGGCAATTCCAGAGGTATTCAGCTAGATGCCAAGGGACATGGTCGAATAATTCCGGCGCCAGTAATGACTGGTCCCGCAACACTTCTTTCATCGCTGCATGTTTGAGAGTACCTGATCCTCGATCATTTAATGCTTCCCACCCATAAGGCAAATAAGGGATTTCATGATACCAAGTGGGGCCGAGGCGCAAGAATTGGGGGGGGCTCTGGGTCACCAAGGTAGATAGCTGGAGACATCATAAGAGACAATTATGACCAAGGTGAGGCTTCAATTTGGTGAAGTTCAAAGTCTCAAAGAGATACTAGTAGGCTGTAGGTTGTTGTGCGCCCCATGAACATAATTTAAGCCGAGGTTGGTGGAATTGTGCGAAGGGAAGGTCAATAAACAGCTTTATCGAAGCTGGTGCACGTTGAGTCGTTGACCGATTGATTGCACGTGACTAGTTATAGGGCAAGAGTAGAAAAGTTGGAGATCCACACGTGGCTTGGGCTTTGGGAGATTCATTGAAGTCCATTTGCCCTATCATATTTGTGCTTAGGATCTCGCCATTCCGACCGTTCCCAATACCCTAGTTCGTCCGATCATGAATCCACACACTTTCTCGCTCTGGCGTCCTTCTTAAGTCCGCTACCCTCGGGAGATTAGATTCCTTCTGGGGAAGAGTCACGAGTGAATACCAGCGGTAGGTGACTGTCGTCGAGGCGACTCCGCCGACTCGCTGACTGGACATTTGAGATTGGAAGTTATCCAGAGTCTGAATGTGTAGAGGTAGAACTGACCAGGATGATATGCTGCTATGCATGATGAGCACGACCTAGTGATTCCACAACTTTTGTCGTTACCCAGGGTGTTAACTATAACTATGAGTTGGGATAGTATTCCATCAAAGGTCACCCTAACCAATCAATTATGTCCAGAATTCAAGTGCACTGCACGTCTAGGTAGCATCATTATGGAACTCCAAACTTCCGGAAGCATGTAAGCCGTCATACCGTAGACAAGCCATAATGTCACCGGTCGCATAAACCTTAGTTATTGGGCAGTAGAAGGCTCTAGGTAAGATGAAGCTATCCAGCTTGCCATCAACCTCGTCACTCATGGACTGGTTAGGTTACAGCTTGGTAGATGTGCTTTTTCGCTTCGATTCCCGATCTGGCGTGGTCTTGCCCCTCTTTATCCTCCTCCAGCTCGGATGAAGCCAACGCCGTTGCGTCAATATTGAAGACGATAGCGAACAGCATATAATCAGTGACGGTCGTAGCAGGTAGATGCTCAGGTTGACAATATGGAAGGAGGATAGATCGATGGATGTGGAGTAACTAAGCAGCCAGGGACCAAGGTTATTTAGTGGGGAACGGCCAATGATAATAGACCTTGCTCGTCTGACCATTAGTACACAGTAAGAGCTGAAAAGTCGAGATAGTGACCCGACCTATTGACATATCAATGGCATGTTAATGAATGGAACATAAATTGAACTCCATGGTCTACATGAAGGTACCTACAGATGTCAATGGGCTGGTGGATGTCTGGAAAAATACGGCAATAGGCGTGTTTTGAGTAGGCAGTAGATAGCCAAGTCCACCTACTGCCTTTTGCAGGTGCCAGGGGGTAACTGAGGTGACTGAGTTAAGGCCAGTGTGGTGCAGAGAGCGCCCTAGTTATCCATATTCTAGAGCCACTTACACGCAATATCAGAAATAAATGTATGATGTGTTGATAATGTGAGTGCGCAATTGTGTACAATGAGGTAGAAGACCGATGCAAAGCTTTCGTCACTCAGCCCGTATCCCATCTCATATCCCATCTCACTCACAAGGATAGCTCATGATTCTCGATGATGAATGGCAAGACGTGCACCAACTCACAGGCCAAACATACACTGGAGCACCGAGGGTGAAATTACATACATGGTACTTCATAAACACAAAGGATGCCTCATTGGGGCTAGACACTCGTCATATGTTGCATTCATTTCCCGACTTCCGCTCTTCAGATCCAGGGTATTCACATCACATAGAGGATGTCGGTATCTGCCAGATTGTCAGAATCTCATTTCAAGTAAGGTGTCCGCAGGGGCTTACCCAGAGGATGGCTGCAGCTCAGCTGTGGCTTCTGACTATATTTACTGGCAAGTTCATCACGGATGCTGTTCAGAAGCTGAACATAACTCTGCTGAGGGTTCTTCCGAAGAGCGGCAATGAATGCCCACGACATGGCACCAGTGGCCTGGCCGGCAATCTGGGCATCTTGACTGGTTTGGTCATCCTTGCTGCCGGACCACATGATGACATCTGCGGGACTGGTCTTGGTCTGCTTGTTGCGTTCGTACACTTCGTCGCCCTTGGTGGCCTTCTTGAGGAAGCCCATAGCAGTCGACACCATGCTGCCCATGTCACCACGTGCATATGCCGACACCACACCAAGCAATCCTTGTCCAGCCTCCTTGGCCAGGTTGGGCTCCTTGAGCACACCGGAAGTGGAGTAGATGTAGGGCAGGTCCAGTGCGGAGCCAGAGTGGCAGGAATCGAAGATCGCTGTGAGCCGGACACCGGGTCGTAGGGACTGCACCATGATCCGGTGCATCTCGTCATCAACGATGTGACCTGCGACTCGGAAATCCACTGGATAAATTACTTCATCATACCCGTCCTCTTCATCGCCATCCAAGTCGGGTGTCTGACCGCCGTGACCTGGGTATCTCGTTAGTTCGCCGTTATAGGAGCGATGCGCATATTACTCACCGGAGTAGTGGAAGAACAAAGAATCATTGGGTTGAGCGTCCTTAACCAGCCAGTGCATAGCTCGGAGGATATTTGCCTTGGTCGGCTGGCTCATCGGGTTTTGCTGGTCATCAGTCAAAAGTACCATGTCTTCGCGAGCATAGCCAAAGTTTTGGTTCAGATAGCTCGACATATTCTTGACATCATTGATACATCCGCGAAGCTGGCCTTTCTGGCCAAAGTAATTGATACCAATCAGCAATGCCTTTCTCTTTCCCGTGCAGCGGGAGTATTGGAAGTTATAGCCTTGCGGGGCGCCGTGACCGAAAGCGACGGGGTTGGTAGGAGGGGGAGGCGGACGGGCGCCTTGACCGTATGCTTAAATTGGGAATTAGCTTGCGCTGCCGCGAAATATAGTCCTCGATTTATGGGGTGGAGGGCGAACCTGGTCTTCCTTGCATTGGCTGCTGACCGTACCCGGATGGCGGAGGAGCCTTGGAATCATTAATATACGTCGAGGTCGTACATTTCAGGCCTAATTCTCATCACACATACATTGTAACCGTGCTGGGGAGGTGGTGCCCCATAGGGCTGAGCCGGCTGGGGCGAGTGGCCGTATCCGTACGGGTTGGGCTGCGGCGGCGGCTGATGCGACTGGGGGTACGGCTGGTGGGGGGGCGGCTGCTGGTGGTAGGACTGGCCGGGATAACCGCCATACGATGGCTGGTGGTGACTCATTTGACTGCGATCCAGGCACGATCAGTTCTGGTTCTTTCTCAAGGCGTAAAGCAAAAGGATAAACAAGCATACGGGTATTGCTGTTGCGGAGGATAAGAGGGCTGCTGCGGGGGGTAACCCGACGGGCCAGAATAGGGTGGATAATGAGACATCACTCGAGGGGCTACCGAATGATGTCCAACAGGGAATCAAGGGAGGTTCTCGAAGTGAAAGTAGAGGACAGAGCGCGATGGGGTGGAGAAGAGGAGATCAAGGCAACACAGATCGGAAGGACGGCAGCCCTAGAGCCGCCAAGCCCTCAACAGTGTATCAGATCAATTTGGAAAGCAGAATCGCAAATGAAGATCAAGGAAATCGTAGAGTCCAATGGTCTCGAGTGATCTCATCCACTAAGTTCAATGATTGAGGGCCGAGGCAGTTGGATTGGAAATCGTGAGGGGATCGTCAATGAGAAGTTGCCACTTACAAGAGGATCGCGTGTTTTCCCTGTAAGGCTGATTCAGATCGGAACTACAGTAGACACATAAAAGGGACTAAGAAAGGAAAAAGAAGAGAGAAGAACACAACGTAATCTGGGGCTTTTATTTATCTGACATGCGTTCATCGGCAGCCCCGAGTAACCCCTGTGTGTAGCCCAAGGCCCAGCCATTGGGCTTCGTTCATGCATGGGATCAAATAGTTACTATTGAATCATCTGTGTCCACTTCTGCAGGCAACAAGAATCAAATGTCCTCATTGACCCTATCATCCACCTGTACGTCATTTAGGCCGAGAAGGAGAGTTAGAACTGTCTTGGCGCGACCTGCCAAACTAGCCAATGAAAGGACGATGGTGATTTGATGGAATACCATAGGGCTGGAGGTACGACTGAAGTAAATTTCATAGAACTATGTACTTGAGTAGACCGGATCAAGTCCGATTGTGTCTACAAACTTCTCTTCTATTCTCCCTGCTACTTCGTATTTAATATTCATCTCACAGACACCGGTATGGAAACCACCAAGCTTAGAGCAGGGTTCGCGTCAAACAGCTTCGTGGCCCTCGGTTTTCTTGGTGCTTTTCTTCTTTTTTAGGGGGAGGGGAATATCATCGAGCATCATCCAGTCCTGGACAAACTCGTTTATCCTCGTCGGGGCATGCCGCGGCCACGACCGCGCAGGGCGCGCTGGGCAGCACCTGGCGGCATACCACGCTGTTGGCCAGGTTGGGCTGACTCCTCGTTCTCTGTCGGAGGAATATACGTTAGTCTTGATGTAAAGTATAGGAAACCCGAAATAAAAATATCGGGAGGTAACTTACTTATCGTTTCATCCACGCTCAAGATCAAGCAAGAGGCTTCCACTGCGGCCTGAATAGCGTTGACCTTGACCAGACTGGGCTCCCAAACAAAGGCCTCCATGTTATCACGGACGCCCTCATTGTCGAAGTCCACACCAGCCCAGGTGTTACCCTTGCGGTGCTCCACACGCAGGCGGTTCAGAATATCCGTAGCATCGAAACCAGCGTTATCACAGAGCTGGCGGGGAATAACCTCCAGGGCCTTGGCAAAAGCCTTGACAACGGCCTGCTGCTTGTGAGGGACGTTGCGGTCGGCGAATCCGTGCATGTAGCTCGACAACTCCATCTCGGTAGCACCACCTCCAGCGACAATGGTAGTGTTGCGCAGAGCACGCTTGACGATCATGATAGCATCGTGCAAACTACGCTCCACCTCTGCAATGAACTGCTCAGCGCCACCACGCAGCACGAGGGTGCAAGTCTTCGCGCGAGGGCAGTCAGAGAACAGGTTGAAACGCTCTCCACCAATCTGGCGCTCCTCGAAGGCACCACAGGTGCCCAGGTGGCGCTCTTGAATGTCGGTGCATGTGGATTGGGTTGCGGCTCCGGTAGCCTGGCAGACACGGTCCATGTCGTCGGCGGCCACACGGCCAGCACAGAAGATATCGCGGTCTGCGAAGAACCTACATAGCCAATTATTAGCACATTCACGCGAAACCCATAGCAACACGAATCACTTACTGTGTGGCCAGATCGCCAATAGGCAGCTTGCTAAGCACAACCTTGGCTCCTGTCTTGTGGATAGCATCAAGCTTGTTGTAAATGATCTGCCACTCGGCATCGACAATGGCCTGGTATTCTGAGACCTGCTCGACACGGACCTCCGCGTTGTCTCTCTCGCTCTTCAGCTCCAATTCGACGTTCAAGCACACGATTTTGGGGTCCTTGAAATGCTTGGGCTGTTGCTCGAAACCGGCGTAGGAGAAAGTCTTTTTGAAAGCAACACCATCAACGAAAAGCGAATCCTGGAGTCCACCACCGGTAATCCTCTTGACACCAATCAGCCGCTCGTTCAGGTCGTCTTGGTCGAGCGAAAGCACCGCATCCACAACCACTATGATACCATATCGTCAGCCCTCGGCCTAAATTCACATCCAGGTAGGGGTCCTCACTCTTTGTGAAGAAGTCCGAATTCCGCTTGATGAGCTTGCTGTTCATGGCCGTTGCGGCTAACCGTCTTAGCGTCTCGACCTTCTTCTCCTGGCTATCTGCCGCATGCAACATATCCACAGCAATTTCCTTAACCTTGTTGACGGCCATGGCGCTCGCCCTCCGCAGACCCTTGATGATAGTCTGAGAGCTGACACCCTGTTCAACCAGGTCTCGCACCTCCTTCAGGATCTCACCAGCCAGGACAACCACGGAGGTTGTTCCGTCACCGACTTCGGCATCTTGAGACCGTGCAATATCCGTGAGAATGCGGGCGGCCGGGTGCACAATATCCAAAAGCTGGCGAGAACACGCAAATGTCAGAACTATTACTTCCGCCGGTTTGAGATTCACATCAATAGTAGGACGCACCTTCATCACTGTGGCTCCATCGTTCGTAATAGTCTGTCTGCCATTGGCATCCACAAGCAGGAGATCACCACCGTACGGGCCAAGAGTAGTTTTGACTGTTGATTGCACTGCGACACAGGCGTTGATGTTGGAGATAATTTGACCCTTTCCTTGAGAAGCATCGGTGCCTGTAAATAGCAAAACACCAATGATTAGCATAGGTTGCGGAATCCCACCAACAAAACTGCCCGCACTGGAGACAACACATACCCTCCTTCAACACGACAATCGTAGGGGTTTGACCGTTGAAGGCCATGATTAGATCGGTACTCGGAAATGAAACCGTTCAATAAAAAAGAGTAAGAAAAGGGGTACGTTGGGGTGAAAGGTCGGAGGGGTTGATCTGCCAAAATTTCCCAGAGCTCCTGTTCCCCCAAAACCCCCCCAGTCCGCGCAAGGCGGTGACCAATCAGGCTGCTCAACCCTACAATGGGACGTATATACGGAGTAATTGGGCTTAATTTACAACCAACCTCGGGAAACATAGCTGTATTCTAATATTATGCTCATATTTGGTGAGACAAGGAGGAGAAGAATTGCATATAGCATAAAGCATTAATTCACTGCCCACATCGCTAGGGTGGTGGAGTATCAGATGTATCTCAGACTAATCAATGCAGACGCCAATAACAATAAGAAGTCTTGTGGCTATCACAAGAAAACCAAGATTAAGACAAGACAGACAATCCCAAATTGATGAGGGTGATCCTAAAAGTAAAAGTTGAGGCATGTTCACGTAAAGTCGTAATTCCCGTCCGATGGACTCCCATACTCGAACTTGGCGAGTAACTCGGCATCATGTTGTAACTCGTGAGGCGGTGGATTCACAAGCCCAAGCACGTCTTGTCTGAATGGATCCGAGCCGTCATCGACCATCATTTGATAGGCGTTGCTTGCTGTGTGATAGCGCATTGCATCGTCAAAGCTCGACATGCCCACGTTCTGTGGCCCCGGTGCATATTGACCCGCCATCGGGTTCTGTTGTTGGTAGCGTCGCAATTGTTGCTGTATTTGCATGATTTGAGGGTCGAGAGGCATGGGTGTAAACCCAGCCATGGAGTGTACCGTGCTGGGCACGGCAGCAGGAATGGGTTGGTGCATGAGAGGATTGTAACTTTGAGGCTCGTCGGGTGCTTCGTCCATGGGTTGCGGAATATTTACTGGTTCCTTCGAGATTTGTTCCATAGCACTATCCATATCCATGCCAGACATTGTCTCCGAGGGCGAATGATCATCATCTTTGGCCCCTGGAATGGGAGGCGCCTTGAGAGTCTCTTTGCACTGGGGGCAATCTCGAATCACGCGATTGACGGTTTCTTTGATTCTTACCCAGTGGTATTTGATCGCGATAGCTGCCGTGGTTTTGTTGATTCCGGCATGCTGCTTGAGATGTACTTCTTGGGCAATATCGTACTGCTGCTGTGGGTCTGATACCACCTCTTTATCCTTCAGCATCAGCCTCTCAGGCTCACCATCATCTCCGCCAATAAGTTTATAATGAGTTGCCGCACTGCGAAGTCGACTCTTCTCGGCCCGATCAGCACCACGGGGATATTTGGCATGCTTCAAATAATATCGGATCTTCTCAAAGCGGTCCTGGGACACCGAGTCCTCGCCATCCAAGCTGAGACCTCTCCCATATATGATTGCATCAACAAACTCCCCAGGCTGGGATTTGATACTGCCTCCACCGGGGACTCGACCAATCCGTTTGAAGCCAAGGGAATCCCACAGCCGACATGATGCAACGTTAGACTCATAGACCAGGTTGAAGACTGCGTATGTATAGCCCTAGCCAAGGTTAGCTCAAACCGCATTTGAAGCGATTGTGACAGACTCACTAGTCGAGGCGCCCACTCCAGATATGATTCACCCATTAGCCTACCCACGCCCTTGTTTCGAGCAGCATCAGTGACGATGAATGTACCGTTGCAGACATGGCTACTACGACCAGGGTAGTTAGGCCGAATGTGAAACCCACCTAGACAGATCTTATTCCAGTTGGCTCCGGCACGGTCCATGGCATGTGTCTGCTCGGCACTCTCGATTTCGCCAGTGAGCATGACCACACCAAAGGTCGAGAACCAATATCGTCCGAACTGGGCCAATGGAATAGGTTCTGTCATGGCATATGTATCTCCCTTTTCAATCTCTTTGTTGAATTGATCAGAGAGATACTTCATTAGGGCCCGGGGTACTTGCTCCGCTGAGGCAAATGGAACCAGAGTTGCAACCGTAACCCGATCTCGCAAAATCACCTGTCGCGGAGCAAGAGCAAGAGGATAATCTAGCTCAGGGCCCGGTGAGACGAGCTCTGAGTCTCCATGAACTTCAGACATGGTAAGGTGGCCCTTTTGAGGTTGCCGATCATACGACTGTTTGCCATGGTCAGTCAAGAGTCATTAAAAGTGTCTTTGTACCACAACAACTAAGTGAATAACAAAACAATCGTAAAGGCTACAAACTGGACTTAACTGGGGGTCTGTTCACGGACATTCTGGCTTGCTTCTAGAAGGACGCCGTCAATCGCACTTCGAGGACCGCGTGAGTATTCTCGAGTCCGGAATGGCCACAACGCAACTTGTGAAGTCGTGGTCCTTGCTGACTCAGTGCTGAGTCATTGACATCAAGGTAACAAGGCAACAAGGCATCAAGGCAGCGAGGCACTTATATTTACGCCTAATTTCTCAGGATAGTGTTGTTGACTGTTGTTTACTGGCGTACTTATGTACGATGTAATTCCGGATCCGATATAGACTGGTATTATGTATATTTGGTAGAACATAGGAAAGCAATAAGCAGGTGGGACAGACCTCAGTAATCACATCTACAGAAGCTCGGTGAGAAGGAAGTGAAGATGTACCCGACGGAGTACTGCTGATCAGGTAGGTACGGCCCATGGCGGCATTGCTTGCTGTGATCAGCAATAACTCATCCACTAGAGTTATGCAGGTTTGCTTTTCGCGACCAGATTGTGGTGCAGCTGAACGCAAGTGGGTCCAATGAGACACCGACATTTTGACTCCTTCGAGATTCAATCTTGCTCTGACTTTGCCAGTGGGGCATGGAGCGGCTGAATAGGACGGAGCGATGCCCCGCGGCAGAACCTGAGCTGAGTGTTGGACCTGCAGATAAGCTGCCCTTCTGCATAGCACGCAATATCTTGCAGATTTGCGCCAGACAGCTTGAGATCATATATCATTTGCACCATGGGAGACCGTCCTCAATACTTTGAGAATACCTTGACCCCGCTATCGATCAATGCGGTCACTCTGACTGACAGCCTCCGAGAGCTGCGTACCGCTGTTCGCAAAGGTGCCGAGTTGATACATCAGAACACTTCCCTCCCTGATACATGGGGTTCGAACGGCCTATTCAGGGCCTTCCCAGGTATTTTGAAACCCCAACATCCGCGCTTTGTACTGAATACCATCTAACAGATCAAGAAAGGCATTGCTCTGGCATTTCTACGTCTAGACTATCAATCTTCGGTGCTAGAAGATAGTACGGCTGCTTCTCCTGACTACCGCCGCTATGCACTACAACGCATACCGTCAAGCCTCCCAGACGCTCCTCTACTGGCTTCCCGACTGTCTCCCATTGGGTCGTCATCGCCCATGACTGCTGTTACTTTGCGCATTTTGGCTACACTTGCAAAGCAGGATTGGCAAAGTGGCTCCAATGTCGGTGTTGTAGGCGAGGATATTTCTTGTCTCCACGATGCCGTGCAATTAGCACTGAAGAACGAGCCTATTGTGCCCCATGACGGCCGTAAGATGGGTGGGGATGAGATGCTTTTTGGCCGAGCAGGACTGCTTTGGACTCTACTGAACATTCGTGCTCACCAGTTTGATCAAAGAACCCAACATGCCCTCTCACCTGTGTTAGAGGCCATTCCGGAGCTCATTCGGGTCATTGTTGATGCCGGGCAACAAGGGTCTAGGGCATACATCGAGAAGAACGGAGAAGAAAATGCACATCCGCTGATGTACGTGTGGATGGAAGGTTATTTTGGTTTTGGGGCGTAAGTTCTCATCTATTTCTTTATGCCGCTTCTGATCTCTAACACGCATGGAACAGGGTACATGGAATTAGTAAGGTTGCTAGTATGACTTCTGTCTTTTCCTGAGCTAACCTCGATCTTTATTTCAGCTGGTATCCTTACTATTCTACTCTCGTCTAAGCCTGAAGAGCTCACTGGCTACCTCCCTTTGATTGGCGGTACTATCACAGCACTCTGCAAGCTGTCTGTTGCAGCCAATGGACATCTCCCAATGACATTACCTCCGTATAGCTTTGGGGGGAGCTCAGAATTAGTCCAGTTGTGTCATGGAAGTCCAGGCCTGTTGATCCTTCTGGGGACTGCATTGAAGAATGAACAGTTGGCCAGTGCCCATTGGGATCCTATCTGGGACGAAGCCATATACCTGGGCACTGAGCGTGTCTGGGAGGAAGGTCTACTCTCCAAGGGAGGCAGCCTGTGTCACGGCGTAGCCGGCAATGCATGGGCATGGCTTCTCCTCCATGATTGCTTCGAGTACCACGCAGCAACCTTAAACGAGGCACGGACAAGCTATGTCGAGCGCAATCAATTATCAGCCCTTCCAAAAGCAGATGTGAGCCAGAAGCTCACAGGTGACTTCTTCCTCTCGAAAGCCCTCGCTTTCATGTTGCAGGCACGCGAGACAAAGCCCTACAATACCTCGTCTACAGCTTCCGGCAGAGATTATCGCATGCCCGATGAGCCCTACTCTTTGTTTGAAGGTCTCGCAGGCAATTTGTGTGCTTGGGCTGATACCTGCGCTATACTTCAGGCCAGGCTACGCAGAATGGACCTTGTTAGACAGGGCATGTCCACATCCAGTTTGTCAAATGACCCGTTATTCCAGGATGCTTTGCATAGGCAACTGGGCTTTCCGGCTCTAGGTGGAAATGGCGCAACTGGGATCTACTAAAAGGTAGCCTCTGGTCTACCTCTCTGCTTGTATGGTTATTGCCAATATAGCCTCCAGTTAGATGTTTATTGTTCGATTGCCTGATCCCCTCCTATTGGCAAAGTTGCTTTCTCCAGTGACGTCATATGCCAGAGGTGTTGAATGACGAGATAACATCGCTGTGGATAATATTCAGATTTACTATGCACAATCAGGTACTGCTTTATATTTGATAAGTATCTGCTCACATACAACGTACGAAGTATATGGTTGGTTGGTCTCAGATAAATGCCGTTAACAACCGTGTGGCTGAGTCGGGCAACTGATGGGGGCTTGTTTCTGGCCTTCCCATTTCTGTCTTTCGAGGATCACCAACTCGACTTTATCAGTCTTTTACCGGAATAGCAAAGTCTTAGTGAACTGAATGCCAGAATGGATTTGATTCCGCCCTCTTACGAGTCGGCAACGGACAGAGATGCTTGGACAATCATTGCTCGATATATCCCTTCAAGCGACCTATGCGCTGCATCTTTGGTCTGCCACCGATGGCATGGTTTATTCATGCCCTTCCTCTGGGGTGATCCAGCATCTCACTTTGGCACCGAGAATGACGCAGTCTACGGTAAGGTTGTGAAGATAGTACACAGTTTCAAAGTAAGTAGCTGATCGCACCATACAGTGGCTCTTACTCGGTTTCGAAGGACCCTCAAATATGCCCGCCGGGAGGTACGGGCACTGACCCATACCCTTCATCTTCCACCTGCCCTTTCAGAGATATATGATGGTCCGCGACCGGGCTGGTTGAGGGACATCTTAGAATACCTGCCATGCTTACAGTGTCTGATGGTTTCAAAGCTGCCTTTCTTTGACCACAATGCCATGACAGCACTGAAAGCCCCTCAAAGCTCCACTAAGTATAATATACGGCTTCTGTTAGCGAAACATGAGCCGAATACTACTTCTGCGAGCCTCGCGGAGACTCTCCTTCTATTTCCAGCGTTGACATACTTGGATCTCTCGTATACCACCCCAGCACGAGACCACAGTGTGCTGTATGCCATGGCTCGAATGCCATTTCTTCGGGTACTGAAATTGCGCGGCATCGGGTTAAAGGACAGTGATGCTGAATATCTGGCCAATGCAATCGGACGACGAGTCCGCTTTTTGGATCTAAGAGATAACAGGCTTACTGACATGGCAGTTCGGTCCCTGCTACAGGCCTCCTTTTCTCCGTTCGACGAAAGGGAACAGCACCGGAGTCCAAGGCAGGTCACCGCCTCACTGGACCCATTCTCCCATTTTGCAATCCATGAGTCTGGCTCAGACTTCTTCAGACGACCAGACCTGGATGAGCAATTTGCAAAGCTTCTCGCTCAGCCTGTTCTGTATCACCCTTGGGTCGAAGACTTGCCGAACACAGGAATCACCCATCTTTACATAGCTGGCAACCAAATATCCGTGGAAGCTGTGGCAAGTCTTTTAGTCTCTTCCCGCCTACACGCTCTCGATTTCGGGACTCTAAGCATCCCAGACAAGGCACACCAAACGCATCATTATGGGAAGGAAAGGTACCCTGGGGCTGAGAAGTTTGTTCCCTTGTTGAGTAAGATTGCGAGCGACAACCTGATCTACCTCCGGGCACATCATGCTGTTCTCACTGGCCGACCACCTGCACCAGCAAAAGATACCGCATTCGCGAATGAGTTTCTTTCAGAACTTTCAGCGCAAGGAGGCCACCGCAGAGCCCAGCAATTCGAGCTAGACGCCTCTCGACAGGTTCATGAGCTGCCCGAAGACACGCGGGCTATATTTGAACTAGCAGATACGTCGATGGCCAACTCAATCAGTGTAACTTCAGCGAAAAAGGCACCACATGGTTCCCACGCTTCGAAAAGCCGCGAAGATGAGCCTCCACCGTCCGCCATGCACGGGTCGGCCTTTGCTCCAGAAACTGTGCAACCAGTGCATGTACCCAGCAGCGCCAATGGAAGTCATGCCTTTGGTGATCCTATGACAGAGCGATGGAACACGGAGGCCAAGGGGGGCACATCGCCGTTTAGTTCAGTGTCTCCAGACGGCGACACGCTGGCAGCGGAGTTTTCTCTGCAAGCCTTACAATGTAACTCTCCAAGCTCATTGAACGATCCCCGCGCGCAAAAAATACAGGAACTGCTGGCAAAAAGACCCCATGGGCAATCATTTTTACCGCGAGGAGCAAAAGAAAGCGCCTATCTGCACCCATCACACATCCCTCACATGGAAACATTGGTGCTGACGGATGTGCCCTCGCATGTGGCGCCCAACTCGACGATCCTCTCTGCTATCGCCCGTTTCATTACTGCCTGCTCCAATGAAGCGTTGCTTGCAACTTTGCAAGCGGGTTCAGACTATTCTCTCCCACCGGGGCAAGCGCGCATACAAGCCGAGCAGCAGCGGTCACAGTCTCTCTTTGGCTTGCGACGTTTAGTCCTAGAGATCACACCGATTGGTACCTCAAAACTGACATCCTGGAAGCCCGGAAAACAATACAATGCAACGGGCCAATCAAGCACGGGCGATCGCGACTCGGAGAACCTCTGGTCTGCAGCTGTTAATGACTTCAGCTTCTTCGGCGAAGAAGAGTGCGGCGTCCCCGAGAATGAACCTAGCAAATACTTTCCCATGGCAGTGCTCGACCAGAAAGTTTCGCTTGTGCCCTCGGAAGATGGGTCGATGCATTCATCCGATCCTCCTCAGCTCGGGCATCCCTTCTCACAACCCACCAACGCGGCTAGTTTGCGGGGGTCAGGTGGCAACGACAAGCAGCAGACAATTGACCTTGTTGCAGAGCTTGCGGCCTTTCGTCGCGGGAAGAAGGCTGAGTATGAGCAAGTAGTCCGTCGTGAAAGAGGACGGCGGAGCACGATTGGCACGGGTGCTTCCGGCCTGGCATCATTGCCCCATATTCATTTGTCCCATTATGTCGAGGGCCATTGGAAGGGAGAAGTGAAGATCGTGCGGAACCCAGTGCCAAATGTGCGGAGCGGGATAGTAGACATGTATGGGAACTATTTCGAGAAGGGCTACTTATACCCATGAAGTTTGTACTTAGCCAGATATCCAATTTAGACATACTAGCACACGTTGTGCTTCTACGACATCTCCGGACTGTGATTTGTAGGAAATTTTTTGACATTTTCTAGATCCTCACTTGGACCTGAACCATCCTTCCTCCCAGTCATAACAAGCCGTCGTCAACGGGCCTATAAACGCCAGAATGCTAAAAGAGACATCCAGAACTGCCTTCGTCGGACCAATGGTGCCGTCTTTTTCATTCCGTGTAGGAGCATAGCCGGCAGTTTCGAGACCGAGCATCACCCCTGCGATCCGGTCGACAAGAACACCAACGCGAAGAGTGAGGACAAAATAAAAGAGTTCATTTCAAACTAGTTCCATTTTATTTTGTTTTGGTCATGCGATATTCATCTCCTTACAAGGCCTTAGCGGCAGTAGGGGGCTGCATCTTCTTGCCGTCCTTGTTGAAGCGAATGCGGGGAGGGGGAGCACGGTTGCGGCGACCTTCGCGGGAGCGAACACTGTTGAAGAGAAATTAGTATATGGAAGGCGATATGAGTATCGAAGATGCATCGGTGACAACGTACCGGACGATCTTGCCGTGGATGGCGCAGGACACGCAGTACTGGAGCTTCAAGTACATCTTGGGGACAGAGTACTCAGCGAAGACGGAAGCCTCGGAGATATCACCTGTAAGAGCAAACTCGTTAGTTGCACTGGTTCGTCTGTATTGCCTCAAATTGGTCTTCGGCCATAGATCCGGAATCTTTGTCGTAGACTTGAGTTGTTCGGGAAAGTTGTCACGTACGGATGGCAGCAGACTCGACCATGTTGCGGATGGTGAAACGCTTGATGGCCTTGTCCTTGGGGACGCAGCGGGCGCAGTTGGAGCAGCGCACAGGCTTGACGTGGCCGCGGCCATTCTTGTTGCGACCGCTATCAAATCAAATTAGTTACCGTGCGCCTGGAAGTTGCAAATCGATTGAATCCAGTCTCCCATTCTCCTTGTCCGGCAATGTGCGTAGGTCGCGATTTTTCGATGTATTTGTAGATGATTTGCCGTGTGCGCTTCCGTCGGCGTCATTGCGGAGTTGTCGAATGGGATACTGCTTCGCCGAGATGGGGGTGTGTTGGTCTTACTTGTTCGCCCTCTTCTTGACCATTTTGACGGTTTGTTCTGTGGATGGTCAGATGTTGAGCTGGGAGTGAAGGGGGAGATAGCGTACGGTTGACTTGTCGGGAGTGGGTTGTCGAAGCTCGCTCACACACAAGTCTCTTTCGGGATGGATTGGGATTGCGTTGTGCGGGTAGCCCTAAGCCCTTAAGCGAGATGGGTCACGGGGTTGATGCCTTGGCGATCAGGCGACAATAAGGAAGATGACAAGACTCACGTGCACCGAGTCACGAGTACCATGTCCACCTAATTGGGGACTAGCGCCCGGATCGTACCGTATCATTCGGTGTTTACAGGATCCCCATACAAACACACCCCTGTAAGGATCGACTATTGAACTGCCCATTTTTCCTTTCCTTCCCAAGAATTCTCCTTGCTTTTTCTCCCATACCAGTCTCACAACTTGACAACCTTGTCTTGTTTGTGTCTTACCTTGCTCAGCAACTTTTAAAAGTGAGACTTTCCCCTTTTGGCATTATTATGTCGGCCACAGGTACTTTTAGGGGAAAGCCCAATCAAACAATCGGTAGAGGAAGGCTGCCCGACTTCGGAAATGATCCCAGCGCTTCCCATATCCCCCGACCCCGACCAGAATCTTCCGCTACAAACCATACTCCCACGAGCGACATTGGAAGTGGCACCATGAGCGCCGCAAGTAGCAGACAGCGACAGAACCAGTCGAAGCGTGATGAGGTACGTCATGACAGTTGATATCGAGAATCCCCAGCTTGAGCTTTGGTTGTTGGCTGACTTCAATACAAGGCTATCCGACGCAAGATGGAGGCCGACCTCAACAAGAAGAGGAACGCCCCGACCAAGTCGAGAAGCTCCCGCAAAGCGCCTCCGGGAACCGTGCTCGCCCTGAAGCCTAGCCAGGCCCTCCAGATCAAGCCCTCCATGAGCATCGCCGAGGCCGCCCAACTTATGGCCGCCAAGAGGGAGGACTGCGTTTTGGTGACCGACGACAATGAGCGCATCGCGGGTATTTTCACTGCCAAGGATCTGGCCTTCCGAGTCATTGGAATGGGCCTGAAGGCGCGAGAGGTCTCCGTCGCGGAGATCATGACCAAGAACCCCCTTTGTGCGCGAACGGACACCAGCGCTACCGATGCGCTTGACCTTATGGTGCGGAAGGGATTCAGACATTTGCCAGTCATGGATGAGAACCAAGACATTTCTGGTGTTTTGGATATCACTAAGTGTTTCTACGATGCTATGGAGAAGTTGGAACGCGCGTATAGCTCGTCTCGAAAGCTTTACGATGCGCTGGAGGGTGTGCAGACGGAGCTTGGTTCTAGTCAACCCCAGCAGGTCATCCAATATGTTGAAGCATTGCGTTCCAAAATGTCCGGTCCCACCCTTGAGAGTGTTTTAGACGGATTGCCTCCTATCACTGTGTCAGTCCGCACCACCGTTAAGGACGCCGCGGCTCTGATGAAGGAACACCACACTACAGCTTTGCTGGTCCAAGATCAGGGCTCAATCACCGGTATCTTCACCAGCAAGGATATCGTTCTTCGCGTTATCGCTCCCGGCCTCGATCCCTCGACTTGCAGTGTTGTCCGTGTTATGACTCCTCACCCCGACTTTGCCCCGTCGGATATGAGCATTCAAGCTGCGCTTCGCAAGATGCATGGTCAGTTTATTTAAATTTCGTCATAAAATGCAGAGTACTAACCCCACCACAGATGGTCACTACCTGAACCTGCCCGTGATGAACGAGGGAGGTGAAATTGTCGGCATGGTGGATGTGTTGAAACTTACATATGCCACTCTTGAACAGGTATGTTTGACGGTGGAGGTGATAACGATGAATTTTCTGACTGATATGTATAGATCAACACCATGTCAACCCAAGACGATGAGGGACCCGCATGGAACAAGTTCTGGTTATCAATGGATCATGAATCCGACTCCATGGTCTCTGGCAGCCAGAGCCAACAACCGCATACCCCACACCGCTCCGTTATGAGCCCCGATCTCACTCGCTCCGGCTATGACAACAGTCTTCTTCCCAATGACTCGGCATCCCACCACGGTGATGAGCATTCCGAAGTTGCTTCCCATCACCACACAGCGGAACACAATGCTACTACTCCGTTCCCCTTCAAGTTCAAGGCCCCAGGTGGCCGAGTGCACCGCGTGAATGTGCTTACCGCCAACGGCATTACCGACCTTGTGTCGCAGGTCACCGCGAAACTTGGCAAGGATCTTGAGGCTGTTGGTGGAGAGGCTACTGTCGACGAGGGTCGACTGAGCAACACCGGGTATGCGCTCAGCTACATGGATAACGAGGGTGATACGGTCTCCATCACCACTGACCAGGATATGATTGATGCCATCGATCTGGCCCGTCGTGCCCGCCGCGATAAAGTCGATTTGTTTGTCCACGACCCCGCTCAGCCACCTATCCCTGCCACCGTTGAGCCCCAACCCGTTAAGGTTGTGACCCCTGTCGAGGAGCAAAGCATTGCTGAAGAAGCTGTCTCGGAAGACTCCCCTGTGAGCAAGCCCCGGCAGCAACAGCAAGCTGTGCCCAAACACTCGCCCGAGGAGCAGCTGATTGCTGGCGTTCCCAACGACTTGTTGCTTCCCGGTGCTATTGTCACTTTAGCTGCGGTCATTGCTGGCGTGTTCATTCTCAGCCGCCCCAGTGGCCGTTAAGATGATACGGCCTTTGGTCTGTTCCCGAAACCCTCCTTTTCTCTCCAAATACTTCCCTTTGTCTCATCCAACTTGGTACTCACACACCCTGACAAAACGGAGTAAATTCTTTCATTTTCCGGAGTGTTGCATACCCATTGTTTCTAATATCGATATTCCATGTCGCCTTCAGATACCGCTGTTCGTGTGAGCAGTTGCGGCCTCAAGCCTTTCAATGCAAATAATTGTTCGAGATAGACGTTCAACCGAGCCCTTCTTTTTGGCTTAATTGGCCTTGTTACCTAACTACTTCCCTTAACTAGAGTTACCCTCAGTTGACTATGAACTATATAATAGAATTCTGTGACCTGACAGCCTTGAAATTGGCTTAATTGGCATTAGCGCCCGAAGGTGTGTAGTTCGTGACTATGGATTCTTTGAGTTCCGACTCCTTGAATTATTATTTATCCTTACATTGAACTGCATCTTCTCTCAAAGAATTTAAATCTGAAGACTTCCAAGCCCTCTCTCAAACCCTCCCTGTTGTGGTGATTGACCATCATTCCTCGTTCCTAAGGGCCTCGGGCCTATCGCTCTCCTAATCAGAAATTCTTCTTTTTTTCCCTTCCTCCCCGCCCCACCAAAAACAAAACTCCTCTCCTTCGTTCCACCCCTCCCACCCCCCACCAACCTATTTCTAGAGGGCTGAAAGAACTGGGCTGCTTGGATCGTCTGGAACTTGGGAACAGACACACCCAATATGTCCCTCCTACCTCCCGAAATCCACGCCGCGCTATCTCAGCTGCTCCGCGCCTTAACCACACCCGACAACACCGTCAGATCCCAGGCGGAAGATCAGCTTAACAATGACTGGGTTCAGAACCGGCCAGATGTCCTGTTGATGGGACTGGCAGAGCAGCTCGGAGGCGCAGACGACACAATGGTGAGTTGCACAATGACCCCAGGGGTGCTTGAAGGCAGGGGCATTCTGCAAAACGCAACACCAAATCAGCAGCCGAGCCTTCACTTTGATATAGGACCATAGCTAACGGAGAGAAATTGATCATAGACCCGCGCGTTTGCCGCTGTCCTTTTCCGAAGAATCGCAACAAAGACCCGCAAGGATCCTGCCTCAGGTGACGCCAAGGAGGTTTTCTCGAGCCTTCCCAATGAGCAGCGCATCGCCATTCGTGAGAAGCTGGTCGCCTGTCTGACGAGTGAGACCGTTACCGATGTACGCAAGAAGATTGGAGACGCACTGGCCGAGGTGGCTCGGCAATACACCGACAATGGTATGTTACTCGAACTTCCCTTGATGTAATGAGGAATGTCGGTTTTGACAATTTCACTTCGATGTATAGGCGAACAGTGGCCTGAACTCCTCGGCGTTCTCTTCCAGGCAAGCCAGAGCCCGGAATCGAGCTTGCGGGAAACCGCATACCGCGTGTTTACCACCACACCCGGTATCATTGAGAGGCAGCACGAAGATGCTGTTGTGGAGGTCTTCAGCAAAGGCTTTAAGGATGACAATATCTCCGTATGTTGACTTCCCGCTGTGCTCTGCCTTTCTGCTCAAATCTGACCATCCTATCAGGTGCGGATTTCCGCTATGCAAGCGTTTGCTTCTTTGTTCCGGTCTCTCTCGAAGAAGTCCCAGCCGAAATTCTTCGGCCTCATGCCTGATCTCCTCAACATCCTTCCCCCTCTCAAGGAGTCATCCGAGAGCGAGGAGCTTTCCTCGGCATTGCTCGCCCTGATTGAATTGGCTGAGACTAGCCCAAAGATGTTCAAGGCTATGTTCAATAACTTGGTCAAGTTCAGCATCAGTGTCGTTGCCGACAAGGAGCTCAGTGACCAGGTCCGCCAGAACGCACTGGAACTGATGGCTACCTTTGCCGATTACGCCCCGAATATGTGCAAGAAGGAGCCAGAGTTCGCACAAGAAATGGTCACGCAGTGCTTGAGTCTGATGACTGATGTCGGTGCGGATGACGATGATGCGGAAGAATGGAATGCATCTGAAGATGTAAGTTCTGTCTTGCCACGTAGGAAACACATCGCTGACACTAGTCGCAGCTCGAACCCGAAGAAAACGACCTCAACCACATCGCCGGTGAACAGTGCATGGATCGCCTTGCCAATAAGCTCGGCGGACAGGCCATCCTTCAGCCCGCCTTCTCTTGGATTCCACGCATGATGTCGTCTACCAACTGGCGTGATCGTCACGCCGCTTTGATGGCCATCTCCGCTATCTCTGAGGGCTGTCGCGATCTCATGGTCGGCGAGCTCGACCAAGTCTTGGCATTGGTTGTCCCTGCCCTGCAAGACCCCCACCCTCGAGTTCGCTATGCAGGCTGTAATGCTCTCGGTCAGATGAGCACCGACTTTGCCGGAACTATGCAGGAGAAGTACCACGAGATCGTTCTCACCAACATTATTCCCGTTCTCGCCTCTACCGAGCCCCGTGTTCAGTCTCACGCTGCCGCCGCTCTCGTCAACTTCTGCGAGGAAGCAGAGCGCAGCACCCTGGAGCCGTACCTTGGAAATCTTCTGAGTCACTTGCTGGAGCTCTTGCGCAGCCCTAAGCGTTACCTGCAGGAGCAGGCGCTGTCCACCATTGCAACCATTGCCGACTCTGCCGAGACCGCTTTCGAGCAATACTACGCCACTCTGATGCCCCTTCTACTCAATGTTCTCCAGGAGGAACAGGGTAAGGAGTACCGCCTGCTCCGTGCCAAGGCCATGGAGTGTGCTACTCTGATCGCATTGGCTGTCGGCAAGCAGAAGATGGGCCAAGATGCCCTCAACCTTGTGCAGATTCTCGGACACATCCAGCAAAACATCGTCGACGCCGACGACCCACAATCACAATACCTTCTTCACTGCTGGGGCCGCATGTGCCGCGTCCTTGGCCAAGACTTCGTGCCTTATCTTCCTGGCGTTATGCCGCCTCTTTTGACCGTGGCTGCTTCCAAGGCTGATATCCAACTATTGGATGATGAAGATCAAATCGAGCAGGTTGAGCAGGATGACGGCTGGGAGCTGGTTCCACTTAAGGGCAAGGTTATCGGCATCAAGACCAGTGCTCTCGAAGATAAGAACACTGCTATCGAGTTAATCACGATCTACGCCCAAATTCTGGAGCAGAACTTTGAACCTTACGTTGTGGAAACCATGGAGAAGATCGCGGTCCCCGGTCTTGCCTTCTTCTTCCACGACCCCGTTCGAGTGTCCGCTGCCAAGTTGATTCCCCAACTCCTTAACTCTTACAAGAAGGCGCACGGTATCCAGTCGCCTGGCTTCGCTGAAATGTGGAACAAGGTCGCCGAAAAGATCATCGAGGTTTTGAGTGCTGAGCCCACAGTTGACACTTTGGCCGAGATGTACCAGTGCTTCTACGAGTCAGTTGAGGTTGTTGGCAGAAACTCCCTCACCCCTCAGCACTTGCAGGCGTTTATTGAATCAGCAAAGTCCACCCTCGAGGATTATCAGATGCGCGTGAAGCAACGATTGGAGGATCAGGCCGAGCTTGAAGAGGGCGACGAGGAGAGCCTGGAATATGAGTATGCCGTTGAGGATGACCAGAACTTACTGAGTGATATGAACAAGGCATTCCACACCATTTTCAAGAACCAGGGTAACTCGTTCCTGCCAACCTGGCAGCAACTGATCCCATTCTACGATGCATTCATTACAAGCCAAGATCCCACACAGCGGCAATGGGCTCTTTGCATCATGGACGATGTGCTTGAGTTCTGTGGTGAAGAGTCATGGACATACAAAGACCACATCATGCAGCCCTTGGCTTCCGGTCTGCAGGATGAGAACGCTGCCAACCGTCAGGCAGCGGCATACGGAGTGGGTGTGGCCGCACAGAAGGGCGGTGCCGCCTGGAGCGATTTCGTGGCAGCCAGTCTCCCCAGCTTGTTCCAGATTACACAGCATGCACAATCCCGCACCGAGGAGAATGTGTTCGCAACCGAGAACGCATCTGCCAGTATCGCCAAGATTCTGCACTACAACGCATCTAAGGTTCAAGCTCCTCAGGATATCGTGACCAACTGGATCGAGACCTTGCCCATCACCTACGATGAAGAGGCTGCCCCCTATGCCTATTCCTTTATCGCACAGTTGATTGACCAGTATGTTTTTTCCCTTCATACATTACCCCCCTTATTGATATGCTAACTTATTTATCAGACAAAACCCGGCTGTCTTTGCCAAGGCTGATCGTGTGTTTGGTTTCATTGTGCAGGCACTCGAGGCTGCTACCCTGCAGGGTCAGACTGCCATCCGGGTGGCTACATCTGCCAAGCAGCTGGTGGCAGTGACCGGCGCAAATGCAGACCAGATTCTGGCTTCTGTCGACCCGGCCAGCCAGGAGCGCGTCCGCAAGTTCTTCCAATAAAGTTCGGACCTTCTGTTTTATATCCGGCAGAGCTTTGCCCTTTTTCTTTTTTATGCCCTCCACACATCATTCCCCTCGGTCATGTGAAATCTGAAATTACCCCCAAACCCACTTTTTGTTAATCAAAGATCCTCTTAAATTCATTTTTTCTCCCTCTTCGGTCTCATACCCTGGACTTGTTCAACCCGATCCATCAACTCTGACTAAATTCACCTGGAGAAAGTAAAATATCAATTAGAGGTCGCAAATTGAATGGTCTTTAGAGATCAACCAGGAACAACAGTATAAGCATCAAAATACAAGACTCAATTCTTCAGAAGGATGACTACTCTCAACTGATCCCTGGACACCCCATCCTAGACCGGGACATTCCCCCATAGGTATAGGTTTAGGCGGATGGGGGATGGGGGATGTGGTAGTACGGGTACCTCCTAGCCCGTGTCTTCCGTCCATTGTCGTGCTGCTATGCAAAGGAAAGAAAGAATTCGAGGTGGGGGTCTGCTTATCAGTGCTCTGGAACTGCCAAAAGCTGAGGCTGATCCCAGCTGGAACTTTATGTAGGTCAATTGTTGGCCAGTTGACTATGTAGAAATGAACAAACTACCTACAGCTTCGAGACCCTCTCAATCTCATTCGCAACTACTTCCTCCAGTCCCATCACCTTCGGCTCCCCAATCAACCCATTAGCCCGCTTTGCATAAAGCGTCCCGCCTTCAGCCCAGATCCGACGCAAAGTCAACACGGTCGCCGCCGGCTTCCCGGCCTCCCACGCCGCAGCCTCCGACTCACGCAGTCTTGCCAGCGAAGTACGAGACACCTGCCACGGCTGACCACCAAGCTGGCGCTCGAATTCCGCCTGGATCTTATCGGGACTAGTCGTAAACGAATTGACGCACAAAGCAGCGTTGCGTGTCTCAGTCGTAGCATGAAGCAGAGTATTCAGAACGAGAATACCAACACTAGCGAAAATAGTTAGCGAAACGATTCCAACCTCAATCGGACAAAAAACCAAGAGACCAAGATCAGAAACTCACTCCTTCATCGTCGTCAAACTAATCTCCCCCTCTCCTTCAAGCAAAACAGCCCTACGCGCTTTCACATCCCATCCACCCGCCTCCTCAAATCCAGGCAGGAGATTAAGATACATCTCCGCAAACGGACCGGTAACGACATACGAGTACGCAAGGTCGTCCCGCGAGATCTCATCCTCGAGATAAGCGCGTACCTTCAGCTTCAACTGATGCGGCTTCTCATTCGCCGAACTGGGTCCGTACTTGATATCCGTGCCGTATTCGGATGGAAGGAACCACTTCACGCTGCTACTGGCAGCTGCGAGGCGGATGAGCGGGATTTGCTGGGCGAGGGCATTGCGACCGAGTGCTGAGACTACGGTGTCGATTCCTACTCCGGTTGGTTAACCTTCTGTCTTTGTTATTGTGTACGAAAGCATTTCGGGGTAGTCGCGTTGTGATTGTTTGGAGGAAAGAGCGTTGGTTTGTTTTGGAACTAAAGTTGTTCACTCACCCTCGTATGCAGCTTTCACGGTATTCTCGTCTTCGATGTTGCCGACGATGACCTCGACGCCTTGCTCTTTTAATTTGTTGAGCTGTGGGGCTTTGGTTGAGGCTGTGTGGGGGGAAGTGAAGATTGCAATGCGGTTGAATTGGGGGCGTGAAGAGAGGATGGCGTTTAGGATGTAGGTGCCTATGGTGCCTGTTGCGCCAAAGAGGAGGATGTTTTTCGCGAGAGACATTGTTGAAGTGGTGTAGATGAAATGCTATGATGCTTGCAAGGTTCTATATGGAGCTTAAATAAATAGTGCGGGGGGTGTGGGGGTCCTGCTTATCAATTCGAAGCCCCGGGGGCAGCCCGAAGTTCGGAGTCGGAATTCATGCCGATTCAACTTGTTGAACAAGAAAAGCTTCAATTTTTATGTAAATATCTTGTTACTACTTACTAGAGCTATCATGAATTGGCCCCCTAGAATTAAACCACCATTTCCAGAATCTCCAATACCTGTTCCTTCTCCTTGAGTGGCACCGGATTGGTCTTGCACCAACGATCATGCAGACTATTTTCGGCCAATACATCCAATTTGTCACGTCCTACATGGAAATCGCTCAAGCTACGAGGCATTCCCAGTTCACGGATGATGACATCCAGAATATCGCCCAGGTCGGACGTTTCGACGGTAACCGAACGGCCCCGTAGAACTTCCAGTACAACCGGATCTTGGATGAGAAATTCGCGCACTTTGTCTTGTTGCTCACGGTTGGCGTTGTGCTTTGCGTTGAACTTACACACAGCGGGAAGTAGAATACAGCTGGTCTCGCCGTGGCCGACGCCTAGTGGACCAAGCTATGTGAAGTCAATATACTGTCGTTGAAGAGGTGACTTGCATGTGAAAGGCAAGAAAATAAACTGGGAAGAAACTGCATACCTGATGTCCAATCCCATGACTAGCACCCAACTCAATCGACCCGCTCGTACACGCCGCCATGGCATCCACGGAGCCCAGTTGACATTGCAAGTGCGCATCACTGTCTGCGCGATCTTTCTTGCACCGCAACAGACCGGGGACCAGCTGGCTTAGTCCACGCCGAGCTAAATTATCTGATTTCTCGGTCGTGCCGGCCACCGCGCACAGGGTTTCAACACAATGGTCAATTGCGCGCACGCCGGTACTAAGCCAGATTGAATCTGGAGTGGTTTTCACCAGCTCTGGGTCAAGGATTACCAGCTGGGGTCCACGAGTCGGTGCTTGAAAGCTGTGTTTGCGCTTTGACTTATCTTCCGTGCCGCCGGCGAAATTGGAGTATTCGCCAGCGGAGAGAGAGGTGGGCACGGAGACGATTGGGAGAGTCGGTGCTCTAATCTCTTTTCGTTGTTTGGGACCTGATGCAAGGGTTTCAAGTTCCTCTGGTGTGCTGACCTCGTTTGCGAGTGCCTGGAAAGACGTTAAAATTGGGACAATCAGTGGCTGGATAGAATATACGAGGGATGAAATAGATGAACGGCTGTGCATGGGACAGATCATGAAGCGAATACTATTGAGAAACCCGATATACTAACCAATGCAACAATCTTGGCACCATCGGTCAAGCTCCCAGCTCCGACAGTCAAGAGCAGATCAGCATGCACAGTTCGAATGTCTTGGGTGATCTCCAGCACCTCTGACCACAAAGTGTGGCTTTGCATACCAATTCGACGGCCAACCAGTTTTGGTCCCAGAGTCGTCTCCAGCTGGGCTATTACATCTGTGTTTCGCGCCAGTGATCCCGAGCAGACCACATATACACGCGAGGCCTTGAAGGTATCGGTGAGATGACGGGCAGTAGCTGCGGGGAAGGCAATGCCATAAGAAATGAGTGGTCGCTCACGACCTTCAAAGGCAGGCCGAACCGTTTCTTCTGGCATCATGTCAATTGTCAAATATGGCCTGTTATAACAGTATATTCTCACAGACGATATACATCGAAGAATATCGAAGAAGTAAGTCGAGGATCGAGGTGGAATGACGTAACTTAAAGATGGGAAAGCGGGGCTTGGTGTGGCTCGTTTCATTCACGTGTACCACGTGGAACAATATTTAAAAACATTTTAGCATCCCTCGAGTCCATGAACTCCTGCTTCAGCAGTATACTTGCACTTTCCAACACCCGGCGTTGTCGCGTTCTCACGAGGGTATAGCACCACATTCTCAAGATCAATATTATAGCACGGATGCACGTCCGAGCATGAGATAGACGCGATTTTGTTGGAATCCGAAGTCCCCTCGAGATACCCCGTGAAATTTACAAAAGCGACATTGGATATACTCATCAAGCTCGTCCCCGAATAGGAGCCATTGTCTCCATTATCCTGCGTGATACCAGGCCCAGAATCGGCTCCATAGATTTCGAAATTCGAGAACAATACGTTCCGAATGCTTCCCCAGCCACCGCCGCGAGGAAGACCAGCACTCTCGTAGAAGCTCTGGGGCACAAGGGCGCCAACCCAGGTCTTGATATAAGCGCTATTATGCAGATCTTCATTGTATCGGATGACCTTGACTTTGTCGACGCGGATGTTGGCCACGCCGGAGTCTTCCTGGTATTGGCCTAGACTGCCTATGGCAATGCCGTTCCCACCACGACATGTGACGTTGTGGATATCGACATTGTATGACCGCGGTTTGATGGCCACGCAGTCATCCCCGCCTTGGTAGACGAAATTGGTGAGTTGGATGTTTTCCACATCCATTGTATCTGTTCACGGTGTTAGCGGGTTCATACTCATACGCGTTTTATAGATTGCCATACCAAATCCATCCGTATTCTGGACCCAATTCTCGCCGTACGGTGCGTCTACTGCAGTCGCGTTGCAGTAGATGTTATTGAAGCGCATGTTGGTTCCGTTCATTATATTCAAGCTCCACAGCTGGGGGTCCTTGACGTAGAAGTTCTCAACGCTGACATCGGAAACATTCCAAAAAACAAACGGCATTGGTCGACCGGGCTGCGTGTCACCCTTCTCGGCTGTATACCAATGATTGCCGTTACCGTCAATGCCACCAGTACCATGTCCGTCGATGGTGATATTTTGGCCTGTGATAACAAAGCCAGCGGCGTGGTTTTGGAAGGCAATAGGATATGAATTATTGCGCCAGTAATCGAGGTCATCAGAAAACTAGCCCTGGTTAGGTGCATCCCGGTTGGCTTGAGTTTATGACCGCAGTGTACTCACTGTCCATTTCCCACGCCACTCAATTGAAACATCATTGACGATGGGGTTCAGTCGAGTTCCGATCCAATACTCTTGGTCCTCTGGGAAGATAATCCTACCACCATTGCCACACCGATGGAAAGCTTCGAGGATATTGGGAACATCATCTTTCTGGTCTCCATTGGCTTTGATGGTGCAAACATTCGGGCTGTGTTTACCCTCTGCGTAAACAACAGTCGACAGTGCCAAGTCCAAGGCAAGTATCCTGGAAAATCGCATCGTGACCTCGACATAGATGACTTGGCCTAACCGGTAGCTGCTCTACTTCCATACAATGTTTTATATCCTCATAATCCCGTACTACACACTCGGTAGTTTTTACACCGAGCATGGATAGTGTGACATGGCGGCTAAATCTGTCTGCGGGGAAACCACCGGGGTTACTATGATCTGCACGAAAAACATGAGATGTGAATCCTCCCGACCACCTGTTACGACGATCTTTGCCTGGGGTGCTTCAACGGTCGAAAGTATGGGCCAGGATTCTTCCACCAATTGAGGCTATGTAGAGATGAAGTTCCCTTTTCGTGTTGTTCTAGTGCAATAATTTCTCTTCCGACAACTTGCTGTTCAATGCCACACACTTTCCCTCCACGCAATCACCAATGGCACATCTATACTGGCTCAGCGTAGTACTGAGCCTTTGGCCTCTCTTCTCCCTATCTGTGGCAGAGGGCTGCTGGCGCGATACCTCTTGCACCGGGCCTGAGGACACTGCATTCAGCGGGCCATGGGAAAATAACATATTCTCACCGGCATCGCGAATAGTACGACCAGTCTCGACACTCTCAGAGCTAAAATCCAATGCCATCACAGACCAATCTTATCCATACAAAGCAACTCTGCACGGAAACGGATCACTGGTTGTATTCGACTTTGGCATTGAAGTAGGCGGCATAGTCCATTTGGACTATACTTCCACCGGCAGTGGAGCTATAGGACTGGCATTCACCGAAGCCAAGAACTGGATCGGGGAATGGTCAGACTCGTCAAGCGCACTATACCACGACGGTGCATTGTACGCGAATATCTCGTCGGCCGGGAACAGCACATATGTCATGCCTGACAAATACCTGCGTGGCGGATTCCGATACTTGACGGTCTTCTTGATCACGGATGACTCGGCTAGTGTCCAGATTGACGATTTGAGATTGGAACTTGCGTTCAAGCCCACTTGGGCGAATCTTCGAGCTTACCAGGGCTATTTTCACTGCAGTGATGAGCTTCTGAATCGCATTTGGTACAGTGGTGCATATACTTTGCAGACAAATGAGGTTCCTGTCAATACTGGCCGTGTCACGGATGGCGTTACCTCTGGCTGGGTAAATAACGGCACACTGGGGCCTGGAGACACGATCATTGTCGATGGTGCCAAGCGAGATCGTGCTGTCTGGCCGGGTGATATGGGGATTGCCGTTCCTTCCGCTTTTGTCAGCTTGGGGGATTTGGAAAGTGTGAAGAATGCATTGCAAATCATGTACAATACACAGGTGAGATTGACCCCCTCCCCCCATCCTTGTTGGGTACAACCTGACAAGTCATGCTTGATAGGACAAGACAACGGGTGCATTTGACGAGTCCGGGCCTCCACTGAGTCAAAAAGACTCGGACACATATCATATGTGGACCATGATTGGCACTTACAAGTATGTCCTTTATACCAACGACACAGGCTTCTTATCGAAGAATTGGGCCAGCTATCGACACGCCATGGACTATATCTATGGCAAGGTGACTTATCCCAGCGGGCTACTGAATGTAACCGGCACGAGAGATTGGGCGAGATGGCAGCAGGGCTACAACAACACAGAAGCACAGATGATGTACGTTGTAATTACACCACACCGAAAAAGAACCAACTAACGCAATATAGTCTCTACCATACCCTACAGACAGGAGCATCTCTCGCGTCATGGGCCGAAGACTCAACCAATCTATCCAGCATGTGGAATTCACAAGCCGCTACCCTCAGGGAATCAATCAACACTCATTGCTGGGATGATGCGTACGGGGCATTCAAGGACAATGCAACCGAGACCTCTCTACACCCACAAGACGCCAACAGCATGGCAATTCTGTTCGGTGTGGTGAACCGCGAGCGCGCAGCTAGCATTTCAGAGAAGCTCCTCGAAAACTGGACGCCAATTGGAGCCGTTGCTCCCGAGTTGCCCGAGAACATAGTCTCGTTCATTTCCTCCTTTGAGATCCAGAGCCACTTCATTGCTCACCAGCCTGCACGGGCATTGGAACTTATTCGACGCAGCTGGGGCTGGTATATCAATAATCCAAACGGAACAGAGAGCACCGTTATTGAAGGGTATCTCCGGAACGGGACGTTCGGGTATCGCATGGATCGTGGGTATGGATTTGATCCATCGTATGTTTCACATGCTCATGGCTGGTCGTCCGGACCAACGTCTGCATTGACGGAGTATATTGTCGGTCTTTCTGTGGTCTCACCACTGGGTGAGACTTGGAAAATTGCGCCTCAGTTTGGGGATCTGGAGTTTGCTGAGGCTGGCTTCGTCACTACTCTTGGAAAGTTCAAGGCGTCTTGGAGGAAGCAATCAAATGGGTATTTGTTGGCATTCTCAGTGCCGAAGGGTACTGTTGGTAATGTCACTTTGCCCTATGTGGTAGCCTTGAAGAAGCCTTCAATCACCATCGATGGCGACCAATTGACTAGAGGCGTTGCTTATGTCGATGAGACCGCAACTTTTGAAGTTACTGGTGGCTCTCACGAGGTCGTTGTGAAGTAGGTATTGATGAACTAGGGTCAGTTATTAGGTCTAAATATCAATGTTCTGCATGTATGATGTAAGTCACCAGATAACTGGTTATTTATGTAGTTATCTCGTGTTGGACACATATAAGTAGTAGTACCCTGCCCGGGTTCATGTACAGCAGGGGCCAGGAAGATGACCGCAGATCAAGTACATCACGTGCATCCCCACAGTCCCATCTCCGTCACCAACCGCCAATGCTGCCCTTCCCTCACGGTACCGAACGAACAACCTCATAATGGCTTCCACCCTCCGTCAAACCCCATGGCGGGCCTACCAATGCCTCACCCGGCACCAACTACACACAACCCGCCTATCCACCCGAAATCTCTCCACCACCCCCTCCGCAATGCAACCAGTAACCCTCTCCGCTCCCGAGGATCCGCAGCAGCAGACCTGCAGCACGCCGCCCAAGCCCAGCGAAAGATGATCCTCTCCGCAGCAGGCATGATCACCTGCGCGGCCGGACTCTACGGCGTCATCAAACTCGACCTCTTCGGCCTCAACGAGCTCGAAACCAAATCCGACAAGAACCCCCCGCCAAAGAGCAGCAGCGGCACTCTGCAAATGGACGGTCCCGCCGGTTTCCCGAATGGCGGACCCTCCGTAATAACCATCCAAGGCCAAGACGGCCTCGAGCAAGTGCCCACCGGAACAAGCACAATCCCGCACTTCCCCAGCACAATCCGCCTCCCAACCCACGAAGCAACAGAAGGCAAGCAAGCAGGCGACGAGCTCGCCCCCTCACAAGGAGAAGAATACCAACTCCTGGGTCTGGGCATCCGCACCGTCTCCTTCCTCTCAATCCAAGTCTACGTCGTCGGCCTCTACGTCGCAAAACCAGACATAACAACCCTCCAGCAGCGCCTCATCCGCACAGCAGTCCACCCACCCGCCACAGACGCAACGTCTGCCATTTCCGGCGCCGGCGCGGAAGCAGCTACCTCGCTCGTCCCGCTCGAGCGAGAGCAGCTCAGGGAGTTGCTCCTGGACGCTGAGCGCGGTGATGCGGTTTGGTCGGCTGTTCTCAAGGATGATGGTGTTCGCACGGCGTTCCGTATCGTGCCGACGAGGAACACGGATTTCATGCATTTGCGTGATGGGTGGGTGCGCGGTATTACTGCGCGCGCGCAGGCGAAGAAGGCTACGGCTACTGGTGCAGCTGGGGAGTTCCAGGATGAGAGGTTTGGGACCTCAATGAATGATTTTAAGTCTGTCTTTGGTGCTGGGAAGGGGAAGGCGGTGCCGAAGGGTCAGACGCTTGTTTTGATGCGGGATTCGCGGGGCGTTTTGGATGCGCTTTTCCAGCCGGGTGATGATAAGCCTGTTAAGTGGATGGGGCGGGTGGAGGATGAGAGGATTAGTCGGCTTGTTTGGTTGAATTATCTTGCTGGCAAGAGTGTTGCGAGTGAGGGGGCCCGCACGAGTATCGTTGATGGGTTGATGAGGATTGTGGAGAGACCGCTGGGTACGGTTGTGCAGAAGGTTATCTAGATGTGTTTATGCTCTCTGTGCCAACATACCTGTACTCTAAGTAGTCTCTTTTTCCTGTTTATTTTCTTCTCTCAGACATGGCAAAGCTCCACTCAATACTACGTCTAACCTCGGATGATAGAGCTTAGAGCTTAGAGCTTCTTTGATACCCTTCAATTCAATGTCCCGGCATCCTACTGGATTGTACAACATACATATACTGAATCTACTGAACAGAAGATCCTATTCCGAGATTACATCCAAGTTATAAGGCGCAACGCTGTGCATTATGAAGCTACCTTCATGAAGTGTGTATATCCAAATCGAACCTCATGGGATCTCACTAATAATGACATCGAGCTTAAAGAGCACCAGCATCGGCAAGCAACTCCTTCAGATCCTTCTTAGCCTGAAGGTCCGAGTTCCCACCAATGTGCTTCTGCTTAATGTAGATATTGGGCACGGTGCGCTGGCCGGAGATCTCAGCGAGTGCGCTCTGGATAGCGGATCCTTCCTCTGCAACGAAACAAACTTAGATTAGCAATTATCCCTATATCAAACTTCAGAGAGGACAACGTCTCCCTCTCTCTCTTAGCTCTGACACTCCTGTTCCCGGACCCCGAATTGCAACAACCAAGAAAGCACCACTCACCATCCTGATCCAATTCAAGCACAGTGAACTTGGCATTGAGGCTCTTGAGCAACTTCTTCGAAGAGTCGCAGTAAGGACAATAAGACTTCGAGAAGACGACGACGGCGTTCTCGTCGATGAGGGACTGGGCGCGGGTCTTAGCGGCGGACATGGCGACGGAACTTGGGCCGGCGAAGGAGCCGAAAAGACGGGTGAAGATGAACGAAATGGTGGGTGGTTGTGGGATGGTGAGTCCGGGAGGAAGAGTGATGGTCTTATATATGAGGTACTGGTGTTTTCGGGCGGGGTACTGACGAACGAGTGAGGGAAGTGAATTGGTTGGTTCAGGATTGCGGGATGAGGCGATGATGTCAGGTGATATTTGTCAGCGGGAAGGGTGATTCGGAGCCTTGGCTGGATTGGAGATCTAGATGCTGTGCTTATAAAACTAGGGCTTTTTGGCTGTTGGAAGTAACTAGATGTAGGCAGCTATGTACGTACATATATTTTAACATATGATTTGCAATGATGACTTGCTGATTACTTGCTAGTTATATACGCCACATAAGATTACAAATAGTCCATTCTTTGCATGTGTGTTGTATTCATTCAACCTGACGTCTGGCAAGCTCCGTAAGCAATTAACTAGGTAGCTGGCATTTAGAATGCAATTGGATCCAGGCATATGACTGCTCTTACCAAGGAGCAGAGCAGAGCAGAGAAAATAAAGAAGAGAAAAGCGCTAGCAAGAATGGGAATATGGCGAAACAGGCTTCAAGTATGGTCCGGAAAGAAATACAGAACCAAAAGATTAGAAACATGAAAGGAAAATTTGGCATCGAGTTGGAAAAGGCAGCGGCGGGTACAAGGTATGTCTCAAGAGAAAGCGCATACATCTTGATTTCATAGTCGTCGAGATGTAGCTCTTGAGTCCCATTCTGGCCATCGCAGCTGGAGCGAGTTTTGGGGGGTGGTCCTTGTGCCAATTGGCAGGGAGGACAATGATCACCGGAAAAGAGAAGTGGAATATCAAGGAATGGATAGACGGGGAAGGAAAAAGGAACCCATGCTCATGGTGCTGAAGGATCGAATTAAAAGGAATTGGGGCGAAGAATGTGCCCTTGATCGCGGGATATTAAGTCACAGAACAAAACCGACTGAACACCATCCCGCCGGAGACGCTGAAAAGGGGGAAAAAAATGACAGAGAATGGAACCAAGCAGATGTGCAAATATCAAAAGTATGTTGGTGGGATAGATGAGAGAATGAGATAGGAGAAATGGGGGTTTACATCACAATGCAACATCCACAGCCCTTCTCTTTCTTCTCTGGCGGCTGCGCGGTGACAACAGGGGGGTTCCAGTTGGGGTTGGGGTTCAGCCCCATTGGAGGTGTCTCTTGCATCTTCGGCATAGTGCTGTAGCCGGTGCTCGTATTCGGGCGGCGCGGTTCGGGGCTCTTTGACGGTTGAGGTGGCAATTCTTCAAGCTGTAGGGATTCGCTATTCTGCTGTTCCGGTTCGGGCTCAGCCGGGGTCGGGACAGGAGGTGGTGCGTCCACGGCATGCACGGCCAGGGGCTCGAAGTTGCGATCGTAAGTGTTTGGAGTCCGACCTTCCTTCTCCCACTGTTCCTGCATGATCTTTTTGGCGACGGTTGGGATCATCTGTTGGTCGGGTGGCAGGCGAGGGTCAGGCTTGTACATGGTTGCCAACCAAGGCGGATCTCCTTCGGGTCGATTTGCAGCAGTTGGAGGGCGGCTCTCGCCGGACCGGGTGGTAGGTCGCGCGGTGGTGTTGCCGGAGACGGCACGAGATCGAGGTGTGCTTGCCTTCCTGTTGGTGGGCGGAGCAGAGGTCTTGCGATTGGTGGAGCCTGCAGCCTTTCCAGGGGTTTTCTTGCCGGGGGTATTCTGTGTGGTATTGAACCCGCGGCTGCCTGGTCGACTTACTGGCGAAGGAGTCGAAGCAATGTTTTCAACGTTGATAGGTTCACTGGCTCTACGGCCGCGTGAGGACCGGTCATCTTCATCTGTGGCGGCGCGGCTCCGTGAACTGCGAGAATCGCGGCCTATGGGAATTGGAACCGGACTGGCCGTCGAAATAGGTATTCGGGAGGCGCTTTTTCCAAAGCTCGCGTGGCTGTAGATGCTGGTGGCTGCATCGTCCGCCGCAATCTCCTCCGGTCGACGGAGATCCCAGTGTTTCCGTTCCTCTTCTACCTCGTCATCCACGTGCCGAGTACGATCTTGCCCCATGTCCGGCCATGGCTCGGAGTATTCTCCGGTGGACGATGTCACCGTGCCAGTCCAGTTCGTAGCGCTCTGATGTGCCTCGTGACTCCTCCCACGTCCCGCACTCGATTTGCTTTCTCCTCTCATCCGTCGTTGGAAGAGAATGGCCGCCTGGTGGAGTTCCTCGCTCTCGATCTTTGCCAGCTTGTCCCGGTGGATCCATTTTTCCTGGTTCGTATGCACGTCCAGGTACAACCTCAGACCATCCCTGGTCTCCTCGGGCTCTTTACGGACAACTGTATCGTATCCAGTAGCATCTTTCACACTGCCCATCTCGCTCCCATGTCGAGTGAGACTCCGATCCCTGCGTCCTCTGTTCGAGCCCAAATACGGTGATTCGTGTGCGTTGACGGCACGGGAGAGCGAGGAGCTATGTGAGCCGTTCGAGTTACGCTTCCGAAGAGATTTTGGGCGGATGGAATTCGAGTCGTGCGAGTTGCGTAGTTTGGTGTTGTAGTTTTCCTGCGGGGGTGAAAAAAAGGAGATCAGCGCCATTCTTCCTTTTTTTTTACCACGTTTTCAAACTCCATTGCCAAAGAATGGAACTCAACGAGATCAATCTTACCTCGTGTCCTAGTGGCACTGCAAAATCCCACTGCGAGTCATCCACAGGCGATGCTAAGGCATCTCCAGAATATGCTGCTGTCGCGACACCCGCCATCCCAGAAAGTTATTGTCACAAAGGAAAATAAGGCCAGTCCAGCTGAAACCCGGGTTAAGTAGCGATTGCTAGAATGATTTGAAATGGGATTGAATGTGGTAAAGGATCAAGCCATGCCAGGTGCAAAAGTCGGTGGAGAAGCGTAAGGGGTCCAAGCCGAAAGTAGCAAATTGTCAACAGAGTCAATCGTTCGAAATCGAGATCTTCGGCAGATTCTTCCCACGAGGTAATTTCCAGTCGATGTGGTGACTCGTTCCACGGTTGAAGAGCTCTGGGCGGGGAAGGTTTGAAATGCCGTGGAATGTCTCGAGGTTATCTCGCGGGGTCCGGGGAGGTTGAGACAAGGGGATATGATTATCAGGCAGGGATTGATGAGAATGAAGAGAGAAAGAGAAAAATGAAAGACTATGACGCGAATTCCCAGAGAAAGAGAAGGAAAGAAGTTCAAAGGAGAAAGATAGCCAGACTAGGAATAGTCTTGGGAACTGCTGGGAATCGACTTTCAATATGCCTAGACCCCATCCGAGGTTCCGTATTTATCGTGGGTATTCTTTACTACACTCCTGTATTTTTAGTCAATGCATCCTGTCAGGCATGATTTTGTTAAATTCACAGCATATCAATCAATAATCGATTCCAAGTTCAATAACCCTGAACCCATGTCGTACTCCGTACATTTAACATAACGGGGAAAAAAGTCAGAATTCTCATCGAGCGCTGGGCCGTGCATCGCCCCTGAACCATGTTGATCACCTCAAGATTGCCGCTAACTAGACGGTATCTACTCCGTACCTAGTAATAACATACGTGTGATAATGTACGTTGTAACGGTTGGGAACTCCAGAACTCCACTTGCTTTGTACATTGAAAGAAAGGAAAAAGTGTATACATGCGGGCAAATCGGTTTGACAGGTTTAATCTTGGGGAAAATCGCAAAAAGTTGACATATCACAAAGACGCCGATCCTCTTCCATGCAAAGAAACATCCCGTGGGGTGGACAAAACCCAGCAAGAGGGAACTCCTAAGGCAGCCCCTCTTTCCTCCCCCCGCTCCCCAGAATGAGATAGGTACAAAACGTCTATACATCTCTGGATCCTGTGTTCAAAAGCCAAATTCGAATCTCCCATGAACTATGCACACAAAAAAATAGCGATTCAAGAGCACTTGGTCACCTCTATAGCTTTGCAACCGTATCCAGCCTGCTGAGCGCCGCCTGTGCATCCTTGATAAGGGCTCGGCGCGCATTGCGGGTCGACTCATTGCCATCCGGCTCGATTCCGTCCGCCTTCAACACGACCTGTGCGAGGATCGTCTCGCTCAGTTTACCGTACTCGTATTGTCGCTTCTTGGGGTCGGAGGGCGGGTCCGCAACGTATTCCTCGCAAAGCGGGATCATCTCCTGATGGAGCCACCCGGCCAAAGCAGTGATCTGTTCCAGGGGGGAATGGAGTAACTTGATGTTGGGTGGTAACGCGGGTTGGCCTGAGTGGCCGGACGAGGTAGGTCGTGGCGGGCGAGACGTAGCGGGTGGCTCTGTGGCCACTGGCGCCTTCTTGCGGTTGTTCTTCTTCTTTCTCGAGCTCTTGCTCTTTCCGCTGGGAGGTGTCGGTGGGGACGAGGCTTCTGCACTGCTAGGGCGGAACGGCTGGGTCGGTGCGGGTGCTGGTACTGATGTGGTGGTGGGAATGCTCCGTCCGCTGTCATCGGAGACATCGCTCGGGGTGCCTGCGCCTACTTCGGAGACGACGCACAGCACCTCTGAATGCTGCTTAAGGCCCTCGGCTTTGCATGTACGGGCGTCATTTTTCAACAACTTGCCCTTGTAAAGCAGTCTCACACAGCCAGGTGCTGGAGCTCCCGTGCTCTTCGCGGCCGCTTCTCGTATATCTCCAATGGTCAGGACACCGTCGTCAATTGCGTATGCGCGGAACTGCAATGGATAGATGGTGCCACGATGGCGGAGGGCAATTATATCTGGCTCGGTGTCATCCACTGGGGGATCCAAGATGTCTCCGGGTGTGATATAGCTGAAGTGCTCATCGTTGACCTGGGGATCGGATGCGGGTGCGTAACTCGGCGAGCGGCGTAGCATGCTAAAGGGGTTGCGCCAGCTCATCGTGGCGGCAGTGATTAGGCAGACGAGAACGGCTGCAAGAAGGGCTGGAAGTTGGTTTTCAGCGGCGAACGGCAGCTTTTGCGCGAGGGCACCGAGGGGTGTGGTGGACAGGTGGGCAATAAGAGGATCCAGTCGGAGGCGGGCAGAATGCAATCGAACAGGGAGGACGTCGGTGATGTGACCTATATAGACTGCGCACTTTTCGCCCAAGGTGGACTGAGCGAGGGTCGGAGGCAGTAAATTCATGGATCTTTGTGGAGGGGAAGAGAGAGCAGGTGATTCTGAAGTAATTGCGCCCCCGATCCCAGATAGGTCACTCTACCGTTATTTCAGCTCAGATCAAACATGATTGGCTGAGTCATGTGGGATCACATGACGTACCTAACCAAGTTAGGTTCAGCTCAAATGTTTAGTCTGAGGTCTATTTGGGGCCACCCGTCCGAAAAACCGGAGAAATCAACGAAACGAGCCTCTCTCTTTGAATCATAAGGTCTCGACCACCACGTCGGATTTTATCTCAAAACTTGGCCTACAGAATCTTCTTCTTTACATCCATCACATTTCGCACTATTGACCATTCCTGACTCAAGGTCGTCGAGATTGAAGCGTCCGCGCTCGACCCAAGATTGCGGGAAAGACACTTCACCCGATACACTCGACATTGCCCACCAGCACGTTCAACGCATAAGATTTCGCGTTCTAGGAGGCGTGGCAACTTTAATATAATAAATAAGTGATATTACACTTTGTATCTATAATCGTTGGAGGTCTGAAGATGTTGAGGTCCGTGATTGTTGAGATCCTGGGTTGCCGAATTCACGCATAGAGTGGTGGGACCGGTTTTTCTGACGGGTGGCCCTAAATACTGTGTAGCTCTCAGTCGCAAATTCTGAGCTGAACCGAACTCGGTTAGGTATGTCATATAAACATGACCAGCCATGGAATCATGTTCCGTCTGAGCATACTAGTAACCCATTTTGGGATTGAGCCGTCACTGTACTCGTCAGGATCACGGATTGGCTTTGGGGAGTGGTTATACTGTACTATGTAATTACTCTTAGGCATAGGCGTTTATGGAAGCGGTCGATTATGGCCATCATACAAAACATATTCCATCATACAAAGTACAAACCTCTCATGTTATCCCTCTATTTGCAGCTTTGTGTCACTCCATTTCCCCAGAATTTTCAATCTTCATCAACAGTCGAAGCCAAGATGACCACAACTGCTCAAGAATGCTCTTATTCTTGGTCCAAATGTACTGTGTCTTCGCTGACCTGGACAGCAATCGGGATCGGCATCGCTACCATCGGCTATCTTATAATGGGAACTTATCGAGAAGCACAGTAACAGACAATCTGGCGCGGAAAGGGATATAGAGAGCCGTGCACGTGATATTTCGCTCAATCCGCCTGGGACCTATCCCCGTTTCCCGCCAATGACAACTTTCCCAACTACGCCTGGACACGCTATTTCTGATATGGATCGAGATACCGGGTTTCCATTCATCAGTCAACAAGGGCCCAAGGGGCATAGGACGTGAGGCTTGAAGCAGCCTCGAAAGCGCCAGTGGTCCGTGGTCATACGGGCCTTGGATAATTCTCTCTTCTCGGAGTTTCATGTGAATCAACGAAATTGGGACTCTTGCTGCGTAACGTATGCACGCATGTTCTTGGGGTCAGTTTACAGGATTACTGACATTATAGAGCAGTGTTCTGTGAAATTTCGATCTCATCAATGAGAAGGTGATAGAATAGCTGCACGCCCGCCGTCACTCACTCTGAAAATCGTCCTCAAAAGCCAAGTTTTCTACGTCATACAGCTGTCACTTGCACTGATATTCTAAATGATATGTGTCCTTCGTTCCTTTCCACATTCTCTATGCCTTGGTGGATGTGAACATGATTCATTCAGTGTGGAAGATAACGCGAGAATGTTGATATTCTATAATATTCTATCAGAAAACCAAAGTTCTAGATAGAAGGTGAACAAACCGAAAGAGTCTGATAAACCATCATTACCTTAATACGTATGATCCGCCATTTCAAGCAATTCCTCCTTTCTGGGTACCCGAAGCATATACCGACCTTCTTGCCAGCCGTAGATTGTGCTGCTTCGAAGGATGTCTGTGGCATAGAGCTGCCTGGAGAAATGGCAATGCCTGAAGCCGCTAAGGCTGCCTATAACGGATTCAGGTCACGCTACTGTAATATGACACGGCATTTTTGAACATAGTATATATGATATGGGCTTAACGGCAGCAGATGTTCCTTCTGTTGGTTTGCTGGGTATCTCTTCTTGCGAGATATCGAGGTTTTGTCGACTATTGAGTAACCACATTCCATTGACCTCGATCGCCTATCAGATATACAACGTGGAACGTCCATGGGGTTATATTCACCTGCCACCCATCTTTCCTCAATAACCATTGGTGTGCTGCACAAAAAGAGATATCCATGTTAATACACTATGTCAATGACAATTATGATCAAGGTAGTAGTCTGTGTAACTATTCAGGAATCGTCCAGAAGTCGTCTACGGGTAGGTAAAAGTGCATTTGGCGTACCCTTGATATAACCAATTCTGCTTATTGAAAAATATCAAGCCTTCGTGGTCTAGTTGGTTATGACGTTGGTCTCATATACTTTTCATATGACATTCTTGGTAACAAGATTGACATCCGAAGGTCTCCAGTTCGATCCTGGACGAGGGCATTTTTTTTTGCCTCCCTTTTTCGATACAGTGGAAGATCGAACACTTCTCTTAATCTTTTCGATCAATCTATTTATTTGTATTCTTACTCTGAATAGGCGGCTGGCCGCCTCGCCCCTGTGGGCAAGCAGTCCCTCCTCGGTTCGAATCCAGCTTTTTATGTACATCGTCCGGGGCGCATGCGCCTCCGCCCGCAACTCCCATCGTTAACCTCAATCCACTGGTGCTAGGCCCCGTCCGCCCAGCTTGGTGACAGGTCTGAGTGCATGTCACTAAAAGTTATTATTTTTTTTTCCTTTCTTCCTCCTCCTTCCCCTATCTTAGCAGTAGTAGGGACCCTCCGAGCAGCTGTCTAGCTATAGAGCTACGTCCCTTCGTCTCCTTCTCGGTGTCCCCCCTGTGTGGGTCTCGTGTGGCCACATGTTGCCGCCCTCTAGCTCTCTTGCGAGCCTGTTCTCACCCAGTCGTCCCAGGTTGAAGAACCAAGTTGCCAGTCGCTGGGCGGAGCCATCCCGGGAGAGCGCTGCCCTTAGGGAGTGTCCGTCAGGAAGATCCAGGCCAGCCAGGCCTTCTCTTTCTGGCGTGTATCGTGGGCAGCGGAGCGTGAGGTGTGCGAACGTTTCCGGGGCGCAGCCCTCTTGACAGAGCGGAGATTCGACATGTGGGACTCGTCTGCGATGAAGGAACGCATTTAACCCGATCGCTCCTGTGCGTGCTTGGGTGAGGAGCGAGCTCTTAGCTTTGGTAAGCCCCGAATGTACATTGACTTTGAGAGGGTTGAGCATCGGGTCTAGATCGTAGCCATATGCTGCTTCCCCACCGTGGCTTCGTCTCTCCCTCGCATCGTCGAGTTTCCGTCTTCTCTTGGACTTCCACCCTGGAAAAGTGAATCAGCTCGCTTTTCTCTGTCCAAATCTCATGCCTCTTTCTTTAGCCCACTCGTTGCAGACCCGTAGGCGTGTTCCAGGATCCTGCAACAGGTTGTAGTGTCTTCCGCATATGCCAGGAGATTTGTGTCGTCCGCGAAACCGATAGTGGCTAGGCCGCTGATGCTGCTCAGTCTCCTGTACAGCGACGTCGCAAACAGGATGAAAAGGACGGGTGACAGCGGAGAACCTTGGGGCGTGCCTTGCGTTAGTACTTGTCGTGCTGAGGTCGCTCCGTCAAACCGGAGGCAGACCGTTCTCTCTGTAAAGTAGCTTGCCAGCCATTTCACAAGACGCTTCGGGAGACCAAGGTCACGGAGCGTCGACAGCAGCCATGACCAATCCACCGTGTCGAACGCCCCGACCAGATCGAGCTGTAGCAGTGAGGCGCAGGCCTTATGTTGCCATGCTGTGTGTACGACGTCCGTGACCATCCTGATTGCTACCTCTGTCGATCTATCCCTTCTGAAGCCCATCTGTAGGTCGGGGAGTAGACCTCAGCACGACAAGTACTAACGCAAGGCACGCCCCAAGGTTCTCCGCTGTCACCCATCCTTTTCATCCTGTTTGCGACGTCGCTGTACAGGAGACTGAGCAGCATCAGCGGCCTAGCCACTATCGGTTTCGCGGACGACACAAATCTCCTGGCATATGCGAAAGACACTACAACCTGTTGCAGGATCCTGGAACACGCCTACGGGGTCTGCGACGAGGGGGCTAAAGAAAGAGGCATGAGATTTGGACCAGAGAAAAGCGAGCTGGTTCACTTTTCCAGGACGCGCCTTCCCCGGACGGAAGGAGTCCGCATCCTCGACGGGGGCCGGGCTACCCTGGCCCCTGTGGAGTCAGCCCGGTTTCTCGGAGTTTGGCTGGACCGGAAGCTATCCTTCAAGGAGCACGCTAAGAGGGTTCGCACCAAACTCGAAACCCAATCACTGGCACTCACCCGGCTCGCCGGCAAAACCTGGGGTGTCCGTGTCTCTAAGGCCAGGGAAATCTACACCAAGGTCATCCGAAGCGTGATGGCGTACGGCGCCAGCGCATGGCACACACCAACACCAATGGACGGCAACCCCCGGAGCCCCGCCAAGTCCCTGCTCACGGCTCAGACCAAATGTCTCCGGGCTGTCATTGGGGCATATCAGGCGACACCTATCCACAATGAAGCAGCAGATGGCTACGATCTAGACCCGATGCTCAACCCTCTCAAAGTCAATGTACATTCGGGGCTTACCAAAGCTAAGAGCTCGCTCCTCACCCAAGCACGCACAGGAGCGATCGGGTTAAATGCGTTCCTTCATCGCAGACGAGTCCCACATGTCGAATCTCCGCTCTGTCAAGAGGGCTGCGCCCCGGAAACGTTCGCACACCTCACGCTCCGCTGCCCACGATACACGCCAGAAAGAGAAGGCCTGGCTGGCCTGGATCTTCCTGACGGACACTCCCTAAGGGCAGCGCTCTCCCGGGATGGCTCCGCCCAGCGACTGGCAACTTGGTTCTTCAACCTGGGACGACTGGGTGAGAACAGGCTCGCAAGAGAGCTAGAGGGCGGCAACATGTGGCCACACGAGACCCACACAGGGGGGACACCGAGAAGGAGACGAAGGGACGTAGCTCTATAGCTAGACAGCTGCTCGGAGGGTCCCTACTACTGCTAAGATAGGGGAAGGAGGAGGAAGAAAGGAAAAAAAAATAATAACTTTTAGTGACATGCACTAAGACCTGTCACCAAGCTGGGCGGACGGGGCCTAGCACCAGTGGATTGAGGTTAACGATGGGAGTTGCGGGCGGAGGCGCATGCGCCCCGTACGATGTACATAAAAAGCTGGATTCGAACCGAGGAGGGACTGCTTGCCCACAGGGGCGAGGCGGCCAGCCGCCTATTCAGACCTCCAAATGCTGAGCGAACCTCCAAGATTGCCTGAGGTTGGAGATTCGATGAACTATCGGAGACCGGATTAACACTATCCGGGACGGGGTTAATACTTGTTACGGGTTTGCCAAATACCGCTAAGAATTAGCGGCTCCATTTTGACATTCGATGAGCTGTAACCCCCCACTACACTATGTACTAACTACAGTATCTGTCACAGGCTGGCAAGACATGTCGACATGTGACGAACATTCCATTAATGGTACCTAAAGTGGATATGTAAACGAACAGATTCATAATGAGACCTCCCGGGTGGATACATATGCAACGAAAATTCACGGAAGGACCTCAAGTCATTCAGGTGTTGGCATGCTGATCTTGATCCCTTCCTTCTTGAGACGCTCAACCGCATCCCAGTCAACCTCAAGCTGACCCAAAGGGCCCTTACCCTTGACCTGAATCTCAGGTGGGATAGCCATCCGTTTCGCAGCCAAGGCAATGGACTCGTCGTCCCAAGGCTCATAGAATTTCTCCAGGAAAGCCGCCTCCTCGGCCTCGTTAGGGGGAGTCAGGCTAGCCAGGGCAAGCCACTCATCGACTGGGGTGGAATTTTTTGTAAACTCCTCGACCGAGTCATAAGCCAGCGGAGGTAGATCTGTGCAGGCCAGAGCTGCTGCGAAGGTATCGTGGATGTTGTTCAGCGAGGTGGGACACTTCGCCCAGGCGTCTTTCGCCTCTGTCTCCTCCGGTTTGCCGCTAGAATCCTTCCTTTCATCCGTGTCAGCAGCACGCTTCACTCCCTTGACCGATGACGTCTGCGGAGTGAGCAGCTGAGCGGGTGCCGGAGAGGCAGTCTTGACTGCGTTGAGAGGAGTGGCCGTACCCTGCTTGGCAGGTGATGGTGCTGCACCAGGCTTTGTCGAGGATGGTGCTGGTGGAAGCGTAGATGTCGGTTGGGCTTCCGAACTTTCGTTGGGATTGAGACCCAGACCGATTGAGAGACTTTCATGGTAATAGTTGATGTAATCGTCGAAGATATCTTGCTCCTCTGGTTGGTGGCTTTCCTCAACGTGCTTGTCTAGAGCAGCTTGTGTGGGGAATCCCTGGTAATGGCTCTGGCACTCAACCACAGTGCATTTGAAAGCACCCGCCATAGCCGCGGCACTAGAGGTAGCATCTGCCACCGCTTTGTTGTATTTCGCCGCTGCACCGCCAGGAGTTGCGGTGGGTTGAACCGGTGACGATGCCACGGCATGGGACTGCTTTCGCTTCTTCGGAGGAGGCAGCTTGAGGTTTTCGGGAGCAAGTCCCCCCGAAGCATACTGAGGGACACCTCTTGGCGATGGTGCTGCAAAAGGTGCAGCAGGAGGGTTTGCGGATTGACTAGAGGCGCGCCGGGCCCTCTGAAGGGCTTCTTCCTGAGCCTGCAATTGCTGCAAGTTCGTCGCATTCAACACTGGCATGTTACCTTGCGCCGGGGCTGTGGAACCAGGAGGCTGCGCGGCATTAGGGCGCATGCGAGAGATCATCACCGTGAACAACTTCCGTATGAAAAGGATGGCACCCTGAACGAACTCAGGTTTCAACGTGAGGTGTTCATTGACAACCCAGTCCTGCGTGGGCTTGAATTGTCTCATCAATTGGATACGCTAAGTGACATCAGATCAGTAAATAAACGCCTATATGGTTTAATGAGAACGTACCATGTTGAGGAGACTCTTCACATTGGGCTCCTGGCCGGACAGCTTTGAGTACCATTGTACTAAAACATCCAAGCGACCCAGGAGCTCCACGGCTTCGCGCAGTTGCTTGGTCATAGTAGCCTTCTGCTCCGGTGAAAGGGGCACAGGCATTGCGGGTGGCATGTTGTTGGCAATTTCGTTGTAAACCTCCATAACCTGAGGCGGCAGGTTCCTGTTCCAGGCCTCCTCAGCGGCTGCTCTACTGGGAACCGGATTTCGACCTTGCTGCTGCCTCCGCATGCTCATCTCAACCTGGGCTCGTTGCTGAGGGGTCATTTGTGCAAGCTGTTCCTGACTGAAAGGTAGACTAGGCCGTTGAGGCGTACTTCCGGGGGCCCCTGGAACAGCTGCTGGGTGATTCATCTGGGGAGTAGCCATGGCCGGAGCTTCTGTATCATCGGTAGTCGCCTTTTTCTTCGAGGGCTGCTTCCCGGTCGCAGCTCTACCACCCTTGGCTGCGGTGCCAGCCTGCATCTTGGTATTCGCTGGTTGGGGTGTCGACTGCGGCTGTTGGAGGGAAGGTTGCGGCTTGGCTTGCTGAACAGGCTGTGCTGCAGGAATCACAGGTTGCGCCATTGGGTGACCGAGTTGACCAGGCTGCGCGTTTGCCTCCTGTTGCATTGCTCGGTTCTGGGCGGCCTGCATCATATGCTTCTGACGATTACGATACAAGAGTTCGCGAATCTGTTCGTCGGTGAGACTTGACGCCTGCTGCCCCAGCTTCTGACGAGCCATTTGGATCTCTTGAGCGGATATTGGTCGTATGGCTGGCATATTGAAAGGGGCGGGTTGCTGACCAGGAGGGAAGCCTGGCGCATTCGCAAACGGAATCTGGGTACTTTGAAAGGGGGTTGCCGCTGGACCCTGCCCATTCTGATCTCTGACTTGACCACCAGAGTTTGCGATGAGCTGGCCTAGATGGAGCTTTTGGAGCATCATAAGACGCGGAAGGTCGTTGGGGCTTGCAATTTGAGGGTTCGAGATAGCCCATTGCTTGAGTTGACCCCAAGACTTGACGTGATTAGGGACCTGCATTGAGGTGCCGTTCATGTTCAGGAGGGATGGAGGGAAAGTGACGCGGTCCATTTGCTTGCTTTGCTCCGGAGTCATCTCCACGCCGTTGTTTTGTTGGCGCAGCATTTGGAGCTTGTAAGCTTCATTCTGGCGCTGTTGACGTTGCTGAGGGGTCATTTGCTGCTGGCCTTGGGGTAGTCCTGCCGGGTTCAGATCCTGTGGGACACCTCCCATTGGGCCCCTCATCATGGCATTGCCCATCTGATTATTGAGCATCGACGGGGCTTGACCTGGTTGAGGCTGCGGACCTGGAGTAGCTCGAGCCATGTTGTTGAGAGCAGCACGACGATGTTGCATCATGAAAGCTTGAGCTTGCTCCTGGGTCATGCGGGAAAGTTGCTCTTGGATGTGTGGTGGGATGTTGTTCGGCATTGGTGGCCGACCTTGCATCGCAGCCTGTCCTGCAACCCCGGTTGGATGCTGGCCCATGTTCGCGGATCGGGACGGTGGTCGGGCCTGGGCGGGTACCTGTACCGGTGACATCTGAGCTGGGGCCATGGGTTGATTCAGCATCGTCATGGCTGGGCTCTGCCCATTCATCTGGGACTGCGCTTGGGGGTTCCCTTGTCCACCATGGCCAGAGATAGCCATCTGAGCCTTCTGAGCTGCCTGTGCACGCGCCTGGGCCTGGGCCTGAGCCTGGGCCTGTGCCTGTTGCGCCTGGAACTGCATTTGATTCTGGGGTGTGTTGGACCCACCCTGCAGATGTTGTTGAGCAAGAAACTGGGCCTGAGCGTTGGGATTGTTGCCATTCATGTTCGCCTGGGTGTTCTGACCCATCTGCTGCGGGTACATGTTGTTGTTAGGGAACGGAGCCTGATTTATTTGCGTAGAGCTCGCAGGAACGACTAGCTGACCAGCTTCCTGGGAACGCAGGCCATCAGCTTGCTGGCCCTGGATGTTCTCTACATTGCCCATGAAGTTCGGAGGCTCCATCGTCTGACCAGGGTTTCCCGGGAACGCAGAATTTCGTTGGAGATTCAACATATTTTGGAGCATTTGGCGTTGATGTGGGTTGTTCATCATCTGGTCACCCATCATGTTGCCACTTGCATCCACACCAGCACTTGGCGCACGTCCCCCCATCTCTAGTCGAGTGCGACGATGACGTCTGATCTGATTGAGTGCCTGGGAGCGAAAGAAATAGGTCATGGGCTCCAGGTTTTTTCGTGCCAGGTATTGGCGTTGCTCAGGAGTCATGTTGGACAAGTTCATTTTGATCTTTTCCATATCCTCTGGGCTCGTCTTGTTCAACATCTCGTTTGCCAATCGAGAAACGTGGTCGAGATCTTGAGCTGAAAGGGTGCTGAGTTCGTCGACCATGGGGATTCCGTTTCCGGGGCGCTGTTGGGCCCGCTGCTGCTGCTGCTGCTGCTGCTGGAGCATTGCCTGCGACTGCTGTTGTTGGCGCTGCTGTTGTTGATGCATAGCCACCTGCTGATTTTGTCCATTCATCCCCATTCCCATCTGCGGTTGACCAGGAATCGGGGAGGCTTGCATGCCTGGGTGCTGCGGAAAAGCGCCGGTCATCTGGTTTTGTCCGGCGCCTGTTTGAGGAATCATTCCACTCTGGTAAGCAACTGCGGCCTGTCGCTCTCGAGTACTTCTGATGTGCAGGAGCTTTTCCTTGCATTCCTTGTCATATTCCATTTTTTCGTTGGCTTTGGTGAACGCTTTCAGCTCAAAGGTCATGGCCGCCTGGGCCGCTTGGTGTAGGTCGATACGAGGTTGGATCAAACGGAGTGAGGTGATCCTAAAAAAATCCAAACAGCGAGGTTAGATCAGACAGCATCAAACGCGCGCAGTCAAAAGGTCGAAGAAACAACTTACATCTGATAAACATTGGCGGCGCGAGCTTTGATTGGGACGTCGGCTTTCCATCCTCCATACGGTCCCTGACTCTGCAACATTTGCGCAACGTACGCCATCATAGACTGCGGGTTGTCGCCCTTGGGAATCTGCATGTTGGCCTTCATTCTCATCGCTGCGGTCGGGGCTGGCCGGCCAGGCCCCGCGCCCGGGTTGGGGAACTGCTCGGGATTCATAGCAGATACCCCATCAGTGGGGATTGAGCAATCCGCGAAAGTTGTTTGAGGATTAGCATTCGCTGGAGTGATCTCACGCGACTGTGAGAATATCACAATATTAGCGACGTAGAGACACAAGAAATTCAGTCAAGACGGGTTGCTGATCGGGTAAAAGAGGGAAAAAAAGGCGGATACTAGGTGCTGGTGTGGAACCGTGATTTCGAGTCGATCAGGGAGGGTGGGGATGGGTAGGAAAATCAACGAAACGGAGGACAGGAGGGACTGGAGGGAAACCAACACGACCAACGCAACGAGTAAAGCAAGGCGTTCGGGCACCAGCGTCAGAGTAATTCAATTCGCTGGCCAACACCTGATTGTGGCTTGGAACGAATAAGAGTAGTTTTGAGAGTGTAGGAAACTAGTGACAGGGATCATGCAGCTTTTGAAGTTGCACCGGACCTCAAATCGCTTTGGTCTCTTCAGAAGATTTGGGGTGGGAGAAGAGAAGAAAACGCCAAAAACAATAAGGTACTTACAGAAAGTCAGGACTGAGACAAAGAACTGAGTGCACAGATCTTTGAGATAGGGAGAGGGAAGATGGGGAATTGGGGGGGGGGGGCAAATGATAAAAAGTGGCAAGTGAATTGAAATTATTATGGGGTGGTTAGAAGTATTAAATTTGGGTAAATGAATGAGGAGAGAAAGATGAATTAGAATGAGATCAAAGGAAGGAGAATGTTTTATTAGATGAAGCCCATTGAGGGATTGATTGAGGTGAGGAACGTCAATTGCATTGAAATGAAACGGCGCGTATCAATAGGCGGGTATTGATTTGGTATTGGAATGTAATGTAGTCATCAGGCTAGCTCGGTGGTACTTGGTTCTGTACCTGAACCTACCTACTACATCATGTACCCTGGGGAAATGATCATGTGCCTTACTTGTATTACTTGTACTATCCATACCTCGTGTACTTAGTGTGACCTCCGCCTGGCGATCCCTCAGGCATTATTTTGAAGTATCTGGAGCTCGTCATCATCATGAGCTATTATCTACACAGTACATCCAGGTTAGAAGGTTAATTTACACTCTTACATAAGAATATAAAAAAGACATCAATCTCTACTTAAAATACTACAATACAGTAATTCTGAATTTATCAAACTGATCTGGTAAAAGCAAAGTAATTCAAATCCAATTCTCATCAGGATCGACAGGCGTTCTGGCCCTGACCTGATCCGGAGAAACCAATTGGTCAAAAATCCGGAAACACTCCCAGGAGGCTGTGGCTATGTACCAGGTACTCCACTATATACTGGAACTGTCAGCAAAAAGGAAGTCTCCAGTACTTATACCTAGTCAGTCCAAGAGCTTAAGTCAGCCACTCTCCTGGAAACGTCAACCTCAGCCCTGGAGGGTGGACTGTTCTATATATACACTTCTGCCCTTCAACATCTTTCCACACGGTCGCTCTTTTCCCTCGCGTCCTAGTTACCTCGCCATGAACAACGATTGAAGAAAGTTGCTTTTTCTCCTTTAGCTTTCGCTGGTTCTTCGGCATGTTCTCCGTCTCTGTGTCCCCCGTCTCGGTGGGCTCCAACGTCTTTTTCGCATTTGCCCTGTTCCTCATCTCCGCTCTTGTGTTACTTCTCCTGCGACGCTTTCTCACCCTCCGCGCCACCCCCGGGTATTTAACCGTTCCGATATTCTTGGCCCTGGCTCTGCCCGCCAGTGTGGTGCTCCTAGTCCCCATCGATTTGGCGTCAAGTTCGCGCGATGGTTCTGGGCCCAGGGCAATCTGGCTGCCGGAGCGAGTGGTTCTGGTATGCTGGCGCATTGCCTATTGGCTGATCTTCGTTCTTACCTGGTACGTCCTCCCACGTTAGTCTACTTGAACGGGAACAGTCACTCATTCTTGTCTCTCACTTAGGGTCATCCTTCCGTTACTTGGTGAATATGTCGATTCGGGTTACCGTGAACCCAAAGGCCGTCTCATGTACTCTCTTCGCTCAAATGCCCAATACCAATTGATCGTCCTGGGATGTTCCCTGGTGGGGTTGGTCTATGTGTCGATCTCAAATGGATTTGAATTTACCTCCATTAAGGGTCTTGTCATGGCATTAGCGTACGTGTGGGGTCTCGTTCTAGCCATTTACCTCATGGGCCACGGCCTCGTTTCCATCCCGCGCAATTTGCTCCGAAATTCCAACGTCAGCGGTCGGCTGAAGAGAATCCAAGCACATGCACCCAAGGTGCACGATCGCTTAATGGACTCGGTCAACGAGTTGCAGAATCTCAACAGTCAGGTTACACAACTACAGCGCCGTAAAACAGGCACGGCGCGTGATTTCCGTGAATGGATAGAAGAGCTACAGGAAGGGCACGACCAAACTGACGTGCGAGCCCCGATTCTCGAGAATCCCGACCCATCCGCCACGATACCCTCTGTCATCACGGAACGCTATCTGGCTGACCTCACCCGGCGGCTCCAACGTGCTCGGCATATGAAGGCCCGATTTGTGGATGAATGGGATCGTCTGGTGCAGCTAGCAGCTGATCTTCAAGCCATCATCGACTCTGCGGCTTCGAAAAAACTCGAATTTGGTCCGGCCCCCCGTCGATCATCCTGCTTTCCTCGTGTGAAGTTCCTTAGCCCGTATATGCGGTATCAGTTGTACTCGAACATAATTCCCTCGGTCAGGTTGGCATTCGGTGCCTTCTTTGCGGTGGCATCGGTCTGCATCGTCTGGTCGGAACTGATCAAATCTCTGGCACCTCAACTCTCTGCTGTCAGCTTGACTGTGGTCCCCAATTGGAAAGAACATCCTGTTGGCTTCGGTGGTCAGCTCACAGCCTCTGCTTGGCTATTGTACATGTGTTCGGCTGCTCTCGTCGGCGTTAGCGATGTCAAGGTGTGGGGAAACCGTGCGCTTGTCCGTCGCAACACATATGGCGAGAGCGCCTGCTGGTATGCTGGTCTTGTGGCTCGGTTGACAGTACCGATCGCCTACAACTTCTTGACCTTCTTGCCGAAGGGATTTCGGCGAAGCACCACTTTTTACCAGTTCCTTGGTAAGCTCATCAACCTGACCCCGCTTGGGAAGGGGTTTGACTTCCTTTTCCCAATTCTCATTCTCCTACCTATTTGCGCAACGCTTTTCAACTTGTACGGCCGGATCAAGAATGTCTTCGGGTGTGGTCTTGCCGAGGACGATGACATCCACGATGTTGAGAACAACCCTGCCGGGTATGGCATGGGTGGCTGGCGGGAGGGTCGCGATCTCATACAACGGGAACTCAACGGGTTCGGGTCTCTGGCAGTGTCCTCTCGCGGTAGTCGGTCAACTTGGGCATCGGACCGCGATGATGAAGGCTCTCCCGGCTCGTCTCGGCAGCGAGTCCCTATTTCGGAGGGTCCTCAATACACCCAGAGGACAGTGGTCGCGCCTACAATAGTAGATGGGGAGGACGAGGAGGATGAGAATTTCTTCCAATCCTTTGCGCATCGCATCAAGAATACTCTTGATACTACTACAACGCCCCGATGGTTTCAGGGCGAGCCATTCCGACTCCCACGCTGGATGTCGGGTGATAATAATGCCGCAGAAGAGAGTACCTCGCTATTCAGAGGTCGGGCTGAGCCTGGCCATCTGCGTCTGGGTTAGAAAGCTCACGTTCTGGTGTTCGGTACCTTTCAACTGCTGGCCAGTATAATATGCATTGTTTCCCTTGTATATAGCTTTAACCTGTTTTTGTATCGGCCTACGACTACAATTGAACATTGTTATAGAAGATACACATTGACACACTGTCTACAATAGTGCATTGTCTTGTCCCTTTGATGTTCTACTGTATCAAAAACAATAGGGCATAGGGCAAAAAAGAAATGCCCTCGTCCAGGATCGAACTGGAGACCTTCGGATTGCAATCTTGTTAACAAGAATGTCATATGAAGAGTATATGAGACCAACGTCATAACCAACTAGACCACGAAGGCTGTACCACTAAGCCACTGGTGGCTGTGATGACACCAAGGCGCAAACTAAGGATACATAGCCAGGAGCCAAAGGACTAACACCTCATACACAAATACCCGTGGACGCTTGCTTAGGTTCCCTCATCAGGTTCTTACCCGGTGGATGATGAATTAAAGTCACCTATAGTATATGTGCAATTGCGTGTCTACAGCTAACGGCATATCTGCAGAGTAAATTTGTATAAAACAACGAAGACCATCTCTAGGATGGTGCATCGATAGCCATCTTGCCATCCCGCCCGCGGACAAACCCCAGGTTCTAACCTGATTCCTTTCCCCAGCTTTTGGTCCTATAACATCAGTGGCATGTCCGTTTAGAATACGCGAACGTGTTGCTTTGCAACAATCCCCCAGTCGATCACGGAGACTGGGGGGAGGTGCTAGTTAGAGATAGGTGTCTGATTGTTACATTGTGCCACAAGCCAAAAGGATGTCCCAATAGCCATGGGGGGTGTCTCTGTATCTGTATCACAACCCTATATCGATGCGGGAAAAGAAAAGGAATGTATTAATGTAACCTCTGGTGAAATTCTGGCCATTTGAACGACCTGCGGGCCATATGATAGACCCACTCTATCACTCACTGAAGATGCAAAAAATTTGCCCTCGTCCAGGATCGAACTGGAGACCTTCGGATGTCAATCTTGTTACCAAGAATGTCATATGAAAAGTATATGAGACCAACGTCATAACCAACTAGACCACGAAGGCGAATATGTAAAACTTTGTCAGTCTTGACTTTATCAATCAGAACACCAGAAAATGTAAGTACTACTGTGTAGACTGTAGGCTCAACACAGCGATATCAGATTCAGTACATTCTTCTTTCCTTCTCTATTTTCTCTATTTTAATTAGAAGCAAAGCATTATTTTGGCTCTTGCCGGCCATGTTTCGTTCCTCTTCTGTATTGTTAACGGCTTGTCTAGGGTCTCAACAGTACGATCAATAAATGCATTGTATCTGATAACGAAAGGTCTGCTAGCTACAAAACAGTGAAAGTCAAGGACAACTCAAAATCCATCCAACAGACATCCAACAGTAAAAAGCGAGCCAAAGAGATACCACATCCTCCTCCTCCAACATTGCCCTGAGCCCTGCGACAGTTCCTCATTCCCCCCAGACCGGAGAGAGACAGACTCCTTAACAGGAAACCTTGAAGGAGCCCATGCTCTTGCTGAGCTTGTGGTCATTCCAGTCATCCGAAGCGATTCCAATTTGGCTGCTGCACTTGCTATCGCTGTAGACACGGAGGACACAATCAGACCAGAATCCGTTCTCCCAGTCGATCTTGGTACCCTTCTTGCAGGGAGCCTTGGTGCACTTCTTGCCGTTTTCGCCGTCCCACTGGCTGCCGCAGGTGGTGAAGATCCAGGCGTTGGCCATAGGCAGAACGGCAATGACTGCGGCGACGGTGGCGGCGGTGAACTTCATTTTGATGGAAGTGGGAGAGGTTGAGGTTTGAGTAGGTTGGAAAGTTGATGTAAATTGGATGAATGGAGGATTGAGCTTGAGCTTGAGATTGAGCTTGAGATTGGAACTTGGTTGTGTTTGAGAGGATGTTCCAGGAGTATCGAGGCGGGCACAAGTGATAGCTTATATAGCTTTCTGGGTGACATTGAGTCTTGACTTGATCAAGTAGAAGATGTAACTTGGTCGATGCCAATGCTCGTATCGTGCCCAGTGATGCCAGAATAGTACTCATCACGAGAGATCAACATCGTCGATCAGGGTGAATACGATGACTGCTACTAACTATTACTTCGTATTTGGTAGATGGCACAGCCTATTGGTACATGTAAGGTGCCCTCGTGTTGTTCAGCCGTGGTAGCTGAAGTAGACATGCCGATCAAGGGTGAAGTTTTTAGCTCAGGGCAAAGAGAGCCTCAGACTAGTAATCGGCCTGGAGATCCCGGGATTGTTATTTTGAGACCCATTAGGATGGTCATCTGAAAGCAACAGAGACTGTTCTAGCTTCATGTCTGTCATGTTTGGACGAGCTTAAGACTATGTTACTCGAGCATATGTCTGCTCTTGGTACTCTGATCACAGAGTGTGCTGTTGTGTAGAAAATAGTAGATAAAGTTATCCCGAGTATGTCCCTGAATCTATTTCGGGAGTTAGAGTCAAGCATCTATGTAATTGATTGGCGGCTGGCTGCTTTGGCTCTGGAAATAACCCCTAATCCAGTAAGATCCCCGGACGATCAATCTCGTATACTTGAGCTAAGACTCGGGCGGAGTCCCTGCAATTTTGGACATCTCGTGTTCGTGTGGCCGACGAAGTACGAGTTACGAACTTAACGACTGCTCAAAATAGCCAACATTGTATTTGAGCACACTATGAACTGCGGACGGTAAGGTACCTGCTCAATGGATGGCCTTGGGGAGCAGTTGGTATCTTCCCTATGCATATTTTCTGGGTGCAGTGAATACAGATACAGCTCATATGTTCTTACCCACTGGTATGCTGGAGCACCCAATCTCTAGTGCCGCATGTAGTACCCTATGGCGAGGAAAGCAAAAATGGGATTAATGGAACTCTACCCGAGGAGTTCGCAAAAGGGACAAAGGCAAATGAGGCAACCAGCAATAGATGCCTCAGAGAATCCTCGGCTTTGGATCTCATTGAGTCATTGGACCGCGTTTACCATCACGTGATGACAAGCGCAGCTCGCTGAATCTGAGTGTGAGCTTCCAAGATAAGCTCAGTGGTCTGACACTGAGAGCGGAAGTCGGGACAGTCGCAGCAAATGCCAAGTTCCCACTAGAGAAATGGATGGTAAATATGTATACATATAGGTAGTATGGATCTGGTACTGTGTAAGGAGTAGCTATCTCCAATGGTCGGAGGTACCGCGTGACAATGATATCAGCCGATGGCCCGATAAGCCTATCTCCGCTTTGTTCTCCTCACTTGGGTCAACAGCCCTTGGACTCTTCCTCCTCTTTGATACCGAACTCGAACTTGAGTCCTCGTACCAATACTACTAGCTACAACACCCAGGGCAAGATGGCGAATAAAGCCCTCATCCCCTTCCTGGTCACGATGATGCTCGTGACCGGGGTGTGTAACACCATTCTCAACAAGTATCAGGTAGGCGCACGATACAAAGCTCATGCAAGGAACACAAGCTAATCGCCTTGTGATGGACAGGATATGCAATGTGTGCGGAATTGTGACTCGCCCGATTCCAGTCAGCGGAAGCTGTTCGAGCAGCCAGTCATCCAGACGTAGGTTTCACTCCATGTCCACGATGCCGCTGCGCAACACTCGCAACAGAATGCTAACACCAAGCGTGCAGAGCCACAATGTTCCTCGGCGAAATGGGCTGCTGGGTAGTTGTCGGCGCAAACTTCCTCTACCGCCAATACATCGCTCCACGTCTATCCAGTGGCTCCTCACCGCTCCTGGCGGGCGGATATCGCCCAATAAACGGCGACGACGAGGGCAATGATTCCGACGCCGACCACACAATCGATGGACTTGACACCAACGGCAGACACCCGAAGCCCCTACCGGAAGATGACAACCGTATCCCCCTACGCGGATGGAAGATCTTCTTCCTTGCAGCGCCGTCAAGCTGCGATATCGCCGGCACGACACTCATGAACGTTGGTCTGCTTTTCGTCGCAGCGAGTATCTACCAGATGACGCGCGGTGCTCTCGTCCTCTTTGTCGGTCTGTTCAGTGTACTCTTCCTCCGCCGCAAGCTCCACCTATACCAGTGGTCCGCCCTCTTCATCGTCGTCCTCGGCGTCGCTATCGTCGGACTCGCTGGGGCTCTGTTCAGCGGCGACTCAGGCCACGAGATTACGCAGGATGGTAGTACTGCCGACGTTGCCTCGCTTGCTATCATGCGGGCGCGTGCTGTCGCCCGCACCTCCGAGGCTGTGCTGGCTATCCTTGGTGTGCTGCTTATCGCGGCTGCCCAGATCTTCACGGCCTCGCAGTTCGTGCTGGAAGAGTGGATTTTGGAGAATTACGCCATGGACCCTATTCAAGTTGTGGGTTGGGAAGGTGTGTTCGGCTTTTTGGTCACTGCAGTCGGAATGATAGTCATGTATTTTGCTGTTGGCCGGACCGATGCCGGTCGTTATGGCTACTTCGATATCAAGGAGGGGTTGCACCAGGTGTTTAGTAACCGGGTCGTTGCTATTTCAAGCATCTTCATCATGATCAGCATCGGGTATGTTTTCTCTTTCCTGGTTCTCAGTTCCTTCGTCCGCATCCCCCCGCTAACCTTTTCATCGCAGTGGCTTCAACTTCTTCGGTTTGTCCGTTACCCGCACCGTCTCCGCTACTTCTCGTAGCACAATCGACACCTGCCGCACCCTCTTCATCTGGCTTGTCTCGCTGGGACTCGGCTGGGAGTCCTTTAAATGGCTCCAAGTTCTCGGCTTTGCACTCCTTGTCTATGGAACATTCATGTTCAACGACATTGTCCGCCCTCCGCTCAAGGCTTGTTTGCCTCGTGACCGGAGAGAGGGACAGGTGTTGCTCCCCCAAGACCCTATTGAGCACATCTAATAAGCTCGCTGTGTTTCAGGTTGGTTTGCATCCCTGGCCTGTGTCTGTCTTATATGAATATCCTGGAAGATGTCATAGACTGGTCTCATACCTTGGATTCTGGATAATCCGCACCACTTTGCATTGCTTTGGTTCATTTGTTGCGATGGCGTTATCTTGTCTTCTTTCTGGTGACCGTATACCGACCTTTTGTCGCACTGGTATCTTGCGGTAACGATTGATATGTTTTGTTTTGGGGTTATAGAGCCTTGCTTTCAATGGCTTGTTGCATCGTGCGTCCATGTCTCTGATTTAGTCCAGATACATCATGAGAACTCATTTTCAAACATTTGCCTCGGTATTTTAATATCTTGCGCCACTGGAGGCGTGGAAAATACCTATACAGTATATCTCTGCCACTACCTAGGGCTGGAACTAGGTACTAGGTAGTCTACCTAAGTCCATAACTGAGCAGTAGCAACATATTGGCCATTACCTACTATGTCAACTACCTATGGACTCGATACAATGCACCCTGCATTTGCTCACGCGCTAACATTTTGACCTGGTAGGTAGAAGCATGTACAATAAGAAGAACCCCTTCCTCAAGTATAATGAGAGAAAAGGGAAAGAAAACCAATGGCAAAACAATAGTCTAGATAGAGGCAAACCAGAAAGGGCGCAAGGAACTAGGGTGTATAGAACTGGGATGTTGACTGTTCATGAGGAGATTAAAACATTTGTTCGGATGAATTTGAGCATCACTTCCACCGATTTCATTTACGGCTCCGACCAATCCACCTGGTCCGTAACGGGGTTTCCACCATCCCGGGCGGATGTGACACGGAGACGGAGGCGAAGTTTGGCGGGAAGGCCCTGGAGATGAAACGTTAGTTTGACACTCGATGTTAAGATAGCAAGGGGAACTTGACATACCGCATTCAGAGCGGTCACACGCATTGACTGTGTGCCTTCCTCGCCAGCCTCTAGATCGGCTTTGCTGATTGCACTCAATTGCAAGCGCTGACTCTTTGGCACGGCGGCTTGTAAGCCAACGTTGGTGAAGCGGTCGAAGTTGGACTCGTTGCGGAAGCGGGCCAATATTTGGGCGTTGGTTCCACTGCGTTGAACCTGCAAGGTAAGAACGAGGCCGTCCTTATTGAGCGCGGTGTGCGCAGGGGTAGAGGCGGTGACGGGGGCGGGCGAAATAGAAGGCGAAGGCGCAGAAGCACCCATGCCACCAGCCAGCAGATCCATCGATGCGGATGTCGGTTGTGTGGGCTGAGGGGACGGCGAAGGGCCATTGGAACCGAAGAGGTCCATAATCGCGCCGTGCGAGGCCTGTTGGCTGGTAGGCCCAGGCGACGGAGAAGATAAACCCGAGTCTCCACCAAGGATGTCTGCCAGCAGATCGGCGGTTCCAGTCGAGGTCGGGCTAGTGACAGGGGCGTCGGATCCGCCAACCAGGTCAAGAAGGAGGTCATGCTCAGCTGGTTTGGCCGTCTTTGTCGCCGACTTGCCGGGGAGAACCTTGCTTTGGCGTTTCTTAGGGGCGGGGGCGCCGAATACCCGTTGCTCCTCCCGAATTTCAGGCGGGGGCATCCGCTCCAGCACACCACGTCGAATCTGGTCGTAGCCGAAGAGGTTGGTATATTCAACGGCACGCTGCTGAATCTCAACACTTAGATCCGCAGTACGACTGGAAAGCAGACGGCGTAGACGTTCGATCTGAGCGGGATCCGACATGCGCACAGTAAGCTTCATGGATGCAGTGATAATATATTCAACAACAATCTGGGAGGCATAGGTGCTGTTAAGTATGTTGGTGAAGAGGTCGACGATGTCGCTCTCTCGAACTTCCTTGACCAGCTCTTCTTCCTCGTACTGACCGCCCTGGAGCAGATTGTCGGCATATTCACCGATGGTCCATGTAGCAGCCAGTGTGAGACCTTCTTGTGAGATGTCCTCCTTCACTGAGGAGTAAAGCTTCTGTACCGCATAAGTCTGCAAGTCAGGGGTAGTCGCAATGAGACGGACGAATGAGGAGAGTATTTGTTCTTTGACGTAGTTCCCAGCCAGCTTGAGAATTCGCAGAACAGTGTCCATGTGCCACCGCTTGTTGGGCGCGAACCGATCTGCCGCGATGCCGATTTGTGTCGTCATCAGAGACTTGAATTCGTTGTCGGCTACTTCCAGGAAGGCCAGCAGCTCTCGCACTAATACCCGCACATTGCTTTCGTTGATCAGCATGAAGCTGAGATCGAGCGCTCGCCGGCGAATGCTAATATCAGGGTCCCGCAGGCACTCCAAGATTGTGTTGCGATGTCTTTGCACCGCGTTGGGTTCAATTGCAACAACCTTGTTCAACGTGTTCAGCGCAACGTAACGGATATTATTGTCCTTGTTGGCCAGGAACTTGCCCAGAATGTTGACACCCAGCACCCTCAACCCCGAGTCGGCTTCGATATCCAGGATTGTGAGAACAGCCTCGTATAGGATAGAGTTACCGACATTCTTTGAGGAATCCGTGTTCGTGGCCACCTGGGCCAAGATGTCATTGATCAGTTCGCTGGTGGCCACATCTCCCCGACCCAATACACGTAGGAACCGCAGGATCTTGACTTGTAGGAAAGGGTCTGTGATACCGGACACGTCATGCTCGGGAGCATACCCGGAGGTTGTCAGCCCCTTCAAAGCGCGAACAAGTCCTCCAGCCAGCGGCCGGAACATTTCGATCACCCCCTCAGGCCCTTCCTCCTCTTCTTCTGCCTCGCATAGATCAATCGCCAGTGTCAAACCACAGAGCAGGACGCCATGATTTCGGTCTGACAAGAGGTTCTTGGCCTTCTCGAGGAAGTGTTCGTGTAGGTCTGGAACCTTGCGACATATCCGCATGGCACAAATCGCTGCCTTCCGCCGAATGTAGGGGTTGGCCGTCGACATAAGGGTTTCAACTTCGGGGAACAAATCACGAGACATTTCGACCGAGGCGATGTTACCGAGGGCACATAGGGCAAGACCGACGATATATTGGTTGGAGTGGTTGAGGTCACTGAATAGTCAGCACGGCTTCAACCAGATCAGCTACCAAGACACTCACTTTTTCAAAGAATTGGTCACAAGTGTCAGAACTTCCTGGTTCTCATCCAACAACAGCATGGTTCCCAGATAACCCAACCGCTTGTCAGCGAATCGGTGTGAGGCGAGGAGTTTCAAGCATTCGATTTGGCCGAAGTGAGTGCGCTCTCCGAGAGTGAACAGATACAAGAGCTTGGCGACATTATTCCTCCTATCGATAGTTAGAGATCGATCGAGTATTCAATTGAGACGGATGCTGAAGCTCACCGGATGCCGGAATCATGACTCTCTTCTCGAAACGATGCGCGAATGGCGGCGCTTTCTTTTTGAATGACAGCACGTTCATCGGCGATTGTCTTGGCAGATCGAACATTCCGAATGAATTGCTTAACTATAGGCAATTTGGATTGCGCGGTCAGAGTGCATCTCAGGGGAGGAGGGGCGGCGGGCAGCACTTACGGGAAGACATGGCGGCTGGAGGGACCCCCGACGGGGTAAGGAGGAAAGATATTCAATGGGGAAGAAGAGCCAAGGACAGGGTCAAGAAGGCAAACAAACCGCCGTGCTCATGAACCAAGTAAAGCGGAGAAACGTCAAGGCTGTTGAATTGGAGGTCTGGACTGCTTTATTATTATTCCTCATGGCAGTCGACCTGGCTTCTTGGCATGGGGCACTAGCCTGCAAGTGGACTAGCGTGACCACACTGACTCACCTGACTTTGATGCCCCATCCGAGCACACCGCCTTCATAAAGACACCTGAGGCACCAGAATGACATAAGTGGCATGCCACTTTTGGAACTTACTCCGTACAAGGTACAATACAGGCACGCGGGGGATCTATAAACATTTCCTCGTCGCAAAAGGACCTTGTTTATCTGGATGGGGTCTTCTCGATTAGATTAGAAGCCCACATATATATGTGACTGAAGGCTTGTAGATCCCCCAACAGCTCAACACTTTGTCAATATGTCTGCCTGGAGATGTGTATGGTACTGTGTAACTATCATACAAATAAGGCCCGCCAACTGACGTAGTGGTCCGTTCTTTTTGGTTTCGAATCCAAGTCAACAACAAAGCCAAGATTCCATCCTCATATGATATTAGCGGCTTATCTGCCTGCTCTCTTTCCTCATGCGCAAACCTCTTGCTTCTGAAATTGCATACAAATAGAATGTCGAGCGCCGTTTCCCATGAATCTGCAACTTTACGGTCACGCGCTGCGCCGGACCAGCCCGAGGGGAAGTCCGACGTCGCTCTCCCCTTTCCGCTAGAGAAGTTGGCACAGGAATCGAGGTGAGCTGCTCCAAAACAATCCTCGAACTCAGCCCCGTCTAACAGTTTTGTCGCATCCCAGTGGTCGCTCTACCCCTGTCGCCGAAGATGCGCCTCCGTCAGTCCAGTCGATCGCGTCTGCGAGGAGGCAAGCCCGCGCGCGCAATCGCCTGTTTTATACCATAGATTATGTGCCCCGTGTGTCGCATTTCGACCCCGAAAGTGACTATCATAACTTTAGAGGGTTCTTTACTCTCTTTTGGATTGGCCTGGCCATCATGGTCGGAACCAGCATTTTGCGCAATATCAAGGACACCGGATACCCCCTGCAGGTGCGCGTCTGGAGTCTCTTGACAGCCAATGTGTGGGGAATGGGACTCAGTGATGCGGCGATGGTGGTGAGCTCGGCACTCGTACTGCCTATGCATAAGCTTTGGCGAAGTGGTCCAAAGTGGCTGCGATGGTCGCGCGGAGGTATGATATTACAGAGCTTGGCTGAAGTCTTTTGGTTGGTTCTGTGGATCAAGTGAGTTTACATTCCATGCACCATGGTACCATTGGCAGTGTTAACCTGGTTACCAGCTGGCCTTTCATGATGCAGTGGACCTGGACTGCGCAGGTGTTCTTCACTCTGCACACTCTAACCATTCTGATGAAACTGCACTCATACGCTTTCTACAATGGGCATCTCAGTGAGACAGAGCTGCGTCTTGCCTCTCTTGACAATCCAGGCCAAAAGGCGCCCGACGCTGCAGCCGCTGTGCATTACCCCGAGATCCATCGACGTCGGCCGTCAATCAAGAAGCGGGATGAAGATCAGCCCATAGAGCCATTGGAGAAATTGCGCGAAGATCTCGCTACGGAGTTGACTTCTCCGTTGGGCAACATCTCGTATCCGCAGAACCTTCACGTTGGCAACTACGTCGACTTCCTCTTTTGTCCGACTCTTTGCTATGAGCTGGAATATCCGCGGCGGCAGGAACGACGTTGGTCAGAGATAGGCTACAAGACTGCTGCCATCTTTGGTTGCATTTTTCTTCTCACCCTGACTAGCGAGGAATTTATCATGCCAGTGTTGGAAGACGCCGGCGCCCAGCTCCGTGTTTTCTCTAATCTCACAGACAAGGCTCTTGTCCTTGCCGAAACCATCAGCATGCTCCTCTTTCCCTTCATGATCATTTTCTTGCTGGTGTTCCTCGTCATCTTTGAGTACGTGCTGGGTGCGTTCGCGGAGATGACCCGGTTTGCTGACCGCCACTTTTATGCCGATTGGTGGAATTCATGCGACTGGTAAGTTATAGCTATGATAGCACGCGATGAAACGTGTCGGTTAATCAATCTTTTTAGGATGGAGTTCTCTCGCGAGTGGAACGTCCCTGTTCACCACTTCCTCTTCCGCCACGTTTACTACCCATCCCGATCTAACTTCTCCCAGCCCGTGGCTATGGTAATTACATTCTTGGTCAGCGCTGTCTTCCATGAGCTGGTCATGAGCTGCATCACCAAAAAGCTTCGGGGATACGGATTCATTGCTATGATGCTCCAGTTGCCGATTGTTGCGATTCAGAAGTCCCGCTTCTTCCGCGGCCGGACAACTCTCAATGTAAGTCCATGCAGAATACCCCAGCGCCTTACGGATATTCACTGACCTCCCTGAAAGAATGCCTTCTTCTGGTTCTCAATGATCTTAGGTCTGTCTATGGTAAGTTAACGCTCCGTTTTGTTGCCAGGGTACGCACCATGTGAGTGCTTTCAGTACTAATGGTCGTTCCTGTCTAGATGTGCGCACTCTACGTCCTGATCTGAATGGACTCTCACTTCATGCACCTTGTGCCTGGACTCAGCTGGGTCTGGCAGGTTGAGCCAAGGAAGATATCCTGTCAGCCTGCCTAACACAGAACCTGTCATTGGCTCTCTCGCCCTGTATATAGCTCTTGTGATCTTTGTGCTAATTTTCTTTTAATGAAATATACCACTTTTTTGCGCTATCATCAATCTCCAGCTGCGCGCTCAACATTTCTAGCCAAGTCTGCTGCTAATGTAGTATCTATTGCTGACCTACTGTCGAGGCATCGGACTGGTTTCCTGCTGCCTTGCCACTCTTACGGACAGGTCAGTGCCAACCATGGCCCCATGGTCTCCTCTCAACCAATCTCGGACATTTCGAATTGAAGTCAGGGGCTCCATCTTCAATCCCTTCCCGCAAGAAGCCTGTACCACTGGGCTTCTTCATATATGTCCAACGTCCTGAAGCCCCCATAAATCAATATCTGTTCACGTGGAGAATAGGGTGAGTATGTCCAGGGACCAGACGGTCACAAGTAGGCGCGGAGACGCAAGTTAAGATACCTCCGTGAAGGCCCCAACGCAGAGAAATTGCATGCAGTAGAGACCACTCGGGGATTAGGATCACTCATTCATGAATCATGACACAGTGGTCTAGTGTTGACTTGGTGACGGGAGACCTGTAGGAGTCATGTCAGTCTTATCTCTGTTTACTGGGTGCTTCAACGGTATCGAACGATGAAATGGCAAGGAAGAATCGATAGAAAGCGTGTCACCCTGGTATCATGTCGTCAATCGGAACAAGGTGTTTCCAATGAGCTGCTCATGGAAGCTAGGTTGTAAGCTTTGAAGGTCACATGTTCTTGGGGATGTATGACCGGGTTGTCTGTGGTCTTTCTTGGGAAGTCACAAGATCAGATCATTGACTGCCCAAACAGGCAGGCATCTCTTTGGATATAAATATCGGGAACTTCTCTCAGTTCTTGACTTTTTCTCTCATCTCCCTTCTCCTACTTACTTCTTCCCTTTCCCTCTTCCCTTTCCCTCTTCCGTATTCCCCCTTCCTCTTCCGTTTCCCCCTTCCTTTCTCCTCTTCCCTTTCTCCTCTTCCCTTCTTCTATTCCCTTCCCCTGTCTGCTTTGGTCGTTATTTCGATTCTCATTTAAATAGGTGTGACGGAAACCTCGCTGTCCTCGCAAAAAGATGTACTTCGGTACTAAGTGGGATTGACCAAAAACTTGTGGGTCAGAGCGAGTCCTTAGCACAACAGTCTACTATGATCTTCTTCATGGTAACCTACCTCATTGGTACCGAGTACATCTCCGAGTCTTAAGTCCAAGGGCGAGGTTTATCAGTGATGCACCTGATCTCCTCCTCTCTTCCCCTCTTCTCTTCTCCTGTCTGCTTTGGCTGTTATCTCGATTCGTGACGGTAACCTCGCTGTCCTTGCAAAAAGATGTACTTCGGTACTAAGCGGGATTGACCAAAAACGTGTGGGTCAGAGCGAGTCCATGGCACAACAGTCTACTATGATCTTCTTCATGGCAACCTACCTCATTGGTACCGAGTACATCTCCGAGTCCGAGTCTAAGTCCAAGGGCGAGGTTTATCAGTGATGTACCTGATCTCCTCTCTCCTCCTCTCTCCTCCTCTCTCCTCCTCTCTCCTCCTCCTCCTCCTCCCATCTCCTCCTCCCGTCTCCTCCTTCTCCTGTCTGATTTGATTGATATCGTGATTCCCCTCCCTCGGTGCAAGTGTTCTACCTCCCGAACTACCCCCTCGACCGGTGTGCCCCGGAACCTGCCCCTCGCAAAGGGATGTACTTCGGTACTAGCGGGTATGACTAAAAACCTGTGGGACGGAGCTAGGGTCCAGGGCCACACTTTGTCTCTTATTCTTATCTTGATGCACCATAGCATCACCTTGTCTACTATTCTTGTCTTGATGCCTCTGATGTATATAGTGATGAGATCTGCCGGCTTCTCTGGCAGATCGATGGTCTGCCTGTTTATGATCCAGAGGTGCGAGTCTTCTGTGGTCAGTTCATACAGCAGACGACAGATCAAAATGTTCCGCCGCTTTTATGATCAGTGGGTATCTCACCGGTCGTCCTGGCACTGGAAGACATCCCTAAATCCAATATGTCCTGCTGGTAGCTTGATCTTCTCTCAAAGTATTCTTGTCATGTGTCTCTGATTGTTCATTGTCCCTATTCTTTTGTTGTGTACTATACAAACAATTAATCTCATAATCCTAAATCCAAGGGCCGCTGTAATCATAGTACCTACTGTACCTGGGGCACTTTCTATCCCGTTAGCATTGTGACCATCTTGAACGCTGTGGTATGGACGGGTAGTAGATCTGGGGCTCGTGGGGGATCTGCAGAGAGCCGCCCAAGCCCACTGTGGCGCATCGTGGCGTGTCACCATCCGTGCACAACCCCAATAGATCGCGATCTCTCGCAGACCTCATCAGGTTGACAGGTTCGCCCAACGTGGAGCCTGAAGGTCCGAATTAATGATATCCGGCGAATGTGCCCATATGGTCACTCCAGTCCTTGTTGCATCCAGCCCGAGTACAGCGATCAAGAGGCATGCTCTAGCGTCGACAGGCAGGGCTGTGAGGGGCTGAGGGGCTGACATTCTGCCAGGTCCAGTACCCGTCTCAACCTGAGCGACGCAAAGTGGCTGATGCTAATGTGCGGGCTAGTGTGCGTTTGGCTAATGTTACAGAGAGCAGGCCCGATAAGCATTAAGCAAGGATCCCAGCTGATCACCCTGTACGTCGATTTTTATGTGTCTCTCGTTAGTCACTGCCTTTTCCACGAAGATGAGATTCAGTCACTGTATTCTGTTTTGCAGGTCACTGAGAAGAGTCAAGGATCTGCAGCAACCGATGATGGCCCACTCGGCCCACGGTCCACCTGTCTCCTCCCTACTACACGCCCGACGCCAGAGACCAGACGAACGGACGACTCGGAGGCATACCGAATGATCGCTGCACTATGCAGATGTCTTTGTGTTTGCAAACTGAGGGCTCTCATAGTTTGTCATTCTCTTTGTTTATCCAGGCTTTATAAACAGCCTGCTTTTCCATAAGGTAGTCTCATGGATCAGTCTCTTCTTCCTGATTTTCCCCATGCTAGTTTCGTAGCCTCTCAACACAAACAATGTGCATACCGAGGTTTGTGGCAAGAAATTACAGCCCCAGGCCTCTTTGAGGTACTGGTTGTCGATAGACATGTTTGAACATGTCACTTGGCCCCATCTTGTCCCAGAGGCTTAAGACGTCGGCCCAGTCTCCATTGGTTCGCTTGCTATCTCCTGCCATTTTCCATTATATCAAGAGGAACCTTGATACGAGCGGCAAGATTTGCCAGATGACTGGGTCAGGTAAGTGTTAGTATATTATCAAAGCGGCAGGAGACAGGAAGCAAACCAATGGAGACTGGGCCGACGTCCTAAGCCTCTGGGACAAGATGGGGCCAAGTGACATGTTCAAACATGTTGATCGATCTTCATTTGCACTACATCCATCATGACTGAAGAGCCATAGTGGAAGTAAGAAGAAGGAGTATACTGTTGTCGAAGAGATATTCGATTATCTATGGTCTCTCAGCCCTGGGGGTGAGGGGGTTAGGTGACCCTTGTCTGATAGGCTCGTGGTCGTGGGCTGGATAGTAAGAAGGGCAAAATCATACCTACCAACACTTTCTTCCTCTCTGCAGTAAATGCTTTATACCAAAATGATAGTTATTCAACCATACCTTAAGGTAATCAATAGCTTTCAACAAGTCAGCTCAAGGTGCTAGGTGTAGAAGCAAGTCACAAACCGAATCAATTTTCGAGCCTTCTAGATACATACTATTCCCAATATAACACCACAACTCAAGTATCCCAAACATTCTAGTCTTAAGAAATCCAATCACCGTAAAATATGTGGCTTCTACCACCTGCGCACTTCCTGTGGCCCCATTGATAACCCAGCCCAGTCCAACCAACCCGAGACCCAACTTGGAACGGATCCGTCTTACAGTGCGAGGTAAGCAAATAAAAAGACATGGATATAACGAATAAAACCAGGATCATGGCATGTCATATCTCAAAGCGCGTAAATCGTTAATTGTAGTTCCCCGGCAAGGTAGTCCAAGGGGTATCTAGCGGTAACCCGGGTGCGTGCAACAGCATAAAGAGAAAGAGGGAGAGGGGAAAAAAGTAAGAACAAACTAGAAAGAAAACAGAAAGGGGAATAAGATAGTAAGCAGAACCAAGCAACTTCATACGCCACAAGCGTAGGATTTGAGGGCAGCCCAGCATGCAACACACCATCCACACCCTATATCCCATTTCCCAGTGCGCCGGCGGTTGCAACAAAGATACACCCCGGCTGTGCGGGAGTGGAAGCAGGCCAGGTGACACGAGCCAAGTAGACCCGAAAAAGAAGTTCCAACTGCCCACTGGAATGGACAATGGAAATGCAGGAGGCACGTGCAACGTGCATAATTCCGGTGGAATGGAAGAATCCTTGATGCGCCCAGGATCGGATTGAAAGAATGCTAGATTGCTCAAACGGATAAAATCAATTCCCGGGGATAAAAATGGGTTCTCCACTAATTGTGAAATGCTGCTTTGCTGCAGCAAACATATGGACAAGAAGGAATGCGAAAGGTAAAAATTGAAAAACGCCGCCAGCCCCGTAAGATAAAAACATAAACATGGGAAGGTTCCAAATTAAAAGCAAAAGTGTCGTAAGGGTAGTTTGTAATTTGTAATTTGTCGTAGGTGCTCATCTTTCGTGGGTTTCATGATTGCTTCAAGCAACTAATAGGCAGACTGGCGTCTCCCCACCGGAGGACGATAATCGTCCTCGCAGTAATAGGCGCGAGGCCTGGGGGAGTAGCTGACGTCTTCCGGCTTGTATGTCCGGGAGTACTTGATATCCTTCTCTTTCGGACGGGAAATGTATTCGACGTCCGGCTGAGTGCGAGTAGTACGTGCAGACCGGGTTTCAGCGCGAGGCGAGGCTTCGGTGTAAGTCTGGTACGTGCTACTTCGCTTAGGTGGCTGTCGTGTAGGAGTTGGACGCTCCCGGTCGGGGGATCTTGCCGTGCGGTACTTCGATGATTTCGGTTCGACAACGATGTGATCTGGTTCCTCAACGATCTTGTAGCGTGTGTTCGAAATCTTCGGGGAGCTGCCTCTGGGTAACATTTCAGGAGTGCCGGGGCTGGAATAGCCTGAGTCGTTGCGATCACGCGTTTTGGACGTGCGCGATGGCACCTCCTCGTACATCATTTGGTAGAGGGTCGAGCTGTGACCTTGCTTTGGGCGTGTGTAACCGGTGGCGGTTGCAGAGCGGGATGTCAAGAATGGAGGACGGAAAGACGCCTTGATGCTCGGGGAGGTTACTGAGGACTGCATCTTGGGTGGCTTGGTCTCGTAAGCTCGTGGCGTCTCCAGGTGTTCGTAGGAGTCGTCGCGTGATGATGAACGGTGTCGGGTGCGGGTGTACCGAGCCGAGGACCGCGCGCCGGCAGATTCTGGTTCCGTCGAGTCGTAACCATGGTAGCGGCGTGGGGACTTGGAACTCCGACCTGTCTTGGACGCGATATAATCCTCCGCACTGAAAGACTGGCTGTCAATCTTGGATTGCCAGTGATCCGACAAATCAGATTCCTCCTCGTAGCGGCGTTCGCGGCGACGGGAGGACTCCAAAGGTCGGGACCGCGAATCGCGCTCTCGACGGGGCGTGGTTGAGATTCGGGTGTACACACGGCGGGGAACACTAGAATCAGATGCCTCTTCGTCGGATTCAAGGTACGGTTCGAAGGTGTCATGCTTCGCCTCGGCTTGCCGTCTGCGTTCCTGATCGCGGGTCTTCGCACGGTCGGAATGTGTCGCCTTGACTGATTCCTTCCGTTCCTTCGCTTGACGATACGTGCTTAACGGTGTCCGAGTCTTCTTCTTCTCTTCTGTGGCTTTCGGCTTCGAGCGCAGACCGAACTCATCATACTTGCGAGACACCGAGCGTGGCTCCTCCGTGAAGCGCATCTTCTCCTCGAAGTAGACATCCAATGGGACTCTCTCCTCCACGATATGGCCATTGCGGAATTCGCGGGTGCCGTTTCCACTTCCTCGTGGGGAACCGTACGAAGGATCTGTTCGTCTGCGTTCGAGCAATTCGCGCTTTAGCTCGGCGATCTTGACTGTTTGATCGTATTTGGCTCGCTGCGTTTCGTCAGAAAGCAATTCGTAGGCTTGTTGGACTTGTTGGAATTCGTCTTGGGCAGCACGACGTTGCGATTCATCTTGGATCTTGTCCGGGTGACACTTGAGAACCCGCTTCCGATGGGCGGCCCTGATCTCAGTGAGGGTGGCCTCTTTGGCCACCCCGAGTGTAGCGTATGGGTCTAAGTCTGGTGGTAGTGTCATTGTAGGGGATATTGCTCAATGATTCCCTGAATTGAACTGAATGGGGTGAAAGAAGAAAGAATGGGAGAGTGTGGAAGAATAAAGAGGCGGTGGAGGTGTATATGGAATGTCAAGCAACTTGGATGTTGACGTAGCAAAGATTCCACACCGATCGAGAATGAACTGGAGATGATTTGCAATGCGAAGAAGGGAATTGTCAATATTATGGCCGATTTGCCGTGAAAGATAGACCTGTTAAAGACAAAAAAAACGAAAATAACGATTCAGATAAAACAATGAATTGGCTGTCAGGTCTCTTCTGACGGTCTTAAGCCGACCAGATGTCAGGGGCGAGAAATTTTGCTGCGCCACCTGATGGAAGGCAACGTATGGTTGTAGAATCGGAGTTTGATAGGATAAAGAATCACGACAGAGACATGGAAGCGTATAATCATAGAAAGGAATAAAGAATATCGTCTCTGAAGTCGAAAGACATATGCCCAATCTAATAACCGCGCCCCCCTCCTCTAGAACATCATCATTAAGCCCATTTCCCCAGGACCACTCCTCCCATTACCTACACCGACCACACTTAATTGGCCCGAGCACTTGATCTGATTTGCTGGCGACTACGTCCAATCATGCCTCGTTTTTAAGCACAGTGGGGCGATCAATCAACACGAGGGCATCCCTTGTACGGAGTATGTACTCCGTAAAGGGATCGGGACTTGCCCCCCTCTCTTGGTGGTCGTCATAATGTTCATCTTTACTTCTTCCATGTAGCAGTCTCGATACAGTAGTCCGCCTCCTGCAGGTAGTATCTTTTCGACTTGCCTGAAATGATTACTGGATATGGATTCTTAGCCTTCTTTAGGTTCGGTCGCCTCACTCCTTTCGCTTTTATTTTCTTTCATTATTCATTTATTTGCCTCGTCCGAGGTACACGCTTAGCCAGTCAAACTTAGCTCGCTTGATGAACCTGGAAGGTTCCAAGGTTCGATTGGACGATCCAAGGTTGCTCTGTGGTGTTGTCAGAACAACAGTGCCTGACTTCGCCCACGGTAATCCATCCGTCTTCCCGAGAAGTTCCGTAGGCCTTAATTTTCTTATTCTGAAGAAGTCCGTGGGATCTATATATAGTAAAGTAGGTTGGACTCGCCTGTATTGCATCCAATGTACATTCTATAGTACATATTATGTTTCAATATCCAATATTTGATTCCCAGCTTGCTCCTTAATGATTCCATTGGAATGCAGCTCTCCCGGCAATATTAGTATGCAAATCTCGAGGCCAATAAGTACCCGTTTTTGGATCTTTCAGGCATTGATTCACACCCAATCCCCCAAGACAACAGCTGGCACTCGTCCCACACCGGCTCCATTCTCCCAACGTGTCCGCTTTGATAAAGCACCCCACCAAGACTACGGTGTATCAGCCAATCCTCCATTGACCATGAGATAATTGCAGTAGTCTCTCTACGAAACCACCACTTCTATCTTGGATGGTCGGGCCCACCCGCCTAGTTACTGGTGACCTGGAAAGTCATCTGAACCCAGGACTGCGGTCCGCGCGGCGGACGAATACCCAGACCGGTGTTCGACGGAGCTCATGCGTGTGTCAGCCCCGATCATGACAATTGTACTAGTATTGGGAAAGTGCGTAAAGGCCAGAAGAACTGACGTCCTGTCAGCATCCATTTACCATGATCTTACTATGTCTACAGTCTGAATAGTTATCTACAATGTACATAGGACGTCAGGGGTAGTGGTACTTCCAATCAATGTGCTAAGGCCGTCCAGTACCAAGGCAAGAAACGCGAGACAGCTCACGCACTTTCCCGATCCCGACATTATTTTGACGGCACAGTTCCTGCTGTTCCCGTCCCCTGACTCTGTCAGTTGACAATCTCCCGTGTGATAGTGATGCTAGACTGTTATTTTCTTCTGCTCGGGATGCTCGATTAACCGCCAGCCAACGAAAGCAACGTCCACGGTTAGACCCGATCCTCAGCTTTCCAACTCGACCGCACCAGCCGAATCCATAATCCTCCGATCCCATCAGCGCTGCTCGCAAAGTCACACAAGGCCTCCCATGCCGAAACACAGGAAGCACAGGGTTGTAACCTTATACGCTTAGTCCATGATCAACGGATACCCCTCTTCCCTGACAGTCACGCAACCCCACTACGGCCGGAGGTCGGTGAATTCAGGATTGGACATTATCAGCCAAAGTATGAAGGCTGCGTTTTATATTGTCTAGTCAGAGTAGTAACTAGTGATACTTAAGTAATGTAGTAGATGAGTCTCAAGCATAGCTGAAGCAGACATGGAGTCAGTAACTCAAGCAAGGAAGCTACACAGGCGAGATATGTCGAGTACATACAGTATGCACCACACATGCACCACACATTGTGTGGCTGGGTTGGAAACGGGTACGGGTTTGCTATCCGGGGGCAGAAATACAAATACAGATGCAGGTCGCCTGCAATAGTGCTGTCTAGTATCACCTCATTCAATAGTTAATTCCCTTTACTATTACATACTGTAGGACAGCTGTCGAATCTAGGCAGCGTGGCCAGACCTCTTCACCCAGCCACTAAGCGCCTTCTAGAACGGAGTGTGCCAGGCCAAGCCACAACCCTTGTGAGAAGCATGTGAAACAAGAGAGTGTGAGAGATAATGTGTGTTAGCTCTCAAAATGCCTGAAGAACGGAAGACCAACCACAATCACAAAACGCAAAATCTGAGGGAGATACATGATCAGCCTCGCATGGTCACATCGGGTACGGAGTGTCAGGGAGAAGGGAGGGGCCTGGCATTGGTTGGCTGGAGTCTCTTGTGTTCCTTCTATGCTGAGACATTTGCTGTCCACTAACCGGCCGTTTGGAAGCGCTGCGGTTTCTGGAATTTTTGAAATTCCGGGGAGATCCCCTTTGCAGGTGACATGTGCAGTACACTGTACCTGGGATGAGAAGAGAGTTTGAGGAAAATCCAGACGGGAGTTGTGATATCACAGGCGCGTGTGGCTCAATCTTGAAATGTGATGATCGGTCAGATGGGCTCATGCGGGGTATACATGTACGATGTACTCCGTAGGAGGGGTACACAGCCCGGTTTCGGACACGGGATGTTTGAATAGTTTGAGAGGAGAGGGAATTAGAGAGTAAATCAAGTCCTTCTTTCTGTTTTATTCCTATTAATCTAAGTGGAAGGAATAACATCACTCTGTACAAGTATCCCGTAAACGCCGGAGAGCTGATACTCGATACGCATCGCCATAGACTGCCCAAAATTCACTGTCCAGGTGCGCCGCACATTAATGATGTAAGCGTCGACAATCTGACAGCACTAGGTGCATTCGGTCACTACCCGACCAATCTTAAAGTCATGGAACATCAAGGCACCCAAACACCCGCGTCAACAGGTCAAAGCCCACGAGGTCACTGTACGAATGTACGAAGATTCCAGAGAGAAGGTAGTAGGTACGATTTGGCGTCAAGCCACCATGCAAGACCCAAAGCAAGGCGAAGATTACCATTTCGGACGATCCGGCCGTCGGAATAGACTGCAGTATTGATGGGAAGCTTGCTTGATACCCATGGGTAAATGACCGAGGGTCAGGCGTAATGAGACTCATCTGTTTGCATCCGCGTGGTTGTTGCGCCACACGGGCAGCTCAAGATCGACCACAATCGGCGAATTGAACCGTTTGCCGCCTTGATGTGGCCAACTTGTGGCCACGATAGCGGCGTTGACAATGCAGGTTTCCTTTCTGAGTGTTTGCAAGGCGTGATTGAAATGGATACTGGGGTTAAGGCTACCCGCGCCCAGGCTCGGATGAGTGCTCGGAGAATTTTGTGGACTTGCCATTTCTGGACCTCCTACAGCTGAGTCTGAGTCTGACGCTGGTGAGGTCGGTGCCATCGCTATCGTCTCTAGCAAATCATGCTGCCTAGGAGTAGGGCGCGAAAATCCCTCGTTGTCTAATCGTTCACCTCGTTTGCCAGTTAGATCGACCAGGCTCTGTTTCTTACTGCCCCCAGGGGGCAAAATGCCTCGAGTGACATTTTCAACCAAATCAGAATGCGCCTGTATTCCGGGGTTGGTGATTGTGTTGGTAAGCTCGCCTTGCCATCGGACCCGTTCGTACCCTCGTCCTTCATGTACATGGCCACATACGGCTAAGTGCGGTCTGATGAGGCTCAACGCACCGCGAAGCGCATCACACCCAACGGACACTCCGTTCGGTTTTTGGTCGCAATGGGATCGTGGTGGCGTATGTGTGATGACGATGTCCGTATCGAATGGTATCTGACTCCAAAGCGCAGCAGCATCCCCTGATTCATATCCAAATGCCCAGTTCCCTTGAAATTGCGAGTATGGGGAGCCAAATACTTTGAATAGCGTGTTGGGTCCGTTCGCGCGGGTCAAGCGAATCGTGGCGGGTTCGTGATTTAGCAAAACGACCGAAGGTGACTCTTTGATGAGATTTAAGAGGCGCTGGGAATTTTGAAGTTGCTGGCTGGGAGAGCTCTGTCCGTGCTCGCTGTAGAACGTTGGATCCAATGAGACATCGTGGTTACCTGTTAAAACGATTAGGTGTTTTGTGTTGACCACGTTGTGCGAGTGGGATAGCGGAGTTTGGCGAGAAATCAATATATCATGAAATCATTGCCCAGGGTGAAACCGAGTATGAGTTGGGCACTGAGTTCAGAGACTGACCACCAACTATGATTTTGATTTCAAAGTCGGCCTTGCAGATCCAATCCATTGTCTTCAGGAGCTCTCCTATGGTTCCATTATTCGATAAATCGCCGGCATGGATCAGTACATCCCCTGCTGGGAGCTTGAAGCCTGCTTCAGAGGGCGTATAGCCGTGGGTATCAGAGATGCAGACAAACCGCGTTCTTCGTCCCATGACGCGGAGATCAAGGCGCAGTTTTGTCGAGGGACGACCAAGTCATATGGGTGGTGCCTGGAGTATACTGTGCAAGCGATTTGGCGGGTTGGACATCGGGAAAGAAGGAAGTCTTGTCTGTTAACTTCAATGTTGTAAGAGTGGACATTGTTGGGGGAAAAACAATGGTCTTTAAGACGCGAGGTGCCGCCGGGGAGGGGGTCCACAGATATTTTAGTAAGCGGACCCAATCTCCAGCTTTACCCAGATCATCCACAGATCTAGTTAGGTGATTCAATAATGAAGCAGAAGGAGATAAGGCAGACGGTTCACAACCGTAGTTAACCTGGACACTGGAAACAAGTCAGTACTAGCTGCTGAATACTTCAGATTGATGAGAAAATTCTATATCAACAAAATTCACTGAATGCCATCAATCACCCTGTTGACCTGGAGAAAACTAAACGATTTAACTTCTAGAACACATGTTATCAGCCCTAAGTCAATGCCCTAATGGCACAAAGAAAAGAGGAACCATCGTGACACACAGTGAAAAAATAAGAAAATTACATAATGCGATAACGGGTGGGTCTGGAAGAGATACAGCACGTGATCTCTGCGGCTCATGTGGCTCATGATTGGATAAGCTTAGGGCTGCGACCCTCGCCACTAACACAAAGTGAGCGGACCCTCGCTTAGCTCAGTTTCATCGAGCCATCCGACTTCGTTGTGTGCGTCGACTTGACACCCCCGACAACAACCGCCGACAACATCCATCCCTCGGGACATTAGATCGCCAAGATGTCGTCCTTCGAATCAGTTGTGTGCATAGACGGCAAAGGACACCTTCTCGGTCGTCTGGCCAGCACTGTCGCCAAGCAGCTGCTCAACGGTCAGAAGATCGTCGTTGTGAGATGTGAGGCCCTCAACATCTCCGGCGAGTTCTTCCGTGCGAAGCGTACGTTCAACCCCTCTCGAATCTCTCCCTGCGGTATTTGTGATATTGGGAACTGCCTGAGCAAGTTTATATGGGAAAAATCGACTATCGGCAAAATACGCAACTCGAACTCATAGGCAGTTCTTTCTTGATTATCAGATTGGCGATTAGCCGCCTCGGAGGAAATGCATGAGGGAACAGAATGCTGACAGGAAATTTCACCGTACAGTCAAGTACCACGCCTACCTTCGCAAGATGACTCGCTTCAACCCCACCCGTGGTGGTCCCTTCCACTTCCGCGCTCCCTCCCGCATCCTCTACAAGGCCATCCGCGGCATGATTCCCCACAAGACTGCCCGTGGTGCCGCCGCTATGGAGCGCCTCAAGGTCTTCGAGGGTGTTCCCCCTCCCTACGACAAGAAGAAGCGTGTCGTTGTTCCCCAGGCCCTCCGCGTCCTGCGTCTGCGCCCCGGCCGCAAGTACTGCACCGTTGGCCGTCTCAGCCACGAGGTTGGCTGGAAGTACCAGGATGTTGTTTCCAGGTATGTATACTGCTTGGATATATCACCCAGTGTGATCAATCGGATCAATCGACAATTTCTAACATCATCTTTACAGACTCGAGGAGCGCCGGAAGGTCAAGAGCAAGGCTTACTACGAGCGCAAGAAGGCCGCTCGCCGCACCCTTGCCAAGGCCGAGCAGGGAGCGAATGTGGACAGCAAGACCAAGGATCAGCTTGCTCAGTACGGTTACTAGATACCTTTAGCGCGGCTGGTTGTTGTGTCGAGCGATGGTTCTGGGATGGAATCGCGGACGGTTTTCTTTCAGTGAATTTGGACGGCAAGCCGATTGATTGATTCTCTTATGCGCCCCGGTCCCCTAACTCATGAATCCCACTGTCTGTGACGCACATGATGGCTCGGCGACTGGGGTCTTCGGAGAGTCGGAAAAAACGGAGTCGTTTGGGATGAAAGGTTCAAAATAGCTGGCCGTTGACTCGCGCCGTGGCGGTTTAATCCAAAGAAACAATTTTCAAGAGTTCAACATGATTCTTATGATCAAAAAAATACTTCGACCTATTCTTCTGTTTGGTAATTTCGGGTGGTCTTAACATGATTTCTCCAATGGTAATGTTATCGACTTGCACACATGCCAGCGTCAATACTATGCGTTCCTGTATTCATGTGTCCCTACGTAATTGATTTCCTCTGTCACTTCCTGGCGTTCTCTTTCGGCTTTACACGGTAGTGCTCACTGCTCAGTCCTTAACTTGCCGCCTTTTGCTACCTGAGTAAAACCGAGCACCCGTGGACGTCCCTGACTGCTACATAATCATCAGGCTGGTGTTTGTACTCGGTAGTGACAGTACCCCATTTATTACGATCCTGAAGCCTCTTGATTTGATGCTTCTTCCACATTTACCACATTGGTGACATTCGCAAATTCGTGGGGTTAATCCACATGCGTCCCCACAGCCACCAGAGACCAATCCACGACGATTGATTGAAGGGAAGATAGCCGTAGATCAGAATCCCCCGAAAATGAAGCCATCCCAATCCTTTAGTCCGAACCCCCGGGAAATAGTACCCGCAGTACCCGAACCTCCCCCCTTGTGATCGATCGGCATAGCCTAGGTTAACTGCATCCGTGCCGAACCCATCCCCGCATTTTCCCCAACTTGGAGTAATCCTCCCTCTCTCTTCTTCAATCTTGTTTACATCTTTCAGGAAATACCTTTTATCCATTCAATCCTCAAATCCAACATACCGTCTACTGTGTAACACAACACATTCTTTTGTGCCTCATTCACACGCCCAGTGTAGCATGTCTGGAGTAAAGACTCGACTGTCTGGCCTGCTCGGTCATTTCAACCCAGCTTCGACACCATCCTTTGAACACCGTCTCAATAACCACACGCTATGTCCTACTTTCTTTCTCACTCGTGCTGCTGCCATTGAACCCAATGTAAGCTTTCTTCAGGTAATTGCCGGTACTTCAATTGTCTGACAAGGGATTACATAGGCTGAGGCGATTCATCATGTAACCGCAAACAACAAGGTCCTTCGCAGGAACTACACCGAGCTCGCAGATCGAGCCAGAGGCATAGCTTATTACATCAAAAAGCACGGGTTTACCAGAGTGGGAATTCTATGCCCGAATACTCCAGCATTCCTCGAGTCGATCTTTGGAATCGCCGCAGCTGGTGCTGTAAACGTCGGTGAGCTGTACAAATAATCTTTAGAGTGAAGAACCAATCATCTAACAAACTTCAAGCTGTCAACTATCGTCTGAAGCAGGAAGATATCTGTTATATCTTTGAACATGGCGACGCAGATGCGATCATCGTGGATGCGGAATATGTCCCTCTTCTGGAAAGCTACCGATCCCAACACCCTCACATCCCTATCATTGTGGATACCGATACTGATGCAACGGAGGGTGAGCTAACGGGACCCTTCGATGAGGCTGTTTTGGAAGGCCTCCGGCACGACTTAGAGACCGGTGCACATGGTTGGGAAGGTCTTGAGAGCCAGGCTGCCGATGAAGAGGCCGTCATTGCATTGGCATATACTAGTGGGACTACAGCCCGACCCAAGGGTGTTGAATTTACTCACCGGGGCTGTTATCTGGCTACACTGGGAAATGTAATCGAGTCTGGTCTGAACTCTCAAGGTGGACGTGCCCGTTATCTATGGACGCTGCCCATGTTTCACGCTATGGGTTCGTATTTTCACTTAGGAATTCTTTGATCAGATCCTAACAGCTAACACATGTTGCACATAGGCTGGACATTCCCATGGGCCGTGACAGCTGTGCGTGGCACCCATTATTGCCTCCGCAAGATTGACTACCCAGAAATCTGGAGGCTGCTGAAAGACGAGCATATCACCCATTTCAACGCTGCGCCAACCGTGAACACCTTGCTATGCAACGCAAAAGAAGCAGTCAAGTTGCCCAATCCTGTTCAGGTCACTGTGGCAGCAAGTCCCCCTACGCCTCACCTTTTCGAACAAATGACCAACCTCAACTTGCACCCTGTACATGTCTATGGAATGACTGAGACATATGGCCCGATCACCAAAGGCTACCTGTTGCCGGAGTGGAACACACTTCCTGTCAAGGAAAAGTATCAGAAGATGGCCCGCCAAGGCCATGGGTTTATTACAAGTCTTCCTGCCCGGGTGATCAAGACCGAAGTACCCGAAGGAACTATCGCCGACGTTAGCAAAGATGGCAAGGAGATTGGTGAGATCGTTTTCATTGGAAACATCTGCGCCCGTGGATACTACAAGGACCCCGAGGCGACCCGGAAACTCTATGCAGGAGGTGTTCTACACTCTGGAGACTTGGCTGTCTGGCATCCCGACGGTGCCATTCAGATCCTTGACCGTGCGAAGGATATAATCATCAGTGGTATGTGTTGCGAGCGGCACGAGCTAGAGGAAACTGGCTAACAATAACTAGGTGGCGAGAACATTTCCTCTGTAGCCCTTGAGTCTATGCTGGCCACGCATCCTGACATTCTGGAAGCCGGTGTTGTTTCTGTCCCTGACGCCCATTGGGGAGAACGACCCAAAGCCTTTGTCACGGTGAAGGAAGGCAAGAGCCTTGAGGGTCCGGATGTGATCAACTGGGCCCGGAACAACAGTGGAATCAGCAAATTCATGATTCCCCGAGAAGTGGAGGTGGTTCCTGAACTCCCCAAGACCAGCACTGGCAAAATCCGGAAGAACGTTTTGCGTGACTGGGTTAAGGGAATCAAAGAAGCTTAGATGGACCCCCAAGGCGGGGAAATACTTTCAAGTATATAGATGAGTAGATATCTTAAGCACAACGTACATACATGCCACCTGAAGAAGGTTTGAAAGCGAATTCCCTTCATTCCCTACATTCCAATGATATCAGATGCGTGATATTCCCGTGACATGTAGATCGATCGTAGGTCAAGCACGAGGTCAGCTCAAGCGACCATGATATCTCAGTGGATAGCGTGATCTTTGTAGCATGCCTTACTAAGTTACTTCTTTCTTTTTCCATCTCTTCTACAATATTTGCATGAACAAAGACCCTTTCGATTCAAGCCTAAGAATAGTATCTACACTGGGGCTTATCGAATGATAAGCAGCTCTTGGCACGGACTCCGCACGCAGCACTGTGAAACCCGGCCCCATTGCCTCATCCCCCTCCATTGTCTTTGCCCCTTCTCATTAACCTGCATTGCCTTCCTGATTACGCATTTGCATCTGATACACGGGGGTGTATAAGGATCATGATCTGGATCGTCAGTTCAACTGCATTCTGAACGATCTATCTTTGTCCATCTCTCCCTTGCCCCAAATACGCGCGGTCGACCTACGCTTACGTTCACACCTCGTGCAGCCACTCCCGAATATTTCGCGAAGGATACGTTTATCTACCAGTTCTCTAAAGAACAAGGCCTCACAGCCATTGAGAGAACAAGGATTGGCTGTACCTGTGGACCGGACTTGCCTGTTCTAGCCTTACATGCACGCACCGCCCATGCAGGCTTCCTTCATGAAGTTATGAGATTTCGACCATACAAACATACCGAACCCAGATCCAACCGAGCCACGAAGAGCGAATCACCAAGGGTGGCTAGGATGCATCGTCTACGCGAAGCCGGTCGGTGCTCAAGCGCAGCCCCTTCGGAAACCTCTGGATCGACGTCACCAGAACGCGCTGGCGACGATGACACGGATTTCTTCATGCAACAGGCCAACGACTCCCAGTCATCACTCGGCGTGGCCAATTTCCGCGACTCCCACCCTTCAAATGCAAACTCCGTACATTTGCCGCCGGTCGGCCGCCTCCCACCGGAAATCCTGATTGCGATATTCTCGAAATTGTCAGCGCCTTCCGACATGCTCAATTGTATGTTGGTGTGTCGTGGGTGGGCCGCAAATTCTGTGGGGATACTATGGCATCGGCCGACTTGCAACACTTGGAGTAATCTGGGAAGCGTGGCCATGTCGCTAGGAAAACCGGACAGCCTTTTCAATTATGCAGATCTCATTAAGAGACTGAACCTATCCGCCCTTTCCGAAGATGTCAACGATGGCACTCTTGTCTCTTTCAACCAGTGCAAGCGACTTGAGCGACTGACTCTGACTGGCTGCAAGAACCTGACAGATAAAAGCGTGTCGGACTTGGTGGAGGGGAACCGGCATTTACAGGCGTTGGATGTTTCCGAGTTGCGAAACCTTACCGATCATACAATCGCCTTAGTACCCAGGGATTGCCCCCGTTTGCAAGGACTCAACATCACGAACTGTTCCAAAGTCACCGATGAGGTTTTGCTTCTTGTATCACAAAAGTGTCGCCAAATTAAGAGGGTATGTGGATCGTGTGACTTCTTGGGTGGTCCCCAAGTACTAACTTCATAACAGTTGAAACTCAATGGGGTCTCCAATATCACAGACCGAACAATCCAGTCATTCGCAGAGAATTGCCCATCTATCCTGGAAATTGATCTACATGACTGTAGCCTTGTCACTAGCAAATCGGTGACTCCATTGCTTATGACTTTGCGCCATCTCCGTGAACTGCGGCTCGCCCATTGTGTCGAGATCGATGACACTGCCTTCATGTCGCTACCCCCTCACATGATATTCGACAGTCTTCGCATTCTCGATTTGACCGCATGCGAGCACGTTAGAGATGACTCAGTAGAGCGAATCGTGACCGTGGCTCCGCGAGTGCGCAATTTGGTACTGGCCAAATGCCGCTTCATCACAGATCGATCTGTGATGGCCATTTGCCAACTAGGAAAGAACCTCCACTACGTTCATCTCGGTCATTGTTCCAACATCACAGACACGGCCGTGATTCATTTGGTCAAGGCCTGCAACCGTATTCGATATATTGACCTGGCCTGCTGCAACCTCTTGACGGACCGTAGCGTGCAGCAGTTGGCAACCTTGCCCAAGCTGCGAAGAATCGGGCTAGTCAAGTGTCAGGCTATCACCGATCAGAGCATACTGGCACTGGCACGGCCCAGGATGCACCATGCTTCTGTCAGTAGCCTAGAGCGAGTTCACCTGAGCTATTGCGTTCAGTTAAGGATGAAGGTGAGACCGATTTAAGATCCTGATACTCACAACATGATATACTGACCGTACGGCTTAGGGTATCCATGCTTTGTTGAACAATTGCCCACGCCTGACACATTTAAGTTTGACCGGCGTACAAGAGTTCCTCCGAGATAACCTCACTGCATTCTGCCGGGAAGCTCCCCCGGAGTTCACGCAACAGCAGCGGGATGTTTTCTGTGTGTTCAGCGGTGATGGTGTCAATCGACTCCGTGATCATCTGAATCAAAGTGAACCATCATTCCAGGGAGCCGAAGCTACGATGTACGATGACGACGAAGAACTCGACGAAGATGAGGGCCAAATGACCGGGCTGATGAATGCAACTGTCATCAACGACGGAGACGACGATTATATCGACGTCGGTCCTCTAAATACTTGAAACGATACCCCCTTCCTTTGCGGTCGAAAACGAGATTAGGCGCAAGCCTCTCTCATATCCCATTCATGTCCTCTCATGTTGCCTGCGATTCCTCACCGGGTCAAATAGGCAGCCATATCTCTATCCATATGAGCGAAGGTGACCCTACCATTCTGTGTTATTTTGGGCAATGCATTAGTACGCTAGCGATTACGGACTTTGGATTATTTTTTGTCGGTATGCCATTGCATATGTAGAACTTAAGCAATTCATTTTTTTTTGGGCTTCCTTTCACATGTCATGCGGTTACCTATGGAATTCAAGAACTGCTGTTGTGTTCAAGAATAGTATAGTTCGTGTGCAGCGCATCTGCAATGTAACTGCAGTAGCTCAGAAGTCGGTATGTACCGGCTAGCTACCCCCGCATTTGCTTCAAAACCGACTCCAACTTCAACCTCCACTCCACCCCCTACCTCTCAGCTTAACCAGCACAGGGTAATGGCTTCCTACAAAGCCAGCAATCCCCTGGCATTCACGCCGTGGCCGGTAACAATAATCACCACGGCCGTGTACCTCGCCTTGATCATCCCATTGTTGGTGATCAACCACAACGTCCCATCTGCGCCCCGAACCATCCCCAGTGGCCTCAACCTCACAGAGGCATGGCATGATCTCCAAACCCTCACACAAGGCTTCCACCCCTACAACTCACATCAAAATGACAAAGTCCGCTCGTGGCTACTCGAACGTATCGACGCGATCAAGCAGTCCGCCCCCTCCGCCCAGGTGTACCAGCACGCGAACGAGGAAAAGCCCGATGTTTTCGTTTTCGATGATATGGTGTCCAACCTAACCTTTATCGACAGAAGCGTTGGCGTTTACTTTGAAGGCACCAACATCCTCGTTTACATTCGTGGATCAGAAGATAAAAAAGAGAATTGGTGGGAGACTCTCGGTCGAGTACCCGGTGGCAAGGGGGGAGTATTGGTTAATGCACACTACGACAGCGTGTCAACAGGCTACGGTGCAACAGACGATGGTGTTGGCGTTGTCACCTGTCTGCAGTTAGTGAAATACTTCCTCACACCGGGCCATGCGCCGCGTCGCGGGCTGGTGGTTCTCTTCAACAATGGCGAGGAAGACTATCTGAATGGCGCACGCGTTTACAGCCAGCACCCGATGGCGAAATTTGCGCATACATTCCTGAACTTGGAAGGTGCAGGTGCTGGTGGTCGCGCTACGTTGTTCCGCAGCTCAGATACGGAGGTCACTCAGGCGTATGCCAAGTCGCAGCACCCGTTCGGCTCCGTGTTGAGTGCCAATGGTTTCGAGAAGGGTCTCATCAGTAGTCAAACGGATTATGTTGTTTTGGATGGTATTTTGGGCTTGCGAGGACTGGATGTTGCTTTCTTCGAACCCAGAGCTCGTTACCACACTGATCAGGATGATGCCAGGCACACTAGTATGGATTCAGTTTGGCACATGCTGTCTGCTGCTGTTGCCACTACGGAGCACCTTATGTCTGATACCAGTGATCGATTCGACGGACATGCCGGTGATGATGGAGCTGTGCCTAGTGGTTCTGGTACACGAGCTGTCTGGTTCGATCTCTTCGGCAGTGCTTTTGCTGTGTTCCGTCTGCACACGCTTTTCGCATTGTCTGTTACTTTGCTGATAATCGCGCCATTGACCTTGCTTGTAACCAGCATCATCCTTTCCAAAGCGGATAAGATGTACCTGTTCCGCTCATCGGTATATTCTGAGCTCACCGACGATAACATCCCCTTGCGTGGCTTGCGTGGTTTCTTCCGGTTCCCATTCTTAATCTCTATTCCCACAGGAGTGACTATCGGCCTCGCTTACTTGGTGACTAAGGTCAATCCTTTCATTGCCCACAGCAGCTCATACGCTGTGTGGAGTATGATGATCTCAGCCTGGATCTTCCTGGCCTGGTTTGTTTCTCGTGTAGCGGACTCTGCACGTCCATCTGCTTTCCATCGAGTTTATACTTGGACCTGGATGTTTGTTCTCTCTTGGTCTCTCATGGTGATTGCCACCGTTTATGAACACGAGGAAGCACTTGCAGGCGGCTATTTCATGCTATTTTACTTCGCCGGCGTCTTTTTGGCAACATGGATCTCCTATTTGGAACTATTCTCTCTGCCACCGAAATCGGAGTACGCTGGCAGGCTTACCGAATCACGACGGCCTAGTACTCAAGGGAGTCGGCTTGCTGCATCGGGCGATGAGCATCAAGATGATGCTGAAGAGGACCCGACTGAGTCGACATCGCTGCTGCACGGCCCGCATCGCACTACCTTTGCCAACTACGTCCGCGTCGGGGGAGATAACCAGTCTCACGACCTGGACGAAGAGGAAGAGGAAGATCCCAACGTCTATGCCTACGAGCAAGCATGGAGTGGTAGCATGCCGCGATGGACGTGGCTTCTGCAGCTGCTCCTCACTGCTCCTGTGATTCTCATGCTGATCGTCCCACTGGCTCTTCTGATCACTGCCGCACTCAACCAGACAGGGCAGGACGGTAATCCCCAGCTGATTATCTATCTCTTGATTGCTGCTTTTACTGCACTCATTTTTGCACCTATGCTGCCTTTCATCCACCGGTATACATACCACCTGCCTATCTTCCTACTTTGTATTTTCACCGGAACCCTGATCTACAACCTTGTTGCTTTCCCGTTCGCAGACTCAAACCGCTTGAAGCTGTTCTTCCTGCAGGAAGTTGATCTCGACAACGGAATCTCCACTGCTTCCCTCACCGGCATGCCTCCTTTTGTCAAAGACGTTGTATACGGGCTTCCCAGCGCAGCGGGCCAAAATGAGTCCTGCGATTGGATATTCCGAGGCAAAAATGAGGTACAACGATGCTCATGGAACGCACCGGTACCACGTGTTGCCACGAGTGCCGCATCTCTATCTGCCTTGAACGAAGATCCCGACTCCCCAGTCGAGGCTTCAGAGCTGTCGCCGGAGTGGGTTTCCTTCAGCATTTCTCACCCTGATCCAGCCAGCTCCTCCGTTCGCTTTGAAATCTCAGGCCAAAATACACGCGCCTGCCGCATCGACATCGATGGAAACCTCATCAAGAGCTTCCATGTCCACGGCTCCTCTGCTCCTGACCCTCGCTTTTTGAACCCCTCCCCAGATGGCCTGAGTCGGATCCAACTATGGAGCCGTACATGGGACAATCAGTGGACCGTGGATGTTGATTTCTCGGAGCACGACTCACCCGCGACTGAGAGTGAGCAGTCCTCTATCACGGGCCGCATCACCTGTCTATGGAGCGACAATAATCGAATCGGTCTCATCCCTGCGCTCGACGAGGTGAAGCGGTTCAGCCCGGCGTGGGTCGCTGTAACCAAGTTCTCTGACGGCTTGATCGAGGGCTCGCGGTCATTCGAGATTAAGCGTTCGAGCCGCAAGGCCATAGCATCTTGAGTCTTTCTGGCGGTAAGAGTTGTTGTCAGGTCCTTATTTATGTATGATTTATGAGCTCGTGTTTATCGTGCCGCTTTTTTGATTGTGCTACATTGCGTATTGACCCATGTAGGGGCATTTTTCTGATCTTTATCTTGGTCAAGACATCCATAACATACCCTTGAGTTGAGCTGGTTTCCCTGGGTGCGCCGCGAAATTTCCACATGACTGCGGCTGTAGTGTCGTGATAGTCAATATAAGGAGCTCAATATGAAGATCTGCAGAAACCGCTAGAGCATTGAAATCTGAGACTCCGCTGCATGTCCTAAGTCCTAACTAACTCCATGTCAGTAAGATCCACAAGTGCCATGAAGGTTAAGCTCGAGCCGCTAACCAACCGAACCATGGTACTGCCATAGATTAGAGTGAGGGTGCCTACTAACTAAGCCTTTCTTGGATATTTGCGAATTTACAGAATAGGTGTCGGACACACCTACGAACGTCATGAATAATAATTGATGAGTCGTTTTGGAGGTTTTAGTGAATGGACACTTACCTCTGCCCATCGACATTCTTCGTATCCCATACTCTAGCTTTTGCTCAGTCCTCACACCGATTTTCCTTATACAAAGACCAATATAAAACCTAGCCACACTCGAAGAGAAGACTATGAATATTCTTCACACAAATTTCGCTTATACAGAGACGAATATAAGAGCCACACCCGAAGAGAAGACAATGAAGAACGATACACCATATAGCGAGGAGCCCATGGCCATGGCTTCTGTCCCAAACGACACCGGACTCGGACCGGACTTGATATTTCTACTACCACCAGAGTTGATGGACATGGTTTTCTCATATTTATCTGTATTATCTGGAGCCAGTCTTGCAATGACATGCAAGGTATACTACAAACAGTTCGGATTTATTCTCAAAAGACCCGAACTGAAGTGCCCTAGGCCCATCAACAAAGGCGAGCCAAGCATCCCACTGGAGCAATATCTCATCAACCCATCGACTGGATTCTACCAGAGAACTGAGCTGCTTCTTCCCCTTGAATCCGACAAATTGACATTCTGCGGCGAATGCAACTACTTATATCCGTCCAATCAGTTCATTTGGGATTCAGGTATGACTATGAGATGGCACATTCGAGATGGTATCGATAGACACCAAAGAGAGCGGCTTTTCTCTATCGTGGACGACGGGTCTGGATCTGAGGAATACGATTCCCAGCCTCTTCGGTACATAACCTTCTGGGGTGCAGAACTTGGAGAGCTAGTGCAGGATATGGAGATTTTGGAGACATGTAATGACCGTATCACGCTTGAACTGGATTATACGTTGTGCCATCGCTACAACGAGAATCGTCTATACAGCCCAAAGCAGGTACAGCCCATCATGGTTTGTCCGCACGTTAATGTCGTTGATTGAACATGGACTTACGCTGAACTTTCGACCCGGAGGTGTGATAACTGCTTCTCCAATGCATCTGACGCCGTCGTCGAGATTTTGAGAGAGCCAGGCCCAGCAAGTTCGGGAGTGTTCAAATTACCATTAAGCGAACTTTGAGCGACGTCAAATACCTAAGCCATTATATTGTGAAAGTCAACTTGTCACTTTGCGATACTTAGTTTTCGAGCCGTCCGTTGGATCTGGTTGAGCGTGTTGACCTGCAGTTGGCTTTGGCCTTGCGTCCTTCTATTTCGAGATTGAGATGAACATAGCTGAGTGGTTGAGCTACGTGAAATTGGACTTGAGCAATCAAACAATGATATCTGAACAAGACCGGATGATGAAGTCAGGCAGTGTGCATCAAATTCCTTGAGATAATCTCCCTGGAAGCATCCGCATAAGCCCTCTGCACATCTCTCCAACATAGTAAACATTAGACACAATCCCAGCGGATCTCAGAACGTCCAAAACTAGCCTCTTCACCGGAAGTTTTCGTTCCTATTCACAGCCAAAAAGCCCAGGGACCATAACTGTCTGATATCCGATTCTAAAGAAAAAAGTCAGCAAGTACCACGGCATAGAATAAAAGGAAGAAAGCAATAACTAACCAGTCTGACCACCAATCCCCGGCGGCGCCGGCAACACCCCCAAAGGCGTGACCTCAAATTTCCCACCACGATAAACCCACGACCACACCTCACCAGAGAGTTGATCAGAATTAGCCTCAATAGAATCCCAAAGGGCATTATATGCCTTCTTAACATTTCCATAGACCGAATCCTCGGTACAAAAAGCCGGCACGGGCAATGGCACAGGTCTCAGAGGTTTATCCGTCTTCGATGAGACGGAGAAGTTCGAAGTAACTTCACATCTCCCCAACTGCATCTCCAGCCCCTTGGCCATCATAGCAAGCTGCCAAGACCAAATAACAGTGCCATGATAAGCGCCCGTAGTCCAATTCCGCGCATAAACGGGATCATCCCCGAACGCGGGATTCGCAACGACCATTCCAGCATCTGTCATCAGACCGGCTGGGAATCTGCGCATGATATTGTTCGCGGATTGGTTCAGGAACGAAGTCAGTTGCGTGTCGTGTGTGGTATTGAGCAAAAAGTGGCGGAAACTGTCATCTGTGTTCATTACTTCGACCTTGGATAGGTTGTCATTCCCTTGCAGGGCTAGTGCGTGGAAGTGGACGTCACTATCGATGCTGGAGGCCTGATCTGGACCCGGGAAGGAGGTATTGGCGTAGTTCTTGACAAGGTCTTGGGCTTGGCTCTTTGGGATTCTGACTGAGAAGAGGTCGAGCGTTGAGTCTTCCCATGCTTTGGCGTATTGGTCGGCTAGCGTGGCCCATTGGCGGTGCTTAGGATACATGCCAGAGCGGGCGAGAGCAGCAATTGCGCGTAAGGCGGCTGGGACGAGGGCTGTATTGACGTCGTAGGGGATGCGACCGCCGCCGATACCTGAGAGTTGTTAGTGATGACCCGGAAAAATGGGCTAGCTGTGATGGGAAGTACCGTAGGTGCTGTCTCTCCATTGACCGACTACTTGCCCTTCCCGCAGATGGATGAGGTTTTCTGTAGTTGGTTTCTCCGCGAATGGACGAGCTAGTCGCATGATTCTCTCTGCATTGGTCAATGCCAGGCTACCCCAAGTAAGGTTTGCATTTGCAGCATTGATAGTTCCTGCAGAGGTGCTGTTGTGCTTGGATCAGCCTGGTACCTCGCATATAAGGTGTGCCGAAGGAAAGACTGACTTGAAAAAGGATGCGGTTCTATTCTGCCCCATCGGATTCCTCAAGAAATACCGCTCCATCAAGATCGGAAGGAAGTAATCGGAATCAATCTGCAGGCATCGTTAGTCCAGGATCAAGCTCGACAACTATCATTGATACTCAGACCATCTTGTAATCACAGCCCATGGCGTTGCTGGTGATATTCTCTTGCGCATTTGACCAAGTCGCATAGTCCCTTGAATATTTAGGAAGAGTAGACTCAAGAATACAGAAAGAGAATCACTCACCCGATTGTCTCCTCGTGGCAGACAGTTCCATCAGTCCGGTTCACCCGCTCCAACACAGCCCCAATGACTGCTTCCATTGCACTACCCTTGCCGTCACTAAGGACGGGTTCCAACAACAAAGCCGAAATCATAGAGTCCCTGCCAAAATATGTCAGGAACCTCCATGCGCCAGCAAGAAGTTTCTCTGAGTAGGACAAAAATGACAGAGCAGTAGCCTGACCAGGGCTCTCTACAGTCAGGTTCCTCGATGCCTCATTGAAAACGGATGTATGTTCCAAAGCTGTCAGCTGTGGGTAGTTTATATCTGCCGAGAAGAGATACTCCCCTGCATCAAAGGAAACCGTTTGATCGGAAAGTTCGATTCGGCCACCCACGTTGTTGCTTCCCAAGGATGCATTGTGGAAAGGTTGAAATCTTATGTTAGTTGTTGTGACATTATCCAGCCAAAGCCGCTGCAATGAGACACCCCCATTGCCATCAGAGCTGTACTTGATCGCATCTTGAATCTCCGGATACAGGATGCTGGGTCCCTCAACGAAATCACGGATCGTACGAATGCTGCCCAGGATTGGAACCGCAAGAGCGGCAGAGGCATTGAAGCGTATGACACCTTGTACTCCAACGCTAGGGTTGTTGTTCGACTTTGTTCCTGCGGAGTAGACAGGTCCTAGAGGGGTGCCGATGGTTGAATTGACAAGTTCAATAGACAATGTACCATTTGCGCCATTTTGCGGCTTGAAGAATATACACGCGCCACTATTACCGGCTGGCCAGGCTACGATCAGTCGTGGACTGATGATCGAAAGGTCGCTGTCAGCTTGCGGAGTTGTGACTACTGCCTGGGCAGCAACGTTGCAATCGGAGTAGAAGTAATTATTGTAAGGCGCGTCGCTCAGTGATAGCGTGGAAGGTCGATTCGTACATTTTGGGGCATTTTCGGCTTGCAGGTGCTGCGAGAAGGTAAGTATGAGAGAATGTAGAAGTCGATGGGGGGTGCGCCACTGACCGCATCACCTCCCGTTGTGGCGGCCGTGAGGCTCGCTAGCAGACACGACGTGATGAGAGCTGTGGGAAGCCTCATGGTGGGGTCGTCAAGCCTGAATATAAATTTAAGAAAGTACAATTTGTAGGGAGGATGTCCTTCTCTACGAAGGTAATTCGCGGTATCGACCTTGCTGAAGCGCAAGGCCTGAAACTTATTCTTGCCAGAGGCAGCTCTCCCCACGGGGATGTGGGGAATGGAATGTGTAAAGTTCCGATAATTATCCGAGGACGCCGATCCTTATTACTGTAGAACTTTCATCCGCGGAAAAGCGTTTCATGAGACTGAGTAATATTCAGTGACAACTGGTCAGATAGACGGTTACAGAGAATCGTTCTATATACAGGCATGAAGGAAAGGTGCAGTTACATTGCACTCTGTGAAAAGAACATTGGTGGGCTCCACATCCGCGGATCGGTCGTGAGACTGCCAAATAGCTCAGCGGCGTAACATCCTGCGTGAACCCTCAATGGGAGTTGGGGAGCCGGGCGCGCCGCCCGACCTTGAGCTGCGGGGAGTTGGAGCTCCTCGAGTCTGTCGGGAGAAGACCAGTTGCAGACCGGTAGATGTGTTATGTCCACAGAAAGGGAATGGGATATCGCAAGATCATTGATCATATCTCATAAGCCATGATTCATTAAAAGGAGGAGCCTGGAAGGCATTGGTGTGACGAGGTCAATTCTCATCCCGGCTTCTCAGGGATTTTCCGAGGGCGACTCGGGTACCCTGGATAGCGACTGAAAGGGTTGGTGAAGTCATGGGGGAGGTGGTCAACATGATAAACGCGGCCCTCGCTGCTCATTGAATTGGAGAAGTTGGATACATCGGAATTATTGCGTAGGTGATCAGGCGGCAAATGCTCAAACATGGCGATGGAGATGTCGTCAGAGTTCATCCAGGCAGGTCGACGTTGGGTGATGCTCGGGGGAGCATGGGTTATATCGGTGGTGACGCGCGTTGCGTCGACGAAGTCGGGGAGGTCGCGTGGTGCAGAAAAAGACTCGGGTTTCCAGCCATGATTGTGTACCAGGTGAATGAGTTTTCCGAGGACGGCGAATTCAAGCTTCAACTTGATGCTATATATTGCGCCTTTCAACATGGTTTCCATGATGTAGAAGTCCATATATTCAGCAACAAGCAGGCCCACATCCAAGATGATGATGATGGAGTTGATGATCAGCAGTTGGTACTGGATCTTGCGCTTGGTGCGGTCTGGGTCTAAACGCAACATGCGCACTGTCTCCCAAATGTATAGCCCCGAGATGATGAATTCCTGGATACAGAAGCCTGTCATTTGGATCTTTTCCATTATGTTGTAGCCTTTCTTATACGGTTCCAAGGAGGGGCCATGGGCCAGGTTTGTGCCGAAGGTGAGAACTGTAGTTGGGAAGTGGAGGATGATTGCGTTAACGACGATCATAGCTAACACACGGCGCAGGGTCCGCTGGTTAGAGAGGACCAGATGTAGGCGCGAGTATAGAACAACAGATTGACCAGTAACCATGCACCACCATCCAATCGTGAGCAAAATGACGGGTAGCCACGGCTGATGTGGAGTAACATTGAAGAATTTGAGCAAAAACCCCAATGAATATGGCAGCAGGCCAGCTGAGGATGAAATGAACAAACTCCAAAAGTAGAGTCCTCGGTACTCTGCGAAAGTGACGAAGAGGAGGATCATCAGCTCGAAGGCGTTGTACCAAGTGACCCCGGCAAGAGTCGCAATCGCGATCTGCATGCCCAGGGAGTCTCCCTGATAGCCACCACTGATGCCATTCCCGGCAGCGGTATAATCGCTCATGGCGTTGAGTCAGTATCAGGAAGAGAATAGCGGCATGGCGGTGGGTGGCGTAGACAAGTGTTGGTGGGTGCGGGTAAGGCAGGAGATATAGTAGAAACCGGGGGGAGAGACTCGGAGAAAGCGAAGACAAAGAGAAAGGACAGTGGGAATGGTCAAGACAGGTAAGAAAGAAGAGAAAGACAAAGAGGCCCTGAAAGAGGAAGCTGGGGCGCAACCCCGTATTATTTTTGCATGCGGGGGCCGATCGGGGAACCCCAGATTCGGTGGATGGCCTTGGAAATTATTCAAACCACCATTAATCGAGGGTAGTATCCCAGTGTCAAGTAGTAGCGTAGTCGTAGTAAGAATAAACGGGATCTAAGACGAAAATATGCGCCTATCAAGCTCAACAAACCCACACACCGACCAACCCATGAAATCAAAAATCCATGTTTGATCGGTGAGATCCCCAAAACACATCAATCCCAGTCCATCCCACACAAAGATTCATGATTGGATCTTTTGTCTGCCTCCCCACCCCATCATCAGTACCCTTTTTGTGTGACTCCATTCCATCTCTCCAGGGAGATTAATATTTCAATAGTCCACAATGTAATTGTGAGCTTAGCATGTCTCGCGGAGCTGGAGTTCACATGGTGGGTCAGGGGCAAAACATCCCATATATTCCGGGGCTAAAAAGGCACCTGCGGCTAAAAGGGGACATCGGACGTCTTGCCTTGCAGCCCATTCTTGAGCCAAGACCTTTCCAGCCTCACAGCCAGGTTCACAGCCCGCCTTCTTCCTTGAAAGACCTCGCTTGCCAGCATCGCGTCAGTCGACAAGGATGAATTGCCCCACGGACCATCTGGTACTCGACAAATTAAAACATCCCTGCTTCCTTTGTTCGGCATATCACAGCGTGAACCGTTGAACTCAAGACAAAGAACGACTCAAAGTAGGGTCAAATTGCAGGGGCGGGCACCATTGCGACACGGATGAACTATCGACACCCTGATTCGGCCAAGCGGCTGTAATCTCCACAACTAGCAACGAAGCGTGTCCTGGGGACGGGACTAGGGAGGTTAGCCCATCGGGCCATCACCTACTGGATGTGGAGTTGTTTGTGATTTTGATGTCATCGGGGACTTGGCGCGTGACCTATGAATTTTTGGCGCTGCTTACTCATCATGTTTATGCTGTCGATGGATGTCCTCAGGCCTCATTATGGAATTCGGATGAATGAAATATCACATGATTCACGATGGCAGTGTCAAGGTCGATTTGGCTATTGCTTCATTCAACATACTTCGTCCCATGATGCTCTTCCCGGAACCCAAGCAGCTTCTTCGTCTTCTGGTTACTGCTGGGAGCCCACTTTGGCCCCCATTTCCCGCATAACCGGGACCCCGGGCAAACTCTTGCAAGGAACTCCGCAGTCTTCCCATACGTAATTTCGTCATTGACCGCATTGAAATCTGAAACCCAAGGCTATTCTTCTTGGCCGCAAGATCACAGATTTGCCCGAGATATCGAGCATCGATGTACGCCCAGCCATGCGGCGCCCATTTCCCGGGCATTTCCGCATATGAGCGAAACATACTCTGTAGACTCCTTATACTCCGGGGCAAATATGCGCCCAATACGCATCACATTGGTATTACTTCCGTAGCGGCGGGCGAAGCCACTCGCAACGCTCTGCCACATACTTTTGAGATGGCATTTGTCTCCATCGGGTTTACGTCGAGGGTTTCCTCGACTGGGAAGGAAGGGAATTCTGCGTAGATCACGCCGTAAACGGCCACGGAGCTCGCGATGATAATTTTCTTGATGTCGAGGAGTACCCAGCTCGCGAGGAGAGGGACAAGATCGAGATTCAGGATCTCATGGCCATGCTGCAGCAGATATCTGATGTGTCGCCCAAACAAAGCTTGTCTGTTCGACTAGTCTGGATGTGACACGCCAAGTTATGCATGACCCCTCCTCGGGAATGGGATTCAATCTGCTTGATTGACCATTCAGGGCAATAGTTCAATCGATACAGCCAGCTGTGTCTGTTGAATATTTGCCAGGGGAGCAAAAGACGGTGTCGATCGCGAGGCTGGGCACGGAAAATCAAAAATATGCTGGTGCTACTGCAGGTTCTAACCCAAAAGATCCAAACCCAGTCATGATTGCAATCGTTTGTGTGCTTTCACGTTGCTGTGCAGCGCTGATCAAAGTATTTTCGGCTATGAGCTGGACCTTCCAAATCAGCCGCGTTTGCCCCCTCTTACATAGCCATAAACTTAGGCAGTACCTATCTTACTACAACATATAACTTCCAGCCATCATGGTAAAAGATAAGCGAGTCTGCTATTTCCCCAATGGGGGAGAGGCAAGAAACAATGTGCCATGCACATCCGATACGAACACCTGGTGCTGTGGTGACACTGATCTTTGCTTGGACAACGGCCTCTGTCTAAACGCAGGACACCAACCATATATTCTATCCCGGGGGTCATGCACAAGCCAAGGATGGGTTGGATGCACACCTCATTGCAGTAAGCTATGATCAGGCAACTCAACCGAATACCATGGAAAGGAAAATGTACTGATGGCGTTATTGTCTTTCCAGCGAAGTCAACCCCGGACGGAGGAGCCTCCATCACTAATACGTTCTTCAACGGCTCCAAGGCTCTTTACTGCTGCGGCACACCAGTAGCACTCGGCTCCAGCCTCCGCTGTCCAGCCCACTCCGATAATGGCGGCGAACCTTTTGAAGTCGCAAATGGCAAAGTTATCACCGGGCGAGGTCTACTTGAAAATTTCACTCCACTCACCAATACATCATCATCTATCGGGAATAGCACGTCGAATGGGACAGTGACCGAGAAGCCTAAATGCAATAGCTGTCATGAGACTGCCATTGGCGCAGGCGTCGGAGTCCCGCTCGGCTGTCTAGCTCTGCTCTTCTTGGTATGGGCACTCCTAGAGCGCAGAAGAACCGCCCGGCTGAGGCGCGCGCTTTCGACCCCGACTGTAACGACTGCCCTGGCTTCTCGACAAGCAGGTCCCAGTGAGCTGTCAGATCCCTCGAGCAAGGGACAACCCGTCGTTGAACTGGAGGGCGCCCGTCCAGAGCTCGATGGAGGAGGTCCAATAAGGGTGTGAGTTCCATTAGCATTATTTAAGTGTCAATCGAAGCCCAAGACTCGGCCCGGTGTGGATGCCAAGTGTATCGTGGGTGAATTATAGGAGGATCTCTGACTTGATATATGTACCCTGCCTCGCGGGGAATGGACCGCAACAACTACCTAATCGCGAGCAATCCTGTGAGCAACATGGATAGGGGGTTGACTTGAATATACCGGGTGATCATTCATGGTGATAGCCCCATGTCTGTTTTAACCTGGTCGATATCATCACTGCTACGACAAGCAAGCACAGTCTCCATTGTAGTCATCCTTTATCCCATGGAAATATTCACAGCAAAGCTTTGTATATTGAGCTTCTTTGAACCCTCACGGCTACAATCGCCGCTACCGCCTTCATCCCATCCAAATTCGGATGCAGAAGTGGTCCTTTGGAGAATCCCCCAACCCATGGTTCCGCACTACCAAGCGCATGTCCTTGGCTGAGTTCGTGAATTGGGACGGTCTCGCACCAATCGGACCGACTGTCAGCAGCAACAGAGCAAGCATGTTGCAGAATAGATGCCACCCCGCGGTAATGCTCGAGTCTCTCTTGAGACAGAGGAATATCCCGACCAGCCTGTGTGCCAGGTCCCAGTACAGCAAGGTATTCAACGAGAAACACCCGAGCCCTCGGTGCCCGTCTGTGTATTTGATCAAGGACACCACCCATCCGCTCGGCCAATTGATCGGGCGACAAGGGTGCCGTTGATTGTAACTCAGCTTCGCAAGAATCGGCAATCATGCCGCCAATGTAGTTTATATCGTTTCCTCCGGCTGTCACGGTGATAATATCGGCGTCTTCGGGTAGATCGGTGATTTGCGGCGGGAAGATCTTGTTGAAGGGGGTAGCCTGTGGTTCGACTGTTATGTTGAGCAAGGTTGCACCGGACACGCTTAGATCGGTGAGATCAGCATTCAACTGCTTTGCCAGGAGATGGGGATAATTCTGCCCTGATCGCATTGCGGCGAAGGGTTCAATTTGTGGGGGGATGTCAGGGCCGGCGGCAAAGGAGCTGCCCAGACTCGCGATCATGAGCTTTTTCTTCGGTGTGTCCATAGTAGATTATGTTATGTTATGTATGACGACAACAGTGACTTGTGTAGTTCCTTCCTCGTGACTGTTTCGCAGGGCCTCGGCGCGTGAAGTGGAAAGTAGCTCTTAAGGTTTGGCAGGAACACGGTTCAGGGTTACATGAGGCTGGAGGGCGGGCTGGATGCCTGAGGGAGTAGGCGAAAGCCACGCGGGGCCAGCTGGCAGCTGACCACCCGCCAAGGGCAAGGCCCCCCGCCGCCCAGCGGGCCCAACCGAATGCCCTCGCCCCCCGTGATCTCATTATTCCATGGACCATGGTCAGGGTCTGTGTTACTCCAGTTCCTAAGGGTCCTCCCGGCCCTCGGGGGGCTCCAACTTTGTATCATTTAGAAGAGTCTTGTTTTCTTACTGCGTAAGCATTGGTGCGCTCTCATTCGTTCACCAGTTGTTGGAGTTGCGCCTCCTACAGAAAATCATGGTCATAAAGTCGTTCATGAGGATTCCCGCATACTGTGTACATAATTCTTGCACCTCGGTCAAGATTCGCCTGCCTGGAAGCGGGACACTCTACTGTCTCTGGCACAAAGAGCACCTGACTAGGTGCAGAGTTTCATTCCTCCTGAAGAGTATGTACCCAAAAATAACTGAACACAGTATGCGGATTCGGTGGGCCGAAGCTGGAGCTTATAACTAGGGCCCGATTCGTTGTGTCTCGCATGTCAACCTTGGAAAGGTGCAATACGATGCAGTCATTGACGCTTCCGTGCTTATTATCTAGCTTAGTTGCCACGATGTCTCATGTCTCACATTTGGTGGTTACTCTCGAATCAAGAAAAGTGAGACATGGGTGTCGCCCTGTGAGCAGCTGGTGGGGTATCCCGTCCGTGTTTCCGTGAGTGTACTGTTGCATCCACTAACTAACCGCTGTTCGTAGTACACAGTACTTTCGAAGGCTATTTCGAGAAATCATGGTGGATTAGCCATCAGGGACCTTAGACTAAGGTGCTCCAAGGTCAATAGTTGCTCTCCAGAAAAGACTTAAATACCTTCGTTCCATCCGTAGATTCTGTGCTTTCTATTATCATCCGAACAACTCTCATCAACACAGCTTAGCAGCCAAACCCTAAATCCTACTCCATACACTTCTTTGCCTTCAACCTTCACCAACCTACAATCATGCAGCTCACCCAGCTTCTTCTTGCAACCGGCCTGTTTGCCTCCTCTGTCTTTGCTGCCCCTCTCGCCAGCGACCAGTGGACCATCAAAGATATGAAGCGTGTCTGCAACGCAGCAGACACCTCGTGCACCTGGACCTTCGGCATCAACAACGGTGCCACTGTTACCCCTGCCAAGTATGTTGTGGAGGGCGACGCCGCCTCTCGAAAGAACGGAGGTCCTAGCAACTTTGGAAGCTACACCGTCACTTCAGGCTGGAGCGGCCAGTTCGGCCCGAACAATGGCTTCACCACCTTGAGCGTTGTTAACAACGATGCCCGCAAGATCATCTGGCCCGCCTACACCGACGCGCAGCTCAAGGGCGGAAATGTCGTCAAGCCTGATCAGTCTTACTCTGCTGTTCCTCTTCCTTGAGTGGCGACCAAAAAACAATGTTAAAGATTGTTATAGCTTGTTTCATCTCGCATTTTTACCCACACTCTCCTTTATAGAAGTCGATGTTGATTGGAGCTTTGTTTGCATTTGCTCTATTTGAATTCAGTTGGACAGGCGATTGTAAAGTCTGAATCATGTATCTATCTTGGAAACCTCACACTCCTTATAATATTAATTCGAAATGTTCACAATCTTCCGTGTCTATTCATTGAAACATCAAATCGTGGCTGCTGTTCCGCTTTGAAGCGCCGAGTCAGGCATCATTATTCATTGGCCACTGATCTCCAACCCTGGACCCCTCGGGAAAAGGATCGCTCGAGTCAAGGACAACATGTTTGAAACTAGTTATCCAAGCCCTCCCAGCAACAGTCGGAAGAACAGCCTGATACCCCCCCCCCAAACATGCGTAGTGCCCGTGCCCCGAATATGACTCTGGAATTCTGTCCCAATAATGCTACGATGTTTGAGCATCTCTCCTTCCGCCAACTGTCCCCTTGCGTGGAAGACAGCGAGTCGAGCACAGGTACCAGTTCCACAAGGACTGCGATCAAACCGCCCCGGTGATACATCATACGACGACAGTGTTGAGAGCAGCCTTGCAACCACCCTCTTCTACAAGAGGCCCCGTGAACTCCAGGATAGCGACTCCTCTGATTCTAGGATTGTCCGGATGAACAGGGGTGTAGGAGCGTGCTATACTCGGACTTGATCTCGAGCCCGACGGAGGCAGCATCCACAAGCACGTACACCATTCCTCCCAGGCAATATCGACGAAGATCTCGCCAATCCCGTGGACAAGGACTTGGTAGCCGAGTCTGAACACAAAGGCGGGTACATTGTCGAATGCCACGCGCTTGCATTTCCCCGCTTCGCATTCTGCTCTTACGGTGACCAGCCCGGCAGCTGTGTCTAGGTTCAATTGAGTGAGAGGTTCTTTCATAGGAACCATGCCTGTCTCCAATAGCACTGTGGTGGTGCAGATAGTGTTGGATCCGGACATGGGGGCGTATTCCTCGCTTTCCATGATCAGGAACCCGGCGTCGGCGTGTGGATCACAAGGGGGTAGGATCAAGTTCGTGTTCATTGAGGATCGGCCTCGAGGTTCGTTGAGTAAGAGCCGATGTATATCGTCTTTCTCGTTCAGGAAGTGAACTAGTTTATCGTACATTGTGTTGCCTGGGACATCGAGGACGCCGCCGATGATCACATCGCCGACTTCGCCTTCAGCGTGGCATCCGACGACTGACAATGTACGGGTGAAAGGCATGATTTTGCTTGAATTTGCACAAGGAGCAAGACCTGAAGAAAGTAGTTCACAGTGGAGGTTCCTCGGAATGGGAAGTGTGCTCTGCAACCCAGAAAGTCAAAGTCTTTGCAGGCAATTTATACGTTTTCTTCTGGCCTAGATTCCGACAATGCCAATGGGATTCCAAACTGGGTTGTGGAATAGCACTTTGCTCGTACCTAGCATTTCGTGTGGCCAAGCGCAGGAAGGCACGTAACTAATTGCTTTTTCGAGCTTGGAGAACGGCCTGTTCACTTTATGTTTGACGCTGCAGGCGCTACAGTATCGCAGCTAGTATGAACTGGCGTGTCATAACTACGGGGATGGGAAAAGCAGCTCGGAATGGGAGAGAAGCTTTATATTTCGCGTCTCCGTCCGCGGATGCGATTAGGACTAGTATCAGACCTTACCTCCTGGCCGGGGCAACCCCCTCTTCAGCCTCATCCTATTTTAGGTTGTAAGATATATTCAAATCAACTTTGATGCACATCCCTCTTTCTAGAATGGTGAAACTCGTTCACAGCTTCAGCCTAACTGCAGTGGCAACAGTTGCCTCCCGTCTGCTGGATTTCCGGCGGGGGTAAACGCCTCCAATGAAATACGAAGGACGATGAAATCATGAAAGTATCGAGAACCTCCGATGGTCCTTGAATATCCGACCAATCGGGAAGACTTGATCCGTTGTTTATCGGCAGGTGATCGGATTTCGGTTCATGCGCCGGTCTTGATGGGATATTTTGACCTTCTTAAGTGCTCGTCGGGTTCCCTTCCGATACCCCGCCACTCCAAGATCCATGATGTTTCTCCCACTTGATATAACAGCATCTGCCATATCTCTTTCCTAGGTAGAATGGAGAGCTCGGAAAGACTGCCGGCCTTGCCAAAGAAAAGGCAAAACCCTAATCGGTGCGGACCAAAATCCAGAGGAGGCTGTCAAAGGTGCAAGCAGCGACGAGTAAGTTGAGGTGATATACGCACAGTTTCTCCTTCCATATGGAGGGTCTGTTGGCTCCAAAGGCTAACACTCGTCTAGCGCAAATGTGATGAGACAAAACCAAGTTGTCAGCAATGCACCAACCGAGGTCACACATGCCCCGGCTACCAGAAGCAGAACTTGCAGTGGCGACATGTGTTCAAAGAAATCGAAGAGCCGAGCCGGCTAGCACCACCGATTCGGTCTTCCGAAAGAGCTGGGATCGAGCTCACTGGGGTTAGCCATTCGACTCAGGATGAGACCGACAACCATGAAAATGAACCCCAGGATATGTGGGATACAGCTTGTCCAAACATTTTTGACCAGCTACCAGACTTTGATGAGCCAACAGATGCCTGGCTCTACACTAATTCAGGACCTCGAAATGTGGCTCTGACAAAGCCCGATGGTGGACTAGATGGACTCTCGATTTTGCGCCAACGACTGGCCAGCACATCTGTCCCCTCTTTCCTCATCCAACTACCGGTAACATTGGTGCAGTACTATTTTCACACAGTCTGTAACCAGTGGTCATCTTTTGATTGTCCTCTCAATCCATTTCGGGTTATCATCAGTCAGCTCTGGAGTCGCAATGCGGCCATTTACTTTGCTATTCAGAGTATGTCAGCCGCCTCCTTGGCCAATGATTTCCCCACCATGCGGGCCATGGGGATACAAACACAGCAGCAAGCAATTGCATGTCTCAACGATAACGGCTCAAATCCGGCGAAAGATGACGAGTATTTCTTCGCATTGCTCATGATTGGATCTACGACTGGCTGGCATGATCCTTCCGATTTGGGACTGCCGTATTTGCGGGCAGCTCAAGAACATCTTCTAAGGCAGAAACGCCAATGCAAAAGCCCAGATTCTTCCTTAGAAAAACAGTATCCACTCTTCAAACAGTGTCTGCTATGGTGGAACCTGGTCGCTGCATTTGTGGCAGAAGAATCGCCCATATTGGACGTTGAAGGCTCTGCAGGAAATGGCGACATGGACCTCTCGGTTTACCTTGTGGATGGACAAGCCCTACCCCATCCATGGACGGGGTCTCTGAGGTATTCGTTGAACCTTTTCTATCGCACCGCAAGGGTGATTCGTTCTGCGAAAACAGCCCATCGTCGAAGGCCAGAAAGCATGGATCCAACCTTGATCGACCTGACCTCTATGGCTGAAGAACTCGGTCTTAGACAGGAGGCCGAGCATCTTGAGCACAAGATCCTCTTTACGGGATTCTCGTTCTATTGCGGGCCTGTCGACGTCGGTGATACAAACACACCTCCATCGCATTTCCTAACATTGGCTGAAGCATATCGCTGTGCGGCACTTTTGCAAATCTATCACGTCTTTCCGGATATGCTTGAAGAGCGATTACACAATAACCAAAACTCCGACAGCGCAGATGTTATCCCGCCCCTCTTTTTGCTATTATTCCCGATAGCCACCGAATGGTCGTCGCGCTCAGTGGAAGACACACGACGTACTCTGGCATTACACGTCGTATCTCTCCTGGAGCAGCTCCCATCAACATCTGGAACAAAGGTCATGCAGCCGGTTATTTTGGCGTGCATATCTAGCGATCTTGTCTTTTCGTCCGGATCTGTGCTGGGTGCCACCTCGAATGCAATCCCCAGCCTTAGCACAATGGATGTTGAGGTTGCCCAGGCTAGACGAAAGGTTAAGATGAGGTTGTCTGAACTCATTTTGATCCTTCCAAAGCTGCCAATGCAGCGCATTTCAGATATAATACACGAAACTTGGGGACGTGCTGACTCCGGAATGGAAGAATTCTGGCTGGATGTTATGCTGGATTTAAATTTGGAAACGATGATGGGATGATTTTGAGGGTCTTTCTCTGACTCTGCATGGTAGAATAGGGGTTTGAACATGATCGGATATCAAAGCCGGTGACCAGTTGGTAGCATAATATTGCATGAGACCTGAAAAACACCCGGCCTTCCGTATAGGGAAATAGGGCTGTAGCCCCACACGTGATCCACTCGAAGACCCGAGTCATTATTTTTCTCCTGCCCTAAATAATCTTCCTTCTCCGATTTGATCTATTATTATGGTATTATATGGTATTATTTCCATCTGATTTTTGTCTACTCCGTATTTACAACCAGGTTGACATGCATTGCGAAGTATGGCCAGGCCCAGAGACAGCTCTGCGCACTGAAATGAACACTTGATTTTCTTTGCTGGATTGGAAAATCACGCAAAGCCACGCGTTGAAGAATTAGAGCAAATATTGCCACCGGATGGACCTGTAGCTCAATTGGTTCAGAGCATCCAGCTTATGTGGCCATCCTTACCCGGAGACTATCATGAACCTTCCTGGAAGGTTGGCGGTTCGAGCCCGCCCAGGTCCACTTTTTTTTGTGGTCTATGTACAACACGCTTTGGCGACGGTAAGTTTATACTTGGCCTATCTAGATGAAGTACAAGTTGCTAGAGGCACGGGGACTTAGTTTTCGTAGATAAACTGAGTATGCGATGAAGAGAATCGTTGTGTGCCTGAGGCACTTACTGTCATAGTAGGATCCGATCAACGTTCTTTTAGTTACCTACGCCTCGATGTACAGCTCTTATGGACTCAATCCCTTGCAATCGGACATACTTGAGTACCTAGTCCATGACTGATGCTGATTCTCAGCTGGTCCCCCGGCTGGAGGAACCGTGGCGGGCTCTGTGAGACCCCAATACCACAAGGAGTTCCGGTGATAATGACCGTCCCGGGCATCAATGTGTGACCCTGATAGGTTAAGTTAGCTTGTGTTCTTGGGAACCCTGCAGGGATTTGTACCTGAGAAACATAAGACACAATCTCTGGAATGCTGAATATCATGTCATCGGCGGACCCGTTCTGCATGATCTTCCCATTGAGAGAGGTCTTCAACTTCAAAACTGAAGCATCAGGCACTTGCTCAGTAGAGACAATACACGGCCCTAGGGGACAGAATCCATCCTGATACAGGTAAGTCCCTGAGAAGATTGGGTACAGATATTAATTGTGTCGACATACCATTCCTTTTGCATAGGACCATTGGGATGTCTTCTCTTGGTGTTTTCGGGCCGTCACATCATTGGCGACAGCGTAGCCCAGAACATAATCGGCTGCTTCAGGCACTGACAGGTTCTTGCACTGTTTGCCAATGACTATTGCCAACTCAACTTCATAATCTGCTTCATCGTAGTCCACATTAGAGGGGAGTAGGATTGGTTCAGATGCAGACGCAATGCATGTGCTAGCCTTCAAAAAGATTCTGCACAGCCGTTAGCAAATGTTGAAAGCAAGAGCAGGTATACTAACGTTGGCGTATTCGGCAGAGTCAACTTCATCTCGGCGGCGTGTTCCTTGTAGTTTAGGCCGACGCACCGGACTGTCCCCGCCTCGGCTTGCGAGACTGGAGATAGCAATTTATCAATGACTTTGATTTCCCCAGTGAATGAAGCATCATAATCCATGGCCGAAGTGCTAGTCATGATCTTGACTGCAACTTCCACATTCTGGGCTATCGCCTCGCCCACTGCCAACTGGTCAGTTGGTTCAACTCCTTGAATCGGACTACATCATACCATCAATATCGGCATCCACTGGCTCGCCACCATATACGTTGCCATCTATGCCCTTGAATCGGACCCATCGCTTCCAAACCTATGGGTGATTAGATTGCTTCGACACACTCTTTCAGCGAAGTACATACTGGATACTTTGCACCTGGGGTATGTCTATACCCTGTTTCAGTCGGACCATTCGATATCCCCATTTTGTGATCCCCGATACAAAAGATGTGAAAACGATTGGAAGTGCCAGTTGCTGTCTGTCTTCTTATCAATGTCTCAAATTCTGTCGGGAAATTCATCGGGAAATCCACTTCGACATAGGCGAAATAAGGTTTGAATTTACCGATGCCAAGATGATAAAATGCGGGGAAATAACAAGCTTATCGCGTGGGGGTCGCCAAGTTCCTTGATTCTATTCATTTGGGGAAAGCATTCGGATTTCGAGGAGACTCACATAGTCAGGAAGAGACAGTTCAGGCAAGGTTAGTTTCAAGTATGTGTTCTATGTAACATCTAAGCTCTTGAATCTACACTGGTGACTGGACACATCCCTATCATCTTAATGCATCCAAGAGAATTCTCGGGAACTATCCGCTTTATCTGACGCCTAAACGCCACTAGAACAACCTTTCGGGAAATTCACATTCCCACCTCCAACTGCTAGAATAAACCGACGAATTTGCCGATCGCTGATAACAGCGGAATCCTTCAAGGGGATATATAAGATTCAGGAGACAACATGGATTCCACTCGTCTGCATGATTATACCGATCGCCCGAAATGACTACCAAGGATACAGATATCAAATTCCAGGACGCATGTTCTGACGACGATGTGCAAATGGGTGGCTTAGCAATTGACCCCGTCCGGGAGAAAAGGTTGCTGTGGAAACTTGACCTCTGCATTTGCCCATTGGTGATGCTTATCTTCTTGGTCGCGTATCTTGATCGAAGCAACCTGGGGTAAGGGTCCTACTACCCGCTGGTGACTTTTTTTGCTAACTTCTGGCTAGGAATGCAGCTGTCGCCGGAATGCCGGTAAGGCGAGATCCACATTAGATACGACCGGCACCCACTGACTCGGTTTTCAGGAAGATATTGGCCTCGTTGGGAACGAACTGGGGAGTAAGATTAGCCTTGTCCTTTCTTCGAAGCTATCACTAATGGCGCAATCCAGATGCTGTTTCGTTGTTCTACGCAACCTACGTCTTCTTTGAGATTCCATTCTCTATGCTCCTCAAGAAGCTACGCCCAAACAGACTGATCGCCGCATTGATTATCGGCTTCAGCGCATCGATACTGGGCGCTGGATTTATCAAGAATGTTGCGGGGCTCTATGTCACCCGCCTTCTCCTCGGTGTCTTTGAGAGTGGCCTATTCCCGTGAGAGTGTCTCATATCTTGGAAGTTTGGAACAAAAGCTGATCTCTTCGAAAGGTGCCTGACTGTCCTCTTGACGACCTTTTACAAGCGCGAGGAACAAGCACAGAGAATCTCGTACCTTTTTGTATCTGCCGCTCTCAGCGGAGGCTTCGGTGGACTGTATGTTCAATTCCCCACATCCCAACCAAGTACTTCGAATAGCAAGGACTAACACAGATCTCAGTCTAGCTTTCGGACTGATCCGCCTGGATGGCGCAGCTGGCCTCGAAGGTTGGAGATGGCTCTTCATCATAGAAGGCCTCATGAGCGCCGTCATCGGTATCGCCACATTCTTCCTCCTGCCAAACAACTACGAAACAGCCTACTTCTTGAACGAAGAAGATAAGGCATTGATGCGTATCCGTATGCAGCAATCAGCGCGCTACGCCGATACCGAAGAATTCAACATCAAGGAAGTGTGGAAGACGCTCAGAGACCCCAAGAGCTGGCTCACTTCGTTCAACCAAATCTGCGTCAATATCTGTTCTTTCGGATTCAGTACCTTCCTACCCACCATCATCAAAGGATTCGGGTATGATTCGGTCAAAACGCAGCTATTAACTGTCCCGGTCTATATTTGGGCTTCTGCGTTCTACCTGGTCGTTGCCAATTTATCTGATCGAGTGCGCATGCGGGCTGTCTTCATGGTTCCGCTGTGTCTGGTGACGGCTGTTGGGTACGCTATGTTATTAGGGGTGGATGTCCATGCACGAGGTGCATTATACTTTGCAACATACGTTTGTGTCACTGGGTATGTATCTCATGTTGCAAGCTTTGTCGAAAACTTTACTAACGTTCTCATCTAGAATCTACGCAGTAGTCGGACTCGGAGTCAGTTGGAACGCCAATAGCCATTCTGGCTACTACAAGCGTGCCATGGGAGTCGGTCTCCAGCAGTCTATCGGAAACTGTGCCGGGTTGATTGTAAGTAGACCACTGGACTAATGACTCTGTTGTCCCTTGAGTTAGAGCTAACATGATCAAGGCTGGTCAAATCTATAAGTCACCTGTGAATGGAAGATATCTGGTTGGTCATTCGGTTTCACTCGCTGCTATATGCTTGGCATGCATTGGAAATGCTAGCATGTGGGTTTTGCTACGATGGCACAATACACAGCGAGCCCAGCTGTCGCCGGAAGAACGGGAGCGCATCATCAGCTCGGGGTCATATGAGAAGAAAGGCGGAGATTTCCATCCGGACTTCCGCTATATCTTATAATTATGTACTAAATCTCGTAATATCATTGAAATCAAGCCAGTGACCCCGGTGTATACTGACCAGTCAGTAATTGATGGGATGGCGATATGTCATCTGTCCAGTTAAAATGAAGAATATCACCGGAATAGCCCCAAAATCATTCTTCGGCTAGGTGTGATAAGCAATCTCGGAGATCATTTGTTCCCAGGTTTCAATATCTGCAGCCTGCGGAAATGCAAAGTTTTGATCTTCCCATACTGCAGGCCACATCATATCAGGCGAATATCCAAGCGTCTGGCCAGGCGATGCGTCCGGTGCAGTAGAGTCGACGTTCATAGGCGTTGTCACCATTGGATATCTGTCGTGCTCCTGCGTAATCAAATCCGGTGATGCCTCTTGTAAGCTCATGGGGGCCTGGTCAACCGGCTGGTCGGTATTTTTGGCGAGCCCAGTGGTGCGAAGTATACACAATTCAACCACTTTGACCTCCGCAAGACCGAATTCATTTAACCAAACGTCCTTCCGTAACCGTTCACAGTATTCCTCGAGGTCGTTCAATATTGCCGCGGTCTGGGGGGCAACCGGGCGCCGCACTGCGATGATACCCAAAATGAAAGCACTGTTGAACATGTTGTGGGTACCTAACGTCCATCTCATGTTTTCTGCAGTTCCGTAATTCAAGGACTGCAGCCGGATTTTGAGATCGGAAGATGCCGATGAGATGCATGCCTCGTGACTTAGGCTGAAGCGATTTGTGATTGACTCGCGTAGAAGATAAGGTCGGTGGAGGGTGATCCTGGCAAAGTGAAAGGCGGAGTGAAGATAGAGGCGATGCCAAGGTAGGAATGTGTGCATCTCATCCAGTGAGAGGTCGGGGTCATCCACAGCAAAGTAGGATGGTAACTGGTCTTTCCATGCAACTAGTTTGTTATCCATCTCGATGACCATATCGTAGGATGCAGGATATAAACCAAAGCACCGGTCTTGGATTTCGCCCGCAATTTTGGCCAACCCACTGCCGAGGAGTGTGACTGTGCTCCCTGTAGGATAGCTTAGAGGATGGGCCGTAGCCATCGAGGACTGTTCATCGGTCAACCCATCTAGCCATACATTCTCAGGCGCTTTGATGAGACACATATGATCTGAGATCGCATATGGCCTACCGAGAGCAAGAGCGATTGTCTTATCAAGCAAATACAGATTGCTCCAAAGACGTCTTCTAGTCTCGGTGGCTTTCCTCGACAACCCCCATTTTTCTCCGTCAATATGCATGCCTTGTGCTTGGGCCATACGCATCGCAAAACTAATGGTAAGCCAGCTCTCTGCGGCTTGTCTGGTGTATAACAAATATCGAGTCACCATGAGACCTGCTCTGACAAGATCTAAGCTTTCACCATGGAAAGAAGGCGAGATGACGATCGCTCTCCTGGCAGCCCAATAGAAGCGGAGAGAGGCCTCTTCGCTTTCCTTCCGCTTTTCCGGTGAGGAAGTAGTGGGACTGTCTAACAAGACGCTAAAAGCGAGGATTATGAACAGAAGGGCAAGCCAGCGGAGATCTACTCCAGCGATCTCGTCGAACCCAAATTTCCGGCCCCAGAATTCTGCGAATTGAGATCTGAAGGTTTCAGGGTGAACCGTATCAATGGCCCAGTTGATCTCGGTCAAGAATCTCTCAATCAGCCGGTCGACAGTCACTTTATTTCGGGGTAATAGACCGAGTAAGTCCCAAACTTGCGAAAAGGGGCCAGAGTCATTTCGAAAAGATTGCAATGAATCCTTGCTGGACAACAAGCTCATAGGGGGTAAATCAGGAGCAGACTCCTGAATCATGCGGGCTGCCACCTGGTGGCCAAAATAGGAATTCCCAAAGAAGCTGGGTGCTCCGCGGGCAATGTACAGCTGGCCCAGCTCTGTGCCCTGAGCATCTGCTACAGGAGTGCATTGTCAGCTTAGCCCTGGTGTATGTTTGGGCAAGTCCCGTACCTGCTGAAGTCATTCTCTCTGACGCTGTCGTATGGGTCTTCTTTGTTTCAGGCCATTGGCATAGTTCAGGAACTCCGCGCTGATTACAGCGAGAACAAGGTAGCTCTCCATTACATTTCTGCTTTCTCGCGTGGCATTGGGAACAAGAAGTTGGCTTCCTTCCTCGTCTCGGCCTCGAGCGTGAGTCAACTGCCGCGCTAACTCTCTTTCTTCCGTTTGTGTTCATAATTCCTAGGGAAAAGAGGCGGAGTGCCTTCTGGGACGAGTGGATGGGATATTTGAGTATACAACAGAGAGGGAATCATGACCTGGGGATTACTAGCCTTATAAATCTGGCCCCCAAACCTTGGAAGTGATGGGCGAGGGAGGAAAGAAAACGATACCCCCCACTGCCTCAGTACATTACTATAAAGTATAAGCAAGACAACAGTATAATAGATAAAAATAAAGATATGACAATGAAACTGGTGTAAATAGAGTATAGAAAGTCCAGTGCTCACTGCTCAGACTATGTCCCTCAGTTTTGATGAGTCATGTGACGTCAAGCGCGTCCACTTGTTTACATTTCGGGCTTCGACTTGAATCTATCTCCACACTTACTCTCGATCACTCACCCTTGCAGTACATCTCTGGACTATTGACATCGTTCGTAATATCTCAGATTTGTTTCTTGCTTTTGCGCTTTAAATCATGGCGATCCGCCGTTCCGCGCGCATTCGCCGCGCCCAGGAATCCCCCGAGGTGAGCAGCATAGCAACCACACCTGTGTTGAGAATTTTAGATAGCAACCGTTGGAAGCAGCGTCAACTAACATACATTCTGTTTTGCTCAGGTTGAAGATTTTACCCCTCAGCCAGTCGCGACTTCCGAACTTCCTTCTGTTGCGGAGGTTGAGGAGACTCCCAGCTCCGATCTGCCGCACGTCGCGAGAACTCCTTCTCAGAATAAGTTTGCCAACGCGTCTTCTCAGCAAATTTCTGCCAACATGAAGACACCCACTACTGTGTCTGCGCCGCGCCCATCTCGCGAAGAGATGCATCCCAGCAAGGCGCACCAGAGCACGACTAAACACGCGGACACGGGCCTCCTCCTTGGCTTCAATCCCGTCAAGAAAGATGCGAATGGCAATGTGGTTAGGCCGAGCATCACTGATAACACTCCGACCAAGTCTAAGCCGTCGCCCGCGACTAGTCAGTTTGGGACCCCGGGATTCGAATACAAGTTTCAGTCCCAGGAAGCCGCGCTCAGCGATGAGGCCAAACTTCTCATGGACAGTGTCCGTGATGATGTTGCTCGAATCAAGGCTCAGATGGCCCAGAAGGAATCAAAGCAAAACGACGAAGATCATAAGGGTGAGCAAGCTCATGGGGATCGGAAGATTGCCATGCCCAAAGGCAAGGCCAGCCGCTTCAGCGACATCCACATGGCTGAGTTCAAGAAGATGGATTCGATTGCTGGGCACCCTTCATCTTTCCGCGCTACTCCTGGCCGGTTCCAGCCTATGACCAAATCTCTGAAGCGCTCCAAATCCAAGGCGCAACTTGACGAAGCAGAGAGCCAGAACTCGTCTCCCTCTCGGTCCCCAACTAAAACCTCCACTCTGCCCGCTCCCACTGCCGCCACGACCGCTAAGCGTGTCAAGCACAACAATACCGAAGAGAAGCCTTCTCATGAGGATTCAAAGAAGAAGCAATCACCGCAGAAGTTGGAAACCCCTCGCCGACCCATGGGTGCTCGCCCTCGCCCTCGCGCGAACGTTCCCGCCTCCTTGATGACTCCCACCCAGGCTTCCCTTGCGCGTAAAACGTCTACCAGTGTCAAGGCGCCAAAGACATCGTTGATTCCGTCCTTCAAAGATGCCAAGACAGCTGACTCGCCTCGAACTCCTCGCACCGATTTCAACCCCCGCTTTAAGAGCAAGTTGCCTACCCTCGATAACCTGAGGTCTATTCTTCGTCGGCGCCAGCCACTATTTTCCCGTGATCCCGCCAAGATCGCGTCTGGAACCCACGTTGCAGCGCCTGATTTCAATCCTAATTCGCTGTTTGGGGGTGCCGCTGATATGAGCGACTCTGCCCCTACCCCCTCGCCTAAGAAGCACGTTGAATTCACTCCGAGTGTCAAGTCTCGTCACGGACTTGTTGCGGCCTCGCCCTCTCCTTCCAAGGCCCCTTCTCAGCGTCGTTCCATGTCTGGAGATGTGGCTTACCCCACTCTCCCTACTCTCGGCCCGGAGGAGGATTCAGAGGTCGTGGCCTCCACTACTCCTACTTCCAAAGGCAAGACTATTCGTCATGTTCGCAAGTCGGATGCGCCCCCTTCATGCCCTGAGCTTCCCGTGGTGGCTCATGGTATTCCTCATGGCATTGTTAACAAAAAGAGGCACCGTGATGATGTCGACGATGACGATGCTCCTGGTGCTAGCAACGAGAATGTGCCGCCTGTCAATGAGCGGACTGATGACCGCAGCGCCAAGAGATTCAAATCCAACCCGCCTACTCCCAGTCCGGTCAAAAAGCGTCTGACCAAGACCCCCGTGCGTCCTTCTGCTGGCCAAGCCCGTACTCCTGCCAGCAAGCAGAGAAGCCGTGGTGTTCTCAGTATGAGCCGTCTCAATGCGCTTGCCAAGCCAAAGGGACAGGTCTAAACACACAACTTGTGGACACATGCCTGGCGCGTTTATGCCGCCTTCCTGATGATTGTTCTTTTTCTCCAGCCTTATGATCTACGTGGTGCTTGATTTTCAACTCACTTTTCTTCTTCTCTTCTGGACAGACCCATTCTGTCCAGCATGCGCTGCAATAATGCTCTTTTGCAGTGTCAACGAACCAACATTTTTCTTCCATTCTTGATTTGTATCTATCACAAGAATTTGCGAGGGTTTTCGAACACTCTCCAGCCTACGGCATATCCTCTCTCCATTTCCGGTGTTGTCGTTCTTCTGTTTGTTTCACTCGCTCTTCTGGGCCTTTGCGGGAAACCTGGCGTCTATGGTTTTGCTATCCGGTCATCATAACCTAGGCGTCCCGTGGTGTTTTGATTCTATGTACTTATTATTACCAACGAAGATTTATCAACCCACTCCTGAGAAACAGCGTAGGCATATAAGAGTAGCATGATCGGTTACATGGCCATCTACCAGGATTTCTGACTTGCAAAAGACAGTCGGCTACTGCACGTCAAGTTCGAGTTAAGAAAGAATGTGAGCAAAAGGCGTGAATGACTCCAAAGACAGATATGTACAACATACAGGTATTAGTTCTATCCTAACAGCGGGGTGAGAGAACAATAAAGCTAGCAATACATGGAGGGTTCGAAGGAGAACGGAAAGAAAACAACAAACAGTAATCAAAGGACCTCCAGCTGTGTAGACAGTAAGTATAGGAAAAGGTGGTTATTCCCCAGTCTGCGTGCAGACGAGAGCGTCCATGGTACAGGAGTCAGGACGAAGAATGGTACAGTGACATTATAACATGACAATCGTTCGGGGTGGTGGTGTAAAGGAGTTTTGATGGGTAGTTTGAGTCGGTGTGTGAAGGTGTAAAGAAAAAGGAGTTTTGATGTTGAGTCGGGGTGTGAGAATGTGAAATGGCGCAGAGGAATAACTTTTGATGAGAGAAAATCGAGCTTTTCGAGATGGGCGACGCAGCATGAATTAATTCTTCATGGTCTCCAGGAACGAATCCAGGTTGTATTCTTCCTGGTATTGGCGGTCGTCCCAGAGTTCGCCTAGGTCATCTAGCCAGCCCTTCTTGCCCTTCTCCCTGACCTCGCCGTCGATGTCGACCATGTCGACTTCATTACCGGATGGCTCGCCTGGCTTCTCGGCTGTGTCTGCTGTTTCGCCGAGATTGAAGAGGTCCAGCAGTTGGTCTGTGTCCATTGTTCCGAGGCCTGCATTTTGCTGATTGACCACGGTGGAGGCGATGTCGATCTTGAATCGTTGCAGACTGTGAGATTCGTAAGTTAGTCGCTGTGTGATTACAAAGTTTTGTGTATGAGAAGGTTAACTTACTTCAAGATCTTTTCTTCCAGGGTACCACGCGTGATCAGGCGGTACACGTTGACAACCTTCTTTTGACCGATACGATGAGCGCGATCCATGGCCTGGATATCCTTCTGCGGGTTCCAGTCGTGCTCGACGAAGATGACTGTATCGGCACCCGTCAGGTTGAGACCGAGTCCACCAACGCTGGTGGTCAGGAGTAGGACGTCGTAGCTCGGGTCGGTGTTAAAACGGTTGACGATGTCCTGGCGCTTTGTTGCCTCGACGCCTCCGTCCAAACGAAGATATTGCACGGATGGAAGCAGTTTCTTGAGGACATCGTTCTGCACAATGTCCAGCATCTCCTTCATCTGACAGAAGACCAGGGCTCGGTGGGGGCTGACATAGCTTGCGCCTGTATCCAGCTCACCCTCTGCTGTGTGGTCAAGGCCAATACCACAATCCACCAGCAAGTCTTTAAGGGCGTTCAGCTTGGGCGCGTGGGAAACATCCCTGATGTTCGAACGCTTGGCATGTAAGAAGCTCTGTACCTCGTTGTACTGCTTGTGGCCTTCCTTGACGACCAGCGCAGGAGAGTTACACAGACGTCGCATGTATTGAAGCGCCTGGAAAATGTGCTCCTTGTCACCACGGTCTGCGCTGCCCACCTTATCTGCCAGTTCCTTCTGCTCCTTCTTGGAGAAGTCCTCGAACAACTTCTTCTGCAGTTCACTGGGGTCGCAGTAGTAGTTCTGAATGATCTTGGGAGGGAGATCATTCAAGACTTCTTCCTTCAGACGACGGAGTAGGAATGGTAGCACTTGTTTGTGCAGTGCCTCAATTGCCAGAGCACCTGCCTCTTGTTCCTTGGAAGAAGACTTGCTGAAACGACTTGCTGCAATAGGCTTGGCAAACCGGTCCAAGAAGACTTTTTCTGTTCCCAGGAAACCGGGCATCAAGAAATCGAATAGCGACCACAGCTCCAGGACGTTGTTCTGGATGGGAGTACCTGACAAGATCAGACGGTGGTTGCTAGCCAGCTTCTTGACTGAAGACGTGATCTTGGCCTTGGGATTCTTGATAAGATGGCCCTCGTCGAGCACGCAGTAGTTGAAGTTTATTGCGCTAAGGATGTCGTTGTCATTGCGGCAAACATCGTAGGAAGTGACAATCACATCGGTGTTAGCCAGCATGGGTTGGAGTCTTGACCTTTCCGAAGGAGGACCGACATATGCGACGCAACTTAGGAATGGGGCATACTGCTTGACCTCCTGCTGCCAGTGTCCAGATAGAGACGGGGGGCAGACGATCAAAGAAGGCAGTTTGCGGGAGTCCGTAGATTGGCTCTTGGCGAACTCCTCCGCTCGCATGTGATGATCACTTGCCACAATGCAAATGGTTTGCAGTGTCTTTCCGAGACCCATGTCATCACAAAGAATACCGTGGAGGTTGTAGCGATTGAGGAAAGCAAGCCAGTTGACACCATCTTGCTGGTAAGGTCGGAGCTCGGCCTTGATCGCGACTGGGATTTCGAATGGTTCGACCTTGCGGACGTCCAACATCTGAGACATGAACTTCCTCTCCCGGTCACGGCCCGCAAGCAGCTCTTCTGAGAAGCCAGGCGGGTCGGGAATACCAGCCTCAAGAGGAACTAATTTGACTAGGGTAGCAAATGATGTCGTTGCCAAAAGACGCACATCGTTATCGGAGTCACTCATTCGGCCAAGGACAGGGACCACCAGGAAGATGACATAGGGGAGAATCCTATCTTCCATGACGTGAATCAAATGGTAGATGCACTCAATGGCGCCTTGGCGGTGGTGCACATCCAGCCCGTTGTTAATGATTGGCAACACCTTTTCAACAAGCATGGTCATGCCCTTGACGTTGATAACGCTGCAAATTGTAGCGAAACATTTAGCAGCTGCATATCGAATGACAGAAAGTCGGCACTGGAGGCCCTTGGCGATAATGGGCATAAGATCGATGACCCATGGGTGGAGGCCGGGATCGAACTTGGGCAGGAGAGCCCGTAGTGTAGACAGACCATCGACGATCTCCTGGCCAAGTTCATTATCGGGGTCAGTAATGTTTTCGGGAAGCTCGTCCTCAGCCAGAGCGTCTCTCAGGGGTCGTTCGACCAACTTGGCGAGGTTTGGAACCTTCTCCAGTAGCTCAGCTCCGAACTTTACTGCCAGCTGCTCCAGAGCATCCTTAGCACCACGGCGCATGATGCGTGCCTCTCTGGCTTCTCTTTCAAATTTGGCTGCATCTGGATGATCGCGGCGATCTTCTTCCTTGCGGAGGGATAAGATTGATTTCTCCAACTTGGCATTGTGGGGGAATTCGGGCGTTTCGGAAGTGTCCACACAGCAGTATTTCACCAGATTTCCAATGATCTTGTCCACCGGTCCACGCTTTGTGGCAGCTGTATAGTGTTCGATGAGACCAGCCACTGCAGTCGCGGAGCGCTGCTGGAGCTCGACGTTCTCCTCTTTCTTGACACTATCCATCATACCCTTGATAATGTGACCAGGCTTCTTGGGGATATCCCGCAATGCAACCAGAGCACCGGCAGTGGCGGCTAGGACACGCATGTCCCGCTGTTCTCTCATAAGTCGTGCTTCGTCGACGGCAGACTGTGCAGTGGTGCGAGTGTCGGTCAAGACCTGCGTGGCAGTAATCCTTTGAGCTGGAGTCAAATTCTTCTTCAGTCGATCAAAGTCAGGGCCAACGATCTTCTCGGCATCTGCCAAGGAGAATGCATTGGGTCCGGCTTCGGAGTCGCCCTGAACAACGACAGCCAGTGTTGGCAGCCGGGAAGCAGAAACATGTGCGTGATCCCGGAAAGTGTTCAGCAATGAATGGCATTGGGCGCGCGCGACATGGAGGTAGCAGGCAATGTCGGAATACCAGGAAGGACGCTCGCCTTCAAGGATCAAACGAAGATGATCACACAGGGTTGAGTGGTATTTGCTCTCTGCTCCTGATCGGCGAGCATACTCTTCCATAACCATGGCCGCAGCAAGTTGCGTTGTGGAAGCAGAGACACTGAGACCATCTATGATTGCAGGCCAAAGGCTTGGTAGTTCATTATTGTCCCAGGAAGAGATCAGCTCACCCAGCGCCTTCGCAGCATAGATCTTAGATCTCAACATAGTGTCTGCACCGACGAGGTCAATGTCACCGGACAACATGTGTCCATCCACATTATGTGCTGAGGGTGCAGGGGCTTCTTTCTCCTTCTTTTCTGATTTGCGTCTCCGTCCGACCTTAGTCTCCGTCGCGCCCGAGATAGAGGCAGGAGGGGAGGACTTGGGGGTTGGAGCTGAGACCGCGACAGAGAATGGCAGACCAGATGGCTTGATGAAGAGAGACGTGTTCATGGGAATGGGGTATCGGGGAACTCCGAAAGCGCCCAAAGTCAGGGTGACAAGGGGCTGAATGGAGTCCGACAACTCAGCATCCGTCTTGAATGAACCGCGCAGCTCGAGGACACTGATAAGTTCTGACCAAACTTGGCCAGATAACTTCAAGACACCCTCGTTGCGTTCCACGAGAAGATTTTGGAAAATCAAGCGCAGTGCCTTGCCGTCTACCCAATCTGTGGTGCCCTCACCCTCCAGTTTCAGGAAGGTCATGAGAGCCCGAAGGACGGCCGAGCGAACACTCGTGATAGTGTGGCGAAGGAATGGATAGAGGCGGGGGACCAGTTTGCCAAATGACGCTTCCGGATCATCCGCTGCGTTGGCCTTCATTGCATCCAAAACTTGAGAGAACGTGCACAGCTTGGCTAAGAGGTCCATTACAGAGCCTGTGCTGGCGCTCAGATCATCCTGCAGATTGGAGAGACAGTCCCAAACGATATTCATCAGAGGGCCAAGAGTGCCAGTGCGGGAAGAGACAAATTCCTCTGCAATGGGAACAAGCGTGGCAGCGCTCACAGCTCGGACATCGTCGTCATAATCGGCGAGACCTTTCATTACAGCTTCCAAGACGCCATCCATCATACTGGAATCTTTGACGAGCAAGTCCTTTCGAACAGCCACCAGATACCGCAGGCCAATCATGCCACCATGGCAGACTTCCCAAACAGGGCGGTCTAGGCCGAGGTCGGTCTGCATTATGATCCGGTATAGGCATCGGTATACCGACCGGACTGACATGGGGTGTAGGTGTGAGAGAAGAGCACCGAGAGTCTGTCCGACTGTTTCACGGATTGGAGCGACCACATTGTCTGAAATATAATCACCGAACCGGTCAAGCATCAAGACGCAGAGGAGTCGGCATGCAAGATCATCCAACCACCGGCGATTGAGGGCATCGTTCTCTGTGCGAGATTTCCCGTCCAGACGGCCAGCTGCCACGCCCTGCACCCGGATGACTTCACGCAGAGCCATTGCTGCGCCATGTCTGACTTCCCAATTGGAGTCGAAGATGTCCATAGTCAGAAATTCACACATGTGCTCTAGAGGCCATCCTGCGCCCTGCTCCACAATATCTGGCAGGATATGGGGTCGCTCAGGGACGACAGCTCCTTTGAACTCAGAAACAATCTTGGAGTCGTCATCCTCTTCGGTACGTTCAAGGGAGAAATAATCAGGCTTCGTCTCGCCATTCTGATCATCACCATTCTCTGCTTTGATGGGATGAGGAGTCGCGACCAGAGGGGTTGTAACAATCTCAGACTGTCGGCGGGATGACAAATCCACAACGCGGACCTTGTTAGCCCCCAGCTTAGCGTTCTGTTTGTTCTTCCGTTTGAGCTGGTTCAGTTGCCGTTTGCTCAGCCCGCCATCTTCCTTGATCCCACTTTCGCTTGGCGAGGAAGGTCGGCGAGATGGAGGTTCTTGCATACTGTTGTGACGAGAGATTGCTGGGACAGTCGGCTCATGCTTCGGTGCAGGAGTTACCACTTTGGGAGCCAGTTCAATGTCGTCGATCAGGTCTTCCTCGAAGTATTCCCCTTCCAGTCCCAGCCGCGAAGTCAAAGTCTTCTTTTGATGCTGCAGCCGTGCGGATGGTTCCATGGATGCGAGCGAGTATTCATACTCCTTTCCCGCACTACCGAGCAGACGCTTGCCATATTTCAAAATAGATGGGATGTCCAAGAGGTCGAGCTTCAGGAAATTATCCACAATGGGATCCTCCGATTTGACCTCGGACTTGATCTCCACGTCATCTTCATCGGCTGCAGACTTGATCTGGAGCCCGTCATCCTCATTCGGATCATAAAGATCTGCGTTAGCAACAATCAGACCAATTGCTTTGGCCGAAGCTGTCCTTGTATCCCAGGACTTCGATCGAAGATAAGGAAGGATGCGCCCGAGTAGATTAAACAGCTCATCTGGATGTTGTTTTTGGACATCTGCGAGCTGTTGGGCAGCAGTATTACGGATCAATTGTGTACTGCCCGTCTCGAGTAGCCTACATTTTATTCAGTTAGTTGCCAAATTGCTCACGTGATTTGAAGCATTGCACTCACGTAACAAGGCGGTCGAGCCTAAAAAGTGGTTAGTTTCACGTGACAGACGCGTCATGATTGGTTGTTGGGACTTACCGGGAAGCCATCGCGGAGCTTCACTTTTTCTCCCGACTATGGCGGCACAACTGACCACAACAAAAAACAATGATGACACCGAAGAGAAGATAGCAATTGCGCGCGACAAAGCGCGCAATTAAGGTGGAAGGGCCTCGCTTAGGAAAAACAAAGACCTAACGCCCAACGCCTTCACCTGGAGTTGCTATGCTGAGTCAGCGGAGAAATTTAGATTTAGTACACAAGAGCGAGGGTCGAGGTCACGCAGCCGGGTTTATATCATTGGGGGTGCTCTGCCCGGCGCGCTGGTCCATGTTTGGGTCACTCCGCCTAGGCCGTTTATGGTTTAGCGTTGGATGTGGGTCTCCACTCACAGCGCGACAACTTTTTTTTACCGTTGAACCTATCACGTGAGCTTTGGAACGCGTTAGATGACATAGAGCATTTAAGATGGATCGATCCTACCTATAACACGGAGTAGATTGATCTCTTATCCATTCTCCCTTCGTGTCAATTTTTGTACCCAAGGTGAAGATATCATTGTTTACGAATGGTGTTACAGACGACAAAGGGGCAAGAGTGTCAAGCTAAGGTTTGATTTTGATCCGACCTCGTTCCTGCCTCGTGGAGCGGACTTGATGGATGGACATTGAGCAAGTGCGAGTGGTGAGAGAGCGAGAGGCATGATCTTGTCCGACTTTGCTCTTGCCTTATCGAAGTTTGTGGATTAATTCATGGGTGCAAGTACGTGCAAGTATCAAGAGAGCGAGCGAGATAATTTCGATCTGACCTTGTTTCTGCGTCGCGAAGGGAATGTCTACAACGTACCCAATGTATCTGCATGATCGTTTGCGATCTTGCATAGCGATCTTATGCAAGATGGAAGGAGCGAATAACGCCAAGACATGCCTCCAGGGCTAATGCAGGTCGCCTCTTCGGAATTCAAGCAATCGTAAATGCTTCGCAGAAAACATGTGGATGATATCTGGGTACCTTCAAGATAAGACCGGTTCGCGACACGAGAGTAGATGCATTCCAATCTTACCTTATTTTGTTCAAGGGACGATGGAAGTTGAATGAATGGATGACATACCTCTGTGTACATGGAAAACACGGGCGTTGGCCTACTGCCGAACTATATATTGGCTTCATAGATCGCCAACCTATACCAGACCCAAGTTATCTGTCCGAGAATGGCCTCGTCATTCATTTGCGTATAGGCACCGTCTCAATCCCCGCCACATCCAACGCTTACATAGAACAGTCATCGGCCTATCTAGCCCAGCAGGTAAAATGCCCTGCAAGTTTCATCCATGTATCCGCGGGACTATTCAAAGAAAAAAACTGCATGCGCTGCATGGAAAAGAGTCCGGAATAAGCGGCTAAGCATGTGGGATTGATAGGTTCCAGGTTATTCCACAGCTTGGCCGGTATCCAATCCAAATGCATGCCTATCCCATCAGTTACCTACACTTCGAGGGCTGGATATATATTGCCCCATACGGCGATATCTACCATCCCAGGAGATCCATCGCAAATTGGTTGCCAGATTTCAGGAAACGGCACCTGTTGTCATCGAATTGGAGTATCATTTCGCACTAGCAGACCAGAAGGGCATCCAGCTGGGCGTTTCTATACAGACACAGCCTCCGGGCAAAAGTCCCGGGGCGGAAACACGGAAGCACACGCATCGAAACAGAACAAGCATATCTCTCCAATTCACCGTTGGCCCAGCACATTGGCTGCCTCCTCTTCCTTCCCAAGCAGACCCAGGCTCCGAATCTGTTCGGCCTTGGGGGCGTTCTCTCGGGGGTGTGCGGCCTCAGCCTTGCGGTAGGCAGCTTGCATCTTCATGGTGCGGAGAACCTGTCGTGCCAAATTGCCATAATTAGAACATATTCATTATCCCAAGAGTACAGCGGTCTCGATTGACCGGGAGCTTACCTCCTTGCGGTGGTGAAGGCATTCGTAGTAATCGTCCAGGGCGGGCATACACTTCTTCTTGCCTTCCGCACCATCACTCGAGTTCACCACATAGCAACCGAGAACCTCTTGCCAGAAGGGGTAGCAGCGACCGGGGCCTGTAACAAGTCATAACGGGTTAGCCGGGTTTATTCGCGGGGAGAGGGAGCCTGCGCGAGCTGCAATATGAAAGCACCTCGGTGCGGACCCGAGTGGGCGACCTGGCAATGGGACAATAAGTACGTACCACCGTTGTTACCATAGCCGGAAGCCATTGTGATGTGTAGAAGAAGAAGATTGAGGGAGTGGTAGGCACAGAGACCGCGAAAATGGTGGTGATGAAGTGCCGGTGGATGCGACTCTTCCCTTTCGTTTCCGACTTGGTCTGTGCGCCCCGCCGTATGCAACACGGTCATCGCCAACTATGAGGCCACCTCACTCAGCTGCCTCGTCTCTTTATCTTGATCATGGCTCTCGAAGAGTTATCAGATGCGCATGCTATTTTGCTAGCTACACATGCATGCGCAACTGGTAATGTGGCGGACTTGCCTATTTTACAGGCTCAGTTTCCCCATTGTTTTCCACTGGAACGCCTCCTACGCATCATCCTGACCTACCTCCCAGAGAGCACAGAGCCCTCTCAGTACATCTCGGTGCTACAGGAGCTAGTCAACAGCTCTGGCCACCCACCCGACCGACAGATCGATACAACTGCAGTGCAGGACTTGACGGAATCGGTCGCCAGAAAGCGCGTACGGAAGCTTAATCTACGGCCACTACTACGCCCCGACGAGGAAGACGAGGTTGCCTCGGCAGATGCTTTGACTCAATTTCTCATTCACCGGGCGCATTTGATCGACTCTGAAACAGCACTCCAGCCGCTTGTCCTCGAACTTATCGCACCGTTCTACGAACACTCGCCAATCATCCGAACATGGCTGATCTCGAGCCTACTACCGTTGCTTCGATTGAACTATGAATATTACGCCCATCGCGACGAAACTATATCCCTCGAGATCCTGGAGTCTATGGACGATCAAACGGCGGTCAACATTCTCTTGTCTTTGATGAGCTCTGAAGAAAACAACATGGATTTGGTAAACAACTTGCGGGGTCTGGTTGGACCTTGGCTCTATGGTGGGAACCGTTCCAAACGGCGAAGGCTCAACGAGGCGGCTCAACAAAGCTCTGTCTCCTTTATCGAAGGGTCTGAGAAACCCCAAGCAAGCGAATTGGCCGGGTGGGAACACGTGAACGAATGGCTGCTTTCACGGAGCCTGGTCGATCGCACCAGCGTCGTGAGTGCCTTCAACAACTGGGATGGACCATCGGACGTGGATTTGGGTGGATACGACAATGCAGACACACAATTGTCGGAGGAGCAGAGGAATAGTCTACAGGTCCGATACGGCCAATCCGGTCTTGCTGTGGTGTATGCCCATGCGGACTCCTCGATGGCTGTGCTCGAGGGTTCGTACCAGGTTTTGACGAGGGTTGCAAGGCTTTTGAATCTCGATGTGTACTGCTTGTATCTTGGCTCAGATTCCGAATTGCCATCTGTGCGCTACGATGCCGAATCAATCTCCTCGACATCTCGCGCATCCTTGATGCAAAACTCCCTTTTGAGACCCAGAAACCCTCTCACAAATCCTTCGCCCTCCTCGGTCTCCTTTCTGAGCGTTCTTCTCCTATCCCTTCGTATACTTATCGACCTTGGCCATCTGGTTCCTTGCCGAGTTGCGGCAAACCTGTGCCTTCATAGCACTGAGGAGATGCAATTGGCCGAACTCAAAAGTCTAGTAGACTCTACTGTGAAGCAAGCCAAGCCAAACCGAAATTGGTCTGTCGTTCGACAACGATTGCTTTGGCTTCGAGATTGGCAGGCGGAGCATTCGGACAATGCCTGGGATGAACCTTCACCTTACCATGGTCTTTTCTGGCGGATACCGCGCGACACGGTTGAGACGGAGGTCCTCAAGACGCTACTGGCAGCCCAAGGTAATGTTGCCGACATCTACTCCGTTTCGTCCATACTGATGTCATTCCCAGAGTATCAATTGGCTGTCGATATATACACCGAATCTGATACGGCGCCACTGCAACCCGCCCAAGTTGAAACCGCGGTTCAAGATGCCATCTTTGCAGCGTATGACAATGCAAGCAATGGAAACCGAACCCGAGGCGGAATAAAGAGAGCTTACGACATGTGAGTATCACTGCAAAATATCTCGGCTTCAAGTCTAACAATCCCCTAGTTTACAAGCATTCCAACCACACTTCCCAGAATCCGTTGCATTCAAACAGATTCGTGCCCTGATCGCCGCAACACACGCACTGTCATACTACTCACTAACCCTGCAACACGGCGTCCCATTCCGACCCGTCAGCATTCGCGTCCACCACGACCCCATCCTCCTAATCGAGAAAGTCCTCGAACAAAACGCAAAGAGCTACACCAAGCTCGATGACCTCCTCTCCATCGGCCAAAATCTCGTAGCCGCCGGCGTTCCCACCCAAACAGCAAACGAACCCGACCCCTCCCACCCCAAACCCTCAACAGAACATGCCCTCCTCACCGCCGAACGCCGCATAACCTCCCTAGCAATCGCCTCCGCCCTCTCCTCCAACGACTTCGGCACAGCCTACTCCTACATCCTCACCCGCCTAACACCCCCTCCAACCTCCCGACCACCCCTCCCCCTCCTAACATCCCCGACAATCCCAGACGACATAACCTGGCGCGCCGTCTACAACGCCGGCCGCTACCGCCCCCAAACCCCACCCCACCCGTCCCCAACCCTCCAATCCCAAATAAACCACCTCTCCCAAAGAATGGAACTCCTCTCCCTCTCCCTCGTCCTCGTCCCCTACCCAGACCCTTTACCCGAAATTCTCGGCGCCTGGCGCCGCTGCGACGAAGAACTCGCCTCCCTCCGCGCCCGCGAACAGCAGGAAGAAGACCTCTGGGACTCAAAGGGTGATACCCTAGCCTCTGTTCCCGGCGGCTTCGGTCCCACAGACTCGGAGCGCGACGCATTCGAGACGGAGCAGCAGCGTGCGGCTAGACGGGCGCGTGCGCGCGCTGCGATGCCGAGTTCGCATCGTCATGAGGCGCCTATGGGGTTGTTTGAGGTCGCGAGAGGTGCGGCGTTGGCGTTGCATAAGAATGCGTTCCCGTTGAGGGGGGCTGCTGAGGAGGCTAGCGGTGGTGGTGGTGATGAGAGGTCGCTGTCGCCGGATAGTGACCGGGTGAGGAAGAGGGATGTGGTTAGCAATATGGTGACTGGGGGGTTGGTTAGTGGGATTGGGTGGGTTCTTGGTGCTGATCCTGTTAGTAAGAAGTAGGTTGGAGATTGTGTGAGGAATCACTTGTGGTTCAGATTCGACTGGGTCTGACCCCTGGGTGACCTGGGACTTGGACTGTATGTATATGATGACAATGAGACGTAATTTTATTTTCAAAGGTGTTGATGCTTTGTTTCCGGGGAGAATAGAATATACAGATCTGTTGGAATTCGTCAAGCCTATATTGAGGCTATGTAAGGACCTGGAGTAGATCTCCCATGGTATACGGCCCTGCCTAGAGCTGGGCACTGCGGCATATACATGTAGAGAACGCTGAAGACCAAATGCAACACTCTTGCATCCAGTGCCAAGTACCAGAAGACAAACCGAACAGTAAGACAGATGGAAAGAGGCCTATACCGAAAACGCGATATACGAGCATATGTCCAGGGCTGTATGACAGCAAATATCAGGGGTAGGAAGACGAGGAATTGAATTTGCAAGGAGAAAAGGAGAGGGTATGCGTGAATGCGAAATGTCAGGCCATCAAGGATCGTAGCGGTGAAGCGGAGCCGATGAGATTCGTGTCGCTGAAAAGAAAACAGAAAGCATTTGCTGATGACATATATGGGTATGAGAGGGAATGTCGAGCCCTGCGAGTTCCGGCCCGGCAGGGGAGACAGCAGAAAGCACAAAACGCAGATGGGTAGTGTCGTGATTGGGGTCGTTTGAGTTGTTGACAGCCAGGTCAATCCTTGGGGTCCAGCCACTCGTACTCAAAAGAAACAATGAAATGCAGTACGGCAGACCCGAAGAAGGTCATTGGAACCTGTTCACTCCTTCCAGTCCCACACTTGCTTTATAAAGTTTGCCATGTTGACCTTCTTGTTTCTCATATCCTGCACCCACGGATGTTCCAGCATCCGCCAGGGTGTGGCACGTCGAGGAGGTTCTTTTTCCAAGCTGAGGGTCACGTTAGTATAAAAAGGCGAGGCAAATTGAGCCGGGAAGAGGGTACATACCAGCATTCGATGAAGTATTTAAAGTTGTCCGACCAGCGAATGCCATTTTCTGGCTCATCCTTCAACTTGGGAATTGGTTGGCGGACGATGTAGGTGAGGAGATCGATTAGTCCTGCACGGGGCTGCATTTCAGTCCCATCGGCAGGGAAGGGGAATCGGTGCTGCGCGACCTCGAGCAAAGTGACACCGAGGGACCAAACATCGGATGTAATGGTGTATGATTGGCCAGTGATACGTTCGGGGGCCATATAATAGGAAGTACCGATGAAGGTGTTGGCGTCACCCTTGGTGCCGAATTCACCGCTGACACCAAAGTCACAGAGCTTGACTTGGCCATCGCGGCACAGGAGGATGTTGGATGGTTTGATGTCTGTAAAGCATGTTAGCAACATGATCAAGGTGTACCTAGCTGGCATAGTTCTTACCTCGATGGATGATCTTGCGGCTGTGTAGATAGGTCAATCCATTCAAGACACCTTCAGCGACCTTGCCCAGAACCTTCTCTCCAGTGCGACCTCCGAGCTTTTTGACCTCTTTATAGATGCTGTCCAGACTTCCACCTTCGCAGAACTCCATCGCAATGGAGATTGTGCCGGTGGACTTGTCCACAAAAGCACCATAATAGCGACAGATATGGTGCGACGCGCAGTCTTTGTTGAAGTTGAGCTCACGAACGATTTGTTTCTTGACATCAGGGTTCGGGTCCGTCGTGATGATCTAGGTTGAGATGTTTAGTTTCGATCGCCGAGTGTAAAAGTCAAAATGGGGATCGACCTGAGCTACTCACTTTCAATGCGAACACGGTCTTTCCTTCTTTGAGCCTGCATCGGGTGACAGCGCCACCAGCACCCTCTCCAAGACTTCCCAGCTCAACGATCATGTTTTGTTCACTGGCCGCATGCCAGCCTTCGTCATCAAGATCATCCACATCCAGGGGCCGGCCCTTCTCCAAACTCAATTTATCCAGATCTGGAAGGAGGCCGTTCACGCTGTTATCACGATCTCCATTCTCGCGGTCTGAATACACTGAGATCGCCGAGGAGGGGTCTGACGAGCCATCGGGCTGTCGGAGACCCATGGCGAAATTCATAGTCGAATATGAAGAGTTTCCACCCGACGTCCCATTGGTCTGGATTTGTAGTTTGGGCGCACCACTCGACCCGTTTGTACTCAGCGGGGGCGGGGCTGGTCGACCGTTTGTCGACACGAGGGTGGGCTGGGATAGATTCTGCTGAGACCCCATAGGAGTGGCGAGATGCAATCGCGGAGGTGCTGGTCGACCTGAGGGGCGCTGGGGTTGGGGTTGGGTCTGGATTTGAGGTACTGAGGCGGGGGGCGCCATTGCCAATGACGGGTTTGGCGTTGGGTGAGGGGGGAATGCCTAACGTGAGCTTTGGGGCTCGCGGGCTACCATTATTGTCGCGACCGCCAGGGACTGGCGGACGAAGAAGAGGGACAGGGGATGACATGGCGAGACTGTTTTGCCTTTCGCCGGGCAAGAACAACTCGTTTGGATCTGCGAGGGTAGCCACAGTGTCGATGTTGGACCCGTCCGCCTTTGTGATTCCGAGGGGATTGAAGAAAATGGACGAATTGTAGGAATCGAAAATGCTTTGTTTGAAAATGAGATGCAAAGCAAGAGCAAAAGCAGAGGCAAATGCTGAAGAGATAAGGGAAACAAACGAGTGGAGTTGCGAATGGGAAGTTGCCGAGAGAGGATGATGCGGCAGGTGACCAGTTCACTCCACTATATCGGAGGAGTTATAGCATCAAACATACAGCATATACAGAATTTAGAGGATTTACAAGTTTCTGGCAATCATGATGAAATGATTTTCTATTGCTCTCTACGTAAGATCATGAATATTAATAGAGCAACACAGCCGACCACAGTCGGGTTTTGGCGGGGTCCCTATGTTTCAGAAGGCGCCTAAGCTGAAACACATCCTACGCACGGAGTACTCCGTACTGCGCTGGATGTGTGAACTGGCGACCTTCTTAGTCTCTTTACTTCAATTACTTGACTTCACTTGTTCTTAAGAGACGAGACAGAGACGAAAGAGAATTTCTCGAAGAACCATGGTTCAGTTGTGCTAGGTTCCTTCGATTTCGATACAATTGAACACAGTAGTATACATCATTTACTGCATAGTATAGTAGGAGAAGAAGTGTACATTTAACTATTCTCTGGTTACAAGTTTACAAAGCCAACTAGTTATGCATTGCCACAACATACGCAGTACTCCGTAGATAGTTCAAATGTTGTTGCCTTGAGCCGCAATTGCCCATGAGATCTGCCAGCACACTGCTCCCCACTAAAACAAGCCTATTAGAACGCGTCAATCATTCGCCCTACGGTTTACAGCCCTACAACATACCCACTGGAACATCCAGCACTCCCTGTCTATCTCTCTTGTCAACCTTGGAAATATATATTAACGGCCAGATGTATGCTGTCATAAGGGTCTACTTGACGGTCTTGACCCAATCTTGGAAGCCCCTCTGGGTCCTCTCTGCCACGCAAAGATGGGTCCGATGATGACATGAACAGCCCTAATCGATCCGCACCAGTCACATTTCATCCTGCATTCTTTTCCGAACTTCGGGCCTCACTACACGCGCTTAGATATCTTGATTCGGATTGGACCTGACTTGTCTGATCGGAAATCCCGGCGCCAGATCAATATGAGGTCAATTATTATCCACTGGTGCCCAGCAGCGAAGGTTGGTATCACCGCATTAATTCCGCGATCGACTTCTGGTTCAAACGAGACACGGCAAGCCGAGTGTCGATCCGATGGATGGCAAATACGATGAGCCTCAATCATGTGCAACATATTGCCCATGTTGTCCGCCCACTGTGTCTCGCCAAGATGGGAAACTCGCGAAAGGGACGGTCTGGGCGTCTGGCGAATAGCGCCTATGGTTTAAACGTAAAGGCTTGTTCGTGATATGCCATTGGTATTCCTGAAGAACTACCCGATTTCACCGAGAACCTACATCATTGGAAATCTCCGATGTACGAATAGGCACTACGGAGTACAAGTAACAGCATGCGTAGGATACATTTCTAAGTAGGTAGATCCGCTCAGCTCTAGGTACCATCGTTGGCTTTGATTCAAGAGATAGTCCGTCGAGCACCCGATTCCAGCTGGAGACTGGCTCAAGACAGTTCACGATCTACACAGTAAGTACCTATACTCTGTGCAACACAACATCTACACCGAACCCTCGAACTGATTGTGATACAGAGAATTTGTTGCACACGCAGGAGCCTCTGCATTGTCGACGAATACATCGGCGACGCCAACATTCGATGCTGCTCACTGACATTTAGCGCTAACCACGACGCGTCGCTGCTGATCGTCATCGAATCGGGGTGACGGGTAATATATGGGCGGCTATCACATGGAATCGATTGCTGTAGATTCGGCTCGTCGATGTGATGGGATTGCGAGATATGGCGCGGTCGCACCGTCGCAGGTTAAATGTAAGTCTCCAGGTGCTGGTCGTCAAGAATATACTAACTGGTGAATCTTCCAGCGGCCGTGGGAATGGTGGATTCAAGTTTGCGCAAGTCAGTCGTGAAGCCTCGAACAGCAGGCACTCCGCCGGAAGCCAATCACGAACATCCTGGCTAACGGGCTTCTTTATGTCCAATTGTCCATGGACCATGGCACCGCATGAACTTTGAAAAAGTAAGAAAACGTACGGAGTAGAAAGATCAGGACATCTACAGTACACAAAGAGCACCGGGATTCGGAGTACTCCGTCCAATAAGCGGTGAGTTAAGGTCAGGTTTCCCCTGAATATCACCCCCGAAGCCCAATAAGAGTCTCTGTAAAGGCATCCCACGCGATAGTTAGGGAAAGATGAACTTCGCTAAAAGGATCGATCCACTGTTAGGTATTCATTGTTCTACGAACACCCCTATCGTGAGACGCTTACCTCGTGCTCCAACGATCTATGCTCGTACTATATTAAACCTCCCCACCAATAATTTCAACCCACAACCCCGAATATAGCTAAAGATAGTATATCGGCCAGCACCAAAGATCGATATGGGGTCGTTAACAGCATAATCGCACGTTAAAGTAGGAGCTATGCCGATCTATTGAAAAGGGGGCCACGATTCACGAAGCCGAAGAACTCAACAGCGGCATGTGGAGTCTGGGGGCGCCACGAGTCCTAACAAGAAAAACCGCTTGCTTGTTTGACTTTGAACCCCTATCCTGGAGTCAGGACAATAACGACCACGAGGCGCAAAACCCGGGCTCAATGACCATTGGCTGTGCCACATACATCGTATCGTGGACTAGACTGGCGGTCGAACCGCTTGGAGAGATTGATCCGAGGCCTCGACTTGGGAACGGGATGAAGATCGACACGCTTTGATGCTATGGGATATCAACCACGTCCGGTGCTTGTATATGCCAGGTACAGCGCAGCAAGCGTAAAGTAAATTCAGCTGTACTGCGTAAGGCTCGAGCGGTTGGTCGATGTAACAAGAAATCAAAATTACTTCCAATAATGCGCCATGTCAGGGACACCCAATCACATTGACCAGGCGGTAGAGCCCGAGCTTTTGCCTAAATTGCGCTTGGGCACACGTTTCCTCCCCCAATGGCTTAGTCCAGGGGCACGCCACGAGTCGCTAAAGCAAGCATCGTCAAGCACTTAGTCGGAAGTAAAATAATGCGGTCTAGCCGTTATGGCGTGAAAAGTGCGTGAGACATGCCCGTTGCGGGGGCAATTAGGGCGGTTTAATGTTGTGGCGTTACTTGTCTCGGTATGGGATTTGTCGGATAATTTTAATTTGGCTGAGTCGAGATTCTAATATAAAGTGCGGGATGGCAGGGTACTTTGTGGCTGTTGAAGTACGCTTACGGAGTAATCTCCGGAATAACAGCTTCTGCTATTATTATGCCAGATCAAAACAAGAATGAGCATTTCAGACGAGAATATACTCAGGACCCTGGAGCACACATCACAGTCCCCATATTTATGCTCCCGGTACAAAAAGGTAATGTGAAGTGACAATACAAAGTGAAGGTGAGGTCTCGAGTGGCTCAAGACCAAGACCCTTGGCGATGGACATCCGAAGTAGGTAAGGACCGACCTCATTTCACCAGTAAAGTGCAACATCGTGGATTTGCCCTTGCACAAGTACGTGTATGTTTCTCTTGGCGAAATAAATCGCGGGCTGTTCAGGGGTAAGGTGGAGAAGCTGAAGAGACCCACGACGATACAGTCATGAACAAGAACGGGTAGTGGATCGGCGATGACTTTTGAAACACTGTGAGCAATTGGGGAGAATGAGAGACACACAGCAAAAGCAGGGAGAGTGGTCGGCTCAAGCTGTATAGCGAGTCATACTTTCTGAACCCCCTTCAGTATAGATGTTGTGTATGCAGTATCAACGTCAATATCTGTAAGGGCCAATGTCTCCGATGCAAGCGATCAGCGTCATCGGCCAGACGCTAGGAACAACTAGCGGGTCAAAATTACCAGTCGGTCCGATACTTTGTACTGACAATGAAAATAAATAAATAAAAACAACGGACATCGATCCAATCAGAGAATTGAGTCAATTGTGAAGTGATGTAGGTGCCGAAGTTTCAAGTACCTGAGCTATGCGGTGAAAGTAAGTAGAGGAACGAGTACCAAGTACTAATTCAGGTACCGTTGTGATGGGCCTCAATGCCCTAATCCACACCATCCACACCCTCCACCCCAAATCGAGTTCCCCTTTTTCTTTTTCTTATTATTCTGGCTCTTTTTTTGCTTAGGGGGATGGGGACATAACCCAAAACAACCATGCTGATCTCGACACTAATCTCCCCGTTCATACAAAGGCCCCCTGCCTCCCCCATCTCGTTCTTCCTTCTTCCTCTCCCAAGTACATTCTTCGTTGCATAGCATCCAGTCACTCTCTCTCGACTTCGGTCTTCCACTCTTTAAACCACACTCTCTTTCACAACCCAAAAAGCTACGCTTTTTTATATATACCTTTTTGAACAATCACCTTGACGGTTACCGTACATAACATTCAAAATGCGTTTCTCTCTCGCCACTGTTGCCTTCTTCGCCGGCCTTGCCATTGCCGCCCCCGGTGCTGCCGACCAGACCGTCTACGAGACTGACGAGGTCACCATCACCTCCTGCGCTCCTACTGTCACCGACTGCCCCGGCAACGCCGGTGTTGAGCCCACCAGCGCTCCCGTTGCCACCACCACCCCCGCCGCCGGTGGTGAGGTCCCCGTTGTCTCCAGCTCCACCTGGGCTCCCTCCAGCTCTGCCCCCGCTCCCAGCGCTCCTGCTCCTAGCGCTCCCGCCCCCAGCGGCCCCGCTGGTACCCCCGCGGTCTCTTACTCCGTTGTCCCTGTGACCACCTGCGTGCCCACTGTCATCTACTCGACTGTGCCCGTTCCCGTCAGCACCGCCCCTGCCGGTGGTAACGTCCCCCACGTTCCCGGCACCGGTGTTCCCCACGTCCCCACCAGCAAGGGCATGCCCTCCGGCACTGCCTCTGCTTCCCCCTCCGCCTCCTCCCCCGCCTACGCCGGTGGTGCTGGTGCTCTCAGCGGCTCCCTCGGCTTCGCCGGTGCTGCCGCTGCTGCCGCCTTCTTCCTGGCTTAAATGACTTCTTCCGGGTTGGTGATGCCTTTCTGCAACCTAGTTGGATCCCATGGGTTCTAGCCATGGTAGTAGATAGTGTGTCTGCCGGAGTGGTATGACTGGAGGTATAGCGAGAAGAGGATTGTGTTATTTAGGGTCTCTGGTGATTTACTCTTAACAATTGTTGTTTTCTGACTGGATATGTCTATCCCCTTTTTTGCTTTTTGATATACATATTTTCTTTTTTATTTCTTCTCGGGCTCTCCTGGATAGCTTCGGAGTTGTGTGAAGCTCGCTTGGTGGCTTGAGCACGACCTTAATGTAAACCATGACAGCTTTTCTCACTCTCCTTTCCAGCGCCTGTAGCCTATTTGGAATGTATCATTATTTTCACCGTCAATAATTAATGTGTCCTGTGGATTTTGCCTTTATATTCTCATTCCATCTTGATCCTGTAGTCTTGTCAATAGTATTGTCGTAAAGATCCTTTGATGCATCCGCCCTTGCAGACGGGTACATACATCGATCACGATTTCCTACCCCTGACTCCCTCCATGTGTCACAATCCTCCTGTGCTTCTTAGGGCTGACCATAGACGCCCTGGAATTGGAAAGCCTATCTCAGGCTTCCTACGTGACTCTGACCCTCTTCAGTCTCGTAGTCACCGCTACTCTCTTGGCGGACGCCCGGGATACCTTTGTAGGTAGTAGATGCACTAATCATTGCACGTTTAGACTCGTACTGTTTAGTCGACCTATCACGAATACGGATTGAACTAAGGCCGGGCACAGGTTCCCCTTAATGGGAGGTTTCGAATAGATTGTACGACCGAGCCCTTTTGATATGCATGACGACAGTCGTCAGTCTAAATTCCATTATGGCTATCCAAGGTTTATCTTTAGGGCTGCTACTCTTGCAGTACTCAGACTTCCTGAACAGAGCGTCTTTCATGCATATTGTACACCTGCAGACACACGAGTAAACAAGGTTAAGTTCACACGGAGCAAGCGATTGGCAGCCAAAAATAGTGGACTCCACCCCGCAAGTGACCTCAGTGGCGGAATCAACCTTCTTTGGAAGGTTCCTTTACTCCGTAGTACTACGAAGATAAACAAACCTCACGCCTCGGGCTCAGACCCGAGATAACAGTATAAACCCAAGTTCCAACAAAGAAAGGAACGAAAGCACCCCATGTTCCGTTCATTGTTCCAAGAACCAACTTTCAGGCCTCAAGACGTCACGCGAGCATCGCGGTGATCCCAATGCCAGTACCACGGCCCGTGTAATTGCAATCCACAACGAAGACTTGGCCTTCGCATGGTCCTCGTATTTCATCTTCACCCAAAGCCGTGCGATCAGTACTTGAAGTTTATACTCTGTTAGCATAAACGATTGCCGCGATGGCCTAGAGACGCGAATTCCTTTCTCCGATGGATTTGGACCCCAAATAGCACACCGTGGGCTAGTCGATTTTGGGAGTCTGGCGGTCTATCATTGACGACTTTTGTCGTGTCTTTGTGGGACTTCTAAGCGCATTGTCCAGAATAGGAGCGGTATGTTCCTGATTTCGGGCAAAAGATTTCATTTTCAGTAACGATGTCCGATGGAAAGGTGGGAACAATGAAAATCCTACGGCGCCTCTTAAGCCCTATGGCTATGGGCGTCTTCTGCACTGCCTGTGCAGCTTCCTTTATCTCAACCTTTGTTGTTTTTCATGGACAGCCGAGGCATTTGACGATTCTTTCAGACAGATCTACTGTAAGAATGAGCGTTTGACCCCATATTCTGTGCTGGCCTTGGCTTTGGATACGAGTCCTCCACAACGGTCCGCCATTGAAGCCCCCTTCAAAGCGCACATCGCTCGTGTCTAAAGATAGTTCGGTATCGAAATCAAAGCGATCAAGCCAAATGATATACTGTGTACTTGCCGGCATCCTGCATCAGGCCTCTCCACACAATGCATTCTTCGTCTCATCAACGAGCTTCCACGGGACCTCCAAGACACCCCTCCGACCCGCACCCTCCCCTCATGGATCTATCATCCCTCGAGGGTCCCCCGATAGCTGATCCGCCTTTTATTCTTTCACCGGATACGACAAGTCCCCGTATCACCACACCCTCGCCTACTCCCACTCACATTTTGCGCTCAAAACCTCTACCACCACGACCTGTCTCCAGAAACGTCACTCCGTCACAACACCAACACAGACGACATGAACAACCATCCGAATGCCCGAATCCCGACGGCAATTCGAGACAGATGCCAGCCCGTAAACCTACAAACAGTCCATCAGAAGAGCTCGCGCCCGACTGTGACCCACGCCACGAGCACGAATCCTCATCAACACAATCCAGTCCACGCCCCAGACAACCAAGACCCTGTGTGCCGCTGACGTGGCTGGAAGATGAGAAGAAATGGGTCGTGGGCGAGGCTCATCCGCCCACCACCCGGGATCCCCGATTCGAACACGCCGCCTCGTCGGCGCTTTCCCCCGTCTCACCGATGTCGTCGTGTTCGCCTTGTTACGATATGATCCGGCGTCTGGATGAGCACATTGCATATAATAATTATCTTTACCAAGAGGGTGTGCCGAATCATTCTCCGGCGTTCAATTCCCACCGATTCCATCAGGGGTATGGGACGGCGCTGGGGAATGAGCGCGTTGCTAGGTGGGTGGCGATGACTCAGAGGATGGAACAGCATGGCGAGCAGTTTTGAGTACGGCTTTTGTTGAATTTAGCGTTGTAGCCTTTTTCTCATTCTTCTGGCGTTTCGGGAATGATATATCAATTTGGGGCTTAGATCATATGTCCAAGAGGCGGGGACAGCAGGCATCGATGGTATCGATGTAGGGCACAGGGCTGCACTTTGCCTACACAGTATGTATATGCTTGAAGTAGAAGTCAAAATGAGGATTTGGGGAAGGAGCATCCACGGATATACTCATGTAATTCTTCTCCGTATCCATCTTCGTGAAGAGTCTTCCAAAAGTACCTTTAAGTCCGACTCAGCCAAAACTTCCCCAGATATAACAATGACCCCGCGTGGAGAAAGCGAGATCGTACAATGTTCCAAAGGTCATGATGCAGGGGTTCTCGCTCTGTGCACCAGTCACAGCACTGCTGTATGCCTGTCACTTGTAGCAAACTAGCAAACTGCATGGATCCACTGCTCCACCGCGAGTTATCGACAGCCTCGCTGACCATCCCTGCAGGCCTGGTTGAGGGGGTGATGGGATTGTCAGAAGGACAATAATAAGAAGAGGGAAGCTTCTCGAATCAAGTTCTCTTGTTTTTTCTTCCTTTTCTAACCCCCCTCGCGGCTGGGAAGCATCCCGGTCGAAGCATTAGTGACTCCATTGCTCCAGTTCTTTTGCACGCTAACACAGACCAGCAGGTCTTTCCAGCCTCTGAATTATTTGCCAGCCAGTAGCAAAGATTGGACGTATGATAGAACATAAAAGAAGAAAAAAAAGATATAATATAAAGGACGACAGACCCGACTGAATTCCCGGTCTGGTTTTCACCCCGGCATCGAGCATCAAAGGCTTACCAGACCCAGTCCGCATCAGTATAATATCCCTATTAACATGACACGTTATGAGAGGAAGTGAAGAAATGGCCTGGAAAGAATAATATTACAAAGAACTGCATACACTGAGAAGTTGGTTATACACAGTCGTGACAGTCGATTGTTCCTCTCTCTTTCAACCGTGGTTCACTGGAAATCTCCCCGATTCTACCGCCTTCGATCAGAAAAAAAAGTTCCCCACCCCCAATGGGCCAATTCACCCTCTTCTCAAAAAACAAGGACAAGAAGAACGAGAAAGCCAGTCCTCCTCGAAACTCCTCCGCTTCGTCTCCATTACCGACACCCTCCAGATCTCCGACTAAGTCACCTCCTTTGAAGTCCTTCAAGTCGCCCACCAAACCTCCCAAACCCACCAAATCCTCCAAACCATCCCTCTTCTCTTCCCACAGTCGGTCTTCCTCAACCTCCGGACCGACCTTCAATTCGAAATTCTCCCGGTCTTCGCGTGACCAGGACGTACACCCGCTTAATCTTCCGCCCGACGAGCTACATCGTCGTTTGTCGGCCATGGCTGCGTCTAAGGATGAGCAGCGCAGCTCGATGGATATCGACCCCCAAGAACCCCAGAAGAATGGCGTGAACGGCACTGAGGAGCGCAGTCCGACCCCGCCACCGCACCACCCGAACTCAGCATCTGCCGATGAGGCTGATTCCTTCAAGTTGGCCGGAAACAAGTTCTTCAAGGATGGCAATTACTACCGAGCAATCCAGGAATATAACAAGGGTATGCTGTCCTTTTCTATCTTACAGAGGCCCGATGTCTCTTGGTTTGATCTTCAATGAGCGGGGTCGCTGATGATTTTTGTCTATTGCAGCTATCGAGATCAACCCCAACTCGTCCGCCTATCTCTCTAACCGAGCGGCGGCTTACATGTCCGCCAAACAATACGTGAATGCGCTCGACGATGTTCAACGCGCGAGCGAGTTAGATCCTAACAACCCAAAGATCTTGCACCGATGGGCCAAGATTCTGACGAGTCTGGGCCGACCCGCAGAGGCTCTGGACGTATTGTCACGCATCCAACCACCCGCCACCGCCACCGATCGGGCAGCCGCAGAGAAGATGCTGCGCTTCGTTACACAAGCCGAGGAGACTTTGGCCGAAGACCGTGGAGTGTCGATGGTGATCTTCTGTCTTGACCAGGCGCGGCAAGGGCTTGGACAGGGCGTCAAGGAGCCCCGCAAGTGGTCACTTTTGGCGGCTGAGGCCCAGCTGAAGCTGAACAACAACAACTCGCTGGGTAAGGCGCAGGACATCGCTATCAACCTGCTGCGTGAAAACAGCCAGGACCCGGATGCGATGATGATCCGTGCTCGCGCCTTCTATGCGCTTGGTGATTCCGATCAGGCATTGAAACTCTTGAAGATGTGCATCGGGCTGGACCCGGATATGAAGCCAGCGATCAAGCTGCTGCGCATTGTGCAAAAATTGGCCCGCACCAAGGAGGAAGGAAACAATGCCTTCAAGGCGAAGGATTACCACAAGGCTATCGAACTCTGGGCCCAGGCTCTGGAGGTTGACCCCACCAACAAGGATATGAATGCCAAGATTCTGGGTAACCGTGCCCAGGCTTATATCAACCTGAAGGAGTATGACTCTGCTGTGCAGGACTGCACTGAGGCCCTTCGCCTCGATCCCTCATACGTCAAGGCTATGAAGCTCCGTGCCAAGGCCCACGGGGGTGCCGAGAACTGGGAGGAGGCTGTCCGTGATTATAAGAGCGTTGCCGAGAACAACCCCGGCGAGAAGGGCATTGCGGAGGAGATTCGCCGTGCCGAGTTCGAGCTGAAGAAGTCCCAGCGCAAGGACTACTACAAGATTCTTGGAGTCGGCAAGGATGCCACTGATACAGAAATCAAGAAGGCCTACCGCAAGCTGGCTATTCAATACCACCCCGATAAGAACCGTGACGGTGAAGCGGGCGATGAGAAGTTCAAGGAAATTGGTGAAGCCTATGAGACTTTGATCGATTCTCAGTAAGTTTACTCTGAAATTTCTTACCCCGGGTGTAAACGCGCAGTGCTAACCTATTTTCAGAAAACGTGCTGCATATGATAACGGAGACGACTTGATGGATCCATCTGACATGTTCGGCGGTGGTGGTTTCGGCGGCGGCGGTTTCGGTGGTTTCGGTGGCATGGGTGGTATGGGTGGTATGGGCGGCGCAAGCCACGTCAACATTGACCCCAACATTCTCTTCAATATGATGAACGGCGGCGGTGGTGGAGGCTTCTCTTCCGCTGGCGGCAATCCCTTCGGTGGTCACTCCCACGGCGGCGGCTTCCCATTCTAGTTGGACCTAAACCCATCTTGTTTAAGTCGTTCCCATCCACCGATTCTTCACTTCTTTGTCCGATTACGACGGACCCCAAAACAGGCATTCGCATGTCTACCGGAGTTGGAGTTACACCTCGATAGTTTTCACATTTCGTCTGTGGAGATATTGGGGCTTCGTTTTTCTTTTTGCCTCCCACCATATCACGATTTTGCTCACCCATGTCTCCGCGGAGACACCATATGATTCCCGACATGATAGATTTGACGTTTTTCTTCCATTTTGTGTTCTAAATCTTCCTCTTTTTCCTCCTTTCCTCTTGGCCTCTTTCGGACTATGTACATGGTACAGGGACAGCATTTCATGGACGGTGGATCTTGGACTACATGTATACAGAATACCTACATCCTGCCATACATTCAGCAACCCATTTCTGATGTTCACTTATGTGCCTTTCTATCCTCGGTCTCGGTCGATCTAGAGAGATCTGCTTTGTACATTCTGTGTTGGTTTTACACTGCAATATTGCTTGTATGCGAAACGTCGAAGACTACGGCGATTACTGGGCAGAGGGCCTGCTCTCGTGGAGGCTCCTGCTCGGTGTAATCTGTGTAGTGTGTTCGTTATTGTTCTTCTCTACCTTCTAGGAGTGTGCGCGTTGGGCCTTGGCGGTCACATGACCGCCATCCTCGATTGGCCCAAGAATATGTACATGTTGCACCAATTCCAACATTCTGGGATTGTCGTTATTGCTTGTTGCTCTTACGGGTTACGTGTTATACGTGGTGTGTATACATCAAGAGGATTCTGATGAGACCAATGACTTTCAATGGATCCTTTATTCAACTTAAAATCCACTCGACGTCACTCTCAAAGCTCGTTTCTACTGAACATATCCAACTGGCAACATCTACACGATAACTAGGTACCTATTCCAGACTTGTTGCGCGGTTTGGTCGACTCCAAACATTTCCATGCATTAAACTCTGGGTGATCGGTGATCGGTGATCGGAGGTTTGTTCGGATCTGATGTGACGTTGGTGATCATGGATCTGCGAATCCTTACTTGCAAGTTGCAAGGGACCTTCCGATCCTATCTTGATCGACCCTTACTTGCGGTCTTGGTGGGGGCTTGTAGGTTATGAGATAGAGTGCTACGTTGGAGAATGAGTGGTAAATGTTTAGATGGATCTTGTTGTTTGTACTATGGCCACGTGATGTATCTTAGTCAGCAGTCAGGCGGAAGGTTGCCTGAACCCCTGAGACAAGAAGAAAAACCAAGAAACACCAGAGCATTCGGAAGATTCTCCTATGAAAATCGACCCGACACACATCAGTCCCAAATGGTGGGGTGTCAAGGTCACTGTAATGTCCAAGGAATTGCATCTGAATACCTACATGGTCGAACAGATCAAAGGTCTCTGCATCTTGTGACGCCGAACTGCTTTACGTGTTCCAGGAGCAGTTCGAAGGATGGACTGAACAGATGTTCAAACGTGTCCATCACACATATCTTCGCGCGATGAAGAAGGTTCTTCGGGAGGGTGGCATTAACACCGGACCTATCACTAGGCCGATACCCCCCCAATTCGTTGCCCTTCTTCATCGCGCGAAGATATGTGTGATGGACACGTTTGAACATCTGTTCAGTCCATCCTTCGAACTGCTTCTGGAACACGTAAAGCAGTTCGGCGTCATACAGGCCCAAGATGCATAGGTCCTTGATCTGTTCCACCATGTAGGTGTTGAGATGCAATTCCTTGGACGTTGCAGTGACCTTGACACCCCACCATTTGGGACTGATGCGTGTCGGGTCGATCTTCATCGGAGAATCCTGGACAAGTTGTTCCCTGGTCATATCGGCACATGGGGAAACAATGTCCTCTTCGATCGGTTCGTCGTTCGGAGACACCGGGTCGGGGTTCTCGCGCGTTGTGGACATTTTGTTTTTGGTGCGTTGTTGACGCGTTTGACTGACTCCGCCGGATACAATCAAACTGTAGGTACGATAGGTCTTCCGCCGGACAGTCCTAGGTACCTGTTCTTAGCACAGTTCACAGCCACAAGACCTCCGCCGGACGGTAACTTGATGCTATGGGGAAACTGTCTCTTCTGCTTAGCCAATCTGTGATTCTCTGCGAATCACTGATCAGTGTTGGCAGGTCTACTGCCTGCTTGTCTCAGACGAAGGGCAGGTTGTTGCAATTGCTTGCACAGATCTACTATTCAAATTAAAGCTTGGGCTTCGATATCAATCCATACAGAGGCGATGAGCTGGAGCAGGATAAGACATGATCATTCTATATAGTCATAATTAACAACATAACCAATTCGCTGTCGTGATGCGTGGTATGTACTTCTCTCAACATGATGAACAACTGTACTAGGTAAATATAAAACAAAAAAAAAATAACAGGGGAATCTCAAAACATGGGGGCAGGACATAGCGAATGAATGTACCGGACAGAAGAGCATTAAAGCAAACTCCGCCGCTGATGAGACGTCCAAGACGAATCGAACACAAGAACGGGCATAGAGATGAAAGGTAAATATCAAGAAGATGCGATGAAAATCAACAAAACGCTGGCATAACAAGTATCAATCAAACATAGCCCAAAGATCCGAGCATCAGTTTGCAATCAGGGGCCGGTAGGCCGGTGACACCCATTGAGCGGACGAGAGCACCAGCCCGAAGCCGCTGGAGACCGATAGCGACCTTCCATGCCTCGGACTCCTGCATGACGAAGACATACTTTTTGCCCTCTTGGTCACGAACACTGGCACGAAGAACGTGCAAACCACGAGTCTCTGCCCCAGGTGCGTGAACAGGACCACCGTCCCGGCTGGCAGTGGCGCTGCGCGCAAATGCATCCCTCGGCGACGCCAGACGGCACGTATTCTTGCAGACTTTGAGCAGATTATTGAGGAAGGCTTCTGATTCCTCGTTGGTGGGGACGTTGTTCCCACGACGGAAGGAGAAAGGATTGCTGGAAGGGGTTTTGGCGGAGGTAGTGGCGTTCACCTGGGAGCACCACACTTCTGCCAGTTTGAGCGTCCATGCTTTGACGTCCCATTCGCGCTGGCCGATACCACGCACGTCATCATCGATGAAGAGACCTTCGGTTGTGATGCGCAGCACTAGCCCGTCGGAAATCATGCCTTGACCCGAGACAAGCTGCGATATTGGGGTTTTCATGAAGGCGTTGTTGAAGGTGTAGACTCCTTGGATCACGATCTTGTCCGGATCCTTGGTGGTATATGAACTGCGATGTGATGGGGGAGGTGTTGTGTGCGCAGTCGAGTGAGAAGGCGCGTATGACGACTCGGAGTATACTGAGGTTCCAGCCGCGTATGGCCGCCGGGGGCGGTCGTAGGGACGAAAGGAATATGCATCGTCGTCATTGGCGGTTTTGGCGGTGGGGTAGGGAGGTGGTGGCTTCTTGGGAGAAGGCGTGCGAGGCATGCTGCTAGTACTAGCTGGCTTGGGGGGCGACGATTTGGCAGCGGCCTCCTTCGCCTCCTGAGCCTTCTTCTCGGCGTATTTCTTGCTTGCCGCTTCCTTGAGCGCCGCAAATTTGGCCATGGCCTCTTTCTGGGCGGCAGCCTTCGCTGCGGCTTCTTTCTCCGCGGCTTCTTTGGCAGCTCGCTCTCTGGCTTCCGCTTCTATCTTTTCAAGTCTGGCCTTCGCTTCAGCCTCGGCCTTTGCTTGCTTCTCGCGGGCCTCGGCGACTTCTTTCTCTAGTTTTTCACGCGCCTCTTTCTCTGCGGCAGCTCTTGCTGCGGCAATCTCCTTTTCCAGTTGCTCACGGCGTTCTTTCAGTTCTTTCTCCATTGCTTCGCGCTCGCGCTTTCTCTCTTTCTCTTTGGCTTCTGCGTCCCGCTTGCGCTTGAACTCCTCCATCTTCCGGCGCAGCTCCTCTTTGCGCTTCGCTTCTTCTCTTGCTCGCTCTCGCTCGGCTTCCTCTCTAGCCCGTTCTCTGGCTCGCTCTTCTCGAGCACGCTCCTCCCGGGCACGTTCTTGCCTGGCACGTTCTTCTTTAGCACGCTCTTCTTTCTCACGTTCTTCGCGAGCGCGCTCTTCTTTGGCACGCTTCTCAGCCTCCTCCTTTTCACGTTGGTTATCATCAGAGTTTGGAGGTGGACCAGAGCTATATTGATTACCGGAATATTGGTTGCCATGGCTTTGACCTCCATTAGAGTTTCCTCCCTGGTGTTGTCTTTGCTGACCCGCACCGTTGCCGCCATGGTTGGCACCGGAAGATTGTTGGTTGGTGTTTGATTCGTTCCTCGAGCCACCTGGGCCCCCAGAACTACCACCAAACCCCCCAAATCCAAACCATCCACCTCGAGCGCTGCCGTTGCCTTTATTATCTCCTGAGTTGGACTGGGCAGCGCCAACAAGCCATCCGGCCACACCTACCCCAACCGCAAGCACTGTCATCCCAGTACCATTGCCGCTAGCGACAGTGGCTAGATACCATGCCTTCAGGATCGGGGAGATATATGACCAAACCACACAGGCCAAAAGCGTACTTGCAACGCCTGCCAGGAAGCTGTTCCGGTTGCATTGTAAAGATGGAAGGTAGAGGAAGCCTGCGCCGGCGGAGTGAGGTGGGACGATGAAGATGTCGTAGTTGCCGTCCGGAAGATCCGAAGATTTGCGATATTCGCCTTCAGTTGTTCGGGGCTTTTCACCATGAGGCGGCGGTGGAGGCGGCGGACCGTCCATGTCGGATCAGCGCGCAGCGTTAGGCTCGTGCGATATATATATATATATAGGACTCAATGCTGCGAAGCGCAGCGTCAGCCAAAGGGCGACCCACGACCTGGGTTGATCTGTCAAATCAATGGTAAGACAAGTTCTCGGGGTTCAGCGTCAATTGCCAGGTCATATTAGTCCGATGAGCGTCGCACTGAGGCCCCAGGCACTCAGTGCTGTGAAGGATAATTCGAAGGCCAAATCTGAATCAAAACACGATACACAGGACAGATATCAAGAATCAAACAAAATGCAAACGCAAGGCAAATTGATGGAAACGGCGGGGGAGACTAAGAGTTTGATATTTTGAGGGGGTGGGTTTGTTTGGAAGACAAGTGTGGGAGGCTAAGGATCGACGCCAACACTTCCCTGCATCATTGGATGTGGTCGTCACATTCGACCACCTATCACCTCAAAATACACACAGATTGCTACAAACGAGTTGTACCTCATGAATCTCTCGATGTAACTCTCGTATCTGTTACCCGAAGCATGCTGGATTCCTCGGAGGCCACGCGATTTTATCTAGGGCGGCTTAAAAGAGCCCAAGGGATGGAATGGCAATGAGAATACAAATATAACAGTGACACCTTTTAAGCGCGATGAACTGTTTCAGAGGGATGGCTATCACGATACCTACTTGCAAGTAGATATTCTACAACAAACTTGCAGCTCACCCTGCAAATACATTAATGCTCAGTGCTGTCAAGTGAGAGACGAAAAGGACACTGTTTTGTTTTGATTTTACCATTTTGGGAAAGGCCCGGCTACAGTATCCGCGCGGATTATTGTTTGTCCCGACACCCCTACCGCCTTCCACTCCGTTCGTTGAGACTATGGGCAATGAGGTGGGCATGAGATGAGATGACCGACAGTATTGCAAGCATAGGATCTTGTTTACTACGCATGACATCTCATGAGCCTTCCCATTTCAGCTTTAGTCTGTCTGCAGGATTTTTCTGCTCTCTGGCTTAGAGGTGTTCGTATTGCATTCAGATCACCCAAGCATCTTCTTCGCGTGTTCGAAGAGTGCTTCATACGCAGTGGAGATCGTGAGAAGGAATCCAACCGTTACTGTGCTTATACAGATCATGCCAGATATTACCACTTATACGTACTACCTTCAGTCTCCTCTTTACCACCTTTACGACAGGCCGCGGAGTAGCAGCGGGCATGCGGTCTGAGGCTCAGAGGTTTGGCCCTGAGCATAGCGCTGTGGGCGGAGCGAGAATACCCCCGTCAATCTTGCGGTCAGCGCGTTGGGGCAGCTAGTTCGACTTAGTGGGTCCACGATGTTCGAGTTGGAGGATGTACGGAGTAGCCAGCGAGCCTTGTTCACCAGGTCTATATCGTAGAGCGCATAGGTAGTATGTGGAGCATGGTGAGAGTCGATTCTGGGCCGAGGGTCAAGTAGAGAGCATCGTACTAACTCGAATTCGACGCGGAAATAGGCATGCCGTGGTTATCATCTTGCGAGCCGTAGACGTCCCATGATCAGGGCATGAGGTGCGGGACCATGACCAGGCAGAAGAGGCCTGAGGGCCTCACGAAGGTCATTTTGAGTCATCTTCGCTCGATTATATCATGTTCGATGCTGTATTTAGTCTGGTAGTGATACAACGCAGTTCAAGTTAAAGTGTTGGAAAAGGGTGAGCGTCGAAGACAAAACGGCGAGTAACATAACTCGGCAGAACGTGATCTGCAGCCACTGATTGGGTGGCTTTCCACTTGAGATTCCGATGCCCTTCATCTGTCCTTCGAGGTGTCGATCGTCTTCTTCCACCCTCCTCCACTTCGAATCCTCTTTTGTTTCTCCCGCGATAGTCTGGTAGTCAGGTACTACCCCGTGTCTCCGCCCTCCCCGCCAACCTGCCATTTGGCCCCCTCCCAGACATATCCGCCAGCTTTCCAACCGCCCTCATTCTCCCTCTCACTCTCTATGCGGCGCCGCTAAACACCGAGAACCGATTTACGACCTGCCCTTGAAGGGCATCCCGGTACCATGTCCTCCCAACCCCATCATGGCCATTCCGCGACGTCACGTCAATTCCCTGCCTATAACCCCGTGGCCGCAGTGACAGCACCTGCGGGGACCTTGCTTCCGGGCACCAAGATCCAAGTGGGCAGCCATCGTGTGGTTGTGGAGAAATACCTCTCCGAAGGTGGTTTCGCTCATGTCTACGTGGTGCGATTGCCTCAACCCATCGATGGCACTGAGACCGCTGTCCTCAAGCGGGTCGCCGTGCCGGACAAGGCGGCCCTCGCCAACATGCGCACCGAGGTGGAAACAATGAAGAAACTCAAGGGTCACCGGCACATTGTTAAGTACATTGATTCGCACGCCTCGCAGCTGCGCGGGGGCGGGTATGAAGTATTCTTGGTCATGGAGTACTGCGCGGGCGGTGGTCTCATTGATTTCATGAACACCCGACTCCAGCACCGTTTGACAGAGCCAGAGATTGTGAAAATCTTCTCTGATGTTGCCGAGGGTGTTGCGTGTATGCATTACCTAAAACCTCCTCTTCTCCATCGTGACCTGAAAGTTGAGAACGTCTTAATATCGGGCAAGGGGAGTTCCGCCATATACAAGCTCTGTGATTTTGGATCCTCGGCTCCGCCTCGCCCTGCTGCTACTACCGCCGCGGAAGGCCGATTGATTGAAGATGATGTGCAGCGGCATACAACACTGCAGTACCGGAGCCCGGAGATGATTGATGTCTATCGGAAGCAACCCATTGACGAAAAGAGTGATATTTGGGCTCTCGGCGTGTTCTTATACAAACTGTGCTACTATACAACCCCATTCGAAGAGATCGGCCAGATGGCAATCCTTAATGCGACCTTCAAATACCCTTCCTACCCCACATTCTCTAGTCGGCTCAAGCTGTTAATCGGTGAGTCCGGGACATGAACCTCCCTCAAGCGTTGATGGCTGACAGTTCTGCACAGGATCAATGTTGAAGGAAAACCCGCGTGACCGTCCCAACATATATGAGGTCGTGCGCGAGGTGTGCAAAATGCAAGGAAAGGGAATCCCTATCAAGGATGTACGTTACAACACGTTGCTCTACACAAACCTGAACTGACCGCCGCTCAGATTTATTCCAACCGCTCTGTTTCGGAAGCACGCAAGTTCCAAGAGCTACCTCCCACGCCAACAGAAGCACCCGCGGTAGGCGCTGTATTCTCGCCTCCAATGCAGGAGACCGAGATAATCCCCGAGATTGCGCCTATGCGCCGTGGCCGACCAGGGAAATCCCCCTCGTCTCAGCTTAGTTCCGCAAGGCCAAGTCCTCTACCGTTCCGAGCCACTGCCGGCAGTCCGCCGAACGATCCGTTCGCGGCTCTGGATGGGAACGAGGCTCGGAAGAAGACTGCGGAGGAAATGTCAAAACGATTCCCATCCTTGGATCAGTTCGATCTTTTGCATGAGAAAGGGGATAGATTTGAATTCGAACCTTCGGTGGAAACCAAACCTGAGGATGAGGATCTTTCGATAAGACTCACCCACGCCCTGGCTGACGATGCCTTCGCGCGACGTGAATCACCTGAACGTGCACCGAAGCCAACATATCAGCGCCCATCTCAGTCTTCCCCCGTGCGAGCACCCAAATCGTGCGAAGTTCTTGCAAATAAGCCTGCTCACTTGTACCAACCAACTCCTCAACGGCCTGCCATGGTATCCACAGGCACCATGACCTCGCCCGTTCAGACACCCCGTCTCTCAGAGCCGAAGGTCTCCACTCGCCCGATTTATCGGTTCCCCCCGTCTGATAAAGAACATCGATCTTCTAGCCTGCCCTTGACTTCGGGGGAGGAACATAAGGCGACACGGCCGAGCAAGGCCCCGTCACCCCCGATGTCCGGTTTGAACGCGGAAGCAAGCCCGCGACTGTCATCTGATCGTTTATCAATTCAGACCAGCTCTGCGCGTCCCTCGATGGAAGCTTTGAGGCAAACGCCGACATTAGAGTTAAATGATCCTGTTGGACGTTCCAAATCTGCCACTGGCAAGGCTCGGCCAATGTCAGTACAGCCGGGAGCAAGATATAACTTGCCGCGCGACTCCGAGGGCTCGCGATCCTCATTAGACATGTCTCGCATGCAGTACGAGGGCGGTGCACCACTCCGATCTGTGCGTACCGAAGCGGATCGTGAGTCCGACCGGGCCAATATCTCTTCGGACGTTGAATACTTGCGTGCGAGGGAGGTCGAGGAGAGCAACCGCAAGCGTGAGAAACGCTCCAGCGGTAGCCACAAACACAACAAGCGTGGTAGTCTGTCTGGTCTTTCCCTCTCAGGTGGCAAGAACCTCCTTGCTGGCCGCTTTGGCGAGGCATTCCGCCGTTTCGAGGCGGGCAACCAAGATAAGCCTCCATCACCATCCGCAGAGGATATGCCTCGGCAGAGTTTATCGGATTCAGCCGATGGGGGTATTTCGCCCAATGATGATATTGTCCTGGAAGATGCCGACCGGGACGATATCTCACCAGAGATGCGCCGGGAGCTGGAGCGTCGTCGACTGTCCCAAGAGGAGAAACGAGTTGCCAATGCCGCAGCCGAGTACCGCCGCCAGGTTGCCGAATCAGGTACCAGGGGTGGAAGGGCAGTTGGCGATGGTGCTCGGTCTCGCACCATTCAGAGCAAAATGCAGTCGTTGCTTGCGGAGTCAGACAAGCCACCCGTCCACAAGACCGCGACAGGGTATGGGCGATTCACGGAAACTTCCTCTTCTTTGCAGGCAAAACAGAGTGAGGTCAAACCTACCGCCTCCGGCCAACTGTCCTCGTCTCGCACATCTGGTCCTACTTACACGCCTCGTGACAATTCAATGCCAGTTCCAGACCGCCGGGGTGATGCCAGTGCTCCCGCCAGTCCTCCACAATCTGCCACGCCGACCAGCTACCCATCCGCGCAACGTCCTGTAACTCGACCAGCTGCACCTCCAAAGCCCAAGAGTTTGCGAGCTGGTGCAACTACTTCGCGACCGGGTACTAGCCATGACAATAGGTCTCAGGCAACTCCGGTGACCCCTGGGGAGGACTGGGAGGCCAACTTTAGCCGACGATTCCCGAGTCTCTCCGGCATCGAAGTGGAGACGGAGATTGAAATGCCCAAGTTCCCTAGCTTGAGGACGCGGGAAGTGTAAAGTACAGGACATAGGTTTTTGAGTCTTGTTTGTTAGATGATGCAGTTCAGCGTGTGTTCGTGTTTGCCGTGCAGGCGCAACTCGGGGAATGACTGGTTCCCGCGAGCCATGCATATATAGACAGTGACATATTGGATATTAAGTGAGGCCATTATAAAGCTCGAAGTTCTCATTCTCGTTCGGGCTGTAAGCACACCCCTCAACCTAATCTGTCAAGTCTCTATTCTTCCAACACTGCGGGTTTTATAGATGGCCATCGGCCATCTTTCGTCCCCACACCGCTTTTGTTTCTCCCCGCAAGAGCAAGAGAACCCTCACCTTGACCTCATCACCTTCAACACTTTATGCCATGGCACCAGTAACGCTAAAAACGGTCGATGGTAAGTAATGCGAAGCAATTATACTCGAGAGTACACAACTTAACATGCCCGCAGACGACCTCAAAGACGTGATCCAACACCTATTCGAGATCCAGTCCGCCGTCCATGGCTATCTAGGCCCTGAAACACAGCAAGAGCTTGTGCGCAAAATGTACGACACCTCCAATGATACCCTAGATCTCTTCGAAATACACAAGACTCCCCTGGCACACCACACCGCAACCCTCTACAAATAACTAGAAGCTAACCGTCTCCCCCAAAATAGCAAAAACCTTACCATCGCCCTCTCAACCTTATCAACACACACCCAGCTTCCACCAACACAAGAGAACCAGTCGGACGCAAACACAGACCCCTCCAATCCCACACTAGCTAGCGTTCAGCTCCCGCCAGAAATCATCGACTACGTCGACTCCGCTCGCAATCCGGACATCTACACGCGCGAGTTCGTCGAGCTCGTGCAGCGCGGGAACCAGGATCTGCGCGGAAAGCGTGAGGCTTTTGCGAGCTTTCGCGACGTACTGGCGCGCGAGATGCGTAGCGCTATGCCTGAGTGTCGTGGCGAGGTCGATCGCGCTGTCGCGGTGAGCGGGGGTACTGTCGATGGGCCTGGTGGGGTTGCTGGATCTGGGTCTGGTAGGAATTGAGGGCTGTTTGGATCTCCCAGGGCTAAGTTCGGCATTCTCGACTGATGGCAGGACGTATCATTCGTCTGTCGGCCCTTGGCCTCAAGGCCAAGAGTCTGACCTCGGTTTCATTAGCGTTTGCTTTGAGTTGTTTACTCAAGGATAACGGAGGCGTTGCAATTATTGGAGTTTCACATTTAGCGCGGCGCTTGTACGGCTGGCTTACTTTTTCTTTTGTTCTCTGCGCGGTTGGCGTTGTGGTTTTTCACATATCTCGGTCTCTTTGGCTGATCCTATCTACACGGTACACCTACGTCTCTATAGGTCTTCATAGCAACAATGCATTGACATCATGTCTCATATAGTGGGCTCATCAGAGCTCCGCGTCTCGGTACAATATGTTCCATCTACCTGAACATCTGTTCTCCACATTATTTCTGAATGCCTGAGAAACAAGGCCCTACAGGGCATGTGACATCACCGACTCAAACGTCTCGGCCCGACCAGCAAATCTCGGAATGAGAGTTTCCGGACCTCATGAAGCACGATGCCGACTCGAAGGAGTCGATCGGCGGCGGCATGTGTGCACTGTCGCCAGAAAAAGGTGCGCGTGATAGGCCTTGTACTATGCAAGAATTATCATCTGACCAGCCCAATAATAGTTGAAATGTGATGCCCAGAGGCCTCAGTGTGGAAGTTGCTTAGCCAAAGGCATCGATTGCCAATTAGGCCCCGTCCAAAGTAAACCAAGGTACAGTTCAAAAGTGAAAAGTGTCTACAAATACATTTTCGTATACTGACGATCTTATTCCAGACCGACCAACCACCGTATCGCGGAATTAGAGCGGGAGAATGAAATCCTCCGACAAAAATGTGCCCAGCTCCGGGGCAGCAACACCGCTACAGAGCCAGGAAATCCTATGGCTTCGGCGGGTACTCCACGGAGCCCATTGTCATTCCCAAGACTAGGAGGGGGCATTGGCCTCTCACGGAATGACTCTTCTTCTAATTCAGCCAGAGACGCATCGCATCCGGAAGTGCCAGAGAACGACCGCAGGAACACTTCTTTGTATCATGGTCCGACTAGTACAGTGTACGATGATACAAGTCCGAAGAATAGCGAGCAGCATATGCTAGGGCAGTCTAACGAAGAAGGAATTCGTCATCTCCTCTTCTCACAGACGGCGAGGCAAAGTAAGTCGAACCTCATGCAGTACTGCACTGAATTGCTAAATGGGTGAATCGCAGGACAGCTCGAGCCTCTCAATCTAGCTGCCGGAAAACTCGACTTTGACGGCATCGATCCTGAGATTGGCATGCATTTACTCTCCATATATTGGAGTCGTCAGCTCTACACCGCACAGATCATTTATCGCCCGCTTTTCATGCGGGACATGGCCTGCGAAGGGCCATACTTTTCCAAACTGCTTTTGAATGCGATATTTTTCGTTGTCTCAAAGCACTGCGACCGGCCAGAGCTTCGTTCAGACCCAAATGACATTACCACTGCGGGATGGAAGTTCCGTCAGCGATTTACGCAGCTTTTACGAGATTGCTTCGACAAAAGCGAGATCACTACCCTTCAAGCGCTGTTGATTATGTCCAATGCGCTGTTCTCCAGATGCGATGAACGAAGCCTGTCATGGCTGTATGCTGGCAATGCATTCAACATGTTCATTGATCTTGGACTGCATGTGCTTCCTGCTGCGGACAGTATTCCTGCCGAGGAGCTTGAAATTCGGAAACGGGTTCTCTGGGGTGCATATCGTGAGTTATTAGACCTCTAGTTTTGACATTGTCCCAAGCGTCAACTCTAACGTGTCGTGTAGTGATTGATAAGATCCAGTGTCTTCTCCAAGGAAGACCACCGCTTCTCAACTTGGTCAACTTGAGAGCATCACTCGACTTTCTGGATGACTACGACGAGCTTGAGCCTTTCCAAGACATTACCTATATGGCCACTAAGCCTAGAGTGGTTGTCCCGTCGTTGAATGTGTCTTTGCTTACCAAGTTATGCGAAATGTCAACGATCGTGGAACGTGTTCTTCGCGAGATCTATTCAGAATCTCGAGAATCAAATCAAGCTCAAAGAGCGAACATCTCGGAGGATATAAAGTTGCAGCTGAGAGAGTGGCGCCAAAGTTTGCCAGCTCATCTTGACTACTTATCGTTTCCAGAACAGGCGGTTCTCCTGCCTCAGTCTGCCTGTCTGTTGTATGTTGTCTATCCCGGTGCCAAGGCCGGCTTGATGATTGCTGACTATCGAAAAGAGCTCTGTTCAATGTCCTCATTATCCTCGTGCACCGTCCTTTGATAATTGGCCACGACGGCGTTATCAATTCAACGACTGCACATGAGTCAGTGAACGCATGTACAGCAGCCGCGAATCAGATTGTTCAGATACTCCATGACTATTCGCAGCACTTCTCTCTGAGTAGTGCACCGTATATGCTTTCATATGCGACCTATATCAGCGCAACCATCTACGCACGGATTGTTGCGCAAAAAGGAAGCAACTCAAACGTCTTCCAATCTTTAGTCCTTTGCCGCAATATTCTGTCGGAGCATACGCGCCTCTATTCTGCAGCAGAAAAGGCCAAGGGGAATCTGGACAAGTTAATCTCTCACCTGGAGATTAGCGCCGCGGACGATAGCCAGCGGGCTGGGGGCTTTGGGAACAGCTTTCCAAGGGAAAATGCGGTTATGGACGGCATGGAGGAGTCTAGAAGTCTTGCCAGAGATGCTGGCTTCGGGGACCGTGTGCTTGACTTTGGCTCTCCTTTGATGGATGTGGAACTGTCGGATTTGGACCTTGAGGCAATTGCTCAAGGCTTTCAGGTTGATATAGAGCCACATTCTTACTGGCATTCTTTAGGGGTATGAATATGAACAGCCCCACCCACACGGTCTGTACGAAACCCAAAAACTGCACCGTTACTTCGAAGGGACGTAGACCAGAGTGAACGTAGGATAGCTTCATTCAGGGGCATGAATATACGCAGTAAGACGGCCCTGGAAAGGAGAAACCAAAATCCGAGACTCGGATTGTGATCTTCCGAGAGGTTGAAATCTCGGCCTATCTCCGAGACGACGCGGGGCTTTTCTTCCCCCCAACGCGCAGAATGTTTGCTTCGACCGATGACTCGGGAAGTGTCAGCCGAGTCCAATCCAGTTTTATGGAAGCAAAAATGGGGTCCCCATCATATATAGTCTACTATCACCCCGCCCAATACGAGATGTCCATTCCCCCACTACCTCTACCTTAGTGGTTGCACATATAACATGGCGTGTTCCGATAAGAAGTCCTGCGAGGGCTGCTCATGTAGCAACGATGCCCAACCCCAGACAATCAATATCGAGGACTGCCTCAGCGAGCTGCAAGCCTTGCGAAGACGCAACCAGGAGTTAGAAACCCGCATGAAACTCGCCAGCGGGTCAGATAAAGCTCCGGTCCCCGTCAAGCAGCCGGGACGAACATTGCGATCATCGTTGTGGTTTGACTGTGGCAGCAATCCCGGCATGACAGCAACGTATATGGAGCGCTACTTCAACTACGGCATCACCAAGGAAGAGCTCATGTCTGGTAAGCCGATGATTGGAATTGCTCAGACGGGCTCGGATATCGCGCCTTGCAATCGCCATCATATTGAACTTTCTAAGCGTGTCCGTGAGGGTATCCGGACTGCTGGGGGTATTCCTTTCGAGTTCCCTACGCATCCTATTCAGGAGACCTCGAGGAGGCCTACTGCTACCCTTGATCGCAATCTGGCGTATCTTGGTTTGGTGGAAATCTTGACGGGTTACTTCCTTGATGGTATTGTCTTGCTTACCGGGTGTGATAAGACCACTCCGGCTTGTTTGATGGCTGCTGCTACGGTGGTGAGTGTTTGAATCCGAGCCAGATTTCCTATATCGATGCTGATATTCTAAGAACATTCCTGCTATTTGCATGAACGTGGGGCCTATGCTCAACGGTTACTCGAAGGGGGTTTTGACCGGGTCGGGTGCTGCATTGTGGCACGGGCGAGAGCTCTACGCCACGGGTGAAATTGATGAGTCTGAGTTTATGGATTATATCGCCCGAGGGTAAGCTATATAAAATCCCCCAATCCTGAATAACTCCATCTGACCAACACCGCAGAACCCCCTCAGTCGGCCACTGCAATACAATGGGAACTGCCTCAACGATGAATGCCCTGGCAGAATCCTTGGGTATGGCCCTGCCCGGGTCAGCTGCCATCCCGGCAGCCTACCGTGACAGAGCTCAATGCGCTTATGAAACAGGCAAGCGGATCGTGGAGATGGTAGAAGCAGATCGCAAGCCGTGTGATATCATGACTCGAAAAGCCTTTGAGAACGCCATCGTCGCCAACGCAGCAATCGGCGGCAGCACAAATGCTCCTATCCACATCAATGCTATCGCCCAGCATGCGGGCGTCGAGGTCTCAATGGACGATTGGGATACCACCGGATCTACTATCCCCTTGCTGTTGAACATGCAGCCCTCAGGGGAATATCTCGGCGAAGAATACTATCGTGCCGGAGGACTGCCGGCTATCATGGCCGAATTATTAGACCACGGCGTGGTGCACGGCGACGTGCTCACATGCAACGGCAAAACCATAGCCGAAAACGTCCATGGGAAGCACACATGGGATCGTCGCGTCATTAAAACATTTGAAGAACCGTTGATGAAAGATGCTGGTTTTGCTCACTTGAAGGGCAATCTCTTCGACTCTGCAATTATGAAGACCTGCGTCATCTCACCCGCTTTCCGGGAGCGATATCTCTCCAATCCTGATGATCCAGAAGCATTCGAGGGTCCAGTCATTGTGTTCGATGGGCCGGAAGACTACGAAGAACGCCTGGAGAACACGCCAGAAATCGACGAAAACACTATCCTCGTCATGCGTGGCGTCGGACCAATCGGGTATCCTGGAGCAGCGGAGGTCGTCAATATGCACCCACCAGGCCGACTTTTGAAAAAGGGCATTGATGGCCTGTTCTGCATTGGTGATGGCAGACAATCGGGAACATCGGGATCACCATCGATCTTGAATGCTAGCCCAGAAGCGGCGGCAGGGGGTAACCTTGCTATTCTGAAAGATGGGGACAGACTCCGCATTGACTTGCAGAAAAGACGGGTTGATCTTCTCATCACTGACGACGAGATCGAGCAGAGGAGGCAGGATTTGGGTATCAAGGGTTTCTCTGTTGTCCCGAGTGGTACCCCATGGCAGGAGATCTTCCGCCAGGAAACTGATCAGCTGAACAATGGCATGGTACTACGCAAGGCTGTCAAATATCAGCGGCTAGCCCAGCAGGCCCGCCGCTGCGTCACAATCACTGATAGAATGGACATAAGGAGCCTGGTCAGGATATATGAGGGTCGATTGCGTACACTTCGCTGCCCTGTCGATATGAGCGCATTGTTGCATGTCCCTCTCCTCTATCCAAGAGAAACACGTGTTTGTTGATATGAGTTATATGTAAATACTATGAATGACTTCTTCACCGAACAATATTCTATTCTTTTTGATTGTTCAATCCTAATTCTACTTCGAACAGCGATCTATGGACTCGACAAAACCCATTAAATTCTCGTCAGAAACGAGATCGGAGAATGAAACATTCGACCCGACAAAGAGACCTGAACAAGGATCTTAGAGTCCGAAAGGGTAAGTCTCGCCCTGTCCAAGTGGAGTATCGGGCTGAATGACTTCCAAAGGCTGGACAGCGTGAGACACATCAAACCAGACATAACCATCAAACTGCTTGTGAATGAAAGCCTGTGAATAATGCGAAGCGCGCTCCGTCTCCGGACGATAGATAACACCAATGAAGCGTTGAAGCCGTTGCTCATCGGCGAGAGCAGAGCGCAAAGCAGGATCGATTTTTTCCTGACGCAAGTCAATCACGAACCGCGGCACCCCAGTATCATGAGCAACAATCTCCCAACTATCATCCCGAGACGGACGAACAGCCATGACCTCCATATCATCATCCCACTCATGAGCCGCCGCAACAGTGCCAGTATGGGTTCCACACCCGAGAATAGTAACATTCTCACGACCCAGTCGCTCACGACAAAGCTGCCCGATATTCAGCTCCTTACGACGGAATCCCATACTCGTGAAGCGCGCATCTCCAACATGCGAATTATGCGCCCACACAATTGCCTTCTGGCCCTCTCTATGCTTCAATAGGCGTTCCAATGTCTCGAACATATGCATGTCACGCATATTCCACGAACTAGCCGAGCTGTAGTACATAGCCTTGTAATACTTCTCCGCATCCTTGACAAGATGAGCATTCTGCTCGCTGCTGTGGATCTCCTCACCGTTCTGTACGCTGCGATCCGCGTACTCAAGCCGTCGCGCCAGGAGATCCGATAGCATCTTCATGACGGGTGCTTCGCAGTCTTCCATGCCACGGAGCGACGCCAGACCATACGCAGTAGGATCGTCAACCCAGGGCTCCAGACACCCGTACCGCTGGCGCGCCTGCTTGCTCGCCTGTGGATCCACCCGGTCCAGGTAGTCGATCACGGCTCCGATCGAGGCGCCCATGCTGTACAGGTCGAGTCCATAGAAGCCGGCTCGCCGCTCTACTGGGAGTTTCTGGTTTCGATCGCGCATCCATTCGACTAGTTGTTGCATTTCTCGGTTCCGCCACATCCAGGTCGGGAAGCGCTTGAAGGGCTCGAAGCCTTTGGCTTTCCCGCCGATTTGGGCTTGTGGGCCGGGACGCAGACGCACGTAGCGGTCGATAGCTTCGGCGTCTGGCCAGTCGGCTTCGACGGCAACCATGGTGTAGCCATGTTGTTCGATGAGGCGCTTGGTGATCTCGGCCCGGGCAGAGTAGAATTCGGATGTTCCGTGGCTGCCGTCGCCTAGGAGGATCACCTGCTTGCCTGCGAAGGTGTCAAAGTGGGAGGCGAACTTGGGATTGTGGATTTCAGGCAGAGGCTGCACTGCTGCGTTGAAGAGTCCTTGTAGTTGAGACATCTTTGTCGTCCGAAATAGTGAAGCCAAGCGCATGGATGTTCGGGTTGTGCCGTTGTGGTTGGGGATAACTTCACAAAGATTATCGCCCCCAGAGCAGTATTTTGAGTACTGAGGCGCCGCCACAGCGGTCTTATTTACTCTTCATCGACACAATTGCTCTCAATCTCACAGGAGGTGTTCCTAGCGAATTATTCGCATTCTCGCCACTAAACAATCATGATGACTTCATACTGAAAGGCAAACCACAAACATCCGATCCCAACGGTATTCGACTATTTGAGATGTAGGCGAGAAAACAATATGCATCTTTTGTTTAGACAAACGCCTAGACAAATATTCATTCATACTGGCCACTGTTCCCCAAAAATGGCGCTCCCGATCAGCAGCCCATCACCGCGCCTGGATCGCTTTGGACAGGCCATGGAATCCCTTTACGGGAGCTTCAGCAGCATCGAGAACCCAGAGGATTGGGTTCCGCCGCCAAGAGCAGGCGGTCATAAGGGGCGGTACCTATGGACAGACGCGTTCGGGGTTATCAACCTCCTGACCATGCACAACGAGTACAAAAAAACTGGCAGTGACACAATCGGCGATGATCGCTACCTAGTACTGGCCAGCCGTCTGATCCAGACCGTCCATGACATCCTGGGTAGACAGCGAGACGGCCGCTCAAGACTGCCGAATGCCACAGATGAGAACCCGCTAGCCGGTGGTTTGAGAATCGGCAAGACAGATGCCCGCGGGCCGGATGCCGACGGGCAATATCACCATTACCTGACGATATGGATGTTTGCCTTGAACCGGATGACTAGAGCATCTGGGGATATGAGGTACAACCGGCTAGCCGTCCAGCTGGCCAAAGCGATCCACCCGCGATTCTTCGTTGATCGCGCAGCAGCTCGGCCGAGAATGATATGGAAAATGAACATTGATCTCTCGGAGCCGATGGTCAAATCAGAGGGCAATCTCGACCCGCTTGATGGCTTTGTTATTTTCCGACTTCTGCAGGCTACGGCCGTCGAGGCAGGCGATGGCCCTGTCTTGACTCAGGAGATTGACGATTACAAGCGCACGATGGAGCGGAAAGGGGAGCATTTTGTTTCCAGTGACCCCCTGGATTTGGGTATGACTTTGTGGACAGCGCACTGGTTTTCTGAGCGAGAGAAATGGGCTGCTAATCTTGCCGAGAAATGCTTCGAGCAAATGTGTTGGTTACCCCTGTGTGATGCAGAGACATAGGCGAGGCTGACCCCGGGAATGCATTTAGACAATCTCTTCGAGATCAATCGGTATTTGGAGCGCAATATCAAATTCCGACTGGCCTTCCGTGAGTTTGGTACCAGCATGGGCATTCAATGCCAATCCGAGGCGGCTGCGGAGAAAGAACGCTCTGTCGACCTTAAATGCTACTCTGATGCCATCATTGCTGCCTGGGACCCATACATGGAGCTGGCCATATCTGATGACCTGACGCCAGAGGATTTGAGGCCTATCACGCGGGTGATGTATGCGTCGGCATTGATTCCAGGTGGTAAGTCCTACTCATCTGGTCTTGCGGTAGACTGGAGACTCTAACCCACTGCTCAATTCCAGCATTTCGATCCGGATTCCTGGGCCCAGAACCGACACCACGCGAAGAATGATCATCTGGCGGGTATTGGAAGAGAATGGTGCGCTTTCAAGGTGGACATAGACAGATAATACATGAGAAGAGGTCTCTATTCGTGTGTGGCTCCAGAGCAGGAGGAAGAAGACTCGAGCACTTCTCGTGTGTCCAAAAAACAATGCAATCTATCATTAACATTTGGTATTATTCACAGGCAGTGAGAAGTACAGACAATGACATATGTCTATACTCCCGGAAGTCCGATTACTTCCCTCAATGATGGCACCCGTCTTGGAAGTATGTAAATGGCAAAGAGTGCACTTAAAGCAATGCTCAGACCAGACCACTAGAAGAAGAGTTAGACCATAAACATGAGTTGCAACTCCAAGAAACACACACCTTTTCTAACCACGTGTGGAACCAAATCGCGGTCATGAAGAGCATCCACCAACCCAACCCCACAACCCCCCAAACGAGACGGAGTGACCATGTCCTCGCACACCCACTTTCAGATGAATCGGCGACTGGAGTACCATCGGCATCACTGGCCTTGCGCTCGCGTCCAGCATCCCCGCCGAAACCACAACGAGACAAAATTGCAGGAGTGCTAGCCCCGACAGCCTCAAATGCCAAAAGCCCCGTAGCCAGAACCAGCATCAGCACATGTCCACTGATATCATGTCCACCCTCCCATGCGCCACCAGCTGCCTTGCAAGTCGCGGCTGTGAATAGCGTTTCCAGGTCTGTGGGGCTGCGCTGTCCACCGGCCATTTGGCCGACTTCCTCAAGAGCCCGTTCACATTTCCCACCCGTGGCTACAAAGCCACGGTCAATGACCGCCGGACCGAAAAACCATTGTGTTGCCAGATACCATACTGTTGTGGCGAGTGCGTAGCGGAGGACGGCTTGGAGGGTGCGTCGAAATCGGGTTTCTGCGTTCGAGGAGGACGGATGAAGTGATGAGCCGTAGAGGGGTTGGAATATGAGAAGCGAGACAAATGCAGCTGTAGTCCAGAGCCATCCGATCTTCACGAAGTAGAGGTTGAAGACATTGTCCTTGCGGGCGAAGTAGTTCACAGGGCCTTCGGATAGGTTCAGGTCTGCGGCTAGTGATGGAGCCAGCGGGCTTGCGGATGATTGTGAGGAGCTAGACGAATCTCTGGAATGATGTGCTGTCGGTGAGATGACCGAGAATATGGACCCGACTAATAGTGTTGCTGGGTATATGAGTAGAGCCGCCGTGGGGAGGGTAGCAGGGCGCGAAGTGGCTGCGGCCATGGTCGCACGGGAAATGTTCTGAGAGAGATCGGAGGAGATGGTATATTTCCTGATATTTGTAGAGAATTCAGCGAGAGAATGAAGGATGAGAAGAGAGCATATTTGGTGCAATTGAGAAGGCCAAGGCAGGAAAGTTGACGATGACCTGGACAGAATGACATCAGGGTTAGCCGATGCTGCATGAATGCCTCAGGCCACTAAAGGACGATCAACACTTCTCGCCAGTTGACAGAGTCACAGAATCATGAGATCACGATAGCGAATGTTTTATGACTGGCTCTCACCACCTACGTATATTCACATGTATGATTTATGTACATGTTGTAGCTTTTGCTTTTGAATACAATTCTCACGAAGGCGTGAACAGAATCTCTCGGAGTATTAGTGCTCCTACTACTACTCCGTAAGGTAATTTGTAAATAGACTGCATGTACGGAGTACTCAGAGGGGAGTGATGATCCAGAAGTAATGAAAGGCCACAGTGACTCCCTTATCCTCAAACTATCATACAACTGGCAGGCTGTTGAACATCACTTCTTTGGAACAAAGCGGAATGCAATGAGATTCACAGTCTTCGTGCCAACAACCTCAACATACTCGCGGAACGGCTCAAACCCAGATTTCACTAGCACCCTCTGACTAGCAGCATTTTCTGTTTCAGTAATAGCAATCAGATGCTCATCAACAACACCCTCCCCAATAACCATTCCCTTCTGAACCCTGGCCTCCCGCTCTGTCCGAGGCAAGTCCAACCAAAATTGCAACCAAGCACTCAAGAACTCCGTTGCAAAGCCTTTCCCCCAAACTTCGGTCCGAAACATATACCCAATCTCCGGCCACCCATAGCTTCCAGGATACCGGTGGCAGCCACCGATCCCGATGAGCTCACCGGTGTCCTTCAGGCAGATTGCGCAGTTGGCAGTGACGTGGTCGTTGGGTGTCAAGAATAGATCCAGATTTGATTTGGTCATCTCGAGGCTTTCGTCTATACAGCCAGCTCTGGTCCAGCGCATGACTTCTTTTTGTGTGCGCAAGACATGTAATGCGTCCAGGTCGCTTGGTTGGAGAGCGCGGAGGAGTAAGCGATCTGTTGTTATTGCTGGTCGCTCGCTATTTGCGGGCAGAGGGATTGTGGGCAGGAGTGCCTTCACAGTTACGAAGTCCTCTTCAGTGGCCATGTTCTCAATCTTGCTCTCTCAAGTTCCCCTCCAAGGAATTCGTGTGTGGTTGATGTATGCCGTAGTTGAGTGAGTCATTTTTGAACATTGAAATTCTCCTTCGTACGTGGACCCACTCACCCGACTTTTAAGCAACAAATTAATAAAAAAAGTACCAAAATGAAACGGTGGAAATGGCCCATGAGGAGGTGCAGCATAGTGCAGTGCCAAGTCCATTGTACTCCTTTGATTCAAGCGGCAGCCGACAAGATGGACGGCTGAGGATGTGAGAATGGTGTGTGTTGAAGCGAAACCCTGGTCTCCGCGACGAGGAGTAAAACGACGTTCATATTGGCTTTGTGTTTATCGTTTCTTTTGTTCGGTTTACATCTTTCAGTTCCACCGGCATCGAGGGCGATTGATCGGAAATTCGTAAAGCGAGTTTCAAACAGCCCGTTGCCCAGTGGGCTGGCGACCACTCTTCCCAACCAGCTGTTGGCAGGCCTGACAGCACTCCCACATGGCAGCATATATTTAGAGAGCGCTCATCGGGCAAATGGATACATAGGTCATCATCATGGTTGAAATGGAACATCCGAAATCTCATCGATCCGATCCCGAAATCCCGCAACCCTAAAGTACAGGACGGTTCAGCCACCACGATACTTCAACACCATCGTAGGTCAGTGTATGCCAGGTGATGCGAGAAAGAAACCAGTGTAGAAAGCGACTCTCAGGCCCAAAACGATGGCTATGCATAGTATGTAGTAACTCGAAATAGCCAACAGATGAACTAGAAGTTGAGTTATTCATCCAGTGGATACGCATCCGATCGGAAGCTGGATGATATTTCCTTATATCGGGCAACCAACTGAACATAAGAGGCGTTTCGGCTCGGAAGGCCTACTCCGTACTGTATTTCGGACTGAAAGCGACCTATCATGAGAAGCACAGATGCCCAGCCCTTCTTCTGGGGTAAGCTGGAGAAGCAGCTTCCCCACATTCTCCGACACCTTCAATCCACACCTGAACCCCAAACCTAGAGTATATAAGAGGCCACAGCGTTTGTGATCGACAGGGATCAGAGAATATAGAAAGCCCATCATGACAGGTACAATTTCCACCAAAGAGAGCCATGTGGATGTTCTTATCGTCGGTGCTGGCCCGGCTGGCCTCATGCTAGCCAACTGGCTAAGTCGCTGCGGAGTCAAGACACGTATCGTGGATAAACGTGGCACAAAGGTATTCACAATCCCCGTGCAAATACAAGTATCCAGGACAAATACTGACCTCATTACAGGTATACAACGGCCAGGCAGACGGTCTACAATGCCGCACCTTGGAGATCTTCGACTCCTTCGGGATGGCCCAGCGCGCCTGGACTGAAGCGAACCACATGCTAGAGATCTGTCTCTGGAACCCCGACGAGAATGGCAAGCTTCAGCGATCCGATCGCATTCCCGACACCATTCCTGGAATCAGTCGTTTCCAACAGGTCGTGCTTCACCAGGGTCGCATTGAGCAGTTCTTCCTCGATTCGATCAAGGCACACAGTGACATCCGCGTTGAGCGCGGTGTTCTGCCCACATCCTTCGAATTCAACGAGGCCAAGGCCGCCGATTTTGAGGACTACCCGATCAGTGTTATGCTCCGCACCTTGTCCGAGGAAGACGCCACCCCCCAACAACGGCAGCAGCACCAGAAACTGGCCGACGGTCAGCAGAAGGTAGTCGACGACGGACTGTTTCGGAGCAACTTGGTCGCCGATGATACCGACGACCTCATTCGGGCGGCAGAGGCCTCCAGTCGGAACGCCAATGAAGTGGAGCTTGTCAAGGCAAAATTCATGGTTGGTTGCGACGGCGCTCACTCTTGGGTGCGCCGCCAGGCAGGCTTTAGCCTGGAAGGAGACTCAACGGATTATATCTGGGGTGTGCTCGACATTATCCCCATCACGGACTTCCCTGATATTCGCCACCGATGCGCGATCCACTCTGCAAATGATGGCAGCGTGATGGTTATCCCCCGTGAGAATAAGCTTGTGCGACTGTACATCCAGCTCCAGACGACAAATTATCAGAAGAACGGCGCCAAAGCTGACCGCTCCTGGATTACCCCGGAGATCATCTTGAAATCCGCCCAGCGCATCTTGCACCCATATAAGCTCGATTACGCATACTGCGACTGGTGGACGGCGTATCAGATCGGCCAGCGCGTAGGTAACCACTTCTCGCTGCATGATCGTGTCTTCCTGGCTGGCGATGCTGTTCACACCCACTCTCCCAAGGCTGGACAGGGTATGAACGTTAGTATGCAAGATAGTAAGTTTCCGAAATTCTTGCATCAACGAATCAAATGCTAACGTGTCAATAGCATATAACTTGGGATGGAAGCTCGCACATGTGATCAACGGCATCAGTGACCCATCAATTCTGAAAACCTACGAATCTGAGAGAAAGACGATTGCACAGCAGCTGATCGCATTTGATCAGCGCTTCTCAAGACTTTTCTCCGGACGCCCGGCCAAGGATGTCATGGATGAGGAGGGAGTCAGCATGGAAGAGTTCAAGAGGGCATTCGAAAAGGGAAACGAGTTTGCGAGCGGAACCGGTATGAGTCTCCCATTTCCCAACCCAACGAGTAATTACCACTAACTTCCGCATTCCAGCTGTCAACTATGATGCAAGTGTTCTTGTTGCAAAGGAAAAGAGTGCCACAGAAGGAACCAACGGCACGCAGCAGATCGTCAGAAAGCCACAGCTGGCTACCAAGCTCGACGTCGGCAAACGCATTCCCAGCTTCAAGGTCTTGAACCACGCCGATGCACGTCCATGGCATCTGCAAGAATTACTGAAGAGTAACGGACGCTGGAGAGTGATCGTTTTCCCCGGAACACTCACCGAGTCCAGCAATATGCAGCGCTTCGAAAATCTAGGTGCAGCTTTGGACGCGCCTGACTCGTTCATTCGCCAATTCACACCACCTGGCAAGCCTATTGACAGTGTGATCGAGGTTCTGACTGTTCACTCCGGTCACCGAAGAGACATCGAGCTGCTCGATCTTCCGGAGGCATTCCATCCCAACCACGGTCACGAGGGATGGGACTATTGGAAGGTGTTTGTCGACGAGGACTCCTACCATGAAGGCCATGGACATGCTTATGATAACTATGGCATTGACCCAAGCCGTGGTGCCAGTGTCATCGTTCGTCCTGATCAGTATATCAGCTGGATAGGAGAGGTGGATGACTATGAGCAGATGTCACAGTTCTTTGCTGGATTTATGAAACAGCAGGTGGCTGGAAAAACAACTCAGGGCCTATGATGCTAGCTACTGTTGTATTGAAATTTTTGATACTCAGTTTAATGCATTTGGTTCCTGGATATGAACCTGGAAGATACTCGGGACTTGTGAAGCTTGCTCACCATGTACGAGAACTGACTGTTTATCTACGGTGCTTAAGAAACTAGAAAGTCCTTTCCTCCATAACTATTCGTTGCCATGTGTATTCGGTCTTCGCTCCGGTGAGATAAAGTGGTAGGCAATCGTGAATGACTGATTTACTATATGCCTAGGTGAGAAGTGGAATGGATGGTGTGCATAGACGACACCCGTATGCCTTTAGAGACATGGCTCAACTAGCTAACCTTGCAAGCGACCGATTCATCAGCTGGCCCTAGCTGTGGGCTCTAGCTGTGTAGTTGTATTGACACAAAAAAAGAGCTTGTGAATGTCAGGTTGGACATCAAAAATGCAAAAAGAAACTCCGATGGGGGGATTCGAACCCCCGTTAGTGCTGTGAAAGAGCACAGTGATAACCCCTACACTACATCGGATTGTTGTGTAAAATTTTGTCCTTAATGTTTTGATGAGGTCAAAAAATAGGAAACATGACGCTGTCTAACAAACATGAAGCTAACTGGGTGAGAGGGCGGGTAAACAAGGCAATAGGTTTCGGTTACTGGGTCGGCGAGGAGTTGAACCCTCCCAAGATTGGAGATCAAGCTGCCGAGCGGCGCCAACTACTCCGTACGCGATTCCGTCTAAGTCTTACCTAGGGACCATCATGACAACGCAATTCCAAGTGATACACTCTAGGGTTGCTTCCCTCTCTCGATAGGCTGAATAGATAAACATCTGATTTATATGGAAAGGCCAGGTGCATCGGTCCTAATGACGCCTGGAACTTTGATAGCGAATATACACTTCACGCAGTAGAAAATACAAAATTACTGCTGGGTTGGTACATCCAAGGTGGGAAAATAATGAGTTTCGTGTTGCATTTGAGCGATGATTCCGTGATCATGATGGGCTTCCTACTAATTGGCCATCAGGCCATACCATAACTCACGACCAGTAGGCTCTACCCACCAATCGTTTATTGTCGTCTCCAACCGATAATGCAGATGGAAGCTTGGAAATGCGCGATTGTTACGTGTAGTAGAGGAGTGTGAAAAAACGGAGTGTAACAAAATGCAAAAAGATACTCCGATGGGGGGATTCGAACCCCCGTTAGTGCTGTGAAAGAGCACAGTGATAACCCCTACACTACATCGGACTTGTTGAAAAATTTACCACTTTTATGCCATATAACGACCGAAATGACTGCTCAGATACATCATCTGGTCAGAATAAAGCTGTCCTCCTGATATATCATACAGCACTAACATTTTAGCATTTGGGGTTTTTCTCATAAGCAAGAATGTGGCCGTTGACACACCGCCTGACTGTCGAATCGCCGGTCCCATCGTCCAATGGACGGCAAGCCGCAACTTACACTTGTCCCGACGTTCATATCTCTCAATATGCTGTAGGTACCTAGGAACAGTGCTGTACAGTGTAGGTGAGACGGCTTCCAGAGCTGATGCTGCTAAGTGCTTACACAGCTAAGTTAGGAAGAGCAGTCCGAGAGAGTACCTAGTATCGGGTGGCTTGCCGGTTATCTCCGTCTTATTGCGGTTCAAGCTTCCGAAGCGACGGGACCGTTCTATTGTACCCTGGGCATGGGGCTGAGAGTTTGACGGACCTACTTGCCTAATTGAATCTGCAATGGGGTTCAACGAGAAGAATGGCGAAGATAACCGATGGAGAATATATATTCTCCCCTACCTGGGCGTGAACCGCCCGTCGTATTGCCAAATCTCCAAAACATCCAACCTAAAGACTATAATCCACGCCCTCCAACTCGCTTCAGACCTCATCAGTTCGCTCCATATCATGGCACGGATTACCATCGTTGGGTCAGGGTAAGACCACCTCTGATCGACCGCCCGGGGTATCCCAGTAGACGAAAACATGTTTAACACGGATACATCCGCAGCATCATCGGCCTAGCTATAGCAGCGCAGCTTTCGCGACACCACGAGATCACTATCATCGCAAGAAATATCCCTGGCGACGACCCTTCAATTGAATGGGCTAGTCCATGGGCCGGCGCTAGCTTCGTTGCGGGCTATTGCTCTGAACCTCGCGAGCGGATGATGCAACGTGATGCCTTCCGTGAACTATGGAGAATAGCGAACAGTTTCCCGGAATCTAGCGTGAAGAAGATTCCGATGGAGAAGTTCTTCGATGAAGAGAGGACTGCCGACGATCTATGGTTTAGCGACTATGTGCCAAACGTACCTCACCTCATTCCTATCTGGTAATTGGTAGACCAAGCTGACTGAGTCTGTAGTTTCGCTTCCTACCGAAAGATCAGCTTCCAAGAGGAGCGAAAGTTGGAATAACATGTATGCCCATGTCCTCTTGATTGGACGATCAACACACTGACAAACATTACTGTGTAGATACGACAGTTGTCCTCAACCCGAATATTTTCCTCCCTTGGCTGAAGCAGAAACTCGAAAATTCGGGCGTGAAGTTCAAGCGCATGAATCTAGGATCTCTGGCAGACGCGAGCCACCTGGGCCATGACGTTCTCATTAATGCGACAGGAGCTGGTCCGAAATACCTCGACGACGTCAAAGACGAGACTATGGAGTTGCTCAAGGGACAGGTTATGGTCGTAAAGAGCGATTACCAGAAACATCTCATGCGCGATAATGGAAAGGACTATACCTATGTCATACCTCGCCTTGATGGTACGGTTATTCTTGGAGGCATCAGAGATCCGGATGTGCTGTAAGTCGAAGCAGTTCTATACTTCACAGACTCTGCCACTAACAACAATCTGAATAAATAGTAATACGGCGGTGGATATCGAGGTCGACAAAGATGTGAGTTACGCGAATCCCCATCCACCAAACACAGAAGACTAACACCGCCCAGATCGTGCGGAGAGTTAGCCAATATCTTCCTGGAGGCTTCTCTGGAGATCTGTCTAGTTATGACCTCGTGGGTCACAACATAGGCATTCGACCGTACCGGTCTTCCGGGATGCGCATTGAGAAGGAAGTCAAAGGTGGTCAGCACATCGTCCATGCGTATGGTAAGTCGGGCCGTGAATATAGTGCTACTGGGACTCTCACAGACTGATGACTTCTAGGTATTAATGGAGGGGGTTATATCTTTGGGTTTGGAGTAGCACGAGAGGCGGCCAAACTGGTCGATGAGTTCTTGTTCCCTAGCGGGAAAGCTCACCTTTAGTTTATAACCGTTCTGCATATTTGAAACGGCGAGGATGCTGTACCTAGAAGCATACATCAATGTGACCAGTAGCCAAGATACGGAGTAGAGGCAATTTGCAAGAGATTGAAGTATAAACCGGGTAAGAATGATCGTATGATGGACAAATTCAGTGGCTTTGTCATGACTTTGCGCATACCTATGAGTTGGCAGATCCTACATTTACGCACTGATATGAAGAAGATTATCTTGCCAAAGTATCTGTGTGTATCAAGCAATATCAAGCAATGGGATCGAACTATCACATCTCTTCCGTTAGCAATCTGGGTACGCACACGGTGACCACACCGACAAGGATGACAAGTGGTAGTAGGCTTCATGGGTGAATCTGATGGCGACTAATCGGAGACTTCGAGGGGAATCCCAGATGAGCGAGACGCCGAGTCGCCGACATGATCAAGGGAGTGGGAACAAACTGAGTTCGACATTTCATTTTCCCAATGTTCACATTCAATCTTCCCGTCCTGATCGGCGCAACAAATCATGGCGGAGTCCGATCCTTCGGCCAACGGGCGGAAGGCCGCTTGTCTCCCACTCGAAGTGACGAAGTCTCGGTCGGAGGATTGTTCGAGGGTGGAAGAAGTACTGTGCATGATGCGATGCAGAACAGACGCTAAGTGCCCATCGCGCACACGTGCATCCACGTGATGCGCCTTCGCAAGCCTGAGTTCTAGAATCCTACGGGCTACGGCCATCTGCATCCCGGTATGCTGTACGGGATGCTGTACGGAGGCGAGCCATGCCATGGTGAATAGTCCCGAGGTCCTGCAGATAACTTATGACGGCGTAGAAAGTGGCTTCTTGCATACGCAATCTGAATCACATTCTCATCCTGAAAACATTCAGGATTGGGCCGGCACGACTATCATTACGGTGAGTGGATAGTCTTTGTTCCTCCCCCCTCTTTGTAGTGGCGAACAACCAGACTGTCGGGACCGACAGTGTTACAGCGATAACTGAGTGACTAGCAGCGAGTTTGAGCAATTGGGCTCTCCCCGTGTGTACGGAGCACTTCATCCACTCCAACAAGGTGAAAGTACTCGGGATTGATGTCAATGGCTTGCGCTTTTATGTGGCCCTTCGGTCGGACCAGGTTTGATTTTGGTTTTGCGTCCTTTGAGCTTCTGAATCTTCGGCTAACTTGAGTTTGTAGGGAATAGGGTATAGGACCATGAAGGGAAAATAGGAAATCAAGTCAACCACCCGTGCTTAGACGCCGCATTTAATCTTGAAACCCCTCGGACTTCCCGTTTCCACTGCATGTCTTGATTGGCCCCCAAAACGGCCCCCTTCTGATGTGGGTCAGGGTGTGATCCACAGGTTTACCGCTTCTGTTAGTATCCATAAAAGCCGTTATATCGCCGGGATCTAAACAAATAGGGTATCGTCCTCCACTAAAAGGAGCACTATTTGCGCCGCGCAACGATGGCCACGTTGTATCCCTGGACCCGACAATCCGGAACGCTAAAAGCTCGAAGATAGAGGGGTCAGATGGATCATAAGGGGGTCAGAAGACGGTGTGAATACTTTTCGCACTTTTCGCTTTGTCTTCTTCTGCCAGTCTTGAAACCCCCTTGACAGCGGCGTGTTTAGGGCTGTAGATCACAACTGTACGATAATGCCACCCAGCTCGAACCCCGGTTCAGTTCCCATCGAGCCTGATGATGTGAGTAACTCATGAGAGTAAGGTTTCTTGATCGTTCATTCAACTAAACCTCTCATAGGCCTCTGATGCGGAATCAAGATACGCCGAGTCGTGCGTTCAAATGACTGCTGATGATATGTACATGACTGACCATTTGGAAGTGATGCCAGTTACACCACAAGTGTGACGTCGAGCGCATTGAATTACCAGTATGTTAATGCGACTTGAATTTCATGCAATGGCTGCTGACAATTACAGATACGAAGTGCGTTGCAATGTCAATTGATAGCCATCCCTAGACTCTGTGCTGATTTGACATAGAACGGTCGCAGATATCATTCATATCATGAAGGAGAATACATTCTGGTGTGTGAACCTACAATCTCTGATTCCAATCCGAAACTAATTTTCAAGCCAAATGATGAACAAGAGCAAGACCGCCTCGATTTGGTCAGTCCGGGCAGTTTGATTACGACTAAACCATTTATTAATGAGTGACAGAGTCATCACATTTATCTCATGCTTCTTAAAGGAGAATTGTATTCAGCACCCATCAAAGACCCGAAGAGAGTACTGGACCTCGGGACAGGGACAGGTCTATGGGCAATTGAATACGCCGAGTAAGTTCTCTTCTGAGCTATGCTTTCCCCTACAATCAGCCACTGACAAGCAATCTAGTTTGAATCCAAAATCACAAGTGATCGGTATGGACATACATCCACCACTCAATTAGACCACTGGCTCACCCAAACAGGAATTGACCTAAGCGCCATCCAGCCCTCATGGTGAGCACAAGTTCCATTTTCTTTCAACCCCAGTTTTAACAGTACTAATACACCCAGGGTTCCTCCAAACTGCCGCTTCGAAATCGACGACTTCGAACAGCCATGGTCATACAGCAAACCATTTGACTATATCCACGGCCGCGAGCTGGAAGGATCAATCCGAGACCACGACCGTCTCTTCCAGCAAGCACTCGAAAACCTGAACCCAAACGGCTGGTTCGAACTCGCCACCATAGATGTTACCACACACTCGGACGATGGCACTCACCTCCGGGCGACGAACTTTCTTCTAGCCATCAAGCACATGCACGAATCATCACGAATCTTCGGTAAAGACATGACGTCCTCGCCGTCATGGAAAGCACGGATGGAGAAGGCCGGGTTTGCCAATGTCAGAGAAGATACTTACAAGGTATGTTTTGCTACACCCCCAATTCTCGATAGGGTTGGGGGAAAAAGCGAACCTCCATACTGATTGTTGCCCAGCTGCCCCAAAGCCCATGGCCCAAGGACCCCAAACTCAAGGAACTTGGCCGATACCATCAGATCAACATGCTCGAGGCTATGCCTACGTACACATATGCGCTCTTCACGCGAATGCTTGGCTGGACGCGCGCTGAGATCGAGGGACTGTTGGCGGGGATTCGGAAAGAGTTGCGGGATACTTCACACCATGTGTATACCAAATTGCGTGTTGTTTACGGTCAGAAACCTGGGGTGGAGGTGGAGGCTAAGCCGACGTGATTTGGGACTAGTATGTTGTGTGTACAAACAAACCTGTAAGAGCTTCTATTTCACCTACGCACCCAGTCTAGATGGCTTGTGTTCCCTTGTGCTATTTCTATATTTAGAGTTAAGGTTAATGCCAGTGCTCAGTGGGACGAGATCGGGACGTTATCGTGCTGCATCTCCACTTCTGGTGCCTGGGCCCTGAGGACCGGGGAACATCGTTCTCGGGCATTGTAGGACAGAAATTTTAGGATTCGGGATTTGGGATTTGATTGATGGATCTTTTCTACGGGCAGGCTCGTAGAGAACGTAGTTGCAGGTGAGTCATTATTGGGCTGGACCTCGGATTGTATCATAAATCATAATCACTACCTTATCATTTCATCATATTCTCATCTACTCAGTATGAAGTAATCATTTTCTTTAAGTTCGCCGTCTTCCCGAGGTCCTGAAAGTACTAATTGCCACCTGGGCAGGCTAGTGCTGTTAACCAGACAAAAAACAACAAAGAAACTCGGAACATCCATAGAGTGAAATAACGTCAGCCCTGGATCCATGGTTCTCTTCCCATACATCTTTCCTTTACACTTCCACCGGATGGGATTACTTATGTTCGAATGTTCGAAATATAGATATGTCAACACGAAGGTGAGTATGCATTGTACTATTATACATTATAATGAAGTATGAGGTATCAAGCAGTAAAGCAGAAGGTATGTGTAACATCTGTAGAAATGGCCATTTCTCGGTGTTTGAGGGGATCCGCCAGTAAGATGTGCCGCTCGAGCATGAGAAACATCATGTTGCAGAATAGTCATTGTCCTGGTTGTTTGAAATGGACGCCAATTTTTTTAAAGGTTTCGTAGGTCGCGTGAGGAGATAGTATCTTGGGCAGGAGTCCAAAGTGATTGTGTTGTAAGAAGATGGCATATAACGCTTGGCGATGATGAATGCAAATGCTGCATGGCTCTTCGATAAATCTCTTGACATGGTTGAGTTCCTTTATATGGCATTAGCAACCCCGATGAAGATGTGGCAAACGTAATAAACTCACGGTCGTCAAGCTTAACACTGGTCCCGTCCCTGGCCAGAGTACCGGCCAGGCGTGAAGGTGTATTCATCTTCCCAACTTTCTTTGGCGGCCATAAGAGGTCCCCACTTCTTCTGAATCTCTCTCCAACGCTTCTTCAAGCGCTGGACAGGTGTAAGATGTGACTCATCGGCCTTGAGATCCTCGACGGAGGAAGCCTGTGAATTGCTCATGTTCGGGGTAGAATATCCTGAACCGACGTGGTCAGACATGGTGAATGATAATAGAAGATGATTTTCAATTCCTTGTCTGGTTATCAGCGAATTTGCACGGCGATCCAGCAGACTTTATAAGTGCTGGTAGGACCCCGGGGTGATATGTCATCAACTCTACGCAGTTGAATAAACGTAGACCGACCCTTCCCGAGGTCCCACCGAGTTATCCCCGCCGAGAAATCCCCGACTTACATCAGGGTTTTATCAGCCCTGCATACATTCCACGAGGAGGCTTTTTCCCCTATCGATTTAGTGCTTTGTCAATCTTTGTTTCCGTGATTGACTCATAATGTATCGGCGAAAATCGGGGCTACATCCATTATCCACTGTTAGCCCTTTAGCGTATTTGGTGCCTAGAACCTTGTTTTTACTTCGAAGTTCGAGATGCCTCCTCTTCCTTTCTAAGGGGCAATGAATTCGCTATTGCCTTTCGAGAGTTAGTGCAGAAGCCATCGAAATCTTGATCAAGAAGTCGTAAAAACGCAGATTATTGTGAAGAAAGACATGGAAATAGCAAGGAAAGGGGAAGGGGGAGAGGTAAAATTTCCCCTTATCCAGCTATACAAGTGGGGCCATGGGCCCTTGGGCGATTCAGGCCTGGGACATCACTCAAAGGTCACAAAATGATAGCAACGTTCCGTCAGTCCCTCGTGGAGCTAGCGGCGAGCTACAACATAGCGATTCTTATCTGAGCTTGCACCAATTCCTATGTCAAATGAATTCCAGACAAAGAACGCAGGGGCATCTCGTAGACAAGCTGTATGGTGGCGCATTTGCAGCTCAGCCCCCAAGCGCTATTATCTCTTTGTTCATATTTTCATTTGAGATCCGTCGAGTGGCGAGACACTTAGCTTGTCATATCCGAGGTCAGGTATGTTGTATGTAATCGTACTACTGTAGGGATATGAGTTAACCTGTCATGAGATTCATGATTATTCACTTCGTCGCTTTCCGAAATACTATCAAAGTCCGAGGACCAAAAAGCTTGATAAGCGAGATTGGCGTTTTGCTGTCTTGTTCCTTCCTTCGAGATTTCCCAAACAAGCAAAACAAACAAAGCAAACGAAAGCAAAATCTTATGACATCATACCTACCTCCAGGTCCATGTGCCTATCAACGCCGCTCAACTAGTGCTCTAACACCGGGAAGCGGTCAGAGTGTCGTAGCACAATTAGATAGTAAAGGTCGTGTCGTTGAACTGTTTCCTACCTCCCACCGCGATGGGGCTCCTTGGATGGTGCACCTTTCGTCCAATAAGGAGTCATACAGTCCATCCTCCGTCGGTCCGTCCCCACCGGGGCCTCCAGTCTCCACCACCCGGAGTCCCTCAATTGAGCCGCGGGCGCAAGGGCCCGCGGACTTTGCCGCGGATTAAGGTCGAGATTTAATTTGATAAAGACCGTCGCTCTTAAGGTGTTTCTAGTCCTTGAGTTGAGCGATATTTGACTCGCGATCAAAGGAATCACAAGGTGCCTCAAGATCTACCATCATGAAAAGCGAATCCATTGTAATCATCGGGTAAGGGAGATCCGAACACTCAACTATTGCCTCGAATCGCCCATATTTACCTCTTCTCTTCAAGTGCCGGTGTAATCGGACTGAAAGTAGCCCTCGTGCTTGCTGAAAAGGGCTACGGCCATTACACAACTATCATTGCAGAGCATCTTCCGGGAGACACTTCAATAAATTACACTTCGCCATGGTTCGTTGGACCTCCCGTTACCGCTTCAATCACAGTTGAATTGATCAGATCCCAGGGCTGGAGCCAATTTCTCTGCTCTATCAGCCAGTGATGAGAATGCACTACGATGGGACAAGTTTGGGTACAAGTATCTTCTCGATCTTGCAGCCAAGGATGGCAAGAATGCCTTCGTGAAAGAAACGGCTTCAATCGAATACTGGGATGAGCTACCATCGCGAGCGAAGATTGACTCCATGGCTGAGTATCTCAAGGACGTGAGTCATGCGTCAGGCTTATAACTATAAGTTTCATAATCTTGTTCATGGATATTGACACTTCATAGTTTAGAGAGATCCCTACACAGGATTTGCCGGTTGGCGTTGCCTTTGGGGTGAAATTCACGACGATCACGGTTAACGCACCGACGCATATTCGCTATCTATTGAAGAAACTCACACAGAAATATGGAGTGCACGTTACTCGCAAGAGGGTCTCTCATGTCTCGTACGGCTATCTCAGCAGGGATACGAAGATTGTGTTCAATTGCACTGGAAATGCAGCGAGGGAGTTGCAGGGAGTCCAAGACTCGAAGTGCTTTCCCACTAGAGGGCAAATTCTCCTTGTGAAAGCATCTCAAGTTCAGCAAAATGTCATGAGACATGGGAAGGACTATGAGACTTATATCATTCCTCGGCCGTACTCGAATGGAAATGTGGTCTTGGGTGGGTATATGCAAAAGGGCGTTGGGTAAGTGAAATCTTGTCAGAACAGCCATGGTCTCCCATTACTATTTCCGGTAATGCATAAGACAAGTGCTAACCCATTCACCAGAACATCAGATACATTCGGAGAAGAGACAGAATCGATATTGTCACGGACAAAGGCACTGCTCCCTGTCCTGGATTCCGACAGGACTGAGATACTGAGTGCATTCGCCGGTCTACGCCCTTCTCGGGAGGGAGGCGCTCGTGTTGCCAGACAACATGTGCAAGTAGGCGCTACAGGACGACCGGGTATCCTCGTCCACAACTATGGCGCTGGTGGGACTGGTTTCCAGGCTGGTTACGGAATGGCAGTTGAAGCTGTCGATACTGTGGAAGAGGAGATCAAAGCACTTGGTATTCAGTCTCAACCGCGTCTTTGAATACAATTATAGAATTTTAATGTCATCATTCGTGGGTCTCTTTTCCGTCCTTACATCTTTTTGATCCATCCGAGCATCATGCTCCCCATCCCATTGCGTCACGATAATTCTCGGCACAGCTTTCTCGACTGTCGCAGGCGTAGAGGGAACCTCAAAGACAGAAACTATTTGCGTCTCACTCGAAATTTCCGAAATCACTGGAGTACCCGACGGAACTGCTGACCCCGAGGTCACTTTCAAAGCATGGAGGTGGCCAAGAACCGTCTCCACTCTGCTATGACAAAGAAGCATCCAGGATTCCTTCTTCGAGGCATGGTTGTAGTGGTCACGATTCCAGCCGTTGCAATTAGACTGCTTGACCCAAAAAGGCTTCAATAAGACCGACAAATCATCGGCAGCATTTTCCGCATCAGCGATGGTCGAGCTGATCCATTCATCCTCAATCTCGCCCAGCGATGCTATTTTTTCGTTCCGTAGCTGTTTTGTCTGTGCGACCAGTGACATGACCGGAACAATGGCATTGTAGAATCCTCTAATCTGCTGCTCTGGCGATAGATGGGATTGAGTGGTGATTGACTTCGGGCCCGAGGACGACTCCGTCTTGGTGTTTGAAGATGTGCGTGAGTAAAATCGTGGTGGTGATGGTGCTGAAGATGGATTCTGATCTAGTGCGTGTTCATCGGAGTCTTCGAGGCGAGCGACCCGGTGTAATTTATCCGTTTGGTTCCATTTCGAGACCGCTCGGAACGGCATTCCTTTAGTGGACTGCTGGCATCGGTCTTTTGAGACGTTCCGCATATCCATTGTCGATTTAGTGTGATGCCTTGAATTATACCAGCCTGTTGAACGGCCGACTAGGTCTTTTGTTGATCGGCGCCATTTTCCTGCTGATTGTTTCCATTGGGCTTTTGGGTAATTTTCAAGGTCGGTAGATGTCATTTTTGGGATTCAAACGATACGAGTTCGTGGATGGAGAGAGGTTGGTCCTCCAAGGTCGAACTAGTTGGGATGTTTCGCTAAAATGTAATGTGAATGTGTCAAAAACGTGGAATCGGTGGGCGATACGCAGTATATAAGTTCGATATGACAGAATCAACAAAGACTTCTCAAGTTGTTCCATGATCATGGCGATGTTCCATGGCTGTGAGATGCCTTAGCTTGTCTGATTGGTCAGATGCCTTCTATATTTGGGAGTGGAAATGGGGGCGACTTTGCCTCCCTCGTATTGGGCTGTGCAATTGTCAGGCTTCCATATATTGGCTGTGAAATTGGTGAAGTCGACATATTAGAGCCTTGCAAGGATATTGTCGAGGTCTGCGCCTCCGCCTACCCTCTACCAAATCCCAAGGCTTACTACGCCATGATATCAGCACAGATTCTCAGATAGGGCTGTCTATCGACAATGCTCTGTGTCGCAGTCCACCTTTGGTGCTTACCGAGGGTTTTATCCACAGTCTCGATGGTAACCACGTTCTTCACGGTGCATCAGTTACAAAGGCCTATGCTGCCAACTGTGTACCTGTCTGTCTTCACCGTTTTTCCAGGCAGCAGCGAATGTGTCACTTGGTTACGTTTCCGGGACTCAATGGCGCTGGACTATGCAGTCGATGGGCCATGGCCCATCTTAATTGAGCGGATTTGGGCAAACCTATCCTTGGGAGTATGGCAGTGAATCAGTGATAATGGAATGATGGTGATGAAATTCATCTATATGTCCACGGGTATGAGGGGCATAGCCCCCTCACACGTGATGTGGCCATGCATGCGCGATTGATGGAAATATCAACAGACTTGGTTTTGAGTTATTTCCCCGGCCCTGGGGGTTGTACCTCGGGAATAGTCTCAAAGTAGTCCAGAAGAAGCTCAACTCCGGCGGAGATCATAGATGTGTCCGGAATATCTTGTATGCCAAGACACAGATATCAGACAAGAACGAGCTATAAAAGCAGCATTATACAGATATCAATTGAAGCAAACTACCATCCAAATCAATTGAAATCAGAACCATGAGATTCCCACACATCCTTTCCTTAGCAGCAACCGTCGCTGCAGCGACACTCCCACTCACAGATATAACAATCTTCACACCACCATCAGACTACACCATTCCTCGAACCCTCTACCCCCGCAATGCCGAACTCCCAAACGGCGATCTACTCACAACATGGGAAAACTACTCCCCAGAACCACCTCAAGTCTACTTCCCCATCTACCGCTCCCAAGACCACGGCAAGACCTGGGAGGAGATCTCCCGCGTTCAAGACACAGCTAATGGATACGGACTGCGCTACCAGCCGTTCCTCTACTACTTGCCCGAGAGCATTGGCTCATTCGAGGAAGGGACTCTGCTGTTAGCGGGTAGTAGTATCCCGACTGATCTGTCTTCAACGAATATCGACCTATATGCTTCGCAGGATGATGGGCTGAGTTGGGAATTCGTTAGCCATATTGCTGCGGGTGGAGAGGCGCAGCCGGTTAATGGGTTGACGCCTGTGTGGGAGCCATTTTTGCTTGCATAGTATGTTTTTTTCTCTCTCTTTTTCAGGTTTATACGAGTTAAATCGAGTTGCTAATATGACTTGTAGTGAGGGCAAGCTGATCTGCTATTACTCCGATCAAAGAGATAATGCCACATACGGACAGACAATGGTGCACCAAGTCTCGACCGATCTGAAGAATTGGGGACCGGTTGTAGAAGATGTCACTTACCCGACATACACTGATCGACCCGGGATGCCAGTTATCGCCGAGGTAAGCTGAGACGAACGCAACGATTCAATTGCGGATAGATTCATACTACACCCAGCAAAAAAAATACATCTACTGACTTGATCCAGCTCCCTAACGGGAAATTCTTCTACATCTACGAATACGGCTCTTTCTTCGGCACATCAGACTACTCCTTCCCGCTGTACTACCGTATATCCTCCGATCCCGAGGATATCGCCTCGGCACCCGGCCAGCGCCTGGTAGTCTCCAGTGGCACGCAGCCTACATCCTCGCCGTACGCTGTGTGGACACCATATGGCGGTGATAATGGCACTATCATCGTCAGTTCTGGGACACAGAGCACTTTATTCATCAATAAGGCTCTTGGAGACGGGGAGTGGACGGAGATCGCTTGTCCTGAGGAACATGGCTATACACGGTCTTTGCGCGTGCTGTCAGAGGATGGAGGGAGGTATCTCCTAGTGCATTCTGCTGGTGTGCTGTCTGGGACGAGTAATCGGGTCTCCGTGAGCGTGATGGATTTGAGTGAGGTACTGTGATGTACAAGTGTACAAGTCCTTTCACCAACTGGCAACCATATACTGTCCATGGCCCGTTCAAGTTACCGTCCCTAAGTCTGTATACTAGCCCGCTCCTGCGAAGCCCACAACGGGTAGAGCTGCAACGGATCACGAGGTTGATGGCACAAATATTATGCGGTTGATAGGATACTTGAAGTAAAAAGGGTCCATTAACTATACTAGCCATAGGACTATGATTGAAAGGAATTATGTGCAAAAGAAAGAAATGCCGCCTGTACAACTGAAGGAAATGACTGATCCTCCTGCCTCATTTTAAGAATAAAAGAGAACAATTAGTGAGCCTTGGGCAGATCGGCCGAGAGAGGCAGCTTGCGGGAGGAGTTACCCACGTACACCTTCTTCTGGGCGTTGGAGACAACCCAGTTCTGAGAGGCAACATCCCAGTTGGAGACGTCGCGGCGGTTCAGAGTGGTGGTCCACTGGACAGACTCTCCAGGGGCGACGGTGACTCGGTCAAACTGGCGAAGGACCTTGACGGGGTCGTCCTTGCCACCGAGAGAGACATAAAGTTGGGGGACCTCGTCACCGGCCACGGAACCAGTGTTGGTGATAGTAGCGGTCACTTGGTAGAGGTCCTCAAAGAGACCAGGGTTGCCACCAGAGGGGCCACTAGCAGGAAGAAGCTTCTGCGCGGATCCATCGCTGGAGCCCTTGGGAAGATACTTCTTGGAGTGCATGCCGTATTCCGGATCGCCGGATGAGGCGCGCAGATCAGTAGAGTTCAGGTAAGGGTAGAGGTACTGGCGGACCACTCTGATGTCATCAGGGTACAGGTTGTCCGATGCATCACCGGGCTCGCCAAGTTCAGGAGCCTTCTTGGTCTTGCCGGTGGTGGGGTGGTACTTGGGTGCGGAAAGAGGAGTGACCTTGAGGTCAGAGAAGGCGAAGGTGGTGTAGCTCAGACCGTAGCCGAACTCGTAGATTGGCTCGGTGTTGTCCTTGTCGAAGCGGCGGTAGTCAATGAAAAGACCATCCTCAAAGTTGTCCTGAGGCGCATCGGCACCGTTGTTGGGCACAGCGAAAAGCGGGGCGCCATAATCCTTGCGGGTCTTACCCCAGGTGAAGGGAGACTTAGCACCAGGGTTGACGCGACCATACAGAACATCCACCAGACTGTTACCGCTCTCCTGGCCGGGTATTCCAGCCCAAAGAATGGCGGTAATGTTGTCATTGTCATACCAATCGCTGACGAGAACGGAGCCTGTGCTGTGAATCACGACGATGGTGTTGTTGCACGACTTGGCGGCAGTCTTGATGAGCTCCTCGCCGTTCTTCCACAGAGTCATATTCTTGCGGTCACCCTCGTTGCCATCGACATTGATGTAGCCTTCACCAGAGTCGGAGTTGACAAAGACAATAGCAACATCAGCTTGGGCGGCAGTGGCTGCAACCTTGTCGAGGGCCCAATTGTCAGTCACTGCGAAGACGTTGGTGTTTCGGTCGCCGGACAGGGCCTCGGCCTGAATAGCTTGCTCCGGAGTAACCAGGTAAGGGAAGTTGGCAGTTCCACTACCCCAGCCCATGGCCAAGGTGCCGTCGTCACAGCCACGGTCGTCGCAGCCATTGGCTCCATGGGGATTAGAGCCTGCGTCTTCTCCGAGGACTGCAATGAAGCGCTCGTTGTGGGTGAGTGGCAGTGCACCGTTGTTCTTGAGCAGCACAGTGCTGTCAGCGCCAATCTTGCGGATACCCGCGGCGTGGTCACGCTGGACGTCGACACGCTCGTTGACCTTCTCCCAGCCATCCTTGAACATGAAGTGGTCATAGCTGTACTCATCACGGGTCCAGGAGCTGAAGTTGGGACGAGTACGGACACGGTCACGTCCAACCTTGTAGTAAGCCGACATAATGCGGACAGCCATGTCGTCAATACGCCACTCGGGAACAGTGCCGTTCAAAACGGAAACGGTCAGGTTGGTACCCCAGTAGGAGTATGGGCTGCCAAGGACAACATCACCAGGCATGGACATATCCAAACCGGCGAGAGCAGCGCTAACGCCGCTGTGGTGGGCACCCCAGTCACTCATGACAAAGCCCTGGAACCCGAGCTCGCCCTTGAGCAGCTTGTTGAGGGTGTGACTGTTCTGGCATCCGTAGCTGTTGTTGATCTGATTGTAGGAACACATGACCGAGCCAACACCAGCGCGGACGGCATCCACAAAGGGCCAGAGGTACAACTCGTGCATGAGTTTGTCATCGATGTTTGAGCTCACACTCTGGCTGATGTTGAACCCGTATCCCTGGGCCTCGCCAGCCTGACGGAAATGCTCCGCCTCATTGCCGATGAAATGCTTAGCACAAGCAATAACACCAGAATCCTGAATACCCTTGATCGTCTCGGCCATCATCACACCGGTCAGAACGGGGTCAGGCGAAAATCCTTCCCAGTTACGACCGCCGTCGGGGTAAGTGCCCAGAGGGCCAGCCACGGGACCCAATTGAACATCCACACCCTTGTCACGGTGCTCCTCTCCCATTGCCTGACCACGCTGGTAGGCCAGTCGCTTGTCCCATGTCGCCGCAACATTTACGCCCGCTGAGAAAGCGGAGGCGTAATCACCTGTTGAAGTGCCGTTAGGCTATGATTCCCGGAGTGCTCGTATATAGGACAATCTTACTATCGCGAACTCCCAGAGGCGAGTCTTGCATACACATTCCCCACATGCCGAGTCGGGGAATGCCACCGGTCTCACCGACGCATCGTTCTTGCATCCAGCCGGCACCGGTTGTCAAGTTGACTTTCTCAGCCAGTGTCAGACCAGAGACAAAGTCCACGGCGCGTTGGTAGGCCTCAGCCCAGTCGCCCGCGCCGGTCATCCATGGAGAAGGGTAGTGAGGAGGAGAGTAGGCCAACGGCTATGTGACGCGATTTGATTAGTTTTTTTCCCCCCAAGTCCATGGAGGATCAGAGCTGAACGACTCACATTGGCATTAGCCACCGAGGCAGCCGTCAAGGCAACCTCGAGCCACCCGAACTTCATTGTTGATAAAGTAGAGCTGAAGATAATTCAAGTCTACCAAAACAATGGGAGATCAGATACAAATGGGGGAGAGGTGACTATTGTAAGGAAGGCGTATAACCAGCTTCAGTCCAGACGGGGAAGGAACCATCTTTAAATATCGTCAATCTTTGCCTGCCCAGGACAGGGGCCCGGCACTAGTTCATACTGTACTCCGTACTAAAGTAATAAGAATAAAAAAGGTGGAGAAATTAAGGGATCGGCATCCTGGAGCATGCATGAAATCCTTCCTTATTACTTCGTACGTTACCCATCGGGTCTGATTATTGGCCAGGAGTTAATTGTCGCTAGTATTCTGGAGACAGAACACATTCATTGAAGAAGGGAGAGACAATTCGTGGCTGGTAAAACCTCCTAGAGGAGTACAGGGAGAGAGTCAATCCCCCTTCAAAATTGTCACGATACTGAAACTATTGTTCCCCAGCCACTCGATCTTGGGAGAAAGCTCAACCGCTTAAACTTGGACATCCCCATTGCTACCGTGTCACCAGCGCTCGTTCCTCTTCTCCGTTAATTCCCCGTCTCATTTAAAATTGACTGCCTTGGAAGTGCCTAGGGTCTGTCTGTTCGCCAATCGCCTCACCTGATAATTGACTTCAATCCGTAAGGGATACATATGTGATGATCTGAACATCGACCTCGACATGGAAAACATGCACACACACTCCCAGTCTCCCTCAAACCTCCTTGGGAAACAGCATCCCACAGACTTTGCAAATGACTTTGCAAAAGATTCTGAATCTGACTGCATTCTCATGACAGGTACCGAAGTGGCGTGATCTTCAAACATACTTCCGAATTGGGAGATAGCCCCCTCATTACATCAAATGTGGGGAACCCTGGAAGCTCGTTTTTATTTATCCGTCAATCGGTGCTGGATTTCTCCGTACTGCGTACGACCTCAATTATCTTCAAGGTCACTCAGTCGCTACTTTTTCCCTTCTCACAGATATTGGTCTGCGCCAACTACCACACAGGACACCGGCCGAGTCTGTACAAACCAACACCTGTGATTAGACTGGTCACTGCGCCATCCGCAGCTAAGCCTTTTCGCGGCCGTGGAGACCGGGGCTAATGAGACCGGGAGTGGGACTAAAGAGAAAGTGCGGGTTCCAGGCTCAGGGATGCCGAGTACCCCAGATTAACGGCCTGCGTGATTTATTCTCAGTGGGATGGGTCGGTCTCGAAGTAAAGCTTCCCACGCTTTGTTTGGCAATAATTGCATCTGACAAGATACTGTCGGAGCTCGAAGAAACCCTACTCCGTACTTCTGTGTTGAAGCCAAGGCGACACTCACCGACTGGAGGCGTCCCCCCACACTTATGCACGGTCATCGGACCAAAGCCTAAGCGAGGCATGCCGCATGAGCAAGCCGTTTATTCTGTCCGGCAATTTACAAACCCGCGTCGGTTAAATACTGTTTGATGTGATTAGCCACTCGGCGACGGACTAGACCTATTCCGCGGAGCCGATTTATGTGGGGCGTTCGGACCGTGCCACGCATTGGTCACGGCCCTGGCATCTATCCCCGCTAAACAAATTAACTGGGGTAATTTGAACTGGTGTTTAGTACGGAGAGTAACTACTACTACTGTACTGTGTATGCATGTTGGAAAACCGGAGATTGGGAATGTGGAGACCGAGATAGCCGACGGCCTTTGATCGAATGCTACTGTCATTGCTACAATAGGTAGAGGAAGTGCTGATCGCTGGGAACATGCATGGTTTTCACAAATCACCTTCTTTGCGGCTAAACATCGGTACATCGGCTTAGGTCCGCTGGAGATTCCATACACTTGCCCGATGTGGACTTAGCAATCCGGGGACTCATGGGGGTGCTGTCTTCCTTTTTACGGGGTTTGACCTCGTGAGTTGACCCAGTCCGAGCCAGATGATCCACATTGACAGTTGCACCTCTGTGGCCTGGAAATGTAGACATGCTTTGTCCTGTGGTGTGATCCCGTCTCTTCAGTAGGGTATTGTAGAGCTTCAACATCTTCGGAACGGTACCCGAGGTCGGGAAGCCGTGCTGCACAACGTCGGTTCTGGTAGTGATTGACATTGACGAGCAAATTGCAAGGCTTCCCTGCACCCCAAGGGCCGGCCATTGCTGTGAACAACATGGCAGCTCAGAACAGTTCAAACGGTGATCAAAATTCTGTGTCGGAAGCCATTGTTGGTGCCGCTCGCTGTAGAGGTCGAAGCGTGGTAGAATTGGTCGAGTACGCTGGCATGCCAGGTGATAGCCAATGCCGAAATCAAATATCACCGCTGATATCGTCCAACACTTGAAACAGAATGTGATTCTGGACTCTGCAGCCAGTGCCGTTTGCACCTGCGCGGAATCCAGACCAAATTCTTCGCCGAATCTCATCAACATCAACTCCCTTGGTGTTGTATTGACTGATCATTTCTTCGGCAATGGCACACAACGTCGAGTTGAGCACATCTTCATCAGATACCGTTTCCGGCACCTCTCTCTCGTCTCGACATCCACACAACGCCGGGTCTTTCTCTTTTCCCTCTTCTTGTTGAGTTGGCCCCGACGGCTGACACGTTGGTTGCGCCACTGTCGAGGCACAAGTGTCCTTGCTGGCCGTCGGTAGTTCAGCTGTCTTCGCTTCGTCCTTGAGAGCGCAGGGTATTGCAGTAGACAAGTTCAAACTGCGAGTATCGCGAGTTGCTAGCGACAGGCCATCTTCCCCCTTTGCTCGCTGAATAGCGGGGATAGCAACCTTTCTGTTGATGTTGGCACCTTCCTCCGCTTCCTGCAGATACTGCTGGATCGAAGCAGTCGAAACACCCAACGATCCGAGAAGGGCTTTCAAATGCCGATTCTCGGCCTCGATCTTCTGCGTCGCCAATCGGTGCTCAATGTCTTTTTGCTGAGCTTGCTCTTTGAATGCTGCTAAGCGCTGCTCCAGCTCCTTCACGTGCTCTTGCTTCCGGGCTCGACTCTTGCGCTGGTTTTCACGCACCCGTGCGAGTCGGTCCACGTTTTTCTATTCCAGTTAGATTTCATGTTTGACTTTTGCGAATATAGCAACTGCAAGTGCTACGCACCTTCTGGTCTTTCGTTGACTCCATCGATTATTGAGCCTAGCGGATGGAGCACGCCCAACTGAGCTTTCTCCGGGGCTGTTAGGCGGTACCTTCACATAAAGGACTCATACATGTGGGTCTAGTAATATGGAGAAATGTTAACTAAATGGCAAGCAACTCGAGGTTCGCCTCGTTCAAATTTGAGTTCCGGGCAAATGATGGTTCGCTTGCCTGAAATTAATGGCTTCAATGTGGCTGTCACGTGTCTCGACGGGCCGCGGTTCACAAACAGTGCGTGGCAGCGTGGCACACTGCACAGTCGGGAACACCACACTGGATGCGATAGACTGCAGCTCGTTGTCTCAATATTAATATCGGCGGTTTAGGCCTGATAACATCGTTACATGTTTGGACTCCTGCTTTGTGCTGGAGTCGGTGTGGAGCGGCAGAACGCCCACATGGTTTGCTATTTAGTCTCTCAGTTCGTAGGATAGAAATCCAACTCTCTTCGCTTCCTTCCTGGTCTTCATCTCAACATTACATCAATCATCATAACCTCATGCTTTTCAGATTATTTTCAGCCTTCGATGCGATGCTAGGATGCTTCTATGGCAATTGTCCCTAGTTAAGACATCCACACCCTTACTCTGGAGTCTGGACTCAACAGCAACATTACTCTCGGACCCTCGGTACCACAATGATGCGGCTAACTATCCAATTAACTAACTAACTAACTAACTAACATTTCTAGCTGTCATTTAGGTATATTACTATGGAATAATCAATATCGATATGGGCCTCATTGAATAAGACCATCCCAGTTGTTGGACTCCTTCAATCCAAGCAGAGCCATAGCATCCCGTCCTTTAAGCCACTCTTCAAACCCTGGACCTTGCACATGAGCCTTCAACTGTGCAGGCTCAATAACATTGCGAAGACCAGCACAATAACCAAACTCATCAATGAACGCAGGACCACCGAGGACCTCAAGTGGGATACCTGTCTTTTCATGCATCTCCTGAAGGGTCATTTCGATGACATTGACCTCTTTCCCAAGAGCTCGGCTCCACACTCCCATAATCTCCTCAATCGAAGGATAATCATCATACGCCAGCAGTTTCATTCCCGGCGCCTCGTCCTCCACCAAAGCCCTGACAAACGGACCTGTCGACCGAGCGGTATCGATGACAGGAATCCGCATCTGCTTCCTCGAAGGCAAGATAGAAACGAATTCCCCCGTTTCTCGCTGGAACGTGGGATACAGGAGTGGATTGGTGATATAAGCACCGATGTAGATGAAAGAGGTGCTCGCCGCCAGATCAGGCGTCTCGGTCTCTATGTACTCGGCAATGTGTGCCTTGGTCTCCCAGTGGTAGGAGAGCGAGTATTTTCCACCCGACGCCGCTTTCATGGGACCCAAGGCAGAGTAGACGAGTCTTTCAAGTGTGGGAATAGTTGCGGCGACATCGGCTGCATTCTTCCCATGCAGGATTTCTGCTTCGTAGCCCTGTTGGGCACTGCTCAGGTGGTCGGCGCCTGTGGCCAGTGCTGCGCGATAGGGTTGCCAGAAATCGGTGTTGAGGAAGATGGCATGTGCACCGGTGAATGCGAGGCGTAGAGACTCTTTGTCGTCGAGATCTGCTTGGACTATATCACCGCCTCGTTTGGCGAGCTTTTGTGCCTTTTCGGAGGATGGGTTGCGGGTGAGGCATCGGACGTTCCAGTTGGGTAGAGTGAGGAATTTTCGAGCTACTGAGGAGCCTTGTACGCCGGTTGAACCGACAATGGCAATGGTTTTCTTGATCTCGGAGCTCATTTTGGGAGAGAAGTAGATTGATCTTGACGATAGATGATTGACTGTGATGGAGTTCTACTTTTGTTCGAGGGGCTATCGAGATATATACTAAGGGTCGTGTCAATCAAAAGAATCATAGATCGTTTCCACGAGATATAGTTCGAGCGACGTGATTGGATCAAAAGCGTAAGCCACTTCTGGCTTATCCTGGCTTATGGTGTGGCTTACGGCGGAGAAACCGGAGTTAAGACCTGGGGACTCCACACGCTTTTCATATGTTCGCTCCAATGGCTTCTTGGCTTCTTGGCTTACGCTGTGTAGTCCAGTTTCTATCGTCGACCTCCTTGAGACCTTCTTGCTCTTACACTAGCCTGCCACTAGGCCTGATCAGTGTCATGCAGGCTCTCAATTCGAACATCTCGTAATGTCTGCCTCTATATCCGGGGGTGACCCACACCAGGCTGCCTCCAAACAGCGTAAGCGGCGAATCATCACACCAGCCCGCCAGGAGCAGAATAGAGCCGCACAACGAGCGTACCGTAAGTACTGGGACTCGAGTCAATTGCAATTCCGACCAATACTCAATGAACATAGGTGAAAGACAGAGAAATCTCCGAAAGCGTGGTATTGCTCATGGCAGGCCAGCAAGAAAGCTTGAACCGCGGCTATCAAGCCCTTCCTCAGACAGTTCAGCTAATACTTTGTCCGGAACCATAACTGAAGGGGACACACCTTTATCTACGGATCATTTATCGGCACTTGTCCGTAGAACTGACGAAAGCCCTATATCGTTCGCCGATCCATTGATGAACGCCATTCAGACTCCCCAAGACACCATTTGGACGGCAATCCTCAACAACGCTGTATGTCTAGGATTCGACCTTGAGCGACTAGCAGCATGTACGGGGTCATACATGTCGCCGTTCTTCAAGTCAATCACAGCACAAGATAGTCCACAAGCTTTGGTCGCATCCACATTCAATACATCAGTGCCCATCCATCTCCAACCTACCATGGCACAAATCCTTGTCCCTCATCATGCCAGCCTAGACCTAATTCCGCTACCGCTCTTTCGCGAGCGTGCCATCATGATGGCTTTTGCAATGCCGGATATATTTGACCTCTGGGACTTGAAGTTGGATATTTACGAGCGGCATGCACTTGTCTGTCGGCGTTATAGTGCCGAGGGTACTTGTCAGCCGTGGGATCAGAAGAGCTGGGAGGCTATGCCGTGGTTTTTGCAGAAGTGGAGTGGTACAAACGCAGGATAGAACGGTCCGGCTTGGATGAAGCAGTATTAGAATTAGTGTATACCCATCGAGTACCTAAGTCACTATACGTACCATATTTCCTCTGCCGGGTACAGCCCAGGGTCTTTAGCCTAGTTGTTGATAGGACCATGAGCTGCCAAGCCGCTACTTGTATGCGGGCAAGGATTAAAGGTCTCACATGGCCTTTCAATCCCTAACACCCATTTAAATTCCTTTGGAGTCTACCTGAGCGCTGGCCCCCTAATATTCCTAATATTCTTGTTCATCTTACCTTCACTGGTTACCAATTTGGTTCGCTGTTTCTCCAGTCTGTCCTAAATCTGCGGAGTGTTTTCTCGCTCCCATCTCTCCGCGATCACATTCGAAGGTCGGACTTGCCCTCATCATGCACATTTCAACGACGGCCTGGATGCTCGCTGCCTGTCTGGGGACTTTGATCAATGCTTCTGATGTACTGGAAGTGAATCTGGTTTTCCCGCGCAATGAAACATATGCGCCCAACGACACGTTCCCTGTTGTCTTTGCGTTCAAGAATTCTGAGCTCGCGAGACACCTTAACCCCTCAATCAGTTACAGTCTATGGAACGAGCTTGACGACTCAGCCTACATCCTGTGGCATGAACTCCGCTGGGTAAACTGGACAGACCAGGAAACCTATTTTGCCTACAAATTCAGCGACACCTTCAACACCGAGGGTCGTTGGAAGGTACTCTGGACCCTAGGCTGGGATAGTTGCAACGTGGAATCACCCTCATATGGCAACGAGGTGATCAGCAACACCACCACCAGGGCAACCAGATTCACCACCAGCAATTCTGCCCCAAAGCTGGACCCCGTTGCTGCTACAGCCAACAAGACATGTACCGGGCAACCAGGCGTGGCGATCAATGTGACCGACAAAACCAAGTCCATCGGCAGCGCGCTTTGGGAGGGCGGTAAATACACCAACCATACATGCGCCGTTGTGGCAGCCTCCCCGACCCCTTCAACGAATCCCTGTCGGACTCAAATTGACGAGACTACTCTCGCCAGCATGAAGGCCTCTGACTGGGCCAGTTACTGCGATTCCAACTTCAACGAGCCAGCCGAGTGCTCGGATAAGAAGAGCTCCGCACAACCATTGGCGGTGGCGGGCCTCTCCTGCTTGCTAGGCCTTACTGGGGCGTTGGGTTTCTTTCTCGTGTGACCAGGCAACTCTCTTCTACTGATTGATTCCCTACTCCTGCTGCATTAATCCGATTCTCTTCTTTCTGTCCATATAGATATTGTTCATACACTCTACTTGATAATTTCAATTCAATACCCAGAGGCCAGGTGTTGCAATTGACCCACATGATCCGTATCGTAAAGCCTGTTACGTTGGTGCACGTCCTTCGCCTATGTAGAGTAGCCTCTCATCTAGAGCTAATATCAGCTATTGGTACAACGTATTCCCAGGAGCAGGTAGCCTGAAACATAGTATTGATTGGTCCGCCACGTAGCAGGCTCCTCGCTCCATTGCGGCACAATTGATTGCCGCAAGTTTACAAGGATGGAAGATCACATTGGTGATGCCAGCAGTTTTTTGACGGGACAATGGGGGCAAGTTTGCGAGGGTAGACGTCCTGTTGATAGTAGCTAGCGTGTTGCATTTTATTGAGGCAGCTTTATCTGTGCCTTTTAGCTTCCCACTCCTGCTATAAGGCACAGATACCTAGATAACACCTTCGGGCTTGTTCATGCAGAGGGATAATGCAGGGTCAAGCGGGTGCCGGGATGCGTATGAAAGTGTTTGCCCCTGTACGACTCCGAATGGTGTACAGAGTCACTGTTCACAAAACCCAGTGTCCAGTGGCCTGTGTTCACAGTGTTCTCAGTACATTTTTGGATCTGCGAAAGCTGTAGGAGTTGTGTTCCTTGGATGAGCTCCGGGTACTTGGATTGACAGGCAGACACCATAGAAATCCGGCCAATAAGCCATCAAATCCTCTTTTAGGGTAATCTAATGGAATTGAGTCGGAATTCAGTCGATTTTCCAATTCAGCGCAGGAAAGCGACCGCATGAGGCAAATGGGCCGACCGCAAACGATCGCCCTCGACGTCATTGGCCGTCAGGCGCGCGCGCCTGTGAGCACAACCCCCAGCATTCCTTCCCCTCTTTCGGCGTAAAAGATCACAACATCGTAAAACTCACATCGTAACTTATTACCACTCACCTCCACCAGCGCATCGCAAGTTCACTCTCATCATGGTCTCCACGCGACATCACCCCAACGAGTTTCCCTCGCCCGAGAACGCCGGGAAAGAGCTAGTCAAGCCCCCAGCTACCACGAACGCCAATTCGCGCAAATGGACACACACGCCTGCCGCCGCGTTGACCATCTGGCTCGTTGCGTCAGTTCCTTTGGTCATATGGGATGCAGGCTATGTGTTGTTGCGTCCGCATAGTATGCCCGGTGGAAGACTGCACTCCCCGATCTGGACGCCCTACGCGCTGTATGGCTCGGTCGACTATATTTACGGCTGGCCGGCTTACAATGCGCGCAATGGTTTCACGGCTGCGCAGACTCTTCTCAACGTCATTGAAACTATCGGCTACATCTCTTACCTTTGGATTGTTTATAGCCATGGAGCTACAGTTGCGGGAACTGGCGGATCGCGCAAGACCCCTAAGGGTTTCATGTGGCTACTCACAGGCGAGAAAGTAGTCGCTGGGCGCATTGGTGCGATTGCGCTTATGATCGCCTATACTGCATCTGTCATGACCCTGAGCAAGACTATTCTTTACTGTAGGTGTTTCCGACCAGGCTTTCTATATTGTGTCTCTAACTCGATGACAGGGCTCAATGAGTTCTTCTCTGGCTTTGAGAACATTGGACATAATTCGCCAATGGCCCTTGTCCTCTATTGGATTATACCGAAGTGAGTACTGCGCAATGCATGTGTCCTTGAGGCGCAATACTAATTGTCGTAGTGGCCTGTGGATTGTGTTCCCTAGCTACAATATATATATGCTGGGAAGCGAGATCCTGAGCGCCATTGAGCTCGCGACACCGCGCCAAAGAGTCGGACGCCCTAAGCTCACCTGAATTCGGTGCAGTCGAACAGATTGCTCATAGAAACATGAAACGTGCGACGGCAATCATCAGTGTGCTTGACAGGAGATCAGGGTATAACAGCTATCGGTGGTGTTTAGATATAGTGTAAAGGAAAGGGGTAATTTTCTACAAGACTGCTCATCAATTAATAGTGTGTCTACTATTGGCAATAAACCCCTGACAATGGATGTTGGTGCTAGTGATTTATCAAGCTTCGAATGCGCCAGTCCAGATATAAATCCTGTGCTACTCCGTACACATGCCAGTTCAAGACAGTAGGACGTGAGTATATAGATTAGCGCAAATAGTATGAGACTATGAGTAGAAGAGGAGGTTCAGCTCAAATGTACCTAACTCGGTAAAGACATCTGATATAGCTGGAGATGATTAATGCGAACCCACTTTTTCAGCATGTAACCTCATCGATTGCGTAGCTACATTCTCATTTTTCTCCTCATCCCAGTTCAAGCACATTTTCAACATCTTTCATATATCGAGTGAAGTACGGAGTACACAGTATGTACTAGATTGTGGAGTCTCCATAATAAGGCGTGATGCCAGTGGAAGCCATTGCCAAGACGCCATTCGCCGCTGATCTTTTCCCCATATTCACGATTTTACCTGACTCGCTCCTCAACTCCGGCTTTCCCCCGCTGTCTCGATAACTCCATACCACTTGCTTTACCTCACCTCCCACCTCGGAAGCACCTTACTCTATCCCCGACCGTACCGAAGGATGCTTCGGGCCTGGTCCCTGGGGTATCCGCACCCATCATGATCCAACCCGATTCTGACGAATCGCCACTGAAAAACGACGGCAACTCCGGTCAAGGTCTGGAGGCATCAGCGCTTGACAACTTCGATACCCAAAGCCGTGAAAGTTCCCACGATCCCGGTAGCACACAACCAGGCGACCCCGTGCCAGGCGCGGACAACGCGCTAGACAACCAACGAGACGATGGCGGCCACGGCCCGGCCAATTCTGAACACAACGACGATGATAAGCCAGCTTGGACAGAAATGAAGACCAAGGCCGGGAAGGAGCGGAAACGCTTGCCGCTGGCTTGCATCGCCTGTCGCCGCAAAAAAATTCGCTGTTCGGGCGAGAAGCCGGCCTGCAAACATTGTACGCGCTCGAGGATTCCGTGCGTGTATAAAGTGACTACGAGAAAGGCGGCACCGCGGACGGACTATATGGCTATGTTGGATAAGCGACTCAAGAGGATGGAGGATCGCGTGATTAAGACCATTCCCAAGGAGGAGACGCGAGATATGGTCTCCATTGGCAGGTCGGTTGTTAAACCATCAGCGTCGAATCAGCCGTCAAAGGCGCAGAAGAAAAGAAACGCGGAAGAGGCTTTTGCGGCAGAAATGAATGAGTGGACCCATGGAGCCGCTCGCCCGCCGCACGAAACGTTTCCAATGAACCGAGAAGTAAAGTCCACCGATGGGAGTGGACTTCTCACCGAAGGAGTCGAGTTTCTGCCATCATTGGAGATTCAGGAGCATCTGGCGGAGGTCTTCTTTGATTGTGTCTATGGACAGTCATACCTCTTACTACACAAACCCAGCTTTATGCGACGGCTCAAAGCAGGCAGCATCCCTCCTGTTCTGATTCTCGCTGTCTGTGCCGTATCTGCACGATTCTCCACACATCCTCAGCTCAACTCCGACCCACCGTTCTTACGTGGGGAAAACTGGGCTAATCCCGCCGCAGCCATCGCTCTCAGCCGGCACGACGAACCGAACATTACCATTCTTACTGTTTTTCTACTTCTTGGCCTCCACGAGTTTGGTACCTGCCATGGTGGGCGAAGTTGGTCGTTTGGAGGTCAGGCATTACGAATGGCGTACGCATTGCAGCTCCATCAGGAGCTTGATCACGATCCTTTGCTCAGTCAGAAGAATGGCCAGGGATCACAATTAAGCTTCACTGATCAAGAAATCAGGCGCCGAACTATGTGGGCGTGCTTTCTGATGGATCGATACAACTCTTCCGGGAGTCAACGACCGCCTATTGGCAATGAAAAGTTCCTACAAATACAGCTTCCCATTAAGGAAACGCACTTCCAGATGGAGATTCCCGGTCCAACGGAAGACCTTGACGGGGACATTCTGAATCCCGCCCCTGAAGGTGCAGGCCAATTAACCAACCCTAAGGAAAACATGGGTGTATCGGCGTATGTCATTCGCGCTATCGTCATTTGGGGCCGCATTGTCGATTACCTGAATCTGGGTGGAAAGAGGAAAGACTCCCACCCACTTTGGCATCCAGAGTCAGGATACATGCATCTCAAGCGGCAAATTGAGGAATTCTCTGCTTCGCTCCCGGTTTCTTTAATCTTCAACTACGAAAATCTTCAGATCCATGCAGCGGAGAAGATTGCAAACCAGTTCATCTTCCTCCACATCATCATACATCAAAACATGCTGTTTCTCAACCAGTTCGCCATTCCGTTATCCCCCGGAGGGCGGCCACCGAGAGACATGCCGAAGCCCTTCCTCAGCAATGCAGGACGAGCTGCGGTGGAGGCAGCGCATCACATCTCAGTCCTTTTCGATCGGGCTTCAGCCTATCCTCTCACAGTCCCTTTCGCGGGGTACTGCGCCTACTCGGCAAGCACCGTCCATATCTGGGGAATCTTCTCCAAGAACGTCCAGCTGGAGGCACGGTCAAAAGAAAACCTTCGGCATACGTACCGCTACCTCAACAAAATGAAGAAATACTGGGGCATGTTCCACTACATGGTGGAAAGTGCCAAAGACCGGTATCGGCAGTTCGCTGATGCTGCCATCAAGGGTTCCGTGGCAGTCCAGAACGGCACGTCGCTAACCCCTATGTTCCAATACGGTGACTGGTTTGACAAGTATCCTCATGGTGTCTCGCGATTACACTGGGAGGACCCGGATACTCGACACAAAGAGACCGGTGAAGACGCAGTTATGGGCCAAAAACCCGATCTCCAGAGCGTGGAAGACTTCTTCGCAAGCCTATCCCCGACACCGCAGCCCAGCCAACCCCGCAAATCACGATCTCGCAACAGCAGCAAACTATCAGACGGAATCCCAGGCCTGGACCAGACATCGTCACCATCAATGATGGAAGTGACCATGGGAAATGCCCCCAGCGTCCCGGGCAGTGCATTCCCACAGCCACCAATGTTCCAGCAATCTCGGCCGATGCCATTCAATCAATCTCCATTCGACTTCAGCATCCCATCAGACCAACTACCACAACTAGACCGGCAGTTCGTCTATGGCTCATTCTCCGAATTCGACCCTACCTCCTTCGTTCCAAGCAACCCTCCTCCCATCCCGCCTGTCAATGGCGTCGACACCCAGACCACAGACCAAACACTGTTCACGGGGCATCTGGACCCAGGCGCTCCCGCTGGAACTGGCGAGTTCTACCAGCCTAGCGCCTGGTTCCTCCCCTTCAATCTTGATCCTGTCGGTGGGAGTCCCGCGCCACACGTTCCACCCCAGGCACACGGCCCTGAGGGAGACTCTGGCAACACGCCGTCTGGGCTGCCTGTGCCGGATATGTCTGGCTTCGGGGGTGGTGGAATATCTTTCTGAGTTGCATTTTGAAGTGGCAACTGCTCATATCTCGTTCATTAATTCTTTTCACATGACTGCACTGCTACGAGGGTGGTTTTCTCTTTGCGGCGACTATAAAGAGACTCTATAAAGAGGCTTGGGAGTCAGATCTAGGGGCTGGTTTTTTGCTTTTTTTGTTCTCCTTCTCTCCATAGGTTCCTGTCTAGGAATCATTCCTTTGTACATATCATCGTGACATCGTCTCTATCTGTGACGTGTATATCGCCTCCTTTTTTCCAGTTGGAGGTTCCTCGAGTACTTGTCCATATCCAATGTCGGTTGGGTTTGCAACTCACAATTACCTTCAGTGTCATTTCAGCCCGATTCTACACACAATACCATCCATTCTTTCTTCCCAAATGCGGTAAACATCAAAAATATTGAATAAAAAACTGTCGGCAGTTGAATTGCAAAATTCAAAAAAGATGTGCATCATCCGTGAATCGAACACGGGCCTCGTCGATGGCAACGACGAATTCTACCACTAGACCAATGATGCTAGTTGTATGACTGTTTGTGCGTCTTGGCAATTATGGACCAAAATCACCTAATGGCTATCAGCAACACAGCTAGAACCCTCATCTCTTTCCCTAAACTACGCAGGTGCCAACCTATTGAAATGAATTCAAATGCAATATCTCAACCAAAACGCCCTTGAATTAATTCAACTAGCTATTATCTCTTTCCAGACATGTCTCTCTCCTATGTCCCGGCTGCCTGCAAATTCCACACAATCGCTTGCTCCGTGGACGCGTCCTTGAACGTTTCCAAGCCAAAGCCTGCTCACGCCAGGCCTTACCACGCGCCACCTGGGCCTCCCTTTCCTCCACACTTAGCTCGGGACGCTCCGGAATTGAGAAATCCTCTTCCGGAGATATTGGGCTAGTCGATCGACTGCGCTCTCCAAGTAGCTTCTCGATCTCAGCCTCTTGGTCTAGCCTAGCGTTCTCAGCGTGTAACTCCCTTAGTTTCTTCCGAGCAGCCTCGTTATATTTCGCCAGGGCTTCAGTATCCTCACACATCTCATCTAACAGAGGGAACAGCCAGCTCGGGGCGTTTGGATGATTCTTCCGAAGTGATGCCTTCAGCCTGTTACCAAGCTTTCGTATTTCGGCGAGGTTCCTTGGGGTGTCTGGTTCACAATCGCTACCCAGGCTGGGGGCCGGGGAGGGTGTTCGAGGTTGGACACCGAGCTTTGAAGTCACTCGATCGGGTGAGAAGGGTATTAAACCAGCTGCTGCGAAGCTATTCACAATAGTCTCCGGTTTGAAGGCTTCTTTGCGGAAAGAATGGTATGCGTTGAGGAGATCACGTGGATTGATGTAATTGTGTCCGGCCTGCAGGTTCCTGATCATCCGACGATATGACCGTGTGAAGATATCAAGACACCCAACATCGAGAGGATGTAAGAGATGAGATGAAGAATGCAGAGGCGTACAGATTGGGATAATGCTGTTTTTCTCGCAAATTTCATCGAATTTCGGGGTCAAATGTTTCCCATGGCCATCGAGTATCAAAAGTCGATACTTGCCCTTCGTACGCGAAGTAGTCGAAGGAATAAAGAGCTTTTCGAGCCAGCGAAGGCTGATTTCATCCGTAGTCCAGCCATCAGGACTAACCTCACAACGCAATTCATCCGGAAACCCATCGAGGGGCTGAGCTTCGTTGTCAAATCTGCCTCTGAAAACCACACACGGAGAAAGTGCCCAGCCCGAAGCATTCGTACACTCCATTGCTGTCACCCAATCGTGGTTACAGGATCTAAAATGGCTTTCAGACAGCAGTATTCAGCCCTTTTTACAACCCTCGCGCGTTCAACGGGTCCCATCCCGAAACCGGTCTCGTCGAGGTTATAAACGTCCTCGGGGGTGATCCCATATTGAACGATGGTTTTTTGGACGAGATCAAACCATTCGTCGATAACTTTCGGATCTTCGCACGACACGCGCTCGTGATTATAGCGTGAAAATCGGGAGGCGAGGATAGGACGCCGTTGCATATATGCATATGCCCAATTCTTGGCGACTGGAAGACCCGGGCTGGTTCCGCGCTGGTGGATGAGGAGATTCGCCATTTCTTGTATTGAGGAAGGCCCCGGGGATGCTCCGCGTTCATCCATAGAGATAATCCATCTTTCAAGGGATTCCTCTTCGGCTTCCGTTAATTTATGGGAGTTTCCGCGAATATCTGCGCGGTTTCGTCGGCCGTCGAGTCGGCTCTGAAGAGTTGTACGCGGTACATTGAAACGGCGCGCCACTTCGCGAACTGAACAAATTGCTTCATTCTTGAAAGCCTCGATGGCTGATACGATCCTCTCCTCTTGCTCTTTTGACTTGATGTACTTGGTAGAGGCTCGGTCGCGTCGTGGCATGGTGGTTGAATTGACTAAGTGCTAATGTTTAGACGCGATTTGTTTTGGGTTGGCCGACTAAGGCCGATACGTGACCGAAAGACATCCACCATTTCGTTCATGCCTGGATCACTCATGGCGGATGTTGAATTACAGTTTTACTGAATTCATAAGGCTATTTAATAGTATTGCCGAAAGTAATATGGAGTCGTAACTATTGGAAGAGACCTAGGAGAATGTATGCGGGGTCGACCAAGGGTGGATATATATTGAAGAGGGGCATGCTTGATGGAATGCTGTATGCTAAGTCAAACCCGGCACACGGGTTGATCTAGTGTTGCTACCTAGTAGGCATAGCATGTCCATTGGATCGCACCAGGTCTAAAGTGTCCAGGTTCCTGAGAATGTTGTAAGAAATCAAAGGAGTGGACGGAGGAAGGAAGCAAGTTTAAGGGTGAGCCTAGCTCCCCACTACAATATCCAGCTGCGGTATTCATGTAGAGATAGAATTCTTTTATACCTGACGAGAGAGAAGATCCGCACCCAGAAAAGCAAAGCAGAAAAGAAGCATGGGATTTATCATCTAAACGACGCAACCAAAGTGGCACTCGAGCAGAATTGAAGAGGGTATGGTATGGGAAAACACACGCTATAAGACAGGACATGGAAAAATAGACATAACAAAAAGCAGTCACACTAATCCTCCCACTCCTCATCAAGTTGATCTATCAGCCGATTCTCAGCATCCACGTCCCGTCCCTGCCCACGTCCTCCTCGACCCCCGATGGCGCCGATGAAACCACCCCTGCCGTCGGAGTCCGCACGAATGTAGCCGTTGCTGGAGGGGGATCCTCTGAAATGGAGAAGGTTCCCTAGCGACGAAAAGATGATCACGGCCATGTCCTATGAATGTGGAAAGATATGGTCAGCGTCATGTTCCCATCCAACGTGGCTCACAACCCGCATTAGGTCAGGTCGCCACTAGGTACATGTAGTAGGACATGTGCAGTCCGTACGAATGGGTAATCAGAGCGGTGGTTATGCAGGGTTGAGGATGATATAAGAATCCATTCACAAGGACTCAAGATCACGACCATTTGCCAAAGACATAAGAAAGGTAGACGCCGCGACCAGCACCGACGGCAAGAAATTAAAGAGAAAGGAAAGACTGCACAAAACAATGATCTATCTCCCGTAGAGAAAACAGAAATGAGAAGAACAAGTCGAACCCCAACCGTCTTCCCCGAAGCGATTGGTCTCTAGACCAGCTAGAGCGAGCTCAATCCATCCTTGAAACAGGCAGGACTGTCCCATTTGAATCCCGGAACTTGCGTGACACCAAATGGCCGTATCTAGATCTGCGACGAGGCCAACACGGAATCAATGCTATGATACTTACTTTGACAAAGTCGAAAACGCCAGCCCACAGGCTGAAGTTCGGGCACTGGCGCCAGCCACGCTGATGCATGACTGTTCGCTGGTAGGCACAGCCACCAATCAGATATACTGCGACAGCGACCAGCATGCTACAGGATAGGGTCAGTATGGGCTAATATGCGTAGGAAAGGAGTGGTGCTCACATCACACCGAATACGCCACCCGGTCCCAGACCTCCGGCGTTAGGATCCACGGCAATTCCACCACATGCAGCTGAGCTGCGGATCTCGAAGAAGTATGTGCATGAATCCATGGAGCCAACGAATGAGGGGGTGGCTAGGTTTGGCGCGGCATCGCGGTCGCAAAGGAAAGACATTATGGTGGACTTGTTGCGCGTGGAGACATTGGAACTGGCCATATTGAGATCGTCCTCGCAGGGAGAGCCATTGGTGTAATTGAGGATGAGTTTACGGCCGCGGAAGAAAGGGTCGGACGCTTGTTGTCTGTATATGATCGAGGACTGTCAGTGAATTGAACCGGGCCACAGATTCGACCAGTCACACTGGTTGGAATGAAGTTTTGCCATACCCTATGGAGTATATCTTATTGTTTTGTTCGTAATATGCACTGACGTTCTTCCACCGCGATGCCTCCACGCCGACCACGTCTGTCACGTTTTCAATGACCGGTGCACATATATTGATTGTGAAGTTGGCTGGGTAGTCATGGCCTCTAGCAAACCAGCTTTGATTCCGCGCATCCTTCATGGCTTTGCCGTCATTCATGTCGGGCGGGGATAATGAGATCGCATTGAGATCGAAGTACAATCCGCTGGTCGGTGAGCGGGCAATGCATGAAGCGTCATCTTTCAAGGAGGAATCTGATGCGCCAGATAATCTGAGAGCGGACAGTATGAAAAAGAGAGAGTAATGAGCGGAGCTGGTGAGCTTCATGGCGGACGGTTTGGGGTCAACCCGAGTCTCGAATAGAGGGAGCACAAGAGAATGTGGAGATTGAGAGATTGACTCAGAAGCAGTCAATCAATGACTGTCAGATAGAGGTACACTGTTATACGCTGTAGTCTAATGAAAGTTGTGAAGGGAGATGTACCTGGAGAGATCAAAGGGCTTACGTAGCATCACCAATTCACCACTGATTGGTGTGGAGTAAAATCACGGGCATCCACCATCCGACGTCGTACGCTGCGACGCGCATAGGACTGCCGCACTGCGTAGTACCCGGCTCCAGGAATTTATTTAGCTGGGATTCCCCCCTCCTCTCCTTATTCCTTTATCCATTGGCACTTCTTCAATATGCCTGAGAAAAAGGAATTCAGAAAAATCCCAGTGCAGGCGGTGCCGGAGAAACGTGGTTATGAGTTTGGTGGACCGTATGTATTTCCCCCAAGCTCCAATTGAGTGAAGTTAAGCTGACATTTATAGTCTCGGTGCCTTTGGTATTATATTTGGACTGCCAATCCTTCTCTACCTCTTTACTTTCGTCTGCAATGACGTCTCTGGTTGTCCCGCGCCCTCACTCCTGCACCCCTCGACCTTGACACTCGAGCAATTGAAACGCGAAGTGGGCTGGCCAGAGGAGGGCATTGCCGCGCTCTACGATACCAATGTTACACTATGGACCTTCAGCTACTATGCCTTCAGCTTGTTCCTGCAAGTCTTCTTGCCTGGTCAGGAGCTTGAGGGTGTCACATTGGCTTGCGGGGGACGGCTGAAGTACAAATTCAATGGTATGGCAATGGCAGCTCCTGTTTCGCACGTTTTTCATGATGAAGAATCCAGTTTCTAACTATGCTCATCTTACAGCGTTCAATTCTGCCGTCATCATCCTCTCGGGCCTCGCCGGAGGCACCTACATTTATGGAGCCGATTTCGTGGTGTGGACATTCCTGTGGGACAACTATATTCAGGTCATCACCGCGAACCTGTTGATCTCTTCCTCCATTGCGCTGTTTGTCTATGCGAAGAGCTTCACAGTTCCTTCTCCTGGACAGGCGAACCCCGACTTGCGACAGCTGGCTCCTGGCGGCCACACCGGCAATCCCCTCTACGACTTCTTCATCGGCCGTGAACTGAACCCTCGTATTCGCCTTCCCATTCCACTCGTCAGTGAGACCTCCCGAACCATCGATATCAAGGTGTTCATGGAGATGAGACCGGGCTTGCTTGGATGGACGATTTTGAACCTGTCCAATGTTGCCCACCAATACCGAACCTACGGCTACGTCACCGATTCAATCGTGCTGGTGACCATCTTCCAGGCATTCTACATATTGGATGCGCTATATATGGAGCCGGCAATCATGACCACCATGGATGTCATCATGGATGGATTTGGGTTCATGCTGTCTTTTGGTGATGTTGTCTGGGTGCCCCATCTATACAGCATCCAGAGCCGGTATCTCTCTGTCTTCCCCTATCAGCTTGGCTGGACCGGGATGGCCGTTGTTCTGGGGGTCACCGCTGCTGGATACTCGATCTTCCGTGGCGCCAATAACCAGAAGAACCGGTTCCGTACGAACCCCAATGACCCGCGCGTAAAGAACATCAAGTACATCGAGACTGCCGCAGGCTCCAAACTGATGATCTCCGGATGGTGGGGTCTGGCGCGCCACATCAACTACTTGGGTGACTGGACCATGTCGTGGGCGTACTGTCTGCCGACTGGCGTCGCTGGTTATGTTCTCATCGAGCATATCAACCCTGCCACTGGCGCTGCGCAGACACAAGCTGTGCAGACTCCTGAGGTCCGTGGTTGGGGTATGATCTTCACGTACTTCTACATGATTTACTTTGGCGTTCTGCTCATCCACCGTGAAATGCGTGACGAGGAGAAGTGCGAGAAGAAGTATGGTGCTGATTGGAAGCGTTATACCTCGATTGTCCGCAGCCGTATCATTCCAGGAATCTACTGAGCGATTTCCGTGGGACCTTTCAGCCGTGGGCTTTGTTGTACATTATTTATTCTTCATATCTTGGCTTGCGAGAAAAGCCTCTCACGATCAGCGACTTGCGCCATTCGAGTCCGTCACGTCGCTGAAGTTACCTGTCATTCTTTAACGAAGGAGCTACTGGCCTGGGGTATCCGTTGTCGAAGTTAACTAGAAAACGAGATAGGAAAACCCAGCAATTCCTTTGCAAGTCTGATCTTGTGCTTGACTAGCTATCAGAGTCTAATAACTAATTCATATCATGGTCACCAAATACCACTTTGCTCGTGACAAAACTCACATATAGATAGTTTCTCCCTTCTCAATGCAATATCACTTCTTTCAGAGGACTCTACAGCTCTACAGTAGACATTCGTTATCAATTGATGGAGTCAATCAAGTCGGCGCGAGGTGAATGGAACATTGACAGTACATCCAGCCTAGTTCGAGACCAATGTGCTATATCCATTATCTACCTGTCAAATCTTGCGCTTTTTTGAATCAACCAAAACATCCAAGCCCCAATCTTCATCTCCTGCATTAGGCACCCAACCTTTGAGAACCACTTTCGCATCTCCGATGGCCTGCATGCGGATTTGCAACGGATCCTCCGAGCTGCTGGGTCTCTTGAACTCCTGATATGTGATTGCATTTGACAGCGATGTGACCGGCAAAGAATCACTCTGATCGATATGAGGAACCGACGCCGAAACAACATCGCGAAAGAGAGCCCAAAGCTTAGCTCTGGACAGGGCCGAAGCTCCACGAGCTCCAGGCGAGGAAGCGCGATTCCCTTGTTTCACACCGTTGATGATAGTCTCGTATAGGCCCGTTTTAGAACGACAAAGATTTGGCAGCGCCTTGCTGCCTGTATCCACGAGTATTTCCAAAGGGCCCTGATATGAGGGAGCCACTGTCCACACGGCGCTCACGTTCCCTGGTCTGCTCTTCTTAGCATTTGCAACAGACGCCAGAGCATCTCCTTGCGCCGAAGAAACTGCAGGACATGGCACGGGTTTTGGTTTCGCGAACCGCCACAGGGCACCAACCTCTTCACTGGGCACTGAAAGGACTTCAAATGGTCGGAACTGGTATACCGGCGTCTTTTTGGCATCTGTATCTACAGGCCAAGCCCGCCCTTTCAGATCCTTCATTCGACCGTTCTCACCAAAAGACCGGTCACAGCCAACCCGGCTGATCTCTTCCTCGGGAAGTATCAGACCGGCGAGGTAGACATTCTCGGCAGGAGCAACTAGACGACTCGTCTCACAGGACAGCAACGAGGAAACCTGGCGCAAGGCAAGTTTGTCGGAGCAGGATTTGCTGCGTGTGGACTCGGCATCCATGCGCGCTGGCTTTCGACGGACGACGCCGAGAAGAGAGAAATGTGCTCGTCCATCTAGAAGGGTTTCTGTAGTTGAGACTTCGCCATCTTCTGATGGAGGACCTTCTTGTCGTAGCACTTCCCAGGGCGTTGCGTCTTCTTGGGCTGCCATGCAGAGTTCCATGCTTGCATCTCCGCAGGGAGCACATGTGCAATACATGTAAATCTTTATATCAGGTCGCAGCTCGAAGGGCGGCCAATTCGACGGCGATGTTGATCCTTTCTCATATTTTTGGATACTCCTCCTTTGTATGAAGGGAGATTCTGCGTGTTGGTTATCAGACACGGAAGTACCGCCGTTTGAAAGCTGCTTTTCCCGGGATAGAACACTGCGGCATTCTGTAAGAAGCCAATAATTGAATGCTCGGATGGCTAATATCTCAGCATGACAGTCATGTAGTACCAGGCCTTTGCAGCGTGGAATATGAGATGCAGATAGGCATTTTGCACCACTCCTATATAGATGTCAGACATACTCTGAGATTACCAAGCGGTTGGAAAACGTACGTGACGGATATACAAGTCAGACTTTCCGAAGCTGTATTTTCTCCTATCGGCTCAAACGAAACAGCATCAGTATAAATACTGTAATATCAAGATAGAACAGAGAAGACATGAGACATGAGGGCGAAGTAGAGCAATGAACCTCCGCCATACATGCACCAGTGAATCTAAAAATCTTATAGAAAAATCTTGCAAGTGACATACCTTTAACAGCCACAATCCCAGTCATCGGAATCCATTCCCTCGATCCATCAGAAAAAGTAGTTGGTTTACTGCGCGTGGGCAACGCCTCGAAATGCGCATGTACCAGCGAAGCAATCCGAGACGGTAACGTGGGAGCAAATGTCTCAGCAGACATTGTATATGCTCATATCCTTCGCGAACTGCTACAAAACAACCGCTTCACACACAAGTAGGACTGTAGGAGGCCGCCAGCGTCGAACAATCTCAGGATGGCCCATATAGTCACGTGATGCGATATCTTCTTCCCGCCTGAGGCAACCACAATTCTCGAATCTTGAACCGCGTAACTCGGTCTCCATCTCATCCAACACATTACACAACCAACTACCCCCCAACAAATCCACCATGGCCGACAAGCTCCGCACAATTCAGAACCTCGAGGCTCTCCAGTCCCGCTACGTCGGTACCGGCCACGCCGATACTACCAAGTACGAATGGACCTCCAATATCCTTCGCGACAGCTACTCTTCCTACGTTGGCCACCCGCCCCTGCTGTCATACATGGCTGTCGGTATGGGCGAGCCGAAGGAGAAGGTGCGCACGATGATGCTGGAGAAGATGGTTAGAGGTGCTGGGAATCCGCCGGAGGTATGTGTGAAGAGTTGCTTAATGCATCGTTAGGAAGACCTAGCTAATCTTTCTTGGTTGATATAGACGCAGGAGTAGAACCGCGCAACGTGGCTCCTTTTTTCATTTCTTGATACCCCCCACATTTGCGTTCGACTAGAAGAGATGGATTGAAGGGTCTTTCGATTACATTCAGCCCAGCTTGGACATCTTGATGATACGAGATCATTGCTTCGATGTTACGATTTTGGATCCGGCGGAGAAATGCTGATGCCGATTTCTTGCCTGCGACTATGAAGGACTACACGCACTCAAGACCCGACGAATTTCTTTCTGGTAGCTGGTGTCTCTTAGGGATTGCCCGCATTTGGACACGGACCTTGGATTTCCCGCCTGTAAGGGAACATATCGTGATCGTGAATATATTGCGCTGCCCACGATGGGATCTTCCGCAACCAACAGCAGGTATTCGTCCGGCCATCGACTTCATCTTGCGCGCGACCTGGCATTGCAAGGTTGATCTGCATTCGGTTCCGAATGCACTCCAATGCGCAGGGAAAAGCCACGAGCCATTCTCTAGCTGGAATACAACATTCATAGTCCACATCCTACATGAATTATAATCTTGAGATATGTCTAGGATATCCAATATGAGGTCAATTCTGGTTAAACAAATGTAGTAATAACCACAATGACAAGACAGATAACATGTAACTACAACGCCATAGCCCATATCAGAGCCCATGAGAACGAAAGGGCCAAGAAAAGTATGCATGCATGTATTTACAAGCCATTCGCAATAAACCATAACCATCAGCTCAAGCACCATCCGACTTCGCCGCCAACTTCGTATTTTCCGCCTGCAACGAAGTAACAAGATCGATCCACTTCTGTCTCTCACCGCGAAGTGTCTTCACCTCCTTCTTAAGATCCGACACCTCCTGCTTCAACCCCTCAACCTCAGACTTCTTCTTCGACTTGTGCTTCTCCGACCGCTCCTCATCCTTCCGCTGCTTTGTCTGAATTTTCGACGCAACCTTAGATTGACTAGCCTCAAGCTTGCGCAATTGCTTAACAAGCTTCGCTTCCCCGCTCAGAAGCTGCGATCTAAGCTTCTGCAGACCGGCCTGACCCGGCGTCGCCGTGTGTAAAGATGTCTGGCTGTCATTGGCGCCTTCGTTCTGGATCTGGAGTTGGCTCTGCTGGGTGCGGGAGCTGGCGGGTGAAGAGGCGTTCGTTGCTGCGCGCTTGCGCATCCCGCTCGCGTCATCGCCGATGTTCCTCGGTGGTGTTCCTGGGGCGGTGGGTGGACGGGACGAGATCTGGAGGTTGTCTAGTTCGGCGCGGACTTCTTCTAGCTTTGCTTCGACCTCGCGTTTGCGGATGGCGAGCTTTGCGAGCTCTTTTTCGTAGGAGCTTGGCTTGCCGTTCTTTGTCATTTGGATCATTTCTTCGGGGGTCAGGTCGTTCGGGGGGCCTTCGTTGATTGCGGGTGTTGGTTGGTCGGAGATGGCGGAGGATAGCGAGCACTGGTCGGGTTGGGGGGATTTCGAAGAGACTGTGTCCGAAGATGTCTTGTTTTGTCGAGCGCTCTCTGGTGACAGGTGCGCTACGCCCTCTGGATCAATGTAGGAGACTTCTTCTGCGTCGGGCGGACTCTTCGGTGGTTCGGAGTGGTTGCCATAGCCCAGTACTTGGGGTGCAAGCCGTTCCAGGCCGGTATTGAGTAGGCCGGTGACACTGGCAATCAGGCCGTGGTGGGAATGTTCGCCGTCGCTGTCAGCCGATTCATAATCCGAATCCGAGCTGTCTGTCTTGTCGGAGTCGGAGCCGTCGACAGACTGAGACTGCTCGGGCTTACCTGAGCCATTTGTGGGTTCCGTATCTGGACTTGGCTGCTTGGGCGGCTTGTTGTCTTGAATAGCCCAGTTGATGAATTTAGCGGCGTCCGTTCCCACGCTTTTCGGTGTTCCTTTGTCCACCATCCACCGCGGAATGTTGCCACCGGGATCACTTCTGGTGACCATAATCCATTCAACGGGGTTCATTTCCTCGTCTTCATCACGGGCTCCATCCTGCTGAGGACGTTGCTGATTGGGAGTCAACGACTTGTTACTCCCCCGACCGGAGGAGCTGCTAGAACTCCCATGCTTCTTCTTCGGAATCTCCCGGATAATCTCCACAGACTCATACTCGCCGCGAGTATACCCCTGCTTAGGCGGGATTCCAGCGTGGTCACACGGCTTAGAGATCATCATCCAGCTCCGACCAGGCTGCTTAGTGCCTCCAATTTCCAGGCCACGATCAGAATTAATGATCAACGCAACAAAATCGCGCGGAGTAGTAGGCCTTGGAAATTGCGCCGAAACGTGGTAGACACTCAGACCTCCAAGAACAGAGCCATCGTCGTCCTTAATCTCAATAGTCTCGATCTTCTCTTCAGCACCAATCCCCCTAATGCTGTTATCAGGCGTCTGTCCCTTCTTAAGCTTCTTCTGGTTGACCTTGAGTGTCTCGTCGTACTCAGTCGAAAGCTTCTGACGCCATCGCGAGAACGGGAGACCCTCATGCACACTCCGTCGTCCGAACCACGATCCGCCACCGTCGTTCGCGGAGAGTTTCCACACGGTCACATCTACGGGATTGTCCTTTGGTCCTCCCATCTTGATCGGCTTTCCCCATGCCTTCTGCAGGTCTGTAACTTCTGGATCGGTTTCTCCGACGCGTGAGGAAGAGGGAATAAGTCGCCGGGTCGAAGAGTCAGACCTATCGTGTTCTAGCCCGGGATATGAAGTGCTTTCGGAGAGTGGTGGATCTGGTAGTGACTCTGCTATCAGGCGGCCGTTCTTGAACATCTCACGTAAGTAGCTCCGAAGTCCGTCGGCATCTTGGGGAACGTCATCCCAGGACGTCGGTTTGAGGCATTGGAGGGCTTCGTGTAAGGTGGTCATATGAGCGACGGAGAGCAATTAAAGCTCTTGAGGGTTGTTTTGAGGTATGTATTGCTAGTATGTTAATGTAGCGGTAGTGTAAAGGTGTTGCTGTCAAGGAGCGGGGATCGTCCGTTCGTGGATGGGTTATGTCGCTGGTCACGGTGGTAGGATAAGCGCTGGCAGCAAGATTGAAAAAACAAATGGCACAATAGAAAGAGTCAACTTCAAAAGTACAAGTGTTAGGGAGTGACTGTGATGGGAGAAAGTTCGCAGTAGAGCGATTGACTGAGTGTAGTAGTGTCTTGGCTGGGGTTTGACGTCATATGCGGACGTGGGGACAGCATGGGGTAAAACTTGTCCGCGCGATTTATTTGTTTACTGCCTTGAAACGCCCCTTTCGTTGAAATTAGAATGATTTAAGCAAGTTTCTGAGAACCACTCCAGTCATAGGTGTTTCTTGGGCCTTGATCGTGCAGACAACTATGACATTGCCGATCATTAGGCCCCATTGCCCCATACTTGAAGCGATTGTACGTCGTAGGGCTGATTCCACTTCCACGACAAACATCCCAGGCGACTCCTGCTTAGCTACATGTACATAAGGGAAGTAGAGATTGTATGCACTTTCTTCAACTAATTAAGCTAATCAGACACATACAACAGTTGGACTAAGCTGCTGAAGGATCAACACAAAACCAAAAGAAAAGAAGCAACCAGTGCAAGGGACCAGCCCCTCGAACAGACAGATCATGAGCGAAGGGATCTGTCAGTTTGAGCATCAGATTCTCGTCGTCGGAACAAAGAATGAGAAAGAGGGCTCTTTCAACCAGTGAAAAAGCCCACCGACAGACCGAGCTTGCCCAGGAATTTCTATAACCCAGCCTGGACGATAGGAGATGAACCTATCATTGCCAAGTATGGTATTGGAAACAAGATCAGCGAGCATAGTGAAAGAGTGTTGCTTGGAGATGTCCAGATTCATAGGTCACAGACCGGAGGTTGGAATTGGGTTCATCGCCATTCGCGCTTGGTATCCACCACAGGTGGACACGCGCAAGTCTAACAATAGTCGACTCGACTCGACACTCTATGACTCCGTTCGCTGATCGCATCTCGAATGACCAAGATGACAAAAAGGCGTGCTTCAACTGAGCATCGCAGATGCAAGGAGGAAGGTAACGCCGTCGCATAGGCATATCCTCCAATTCTCAGATGATGAGAACTGGCCAGTCTGGTATCCAGTACCAGAAGGATTTACCTTGGACGGAAGGCAAGGAAACAAAAGCAAAGCGCTGAACCCAGTCCAGTCGAATAGCCAAGTTTTGCTTCACTTCCTTCCCGTCAGGCGACGAAGAATTGAAATCGTAATGGACATTCCACGTCCACAACCATATCCTCCACATGCCGTGAGGCAGACCAGTCTTCATGACATATATGCGGACATAACAAAAGAAATGAAACATAACAAAGAGCCGACCCGCCGCTTCTTGATGCAAAGGAAAAGGAAAAATCGCATCGCTGACGCTGGAATCGAAACATCAAAATATCAAAACAAGCGCATAAAAGGAGTATTCTGGTTATCATGCAAATAACAGGAGGGAGTATCAAAGATGCACAGAGTCAAATGGAAGAGAACGCCGTCGAGAATGCGAGTTGTCGGTTGGAGCGGGGTTCCCGAAAGTAGAAGGGTTGAGAGGAGAGGAGGGAATATCGGAGATGCCAAAGGACGTGCGCGCGTTGAATCCAAGAGAACGATCTACGTCTCTCGAAAATCACGTTGCACGAGCCGGGCGAGGTGGACTGGCGATGATCGACATCACCGAGTCTACTCAGAAGACCTGAGCTAGGCGATCGTGCCATACGGCAGTGGCGCCCACTCGCCCCAGCTGAAACCACCCATGCCCATATTAACAGCCGTGCCGCAGGGTTGCACGAGCATGCTCGCATACATGCTTGGCAACGGAAGCGCACTGATAGCGGCCGACGTCGTCGGCATGCAAGTGGGCATGCAATCGTAGGTCTGGTACGGCGAGGTTGTGTAAGGTTGGCTGTAAGACGGGGTCGGGGAGGCAAGCTGGGCCTCACTGAAACTGATACTAGCCCAAAGATTGGGGTTAGAATCACCCGTGGTGGCCGGGTTGGGGCTGGGCGACAGTACTTTCCACGGCTCGAGTTGCGGCTGCGGCACGGAGGTCTGCCACCAGTTTTCCGGACCGGTTGAGCTGGGAAGAAGGGGCACAGGGTGCATGATATCCACCACCGGTGGTGGAGGGGCGGTCAGTGGGACGAAGAGCTTGCCGATGGCTGCCTTTGCTTCCTCACTGCGGCCGCTTAGCAGCTCCCCGGCACCGTCTTCTTCCAATCCTTCGAGGGCTTCGGCGCTGGTGCGGTAGACGAACTTGTTGGCGGCTTGAACGAACTCCTCCTGTAGTTTCTTCAGCTCGGCGTGCTTTCCAGACCAGTTGTAGGTGTTGGCCGCGGCATCTACTGAGTAGATCTCCTTGTGGAAATCGACCAGAGATTCTATCGTCTCCGGGGTTAACTTGAAGGCTACCTCGTTCCGTGAAATCATGTCAACATGTACAACGTAGGCTTCGATATGGATCATCTGGTGATTCTGGAAGGCATCCCAGAGTGAATTCTCGCTCTTCTCCAGCTCTGATTCGGGGGCTTTGGTGAACATCATGGAGCACAACGTCCAGATGGCGTTGGATGATGAGAGGGTTTCTGTCAGACACCGTGTATGCTGGGTGACATTGTTCAGAGGACGCTTGACCCGGTTGACTCGTTTCAGGGTGGCTGTCAACCAAGGCTCAACCTTGTTCTTCAACACGACATTCGGGGATGAGCGCGGCGCAAAAGCGGCGGCGGATGATGGAAGTAAGACTGTTGGCATTATGACTCTGTGCGAGGGGTGATACGTCCGGCGTTAATGCTGATATAAAAGAATGTAGAATATAGAATGTAAATCATAAAGGCGACATTCGCCCACACAATACTTTGGCGGGATTTCGGGTTCGTGTCTCGTTTATTGTCGCATGATCCAGGGAACGTAGTATTAATGCAGGCGAACGCGCAAAACAAAAAGAATCGAATTAGATAAAAAGGAGAGGACGTTACAAGTCAGTTATAGAAGAGAAGGGAAGAAGAAGAAGAAGAAGAAGAGAGAGGGGTGGGAACAAAAAGTTGCCTTGTGGAGAATGAACAGGCACAATATTATGGGTCAATATGGAGTATTATTTTTTGCAATAAATTTCTATTTTATCTTGTCTGTATACTTCTAGGGTTCGTAACTTCGTATTATTTGACTATGCAGTCTGATGGAGTCCATGTCACTGGCCACATCTCGGCCTCCCCGATCTGCAACTGTAGACTCTTCAGGTGGCGAGGAGATTGAAATAGAGAGAACGCGAGATCCAACCGATCAAGGACACTGTTTCATTGACTTGTGAGGTCTCCTCGCACAATCTAGTCTCACACATCCGTTGCACGTCCATCCGGCCAGAACACCTGCATGATGCCCTAAACTGCAACAGCTAAGCCCCCAATCCACGAAACATCTCTTCTAAACGGGAAATTCAGCATAAATCTGTAGGAAGATAAACCTCCGAGTCTGCAAAGATCATCTAACTAGAGCGAGTTAGCGAGTTTAGAACTGTTTAGCGGAGACTTAAACACCGTTCTCAGCTGGGCGTTGTGCATATTTCAAGGCCAAGATCGACACATCGGTATTGGGAGGTTCTACTGCGTCGACACTAGAGATTGCCTGCTTTAGGGTGAAGATTCTATTTCTAGTCGGCTGCAGGTCAAGCCACCAGAGTTTGATCCCACGTTGAGGTTCGAAATACTTTATATAGTAGGACAATACAGGATAACACTCATAACAGGATAGAATAGGGGTAATAATGTTAGGAATTATATCAAGATATGAATACACGGAATACATTTCTATACCCCATTCCCTGTCTGTTTTCTTTTTACACAGTAGCCCTGTCGAATATACAGAAGAGTTGACCTCAGCTGATGGAGGGTCAAGCGTGGGGCTAAAAGGCCGTCTTGAACCACTTCTGGGCTGTGATTGGGTGTGGGGAAGCGAGTCCGTCCGATGCGCCCTAAGCTGAGATACCTGTTTTGATCTGCCATTGGAGCCTCGATGGCCAGACTTTTTGGGACGAGCGCCACTAGTCTGTACACAATCCGGGCTCTAATGTACGAAGAGTAATGATACCGTTTCTTACGCTTCTAGCCTTGTCCACATGATTCAACCTTTTCTCTGTGTTCTCTTCTTACTCTTGTGCTCCACCAACTCCCACTAATATACGCGCCTCTGCCTCTGTCCTGAAACCACAATCAATCCCTGCTGCATATGAGTTCGGTCACATGGTCTTGGGTGTGGGAAAGGATTGGCTGTCCTATGCTGGATGCTGAAGAAGAATTTCCAGGTTTCGTCATCGTCATATCGTTCTCGCTCATGGTATCAAAGAAAAGATGCGACCGGTGGGGTGGTTGCTCTGCCCGAAAATAGAAGTGAGGCTGTGCTCTCCACTCGCCACACCCATGTGGCGGATATCTCCGGCCCCACATTTGACCATGCAGATCCACCCATGGTCCCAACTACCGGTTTCATGAATCATGCTTTCACTTCACGTGTTTACACAGTACCGAGACTCGGTTGGAGAATAGGCACTGATGCGTTGACAAGAACTGGAGAAACCGGACTTAGGCGATGACACCTACATCCGTAGCCGGGCGGGTGCTGAAACTCAGCTCTACTGGGCACTCAGCCAGGCAGCCTGGACCGGTTTCATGATTGCTAAGCTGTAATCATCCAGAGTTGGATAACTAGATGCCATTGCCTTGCTTAACTTTGAATCAAGCAATATATTAAGATATATCGCCCCTGGCAAACCATATCGTTCATGACTCACAGGTGCGGCGAAGGTGTCGGGTTTGAAATGAAGCCAGACAGTGCCTCAATTGCTACACGATATACTGGTTGTTAGAACAAAAATCTCGGTATAATGCCAGGAGTGAGTCATCCAGTCTGGGCTTAAGGGCTTTCGACGACAAGTCGACAACAATTGCTTGGCTACTACCCGTATTTAGAACATCGCTAAGTCTAACGGGTTTGGTTCATGAACGCGCCTGGGTGATGGGGCGGTGAGAAGTCAGGCATTCGGGCATAAATATTCCCCCGTCAAACAGTAATCCAGCCTTGAGCGCTATGAGCCTATGACTGCGTATACACAGTCCTCATTTCCATCGCTTACCCTGAGATTTTATCAATTCCTAAGATGGCAAAGTATCGCAAGGCTTCCTGGTATCGCCGGCGAGGGTATAAGTGGCCGTTAAGTGTTGTTCCACCATCTCCTGGGCAAAACCGGGACAACATCGACTGGCAGTACGTCGAGTCCATGCGCCGAATGTTTCCCGGGATTTAGACATGTTTCATCCATGTGTGGCTGAGGCAGAGGCACTTGAGGTACAACGTCAGTCTCAGCAATCTTTTGATGACGGGACGCTATCAAAGATAGAGTCCACCCACTCGCGGTCGGTACGTTAATCGACATCTCTTGTTTATGGATATTTCAATAGTTAGTTATATACTAACTAAGTTGACTTAGATTGTGGAAGAAGCGGACAATCAAACTAGTCTTGAACCCACCGAGTGTGAAGTTGAAGAAATCGAAGAAGAGCGGTGGAAAGTTGAAGAAATCAAAGAAGAAAAATCCATTCAAGGCACGAACTACTTCTTGTTGAAATGGATAGGCAGGCCCTCTGAGTACAATGAATGGGTCCCAGAGGAAGATATGGAAAACCTGCGCGACGAGATCGAGGAATTCAGGGAGGCTAAGCCAAGGACGACGAAGACAAGACAACCGCCAACCCACTCGCAGTTGGTACGTTAATCAATATCTCTTATGGATATCTCAATATACTAATTTGACTTAGATTGAGGAAGAAGCGGATAATCAAACTACTCTTGAACCCGCCGAGTGTGAAGTTGAAGAAATCGAAGAAGAAAAATCCATTTGAGGCACGAACTACTTCTTGTTGAAATGGATAGGCAGGCCCTCTGAGTACAATGAATGGGTCCCAGAGGAAGATATGGAAAACCTGCGCGACATGATCGAGGAATTCAGGGAGGCTAAGCCAAGGACGACGAAGACAAAACAACGGCCAAAGTCATCCCATTGAAACGGTAACGCTTGGCCTTTCTCCAAGTTATACGCGCCGACGATACAGCTCATCAGCAAATCAATGTTCTTATTGAGGAGGCCTCTGCAGAGAGAGCATCATCCAATGCTGCCGATACAGAGGGCCCCGGCTATGAAGATTCCCGGCGAAGCTGCCCTGAATAGTTTGGACGTTGTGATCTATTTGGCCGTGTCTAAACTTTTGACGAGGACATCTCACTGTGTCGATCATCTCGTGGCTTCTTTGAATATTCCGTTTCCCTGCCCTTAGGTAGAGGAATATTGACACCCGGAACTTTGCACGCAAGAGTCCGAAATCCTACTTGTCCGTCCGATATGTAAGTTCCATAATACACTGAAGTCATCACTCTTTGATATGTCTTCCCTTGCAGCAAAGAGGCATTCCGGTGATACATCTCATCCTCGGACAGAGCGCTTGAAGACCTAGCCTGAACAGAGTCTCTCTCGAACCGTAGGCGAGAGTCCACTATTTCGTGTTTTGCTGAAAGCGCGATAGGGACACCATCAAGACGACTTCCACTGAGGATCTTCTGTACTTAGCCCCGGCCCTAGGTCCATCCATTGGGTAAGAGTGAGGCTTGCATGAGTCTCATCAGGCTTCGAATCTCCAACTGCCAAGAGGTATTACATTTATCACAACTCCCTTGGTCGGCTGGGACCTTAGGGCTTGTGGCAGTGCAATAACGTCTGATTTGAGAGGTCAAGATGTACCTGAAGCCCGGCTCAGAATTGTGGATATGCCTGCAGACACTCATAGGTCCGTTTTCGCGGCATGGCCACATCCGTGGTACATCTTGTCGAGTTTGTCGCCGCTGTTTTTGCAAGCATATCGGCGGTCCCATTCCCTAGGATTCCTTCGTGAGCCGATAATATCCAGCGTAGCTCCACGTGGAGGCCCTGGCTGGCGCACCACTCCAGTAGGCAGATGCTGCCTTCGAAGTAGATCTGCCCTGGCGGCATCTTTGGGTTCTGGATGGCCCTGAGGGCAGCCTGGTCGGTGTGGATCCTCGGAGCAGTTGTTTCGACGATCTGGTTCAGTTGGTGTTCTATTGGTAGCAGATGTAGTTCCACTTCAGCGCCTCCCTTGCTGTTGTTCTAAAGGCCCCGCTTATCAAGCAGGCTGATTTTGTTGTAATTTCGGGACACTTCACATAGCCCTGTTCGCGTGCTGTTGTTGTAAGTGGTGAGTGCGATGCCGCTGCTCCGAATAGCATTTGTGGAACCGTAACCGCTTGATATATTGTTATCAGTGCCGAGAGTGAAGTGAAAAAATAGCGGCGGCAAACACAGGAGAGTCCGTCCAACCAAACCAGCACGTATGACCAATATTCGACTGGCTGTGGCTGCGAGAAGTCAACTCAATGAAAGGTCGCATGCGAAGCCTCATGGACCATGGTCGAAAGGAGGAAGGACGGCACGGACGAGGAGATTGATCGAAGCACCAAACAAAGCGAACATAACATACTGGAGGGGTATATGCAAAGCAACATCGTCAGTCCTGATACAACTCCGCACGGGGATCTAGACAAAATGGTATCTGTGTCCCGGTGTGGGTAATCTGAAAGAGACAGATACGTAGTTGCGAACGATTTCCAGAGACCAACTGCGCCGTCCAATAGACACTCGCTGGACCCCAAAATTATATGAGGATCGACCAACAGAAGCCGGGTCCCCGGATTCTCCAGTCGGGAGAGGGAGAAGGCATTGCTTTGCGAGAAGTGCAATGGGTTAAGGGGATTTGGAATGTGATGGGCACTGGAAACATATGTTAGTATGGCAGTAGAGTACTTACTCCAGTGATGCTGGGGCCATGCACGAACTGTGTTACTCTCAACCTTCCATGATGGGAATCCCGAACTCAGGGACGTTGTGAGCCGCCAGGAACGGAAACTTCCCCTGACTAGAGGTGGAGCCACCCCGCGCCGATCGCGGCGCTAACGCCCGCGATGACCCGCAGAACAAACGTGGTTGCTCTGTTTTACCGTTCACACAGTGCTTGTTTGTCTACCATGCAGTAGTAGTCTAACCTCCAATGACGGATTGAGACGCCTTGGTATCCTTGGTATTGCATCGCAGGTTCGAATCGGCATACGTCGCTACGTCGTATATACCACAGCGAATACGTCGATTGACGATCCAGTTAAGGATCCAACTCTGAGCGATACAATGATCCCATGGTTCCATTCAGGAACGCAAACTCTATTCCTCTTGATTTGTGGACAAACTTGAAGGATGTGGATGTATACATGCGACATACTACATCTTCTTTGGTCGAGCCTATTTCCCTCTCCCATGGTTCCTACTCCGTACATCAAGAGAACCGAATACGTACTACGTAGTTATGGGGCCCGTAGACTAGGGCCCTGCCCCAAGTTGGGGAAGAAGACATGGCTAGGACAGTGGGGAATGCTGCTGATCAAACGGTGTGATTCGACACCTTTTCCTTAAATTATTGAGATGCGCTTAGCGCAGACTTCAATACGGAGTACTCTCGAGGCAAGCAGGATGGCTGATCTCTAAACGACAATTTGGTTCAGAAAACTCGTACCTGCCGATCATCAAGCAAGTAGCGAGGTTAGCGTTGAAGATTCAGGCCGAACAAGAGGCTAGGTCCACAGGTCGTACTTTCCAACATTGCCATTCGTCCTCCCCGCAAGTCTAAGCAACTAGCTGCAGGCTTTGAACGGGTCCGTTGGCAAAATATGGTACCTAATTTCGTTTGAGGCTGTGGACGGCCCTCTCGAACCAGCAACACGGAACGGAAGCAGGGCTCTCGTTGGTCAAGATCGGGTATAGTCCCGTCCCCTGTCTGGCCAGTGTAGCCAGAAAAGGACCCCATACTTACTGCCATCACATGTGGAGTTAGTACTCCTCGGCCTGTTCCAATGAAGGATCTGCGGCGGGCAATGTCCTGGGACATAAAGGGGATGCGAGATCTCCCCTGCAAGATGAGATCTGGTGTCAGCTGTCAACCGTCAAAGGACAATTCCCCGTCAGAATTCCTTTCAACGTCCCAATATGCGTTTTTCTGCTGCCTTTCTTTCGACCCTTGTGCTCTCCAGCACCGCGCTGGCCGGTCCCGCTACCCAGACATCCTCATCTGTAGCGGCCACTCCGACTACACAACGGGACGATAGCAAGGCACCCAGTGCTAACAACGAGAAGGCATCCGATGCATTCAGCTCTCTTGTGCAAGGCGCGGATAAGTTCGCCAACACTGCGACGCCATCTGATACTCAAACTGCAGCTCACGCTGCTGCTGCGGATACCGAGGGCGCCACAACTGCTGCCAACAGCGAGACTACAGCCAAGTCGGACCCCTTGGGGTTGAATAACATCCTGCCAAGCGACAAGTCAGCTTTGGAACCCACAGCAACTGAGGCTGCTGTAACCCAAACCAGCTCCGGATCCAGCGCCAAAGACACAGCTACCGTGACCAAGTCTGCTGAGGACGAGAAAGAGACTCAGAATGCATTCACGGGCGGCGCCGTGAAAGAGTCCAACCCTTTGACTCTTGATGGTACCTTCCTGTCATCCTTTAAGGATTTTGTGCGATTACTAGATGGTGTCCACGGACTGCTTGCACCCACCCTGCTGTCGGATATCGAATCCTTCTTCCACCACGTAGCCTATCTCCTTGACGACAAGACCACCCAGCAAGCCAAGGACCTGCTTGGCACAGCTTCTGACCTTCTCACCAAGGAGCTGATCACAAAGGTCACTGGCTTACTCGACAACGCTGGCGATCTCTTGACTGCCGACTTCGTCAAGGAGACCAAGGATTTGATCAAGACTGTCGGCCCTAACATCACTCCCGAGCTGTTCAAGGAGATCAATAGCCTGCTCACCAACGCTGGCCATCTCCTCACGCCCGACTTCGTCAAGGAGACTAAGGGCCTTATCAGCGCTGTCGGTCCTAACATCACCCCTGAGTTGTTCAAGGAGATCAACAGCGTTCTTGGTAATGCCAACGACCTTCTGACTCCTGAGTCTGTGAAGACCATCAACACCCTACTCACCAACGCCGGTGGCCTGCTCACTCCCGACTTCGTCAAGGAGACCAAGGACTTGATTAAGACCGTCGGTCCTAACATCACACCCGAGCTGTTCAAGGAGATCAACAGCCTGCTCACCAACGCTGGTCATCTCCTGACTCCCACATCCGTCAAGCAGATCGGTGGCCTACTCAACAACGCCAACGACCTCCTGACACCTGAGGGCGTTAAGGAGATCAGTGGTCTCCTCGGCAACGCCAATAAGCTTCTTACCCCAGATGCCGTCAAGGAAATCAGTGGTCTCCTCAGCAATGCCAAGGACCTCCTGACACCCGAGGGCGTTAAGGAGATCAGTGGTCTCCTCGGCAACGCCAATAAGCTTCTTACCCCAGATGCCGTCAAGGACATCAGTGGCTTGCTGTCTCTTGCCACCGGCTTGATCACCCCCGAGTTCGTCAAGGAAGCCAAGGCTCTCGTCACTCCCAACCTCCTCACCGATGTGGGCAGTCTCCTCGACAATGCCGGAGAGCTTCTCACGCCGAAGTTCGTGAACGAGACGCAGACTCTGATCGAGGATGCTGCAGAGGTATGTGTTTATTTTCCCGCAATCTGTTAAAGGCGTTGAACGTGTTGCTGACTCTGGTTTAGATTCTTCCCGCTGCCATGAAGCTGCTCGGATCGTTATAAGATGATCTTTGATGTGATTTCTTTCCTTATTCCTTCGCAATGAAACATCCATGGTAACTCATGATGATTAATGCCACATATGAGCATCTTTAATACGATAATCAAATGACAACTATTCATAATACTTGAAACCAAGAAAATCAAGCCTGGTTGAAGAAGCCATTGCGATTGCCGATGCTATCTCGTCGTACTCAATAGTGGCACTGGGGGTGGCCCAGAGTTGTAAAAAGAGAGCCCCTCCACTAAGCCCAAGTTGAGATCCGAGCGGTTCTTTGTTCGTGTGAAGCACTTCAGATAGAACCGATGGCTGTGGAAGCTCACAGGATATCTGTCTCGTCACTTTTGTGACTGAGTAAAGCGTTCTCTGCTTAGAACGTAGTGACAACTGACAAGGGTACATAGACGATGTAAGCTGACTGAGGCACCTCCTCCATAATGACGAGGAGGCCGGCTCGCCAAGAATCAAACCAAATGCATTCCTTTCGAGCTCAGCTCAGTCGTTGTGTCGTCTTCCAGATGGATGACGTACTAACCACGAGTGGTGATAAGTCTGTAACATTGACTTTTCGTCGAGTTCGTATGAGGTAGAAGACCTCTCGTGATCCACCCCGTCAAGAAGGAATATCTGACGCCTTGGTCTCTTGGAATTTGGACACAACCTTCATCTCGGTGTCGCGTTCCTTGACCTTCTTGTCGATAGATCTTTGAACTTCCTCTCGTTTCCTCTGCGCACTCGCAATCTTATCCTTCACTTCTTTGGCTATTTGTTCTTGCGCGCGGAGCGCAGCCTCGCGTGACTTGTATTCATCTTCCAGTTGCTTCAGCTCGGTTTGGTAATCTTTAGGTTCGATTGGTTGACATGTCACTGGGTGATAACAATATGATGGTAGTGGCCCATCTGGAACTTTGATATTGGCAAGCTCGGGGTGTATTGGGGTGGTACGCGTTGGTGCATCCAGAGGAACGGCCGAGGCCGGGGCTGGTGAAGAGACAGCGGGGGTGGTGGGTTCGGACTTCACCATAGTTGCAGAGAGATAACGAGACTAGCAGATGATAAATTGTAAGCCACAAAAGTTATCCGCTGGTGGCTTCTGAAAAGTAGGTAAAGGGTTGGAGTAGAAAGAAAGACCTCGAGACCGTGGGTTGAAAGTGAAACTGAAAGTCGCGGCTTCTTCATTTTGCCGCATCACAATTCACCGCCCATGTTGGCGTATGCGGGGGAGGACTCCAAGCCTCAACTTAATTAACCACTCTATCACTTGGCATTTGGTATTCATGCTATTCAGATCCATTGTCTCCTCCGGTTGAGAACTATCCCCTAGGCCGGTCCTAAGTGGGCCAGCTGATGTGCCTGTGACATCGAGTTCCAACAAGCTTCGATACCGTGACGTGATCATCACCATGCAAGCATTTGGTATGTTCTTTTGTACTTGATGATTGCTACCTGCTAATGAGCTTACGATAGTTCCCAAGAACAGACGAGTAAGTTACAAACTCAGGGCAACATAAGCACGGGATGACTGACTTTTGCTACAGCCCAGGTTCGAGCTTGTGTTGAGGGTAGGCACTGCAAACAAACTATAGAAATGTTGTCAGATGTCTGACTTTGAGAAGATCATTGATATCAACAATGTCCCCTTGGGCAACAGTGTTGCATTTGTACGATGGCGATTGCCATCTTCGAGCGCTACTGAACACCAAGGCCGCACAGAGAAATCGACTCTCTCAGACCACCGCGCTTACTGGGGCTATGAAAAATCTCTTCAAGTAAGGCTTACAATCGATAGGACATCGGTTCTACAGGAGTGTGACATCAACTTTGAAGTTATACAAGAGTTCACCTCATCGACCATTTCCGAAAAGAGCGTTCTGGGCAAGATCAAACTCAACCTTGCCGAATACGTGGACAAGACCGATGAAGATGATGGAATTACTAGGCGATATCTGCTGCATGAAAGCAAAGTGAATAGTACCGTCAAGATCGGAATCGCAATACGCCAGCTGGAAGGAGATCGCAACTTTACCACGTGAGCAGGATCGCTAAACACAAACCCCTGATTCAAGCGCTGAAAGCTGATATAAAAAGACCGCAACTGAAGTCCGCCACCGTGTTCGGAGGAATCGCCGGTGTTGTCCACTCCACCGAGCAGCCGATTGACCCCGATGAAGTCGGTCGGCTGGCTCACATGGACACCAAGAGTGGGGAACTCACAGATATGCAAGACATGTACCGGCGTACTTTAGCAGCATCGTGGTCATCTAGAGCAGGTGATTTGCCTGCCGATAGGCTGATTGAAGAATTGTTTTGCGGAAGCGCCTGCTGGAACAACGATGCACACAGTGCCAATGCCGAACTCCCAGCAGAAAGACACCGAGTTTCTCTGTTGACCCCGGAGGCTGTTCCACGGCAGAGCCGTTCTGGAAAAGTCCTTTCATCCAGCTTCGAGCATCGTCGAAAAAGTACGTCCAGCAATCGATCACGCAGCAGCTCCAAGACTGCGGACTCCCTCGCAGCACTTGGACATCCAAAAAAGGGTGGAAGTATAGAGCAACAGCTATACGAAGGTGTGAAAAATCGAGCATGGAAGACATCCGACACGAGCAACGAGCTTTCCGAGTTCGCAGTGAGAGAGGATTTGCGCAGTTGGGAAGTTCAATCAAAAGAATAAGTCGTACCTAATTTATCATGTATTATATCTCGGAGTCGTTGAAAACGCCCAGTATCCACCCTCTCATTACTCGCACGCGTCATGTTAAGAGTACATAAAGCGACTCTTCGGTTCAAGACATTTGTATGTGTATACTGTATGCGGGTTGTAGATACTGGGGCCGATCTGATCGCAGCCTGAGGCAGAACGAGTCTTATCGCGGCTTAGCGCCACGATTATCGCCGGAGAAAAGCAATTGTAGGATATTTTGCCATTTGCCATTTGTACGTGTGCAATCGACATACTCTCTGTCATGCTTCGACGACCCGCAGGGAATAAGCTGGGGCTCCTCGGTTTCCGGTCGCTCGTATACTGCAACCCAATTTCGACATACCCACATGCCGTCCTTCCCCGATTTCAGAGTGACTGGCGTCGCAAACATGAAGCCGATTCCGATGAACACCGGGATAACTCAGTGCACCCGAATGCTGAGCGCGAACAATCGCGCGACTTGAGAGATTTTGAAAAACAAAGACGTGAGAGAATCAGGTTTCCATTGGAGGTGGATTCCCTCGGAAAGCCAGGGGAGATTGTTGTCATGCCCTCACTAGGTCGCAAACGCCGCCGAAGAAAGCCTGGAAATGAACTCGAAGCCACCAATGAAACTCGTGATACTATCAGCTCCATATTGGGTGATCTTGATGATGAGAAGTCATTGCCCAGCGAAACCTCAATCCAGCAAAGAATCGAAGAAATGCGTGGATCATACCAAATGGGCGAGACGATTCCTGATCTTGTCTTTGAACAATTGCGGACACAATTGGCGGCCTCTTTCACATTCAAGCAACTGTCGGATTACATTGCGGAATACGACCGTAATACTACGGTGGACGACAAAGGCTGGACATGGGGCCCGAGTCAGGGCAAAGGACCCGGAACGGCCGAAAAGCTCAAGGGAAAGGCCCTGCTTGCAGAAATGATCGCTCGGGATCGTTGGCAGCTGGTCGTAGCTGCCGAGTTCGGTCGGCTTGAGTTTCACATACCAGCTCGGCTGATGTCCTTGCTTCGCCACGCCGGGCATTTCTCCTTCCATGAACTAGCTAGTCTCCATGGCTGTGGCATTGACATCACACACAAGACTGGCTTGGTTGCACTTACTGGTAAACGAGGTGAATGCGAGCATGTCCGCGAGATTATCATGGATGCCACTGCCAGAGCCTGCGAGGATGCTGTCGGAATCTACTCATATACCGACTCAGAGAGCACTAGTCAGATATTTACAGCGGACTTCTTACAATGGGTCAACAAAACCTACGGGGTATTTGTGGAACGCAGACCTCACAAAATTCCAGAAAAGATACTTTATCTAGCTGAGAACAAGCTGGGAGCTGAAAATGCTCGGAGGACCTTGAACTTGGCCTTGTCCAACACCACATCTCTATCGACGCCCTTTTCCACCTACCTGCCCTCTTCGGAACTTGCCAGTATCTATCACCACACCCCGGGAGCTCATGCTTCGTGGTTTGAGAAGCAAAATCCATGGTTCCGATGGGCCATGTCTTCCAGTCAACATGAAAAGGCAGAGGCACAGGAAACACCTTTCTTCGACAAGCATCAAACACGACTCTCCGATGAGCTGCTGAGACTTCTCCGAGTTGATGGTTCGAAAGCCGGTCTAGCCGCCGGCCTACATGAATCTGTGACTGCTGTGGTCGGGAAATGCCTGTTCATGGAGGAGTCCTCCTTCGAAGCTCCAGCTGTCAGCCCGGCACAGTTGGGGGCCTTGTCTCTTCCACGGATATTCACAACTGACACGCCTTGGGTGTCTCGTTTTATCGAAAAACTCTCACCTATCACCGCCAATGACGAAGTAAAGGTATATCGACTACGCTTGTCTCCAACTTCCAACGCTGGATCCCTTCCAGAACTCGAGTTTGAGGTCTCCATGAATCCGTCTTTGAAATATGTGGATTTCCGCACCCTGAAGGCCATCAAGAGCACCAACAGCGTTGATTATCTGCTCCCGGAAAACGGGTTGGACCTTCGTTTCACACGAACTGTTTCTCAGGACCTTTTACTCAAGCCATCATCCCCTCCAGAGCACATGCAAGGCTTATCCGAACAACTTTCGCATGAACATTCTCTTTCACCAGAGATCCAAGCTATGCTTCAGAGCCTCAGAGACTCTGTCCAGAGTACCTTTGTCAGCGGCGAGACTTCGCAGTGGCATGTACCAGCTCCTACGTTCTGCAACGTCTCTCTTCCCCGTGAACTGATCCAACAACCTACCTCCCGAAAGGTGAAACTCGTTGAGTCAGGTGAACCAACCTCAGAGAACAGTGTCACTGTTGAATACATGTTCCAGCCGCTCAACGATGTTCGAGGCGCTCTGGTTCGAACCTATGACTTTGATGGGCGACCACTTGATTATCGGTACTACGCCAGCGGTCCTTTCCTTGCTAGCCGGACGAACGAGGTGTCTCTTGGCATGGACATCCCCCAAGCTGACTCGGCTGCTGGAAGTGACCAGTCCGAGTTGCTTGAGCACGAGTTCCATTCATTCTATAACGCAGCATGCGACATGGCCTTCCAAATCCACGGTGGCAGAGATGTGGATTGAGAGCGTGGGGTGTCTTTGATTTGAAATTTGTACAGCGTGCATCAACAGCCATCTTTGTATGGGATGGGGGCGTCTTGGGGCTAAATTTACTGTACATTAGATGTAAAATACTGTTTCTTAACCTGATAGAACTAATTACATATTCTGAGCTTTGTTTAGATGAACACCAGGTCAAATATCGGGTGGTTGCCGGACGTGCTGTTGTTTATCCTCTAAGGTTGAGCTTTCCATATGACATAGAGTTGAGAGATCAAAGCCCACAGATCACAAGATGTTTCAGAGCTCTCAAATAACAGAGTACAAGGTAGAGATGCCTGCAATCCGCATCCATGACCCTATGGCCAAATTCATCAATTCAAAGGCTAGGATGAAATCGTTGAGAACCGTATTGATAGCCTGTCTGGCAAAAATGTATGAGAGAGGCGTGACCTCGGCGGCCCCACAGGTTCTCGAGGCCCGTGACGTGAAACCCTCTTTTATCCCAACTACTCCGCGTCCTCCATAACTCAACAATAACGATCGACCTGGATTTATATACGGATTCGTTTTCAATACATGCTAGGTTGACCCGCACTACTTGTGATTCAGACGGTGCCTTCCGATCATCTTCATTCTAGCGTTACTTTCACCTAGTATATCCAGCATGAAGACTGCGCGCCAGTGATACGCACGGCATGGAGAAAACACGGGTTGCTAAGGTTTGGAGATTCCATCTTCACTGCTACAAACATCTTACTCACTGATCATGTTACTCCAGGTTGACAATGTGACCCTGGCTCGCCGCGGAGAGCAGGTCGACGGCACCCTCCATCTGACCCCTCACCACCTCATATTTTCGCATACTCCACCGATCTCCCCGGAAGATTCGATAAAGGGGGTGGTAATAAGGCCCAAAGAACTCTGGATTACTTATCCCATCATCGCTTTCTGCACCCTGCGACCAGCTCCCGCCGCCTCCCGCCAGCTCTCTTCCATTCGCCTTCGATGCCGAGACTTCACATTCGTCTGCTTTTACTTTGTAAATGAGCATAAAGCACGTGATGTATTCGAAAGCATCAAGCAGTGGACATGCAAATCCGGTCGCATAGACAAACTCTACGCCTTCAGCTACCAGCCCCCGCCACCAGAGAAGGAGTTTAATGGTTGGGAGCTCTATGACCCGCGCAAAGAATGGGCCCGCCAGGGCTGCTTAGAGGAAGGAAAGGCATGGCGTCTATCAGAGATTAACGTCAACTACGAGGTAAATCCGAGCAATCAGTAAACTACGGTCTATATATACTGACCACTCTAGTTCTCCCCGACATATCCCGCTCTTATCCCTGTACCGAGCTCCATCTCCGACAATACACTTAATTACGCTGGGCGCTATCGCTCTCGGGCACGGATACCTGCTCTCACATACTTCCACCCTGTCAATAATTGCACTATTACCAGGAGCTCGCAGCCGCTGGTCGGTGTCCGCCAGCACCGGAGTATCCAAGACGAAAAGCTTCTTTCTGCTATTTTCATGACTTCTCGCACCGAGCGGCCGCTGGCGAGCTTCTCTACTCCGGAGAAAGATGCGGATAACAGCAGTCCGGAGACGAGCCAGGTTATGGTCCCAGAGTTGAACAATGCCGAGGAACTTGAGGACGATCTACTAGCCGCTGGGAGCGGTGGCATCGAAGAGCAGAGCTCGATATATGGTGCCCAGCAGTCCAACTTGATTGTGGATGCACGCCCCACGGTAAATGCATTTGCCATGCAAGCCGTTGGGCTTGGATCCGAAAACATGGACAATTACAAATTCGCCACGAAAGCTTATCTTGGTATTGATAACATCCATGTCATGCGAGACTCCCTGAACAAGGTTATCGATACCTTGAAAGAGTCCGATGTTACCCCCTTAGGACCCAATCGTGACCAACTAGCACGCAGCGGCTGGTTGAAACACATTGGTGGGATCTTGGACGGGGCCAGACTGATCACTCGTCAAGTTGGACTAACTCATTCCCATGTCCTAATTCACTGCTCTGATGGCTGGGATCGCACGAGTCAGCTTAGTGCACTGAGTCAGATCTGTTTGGATCCTTACTTCCGGACATTGGAGGGCTTTATGGTTCTGGTAGAGAAAGACTGGCTTTCATTTGGACACATGTTCAGACACCGGTCTGGTCATCTGAACTGCGAGAAATGGTTCCAGATCGAAAATGAACGCATCGGCGGAGACCCCAACCGTGCCTTTGGTGACGGTGGGGGTGCAGGGAAAGCGATTGAAAATGCTTTCCTTAGTGCCAAAGGCTTCTTCAACCGCGACAACACTAGCCGTAACTCTTTGCCGGACTCAGATGGAGAACTTCAAAATTACGAGTCTGACACACCTCCCGAGAAGCCTACTGCGCCGCGCTCGGGCGTATCTGAGAAGGAGGTGACTAAACCGAAGGAAACAAGTCCTGTGTTCCACCAGTTCCTGGACGCGACTTATCAGCTGCTTCACCAGTATCCAACAAGATTTGAGTTTAATGAGCGTTTCCTACGACGGCTTCTCTATCATCTTTACTCCTGCCAGTTTGGCACATTCTTGTTCAACAATGAAAAAGAGCGGGTGGATTGCAAGGCCAGCGAACGAACTCGCAGTGTCTGGGATTACTTCCTCGCCCGTCGGGAACAATTCACAAATCCTCAATATGATCCTGTGATCGATGATCATCAGCGCGGCAAAGAACGACTTATCTTCCCCCGGGTCAACGAAACCAGATGGTGGAATGAGGTATTTGGTCGAACAGATGCGGAAATGAATGGCCCTCGTCCCTCGGGGGCTCCCAGGGACAACTCGCAAAGCCCGGTGTTGACGGGGATTGAAACCGCAGGGTCGAACAATACTGTTAAAAGCACTGCTGCGTCGGGGGTGTCAGCTGTGACGTCGGGTGTATCGAAACTTGCATTTCCAGCGGAGCGCACCGAACAGCCGACCGAGGTGGGAGTAGAGATGCAATGAGTAGGGAGGATCACATAAATGGCTTATGATTTTCCAGCATTTACAATTTCATGGCATGTGTATTGTAGTACGCCTTCCATTCATCGGCTTCCAATGTTGTACCACATAGAAATAATTTGTCCCATGACGTCGTAACTCGATGCTGCCTGGTTGCCTTATTGCCTGAATAATAAGGTTTACAGACTAGAGTCAAAACAGGATAGCGCCGGCAAGCGAGGGTTGAGCCCTGGCCCAAACGGGCAAGCAGCCCTAGTCCCGAAAAATCCCCACTAAATAATGCACTCTCAGAATTGAAGTTCCCGACCACGACCTCCCCTCCGTCGACAACCCCGATTCCAACACCACCAGGAACGTCAAAATGGCCGCTGTTCAGGGTGCTATCTCCAAGCGCAGAAAGTTCGTCGCCGACGGTGTCTTCTATGCCGAGCTGAACGAGTTCTTCCAGCGCGAGCTGGCCGAGGAGGGCTACTCCGGTGTGGAAGTCCGTGTGACTCCCACTGTCACCGACATCAGTACGTCGAACCCGAAAAAAACATCTCCCAATTTGATTTTTGAAAAATTGCTGGTGAAGGAAATTGTCTATTGGATATTGAAAAAGAGACGGGAAAAATGGGAGCAATTCGCGAATCGCGATAGAAGATCTGCGGAATTATTATGGAAATGGGAATTTTCAGATTGCTAACGGGCTTTCTCCAGTTGTCCGTGCCACCCACACCCAGGAGGTTCTTGGTGAGCAGGGTCGCCGCATCCGCGAGCTCACCTCCCTCATCCAGAAGCGTTTCAAGTTCCCCGAGAACTCCGTTTCTCTCTACGCCGCCAAGGTCCAGAACCGCGGTCTCTCCGCTGTCGCTCAGTGCGAGTCCCTCCGCTACAAGCTCCTGAACGGTCTCGCCGTCCGCCGTGCTTGCTACGGTGTCCTCCGTTTCATCATGGAGTCTGGTGCTAAAGGTTGCGAGGTTGTTGTGTCCGGCAAGCTCCGTGCTGCCCGTGCCAAGTCCATGAAGTTCACTGTATGTTTCTACACCGAATTCGAGTTTGGATGATGGGGGGAGGAAATTGGACCTGCGTAGAGCGGGCTTCTTTTTTTCTTTTGCATTTTCACCAAAAGGAAGATGAACACGGCACTAACATATACGTTTTCTTATTTAGGACGGTTTCATGATCCACTCCGGTCAGCCCGCCAAGGAGTTCATTGACTCCGCTACCCGTCACGTTCTCCTCCGCCAGGGTGTCCTCGGAATCAAGGTTAAGATCATGCGCGGCTCTGACCCCGAGGGCAAGGCAGGCCCCCAGAAGACTCTCCCCGACTCGGTTACCATCATCGAGCCCAAGGAGGAGCAGCCCGTTCTCCAGCCCATGTCCCAGGATTACGGTGCCAAGGCTATTGCCGCTCAGCAGGCTGCTGAGCAGCAGCGTCTTGCCGAGCAGCAGGCCGCTGAGGCAGAGGGTGGTGCGGAGACTTTCGCTCAGGAGTAAATGTGTTTATCTACATTAGGCCCGGCTCTTCCTTTTTCCTCTATCTGTCCTACCCTAACCTGATACTCTACCTCACGCAATCAAAATTCACATGACCTTCAAAGCCTTTCTATTCGCTCTGTAACTTGTATCGGGCTCACATGGGGGAGGTCAGGTTGGATGTGGTCAATGTCAGGTACATTTTCATGAGCAACGTTTTTACCTCTACTATTGGACTCAATTGTAGCATTGTATTTGAAAGTAGACTCAATCAATCATTTCTGCTTTCGCCTTACATTTCACTCTATGGGATTGAATTCCAGCCTTCCTACGGAGTAGAGCGGAGCAAGATATCAAGGTGGAACTGATGTGGATACTGTCCTACTGTACTGTTGATCTTGCGATCTTGCTCCAGAATGTCCAACCAATTGCCCGATTACATGGCTCCATTGAGCCGATATTATTCTTCGTAACAAACCATCATGCAAGAAATCTCCAGCATACATGCATATGCAAAAACAGCGACTCAAACAAAAGGAATACACATATCCAATCCGACCAGAAGACCAAAAGTTCCAGTCGATGATGCAGCACCAACAGAAAGGCAACTTCCAAAGAAACCACAATCAACGCCCACGACCCGAGGGAGCCGAAACCCGTCTAAACAGCAGCTCGGGGTGCTCCAAGGCTTCCGAGTGCCTCCGACGCAGCTCCTCGAGTTGAGCGAGGGGATTCTGTAGAGCGCCACAATAAGTACGTTGCGTTGAGCAGGGAAGAAAACACATCAACCGTGACACCCACCCATTCCTCCTGATTTGGGACGCCATCTGCAGCAGGAAGGGCGGCGGTACTAGAGTCGTCATAGCCGTGGCTGGTGCGGTGGATTGGAGCTGGCGTTACGGGTAGACTGGGGCGTTCGACCTCCGTCGGAAAATCGGTGATCTTGGTACTGGGGCGGCGGCCTGGGACAGTTGGTGATCCGTCGGGGCTACCGGTCGTGGCCCCGGGACTGGTTACTCTGGATTTTGTGCGCCGGGCTTGTATGGTCTCGATGTATCGCTGGATCTCCGGGTCTTCGTCCCAGGCGTTCGACCGTGTGTATGTTTGCCATGATTCAGAGCTTGGCTGGAAAGGCACCCGAGTGTAGGAGGCGGAAGGTCCAGGAGGGGACGTCTGTGTTTGGATCGGAGGCTGCTCCGGTTCCTCGGGTATCACGGGATGCTCGACGACTTCCCTGGAGGCCTCTACGGGGGCTTCTGCGGGAGGATTGTAGGCGAAGACGCGGGTAGGTTTAGGGGCATGGATCTCCCAGGGGAAGACTGTGGTAGGGGTGGGTTTCGGCTTCGGTTTGGGTGGGACTTGATACCACATGTTTTTCGGTGCTTCGGGGTAGGATGCAGGGGGCTGGAATAGTTGGATGTCTTCAGACATGTCGTAGGTCTTTTGCTGTAAGCTGAGACCTTCAGGTTTTGTGTTGGTGGGTGGCGGCTCTCTGTGAGATATTAGCACCGTAGACAATATCGAGGGATGGTATCTTACCGAGAGGGATCCCATTCAGACCTGGGCGCTTCAAAGATGGGGGCCTCTTGGACTGGGGCCGGAGATCGAGGCGACCGATACTCAATGATCGGAGGAATCGGGGCTATCGGCTGCGGTTGGTGGATATGGCCATCGTGGTAATGTACCCCTGTTTGAGTCTGTAACTGTGTTTGAGGCTGCTCCGGCTGTGTCTCGTGTGTTTCGTGGCTCAATTGAGGCGCAAATGCAATTGGCGCAAGCGGTGCTGCTGGGATAAAGGTAGATACATGCTCTTCTCCGCGAACATACTGCGGTACCATGCTCAATATAGGGACGGCAGCATGTTCTGCGTGAGCAGGAACTGGAACGGAGTGCTCGTGATGGTGCTCGTGATGGTGCCCGTGATGGTGCCCGTGATGGTGCCCGTGATGCGGTTCTGAGCGGCCCTGTTCGACTATTGGTGTGTGATGTGACTCTCCTTGGAAGCTCGCGGGGATTTCAACATGGTATGACTGCTGCGCTTCGGTCGTTGGCTGTGTTTCATAATGAGGGGTGTGGTCATAGGTAGTGGGGTGGACCTTTTCGGCCGGAGCGAATCCTGTCTGCTCCTTATGAACTGGCGCACTCTCAACCTAGGATTATCAGTCGAAGTCTTCACAATTGAGCGGCTCACTCACAAAAGGCAGACGATAGTGCCTATCATAGACAGCCCACCACCGCCCTAGGAGCTGGTTGTATGGTGACTCCAACGGAACCAACTGCCTCGGCATAGTCCACGGCTTCTGAGAACCAATGAAGTGAATAAGACTGATGGTACTCTGGAAATGCTTGTACGCAGGAATGTACTGATAATTGGCACTCGGCGTGCAATTATACGTGAAGCTTAGCCTATGCCAGTCCCGGAAGTGCATATTGAGCAGTCCCTGGTCGGCGCCATCGAAGCTAATACCCCGTTGGGCAAGGGCTCTCAGCGCATAATAATCTTGCAGATTAGGACGAAGAGCCATCATCCCGCTATTGAAGCAATCGGGCCAACCAACGTCCGGCGCGGCGGCAAAGTTCGCTTCCAGCGATAATAACTCGTCAGGAGCTCGCAGAGCCACAATGTCACAGTCGAGGTATACGATCCGCTGGAATTGCGTCAGGCGCCAGAGCTCAATCTTGGTGAATGTCGCAATCAGGTCTGGGCGGTCCATGAGCCAGAGATTCGCTGGCGTCTCATTTACCATTGAGCTCACTGGGATCAGCTCATCGTAGACGGTCTAAAATGTTAGACAAAGCCTAATCCCATGTGGGACACAGTACATACCCTTAACTCATCGATAGTGGACGCTTGTAGTCTATCTGGCGTGAACAGCGCTACTAGCCTTGCTTTTGTGCCATTGTCGCGTAAGGAGTGAGCGAGTACCATAGCACCTTATATAGTTAGAGCCATTTCAATCTCGTATGGATCGTAGGCAGACTAACCTGGAAGATAACTGTCACTCAGGAGAAGCTGTTATCGCGTCAGTCCGAGGCATAAGCAAGCAAAAGGAGAGAGTACTTACCGTGCAGTAGACTGCACTCCCGTGGGAAACCATCATGCGATGATTCAGCGAGATGAGATGACCAGACCCGCGATCCCAAAATTCAGAGCAAAGAGAAGAAAAAGCTCAGAAAGGAGCTGTCGGGCTAATTTTAACCTGCCACTTGCCAATGACAGCTCGGACCGGTAGAAACGGGATACACCGGCTGTGGTACCTGGACCGGACGCAGATTCGAGGGGGGACGAAAACAAGAAGTTCACTGCATGTTGTGTAAGATGATTGAGAAAGAAAAGGAGCAAGTCGTTGAAACATAAGTTCAAATGACTAAACGTCAGAGCTTCACGAGGGGAAAGTGGAGATTGCTCCGATCCCCTCGCCGGGTAAATCTTGGGACGATCTCGGCCCTTGCCCCTTACGGGTGTACCTGGTTCCTCAGTTCCTGTAAATTTTTGCAATTCAATGTTACCGTACTTAACTACCCATTGTCTTATCAATTTATGATTATTCTTCGTTTTTCCACTACGTTAATACATTAATACACCATTTGACTTAGGTGAAGCATTACCAATCTAACCGCTTTAGATTAGGTTGGGGCAAACGTTGAATATCAAAAGTTGGCAACTGCCACTAGATTATATCTATCGTGAAGAGGTCACCTGGGCGTCAGGGCAAGCCTTTCGCACAGCTGCCCCAATATCCCCCTTTTCGCCCTGGGCAGTCCACTCGACCGCTTTGATTAAAGCTGCACTGCTTTCCCGCTCAACTGGAGTCCAGTGTCCAGTACGGGGAAGCAGCACAATCTGAGAGCCCTGCACCAAAAAGTCACTTATCCCATCAAGACAGATCCTCGGGTCGAGCGCAATATCCTCCTTGCCCCAGAAAATGGTTGTTTTAGCTTTGAAAGCACCCGGCGGACCTTCATCAAACAGCCCAGCTCCGCTGCTCACGCGCTGCGTTCCGGATGCAATGCTATGCAGACTAGCAACCGTTTCAACTGACTTGGACCAGGGCGCCACCGATGCTCCGTCACTGTAATAGGCTGCCATGTGGAGGACGTGGGAGAGCGCGCGCTTGCTGAGGCTGGCGGGGTAAGCATCACCGCTAGGAGTTTTCGTACCTAATTCTGCGGTAGATGGGCCCATGCTGCTCGCCATGCTCTCGGCCACGTCGAGCGGAGTATACTTGTCCTTGTTGTACGAGGTGCGATGGCAATTCACAAGCAGCGACTGATTGCCTCCGGTTAAGAAGTAGTGGACCAATGGCGTAGGAAGCTGCATGACGAAGACGTAACCGGACAAGAAAAACTGACGGAAGAGGGGAGTGAGGGTTCGCAGTGCCTTCATAAGCGGGACGCGGGCGTGCAGTGGTGAGCGCCAGGCGTTGCCGAGCATCTTTTTGGCTGAGAAGAGCAGGCGGCGGGCATTGGACCCCGCCAATATAATCTAGGTCATTAGCAGAGAACACAGATCCCTCGATATTCTGACGTACTGATGGTCCATTGGACAAGATGAATCGGTGGGCCAGGGACGGGGCTTCGGCAGCGAGGCGCATAGACAGGACACATCCCCAATCATGAGCTACAATGATGGTCTTCTTCTTGTTGCTCTCATTGCCCGAGTCGACACCATATTGGCTTCGTAGGGTAATGATCAGCTCAGTCAACTTCTCCAACACATTTGTGGCATTGTATTTCTCCAGGCTCTCCGTTCCTCCATATCCGGGGAGGTCGATTGCGACGATGGAAACCGCCTTTTGCAGAGCAGGGTTCCTGATGATGTATCGCCAGATGACCCAGCTGTCAGGGAATCCGTGGATGAAAATCACCAATGGCTTATCGGAAGTGATGGTTTCCGGTGTGTTTGGAGTATCATTGCTAACAAAGTGGAACTTGAATCCACTCTGCAAGGTCAGAATATGGTGACGAAGGCCCTCAAAGTCCTTTGATAGATCCCACAAGCGATTGCGAGCTGTGAAGTCAGCAGAGGACTCCCACAACTGATGAGGATAGCTCACTTAGCTGCAGCTCCAATCTCTCCTTTTCGGTGGGACGCTTGAAGAATGTGCCTTTCGACAAGGCAATGATATTGTAGAGGACAATCGTAAAGATGCCATAGACAAATATAATTGTCCCGATCAATGCACGCATTAGTAATTTTCCCATGATGGAAGCTTGGCATGTGTCAAAGAAGCTAGGCATGTAGGAGGTGGAGGATATCTTATAAGACGCTGTAGATCTCCATCTGAGACAAACAGACCTCGGACCCCGTGCCTGCAGGATCAGCGTCACATGTTAGTCAGCGAAATTGATAGCTGGAGCCTTCTGGAAGACGTGAGACTGTCTGTGAACTTGATAGGAAGCTCATTTGGAACACTGATTCAATGAATGTAGTCATATTATGCTATAGTATGTATGCAGCTTACAGCCTTGTCCAATCTATGGCATACCAAACGCCACCTCCACATGCAACGAAATATTATTGGTATGAAACAGTCCAAGGTAAAGGGGTATTAACAGATGTCCAAAAACAAAAAAGCCATGATCTCGTCGAGCGAATATATACAGATCAAAGAACAAACCCTAGTTGATCACGGTTGTCATCTACCAGGCGACCATATCTGAAGGAAAAAGTGTTAGCAAAGGCCTGCAACTCGTTTCAAGAATGAAGGACTTACTCTAGAAGTAGGCGGAAGAACCAAACCTCCAGATCTTCATTTCGTAGGGTCTGCTGTGCCCAGCGCCGACCCTGGCTGGCAATTTGTGGCGCGAGCCTTTTGCCCTCTTCCTCCGAGGTGAAATATCGCATGCTCTCAACATACTCGTTGCCTTTCAAGCTGAGGGGTACGTAGTGTACCCAGGGCTTCAGCCACTCGTCGTGCCATTCGCGGAAGATAGCGATCTTGTAGACAAAGCTGTTGCTATGCAAGAAAGCATGGAACCGCCCACTAAAGGCGTTGCCGTCAATGTCGACCAGGAACTTGTGCGCCCACGCATCTTGCTGTCCAGCCTGCTTATACACTCCGAAATATTCGGTTTGCGCATTGCAGTCGTCCGGGTCACACTGGCCGATAAGCGTGAATTTGACATCAAAAGAGTCACGGTACATGTCCCGGTTGACGTCCTGCGAAACCCAGCCGTCCCCTTGACGAGCCAGAATCTTGGTTGTGCCCAAGGCGTTGACGTTGTCGACAAATTGCTGCCGATGTTGTCGACGCCAGCCGCCAGCGCGTGAGAAACCACCCGTCGTGGAGCCACGCCAGTACATCCGGTCTGTCTTCGCCTCCCAGGCATAGTCCTTGCTGGGCTCATAGGGGACCTTGTCGGCCCAGTACCAGGGACTCGGGTAAATGATGTCCTGGAAGCTGGAAACCTTGCTCTGTGAGAAAACAGGGAATAGGTCGTGAACGACATCGAACGCGTTGGGTCGGTCGAAGAATCCGTACGAAGAACGGAGAGACGGGGTGTTGCAAATGTCAGAAGCCGCCGTAGTGTTGTAGATGAAGCCGAGTTCGCCATATGCGTAAGGGTCAACATTGTCTGGAACATCTTCCTCTAGTGAGCGCGCGGGGGTGTCAACCGAACAAGAGATTCGGGAGTTTGTCCAGGTCGGCTGGTGTGCGAAGCGATTGAAACGAGTGGTGCGCACTTCGTCGATGCGGTCGCCTTTGTTCAGGTCTGCGGCACGAGGGGACCACGAATTGGTCGGGGTGTTTTTGAATGCTGCTGGGAGAGCCGAGTCTTTGGCTGTCTGCACTAGACGTTGGAGGTCTTCGCTAGGGATGATGACGCGCGGCTCATCATGAGTGTTGAACACCAAGTCCATGTCGGGCAAGTACTGCACGAATGCTGCCATCATACCAGCCGTGGCGTCGCGCTGCCATTTACGATCGTCACCCCCTCCATCTGTCAACGAGACCTTGCCGTCGCGAATCAAAACGCCGAGCACCGCATTGTCAAATCCGAGGGTCTCGCGGGCCCTTTCGCGAATCGTCTTGGGCTTCACGGCCCAGAAAGGGAGGAGGGAGTGGTAAATCGAATCGAATTCGTCGATAAGTTGTACGTTTCTTGACTGGGCAAACTCGAACCATTTATCGAAATGAGGCGGCGGGTGCATCTTGTAGCGGCGCTGGTACTCCGTCACGGCTTCGGCCAAGGTTTTTGATTGCCGTGATTGCGCATGATTGAAATCCTCCTGAGCATTGTTGATGAGATGGGTGATAGGGTGTTCCTTCTCAGGGAGGTATGTGTTTTGCCCCGCATGGAGTTGAGGGTGTCGTATCGGTTCGGGAGGAGGCAAAGGTATGGGCTTCTCTGGAGGTTTCTCTGATCGCAGGAGTAGGAGTGAAAGACAAGCAAGAATACCAACCGCGAGCAATACGATCAACCGTTGGATGCGCATGCTGCCATTGGAGGGAGGCATGAAGAAGGTGAACGAAGCCGGGTCTTAAGGAGTTCTCCAGAGTCCATGTGTCTAGAAGTGGCGCTGGGCTGTCACTGAATAGCCTGCCAAGACTTTCTAACGTAATCTTCACGATCAGCCCTGAAGCTCTGTACAAACATTTATGAACTTCAAATCATATTGCAAGACTTTAAAAATAATTCTATATACAGTCTCTTTGTTCTCTTTGTCTGCGTGGCTCCCGTTTGCGGAAGCGGTCTTGAGGCCCTCTTGTGGCGCTTTCCAGCTGCAGGGGTGGGCAATGTGTTGATATCCAAATACGTGTCATTGTCGCATTCCTATATACAATACCACATTCCGAAGTCTATTCAGACTCATGAGCATAGATCGATCGCTATATAACATACTATTGGACGGGTATATGTGTGTGGTTGGGAAGGGTCACTGTATCGAAACCCAACTCCATCTCTCCTTGGCCCGTGCTAACCTACCACCGAAGAGCATATCCAATTGAGTACGGAAGCAGCTAGAGTCTGCAGGATATACTTCTGCGCCTGCTTGACGTGGAAGTAAGCTGCAACACACAACAGTACCACCAATGACACATGTCCGTAGTAGAAAGTCTTCCTGCGCTCTTGGATGGTCCCCTGCACGAGCCAAGCCTGGAGGCCCTTTTGGGAGGTAGGCCGCACGAAGAGGAAAACAAGCACTGCGGAGAATATCGCGAGCATGCCCCACTGGACATCAAGATCTTGGACCCGCTTGAGGAACAAGGTACCGAACTCTGGATGGCTAGATTGCACGAAGAATAGCGTATACAATGTGGCATGAGCCAGCAGTAGAAGAACAACCAGCCGACCAAATAGACGGTGGTACGGCGTCAATGCCCGCTGAGGGATACCGGTCAGGACAGACAATGCCGAGGAGGCAGTTGGGTTAGAGACGTCTGCCGGAGACATCAGTACCTGCAGTGGCAGTTGAGACAGGCCCACTCGACCCAATGCTTTGGTCAAATGAAGGTAGTCTAATCTGACATGTTAGCGCGTGGACCCTGATTCACCTCGGAGGCTTAGGGAACTGAGACATACCGTCACCACTGTTCCACATCGCAAGACCGACAAGCCACGATAGCCATAGCCCGCAGACAAGGTACCGTCGGGTCTTTCCAGAAACCGGGCCATCCCACTCGTTAGTTGATTTGGTAGTAAGGCAAATAAATCGGAGGACAGAAATGACCAGAACAAATGAGACTTGTGCATAAAAACCCCGAAGATCAAGCAGCACCTGGCGACGCAGCTGGTCGTCCTCGGAGAGAGAAGTAAAATGGTACGGCCACGACATGGCCAGTGAAGGTCAAGGACACCAAGCCTGTTGCTATTCTAAATCGTAATTGAGAAGCAGCGCAGTTCAGGAGAACATGTCGAAAAGAATATCAACTTGGTTCTGACCTCGGCACGAATTCAATCAATGCATTATACTCCGTAGCCAATAAGAAGCGAGCGATTTCTTCATCGGCGTGTTAGATAAGCATTCATCGAGATCCGACTCTACGGAGCGTACAGCCTTCAAGATATATCTGGATTTACAGGCTTCATATCCTTAAGAGGTCAAGTGCACTGTAATTCAGTTGCGCATTTTGCTTTTCACTACCTAGCCCGGCTTAGCGTTATGTAAAACCTCTACATTAAAAAAAAGCGCCTGGAAGTATAAGACGGCTATTCTCTAACTTGGCAGGATTTCCTTGTTGGGTATTGACCGAAAGGTGCACACGCGTAATCTAAGGAGAAGTCTGCATCTCATCCTGGTTGCCGCCAGCAGTCGTAGCGAAGTATCGAACATCCACATCGTCATCCTCCTGCAGCTTTTGCAGACTGGGCACAACCCTTGACTGAATCAACTCCAGAGCCTGGGGTGACGGCGTGATGGGTTCTTCAGACGTCTCGACCTCAAGCAGGGTCTTATCAGCCGGTAGACGACGCAGGGTAGCGATCAAAACGGCAAATGACTTGGCCACGTTGAAACGAATGTTAGGAATTTCATCCGTTACCAAACGTTCCAAAATAGGAAGAAGGGAGCTCTCGATAATTTCAAGGTTGACGACGGGAGTGAGAGTCTACTAATTAGCATTGTACTTGACTGATGTAGGAATTATGCAAGCGCAAACTCACAGAAACGGCGAAGCATGTTGTCATGCGGTAAAGATAGTTGGGGTGTTGGCCCATGGCCATCACCTTGGGGATGATTGAGGCTTTTGACCATTCAACGCCGAACACCTCTGTTAGCTTCTTCAAGTTTTCAGTGGCAGCCTCACGAATGGAGAAAACAGTGTCTCCGAGCCAGCCCATGCAGAGATCGCTCAGCTGCTCATCGAAGAACTCGACGCCAAGCTGACTAGCAAGGAGCGGGATATATTCAATGATCGCAAGACGAACACGCCATTGCTTATCCTCGGCCAGCTGAACGATGGCGGGGAGAAGAGACTGGGAAAGAAGTTGTATGCCGATGACTATAGAAGGTTAGCAGGCACCGATCACAATTCACAAGGGAGCTCACCTTTGTTGACTTGCTCGAGCTTCGAGATGATGTGCAGTCGGACGTCAGGGAATTCGTCCTTCAGCATTTGGAGGAACATGGGAAGCAGGTGCGCAATAGTCCTACACAATCAGCCTGGGTCCATTGTTTCGACGAAGACATCACTTACTCTTCCTTGCCTAGGATAGGCGCAAGCCCGCTGATCTGAGTACCGAGCGATGCCCGGACGTGCTGAGAGGGATCAGAGACGAGGTCTTCCACGCTGGTCATGATTTCATTGAGCAGGGTGTCACGATCGATCAAATTGCAGAAACCTGGATGTGTCAGTCAAGGATAAGCTACATGTATAGCAGAATATCATACCAGGGATCTGGCCAGCAATTGCAGTGCGAACCTCGGCCTCTGTATCCTTGAGAAGCTTGACAAAGGCGGGCACCATGTCACGAGTGATGACCTCTTCATGGACAGCTTTGGCGATCTGCCTACGTCAGCGTTGGCCCGACTTTGAAAACGCACAAAGAATGGTACCTTTTCATATCGATCGGCGACCATGTATCGGACCCTCCAGCTCTGATCTTCAAACAGACTCCGCAGCGACGTCAACAAGACACCGTGGCTGGGTTGCTGTTCTTTGGGAATTTCCTCCGCAATGGAAATGAGAATGTCAACTGTGAGCAAACGGACGCTGTCCTGATCGTCGCTCGCCAAATATTGGAAAAGAGGAATTATTTCATCGATGACAACCTGGGTTTGCATCTCCTTCACGAGCTTGGCCAGATTGTTCGCCGCCTGTCGCCGCACCATCGGGGTTTCATCGTGTACCAAGGCTCCAAAATGTTGCCGGAGGGTCTGTTGCAGCGCTGGAGAAGACTTCTTGTATGGTGTGGAGTATAGACCGGTCGCAGAGACCTTCGAGGTGAACCAGTCTGCCTTTGACAAGCGGAGGACCAGCGGGACGAAATGCTCCTCGACTTGGCTCTCTGAGAGCTGCTCGCACACCTTGTTCAAAGATTCAACGGCCTGTAACGTCAGTACTCGTCTCAAAAAGTTTCAGCTGGTGCGGTACCTTCTCTCGCACCAACGGCTCCTCGATGGCCGCCAAATTCTCCAGCGGGGAGAGCAACACGTGCCCGTATTCCGCACCCCCAACATATTCTGTAAAATTGCCCAACTCTTCACTCAGTGCGGTCAAAACCTCGTCCTCATCCTCGACGGAATCTATGACTGTTAGATGGGTTATCAACCAACTGCAGGCTAGACGAACCATCAAGGAATGGGATGAGCTCATCCCGAGTTCGGTCGGGCCCAAGTGCGAGCGCGATCGTGGATAGACGGTGAATGGCATTGAGTCTGAGAAGGACATCGTCGTGCTAGATACATGTGAGTCCAGGTACCATCTATAACACTGAACGGGTGTTTACCTTCAACTCATCGATGAGCACGGCGATGGGGTAGAGCTCGTCGTTCTCGTTTTGGCCCTCCATGGCGGATTGGGTATGTGTTAGAATGTGCGATAGGTCCCGGTCTTAGAAGAGAATAGTGTATCGCTGGACCTGACAGCGATTCGGCAGAGTGAGGTGCAGGAGGTGATGGGATGGCTGATAAGGATTAGTTCGGACTTCGCGAGATGACAAGGGGATGGATGGTGGTAGGGCGAGGGTGGGGTGCTGGGTCGCATAAACACTTTCAGCAGTAGCATACCTCAACAATTGGAGAAGACCTTGATCAATGACAAATTAGTAGGTTTGAGTCGAATTCGTAAAGAGAAGAAAAATGACCCCTTCGATGATGCCGTAGCAAGAGCAAGGTAGTCGAGCTTTGAGTGTTTACCGGTGTAAATTACATACTGGCGGTGTAGGCAGAAATTCATAGAAAATGGAGGGGAATTACCATACGGATACTGCCGTCACAAAAGAGGGGGATCTGTGGCGGTGGTGGCTTGCGGGCAGAATTTCCACCACAAGAGTCATCCATCCCGAGACTTTGCGCACTGGTTAATTACTTCCTACATACCTGTACGGACTGTCCCTATATTCCATCGGAGTCGCCTGCTTGGGTTCTGCTCAGATTCATTGGGTGTTTGACTGATCCATAGCAGAATTCGCAACCCCCACCATGCCCACCATCTCGGTCGACAAGGCCGCTCTTTTCAAAGAGCTGGGCCGAGAGTACGTCTTTGCTCTGTGTCTATGAACTGAACTAACTTCGCTATAGCTATACTACGGAGGAATTTGATGAGCTATGTTTCGAGTTCGGTGGGTAGACCTGAAATCCTATGCGGGGCATGGCTAACTGTGAACAGGTATTGAACTTGACGAAGATGTACATCACCCGCAGACTCGATTGTAACCAATGCTGATCTCTTCAGACTACGAACTCGGACCGCCCGATTGTCGATGGAAAACAAGAGGCGCCACAACTCAAGATTGAGATCCCTGCCAACCGGTACGCGATATTGAATGGAAGGAATGGAAGAATACAGGCTAAGAGATTAGATATGACTTGCTATGTTTCGAGGGCATCGCCCTCATGTTGAACATTTTCCTGGGCCGGAGCCCCTCGCCTGAGTATAAGTTGACTCAACCGGCAAAGATGGAACAGATCATCGTCAAGGAAGATGTCAGTACTTCAAGCCGCTGTTCTCCAGGACGAGTTTAGGACGAGAGCTCTTTGCTAACCAAAAGCAGACTACGAAAATCAGACCGTACGTGGCCGGTGCTATTCTGCGGAACATCAAGTTCGATCAGGCTCGTTATGAATCCTTCATTGCTCTTCAAGACAAGCTTCACCAGAACTTGGCCCGGCAACGAACCCTAGTATCGATCGGCACCCACGATCTGGACACCGTGAAGGGTCCCTTCACCTATGAGGCTCTGCCTCCCAAAGACATCAAGTTCACCCCATTGAACCAGACGCAGGAGATGGATGGCGAAGAATTGATGAACTTCTATGAGAAGCACCAACAGCTGAGCAAGTACTTGCACATCATCCGCGATTCTCCAGTTTACCCGGTCATCTACGACTCCAACCGCACTGTTTGCTCCCTGCCCCCCATCATCAACGGCGACCACTCAAAGATCAGCGTGAACACCACCAATGTTTTCATTGAAATCACCGCCCTTGACAAGACCAAGCTGGATATTGTGAACAAAATGATGGTCACCATGTTCTCTCAATATACCTTGGAGCCATTCACCATTGAACCCGTCGAGATCGTCTCTGAACATAACCAAGAGACTCGCGTCACTCCCGACATCGCTCCCCGTACCGCTCAGGCTGAAGTTTCGTACATCAACCAATGCTGTGGCTTGAGCCTGAGCCCCTCCGAGATCTGCACCCTGCTCACAAAGATGGCCTTCCGTGCTAAGCCTTCAACCACCAATGAAGATATCATCGACGTTGAAATCCCCCCGACTCGTGCCGATATTCTCCATCAGTGCGATATCATGGAGGATGTGGCCATTGCCTACGGTTTCAACTCACTGCCCCGCGCATTCCCCGACATCTCCGGTACAGTCGCCCAACCTCTCCCCATCAACAAGCTTTCGGACATCGTTCGTGTGGAGACTGCTATGGCAGGTTGGTCAGAGGTCTTGCCGCTGATTCTGTGCTCGCACGATGAAAACTTTGGCTGGTTGAACCGCAAGGACGACGGAACCACCGCCGTCAGGCTGGCCAACCCCAAGACAACTGAGTTCCAGGTTGTCCGCACCACCTTGCTCCCTGGTCTTCTCAAGACTATCCGGGAGAACAAGCACCACTCTGTTCCCATGAAGATCTTCGAGGTCAGCGATGTTGCCTTCAAGGATTTGTCTCTGGAGCGCAAGAGCCGTAATGAGCGGCACTTTGCTGCTGCTTTCTACGGCAAGACCAGTGGTTTCGAGGTTGTCCACGGTCTCCTTGACCGCGTCATGGCCATGCTTAAGACCACCTTCGTTGGCGACGGCCAAGCCGCCTCGGGCGAGGCCCAGTACTACATTAAGGAACTCGATGGTGTGTACCCCTTCTCACAGATAAAAGAATTTGCTAACAGTTCAGACCCCACTTACCTTCCTGGCCACGCTGCTTCCATTCACCTCCGCATTGATGGCAAGGACAAGGAAATTGGTGCCTTCGGTATCCTGCACCCAACTGTGCTGCAGAAGTATGAGCTGAAGTACCCCACCAGTACTCTGGAGTTGAATGTCGAAGCTTTCATGTAAAGCAAAGCCTAAAAATCAGTCCCGTACTTCTTTCTGATAGAGCCATGATCAAAATATGAAAAAAGTCCATAAATCCAAAAGATCTTCGTGAATAGCCCCTTCGGAGGTCTACTGTTCTTACATAGAGCCACCTCGAACGCCCTTCTACTATTTGAAGTTTTCTGAAAGAACGTGTCATTGGACGTGAAAGTACAAAGAGGGTATTCAAGAGCAAAGTCCACAGCTTTTAGGGCAGAAAGTTCAAGAGACAAAGTCGTGGCACTGGCTGTGATGCAAACCTAGTCAAGATCCTCTGCAACGTAGTGCTAAGCATAGGGGGGTCGTAAAATCCACTTCCTCCGTTAGTCATAATCATCGGCATCATCGTCATCATGATCGGAGCGCAGACGGTAAGATATCATCGTAGCGCAGACCTTGGAAAGAATAATAGTTCGACTGCTTGATGTGCCTAGCCTCGCCAGTTCGTTCATCGAAAATGCTGAATCCACTGAGGGCGTTATTGGGTGGCGTGTAGACTGCTCAATTAGTCCTGGTCGACAACGGAGTTGACAAAGGACGGATTCACGACTTACGATGGAGTGAGACGGCAAAGTCATTGGGATCCGGATTGGAGATTCGGTGCAAGCCGAGCGTGTCCGACATATAAGTCACCTCGTTCTCCCCGTAGACGGTTTGTTTAGTGAGCTGGGGTGGCGAGTCTTCACCCTTGGCGATCTTCTTTTGGTCAGGCCAAGAGTAAAGATCTTCTTGGAGTTTGCCTTTCAGGATCTATTCCCAGTCAGTTCATGTCTATATTTCGGAACAAAGAGAACGAACCTTCATCACGGAGTGGGAAACGTGGTCATGGATTGCACTCCCTTTGCCAGGGCTCCAGACGAGGATCAGCTAATTGGGTCAGCCAACCTTGCTTTTAGTTGTCTAGATATCGCGTTGAAGGGTTATCAAGTTCATACCAAGTTGCTCTTTCGATTTCCCTCATCAATCAGGTTTCGGGTGTATGCCCTAGTCGCATCACCCGGCGCATATGGAGTCCACTCGTCTGAGTTCGAGACATAGTTCTCCATCAGACGTTGTATGTCCTTGGGATCGACATTGTCAGAATCAAGGCCTGAGTTCGGGGCTAGGGCATCGCCAAGGTCCTGGACGAGCTTCTCAAAGGCACACTTAGGGGTGGGAGTCTCGACCTCGTTGAGGAACGGCATGAACGCGTCTCTGATGAACTATCGAAGTGGGTGCGGTATCGACGAAGTTGTGCGGATGGCGACATTAACCCACGACGACTAAAAATGGGAACGAAGAGAGATTGACGGAGGTTGTCTCATGACAGAATTGTATTCTGAACGCTGAGACTCCATAATCCAATGCACCTTCCTGGTCCTTCCATATTCGAGCACAAACTGACCTTAGGGCTTAGATATTGATCAGTCCACGTGCAGCGATGCAGCGATAGCGATAAGCAAACAGTACCTGAGGCGGTCAATGACATAATTGCCCTCGTCGCCTTAGGCGCACACCCCTCCCTGACTAAAAACTGCGGTGCCACAATTCAAAAGATTGTCGCCGCAAGTGCACGTTTCCCCTTGCAAGTTGTCGCTCGATTACCGCTGGTCCATAGCGAGAGACATACGTCGAATTCCTGGGTATAGGGATCACAATCAATTTTCTATTGATTTTTTGATTGCTGGGTCAAACCGCCAAAATGTCGACCACTATTGAAAAGGTGCGATTCCAATTTGTGAACGCCTGGCACGAGACAGATTACTAACTATGATGTGGTACAGATCAAGGAGATTGAGTCCGAGATGGCTCGGACTCAAAAGAACAAGAACACCTCATTCCACTTGGGTACGCACGCGCTAAGGACTTTTTATCGATGACGTCTCTGACAATCTGCAGGTCAACTGAAGGCGAAGCTTGCTAAGCTCAAGCGTGAACTTCTGACTCCTACTGGAGGTGGTGGCGGTGGTGGATGTAAGCGTGCCTATCCCGAATACTCTGGCTCAGTGCTAACTTGAAGACAGCCGGCTTCGATGTTGCGCGTACTGGTGTGGCCAGTGTGTAAGTTATCCGAGCGAGAATGGGATTGCGATCGCATATGCTTACAATTGCAGTGGATTTATCGGTTTCCCCTCGGTCGGCAAGAGTACACTGATGAGCAGATTGACTGGCCAACATTCGGAAGGTCAGTTCTCGAACTCCCATATCTATGCGCGACGATTCTTCTAACATCCTCTAGCCGCGGCCTACGAGTTCACAACCCTCACAACTGTCCCTGGTCAAGTGATGTACAATGGCGCCAAGATTCAGATTCTCGATCTTCCCGGTATTATTCAAGGTGCCAAAGACGGCAAGGGTCGTGGTCGACAGGTCATTGCAGTGGCCAAGACTTGCAACCTCATCTTTATTATCCTGGACGTGAACAAGCCATTGGTTGACAAGCGTGTCATTGAGAATGAACTGGAGGGCTTTGGTATTCGTATCAACAAGAAGCCTCCCAACATCATTTTCAAGAAGAAGGACAAGGGTGGTATCGCCATCACGAGCACTCAGCCTTTAACTCACATCGATGCCGACGTAAGATCAAGTCTCCAGACCAACTTGGCATAAGTTCTAATCCCTCCCAGGAAATCAAAGCTGTGATGAACGAATATAAGATTTCGTCCGCTGATATCTCCATCCGATGTGATGCCACCATTGATGACCTGATTGATGTTCTCGAAGCCAAGAGTCGCAGCTACATTCCCGTCATCTATGCCTTGAACAAGATCGATTCCATTTCCATCCAGGAATTGGATCTGCTATACCGGATTCCAAACGCCTGCCCAATCAGTTCGGAGCACGGATGGAACATTGACGAGTTGTTGGAGATGATGTGGGAGAAGCTCAAGCTGCGCAGAATCTACACAAAGCCCAAGGGCAGAGCGCCAGATTATACGGCACCTGTTGTGCTGCGTTCCTATGCATGCACGGTGGAAAACTTCGTAAGTGGCATTCTTGTTATATAGCCTTTCCCGGGATCATACTAACGTCAACAGTGTGACGCTATTCACCGCACAATCAAGGACGATTTCAAGCACGCCATTGTGTATGGTCGCTCGGTGAAGCACCAGCCGCAACGAGTCGGTCTTTCCCACGAGCTTGCTGATGAAGATATTGGTAAGTCTACGAACAAAGGAAGAAACCTGGATTTTCAAGCTGACTAGCTGCAGTGTCGATCGTCAAGCGGTAAAGGGATTAGCACTAATCCCTGACCCTTACAGCCCGAAGCGGCGAGCTGATTCAAGCGCTCGGGTGGTCTGTGCCAGCATGTCTTTACGCCTCCGTGATTTGACGGGCAAGGATGTGAGGACCGTAAGACGCCATCGGACCCGAGCGTGGTTGGATAGACTCGTTCACGGCATTACGGGGAAGATCTGGAGTCTGACCTCGATCAAATCAGCATCACTCTCCTGAGATTTGGGTCTCGCCTCTGGACTTGACCCGATGAACTCGACTTAGGCTTCAGGGGTTACACGAGCCCAGGGGCAAGCACGAGGCGAACAAGCCATGGATGTGTCTGATATCCTTGGCAGTCCTCTGATAGTTTGTGGCCCTTGAAGCGACCAGTCCATATTGTTATGATTACCCTTGTTCTCTTTTTTTTTTTCTCACACACAAACAAGGTTCTTTGTCCATCAGCGTCTGCAAAAGTTCAGTCCTTTATGGCATCTTTGTACTGTCTTAGAAATAAAATAAATGCCATTATGAATGAACTACTGTCTTGTCCACAACCACAAGTCCCCCCGAGAACAGCAGAATAGCCACACCACTTACCCTTCTCCCTGCCACGAGTATTTTTCCCCGTGGGACCAATGAGACCCCCTGGGCACGTAAAAGAAGCATGCAGCATCATGCGACTCCTTATCGTGTCCTCTCAGCCATGCTCCAGACAGACCCTGCAGATCCGAGGCCACCTGCATGGAGAATCATTTCGATGACATTCCGATTGGCATGTTCCCAACTTCCCCTTGTCATCTTCCCGTCCTGCACAGTATCCTTGTCGGTTGAATCCAATGTTTGTGAGATTCTCACCGGAGGGCTCGATTCTTGTTCTTATTGCTTTTTCTCTTACTGACTTACTCTCTTGCTTGCTATGGACATACGTACTCTCGGCCGGGTTGACTAGTCAGACGGTCCAGGCCTTTCGTTTGCCAATGCCGATCACTCACAATTTTAGGCTGTCAGCTCCCAAAGCTCTTGACAAAGAAAAACAAAAAATAACAGTCGATAGCTCCGGAAGAAGCGGAAAGCCAAATATGGTGTGCATAGCTGTGCAGAGGCCCAACTTGTCGCACTGACCCCATAACCTTCGGCAACGGTGATCATGACGGCTTGATAACTTCGGGTTGTATTCACATTTAATAAAGCTTCGCACTTCCGATAGGCGAGGTTTCAATTTACATGAGAATGATAGGACACAATCAATATCAGACCCGTGAAAATTGGATATGTCATAACGTGTGTCCTGATTAGTACTAAGTAGCACGTTCAGTCTCTTAGCTTCTGGGCCTTTTCAATTAGAGAAATTTCGGTAAAAAGTACAGATCTGCACAAGACTGCAAGCGAAATAAAATCAACCAAGCAGGAATAAGCAAAAAGTGAGGCAAGTTACCGTCGAGCTAGACAAGCGGTGAATGGATATTGGTCGGGTTGTCAACGTTTATCTGATCTCTCCAGCTACTCACTGCATACATGTACTGTACCTACCTGTACACAGTATGTTATTCTTACTACAGTACCTAACTAACTAGTTACCTAACTAGTTACTAACTTACTGTAACTTAACTAGTGGTCTTATGAACTGCGGAGAACTTGGCTCGAGTGGAGTCGATTTAGTGCGAGCAGAAGGGGGCTGTTCACGATGTGGTCCGTTCTCGATGCGAGATCGTCTATCCTGCTTAGCACGTTTAACAATAATATAGTTACTCCACTCAGTACACAGTATCAGGTGACTGCCTCAAGATCCGTCGGCCATTCCCGTCTTGCATTTGCATGAGCCATGCTCTTCCCCGGAGTACAGAAGCAGTCCTACTCGATTGCAGCTGGGCAGCTAGGATTGGCTTATTTGTTCATTTTATCCAAGTAAACAGCTTCTAGATACCGGCTTGTCTGACATACTACCTCTTTCGGGAGTAGTAAATAGTCTTAGTCTATGATACCCCCACAGTCTGCACCACATCAATGTACTTTGTAATTCATATACGAATTCCGGCGATGCCTCGGGTAGGATTGCAACGGCTCTGTCGATCGGTACCTGACTCGAGTTACCCTTGTAACCCTAGTCACCCCTACTGTGTACCCCGAGAGCTCTGTTCCTGACTGTTCGGGAATATCTCCCTGGTTCAATGAAAAAACGAAGAAGTAAAGAAAAAGCAAATATACTTGGCCGGCAGGGAGAGATTCTAATCTTGACCGATCTAGACTTGTTCTTGCTCGTGCTCCGAGATGTGAGGGAATGGCAATGGCTTGCCCTAATGAGGCACCTAAATGCCCTGGTTATAAGCGAAATCGAGTCTAGTCATTTGACTTGTAATTTCTAAGGTCAAACATTGCGTTGGTATTTTCTCTTTCTCGACGTTCTAACTGGCGGAAATTAAAAAAAGGAAAAACTGACGGCAACGAGCATAAATGATTGGCACTATGACCGAATTTGGTCCCACACATTGAATGATTGAGAATTTGTCAGACCTCTTAAACTCTTTTTATGCCTAGCTTTTTGTTTTGGAGACATTCCATGGTTCGAGAATGGAATCCTTTGGGAAGGCATCAAGGCAGGCGGGTTTTACGTGAGTGAACAAGCGTTCTACTGTGTAGTATTGGAATCTCGATATTGGAATCTGGGTAGTATTCAATCGGTCCAAATCATAATCCCGGGCATATTATTGATATGAGTAAGTAGTTTGCCTTACCTTCTGATCCCTCTTTATAGCTCTTTACAGTTTACATACTACCATATCTACCCCAATTGGTGCTATTTGAAGATTTCCGGCCCGGAGGGGACCGCAGTGGGTCGCAGTGGAGACAAGACGAGGGCTGGCCGCCGCTGAACTTAGGGGAACTTCCCCTCTTTCCTAAATGCCCCTCTTCTGCCCTGTGATAGGATAACTCTCTCACTTGTTTGGCCTTGTATCAGATGGGTCGTATCAACCACAGGCCAACCGAGACGACAGATTCGTCCATCCAAACTTGATCCCTGTTGCTCCTCATTTACTAATTTTCCCTTTTTAGCCGTCTCAGCTTTCGTGGATGTCTGATGCGGTTTGGCTCTTACCATCGATTTCAATCTGCCAGTCCCTTCATCCAATCCCCATTCACCCTTTCCCCTCTCTCTTACTCTCCCTTCCTGCTCGTATGATTTGTGGTCGACAACTCGGACCCGTTGACTTCAATCTCCACGTGCACCGTGCCCTAGGACTCATGGTCTGAGATGCGGCGATAGAGTCTATGATTCAACGGTTTGCTTCAGACCAAAAACGACCAAACTCTTTTTCCATAAAACGACGAGTCGATAGTCCGTCTGCCGCTATCCCTCCCGGCCCACTTGGATCGCCGTCTTTGCCTACATGGATGTCATGCGGGCTTTAGGTTCAGCGGTTTCTCGATCCGCTACCCGGCTTTGAGCAAATCAACTACGATCTGGGCTGTGCTTTCAGCGAACCTCGTTCTTCTTCTTTTCTTTCCCGGGGATGATCAACCCTGATTTGATGCTTGGGGTCCCTCACCAATTTGGTAGAGTGAGGCGACAACGGCCAGCCACGAAGGAATCCAAACAATAGGCAGAGATTGGTTCAACGACAGATGGAGTGAAAATGGGTTGAATCTTGGCGCGGTCACGCCGCGAGGCTTCATTCTCCCGAGTTCCAGTAACCCTAACTCGAGACATATGTTGGGCAAAACACAGATCCTATACAACATACTGGTATGAATCTCCCTGGTTAGAGGGGAATAGGAAAACAAGACCAAGACCATACTCTTACCAGTGTAATACGCAAAGCAACTTGGGCCTGACGAGATGCAACCCCTGCCGCAATATATCGCACAGGCAACCAACCAGACGCCGTTCCCCCCTCTATTGCAGGGATCATTTTGAAATTACAAAATTAAAATCGATTTGGGGGAATATCCTGTGGATATGAATTTATTTGATTTTATTCATTTTATGGAGAGACCAATCACCAACCAGGTCGGCTGGTTAACTCTCGTTTATCTTGGATTTCTCCGGTCTTCTCGTGCCAGTTGCAATCGAGATTCATACTTGTTCTGTCAATCCACGCGATATTGATCGCCCTGGCCCTGATTTTCCTTTTAACTCCATTGCCTTACCCGCATACTTCTTACTTTTGCCCTTGTACATATATACTCTCTTTCCCTACTACCTACACTACCATACCTGGGACATAAAGATCTGGCAAATTTTATACAGGTCTACAGCAGTGGAACATGCAGCTTTTATTGTCTTCCCCTTAGATTGTCTCATTGTTCTCCTCCTCCCCCCGGTTCTTATTGTCTCTCTTTCTTTGACTCCAAATCGAGCCTATCAAAAACCCTATACCTATCCATGGAGGACCCAACGACCATGGAAACGGATTCCCATGGGCCAGACAGTGAATTTGCACATTCACCATGGGTGGAAATAGGCCCATTTGCTTCTCCTCAGCAATCGCCCCCGATTCACGAGTATAGCGGCTTCGACTATGGTCCATCACCGTTGATGGCCGTGGACACTTCGTATGGGATGTCAATACCGCCACCCTACACGTCGATGCCATTGCCCATGCCTTCACATTCGTGGCCCAGTATGCTCACGACGCACAATCCATGGAATGGATTGCCGGTTTCCACGCCGACCTCAGTCTCGCCTTCGGCCCCCATGCCTCCAGTGCGGAAGACCTCAACTGGGGGAAATACACCGCGCAGGACCCTTACTGATGATGACCGTCGGCAAATGTGTCTCTATCACGAGGAACACAAGACTGCGAAGCAGACCGATATTGGAGGTACGCATATCTTTCTCGGTGAAACGGACCAGACTGACCAGTTATATAGCTTTATTTGGAGTTGAGAGAAGGTACTACAACAGTCGCTTCACATTGCATTCTTATTCTAACATACAACAGCACTGTCTCTAAAGTCCTTCGCCAGAAAGACAAGTATCTCAACCCCAATGATCGAAGTCGATCTCCCATCAAACGGGCCAAGGGCAAAGTTCCCGATATCGAGAAAGCCCTATCCAACTGGGCGAAGAACTACCAGCGCAAAGGCTATCCGCTGAGCGACGAGATGATCAAAGAGAAAGCCCTTTTCTTCGCAAGCACCTGTCTTTGCCCAGAAGGAAAGGAGGAGGTCCAGACCGCAGCATGGCTGGGAAAGTTCAAGCGCAAGAACGGCCTGCTGGGCGCAAAGATACGCAGAGACTCAACCGAAATCCGCAGCGGATCAAACAGCCCAACCCAGCTCAACACAGACTTCGGCTCCGCCCTCAAAAGTCCCACGGGACCCTCCCCAACCTCCCCAGTCGTAGACAGCTTCGGCTCACCACTATCGCCAACAAGCCAAGAAAGCCTCAAACGAGACATGGAAGTCCCCGATCTGACAGGCGGATACCAACACGGCTACTCAAAGAGCACCACCTCGCTCGACACAACCTCCTCCGCCGGAATGGTCAGCCCAACCTCAACCCTCGTCTCCGACAGCCCCTTCACACCCACCAGCCAATCCCGCCTCCCAACCGTCAACAGCAACAACTCCAGCCGTCCGCGCAGCCAAACCTTCCCGCTCGCCCCCATCGACCCCGCCCTCCTCACCGACGAGACAATGGACTCGCACACCCAAAAGCGCGAACTCCAGCAATCCCTCTCCGTCTCCATCCTCGAGTCCCCCATCGAAATGGACTCAAATACAGACGGCTTCAGAGGGACCCGAAACGTCGTCAAGCGCAATCGCAGCAACCCCGAAATTAAAGCAAAGTTCATGCCCCCGCCTAAATCAGCCGCCGTCTCCCCGGTCACTTCCCCAGGCTCCCCAACCCAGGACGAGGCTCGGCGCGCTCTCGAGCTGGTCATGACGTACTTCGATCATCAGCCCGCCGGCCTGGCGGCGCAGGAGTACATGACTATCGGGAAATTGATGGAGAGGCTCGAGCTCGCCAAGGGTCAGTTGTTGGGTGGCTTGCCGCGCATTGACGAACATGAGGATATTTCTATACCGCGCGTGACCAAGAAGAGAAGTATTCACAATATGGGATGAGACTCTTTTCTTTTCTATTTGCATCGTCGGTTTTTCCTTTTCTGTCCTGTTTCTGGCATCTGAAACAAGATATTTTCCCTTCCCTACCCGATATCGCCATCTCTTCTTGTTGGATATCTCGTTGGTTTTTCCATCAGTTCCCCCATCTGTACGAATGACTCCCATCCACCGGCAAAACATATACAAAAACTGGGCAACCAACCAAAAAAAAGAAAAAGAAACAGAGAAAAAAACAACCAAACATACAGATATCCAGAGGGCAACCTCTAATCTTGGAATTTGACGGGGAGTACGGAATTCGGCGCATACATACTGACACAGGCATTGTTTCTATCTCCAGTCTGGACGATGCATATGGAATAATGGGAAACATAACCTGGTACACGTTAGGATCATCGGCCTCGGACTTGGACTTGGACTTTGGAGTTTTTGCTCTTGCTTTTTGCTTTTTCCATCATATTGTTTGTTGGTTTGCTATATCCCCCCTGACGTTTCTGTTTTGCATTCTACTTACCCTCGCCTCTCATGTCTCTTGTATTGCATCTCTTTCGTACATTCTTTTTAGGTGAGAAGATAATTTTGCTGGGAGTGAGAACTTTCATACCACACTGGCCCTGGCAATGTCAGATTAGTCTCTTTCCTCAATTTTTTTACCTCTTCTGTTGGCCTTCATTATACCCCTGATATTTACTCCAATTTCAACTTCACATCCACAATTTTGAGTTTTAATTTATGCCGGTCATAGATAGCCTCAGATGTGATCTCACTTAGGACTCTTACTAATGAAACGCCAAAGCAAACAATATAATCATCTATTAGCAGCAGCAGCAGCAGCAGCAGTAATACTAGTAGTAAGGGTAGTAAGGGTAGTAAGGGTAGTAAGGGTAGTAAGGGTAGTAAGGGTAGTAAGGGTAGTTGTAGTGATTCACTAAAAGGCCAGTGGCACAGGCACAGACGCCACCCCCCGATCCTCGAGTAAATCCTCAACGCATCGCTCAGCCATTTCGGGAAGCAACCTGCCCAACACAGTCTCGACAATAGCATAGACCAGATGTTTATTGCAGTATTCATCAGCAAACAAGTCCAGCAAGTCATTCTCGATGATTTGCAGGAGATACACTTCCTCAGCATCCATCTCCCCCGCAGACGGGAGGTCGTCTGTGCGCAGCCGCCCAGCGGCAAGGTGGCCACTCGCGACTGGACGAGACGAGGACGCCAGATTACCCTCGCTGCTATGCAGTGAAGATCCATCGTGTCCGATTCTAGAGGGGGAGGTGGCGAGAGAATGCGAACTGTTGGGGCTGCAGGTACCGTCACCAACAGAGGGTGCCGGAGGCGCCGATGGGGGGAGACCAAGGAAAGCTCGTGCGACGGAGCGCGGGATCAAGGCCAGGAGGCTAGCTGCACATCGCCGCTTGATAGTGGCGATCTCCGTTTTAGTTGGTCTGTTCGCTTTCTCCCTTTCGGCCGGTTCGTTTATTGGTGGTGCTGTTTGGGGATCCGGGTTGGATGAACGTGACCCTTGAGGACCAGGGCCTGGGATAGTAGTGGCTGGCGAGATAAAGGGCCCCCTATCGTTATTGCCGTCGCTCTTGTTCTCCGTATCACTGGTCTTACCGAAGCCATCGCTCGTACTGGCACCCTTGACTCTTTCCACAACGGGGATGCCAGGTGAGGCTGCGGTCGGGAGGGTTTGATGACTGGGTGTCGGGGTCTGCACGGATTGCGGAGCCGAGGCCGGAGCTCCATTATGTCCGACCGCTGTCTGCGATGTTGGACGGGTATTGGCTGGGAACAAGGCGGTCCTTGTCGCAAGGAGGAGGTTGGGCAACAAAGTGGGGGTCAGCACGTACTCCTCAATCGTTTCCCGGAGGAATCTGTGGAGTTAGCATAGGTCTCACTCATGACGTCGGAGCAATTAAGCCAAGGAGAAGACATGAAAAATAAAAAAGAAATGAATCGATAGTCTTCGACTGTGGAGCTCTCGGGACGTTGTGCCTTTTTTTTTCCCGCGCACATTTTAGTTCGCAAGAACGAGTCCAAGTTTGCCTCAAATAAGAAACGGGATAGAAGTGGGGGGAGGAGAAGCAAGATCGGCTTCGAGATGAAGGAGCTTGGGCCAGTGGACAAGGATATATCCTTTTTTTAAAAAAAATTCTTTTCTTTGATGCAGGACGTCAAAGGAAAAGAACGAGGTCCCCCTCTCTCTTCAGTGGGTAACATCCCCAGCGTATCTGGCGGGCTTCATGCACGAACCTCGGTCAGATTGCGAATTTCTCAATCCCTGAAATTTCTCTCATTGGATCGAGTTCAGTAAATCACTAGCCTCGGCCAAGGCTTGAATTTCTGATTTCTGCTCTTTTCATGCAAGCCAAATGAGGACTAATTCCACCGATGGTGATCGGCAAGTCGATTTGGTCTTTTTTTCTTTTTGTCATCGCAATTCCGTGCTCATATGCTCATTCGGCCCCATTTCCTGTCGAGGACATTTCGATCGTCGCCAAGTGCGGTTGATTCTTTTATGCTCAGCCAATTTTCCAAGTTGGCACATGTCCAAATGTCGAAAAGAGTGAGCGGCACGGAAAGGGCCGGGCCCCGGCGCTATCGCAGACAAGGGACTTCTTTCCAAGGTTTGCTCAAAAAAGGACGGCAACCATGGATCAAACATCCCTGCGCCAAAATCAAAAGTCGCTCGGGCCAATTTTGAGAGCGGCCAATCTGAGGCCAGAACAGCCCAGTCAGCCTGACGGTAATGACCGTACTGTAAGGAGACGCCGTAAATTGGTAAAATGACCGTAATCCCCGTGCAGCCTTCACAAGGTTACAGATCAAGTGACCGACGCAGTATGCGAGCAAGACGCTTCATGTACCACCCTGGCACAAGTGACACTTGACCCGTAGTTCGGATATCCAAGGCTCCTGCTCCACAGTCGAAGCATTCATTTCCAAGTAGGCCCGAGCCCTCGAGAAGGAGGATTGAGGGGAGAAGAGGAAGAAGCAATAGGAAATAGAAAGCAAACTCACCTATCAAAGATCCCGTCCGTGGCACCAACCCTGCCTGGGCCTGCCAGAATAAGGTACTGAAGCAGAGCGAGAAATCCACTCAGCCATGGCATTCTCCAGGAGATTCCCAGGATTTGGGAGATCATGGAAAACACCCGATAATCGAGCACCGGGCGACTTGATACGCCTTCTGATGATTCCGATCCATCGCCTTTCTGATAGATAGGCGGAGGTGAGACACCGACACCGTGCGAAGAAGGGCCTGGACTCGATGCGACACGAAACAAGCCCATCGCGATGAAACGTAAGGCGACGTAACCAAGGTAGATTTTCTGCAAAAGATTCCAAATCCAGGCAGTGGCTGAAAAGGGCACCAGCGGCTGGTTTCGTAGCTCATCATCGGTTGAAAGCAAGCCAAACTTTTCCAATCGGTTTGCCTGAGAGTCTGAGTCTGATTTTGTGTCATCTTGAATTTGACGATGTCCCACTCGAGTGGCCAGTTTGGTTATAGTTTCCCAAATGAACCACCCTTCGCATGTCCTGCCACTGACTTGGTTTCCCAGTATCAGATCAGCAATGACATCGACGACCAGCGTTCGGAGACTGTTATTTTCAAGATCCTCGGTGGGAAGCAGGACAGCCAGAATACCATTGGCGAGGAGCCGTCGATATACCGCTTCGCTCTCGCCCTGCTCGGCAATCGTATCGGGGTCCGCTGGATCGGGCACTGGAGACAGACCAGGGTGTGGGTTAAGCTCATGGTAGAGCGCACGGTGTGACGGTGGTAGACCCGAGAGATGCGACTGTTGCCTGGCCAGTCTGTACGCTGAAAGGCCATATAAAGTCAGCAATTGTTTCCCCTTCTTGGCGGAACAGCCATGGATTCCGACAAGAATAACTTTAAGGAACGGTCAGGTCTCACAGAGTACATGCGCTTCCACCAGGCCAGGGATCTCATCCAGGGCCAGTTGTGCAACATCGATTTGACGTAGCCTCTGCTCGAGGGCGCGCGTGCAATGCGCAATTACCTGTAGGACCTCATTCACAAGAGCCTGGTCGGGAGTAATTTTAGAGTACCACGAGTACACAAATTCTTTGATTATGATGGCGAGCAGGGCGTAAAGTTGACGGTCAACGTCATTGGAGCTCGTGAGGGGAGGTAGCAGCTCTTCCGGAGGCTGCGGGGAAGATGCCCCGTAGCTTCCTGTCTGGGGGCACAACACACGTCGGATGAGAGCCGTGGTTGCCTTATCACTGGCAGCATCTGGTTCATCCTTGCCGGAGGTTTTCTGGGTACGCAGTCGGGAAGATGGACGCGAAGGAGGCTGAACCGTCGTCGGGGAAGGCAACGCGGTGGATCTAGAGCTGGAGGTTGTTGGCCCAGCCTTGAGATGGGATATCGGCTGGAGGCCGGGACGGAGCGAGTCGTTCATTTCATCTCAGAGACTTGAAGGGGTTCAGGACACGAAAGCAACGAAGCGTTCTATGTTCAGAGACAGTGACGGTTGAACGTTGATCATTGGTATCTGGCTCAATCGGGACTATAGGGCTTAGGGCTTGGAGATAAGCCTTATCGCCGTTCATTGATGCGGGGATGTGTTTATGCCCAGGTGTACTTAAGGGAGGTCTAGTGGCCTTTTGATTCTCCATAGTTTTTCTCAAATCATACACCGTGATGGATAGTCCTATTCCCTTATGGTTGGACTGCGATCCTGGTTCGTCGATCAGATTCTCTTCGCTCTCGTGTTACTGACCGTTCGCTCTTAGGCCATGATGTAAGGCTTGTACTTTAAGCATTCTCAAACAATCGTTAATAGAATATAGGATGCCTTCGCAATTCTAATAGCGGCTCACCATCCATCTTTGGAGCTACTTGGGATCAGTACGATCCACGGAAATGCATCGTTGGTGAAGACAACCGCCAATGCCGGCAGTGTCCTAGAAGCGATCGGCAAGCCCGATATTCCAGTCTATCCCGGGTGTAACAAGCCATTTTGCCGGCCTGCTCTTCATGCGCCTGATATTCATGGTATGGATGTGTCAATTGTGAGCTAGATCTTCCATTGACACTTCTTAGGTGAATCTGGCCTGGATGGAACCGATCTTCTTCCCAAGGCTAGTAAAGCGCCCATCACTGACGAGAACGCCATTGTGGCCATGAGGAATGCCCTTCTTGCCCAGCCCAAAGGTACCCCCTGGTTGGTCGCAACAGGGACATTGACAAACGTCGCACTGTTGTTTGCAACATTTCCCGAAGTGGCTGAACACATCCAGGGACTGAGTCTCATGGGCGGTGCCATCGGCGGAGGCTTTACTGATGCTCCCATGAGCAGACTTCCAGGGGAGAAGGCTAGAATCGGGAATACGACGCCGTGGGCTGAATTCAACCTTTATGTAGGCTTCGGACTCATCTTCCCCTCCCCTCTCTGGCATCATATCTTACCATGATGGAATAGTGTGACCCCGAATCTTCAGAGTCAATCTTTAGCAACCCCGTACTTGCACCCAAGACAACTATTATTGCCTTGGATCTCACACACCAGGTCTTGGCCTCCCAGGCCATTCAAACACGGATCTTGCATGGCTCGATTCACTCGCCTGACGAACCCACGATCCTTCGGCAGATACTGCACGCGCTTCTCACGTTCTTCGCAGCCACATACGAGAAGGCATTTGGGTTATCCACTGGACCTCCATTGCACGATCCCCTTGCTGTGGCTGTAGTGTTATCCACACTGAATCCAGCGTTTGCTAACAAGCACCCGGACCGAGCTCTCTTTTTCGACGATAAAGGCGGCGAACGGTTTGCATTGAGGATTGTTACAGATGGACACCACGGCAAAGATGTATCCGAGACTGGCCAGCTGGGTCGCTCGATAGCCACGCCGGTTGATGGTCCCGGTGTCGCTGTTCCCAGAGGTGTTGATATTGAGGCTTTCTGGGACATGATTTTGCAATGTGTCCAGCTGGCGGATGATTGCAACGCTGCGCGCAAGATTTGAATTGCCACTTAGATAGAAGCATGACCCTCCTTAGAAGTTGATACTTCTGATAAGACTTAGATCTTCAATTACACATACAGCATGATTGAAAGTATATCAGACCGAGTCGGGCATTGCTCAATCATTACTTCGGATAGCCCTCGTAGATCGCTTTATCCGCATTGAATGCAGTTAGCATGATCTCGGACGTTGGGATAGATTAGCTGCAGATAATGTTTTGCAGGATGACAGGGGGCACGTTTTCTGTTATCTAGATCGAAATCGTATCGAGCAGACGTGTAGACCGTAGAGGTATTGAATAAGTTGAATCTGATTGAAGTTGAGGTGAATACTCCAAGGCGGCCCTGAGCCGGCTGAAAGGAAGAACGTCATATGTTGTTCGTATTGTCCGTATGGTTTCTCCACATTTCAGAAGCCTCACGAGTCACGACACTTCTCGATCTCGATCTGCCATGGGAATCATTCCCCTGAGTTTACTCCGTACTTACCGTCCCATACACATCTTAACTTCCTCTTGGCCGTACTGCATGGCCACGTCGATCCCGACTCCTTGACGGCGCATTCCGATTAAAATGCCGCCTCACTCAGAATCAGTATGGCTGTCCTAGAAATTATCGCGATCTGTTCATAAGTTAATCACTATCTATTTTCTAGCACACTCCCCTCTCTCCGTCTACCCCGGCCCCTGACTCCCCACGCCGATCGTCGATTCCCACACCCCCTGTGGAGACCGATAACGCCCACGATGACAACGTGAACTTCCTGCGATCGCGTCCAGCTCTTTTCAATCCACTACTACCTTCCCTGAGCCGCCAACGTCGCCGCCGTTATCCGATCAACCCAGCCCTGCAAGACGAGGATCGCATGGAGGTGGATGACCCAAACAACCCGCGCGCCTCAGCCGAACCAAATCGTCGCATCCCTATTGTCCGTCGCCCGGAAGAGAGCACAACCGATATGCCAAATTACGAAAGTCAGGTGCCCAATTCACGGTCGTTGTATGGATGGGCACCCGGATCAGACTATGAGGATGCCGTTGGCAGGGAAGACTCCGGAGACGACGGACTGCGGCCGTTCCTCGATGCCATCTCCAGTCACGGCACAGCGCCCCGACCTCCACGACATGAGGCACCAGCTGCCCCACTACGGATAATGCATGACTTGGATACATCACCCGGTAACCAGGCCCGGTCACCCTTGCATTCGGTGGCAGTGCCGTCACAGTCCTCAAGGCGCCACCCTCGGCTTTCAAGATCTCGAACCTGGGTGAACTACATGATAGATCGCTACACAGAGGACAGTCTAGCGGATGACGCCGAAAACACCGGGACACCTGCACCTGCAGCTCGCTCTCGTCCATCCCGTCGCACTGACTCACAGCACACCAACCTCACCCACAATGACCTCCGCGCTCGCGCTGCCGCTCATCGCCAACTGCACTCCGATACATACCTGACCAACGTGCTGAAGGAAACGATCAACTATCTCGATCGTCTTCGGTACTCGAACTCTCTCGAGGAGAGTCTACTTGCCGCGGCGGACAGTCGCTTGCCGATCGAGATGGACAACAACTCGTGGCGAGATACGGATTTCATCCTATACACTCCCAACATTGCCCCACCAGCGGCATGCTCATGGCTTCAGCCCGGCATGGCATTTATGGGCTGCCAGCGAGCCTCAAGTGCCGGGTGTTCCGTGGTGCCACCATCGGGTCCAAGTTCGCAGCCCCCCGGTGACCCCGTCATTGTGAATGGTAGCGACAGCACCCGAGTCAGCGTGTCCACTTCCAGTGGGCGCCGGTACTTGACCAACAACCGAGAAGAAAATTGGCCCGTCAAGGTCACCATCCATCACATCAACCACGATGACATGACCTTGTCTGGCACAATGGAAGCCTACAACATCCCCGATAAACCCTCGCCTACGCGGGACGCACATATTGTGACTTTCCTGGAAGGCGAGATCATTGATTTCAACAAACACACGCTCGAGACGAAGAATTTCAAAGCAGATGCAGATATTGATAGCACGTACTGGCGTGAACTGCAACCATTCAAAAACCTGACGGATGGCGAGATGGCCCGGAATCTCGTCAGTCGGAAATGGATCACTGAGGAGTTGTCCAAGGGGTGGATCTTGATGCGATGGAAGGGTAGGTTCATGCACAGTCTCCCTGAATTTCTTTTCGCTAATATACCCAGAACGATGCTTTATCACCCCTACCGATGCCCGTCAAGGTCTTACAATCTCTGGATTCTACTACATCTCCCTTCGCCGTGAAGACGGGCATATCGAAGGACTGTACTATGACCCCGGAAGCTCGCCTTACCAACAGCTTTCTTTAAAGCCGCAATTGAAGAGAATGATGCGTCCTTCTTATGCATTCCGCTAAGACTCGTGTGCATATGGGTTTATTCTTGTCTTTGTTTTGCCCGGAATCTTCTGGGGCCATTTCTCTGAACCTTCTGAATTTATGATCTGGCGTTTAAGGAAGACGTTAGATGGCATTTGACATTGCATAGCTAGGTGGTGTTCGTTTCTATTATCTTCCGTGAATATGCACATCGTTTACCGACTGTTGCATCTCTGATTCTCTTCCTATCTTCCCTAGTTTTGTCATTTCAGCTCGTATATCTATCAGCTATAGAACCCCCCTCTACACCATGATGTCCACTATAACTATAACTCGACTGTCTGGAATAATCTCCAGAACGGGGATATCCACAGACTCTCTTAAACACCGTCAAAGCGTTGTCTATCTCTTGGGGGCGGAATCTTGTCTTATCTCACGGGCTGCTCGGTATCTCAGAGTCCGATATCTCCAAGACGCTAACGATGAAACCGCTTGAACCTGCTTAAAAGGTAAACAAATTTAGGGGTCGGCACGGCATATTCGTAACATTTGAGATATTCGTCGTATTCGTCATTCACAGACGAATATCCGTGGAGCCAGTATTGGGACTTTATTCGACTCCAAAGACTGTTTTAAGTCGAGCATCGTAATCAATTCGATCCTGCTGCTTTGCGGCTCCAACACTCACATAGTCGTGGGCCCAATACCATGGCATAGTGTCATGGAAGAAATCATGATCTTCGCAATACTTGATGAAGCGTGGTTGGATCTGCCTGTAAAAAACAGAAAAGAGACCAGTCGGGCTAGCAAGAGCAAGGGAGAACCAAAAAGTTCCCCTTCCCCAGCCTCGTTCCATTGTCTCGGACAGACTTTCAGGTATTTGGCCTCTCGAACCAAGAAGCGATTCTTTTTCTGTCATGATTCCGATAAATTCGGACCTGACAGTATCGTAATCGATAGTTTCCTGGGCGATCTCATCACAGGCTTTGTTGGTAAGCCAGGTTGGTGTGCGTAACATCTCAATAGGACGAGTGCATGCCCATTCAAGGTCGACTAGCGATGTAATGTGCCAGTCGTCGTCTACAAAAATGTTGCTCGGGTGGAGATCCGTGAGTGTGAATTTGAAAGGGCCACGGCAGAGATCTCGTGTGAAAAACGATGGGAACGTTGCTTGCATTGCAGTCAAAGCTGCCGTCTGATTTATGTAATCGCTGACGTTGTTTATTGCGTTTGCTTGATGTCGAAGTCGATTATTGTGCAGCCTCAGAAGGTCCACAATATAAGACTCAACGGTAGAATATGTATAATCTCGTGGCATATCCGTAGGTATACGGTCATTTTCGAGGGATTGGACCTCAATTGATAGAGGGCGGTTTGTCAACCTGAGATAGCCATCTTTGTCGATAACGAAGGAGCCGATTGAAGGGAGAGAGATGCGCGTTAAGCTCAGCAGGATCCGAGAGAGATCGCGAAAAAAAGGTCTGCCGATATTGAGGATCGTGATATCTTTCCAGCCATGTTGATGAAAGCATTTTCCCCGTTGTAGGCTCAACAAACTCAATCAATAAGTATCCTGAATTCAGAGCACCGTGGTTGCTTTGCATATTTCGTAGGCGGTGGGAAGCATAGAACGAAGGCAGTTGGTAGCCTAGGTATGAAAGAAGCAGGCGACGCGAATATTGGAAAAAACGGCTCAGCGGAGGGAGTTCGTCGACATGTGTGAACTATCATGATCAGTATTGCCTTGGGCTACGTTTGGAGAATCACAGTACACTTTCTCCATCAGAGGTGGCGAAGCCGTATAGTCGAGGAATAGGAATGTCGCGACAGTGCTCCTGAATCCAAGCATATGTTCCTGCTTCGCATCGAATCTTTTCGTCGGAGTTCCCATGGTGAAATTCTTCACCCACCCGATATGGAAGAGGTAGCCGAAGGAGAACTCGAGTTCCTGATTGTGTTCTGGTTTTCCAGTCGCTGATAGAGACTGGAATACAAGCATTGAAACTTCCATGAAGCCAATCCTCGACATCAGCCACTTCGCATTGCTCGGTCGAAGAAAGCCCTAGATGGTGAGCTACGACGGTCTTGATTGCATGCCGATTGTCGAAGAGGCTAGCAAAGAATTCATTCTGCCGATCGCGATACTGGAGTCGAAGCAGAATGTCGACTTCTTCCCTTTGAGCCTTGGAGTACGTAATTTCCCCCTCAGAAGGCGAAGAGTCTTTGGCATGGTGGAAGAGATTGCGGTCCTGCGGAGGGGGTTTGTTGACAGGCTCAGCTCGACAACTGTTTCAGATCACGTGGCACACAGGCAGCGACACCGAATCCTCAGGGGACAAGCGCCAGCTTGTGCCGGGCCTTTGCTACGTCCGTTTCGCCGTCCGTTGCAAGGGGCCCAGCGGGGCGGGGCGTGGTTGGCATGGCAGGTGCATGCGAAAAGGCGTGGTGCCGACCATTCTCGGCGTCGGGGGCCAGCTTTGGCGGCTCGGCCGTCCCAGCCCAAATGCTTTTTGTTTACTCCGTACGAGATTAACTTTCATCAAACTAAGCCAAAAATGGAAAGAACAACAACCTTGCTACCTTCGTTCTTTCCCTAAATTCCCCGCAGATACGGAGAATTAGATTGTCCGCATGTACTTTCCCAATTCTGAAATGGCTGGGAAGTTGGAGATCTCTGGTTACATGTACCTTGTAGATCATCTTCTCTTTCGGTCCTTATCTTTGCTTACCATGGCAGCTCCTTCAGCATATATTGTGACCGAACCCCCCGGTCTAAGGTCTTTCCATATGAGACAGCTTGTAAACACTCATGATGCATCTACAGCACCTTCCCTTTTTGGCCGCGATAGCAGGCTGTGTTGTACAGCCTGTTGTTGCTATGCCCCAGGCCCGGACACAGGAGGGGTCCGAGGGGACATGTGAGAAGACGAAAGTTGCTATTTTGTAGGTACTGCTCATTGAACTGAACCGATAACGACGCTGATGGGATTGGTCTATAGGGGAGCTGGTGTAGCTGGTATCACTGCTGCTGTGAGTTGTACCCCCTTGCTCGAGTCGAGCTGTGTTGTTGATACTCTCTAGCAAGCCTTGAGCAATGCTTCGGTGCATGACTTTTTGATTCTCGAATACCGTGATACTATCGGTGGTCGGCAGTGGAATAAGCCGTTTGGTAAAAATAAAGACGGGAATCCGTATATCATTGAGATGGGTGCCAATTGGGTATGAATGTGAATGTCTCCGGATACGAGGATCGTGTTAACAGGTTGCGCAGGTTCAAGGTATTGGAAGCCCGGATGGTCCGCAGAATCCCATCTGGCATTTGGTATGTCCTGGTTGATTTCCTCGTCTGATCACAAGCTGATACCTTGACAGGCTCGGAAATCTGGACTGGTGACCGAGTACTCCAACTATGATAATGTAACCTCTTATAACAAGGACGGAGCTGCCGACTTCTCTGCTCTGTTCGACGCCTATGATGCAGCTTCCGAGATTGCCACTCAGATGGCAGGCAAGGCTCTTGCGCAGAATATTCAGGATTCAACTGCCAAAACTGGCTTGGCTGTCGCTGGGTGGAATCCCAAGTTCAATGACATGGAAGCACAGGCTGTGGACTGGTGGTCGTGGGGTAAGTACTCGATCAGTCCTTCCAATGACCCTGGGGCGCCATAAATTGACCTTCGAGCCCTGCAGACTTCGAGGCTGCTTATTCCCCACACGAGAGCTCATTTGTCTTTGGCTATGCGGGCAGCAACCTGACCTTCAACTACTTCAGCGATCACGATGAGTTCGTCATGGACCAGCGTGGGTTCAACATCATTCTCAAGGATCTAGCCTCAACCTTCCTCGCCGAGAACGACCCCCGTCTCCACCTGAACACAGAAGTCACAAACATCACCTACTCCGACCACGGCGTGACCATACACAACAAAGACGGCAGCTGCGTAGAAGCCGACTACGCCATCACCACCTTCTCACTAGGCGTCCTCCAACACGGAGCCGTAACCTTCCACCCGGAACTCCCACCCTGGAAACAAGAAGCCATCCACAAGTTCGACATGGGCACCTACACGAAGATCTTCTTCCAATTCAACGAGACCTTCTGGCCCTCCGAAACCCAATACCACCTCTACGCCGACCCCACCACCCGCGGCTGGTACCCCATCTGGCAATCCCTTTCCACCCCAGACTTCCTCCCAGAATCAAACATCATCTTCGTAACCCTGACGAACGAGTTCTCCCGCCGCGCAGAACTCCAGTCGGACGAACAGACGAAGCAAGAAGCACTGGCCGTCCTGCGCAAAATGTTCCCGGACAAGACCATCCCCGAACCAACCGCTTTCATGTACCCGCGCTGGACCTCCGAGCCCTGGGCGCACGGAAGCTACTCGAACTGGCCGCCTTCGACGACGCTGGAGATGCACGAGAACCTGCGTGCGAACACAGGCCGGCTCTGGTTTGCCGGTGAGGCTACCAGCCCAACGTTCTTTGGGTTCCTGCATGGTGCGTACTATGAGGGACTGGATGCTGGCAGACAGATTGCGGCGATTATGAAGCATAAGTGTGTCAATGCTAAGTCGCCGAAGTTGAGGGAGTGTGGGCCTCGTAAGCATTATGAGACGCTCCATGGGACTACGTTCCATTCGGAGTATACTATGCTTAATGGGTGGGCTGTGGATAGTTTTGTTGATAATAATCCTGACGAGGAGGAATAGATCTTATCATCTTAGGTATAGGTACAATGCATGTTACAACGAATGGCAGAATACTTCAGAGAGTAGCATTTTTTTTAATTTTTAGCTAGACTACCAAAGGTGAAGGAAGACGACGAAGAAGAAGAGGCTAAGTGAGAAATGAAATAAGCAAGGCATTGACAACTTCCTCATTGACTTGTCTCAGGCCATCATGGGTTTACATAGACCTCTCGGCTGAGGCACTCTCCACCTGTTGCGATGAAGGTTGTAATGAAAAGAACAGTACCTGACAACCAAAACAACAAGACCGGAGAAGGAAATGGGAGAGAAGACAGACAAAGATCTGGGTTCACACCCATGTCTACTCCAGAGACCATGAGTGACATGACCCCGTTTCCATCAATGCATCGTAGCCCTTGGGAGACTTTGGTAGAGACACGACCACCAGAGGGCCGAAAATCGTTTGCTTCGAGCTTCTGGTCAAGGACATCGCCTGCTTCGGCTCACTGCGTTCAGGCACGCCATTATGAAGCGGAAGTACAGGTACCGGCGACAATGACCGTTCGCAAGGAGCCCCAATGTCCAGTGGTCATGGCTTTAACATCATATTAGCATGATAATCAATTTTAGCTTTTGTGTTACTAACTTGTGGGAAGTAACCCCAATCCTCCGACAATGAGCTATCGACCATATCGGTGTGAAAGACGAATGACCCGTTCTGGCTCTTATGGTTGGCTGATGGGAATAGCCAAGAGGTGTATGGAGACAGATACAGATAGAAAAGAAAGAGGGGTAAAAGTGAATACTGAGGGAAGGTGGGAGATGAAGAAGAGAAGAGGGAAAGAGGCGAAGTATCGTCCGTTATATAGGGAAGGAGCGAATAAGAGCACATGACACCAACCAAAGCCAATTTCCTGCTAATCTCATACGAACTGTGTACTATTCGATAAGGTCTTCGATATCGAGAAATCCCAGACTCAGCAAGGAATGGAATAGAAACTGAAACCCGTGAGTTACTTTGTCGATAGTTCCTAGTCATTGCCAGACAGCTGCTGGAGTCTTCCCAATGTATCCTCCCGAATGCCATGTACAATATCTCCTGCGCTCTTCACATCGTGTATCAAACCAATAGAGGCTCCAGCATAAGTCGCTAGTCTTCCCCCTGGACCCCAGCCTTTATCGCCCTCCTTAACAGCTTCATCATGAAGCTTCTTCAGCTCCTCAAAAGGCTTCCCTTCCTGCTGCTCAACATATGATTGATTGAAAATAGTCCGGGGACTATACTCCTCAGGCCATCCAAAAGTACCCCTGAGATGATTGTACAAGTGGGTACGCGTGGTTGAAGTTGCAGCATCAACCGCACGAACAACCTCATCCTGATAACCCTTGCTAATGCGCGCTTCACTGGCAGCCAAAAACCGAGTGCCCATGACGGCGCCCGCCGCCCCGAGACACAATGCCGCCGAGACACCGCGCCCGTCTGCAATCCCACCAGCCGCAAACAACGGAATCCGGCTGCTGGCCATGACATCGGCCACTTCAGGAAACAGAGCCATAAGGCCCATTCCGTCATTGGCACGACCGTGACCACCGGACTCAGAGCCTTGCACAACGACGACATCTGGTTGCTCATGGTTCTGCAGAAGCTGCTTTGCCTCTTTCACGGTGCCGATTTGAATCCAGATCTGGGTCTCAGGGGATACTTGACGGATCTTGCTAGACCAGTCATCGTATTGTTTGGGTCCCTGGTTCGGAGCGTATAGCCAGGCAGCACACGGTTTGTACTTTTCGATAGTAGCAACGGCGACATTGATGTCGTCTGCCCAGAGCTGGTACCCTACACCTACGGGGAGTGCAGAGTTGATCGTTTTTATTGAGCTGGCGCCTTGGAGGAGCGATGATGCTTTCTTGAGATCTTCGTTTGTGTCTTGGGTCTTTGCGCCGGGCCCGATAAATCCTAGTCCACCGGCGCGAGAGACAGCCACTGCCAGTGCCGGACCGGTCATTACTTTCATAGGGGCGCAGACGATGAATGGTCTGGATACCCATGGGTATCGCGACAGCAGGTTTGCAGCCATAATTATCGAAACAGATTTTGAAGTGAATTTGTGCTGAGATGACACTTGTCGCATTTACAGATTCAAGGTATGTGCCAGGTGTGTTAGCTGACAAAAGTTGGGTTCGTTTACCTCGGGCCAATCTCTCGACGTCACCGACAACTCCGCTCCCGCTCCCGCTATGCGAACTGCGAATAGATAAAAACAAATGAGAAAATCTCAAAATCAGCATATAGGAAATGTTAGGCAATGATCTTGAATTCTTGATGCCTACGGTAAAATGTGAATTCATACCTGGCTGGAGAGCGATCTTTATACTCCAGTCTGCGATCCGACCGCGGTGGCTCTCCCCTTCTCTACAAGCCTCTGGCCTACTCTGGAGTCTGGGGGTCTTGCTTCTCCAGAGATACGAGAACATGATTTAGTCCGTCAAATTCACACACCGGGGTAAGCCAAGACTCGAGGGTCAAAGTCACTTAAACTTCACGCTGTGTATTCCTAGGTCTGGGGGTTGTAGGTTAGGAGGTCTAGTTCGATGATTGCCTTTCACAGTGTGACAGTGGCTCTACCCCGGAACTTCGGCGAGATTTCGATCTGAGTTCCGCCTTTCCAACGTCGATGTTTCTTTTGAAAGTTGTACACGCACATGTTAGTCTGATCCCAGTCCAGTCCGGAGGTATTTCAGGTATCGAATGGCCGAGTCCCTATGTTGAGCCGATATTGTGAGGCACTTCCAAATTTGTCTCTTGTCATCTGCATGCGATTATTCGTTGAGTAAGGATCACCAATATTGGGAATAATTCTGTCAGATATCAGACACCCGACTAGTCCCGGCTAGTTAGGTATGAGCAAGGCATCGACATCCACCTCGATCCTTCATCACAAACGCAGTGTGATCCCAGGCCAACATTCACAAGGATCCGAGGAAATCCAACATCCAGCTTTCATCAATCCCACTCATGGGCAGGACATCCGGAAGTATAGCATCAGGCTGAATTATTCCACCGTCAATGCCGCTATTTGCTGGCATATTCGGGTGCCACATTTCCATCAATTTGGGCTCCCAGTTCATTTTCATGCCTTGCACCATCCTCAACCCCTTCTCGAGAAGATTCAATTCTCTGTTCTGGTCGAAAGTGAGGTATTCTGAACACTTTTTGATGATTGCTTCGTTTCTGTTCAGATATTCCAAGATATTGGCCGTGTCTCGAACCATGGCCTTGGACCATGCTGGATCTTTCAGCGTGGTGAGCTTGTACAGATTGACGATGGCTCGGGTGAATTGGTAGAAAATCACAACTGATACCTGCAAGTACTCTACTCCTTCGAGTTCGAGCCATACGTCTAGCCAACCTTTGGTGGCTTGGAGGGAGGCGTAAAGACTGTCAAGGCGGTGGAGGTCGGGGGAGTGTGCAATGGGCGGAGGGCCTAATGATATCTCGTTGATTATAATTTCAGCGTTGTAGAGGTACATCAGTAGCACCCCTTCGTCTTGTTAGCTGTGACTGCGAATACTCAGGGAGGGAAGATGGGGCTCACTGTGCTGTTGAAGGTGAGGTGAAATCTCGCTTTTCAGAGTGTCTAACTCTTTTCTGAACGTATCCAAATAGAAAGCCGGCAAATGGGGAGTTCCACCATCACGTCGTAGTTGATGCGCCTTGTCCAAGATTAAATAGAGCCTGACTTGTGCAATCAAAAGCTCGTCCTGTGGGCACTCTCTAGCCTCAGCAAGTATTGCAAGGCTCTCTTCCATGTGTGGTGTCCAGCGCATAGGGTCAATTCTTGACATAGACACAGCAGCGCTGGAGGTATGGTTGTCAGCAATCATGTAGCCTATGTCTTGCGGCAGTACTCACCTTAATGAGAGTAGATAGCACCCCAACACAGCCCTCCTCTCCTCCAGTGTTCTGGCCGTGGGTAAACTTTGCTTTACCCCGATAGCAACTTTGAATGAATTCATAGCTGAATTTTCAGTCGGGACGCTTTGGTTGATTCCAAGTTCCGCAACAACTGCCATTAGTATGTGTGAATATACATTGAGAAATGGCCTTTTGGCGTATGTGACCCTAGAAAGAAAATGGTGATAAGACAGATGACCCTCTCCAAGCGCACAACATTCCCACTTACCATGATACAAAGGTCATGATTCCAAGCAGAAGATCCATGCTCGGCGCAATATCGACCATAACCCGTTGGTGAATATGGTTGGTGATTCTCCCGAAGGAATCTCCTTTTTCTGGATTTCGACATGTAACCACTTCCATGATGCACACCCAAAAGAACGGGTACCTATGTCGCAACTGCTCAGATGTCATAGTAGGAGGGATGTAAACAAAGGGAAGATAGCTCAGGTTCCGAGTGCGGAACTGGTCCAGGTATTGCTGAGCCATGGCAGGCGGCACGTAGATCAGCGACAAGACATCCCGATCATACGAGGGATGTAGAACCGTAGGGTACACTCTCTGGTCGACAGAGGGCGACGTAGAGAGATTAATTGGGGTTTGAGTGATGGCTGACGTCGATTGACTTGGCTCATCCCGCTGGCTCTGTCCTAACTCTACAGGCTCCCAATTAGGGGGAGGACCAGGGGGTGCAGCGCCCTTCTGGAACGCAGACATGATCCAATCAAGTTTGGCCTCGAGATGAGAGGTGCTGGGACCCGTTGACCGGTTATTGCGCTTGCGGACTGTGGGCGCAGGCCGGCATTCTTTGCTCAGGCGTTGGCACCTAGGGGTGCTTAGCTTCCGGGTATTACCGTGAGCCCTAGGCGCCACTCACCTTTCACAGCCAGTCCCAGTTGCAGCAATGATGCATTTACATTTGGCACGGGCACAGTTCATACATGCGCGACCATATGGCGCAGGGGTCCCGGCTGGAATTTGGGCGGAGTCCATCCCGATGTCCAGCGGGATTCGGGATTGGGATATGGATTGAGATGGTTTTAGGACAGATGCAAATCCGGGTACAAATTGCAATATAATTCATGCATGAACTGAAATTAGAACTAGAAAACTATCAAAGACAAACAGAAGACGGAGACGGTCGGAGTTGGGCGTTGCCAATCCCGCTTCCATTACCTCAGTCCCCTGAGCCGCCCTCAAAAAAAGGCGGGCATTGACATTCCACCGCCTGCTTCTTTCAGCTTTTATGTAGGACGTCTGAGGTTTACCTCAGCATGCTCAGACGAAACATGATTCGCTGGGTAATGCTCACATGACCTGCCTAACCAAGTTGGTTCAGCTCAGAAGTTTCGTCTGAGGGGTATTTTGAAATTTTGCCAAAAATTATCGACCAACAGCTTGACCGCTCCTTTGGTGTGTGAATTTCGATCTCAACCTTCTCAACAACCACAGACCTGACCATCTTCAATCTTACAAGCGTCATAAATGCGAACTGGACAATTACTTTGACTATTTTGAAGTTTCCACGCCTCCTAGAACGCGAGTGTTATGCATGAACGTCCCGGTGAGCAATGTCGCGTTTTATCGGGCATCTACATGGCTACAGTAAAACCCCGCTATACCGTACCCCGGCATACCGGATTCCTCGCCGTAACGAATAAAATTAATTCCCAAAATTGATTTCCCACACAAATAACGAACTTCCTCGCTTTTCCGGAATTCGTTAATTTTTTTCCACCCTCCCATTGTTGGAATTGGTGCAACATGTACATATTCTTGGGCCAACCGAGGGTGGCGGTCATGTGACCGCCAAGGCCCACGCGCACACTCAGGGGCACCCCTCTAGCTAGAAGATAGAGAATAACAACAACGATAACTACACAAGATTACACCGAGCAAGAGCCTCCACGAGAGTAGGCCCTCTGCCCAGTAATCGCCGTAGTCTTCGACATTTCGTATACAAGCAATTGCTGTGTAAAACCAACACCCATACCAAGTCCGCTATACCGAGGAAATTGTGGCCCGTGCGGAGGCCCGTGCGCACCTCTCGCTACCCCTCAATTTGGGTGTCGGGCTGCATTACCTGGGCAACCACAGCAATCAACAGACCAAGTAGTTAGCTCTCTCTCTCCTTTCTCTCCTCTCCTTGTCCACTTTCATCCAATACAAGCATAGTACACTGCTTTCCACTCGTAGCATCAATATTTTCTACCTTGTATCTTCCTCCGACAATATGCCTCGCCGTACAGCAATTTCAATTGAGCAGAAGCAAGCCCTTCGGGCTCGCCGAGCAACTTTCCTACCGCATCGAACCTCGAGATGAAGCGCTGGTTTGAAGACAAATATGTACAAGCCGTACACAACACGGCGAGCTAACTAGCTCAGTCTCAGCACCCGCTACGATGCAGTCGATCCGAGAAGTCCTGGGCTTTCGAACTACGAACCACGGGATATATATAACAGCGGCTCATGCCCTTGAGTGTTTAGAGGGTCTAAGGCTGTACCTCGAGCAGCAGGAAGAAGGTGATATCGAGCAAATTCGCAACCTAAATAGGCTGAGTATGACGCTCCAGGGCTCTATTATTGAGAACAGCCGCCAGGGGGATATTCGTGCCTACTTTTGTACTTAAAAATATATGGTATCCGACTTAACGGATCGCCCGGTATACCGAATAATTTCCATTCCCAAAATTGATCCGGTATAGCGGGGTTTTACTGTATATTGTGTCTTCCCCGCAATTTTGGGTCGAGCGCGGACGCTTCGATCTCGACGGCCTTAGCTCAGACATGGTTGATAGTGTATAGAGTAATGAAGATAAAGGAGAAGACGCTGGAGGCCAAGTTTTGAGAAGAAAATCGACGTGGTGGTCGAGATCTTATGGTTCAAAGAGAGAGGCTCGTTTCGTGGTTTTCCCCCGATCTTTCTGAACGGGCGGTCAAAGACCTCCTCAGACCAAACATTTGATTTGGACCTAACCGTTACCTAATTTGGTTAGATATGTCATGTGACTGCACATGACCCAGAGTGACTAGTACTAATAATGTTTGGTCTGAGCATGCTGAGGTAAGTCTGAGGTAAGAATTCGGTGGCTACATAAAGTGGGTCGGACTTTTGCAGTGTTTACTAGTACTGAAGTCCGTCGAACATGATTTTGGAAATTCCGTGATATCTCGTACACAAAGCAAAATATTACAAGTCTGGCTGCCTTGTCTTCTGCGTCTTTCTGAGCCAAATCTGTTGATACTGAAATCAAATATAAACGTGTAAACAGGGCAAGTCGTTGTTGACCGAGAGCTGCGTCGGGGTTCATCGTGGGACATAACACATAAAAAAAGCCTGTTAGTAGGTACTCATATTGCCTGTGGCTGCAGCCTGCAGCTGATGACTAGATCGGCGATTATTTTGGGCAATGAGGAGGAATTCGTGACCTTCGTCTAGGTCCCCTAAAGGCCACGGCAAGCCCTTCTTGATTGTTTCGAGAGCTGTGTTTGGTTCACCGTGATCGACAAAGAATCGCGTGTCGACTCCAGATATCATCTCACTCTCATGCTGGAACAAAGTGCCTCGCGGCTTCGCATCGCGGATGTAGGGAATAGGGGAGCTTTTCAGAATTGCATCCGCCTGCCTGCCAATGTAATCGAGCGAAACCCTCTTAATGGTACCACAAAAAGCCTTCGCCGCAGCAAGACAAGCGGCAGGGTGGGAACTCATGATGCCGTAGATATCATCCGTGCTGCACCTTAGGGCATTAAGGAGGGTTGTTGCAAGTCCAAGGTGGCGAAAGTTTTTCTACACAACAAGTTGGGTGATCCAGCACACTGTTAAGTCCTTGTGGTTCCATCTGCAAGCAAAAGCATGTCCTGCGAGGGTCCCATCGACAACCACTCTAGCATAAGAAGTCTTTGCGGTAGAAGGTAGTAACTGGTCTCGCATGCGGGCGGGGGACAAAGCCACGCGCTGACCTGCTAAAGATTAGCACTCGGTAACAAGGCAGTGTTACCGTCAGAGCTTACCTGCTCGCTTGGTTTGCTTGCCCCAGACTCCATAGTTATCACGAAACAGAGCGGCGGCTTCCTCGAGCTGTTTGTCAGTAATTGCGAACCCAGGAATGACTTTGACATTTTGTTCTGCCATTCTGACCAGGTGTGGCCAAGGGTTGAAAGGAGTAGTCATGGTTTCTGATGAGGGGGTAACTATTTGGCTAGGCGGGTGTGTGTGGGAAGGAGACTTAGATTCGCAGGAACATGTTAACTACGTCAAGTTCCCTCAGGGATTCCCCTGCAGAAGGCGGTGGATCCACATTACCTCAGTGCCCTCGATCAGAGCCTTGACTGGATCTTCAAATCTGACCTTATCCGCGGGATGTACAGCCTAACCAAGGGATCTACAAAGCGCATACAACGTAGCATAGTGTATCATTTGTCAAAGTAGACAAGGTGTTCAGATGTCATTGGTACCGCAAACCCGAGCGAACGGGGCACAGCTATACTAGGTAGTTCGAAATGAGACAGGTTCAAGAGATCAGATAGAACCCCAATTGTCCTCGCCAACCAAACCACGAGCCAAATAAGCAGGCACCTGGCGGCTCGGGCAGTCGATTCGTCTAATTGTTTCCTCCTTGAATGCACACCACAAAAGTCCCCAGTCCACCTCCGACACCTAGAGACCCACTACTCACAGCTGCTCAGTAGAGATAATCTACTGCTCAGTCTGGAAGTAGTTGAGGAGAACGGAGCGCTCCTGGGACTCCTCACCCCAATCCTTGACAACGACGCAAGAGCAGTTGACGACCTTGCGGGCGTTACCCTCACGGTCGAGAGTGCCTGTAGAACGACTATTAGTAAATGTGCCACGCAAAAGGTCAATAAGACCAAGGGAAGATATCCGGGAGAACATACAGAGACCGACCCACTCGCCGAGCATCTTTCCGTCAGGGACCTTGATGAGGGGGATCTTGTGCTCGGAGCAGAGAGCGATGACGAGCTTCTTGTAAGCCTCCTCCTCGCAACCCTCGTTCAGGACACACATGTGGGCCTCGCGGCGGTCGAGAGCCTTGGCGGCCTCACGGAGACCACGGGCAAGACCGTCGTGGATGAGGGAGATGCGCAGAACACCCTTGAGGGCGTCCAAGACGGACATCTGGCCGCTACCGGCATCGGCAGAAACCTCGACCTCCTCAGCGGGGGCGATGGGGGATGTGGGCTCTTCTCCGTCCGACTAAATGATGGCATGTTAGTACATGGGCTGAAAGGGTTGGTTGCTGCGGCGGAGTCTTGTCTTGTAGGACTCTTGAGAGATTGGGATTGGACTGGGACAGCATCGAGATTGCACCGGCGACGAGGGGTACCCTCTACTCCGACAGCGCAACTGCTTCGACGACCAAGTCCATTCCAGTCTCTCTAATGTCGGGACAAGATTGCAGGTGTATTTGGGGGTGGTGGAGGACAATTCACAGGGGCAGGACATACCATTTTGTTGCTAGTTATGCTTGAAAATCGGATGATCCTCGAAGAGTAGAGTTGTAGATGGAGATAGAAAAGTTGGTGCGGGCGGCGTGAGATTGCCCGCTATTTCGAACTTTTTCGGCTGTGTGTGCCCTACGATTATGTCATCCCGCGCCCGAAAACATGGTCACATGATTTTCACATCTATGGAAAATCTATGGATAAACACCGCCCAAGTCGGGTTTGATTAGGTGCCTTTGATATGTGCCTAGTATGTGCCTGGTAAAATCAATGCAGGTGGGCTTTTGTGTTGAAATTCTAAAGGCACGACTACAATCACCGCTACGAAAGGGAGGCATCTTTGAACTAAAAAATAGTTGATTCATAACTGAACACAAGAGGTATCATAATCGTACAATCAGAATCCACTCTGTACATCGTTCCGCTGGATTGCTGCCATTGCGCCGGGTCTTAGCAGAAAGACGCTGAAAACAAAACTACACGTATGTACTGGATCGAGGGTAGCCAACCCCATTGAGGTGGCTGATCCCATTCATATCAAGAGAGGTTTCCGGGCCGTGGCCATTGAGGTGAGGAGCGCCAAAGCCAGCGCCGGCCGCCTGCGGCTCTGGATCGATGTGCATGTTCAAGAATTGCAGGTGGAGACCGTGCAAGTGAGGAATGTGTGGAACGAGGTCTGTGAAATCCGAAAGCTAATGAACAAGTTAGCGACTGTGGCAAAAGTGGAAAACGTCAAGCGACTTACTCTGATCCAAAAGACATGTTCCATCCCAAAGTACTTCGGGCGCGTGTCGCAATCCCTCTGCATAACCTGGCCGACACTTGATTCCTGGAATCCTTGATCGTCTGTGTAGATCAACATGCGACGAGTGACACGCCATAGATTCTTCCGTTGGGTCGGGGTCGCTTTTCGTTTCTCCCAACTAGGATATTGTGAAAGTTGGAGATCATTAGTAGCCAGCAGAGGAGCGACCAAGTAATTCGGAATCCACTTCTCGTCGGCAATATCCACACTGCAACCAGGATCGAGCTGACGGCTGTGGGCAGTGACAAGGGGCATGAAGGTCTTGAGCCAGTCGTGACTTTTCGCGCGCGGATTATTGGAGCCAACAAGATTCGCAGCGGCACGGAGGCGACCAGGAAGTGCCTCGCGACGCCGGTGCTCTGCTGCCTCCCGCTCGCGGCGCGCCTTGTTAACTCTAGCACGCTCTTGCTCCATCCTCTTCAGACGGTCGTCCTCGGCTTGTTTGGCACGTCTTTGTTCCGTCTCCTTGCGTTTGCGGTCTTCCTCCTCGACCTTGTCCTGGGCAGCCTTAGCAGCTTGGTCGGCTTCTTCTTTAGCAAGTCGTTCGCGTTCGACTTCTTCTGCGATGCGCTTCTCTTTCGCAACACGTTCTTCGTGTGTCTTCTTGGCTTGTGCTTGTCGGCGCTCCTCGGCTTCGAGCTCAAGACGCTTCGCGACTGAAGCTGCGTCAGGTGCAGGTGCAGAGTCGACTTTGGGCTCGTGAGAAGAATCCTTTTTCACGTCACCGTTCTTTTTGATGGATTCACGATGAGGAGAGCTTGGGCGGGTAGGAGGTTTCTTGAGAATATCGGTGGACTGGGGTTGTTGATGGTCGGAAGTTTGAGTGAAGTCCTCCTGGACTCGGCGTGGGTGGGGATGTGATTTGCCTGAATGGTCAGGCTGCCTTGATGCACCGTTGGCAGTAGAAGGCTTCTCTTCAGGAACAAGGCGCCTCTTCTTTTTGCGCGAGTCGGGAGATAAGGGATCACTATCAGGGCCACGAGAACGGGATCGCTCTGGGGATCGATCATTGCGGACGCGTTTCAAAGACAAAGTGTTGTCAGATGCTGTGTCACGAGACTTCGGAGCCTCTTCACGTCCAGAGAGTGAATCAGAAGAGACGAGACTGGATCTGCGCTCCTTGGGGCGACGTCCAGCGATGAGTCGTCTTTTTCTCGTCTCTTCACTTGGTACCATCCCACTAGACTCGCTGTCTCGTCTGGCCGATAACGCAGATTTGAGCTTCGAGGGGTCTTTTGAATCCGGTGGTCGCGATGAGTCGCGCTCCTTTGCGCGTCGCTTTTCTTTGGTGGAATCGACATCTTTCAAAGAATCACGGTGTCTCCCAGCGTTGGGACTGCTATGAGCCTTCTTGCGGGCGACGGGAGAAGAGGAATCCTGTCGTGAACGCTTCTCCTCCTTCTCTTTCCCACGAGCTCGACGAGGTGAGTTGTCCTTCCGACCCTTGTCGAAACCATCGTACCTTTCGTATGCGTCCTTCAGGATCTGATACTCATCTTCCCAATTCTCACCCTGCCGACCACGAGATAAATCGAAGTATGTTCGGTCTTCAAACAGGCGACGGGTGGGATTAAAGCCAGGTTGATTCAGGATGAGCTGGATGACAGCGGTGTTGCCGCGGCCGATGGCAGCCAGCATGGGCGTATTGTACCCCGGCTTCTGACCACGCAACGGGTTTGGATCTGCCTCCGCGTTGCCCATTGCATACAAGAGCGAGAGAACGTCATGGTGACCCCCCTTCGCCGCAGCGATCAAAGAAGCATTGTCGGCCTTTTGCAGAATATTGAGAATGCTGACCACACCAGCCTCATCACCTTTGGCAGCAAACTCTCGAAGATTCTCAAATGTTGGTTTGGTCCACAAAAGGTCGTTTCTGGTGGCTTCGCTTCTCCCACCTTTCCGTCGGTTGGACAGGCCCACAGGAGGGGGACTGCGCATCGGAGGCGATTCTCGGGGGCTAGTTGCGGATCCTCTAACTGTTGAAGCCCGTCGTGAAGATGGTTCCTTGATTTCTGATGCGGTGTGATCCTCTGAGCGTCGACCAGGTCGCAAATTCGCCTTCGCGTCAGCAAGTGCCTTCCTCATCTCTTCATACTCGTCGTCGTCGACAAAGGACGGAACCAATTCATAGGGCTCATCGCCTTCGGCGTTCACAGTCCGTGGGTTTGCACCTGCATCAAGCAGAAGCTTGACAACCTCCACATTTCCGTTCTCGACCGCGTCAATCAATGGGGTGTCTTTGTCGATATTTTTGGTGTTTATCTCGCACCCTGCCTCGAGCAGGAACTTGACGATTTCGGCCTCGCCAGCAAGCGCTGCGATCTGTAGGGGAGTGTTGCCTGCATTGTCGGGGATATTAATGTCTTCTGGTCGTTCGGCATGGCGCGCCACCACTTGGTCATGTTTCCGATCGGCGCATGCCCGTGCAAGAGGAGTCCGGCCGCTCTTGTCGCGCAACTTCTTTGGTCCCATATGTTTGGCAGGCGACGCGGACGCGCCGACTCCAGACCCAAGCTTCCGCAGATGCGCTCCAGGCAGTGGCGAGCCGCTTTGGGAGGACGAGGTCGATTGTCGGTCTTCAGAGCTCTGCCGCGCGAATCCTGTGAGAGGCGTCGGTGCCTTTTTCTTCGTTGGAAATTGGGAGCCTGAAGCAGATCGTTGGTGGGATCGTCGACTGGGTGAGACTGAACGCGTGTCGGAGGGCGGCCTTGAAAGGCGCGTGTTAGTGTTATGTTTGAGTTCGCGAACAGGATGGGAGGGTGCGTGCGAGTGTGCGCGATGTCGATCTTGTTGTTCCTCCGCACTGTCACTGAAGCTCCGTTTACGGAAGGCGCGAGGCCTCTCGGGTCCGCGGTCAGTTCCATCGAGGGCACCTTCCTGTTCTGAGATCTGAGAATCATCAGCCTTCTCAATCTTCACCGCCGAGGGGGAGATTGCTCGGTGGCTTGGAGAACGTGAGCGTCGCTGCTGTTGCCGTTGTCGTTCCCGTTCTTGGATGTCCGTTGACACCCGTGGTTTCTGTCGCTGATGTCCATCAACGCCATTGGGCTCGTGGCGACTCGGATCGTGCTTGATATGTTTCCTTTTCTTCTCTGGGGACAAGGACTCTCGACCCGATTGGATTATTGTTTCAGCTTCTGAGTCCGCCCTGGGGCTAGGAGGCCCATCCACCTCCCCTTCTGAATATTCATGTGTCTGGCCATCATTGTCTACCCGTGGATGAGAGTCTGGACGAGCTCGATGCGGTGATGGGGGACCAAGAGGGTCCGGCTTCACTGTAGCAAGCGTGTTCTGACCGACGTCCAGGGCAGCTGGTAGGGAGACTGCCTCGACATCACTCATAGCGATAGCACTCGAATACTTAATATACCGCTCGTCATTTTGGGGGTAAACGCGACCGAGAAAACGACCGTGGTCAACAACGCCAGCAGTTGTGCGCGGACGCCGATCTTCGACCACGGGGTTCGCCCGCGAAGAGAGTGTTGAAAGGTGGGCAATACCGCTCCGGAATACGGGAGCGATATGAATAGACGGTCGGGAGGAATCCGGATTTCGAATTTACTGATATAGGTTATATAGGTCGAGGGATGAGTGTCGAAGGTCTTCACGATGAGAGTTGAATGGGGGAAGAGAGGGAAGGGAAGAAGGAAAAGCGGGAAGGGAAAGGAATGGGACTGGATTGGGTGTAGGGCTCCTCACTGGGTCTGGTTTGGCCACGGTGAATCATCGAGCTGCAGGTGGAATTTACTACTGAAAGCATCCTTGTTTTTGGGACGAGTGGAAGAAGCTTGAACTAGGGCTGATCTTGATTGGCAACTTTTACTTTTTTTTGTTTTATCATTCTATCTGAATTATCCAAGTTCTTCCGACGCGTACAGGGGGATAAAAAGGACGATACTGTCATACCATGACTGGGTGATACCGTGACTGCGAGCAAAAAAAGGGGGGCACAGACCTTGGGACACTAACCGGATCCGGAACCTCAAACTTGCCAAACAGTTGGATGCACTAGACCAAAGGTGGCTAGATTGATTGCCCTCCGATATTCACCACTCAGCGTCTCAGCCGATATCTCTCGGCATGTGACAGAAGGTCAGTTTGGTTGGTTTGGCGTCATCGAAAACCCTAAAATGATAACTTCTACTTCTATCAAAGCTCGGAATTTCCTACTCACGGAACATATACACGATACCTCTCTATCTGTCCCGGACTACGCAGTAAATACCCTACATCGAGCGAATCCCGACATCGCCGAATTAACTCCAAACGCCCATTGGCGGCGAGGGCTGAGGGATCGGCGACGGGCCAAGCTCTTTCTCCACAGTAAACACCTTCAGAAAACATCTCACTGATATTATCGCAATGACAATCTAAAAGCTCACAGAGCAAAAGGGGAAACCAAAAGAAAAGGAGAAGACAAGCTCTCGCACATTAAAGAGCTATGTCTCTAATCTTTCAATGGGTCGATAACACCCTCGAAGCCACCGGCATGGATGCAGTTGACGCTCTACGCGCGTTCTTCCTGCTGGCCGCCGCCACAGTACGATACGCCCTGTGATAGCGAACACCTCCTGCAGACGAACCCAACTAATGCCCCGCTCGTATGCAGACGATCTCAATCAGCATCCCAGCCTCTCTAAGATCCCGCTTCCTCGTTTACGGCCCGCGCGCGACCTCGGCCTCCATTTCCACCGGCCCTGCACCACCACGCCCTCAGGAGCCTTCCACCGAGAGCAAGGGCTTCCTAGACTACCTCGCGACCTGGCAGGTGCCACATAGCTACTTCACGCAGTTCTATGTCGCATCTTTGCTGTCGTCGGTATTTTGGGCTGCGCAGTTGCTGTCGCAGGGTGTGGTTTTCCAGGCCATCGCGACCCGTGTGAGCGAGGAGCATCAGCGCCATTCCATGTCTCTGACTCAGGTACTTGTCTGCTGCGTGCTGTTGGCTATCCAGGGCTCTCGGAGATTGTGGGAATGCAATGCCTTTTCGAAGCCCTCATCGTCGCAGATGTGGTTTGTGCACTGGCTGCTGGGCTTGGGATTCTATCTCGCGGCGGGTGTGGCGATTTGGATTGAGGGGTCTGGCACTCTGTTGACGGAGAGACTGACCATCGTCGATCTGCAAATGACTAATGCTCCAAGTATGAAGACATTCTTTCTCGTCCCGCTCTTCCTGGTGGCGTCGGGCTTGCAGCATGACTCCCATCACTACCTGTACACGTTGAAAAAGTACACCCTCCCGGAACATCCCATGTTCCGCGGAATTGTGTGTCCCCACTACGGTGCGGAGTGCGTGATCTACCTATCACTGGCGCTGTTGGCTGCGCCGCGGGGTGAATGGATCAATAAAACCATGCTGTCGTGTCTAGTTTTCGTCGCGGTCAACCTCGGCCTGACGGCTCAAAATACCAAGCAATGGTATGCGCAGAAGTTTGGCCAAGACTCAGTTCAGGACTGGTGGCTTATGATTCCTTATGTCTATTAAACATGGAGCTGTGATGAAAAATGGAAATCTGTTCGGCAAGGCAGTACGCCCTATTTCCCGCCCAAAAACTTCAAGGTATTGCCCATCTTCGCCACATGAAGGACATCCCTGTACGTAAGACTAGTCCTTGTCTCCCGCTCATACCAACCCTGTCGGTATGTTTCTTTGTCCCGCAAGAGCTCCCAGTTACAGATAGAGTGAGGACCCAGGTCTTCATCTCTCGTCGTTTCCGCGATGCCATGCAGGACATCCGTGTACATCTTGCCTCTCGTGATCAGCAGACTTCGTCTCTCCTGCAGGATACGGTAATGCGGTTTTCGGTCTGCGTCGGGCTTTCCAGCAACATCTTGTCCACTTTCATCTTTGTCGCCTTGGACGTGTTTGTCATAAACGTCAAACACAATTGGCGCCCTTAAGCTCACTGTCGCGACAAGAGGATAGTATGCTGCTCCGTCTTCATGCGGCATGATTCCCTGTCCGGGTTGATACTCGTTTACCAGCACATGGTTGGGCGCCTGGTGTGGTGCATCGTCGAAGATACCCAGTTCCGAGAAGCGCTCGATGATCGGGGATTGAAGCCAATCCGGGAGTGGAGATGCGAGGAGCGTGTTGCTCTGGGTAAGGGCCGATGGCCATGTCTGGAGCCTGCGATGCGAGAGTTGGGTCCAGCGTGGCAGGGGCGCTGATGTCACCTGTGGAATACTCGTGTGAGTGATGTTGAATATGAGCGAGTGACAATGTCTATTGTTGAGGAATATAATGCAAGAATATGAACATATATCTTGACGCCAATGGCGCACTCTAGAGTCTCAAATACTAATTCATAAGAAAATCATCGATTCCTACCTTTCGAAGCAACCAGTCCTCCTCAGCCTCCGTGATGAAATCAGATATGTAGAATGCCTCGCCGGGCAATACCGTAATGCGCGCAGCTTCCAGGCCCAATTCCATTTGCTCTCCAGCTGGGAAGGTTGTAGAGAAAGTCTCAGTCCACTGGTATCCCCTGCTTTTGAGGGGTGATCTGTCTCACTGAACAGGAAACAAAGATAGCGCAGGCAAAGACAGATGAAAGAGTGGAAATCGAGGAGAACTCCAAATACCGTGGCATTCAAATCGAGAGCATCAGAGCATGTTCATATGCATAACTGATTTGAATACAATCCAGTAGGAGTCAACTTACATAGATGATAGAGGGACCAAACACAAGCCACATGGACGTCACATACCTTTCTGCCTTACAACCTGAGGCAGGTATAGCCCACCCCCACATCAGCTTTGATCCGAGCAACCAACACAGAACAACTGAAATCTCTCCACGATGGCACCAAAGAACAACGCCAAAGCCGCTAAGGGCAAGGGCAAGGATTCCTCTGCCGACGATGCCAAAGGCAAAGGTGGAAAGGGAGCCGTGAAAGGCGCGCAGTCGATTAACGTGCGCCACATTCTTGTATGTTTCTTTCACTCTTTTCTTTCACTTGTCTACATGTGGTCTTATGTGTGCGGTACTGGGAGATATAGCTTCTAGTATACAAGCTATGAGCAGAATAATGGATATTTTGTATGACTCCTGCTAACCATAGCTAGTGCGAGAAACACGCCAAGAAAGAAGAAGCATTGGAGAAGCTTCGCAACGGCACCAAGTTTGATGAGGTTGCTCGTGAATTCTCGGAGGATAAGGCTAGGCAGGGTAAGACTCTTGAGCTGAAGAGCGGAATGTTAATAGCTAATATCTCTTTTGCAGGAGGATCACTTGGATGGAAGACGAAGGGCGGGCTGGACCCGGCATTTGAGGCTGTTGCTTTTGAGCTTGAGACTAGCACAACGGGGAATCCCAAGTATGCCGAAGTCAAGACTGGGTTTGGCTATCATATCATCATGGTTGAGGGTCGGAAGTGAGCTTTCCTCTCGCTATTGGAAGCTATAAATTCTGCTGTCTATCTTGCAGGTGGGGAATCTAAACGCCACTTAGACAAAAGCTTATCTAGGGAGCCAATATAACATATTTACAGCTCCTTCTTAGCGGCCTCAATCTTTGACTGCTCTTTCGCCTTCTTCTCTGACCTCTGGACCACGGCTTCGGCGCCGATGCCGCCAAATACCAGGCCGATTCCCAGCCATTGGCCGCCGGACAGAGAATGTCCGAACCAGAACACGCTGAGAAGCATGGTCAACATCTTACGAGTGACCGTAACAGTTACCAGCAGCAGTGAAGAGAAGCGCGACAGAGTGTAGAAAATGAAGAGCTGACCAACAGCACCGCACGCTGCAAATCCAAGGACATGCTTTAGCGCTTCTGGGTGGCGGGAGAGGAAAGAGACGGCGCCAAACAGCTCAGTCTCGGTAGAAGGGGGAATAGGGAAGGGTAGGAGGTTATGCAAAACACCGCTCTGCGACAGATGAGGCATAACCAGGAGGTACGCAGAAGTGAGAATAGTGGACAGCACATTCTGGGCAACCATCATCTGGGGCCCGGTGAAGCGGGTGTACAGCTTAGGCGAGGAGAAAACGTGGTCTTGGGTGGTGTTGGTCAGACCATCTAGGAGGAGATTGATGGATAGCAAGAAGATACCCCATCCGGAAGATGCAGTCTGTTTGGCGGCGACTTTCTTACTGGTCCCCGGGTGGTGTAGACTGAATGTGGCAACACCGAGAGTAACCATCAGGACTACACCGTACTTATACAGCGGGTATCTCTTGCGGAAGATGGTCAGGTGCAGCACCATGACGGGGAGAAGTTTGCATGACTTGGCAAGGATGAAGGTCAGGTAATCGATGTGTTGGAGACTGGCGTAGCCGAAGGGCGATGCGAGGGACGAGGATACTGCGACGAGAAGCAGGGGAAAGATGATTCGGCGCGTAGGGAAGATGGACGGTATCTTCTGACCCTTGGGAGTTGAGAATAGGAGGTATATGAAGCCGGTGATGGCGGCGAAGGAAGATTGGATCGTGTTGAGCACCAGGGAGTATGTGAATCGCTCTGTTGGAGGGTTTGGTTCCGCGACGGTTGCTGGACGAATGGGATAGCTGGTCGTCGTAATGGCCTCTTGTAAGACACCCCATGAGAGGCTTTGTTTTGTCAGCTACGTGCTTTTCGGAATTAGGCCAACGTGGTCGAAGCACTTACAATGCCGCATAGATTCCGAGGACGCAGATCATGAGTTGCGTCAGGCCGGGGGTATCGGCGACTGTCTCCAGGGCCGCTGATGGTTTTCCTGATACTGGTCCATTGGCTGTGGAATGGATCTCTGTACTTTCAGGCTTCTGAAGTACGTCGGACTCATCTGAGAGGTGCATTAATTGAGAGGAGGGGGCTCTTTGGAGCGGCGTTTGCTTCTGTCGTCCCATTGCGAGGGATATCGACGATGCTTGGAGATCCAAGAAAAGGAAGGCAATGCTCCAACAGTACGCGACCTTAGTAAAGGAATATCAAGGTGTCGAAGATGTTGCTACGTTGGTTGTAGGAGGAAACAAAAAAATCACAAGATGCCATGTGTTCTTACTGCTCTTACTTCAACTGATCGCCGCCCCACATAACTTTCTTCCCTTGAAGAGAAGAATGAATCTTAGTGATTTCCAACATCAATTACCCTGAATCGATTCTCTCTTCTAAAATCACAAGCTTCCAAAAGCTCAGCCTTATCCCCCATACAATCCACATAAGGAAAGCGGTGTCAATAAATCAGATCTATCACAGGCGGTGAACCTCAAAAGTCCCCAAGATTTGCGACTTCGCGACACAGAGCTCCCACTCCAGCACCAAGCTTTGCAAGCCAAATCTCCAAAAGATACCCATAATGGCAAACACACAAACAACCAATCGCCCCAACGCATCAGCGCTTACCTCGCACATCGCAGACAAAGGCCACGAAGCTCCTCACCTCGCAGCAGCAGCGCAAGTCCAACACAATCTCCAATACCAGCACCTCTGGACCTCAATAGTGGGGTACACCATCTCTGGAGAAGCAGAGAACACAAACACATCCGGTCAAGACCCCCAAAGACCTCCACAAACCCCAATCGCCCTGCTCTCCGGCTACCCTCCACACCGCGTGTACACACATCCAGACGAGCAACTATACATGCTTGAAAACGGGATTCGCGAAGATGACCTTGAGCCGGAACGCATGTTCGTGGTACCGCTGGTGCAAGGGCAGTCGTGGACGTTGCGCCATATGGCTGCTGTCTTTGATCGGCTTCGTGAGTTTGAGCTGAAAGTTGAGGAGCATGATCGGTCTGTTGATACAAGGACGAAACATGAGGAGGAGACTGATTCTGATATGGCGGAGAAGCTGGCGAGGTATTATAAGAAAAAGGAGCAGGCTCGTCTGACTGCAGAATGGGGGTCTCAAAGGCTGTTGATTGCTATGGTGGATAAGGGTATGGGTGGTGATGGGACGGTGGCTTATTATGTTTTGCATGAGGGCGAAGTGAAGCCGAGGCAGAATTAAGAGTGCATTGCATTGCATGGATTGGTGTTTTCTTTACATGTACATAATAGACCTATTACATTTTCATCCCTCACGACACGATGTGACGAATATTATTCGAAAGACATGAGATTCATTATCCGTGTGGTATCCAGAAAGTACATTGAAGCAGCAGACGAGTTGGATGAACAGATGCGCTGAAATTAGACAAAGCATTCTGGCATAACGATCAGCTAGCCACCGGGTATAGTGATACTTAGAAAGCAAGAAGCAACAAATGCTGAACGGGCTGTACAAAAGGTTCGACAAGATGCTCAAGACAGATGGCTAGAAACGGGTGCAGAAGGAAAATCACGGGAATAGGTCACCGCTGCCATTGGATATGGCATGTTCCTCTTCCATTCGACAACTCGAGCAGTACTCCTCGTACCAATGCTTGATATCGTCGGCATGCTCAGCGAAGATGCGCTCGGCTTTGGCTGTTCCGCCTAACTGCGTGTCATCGCCCTGGGCAGCCTCTCCGCCAAGAAGGACTTCAACTTGACGACAGCGCCGAACTTCCTCCCGGAGCCAACGCTGCCATTCAGTCTGGACGACCTCTTTCTCGATACTGTTCACCACACGTAGTGCAACGAGAAGATTATGCCGATACATCCCAAGGCGCTCACGTGTTTGCTGGAAGCGTTTGATAGCGCTCTTCGTCAACGCATCTCGGGGGCTCGCTGTGCTGATTGACAAAGGCATATCTGCATACCGCATAGTCTGCTCTTGGAAGGTGGCAAAGCAGTTGCTAGGGCTTTCGGTACCAGCCCAGATTGTGGAGTTTGCAACTGCTTCGTCAATATCCCGCATGTAGATAGATTTCGTCATGACGAGGTTTGGCCGGACGCCCAGTCGCGCCAAGAAGTTGCCGGCATGTCTCTCGTGCCACCAGTCCCAACTATCTCGTGAGGAGTAGTATCCATTTATGATTGCACTGGCGGCCAGCATGACCAGGATAACCTTGTGGACACTCACGGTCTTCCAAGTCCAACGAACCACACCAAAGGCCCACATCATCAGGAAAGACACACAGGTTTCCAAAAACGACATAAGTGTCTCGAGAAGAAGCTCGTGCATGGCACGCTGTTGTCGGGGCTTGCGCGGTTCGAGCTTCAGGTTAGAGCCAACACCATTGAATTGAGAGACGAAATTTTGGCGTCCAACATGGCCGAAGATCGTGATAGCCTTTTTGGTGCGGCTGTGTGCACCCAACCGGCGTACTTGGTCGCTGGCTAGGTCGACGAGATCTAAAGAGTCCTGCTCCAAATCATCGCTTGCCCTTTTGTCGATCACATCTGGGTAGGTTAGTTCACCGTATAGCATCGACTTGGGGTGCAACTCACTCTTGAGACCATATGGAGTCCACAGCCATTCTACTTTCGTGTAAATAGCGAGTTTGCTCTTTGACTTGGCCTGGAATGTGATGACAACCTTGCTGACCAAACGGAACGAACGTCGGAAGGGAAGATGCCATGCTGTCTTTTTATCTGTGATCACGTAGCATAGATGGTCATTGAGGACATCGATGATCTGATAATCCGAGATCGCATTGTCGTGAGTACGGCCTGTACAAGGTTAATCGAAAGTACGGTAATAAAGTTACACCGAACCTACCCAGGAGATCAGTCGTGGAGATGTTGTAGTGGAAGTCACGCCTCAGATGCTGTGATTCTGTGCTGGCCCACGGGCCTTGCTTAATGTCTTTGAAAGGTCAGTTATGCATCAGTGCTTGGGCTTACGGAATTTGCCTACCTCGAGCTTGCCTCTCATGTAACAATAACTGCCACACCGCGCTTTTGTCACCAAATAGGATATGGAACAACGCTTTCGGACTGATGTCAAGAATCTTTTCAATCACCAGGACAAGATCACCTTGTGGAACATATTCCACGGGTTGGGTCGGGAGCCTGAACTTAGCGACATCTCGTCCACGGCCCGCTCTACCTACATCCAGCTCAAGGTCTTTGTCGATGTAAATGGGAGCTCGGATGTCCTTGCCGTGGTTTGAATGAATAGGCTTGCCGTCAGAGCTCCTGATGTCTGCAAGTCCAGAAGGCAGATCTTCCCAGCTATCTGCACTGGACGACCGGGCTGGTGAACCTGTATCCATCTTGATTAGGGCTTTGATTAGAGCTTCCAATGATAGCTGCTCGACCGCTATTGAACCTTGAATCAAGAAGTTGAGACGTTTTTGAAGAAGCCTGACAGGTTCCAGGAAAGTCTTGATCGTGATGCGCCCAGGAATATCGCTGCCGAGTGGTGGGATAGTATGCAGGAAAAGGAAGTCACAGTCTCGCCCAGAAGCTGCAGTGACCTCTTTAATGCTCTCCAGAGAAACACCGGTAGTCAAAACCAGTCCGAAATGATGGCTGTAGAAGTAGATGTTCCTTGTTGTGACATAGGCTCGTCCAGGGAATTCCTGCTGATCGTTTGGACTCCAGGTGGCTCTGAAAACCAGCACCAACGCCTCCGCCCTCTTGACGTCGGAGAACAACAGGCGGAACTGAGAGTCTTGAATCCTCAAGTGCTGAGGGTAGTAGCTGGGATATTCATGTCCGATACCCAGTATACTTTGCGTAAGCTTAACTTCATCTCCATCAAGGCTCACTGTCTGTCTGTGACGTGGACCGGGTTGCTGTCTGGCTGCGGCCGGAGCACTACCATTATCGGGCTGTGTGACAAGAGTGCCTTTTGCAGTATCACTCAATGTGGAGGACGGCCGGCCTTCCGGGGTATCGTCAGATACCCCACCGATATGGGGTTGTTCCCGTTCAAGCTTGTTCAAAAGGCCCCAGTTCGAGGTACCCCACAGGTTCGCCATCATACCGCTGGGCATGCCACCGGTGCTGTCAGAGGCACCTAATCCAATACCTCTTTCATTGTTCACAACCACTGCAGCCTTGCTCATACTCGTCGGTGCCGGAGGATTGGCAAGCGTTGCGGGTGCGAGACTTGAGCCAGGCTCATCCACATTGCTCAAGGTGCGCCCTCTGTTAGCACTATCGTCATTCACATTGAGTGAAACATTGGAGCTGTATGGAAGGATATTGTGGCTGGCGGATATGAGGCTCGCTATTCCACCGGCCGGGCCGGGAATGGAAGGAGAGGATGGAGGCGCGTTGTTTGATCTGCGGTGAAGATCCAGTTTCTGGATGAGTCTAGACGTATGCTCTCTTGCGTGCTCTCTTGTCGAGCCCTCACCATCCAAACCTGTGAGTCTTCTCGCGCTCCCAAAATCGGTACTATTTCTGAGGGTATGTCCATCGCGGTCCGGAACAGGTAAAGTTGCGCTGCGATCTCCATTGACAGGCTCTTCGTGTGCGTTGGGAGTGAAAGAGTCTGCCGGATCCGCGGCGAACTCGGGAGCCGGAGGCTGAGAAATAGAAAAAGCGGGATCTTGAACTGTGACCTTTCCAGAAACCGAGAGATCGGTGCTTGCGGGGTTTTCTAGAGCTTTTTGCTTGGCTGCTTCGAAAGCACCAATCCACTCCGTCAGCTCCTTTTGGTTGTCTGCCTGCAGCAAGATGGTGTTGTTCTTGGTCTTCACTTGGAAGCAGAACCGGCGATCCTCCTGGGACGCAGGACGGATACTACAAAGCAGCACACCAAATCGCTCGCTCTCTTCAACGCCACCAGTCCGAGCACCCTGCACAAGACATCCGAAGATGCCGTTCTTGAGGAAAGCCCACCGTTTGACCCAAACAGTACGCGTAGGCTTCCCCGATAATGTGCGCAAGTACAGCCAGCCTTGCTTCTCTGGCCTGATTTCTTTGCTCACATTAAGAGTGGACATTGGACGAGAACCCAGATATGGAACGGTCGAGATGTTGTAATCCTCCAATTCACGAGACGGCCGGGCGGCAGCCTCTGCGGCTTCCTCGATATGTTTTCTAGTAGAGAGTAGCTCTCGTTTGGACGATTTCTCACTCCCTTCCATTTCATGAAGCCAGCCCTTGATACGATCCATCTCATGGCCCCATTTCGAGAAGGAGCTGCTGTTGTGATTATGGAACCCCCGGAACTCCCGCCATTGATCAAATGAGACCTTGACCAGAAGTCGGTCAAGAGCATTCTTTAATTGGGGGGCTTGGACTGAGAAGTCCATGGACGCTTTCAGGTATGCTTTATGGGCTTCATGCAGCTGGAACGCTTCCTCTCTAAGGGCCGAGGCCTCCTTGGATTTCGACTGGGAGGCATATCGCGCTTGGAGGTAATCATATGATTTCTGGGTTTGTTCGAGGTTGCGGCGGATTTCCTATGGCCGTGTTAGATGGTCCTACGTGAAAACAACGTGGTCCAGCGAGTCCTTCGTACCTTGAAATGCCGTAGGTCCTCGTGAATGAATTCTCGAATAGGCTCGGCAATCAATGATTCCATCTTTCTGGTTGTTGTGACCAGTCCACTCCAAAGGTCTTTGGATCCCTCTCCACACCTCCTCATGGCCAGAAGTGTATAATCATGATCAACGACCGCTTCCGATACAACAAGTGGATGTGTCGAGTAGGAGAGGAAGCCATTTACGACACTCTCCATGGCGGTCAGCTCGGAGGAGAGCTTTGTCGCAGATTTGGCATATCCATCGAGCCATTTCTCCAGGAAATCGACCTGGTCGGCAAAGTGGGTGGTGGTGGCGCGAAAAGTGGGCGAGTCGAGGGCAGCTTCCTTGAGACCGACCGGTCTGAGCATTGGATGCATGTTAGCATGAAGAAAAGAGTATTATGCGAACAAAAACATCAAGTACTCACACAACGCTCACAAGCTTTCCCACCTGGGGTAACTGGGTTTGTGCTTGATTCGACATCTAGTGCATGTCTCCAGCCATACGCTTGACGCGAGTGAAGACCGAGAATCAGGAGATGTGCTTGAGGCCCCTCTCGTTCAAGGCGTTGAAAATAGTAGATCTGATTTGAATCAATTCTGTTTGAGGCTTGGATAACCCGTCGTGTATGACTTCCCTGCTTAGAGCGGTCTCGACTTCGCGAGCGACCTCAAGCTCACCTGAGCACTCCGGGGACGAGATGATCTAATTGGCTACGTCAGGCGACGGGGCGTCTGCCTTGGTGCCTGATCTTCGAGGCACGAAGGCGGCGGTTCCTCTCGAGAGGGCGGTGTGGAAATTTTTTTTATTTCTGCCAGTTGGGGATTTCACCAAGCCGATCTTCAATCAAGTATTTAACCACACAATATGGAGCCTCCTTCTAAGAAAATCCGAAAGCTCTTGGAGCATGATAGCGATAGCGACTCAGATGATGCCGGTGGAGCTCTCCTCGGCAAGCAGTCAGCCGATTCGGGGTTCAGCATCAACGAGGATTACGCTCGTCGCTTTGAACACAACAAGAAAAGAGAAGAAGTTGCGAGACGTACGTACAACTTACATCGAATGTTCTTGCGCATATGCTAATACAGACTCAATGGATAGTGGAAGCAAAGTATGGAAAGTCTTCCAGTCTTGGAAACCGACCAGGCGAGGACTCGGAGGATTCCGACTCCGAAGAAGAGGACGACAATGCAGAACTCGCTACTGAGGCTCTAGATGCCGAAATCTCGGCTACATTGGCAGCCATTCGCTCGAAAGATCCTCGGGTTTACGACAAAGATGCCAGCTTCTACACTGAGTTCAGTCCAGAGGAAATCAATGCTGGGAAGGGTCCCAAGGAAAAGTCCATGACCCTGCGGCAATATCATACCGAGAATCTTCTAAGTGGCGTCAACCCTGCTGAAGAAGAAGATGTTCCGAAGACCTACGCCCAGGAGCAAGCCGACTTGAAGAACGCGATTGTCAAGGAGATGCACGGAGCGGCAGACAATGACGAGGAGATGGAAGACGCCGATGAGTTCATGGTTCGCAAGCCCGGACAGGACACTTCGTTGCCCAAGCCTGAAATCAATCTCGACGTTGAGAATGCGGACAAAGACCCCGAGACTTTCTTGTCCAACTTCTTGTCCGCACGAGCCTGGATCGCCGACAAGCCAGACCTACATCCGTTCGATTCGGATGAAGATGATGATGTCGACCGGGCGGAAGCATTCGAGGAGGCGTACAACTTCCGTTTTGAGGACCCCAACAAGATGAACGAGGTTATCGTCACCCATTCTCGTGATCTCACGAACAAGCAGTCTGTTCGCCGCGAGGAAAAGAGCGCTCGTAAGAAGCTTCGCGATGCCGAACGCCAACGGAAGGAGGAGGAGAAGAAGCAGCGCGAGACCGAGAAAAACCGTCTCCGCAAATTGAAGACCGAGGAACTTCAGAAAAAGGTCGATCAGATCAAGGAGGTTGCAGGCCTTCGGGCTTCGAAGTTCACAGACGAGGACTGGTCCCGTTTCCTGGACGCTTCCTGGGACGACTCCAACTGGGAGGAAGAAATGCAGAAGCGCTTTGGCGAGGAATATTACGCTGCCGACGAGGCCGAGGGTAGTGACAATGAGGGAGGCAAGAAGAAGAAACATCCCAAGAAGCCCACATGGGATGACGACATCGATATCAAAGACCTGGTACCGGACTTCGAGGAGGAAGAGGCGAAGCCCCCAGTCACGCTATCAGATCTCGAGGACGAAGAGGCGGAAGATGACGATGATGAGGCGTCCGGATCGAAGAAGAAGAGTAAGGCCGAAGAAAAGCGGATCCAAAGACGTGAAGCCCGCAAAGACCGCCTTCGCATCGAGGATGCGGTTGAGCGCAACCTTGATCTCGACATTACATTGCTTCCTGGAGCCACAAAGAAGAATGCCACAAAGTTCCGCTACCGTGAGACGTCACCGCAGAGCTTTGGCTTGACGGCACGGGATATCCTCATGGCGGACGACACACAGCTCAACAAGTTCGCTGGACTGAAGAAGCTCGCCACTTTCCGTGAAGAAGAGCAAAAGCAGCGCGACCAGAGGAGGTTGGGCAAGAAGGCCCGGCTTCGTGAGTGGCGCAAGGAGACTTTCGGTGACGAGAATGGACCAGTGTTCAAGTTCGGCGGCGATGTGCAACCCAGCGAGCCAAAGGAGGCTGAGGAAGGCAAGGTTGATATCAGAGAAGGAGATGGCTCACGGAAGAAGAGAAAGAGATCCAAGAAGCACTAGATCTTTGCCTCTGTCATGTCTACTATTGTCTATAAGTTTTTTCGAGTCACTATATCATGAACCACCTGTGCTTCCTTCATATCGTCCAAGGTATACACTTGGCCACATGGAACCTACCCTATGTATTCAAGTTTAATCATATTCTCCGCATGTCGCAAACATGGTAGTCAGACCTCCACTAACTAGATCTTCATCATGGCTACCTTAGAGGTTACCAAGACGAGAATGCTAACGTGAATGGAGTTTGTGTTGGAAGGGAGTACTCCGTACCTAGCCTAGGTTGGAATATATATCTGTACCTACTCCGTGGGCTGCACGGGTACAACTTTGGAATTGCCGAGACACTGGAATGGATAGTCGATCCCAACAGCTGCTGAGCTGCCTACATCGTAGGTGGAAGGCCTCACCGATGCTAATTTCCAGCAGTGCCATTTCTGTTGCTACACAGTACATTGTACGTACACCTTATGCATCCCATGCATTAGGACGAGGTAGCTCTCGAAGTGGAAAGCTCCCATGCGACCGGGCCCACTTAGGCGCTAGCGGTTGCCGGGGCGAGAGGACCTCGGGATATTGTAATTTTTGCAAGATTCATGATCTTATGGATATTTGAGCCTTGCAAATGGTTCATTAAGGTATATGTTGATTGCGTCTGAATATACAAATACACAGTACGATATGCAGGTAGCTATGGCAAGCTCCTCCGTAGACAGTACATATCGTAGGAAAGCCGACCTCTGCGCTGTGCATGGAAAATTTCGAGAATCAAGGAAAGTGGATCTGATAGTTCTTAGCCTGGGCATTGTCCAACATGTGAAGTACCCGGATACATCGTCCACGCGGCGATCTCTCACTTTGATATGAGTACTTGCGACTTACGGTCAAGAGAAAATGTCTCATATCTGATAATCTGACCTGGGATATGCCTCACATAACGCAGTTTGTTATTACTGCGACAGCCTACGTCTGAGGTACGTCTGAGGTATCACCTCTACTGAGGTCAATCTGTGCAGTGTATATCAAAGATCTTCAGGTAGCCTTGGAATCAGATGCATGCGAACCCAGAATAAAGAACTCAGTCCTTGTTGGTCGGGTGAGGAGAGATTCCACTCATCCGAGATAAACAAAGACTCACACCGCGTAAACATACCGCAGGGAGAGCTGGATCCCGAGGCTCTCAGAGTGGAAGAGCAATTCAATCAAAAACATAAATCGTCAAGGTCAGCCACGTCGGTGGCAAGTCCGAGATATCATGCCGGTTCACCATCGGATACTCGGCCAGCAAAAAGGAGGTTGCCCCGGGTGGAGGCGTACTCTGTGCGGCGCTTGGACCGTTGCTCGGGACTACAACAGTACGTACGGAGTACACAAGATATGTTCATAGAAAGAAAACAATCACAATTGATTTCTATAAGGCAAAAGTGGATATTAAATTGGCTGTTTGCGGGCAAGAATGGTCCATTGACCAAATTTTGAGACATCCTTCCGTCCATAACTAAGGGGGCTTGTCCCCAGCCTCAATTGTCACCAGCTGGCCAGATTGCAGAATTTTCAGTGGATCGGGAGATATCGGCAGGAGGCAAACCAATACCAACATATAACGGTAAATTACAGTAATTTAACACCCCTAGGCCGCCTGATTGGGCTTTAGCGCCTGGCGTATTTTTTTTCTGGCCCCCCTTCCCGCCTTCTCTCTTCCTTTTTCTTCCCTCTCATTATCCCTGGTGCTCTTTCTTCTTGACACTCTTTCCATCTCCTCTCTTTTTTTTAGCACCCCGTTTCTTTTTGCTCTATCTTCAAAATGGGTTCCGGTGATGTTAACCAGGCCGACAAGGCCATCTTCGGCATGCCCGTAAGTATCTACCTTCCTGGTGAGCTGGCATCGATGTCGCGCGAAGCGTCAGATGAGGCGATTTGTATCGAATCATCGAATTCTTCGCTCGTGATATCGAAGTACCAGTCATCACCTCATTGAGACGAAACCAAATTGATCAATGACACTAACTGTTCATCGCAGGGCTTCGTTGTCGACTTCCTGAGTACGTTTTACGCTTGAGACTCACCGTGGCTGGCAATTGCAGATTCGCAAAGACAATTGCCAGTCACAAAGGCTTGGATCTCAATACTAACTGTATTATAGTGGGTGGTGTTTCCGCCGCTGTCTCCAAGACCGCTGCTGCCCCCATTGAGCGCATCAAGCTGCTCATCCAGAACCAGGTTGGTTATCACCACTCTCACATCAATTGGAAGGAGTCAGAGGGAGAACATTGGGCTTGATGTGAATGCAAGTGAGGATAGTTCCCTCATTGAACACACTAGCTGTGTTTTCGCATTGATATCAGCCAGTGAAAAATTTTCTCCCTTTGGCCGAAACCAGTCGGGTGGCTCAATATCATCCCTAACTCAGCCGCTAACCGCAATCAATCAATAGGATGAGATGCTCAAGGCCGGTCGTCTCGACCGCAAGTACGACGGTATCGTCGACTGCTTCAAGCGCACTTCCTCCGCTGAGGGTGTTGTCTCCTTGTGGCGTGGTAACACCGCCAACGTCATCCGTTACTTCCCCACACAGGCCCTGAACTTCGCTTTCCGTGATACCTACAAGTCCATGTTCGCCTACAAGAAGGACCGTGATGGATACGCCAAGTGGATGATGGGTAACCTTGCCTCCGGTGGTGTATGTACCCCATGACAGAAATTCTCACCCTTGGACTTTTTCACTGACAAACGCTTCAGGCTGCTGGTGCCACTTCCCTCCTCTTCGTCTACTCCCTGGACTACGCCCGTACCCGTCTTGCCAACGACGCCAAGTCCGCCAAGGGCACCGGTGAGCGCCAGTTCAACGGTCTCGTTGATGTCTACCGCAAGACCCTCGCCTCCGACGGTATTGCCGGTCTCTACCGTGGCTTCGGTCCCTCCGTTCTCGGAATTGTTGTCTACCGTGGTCTCTACTTCGGCATGTACGACTCCATCAAGCCCGTTCTCCTTGTCGGTCCTCTTGAGGGCTCTTTCCTCGCCTCCTTCCTTCTCGGCTGGACCGTCACCACCGGTGCCGGTGTTGCCTCTTACCCCCTTGATACCGTCCGTCGCCGCATGATGATGACCTCTGGTGAGGCCGTCAAGTACAAGTCCTCCATGGATGCTGCCCGCCAGATCGTCGCCAAGGAGGGTGTCAAGTCTCTCTTCAAGGGTGCCGGTGCTAACATCCTCCGTGGTGTTGCCGGTGCCGGTGTCCTGTCCATCTACGACAAGGCCCAGCTCCTCCTCCTCGGCAAGAAGTTCTAAGCGATTCACTGAAACGTGAATTGTAGCCACTGTAGTTATACTGGATAGGGGACGAAAGCCTCACCCGGTGTAACCACTGGGCGCGGAAGTTGAGGTTCTGGAAAGGCCAAAAGATAGATGCGTCAAGAAATGGGTTCTGAAGGATCTTGAGCATAGAATGGTTTATTTTTGTACCAATGTACTTTACTCTGCAAACTCTTTTTTGTTCAATTTGTTTCTTGTACTGTGTAAACTGTAGCAGTTGAGTCTTGGTTTCTCATAACTAGTTACACCTGTAACACTCTGCTTTCGCTACTCTGTATGGCTATCGCATGTACCTGAGGCTATCCACCCGCGACAGGCAATTCGAATGAGGCCGAATAACATGACCTGAAGTCGACCAGTCCCACTCCTTAAAGATACGGAGTACACAATACACAAGAGTAAAAAAAACAAATAACCCAGAGTCCCAGAGTCCCAGATCCATCTCCCCATATCCACAAGCAACAAAGGGTCCAAAAGCGGCAAGGCTCCACAGCGGCAAACATAAATGACGTCTTAAGCTTGAAGCTACATACCTGTCAAGAGCTCCAACTTCTACTCTACTCAAACCTCTACCCTCACACACTCCACATCTCCTACAAACCACCTATCTTTCAAAATGTCCACTCCCCAAGGAGTCCAGATCTACAACTCAGCCCCAGTAAACTCCAACGACCAAGAAGGCACACACACAACAACCTCCAACCCCGAACCCGCCACCGCCATCCCATCAACAAGTCCTTCCACCCAACCAGCGCCTGCGCCAGCGACCACAACAGCAGCAACAGCACCAACACCAACGGAAACCTACCCTCCCGCCCCCCAACCAGGCGCAAGACCAACACAACCTCCACTCCCAAGCCAAACAACACCACCACAACCACCACAACCAATCCCCGGCACAACACCTCAACCTCAACTCCAAACCCAGACTCAAGAACCATCAGCAACAGCAACAGCTACAGCAACATCTACAAAATCATATATCCCCCCACCCCCAAAAGCCACCGATCCACAAACATTTTCCCAGCCGCCACCTACGGTTACCCAGTACGCGATGCCGGGGCAAACAGTGCCGAACTCGACTTCTGCTTCGTACGCGTCTGTTTATCAGCCTTATGCGCAGAGTCAGACGTTACCTTATGCGACTGGTTCTGCGTCTGGGAGTGGGTATGCCAGTGGAGCTGGATCTGGATCTGGGGGCGGTGCGGATAGTATCTTTGAGGAGGAAGGGTTCGTTAGCGCTGCGAAGGGGTGGTTCAAATGGGGTGGGGATAAGTTGGCGGAGGTTGAGAAGGAGGTTTGGAAGAAGATTAATGATGTTCATGATTCATGAGTAGGATGGTGTACTTTTGATATCGGGTTGGTTGGTGCGTGGGTGCGAAGGGGAACCTAATACTTTGAATTACTATGGGATTTGGATTTGGATTGGGAATTGGTGTTTGGAGTTCTTTCTTGGAATGTCATTGGAGATACTTGTAGGTATCTTGTATCTGAGGGATGTCTTTTTAGTTTGAACCAAAGAATACCTTATCACATGCATAGTCACATTTATACATGGGAAGACCTTCTAGGACATGGCTTACAGCTACAAGAGCAGAGGAAGAAAAGATAACTAAACCGCGCAGTTCAGCGACGGATCAATTTCTTCACCTAACTATATACTTCCATCCCATCCCCGACTGGTTAGCGTTAAGTGTCCAGTCTCGAAAACATTCTCACAATGCAAGGATGATAAAACCCGCAATGTACACATGCACAAAGCACATACAGAGAATGACGAACAAATAGAGTAGAGAGGAGATAATGAACAACTTCTCAGTTGGATCAGTGAAGATGACCGAGACAATCAGACGAGAATAACCAAAGCGGAAGAAGGCCAGTGCAATCAATCAAGACGACCGGAACTTCGTTTCAGCGAGTCAGTGTTTCTCTGAACGATTGGGGAGTTGTCGAACGCGAAAGACACATAATAATGAAGAATCGAAATAAGAATATTAGGAAAGCCCACGTAGGGCTGAATAGAACATGAGAAATCTCGTAGCAGTGGTGACCCGACTGATGCAACAATAACGCCCGAATGAATAAGATGGACCACAGTGGTAATGACTGGGAGCCGAAGAGGGGGAATAGAACAGAGAAGGGGTATTTGGACCTGTCATGGTGATCGCAGAGCTCGACAGGACTGCTCCTCTGAATCGTCGTGATAATTGGTTCGTAGCAGGCATAAGAGAAAAAAGGATAAACAAAGACTTGAACGCCGTCTTGAAAGACCAATATTGCAGAGACCCAACCCAATGCCCATCAGTCGAGCTAGTTGCACTGCAAGCTAGCCAATAATGTTCTGGCTTTGTGATTTTCTGGATTAAATGCCGAAACCAAGCACATCCGAAGCGGTCCAGACCAGCGTCGACGGCCTGAGTATGAATGCAAAAGAATAGTGTATCCCGGAAAAGAATTAAAAGAAGTAAACGCCAAGTATGATGAAGTCGGACTTTATGAGGAACCCAGGCGGAGGAGCGCCTCCACAGCAGTGCGTTCCTGGGTGTCGAAGATGCGAGGTGCGAATTTGACGGCAGGAGTTGGGCAAGTGGCGGGGAAAATACCCGAAGGCTGAGGCTTCGCTCGAGCAGTGACGTGACCGTCGATGAAACTGCCGTTGTTGTTCATGGAGCGGGCGCGCAACGCATCCGCGCCAATCTGCGCCCAGTCCTCTTCATCAGTGGCATCGCCTTCATCCCATTCGTTTTCCTGAATCTCATCAGGAGCCTCCGAGGAAGAGCAGTACTCGCCATCATCGCCATCGAGAGACATCTTGTCGGCCTCGTGCTCCAACATGTCGAGGTCTCCGTGCATACCGTAATCATCGGTGTACGAGAAGGCGGTGGATTCGGCGAAGCTCATACGATAAGGATGACGGCTGCCACCCTGCCAACCCGACTGACCCTGGATCTGCAGGCCGCGCTGCTGGAACGAGCCCGCGATACTGGAAGGAGGCGACGCCGACGCGTTCAAATCACGATCCTGGGCAGGCTCACCGCGACGGCGCGCGTCCCAGCGACCCCAACCGATCTTCTCAAACACCACGTCGCCTCCTGTCTCTCCTCCATTCCCGCGGCCTTCCAACGCCGCAACAACCAGTCTGCGCGCCTTAGCCGGGGGGATGCGCGAAAAGCCAGGGACCGACGTGGTCAGATGAGCCATGACATGGCGAATGGCCAGCGGGCCCTGCTGGAGCAAGATCTCGGGGAGATGGTGCTTGGCGAGCATGGCAGGGGTGATCGCGCCCGTGCTGTCGAGGCTGTCGGCAGGCTGGGGGGTGTTATGACTGTTCGCATGATCCACCGCGTCCTGGAGATCGATATCGGAGTCCAACTGGGGGACTGTCGACAGTGGCGAGCCTGGCGACAGAGCGACGCGTTGCTTGAAGGTCTGAGGAGGGAGGTTGGGCGAAATAGAGTTGGGTGGCGTGGGCAGCATCGCTGGTTGTCCGGGTCGCGGGGGCATATGGCCACCACTCAGGCCCGAACGGCGCTGAGGGATATCAACTGAGGCAGTCTTGCCAGCAAGAGCCATGGCAATGCTGGAAATATTCTGGGAAGCCATGATGGAAATGATTTGGGAGTTGCGAAAGGAGGAGACCTAATGCGCGCGAACACGGGGTATATGAGTCAGACGACTTGTTCCAAACACGCCACAAAGCAGTACCACGGAAAGATCGGGTGGTAACAGAAGAGACTTTGGATGAAAGAATGATAACAAAGGGACTTACCTTTCACACAGACAGTGACGAAAGTGACACTGTTGAAGCCGCGTAACGAAGCTGGGGCCAATTTGTTTAGGGCTTTTCCACGCAGGGGATGCGACGCGGTAAGGGGGGCAGTGAGATAAGTCGCGATAAGAGCGGAATATCTACACAACGTGTAGGAAGGAAGACTTGTGTTCTTGGGGTGAAGAGAAGAAGAGGAAGAGAAGAAGCAAAGGGTAGGAGGGGTGTGACGGGGCCCGATGCCCTGGAATGACTCCAAATAAGCCCTGGAAGGTCCAAGTATGGGCAGCCCGTGCAAAGAAGGTGGATGTGATTGGCACTGACACCGGGTCCTTCCGGCTTTGTATGGGCTCTACGGAGTATACTCACTGATATACTTCTGTGTATCAACTTACACTCTTACTGTTCATGATTGTACAAATGTTGTACTGTGTAGATGTTGTAGATAGACCATAACATGCTCATCTAGTCCTTCATACCACACCATCCCTCTCATCACCTATACTCCGTACAATCATGAAAATCGATATTCCCCCCTCTACAAGTATCTGAATACCGAAAACCCCTCATGCCAAGTTGTTATCAGCCAGTCATGGGGTTCGCCCGTGCTCGTGCGCTGTTAATGAACGCTTGCAGCGCGATAGGGCTGTAACCCTAGCTCCTATCATCGGCTGATAACTTATGTCGAGAGCACGTGGATCCTATGCGCTCTCTAGACTTATTCAGTACCACTATGTAGTCTATATGTCATTCTTATCCTGTGAGTCTGTGACGTGTTATTCAATATTCTCTTCTGTTCTCTCTTGCCCCTCGTGTCACCGGTGTATCACTACAAGACCTCACACTAACACTAAACTAAATCTATTGCAGTGCACGGAGTACGGAGTACTAGGTACCTCCACTTTCCTCGGGTCCCACTATATTCTGGGCTCGGGCGCTTGACGTCACTTGTATTAGTACCTTGTGGGAAATATTAATATGTCCAGTATCACGGCTTTCCCCCTTTTAGTGCTCACCCCTTGCCGCCCTTTGCCCACTGAGTTACTAGTACCGAGCGTGAAGTGGAAAAAAGAGAATAATATGAAATTGACTGGCAGCAACGGACATTCAATTTCATGACATATCCCATAACTAACTAAAAGGCTGGTTACTTTACTTTTCGCTTGTTTCTCCTGCTCCTCGAGAAGATCGGAGTTCAAGGTCAACAGCCCATGGTAGCTGCATCGACAGATTCTCTTTCTGGTTAACCATGCTTTGGGGCGTCCCCTCGATGGCAGCGTTTACGAACAGCGTTTGAGAACCCCAGTTCAGTGGATGCTCATCCCCAGAACAGTGGCTAGTAGCAAAGCACTTCATACGCGCGGCGTCCCCGCTCAAGCTTTGTCTAGCTCCGTGTTTGATGTCGGAGAGCTTCGCTATAGTACAGGACTGTCCGTTGTCAATATCCGTTAGGTGAGAGGGCACGGCGGTAGGCCTGTCACGCCACGTAATAAGTCTAGCGCCCCAACCTTCATGAATGTGACCGAAGCAATGCATCCGTGGTCGGGCGCGCGCGAGGGCGCGAAAGAGGTCCGCGGAGCCTGCCCGTTCACCGGAGTGAGTGTAGTCCAATATTCCCTTGGGTGGCCCGTGTGTCATCACAACATCCACGTTAGTACCACTGCCATCGTCGATGATAAAGTCATGGCCTTTATCGGGGTGGTACTGAAAACCCCAATCTCCAAGTGAAGGCGTGTATGGGCTGGCATAAACAGTCAGCAAAGCGCCATTCTGTAGATGGAAAGAGTGTACGCCTTCGTCGAGAAAAGTAATCCCTGTGCCTTCAAACAATCTCCTAGCATCTCCGTCACATCCATACGCTTGCTCAACGAGCTCACGCTCCAACGAGGCCTCTGCGACTTTTTTGTGGAACTCTGGTATGTCCATTGTGAAATCGTGGTTACCGGCTATGACAAGCTTTAAAGGCGCGTTAATGGCCTGGAGCAAACGGATTGACGCTTTGTATTCGTGGAGTTGAGATTGGGTGGTGAGATCTCTGCAGTGAATAGCAACGTCTGCATGTTGCTTGGACGGAATGAGGCCGGGTAAACTATCGATTCTATGGGTGTCAGAGCATATCAAGAAGCGTGTCCTGACGTTTGTGCTAGCGGCATTATTCTGTGTCATTTTGGTAATGTGGTTAGTATCTTGTAGAAGAGCCAACTTGACTGCAATGAAAAAGGGAGTGACTGATTGGGCACGGAAGGTATCCACGTTTCCTACAAACTCTAAGGAGTCAGGGAAACCCAGGGACCTTGGAACCTTGAACCCCCATAAAGCGGCGGCCTACATAGCCACAGCTACATTACTTCCTTCCAAGTTTATCTCTGTTGGTATGTACTGCATAGTTGAGCTTAGCACCCGTTGCCCCGAGCGAATGCCTCCGAGGAACTTTGGAATGGCTCTAGTGCGAGGTCCATGTACAACACAGCCTCTTTGGACACTGGATCTCCAAGTCTACACAGGACATAATGAAGTGTACGCGGTCCCAACTCGGCTATCATTCCCCGTTCCCCCTCCTTTCCCACTGCAGAGGAATAATACATGCAGGTGATGGACTAGCTCTGCATATCACCTTCTATACCATTCCACCATTCTACCTGCACATGTTCAACCCCTCAATAGCGTGAGGCTAAGTTTGTCCGGTTTAAGCTCCGAGATTGTGTGATCGGTTCCTGGTGCCGCTTTTCAATGATCTTACTCAGACAGCAAAGTGGCCCGGCTGTGCCGCTGTGCCGCTGTGCCGCTGTGGTAGTATCCGCAGCTTCCAGCCTTCCAGCCCCTCTTCCTTCAACATCACTTCCCTTTCCCCCTCCTCTCAGACCAAACCTTCAAGACCCCTCATGCAAATCCCTCATATTCCCCACAAAGACAAATATATACCCCTCTACCTGCGGCAGCACGCCATATGTTAAATCGAGGCCGCGGTTGTATCTCGGACCTCATAATTCGCCAATGTCTCTAAGAAGTCTATAAGTAGATCTGGATCTTGAAAGGAGCCGTGGGAGTAAGGATCTACAAGGGCGGGTCCTTGATCTACTGTAGAGGTCGGGCTGGGGTGTGAAAGAATTGGCTGGAAGATGTCCTTCGCATCTTGAGACTGCAGGTAATATCTTTTGAGGGGGGAGTACAGTTGGACATTGCTCATAGGAGGGACTAAGAGCCTAGATAGAGCGCTGGGCTGGTAATTTTTGTGGGGAACTGCGGGGGATCGCGGATGCTTCCTACGTACTCCACACATCATTGGCGATACTATTGTTGGAAGCCATTCAAGCATTAAGGCTGAAGATCTTCCAGCAAGGGCTTCGTTCCTTCACCGGATAAATCCAACATCTTCGCACCCTATTCCTCCAAGGCCATTTTGCCGACGCGGGGTTCCAGGGGTCTAAACGATGCCTAATAGTTCATTTAGCCAACTGTGATTCAATAAAACGAACGGGATGGTTGCGGTGGTGGAAAAAGCCTTCTCAGGTTGGCTAAAGGTTGAGCAGGATGGTTAACTGCGGTCTCGTCTTTCTCTGTCTGGCAATCGCCGCCAAAGCAGTGAGCCCTGAATCTTTAGATTCGGATATTTCCATTATCATCCACAATGACTTGCTTGGTGAGCAAGCCTTACTGTCTGATGCCCATGATCCAGAGGCTGACTTCCGACGAAACAGAAACAGAAAGTCCTTTGGCCGATTCAGGAGTTGTTGTCCTCGACGCGAGGAACTGGCAGGAAGCCACTGAAAGTTGCCAAAAGCTAGGGGAGAGTCTCTGGGACATTGCTTCCGGTCATCAAGACGTCCAGAATAATTTAGACTATCTTGTATACCAGGGCAAATACCACCATGGCCAACAGTTTTGGACTGCCTCCAACCACCGCAAGCTGTCGACCATCGACACAAATGGTCGAATCAATAGAGCTTCTGCACACGAAAGACTGCCTGTCATCTGCACACAGCGTGCTCCCTACTCGAATATGACATTCCAAGATACAAGTGCTCAGTGGCAGGTGACTGTCAACTCCAATAACGAGTATATCACTGGGTAGGGACACTGTCTGTAACCTACCTTTCAACCCGTCTAACAGTGTACATATAGATTCCGAGATCGAGTCAGTTTCCGCTTCCTAGGAATTCGCTATGCTAAGCAACCCAAGCGATGGACCTATTCCCAATTGCGCAAGGGAAATTCCAAAAAGGTCTCAGCTCTGGACTATGGCTCGGACTGCGCACAAGGCACAGAAGGCTCTGAGGACTGTCATTTCCTCAACGTATGGACTCCATACCTCCCCAATGGCAAACAAAACGGTATAAAAAAGAAGAACCTCAAACCTGTAATGTTCTGGATTCACGGCGGAGCTTTCACCGGCGGCACTGGCAGTGACCCGACAATGGACGGCGGCAATCTAGCCTCGAGAGGAGATGTAGTGGTTGTCACCATAAACTACCGTCTAGGGGCACTTGGCTTCCTCGCGCTTAATGATGGCAAGACCAACGGTAACTACGGTCTAGCAGACCAAATCACAGCACTGGAGTGGGTTCGTCGGAATATCCAGGACTTCGGCGGTGATCCGAACAGAATCACCATCTTCGGCCAGTCGGCCGGTGCAGCCTCGGTGCGGGCACTGCTCGCCTCACCTAAAGCACGAGGAAAGTTCGCCGGCGCCATCATGCAGAGCAATCTCGGCGGCTTGGCTTACGGCACGACCTACTCGAAGTACTACACCATCCAACAGGAGATGGACATTGTGGGACATGCTATTCTCAACGAGACAAACTGCACGCATGCTGTCTCGCCAGTAGAGTGTCTCCGAGCACTCCCCGCATCAACAATCGCGAACCTCGCAAACTCGGCACGGTACCTCGTCGTCGATGGCGTCTACCTCCAACACTCAGAGCTAGATCTAAAACACCCATCATCAACAGCCAAGGTACCTATACTATTGGGCACAATGAGAGACGACGGCGCCGCATTCATCAGCTATCCCACAGCAGGCCAAACCCTAAAATCCTTCCTCAATGAATCCGGCCTCCCCGACACAATCGCCCCAAGCCCTCTCTTCCCCGTCCCTTCGACCGCAAACAAAACCCTCGACATCTTCAACACCACATCCCGTATAGCCACAGATGGAATGCTCCGCTGCATCGACGAGGCAACCGTGCAAGCAGGCTTGCAGCACCGCATCTTCCCGGATATCTACTACTACGAGTTCAACCGCTCGTACCAGATGCCCGGGTATTCACCCAATTTCCCGGTGTGCAACGCACCTATCACGGCCGAGTTCCCCGACGGTGATCCCAGCCAGGAGTACTTCAAGTGCCATTCTGGAGAGCTGTTTTATGTATTTGCGAGTTTCCGGCGTCAGGGCTTGCCGTTCCGGGATGAGTTTGATTTGCCGTTCGCGCAGTATGTGTTGGATTCTTGGGCGAGTTTTGCGAGGACGGCGAGGCCGACGCCTGATAGGGGGGTTTTTGAAGGCCAGGGGGTATGTTAATACGAGTCGGGAGATTGAGAAGACAGGAGAATGGGAGCGGTTTGGAAAGAGTCGCCAGATGAGGCTGCTTCAGTGGCCGTCTGGGATGAGGGAGTTGGGTGAGTTGGAGCAATGTCGGGTGTTGGGGTTGTCTTTGGATTATTATGTTTGATTCTTGAATGGAAGCTTGTCAAGTCTTCTGTGTATTTGGAGTGCAGGTACTGTTCTATTCGTACTTCACGGTACTTGTCACTTGGAGATCACTTCACATATCATGCTTGAACCTATGCCATATTTAAGAATCCATAGGTACTTGCGGGATCTTATGCCCTCTAGTCAATTGACTGAACCTACAAGACATATCTAGCCTTTCACCTTGATTCTTCAGGGAAATTCTATGCCGAACTGTGATATCCACTTCGGATCCCCCGACTTCCGAAGTGCTTCAATCATACTATAGTATACACCACCAGCCAACGACAAGAAAAACCAAATAGATGTACTATGAGCAATCCAAGTATCGAACGGCGAAGGCTACGTAAGAAATCCAAATCCAGCCAAAACAAACGAGAATGAAACCGAAAACAATAAACATCGCGATAAGATCGGAAGCGTCCCTTCCGAAGCTCAGCTTTCCCCTCATGAAGTCGACAACCATCCGACATAGTGACATAGCCCCGGTGATATCCCTCAATCTCATATCCTCTTCCTCTCCCCTAAATTTCACAAAACCACATCACCCATAACCCATAACCAACCACAATGTCCTACCAAATAACCTACGACAGTGCCACCGCACCACCCCGCGCCGCAGCCCTCGTCGCATTCATGGAAGACTTCTACCGCACCAGCGACACAGAATCCCAGCACGAGAAATACGTCCAGAGTTTCACCGAGGATGCCACGCTGATTATGGGATCCAAGGAGGCAAAGGGTGCAAGTGGTATGTTTCACTCATCCCAGCTTGTCTTTTTCGTAGAGTATACACATTGATACATCTATACATCTATGGATATTCATTCAAAAGACAGGTATATGTTTGCTCTGGCTGACAATCTGCAAACAGAAATCCTCCCCCTTCGCCACGGCCTCTGGACGCACGTTGCTTCGCGTAGACACACGCCTGCGCGGATCTACTTTGGCGGCGAGGATGAGATCATGTTGTATGGTGGCGTTGAATATAGGCTTAAGGCGGATCCTGATAGGGAGGTTTATGTGCCTTGGGCTGGAAGAGTGGTGTTTGCGCCGCAGAAGGAGGGGGAGGGGGTTAAGATGCGGTTTTATCAGGTTTACTTGGTGAGTTCTTCCGTCTTGCGAGGTTGTGGTTTGGGCTTGGGGCTGATTTGGTTGTGTTGTAGGATTCTGCGGCTCAGTCTGGGAAGAAGTGAATGTTCCATGCCAGTGGAAGGTTGTAGTGTAAGGGACAGTGGAATCTGGACTGTATGTAGTGCTTACATCTTGTACATAAAAGTTGACGTACGTCGACCAATATAAGGCTGATGCTGATCTGCGGTGCTGGTGCACGTCTACATCTACATCTATGGCAGAGAGAGAGACGTTTTGAAGTGTTTTAGACATGCTCTTTATTTCCAGGAGACCACGAGAGAAAATAGATGGACAAAGACGCCGTAGGGTTGGTCGGAGTCAAAGAGGTGAGGAAGATCATAAAATCATGTCGGGGAAAAAGATCCCCTCCCCTCGACAAGAAACAAGGGGAAAGGGTGTATAGACTGTCTCGTCCGCTCTCTTCTCTCTCAAGTCTCCGGAGAAAATGATGCCTCATCCTCATGCACTCTGCACCGCCCATATCTCTCTCCGCTAGTAGCCCCGTCTGGTCGTCAGAAAGATAAAAATTTGGATATGGAAATGTTGAACAAGAAAAGAAACAAACGTAAAGTCGCACGGGACCGCAAGCTCCGAATTTTTATTTTTGTGCCGTCATTTCCAATATCTTGCCGCCGCAGCGAAGACAAAACCACAAAAACAAACGACTTTATATCCCCGAACTATCGAAAGCCCATTGCGATACGTTTATTCCTCATCCGACTCCTCCTCCTCGTCGACGGTGGTCTTGGCAATACGGTCCAAATCACGCTGGCCGCTCTGGGTGATGCGGCGGCCACCCTTCTCCTCATCGGTCTCGAGGACACCGATCTTCTCAAGAGCCTGGAGGGCCTTGCGGTCGACGGAGCCGGAGGCATCGACGTGGTGGGCGGGACGGGCACCGCGGTTCTTGGTGGAACCGTGGACCTTGCGGAGACGGCCGACACCGACAGTCTTGCGCATGTAGATATGACGGGCACAGGCGGCGGCGCGGACGTAGAACCTTTAGAAAGAAGAATGTTAGTTGCTTCCGGGGCGTTGGTTGATTTGGTGCAAGTCGTACCAGTCAGCATCCTGGGGAGGAAGCTCGTTGGAAGCAGAGGTCTTGACAGTATCAACCCATCCGGGGATGGGGAGCTTTCCCTGGCGCTTCAAGAAAGCAGAGTAGGCAGCAATGAACTTCTGCGCCTGTAGTGGAGAAGAAAATTACATGTTAGTCGCGGCTCAACAAGATATGCGTGGATCGGTCAAAGCTCTGCATGATTGCAGATGTGTCGGGTTCGTTTCTGGAAAAATCGGCTCATCATTCGTCGTCGAGTTGTTCACCAGCGTGCCAGTTACAGCGTCGGATATCCCTTGCGAGAGTACCGGTGGCTAAACATGTCTATACCATCATGACTTGGCCTCTCAAAAACAAGCATGCACATCCTTCAATTTCGACATTTTCCGAGTAGCAATGAAATCGATCGCACACTGCGTGCGTATTCCGTGCAAAGTCTTTCCATCCCGACGATATAACCCGACCGATGTTGTGATATCCGCGTATTCCAGAAACGAACCGTCCACATCACGCAAAGCAGAGCTGACCGATCACCTAAAAATCGAGCAGGACACTTACGTCCACATCGCGAACGGTAACACCACCCATTTTGGCGACTTGTCGAGGGGTCGAAGGGTAGGGATTAGAGAGAGAGAGGCGTTGGGCGTCGAGGTGGGCAGGTCGAAGTCGAAGAGTCGCTCAAAATTTCAAGACACACACAACGCTGGGCGGGTTGGGTCTGTGTGCCGTTCGCTTGTCCATTTTGGGTTTAGCCGTACCCTAAGCCGGGTCATGTGATGTGACCCAATACTGTCTGGTGGCTCAGGCTCCACTTTTATGTTCACCTGCTGCCTGACATTCTAGGTGTCTATCAGTCGACATCAACAATCTGGAATATCATTCAGGAGCTCTTGTCCTCTCGTGTTCTTCATGAAAACTCGTTGGGTATCTGATTCGTGACAGGTTTTCATTATTCGTAATTGTAAAAAAGTAAAAATAACACCAATACCCAAAGCCGAAACCATCCATAGTCAACCCAGTGTTAACGCCAAATCTTCCAAATTACAGTGTAGGTGCTCTCTTCAGCCCAACGCAATATCTAACAAACAGTGTATCAATGAAATGTCCATGCCGAATACCAGGAGGCCGACATCGATTGAACTCATCAATGGCATCTTGCACCCCATAGCCAAGCTGGTCGATCAAATAACAAACAACCAGGAACCCAGTACGGTTGTAGCCGTAGTGACAGTGGACTCCAACAAGTGGACGCGGCAATGACTTTTCGGCGTCTGTGCGCTGCTCCATCTTCTCATCAATCTCTTTCTGGAGGCTGTTGACAAGAGCGATGAAGTCGCGCGCCTCGTCTGGAGTCGGAGGGATCTTAGAGACAGTCGGATGCTTGCAGTAGCGAACCCCGCCCTTCTCCATTTCAGCAGGGTTGTATACTGGACTCTCGTGACTGATATCGATAACAGCGTGGATACGACCACGGTACTTTGCAGAGAAAGTAACGGGGTTGTGTTCTTCATCAACTTCGCGTAGCATCTTCATCGCAGCAAAAGTGTTGGCGATCGGCGCTGAGACTGGAGCGACCTTTTGCCACTTGGCAAGATTCTTGACATCCCACTTTCCGGATGTGTTCATGAACTGCAATTGCCAGCCCAGACCGAGGCGATTGTCGATGTTCGACGAGAGGAAATCCTGGATGATCCCTGCAAGAGTGCGATAGGTCGCTCGGTCGTAGAGCAATGCATGTGATGCCGGTGCTGGCAAGATAACGGACTTGACCACTCGTTTCCGGGTGCCAATTTCCAAGTTCTTTTCGGAGACTTCCAGACCAAAGACCTTCTCATTGGCGAGATCGTCGGCTGTAGAGTATATTTGGTTGTGGACCCGCGAAGCGTCTGGAATGATACTGCTGTCGCTGGTATCACTTGTGGTATGGACAGAAGCATCGCCAAAGAACTTCAAGAGCTTCTGCACCTCCACAGGCTTGGTCACAGCATCCGCATCTCCTGCGACTAGTAAGACTGGCATCTGAACTCCAGCCCAGATCTTTTCGCCGGGCAACCCGCCAATCGCCTCATCGCCATTATCGTAGTTGGGGAGTGTGCCCCATGCCATACGTCGCCAAACAGGCGTTTGGCTTTGCTTGTTGAAGCGCACCTGAAGATCCCGCGTTTCCGCGTCAGCAGCAACGCCGACCATCCGCATGACGCTGGCACTTTTTTCGCCTCCGCGTCTGTCCCAGCGACGCCAAAGATCGAAGATAGTATCGGGAACATAGAGCGCTCGCCGGAACTTCGCAGTTTCCTGCGCAGAAGGAGGTGAGGCACGAGGGCACACGGCAATCAGGCCAATTATATGCTCCTTGAGCTTTGCGCCGATGGTGGAGTTCGAGGAAGCCAAGAGGGCAGACAGGGAACACCCCAGACTGTGGCCGACCAAAATGACTTGCTGGCCACCCTCTCGGTCCCGGTGCTGATCGATGGCTTCAGCTAGCAGTTCAGACAGAGCCTCCACAGTGTATGCGTTCCAATCCGTCGGCGCAAACTTGGACAGCCCGCACCCGGGTAAATCGATGCCAAAGCATGATCCAACATTCGACAGACTAGTCAGGAGGTGGTGAAATTGTGCGAGGGACCCGCCCAGTCCATGAATGACCACGAGTAATGGGACAGGAGTTGGTTTTGTCGGAAGTCGAGCAAGGTGTGGATGGGGGCTATAGAACGTGCGAATGGTCGGATATGTAGCTACCGAAGTGGTGTAAGAGTTGTATGTACTGAATTTCCTGAGTATACCCGGGTCGGTTTCATATGCTGCGAAAATGTTAGCCAAGGTCTCCAGTGCAAGACAAGTTGTCCACGTACCATTGGAGCTTTGCTGCTGATTCTCCGACGACAAATCCTTCGCTTTGTAGTCCGGATTGGTTCCACGACGCAATGATGTCTTGCTATCGTAGTCTTCATCTTCATAGTCTTCCGAGTCCGATGAGCTCAGCGTTTTGGAAGATTTGGTCGCGCGCTTGTGAGCACCGGGGGCTTGCGCAGACTGATCATTTGACCACGACAGCTTGCGCTTCACCAGCGATGCTAATATCCCACACCCAGTCATTGCAATCACACAAGTAACGAATACAATTTGAACCGAGTTCACGTTGTCATTGCGATAGAGTCCACGGAGGGAGCTGGCGACGGAGACGAAAGAAATATTTTGCGCAGCTGCGCGCACCGAGTAAAAGTATTGCGGGATAGTTGCGATTCCCAATCGTTTGGGCTGCGACGTTAACAAGTCGTATAAGGCGGAGATGCTGTCGGGCCCCATGATTAAGTACCGGGATGGCGTTCTGGACTCTTTCAGAGCCCCGCAAAAGGGATTTTGCCAAGAACCACGAGAGGGCACGCCCGATGCTCTTTGGGTAGCACGGATAGCCTCGAGTCCAATGAGGAAAGCGCAAGGGACAACGTTGATAATGAGTTGCGAGCGCCGAGAAGAAGAAAAAGCGACAGAGTTAGGATCGGCCACTCACAGGCTCGGGACGGGCGGCGTGGGGTTGAGTCATCCAAAGGGCCCACTTTTCTGCAGCCACAAACTTGAAAAGAGTGACTTGCTTGATTATGACGTCTTGCATACAAGGAGAAGTACCTTCTTAGGATGGGACATGGAGTCCTGGACTACATAGTTAAACATAGTTTAGGGGATCTTATCCACTTTCCGATCTCTATTCTCTTCTTTGCCTTTTATGCAGTATGATTTTGATTGCCCCCAAGGCTAAGTTATGTACGGAGTAGGACTAGCTATTCCGCTTTGTGCCCAACATGTGTAGATTCTTACTTTCTACTGGCCAATTCGAAGCGGGGCCACGAAAACCATATCGACATGGAATGTTTATCTTCTTAGGTTACACAGTAGAACACGGTAGAACAGCTATTTGTAGATCATAAAATCATTCAACTTCTCCAGGCAAAATACGCTATGACTATACTGCTATGTATACGATGTCAGCGCTCACATCTATGGATGCTATATCGTATTGGATCAAAACAAATCGGTCATGGCTCCCTGCGATGCATCACTGACCAATCGCGCATATTTCGCCAGCACACCACGGGTGATGTGCGGTGAAGGAGGCATCCACTGACGTCGCCTCTCCTTAAGTTCCTCATCCGACACAACCATAGAGAGCGAGTTCGTCTCAGCGTCAATGGTGATGATATCTCCGTCGCGCACGAGCGCAATCGGGCCGCCCACTGCGGCTTCAGGTACAATGTGGCCGACAATGAAACCATGGCTGGCGCCTGAATAACGTCCATCAGTGATGAGCGCCACGTTCGTCAGTTTGGCTCCCATCAGAGCTGCACTGGCCTTCAACTGTTCCGGCATTCCGGGACCACCCTTGGGACCTTCATAGCGCACAATAATGACGAGGTTCTCGCCGCGAGGAATGCGGCCTTCGTTCAGAGCGTCGTTGAGCTCGTGTTCCTTATTGAAGACACGGGCCTTGCCAGTGAAAGTGAGACCTTCCTTTCCGGTGATTTTAGCAACTGCACCACCCGGTGCAAGGTTGCCACGTAGGATCTGCAGGTGGCCGCTTGACTTGATTGGGTTGTCCAAAGGCCGGATAAGATCCTGACCCTCGGCGAGTGAGGGGAACGAGGCTACGTTCTCAGCCAGTGTTTTGCCAGTCACGGTGGGGATGTCGCCATCAAGGAGACCCGCTGCAATTAGCAACTTCTGAACCGATGGAACACCCCCAACCTCATACAGATCGGCCATGTAGTACTTGCCACTGGGCGAGAGGTCAGCGATGAAGGGGATCTTGTTGCTGACCCGCTGGATATCATCCAGTGTCAGGTCAACACCGGCCGTCCGCGCCATGGCCAGGAAGTGAAGAACACCGTTGGTGCTTCCGCCCAGCGCCATTGTCATAACCAGAGCATTCTCAAATGACCGTTTGGTGAGCAAATCCCGCGGCTTGATGTTCTTTTCCAGACAGACCCTGATGGCATCTGCAGCACGAACACACTCGCGCATCTTAGAGGGCGACTCAGCAGGGGTGGAGGATGAGCCGGGTAGAGACAGACCCATCGACTCAATGGCAGTAGCCAGGGTGTTTGCCGTGAACATACCACCACAGGCGCCGGCGCCAGGGCAAGCATGCCGTTCCAAGTCATCCATGATTTCGTCCTGAGTCTTGGTTTGGTCTCCACCATCATCGGGCTGGCGCAGGGTACCGTAGGAGTAGGCACCCGCAGCCTCAAAGCACGTTGAGACATTGATCCGTTTGCGCAGGTGCTCAGAGTAACCGATTCCAGTTGTTCCACCATATATCATGATAGATGGGCGGTTGTGGCGAGCCATACCCATCACAACACCAGGCATGTTCTTGTCGCAACCGGGGATAGCAATGCATGCATCGTGATATTGCGCGCAGGTCACACTCTCGATACTGTCGGCGATGATCTCCCGGGTCTGAAGAGAGAATCGCATACCTAAAATTAGGTTAGCTATCTGTTTTCTGGGAGTGCCAGCGTCGAGAATCAACCAACCTTCACTCCCCATGGCGAGTGCATCCGAAACACCAATCGTGTTGTACTGCCAGCCAAGCATATTCTGTTCCATAACTGATTTCTTGACTGTTTTGGCCAGATCCATCAGGTGCATGTTGCATGGGTTTCCTTCCCACCATACTGAGGCGATGCCGACGTGTGGGCTCGTAGCCATCGTTTCCTTGTCGGGGACACCGGCGGCAAAGAGCATAGCCTACAGCGAGTCAGTAGCACCCCTCATTCCGTTTGTCAGTTCCACCTTACCCGTGCACCGGGAAAGTCATGGCCATTGGTGATAGTATGAGAGTGACGGTTGAGTGCGGGGGTACCATCTGGATGCTTCGCATCAGTGGGCAAAGAAGGGAAGTTGATGTATTTATCCTCCTTCAGAGTGCTAGACTCCATTGGCTTTGAGGAATCCATGACGAGGTAGACGAGAAGAACGAACAGCAGAGTCGAATGACCCAGGTGCAATTGAGCATAGATATAGCCCACAACCTAGCTGAAGGATATCGCAATTAAGTCCGAACCCCAGTGGATGTCGCTGTCAAGTCCGAACCCCAGTGTACGGCCCGTACCCAGTGGACCCCGCGTTACCCGCGTTATTGTGGGCTCCAGTGAGATACAGTCGATTGAAGAGCAACATCGGAGTTGGCTCTGATCTCCGGCTAGCCTCGGGGGACCTCCGTCAAGCATGTATGCCTTGTATGGGCCAAGAGATTCTACGTACTGTAACTAGATCAAAGTTTCTTTAGAAAGTGTAGATCATGTTTCCTACCTCTTACCCTAATCGCATACACAGTAGTTGTAGATCAAGTGACATCCCACCAGAAGGTCCAGAACCCGCAAAACCCGAGGTCGGCCTTTGACGTCATACATTATCTCTATATAAAAGCATCACGAAGGTTCGCAGCGCTTCGTCGACTGAAAGCTCGTTTTGCTGTTATACAAAGAGTCTGCTACAAGCATCATATCAATAATCACAGGCAATGGCTACCGACGTGAGAATCGCCCAAGCAATTGGGACTATTGGCTGTGCAGCGGCAGCCGGTAAGCACTAGGCAGGGCCCCCAAAGACAGCCACCATACTAACAACGAACAAGGCGGTATTGCTACACTATCAATCGTCAGCATCCCAACTCTCATCCTCCCAAGCCGTCGCCCATCGAGCGCAACACTGCCAGCCGAGGACATCCCAGGAACCCCGACCACTCACCTCACACACCAGTGGCTCTATCTCTACACTCGCGGCAGTAAGCTTTACCCCGGGATCTCGGCGGTTTCCTCGCTCGCAAATATGTATGCGCTCTGGGCATTGCGGGATTCCCCCACCCCTGGCCCAGATGTCTTGGGCGGTAGCTGGTCGGCATGTTATCTGCTCGCCGTGGGTGTCACAATGGGCATCGCGCCTTTCACACTTACGGTTATGAAGAGGGTGAATGGCAAGCTGAAGGCTCATGCGAAGCGTGACGATGCTGCCCTTGCGGAGGGGACTAAGGGAATGGTGGTCAGTGAACAGGAGAAGGCAAAGCGGGCGAGGGAGGATAGCGAGGTTCCTGCGCTTTTGGAGCACTGGTCGAAGCTGAACTTAATTAGAGCTTCGTTCCCCCTTGCTGGGGCTGTCATTGGATTCTATGCTGCTGTCAACAGCTGGGTACTTCCTTGAACGCGGATAGTCGGAAAAGAAGCCAGGTTGAGGTCATGAGGATCTTCATGTTTGTTATTTTAGTCTTTGTATGATTACGTTGAGAGGAGTCCACCTGCAAGAGAATGAAATGGGTATCGTCGAATTTCCATCGGGGCTGCAAGGTGTATGTACTGCCGCTACCCAAGTAATAGCTATATAAACAAGTTGTGGAAAAGAAGGCCATAGCTCCTTACAACATCTTAAGGCTGAAGAGTAGGCCTTATAGCGGTTGTGTTGCTGAAGTAGGCTCCGCATCTAAGTATTCGTACTCTCCTCGTCCGCCTCTCCAGAGTCCTTCTCAACGGCCGACCACTGCTCCGAATGTTGCAGTGCCTCGTCTCCACTGATCTCCTGCAGTGGGCTGGACTTGTCATCCAACTCTTCATGGGCGACATCTGACCCATGAGCCTCGTCGTCCGACTCCCCATCAATGGCAAACCCAACAATCTTGCCAGTGCCAGGCTGCGAGCGCGGTTCCTCCAACACATCGCCATTCCAAGGCTGGCACTTCTTGACAATCTCGCCACATCGAAGACAAGTCCATCCCTGGCCTTCTTCTGCCTCAATCTTCTGCACAATGCAGACAAAGCAATAAATACAGCCACAGGGGACAGTCTCGTAAGGGTTCACAATATCGGTTTGTGCCGATCCCGAGATGCCACCTGAAGCGCCACCCGCAGCAGATGCCGCCGTAATATCCGATTCTGTCGTTGTTGTTGGATTCTGATTGCGGTAGCAGATGGCGCAGGTCCGTTCCGGAAGGAAGGCCAGCTCTCCTTGCTTTTCGAGAGGCTCGTCGTCATCGTCGCTTGAGCGCATGGAACTGACCAACTTGCGCCAAGCTCGGGATATCCACCTTCTCCAGCGACCAATTCCAACAAGAGGAAGGAGGAAAAGAAGGAATTCCGTAAACGCATGCCAGACCAGCTGCCGGTTTAGATATTCAAAGGATACCTCCCGGCTGGCCTGTGCAGAGGGCGGGGTAAGTCGGATGCGGAGGATGCGATCGACCAAGGTACGATATCGGCCATTCACTAAGAACACCAGGAAAGAGACGAAGGCGGCAATCGAGTGCGATGTGGAAATAATGTCCGTTAGTCGTGACAGCATCCGGATGTCCTGCGATGGCTTGTATCTGTTAGTAGGAGCATTTATAATAGCGTGAGGTGTATTGGCAACCAACCTCGTCATAACCGCCTTCTTGGTTGATCAGCCAGCTCTCCCACTTATCCCATGCATATCGTCCTCCGACTGTCAGCAAGCCATAGATACTTTTTTGCCATTTCGTAGGCGAAGAGAAAACGGGCCCTTTGCTTCGACTGTCGGTATATTTCAGACCCTGTAGTGCCGCGCCATATGATGCATTATGATCCCATATTGAAAGTTTGAAGAGGATAGCCCGCAACGCGAACAGAATCTCGTGTGACCACTCTTCTCGCATTTGCGGCTATATCCATTGTCAGTCACCATATATTGACGCACAACTTGCAATCCCCACTCCGAGCAGCTATACATACCCCGAAATATTTGAGGGCATCCCCAACCTGGCCCTTCATCAGACCAAGCAATTCTTCATCCAACAATTCGGCATCCACCTGGCCCACTCGAAATGCGGGACGCGTGCCATCCCGACCTTTGATGGTATTCCATATGCGCCATCCCGAGCTGGGCCATCGATTCAATGGATAGGGCAGCCGCTGGACGACAGCCGGGCTGATCGGGGAAGCCCGCTGCTGTGCCGCATGACGGGCGCGCAATTCGGCCTCGCGCAGGCGACGACGTTCAAGAACCCGCTGTTGGGCGGCGGCGAAGTTTGTTGAGCTCATCGTGAAATCATGGCTTGATTGTGGAGGACAGGAGGGAGCGAATTCGGGGATCTTGACAATACGGGGAAATGGGTCCTGCCCGGCAGCCTGGGGTTGCTTGCTGGCCGTGCTCGGTTCCCTGGGCCGAGGTATATCACGTGACCGGGTATTTGCGGTCTTATGAAACTGAGATCATTTTTCAGATACTACTGCGGATAGTCACAAATGTAACATGTTCAACAACTATAATGAACTATTTACTATACAGGTACCGTGTGTACCAACAGTGTCAAATGTCAATGACAAAATCGGACTTGAAAGCTGCCTACAACGTCGTGTTGGAAAGCTTGATGGTCGGAAGTGGCCAGCCCTATGAAAACCATCTAGTCCGAATCAGACCGATAGGGACATTCTTACAGTGTTTGGGAGCCAGCATAAGCCATTCCAGGTTTGAAGTGAGCCCATTCAAGTCAGATTAATGCAAGTTTGCAATCGGTTTGGCCTACATCGCCCAATAGTCCAATACTGTCCACAAGAATTGATGCATCATGCGGGATGTGACCTTGCATCTGAGGCGAGGTCTCTTGGTTTCACAATGATGGACCAAATCAGAATGCGCGTCTTGCTTTGTTGGCATCTTTATAAACGAAGCCAATGTTCGTCTTGACTCAAATTTTGCTTTTATTCCAAAGGTCCGGTGAAAAACTATCAGACTCTCCAGTATGGCCACTTTGAACGACCCCATCGAGACTCGGCTGTTCATTAACGGCGAGGTATGGGGCACCTGCATCCCTTATGATACATACACTACACAATTCCCGCTTAATTCCTCGTTCTAATCTTCCTAGTTCCGGTCATCGTCTGCTAGTAAAACGTTCGGGGTTGTGTGTCCATACACCAAAGAGATAGTTGCTCAAGGCATGTGTACTTCCATCGGAAATCAGCGCACTGCTGACACTTCCTCCGCCATAAAGTCGAAGAAGCAGATAGTAAAGACGTCAATGATGCCGTTGCTGCTGCCCACGCAGCCTCTCCAGCCTGGCGAGACCTAGGCACCGACAAGCGTGGCGGATACATGCGCAGATTATCCCAGCTCATACTGGAATCGAACAACGAGCTGGCAAAGCTTGAGACACTCTCTACCGGCCGACCAATTTCACAGTTCTTCGATGCTGGTATAGCAGCCGAGTATTTCGCCCACTTCGCTGGTGCTGGTTGGAGCGCGCAGGGAACGGCTAGTCTCAACACGCCGGACCACCTTAACTTGACTGTCAAGCAGCCATACGGCGTAGTAGCGCTTATTATCCCATGGAACTTTCCGCTCATCATGTTTGCCGGGAAGATGGCACCAGCGTTGGCAGCGGGCAACACAGTTGTGCTGAAAAGCAGCGAGAAGGCGCCCTTGACGGTCTGTACGATGACTTCCGTGTGACTCAGTGGCAATTTGAACTAACCAATGCCATAGTCCCTCTATGTAGCAAAATTAATTGAGAAAGCGGGATTCCCACCCGGAGTTGTCAATATCATCTCTGGCTTCGGTGACCCTGCTGGTGCGGCGCTGGCTTCGCACATGACCGTGCGCTGTATCAGTTTCACCGGCTCCTCCGCAACAGGCCAGAAGATCCAAACAGCTGCTGCAAAGTCGAATTTGAAGCACGTACACATGGAGCTGGGCGGGAAATCTCCGGCCATAATCTTTGAAGACGCGGATCTGGAGGATGCCGCTGCGCAGACTCAATTCAGTATTCGGTTCAACAGCGGACAAGTGTGCTCAGCAAACTCTCGGATTTATGTGCATGAATCGGTAGCTGAACAGTTCATCAGCATGTTTCGTGTGAATTTCACTGCTGTTCGCTTGGGTGATCCCCTCGACCCTGCTACCTCGCATGGTCCGCAGATCGATGTACTACAGTACCACCGGATCAAGGAGTACCTTGCTATAGGGGAAAAGGATGGCACACTCACTCTAGGCGGGGATGCAAATAACGGGTTCTTCGTGCGACCGACTATCTTCGAGGGCGTTGCCGAAGACTCTCGGCTGATGCGCGAGGAGGTCTTTGGTCCTGTTGTTGTGATCAACACCTTTTCCACCGAAGCTGAAGCAATCGAGAAAGCGAATAACTCGGATTTCGGCTTGTTTGCTGCTGTTTTCACGAAGGCCCTTGATCGTGCCATTCGTCTGGCCAAGGCGTTGGATGCGGGCACTGTCGGGGTGAACTGCACCAGCCCTGCTAATGCGAAAGACGCCTCCTATGGTGGCATGAAGATGAGCGGGAATGGCCGAGAGGGGCTCCTTTGTAGTCTCGACAGCTTTCTCGAGACCAAAAGTATCCTGATCAAGACAGCACGTCTGTGATATGTGAGCTCGCGGCAATGGCTAGATTGGCGAGGACTATTTGGTTTGCATGGATGATGGAGGATTATGACGACTGGCACGGCAGATTCATGCGCAGGTAGCTAGCTCTGCCAATTGAGTATGCCCAATTACGTTACTGGCCTGACCATAGGTATCGGTCGATTATGACAATGTATACCGGCGAACTGTCGACTTTGATTCTGCTTTTACGAGGTCCAGAAGTTTTCCGGAGCTCGTTCCCCTTTAGAACAGCGATTAAAGATCTGCGTCCTAAGCAGAACGTCTTTGAATCGGAACTGGAATGCTCCATGAAATCAGTTTGGTTAGAAGCTATGGATTAGAATATTGATTTTTAGAGTAGGCGTGTCTTTGGCTTCAAGGTCTCTGAATATGATTCGAGTCCTTTTTCCCTACTTGCTCAGGCTGTAAAGAATCACATGATGGATGCCACCCATACCAGCTGAGAACACCGGGAAAAAGCCTTAAACTACCAAATCAAAAGATGCAGGCCGCGAAGGCCAGCAGAACTCCGAGAACCGCCGTGGGGACGGAAGCCGTGGCAGTCACACCGGTATTCCCGTGGCCATCATCTTTCTTGGTCGAGTTTGTCTTGGTCTCAGTATCATTGAGCCGCCTGGCAGTGACCTTGTCATTGTAGTGATATTTGGCGCTCCAAGGGTACGGCTTGGTGTCGTATGTCGCACTTAGATTGCCATAGGTCTTCTTGACGATATCCAAGATACCGTGACCACCAGAGCACTTCTCATTGCTATCGGTGATGGGCACCGGCCACTCGGGAATGAAAGTGGAGGTGTTTCCAGTTTCCTTGTCACCAATTGACATGGGCCCGGGGTAAGTCTGATTCAAGGTCAAATGGGTCTTGTCGACCTCGTAGTTGATGTAACCAGTCTTATTGGCAACGATCTCGAAGAGGTTGGCGCCACAATCCCAGCGGCCCAGGGAAGGAAGACCCCAGTTGGCCGAGACACTAGCAATGCTAGAGTAGTGGGTGTAGAATGTGTCATCCTTTGTACCCCTGAGGTGCTCAGGAACGGCGCCGCCAACCAGAACACTGAACACACGGTTGCCCTTAGTGTAGGTATCATCTTCATCGAACGTCAACAGAAGAAGAGTGTCATTGAAAAAATATTCGTCCTGGAGCAGCTTGGAGACCCATTTGCGCTCCCACTTGGCACCGAAGGTAATGTTGGTATCATGCGCATCGTTGGTCATGTTGGGAGTGATGAACGCCCACTGGGGAAGTTTCTTGTCTTCAAGATCACGTTCGAAGTCCTCGAAGCTTTTGATAGAACGTGCACGACTGTTGTTAGCCACAACTGAGTTGTAAAGCACCATAGGGTTGTGCTTTCTGACGTAGTCAGGGCGATAGGTTGCTTGGTTCGAGTAGTTGAACCCTTGGAAGCCGGCATGGGGAATGTGCTCCTGGTACTCAGCCCACGAGATGCCCTTGGTGTCCAGCAAATCAGCAACCGTAGAGATATTTGCGGGAATTTGCTTGAAGTCATCATTATCCATGCCAAAAGTGTCACCACCGGCGGCGGCGCAGTAGTTTGGCTCAGAAGGGTGAGTGACCGCGTAAAAATTCGTCCTAAAAGAGACTCAGCATTGAATGGTCTCAACTTGGAATGTTAATTGGGAACTCACAGCAAGATGCCCTGGGAAGCGAGCCACTGCATATTGGTATCTGCGGCGCTGTCTTCATAATCCTATGAGCAATAATGAATCAAGGTGTCTCGGTTATGTTATGTTTTGAAGGTGGGCATACAATGTTCTCCAGCCAGACTTGATAGAACCGATCAAAAGCCAACCCCTTGACGTTTGAAGTAGTAACCTCTGGCTTAATAGTGGCGGCAGCGGCGTGAATGTCTGCGAGAGCGGGCTCGGATGTGGTAGCTGTTTGGGCCACGACCAGAGCAGCCGCTCCCATCAGAATCACGAGACTGATCTTCATTTTGATGAATGGAAGACACTGCGCCAATGATGAAATTGATGAGAAGTCTAGAGGAGATAGAGGATGATGAGGAGGGTGATATTAAGAAAGGAAGAGGAATGTCACCTAGAGGAAGTGTGTACTTAAAGAACCCTACACGTGCGTCTTACATCGTAGACTCAGATGGATCATGAGGTGTGGGCGACAAGGGTGTATGTACCTGAGCAGTACCTGGGGGATCTATAACATTGGCAGCTTTGCTCAAGTCTTGCGCTGGTATCTGATGTTTTGAAGCTGAGGTCGAGGAATGAACGTTGTACACATGGAGCAATGGGGCCCTCTGATTGGCTGAATGAGCTTTACCGGAATTCTGACACGTGCCAAGCCCAGGGCCAAAGCTTAACTAGTCCATGGGCCAGCAGCTCTAGTCTTCCCAATGGACCCAATCGCGCATGTACGGCGGAGTATTCTCCGTACTTGAACGGAGTAACTACTACTACTCATGTGCAACTGCAACCTAGATTTTCGGTACACACGTGGATCAATGGGATAATGAATAATCCGCAGGTACATAGAAGACAAATAAACTTTCGATTATCGTACAAGGTCGTCAAATATCATTTTCGATGTACACATTTACCGGGTGATTCCATGCTGCATCATATCTTGAACGTTCAGGGTGTCCTGATCGCCAGGGCGGCGTTGACTTTCGATCGCGGCCTTTTCTTCAGGACCGCCTTCGCCCTGGAAGTGTGTAGCCCTCGGGAGTCTATAAAGAGCCACAATGTTAATGATATGAACTTATGATTTTACGCGGCGCGGAAACTGAAGTCTTACCTGTCTCGATCATCACGAGTGCCACCCTCATCTTCGGGAATTACACGGTGATCACTGCCAGAGGCTGTCGACCCAGGACCGTACTTGACGCCCGTGGACTGAGGGAATCGCTGGTCGACCATCTCATCGACACCGGATTCGAGGGCTAGAATGCATATTAGTAAATGATCAATCAAGGCTGGAATATGAGCAACGTACTCGAGTCACTTTTCTTGCCGAGGCCCTGCTTGGCCTGGTAGGTGTTGAGGTCTTTCTCGGCGTTGAAAGCAACATTCTTCAATTCTTCGGTGGTAGGCATGTTGGCTGGGTGATTGATTTGAGGATTTCGGTGAATAGGGAACAGTTTAGATGAAAGATTTATGTTAATGATCTATTGAACTGCGCTTTATATAACTCTGAAGCCCCCGGCAGGGTAGGAATGTAGTTGCATCATAATACATCATAGGTATGTCAGAAGTGCGGAGGAAGATGGAAGCTGGTTCAGCAAACAATATCAATAATTGACTCTTTCCCACTTCATGACAGGTTGTCGATCCAGGAAAACGGGTTGGTTGACGACTGACTTCATCGTCTCCACTGAGGGGAACCTTCGGGATCTCGGGAGCCCTAACACGAGCTCCAAACCGGGGCAAAACTTAGGGTTCAGCCCTAGGGTATGGCGGGACTGGAATATGATTCATCCGAAGGCGGGGAGTTCATGATGGAGCAGCTACGCGGACAAGACATGTCTGATTATCGGTGAATCAATGCTCTAGTCCACGTGCGCTGAGTCTCTTGTTCCATAGCTGTAGAGCCATTGGGGCCATCGAATGTCTGACTTCGCATCTCACTTCACCATATTCGGAAGATTGCAGGTCAATATCTCTGACACGCATCGATCGAGTACTGTTATTCGCCATGGCTTTTGCCATCGAAGTACAGGGCGAGGCTAACCCCCTCAGTGCCCAAAATGTGCTTAATACCCTGGTGCAAGCAGCAAGCTCATCTCAGCAGCAAGTTCGATCGGGTACTGAGCAGCTTCAAAAGTGGGAGAAACAGGGAATGTACTACTCTTTTCTACAGGTATTAGTCGCCATGTTCTGTTATTGATGCTTCCGGTTAATGACACTCTCTCCAACCACACAGGGAGTCTTTCTTGATCATACCGTACCGAACGAAGTCCGTTACCTTGCAATTATTCAACTAAAGAATGGCATCGACAAATACTGGAGGAAGACGGCAGCACAGTATGTTATCAGACTCACGTCGGCGCAGAAGGTCATGCTGACGCTGGCGACAGTGCGATCAAGCCAGAAGAAAAGCAGCATATTAAGACGAAGGCTCTAGAGGCAGGAATCATTGAGCCCGCGCCGCTGCTGGCTCTCCATAACTCGTTGATGATTGCAAAAATTATGAGATACGAGTTTCCTCATGACTGGTATGGCAAGGTGCTAATCTCTGTTCCTTTCCTGTGCTAACTTCATAAAGGCCTGATGCGATCCCATATATCATATCTTCACTCCGATACTCCGTTCAACCTGACGCAAATCCCCTTCAGCTTTCTCGAACTCTCCTCATCTTGCTTCAAATCATCAAGGAACTATCCACAGCACGAATCCAACGAACGCGACACAATTTGCAGTCAGTATCGCCTGAGATATTTCAGCTACTGGCAAACATATATCTGGAAAAGTTCAATGAATGGGGAAAAATACTGGAGGAGGGTGGTGCCGACGCAGGACAATTGCTGGAGACGGTCGAATTGAGCTTAGTTTCTCTCAAGGTTCTAAGGCGCTTGATTATTGCTGGCTTTGAGCACCCGAGTCGCAGCCGGGAAGTCCAAGATTTCTGGGTGCTGACCCATTTGCACTTCAGCAAGTTCCACTCCCTTGTTGATGGGCCCATGAACCTTCCAGAGGCAATCCACAAGGGTATTGAGAAGCACCTACTGCAGCTGTCTAAGTTGCATGTCGAAATGGCCAAAGTACACCCCGCATCCTTCGCTTTGCTGCCAGAGAGTATTGCTCTTGTCCAGTCGTATTGGTCATTAGTGGTCGCACTCGGCGATAAATATGGCAGCCTCGGCACTGGTGATGGAGATGAAGGGAAATCTTTGACCGAGAAGACTGGCCTTCGTGCCTTGCTTTTGATTCGAGCCTGCACCAAAATGGCATTCAATCCTGCTCAAACTTTCAAATACCAGACCCCGGAGGACAAAGAGGAGCGGAAACAATCCGTGCAGCTTGTCAAATCGCAACTCTTTACCGAAGAATTTGTGGTTCATGCCATGGAGCTACTTGTCACGAAATTCTTCAGATTCCGCAAGATTGACTTTCAAGATTGGGAAGAAGAGCCAGAGGACTGGGAAAAGCGCGAGGAAGAGAACACTGAAGCTTGGGAGTTTTCAATTCGCTCATGCTCGGAGAAGCTTTTCCTTGACCTCGTGATTCATTTCAAAGATCTGTTGATCCCACGACTTCTGACTGTATTCTATACTTTTGCCAGTGAGTTGACTTATGATGAAGATATGGGCGCAGTTCTAACCTTGCACTCTAGGCACCGACAACCACGATGTGCTTTTGAAAGACTCACTCTACTCTGCCATTGGCTTGGCTGCAGCAAGCCTTGAACAGCACTTAGACTTCAATGCATTCTTAGAACACACTATCGTTCCCGAAGTCCAGTCCCAGGAACATGAGTACAAGCTGCTGAGACGGAGATTTGCCCTCATGCTTGGTCAATGGGTCCCAGTCAAGGGAGGCGAACTGAACATGAATGCAATCTACCAGATTTTCCAGCACTTGCTCGGCAAGAACGACCCTTTGAACGACATGGTCGTCCGCATCACTGCTGGGCGGCAGCTACGGAGTGTACTTGACTCGTACGAATTCAAACCCGAGACATTTATCTCATTTGCGCCTCCCATATTGGAGAACCTCATGTCTCTTGTTCAGGAAGTCGAATCATCTGAGACCAAGATGGGACTCTTGGAGACGGTCCGCATGGTAGTGGTCAAGATGGAAGATCATGTAAGTACTTTTATCTTTTTATTGGCGAGCGGCGTGATTGACGACAAGAAGATCACCCCTTTCTCCGACAACATCATTTCTTTACTCCCACCCCTGTGGGAAAGTTCAGGGGAAGAACATTTGATGAAACAGGCTATCCTGACTCTGCTGTCCTCCTTGATTCAGTCGTTACGACATGAATCGGTGAGATATCATTCTCTCATCCTTCCACTGATTCAAAGCTCGGTTGAACCTGGCTCGGTAAGCTCCGCCCGAAGGCTGTCATGTTTCGACTAATCCTAAACCTCGACCATAGGAATCTATTGTGTATCTTCTAGATGAAGCACTGGATCTCTGGCACGCTATCATCCAAGCCACGCCGTCCCCTGCCTCACCGGATATCATATCACTCCTTCCGTCTTTATTCCCAATCTTGGAAGCAGCAACCGACAGCACCCCGCAGGCTATTCAGATTCTCGAATCATATGTTTTCCTTGCACCGCAAGAAGTCCTTGGTGATCGCTTCCGCTTGCAAATACTCGTCATCCTTGAATCTCTACTCAAATCCACCACCAAACAACGTCTAGGCGTTATACCTCGTCTTGTTGATTTGATGCTCCGCGGCGCCGAGACAGTTGACGGCGGTAGCGAGGCAACTTACCGCGTCATCTCCCAATCCCTTCTGGAGAGCTCATTCCTTGCCTCTCTGCTAGAGGGTCTCTATTCCGCGCATGAAGCTAGTCAGACGTCCGGTCCACACAAGAAGACTTCACCCGTGGTTGGTGTCGTTGAGAGTGATTATTATTCAGTGCTGGCCCGCCTTGCGATGGCCAGTCCTACGATTTTCGCCTCATCGGTTGCTGCCGCGACTAACTCATCCGAGGAGCAAGCTTTGACATGGATCTTGACTGAATGGTTCTCGCACTACGATAATATTGGCAGCATCAATCAAAAGAAACTCCACGCGCTGGCACTCACCCAGCTCCTTGGCCTACCAGGAACGCCACTCGATCCGTCCTTGCCGCCTTCCCCTCCTGCTTACATCCTTGCGCATCTGCAATCATATCTGAGCATGTGGACAGATCTGATCACCGAGCTGGCTGACGGAGGCACCGACCCTAACGCCGACTACCTTGTCTGCTGGAACGCACCCGCAGAGTCAGCAACCGCGGTGCCAGAGAGCACCGAGGTTGAATCGCCTGAGGTTGTTCGTCGCCGTGACTGGCAGTCCGGAGATGCAATCCACCGCTACACAATCCGAGACTTCGTACGTCATCGCCTGCAAGAAGTGATCGTTACTTGCGGTGGCGCGCAGCGTTTCCAGGACGAGTGGTTGGTCAATGTTGACACCGAAGTAGTCTCGGCGTTCGGAGCTCTCGGATTGCTCTGAGTACCTTTTACATTTGGCACTAAACACTTGTATCACAGTTCCTACTTGCATTGCTCACATATCATTCATTGGTCTTGTGTGTCACCCATCTCCCAATTCGCATGACCACCAGGTCCATATTCACTCGATCCTTTGTACTCGGTATTCTAGCTACATACCCCAATCCATGAGAACATATGTTACAATTCGTTTCATCATTGCGTCGTCGTCTTCGTAGTCGTATACCTATCTTCAGCGGAGAGTGATATCTATAGGTATCAATACTTGAATCCTGAAAATACAGGACAGGAACGTATGGAGTGTATGAGAACACTCAAAAATCAAAATCCAACGTACTCCAAACTCCATGAACCAACCCCCTTACCCTTCATCCAACATAACCAACGATCCTCCCTCCAAACGTCGCAAACACAGCAGAAAAGAATACCAGAACGCCGAACGCCACCTCATAGACATTGTCACATTGTAGATGTTGTACACCGTCTACGGTGTACCCAAGGCTGATGACTCGACGGAAGATGTCTCGACAGACGGGCGACTTGATCTTGAGGTCCGTGATAGTGCTCTGGATATCCAATTTCGACATCTCAGTCGTATAGCATTCTTCGAGGTTGTCGGTGGTGTTGGTCTGCATTTCGTCCATGCCCAAATCCCGGAAGTCATGACTTCCACTCAAGCGGTCGACAATATCGTTCCGCATCTCGGCCATGTTCAACGTCTGGGTTGCATGGCTTTCTTTCAAGCAGGCCGTGAGACTGTTTCGCATCTCGGCCATGTTCAATGCCGGGGCTTGACCTTCTTCCAAGCGGGCGATGCCGTTCTGAATCTCCTCCATCCTCAACGACTGAGTTTTTTGGCCCTTCTCGAGGCGGTCCGTGGCAGCTCTGTGCAAGCACAACCGTCTTAGTATGAAGCTCAACAACAAGCGTAGACCAAAGAGAAGGGTGGTAACTCACAGATTACGTGTTTCCACCTCCAGCGTGATCACATTCACGTAGGAGCGGAGTCTTCCCTCGTGCCTGCTGAGTGAACCATTTATCCTCAGCTGGAACACAAATCGGTTCCAGGATGTTTTAATCATCTTCTTGAGGGTTTTCCTGAAGGCATGGGGACCCGGTTCGAACGGTGGCCATTGAGCGGCGGGTCGGTAGTCTCTGGTATCTTTCTCGAGTTCTTTGAGTGTGTTCATGCAGCTGCTGATCGTGAAGCTGAGGGTCTTGTCGGCCTCACTGCGAGGGCCCTCGTTCACGGCGTCCTTCAATACGCCTTGTAGATTGGTGAGAGCTGATTTCAAACCACGCAAAACAATGTCGAGATCTCGTAGAGCCTTTGGAGCTTCTGTGCAGCTGCCATAGCAAACTTCTAGTAGCTCTGCGATGAGCTTGAAACAGGAGAGAATGTCTCCGACGCCCACACCAACTGTCTCCTTCATGATGCCCATGGTTGGAATAAAGCAAGCTTTAATATCAAACACGCGATTGGATGAATAGAGCAATAGAATCAATAGAGAGGTGGTACTGTAGTAGAACTTTGATAGATGTTTCTGAAGAATCAGGACAAAAGCGAGGCAAAAGTGCAGTGCTTTTATACTGCTTTCGAACCAAGATTCACACATTGCTGGCCCCTCCCAACAGGAGTCCATTTGGGCATCATGGAGTTTCAGTCGAAGGTAACCGCAGCCTTTCGCAATGTCCATCGGGGGACTGTTCGCTGGATAGATCCAATAGAAACCCCAGAATCTATTCGAAAGCTATATCAAAAGATTGTATAGCGAGGGATGTTATCACTGGTCCGCTGGACAGCAAAGCAATACTGACAGAATGACCATTGAAACCCATATTAGGGCAATATCAAAGCATTGTATAGCGATGGTTTATCACAGATCAAGTAGGCAGCAAAGCATTTCTGACAGGAGTGCATTGAAACCAACATATAAGAGTCGTCGTGATTTGCCCGCGATGCCTTCAGTCAGGCTTGAACTCCTTATACCCCGTGGCTGTGTATGATACCCCCTGTTCCTGATGACCCTGCTTCTGGTGAATCGTCAGACTGGTAGTCAAGAAAAGAGGACCCTACTGGCTACCGTGAAGAAGTGCATCGTCCCGTGACGTACGCCCTAAACAATTGGAACAGATGGGACAGTGTGGCTTGAGGATCGACGGAATCTCTTGGACCAGAACGTCCAGAGAATGTCTGGACGTCTAGGCGGCCGAGCCATGTGTGGATGAGCTTTGCCGTTGCTGAATGTGGCTGGGGCAGGCCCACTCTACATGTTTCACTACGATTTGTGGCTTTGCTTTTGATGATCTGATCCTATGTATTTCTCTAAGCGATGGAATACTCGTGTCTTCCGTACAGGTATAGTCTCTGATAATGTGGCCAATTCACCCTCAATACAGACGGCAGCCCTTTCAAAGGGTGCTCAATTCCATCAAATTCGTCTACTTTAAGAATGGGATCTGGGGTTGCACGTTTAGCGACTTTCTTGAGGCCGGGGGCGTGCAGATCGTGTGCTGACTAAATACATAGAAGCGCTTCCGGGACTCTGATCATTCTGCTCCGAAGTGGCAGTCAATTTGGGGAAACTGGCATATGTCGTGTCATAAGTACAGGGCGGCAAGGCAGACCAGATGATCCGATATCGAGGCTGTTGAAGATTGCAAGGCAGAGTGCCATTCTGACCTAGATAGGTAGTAGACGACACTTGAAGGGACTCGTAAGGTAGCGGTGACTTTCATCTGCTCGTTCCAATCGAGTTACTCATGAGTCATGAACATTGATGATAGAAGCCAGAAGACAAAGAAGGCGAAAGATCCGAAAATAGAGTCTTACCGGTTCGAGACACGGATGAACACAGACCCATCGTTCAAGTACCTCTCTCAGCTCTGTATGTCGGGCCACAGTGTGGGGGGCACGGATATAGCAGTGTAGCTTCTCTAGGAGCTGTCAAGGTAGTGTAAACATGAATTTAGAAGGAAAAGTTCCGATTTCTAGGGATCTACAGACTATCTTTTGCTTCTACGGCGGGTTCCTGCTTGAGTTCTCGAGCTCAAAGGGGGGAGATGACAAAAGGACCAGAAGAGAGGGGAAACAGCAGGAGATTGCTAGTTCTTTGTGCTAGAGAAGAATCGAAACATGGCATACACAGCCGCTCCACGACTACGAACGTTATATCATGCATACGCATTGACCCACCAATTTGATACATTCCTGTCATATCATAGGTTGTTATTGAATAAGGGGCGTCGATATTGAAGCCTTATGACCCGACATTGGCAGGGATCCCGCCTTTGGAGCAGGGGTCAGCGACTCGGCGCCATGGGCGGCAGCAAAGAAAATACAGGGCTGCACCATGCAGGGTGCGCGGGAACCCGCCTCTCCTTCAGACATGATGAGAATATTCAAGTAGTTCATGCGAGAGCTTCGACACTAGGCGGGTCATTGCAGATTGCTTTACTCCGTAGAATTCCCACTTTTAATCCCCTTAAGTCCCCTTTGATCCCTATTTCTATTCCGACTGTCTTTCGTTTCCTCGGTCATGTCTCCCGGCTCAACCTCTTGGGCTACCGAGCTGATTTCTTGAAAAAATGTGATAGCCAAACCGCCGGTTGTTTCCACCGAACTCGATGGGATGAGCTCTGTCGAATTGCTTCGGGTCTTACTCATTTGGAGTGCGTTGCCTTAGACCAGATTGCAAATGGACTCAATAATATTGTCCGTGTGCTGAAATTTTCCGACGAGACTCGCTGGGCAGCCCCAGTTGCCAGCTGCCCAGTCATATGTCCGATTCACCGACCTGAGCCAATCCATCCCCAGGATTGCATCGTAGACAGTCATGTCCACGGCTTCGCATATCATAGTCATGACCTTGCGGGTACCATTGCGATCTGCAAGCCTAAGCTGTACATCTCGGCTTCCATATGAAGGGATCTTGCGCCCATCCACAGCCTCCACGAGGCGGGTGCTCACCGCATGCATATCTTCCAGGTTCTCTTTTGCCCATCTCTGGCTCACGAAGCTCTGGGTTGCGCCACTGTCTATCAACGTCCTGGCAACCCCCGTCGAGGCGCCAGATTTGACATCCGAGATCAGTGCATTGCAGGCAAGCGCTTGGTGCACTCCCTTGTGTTCTTGTCCAAGAACCATACCTAACACTGCGGGAGCCTGCAGTGTGGGGTCGTCTATTTTTTTGACGACTCTGCAGTCGCAGCGCTCGCTGCGGCCTTCTTGCGACACACTCTCGCAATGTGGCCTTGCTTTTGGCAGAAGTGGCAGGTCCTGCTCTCACCATCTCGGCCTCGCTTAGACCCGGTGGTAGCTCCCTGACTTTGCTCGGCGTCTCCAGCCGTATCGTCCTGTTGACCTCGCCCTCGGAAGGGTCTTTTGTTGGGTCTCGTCGTGCCCCCGGTGCCTGTCGACTTCTGAAAGTCTTTCAGGGCAGACACCCGTGCTGGCATTGCCTTCTCAATCTGGCTGTAGAAGGCGACCCACTCGTCCCACTTCTCTGTAGAGGGAGCGTTGAATCTTCTCGCCTCGTCATATACTTCCTTGAGCACACCTGTTGCCAAGCGCTGGATCCTCGTTGCTGGATCTGGCGTCCTCTTCAACCGGTTGTAGATACCGGTGAGCTTGATGGCGTACTGGTGTACGTCCTGCTGCTTGGTCTGTTTCGTCGACCACCAGGCGCGCTCGGCCTCTCGCTGCATCTCAACGGGATCGGGGACCTGAGATAGGGCCCACGCTTCGAACACCGACCAGGTGATATCCATGTCCCGGTTGTTCTTGATGTACTCCATCCACATCATATTGACCTTGGGCGATAGGAATTCGGTGACGCGGCTCACCTTGCGCGCGTCATTGTGGAACCATTCGCTATTCCTCAACCAAAAGGCCTCTTGCATGGACTTGAAGAGGTCGTATTCGCCCGAGCTCTCGGCCCTGAACGTCACCATGTTGTCGGGCGTGCGAGGTTCTCGCATGTTCTGTGGATTCGCTGAGACCAGCGCGCTTCCCTGCGACACCACCGAAGCCGCGGGTGTCACGCGAACAGCCCCGTGTGGCTGATAACTAGCTAGGCTAGCGGTGTCACCTGGCGAATCACGATGGGTGGCGGCCTCTTGAGATTCCGCTTGCATGATTGCTATGTCGCGCTCCGCCTGGCGTAACTTTTCCATGAGTCTCGCTTTTTTCTCGATAGCGGCAACGCGCTTCTGGAGGGCTTCGATCTCGAGACCATCTGGATCTGGGTCTTCCGTTGTGGGGACTTGCGGGGTCCTCCCATGGGGGTTTATCCTCCGGCAGGGCCTGGAGGGGATTCGGGTTTTCGTCGGCAGCTGCGGCCCGGGGTGGGTTACCCCTGAGGCGGGAGCTGCTGCGTGGGTTCGTAGACATCGCGGATTTCAGCGGTCCAGTTCAATTTGAAGGGTAGCGATTAGAATGTTAGGACCGGCGTACTGGCGGGTCCAAATGAGGGGTTTAGAACTAGAGTGAAGAAATCCTAAGGGGTATTCCTGTATTCAGACTAATCGCTAAGGAGTCGAAGTCTGACGGGCAGTCTCTGTTGTGGAGAGCCCAAGCCGAGTCACGTGGCCTGGTCAAGCCTGACCGCCACGTGGCTTGGCAGAATCCAGGTCCCAAGTCCTCTGTGCGGCACTCGTGGGTAGAGGGACGTAACAGCTTTCATAGTTGAATTAATCGAAAGCTTTGTGGAAACTGGAAAGTACTGCGTACACTGACGGTACACACTTATTACAGTAAGCACATGGGGCCGCCTCCGGAGAGGCTGAGTATCGAGATGCCACACCTCTGAGGCTCGTGAGTCGTGGGATTCTCTCTCTCGCGTGGGCCGTGGCAGGAAAATAATACATACGGACATTCACGTGACACACGTGATCATCGTTAGTAAGCGTCAGTGCTCACCTAAGCCTCAGGGTCAATGCCAAGCTTTTGTGCCTGAGTGCCTGGTTTTGTGGTCTTTGCGTCGGGTTTCGGAAGTTCGGAGGTTCGGGATTTGCCATGTGAGATGAAACGTGCAGAAACACATGGGCATATCGAGATGAGTGACAAGTACTTAGTCCTGCGAACAGCAATTGAGATATCAACAAGACGATATGCTTGAATGAAGATCTTCCTAGACTCTCAATTCCTGCTCAAAGTATAGTAGATCAGAGATCTGATGGTTCTTTAAATGTTCGGCTCTAGACCGTAGGTTACAGTAGCTCCACCTAGGTCCCGCTCCCCCCGAAATTTTCACGTCGGGGTCTCGAGGAGCCCAATGTGGCAATGAGGCCCAGGGACTAGCTGACTGCCAATGGGAATCTATGAATGACTCGCAAGGTTTGATTGCTAAGAGGTACATAAAACCCCTCTTATAAATTCAATCATCTCATCCGGATTCTACTCCAGATTCCCAACTTCCTTACTCCTAGAAAATCATCTTTAACACATTTGTGGGATCAATCAGCTGCGCTTTTCCCATAGAATGTCCACCAATGTCGGGTTTACAAGCTGCAACACTGGCGACCCTGCATCTGATGTCATGAACATCCACAGCGCCGCAGCCCCGAGCACCACATCCTTTGACGAGAAAAGTCCTCCCCATGTGGACGAGAAGTTTGACAGAGAGGCCGCACCAGAGCCGCCAGAGGATGCGTACCGAGTAGCATCTACAGTGGCGCCATCTCAGAGGTCAATCCGAAGAGACCCTATGAGTCGGGTGACGACAGACGCCGAGGGGAACACCTATCCGGAGGGTGGTCTCGAAGCCTGGTTGGTAGTGCTGGGCAGCTTCCTCGGTCTTTTCGGATCCCTGGGACTGGTCAACACGATTGGTACTTTCCAGGCATACCTCCAAACCCACCAACTGAAAGAGCACAGCTCAGGAACCAATGGCTGGATCTTTGGGATGTTCGCTTTCCTCACTTTCTTCTGCGGAGTGCAAGTCGGTCCCATCTTCGACGCTCGGGGCCCGCGCCTTCTGGTCTTCATCGGTTCCGTGTTTGAAATGGCCATGATCATTCTTCTCGGTTTCTGCACTCAATACTGGCATTTTATGCTGGTCATCGGTGTCCTGGGTGGAGTAGGAGCTTCTCTTATCTTCACTCCCGCCATCTCCGCGATTGGCCATTACTTCTACGAGAAACGTGGTTTGGCAACTGGCATTGCTGCCACCGGTGGATCCGTCGGGGGCATCGTTTTCCCTCTCATCCTAGAAGATCTCTTCCCCAAGATCGGCTGGGCCTGGGCCACCCGGGTTGTTGCGTTGATCTGTCTGATTGTACTATCGATTGCAAACCTTCTGATCAAGTCCCGACTCCCGCAGAAGCCCTTCTCCAAGGAAAATGTGCTCCCCGACTTCCGAATTTTCCGAGACCCGCGATTCGCACTCACAACTGCCAGCGTCTTCTTCATTGAGTGGGGTCTCTTCGTGCCAATCAGTTACATCTCATCATACGCCCTCGATCAAGGCTTCTCATCCAAGTTCTCGTATCAAATCATCGCCATCTTGAATGCCGGCTCATTCTTCGGACGAGGGCTGCCCGGTTTCTTTTCCGATTATCTTGGTCGTTTTAACACTTTGATTGCGACGGTCGCGCTCTGCTTGCTTTGCAATGCCTGTCTGTGGCTTCCTGCCGGGAACAGCAAGGCCTTGCTTATCGTTTATTCTGCACTGTTTGGTTTCGCAAGCGGCAGCAATATCAGCTTGACACCCGTCTGTGTCGGCCAACTCTGCAAAACCGAGAATTATGGTCGCTACTATGCAACTGCCTACACTATAGTGAGCTTCGGGTGAGTCTCCTTTTTTTAGTCTGATGTCACTGGGTCAATAGCTCACATTTTCTCGCCACCAGCACCCTCACCGGTATCCCTATTGCAGGAGAGATTTTGGCGCGCTGCAATGGTTCCTACTGGGGATTGATTACTTTTACCATCTGCTGCTACGGGGCTGGCCTTATCTGCTGCACCGCTGTGAAGGTCATCCAGGTTGGCTGGCGTCACCCTCTTGCGATCTACTAAGAATTTGTTTCGATGACCGGAATTGCACAGCATCCGATCTGATCACGACTTCACGATTCGAACGAAATATTATAATATACACCTAAAAGTTTTGTTTTTGCTATCATTGCATGGCTTGCATTTTCCACCATTTCCAGGCGTTTGCAGTTATCTATCAATAATGTCTATATTTATTCATGATCAAATATGTATCCGTGCCTTTTAGCTTCCCACCCCTTTTCGGTGTGGGTGCGCCACCGACCGCTCAAATCCCACAGTCACACCAAGACTCAAGATTCAGAAATGTTCATGTACCTTTTATATGGCATGGTCATATAAAAGGTACATGGAAACTTTTCAGATCTACATCGAAAGGTACACATGAATTATGTGATTAGGGCCAACCACCTTTAACATTTTCTAGTCTTTTGTTATTTGCAATCATAAATGGCAAGTATCTATTGCTATTTTTACTACCAAAAGGAAAAAAGCGAGTGGTGGGATGGATAATGTCTCTTTCTATTTTTCCCTTAAGAAAGAAGTTTCAGATGTTTATGAGAAGGAAATTCCAAAGACTATTGTACCTCTAATTTTTGACCGGAACTCTTAAATGTCTTTTGATTATATGATTTTCCCTCTTGAAAATGCATTATTAGTATATAAAATCTAGCCATTCCTAACGCATGTGGTGGTTTAAGGATGTAGTGTTGGATTTCAACCAAAGATTTTGTTTCATATCAGCCCCCATGGTTTCCAAACGGACCAAGCCGCCACTTTGATTTCGACCCGCCCTTTCAACCCGCCGCTTTTGACTTCAACACGCCACTTTGGATGAACCACTTATTTTATCAACGCACTGGCGCGGGATCAAAATAAAACAACTCCCCGTTCTCTTCCGCCACTCTCGCTGCTTCAAGCGATGCCTCGTTCTCCTGGGTTGGCACGTCTGGCAGCTTGCAACCGTACGTCTTCTGGTACTCTCTTGCAAGCCGTCTCTTTTCTGCTGCGCCTTCTTCGTCCTTCCTGGTCGCAATCGATCGATTCGCATCGCGTATGGTCAATGCACCATTGTCGCTTAGGCCTTTGATCTGCCGTCTGGTTTTAGAGCGCCACATAGGTTCTTGTGCGCCCCTAATTTGATTGACGGTCCGACGGTAGGACTGGTTATCTTCAAACGTAGCTTCCTCCTGGCGGAAGATGCGCTCGAGACCACGCTGTTGCTTTGGCGCTAGAAGCTCTGCGTGCCTTGATATCTTCGCATGATTCTTCCGAAGCGCTTCTAAGGTTTTTGGAGGCGTACTCTCAACGCTAGACGATGGAAGGTAGGCTGGTGGCGGAGACGGTGTGCGGGCGCCATAGGAACGAAGATCAGACGCATCTATATCAGGTATGTCGTCCCACCCATTAGATATCTTGTTTAGGACCTTGCTACCATCAACTGGGTAGATACCACGATCATTGAAAGAATCACGAATGACTCGCTTTTTGAAGGTGTCTCTTCGTACAGGTCCGATCACCCGTAGAAATTGCGCCTTACCCATCGGTTGACCCGCCCAAAACGACCACTCATTGTTCGCTTTCCGGAAGTGTTGTTTATAACTCAAAAAAAGGTTTGCCATCGAGCGGCTGGCAAAGATGTGTTGCGTGAGGTTCAAAGCCGATGGGTTGGATATCATTGTCGAGGCATTTTTGAATGAACTCGTGCGTCAGATGCGAGCCGTGGCCATCGGAGATCAACATGCGCTTCTCGCGGTGCGGCGAGGGACGCGATATTGACGCGCAATCTTGCTGAGATTTGGCTTTTGCTCGCGTTTGGCCGCTTCGCAGGCCTCGATCATACGAACATAGGGGGATCGGTCGGTTTCAGGCATTGTTGGTCAAAGAAACTGCTTCCAAAAGTGTGGGGAGTAGTAAAGTGTACGGAGTAGTAGTGACGGGAATTTGGGTGGGAATTCTGGAAATCTGGCGACCTAAATCATGAAACTTGGTGTGATTGTGAGATTTGAGCGGTCGGTGGCGCACCCACACCGAAAAGGGGTGGGAAGCTAAAAGGCACGGATATATCCATTAACTTCCAGCTCCACTCCCCTCCTACTTACCCGTTTCGTTCCCTTTCCCTCCCTCTCATTCGTTAACTCCTTCTGACCGCCCGTTTTTGCATTCTTTGGTACTGCACACTCAAATACTCAATCCTCGCGCTCTGCGATTCGTCCTTTCTCTTTCCCTCTTCCTCATCTTTCATTCGTCTCCGTCTTCCTCTCCGCTTACGGGTAGTTTTGCCGTCCATCCCCTAATCTTTCGTTCTTTCTTCTGCCTTTCTCTCTTTCATTCCTACTCCGTACTTCTGCCGTACTAACTATCTCTCTGTCGGACGTTAAACAATGCAACAACAACTATCTCTCTGCTCTTGCTCAAACCCTCTTCCTCTTCCTCTCCTTTTTCTTCCTTCTCTCACTCTTACCCGTGCCTTTCTCTTCTTTCCTTAGTTACTGTTTCTCACGTCTTCCTGTCTCCGTCTTCCTCTCCGCTTACGGGTAGTTACCGTCCGCACGAACGGCATTCGATGCCGCTTGGATCCTGAATGTGTGTATGTGGTTGGCATCCAAACGGCCATGAAGAGGCATTGGCGTGACACCCATGGCTTTCCGGAGCTAGCCGCAAGGGTCGTCCCCGCAATGACTTGACAGACGCGAATGGCACGAATTTGGTGAACTCATCTCCAAGGTTGCGTACCAACAGGTGTTGGCCCAGTCCACAGGCAGTCATTACGTCTTCATCGAGAACTATGAGCTTCCCGATCCCGCCGCGGAGGTGGCTCATGAGGCTGGTCGGCGCCACGCCGAGTTGAACATCCTCCAAACGCTGTACCAGCAGCACAAGCAGCCCGTCACCACCGAAGCTGGTCAGCGCCACGCCGGGTTGAACATCCTCCAATGGTTTCATCCCACTGGCCGGCTTCGGTGGTGACGGGCTGCTTGTGCTGCTGGTACAGCGTTTGGAGGATGTTCAACTCGGCGTGGCGCCGACCAGCCTCATGAGCCACCTCCGCGGCGGGATCGGGAAGCTCATAGTTCTCGATGAAGACGTAATGACTGCCTGTGGACTGGGCCAACACCTGTTGGTACGCAACCTTGGAGGTGAGTTCATCAAATTCGTGCCCATTCGCTTCTGTCAAGTCATTGCGGGGACAACCCTTGCGGCTAGCTTGACTGCCTGTGCCCCGGGCCAAATATATAGTTACAATTACATGCCCGTAGGTAAACTACACGGTTGGCCCAAGAATCTAAGTCCTGAGAATCTGAGCATTATGTGGATTCTGTTGAAGTCTATCTAGTGTAATGTGTATCTAGTGCCGTCTTGGAGGATATGGTGCGCATGAGTTGGTCTTTGTAATTGTAGGTGTGTGGAAGCTATCTGGATATGGAGGTCTTCTTCCACTGGACTTGTATACCATATGTTGGGTCTCGGCCTCGACAACGGTTGTGTCAGCTCCATATTTGACAAACAGGCCCAGCGATGGATACTTGATAGGCGGGGGTAGGTAACTGAACCAATTACCCCATATCTTGACTGCCTCCTCGTAATCTGTATATTGCCGCCGTGGATACCGGCATTGCGACGAGACCGTCCCGTTCACCCAGGAAGAGTTGTTTGGAAATGATAGGTATACAACCCCATGTATCAACCATACGAAGTAGACATCAGGCACATCATCAATCGTGGAATTACCAAGGTAGAGTGTCAACAACGAAGGTTATCATCACTGATGGTGTATCACGTAGCCCATGAGCGAATAATGGAATGCTGCATTATCTATGACTATCGATGGATATAGGTCAATACGGTATACCCAGAGATCTAGAAGATGAAGAGGACACGACGGTGGCCCGATGACACCTCGGTTGTGCCCGGAGAAAGATAGATCGGACCTTAAGGCTTCCTTAAGAGCTGCAAATTTCAATGATGCGGGTGGTCGATTGACTCGACATGTATTTGACATGGGGCATCTAAGGCCCTGACCGGCTGCGCTGTTCACCAGTTCTTCAGAACGGCACCCCTTCTCGAATCGACACGGGCGTTGCTGGTAAATCATCTGTGTCGGATAGGTCCGAGATCTCAAGAAGATTGTTGCTGATCGAGTCCTCTTTGGGTGGTGATCTTGTCGAGTCCCGAAGCAGGTTACCAGCGTCATCTTCCCCTAACGAATCACGAATGTGGTCTAGTCCTGCGAAATTCGGTGTCGAAGCATAGTTGAGACCAGCTGAGGCATCTGATGCCGGCTTGAGACCAGACAGGGCTGCCTTATGAGAGGCAGAGGCCAAGCGGTAATGTTTTGTTAGAGCGACCCACATCGTATGCCTTTTCGCGGGGGAAGAGCGATGTCGGTATCTATGCCGTGATACATGGTCGGGTGATCTTGACCGGCCGGAGCTTCGAGACTTGCGATGAGATTTGGATTTCGTCACTGACTTGAGAGCCTTTACACTTGAGAAACAAGGGGGCTGCACCTCGTCGGGAACACCAGGGCCCCTTTCAGGTTCCGGCCGATCTAAATTGACGGGATCCTGCGGTTGTGAGGAACCATTTTGCGACAGAGCCGCCCCGGGTATCCCCGACTGGACCTGCGGTTTTTGGGGATCACGGACAGCGGCTTCAGGTTCGTTCTCGGTGACCGGACTTTCACATCTATTCAGGCTGGCGCAGTGGCGCGAGACACATCGACTGGGCGTCCATTTTCCGGGGATCCCTGATGCCAACCCGCAGCCCGCCGCTTGACAGACAGCCAAGAATACTCCTGACCTGAGTGTTCACGAAACCGAGAGGGTTCACGAAACCGAGAGGCGAGATTGACCCAGAAGGGTTTCTGTGGTTGGCTTCCTTTGGGCACAAAGAGCAGTTCTTGTACTAGATATCTCTGTGCAAGGTCGATTGTAGGTAGTCACATGGTCCCCAATTTTACCAATGATGGAATGAGGTCATTAGAAGGCGGGTAATACTTCCGCCAACGTCAGCTCGGCCGTTAAGCTGTGCAACAAGAAGAGAAGAGTTTCACGACGGCACTGGTAGTACACCCAACATAACTAGAGACCGACTCGTTATATTGACAACCTCAATTCACCTCCATGGAGGCAACATCAACGTCTGCAATGTCGGTAACTCAGGTCCCTTCTGAGATAGGGCTGAAGACGAACAGGCGCATGAGATATCCGACCGGGACCCGATCTATGTAAACATCCGATCACGATGATGCGCGGCTGTGCCTTCCCGAGCCATGGGATGAGTGCTTGGGATTGATTCCAGTAGGACAATCAGGACCCATCAGTGGGATCCGCCGAAAACATGGAAGCTTAAAGTCCAAAACAAACATCGACATCACTGTCAACCAATCCTTTCACGCTGATGACATCGAGTGTTCATCACTTCATCACAATCGTATTATTAGAAGGTCTAGCCAGGTCTTCGCTACATATACGGCGTAATTCTCGCATCTCCCTTATCCCAGCGTCCTTTCCAGCCCGCAACCTTGCTTTCATGCTTTGTCCCCTCGACAGTCCTGGTGAACCCATGCTCATTACTGAAATTACCACCCAAGGAGCTTAGGCCCCGAGACATCGCTTCGCCATCGCCTAATCCATCATTCGGACACATTTTGAAGCCGCCGACGATCTTACATTGACACCCACGGCCTGTATCTTGGCCACCTCGCTCTCTTGCACATACTCGCCTCGCTCCCAGCCATGTTTCCTAGACGATACCTGCTCGTGCTAGCCTACTCCTGGACTCTGCTGCAGAGCGTCGCAGCTGTCCCGGATGTGCCTCCAGACCAACCAGCGCCCGAAGATCACCATCTCGAACATAATTTGCAGGAACGGCACGAAAGCCCGGAGATCGCAAGCTCGTTTTGGGCTGTCTTGTCGCATGAATTAGCTCCCACAGGAGGCCCAGCCTGTCCTGCCCCTACTTTGGAGACAAAGGTGGTCCCAGTGACAGTAACCTGTCCTGTGGTCTCGCCAAGAACCGTCACTGTCACTTCTACTTCGATAATAGCCACGGGCTGCCCTTGCCCCCCTGCCGGCAGTAGCGGGAGAGCTCCTACCAGTCGTGGCACCACAAGCCGCAGCAGCGCCAGCGTCACACCGAGCCGTACCATGACACCCCCATCCAACAGAACTAGCTCTACCCGCACGCTCACCCGAACTCTGACGCAAACCCGAACGTTGACACAAACCCGCACGTCGACGCCCTTGACACCCAGCAGAACAGCACGTGTCTCCCCCTCTGCACCAGCTACCCTTGCGAGGCTGCCCACGTCGACATCGGTAGCCGTATCTCCAGTAACGACACCGGTGCGCATCACGCCGCGAGCGCGTGCCAATCCGGATATTGTGCGTCGACAGATGCTGAGGAACTTTGGAACCAACACGACGGCAATTTTCACCAATACAACTGCGTTCACGAATAGCACTACCAGGCCACTGAATGCGACTCGTGCTGCGACTTGGACGCTTACTGAGCCGAGGCCTGTGTTCTTGCCCCGTTTCCACCGTGGGCGGGGTCGTGGTTAGATTGTCTGGGCGGGTTTGGACACATTCGTGGGGTCTTTTCGATAAAGGCTTTTTAGATAAGGCGTTTGGATTTTGGTGTTGGACTCTTCTTACAGATTCAGGTAGAGATTAATTCCATTTATTTCGTAATATGATGCTATGATGTTGCTGTCGTCTTTTTCTGGTTTGTTTGTTCTAGAACGAAGCTGTAGCCGTGTGTTGTGCGACAGTGCCAGATTTTACCGTGTGAATGACAAGCTGGAGGTGACGAAGAAATCTACCATCTATGCTACATACATAGTGTTCTCAAGGTACCTTTACACCAAATTATACCACGTGTAGATCTTGACATAAACTTACTGTGTACAATCTGATGCCGATTGTCTGATTGGCTGAAGCCATTTTCGGCTCATGTAAGGGAAATCAGGTGATTTTAGAAACCCTGATAAAGTCGAGCACGAAATATGTCGGCAGAAGGTCGAAGGCTTTATGTTTTTAGGTACCATTAGGATCTCTTGCACAGAGTTGCATGTAATATTCAGACTAGTAAGTAGTAACTATCACGGGAGTTTCTAGTGAGTGCGTCAAAACTGAATAACTACATTGGTGAAAGTCATGCGAAGATAAAGGCTCCCGGGCTGCGAAGGTATTTTCTTTGGCAATGAGCGCACAATAGCATTGTTTAAACCATTGATTGAATATCTAAATTTTAGCATTGTCTTGGTATAAGGATATGCAGCTCGATCATCTCGACTCCAATCCATTCCGCCTAGACGCAAATATCCAGGTATCGTAAAGAAGCCGTTCGATGCTTCCAGCAAGGTCAACACTTCCCTTGCGCCAAGTTCTATCACTAACGGTACGTCTATGCGTCAGCAATTATAGCGTATTACCGGGGCTGCTATAGTAAGGATCTCGGGCTGTCTATACTCCCAGGGAGTACTGGAGCCCGAAGGCGTCAGACGCATTCCATGGTCTGAAGACACTAGGCTTCATTCTTGAACTGGATTCCCTACAGCCTTGTACATTTCGCACTCTTTTTAGCTGCCCATAGCCTCTTTGTATTTAGAAACGGTCCCTCCAATCTGGCGCAGGTTGGCCAACGGACGCGTGTCAGGGTGTCAAGCTCGAGGTATCCATAATCGCTTGACCAAACAGGTCAGCTAAGAGCTTTCTCACACAGTGAATTGGGGTGACAGAGCTTGGGCATTGACTGAGAGGATATGGTCCATACGTGAGGCGGGAGCTTAAAGAGTCCACCAAGGGTGATCGTCGACGACTTTGATAACAGATCGAGGATACGACACAGGTAGCTGTGATCAACGTTTGCGAGCCTCTCAAAATACGAGAACAGTTGTAAAAAGCCTATGTGGGACCAGCTTGGACTGGTGGTCATGGATTGACTAGCTTTGGCGCTCTGTGTCGCATTTACTGCAGCCTCAAAATCTTCTACTGAATACTACGCCTGTAACCACTGTTAATCTACAATGTGCATAGGCAGATACAAGATCAATCAAGCCATATGACAAGTTCAACTGAGGCACAAGTAGCTGTATCTGTAAGCGACGGGCACGATACCCATGGAAAAGGACTCGTCATGCGGACAGACACCTCGCTACTGCCATTTCAGGAAGTAGACAAGTGAAACCACAGCAAACGAACAATGAGAGCGATGTATGCTATTGTTCTGAGTTGCTGCCTTCTGGTCCCTTCCGTTTTGGGAGACCCCGTTGTCTATATAATCCCCATCCTTTTTCTTCTTCTTCCTTTTCTCTTCTTCTTCTTCTCTCTCCCCAAGTTACCACTCTGATTTCATTTACTGCTTATCAAGCTGTGACTCGCTTCCATCCACTTCCTCGCTTTATCTACTCCCGTTTCACCAATTTCCATCTTCACCCTTCAAAGTATGTCCCCCACATCAGAGCACCCACACCTTACCCTACCTCACCTTATGTTGAGATGTGAGGACACCTATGACACATTCCCCTCTCTTCCATTTACCCTTACTCCTTCGTTTGAGGTGTATGAAGTTTATACTAATGTCTTGACCTTCTCTCTCTAGAAACAAAAATTTAAAAAAAAAAAAAATCAAAATGTTGTTGATCCCCTTCCTGGGGATCTTCTTGGGTATGACTCTCTGGAGTCAGTGGCGCCCCATTCCGGGGTTCACTGTTCCAGAGATGTCGTTCCGGCAGCGTCTGTCTGGTGCCGCCCAGCTAACTTTGGAATCTTGGATCTTCTGTGGCGCTGTGGACACTCTGATGTCCCAGCGTTCTCACTTCGGTAATACTCACTCTGGTGATACTGCCGTTGTGAGTCCCACAGACTATCATGGGTATGCAAACACCACAGATTACTTTGAAATCAGTCCCGAAGCGGATACCATGCCGTCCTGGTTTCCAACTGATTCCATGGTACCCATCCCGGGGTTGGTCTGGTGTAGCGTCGGAGTGACAACTTCTGTTCCCGAAGAAGTTGTCGACATCCACACGCTTGAATCAGGACCCGGGCAAGGTCTCTTTGTTCCCCTGCTGTGCCTCGTTGTCTGGTGTTTTCTCCAAGGTCCCATGGCCTTGATTGCTAACACACGGCGACTTGTTTCCTTTGGTGCCCGGGCCTTGGCTGAGTGGACACTGAATTATCTTGAGGGCCAACCGCAAATTGCACGTGTGCAGTTTGTGGCCGAGGAAGATCCAACTTTGTACCACGAGTTGGATTTTCTGATCGCCGGCGCGATGGATATTCAGGACGAAACTCTTGCTTGGGTCTTGGCCGCGAACAGTCGTCTCGACTTCGTGTCTCACGTGTTCGTTCTCCCTCACTCTGGGGGTATCTGGGTTCACCGGATCTCTGTGGGGGGTGAGCAGGCACGGGACAAGAAGTCGACCTGCGATACCACCAAGACGTACGATGGCACACTGTTGCTCTGTCAGCATCCCTGGAACGCACCTGAGATGGATGATGCACCCGAACATGAGGATGCCTCGCCTTCGGGTGGGGCTCTGAGTGCGAACGGTGCGGATATCGAAGGTAGCGGTCCCCCCGGGAACGCACCTGAGATGAATGCACCCGAGCATGACGATGCCTCGCCTTCGGGTGGGGCTCAGAGTGTGACCGGTGCGGAAATCGAAGGTGACGGTTCCCCCCAGGTGAGGAAGAGAAGGAACCGACCGTCGCAAGCGAAGAGACGTCGCTACAAAGAGAGCTTACTCCAGGCGAGCGCGAAGGAACTTGAACAGGCGGTTCCCAGGCCTACTGTTCCAGCCTCTTCCGCTCGGGGTACACCTCTCGCGGCGTCTTCGAGCTCGACGCCTTTACCGGCTTCGGCTCCGGTTCTTCCTGCTCCTCTGACAGAGCAGTAGCTGCACAGTGGTCCTCTTTCTCCGGCTCCCTTGCCCATCGAAGTGGGCATTGATCCTCCTGAAGACTGTGGTACGGGTTCGCAAGATAGCGGCGCTCCTACACAGCGGTCCAACCGCCGTCATCGTAATCGAGGGCCAAAACTCTAGATGCGTTGATGGTGTGTTGGACCTGTATCAGTGAACTGGATGGCTGGTTGGGACAATCTAGAAGGATCACTTCTCTTCGGAGGGTTGTTTGGTCTTTCTGGGGCGTCCCACAGTCATCTCAGTTTGCTGATACAAGCTGTGTAGGTAGAGCCCGTCTCATGCGTCCTCGGAAGCTTTCTGATGGTGGCTGAGTCCGGAGATTGAGGTACTGGACAGCACTGACAAGTACACAGTACGCTGCCGGCCCAAGACAACAACTACAACAACTACAACCTGTCAACCCCTTCGAGGCCGGATGGAAGCGAAGAAGAACAACGGCTGATTGGGACAACCTACAAGTCCCACAGTCGTCTCCGCTGAGTAGAGGCTCACGCTTCTACAAAATGCGTCGAAATCTTTATTGGGGTACTGCCCATGTAAGTCAATTCATTGTTCCCCTTAAGACAACAGCACTGACGAGTTTACAGGCCGGGCTCCCATTCCCCCCTTAAAAAAAAAAAAAAAAACAAGAGAACGACCTCGTTCAGGGCTGGTCTGTGATCAACATCTGTCACACCCAATTTGTCGGCGATTCCACCTTCCAAACAACCTCTTGTCACTTGTGGACGACAGTACGACACCCACCCCGCTGGTTTGAGCACACCTTACAGCTCCTTACCCTTGTGGTCATCTTCACCAGCTCGAGTCATCCAGCAGAGACACCTTCGCTTTGTCCAAGCTGAGCTTCCGGGGGACCTGGTTGGACAAAGCTCTCTCTTCTCTTGTCTTCTCTCTTCTATCTTCTCGCTCTCCTCTCTCTTATTGTCTATCTTGTCTTCTTCTCCTCTTCTCCTCTTCTCTTCTCCTCTTCTTCTCTTCTCCTCGTCTCCTCGTCTTCTCTTCTCCTCTTCTCTCTTCTCTCTCTTTTACTCCCTCTTTTACTCTATTCCTATGATGAGATGAGAACCCCTCCCGCCGGAAGGCACACGCTGATGTCTAAACCGGGTCTCAAGGAGTGGCTCTCCAGGCGCACATCTGTCCGAGGACCACGATACTCAGGACACTGTCTGCCTTCTGAGGATGTTCCTTTTCTTCCCCTTTTCTCTTTTCTTCTCTGTTCAATCTGCTCACTCCTTACTCCTCTCATCTATGTGCCTACTTCTTTGGCCTCGGCATCAGACAGACCTCGTTTGTCTTCGGCCTCTCATAAAAGATGCTTGGGCCGCTCATTCCTTCTCTTTATCGATGGGCACCTACTCATTCCTCGCCTGCTCACAGTGATGAGCACTGGCCCAATGAAAATTCTGACGGACATCCGTCCTTTCTTCCTTCTTAACTCCGCCTCGACGTTCATGATCCTCGTCGTTTTCCAAACATTGGATCGACATTCAAGCCTTCAGACCGCCACACAACATTCTTACCGGTCTGCGTCAATCGATTGCGGCTTCTGGGCTTTCGTCTCCATCAACAATCGTCCCACAAACCACCTTGGTAGGACATTATCATCCCCGGTATGAGCTCCTTTTGCTAACTGTTGGGGTTTCTACAGGGCTCGTGGCAGATCTCCCTTGATCTGTACACCTTACTTCATCCTTCCTTCCGTGAACGATTTTCCGGGCTGTCTAAAGCATGATGAGATTTAGGAGAAATATGGAGATACCTTTGTACATCTCTGGCATTCAGTGGAGTTGGATGCATTTTGTCATTTACTTCGATGATACCCTATAGCATATGGGGCTCTTGAGTTGGCTCTTTTGCTTCTATCGCTCTTCGGCTGTGTGAAGTTCATCCATTTCAGCCAGAACATGTACAAACACACCAATACAAAACATGTTCTTCCGTCACAGTTCATTCATTTAGCATTGGAAGTAGCTGATATGGAAGATGAGTGGCGATGACACAGGTTGATGGGTACGCGAAGCAAAGAAATCAATAGTAGTCAAAGGCAGAGCAAATTGTCTGCAGGAGAAACCTAGTCTGTATTCTCGAACCAAGCATCACCTGCGATAACATGTGTACATGTGCCTTCTAGGGTCGTAAGTATCGTGAATCACCACTGCACGCTGATCTGTCCGGGTCACAGCAGGCGTCTGAGCTGTCCGAGATTTCAAGTGTGACAAGGAGCAACCTAACTATCTTACAGATCGACTACTACTGAGAAGATATCTCCTCGAGTGTATGGCAATTCCTTTCCGAATAACCATGAATCTGTCTTGATTTCTACCAATATGTCAGGTCCGACACAGAGTTGCCCATCTGGCAAACTACATGACGATGCATTTCCCCCTGCGCTTCCGACCACGTTCTTTGATAGTATGATCATTCCAATCCTGAATACGCCGTCTCCATTCCTCATTCTGCGGTGGCGGCAAGGTAGTAGGCTCAGTGGAGACTCGCCGGCGGAAAGACCGCTGTCTCTCCGGTATCTCGTGCTCTTCGTCTGCTGCAGTACCCTGCTCATCCTCATATGGCTGTGGGATGTGGAGGAGATTCGGTGATGAAATGGAGTACGGAAAGTATGCATCGCCAAGTGCATCGCCCAGTGCCGAGTCCCTCAGATACGGAAGAGGCATGGTGTTGTTCTCTTGCTGAGTTTGTGCGGCTGGGTGTAAGGAGAAGGTAGGAGTGGCAATATGTGGGGGATATATATGGTTTGCGGAGGGGTCGTTCAGACCCAACTGCCCTTGAGTGAAGACGTCGTCGTCTCTGCCGATTGAGTCTCCCCTTCGCCGGGCGTCAGTCAAGGTGTCTGGTCTCGGTATCGTGGCTGATTGTGGGCGTGGACGGCCTAGCTGCTGTTGTGTGACGGGGTTGGTTTGCGCTCGGCTTAGCTGGGTACCAGATCCAATCGGGACGAGAAGCGTTCTCTGTAAATCGTCTGGCAAGGGTTCCTCTGTCTCGCGTTGATATGGGGGAGGGGGCGGTACCCAGTTGTCGGCATCACTTTCATGCGGGACGTGTCGGTGGTTGGGGGTATTGCGATAGCGTGGGTCATATCGACCACGAGTTGATGCAGCCGCAGTCGCAGCTCGGTGCAGGACTTCACTGGACCGAGGCTGTGTGTTGTCATATGGGAGGTCGGGGACCTCGCGTGAAGTCTCGTTTGGCGAGGTAGGGACTGTAAGGCTGTTGTTCCGGCGCATGTGGAATGGTAGGGCTCGGGATTCTCGGGTTGGTCGAAATGTTGTGGGATCGCCCCGATGGAGTCGTGTTCGCCTTCTCTCGAGCTCGACTTCCGTCGCCAAAGAGGAGTCCGGTTCCATGAGTATCTTGGGTTCCGTTTCTCCGACCTCGATATCAAGCTCGGTCGTCACACCGTTCATTGTGGAGCGCCGGAAGTCGAGAAGAAGGATTCGACCACCGTCAACTGGGATACCTTCTTCTCCGAAAATCTGGGGTCGAACACCACCCGGCGCTACCGCGACGAGTCTACGGTGGCTTCTTTCCGAAGTGGAACGAACCCAGTGGGCGGAGGTTAGCCCATGCATGTTAGTGATCCGTCGTCCTCGTATCAGGATCTTAGGCTGTTGGACGATTTTCTGAAGTTGCAATAAATTGTCGCGAGGTGGGGAACCTGCACCATGATGACCACCACCGATATTGTTGCCGCTAATTCCATTGTGAGCGCCCAAGCTAGGCACTCCATATATCCACACTTCTGAGTCTTGATATCCAAAAGCAGTGAGCTCTCCAGCATCATCCGTGGCGGGTCTCATGCATGGTCGCATTTCTCGTGACTCATTACCCAGAAATGGACTGGCGAAATAAACAATTCCCGCATTGTCGTTCAATGTGATTGCCCTGAACGCTGCCAATCGATTGTCATATCCCATCACCCACTGTTCATCGTTCTCCTCATGGCCAGCAATGAGGGAGGCGTGGGTGACTTGACAGTTAATCGTTTCGGGAAACAGAATTTGTGTTGTCCACATGCGCATTTCAAGATCCTCGGGCGAAGCATCCGTCCCAGTCTCGGTATAGAAAGGAGGGGTGATAGTAACGACATCTTCGGCTGCAAATCCAAGAAGCATTGCTCCGTCTGCTGAGAATGACAGTGCATCGACACGAATACAGCGCACTGCCCGGCGATGGGTTGGCAAGGCCGTTTCGCCCACAGCGTATACCTCAATGCTGTCCTCAAAGGCCAGTGCTAGTACACTACCCGCTGGAGAGAATTGAATATCCCTTGGAGCATCGTTCAGCGTGATAACTTGGATATGCTTGGCATCGTCGGCAGATAACTGGTAAATATGAACCCGATGTGTGGAAGACAAGACGGCGACCAGAGAGCCATCGTCGCGGATTGCCACTCCCAATGGCCGCCTTCGAGTCTTGAGCTCGTGTTTGACAACGACCGGGTCAGTGGCGACGTCGAGAATAACAATGCGAGAAGAGGTGATGCATAGAACCAGTCGACCATTGGCTGAAAATGAGAATCGAAAGACCTCACCCTGTGGGAAGGCCGTAGATGAGCTCATAGAGCTTGAAATAAGCCGCACAAGCGTTTGACGCGGCCGTAAGAATGCATCAAAGGCATTCTGTCTGACCTCCTTCAGGAATTGGTGCTTGAGTTTAGTCAGGTCTTCTGCCTCGGAGATAACCTGGTGAGTCCAAGAGATAGAAGGACAGCGCGCCAACTGGTGAGCATATAACGCCGCGGAATCGGAAATATGCTTCCATCTTTGATTCAACAAAGACAGAGAAGCAAATGTGTTGGCATCAGCAGCATAAAGGATGCTATTGAATCGGTAAGAATCGCAGCCTACGACTGCAAAGTCACGTATCGGACACAGTGCGACTCCTGCACAAGGCGTGGACTTACTGCTCGATCACGTTGACTGGTAGCCGGTCAAAGCACGTGGCGGGCGCGGGAGAGCCAACATTCAGGAACTCGAAAGAGTCCTCAGATAAGGAGGTCTCCTCCATGATCACCGTCTGTCTACATACAAAGAGATAGACACATCGCGGACATTGTTGAAAAGAATGGGGGCTTGTGGCTGTGCGATTCTTAGCTCCATGAGGCAATGCGGGACACCTCGCAGCAATGAATCGACTGATGCCGATCGCCTGCCTGCATTGTCCACGCCAAGTTCGATAAAAATAGATATAGTTTCAGCCTGAGGCAGAGAAATCAACAGACACGGTGAGTCAGCATTGGCACGTGCAGTGAGTCAGCGTTCCCCACACCCGGGGCGGGCGGTCGGCAGTTTCCATTCGATAAGAGAATGAGATCTTCTCCAGAGCGATGGATATCTGGAGAGAGATTCGCGATGCAAGATGATCTGCCTCTATAACTAACCGAGTCTGGACACACCTCCCCAGCCATTGAGGATCGTTTAACAGATCTCCTCACTCGTTCCCCTCTATTGCAGGCCGAGTCCTCGTACCCCTCACTACAGTCCGGCCGCTGATCGCCCGTCTCCGAAACCACCCCGACCAAAACCTCCGAATCGCCATTTTCTTGTTCTGCAGGACTGCTCACCAGTCCGGACTTATTTAGGGCATACATCATGTCGCCTGCACCAGTCCAAGTCAATCCTTCCTCCAAACTCCCATCCCCCGGTTTCAACGCCGGTGCCCGACCCTATCGATCTCACAAGGTCCGCGCCTGTGATTTGTGTCGCAAGCGCAAGTCCCGATGTACTGTGGACATTCCCGGTCAATCATGCTTGCTATGTCGTGTGCAAGGGGCCGATTGCCACTACCAAGAAGAGGGTAACATGGAAGCTGCAATCATGAGTGCCCCGGAGTCGAAATCCTGGCCGGCTCCTCTAGCTGTGGATGCTGCGTCGGGACAAAAGCGCAAGCGTAGTCCCGATGACCTTTCCCGCATAACCCAAAATGGGCCAGCACGGCAGCCGCCGAACGGGCCTAGCCCTCACGGAACGAATTCGTCGAGTGGTCGTCGAGGAAGTGATTCCCGTCGGAGAGATACGGAGGATCCCCAAAACGAGTCAGTGCTCATCGTCGGCCCTATGGTTGCGGAGGATGCGCAGGTCATTGAGAAACACATGCCCCCGGAACGGACGAGCTTATCGGAAGAGCCCAAGAGTCACCCGTACAACATCTACTCGAGCGATCCGCGCAAACCAGTTCTCTACACCACAATCTCACGGCGAAGGAAGGGTATGCGGAAAGGAACTCCTCCTGGTGAGAATCAGAAAGAGGTCCTTGAGCAAATCCTGGGGCCTTTCAAGCATGATCTAGTGAGACTGTACGTTGTCGTCTATCCTCCGTGATTTTACCCTGCTAATCCTTGCTGAAAACTTTCTAGCTTCATTGACCGTTTCAATGTCTCTTTTCCTATATTTGACGGCGAATCGTTCTGGGAATCATATATCACTGAGGACCTGCACGACCCTCCAGCAGCACTTGTGTGCCAAGTATATTCCATGTCCCTTGTATATTGGAAACACACGCCGAAGCTTGCATGTCATCCGAAGCCTGACGTTCGATACGCGGTCAACATGACCGTTGCTGCATTACATGAGGAGTTCTCAGCCCCCGGATTGGATACAATCAGCGCTGCCCTAATTGACCTAACTGGACGACCGATTTTCTCCATGACTGGCAACGCTGTCAGTTGCGGCCGCATGTTATCATTAGCCAATTGTCTTGGTCTAAATCGTGACCCCAGCAACTGGAAGCTATCCCAGTCCGAGAAGAACCAACGCATTCGTCTGTGGTGGGGAGTTGTAATTCACGATCGTTGGTAAGAATAATTGCCCTTTCTCTTCAGGATTATCACAAACTGACCATTAACAGGGGGAGTTTTGGTCACGGTGTGCCGCCCCAGATATCTAAAAATCAATATGATGTACCTCTACCCACGGTGGATGTACTAGTTCCACCAGACCTGCGCACTACGGAGCGTGTGAGGGCAGCACACTGCCACATCTACCTCTGTCGATTGACAGAAATTTTGGGTGAACTCTTGCCGCTGGTCTACGGCTTACAACATAAGCCTGCACGCGAGACATCCAAGAAGCTCAGACAAATCCGGAACGATCTCGATATATGGGAAGACTACCTACCGGACTGGTTGAGAGGACCCACAATCCATACCGCTGAACGTATATACGGAGCGAGCAGCCTGCAGTTGGCTTTTCTAGCTGTGAAAATGCTTGTCAGCCGAGTTGAACTAAATGTAAGTAGGCATTCACATCGTCAAGAAAAAGCAGATGCTAACACACGCCGCAGGAAGTGAACAATGCCGAGACAGAAAATCTCGAGGCCCGCCGTTATTTCCAAACCGAATGCAGAAGGTCAGCAGAGGAGATCGTTGCATTCATCATTTCCTTGCGAAAGGATAATTTCAAGGAGTTTTGGCTACCCTGTAAGTTGGAGAAATCACCCCTACACCTTTGCTCTTCTAATAAAGGTTACAGACAGCGCCTTCCATCTCACATCGACGGCCACACTATTGGTCCGCTGTGCCTTTGAAACGACCGACAGCGACGTTGCACGATCGTGTCTCGCGAACGTCGAAACCCTTCGCACGGTGTTGCGTCGTGTCCGGGAAGAAGAAGATTGGGATGTAGCGGACATGTGTCTCGATCACTGCGAGCGCATCATGCACCGGCTTCCTGGAACTGGTGCCTCGATGGACCAGCCATTCACAACGTCCATGGTAGACAATGGGCTGGTCAACCCGGCCGCGATATCGCTACCTGAGACTCAGACTAACAATGATATCGTCGACGACATGATGTCAATCTCTAATACTTTTGGGACGATGGATGGTTTCCCCTTCGACATGACAGGAATATGGGACGTCTCGGTCTTCCAAGATGTGAACCTGACTTAACAAGGTGATTTACTCGACCATATATAGACATGTACTTTAATACTTCTATTCTGATTCAACATTATACCCTGGGACCCTACATCCCAACGACCTCCAACAACTTGCAGGAATGAATGTACACATCAATCTCAGTCTTTTTCATATTAAAACTTGTGACTAAAATTTTGTACATATGGAATACCACCAAAAGCTATTTTACACTCGTTCATTATGTTTCAAAACGAACGCTCCAGTAACCATCTAATGACCAGCCCAGGAAAGAAAAGACTCATGCGTCAAACGATTACTGCTCCTTGGAGCCGCCAAGACCGAACATTCCAGTGAAGGAACCCTTCATATTCTGCATCTGCTCCTGGCGGGCCTTCTCCTCCTCGGCAGCCATCTCAGCGAGCCACTTCTCGCCGTTGGCGCGGATCTCTGCGTCAACCATCTCGTAGTTCTTCTGGCCACGCTCTCGAATCTGATCCCAGAGCATCTTGCCCTGAGCCAGACCCTCGGAGGGTGATTGCTCGCCGTTCAAGGTGCTGGTGGACTTCAAGCCAAGTGCGGCGGCGAAGTTGCCCAGGCCGCGAGAGGGCTTCTTCTTCTGTTCCTCGGCGAGTTCCTTCTCGAACCGCTCACGCATGGCCTTCTCGCGCTTGGCGAATTCGACAGGGATGTTAGTGCCATCAAACGACTTCAGCACGGTGCGCACGTCTTCAACGCCCATGCCAGCGAGGTATTCCAGGAAGGGAATGAGAGCCACCAGTGTCTTATCCTTCGGGTCACCGGTCCATTTATCCAGGATGATGGCGTTCTCGGGCTGGTGGCGGGCGTGCTCCTCCTTGGTGTCGATGAGGATGACCTTGGACAAGTCACGGTTCAGGTATTGCAGATCCTAAACATATGCAAATTAGATTTGAATCGATCTAGAAGAAACACATATCACATACCTTGATGTACTCTCCATCCTTGTAGCGAGTAGCCTCGCGGAACAAGGGCCAGCGGATGATGCGGTAAGGATCCAATTTGCGGAGGACCTGGTCGGCCATCATGCTGGGCACGCTGGTGAACAGGACGAGCTCATAGTACTGGTTCAGGTAGCGGAGGAAGTAATCGACACCAGGCCGCTTAGCAACCCGCCATCCGTGCTCGCGGCTCCACTCGCTGTGAACGAGCAGGTCCTCGAGACTGAGCACCAGGGTGTATGGCTGACGCATCTCAGCGTCCTCATCCGGAAGCAGCTTGGGGAAAGCAGGGTCCTTGTAGTAGCTGGTGAGGTCATCCATACGAGCCTTCATGCGGCTGTACCAGAGACCCGGGCTCCATCCTGATGGGGTCTCAGTGTGAGCCCGCTCCTCTTCTTCAGTCTCCCAGTTGCGGCCCAAGTAGGCCATACCGGAAACACCAGCAAGCAGCATAGCTGCGTACATTATGTTGGCGACGCGGGCCTTGCGGCGGTCGTGAGAGGTTTCATATCCGCCCTTGGGGATATCACCACCCCCTCGCCCTTCATCGCTGTACTCTTCTGACTGAGTAGGGTCTTCTGTGAGGTTCAAGGGGCCCTTCTTCATGCGACCTTCCAATTCAGCGGCCAGTGTCGAAGGAATACCTTGTGTGAGATCGGGGAGAGGCGTCTGGGGTTGTTCGGCCTAAGGATAACAGTCAGATGGATGCCACAAGCCCTACATCAAGGAGGTTATCTCACAGGATCGGAAGGTTTTGTTTCAGGGTCAGCTTTTGTGTCAAACTCGGGTTGCTCGGCGGCAAAATCCTTGGGAGAGTCCTTGGGGGTCTCCTGGGGGGCTGCTTTGGGAGCCTTCGGCTTGTTGGGTTTGGTCGACTTCGACCTATGCTGGATACCCGGGGAAAGCTTGTAGGCAGTGTACGAGGGCCGCACTGATAGGGCCGATGCCCGGAAGGCAGAGGCTAGGACGTTTGGCCTCGTCAGAGGTAGAACTGCACGACTAAGCATTGTGATTTATGTATATGACGAACAAAGTGTGAATGATGCAGCAAGTCGACCAGACTTAAAAGTCGGCGCAATGCGGTACGGCGGTGTACTCGAACCACGTGCGCATATCGTTTATATTCACGACAGCTTCGAGACCTCTTCTCTTTTCTTTTTCCTTCTTCAGAAAGTTCACCCAGACAATTTGACCTATCGAGCTTAATTTCTCTTCTGCATGACAGGTTGTATTAGCTGGGGAGACCAAAGAAGATCTTCTTCATTCCCACTACCAAGAGCGCCGCAAAGGTTTTTCCAGTGAAGCTGCGCTCCGATTGTGGGATACAATTCTCTCTTTTCTCTAGTTTCTGTCTGTCCTTTCTTTCTACCATCTTACAACCAGCAATATGATTTCAATGTCCAAACTTAGACTCGCCCGTACCTCATAGAATACGCCTGCAAATATCTCAATCATGGGGTTCAAAAAGAAGATGCTCCAGTTCGAAGAGCAACTCTCCGACGTCGACTCCGAACCAGAACTTGAGCCTCCGACTTTACAGCAATTTCGATTCCTTGAGCTTCCATCCGAAATTCGCCTACAAGTTTACCATTATGTTCTATTCACACCAACCCGCAAGAGTGCCTTGAAGCGCACCGGCAATGTCGGATCCTCGGCCAAGAAGAGCAAGCCTCTGGCACCAGCCTCACATCGCGTCGCCCTATTCCTTGTCTCGAAGCGAATCCACGACGAAGCCACCCATTACTTCTATTCAACCCAAACATTCCGCGTGTTCCCGGTTCAGGACTTCTTGCGCATGCCCACCATCCGCGCTTTGCCTCGACGCCACCGCCATTCGATCACCACAATTGAATTGATCGTAGGATCAAGCTGGACGGCACCGCCAAAGTCATGGGTGGTAAACCAGGGTTTGGGTTTACACGACATGGAGCTGGTGCGCACCTTAAAGGTCTTTGTACAGTGTGACCCGTCCCATCCTGTTTTCGAGGGCTTCAGGATCTCGAAGGATTTCTATACCGACTTCTGTGGCAAATTGCTAAAGCAGATCCTGGAACGACTACCGGGTCTCTGTTGGGTCGAATTCGATGCTTGGCCCTCCGTAGAGAGAAACGGACCTTTGATGGCTCGCTTGCTTGCGGAAACCCGGCATGCCCAGAAAAAGGTCCTTTGGGGCCCTGAAAGAGGCTGGTCCGACAGTCACGATGAAACACATGAAACACATGAACCACATGAGAAACATGACCTTAATGACGCAGACGCTGCCTTGGATGGCCTGCGGGCCTATCCCCCGGATGTTGTTGAGGCTTTGAGCAACTCCCTCCAGACGGTCAGGTTGGAGTCATAGCCCGTCCATACTCATATTTATGAATTTACATACATCGCGCGGCGCATAGATTACAAGAATTATCTACATGGAACCTTAGAACAATAGCACCAATTCCATGATAAATATGTGGTGCTCGTCACATCAATGTTTGAAGATTTCGTTTCGCATACTAATCGGGAAGTCCAGTGATATAAATCTTAAACCATCAGTAGAGAAACATGAAGTATGTGATTGAGATACTTTCTAGTCCTCTAAAGATCTTCGTCGACTTCCATGGCGGCACCATTCGTGTCTTGTTTGGATGATTGCCGTGCCACAGAAGCTTCCTTGTCAATCATCTGCCGCGAGACGGCAACGATGTTATCCTCGATCAACTGTTGACTTACGTCCTCGATGTCTGTGATTGCGTCAGTCATTGTCTGGTTTTGGCGGAAACAAAGGGAAAACTTACGCTTCTTGGGATCAAGCTTGCCAACATATCTCGTCTTCAACTGATCCTTGCTGAGCTCTGTTTCTTCCTTGATCCGCTTCTCATAGCCCTCCGCGAGGAGAACAAGCTGCTTCATTTGTTCCACGTTGTGCTGACCCTCCTCGTGGAAGTCCTTCATCTCCAAGGCCTCCGTCCATACGTGCTTGTGAAGGTTCATCAACATGTTTTCTTCCAATCCGGTCTTGCGGTAATCAATCCCAATGCTATAGTAGTGGCGGTTAAGGCCATGGATCAGAGCCTGGATTGAAGGCTTGTTGAGATGGCCCAAGTTCGATGTAGTCTGACGAGGTTCTTGGCCCATGACGACAGTCTGAGGTTGGATGAGACGGAAGGCGTCAATGACGACCTTACCCTTCACTGACTGGATAGGATCGACAACGACGGCAACGGCACGCGGTGTGAGCTGTTCGAAAGATTGTTGGGTGTTGATATCGACCGAGGAGAGCCAGCAGCCGAAACCGGGGTGGGAGTGGTACCAGCCAACGACAGTTTCTGGCCTAAATGGACATACCATTATATGTTAGCATGGGTCTTGTGTTTGCATTGGCTGATCAAGCCTACCGTCCTGTCTGCCGGAGCATCTCCATCATTCTGGTTTGGAACACGGGATCCACAGCCTCAACACTGACACCAGTACCGCTCTGGGGCATAGCGAAGACATCCACTACCCGAACTGTGTATTCATCAACGAACTCGCCCAGCATCAGGCCCATGACCTCCATCGGGACACCTGCGCGGCCATGTCGTAGCATCTTCAGTAGTGCCAAGGAAGAGATGTGGACAGTTTCGGAGTTATCAATCAGGTTTGGGGTATCCTAAGCATAGCTTCATTAGTACATTGAAAGTAAATGCTTGGATTCCAAAGCTAGAGCGTTGTCATTGCTTTATCGCAACAAGGAGCCTTGACGGAGCCGGTATGGGGTTGCTTCCAACTTACACCACCTGGAGCGCCTCCGCCTGCTCCAATCCCCATGGACTGCGCGGCCTGGAGCATCCGATTAAGGCGATCCATAGTTCAGTGATATTCGGTGAGATGTGATGGAGCGAAGAGATGAAGAGGGAGCAGCTATCTAGAAGCTCCCGGGCAGTGTATTGTCTCTAACAATTCAGTGTTGCCGGATCAATGTTCAAATCAGGGCAGGGAAATAGCAAAGTGTCCGGATGGGAAGCGATATTAGCATGGGGATAAGGAAGTTGTCGGACGTGTAACTGGAGCCGTGGAAGCTTTGCCTGACGAAGGCGGTGAAGGGGGCCGGTCGGCCTCCGCTCCTACGCGATTGATTCCCTCTCCCCATTCATTCAATTCTCGGAAGTCTGAACAATAAGAACAATGACACTGGCTTGCTATTGTGATTGATTCTGGTACTTATTCGCAGTGTGGGTCTATTCAAAATAGGTGCCATTCACTGCTTATTGCCGCCTAGGTTTGGGGGTATAAGTACATGCATTGCGCCTGCGATCACTTTCTACTTTCTCTCTTCATACCCCATTCCCCGAATCCCAGTCACTTTGAACTAGGTCTTCTTTTTCTCTCACTCTTGTGAAAGTTATCGGTTCAAAATGGCTTTGGAACCGATTTCTGACCGGATCCTTGGATCCAAGAACAAGAAAGTCGCCTACTTCTACGACTCTGATGTGGGCAACTATGCCTATGTCTCGGGCCACCCCATGAAGCCTCATCGCATTCGCATGACCCACAGCTTGGTGATGAACTATGGGCTCTACAAGAAAATGGAGATTTATGTGAGTCAGATGTTTAGACTTCTCGCTTGGAACATTGCTCTAACCTACAAATCCAGCGCGCGAAACCTGCCTCCAAGTATGAGATGACCCAGTTCCACACAGACGAGTATATCGACTTCTTGTCCAAGGTCACGCCAGACAACATGGATCAATTTGCAAAAGAACAAAGCCGCTACAACGTCGGTGACGACTGTCCCGTATTCGACGGCCTTTTCGAGTTCTGCGGGATCAGCGCGGGAGGCAGCATGGAAGGCGCGGCACGACTGAACCGTAACAAATGCGATATCGCTGTCAACTGGGCTGGTGGTCTTCACCACGCCAAGAAGAGCGAAGCAAGTGGTTTCTGCTATGTCAATGGTATGATAAACCTTGCTCTTTCGAAATCAAGGGCCAAAGGACTAACCTCTTACAGATATTGTCCTCGGAATCCTCGAGCTTCTGCGCTTCAAACAGCGAGTCCTTTACGTTGATATCGATGTCCACCATGGCGATGGTGTTGAGGAAGCTTTCTACACGACTGATCGCGTCATGACTTGCTCCTTCCATAAATACGGCGAGTACTTCCCCGGTACCGGTGAGCTCCGTGATATCGGTGTTGGACAAGGCAAAAACTACGCAGTCAACTTCCCTCTCCGCGATGGAATCACAGATGTCACCTACAAGAGCATTTTCGAACCCGTCATCCGGAGCGTGATGGAGTGGTACCGCCCTGAAGCTGTCGTCCTCCAGTGTGGTGGTGACAGTTTGTCCGGAGATCGCTTGGGCTGCTTCAATCTGAGCATGCGTGGACACGCCAACTGTGTCAATTTTGTCAAGAGCTTCGATTTGCCCACCTTGGTTCTTGGGGGTGGTGGTTACACCATGCGCAACGTTGCACGTACCTGGTCTTATGAAACCGGTGTCCTTGTCGGAGAGTCTCTGGAACCTGAGCTTCCATACAACGACTACTATGAGGTAAGAGCCTCCCGCAAATGGAGACGAACTAGTGCTAACTTTGACACAAGTACTTCGCTCCCGACTACCAGCTTGATGTCCGCCCTTCCAACATGGACAACGCCAATACCAAAGAATATCTGGACAAGATTCGCGCGCAAGTCATCGAAAATCTTAAGCGTACTGCGTTCGCCCCGTCAGTTCAGATGACGGATGTGCCTCGGAATCCCATGCTGGATGGCATGGACGACGAGGCTGACGATATTATGGATGACCTTGATGAGGATGAGAACAAAGACAAGCGCTTCACTCAGCGACGATTCGACCAACGCACAGAGAAGGCTGGTGAGCTCAGTGATAGTGAGGATGAAGACGAAAATTCCGCGAACGGTGTTCGTCGCCAGCCAGGCGCCGCTCGCCGCCGGAATCAAACGAACCACCGCAACCTTGAGCCGGAATCTGGGATGGACAGTGCTATCGCAACTCCGCGAAACGCATCATCTGCCGCAGAAGGGGAAACGGATACCGCCGTTGATGCCGCGATGGCTGATGCACCACGCACCGAGCCCGAAGCGCCTTCCGTCGCTCCGGAAGCTTCGCGCGCCGGTGAAACCCCTATGACTGATGCCAATCAGATGGCCGTGGAAACCGAGGACCAGAAGCCTCCCGTCATCCCTCAGTCGGAACTCCCCGCTCGTGATGAAGATACCACCATGGAGGATGCGGAACCCACTGCCTCAGAACAGATTCAAGCCCCGGCGGTAACTGGTGAGGATAAATCTCTCGTCGAGAGCTCGGTTGCATCTCCTCTGAAACATCAGTCACCTTCTAACGAGGCTACCGGTCCTACTACTGGGGAAGGAGCCGAAGCCTCTGCGCCTGCCGCGGAACCTGAGGCACCAGTAACCAAGGAAGAGGGCCCGGAATACACAGAGCCCAAGAAGGAGTAATGGGACTGTTTTTACAAACAAGACACTATCGGATCTGGCGCAATGGACAATGGCAGAAAGGTGTTATCGGTTTTAACAGCGTGCTTGCATCTTGCTTGGCACTGGGAAGGACGGCATTACTCGTGGCGGATGGCAAGCATTGTGAATTCGCCTCGAGATGGATTGCTAACTTTCCAATCTATTCTTACTTCCATATTCATTTTTATGCTTTATGCTTCTTTTTCCTGTGTTCTTACTTTTGAAATGAATTATTCTATGGAAATCCACGAGGTCAACATGTAAACAATGCGCTAGAAGTGGTAATACGATTGAGAGTCAATGCCTGAGGCAGAACATCTCAGTGCTATTCCCAATCGGGTTAGAGTTAGGGCAAAGTCGATGGGTCCAGACAGCCAATCACCAGACAACGCCAAGATTTTACGCACTTTGCCCACTAAGCGAGAAAGCACACCTCCAGTTTGGATCCTCGACGTTCGACCTCTTGTCGCCAACCCTTTTCACCCAACTTAGTCCCCGTGATACCTAGCCATCATGTCTAAGAGAGGGTGAGTCCTACACCGATGCCCTCCGTCTCCCATTCGAATCCGACCGATACAGAATTCTCGAAGGACAAAACGCCATCAGCTTTGTGTCGGGAGGATAGAATGGGGCTCGGAGAAGATCAACAAATCGACAGAAGAACGAAGTTAGCTAACGTGTGAATAGTCGTGGCGGTGCCGCCGGCAACAAGCTCAAGATGACTCTCGGTCTGCCTGTGTACGTCTACCAATTCCTTTACCGTTTAGTCTGTTTCCCTCGAAAATGCGCCTTCTTGCCCGCCGGATTCTGTTTCCAATCGATCAACGATCTCAAATGAACACACAATACCCACCGACAATTATACCACAAAGATCGAATACGAAAAGAACGAAGAACGGCGGCGGAAGAAGGAAAGCAAATTTGGGGAAACAGCATGCGAAAAATAAAAAGTTATGCCGACGTCTAGAACAACCTCACTAACGGATCCGTTTCGTCGAACAGTGGCGCCGTGATGAACTGCTGCGACAACTCCGGTGCTCGCAACCTGTACATCATCTCCGTCAAGGGTATCGGTGCCCGCCTGAACCGTCTCCCCGCTGCCGGTGTCGGAGACATGGTCATGGCCACCGTCAAGAAGGGAAAGCCCGAGCTCCGCAAGAAGGTCATGCCCGCTGTTGTCGTCCGCCAGAGCAAGCCCTGGCGCCGCCCCGACGGTATCTACCTGTACTTCGAGGACAACGCAGGTGTTATCGTCAACGCCAAGGGTGAGATGAAGGGTTCCGCCATTACCGGTCCCGTCGGAAAGGAAGCTGCTGAGCTCTGGCCCGTACGTTTTTCCCCTGCCCTGCTTTTTCGAAAGGAAATTCTTTATTCCTATGTGAACATCTGATACTGACTGTTTTTTTTTTAGCGTATTGCCTCCAACTCCGGTGTCGTCATGTAAAGAGAGAAAATCCCGAATTTTAAAGAAAAAGAACGATACCAAACATCAAATCTGCTTGGGACCTGGAATGCGGTGCATATGAGACCATAGGATTAAAATGCGAGCTGGACATTTGGTGTCCTTTTGACGAAATCCAACTGTTTTTTATTTATAAAGCCGGTCTTATCCTACGTGTTACTGCTCCCTCCCCTTTGCTGACGATCGAAAGTATCACTATTAAACTGCCGTGGCCTTCTGCGTCTTGTCTTAGGGCTGGCTGCCTGGCTTAAGGCTTTAGGCAAGCTTGTATGGGAGGGGACTTGGTCCTGTTTGGTCGTTCTTTGTCCAAATTATGAACTCTGATATGACCACCGAATGACTCGATGTAGACTCGTAGTTGATCCTATCCAGCTGTATCTCTGCATGGCTGTTCCTCACGTCATCCATTGTACAAAGTAGTTCTATGTCTCACGACCACCGGACACCTACTTATGTGTTTCCATCTGGGATCATGAACTATCTCCAATACAATATCTGTGATATGTTCGAGGTGCATCCATGCAACCGCTTGATGTACAATGCCATTAATATAACAAAAACGCAAATACACAAATCATTTCTTCTGTACAACCTGGCTCTTGTCTGTCTGGGCCATACTCGCAGCTGGCTTCGACCAAACACCGACCAAGAACGAAAGCATCGCCACGACCAGCGTCACCAGGACAAGAACATGAACCGCCCACCAGATATGCTGGACACCAGCCGGACACATAGTAATCTCATAGCTCCATTCGCCAGCTCCTTGATCAAACCACGCCGAAAGTAGACCAGCGTTTCCACCGAATTCGCCCATCATCGAGCGCAGCGTCACCTCCCTTATAGAGGGTTCCTCAATATGCCGGCTATCGAAGCGCTTCGCATCCCATTTCCAGCCTTTCTCATCCTCCTCGTCACCTGCAGTGCGGTTGACATAATGAACAACGTCACAACCAGTGTGATCATGGCCTGTAAGAATAAGCCCATTCCGACCCTGACCACCAGCAACCGCGTTCTCATTCCCACTCAGCCCAAAGACACCCTGCAGGATGCCACTTGCGCTGAGCGCATCGCTGAGGTGGTTCTGTTCCTTGAGACCACCTTCAAGCCAACGGGGTACACCATCTGGCCCGGCCTCGTCGTCCAAGTCGTGGAATGAGAAGAATGGCCCGTCAGTGCATATCCCTTCTTCCTTGTGCATGGGCAGATGTGTCAGAAGTAGCGTAAACGCCGACCGGTCCTCGACCGGCGCGAGCCGCTCAGCGATCAACTCATTCAAATACGCATACGTCTGGCTCTGGATCTCGGAAGAAAGCACAGGCGTATCAAACATGAGCGAATTGAGGTTAATCAGATGCAAAGTGGGCACAACAACCCCAGACGCAGACGGAGATTCGACGGCCGGATGCTCGAAGCGTATATCCCAATTCGCACGCCCAAATACACGCTCGAACCGCTCCATCCGCGCCTCGCTGATATCACCCGCATACCCGATGTCATGGTTTCCCGCCACATTGATCAACCGCCGAGCCCATGTCCCGTCTCCGCGCAAGGGTTCCGTGGGCGGCATCTTGTCTTCGGCGCTTTGGCTGAAGCCGGCTACACCGGTACGGGTGATGGTATCGTCGACGCGCTCCGCGCCGCGGAAGACACGGTTCCAGTAGCGGTGTCCGCGCGTGGCGAACTCGTCGTCTGAGATCCATTGGCTGCCGACTAGGTCGCCGAGGACGGTTGTGTGGGTCGGCCGGGTCCACAAGAATAGGGTGCGGTAGATGTGGGCGAGGTAGTAGTCGTTTCCGAAGAGGTCTAGGCGTTTCACGGCTGAGTTGAAGGAGCGCGGGATATCTTCTGTTGCGAGGGTCTGGAGGCTTGTTGTTATTGTTGAGAGGACTTCGGTGTTTAGCAGTGTGGTGCTGTTGCTGATTGAGTCCTGGACGGTGCGCCAGTGGTGTTGGAGACGGGGGTATAAGTCATATTCGGGGAAGGGGAGGGAGGTGTCGCCCTCTAGTTGGGGGTCGGCGAGGACGAGGAGTCTGAAGATGGCGGGTTCAGGGCCCTCTGTAGTTGGGATGTTTAGGTGTTGAAGGAGTGTGTTGATCACCGCATTGGTTCCTGGGGACTGCTTCGTGTTTGACTGGGTGTCAGGTGGGAGAGGAAAGGCGCATCCTTTGAAGACTGGGTAGAGATAGAGGTAAACAGTGGCGGTCACTGCCAGGGGAAGAAGGAGCGCAAGGAGGCGGGAGAGCAGCCCGCGGAGGAACATGTGGATCAATCTATAATGACAGGAAGGGGTATGTTATAAAGACATGTACAGCATGTTGACGATGTGGAAAGGAGAAAAGTGCGGACCGCTAATCGATAACGACGGGAGGTGATACTATGCCCGGGGTCGCCTATGCCCGATTGGGGGGTACAAGATCTACACGTACCTAAAATCTAAAGAGAACAATCAAAGTCAACAGGGTCTAGGTCGTTAGCTATTGATACTATCTCTATCAGGAGAAATGATCAAGCTATGCGGGGTACCTGCTAAGTAGTGGGAGGTACATGCACTCGTGGTGAACACTAGTAGTTATATACTTGCAACTACGATGGATGTACGGTGCAGCGACAGGCAATGAAAGAACTGTTATATAAATTATATCTACAGGTCCGAGCTATTAGTATAAAGCACGCGTAGTCAACTTCGTGTCCATAAGCCAAATACTCCCTAAATCCCCCGCGAAACGTACCTGCAATGACGAGCGCGAGTCAACAAAGGGAAGAAGTTTGAGCGAGGGGTATATCACATAGAACGCCAGCAAAGCGAAACAAACATAAAGCAAGAGACATAAATGGCCAAAGAAGCTCTTCAAAACAATTAAAGCAAGATCCAAGGGTATGATCACTTAGATTCTGTCTTCGCCAAAGGATCCGGAAGCAGCGCCGCATGGAAATCTCCAGGAAGATTGGATACAGGCCGTTCCTGCTCCTCGTCTTCATTGTCGTTCAAATCGCTGTTAGTGTCGTCAAATGAGTTGGCAATGTAAGCCGGTGGAAGGTTCAGGCCATCGATTTGGAGACCCGAATCTTCTTCTTCCTCATCGATAGTCTGCTCGGTCTTGGTGTTGCCCGAAGCAGGAGTCAGATCTGGCGGCCGCTGGTTCATCAGGCGGGCTTGCTTCAAGCTGATGGTCTTTTGCTTGTTGGTAGACTCCACTGCTTGGCCCAGATCACGTTCGATGGTCGCTTTCATCAATGCGCCCATCCACAGACGACCCTGCTGGACATTGTCAACCTGGAAGTAGTGAGTGGCGGGCTTGGTGAACTGGACGGCGCGCGAGTTCTTCGGGGGCACAAGCTTGAAGAAGAACGGTCCACTGCCGTCCTTGCTCGTGAGCGACTGAATGACCGAGGGAGTGGTGAGCTTGTGGCTACCAGAGCCTTCGGCGGTATTGTTGGCATTGGCGGGCAGTGCAGTTGAACCGGTGATGGTTGCGTGCAAAGCGATAATGGGGTCTTGGTCCGCTCGCAGAACCCGGTGAGCAGTAATATCGATCAAGCCTCTCTCTTCAGTGTCATCCTCGGAGTAGTAATAGGACAAGCGACGACCCCGCAGGACAAACAAACGCGGTTTCCAGGTGGTCATCAAGTTGGAGGATCTCTTTTTCATCCATCCACTATAATCACAGCCTTCCATCTGCTCTGCGGGTGTCTTCTTCTCAAGGCCCCGGGTATACGCACTGGTTTCCTTCTTGGACTTGACGGTTCGAGGACGAACCACAAATCCTTGTTTGTCGAAGGCAGCCTTGCCGGATCCATCTGTGCTGTGCCTCTCCGAGCTCTTCGATGTCGCCGATGGAGTGGTAGACCCGGTGCGAGCAGAGGTGGGATCTGAATCCCGCGGCGAATCAGGCGCAGAAGTCTCTGGCTTCTTCCCAACGACGTCGGAAATGGCTCGAAGACCCATGGCTCGGCGAAACTTGGGCCCAGCGTTCTTCAGTGGCTGGAATTGCAACGGCGCCGCTCTAGCAGAAGGGCCTTCCAAATCCTTACTGCCGCCCACCCGAGAGAAATTGGCGAAGAACCCACCACTACCCTTGCTGTCGCTGGTTGAGGACTGAGGGTTGCTCCCAGCTCTGTCCGACGACAGGCGCGTGCTCAAGCTCCGCAGACGACTTTTCGGGGGTGTGCTGTGGTAGGCTTGAGCCGCGGGAGACACATGCTTTGCTGCCTCGCGGATCGAGTCAACACTGCCGATGCGAGACTGGCGCTTCGCTGGCGATATCACTCTATATTGGTCGTCTGCATAGCTCGACTTTCGCGAGTGATTGTTCATGCTGCCGGCGGCGGCGGACGCCCGTTTCTGGAGATGTCGGCGGGTTCGGCGCGAGTCAACCTCGGTCCCGGAGAAGTAGCCCCGATCCAGGTCATCAATCTGATCCGGGGTGCTTTGATAGGAATTGGTGTACGAATCAGACTCAGCCGTTAGCGGTCCACCCCGGAAGCCAGAAGTAGTGCCCATCGAGGTTCCTGGGCGGGCAGGCATGGTTTGTGGGCCGGAATTTAGAGTCCAGGACCGGTCAAATGAGGGATTCTTGTGATGATGGCCGTTGAAAACCGTATCTGACATGCCGCGTTGGGTTGCGTCAATAGATGAATGACGGCGCGTGTGATTAAGTTCACGGATCGAGGCCGCGGACATTCTCCTTGATGGATCATTGTTAAACGGAGGGGTGTGTGGTGTCATGGGCGAGCTATTGTTGCTGGCGAGCCGTGGGTGCTGTACAGGTGCAGAGGCCCGAGGGTACCCAGCGCCGGTCTTGTCTGACAAGGTCGGAATCCGAGGAAGCAGTGGACCGGTGTGTCCAGCGCGGGACGTTGCGCGGTCTTCGGAAGGCGAAGGACCCGAGAAACCGGAGGAGATGGAACCTCTCGCGCCTGGGTACTGACCGAAGCCTTTGGTGTCTTCTTGGAAGGCCTTGATCTTGTGCCAAGTTTTGAGCCGCTTGCCCATGACTCCAAAGTCGAATTCTTTCATAAAAATGAAATCCTGGTCCATGTCAAGCAGCACATCGCCAGTGATTTCTTGTTCTTCGAAGATGTCGCAATGTTTCGGCTCGATACCGAGCCCGCGCAGGCATCTTGAAGTCTGTGCTTGATCCCAGCCCCGCACCTCCTGCTCCGTTGGGTGATTCTGCTCCTCGTCATCCGTCTCATGGCCGTTGATATAGGAAGCCCTATGACCGATATGACTGCTGTATTCGCTACCCGAATCGTTGATCGTTCTAGGCTCTTGAGTCGAGACGCTATGACGCGGAGTGTTCATATCCGTGATGTGTTCATCGATCACGCTCAACGTCTCGTTCATGACCGGACTGTCCTCGCCGTTTATGTGGTCGCCAATGGGACCCCGGAACGCTTGCTGGATTTCGGCTGCCAGGCTGGGTCGAGGCAATGGAGAAGACGCAGATCGTTGTTGCGCGGGAGAACTGAACTGTGGCGACTGCATATCGGCAGTGCTAGCGTGGCGCGATGCTTGAGGGGTGCTCTGTCCACTTCCAATTGATGCAAACGCCGACTCCCCGGGCACGGGAGATTCCACTTGTGTCGGCGATTCCACCAAGACGGGTGACTCTGCAAGGGCTTTCGGCGGGGCTCCAATTCTGGTAAAATCTGTTGCGCACACATATTAGCCAGTGGGAATGGGCGGGAAGGACGATAGGACGGCGCGCATACTCGCAGGGAAGAGACCTGTCTGTCCCGTCCTCAAGTTCTTTCCCAAGTACCACGCATCTCCAAATCCTTCATCCAACTCCACCAATTCGATCTTATCGCGTGGTAACATGATCAACTCGTCTTCGCCGCGACCGCCAAATTCATCTGGGGAGTGTTAGAGGCGCATTGCAAAGCGGGGGAGTCGGAATATCGGGCTGTCGCACACGACGTCACTTACGAAGAACCTCCAGAATGTCGCCTGGACGAACACCCTGTGGTGGGCCCATGGTAACCATCTCTCAATAGAACCGAGTTTGCGATGGAAGTTCAAAGATTCAAGAAGGCGCAAGACATAGGGCGCAATCGCCCTTTCGGGAGAAAGCGATGCGCAAATTGCAGATTGCAATTTTGCAGAAATTCTCTCGGGGGATGAAGAGAGCAATGTGGTTCCACGAGAAAGGGGAGAGAATGTCGAAAGGAATCTAGAGAAGATTAGAAAGAGATTAGGTTAGCCAACTCGCGGGGCTCGGGAGCACGTACTTCGATCCGAGGTCGAGCTTTGTTTCTTTTTTCTTTATTTTCTTTGAGGTGACAATGGAGATTGAATATCTTATGCGCAGGGTATGGTCGTACGATCTATCATTCCTGGTTCCAAAGCGAAGATGTGTCAGATTCCAGTACTTTGGTTGTGGAATGAGATGTTGGAGGGTCACACACAGACTGTACAGGTTAGAGTTTGAATGGGTTGAGTGGTGTTATTCTTAAGGAAGTGTAGAAAGAAGGAGAGAAGAGAGTGACGTGTAAGGTCGTAAGAGTCTGGACACTGGTAACCGTGGTTGAGATTGTGAAGTCGAGCGGCTGAAGGGGGGGAAGGTGGCACAGGATATGAGTTAAGAGGACAAATCGATTTGATTTAGGAAAGAGAGGTCGACTAGTTAACCTCACTAGATCAGAAGGAACGAGAGATCTATTAACTTACTCCGTCACTACTCGTAAGCTCTCTTAATTTCTCATGCACCCGTCATGCGATGAACCCGGTCATTCTTGCCCAAGCTACCCGATCTACCACTCCGTATGTAGATGGTCAAATAAATAGGAGATTGCAGAGATAGAATGGGATCTTGGTGTAGTTATTATTACTGTGTATATACTATGCCTTTATCTAGTTATAGAACATATTAGCTAGTCACTCATTGTGAGTCTGAACACCAGCCCCATTGATGACCCCGTGAAGGAGAGTTCTGGTCCCCTCCAGTATCTGCATCCCTTTAGACTCCCAACGTTCCTTCCTTATCCTCCCCATCTTCTCCTTCCTCTTCTTCTGTTCTTCTGCCTCGCTCTTTCCTTTCTATTTCAAAATCTATACCTAACATGGTGTCTAAGCGCTAACTGAAGATCTCTTTGTTTGCATCTTGGCAAACATAGCTACACCTTATAAAAAGGGACCGGAATACTTGCTTACCTACAAAATATCCCATTCTACACAATGGTACTCAGGTACTCAGTGTCATTGGAATCATGGTGTCACCAAACCTCATCGACCTGGTGCTTATCATATGGAAGAATCCAACACCACGGCTCATTTATTTCTAGGCGGCGTGCGGAGGGACTGGATGGGCCGGCACACAGATGGCCCGCACGCCGGAACTATTCCACGAGTTAATCGTCAAGCTCGGGCCCCAACTTCTTCCCTTCCTCAGTCTACTTTAATGTCCACCGTCACGTCGGGTGAAAATCCCCGAACTCAACATGATTCAGGCCCTGCAATTCACCCGGCAAAATCTGCGACCCCAGCGACAGGGCTTCCCTCACCCGTTCCCACAGATCCTGAACCGATTCCCTTGAGCACCGATGCAATAGTCGCCAATATCCCCTCTACACTGCCGCCAAACCCAGCCCAGAGTACGGCGCAGCGAGGAGATGATAAACGGATGGCGATACAATCCCCTTCGAACGGGTCCACGATGGAACAACCTATGGCCCAAAGCACTCTACCGGTAGCCAACCGGTCTCAGACAAACTCGCCTTTGGACAGAGGTCTCATGGAACAAAGAGTCTCGGGCCAAACTGAACAGCAGCTGCAGGGCGATGCGCCCGCACCCATTTCCGATGAGATCTGGGAGCTATGGGCTGCCCAAATGGATCTTTTGACAAATAATCTGCAAGCAGAGGGAGCCCTGTCTCCTGTGAACCCAACGGCAAACAATATTGTCCAGCCTCGGATTGACTTGTTACGCCAGGCCCTCAATCACAAAGACTCATTCTATTTGGTGGTGCATCAGTTGTACTGTGAATATAGTACCGATCCTAATAGAGTCGACCTATCAGGCACACAAAACCTCGTGCCTCTTTTGGAAGACAACAGGAAAATGCATCCTGCTGCCACGATTTCATTTGCAAATTTCCCATCGGCACCATATAATCTGATGCAACAGCCATGGTATCATCTGGTGCTGAGCAAAATAGATCCGTTTCTAGCACGGCTTGCTACTAGCTGGAGAGATTTCTGGGTCGGGGCCACGCATCCACCATTGGTGACGGAACTTTGGTCGAAGCTACAATTACCATCTCCGATATTGATGACTGTGATGTTCATGTTTGTTTCCCGGCGCCTTCATGATGAGGCTTATATCAAACCCCTGATGAAGCTGTTTTGGCGGGATTATGAGTTATGCAAAAGGTTTATTGATGCTGGAGTGCCATGCGGTCCGGAACTGGAACCTTCGAATCGCTGGTTGATCACCGTGTATCGCAAGTATCCACGCCTACCTACTAGTCAGTCTCAGTCTCCACGTCTGCCTGATCTGGCAAACGCCAGGACTGATCAGACCCAACCCTCATTCTCTCCTAGCACTTCCCATCTAAGGCCTCAAATTGCTCAGACGACGCATCGGAATGCCGGAGCGACGATGCCGCGTCGTCTTGGATCTGCTACCAACACACATACCGCACCTGTCCGAAGGTCAGCTGGTAGACCCTACGCTGGGTACTTTAGCTCAAATCCGCCCCAGGGTCAGGTCACGGGTGCTGTTGGTTTGTCACCGGAATATGGTCCCGTGAACGCTGCCCGAATGCAGAACTCCTATCCTTACTATGTCCATTTTCCACAAGGTCAAGGACAACCACAAGGCCAAGGATACTGGCTTCAGATGCATGACCCTCAAGTGCAGATGATAGCACTGGGACAGGCGCCTCCTTCGCAGATGTGTCAAAGTCCGCAGATGCCACAGGGACAGCGACTGCAGCCCCCAAATGCCACAACACCGACAGTGCCCACTCATCTTGTCCTGCAATCGAACACTGTCTCTTCAACACACTCGCCCCAGTCACCGGCACTCCTGTCCGCCATCCGCACCATATCCACCCCCACCGCCCAACAATCACTACCACCACGACCTCCTCATGATCAACACATCCGACAACATTCGCCTACTTCAAACGCACATTTCCCATCAAACCTACATACGCCACCTTCAGAGACACCGACCTTACAAAAAGTGTCCAACTCACTGTTGCTTCCGCCACCAGGCCACCGAGCACCAATGACCGTGAATGCGAATCCACTGCGGATAGGTCTACACGTGGCTGATCTTCGCGATCCGATAAAAAGAGTTGTGAGGGAAGACTCAAAAGGGAGTGAAATTGAGACTGGCTTGTGGGCCTACGCCGACTCTTTTCTTGTACAGCCAACCGTTATCGATCCTGGCCAGGCTAAATACACCTGGACCTTCTCTCTCACACCAGATGAGCGCCAAAGATTTCCAATGATCGTTCAGGGAACACGGGGCCGGCGTTCAGTTTGGACTTTCAAGCCCGGCTGCCGGCATTATCGCTTGCGAAGCCTTCGTGTTCCTGACAACCCAGATACTGTAACGGAGCGGTCGTGGTATTTGGCGAGCACCGTCTGGCCCAGTGTCTTGTACGTGTTTGTGAACAACAAAGAGCTCTACGTGCGCCGAAAAGTTCACAACGAAAAGGATCTTCCTCTGGACCTCACTGAGCACCTCCAAAGCGGTGAGAACACCTTAGAGGTTCATTTTCTCTTGGGCCCGGACGAGTGCAACAACACCAAGTATGTCTTCGGAGTGGAAGTCCTGCAGATCGATGAGTTCGACAATATCCTCAGCCAAGTCCAATCCATTCCAGCGGCCGATTCTCGCGCAGCTATCCAAAAGCGTCTCTCCCCAATCACCGATGACGACGACCTGGCCGTTGTCACCGACAACATCACAATCGGCCTAGTTGACCCATTCATGGCTCGCATCTTCGATGTCCCCGTTCGGTCTCGGAAATGTGAGCACCACGAATGCTTCGACCGCGACACTTTCATTCGAACCCGCATATCCGTATCCGGTCAGGCACCATTATACGATAACTGGCGGTGCCCGATTTGCAAAGCAGATGCACGCCCGCGTTTTTTGGTCGTCGATGAGTTCCTCGCTGAAGTGCACGCCGAGCTCGCCCGTACAAATCGACTCGACACAGCTACCGCGATTCGGTTCAAAGCTGATGGAACATGGACTCTGAGGGTCGACACTGACGAGGCCTCCGGCTCTAACCCCTTGAAGCGAAAGGCTGATGACTCCGGCGACCCTGCAGCCCCTAATGCATTGCGCCCCAAGAGTGAAACAATCAGCGCTAGCCCCGCGGTTCGCAGCCAAGAACCCGAGATCATTGAATTGGACTAAAATGCTCGATGATGGGCACTGGTCTACGAAAGTTTCATGCATTTCGTTACTCTAATGAGTCTGTCCTTCCAGTATCTCACATTTATTTTTTGCATGCATTTGGAAAGAGATACCCCTATTGCGCGCTTTTCAAATGCTTTGTTTTGCTTATTCTGTCATTACTGGCGTTTCGGGAACTGTTTGAAACGGCGATGACCTGGGATGTCTCTACTATGTATTCCTGGCGGCTTTGTGATAGGTACAAGAGTATCCATACTAAAAAAAGTCTTCTGCCATGGTGTAATGGCTGCTTATCCCTAAGTACCTGTATCTACTACATCTCTTGACCCAACGTCAAAATCTACACAAGCACAGTCTCTGGTGTCAACATTAGATTATACAGCATATATTATATTGGGCATTTAGATATAGTACACCAAGTGCCGGGAAGTAAGGAAGAGACTACTTTCTGACTCTCCGAACATGACTGACGAGGTTCTCAATGACACCCTCGAAAGCCTCCTTTTCACCAACAAGCCCATCCCGCCGCTTAAGCCAGTGCTCCAACACAAAGCTAGCGCGCTGCGCAGCCTGTTCCAATTCCTGGACATGCAGCTTCAACTCTGCATCCGTGAGACCGCTCAGCGCGGCATCTGTAGTGGCGCACAGTCGCCGGACCGCAGAAAGGTCTATTTCCGGTGCCGGCGGCGCGCCACGACGAGACGTAGTCTTGTGGCGGGAGGTAGCTTGTCCCTTGTCGGCGTTGGCGTTGTCGCCTTCCTCTTTGCGGGCTTGGCTGCCAGAGCGGGCGCCGGGGCTTTTGGCGCCGGTGCCTTCAAGGTCGATCGAGGGGAGGATGAGCTTTTTCTGTTTGGAGGCTGGGAGGATCTCGTCCAGATCAACGGGCACGCCTAGGGATACGAGGAAGAGCCGGCGAATGCGGGATTTCACCCAGTTTTGGGGTTGGAGGGGCGGTGGTGCGACGAGCTGGGACCAGAGGGAGAGGGAGCGGTCGGTGCTAAAGATTGCGGAGGAGTCTGGGATTGGCTCGAGGGCTGGGAGAGAGCTTAGGTCTTGGGTTGCGGGGAAGAGGGTGTTGAGGGTGTCCTGGAGGGAATCGATGAGTTCGGAGGTGGATTTGAAGGTGTCGAAGTCGGTGAGAGGTGGAGGGGGCGCATGGGTTTGCTGTGGTGTCGCGGTTCCGTCTGGGAAAGGTTCCTCTGCACTGGGCTCTTGGAAGCCGTCGTCGAAGTCCCCGAAGTCATCGTCTTCCATGTCTTCTTGTTCTTCTACAAATTCGTCAAAATCATCCCCTCCCGCTTGTTGAGTTTCGTGTCCGTGGTCGTCATTCATGTCATTCTCCGATGAGAGGTCTTGGGGCTCCAGGTCTGTGCCGCTTATCGAGGTGTCCGGGACGGTTTCTACCGTATCGGGTAATGCGTCACTTGGTGAGCGTGTGTGAGCTTGCGGGTGCGGTGGCAGGTCTTCATCGGCGGGGTTTGATTCAACCCGCTCGAGACGAGTCTCTGGAATGTCTGGTGTAGACCCTTCGGTCTCAGGGGGCGTATGGTCGTATGCTGGGGGTGTTGGACTCCCGCCTTCGGAATCTGAAGCCTTCATCACCACATCAGGCACAGCGTCGGCGAGTCGTTTCTCATGTGCCAATGTGCCAGGGACTTCACCGTGGCTCGGTTCACCCGGGTCCACCTTCTCAACCACAGTGCGCGGGATGGGCGAGCTGTCGGGGTTTAAGGGTTGCTGGTCTTCTGAGCCCGCGGGGGAATGACCCCGGCTGTGTGACCCTTCTGGTACAATCTCAATCTCATCAGGAACTGCATCCTGCTCCCTCTTTTCAAATGCTGCTGTGCCGGGGACCTCGCCGTGTTGAGTGCTGCTGTCAACCCTCTCGACTCGAGTTCGTGGGACAGGGGAAGTGCGACCGGATGGTGGTTGTGAGTCGTGTGAGGGAATGCCCTCACTGGCATCTGAGAAATGTTCGTCGTCGCTTTCCGAGACTGTTGAAGACAGAGTCAATGGAATGATTCTTGAAATCGTATAGTAGTAGGGTTACTTACTGTGGTCACCAGCTCCTGGATCTTGTAGTTCTGTAGTCCTTCTGGGGGGCTCTAGATGCGAATTGGACGAATCGGACGGCCCCTCCGACATGATTGCAGCTTGTGTTCAGATTGTTAACATGAAAGAAAGGAGACCCAAAATTGAAGAAGTTAAAATACAACGGGGGGCCGTGTGTGTAGTGTGCAGTGACGACAGTTGCGATCGATGTGAGCCCAGAACATTGATTCCTTAGGCATCAATTATTGATATTCTGGCCAGGTTATTGAGGCACTAATTCTGCCTTGAATCCAAGGCGCCAAGGTTTTCCGCGCGCTGCGGGAACTCCTTCCAATTATTATTATCCCGATCTTTGGTCTCTGCCTTCGCCATTCCACCCAAGGCTCATCATCTCCTCCTTTTTTGAAGAGCTTCAGTAGCTTATTGTTGGATCCCCTGATCCATTCCGCAGGCTCACGTCCCTGCTCTGTGTCGTCTGGTGCACCTTGGTCCAGCTTTTTCGTCAAATCTTCCCCCAGCTCGGTCGACCACGCCAACTCAACACCATGCCATTCACCTTCGGTGCCCCAGCCTCCTCTGGAGGCGCCTCCAGTGGAAGTGCATTTGGAGCCGGCAATGCTTTTGGTGCTAACAAGGATAACAATGCGCCTAGCGGTGGCCTCTTCGGAAATGTGGGAGCTTCGACAACTAACACGCCGTTATTTGGAAACGCCACAAGTGGCACAAGCACTCCTAGCTTCGGCAATGCAGGCGCTGCCAATGGTGGTGCATCAAGCTTCAGCTTCGGCGGCAATGCTCAAGGCGGAAGTGGCACGCAGCCCAACTCACTCTTCAACAACCAAACTCCAAACAAGACCACCGAATCAACCACACCTGGTCAGACTGCCGGCGGCGGATTGTTTGGCCAAGGTAAACCAAATAGTTTGTTTGGCGGCGCGGCCCCGACGGCTACTCCTGCTCCCGCGGGAGGATCCATGTTTGGCAACAATTCCACCACCCCTGCTGGGCCCCCTCCGGCCTCCAACCCTCCCAACAGCCTCTTCGGAGCTGCGAAACCCGCTTCCTCGACTACCCCCTCAACCGCTGCGCCGTCGTCGACCCCACCCACCACCTCGCAGTCATCCAGCAACCTCTTTGGAGGTGGAGCTACAACCACGCCAGTGTTCGGAGGTGCCGCACCTGCTGCTACGCCCGCTGGCGGTCTTTTCAGTGGTGTGAACAAGCCAGCTGATTCTACCACTCCCGCGACTTCCGCAGGTACTACTGGCAACCCACTCTTCGGCGGCGCAGCTGGTGCGCAAAGCTCGCAGACGTCCTCTCTTTTCAACAAGCCTGCTGCCTCTGGTGGTGACTCCGCTACCAAGTCTCCTTTCCCATCTCTCGGCGCTCCTGCGTCTACTGCAGGCTCAACCCCTTCACTAGGGGCCCCCGCCACGTCGAGCGCTACTCCTCAAAAGTCCCTATTTCCTGCCACATCAACAACCGCTCCTTCAACTACTCCAGCCGCGGCTCCTACTGGAGGCCTGTTCGGGGCCTCTGCTCCCACAACCACTCCCGGTACAGCAGCCACTGCCGCGCCTACTACTACTGCGCCGGCTGCACCCGCAGGTGGTCTGTTCGGCCAGGCTGCTACTACCCCCTCAACCCAACCAGCGACCACTTCCAGTGCAGGTCTTGGTGGTCTCGGTACTAAGGCTACCACCGCTGGCCCGACTCCCGCCTCGACTGCCACCGCTGCAGGCACTACTGCTTCGGCTGGACCTTCTGCCCTTGGGCAGTCTACTACTGGTCCGGCTCCCCCAGCTCAGTCGCGTTTGAAGAACAAGACCATGGATGAGATCATTACCCGATGGGCCACGGATCTCGGTAAATATCAGAAGGACTTCCGTGAACAGGCGGAGAAGGTTTCCGAGTGGGACCGTTTGCTAGTGGACAATGGTACAAAGGTTCAGAAGCTGTACGGCAGCACTGTCGATGCGGACCGGGCTACCCAAGAGGTGGAGCGCCAGTTGGCAGCAGTGGAGGGTCAACAAGATGAGCTCAGCTCATGGCTGGATCGATACGAGCGTGAAGTTGACGAGATGGTCACCAAGCAGGTGGGCCCTGGAGACTCCCTCCAGGGACCTGACCAGGAGCGTGAGGCAACGTGAGTACCCATTATCAACACTTACAGGATCTTTCATGAAGCTAACAGGGTTATTTAGTTACAAATTGGCTGAGAAGCTCTCCGAGCGTTTGGACGAGATGGGCAAGGATCTTACCAGCATGATCGAAGAGGTCAACGGTGCCTCATCCACATTGACCAAGACCAACAAGGCAGACGAGCCGGTATGTTCCAAATCAGTATCAGTTCGACATTTTCAGAGCTCTTTACTCACGATTCTCCACAGATCTCGCAGATTGTCCGCATTCTCAACTCGCACCTGTCGCAGCTGCAGGTCATCGACATGGGTACCTCCGAGCTACAAGCTAAGCTCGACGCTGCCCAACAGGCAGGCCAATCGATCTCTGCTCGTCTCGGATATGGCTATCCCAACACTGGTGCAGGCAATGACAGCGCCAGTGATGATTTCTACCGGTCATTCATGCAAGGGCGGTAAACGGTTTTGGTTTCTTTAATGATTTGAACTTGGAGTTATCGGCTACTTGGCACCTCGATGTGCTTTGGGGAATGTTCTGTAGTCAGGAAATGTAATAGTCGGTCACAATACTTGCATCCGCTTTGTGATTACTTTCTTTCGTAGGACTCAATGCAAGAGGATCGGGTCGTCTGCTCGCTAATGATAGTTACACTGTTTATGTAGCTTCTGTCGCCATTTGCTGAAATAGAATGCCCAGACTAAGATTCCAGCATGTCCATGATTTCGCGATGCTTCTTCGCAATCTTCTTCTTCATCTGCCAGTGTTTTAGGTGTATTTGTGACGGCGATTCTCCCTTCTTATTCTTGATCGAACGGTCAGCACCCGCTTCGAGTAGCAGTCTGATAACCACTGGATCGTCTCCCTTCGCTGCCTCGTGCAGCGGCGTATAGCCTTCGTCATCCATCAGCTGAACATTAGCCCCTCTCCGCAACAACATTTTCATCTGCTCCAAACAAGCACAGGTACGAGAAAGACGACGATGGTTATACCGTATAACTTCATGGAGTGGTGTCCGGCCCGCCCACGTTCTCTCATCCGGGTCGGCACCATGCAAAAGCAACAACTCGGCCATCTTCCAATACTCTTTTTCGATCACACGATGCAACGGCGAGATATTAGACCCATTGACCCTATTGGCATCTGCACGTCGCTTCAGCAAGAGAGATGTTATGGGGTGTTCCTTCAAACGCGCGGACGGATTACCCTCCCACCCCACCGCCCGAGTCAACGGCGTAAACCCCACAGAAGACAGGGCATCAATAATCTTGCTAACGCGTTTTTGTCGCGTTGGGTGTCTTGGTGCTCTGCTATCAATAGTAGGAGCTCGTTGGGTAATGCGAGGAGAGTCATGGCTGGATAGATGTCGGGGATTAGGGATAATGCCGGGTTAAACGATTGAAGGTTACTGTGTCGACCACAGTATGTTTATGGATCTGAAGTTGTCGTGGACATGGATTTGGAAGGAATGTCCATGGACCCGCTTTATTTATGTGGAGACGGCAGACGGCCAGTGGACGACGTTTTTGTACCTGGTATGTTGGCAGCATTACTGTGTACTACACAGTAGGTGATTGTCTCGGATCAACTGAAGAATTTCTAGAGCAATCAACATTCAAGACCGACTAACAGCTACGAACGTCCAGCACACTACACTAATGCCGAGTCTACTCAATATTACCCCCGAACGGACTACTGAGTTCATGCACAAAGTCATTGGAATGATTATATGCTACCGCGGAGATGTCTTATTTAAGATGCTGAAAACGAAACAATCCCAAGCGGATATGGCGGCTCGCTAGAGAGAAGATGGTATTGTACACAGCAGCTGAAGTAACTCTTGGCGTCAAAGCATGGAGGAATGGCCTGATTCACTGGATCTACTTGCGGCTCAAGCCATCGCTAAAGAAGAAGCCAGTCAGTACGCTGTTCACAACGGAAAATAAGATTGAAGAATCAACAATTGCACTCACATGTGGTTCTCCAGCTCCTCCAAGTGCTTGCGCTGCTGGACGATCGACTTCTTAAGCTGGGCAAGCCTGCCAATCGATTAGCTCCTGCTCCATCGTGATCATTCAACCGTGCCAAACTTACTTCTCAAGTTCCTTCTCGCGGATATAAAGGCTCTCCTGAGCAGCCTCGCGCTTGGTGAATGCGTCACTAGCGAAACAACGAATGTTAGTGATCGTACGATGATGCCATCATCCAACTGCGGCAAGGCAGACAGGAAGCTATCTGCTGGGTGCTTTTGAGCATCACGCAGTAAGCTCCGCAGTCAACGTGCGTCTAACTTACCCGCCAGAGGCACCACCACCGCCAGAGCGGGGAGCACCGGTGTCACCTTCGCCCATACGAGGAACGGCGACGGAGAAAGAACGGCTGAAGACTGCCCGGTTGGCAGTAGCAGCAGGACGGACAAATTGGCGAAGCATGTTGATGGTTTGGGGTGGTTTATGGATGTGTGGTAGAGGTTGGGAGGTTACAAAGCACAAAGTTTAGGTACGAGGAGTGCCAGTTTACCCAATGACGTGACGTTACCTGCCAAGAAACATCACATGATGGTGGGACACTGAGCAAACAGAACAAACAGAGGGCCAAAACAGGCTTATGTCAGATTTTGGTCATGTGAACGTAAATTTCTGCACTGAAGCGATTAGTTGCAGGCTTCTTATTCGACTCCGTTTTAGAGGTGCTGGACGCTGGTAGTTGTTGTACATTGGTAGTTTAAGTGCATGCTGTGTACTTGTAAGAAAAGATGTGTATGTCCAGGTAGTTAGGGACTTAGGGTACAGATCCTCGATCACGGGGGTCATCCTTCTGTCCGTGCACTCAGATGACTTGTGGTCATGATAGTTGGCATAGTCCTGATACGATAATCTTCCACCACCTCATCCAAAGTACAAGAGATTGGCGTTTGTGATGTCTAATGAGGCGCAAGTAAGGACCCCCAGTCTATTGGGTGCGGATCGGGGAATGACGCTGGAGGAGGCCCACCGAACCACACAGAATCGACAAGAGATTTGTGTATAGAAGAGGGGGGAAGTTGTTGATCTATGGACTGTTGTTGTCGTTGACTATATAAAAAGAAGAGGATTCAAAGGATTAAAGATGTAAATCGTACGAATGACCCTCATAAATCCCAACTCATAACATAAAAATCCAGCTAGCAGAAGTGGGTTGTTCTGTTCAGCCTTGGAGGTAAATCCCAACAACACCGCCTTCTGCCCCCCCCCCCTCCTTTCCTCCTGCCTCCTCTCTCAAGTTCTCAACTCCCTACTCTTCCACTTCATCCATTCTCCATCCATCTCTCGATTCCTTATAACCTTTTTCTCCTCCTTTACAAACCAGGTCAGTATTATCTTGTTGTTCTCCTGTTAAATTCTGCCTTCTTCTGGCCCTGTTTCTGTGCCCCCGGTCATCACCGCAAAACCCACACACATCAACAATGAGTCGTCGAAAGAGCGATACCTGAAAATCCACACCTTCCCTCAAATCCCATCGCATCACGATTATATGGCGAAGGACGTCCTATTCCCTCGTTGTTTATCCGCTGAACCGTTGCCGCAATCGCTGTCCTGCGATGCCCCCCTCAGCTCCACACGGGAAGACCAGGCCCTGTGGTAGCCAGGATTGTCAAGATCGGCGACATGGATGAAGACCCCAGTCTTTGGCCTCAATGATGGCCCAGAGATTCTATAATGTGATGCTTATCGGCAAACAATGGACCCTACCCCGTATACTTCAAGAGGGGACGGCATGCCATCTACCCCTCGCCATCGCCTTTTTACACTGTTCCCGATGGCGTGATTACCTGCAGCCATTTCAATTACAACCACACCGAAAACAAAGCTCAAGCGGGATTTTAGCTAACATAAATTTTGATTGTAGACAACACACTTTCATCATGGGTCACGAAGACGCTGTTTACCTCGCCAAGCTCGCTGAGCAGGCTGAGCGCTATGAGGGTTAGTCCACTCAATTCTCGTTAGGCCAGTTTTGTGCAGATTGACTGACAATCCACAGAGATGGTCGAGAACATGAAGGTTGTCGCCTCTGCCGATGTTGAGCTCACCGTTGAGGAGCGCAATCTCCTGTCCGTCGCCTACAAGAACGTCATTGGTGCCCGCCGTGCCTCTTGGAGAATCGTCACCTCGATCGAGCAGAAGGAGGAGTCCAAGGGCAACGAGTCCCAGGTCACTTTGATCAAGGAGTACCGCCAGAAGATTGAGGCCGAGCTTGCCAAGATCTGCGACGACATTCTCGAGGTTCTGGACCAGCACCTTATTAAGTCTGCCCAGAGTGGCGAGTCTAAGGTCTTCTACCACAAGATGAAGGGTGACTACCACCGTTACCTTGCCGAGTTCGCCATTGGCGACCGTCGCAAGGGTGCTGCCGACTTCTCCCTGGAGGCCTACAAGGCTGCCACCGAGATTGCCTCCACCGACCTTGCCCCTACTCACCCCATCCGTCTCGGACTTGCCCTCAACTTCTCCGTCTTCTACTACGAAATCCTGAACTCCCCCGACCAGGCCTGCCATCTCGCCAAGCTTGCCTTTGATGATGCCATTGCTGGTAAGTCATAGCCCGGTGCATTAATTGTGCATTTGAAGCCCGAGGCTAACAATCGTCTGCAGAGCTCGACACCCTGAGCGAGGAGAGCTACAAGGACTCCACTCTCATCATGCAGCTCCTCCGCGACAACCTGGTAAGTGTTCATCCATATTCCAATGGAAGATTTTCATGCGCTAACGTTGTATCTCCCACTAGACCCTCTGGACCTCTTCCGAGGCTGAGCCCAGCTCCGAGAGCGCCGCCCCCGCCGAGAAGAAGGAGGAGGAGGCTCCTGCCGCCGAGGCCGAGAAGCCTGCTGCCGAGTAAATGATTAACACCTAAAAAGACCTTGTCGACGGACTCGCGTCCTCAGGACGGGTGGGTCAACCGAGGAAAAGAGCGCGCACGACTGGTCTTATACTGCAAGGACATAGACTTGAGACGAAGAAGGATGGACAATGACATGCATTGGCCAGATTGTTGGATTAAAGTATTGCGGGACTCGCAAGGGTTGACGCGAGAAATCCTCTTGACATTTGGGCTTGGATGCTCTTTGGGCCAGCTTTGCTTCGAATTCTTCTTGATTGCTTTACTTGCTTTTGGTCCGGTGTTTGTGTTCTCTGCCTAGGGGAATATCTATCCTGTCTTCTCTTTTCGTTTTTTCATTCTCCTTGTTATTTTGTCTACTTTGCCTCTTAACTACCCAAAGAGTCCCCTTGCGCGCACTCTCCCAGCCCAACACACATACACACAGAAGTTTTTTTCCAAACTAGTTCCTTATAAGGACTTCCAGGGTTTTATTGGCCCCTCCCTGACTTGGCTTTTCGCTTTCCCTATATCTCCGTATCTGTGCCATATGGCGTTTGATTAGCGCTAGATGTGGTTTCAAAGACTGCCTCGTACACATTTTCTGGTGATCCATAACCAGTAATGCACTCTACGAAGTAAGCCTAGGAACTAACTTAGCACGTGGAATTGCCCTTTCATAGAGCTTTATATTGCTGATTATGTCTCCAAGTAACGTCTAGGTAGATGTCCGACTATTCCATAAGCTACAGACACCCAAGAGGTCCCGTCGGCGCCATACCTACCTATTTCCGTGTTATCATGTGCCTACCTACCGAATATATACATCCAGGCTCAGGGCCACAAGATCCGTGAAAGGCACAGTGTCGGGCTATGACCATTGACCACCCGCTTCACACACAGCTAGCAACCACCTAGATCCATAGGTACCCAGCCTAGCCAGCACGACAATAGCCGTACCGAATTGATCTAAGCACCACAGATGGATCCTCTATAATCCACACTTAAATCTACTGTAACTAGCTAACTAGTTAGTTAGGTAGTGACAATCCATTTAGTTAGGTCTTGAAACAAGACCCAATTCAATCATCACATGATAACTAAACCAAAGGAGGATAGCCTTATGTTCGAAAAAATGTGGTTCGTGGGGGAGTATGCATAACTCACAAACCCCTGTCACTGCGGGAAATGATATCGGTGGCTGATTTGGTGGACACTTGTCGGGGATACCCGCAGTGGCTGTCGGTGTCGGTGTCGCGGGGTTTGGTCGGGTTGTATTGGCGTGTCGGTCATACTCCGTAGTAATTAGACATGTACAGAGCCTTGGGGGTTTTCAGGGTGAGCCATTGCTGAGTGAGAGGTGGTGCAATGGTGAAATTTGGTAAGTTTTGTGTCAAATTGTCGTATTGCAGGAGGGTGTTGGAGAAGAGTCTTGTATCTAGATGTAATCATGAGATTGATTGTTTTGTACGGAGTACCCGTGGAGGTATGGATCTACAGGAATAGTACAGGAATAGTACAGGAATAGTACAGGAATAGGCTTGATTGAAATGATTTCCATTGCTGCTATGGTTAGAACCACAATGCTACCAGCCATGCGGGCTCGATAAAAAGGGGTATGAGGACAATAAAGGGAAAAGGGAAAAGAGACTTGAGACATGCACGCTCTTGGGTATGGCAAGTGCAAGAAGCAAGAAGAAGTATAAATAGAAGATACAATCGAACCGCTGGAAACTAGACATCACCAGCGATGTCTTGGGTATCCATCGTGAAGATCAGCCAGTCCTGGCGGACGATCAAAGAAGAGAAAGAAAACAAGAAAACAAGTCAGATGCAGATGTACAGAAAGCCTCTCAAACTGTCGAGAAGGCATATGAGGAAAGATGAAGAAGAGAAATGGACTGCTCCAGTAGACCCCTAAGATGCTTTCCACTTTCTGCGCCGTTCTGCTGTGACCATGACCGTCACCATGCAATGCCCATGACGAAGAAACATTTCAGTGTGGCTCCAGCAAGAGCCATTCAATCAAATCGAATCTAGTCCCAGTCCCCGAAACGCCCAAGGTGCTATGCATCGAAAGACAAAAAAAGGATAAGGGCGAAAAAAGTACAAGTCAACCATGTGGTCACAGTCGCCACAGGAAAAAGAAAACGCCGTATGAAAAAAAGGAGGGAAGAGAAAACCAGGATGCCCAATAATATCGACAGGGTTGAAGAGAGGCAGGATGAAAGGCTGCAGAAGAGGATGACCGTCGCACACCGCATTTGGGGCACCGGAGATCAGATGCCAAGAGTCAGGTGGCAACTCAATCTGACGGTCAGATATGCGATGATGTCACAAACGGTCCCTGGAATCTTGCCCCTTGAGTTAATGATTCGAAATCAGCCTCGCGACTTATTCAATGGTTCGATCCCGGTTGAACAGGGGCGCTTGTGGAGACAATGACATGGTGGCGTGTAAATCGAACTGTGATTTTCTTATTTGGCCACTCGAACCAGTCGGGTGGCAGATGTGATGTGTTGAGAATATAGCAATCGTAAGATTTCCTCCCCCTTTGGATAAATGCTGACACCATTGCTGGGAGAAATTTCGTATACAGCCGAAAAATGCGACTGTTGTATCTGATGAAACCGTGACATGCTGTTGTTGAGCATGCACTCATTGAGCGACCACATGGGAAATGTGCGATAGGAAGAAAAAATCTGTTGACCGGGTATATCGTCGTAGTGAAGAGAAAGCAAATCGAATGTCGGTCAAAGTTGGCGAACTGCATATAAAACCTTGCTGCAAAAAAACACCAGATGATCCCTCCCGATTGACGTTCACGGAATGAGATATCCAACTACCTTGCGACGATTCATCCATTGAGGGAAAGGCGGAGTTACTTCTGTGCTTTGCGGACTTTCGTACTGCGTGTCATTTCGCTCTTGGTCATGTTGCGAGTGAGACCGCCAATATAGTCTTGAAGTATCTTGTTCTCGTTCTCCAACTTGTCGTGGTCGGATTTAACTGCATCGATGCGTTCGGCGAGAGCTTGTAATGATGATTGTAGGGCCTTGGCTTGCCTGTTGGGTTCTATGGTTAGCTACTGGAAATGATAGATTGGCATCGAAGGAAGCCGCCTGTTGAAACTCACTCTTGAAGGGTCTGTCTGGCTTCCTTGCCTAAACGCTCCAGATCGGCAGAATTACGACGTGGACTCATCGCGCGGGCGTCGTCGGGGGGAAATTCTTCTTCCTCTATTTCAATTTCGGGGTGATCCCGGGGAACCAGAATCGAGGCACTGGGTTTGCGGCTCGCCATTCGGGGACGTTCTGATCGGCCTCGACGCTCAGTTTCTGCGTCGGATATAGAAGAGGATGATGAAAGAGATGACATATGCATGCGGCCACCGTCGTTTGGGTGCGGCAGGGTATCAACAGGGGAGGCTCCAGTCATATCGGTATCTGCTGCCATAAAGAGGTTTATTGCTGGCGACACACAGGATCAAAATGAAGTCCAGGATGGCGGCGTAGTCAAAATCCCGATATTAGGGGGCGGTTGGTGGAGTCGAAAAGACCGGAGGAAAAGTGGCTGATGGACGACCACGGTCTACCCCTAGCGATGTACCCCAGATGAAAGATCTGTGTTACGCTTGAGGTAGCTACCGGGGTCGGTGAAAGTCGGAAAGGTGAAGGGATTGAAATCTGAAGACGACCGTGGCCGACTTTGACGAAACGAGTAATTGCGAGAGGCGTTTGGTGACGATGGATGCAATTTCGAGATTGAGAGGGGGAAAAGAGAGGGGAGTGAATGGTCGGGAATTTCGAAAGGGAAGGGCTGAATTTTTTATTGTTCCTTCTTTTCAAAAAAGAGAGGCTGGCCACTAAGGGAGGGCAAATAGGATGAGTAGTAAATGGTTAAAGTAGGTGAATGTTCAAAGAGAAGGGAAGAAAGGAAGAAAGAGAGTCGGAAAACCGAAAAGAGCTTTGGGGGAAAACGGGAGAGAGTTTCGGTATCGGCGTTACGCCAGAGGGGGTACATCTGAGTGACCTAGGTGATGGTGGGACGGGTGCGGCACACCGTGGTACCTATGGAGTTACCCCTTGGGACTGTCCATCTTAGCACATTTTCAGTAGGTGGAGGAACCCAGTCTGATTTTCTTGGATCGTCCTTTGTATTGTGGCAACATTACGAATACATAGTACTGAGTGTATTATTGTATATTATTGTAATTTTATATTATATTATACATTTACGTCTACTGTGTATGACGGTTTTCCCACTATTCTCACTATTTTCGTATATCAACAAATAGTGAGAATACCAAATAATGAGGTAAAAGAGAAAGGGAAGAGGGGATACAGAGGCGCTCAGGAACCCAAAGTAAACTAACGGGTAGCTCTCATTCCCCTTTCCCACATCTCCCGGGCAAGAACCCGGTACACCGCTGTTCCCTATTTACGCCATACTTAGTCCGAATATTCAGTTGGACACGTATTTTTCATTTATATACTTTTTGTATCTTTCTGCATTTCCCAGATATGTGGTAGTAAATACAAATTTAGATTCTAGTACGTACCTGCAACACGACTACATCATATCAAACATACTAACAGTTGATGTACTTTGAAGTTCGTACAAGATACAAATTACAGTATGTATATAATATATCGCACATGTGGGCATGCCCCGTCTTCAGGGGAGGAGAAGGGAACGGAAGGGGGGCATGCAATGTCGATCGAGCCTCAGAGTCAAATGACGCTATGTCATTGGTTCTTAATCTGCATTCACGCGCACAGCAACATACTGTATAGTTTCGCCTATTATAACAAGCATCGTGAATCTGACCGTTGACTCCTCTCTCTAACGAAATTTTGAATACTCTGACACCCGGAGGTGGTGGCCAACCACCCAAAATTCCAAGGGGTAGAAACAGCCACCCTTGGAGAAGATCGACCAAAGGAATCAAGGTTTTCGGGAGACGGATCTGGTTATCTTTGATGCCTCTGACTTCTGAACCCGGTGATACTCTAAACAAGGGAGATCCGACGGACCTCAGGTCTATCAGACTACCTACCTTCCAGATCAAGCATATGCGGTCGACGGAGGAAAGGAAACTTATTCTTCTCTCTTTAGCCGCTTCCACCGCCAACGGAAGCAAAATTGTTGATGATGGACGAATCGACGACAGACGATAATAGGCGATTAAAGCTTCGGGTATCTCGCAAGCAGAAAAGTGGCACGACTGCGTGGTCTTGCTCCGCATCAGCCTGGTGTAATCTCCGTGCCAAGCCCAGCTGGTGATGGTGGGCCGGTCAAACATCTTGAACGAGAAGGCAATAGATGACTCGGCGCTTGCTTGTATGTTGGATGTCAATTGCAGAGAAAGGATCCGGTGGCACAGTACAGTAGCCATAGACTCAGAATTTCTCTTTGACCGAGGAAGGTCTATGAATATTGATCAATAGTCCGTACTAACCTTGGTAAGATATACTGACCACATCGGACATCCTCTGTTGTACACAATTTTATGCAAAGATGGCCCTCAGCTACTAGCAATGTCGATTCTCGCAATCGACCCTAGTGGTTCATCGTAGGTCGATCAAACCAGATTGTAATGAACACTAGGAATCTTTTTCTTTCTCTACAAAAATGTTGTAGTACTAGTCCACATGGTGATGAAACTGGAGATTTATACATCAAGTACCTTTTATATGGCATCTGCATGCAAAAGATACTTAATTCCTTACCCTGTTCGTTTGATAGACCCACCTAATACCGGCAGGTGTTAGTGGACTTGGCAAGATGTTTCCACAACCAATCATTCTCTCTATTAAAAGCTCCACTCCCTCACAACCAATGTGCGCCCAACGCTTGGGCTTCAGACGATCCATTCCCGTGGATTTTGACATTGCTCTTTTATCATTTGATGAATCGTTAGCCGAAAAGGAGGTGAAAGGGTCGTAGGCGCCGATCTCTTCAGACTGTGAATATTGTATGGAAAAATATCGGTAGATTCGGCAGTTGTTTCTTGTATTTTTTTGTTGGTTCTGACACCTGTTCCGACAAGGATTTATCCGTATGTTAACTAAACCACGATGTTTGGATAGATAAAATCCCGACGCCAAGGTCCGGGGTCATATCGATGGATGGCGTTCGGATGTTGAACTTTCATTTTTAGTTTCTACCTCGCTTCATGCCCAAAGTTTCAAGGTGTAAGTTAACTTATATTTGTGCCGAGTTCGACGAATTAGACCCATCAGACGAGAAGCTCAATGTGATCGATCGGAAAGGAAATTCAACGGCTTCAGTACTACACAGTCCTGCGTGTACACGATATTCTCGTCTTGCCCCCCATGTCTTGGCTTTTGGGCTTATGCAGTAGCTACCTCACCCCCTCTCCGGAACTACGGTTGTACATCTATCAAACCAGTGGCGTGCGTTCCTGGATTCCGCTGTCAGATGACTTTCGGCGATACGATATAATGGCATAATGTACTCGTACGCTCAGGCCTGACAAGGTACAGTGTACTCTGTACGCTCGACCTTTCCAATGAAGATTATTTGTGACTACCCAGCGACGTACCCAGTACGAGTCTTCACCGAGCCCTGGAGGGGTTGAGCGCGTGATAACTTTGGGCCACGATAGGAAACTCGCTAACGCTTTGTCGAAGGTGGTAGTTCTGTGTATTATATCTTGTATTGAAGGTATTCAGGTAAACAGTCGTACGTTAAATTAGTCTAACCGTGGTTCAGCTTGGAGGCTAAAAAACGCGACCCGAGGCGCAATAGATGACGACAGTCTCTATGTACTGCGTACACAAACTACTTGATTCTATCTTGTCCATGAGACATGCACCTATTATTTGTCGACAATAACCAATTTGAAGATATTACATGTAGTTTTCTTCCGTTCGATTCAGCATTACTGTGTACTGTGTACATTCAAAGAAACCACCAAAAACTAGTACCCGCCGATCTGCAGGTGCTTTTCGACCGGTTGTATCGTTCCCTGGGACCTCCACCTATACGAACGCGTGTTGCCTGCTCCATTACGGAGGAGGGGGCATTTAGGGAAATTTAGTTGCGCGCTAGAGTGGATTGTTTTCCCCTTCTTTTTGCCCCTCCGGCCCCCGGGTGTCCTAAGTGGCCACTTTTCCGTCGAAGTCTCCATCTTGGCGATGATTCGGCCGGTTCAGCCCCATCTTCTTGTCAAGACACGGGATCCATACCTCCTGCTCCGATACTTCCCTTTCGGGTGTGATTTTATCCTTCTGGCAGTGGCTTCTGCAACAAGATCCTTCTAATCCTTCGACGCATTGAGTTGCACTTGTTCACTGCAAGGTGAGATTGCGCTAAGCTAGCAACGTAGTTGATTACGGAGGGCATCATTGTATGATACCATTGAGCAGCATGGTAGTCTATGTTGGTTATGTTGTAGGTAGGGTTTTCGTTCCACGAGTCCGATTACGATGTACGGAGTAGAGATATGTCAAGCACTCCCTGCTGCTCAACTCGCATGGTTGTAGCCCACGAGCAAGGACCACCTGCACCAACACCAACACCATGTCTACACCAAATTCAGCGGGTTTCGCCGACCGAAGAACCTAACAATACGCAAGGTCTCAACCATTGCGCCCACGATAACTCAAGTCTGACCCGCCAAAACCACAGAGCTATCAAGGCTACCGAAGACGATGCTGTGAAACGACTCTAGCAAAACAGGTCCAAGACAACAAGAGTCGCCAGACACCTGTCTCAATCGCCAGAAACAAGCCTACAAATCAGCCTCAACATGTCTTGGAAATAGCTCCCCGCCAAACCCAATGCGGTGTACTTTGTTAAAATTACCACATGTGACATGACACAGGTCCGATCGCGCACCAGTGTCCACATCATGCAGATCTGGCGATCAAGCAAATTGAAGCAATCCGGTTTCCAGATCTGAATTCCTGTTTTGAGTGACGTACTTTGTGGGGGATTCGTGGAATGCTGGGGATCTATCGGCTCTACCAATCATCCGGAACTCTAATAAGCGCGGAAGAACAAGTTCCTGGATTCCATTTCAGGGCTATTCTATTGAGTACGGAGTACAGCGGGTAGTGCTGCAGTGCTGCGCTGCGCCCATTGTTGTGGTGATCGGCCATGTCGGGGGTTTTAAGGTCAACACGTGAACAGGTGCGCGACTTTCGCTAAATAGGAAATGGGACATTTGCGCCGGGGTTGTGGCTGTGCTATTTGAGGATGTGCAACTTTCGCTAAGTAGGCAATGGGACATTGGCGCCAAGTCGTGTCTATGATACAAGTCCGAAGACAAGACGCGAGCGTTGAAGAATAATCATTTAAGGATAGAATACATGCTGCAGACTGTAACGCTGTACAGAAGAGCCCCCAACCAAGCCTTGGAAGCCCCAGATGCCAAATGCAAGTTGTTTGTTGATCGCTAGAACACCAGTCCAATCCCAAAGAACACCAACAATTCCAAATCATTCATCATAGGGCGTCGTATGATTGCCATTGGTACAGGGCTCTCAGCACAGCGATTCCCCCAGACTGGGTTTCCACAGTGCGGCCCCGGCCACGATCGTTGTAGTCCTTCCACGTAGAGCCCGCAGTCGCAGAAGAGTCATTGTGGGAATTGCGCCAGTCGACAGCACCATCTGGAATAGTACTGCTATCCACAAGTCCGGCGGCCTCCAGCTGATGATATGGACGACCCCACCAGCCCCCAAACTTGCCATCTGTATCCCGAGTCATGAGGGCGGCCTGCGCGTTATGCTCGATCCAAGCGCCATAGCTGCGGCAACGCTGCATATGTTCTTCATACGCCTCAGTCCAGTCATCGTCAGCTGAACGTCCGTGGGTCGTTTCCGCCAGGAACCGCTTTTCCTGTGGTTGAAGAGGCCGACAGAATGCCGACAGATGGTGGAAGAAGATTCCCTTGAACGTCTGTCCATCCTGGGAGCAGAGGCCGCGGGAATCACAGGTGTCTTCGAGCACGCCTCCGCGACCAAGTCCCTGCCATTGTCGGCTGGAGGTATGTGGCCATCCGGTCGCCTGTAGTACTCTGCGAACAAGCTCATGACCGTTGTGCAGATAGTCTTGTGAATTAGTGGCTAGCCAGAGTCCCCTCAGCCCGCTGAGAATGACTCCCTGGTTGTAAGTGTAAACCATAGTGTTGAGCTGATCACATTGCCTCGACCCGGGATTCGATGTGCTTTCCCAGCCGCTGATGTGGAACCCATCTGCATAGAGTCCTCCAAGCCCGGTCATGTTCGAGTCTTTAAGCCAGTTGTACCCGTCAACCGCAGCTTTCAGGTGAAGAGGGTCGTGTGGGTTCTTCCGAGCGGCCTGTGTGCCTTGCAAGTTGACAAGGAACGGAGAATCAATTGAGTCGCCAGGGAAGTACAGATACATCTCAATGCTCGCAGAGATATAGAGCTCATTCGTAATCGCATTCTTGTAGGGCAGCAAGTATGGGTTCCAAATCATGCCACCATCACAGAGGGTCTTGTCCCAACCAGCGGAAGCAAGCTCGTAGAAGATGCGAGCCCTGTGTGCAGCAGAGTTTTGAAATTGGGTGCCGTGCCATGGTTTCCCAGAACCGTTCTTTGAGGGGATATAGTGAAGATCCGAATGAAGATTCTGCAACTTGATATTTTCCAACCATCCCAGCACAACCCAAAGCATGTCATCGTAGGCCTGGTTTCTGAGACTGAAAGCGTTTTCGCCAAAGTAAAAGGCCGAAGTATGGCTGAAAAAGCGATTGACTGTGTTCTCGAGCGCGAAGAAGGACAAGCCGAGCAGTTCATCCCCGTCGGGGATATCAAGGGGGCCCGATGTTAGAGTCGATAGCACTGCAGAGACGTGTGTCCCCAATACCGCTGCGGTCCAATCGATGCTGGTTGGCCACGTGCCCTGCCAGAGCACAAAGTATTTGTCCTGCATCACCTGCAGGGCATCGACCAGGTCCTGCAAGGTATCGAGGATCGGTTCATGAAACGACCCTTCCGGTGCTGATCCGGTTTCACTAACGATACCCTCATTTGTGGCGTCACCAATCGCATCGGAGAATGGAGCTGCTTCTAGAACTTCTTGGTGTGGATACGCCAGCGCGTTGGCTACACCTGAAAACCACAGGAGGCATAACATAAGAATACGGAATAGGAATCGGGATAGCCCGAAGGGGGTAAGAGATGGGTGTCGGGGAGCCATCCTGCCTCAGGAAAGATATCCTGCCAGAATCAGGTCCCCAGACACAAAGATCAGGGCGTTTCTATAGGAAGAGATTTGCGATGAGACTAAAACCTAACGAGCAGGAGCGATGACCTCCAAGCGCCATGCGGGGAAATTGGGCCAGCCCGGGGCCGGGACCAAGCGCGAGGCTTAGCTTAGTCACCAGACCCACAGCCCTCAAGCCTCCAGCTTCAGGTGCCCACGGGGGCAGGTGATAGCTAAGGAGCGACTACAACCTATGTTGAGGCATGGGAGCGTTGTGAACGTTTGGTAAAGCTCTTGTGACTGTACGGGGTAGACCACACGGATTTCAGAGGTTGTGCATCGGCGCTGCCAGGGCGCCACATGGTTAACGCGTGATGCATGCCGCGGGTCATATATCCTACACCACCACCGCATGGATGTCTTTACAAGACAAGTATTTAAACTGGCGAATGAGTGTGATAGGCAGACTCTCATAACCTAAGGAACGCGGTTCTGCGCAATGTATATTTACTCAACCAGCCGGGCTTCGGGTTGTCGAAGGTCTTTGTTGACCATATATTCATTGTCAAACTTTGGTTTCAAATTTCAAATTTCATAAGAGGCTTTCATTTCTGAGTCAGAGTTAGCATTATTCGGGTCACATCCATACCAGCTCTAGAACTCCATACCATTATGGCAATGTATTGCGGCGCCGGCATGCACCTCTTGTGTGGATGTGTCCCATGCACACCTACACTCAACATGTGAGCCCAAACATGTTGAATTGGAGGAGTCATGCCGGCGAGACCTAGACGATGAGCCCATCATAGGCGAGCTCGGATAGGAGGATGGGAAAGGTTCGGCAGAAACAGCGGGAGGGATTGGAAATATGGCGGCAATGAAGGTTCAACATGGGTTCCAAGCAGAAGATCGCAAGCAATGATTGCTTATACATTTTCAATAATGTTCCGTCCATCGAAGCAGCTCAGTCCCGGTCACCGCCAGCCTCAGGGCTGCGGCTTCGGTTGGGGCTGCGGCTGCGATTCCGGCCAGCCCGGCCCTTTGGTGCACCATTCTTGCTCTTGCTAGATGGGGGTGGGCGCACGAAAGCGTAGTCGACGCGAAGGGTCTGATCTAGGAGCTTGTGGCCGTTGAGATTTTGGATAGCCTCGCTGGCTTCGGGGAGAGTGGAGTATTCAATTAATGCGTATCCCTACCAGACGTGAGGTGTTAGCGATCAGTCGTCAACTATGAGCGTACAAAAGCTCCCGTAATCCAGTAATTCAAGAGAAGCCTCGCGGGTTGCTCCATAGATAGTGCGCACCTTGACGTAACCGGTTCGGCGATCGAGGTTCAAACTGAAGTTTTTGATTTCTCCGTACTCCGCAAAGAGCTCAGTGACATCCTCCTCTGATGCTTCTTCGTGAATATTAGACACAATGATAATCCAACCCTCGATACTGCGCACAGCAACTGCGTTTCCCTGGGTGCGTGGCTCAAAACTGCGATCAGGCTGCTCGGGAGCATCGTCGAGTGCGACGGGAGGATCGACTTCCATCTCGGTCGACATATTGTGCGGTTGTGAGGTACAAGACCGTTGCAACAGTGAAGATATTGTAGTTGGAATTTGATTGCGCGTTCGTAGCGGCCAATGAGTCTGGAGTCTGGTTGATTTGTGGTCTGAAGTCTGCAGATGAAGGGCGGCCTGGGGCCTCACCTCCAAGAAAGCTTGCGACCACGTGACCGTCAACTGCGGTCTCCAGCTTTTGATGCATCATTGAAATCGTTGTATACACTGAACTCGGAAGGGCTAGGTGATCTTTTCCGTAATGAGCGACCGAAGCATGATATTAGTACATCTAGACTATCTAGCCATATAACTATTGTGTACACTACTACACTAAACACTCGTGGACAGTGCACGTCATCAGTCACCAACCAGCGTTGTGCTTAATGGGTTCAAAGACTCGATTCATGATCAACTACACAGTACAGCTTCATAAGCGGCAGGCTTGTCTCAAGAGTGGAGATTTATATTCGCTACTCTGTCTGTTCTGTGTTATTAGCCATGACACAGCCAAAGCTGTATCCATGCCCATTCGACGCAACATCGAGGTTAAGGACAAAAAAAAAAAAGAAAAGAAAAAGGGTAATAAAACAGTCGGTTCATATACAGGGTTGTCAGGTAATTGAGAAAGAAAGAAAAGCACTTCCAGCTTTGAAGGGATCCGAGATCAAGACCTCCTCACTAGAGATCAAAATCTTTAGTGGCGACGGTTGTTGCCCATGCCGAGGATCTGGACCATGCGAATGAAGATGTTGATGAAGTCCAACTCGAGGCTGACACACTCGTTGACCACATCCCGCTTGATCAAGCCACGTTCAGCCAGGCGAGCGTGGTGCAGGATCTTCTGCACATCATAGAGCGTGAAGCCACCAAAGACAGCGAGACCACCATACAGCCACATGCGCTCAGACCACACCAAAGTGCGGACCGCAGTAGCAGGGAGAACCATGGGGGCAAGTCCAGAGAGAGCGACGATGGTGACGCCGGCAAGGAGCGGACCGCCCAAGTACAAATATTTCTCCTGCTTAGCAGTGGCACCGACGAAAGCGATAGAGCCCATCATGCCGACAGTGTAAAGACCAGCGCGGGCGAGGATGGCAGGGTTCATGAACATCAAAGGCGAGAGAAGGGCAGCCTGGGTAAGGTTGAACAGAGTCCAGCAGCCGTACTTGACGACATAGCTTTTGAAAGGTTAGCCTCGTCGTTGCTTGGTTTCCATAGGAGCGTATGAGGTTGGGGAAACTTACTTATCCGGGGAAGTATAGAAAGTGCCGTACATGGAGCCAATGCTGCCAACGAGACCCACGCCCATGACGAGCCATGGGTTCATGGCCATGAGACGATAAGACCAACCGCTCATGTGAAGAGCACGAGCGGCAACACCAATGATACCAATACCGAGACCAGTGTGCATGAAGGTTTCATTCAGGAAGCTCCGCTCATAAGCGGGCATACCGCCATCCTCTCTGGTCTCGCGGTTGAAGATGAAGTTGGTCGCCACGACCGTGCCACCAATGATAGCAGCGCCATACATCAGCTTTTGAGACATGTTGCCACCCTGAGCGTTGTAGGTCTGCTGCATATATGTACGGCGGAAAGCATTTTGGAAGTTCTGTCGGGATTTGGCGAAGATCGAGGATGAGACACCCTGAGGCTTGACTGACTGGGTGGGCTTTATGGGAGAGTTGTGAATGAATCGAGCGGTGGTTGAGACTTTAGGAACCTGGCGAAGCGCCGAGGATACAGCGAACGGCCGCCGTAAAAAGAAGGCCATGTTTGCGATGGGGACGGGGAGTTTGTCGAGAATCAAGAATGAGGAGATGTTTGAATGTCGGGCCCATGGATGATATCAGGCCGGGATTACTCATGTTCCGCCGATGACCGCTTAAATCCGGAAAATTCCAGAACAGGTCACGTGAGAGAAAGTGGGATGCACTCGCAGTGAACTGACAAGGTTGCTGGACCTTATCAGATCGGGTTTGAGTGGTGATACATTCTCTTTCCCTAGGCTTTGATTTCAGTTAAATTTCAGCCATGGCTTCATGTCTAGAGACGATTAATTTGCCCCATCTACCGTCATCTTTGCCGGTGCATGTTGCTCTATATCGCGATGTTCAAAATGCCGCCTCACTGAAAGGTCACCTTCTGGCCGGTCAAAAAGAATTCGAGTATGCCTTTATTGATGCAAGCATGGTATGCTATATCTTGTGCTCGATAAGAAAAGTGACTAGTCCACTGACACCAAGCGATAGGTTCTATCAAGGGCCCATGTCACGGCTGCAGTATTCAGAGCAGTTAATGATTACATGCACAATCGACTGCAGTCTCATAATGTGCATTCTGAGATTGTGTTCTCATTGAACCCTACGAATAATGTGTGTTGCTTTCTCGAATTGAGCAGCAGATTTGCCACTGAAGCCGGAGCTAACGCGGGATTTAGATCGCCGAATCATTCCGCAGATTCGGTATCACCGATTCCACCAAAGACTTGTTGGTCATCAAGGTCTCTGTTTCTCCGGAGATAACACATGAGTCAGTGGCGGCCCATTTGAGCAGTTCAGTTCAAGGGACACCCGTGCCCTTTGATGACCAGACACTCTCTGAAGTCTCGGATATCAATAAAATCAAGAAGGCATACAAGCTTGGGGCTCTGCCCTCGCCGTCGTCGCCAAATGATGAGGCTAAGCAAAGACTCGAAAAGTCTTTGCTGAGTGCAATTGCCTTGAGAGGATCTTGAATGAGTGACTCTGTCGATCAACCGTTCCTCACTGTGTTCATCATCACTGAAGTCTGCTACGTCCTCGGGAGGCTAGTGAAAGGGGACTTCAGTCATTGGTACTCGTACCATCATAGTGTGGAAGAGATCAATCTTCGTACACAGTATATTCGTGCTGACCTGCATAACTGGAGTAATTGGCTTCGAGATTGACCTATAATCAGTCACAAAGAAGACCAACATGGGGTTTCTCGTCGCCAACTATACCACAGCCCCAAAACTGCGCTGTGAACGCCATGTATCTCTCTGCCGAGACCTTTCATGGAAGCAGGATGGTGATAAATTGAGCGAAACTTTCCATAGGCGCAAGACAAATCTCTTTCCAGCGTGACGCGCTGAATCTAGCTGTTGGTCAAATGGTCAATGTGAGGTACGATAGACTATACGTCCGGAGTATCGGCTATTTGATCACAATCTCGTGGCTCAAAACACTCAGTATCCATTCATCAGATATTCTACGTACTCTGTAGAGGCTCTAATAAGTTAAATGCCATTAGTTGCCGGGTGAAATATGCAGTCAACCTAAAACGGCAATACTATAACTTTGCCAAGACCGCGGGCGATCCTCCTACGATGAACATCAACCTTTAAACTTACCTACATTCATACTTCTACAACACAAAGCCGCTCTACATACTCGTGTTATTCTATCTTACTCCGATATAGACGCTTCCTAGGAGATGTCTAATATAGCAAAGTCAAGTACGATACGCGACTCGCCTTGATCATTTCTACAATCGCCCCAAGACGCGACTCGCCACCATGGCCAGCGCTGCAGACGTGATCATTCTGTCTTCCTCTCCGAATCCAGTGCAGTCGCTAGATCCAGGGCCCGGTAGAAATGATGTGATCCAGGTCTCTCATGACTCCTCACGAGGCCCAACGCCACCGCCAATACCCTCGAAATCCACCTTGTCCAAATCTCAGACGCGTTCTCGGTTCTTTCCCACCCCAATCGCGAGCGCTAAAAACTCCAAGGACGAAACGAGACCGAAAAAGCGATCCACCGGAAAAGATTATACCTCACGCGCCAGTGACCAAAACGCCGTGAGCAAACCGCGGCGGAACTCGAAGAAAAGCGCGGACGCCACAGGAACAACTGCCCTTGAGAACCACCAGCAAGAACCCGGTGGCGAACAGAATGATGCAATGAAACCGACCAGAGGTCGTCCTCGAAAGAATGCCAAGACCAAAGAATCGGGCAACATGACTCTGGCTGGGAAGGTTACAAAGACGAGCGGCGATCCGTCAGCAAAGAAGTCCAGTAAAGGCGGGAAGAAGACGGTCGCCAAGGAACATTTGCCTTCAGAAGATGGGACCGCTAAAACTGCTGCCGAGTTTATAACCGCTCCAGGAGAGGACCGGGTCTTGCATTTGGATGAAGCTGTGAGGAGACGGCTGGATTGGACACCACCAAGGGACACTGTTTGTGAGGAAGTCACTGTCGTGCGTGATGGTAGCAGTCAGGATACAGATCGGGATCCCGACACTGCCGGGGGACTTGACCAGCTGCTATCTGGAAGGTATAATTACTCTGGGTCAAATCTGAATCCTCGCGACTCTGTACAGAGTGCAAACGGCGGACCAACGAAGCGTCGGAGAATAGAGCTGGTCAGTCCTGACATCCAAGCACTACTGAATAGGAGGCAGTCCGATTCAAGTGACCAGACATCCTCGGAAAAGCCCAAAAAGACAACCAAGGCCAAGCCCAAGAAATTCACGACCTTGACGGCCCGGATGACCGCACAATATGCAATAAATGACACTGAGGACGAAGAGCCAGTGTTAGAATGTGTGCCACCTATTACGACGGCAAAGAATAGACGGAAGGCTAAAGTGGCCGAGAAAGAGTCTCTCTTTACCGTGCTTTCCCCGGAAGCCGCCGTTGAATCTTTGAAGGATCAAGACCTTGTGTTCGGCACCTGCAGTCAACTGGAGAGGGAGGATTCTCCACAGACGCTAAGAGAAATACAGCAAGCTATCCGTGCTTCTGAAGGTATTTCCGAGCCAGAGGGGATACGCGATAACGGACGTGAATCCCGTCCGACCTCTACTGTTCGTTCGGTAGCGAGGTTGGCAGGCACCCGAAATCTGTGGGGCGTCAGTGCCAGAGATGCCGAAGGGTCTTTGATTCGGTCAGAAACACTGGATGTTGTTGACTTGACAGATGGGAAGGAGACCCTCGCTGAGACAAGTTATAACGATGATGAACAAGTGAAACGAAATGATCAAAAGGACTGGTTTGAGCTTGCGGATTTAGACTCACCAGCTGAAAAGAAATCATCATCATTACCATTGGCCAAGAATGACACAGGTCCAGACACGCTCGTTTCAATCCCAGCTCAGGCTTCGGCTCCAGCTCCAGCGCCAGTTCCAGCACCTGCACCTGCGGCTAAAGCTAAATCCAAAGCCACAGCTACAAAAGCCGCAGTGAGAGCCGATCAGATCCCAGCTAGTGAGGTGAATGCTCAGCCGTCTGTCCCGCAAGTGCCAGAAATGCCACGTTATGCCGGTTTCACGGATGCAGAGTTATCCAAACAGGTTTCTCAGTATGGTTTCAAGGCAGTCAGAGGGCGCAAGAAGATGATAGAACTTCTCCAACAATGCTGGAGGTCGAAACACGGTACCAGTGCCGCAGTTGATGATGAGCCTATATGTCAGCCCGAACAACAGAAGGATCAGGCCTCTGAAATGTCAAATGATCCGAAACTAGTCCCAGAGCCGAATGTGAAACCGAAACCGACAGCAAAGTCGAAAGCATCCACAAAGAACTCAAAGCCGCTTGGCACGACCAAATCAGCCCTCGCCTCGCGAACCGATCTCCCGACAAGTCCACAGAGAACTTCACGAGGCAAGCCTACCACTACGACGTCATTCTTTGATGTAGAAGAAATTCAGGACTCTGAAGAGGAAATTCTTCCCTCTCCAAGTCAAGTACAAAAGCATTATACAGATCTCTATTCCAAATCTAAGGCAGGAGGCCGAATGGAACTCCAAGCCTTGGACATCCTCACCAGAAGTCCATCCCCAAGCCCTACCAAGCGCAAGGTGGTTTCTAAAGTCCCAACCAAGAAGCGATCATCAGCATCTATCACAACTACCCGCAAGGCAGAACCCCCCAAAGAGATCAGTTTAGCCGAGATATCCGCTCAAATCACCCAGGCTATCCGCGTTCAACCTCGTCTCGCACCACTATCGTCATCGCGTGGTAGCCGAAGTCGACCGACATGGCATGAAAAGATTCTCATGTACGACCCTATTGTCTTGGAAGATCTTACGGCATGGCTCAACATCGAGGGTCTCGGACTCGTTGGCGAAGACCGCGAGGTTTGGCCTGGACTTGTTAGGGAATGGTGTGAAAGTAAAGGTATCTGCTGTTGCTGGAAGAAGAATGCTAGTTGGTGAAATGGTTGAGATTCATCTGCATTAGCGACTCGGCGTTCTTGTTTCATTTACCTGGACACTCGGTGAAAATTGGAGTTTATAGTCAATCTACATACACGTGTACACCGCTGTCAGGCTACGGGCTACGGGCTACGGTCTACGGCCTATGTTTTCTTTTCTATTTTTCGAGGTCCATTGGAAATCATCTGCGAGAATCAAGCCCGAGCCCTACTGACCCAGACACACAACACACAACCGAAGCAAAGCCAGAACCAACCCCATAACCGCAACACAATAACTAGCACAACACCTTGATCACATCACTCTAGGACCAAGATCCGCCTATCAATCCCCGTCAGCCCCGTCAGCACAAAACACGAATACAGAAAATCCAAGGCAAAAGTGAAAACACAAACACATACCTCACACTGCTCCACATAACTCTCATAAGACCGCCCCATTCGCCCCATTTGCCCCATTTGCCCCTGAAGCTGAGCATTCTTCTGCTCCAGCTGCTTTACCTGCTCCTCCAACAAAGCCGTCTTACTCCTCAGCTTGAAGATAAGAGCCTTCATGCGCGCCACCTCGCCTCGCACCATCGTCTCGCCGCTCACGCGATCGGTCACTTTGCAGGGTATCCCGCATGCCAGACATGCAGCGCAGCCAGTCTCACCCTGTGAGCAGCGCATTCTCTTGAGCTTTGTAGATGGAATAGGTCAGCGTGTACCCTTATGTTTCTATTTCCCTTTTCTTACGACCTAAACACGGGAATGTGTAAAAAGTAGATGTTGGTCCATACCTTGCACCGATCACAGGCCTGCCCTACGCGGTTCTGCGGTTTCCGTATCTTCTCACGCACCATGGCAGACCAGTCGGGCTCGGGGGCATGGCGACTGCGACGGGTCTTCTTTGGTTTCGGAGGGTTCTCGGGTGTAGTATTGGGGTTAGGCTCGTTGGTTAGGGTTGAAGAGTTCATGATGAAGGTTTATGTGATTGTTTCCTAGAAAAGTCCAAAGGTGGATGTTCGTTAAATTGGTGTCCGGTCTCGTCTTCTTATGCAAAAGACCGAAAGACCGAAGAAGTATGCTAGGGTTATCTGTTTGGGATTGTGGAAGATCTCGTCTTTCATCTGCTGGGCTGGTTCCAGGTGGAAGGTGTCAGTTTTTGTGGTCATCTACCTAGGTCAGGGAAGATGCCTCTAGACTGAGTCTCAGGACAAAGCCTTTGTCTTGGAGAATCCCATTGTTTGGTGGGTGTGACTTCGCTGTCTCAAAGGAGTGCCATGACATGTTGGTGGATTGTTTCGCGCTGCTTTTTTCGTCTTGCATGTTCCGTTTCTACTGAAGGGTTATGGATCAAGGACAGAGGTATTGTTATGTGACTCTAGCTGCTTTGAATATGGCGTACTTGCTCATTGTTTCTAGAAACTTTGTCTTAGCTTTTGATGTTTTGGGTCTTTGCCTCCTATGAGGAATGGCGATCTTGCTGTTCTTTCGGTGGCTACACTGTAGATATCGAGCCCCAAAGGAGTTGAAGATTGAAGCAATAGAATAGGTATATCAAGAGGCAGATTGAAAGTGGGTTACAGATTGAAAGTGGGTTTAAGAACTGTATGGGTTCAAGATTCGTTATATACATATGCACAAGAAAAAGCATCGTCTTCGGCGAAACATTAAGAAGACAGGCTAATGATAATTACAATTTTGGAGCTAGTCAATCGGACAGCGGAGGGAAAGGTCGAATAAAGCTAGGAGGCACGATGTTAGCGACGCGACAAATGAGTCACACTGGGCAGAGAACACATACTGAGCGGGACACTCATATCCAGCAGGGTTATTCTGCAGATAGAGCTGGTGATATTCTTCTGCATCCCACCACTTATCCGCCGGCACGATCTGGGTAGAAACGGGCGTCTTATACCACTCCTTGCTGACTTTGTCTGTGATCTCTTCCGCGATCTTCTGCTGCTCTTCGCCGTGCGTGAAGATCGCACTGCGGTATTGTGTACCAACATCCGGACCTTGACGATTCGCTGTTGTGGGGTCGTGCATGCGATAGAAGAATTCGAGGAGTTGGCGGTAGGTCACAATGGAAGGATCAAAGGTCATCTGGAGGGATTCGGCGTCTGGAAAAAGTTTAGATTAGCGTTTTATACTTGCGATCGCAATAAGAGCTTCATGTTGTTCTTTCTCTGTTTCTTTGTAGGGACAGAAGTACTTACGTCCTGTAGTACCGGAGCAGACAGCCCGGTATGACGGTGATGGGATTGGGCCACCGCAGTAGCCTACCTTGGCATCAATAAGACCCTTGCCGTTGCCGAAATTCTTGCGGTATAGGTGCTCGACGCCCCAGAAGCAGCCCGCTGCTACGGTAGCGGTCTGTACGTTCGACATATTGCGCGGTTGTGTTTCAGGTTTTGAAGAAAACGCCGGGCTAACAGCGGATGAACGAAAGAAGCGTGAGAAAAATGACGAGGCAAGCGGAGCGGCGAAAGTCATCTGCGGAAATTGTGCTTCAAGTGATGTGGGGACGTACTCGATAAGAAGTGGAGAGCTCGCGGGTTCCGAAGAGCTAGTATGGAATTGGTGCCCTAACAGGCTACAGTGAAGATTAAGGATTGAGGATAGCTCTCACTTGTGGAATAGATAGTTGCGGGGAGATAGGTAGAGAAGTAAAGAAATGGGAAGTCGAATAAATAAGAGTTGAAGTAAGCTTCACATGATTTGGAGATTCAAGTGATCGCGTCATTTCTTACAAAGCAGGCGCGGGGGAACTCAAAAAAAAAAGGAAAAAAAAAGAAATTAGGGCTTTGTCTTGGCGGCAAGCCATCCGCTGTGTTAGCTTCATAAAAGATTTGAACGTTAACACGTAAGAGTTCATTATTGTATTGTACAGAAAGCCGGATATAGTCCAGCAGAGATGACAAAATGATCAGACACAGAAGCGAGGGCTCGGGAACTCCAATAACCATTTCGCGCAAATGTTCAAAACAGAAAATAATAAAGAAAGTGGTATCTAGTACGCCAAGAGAACGCCAATCACCACTTAACACCATGCACTTTCATAAAACATAGTCGTTCACTCGAAGCCAACTGCCTGGGTGACTACCACCCTTGTGAGCTGCGGTCAGTAGGCGGCGCTGCCATCGCACTGAGGCGAATGGCGTCCCGACTGGAAAGGCTGACATTGCGAGCTCGACCGTCTCCGCCCATGGTTGTGCGGCGTCCTGTGTGCTTCATGACTGGGAGAGTATGAGGACCCAAGACGTGGGGCTTGGCATCGTGCTCCCTCTCGTTCTTAACCATGCGTCGCGCTTGCGATGCGGTGAACATGTGGTTGTCTGCTGGCGAGGACCCATGGGTGCTGGCAGTTGGGCTGCGGCGGCGATGAACTCGCAGAGCATTAGCGGATGGTGCGCCATATTGTCCACTGATGGCCCGGCCACTAGACATACGCCGCATGGCGGAGTTGATCTTGATTGCTTCTTCCTTGTCCGACTTCCAGTTGTCTCGGTTTTCAGAGGCCGGACTGCTAGAGAAGTTCCCGCTGGGACTACGAACTGCAATTCGCGACGGGCGCTCCGTCGAGGTACGGTTCATGGAATTGCTGCCGTCAATTTCACGGAGAGGGGAGTTTTCCCTGCTTCTTGAAAGAGGAAGGGTGGAGGTAGGTGGTGGTGCCAATGGTGAACTGCCGTTCTTCTTCATCAAGAATCCTGGCTTGAAACGGTTGCTGTTCTTTTGAACGTTCAAGGTAAGTTCGGCGGGCTCGGCGGGCTCATCGGGTGTGGGTGAGATGGAACCGGATGGGCTGATAACTCTTGGGATGTTCCGTGGGATAGGAGATCCGGACCGAGGCGGTAAGGATGGCTCGTCGAAGCTCGATTCATCGGCAGACTCCATCTTCTTGGGGGTCTTCTGGAACTCGGTCAGAGCTCCATCTTCCTCGTCGTCTCTCCAGCGGACAGATCGTTTGGGAGCCTTCGCCTGCGCTTTCTTTGGCGTAAAACTGACACTCTTCCGACTAGCAGTGGCCTTGCGACGACGCGGAGAGCCCTTGATTGGTGAAACTGGCGCAACAGGGGCGAGTGTGACTGGGGGATTCGCTGTAGAGACCGGCGGCAAGCTCACCAGGCTGAATCTCTTCTTTGGCTTGGCGGGGGTTGCAGTCCTAGCAGAGCTGCCGCCTGTAACAGAAGGCGCGTTGCCATCTGGTTTGACGAGGTTGGAGGCGACGTCTGAACAATCCTCCAACATCTTGGTCAAGATTTTCCGTCCCTTTTGGATAGCCTCATTCGCGTTTAGTTGCATGATATCCTCGATGGAGCTCATCAGCTCGAACTGCGCTTGCAATAGAAGCTGCACAGCAGCAGCATCCCCGGCCTTATCTTGTTCCACCACGGCTGCCAATGCTTCGCGTTCTGCATTAGATCGAAGAAGATCCGCTTCTCGGTTGAGATTGGCGTAGTCGCTGTTATCAGTGATATCAAACTCCTGAAGCTGCTTCGTAGCGTTGTCGACCGCTGATTTAATCGCTCGATCCCAGGTACTCTTTGACAGACGTTGGTTGTAATGATGTCTGCTGCCTTCTAATTCAAGGAGGATCCCCTGTGCAGTTTTGCGAACAGCATACAGATTCGATAATCCGTCCTCGCCCTCGCGTGCGGCGCAAACATTATCGAAGGCTGCAATCCAAGACGATAGAATGCCAATTCTGCGGCTGATTTGTCGCAGTTTCAGCATGTTGTTAGTCTTCTCTTGCCTCTCAGGCAACGTGTGCTCGTATGAATTGCGAATCCGGGAAATGCCTTCTCGCAGCACGGCGTCCTTTTTCTCGCTCTGTTTGCGGTATTTGGCAAAGGCGATCTTTTCATACTCTTTTGCCTGCGCCTTGAGCTCGTTGATCAAGTTCATTTGCTCATCGATCTTGACCAAGAAGTCCTTGACGTGTCGATTAACATTGAACACATTTCGTGTGACTTTGGTTTGGATGTTCTTGGCCCGATTGGCATATCGAAGTGTGTTCTGAGTCTCATCAAAGTGTTGGCTCGAAGGGCTGACACAGACAATCATGACTGTCTTGCAATTGCCACCGAGAGCGAACTTGAGCAAGCGAGTGAGCTTCGAGTTGCGGTAAGGGATATGATTGCGCTTTCGGGGATCGCAAAGTGCATTGATGCAGCTTCCCAGCGACAACAAAGACTTGTTGATATTGGCGCCTTCGAACAAACGCTCTCCTCGGTTCTTGGTCGCGCTGGCACGCTCACTTCCCGCGAGATCGATGATACTGAAAGTGGCCATAGTGTGCGGCTCGTTGACATCTGCATTCCGATCTTTCTGCGCGATGTTGATTTGTAGGACGGCGTGTGATCTGGATGAAGTAGCATTTGCCTCAGTCGGAGACATGGTGCGGCGCTCGTTGCCTTGCATGATCATATCCATGACCTGTCCAACGTTTTGCGGATGGTGACTTGACAAACCGGCTACCGAGACGGACTGGTTAGTGTCTTCCCGTAGCATCAAACCGCCCTTGCCACTGCTGCCAATGGGGACAAGCAGGTCACGAATGGTCTCATTATAGATCTCCAGATAGGAGAGAGAAACCTCTGTCGACTTCTCGCTCGCTCGCTCATCAATCCGCTCAAATAGCTCCTGCATAGTGAGGAAGATGATGCCGGGCTGTTGGGCGGTTCCGGTGATTGTATGAGTCTTTCCACATCCAGTTGCACCATACGCGAACACGGTTGCGTTGTATCCATCGAGCACCTGGTCGAGCAGGCTGCGTGTTGTAGCTTCGTATACTTCTCCTTGGGAGGCATTCTGGTCGAAGATGCGATCAAAGGCGAAGGTCTGGTCCTTGACACGCTTGCCATTGGGCACCACGCTCCGCGAGAACTTTTGGACCGGATTGTCCTCTGGAGGGTCAAACACCCTGATGCCGGTTAGAATGTTGGGCCCGATCTTGAACAGAACATGAGACACTCACAGGCATCGGTCGTCAATCACTTTGACGATAGATCGAATCCCCTTCTGGTTAAGCTTCGGTGTCGGTGCACCAGCGAACGATCCGTCGCCGAGGAACAGGGGACCATCATCACACCGAGTGATCTGGGCTGCCTCCCTGATAGTAAAGGGACGGACTCTGACTGCAACGCTAATTGAAGACGCGCCGTCGGAGGCAGCCATGTTGAAAGTTGTGTCGGAGTAACCCCAACTTCGATTTGCGGGGCCGGTACGTCAGGCAGTTGGCGACACCCTGCAATGGCGAGGCCAATGGGGAAAGCTTGGCTGTTAGATTGTCGAAGATAAAGAATGTCGAAGAGTTGAAGAATGGGTCTAAAGTTGTATGGGGTAGGGGATGCAGTATTCTCCGAAGGGGGCTCCTTGAAACGATTTGATTTGTTGATGCGGGTACGTGTTGTCTTCACGCTGGTTGCTCCGAGCAACCGTTTCAAAGTTGCAGTAGGTCTGTTTTTGGTGGCAATAGCAGGGTGCCAACATTATCATGTGCCATCCTACCACAACTCATATGTTTCAAATTATGTACACATCCTCATCGGCCTTATCAACACACACTATATCTCACCATCATGTGTAGCCATGTTCAAGGTCGCCGACCTAGCCTCTAGGTTTGGTCCATTGAGTTGTGGGGACGATCTAAATGATCTCGGGACCCTTGAATGGAAAGTTGTCAACTGATTTGGAAGATTTCTACACTAATAGTACATGCGATTTACTCCTGAACAGTACCCCAGGACCTACGCTCCATAGCGTAACCTGTGTACACTTTCACGTTATTCTTCAGATATTATATGAATAACCATAGCAAAAATCCCTCGCCACTTTGTGCTGGCGTTGTTTTATATCAATCGAAGCTATTTCCGCAATCCGAACGCCGTGAAATTTCCGTAAAACGCCTTCTGCCTTAAACGCCATATTTATAGTTCAAAGTAATTCTTTCGCCCAGTCATGCGCATCCCGATTCTTCCGCCTCCTACTCGTCCTCGTAGCTCGGCATGATGACATCCCAGCCTGGATCCTCACCCTCGCCGGGCTTACGGAAGCGGAAGGCGATTGAGTGTCCATTTTCAAGACCAGCTTCCAACAGAGTGATTGACTCATTGGTTGACTTTCCCTTGTTCTTCTTCGGAGCGCCCTCAATGACTAGATCTGGTGTGTCTGTCTGGATGAGCTTCCAGCCTTTCTCGTAGTCGGATTTATCCACCAGCTCGCCGAATTCGATGTCGAAGGAGTCGTCGGGAAGAGGATCGCCATTTATATCGTTGAGCCCTCGCGCCCGGAGAGCCTCCAGCAGCTTTTCTTTGGTTGTCTCGAGTGACACGTGGGGTTGCAGCATCAGAAACACGGTGGTTTTATGCTTCTTGAAGAGGAGGGTCAAGGCCCGCGAGTCGCTTTGTTGTTGTTTGGGTGGCTGCGCAGTTATCAGTTATCAGTGACATCGTAATTGAGCTATTTGATAAGATTTGTGTTCATACCATGGTGAAGGATTTCCTCGGAGCGAGCAGAGCATTGTAGACATTTGTAGTGCTTGGGATGGCGATCGATTTTGGAGAGCGCCGGAAGGCGGAGAAACCGGCGAGACTCCGACTTCCACTCCCCGAATTTACTTGAGCTCCGCCAGCCGTCACGTTGTTTTCACTTACCTGTTAGTCTACGGCCAAACCTTTGCTTGTCACGAATTTACAATTTCCTTTCTCTCATATCACATCCTTCGCCATGGAGGCCGATCAACCCACATCCACCGACTCCTCACGGCAGAATTCGGCCATACTCAAGATTATCCACTGGGACAAGCTCTTCGAATCAGACAGCCCTCCAAGGTTAGGCCTTGAGGTTGGCAAGCGATTACCATATGCTACTATGTCTGCGTTCTCCACTGGACTGGCGATGGGATATTACCATGGCAGCAAAAGAGCAGGGCTTGTGTTTCGGGCCGAAAACGCACATCGTTTCCCTACGACATCAACGGGGTGGTTCCAGTACCATAAAACGAAAAACTATATTGGTGTGGTTGGTGGGGTCAAGGACGGTATGAAGCTGGGAATGAAGCTTGGTGCTGGTGCCCTTGCTTTCTGTTTGTTTGAGGAGACTGTGGATTATGCTCGCCATGACGAGCGAGACTTCTTGTCGACAGTCACTGCTGGGCTGTCATTCTCCGGAATATACAGCTTGCTTGGTGAGGAACTCTGCTTTTGGGAGTATCTTGGGTCTCATATCTAACATCTCACACAGCTCGTCATGATGTCTATACCGCTGCTCGCGCAGCAAAGCTTGGGTTGAAATTGAGCTTGACCTATGGTCTTTTGCAAGACGCCCTTGCGAGTCTGAAAGGAAACCGGCCGACCTACATCGACTTCTTGCTTGGCAACCGCCGGTCTCGGGCTAAGAAGGAAGCCTTGGAAGGATCAATCTGATTATAGGCGTGGATCCGTATAATAGGGCTGCTCAGGTCCTTTTTGCGCCTGGGTCCCCGTGCTCATCGCAGGGTTAAAACCACCAAACCGGGGAGCGAAATCCTCAGGGCTTCCCATTGCTCACTGGTTATCTCTACGCGATTAGGGAATCGACCGCAATCATGCTGTAAGGGGCATACAATCGACACTAGTGACAGGAGTTGAACCTCCAAGCCGATGCTTTCCCAACTGGATCCATGTCTCTTTAAAAAGAGAGGATTGGACGACTCACCAGCAAAGTCACCACTCTTGTTTCTTTCGTGTTATCTGCATTATTTGATACCCACCTGTTCAACTAGCAAATACAAACATTCAGCCCTTGGGGCTACGGGGCATGTGACCACATTGAATACGCCATTGTGGCGGGACTACCTAAGGTTGTGGACCAGAAGCTTATACCTGCCTCTGAGAGGCATGGGAAATATGCAAGTACATAGTAGGGCAATGCCACGCCCACCAAGCGTATCGAATAAGTAAGCAAGATGCAGAGCATTATAATTATGTGAATCTAAGTATTCTCAGCATTTCTTTGTCTCCAGAAGGCATAGAGACGATCGGCCCGGATGCTGCAGGGTTCAAAGGGCGATTGACCGCTCAACACCCCACTAAAAACCTGACACTTCACATGAAGTTCTTAACAATTCAGCGAAATTCCCTCCAAAGTGAAGCAAAAGAAGAAAAAGTGGATGTTCCTCCAGAGTTTCCGCCCAGGTGATCGGTGGAGAAACCGCATTTGACGTCGCTGATTCGGAAACCCCACCTCCAGACCTTAGCTCGAACGCTTCTCGTCTCTGATCTCTCTTTTTCCCTTCAATTTGGATCTTTTACTCTTACTCTGAATATATATCAGCTTGGTTGACTCTGAATTAATGTACCACTCCCCCATTGGGCGCTGAAGATGCCGATGCGAACTTCGACAGCGCTGCTTTCGTCGACGTCATCGCCTTCTTGACTTCTTTATGGGAGAGAAAAGAAACTGAACCGCCCATTCCACCCTCTTCATTCGAATCCTGTGACATATCTTTACAATGCGTCGCCATGGCAGGTCCAGTGGTGGACCAACCAAGGCCATGTCGCCCTTGTCAGACACGGTTTCTCTCATACGTTCATTCGATTCGGCCACGAACCCAAACCGACCTGCGCGCCCCTCGCCCTTGGCATCCTCCAACATCAAAGCCTTGCCGTTGGAATTGATAGACCGATTGCGATCCTTTCCACTGTTCCAGGCGACGCCGGAGTCCTTTCTGAGTGAGGTCGGACAGCACCTGCGCCCACAGCTTCACGCGCCGAACGATTATATTTTGACGGAAGGTGATGAGGCCAAGGCAATATATTGGCTGGTGCGGGGTGCGGTCTCGGTAACGTCTCGGGACGGCGAGAGTATATACGCCGAGCTCAAGCCCGGTGCTTTCTTCGGGGAGATTGGATTGCTCATGGACCGGCCTCGCACTGCAACCATTATCGCCCGGACCCGATGCATGCTGGTCGTGCTAACAAAGGACGATTTTCGGAACATATTGCCCCGGTTTCCTTCGGTCGAACAGGCGATTCGGGAGGAGGCGCAGGAGCGGTTAATGATTTTGGAGAAGAAGAAGAAAGAAACCTCCGCACCTGCATTAGAAGCACCGAGCCCAGCGCGAAGGGGTTCAAAAAGGCTGCGTGAAAGTTTCTCAAAAGATCTGGCTGTTTCAGGCGACGAGCAAGATTTGGGTGCTAATTCCGCGTACAAGAAGAGGAAGTCACCGAGCCCCGGCCGGCGGGATGGCTCCAGCGCGTTGGCAAACGGATTGGTCAACGTACGTCTTCTACTGAAAGAGCTACCACTTTTCTCCGGACTGCCTGCCGATATTCTTCATTATCTCGGCCTCAATGCTCAACCGCGGTCTTTTCCTCCATTTACCGACATCATCAAACAAGACTCCCAGGGCCGTGAGCTTTACTTTATCGTCCGTGGCGAGGTAGAGGTTCTTGCAGAAAAGGCGGAGCCGAACCACGACAACAAACCTAATGGGACTATCAAACGGCCCGGGATTGAGGTCAAAGCTAGATTGAAGCAGGGCCAATATTTTGGCGAGGTTGTCAGCCTAGCTCTAGCGCCCCGGAGAACTGCTACAGTTCGCTCTGTGACATCAGTGGAGTGTTTGATGCTCGGAGGTGACGTTCTTCGCGAATTCTGGGAGAAATGCCCAAGTGGGGTGCGAGACCAAGTTGAACGCACTGCCCAGGAAAGGCTCCAGGCGGCAGCTGATGGGGACGTTGTCATGTCCGACGAGGCAGAAACACAACCATCAATGGGTGATCTCGGGGTCGACGACCGCGTGAAAATTACCTCATCCCGTCGACGGTCTATGCCACTTTTGACTCTGACTGAGACTGAACTGGATGGGCCTCATCAGTCCTCGTCCGTTGAAGATCAGGACCACGCTGTGCTGCGACCTTCTGATCCTGACCCATATCTCAGCATGGGTCTAGATAAGGTTCGGCTTCGAAGTCGACGTGGCTCTGTCGCACCGTTAGCTCCCGAAGAAATGTCTGGGGACCAGCAACGGTCATCTCCTGCCGAATCACGCTCTGCTAGTTCTTCAACCCTTGCCCTTCCCGACACTCTCCGTCTCTCTAAGCCACACCAAACCGAACGGCCTCTTGTCGATGGTACCAACGGTATACTTCCGGATAGTGTACTACTGGGTATCTTCCAGTATCTTGAGCTTCATCACCTTCTCCAGATGAGGGCAGTGTCGTCACACTGGTCAGAGCTCTTGACTAAATCTGCCGACGTGATCCGTGATTTGGATTTGAGTATCTACAACCGCCGGATCACGGATGATGTTCTTGTCAAGATCATCTGTCCCTTTGTAGGCAATCGACCGCGGTCTGTCAATGTCAACAATTGCTTCCACATCACCGATGAGGGCTTCACAGCGTTGGCCACAACTTGTGCTCCGAATGCTACCGTGTGGAAAATGAAGAGCGTGTGGGATGTCACAGCCTCTGCCATTCTCGACATGTCCAGCAAGGCTACTAAAATCGAGGAGGTTGACCTGAGCAATTGTCGCAAGGTTGGAGATACACTCCTTGCGCGGATCATTGGGTGGGTAGTCCCAGCCGATCAGAAGCCGAGCGAGAAACAAACATCCATCAAGCCCACAATCCAGACAGCGGAATCTACAGTGTTCGGCTGTCCAAATTTGAAGATCCTCACCCTCTCATACTGCAAGCATGTCACCGATCGATCTATGCATCACATTGCATCTCACGCCGCTGGTCGGATTGAGGAAATAGACCTGACTCGTTGCACCACCATCACAGACCAAGGCTTCAAATATTGGGGGAATGCTCAGTTCACCAACCTGCGGAAGCTTTGCTTGGCAGATTGCACGTATCTGACAGACAATGCCATCGTACATCTCACCAACGCCGCGAAAAACCTGGAGGAACTTGATCTGGTAAGCCTGGTCTGAAACATAGTAAGCTTCTTGTGCTAATCATTACCAGACATTTTGCTGTGCATTGTCGGATACAGCAACGGAGGTGCTTGCCTTGCAGTGTTCAAACCTGAAATCTCTGAACATGGCATTCTGCGGCTCGGCCATCTCCGACCCTTCCCTTAGGAGCATCGGGCTTCATCTGCTTTCCCTCCAGCATCTATCCGTTCGAGGATGTGTTCGGGTTACTGGAGTGGGTGTCGAGGCTGTAGCGGAAGGCTGTCATCAACTTAAGGTCTTTGACGTCAGCCAATGCAAGAACCTTGCACCCTGGCTTGATGAAGGGGGTGCATCTCGCTACCAGTCAAGATTCGAGTTCAAAACTGTGGCTCGGACTAAGAAAATTCGATGATGAGCAAGCAATCGATGCTTGGAAACCCTACACTGGCTCTCAGACTGGCACTCTTTTCCTCCATATCAACATCTGGAGCAGGTTGAGGAGGGTGTCACTACCAAGTTGTATGATACATCCATTGGCACATAGCCGATTACCTAGCCCGGCCATCATGTGTGTTATTAATTCTTCAGCTCATTGTTTCTGGTTTTCTTTGCCCATTGTCAACTGATTTGGCGTTTGGGTCTACCAGAGCTTCTTTTGTTTCTCCCTTTGCGTTGGGCTGCAAGCTACTTTCTTTGTCTTTGGTTGGGGTGGGGACAGGTTGAGCATGGCCGGAGTTCAAAGACTGAAGGCATATGAGCTTCATGATACTCTTTTTTTCTTTTTGATACTGGTCTGGCGATCTTCCTGATCTAATTTTTATTTTTTCTTATTCTCCTCTTTACGAGATAATGCTGCATATCTACCTCTGGTTGGATTGAAAGTCCTTGCTGTATTTTAAGTGCCCGCTATCTAGACGTGTCGAGTGTATCAAATTGAATGTAAGACTTCTACCCCAAAGAGTCCAGTAGCTCTTCATGCGTTGGTAGAGGCAAAGTTTCCATCTAGGTCCAATGTGGAAGTCTGCAGACAAACCTCAACTATACAACAATGGCATTTGCAGCATTTGCTGTTTGCTATTCTTTGTTGCAGTTTGACACCCTTTGACGGGCCTTGTTTCAGGCAGCTGAGGCTTTGTGAGCAGGTTCATTGAGACAATGGTCAAAGAACTGAGAAGTCCAATATAACAAGCTCCATCTGTACCTCTGCTATTGTCAGTCCATTCCAACTCTCTATTGAGCTCAACCTCTCAATATCCCATTGTAAATAACCAATCAATCAACCAGAAATCCGGAATAGTCTATTCAAACGAACATATCTCCATTTCCTTCTATATAATGCCCTTCTATATAAGACCAGTATCATACTGAGCACTCACTCATCTTTTCTACAACAACCGCTCAACATCCATCTCAAACAGCCAACATGTCTTCTTGGCTACAAGCATATCAAGAGTTTCGGACGGCTGAGCCTCTGCTACACCGTGTCTTGGTATTCCGTGTGTACCAATTCATAGCCATAATCTGCCTTCAGTTGCTATGCATGCTTAATGACCTCGAGTGGTTTAACACCTCTCCAACTGTTATCATGGACGATGAGGAGGAGGTCACGATGTTGACTCTTTGCACAAAGATCTACTCAACGATGGCCGTGTCTCCTATACCGTTGGATTACGATTACTAGCATGCTGGCCATGCTTCGAACGGCGACCAGCGACGCCCAGGAAGGATGTATCAATCACCTTCCATCGACTGCGCTTCATCTGCTATATCACCGGTCCGATATGAAGCCGCTCGATTCGGACAATTCGAGTGTCTCTCGTTCCATCTAAACCGCCGGCCTTCCTCGCAACATTGCCCTCACTGTGGTTCACGAGTCCTTCCAGTATCGGTGCCATTCCCAACCAAAAATCTCGCTATTCGGGCAAATCTTGCCACCACTGTCGATTCAGATGAACATGGCAATCTGTATGTCACAAGATGACATCTGCTGGTCTTGAGGGAAGGAAGAAGGCAGATCCAAGAACACACTAGACGTCCCAGCTGTAGGTAAGTGGCTAATAATGTCGCCTATTCCATGTCCTTTATACTTACCTCGGCTGTATCTCGACAGATCGAAGTGGTGATCGTTTCCCCAAAACGAGTGGATATCAAGCCCGTGGTCTATTGGTCTATCCTTGCACAGTCTAACAAGGTGGCTTGGATCATTTGATATCAGCTTGGGAGTTGTGTTCTAGGTATGCGAATGCTACATGATTCCCAACCTCCGTTATCTCCTTGTACCTGAGAATCTGGATCAAGACTCAAAACCACTTTACCATTATGTGCTTCTTCCTCATAGCGTTCTCTTATGGAGTAGCACATGGACACTCACATGATAACTAGTATCACCATCTGATGCTGGCCACAACTACACGAAAAGTGTGACCTTCAGATCTCTCTCAGTGTCAATACATTTGACTATTTCCGTAGCTGCATCTTCTCTCATGTTGTGTCAGGACTCCCTCTCTTTAGCATTACTACATAAGACATTTAAGCATTCGTGCATTTGCTTCTTTCTCTCCTCTCGTATCTGCACCACTTCTCTCATCTCTTCGACTCTCTTTATATCCATTTCCAGACACTAGATCCGAAAATTTAGGCACCTGCGCCGTCACTTCTTTGCTACAACTTCTCCGCCACAGCTACTTTGCGTGTGCAAACATCCAGTTCCTTACTTCTCATTCTTTCTCCTCTTCTCATTTCATCCCCGCAGCCTCTCCCCCACCAGTGCCAGTTCACCTGGACGCCTTCCTTTACCAGCTGCATGACAAGCTGCTACTGATAGCTCTTGCTTTGCTTGCCACTTCCCTCGAGCTCACAAGGCTCCAGCTCCTCCTTACCAAGGAACTAGCCATAGCTCTTTGTCTCTCTTCTTGCTCATCTGAGACATACTCGATTATCGCCCCCCAACATGGCCGCGGAGGTTGTCAATAACATGCGTAAGGCGCAGTCCCTGCTTCGCGACTGTCATGACTGGGTAAGCAGTCTCTTCCATCACGTTCCAATGATAACCTGATCTAACCATCTGAATCAATAGCTCGTGAAAAACAATCAGAACTCGCTGGCAGTCGAGCTCTGCCACGTCGAGGGAAAACTTGAGCTTCTATGTGGCCACAGATGTTTCGACCACATTACCGGTCCCAGACAGCAGCAGCAGCGTCCACCAGTGGGTACTATATGCCAGACTGATATCTGTCGGATTGCTAACAGCCTATCCTCATTAGTCGCCACCAATCTATTCACAGCGCAGGAACCGCCGCAGAAATCGCCACAGAGGCCGGGGGAATGTTCCAAATACCACAGGCGGCACTCAAAGTGCCATGAGTCACGCCGGTGGACAGCACAATTCTCCCGTCCAGGTTACCGCAGGTAGACTCGGAGGCGTGCAGAGCACCTCGACAAGTGCCGACACCAATCAGAAGCCGCCGCAGACACCAGCAAGAGACACTCGAAGCGACCGAAGCACGCCACAATGCCTCCAACCCAGTTTAAAGGTTCCAACTGCAGCTGTCACGAAGAAGGAACTGCCGCCCACAGGCGTGCTGGTCGACTTCGATGAGGACGTGCTGGTTGTCAAGGCGCCACCTAGCATGGTGGCCGAGATGGAGACTGCCAATGCGGCTCGTCTGGGCAAGCCGCGCATGTCAGAGCGGCCCGCGGCAGCGAGCAGCGTCGGGCGTGCTCGACGGGCGTCGGCCCCTGACGCCCCTGTCTGCTGCTTCCGCCGCCGCTCGGTAATTGGGGGAAGTGTTGCATCGTCATCTTCTTCGTCCCCCTCCTCGTCCACGTCCACGTCCCCGGCGCAGAATGCGATGCTACTCGCAGATACATCGTCCGGGTCCTGTGGGTACATTGGCAAGTGACTTCCTCGCACTTCTTAGTGCGACGCTTTATCCGAGATTGGTTTCTTTGCTTGTCCGAGCAATAAAATCAACGGAAAGAGCATGCTTTGTTGTTCGGCCGGGTTTGGTGTCTCTTCCTATCACTCGGTAGTGACGAGACACGGAGTTTACTATCATTTACAGCTGGGCATATTCCAAGGTCTGAAGGTCATGGCTCTCGGTATTATTCTCAATGGAAGACAAGCATTCAAAATATCATCGTCGTATTTTCAAATGTTCATCATAGACTGATTAGGTAAGGAGTCTCCTTTCCAGAAGAGGGAAGCCCCTTAACCCTTCACCCACGAGCCATGAAGTCCAGACCGAGAACAACGTGCCTTGCATATTCGAAATCAGACTACTTCATGGATTAATCTGCCCTTCCATCACACAATGCCGTCACAAGCTGATGGCAAAACAAGTGAACTGCAGCCAATGATCAAATCCCCCTTGCATTCCTCAGTGACATATTCCCCAGCATCGAAAACACTCAAAACAGTCGATCGGACGATGTATGGCAGATCGGAGACTTCCCACATTCCTTCTAGAAGATACCAACCGAAAGCGAAAATGCATACGTGAAGACTGGAGATCGGGAGTTGAAGTTCAACTGTTGACTAACAGTCTTGCCCCTTATTTTCACCGCACTCGGTTATAACCGAGAGCGAGAGAGCCCCGAAAAATAGAAAACCACAATTCGATCTGCGTACCTGCCCAGTGCTTGGTGTCTACGGAGTATGCCTGTGTCAATCAATTTCCTATGTCCCTGCTCACTGGTCGATAACCCCAGCAGTCCAGGGTGTGGAGGCTTGAAGTGCCCTTCTTGATAGGCCGGGGAACAAGTAGTGAAGGTTCGAACTTGGTGCCGAGCATGCCGAGAAGTGTAGCGAGGTGTTTGGGAGGTATATATGACTTGGCTAAAGAGGCTGTGTCTTTTATTTTTTGGGAGTTTTTGGTACTTCTTGGTACTTATCGAAATTGTGAGGCTTTCTCTTTGTTTAGTGGACTCGTTTAGTTGGCTCATTTGCTTTTGGGCTTGACGCTTGCCTAGAGAAGGAACTCGCTTGGCAGGGATCGGTTGACGGTTCCTTGGAAGACCCGGAGAATAGCCATCGGACATCCGGTGGAAAGTACCCTGAGGTTCGAGGTGGAGTATGATGTTGATGTCGAAGACAGCCTTGCATATATCAATGTTCAACCAAAGGGACATAGACTTTGGATCTTCTCAGACATGTTGTGTCGATCAATGTCCATCATTGTCTAGTTATGTACTCGGTGCCCCCTCAGTTGTCTCCGCAGATCGTGGGAAGTGGGAAACTGTCAGGTACCGTGTATCTATTAATACACGCTAGTGTATTGAATTAACCCAATTTCCCAAACACCTGGGGGATGTCTCACTTTTTAACGGTCACGCATGGACTTGGACCAACTTCACTTGGATGATTGATTGGTTCCAGTGAGCTAATTGTCCACATGCTAGATGTTTAGCCAAATTAAACTTACAAGAATGCTGACTGGCTTGGTCTTTTTTTTTTTTTAATCTTTGGTCATACTTATCTCGAACTCTGTTTTGCCCGTGATAAATGCAGATCGGATCCCCCTCGAGATAGCAAAATGACCAGGTCCGTACCAATATGTAATAAATACGGTGCACAGACGGACAACTCCGAAACCAGGTTAGTAGGCCCCACATAAAAAAGCAACTGCAACCAATCACACTTCTTCCTTGTCTTTAGAACTGACCCTTTTAACCCCAGCCCTGCACCTTGCCTTTAACGGAGCACCACCTGATTGGGTTAGCTCATCCTGTTTCCTTGGGGCCTGCCTTGGATTTCCATGTTTTTTACAATTCGAATGTAAAAAAAACATATTAATATCTAATTCGCCCCCCCTTCCGTTTTCGTTTCTTTTAACGATCAGACTCGAACTGTTTTCGTTCCATCGCATCTCTCTGCAGTGATAGACTCATAATCTTCACTTGCTGCCTTTCGTTGATTTCCTAATTCCAATCTTTTGTTGTCTCTTGTGTTTACATCGTATACACCCCCACACTTCCACTCATTCTGTCTCCCCCCTGTGGCTTGGATTGAAATTCTTCGAGTATATCCTGTTATTCCCCCCAGTACATTCACACTATATAATAATGGTTCGCCTTTCCACTCCTCTCGTCCTGGCCTCGCTGTCAGCGGCTGTCTTCGCTGCCCAATCTTGCAGTTCCAGCAAGCAGTGCACCGACGAGAAATACCCCTGCTGCTCCCGTGAGTGAGATCGGTTACCCGCGCATCGCGCATTCCTGCTAATGCTTCATAGAATATGGTGAGTGCGGTACTGGCGCTTACTGCCTCGGAGGTTGCGACCCTCTCGCTTCTTTCTCTCTCGACTCTTGCGCCCCTATGCCCATGTGCCGGAGCAAGACCTACAACTGGGACAACCTCGACAACTCCATCACCCAGGACAAGTACCTCGGTAACTCTAGCTCCGCCGATTGGACCTACAGCGGAAAGGTCAAGACCGAGGATGGCAACCTGATCATGACCATGCCCGCTAAGAGCGTCGGTGTTCTTTTCGCCAACAACCACTACATCTGGTACGGCAAGGTTTCCGGCAAGATCAAGAGCTCCCGCGGCAAGGGTGTCGTCACTGCTTTCATTCTTTTGTCCGATGTTAAGGACGAGATCGACTACGAGTTTGTCGGTGCCGACTTGACCGCCGTTCAGACTAACTACTACTGGCAGGGTGTGCTCGACTGTAAGTTTACCCAGATGCATCACATGCGCGCCGGAATATAACTAACCTCCGATCAGGGCGCAACGGTGGTAACATCTCCGTCGAAGGCGAGGATACCTACAGCGACTGGCACACTTACGAGATCGACTGGACCCCCGAGAAGGTTGATTGGATTGTCGACGGCGCCGTCCAGCGCACTCTCAAGAAGGCCGATACCTACAACGCTACCTCCAAGCAGTACCAGTTCCCCCAGACTCCTTCCCGTCTGCAGATGTCGCTCTGGCCCGCCGGCCAGCCCAGCAACGCCCAGGGCACAATCGACTGGGCCGGTGGTGTCATTGACTGGAACAGCGAGGACATCCAGAAGTACGGCTACGACTTCGCTACCGTCGGCGAGGTCAGCGTGCAGTGCTACGACCCCCCTCCGGCCACAAGAAGTCTGGCGACAACTCGTACATCTACACCAACTCCAAGGCCATGGAGAGTGATATCGAGATCTCCAACAAGACCACCGTTTTGGGCTCCCTCGGCGCCACTGGTCTTGACATGGATCTCGGTGCCGACAAGGGCGACTCTACCAGCACCGGCGGTTCGTCCACTGGCACCGCCTTCAGCGGCATCCCTACCGGCAAGGGTGGTTCCGGTGTCATCCCCGGCAACAACGGCAGCGGCCACTCCTCCGACGACTCCAGCTCCGGCTCTGACTCTGGCACTTCCACCACCAACCCCGGCGAGACATCCACCACTGGCTTTTCCCAGCCATCCCCCAGCGAGGGCGGTGCAGCCGGTAAGAACGAGCGTGTCCTCCGTGGCTCGCTCTTCGGTGTTCTGGTGGCTATTGTGGTCCTTGTGACGCTGTAAATGTTTCTGGACATATATATACTTCTTGTTTACTTCTTCTTTTACTTGCCATGCATCTTTGCACAGCATCGAGTACATTCTTATTCTGTTGACAGATGCCAACGTCGCTTCGTTTCTGTCTCTCCCACAGGACCTTGAACAAATCACCTAATGAATTATCTTGATTATTGTATGCTCTCTTTTTTGCTTCCTTAACTGGTGTTGTTCAACGGTCATCTGCATATGCATCTGCACTTTGCTATCTCTGTTTGATCCGGCGTTACCTGTTTGGTTCTTTTCATGCGCGACCTTTGCCCTTATCTGTGGAACTTAGCGTCAGCTCCTGTCATGATCTATTGTTACATAGTTAAGTGTCTAATTTTATAAGATGTCTTACAACATCTACGGAGTACATGTAGACTCATGAACGGTAAGATGCACATGCTGTATTAGCCCTTAGGTAGCTTGGCACAGTAACAAGCAATCCAAAAAATAGCAACCAAACCCCACCCCTGGAGGTACCTAAAGATAAGAATGAAACCCACACGAATGAGAACCCATATGAAAGAAAAGAGAAAGGTTCCTCCATGTCCTTATTGTCCGTTGGAATAAGGATGAAACCCCAGATGATCACCCACAGATCTCCCGGATGAAAAAGCTCTAACTCGACCTAGACCCGTCCGGGCCGTCCCTCCCACCACCGCTTCGAAAACTCCTCCATGAAACTTCCACACTTCCCGGTCCTCCTCAACAGTAATCTTGTACGCAAGTCGATTAATGCAGCATTTACGACATGGCTGTTGCTCTTTATACCCAGTGAGTACCTATCTCTGCCGGGTGGGGCTTTCCTATCTTAGCTGCCGCCGCTATTACGAGGGCGATCTCTTAGATGTGACTATTCATTCAAACATTCACCAAGACTGGGTGTCCGGTTGTAAAGGTAGGCTGGTCCAACAATCTAACCAGTCGCTTCTGAAAGTCTGCCCGAGCACCTGGGGCCAGATACTTCGAAGGACGGACACAACTTTACTAGAGAGGCGGACCTCTTCATCACGAGACTCATGCCAATGGTTCTGCCTGGCTCGTATTATCTCCCACTCCCTTTTCCCAATCTGCTCCATGACAGGCACCCCTGGATTCTCAAGGTTATAACCTGTAAGCAGATATGATCGCGCAAAGCAATCGAGCAAGTAACGCTCCTCTTGGGGAAAGTACACGTTGCCGCACGGGAAAATTCGTAGGTCTTTCAAACTGGGGCTCTTTTCTTTGATCTTGGTCCAAATCTGGAGAGCCAGGCTCTCGTCCATGGCTGCATTTATGAAAGTTCGTCGGAGATCGAGATCGTCTGTTTCGGGAATGCTGCCAAATCTCGGTACCGTTGGTCGAGCATCGAAATCCAAATCTAGAAATAGTCTTTGGAGATTGGGGAAGGTACCCAGCGCTTTGTACATCTCACACTCTGCTTGGTTGCCCGCTGACCTCTTCATTCGAAGGCGTAGCTCTTCCAGTTTCGGACAAAGATTCATCATTTCGAGGAGCTTGGAAGAATTGAGTCTGGGATAGTACTGGTAAGCCTTGTTGGACAAGAGAGCAAGTCCCTTCAATGACGGTCCATGACGCTGGATGATTCTGTCCAACGCTTCAACATTGCGAAGGCCCCTGACATACAGATATTCCAAGGGGCGAAAGGCAAGTATCCCAGCCATTGATTCTTCGATGTCAGTCTCGCTGGCCGGATGGCTCGGCCATCTTCTGCCGATATCAAGGAAAAGCCTCTTTAGATTTGGCAACAAGTCGGCAACGTTGACAAGTTTCCCCGGTTCACAAACGCAACCAATGTCGAGTGAGCGGAGTTGAGACAGGTCTCCGGCGGCAGCTAATTTGGAAAGCATAATTCCTTCGGGCCGGTTGGTGGGTATTGTGACCGATTACAACTGGGATATTGCCTTCGGCTTGGCTTTATCAATCAAGCTTTGCCATGTCGCTTTCAGCAGATCCACTCCGACTTCATGAACACCATCACTGGGCTTCAGAGGTGCTTTAGCCCCGGGCTGGTGAATAAGAAAGGCATCATCTCCCAAAGCTGCTGGTGTTCAGCCGACTGCCTATAGTAAATGGAAATGGCGGTTGTCAGGGTGTGAAGGCCCGGCAGTTGAAGAGCATCCATTCTGAATTCGCTAGAATAGTCATAACTCATATCCAGATACCGATGTAGTATCTGGATAGAGTGGACTAGGTCCCACTCTTTGCTTGCTGAGAATATTCAGCCTGCAATCGGGATGGTAGCGCCAAAATGCTTCCGTCAAGTCGGCTGTGAAGTCGTTGGCCGTGATAAAGTCGAATTGATCAAGATGGTTCAAGCTAGCAATGAGCGATACGACCGGTGCCCACTGCCCAGTTTGGAGTTTTCTTGAGAGCCTCTACCGTTTGATGGCAAAATCGTCACAAATTTCTCACATGAAAGGTCCAGAGTTGTACCTAGGTAACTACCTAACGTTCGCGTGTCGGGAACGCGACGCAGGCGGGGTCGACTCGCGCACGCGTTTTCGAGACATTGCAGCGAGATATCGGAAATTAAAGACGGAATCTTACTATAAAGCATCAGATATGCCATTTCCGGTCATCTGAAGGCATACCTGGTCAAAATGGTGGACTTGGTAAAGGGCTCCCGACAACTTCTAGTACTGTGGTCGACATTCTAAACTCAGACTATGCGACGAAGCTACCAATTAGGTTTAGCGCGCCGAAAATCCGGCAGAACTTTGGGATCATGTCATGTGATATATAGCCGGACGTAACTGAGGTAAGAGTGAGTAAGACTGAGAGTCTGAGACTGGCGTTTAAAAGAAAGCGGATGAAGCTAGCGCTCAGCAATTGAGGCTAAGGGTCCGGGGGGGTGGGGGGTGGGGGGCGCCCAAAGCCCCCTGGTGGTTAGGTAACTACTGTGTACTCAGGGCCACAGGGGCCCAGGGCGTGCTCCAGCTCAGTTCTACGGGCAGTTCTGCTCAAGTGAGCAAAAAGCGACATAGGGTGAGCACTAAAACGGAAAGGGAAAGCCAGAACTTGTCAGACATAGGTATATCCTGTCTATATGCGGATAAATATAGCCTCTCATCTTTCGTCGCAATAACCTAATACAGAGCTTTGATTCAAAAACCAATCAGAACTTAGGTACCTTGCTGGAAACTTGTCCACCTTGCCAAATCCATGATCTCTGTATATCCATATCGATATGGCCATCTTCAAGAGCAGCCTGAAATCTTGGGAGGTCTGTCGCCCACATGGCCACCATGACAACTTGTTACAAGTTACCTGGGGCTTGGGGAACTCCGTCATCTGCCCAACTGCTGTCCCATTCAGTGAACTCTCAGGCACAGGTGTTTTTGAAGGTCTTCGAGTTATCGAAATGCACCACTGCACTAGCATACCCCTCCAATTGAATTAAGTGTTGAGGATCATGATTCGTGCAGGATCAGTGTCAGGCTCATCAGCCCAAACAGCCCTTAGTTGCGTGATGCTATCAAAGATCCAGGTCCGTGATCGCTCGAACTGGTATTCGGTCCAGTCGCACCACCATTCTTTCCAAGCAGGAATAAGAACATCGGCTCGGAAATGTTGCTTATCAATTTCTTCAAAGACCGCGTATAAATTAGCCTCAATCGTGCCGAAGGACTTATTAACGTCGGCGTCAGCGAGATAATGCCAAACAGCAATTGCAGCTTTGATCGCTTTAAGCGGTCGGCCAGGCTGAGTCACATCTTTTGTGAGTGCAGTCCACTTCGATTTCTCAATCAGGGCCTTGTTTCCGAATATCTGTTGGGAAGAAAAAGGGGGGAAAGTTAGCACAGCCACTTGGAATCCAGCACCGTCAGCACTTACACGAGCTTTCATGCCATTAACCACAGCCTCCAAGAGGTAGAAGTTGGCGCTGTTGGTCTTGCTTCCAAGAGCTCCCATCATTCGGATCGATGGTCTTTGGCTCACGTTTTCTCCTGGATCCCCAGTGTAACAAGCCTTCCCCTTAGCCATAATCTCCGCATTGAAGCCTACACCTGCCACGGCAACAAAGAAGTCGGCAGGGACGGGTTCAAAACTGGGATCTTTCTTTGAGCCTAGGGTACCCTTTGTTGCTGCTTCGAAAAACAGCCCAAGGCACTGGATCTCCAGAATGTGCTCCGTAGCAAATGTGTGTCCACTTTTGATTGTAGGGAAAACAAATGGATTTCCGCAATCAGTCCGGCTTTCGTAGCTGCGCGTAGGCTTGTAGACATTGGAAGTTACGCTCCACTCACCAGCCTTTGTATAGCCAAGATGATAATATGCCAGGTTGTCTACCCATTGCTCGTCGGCCGCCGACCAGATTCTGAACTTGTGGGGCTTTTTATCAAGCAGGGCCTGTTCTTCGTGGCTGAAATCACTGATGGCAAAACCCGTGATGTCAAAACGGCGCTGTAGTAGCCAGTCCGAGTCGTCATCAAGATCGTAGCAGAGCTCAGGGTCAGCATCGGTATCGCAGATATCTCCAGAGCAGATGCTATCCTCCTTGTTGTCTACCATCTGATCCCAGTCGCCAGGTCTTCAGAGAATGCTCTGGGTCACAAACTCGGTTCCCATCTCAAATGTCTCACTCAAAGATCGGACAAATGGTCCCAGTTTGTCCATGACAAGGTTCTTCCACTCATGAGCAGTCACCCAAGTGTTCCAGGCTGCGGCATTGGCCGCTTGAACCGGATTGTAGTCCGTCGCCTCCACGAAGAAGATAATGGCAAGAATAGGCTTGAGGTAGAATAGGGCACTTTGTGCGTCAGACTTGGAACGTGCGATCAGACCTTTGCTGTCCGGACCAAACAGATCCCAGTCAGTTACAAGAACATCTCGAGTGGTAAGGGAAGCCCCAGAATCACAAGAGCCATCCACCAGATAGGAGTCCAATGCGTCCTTGAATAGACGGGGTAGCGGATTCGTGTACGTCTTCTCGACGGTGTATTGGTCGTCGCAGCAAAAGGCCTTGAAGCTTTCAGCGTCGCACTCATCATCCGGTTGTGCTATTCCCATTGCGACTCGCACTGTTCCTGCAGGACAAGCGGACCTGCACCAAGGACCACTGACACCATCGGGTATGGAACCAATATCCTTGTGCCATTTGCAGTTTTGCCACTGCTTCCCACTCTGAGTGTCATCGTAGCAGAGCTTTCGTTCCTGCCATACGATTTCCTGTAAACTGGCATGAATATCGCGATACTAACAGAAAGCGTTCCCACTGCCGCTGGAAGAGGAGACGAGGGTCTGGGTTTTTTTATCATCGTACACAGGGCACTCTCCATTGTCACAACCTGGGAAAGAAGACCACGTTGTGGTGTCATAGAGCAGTGTCGCATCTTTGCCAGAAGTACAGCAAGAAGCTTGGTAATCATCGTTATAGCAAAGATCGGGCTTAGCGACAGATCCGATCTCGAAGGTTCCAGAAGGACAGGTACTTTCACACTTGCCATTGTTGTGGGAGTACCATCCACATTTGACGCCGTGGTCTTGAGGGCAGCAGAGCGTATGTGTCTGGCCTGTTGGACAAGTCACACTGTCCAACATCAGGGAATGTCCATCCCCAGCTCCGGGACCGACACCACGGAAAACTGTCACATAGGGCGACTTGCAGACTTCACCACATCCGACCCATGTGCATTGTCTCTTTCGATCCTGTTTCGTCAACGTGAGACCGTTGGGGTCTTCAATTACGGAAAGGATCGATGGACCAATCCTATACGGTGTCTGTTCTTTCAGTGCCTCAGTGTAGGTTCCGTTCGAGGTATCCTGGCTGACAGCCCAGACCATGACACCACCAAGGCAACGGTCCTTCACGTAATCAGCCTTCAGCTTGAAAGTGCTTGTATCATCATATGTAAGCCACTGGTCCTCCCAGGTGAGAATTTGGACGGCTGCATCTTTATCGAGCGTGGGCTCCACGTTGTACGTCGTACGGATGTCGTCAATCTCGCTATTCAGGAGAATACCAGTCTGACCACTGCAGGGGCCTTCATCTGAGCCAGATGCAAATAGACAGCCTGGGGTTCTAAGAATTCGTTCGTTATCACCACGATCAAGCAGTCAGGTAGGGGATTTGATGGATATTTCACTTACGTGCAGCTTGTGTCTGCGACGGTAAAGGCTCGAGCGTAAAATGCCAAACCCATGACAACTTTGCTAGGACTGATGTTGTTTCTCCAGAGCAGATCCATGGCGACTTCGATCTCGGTCAAGTTCGTGTGACTATCGAGGTATGCACCAGACCACTGGTTCTCTGTTTTGGCTTATTAGTACTGTTCATTCCACAAAAATAGCTGGCTTTCCAACTCACTTCCGTCCCATGTTCCATGCAGATCATACGACATATAATTGAAATAATCGACAGATTTCTCAAGGCCCTTGATGTCGAAGTGTTGCAGGTACCAATAGGACGTCGGCAAAGTAAGACTGAGCTCACGAGTCACCCCGCCCTGGTTCAGTGCCTCTTTCAGATTTGCCATGAAGGAGGGGAAATTCTTCAAGTCTGCAACGCGACCGCCGCGGTCACTATCAACGGGATATTCCCAATCAATATCGACACCATTGAAGCCGTACAGTGACATGAAGTGGAGTAGAGAGGCGAAGAACTTGTTCTGATTGTCTTTTGAAGCAGCGAGGTCTGAGAAAACAGTTGCTGTAGAGCCAGGATCATTGAAAGCCCAGCCGCCGATGGCGATATTGACCTTCAGTTGATAATCTTTCCTCTTCAAAGCCACTAGACGTTTCATAATATTTGCCTCTCTCTCGTTGTTTGCCATTACGGCGAAGGTCTTTGGGTCAATGGTAGCGAATGCATAGTTGAGGTGAGTGTAGACTGACGAGGGAATCTGTTCAGGCCAAAAGGCCTTGCAGGGGCGCTTTGGAGCCCATCCTTCATAATATCCGACTACACGCCGGATATCTGTTCTATCAAAATCACAGGAAGGTCTTTTCACTTTTTTTGTGCCACAGAATTCCTCTGTTGTTCCGCAGAAGCCATATTTGCTGCAGCACACGTTCAGGGGGCAAGAAGTTGAGTTCACGTAGTCGGTTCCCCAGTCTTCGGGGTCGCATTCTGCCTTTGCATCGCAAGATGAAACACAGTTCTTGGAGCCGCAGTCTTCATTGATCTTGAGTTAGCCGTGTTCAAAAAGAAAAATCCGAGGTACTTTGAGGGGGCTCAAATATAAATCACCCTCAATGAGAAGGGTGTGCTCACAGTCAGGCCCCATTCCACAAACTCCAGCCTTGGAGCAACAGCCAAGTGCACATGGTCTGTTCTCATCGCATTCGCCTACTGGTCCTACATAGTCGCAGTTTGCAACGCAGGATGATCCCTATGTTCACCACAGCAGTGAGTATTTTGTCAATTTGTAGATATTCTCAATCACTTACGCAGTACTCGTCGCCCGTTCCGCAGTATCCAGCGCTTTGGTGGAATTCGTCAGCATTCGGGATTGCAAGGATAGCCTATCGGCGATCTCCAGGTAGACGTACCTGGAACAGCATCCAGTAGCACAGGGATTGGAAGCACTGCAATCTTGTCCAGCAGCCTGGGCAATGAAGCCCGAAAGCACCAAACCTAAGAAGATAAAACGCAACATACTCCTGGAAGGATGAAGCATCATCAACGGGAAAGGCATCGACAGATTCAAAGTCTATTGCGAGACAGAAAAAAGAGGAATGTGGTTGGGCTTTTCAAGCAACCTCCAATTTAAGGAAGACTGACTCCTATTCCCATTTTAGACCACTTATCCGTATGTACTGTAGCTAGCATGGAGTTTTCTATGTACGCTAGTTATTACCGAGTAGATACTTGTACAGCCGGAGGCGAATCGTGAAAAGAAGCTAAAGTAGAACACTGAGTTAACGGCGGATACCAAAAGGAAATGAGACTACCAACTTCTCATAGGCTATGCCCAAATAGTGTCGTTGGATTTGCAGTAGTCCGGGCTAGATATCAGACGACCCAATTTAGACCGTTCGGCTCTGATCTTGGCATGGAGTAAAAGTATGTAGCCCTCCAGCCGAGCTTGGCATTGATGGATCCAGGTAGTCTAACAAACTAGCGCCGGATCCTTTCCGATTCTTAGCTATGCTTAACGTTCACAAGGGCTAAGAAGGGCCCAAGCGCGCCACGACAGTATTGCCTACTCGAATTCACAAATATCGCCAAATTGGATACGAGAGAAGAAATCTAGAATGAGACTGCCCTACTATGCTTAGGTCTATCACACACAACAGCCGCCAAATCCACCTTTTCTAAAGAAAACAACTTGTCGAATTTCCTTTTCTTATTTCAAATGAAACAGGATGTGCACTCCCCTCTGAGGTAGTTCCAACCGAAATCTTCTACCCATATCCATATTCATCAAACGACCACTTCCATTCGCTAGCGCGTTGAGTCTGAATTGTGCACATTGGTTGCACCTCCAAATGTTATTTACGCGAGGCTAGCCCAGGAACCCGTGGTGCTCCGGACAAATTGGCTAAAGTCCAGCGCCATTTCTAGTGTCCACCGGATGTTTGGGAGCCGGAAGTCCGAGATCCGGCGAAGCAGCGTAAATTGTCTCTCAAGCGCTTGGGAAACGTCACGGATTGAAGATAAATGATGACACCACGGCCTTGCGAGCGACATATCAATAGGATGTGTTGACATGCCAATAATCCTATACTGTAGATCGTTTCCAAGATTTGCCATGTGAACAATGCTTCCCGGAAGCTTCCTTTGTTGTGGGGCCGGAGTGTGATCGACCAATCAGGTAGCTTGTAATTTACGGGTCGGTTCCCATCCATACAGATTGTAATATTTCATCGAGAATACACCTTGATACGGTGTCTTCTAAGAATTCACTTCTCATCTGAGAGCAACCATAACCACAAATGCCGCATCACCCGAATACGACAAAGGAGAACATTCCAAGTCTGGTCAAGGGCCACAAGATGTGGAGAGTGCAGAAAAATAGCGCAAATAGCTTCTCGGCTACTCCTGGTTGAGAGGTTTTGTGGCGAAGAACTGATCCTGGAAGCAGACTGAGAAGTGAGCCTGAAGTAAAGCCCCCTTGCCCTTTCCCTCCTATATTTCACAATTGAACTGTATCCTTCATGGTCATCCAACTCCAAAGTTCCAGCCTCGATCACTGTGAGATGGCTCGGCCTATAGCCAGTCCAGGGGCCCAGTCCCTACGGTGGATGCTATTGCTCGCCTTTTGCTGTTCTCTTTTGGGAAATGCGTATGGAACGCATCACCAACATCATGGTCACCGACACCTTCACCATCAAGTGCGTGATGTGAAAGCCTCGGCTTTCCCCACCGTGACTTCTTCTTCTTCCCTTCCCTCCACTCTCGAGGAAGCCAAAGGGATAATCAAAAATGCGCAAGCGTCTTTGGCGGTCATGAACAAAGGCCGGTTAGCGTATCCGCAATGGAATCAATACATAGCCCAGCCTGGGTCGAAAAATGTAACCACCCCAGTGGCACCTGCACTTGGCACGAAGCATCTGGCGACAACTCATGCGATGGTTGCCAAAATCGCTCTGAATGAGTCAAAGACGGAAAACCAGGGCAGCCAAAAATTTACCTACACCATTCCATCTGCGGTTGCTCATGCTGCCAAAATTGTTGCTGAAGCTTCTCCTCAATCTCCGCCTGGCTCTCATGGTGTGGATATTGCAGAAATCCGGCGCAAATACCGGCCCCAGCGGAATGACACCAACAGGCCAGCTCAGAAGTACGCGCAGTCCAATGGACTAGACGGATATGTGCATGCTCATGCTCCCATGAACTCTGCTCTGACTTCGGACTCGGGGGCCGACGAGTCCCAACTGACCAAGCGATCGTCCGCGGACTTCTGGCTCACAACAATGACCCAGAGAGGCTCCAGTCCATACGCACCAGAAGGATATAAGGTATAGTCACCTCTTCTGAAAGTCTAGTGCCTAACTCTAACAAATTCTTGAAGGTCTGGAGAAATGTTAAAGAATACGGTGCCAAAGGTAATTCTTGACCTCTGAAATTCCCAAGTGTCGCAATGGATGCTGATAGTGAGATTCCAGGTGACGGCGTCACCGACGACACTGCCGCCATCAATCTTGCCGTCTCTGATGGCGGGCGATGCGGAGCTGTTTGTGGCTCTAGTACTATCTACCCGGCCTTTGTGTATTTCCCCCCTGGCACGTATCTGGTGAGCTCGCCAATTATCCAATACTTCAACACGGAGTTCTTCGGAAATGTAAGCAATTCACGATCGCCAACGGTTACTTTGTCGGAACTGACAAATTATATGTAGCCCCTTGATTACCCCACAATCTTGGCTGCGTCCAGCTTTGTCGGTCTTGGCGTTATCACCTCCGACGTCTATACTGGGGACACTACTGAGTGGTGAGTTAACAACATAAATATTCCCTCGCTGAGTCGCTAGAGACCATGGTGGATTTGAGGCTTATTGATGCACAAGGTACATCAATACCAACAACTTCCTTCGATCAGTTCGAAACTTCAACGTTGATGTCACGAGAACACCACTGGATGCCTATGTATGTGGAATCCATTGGCAAGTGGCGCAAGGAACATCGCTCGAGAATATGGTCTTCTATATGTCGCAAGATGAGGCAACTACCCAACAGGTGAGCATTAGCAGTCTTTAAGTTACAGCCAAAGAATTTGTATCCTAATTTTTGCTCAGGGGGTATACATGGAAAACGGCAGTGGTGGCTTCATTACCAACTTGACATTCGTTGGTGGCAACTTTGGGTAATCCCCCTCCAGAACCCACAGCCTGCTTGCGACTAAGACTTCACAGAGCATACTTTGGCAATCAACAGTTCACCACGTCTGAACTTACCTTTATTAACGCAAAGAACGCCCTTCAAGTTCATTGGGACTGGGCCTGGACTATGCAAGACGTGATTATCGAGAACTGTGTCAATGGCCTGGTGATTGTTGGCGGAGTAAGTTTTGCATTCATAATCGCACAGCATACACTGACCATCTCCGAACAGGCCGGCGGTAGCATGAGCACTGGACAATCCGTTGGCTCACTGGTCTTAATGGATGCTCTGATCATCAATACGACAAACGCAATCGTGACATCCTTGTTCGCGGAAAATTCGACCTCTTTCCTCCTGCAAAACTCTATTTTCAGAGACGTGACCACCGCCGTGCTCGATAGTGCTCAGGGTACAGAGATTCTAGCGGGCGGAGCTGCTTTCGGGATTGAATCGTGGGGCTTTGGTCGCGTCGCTACCTCTAGTACTAACAGCACATTCTACAACGGTCAGGATATCCCCGCCATGGAGAGACCTGTGTCGTTGACGTACATGGGATATGACAAGCCCAATTTCTTCCAGCGTCGTCGACCTGCTTACACCAACATTGGAAACACTCAGATTATCGACGTGAAAGAATGGGGTGCTGCTGGGGATGGCACAACGAATGATGGGCCAATTCTGAACAGCATCCTGGGCCGCGCTGCGAACCTTTCAGCCATTGTCTTTATCCCGCATGGTATTTACATTGTTGAAGATACACTGCATATTCCGGTTGGCTCTCGTATCATCGGTCAGGCGTGGTCCCAGATCATGATGAAAGGGTCGAAGTTCGAGAACCAATTAAACCCCCATGTTGGAGTTCAAGTTGGCCAAACTGGCGATGTGGGAATCATCGAGATTCAGAGTCTGCTTTTCACGGTCTCTGGTCCTACTGCTGGTGCTGTGTTAGTGGAGTGGAATGTCCACCAATACACCCAAGGCTCAACTGCCATGTGGGGTAAGTCGATCATCCTTCTCTTCATGCCTCCTCTAGCGCAGAATTATATTTCAGAAAATTCTTACTGACGTGATTCACAGACTCTCATTTCCGAGTTGGCGGCGCAAAAGGGTCTTCTCTGCAAACCTCCCAGTGCGACAAGAGCGATACCGCAGTTAATTCAGCCTGCGTTGCAGCATCGTTGCTTCTACATATAACTTCTCAGTCTTCGGCCTATCTTGAGAATATCTGGGCGTGGACTGCCGACCATGACCTTGATACAACAGCCCAAGAACAAATCAATATTTACTCCGGACGAGGCATTCTAGTGGAGAGCCAAGGCCCGACATGGTTATACGGCACCTCCTCTGAGCACAACGTTCTCTACCAATATCAAGTGTCCAACGCCAAGGATCTCTACATGGGCATGATCCAGACCGAATCACCATACTTCCAGCCCACTCCTCACGCTCCCCAACCGTTCAAAACGGGTCTATTTTCCAATGACCCAGTCTTCGCAGATTGTGATTCCTCGGCCAACTGCTTTGCCTCCTGGGCTCTTCGAATCATCGACTCTTCCTCTGTTTATGTCATGGGCACAGGTTAGTACCACAACTACACCACGATGTATTTGTTTGTTTTTCGAGGACCACAGGCTAACTTGTATTTTCCAAAGGTATCTACAGCTGGTTCTCCGACTATAGCCAAGCTTGTCTGGATACAGAGAACTGCCAACAACGTGCAGTTGAGATCTCCCAGAGTACTGATACTTGGATCTACAACCTTGTCACGAAAGGCATTGTAGAAATGATCTCTCCTGTCAACGAAGACCCGACTCTCGCTGCCAATAATGTCAATGGATTCATGTCATCGATTCTGGCTTGGGTTCGCGGAAGCAATACCACCATTGGAGAAAGAACCTTCCCTGGCTTCCAAATATACACTGCCGAACGCCTTGAAGGATTGGGTCTTACCGAGTCGTGCACCACGGCGTTGACACAGAAAGTCCTTTGCAGTCCATTTTTGAAGACCTGGACATCCCCGGGCATTGGTCAATATTATGAAAATACCACTTTCACTGACATGCTTTGCGACGCTGGATGTGGTGAAAGCCTTGGAAGCTACGTGGATAATGTGGAAACATATTGCGCCAACCAGACCATCGGCAGCTCGATCCCAACCCGAAATGGAGGCACGATATACCACAACTACAATTTGACCTGTCTCATGGATCAAGATACAAATAAATACTGTCTTGATACTATCATGGATTTCACTACCGTGGAAAGCGCGAAGGACATGCCAACTGATGAGTTGTGCTCGTACTGCTACACCACCATGCTCGAAATGAGACAGGCCAGTATCTACAGCAGCTACAAGGAGTCCGACAAAGAGAACCTCGAGCTGATTCAATCAACATGCCGCCTGACTGGACCCACCGAGCTGCACGATCCGCCTTATACTGTGACGCCAACTCCGGACCCCGTTTGTGTCTCAAACACAACCTACACAACCCAGTCCGGAGATACCTGCGACAAGCTAGCAAAGCAGTATTCCGTCGCTTCAGCCGCAATCCTCTATGCCAACCCAACTATAATTGGGAACTGTTCTGATCTGCCAGCCAGTCGCGATATCTGCATGCCCCTAGCCTGTGACACGCAATACACGCTCCAAGATGACGACAACTGCTGGCAACTCGAGCATGACTATGGGCTCGCTCCAGACTCCATTCGTCAATTCAACCCCTGGCTTGATTCGGATTGTCTGAGCATGCAAGGCGCCCGCGAAATTCTCGGCAGCGTCCTTTGCTTTTCTCCCCAGGGCGATACCCATATTACAGCTGGTGACGGCATCACAACAGCTCCTGGAAATGGGGTTTATGCACAAGGCGTGGTTGCACCGCCTGCGGACTCTACTGTTGCGCCTGGAACTACGACGAAATGCGGTCGGTGGTACTCCGCGACGGCTGATGATTTATGCGTCCAGATCTGCTTGAAGTCTGGAATTTCGGCGAAGCTTTTCAAAGCGGCGAACCCTTCTCTGGCGACTGACTGCGACAATAACTTGGTTGCTGGTGATGCTTATTGCGTTGGGCCGGTTCCTCGCTGGAATGAAACTGCGTACTGGACTGAGACTGTGTCAGGAACATAGGGCTCCACCTGGTATCGAGTCGTATGGAATCCCCTGGGAAACGCTTGGTTTGCATTGTGCTCCACTTCGTCGGGATCACTATCCTCCGAGGAATGGCGGCACTCATGGGCGTATAAACCCTCTGAATCCCTTGTGTAGATAGGTGGGGGATCTTCGGATTCCCTCAGTCATTCTCAATCATTTCACTCATTCTCATCCATTCATTCATATGCGAGATTGCACAGTCTTTAGTTCTGCTGCAGAGTGCAGTACACAGTCTTTAGTTTCGCTGTTGTACCCCTTCTTTCACAGCCCCGTTTGCTGTCAGAGTGCTACTACAGTAAACCGGTATATAACGAAATGAATGAGACACGGTGAATTTTTCGTTAAAAGCGAGAATTCGTTAGAGCCAGCTGTCATGTGACTTACATTTTGTATGGGGGAGGTGTGACCCACTAGGCCACTACAATATATGTCAGGTGAGAATATATATATCACAGAGTTGCTTCGCTACCAACGCTCAGAAATGATAGATTAGGTATATACAGATTTATGCCCGAAAGAAGCTCCTAATATCACTTTGCTTCTGATCCCTTGATCTCCTCAACTCTAACGACCTCTCATATCTATGAAAGGTAGGAATCATCTTGGGTTCACCCTGATCCTGCTGCTCCTCAAATGAACAAAGAAGTCTCACAGCCTGGATAGCCTGATCAAAAGGAATCCGCGATGCTAGTAAGTTTGTTGGAACCATCCAGCGAGCTTGTTGTTCGACAGCAGGGGGTTGCTTCGACGGTACGCTCGGAGGGCGACCTTTTGGGAGGTTGGGATAGATCGGCGAGGCATTCTGATTGGACAAACAGGTACTTGATATAGCGAAAATACTATGGGAGGGAATGTTCAATTTACGAATTTCGTAGCAGAGTGGTTTACTATGGTAAATCAAATGAAACAGTCATTTTTTTTCGTAAAAATAAGGATTTCGTTGAATCCAACTTCGTTATAACCGAGGTTTACTGACTACATACCTGTACCTACAGTAGTAGTAGGGCTGTCTCCACTCCATTGGCATCGGCCAAAGCCACTGCCAGCGTTTGATTATGGATACTTGAGGGCAATGTTCTCAGTATAAATTTGAACATACAGACAGAACTTGATGTATCGAAGCTGCTACAGAGGCGAAATCAGTCTCACGGTCTTTCACTTTCACCTCCAGTGCTCAAGTGCTACTCTTTTTGGATCTCCGAGACTGAAACACGCTAGTCCGTGCTAGGTTTAGATAATTTCATAATTTCGAGGTGTATTGTAATATCACTGTATGTCTCATTGAAACTTTCCAATGGTTGTATTTCCAACAAATCTCAAAACCTGTGGTAAAACTACTCCATTCGTATTCAAAGTGATGCGATCTCTTAGATGTGACTATTCATTCAAACATTCACCAAGACTGGGTGTCCGGTTGTAAAGGTAGGCTGGTCCAACAATCTAACCACTCGCTTCTGAAAGTCTGCTCGAGCACCTGGGGCCAGATACTTCGAAGGACGGACACAACTCTACTAGAGAGGCGGACCTCTTCATCACGAGACTCATGCCAATGGTTTCGCCTGGCTCGTATTATCTCCCACTCCCTTTTCCCAATCTGCTCCATGACAGGCACCCCTGGATTCTCAAGGTTATAACCTGTAAGCAGATATGATCGCGCAAAGCAATCGAGCAAGTAACGCTCCTCTTGGGGAAAGTCCACGTTGCCGCACGGGAAAATTCGTAGGTCTTTCAAACTGGGGCTCTTTTCTTTGATCGTGGTCCAAATCTGGAGAGCCAGGCTCTCGTCCATGGCTGCATTTATGAAAGTTCGTCGGAGATCGAGATCGTGTGTTTCGGGAACGCTGCCAAATCTCGGTACCTTTGGTCGAGCATCGAAATCCAAATCTAGAAATAGTCTTTGGAGATTGGGGAAGGTACCCAGCGCTTTGTACATCTCACACTCTGCTTGGTTGCCCGCTGACCTCTTCATTTGAAGGCGTAACTCTTCCATGTTCGGACAAAGATTCATCATTTCGAGGAGCTTGGAAGAATTGAGTCTGGGATACTGGTAAACCTTGTTGGGCACGAGAGCAAGTCCCTTCAATGATGGTCCATGATGCTGGATGATTCTGTCCAACGTTTCAACATCGCGAAGGCCACTGACATAAAGATATTCCAAGGGGCGAAAGGCAAGTATCCCAGCCATTGATTCTTCGATGTCAGTCTCGCTGGCCGGACGGCTCGGCCCTCTTCTGCCGATATCAAGGAAAAGCCTCTTTAGATTTGGCAACAAGTCGGCAACGTTGACAAGTTTTCCCGGTTCACAAACGCAATTAATGTCGAGTGAGCGGAGTTGAGAAAGGTCTCCGGCGGCAGCTAATCTGGAAAGCATGATTCCTTCGGGCCGGTTGCCGGGAATTGTGACTGATTCCAACTGGGATATTACCTTCGGCTTGGCTTTATCGATCAAGCTTTGCCATGTCGCTTTCAGCAGAGCCACTCCGGCTTCATGAACACCATCAGCGGGCTTCAGACAGAGGTGCTTTAGCCCCGGGCTGGTGAATAAGAAAGGCATCATCTCCCAAAGCTGCTGGTGTTCAGCCGACTGCTTATAGTCATTGGAAATGGCCGTTGTCAGGGTGTGAAGGCCCGGCAGCTGAAGAGTATCCATTCTGAATTCGACAGGATCTCTAGACACCGATGTAGTATCTGGATAGAGTGGACTAGGTCCCACTTGCTGTTCGCTGAGAATATTCAGTCTGCAATCGGGATGGTAGCGCCAAAATGCTTCCGTCAAGTCGGCTGTGAAGTCGTTGGCCGTGATAAAGTCGAATTGATCAAGATGGCTCAAGCTAGCAATGAGCGATACGATCGGTGCCCAGTTTGGAGTTTTCCCAATGCTTTTGTGGGAACTTGAAAGTAAGTCTAAGCCGGTTGTTGAGTAGCAAGAGGTCATATAATGCTCCAAGAAGCCTTTTCTCGTTGCCGGATTTGGGTCAGTCGCCATGTTGAGTGCCCATGGCTCTAGCGTCCATGGCGGGGCTTGTTCCAGGAATTCAGACTTCCCCGACAATTCAATACAGACAAGGGATAACCTCCTAGCAAATTTCGCGAAATTACTCGCCCGGGGAGCTTCTGTCACTTTCGACAATGCAGCCTCCAGGTCTTGGAATGTATCCAATATCAGAGTAATGTTTCGGTAAAGGATAGGGACTGCCGCCTGGTTGCAGAGATGGTTGATCTGACTGAAAGATGACAGGTCTTTGGGTGGACAGTATGCAGGACCCTCGAGCTAATGCTCATCAGCATGAGAAATGGCGTGAACTGGGGAGGTCCCGTTAGCGACGTACATTGAGGCATATTTGCTGTAGAATTTCAACCGGAAGGTGATCCATTACGAACTGTGTCGTTGCAAAGGTAAGAGAGAAATACTTGAAATCGTCGAGACTAGTGAACTCTTAGCGCGTATGACATCCAAGGTCGAACCTGGTCAGTGTCATGCGCCATTTTAAGGGAAATCCCACCCATATAACACACTCAGTTGTTACCCATAAAGCGGCACTCGCTCTTTAGCGAGGTGCCATCCGATCGCATATTGTCAACACTCAAGAGTCTACAAAAGTTTGTGCTGTTTCTTTCCAATATTGTTACATGTTTTCTAGACTGTCACGTGGCTTCAACCTCATACAAAATCGGTTTGGGTGTCATCGCTAAGGAGTCTGAGTCCACTCTTACGGGCAGTCTCTGTGTGGAGAGCCCAAGCAGGGTCACGTCGCTTGGCAGAGTCCAGGTCCAACCGTCCAAGTCATCTGTGAGGTACGTTCTGCTCTGTGAGGCACTCTTGGTAGAGGGTCGTAACATTATCCTGTACCAGTGTACAATAATTACATACCTTGCTGAGTGTACACTGGTTGCTGAGCGTTATTGCTGAGCGTTAGCGAAGCTATCTGTAATAGCCTACACAGTAATAGGGGGTACCGCGTGCGTGTCACGTGACTGTCTTCATGGTGGTGGCCACCGTGCCCAAATTTTTAGATGTCCATCGGTGAGAATCGGCAGAATAGCATCCTCCACCAATCAGATACCGGGAATCTATATCTACTTGGGGTTCACAAAAGAATCAACACTCAGCAATTGACGCTTGGCGTCCTTCGGACGCCAAAACCCCTCGTATCACGAGATCAACCCACGAAAGAAGACAGAAGTAATGGATGTCAAATTCTCTCACTCTCAGATCGCTTTGTCCATGACCATCCACACATCTGTTTGACTTCGGTCTACATCCTTCCTTTATTTGAAAGTTCGGCTTACTGTTGGTTGATGTTCAATGCTTCCTCACTTTGACCTCACATACAACCAGAGCTGCAGAGCAGTGAGCACAACCGTCAACCGAATATACCTAGAATCCTATACTCAGCACTACCCGCTTTTATCTCAATGAACATGAGAATTAGTACTGCTCTTTCATCACGAGTTCCTCTAGAGTAAACGGGATAGCTACAAAGAGTGAGAAGCGCTTTGTATCTCTCTCATCTTCCCTTCACTTTCAATATACAATATGCCTCAGCCCTAGAGTCCTCAAGTTAAGATCTCCTCCATCTGATCAAAATCATGTCACATTATCATTCCACACTCCCAGTCCTTCACAAGGAATCCCCGGCTCAGTCTTAAAACCTCTCTACCGCAACCACCCTACCTCTACCAATACGATCAAGACGAACGAGTCCATCATCAAACAACCAACCCTATCCATCCTCTCATCGCAATCACAATTGCGATTACTATTACAAATTTCCTCAGAAACACAAACAGGTCTGAACTCACCACCATCAAGAACCCAAACCAAGCCCACGCTAACAAATACAATAGACCTCAGCAACAGCTGAACGAAAAAGCAATCTGCGATCGCAATGTGTCTCTTTGTAGAGACACACTACGTAGAATGCGAACACACCTGTTTCGAGTTATACATCTTCTGCCATGAGATCCTCTTCCAACTGAATCGCATCAATGATCCAGATCAGCGGGATGCGTTCGATATACCGTTCGACCCAAATTGTCCCTTCTGCGAGCCTTGGGTTCTTATTGAGAGACCGGCGGGTCTTGCGCCTGAGGTGGATTGGTTTGACATCACTGTGCAGAGCAATATTGTTCTGCGAACAATGGACATGGTGGAGGTTTGTCCTGGGTGCAATGCGTGAAGGAGAATCAATCAACCAATCAATCAAAGTTCTATTAACCTGCTGGAGTCTCACAAGTATCGTAATAGCTGTGCAGGTGCTTCTTTCCGGGTGAAGCAAGAACTCGTAATGAATGCGTGGATGCACCGTCCACCTCCCCAAGTTCACTCTCCTCACGTATCCCGCGTAAGCTCCCGGCCTGTTCCCGTTGTAGCAAGATCAGACCTCGTTCTCCGACATCCTCACTTCAGCGTCGATTGCTGGTCGTCGTTCTTCAGTGCCCAACCAATCAGCGTGTACTCGAATAGCTGGTTGAGGCTCTCGCCTTCCTCATGCGTGGCGGTAGGCAATGGTGAGTACCCAACATCTTCGGGACTCCGCTCCATAAGCTCGAGCAGCAGAGCCGAGCACCATTCAGAAGGGTAAAGCAGCTGTCCCGAAGAAGCCGGCCCCGAGGGTCCTTACCCTGGATGAGGAGCCGAAAGAGAACATTGAAAAGAGGCTCTTAGAAACGAATTTGCAGACATTCGGAGGAAATTATCGATGAAGAAGTTATGATGGATTCCCTACCGACGGTATGTCAGAATACTTCTTAGGGACAGCTGCCTCACCTTTCGGGGTGATGCTCGGCCCTGCTGTTCTCTGCGGAGTATCCCAAGTACCATCGAATGGAATCCATCATGACGTCCTCGTCGATAACTTCCTCCACAGTGGTCTGCCGAGAGGGAGGTTCGTATCGGCCACTCTCATACGAGCGGGGTAGAAGGGAGCCCGTTCTTACGACAACATTTGCAAGCTGCGTCTGGGCTACTCGGGTGTTGATGGCATGCACGCCTGCGCTAGTCTCCTCCAAATAGCCGACGTTGTCACGTTGTAACCTTGGTCGATTTTCCCTTCGTTCAATTCAGGGGGGATCTCTCGGTTACGACACGAAGAGGGGCTGGGGAACGCAGCAACGCTCGAAGGCTGTGTGCTCGAAGGCACACGGATCGATTCAGCAGATAACACCTAGCATAGCATCAGAGCTAAAGGATTAGCGAGGTTGGGCTTGCGCTCAAGTAGTAGAATCAGAGAGTTGTAGAAGTGGACTCTTCGTGCTATGAGCCTATGACTGAGTACTACACAGTACTGTGATGACCTCCTTGCAGTGTCGCAGACCATAGCCAATGATGAGGCCATATTCTGCCAAGTTCTGCTACGCTAACCTAATTGGGCTGCTTCATCATCCTTGGGGAAGAGGCAGGCGAACGCCAATATCACCGCCTTTCGGTTACCTACGTGTTGTTGTTGTTGTTGTAACTAACTACCTCAACTTGAGTCCTTGACAACTACGGAAGCGTTAGGTTCTATTTGACACAGATCTGAAGATGGCCCAACTAGAAGTACCGAAGGGCTGGGTTCTATATGACACGCGTCCGGATATGGAGCAATCTCGGCGTCAGTTTGAAGATTGGTGTTGACAACTGAGTTTGGATCACAGTCTCAGCACCAGAATGGAATCAAGTGGGAGAACAGAAAAATTTCAGATGCCTGGGACCATTTCGAACAGCTTGCGGATGAAACGACTGGCGAGCCAAAGGTCATTTGTAAACATTGTTCCAAACTGCTTACCCATCCCAATGTCAAGCGCTCTGGAACCTCGACGCTGAGCAGACATCTGAAAGCGGATAGCTGTTGCAAAGACCAGATGACACAAGACTTGGTAAGTTTACGAGTCAAGACATCTCCTTCTTTCAGCTGATATCTAATTTAGCCGCAAAAGCCAACCAACGAGGTCTTCAACCAGAGCCTTTGGGAGGAATTGCTTTTGAATCTCATCACTGCGACCGGTGTCTCATTCAGCATGGTCGAAAGCGAGAGTTTCAAGGAACTTATTCAGTGTCTCCGGCCAGATGGACCGGAGCTGGACATCCCTTCGGCAGAGATGCTACGGCGCCTTATCGATGTTAAAATCCAAGAGCGACAACAATCCATCCTCGCTCAACTTCCTGAAGGAAAGCGCCTCTCCATTGCGCTTGACTGCTGGACGTCTCCGCATTCTCAGAAGTTCATGGCAATTACGGGCTATTTCATCGACAACGACTGGAACTATCATGAAGTTTCCCTTGGGTTTGAGCCCCTGATTGACTGGTATACTGGTGATCCATTAAGTGAGACCAAATTAAGTGAGATCGCTATTCAAATCCTGACGGAGCATGGAATCGCCGACCGTGTACTATCAATCACCACTAATAATGCATCGAACGACAATGCCTTGATGGCAGGCGTTCAAGACGCAATGCTGTCGCAAGGTCTTCGTGATGCTTCTATCTTCCGCGTTCCTTACATCGTTGATGTGATCGAGCTTTCTCTAAATGAACTGCTTGGGGAGTTAAAGGCAGTCCCGGAGAATGAAGCGGTGGAGAGGGAGTGGTCCGATGAGCGTACCCAGTCACTACTGCTCAGGTGCTCTACAAGAAAGCATCGGATCACTGATACTTTAGACAAAGTAAGTGTCTATACTATATCTTATTGTTCCTCTTTGTATAGTAATACTAATTAATAATATCGTCAGGTTCGAGGCCTCGCTATCTTTGTCAATAGCTGCGGGCACTGCATGGAAGAGTTCATTGCGCTTCAACCCAATGGGCGAAAGCTCCTCCCGATCCAAGATGTTCGCTCGCGCAAGAATTCCACATTCTTGATGCTCAATCGTGCTAGGAACCTACGGCCAATCTTTGATCAGTACTGCAGAACACACCCGCAGTTTGAGCTTGGCCAAGAGGAGTGGCGCCAGGTTGATTATCTTCTTTCACTCACCAAGCGGTTCTTTGAAATTAGCAATATTTTGTCAAAGACTAGAGATGTGTTAGTTCCACATGTCTTGAGTATCTACAATGTGCTCTTCCGGCATCTTGATGATGCTGAAATCAAGCTGAAACGAAAGGCGGTTCCCTGGAAAAAGAGAATGCTCCGGGCACTTGGTGCAGCGAGGAACAAGCTGGAGAAGTACTACGTCGCAGCGGATACGGAGTCATATGGCACCCTTTATGGCATTGCGACTATCCTCTGTCCGTCAAAGAAGCTCGAATACTTTGACGATCCGAATTGGAGAGGGGGAGGGATTGACCGGAAGAAGCATTTCCGCAACATGCTCCAAGAGGAGTATACGCGGTATCAGCAACTTTTCCCAGAGATAGAAACCGGCAAAGGACTGTCACCGCTAGATCTGCTGCTGTATAATGACCGCATGCGCACAACAGTTGATTTTGAACCGGTCTTTGAAATCAGGGAGTATCTCAACGGGGGTGGGTATATTCCTAATGTCTTTCGTTATGCTCCTTTGAACTAATCAAGAATTAGGTCTAAACCTAGGAAATCCTCGGGTCTTTTGGAAAGAGTCGGAAAAACATTACCCAATCCTCGCACAGATGGCGCGGAATACTCTCCCAATTCCAGCTAGCGGTGCTGGTGTCGAGCGTCTCTTGAATTGTGCTCGTCATATTTGCCACTACAGACGGGAGAGAAAAGGACCAAGGAAAATTAAACGCCTCATGCTCTATATGTTCTCATCAAAGTTTGAGCTTGACGAAGGCCATTTCAATATGCTCGAGGAGTATATCTCTGACGGAGAGGCTGCTATGATTGATCAATTGAGGAATCCCTTACCTGAAATTGACGACCTTGATCCAATCAGTGATGATGAAGAGGCTGGCTGGCAGGAAGAGGATGCGGCGAGTGATTCACAGGATGATCAGGAGACGAAGAGGAAGCTCAGGGCAACCCAGCACGGCAAGATAGGCCTCAAAAGAGAAGGTGTGGTAGTCTAGATTACGGTGATGATGGCCTCTCACTTCCTGATATGCCAATTGAAGAGCATGCACAGGCACCGTCAGGGATAATTTCGAAGAGAAGGATGTCCGAAGCGTTTGAACCAGACCAGCTCTTCGATACGCCAACTGAGGAGCCTATGCAGGAATGGTTGGGGAGAACTATTAAGAGAGAGATGTCAGAAGGATTTTAGCTAGCCCAGCCCTGATAGACAAACATGTATGGATAAAGAAATTTGATCATCATTTAACTGGACAAAGAAGTGAAACCTGCCGATGGGAAAATGCGTAAACTATTACTGTGTACAAGGAAGAACCCTAAACCTACTACAGTGAAATGCACACTGTAGAGGTCACACGTCCCCCTACAATAAGTATGGTAGATGCTGGAATGGATGTTCATGTGTACGCATAATATAGGAGACTAGCTAGCAGAATGTATGACAAACTTGGTATACACAAAGATTGACTGTTCAGTGGGCAACACCACAACCGCAATCACCCTCAGATCGCTTCCTGAAGTCTCCGTGGTAGGTGTCCAGACCATCGAGATGGAATGTCAAGCCCAGACGATCACCCGTCCAGTCGTATGACTGTAGAACTCCCGACTTGGTATCTTGTAGCAACTTGGTGACATTGTCAACGTTGAGATCAAGGTAGTCTGCGAGGAAGTCTCCGACGTCGGTGTTCTCGTGGTTACCAGCCAATGGCCAAGCGTCCTTGGAAGAGGATGCATAGATGTTGACATCGACAGCTATAGAAAAGGTTAGCATTAATTCACAAAGACCACTTGAAGTATAATATCTTACCCGAATGGCCGTGAGTACTCCAGCCGACCTGAGCGCGACGACTGATCATATCCGTGAATACATGCTCAGGGGCGACTAGTTTGTCGGGGTGTAGCAAGGCGTCTACTTCATCGTCTGTAGCGTCGTTGATGCCGAGCCCGTTCTTGATCAAGTTCTCCCGGACCCAAGACTTTCTGGCTGAATCCTTGTCGTCCTTGCCAGACCCGGCAAGATACTCCTTCAGCAGGACGCCAAGGTGTTCGCCAGAGTGGTTTGCCCTGTTCAAGACCTCCGGAAGCCACAAATACTCAGGGTAGGTCTTGTGGAGCTGTCGTGCTGCAGCAAGACCACCGGTCTCGTGATCGGACGTGCTGACAATGACACCGGGAGTTGAGTCATTCTCCAAGAATTCGAGCGCAGCAGCGAAGGCTCTGTCGTAGGCGAGCACCTCGTGCACCTGAGCGGCAGGATCATTGCTGTGGCCAGCATGGTCGATGCGAGAACCCTCGATCATGACGAAGAAACCCTGCTCACTGTCTTTGGTGGCCAGGCTCAAAGCTCTCAAGGCAGTGCGAGTCATCTCCTCCAGAGAAGGATAAGTCTCGTTCTGAGAACGGCGATCAATCTCATATGGGATGTCTTTGCTAGCGAGGAGGCCGAGCAGCGGGAGAGTGACATTATCGCCTCCCATGAGACCATCAAAGCCCGCACGGTCGTCGATATACCCAAAGCCATTCTTAGCAGCAACCTCGACCAAGTTCTGGTTGTCTCCGCGGCAACTTCCCTCCTGTGACTTGGGCAAGAAATGGCACCGTCCACCACCAAGCAACAGATCCACCACGCGACCAAGAGGATGTTCTCCAATTTCCTGTGCAGCAATCAGATCTTCATAGTTTCGCAAATTGGCATGTGCAGCGAAGCACGCCGGCGTCGCATCTGTCAGACGAGTCGTAACAACCAGCCCAGTCTTGTATCCCGCCAAAGCAGCCGCCTCAAGCACAGTCCCACAAGGCGAGTGATCCGGAAGCACCGAGATAGCAGAGTTATAGCTCTTCCGACCGCACGAGAAAGCCGTCGCTCCAGCCGCAGAGTCCGTCACCAAGCTAGAGGTCGATCGTGTCCGTGATGTTCCAATGTGATGCTTGTCCAAAACCAAGATGTCTTCGAACGGCAACTCCTCCGTGTATTGCCGGAAGCTTCGAGTCAGAGAAAGACTGGTCGGTCCCATGCCGTCGGAAACCATGAAAATCAGGTTGCGCTTGCCTGTCGGCTTGCCCCCGGGGCCCCAGGTCGTGTTTGACGACCAATGGTTGTGAGGTTCTGCTTTCTTGTGAGGGAACAGCACGGCCAGCACGACCACCACAATCGTCGCAATCAGGGCCCAGGCAAAGATTCCAATCTCTCGCCAGGTAGCCCAGCTCCTTTTTTCAAGCCGACGGGCTGTTCGGTTGCCTGTCAGCAGAGCGTACTCCTCTTCCTCTCCGTTCTGAATCGAAGAGGTGGCATCGGATGAGGCACGAGGAGGCAGAAGGGCCTCTTCCTGCGGCATGATGGAAAATCAAAATGGGTTAGGAATTGAAAAGGTTTCAATAAACGAGTGTTGAGGAAATGTCTCACGCGACAGCCCCCGTCTCCAAGGTTGCGTTGGCCTCGAGTGGATCCTGGGGCGGAGATGCGATAAGGCTAAGATAGCCGGCTCACATGATCAACACGTTCCTAGATTGCGGCTCTAACCCTTTTCGAGTATGATTCATGAACATTACACAGTACTAGAAGAGTGGTAATGGCCTTGTTTCTAAAACTATCTATATCGTACATCAACCAAATTCCATATAAATCCTCACAGAGGTCTAGCCTTCCACCCAATAGGTATCATCGCAGCAGCGATTTCAGTGACTCCGCGCTCCGTAGCGAGCAAATTGAACTGCGCCGCCGCATTCCGAGTATCAAGGACATCAACCCGAATGCCCAACGAGTTAATATGACGCCTAGTTTCAGGCGAGAGAGGAAACATCGAGCCCCCAACACCAAGAATAAGCATATCTGCAAGTTTCAGCAAACAGTCAGCAAAAATGAAAAACAGCCATCTCAGTACCAAGTTGTAAAACATACCAGGCTTCGGCCAAACAAGATTCAAAATCCCCCAAACGGACTCATCAAGCTCAAACTGCCCCTTAGCATTGAGCATAGCATCCTTCGCACCACGATCATTCTCCGCGCCAACAGCCTTCCACGGCCGCCACGCAAACGCCTCACCGCCAACGAGCAACAACCCGTCCCCATTAGAAACCTTGACACCATTGTTCAGATGGAAGCCGGAATCCAGACATGCGTCAATGGCGGTTGTCGGTGCAGGGATATTGCCTAGCACGTTCAGCGCATCAAAGTTCGTCTGTGTATCTTCTTTGGACTCAGGTCCGCGGTCGTGGCTGACGGGCTTGTGTGCGTGTGAGCGCGGGATCATGCGGGCTGGCCGGATGACCGAGCTGTAGTTGCGGTGTGTGGAGGGGATTGCGGTGTTGGTTGTGATGGTGCATGATGTTAGGGTGGATGGGATTGAGAATGCGGTCGGGGTTGAGCGAGGGGTGTGCAGGATTGAGGTGCGCAGGGCACGTAGGAGCTGGGGGGACGGTGAATGCATTGGGGTTTAATTTGAGTGGTGAATTTGGCGTTTGATATATGGGTGGGAATGGCTGTTGTGTGGTGGTTGAGGTGGTTCTGGTGAAGTCAGGTTGAGGAAAGCTTTCTCAGTTCCAGCCCCAGGTCTTGGCGTTTAGAGCCAGCGGTCCACACGTACTGACTTGCACAGTCTGTTCCTGTTGGCATTAGTCCAGCCATTCAACATGCACTAACAGACTAGTGGATAACTGTAGATCGACTGACTACCTATGAAATAGGGATCGTCTTCAAGATAGTAGTGGGACTACAGACTTCAAATCGAGTAGGTATGGATCTAGCAGCTACCTATCCTGCTGTAACCGGTAGGACTAGATCCGATCGAACTGGTATGAATGTTCTGATATTAATATTGAGCCTAGCATTAATCTATTTTGATTTGCAGGTGTCCCGATCCCTGAGCCTTTGCGCCTGGGACCGTATAAACAAGGATAGAAATGATAACTTCATGCGCGTCGTAGACCAAAACGCCAACAAAACCCAGACAAATGACGAATGACTGCTGAAAATAAAGGAAGAACAGACCGAAAAGGGAAAACAATAAAGCATGAGGCTGTCGTTCATAGAAACGAAGACGAGATCCAATTCCATGCTGCCCCGGTCATTGCTGGCTCGGAGGGCGTTTCTTGCAAAGAGAGTATGGGAAAGCGTATGCACATGTCCAATGGTAAGAACGAGAGGTGATCCAGGAGATCGTCTAGCGATTCAGTATAGCTCGCATCGTTTCAGCGCTTGGCACCCTTGCGATCTTCATCCGATTGGCTTGAGCTATCATCACTGCTAGTAGCAGTGCGGATTCGCTTGGCCTTGTCCTGAAGAACCTGAGCTTCTGCTGCGGCCTTTTGTGCGCGGATTTGCTTCCGCCACATGCTGGCATAGCGGCCCTTCATGGCCAGAAGCTCTTCGTGAGTGCCGCTTTCCGATACTTGGCCTTCTGAAAGAACCAAAATGCGGTCTGCAGTGGTGATGGTGCTGAGACGGTGAGCAATTACCAACATGGTGCGGCCCTTAGAAAGTGTGGCGAGCGCCCTCTGGATATGCTCTTCTGTGTCTGTATCTAGAGCTGCGGTTGCCTCATCCAAGAGAATGACGCGAGGGTTCTTGATAATGGTGCGAGCAATGGCCACACGTTGCTTTTCGCCGCCACTCAGCCGTAGACCACGCTCTCCGACCTTGGTATTATAACCGTCGGGGAAAGCTAAAATCTTATCGTGAATGCTGGCGGCGCGGCAGGCCTCGAACACTTCTTCGTCCGTGGCATCCTGGTTGGCGTACTTCAAGTTGTACATCAAAGTCTCGTTGAAAAGCACCGTGTCCTGAGGCACCACGCCAATATGTTTGCGCAAAGAATCGATTGTGATATCCTGTACATCATGTCCGTCGATACGGATGCGGCCATTTTCGGCATTATAGAACCGGAATAGAAGGCGGAAGACGGTGGATTTACCTCCGCCGGACTCGCCAACCAAGGCAGTGGTGGTTCCGGGCTCGCAATGGAAGGTAAGACCGTTCAAGGCGGGCTTCCGTGCATCGTAAGCGAACTCGACATTTTCGAACTTGATGTCGCCGTTGCACGTCGCCAAGGGAACCGCACGGGGGTTATCGACCACTGTTGGCTGCTCACGGAACAATTCCAGCAGGCGTTCGGAATTAATCAGGGCCGATTGAATAGACCGGTAGAAGGTGCCAAAGAAGTTCAGCGGGCCCTGGAGTTGAACCATGTAGGCCAATAGCGAGACGAATTTACCCACGGGGCGCTGGTGGGTAGCAACCTGGAATGCACAGATGAAGCACATGATCAATAGACCCAGCATAAACACGGTATTTTGACAGGTGTTTAACAGGGTAAGAGAGAATAGTACGTGGTACTCGGCCTTTTGGAAGTCGCGCACGGCGCCCCGGTACCGGTTGAATTCGTACTGTTCGGCATTGAAGTACTTCACTGTCTCGTATGAAACCATCGAGTCGTTCCTAGAGAAAGTTAGCTTTGGGACTTCGAAAATTTGTTCCCGTTGAATCCTGCACTTACTTGACGGCATCTTCTTGTCGCGACGCATTGACCATCTGTCTTCGGATCTCCGCCCGCCATTGGGCCATGCGAATAGTGACATAGAGATACCCAAAGGTGGAAATTCCAACTGCCAAAGCGTAGTAGACATCGAAAGCGATCGTAAAGTACACAATTGCAATCACAAGGTCAACAAGCATCGGCACCACCTGGAAGGTGACTTGCTCGAGGAACGTGTTGATTGAACTACCCTTGCTCAGCGCAGACAAAACCTCGCCTGTCTTTTTGCCGAGATGGAAGTCCAAGCTGAGACCATGGACGTGCTCGAACGCCGCGGTGGAGAGTTCCATATAAGAATACTGGCTCACAGGGATCCAGAGGCTGGAGCGTAAAGAGGCGAGCAAGCCTTGGTTGCCTTGCAACCATCGGTAAACCACATACAAGCAGATCTGCGTCCATGGTACTTTGAAATCCGCACCTTCCTCGCCCCGAGTAAGAGAGCCGGTAATGAGTCCAACTTGGTACGGTACCAAGACGTTGACGACTCGCTGACACATGAGAAGCGCAAAGCAAAACATGACAACGAGTTGCAGGCGCCGGGATTTCGATGGCCACAGATACGGGAAAAAGAGCGAGTATCCGCTTAGATACTCCCACCAACTGGTAGAAGGAACCGTCGTCGGACGCACCCAGGGATCGGTAGGTTTCGAGGTTTCGGGGTGAGCGGCACCGTTTGTTGCGCCATAAGAATGACCATTCGCTGTTCCATTCGTATTTCCATTGCCATTCTCCGCGGCAGAAGACAAGAGCCCGGTGGTTTCACTCGTCCGTTGGCTTGCATTGTCATGACTTTTCATACTGAACGACTGACAGGCGTAGAGCAGAGCGAGTGAAAATAGAATGAGGATGCGTACACTGTTCGATCCCACCTCCATGCATTCCCAGAATGTGATGCTCCTGCGGAGCCTACCTCCTTCTGGGTCACCAACGACTGGTTCATGATGGACCGAGGTATACACGGAGAGGGAGGTGCTAAGAATAACCAATTCGACGGGGACGGCGACGGACCAACAGACGAATTGAGCAAAAGTAGGGGAAGGAGATGTGTCGAGCATTGATATTAGTAGCACTCCATAAACGAAGAACGAGCCGACGACGTAGATCTGTAAATGTCAACGGTTTTGTCCGGGGGAAATTGTTTTGATGCTGCAGCATACCACGAATGACTGTCCTCGCCACCAATTCTCTGATCTAGCCAGCAGCACATGTGTGATATAGATTGTAGCATCCACAACGAAGGTCAAAAGAACGGCGGCGGAGAGGCAGTTAAAAACCCGTTTGACGTTTTGAGAGAACTCCTTGGGCTTATGATAGGTTGGTGCGCGCCGTGATCGTTGAGGGAGTGGTCGACCTCCCGGGCCAAGTTTTTGAGATTCATCTTTGCCAGCTTTCTTCGCAGCGAGTGTGGTGTTGGTGACAAAGGCCACCACGAAGAGGATCAGCAAGAAGGGTGGGTAGGCAGTGCGCAAATACTCCAGCAGCTCGATGGCTGCATGGGAATCCATTGCCCCGATTATTTGAAGGTGAATGTTTCAGACAAAGTCCATTACACCCCGAGAAGAATAAGAAAGGGAGGAGGTTGGCCGAGTTCGGATCGGAAAGGACTGGACGGGTATGGCGAAGGATCGACGCGAGGAATGGGCAGATGACGCGGGGGAGTAACCAACAGGTTTCCACGTGGATCGAAGCTTTTGCACTCGGAAGAAAATAAGTCAATTAGGTGATAAATGAAGTTGAAGTAGAAATCAAAGTATACAATGCTTTTAGGGCTTCTTTTTTTTTCCGGGGTCCCCTACTTACTACCCTGCTTGTAATCAAGCGAAGTTATTTGACCTCGAAAGTGAAAAGAAGCAAAGAACAAGAAAACCGGAAAGAAACCCTTTGAGCTTCAGTTCCCAAGGAACAACAGAAAAACGAAGGGAATTGATGGATAAAAACTGCATAGGATCTCGAATGACGGTGTGTGGATGCAATGCGCAGTATGCAGCTAAAGAAAAAAGGGTATCCACAACTTACAGGTTTCGTTCCTCTTGGTCTTTTATACTTTCGATCTTTTCTTTTTTTTTTCCTTCACTTTGTTTGCAATCTGTTCGGAAGGCCCTAATGTGAATATTCCTATTAAGCCTTTTCTTCGTACCCGATGGTCAAAGTTGAAATCGTCCTGGGGAAGTGAAAAACAGGGGGAAGGTGAAAGGATCGTCGATCAATAGATCGAGAACGATCCAAATATGATGACTTCAATGCCAAGTGAAAAATACTGTGTACCGAAAGAAAAAAAGTGAAAAAAGTGAAAAAAGTGAAGACGATAAGATCATTTGAGGGAAGTCATTCTTATATCGAAAGGAAAAAGAACAGATGATGAATCTAGACATGAGGATGTGTGACCCTCAGCTTGGATTGGTCGTCTGAGCTTTGATATTCGATGTGTCTGATTAGCTGAATGTCTCATTTTTTGCCTCTTCTTCGTGTTGTCGGTAGTCAGGGTGGCACTTCGAGAGGCGCAGTCCAATCGAATTAAATTGTGGAAGGTCTAAATATTACTCCGTCGAAGAGGAAGAGAAAAAGTGGTTTCTATGAATATCTTCATGTCGTCACGTCCCGAACCCCCGGGTTAGGGTAAGACAATTAGAATAGCATTCTTTTATATACGATTCAACGTACTTTTGTCTTTGGATACGTTCCGCGAACCACATTCCAAGGTCTCTCTGTGTTGTCCTCTAGACCGCTCTTGACATGTGTTCCGGCCCGACGGCTACAATGTGAATTGAGAATTAAAAATTACTAACCCGTTCTAGAACCGAACTTACAGACTTTTATGCTACCAATGGGTAGATCCGATCCTATCATGTTCAATCTACTATAGCTGGCTTCTACTTCATAAAGCCTTCATCTTCCGTTAAGTCCCAAGATTGGTCACAAGATCGAGACACTATCTCCCTTACCTCCTTAATCTGCTCACAAGCAGCTATCACAACAGTATATTTGGCTCTCCAATGTTTCACAACCTCTGGGTAAACAAACTGCCCAGGTGGACCCGAGGCATTGTCGTGATATCGTACTGACATGTCATCTGTCGTTTCCATTACTCCGAGGCCAGGAGTCCACGGGTGTTAACGGCGAGTCGGCTCGCTTCGCAACTAAATATCAGTGCCAGCAGCACCAGTCCCACATATTCTTCACGTACGGCGCAATGCTGGGTTGGCTCTTTTCCGATCACGGGCGAAGTATACGAGACCGTACAATTACAATGTTCCATTGAATGGCAGTGACAAATAAAGAAGGGAAAACAAGGGATCGATGCATACATGTACGGAGTAAAAGGCGATCCACGGTTCAGCCCAGAGGTCCATTGTACACAGTAGCCTCCACTGAGATCAGACCAGACGGTCTCGGCAAATCGGAATAGGGAAATTCGGGTAAGAAGAGAGAAAGCTGTTACCCTGTAGTCCGATGACTGAAAAGATATCATTGCAGGGCATATCTGCGATGTTGCTGATATCAGATAGTTAGAGGTCCTCCAGAGTGTAAAAGGTAGGGTAATTTATGGTCATCCGTGCTGGACCGTGCATTGATCGACCCGTTCCCTGGATGTTCAATCAGAATCCATCTATCTGACCATCTCTTATAACTTATCCATCCGAGGGTTGTATCGCATGCGGACATTCGAAAACAGAACTATTGCCATCATTTAAGCCGATTTGAACCTTTCTGCACCCAATCGAGGCGTTTGGTCTACTGACCATATAAGGCCAGACCCTCGAGGTCCTTCAGTGTCAGAACCTTAAAATAGGGCTATTGTACATAGATCAAGTTCAAAGTCGTTAACAGCGTAAACAGCCTTGATGTATCACGTCAACATTTATCCAATGTGCCGATCGGAGTGTATGCTATCCAGGTTTGCTAGTCTTCGAGCTTGAACCTCACGGGCCGTCAGTCTGGCTGGCCATGCCCTCTCTCCAAAGGGTTAGAATATGAATAAGCGCCTACCGAACTGCGAGCCCCATGTCCTGAGGCATTGCGATCTCAATTTAGGCAATATCATGGTCCAAGATGGAAAGTTTGTAACAGCCTCGAAGTCGTCCTACCAGCAGGCGTGGTGGGACATCAACAGATCAATAAATCTACTACTACGAAGAAATCAAACGATGGACAAGTGACAACAAACTGGGCAAACATGTACAACAGTACAAAGTACGGAACTCGAGCAAAAAAGAACCATACATGTCACGCACATCGTCTTGAAAGATTGATAACTTAAAGCCTAAGCATACTGCCTCGGGGATTTCCCCTCACCGCTGTGGACTCCTTCCCTCACCGCTTGAATATTGACGATCTCCAACTCTCACTTCAACTACTCCATTCCGATCACAGGTCAGAATGGAGACCTGGCTGTGAACGATGTCGGACCTCTCAGGTTCGCGTTCTCCGGTCCCTCCCCCTCCTCCACCTCCGCCACAGAAATACTCGAACCGCGCCGCCAATGCCCTTGCTAGGTTTGCCCAACCCTTCTTCTCGGGCTCGAGGCCACCAAGCCCACAAAGCAGTCGTGCGGATGGTCCCCGCTCGATCAGGTCTAAATCGCTGTAAGTGTTGTCTTCTCACACCGCCAAATCAGCCCTTTTTGGTGGTCGGCTCTGTGATTATCCCGCCCCGCATCATTCATCTTGGGATTCGCAACTCAACTAAGAGTGGTATAGACCAGGAGAACCGCAGACCGTCACCCACAAAACCGGGATCGCAATTACGGCTCTAGACATCTCGCCTGAGCGGACACATGCGGTTATCGCAGGCAAGGAGATCCTCAAAACCATCCAAGTATCGCCAGACCGCTCGTCAGAGGAATTCAATATTCGCAATGCGGTCATCAGCTATGCCTCTACTCACCACAATGCGGGCGTTTCGATGCCACACAAAGACCAATTGAATGTGAAAGACGTAAAATGGTCTCATGGTAACCACGACCGGACAATCGCAACTGCGGTCGCGAATGGTCGGATCGTCGTTTACGACCTACAGCGGCCCGGCCTCCAATTGTGTCGGTTCCAGGGGCATAATCGCCAGGTGCACAGACTTGCCTTCAACCCTCATCTACCTTCTTGGCTCCTATCTGGCAGTCAAGATGGCTCGATTCGCATGTGGGATCTGCGGTCTGCCTCTGCGAATCGGGGGAGTTCCACGTGCGGGAGCAAACATTCGTACCAGGGCAACAGCGATGCAATCCGGGACGTCCGGTGGTCTCCCACCGATGGTGTTGTGTTTGCAACCGCTTCGGACAGCGGCGCCATACAGATGTGGGATTATCGGAAAGTCAATGCACCCTTAATGAGGATCGCCGCTCATGACCACCCTTGTTTTGCGGTTGACTGGCACCCTGATGGGAAACACATTGTCAGTGGTGGCACGGACCGCCAGGTAAAGGTCTGGGATTTTTCCTCGTCTGCAGAGCGGCGGCAGAAACCTGCATTTCAATTCCGAACCCCACAGGCAGTCACTAATGTACGCTGGCGACCCCCTTCTTGGATTGGCGAGTCGCCTGCGTCGGGAGAATGGCAATCATCTCAAATTGTCACCTCCTACGATAAAGAAGACCCGCGAATTCACCTCTGGGATCTTCGTCGCCCGCACGTTCCTTTCCGCGAGTTCGATCGGTACGACACCCCTGCATCTGATCTACTATGGCGCTCCAAGGATCTTTTGTGGACGGTTGGCGAAGCTGGGGCCTTTACCCAGACCGATGTTCGGTATGCGCCAACTGTAATCAATCGCCGACCGATGTGTTCTGTGGCTTGGAGTCCTAATGGCGAGTTTGTTGCATTCAGTCAACAACGTCCCAGACGACGTCCGCTGGGGGTCAATGCCGCCGAGTTCTTACATTTGGAAGAGGAGGAAAAGCCGAGTCCCGCGGATGACATATTTGATGAAGCGGCTCTGGCCACCTCCCTTGGCACTCGGCATACCAAGTCGGTCGCAGCTCGACCCTCCAAATCATTGGGCAGTACCCCACCTGGAACGGTCGATTTCACCCCGGTGCTTCCCCTGGAACAAGCATTGGCCAAGATCGCCACCCCGATGCCCAGTCAGGTGGGGACCATTGCCATTATCCCAGGTGCTACGAATGACCCTGCAATCTTTCGGTATTTGGCGAGCCATTATACCACAGCCACAAAAGCGGAAACCCATGCTTTGGACTCTTTGGTCGATTCGCTAGATCATAATGCTGAATGCGCAGACGAGATGTCCCTGCCCAAGCTGGCGCAGACTTGGAGAATAGTCAAATACGCTGTTCTCCAAGAAGTCCAGCGTAGAACCAGGGATCCGGCGAAAGGTGGCTTGAAAGACATGCCTACCAAGGATGGCGTGAGACATGATCAAAATAGAGTCAAAAATCGGCTGTTCAAAGGTGTCATTGAAACAATTCCCGAGACTGAGAGCACGTCTAATATGACTACTCCTCTTGCGCAACCTGTAGCAGATTCTGCCAACGACTCGTGGTCCAGCACTGATTCTCAACTTCCTTCGTTGAGCGACGTGAATGACCTTGATCCTCTCCCACCATCAGCCCTAAATGATAATGGCTGGGAGGTGCCAGCTCCTGATGAGCGTGGCCCGCGGGCGCAACTGTCTGTGACTGATGATGCTATGGAATTCCAGGGAACTGGCCAACGGTCCGCGCCCCGGGCAATTGCTGGCCAAGCCGATTGGCGCCGCCCCGAAGTCCCACGGGGGAATTCCGAGGATGACTATGAGCAAATGTTAGAGGATAAACGTGCTGCCATCCGTGACTACAAGCAGTTTCCCAAAAAGCCATTGGTACTTACAGCGATGGAATCTAACCGGCCTCCCACCGAACGCTTTGTTCGGCATGATTCTTCGGAGAGCTTCCCCATGTTCTCCACATCGAACGATAGCAAATCCATTGCCGCGTCGTATTCGTCCACGGGGCAAGGTTTCAACTTTTTGGATTCTGGACCTCCCGCATTGAGGAGAGGCTCGTTTTTAGCTTCTACGCTCGAGGAACCTGAACATGAGCTATTCGATCAACCTGTAGAAACTGATCAAGTCCATCTGGAGCGCCCTTCCAGCCCTCCCCCTCTCATATCAGAGTCAACCCCTCTTCAACCTCTCCCACCCACTTCAATTCCTTGTTCAAACGAACTATCACGAGTCCAGATCCCATTCACTCCGGGTGACCAAAACCCGTGGGGTGTTGAAGCGATTTTGAAAGAGGCAGTCCAATATTATCACAGCGGCAGCACCTCAGTCGATATCCAGACTGCGGCCCATCTTCTTCAAAAGCTTCACGTGCTCTTCCGTGACTGCGAACAGATTCTCCCTTATGAAGAATGTGAATTGGTCTTCAAAACTTACAACGAGCACCTGATCCGGCACTCGATGGACCTAGAGGCAGCCGAGCTCCGCCTGTCTTGTGTACCTGCCTATCCTGCCGTCTACGATTACGCCCAAACAGATTCATTCATCAATGTCTACTGCTACACCTGTCAGCGGCCCTTTGAGAATTCTACGCAAGACAATACCCGCTGTCATCGCTGCAACACACCACAAGCGCCATGCTCTATTTGTATGAGTCTCGACCCTCCCGCAGAATGGGTAGCAAACCAAGACACTCCCTCCACCCTCTCCGAAACCAGTTCAACCCTTTCCGCACTATCCTCCGCCCCCACCGAACCCATCCCAGAAACCCTCGAGCCCTTCACAGTGCCCCGACCCAAAGGCTCCGCCCTCTGGACCTGGTGCCAAGGCTGCGGCCACGGCGGCCACCTAGCCTGCATTACAACCTGGCTCGGCGACATTTCAATCAGCGAAGGCGGCTGTGCCACAGCCGGCTGCTCGCACGACTGCGGGCCCGGCCCACGTCGCGAACAGAACCGCCAAGCCCTGCAGACAGAATCTAAGCGTCGCGATTCTTCCAGTCGCTCCGGCGTCGGTCTCGTCAAGCGTGATCCCTGGACCAAAGGCGAGAGCAAGGCTGTTGAAAAGGTCCGTGGCATGCTGGGCATTGCCGGAGTCGCTGCCGCCACGGGTGGTAGTGGTGCCGGTCCGGTCACTTCGACTAATCCTACTTCCACTCCGGCGCCGGTTTCGCCGGGCGCTATGTCGCCTAAGCGGGTGCGGCTTGTTACTCCTAACGAGCAGGAGAAGGAAGGCGCTGCTTACGGTAGTCGGACTCGACCTCCTTCTTCGATGGATTGATTAATGAGGGGCTGCGGTTGATGTTTACATGTACTTGTATTAGCGAGGAGGCTGTTTTGCGTCTTTATTTTGTTTTGTGTTTCAGTTTTCGATATTCCCCAATCGCGTTTACTTTCAATCAATCCAGTGGTTTAATTCAATACCTCGTGCCTGGTCACACAGTACGTAAAGCCTAAGCCATATCCATGATACCCTAAAACCTCCTCTTCTTCTTCGCAGGAGCTTTCCCTTTAGCTTCAAGCGCCCGCTTCAACTCCTCGCGCTTCCGATCAGCCCGCTGGTCCTCAGTTTCCGGCTCCACAGGCGTGGCCGACCGGGCTTTCTCCGCCTTAGGTAAAGGGGACTTTTCTCGAACGGGCCTGCTGGGCGCAGAAGGTTTCTCTGGTGACGCCGCCGGAGGCGGCGGAGACTCGTCACGGGCCAGTTCGGGGGCTTGGGTTTTGGCTTTGGCTTTGCCGCCTATCATGCCTAGTTTCCCCGGACGTTTGGTTTTAGCTGGTGCTGGGGATTGGGGCGCAGAGGCTCTTTCTTCTGGTAGTTCTTGGGGTTCTGGGGAGGTGGGCTCTGGGGAAGGTGAGGGTTGCTTTTTCTTGCCGCCTATCCTGCCTAAGCTGCCCTTTGGCTTTTGCGGTGCGTCCTTTGCTTGTGGGGCAGATCGGGAAGGAGGGGGCGATGGAGGGGGAGAAGGGGATGGAGAGGGCTCTGGGTCTTTCTTGGGTTTGCCGCCAATCTTACCCAGTCCACCCTTGGGTCTTTTTGGCGCTTCTTTTGCTTGCGGGGGAGACGGGGGGAGGAGAAGACGCGGGAGAAGGAGAGGGCCGGGGCTGGGGCTGGGGCTCTGGCTTCTTGGATTTGCCGCCAATTTTGCCTAGTCCGCCCTTCGGCTTGGTTGGTGCCTCTCTAGGTTGTGGCTCTGGTGACCTTGAGACGGTAGTTTGTTTTTGTCGCACCAGTACCGGTGCAGGCTCATCGTCAGTGCCTGATGCTGTGGCTTCATCTTCTTCTGCGGGCACAGCCGGAGTAGGGCTCTTTTTTCTGACGTGTGCCGGTACAGGCTCATCAATACTGTCTGATGCTGTGGCTTCATCGTCTTCTGCAGGTAAAGCGCGAGTAGGGCTCTTTTTTCTGGCATGTGCCGGTGCAGGCTCATCATCAGTGTCTGATGCTGTGGCTTCATCTTCTTCTGCAGGCACAGCCGGAGGAGTAGGGCTCTTTTTTTGGGCTTTTGGGGGTGATTTTTCATTTCGAGACTTGAGCCTTGGTTTTTGTCGGACCGGTGCCGGTGCAGGCTCATCGTCAGTGTCTGATGCTGTGGCTTCATCATCTTCTGCAGGCAAAGCTGGAGGAGTAGGGCTCTTTTTTCTGGCTTTTGGGGGTGATTTTTCATTTCGAGACTTGAGCCTGGGAGGTGTTTCTTGTCGCTGGATAACAGGGTTAATTCAGATTCTAATCAAGACCGTGTTGTGGCATACCTGAAACTCGTCCACATCGCTGCTTGCCGTTGATTCCGCGTCCATGTCAATATCCTTAGTTTCAAGCTTCTTTCCCCTGTCTTCAATTGGCTCTTCGCTTGGCGAAGCGTCTCTGTCACTAGTATGATGCCTCCCTAGTTGTCGCCACCATTCACCTTTTGAGGAGATGGTGTCGACCCCATCATCAGACTCCGAGATCTCCTTGAGGAGATTGGTCGCCAGTCCGGCCCCATCACCGGCATCAAGCCATTCCTGTTCCTCGAACGGCGCAATGCCCTTCACAAATCTAGCAGCTTCGGACCGCGTAACGCCCTTGCGAGACGTGCGTGATCCGGCGGCACCAGGAAACACAGTTCCTAGGTCAACGCCACTTGTTTCCAATTTATCAAACAACTTGCCAAGGACGTAGTCTTTGTGTTTGATTTGGTCCAGGAGGGTCCGTTGACGCGACTCCCATTCGGCTTCCTCTTTCAGAAGTGGTAGTAATAAGTTTTTCGTCAAGGATGACACAGGCTCCTTTGACAACTTCAAAGACCACTTGAGAGGCTTCAATGGAGCGGGTAACTTGGTAGTTGTTGTAATTTCAATAGAGTCATTCTGCGTTCCACTGCTTAGGATTGCACCTTCTTTGCCCTTGTGTAGAGCCTCTCCAATCTTCTCCAATAGTACATCGAGTTGTTCTGGATCCTCTCCGGGATCGATCGTTGTGGCATCTTCTTCTGCTCTCTTGATGATGGCATTACGGGGCAGCTCCTCTGACCAGATGTAAGTCAGGTCTGTAAGATGAACCTGATAGCCTTCTCGGGTCCAAGTATACTGGAATACCAAAGGAGGCAGACCCTTTTGGGACAAGTGTAGTCGGTGCCATTGCGAAGGCATGACTGTGTATGTTTCTACAAATGCGGAGTTGTGAGGTTCCAAGGTTATCGCCGTAGCTGCCTGGGGCCGTGAAGGATATCCGCCCCACCAATCCGAGGCCAAAGTCCCTCAGGCCGCAGGGAAGGTTTGCCGCCCGCTTCACTTTCCCGCTGATCTCCCGAACTTCTGACTTCGCTCCCAGCCTTGAGACATCTAGGTCCAGCTTTGCGCTTTGCCTTGTCATATTATATCCGCAGACCATATCCACGCATCTTTACAATGTCCGGGCGATACCCAGACCGATCAGACCCAAAGCGCAGCCGGTCGCGTTCGCCATCGTCGTGGCGTCACCAGAAACATCCCCGTCGAGAAGACAGAGAATGGCGCGATCGACCAGACTCGGATCGCAGATGGAACAATGAAAGATCGGGCCCTTCACAGCAGCCTCGGAATATGCGCGATCAAGTCCGGCTGAACTTGATCCAGGAAGACCAGCAAGAGCGCGAGTGGGTCGCGCAGGAGGATCTGTTCGTGTTGAAGCAGGCGAAAAAGAAGGCTGAGATTCGAGTTAAAGAAGGACGCGCAAAGCCTATCGACTGGCTGACGGTTACTCTCCGCGTCATTGATCCCACGCGCGATCCCTTAGATGACGAGATTGCGGACTCCGATCTGGACGTCGTGGACCCGGACGGTGTGTTTGAGGGGCTATCGCAGACTCAGCTACGAGATTTGGAAAAGGATATTGATACATTTGTGAACCTTGAGACGCATCCGAAAAACCGGGAGTTCTGGCAGGTAATGTTTTGCCCCCTTGGTTGGTCTTTCCGACGCGGTTAACCAACCATCATCATACAGACAATGAAAGTGATCTGCCGAGACCGTCAAAAGACCGCTACACCTGAGGGCCGGGCGCTGAGCTCCGTTGCTGCAGATATCAACAAGCTGCTGAGCCCCAAGACCTACGAACAACTCCAGAATCTGGAGGTGCAAGTCAAACGAAAGTTGAACTCGAACGAGCCGATTGATACAGACTACTGGGAAGAGCTGCTGCGCAGTCTGACCGTTTGGAAGGCCCGTGCTAGCTTGAAGAATGTTTATCAAGCCATCATTGATGAGCGCGTTCGTGAACTGAGGAGACAGCAAAGAGAGGAAGCTGAATCAATTCGGAAGAAATTGGCGCCTCTTGCCCCAGTCGTCACCGCAGGCGATACGACTGATTCCGCCGAATTCGAAGGTTTAGACCCAGAACCAATGCTCCAACTACGCCCGGAGGACAAAGGTCTGGAAATCATGGACGAGTCTGCATTTCTCAACCAAGTGGTACGTTCTGAAGCTTCCTCGCATCGTTTAATCTCAAACAAGGTCCTGACCAAGTGTACAGGCGCGCGAACGCCAGAAAATCCTCCGCATGGGCTTTGTGCCACTCCGACAACGACCTACTGAGAAGTCCTCCGCGCTTGTATCGAATTCCACGTCTACCAATGCCCCCGCGGCGTCTGTATCCACGAGATTCTCGTCCATCCCGAACGAAGACTTCTCGCAGGCCACCAAGGCTCTGTATGAAAGGGAACTTGCCAAGGGAGTCAGCGAGAATGAAGAAATCTTCACGGGTGAAGAGTCCGTCAGCACGGGCGCACAGCCTCAATGGGCTGGCAAGCATCGGCCTCGAAAGCCACGGTACTTCAACCGAGTTCAAATGGGTTACGAATGGAATAAGTACAATCAAACGCATTACGACCACGACAACCCGCCACCCAAGGTCGTGCAAGGTTACAAATTCAATATCTTCTACCCCGACTTGATCGACAAGACGAAGGCCCCTACATATCGAATCGAACGTGAGAACGGCCGCAAGCGTGGCGAGTCATCCGCCGAGGCAGGCGAGGAAGACACCTGTCTCATTCGGTTTGTGGCAGGTCCGCCATACGAAGACCTTGCCTTCCGAATTGTCGACAAAGAATGGGATTATAGTGCTAAACGAGAGAGGGGGTTCAAGAGTACATTTGACAAGGTATGTTGTCCTACCTTATATGTCCCTTCTCAGCTGACGTAATATTTCAGGGTATTCTTCAACTTCACTTCCAATTCAAGAGGGTAAGTCACTCACCTTTGCATCATTGACGAAGGTACTAATTTGTCTCAGATCTATTATCGGAAGTAACACAACGATTTTCCACATGGGCGTCATATCGGGGAGGTGGATCAGAATAGTGTATGCAGGGAGAAACTCAGGGTGTATTATCCAGTGACTTGATGTCCAGTGATTCAAGTCAACCCCAGGGTGATTGGGCTGGAAACATTTCCCCCTCGAAGGTTTGGAGATTGAATAAGCCGGACTCGGGATAATCTGGAGATATCAAAATGCTTGATTCAACATCCAACCGCTTCTCTTAAACAACTTTCTTTTTTTGCCCTGCCACTACGAATGACCTCTTAAGGGAAATAATCGGTCTTCTTCCACTTCCCTCTACTCCTACGACTAGCGTATCGACACAGCTCAAACGATTTATTATTATTTGTTTTTCTCCTAACATCCTCACAATCTACATTGCTCACCGCCCCTGGGTATCTGAGAAGCTGGCAGCTAAAGACGTTGGCAGTCCTTTTGGTGACACTATCCCGGCCTGCAGAGTGCAGGACTATTCCTGACTTCCGGCTGGCTAGATGCAGTCTGTGAAAAAGAAACGTCAACCTGGACTAGACAAAAATCAGGACAGAGCGGGGACTTCACTCTTTTCTTTTCTCTTTTTTTTTTTGCTCCCTTATTTCATTTCTCAGAACGGCATGGACCTCGTTAACTTCCAGAAGGCCCGGAAGCCGGGACAGATGATGGCGACTTTTGGGCCCCTGCAGGTTCCCATTTGACTATTTGACCATCCACCCCCGTTCGGCTAAGAGACCTAGCGGCCCCTTAGGCCCATTCGTTCTAGTTACCAGTAGCACCAGATCCAGCCACCTTGGCTTTCCTCTCTAGTCATTGGTCACGGTCTGTGTTATGAATCACCGTTCCACGACTTGGGCATCTAGGGAGGCGTTTCCCGAAGAACGAAAAAGTAAGTAAGTAATAGGTAATTAGGGTATCCTAGAATACCCATACAAGATTCAAGGCTTCGGTCCAGACCGTCTTTTGTGAAGACTAAGATGCATCTCTGAGGCTATTTGCAGCAAGAGCAAAAAGGAGAGGGCATATGCCTTGGTGTGTTGGCAGGGGAAGATTGACGAACTGTACAGCTCTAATTCCTGAACGAGGTTGAGATGATTTATAGAACGTGACTTTTCCTTTGAGTAGGTGGTTTTCCTCTATCATCTTCCATTACTTCTACTTTCTCTCCATCCTTCATCTTTCTCTTCCTCCACATCTCTACTACTCTATCCTTTTGTAGCTACTCAAGGTTATTGTATCAGTTGGATATTGCCTCCTTCGTACATCATGGATTATTCTTATGATTCTCGTCACTTCAACTCGATGCAGATATCACCAGACCAGGGCGATCCAAAGCCTCATACCCCATCACAATCTGAATCAGTCCCACTTCCAATGGATCTCCCCGATACGGTCCCCTTCAGTGTACATGACTGGGCAAGGTGGAAGTCCCAGCCGGCCTTCTACTCCTCTCCTCGCCAATATGCCGGCTATGGTTCTCCCCGTGATTCTGACGCCGAGCCGCGCAGCTGGAACCAGTTACCCCAGGAATTCATGGGGGAACCAACTGGATACCCTGATCAGTACCGCCCACACTTGGCCATCCCCATGGCTGATACATCCGAGGCACTGCCCTCCCATTCTGAATGTCAGTGTCACCCAGGGTGGCCAGTCATGGACTCTGGTCATGAATTCAAGAGCCAGACATACGACTTTGCGACACACTTGGATCCTATTCAACCACTCCAGAGCTCTCCACCCTCCCCATTGTCTGAGATCTCCTCGTACCACTCACCACAATCACTGGCTGCTGCGAGCCCTTCCATGACAGCCCACTCCACTGATCGACTGTCACCGCGTTTGAGCACCGCTGAACAGAAACAGGAGCGGTCAGGCCACCTCCCCTATTCCGCTCTGATTTACAACGCATTGAAGGCGGCCCCAGGCAACAAGCTTCCCCTGCAAGGTATCTACAATTGGTTCCAGGAAAATACCGACAAAGGCGCGGATCCCAGTGAAAAGGGCTGGCAGAACAGCATCCGCCACAACCTTTCAATGAATGCCGTAAGTGGTTCACTTCTCATGATATTTGATTCCGCCTTTACTCCGGCTTCACCTTTCACATTTCACTCTTGTTCTAGCTATGGTTGGTATGCACGCTAACCTTCAAACCAGGGCTTCGAGGCAGTCAAGGAAGAGCCCAAACCTGGCGAGAAACCAGTGAATCTGTGGCGATTGACACCAGAGGCAATCCGGAAAGGCTGCATCGAATCAACCACCCGCTACCGCAAGCTCCAGAACCAGAGGAAGGCACAATACGCTGCCAACCGTGCACCTCAGCGTCAGTCAACGGGGAAGGGGAACCACACGATGAAAGTGGTCAAATCACGCAGCGCCAACAGTCCGCATGGCGAGCGCAACGATGCATTCCATCAACAAATCATGACGGAAGAATACGGTCCCACGAGCCTTCCAAGCATGCAGCAGTACATGCAACGCCCCATGGGCACAGTTGTTGGATGTACAAGTATGGTGCCAGACACCAATGCAGTCTTCCTTGACCCGCCAGCGCCTACATTTGCCATGGGTAATGGTTTACCGGGTTGGTATCCTACAGAATCAGGCTCCAACAGGGTTCAGGACCAGCCCGAATACATGATCCATGGTCAATACAATCATGAGCGCTGACCGGGAAAAGGAGGATACGATGCAAAGGAGGTGTGCCAGGGTGCAGGTGAGGGAATCGCATTTACCGGGTGAAAAGAAAATAGCCCAGGGGAGCTGACGTGCATGTTTCTTTTTCATGTTAGATATTTTTGATTTTCATTTCTTCTTTCCCTCTCTTGATTTCTTTTCATTTCCTTTCATTCTCGACTTTATTGATAATTGTTTGGTTATGTCTCCATTGACCGGATACACTAGAGAGGCACGGCGTTGGCAATCCAAGCATTCGATGGGAATGTGTGAGGCGTTTTATGGAGCCTTACGGTAAAAGGAGATCTATCTGTTTTTGCTTCGCTTTCTTTCTTTTTCAATCTATTCATGAGCAAGGACTTTTTCCCGCCTTCAATGTACCATAAATGACTCTGACGGGCATTAACTTACACCTGTCAATCGTCCCGACATAATGTCGATCATCGTTCTCTGTCAACTTCCCTTATGGATCTTCAATGGCGCGTGACTTTAGACATGTATCCCGTGTGGTCTTCTCTCTCGAGTCCCACATGTCTGCGATGTCTCCAACTCTCCAACTCCCAGTACTGCGTAAAGTTGGAATCCCCGCGTATTCGAACTAGGCAAGGATAACAACCCATTTATTCCTCCGTATGCGACTTTGCAGTGCTCAATATCAATGCGTTGGTAACATGGACCACATGCTGTGCCGCTAACAATGCCTCCTACGCTTACACAGAACGAATCGGTGTCTCCAAGGGCCAGGAATAGCCTCCAATTACAGCAAAAGGAAGAAGCGTGGGTGACAATTTGCATAATTACATAGATTGTGTGGCCACAGCCACTAATAACCCTGAGAATACAGGACAATACACAAGACAAGGTAAAAAGGCATACCTTCATGCTAGTCTACTTTAGTCACTCTTGACACCCGGGTTCGCAGTGCGGCAGTGCCTACCTAATCCCAGCTAGAGCAACCCCACCACCCCCGCTTTATCGCTCTATCGACTGCTGCAGCAGGCCACTGTGCTGAAAGTGACGCGGATGCTTCTTGGCTGCATCGGCTGCTGTGTGCTGCCATTGCTCCATGTTGCTCTTGCCTTTCCCTGTCTCCTCCACCCCTTCTATCAGTTCAGGGTGAAGGGATCTAATACCGCCTGTTCGATGGATATATCGTGGCGGGGAGGATGTTTGTCCCAAATTACCGGGGATATCTTCCACTCCCCTGGTAAGATCTCTGTTTCTGATCGCAGATACTGTACCCAAATCAAGAATACATCTATCCTACCAACCTGATTTGGTATCCGTTATATCCTCTCCCATAGTAAGGTATACACCCCCAGTCTCCAGACAATAGCGCATAGTGCATTGTCAATGGCTCGCGTGATAGGGGAGATCGGGAATGGCACCAGTGACAGGAGCGGCATTAGCTACGCCTGCTTACCATGGAATCAATACTAGACAGATATATGTCAAAGAAAAGACACAGCTCGTGCCATGTACAGTAGATCATTGGGGGGGGGGCGGGGGCTGATTGACAGGTTGTGTAGATCTTTTTCCCTGTGGGTCTTAGATCTGTACATTTCGGACAACTGCCGGGGGAAGGGAAAGATACGGTACGCGATTTTCACTGGCGTATAGCAACTTGCATCTGGCGAAGTGGGGGACATCAGATCTTAGTTACATGTAGTACCTACTGTGGAGACGCGGGTTTGACAAGTCTAAACATGTATGGCGTTGTACGGGTGACAGCTGCAATGCCATTCGCTTGGCAGGAGGACGAGGGTTCGGGCAGTGTGGACCGAATACGCTTCATTATTGGGAGATTATTGGTGGCTTAATGGGTTGTTTTAGCGTGTTCTTCTTAGATTGGAGATTGGAAGTTCAATACTCAATACTCCAGGCTGAGTTGGATCTTATTGTGTATTATTTATCTAACCCTAACTGTCAAGGCCCACTGCAGGGCTCAGTTACCCTACATGTCTAGGTTATATCAATGCTGATTATGACACTGTTCCGCTTGGACCTCTCCCTAGATCGGTGAGACCGGGAGACCCTCCTGCAGCTTAATTAGTGGCCCAGTCTTGGGAGATGTTGGCGTGTTAACTAGTACACCTTCAAAGTGGAGTGTGTTAACTGACCGACTGTGCGTCCCGCACTGTAGCTCATCGTTAGCTTCGTTTGTCAAAGGCAGCTTAGCCCCGAGTGAATCGTATCTGTTGGCGATCCCTTTGTGATGGACAGCGGGAGATCCCTCTGTAGTCTTTTTCTGCCTTGTTTTGTACTTGCTTTGTACTTTTTTGTGTTCGTTTTTGCTTTTTCGCGCGACGTGCATGTATTCTCACGTGCATTGACCCTCAATAGAAAGAATCCTCTCCGATCTTTGGGGAGGGGCTTTAGGATCTTCGGGATTTATCCCATGCAGGGTGAAAGCAGCCAGTATCAACAGCCTCGATTATAAGAACGAGGGCCAGGGATAGCCCCACCGTTCCTTGTCGGCCGGAAGATCGAAACTACCCCTAAAACAAGGCTCATCCCAGATCCCGATTTGGATCTATCAACCTTTTTCCGGCAATGGCAAAAATTGGATAAAGCGAAAAGCAAAACAAGCCTGATCGACCCTCTTTCTTGGATCTGCGTGACATCCATCAATGGAGAATACATGTACATCGTACTCTGTAGCCGATAGGTTCGCCCAGTCTGCTGGATTCCGGGATTAGCAGACTTATGCACGCACTATACGGAGTAGAAGAGCAGACTCCGGTGCTATTTTTTTCTTTGTTTCCTTGCTTCAAGCCACAATGACAGGCTGTGATGTATGACTTCGTAACACGATTATTCTTTTCCCATTAGACTTTGTGGACGTTGAGCGTTTGTGGGATGGAACGGGCCGATTTCTGACAGCTGTCAACTGTGCATCTTCTTTGCAAGCGCTAGCCCTCGGACTGGTTAGTTTCACATTGAGGGTAGATTGTCTGACCGCTTGTTGCTTGTTGGATCTCCCATTGTCTGTGGTCATCCGTATCGCTGGGTCCGATGATGATACAACGGCGAAAATTCTTCATCTCTTTGCTTTTTGTTTCTTTCTTTTTCCTTTTTTTGGTTTCTCCTCGGAGACAAGAGACGCCGCCGATCATAACTATTACTAACTTATGCGATTGGCTGCTTCCAAACTCCGAGAGTAAAGGGAAGAATGGCCGTTACCTACGATGTATGTACACGTATCTTGTAGTAAGAGACTCCAGTACATATGCGTTACATTACTAGAAACGATGGAAGTAAAAGGATCAATCTTCATTGGTACTTAGCAGAGAGGTGGTAGACTTCCAAGGTTGGGTACAGGGGTATGTCACACGCTAACTCGGGTTGACAGCCATGGTTACAATGGAAGGGCATAATGCTATGTTTCCAAGGTTCTCTTTGAGTAAGCTTAACCTTCAGGGAAATTTTATTGACATGTGAGACATGTACGCATATTTCAGATCTTGTCTGCAGCCAAAGAGGTCAAGACACAAAGTACCTGCAGCATGAAGCTCCTTCCCGAATTGGCAGTTGAAGAGATCAGCAGCTAAGATTATACTAAAATCGAAATATCTCGCGATCGATTTCCATATCGATATTGATTCAGATGCGCTTACATACCTCGGTTGCGGCTCCCCTAGCCCCCGTGCCGCCGTGCATATATCCAACCATCAGGGAGATCGGATTATCTCACCACGGTAGTCGGGATAGTCACATAACTATCATACAGGCGGCTCATAAAGCTAGGCAATACACCTATTCTCCAGTCTTAAGTGATATTCTAAGGTCATCCAGGGGACCGGGCTTCGATTCCCGAGAAGCGGTGTCATCGAACCCTAAACCTAACGCACGACTGGTCAAGATCCAAACTGAAGACCAAACCGGGAATTCTGTGGACAAAAGATCCCCACAATAACATTAACACAACCATCCCTGTCAGCTAGGGGTCAATAGTAAGGAGCCGGATTCACTTTTCAGCTGTGCAGCCTGTGCTTCCAAGGTTATCATCCGACATCCTTAGCGTGGCGACAAGATTGGAAGGCCACTGCTTCGTTGGCCTGTTGTCGGCCCACTCATACTATTCATGCAGCTCGTGTGGTGTCATAGCTCCTGGTGTAGATAGTGGCTGCTGCTAGTCGTGGCAGTGGAAGCCCGGTATTGAACGTGCTCCCAGGTTTGCATTGTTGAATCCCAGAGGACCTCGAACGTGGTATGTATTTCGTCCGCTACTAACGGATCTGATGCTAGACTTCCGGGTGTTCTAGTTACCTAATCAGTGAGCTCCTCGGGCTAACTAGTTAGGTATCTGTGCCTTTCTGCTTACCCACGGGCCACACCGTTCGGTGTGGGTAAGTAGCTATTGGGCTTTCGCATGGGAACGGGCAGTTCCATGCCATTATCAGCTTCTAGCCTCTTTTTCGGTAGGTAGGCATCGATGAACGCCCAAATAGGTGGTCTTGATATGGAGCCCAGAGATATATACCAGAGGCGGAGGGAACTATGGTTGGAAACAGTTTGGATATGAAACCTACCCGGGCAGTGCTGGCACTGGGAAGAACTGAACCAGAGAACAATGAACATTGATTTCTACAGTAGACTCAAAGTTGGCCTCATGGGTAAATGCCAGGCATGCAGATAGTAAATCTGCGTACCCAAAAGTGAAGCGAGATGTACACTTCCAAGTTCCAAGGTTGTGACTTGTGAGTATGCCAAGAAGGGCCAAACAATTTTACTGCAGAGATGCCTGACATTTCCATTGAAGGATTGGTCATGATAGGCGTTGGAGTCTTCATGGTCTTTCAGCGACAATAATATGTGTCGTATTCCTTCCGAGAAGATCCTGCGATTACATGGGTGCGATCATGCGATGAGTGGATGAATGCCTGAATTACCAGGTGTCAGAAGCGTTCACGCATCATTAATAGGGCCCAACAGCCGGCTGTGCTCTCTTGACTGGTGGACAGAGCTCCTAAATGCTGCAAGTGCAACCCCTAGTTAAGCTTAGGCCTTACTTACATAGGTGACATAATTGGCAATCAAGGTGGGGTTAGCTGATCCGGAAGATCTAGGTCGATTGTCGTCACTACGATGTCCACAGGTAGGCGAGGCAGTGCATGATGCCTGTAGGTACAAGGTTGAAACGCCGAGAACCCAGATACACATAGTTTGAGACAAGGCGGACTACACATGGCTACAATAGGCAGCCCGGGGTTTACGTTTTGTTTGAGCTCCCGCGCAGTGACATTGCAGATAGACAGGGAATATCACAGCCTGGAAGACCAATGATTGCCCAACCGCAGAATCCCAACCGCGTCAACGTAGCTCAAAAATTGACTGCCACAATGGCTGCACGGAACACATAGTACGAGGCTTCCAACAATCGAGAAGCGAGTCGAGACACCGAAATGAGTTCATACAACTTGATTCGACATATCAGGGAATCTCTCATAAAGGTAAATGAAATTCTTTCATTTGCTTAGCCGCAAGCCTTTTTGAAACCCGCGTGCTAGCTGTTCCTGTTCATCTCTAAAATTTCAAGAGAACCATTCCCAGCCGTTTTTCCCATAACAGTCGCTCCACCGGAAAAGGACAACACCGACATAAAGCACACTTAGCGCTTGGCGGCCTTCTGCTGGGACTCCTTGAGGACCTTCTTGACAATCTTCTGCTCCTCAATCAGGAAGGCACGGACAATGCGGTCCTTGACGCAGCCAGCGCAGCGAGAGCCACCGTAGGCACGGCTGACATTCTTCTTGGGGCGCGAGATCTGAGCGTACTCGCGGGGACGGAGGGCAGGAATCTATAAAAAAATTCACTTGTCAGTCGATCTGACTCAAGATTTGCCGAGACGGTTGTATGGAGATTGCAGCGTTTCGATCGGCCATTCGTTCACACTTCGGTCCATCCAGACAGAGTTTTCTTCGAAGTCGTTCGGTTGGCCCACCCGCAATCGCACACATCCCACACAGCCGTTTCAAAATTGCCATCGGACCTCGAGGGAGTACTCACACCAGGGAGCTTGATACCACAGTCACCGCACTTGGGAGCAGTACCCTTCTTCTTCAGGTGAAGGTAACGGAGCTCACCGCCGGGGGTCTTGATGATGCGGACCTTGTTGGACCGCGTGTTGTACCTGTTGAGCGAAAAAAAATCCGTCAATAATTCGTTCGCAAAGACTATAGTGATTCCATAGACAGAACTGTCGAATAATTCGTCCTGGTGCGTGGGATTGGGATTTTGAAGGGGAATTTCTCTTGAACGTACGGGTTCCGGCGGCGCTGAAAATTTGAAAAAGAGTCAGATCAGTGAATTTTGAGATCGGGCTTTTCTGGTAAAACTCACGTATTGCAGTCTGTTGTTGGTCATCTTGACTGTACTTGAACTGGTCAAGGGCGGCAGTTGTCGGAGTTGTCGTGAAGCAAAGTGAAATATGTCGAGATGGGTTTGTGTGGGTTTCTGCTCCAGCCGACGCTAGCGCAGATTTGGCGAGGTTGCGCTAGTCCGAATCCGGACTAGCGCCAATCGGAGCCGCCACTCCTCAAAGTTCCTACGGAGGCAGGAGCAGAGATAGTCACATCGCGTTGAGGGATCGTGGATCTCATCTTTGTCGCGTTTGCATCTTAATTCTCCATCTCCCCCACCCCCCTTCCCCTTCTTATACCTTTCGTGCTCTTATAAGCTGCAACGTCTTGCTACCTATGACCTCCAACGTGGCCTGACGCGACTTGACAACCAACAAAAGCTCTTCGAGGGAGGGTGGGCTTTCCCGTCCATTAATATACCATCATGGCATCATTGCCTCCTCCCCCTCCTCCCCCTCCAGGATGGGATGCAGCTCCTTCTATGCCGCTGGCGCCGCCGCCGCCCGGGTACCAGCCGCCAGCCGATCCGAACGTCGCAAAATTTGCGCAGAAGAAGAATGAATGGCTGCGCACGCAACGCAATCGATTCGCCGAGAAGCGAAAAGCAGGATTCGTCGAGACACAAAAGGCGGATATGCCTCCGGAGCACCTGCGAAAGATCGTGCGAGATATTGGCGACGTCTCACAGAAGAAATTCACCAACGAGAAGCGCAGCTACCTCGGCGCGCTGAAGTTCATGCCCCATGCCGTCCTAAAGCTATTGGAAAACATGCCGATGCCTTGGGAGTCGGCTCGAGAAGTCAAGGTTCTCTATCACATTAACGGCTGTCTGACTATGGTTAACGAGACACCACGTGTTATCGAGCCCGTTTTCCATGCCCAATGGGCAACGATGTGGGTGTCCATGCGTCGAGAGAAGAGTGATCGAAGGCACTTCAAGCGTATGCGTTTTCCCCCATTCGACGACGAGGAACCGCCTCTTTCGTGGTCGGAAAATATTGAAGATGTTGAGCCTTTGGAGCCTATTCAGATGGAACTGGATGACACCGAAGACGCCGCAGTCTACGAGTGGTTCTACGACCACCGTCCACTCCTCGATACCCCCCACGTGAACGGTCCGAGCTACAAGAAGTGGAACTTGACTTTGCCTCAGATGGCCACGCTGCACCGTCTCAGCCACCAGCTCCTGAGTGATGTCGTGGATCAAAATTACTACCACATGTTCGATCTAAACAGCTTCTTCACAGCCAAGGCCCTCAACGTCGCTATTCCCGGTGGACCTCGCTTTGAGCCTCTATACAAAGACATTGATCCCAATGACGAAGACTTCAGCGAATTCAATGCCATCGACCGCATCATTTTCCGTGCCCCGATTCGAACTGAGTACCGGGTCACATTCCCTTTCCTGTACAACACCCTACCCCGAAGCGTGAAGGTCGCCTGGTATTCTCACCCCCAAGTGGTCTATGTTCGCACTGAGGACCCTAACCTGCCTGCGTTCTATTTCGACCCTGTCATCAACCCCATCTCCTCGCGCTCTGTCGCCCCCAAAAATATCACCGTCAGCCACGAAGACGAAATCTTCGGGCCTGGCAATAATGAAGATGACGAATTCGAGCTCCCCGCTGAAGTTGAGCCTTTCTTTGAGGACGAGGAACTCTACACAGCCGACACCGCGTCCGCCATTGCCCTATGGTGGGCCCCTCACCCATTCGATAAGAGATCAGGGAAAATGGTTCGTGCGCAGGATGTCCCACTGGTCAAGCAATGGTACTTGGAGCACTGCCCACAGGGTCAACCTGTCAAGGTTCGAGTCTCGTACCAGAAATTGCTCAAGACCTACGTCCTCAATGAATTGCACAAGAGCACACCCAAGGCTCAAAGCAAGCAAAACCTCATGAAGACACTCAAATCAACCAAGTTCTTCCAGCAAACCACGATCGATTGGGTTGAGGCCGGTTTGCAAGTTTGTCGCCAGGGTTTCAATATGTTGAACTTGCTCATTCACCGCAAGAACCTGACTTATCTCCACCTTGATTACAACTTCAACCTGAAGCCTGTCAAGACCTTGACCACTAAGGAGCGTAAGAAGTCTCGTTTCGGAAACGCTTTCCACTTGATGCGCGAAATTCTTCGTTTGACCAAGCTCATCGTTGATGCGCAAGTTCAGTATCGCCTGGGTAACATTGACGCCTTCCAGCTCGCCGATGGTATCCTATACGCCTTCAACCACGTTGGTCAGCTGACTGGTATGTACCGTTACAAGTACAAGCTCATGCACCAGATTCGTTCCTGCAAAGATCTGAAGCATTTGATTTATTACCGATTCAATTCTGGCCCCGTTGGCAAAGGCCCTGGATGTGGTTTCTGGGCGCCCGCTTGGCGAGTTTGGCTCTTCTTCATGCGTGGTATCATCCCTCTGCTTGAGCGTTGGCTTGGAAACTTGCTCTCTCGACAGTTCGAGGGTCGTCACAGCAAGGGTGTTGCCAAGACGGTCACGAAGCAGCGTGTGGAATCTCATTTCGATCTCGAGTTGCGTGCCTCAGTTATGGCCGATCTTATGGACATGATGCCCGAAGGTATCAAGCAGAACAAGGTCAACGTGGTATTGCAACATCTTTCAGAAGCCTGGAGATGTTGGAAGAGTAATATTCCATGGAAGGTCCCCGGTCTGCCCGCGCCAATTGAGAATATCATCCTTCGTTATGTGAAGAGCAAGGCCGATTGGTGGATTTCTGTGGCTCACTACAACCGGGAGAGAATCCGTCGTGGTGCCACCGTTGACAAGACGGTCGCAAAGAAGAACCTCGGTCGACTCACCCGTCTCTGGCTCAAGTCCGAGCAAGAGCGCCAGCACAACTATCTGAAGGACGGTCCTTATGTGTCTTCCGAAGAAGCTGTCGCAATTTACACGACGATGGTTCACTGGTTGGAGTCTCGCAAATTTTCTCCCATTCCCTTCCCAAGTGTCTCTTACAAGCATGACACCAAGATTTTGATCCTTGCACTTGAGCGGCTGCGTGAGTCATACTCCGTCAAGGGAAGACTGAATCAGACCCAGCGGGAGGAATTGGCTCTCATCGAACAGGCCTACGACTCTCCTGGTACTACCTTGGCGAGAATCAAGCGATTCCTCCTAACGCAGAGAGCGTTCAAGGAAGTGAAGATTGACATGAATGACAACTACAACAATATCAACCCCGTCTATGACATTGAGCCTATCGAGAAGATCACGGACGCTTACTTGGATCAATATCTCTGGTACCAAGCTGAGCAGCGCCATCTCTTCCCCGCTTGGATCAAGCCCTCCGACTCTGAAGTTCCTCCTCTCCTGACCTACAAGTGGACCCAGGGTATCAACAATCTGTCCAATGTGTGGGAGACTTCCGAGGGCGAGACAAATGTCATGATCGAGACTGAACTCTCCAAGGTCTACGAGAAGATCGATTTGACTCTGCTGAACCGCTTGCTTCGTTTGATCATGGACCACAATCTGGCGGATTACATCACTTCAAAGAACAACGTCCAGCTCAGCTATAAGGACATGAACCACACCAATAGCTATGGACTTATCCGTGGTCTCCAGTTCTCGGGCTTCGTATTCCAGTTTTATGGTCTGATGATCGATTTGTTGCTTCTTGGGTTGCAGAGAGCCAGTGACATGGCCGGCCCCCCTGGAAGCCCCAATGATTTCTTGCAATTCAGAGATCGTGCCACTGAGACGAGACACCCTATTCGTCTCTACACCCGTTACGTTGACAAGATTTGGGTTCTCTTCCGATTCCAGGCTGATGAATCGCGCGACTTGATCCAGCGCTTCTTGACGGAGAACCCTGATCCGAATTTTGAGAATGTCATTGGCTACAAGAACAAAAAGTGCTGGCCTCGCGATTGTCGTATGCGCTTGATGCGTCACGATGTCAACCTAGGCCGTGCCGTCTTTTGGGACATGAAGAACCGCCTTCCGAGATCTATCACAACCATCGACTGGGATGATACTTTCGCTAGCGTATACAGCAAGGACAACCCCAATTTGCTGTTCTCAATGAATGGATTTGAAGTCCGCATTCTTCCCAAGATCCGGAATATGAACGAGGAATTCTCGGTGAAGGACAGTGTTTGGTCTCTCGTCGACAACGCCACAAAGGAGCGCACAGCGCATGCCTTCCTCCAGGTGACTGAAGAGGATGTCCAGAAGTTCAACAACCGTATCCGGCAAATTCTCATGTCCTCCGGTTCGACCACGTTCACCAAGATTGCCAACAAGTGGAACACCGCTTTGATTGCCCTCTTCACTTACTACCGTGAGGCTGCTGTCTCGACTGTCAACCTTCTTGACACTATCGTGAAATGTGAAACGAAGATTCAAACTCGCGTCAAGATAGGTCTCAACTCCAAGATGCCGTCTCGTTTCCCACCGGCGGTCTTCTACACCCCCAAGGAGCTTGGAGGTCTGGGTATGATCTCAGGATCTCACATCCTCATTCCCACCAGTGACAAGCGCTGGTCCAAGCAAACAGATACTGGCATCACCCATTTCCGGTCGGGTATGTCCCACGATGAGGAGACCCTTATCCCGAACATCTTCCGATACATCATTCCCTGGGAGGCCGAGTTCATTGACTCTCAGCGTGTCTGGATGGAGTACTCCCAGAAGCGTATGGAGGCTCAGCAGCAGAATCGTCGTTTGACTTTGGAGGATCTGGAGGACAGCTGGGATCGTGGTCTTCCCCGCATCAACACCCTCTTCCAGAAGGATCGAAGCACCCTCAGTTTCGACAAGGGTTTCCGACTTCGCGCTGAGTTCAAGCAATACCAGTTGATGAAGAGCAATCCATTCTGGTGGACTAGTCAACGCCACGATGGTAAACTCTGGAACCTGAACGCCTACCGTACCGACGTCATTCAAGCGCTGGGTGGTGTTGAAACGATTCTCGAGCACACTCTGTTCAAGGCAACCGCTTTCCCGTCCTGGGAGGGTCTGTTCTGGGAAAAGGCTTGTCTTGCAAAGGGTACCCGACTCCTGCGATCCGATGGAACTGAGGTCAACGTTGAGGACGTGCGCGAAGGTGATCTACTTCTAGGCCCTGACGGCGAGCCTCGTCGTGCCTTCAACACCGTCAGTGGCAGCGAGCGTCTTTACCGCATCAAGATTGGCGGCGAGAAAGAAGATCTTGTGGTGACGCCCAACCATATCTTGGTGCTTCATCGCGAGCAGACCTCCACTTCTGATCGGCCAAACAAGGTGTTCAAGCAAGCCGTAGAGATGACCGCCGCGGATTTCGCCGCCCTTTCCTCCGAGGAAAGAGGTCTGTATCGTGCCTTTGGCTCTCCCGAGCTTGAGAAGGGTGACGAGCGTTCGGTATTGCAGACCAACATCTTCAAGATTGAAGACATCGTCCTTGAATCCGAGGAGACAGAGTGGGCCGGTTTCCGAGTTGACAAAGATCAGCTTTACCTGCGCCATGATTACCTTGTTCTGCACAACAGTGGTTTCGAAGAGAGCATGAAGTTCAAGAAGCTGACCAACGCTCAGCGATCCGGTCTGAACCAGATTCCTAACCGTCGGTTCACTCTCTGGTGGTCGCCAACCATCAACCGTGCCAATGTCTATGTCGGTTTCCAGGTGCAACTGGATTTGACTGGTATCTTCTTGCACGGCAAGATCCCCACATTGAAGATTTCCCTAATTCAGATCTTCCGTGCCCACTTGTGGCAGAAGATTCACGAGTCAGTTGTCATGGATTTGTGTCAAGTCCTGGATCAGGAGTTGGAGCAGCTTGGCATCGAGGCTGTTCAAAAAGAGACCATTCACCCGCGTAAGTCTTACAAGATGAACAGCTCTTGTGCAGATATTCTTCTCTTCGCAACGAACAAGTGGAACGTCACCCGCCCTTCGCTGGTGTTCGACACCAAGGACGTCTACGAGCCAACTACAACCAACAAGTTCTGGATCGACGTGCAGCTCAGATATGGTGATTACGATTCTCACGATATCGAGCGTTACGTTCGTGCCAAGTATCTCGACTACACCACAGACAGCATGAGTATCTATCCTTCGGCTACTGGTTTGATGATTGGTGTCGATCTTGCATACAACCTCTTCTCATCGTACGGACAGTACTTCCCTGGCCTCAAGACACTGGTCCAGCAGGCCATGGCTAAGATCATGAAGGCAAACCCGGCTTTGTATGTCTTGCGTGAGCGTATTCGCAAGGGTCTCCAGCTGTATGCCTCTGAGAGCAATCAGGAGTTCCTCAACTCCCAGAACTACTCGGAGCTCTTCAGCCCGCAAATTCAGCTCTTCATCGATGACACTAACGTCTACCGTGTCACGATTCACAAGACCTTTGAAGGTAACTTGACTACAAAGCCGATCAACGGTGCCATCTTCATCTTCAACCCTCGGACTGGACAGTTGTTCCTGAAGATTATCCACACCAGCGTTTGGGCAGGTCAAAAGCGTCTCGGTCAGTTGGCCAAATGGAAGACGGCCGAAGAAGTCGCAGCTCTCATTCGCTCTCTGCCCGTGGAAGAACAACCGAAGCAGCTCATTGTCACCCGTAAGGGTCTTCTCGATCCTCTCGAGGTGCACCTGCTCGATTTCCCCAACATCTCCATTCGCGCCTCCGAGCTTCAGCTGCCCTTCCAGGCGGCCATGAAGGTCGAGAAATTGGCCGACATGATTCTCCGTGCGACTGAGCCCCAGATGGTACTCTTCAACTTGTATGATGAGTGGCTCAAGTCCATCTCTCCCTACACTGCCTTCTCTCGACTCATTCTGATTCTCCGAGCTCTTCACGTCAATATTGACAAGGCCAAGATCATCCTTCGTCCTGACAAGACCGTCATCACTCAGGAACATCACATCTGGCCTTCTCTCTCCGACGAGGACTGGATCAAGGTTGAAGTGCAATTGCGTGATTTGATCTTGAACGACTACGGCAAGAAGAACAACGTCAATGTGCAGAGTTTGACTAGCAGTGAGGTCCGTGATATCATCTTGGGTATGGAGATCAGCGCTCCCTCTCTACAGCGCCAGCAGGCGGCAGAGATCGAAAAGCAGCAGGAAGAGCAGAAGCAGCTTACTGCTGTGACTACGAAGACTCAGAATGCTCGTGGCGAGGATATCATCGTCACTACTACGTCTCAGTACGAGCAGCAGTCGTTTGCCTCCAAGACGGAGTGGCGTACTCGTGCAATTGCAACCTCCAATCTCCGGACTAGATCCAACAACATCTATGTCTCCTCTGATGACATTCGGGAAGAGGGCTACACGTACATCATGCCCAAGAACATCCTCAAGCGATTCATCACCATCGCCGATCTTCGAGTGCAGGTCACCGGTTACATCTACGGCAGCTCTCCGCCGGACAATGACCAGGTCAAGGAGGTTCGCACCATTGTGATGATCCCTCAAGTTGGCAACACCCGGGACGTCCAACTGCCGCACCAATTGCCGCAGCACGACTACCTCTCCAACTTGGAGCCACTTGGTATCATCCACACGGTGTCTGGCAACGAGCCGCCGTACATGTCTGCAGCAGATGTCACACATCACGCGCGTCTGATGAACGCGCATCCTTCGTGGGATAAGAGGACCGTGACCATGACGGTCTCTTTCACCCCTGGCTCGGTTTCTCTTGCCGCGTGGGGTCTTACTCCCTCGGGCTATAAATGGGGCGCAGAGAACAAGGATACAACCTCCGATCAGCCACAAGGCTTCTCCACCAGCATGGGTGAGAAATGTCAGCTGCTCCTCAGTGACAAGATCCGCGGCTATTTCCTTGTGCCCGAAGACAACGTTTGGAACTACAGCTTCATGGGCAGCTCTTTCGGTAGCGTCGAGAAGCGACCCGTCTACGTCAAGATCGATACCCCGCTTAAGTTCTACGACGACCAACACCGTCCTTTGCACTTCCAAAACTTTGCCGAGTTGGAAGACATTTGGGTTGATCGGGCAGATAACTTTGCCTAAGACATCAGCTTGTCAGGCGTTCCCATCAATTTTTGTTTCTCTTGCCAGCGTCTGTTTTACTATTTTGATTCTTTTGTTCGTTTATTTTCTTTTCTCTATTCTGGTTCTTGTATCATGACGACTTAATCATTTATTGCAGCGAGAACAGGCAGAGAAAAGGGCCAGGAAATTTTTGTATAGTACGAGTTTCCTTTTGCGAATACATTACCTGTCACTTCGACATTAGGATGATTTTTCGGTATTTTTCATTTTTCATTCTTCCCTTGTAAATCTATACGAGGATGCAGTTGATTTTGTAATACATGTACTGTGTAGAATGGCACCAGTTGACATGGCCTGTCCTTTGTTTCCGTTCTCTTTACGATCTCCGTAGATTGCCGCGTTGTGATCGAGGACCAACTCACCTTCAGCCACTTCGGCGTGGGGGTCCGAACCCTACAGGTTGCGCAGCTTCACGGATAAATTAACCAGGAGAATGGTTGGATACGAGGTCTGAGAGTGCCAGACTGTCAGGGATTGAAGAAAAAGAAAAAGATTATACCCTGCTCGACTATTGGAATCTGACGACCATTCAGCGTACGATCTTTCTCTCCACTTTGATGCATCAACATAGTCCATCGACCACGCTCAGACAATGACAGACGGCCACATGCAGCTAGCACTCTTCGGTAGCTACTCCGAGTCACATGTCGCCGCTGTCATTTGAGAGAACTTCCTGCGCCGCCTGCAATGTGGCGGGGACTGATGTGACAGACTATCCAACTTCATCTCCTCCAATGAGCTCCTTGAAATAGCCCCGCGAAGCACTCGTTGACCATGTCTTGTCTTTCCTCGGTCCAAAATCTCTATATTGAAGAGACTGAATGTACGTTGTCAGGTCCAAACTCCAACCTCCCTTTCTCTGTTGTCTTGGCCTATGTTTCAACCCCTGTTCTCGTCTCTTCTATCGATATTCGTGATTGACCCTCGCAGGCGTTGGATCCGAAGAATCCCGGTGGCAATCGACAAATGGCGGCTCATACCTACTTTACTAACCCATCCCGTATCAATCAGCCGATGCCATATGGCCCTTCTCCTGCCCTGGCAAAGAACGTAACAGTTGCATAGAGGACCCGTTCGTCCAATAAGCTGATTCTTGGTTTTTCAATTCTCCCAAAGCTGACAGGATTTATCTGCCATGTCTCTTTTCTTCGTTATGGCTGTGTACTGACCCTGGCATTCGATCTTGATCCAACCCCGGTTCCCTGAGTTGCATACTGAGTTGCATCTGGTGTTCAGTCCCCCAGCTCATAGGGACAGTTGCCAACAATGACTTTTGGCAAAGCTAACCCAAAGCTTTCTGAAACTCCTCTCTCAAGTTGGAAGTCTGTGCGAACAACAGAGGAAATCCCCTATCCCATCTCAGGATCGGAAAGATGGGATACTACTCATCGCAACTGACTATGAGCGTTCCCTTCTTGCAGTCCGGTCCACTGGAAATTGATGAAATCAGCCCGGCAACGCACGCTTCAGCTTGGTCACCGGCACAGGTCTGGGATAGGGGGCTCTCCGGATTGTTGTTATAGACGTGTCCATGCCTTCCGTTTCTTTTTTCATTCTTCTATAACCTAGCTGTTCTGATCTGCCTTGTTATTCCACCCCATTATACATTATGCTTGACCAGTTCCTTTGCAAGTCCTGGGTACATTCCGACCCAAAATAGCCCTATCCTTCCGCCTCTGCGCGCCAATACCCCAGGATTTTGCCCATCTTTGTTGCGCGGCGTTCACATTCAGTCTCTCTGGATCAACCTCCTATGTAACTACGAGTCCAACTTTTTTCTCCGCCTTTGTCTTTGAACTCCGGGACAACATCCTTGAGAGTCACATCGGGTGGCTTGGATCTGACAGGACACTCAAGCCATCTTTCTGGGGCTGCAGCCCTGGTACTCTCTGATATATGCCAGCAGTATTGGCGGAACCTTATCAAGTCTTCATGGTTAACTACACCTCTCACGGCAACGGTAAAGATGCCGGCCCAGATGAGGATACTTCCTATGGCGCTGCTCAGTCGCCCTCCCATGATAGGCCCGATGCCCATTACCACCATGACACGATGCTATCATCATTTGGATCTCCATCGACTTTCATCACAGATCGCCCGCTTCCACGCCAGCCTCCTCTGCATTTCGAGGCGCCGCATTATGGCCTCCCCTCTCTACGGGATAGTCTTAGACAACCACTCGACGGCAATGAATCGGAAGTCAATCAAAACACCGATCACACTTATGGGCAACGGCCTGTCCTGCACAGTGGTCAGATGAACATGCTTCCGTACCCATTTCCAGGTGAAACAGCCGACCTGGGACCATATCCTGCGCATGGGGACCCCTTAGGTTCCCACCACATATCGCACCAGGAATACAGCCACGCGGCTGCTCCCTCGCATCATCTTCTTCACCATCGAATACCATCCCAAGGACCATCATCTTTGCCGTCGAATGCGCGGATATCTAGAGTTCAGGACTCAGGGAGATCAAAGGAGACAAAGGAGCCGATAGACCTCAGCTTCTTGAACATGCCAGGTTTGCCAGAACGATTCCCAGAGCCGAAAGTGTCAAAGACCAGGTTCGGCAAGAAGGAGGATTCCGTAGTTGTGACGCTCAAGGAGCAATTCAATTTATCCTGGAAGCAGATCGCGTGGTTCTTTCCAGGGCGACAACCGGGAACCTTGCAAGTTCGTTACTGTAACCTCTTGAAGGTGAGGCATGTGGACTGGGATGATGAGAAGGTACGTTTCGTCTCCGGGCAACAGTTGGATTAGGATTTGTGCTGATTTCTGAACTCAGGATGCGAAGCTGAAACAATATATTGAAGAGTATGAGGAGAACAAGTGGCATTTCATCTCGCGGAAGATGGGGCGTCATCGTATATCACCAGAAGCATGTAGGCGGAGAGCTGCAGAACTTGAAGAATTAGAAGCTAGGGCTGACTCGGCTGAGGCTGACGCCGAAACTGAAGGCGAGACGGAACAGAGTGACAGTAGATAGGATCGAAGAAATTACGCATTACGTTGTGGCTTTTACTGTGTGTTCCCTCTAGTCAGAGCTTCCTTGTAGGTATGTTAATGTGACATGTCCCAAATCTGGATATCATACTTTGCCCTATGAGAAAAGCCCTAACGGTCTCAAAACGGCGATTCTACGCTTTTGGTCTGAACAGCTTGCCGTACCAAGCTCCCGCCAATCAGTCAATCTGACTCATCAATGCTAACGGTCCTATTGGTCAATACAGCCAGCCAATCACAGACGCTCGGGCCAAAGCGGCTTCAAACTCACCCAACCTCAAACCTCCAAACTCCCTCTCCTGCCCCAAACGCCCCGCGTCATCCACCCCCAGCACCTCTAGGACAATGTTCCTCCAACGTACAGCCTCCGCCCTCGCAAGGCGCTCGCCTGCTCGCGCTTTCACCCTCGCCCAGCGCCCCTTCTCTTCCACCATCATCCGCTGTACGTTGACTCCCCGAATGGCCTGATCCGATCACCGCACAACTGCTACCAATTCCCGCGCACCCCGACCGAGGGGCGAAGTTTTATACCATACTGCTCGATAAACGTCTACTCTTGACTGTATTTACCAGCTAACACGAATTCTTGTTACAGCCGATGCGAAGAAGTGGACTCCCAAGCAGGAGGGCAAGGTCCTGACCTTCGAGGGTTAGTGCCCTCATTCCGTCCCAATGGCAGTCAATTGCTCTTTTCTGGTCTCTGTGGCTCAATCGATACCACCAAACGACATATTTGAATATCTGCATGCAATTGAATGCCATAGAACCTCGGTTGTCGGTCATGTGGATGTCTTTTCCGAGCCACGAGCCAGACCTGTCATTCCGCTGCGAGTGTTTGTCTTCGAAGCACACTTACTGACCTCAGAATATAGAAATCAAGGTCGAGGATGACCTCCTCCCCCCGGGTGCTAAGCCCGGTACAATCCCCACCGATGTCGACCAGGCTACCGGTCTGGAGCGTCTGGAGCTCATCGGAAAGATGCAGGGCATCGACATCTTCGACATGCGTCCCCTTGATGCCTCCCGCAAGGGTATGACTTCCTCCCTACCCTTCTCGCTCTAATTTCAATGCCGAGAATAAATGACGAAATACCGACGAGATCGGCTGCTTTTTCGAACCATTGGCTGATCACGAAATCTCTACAGGCACACTCGAGGACCCCATCATTGTCAACAGCGCCGGTGATGAGCAGTACGCCGGTTGCACCGGTTACCCCGTAGACTCCCACCAGGTCAACTGGCTCACCGTATGATCAGCCCCTGCCCAGCCCAACCGGGCTACATCTCCCAGCTGCGTAGAGACTGACTCTACATCCCACAGGTCTCCCGCGAGCGCCCCATTGAGCGCTGCATGGAGTGCGGCAACGTGGTCAAGATGAACTACATCGGACCTGAGGAGGATCCCCACGCCCGTACGTTACCTACCCTATCTGCTTACCTCTCGGGTTCTCCCTATGTGATAATGAGATGGCTAACTCTTTTCCCCAGACGACCACGCCCACGACCACGGTCACCACCACCCCCCCTCACGTCGAGCCCAAGACCTTCGCCGACTACGTGAAGCCCGAATACTGGTACCGCTAGGTTCTCTAAAACCGCTTTTCTGGTTGCGCGGCGGTTCCCTTTGGTTTTGGCTTGGAAATTCACAATACAAATGTGAACGTCTTTCCTGCATGTGTCTGTCCCTGTTCTGTCTTCGTGACTTCTCTGTCTCTTTTGTAGAATAGTGCTCTAGTAGATGAAAATGAGAGTGTTGGTGCGGTTCTGATCTTGATTATGTTCTCCTGACTGTTTAATCGTCATTCTATCCTGGATTTATAGTCGCCGAGATGATAGAGCGACGCTAGTAGTCCTGTGTAGGCGTTTTGCAGGTAACGGAAGAAGGGGTAGCCAATAGAAACAGATCTAGCCTTTCTAGATGCAAATATAATCCTATATACAGCAGTACCTAGACAAGATGTATAGACAAAGACCAGATAGCCGTGCATATCCTCCAGCAACGTGGGGAGAATAACAACTCTATCGAATCTAACTTTCAACCGGAGGCAGGTGACAGGTAGAAACCCTAATATCCCAGCACCTCAAATGGAAACATCTGGCCGACAGAGAAGATACTCCGTTTAGAGCGCAATCTCATACACCAAGATCTAACGACCGATGAAGCGAAGCTCAAGGTATCTGAGAGGAGGGTAAGCAATCGCACCCCAGCCGAACCCAACATAAACACCCATCTAGCGAAAAAAAAAGATTAGTAACTTATCCATGATCGACCTGAAGAACAGGAAAAACTTACATCAGCCCCATAATCTCCGACCAACTTCGCAATCGGCCCAATATACCACACCTGCGCCATACACAGCACAGCACCAACCCACCCAATAACGAAAGCAATGAACGCAGCAATACCAATAGGCAATTTAGAAGGATCCCTCCAAATAGCCCAGTTATACCCCGTGCGGCGATGGAAGATAAACCGCTCTTCGAGAACAATAGCCATCCAGATAACGACCCAGTAGCCCATGAGCGCGAGGAAGTTAGTAAAGATATCAGCGAGGTGGGAGCGACCGGCGAGCGCGCAGACGGTGTAGATGATAGCGGCGATGGTGTTCCAGACGACGCGGGGGACGGCCTCGGCGTAGCGGCCGAGGATCTGGAAGTCGATGCCGGCGGAGTAGGTTGGGGGCACGGTGTTTGCGATCAGGCCGAGGGCGCAGATGACGGAGCAGAATTTGCCGAAGCCGTGGAGGGGGCCGAAGCCTTCGACGATTAGGGCGCCTTGGCCTTTGGCGTAGGCGGCGGCGTACTCCGGGTACTTTGTGATGCCGGAGGCTAGGCCGACGCCGCTTACCAGGGCCATGGTAAAGGAGAAGAGGAGGCCGGCTAGGGTTAGGCTGAAGAGTTTGGTTCGGGATGTGCTTTCTGGGTAGTAGACGAAGAAGTCGGCTGCTAGGGGGGTGTAGGTGACTCCGGCGCTGAGGCAGATGGAGAAGAAGGATAGTCTGTTGCCGGCTACAGTGCGGACATCGCCCTCTGAAGCGGTTGATAGATCAAATTTCACGGATGAGACACCGAATAAGATGCAGACCACGATTACTTGGGGTACCCAGGCGAAGCTGGTGCGCATTAGTTATGCAAGTATAAGAGGAATCTCGTAGACTAACCGTTCATAGTAGTGGAAGACTTGGATGCCGAATGTAGCTACTGCCCAGCTGATGATCGCGACAATGACAATGCCTGGTACGAGTTAGACGACGCTTGTTGTACGAGATTGCTGAGATACTCACCAACAGCCACAGACATGCCCGAGGGAGAGACAGCAGACAAGATTTGTCCACCAACGACGCAATCAATCAAGCCATATCCGATCATTTGGACGAGGTTCAACAAGACAATGATCTTACTAGGCCACCAGCCCATCGAGTATCTTCCAAAAGCCTACTCCTCAATTAGCCTCTGCATCAAACAAGCATATCCGAGTATCTGCTACTCACCAGAGTCCGAATACCCGAAACAGGACCCCAAGTAGCCATCCAAGATGCGGCCACGGAGCCAACCAAGGCGCCGAGAACAGCACAAACAGCCGAGTCCTTGAAGTTGAGACCGAACACCGCAGGCCCCAACATCCCAAGAGTGATATTGTTAGGCGCCAGATTGATCGAAATCCACAGCAAGAACACCTGCAGATACGACATCCAGGTCAAGCGCTTCATACGCTCATCCGAAGCGACTCGCTCAATTCCCCGCGCCTCGAGGTTATATTCGACAAGCTGCTGCTCGAAGGCTCGGAGAGCAGATCCCAACCGTGATCCAACGGGGTTGTGACGAGCAGGCGTGTCACTTGCATAGATGCCCTCATCCTTGTTGGCCGGGCCGGAGGTGTCAGGCGCGTAAGTTGTTGGTTCCTCCTTGGAGTGCACCGCTACGGCGGTGATTTCATTTTGTGAAGCCATGCTGGGAGAATGTGTTAGTATATTGCGTTGCAATTCGGAGTTTCCGAGAGTCCAAAGCGCATTCAGTCCTTTCGCTGGAATTACCCAGATCAAGTTTAACCGTATAATCTCAGAACGACAATTGTCGAACACCGGCCTTTCATGCGGGAGACTTGTCCGATATACCTTGATCGTGAGAGGATACCACGCTACTCGTCTTCATGATAGCCGTCCTCTTGTCATGCCAGAGGCTGTGTTACCTTCCAGAGTCTGAAGATAACCGGGTAGTGTTAGCGGGATTGACGATATCGAAGCATCGAAGCATTGGGGAAACGTCAATTACCTTGAGATTGGCCGTATAAGTCGAACAATTCTCGAACTGAAGTCTCACCAACAATCGTAAAGGTGAGTTCACTTAGATGTCAGTGGGGGAGGCAAAAAATGGGTCTCGATTAATCTCCGCGGGGAAGAAAAGAAATCGGAGCCCGCATTGGCATTTTTCCGCCTCCGCGACAGGCGCATGAAATCTACTTCGGGGTAACCTCAACACGGTCGGGACCTTTTGAGGGGCATATTTTGGTATAAAACGAGTTCCTTATGGACCGGATGGGAATCATATGGTATTGTTGGTCACAAAAAGCGCAAAAAGAAAGATCATCGCGCTTGTCAAGTCAAATAACGCCTGGGAGTCACAGACATAACGTTGCGCTTCATAGCGCATATAAGAAGTAAATAGGGGAGATAGGGGAAATAGGGGAAATAGGGGAAATAGGGACCAAGATCGAAGAAGAATATAAGAAAAGAAATCCAGATCACCAACTCCATCTGCCTTGTAAAATCAGTAACCTCCGTCAGCTACCGATGAAACGTGCATTGCTCTGGAATTGCCGGGAATCCGGAGAGAATGCCAAATTCATAATAGATGCTCAAGAAAACAAGATCGTCACTTCATCAGAGGTAGTTCAAGCATGTGGTCAGACATTCTTGAAATGCTCTTTGGCATACTGCTCGCAGGCCTATCGGAGAACATTAGGGTTAGATGTCAACAATGACATGCAGGAACTTAACTCACTTTAGCAGGCTTTCCCACTTTCTGGCCGATTACTTTCCACTTATTCGCCTCGTATTCCTTGATCGCCTCTCGAAGCTTCACAGACTGTGCGACGTCAGATGCGACCACGGACATTTAGTTAACAACACCCGGGATCATACCTCATCTTCGGCAAATTCTGCGTAGTGCATGTCCTGCGTGAGGTGTAAGTAAGACGAGTGTATGGGTATTGCAAATTGCTGGAGAGCATGTACCTTGTACCAGTGCTTCTTGACACTGCCCTCGGTTCGGGTCGGGAAAGTCTAGTATAACAAAAAGCCCAGGTCAGCAACCCGTAGCTTGGGTTGTCTTTTCTCATAAATTGCGCACCTTGGCTATTTCACTCCAGCTGCGCCCAGCGTCGCGCATTGTCTTAAGCCGTTGCTCCTCCTCTGCAGTCCACGGGGTATTCGTTCGTCCCTTTTTCTTGGGCGTAGCCTCGACCGGGGGCATAGCGCCGGGGTCCTCCATCCCACTACCTGAGGGATTCCCTGGAGCTGCCATCATGCCTGAGGATCCTGTCGAAGGAGAAGGGGGCCGTTTGCGCGACGCGCCGGGGTTTTGTTGAGGTAAAGGAGCAGTCGGGATGGGAATGCCTTCGAAGGTCGGAACGCGGTGAAAGGGATGCATTTGTTGTTGGGCAAGCATATGCGACGGGGCGCTAGTGGTGGCCGACGTCTTCAGGCGCTTGGATGTCGGGGGGAACTGTTCGGATGGGACCAGAAGTCAGAACAAACCGAAATCAGACGAAAACATATGAGGCAGGAACGTGACGATAACCGCGACCAGAATTTGAGGTCCCAACCCAGTCTCCCTCCCACAGCTGGAGGCCAGACGGAGATCATAGACGGGACTTACGACATGGTGAAAGACACATGCGGTTTTCAATCACAGTGTCTATTCATCTGTACATACAAAAAAGACGTAGGGGGAGGGGGAGGGGGTGTGTTTAGCAGGACCCGGTACTGGCGCGCCTTGGTCAACACTCGGAAAGCGTTACACTAAAAGACGATGACACAGGCGCATCCCAGGTAAAACCAGATGAAAGGTAACAGGAACAGTGAGGAAGGTATAAATCGCGACACAGACAAGTCCAGACTCCGACCGGAGTGTTTTTAGTGGGGGAGTTTTCAGAAGAGGGAGTGTGCTCACAGGTCAAAGTCGCATGGTCGAAGCGTCGATTCGGGGACCTCGAATTCTTCCGAATATGGGGAGAACATGAGGCTGAAAGTTGGGGGTTGACTTTGGATGAAAGAGAATGGAACCCCAAAAAAGGGGGGGGGACGAGGGAAAGGGAGAGAGAGACAAGGTACGGTAGTGAAGGGGAGAAGTTGGAGAGTTGATGAGGGAGAGAAGGAGAAGGGTAGAGAGCGGGGATGGAGTCACCTCATATCACAACATTAAGCCAAAATAATAAATAGCAGAGATTTGATTTCATTAAATAGTTTAAATAGTTGCTTGATTTCTAGTTATATATGTTATTTATTCCTTATAGCTAAATAACCACTGTTTAGAATATACTGTGTAGGTAAATATAGGGAGAAGATCAAGAAGCACGATCTCCCCCCCCCAGACTCCCCGTGTCCCCTCTTTCTCTCTATCCTAAGTCTTCCTAACCAACTCCAATCCCCTTATATCAAATGTAGATTGTTCGTGCGATTAAATTAGAATTCAGTGTCGATTCAAATGCGCCTCCAACCCCTCCCCTCTCAACCCGGTGCATTCCACAATCAGTTCTTCCCTGGCCTAGGAACCGCCCTGTCACAAATCAAGGCTGTAAAGGCCAACAAGCAGAAGTAGAAATGGCCACGTCCGGCAGCTTCCATGAGACATTTGGGCCGAAGAGACCCGCGAGTGGCCTGTTCCAGAATCCGGTGACCCGGCGAGATCTCACAACACCGTGCGAGGATGACAGGACACGCCCAATGCGAGTCAACGACGCGCCCGAAGGCCTAATTATTGCAAAGGCATCCAATGGACCCGGGAACTCATCCCGCAATCACTGGCATTCAGATCACAGAGAAGTGTCCGTCCAACCCGAGACTTGGCGGGCTAGATCAGCCACACGGTCTTGCGTGAAGCCACCGGGTATGATTCCCCTCTATGCCTCCTATGCAGGGTGTCGAGAGCATGCATGGGGTTTGAAGCAGAAAGGTTGGAGGCCCTGGTCAGCCTCCTGTTCGGTCTTAGTACCGTGCCTGGTTCATTCAATGCGTGTAGGTATATATTCGAAGAGGCCCAGCCTCTCAAGAACCTGCCGGCATTTTCTTTGTGATACACACAAATCTCAAAACCCTGGTCAATGTTCAATTGGTGACGATCAGTGACAAATGGGAACAATTGACGAGATTACTATGACGAACCTGGAAGCTGGAAACCGCTGAATTCCTGGAATCGCTAATTGATTATCTTCTGTTGCAGGATTGTGAATGCATGCAAAGGATCAGGTGTGCTAGATTGTGTCTGATGCGGCATGAGGCCCGCGCAGATTAGATGCTGCCAAGAATGACTGGGGTCAGCTTTATGATTTGCGTCGTGTCAGAGATCTCCTGTATCAAGTCCACCAGGTTTCATGATCAACGATGATCAACACAATAGATAGTTCTCAACCGCCCCAAAGGTCTGGATGTTGCTGAATTTGTCAAAACACTATCTACCTAAGCGGGATCTCTTAACTTGAACAATTGCTCGTGAGTCGTGGCTTTGCCTCAAGTATTCGAACCGCCTATGAACTTCCTGGTCATCAGTTCAAACCTCAAACTATCGACCCAATATTTAGATCGGGAGATTGATTGGCCTTCAGCAATACTCTGGTGAAAATGTTGACTGCATCTGCTTTGGGAATCTTACCGGCGTCGCCTTGCGGTGAGGCATCTAGGCCTTTCGAATCCACAGTGCAATTACCCAGCTCTTGGTTCTAACTGCAATCCTAGGTATCACCCTAGAAGCTTAAGAAGAGCCTCCAATCAAGTCCCAATGGCTCATCTATCGCATACGTTGTACGTCGTAAGGATATTTGCTCCAAACAATGGCCGCATCTCCATTCATTTCGTTGATTCGTCTCTGCGCGCCGTTTGATCGCATTGGACTACATAGCTGCCCTTAGAACAGGCGCTTGTCGACGCTACCAAGTTTGAAGAAAACTTAGCAGCTACGGACGAGTTCGATGTTTCTTGCCATTCTTTCTCTTTTGTTTTTTGATATACATCGCCTTCGGCCGTTAGAATGACCTACCTAGATATATCTTCTTGCCGCACCCGCAATCTTACCTTGAACAGCACATGTTAACCTGATGGAACCAGACACTATGCAACTAGGTAGACCTCTCCTGAACATCAGGGTCTTTCTTCTGTCAGTTACTAGTAATATCGATCTTCTACCTTCACATGTTTTGTACAACTGTTTTGATCTGACGTCAACTCACGTGAGTCGGGAGGACACGCGGCCTGGAGCTCTAGTGGATCACCGATAACGAACTCCGACGGGACTCCAACATCTCCAATACCTACTGCCTACTACCTATTAACTACAGACGACATCTCTTCCTTTTTAGCTGGAGAACCTATATACTCCACAAGTTCTCTACCTTCAAGTATACTCAACCAATCTTACTCACCCTCAGCCAGATCCCTGGCGTCCACCTCTATGCTGATAGCTTGACGAACCCACGTCCACATTCACCCCCGCATCTATTTCACTCTCTGCTTGTTCGACCACAACCTTTTAACCATGGTATCTTGGAATCCCTTTCGCATCATTGGAGACTTGTCTCATCTTGGCTCAACATGTGTCTTAATTTGGGCTATCCACAAGAACAAGAGTGCCGAGGGTTCGTCCGCCCTTGAATCAGATCAATCGAGTTAGGATAAGAGGATACTGACACAGACACTTGTTTACAGGCATCTCACTCCTTACACAGATACTTTATGGAGCCGTCTTTGTCTTCCGATATCTTGACCTGCTTCTTCCCTCCACATACAGGACTGGCGGGAGAGGGTCATGGCACGTCATTTGGAATATCTCCTTCAAGCTCTTCTACCTGCTCTCGTCGGCATACCTGATATTTCTGATGATGAAGGTCTACCCGCGCACCAGAGAGCGGGAGCGTGCGTGGAAACTCGGCCTGTGGTCTGTGGCAGGGTCGGCCATTCTAGCTCCCATCTCAATCTGGCTTTTGGAAAACGAGGTCTACGTTCCATGGATAATTGAGGTAAGTAGAACGGAACACAACCCTCCATCTGCTGCAAGCTTACTAACACTTTTAGTTTTGCTGGGCTTTCTCCATCATTCTTGAGTCTGTGTGCGTGTTGCCGCAGCTGCTTCTACTTCGCCAGACCACCGTGCCGACGGTCATCGACTCATATTACCTTCTTGCTCTAGGCTCATACCGAGCCTTTTACATTCTCAACTGGATTATCCGCCTCTTCAGCAGTGCGCCCTTCAATGACTGGATTGCGGTCGTGTTTGGAATTGTCCAAACTGCCTTTTACGTCGACTTTGCCTGGGTATACTATTCACGTCAGCGGGTCAAGCTTCGCAACGGTGGCGTTGTCGACTCCGAAGACTATGGAAACAGTTGGCTAGTGAATCGCGTGGTCAATTTCCGGGCCTCGCGACAATCTACGGACGAAGAGCAGCACCTTCAAGATGACGGGGAGGGGTTGAATGGTGCACCAAACCACAATCGGTGGGGTGCTCGTGGGATTTCCATCGCAGCAGATGATACATTGGAGACCAACGCTCATAACAAGAGCCAGCGCCAAAACGACAGTTTAGATGGATTCTCGGGTGACGAGGATGAAAGTGATCACCTCCGGGCCAACACCTCTCGATGAGCGATGATTATCTGCAAGTCACTTTACTCACGACATGACAGATCCGCGCCCTGGTCATTCTGTTTGTTGGATATCCTATAGGGCCTATAGGTTCGGTTGGCTGCATGGGAAGACCCGTCACAGAACCGATCTGGACCACATCCCGGGAATTGATACCCATGTTTCTTCTGTCAGGCTCTTCACGATAGGTTCAGAAAATGAACCTGCACGTAGTACTACCTAGTCAGGCCCAAGTGTAACGGGGGCCGTTTTGTCCAAGTTCCTCGATGCGACCTAAGAGGACAAATCTAAGCATCTAGTGTCGTCAGTTTCCAAGGTACTGCATGTATCTAAATCGCATTGGAATCCCCTGAGGCAACAAATGCATTATCTTCAAGCCACCCGAAGATGTCTTTGAAGGTAACCAACCTTTCACCTGGGTAAGGTTGTTGGCCATGTGCCCAGAGTAATGAATGATTTCCAGGGCCGAGAGCATTATTCGAGAAAGAAACGGCGCGGGATAAACACTAAAGCGAAACGGGGACGCCACGTAGTAACCGCTGTAGTGCTCTAAAGGTCCCCAGTGCTGGAATTGGGGGCCAAGAAGCATCTTCTAGGCACAAATCGTCATCCCAGGGGAAGTCTGCAAGTAATTTCTGTTGGAATATCATTCAAGTCAGCCAAAAGTTTTAGTTGGTGATATAACCTGTTACCTATTAACCTTGCAATATTCCATGTTGGAGATCCAACTCAATTGTGATGTGTAAGTAGAGGAGATAGATCAAATAGAGGTGAGCGTACAGAGGCTAGACAGTAGACACTGGCTTTTTATCGGGGCGCTTAGAGGCCGAGGCCGAAGCTCGGGAGCAAACGGGAGATCACAGATCTAAAGGGAAAGGGGAAGAGAAAAATGATTTTCTTCTCTCTATCTACTCTATACACAGAAAAAACCAGATTCGGGGAAATAACGTGAACAAAGAAAAGTTCCGTGTTCCGTTGTTCTCTACATCTACTAGAGTAGTACACGAGTCGGGACTCGGGAGCCTGCATCGGCGCTTAACCAGCGGTCATGAATTCTCCGCTCAAAGCCACCAAGCGGCTCGTCAGCCTCAAAAGAATTTGAGCCTTTCGCGTGCATCTGGAGCCAGTCAAGAGCCGCCCATGAGCCTCTTGAGAAATGCATCATTATGCATGGATCATGATCCCTCCATCCCATAACCACTCTGCTGGAACTGACTAGCCAGTTGAGGTCTCCTCTTTTCTGCCTTTCAGGTTTCTAGAGTCTTCGAGGTTGTATCGAGATAGCGAAGATGCTTAGGCTGTCAACGAGGCTGACAGATGCAGAAAATGCGCAGGTATGGAGACTGGGAATGTCCGTCCTAATGGGGGCCATATCGGGGTTCGGGGGTTAAACACCTCTACATTCAAGGTCTCATTCTCTTGAATGAAGTCGTCGAGAGCTATGCTTTCCTCTGACAGATATAATCCAACACATATTATACGTATTGTGATATGAGATATCGATGGGGTCTTTTCCAACATGTGGACCTCTCCAGTACTCTAAGCGCCTACGCTTTGTCTCTGCAGCAGATTATCCAGCAACAACCCTAACTCCCCCCGGTCTTGTCTGTTTGATCTGATTTGATGTTTCATTTTACCTTCCCGCTACAGTGGGTCTGAAGTCTTTGACTTACCTCACTCTACTCACAATGCAGAGTCTGAGCCCCTTCTGGGGATGGGGGCGGAATATGGATATCAACATTCGGACTATTGGGTCCGCAGCGCTTAAATACAGGCCCTCGTGGAGTCTTACTGAATTCCCCCAGGTTGCAATGCGGCACAGTGCTCCTCGGCGGTACTGACCTCTGTTTTGGTGCTCTCTGAGCCTATAGTTCATTACTGCGACTGACAGTTCACACCCTGCCTCGCGAGGCATCCCGGTGCTGGCTGTGATATCTCTCAAAGCGGAGTATAGGCGGACTGCATCTATGCTCTCGAATCTTTCCCCTCTTCTCGTGAGATGAATCTTATAAAATCGATCATCGTCGACGGGAATGCAAAACCTTCTCTTCAACACCGGAGTCAGACGGCCATCTTATACACAACCCTAACGCTTTCAACCACTATCTTCCAGCCGCCTGCAGTCCCGCATCTTCCCCTGCCTCGAGTTTCATAACTCGTTTCACATTCTGCTACTTCGGCGGTTATCCTCCACCCAGAACAACGCAGTGGACTGTGAATTGACTAGAATCCGAGTCCCATCTCCCGCCATCAACCAGTCAAACACATCATGTCTCATCACCCTGATGTCCCTACCTCTGAGGAGCTGCAAGAGTACTACGAAGGCGTCCAAGCTCCCTGGCCCAACTCCCAAACCGTACGTCTCCAATGTCCATCTGAAACACATTTGCATACATCTGACACAAAAACCTAAGTCCCCATTCATGGCCGTCAACCACCCTTACTGTACAGAGCCTCTAGTCCCACCCAGCGTCTTAACCCCAATCAGTCTCCCAGACAGCTCATTCCGTCCCAGCCCAGCCCTCAGTCACCACGCCCACGACTATCGCCAAGACTACCAATACACCCTCAACGACCCCATCTCCGCCCCGCAAGGCCTCGGCATCTCCGCCCCCTTCCCAAGCAACTTCCCCCAAACCTCCGCCCCAAATGCCGCCTACATGTACGCGCCAGCGCCAACGGATCTCCCCCATTCCATGATCCAAACCCCGGCCCAGTCTCCGTCGGCTCCGCCCCCATCCAAGCGCGTCAGACGCACCTCACACACACCCTCGCGCGACCAGCAATGTTTTAACCCAATCAACATCGCGCCTAACCCTGAAGGCATCATGCGCATGGAACACGACCGCCGTGTTTCCCAGATTTCTCAGCCTTCCCAGCCTTCTCCGCCTGTTTATACCCGGCCGCGGGCTCCGGGACGGGGACGCAGGGATCCTGAGGCGGAGACGGAAGATGCGTTTGTGGAGGAGTTGCGGATGGAGCGGGTATCGTGGAAAAATGTGCGTGCGGAGTTTATTAAGAGGTTCCAGAAAGATGCGTCTGAGGCCCGGCTGCAGATGCGGTTTCTGCGTAGGAAGAGGGAGCGGATGGCGCGTTGGGAAGATTCAGATGTGAGTATGTATTGGGATCTATCGTCTTTGGTGATTGGTGCTAATACATGGTATAGGTCGAACTTCTGATCCACGCTGTTGGTATTTGGGAGAGAGATAAGTTTCAGTTTCTTTCCGATAAGGTGAGGATGTTTTTCTTTTTTTTTCTCAATGTTGGTATTCGAACAGGTCTGATATGTTATAGATCAAAGAACTTGGAGCTACGAGGCTGTACTCGGCGGATCAATGCAGGACACAGCTTCGACTGCTAGAGGAGAAAGAACAACAGCGTTCGGTTGGATCACCGTCTGCTATGTCAGATCCTGCTCCTACTACACCGATTGTCTCTCGAAAACGAGCTAGGGCTCAGTCCTTGGAGCTGGAGTGTCACAACGAGGAAGACTTCTAGATTCATCTATCTTTCTATCTTTTCACCTTTAACCATCTAATTTTCCTTTCTTCTTCTTTATTTTATATTCTATTCTCAGCATCTTCTGATGTCTTCTTACCCTTTTCTCATTGTCACTTCTTCTTCTCTCCTTTCATTCTACAGTTGTGACTGACTTACACCTACTTTGCCCTGATTGTAGGACCGCTTTTGCATAGCCTGGAGTGTCGCCCTTAAACCGTTGTTTTTGCTTCATTATTCATTGCCTATAGTCAATCTCATATTCTACCTCATACTTTGGTTTAAAAAATCTACACCTGATATCTCCTAATCTTAATGTCATATCGGGAACGTGCATTGTCGCTGGGATGGTGCATACAATCCCTGCTCTAAGGCTGCGCAGTGTTTTATAGGAATGCATATCGAGTGGCTATTTTTGAACGTCAAGTAATTGTTAGCTTGCATGGAGATACTCCATACCCACCTGAGCTGATTTCATTTGATGTAGACTCGAAGATCTTTTGGTATATGAAGTATGGATATCTATTTTGTATTGGACAACCAACGATGCAAGCTATTCAGCATCAGAATCAAAATCCTCCTCAAGAACAGGGAATGTCAAAAGAGCAGCAATGCCACCCAGACCCTCAAGACGCCTCCCACTTTCATGATCCGAGCTAAGAATCCGCACCTCACCACCCTCAACATCACGAACACGATCTACAAGCCCCACCCAGCGTTTCCGCTCAGCGATATCTTGTGACCGGAACAACCGATTCGAAACAATCAGCACTCCGCCACCCCGCCCAACAGCCCCCTGTTCAACCGCAGACTCAACCTCACGGGGTCCATAGGTTGCTTTGTTGGTTTCCTTGCGCAATTGCTCCATAAAGTCATCCATCAACTTGGTCTCCCGGGCGTACTTGGTATCAGCCAAGAGGGTCTTGACGGCGGGCGACTGCAAGACCTCCGATAGCGAATTTGTGTACCCAGATGCGGAATGCACAACCGCGAGACTGGGGAGCAGTCTCTTAAGACCGGGAGCTGTTGTTGATGCTTCGGCTTGGATATACTTCTGGAAACCAGAAGCGACAAAGCCGGGTGAGGCGAGAAGAACTGGTCGTACGGGTTCGTTGCTGGCGCCTGACGTGAGACTGGTATTGAACTCCATTTGGCGAAGTAGGGTCTCGAGAGTAGTTTTGTAAAATTTGTTCATTCCCTGTAGTATTCCGTGTAAGCTTGGAGCCAACTATTTCATTGTGCACAACAACGGGTATCGAAAACTCACTTTATCATGGTCACCTCCTCCTTGCCGTTTCCGAGGTACAGACATCTCAACCTTCTGCTTCATTATCGTCTGGAACTGACCAATAAAACAGATATGAGCCAATCCCTCCTGCATAACGACTGCTACGGCCTCCGCACGACGCTTGCCACCCTCATCGACAGCGTCCTTGAGTGACTCAATCGCAATGCTGTCCCATCCGGCACCTTCTCCATCTGCACCAGCTTCTTTTTCTAACGTGAAATTGCGGTTCAGCTCTAAATCGAGGGTGTGGAATTGTCCGATCTTTGTGTGCGGTGTTTCGTTGATGATCTGTCCGGAGACATGGAGCTGAGAGCTCTGCGGGTCAAAGTCGAGATTCTTCACGCGGATGACGAGGTTCAGGTGGACGCGCGCTGAGCTTGTGGACCCGGTATCTTGCACTGTGGTCACTCGGCGGATTGCGCTTGCGCGGAGAATATCGCCTGGTCGGATTAGGTTATATGCGTGCCACTGGATTCATGCGACTTTGTCAGATAACGGTGGATCGCCTATACGGGGGATGAGGGCTCAGGTACCATATCTTCTGGCTCTACTGGGCACAATGTCACTGAGCCGGAGCCATTGTGCTCAATCTTGTTCTTGATACAGCGCATTGCTGTGGTGATATCGTGGTATTATGGGGCGAAGTTGGGGAAGATGAAATGCGTCGGATGTTGTTATTGCGATGTCGTCATATGTTCACTTGAGATTGCGCAGATCTCAGATATAATGGGCTTTCTTATGAAGCGGAAAGTATGTTTCCGATGCTCTGGGAAGATTCTATAAAGCAAATGTTCGAGTTGATCAGCCTGTTGTAACTTGTGAGGCCGCTGGCCATCTTCAACCTCCAACCCCACCACTTTATACTGCCAATTATGTCCGCCTATTGTCCGCGGCGAGACACTCTGCAACATTGAACAAACTAAGCTCTACTAGTTCTAACTTCACGGGTGATTTTTATCCGCAGTGGGTGGCACTGGGTGGCACTGGGTGCCACTGGGTACAGTGGGTAGAGCTTTTATTCAGTATTTCAATTGCTCAGATGACATGAACTCGAGTATACACTTACCTCTAGCTGCCAAACCGCACCTTTCGCACCTTATCAATGATCCCAAGCCCTAATCAGATTAGATTGGGGCACGGTTGACGTCAAGCCTCTCAGGTACCGGCAGACTCTATCGGTACCGGTGCCGATAGCAATGGAGTTCCATTCTGGTCCGGTGTATCATTCCGAGGTTGGCAACTTGGCAAGTTCACCGGAATGACTCAAAATGACTCCACTAAGTCCACTCCAACTGGAAGAGCAAACATTGCCACGTACATCTCTCTGGATAAGACCCTGAAGTTGTACAGCACTCCGTTTGTCCGTTTAGACAGTAGTTACTCATATGACCCACGCCGCATAATTCAGCCATGAGATGTCCAATTGATGCCCGTCTAAGGCCGTACTACCCCCCACTTTAGATGGCGTGAATCCTCGGCAGGTGGGCAGGTTGAAATAGGAACCAGCCCTGAATGGTCTGTGGATCCCAATCTTCTATCATATAACATCACTCCTGCCCATCTCTCTACCTTCACAGTACAACCATCGAACAATACACAACCATGGCTCCTACCTCACTGCAATCTACCTACAAGCTGGTCTCAGGCTATGAGATCCCTGTCGTTGGCTTCGGTGTAAGTATAGCCTAGTTAGTACACATTCAGTTTGCGTGACTGACACTTACCTCCCGAATTAGGTTTACCAAACGTGCGTCCATCATTGCATAAACCATTCCTGACCGATTGGATTAACTCATCTCTTAACAGACCCCCCGATGTCACCGAGCAAGTGACCCGCAAGGCCATTGAGATCGGATATCGCCATGTAAGCAGAATGCCACGGAGGAAGCATTGCCAATTCTGACAATTTTGTTGCAGGTCGACAGCGCCAAGTATTACGAAAACGAATTGGAGAGCGCGGCTGCCATCCTGAACTCCGGAATTGACCGCTCGAAGCTCTTCTACACCAGTAAGGTGCCCACGAGCTGCATGGGATATGAGAAAGCCAAGAAGGCCATTGAAGAAAGCATCGCGGCGGCGAAGGGCCTCGGCTACATTGATCTGTACGAAATATATCTGCTCTCCAACGATTCAAAGGAGTAGACAACTAACCTTGTTATCAGGATGTTGATTCACGCACCCTACGGCGGCAAGGAGGACCGCCTCGGCGCATGGCGCGCACTCGTGGAGGCCCAGAAGGCTGGCCACATTCGCTCGCTGGGTGTGTCCAACTATGGTATCAAGCAACTCGAGGAGCTGGAAGAGTACATCAAGAATGGAGGCGGTGGACAGATTACTGTCGGCCAGTATGAGATTCACCCGTGGTGCCCACGTAACGATATCGCGGCATGGTTGCAGAAGCGTAACATCGTTGTTGAGGCATACTCTCCCCTCGTGCAAGCGACACGCATGAAGGAGCCAGTCTTGCAGGAATTGGCTAAGAAGCACGGAAAGACGGAGGCTCAGATTTTGATCCGTTGGAGCTTGCAGAAGGTACGTTTCATGACTCTCGTGTTGCCTGGAGATTCCATAATTAACCTCGCTTCTCAGGGATACGTGCCCCTGCCCAAGTCAGTGACCGAATCTCGGATTCTGGAGAACACCCAGGTCTTCGATGTCTCTTTGTCGGATGAGGATATGGCTAGCCTGAACTTCAACACCCATGAGCCCGTGTGCTGGGACCCCGCCCGGGACTGCAAGATCTAGATGACGTCAACCGATTAGCGGGAATCTAGTAGCTGACTGACAATAGATTCATAGTCTCATGGATGATAGAATTAGAATTATAAATGAAGTATCTAGACATCAATTGAATCTTCATAGAAAAAGTAAACAAACAGTGGCAAGGCTAGCCCGATCAGGAAGTAAGTTGTTGTTGACTTCGCGGTTGGCACAAAAGTGTCACACCGCCAACGAAACCCAACAATCACCAGTACCGCCAGGTTCCCTCGTCCCTCAATACAACAGCAACACACCATACCCACCCATCTCCATGAACGCACAAGTAGCAGGCAGTCGCTGCGACGGTTGCCCGAAACATGCCGGATGAGCCTCCACGGCGCATCATCTTGGAGAAATCCAAGACCGTTAAACGCCGGTACCAGCGCAGCAACCAACGATTCCAATTCACTGCCTCCCAGATCGAACGGCTAGACCGCGAGCAGGAACGAGAAAAAAAGGCCAAACAGTTACGCGAAAAGGAAAAGAAACGCATCGCTAATAAGAAGCGGAAGGCTGAGCAGGAGGCGCGCGCCCGAGAGGAGCGCAAGCGTCGTGGCCTTCCGGATCCTAATGCACTGGTCCCGTCGAGTCAGCCGTTGCTGTCTATGTTTTTGGGGGCTGGGAAGCGTCAGTCTTCTGCTGTTCTGGAGAATAAACCGAAGTCTGCGTCGGAGCCTGCACCAGAGCCTGCACCGCAGCCTATACCAGAACTTGCACCAGAGTCTACAACTACGGAGACGGAGTCACATAATGTGAATATGCATGGGATGAATACGGACCTTGGGAGTGAGGGTGGGGATACGGAACCTGATTCGGATGCCTTTGATGACTTGGACGAGGAATTAGAGAAGGAGCTATCTCTACTTCAGGATGCAGGCGTTAGTAATGCTGGAGGTCCTGCGGAGCTTGAAGTTGGCTCCGATGCCTTCGATGACATGGATGGTGAATTGGAGAATGAGCTACCTGAATTACCGGATGCAGGCATCCTGGCAGAAACTGAAGGTCCTGCAGAACCTCAAGGCCAAGGCATTGGAATCGAGAAGCCTGCGTCCGATGAATTCTCCGACTGCTCGGCATTTAATGACGAAAATATCATAAAGGAAGCTGAGGCGGCAATTAGAAAACAAACAATTGGCGAGAACACGAAGAAGTCCTCTCCATTCGAGAGATCACCTTTAATGCAGCCTCCAGCCTCACATCGGCCGACTGTGCCTACACCACCACCACCACCACCACCACCGCCACAATCCTCTTTCTATGAGTCGTTCCAATTCGACCCTGTCGATTTACTCGAAGCCGAAGCGGCTATCATCAGTCAAACGAATGACGACGAAACGAAGAACCAGTGTTCATCGAAGAGTGTAACCATTCGAGAACCTCCTGTGTCGGATCGACCGCGCAATGTCCCCATACTAGCGTCTTCTGTGGGAGATTCCTTTCGAGACGAGACTGCTGATTGGATTGAAGAAGCCTTTGCACATGGAAGCGGCGATCCTTTTGGCGGACCAAATCAGATATCCTCATGAAACTCCTTATGGTCAAAGTAGATCGTGTTGCCTGGCAGCATTCTGTTGAAGAGTTTGCGGACTTTGGTATAATACACTGCGAGAACCTAAACCGTAGTAAAGACTGGAATCTTCATTTTCAATGCTCTATTCATTACTCGACCTTCTAAATGCTAGTACTATGTGTAAATGCTAGTACTATGTGTAAATGCTAGTATGTGTAACGCGACGCTATGAAACAAATGCAAATGCAACGCCAAATCGACTTTTTGTTTTGCTCGTAACCCATCATAGCTTCACCTGGAAACGCGGGTGGGTACGAATCCTCTCTCCATACTTGTAGAACAGGAACGGCACGCCGCACATCGCCAGCGAAATGAACGCCAGCAGGGAATTACCCCATCCAAGTCCCAAACTGGCATACATCGACGGACCCGCCAATGGCAGCAGGGCACCAAGCAACGACCGCAACGCCGTGTTAGCCGCGGTGACGGAAGCCGCGTAACGCAGATACGAATCCACCAAGTAAGTGCTGGTGGACATAAACACGGCCATCAGTCCAATGGCAAAGAACCAGGTGCCGAGAATGGGCACAATCCAATGGTCCCCCCTCTCAGCCGACCAGCCATACCAGAACAAGCCCGCAGGCATAAACCAGCAGCCGACCATCATGGGCAACAGTCGGGATTCCGGGGTGAAACAGCCGCGCTTGGAATGTTCCTGGGCGATGCGATTGGAGACACCGCCGGTGATGAGCAGGCCCATCAAACTGCCGATTCCGAAGCCCAGGAACGATAGGCCTGCGGAGCCGGAGCCGAACCCGTATTGTTGTGTGAAGATGGTTGAGATTGTGGTGAACATGAGGTAGAGGTAGCCGTATGTGGTGGCGGCGAACAAGGCCATAAGGAACACGATGGGGGAACAGAAGAGCAGCTTCAATGGGCGGGCTAGCGCGGTTGCGAACAGATGAGGGCTGAGTTTGCCTTTGTAGTGAATTGAGCGGAGATCAGGGTTGCCGGTTTCCTTGCGCAGACGAGCGGCTTTGCGTTCGAGAACTACGGGGCCGTAGGATTCACGATACCAGATGATCGTCAGGAACATCATCACTCCAGTCTATGTATCGTTAGCTGTCGGTCCATGGAGGGAAAATATGAAAGAATAGGATAGAGTATACATACAGTGATAGCAATCACCCAAAAGACCCAGCGCCAGCCCTCCGCTTCAGCCAAAAAACCGCCTGCGACGGGACCGACGACCGGTCCAAGAATAGGGCCCATCGCCCATATGGCCATGATACCGGCACGTTTCTCCTTGGGAACCATGTCGGCGACAGTGCCGGAGCCGATAGTCAGCGGGCAGACGCCTGCCATTCCTGCCAGCAAGCGGAAGACAATCAGTTGCGGCATAGTCTGGGCGACAGCGCAGGCGATGGTGAAGATCAGGAAGAGGATGTTGCAGCTGTGATACAGCGGGACACGGCCATAGATCTCGGATAGCGGTGCGATCAGGAAAGGTCCAAAGCAGTAGCCCAGGATATAGACGGAGACGACAAAAGAACCCAGCATGGTGCTTTTTACATTAAATTCGGCCATGACATCGCCAACTCCCGGTGTAAACATCGATGAGGCTAGAGGACTATTGGCTGTTAGCATCTTTCTAGGTACAACGGGGATATTACCCGTTGCAACTCACGTTATGAATGTATTGAAGGCCATTAGGACCAACTGACGTCCCTTTTTCCATGTCGGCCAGTTAAAAGGGTTCTCCGTATCGTTAGGGCCATCGAAGTCGACCAGATTAGGGTCTTGTTTTTCTAGTTCGGGAGCCTCAACGTTGACGGTCTGCTTTTCTAGATCTGCCATGATTTGATTATCGCATACCCCTCCTTCTGAGGGGAGGTGCTGCACATATATGAGCTACCGGGTAACGGCACAGAAAACCTGATAAAATTAGATCTTTTTTTTCGTACCTCGATTTCTCCACTTCAACAAGCCTCGGCCCACCGGTTTCGACCAGTCGGGAGTTTTGCGTCCCGACTCCCGTAACCCGTTCTTTGTGTTCATAACCGAAGGCCCCACTGCATAACTGGAATAAATCATAACACGGAGATACGTTTAGCCTTGAATTGGATCAGAGGCTATGGGATTGAAGGTGGGATGTATGAGATCCATCTACTGTGTGTATTTATGTACAGATCAGTTGACAAGTAAGGTATCAAAGACACCTGTAAAATGTAAGTATCGAGGAGCCAAGCCTGGGGTCATTGCTTAGTACTGGATAGGGCCGTGCCAAGAGAATTGGAAGATAAGGACGACCTGTTTCCGCTATCCATAGTATGGGCCTACTTACTGCGTAGGTAGTCGCTTTATGACTATATAGATGTGGAATGGCATAACCATATATAGACCGAGCAACTCAGTCTCCTGCCTAACAATACATACATACGAATGAGATGCATAGAACTTTATGCATAGTATCACAAGTAATCAACTTTCGGCAGGTTACCAGAGTAAATTGACGAGAAAATGTGAGATACTTCACATGCCTACCAGATAGAGCATCTGGGTACTTTGCGTTGTAATGCAGTAAGAATGCTAGTGTGGATATCAAGACAAATAATAATGAACCAACCAATATCGAACCATGCAATGGTTACTCGAAGAAGCCACCATCACTCTCATCTCCATCTTCCTCATTGACGGGAGGCGCGCCATGCTTCTGCTGCTTCTTGAAAGCTCCTTCGCTGCGTGATTTCTCCGTTTTGCTGCTATTCTTGTCATGCTTGTCCTTTTGTGTAGCACCCTTGGTCCCTCCATGCTCCTTCTTCTTGGTCTTCTCCTTGCCAGTATCCGGAGCCCCGGTGCCAGATGAAGCAGGTTCGATCTTCTCTCCCTTGTAGTTGATATTCAGCTTGCCTTCGCGAAGAAGGTCCAATGTCTTCTCCTCCATACACTTCTCAACGATAGCCCACATCGGGGGCTTGGCTTCATTGGAAGTGATGTCTTTCTTTTGTGTTTCTGACTCTGACCCCGCCGCATCGGGCTTTCCATTCGTCTTGGGGTACAGTGAGATGTATTTCTCGGTGAGAGGGTAGTAGATTGTGTAGTTGAGATTGACCTGGCAAATGTGGATCTTCTCCGCAAGGCGAGCCTTTTCTTTCGGATCAAGATTTTCTTCCTTTTCGCGACGAGTGAGGCGATTGAGTTGCTTGTTTGCAGTCTTGCGATCTATTCCATAGAAAATTAGAGGTTAGGATCCCACTGATCATTTGAGCTGGTCAGTCACGTACCAAGGAAGCGGACAAAGTGATATTTCGTAATCAAATGCGAACGCTCTCTGCGAGCGATTTCGTCTGCCAGATCTTGCTCATACCCAGCCAGAGCACGCTCCTGTAAGATTCGAGTATCGGCAGACAATTTATCCGCCTTATTGAGTAGTCGCTTCACGTCGCGAATTCGCTTTTTGAGTTCGTTGACCGATGGGTATTCCTTTTCAGGTTTAGGAGCAAATTTGTCCTTGTATTTCCGTGCCGGTTTGACTTTTGAGGTTTCGCTCCCGCTGCCAAACTCTTCGTAGTGACCAAATTCACCTGCTTTGACCTTTCGGTGCGCCTTCTTGCGGGCTGGGGCAGCATCCTCTGACCCATCGCGGGCCTTCCTTTTGGAAGGTGCTGCCTGATCGCGGTGACTCTTCGCGTCTGAAGTCATGTTTGTTTAGCAATAAGAGAAGAAAAAAAGGTGAAGCTACAGCAAAATCGATAAGGAAAAAAGATATCGGCGAATTGTCGGCCCGTCCCCAGATTGGAGCCATCCAATAGGCGCGCACGGTTCACCAACACCGCGCCCTCTCTCGTTGCATTGATTTGAATTACGCTAACTGTCCGTGGAAGTCTGCGATTTTGATAGTTCAAGTTTGCCCATGCAACTGACGCGCTCACTGTATCAGATTTTGCAGGACCAGCATGGAATCCGCCATCCGCTGGTCCCCGACCTCCTCGGCATCTGAACAACGCTTCCTATCAGTCGACGTCACAGGTAAAGCATTTCGGCTTTGTAAAGTCACTGGCTTTGATGGCAAAACCATTCGCCACGAAGTGATCTCTACCTTGACCAATGTACCTGGGTTTCGCGCGTTTGACTGGTCTACTTCCAACGAGAACCTGATTGCTGTGGGTCAGTCGTCTGGAGAGGCCACCATCCTACGCCTCGGTGGTGATGACAAGGCGTCTCTCTCATTCCCAGTGCGAAATCAGCGATACTGCAACGCCGTTGCATTCAGTGCACATGGTCTTGTGGCATCGGGTCTCGACCGCGTCCGAAACGACTTTTGCTTGAACATTTGGGATGTGAACCAAAGACTTAGTCCTGCCGGTGGCAGTAAAGGTTTCCCTGAGCCATTGAGGAAGCTCGCCAGCTCCGAGCCTATAACCAGCATCAAATTCTTTCGGGACCAGCCGGATACGATCGTGACTGGTGTCAAAGGTCAATTTGTTCGGATATATGATCTAAGAGGTTTGTTCTTTCCTGGCCTTATATTTGCATAATCATGTATGGCTAATTCTTCCATAGAGGGACCTGGGAATCCATCGTTGCAATTCCCCACGCGATGTGTTCATAATCTAGCTATAGACTGGCTTGATGAGAACTACATTGCGTCTTGCATTCCTTCAAATGAAAGTACCATCTGCGTGTGGGACCGTCGCATCGGATCGCGATTAGCATCACCGTCAATGGGATCTTCTGCCAACGTTCCAGATTCTGGTCATGCCACACCCGCTTTGGAGCTTCGGAATGTATTCCATCCCAAGTCTTCCATATGGAGCTTGCGCTTCTCCAGGACCAACCGAGGCAGCCTCGCTGCGCTCTCCAGCAGCGGTCACTTCAAGCACTACGACATTGCTAAAGACTATTTACCTGAGGAATACCGCTCCTCGATTGACGAGACACTCGGCCAAGGCTCATCCAGGAGTTACCCGGAATCGGTATACACCAAGCGCGTGCGGGACGTATGTGTACCTTTTGATCATCCGACTCATGGTTGCAAAGAGAAAGACCGAATCGTTTCGTTCGATTCCCTGAATATCAGCTTGTCTCCACAGCCCAGTGCTATCGCACTGGACGGAAATGGACAGCCACAGATAATCACCGTCCGCGCACCGTGCAACCCGATTGATCTGTCTTCACAGAGTGTACTGGCGTGTGGTATCTCTTCGAACGATTCAGATCTGCGCTCGATTCATCCATTGTCTGACCATATCTCGCCCATTTCAGACCTGATTGGAAACATCAAGTCACGCGTTTGCTCAAGTTCGCGAGAGCATGGCGCACACTCTAACGGTCAACTATTCGTGTCGAAAATACCGGAGTCTGAGCCTGTCCCTAGTCATGAGAACCGTGAACGCGTCATGGCTCTGGGCACGACGGGCATGCCGCTCACCGCGAAAGAAGCCCTCACTCTGTCCGCAGTAAACCAGTCTCGGTGCAAAGAGGGATACCTATTTAACGAGGCTCTGAACCGGAGGATCGCATCTGACGATCAAGCTCTGCAAGACTTTTGGAGCTGGGTTGAACGTATGTTTCTTCCTTCTCTTGATGACACAATGTCTAACAAATTTCTAGGTGCTCGGTCCGACTCTTCAGGGACGTCAATGGTTGTCAACGGCCTGGATTTGAATTATTTAGGCGTCAAGAATGTCTGGAACAATGACTTAGGTTTGTTTCTTCGCTTCGTTATCAAACATCTCTGAAACTGACTTTGGCATCAGGGAGTGGCTTTGAGCAGCGTCGTATCGGCGCTAAGACCGATGATGCGAAAACAGCTGCGGCTGCAATTGTAACTTTAGCAGAGCAGTTGAACCTCCCCAAGACAAAGGGCTGTGACACGGCTTACCAAGGTCATCGTCAACTCTGCCTCCGTCTCTGCGGCGCAACACAATCCTATCGTGAGCTGGAGGAGTCAGTGAAGGCTTTATCTGGGGACAACCAGCACACCAAAGCTGCTGCATTAGCCGTTTTCCAAGACGAACCCAAGCTGGCTTATCTTGCACTTCGAAGCAATGAACCCACCCAAGCTCATAAGTTGTTGGCAATGGCCATCGCCGGTGCCTCCAAGGGAGACAACGGTACAGATTGGGAGGAAACTTGTGCCGAAATTGCCAAAGAGCTCACCGATCCATACGCCCGCGCGATTCTAGCCCTTGTGAGCAAAGGTGACTGGAATTCAGTCATTAGTGAAGCCACACTGCCTCTGAAATACCGGGTGGAGGTCGCACTGCGTTGGCTCCCCGATGATGAACTCACTGAGTATCTGAAAGAGGCTACAAATACAGCAACACACCAAGGTGATATTGAAGGAGTGGTGCTGACAGGACTGGGCCATCTCGCCATGGGCCTGTTCCAGTCATACATTGGGAAGTACAACGATGTCCAAACTCCCGTTCTAGCTATGAGTCATACCGTCCCGCGGCTCGTCAGCAACCCGAAACACGTTGCCCAGTTCGAGGCCTGGCGCGAGACCTACCGGCTCCAGATGAACTCATGGAAACTTCAGCTCGAGCGGGCACGGTTCGACGTGGGCTCTCGTCGTTTCGCTGTCACTGCAGACGGTCGCAAACTCATGCCGCCGCCACCACAGCAAGTCAGCCTTACCTGCAATTACTGTACGAGCCCGCTTACCCAGCATGACTCCTCATCCGAAATATCCCCGTCTACCAAGACTGCCGAAACCGTTCATTCCACCAACGGCAATCCGCTGGCGCCGACAGTCATGTCTGGAACCGTTTGCCCACGCTGTGGTCGACATATGCCCCGTTGCGGCGTCTGCACTCTGTGGCTGGGCTCGCCAGACCCAATGTCCCGCGCCAGTATTGCTGCTGATGTAGAGGCGGGTACTCGCAAGCTCACCGGTGCTGATGTTATGCGGCGGTTCGTGGTGTTTTGTATTCATTGCAATCATGGGTTCCATGCTCATCATGCGACTGAATGGTTCAAACGACATAAGGTCTGTCCTGTCGCAGAGTGCAACTGTATCTGTGATCGGTGAGGGCCTTTTTGATTTGTATTGCCCTGTTTGAGCCTGGACATAACGAGGAGGTCTGTGGCCTGTTTTTCTGTGAAAGTCTATACCCAATGAAGTTGATTTATGTGCAAGTGATGTGGAAGACAGAGTGACAGACTGGTCCTTCGGCTTCTCGTAACCCTTAGTACTCGTGTGGGGCTGATGATGTCAAACGGGGATCACCTTGTTTCATGACTGTAGAGATACTCGACAAGTACCGATCGAACGGAGAATAAACCTCGTAGACATGACTCATGTACGATTCATATCTGTTCTGTTTGTTGAGCCGCATCTGCGGGCTTATAGTTGGAGTTGCCCCACTCAAATTTTATTTCCTCGCCAACTCTCCCCCGCACCACTTTCGATCTACTGCTCAACGATGTCTCATCCACAAAATAAAGACAAACGAGGTCGCGGCCGTGGCCAAGGCCAAAGCCGCGACGTCCAAGTGTCCAAGGCATTGAGCTTGCTCCTACGGCATGCCGCCGAGAAGGAAGGCCTGAAGATGAATGCACAAGGCTACGCAAGCGTGCCCGATGTGGTATGCCACTCCACAGCCTCATAGATGACGAGCAATAAACTGACAGATGACCAGCTAAACTGGAGAAAACTGAAATCACTGAAAGTCACCTTCCCCGAAATTCTCCACGCCGTCGAGACATCAGATAAAAAGCGCTTCGGTCTCCTCCACATCCCCTCCTCCCAACCCACCGAATCTACAACCCAGCCAACAGCAGCAACATCCGAGATAGAACGCCAAGCCAGCACCGTCGTAGAAAACGAACAGCCCGTAATCTCGGTCCGGGACTCCGGATCCGCCACGAGCGAGGCCCAACAAACAGCCACCGACCTTGCATTATCCGTAAAGGACACCAATCCCGCCAACTTCCTCATTCGTGCCACACAAGGCCACAGCATCAAGACCGTCGATGCTGCATCCTTGCTCGAACCGCTTTCTCTATCCGATGAAGCGAACATACCCGATACCGTTGTTCACGGCACCTTCCACTCGACTTGGCCGTTGATTCTACAGTCTGGTGGACTACGTTGTATGGGCCGGAACCATATCCACTTCGCTACGGGGCCGTCGCTGGAGTCCGTGTTGGCACTTCGCAATCAGGATGCGCAGGGAACATCAAAAATGGATAAGTCGAAGGTTATCTCGGGCATGCGACACGATGCACAGGTTTTGATCTACATTGATGTTCGCAAGGCGTTAGCCGCGGGGGTTCCGTTTTGGCGCAGTGAGAACGGGGTTATCCTTAGTGAGGGCGTTGTTGTTGTGAAGGATGGGGAGGCTGAGAAGGTGGAGGTTGAGAAGGAGGCGCAGAAGTTCGTTTCGTTGGACTTTTTCCATGTCGTCGTAGAGAGGAAGGTTGGACTGGGCAAGATTTGGGAGCGTGGGGAATTGCTGCAGGAGTTACCAGTGCATCTGACCTCGAGAGGTAATCCCAAGGGTCATCTCAAGGGTCCACGATGAGCTGTTACGGTATAGATGTATGGGAATTAGACGAGATAGCAGGAACGCTCAGGAAAGGAGGATGATATCCAGGCGTTTCCGGGGTCTAGAAGATCAGCATCAATGATCAGCATATCTAGTACAATACACTACTGTGTACTACACTAAGTACAATATCGCCCTGTTGGACGAATTGCAACGTCCAACTCCCCATATCCGACGGCGGGTAGACTGCGGGGTCATCGGAAGCGTAACGAGGCCGATCCGAACTCCGTCGCTTTCCCTCAACATCCGACGCAGCACAAGTTCATCAATGTGAATCAAGCTATGTGCCGGAGGTTCCCCCGAGCACAATACCAGACGTTCTCATTAGGATTCGAACAAAAGATGCAGCCATGAATCTCAATCAGCCTTGACCGTCCCGTCGGCTGCGGAATACGGGGATCGAATCAGCGTCATGCTTTTGGTCAGTCGAGGGGGGGCTTACTCCGAAACACCCACCTATATCCGCCCTGGGGGTACCACTACCCAGCTGGGACTCAAAAGTCCCATCGGATGAGGTCGCGTGGTATATAAAAGCTTTCGGGGGCGACCAAGCATACTCCTAACTTACGAACCCCCCTCCTTTCTCTTGCTATCTCCAATAAATCCCCTATATCTTACCTCCGATCAGTCCCCGCATAATATACGCAGTACAACATAGTGAATACTCAACAATGGCAACGCACCGCTTCAACCCCACCTTCACAGACAATGTCATCAACGCGATGGGCCCAAAGACCAGCCCGCGTCTGCGGAAGCTAATGGCCGGGCTGATCAGACACATGCACGACTTTGCGCGCGAGGAAGAACTCACCGTCGACGAGTGGATGGCCGGCGTGCAGATGCTCAATTGGGCCGGACAGATGAGCGACGATAAGCGGAATGAGGGACAGTTGGTGTGCGATGTGCTGGGACTTGAATCGTAAGCGGATTCTGTTCCCTGAAAAAAAAAGAAAAAGAAAGGAAGAAAGGAAAGAAAACAGAGCCAACCAGCTAACACAAGCGCAACAGCCTCGTCGACGAAATCACCTACACCCTCGCAAAAGAAGCAAACGATGCACCCACAGCAACCGCAATCCTCGGCCCATTCTTCCGCGCCGATACACCCTGGCGCGAGAACGGCGAGGACATCGTCAAGACGAAGCCAGCAGACGCGGAGATGACCTTCATGCACGGTGTCGTTGTAGACTTTGAGACTAAGCAGCCTCTGGTCGGCGCAACGGTCGAGGTGTGGCAGGCGTCCACGAATGGGTTGTACGAGCAGCAGGACCCCGAGCAGGTTGAGTTCAACTTGCGCGGGAAGTTCAAAACGGATGAGCAGGGCAGATATTCGTTCTATTGTCTGCGTCCGACGCCGTATCCCGTTCCGAAGGATGGGCCGGCGGGGAAGCTACTTGATCTGATGGATCGTCATCCGTTCCGTCCTGCTCATATTCATATTATTGTAAGTTTGGGGCTTGGCTATTGGCTATTGGATATGGACATGGTGAGCTAATTGGCTGGGTTTAGGCTACTTATGATAACTACCGTCCCTTGACGACACAGATCTTCGATCGCAAGGATCCGTATCTTGAGAATGACTCGGTGTTTGCGGTTAAGGACTCGCTTATTGTGGACTTTTTGCCGCGTGAGAATGATTCGAAGGCTGCCCTTGAGCTTAACTATGATATCAAGTTGGTTCGGTTTGAGGCGGCTAATGCTGAGCGAATGGGATAGTGTTGTGTACTTGACAAGCGTTTGTTGCAATTCAGATTGATTTATTTGATATATATCTCATCTTCTGTCTGAATTCATTTTAGTAAAGTAATTACCCATTGAACATTTCCCATATCCCCAGTCTTTAGTCGACACGACAGGACAGATCACATGTTCTTACCCACCGCCCCACAAATTGTCCCGGCAACCAAACCCACCCTTTTGTTTTCCTTCCTACACCTCCCCTATTGCTCCCCCATTGCACCCCTATTGCCCCCATCGCAATGGAGATCGAAACCAAACAAAACAAAAGAGCGCAGCTCACAGCTATCCAAAGGTCAGCCATAGTATCCGCCCACAAAAGCGGTGCCTCGCAAGTGAAAATCGCTAATGATTTCGGCTGCACCCGCAAAACCGTCTACAATACCCTCAAGCGTTACCACGACGAAAACAGCCTCGAGAATCGCGAAAAGACCGGCCGACCCCCGAAGCTAGATGCCGGAGCTTGTCGATATCTCTGTTTACAGGCGCGCCGACACCCTTTTTGGTCCTATAACCAGCTTAGAGATGCGACACCCGGGCAGCCGGCTCATTCTACTATACGGCGGATTTTGAAGCAGTTCGGACTTGGGAAACGGCTTTCGAAAATGGAGAGACCGGGTAAGCCGTCTGTTGCGAGGAAATGGGTACGATTGGACAAATATCGTGGTGTGAAGGCTTCTGATCTGGGATCTGCTCGGAAGAGTGGACCGAGTGTTCAGACTGAATGATCAAGACCTTATAGAAGTTCCCGAAAAGGAAACGATGGATTCTATACAACTACTAGATTACTTATCTGTGTTCAATCAAGAAATCCATTGATCCAAACCTTTGAAGCCCTCATTCCATCTCCCCCACAAACGCCGCAATCAACGCACCAACCTCATCAGCAGCCTCAATACAATGCCAATGCCCAACCCCCTTCAAGACCTCCAATGATTTCGACTGACTCGAGACATGCTCATAAATATGCTTACACCCCTCCATAGAAGCAGACTTATCTTCTTCCCCAGCAATAAGCAAAAACGGCGCCTTAACAGCCGCATAATCCGCCGCTTCAGCAGACGCAATAGCCCGACAAAGCGCAGCATACCCCTCAGCACTCTGCCTCAGGATCAACTCGCGAATAAACGCCTTCTGAAGCGGGGTGCTGCGCGAGCCGACGGCCGCAAATGGGATGGTATTAGCCATTGGCTCCATTCCAGCTGGCAAGAGTTAGCCAGATCATATCCATATCCAAAATCTACTCCCCCCAAAAAGAATGAAAGGAAGAAAGAAAGGAAGGAAACTCACACTCAAGCACAACCTCCGCCCTCTTATTCATAACCCCAACCAACCCCTCCGACGGATGCGTCGGCCCAATAGCCACAACACCCGCTATACGCTCCGCATACCTCGCACCCAACTCCATCACAACCAGCCCGCCCATCGAATGGCCGACAGCGATTGCTTGGGGAACGTTCAGCGCATCCAGCACGCCGATGACATCGTTTGCGATGCTGCGGATGGAGATTGGGTCGTTTGTATAGGGGGAGCAGGCGGCGCCGTATGTGTCGATTGTGATGCAGCGGTGGGTGGCTGTGAGGTGCGGGATTACGGGGTAGTAGTAGTTTTGGGAGGAGCCGAGGCCGTGGATGAAGATCAGGGTTTGGCTGGTTGGGGTTGGGTTGGTTGGGTGGGTGTCGGAATAGTAGAGACGGTGGGTGATTGTTTGGATGAAGGGCATCTTGAGGGTTTTGGAGGTGAATGGGGGATTGAGCTGGGAGGAAGGTATGTTGTAGGTTGTAGGTGTAGGTAGAGGAGAGGTTATAGTTCCGAATGGGTGGGAGGTTGGGATATGGGGGAATGGAAATGGGCACTAGATAAGTGTGTCGTCATTCGGTATATACCGAAATGTATCTGTTCTGTCCTTATTGTATGCACTATGCTTTAGTTAGGACTCACTTAGACCACTTCTGCTCTTCCATTCGTATTGAAATTCCGAACCGAAAACTGTCCATATCCGACGAAAGCGGATCTCATCCGATCGTCGGACCGCTGAACGACTAGTACTCCACTTACACAGACAGTAAGAATATCTCATGGAATACTTAGAATTGGTCATGTAGTTTGCCCGACTGACACTATTGGATACCAATGGCAATGTTTCATAAAGCCTAGGAGGCATAGACTTAGCATGTAGAAGATCCATAAACTCCAAAAAGTGAAGATAAAGAAAGACGCCAGTCATCTCGCCAATGGCACCTCTAGATACGCATGCTAGAGCTAAAATTCCAGAAGAAACGAAAGACGGAATCGAATAACATGCAAGACCAATCTTGATTCGATGCCGAAGCTGAAGACGAGGAAAGATGCGGGTGATTCCCAAACACATACTCGGGCTCGCAGTGGAAGGGCGTAGGAAGGATGGTAGTAGGATAATCGCCTGACAGGTAGCTGCTAGATAGAAAGACAAGATAAAATAAATTCAGAAAGGGAAGAAGGCGAGTAGGTTGGGAGTAGGTTTCCCGGATGTGGAATGGGAAGTCATATCGTGCGTAATTCGTAGGTCGAAAGAAGAAACTGAATCAAACTGGATTTCAAATTCCATAATAATCCATATGAAACGAGTAATCCCTTCACAAGCTAGCGGTCCTGCGCTAGAAGTGTTGAGCGGCGTCTTGCGTCTTGCTCAAATACCAAAGTGTTCCCGGAACACACCGAAGATAAAGTTGGAATGCCATGGACCTGGAGAGAATAGAGATACTTGTCTCCTCACATGACAAGACAGCTACCGCCGCTCTGAGCCCGTCTGCGTCTCCCACCAAGAGCAGATACAGCGCCTCCGGGATACGCATCGTCTTCTTCCTCGTCCGCGTTGTAGAGACGCTCTGCTTCGCGTGCGCGGCGACGACGACGGCGAGCACCGGCACCCCCGGCGCCAGCCTCCTCAGTGGCCATCATGTAATCAGCCCATTTCCGGTCCAGCCGGGAGGCGGAAGTGAGATCCCCGCGCAGCACGCGCTTCGTGTGTTCGTCGACGGTCATCTGCCAGCCGTAGAAACATTTGAGTTGGATGATTTCGTTCGGATAGGTCGGCGACGGCGATGGCGACGGCGTGGAGCTGGGAGTGACAAACGTGCTTGTTGAGGAGCCGGGATCCGATGTTTGTGTGACGGTCACGACTGGTTGGGTGGCTTTGCGGGAGGCACGCGGGATGTATGCGTTACTGGAGAGCACTTCCCTAACTCCCGCCCAGGTGATGTTGGCGCAGTCGAAGATCACGAGGCGCATCCCGACTTGCGGGATCTCGTCGCTGTAGCCGCGGCGGCGGATGCGGTAGCTGGCTTCCATTAGAGTCAGGTCTGAGACTCGGGTGTTGTCCATCTCGACGGAGCGGAGGTTCGAACAGCTCTTCATTACTGGGAGCATCCCTGAGTCGCTGAGACTCTCGCAGAAGCTGATGTTCAGGTGTTCCAGGGTCTGTGCACAGGGCGATTCAGCCAGCTTCACCAGGGTGTTGTTTGTCAGGTTCTCCAAATCCTCCAGTTCCAGATGTGAGAGCTTCGGCGTCGTGCGGATGACCTCTGTAACAGAGGCATCGGTCAGCTCGGGGCACTGCGAAACCTGCAGGCCTTCCAAATCTGGAACGTTATGAGCCAGGCTCTTCAAGCCAGCGTCAGTCACTTCAGTGCACTGGCGGAAGTCCAAATGACGGAATCTCCGAGGTGGAACCACAGGCCGATCGGTCAAAACATCTATAGGGGGGCTCTCGCCGTGGATCAAGCTTTTCAGACTCTGATCGGTCAAGTCGGTCCGACTCATGATCAGACGCTCCAAAGTATTGCGTTCGAACAAAGCCAAAGTAAATTTCTCGTCGTTGAAGCCACGGATTTCGCTGGCACGAAGATCCTTCAATTGCTCACAAAACTGGACAATCCGAAGAAGACCGCTGGTGTGAACCTTGTTGCACCAGGAGACATTCAATGTCTCGAGTTGCGGACAAGACCGTGCAATGACCTTCATAGCCGAATTTGTGACACTCGACAGACCTGAGACATTGATGTTTTTGAGACGGGGGTTGCGGAGAAGGAAAGAATAGATAGATGCACCGTCGATACGAGAGCCCTCGAGGGAGAAGTTGACCACATTCCGGCATAGATCCGAGATACGTTCTCCGTCCGAGGACCATTTCTCACGCATCTGTATGCAACCTATGAGATTCAGATCTCGAACGAACGGACCGCCGGATGTGATGAGCTTCACCAAGACATCGCTTGGGATCTTGGAATAGTACTCAGTCGTATCGACCGTGGACCATAACTGTCCGTCGTAGCACATCTCGCTCCATGACTTGGACACAGCCGAGCAACGTACAAGTTCTTGAGGAGTGAGGTGCCGAAAGATTGCCATTCGAATCTCACGTGGCATATCGTCCCAGAAATCAAAAGACTTGACTGGCTGGGGCTCTGGGACGACGACTTCGACTTCCTCCTCTACCTTGACTCCGACTGGTGTCGCAGTGCGCGGCGATCCACGCGACGCTGGCCTCATATCAAAAGGCAAAGGAACGGTGCGAGGCACAGAAACACTGGGACCTTCTGTTTCCACCAGACGGATGCGGGGATTCACGCCTTGGGCCTCGCCAGGAGGCCCGGCGTAACCAGGAGTACCAGGCCGAGGATGCAGCCCACCGTATAGCTGGGAGGAACTTCCATTGCCTAGACAAGGCGAGTAGGGAGTGGAAGACAGCGAAACACAAGACAGCGAGGCTTTGTTGTCTCGGCGGTATCCAGTGGTTGATGCCGAGCGTCCACGCCGAGTTAATGTCGGACTCGAGGACATGCGTTGGAGACTCTGCAGCAGTTTCTGACGGCCCTTCAGTTTCGGCGGTTGTTCTAGAGGAATCTGACCTGTCGAACTGTTCGGAGATATGCCCACGGGGGAGGGCAGGATCTCATCGGATACTTGGGAGGCCATATTGGCGGCTCGCTTTTATCTGCAGCACCTATTCCCTAGCCAACTACTATCTTGTCACGTCTTCCGGAGGGTGTCGGGCACGGTGGGGGAGTGTCACAGGCGGTCTCGAGGAAAGATAACGACGGAGGACAATATCCCGAAATGAATCGAGCGATGGGCGCGCAGTAACCGCACGATGTGCTCTTAGAGGAACATAGTGAGACCGTATTCAATGACCAGGCTTCGTTATCAGCGTAGCGAGGGACAGAGGAAAGAAGTCAAAGGGCAGAATGTCAGTGGGGAAAAACCACGTTGACCGTTATTGTTCTCGGGGGCCCACGGCCAAAGAACCGTGGAACGAGCCGACCTCTTTACGGGACTTGTGCCGAGTGACGTGCAGAGTACCGAGAGAGCCGAAGAAGATGTACAGAGGCAAAGGAAGTGGGGGGAGAAAGAAAAGATAAACACCAAGGGAGAGAAAAGATAAGGTAAAGACAAACATCAAATGGCGGAATGCAAAGCGGAAGGGAATACAATACATCTACTAAACTTGGAAGTGGCCTACAGATCACATAGTAGATGAGGTACCTTTGATGTACTTCCCCTCGCATTATCTTATCGATCCCCACCTTAGTATTATTTCCAACATCGGTTGTACGCGTAGTACGCAGTAAGCACTCGATAGATCGCACGCGTTCTGTTCAATGTGCACATATTCTGCTATACCTCTCCATGGGTAGCCCGGGTAGCCCTGGAACAGGATACTAGATTGTACTGGTTTCCACCTTGTCTGAGACGGTGTCTTGTCCTAGGCTCTCCTAGCACAGACCGTCTTATGTGAGACCAAAGCCCACACTCGGCTGACGACGCCCTCAGCAGAGATAACCGATGAAAAGCCCTTATACTGAACCCCACCTAGTGTACCCGATCCACCGTCCATGAGGCGAGTTTTGTTCCTGAGAAAGCCGATGGATTCAGATTTCGCCTCTTTGAGACGGTTTTCGCTGGTGGGGCCACTGGGGCGTGCGGGGAGTGTTGACACAGACCCATGGTACCAACTGACCAAATTGGAGAAAGACCATGGAATTGAGTATGGATGTATCGTTTTCTTCGTTTTCTTCTTTTACAGAATACAATCCTCCTGGAGGTAATCGAGGCAGTCTTTGTGTGACAAGGTGAAAAACTACCAGGTCAAATGGGAGATGTCAAACTCGATATGAAGTGGGGAAGATCGTGTGCTATGATCGGGCTAAGCCACGGGACTAGGCCAAGTTCGCCAAGGATCACAAGTGACCAGCCACTGGAACTTTACGCTAGTCCAATTCCCCGCAATTCAAAAATGACAGACCAGAGTACTCGGACTCTTGTAGTACTGTGTACTTAGATAAATTTTCTGAGTTCTCTTCGATCTCTAGGTCACAGAAGGGAAATATGCAAATGTATACACTCAACAGAAGCAACGGCGCTTGAAAAAAGGGCATGCCCCTTAAAGATAAAATGCAATTGATGTTCATAATCATCACCCATCTCAAGCCCTAGGGAAAGTTAGAAGAACAGATAGTGACCTCCACCTCGAAATGATACCCATTAGTCGCCGAGCCATTCGGCAGTCATCATCAAAACGTAATCAACTCTGTGGGGTATCGCTTTATTTTTTGTGATTTCATAAGTAAAAAGGCGGAGAGGGAGAGAAGAGCTAGAGCGAGGCGGTAGGAGTTCATTTTTCATCCTCCACCATCCATGGGTGTCCAATCACCTCGGTGATGGTAATTCGGTTGTCGACGTCGCGGTCGAGCATCGTGCGGATGAGGTCAATGCAATCTTCCGAGAACGGAAGGAAGGGGATGCGGAGGGGGTGGTCAAGGATCTCGTCGACGCTGTAGAACGGGTTCTCCTTGTAGACGACGGTGTAAAGAAGGATACCCAGAGCCCAGATGTCCTGTTCCTTGCCTCGATAAGACCTGCCTTGTAAGACCTCTGGAGCGGCGTAATCTAGGCGCATGTAGTCAGCATTTTACTCCTCAGCTGTGTCAGACGACAAAGAAGACCTACCGATCGTGCCCACAAAGACGTCAAACGGCCCATTCTTGATGTAAGCCGCGCTGCCAAAGTCGATCAGCTTGATCCGCCCCTCTCCATCGAGAACCACGTTCTCATCCTTGATGTCACGATGTACCACCAGCGCTTTGGTGTGAAGATGATTAACGGCGCTCGCAACCTGTTTGAAGATGTTGCGGCACTCGGCTTCATCCATTGTAGCTTTCAGCTCAATGTAATCGAACAGATCCATTCCTGGGAGCCCATGAGGAGTCATCTCGATGTAATAGTTGATATCATCTTCAAAGAAGCCTTCCATTGCCACAATGTTCGGATGCTTGAGGCCATCTCGTCGAAGGAAGTCTAGGACATGAATCTCCAGTGGCACAGTGCCCAGCCGCCGATCACGAGTCCACGTGTCAACGAGAATACGCTTCTTCGTAACATACTTCAATACCATCTTCGTACTAGGCAATCTCTTCAGACGTGCCAATTTAACCTGTCCATAGGCCCCTTGTCCCATTTCTTCGAGAATCACGTAGTCATTGATTGTTCGTTTTAGTGGGGGGTCCGCATTTGCATTGACAGTTGAAACTGGCGGGATGGGTTGCACGGGACGGTCTGTCAGAGGCTCAGAAGCAGCCTCGCTGAGTTGTTGGCTGAGTGTTGAAGTCGGAGCTTTGATCTCCACAGAAGGCTTGAGGGGTTCAGCAATTTGGGTCTCAATGCTGGGGTCTGACGGGCGATCAGCGATAGGGTCCTGCCTAGGCGATACTGGCTTGGAGTTTGGCGCAGGCGATGTTGAGACACTGGTAGCGGGCCCAGCAGCGTGAATTTGCCTTGAGTAGGTGATCCACAGAGCATAGACTAATTCAGTGACAGCGATTGTGTCATCACTCTCGTCAGAATCACTGCTCCGATCGTTGCTTTTCTCTACCTTATCTTTAGAAAAGAAGGTGCCGCTCTTGACCACTCGCAATTGAATATCCACGACAATGGTTGAGCCATCCCGGTGTTTGGCAAGCAGGCCACTTGGCTCTGTAAAGACAGAGGCAGCATTTGCCTTGCCATCGCGAAGGATGGACAGAGTTCGTGCCCGTCGGAAACTATGTTCGGGTATGACAATGCCATCAACCAAGGGCACGTTATCCTCCTCGGTCAGGACGTCGAGGATCTCATCGAAGTCGGGTACAAGGTCAGTGATGTGAAGCCCTTCTGGTCTTTCCTGGCCAAAGAGGGCCGAAGAAAAAACAGAGTTCGAGCTAATCACATTCAATGACGAGGAGGACAGCACCATCATGCCTGCAACATGAGGGAAGCTAGAGACTTGAAGAGTGCAATCCCCTTCTCCCTTGCTGATGGTGACAGGGATACAAACGCCGGCCGCGGTGCGGGCGGCAAAATGCTTCAACTCCACAATTTTGGCCAATCCCTTGTCGAGGGACGTCTCAAGGGATTCAGATGGCAAACACGGGAGAAGTTCAGTGATTGACTGGCCTTTTTGCACGACAGATGGGCCCCAAATCTTCTCGGAGTCACCCTTGGCACCCACAACGTTCCATGAATCATCGCACTGGATGGAGGCAACATTTTCTGTAATCTCTTCCAGCACCCAGATGAGGCCACCACGTTTCTCCATTACCCAGACACTGGCGGATCCGCGGGCCCCGTCGCGCTTCACGATCGGGACCACATCACCGCACAGCAAGACTCCGCGTGATTTATTAGCTGCATGGTTGTTGTTCCGCGTGTTTCGTGTACTTGAACCATAACCATCATCAGTCTGCGCCCTGCGTGACTTTTCTCGCGAGGATGGTTTGCTAAGGAGCTGTGCTGTCACTCCGTTCCCGAGACCGCGGAACTTGGGGTTAACAGCGGAGATATTAGCCCTTTCGGCCTGAAGCGGCATGCGGGCTGCAGCATCGGTGCTAGGATCTCGAAGCTTGGCCTCGAGCCAATCTCGGTGCTCTTTCTGTACAACTTCCAAGATGCTAAGACGGCGGACTTCAGATTGTAGAACACCAAAGACGAGACATGACAGGTCATTGGCGGCCAGAATGGTCCATGGGGCCCGGGCTTCTGTTCTAAATACGGCCTGGGATGCTGGTGTCCATTTGCTGCTATGGGCGTGGAGGGCCGGGACCTGGAATCCGAGTCCGGCAGTCGAGGAGTTGAGCGAGGTGAAAGGGTCCGCGGAAGAGGTGTAAGGTTGTGCTAAAGTCTCCATCAGCTTGCTCTTTAAAGAAGCAGAGCTCAGGTCCGTGTATGTACGTTTTAAGCTTACGCGCCTGGACGAGGGTGCAGAGACCAGGTCCCTTCTCTGGTTGGAGATACGGTCGCTGGGCACCGGGCTCAACAACTGTGAGCTGTCGGAGAAATGTGACCCCGATGTCATGGAGTCCAAAGCTGCATCTCGGGTGCTGGTCGGAGACGAACTGCCATCTGAAAAGGCTTTTTCAAAGATGTTGTCGCCGTTGATCTCCGCGGGTCCTGTGATGGGTCCTCGGCCTTGATTATGGTGATCCGCGGGTTCCAATATGTTTGCCCGGGTTAGAAGGTCCATCATGCCTTGAATCTCGGCGTCTCCACTGGCGTTTGCTTGTGCGTTAGCGATCCCAGCATTGCTTGCGGCCCATCCCATCCGGTCGCGCATGAAATCGATAGACCTCTTGAGAATGTTTTGCCGGCTGTGAAGGAGTTCTTCGGACTGTTGAGCAAAAGAAAAGGAATGTAGCGACTCCAGCGGGAACCGGTGTAGATCCTCCAAATCCGTGAAGCTTCGGCTCAAAGAAAAGTGGCCGGTGTTGGCTCGAGAAGAGGAGCGAGAGCGTGGAGAGTGGGCGGTGCGGTGGACAGCCATGGGGGCTAGCGACGACGTAGAAAGGTTTGGAAGAGTCAAAACTCGCGAAGGTTGGTGCTGGCGTATGCGATCCAACCCAGACGGATTCGGACCATGTTCATTTTCGAATAACGGAGATCTGTAGAGATACAAGAAGTGTCAACGTTCAAGTACCAGTCGAGCAGAGGGAATATTGTCGCTGACCTGGAAAGAGCGTCATAGCCCGACGACACACTTCCCCCGGGGCTTCTGAGTTGACTTGTCTGCAAAGAAAGCTTCTGTATTTCGGACTCGGATTCGGATGACTCTGAGAGGGGACCTAACGGCGACGAAAGGGGACTCGGCTCGCCTAAGTTTGATCAGCGTGATTCATCTAGTACATCATTCAATCGGCGCGTCTGGTTCCATTCCACGGGCTCTATAGATGTGATCCGCCCGAGTGATCGGACGGTTCTGATCTCCGCGGTCAGATGCAGTTCAAAGCATGTGCCAGCCGGTGCCCGTGATCGACTGGGGAGTGGACCCGTTGCTCTGAACCCTTCCTTGTCGGGCGCTTTGATCGAGTTGTCTGCTTAATTAGGAAAGCTGCATGATAACCTGTTTTTATTCCGGCCTCCACTCTTACCTCGAGTCCCACAGAGCGTATAACAAAGACAAGGTAGAGAGGGCTAACATAAAAAATAGCATGTGCGCATGACTTACCATCATTGTAAGCTGACCCCATCCCCGAGGTCTCACTTTGCCTCCTCTTTCTTTTTTTTTTTTTCTTTAGTTTATTCGATTTCCGATGCTCGAGCTCGGGAGGTGATCAGATCGGAGAAAAAGGAAGGACGAGGCTCAATCGAGGCGAGCACTCGCGAATGTATGCAGGATATGCGACATGTATGGACGGAACGGTCATTCGCAGGCGGGGATTAGCAGGGTAGCTGCCTAAGGTTCTCCAGGCGGCATATGTGGCGCCGGAGCACACACAAAGTTGGAATATCGAAGGTTACACTTCAAGATAGATCAAGAGGGAAAAGGAAAAGGAAACGGAGGGTGGAAGAGGAGGGGATGAGGAAGAGAGAAGAGAGTGGGGAGGCTAGGAAAATGCCAAATGCGAGAAAAGGGCCCTCCCCTCCGTGATGTAATGTCTTGGTCTCTTTATTCCTCTAAAGATTCTAAAGATTCTGAAGATTCACTCCTCTCATAGATCCCAACTAACATACCTTTTCTTTTTCTACTCGACAAGCTAGTCTTCGATTCGGGTGATCGACATCCATCTTATCCCATGTGCCGAAATTCACGTCTATCTGGAGCATCTATGGCACGGCTCACCCATCCCGGGGCCATCACACATGCATTTGTAGAGCCCAACTCAAATGAATATTGCGCACTGCGGCACTACTCGATTCTCATAGGAAATACATGGCCATAATTACGATCAAATGTTACGGAATCGGCATCATCGCGACCCTTACAACTCTTGCTCTTCGAGATCGTCAAGATTTCTGTAACTAGACTACTAGGTCAGTTAGCTACACGCCAGAGACCTTCTTTGCATCCATTCTGCCTTCGTAAGGCCCTGGAGGGCTGTGGCAGCTGTTGTTGCTGTGTCGATGAATCCATTGTTGTCCTCCGGCTGTCCTGTCTTTGTCGTGTCCGAGGAACCTTCTTCAATGGCTAGGGCGCCACCGCCAAAGTCTATGACTTCTTCATCTTTTGCAGTTGCTGCAGTTGAGACGGCGCCAAAGTTCGCTTGCTTCGTCCACTGAGTTGCTTTGCCAGTGAATTGCTGGCTCTTGTTTTCTTTGAATTCCTGGTACGTCTTCTAATACCACCAATCAGGCTTCAGTGTCCACGTCGAGGGTCTGTTTCAAGGACTAGGTGATAGCATTCCTTTGCGTCGTGGCCTAGGGTCCCATAGTAAGAACAAGCTCCATTGGACGAACGCTGGACTTTATGGTTTCTCCAGCTCTTGACGTGGTCCTTAACGCTTTTACCGGCGGCGGTGCGTTCATCAATCTGTCCTTATTCCATGTTATCAGAAGTGGAATTTGGTTGACGCGACTGAGTATGGGCTGTGCCGCTTGCCCCGAGTCCCTCGTCCAGTCCGAATCATTGATTTTGTCAATCATTTCCTGGCAGTACCATGCCGACGATTGATTGATAGTGGTCAAATCTTCGTCGCTTAAGGCTTCGCTCGCCAGTTGACGTGATACTCTGCCATTTCAGCGTCCAGTCCACATGGCCTGTAACTCCCTACTTGGGCAAATCAATACGGCCGCGTGCCACGGAGAGAGGAACCGAAGGCCGCGATTGAGCGTATCAAAGCGTCAGCCTCAGGTGCACCGGACTGGATAAGTTCCAGTAGCTAACGAGGATCAAGTTCCGCTTCGGCCCCTCGGTGACGTACAAAGAAGCCTGACTTTTTAGACGCCTGCCTCCGCATGACGGTGTTAAATGCGAGGAAGCGGAATCGAGGATGGCTCGCGAAACTCGGTTAGGCAGGACATGTAAGCATGACCCAGCGAATCATGTTCCGTCTGAGCATGCTGAGGTAACCTTTGTCCTTCAGTACTGGTTCAACTTTGTAGAGCACAAAACTGCCAACTTCAGGTAGTCCCTCCCCTTGATCCCCTCCATTAATCGTCTGGTCTGCGTCTTCGACAACCGACTAATCCCTTTCGTCCCTCTGCTTCGGCTCCTGGGCCCCATAGGGGTTGCGTCATTGTAAATAGGGGTGGTTGTTCGACGATTCAAACGGTAGGTGGAAGATGGTAAAATGGTTGGTGGGGTAATGAACCATTCTCATAATACCATGCTGGTCGACCCAAGGAGTTTTTTCTCGCCCACTACAACTGAACTGCCAGCTTCATCCATTACGATGAAGCCAGGCGTTTGAGATATAGTGGGCGCAGCACATCTTGAATCGCCAAACACAAAGGAAGGAGGGTGATGGTAGGAGATCTGGCTGAGAAGGCCAACCCTCCCTTCGAAACGCCCTTGGACACCGTGTTCGTCACCTACATGTATTGTGGGTGACAGTGAGATATGGTTCCCTCTCTGTCGATGAAATTGTTGAAGCTGATCTATGACAGTCTTGATGATGAGGCTTCAATGAGGCTCAATGGTTGGTTGATTTGTGGATTCCACCCCGCTTATGGGCCTTTCGCTCCACCAATCGTGATTCCTGCCGGGACTCTCTCAAAACGGTCAGGGAAGACTATAAATCGTAAATTCTCGTTAGAGATAACCTCCTCTTTTTTTTCTGAAATTCTAGTTGTCAGTAGGGAAAAACAAGGGCGTCATGACCTGTTGAGACCACGGGCTCAGAAATCTGGAGGGAGAGAGTTGTAGTGGGAGAGGAGCGAACTCCCGAGCTTTCAAATTTATATGAGGCTTGTGCCTGATCCCTAAGGCATGCATCATAACAGCATGCACGATTTTGAAGGCTTACCAGCCTCTACATAGTATAGAATTGAAGCCTTTTTCTCCGATGCAAATGCATGTCCGATTCAGAAGGTGATTTATCTTCGGCCTGAAATTTGATTTCCCCATCGGCATTGCAGCAAAATCCTAGCCTTGCTTTGCTTTTGTCCCGGTAAAGCTTCCATCAGTTGCAACCTAGACTTCGGTCAGGAATCCGTTTCCAATACAATATAAGCCACTTTCATCACAATTGAAGATATCCTTTGGATCGTACGCTCCGTAAAGCTTCAGTTGCAAGACGCTCCAGTTGCAAGACGCTCCAGTTGCAAGACGCTCCAGTTGCAAGACGCTCCAGTTGCAAGACGCTCCAGTTGCAAGACTTCGATCAGGAATCCGTTCCAATACCTATAGATCCGAGCGCTTGCTGTGGGACCTTGCTTGGCTTCTGGGGTGGATATAATAACGCATGTACTAACTTTGTCTTCTGCATGATGTATGACAGGGAGCAAAAGTTGGGGATTGGTGAGTCTACATAGATTGGGTAAGAGATGACATAGAGACTAGCGAAGCCCACATTGGAAGTATGTTTTTTTGTCAGATGAATGCCCCTTCCAATGTATCGTCGGTTTCAGTATGCCAACCGCTGTACAGGGAATGATAACGACGCAGCCTAGCAGAAGATAAGATGTGGGCCTGACTTCAACCCTGAGCTTCCGATTCCAGTTAGAGTGTACGCAGGTAGTGACATGGACCCCGATTAGAAGATATCATAATGGGCCGGCCCCTGACAGAGGGTCCCCTGAGCCCCGAAGGCTGTGCAGCGGCAATTCACCCTGCTCGGGATCGGACCCTGGATTTTCATCTCCGGCAGATCCGAACAAGGCATTGGGTTTTGCTGGTTTTCCTCGGGATTGGTCCAAACGTCGAGTTTGCTCCGGTGGCGGCGACGTTGAGCTAACAAAGCCCGACAGGTTCCGACCACCGCCAAGCATCCATGAGAATCCAGAATCCGTCATCGACGGTCGCACGAATGACCGGGAGGGAATTTCCCGTGGTCTCTCAGTCTTCTTGTCGGTGCCTGCTCGATTGGCCGTCCCGATAGAGACAGGACTAGAAGCCCCACGCTTGGCTGCCGGTTCAGTGCTATGCATGTTGCCGAGTTTTGGTGATTGCAACTGACCCAGGTCCGTCACAATCTTGCCCTCAGCTTTGCCCGTTTTTGCGGTGACTGTTTGTTGTGACGCATCCAGTGGTTTCGGCTCACCGTCTACACGAGAATCCAGAGAAGGATTTACTGGGAGGGAAGGGTCTTCGAGAGAAACTTGCACACTCTCAGCCTTGGCCAGAGCCCGCTTCAATGCACTGTTCGTATCAGCGTCAAGGTTCTTGACATTTGCCAATTCCGAACCAAGGTCATCCAGTGCCTGGCGCAAAGTAGCAGCCAAAGCTCGGTTTCTTTCTTCAAGTAAATTAATCTTCGTCTGTAGCCCGGCTGAGGTCGCCGCAGCTGCAGAGTGGGCCTTCGATTGTGTATCTGAGGCCGATGTAGCGGAACCAGGTCTCGAGGAGCTAGGGCGCAGATTTGGTTCAAAATGCATAGTCTGCATGTTTTTCCTCGCTTCAGTGACGGCACCTCGAACAGCCTTCGCTACGCCCCAGGACTCCGTCCGACGTTGTATCCCTTGAGAGACATCCTGGAAAAGGGATTCGAGACTTTTTGGACTGTTTCGGGCTGTTGACCTGACAGGTGAGCTACTTCCGCTGCGTCTCCTAAAGTCTTCCCAGAGAAATGCCCTTCTCGCGGGCCGCGTTTCGGACTGGCTGCGACTTTTTGACTCGGGTGGCCTGCCTGAATATTTGGATATGATGAACCTTCCTCGATCGGCCGTAGGATTCTGTTCCAAATAAAGTGCATCATGTACAAATGTCTGAGGGGTGTGTGGCTGGGGTGAAGGGTAACGGAGTAGCAATGTCAACGCGGTTGTATAGTCCGCCGTAAGCACTAGGTAATGGATGTCAGCGAGAACAAGATATGTTGAGTACTCGAGGCCAACCAACATTGCCAGCGAATTCTAAGCAGCATTGCAATGCACGTGAAGTCAATAAGATCAGATCGCAATCCATGAGCAAATAGTAGATCCCACATCATCAGGACATCGTCGAATGGAAATTCCCGACCAAATAGAAGGCGCATCCAGCGACTATTCGACATGTTAGTATCATGCATGGACTTAGCAATGGATGCCTGCAGCAGGCAACTTACGTCAGAAATATTTGCGGTAATACCTCGACGGCTTCCAAATGCTCAGCAAGCTCGTGATCAATGATTGCCAATGCTTCCTTGTGAAGATATTGACATCGGTCAACTATCGGTATGACATCCATCTGGCCATTTGCCGCCCGTGTTTCACTGTGCTCATAGTATGTGCGGGCTGTTTGCATGACATAGAGAAATAGGGTAAATGCATCATGTTCCACAAATTGATGATCGAGGAGCTTTAGCATTAAAGCCTCGCCTTCTCCCTCGTTGGCATCGAATGAGTGCGAATTCACCGAGTCGCGGTCTACTGCCCAAAGAAGAGGTGCGAGTAGTTCATGCATTCCTTGCCTATAGCCGACGTCCGGATTGAGCTTTGAGTAGACGAACAGGATGTCAGTCAACTTAGATTTCGTCTCGGGCTCTTGAAAAAACGCGTTTTCTTGCAAACATCGATCGACATCTTGAAGGATTTCGGCGCGCAGCGTCTCGTCGTGTCGGAGCGTCTGCCAAGGGGACTGATTGTCGCGACAGCAGTGTTAGTTAGGAACTCCTTGAACTTGGGCAAGACACGGCGGAAGTAGTGTTCGCGTACCTGGTCATCATCCGCCAGCGGATCGATCGTGGACTCCAAATCATCTGGGTGTTCGATGTATTTCAAGTAGTGGTCTCGCAGCGCACGATAGGCGTCCCGGGATTCATCGAGCTTAGACGCCCAATCATTTCGATCCGACCCGTCAAAAAGGGAAAATGCCTGTATAATAAATGAGCACAAATAATGTCTCAACCCATTTCTTTTGGTCAACGGTACCTTCCAGCAAACGGACCGCAGGCCGTCATTGCACAGGTCTCCTTTCTCGGCTCCTAGCGCCGCTCGGAGATCGCAAGTCGCGTTGTTGTCGGAGAACAGGACGGCCCATCTCTTTCTGTGAGAGTCAATATAGTCCAAGAAGTGCAGACGCTCCGAAGCAGTACCTAGTCTCCTCAATGGTTCTCATTGTTGGGGATGAGGGAGAGAACCTCGGGAGATGAGGGGATGCGGGCGATAGTAGACCGCCCGTGGCTTATCTCGCGCTATTGATACTTGGCCATCGCAACATTCCTCTGCTATATGCACTGGCTTAGTTCGCCTCGGGGAATTCAGACCATCGAGATACAAATCGCGGCTGAACTCTCCGGTACCTCGATACTACTCGATCTTATATCGCCGCCACTGCAGAACGTTGCCTGATGTCACCTTTCACAGCTTCATGACCCCGGCCCCCAATCAAGATGTCCGCGGATCTGCTAGCGGAGTTCGGTCAGTCTGCCCCGGAAACTAGGTCTTCTGGTCAGCAGTCATCGCAACATAGAAAAGCTGCCTTTTTCGATGACGACGTTGATTTCTTCGGGTCATCAGGCAATGTGCAGCATAATAAACCCCCCAATGCCACCTCGGGGGCATCCGGTCAATTTACAGCCCCAGCAGCCTGGGGCACCGGTCAACAACAAATTGACCTTCCCTTGGATCCACATAGCGATGTTCTATTCGATGCAACATTTGATGCACCGGCAAGTGATACGGAGGACGACTGGGGGGAATTTGAGGGCCCGGAGTCAAACACGCAAGATGCCCATACAACAACTTCTTTGCATCAATCCAGAACAGCTAGCTCTGCAACACTACAGCCTCGACGAGATGATGCAGTGGTCTCTGAAACAAATGACTTGCTTGATTTACTCTCAATGCAAGACTCGGCACCATCTGTGAAACATCCGTCAAAATTTGCCGAAAAGGATCCTACAAGTAACCAAAACCAGCCAGCATGGGAGGATGATTCGTTTGGCGACTGGGGCGATTTCGCCAACTCCCCTGTTAGCCTACCTCCTCGCAAGACTGATGAAAAGAAAACAAAATCTCTTACAAACATACCTCAAAAATTGCCTTCGAAGACCACTCCACCGCCGCCATCCAAGTGGGATGACGATTCCTTTGACGATTGGGGTGATTTTACAGATGGGCCCAGTGTGAGAACTGTGCCCAAACCCACGACCACCCCACCATCGGCAACCCCTCGTCCAGCTGTCAGTAGCTTTGTGTCGGGGTCCGCAGCTCCTGCAGCTCCTGCAGCCACCGTGCGTCCAACGAATATCCCACCACCTTCTGTTCTCCTTGAATTATTCTTGGATGTGTTTGAGAATCTCCAAAAGGAGGCTGCTTCGGCAAAATCCCAGCTGCGATCGTCTGGCACAGTGTCTTCTTCATCCTCCAGTAACGTCTCATCAACGGCCTCCAAAATTCACAATGTACTTCAATCAGCAGCACGAGTAATAGCTGGGCGAAGGCTCCGCTGGAAGCGTGATACAATTCTCAGCCAAAGCATGCGAATCGGCCCTGCCCGTTCCGGCAAAACCGGTGGCATGAAACTCAACAGCGTCAACAAGCAAGAAAACATTAAAGAGGAACAGGATGCTATTGATGTGCTGAGTGCTTGGCGGGACCGGGCGGCAATCTTTAATGTTGTTCTTCAAGCCGCAGGCCAGCGGCCGATCCCTCCGATCCAAGATCCCAGCGCGCTCAAGGTTGTAACCGCTCGGGCAGATCAGGGGGCCATGAAGGCTACACATCCATGTGCGCTATGTTCGCTGAAGCGAGATGAGCGCGTATTGCGGGTGGATGAACAGAATGTTCAAGATAGCTTCGGGGAATGGTGGACCGAGCATTGGGGCCATACGGCATGCAGGGAATATTGGGAAACGAATCGATACCTACTTGGACAGCGTTGAGAATGTCAGCATCCGCTGGCAGCATTGTAAATAACGAACATGTATCTATGGAATTCTGGAGTGAGAATCAATCAGCTGAACAACAAGAGAAAGGCATACATAATTAGCCACTGCTCATGATGTACGATCGATGAGGGAAGTTGACGACATCTCTCAGACTCCAGTCCACCTAGACGGTGACCTAGGTACTTGATGGACTCAAAGATAACATGTTGCAACATTTTCCACCTGGCCATTGTTGCCGGATTATCGGGGGAAGAAGGGAAATTGTGCCCCAATTGGGCTTTGAATCCCCCCATGGGGTCTCCCCGCATTTCCGACTCACGACAATCCAGCTCACATACTCCCACTCATATTCAGATAACATTATTCACATGGCGGATGGAAGAGTTACAAAAAGATCGTCAAATGCGTGAGTTGGTGACAGGAAAGAGGCAAGACGGTCGCTGACATCGATTAGTTGTGTGCGATGTCGGAGGCAAAAGATCAAGTGCTCCGGGTCCCAACCATGCGACGGGTGCAGCAAGCGAAAGGTTTCTTGCGTTTTCAACGACCGTGATCAGAAGATTCTGGTGACAAGAGGGTCAGTACCTAAACTGCAATTCTTAGAAGAACAAGCAGCTTATCTTAGGTGCAGGTATATCCTGGAGCTGCAGCAGAAGGTCGCGCGTGCGGAGCAAATCGCAAAAGGTCAAGCAAGCCCTTTCAGCTCGGATTTCGATACCCAAGTGATTGGTCAGTCCATTCATCGCACGAAGAGATACCTGCTCATTCCTAGTAGATTCAAACGACCGCGAAGATGTACCCACTTTGGACAGGATCAACACTCCTGGGGATCATGATGAATCTCTTGACCTGGAGGATCAAGACTCCGGTCTAGACTCCGGTCTAGACAATCCTTTATCAACCGGTCCCCCTGCTTTTATGTCTATGGCAAATGGCCGAACATGTATGTCACGTTTGGTTTATTGTAATATGCAAATTTAACAAGTGCAGTCTATCTTGGAACATCATCCAACTGGTCGTTCACTCGGCGAGTCCTCAGCCTGGCACACCAACACCTTTACCATGAGGCGTTGCCAACGGATACACTATTATTCGACGAAACAACATATGAGCTCGGATGGGATGGTTTACGCACAAGCCCAGGCCCGGATGATCCCGTCGTCCCGACGCGCGACCACACTATGTATCTGATCAATGCCGTTCAATTTCGTTGCGGACAGTTATATCACCTCTTTGAAGAAGACGTTTTCATGGGTTCTTTGCAAAAGTTCTACTCGGGGGATGGACATTCCATGACAAATAGCTTGTGGTATATTCATTTCCTCCTCATCCTGGCCTTCGGGAAAGGGTTCGTTCAACCCAAGGCTCAAGGGAAGAGACCGCCAGGGGTGGGTTACTTCATCAAGGCTCTGCAGCTGTTGCCTGACCCGAGCGCTCTCTATCGGGACCCAATGCAAGGAACAGAAATTCTGTGTTGCATTGCCTTATATTACCAATGTGTCGATTTTCGAACATCGGCACATAACTACGTGAGCTATGCGAATGAAACGCCCTCTTGGATAGCCTGACTGATCAATATTTTAGATTGGCCAAGCCATACGGATAGCCATGTCATATGGAATGCACACTAGCATGCCAGTCGAAGTTCTAGGATATGACATGGTCCAGAGATCTAGCAAAATATGGTGGACCATATACATGCTGGACAAAGAAATGACATCTCTGATGGGTCTGCCCCAATCCGTGAATGACCGATATGTGCAAACGCAACTTCCGGCCTTTGAAGACCCATCAGAGACGATATCCTTGGGCATGCACATCAAACTGTCACAGATCGTTGCCGAGGTGAACAGCAGTAAGATCCACCGAGCTTCCACCGTTGGCTATGTTACCTGACAACTCAAGCAGCGATCTATGTCGTCGACGGGCGCATCAACCGGACTTTCCTGCTCAGCACCAAGAGAGCACTGGCGAATATTGCAGGGCTTGCTGATGAGCTCCGCGAGTCATTTCCCCTCCACTTGGACCCAGCTAGCGGTGTTTCTCGGACATCAGCATACTTACATCTTCAACATCACCAGGTGCATATCTTGTGTTTTTCCCCGGACGGTGTCCATTTGCTGACTATCCTACAGTGTATCATCTTAGCCACCCGACCTCTCTTATTCTGCTTCCTCAAAATTCGATTCGAATCCCCAGAAAGCTGCCTGGAATCCATCAAGGCATCTCGCAACGTCAGAATCCTGATGCAGATGTGTCTGGAGTCAGCCCAACATAGCATATACATCCTCTCCAGTCTACAGAGCCAGGGTCTGTTAGGTAAATCAGTCTCGTGTCGCCAACCCATCTCAACCCCCGACTAACATCCAACTTCCAGAGACATTTCTCCCCTTTGACCTAGAGTCGGTATTTGTATCCACCGTCATTCTCCTCATGGGTCCAGCAATCGACCCGCGCGAACTAGAAAGCAACCCCAACTGCCTGGAGAAAGCGTATGCCATTTTCGACGAGATGATCAGAGACGGAAACCAAGTCGCTAGCTTCCGAAGGTCGGAGCTTCAGCAGCTAGATGAGACTTTATTGGGATGTATCTCTGGTGATTACCCACGACAGTTAGCAGTGCCTGCTCTCTTCCAGCAAGCGGATATGCTACCTAACTCAGCTTCTCCATCTGCCACGCCGAATGCAGGGGCTATAACTCAGTCCCTCCAATATGATGATGCTGTTCTTCGGCCCCATTCAGAGTTGGAGTTGGATTGTGATTTTACTACGATGCTAACATCGGCTGAGATCATGGCTGTTGCGGACTCTATTGAGAGTTATGATACTGAATGGGTGTCTAACGCCATGGTCGAACACAGTATTTGGTAGGTTGAATACCTATTTAAAGGCCTTAATGAATTTCAAATCAGCGTGGGTGTCTAGGTAATTCAAAGATGCCGTCCAGAACTACAGCGTCATTTCGGGTTGAATAAGAGAATCTTCTATGAATCTATCTATAGCTTAGCCGATACACCAGGCCGAATCTCGGAAAGCTCCTTCGACTCCCCAATACGCCAGCTGACATCGCCGCCCCAGTTCTCCTTTTCCTTATCGGAGTTGCTATACTTCCACCTCCACCGTGCTTCGCTTTGCCGGCCAGCTTGGATTAACCCGAAAACCCACGATCCAAAGATTGGAAACATCTTAAACCCATGCCCAGAATCACCAGACAAGATAACAACCGAAGACGAAGTCTCAGGCACATAATCAATGATAAAGTCCGAGTCATCAGTATCAGCGAACCAACAAAGGGACTTCTTCACCAGCGGCCGCCCAGCAAGAGCCGGCAGAGTGTGCGCAAGCAATTTCCTCATCTGCGCCTCATCATGCTCAGGCACAAACGCACTTTCTTCCAGAGTCGCTGGAGCATGCGAAACCCCCGTCTCAGGATCAGTATTAACATACCCGCCACCCATAGGACAGATCTTCAACAAATTAGTCCGAGGATCCGGTTCAAACAGGAACCCCAGATCACGCGCATACGTGACCGGAATTCCGCGCAATGCTGAGGTCTCTTCATCTGTCAAATGCACATGCGCAACAGACCACGACTTCGCCACGACCTTCTTGCCGATCTCCGGTACCAGACGGCCCACAGCACCGCCAGCAGCGACGATGACCAGGGAGGACGGGTGGAATTTTCCGTCCTTCGTGCGGATCCCGGAGCTCTTCTTGCCTTGCAGGGTGCTGACATAGACGATTTCGTCGACTGCACCGTGCATCCCGAGATAGAATCGCACGCCTGCTGCCTGGGCGGCCCGGTGGACACCTGCCAGCGCGTTGCCGGAGTGAGCGTACCCGTCGAAGCGGTTGAGGTATCCGGTCCAGCCGGGCAATGGGCCGTTGAGCTGCCAACAGGCTTGACGGATGTCGTTCTGGTCTTTGAGAGGCACGACGTGAGGCTTGATCTGCTCGTTACCATCTGCTGAGGCGCGGAACCTATTGAGAGTGTCGATAGCCTTTTGGGGTGCCTCGCCAGAGACGCAGTGGAGGAATCCTGTCTGATGGAAGTGGGGTGCGAAAAGAGGGGTCTTCCATGCGGCGATGGCTTTCTATTGAATATAGAATGCAGGGATTAGTTTCAATACTTTCGCTTACTGTGAACGCTTGCAGGAAAGATAAGTATGTGACTCACAATCGTCAAGTCCGTGTAGAATGGATCCTCATACTCTGCACGCACAATCTTGTTCAGATCATTGGCGGCTGAGTATCGGGGAGGGATATGGTCGTCTCTTTCGAAAACAGAGATATCGGTAAAGCCGGAGCGAGTCAAATGCAGAGCAGTCGAGAGCCCAAAGGCACCTCCACCAACAATAATGATCGGATCGCGCTTGGAGATGCCCATCTTCAATTACTGTTTGAAACGATAGAGTGAATCAACCAGGTGGTTCATTACTTGGATATGTATAGTCCTGAAACTATTAGACGGCATCGCCATCCGTAGCCGGCTGAATTCCAATTTCCATACTGTACCGTGTAGACTCTAGAGATACACCCATAGTATCAGTGCGGGGAGTGCGGAGAACTGCACCATCGGGAGGGCTCCCGGTGTGGGGCCAAGGTTGTTATCGCGGAAGCAAATGACCTTCCTTGATGCAACCGTACGACCTGCAAGTAAGGTACACCCTCATCCAGTGCCGTGGCATTGAGGTTTCACGAAACCTTTTTATTTTAGTTTGATTACGACGTACACCATGGTACGTGTTGAACCATCACAGGTTTCAAAATAGTACTTGCGTTTCTGTGATATGCTGTGTTTGCTCTGTTTGCCTCAAGAGGAGCTGCCATGCTAGTCTTAGACCCTATTGGTTGATATTTCCTGGCATAAATGGGGGCTTTTCGCGCTAATCCTCCTCGGAGGGTTTGAGGCTAGCCGTAATAGGAAGTATAAGAAAGAATATCTTGAAGACAGCCAAACCAGCTTCTTGTACGAGTATCGGGATTAAGGTTGGGGCACGGGGGCAGTGAGTATTAAATGGGAAGGTGGAGAGAAAAGGCGGCACATGGAGTTTCCCCATATGATCAAAGACTAGCAATGACAATGACCGCTCCTTCCCTCCGTACCCGAGTGAGTCCCTTCCAATTTTGGAAAGTACATCTTATATAAACTATGACAACTCCCGCCGTTCCCTCAGAGAATTCCTTTCTCCTCTTTACAACTCACTGCCAACAACTCCATCTGACACGAAAGACCAGTGCAACAGATGCGTTATCTCCGTTTCTTCCACTTCAACCTCACAGAGCTTAGAGCTTGCTTGAACTTCAAGCTCAGGCCGCAACTGGGGCATGATCTGGTTATATATAGTTACACCACGGTAGCCATTAGCTTACTGTGGTTATTAACGTAAGCATCACGACTCTCACTTTTCAACCGTATCTCACACAGAACGGCAGATCCACGCGTTCGACCCTGATCCAATCTATCGTTGCGCTTAGAACCTTCATCTTGACCGTTGCAAGGTTAGCACCGTGGGTCAAGAGACACCGGGATCCCGTCTGCGCCCGTTTACGGGTGTGTTGGAGACGCTTCATGCCGGAAGCCAATCCGAGAAGAACCCCCGATCTTGAGCGGCGAACTGATGACCATGAAACCGAGCTGGATTCCCTCGAAGCCCTAGACTTGCCGCCCTCGGCCATCCCCCTTCCGACCATGAGCCATCGCTCGAATGCCACGTTCAACTGAAGGAGGTTGGGCGTACGAATGTTTTCTGCTTCTTCGGGAGACTTTCCGGAGGACGAAAATGGTAACCATTGGATCGTGTTCATGAGTTACCTGTGCCAACAAATCGAGTCAACGAAGACCCTCATGTCAGCGGGGAGCACTCGATGCTTTCAGAAAATGGTCTTATCAAAGCCATGCTAGGCCATTTTCCCGCTGTGGCAATTGCCAGCCATCAAGAATTGTTTCCAGAGGCCGTTGGTATCCACCTACTTGTCGCAGGCTCTCCTGGCTGTCCGTCCGTGACAGCCTGACAGGGCGGGCGAGCTATTCGGAAGCCCTATGTTGGGGGAAGACAACCCTTAACGGCTTGAAAGGCAGCGATCGCTCCAAGGATCGTCTCAAATCGGCGTCTGAAATGACGCAAGAGCAGTTTGTATGTATGCGGGCTTTTTGGCCGAATACAAAAAGCGCAGCAGCCTTCCCCACTGATAAGAAATGCAGAAAGCAAGCCGAAAAGGACATTGACGATTGGCCTGGATTCTAGTAAATCGATACAACAAGTTTATTCTGTTTTTGATCGTGACACATAGCTCCTCAGATAGGAATGTCATCTTCTTCCATCCTGCCTTGACACCCTATATGCACAAGAGTGCTATGCCGTTGCTTGAAACACGAGCACTGGGTGCACCGTGCAGTTGAGCGGGTTCATGATGTATGACTTTCAACCGCAATCCCAGTCAGCTCAAATTCAAACCCAGAGTTCCCACTTCCCAGTCACAAGCCGGACAGAACACTCATGGATGTGGAGATAACCAGCGAAAGCGACTCACTCCGGTGCATTTCGGACTTCAGTTGACGGGGAACGAACGTGATTTGGGGGGCTGCGCAGATGTGTACCGTTGTTGTCGACGCTCCCTCGGGTATATCACACCCTTTGGGCTAATGGGATGGTCATCCAGTTCAGTTTAACACAAAAGTGCGAGGGTTCTAACATTGGCCTGTTTCAACGTTTATGCTTCGCTAGTACACTATATCCAAGCGTAATTACACACCCCCTCAATCACTGTGGTTGCTGGGATATGTGAACCCCTCCTGGTCAAAGAATTCCTCTTTAATCAACCGTGGACTAACGAAACGACGAAGCGGGTCAGAGCTACCAGCCTTATCGTTGGTCCCGCTAGCACGCGCACCACCGAAGGACTGCTGGCCAATGAGTGCGGCAGTTGTTTTGCAGTCTGGAACAGATAGTCAGTTGGAAGTAGCCACAATCGAGATCATCCGAGACTTACTGATATAGAAGTTGCCCGCAGAGTACCGGAGCGCATCTTCAGCCTGGCGGATAGCAGCACGATCCTTGGCGAAAACCGCACCAGTTAATGCAAAGCCGCCTCCATTCTGATCGACAGACTTCAGGATAGAAGCCCAATCGGCATCTTTGTAAACATACACAGCCAGCACAGGCCCAAAGATCTCTTCATTGAAGAGACGATGGTCCGGTGAATCGGCCTGATACACAGTCGGATGCACATAATAACCAACAGAGTCATCATAAGTCCCACCAGCCACGAGCTTCAGCGAGGGATCCTTATTACTCGCATCGATGATCGACTTAATCTTCTCAAACGAGCCACGGTGAATAACCGGGCCCATAAAAGCCTCCAGATCCTTATCCGGACTCCCAATTGTAATCTCCTTAATCCCAGCCTGCAACTTAACCAGGAATTCCTCAGCCCGAGACTCAGGCAAGTACGCCCGAGACGTAGCAGAGCATTTCTGTCCCTGGTACTCGAAAGCACCGCGAATGGTATGGTTGACTGCACTGGAGATATCGGCAGAAGCATGCACGAGATGGAAGTTCTTCCCGCTAGTCTCGGCGACGAAACGCGGGAACTCGCGGTACTTCCTTGCGGCTACGCCCTGTCCGATCTTGCCGTAGAGGGTGCGGAAGACGTCGGATGAACCGATGAAATTCAAGCCGGCGAAGTCGCGGTGCGACAGCACGGTTTCGGTGATTGCTTCTGGGTCACCGGTTACGAACTGGATGACGTTGGGGGGCAGACCGGCTTCTAGGAGGATCTTGTAGAGCAGGGAGCTGGCGTAGACGTTTGATGCTGATGGCTTCCAGATTACGACGTTGCCCATTAGTGCGGGACCGCAGATGAGGTTGCCGCCGATGGCTGTGAAGTTGAATGGGGAGACGGCGTAGACGAAGCCTTCCAGAGGACGGTAGTCGATGCGGCTGGGATGGAGTTAGTTTGTCTGGTCTATTTTCATGGTAGATAGTTCATGTGGAAACTCACCTCCACATGCCATCACTGCCGCGAGTTGGCTGCTTCTCCAAGATCTCAGCAGCCCAGTTACAGTTCAGACGGAAGAAATCAGCCAATTCGGCCGCAGCGTCAATCTCTCCCTGCCAAATGTTCTTCCCTTGTCCCAACATCGTTGCCGCAATAATTTCATATCGATACTTCGTACAGAGTAGCTCGGCAGCCTTAAGGAAGATCGAGGCTCGATCAACGAATGGAGTATCCTGCCAGCTCTGTTTTGCTTTTAAAGCCAGATCAATGGCTGATCTGGTCTGCTCATTGGTGGCAAGTGGGTAGTTTGTGAAAGTAATGGCATGTTCGGCGGGCAAAGGCTGATTCCAGGACTCTGAGCTTGCCTGGAATTGGCCGCCGTAGAAGAGCTCACTTCGCACTGGGAGCTGTGAACGGAGCTTGGCTAATGCTGCTTCGAGCTTGGTGCGCTCTGCGGAGCCTTTCTTATAGAGAGGCTATGGTGGTGTTAGCTCGGGGGTGGCTGTGTTTGCTTTGCGGTTGAATGCTCACATTGGGCTCATTTCTTGCATCGGGAAGGCGAAATGGCATGGTAGTCTTGGAACGGGCCTGTATGGATAATTGAATGGCAGCGAAGCTCCGGCGAGGGCCTGTTGGCCGTGCCGAGCGAAGTCTCATCAGTGTGTTAGACATGTTGTATAGCCGATATTGGAGTGAACGAACGTAATTATGAAATAGTCTGGAATGAAGACCTCGTTAGCTTCATTTAAAGGCCAATGACCCCTCGTACAAGCATCGGAGACCTGTCCGTTTACCCCACACGATCTTCGCAGTCGGTGTATAGCTATGATAGCCATGGTGCACCAGATACACGGCCAATGCTCAAGAACTGCAACGTCGGGAGGTCGCCCGGTGCTCTACCAAAGCCCAATTGGGAAGTTTCGCCCTATATCTCCAAGGTAGATAAGCACAGCATTCGAGAGACCGATGTCTCGAAGCCGAAGCATCACAATGCAGGCCCATCTAGACCAGTCTCGCTGGTGCATCTCTCAAATGGGACATCTGGCAGGCGACGTGACAGCAGCCGCGGTCTCGGCATCTATAGTAACACCCGCCGTAGCGATCATCGACAGGTTAGGTCCTGACACTCCCAATTTAGGCTAATCCCGCGCTAAATGTCCATCCAGATCACTCGTCGAGCAATCCGCCTTCAACCAGCCCATTCTCCGTGGCCTTCGTCGGCACGCCCTCGGAGCTCTCCGACAACCAGGTCTATTCATCTTCCAACGACCATTCGGCATAGTCTGGGCCCTTTACGCGGCAACCTATTCCGTCGCCAACGTGACCGACACGATCACTCGCAAGCTCAAAATAACAGCGGCCGGGACGATCACATTCGCCACGACGATGCTGGCAAATGTGCCGCTGGCGTTGTGGAAGGACATGCGATTCGCCAAGGAGTACGGCATCGGCCCCGGTCCCGATGCCAAGACATCAAGATCAACGGTGCCCCTCCAAGTTAAGTCACTGGCACGAATGGCAGCTGCTGTCTTTCTCCTGCGAGATGGCGTCACTATCTTTGGCTCCTTTACCTTGGCGCCGTGGTTGTCGGATGCCATCCCCGATGACTTGGCTTATTCACCGGTGATTGCCCAGTTGACGGTGCCGGTGTTGACTCAGTTGGTGGCTACTCCGCTACATTTGTTTGCTTTGGATATGTATACAAGGCAGTATACTGTTCCGTTCTTGGAAAGAGTTAGGTATTCACAGCAATATCTCCCTTCGTCGACTTTGTTGCGTTGTGTTCGTATCGTTCCTGCCTTTGGGATTGGGTGCTTGGCGAATATGGAGTTGAGGGCTGCTTTGCATACGAAGCTTGCGTGATATAATCAAATTCAATTGAAGATGGCAGCTAGGTGTATGTATAAGTCGTTGGCTAGAGGAAGTTCAGAATTATCGTTTATCTAAGCTAGACATGATATTCTCTAAGAAGATGAAAGCGAAAACGCCGACTTCGTTCTTCTAAAAACCTCCGCCTTCAACGCCCGATACTCAGTGTCCGTCCGCAGAACAGCATCCCGATTCTCAATAGCCCGACGAAGAAGGTAGGCCAGACACTCCCCCAATCCTCCCCAAGTCGAGCACTTATACACCTCCGGAGTCCCATCACCATCATTCATCTGAAGCAGCGAAAAGCTCAGCTCATCAGACATGCCATGGAGCTGGGCAAAGCGCACAGGCACGGTAGGCAAACCAGACACAACACGGTGCTTATGCAGTTCATGGGCAGTCACCATACTCTCCCTATTGTGGCTAGCCAAGAAGAGGTTCACAGAGGGAAATGCCCGGCTACCCTTATCTCCAAAGTCTCCGATATTCCTCCTCAATGCGCCCTGTGCGATCGTGTTATATGCGTCGTCGGTATCCTGCTTCGAGTCGTGGATCAAGGACCGTTCATCCGTAGCCATGTATGCACCTCTCACGAGCTTGAGACCGAGTGTGAAGTTATCCTCGCTTGCCGCAGCGAGGTGGGTTGCCAGCGTCGCTGGGGTGCTTTTGAGGTAGGCCTGGTAGGTATTGTAGACGGTTGAATACCCGTCACGATTATATTTGCGCATGAGTTCCAGAGCAACGCGGGAAATGCCCTTTTGGAAATGCTGGGACTCGGCGTCGACCAGGATGCGGACTTTGCGGTCTTTGGCTTTGGTGCAGACTTCATCCAGTGCTTCCATCATTTGCGGCGGAGGTAATTCTCCTGTGGCAAAGGCCTCAGTGACGGACGGGCCGGCGCCGGTTAGTCTTGTTGAGTGTTAGGTTATAGTTCATGAAGACAGGATATGGCCATAGGGTGGCTTACTTGACTGCAATGTAATCTTCTGCTTCCGTCATATAGATCGTCTCGATTGTCCCCGCCTGCCAGGCTTCGATGCTGGGACACCGGACGACAGATCCATCCATTGAGACATCACCATGCTCATTTTTCAAGGCAGTGCCTTGTCCGTGTGAGGCTTGTGTGTTATGGTCGAACACCGTCTCAGCAGCGTATGTCAGAATCATACCGCGGAAACCCATGTCTTTCATCTGTTGGATTGTGGCTTTGCATTCTGCCCCATTCTCCCCAGCACAGAACTGATTATAGAACGTAGTCTTCAAGATTCCGTGCAAGATCGGATTTCGATCAACATCAAACAGCCAGATTCTGTTGGGCTTGGAGAGAAAGGACATCATCGACAGCGCCGGGATGAGAAGGAATCTCTTCGACGAGATCGTGGAGACCAGCAAAGATCTGAGCAAGGCGCGAGCCGGTAACGCAGAGAGAGGTGGTACTGGAGGACTTGGAGCTGCCTTCAATTGCGCAGGCACTTGTAGGGTGGAACAAAGGCGCAGCGTTCTTGAGACGCTGACATCATGTGTAGGTAGAGTCCATCGTGCGAGAGCGGTTAGAGGCTTCCTGGGAAGTGAGGGGCCCATTTCTTTGACTGTTGGTCTGACTGTAACATATCCCAAGTCGAATTGGCCGCAGAGCGGCCTTCTTTATCAACATACATCGGATACCTCGTATGGAGGTCGGTAGCCTCTCGGACAGGTGCCCGATGCCTTTGGTGAGTAACAGAACCCGCCATGCGGGGAAAGTACCTATGCACACTGCAATGTAACGCCTCCCATAAACGGCAAGGAGATGCCGGAGCCTGTTGGAAGCGATGGCTCTATTGGTAACTCAAGTGGTTCGTTTCGCGTAATGCCTGCTCGGAAGAGTGTCCGGCGGCGGGGTTGCTTTCAAGGTTGGTCCATGCTATCAACGGTTCTACCCACCGACAGTATCTATTTGGTTCTTATGGGTAAATGAGAGGGGAAATTGGGGTTTGCGCTGTTGGAGATCATATCTGGTTGCATAGCTGGCTGTTGATATCGTCTTGGAAAGGGGAGGTGCAACCTATTGAATGCTGATCAGATTCCTTTTTGGTTCCATGCACGACTTTAAGCTAATGGGATTTAGATTATTGATAGGGTAATGCCCTCAGACTCGATCCTTGAGGTTATCACTGTGTCTAGGGTTGGAAGTATTCACCTGCAGGTATACGAATCACCTGACGGCTGTATGCTGGGTCCACCACCACATAGGTCTCGCTCTCAGGCAGAATTCGAGGAACTCCGTGGGCAGATGAATGGGTTAGGGCCAGGCTGACGTGTTCGACGAGGTCGCGCAGATAGAGACGGATCCGACCGATGCGCGATACTTCTTGCAGGGACAGGGAGGCATTCTTGTACCTCTTATATGCTACACTTACTCGTCCATCTATTATAGGCAAGACTTTCCTGTACCGCGCGCTTTTCGCGCACCATCACGCCAATGGTGCCATTGTCCTCTGTGTAGCATCTACCGAAGTGGCCTCTCTGTGACTTCCTGGCGGCCGTGCAGCCCATAAGTGCTTCCGTGTCTCGTTCGTCTGCCATGAGTCCAGAACGTCGCGGAGCATACGGTCAACGGCATTGAAGACATGATTGTGCTGAGTTGATGTGCCGCGCGTGTTTGGTTATATGGGATGAAACGCCAATGGCGCATAAACATGTCTTCAATGCCGTTGATCGTATGCTTATGCTGCGCGATGTTCGCCATGACCTTCCTGACGCGAAGGATACCGCATTTGGCGGTATTCCTACAATGTTCGGAGGAGACTTTCAGCAGACCTTGCCTGTCCCCTCTGATGGCCTGCAGGACCGTGGGGCTACGGTAGCGGCATGTCTCCTCTACGCATCAGTCTGGCCGTTAATGTGTACTGGCCGCCGTCACTCACCGCGAGAAATGTTGATGTTGATGAACTCAACATTCAAACCTTACTCACGCTGGGTGACGGCGATAAGTACATCTTGACGGCCTTCAGTGATGCCAACAGAGAGAGTGCAGACGGGGTGGTTGACATCAGTGACGAGTTGACTCCACAGTATCTCCGATCACTCTCGGTGAATGGTCTTCCCCTTGGTGATATCCGCCTAAGGCTTGGTGCGCCCGTCATGTTTTTGCGTAACCTAGACCCCCTCAACGGTCTTTGTAATGGGACCCGTATGATCGTTACCAGCATCCGGCAGAGATTCCTCCAAGTATCTTCATAACTGGGTCCTGTGTGGGTAAAACGAGGCTCATATTATCTGTCAAGCTGCCAAGCTGTCATCGAAGGAAAGCCAGCTGTTATTCACCCTCGAGCGGTTACAATTTCCCAGTCATATATTCTTTGCAATGACGATCAACAAGTCACAGGGTCAAATGGAGAAATGAGTCCTATAGTGGATTCCCCGATATTTCGACCAAAGGACCCTCAGGTTATGGGCAGATGTTGTCCGAGAGAAAGCCACGTACAGTTGCCCATGTGCAGATGGTGAGATACGGAGATCGACACCCACATGGTGAAGGGATTGACCCTGTGACTTGTTTTCGTCATCGCAAAGGCTAGACGAATGAGAATTGTAAACGCTCGAGGGTGAATGGTAGTTCCTCTTCCTTCGATGAGTCGATGACAGCTTGACAGGAAAGATCAGCCATTCAGCCTCGTTTTACCCGTCCTACCGACAAAGGGAGATCGTAGTCGCAAAACCTTGTATTGAATCAATTCAATTGGTGCGGTACAAGATCACGAGACTTTATGGCCGCCGGCCCGCCGCGGCGCAGTCTGCGGAGCGATCCAGGGTCACACTCTGACTCACCACTTAAGATCTGCCGCACGTGATGTTATTGTTAGTCATGAGGTTTCTGTGTTGGAGCTTGTTACGCGCGATGTCCTGTTACGCGCGCCCCTTTCACCGCATCTCATACTCTCAAACCTTCACCCACCACTTCGCTCTCACCCGCGTTTTGGTTCTACGTCTTCCAAGAATGGATTCCCAGCCCATCTTTTGCACCAAGTGCAGTCGCACTCGTGCCATTGATGAATTTCTCGTCAACAAGCAAGGGAAGCGCAACAAAACTTGCAAGCGGCATTCGAAGAAACGTCCCCTGGAGATCGATGACTGGGAGAATTTCATTCAGGTCATTCGCAATTGGAATAAGCCAGTGAGTAATCTAAACTGACTACGCGAGTAACTTGTAGCTGATTACGCCTTGCTCATAGAACCACTCTGAAATACTGGACGGCACATACACATTCGCTTTGGATGCTCTACCGCTCGACTTTCGTTCTCTACCCGTCCAGAAGAATGCATTCCTTCGATCGGAGCTAAACACGGCAATGCGGATCTCATTGACCTTATTTGGGACGAAGGAAAATTTCGGTTCGTGCATATGACAACAAATGGCGCAGGCTCTTCATTTTCGTACCGCTGTTCCCAAGATATGATGAGTGTCAAAAAGTATGATCCTCCAGTGGAGCCAGAGAAGCGACGGGATGGTAAACGCATGGAGCGATTCCCATGCGAGAGCAGGCTCTGCATGACCCATTGTCTACAAAGTCGAACCCTCACCCTTTCGATCCGTCACAAATGGCATATGCCCTACGTGGATATTGAGGTACCACAAACGGTGCAGGACCTCATCTATGAACGCGGGTCAAGCAAGACTTCATCGGAGATATTGCGTGATGTTCGAGCCGTTCCCGAGGCGAAAGATGTGACAAGACAACAAGTCTATTATCTCTGGAAGAAAGTAAATGCTGAGATACGGCAGCCAGACTCTGATCCCTTCGCCTCAGCTACAATGCTCCTTTCTGAAGACAGCAATTCTCAAAATTAATAATTGTCCTATAGGCTATGGCTCTGTAAAAGAATCTTCCAGGAAAATATGCTTGTAATCCAAGTGCGCCCCGATTCTTTTGTTTGAGTTGAGCTCAGAGCCGCCAAAATGCCCGTAGAGAGGAGAGGAGAAAGACCAAGTCCACGAACATCACAGCTAAAATCAAAGTCGCAACACCAGAGCTTACAACTTCAATGGAATCACTCAGCCTTCTTGGATGCTTCTTAAGGAGATCCGAATTTCGCGCTTGAAGGGACCGCTTCAAGGCCGAATGGGCGCCTATTAAAAGTTAGTATTTTGCTAGTTTTGAGTAATTGCTTGCTTACCTTCCACTCGGGATGTCGAGAGCTCATCCAAATGAAAATAAGCCTTTGTATGAAACCGGAGGAAGGCCTCAGGGACCTGGGTTATCCATTCATCATAGATATACTACCGTAGGACCTCCCCATAAGGAGTTTCATACTCATCTCGGAACTCCCGCCAACGCAGATCATGTTCTTCCTGGGAGTGTGCGAAGAAGATTTGGTCCAGCTCCATTTTGATGGTCTCCCAGCGTCGATTGAGCTCATATTTATGGCTCTGAGATGAGCTCAATCGACGCTGGGAGACCATCAAAATGGAGCTGGACCAGGACCGGGCCGGTTGTTCAGCGGCAACAGCCACGTTGATCCGCGGGCGAAAACGGGCTTGGATATTCTTGATGATATGCCAATAGCATATCAACGTGTTAGTTCCTGGGAAAACATACCTAATAGCATTCCGTAGGGGCTTCTCGTTATCGGTCATGATTGTCAATGGGTGGGGGATTTGATGTCGGTCAAGGGGCCCTTTCAGCCACCGGAGCACTTGACTTCTCGCTCGTTGTCTATAAAGGCGAGTCCGACGTAAAAACTGTAGCCAACACTCAACAGGAGGGTCGCCGATGATATCAAGCAATGGGAAGTGATACCGGAAAGAAACCCTTGGACTCAAGAGACACTCGAGATCTTACACGTTTAACATTGTGAGTCTTTCTATAGCCTAGTCCAATTTGGCTACGCCGACACTCAGAATATAACAGAATCCCGAATTAACACCAATTGGTCGGGATATAAGAGTAGAGAGATATTGTAGATACATGCAAGAAAATGCCCTGGCAGAAACCCAAGGCCTCCTACCCCAAGCGATGTCAAACCGCCCACGGGTTTTAAGAGGCCAAAGAAATGTGCGTAGGTCTGGACGCTCCATATAAAAGTGTCTGCAATGTGAGCTGGAACTCGATTAGGCAGTGAAATGGCGTATGAAGATTCCGCGGTCCTTCCATTCTGCATGTCTTTTGGAGTTTGCAAATTTGGGACCTACATGCCTGCGCTTCCTGTGGTGCCGTAAGGGCTCCATTGCGCGGACCGGTCAAATCAATCCGGTTCAATCCTGCGCCAAGCCTCTCTTGGGCATCCATACCGGGAAATTTGGTCCAGGGTTTGGTGCGAAAGCCGTGATGGCAGAGTATTTCCAATGATCAGCCGTTGCCAAACGGTAGATAGGCGGCTACGCTGCCAGAGTGAAAGTCGTGTTCATTGCCGGGTGACGACTGTGAGAGTATAATCGGAACCATGACCGTGATGACATATCGCGGAAGACGGTGTTGATTCGAAATACATGACGCATCGGACCTAGAAGCTTTGCGCCGATACCGCCGCGGGCTATAATCTGTCAGCGATTGGTCCAAGAGGAAGGGTGGATAGTCTGCGAAAGTTGCCTGGGGAGAACTCGGCAAGGATACTCGGAGTATCGGCAAGTACTTGGGGGAGAGCTAAATAAGCAGGGGGGTATCCTTACAGGGCTGTTTAGCATGCTATTGCGCTTATTTCGGCCTTTCTTGATGTGATTCTTCAGAGCGGTCGAGTCCAAGGGCTTGAGAAGTTCAAAGCTGCAAAGGAGTTCGCCAGAAACTGACATAATAGCGCCCCAATTGTCAAACTCGCCGCAATACTGAATATGGTTAGTGTGAGCCTGGAGTAGGACACGAAGAGAACTCACGTTAGGCGCAGAGAAAACAGTCACCAGAATGCGATCCTGATAGAACTCATATCCATCCTCCACCACCATGTGAGCGCGGCAAACTAGGTCAAAGTCGTGGCGCTGCAAAAAGTTCATGATAACCTTCTTTCCAAAGCAGTAGCTGACACCACGCTCATTGGGTTCCCAATCTTCCTCCATATCTGCTGGGTCGCTCCACAAGAGGTCATTCAAAAGACCATAGTCGGGCACATCAGTAGGACGAGCGATACCACGGATATCATCCATGTGCGAAAGACTAGGTGAGAGACCTCCATGAACACAGAAAATTTTGCCAGCCACAATCGCAGCAATCGGAAGACAGTTGAAGGTATCGATGAAGGTCTTCCAGACTTTGATGTTGCATCGACGCTTGCACTCGTCGTAGAATCCATAAACACGAGTAACGTTGGCGCACTCGTGGTTTCCCCGCAGCAAAAAGAAATTCTCTGGGTACTTGAGTTTATAGCACATCAGTAGAAGGATTGTTTCCAAGCTTTGCTTGCCTCGGTCGACGTAGTCGCCTAGGGAAAAGGTAATTCGAGGCGGGAGGGAATCCACACATCTCAAACAGTCGAATGAGATCAGTGTATTGGCCGTGAACGTCGCCGACAATCTTCACAGGAGCAGACAGCTCCAGCAGAGCAGGCTGCGACAGGAAGAGCTCGCGGGCGGCAGTGCAAATAGCAGTGATCTCTGCATTCTTCAAGCAGACAGTTTTGGTGACCTTGGTGGAATAACCAGCATCCAAAAGTCGCGAAATCATATCGTCCAAATCAATGGATTTCAATGCGCCCATGCCCATTCCGGGTGACCCAGATGTCTCAAGGGGAGCATTCAGAATGAAGTCCAGGATAGGGTTCAGCTGATTCTCTCGTTTCATCAAAATAGATTCACCAGCGACCGGGGCAGCCCCGCTCGGGGGACCACCGGAGGGAGGGCCGTCAGACACAAGGTCGACTTCGCCGCTCTGCTTCATTGCATTCACATCCTTGTGGCCTCGTTGCAAGCTGGTGGAAAGCGAGGGGGATGGTGGGGGCTGAGGGGAGCTAGGCCGCGAAGCGCCCTCGGAGGCAGGCGATTGGGGCAAGCCGGCATTGGAACCGGGTCGACTTCCGACTGACTTCAATGATCCGGCATCAGATTTGTCGGTCTGGCTCTCGGTCCGAGAGAGAGCGGTGGTGGAGCCCCGAGGGCTGTCGGAGCTGCGAGCACCAGGGATTTTCGATCGGATCGACCCACGGAAGGAGCGAAGGGATTCCTTTGTGTCGGACTTGGAGAAGGAAGGGTATGACTGCAGAGAGTCGCCTGAGGCGTTGCTCTTGGAATGCGACTGACCCATCACTGTAAAGCTCGGGGTAACTGCCAAGCTTGTGTTGGGCTGATCGCACGAACGATGGACGTTGAAATTATTATGCCGAGAGACCCCTGTTGTGTTGCTGGAATGTCTTGGCGCAAGGTTTTGCAAGATGGAGGAAGCTTGGAAGGCTTTGCCGGGAATCTAGAAGGTATCTAATCAACCTAGTCGAATCGGTACTCTGCGGAATACGTGGGAGGCGAATGCGGAGACGTGAGCACAGTAGGTGGGCGAGCTCCGATGATCGAGGGACGAGATGGCTTGGTTGTTCTGGGGGGGGGGGGGGGGGGAAGGAGAAAAAATGCGAGATGAGTGGGAGACAAGGGCGTGGGAGCTCCCGGGTAACAGGAGCAAGCTTTCCTACAGTTCCGCGGTTAGGATCTTACACAGTACACAGAACAATGTGTGAAATTGTAAGGCTGACTCCAGATGCAAGTGGCATGTGGATTTGGAAAGGAAGAAGGGGAAATCAAAAGATGCAAGGAAGGTCCTTGACTGGATAAGAATTGGGAGTGGTGGGTTTGCGGGTAGTAGAGGAATGCGTCATTATGTACGGGGTTGTTTGCACCGGTGGCATTCCACAGTACTAGCAGGCAGACATGGATACAACTTACTTTTCAGGAGAAGAGAGCACAGATGGATAGATTCTTATGAGGATAAAAATGGAGAGAGGGGGAAGTTGACAACTTTGCAAGGTCTAGGTCAAAGTTGAAGAGAAGGTAGGCGAAAGTACTCCGCCACCGCTAGTACAGTTGGAAGGTACTTCCCTGGTACCAACTGCTCTCTTTCTGCGGGTTCTGTTTCTTAGGCCCGGTCTCGATCAGCTGGAGATGTCAGATTAGGTCAGCCGGACTATCTCCCGGCCCGAGCTATACAAAGAGAGTTGCCTGATTTAGAGGGAACCCGGGAAACAGAAGACTGAGTCTGGACTCTGATATTTATAGGCCGATATGGGTTCATAGGTCTCATGAGTGAAGTTCATGAGCTCTTTCAAAAAGGTTGTTTTTTAAGCTTGATCCGATCCTCGGAACTATGTTTCAGCTGGAGCTCCTTCTCGTACTTGTCTCTCACTCGTCTCGCACTTCTCTACACAGTAAGTTCTCATAGATGTCTGTCACTGCTCTCTCACTTGTCTCGCACTTAACCGTGAGTCTGCTCAGGATCTAATGACCTGTTAGGTTATTCCCAACTTCTAAGGCTTTCAGCTCCGTATGTGCTAAATGCTAATTGACTACAGTGGGTTCTTCTAGCCATGAAGATACCTCTTGGCAGCGTCACACTACCTGAGTTGGAGTGGGGACATTGTACGGTGTATTTTTTTAAATGCCATTGTCAATTGCGTTATCCTGATTACCTGCCAAGATATGTCCACGGTGACCAAGCCATATCGCCTTTCTCTATCCCAGGTCACGTTCGATTACAAGTTGAGCTCCCACTATGACCGCTCGATGTCTACATTGAGATTTGGATTTTGGCCAGCCACCTAGAAGGCCACACATAGCCAGTCGGATACCAAGACTCTTTTCCGAGCCTACCCGGTGATTCGCATGAGAAAGTAACGCCGAGCTTAGATCTCGCCACCTGGAGCATGCCTCCTATCATGCGTGCCAGCCTGCCAGGGTCCAGAGATAAAAGTGCAGCACCAATTGACTTATTGAGCCGAATCCAGAATCTTAAGCGAAATGACATATCACAAAGTTACACGTGCTGCGTATCAGAGCGTAAGCCTAACTACACCTCTGACAGTGGAAGACGATTTAGGACAGCGGAGGTCGACCAAGATACGCCCCACTCCACAACGGGTTCACAGGAGAAGCGGACAAAACCGATGGAGAGTCTTGGATCTGCATGAAAACAACCACGCTGCATGCCAAGACATCTCGATGGCGGAGACACCGCCTTTTTACCCCTCCATCCACCCCTTGTTGCCTAGAGCACTTGCCACATGTGTTATTCCCCGTAGTGTCCGAAACGCCTTGACATCCTCTGGACCTGCGGGCCAAGCCACCTGCGATGCTGCGATGCAGCTGTTGTGGTCCCAGTGCCATGTTAACAGGAGATCGGCAAGTGCTATTGCCTGCAAGCGAGCCTCTTGGCAGCCCCACGCCCAACGTGTCTCCTGGCGGAAGAACAGGGACTAGGGTCTTGTGGGCGCAGTTTTCGTAGGGCAAACCCCGGGCCTCCCCTGCGGCGTGTCGTGTAAGTGGGTGCAGCAAGTGGTGGTCATGCTGCGTGGGACTGCGGGGCAGCCGAGCTAGGCGTGTCATTTGAGAGATAGAATAGAGAAAGACCCTCTGAGTAGGAAATTGAAGGTCCTCTCGATATGAGCCAGGGCTCGAGCCAAGAGTTGAAGCTTACTCCAGCTCGATTTTTGTAATGTGTTGTCCAGGGATCACGATGAGGCCTATCAACCGGTGTGTCATGTTCACTTTCACGGTTGTGGCCTTTGCTTCCGAGGCTTCTTCCTGGGACTCCTTCTGGTCTGCGGCCGCTTGAACGGCTGAGGTGGTCGGCATACGGTATTCAAATGAATTTGCGAGGATGATGTTCCGGTCCTGTTGAGTATGAGATTAGCTCTGCTCGTAGCGCGCATTCCGTGCTACTCACCGCATCGGTACACTTGAACAACCCGACAAACATGCGAGTGTCGGTCGTATGAATCCGTAAAGTGCGGCCCAATAGCCTTTCCAGATACTGAACCGATTGATCGTTATCCATTGTGGTTGGTGGGTGCTTCGTGTCAGCAGCCAACGAAGTTCTAACGTGCGGGGAGTCGAAGTCTGAGAAGCGCTGAGAAATGGTCCGGGTAGGAGGGGAAACAATGTCGGTTTATTCGGGATTTGAGCAGTGTTGAGTGGGTTCTTTCGCTGTTCGAGGCTCTCCTGGACCCAGTGTTCAATCGAAGGAGGGACGAGGTCGGGGAACAAACGACTTCCCCAATGCCTGAGGCCACAATATAAGCTAATGGGTGGGACCGCAGCGGCCATTGCGCCAATTCAGGAAATGTGGAGAGAGCTATGTCTATAGATCATAAAAATATATGCTGCCCTGCATTCTGCAATGAATCCTCGCTCTTGGAGGTGTCTATATCCGTAACTTGAGGTAGTCCAATATCCCGCCCTAGTCAACCATGCCAGAGTCCAGACCAAAGATGCGGGGAATGATGAAACTCGCAACTTCAGACTGCCTCTGCATCTATTAGACCTGGTCTCGTCCTGGACTCCTGTGAATTGGTTATGCTAATTATCATGGTACGCCAACGTACATCCCGACGTCCTTGTCGGGCTTATAGATGCAGGCGAAAGCCATTGAAACAGTGAATGAAGCCAATTCTCCCGCGACGTCTGTTTATCGTTGGAAGTACGATTCCACGGGCCTCTATATTCCCTCAGGGTGCCATAGATGCCAACAACCAAGTGAGCTCATCTCGAGAAAGAAACATGCAAAGGAATACAATTAGCCGGCAACGCCTTGCCTAATGAATAAGATAGGTATCACGAAATAAATGAAGAGCTAGCATAGTCTCTCCTGATATAGAACAAGAACGCCCGTGGACAGTAATATCCCTTTGCGACCGAATTACCTCCAAGTCATGTCTCCCACCAAGGTTGGAGGAGTATGTCCAGATCCATCACTACCACTTCCACTGTCAATGTCCATTTCCATGTCCATGTCTACATCTGCGCCCATGGTATCGAACCCTGGGCTATTTCTTTCGCTTGCACTGCCCACAGAACTCGTCTGATCAAACGCTTGGCGTCGTAGGATATACTCTTGGGTAAGCGCAGTTTCATTGGCGCGCGGCGCAAGGGCTTGACGGGAAGGTCGGAAGGGGGTTGATCGCTGGGTTGTTTGTTGGAAGAATCGATGTAACGTTTGCTGCCGAGGATCGACGGGTTCTGGTGTTTCGGAAGTCGGCTCTGAGTCCATTGTGTCCATATCGGTGGGCTGTGGTTGCTTTTGTGCGGAGAAGATCCATCGTAGTGTGTTCTCTGCGAGCTGTCAGCAATCATGAATGGCGATGCGATCAGGGAGAGCGCATTGAGGTTTGGATGAGTTACTTACGGTATATCACTTCGTCACTGGGACGGTCATCTCTGAAGCGCTTTCGCGTCCGGCTGTGGAGGTGTGTGTTGCCATTGATTGCCATGCCCCATTCGCTTGGAGCTGGGACTCCCTGGCTGGTCGGGAGAGCTGTGAATGAAGCTTTGCGCTTGAGAGACATGTTGGAGCTTGTCGGAGTGAAGGAAAGAAAGGTTGATTCTAACTGTACGTATAGAATTGGGGGTTAAGGGAGGAATAATAATAAGAGAGGTGTCAGAGGAGCTGAGAGGAGAGCTGAAGGATGCGAGTGCCATTGGCTGGGCGCGTCAGTTTACGAGATTCGCGTTGCATTTCCGTCAGGCTAAGCCTAATAGGGTATAATATTGCTCTACGTCCCTACAGTAGTATCCCTACAAACATGGACTCTACATCGATGCGACGGGTTGGGCATTTCCGAGGATTATACTGCGTATAATATGGTTTTTCTCTCATAGCTGCGCTCAATTGAGGTGCTAAGCTCGCGATATCAAAGCTCATGGCTTCAGATGATTACTCGGATACCTTACAAATCGTCATTCCTTCGGTATCCAGGACTACCGGCTGTCCAAGGAAATGAGGTATGTGGTAAGTTCAAAGTGATAACCTTCATATTCTCTCAGTCTCGAAAATATCCAAAATCAATGCCAGCCTATGCCGTATCTCGGCTGGGAGCCTGGGAGGCGCTGGTTGGGCGTTCGGGATTCCCCCCACCTATGATTGTCTTCCCCACTTCTCTTGGAGATCGCAGTCTAACCTTCTACTTCTACCACTTCCAACGGACATTAGCTTATTCACTTACACTCAGCCATGACAACTCGAGAAGCCTCTCACTCTGGGTCTTGGTACTCAAGCGATGCCCACAAACTATCTAGGCAGCTAGATGGCTGGCTGGGGGAGGTGCCAGACACCATGGACAAGGTCGGCTCGCTGCCAGCTCCAGGAGCCAGAGTGGTTATTGCACCGTATGTCTGAGCCCTCAGCATGTAGTTGATGGGATCTAGCTCAAAAAAAACTAACCTCGCAGACATGCGGGTTATGCATACTCGGGCCCCTGTGCAGCCTATGCATACAAGGCGCTGGACCTCTCCAAAGCGTGAGCTTATCTCCCATCTCTGTCTTATGAGATACCCTTCTAATGCCGCATCTAGAAAGCGAATCTTCATTCTAGGGCCCTCACATCATGTCGCGCTCTCCACATTAGCTCTTCCATCACTGACTTCCTACCGTACCCCTCTATCCGATGAACCCCTTCCACTAGACACCGAACTTATTTCCCAGCTCTCGGAGAAACAGGCAGTGAAACCTGACGGGTCAAAAATCTCCTTCAAAGTGATGTCCCGTTCGGTAGATGAGGACGAGCACAGCATCGAGATGCACCTGCCCTACATCCACCGCTTGCTTCAACTCCAATATCCAGATGCCCCTGCGTCCGAGTACCCACGCCTAGTACCAATAATGGTCGGGAATACCTCTAAGACAACAGAACAGGCATTCGGGGCCCTCTTAGCCCCCTACCTGGCGGACCCCGTCAACGCGTTCGTCATAAGTTCGGATTTCTGCCACTGGGGTACCCGATTCGGCTACACATACTATGTTCCACAAGCTCCCAAGCCAGGACCAGAGCTCCCACTGTCTGACGATGAGCTTCCACAACCCGGAGTGGACTCAAGCAGTGTTAGTCAGGCCATCGAGATGGTATCGGCGGGTCGTTCCTTGCGGGACCGCGATCGCCTTTCCAGCCAAGAACCTGCCATTCATGAAAGCATCTCGGCATTTGATATGGCGACCATGGCTGCCATCACGACTGGGTCTTCGAAGTCATTCCTTGATGTCATCGAGCGCACGGGTAATACTGTATGCGGACGCCATCCTATTGGGGTCATTATGGCAGCCTTGGAGATCGTCACAGCAAGTCGAGCAGCTGACGAGCAAGGACGATTCTACTTCCTGCGGTACGAGCGTAGCTCGGATGCTACACGGGTAAGCGATAGCTCGGTGAGCTATGTCTCTGCATTTGCTGTTCTCTAAGGCGGTCCATTGAGCTGGACGGTAGGGCCTGTTCTTTTGTTTTTCGAATTCCTATGATATGCGCTAGCTCTAGCATCAATCATGAAACAGTCAGTATGGTAATGATGAGGCATATATACTACAATCCTATTCCCCCTGATGTGGGTATCCCAATATGGATGTTCAACAAAAACATTCGAGGGCGCGCGTCGACCCGACAATATGGTTACTTCTTCGTGTCGCTTGAACGACTGTAACATCCTAATATCACAGACGTAGAAAGATGCCAAGCCCTATTACTAGTGCAAACAGCCTTCAACCGGATTTTTCCACCACAGCTTCCCCGGATTGTGATCAGCTGATGCTCGGCAGATATCGACGGCTTCTAGATCTTTCTCCTCTGGTACCATTGCGACAGAGATCTTATGTAGAGCTTGAACTCGCTCCATAGATATCATTACCTACCTGCACGACTTCTGCCGGCTGTTATCGCCGCATACAGGCATAGTGCCTCAAGATTGGTGGCCGCCTGCATCTGTTGCATCTACAATCTCAATGCTTATGTCGGTATTCTGCCGGAGACCCCTGTCGACCGGCTACAGCCGGTTGGGCTGAGTAACAATAGGTGGCTCGGGCAGTCTCGTTGTCCAGATCTAGGGCATGAGCGAGGGATTTTGAAGACTGGGATATAGCGCATTTGGGAGAGTCTACTATAGTCCCTATCAAGGTAATGGTTAGTCTTAACCAAGACTTAAATAAAGATACAAGGAACCTTGGGATCGGGGCGGTTCCGGCGAAGCTAAAAAAAGGGGTTTTCTTATCTTCAGATCTTCAGAACTACCTACACCGTATGAAGCCCTACGTGCTTGACGGTGTAGATGATAACTGAATAGCTCACGCTTTATCTGTCTACACCGACTCTTCACTATTCCTCATGATTCAAGCAACTTAGCGCTGACCGATCGGATTGACGGGAACTCTATGCAAAGGAAATGTGCCCGAGAGCCTGAATCTGATCAGCAGGACAATTGTATCGGCACTATTTATGATCCGGCTGTTCTGTGTCAATGGGATGGAGTTTACTTTTTGATTCTCGTGGGGAGGCACAGCTTCATACCCGGCAATGGCACGCATGAAACATGGGGTCTTTTCGTGGGAAGATGTGCTGGCTCAGCGGTATCAGAGTAAGCGACTACCAAGAACCCGGCCTTTGGACCTTTGAGATTCCTTTCTGTGATCTACTGCGTTGTTGATTCTCCCATTTACCTCTTATTCACTGTCTTTCACCTGTACAAAGCTAACAATGACCCCAAACCATCAGGTAATAAACCCCCACCTCTCCTACATCGTCAAACAATAGAAGCCGCCGAACCACAACCTCAAAGCCGACTCCTAGCCCGGCTATCACAGGAGCTACGTTTAATGATCTGGGGCTTCGTCCTGGCAGACCAAAGAATACACATAATCCAACTCACCAGACAGCGTCTTGGGCACGTAGTATGTCCATGTCCACTCGATTTGACCAAAACCTCAAGATCGTCGTCGCCGTCACCGCGCCCAAAACACCACACACGCCAGGATAGCGCATTATTCTGCGAAATATGCCACGGCCCCGGAATCGCCCAGCCAGCAAGAGAAAGCGACCTCATGCGCGTCGGCAATAAGTTCAAGCTACTGGGTCTGGCCTTGACCTGTCGGCAGATGTATGCTTGAGACATTTAGTTACCTCCCATTCACCTACCTACTAACCCATTTCCCCCAAAACCCCAGATACCACGAATCAATCCCCCTCGTCTACACCCTCCCAACCCTCGAATTCAGCAACCCGTGGACCCTGCCCTACCTCCTCCCAACAATCCCCCCAGAAACCCACGCCCAAATTCGCAAAGTCGAGCTCCGCTGGTCTTTCCCCGGCCACTGGCTCCCAAGCAAAGACTCCGTGCGCGCGGTATACGTATCAGCCGGCCGGGCGCAGTGGACAGAGACGTGTCTGGCCCTCTCGCAGCTGTCGTCTCTGCGCTCGTTCGTGTTAGTGCTAGAGAGTAACTGGTTCTGCGAGCCGGTTGAGAGATTGGTTGGGTTTTTGGAGCCGTTGAGGGGGATTGTTGTGAGATCGGTTGGGCGGAGCTGGAAGCGGGAGGAAATCGATGCTGGGGTGGATGGGAGTGAATATCGGGGTCATGATTCAGGGTCCGATGGCTCGACTGGTAGGCTTAGTTTTAGTTCCGATGAGGAGTCTTGCGGGAGCTTGGGGTCTTCGCTTTCTACTGTTGGGGGTTCTTGTACGAAGTCGAGATTCGCCGGGGCTCTGTCTCGGTGTGTTGGTAAGTGGGAGCTGAGGCTACAGGGACAGTCGTATTATCGAAATGAATTGGACTGGGTGGCGGATGATCTTCGGCGGAGAGGGATAGAGTGTTGGATATCAGCGGTGTGAGGGAGGTAAACTATGCTTATCTTTTCATGGATTTCTCCTTTTTTTCAAATGATCGTCTGTCTGTTGTATGTGTGTCTACACAGTAAATGTTCTTTTGGATGTATGTTTTCATGATGTACGGAGTACCGTTGCACGAATTATGTACTGTGGGTACATTCTACGAAGTAAAAAGAGGTGACAGTGAAAACCACAACTGTACGTGGCTTTTGGAGTCAGTATCGTTGTCTTCGAAGATTTGTGGCAGTTTCCCAGTCAGGGCATAGCTAGCCAGAAGGCCTCTTATTTAAAATCTGTATGCACCATTGAGTATGTATCTCAAATGTAGCAAATGAGAGGTGACCATTCTATACAAATCCTCTGTTTACATCGCATTCCCCCTAACCCGTTCGAGAGTGAGACTCTGGACCCACTGGGAGGAGCCGGCGAGCTATAAATAACGCAGGGCCGTGCAATATCCCCTCAGCCAGGTACCGATGAGCAGCCAGTGAGCCACAGGATAAACATTGGTGATATGCTAAAACCTCTAGCTTCTTCATTCGGGAAAGCCGCCCAAAGGCACTACCAGCCAGGAACCAAACATCTCAATTGATAGGACTATGCTTGCGTGTTTTGGTCGTACAACACTAGTTACAGCTCTTCTTCTTTCTTGAGCAGCTATTGTGAAGGCTTATCGCATTCAATTCATCTATACGCGGCAGCAGCAGCCGACCTAGATACGGCTATGCGTGAAAAGGCGACGTTGGGATGAAATCCATAGTTCTACTGTAATTCAAATTAATTGGTTACACAAATTCTTGTTTACCTACTGAGATATTACAGGGCCAGTCAATAAAAACGCATTTTTTGCAATTCGTTGGTAATCGCGCTAATTCTGCCTCCCAGAGATGGACGACATCTGGAGAAGAGGGGGATAGAAATCCATTTGCAGTACAACTCAAGCATCATCTTCCTATGACAACTCATGGTGATATCATCTACAAGCTTATCTGATTCACTCATTCCAGTGCAGAGCATTATGTGTGTGTGATGTCGCCAGGGGCGAAAAAAACCTGACCTGGGGGATCCACCGGCTGGGGCTGGCGCTAAGAGCGCGGGGAAGATCGCACATCATAATCAAACCGGCTCGGGCAGGCTAGTATTTTATCGTAAGATACATGCTCTGGAATGATTAGAGAAAATGTGTGGTATTGTATGTAGGTGGTGGCCCATTGGTGGAAAGAAGTGCCTAACAAAACTATTCCGTAAAGCAGGAAATGAAATGGACCTTTAATCATGGTCAGGTATATAAGCAATTGAGAACAAAACATAAGATCGAACTGGCGATCCTGCCAGAACATGCAAAAGAAAAGATCATAGGCAGTGGCTGCGTCCGTGAATCGTACAACATGCACCGCCAGGGAGTTCCAAAGGATATTAGAAACGAAGTTTGATGCGCCGTGCAAGACCATGCTCAAGCAAATACCGTGTATAACCCATATTAAGTGCAAGATGCTCAGAAGAAATCTGGCTCCAGTGTGGTATCTCAGAACAAAATGAGGTAATGTGAAGCGTCAAGAAGATTTGTGAAATCAATGATCAGGGGTTGGACAATTTCGATCAACAACGACAGCCATTGTAAACAGCAGACTGGAAGTCTGCTTGTCCGAGTCTGCGGTCGCACATGCTTGAATGGTAGTCAATACAGCATGGTCCGAATCTTGAGGCTGACCCCTGAAACGGATATCAGCGACATGGGCGAGGGGCCCGGCGCGACCGCAGTGGCCGTCGTTGGCCAGATTGCCGAATAACTCATCGAGAGTCGCAGCCCCGGTCAGTCTTCCGGTGCGCGAACGGTCGGCTGCCGGGGGTGCAGGTCGCGCAATCGTTCGATGAGTGGTGTGGCTAGATGCCAGAGGATAGATGTGATGCCGGATAATCGGCGGTAGTTTACCGTCCTTCGGGGGCACGGTCGGGGCCTGAGTGACCGTGGCCTCGTGTGGCAAGCACCTCCGCCGAAGCCTCCTGGCGAGCACCTGGGTGTTTCTGGTCCTCGGGACGACCGGTAAGGGCCCGGGGGAGCATCTTGTTGATCTCTGATGCCAGTGCAGAAGCCATGTAACACCGGAGTTCCTTCTCTTCGCGCTCGTCCTCCTTGATCAGGCGGCGCTGATCAGTCTTCGACATATTCTCTCGGCGTTTGCGTCGAATTTCATGGATAGTCCACAAGACGACTTCCTCGGGAGCACGGGTGCGAGGACTTCCGTGTCGGGAAAAGCTGCGGACATAGCGGCGAGTGACGTCGGTCGCGCCGTCGATCGAAAAAGCCACGCAGTAGGAAATTTTGCGTTGCCATCCTTCCGTATACAGGCGAGGCTGGTCCCAGGCACCCTCGCAGGCGTCAACGTGGACCCATCGGCGCTGGTGTTCCGAGTACACTTCGGTCCAAACATAATCCTCGGAGTTCCACACCCAACGGACTCGGGCTCCGACGGCGCGGCAGAACATACTGAAGCAGTTGGCCCATTCGCCCACTCGGCCTCGTCGGGATTGAAGCAGTTGCCATACATCGGAATACCGTGGGAATCGCTCATCGGCGGCGCAGCTGGTGTCGGAGCAACGGTACAGTTCGACCCGGGATGCGCCCCGGGCGGTTTCATCGGGGGAGGGAGGCGTCATGCCTTGAGCAATCGTAGGCATGTGGCACTTGGAGCACGGCGGGTTGTTGACAAATTGGAAGAAAGATCCCTTGAACCATCTGATTGGATAGTTATGTGAGCAAGGGCGCAATGAGTCTAGACCATCTAGGGGTTTTAACATACCTGAGCAATGCTCGGATCACACAATCTTGGTAGCCCCATTCCGCCTTCCCAGACACGCTGGCGGCCTGGGCCTGCATGATTTGGGATTCCTCCTCGGCCTCGGAATACAAGCGATCGAGCGGAATAACGCACAGGGCTTCGTCCAAAAGACCTGGGTTTTCGTATTTGGTCGGCGTCACTGATAGCCCCTTTAAGAAATTCGAGAACTTCAGCGAAGCTGCATCCTGAGGCGGCGCTGGCATGACAGGAAGACCACGTAGTGCTGATGAAGTTGTTGAGGGCTTTGGAGACGGCAAACTGGCAGGGGCGCCGAACGCAGGTGGTGGTGGCGGAGCTCGCGAGGGCGGCGGCGGAACCGATGAACTGGACATAGGGGATGGTGATGGTGATTGAGTACGCGAGCGAGATTGTTGTTGAAGGCGGTTGAATCGTTTGGTGCGCATCAGTTGCTCAAATTCATGAGTAAGTGTGGTGGCATCGTATTCCTTCGGAGCAGGCTGAGCTGCTCGGTGTCTGCCGTCCGCCATAGTCGATGAGGAAGTCACGGCAGACTTCCAAGAGAGTTAGTGTTGAGATCCAGAATGACTCGATATAGGCGAAATGAGTCGGGATTGGGCGAAAGAAGGTCAATTTGACCCAGGACGGAACGGGGGAGTGGGATTGGTAAGAAAGGGAGGAAAACCAAGGTCGGGGAGGAAAAGTAAAGAAGGGACTGCCACGCCTGAGTTGACGTAGCACTTGAAGATCACTCTCTTAATCGGAGAGTCAAGAAAGAAAGAAAAGTCCCTTGGAAAGAGTGTGTGCCCAAGAAAGAGAAGAGAGAGAGACAGAGAGAGTGAGTACGGAGTAGCGTACCGCAGTATTACGAGCGTCGTCAGCATCTCGCCCCAATCACGGGCCCCGCGGCCAAGCCGCGTGTGCAAAAGGGAAACAAGCTAAGAAAAAAGACCCTTTTTCCCCGTATTTTCGGTAATTTTGCGTAATTTTTGGCTGCTTCGTCCTCCCGTGCACACGTAACGTTCACATCCCAGATTCATGGATCGTTGCTAGTTTCCTCTTGGCGGTCTCTATACTTTTATGGCTTGAAGGCTTCTATATCGTCCAGGCTCTTTTTGATCTGGACTGATTTATCTATTGATCCTGATCTGTTTTGTCATATTCTGAGTTGCTCAACATGCAGGTGTACTACAATCATGACTTTCGAAGTATTACGTGGCTGAAGGCCTTCCAGGCTGGCCAGGTCCACTGTCCATCCGCAGAGCGTTGGTCATCAACATGATAGACGGGTTCATGATCCATCCATGGATGTTGAGTGCATCAACGAAGATCAATACCCTCGGGGTTCACAAGGCGATGATCCGAGCTCGTGCCGTGCTCGGCCGGTACAAGTCGTATATATTGTACGGTGTAGGGCTCTGAGCCTCTGTCCGGTTATCAAATGACAGTCACTAAAATGAAGGAAATAAAAATGAAGAAATATTAAGGAACATAAGGCCTACGCGCGGCCATGGTACGAAAATCTATCTCTGCTGCTTTCCATTTGAAAGGCTGGAGACGCGCAAGCGTCCGTCTTGGCATTTTGTATGATCGAGGGCTAGAGCCTCCCCCTAAGCCGCTTGAGGCGGTGCTGCTGGCCGAAAGGGGTATGGCGTCAGTCACTATGAAGGGGGAGCCGGTCTTGGCATTTGCTTTTCTTCTTGTCGCACTCTAGAATACCCTGGCATGAATGTCCCATGCAACGTGAGATCTCATGGAACCGTTCATCTCGATAGGAATGTAAATGTGAGATTCATACTCCGATCCCAACATTGCAATTTTCTACGAAGTATAAGGACGATCTACACTCCCTATTGGCGGGTCATGAGCTACGCATTACGCATCGAACCCGCAGGACAACAGGATCTCGTCCATCATCTTCTGCCAATCACATCAGCCCGGGTGAATCAGCCGATCCGAAAAAGACCCTGAAAACTGTGAGACTCCAGTCGCGGTCGGGACCGAAAGCTCGTTTCTCCTTTTCAATCAGATCCATCGTAAACACCTGTTCCGTGGCTCGGAGTCGATCTACAACCCGTCTCCAGGACACGTACGGAGTACAGCGATTCGGCGCACCTTTCCTCGTCCGAACTACAGGGGCATATGTAGTGGAAGAATTGATGTGCAGAATGAGACCGTGGATTCTCTTGATACAAATCTCGCAGCATACATTACTAGTATCATCCCAACAATTCAACCTTTAACTAACTTAGACCATTTGATTGCAACGCTACTCCGTACTCCGTAGTAGTATGGCCTTTGAATTTTACTAGGCTCAAACGCGGCTAAGATGAAACAACGGTAGCTGATCGGTTTCCCCGGATAGAATGACTCGACAGTAAAATTCCCGAGTGAGCCAAGCGATAGATTGCAGGGCTGAATCTTGGAGCCTGTGGATGATCGAAATAATGGTATTAGGTAGTATTAATATTATGGACCAATTGACATACCGCAATTAAGGAACCCCAACTCCGCTGGATAGTAGTTATTCGTAGAGCCGGGACAGCTAATGCCATCCAAACCTGTCAAACCAGGCTTTTGGAAACAGGACCTACCACGGATAGGAGGCTTCCCCAACCCCTGATTCATATACAAGGCAGTAACATTGGGTCGCTGACAGTCCGATGCTTAGCCCGGATGGCGCGAGCGTCAGAAAACCGGGGCTCTGACTGGAGCCACATGGTGAATTCTTTTTTTGAGGTGATCACCGTTGACTTGATAGGTATCTTTGTGGTTGTCTTCTACTATTCATTATAATCTTTCTCGTTGCAAATGACACCAATGACAAACATCCAGTTAGCCAGAACCTGGCGAAAGGAAAATTGGTGCGCAATACGGAGTACGCAAGGCTCCCATCCCGGCACTCGTGGGCCCGTTGCAATGAAGATCAGCACTCCAAAACAATATCAGGGGGAGAAGTCCAGAAACCCACAGCCAAAAGCAAAAACAGTTCTGGCTTAACAAGCCGACGAGCCAATGATCCCCGGACGCCAAGCGCCAAGACCCTCGCATTTCTCCTGAGTCTCTAGGTTTGAGTTTATTGCTTGAATCATATCAAACTAAGACATTATTGCTTAGCTTAACTAGCATCCTGAGACTGTTGACGTATCTGATGAGCTTGGCTTTGCCCATTTCAAGATGCCAAGACTATATATACCATGCACCACCAACGCTCTATGCCCGTGTATGCATATTGCATAAGCTCATGTCGAGTTTACTCCCCCGGCTTCCAATTCCACGCGTTGACGCCCGTTCGTCAACTGCCCCTGTCCATATCCCGAAGATCTGTCAATCAGTGACGCTGCCAGGGCTGTCGTATTCCCATAATAATGTGGTGTCCGTGCCAAAAAGACAGAGAGGACGCTTAAGGTGGCTCGTTGTAAGCTGACCTCTTGAGCCTAGCCTTGCATTGAAATTGAACTGGTGGTTGACTACAATACATGGGAGCTCGGGCATGTTGAGATTCTTCACTTGAGAGACAGAGAGAGACTAGGACGAATGTGTCGGGACTCGGGAGTGTGGCGCTGGCTAGAGCGGGCCGAAACCAGTCATGCGCCCAATCCACTTTTGTTCTGTGGCTTTTACAAGTCACGGACCACGGTGCGGGTGCGTAAGATATTTCCTCTGCCGGGTGGCCGGGTGGGGCTTTCTCATTTAGCTGCCACCGCTTTTCGAGGGCGCTCAGAGTCAGGCTCACGAAGTAAATTTCAGTCTGGGCTCAGAGCCCCAGGAGTCAGTAATTGAATACTCACCCGACTTATTGCTCACTGACAGTGACTGAAAGTGATGTTGAATTGTTGATGCTCGTGTTCTATTGATGCCCGGTAACTGGTTCCCCATCGGAAGGGTATTGAACAGGGCGGTAGTTTTCGCCGCCAAGAATTGTCGAATCCCTGATTTCCTGCGGGAGAATGAACTCTGCTTTAACTAGAGTGAGGAGTGTCTTTTTCCTTTTCCCGGCCATCTGGGTAAGGATACAGGACTGCTAGAAGTTCTGAAACACCACTGCTATCGCGGCCGTATCCGATGGGCGGCCTAAACAGAGGCCCCGTCAGAGAGGAGCCTCCGAAGATCCATCCGCTGGGCCATCAGCTCGTGTATGCCATAGTAGAAATGCATTGCTTTTTATTCGAATTTTGTCCCAGGAGTAACCGACAAGAATGGAAAACAACCTGGGAAGCAACGCCTTTGCACTATGGCATACACGAGTTGATGACACCTTGAACCCCCGGATACCCCCAGGTGCTCGTGTTTTGAGAGCTTGGGCATGTTCTGCTTGATGTCCAATGTCCCTGATAGCTTCCCAATCAAACATATTCACTTCCTGTGGCATTGTAGCCATTCATTCCGCAAGATCAATTATGGCTTGCTTGTCTATATTTCCCGGAACAACCCAATGCATTCGAGCGGTGTTAATGGCATATTAGGCTATTTCCCGTGATGAAAACTTGATGCAGTTTTCATATGGATTCGCACCTCGCCAGAGAATGATATTTCCACTGGGAAGAAAGCGGTGATAAAAGGTCAAGAGGAAACGCCGTATGAACGTCCGCGTCATGGCTGAGAACTGGACACACGCTTTGCTGGACCAGGTGCTGGGATTTTCTGGCTGACAATTCTAGCTAATATCTGGAGGAAGTGATCCCAGGAACACTAGCATGATGTAGACCATGACGCGAACTTCTCGTTATACTGAGACCGATGATTTATTTCCTCACTTTGCAGAGCACGGCATGTGAATGCATTCGAGGCCTGTGACAGGGCACGCGAGAATCTTTGCCTGATTGTCGCAGTGTATGATGGTCCTGGGATCGAGTCAGCACCGAAAATAGAGAATTGGGACAATGAGGGAATTTATGTTCGGGATATTGAACGGACGGCCGCACGGAGCCTGTATCGTGAAGGAAAGATCGGATGGTAAATTGTGGGGAAGATGAGATATTCAGTCTCACACAACTTACAAGTTGAAAGGCTGGTTGAGTCGACCAACTGGAACTTCAAAGACTGAGGTGAGAGGGAAACCATTCTGCAATTTGAGCTTTAGTCCGAACATCCAAAGAAAGCATTGTTTTCTTGTTTAAGAGTTGCTTTGGGAATATTTCCAGCCACAACATCGAGTCACTTCGACTCACTTCCTCGACAACATATTCCGGCCGACAATACTTGTTTGACAGTTTGATCTCGAATACCGACAGCATCATAATAACATCATCAATGTGTTGGCTTTGCGGATATGTAGCAAGGAGAATACATAAATACCGTATCAATGATTAAGGTTACGGGTAGTTGTGGGGCACATTGGCCAATCGGTTAGAGCCGAGGCCGAGTCAGGTGCGGGCCACCTTACCTACTAGTAGTATTAGTTAGCCATTTGCCAGTTCCCTGAGCCCTTACCCTATGCACCGATGGAAGGAGCAATGGACTTCCTTCCGCTTCAAGATGGCAACACTCTCTATGCTCAATCATCTACCTTTGTCTTACTCTTGCATCTATCCTGAACTGAAATGACCATCATTTCCCAGATACTAGATCCAGTCACAATTCGGTCCCATGAGGGTCTTCATCGCATCCGTGTAAGTTCCTTCACTTCCTTCTTCACCCCGGCGCTCAAGAAATCTGATGTGGTTTAGGTTTCTTCCATACACTATAGACTTCAAAGTGACAGAGAGCCAACAAAGAGCAGATGATTCGTCAGTTAGCAATGCAAATGTTGATGGATCAGGATCTATCGTTGGCCGGGCCCCGCCCTCTTCTTGTCGAAATCATCCTCTGGGCTGCATCCCTTTGACACCCGGGGCCACAACCGAAAATGAGACGGTCTTCCAAGGATATACCTGGAGTCTGGCAGATGAGATTCCAATTGCCAATGACCGACTGTGCCACGGCCCCAGCGAGCCTCGTGCTATTACTTGGGGCCGTAGTCGCAGGTTTAATCAGCCCCGATCCAAGGCGACCGGCCCTCCAACCCCATCCATTTTGAGCAACCGCGAACCACCGGGACAGAGAAGACACCTATCCTTGGATGGCTCCCAGGACAGATGGGACAACGGAGACTCCAGCAGCCCAACTTCGCCGCTCTCCGCTACTGAGTGGGTAGTCAAGGCCGCTGAACAAGGCCACGGTGGTCTACAAAATGCCATCCATGCCGCTGAAACTGCAGGCTTGCTTGATAGTAAGATGTGGGTGGGCACGCTGGGTATGCCCACTGATTCATTGACAGATCCCACGAAGGGGGATATTGCTAAGACACTCCGGGATGACTATGAGTCTTTGACTGTGTTTGTGAGTGACAGCGAGTTTGAGGGTCATTATACTCACTTCTGCCGCGCCGTACTTTGGCCAGCTTTCCATTACCAGATGCAAGAGAGCCCTCGGCGTACTGAATATGATGGTTACTCTTGGGGTCAATACCTCAAGCTCAACCAGGCGTTTGCCGAGACAATCACCAAGCACTGGACGCCAGGTGACCGAATCTGGGTCCATGACTATCACCTTCTTATTCTTCCTTCCCTACTGAGGGAGAGACTACCCCAGGCTGAGATTGGATTTTTCTTGCACACCCCGTTCCCGTCCTCTGAGATCTTCCGCTGTTTAGCTCAGCGTGAAAATCTGCTAGATGGGCTTCTAGGTGCCGACGTGGTAGGATTCCAGACAGAGGAATACTCCAGCCACTTTATGCACTCCTGCAGTCGGTTGCGGAGACTGGAGGTCTCTACTAATCAAGTTCGTTTCAACGACCGTCTTGTGACCGTTGTGAACTCTCCATTGGGAACTGACTCTCTCTCACTATACAACTTACGCCAATCTCCCGAGGTGAAAGGTTGGATATACAGTTTCCAACAAAGATACCATGGAAAACACCTGATTGTAGCGCGTGATCGATTGGATGTACCCGGAGGGATCAAGCACAAGCTCCTGGCATATGAACTTTTCTTGAAAAGCTACCCGGCATGGAGAGAGCAGGTAAGTTGGTGACATACAGTGTCTGTGACCATTTGTAACCTTTTCTCCAGGTGGTTCTAGTCCAAGTGATGTCCTCGGTATCTGGCACCCCAGAACTAGGGGCACAGGTGGCCAAAATTGCAATGAGAATCAATACGACATATGCAACCGTAACACACCAGCCCTTGGTGCTAGTCCAGCAAGATATCTGCCACTTGCAGTTCATCGCCCTACTCAGCGTTGCGGACATTTTGATGGCCACCAATCTGCGGGAGGGCATGAACCTGACCAGCCATGATTTCATTGAATGTCAAGACGGGAGCCTCACATCTCACCAACACGGATCTTTGATTCTGAGTGAATTCATCGGTAGTGCTTCCATTTTCCGGGGTCATAATCTTCTCGTCAATCCGTGGGACTACAAACAATGTGCAGATACAATCAAGATCGCTCTTGAGCTGTCGCCAGCGGAGAAAAAGTCCAACTGGGACTTTTTGTACAATTGCAAACTGCCCTATAATGTTCTCGAATGGTGCAAAGGCTTACAGTACGCCCTTACGAAAGCCCATGACGAGCAACGGGTTCGTCAGGCACACTATATCCGTTTGCTGTCAATTCATGACCTGAAGCAGGCGTACAACGCCGCCAGGACTCGGATCTTCTTCTTGAATGATGTGGCAACTTTTGGGCCAGCTTTCGGAACAGAGCAATCTCCCCTCCCAACAAAGGAGGCCTTTGCATCTCTATACGCTCTCATCAGCGATCCCAACAACATTATTTACATACTCAGCAGCCGAAGCGCAGAGCAGCTCCGAGAAGCTCTCCAAAAACTGCCATGCGAGCTAGGGTTTATCGTTGAGAACGGTTGTTTCCTACAAGAACCGGAGTCAAATTCATGGATCCCATTCGTACCTAGAAGCACCATGACATGGCGTCCTGGTGTCCAAAAGATGATGGAATACTTCCAGGAGCGAACCGAAGGCAGCCGAATCGAAGAACGTCGATGCTCCCTGACATTCCATTACGACGAAGCCCTAGACCCCGAAGTGGCAGCCCGCCGGGCCTCGGAGTTAGCAGATCAGATTAACGGTACCCGTGGACGTACACTCTGCCATGTTATCCGCGAGTCGACTTCTGTGAAGGTCGAGCCACCGCACATCGCCGTCGGTATTGGGAGAGCTGCCATGTATGTTCTGGACCATCTTCCGAACGCCCGATATCCCGAGTTTATACTCGCGGCTGGAAGCTCTCGTAGCGATGAAGCACTCTTTCAATGGGCGCATGAATTGGCTACTGCTCCTCTTGCACCTCGTTTTGAGATGTGTGGGTTTGGGAGAAAACTGCATGTTGCCACTGTGACGACTGGGACGCATTGCAGTGAGGCGAAGTCGGTTTTACCGCCTCGTTGCTCGCTCTTGCATGTCTTAGATGTACTGTCAGGGAACGCTAGCCGGGGGGAATGAGGGAGTCGTACCTATATTCTTATCCGGTGTTGGTATTGAGCCACTGCTATTGTTATAATCGTGTGGGCTGTTGCCATTCAAGAAGGATTATGAGTTACGGGGTAACATGATTAGGGCACATCATTATATGAGTCTCAAGGGACAATGGGCAGGAATTTTCATTCTTCTCTAGCCGAATGCATGCGTAGATCAACGGAGTCGGTACACATGAGTAACAGGTAACAGTGTAAAATAGCACAACTCCCGCGATAAACCTGATTGTTTGAATGAGAATGGGAAAACAGAAAATGAGAATGAGAAGAAAAAGAGAACAATAGTGCAATTACGGAACACAGAGAACAAGGATATAGATGAGCAGCATGGGTAACGATTAGAGAAAACATGAATCATGGAAATCAGCAACGGAATCATTTCATTCTAGCCTTGCATGTCGACTGCCGAGGAGATCAGATCAGACCGAACAAACCACAGACCCTCTTACGAGGAACCATCTTTCGAAGAAGACGCCTCATTAGACGAGACAAGCGTCGGCGCAACACGCCGTTTCTTCGGCGGCTGCTGCAAAACAGCAGGACTATCCTTATACTCATCCTTTTCCGAGTCACTCGCAGGCCTCACTTCTCGCTTCCCCAACACACTGACCGTCGCCGCGGGCCCGTTCCCAGTTTGCGGGACGCTGGAGACGGGGGTTTGTGGTGGGGTTGTTAGTGGGAGGGCTGGTGGGTGTGCGGAATGGGTTGCTGTGACGGAGGGGACGTTGCCGAGGGTTGGGGTTGGGTTGTTCATGACTGCTGCTGGGGTTGGCTGTGAGGAAGACTGTGTTGCTACTGAGCAGGCGGAGGTGGAACGGGCTGGACTTGCTGGGGGGGCGGGGCCGGTGTTTGTTGGAGTGTGGGTTGTTTTGACTGGTGACGGAACTACGTGTGGGGATGAGGCGTGCATTGGTGTTGCGAGTGGTGTGGTGTTGTTCACTGGGGTGGTGGAGTTTGTGTTATGGGATACGGAGGTTGGGCCGTTGTAGGGTTGGCCTAGTTCTCCGGGGGCGAATGAGAGGGTGGAGCAGAAGCCGTCGGATGAACTCATTATCAAGGTTAATCCGTCGGAAGACCTTTGGTCGTGTTAGAATGTTGATGTATTGGGGAAGAATAGGGAGGGGTACTTACCAGGTTAGATCGGTGAAAGTAGCAAAATGCAAGTTGCTCACAATGCATAGCGGAGTTTCTTGTTGCGTGTCGTATACTAGAACAGCATCTTGAGTGGCAACTGCGTATACGATGCGATAGGGAAGCGCGAAGACCGGCGCTGAGCTCGGGCTTGGTTCACTGCTGCCGATCTCGGCGGACTTGGGAGATGGCTGGAGTTTTGATGGCTCGGCTGGGGTTGCAGACGGCGGCTCCATTGTCGGTTGGCTGGTAACTGATGGGTGTGCCGATACCACAGGATCTGGAAGAGATGGGAACATCTCTTCGGCTGAAGACGTATCAAGCGTGATGTTCTTGGCGGGCTGAGTGCCTTGCTTCAACGTGTAAAAGATCGGGGAACATTTGACAGCTACGGAGGGTTTCTTGTGCCCTGGGAGATGGGAGACTGGTGGCTTGTTGAAGCCAGCTCGAGTGTAGACGTAAACCGTGTTGATGATCTCGTCGGTCGTCTTTGTAGGGTCCGTAGCTGAGATATTAGAGGTCTTGAATTGACCGGCTGGTGTGAACAATAGACTTCCATCAGGAGCGAAAGTCAATCGCCTGAAAAAGGATGTAAAGGTCTCATTGGCGTAGATGCTGGCGTTCTTGACTCCGAGGCCACCAAGGCTCGGGGAGGAAACCTCCAGTGGCTTGACAGCAGGCAATGGTAGAGACGGAGCAGGAGAGGCAGATCGTCTGATTGAAGGTGACGAGCCGAATGAGGAACGCCGACTGTGCGAGACTGGCGGAGGGTCCATGGGTAGATTAGAAGCCATTGGGGTTCCTGGGGCCGAGGGCCCAGGCGAGGCAATTGCTAAACTTCCACTCGGCTGAGATCGATGATTCACATCAGGGGGCGCAGGACTAGCGGAGGCGATTCTCTTTGCAGGGAGATCCATCTTCAAGACCTTGCCGTGCGGAGTCAATGTGAATTGTCCATCTTTGGTCTTCAAGCTGTAGATATGCACGGAGCGGTCGGATGACTGAGTCGCGACGAACTCATTAAGCGGATCCCATGCTACACCCTGAACATAGTGAGAATGCTCGGCAATCTGTCGTACCATTTGCCCTGTAGAAATGGATTGTCAGCTTATCAACTGGGATGTTGAAAATAGGAGAGCAACAGACCAGTCTGAGCATTGTAGATTCGTGCAATGTTATCCATGCTGCCTGTAATGATGAAGACTCCATCAGGAGACCAGGCGAGGTCGTAGATCTCCGCACCAGACGAGCGACACATATACTTCACTCGCCAGGTCTCTTTATCGTCCGAGGGATCTTCACCCAGCCCAGCTTGTGTCTGCAGCTCCGATGGTACCCAGAGCAAAACATTTCCGTCATCTCCAGCAGACGCCAGCATCTCGCCTATATCCGTCAGACTCCTGCCTATGCTCTCCAGCAGAAGTGCCTACCTTTTGGGCTGAATCGAACCACATTGACAGCCTGTGTGTGCTTAATCAAAGTGCTCAGGTACGAGACCTTGCGTTCCTCCCCGGTAGACTCGACTTTCCAAAGCTGTAAAATATGTCAGATCAGGGTGTGCGTACGGCGACGGAGGGCAGGTTCATACTCGGACGTTGTTGTCACTACATAGAAAGCAGTTAGTAAGTCGGCCAACATAACTAGTAAACAGATATCACCTACTTTCCAGCAGTAGCTAAGCGGCCCTTGCCATTGGGATCGAAATGCACCGAGTAGATAGGGGCATTGTCATTGTGCCATGAGATGAGCAACGGGGTGGCCTTCATGGCGAGCGCCGCAGCTCAAGGAGCCGAGTACTGGGTTTCAAGTAGAAAGATATGACAGTATGCTAGAGCCAAGGGCCTAGAGCCAGAAGAGAGAGGTTCCGAGTCCGATCGACTTAGTCTCTTCGGGAGGTAGAGGACTACGTGGAATGGCTCGATGTCTGGTGAGCTGAGAACCAGGTGAAGAGAATTAAAAAGAGTACAAAGAGTCAAAAGGATGTGACAGGTTGAAGGGTGAAGAAAGAGAGACGAGATGAGGGTTAAAGTTAAGGAAGAAGTCGTGATTCCGCGATGATGCTTCGAGTTGTTTGGGGACGCGACCGGCGATTAGATTGGCACCTTCACGGACACGGGCATGCCCCGACTGCTATATCTATGACCTTTATATCTACTCTTTTCCAGCGCCTTTTCTTTACCTCCTGAGATCCATTGAGAAATACATAATTGTAGAGCCATAGAGCAGTCGGTTTAGCCGACTCTCTAAAGGAAGCGTATGATACATGAGAGACCATAATGCCTCTCCGCCATTTCAGAAGCAAAATATAGTAATAGTTACAAGGGGAACAAGGTATTCTATGATATCCATCTGCCAATCGTCTCTCCAAACCAACTGACAGCTTTCTCCTGTCGCTTCTGCCGAGCATCGCCTTGAGTCTTCATGAAGGGCCCTGCCTCCTCCACATAAAGCTTCTGCTGCTCCAACTGCGCATAGTGTGCCCTGATCTCCAGCTCTCGCTCATGCGGCGTAAGCTTTTGTAGGGGCTTCGACGGTTTGAATCCTTCCGGGATGGGCTCCCCTCCTGGAATTTCGACACCTTGTGCCGGAGCTGCCGACGGCTTCTCTGGGTTGAAAAGCGACGTGATGGGTGGTGGCTCAAGGCCGGCAGCCTTGGCCTCCTTGACTCGCTTTTCATAATCTAGCATCTGGTGGTAGAGTTTGTCCGCATGCATTTGGATGCGCTCCTCTTTCTCGGCGTCGTAATCGAAGCTAGCTGCGTAGCCAAGGGCTTGGAGGAATTTCTGATTGAAACACACATATTAGAATCATTCAAGCGAGAGATCGGGATGAAAACTCACAGTCTGGGTCATGAAGCATCGCGAAAAAGTGGAATTCTCCGCAGAGCACATCGTCAACCGGGATTCGATTTGCTTGCGCCAGTTGCCGGTCTGGAAGCAATAGGTCAGAGCTTCTTGCTCTAGGGCACAGTTCTCCATTGCTGCTCGTTGCACTGTATCTCCGCGCTCCTTATGCTTTTCAATCACTCGGGATGCCCCGCGGACTCCGTTTTGTTCGTCGTTGTCCGCGGGCGGCTTGTAGGTTTTCCATAGATCAGCGTAACGGCCATCTGGGAAGAGTGATGCTGCAGGGACTTTCGGTTTGGAGGATTCGGTAGTTTCAGATGCTTGCGCAGGCGTAGGCGGCTTCACATCGGGTCCAGGCACATACTTGTCGGGCTTTTCCTGCTCGAGATAGTCACGAAGCCCTGGATCCAACTTCTGGACAGGATCATTATTGCTGCCCCAAAACCAACCCATGTTTGTAATATGATGGCAGTCTGTGACTAAGATCGAGCGACAATGTTCAATGTTGGAAGTTGAAAGCGCGGAGAAATCGGCAAAATTGGAGGCCGATTGCCTTGGCTCCGCCCGCTGGTCTTTACTCCTCAACATAACCACGACGCGTCTTACTCGACGCCGTTCCTCAAAAATGGAACCCAGTATGTCGCCTCTCTACTATTCCTTGCTTTGCTGAGTGCTAATAATCTGCAGCGCGAGAGGAGCGGCAGCAAATGCGGCAGCGTGGAGCTGCGTACGCGCCTTACCTATACCCCGCGAAAACATAACATATAGACTGACTTGTTGGTACAGGACGCGCAAAGCAAAAGAAGTCAATTTTGGTTTCTCATTCGGTAGCCCAATACCTCAACCAGCAGCGCCCACGCAGCTTGCTGCTCCTGATGCCCAGAATCATCCGCAAACGCAACCCGCGCCAAACACAACTCCACGCCATGCGAAGCAGTCGCGCCCAGACTCGCAATCGCAAGAGACTGTTCACACTCCGGGAAGTGCGCGTAATAAGCTTCCACCGAGGCGCTCGACATACGACGTACCCTCCTCCGATGATAGACCCGAACAGACGCGAAGCAACAAAAGAAGAAAGATCGGTATGTTACAGATCAAGCTAGTTTAAGCTGATAGCTTGCGCTAACACTTTTTAAGGTCCTACCGGCGAAACAGAAGACAGTCCTTCTCGTAGGGGTGGCAGGCGGACGGAGAACGACGAGTCGCAGGCCGCTCATAACAACACGGGTAGCGGACAATCGCAAATAAACCACGCCCCAGACCCTTCGAGTGCAGAGGCGCCTACACCAACAGGACCTTCAAATGGAACTCCGCAACCTGATACGTCGGCCGTTCTCGAGCCCCCTATTGAAAACCAACACGCAGCGGAAGAAGAGGCTACTGGCGTTGAACCAGCAACATCAGCCGGCGAAGAGCAATTGGCCCAAGTCGCGTCTTCAGTACCTAGTCCTGTAGGTGCTATAGCGACCGGGGAACAACAAGGGTCGAATCCAGTCCAGGCTGAGGGTGTGCACCCATCCCCTCTACGGCCTGGGGAACGGACCGAGATACAGAGCACGGAAGATGCTGTCACGAAGCTCACCCCTCCAATCGCTCAACCTGATACAACCACTACTAAGTTCCCTTCGGAACGTGTGAGCACTGGGGAGGCTGTCAAAGCAAGAGATGCGCCGGCATCTAGGGACGATGGCGTGATAAACGAGGAGGTTCCTCAAGCCAAAGACAATGTACCAGAGCAAGGCGGCCAAGCTTCTCGAATCCCAACTCTGAAATTGAAGAAGCCCCCTCGCGCAGCACCTAAGTCCACTGCCAGCAAAACCCCAGAACTTCCTGTGGAAGACGCCGTGCAGGTACCTGCAACTGAGACACGAGCTGAATCAGGGGCAGCCCCGGTTGAAGCTATCGAGACTGAGAATGTTTTGCCTGGACCTATACAAGACGTTGCTGAGTCTGCTTTGGGTCCTGGTAGGGGCCGCAAGCCGGCATCACAAAAGGCCGATGAACAGCCACAACGTGGTAGACCTGAGGAAAGAGTCAAGCAGGCAGTTGAGCCTGAGCCCGAACCTGCAACAGCGGCTCAGGCAGAACCTGAGGTGGAGGCTGCTGCACCCAAGTCACAACGCGGAAGACCTAGCAAAAAGACTAAACGCGCAGCCGAAGCTGAGCCTGAACTCGAGCCCGAGTCTGTGATTGCAGAACAACCAGAGCCGGAAGCTGAACCTGCGGCGCAGGTTCCTCAATCTCGCGGCAGACCTGGGAAGAAGACTAAACACGCTGTTGAACCCGTGCCGGATCATGAGACCGAAAACCAACCAGAGACTGCAGCAAAGTCTAAAGCTCAACATGTCAAGCCCAATAAGAAGGCTACACGCGCCGTAGATCTCGAACCTGAGACTGAGCTTGCGGTAGAAAACCAGCCGAGGCCAGCAGTGGATTCTGCACCTTCCAAACCGAAGCGCGGCAGACCTGGGAAGAAGGCTAAGCGCGCAACGGAGCCCGAGCCTGAGCCCGAGCCCGAGGTCGTGGCTGAACAAGAACCAGAATACCAACCAGAAGCCGAACCTACACAAGACCAACCTCGCCGCAAGACTCGGCAGCCTCGTGGAGAAACAGTTCCCATCACTGTCTACCGCCTGGCCAACGCCAACTCACTAGGCGGCACAGCACCCACAGACGACAGATCCGCAGACGAAGAAGAATCCTCCGATGAACTCACCACACACCAGAGGACGAAGATGCCCAATCGCGGTGGCGTGAACCCCGCCGATGTATTAAGCCAGATCTGCCGCGAGACCCTGGAGAAGACGCTCAACACACTCAAGGACGGGATCGCAAACGAAGCGAATGCCACACGGCGAGCGGAGTGGTCACGCAAGAGAAAAGCCGTCGAGGCATTTGGCTCTGAACTCGAGAGTCGACTCATGGATCTCAGCGGCATGCTTGATAGCAACTTTGTCCTCGGCATGCAATTGAAGAAGACTAAACGGGAAATGATGGATCTACGGAATCATCTTTACCGGGTTCGTCGAGAGCGCGAGAACATAGCTTTACAGATGGACGCAGTGCGTAGTAGACATATGGAAGAGGAGAGGGCTGGATCGGTGAGTTCAATTCTCAATTCATCGCACCTGGTGACTATACTGACAATGATACCCCTAGTCACGGAACACGATCAACAATTCTCTCCACAGTCTTGAACTGGCTCTCGAACGTAATCAGCAATCTTCTACTGGGGATTCTGCTACAGATCTTGAATTCATGCTCCGCTCTGTTGCCGACGTGAGTTCCACGGCTCCTGGATCACAAGGTGGTCTTCTGAATCAAATACGGGCTTTCAATGCACAGCTTGAAGCTACTGCGGCTCGCCTGGAGCGATGATGTTGTTGTTTTCTTTTGTTCTCTCTTTGGTTTTATGTGCTTCCGTTATGATACCAGGAATCGGTGTTTGCATTGAGTATATTCCATGGCTGGGCCAGAGGATGGCGTTTGACTTGCATCTGTACAATTGCGTGTTCTACCTACATGCAGTACATGATAGTAGCTATGGCATTCAGCTACAACATACTACCATAACATACTACTTCGATGAAAATGCCTTCTGAATTTCTGATTACTTATCTTCCAAGGTGGAAGTACCATAACACACTAGTACTTCGGTCTTCGATGAATATGCCTTCTGATTATTTATCTTCCGAGGTGGATCTTTGACCCACTTGGAAATTGATCCTCGGCATCTCCGCGCCACTGCTACTCCTCCGTACTCCGTACACATCGGCACTTCGACTCCGTACAAGATCTCGGCTTAGACGGCTTTCAGGGTGTGACAGGCTCCACACTGATTGTTAATTGCTTGTTAATACAGAGGAACTTCAGAAAATTCCTACTGAGTATATGAATGTGCCATAGACCGCCACATAGAGATATAAACCCCCGATAAAAACCCTGCCAGCAGAAGCCAGCAGACATCCAATCCATACCCAACCTCAATCCCAGCCCTACATCAAACACCAAGATGTCCAAACTTTTCACCCCCCTCCGAGTGGGCAACATGGACCTCTCCAACCGCATCGCCCTAGCGCCCCTAACCCGCTTCCGCGTCGACGACGACCACATCCCCCTCCCCTTCGTGAAAGACTACTACGCCCAACGCGGCTCCGTGCCCGGCACCCTCCTCATATCCGAAGCAACGCTCATAACCGCCCGCGCCGGCGGCTACGCCAACGTGCCCGGCATCTACAACCCAGCCCAAATAAGCGCCTGGAAAGAGATCACCGATGCCGTCCACGCCAAAGGCAGCCACATCTACCTGCAACTGTGGGCACTGGGCCGTGTCGCGAACCCAGCCTTCCGAGCCTCCTCCGACCACGAGCTGATCTCATCGAGCCCGACACCCGTATCGGCCGACTCGGCGACCCCGCGCGCACTCTCTGAAACCGAGATCCGCGAATGGATCGCCGATTACGCGCAGGCGGCACGGAATGCCATCGCCGCGGGCTTCGACGGCGTCGAGCTTCACGCTGCGAACGGGTATCTGATTGACCAGTTCACGCAGGATACGTGTAACAAGCGGACTGATGCGTGGGGCGGCAGCGTTGAGAATCGTGCGCGGTTCGCGATTGATGTTACGCGCGCTGTTGTCGATGCTATCGGGGCTGAGAGGACGGGGATTCGGTTTAGTCCGTTTAGTCCGTTCCAGGGGATGTTGATGGATGATCCGAAGCCGCAGTTTGGGTATTTGGCGACGGAGATGGCGAAGTTCAAGTTGGCTTATGTGCACTTGGTTGAGGGGAGGATTGCGGGGACTATGGATGTTGAGCAGAAGGGGGATTTGGAGTTCTTCTTCAAGGCTTATGGACATGCTTCGCCGGTTATTGTTGCTGGTGGGTATAAGGGCAAGGAGGCGGTTGAGGCTGTTGAGGGGAAGTATAAGGAGTACGATGTTGTTGTGGGCATTGGGAGGCCATTTATCTCGAATCCGGATTTGGTGTTTAGGATTCAGAAGGGGATTCCGCTTGTGCCGTATGATCGGGAGATGTTTTATCGGGTTAAGGATCCTAAGGGATATGTGGATTATCAGTTTTGTGACGAGTTTGAGAGGTCTGTGGAGGTTGCGGCTTGATTGGGTTGCAGAGGTGATTGTATAGAACGAGGATATATGTCGATATAGAGGTAGACTAGAATATAGAATATGCATTGGTTGTCAATGGCTTTCCTTGAATCTGCTTTAGGTAGGATCTTTGTCCTAGGGAGGTAACTCGGTAATTCCCGAGGCCTGCGTGGTAGCACTCGTCAAGAATCTGGGGATATATATACCTACTAGGTTCCACCTGGTACCTGGTTGCCTATGACTCTATTCCAAGGTAGCTAGAGTTCAGAACACTGCGACCTGGGATCTTGAGGGTGTAGAGGGTATCACCTAGACTCCTGGCATAGAAACAGTGCGTAGTATACGCGGGAAGACATCGTCGATCGACACCATATGTAGAACGAGAAGAGTGAAGACCACACAGGGTGTAGTAAACGGAAAGATGATTCTACGCAGTACATCATAACCAGCCAATAAAGACCACACACCAGCGCAATACACCCCACCTATCACATCGCATGATCACATCAATCGGCAGTTCCCCAGTCCAAGAATATCCCGACTTACGGAGTACTCCCCGCATTACCCCAGAAGCGTACTCCAGACTCCCATTCCGGCACCTATATTGAACACACCAAATACGCATATTAAACTTCCATCCCAAAACGTGACTACCGACTTGGCACAGCCCCGCGGGTATCCTTGGTATTGCAATAGCTTCAACCAGTGGTTTCAACGGTAGTAAACGAACCCGAGACTGGGGCAGAACCTATGTTCCGCTCCGCCGAGCCGAATCAGCACACCCGAGGATAAGTCAGTTGAGCTCATCTGGGCTGCGCTGGGCATGAAGCATTTGATTCGCTCCCTCTTCCCCACGATCCAAGATGCATCCGGATAGCAGACGCATTTTTGGGATTTGGGGTTTTGCGGGGGGATCGGCCGTCGGGTTGTGGGGTATCCCTGTTGGTGGTGCCATGTTGGTCAATGGGAGAATCCTAGCATGCCATACATTCCGTAGTCCGTACGTAGTTTGTAAATCCTTCGGTGTACGGTGATGGATGTGGCTCGTGTGATGATGCATGAGGCGCTAGGAAGGCGATCGTCCAAGGCCTTGGGCTCAGGGCTGAGGAGCTACGATATACTGCGTATTCCAAGCCGCATCGCTGGATTGCTGGATTGCTGAGTTGAGTGACGAGGCCAAGGTCTGGAAGGGTCTCGGCATTCGGTAAGTATGGGAATGAGATCTGTTGTTTGGTTGAAGGTGGCTTGGTACGGCTACTACGGCATGGCATGTTTGAACTTGGCTGTGGCTATGGAGGAGCAATTGCCAATAATTGCCCGTTTATGTCTAGTGGGCTGAAGGTCAGGAGATATTGCCGGTATGTTCCAAGGTAATATATCGTGTTCTATTGTAGACCACTTGGATCGTGTTGAGATGCGTTGGTTTTGTGTGGATACCCTATCATCGGAATAATTCTCGCCAAAAAGCTAACCAAATCCAATTAGACCAATCAAGTAGCATTCTCTTCACTGGATAATACACAGTAAGAACTAAGAACTGTTGCTCTCCCAGTCTGATAATGCCCCAAGCAACAGGCTAATTAGAGTAGTTTTTAATACCAGCATACAGTAATTATGTAACAGCGTTATAGCATGATCCACTTGTGCACCAAACAACGCCTAAAGTAAAAAGAAAAGTTTCTTTATTGCCCTTGGCACGCCACAACAAGCCCATATCTCTTCGGTGGATGCTTACGGTAGCCTCGTCCGTCTGAGCAGTCAGAGATTTCTCTCTCCCAGATGGTGACAAGAGCAATGGTCGTAATTGGAAAGTGTGCTAGCTGCGCTTCCAGGTGTTGTCGTAATTGTCAAAGTGTAAAAGCCGTACTTCCAGTTGTTGTCGTAATCGTGAAAGTGTGCACAGAAAGCCGCACTTCCATTCTGTTTGTTTTGTTGAGACGTTGTGTGTTGTAGATTATGCCGACGAGCCAAAGACCTCGGGTATTGTCTCAGTGGATGCAGAAAGTGGACCCCTTTTCCTACAGTAGTCTGCGCTGTTACTACACGGGCCTAGCAGATCGCAGGGATCTTGCATATGATTATTTCCGAGCGTCGCTCATGGCCGTTTTGGCCGCGAGCTACTATTTTGACCAGTAAGCAGAAGACGGACGGGAAACTGAGATTCCGGGATGTATTCCGTATGTAACTAGTGGCTACGCCGGCTTCAAAACAGAACAGTCTGGATCTGAACGGGATGCCTAGCGGACTGGCTCAAGGGAATCAACTCATGCGTAGTTACCCACGGAAAACCTAAGCTTTATGATCCTGCATGACTAGCACGAACGGAGTACGGAGTCCTCCGTACATATTGACATTGTACCTCACATCACGGGACTTTTAAACAAACGATGAAAATTGAAATATCAGAAAAGGGGAAAAGGGGAAAAACGAGACCAAAAGGGTCGAGCCTCGCCGATCCAGGTTCCCCCCGGACCTACGGCCCATTTGAGAAAGGCGGCGTGGACACGGTTGTGCGACGCCAATTTGCTTAGCATTGAGCAACGGTGTACAACTCCCGTTGCCCCGAGATTAGAAACGGGTCAAGCATCGAGATGGACCTACATTGTCCACAGATATGCTGTGTGTGGATGATCGACTGACAATCATGTTTTTAGTGTGAATTGCGATGGTCCGTCCTGAGTATGGTGAGCCAGACAGGGGCAAAAGGGATAATATTCTGCGCGTTTCTTGCACTAGCTCTGGAGGAGTGGGGGTGGATTAACAATAATGCAGGAAAATCAATTCACCCATGTCTGCATGTCTTGCCTTCACGAGAATGGCTTCGTACAAAGGTTGGGTTTATTGGTGCAGAATCTGCGTCGGAGACTTAGGCTAAAAGTAGCGTATCACTTTTCCTCTCCTGCTTTGCATAGTGTGTCTCCGTAGTAAATGCAGTAAAACTGTCAGAGCATTCTGCATTCCGTGCGGTGACGCGTAGATCTTCGGTATTTGATACTGGGGATCACTTACCGAGTAAGCTTGCTCAGCGAGTCACTGCTACTTGGAAGCAGTTCTCCAACGTACCTTTTTTAACCTCACGAAACACATAAGAGTGTCGTTCTCGTATCTTATCCTCCGGTATTACATAAATTGAGTGCTTCTAGACTAACTCTGTGATTCGATCATACAACGCAGTAGAGGGTTGGGGTAGATGCTCGAAACGGAAGTCGATGTAATCATGACGGTTGATATTCCAACTCAATCCCCAGATCCCTTTTCTCTCCACTTTTTCCCTCCCCGTCCAGCTTCCATTCATCCTTAGCTACCCTGCGGGTTCGCCCATGTCTCCGTGCCGTCCTTGGACTAAATAGACATAGCTTGATGATTTCTAATTTCTGTGAAACAAGTCTAAATGCCATACTACACAGTATATAGTAATTGATAAAAAAAGGAGAGTAAAAGGAGAGAAGAAAAAAGAAAAAAAGAATTGCAACTGGTTAGTGGTACCAAGGTAGCATGTACTCCGTAAATCCGGGATAATCATGGGAACAGCTCCCCAAAGTCCCAAACTCACCAATTTAACTTCTCTAGAGTGGAAACGGGTCCTGGCGGGTGCACATCATTGCAATTCCAATTGAAAAATACAAAAAAAAAGGAAAAAAAAGAAGTTTGGTGACTGAGACGTATCCACCGAACAGCTCCAGGGCTTGGGGTATATTAATTTCCTCTCCCGCTACTTTATCCACTTTACTTCCCTCTTCTTCTCTTTTTTCTAGAGTCGAACTTCTCCCCTATAACTGTGTTATACGGATTCATATTTTATATTCCTTTTCTTTTCTTTATTCCTTTCTGCATTTTCTTTAAAACATAATGTCTGCCCCTGAAGCCAGCAACGGCCTCGAGAAGGACGTCAACTCCGTCCCTTCCAACGGCGGTGGCGCCCCCATTCAGCCCCAGATGTCCGCCGAAGAGCACCAGGTCGCACGCGCTGCCGCCCGCTTCGGATATGGACCCCTCGCCCACGTCAACACCGCAGAGGCTTCCCTGCCTCCCTTCGGTGGTGAGTTCCAGCCCGGTCTGTACAAGTCCGTCGAAGGCCGCAAGTTCGCCAATCCCGCGCCTCTTGGCCTGTCAGCTTTCGCCCTCACTACTTTCGTCCTGAGTCTTATCAACATGGGTACCCGTGATATCTCCTCGCCCAACATAGTCGTCGCCCTGGCCTTTGGCTACGGTGGTCTTGTTCAGCTGCTCTCCGGCATGTGGTATGTAACCGTAATACCCGTCAACCCAATTGGATTGGGGTTCGATTCAGACCGTGTAGCTGTAGCTAATGCATCTACAGGGAAATGGCCGTCGGTAACACCTTTGGTGCCACTGCTCTGTCCTCCTACGGTGGTTTCTGGCTCGCGTTTGCTATTGTCTTGACCCCCGGTGGATTCGAGATCGGCGAGGCTCTTGGCGAGACTGGCCCTGATCCTACCCCATTCTTCAACTCCTTCGGTCTGTTCTTGATGGGCTGGTTCATCTTCACAACCATCATGTTGTTCTGCACCCTCAAGTCAACCGTCGCCTTCTTCCTGCTCTTCTTCTTCCTGGACCTGACTTTCCTGCTCCTTGGAATCGCCTACCTGCACCGCGATGCCGAGGGTGGCGTCAACGTCCCTGTCCAGAAGGCCGGTGGCTTCTTCGGTCTGCTCGCTGCCTTCGCCGCTTGGTACAACGCCCTCGCCGGTATTGCCGATACCAGCAACAGCTTCTTCATCATCCCCGTCGCTCACTTCCCCTGGTCCCCCACCGGCCGCACTCGCCGCAGCAAGACCGACCGTGAGCAGGCATAGGTTATTTCCACTGTGTGGAAAGACAGGGGAAGTGTGCTGTCAGGTGCTTGTAATGTTTTTATACCCAGTGTTGTATGTATAGGCTGTGCAGGTAGACGGTCTCTCCGTGTCGGGCGGGTTTCATCGACACGTTTGCTCGTTGATTTTTCCCGGCGAGTGAGAGTCACTGTATATCTTGTCTGTGGTTCTTGTCTGTGAATGATCAATACGGAACATCCCGGCAGAGCTGCAGATATCTGCCATGTATCCCGGCTCTAATTTGGATGAGCTGGTGGATGCTGGTTGTAATTGTTCAGTTGAGTATTCAGGTCAATAGTCTTGTGCTCACTGTTTTTCCTTGCTGTATTTAGTCTTCTTTACCTTCGAGTTGTTGGACTCAGTAATTAATCCATCTTCAAAGTTCAATGTCTTCCAACTTGTAGTCGTATCAAGTCAACAAATCAATTCGATGACTTATGCCGTGAGTGTATGCTCTCGTCAGAAGTATGTTCACCCCAATCCCAACCCTGCGTCGTTGCAAATGAACCGGATATCCGCCGAAGCCAAGGCCAAGACCTTGAATGAGTGACCCCATCAGTGATCACACCCCAGACACGCTCTTGGTCCAAGCAATCTCTGCACCGCCAACAGAGATAAAGACCCAAGCATCAAATCAGCATGACAACGTCAAACCCCCATAGCCAACAAGCCATGACACGACAGCCCAGCCCGAGTATCTAACCGATATCAAAAGCCATGCGGCGAGACAAGCCGCAGTGCCAAAGTCAAGTCGGTCATGTCAAGTCGGTCATGTCAAGTCGATCATGTCAAGTCGATCATGTCAAGAAGGAAAGTATCAAAAAGTCTTGTCAGAATGAAAGGAGAAAAGGAAGTAGGAACAGGGAGGGGGGCAGGACCTCCCTAAGTATCAGCAAGTTCCCCAGAACAGGGTTCTATCAGGGTCTATAAATCATACTTACTCCGTAGACCCTGACTAGTGTTTTCCGCGAGCCACCCGAGAGTGGAGCTGAAACCAAGCCCGGTATTTTCTCGGCTTTGCGTGGTGATATGGATGTTATTTTTGGATTCCAATTCATACATGCTGTTGAACATGCCAGCCCTATCCTCCCACATGGTTATTGCACATGATACTGCCGGTCTGATAGATGGCATGAAGAGGCTGAGATGAGACTGAGCCGAATGGTCAATATACGCTGTACAATAACGGGCGAAATAAAAAAATCAGAAGCTCAAGCCAAGGCAAGCTGAGCTAGCTGGTGATGTATACACAAAAAAACGCGCAATGCCGAGTTATTGCCGATGATATCTCGGTTTAAAATCGGCGTGTTCGGTGATTGGCGTTTTCAGCCAATCAGCATCCGTGAATGGCTCTTACGGGCGGAGATGGTTCGGTGGTCGGGATGCCGTGCTTGTCTTTTACGATTGTGGGACTGGATGCCGAGATTGCATGCATGAGGTAGGAAGGTATGTCGAGTTTGGTCGGGATGGTGTGCTGGGCGTTTGCTTTGGGGGATTTTACTCTACTATTGTTGTAAGGGTGTGCGATTACTGTGTAGATACTTGTACTTGAAGATGCGAAGAAGCAGTGGGATATGGATGTCTGATGATGGTGATCAATTAGATAACCTGCGTAGTCAAGGGATATTCTCAAAAATTGAACAAATACACGACACTATGTTCATCCTTGTGAGTAATAGCAAAAATGGCAAATCCACAGCCCCATTTCTATGATGTACAGGGTAAAAAGAGGGGCTATAACCAACACTCCCAAAGTTGCATCTATGGCAAAAGCTAAGCCAAGTTCATGTCATGCTAAGACTTTCATCTGTAACTGACATTCGTCCCAAACCTGACGAAGCATAGGCAGATGGATGCGATCGACGTAGAAAAAGCCCAACAACACAGCGCGCATATCCTGCCAAGAGCTGATACCCTGCATCTGCGCGGCTTTCGCCAGCTCAGAGATGAAAAATGCTCGTTCCGACGGCAGCAGTAGACTGCAAGCTGCGCCCATGAATAGCTGCCAGAGGAGCAGGTCGCCGCATAGCCCGAATAGGCCCGTCGGGATGGTTGCCTCGAGGGCGATGCGCAGAGCTTGGATTGGCTTGGGCAGTAATTGGGCAACCATGGGGTAGAAGTTCCAGATAGCGCTGTTGTGGAAGAGCAGTAGAGCAAGCCGGGTGCTGCCCTCGATGGTGTCGTCGCCCTTTACTTGGCCGGTTGCTGTGTATCGGTCTGAGTGCAGCTGGTACTCTACGTGCAGGACTTCGGTATTGAAATAGTCCTCGGTTTCTTCGTTGAATTCTTTGTAACCGGTGGTGCCTTTGATCCACTCGGCGTACCAGGATAATTCAAGAAGGTCATATACAATTTGCTGCATGGGTCCGCTGAAGAGGCCGGGGATTTTGAGTAGAGGTAGGAGACGGGTGGCTAGTAATGCTACGTCGTCGTTGGGTGCAACGAGAGAGAATCGCACTGGGCGGGTGTAGCGGATAAAGGGGAATATAGGTCTGGCGAGGGCCATGCAAGCCACTCGGATGTCGGTCCTGGTGATGGGTTAGCGAGTGTTCTCGGCTCGGATTGAAGACGAGGCGAACCATGATATCTGAAACCGTATGTCTGAAGGCACGTCGTCGAAATTCTCTCGCAGGGCGATCATCTGTCGCAAACCTGCCAGATGGATTTTGAGATAATCGGGATTCCCCGATGCGATCTGCGGTGATCAGCCTCGACATCAGTCAATTCAGGAGAAGCACTCACTTCAATTGTCAACAAGGTTGAAACCGCAGCAATCAAGGCATCACTGGAAGCCTTGACCGGGTCTGATAGGCCCTCATTCACCAGGCGTATAGTTTCACCACGGTGATGAAACGTGTCAATCACCAATTGACTTCGCTTCTGATTTGGATCTCGGATGGGTAGTTCGCCTGCATGCATGGCATCATTGGACGAAGCCATACATATCGTGGCGTGCAGAATAGCCGGGTCGCGCTGGATCAAGGATGCCCAATGTGCCTGCAGCTTAGGTTTGTATCGCGTTTGTAAAGGGTGCGCTGCTTGCGTGAGATCATGGAGAACTAACGGCTGCGTCAGTATGCAAGCTCTATATGCGAGTATGGTGTAGAAGTACTTACAGACTCGCAGGTGTCGCATCATTCGAGGTGTAAGTGGCGTATGTCCAGTCTCAAAGGGATCATTAGCTCCCTGCCCAAGGTAAGACCAAATAGAGGGGCTAGGAACGCAGGCTAGCATCCTGATTTCACTGTCATCATATGACGCGACCGGCATAACAGGGTATCCCACAGACGTTGAGGTCACCATCTCCTCAACTTCCTCTGTTCCTTGCTCTTCCGAGTATTGACTTCCCGACACACTGGCCGATGTGCTGACTGACAGCCGGCCAGATCTGGCAGGTACGAGTGCATCGACGGAGGTCGGCGACGGATAAGCTGGTTGTTTCCATTTGCTGTTATTATACTGTTCCGTGCTCTCCATTCGCTTCTTGCGATTATGCTCGGACATCACATGAGATCGAATGCGCTTCAATGTTTCATCTGTCGTGCCCGCCGCCGCCGTTTGCTGATCGCTATTGACCCAGAATAGCGTCGATTTCCCCGCAGACGCATGGTTGGCGTTCTTGCGGGGTTTGCGGACCCGGGCGGGTGCATGACGACTGGAGGCTAGCGCTGGAGGAGCTGGGTGAGGCGCTGGAGTCGGAGGGGTGGGAGGCTTTGAAGACTGTGAATTCGGTATAGCTGTCGTACCGGGATCCACGTAGATTGGGTTGGGAGCTGCGAAGGGGTCCGGGTGGATCGGATCGGCCGACCAAGCCGCAGCCGACGGCCGAGTGAGCACGGGCAAGGTCTCCTCGTAAGCCGGTGAGTAGTCCTTGGCGTCCATCGCAGAGCTTATCTGGTCAAGACATTGGAAGGAGGAAAGGGTTGGAGGAAGAAGACAAGCTTCCTTGGGACCGGCGGGGTAGACGAGCAGGCGAGGAAATTGGATTCTTCACAACTATCTCAGCTTGGACGAATCATTGGCCCCGCTAAGGGTTAGTGCGAGGCGTCGAAGGATTTTAGATGATTGATGCCTGGTTGATCTTTGTTGCGACTTTTGGCCAGCGGTATGAGTATTAAGGGTAGGATAGCCTCAGCTAGGATATCCAAAGTACTGTGTATATGAGATAGAACAGCCTTATAAATCAACGACCGTTTTGGAGAGTTCCTCAGTTCCACACGAGCTCTGGGGAAAATGGGGATACGGAAAATAGCTGATCCACTTCACCTGTCTCTTGAGTTATCCGCCGAGGCTGGTGTGGTCATGTGGCGAAGGCTTAGCGGGAGGAACAATAGTATTGAAGAAGAACACGAGGGTTATCTGAACGTCGTCTTAACATAACAATATAACATTATGATCTACTCTTATCTACTGTTAGACTCTAAGCACGGTTAGCACCGGGCAAATCTGGTTATATCTGGGAACTCATATGCCAATCCTTCCACCTCAACTTGCTTTCGATCTGCGTTCAACCGCCCTGCAATGTCATGAATCATGATTGACGGAAGATCTCCAACGCCCACCAAAAAAAGAGTTCAAGGCGTTTGTAGTCTCCGCCCTTGTCAGCACTAGCCATATACCATGCGTGTGAACTATTTGTAGGTTCATAATCTCCGATATCGGCATGTTCTACCTGGATTACTCTATGAGGCAGCAAGATTCGAGATATTCAAAGGTCTCTGAGACATCCAATAATCTATTGGAACACTGAAGGTAGTCTACATCGAAGGCAAAGAATTGAAAAACGCCGTGGGAGTGAGATGCAACGAATGAGATAACCTAGTCAAGGGAATGTAATCTAACAACGTCGGTATCATTCCGAGATCATGCAAATGGGCCCCGAATTCTAGGTCATGCCGGGGCGCGGGAAGATCGGCACGGTATCCAACTGTTCTAATCCACCCATTGTACCACTTTGTCCACTGTTTTGCCACCCTTGTCCAGTCTGCTGATTAACGAACTGACTCTGTCGGAAAGGGTTGGTACTGCCAGTCGGATTGGGCCGCAAAGGGGCAGCTGCTGGAGGTTGCAGGCCTTGCGGGGCAGGGGAGCTCCGTGCAAAAGGGTTGGTCCCCGTCCGCTGAGGTTGGATCGGCTGCGCTTGGGGTTGGGTCGGTACTGGCGGGGGAGTGGAGGGATTATATTGCGTGTTTGCGGTAGAAAGTCGTCTCGCGAATGGGTTCGTGTTCTGTCGCGAGAGTGGAGCAGCGGGAGACTGGGGGCCCGTGGAGTTGGCCATCATTGACTGGCGGAAAGGATTGGTGTGCTGAGGCTGCAAGGGCTGAGGTGCTTGCTGCTGCTGTGGAGGGAAGGGCGAAACGCCTTCCTGTGGGATAGGAGGCAATTGCGACTGGTAGCCATATGACTGTGGCTGCGCCGAGTACCCTCCAAACCCGGCACCGGTTGGCATAGCTTGAAGTGGCTGCGGCTGCGGCGGCTGTTGTTGCTGGGTTTGCCCGAAGGGATTATTAGGGCCCTGTGCTTGATAAGGCGCTCCATATTGGGCCGCCTGGCCATATCCTGTTGCCTGGGCCTGCTGTGGAATCGACTGAGGCTGCTGCTGGAAGCCAGCCTGCTGGGGATAGAACTGCTGCTGCGGTTGCTGTTGGAAACCCGTTTGCTGGTACTGCATCTGGGCCTGTTGCGCCATTGGTTGCTGGTTCTGCTCAATTGAATCAAAGAAATCAATCAAATCCGCAGGTGCCGCCTTCGGCTGTTCGGCCTGCTTGGGTTGGTTGGCCGTTGGGTTGGGTTTCGACGAGGGCGGGGTCGCCTTTGGTACATCGGCTGCCGCACTGGCTTCCATGCTTGGTGGAGCGCGCACGCCCTTCTTGGCCAAGTACTCGCGTCGGCGAAGATCGAAATCAGGATCGTTGAGATCATCCTCGAGAAGGCGCGCCAAGTCCGTAGAGGCATGCTTGAGCTTTGGTATCTCCAAGCGAGTGGCAGATTGGAAATGTCTGGCCACTCCCAGGAACTGTACCACTTCTTCCGTTTGCTTTGTGAATGTCTTGTAGATTGCCAAGGCACGTACGCTATCCGGTCGCGACATTTCGAAGTAGTGTTCTGTGTAGGTTCAGGGTTAGACCAGCGCCAAAATCCCTGGCAGAGGGGCCGTGAGCTTACCCAAAACATTGATCGTGCCCTCATTCATGACTGAATATAGAGTCAATAGATCGAGTGTGAGGAGGCGAAATGCGGTCAGACTGATCTCGTTCTCCGGCTCATCGGTCAATAGCTAGATTCTGTCAGTGGCTGAGGTCGCCCCGGAAGTTGGACAGCACCCACATCACAACGTAGTAACGCCCGAATCTGCTTCTGTACAATTTCGGTCTCCCGCAAGAGACCTTTTTCCACGCCTATCCTCTTCAGCCGCCCCGGCCCGCTCCGCACATGGTCTGTCTTGCAGGCATCAAACGCCTTGGCGCGCGTGATAAGGTACTCGGCATACCGTCGGATGTTGTGTCCCTGCGATTGCGCTGGAAAAAAGTCAGTGACCGCGCTAGTATATGAGGAAACCTCTAGTCTAACCTTCAGAAAAATTGCTGGGCGCGATCTTCTTCGGGTTGTCGGACAAGTATCCCAGCGCAGCATCGAGTTGGCCATCCCGGATCATCAGATGAAGGACAATGAGCGCTTTGAACACGATAGTCCATGCGGAGTCTCGAAGTCGAAGCTGGAGGGTGCGAAATACCTCCGCGACTCCTGCCTCGCCAGTATGGGTCGCCACCAGGATGTTTTCGATGTATTTTGATTTAGGGGCCGCAAGCTGTTCGCACCAATTTAGTGAGTGTCGCACACACAAAATAATAGATCCATAGATCAAGGGCTCGATCTAACCTTGAGCTTTGTGGCCCCCTTTACCGACTTCTCAAATCCACCAGGCATGTTGTTTTAAAGGGCGCGAATCGGTGCCCAACTTCTCTATGGCTAAGAAACAGACAAGTCTGTCTGGTAACAGGGGTATCGAAGAAGAATTGGAGAACCTGCTCCGAAATTAATGTTCTCGTGGTGTTGACAATAATCTTAAATCATCACCCGTATCGCTCATGACGTGGCTCATTGAGCCATGTTGTGAATTGTGAGCTTTGGTGATAGTCGGTAGTTTTCTGGAAAGGAGAGCAAAGTTCGATCGGAACAAATATGGTAGAGAGTGACAAGCAAATTCAGGAGTGAAGTATTTGGCTAAAAAGCAGGAGGAATAAGGATAACGACAAGAGACAATGGGCGGTCTCAATGGTGAGGTGGAGGGAGTTCCTGGGAGGGCGGAGCGCATCTTCCTAAAGGCCCGATCAGGACTAGCGCATGTCGGCACAAGGATCAGCTCGTGCTCATACGCAGTGGATCGAACTATGACAGATGCACGTTTGACTCAACAGACAGCATATATGAAAACGTTTGGGCTCAAATTGCATCACTTAATATTACAGGTGACTGCATCTATTGTGTTGGTTTCCGCAATCTAGGTTGTTGCTTAGGTCCATCATCTGCCTAGCCATGTCTCTTGTTATATCAGCTCAACGATTCCATATATATACCTCATGTAGGTCAAGTTGCGAGACTTATGCCCGTGGGTTCTATCCATTCATACATATGTACCTGATTGAAACCTAGGGGGTTTTACCAATGGGAAAAGGCATAAGATTGACAAGCTCCACGAATGCCTATCTTCTGCCAGAAGGAAGATGATACCTCCAGTCAAAAGCTGTCTCGAACATGCCCTAGATTGGAATAGGTATCCGCTGATAACGGGCAGCTACCTAGACACTGAACGATGACACTATCCTAAATATGGATATCTGATTTGATTCATTTGCAGACATGGATAACGAGCCACCGGAGATAGAGCATGAACCTGAAGGGGGTATGGACTCGGACGAGGAAAGCGACAACCAGTCTATGATCTATGTCGATGGACGAGGGAACAGGGACAAACGATGATGAGACATCCACAACTCATAAGTCGTTGTCCATTGGGCCCAACGATCATACTCACGAGGCGATTGACTTGAGCTCAGATGACGATGAGACGAGTTCACAGCATGCGTTGCAGCACGAGTCATCAGATGACGATCTGTATCCTGATACGCACACTCCGATTGGGCTGAAGACGATGCCAGTGGAGGGCAATATCTCCCATCATGACATTGTTGATCAAATGAATATGGATTTCTCTGAACGGGTTCGATCGTGGACTTGGCATGAGAACTGACAGGAAATGGAGGGAGTTGCAAAAGCAAAACCTATGGTGACGGCCAAGATTCTATAGGTATTGGGCGTCTTTGTTCAGCCCTATCAGATGTAGGAACCATGCCACTGTAAATCAATTGATACGCACGATCCTAGGCTGTGCCCAACAATATCTGTAAGATCTTCGATTCGACTGCCAGTAGATAACTCGACTAGTTACCTTCGAAGTAAGCAAATACTACGCTGCACATTGCACCATGCCAAACAGCCAAAGTCGGTTGAGGTCATTACTAGACAGCAAATAGACAAGATTACTGTCTGGCCCCATGAAGAGCAGATACTGAGTTCATACTGGAGGAACGATAGTCTTGGAGAACAAGGAAATAACTCGATATGCGCATTGAAAGGCTCCCTCTCGGATTGCCATCTACGGTCAATCCTGCCTTTTGCCAGAGTTGTTGTACAGTTTCCATCAAAGAAGGGCCGAACAAATCTTTTTGATTTTTGCATGGATACATTCATCAGCGAGGTATCGGGACATGGAAACTCATAAACTATCCCGACCCCCATCCAAGAACTTCGGTTATATCCAGTCCATACCGCTTCCTTCGCCTTCAAAACACCCGGTCGATTTAATAATCTAGAACTTGGCAAAAGACTTGACAGCGCGCGAGGTCTTGGGGTGAACCTTGAGGACGTTGAAGCGAACCTAGAACAATAGTCAGTTATAAGTTCATAGCGGAACGTGAAAGGTGCCATATTCGACGTGCGACGAAATAGCAAAAGTGCGTAGTTTCGCCTATTGCTCGAAACGGCGAAAGGGACCAAGATTAGAATGAACGTACAGTCTTGCTCAGAGGACGGCACTGGCCGACGGTGACCATGTCACCCTCCTCAACACGGAAAGCGGGGGAGACGTGGGCAGAGAGGTTCTTGTGGCGACGCTCGTAACGGTTGTACTTGGGAACGTAGTGAAGGTATTCACGGCGGATGACGAGGGTGCGGTGCATCTTGGTGGAGACTGCAGGAGGTCCGTTAATACGTCTCTTCCGAACGCAAGAAACAATTCCACTGTAACTCACCAACTTTGCCGACGAGGACACGGCCACGGATGGACACCTGGGAGGTGAAGGGGCACTTCTTGTCTGTAAACGTCCAAAAATGAGCATTTTTCCAAAATATGAACTTGGCGATTGCAGTGTTTTCGGCATGGGTGGTCTTTCCGAGATTCAAGCGTTCGAGTGTCGGTTGCGAATATTGGCGCAGGAGTAAAGTGTCAAGGATTCCTGGCCCCTCAATTGCTCCAAGCGATCCTCCAGTTTTGCCCTGTATAACCTTGAAAAGACCACCCACCCATATATTCCGCCACCATATTCGAATAAAAACTCAGCGGAGGTCGTGCATACCGATGTAGGTTCCCTCAATGGCGGTCTTGGGGGTACGGAAACCGAGACCGACATCCTTGTACCAGCGGCGGCCCTGGGCGGTCTTCTTGGAGGAAGCCTTGGCCTTGGTGTTGAGGAAGATGTGAGGCTGCTTCTGGAAAGCGCGCTCCGACTGGACGGTCAACTCGGTGGCCATTTTTGCGGTGTTGTTCGACGAGGAAGCGGTGTCGATGAAAGGTCGGGTTGTCGGCTGTCGAAGATGAGGAAGATTCGTCGACCATCCGAATCTTTGGTAATTCGTAGTGTGCGGCGCTAGTCCCGATTAGGACTAGGCTAATTGGGGTTAGGGCTCTGCCGCTCTGCGTTTTGTTTACATCACGTGACTACGGCGGCAACGCGCTTTGGGCAGGTGCGATAGGAGTATGATAGCGGGCTACCTTCTGTTTGATTTCGAGATCTCAACGGCTTTCAGACCTAAGAGCTTGCAGGACATGCACTCTTGATCTAGTTGTGAATGCGCCGGCTCGCTTGCCCATAATGTCAACTCGAAACGACTCCGCGGGTTTGCGACCGCCGCGATCTCGTCGGTCTATCGCTCATGTGCCGCGGTCGAAGATGACGTCTGGCTTGGACAAGGAGAATGCAACCGCAGATGTTGATGCAGCCCATTCATTCATGAACAACACCAAGTCATCTTCAATGAGAGATAAGAAGTCTCGGAGCAAGAGTCTGGGGCCCGGCGGCCTTGATGTCCTCCAGAAGTCTAATGGCAATCGCCGCCAGGTAGCTACCAATGGAAAGCCACATGCGCATACATAATTCTAACATCGGGGTTTCCCAGTCTACGGCTTCTTTCCCACTCAAGTCCATCCTCAAACCTACGATACCAGTGTCTCCAGTGCGAAACATCCCATCGTTCGAGGAAACGCGCCGACGTACACCCGGTCGTACCCAACAAACCCAGGACGGTACAATGGACGAAGATGGTCAACAAGCCCAAGGAAAGGAGGGGCTCTTAATCGACTTTGAATCAACTCCAGGACATCCTGGCACAGCCAATGACAATGACGACACCACGAACCCATTTGATACATTCAATGCAACTTCTGCTATTCGCGAGGAGATGGCTGCGACCAAGGAGCGTGATGAGCAGGAGCGCAAAGAACGAGAACGACAGAACATTTTAGATAAAAGAGCGGCGCGAAGGAAATCAATGGGTTCGTTTACTTCAGCATTTTATAGGATCGACTATTGACACTTGTTCACCTAGCAAACCGCCGAGTATCATTTGCCCCTGAGGCAACCCTGCACACCTGGAACGTGGTGGAAATCCCGGACGACTCAACTTCTTCCTCTGCCGCAAACTCTACAAGACGTGCATCTGCCGCCACAAACTTCCAGAATCAGCCTGCCCCTACTTCGCCTGCAACCGATGCTCCATCTTCACCGCCAGAGTCCGAGTTCGGATTCTCCCCCGTCCGCACGCAAGACCTGGAACAGATAAGAGGTCGCCATTCAGCTACAGGAGGCGACGAGAGCCCCCGTGATTTATCATCCAGCCCGTTCAGCGGAAGTTCAGTCAACAGTGAAGATACCGGTGCACAAAGCATTGCCGAAGAAGAAGATGGCGAGTCTTCAGGATCTGACGACGAATTTGATGCCGAGAGCACTGCCATGAGCATGGATGATATGACAGCACGCTCAGGCATCAGTGCTCAATCAGACGTAACTTCCACTTCAAGCTCCAGCGCACGCCTCAACGAAGCGCTGCGACAGGCCGCAAACGAAGCCGGAACTGAGTTTGGTGAGGATGAAGAGGTATCAATGGAAATTGCAGACCAAGAGATCACTGGTGCTTTCCAGCCGTGGATTAAAAAGGGCCAAAGACAAAGCTTCGACTGGGAAGATATCAGCGCACGACATGATCAAGAGAACGTTGATCCATCCAAGGAAGCCACATCCCAGGGGTTACCACAGTCCGATGACTATGAGGATGAAGACCTTAGTATGGATGTGACAAATGCAGTAGGGCGTATCCTTAGCAAATCCCCTGGCCGTCGCCAGAGCACCGCTCGTCGCCAATCTCTAGCAGAGGACTCAAGCTACGGGGACCAAACGATGGAAATGACTAATGTCGTTGGTGGCATCACACAGCAATATTCCCCGTCAAAGCATTCTGACATGGCCAACGATGACGAAGAAATGACAATGGAGTTCACATCGGCTGTCGGAAAGATCTTGGGAAACCGACCTGCTAATACCTCTAGCGCTGATCAGATGAACAATGATGAAGACAATGAATCGGAGGCCGGCATGGACATGGAAATGACGGGTGCGATTGGGGGCATCCTACAGTCGGGGATCGATGCAAATGACAAAGTGCATGCCAAGTTGATGATGGAGCTTGAAACCGACTCTGGCCAACTTGCCAGTTCGCCTTTCCAAGACAATGTCCGACAGTCTCCTGCCAAGTCCCCTGCTAAATCGCCATTGGCTTATCAAGTCGGCGCCGTCGCATCTGAAACGGGAAGCCCCAGTCTAGCACCTGTGCGTGCTAGACCTTCTCGTCGTGCCTCCACTACTGGATCTTCGGGCACACCTGGATCGGTCAGCCGGCAACAATCGACAGATACCAAGACATTGACTCCCCCTAAACAATCCACCCCTCAAGTGAAACCCACTACCCCAAGCAAGACTCCTCCATCCGGCAATGTCACATTCAGAAGTGCTTCGCCGAAGAAGCTCTTCCAACCCGAGCTCAAGGCATCGGCAGATAAGCGGAAGTCTTTACGCAAAAGCTTGTTCGAACTTAACAAGGCAACTGGAGAGTCCACGCCACTCTTCAAGCTGCAGCCACCCGGGAGCCGCCGTTCTTCTGGCCTTGGAATTGACAAAGAAGGCCTTGGATCTCCTCGCGTAGCAGCCATCCTTGACAGGCGCCAGTCGCTTGGAGACAGCACGCCTCACTTTGTTCCGCAAGATCAGCCCCCAGCTGGTGTGCGCTTTGAGGATCCTTTGCAGATGCAGGCCGAGGAAGAACGTGACCGGGAAGAAGAGGAACTCCGAGAAGATGGCCATATACCGGGGCCGCAGTTAGACCGGGACGTGACTTCGAGCCTGAAGGACATGATCTCCAACCTAAGTCCCAAGAAGAATAAGATCGGTAGCCGCAAGAGTCTTCATGTTGGCGCTGCTCGTGGGGTTCTGGGCAAACGCCCCGTGGAGCTGGATTTGGATGAAGAAGAAGCTGAGAATTCGCCCAAGCGATTGCGTGGCCATAATGTCAGTCCTGTCAAAGGAATCAAGTTGCCCGCGCCGATGGCCAAACAGGGCAACGTTGGCCGATCGATGGCTTCGCCCATGCGTAGAGCTGTTAGCTCATCACCTCTGAAGGAGAGTACTACGCCTTCCCAGCAACCGCGGAGTGTTTCTTCTGAAACCTCGACAACTCCCCTCAAAAACGGCATTGATGCTCTTCATATTGCCTCTGATCCCCAACAGCCAGCAGAGGAAGAAGACACACCCGTTGAGGATACCCCCGTGGAACTGGAGCCCATTCAGTTGCAGGATTTCTTGAACATGACCAACATTCACTTCATGGAATTGACTACGACAAAGAGACGACACACGACTGCCCCTGGCAGCGCCACCAAGAAGCTGGTGCGACGATCGGGGAGCACCACGCCCAAACCTGGTTCGATATCGTTCGATGATTGCGTGGCAGCGGGCTTTTGTACGGTGCCCATGCTTGAACTATACCAGCATGTAAGTTCTACTACATCGGAATATTTTTACCGTTTGCTGACACTGTCTCTAGTCTTGCCGAGAGTTGAAATCCTACATTTCCGAAGGACGGCAAGTGATCCGTTCCATCGAGGCAGAAACCTATGCCGAGAATCCACCTCTCTTCCAGGAGTACATTACGGCTCCGCCTGATATCCGAGTGATCATGGACAATCAATTCCGCAACGTCAAGACACACGCTCGTCTGCTGAGCAAGGCTACATGGTACGAATGGCGGATGAAGTTGCTCGAAGGCCTCAAAGAAGGCCTCCTGCGCCACGTGGAAGAGATGAAAGCAGATGACGAAATGCTCTCTGAACGAGAAGAGTTGCTTAACAGACATGTACCTCTACTGGTGGAAAAGCACGCCACTCTCGAACAAGAAGCGACTACCCTACAACAGTTGGTTGATGAGATGGAGAATTGTGATCAAGATGAACTCCGGAGTACGCGCAGCAAACTCTCCGAGGTAGATTCTGAGATTGCAGCGAAGAGACTGGAACTTGAGCAATTGCAGGCGGAAGTCCGGGAAAAAACGAACTTCATCGAGGCTGGAGCCGAAATGCGTGATGAGTTCCTGGCTCAGATCAAGGAGGCGGAGCGCGTGAAGGAAGAATGCCGTGGCTGGAGTGCCCGAGAAATTAACGAGGTAAAGGGTACGTATTACCGCTAAAAACCGAGCCCCGTGTGTTGACTACGTTACTAATTGGGTAAAATAGCCTCTGTCCAGCGGATTCAGAGTCAAACCGGCTGGTCGATAGTCTCAGCCTCGACCCCTTCGGATGCCCCAGTCGGCCCACTATTGACGATGGCCTACCGTGATCAGCTCCAACTGCAGTTTTATCCCGGAGCTTTGGCATGCAAAAACAGTGTCCAGGATGAGAAGAAGAACCATCCCATGGAATTGACATCCCAAAAGAACGCCATCATCTCTCCAATTGCATCGCTGGTTCTCCACTCGCTTCAGCAACACCTGACAACAATCCAACAATCCACCGTCGCACCCAAGCAGCTCTTGCGGTTTATCTCTAGCGCATGGGACCGCACAGTCGGACTGGAGAACGAAGCGCGCATGCTGGAGTACTGTGGTGTTACCCGTCTCACCTTATCCAAGCCTGAACAGGGCTCTCCTTCTCTACGTGCGCGCTGCACGCTCCTCGATAACGCCGGCGTCTCCACAGCTGACCGCAAGGGCGCCGCGCCGAAACGCGACGGCGCCAGGAGGATCGATGTTGATTTCACCGTCCGTACCCGCATTGATGGAGCCGATGCGGATAACACGGTTGGTTCCTTGGAATTTGACGTTGACGTGCTCGCGACCAAGATATATGGGTTTGGAACAGGCAACAAATCCGGTCTCTCTAACAAGGAAGTGCGTAACATACTCAGCAAGGGCCTTGACCGGGCGAAGAGCGATGTTCAGTTAGGAAGTGGCGTGTGGTGCAAGGCAGTCCGCTCACTCACAGCATCTGTGTTTTGATTTTCGGGGACATTTTCTTTCGACTTTTCGCGGTATAATGAGGTACTACATAGTAGCGTTTGGGAAGGCAAGGCGCAATCTTTTTAAGCCCTACTTTGGGCTCGGGGAACAGGGGACAATGCAATTACTTTACGGTATCTCGCTGGGCGTTCTCATACCCCTTCTTCATTTCATTCTCATATCCACCGCTCACTTACTTTCCATCGCTAATTCCCATTCCTTCTCCCCTCTTCTCTCCGGAAATACAACGCTAAAAACGACAGTCCACAAAAAGAACCAACCTCACAACTTCAACCTAAAACAACCCCAAGAACCCATTAGGCCAAACCGTATCAGCACCCTGATTCGTCTCCTCCTGACCTTGCGGTATATACTCATATCCCAACCCCGTAGCATCAAACCCACCCTGCGCATGACCCTCTACGGCCGGCGCTCCGTGGATGTAAGACTCAGCAGACAGAATTGGCATTGACGGGTACGCATCGGCAGGTTGAGATCCGTCCGGATGTGCATGCGGGAAGCTGTATTCTGTCGGGAACAGTCCGGCGAATAGATTGCTTCCGTAATCCCAGTCGCCGGCCATGGGCATCTGGAAGAATTCGGGGACTGCGTTGCTGCTGAATGAGTCTGGGGAGTGGGTTGCGTTTAGGGTTGTTGGTGTTGATGTTGAGTGGGGTTGGGATGCTGGGAAGTCCTGGGAGAGGGGCCAGGGGAAGGTGTTGCCTGTTTCATCCATGTATGTGCTGCTTGGATTTGTGTTTGTGGTTGTGGGAGCGTAGGTGTTGGGTTGATTAGGGAGATATGAGGGTTGCGGTTGCGGTCCGGGTTCGGTGCTACTTGGGATTGGGCTGATGGGAACCACGTAGCCGGAGGAATTGACTGGCGGCAGGCCGTCCAGGGTATCGGGGATACTGGTGTCTAGTCCGTTTGGGGTGGGGGTAGTTGGTGATCGGTGTCGGGGTACTGTGTCGGGGGTCATTGCTGTGCGGAGGGGTGTGGGTTGACGTTGACGGTGTTGGGTTGGGTGTGAGGATCGGGAGGAGGTGCGTCTTTTAGTGCGGGGTTTGTGTTCTTGGTCTGCTTCGTCTGGGACGCGGGCTCGCTTTTCGTCTTTCTCGACTGCGACTCGGGCGATGCGTTCGAGGGTCGAGGACATGCGGGTCATGACTCCGGCGTAGTTGTTGGGTCCGTCGCCTGGTTTTAGGGTTGCGAAGAATGTGGAGGCGATGTTTAGGGATTGCAGGTCTGCTCGCACCCTTGCGTGGCGTGTGTCTCGGAGTATACTTGAGAATAGTGTTGATGCTGCTAGGAATACGTAGTATAGTAGGGACCTGATGTTGGGTGTGAGCGGAGTTTGGCATAGAAGAATGAATGAAGAGAGAGGGGGTGAGCTTACCAGGTCCATGCGATATCTCCCCATGGCATATTATTGACGATCTTCAAGGTCTCCCGAGCAGCCTGGGCGCCGATAGCTGCTGATCGAGAGGCATGTGCTTTGCTGACTGACTTGAGCTTCTCGGAGTCTTCCCTGGCTGTTATTATGTAGTTCAGGAAGAGCGGTACCCGGTGAATCATGATCATAGCGTTGTGGTAGACGAAGTGCAGACCGATTGAGGCAAAGCCAAGCAGATTGTCATTTTCGGCAGATTTCATCTTCGGTTCACTGAGATTCGGGGAGTCACGCTTCCATTCTTCAAGCTCGGCATGTAGTTCCTCGACCGTTTTGTATATTTCGACAGGAGGCCTCAGCAAAGCCTTGGCAGAGTACAAGCGACTGTAGATACGGCTCTTGATGAGCGCCATACGACAAAGCTGGCGGAAGAAGGGAATGTTGTTGGCAGCATCACCATGCCTGTCGTTTTCCAATTCTTGGGGAAGAGGGACGTCAAAGTCATCTTGATGTTGCGATGGGGCATTTCCAATCCTTAAGCATGTACTAAAAAGGTCATTGGTACTGGATCTCATGGTCAATTCTACCGCTGAGAATGTCTCACCTTTGGTCAATGACAAATGCAACCCAAAAGACACGCCGTCTTTCTTCTTGTTCAGCTGGGCTAAGCCCCGGCCTTGCGATGTCTCGATGAAGCCCCATTCGGTGAGCAGATCGCATAGCGGCAGTGATGAGGGGCAGAGCTGACTGCGTGCCAGAATTGCCTCGAAGGAAGAACGCCTTTGGAAAAGTTAGATGGGTCCTTTTAGTAGACGGCGAAGTAGACGTACCATGCTAAGCAAAGCCTGTATACTCAGCAGGTCGGTGCGCTTTAAGGCTAGTTCCGTAAAGACCGACATGGCATTTTTGAAGTACAGCGCAGCCTTCTCCTTGTCCTTTTCCAACTTGGAGCTGTTTGAATATCGATATTCGTATGCCAGACAGATTACCATGTTGATGTTGGCCCAACGGGCAGCATCATCGCAGGTCTGCTGCGTATATTGCCACTCGACCATCTTCATGAATGATGACTCAAGGTAGATGGGGAACAGACGGTTGGCCGTCCGAAAGAAATCCTTCATGAGAGAGAATACCTCCGCCCTTGAGGGCAAGGGCTTGAAAACCTGCGAGGCAAAAAGATCGTGAAACACATCTGGTCGCCACTGGTTCCAAGGGTTCTCATGGATGGATTCAGGCGACACAATTTTCAAGAAGCCGACCTCGCCTGTCTTGCTCTTGATCCACTCGATCCCGGCCCTTGACAGAATTGACATTGAGCTTGATTTCCCTGTCCATTCCGTTAGCTGATTAGTCTGATACCTCATCGAGCACATGGACCTTTCTCTTACCAAAATATCGAGAATCGTCTCGTTGGTCCACTCTGAATATGGGCGTCCCCTCAAGATCTGGTTTATTTGAACAAAGGGACCTGAGAGCCCTTGACTGTTGGCTCGAAGTAGATGGGCTGTCTTGACCGTCGTCATCAAGATCATCATCATTAAAGTCGTCGGGGCTTATATCGCCCTCCTGCAGAATGCCCGCCGTCCTCAACAGCGACTCAACCTTGACAAGACGGGCTTTCAAAGACTTGACGTACTCGTCAGTACTGCGATGACATTAGCCATGATCGACGGTCCAAAGCAATAGGACAATGGGTCCGTACCTTTGTGGATCCTCCCGCTTCTCATGGCGCACCGGAAAGACACAGCGGGTATTACGGCGCATACATTGCACGCAAATTGGACTAGACCCTTCTGTTTCACATTTGATCTTTTTTCTGTGGCACATCTCGCACGCCTAAAATAGCCGTTTGATACCCGTCAGTAAGGCTGCAATTCCTCAATTCCGGACTCCGGGGAAGGACTTTTAGAAGATAAGACAAAACCTACCCTCGGATGTTGTCGCGTCCATGATGTCGAATCCATGGGCAATTCGTTCTGGTAAGAGAACTCGTTCATTTGCATTGACAGCTGGCTATGGATTGCCGCTGTGAGGTTATGCGCTCATGCCAAGACTTTGTGGAAAAAATCGGCTCAGCGGTAATGGCGCCTTCAACCCGGGGGGATCTCTGAGTTCTCTGTTTCCTCGCTCAAGCCCCTACTGGTGTCTTGATTATAAGAATATGCAGTGTGAGAAGAAGAAAAAAGAAAGGTATGATTAATCAGGGCGGCCCCGGACGTCGGCACTCTCGGAGTCCGTTATGTGACTGCCGGGGTGACCTTGGTCCGGTTTTGAGGCGGGGTTAACTTTCTGAATCTCCCAACATCGTACTTGGCTATCTCTAGACTCGGTTTGAGTGTGGGTTATACATCTGGAGATGCGATTTTGATAGACAGTTCCAGAGCTACACATGGGTGAAGCGGGGCTTATGTTTGACAGTCGTCGTCATCGTCGGTGGAGTGCGAACAGTTCGTACGGAGTAGAATGTACCCGTAGGCCGAGGGACCGAAGCAATGATCGTCATTGTAAGTCGAAAGGTGAGATTAATGAGATTATGAGCCCCTTCTTAATCGAACTTTTCTAGAAGCAAAGCAGATAAGCTTAAATCCTGGACCCGAAAAAATCATCCATGATTCCAACCCTTCTATGCCACATCCGGACATGACAATCCCGACAGCAATTCAGATCGCTCCAGGCAACAGATCTGACAAATGGAGCAAAGGGACCCCCAGTTAGAATTATACAAAGATTGGGCGTTTGGCTGCACTATGTTCTACTCGAGGATTACAAGCTATCGCATTTTCCTTCTCAAGGCCTCGGCACTATCCCGCTAATCCCTCATCATTCGGCCAACTACGATTGGAGTTGTGTCGATTGAAGACATGGGCCTAGCCATGGCCAAACCCCAGAAACTCACGACTACCGCATTGTCACGGTCGCAAAGGGAAGAAGACACAGCGTCAATCCCCAAACATGAGACACCTCATGGCTGGGAACTAACGGTCCCCTCCGGGGCTCTAGTGCGCAACACATTCGATGTGTGCTCAGGGAGTGAGCAAGGCAAATAGATAAATAAAAAATCCCGGCTGAACATTCAGACCGGACTCATAACCTGTTTCCCATGGTGACTACCGTACCCTAGGAAGATGCCCCTCCATGAGCGTGGCATGATATGGTTGTTGCTGGGATGGTCTTTGATCTCCTCCGGACACCAAAATGCATTTATCCACACCGTACGCGCACGGCTAAACCGCCAAGGTCGAGCGTATGATGCGCACTGTAACGTATCTCGAATGGCATCATCTCCTTGTGGTCGCTTCGCTTCCGATCCCAGTAGATCGTCATGTTGCGCAGCATCACCGCTGTGCGCATGACTTCCGGCCACAGGCGATCGAAGCGACCACAAGGAGATGAGGCCCTACGAGGTACGTTACGGAGTGAAACCGGATGTGAGCTTTCTCAGGATCCCGGATGCACGGTGGCTACTCCCCGGAGGAGATCAGAGATTATCACAGCAACAATGCCACGCGCGCGGATCCGCTCAGCAGATATTGAGATCTTACCTTCTGACCAGGAACCAGTAATTCAAGGCGACTACATACTCTCACTTGTACCTCCATGTAACGCCATAGCGACAGCGCAGCGTATCGCAGATGCACATGCATTGGAGTACAACTGGCAACCTCCGAGCAGCGATCGAAGACATAGACAGCCAGCCCAGGCGGGACCAAGCTGCAGTATTTGTAGCTCAACGCGGTGTCCGCACAACCGGTGTCAGACATGGCAGTGCAATTCTCCAGACCAACTACAGCGACGGATCCCCATGCGGAGGCACTTCGGTCTTCGGGTCGATGGCGGAATGATGGGCGGGCCAAAGCACGCAAGACTGGAGCTGGAAGCCTAGAAGAATCTAGTGCGGTGTTGTCTGGGATGGTGGATCTGCCCCCTGCATTTTATGTGGCTGGCCGACTTTCTGGATATGAAGCTTGTCTCAACTCGGAAATGTGGCGCATCCACCCTCAAGTTATCCTTTGCTGCGCTTAACCAAAGGGCTCACTGCGCTGTCTATCATGTCCTTCTCCATTGCGCAGTAGGAATCGATGCTGGCGGGGTTGCTAGTATTGTTGAAGGATCCTTTCGTCGCACTGCTGATTGCCGTGACATATGGATAGTCGGGATGAGTCCCAAGGCATACCGATGGGTTGATGAAAGACGTGGGATCGGGAAGGCGTTCTATACCGAGGGTGGCTGAAATGGGGTCGGGGCCGGTGTTTATGGAGGACTGGCCAAGGCAATGGAACCACGGAGGATACCATTTTGAGGAGGAAGATCGGACCCGAGAGTATGACGGACGACGGCCGAGGATGCTCAGATCATCCCAGAAACGAGAGACATGTACGACATGCTATGTCATCACGGGTCGAAAGGAGAGAGGATTTTCCGGTGCCAAGCTTTAGGCCTCCAGTTCTTCGTGATGGACACGGACCAGTACCGCGTCATCTTATAAGACTAAGTCTGTGATGTTCGAAAGGTACAAAGTACAGTTCTTCGGTGTCATGTAACAAGTACGAAGTCTCCGTGCTTCGTACGCTATTACGTCGAGCGCGTATCCAGCAAGAAGCCGAGTGGGGATCGTCGGCTCGGGCCCTTTTTTTCTGCCAGATCAGCGTAGCTCGGGGGATCTGGAGATATAGGAAAAGCTATGCCTACAGGCTATTCTGATTGTATATGCTTTTACGCAGTATAATTATCTATCTCTATCACTACCTCTATATTCCGACTCTTCCTACTACGTAGTGTATACGCAGTAACACAGTATAAGATCTACATCTACCCTGATCACAAGGAAATCACTAACATAGAAAGCGGTCAACGATCAACCAACCACATGTCGCGATCACGACATTTCTCCATTGTATCAGATCATCGAAAGTCCCATCTTGCTCCCCATTGAGCTTCCACTTGTAAGCCTCCGTAGTCCAAGTTCCTTTTCCCTTCCCCACCCTACTTCAACCCCTGCAATAACTCCGACTATCGTGATTCGTTCAAGTGGAACTTCCGCGGCAGGCGACGATGAAAGTAGTGCTCCTTCGAGGTGATCGTGGCCGAGGACTCAACTTCGGTCTTCCTCTCAATTGATTTCATTCTTTTTTTTTTCAATACTCAACCAACTGCGTATTTTTTTGATCTGATTTTTCTTTTCCCTTTAATTGTCTGCGATCTGATTGCTTCATTGCAATAAGGAGATTCCGGCCTCATCTGGGGATCTCGTCTAGATTCAAACCCCTCTTCTCTTACGCATTAAGGCCAAGAAAGAACCCTGAACTTTGGAGGATCCCTAAACTCTTGTTTCTTCTACGTCTTCATTTATTCTCCTTGACAACCATGTCGGGGGAACGACCACCTATGCCAGCTCCAGGCCCCGTCTTCGATAAACTTGAGAACTTCAATTTTTTGATGTCGCGCCACGATCCCGCGAACAAGACCCGACAGTACTCATTTGACACTGATGCAGGGCTGGTCCCGTTCGGCAACGTCAGCATGGATTACGATCAGACAGAAGGCATGGGCGGTCTATCTGTCAGTTCCTACGAGAGTATAGATGACGACCGCAGCTCTCTTGATCTCCGGGGCTATCCCTACCAAGGTACGTGTGTCAAGCTTTGAGATATGTTGCCCGAAGTTGCATTCGTTACGCCATGGCGCCTTCCTTGCGTCTGAGCTTCTAGTTTGGGGGCTTAAAATCACCTGTCTGAAATTTGAAGTTCGATCTATCTGTTTGGGTGTTTCATCAGGCCCGGGTACCCAAGTATGGCATATCCGGGTTGGAACACCCTGTTTCCCCTATCACCTCCTCTTCCCCTTCGTACGCAATTCATATGAGCATTGAATAGCTCAAGAGCTGCAATGACAGGGGTGTCAGAGCAATTGAGTGCATTTCCATCTCCATTGCGGGATGAGAATCACCGTCGGTGCTCCTATTCCCCATAGCGAGCACGCAATCCTGCATCCAAATGACAACTCCCCCGGTTGCCTGCTCATGTTTAACTGCACATCCCCTCGAAACCCTTGAGCTTGTATCCTTCGGGAGAAAAATGATTTGCACTTCCCGCTCCATGGGGCTTAATACTATACCTTCGGGGCCATATCGACTTCGATCGCTTACTTCCTCCCTAGGCCCTCCCGGCGACAAGTCCGTCAACTACAACATGCCAGAGCACATGATGCCCTATCCAGCTCACTCAATCTACCCGCCAATCCACTATCCGCCCGACGAGCTCGGCCATGCACCAGGGGCCCTCACGCCATCTGATGTCTCCTCGTCTATCTCCCCACCAAATGGTCAGATGGGCAACACCAAGTACAGCACTTCCATCTCAAGCGACCGCATCGCCGACGCCCTCAACCAAGAGGAGGGTGTCCGCGGCGCAGCTGAGGAAGATCGTCGGCGTCGAAACACTGCCGCCAGTGCCCGCTTCCGCCAAAAGAAGAAGCAGCGCGAACAGGTCCTCGAACGCACTGTTCGGGAAACCACCGAGAAGAACGCCTCGCTCGAGGCTCGAGTTGCTCAGCTCGAGATGGAGAACCGCTGGCTGAAGAATCTCCTCACGGAGAAACACGATGCCGGTCCTCGTCTGCCGCCTCCAGTGAGAGATCCCGCCACCCTCGAGGTAAAAGGTGCTAGCGGCAGCACCAGACAGAAACATATTCAGCCCAAAAAGAAGGGCGTCGGCACCGAGGAGTGACGAACCAAATGGAAGAATATGTTATTTTTGTGTTGTCTGTTTGCGTTGCTGTTCTGTCTGTCTCTCTCTTTGTATCATCTCCCCGCTGCGGTTCTCCCTACGAATCTCGCATTCCTCTTACAGTTTTTGCGACGGTGTCTGCCCTCATCTCTCCCCTCTGCGCCAGTCATATCACAACGACAACGCAGAACGAGACAGATGAGAAGAGCAGACAACAAATGACGATGTCACGACCCTTCTCTTCTTCTCGTTTGCCCCGGCTCCACCTTCCGACCGTGGCCTTTTCGACTTCCAGGGATGGTCTTTAACCTGCGTACCTCTTCATTCCGATAATTGAAATCTGAAACCCCCCTATACCCATCCTCTCTACTCTCCTCCACATCTCTAGTGGGTGCTGGTTCAGACCCCGGGAAGTCGAATGGAATCTCCTTGTTCCCCGTTTGCGTTCTTGACTGGTTTCTAGTTTATACTTTTATATCGGATATCTTTTCATTGCTCTGGGATCTGTCTGTTCTTGGTTTTGCAACCGCCCTCTCGCTAGCTAGCTACCTCTGGGCCCGCCCTGCATGCAATATAATCTGGCTTTCCATCTTATATCCAACTATTTCACTCTTTCGATCGTTTGCTTGCCAGGGGGATGGATACACTGACTTGGTCTTTTCTTTCCCCTTGCTTTGCCCAGTAGCTGGGTTCGTATAAGGCAGAGAGATTAAAATGTAAGACTGCTGGTGATGACGTGCTATATCAGAAGGATTCGCTCACTGGTGTCGATGGGCATTGGAGGGAGATGCAATAGACGGTGTGTCTTGGCTGTACTTTTTTTCTGGGGTAAAGGGTCCATCTCCACAGGTTGGCTCCAGGGCTGCACTGTTCAGTTTGATGGACTGCGCTACAGATCGTGCTACATTTTCCTAATCAGGTGCGAACTACATAACTACATGTAGGTACCTACACGGGTATTGAACGGCTTAAGAAGGAATCAATCCATTGAACATAATTACCGTGGACTATCGTCGAACGCACCAAGAAAACTCCAAAAAAGAACAAACAATCCAACGTAAGATGGTATTACATCAATTAAGTAGAGTCGATGGGAAAAGAAAACAAAAAAGACACGTCACTGCAGTGCATAAATCTGTATCCAGCTCTGCGGAGAAAGAGAAAGAAACATCTGCTGACCCACACACGCCCGATGCAGAACACAATCTGGGATAAAGTGGGCACGTTAGCGCAGATCCCGAGCACGATCCAGAGCCATTGGATTACGACATTGACTGCCGTCGATGTGAGGAAAGACAGCCTCGAATATCGAAGAAAAAGTTGCATGGCGTGATTGATATGCCTCCTCTTTGAGAATAACATCGAAAGAACAACCAGGACAGAAAGAAACGCAGACGGTAGTGTATCAAAGATCAGAAGGACGCGGAAAAGTTCAACAAAAGGAAGGTGGGGACGAGGAAAGAGGAACAGCAGGAGAAGCACACTGGTGAACCTCAGTTCGAGATTGCAGCCGTCAGATTCGTGAAAAGATGTTGCTGTAATATTTTTTATCTCGCAACACTCTTTAGGCAGTAATGGGCTCGCGCTCTTCCTCGCGACCTCGCAGCTCCCCATCAATGGTGCTGACACCATCTTCGCCATCCTCGTAGCTGGGGTGCTGGTCAGCTGGGAGCCAAGAGTCGCGGTCCGCGGGCAAGGGCTGGTCCTGTGAAGACAGGTCGACACCCTCGTGATTCTTGTTGAGGTTGGAGCGGTGGCGCTGGGAGAGGGTACGGGAACGCTGGGAGAGGCTGGACTTGACGACTGCCTTGGAGGTGACCCAGTTGCTGAGCGCATCCTCGCAGTCCTGGATGATGGCCTTGGAGGCGTCGTAACCGTCGTAGGCGTGGCGGGTCTCGCCGGGAGTGACGGGGGTGTCGTCGATCAGGTCGAGGAGGTGCTTACCGTAGCCGGCGACGATGGCGACCTTCTCGCAGTGCTCACGGAGTGCATCGAACTGATATTGGAAGGCGGCCTTGACCTTCTCGCGGGTGATGTTCGACAGCTGGGCCTCGGCGACCAGGGACTCGGCTTCGGCGCGGACGAGCTCCTGCTCCAAGACGACGATGCGGGGCGAGTTGGGGTCCTTGTACTTCAGCTTGGCGATCTCATCGGTGATCTTCTGCTTGCCTGTATGATTGATGTCGGTCAGTTAAAGCTCATCCAGGAGTTGGTTGCCACGCTGAGGTAGGGGGGATCTTACGATCTCGGCTGGGCTGTACGGAAGCCTCAATGTTGCGGATGCTCTTGATGGTGACGCGGTACTGGTCGTAGCGGTCGACGAACAGATCCTCGAGCTCACCGATCTCGTAGATTAGCACTCCGAGCTTGTCCGTCACATCCGACACATCCTCATCGCAAGCTTCACCCCAGATGGAGAGTTGTTGCTATGGCGACCGAATTAGTTTATAAGTTCCCCAGGGTCATCACATCCCAGTTACATACAGCGACTTCCATGCGCTCACGGGCGACGAGCTCCATGCTGCGCATGACGTTCTTCTCCATCTTGACGAGCTGCGACAGCTTCTTGGCAAGGTCGGGCCCGAAGGCACCGGCGGCGTTCTTACGGAATGCATGTCCTGATGACGGTCTGTCAGCATATTCATTCTCTGCCAAAGTGATATTTTCAACGACTGGTGTCCTCCGAATCCGCCAATGCCGTCCCTGGAGGGGTGGGACAAAAGGTGATTGCGGCCCAATGTGGCAGCCTTTGAGCTGACGACACACAGCCACCAGAAAATCCAATCGTCGAAATCGATCGCATGAGTGATTTCAAGCGCACTCACCGATTCCGCCCTTTCCTAGCCATCTTCCGGTCTTGGTTGTGGACAATGGTGGTGGTGGGCTCTCGATCTGCGAGGCGGTCGGAGCGCGCGACTGGCGCATGGAGTAGGTGCGATGCATGATGGGCGGAAAGTAAAAGGGATTGGCGGAAGGTTGAATGAAGAAGGAAAGATGAATGTCGAGCTGGTTCCTGCAGGAAAAGAAGTTAGAGAAAAAGAGTTTCCTGTGCCTTGCGCAGTAGTGACGTGAGGTAAAAAGAGGGGCGCCTTTGATTTTTTGGGAGTCGACACGCACTTGACCTGGACAGATGTGACGGAAGATTTGGCTGCAAGCGGATGAGAACAGGGGTTGAGATTAATAGGCAATGACAGTGGAGAGCTAATTATTGAGGTGATGTTCTGGGAGAAAAGCTCGAAGGTGACGTCGACTACTTTTCCAGCGAGGTGAAAAAGGAGAAACAGCCAGTGAGATGTGAGCCTCGGAAATGGGCGGATGAACACCAAAGGAATTACCCAGACACACTAGAGGTGTCAGTTTCTGCTAGTTCGTTGCGCCAATAGCGTCGATCTGGTTGAGTTGCATTTATCGAGTCTCTTTCACGATCGCCGACGTCATCGATCCCCCCTGATGTCATGAGGTGTTCCTGCGCCAAGAAAGACTCGATGGGAATTGGGAGATCAAGGTTTAATGTTGCATTTTTTTTTCCTTATGTGTGTAGCACGAGAAGCAAGTCAAGGGTAAGAAATGTATCTGTAGACTGTACCTGGAAGAAGAGATCGAAGCACCTTTTCCACTTTCCCCAGATTGACGAAGCTTGGTACGCTAAAATCTCGGATTGCTTAATTTACTGGACTCGCACATCTTCTACATACAGCGGTTCGAGACCCCATTGCTTGACACTCCACAAGTCCCACTGATCGCTCTGATCGCCCTCGAACTCCTGTTCGTGGGGAAGCCACATTGGCTTCGTTTCTCACCATCTTTGGATGAGGATCTAACCCTTCAGCGCCTACTTCCACCAAACACATATCATATCAAGACTCAAGAGACACCGCGTTGTACAAGACCATACATTGATGTGCTCAAAAGTTTTACACACATTGATCCTGAGTGAATTCGAGAGATAGTATGGAGAATTAATTTAAACCCATCCACCCTGAACTCCGAAGAAGTCATTGTAATTTGTAACGGCTGGTGCCCGCATATGGCCACGTGACTGCCAGTATGGAGTGATTGGAGTCTCACTCCGGACGCACCTGGCAGTTTCGATCATTCTGCATCTGCAATTTATCATTGGCTATGGCTCCACTGCTATCTGCACTATCAACAGCGCGCTGGTTATCGACCTGTACCCCGGTGCCAGTGCTAGTGCAACGGCTGTGAACAACCTGATGAGGTGCTTGATTGGGGCTGCTGGTGTTGCCGCTGTTCACCCATGATTGATGCTCTTAGGTACTGCTCAGTTTGCATTTATTTTGCTTGCTGGCGTTACCGTTGCCATGATTCCTCTTCTTATGCTTGAAATGAAACGGGGATATAAGAGCCAGGCACAGTCATTAAAAGTGTGGGTGTGGAGTGGCCAATCAATCGGTCCTACACGTAGAAGCCTCGGATGCAACAGAAAATGTCGTATTTCCATAGGTCGTACAGCGCTTCCATACATGGAGCAGAGTCAGCTGTACAAGTTAATTAGATATATGCTTATAACCAATAAGATCCATTAGCTTACTGACTACGGACTTCGCCTTCAAGCCGCCCGAGCGAAGCGAGGGTAAACGGCTTGTGGTCTTGATATGCAAATTTAACAACTGATCATGATGCATCAGAGTCTGCACGACGTGTCTTTCGCTTCTTGCTGGTGCCAGCCTTGGCCTTGGCAGCTGATGCACCTCTCTTGCTTTGCTTAGGCGGTGCAGATGCTTCTTCCTCTCCGTTCCCACCAACTGGCTCGGAACCTGATAAGGTTCCATCAGTCTGGGCTTCTTGTCGTAGTCGACCAAATGCCCTTTCCATGCGGCTGGGTCCGCCTGTACGAGCATGAGGTGCAAAGGCACCCGCGCCCTGGGGACCTGTCATGAATTGTGTGATATTAGACTGTGTACCTTCCTGCTCACGTCGATTCATGTCACGAATAACCGGCACCAGGACTTCGTCGGTTCGCTCTTGACTCCAGCCGATGGTCGTCATGAGGAAGTTTCGGAGACCGTTCAGATCAGGTACACCCCATTGGAATTGGGAGGGGTCATCGTCAACCTCGGGTTCAAGATATGCCTCGTCAACTCTGCTATCAGGGAACGAAGGAGGCAAGAAGATCTTGGATGCCTTCTTTCGAAATCTCTTCCGGAAGCCACTGTGCGCATCTTCTGGATTATTTGTCCCTTTTTGTAAATCCGTCCACCAATTGCGAAACTCTTCGAGGGTGGAGAACTCGGTAAGAATCTCGAGAGCGGTGACGGGACCAATCCCCGGGATGCCCTCAGTGTAATCGCTGCCCAATAAATGGGCAAAACTGATAAGCTTCTGCCGATGAAGCGCGTACTCTTTCTCCAAGTCTGATGTCAGGTAACACTCGACGAATTTGCTTTGATTGAACATATTCTTGTAGACTCGCGTTCCTCCGAAGAGGAAGATATCACTGTCATCGGTGACAATTCCGTCCACGAGGCCTAGCGAGACTAATTTGGCACACTGAGCTTCAGCCTCCATGGGTGCGGTGATATAGGGCAACCCGAAAAGCGTCAATAGCTGTTGACACTCATTGATCATGATAGTGGTCACCTCGTCGGCATCACGACGCTCATTTCTCTGCTGAGAGCGTAGTTGTTTCAGTTCCTGCTCGTAGTCAAATGCTTCCTGGATAGGAGCAGCAGAATTGAGAGTATTGGCGAATCGCACGTGCTCCTCACCTTCAGCTGCAAGCTGCTTGAACAGATCTTCATCCTCCGGGTCGCTGTAGTCCGCTTGATCTTGCGCGAAAGCCTCCGGCTGATCGATCTCTTCAAACAGTTGAGGATGGGATTGGGGCTGCGCCTTTTGATGAGGCACAATGGTGATTTCAGATGCTTGCGTTGTTGGCACTCGAGGAAGAACATCTTCAAAGTCCGGCGAAAGAGAATGTTCACTGCGGGGTCGCTGCTCATCAGGGCTGAGCTCTTGTTTCTGGGTTTGTGAACTGGTACTCTCAAACGCCGTTATCTGATAATCTGCTTCAATACGAGGTTGAACGGGCTCGCCCAACGGTTTCTCGTCAGCATTTGTGGAGATGTCGTGGTAGATCTTCGCAATTTCCTCTGCTTGAGAATGTTTTGCAGTTTCGGTATCTCGGGTCTCTTCTTCCTTTGCTTCCTGCATTTCCCTTTTCTCCATTTCCACATCTGCTTCTTCTTCGTCTTCTGCTTTCTCAAGGTCAATGACTTCCTTGGTGATGGACTCTTTATCGGACATCGTATCAACATCGATGATGTCTGGCGAGCGACGATTTGAGAGAAAAAGATGGTCTTGCGCTGCGAATTGCTCATCGTCCTTCCCCGAATCTTCAATGGGATCAACAATGAACCCTGCATCTGAGGGTTCACCAACAAACCATGGAGGAAGTGGGTCTGCCTGCTTTGGTTTCTTCTCAGATTCCTTTACAAAACCGCCTGCATTCTCATCCATGCCAGGCTTGTTGTTATCTGGGGTGGATTTGGTGAGCTTGATGGATTCAAAAGGAAGTGGACCACTGAATGCATTTGGTGCATGGGCGGCCTTTTTGGGGACCTTTGTCCTGGCTACGGCCGCGGCAAAGTCCATTCCATCATCGCTCTCAGAGTCCGGCTCTGGGATCATCTCATAAGATGGAGCTGGCTCAACCGATCGACTGATCGGCCGTTCAGACACAACTTCATCATTGTTTTCATCGGGCATCAATGAAAGAGCAATGGCTCGTTCGAGGTCATCATCGTCACCATCAAAATACTCATCGGTGTCGTTGTTTTGCTGCAGTGCGCCGATGTTTCCTTCGGCTTCAACGAAAAGCGAGTCATCTGCGGCATCTTGCACACGACGTTCGTTTACCGCCTGTCGCTGTGCAGCTTGGCGCGATTCTTGCATGGCCGTTCTCATGTCGAAGTCTTCGTCGGTTTGCTGTTGAAGTGCTTGGTCGAATACACCGTCACGAAGAAAAGGAAGCCTGGGAAGTCGATTTAGACCCTCGATTGGAACGTCCTCGAAGGCATCTTCATCAGACAACTCATCATCATCGGACACCACTTCAGGTCGATCTAGATCGATGGGCTTGTCTTCGTATCCTTCTTTGTTCCCCACAACGCCTAGGACCCATCCACCTTCATGTTCGCGATCCTTCACAAGGACGTACTCCCTGCCGCGTTCTCCTGCGATACGCTGCCCAGAATTGTAAAATGCCTCTTCCCCGTTCATGCCGTTTATATTCATTAATCGTTGCGTAAGGTCATTACGCTCTGCGACACGCTCGATTTGGAATTTCGAGAATGCCATGCGATCGGGAAACATCGTATCCAGCTGTTCCTTCGAATAGCCCATGCGAAGCCGACTCCTTAGCCTCGCTGCATTCAAGATGTTGTAACGATCAGTCGCTGGCAGACTGAGGAAAAAGGGGCTGTCGAAGTCGATTTTGGAGAAATCGTAAAGATTGATATCTTGACCCTGGTGGAAATGTCTGGCATACTCCTCTAGCTCCTCTTGAGACATGATGCGTGGATCATTTGGTGCACCCATTTCTTGGAGCGAAACGTCCAAGTTGGGTAGGTGATATGCGTCTTTTTTCTTGAATTTTCGACCTTGTTGTTTTTCCTTGTCTGTCATGAAAGCCTCCTCTGCATAAACAGGAACATCTGGCACCTCTTCCTCCTCTTGTCTCGGATGCCTATTGCGTCGACGAATAGCCTCTTCTTCCGCACTGCGTTGCATTTGGACTGCAAGCAATTTTCCTGCAGTTCTCGCCGCATCCTCCCTGTGACCTTCACGCCTTTTCTTTCGGCTAGCGATTGTCTGTCGTTTCATAACCGGTGCCCCGCCATCGAAGACGAAGACGGGCCGAATGCCGAAATACAGTAGTTTGCAAATGCGGCGAAAAAATCCAACAATGTGAGAGTTGCGGAGCGCATTGCCTTCTTTGTCTCGTACCGCTTTCAGAAACTGATAGATCCAGATCGACGCGTCGACGGCCAGTCGTCTCTTGTTCAGCGTTTCGAGTTTGATCGGGCGAGCGCATGGCTGCAGGACTGTCCAAAGGCCCGTGACACCCATCGCAAGTCAAAGGAATGCTTAAATCATGAAGGAGTATTGGGAAGGTTTTGCATCGTATGAAGAAGTACACATGAAGCGCGAAAACGATTGTGGTGATTCCAAGACCTAGTAAGCAGGACACTGCGAGCGGTGACGTGGGCATTCGACCGCTTCGCGCCTTGATCGCGAGATCACGTGTGAAATATTGCCTGATGCGGATTAGCGTTTAATTTCATAATCACGCCGGGGAGCTTATCGCTTATCGAAAAATTAGTGGGCTTTTTTTCTGGCGTATGGTGGGATGTACATTTTCGTCTGAGGCAATTGAGACATTCTATGTCAATCTCTTGTCTGCTCAATGGGAGTAGAAGCTGGCAATGTCTCTCCCGCTTGAGGTCAGTGTCGTCTTTCCGTAACCAAACTGGTGTCCCACTGACTCAAAGTGCAGCATGTTGACGCTTGTCTTCCAATACCCGCATTGAAGACGTATGTTTTGGATGATAGGCGTTATGTTTTTCAAAGTCAAGGCCCATTCTTCCGGGTGGTTGATGTGATCACTGGTGTTGTCGCTGCTCAGATCCAGACATTAAAGAGAAACGATATTCATGGCTTCATTACTTTGAATCAACGACGGGAGGATCGTGACCCATGTCATGTTCGAGTCGTTGTTTGGGGTGGTCGCTCAGTGCGAGCGATCAACGTCTCCTTGAGCTCTAACAATGAAATCGAATTGTCAATCTCCAGTGCCGAATACAATGCATCAGACTGGATTATGAGTGGATGCGCAGCGGCTGAAATCGGCCACTATGGGGCATTCCTCATCACCGCCAACAATGCACTCTTGAGTCTCGAGGTGCTTGACAGCGAGCTGCCCGGGGAAGAGATAGAGACGACGATATCCATATACCAGCTGGCGACAAGCGTAAAGTCTATCTTATACTCCGCTAACGTGATCGCTCTGTCTCCTTCCCATGTTCTCATTGCCGCCGGTACTGTTTTCGGAGAAATCATCGTTTGGTCGTGTTTTCTAAATGACTCCGGATCACACAGGGATAGTGCAGTTGCCTCCATTCACCATTTCTTCACGGGACACGAGGGTTCAATCTTTGATGTCCGCATTTCCCCACACATCCCGTCGCTGAATGGAGACCAGTCTGGTAGGCTACTGGCCAGCTGCAGTGACGATAGAACTGTGAGAATTTGGGATATATCAGATTGCGAACAAAAGACGGCACAGGATCCTTCTGCATATTCCACTGACGGCTTCGAGCTGCGAAGTACAGGTTTCGGTCTCGTCGATGCAGGCGCAGAACCCGTTGGATCTGAATCATGTGTTGTGCAGGAATTTGCCCATGCGGCCCGCATCTGGGGCGTCCATTTCAGGGCTATCCAAAATAACAAGCAAACCCACATTGGGCTGGTCTCTCGTGGAGAAGACTGCACATGTGTGATGTGGGATTTGAGCTGGCAGCAATCACTGGCAGGAACAAACGAGTATCGGCTCAGCCAGACTTCCTCGATACAACCACACATTGGAAAGCACATTTGGTCTCTGGATCTTTGCAGGATTGGCCCTGAGACTGTGGTTTACACCGGAGGTGCCGATGGTGCATTGAAAAGTTTTCCCATCAGAGAGAACGATGACGAACATTTGTGCAGTGGCTCGACTTCTTCTTTGCAGCAACCGTCTTTGCAACAGAAGGGGAAGAAGAAGCAGCCCACGGCTGATGGAGCGAAAGCCTTTGCATTTGTCTCTCGGGACTATCTTCTTCGCACTTCTACACTAGGCCAAATTCAGATTGGACATCTTGGGAAAACAGAGGAGAACTTCAACACTTGGGAAACACTATGCGAATCATCGGACCTCGGTTCCTTCAGTGTGATCACCGCTCTGCCTCAGAGGGGTCTGGCATTGATCGGTAATTCTGAAGGACTCATTCGACTCTACAATCACGCTGCAAAGTCAATCATCCCCGTTGCAAACGTGGGTAAAAGACCTCTCGAATTATTCCTCCTTGAGACTTCTGCCTCCAGACCTGATACCTCAAATACCTGCAGCGACCTTGCCTTCCTCGTCTGTTACCCCGTAGGAGATGAAATCACACTCGTGAAGGCCTCCAATTGGAGCACTGGTTCTCCAAATGCCGAATTAACCACCTTCAAACTGCCATCTTCATTTGTGGTTTGCAGTGCGTCTCTCATATTTGACGGCCGATATTTGAGTATTGGGTCAAAGCTGGGAGCCCTTGCTGTGTACAACACCTCCATGGCTGAAGCCGTGTTAGATCAGCGCCGTGTTCATGGCCGAGAGTTTGTCAATCACATCAGCGTGATCTCGTCCATTGTCACCGGTCACGACACAAGATCCGACTTTGTATTGACCTGTGGTCGCGATGGAACCTACTGTGTCCACGAGATGCAACTTTGCGAAAGTGACTGTGGTGCTGTGACCATGGAGACAGTACATCGCACAGCATCTATTACCGGTGGAAATATTGAAGGTGCTTATTTCGACGGGAACACAGGTGACTTGATGTTGTACGGTTTCAGATCCCAAGATTTCGTTCTGCGAAACGAATCAAAACTGACGGATATCGTCTCCATTGCTTCAGGCGGTTTCCGCCGCGCCTGGGACTTCATCCCAGCAACTAAAGACAGCAATGCTCTGTTCACGTGGAAAGATGGGACCTCTCTGATGACTACTCGCGTACGAGCCGGCGCTAGCACTTTGATTCGAGCGGGAGGCCATGGGCGGGAAATTAAAGCAACGGATTCTTTCAACGCGTCTGGTGAAGAACGATCTCTTCTTGCGACTGGTGCAGAAGACACCACTGTTCGTATCTTCACACCGACCTCGTCGGTGACTGCTAGTCCATGGGGAACCTTTGAATGCCTACGTGTCTTGGATACACATAAGTCCGGTATCCAGCAGGTGACTTGGTCTAAGGATGGGAAGTACCTGTTCACAAGCGCTGCGTACGAAGAGTTCTTTGTGTGGAGAGTCCGTACCATTCCCAAATTCGGCATTGCTACAAAATTGGTCGCTGCTAGTCCAAAGGATGATGTGCATTCAGATCTCCGGATACCGGGGTTCGATTTGCTGGAAGTGGAAGAGGTTGGAGGGGAGCAGGGCTTCCTCCTGTGTCTTGCTCTTTCAAACTCAGTCATCAAGGTAAGAATCGCATTCCGTTATAATATCTGCGAATGCTAACCCTACTGCAGGTCTTCCACTTCTCGCCATCTAATGGAGGTCAATTCACTCTCCTGGCTCGTGGCAAATACATGACCAATTGTTTGACTCAAGCGCACTTCTTGGTGACCAGCTCTTCCGTGAGCCTTATCACCGCCGCGACGGATGGCTACTTCACACTTTGGGACCTGACCAGCACAATTGAACCATTCTACACGATCACCCAGTCCACTCTCAAGGCGAAGCGAAAATTCGACGGCTCTTCCATCTCATCAGAAAATATCGCATGCGAAAATCGATACCAGATCCATTCCAACAGCATCAAGGGTATGCAAATAGTTCCCTTCTCCGACGCCGCCACAGTCGTTGTAGCTGGAGGTGACGATAACTCTCTATCTGTCTCCGTCCTACGCACAGACCCAGCAGACGCCGGCACGAATGCGCACGTAGCTACGGTTTCCATCCCGGATGCTCACGCTGCGGCAGTCACCACGGTGAAGGTTCTCAACCAGCAGATCTCTCGTGATGTTACATCGAACGCGGAATCTATCAAGATCACCGTGGCGTCCTCCGGTAACGACCACCGAGTCAAGGTATGGTCCATTACGGTGGACCCAACGGTACCTGGCACGCAGGGGATCGTTGTGAAGTTTTTACTGGACAGATACAGCTCTGTAGCTGATATCTCATCATTGGGACTTATCCATGGACCTGGACATTGCTCTCCCGCTGAGCGCCAAGTGTCTGGATCCAAAACAGACCAGGCTCAACTGGTGGTATGCGGTGTGGGCATGGAAATGTTTAGTGTCAAGGCTCAATGACCCCCGATATACTTGACGCTCATTTGATGCATGATGTACATACGACTCCGATCCAATATGAATATAGATGATACCCGAAATTCGATTCGGATCCACCGTGGCGACTGGCTTATTCCATCATTTAATCGCTGCATCCCGCTAATTGAAGCATTTGACCACATGAATATTCACTTAGAGATTGTTCTTCCCTTGGCCAATACCTTTCCTTCGTTCTTTCCCTTACAATGGTTCATTCCTTCCACCTACACACATTTGTTCGTTTACAACCCTCGCGGGGCCAACATTGGAAAGTACCAGGCATGACCGGTGACTTATGCAAGTGCGACCGAGGATGTCTTCCGGCATATTTTGCCTTAGTGGCGCCCTTAGGTGCCTTACCTACTGGTCTCAACTAGGACCGGAGGAAATCACTGGAAAAGGTATTCGGGCAAGGGAAAGACAAGTAGTATATTGGGGTTACGTCCAAGCGGCATGATCGGACTCGCATTTACAACATCACAGAATGGCAAAGCCATGACTGGAGTCACTGGACAGGGTTTTACTCCGGTGGGTTCGGGAAATATAACGAATTCCTCCGGTCCGGGCAGGATCGATCGCTTTATTGATGCCAAGGTTATATAGTAGCTTTTACCCCCGCAGTTTCGGACGATTCCCCGCGCAAACCTGGCCAGCTTTATGCAGGCTTAGGGCTACGGTTCGGAGAGATGTACCGATTGAGGAAATGATTAGCAAGATCAATGCAATGAACAGATTTACTGCTTCTAAACTACTCGTGGGCTTGCCTATGTCGTGTATACGAGAGATCGCGAACACAACATCACGAGGTTGCCACATGCATCAATGGGTACATGTAAAAACAGATATAAAGGATGAGTTTGAGAAGACATGCATGTTACTTTTCTCATATCCTCAGTATACACATAACAGACTCTTATTTGGCTCGTCTTCGTATATCATGAAGCATTTCATCAGTATAATTGTTGGCGCTGGGATTGCTTCGGCAGTTCCACTGCAGTCTCGAGCTACAGATACCTTTTTCTTCACATTGTAAGCGATAGGTAGCGACGGCTTCCATCAGGAACTGAGCTGAAAGTCATTCTCAGTGGTGATTCCTACACGATGACCAGCTTCGATGTCGGTGGCACACAGCCAACTGCCAAAAAACCTATGGGAAACCCAGCGCTGGGTGAGCGCCCACCACAACGGCACGCCAGCTTGACTGACTAGAAATGGATTCACAGGCACTGGTACAACCACTGGCGGCATCAACTGGGTAGGAGACTTGACCACGGTCAACAATGCATCCCTGGTCCTCAGCTACAACCACGCCGTGGGAGGAGCATCTATTGACAATTCTCTGGTCAATACCAATGTAGATGATATGGTAACGCAAGTCGGCGTATTCGAAACAACATACAGCGAGAAGCCTGCTTCTGCACCGTGGTCCTCGGAAAATGCAGTCTTTGGGTTCTGGATTGGAATCAACGAGTATTGCGCCCCAAGTTTCTGAATCCTGATCATTGACTACGCTAACAATCAACTGTAGCATTGGCTGGGCTTGGTCAAGCAACGAAGCTAGCCTCCTGGTTCCAAAGCTGATGGCAAGATACAAGGCTCTCGCTGAACAGATCTACACAAATGGCGGACGAAAGTTCCTCTTCCTCAATGTCCCAGCCGTGAGCAGATCTCCCCAAATACTCAATCAAGGCGCGGATGCTGCGAATGGCCACGCTGCGTGGGTCACAGCGTACAACACTGGGCTCAAGGCGATGGTGGATGATTTTATCGCAAGCAACAGCGGGGTGAGTGATTATTTTTGTCCATTTTCCCGTTTTGTATCGCTAAACCCAGCTCTAGACTACCACTGTTCTCTACGATACTTGGAACTTTATGACAAAGATCCTGGATGCTCCTGCGACTTATGGATTCTCCGATGCTACTTGTGTCAATGCTGATGGTGTCTCGTGTGTCTGGTGGAATGATTACCACCCAGGCTACAAATATCACCAATTGCAGGCTGCAGATATGAAACTGCAGATGCAGTCTCTTGGTGCTTGGTAGATCAAGCATGAGGGCGAAGTGTTAAGATCTACAATCTAAACGAGATCATGAAGGAGTTGTACAAATGTAGATTGTACTGAGCTATGAGAGCTGTAGAAGGAAGAAAGTGCGGAGCTATGATGTGGTGGGAAACGGACAGCATCATGTGACAGTGGGAGAACTCAAACACGAAGAAGTATTTGCAAGGCGTGGCATGGAAACGAACCTAACTCTCGATTAGCTGGATATACTGATCTGTTAGATGGATGGAATGGATGGGAGTGTCATTTTACTCTGGTTTTGACTATCAGGTTTCTAGTGGTCTCTGTTTCAGCTGTAGTGCGATCAACTTGCACATCTACGCACTTGACCTACGGAGATAGTTTGCCCCAATGCCCACCCACCTAGTTCTGTCGGTTTCGAATTTATTCTTCCTCTTAGACGAATGAAACATATTGTCGCAAGTAACTTGTCCTAACCTGCCCCAACCCCACTAGTGCCCTGCATTTTCAACAGCTAATAACGCCGATCGATGCCTGAAGCGCCACGGGCTTGCAGAGTGTCATTTCACTCGAAACCAAGCTATGCATATTCAAGCCACGTTTCTCTGAAGAAACGATAAAGCGGGTTATTATGGGGTATACACAATGCATAATTCTCCGTCGACACGGTTTAGGTGTTCCACTGTGTACTAACCGAACAATCGGGGGCATTGCCATCCTGGACATCCGTTTCGAATATGGTAGCCAAGGAGCACTATGTCTTGTTGCTAGTCGCTGTTCTATCCCATGTTGCCGTATGTCATATTGTCTTGCCATCAGGGACATAATGTGGTCTCAACAGCAGAGGATCTGCACAAGCTCCGTGTCCTTTTCTGCCACTAGTCCCTGACGTCCGTCTGAATGCACTCATTCAGGCTATTTTGGCAGTGATTGAAACGCCAAGTTTGATGGAGACGAGGGCTATAAAACGTTCAATTCCTGGTCATGACCTCCGGAATGTGGCATTGCTATCTTCACTTGAAGTTCCCCGATCATCCCTTGCTCCTCTGTTTGCTCTAGATTTCACTTATCTCTATACAACATAGAGATTCAGTCACCACCATGAGATTGGATCAGATCGCCCTCGTTGCCGCTGTGGCTGGATCCGCAGCAGCAGCTCCGAGCAAGAGCCATGCAAAGCGCGCGTCGCCCTTCCAATGTTCGTGTCCATGTGTTGGAGAGCTTCTCGATCATTATTTAACCAGGCGCACATTATAGGGTTCGGAGCAAGCGAATCTGGAGCTGAGTTTGGAGAGACCAATCTTCCTGGAGTTTATGTAAGTGGAGCAAAGATGGTACGTCACTAGAATATCCCGGCTAATGAGATTCTGGACAGGGGACCGATTATGAATTCCCCGATCCTAGTTCCATCCAAACATTGGCCGGCAAGGGAATGAACATCTTCCGGGTGCCCTTCAGGATGGAACGGCTGGCTCAAGGGTCCATGACCAGCGGGTTTGACGCGACCTATCTCGGACAACTGACCGACGTGAGTTATGCCACTTGCTTCAATCGAATATGCGGGCACTGACATAGTTGCAGACCATCAAGGCCATCAATGATGCGGGAGCCTATGCCGTGATTGACCCTCACAACTATGGAAGATAGTAAGTGACCGTGGTTTCACTCGTGTCCGGAGCGATTGACCCAAAGCTTATGCGCATAAACAGCAACGGGGATATCATTTCAAGCACCTCGGACTTCCAAACATTCTGGAAAAACCTCGCAGGCCAATTCGCTTCGAATGATCGCGTCATTTTCGACACAAGTCAGTAATCCAAACCTTTCATTGCACCGCAAGGTGCCCGCTAATGCAATGAACAGACAACGAATACCATGATATGGACCAGACCCTCGTACTGAACCTCAACCAGGCCGCCATTGACGGCATTCGCGAAGCCGGGGCCACAAGCCAATACATCTTCGTCGAGGGCAACTCCTGGACCGGCGCATGGAGCTGGACCGACGTGAACGACAACATGAAGGCCTTGACCGACCCTCAAGACAAGATCGTTTACGAGATGCACCAGTACCTCGATTCGGACGGGTCAGGAACACACGAGGAGTGTGTCTCGCAGACAATTGGCGAGGAACGTTTGACGTCCGCGACACAATGGCTGAAGGACAACGGCAAGGTCGCAGTCATCGGCGAGTTTGCCGGTGGTGTTAATGACGACTGCAAGGCGGCTATCACTGGCATGCTCGATTACATGGGTGAGAACTCTGATGTTTGGCTTGGAGCGGTGTGGTGGGCTGCTGGGCCTTGGTGGAACGACTATATGTACAGCATGGAGCCCCCCTCTGGAGCGGCATACACGGGCATGATGTCGACGCTCGAGCCATACTTGTTGTAGACATCCTCGATCGAGCGAACCTAGTGCGCGGTAGTGAGAGGTGCGAAGCTTGTCAATAAAAACTGCTTTTCTTACATGGTGACAGCCGACTAAAGTTCCAAGCTGTAGCCATAGTGCATCTGTTTGTTGTCATCATCAAATGTCATTCGATTAGTCGGGCATACCAAGGTACTTCATGGTCTGCCGGGCGCATGGTTCTGCCTAAAAGAATCCAACCGCAAGGTTGGAAAGCAGGCCCGAAAGCTTATCCTGACTGCAGAAAAGTCGATCTGGATTCTGGAGCTAGTAAAAATAGAACCAAGGCATCACAATTATTGAATGCCCTTCGAAGGGAGGGCGGAGTAAGCCAAGCGGATGTATCACAGGGAGATCAGTGTAGGCGGGACTCCGGAGATAGTGCCAAGAGAAAAAAACGGGGGAGCCTAGCACTGCACATTGCAGGCCTACGCGGTAGTTGTGAGGCTGCGCCAGCGGAAAATTTCGAAAGGTCCACAAGGCTGTTGAAGTCCAGGAAGAATGACGAAGCGCAGGTTGGGAACTCGCCTATTTTGGCCACAGGAATGATGATCCCGGGCGGTCAAGGCAGGGAAACATGAAGATTGACTTTGGTGCATTTGGTACCTTGTACTTAGTGATTGAACGAACATTCTCGGTTATTGGACGCATAACTGTCCTGCATAGATCTCGAGAATATGGTCAAGAAGCATTGCCAGCTTCATATCGTCAAGCTGCAATGAGATTCATCTGATTGTTGAAGTGGAAGTTGAGAAAGAACTGGAGACCCATGCCACTAGTCCCCAATAGGACTAGCGTAAGTCACAAATAGAAGCAAACGTGGCCATGTTGACGTGAGTTCATTGCCTCTGATTGGACCGATGATCCTGCGCCTCTTTCGAAGGAGGCTGGTGGCCTGTTAGTGCGAGGCTGTACTCCATCGGTAGGCCAAGTTTGTACATCGCAATTACATCCTGGGGAAGGATCATGCTTTATTAAATTGGGCTCCTGTCCCAATCTCACTTCTCTCATCCACCTCTCAACCTATATCACCTATTCCCAATACCCGTCTTTCCTTCCCAATACATCAAATTAAATCATCATGGGAAAAGCCGGCCGCGTTGCGTGTATCTTCACGCCCTATGTCTTGACCATCGCGTCATTGGTCTGCATCATTCTGGTGGGATTGGGTTGCACAAATGCCAGTTCCTCAACATTGAATAACTTATACTTCCTTCGCGTAAGTTTACGGTGATTGATTGTCAATTCATCTACTAACACCAACTTTTGATAGCTTGATCTCTCCGATCTAAGCACAGGATCTGCAACAACGTCAAAGATCGAAGATCTCCTCAGCGAAGCCCATATCACTTCCGTCAGTGCGGATGAGATCTCACAAACCATCAAAAAGTTCCAGGACGATGCCAACATCGCCGATTTCTACGACATTGGTCTCTGGGGTTACTGCAAGGGAGATACCACCAATGGCAAGGACAGCATCACCTCTTGCACAGAGCCCAAGGCCCAGTTCTACTTCAACCCGTCTTCAGTCCTGGGAGTGAGCGAGGAACAGCTCGACAAAGAGCTTGGTGATGACTTCCCCAAGATCATGAAGGTCTACAAGGCCGTTTCCAAGTGGATGTTCATCGCATACTTGGTAGCCTTCATTGCTACTGCCGCCCAGATCCTGGTCGGTATCATCGCCATCTTCAGCCGCTGGGGCAGCTGCGTCACCACCATCGTCTCGATTGTCTCCTTCCTCTTCACCCTTGCCGCATCCCTTACCTCGACCATCATGTTCTCAATCGCGAAGGGCTCCCTTGGCTCAGCTCTTAAAATCTACGGCGTCGAAGTGGACTTGGGCAAGAACATCTACGCCGCCACCTGGCTAGCAGTCGTTTTCTCTCTGGCCGCTACCATCTTCTGGATGTTCAGCACTTGCTGCTGCTCCGGTCGCTCACCCTACGGCCACAAGGACCGCTACAACACCCGCGGTGGCATCACTGCCGAGAAGGCTCCTTACACATACGAGCCTATCGGTGCCGCGCACCCTCCCTTTGGAACCCCGCAGCCCTACACTCCCCAGCATGGTTACTCAACCTCCTACCCTTCCCCTACTCATGGAAATGCCCCCATGAACAGCAACAACCAGCACTCGAGCGCCTACGAGCCCTTCCGTCACGCCTGAGCGGGGAAAAGGCGACTCACAGATTTCTCTGTACTACCCCATTGAAGCGACTTTAGACTGGTGATACCAAGGCGTTTGGGTGACTTTTTCATGTTTTTGATGACCATGCTATTTGATTGAACTTTTGATGATTACGATGCCATTTACACAGCGAGACTACTGTCTATTATGGGGGAAAGCTTGCACTTACGTACATTGTCCTGATTCCCCACAGAGGAATCCTTAGCATCAACTTGCAACTTGCCAATTCAATATAAAATCCATTCATGAACCAAGACGTTGCTCTTTCCATACCTAACACCAACATGACCCGAAGCGAGCGGCCCGTATAGCCCCAGCCTTATGCATTAGCCGGGGAAAGGACTGGCGTCCAATATTCGATACATGTAGTTTGAACACTATCTGATCTTGCTGTAGCAGGAATGGGCTGCCATCTAGATCGAGAGGTGTTTACCTACCTACGTCAAGTGAATTGTGAGAAAAGGTCGGGCTTGGAGAGGTGGACGGTGCGTCCACGCATTCATTCCATTGGGGTTCTTGGATTTACGGGTTTGACTTAAAAGGCGGTTCGTTTCGAGAACCAGCCCAATTTTTACTGGAGCATGATCAGGGGGTTAATAGAACATTGATTGATTGATAGTTGAGGTTTGAACACCATGGCTCCCGATAATAGCGTACATGAATTAGTCGACAATAAAATCATGAGATCAAATCTTGCCACCATTCGATTGCTTTCTGCAATAAGAATCAAGAAATATTTTGGTAGTAGAGATACACATAGGCATTGCATGGAACCAGCCGCTGCCCAGCCAGGTAGAAGAGGGAAAAAATAATTACAGCCCGAGAGGGTAAGATTGCCGAGATCAGATTCATTGGTAGTCAGGGTTCTTCGTCAGGTTATAGGTCGGACGACAAATAACACCTTTCGCGTCAACTTGAACCCTAGTCCCGCCACGGCGATTGATCTCCAGGAGGAGATTTTGGTCCTGGCGTGCCCAGGTCTTGAATGGAGTGTTGGGGTCATCGGACCAGACAGGACCGGTGGGGAATATGTTCGCGAGAGACCGGAACCAATTGCTGCGCTGCCTTGGTGGCTCGAGTTCGGACTCGCTGTCATGCAGGGCAGGTAGAATTGCGGACGGGGCAGGAGGGGGGCCAGCATCAGGCGATGGAGATATTCGGCGATAATCAGTTTCATCGCCGAGTTCGACGCTGGCAGCTTCATGGTATGAATGATCTGCATCCTCTGCATCCTGTGCATCGTCTGAATCCTGTGTATCGTTCCAGTCGTTTGTCTCGCGTCTATCTTGGGTCTCGTCGATCTCTTCCTTCACGACAATGTCCCGAGCATCAGGGGTATTGCAAATGTCATGTGAGCCAGGTTGCGTTGCGTCGACCATATCTTTATCTTTTTGATCGAGATGATTCGAACTGAACAGGGAGTCCATGAGGATGTTAGGACTATCGTTCACTTCTTCTTTGATTCGCGCTGCACCGGCGCTGGTGGTAGTCGAGGAGGGTGGGAGTATCTGCGTCGCAGTGGGCATATGTACATCTGGAACAGGCACATCGCCAAAGGACCGAGCATGGAGATTTGAGAAATTTTCAACGAGACTTCCTGTGAAGGGAGGGTTTGACCCTTCACCTTGCGCTGCATTATTCTGCAATACCGGTCTCCGGCTGGCCTTTGGTTCGCGGACCGACAGGCTTGCAGGTCGGGGAGTGACCGGCGAGACAGACTGGGACACAATCACGTCAAGTCCACGGGCTGTCAGGCTTCTCTTCTTGTGCTGAGGGCGTGAGAAATTAGTCCAGAAGAAGTCTTCGTAGCGCAATGTCTTCAATTTTTGGGATTCAAGCTCTGCGAGATGGCGCGGATATTCCAGAAGATGTTGAATGACAAAATCATCCCACAGAAACGATCGTTGCAGCATTCCCGCCTTCCTCATTGCCTGCAATCTCGAACACATTTCAGTGAAATGAGCGAAATCGCCAGTGTATGACGAATAGCCGTTGCGGAACTTCTCATAGATAGTCTGTGCTTCGGCAGACTGGTCGAGTTTGCCGAGGAAACCCTGCCGCCGCGCTACCAACTCAGAAGTTGGACTGTGAGGTGGCTCTTGACGGGTCTCGGTATCTTCCAGACCGGAAGAGATAGGAGGATCCTTGGGCAGCGGCTCTGCATGGATAGCAACACAGGCTGGAAACTCTCTCGGGGATGAGTCCAACACTTGCGATAATCCATTAAGAGAAGATATGGCCTTCGAAGAACCTTGGCTCTGGCCATGAACCTGAGACGCAGGCAGCGAGTGAACATTAGTATAGGGGAAGGACGAAAGATCATCGGAGGGATCCAAGTGAAAAATAGATGAGCCTCGTTGGCGCTGAGCTGGTCTTGATGAATCGAGTACGACGTCTGAGGATGACTGCGTTGGCATCTGCGGTAGTGGATACATGCTGCTTGACTGAGTTTGAGTGCCTAGGACATCCAATCGAGGCGACTCATCCTGCGAAATATGCATAGAAGGATTCGGAGCCTGTTGGGATATATGACTCTGCCCTTGGTTATCTTCTGAGCGGTATGTATTAGGGACTTCAGATAGAGATGACGTTTTGACAGCCTCAGAGGACGGCTGCTGAGAGTTCGAAAGCTGTAACGCAGTTGATTGCTTGTTTTGCCTCTCAGAATCCACAAACTTGTCATTGGCAGCAGATGTCTCAACATCTCGCTCGGGACTCAGACGGTTGATATTGACGACAGGTGTCTCCATTACCTGGATAATATTTGTAAAATCTGGGAGTGATGGGCCTGAGTTCGTAAGATCACCGGCATTTTGACTGCTTATCGGTACGTTCCCACCAAGAGCGCAGGGGACAGACGTTTCCATCTCGGTATCATCACTCTCATCATCGCTCGATTCGTCACGAAATACATGGCCGACCAAAGGGCCTGTGATGGATTGATTCTCGGGATACCTCTTTTGTATTGGAACTGGTGGTTGATTGCTAGATAAATTGAGCGACGTCTGCTCCTGGGCCCCTTCGTCATCAGGATTGTGGACCAATGACTCTGGCGACTTGGGGTTCTCTCTCATCCTTCCAGGCGGCCGATGAATTTGTTGCTCTGTCGGTATTGGAACATCTTTGGGGGCGGAAGAAGCACACTGATTCGCTATGTCTACCTCATCCCCTGCCGTAGCTTGGCTGACACAATGCCGAGTACCGCTTATTGTGGGGTTTTTAGTGGTCGCGCTTGTCTGTCTCGGGGGAGTAACGGTGTCTCGTGGAAGAGTATCTCGAGCGGGAGACCCAGCGGGAGACCCAGCGTCGGACTTAGGCCAGTCGGACTCAGGAACTTCGGACTCAGCGTCAGACTGAGTATCTTGAGGCGTCGGGGTGGGAGGATGTTCAGACAGTCTCTCCTGCCTTTCTGCCAAAAGTTTTCTTCGTTGCGAAACATCATTCCATTTCGTTAAAAGATAAGGCGGTACATTGCATAGCGGTCCAGATACACCGGGGCTTTGCGGGACCCAAACGAGCTGGTCCAAGAGGGCGGCCTGGTCTTTCGGGATTGTGTTCTCACACAAGTTTTTTATCATTCCCTCCCACGGATCTGTCGCAGAGACACGAAAAAGGTCAGCTGTAGTGGATGCAACATGTGGTTCCACGGATGGCGATACCTGATCGTTGTCCCCTTTCCCAGCTCCGGTCACATTCGTTGGCATCTTCGCGGATGACGGTACCTGATCGTTGTCCCCTTTCCCAGCCCCGGTCGCATTCGTTGGCATCTTCGCGGATGGCGGTACGTGATCGTTGTCCCCTTTTCCAGCTTCGGTCGCATTCATTGGCATCTTCGCGGATGGCGATACCTGATCGTTGTCCCCTTTCCCAGCTCCGGTCGCATTCATTGGCATCTTCGCGGATGGCGATACCTGATCGTTGTCCCCTTTCCCAGCCCCGGTCGCATTCGTTGGCATCTTCGCGGATGACGGTACGTGATCGTTGTCCCCTTTCCCAGGCCCGGTCGCATTCGTTGGCATCTTCGCGGATGGCGGTACGTGATCATTGTCCCCTTTTCGAGCTCCGGCCGCATTCATTGGCATCTTCGCGGATGGCGATACCTGATCGTTGTCCCCTTTCCCAGCCCCGGTCGCATTCGTTGGCATCTTCGCGGATGACGGTACGTGATCGTTGTCCCCTTTCCCAGCTCCGGTCGCATTCATTGGCATCTTCGCGGATGGCGATACCTGATCGTTGTCCCCTTTCCCAGCCCCGGTCGCATTCGTTGGCATCTTCGCGGATGACGGTACGTGATCGTTGTCCCCTTTCCCAGGCCCGGTCGCATTCGTTGGCATCTTCGCGGATGGCGGTACGTGATCATTGTCCCCTTTTCGAGCTCCGGCCGCATTCATTGGCATCTTCGCGGATGGCGATACCTGATCGTTGTCCCCTTTCCCAGCCCCGGTCGCATTCGTTGGCATCTTCGCGGATGACGGTACGTGATCGTTGTCCCCTTTCCCAGCCCCGGTCGCATTCGTTGGCATCTTCGCGGATGGCGGTACGTGATCATTGTCCCCTTTTCGAGCTCCGGCCGCATTCATTGGCATCTTCGCGGGTGGCGGCGGGACCTGATCGTTGTCCCCTATTCCAGCCCCGGTCGCATTCGTTGGCATCATTTCTCCAGTATCAGTGCGCTGTCTTTTAGAGGGTATTGTCAGTGCTGGACTGGATGGGCGTTGCGAATCCAGATCATCGTCATGGGCTTTCTGTGATGGTGCATCGGAACTGGCACGAGTCCTTTTCTTCGAGAGCCGCTGATCGGGCACCGCCGCGGACTTCACAGACGGACTACGCTCAGTCGAGTCATATGAAGAATACCCAGTTTGACTCGCAACCTCCGCAATGAGGTCAGCAACCCCTCGGCTAATGACTTCTTGGCTGAAATTGGAGTAAAGCGGCTTATCAGCCGAGGTACTGGTGTGTTCTGCAACGCCAGCCTTGTTCGCAATCACTCTGAAAGACTGTTGTTTTGGGGTTTTATCCCCATCCATTTCTTGTTTTGCCTCCGATCCTTGGGACTTGGCATTGGCAGAGCTGAATCTGCTTTGGCCTGGTAGTCCGTGGGACTCTGTAAGCACTGCAATCGCTGAGTCGCGATTTTGATTTGTCCGAGATGGAGCAAGAAGCCCTAGAAGCTCCGATGGCCCATTGCGAGAGACGCGATTGGCCAATGAGTTATCCTTCGGCATGCCAGGGTGGACATCGGACGGATATCGGGAGACCAGCAACCGAGATACCGAACTGTCTGCAGCTTGATTTGGTAGCATCGAGTTATCCTGTTGAGAGGCAAATGAGTCGGCCAAGGACACGTTGTTGTGGCCATTGGAACCCGCGTGCACCGAGTTGTTGCGACCTTTCTCAAATGCTGCAGTCATCAAGGCTCTGAGGTTAGGTGCTTTCCTAAGCTTTGGTTTGGGTACATCCCCCCTTGAGATCGCATTGTGATGAATTTGGAAGCGATTAACGTGGAGGAAGATTTCTGGTAAAGACCCTGTGTACGGAAGAACCAGCTTGATATCGGAAAGTTCAACCAAATGCCTCGGCCCTCCTTTGACCGGCGGGGGGCAAGGTGATGTTTCTCCCTGCAAATCTGGCGATTCAATTGAAATGAATGCATCAATTTGATTTTGTGTATCGGTAAGCGTAACGCGATGGCGGTTGTCTCCCTGGCCCCACTAAGGCACATGATATTCAAAATTAGCGACCAATCTGTTATTACACCTGCTGCGAAAGTCTTACCGACACGACAATGGCTGTCTTCACCTGCAAATCGCTGTTACTGAAGCTGAGGCAGTTCTCAATGTCATCAACCAGGATTGCATCGTCATTGGTTTGACCGAGGTAGGATGCCAGACATTGTTCGGCCGCAGCCGCGATCCAAGGTTTCACTGGATTCATCGTGCGAATCCAGGCATGTAATGCAAGTAGCGAGAATCATATGGGTCGTAGCTATTTGGTGAGTAAGAAGTGGTGCGTTGCCCCAGAGTGGCCAGTGTGTACATGTTACTAGCAAGAAAGAACTTGACACCACGTAAAAAATGGCACCGCTCAACCGCGTCTTATCGATAAGCAGCCCGTGAGAGACGCGACCTGCTTACTCAGCAACAACACGTCATTTGAAGTGCGGAGGACAAAGAACGATCTACGGTTGTTTTCGAAACAGTTTCTTTGATCTAAACGTATGAAATGACAGTTCTTTCAACCCTCGAGAGTTCACCGTCCTCAGACCCCGAGCATATCCCCCAGTCGTGCCTCGAATGACCGGTCATCCATCCTGCCCATATCCTCCGTCGGGATAACCTGGGCTTTCTGCCTAGATCAGTCATGGAGTCTCAGCAGTCCCGGGACTCACGCAGTACATCTGTGTCTTCGAATTCCCTGCCTCTTGGGCGACCCGAGTCCCATGGTTCTGGCATCGCCACTCTGACGGAACGAGAATCAATGAATGCAGCTCTGGACAACTACCATAACGCAGCATACCAGTCTGGATCGCTCACCCTCTTCAACGAGTTCACTAGTCCACCCGACCCCGCCACCACGTCCGATGAGAAAGGCCTGTCCGAGGAACTTCATGGAGGTCTGAGTGGCTTGTATAGTCGCTTCAGGACCTCCGTTGGAGGAGTGAGGGATATCGTTGGCGGCGGCGGGAAATCAACCGACAAACCCGCTACAGAGATTTCGGTCAAGAGTCCTGTTTCTGAACATCCGATAGCGAAATCTCTCTCAGACCCAGCTACAAGCTTCGCAGATTATCCACCATCACACCCCAACTCCTCACAGGGATCAAGACTCCACTCGCCTGTCGTTCCTAACTTTCACTCGCATCAAGAGGGTTCGCCGCAACAACACCTGGGAAAGAGGTCGAGGATATCTTCAAAAAGTGGAAGCACATCCTCTAAGGCCTCTGTGCCGCCAACCCCGGGAAACAACCCTAATATTACAGCGTTGACCAAAGACACCGGTAGTGCCACCGGGGCAGACCCTACAGTCACCCAGCTTCATGTGAATGTAATAGGGAGTTCCGAGCGCTCGAGGAGTAGCTCTGTGAATGTTCCGTTACAGAACGTGCATGCTGCAGACTCGGCAAGTGTTGGAGGCAAGGGAGGCCGTGTGGATCTTTCCATGAGTCAAGCGTCCCCTTCATTACCCCAGGACCTTTCCGGTTCCCCAGCTCCCTCCGCAAAAACTCACGGTAGCCGCCAGGAGGACTCAGCCTCCAAAGAACCTTTCTTTTCAGCAAACCGTCCTGCGGATGATCAGTCTCGGCAGTCGGTGGGCTCTACAGATCAGCAGAAGCTGCCAGAAAACAGATCTCAACCAGCTATTATGCGGAATCCCAAGCAAGCTGACCCTAGTCATGACCTTATGGCGCAGCGCTCAGGAGAGAGGTCGAGTTCCCGAACATCTTTCCCCTACGAAGATTCGAGAGCGTCGGTTTCTGCCTCAACTAGTTTGTCAAAGCTGTCTTCTCATGATGGAGTACCACGTCCTGCCGATAAGCTCCGATCTAGCATGATGAAAAGTGCTCCCAGCGGCGACAGCAAGTTCAATGAACACTCAAAGGCTATGGCTCCTGGCAGAACCAATGGCCAATCAACTTCCTCAACCCGGCTAGGGCGGTTGCCTGGCTACGTGATGTCACGAGCCTCCACAGCTGAAACCACTACGACGGTGTCTTCCTTGCCTCCGTTGAACACTTCATTCGATACAACTGCTAGTCAATTCCTTCAGGCCAACCGCCGAGCCCCCGCCGGGGGTGACGGTGTCTTCTCGCAGCTGAAAAGTAAGTTGCTTAGCAGGGACTTCTGGATGCGCGATGAGAACGCAAAAGACTGCTTTCACTGCGGAGAACCATTCACCACCTTTCGCCGAAAACACCATTGTCGAACTTGTGGTCAAATCTTTGATTCGAAATGCACTGTACTTATCTCAGGAATACGGTTCGGACAACCTGGAAATATTCGAGTTTGCAACCCATGCGAGAAGATGATCAATGCTCATGATGACGATTCGTCTGATTTCTCCGACAGCGAAAGTCCCACAGTTCCTAATCCCCGGGTTTCCGAACTCAACTGGAGCGCTACTGCCAGGGCCTCATCGGCTGATGATGACGATTCATCTTCAGTTGTGTCACAGTCGATTGATAACGTTTTGAGGACCCCGACAATGGCTATACCAGCCACCAGACGTGCTGGGGAGGGACACAACCGCCGCTCGGCCATTCTTGAGATTGATTCTGATCGCCCTTTGGCACGGCCGACATCGTCGCGCTCCCTGCGGTCCTCGCTGGGGGGAAGGCCGCACTCCGTCAGCCACAAACGTCATCACTCTCGCCAGCAATACATCCGAGGCTTCAAACCATCTCATGAAGATCGCGCCCCCTTTCAACGTCGACATGGGGATGATGCGGATTCTGAATCCCGGCTTCCTGCTTTTCATAAAGACAATATTATTGACCCTGATCTTGCTCAATATCTTTCGGATGACGCATCCAGTGGTGATGAACAGCCAAGTCTCTTGTCTGCCGTCTCTGAAGGTGCTCTGTCCAAGAGTGGGGGTGAAAGTGAGAGGGCCTCTTTTGGGGGGATCCTTGCCGCCATGAAGAAGAGCAAGTCGCCTTTCGGAGACCGAAGCTTCGTTCATATGAACCGAGAAGCAGATGAAAGTTCCGTCACCAGTTCAAGAGCCGTGAACTTGCCTCGACTTTCTCGGCGGCGAAACCTGAGTGTTGCTAGCAGTCTTCACCCGCGCCATTCACCCAGAACATCAAAAGACAATATGCTATCTCACGACGCCTCAATTCCAGCTATCTGTTTGCCTCCCGATTCAAAGCAGACCGGCTTCAAGATGACCCGGAGTTCATCAATGAGGGGCAATGAAGCGCCGCCGGTTGAACTGAACCGAGCCAGTCTGGAACATGTGCGAAAGCTTCTCCGCCAGCTGCTTGTAGAGGCCACTGTACCCCACGTCGACAGCTGGGAGAATGCCTTAATTCCGATTCTGTTGAAGGCAGGCGACGAAGTTGACCCAGATGTCCAACATGGGGATGACATGGACATTCGACATTATGTCAAATTGAAGAAGATTCCTGGCGGCCGGCCTGGCGACACTTCTTACGTATCGGGTCTCGTTTTTACGAAAAACTTGGCCTTGAAAGGCATGTCACGAAACATCCCACGCCCGAACATATTGATCATTACTTTCCCTCTTGAATATGCTCGGCAACAACAGCATTTCATGAGTCTGGAACCAGTCATCAGACAAGAGCGTGAGTTCCTGGAGAACTTAGTCAGTCGGATCTCAGCATTACACCCAAACTTGCTGTTGGTCGAGAAGACTGTTTCTGGTCTAGCACTTGGCCTCCTTGAGCAGGCCGGGATTGCGACTGCATACAACGTGAAGCCATCTGTTCTTGAGGCCGTATCGAGATGTACGCAGACTAGAATTGTGACCTCTATGGACAAGCTCTTGACGACCACATTGCATAGTGATTGCAGCAGCTTCGATGTGAAAACCTACGTTCATAGTGGTCGGAAGAAAACGTATATGTACATTTCCGGCTGCCCGAAAGAGCTGGGATGCACTATTGTGCTGCGCGGAGGAAGCGATGAAGTTCTCGGGAAGGTCAAAAGAATCACAGAGTTCATGATCTACGTTGTTTACAATTTGCGTCTGGAAACCTGCGTCATGCGAGATGAATTCGTGCAGATACCGAACACTTCAACAGAAGGCACAATGGCCGTGACCGATGCAGATGGGGCGTGCAGTCCACCACTCATGACTGGCGAAGGCAGCGGACGACCGGTCGATTCATCTATCACTCAGAAAGCAATAGCCGAGAAACTTAGCGAAATGCCTGATAGCCAAATCCTCGTTAACACGGATGCGGCAGACGTTCCGGACAATATCCCAATGCCAACTTATTATGACGATATGGTTCAGGATTACAAAACAAAGATTTTGTCCGCCTCGCCATTCGTGAAATTCGAACCTCCCTATCTCCTAATGCGTGCACGCGCAATGGAGCGCAGACTGGCATATTTGAAATTTCTTCGTGATCGTGACGGCCATTCTGATCAGAGCACCGATGAAAAACTCAAGCCGCAGGAATTTTTCCTCATCACCCCGGAGATGGTTCGTCAATCGCCGCAAGACGCCCCGGCGAAAGTTAAAGAAGTATTGCGAGCGGCGCATGACGCTGAGTACGACCGAGCCCTGTATCACTATCAAACCCAAAAACGTCAATGGGAAGCCTATGTGGCAGGCAATGCCAATATGTTCGATCCCTATGCACACCAGAATCTGGTAATTCTATACAGTCTCGTGTGCACAACGACGTCAGTCCCCTGCTCAGGGCCAGATATTTTCGCCCTAGAGTTCTACAATGAGCATGGAGATGACACGATTTTCGAGTCGGATCTTACACTTGGGCAGTATGTCGAGGACCTCTGTCTCACAGCAAACGCGGTGTGCACAGTCAACGGCTGCGAAAAGCGCATGTTTGAACACCACCGACAGTACGTCCATGGTGAGGCCCAGATAAGCGTCCTGGTACAGCCTTACCCTCCCAAGCTCCTTGGGCTTCACGATGTTATTCTAATGTGGAGCTGTTGCAAAATCTGCGGCAATGAAACTCAACCCTTACCCATGTCCAAAAGCACATGGAAGTACTCATTCGGAAAATACCTAGAGCTGTCTTTCTGGGGCAGGAACTTGCATGCTCGCGCTGGGGTCTGTCCTCATGATTTACAGCGGGACCACCTCCGCTATTTCGGCTTCAAGGATGTCGCTGTGCGAGTCCAGTATGACCCCGTCCGTCTCCTGGAGATCATCGTCCCACGGCCTCGGGTTACATGGAAGGTGGACAATGATTTGAAGCTGAGGAACGAAGTCTATTTGCGCACCGAGAAACGTCTTACCAAGTTCATGACATCAGTTCAAGACCGTTTGAAAGGCATCAATGTCGAGAGCGTTGTCCCCGAGCTGGTTGAGAGTTGCAAGAAGGAGATCGATGCTTTAATCAAGAAGGGCCACCAAGACCATAACTCGCTTATCCAGCAACTACAAGACAAATACACAAGTTCCCGCTACTGGGAGATCATACCGCTGAATGAGGTTCTGCGAGCCGTTCAAGAAAAGGTTGTTGAATGGGATACGACATTCGCCGAATTCGAGAAGAGCTTCTTCCCATCCGAGAAAGACATCAAACATATGGCAACACTGCAGCTCAAGAAGATTTTCCTAGACAAAGATGCAACCTCGGTGTCCCCGGAGGACGCCCTCCAGACGCCTGCCGACGCACAAGATGAAAACAACCAGGCAGCGGACAGGCCGCGAATGATGCGCCGCATGACACTATCCCCAGAGAAGGCGCAGAATGTCCTAGTCTCCGTTGTTGAAGAGCATGCTGGCAAAAAGCACCGCGAGGAACTCCAAAGGTCCGGGCTGCCGTCCCCTGTAGCTCTGTCTGAGAAGGCGACTTTGTCACCCGATGCAGTCGAGGGAACCAGATCCTCGCCCCAGGATGAGGTCGTTTCACAAGATGAAGTTCGTCACCTCGACCTGGCTGTTCCTACAGGGCAATCGGAACGCAGCCCCGTCGATCCATCTGCCGTTCCAAACCAATTTCAATTCAATGCCGATCTACATACGGTGGTTCCTGATGATGGATCATCAGATGTGCCTCCATCGGAACTCCCTGAAGCTCTCGATCAAGGAATCAATAATGATGTTGAAGGAGAGATCTCTGACATGCCGAGCACTCCAGTGCGTCGGCCTTCGGCCATCCCGAGGCCTACTGAAGCGGCCTTTCGACGCTCTGGGAAGACAAAATCACCTCCATTGCTGCGTACTCAATCCCAGCCCGCGAATATACCACGGCCATCCAACAGCGTTCCAATACCGGGCCTGAAAACGGCATCCACCAATCCGATTGAGCCAGAAAAGACTGCAGGCCAATCGCCTACGAAGCAGTCAGACAGGAAATTGAGCGATCGTTTGGGTTTGAGTTCCCTTAAAAGCGCTCGTTTCAGCTCGGGTCACTCGCTCATCCCACGCTCGACTCCAGGCAAAAGGGGAAGCTCGCGGGTTTCCAATCTCGCTAAGCATTTTGAGCAATTGAGCCGCGAATTTGAGAAGGAACGACAGCGTGAAAGGCGTCAACGCGCTGCCAAGGGTACGCATTCGCGGGCATTCCCGCTGGCATCGTCGAAACCTATTGTGGAGGTCTATCAGAATGTCCGAGAGGCTGTCGAAGAACGTGAACCACCGGTAGACAGTGACGTATCTTTGCCCACGGCCCCAGGTATTCCTACGGATGACATGAGTCGCAAGAGCGAGGAACTATTGGATCACCACACAATTTCTGAAGATCATGACCCCTCCCCGCCAGACGAAATCCCAGATGAACCTGTGGAGGTAGAGGACGCGCTTCGTTCTGACCATCATCTATTGTTTGATGGCGAAGCAGACGAACCTCAAAGTGATGAAGAACGAAACACGGCAGGAGACCTCCATCCCGTGGATTCGCATGAAGAGACCAAACACTTAGCAGAGGACGATTCAATTGATTTTAAAGATCTACCCAAGCATGAGCGCACCACTCTTCTGAAAATGCTAACGAACTTTTGGTCTGAACGTTCTGCGAGCGGATGGGCGTCTCTTGAGTATCCCCTCAGTGTCATGGATCATGTCTTCGCTGATTGTGATATTATCGTTCGTGAGGATGAACCAAGCTCGCTGGTTGCGTTCGCATTGGACTCTTTCGACTACAAAGAAAAGCTTTCAAGCATTCAACGGCGCTTCGATGAAGGGGACAAGCAAAACCCGCACTCTGGGAATGACGATGAGGCCACGAACGAAGCACGAGTCGAGCATGCTCTCTTGCGACCGACGGGCACGCACCTCAAGTATCAATTCCAAGAAGGCCCGGCCAAGATGCTGTGCAAAGTCTTCTACGCTGAGCAGTTCGATGCTCTGCGACAGAAGTGTGGAGTTGCCGATCGGATTGTCGAGTCGCTGTCTCGATGCGCAAAATGGGACTCGAAGGGTGGCAAGACGAAATCTTTGTTCCTGAAGACCCTTGACGACCGATTCATTCTCAAATCACTATCGCCAATTGAGACACAAGCCTTCCTCAAATTTGCGCCAGCATACTTCCAAATTATGTCTGAAGCTTTGTTCCATGAGCTTCCTTCCGCAATCGCCAAGATGTTTGGTTTCTACCAAGTCATCATCAAGAATCCAGTCACAGGAACCGAGTTCAATTGGTATTTGCTGCTCATGGAGAACCTGTTCTACGATCGCGTCCCCACGCGCATCTTCGACCTGAAAGGCTCGATGCGAAACCGCAAAGTGGAGAGCACGGGTGAACGAGACGAGGTCTTGTTGGATGAGAACATGGTGGATTTCATCTACGAGACACCTCTCTTCGCGCGCGAGCACTCGAAGAAACTTCTTGGCCAAAGCGTGTGGAATGATACTCTCTTCCTAGGTCGCCAAGACGTCATGGACTACTCACTCATGATCGCTATCGATGAGCCCCGTAACGAGCTCGTGGTAGGCATCATCGACTGTATCCGCACCTACACCTGGGACAAGAAACTCGAGTCCTGGATCAAGGATAAAGGGTTTGCTGGCGGCGGTCGCAATCGGCCAACTGTCACAAGTCCACGGGAATACAAGGGCCGTTTCCGTGAGGCAATGGCCAGATACGTACTCCAAGCTCCAAGGTATGTTGATGTGGCATCTCTGAATTCTGAAATTGAGAACTGACAGGATTAGCTGCTGGCATCAATTCCAATCAAATGCCGTCTACCGCTATGACAATCTCACCGCCGAGATTGAAAATGTTGAGGGCAGCGCAGGTATGGAAGAGGCTGTCTAGACGCGCTCCTTTGGCCTCTGATACTTTTTTTCTTTCCACTTGTACCCATGACTCACCCACGTTAATGACTTACGACTGATGATGATGCATTTATGCTATGATATGCGCGTTTCCTCTATTGGAGGTTGCTTCTGAAGCATTTTGCGAGCATTCATTACATTTTGCGGATGCCATTGCATGCAAGGCCTGATTGTGTTTACTTCCCAGCGCATATCTGATTTACAAGGGGAACTATATGGAGAGGCGCAGCAGAGGGTGTTGCTTTCGTTCATTGCAATCCATTCCATTTTCCTTTTCTTTCCAGTCGCTCATGTCATAGGTCGTAACCTTCCCAGTAGCCATTTGTAGTGTAAAGGAACGATATCATTGTCCGCTTTCGAATCCAGACTTGATATAAGGAGCAGTAGTAAGGCAGTATATGTACAAATGCTATATGTCCAGCCGGCGAACACAAGTTTGTGCACAAGCAAATTATCCCTTTCGGCGAAATGCCCATTATCTCAGGCATTAGAGTTAAACGTACTGGAAACAGCTCGGACCGGACGTCACGAAGCACCAGCACTACCAAGAAGATCCCGCCGGATATTCCCTGGAAACAGGACTCAATTTCGAAGTCGACTCATATGAGATGGTCACATCATCCGTGCGATGGATATGACCCATAGCATGGCTATTTTTATTTTGATCATTGTCGGCGGCAAGGATGCTTTCTTGGCTGCCTTGACTGTCAATATTGGTGAAGCCGAGGTCATCCTTTCCTTGTTTGCTGGATTGCTTGGTGCGATTGAATGAAGGATGGAAGTTGCTGCTGCCTTTGTAGTGGTCGCCCTTCCCTTGGCTGTAGGAGCCCATTCCGCGCTTGCCGAGAATTATTTCGAGGAGTGGCTGGAGGGTGGGGATGCAGGATGCTATCGTGACGACGTCGGCTTCGATACTGCACAGGGAATGAGGGTTAGGTATATCACGGGGCCCAAGGGATTGTAATGCTTACTTGGTCCACATGACGAGGTCGGCGGTTCCGTCTGTTGTTTGGTCAGCCTTCGGAATTTGCTAGCCAGTTTAATGAAGACTCACAGGTGTAATCGGAGTGGTCAGCGAGTCCGTTTAGCTGTGTACATTTGATAATTGCCATTGCGGATGCACTTTATTTCCAGTTAATTTGTGCACAGTAAGTTTCGAGTAGACAACTCACATTGAACCCAGCCCCAGAGCAGCACAGAGGGCAATCCTCTTCCGTAGCGACATTTGAAGTTTCAACAAGACGGTTACCGGATAGATAGCCAGGGATAGATCAACGATGGCAGAGAGCGCTGAGATATCGGTTAGTTTGAAATTTGCAGAGGGCACAAGACAGGGGAGACCTGCCTCCAGTGAAGATAGCATAATCGATGAGAATCTCAGTACTCTTGCACGTAGCGCCTTTTTCCATAAGACTGACATGCCATAAGGCCTCTGGCGGATTGCACATTGTGAATAAGATAATGATGCAGATAATGGACACGACAGCTGCAGTTCCAGTCATCATCCACAGTATAGTCTTCATCAACGAACTAGGATTCAAGATTCGGTTCAACATAGCGGTAACGGCTAGCTTGGGGAGCGTAAAGGAGAGAATGCCAAACAAGAAGCTGACAACGTTGAGTAGGATGGCGAATTCCAGATTGTCCTGGGTCAGGTACATGGCGTGTTTTCCAAAGCCTGCATTGACGCCGACGGTCGTGATGACACAGTATGTAAGTCCCAGTATCTGGTAGAAATCTTTCATTAGAATTGACCAGGCAGCACTATGCACCTCTTACCGTAGACACCACGATCAAGTAGTCGTCAACGCCAAAGTTCCGCAGCAGGGCCAGCCGGATGTAGACTCTGGCGATGACTATTATGGTGGTCAATCCCGTCAGAGTCCAGAGCACGGCCAGAATCTTTGGACCCTTATCATCGTATAGATTTTCAGCAGTGACTGTCATGGTGTCGAGCTTGATGCAGGAACAATGGCCATGTCCGGCCCTTCATAATGTTATATGAAATCCCTACTGTCAAAATCCGCATTAGTCCCAAAGCATTCGTACAAATTTTTGTAAAGCGATAAAAACAGATTCCGCCCTAGTAGTTGCATGCATTCCATACACGTTCCAGTCTTCCATGGCCAATTATTAGACACCCCACTGGAAGGAAATCCCTGCAGCCATTGACTACTCCCAGAGCGACGACATGGTAGGCCAGGCTAACTATCATGAGGATAGTGTTATTTGGTGTTTAATCTCCGACGAGCATGTGATCCCCATTTTTCTTGACCTTTGTCGCAAGAGAACAATAGGGCCGTTAAACACGTTGGCACAATGAGGCTAGCCGTTGGTACCGAGGCGCTAACGGTGACAGCGGAAGCCACGGAGGGCGCCCCCGGCTCTCATGAGTCTCAAGGCTCTCCTGGGCTTGGGGGCGACGATCTTTCTCCCACTTCAAACTAGTCCCCGGGCTTCCCCACCCCGGGGGCTCCGGCCCGGGGCCCATGCTGGTGGATACCACTGGATAGGTCATCTCAAGAGGGAAATCCCGAATTACCTGTCTCGGTAGTTAGTTACAAGGATCATAACCAGGTTTCTGAAACGCCATCAGTGTCTCAGGTCTAGACCGAGTCTGTAGAAGAACTTACCTGGGTAAGAACTCTGGTAGATCGTTTTGACTTCTGATGTGTCAAACGGAATACGGCGTACGCAGCACTCCGTAGAGGTACAAAGTCTTCCCAGTCTCGGAAGTCTAGTACTAAGCGAAGTCGGATACGCCTCTCGGATTCGACTAGGCACGTGGATCCCAAGCCGGAGATTTGTACGTGACAAAAGTACGGGGTTGATTAAACCAAGACAATGTTGAAAACTCAACGAGTCAAGAATTCACACCATTGTCCACTCTGTACCCGTTCTACGAGGTTTGGGGTGGATAACAACCTACTTTCTCGACTACTATGTATCAGCCGTTGAACAATCTACAACCCGATTAGCCAAAACAGGAACACCGTTGGATTATCTCGTCTCCACTGCCGCAGATACCACTCTCAGTCTCCGGCACTAATATCCGCCAGAGAAGCGCGAGGGTTATGAACAGGGATGTTAAACACCCGCTAGCCCTGACCACGGACCCAGCATGTTGACCCTATGTCCAGCCTTTGCCGAGAGAGGTTGACTTGGCTAAAGCTAAGGGAGAAGGAGACGCTGGCAAGCAGCCGGTCTTGAGGGAAAGGGGGTAACTATGGCAAGCGGTTTATTTAAAGACCCCTGGGACTCCGTACCTTTGGCGTGCCATAACACGCTACTTCGGTTCTTCTACTGTTCACCATGACTGAGACCAAATCCCTTACATTGAACGGAGCCTCCCATACGAATGGAAAGGCGCACACGAACGGCAAAATCAAGGTTAATGGAGATGTCCAACCCAATGAGCAGCTCGTGGATGCGTTCGCCGACGGAACCGTAGCAATCTCCGCCAACACACCCGAGCTGGTCCCTGGCCTTGTCGACCAGGTTGCTTCCCTTGGCAAGGATGTCAATCTTCAGGATCACAAGGATCGTTCGACGCTTCTAGAGGCGGCTCGATCGTTGGTATATGCGCTTGAGACGCCGCGCGAGGCTATGATCAGATACTGCTGGTCTCAGGCTACCCTTTACGCTGCCCTGGAGACAGGTGTTGATCTAGATGTCTTCGCCGTCTTGTCCAAGGATGAGAAGCCTAAGACTGCTACTGATTTGGCAGCTGCCACAGGTGCTGATCCGGTCATGCTTGGTATGCCGATAACCGTCAAAACTTGTGCCGTGTCTATACATTTGGCTAATCATCTATCGGACTAGCTCGTATCCTGAAGCACTTGGCCGCAATGGGCGTTATTCTCGAGACTGGCCCTAACGAATACCGTCGTACCGGTATCTCTTCCTCCTTGTCTATGAAGCGATACAACGATGCATACCCTTGCATGTAAGTCAAAGTCCAGGGAATCACATCGATGAGATACAATACTTACAACATAATCAGGACAAACTGCATCACCGCCGGAGTCCTGGCTCTCCCCGCCCAATTGAAGAAAGACAGCTATGCCAACCCCTCCAACGGCAAAGACTGCGCCTTCCAGCGTGGTTTTAACACAGACCTCCACTTTTTCGAGTTCATGAAAGCAAACCCCGAAATCGCCAGCCAATTCAATAATCACATGTCCGCCTACCACCAAGGCCGTCCCAGCTGGATGGATGTCGGCTTCTACAACGTCCCAAGCCTCTTCCCCAACGTCGAACAAAATGACGTACTCCTCGTCGACGTTGGCGGCAGCATGGGCCATGATCTCTCTGAATTCCGCCGCAAGTGGCGCGATGCTCCTGGCCGTTTGGTGCTGCAGGATCTACCGGAGGTCATCGCACAAGCCAAGATTATGCAACTGCACTGGTCGATTGAGGCTATGGAGCATGACTTTTTCACTGAGCAGCCTATCAAGGGTATGAACTCCCCCCTTATGACCCCTACTCTACTGTCTTGAACCGAGCTCACTGTCAATTTCTGATGTAGGCGCTCGCGCTTATTATATGCACTCTGTTCTGCACGATTGGACAGACGATCACTGCCGCAAGATCCTGACGGGTCTCGTGGGGGCTATGAAGCGGGGATACAGCAAGGTGCTGATTAATGAGAATGTTATTCCTGATACGAACGCGTACTGGGAGACGACTAGTTTGGATCTGATCATGATGGCTGATTTCGCTTCGACGGAGCGCACTGAGGCTCACTGGCACAGGCTGGTGGAGTCTGCTGGGTTGAAGATTACGAAGATTTGGAGTGCTCAGAAGGGTGTTGAGAGTCTTATTGAGTGTGAATTGGCATAGATGTATTAGAAGGATGAGTTGGGATCTTGGGTACCACCTGCGCAGGATATCTATAGATCTGAACTCGCGAAGGTTTCGAAATAAATCAAATATGGCGCTTCCTGCCGCGCGCTGCTTTTGTCTCTTGGTCTGGCCGTAACCTAGTCCTCTGTGTTCATTGACTACATGATAATAGTGCCGCCGGTAATAAGTACCACGGACGCTTTGGTACTGTGTGACCAGATCAGACGTGGCACGTGTCGCTATGGAATTCTTAGAGCACTTGGTATTGATAGCCTTGCGGCTTGCCAGTTGACGGTCCCGTCGCTAACCCATCTGTAACTCGGCCCCCACCTCAAAGTGGATACTGACAACTGGACAGAACATTTTCGTTGATACTTTATTCAAAAATGTACTGTACACAAGTCATGTTCACTTTTCTATTTATTACCGACACCTCCCCGATGATTATTTGCCAGGTATTGTACGTGCGTACAGTGCTGCTGTGGCGGAGAGATTCTACGTAGCAACAGCAATTGCTTCACTGTCGATCATTGGACTGATCAGGCTGGAACAGCTGTCGGTGAAGAAGAATGGTCCAATGGAATTAAGGAGAATGTGGCGGAGGCAATCTCTAAGTGCAAGCAAGGGTCTATGTAGGAGGTCCTGCTGATGCAATTAGCGCGTCAGGCTGTCAGCTATGCCACAGTGTTCAAGTGCATGCATACTGCTAAAGATGGCTTTAGATCGCCATACACATTTTTGTGGTCTGCTAAGGGATTTCTTTCCCCTTTCTTCTTCAGCTATCCAGACCTATGTCTCCCAAATTCGATATGGCTACAATCAGAGACAACGGTGTACATGTGATCGTTGTTGGCTTAGGTATTGCTGGCTTAGCCACGGCCATCGAGTGCCGGGAGAAAGGCCACTCGGTCACAGCATACGAAAAGACGGATATTCTAAGGCCTGTTGGTAAAGTGCACTCTTCGTCGGTGCATCCCTTTCCTCTACTAACTAGCTTCTCTAGGTGACTGTATTGGAATCGCAAGCAACGGATCACGGATCATCGGACGCTGGGGCAATGGCGCCGTAAGCGACAAACTAAGTCCGTGGCGATTCACTGCCAAGAAAATCAACATATCCAACGGCCAAGGCAGAAGAATTCTGCAACAAGACCTGACAGAAGTGTGTAAAGAGACCAACTATCTGATCCCGCGCGCTCAGCTTCTCCGGACCATGTACAACCATGCACAGCAGATTGGTGTCAAGCTATATCTCGGCCGGGACGTGACCGACACTTGGGAGACAGACACTCAGGCTGGTGTGATAGTTGATAACGAGCGAGTAACCGCAGATTGTGTCATCTGCTGCGACGGTGTACACAGCAAGCGACGTCGCGCCGTCACTGGAGAGAATCTGGCAACACGACCATCTGGGTATGCGGCATTTCGTGCTCTGATTGACGGTGAGAAAGTAGCAGCAGATCCTCGGGCAAATTGGATTGTCGAGACCAGCGAAGCCGAAGATCGATTTGACGTGTTCTTTGTCAATGGCGCACAGATAGCCCTGCAAACCTCGAATCGTGGCAAGGAAGTCACTTGGTTCTGTATCCACAAGGTGCGGATGGCAACTGAAACTGGCTGTCACGCTCTGGTGCTGCGCTGACCAAATATACTAGGATTCTCGTCCATTGCTCGACTCTTGGACGTCGCCATCTAATCCTCAAGAAGTGATTGATCTCATGAAGGATTGGCCAGTTGGCGATCGCTTATTGTCGGTTATCCGTCACACGCCCGCGAACAAGTTCATCAACTACCCGCTTTTCGAACGTGAGCCTTTACCGACTTGGGTCTCCCATGGAGGTCGAATTATTCTAGCTGGCGATGCTGCACATCCACTGTCACCTGCAGCTGGCCAAGGTGCCTCACAGGGAATCGAGGATGCGGCGGTCATTGCGGTTTGTTTGCAACTCGCTGGCAAGAACCAAGCTCCACTTGCATTGCGTGTGGCAGAGAAGATCCGGTATACATTCAGATCATAATGTTTGTTTTGAGTTCTTTGGCTGATTGAACTTTGGCTATAGATATCCACGCGCTATTGCTGTTCAGCTAATGAGCGATCAAAACAACGAGGCCTGGCGCCAGCAGGACTGGGACGCCTATGAAGAAGACGAGACAAAGATAGCTACCGTGCCCCTCGAGGAATGGGTTTACGGTCATGATGCAGAGGCACATGCTCGCTCTGAGTTTTCGGGACTTGCGGAGGAAATTCGTAAGGTTCCTATGCATATAGCCCATGCACCTGTGGCGGAGTTCGCAGCGGCCGCAAGCTGAAGATGATTGCTGAGCATTAGCGAAGCATCCATGTAAAAGGGGGTCGTGTGTCACGTGATCTAGATCTTGGGCATGCTGGTCCCAAAATGATAAATTATAATCGGTGAGAAACGGCAGAATGACATTCTCCACCAATCAGATCCCTGGAATCTATATCTACTTGGGGGTCGCAAAAAAAATCAACGCTCAGCAACTGAAGCTTGGGCGTCCGGCGGACGCCAAAGCCCCTCGTATCCAGACATATCACATAGAACAAGCAGCTTTTGGGCTATGACAGGTGTAGATTGGAGTGAAGATTAGGTAAATGGGCTAACTTTCTATAAACGTTGCAATCTACTAGGATTAGAGGACCAATATTAAAGGACGAAGACAATCTGTTCGAGCAAAAGACCTTAACTATCTTGCAGGTAGACTTAAAGTCGACTGATCAGGATCTAGCTGCTGATTGCAGAGTCCGTCTTTTATTGCATTGAGTGGGTTATCAGGGATGTGGTCATACAGTCATACTACATGTATGCAAGGGACTCTCCCCATTTCTCTCGGTATGTCTGAAATTACAGATTTGCCTACATCCTGAAGACATCCTGATAAAGGTACGAATTTACCACTTTCCAGCTAGACACTGATGCCGAATCTCTTACCCTGAGAGCTGCGACTTCACCGGACATGTCGAATCCCTTCACAAATCCAATAGGATTGGGGCTCGCCTACCTCCGCCAGAATCTCTTATCTTCTGTGCTTGGGTGTTTGCTCTGCTATTTGGTGAGTCTCGTTATATCGAGGCTGTTCTTCCATCCGTTATGTGGAATCCCTGGTCCAAAGTTGGCCAGTCTGAGCGAGTGGTATAGCTTTTATTACAACTTTATAGTTGATGGACAGTACAGCAAATCATTTGAAGCCTTGCACCGCAAGTACAGTGAGTGTCAGAATGTCTTAGTGAAGCGTATCAAGCTGACTTATTTGAGAATCACCTGTGATCAGGATTGGTCCCAATGCCGTTCATGTGAATGACCCCCAGTTCTACGAAGAGTGAGTGGTCCTTTAACAACTGGCGATACCCTGAGCTTATTCATACTGGTAGAGTATTTGGTATCAAGACCAACTACTATAAAGAACCGGCATTTTATCAGGCCCTGGGTGCTGAAGGAGCGCTGGCATCAATTCTGGATCCTCACGAACACCGACTGTATCGAAATCATCTCCGCCCATTGTTCTCGGCGCGTTCTACTGCGTTGGTCACTCCGCAGCTCGAAATAGAACTTCAAAAGGCAGCTGCAATTCTAAATACTCACCGGCAAGAGAATACACCTCTCAACATCCAGCAGCTATTCCGTGCATTCACCGTGAGTGTCCCGAAGTCTCTATCATTGAACGTTACAACGCTGACAGCCAGTAGTCGGATATTGTATGTGATGCGCTCTTTGCTGAAAGCCTTGACTTTATCGGCGACGGAAAGGCATACCATCCATTCGTGGCGGCCTTGGATAAGTTTACAGCGTTGACATGGCTTGGTTTGTGTTCCTTCACTATGCTATGAAAGGGCTGATTTAACGGAGCAATTCATTCCCAGTCGTCCAATTTCCATGTATCAAGTCAATCCAGTTTTATCTGCCATTCGACTGGGGCGAACGGCTCACACCAGAGTTTACTGCTTTCAAACAAGTGAGTCCTTCCTTGACGCCGTTCTTGCTCTTCGACGCTAACAACGAGTAGAAATGCGACACATGGATTAAGAAAGCTCACGCACGACGAGATGCAGGTGTAGCATTAGAGCGCAAAACTCTGTTTGACTACTATCTAGAGCTGGATGGCAACCCAGAGCAAGTGATTCGAACAGTCCCTCAGCCAATGGAAGATTCTTTCAACTTCCTCACTGCCGGCACCGAGTCAACGGCATACAGTCTGTCATGTACGACCTTTTATATCCTCAGAAATCCCGAAGTGCTGAAAAAGCTACGAGAGGAGCTCAACGCCTCGGTCGAATTTATACGTGACTCTTTTGATCCGAAAAGAATACAGGCACTTCCCTATCTGGTATGGTCTTCCAACGTACATAGTACTTGATTCTTCATATCAACTAACTTTCACAGACGGCCGTCATAAAAGAAACGATGCGCCTCTCTACGGCAGTGCCTGGAAGTCTCCCTCGGGTCACGCCACCTGGAGGAGCAACAGTGGGCTCGTTTTACATTCCAGCTGGGGTAAGCGGAGAAATCGCACATTGTTTTGATACATAAACTGACAATGACAGACTGTGGTGTCTGTCAGTCACCTCAGCGTGACGCAGAATGAGACCATATTCCCCGAGGCAAGCAAATTCAGACCCGAGCGATGGCTTGGTGAGGGGTCGAAAGCACTTGACAAATGGCATGTAGGCTTTAGCAAAGGGCCTAGACGCTGCATTGGAATGAAGTAAGTGACTTGATACATTGACACATGCGTTTCTTAAAAAGTGCTGACCGGCATTCCAGCCTTGCTTACCTGGAGTTATTCTGCGCCATTGCCTATTTGTTTGCGCGATTTGACATGGTGCTTCATGAGACGGACGAGAAGAGCATGGAATGGGTCGATCGTATCAGCGCTCGGAATCACTCGGACGTCCAGATCAAAGTCCTGACTGATTTATGGGCAGCCTAGGAATGAGACAGCATGCATAGGTGGCCTGCATAATTCTATTAGTTGGCTTCTGAGAACTGGCTTGTACTGGTCTTCATTGACTCACTGAGACTCCACTTGTGCCATTCGTTAGGATCGTAGGATCGTCTCAAAGTCCCTTCAGCTCCACCTATCATCACGATGCCCCCCTTGACCACATTCCCTTGCATCAGCTCCACATGTAGGTTATTTGGTATTTTAGGTACACGGGATATATGCATGCACCATGCAAATGAATCTATCTGCAGTGACACTCGGTAGCACAGAAAATCATGCCCCCTTTGGAATCGCCCATTTGTTCCTCTGATCATGAGGTTTTAATCCTGTATCGGGGCTCTCTCTTCACTTCATAGGCACATTCCGGCCTCCAATTTCAAAGATGGAGTCCTCAGTGAACCAGACCCTTATTCCAGACACCCTAACACACGTGAAGGCCGACCAGGGAGTATCAAACCTGGTCACCGCGGTGTTGTCCGGTGTTGCTCTTCATATTTTTGTTTTCAACCGCGGAGAATGGGACGTTGGCGCACCCAAGATCCCAGTTAGCCTGTTCAGCGTCCAGGTACTTCTGTATATTTTCCTGCTGTTCTCAGAGCCCCAAGCATCCATTCTATCAGCGCTATGGGAGACGACCAAGATAAGCAGTTGCGTGCTTGCTGGTATAACAGCCAGTATCCTGCTGTATCGTGCATTTTTCCACCGACTCTGTCGATTTCCGGGACCCTTAGGCGCACGTCTGTCGATGGCATACATTGCGAGCATGTCTGCGAAACACCCAGATGCTTTCAATTACATTCAAGGTCTGCATCGCAAACATGGTGACTTTGTGCGGACAGGTGTGTCGAAAACTGAATTCTAGCATTGTCTTGCAGATTGCTCACGTCTATAGGACCAACTGAACTATCCATAAACCATCCTGATGCCCTCAATGTCATCCACTCCGGTCAATCGCGATGCACGAAAGGGCCATGGTACAGCATGCTACACCCGTTTATCTCACTCTTTGCGATTCGAGACAAGGCAGAGCATAGTCGGCGCCGTAAGCCATGGGAACTCGCTTTCCGTGCCAAAGGTATGTTCATTGCATGAAGCCATCGAAGAAAGGTTCTAATTTGTTACAGCTGTGCAGGACTACATGCCCTCAGTTGACAAATGCACTACCGATCTGTTGCAGCAGATTGAGCGGCAGAAAGGCGCGCCGATTGATATGACCATGTGGATCAACTTGTTCATGTTCGATGTAAGAAGAATCTCCGTTCCTAAACGAACTGGGTGAACTGACATGGGCTAGTTGACTGGACTCGTGGCCTTTAGCCAAGAGTACAACTGCGTGCGGGATGGCAAGAAGCATCCGATCATGGAAGTGAACGACTCGTCCAACCTAATCTCCGGTATCGTGAGCCAGATAGTCTGGGCCATTTCATTCGTCAAGGTCATTCCAGGTCTCAATACCAATATGAAGCTGCTCATCGAGTTTTCCGAGCAACAAGTGCGTAATCGCGAGAAGATGGAGAAGTCAGATCACAGTGATGTGTTTTCCTGGCTATGGGAGGACTTCAAACTTGAGGGCCGTGATATGCCGCAATCTCGTCTGGATCTTGTGGCCGACGCATCATTGGTGATTTTCGCAGGCAGGTAAGCATCTCTTTCTCGGGGTTGTATTTCACAACATGATTGACAAATAGCTACAGTGGAACCGTCGCAGTCACCATTATCGGAGTGCTTTATTTCCTCGCCAGTGAATCACCTCGCCATCTCGAAGCAATTCAACGCGAGCTGAACAGTCTAGAGGAGATCAACTCCCATACACTAACAAAAATGACTCACCTCAACGCTGTCATCAATGAGACTCTGCGACTCCACTACCCAGCGCTTTCTGGCTTCCAGCGCCAGACTCCAGCCAGCGGTATCCACATTGGTGATACCTATATCCCAGGTGACATCAACGTCAAGATCCCATTCTATACGCTATTCCGCGACGAGCGCAACTTCGACCAGCCCGAGACATTCATTCCGGAGAGATGGACGACGCAGTCCCACCTGGTCAGGAATAGGGAGGCATTCGCCCCGTTCCTGCTGGGACCTTACAATTGCCTCGGCAAATCCCTTGCACTGATGCAGGTGCGTCATGTTGTAGTTGAGTTAATTCGACGATATGACTTTTCTCTGGCTCCAGAGCAAAATGCGAAGGACTATTGGGATGCTCGTACAGACGGGTTTGTGATGGGTTTGGGGCCTTTGCAGCTCATATTCACAGATCGGGCAGATCCTCTTTGAGTGTAAGCAGAGCGCTTTTTTGACCGGTTCATACACTTCGCTTGGTGGGAGGCTCTGGATACTCACAATTAGTTGAGCATGATATCAGTTGCCATGAGTATAATTAGCCAGTATTGATGAGTAGTGAAATCGATCAATCTATGTTATACAATGTGCTCACATTGCTGGTATCCCTAGTAGACGAAAAACATGCAACTAATAGATCAAAATGCTGTACTGTGTAGATACGGGCATATCTTCCATGTCAAGGAACAAGTTCTGGATTCACCAACAAATGCAACTTCGCAATAACAGTGCAAACATCCTACGCCACATTGCTGCCTCGTCGTGTTGCCTTGTTGCTTTCTAATTTAGATCTGTTGGCCCGGCAAGAGTTTTCACTGAAACCTCTGCCAAATCCCTTTGTGGTTGCTCCTGTCATGTCTTGGCCAGCCATGAATTCATGACCTTTCCCCTTGCTTTCTTCTGCTGTCAGCCTGCAATGGTACCAATGACTAGGATAGGAATTCCGACTTCGATAACGCACATTCAATAGCCATGCAGCTGCCGCATACACGCTAGAGAAGGATGCAAGGGTGACAGAATGTCCGACATACCTGCAGTGCCACTATCACACGCAGAACTGGGCTCTGCATTATCGTCAACAGCATCAGCGGGCCTTGCACTGACCATCCGTCGTCAACAAGCAACACGGGATATGGCATGTTACTGCTTCCATATATATCTCTGTCATGGCTTTCTGAGAGTGTAATCGATCACAAGCTACAAAATGACTATCACATCTAACAAAGTCGACCGTCTGCCTCAGCCTTATGTGTCCTTGACCAAGGCGCTGGACTTCCCAAACTATGATCAGGAACTCTGGTGGACTAGATCAGCCCCGTTGCTGGCCCGGATCATGGAGTCGGCCAACTACAGCGTCCATCAGCAGTATCAATTCCTGACACTATACAACACTCTGCTCGTTCCATATCTGGGTCCATTCCAAGACACCTGGCACTGCTCTATCACACACTCCGGAATTGGTGTCGAGTTCAGCGTCAACTATCAGGAACACGGCGTACGGACTGTACGCATTGGCTACGAGCCAGTCAGCTACATCTCTGGTACCACCCGTGATCAGTATAATGTTATCACAGCCGATAATGCAATGAATCGCTTTGCCCGCCTCCAGCTGCCATCTTTTGATACCCGGCTGTATACGGGGTTCATGAAATACCTCGCTCTCGACACCGATGAGGCGAAGACGTTGAAAGGCGCCAAGCTGGGTTCATCGAAGTTCAAGACACAGGCGGCCTTCGGACTAGACCTGAAAGGCGAAGATGTTTCAGTCAAGTCCTACGTCTATCCTGCCCTGAAGGCTCACATCACGGGAAAGACATTCCGCCAGTTGCTCGATGAAGCCGTCCAGGGCCAGGCAGATGCCAGGCAGTATGCGGATGCCGTGGCTCTTGTCAGTGACTACATGACAGCCAGTGGCTGCTACAACCAGTATTCCTTCATTGGCTTTGACTGCAAGACACCATCGAGCTCGCGACTCAAGGTGTATGGAGCTATACTTGATATCTCATGGGCCAAAGTTGCAGAGATCTGGACTCTCGGTGGTCGACTTGCAGACCACAAGGGCAACCAAATCGGACTCGACTTGTTGGAAAAGTTGTGGGGATATTTGACGCCGCACAAGGTGAGGAGATCCATCCACAATTCTCGGCTTAAAGGGTACTAACAACAGACAGAATAATCGACCCGTGGGTATCTGGAATTATGAACTGATGCCCGGTAGCCTGAGACCCGAGCCCAAGTTCTATATCGACATGAACGGGGAACCTGATCACCAGAAAGTGACTGGAATTACACGCTTCTTCGAGCACCTTGGCTGGAAAGAGACTGCCGCGTCGTATCCCAGCACACTGCAGTCGTATTTGTAAGTGGTCCACAATATATCTGCACAAAGATCACAAGCATTAACCTTCCGACAGCCCGGATGCCAACATTCAAGAAACCACAAACTTGATTCAATACGTGTCTTTTGCATGGACTGAGAAGACAGGGCCATACGTGAGTGTCTACTATCATTCCCGATACTGACGCGGACACCAAAGACATCGGACTGGTCTTCCTGCGTTCTGGACGGGTTTGTAGATGAGACCCTTGTGAATTGGGTGGACTTTGCACACAGTGCCGGATGATTCTTTCCCACTTCTCTAGATCTTGGATTTTTCAATGCTCCTTGCATATGACAGCTGCAGCAAACATATGGTTCTCAAGGTTTCCAGATATGAAGCTCGTAGCCTACTGCACAGTAGATAGTGGTGATTTACTCAACACAGCCAGTAGTATCAGCATCACAGGTCAGGTCAGATCACCTCAGGACTGATGTGGACTAGCAAGGAAACTGATAACTTGATGGAACGCCTTATGCACGTATGAAAGTAGTAGATGGTAGCGCCTAATGTGTTCCCAGACCTCTACGTCTACCCACAGCTCAAATCTATCACAGACAGACCAGTGCAGAAAATGCTATCAGGCACCATGCATCAGCTCGATACGCAAGGGCGCTTCTCGAGGGGCTTGGAGCTTAGATGTGGAACAATATTTGCAGTCGACGGCAGCCAGCATCTCACTGATGTTCCTAGTATCCTATGCTCTGCCGCCCCAAACGCCTGCAGGCTACTGGGCGGCTTTTTTTTTTTTTTTTTTTGTCCGAAATACAGATGACCTGGGATCGAATCTGTACTCTGTGGGCGCTAGGTGGAACTGTGCCGAGTCCTGATGGGCTCAAAGCTCTGAAAGCCGGAGATTATCTCTCACGCCTGGAATGCGCGGCCCAGCGGACTTCTCGCTACTTTTCGGATGGCATTGCTTGAGTCCCCACCTTTTGTTCAGCCGCATATTGGGTTCCCTATGACAGGCAAAACTGAGGTGGAGACTGCCGAGACTGCTGTACAATTCTCACCTGGCTTGGCTTGACAAATCATGCTTCGGCTTACATGGCTTCTCTAAAAGCATACTAGTAATTACTCTCCTCGCTGACTGCAGGGTGACTGCGACAGCGCTAATTGCATCAAGTCCTGATTTAGATATCCACAAGCCGCTGGGAAGCAGGCATGGCTGGGACTTGTCCTCTTCGAAGAAAGGACCCAGTTTTAATAGTTATTTCAATATTAGTACTATTCCGAATCGGGATGATGGATTGTGGAAAACCTAATAAAAACTTGGCTTTTGACCCCCTTGCTTTCCTTAAAGAAGTGTTGAACAGACCAACTCTGTACAGTTGGCGGATGCCTTCACATATGCCTCATGCTAGCCTGCTATTGGTTGCTCACACTCCATACACCGCAGAGTGCATGCTCAGTGCATGCATACTTCCCATGCAGCCGCGTCCGCGACCGACGGGAGGCCCCGGCCGCTAGCGTAAACTCACCAGTGGGCCCCCAGCCCCCCACGGGCCACAACATCCTTTAGTTACCCAGGGTCAAATGCGGCAACCGAGGTCATCCAGCAATTTGACAAGGTCCATTTCGTGGCGCCCTTGATTCTGGCCAAACACCTGCTAACTGTGAAAGATTCTGACTGCACACCCTCTTCATGTATTCGTGAATCGTGGGATCATGTGCGCTCACCGAAACCTGGTAGAGGGTAAAAGCCATAACAAAGTTGTTTGTTCGTAGACTCAGCTCTAGACTACAATTACTTCTGTAATCCAACATATTTGCTCTAGATCACTGTCTCATGTGAAGCATTGGTTCAGGCAATGAGGTTTGTCACTGGAGATTTTTTCCGTCCATTTGTGTCTTAAGAGTACATTGATATCGGCATTTCGTCGCAAGGTTCGATCGCCTCCCCCTTTGAACACAGCGACCAAGCCCCAGACAGAGCAAATTAATCAGATCTCTCCTTGGCGACCGGCTTCCGTGCCACCATCAAAAACATAGGTGAGAAGATCTTCATCTCACCGCCCTTGTACATGCCGTCAAGAATAGTCACGACCAGATCCGTAACCTTGGAAGAGCCAGTGGGCAAGATGTTCATTCCTTCCAGCTTGCTGACAAGCGACTGGACCATGCTGTTGCCCCACTTCGAAGCACGAGCAAAGTAGAAGAAGCTCAGCACGGCAAGCGAGGACCAACTGGTATGCGCAACGAGCGGATTAGACAGTTGTTTCTCCCAGGGGATCTGGTCCGGTCTGCTCGCCAAATCATCAACTTCCAGCAACTCAAACCCAGCCTCCTTGATGGCTGCAATGGCTTCGGCGGCCGAGTACACGTGGGCAACACCACCGCCGCGCTCGATCATGTGGCGAACCTCCCGATGAGCGGGGTCCTTGTCGTCGTATTTGTCCGTCATCACGACCTCGTACAAGCCAAAGGTCGCACCAGGTTTGAGGACCCGGAACACCTCGCGGTAGACATCGACGAGATTAGGTGAGTAACAGGTGGCTTCGATGGCGTAGCCTGCGTCGAAGGTGTTGTCTTCGAATGGCATGTGCAAGAAGTTCTCATTGACGAAGTTCACCTGGTAGCCCAGTCCGGCTTCCTGGGTGAACTGGCGCGCCTGACGAATCTGATATGGGTTCAGATTGACGCCAGTGATATTGGCCCCGGTGAAGCGGGCTATCGCTCGAGCCGGTCCGCCAATGCCACAGCCCACATCGATCACTTTTTGGCCTTCTTGGATGTTGACTCGATGAGCAAGGTATTGTTCATGGCGGATGACGGAATGCTCGATAGGTTCGGTGGGTGACAGCCGGCAGAGGTGGCCAGACATTCGGCCCATCCATTGGAACACATCGGTGATCAGATTGTAGTATCTGCAATAGATCAGTAACTATGTATGTTCTAGGATCATGCGGAGTGGTAAAACTCACTGCAGAGCCAGCACAGCGTGTCCCTCTTTTCTGGCCTGCGATGAAATTAATAACTTTCTTCCTAGTTACCGGATGAACGTTAAGGAAGTACCTCAATGTTCTGCGCAAGTTCTTCTTGGTCTGTTTGCGCGTGTTCGGGCTTCCAGATCTTGAAGTACCCCTCAGCATCTTGCTCCATTTTAGTCATTGTGACAAGTTGAAAGATAGGTGGTAAGGATTTGCTGAGATCTGGAGAAACGGTATCCAAAGCCTGAACTCGAGGTAGGAGACTACATGTATATACTGTCGGAAATTAAGCACAGTCAATTACCTATTGAAGCCCACTACACTATCTGCATCCCAAAAGCCACTCCCGCTAGGACCTAGCATTCTTTGAGAAAGATTTTCTCACTTCATTGCTTGGATTGCCCCTTGCGAATCCACAAATTCCACACCAAAGACGATATTATTTGGCAAGTCTAGACTCTCGATAAGGATAATATTGTCAATAACCCGATAGGCCGTATGTATGTCAGGAATCCCTAGCTTGCTGACAGTTCGGGTGTCCGGGTCATTCAGCTAAGCCATGCTTTCTCCTCGGTCTACAAGTGGGGTCATCTTTTGATTCGGTGACTTGAAGCTGTTCGGGATCGATCACTTGCATTCAGCTACAGGATGATGCAATACGTCCCTTACTTTCTAGTGCATGATGTGAACTACTATCGTGAGACACATTGCTTCAGACAACCGAAACCTACCTCACAACGTGTGAGAAAAATACAAGAAGGGACGCTGTACGCAGTCCTATGGTAGGATAGCGTCCAGCAAGCTGACCGTGTCTTCATAGGTCGAGCAAAATTGAGGAGTTCACCGCGGCTCTCTCTCTCTCCGTACGAAGGTGCATAGCGGCCAACATTCGAGTGCCCGATTTTGGTGTGTTAATGCCTGAATTGGCCTGAATTTAGACTGGCAGAAAATTAAAATACCTGAATTACTATGACAGATCTCCTAGTAAGCAAAGTCCCAAAGTTCAACAACCTTGGAACTGCAAAAGCCCATATTTGAAGCTATTCACACCCCCATATCCTGTTTTTCATCGATCTTAGGAGTTGAAGAAGCTATTCCGATAGTAAAAACCAGTGTATTCCCCTATTCTAAGGCATTTCTGACCGTACAAAGTCCCTATTTCCCTAAACTCTTCGTCTCCTTTGGCTCCATTGTGTCCCCACCCCCCTATGCTCTCCGTCTCCTTTGGCTCCGGCGGTGAAGTGCCCTCAGCCTGCGGCCGAGCCCGCTTCAGGCCCCTTGCTGCGTTTCCCCTTCGAGTGTTTGGACGGATTGCGCTTTCGGTGGCTGCGGCAGGCGATGACAACTTGATGATTGTAGCAGGAGGCGGTGTTGCAAAAGTAGGAGGCGATACCCATACTGGAGACGGCGATCTGGGTGTAGGCGTTGCGGGAATAGCTTCACTAGCGGCAACCGTAGGGATTGGTTCACTAGCTACAGCTGCGGGAATAGCTTCACCAGATGTACGTATCACGATACTGGAATCCGGCCAATTATCAATTGCGCCTTCATACCGTGCGACAACCACATGTAGCTTCGGTGTTGGAAACTTTGAAATGAATTCCTTCACTGTACCCAAAAGCATCTCTGGGATCCCTGAGATTCATCGAGGAACCTGCTTTTTCCCTACCTTTACCATAGCCTCAGCAAGGTAGAACTTGTCCTCTATCCGCGGTCTGAATGAGGCAATTCCAGGCAGCGCAGGAAGCAGCATATTCCTTACCCAAATTGTCGATAGGGCCGATTTGAAGAGTCGGAGGGAGGTTGACCAGCATCGAGGCTATAATTTTGGATAAATTAGCCTTTGTAATCATCCATCAACCTCCCTCCGACTCTTCAAATCGGCCCTATCGACATTTGGGTAAGGAATATGCTGCTTCCTGCGCTGCCTGGAATTGCCTCATTCAGACCGCGGATAGAGGACAAGTTCTACCTTGCTGAGGCTATGGTAAAGGTAGGGAAAAAGCAGGTTCCTCGATGAATCTCAGGGATCCCAGAGATGCTTTTGGGTACAGTGAAGGAATTCATTTCAAAGTTTCCAACACCGAAGCTACATGTGGTTGTCGCACGGTATGAAGGCGCAATTGATAATCGGCCGGATTCCACATCTTGTTGTAGGCATCGAAATAGCTGCGTCTGTTCTGACATTGAATCCGGGTCTGTATCGATTGGACAGCGGAGGTCAGGTTCATCGGAGTAGTAGAAGTTCATATTTGGCTTCCCGGGGATAACGTGCGGCCGGTGAGGTTGGTGTTGGATAGGGTGATTGTTCCAGTGAGTTGTATATTGGTGGACTCGGCGCCGGATAATCGGCATATAGATAGCAAGGAGGGAGATCTGATCGGGAATACAGTCTTTAGTAAAGACGTTATCGTGTACGAGGCTCCAAAAGAATTCCTATAGATATTAATTAGCTAGTACTATAGTTAGCACCACTCTCTTTACTTACACGAAAGATACCAGTGCTTGCCCTTGATAGAATAGCCCACCATGCCTCAATCCGTTGGTTATTCATACTCCGGCCATAGAGGTAGCAATCGTTGATCTGCACTGAAGGGTCACCTAGCTTCCGAAGCTCGTATTGCGTATCAGCAAGAAGGACAGTCTCTGTCCCTCGATCAGACCGAAACCTCCTTGGTTGGAAGCCATGGACCGCAAAAGCATCGAGACTTTGGCGCTGAACGCTTACTGCGGTACAGAGTACGGCGCCCAAAGTCTTCAATATCGCCAATGATAGACTCAGAAATAAGGATAGCTTCAATATCATCAAGCTCTTGCTCTCGCTCCTCAGGAGAAAGCCGAAGTTTAATACCAAGACCAGCCCGAACCCTGCGGATAGTCCGTTCTGAGCATGGTATACCCTCCTTCTCCAGAATCTTTAGTATATCCCGTGTATTATGGCGAGGTAGTAACTCTTCGACGCGACCATAGATATCGACTTTCTTGGTACGTACTGGAGACTGCCATTCTCGGAGGTGCCTCTTGAAGGTAGTTGGGCGGACGAGGATCTGATATTTATCATAAAGAATCTCAAAAATAGCTTGATGGGTGGTCTTTTGAGAGAGGAGATCAAGGATCTCGGCTTTGTAAGGCTCAAGGTCGATCTTTGGAGGCATGTAAAGGGCGATTTGAACGGTTGAGGCTTCAGGATGATGAATCAGGTCGATTTGGACGGTTGAGAGGCTTCAGGATGATGAATTCAGGGGTTTTGGGCGGTTGGGTGGCTTTGAAATCGAGGGAAAAAAAGCGGTCTGTATACCTTCAACGCCTGGATATGGCAAAAAGCGCCATTTTGGGGTGTGGGAATAGCTTCAATTCCCAGTTGGTGGCTTTCAACTTACAGGACTAGTTACAAAACATGGTATTATGCGGTGTCGAAGGCGGTCTAAAATCACTATACACTAGTAGTACTAAATAATAATAATAATAGTTAGGCCATAAAACCATTTAAATCAGACACTCGACTGTTGGCCGCTATGCACCTTCGTACTCTCCGCCTTGCCCCTTTGGTCTGATTCCACATCTTAATTTCTTACACCACTCATCGCTTCATTATAGGTTCATTGACAACACATGGTATTTATTCTAGGTTATAGGCACCACATCTTATAAAGCCACAAAAATGATCGATGATACTCTTCCGCCCGGACTGGAAAAATAAAGCACCAAAGGCAAGAAGGCACTGGGTCGAGTTAGCTCGCCAGTTGGTTTAGCACTCGCCAGTTGACCCGTAGGTCTCGCGCCAAATCCCAGATCATAATTTTCTTTTCTGGGCGGATATTAGAGTTAGACTAGCCCAGTTCTCAGAAAAATAAAACCACGGAAACGCTCGCTTGCTGAGAGGATGTGGCTGTCATGGATGTGGAAGCTTGAACTTAATCGAAAGCTTATCTACAGGCTCCTGGTCCATCTACTTTCTGGTGGGTTGGTTGCTAACTGCTCCCTACAGCCCAAAACAGAAGTCAAGAAATTTAGAGCAGCAATCACAATTTCGGTCTGTTCATATATAGGATATTTTAGAGACCAGAATTTTATTATCAGGATTCTCTAGATTCAGTCTCATGATCAAGACTCAAGAGGCACAAGGTGTTTCAAATAAAGTTTAGAAGCCACACCCGTGGAGGGCCGGCCGTACCGCAGCCGGCCCACAACGTGTACAACGTCCACTCATGTCGGGGACCAATCGGTCTCTCGGCTTCTAAGAATAGGTGATGAAAATATGGAATGAGCACCGGTATAACCGCACATGTCAAGACTCAAACTAGTATCGGATACCCCGTAACCACGCCCAACCCGCGGTTCACCACTAATGAAACAACGAATATGCCCCACATGTTTCCGATTCAAGATGCCACATACTAACTAATGCGGGACGTGGGGTAACTACAGTTACAGTATGCTACGTCCCATTACATCACGACTGATCTAAGTATTGCTTTTGGTGGATATAAGAGCAGCGACCAGATCTCCACTGAAGATCAGACCTCTGCCTCTTGGCCACGACTATTCCAATTGTACTTGCCTGTCAATTATCCACTTTCAACAACAAAATGGCTCTCAATGGCAAAGTTGCCCTTATCACGGGCGGTGTCAAGAACCTCGGAGCTGAAAGTGCCCTAGAGCTGGCCGGTGTGGGCGCCAATCTTGCTCTCCACTATCATTCGTCTGGCAGTGACAAAGTAAAGGCCGACCTTGAAATCGCACTGAAGAAGAAGAACCCGTCAGTCAAAGTCACATTCTACCAGGGAGATTTGACCTCTGCCGCCGCAGTGACCAAATTGTTCAAAGATGTTCTTCGTGACCATGGTCAGGTTGATATTGTGATCAATACGGTTGGAATGGTTCTGAAGAAACCTATTGTTGATATCACTGAAGAAGAATACGATACGATGTTCGCGTGAGTGTTGAGGAGAACTTCATGATGTCTATGTGTACGTGGCTAATTGGTTCTCTAGGGTGAACTCCAAAACTGCCTTCTTTGTCCTCAAAGAAGCGGCTGCTCATGTGAGCGACGGTGGCAAGATCATCAGTATTGTTACGGCGCTGCTAGGCGCATTCACCGGCTACTATACTTCTTACGCTGGTAGCAAAGCCCCAGTGGAACATTTCACTCGGTAAGTCGCCAATTCTGTAGCATCTAAGATTTGTGCTAATGATTTCTAGGGGTGTCTGCAAAGAACTTCAGTCTAGAAAGGTCAGCGTGAACAACATCGCTCCTGGACCAATGGATACGCGTAAGTTTTCTCATTGAAATACACGGTTCTATCAATAAATCTGACATGAAATATGACACAGCATTCTTCTATCCACAGGAGTCTCCCGAAGCTGTGGAGTTCCACAAATCAAATGGTATGGGCGGACGTCTTACCATGACGGAGGACATTGCTCCAATTGTTCGCTTCCTCTGTACAGAGGGTGCCTGGATCAGTGGGCAGACAATCTTTGCCAATGGTGGATACACCACCCGTTGATCGATTTTCCGAGCTATCAGGAAACTCAAAGGTCATCACAACCAGTGCTGTCTATGCTTATAGGGTACAATAGGCTATGATGTTCTTCCCTGTGGATTTATGATAAAGTTATAATTTTCTCTTATCTTTGCTTTTAATACACAGTACGTATCTAAAAAGAATGCTGCTACCTCCCTGCTGCACACTTCCTCCGATTCTCAGAGAGATATTAGCATTCCCCCAATCTGAGTAAAAGTTCTTGCAATCTAGAACCACCAACCCATTGATCCAGACGACTTCCACTCAGACGTCCCAGCCAAATCCTAATCTATTCTCTTCTGCGATAGAAATGATACCTCGGAATAAAGCAACTGCTTCGTCCCAGAATAGGTATATCCATGCCCATTCCAAGGTCAAAGGAGGAGCGACATACTAGATCCGGGCCGCCGGCAATTCCCTCAGCAGCCTACCTGACCTATCTCAAGAATCAATCTTCCAGACTTGACCCAGCAGATTCTGGCGAGTCCATTGATACGGGCCATACGGTATCAGAGAGGATGAGAAGGTGGATAGATTCTCCTGTACCGCCTCCGCACTGTAGTTGAGCCATGGTGATGGACACTAAGAGTCTAAGACTCGCCACGATGGCTCATTGCCCGAGACAGAGCGCATGAAGTCAAATGCCCATCGCGGCAAATTCACGGAGGGAGATCTGGACCTGGCCTTGGAGGGGGATTTCAGACGAGACAAAGATTGATATAAGAAGATGCAACCTCGCTGGAAAGGACCTTGTCTCCCCAATGCCTCGATGTGTTACGGGCAATGATTCACGATAGGCCCAGGCCTGACTTTGATACTATCGGCGTTTTATTGCTAGGCAGAAAATTAGTAATATGCAATAACATTCGTATTAGATAACTAACTAGATCACTAACTAGTTAGTTAATAACTGCTTAGTTTCACCATAAACCTAGGCTACGTACTATGACTGCCAAAACGGGGGTTGTGAAAGAATGGATACAACAGCGAAACCGGGCTGTGTACTGATACCAAGGACAACAGAAACTAAAGACTGTCCAATCTAGAAGATCACTCTGAATGAGAATAATAATGACACTGATTCTTGCTATCTAACGAAAAGGGATTCAGGGCCCCTGGGGTTTGTGTGCCGACATCACTCGGAGAAGAGTTGATCCGACGAGGGTGGAGCACAAACGCCAGGCACCAGATGGAATCATGGAATCCTCCATTCCTGACAGAACTGCATTCGCCGATTCTTTTAATTCCTTCTTCTACCTCGGATACCAGGCGAATAGCTTCGCCTAGAAATCACGAAACTCCCGCTTGAACGATCTGGCGACCACTCCCATCACCGGCGGCCTGATCGGCGTGGGTCGAGGCCTAGTTTGCACTTCCGCAACACAGTACACTCAAGGTGCGATGGTACGTCTCACCAAGAGAACACGAAAGGATTGCTCGAAGCAAAGCAACTGCAGCTTGCCAGCTTCAGGTTCTTTTGGTGTGTGATCACACGCCACCTCATCTCACGGAGGACATGTGTTATCCCCACTTGACGAGAATGACGACAGAGCCGGATAGCCAAGCGAGGATGCAACTAGCCGTTGCAGACGAAGCAAAGAGGAACCCCAGAGTATTTCAAGAACCAAGGGCACTGCACTATCGTTGCTGCTCATGGTTCAGGCCATGACGCCTTCTCGTCACGAGTGGCAGAGGAAAATAATCCGGGTCTCCGAGAACGCATACCATCTGGGGTCGACCGGGTCGTCCGGGAAGATGATCGGACGGTCGGAGCAATTTCGCAGCTATATAACCGGAGCAATGTTAGTCATTCAGCTTGATACCAGCGGAAATCGAAGAAGAAGGTATCAAAGTATATACAGAAAGCAAGAACAGTCCGAAAACAGATGAAAGGCCACACTTACATTTCGATTCGCCGCGAGATACCCACCCTATGATGCAAATGTTAGAGGGGAGTAGTTCTATGCCCTCCGACGCTCAAGGGGGTCCATCTCCGAAGGATGGTCGATCTCCTTCTCCAGGCGAAAAGCGCCCAGCGTCGGACATCGTGGACTTGGATCCTGAAGGTGGGTTGCCTGATGGCACTCAATGCCCTTGGTCTCGACCATATTCCGGTATTGACGACGATGGGGATTGTGAGATGAGGACAAAGAACCCTAGACTGCGAGACATGCGAAAAAGTACACCAAAGCCGAAGCATTCCAGTCTTACCAGGCCCTCGCAGCGATGCATGGTACAGGAATCGCAGGGAGCTTGCCCAAAGATTCCTGGACCGTTATGCGCGCCAAGCTTGAATCGACGTAAAGTGCAATACTCTTGATATCAGCAAATTCATCAAGACCAGGCGTTTCAGAAAGCACCCATTTAGAACGCGCTTGCAATGAGGGCAGGGATGCCTCTTTTCCTTCCCCGGAATATGTGTATTCGTCAATCACCACATGGTGTGGAGGAATGCGTGTGACGACCAGACGTGTATACCGGCGCGTAATCAATGACCAATTGGCCATAGTCCTCCGCGTGATATTGCGAAGCAGCCTGTTGCAAGGCGGTGTCGTCTTCGAATGCGGTGGTCTTGGCGTCGGGGTTGGCCACGCTGTCAGGCAGGATGATCGTGTGAGCGTTTGGATTTTCTGACTGAACGGTCTCAGGTCAAGGGCACGTGTACCGCCAGTCGCTTGAGGCACGCCTCATCGGGATTCGGGATGAGGTGAAGGAGGTACTCGAAAAGCACATCTAGATGGCGACTTCCGGACTGGAACCGCAGGTGCGCAGGCACGTATGAGGGTGGGGAAAGCGACACGATTAATCCGTTCCTTGCTGAGGAGAGCAACATCAACCAGCTATTTGACGCATTGGAAAACAAGACGGAGAGTTTCTCCGGGCCGATGACCAGCATCCCAAGGAGTCTCTTGTAATGTGCAGTGTGATAAGCCAGGTTGGTATACAGACCTGGATCCCCACAGTAATGCTGCTCTCCCAAGGGCTATCAGTGCGAGAAAAGCCTAGGGGAGACTATTCTGGGAGCAATACAAGTGACTGATCAGCTCGGGCACTTCTGGTTAAGACGAGGATAGGGTACTCACCACCCCTTCAGAGTGTATGTCCTTGCCGTATTCATAGCAGCATTACGTTGACGCTATTGCGGAAGGGTGCTCATGTGCAGGCTCATACTATCGGGAAGAAGGAGTAAGTATGGGGATCCCACAGATGGAGTTGGGTCCTTGTCAGACAATTGCCCGTTGTTACTTACTTCACAGAGTCCTGTTCCAATCCTTGAGGTCTTTCCCACCTAGCCCCAAATGGTGGTTTGTTGCGAGTCCCGATTGGAGGGCTGCTCGAGATGATGGCCACGCCATCGACGACCCTGAACCAACGGTGCGCATGGGCAAGATGTTGGACCCCGAAGGCAGGAGCTCCGTCACTCGTGGATCGTCCGAAAGGAAGCGATGACCCCTTAGTGTCCGCGTGATCTGCAGTCATCAGTATCAGCTTTCGTCACGGAGATGGTCCGCAGACTCGGGGCGATGCTTTTGATAAGGGGTGAAAAGAGATGAAGAGAGATGGGGGGATCCTTACCAAGAGAGACGAGGGGTCGAGTCCCCACGAGGCAGCGAGGCAGCCGAGGGAAGGACTCGCTTGGGGCCCTTGATTCTCTACTCGGACCTCATGCGGCGCCTCATCAACCGATTCCGCACATTAGACTAATCAAGAACCTCGTTGTGGCAGGTATATTGATTGGCTGGGATGAAGGTTGATGGGGGAGTCGATTGAGAAAGGGGAAGATAAAGTGAGAGGGGGGAGGGCACGACAGTTCACGCGACACATGATCACGCGAGCTTCGCGCCAACTGACAAGTCTAGGTATCCCTACGAATTGTCCCAATATTCTCTCGGTTCTTCACTTCTTCTTCTTCTTCTTCTTCTTCTTCTTCTCTCCATCTCCGTTCTCCCCTTCTCCGTTCTCCCCTTCTCCTCTCCCCTTTCTCCTCTCCCCTTTCTCCTCCCCTCTTCTTCTATTCCTTTCTCCTGTCTGCTTTGGTTGTTATTTCGATTCCCATTCTTCTGCTACAAGATTTTCATTGAGATAGTTATGGAGGAAGCCACGCTGTCCGCGCAGAAAGATGTACTTCGGCACTAAGCCGGATTGACCAAAAACCTGTGGGTCGGAGCGATGATCCGTAGCGCAACTGTCTACTATGCCTATCTTGATGCACCTCACCTGGTCTCCTCCTCCCTTCATCCCTTCTCCTGTCTGATTTGGTTGATATTTTGGTCGGTACATAATCCAAGGGAAGAAGGCTATTGCCGTTGCTAGCTGTCATATGACATATTGCTCGGGTTGCCCCGTGTCAGTTGTCCTTGCCTAGTAGGAAGCCTGGCTTGCAATCGCAGGTATCCTACAATGGCTCATCATTAATGTCTGTCTCGACTCCCGCAAGTTAGCCTTGGCCACGATCAAGTCCGCAAGAATTCCCGTGGAGTCAGATACTCTTGGCCCTCGGTGGTGCTGGAAGAGCACCGAGATCATTCACTTAACAACCCCAAGCATTTCCCCGAAAAAAGCAACGAAGAAGCGATGAGAGAGTACCAAGAGCGACTGTTCGACTTGGCGATGGCTCCCTCCCTATGCTTGGCGGTATCATTCAGTGCAGATGTGCTACACCCTCCTTAATTGGTCGTAGTTGTACGGAGTAAACAGCGAATCTATCAGAGCTGAGATTCGATATATTCTGCCGGTCCTGAGGCCTAACTAAGGGTCCCACACATCATTTACCTAACCAATGAAAGAAAGGTCAGCTGGCCGCTATCCCTGCTGCAGATGTAGACCCAAACCCCCATAAGTCAAGCTATCGGCAGAAACCGGGACCGGGACGGCAGAGATTCCGGGCCAAATTCTTCAGTAACTGGAAATTAATTAATCTTGCTGTTGCTTTTTATTTCTGTTCTGTTATTTCTGCTCCGTTGAATTTGTCTATGGATTCAATTTTGAGTTGTTTTCCTTGTCTTGAGGCAGAAGTCATGCCATGATTCGAGGACATCCTTATGCCCGGGATATAATCGTCATTTTCTCGGGCACATGGGCCTCGGTATCGGTGATTTGAACTGCCCACCTCCCCCCGCATTTTGCGGTTTTCCTTCATTCTGTTTTCCATTCTTTTCACTCCTCTAACTTGAGTGCTGTTCTGGAAAGAGGATTGCTATTGCAATTGCGCGCGAATTTGAAGTGCGTTGCATTGCATTGACGTGCATATGCAAGATCGATAATGTCGAGTGTCGCGAACTCTCTCCACATGCGCGCGACACGCAAACCCTACGGCCCAAGGATGCGAGCACTAACTAACAGTTTCAGGTCTATGCTACTGTGATTGTCTAATTTGAGTCAACACATTTTGGCTGGAAAGCATTAGATTTGTTTCATTTACATGAGCAATGCATTAACCCTCCGGGCTATGGTCCCGACCACAGCAGAGAACAAATTTGGCTTGAGAAAAAGTGAGAACAGAGCAAAAGAAATCCATGGTATGTATCCCATCCGCACACCGGCGGAAAAACGCAGATTGCCGTCATCAATCACCAGAAGCTGACCACCCGGTCACTCTACAGAACTTTTTACTCCATAGACAAACCGAGGTTCTCCTCGGCGGGCACCACACGAACGGTGTTGGTGTGGCCCATGCCGCCACGCCATCCCTGGACGCAGACAATGGGGTCGCCCTTGTTGATGATGCCAAGCTTGAGACCGTGGTTAATACCCCACTTGAGGCGACGGTCGACATCCTCTTGCCAGATTTTGACGTTGAAATCAGGCTTGGTCTCGGGGAAGTAGAACGGCCACACACCGCGGTACAGGTGAGAGTACTGAAAACTCTTGTCAGCGCAAAGAACGATACTGGATGGAACGAACGAATTGAACTTACGCGGGAGGCGGTGTCGTTACGGGTGACCATCAGAATAGGGCAAACGGGACGGTACTTGGACACAAGACGAGCGGTTTTACCACTATGGAAATGTCAGCATCATCACCTTCTACACACGGAAACAACACTTGCGGGTACATACCTGGTGGTCAAGACGACGATGGCACCGGCGTTCAGCTCCAGACTGGCACTGACGGCAGCCATGGCAATGGATTCGGAGGTGTCAGTGGGGCGAGGAGCAAGGTTGCGCAGCTCGTCAAAGACGTTGAAGTGAGGAATGGCGACCTCGGCCAGCAAGCAGGTCTCGGACATCATCTTAACGGCCTCGCAAGGGTAGTTGCCCTTGGCAGTCTCACCGGACAGCATGACACAGTCGGCACCGTCGAGCACAGCGTTGGCGACGTCGGAAACCTCAGCACGGGTTGGGCGAGGGTTGTATGTCATGGACTCAAGCATTTGAGTCGCACAGATGACGGGCTTGCCCTTGATGTTGCACTTGGCGATCATCATCTTCTGGGCAAGGAAGACCTTGGGGGCGGGGATCTCGATACCGAGATCACCACGGGCGACCATGACACCGTCAGTTTCCTCGAGAATCTCATCGAAGTTGTTGACACCTTGCTGGTTCTCAATCTTGGCGATAATCTGGATCTCCTTGCCCTCCTCGCCGAGAATCTCTCGGATGTGCTTGATGTCGCTGCCGCGACGGATGAATGAGGCAAAGACCATATCGACCTTGTTCTTGACACCGAATCGCAGATCGGCAATATCCTTTTCAGACAGAGCGGGGAGGTCTACGTCAGTGCCCGGGAGGTTGACACCCTTGCGGGAGGAGATGTTGCCGTTGTTGAGACACTTGACCTTAAGGGTCTGCGAATCAACAACCTCAAGCACTTCAAAGGACATAATACCGTCATCGACATAGATCAGCTTGCCAGCAGTGATCACGTTGGTGATGTTCTTGTAGTCCAGGTACCTGTCGTCACACATTTGTCAGTCCACGTCACAAATCACTGCGCCCGGGTGTGCCATTCAGCAATGGAATTCTTACATGTTCTTATCATCACTGGCAGTGGCATATGCCTCATCGGTGGTGATGTTGAGGATGGTGCCCTCACTGATGGGAATATCCTTGTCACCGACGGTGTTACCGGTACGGATCTCGGGGCCTTTGGTGTCAAGAGCAATGGCGAGAGGGCGACCGGTCTGTAAACGGGCGGCCTCCCGAGCATTGTCAATGACAGATTGGTGGTACTAAAGATAGATAAGTCAACAACGCGTTTTTATCGGACCGTGATCGGAGATCCTGACCTCATATGAACCGTGCGAGAAGTTCATGCGAACAACGTTAAGACCAACTGTGGCAAAGTCAGCCGATCAGCTCAAAAAAAACGAACATTTCTATCGCAATGTTGATTGCCATACCTCTACGGAGAGCATTGATCTTCTCGGCGGAGTTCGTCTTGGGACCTGATTGATAGCCTGTCAGTAACCATACGTTGTTCGCGGCTTTTTTTTTTCTGCGGCCTAAGTCGGACAGCATCTGCTATCATGGCGTGACATACCAATGGTACAAATGATGGAAGTACGACGGAAGTTCTTTGCAGGCACCATCTCGGTGCTAAGCTTGGAGTACCACTCCAGCTTCATGCGGTTGCTCAGGTGGTCGAGGGAGTTAGTGGCCGCCATTGTTATATGAATAACAAGTGTTGTATTAATGTAGAAAGAAGGGAAATTCTGATCAATTGAGAATCAGAAAGGATGGATGAGGAGAAGAAAGGTGAAAGGTGGAGGGGAAAAGAAAAGCGATGGATGAGGGGCGGGAGGGAAAATGTTGGTTGCCGGTGTGAGTGGTATCTCCGGCTGCATCCCACGACATGCTTTTTTAGACTATCAGCAATTGAGCCTATATCTATACCCAATAGACCGTTGAACTTGGACTCCACTGGGCTTTTTTTTTCTCTTTCCTATGTCTATCATTTTAACTGTCTCTCTTCTCTTTTATTGGGGGTTGAATGTATTGGCGATAATTAATGCTATGTACATGCAGGGAAAAAAAATCATACCTTAATTCCACACACATTGACCGCGGAAAAAGCGGAGGACCCCGTGCTGTTGTACGCGCTGTACATTGGAGTACTTTTATCGCATAAATGTGACAAATACAACCTCCCAATTTATTGATCGAGGGCCCAGCCAAAGACACCCCAAACGCGAAAGGGGATTTCGGTGGGATGCAAACGCTTATCGATAGACCTGCCGAAACCGGTCTAGTCGAAACCACCTGGCCCCAGCCACGTTGGCAATTATGTCAGGTACGCTAAACTCACCAGCCTCTTCACCAGCCACTTCAGTGATTTCCGTCATGTGAAAGTCACACGTGACTCTGTAGGCGGTCTCGGTCTCGATGACAGCTCGGATTGCCTCCTCTCTCGTGTTCGTTCCCCAGGCCTCTTATTGTCTGTCAGCTCTTCAATATCTGTAGTGCTGGGATATCTAACTCGTCATTATGGTAAGAGGACTCTGCTGGTCACTCCTGACCTACCGAGGTCCCCTGGGCATAGAGTATGCATGACTGACATAGGATGTTCGGAACAATCTAGTTCGGTCGTCTCACCCACTACGCATTTGACGCGGTTCTCTGTGAGCTTTTCCACGCCTATACATATCTACCTACGGAGTAAAGGACTAACAGGTGCTTTTCACAGTCTCCGCCTTCCTCGCAGGCGTCAAGCGCTCAACAGGCCTTACGTAAATACACCCTTTCACGATCCCCTTCTCTCGCCCTCTCATTGATGCTACATGTTTCGGGGAACTGTTAGCTAACTCTGTCACCCCCGCGCACCCCCGTTCTTGGGGCCGTGTGCGTGTGGGTCCTTCTCAGCCCCAGCGTCAACTCAGACAAGATTACCGAGAACAAAGATATCAAGAAATGGGTCGATAGCTATCTCGGCGTTGGCGAGTGGGTGATGGACCAGTCCGTGGCCGTCATGGGCTCTTCCGCTTGGTTCGAACGACGACGGTGATTTGTGCCACCAAGTTCAGCTTGGAAGGTCATCGACATCTCCTTTCTCGCGACTTAACCGTCAACCATCGAAGTGTGTGCGATTGCGGATTCTGGTCGGATATAAGGCGGTTCAGGGGGTGCATATGCTACAGCTGGACTGGACTGGCTGCACGGAACTGGGCGCTTGGTCTTGAAGTTGCCCACACGGAAAATATCATTTTGTACAGATCGAAGTCTGCGTTGCAGAGGGTGCGCGTTTATCTCGGGGCCATGGTGTACTACTCATCCGCACGCCGAAGGCTGGATTGACATGCGTTGACCCATTACTATCTCCGCTCTAACTCTCATTTTTGGCCATCGCTTCTGGGTCATGGCGTCTTGACTTACTCTTATACCTTTTGCCTATCAATTGTACCTGTTATGCTACCATGCAAATTCACCATTGAGCTTCACAGTCGTATTTTCGAGCTCCTAAAACTGGGCAGTAGGTGGTAACAGTCAAGAGTTCTTTTCAGCCGCTTCCTGCGCCCTCTGGGGCTCGGCAAAAGCTGTGCATGAGGTGCCGTGAGTCTCGGCTACTTCGTTTACACTTAATAGCATGCTAAGGTTGAACAATTGTTCTTTATGGTTTGGAAATGCACACGTTCATAACTCATTTGAGCAATGTAGGATTCCGACTGGCAAGATCGCTTTTAAGAATCGACGCAGGCACTTGAAACAGATCTGATCAATGGGGTATGTCGCAAATGAAAGCACTGTGAAAGCAGATCCGCGATGGGAAAAAACGCCAGCTAAAAGCTCACTAGATCGTCAATATCCACACGGTGGTAGTAGGAGACGTGACCCATTTCCTTCCAGTAATGAGCCAAGCAGTCTGGAGAAATCAGGATCAACTCGCCATTGACGTATGTATCTATATCGCGCAAGCAAATCTAGTTAGCAGTTGTCAGTCTGATCTAATCCAGGAGGTAACTTACGGTCGTGAAAGCCAAGTCCAGCTACATGACCACGGGAGCGTACGATACGCGCTCCGACGAATGGTTCATCCGTGGCAACTCGAAGCAGGCCACTAGGACCGATGTCTTTAGCGACGAAGGAATATTGACCACGAGGAACATTAGGGTCTCCTGTCAACTTGATAGCCTCCAATCGACCCTGTTGCACGATCTCCTGGGAATCGGGTTCGTAATCATCATGGGTTTCCATGGCCTGAACCTCTTCTTCGTCGCTGTCGTCCCAGTAGTATTCGTCCATCCAATCGTCCTCGGATTCTTCATTCTCGGATCGTGGAGGTGCTACTTCTTTCTGAACAATAAGTAGAAACTCACATCCGTGGGCCGAATAGTCCCCCACCCAAATCCCTTGGTACGGCTTCTCTTTGGTGGGAGTATAGAGAGCCGGATCGAGAGTAGAGAAAGTCAAGATATCCTCAATTGGGTCTGGCAGATACAGACGATAACGCTGACGAGACCACTTGATGAGACGCCAATGGAATTCTGACATTTCCTCTAAGGACCCCGGCTGTGGTAGCTCGTGGTTCTTGCGATAACGGAGCGCACGGGAACTGCTGGGAATTGTTCGCGGTGGCCAAAAGAAAGTGTCAAGGGCACACACCATTTCTGCGAACCTCATCTCGGTACAAAACAAAATACCGTAAAGCTCACGCTGGATCTCCAAGGCCATTGGCATGTATCGGTCCTCTTCCTCTTTCGTCGGTTCGTAGTGTTGAATTGGAGCCAATTGGGCTAGCTCCCCAGGAGCTGCGACACGCCGGTCTTCGACAAGCGGGTCTTCGAGAAGCATAACTGGCTCCTCCTTATAATACAAATGGACACGCGGATGAAAAGTCTGAATCATGACATCTGGATTCGACTCCCAGACTTGAAAAGTGGAAGATGTACGGTCTGCAACGAGCTTACGCGCCTCGATAACACCCCGGCGAGGGTTATATCTGGCGATGACCAGTAAGCCCGTGGGTTCAATGTCTGCAAACCAGATTTTGTACTGCGGGAGGAACCAGCAGGGGTGATAGGCGAGATAGAGGCGACGAAATGAGCCGAATGGGCCTGGATCGTTGAGGTGAGAAGGCAGTCTCTCATTCACCAGGGCAGCCCATAACAAGTCATCCATTGCATAATCGGCCAGAATGCTGGAGGTGGCACCGAGGCAGGCAAGGTCTGCAGCGGGGAGATAAGACGCAATGCAGTAAATGATCTCTGGGGGCAACTGTTCGAGTCGCGAGAAGTCCTCAGAAGGCCGCCCGTCATGGTGGTACACATATTCCTCATCGTATTCATCGTTCTCGTCGCAATCGTGGTAATCGTCGTAGTCATCATCGGCGTGTTCTTCCTGCAACAGCAATGCGGTGTGAGGACAGGGGGTTTGGGGACAGGGGAAGGCGACCAGGGCGACGAAGAAATGCAGACATACCTCGCCAGAATTGGGAGTAGGCGCCATCTCGCCTCGGTCGCGCCGTTACGACCGGCACGGTAGCAAGAGATAAGAGATCAACATCAACGGTATGAGCCTCTCGGGGAGGTCGTCAATGACGTCACTTGGAGACTCGGAGGGGGAGTGGGTGGGTTCGAGCAGGAGAGAATGTCACGGTAGAAACGAAAAGGCCAAGGGTACTCAGCGAAGCTGAGAGCCTTGGAACAGGATTAGGATGTGTGAAGTTGGAAGAACAGCGAGCCGCTGCGAGCGTGTTTTGACTAGAGAGCTGGTCAGGAACCGTCATGTTACTTGAGCCGATAAGATAAGCTTGTTTACCTTATCTTATCGCCATGGAAAGTCTCTCGGACCCTCGGGCCCTCGGGCCCGAATCAAGCTGCGGCCTTATGCTGTTCGGCCCCGAAGTACGAAAATATGTGTCGGAGACTATAAATGTTCGACTATTTATATGTCTGCCATTTTCCCTTGCTTTTTAATGAACTGTCTCACTGAGTATCATATTATTTTAGACATACTGTTCTTCAAGCTCTAAGCAAGATCATGGCTCCATCGTCAGAAGAACAGAGGCACAAGGAGCAGCCATCCGAGAACATGACTAGCACCGAGAAGCAATTCGAGGACAGAGAAGGACCGAGCAACCTCCCAACGGGGACACGGCTATTGGCCATTATTGTTTCTATCCTCCTTGCCATGTTTCTCGTTGCGTTGGTATGCTTTCCGTTGATTCCTAGATGGTCTTATACACAGTACTAACGGATTGTTCAACACCAGGATCGAACCATCATTGCTACTGCAGTTCCCAAAATCTCAACCCAGTTCAACGCCCTGGATGACATTAGCTGGTACGCCAGTGCATATCTTCTGACGAGTTGTGCCACCCAATTATCATGGGGCAAGATATACACCTTCTATCGGACCAAAACCGTCTTTCTGATCGCAATCTTGATATTCGAAGCTGGATCGGCACTTTGCGGCGCCGCTCCGAACTCGAACGCCTTCATCGTAGGACGGGCTATAGCTGGTGCTGGATCAGCGGGTATTTTCTCTGGTGCGACGGTGATCATCACCCAGATTGTGCCACTGGCGAAACGGCCCATTTACATCGGGATGATGGGATCAATCTTCGGAATTTCCTCTATCATTGGACCTCTGATGGGCGGTGCTTTCACAGACAATGTGACATGGCGCTGGTGCTTCTATATCAACCTGCCCATTGGGGGCTTTACCATGGTCGTTCTATTTCTCTTCTTGACTGTCCCCCACACAGCGAAACCATGCACTTGGAAGCAGCATTTCCTTCGCCTCGACCCCTTGGGTAGCGTTTTGTTTCTTCCCTCTGTCATCTGCTTCCTACTCGCCCTGCAATGGGGTGGCAACGAATACCCTTGGAACAACGGACGTATGATTGCATTGTTCGTGGTCTCTGGAATCCTGATGATCGCTTTTGTCGCTGTACAGATCTGGCTCAAGAAAGATGCAACCGTGCCACCTCACGTCTTCGCCCAGCGCAGCATTATCAGCGGAGTCATCTTCTCCATGCTTGTGGGCGGAGGGCTCATCTCCATGCTATACACTCTCCCACTCTGGTTCCAGGGTGTGCGTGGCACAACAGCTGTGAAATCCGGCATCGACACTATCCCCATGGTCATCGCTCTGGTTGTCGGGTCCATCCTTGCAGGCGGAATCATTACCGCAACGGGATACTATACCCCATGGATGTTCGTCGCGGCAATTCTCATGTCCACGGGTGCAGGGCTGATGACGACCTTCAAACGAGACACATATCATGCCGCCTGGATCGGTTACCAGGTGTTGTTTGGTATTGGAATCGGAACGGGGATGCAGCAGCCCTCAATGGCGGCGCAGACTGTTCTTCGCAAAGATGAGGTTCCTATCGGCGTCTCGCTCATGTTCTTCGCTCAATCCTTTGGCGGGGCGGTGTTCATATCTGTCGCCCAGTCGCTCTTCCAGAATTACCTGCGTGCCAATCTACCACATGTCCAGGGAATTGATGTGGGCAAGGTTCTGGCAGCCGGGGCGACGGGCCTGTCTACGGCCGTACCGACCATAAAGCTCCCTGAGGTTCTTGTTCTGTACAACGATGGCCTTCGGCGGTCCTTCATTGTCACTGTGGCGGTATCGTGTCTGATGGTACTCCCGGCACTTACGATGGAATGGAGAACAGTCAAGAGGAATAAGTCTTCCGAGTCTGCATGAGATGGAGCACCGGTTTGAAGTTTCCAAGTATATACGATATTGTAATTTGTGCCATCCTTTCTGGGAAAAGAAGGAATTTCATGGCCTTGACTAGTCGGGGTAGGTTTATCAAATTAGTTATTAATGGAACTGAAACATGGTACCTTCCATTTGAGGCTGGTAAAGTGGCCTCCAAGTTCAATATCGAAATATCCGAGATTCCGAGATTCTGAAGACTTCGTACTGTGAGTTGGAGACTGCAGTAACTGCAGATGTTTCTAGAATTTTCACGTCGGCAATCAGCGATGCGACACCAACAAAAATGCCAAGTGGTCATTCTCCGCTATCGGTACCTACTATACCTATCAATAGGTATTGGAACCTTTCAATGGGCCGCGAAAATAGGTAGCTAATCAAAGAGGTAGGTTGCAGTTGTTTACATCGCGACTCGGCGCCCGGCGGAGCATAGGTAAGTGGCAGGCGCCAAGACTGCTGATCGGCATAGCTCCACCAGGAATATATAGCACGACAAATTCTTCATCCTCTGGAAATATCGATTGACATTGATCTCGATCCCGTCACAATCGAGGACTGTTACGAGGACAAAAGTACATGCTATTTCCATAGACCTTGTACAGATACCCTGCATGATCCCTTAGCGCAGGGAAGCTACTTAGGAAATTTCTACGCGACAAGACCAACTTCCCCTCTAATCCCAGCCACCTGTTCAACACAGAGCGATGTCTTTGGTGCAGCACGTCTCTGCCATTGACGGCATTGATCGTGAACCTGAGCCAGATATAGCTGATGACTGTGATTTTACCCCTATCCGCCGAAAAATCAGTTACGATGTTCTCCATCGTCCCACTGAGCCGATCCCGGTCGCAGAGTTGCGGCCCGGAACACCAGCATATAAACATTCCACTGCAAAACGAATAAGTAGGTAAGAACATGACTTGTATGAAGACAAAGCGCTGAGACATTCAAGCTCAGGTTGTCGTTACGGTTCTCGCGTGCTGGGCCGCCTCGGGGATCGTGTTTGGATTCGCCGCGCTCAAGCCCGTTCTGGTCGAGGAGGGCGTTTACCACGAGCGCTGCACGCCCTCTGAGATAGACGAGGGGCTGGAGCTGTGCGATCAGCAGGATCTTAGGTATGTTTAATGTACAAAGGGCATATTGCAAGTTATACCTGATACTAACGAAGGCCAGCCTCAACCTATTTTTCACTATTGCATCTATCACGGCCAATGTCTCCGCTCTGCCAGTTGGCACGATCTTAGATCGATGCGGGTCCCGCGTCTGCTGGTTTATTGCCTCCTTTCTGCTTGCTATAGGCGCTGCCCTCATGGCGGCTGCGTTCGATATCCCCAGCTTCGATGGCTATATCCCCGCGAACTTCTTTCTCGCTTTAGGTGGTACATTCTTGTTTGTTCCCTCGTTCCAGATTGCGAATGCATTTCCCAGGTATGCTGGATCAATCGTTGCGTTGGTCACTGGTGCTTTCGATGCCTCTGCTGCTGTGTTCCTCTTCTACCGATTGTTCTATGAGGCGTCGGGCCGATCTTTCACACCGCAAAGATTCTTCCTGGGATATCTGGTTGTTCCCGCATGTATTCTCATTGCACTGGTGACAGTGATGCCAGTGCGGGATTATGTCTCGACCCTGCAATTGGAAAACAGGATAGAGAGGGCAGAAGATGCCACACGTGATGTCCATGACTCCGACGATGAAATCGAGAGCACATCAGAGCTGAATCAGGTACGAAAGAAGCGAGCGGAGCGAAGACGAAAGAAGATACGCCAAATCGATGCCATCCTCGGCGATAAAGATGAGCGAGAGATGCGTGCACACCGAGAGGAGGACCGCCATCGGACGAGTTGGGTCTGGGGCGTATTGCACGGTCTGCCGGCGCATAAGCAGATGGCGACGCCGTGGTTTATCCTGATTACTTTGATGACAGTTCTGCAGATGATACGCATGAATTACTTCATCGCGACGATTCGATCGCAGTATGAATTTATGCTCGGATCGATCGAGCAGGCGGACAGAATTGGCGCGTTTTTCGACGTCGCATTGCCGGTCGGAGGTGTTGCTTTCACACCTGCAATCGGGGTTCTTCTCGATCGCCTCAGTGTGCCAGCGATGCTGGGCTTGATTGTGTTCTTCACCACAGTCATCGGCGTGCTCAATTCGATCCCGGCGGTATGGGCAGGATACAGCACCGTTGTGCTCTTTGTCCTACTCCGACCCCTTTATTATTCTGCCATGTCGTATGTGTTTGCTCCCTCCAGATGCTTCTTTGCTCCAGCTAATATTGAGTTTCAGTGACTATACAACCAAGGTCTTTGGGTTTGCCACCTTTGGACGTGTTTATGGCGCTATTATCTGTCTCTCGGGGATCGCGAACTTTTCCCAGTACGGTCTGGATGCATTGACCCATAATCGATTTGACGGAAACCCAATTCCCATTAACGCGGCCTTGGCAATTGCAGGTTTCATTGTCGGGTTCGCACTCGTGACCTTCGTTCTCGTGGCCGTCAAACAACTGGGTGGCCAAAAACGGGCAGTTGAGGAAGAACGCGAGAGACTTCTCTTAGAGGAGGAGGAGGAAGAAGAAGATGAATACGAGGAGGAAAGTTACCGTGGGTCGGTTTAGAGGTTTAGTGCATTAAGCCGACGCTGGTATACATAATTCAAACAGGCTTTAGGCAATATTCCTCTTTCCAAGACATCTCTAGGATCGATACTCTCGCCTATATCTGGTGGCATTATAGTTTAAAGATATAATTGCACAAATCGGGAGCTTTGGACATATCACCTGGTCTCCGACAAGCCAAGGACTCTCCAGCTGGAGCCAGGTTGAGTTTATTTTCTCCAGGCTCGGAGATTATACCCAGTGAAGCAATAGTACTCCGATGGACCAATCGCCGACCAAGCTCTTTACTGAAACAGGAAAACTTAGATTCATGAATCATCATACGACAAGATATTGTCGAACTCCCTGTCCTATGAAAAGGCGTGGTTTACAGTTTCGGCAGTTACGACAAGAGTCCAGACGGATCAAACGTCAAAGGAAGTTAGAACCTTCGTGTTCATGCAGACCTTCCTCGTGGCTGGAGCTCTCAGACAGCTATGAGCCAAAGTATAATATACCCAATCCAGGAGATCGGGTACAGAGTGGGGGATTACCCCAGCAGCTAATGAGAACCTTGGAATCTATGAGAAGATGAGCGGAATAAAGTATATCCAATGTGTACTCGACCTCAAATTGACCGAAACCCTAACCAAGCCGACTCGGCAATAGATCAACTGATTTTTCTCCAAGTAACGCCTCCCAAGCGACGCCTCCCCAGTCTGAACCCCAAGACACAAAGTAAATAGCGGGAAAGACACTCAACTGCCAAGCCGCCAAGCCCCGCCAAGTGTATGTTCCCCCCGCATTTCGTCCGTCTCGCCCTACCTCGCCCCCGCCCCCTCCCCCGGATTTTCCCTGAAGCGGCCGCCACCCATCACAAACTGCTGAGAGTGGCAGATTACTCGCAGATTTGCTAGGACAGTCAGAGTAGCTCCCCCTCACTTGTTTCGGGCTATATTGCTGCTTTGTTCTCTAATTGCTAGGAGACTTGGTCTTGGGCCGAGGCACTTTGCCACTTTCTGTCGGTTACTCCTAGCGTTCTCGATTGTCTATTGTCTTGGAGACATTCTTGGGCTGACAGCGCCGGGTTGTGTTAGGCGAGCGGTGGTCTTGAGTGGCTCATCTAGAATGTACTGAGCTATTTGAGGTGTTCCTTGCTTTGGTATATAACCTATTCTTGATCCCTGCTGTTGTTATTTAGTTCGCAGATAAACAAGACTCTGGCTTCGCCTTTTCCTTTTGAACAGGAAGACCGAATACATTTCTTTCCCACATCCTTTTCCGAGACGTTCACCACCTCCTCAATTACCCCAGTAATTGATTCCTCGCCAAAATGGCGACCATAACTCCCGAGGAGAAGCCGTCTACGGACTACCGGATCGAGGACATCGCCGGCGAGAAATCCACCAGCGAGATCGATGCCGAGGAGGAATTCACGCCGCAGGAGCAGAAGAGCATTATTCGACGCATCGATCTGCGTCTGGTGTCCATGACCGGATTGGCTTATTGCGTCTCCCTCATGGACCGGACAAATCTGAGCATGGCTGCCGTTGCAGGGTAAGGCTCCAATCGCAGGCATAATGTCCACGGGTGCAGTGATGGCTGACAGCAGCAACAGTCTGAAGGAAGAATTGCGACTTGATCTTGGCCAACGCTACGTATGTCCAGATCGGATCTTCATCTTGGGGAGGCGAATTGCTAATGACCCGAATAGTCCATTGTGGTTTTGATGTTCTTCGTGCCCTATATCCTCTTCCAGCCGCCAATGACAGTCGTCATCCGGAAGCTTGGCCCTACTCTCTTCCTCTCGTCGATTATTGTCAGCTGGGCAGTTATCATGATTGTAAGGGTTCTTGGCATTCCCCGGAGGCTGTCCTTTACTGACTGGTGCAGGGAATGGGATTCGTCAAGGATTGGGGACAATTGACCCTCATGCGTGTTCTTCTTGGGATCTTGGAAGCGGGTTACTTCCCCGGATGTGTTTACCTGCTGTCTTGCTGGTACACCCGATGTAAGAGAATACCAACCTTGGAAACATTGTGTGCAAGTAACCCCAGTGCTGACTTCCTGAAGATGATGTCCAGAAGCGCTTCTCCGTTTTCTACCTCATTGGATGTGTTGCATCTGCGCTAGCAGGTATCCTTGCGTTTGGTCTGATGCAATTGAACGGAAGAGAGGGATTGACAGGCTGGAGATGGATTTTCATCCTTGAAGGAGTGGTATGCAAAGTTGGAAACCCCGTGCGCAAATACTTAAGCTCACAAGGAACATAGATTACTGGAGTCATCGGCCTGCTCTGCTTCGTTTTGCTCGTCGACTTCCCCGATAAGGCACACAAGTCCTGGCGCTTCCTGAACGAAAGAGAATGCGCGTGGCTCATCCGCCGCATCAATGCCGACCGAAATGATGGCGCCGCCGAGCCCTTCGCCCTCAAGAAGTTCCTCAGACCTGCGCTTGATCTCAAGATTTGGGGCTTCGCCATGATCTTCTTGTTCGTTCCCTTTTCCAATAGACTCGATCTATGCTAACCAGGCTGTCCCCCCAGCTCCCTCACAACCGTTACTTATGCCATCGCGTATTTCCTGCCCATCATCCTCCGCCACGGCATGGGCTACGGTGTCGGTGAATCGCAATGTCTCACCGCGCCACCCTTCGGCTTCGCAGGCATCGTCATGTACGGCACCGCCTGGGTAGCCGATAAGTATCGCATGCGCGCACCGATCCTGATTTTCAACGCCCTGCTCGCCATCATCGGTCTGCCAATGATGGGTTTCGCCACGAATTCCGCCGTCCGTTATGTGGGCGTCTTCCTCACCGTTGCCGGTGCCAACGCTAATATCCCAGCCTGCATGGCGTACCAAGCGAACAATGTCCGTGGCCAATGGACGCGTGCCTTCTCCAGCGCTACACTCGTTGGCTTCGGTGGTATCGGTGGTATCGCTAGTAGCTTGGTGTTCCGCGAACAGGACGCGCCTGGGTACGAACCGGGCATGTATGCCGCTATCGCGTATGTGATATCCTCCCCCGTGTCTCAGAATATGGGTTTCGTGTACTGACTGTGTTTCACTAGGTGCAACATCCTTATCATTGTGCTGGTGTGCTGCATGAGTCTGTGGTTCCGACACTGCAACAAGCAGGCCGATCGGGGAGAGCGGGTCATTGAGAACGATGCGTCCTTCCGATACACCATCTAAGGCCCTGGGGAATATTCACGTAGTAGATGATAACACACGAACGTAGCAATGGAAAGGCATGCCTTTTACTATTTTGACTTTTTCCTTACTCCGGAATACTGTGTAATCCAACCCGGCTCAATGGAAGTGACAATCGCAATTCGGGCCGTAGCTCCAAAGAAACGCAAAAAAAAAAACATGATCGCATCGAAGCTCCCCCTCGGTAGAAATTGTGGAGATCGTGGAGTAGATGTAGCGACTTTTCCGACGGGAAACCAGCTATTGGCTCCGCGCTGAAGACAATCAGATGGGTGACACTGGGGCAATCAAAAGTGGCGTCAATTCCCATTGGTCGGATAAGAAAAGTTCTTTATCGCCGCTGTGAGTTTCCCGACAGGTTCCCCGTCATCGGATCTTCGGACAGGGAACGGGAAAGAGGCAATAAATATTTTTGATTTCTATGGAGCTGGCACTTTTGTCTTTCTTCATATATCTTCTGAATCATTGATCTACTGAAGTTGGATGTGTTGAGTGCTTTCCTCCCTAAGCCCTCATATATCCGGTTTCCAAGTATGGCGGCATCCCTGTTTGCCCTCCGCGGCGGGCGCCAGCTTGCTCTGCGGTCGCGTGTTCGCGTCCCCTCAATTGCCCGAGCTTCATTGTCACCATTGAAGACTCAAAGAGCTTTGCACACTTCGCAATCTGTGCCCCGTCGTGGAGTCTATACTAGCTCTGTCAACGACCATGGCGACCCCCACCCCCAGGATATCTTCCAACCTCTCGATACCTTCCCCCGCCGCCACATTGGCCCTTCACCCGATGCCGCGGCCCAGATGCTTGCCGTGCTCGACCCGCCAGTGCAATCGTTGGACGAATTCGTGAAGCAGGTTCTTCCCGAAGACATTCTCTCCAAGAAGGACCTCAAGGTCTCCGAGCCTCACGCCGATATCAGCCTGTACCGTTCCAGTGTGCAGGGTGGTCTGGGTGAAACCGACATGCTCAAGCTGCTGGACACCTACCGCAAGCAGATTGATATTTCCGGCAAGACCTACATCGGAACCGGTTACTACCCCACCATTGTCCCTCCGGTTATCCAACGCAACGTCCTCGAGAATCCCGCCTGGTACACCAGCTATACCCCCTATCAGCCCGAGATCAGTCAGGGTCGCCTGGAGTCTCTGCTGAACTTCCAGACTCTGACCGCTGATCTGACCGGTCTGCCCTTCGCCAATGCCTCGGTTTTGGATGAGGCCACCGCCGCCGCCGAGGCCATGACCATGTCCTACGCCACCATGCCCGCTTCTAAGCAGAAGAAGGCCGACAAGTCCTTCGTTGTGTCTCACCTCTGCCACCCCCAGACCATTGCCGTGATGAGATCTCGTGCCGAAGGATTCGGGATCAACCTCGTGATTGGAGATATCTTGGCAGACGACTTCAAGATTGTCAAGGACCAGAAGGATCATCTGATTGGTGTTCTTGCTCAGTACCCTGATACTGAGGGAGGCATCTTCGACTTCCAGGCTTTGAGTGACTCTATCCACAGCCAGGGTGGTACCTTCAGCGTGGCCACTGACCTGCTGGCTTTGACTGTGCTGAAGGCTCCCGGCGAGTTCGGCGCCGACATGGCCTTCGGCAGTGCCCAGCGTCTCGGCGTCCCCATGGGCTTCGGTGGCCCTCACGCTGCCTTCTTCGCTTGTGCTGATAAGTACAAGCGCAAGGTGCCTGGCCGTGTCGTTGGTGTGTCCAAGGACCGTCTTGGCAACCGGGCTCTGCGCCTGGCTCTTCAGACTCGTGAGCAGCACATCCGCCGCGAGAAGGCTACCAGCAACATTTGCACTGCTCAGGCTTTGCTTGCTAACATGACCGCCATGTATGCTATCTACCACGGTCCCGCTGGCCTCAAGGCCATTGCTCAGCGTATCATGTCCATGACCTCGTTGCTGCGCGATAACCTTGTTCGCCTGGGCTATGAGGTCCCTCTCCGCTCCAACACCGCTGACGGCGGTGCTGTCTTCGATACTCTGGCCATCGAACTCCCCACTGCCGCGGAAGCCGATGCCATCATGGATGAGGCTCGTGCTGCCAAGGTCTTCCTCCGCAGACTTGGCGGAAACAAGGTCGGTCTGTCTTTGGATGAGACTGTTGGCCGCGACGAGGTGAATGGAATTTTGAGTGTCTTTGCCGCGCACAAATCGACCTCCCCCGTCGAGGTTGATGGCACCCTTGGTCTCACCTCCGTCCCTGCCAGCCTCGAGCGTACCTCTGAATACCTCACCCACCCCGTCTTCAACACCTACCACTCCGAGACTGAGATGCTCCGTTACATTCACCACCTTGAGTCGAAGGATCTGTCTCTGGCCCACTCCATGATCCCCCTCGGATCTTGCACCATGAAGCTCAACGCTACCACGGAAATGATCCCCGTCTCATGGCCCGAATTCTCCCAGATTCACCCCTTCATGCCCGCCGAGCAGGCCAAGGGCTACATCAAGATGATTGATGATCTCGAGCAGCAGCTTGCCGATATCACTGGTATGGCCGAGGTCACTGTGCAGCCCAATTCCGGTGCTCAGGGTGAGTTCGCCGGACTTCGTGTTATCAAGAAGTACTTCGAGGCCAAGGGCGATTCCAAGCGCAACCTGTGCTTGATCCCCGTTTCTGCTCACGGTACCAACCCGGCGAGTGCTGCCATGGCTGGTATGCGCGTTGTCACCGTCAAGTGCGATACCAAGACCGGTAACCTTGATTTGGCTGATCTCAAGGCCAAGTGTGAGAAGCACAAGGATGAGTTGGCCGCGTTCATGATCACCTACCCCAGCACTTTCGGTGTGTTCGAACCCGGTGCCAGGGAAGCTTGCGACCTGGTGCACCAACACGGTGGTCAGGTCTACATGGACGGTGCCAACATGAACGCCCAGATCGGTCTTTGCTCCCCTGGTGAGATCGGCGCCGATGTGTGCCACCTCAATCTTCACAAGACCTTCTGTATTCCCCACGGTGGCGGTGGCCCCGGTGTCGGACCCATCGGTGTGGCCTCGCACTTGGCTCCCTTCCTGCCCTCGCACCCTACCAGCGAATACCTCCAATCCAAGCGTGGCGAGACCTCTTCTCCCCCCATCTCCGCCGCTCCCTGGGGTAGCGCCAGCATCCTGCCCATCACCTTCAACTACATCAACATGATGGGCGACCGCGGTCTGACCCACGCCACCAAGATCACATTGCTCAACGCAAACTACATCCTCTCCCGCCTCAAGCCTCACTACCCGATCTTGTACACCAACGACCACGGCCGCTGTGCACACGAGTTCATCCTCGACGTGCGCGGCTTCAAGGACACCTGCGGCATCGAAGCCATCGACATCGCCAAGCGTCTCCAGGACTACGGCTTCCACGCGCCGACCATGTCCTGGCCGGTCGCCAACACCCTCATGATCGAGCCCACCGAGTCCGAGAACAAGGCCGAGCTGGACCGCTTCTGCGATGCCTTGATCTCCATCCGTGAGGAGATCAGCCAGGTCGAGTCCGGTGCCCAGCCCCGTGAGGGTAACGTGCTGAAGCTGGCCCCGCACACCCAGCGCGACCTGCTTACTTCCGAGTGGGATCGCCCTTACACCCGTGAGCAGGCTGCTTACCCATTGCCTTTGCTGCTGGAGAAGAAGTTCTGGCCTACAGTTACGCGTGTTGATGATGCCTTTGGTGACCAGAACTTGTTCTGCACTTGCGGTCCTGTGGAGGACAGCGAATAGAGAGATCTTGAGTGATCTATGATACCCATGTTGCGCTGATTTCTTTTTTTTGGGCTTTTTTTTTGGCTGCTTTGCTTGATGTCCGTTTCTTCTGTGTACACATTCAACATATCCCTTTTTGTCACGGCGGTAGACAACTACGTTCTCATGAGCACCGGATTGATTCAACATGATCGTCCAGTGTCTCACGAATAATGCGTTCCATAGAATCAAAAATGTTCTAGAATTCAATTGATTCCCCATAAAAAGAAACTGCATCTTCCTACTCCGTACAGTATGTCCCGAAACTGGTGCAACCGCAGACACTCTTTCAGTGGTTTTTTTAGCCCCACTGCCAAGAAAATTTAATCTGCATTGAGTGTTATTCCGACAGTTGCATGTGTATTTCCTCGTAAATAAATTACATAATAATTTCAAGTATGTATTAGCTTGTATTACCTAGCTTTGTATCGATCGCATCATTTTCATAACCCCTGCCCTCACGCTTATATAGCGATTTCGGAACTACAAATTACCTGCGCACTGCTCGATTTGTGAGATGGCGGTCCTCTGTGTCGACCCAGTCACGCTATGCAAGCTTAGGTGAGTAGCTTTTACAGACCATATAAACAATTTACTGCAGTTCAAGAACACGCGCCGAGTGCAGTCTCAGCTAGCCATGAGAAGAGCGGGATGATTTCCCTGCTACTTCGCAGATCTTTCCTCGATGCAGTCTGAACACAACGCAACATTGCCTGGGCTGACATTCTGATTCGCTGCTGACAGATAAGATCGACCAGTTCGTCATGGTAAGGAAATTATTTTGTCAATCCTAATCAGGTCTAGTAGACTAAATCATCAGGCATAGGGTGTATGATATCACTAAATTTAAACTTTAGGCGAGAGTCTGGTTTGCTGAAAATAAACACAGACCTTCAACTCTCGATCCAACACGATCTTGATCAGGAGAAAATTGGACCGGGCTATAAAATTCCAATGCGATCAGACTGTGACCCAATTCTTCCACTCTATGCACGGTCGCGAAAGGAGCGAGCGCGTGTCCCAGAGCCAGTGGAGGTTGATGGCAAGTTCTACGACGTGATGGGAGTGAGCTCGGGTCATGAATTGATACTCCGTGATCAGCGTGCCGTCCATGAAGATATCCGAATTGAGCAGTTTGCTGGCCGACCGGTCATGTTCGATGGTGTCTGCTGTCGCGTAGTTTCTCTACACACCACGCCTGATCTGCAAGAGTCAACCCTCCAGCTCATCAAACCGCGCGATCCATCGTCGAAGGTCACTGTACTCAATGCCGACATCGCACGGCTCCGATTTCCAGGTGCCAATGGGGACCATACGTTGGGTCGTATCAAACATGGCATCGTGCGCATGGCCCCTGTGGTGTCTCGTACCAAGATCAAAGTTCCACTCAAGCCTAATGATCGATTTGAGGCCCGCCTCCATAATTGTGAGCTGGAGGGTCCATATTCTATTCATGTCTGCGATAGAGGCCAGCTCGTTGCAAGTAGCATAATTCATGGTGCTAAGCAGCAGCGAATTGTGGTTCAGCCGGATGAGATCGCACCACGCTATGTGACTATCATGTCATTGGACTTTGGTGCTAATTTTGATGTCGATATTTTCTTGTATCGAGAAGACCAACTTCGCGGCAAGGCAAACATTATCAAGGCTAAGCTAGGCGGCGAGCTTATCCTAGATCCTTTGTTGGGCAGCCTACCCTGTCACGTGGCACCGGTGTTAACCAATGGTGCTGAGCATCTCGCGGTGTTCGAGCAGTTCATCCGTGACAGGGCTCAGCCGGTTGCTGAAGCGCACACATATGGCGTTGATTGCTCTCGACGAAGACTGACTATTCTAAACCTCTCAATGTGTAACCAAGGTGATGCGCACGGAGTCCTCAATGCATTGATTGATTTCCGACGTCAGAATCCGGGTGCGGATATGTCGATTGTCATATCTAAGCTTGGACCAACAGAGTTTCTGGATTCCTTAGAATACTTCACGTTTCTCAAGAGCCTTGAGAACCATTCTATTCGTATCAATATGTTCGCGACTTCTGATGGACAAAAGCGCCAAGTGATCCATGGGAAGGCGATCGTTATCGACAATCAAGTCCTTTTTAGCACCGGAGCTGTCATGGACACCCGACCAATCAATAAAGCGGACTTCTCCATCGAACTACCTGCAGCAGCCGCTACAATGTTTCGGCACTATACAGATAGGGCCATTCATGGGGAGGCAAACGATGAGCTTCGTGCTAGGCTTGCTTCTGAGCTTGCAAGTTTGGGTGTTATCATCAACGACCCAGTCGCAAATCTGCCATGGATAACCCGCGCCCAGGATGCTTTAATTCGAGGAGCACGGCGCAAAATCATCCTCCACATATCAGAGCTGGTCGATCCAATCATGACACAGATGTTGATTGACCGCGCTGCAAGTGGTGTTGATGTCACTCTTCAGGTTCGCGAGGTTGACCCGAAATCTGCGCTACTTCTTGCGGACGCAAGAAGGTGCTGTTCTAATCTCCAAGTGGAAGATACAAGCTGGTGGGAACCTCGTCCGCACTTCAATGTAATCATCGCCGACGGAAGCTTCGCCTATCTTGGCTCATCCTACATTTGGCCAACACAGTGTCATATGGTTCACCAGGGTCGTTCATTCGAAAATGGTGTTTTGCTTAGTGGAGATGCCATAGCAAGTCTTATTCAGCAGCTTGGCGACCTCCGTGCCCATGCACATGCAACGGACACGATACCTTCATTTGCCGAGACGCTGAGAACATGGAAGCTGCAATATAGTCTTAAAAACCCTTGCAGCTTTCCAAAATACCTTATCTGTCTAGAGGCCTGGCCTACCTTGACCCATCAAACCCATTTAGAACGTGCCCACTAATGCAAAGCTCCTTAATCCGCTGCATTATCGTAGAATTTCGATAACCTCAAGACACTCACCCAGGCTCTATCACTCGTACCAAAACATGTTGATCCTTATTGGTACTATTCAAGAACAGCCGCTGCTCAGCCGTACTGCAATATAAAATGTGTTGGGTTGCCGGCGTCTTATAAGTCCTTCTAACCTACAGTACTCACTAATAGAAAGCTCGAATAGGGATCTTGAGGGTGGAGAGTTTCTGGCAATCTAAGTCAATCTACGCTCATTCTCTTCCTCAAAGCCTTTGTTACTGTGAGTGAATATTGCGCCACTGTTATAAATGATCAATCCTACTTGAATAACAAAGCTCTTGCTTATGTCCTCAAATTGACTGTTGCTTAACTATATTGCAGCTACTTCCCGCTAGTTTGGGTTTTCCATGTTGAAAACCCTAATCCTTGTAAGGTTAAGTAATCGATCGTAGATTATATCAAGAAAATATGGGGATGTTTTCCGGACCAAATTCGGGTGAACATGGTCATGTGTCAGCTTCCACCAAGTGTGTACCGGGGCGTGAGAGAAAGGACTGTGGCTGACAGGCTGAGAATTATGATAAGCGGGTTCATGTGTAGTCTGTAAGGGCAGTAAGCAGGTAATCAAGTCACTATTTGCAGGTCAGGTGCCGAGTCTGTCCCCCAGGCTATAAGAGCGAAAGGGAAGTGACAGATCGTCAGGTTATCGAGGGACTCCCAAGCTCTAGTGTTTGACTTGTTTACATTACCATGAAAGATTCTGTTCCTTGAATCGCCAATACAGTTACAAGCCACGCACCGTATTTTAAATCAAAGTATGTCACGGTATCGAGACTTTTACAGGAACATTGTTATTCCGAACAAGATCCTAATTTGATCTAGTGTTTCTTGGTAGTGGGGCCAAATATTAATTGAAGAGTGTAGACAGTTGCACCAGTTTCGGGACGTACTGTACTTGTATCTTTGAAGCAACATGACTTCGGACGTCCTTTTGATCTCTTAGCACAACCCCGAGGTAAACTGTCTTATCGCTTCCATCTTACCATACATTACATCTTCTCATAAATTACACTGCCGTCGGAGAACTCACCCGCTCCAAATACCGTACTTTCACGTACCATTCTCGGAGACTGCCGGTCCCCGCGGTTCCCCAAACGCCGACGCCCTAAACATCCCACCAACACACGACATAGCGATCGATCTGATGCGGTGCACCTGCTAGAAGATCTCCGCGAAGGTTCAAGTCAAACAAGAACAGCCCTGGAAAAGAGGCCGGACTGCGGACTCCGCAGATTAGCCCCACTATTCTCGGGACACTTTATCTCAGATCGCATGTCTTGGCAGGTGATAACTAACTAGCGCGGAAAGATTTAGGTAAGAGACAGATATATGAAGCTGCTCCGACCCCCAGGTTTCAGAATCTGTTGGTCTCTGACTTCTTGGAAACTTGAAACTTTGATCTATCAGGCTGTGGATTGTGATCTTCGACTTGCATTCCATCTGCAATACTTATACTACACATACATCCGCACGCCCATTCGGGTTAGATCTGCTCTATAACTACTGCCTGAGCTTGTTGAATTCCGTGCTTCGACTCTGGCTCTTGCTTTGAGGACTGTTATATATCATTTCCTACATCGCCGACACTAGCGCATACTATACCGTCTGCTTGCTATAGACCCCCAACATCATGGGCTCGACAATGGAGCACGCTTTCACCGTTTACCGCGGCACATTCATTGAATCTGCTTTGCCAGAGCCAGGCTCCAAGCCTAAGCTTTCTCGCAACAAAGGCGCATTATGGGTCTCTGCTGCTGATGGCCGGATCAAAGGCTGGGACTGGGACGCTCACGATGAGAACGGGTTCGCCGAACTAATGAATCGGAATGAGTGGTTTGATATCGACGCCGGTGATGCCCAAGGCCAGGCCAATGGCTATGCTTCCCGAACCGGTGTGAAGGTCGTCACAGCGAATGAGGAATTGAACGAGTTTTTCTTCCCAGGATTCATCGGTATACATCCCGTCCCTACCCAAGAACACACTTGGAAGCTCTCTCACTAACGGCACCCCCAGACACCCACATCCACGCTCCCCAATACCCAAACGCAGGCCTCTTCGGCTCCTCAACTCTCCTAGACTGGCTAGACACCTACACCTTCCCCGTAGAATCCGGTTTCGGCACCCTCCCAGACCGCAAAACCGGCCACCAAACGACAACAGATCCCCAAGACACACCCCTTCACGCCCAACAAATTTACTCCCAAGTAATCGCCCGCACCCTCTCCCACGGCACAACCTGCGCCTCCTACTTCGCAACAATCCACATCCCAGCCACAAACGCCCTCGCCTCCCTCTGCCACACACGCGGCCAACGCGCCTTCATCGGCCGCGTCTGCATGGACAACCCCTCCTTCTGTCCAGACTACTACCGCGACCATTCCGCCAGCGACTCCACAACCGCAACCCGCCACACAATCGAATACATTCACGCCCTGGACCCGGAAGGCAAACTCGTCAAGCCGATCGTCACGCCGCGCTTCGCACCCTCGTGCTCCAAGCCGGCATTGCAAAGTCTAGCCGACCTAGCGGCGGCTTATACGCCTCCGCTACATATCCAGACGCATATCTCGGAGAATCCCAATGAGGTCGAGCTCGTCAAAGAGGTGTTCCCCGAAGCGGACAGTTACACCGGTGTGTATGATATGTATGGACTGTTAACGCCGCGGACGATCCTTGCGCATGCGGTGCATCTATCTGCTCAGGAGAGGGCTCTTATCCGGGCGCGCGACGCGAAGATCTCGCATTGTCCTGCGTCGAACTCGGCGCTTGGGTCTGGGGTTTGTCCTGTTAGGACGCTGCTTGATGAGGGGATTACCGTCGGGCTGGGGACGGATGTTAGTGGTGGGTATAGTCCTAGTATTCTTGAAGCGGTGAGGCAGGCTTGTCTTGCTTCGCGATTGTTGGGGCATACGGCTGCTTGGAAGCGGGAGAATGTGAATGGGGAAGAAAAGGGTGGTGTTGGGCGAGAGATGCTTTCTGTTGCTGAGAGTCTCTACCTTGCTACGCGGGGCGGAGCTGCGGTTGTTGATATGGCGCGGGATGTGGGTGGGTTTGAGGTCGGGATGTTGTGGGATGTGCAGTTGATTCAACTGGGTGGAGTTAAGGGGGAGGGGAGTCCCTTGGATGGTGGTGCTGGTGATGGGAGAGTGAGTCTTGTTAGGGCTGGTCCTATTGGCAATGTTGATTTGTTTGGGACGGAGAGTTGGGAGGAGAAGATTGAGAAGTGGGTTTGGAGTGGAGATGATCGGAATGTGAAGGCTGTTTGGGTTGGTGGGAGGTTGGTGCATACAAGGGGGTAATGGAGTATGCTATTGGATTGTGTTTTGTTTGTCTTGAGTTGTACACTGCGCTTAGAGTTGCACATGGATGTTCATGAGATTCTGTTTGACAGCAAGGCTTTCGACCCTCGATGGCATAGATATTAGGAAATCAAAGGGTGTCGGAAAGAGTGAAATCGATGAATTCCTGCTACTCTGAATTACCTCTCAACTGGTCACTCGCTCCGGGGCTTGGTTCGTCACCCATTTACTGGAATAATTCTACGCAGTCAAAGATCTGTTGTGAAATGTAAGCTTCAGCAGCACAGCAACGAGAAGGGCAACACTCACGAAGTTGGGGCTGAGGTAGGCGTCCCCCGAGCTACCGGAGGCAACACTAATGGTGATCTAAGCCGAGTGAGCATCCATCTTATCACAGTAGGGTCACAGGTTATGTGCTTACAGTATTGGTTCCAGCAACGATGGTTCCCGCTGGAATCGAAACATCGTAAACCTCTCCCAACCCTCTGTACGCACCGCGAGTCACACCACGGGAGTTGAGATTAGTTGGAGCCGCCGGTACGGGGCCGCTATAGCTGTTGATCTTGGGAAGTGTTAGGTTCGTGTTTGGTGCAGTAGTATGAAGAGGTGAACATACCACAGCCTGAGGTCGACCCCCTGCAAAGGAAAGAGTTGTTCCAATTCTCAATGTTGCAGCTCCGGTCTGCGAAGAAGATGCCGTGAACTTGATTGTCAAGGGCGAATTCACCGCCTTGAAGAGAACCATGGGGAAAGAAGAGACCGAGGAGCTGCCGACTGTGTAAGTGCCCGGATTCCAAGAAGACATGCGGGAGTCCGAGGGATGCATGCGTAGCTGATTCGCAGAGTTGGAAAAGCCGGCTGGACTATGAAACCATTAGTATTAGCCTACTTCCGGTGTGTCTTAGATGACTGCACGTACGTCCCGTCCCAGTCTCCAATCTTGAAGACTGTCTTGCCGGTCTTCACAGATCCTGAGATGCTCTTGGATGTGGTTGATCCCGCAGTGACAGTCACAGACGATGTAGCAACCGCATATTCGCCCTGGTAGTAGACCATTGTGTAGGTACCGGGTTTCATGGCAGGGGAGGTGAAAGCCCCGGAAGACGAGGCGTAGGTCCAGTACTGCGCGGCAGAGTTGTACCAGTGAATGACCCATTTGAAAGAGGAGTCAGCCCCAGACGCTGTTCCGGAAACATAACCTCTTGCAGATGTGGGGACATATCCCTGGATATCAAGATCGGCGAAGAAGGACGTGTCGATATTGGTGCTGGGAGTACCGCTTCTGCTGAAATACAAAGAGTACGGGCCGTGCAAGCCCTGGCGGTAGGTTTCTGTCTGAACGTGTCCAGAGTTCTATGCAGGGTTAGTGCCTGTTTTGACTCACATGGGATGACCACTTACCATGTACCAGTACAGACCAGTGTAGGAGCCCACATTGTTAGAGTTGATATCACTGGAGTATATTAGCCAAGACCAGGCCTGCTAGTTGAGAGACTTACCGCATGAAAGGCCCACCGGCAGACGTCTCGTATTGGTTCAGAATCATGCAAACCCGATGGGCACTTCCAGATACACCTAATTGCGTTAGTAAAAGTCGCATCAAGAACAGCAAGGCATGTTCTTACAATGGATTTTGTCATCAATAAAACGCTCGCTTGAATAGAACTTGCTTCGCGTTTGTCCATTCACCAAGAACTAATCTCAGTTAGCTGTTTTTTGTCTATTAGGAAGAAGCCGCAGAATAAACGTACCACATCCTCTCCCTCAACAGCGCTGCCGCCTGCGATATTGGAGACCACGCCAAATGGCTCCTCGTTAGGGAGAAGGGTTGAATTCAGGCGGGCGATGTATCGGAGCTCCCCGACAGACGGTTCTACATGATCAGCACAAGGGTAACAGGGAACGTCTGGGACACAAACCTGCAGTCGTGTATGTTGCCATATGGATGATCGGATCTCCATTATGAACAACATAGTAGTGTGTCAAGGAGGAGGTAGCACAAGTCACCTTGATGTAGTCGCCTATTTGGGTCAGATCGCTTTCCCGTAGAAGTCATACATTTGCACTCACCACTTTGAGTCGCAGTCACAGTTGCACTACCAAGGCCCGATCCGATGTGAGATCCGGTAGACTGGTATTGAAGCTCGGACCCATAGTAATTGATCGACGTGATGTCACAGTTTGACTGATTCACGGCAAACTTGAGAGAATTGGGTGAACCAGCATCAATGACATAGGCAGAGCTGCTAGTTGTGATTCCAAAAGCTGCGGATGCTTGCTTCGCCAAAAGGGCCAGGGAGACAACGGCCAAGGACTTGAAGAGCATCATGTCCAACGTGCACTGTATAGATATTCGGACGAGTCCTGCAGTACATGTTCAGGGGATACCACTTGAATCATATAACACCAAACAGCTCCTGTTTCTTCAGGTGAAACTCTGCATGTCGAAAGGGTGGAGATTTGGTAGCTCGCGGATGCTCCGCTCCTGCATAGTTCTCCGCAAATTTAGCCATAGTTCCACCAATGCGTGTCGTTTCTGGCCCTCTGGCGGCAACATGACTTCCTCTTCGGAAACGGACACTTTGGAGTCTGCAGACTCCATGCAAAAGCCGGTGAAGTCAGCACCGTCTAGCTTCCGTGAGGGGCGCAACTTCGGTGCAGGTTCCCCTGATCGTGCTTAGCTTGTAGACTTGCCCCCCTCCTGTAACTCCGTGTGGGGTGACGGCTGTTTCAAAGCCACTAAGTGCCCGCTAGCAGTCAAGGAGCCTGAATTCTCCGAACACATGGACAGGATCAAGCGCCATGCCATGACCCCTGTGGAATACTTTTGCCCGAAGGCCGAGAAAGGTATTTTAAACTGAAGACATACGCAGTAATGCTTCGGAGATGATACATTTGACCTTTACCTGAGAAAGAAGAGAAAGTCGTGCCTTCCGTGCCTGAGGCGAGCACACTTGATGCCTCAGGCTACCAAACCCTGCACAACCCGAAGTTTATCCGGATTCCGGCCCGCACCGTACTACCCACACGTGACACCTTCTCTTTGGGTGAGCTCTTTCTGATCCACTCCAGACATTTTGTGGCCTTATGACAGAGATGCATAGATGGAATCTGCGGCAAGGGACATCCTATGATCCTACTTCATTCTAATTATACCGAGACCCACGAGTATATGCTGACGTCGAGAGGCGATTTCGGAGTTATTTGGATCATGTCTCGGCTATGCCTTACGACTGTTACGAGACACTGGAACGAAGATAATGCAGGATGATCAGTTCCTTGAAACTATCTCCAATTCCCAATACACTGTAACACTGACGTCTCAGCGGGGCAAAACGTCAGAGACCGCACGAGTTTCAAGAAGTACAGTACATAAACAGAAAATGGTCATATCTCAACGATTCAAGAATCATATCCTGCACAGCAACGGACGGGAACAACCGACATGAAAAGATGGACCGGCAGTATGGCGACGCACGCTTCGATTGACAACTATTTCCCGGGTACGTCAGTAACTTTAGTCTGGGATTTCAGAAGACACAAGAAGAACTTACGTGCCTATCCCATAAACCGGATCTGCGTGCATGGAGAGACAGCTTCAAGGAGGATTTCCCTCCCCCGGAGGGCAATCAGTGCCCGGAAGGAGAGGCTTTCTTCCCCCTCCACATTGAAAGCCGTCCAGGGCTTCGTCGGACGACGGGTTGGCAATTACAGTTGCCAAGAGCATACTGCAAATAGCGAGGATGCTACCAAATTGGAAGTACTTCATGGTGGAAGGAAAAGAGATAGATTGCGCTGTGGCTTTTCAGACAGCAGTTCAGCTCGATATTTATATTCACCATCGAGGCAACATTTTACCACGTGGCAGGGCTTCATCCGGGGAGTTTCTCCGGGAGACTTCCTATTCATTTCAGAAGAAGCGTCTTATTGAAATACAGATTGAGCTCGAGATCGACACCATGGCAGGGCGGACAGAACGCCAGGCGCCGCGAGAACATGGGATTGATTGGATAAGACGCTCTGGATTTCCCACGCCATACTTTGAACAAAGAACGGCTTTGAGGTATGAGTAAGTAAGCTGGAACCAACCCAACCCGCGGCTCTTACTACCGAAAACGTGGCTGAATAGGCTCAGTGAAAGCCATCACCCCTACTAGTGCGGGCCTCAATAGAATGTACATCGGGTCAGAAGCACCAGTTATAGCCTTCCAGCCCTGGTCTACTTGTCTGATTACGTCTTCGAGATATCCCCCCCATGGAGTGCCTATTGAAAGTAGTTGTTTGTATATACCATGGCCTCGTGCATATGATCAAGCCCGGCAGTGACCTTTTGTTTGGTCATGAACGAAGCTGACACTAGCCAATGGAAGCGACGATCATAAATGGGTTATCATAGATTATGCTGTGCCCCGAGGTACCACATGCATAGATTCTCACTAGTTCCTTCAGCCCAGCTCATTGAGTAAGGCTCTGGTTGTTCAGCCGGGCTCGGCCGAGCTCGGCGGAATCCATGGAGTCCAGTTCACATCATCGACCCGAGATGTGGGCGAATATCCGAGTCTGAAGAAGATAATAGAAATTTATACTCTTGTATTCGGCCAGACCGTTGCTATATAAAGGTATGGTCAGCTCCGATCCCAAGAACACGCCGCAAGCCAGCAAATTACCTAAAGAAATCCGAATTTACCATTTTGATCTCATTTAACTTTTCAATATACCTTTGTTCATTCAAAGATATGACTTCCGAAAATACTCTTGTGCTGCTTTGCTTCATCAAAAGACGCCAGGATTTAACGGAAGACCAGTTCTACGAGTACTGGGAGAAGATTCATGGTCCTAAGATCGCACCGTGGGCTCTCAAGCATGGGATCGTTGGATACAAGCAGGTACGTGATGTGATGCAATGCTATTTCACCAGCTGGCAATGTGCTTATATAGGACTCCATTGGTAGATACATACGCGAGCAACTATACGTGGATCCTTTGCCGCCGCCGTCCCATTACCTCTGTCGACTGTCGATTTTGACGGTGCCGTGATATGGGAATTTCCCAGTCTGGATACATTTTTGAGTGCCTTCTCACACCCTTATTACGTCAATGTGATTGCCCCCGATGAGAAGAATTTCCTCGAGAAGACATTGAATGAGACCGCCACCGTTACTATGGGGTACTTACGCCCGATTGTATCGGAGGGAGAATCGACGGTGGAATGTGATGATCAACTGGCTCTTTTCGAGCAATGGGAACGTGAAGAATAAAACTTGCGTTTGTCACTTAATGATGCTGGAGCCTTTTTTGTGGCTTTTGGTTTGACTAGGACATGGCTAGAAATTGTTTGTGGCGATGATCCTCTAACTCCAAACGAATGTCGGGATGCATTGGCTATGTCGAAGCGATGGAAATAGGGGATTGTTATTCGTACCCCTCTCTTGGTGAATCTCACCTCCCATTGCAAATTAGTTTTGGCTCAAAGAAGGCCCGCTGTTACCTAGAATCAGCTAAACTAACTTCTTTACATTGCATTTAACTATGGTGGTTAGACGAACACAAGTTTCAACTGTACTAAAGGATTACAATTGGCCACTTCTCGAAAGCCATGTACTCTTTAGTTTACTAAAGAAGGCCATACGCAAGGAACACTCTTGGGTCCTTCAAGATCCTTAAATCGAGTTTTCTTTTGGAAGACATCAGCGCGAATCACCATCCATCCACTGATTCCAAAGGGTCATAATCTCCTCCCCAGCATCAACTAGTGCTTTGCCATCTTCAATAATGACCACCTTTCTACCTGTCACAGTTCCCGGCTTGATGGTCTTCACATGCGATGCGGCCTTGTCGATCAAAAACCTTTCCTCGTCTGGCACGATCACATGCTGATAGTACCCTAAATAACACGGATCATTTGCCCTCCAGGCGGCCTTATCCTCTTCCGATGCCGTAGATATCATCTCGGAAGCTCCATCCCACTCTTGTAAATTGAGGGACATGTCGTCAATGGGAGATTGCAGGCTCATGTCGTGTATCTAGGTCATCCAAAGTCAGGTCATGTAATGAGATAGCACAGTGTGCATTGAAATGGATTCCAGCTTAATCGGATTGATATTATGGAATGTACCTGAGCGTAGTAGGTGATGCCGTATTTTAGTGCCCACGGAAGGACTATCAGTGCATGTTTCGTCTCCCAGTACTTGGAGAACTCTTCCCTAGTTGTTCCGGGGCGCCTTTTGAGCAGATTCTGAGGTGTAGTCATCGTTATTTGCTGTTTAGTGTCGAGATTCGGAGATTGGAACGGGGCAAGAAAAATAACGTAGTTAAAGGGTCGAGACTGAATGCTTGATACAGAAATATGCGCTGCGCTGTTAGTTGACGTCAAACTGAACTCGGCCGAGCTCGGCGGAAATCGTCTTTGGACTAATCTACAGGATCGGCATCTCGACCATTCGAATCGAGCAGAAGGAAACAAGTTATTTTCATTGTCTGAGCCAAATTTGCTTTTCTGGGACCTCGGTTATAGTCGCCCTAGGCCCAATTCCAATGAGTTGCCTTGATAAATCGAGTAAAGTGCGAGATGCGACACGATGCCTGGGGTAACTAACTGGCCAGTGGCGGATGGCGCTAACTCATCACGTGATTCGACCCCTGCGCTGTTCGGCCGATTCTCCGGCTGGTCATTGACTTCTCCCTTCTCGTCTTCCTCCGAAATATCAGAATAATATCAGTCGGTTGTTCAAATCATACTATTTTGCAAGGCTCATAATTCCCCAGTATTGGCCTATCAAGCCCCGCTTTCCATTGGCCACAGAGGAACGTTTCGCCGGCCGAATCGGAATGGTCCACAACCCTTCAGGTCCCTCAGCTGCTTTGAGGAAAGTAAGAAAAGGAACGCGTAGCTGCTGGGAATGTGAGTCCTCGGCCCCTTGATGGTGTCACAGTTACTCATAGAAGCTAGGTAAACGTCGCAAAATCCGATGTCGATACAGCTCGAATGAAAGCACAACCTGTGACTGGTGCCTCTCGCATAGGTCAACATGCGTGTCACAAATGTACCCAGAGACAGAAAGTGCCCAATCTGGAGTTCAAGTTCTGCAACATCGTGTATTGCGCATCGAGACCTTGTTGGAGGAACTTCTACAGAGAGCTGATCGTAACGTCGCTCCTCTCGTTAACAATAATCAGCGTGCGACATCAGGAGACCATGATATTGCGACCGATGTACTAGATGATACGATGAAGTCGTCAGAAACTAGCGGAAGCGTACTCTCTCTCTTTGATAATTCCGTGGTAAGCGCTCAATTCAATGTCATGCTCATGTTCTGTCTTGAACCATTTCTGTCTGATTGAGACAACGTTAACAAATATAGTTTCAATACAAACGCTCTGTCAACGAAAGTATCTCCAGTCATGGCTCTGCTCTTGAACCCAGAAGGACAAGCCCAACATATGATCAGCATATCACATTCTCCAAATTTGACCGGGTGTCAGTCCATCTAAGATCACTGATTCCGTCCCAAGATGTCATCACAGCTCTGAAGTTTGAAAGCACACCCTGGATCTCTCAACTTCTCGAAGCTGTGCCGTCATTCCGATCCAAGGAGGATTTTGATCTCTTGGATTTAATAGCGCCATGCTTGTCCGCCAAACATCCGTCTGTTATTGCAAGGGGCTTGATGTGTATTGTACTGTGCCTGCAGCAGCTGCCAAAAGACCATGAGGTTACTCGGATTCACTTAGGGACCAAATCCAAGGAAATAATGGATCACATCACATCTTGTGTTTCCTCATTGGTCACCTCTAACGATGAACTGACTGCCACGCCCGAAGGCCTCGAGTGCCTGATGCTTCAAAATATATTCTTTATCAATTCTGGAAAGCCTCGCCGAGCTTGGCTCAGCGTTCGGCGTGCCGTGGCCATCTCGCAACTTATTGGACTTCATCGCCACAGTGTTGAGTCAACGCAAACAGAGAGCAGCAAAGACAGCGATCGTTTTGCGTCCATATGGCAGTACATATGCCACTCCGAGCGTTTTCTTGCATTGATTCTTGGATTACCGTATGGGGTACAGAACGAGCACTTTTGTCGCCGTGAACCGGGTGAAGGTTGGAGGGAACCTAATGCGGATGTTGATTATCTACACCAACTTGACGCAATTGCAGGCCGCGTCATTGACCGAGATCAAAATTCATCTAAGATGGATTTTCTAGCAGCTCAGTCAATTCAAGACGAGCTGGAGCAGCTGGCGGGATCCATGCCCGAGACTTGGTGGAAAGTACCGGACGTCATCCATGAGTCAAGTCAGGATGTGGCCAGCATATCCTATCGTCGTCTCAACATCCAGATATGGCATTTCCAGCTCGAGATGTCTCTTCATCTTCCATTCATGTTCAATGTCACCTCTTCTGTGAAATTCGAGTATAGTCAGCTTTGTTGTCTTCGGGCAGCGCGAGAACTGATTAAGCGACATGCCTTGGTCAGAAAATCCAGTGAAATGTTCTCATGTTGTCTGACAAATTTCCAAGCGTTTATGGCAACCTTGGTCCTTGTCATCAACCTCTTGAAGCCAAGTTCAAGTGTTAGTCGAGGCAAAGCCGAAATGGAGAAGCAAGCAGAATGGACGACTGTTGATCAGGTCATTCAGCGCCTGGATGCGGTGAACGTCCGATTTGGGGACCCAGTGGCCCTTCAGGCGGTCAACGTGTTGAAGGTGTTACGGGCATTCGAGTTTGAGTCACAAGTGGAAACTGGGGGTGTTCAATTGACAATTCCGTACTTCGGCACGATTTCGATCCAACGACGAGCAACTTCCACCGATATGCTCATGAATGTAATGGATACACAGCAACATCCGACCTCCATTCCGGGTTACCAGTCCGACATGGAAGGGCCTTCAGGAGGGGAGTGGGCTGACTGTTTTTCGATATATTTGAACACCGATGGGTTGACACACTCTCCCCTAAGATCCGACGAACTACTGCAAAGCTGGTCAGTAGGGGCAACTGATTTGTTTCAGTCTGAGCAAGAAGATACCACGTGGTCCTAGACTGTGAGCACCTCATGAACTAGTCATAACATGCATCCTCCAAATGGCCATCATCAACATCACGCTTGTTTCTTTCATTAATTACAGTAACAGGCACCCTATGCAGGTTCTACAGATTATTGTTTTAGAAGCATTTGGGATTTGTTTATCCGCCCCCCAAAGAAAAAAACACCATTATACGGCCCGTGTTGAAGTTGTGGTTCGGCCGAGTTCCGGCGTGTCGAATGAAGGTGTCCCGCTTCGGTGTGTGAGAGGTTTCAGTGCCTGTCCGCCGAATTCGGCCGACCTCCACTCCTATTTGCAATTAGCTCGGACCATGTATGATTCCACCTCCGCATGGTCGGGTGGTTTACTAGGCGTTAGTCCCAGATATACCCATGCTCACCACCGAATCCGGCCGAAACCTATGACCCATTATCCCAGCTCCTGTCGGCGACCCGCTCGATGTATATTATAAATATTGAATGAGTTCTCAAGCTGATACAACATGGAACGCAGTCACCTCAGCATTTTTATTGAGTCATGGACAAAGTTCAAGGAATTACCAACGTTATTGTTGTCGGAGTAAGTCGAACGGACCCTTTACCTTGGCCGCCAATACCGTGCTGACAGCTCACAGGCGGGAGGGAGCCTGAACCCTGTCGTGATTGCATCGCTTCAATCGCTCGGTTTCGTCGTCTCGGTTCTTGTCCGAGATGCTTCAGCCGCTGTGCCGCCAGCGGGGGTAACATGTCATCGCACAGACTACTCCAATATGTCGCTTGTGAAGGCCTTCAAGGCTCAAGACGCGGTCGTTAACACAATCACAATGGCGGATTCCTCAGAGCAAAAGAACATCATTGATGCCGCGGTCGAGGCCGGTGTTAAACGATTCCTGCCCGCAGAATTTGGCATAGACACCGCGATACAGTCAACCGTTGAGATTGTGCCGTTCTTGCGAGTAAAGCCGGAAATTGTAGAATATTTGCGGTCACTCGAGAGCAGTATTACTTGGACTTCGATTGTGACTGGGCCATTTTTCGATTGGTAAGCCACTCTGCAACTGCATCAATCCCATCCAAGGTACTGACGAAATCATACAGGAGCCTCCGAAACGGATGGTTCTCGTTTAATGTGCCCTCGAGGACAGCGTACTTGCATAAGACGCACCAAGATCACCGTTTCAGCTGCTCAACGCTCTCCACGGTCGCCAATGCCATTGCGCGCTGTCTTCTTCCTGAGAATGGGCCGTCCACGATAAATCGGTACATCCACGTTAGATCCTTCACTGTGAATCAGAGAGAGATCATGACTTCACTCGAGAAGGCGTCTACGGAATTCGACCAAAGGGAGGGGCGACAACCTAAAGCATGGGATGTTATAGAAGTCAATTTGGAAGACAAGGTTGCCGAATCGCACCAAAAGCTAGCTCAGGGAGACATGAGCGCTCTAGGGTTCATGCTTTCCAAGGCCATCTACGCAATGAATAGCGATTTTGACGCAACTGGGGTGGCGATGAACGAGACACTAGGCATGGAACCTGCGGAGAGTCTCGACGAGGTTACGAAACGAGTTGTTAGTGAATACTAGGGCAGCCCCAGATGGTTCGATCAAAGCATATTATAAATTCCGGTCTATTCCACAGAAGCATACCTACGCCGACGTCAACCTAGACTTCCATTGATGTTGTAGAAGTGACCAACAACAACATATATGTAGGTTGATGATAATTATAGAAAATGGATTTCTTCCAAGGTTGTCAAGACTAACCTATGGATCAGAGTTACAGGCAGACGGAAAGAGACACTAATTATGTCACGGTATCCCGGTTTAGCAGGATGCGCCATATACTGGATGGGCAGGGTGAATACCTAATTCGCTCAAAGTGGACCACGTCACCTGTCTTACAACAGTTGGTAAACACGTAGTCGAGGTGTTCGGACAATTAGGTATAAATCAATTATTATCGTATATGTTGAGCGGACTTGAGCCAAACCATATCAATCACCAATCTCTTCCAAGTCATATCCCCAAGATCCTCCGCATACCGACATTTTCAATGACATATCCACCTCCAAGTTGAAATGCTCCCGACCCCTTCAGCTGCGCTTCATATCTCCCCATCGCCATATCCGCCAAAAACGACCCCAGATATTCTGTCGGCGAATGCATCGACTTGACGAAAGCCCGGATAGGCGGACCCAGCACACCTAGTAAAAGCTGTGAGGCAATTCCATTGGCTCCGCTGGCCGGGATATAAGGCTTGATTGCATCATGTGTCGCCGGATCGACAAATGCAGGTCTCACACTATGGACTCGAATGTTCGGATTCTGCTCCGAAAGTGTGCCGAGCAGTGACTCAGTCTCGCCCTTCACTCTTGCAAATATCGCAGAGAAGCGCCCAGGATCTTGGGTGGCTCCCTCACCAGATACATGAATGAATCTGAAAGGATGTCCCGATGGCTTGATTGTGGAAAACGCATTGGCAGCTGCCAGGGTATAGTCTTTGGTTATCTTGACGTATTGCCTGCTGACTGTTAGTCTCAATGCCATATACACAATAACAGGCAGTGACCTCGTACTCTTTGGTGACGTTGTTTTGGCTAGTTCCCAACGCCCAGACACAGCCATCGGCGTCTTTCAACTGGTCGAGCAGCTTTGGCTCGTATGTCTCAAAATCTTTGTGGGTGATAATATTGACTCGAGGATCTTTTTCATCCTCTGCCATTCGAACAGGGCTTCGGCTCAGGATAGATATCTTGGAGACTGCTGTGCTTTTCAGCATGGCGTCGAGTACTGAAGAGCCGACTAGGCCTGTCGCCCCGGTGAGTATGAGATGCATCTTTCTGGAATTTTGTCTATTTAGTGAATTGTGAAATGAAGCTCGATGGATAAGCAAGAGGAGCAGGGCTTCTGTCTTCACTTATATATCCACCATTCTCGTTTGCTCCGTTCAAATGGCCTAAATCCGCGAGTTGCACTATTTCCTTATTTCCAGCCAAGGCGATGCTGACAGCACACTAACCAGAAAGGGCTAGTGACATGCATGCTTGCGGCCGCTCTCGAGAACTCATTGGTTCAAATTGACTTTGCTCCACTTGCTTAACTCCATTAGGGTGATGCAAGGACCAAGGTCGAGAGGGATGGAGAATGGGAGCCCAGAAGACTCAGCTCACTAGGAATTATCCATTCTGAAAACCACTTTCCCCGAATCCCCTTTAGTGTTTGAATTTTTGACTGAAGGACCACCTCACCAGAGGATATGGGTCTGAAGATTGGGATGCTCAGCAAGCCCCTCCCCCGTGCTCTCTCACGGTGGATTGGTGCCCTAGGATCGTGAATATTCTTCGTTCAGAAATCGGCCGGTGCTCATCGGTTTTCGAAGTACTGGAGCGGCAGGTAGCCTCCGCCATTATGGCAGCAAATGCCGGGGGGATCACTTCGAAACACAAAGTAGACAAAATAGATCAACAGATCTACACAAGGAGACCAGGTGGGGATGAGGCTTTGTATTGAGCTTGATGGATAACAAGAAGAGCCCCCTTAAGCTTAGCTACGGCATGTCCTAGTGCCCAGTAGGCCCTTTCGTGTTTTACTACATTGCTTCTCTGCATATTACACCGCTTTTCTCACCGCTGTTTCAAACGTTTACCATTTTATAAATTACTGTTTTTTAACTATTATTGATTTACCCCTCTCATCTCCTGTTTCTACACCATCATGCCTCGTCAAATAATTGATATTGAGTCTCACAAGGATGAGATCATCGCATTTTTTTTACCAATGGAGCAACAATACAATAGCTTTGTACAAAATTACAAGAAGACTATACCATCAAAATCGCTCCTCGTACGATGAGGAAGCGCCTCAAAGCATGGGGCATTGCTAAAAATGCACCTCCAAAGACAATTGGAAACCTGGAAATTCAAAAACGGGATCCAAACCTTACTTTTCCAAGTAGGTCTTGACGATTATCAAATCCACCAAGTCCTCTGCAATGAAGGGAATCAAATTGGTCATCGTACGGTCCAAGAAATACGACTTCATCTTGGATTTCGACGTCGAAAAGATGACCATCAAAGCCAAGAAGCTGAAATCGAACAAATCACTACTATTCTTGAATCAGAGCTTGGAACTGGGCGAATTGAAGGCTTCGGAAAAGTCCATCTTCAGGAACATATTCGAAGACAAGGATATCTATTCAGTGGTAAACGTTTGTTTGATGTTTATCGATCGATGCGTCCTGATTCATTACAACGACGTAAACAAGATCTTCAACGTATGAAGGGTGTATACACCTGCCCTGGGCCAAACTTTGTTTGACAGCGAGTCCCCAGTTTTAGAAGTCATCGTACGACATCTACAGTTTCACAGGCCCGACAACAAGCAAGAGATGATCAGCCAATCCCACTTCGCCAGCTCCGAACAGCGATTAACTTCTGGATCAAAAAGGACAAAGGTTATAAAGAAGTTGGTAAGATTATTGAATAATAACCCTTCAGAAACTGAAACTAACTTTAGTAGATCGAGTTGCTCATACAGTGGAATTCGAAATCAGTTTTAACTCCAAACTCTTACGATTTAATTTCCGGACCCTAGGTGGAGACACGCTATTCTAATTTTAGCTTGGCCTGTTAATCCATGTAGGGCTGTATTGTATTCACTGGTAACCACAATGAGTCATTGTTATAGTATCGTAACTTCTTGTATAAGCAGATGGAATCCAGCGTGCAAACAGATCAAAAAGAGAATTCTAACAATCTGGCAAGATCTTCTTTCATTGTCTCATGTTTGTCATGCGCAGCCTTCGCCCACACTCATTTGCATCCAAAAGAAGCCTGTAGTGACGCCGCAGAGAGCCTATCCTGGTACACGACTATAGCTTTGGTCTCTACTATCCACTGCGATTCTCATTAGTTACCAAGTCCCAAGGAAATCCGGTACTTGGGGAAGCTGACATGGACCTCCTTGAACTATTGTCGTACTGTAGGAATGACACAGAGCCCATATCATGATGAGTTCACATCCCAGCCGAAGATCTTGCAACGTGGGAAAACTCACAGTACGCTCCAACACCTGGATATTTTGGTAGTCCCAATGCAACAGGGTTAAACCGCAGTCCCTCCCCTCTAGTAAAGACTAGTAGACTAGTAATTACTTGAAACTACTAGAAGCTACTATGAACGGTATTTTTTGACCTAACAAGCACTTCACTAGGTCACTAACTATTAGGACCGCAGGGAGGGGTGGCCCGTTACGGCCAAACTATAGATACACATCGTATCTCCCCCCGGCCGGGTTAGATTTTGAGGTCTCGGTTTTCTACCGCCGCTGGCTCGTTTGGATCTCTTTCTCCATTTATCAACTTTTTTGATTTGTTTCTCTCGCCCAGTTGTTACGGGACGTACCAATGAGAAGTTCGCAGAGAGTTATGGGGTTCCCCTCTTGGGATCCTCCCGAGGCGCTCCATGAGCTGGCGCTCAAACTCGAAGCAGAGGTCACGGCGCTCGGAGCGGATGTGGAAGAGGAGGTCTCCGGGGGTGGAGACGGCGGTATGTTTGGTGCCCTTGACTTCGCGGAAGGGGTGGAGTTCTTTCGGTCGCGGGAGGTTGTTCGTGAGTTCGTCCCAGATGGAGCTGCCGATGCCTACAGTGCATGTGAAGTTGGCGTCGGAGTCTCGGAAGGCGACATTTTTGGCTAGGCTGGAGATGCTGGCTAGGGTTGAGCGGGTGGTTGGAATGTCTGAGGGGTTTGTGACAGATAGGGCGAGAAAGGTTGCTGATCGGGTAGGGGAGGCGATGACGGGTTGGGTGCTGGCGGTGGTGAAGCTGGCCATTGCTCGTTTGGATGATTTGATAGGTGGTGGATCGTGGGTTTACTTTCGTGGGATAAGGACGGCTTGTGACATGAGTTTTGATACGTTGCAGGGTCGCTGTAACGCATCCAGATGAGATGAATGGCTTCGGATGTGCTACTATAAGTCTGATGAATCGAGAATGGGACAGGAATTGGGAATGAAGCTGTAGACGAGGTTTCGAGTTCTGCTCACGGCTGCCTAGACCCCGCACGGTAGGGAATGTATTTTTGACTAAAATGCCCAATCATGCACGTTGTAATTCGAAGCTTGACATCTCAACTCGGAGCTCCGAGATGGCCCGGAGGAGCTTGGGGGTCGACCCAGTGGACCCTCGCTGGCGGGTGCTGGGATCGGCATGCTGTTGGCCAGATACGTCTTCTGATTGGTCTATTGGTATTACCGCATGCAGATGGCAGACGGAGCATTGTGGCGTAATTTCGTAATTTCGTCCTCGAGGTGCTTAGCGTCATCTAGCCGAGCCTTATTAAACCTCAAAGTGACATCCAATATCCAAAATCCAAGACCATATACCAATCTTTCATCAAATTCGGTCAAGATACCTTAAGGTCAGCGACTCCGTCACCCATTCAGTTTTCCATCTCCAAACGTTAACCAGAGGTTCAATGGTAGAGACCCAGCAGTCTACCGAGCACAAGGAGTCTTTCTTCGAGAAGATCTTCGACCACCACGACCACCACAAGCATAGAAACGAGGGCCAGACCGACAAGGATAAGCGTCTCAGCGGCGAGGGAGGGCTACGTTCCGATCTGAAGAAAGACGAGGACGGCTTCAAGCAATATCTCAAGGATGATAAGCGGCTAGAAGAAGAAGGTCAGACCTATAGAGGCTTGATGTAGTTTCCTTGCCTCACCCAGCGCTGTTGCCTTCTCTATGATTATGTCTCCAAGAAAAACCAGGGAATATTAATAGGGGATTATGCCATCACTAGGGCCCATTCATTTATTTCTTGACGTAATCGCTTATTACAATAAACGCGAAACTGCATGACTGCTTCCGCCAATGTCCGTGCATTTATGATAAAGCCAATCCGACGCGTTTTAAGACACTGATGGAAACAAACAAACACCTTTAGCATTGCGCCTTCTCTCTCGTTATTGTGAGCGTTATGGGCAGAAGACTCAGCAGAGAGCTGAAAGTTATGTCGCAAAATTCCGTCTACATCATGAGTAAAGGGGAACGAAGAAAGTCCTCTAGTATAGATAGACCGCATGGATGTTCTCGTGTCTCGAAGTGATATCAAGCAATGGCAGTGGTAGCGGACCTTTTGAACATTGCAAGAGAGGCTTGTTGCATAATTGAGGTGGGGTGAGGAAAGAAGAAGAGAGAATATTTTGAGGTTATCTGTGAACTTAAGCCATGACGGCGGCGACATTAATCTCACACTGGAAATTGTCAACATAAATTACTTATATTTGTTGCAAGCTGTACACACAGGTAAACCACAAGTTCCAAGCGCCAGTCGTGGGCGCTTCAACCCCGCCTTTGGCATCAATCTTACGCATCAGTCATTCATTGTAAAACGTCACGGTGGTGTGGTTTGTCATACACCACATTTTGGGTGTATATTTACGGCCAGGTCCACCGGCCTCGATCCGTGGTGCATTAGCAGGGTAGTCGATTATCTATACTTGGAGCAATGATCCGGTGGATAGTCAAAAGGGAAAGGGACAACTTTTAAGCAGTCATATCACCTATCATGTGCCCTTGTCATTTTCAATAACCATCCATAAAACACAAATCATATCAAATCATCCAACGGCATTGGCATTGACCTCCACAAATCAAGTATAGTCACACAAGACAAAAACCAGACGCAGATCGATCTCATGTGGCCTTGATTGCTGCTTCGGTACGCTCTTGTAATCTCAACCCGAGGTCCTTGTTGACACGACTGAAAAGGCCTATAATCAATATTAGATTTGCACTGCAGTGGACGTATCTCTTCGAAGATAGCAGCTATAAGGGTCACGTACTATAGACAGATTTGCGCAATTCGGGATACTTAACACCCTTAACGCTGGAGACGAGATTGTCAATAAGCCTATCCTGATGACCAGGCTCCCGGCCAATAACCCCCCACAATGCTGCAGGCTGGACAAAGTCTGCATCAGAGATCTCACTCGTGTAGGCCGAAACCTCTCCCACCCACTTTTCATGGTCGGTGTGTAGGGACAATGCTCCTGGATTTGATCCTCTAACGTCTTGGTAGAATTTAGTGGGCTTGATCCAGGAGCCAACGTAGTTAGGGTCACCGCCATAGTTGTCGTCAAATCGCATCTTTCCGTCCCTCTGGAAGGGACAGTATACTTGGGCCTTGGCAGCGTTGGTTGGGAGCTGCTGATAGTTCACCCCGAGTCGGTAACGGGCCGCGTCGGGGTATGCGAAGAGTCGTGCTTGTAGTACTTAGCCAAAAGTTAGCCTCGGGGGATCTAAGAAGTAACTGAGATGCCCTCTCGACTTACCTGGATCAGCAGACGCGGCGAACCCTGGAACCATTGTCGATGGTGAAAATGCAGCTTGTTCAATATCTGTGAAATAGTTTTGCGGCTGTTCGGATTCAGCTACTGCAACCGAATACTGCAGAACGGTTGCAATGACTCACATTGCGGTTCATCGTAAGACGACCAATCTGCTGCAGAGGGAAATCCTTATGCGACCAAACCTTGGTCATATCGAAGATATTCCATTCGTATTTCTCGGCCTCTTCGGGGCTCATCAGCTGGACGTACACGTTCCAAACAGGATATTCGCCTCTTTCAATGGCCTCAAACATGTCCTGGATCATATAGTCAGGATTCTCTCCGGCGATCTTGGTAGCTTCTTCGCTACTGAAATTCTGTATCCCTTGCTGCGTTTTGACGTGGATTTTGGCATATTTGAACGAGCCATCCTAGTCAGAACGTTAGTAAGAGCAAGTTTCAGCATATGTTAATCATCATCGCTTACAGCCTTGGTGAACTTATATGTATGTCCACTGTACGAACTCATGTAGCGAACCGATTTTGGAGTGCCGCGGTCGCTGAATAGAACCATGAGTTGATGTATGCCTTCAGGGTTGCCGACGTGGAAACTAAACTGGATTAGAGCCTTAATTCATCCATTGTAGTTCGAGAGAGAGACATACTCCCAGAACTGTGATTCTCATTAGATTTGCTCATCCGCGGGTTAGAAGCAGGACTTACCATGCTTGCATCGGGAAGATGAGTTTGGGGGTGCCGCTTGTGGGATCGGTTCATTGATGGAAACTTGATCGGATCGCGAATGAAAAAAACAGGCTAAGGTGGTAATCAAAGTTGGAATTAATCCTGAAAAATATTACCAAGATAGCGATCGAGCATACCGTGTTGTTGAAAACCCAGTCGAGGTTTCCTTCGTCTGTGTACAGCTTCATTGACCAACCGTGCACATCGCGAGAGGTATCGGCAGATCCTGACTCGGGTCCGACTGTTGAAACGCGCTGAAGCACCGATGTTTTCTTTCCAGCTTTGTTGAGGAAGCTGGCGCAGGTAAAATCAGAGCAATCGCGGGTAGCTTCGAACTCGCCATATGATCTACACAGTTTCAACCGGAAAACTTTCCGACGGAGACTTAACAGCTTACCCAACAGCTTTGGCATGAACGACTCTATTCAAGGGTCCAATGTCAGTATATTATAGGGGCCCCAAAGTAACTGATCAATTGGGCAAGATGCTTACCGCTCTGGGATTCTCTCGCGAGAGAAATGAGCCAAGGTCTCAATGAGCTGAGTATCCTGAAGCAATCCGAGCCCGCCGCCCTGTCTATCCCGCATCAAAACAGCCGTTTTGTTGCTTGCAAAAGGGCAGCCTACAAATAGTCAGGCATAAGCACAAATCCAAGTCAGAAAGGGCCTGTACCTTCGGCCAAAGTGTAATATTTGTCGCCACCCATGCTGAATGATAATTGGGGTAATAGTAATAGGTCAGATAAGACGTTATCAGTATGTTCATTTGCTGGGTCGGGCTCGCTCGAGGGACGAAGATTATATAGACTCAACCCCCGAGAAAGGCTCCTCCCTTGATTTGAGATGACTTTGAATTGGCTTTTAGTATTACGCCTACACTCATTGGAGCTTTGTTCTCGACAGGTAGGAACGGTCCATAGCCGATGACGCCTTCTTCACTATACTCGAGATGATGCAGGAGTGATGGTGTTCAAAGGCTAGGGCCTGAACTTTGATGTATGAAGATGATCCAGACTACTACCTATGTAAGCAAGAGCCCTTGGGCTGAACATAAAAATTACGTGTAGTTGAAATCTTAAGTTTCCTGGACTCGTCACCACTTTTTAAAGCTCCATTTTCTTTGTAGCCGAGTACCAGGATAATTTCATTGCTGTCTCGTATCGAGAGCATCGCCATATTTTCCAATGGTCCAGATCATGGCATTCTAGAGCTGTAGTAACACCTATAGCTCTTGATCAATTACTCGATGTGGTAATAATATATAGCCAATCCACTGCCTGCATATCGCAAGGATCCTCAGAAAGCATGCTCGCCTCCCAGGCTGCATGTCTGCAGCAAGTAGAGTTCACTGGACGTATTTAATTATCGAATGTATAGATACTGTATCCGCGCCGATAAACCCAATTTATATGGTTGGATGATAATGGAGTGCTTGGTCGGACAAGCGGAACGAGCATTGTCAGATGCATGGGTCGGTCGTTGGGGGTTTATGCATATCGATATCGGTATTGTTACTGTATGAAAGATAGGTATCATATCATATGCTAGATCCCGTGAAACCTGACTGAGTAGGGCCGCGGGCTCGTTTGTAGGTACCTAGGATGGCGGACATGCAACCGCTCATACTGTACAAATTTGACTTCGACGTTACCGTATGTCAAACCCCCTACTGTGGGGTAGATAGAGACCGTCATGCCTACCTGGCAGTAAAGCCCCATGAGCATCCCTTTCAGACCCTTGAAGCACAGCGGAAAACACTTTTAAGGGGATTACGATGAACATGCGTTACGGAAAGTGTCAATTCACGCCACCGTATCCCGTACATGTTTACTCCACTTACCCATGTTATGATTTCGCCCCACCCATATCCACAAACCAATCTGCTCTCGTGGCAAGAATGTATGTAATCACGGTCGGGTATTCCCAACGATCCAATCCATATAAGTGACTCTGCTGTGTTGAACAGGCGGATTGGGCATCTCAAGAGAATAGAGTCACCCTATATAACCATTCGGGTGAATGCTCGACCAGACGCTCACACCAGATGTACTACCTGCTATGTACGCCAGGAATCCATCGGGCAATTTAAGAACAAATAAAAAATAGAATCTAGACCGGCCATTTTATCCTAGATAGATCACTGATTGATGAAGAGATCATGATTTACTCGTTGTCTAACATGAATCAATTCTAAGTCTTACAGCGTCATAGTGTTCGCCATTACGTTGACTGCATTCCAGACAATTGGCTGTCACGAATTGGGCAATACTACCCATTTAAGGCAGGTTGAGAGAAGGCGTATTATTGCGCTGGTTACTGACAAAATCGGTGGCGTGGTATGTCCGTTGAGGTAAGTTACCGGATGCGCATCGAAGTCATGAAGTCAACACTCAATTTGATCCCTTTCTATAATGTTGCTAACTTGGGTCGAGGTGGTATTTATTTTTCCACCTGTCGTTTTATTCAGACAATTGACCTGTAAATCGACCTCATCTTCCTCGAGTAAGATAACAACATAGCTCTGTAACAAGCACGAAGCCGTAGCGAAGGTGTTGGGACAATTCTTTGAATACCCAACCACTTAATGTGCGAGCAGCCTGGAACTGGGGTCTGCATGTCACATCCTCAGCACACCGTATCAAGATCTACAGCGTCAACAAAACCCACAAGCTCACGCAACAAAAATTGGCGCAGTTCAAGGAGCACGACATTCCACTGGCTCCTCTTACCAGATACGACGCTGTTCCAGGCATTACCGACCGCGAAATTGAAAAGTACCAGGAATCCCACCCTCGCGATGTCGACGAATGATTTTTTTTTTTTGTTTCTAGCCCGACAAGCGCCTGATATAAAAGTGTTCCAAACGCAAGTCCACAAGCTCCCTGTTCGCTAAGAAAATTTGTCCTGAATCAAATACGTGTCTCTTCCACCAGGGCTTGGTTTGGGGTACATCAACTCTAAATATCTGAGCTGATTCGAAGTCCTTTTTCGTGTGAAACAAAGCTGATGAATTTTTTTTGTCTATCATTATGTTATTTATTATGAGCTTTCTGATTAATAATCTATGTGAGACGCTTGAAAACAACGCACTCTCAGATCCAATCAATTATATCACGCGAACATGTCCACATAACAAAATTCGCTAGTATACCGTGTAATATACTCCAGATTCTGCACGTTCTTTTGCAGTGACAGTACTATATACAAATCCTAAGCTAGCCCAGATTTCCTATCGTGGTGCATACTAGAATTTCCGCAACTCTGCGCGTATAACGATTACTGAGACCTCCCAGTCATCCAGCCGACAGAATTGAAATGGCCTCATTGATGTTTCTGAAGGGACAGATACAGATATCCGTATGAGGTCCGGTAGCCCTCTTATATGTCAGGCACGCTAGTGTTCAAGGGGGTGGGAAATTCCGGCAGGTGGCCCTAGCAACACCTAAGAATTCGTTCCCCGATACAGAATTCAGAAAGCATTGAGTAAAGAAGTCGTATAGGTATGAATGACTAAGACCTTTCTGCATATTGTACCTTGAAATGTATATCCATCTTTCCCTTTCTTGAGTAGTCATATCGTTGGTCTCAATCATTCGACAGGGAAATGCATCCCCTTAGCGCCTGAGAATGCACTCTGAATCACAGCCTCGCCCCCGGCGCCTAACCTACCCCTCTTTACCTTCCGCCCAGATGTCCTTAAACTACAACACCAAACCCAATATCCATATACAGCCACCGATTTGCTTAGCCTCGCTAAAATTAATTCTTGATACTGTTTGTTCCTCTAAATGGATGGATTATCATCCGCAGCAAGCGTTATTGCAGTTATCCAGGTCGCTGGGAGCCTTGTATCGATCTGTGGAGGCTATATCCAGAAGGTAAAGCATGCAAGAGACGATATTACCACCTTGCAACGGGCAGCCGAAGGCCTGCGAGGGATCCTGCAAGGCCTCCTTGAATTCCTCAAAGACTCTAACAAAACGAGACTTCCTATCTCCCCGAGACTACAGGAGAAGAGAACACAGGGGTGGTCTAGAAGAGGAGAAGTGTGTCTGATTGTCCTAGGTATCCATGCGATGAAGCCTTTTATATCACAAATGCCGAATAATCCGCACACCGCTCATTTCACCACGATGGCGCAGTTCTCCCACTACACTAGATAGATTGGTTCCTCCTTGGGTTGTCAACTGTATGGTCGTGATACAGCCTTCTTAGCACAGGAGATTCCCGGAGAACCAAGACAGTAGGTATGTTATTTTTGATCAAGTGGACTGTAGGTAGGAGGAGGGAATCAAATAAGGAAATATAGGTATACCTACTTCCATGTGGTCATGACAGTGGTTAGATGCCTCAGGTGTACGGTAAACACCCGATAAGCCATAGTTATTGCGGGACGTAGTCTAATTAGGGCTTCCAGCAGATCAAGGCGTTTCCATCAAATGCCCTGTTTGATGTTTTGACTCAAGGAAAGTGCGGCAATTGCAGTGGCCTGGGGGTTCAATTAGGTAGATATATCATCATATATGGGAGAGCAAACATTGGTATAGTGGTCCTACTGTCCTACCTACATGGATAGTGAAGACTGAAGAGCGAGAAACGCGAACCTGGGCTGTCTGCGAACCAGGTACGCCACTCCATGGAGTAGTGGGACTACAGGAGAGCAGACCTAACACAGGGGTAGTCTAGAAGAGGAGAAGTGTGTCTGATTGTCCTAGGTATCCATGCGATGAAGCCTTTTATCACAAATGCTGAGTAATCCGTACACCGCTCAGACCAATTGTTCTGGTTCTGATTCATTGCGGTGGATATATATGCCTTGAGCGTGTTGAAGAATTACACATAATTCTTCCGCTATCGGCTCTACGCCAATGTTCAACGCTCAGCGAAGTCGGACGTCTAACAAAGACCAAGCCCTCGGCAGAGATAAGCTGTGCTCACTTCCCCTCTCTTCACCGAGGCTCACAAGCATGTGAGCCCATGAGCAAAGACTACAGGAAGGCGTGGAGGGCGAAGCATAAATAGGGGTTCATACCAGTGGATAGACAGATAGACAGACACGAATTACAATTCCGTTTGGTTGAAGACAATGTTACATGCTGCTTAGTATACCTTCCAGTATTACTATTCAACAGAGCGGTTGTGGAGTCCGTAATAGGTGTTTACTAACTGGAACCTATGCAAATCATACCCGGAGAGTCATTGAGATGTATGGGAAGGTACTGGAAGATAACATGTGTATTCTAGTATCCTAAATGCACTGAGAAGGAGAAAGGAGAAATGGAAAGGACAGTTGACTATCTGTGGGGAGAAAAAGTGGTCAGGTGACAGTGAGGTCACGTGGGCTCTGCCAAGATGGCTAATCATTAAAGGTCTCTGGTGTCCTCCTCAACGCTCTCCAGAAATGCCAACCATGGATTTTTAAAATTTGCAAGTGGAGGTATACTGGCGCTCTCGTAGAATGACAAGCTCGTCCCTGGCCAGCTGTCGTATGCAAAGTCCACCCCTGCGTCGGCAAACAAGGACATTACAACGTTTTCCGCATTCAATTTGGCCGCTCTGTCCCATCTCACCTCCTTCAGATTCTTGAACTGTCCTTCGATAGCGGCCTCGGCAAGACCAAGCAGACTCTTTTCCAGCCGCGGAAGGTCCTCGCCAATCTGCCCAGCAAGGTGCAGGGAGCTAATGCCCGAAGGGAGAATTTGGACCAAGATTTGCTCATCCGTGCAACGCGGCATGAAGAACCTGCTGTGGAACTCGTCCAGATTAAGAAAGAGGTGCTTCAGGGCGGTTAGCTCTCGAAAGCTGAATGAGCTCGGGACGGCCGGGTCGCCTCCCCGGTACCGCAGGTCGATATGGACTGATTCGAGTGTTTTATAGTGGCGGCTGAGATATCCTGCAGCATTGCAGAGCTGGAAGTGATCGCTGCAGTCCCATTCATTCTCTGGTAACCCATTGGATGGGTTGAAGAAGGGCTTTTTCGCCTCGTACACGAAGTTGCATAAGCTGTCACAGGAATTAAGTATGTTGTCAAGAGCTTGCTCGTTGAGACGACTGCACACGATGCGAATATGCTTGAGACTCGGCAGAAAAGGTAATGCGACCTGTTGGCCAGTCCCATTGCACCTATGGAGGTTAAGCGTTTCAAGGCATGGCGACACTTCAAGAAGGGCCCGGACGGTGCAGTCGAGTTCAAAGTCCTCGTGTTTTTTGAGTAGAAATCCAACGTTTAAAGTTCGCAGCGGCAGTCGGGAGATCCCAGCAGCCGAGAGGGGTCCAGAGTGAGAACACATTTTGTCCCGATAGGGACCAACCAAAAGGCTGCAATGTTCTAGCTTTGGGAGTGCCGCAATCAAAAGAGTAATCAAGTGTTTGGCTGATAGTTGCTCGGGCTTTTTAATTCCTAATGCAACGGCAAGCTCATGGAGAGTGTCATGAGCCTCCTCTTCCAGAATGAAGATCCTCAATTCCGGCCCCTCAGAAGGAATGGCTTCAGTCCATAGTCCATGACAATTAGACGTCATAGGCCTGCTCATATCAATTTGAGGAGGAACCGGGGAAGTCAAGATCTTCCCATCCAGCATCTGATACCGTGCTCCCCGTTCCTTCCATATCCCATGGCGGTCTCTCTCCTTCTTTTCCAGATACTCGCAAGAAGCTTGGAGCAAATGCGGCACTATACGAATCCTCTTCACGAATCCAGCCAGGTCTCGTCGCCGAGCGACGGTTCGCAAGAACGAAAGTAGCCGACCGTCCCATGTATAAAGCTCTGAGCACCACGAGTCGCCACACCCAAGCATAAATTCTTGATACAGGATAGGTTGGAAGACGTTGCACAAGCGCTTGGACACCAGACAAAGGGAGAGAAGCGGTTGCAATTTTAAAGAGTACCAGGATGGCTGATCGGGCGTTTGAGAAAAGCGATGAGGTGTATCCGGCGGCTCTAATTGATCTGTGTAGCGACAGTCGATGCCTAAATGAGCGAGTATCATATGTAGAATCTCAACCGGGAGGTGGTCCAGTGTCGCCGGCATCTTGTCTGTGTTTGAAAAATTGAGATATGCTGTTGGAGAAGAAACTTCAGAAGAGAAGTAAGAGAAGAGTGCTAGAACGCTGCGACAAAATGTAGGAGTTTCTAGACGAACTCTGCGGTTGCATGAAGGAGGAAAGAAGGAGGGCTACAGACTGAGAGAGCTAGGTGCAAAGCCAAACACAAGAAGTCTCACATCTCACATCCCTGACTAGTGCTACTAGCCCTGAGTGGTCCAGATAATATGCCTAGGCGCGTTCATATCAGAAATCCGGGCAACCTTCCTGATTGGACATCTGAAGACCCGGCGGGGCTTACCTCAGTTCCCCAGCCGGCCCCGCCCCAAAAAGGCGGTGGACTTTGCGATCCACCGCCTGCCACTTCATACATAGCTCAGGATACCGAGTAGGTTTAGCGCGCCAAAAGCTCGGCAGAAATCAGAACGTTTGGATAATGTGATGAGTATTCTGAGGACAAAACTAAGGTACATAACCCAAAAAGGCGCCCGGTGCCATTGGTATTCGACCGCTTGCCTCGTTGCGCCTGCGGCCTGTGTGACTGTCACACTGTGTCAGATAGACTGTAGACAGATACCTGCAAGGTCACTGACTCACTTAATATTATTTCCTGGCGCATAACTATGCACTCAGAGATACTGTGATACATTGGCGCTGCTTTATGAGGGCGGCAGGGCCCTTGTGCTCTGGATCAACGAGTACTGCGTAAATGTCAGCACAGGCTTAAACTGGTGATAAGCCTCAAGATAAGCCTCTATGCAGTCACGTGCATGATGCAGCCCTCATGGTTGAGCTGTGACAGCCTGTGAGCAACAGGCTGTCACTTATCCGGCTCCTTCCATTGGCGTTTTGCGTTCCAGCTTTCACCTCCCACGAAAGTAACTGGACTAATGCACTGGCAGACTGGCAGTGGCAGCACTGCCTATCGGATATTTAGGCCTGACGATAACCTATGTATTCCTATGCCGCAGCGGTGGGCTATCAGCCGATCCGTCCATGGGCGAGATCCCAGTCCAGCATGCAGGTATTGCTTTCGATGGCCAAGATAGCAACAAGTTCTACCCCTTTGCTCTATTGGTATCTCAATGCTTTGGACGCAGAGGGGATACTGGGTGGTTACATTATTGTGAAGCCAAGTCTTCTATGGTGTTGATTCCGTAAATTGCGCCTTGGTCGATGGCAATGATGGCAAAAGCAGTCCCGATGCAAATTGAGGCCTGCTGTGATCACGGATGCCTATGCCAAAGCTGTCGAGCGAGTTAGTGTTTGCGAAAAGAAAAGGATGAATTGGCACATTTTAGGAACGAAGTAATTGACTTACACGGTGTACTCAGGGTTCCTATTTCTTTTTTGAGCCACTGTTCATTGACTCGCCACCCAATCTTCCATGGCTCGTCAGAAGAATTAGAACGAAATAAAACTAGGTCTATGTGCTGTTAGGTGTCAGTAGCCTGATAGAACATGTGCATGGGGTGGATGTACCTTATAACGAAGACCTCTCTGGTGTCGATGTTTATTTATGGGAATGAACGCCCCAACCCTTGCACCAGTGAAAAGATAAAAGCTGTAGGGCGAACAAAAGGAAAACTTTCATTGTTCCGTGGATGAAGACAGGACCATCGACCGTCCAGAGTGAAGATACGGCATGGAGGTAGTCTGTCTTGGTGAAATTGAATTTGCATTTTCCATGTTCACAATGACTTTCTCTTTGGTCAGAGTTGCTTTGATCCACTACGATATGGTCAGCCGCAAGCATCCAAAGCATTCGCAAAACGGACTATACTAACCCCGTAAGTCTCTACAGGGTCCTCTAGAGGAACCATGTTTCCAGTAGCTGTCTCAAAGCCACCGAAAAATCTCTCGGCGCATGCCAAAGTCGTGACCGCCGTGGGTCTTCCTTCTGGGTCGAGACGCCCTTTGGTAGAATGCGCATACCACCGAATAAATTCTTTGACCAGAGTAATTTTGGGTGCCAGGCATCCCTCTTCCAGCTCATAGCCTTCAGATACTCTTCCACTTTCAATCAGAAACCTAAAAAGTCAACAAACATGGAAATTGGGAATCGATCCAGAGCTCAACGTACTGCCGGTGAAGGGCTCTGGACTCATCGGTCCGCTTATGCTTACCACGTGTAGCATCATCCTCTCGGTGGGCTTCCCGTTGGAATCCAGGTCTCTTTGCGTCTCGCGCGGCGCCGTTCCCTTGCTAAATCGCAAGTCTGGAGCTTTATACCCATGATCCAGGGTTGGAAAGGAACGTTTAAACACTGGGACGAATCATGAAGAGAATAAAAGAGGTAGTGAGCTGCAAGCCCTTGCGAGTATTTGTGGTTGACTACCCGTGGGGGATTTCGCTGTATTTATAGCTCGACTGGATGTTAAGTACCTCATAGTCATACAAGCCATCCCGGCCATAGCAGGGATTGGGCAAAAGGCACAAGTCATGTAATTTCATACGTCATCATCTCTCAGAGGGCATACGAGTGAATAACTTCCTGGGGCAGGGGCTATCAACAGAAAAAGGATGGTCAATGTTAGGTGGATTTTTAGTTGCTGGCGCTAGCATCACAGAATAGATGGCTAATAAATAATCCACATGTCATGTGGTTAATTTGTTCTATCTCTGCCTTTATTTTCAGGCGGTAGAGTGGGCACTCAGGTCGTGCTCACTGAGCAGATCCTGAGTGTTCACTGAGCAGACCCTGAGTGCTCACTGAGCAGACCCCTGAGTGCTCACTGAGCATACCCTGAGTGCTCACTGAGCAGACCCCTGAGTGCTCACTGAGCAGACCCTGAGTGCTCACTGAGCAGATCCTGAGTGTTCACTGAGCAGACCCTGAGTGCTCACTGAGCAGACCCTGAGTGTTCACTGAGCAGACCCTGAGTGCTCACTGAGCAGACCCTGAGTGCTCACTGAGCAGATCCTGAGTGTTCACTGAGCAGACCCTGAGTGCTCACTGAGCAGATCCTGAGTGTTCACTGAGCAGACCCTGAGTGCTCACTGAGCAGACCCCTGAGTGCTCACTGAGCAGCTCACCGAGCATAACCTGAGCATTATTTTGACATTACTAAGCATACCTTGAGTAGCACTGAGTAATCACCCTGTGCTGTGAAATACTCAGTGAGCATGACCCTGAGCCCCCTCATTCAAAACGACCTCGGAGATAATTCGGCTTGAATTCTGCCCCTCCGATTGGTTGTCCTTCGACTTACGGATAGTTTTTCCTCTCCGGTGACTTTCCGCCTGCCTTTCACGGCATAGGGCTAGGCGAAGCTGAGCGTCGCAGTTAATTCCCAAGACCATCGGGCGCCGGGAGACCTCGTAAAGCGGCGGCACCCCGATCGGGAAATGCGCATCCGCGGCCTAAAATCTAGTACATAGTTACAGGTACGAAAAAAAGTTTAGCTAAAAACTCCCTAGCATATTCCATCAAACGCTCGCTGCTACGAGTCTGTCCAAAGCTTGGAGCATTGTGGATATTGTTCCACCACTGATCAATTTTAATTATTGGCCCTTAAACTTACCTCAGCATGCTCAGACGAAACATGATTCGCTGGGTAATGCTCACATGACCTGCCTAACCAAGTTGGGTTCAGCTCAAATGTTTCGTCTGAGGGAATCTTCGAAATTTTGCCAAGAATTACCGACCAACAGCTCCTTTGGTGTGTGAATTTCGATCTCAACATTCTCAACAACCAAACCATCTTCAATCTTACAAGCGTCATAAATGCGAACTGGACAATTACTTTGATACTATTTTGAAGTTTCCACGCCTCCTAGAACGCGAGTGATATGCTTGAACGTGCTGGTGAGCAATGTTGCGTTTTATCGGGCATCTACATGGCTATACCCTGGTAGAGAACACGCGTTTTGAGACCCGAGCTGATGATTTTTCCTTCGATCAGTCCATTTATATCCATCATGCCTCGCTTAAAAAAGACTCTTCGAGGTAAATCATGTACGTTGTTGCTGAAGCGTGGAGAGAGGAAGATGGTATTCTATCTAACTGGCTAACGCTACTTAAGTCCCCAGCGGGGTATCTGGTCAGGTGCTATGACTGTCACCTGACAGTTGTTGATGCGACGTGGACGGTCATCGGTTGTGTCTTCCCCGCAATTTTGGGTCGAGCGCGGACGCTTCGATCTCGAAGACCTTAACTCAGGCATGGTTGATAGTGTATTAAGTAATGGAAATAAAGGAGAAGACGCTGGAGGCCAAGTTTTGAGAAGAAAATCGGGAGCTCGTCGCCCGCCGGAGACAGACTTGTGATCCTGGAGACGGAGTCAGTGTTCCTAGGGATGGACTGGTGCTCCTAACCGAATTGAGAATATAACAAAATGCATGCAATAGAAAGAAAAGCTGCTCGTAGAGTCACAATGTTGATGTAACGTAAATTTTTGTGCATTTTCAACGATGATAATAATGAAACACTAAAGACTAGCTGAGGAGTGGTGAGAACATGATGGTAAAATGTTAAGGGTAGACCTGCGGTTGGTGATTAAACGATGATTTACCTCCTGAATTTGAGGTATGCCAATTGTGAAATTAGTTAACACCAAAAGGGTTTATTTTCTAATCACACCTGCAGTTGATCGGTTCTTCCAATATTTATACATCGGTCAGCTGTCCAAAACGAAGTTCTAGACCTCAGCTTGACGCGTTACTATGATATCGTTGACCGGCTCCTCAACCGTTGTAGAAGCCAACCGCTTTTCGGTGCGGCGGGCATCAATATGGTCGTCGCAATAAGCTCACCAGGGACAGTTTCAGGTCTTCGTGGGCCATGACTCTGAAGACCACGGTTTCTGGAGAGCGACACTAGTTTTCAACGCCCTAACACTGTAGCCATTCGAAGCTTTCAGAATCCCTGAGACCTAGTTAATCTATACCCCCAGCTATTTAGTTCCCTGCACTCCTCAGCCATTGCCAATAGTGACGCTTTGCGGCGTCTCTGAACATGGCTTCCATACCTCCCACCCAGTCCAATCGAACTAAATATGACAAAAAGTCCATGCGCCAGAAACAAGGCCGTCGCAAATCAAGCTTAATGAAAAAAGCGTCCGAATATAGCAAGATGTGCGATGCAGATGTGTGTGTGGGCATACGCCTTCGGGAAACCGGCCAAGTATTCATCTTATCGGCGGATGCTTCGGGATTTTGGGCTTTCCTTGCCTCGCAATTGGTATGTCTCCAGCTATGCGTCTGAAGAAAAGACGACTGACCTATCAAGAGCTCCTACTATCCAGCCCCAAAGCTAGTGACAGACCAGGATCTGGAGCAGTTCGACAAAGATACACCGGAACAACATACGTGAAATTATACGACCAAAGCGGAATTCCAACAGACCAGATCTTCGCAATTAATAATTTGTTTGCCATATTCTCGTTCCGCGACTTGGAACAGCCATTATCTTAATATATTAGAAGTTACTGAGGCCCTGAGGGTAAAGCACGATGACTTGCGGTTCCAACGGGGATTCTATATACCCAAGAGTCCGCAGTAGATTCCTAAGTCATTTACGACTACTCGAAGCCTGAGGATAAGAGAAAGTAGCTAGCCTACTTATTCAGCTTACCGCGTGCGTAATTCAACCGTGGTGTAGAAAAAGTGACTTCTAGAGGTATGAAAAAGCCTGTACATGAATCAAGGTTCGAGAACTAACCGGCCCCTGGGGTCTCGTATTGTTGGAAAAAACAATACAGGGGCCCGTTAGTTATTAATATTAAAAGCCAAGAAGGTAGGTACGGCCTGGAAAATATGGCAGCTTAGGCTTGGCACGGGGCCTGCCCAGGACATCTCTAACCTGGGTGAAATAAATCTATTGCTCTAGACTTGGGGGGTTGCCTAAGTGTTAGGAAAATGCGCTGATTTAGAGTGGAGACTGCTGTCTACCCAATGATAATCAGTAAACACCCTACTTCTTCTGTTAAAAAAGAAAATGAATTATTTAATATTCTTTTCAACCCTCACATTTCTACGACAACCATTGTTCAATTAATAGCTGCAAATTTGCTTGCCGTTGGCCCTCGTTTCTCACCACTATTGGCCTTGTCCTTTTCGATTGAGCAACTTACAGGTCAGAACACCACTATCGCACATTGCCACATTGTTTAGGCAACCGTTCAGGTTTCTTTCTGCGTAACTGAGTGTTGAGAAGACGGTCTGTCTATCCATACAGGATGACCACAAAGAGTTAATTCATTTGCACAAGAGTTATGTGAAACGCACTGCCAGATAGTGCCATGACGCCCTAATGAAGACTTGCGCAGACTAAAGAATCTCAAAAACAGGTACCGCTTTCTTCACGTTCTGAGCCCACTTCCCAATATCCTCTACGAAACGTCGCGCGATGCCTATTTTGATCCCTTTCTCAATGAAGAAACTAGGATCTTGGACCCTGTACATTTGTTCAAGGTCAAGACCGTTCTCCAGCATCATATCACACACTTCTCGAAATGAAGTTTTGAGTGGAGAAGAGTGGCGATCATCTACATAGTTGAAGCTTATCTTCAACGTGAGCTCCTTACCACGGGAAAAAGATCTGACCACATCAGAAGTTGCTTCTCGATCGGAGTCCAAATTATGTCGGTCTCGTCAAATCGTTTAGTCGGTTTGCGTTTAGTACGATCGCTTGTTGACGGTACGATGACAGTATCATCAGGTCTCAATTGGCGATGGCGAGCAGTTTTCCATCGAAGAGCTTTCTCTAGCTTCTTCTCCAATGACAGCTGCCAGAAGGCGCTGGGTGCCAAAACGACATCTTCCTCTGTGTCCTTTGACACCTCCCTGTTATTGACGGTCACTCGCCACTCTATGCGGTAGTGGATACACGTTGGCGGGTCTTCATCGTAGGATTTTCCATCTTCCCATTCACAAAGCTGAACAAATTTGGGAATGCGTGAGCCAGATGGACTGGAGGGCTCGGTGCCATTCTCAGCTACGATCGAAGGGAAGGGGCTCAAGGTAGATAGCGCTGCGTAGGGGCTGCCACAATAGCCAGGAGTTGGGGCATAATCCGAGTTTTGTTCCCATAGTTCGTGCTCCGTAAGCTGGGATGCATTATGGAGGTGACGTTGGCTCATCTCTTAAAGTAACAACAGACCTTACTAAAGACATGTTAGCTTGCCGGAACCACGTTAGGTTTGGGGCTGGTAACGAATGAAAGCGCGATAGATAGTTCCTGCATCGATTCCTGCCGCTGCGTCGATTCCTGCGTCGATTCCTACGTCTGGCCCTAAGTCTGTACAATTACAGAGGACTCGATCAAAGAAATCGACTCAGCAAAAGCAGCAAGTCTCTAAATCTGCTTCTGCGCCTACTTCTACACCTACTTCTATACCTGTGTCCGAGTCTGTACGACCGCAGCAGATAAGGTCAACTCAGAAGCGATTGGAACCTACAGATGTCGGTACACCTCCAGCACGTCGAACTCGGTCTCGTCTAGCAAGTAAAAAGGATTGAAAAGGTGATAGTTTTTGTGTATTTAGTTTAGTTTGGTTATTTTGTTTATTGTAGGAGATGATTTTATAAAAAGGTTTTGCTGCTTTTCAATAGAAATTGATTGAAGGAAGCTCCAGAGGATAGTAAGAGAGAGAACCCATTGGCCCCAAAAACGCCGAGTATTCTTCTCCCATTGCTGAGGAGTGGTCAGCCGGCCATACGAGTCGCTAAGCATCTTCTCTCAATCTACCAAGACCCTAAGGCACCATGTCATACTTGATAACGGAGACAATGAGAATTTTCTTGATCAACGAATGACGACCTCGCCTTTCAAAGCTCAGTGCTATCAAAAATGCGCAATACAGATTTAGCCTCCAGAGTAGAGAAACGATAGTCATAGGTCAACTTCATGTTTAGCCATGAAGACTTCTGAGGTAGGATCTACTGTATAATCTATTGGGAGATATTGTGGGATGCAACCCAAGATATGTACAAACAAAAAGAATCACTCGCAAACCATCGGCAAGACAACAAATCATCGAGCTCGTAACCGCTTTGACCGACGTGGCGTATCTTTGATAGTGGATGCTTTCATTTTACATGCTCGTCCTTTACCCCTCTGCTGCCCCCCAGGCGGCTCTTCGGGGGGCCCACGTTTCCGAGACGAGCGCATCGCATGCTGTGGTAAAAACCCAATATTAGGACCAGGTTCTTGATTTGCTGCCTTTGCTGCCCCCCTCGTCACTCGCCGTGTAGGAATCTCCACCAGGTTTGAATCGGTGCTCGTCAATAGGAATCCGGAAGAGGCGGGAATTCCAGTGCTTGGCAGGCAAGTGGATGGCTTGGTGATAGGGCCGGGTGCCATCAAACGAGGGTCAATATTTGCCATACCAAAATCGACAGAGGCGGGAGTTTCGGTGCCTTGTTGAGAACCCGGCTCAGGAGAAGATGCGAGATCCGCCACTTCTGCAGTACTCCTCGTCGATCGCCTAGTTGGGAGTTCGGTTGAGATGGGGTGAAGACTTTTCACTGCAGAGCCACCAGAAGGGGTGGTAATTTCAGTATTTAAGTAGCACGGTGAAGTCTTCGTGATGGGAACAGGGTGGGCCTCCAATAGGCGTGGATCGATATTTCCCATCTCGAGCTCGACAGAGGAGGCCGGAGTCTCAGTCCTTGGTCGATACTTAAATTCCAAAGACACTTCTCTGGATGAGATGTCGTTGCAGTCAGTTTGTGATAGCTGCAGGAGGTGACACAATTTGAGATTAATATCATATGAATGTGCAGTGGAAGCATGGGCCAAAAATTCGGTGATCTTGCTGAACTGGGGAACATTGCGACAGGCTTCCCAATTGCAGCTGATTCCATCGCGCGCATGGACCAGGTGCGTATCAATTAAGTGACGACGAAGAGAATCCTGTCGCTTGGAAGGAAATTCATGCGGAGGAAGCTTCGATGATGATTGGCGAGATAGACCACAGCAAATGATGCAAATATTCGTTGGGCATTTCATAGTGTCTTCCTCGGGAGCGGGCGAGTCTTCTGGCTGGTCAAGTAAGTCATCTTGGTCGTCAATATTCCAATTGACTCGGTTGCCTCGTCTGCTCGGTTCGCAAAGCCGCAGAAGCGCAACCATATCCTTGGTAACCTGGATGCGTCGAGCAAGTAGCTTGTCCTCGTCAAAGTTCTCTGCATCGGGCCCGTAAAAGTTTTCCACCAGGCGTGCCCGTTCCGCAAACATATAATTTGGAGTAGGCAGTTCCCAGCGCTCATCACCAGAATCCTCATCACCAGAAGCTTCATCAGACTCGCCGAGAAGTTGCTTTATCTGCCTGTCAACTTCTAATACGGGCGCATTTTGGAAATGGTCTTTTCTCGCTGCCTCTCGCATGTCGGTTGCTAACTTCTTTCGAAGTTTAGTTAATTCTTTTTTGACATCTTCATGTCTTTGATACAGGCGCGGAAACGGTTTCCGGGCATTCTTGATTGTACCAGCCAGGGATCGCATCTCCGCCATGAGCTCTCTCTTCTCTCGTCTAAGCTGCAGAATATCCGGATGTTGGCGAATAGCAAGCTTGTGCGTATCAGTAAGCTCGGACGGAGCGCAAAGATCTCTTTTCCTGAGCATACTTCCGGCAAAACGTACTAGACCCTCCTGAGGCGGTCGAAGAAGAACGACATGCTGGAGATCGCGTCCAATAAATTGTGATTGATAGTGCTTTTCAAAGACCGCGTCGCCAGACTGACCAAGCACTCTTTGCCGCTCCTGGCTAGTGAAATTTCCTATACGCTGCTAGTCAGCCTCGGTGGGACAAGATCTCCATTTTCATGAAGTCGTAGTTTTCATACATTCAGCGCACGAATAACTTACGATTGACTTCATTTGCTGTCCAACGGCGAAAGTTGTAATGTCCGATATCGTCTTCAAATCTAGCGTCCCGGCCCAACTCTTTGAAGGCTTGTCGACTTGAATCATAAGTCATCGTTAAAGACTCATGAAGTTCATAGCCATACGGAGTGCGCCCAAAGCGCCGCAGGAGAGGCGTGTTGAGAACTTCGGGCCTCCACCGAAGAGGAAGGGACGAATTGTGCTTGGGAACCCGCAGCCGCCAAATGAGCTCTGGTGTGAGCTCGGTGTTGAGAAACGCACCATCGCGGAAAGCAAATGAGATTATTTGGGTGATCGGGCAATATGCTAGTTGGTAATCGCCGTGCATGAAAAATTTGGTTCTAGCAGTAAGCGTCAGCATCAGTTTAATAACACCAAGGGGCCCAGAAGCACACTTACCCATCAGGACCCTCCGGTCGACCTTTAAGATTGCGAAACTCTATGATGGCACAGAGAACATCACGTTTGCTTTGAGGGTCTTTCAGGTAGAAAAGTTCTATATCACGATAGAAGACCGAGTCCGGAAGGTCTTTCAACGATATGTACTTTGGAAGATCGCTTTTAAACGTGAGAGCCCGTTTCCGTTTGCCCAGAGATGAGTGGTCGGGTACGGAGGTGTCTTGTGGAAGCATGACACCGGGGCGACTCCCGGTAATGGCAGACCATAGCTGTACAGTAGCGAATTGGACGATCATACTTCCATGACGGAAAAACTTCGAATGGACCCAGTGATGCCGGTAGAGCACACAGAAGACGTCTACATCTAAAGTGTTCTTGTCCTTCATTCGTCGTGGAATTTTGCGCTCGGCCGGGAAAGGACCCTCTAGAAACTATGTCACAATTAGTCTAATCTCCCCTAGCATAGAAGGAATCCTCGTACTCGTCGCATCTGTTTATGAGCGTCTTCGTTGACACGGCGACGGGCAAACAGCTCGAAATACTGACAAAGTCGGCGCCAGTACTCATCATAAGACTGCAGCTTTTTCTCTCGCGATGTTTTGAACATCCAGTCGAAAAAGTTCATGTAGATCGCATGATCCTCCAGAAGAAGGTGGTCCACGTAGTCCTCGTTCGACTGAATGCAAAACCTATACTCATGAGTTATTGCCTACACACGATGCCTTGTTCTGAGAATTTCCCCACTTACTTTCGCCAGTAGCGTTCGATGACGGCAATACCTAGTAAAGTCCTCGGTTTGAAGTTTGGAGGTAGCCATCCAAGACTACGGAAATGTTCCAGTCTGGTTCGAGTTTCCTCGCAAAGAATGGGGTCGGTCCAGTATTGGTGTTCATCACCCTGAGCTGACTGAATGAGCACAGGTGCCATAGTGAAAATCCAGGATAAATGAGCAAGGTTGGAATCTCGAAACACGGGCAACAAGGTTGTCAAAGTCGACTTGGGGAGTGGGGGTTGGGGATGAGGAGAGAACTGGAAGAACATGAGAGGGGGAAGAAAAGAGGCATCTTATAGGCGCCCGGCCAGGCAAGACGGAAAGCGAAGGCTCCTGGGAGGGACTGCAAAAGGGAGCCATTTTCGGCGTCTTTTTGGTGGCAGGTGGAATGACTGTTGAACGGCGCCTACATCACAGCTGGAAGATGATGACTAACGGCGCTAGGTGGGTGCAAAATAGTGAGGGTACTGAACGGTGGGCGGTGAAGCGCCCGCTCGCCCTCCAAAGTTACGGGTGGAAAGACGGCCGTTTCTGGCGCCAAAAGTGGTCATTTTCGGCGTCATTTTCACAGGTCCTCATATTCTATATGTAAACATGCAATACTCTGCCTTAGTTAGGTTTGATACCCCAGGGCTATGACTAAAATATTAAAAGTACTTTGACCCACCTAAACAATACAAATCACTGTGACTAGTCTAGCTATGATGTCACGGTTGAGGGGGCGAAGAGACATCCAACCTGCCAGCCGGTCTTTGTCAACACTCATTTTCAGGCAACCAGGTACCAGGAGTAAAATCATTCTATACTTAAGTCCCATCAACAACCATCCTTAGTAGTAGCACCTACATCAACTCCATCATGTCGACAAGCGATTACCAATCCTGGCTCCAGACCACTGAAGACCCTGAATACCGCACTGCACGCCCTCATGCAGAGGTCCTACGGCAACTGTTCTCAAACAAGATTGATTCAACCACCGCAATCAAAGAACTGAGCTTGCTCGATTTCAAGAATGATGATACGCCGTGGGCTCTCTGGGAGCTAATCTATGAGGCCGCTGCCGACTTTCCTTCGAGCCATTCCTCATTGCTGACCCTCCTGGTTGAAGCCGAAAAGCTCAATTCACAGCTATCTGAGTCAGAATCTAAAGACATACCACGGAAATGGTTGGGCTGCTTCGGGAGCATGTGGCGCGACAAGTGGGATATGATCTCACCCCATGCATCATCAGGATGGACAGTGTCCGCATCCAAGTCATCCACTAGATGGATCAATATGAATACCTTCTCAGCAAGACTGCTAGCTACAACTTTTTTTAGTCAAGGGATAAAGCTTCGTGCTTTGGGTTTGAGCTTATTGAAGAAGTGTTTGGAGGTGGACCCGACGAAGTACAAGAAAGGAAGACGTCAGGCACAGTCCGCGCTTCAGAGACAGTCACCATGGTACAAGATGGATGTATCAGAACTACTGGCAGCCAATGTATGCGCCGCTGCACAATGGATAATCCATGCTGCAGGGTTGATGTGGAAGGATGATCGACCCGACAGTTCTGAGTACATTCAACAAGTTCTACACGGTAAAACAGACCTTTGGGATGGAAGCCACGGATTTACGGAGGGGAGATGGCAGCTGTGGAAGGAACGGTTCTTGTTCATGGCAGAATACGAAGATATCAGCCCAGATGCCCAACAAGTTGCCCGAAAGGCAGGGCAGATAATGGGCGAATTTCTTTGATGTAAATACCATGTGTTTTGAAAGAACTTAACAGAATCTGTCTACCCTCATTTATGATATTGTCTGGGATCGGAAGCCCCAAATTACCATCCGGCCGTCGCTATATGACATAGCAATGCAAGTCGATAATTTGAGTTGTGAAAAAACCAGGCAATCCATAGCTATAAAATCAAATCCTGAGAAACCGCCGCAGGACCCTTTTCCACTACATTCTGATCCACATATCGGTCAGAAAATACAAAACCACCCTGGATTTATAGTAGTCCGCTATAACAGCAATTTTGGTGAGCATCTCCAGAGCCAGCTTCCAAAGTATACGACAATATTGCCCATGAATAGCCCGGAGTAGTATCATCGGCATTTCGCTCCCTCACTTGCTGTCGAGTGCACTTTTTAGACCAACCTTTGGCAAGAACAACCCGTCTGATACTGGAGGTTGTGACTAGGGTGCGGAATTCATCTCAGAGGAAAACAGCCATCTCATCGAGTTATAAACCGGGCTTTTCAGACAGGTGCTCGCAGAGGGCTTCGATCATGAGGGATGTTACAGTCTGTTCCCGTCCTATTCGTAGCCGAGGTCCGCGCACACTTCCAAATTGCCGCCTTGTTTGCGTGAATATTTATAATCGTAGCCTGGTTTCATTCTGCTTCTTCGGCCAATTCAGATATGCCAAGTGGCTGGCTCTCTATCATGTCGCGGATGATATGCAGCTTGGATGGTGGAAGTCTCGGAGCCATTTGTGAGGTCAAGTATGACGTTCTAGAGAGATAGACGGGCGAATACGCCTCCTGCTTGAGGTGGGCGGTATGGCAGAGAATTACCACTGTATGGCATATACGAATAAGATACACAAGGCACGGTCACACCTTCGTCATATAAAATACAATGTCAATTCTTGGAAATTATAGATCGACCACTATTCCAAATATGAACTAGTGTGTTTCAAATCAGGGTTCGTGGATCAAGTCGCAAGAGTGTGGAGTTAAAACTGATTTCGAATTCTACTGTACCCTACAACGTCGTACGATCTTGGACTTTGGGGACTTTATTCGTCGAGATCTTCTTCCTACAATACGAGAAGAGAAGTTCAAATTCGAGCCTGAATTAGGTGATACTATCATATTGGCAACTCATTGTACAACGAAATGTCCTACATTGATCTCCAATAATCTTGATCATATTCAAGATCTCGAGGATCTCTATGATCAATTTGATTACGTGGAGCGAGAGAAACGTGCTAAGATCTATGTCATTCTTGACAAGAAGCCTCGTACGATAGAGATCAAATCAGATCCTATTTCTCCAGGACCTGCATCGCCAATTGCTTTGGAATTAGAGACACCAATTGCTCCTGAGCCACAAGCACCAGATGCTCCTGAGCTACAGGCACCAATTGCTCCAGAGCCAGAGGTATCAATCATTGATCTTGACGCCTCTGAGCCGGTAGTTATTGATATTGAAACTCTTGCAAAACCTCGTGAACATCCATTTCGTCCTCGTACGCATCGCAAATACTTCATGACTGAGGCAGAGATGAGGGCACATATACAAAGAATTGATGATGCAGTTGCTCGAGGTGATTCTGATGATGGAGGAGAGCCTTTATTCCATCCTGATGTCGTTATCTATGGTAAACCACCACCTGAGGGGGAGCCATTTGAACTATCCTCTGCTTCTATAGCAGAAGCAGAGGTCGTACGACAGGCAAAGGAAGTGCCAATGGCGCTAAAAGAGCGGGCAGCTGTTCCTCAGTTTATTTGGCCTTTGAATTGGGAGCCTGCACCAATTCCTGCGCCTGTGCCGATTCCTTCCCCTACGCCGATTCCTGCCCCTGCGCCGATTCCTGTACCTGTGCTGATTCCTGCTCCTACACCGGCCCCTGCATCTATTCCTACATCGGTTCCTGCGTCGATTCCTGCATTGATTCCTGCCGCTGCGTCGATTCCTACACCGATTCCTACCGCTGCGTCGATTCCTGCATCGATTCCTACGTCTGCATCTAAGTCTGTACAAATACAGAGGACTCGATCAAAGAAACCGACTCAGCAAAAGCAGCAAGTCTCTAAATCTGCTTCTGCGCCTACTTCTACACCTACTTCTATACCTGCGTCCGAGCCTGTACGACCGCAGCAGATAAGGTCAACTCAGAGGAAGCGATTGGAACCTACAGATGTCGGTACACCTCCAGCACGTCGAACTCGGTCTCTTCTAGCAAGTAAAAAGGATTGAAGAAGTGATAGTTTTTGTGTATTTAGTTTAGTTTGGTTATTTTATTTATTGTAGAAGATGATATTATAAATAGGTTTTGCTGCTTTTCAATAGGAATTGATTGAAGGAAGCTCCAGAGGATAGTAAGAGAGAGAACCCATTGGCCCCAAAAGCGCTGAGTATTCTCCTCCCATTGCTGTTGTCGATTCCTCCAGATCATCTGGAACAGATCCCTGATAGCGTTGAAGATCTTCCTGGCGAGATTCTTGATCATTCCCAGCAGGACGACGATTTCGAGCGCGACCTCCAGGACGTCTTTGACGGAAACGAGAGCGTCCTTGGTGCGATGGGGTTAGCGAACTGACCCGCACGGAGGGAGAGTGGGAGATTGGGGAAGAGGGGAAGAGGTTTGCGACGGTGAGGTGCATTGTATAGATCATGGAACAAAATAGACTAACCTGATTTGGACTAGTTAGCACTCGTAATCTTACATGATCGAATACACAAAGTGGCAGAATCGCAAAGTAGCAAAGTGGCAAAACACGAAAGGGCCTACTGGGCACTAATTCATGCCGTAGCTTAGCGAATCTGATGTCTTGTCTTGGTTAGATCGTGAGACCCGGACTCCGCGTTCAGGGCGCCGATCTCCGTGTCTCACGTGAGATTCACCGGGAGGGACTCGACATCCATGATCCATAATATAGGTGCCTGCATACTCAATTATCCCCCTCGTCTCCGATTGAGCCTCAGCTCGATCAATATGTTAAAGTTCTGGCTTGCTACGTTAGCTGGCGTGGGTTACGCCTCGCAGACTGTGCTTCGGCCCGAACCCTCAGCATCGGACTTCACCACCTTTCACAGCTTGAATTCCCCGCATTCAATACGCATCCGCCAACAAAACGAGTCCCTCTGTGCCGCGGGCTCTGCTCAGTACACTGGATGGCTGGACATCGGCCCGAGACACCTGTTCTTCTGGTATTTTGAAAGTCAGAATGATCCCGTCGCCGATCCGCTCACACTGTGGATGAATGGTGGGCCCGGGGGCTCCAGTCTGATGGGCCTATTCCAGGAGAACGGGCCGTGCCTTATCAACGAGCATGGCAATGGAACTGTTCACAATCCATGGGGCTGGTCTCGGAACTCTTCATTGCTCTACGTGGACCAGCCAGCTAATGTTGGATTTTCCTATGTTGACGAGGGCTATACGGTCGCGCGTGATTCTCACGAGGCGGCGGTAGACATGCATAGATTCCTGCAAATATTCACATCAGAGATCTTCCCCCATCATAGTTCCTCTGACCTTCATATTTCTGGCGAATCGTATGCGGTAAGGCTTTCGATCCATTGTTTGTGCGCACTGCTGACCTCTATAGGGCCAATACATCCCCTACCTAGGAGTCGAGATTCTAACTCAAAATAAACGATACCCCTCAGAGCCTCAGATCAACCTGAAGTCTTGCTTAATAGGTAATGGCTTCATGTCACCCAAGGATACTACCTTCGGGTACTGGGAAACGCTCTGCACGACGAATCCTGGCGTTTCCACGCCCGTGTTTAATGAGACAAGATGCAATATCTTAGCGGAGAATATGCCACGATGCATGGATGTGTATGATATCTGCACACAAAATCCCGACCCTGCTATCTGCGCCGCCGCCGAATCTGTCTGCTACAAAGGAATCGTCGGATGGTATGAGGACGAGAGTGGGAAGGGCGGTCGCAATCGCTACGACAGTAAGAACTACCTTTCTAACCCTTTTTACACTGGGTGACCAGTAGTTCCAACGGTGTCGATCTAATACGAAGAACCCACAGTCACGGCCCCGTGTTATATCGACGAGATATGCTACCAGGAATCCGCTTATGTTGAGAAGTATCTGAACTCTGCCGCCGTCTGGGAAGCTCTCTCGCCGCCGGAGGAGGTCAAGGAGTACAAAATGGAGTCCACCAAGGTCGCTGACGCCTTTCATACAACGCCAGAAGGCATGACATCTTCATCGGAACACGTTCTTTCCCTGCTTGCCAACGGGGTGCACTTTCTATTCTATCAAGGCAACCTCGACCTAGCTTGCAATACGGCAGGGGCAATCCGGTGGACGAACTCGCTTTCATGGAAGGGACAGGCAGAGTTTTCGTCAAAGCCACTCCTTCCTTGGGTTTCAACAGGCCGTAATGAACCGGTCGGTACGACAAAGGAAGTGCGAGTAAAACTCAACGGCGATGCAGAGACGGCGTCACGTTTTGCGCTTGTGACGGTGGACGGGGCGGGTCATCTGGTGAGTATCCTTGTTCACATGTGTGATGCGCGCATGAGCTGACTTTTATGGCAGGTTCCTCGAGATCGTCCTGATGTCGCCTTCGACTTACTGACCCGGTGGATTGCTGGTGATTCCTTTGTTCGCTCTTGATTCGCATCCTGGGCTTTGTGACAGTGTAGCTCAAACTGAACTACAGGGTTCCGGCTTTGTTGGACTAAGTCGAAGTCAAGGTTTCTCCTCAAAAGGGTGTGTATTGGGCACCAGCACACACGAACAAAAGGACCGACTTGGCCTATCGTCAGGCTCCAAACAATATCCTAATGAATTCCAAACCCGAATCCCCCTCCCAATGGAATAGAGTATACCCCCGTAGCCCGACCAGTAATGTGTCCATAGACTTGTATGTAATATACTCCTGGGTTGGTTCCATGGAACTCTATATAATATTGGAAAGCAAGAAGGCACTTCAATATCCTACCCCACGGAGATAGTCCCCTAGGTAACGCCTCAATAACCATTGTAGCCTTCCCATATTGCACCCCTGAAGGATAATGCGCAACGATGATTGTCTGTTTTGTTTTGACAGTACAAACACCCTCTCCCGTTCCCTAAAATCATGTCTTTTTAATAAATCATAACATAGGGGTGCAGTTCTTAGATTTTACCTGGTTCTTGCCATAAATGCTCCGATCATCTACTTTGATCGCCAGATACTTCATCCCGCCGATGTGGAGGCCACCAGAAAACAGATGGCCTCCACCGTTATCAAAGCCCTTTATAAGGCTTTGTTATAAGGCTTTGAAGGTCCTCATTCTGGACCTTTAGTTAAATATGAACATGTTAGCCATAGACCCACTGAGAACATATAACGAGTAGCGCCCTACAGTAAAACCGTGGCTAGCCGCCCAAACAGGCGAACCTTAAGCGATACGCAGAGCCGCCACCCGAGTTGAGGCTGATGGTCTGGAAGTTTATGGTTCCAGCGCGGATAGTCGAGGTTCTGGAACCCTGTCACCCAGACATACGACCCGAGGAAGACCTTAGGGAGCCTGGCTTGCTATGGGATGGGTTTATGTCGCTCAATTCATGCATTGTTTCGCTTTGCACCATTCTCATTCGGGCTACCAACGAGCAAGCTCGTGCGCTGGACTTCTTTGGCGGTGGCGAAGAGCCAGCGATGTTGGTCAATCCTTTTGACGATTCATTGATCAACAGATATAAAGCACTCTGGATGGACACGAACCCCACCGAGTACACAGGCCCGTCTGCGACATCTTTCTTTGAATCGGTTGGCACCGAACCATTCAACCTCCGTACAGACAGATGGTTCTCGGATATCGCAATCAAATGCCTCGAGTATAGATATTTCGAGCATAACTTCATAGTCGTACCCTCTGGACTGTATGATGTGCTCAGAACACTCTCTTACCGCTCATACTTCAGACGCTTCCCCGAGGCTCAAGCGTTTCTCCAGGTGTTCCCGGACATAGATCTGAGGATAATGTTTCGACTCAGCCCTAGCAGGTGGGCAGAAACTGAGATTTCTGATCACATCATACAGTCCAGAGGGTACGACTGCGAAGTTATGTTCGAGGTATCTATACTCGAGGCATTTGATTGCGATATCCGAGAGCTATCTGTCGGTACGGAGGTTGAATGGTTCGGTGCCAACCGATTCAAAGAAACATGTCGCAGATCGGTCTGTGTCCTCGGTGGGGTTCGTGTGCATCCAGAGTGCTTTATATCTGTCGATCCATGAATCGTCGAAAGGATCGACCAACATCGCTGGCTCTTCGCCACCGCCAGAAAAGCCAAGCGCACGGGCTTGCTCGTTGGTGGCCCGAATGAGAATGGTGCAAAGCAAAATGATGCATGAATTGAGCGACAAAAACCTATCCCATAGCAAGCCAGGCTCTTTAAGGTCTTCCTCGGGTCGTATGTCTGGGTGACAGGGTTCCGCAACTTCGACTATCCGCGCTGGAACCGCGAACTCCCAGATCATCAGCTTCAACAATCAACTCGGGTGGCAGCTCTGCATATCGCTTCAGGTCCGCCATGATGATTTAATGCTAATATATCAGCCGTGTCAGTGTTATGGGCGTAGTAAAAGACCCCCAAGTGGCCTATTCGGACCACTTACATGAATAAAAAACTCCGACGGATTGAGTCAAATGCGTAGATGGGCCTTGAAGTCCCAAGGTAATAATCAGGCCGGCGCAATATCGATGAGAATCAGTAGTATGTATTTGACGGGATATTGTGCGTGGAGGTACGCGATGGGATGCGTGGGTAAGAGGTGAAGCGAAAGTTGACTGAGATGATCACAGAACCATCACGTGAGAAAAGTGCGCAAAGGCGTATCTCCACGCACACTATCATATCAAATACATACTACCGATCCGCATCCTTGCTATTGCGCCGGCCTGGTAAATGGGGCTTTAGGATGAGAATCGGTAGTATGTATTTAATAGAATAGTGTGCGTGGAGATACGCAATTTGATGGGTAAGAGGTGACTGAGATGATCACAAAAGTAAGAAGTGAGAAAAGTGTGTTGTTGACAAAGGAGCCTCTTGGGCAGAAAAGAACGTGTTCGTAAGAAAAGTTCGTGTGAGTACGTATTGTTTCGAAAATAGCATGTGATGAAAGGACGTGCAAATTAGGAATCTGTAGTAGAAAGAGAGCCTGGACTACCCACAACCTAGGCAAGGACAACTGACGCGGGGCAACAGCAATATGTCATATGACAGCTAGCAACGGCAACAGCCTTTTTCCCTTGGATTATGTACCGACTACCATAACATATGAACAGGCGTCTGGAACTCGGCACCCACACCAGGGTAATGGAGAGTGTATGTGCTCGCTAGCCTCTCCCTCTTATGAATAAACTGCTCTCCATGTATAGGATTTTTCGCAACTGGCACACGAAGGGCACTTTCCCAACCTCGTGCTGTCGAGGGGGTAATTCGGGAGGTAAAAACCTTGCAACCGAGGGAGTGGAATCAAAGTTATCAACCAAATCAGACAGGAGAAGAGAAGAATGGAGGAGGAGATCAGGTGAGGTGCATCAAGATAAGCATAATAGACAGTTGCGCTACGGATCATTGCTCCGACCCACAGGCTTTTGGTCAATCCGGCTTAGTACCGAAGTAGATCTTTCTGCGCGGACAGAGTGGCTTCGCCCATAACTATCTCAATGAAAATCTTGTAGCAAAAAATGGGAATCGAAATAACGACCAAAGCAGGCAGGAGAAAGGAATAGAAGAAGAGATGAGGAGAAAGGGGAGAGGAGAAGGGGAGAGGAGAAGGGAGATGGAGAGAAGAAGAAGAAGAAAAGTTGAAGAACCGAGAGAATATTGGGACAATTCGTAGGGATACCTAGACTTGCCAGTTGGCGCGAAGCTCGCGGTGTCGTGATCATGTGTCGCGTGAACTGTCGTGCCCTCTATCCTCTCACTTTATCTTCCCCTTTCTCAATCGATTCCCCCATCAACCTTCATCCCCCCGACAATAATATACCGGCCACAACGAGGTTCTTGATCAATCTCATGTGCGGAATCGGTTGATGAGGCGCCGCATGACGTCCGAGTAGAGAATCAAGGGCCCCAAGCGAGTCCTTCCCTCGGCTGCCTCGCTGCCTCGTGGGGACTCGACCCCTCGTCTCTCTTGGTAAGGATCCCCCCATCTCCCTTGATCTCTTTTCATTCCTTTTCAAATGCATCGCCCCGAGTCTGCGGGCCATCTCCACGACGAAAGCTGATACTGATGACTGCAGATGACGCGGACACTAAGGGGTCATCGCTTCCTTCGGACGATCCACGAGTGACGGAGCTCCTGCCTTCGGGGTCCAACATCTTGCCCATGCGCACCGTCGGTTCAGGGTCGCATCGATGGCGTGGCCATCATCTCGAGCAGCCCTCCAATCGGGACTCGCAACAAACCACCATTTGGGCTAGGTGGGAAAGACCTCAAGGATTGGAACAAGACTCTGTGAAGTAAGTAACAACGGGCAATCGTCCGACAAAGACCCAACTCCATCTGTGGGATCTCCATACTTACTCCTTCTTCCCGATAGTATGAAGCCTGCACATAAGCACCCTTCCGCAATAGCATCAACGTAATGCTGCTATGAATACGGCAAGGACATACACTCCGACGGGGTGGTGAGTACCCTATCCTCGTCTGAACCAGAAGGAAGTGCCCCGAGCTGATCAGTCACTTGTATTGCTCCCAGGATAGTCTTCCCTAGGCTTTTCTCGCACTGATAGCCCTTGGGAGAGCAGCATTAGTGTGGGGATCCAGTTCTGTATCCCAACGTGGGTCATCACACTGCACATTACAAGAGACTCCTTGGGATGCTGGTCACCGGCTTGGAGACACTCTCCGTCGCGTTTCCAATGCGTCAAATAGCTGGTTGATGTTTCTCTCCTCGGCTGGGGACGTATTAATCTTGTCGCTTTCCCCGCCATCATACGTGCCTGCGCACCTGCGGTCCCTGTCCGGAAGTCGCCATCTAGATGTGCTTTTTGAGTACCTCCTTCACCACATCCCGAATCCCGATGAGGCGTGCCTCAAGCGACTGGCGGTATACGTGCCCTTGACCTGAGACCGTTCAGTCAGGAAATCCAAACGCTCACACGATCATCCTGCCTGACAGCGTGGCCAACCCCGACGCCAAGACCACCGCATTCGAAGATCTTGACTTCGACGCCGAAGACGACACCGCCTTGCAACAGGCTGCTTCGCAATATCACGCGGAGGACTATGGCCAATTGGTCATTGATTACGCGCCGGTATACACGTCTGGTCGTCACACGCATTCTTCCACACCATGTGGTGATTGACGAATACCCATATTCCGGGGAAGGAAAAGAGGCATCCCTGCCCTCATTGCAAGCGCGTTCTAAATGGGTGCTTTCTGGAACGCCTGGTCTTGATGAATTTGCTGATATCAAGAGTATTGCACTTTACGTCGGTCTCAAGCTTGGCGCGCATAACGGTCCAGGAATCTTTGGGCAAGCTCCCTGCGATTCCTGTACAATGCATCGCTGCGAGGGCCTGGTAAGACTGGAATGCTTCGGCTTTGGTGTACTTTTTCGCATGTCTCGCAGTCTAGGGTTCTTTGTCCTCATCTCACAATCCCCATCGTCGTCAATACCGGAATATGGTCGAGACCAAGGGCATTGAGTGCCATCAGGCAACCCACCTTCAGGATCCAAGTCCACGATGTCCGACGCTGGGCGCTTTTCGCCTGGAGAAGGAGATCGACCATCCTTCGGAGATGGACCCCCTTGAGCGTCGGAGGGCATAGAACTACTCCCCTCTAACATTTGCATCATAGGGTGGGTATCTCGCGGCGAATCGAAATGTAAGTGTGGCCTTTCATCTGTTTTCGGACTGTTCTTGCTTTCTGTATATACTTTGATACCTTCTTCTTCGATTTCCGCTGGTATCAAGCTGAATGACTAACATTGCTCCGGTTATATAGCTGCGAAATTGCTCCGACCGTCCGATCATCTTCCCGGACGACCCGGTCGACCCCAGATGGTATGCGTTCTCGGAGACCCGGATTATTTTCCTCTGCCACTCGTGACGAGAAGGCGTCATGGCCTGAACCATGAGCAGCAACGATAGTGCAGTGCCCCTGGTTCTTGAAATACTCTGGGGTTCCTCTTTGCTTCGTCTGCAACGGCTAGTTGCATCCTCGCTTGGCTATCCGGCTCTGTCGTCATTCTCGTCAAGTGGGGATAACACATGTCCTCCGTGAGATGAGGTGGCGTGTGATCACACACCAAAAGAACCTGAAGCTGGCAAGCTGCAGTTGCTTTGCTTCGAGCAATCCTTTCGTGTTCTCTTGGTGAGACGTACCATCGCACCTTGAGTGTACTGTGTTGCGGAAGTGCAAACTAGGCCTCGACCCACGCCGATCAGGCCGCCGGTGATGGGAGTGGTCGCCAGATCGTTCAAGCGGGAGTTTCGTGATTTCTAGGCGAAGCTATTCGCCTGGTATCCGAGGTAGAAGAAGGAATTAAAAGAATCGGCGAATGCAGTTCTGTCAGGAATGGAGGATTCCATGATTCCATCTGGTGCCTGGCGTTTGTGCTCCACCCTCGTCGGATCAACTCTTCTCCGAGTGATGTCGGCACACAAACCCCAGGGGCCCTGAATCCCTTTTCGTTAGATAGCAAGAATCAGTGTCATTATTATTCTCATTCAGAGTGATCTTCTAGATTGGACAGTCTTTAGTTTCTGTTGTCCTTGGTATCAGTACACAGCCCGGTTTCGCTGTTGTATCCATTCTTTCACAGCCCCCATTTTGGCAGTCATAGTACGTAGCCTAGGTTTATGGTGAAACTAAGCAGTTATTAACTAGTTAACTAGTTACTGATGAGTAACTAACTTAGGTAGTTAGTTAACGTATTCCACTAGCGAGTCGCCGATCCAAGCGAGTCGCCATCTCCAAAACACATAGTAAATGCGATATTATCCTACATTGATATCTCAACAACCATGACTTTGTATTATCTCCTTTTTTCACGATAGCCATTGATAAGACTAATTAGCGTTCTGTATCAATTTCAAAGAGATTAGAAGGCTATATTATGGTGATACCAAAAAATACTGAAAAATACGCTGCCAAAAACGAGATATCTATATAACGCAAGCATGAAGTCTTGGATCTTCCTCAAACTCCCTATAGATGCTAGTTATGACCTAAAAGATGCTATGCTATAGGAGTGAGGCCGTATAGGCCACCGTTGTTGAGTTACTGTGTTGTATTTTATCGATTTTACTATGTGGTTTGGAGATGGCGACTCGCTTGGATCGGCGACTCGCTAGTGGAATACGTTAACGTATTTCACAAGCGAGTGGCCCACCTTCCCCAAAACGCGTCCGTAGATTAGCAACTTAGTTCTTCAACCACCCACCATGCCACCAATTCGCTCCCGCAGCTCTAGAAATTCAACAGAGCAAGAGGGTAGGATCTCATTAGCTCTCAAGGCTATCAAAAATAACGAAATTGCCACTATACGTGAAGTAGCGCGTCACTTCGATGTGCCCAGATCCACTCTGCGCCGCCGCCTTCGCGGCGTCAAAGACCGCGCGACTTCTCGCGCAAATTCACACAAATTGACGGAAACTGAGGAGGAAACGCTTGAGAAATGGATCTTCTCTATGGATTCTCGCGGCGGAGCCCCCCGGCATTCTACAGTCCGAGAAATGGCGGATCTTCTCCTTCAGCACCGCGGAAACACCCCTCCCATTTCGGTCGGCGAAAACTGGGTTACGAATTTCGTGAGACGGCACCCTACCCTTTCCTCCCGATTCTCGAGACGCTATAATTACGAGCGCGCGCAATGTGAAGACCCGAAAGTTATCGGGGAGTGGTTTAATCTTGTGCAAAAAACTGTCCTTGAGTTTGGGATCGACCCCGATGACATTTATAACTTTGACGAGACCGGTTTCGCAATGGGATTGACAGCAACGGCAAAGGTTATTACGAGGAGTGACTACTACGGTCGGCGTTCACTTCTACAGCCCGGGAATCGCGAGTGGGTGACCGCGATCGAGTGTACGAACGCGTCGGGTTGGGCGCTTCCTCCATGTGTGATCTTCAAAGGGAAGAACTATATCGAATCCTGGTTCGATAACCTACGGAAGGGCTGGCGATTGGAGGTTAGTCCTAATGGCTGGACATCGGATGAAATTGGCCTACGCTGGCTTGAAAAGCTCTTCATTCCTTCGACTACATCGCGTACGAAGGGAAGGTATCGACTTTTGATACTCGATGGCCACGGGAGTCATTTAATCCCAAAATTCGACGAAATTTGCGCGGAAAACAATATTATTCCGATCTGTATGCCTCCTCACTCCTCTCATCTTTTACAGCCTCTCGATGTCGGTTGTTTTGCGGCGTTGAAGCGGTCATACGGCCGGTTTGTTGAAACGAAGATGCGGAACGGGACCAACCACGTCGACAAACTCGACTTTCTTGATGTGTACCCTATCGCACGAGATGAAGCTTTCAAATCGGATACTATTAAAAATAGCTTCGCAGCAACTGGTTTGGTTCCCTTTTCACCCGATCGAGTGATCTCAAAGCTCGATGTCCAACTTCGAACTCCGACCCCCCTCCGAGCCGGGGTAGCGAATCAAGCCTGAATTTTACACCAAAAACCCGTTCTACCGAAAAAGAATTACGTCGACAGGCTTCGGCAATCAAAGCTTTACTTCGTTCGGGATCTCGAAGCCCACCGAGCCCATCAGATCGCGCGTTAAAGCAACTTGTGAAGGGTTGCCAGATTGCGATGTATAACGCTGTTTTACTCGCTAAGGAGAATCGGGATTTACGCGCTGAAAACGTGAAGACGAAGCAAAAGCGCAACCGATCTAGGAGGCAGATACCTGCCGAAGAAGGCCTTGCCGTTGAGGAAGCTTCTGAATTACTTTCAAGGCCGGTGGAAGGAAATGAAGCACCTACCCCCGCCTCCGGTTCACCTGAAGCATCGGGTTCACAACCGCCTGTGAAACAACCCCGGGCATGTGGAATATGTAGGAAACCAGGACATAGAAGGGAAACATGTCCAGATAGACCAGTTAGTTAATTTTCTCAATTTAATGGCGTTTTGGTTGAGATATATGCATTTAAATGTAGAGGGTAGGGGAAGGTGGGCCACTCGCTTGCGTGGGCCACTCGCTTGTGAAATACGGTTAGTTAGTGATCTAGTTAGTTATCTAATACGAATGTTATTGCATATTACTAATTTTCTGCCTAGCAATAAAACGCCGATAGTATCAAAGTCAGGCCTGGGCCTATCGTGAATCGTCGCCCGTACCGCATTGAGGCCTTGGAGGAGACAAGGCCCTTTCCAGCGAGGTTGCATCTTCTTAGATCGATCTTTGTCTCATCTGAAATCTAGCTCCAAGACCAGGTCCAGATCTCCCTCCGTAAATTTGTCGCGATGGGCATTTGACTCCATTCATGCGCTCTTTCTCGGGCAATGAGCCATCTTTGCCCTTTGGGGAGTATTAGTGTCCATCCTCATGGCTGAACTACAGTGCGGAGGCGGTACAGGAGAATCTATCCACTTTCTCATCCTCTCTGATATCGTATGGCCCGTATCAATGGATTCGCAGAATCTGCTGGGTCAAGTCTGGAAGATTGATTCTTGAGATAGGCCAGGTAGGCTGCTGAGGGAATTGATGCGCTTATATAGAGCTCGTGTCCGTCCAGAGAGATCAGAAAGGCCCGTCTAGCTGCTAGTAGTTGGTGGTTATGGTCTAAAGTCTACAAGTAGATACTGCCAACTGGACAGAGAATCTTTGTTGATATTTTATTTAGAAAGGTAAGGTACACATGTCCTGTTGACTTTTGTAGGTATATAGTGTTACTGAGTGATTTATCACTCGACTTCCCAAAGCGTTCAGCAGCTATTCCACGCGATCATACTCTAGGACAACTTAAGAGATCATGCAGGACATGTCTCCACGGATGCGCTGGTGGTCGAGGAGATTATGTAAAAGTCAAGGGGGTGCTCAGTTTTAACTAACTAGTACTGAGCAAAAAGTGACAAGGGGTGAGTGCTAGACGGAAAGGGAAATCCATCTCGCGTGGCCTAAAATCCGTGCATGTTGACAGTTGAGTTATCCCTCTGCAGCGCAGAGCCGGTGGACATTCCTAACCAACATTCCAGATTTCTGGGCTACCGCTTCCAGTCCGACAGATCGGACGATCGCGAGACATCAAGTTTGTCCCGAAATTGAGGCGGACACGAGAGGTGTGAAGCTAATTAGACCGATAGCAAACCACAAATAAAAAAAACAACAATACTAAGCCCCGGCTATTGTTCGGAGTCCGGACCAGCGTTGGAGATCGACGGGCCAGCCAATAACGGAGCTCAACCGGGTCTCCCGGTTTTGGGTGTGATCGACGCCAGGTATGGAACTGGGGATTCGCGTGGTGTCTGTTTTTAGTATTCCAGATGCGGAAATACGCGTGGAACTGAGACAAACAAACATAGTTGATCGAATTCAATAAACACCAAGATCTCAGTAGTTCGATATTATCGCTGGATTTTGTCTGCGAGGACGATCGCAGTGTTGCCGAATCCGGCAGTGATAGTCAATTAACGTGGGCCAAGCAGTGCTACCTCACTAATGCAATGCACGTCGGAGCAGGGTGATGAGAGTGTGCCTGTACGGAGTGTAGATAGCAACGCGAAAATCGAGGGGTAAAGGTGTCTAATTAATTCGAGACTTTGGAAGCACATTCGTCCGATGAGTTTAGGTAGGTTACATTCAACTAGGACGGCAAACTTCCTCCGCGAAACTAAACTGGTTGAACCCGGGTCATACAGAGACAGCTACTGGCCGCACACGATGGCTGCTGTCTCGGGTGTCCCTGCGTGGTGTCCACTTATCCGAATCCACAATCCATCCAGATGCCTGCAGCCTTTCCACGAACGCAACCATATTGTTCTTATCGTATTGTTCTCGGGGTAATGACCCAATGTATCCTCTTCTGCCCCCTATTAATCAATTGTAGCCCATTTCCGTAATGCATATATACTCCGTAAGGTCCCCCGGAAAAGGAATCATCAACAGCTCTTCTATATCCGTGTCCTGGGTTGGGCTTTGAGAAACCCCTGAGGCACTGTCAACATGCATCTCTCTCTTATGGTTCGCGGGGCTGCGGTCCTCGCGGCGCTGTCCGGTACAGCTGCAGCAACGGGAATTGGGTCGTCGGTGTTCAAGAGGAATTTGAAGCTTACCGCGGAGCTGGGAATTAACCCGGACACGCTGATTTCGCAGAAGACAACGGTGCATAATGTCGCGACTGAGCAGCTGGACTCAATTGTCAAGGCGGAGTATGCGTTGGTAAGTGGTTTTAGTCTCTGCACTGGGAAGATGTATGCTAACCGTTGGTAGCTCCCAATCGATCACCACAACGTCTCGGTTGGCCACTACCTAAACCGTTATTGGGTATCTGAGGATCATTACAAGGAGGGTGGGCCGGTCTTCGTGTACGATGTTGGAGAGTCGTCGGCTGAATCCTCTGCCCAAGTCCACCTGGGCAATTCGACTTCGTTCTTCTATCAGATGCTCGAGGAGTTCGGTGCAATGGGTATCGTGTGGGAGCACCGGTTCGTATTCTCTCTCTGGCAGGGCCCCGGACCCAATTAACATCAGATAGATACTATGGAGAATCTCTGCCCTTCAACGTCAGCCAGGATACAGAGCCTGAGCGTTTCCAGTACCTCACCACTCAGCAAGCTCTGGCAGATTTGCCATACTTCGCATCCACTTTCGCCCGCGACAACTACACAGATATCGAGCTGACCCCAAATGCTACCCCATGGGTCATGATCGGAGGCTCATACGCTGGAATGCGAGCTGCCTTCACTCGAAACGAGTATCCAGATACTATCTACGCTTCTTGGGCTTCCTCGGCCCCCGTCCAAGCAAAAATCGACATGAGCGTCTATTTCGAGCAGGTGTACGATGGTGTCGTGGCAAACGGGTACTTGAACTGCACCAGGGACATCAAAGCGGCACTGGAGTACATCGACGAGCAGCTATCAAGAAGCGAACAGTCCGCAGCCGCCATCAAGCAGAAGTTCTTTGGCAAGGGCGCCGAGCAAAACAGCAACGGGGATTTCACCGCCGCTCTCGCAGTCATTTACAATTATTTCCAAGGATACGGCCTCGGCGGAGGCCTGGGCAGTCTAGGCTCATTCTGCGAGCACATGGAAACCGACCCGGAGACTAGCGCGCCAGCGCCCCCGCGCGGATTCGCCGCAAGCCGGGGGAAAAAGTATGCGGCAGAGCGCTATGCATCATGGCCAGTCTTCACGCAGATAGTCAACATGTATTTCGAGACAAACTGCAAGAAGCTCGAGCCCAGCGAGCCCCTCTCGTGCGTTCTCTCCCCGCCAGCCTCCGACCCAGACGCGATCAGCTGGACGTGGCAGTACTGCACCGAATGGGGATACTTCCAGACCAACAATTTCGGCCATCATTCGCTGCTGTCCAGGTATCAAACCCTCGGTTATGCGCAAGATTACTGCAACCGTAATTTCCCCGAAGCCGTGAAGAAGGGTATGTTTCCTAAACACCCACAGGTCGATGCGACCAATGCGGAGACCGGCGGGTGGACTATTCGTCCGTCCAATGTGTATTGGAGTGGCGGGCAGTTTGATCCCTGGCGCACTTTGTCCCCGCTCGCAACGGGGAGGTCGGCCCCGCATGGAGTCTCCTTCACCACTGAGATCCCCAAGTGTAATGTGGAGACCGCGGAGGATACGCTATTTGGTCACATTATGCCCAATGCTGAGCATTGCTTTGATTTCCGCACGACGTTTGCGCCCGGGGAGATCTCTCGGGGATATTGGTACAAAGCATTGAAGGAATGGCTTAGTTGCTTTGAGCCTAAGAGCCAATAAAGGCAAGGATCGACATATTGACTTCTTCTGATTTGCTCATTTCGTGTTCTTACGAGCTCTTCTGCCTCTTCCGATCTCCATAGTTTCGCCCTATTCCCCTTTTGTATCTGCTTGCGATCTGCTTTTCTCACATGAAGAACGACCGAGGCCGATGACTTCATTTAATTCTAAGAAAATATATAACTTCGTGATGGCTTCTTTTTTCCCCAACACCAGTTCATTCTTCGAATCTGCGACAAATGATGTTGCTTAATCCGACTGTCACATTAGTTGGTGCGCTGGCTGCGGTCTTCGTGATCCTGCGCTACTTTGTCCAGGCTCATCGCCACCGTCAACAAGCCAAAGCCCTAGGCTGTGAGCCTGCTCGCTCGGGTCCCACTACCTTCTTCGGTATCCCAGCATTTTTACGTCTGGGCAAGGCTGTCCGTGAGAAGGTATGGATCGAGTATCTCACCAATGAATACAAGACGTATGGAAACACCTATCGTCAAACCTTTCTCGGTCGGGATTTGATGACCACGATTGAGCCTGAAAATATCAAAGCCATCCTTGCAACTCAATTCAAGGACTTCTGCCTCGGTACAAGACACGAGCAGTTCGACCCCCTTCTGGGCGATGGCATCTTCACCCTCGACGGCGCAGGGTGGTCGCACGCACGTGGATTATTACGCCCGCAATTCACCAGGGACCAGGTAAATTATATCGCAGAATATATGCTCGAAATCAGACAAATCCAACTGACAAAAATACAGGTGGCTGATTTGACCATGTTGGACGCCCACATCTCCCATCTCATCAACCTGATCCCCAAGGACAGGAGCAGCTTCGACATCCAGCGTCTCTTCTTCCTGTTAACCCTGGACTCAGCAACACACTTCCTCTTCGGAGAATCAGTTGGCTGCATGCTCCCCCATCCGAGACGACTGGCGTCTTGGAGAACTCCGCCGTCGGCAGCGCACAGGGTTTCGCCGACGCCTTTGGGATGGCTCAGGATTACCTCTCTACCCGCTCGCGCTTCCAGGGTCTGTACTGGCTCGTCAACCCAAAGGAATTCCGCGAGGCGAACCGTCGCGTTCACGAAGTCGTCGATTATTATGTGCACCGTGCTTTGGAATCCAAGCGTAACCCGGAGAAGAAGAATGCCGATGGTCGCTATATCTTCCTTGAAGCTCTGGCGGAGGACACCGATGATCCAAAGCTGCTGCGCGATAATATGCTTAACATTCTTCTTGCTGGACGTGATACCACGGCCAGTCTGCTTAGTTCGGTTTTCTTCTACCTTGCGCGCGATACGAAAGCGTGGAATCGGCTGCGTCGGGAGATAGTCGAGGTCTTTGGAGATGCGAAGAATCCGCGGGCGGAAGTGACTCAGACGAAGCTGAAGGATATTCCTTACTTACGACATGTTTTGAACGAAGGTGAGAGGGACAGCCATGTTGTCGTGAACTTTTGTGACTAATGCCGAGATCCAGTCCTTCGTCTGCAACCTCCTGTGCCTTTCAACTTCCGCGTGTCAACCAAGGACACTTCCCTGCCTCTTGGCGGTGGTGCGGACGGCAAATCCCCAGTGTACATTAAGAAGGATACCACGGTTGGCTACAGCGTTTACGCTATGCACCGCCGCACTGATCTTTGGGGTAAAGACGCGGCTTTCTTCCGTCCCGAGCGCTGGGAGGAAAATGCTAAGCATGGTTGGGAATACCTGCCTTTCAATGGCGGGCCACGCATCTGTCTCGGTCGTAAGTATAACTGTCTTCTTCTCCGGTGAACATTGCACCTCACATGGAGTATTGTGCTAATGATGTTGCAGAGCAATATGCCCTCACCGAGGCAAGCTATACTGTTGTTCGCCTGATGCAGCACTTTGATACTCTTGAGAACGCCGACCCGCATCCCCGTAGTGAGCCTATCAAACTGTCGACCCTTACCATGTCGCATGACCTCGGTGTGCCGGTTCGCCTGTACTCATCGGAGCAGATCTAGATTCTTTGACTATTATGATTGAATGTACATGTATATTTTTGAATAACAATCCCCTGTTTTTACAATCATTCGCGGCTTGTAAGTGCATAGCTATCTACAAAGCACAGCATACGTTCTGGGGTCAGTCTTGACCTCGGAAGTGATTTCAATTCATGTCGGTCCTAAAAGGTGACGTATCAGCTGCCGGGCTGTATTCGTGGGAAGTAGCATAAGCCGAGGGCAATCGAAAGTGGCCACTTGGTTTCTGGGCACTGCCGATCTCATATGAGGCTCTGCTCACCGTAAAGCACCAAGGCGCTGACACGTCAGATGTTAGTTTGTTGCATACCCCTCTGTTTTGCCCACCCTGAATCAAAACAATCGGATACTTTCACTTAATACGTACCTATATTGATCCGATATCTGTCCGACAAAGCCCCCGCATCAGATCACAATATCCAGTATGGAATCCGACATCCAAGCAATCGCCAACTGCATCAAAAATGGAAAAGCCACCCGAATCGTCGTGTTGACGGGCGCCGGTATTAGCACTGGCGCTGGGATACCGGACTTCCGATCTCCAGACACAGGCCTGTATGATAAACTCGCTCCTCTCAGGCTGCCACACCCAGAAGCAGTCTTCCACATCAACTACTTTTCCCACACGCCCGAGCCATTTTACGCGATTGCTCGGGCACGGCACCCGGGAAACCTCAAACCAACACTCACCCATGCATTCCTGGCATTGCTGGCGAAGAAGAACCTGCTCCATTTTCTCTTCACTCAGAACATTGACGGACTCGAGCAAGATGCTGGGGTACCCAAGGAAAAACTTCTCTATACTCATGGAAACTGGAAGAGCCAGCACTGCTATAAGTGCAAGTCGCACTATCCCGATGATCTCATGAACAAGGCTATTCGGGCGGGCGAGGTGCCTTATTGTCTTGAGAATGGGTGCGGGGGTGCGATAAAGCCGGATATTGTTTTCTTTGGGCAGCCGTTGCCGGCTGAGTTTGAAGAAAAGGAGAAAGAGGTTCTCGAGGCGGACTTGATGCTTGTCATGGGGACTAGCTTGAGGGTGGCACCTTGCTCTAGACTCCCGCGTCTGGTAAACCGGGGTGTCCCTCGGGTTCTGATCAACAATGAAAGGGCAGGCGATCTTGGTAACCGAGATGAGGATGTGTGCCTCTTGGGAACTTGCGATGATGTTGTTCGTCGACTGGCTGGTGCTGTTGGATGGGCGGATGAGTTGGAGGATCTCTGGCAAGAATCGATCGCTGCCAAAGATGGTACGGACATATTTGGGGATGGCCCGAGTTTGGACGAGTGCATTGAGAAACTCGCCGGTAGCATGAAGGAGAAACTGAAGGTGTCAAACGGGCATAAACGGATGTTGGAGCAACATCTGAACGACAAATTTGGACAGATGATGGCGAACAGACCTGCGTGTCCCTAGCTCCTTGCAAATTATGTCCTGTGTATGTGTCCATTGTTAGCAACTGCCGGGCATGTTGTTGCTTTTGCCTATTTAGCTTCCGCGTAACCCTGGAACAGAGTTATGCTTATACCTACTTCGGTATCTCTAAATGATGCCATCATGATGTGACTGGTTCGTCTGGAATTGATTCAATCACAACATACTTATGCCTCTTGACATATCTCCTAACTCTATCTATTGTTTTATTGAATGTCCTCTACATTAGCTCACCATGTCGGAAGATTATCTGAAGAACCCTCTCCCCATGATCCGCCGCTTCATCACCACCCACAATACCGACGGCGAAGCAATCTTCATCTCCCACGCTCAAGTCCCCGACTACCTCCCCTCAACGCCAACGGGAGCAGATGGCGAAATCGCCCTGCTATACGCTACGACCAGTATTCCAACCCCGGTTGACGCCGAGGCCGACGTCGCCATGTACGACGAGTTCCTGCATCAACCCCCCGGGATCACAGTTGAAGGGGGAACTGCTTTCCGCCTGATTGATCTCCGTCCTGGCAAGGCAACACCAATGCACCGAACTGTGAGCATCGATTACGGAGTGATAATCGATGGGGAGGTTGATCTTGTGCTAGACTCGGGTGCAAGTCGGCGGATGCATCGTGGCGATGTCAGTGTGCAGAGGGGGACTGCACACTCGTTCCGCAACCGAAGTAATACAGAGTGGTGTCGCATGATGTTCGTGTTTTTGCCAATGGAGAAAATCAAAATCAATGGGAAGAATCTGGAGGCGGAGGTATATGACCAGGGATTCGACAACCCGAGGACTGAGGAGGGCAATCTGGAGAATGTGTTGGAAGAAAGCTAAATAGACGGAATGATCATCATCGGCTTCATGATAGGTATTCAAGGTTTCTATATGTTCACATGTATCGGCCCTATGCGATCAAGAGAATGAGTCTATTCGACAGTTGACAGTTGTACTTCGGAAAGTCGGAATATTCCGAGGCTTTGGGGGTGGAATTGGAATTCCGCCGGATCAGTTCCGATCTCCCCGCGCCCTTCGCTCGACATCTCGGATTTTTTATCCCACGTTTCGCTGTGGCCTCAATTCTGCAGATCTCACTAGTATTTATTACTTATCCTATCCTTTATCTCTATCATATTCTATTGTGCCACCAATTGCGGTATATTGGCTCTCTAGCCAAAGTACCCCGCGTTGCAGATCTTCAGCCCGCAGCATGGATCGCGATCAGTTCAAGACTGCCGCGCACTCGGCCATTGACGATAGTATGAGCTGATCCTTCTTTATTCCATATGCAATTTCCATCGGCCTCAATCTAACCAAACTTTTATGTAGTCATCAATTACTTTGACAGTGTCCCCGAACGCCGAGTCCTGCCCGCGGTCGAGCCTGGGTACCTCCGCCCTCTCATCCCAGAGGACCCTCCCGATGAGCCTGAGACCTGGAATCAGATCCAGGAAGATGTTGACACTAAGATCAAGCCCGGCGTGACTCATTGGCAGTCTCCTAACTTCATGGCATACTTCCCCGCCTGCGTCACATATCCCAGTCTTCTGGGCGAGATGTATTCCGCCGCATTCACTGCTCCTGCATTCAACTGGCTATGTTCACCAGCATGCACGGAAATGGAGACCATCGTGATGGACTGGGTCGCGAAAGCTCTCGCATTGCCCGAGTGTTTTCTAAGCACGTCCAAGAACCACGGCGGCGGCGTAATTCAGAATAGTGCGAGCGATGCAATTGCGACTATCATTGTTGCCGCACGTGAGAGGCGAGTACGTGAGGTAGTTCTTGCCGAAGGTCTAAAGGAGGGTACCCCAGAGTACGAGGACCGAAGGTTCGAGGTCCAGGGCAAAATGGTTGCCATTGCTAGTGACCAAACCCACAGCAGTGGTGCTAAGGGTGCGTTGATTGCGGGTACCCGGTTCCGCAGTGTGACTGCGCGGCTGGAAGACAATATGGAAATGACTGGTCCTCGTCTTCGCGAGGTTCTTGAGAAGTGTGACAAGGACGGACTTATTCCGTACCACCTTACCATGACCCTTGGCACGACGAACACCTGCAGTGTGGACCGATTTGCAGAGATCAAGGCTGTCCTACAAGAAAAGCCCGCGTGGCAGCGCATCTGGGTGCATGTTGATGCTGCATACGCTGGTGCCGCCCTCGTTGCAGACGAGTGGCAGTATATCACGAAGAACTTTGCAGAGGGTGTTGACAGCTTCAATATGAACATGCATAAGTGGTTGCTAGTCAACTTCGATGCCAGGTAAGTCTCGGTCGATGTATAGGAACGGATCGACGTGGTCATATTTTTGCTAACAATCCCAAGCGTTCTCTTCGTCCGGAATCGATTGGATCTGACCAATGCCATGGATATTACACCTACATACTTGCGCAACCCATATTCAGATATGGGAACTGTGATTGACTACCGTAACTGGTCTATTTCCCTCGGCCGCAGATTCCGCGCCCTGAAAATCTGGTTTGTGATGCGGAGCTATGGTCTCAACGGTCTGAAAGCGCACATTCGCAAGGGTGTCGAGCTTGGAGATCTTTTCGCGGGATTGGTGCGCGGCCGATCTGATCTCTTTGAGATTGTGACGAAGCCAAGCTTTGGCTTGACAGTATTCCGTGTCAAGAACCCCCAGAAAGTCTCTAGCGAATCCACTGGAACATCTGATCGTGTGGCTAAAGATGAAGTCGCTGATAGTCTGAGCAAAAAGGTCTCTGAGTTGGTCAATGCGCGGGGCGAGATCTTCATCACTGCTACGGTCGTTGATGGTGTACAAGTCATCCGCGTGGTGAGTGCCAACGCTCTGGCCGAAGAGAAGTATGTCCGCAATGCCTTTGAGATTATTGTCCGGACAACGGAGGAGGTTCTACGGGAGCACAAATAGATAGGTTATAGCTATGATGTGGATTCGTGGTGCGGCGAATACTTTCGCTTGATCTGCCTTGTACATATCTCAGGAGGAATATAGACGTTCAATGACATAGATCTACCACGCCCCTGGTCGATTCTATCCCAGGCCTTTCCTGCTCCCCGCACTAACGTCGGGATACAATTCTTGCACCAACCCGGAGCCGTGGTGCAGATTTACCCCCACACGGGGCAGTTCCATCATCGGTCGATAGGCTGATGAACTTGGTTTCTGGATTCGAACTACGGAGTCCTAGTAGCATGATTCCAATCGGGATAAATACATCCTGGTCACTGGCGCCACAGGATTCAAGCCCTGGAGGGCTGAGCCCCTTTTCCACTCGTAATTCCAGACGATCGTATGGGTCACTGGTCCGACCGTCGATGTTAATCTCTGCGGTGATCATCCATTGCGTTCAAAGCCCGTTAGAACAGACCCTCGACTACGGAGTAGCTCAACAGTTTCTTCCCTCCACACAACCCTTCCCACTAGTACTGCTTATTGTTCACCTTGGTGGAGATCCATTGTCTGGATTGTGGGTATTTTCCAAGTTGGGGGTAGGGCGTCATGGGTGAAGCCGTTCTGAAACCGAGTGATGGCGGCTGTATCCACGAAATACCGCGTACGTATGTACTAGGTTTATGTATCTACTAGCCAGAAATTTCTTTGCTTCTCAATTCCATTCAACCATTCAATCTACGGAGTATATACTCCCGTAATTGTAAAAAGACTAAATGGGCCGACAATGGACCTGTACGCACATGTTCAAATCAGTATTCATTGGAGTCATGATCCTCCTTACAAATATTCAGTTGTATCAAAGTTTGTATCGGTCATGTGGCCGTTCAAAATCGGGCTCCAATGCATCCCTCATCACACCAACTCCAAGGTGGATTTTAAGGGGATAACGTTCCTCAAAGGGATTTCCTCCTTCACCGTAGATGAAATCCTCTACCTCCTTTTCAACCCATATACCGTGTCCATATGTAGGGCTCAGCGTGATTGGCACGCCGATGGTAATTTTGGGTCTTGATCCCGCATCCCGGTCTCCCCACAGCGTGCTCTCCGATACCATTCGCCTGATTTCTTCCAGCATGCTATACCAGTCCCCATCGAGGAAGTGCAGCATACCAAGTTCAATGGAGCGAACGGATTTTGGTAGCGTCTTGAGGAAAGAGACACAATCTTTCTGTGAGATAACGAAGCCGGAGAGTTCGAAATGGCGCAGTTTCGACCATTGTTCCACAGGCACAATGCTCTGTAATGGGACCAGTGGATATGCGTCGTCATAGCCGAAGTTTTCATCATATGGGGCATGCAGCCTGAACTCTTCCATGTCTTTTGCTTCACCAAGTGCCCGGCACAGACGACCATTACGCAGTGATCGCGAGCATACTTCGAACTCTTCCTCAATTTCACCACTGACAAGCAAGGAAATATCCAGACGGCGGAAGCCCGGATTCTTAAGCACGTTAGCGAAATGATTGTACTCTTCGCAGGGCTCGTCGAAGATTGTACAGTTGATTCCCGTAGGGACAGAGTTGGCGGTCATCACCAGCTCAAAAACAAAGTTGGGTTCGGTGGCGAGGACACGCATTGCCGTGCGGAACCCGCGGTACCGATCTCTAAGTTCTGGGTATTGATTCCATGAATATGAAAGAGCGGGATCCGTAATGGCTCTAGGGTACGGCCAACCACGAGGAATGGGGTAGTTAAACCCTTTCGGGAAAGCACGAATCATAGGGGTCTCGTAAAGCGGGGTGATGAGGTTGCCGTGAGCTGCAGGTGTGATGGTAACTCTCTTGAGGGCAGGAAACTGCTTAACGCCGAACGCGAACGCTTCCAGGTCACTCTGACTGGCAAGAACATCCTTCTGTTGACGCAGCAACTGCTGATAATGTTGCCAGCGCTCCCCCATTAAAGGCTGAGCGAGAACCTGTTCTTTGCGCGCGGTATGGTCGGGCCTGTCCACATCACGATCTCCCCGGCGTTTTAGAACGTGAAGTGTTTCTTCACAAGCGTTTTTGAACCATCTGGGACACCTATCTCCCTCTTCATACTCATGGCTCTCAATGATGTCCTCTATGTATTCCGGGTGGTATAATAAGTAATCTGCAGCCCATTCTCTGTTATTATCGGGTTCATCCTCGTCCGAGAGCAATTCATGTCCCCCATTAGTTTCAGCTGATCGTGCTGGACCCCGATGCAAGAGCGCCTCATCCCAGATAATCTCGTTGACCTTATGGCGGAACTTGTCGTGTGAAGCAATGTTGTGGAAGACCTCTATGTTGAGGGGGTTGGCGGATAAGAAAACACGATTGAGTCGAAGAGACACCGTATTGTTGAATTGCTTGCATGTCAGACGCAAAGATTTTATGTCGGCATTGGGTAGATGTGACACAATGCAGCTCCAGAGCTCCAAGGGGAGCGCGGGGGAACTGGTATCAGCCATAATGTGATATTGTAGAGTTGAACTTGAGAGTTCCAACGTGATAAAGTGCGTTTTATTGCTGAGCGTTAGCGAAGCACCCAAATCATACCAAGACGATATCTACGGTGGGGTCCTGTTCCACTACTCGGCCAAAAAAATTTCGACATTAGATGGCCAGTTATTGTGAAAAAAGGTCGTTGTCTCGTCGATTTGAGGGTGAAAAATAATAAAAACGGCTTACACAACCAGAACCAGGAAAATTTCACGCCCGAATTGGTAGCGAAAGATTGGTACGCCCCGTAAGAACTCGGCGGTTACTACTCCCGTTGTTGTGCCGGTCGGGATGTAGACGAAGACACTAAACACCTCACCTTTTTCCCTCCTAAACAACCACAAGTTCACTTCCTAGCGTATAATCAAAGAGAAAAGATACCAGGGATCAGGGTTCAGGCTCACATTCACATTCTAGCCTAGGCTATACCTATATATACAAAAAGAAAGAAAAAAAAAGATACAATACAATACATACACCACAGGCACAACATGCATAACAACAACCGGATCCGATCCTATTGCGCTCGACCCTTTCTCTCCCCGCGCAGTCGCTTGCAGAGTTGGTCAAGCGAGCAGCGCAGCTGCTGCTGTCGCAGGTTAACCTGCAACATGGCGGCGTGCTCGCTAATCCGCTTCGCGGACGCTATTCGCTTGATTTCTCGAATAGCTTCGTGTCGCAGCGAGTACCACTGCAGCTCACTCGGCCTACCCGCCCTCCACTGTGAGCTCCAATCCCGATCTAGGGCCTCAATCGACGGGCCCCCTTGCAGGCCGACTGTCCATTCGCGCCACAACGACTCCACCGTCTTTAATGCGCGGCACATCCGATGTTTGGGCGCCACATCTGGTGGTTGGTTGGTAGGCGAATCGGCGCGCGACGCAGGCTCAACACTAGCCCGGGTGGAAGCGTGGTGACTCGAGATCGCAGTCGGAATTAGCGGCTGCGGCATGGCCTGTTGTGGTTGCGGCGGAGCGTTTAGGTGAACTGTGAGGCTACCTGAAGACGCTGCCTGCCTGGCCGCCATCTCCTTCATCATCTCCGCCATCTCCTTCCCCATCTCCTTCCCCATCTCCTTCCCCATCTCCTTCCCCATCTCCTTCCCCATCTCCTGCGCCATCTGGTCTTGCCTTGACCCCATCTCCTCGATCTTCTTCGCCATCTCCTTCGTCATCTCCCTCTCCATCTTCTTCAACGTCTCCTGCGTCATCGGACCTGCCTGGCTTCCATGGCGGCAAGCTGCTCAGCAAGCTCTGGCATAGCTCGGTAGAGCATGGAGAGCTTATTCGGGCGTTCTTCCGAATCCTTGCCGTGTGCCTCGCCTCCTGTTAGCTTAGTCCTAGGCGAGGTGGCTAGGTAGGTGGGCGCGCCTTCCATAGAAGATAGGAAAGCATAACTATAGGATCCTTAGTACTTACCGTGAACTCCTTCTGCTTCGACTCGTAGGCCAACCGCGTATTCTTCGGCCTCCATGCGCGAATGTCCGCCTTAAAGCTTTGCATGTTGGCGCGTAATTCCTCGTCGTTCGCGCGGTCGATCGTCGCACGGTCGCGATTCGGTGGGCAAATTGAAGGCGGCGAAGGCCCATTGTGATGAAGGGGGCAAGCGGTGTGGCTCTCTTGAGCAATATCCACTTGGTCGTGCAGAAAATTGAGCCAATAAGATGAGGTTTGGTTACATAAGGCGTTGTATTAGCTAAGAAATGGGGTGCCGTTAGCGAAAAGTTGGGGTGTCCTTAGCAATTCCCGCGATGCTCAGTGAGCAAGTCAGAGTACTCAGGTCACGCTCAGTGAGGGGGATCATGCTCCTCAGTGAGCTGTGAGCAAATCAGAGTGCTCAGGTCACGCTCAGTGAGCGAGTTCATCCGGCTTATGTAATGATCAGGCGATGCTCAGTGAGCAAATCAGAGTGCTCAGGTCACGCTCAGTGAGCGGGTTCATCCGGCTTACGTAATGATCAGGCGATGCTCAGTGAGCAAGGGGTGTCCTTAGCAATTCCCGCGATGCTCAGTGAGCAAGTTTAATGATTATGTAATACTCAGGGACGTGCTCAGTTTTACTCAGTGAGCAAAAAGCGGCTAGGGGTGAGCACTAAAGCGGAAATGGAAAGCCATGTCGGGCGGCCTAAAATCTGGTGTATATGTTTGGGATCCGCACTGCCCCTTTCTCACGTATCTGCGGCACTCGCTTCCCTATTCGGGTGCTAGCTCACGTGGCCCCCACTGTCATGTGACCACTGATGCAGCTCAATGTGGGGCTCTGCGAAAGTGAATAGACACCGCCTAGCTATTCTGCCGGTACTGCCGGTCTTGCAATAACCAAGTAACTTTAGATCGGCCAACATTATGGAAGTTCGATAAAAGGCTGGTGCTTCTGATCTATGTTTATATGTAGATACACCCAATTTCCAAGCTGTCAACCAGAGCCAAGTCTCCACAAGCCTCGAACAATTGTTGATCAACCCCCGAGCTAGTATGTCTACGGCAGGCGGTAGGTGTGTAATGTTGAGCCCCACAAAAAGCCCCACTAATACGTTGGATAAGGGGAAGAGATATCGAATTATATCGTGGCCAAGAGACACTAACCTCTAAAAGGCTTAAATCAGAGCGCCACAAGGAAAAGGGGTTGTGCCCGGATCAATTCTCAAGGCAGATAATCCATTTCCGCAACCTCAATCCATATATCACGCTCGTTTTCAGACACTCATTTTCAGATTCAAATGGCCATCTAGCCCTCAACCTCGGGATTTATATAGAGGATTAGTCAACATTCGCTTCAGTTTAAAGAGGGCTTTTTCATGATGACCACAGTCCATGGTTCCAACGACAAGAACCCTGATGACATCAATCCTTTCGCCGGAAGCTCAACCAGCGAAGAACATGCCGCCCTAAACACTTCATTCGACTACGATGACCGGTCTAGTGGTTCATATCCCTGTGAATTGGATGCTAGTCGTGAGTTATACTGCTATCCAGATCTCTCGCTCAGGCTAACGTCAATTCTTATCGCAATGCAGGGCAGGCCGAGCTAGCCCCAACGAATCCAGGCTCCGACGACCTTTTTCACAAAGTGAAAAGCTTCCTTCGACAAGACAAAGAACACATTTCGGATGACGACGACAGTATAGCCAATTGGCCCCACCATCCCGGACCCTGCAAGTCGACCTCCATATTCAAGCGACAGACGAAAAAGATCATCAGCCGCAGCACCATCTTCTCAGGTGCATTCGCCGCATCGGCAGTCATTGTCTCGAACACCTCAAGCCCGGCGCTTGTAATATTTATCTGGAACCTTCTTGCTATTGTGCCATTGTCGATCACGCTTACAGAAGCAACTGAGAGGATCTCCGAAGATTTGGGCGAGACCGCTGGCGCTCTCCTCAACATCACCATTGGAAATCTAGCAGAACTTATTATCTTGTGAGCCGAAACCGTAGATTGTATTTGCCAAGACCAAAATATACTGACTATTCTACAGCGTGTATGTTTTGCACATCGCATCTAAATTAACTGCCGGGTGGCCGAGTCCATGCTAATATTCGATAGCACCGCCTTATTGAAAAACAACATCAAAGTCGTCCAATCATCACTCCTCGGTTCTATCTTGGTGAATCTTTTGCTCGTCCTCGGATCTGCGATTATCGCAGGCTGTATAAACACGAGCGATGTGGCATACAACACCGATCTCACACAGTCCTTTGTGGGACTTCTCAATCTCACAATATCGTGTCTCATGATTCCAGTAAGCCCACGTCTCAATGGCCCTATTATATTCAACGCTAATTTTCAATCCAGACCGCTTTCTATGGCAGTGTAAAAAGCGTCAGCTCTGCTGATCATATGTCACTTTCTTTCAGCAGGGGGGTGTCGATCATCCTCCTCGGCACATATTTCTTATACCTCTACTTCCAGTTCAAGTCACATCCGCACTTATTCCACTCAACGAGGCTGCAAGTGCCACACGCAAACGATCCCCAGCCCTATACAGATCTTGAGTCGCATGCCAACAGTGGAAACGCATCGAGCAGAGACGTCCACCAGCTAGAGATGCAACAAGTACGGTCACGAGCATCGTCAGTCAACGACACAGAGGCAGACCCAGCGTTGCCATTGTTTCACCCCGCGCACCCCGAGGGAAGAAGATCCCTGCACGGACCAGCCGAACCCGCCATCCCAGTATATGGGGGATGCGCCTGCGACCGCTATGCCGTTCGGTCCAACCGAGCGATTTCACTCACCCTCCTCGCCTTGTCAACAACACTCATCGCTGTGTGCGCCGAATACTTCGCCTCAAGCTTCGAAATACTCAACAAGCAAGGCGTCCTTGGCGAATCGTTCGTGGGATTGATTATCATCCCCGTCGCGGGCAATGTTGCGGAGAACGTGACTGCAGTTGTTGTCGCCTCGAAGAAACAGATGGATCTCGCTATCAGTGTGGCTCTCGGATCAGCCATTCAAATCGGCCTCTTGGTTTCACCTGCCATGGTACTCGTCGGTTGGTCTCTTGACAAGCCTATGACTCTGCACTTTGACAAATTCGAGATGGTCACCCTGATCGGAGCTGTCCTTCTAGTCGATTTCATTGTGCTCAAGGGAAAGACCAATTACCTGGAAGGCGCTATCTTGTGCGCCTGCTTTGCCGCTATCTCGTATGTTCATTCCATCAATTTATTAAAGATTGCAGAACTAACATTCTTGATAGTGTCGGAGCATTCTTGTTACCACTCGCTTGAAACTCGTGTCTCCAACGCTCGACGGTGCACGATAGGAAGATATGTGTGAACATAGGCTTGCCGGTTCTTGCCGCTCGTCTGTCTATATAGATCTTGAGGTTAACCTTCGTTGTAAATATTACACCTACATAATGAGACGAAACTGAAATCCACATTCGTTTCAATCCTGTACGATCGGCTCCATGCTGCGGACCGAAGCCATGCGCCAATCTGGAAGTCTATCTGGAAGTCAATCAATCGATCAATGCAAGTTCCATTAGCCTGCAATCGGCAGCGTACATCGTTGATTGGTTTTCCGTGCCCAGATACCTTGCAGTCGGCAATGTCGCCTCACCATATCAGGGAGAAGAAACTGATCCATGAAACGATGGAAAGCAGACTGTATATAAGCCTGAATAAACAAAGCGAATGACAAACCGAGAGCCTCAGTCTGGAAGCACGAAGACATCCTTTATATGCCAACACCTTGCACTTGCGAGGCTCTTATAGAGGTTCGCGCCTTCTTGCGATTTGAATTTCGATATTTACCTATTTCGCAGTAAACGAGGCAAGAGTAAAAGGTTAGAAGCAGCGACGAGACCGATGTCGATGATTTATGTCGGATATGGACCGTCTCAATGCCCGTTACCTGCCTTTTTCTTCCTGCTTCGATACACAGTACGCATTACTCTACACGAGCCTGATTCTATGCAATTGGAACAAATTAAACCGTCGGGAGGAAGCTTGCCAAAAGTGCGTCAACGTTCCCTATTTATTATCTGTACGGAGTACCTGTAGACGTCCAAATTTTGAATATCTCGTATCTGCGCCTAAAACAGTGGACCCAACGAATACTCTTCTCCACTAAGCCATGCATATTTCTTCCGAAAGTTCGTATCGATCTGACTCAGACTGTAGCTTATGCGCGATATTTCAAACAGCTACCTACGGGAGTATATTTAGGACAGACCGCTACTCCACCCCGACCACCAAAATCTACCTCTCAACATATACAGTACCTGTTCTAATCATCTGCAAAAAGAACCAGCCCAAAATGTCTACACCACCTCTAGTTCTGCAACCCGCAACCCTCGAAGATATGCCCGCCATCACAGAACTATTCTACGCCGTCTTCACCGACCCGGGCATGAGACACCTATTCCCCGACACCCCGGGAACACACCAATGGTTCACAGCAACCAACCACACCGACATGCTCACCAAGCCGTACCAAAAGTACCTTAAAGTGATCGATCCGAGCACCGTCGACGCCCAGGGCCGGGCGCGGATAGCCGCATACGCCAAATGGGACCTGGCCATGGCGGACGAACGCGGGCCTCGGTTCCCGCCTTGGCACAGCGACATGCCGCAACACGATTGCGATACGTTCTTTGGGAAGCTGGAGAGTGAGCGTAAGCGCGTGATGGGCGATCGGAAACATTACTGTGAGTGCTTGGCTTGCATCGTGGTCCGCTAACGGCTATTTTGTTATGTGACTTGGATTTGTGTGATTGTGCTTTGTTGACACGCGGGATACTTAGACCTTGATATGCTCGGTACGCATCCCGATTACCGGTGTCGTGGGGCGGGCACTATGCTTGTGCGATGGGGATGTGAACTTGCTGATCGGGAGGGTGTTTTGGCGTATGTTGATGCTAGTAAGGCGGGTTTTCCTTTGTACGTTAAACATGGGTTTGTGGATTATAGTGATCCCCCTGAGTCCGCTGAGGTATCCTCGATGGCACGAGGGCTTGAGAATAGAGGTTAGAGAATAGAACTAGATCTAGTTTCCTCGTCTGATCTCTATCGTTGGAGGAATGGCATGTTGTCTACCAGATCGGGGTATAATTCGAATCGCCTCGACATTGCCAAGACGTATACAAGATTAGCTACAGATGGAACATCGAGCCATTGCCATATGAAAAGCTCCTATCAAACTGTTGGACCTTGGCATTACTTGATATCACAGCTCTGCTGGACTAGAAATCACAATTGACTCCAGACCTCGTGTCAACGGACATACTTCGCGCCCGCCGGCCGAGTCTTGTATCACATCACATTAAAAATAGCTTCAATGATCTTCATACGCCAATTCAAGTCGCCAAGAGGATGAAAGGACCAGTCTTCTCTGAGTCCTCTCTCATCCCAAGACTGGCTAAGTTATTTTCCCCATCGCCAAGCATCTCCACCTCGTCGCTCCCCGCAAATACCCGTGAGCCACCGAGCGAGACGGAGCAATAAGATGTTTACACAGTACAAGACTGCCATCTAATTCTGGACGTCCCGCCATGCCCTCGTACAACACATTTGCACAAGGTCTTGGCTATCACCAAGTCAACGAGCTATCACAGATGATCCCAGCCACATTGCGGCGTTCTAAAAATGGCAGAGATGTGCGTTGCAGGGATGTGGCTGCAGCCTGCAGATGGGCTTTGAAATAGGCACCGCGGCATAATTCCGGTTGCTTTTATGCGTTTACACGTTCACTTGCTCTATGCAACTACAACGTACAAAGTGTACAAAGTACCGAGAATACGTCTATCGGTCCAGTTACAGTCTGTCGCAAGAGGTACATTATCAACATGAGACAACAACACTCTTTGCCTTTTTTCTCGATGCAAGGGTGCTAGACCATCCCCTACGTCATGCAGTCTGGCAACAGTCGAAACAGACGCTAAGTAGCTGTTACAAGGATTGCTCCCGAGGTCGCCAATTACCAAGCAGCTGTGGCCTCGACCGATCTAGCCTGTTTACGCTTATTCAACGCTAAGGCATAACCTTACTAACTTCACTAACGTAAACGACTGTTAGGCTCCATCCGACTACTATTTCAAATACCTAGAGTCTGAGCTAAGATGTCTGATGTCTGTTCGCTGATGTTTCTTTTGTTTTACCAATTTCAATCTGATGCAAGGATGGCCTGATCATGGTTTGCTCGCTGTGGATCTTTCCAGCCGCATGTACACTGTGACTCTGACAGTCTTCGGAGGAAATAGATGCATATCGTTTCCTTTTCCGCCTTTTTCCTTGGCCCGTGGAGACGATATGATCAACAAGTTTAGTCGGGGACCCACTGTGCCTAACCGGGGATTCAATCTCGTCACACTGGTGCCTCTCGGCGATGGAGTTAAGAATAATTGCTGCCTTCTGGTTGGAGAATCTCCCAGCCCGTGCTCGATCGAATTGCCAATAAATAATGCATCGCAAAGCATTCATCGACCTGCTTATTGGTCCTCTCCGCATGTCGCACCGGACGGTTGTATTCCCTGTTCGGGTTCGCTTTCATGCAGGAGTATAAAGTAAACCTGGGGTCTTTTCCGTCCTGCGTTTGACCCGCTGGATCGTCAATTGAGGCTGGAATTTTCCATCGACAGTCGTAGTTGCTAAACTGTCGCGATGCATGCTCTTGCTCTCCTAACGGGCCTCGTTGGCATTGCCAATGCTGCCTGTCCTTATATGACCGGCGAAGCTGGCGGCAATCCTCACATTGAGCGCAGAGGTGATGGAGACGCTGCTGGCGATACCGAGGATTTCCTTTCCCAGTTCTACCTCAAGGACAAAGATGTTTACCTAACCTCCGATGTTGGAGGCCCAATCGAAGACCAGAACAGTCTCAGCGCAGGAGAGCGTGGACCTACTCTCCTTGAGGACTTTATCTTCCGCCAGAAGATTCAACGCTTCGATCATGAACGGGTATGTTATTTTGTTTCTTTACCGTATTTCTCCAAGCTCATGTCTATGTTCCAAGGTACCAGAACGCGCCGTTCACGCTCGAGGCGCCGGAGCCCACGGCACATTCACCTCGTATTCCGACTGGTCCAACATCACAGCCGCTTCTTTCCTTTCCGCCAAGGGCAAACAGACTCCAATGTTCACGCGGTTCTCGACCGTTGCCGGCAGTCGCGGAAGTGCCGATACCGCGCGAGATGTGCACGGCTTCGCGACTCGATTCTATACCGACGAAGGAAACTTCGGTAGGGTCATCCCGTTCCCCAACAGACAAGGGTATAGCTGATTTGATGCAGACATTGTTGGAAACAACATTCCCGTTTTCTTCATTCAGGATGCCATCCTTTTCCCAGATCTGATCCATGCTGTCAAGCCTCGCGGTGATAACGAGATCCCTCAGGCTGCTACCGCGCACGACTCGGCTTGGGACTTCTTCAGCCAGCAGCCTAGCTCCTTGCACACTCTCCTTTGGGCTATGGCTGGCCACGGTCTCCCTCGGTCGTTCCGCCATATGGATGGATTCGGTGTGCACACCTTCCGTCTGGTTACTGATGATGGAAAGACCAAGCTTGTTAAGTTCCACTGGAAGGGATTGCAGGGCAAGGCCAGCTTTGTGTGGGAGGAAGCACAGCAAGTCTCTGGCAAGAATGCCGACTTCATGCGCCAGGATCTTTTCGAGTCTATCGAAGCTGAGCGTTATCCCGAGTGGGAGGTGAGTGGAACCGGCATGTATCCGTCGCCATGCTAGTGCTAATTACTCATTAGCTCGGTGTCCAAATCATGGAGGAAGAAGACCAACTCCGGTTCGGATTCGATCTCTTCGATCCAACCAAAATCGTACCCGAGGAACTCGTGCCCGTCACCAAGCTGGGCAAGATGCAGCTGAACCGAAACCCATTGAACTACTTCGCGGAAACCGAGCAAGCCATGGTATGTCGCCCTCCATCAGAACAGAATCAACGCTAATTTTCGCAGTTCCAACCTGGCCACATCGTCCGCGGTGTCGACTTCACCGAAGACCCTCTGCTGCAGGGCCGTCTCTTCTCCTACCTCGACACCCAACTCAACCGCCACGGCGGTCCTAACTTCGAGCAGCTCCCCATCAACCGGCCGCGCACTCCAATCCACAACAACAACCGCGACGGAGCAGGTACGTCCGACAACATCCCCTTCCTCCCCCAATCCATCCCAACCTCCCTAACCTTTCACCCCCAGGCCAAATGTTCATCCCCCTAAACCCTAACGCCTACACCCCAAACACACAAAACAACGGCTCCCCAAAACAAGCCAACCAAACCGTCGGCAAAGGCTTCTTCACCGCACCAAACCGCCACACAACCGGCCCCCTGCAACGAACCCTCAGCACAAGCTTCTCAGACGTCTGGTCCCAACCCCGCCTCTTCTGGAACTCCCTCGTAGCAGCGGAGAAACAATTCGTCGTCGACGCAATGCGCTTCGAAGCCTCCAACGTGAAGAGCACCGTCGTCCGCGAAAACGTCATTATCCAACTCAACCGCATCAGCAACGAGCTCGCCACACGCGTCGCGAAGGCCATTGGCGTCCAGCCCCCGAAACCCGATGCCAGATTCTACCATTCCAATACGACTGCGCACATTGGCGCGTTTGGGCAGAAGCTGAGCAAGCTCGATGGGTTGAAGGTTGGTGTTCTTGCTTCTGTTCAGAATGAGGGGTCTGTTGCGCAGGGTGCGAAATTGCAGAAGTCTCTCGCTGATGTTGGGGTTGATGTTGTTGTTGTTGCGGAGAGGATGGAGGATGGTGTTGGTCAGACTTATTCGGCGTCTGATGCTGTGCAGTTTGATTTTGTGGTTGTTGCTGATGGGGCTCAGGGGTTGTTTGAGGCGAGGTCTTTGACTGCGAAGCCGGGTAAGGGATCTGGGGCGTCGACTTTGTATCCTGCTGGTCGGCCTTTGGAGATTTTGGTTGATGCTTTCCGGTTTGGGAAGCCTGTTGGTGCGCTTGGGAAGGGAGCTGCGGCTTTGAAGGCTGCGCTGATTGATACTGATCGGAAGGGTGTTTATACTGCGAAGACTGCTGGAGATGCCTTTGCGAAGGATGTTAAGGAGGGATTGAAGACCTTCAAGTTCTTGGATCGGTTTGCTGTTGATGAGTGAGTTGATGAGTGAGTTGATGAGTGATTGGTGATGATTATTTGTATGGATATAGCTTCTGTTGTCAATCATATAATTGAACATGTGTAGGTTTCTCTTCTGGTGATATGATCAATGTTCGCAATTGGCAGTTCATTCGTAGGGTTCTCCTAAGTTATGTTCTATGGCAAAATATACCCCCGTGATGATATAAGACGAAAACCGAAAGAAAAAGTAAAGATTATGTACAGGTACAGGTACAGGTCTCAGTAAATCCACTGACTCGAAATCAAGTTAATGAGCCTCTAGAGCTGCGGCAAGAACTGGCGACGCCGACGCATGGTGGAATCCGATGCAGCCAGATGCACGTCCATCTTTCTCTTGGCAGACTTATTGCCCGAAGATTTGTCCTTGTCTTGTCCGAGAATCGCCCACTCGGCAACAGTGGCGCCAGTTCCGTTCTTGAACTCCACATCAATAGGGTCGAGTGCTTGGTTGCCAACGATAAGCAGAGACGCATATCGTGCCGCCCGTACGGGAGACGACAAGGTCACATTTGTGGTGTTACCCTTAGGGATGGCAATCATGTCGAGGTTTGTGGTCTCAGGATCGTAAGGAATCGATTGAGTCACGTTGGTCAAGCGGTGGACGACGACGTGATCCGAGCTATTGGTGGAAAGCGCCTTGGCGGGATTCTTCAGGGTCTGGTTGTGGAAGATGATCGTGGCGTTGACAGGGGGTGCCTGGGCCCAATCGAAGTAGAAGCCCGATACCAAAGACCCGGCCTCTTCTTCCAAGGAGACTGTCAGGGAGCTGACATCGTCTGCCTTTGAGGGCTGCCATTTAGTCGAGCCTGCACCGTCCACTGCGGAAATAGGGAACTGGCCAGGCTCAAATGCACCCTCAGAGGAAACAGCCCGGCACTGTACAAGGTTCCCTGGCACGGTGTTGTTACTTCCAATCTGTCGGTTAGGGATAACAATGGAGCCCTTGACAGGGAGGTGATGGGTAGTGGCATCGTCGTCTGGGCCAGAATGGATTGTGATCGTTTTGTTGGCGAATCGCATATCCGCAGTATCCAGAGGGGCAACGCCTCTAGCGTGACTGATGGTTGTGTGCGTGTAATTTGACCACGCCGAGATGGGCCATCCACGCCAGAAGAAAGTGCGATACTTCAGGTACGGGATCTGAGGCGGCAAGTTTGGATCCACGTGGAGGATATCATCGGGGACCAGCCTCAGCCCAAGATAACCATAAATGCCAACCTGATTGGCACCGCCGTGACCAGTCAGGAAGGGATATGCCGGGTGTGTGCCACCGTTGATGGTAGCGTTGTCCACCATCTGCTCCGATAGCTGGAAGAATGGCGCGCGAGTGTAAGGCTTGTATGAGTATTGCGCATATGTGTATGCCGAGCAGCCAGAAGGCGACATCTCATTTGCGACGACCGAGAAGATAGCCCAGGTCATGGCAGGGCCATCAGCAGATTGCTTGGCTGCGTACTGGATTCTGTTAGTTTTGGCACATTTTCCAGATGGACGGAATACTCACGTAGTCCAGATCGTTCAGCGAGTTCTCGGGGGTATAGTTGGCAGTATATCCCAGGGGGAAAGTGACCATAACCACATCGGCCTGCTTGACTACGGCACTTCCGTTCATGGTGGTAAACTCAAGAGTCACATCGTTCTCGCGGAGAACCAAGACGTCATCAGCCATTTCATCCCAGGTAGAGTTCTCCTCGAGACCAAATTGCTGACGGAAAGAGTTGGCATGTCGGAGTGTCTCAGCAACGAGGGGCATCGTGAAGCCGCCCGCGTCAACGTTATTAGCATACTCATCCTACTCTATGTTAGTTTTGGGTTCTTGAAAAGGAAGAGGTTCCAGACTCACAGGATCAGTCATGTTAGTCAATGTCCAAGAAGAACCATTCCGAACCAGCAGATCGGCATAGAGAGTAGCGGCGCCATCGTAAACGGGGAAATGATCCTCCTTGAAAACCTTTGTATTACCACTTGCAACCCATTGGTTGACCAAGGAAATTCCAATATCTCCGTTCAGATGATATTGGTAATCCCAGCAAGGGCCAGTGGCTGTGCAGTTACCGAATCGGCCGCTGGTCCAAGGGTAAATTGCAGCCGAGTCACTGAAATGTGTCTTATTTTGAGATCCAGTAAAGGCAGTCTTAACGTTCTCCCGTGCTTGGGCGTGTTGGGCCACACGGTAATTGGTGAACCGCTGAGACGCTTCCGGGTGAGAGGTGACAAGACCAGGCTGCATCCACACATCGGCATCCCAGAAGACTTGGCCAGCGTAAGAATCGGATGTCAATCCACCAACTGAGATACTGTCCTTGTTGACCGGCGCTCCGCCGGCTTCTTTGATTCCATTCTTTCCAACCGTGTTCTGCAGCAAGTAGTAGGTATTGGTAACAGAGTTGATCGCAGAATCGATAATGTGATCATCTTTCGGCAAGGTTCCGTTAGGGAAGGCATAGTGATCGACCGAGTCCTCGGGCATAATGCTAGCCCACTCCATGAGATGAGTCCGAAGAGACTGGACGCGGCCGTTCTTCATAGCAGTGGAAGCAGCCTTCTTGGCCGTCTGTTTCGGATCCTCAAACGCATCGGTAGAGGCCACTCCGACATACTTCGTGATGCGAACCATCTGGCCAGGCTTGAACCTCACACTCACGGCTTGGGCAATGGACGATTCGTTGGCATGCACGTATGGCTTGTTGGAAACAAGCTTGCGCGAGGAAAGATCCACGTTTTCAGACCCAGTGATGTTCGCATAAACATAAGCCGTCACATTGGCAATCCCATCCGGTCGGACTGCGGAGAAAATGGCACCGTCATCTTGGCCAGTTTCAACGAAGTCGGTGCGCACTGCAGAAGCGCCATCGAGGACATTGACAATGCTTGCTGTGGACGTTGTGGACGGGACTATGTCCATCTCCACCACAGCTTGGTTGATGTACAGCTTGTGGGCAAACAGACGGTAGGTGATCTCGTATGATCCTTTGTTGCCCTCAGGTGTCCATTTGTAGGACCAGACCAAGACGCCTGATTTGAAGTCGTATGTAGTCCGGAAATTGGAGATAGTCTTGTTGTCCACTGTCGCATCCAGATAGGTATCGTCGCCCAGATCCAAGATTATTCCGGCCCAGTGTGGAATACCACTGATGGCGCTGTCATATCCGTACTGGGACAGCCAGGGGAAGTTGCTACCGTTCAGGTTCGGCTGTGAGTTAAAGAAGCCACTGACTGTTGCAAAGGTCTGGCGGCGAGAGTAAAGAGGCCAGCCGTTGGTGTCGTCGGGGCTGTCAATCTCGAAGAAAGGACCGACGCCGGCAACATTGATACCGATATAGCCGTTCGCAATAGAACCGCGAGATTCATAGCGACCTTGTTCCAGGGTAGTTGTGCTGAGAAGCCAATTGTCTTCGTCCCAGGTCACGTTTTCGAATGTAGTCTGGTATACATTCTTGCTAAAGTTGGCTGCAGAGCTCGGGCCAGTGTGCACTTTGAGGCTTCTGATGACACGATTGTTGGGAGTGCCACTGACAAGAGTCAGCAACGGCAAGACCGCGCATGCCAAGGACTAAGCAAAAGGGTTAGACGGAGACTGGCAGAAGGCGTGATTTACTCACTTTGAACTGCATATTGCAGTCTCACCACCCTTGTCAACCAGTTCTTATTCTGGCCTAAAGATGAATATCAAGCAAAAAGTGGATAATCCACTTGACTAGTTGTGAATGTCGGGAGAAAGTACGGAGTAAGTGATGGAGGTTCGGTGAGTCTTAAGGAGAGATGAGGAATTTAAGAGCACTTTCCCAACTCAGTTAGAAATTGAAATGCCGATCCAGGCACGTTTTTAGCAATTGAACATTCGCTTCCAGTTTAATGAGCGCATGGCAAATTGTGGGGTATCATGCAACCCCAGCTAACTGGCAGATTGCCCCTTGGTTAAAGGACTGTGTCCACGGTAAAAGGTCCCATCCGTCAGCCAAGACACTGGGCAATGGCGTACGTGGCTGGTCTGTACGATGGGTAACGGGAAAACCGGGATATGGGGCGTTTAATACGATGATATTACATTGCAGGATCGAGTGTCATTGGCTAAGAATCACTGAAAAGACCGAGTGCTTCCGTTCTCGGCTTCATCCACGGCAACAACCTGCCCGGCTTGGAACCGAAACCCACCAGATCGTCATCGAGTACGAGAGAAGCGTCTTGGCGCGGGGCGGTATTGTGGGGATCTGGAGAACGGTTGAATGGGTTCGGGGATAAATTCTCCGTTAATATACTCCATTTGAGCCACTGAGGACTGCAGTGAAGACAGTGGTTTGAGGTTCATGGCTACTCCTTATTGAGGTTGCAATGGAAAGAATCGAAGGAGTGAATAGATGTTGGATAGGTGCAGACAAAGATGTCGATGCCTCAGGTGCCGATTATACCAACATGAGAAGATGAGGATGCTTTAGATTCCACCATGGAATGGCGCTTGATTGGCCCATCGAATATTTGGCCAACGGCACTCGATCTATGTCAGATAGGCTTGAGGCTGGTCATCCTAATAATCATAAGTGGTCCGGATATGAATACACCAAAAGCCGATCAACAAGCCAACGTACAACTCTGATGGTGAGATATTTTCGAGCAATCGAGGTACCAGTCAACTTCATCAACCAGGTTTAGAATGCGTTACGCTTCTGTACATGTAGTTATACATCAAAGTAGAGCGTCGAAAGCTTAGGATAGGGTTGAGCAATGAGCCAGGACATGCCCTGAGCATTACCACAGGCACGCCAACAGCATGATTCGCTGTACATGATCCCACGAGGCATCACACATCGCCCGTCACATCGGATCCCAGCACTGCGAACGCGCATCGTAAGTTACGCTCCGCTTAACATAGTTTGCAAAAGCCTAGACACGCATTGGCCGCCACGACCAGTGGGTAACTGAACTCATTCCTCATCATCGTTTTCATCCTCGGGTTCTTCACCAGCGTCACTAGGCGTAGCATGAGCAGCCTGGCTCTGGCGTGGAGCATTTCTCGGCCTCGCATTTGCAGCGAGCGCTTTCTCGCCCACGAACATATCGCCAGGCCATTCCTTCCCGCACACAGGGCACTCCTCTGCCTGCTGCATACGGAAGAAGTTTCGCATGCAATGGTTGTGAAGTCGACCGTAGCATTCAAGGTCGCTGCAGCGTTGGCCCTAGATTATCGCGGTCAGTTCTGCTTTGTACCAACATCGCATCAATATACACTTACAACAGTGATGATATCTTTGCAAGCAGAACAAAATTTGATCCGGTTCCTGGCGGTACCATCATTGTCCTCGTTATAGGTCGAGACCAGCCAGCCCCGCAACTCCATCAGCGCGCGCGGCATGAGGCTAAGGTATCCTTTTGGGCTCTTCTGCAGCCAGCCCTCTTCCATTAAGTGAATGATCATTGTTTCTGCTTGGGTCATGCGCAATGACTGTACCGATGCAGTCTGTGTCTGTGTTTGTGTTGACCCGTCGCCAATTGATTGCCGTGCACCCGACGGGGCCTTGTGTAGTTGTACCGCTTGCATCTGTGAGAGCGCCATTCCCTCACATCGCCGTGTGTTATTTTGAATAAACATGTAGTCCAGTAGACGCTTGAGGAAGGAGATTTCGTCTGGAGAATAGGTCGTCGCAAGCTGCGTCAGGGGATCACTTGTCGTGTTGACGAGCGCATAAATTCGCGCCGGTGGTGTTGTCGAGGCATCTTGTCCGGCAGGTTGAGTAGCTTGAGGTAATGAACTTCTGATCTCTAGATCGAAAGGTGAAACGGCAGTGTTGGCCGCCGCGACGAACCTGGCGAATTCTTCTTCGGTAACCTCACCGGGATCCACTGTCCGGCCGCCTGTGCAAATCTCCAGCGTCAGTAATCATTGCCTGCTATAATTGGGCAGTAGACAGAGTCACGTACTAGATGCCGTGAATATCGCAGCCAAGATGGGCTGCGCCTCTGCAAATGTCATGGCCGAGCGTGCCATGAACGCCTGAAGAAAGGCGCGGTTGCTATCGTTGTATTCGGACATATTTGCAGAATTAGCTTCTGATCTCGAGGTAGCAGAATTTGGAGACCAGTGGGTTTGAGGTTTCTCTGTGCCACAGTCCACTGAAGAATTGGCTTTGAACGCGATCCGGCGCGTGCGCGTGGCTGTCGATGAAAAGATAAGGAACACCCGATAAGGAACTGGTTGAATTAGCTGATTTCTGAGGCACTCCAGCTCAGCCACAAGTAGTTATGAACTTACGAATGTACCTTAAAGTCTATCAACTGTGCAGGTTAGCAGTCCCTCTCTACAGACTCTACTGCTGACCCTACAATTCAGCGAATCAGCAGGAATTCTCAAAGTCCCCTAGGACTTTCTGCTTATGTTGCGGTCCACCGTGTACATTGGCTATGTACCTATGGACAAAAACACCACCAATGCTCTCCACAACTCCAGCTCGTTGACCTCATCTCTCCCAGTTGCTGGTGGTGTAGAAGGTGAAGGCACTGCTGAAGCTGACTTCATGATTCTCTTGTCGAGAAGGAGTCGTGCCAGCAAGCTCGTTTGAACGGCTTGATATAGCCGGCTAGTGCTACCAATATGTTGTGAAGACCTCCAGAACAGTCGCGAGTTTGGCTTGGAAGAGCGACAAGTTACGGGAATGTTTACAGTAGGCAGACCAGTATATAACTTAGGGCACTTAAGTAACCACTAGGTAGGCGGCATACCGGATCAAGTCTCAAGCCACTACACACAAATTTACGCAATAGATGGTAAGAAATTTTGTTCATTCAGTTAAGCTGTGAGTTAGGTATTGCTCTCGCAAGTCTGATATCATGAAATGCAAATGCCAATCAGGAAAAAGTAAGGACTGAAACCCCATACCTTACACGCGCCGCTGCGCAAAGGAAAGTGATCTCGAACCGTCGCCTGATATCGCCGAACGCCGAAGAACTGAATCAAGATAACAACAAGAATGGAAAGTCGAAAGCCGCAACACACCACTAGTATCTCCGCCGGGTGGGCTCGGGAGTCGGGCTTCGGCTCACGCTGCGCGGATCTCTACCGCGCTCCTTGAGCCACTTCTTGGTGCTGAGCCGGAGCTCACGATCAACGTCAGGCGAGGGATCCTTCCGGTGAATGAAATTGCAGAAGCCTCCTCGTACACACCCTTCACCGCTATTGAGGCGACAACAGGCTTCTCGGAAATCCGTGACAGGTGATAATTCGCAATAAATCGGCCGCGCTGCATACCAGCGGGAATTGAGCTCGTCGCATGCGGCCTGCGCATCTTCTTCGTACTTGAATCGGCCGTAGACATTACCAATAAGATCTATCGCCGCGAAACCAGATATTAGTAGGAGGTTTTGACAATGCACTGTGGACACCACTTACGGTCATTGTTATTGTCGCAAATGACTAACTCTTCGAGTTCACCGAACTTGCACAGCTCACACCAGACATCCTCGTAGAAGGCGTCGAAGTGGTTCTGCATCTGGCTGGGATTCATCTTGTTCTTGGGGTCGTAGGCCGGGTTCTGATACATGTTCGGCATGAGGATAGTCTGCGAGTAGGAAGGCTTGACATGCTTGCGGGAGCAGCGGTCGCCATGTCGGCATGCGCCGATCTTGTAGTAGAAGGAGCAATTGACCTTGTCCTGCTCGGTACCGAAGATGGATGCAAGGTAGTTGGCCATGGTTGATTGCTGTCAAGCTCCGACTTCTGGGTAAATAAGACTCGATTGGGGAGGAGATCAAGTGAGCGCGTCGCGACGGAGCAGAGACAGATGAAAGGAGGGTGAGGTTGCTTCGAAGGCTGGATGGTAGCGGATGCCCGAAGTTTCTGGAGAGCTCAAGTGGCGCGACGTGGATGACTAAAGCCGGGGAGCTGATCGGGCTATCTATAATCCGAGGCCGGGATGTGAGTCGTGACATGCGGAGGTACAATGTCAACGATGTCCAACATGCTTCTTATGTACTTGCGCTTGAGAAAATGATCTCAAGTCTCTAACCACTAATGTCTATCTAGATTCTAGATCGCATAATGTTATCGCTCAACTCAGACATTGTGCACACTCGCCACTCACAGTTTGGAGCTGGGACCTTTGTCCTGAACCGCCAACCCCCTCACATCCACTGACGGCTTTTGCTTCTTAATCATCTCAGAAACAACCTTGCCAGTTCCTAGACTCAGAGAGATCCCCCATGGGCCGTGCCCAGATGCTATGAAAACACCTCCCTTGGGATCCGCTCTCACCCCTCCCAAAGAGTGATCGTCAACTCTGCCTATTGTTGGCACACCAGTGACTCCCACTGGACGGAAGCATAGCCCTTCGCGAATAATTTCCAAGTCATCTGTGTTGACAACCTCATCCGTAGACTCAGTTGCACCCTTGGCCAGATCTCCCATCAAACGAACTGCAACGTCTTTGAGTCTTTGCATCTCCGCAGGATCAAATAGCTGCTTGGTATCCGCAGCAGAAGGTGGAAGTTTCATCGTAGTGCTGTTGAGACCAGCAATGTAGATCTCTCCACCCTCCCTAAGGAAGATCTCAGGACTAAACCCGCATGATGGAGGGTGTGTCGTGAATACAGCATGGCTGCGTCCCTGGTAGACATTTCTCTCGTGCTCCATGGTATACCGAGGGGAGCGGACGACCAGTGAATAACCAGCCAAAGGCGAAAGATCGAATGATACTCGAGAAGCAGGGAACAGGTCTCTGAGAACCTGCGGGGTCCACGATCCGACGCTCAGGACAAGGTTTGTGCATGGGATTATTGTCTCCTGCTTGGAATCCAAAGATACAATTTTGACTCCTGTAATCACGCCATTCCCTTCTTTGATGACAGCGCTGGCCTGGGCTGGTTTATGAAGCTGAACTCCACGGGAGACAGCGCCGTCCATGAGGAATTGGCTTAACCGCAAGGGATCCCTGGATGATATCAGCAAACAATACGCGAAAAGCTCAGTTGATTCACTCACGCTTGGGCCACAGTTCCCTCCTGACTGATTTCCTCCAGGATTCCCTCTTTCTGCTTCGTCAACCACTCGGGAAACGCAACCGGAACGGCGTCTTCAACTCCAGATGCAGTCTCTGCTCTACTGGTCCCCGTTCGCAACCAATCGTCACCGCGAGGACCACCTCGCTTGCGTTGAGCAACTGTATCCAAGTTGAATGCCGTCCCTTTCATGAACCCCCATTTCTTGTCTCCGCCCTGCGCTGCGGCAAGCTCATGATGCAAATCAAAAGACATAGCCCCAAGGGGAGCGAGGGACGGCTCGAACCAATCTCGGGCCAGGAAGCCGGCAGCATATCCAGAGGCTGCCGTGAAGAGCTCCGGAGATTGCTCGACGATGTGAATCTCGCCTTCGGGTTGATTGGCGGATAGGTAATATCCAATTGAGGCTCCAATGATACCTCCTCCAAGAATGACTGTCGACATGCTGGCTAGCGCGGTTGCAAAAACACTCAATGCAGTGCTTCGGAATGAAAGTTGATGGATGGTCACAATCAATTCTTGAGGGATGGGCGCCTCCAGCTTATATTCGTCGGCAATCCGTGATTTTGTTCTCCTGTTTGCACCGGCCCGGTTATGTGTTCAAGTCGTGGGTGGAATAGCGGGGATAAATTCTATGACTTGGCACTTTAAAAAATGATCTACGTTACTGGACCGAGGACCGAGTCCTTTTGCGTGCCCTACGTGTTTGTGTGGCTCAATACAAGTGCACTGTGGAATACTGTATGCGAAAAGCGGACCGCAAGAGTTGACTGAGCGGCCCATAAATTCTTATCCAAAGTGGATCGCTCGGATAGCTTCTCGGGAATCGGCTTGGAACTTCTTAGCTGATGTTCTCTTCGTTTGGTTTTGTGTGGTCCGTGGAGATCTGAATGATTCAAATAGCTTTTCTCGCTTTATAAGGTCAGGTAGTGGCCATATCCTCTGGAAGATTATTCTACAATATAAACCGCTTAACTGTTGCATCCCACTTGTTATTGAAAGGTAGCACAATATGACGTTTGCCCTGAAGGAAATTCGGCCACAACCCCACGAGATTAATCAGCCCCGCACTGAATCACAGCATTCTGTCTTCGTTGCCTATCATTGACATTTGGCGTTGAAGAAGCCTTGTACAGAAATCATATCTAAGAGTAAGTCACACTAATCTTGCTGCTCATGGTTCCCCAACCCTCGCCTCTCTTGCTTCAGTCTAGCCAGGTTGTCCGTCGATATCCTCGGCCCAACCTCGGAAAACAGCAACCATTTCAGTGATATCAGAAAGCTCATACCGCTGACAGCATCGTAGCATTCGTCAAAATGGCAGCCAAAACCTTCATTGTGACAGGAGCCTCGAGAGGTAACTGCGCTCTAGTTAACTATCTTGATACATGCCCATCCATTGACATCACCCTCTAGGTATCGGTCTTGCTGTGTCCAAGTACCTGCTCACGGCACCTCAATCTCACAATGTGATAGTGGTGGCCCGCAGCGTCGAGCCCCTCCAACGGCTTAAGGAGCAATATGGCAAGCAGGTGGAAGTCCTCAATGGCGACCTGGCAGATTTCTCCCTGGCCCAAAAGGCTGTCGACATAGCCATCAAGACCTTCGGTCAGCTCGATGGAATGGTCCTCAACCACGGCGTGCTAGGCCAAGTCGGCAAGGTCTCCGAGGCTGATCCGCAACAGTGGAAAGAAGGCTTCGATATCAATTTTATCAGCTTAGTAGCATTCGTATGTGACATACAACACGAATCAACTTTATCATTCACTACTGACAGTCTCCAGGCCAAAGCGGCTCTCCCGGCTCTCCGTGAGTCCAAGGGGAGAATCATCTTCACTTCCTCTGGGGCTGCAGTCAATGCTTACCGCGGTTGGGCTCTCTATGCTGCCACCAAGGCGGCCATGAATAACTTCGCCATGAGTCTGGGTGCTGAAGAACCTGATGTGACCTCTGTCTCAATCAGACCCGGTATGGTCGACACCGAGATGCAGCGTGCGCTTCGGGAGGACCATGCTACAGCATTGGATGCCGAGATGCACTCCAAGTTCACCGGAGTCCATAAGGATGGCAAGCTGCTCAAGCCTGAGCAGCCCGGTCATGTCATGGCCAAGCTGGTCATCGATGCACCGAAGGAACTCAGCGGTCGTTTCTACTCGTACGTGCTATCCCACCAATCTACGCGAAAATTTACTAATGATTGGCTAGATGGAACGACAAGGATCTTCAAGCTTTCCAGGAATAAGAATATATCATTGATAGCTAGCATAGGTTTGTTCATATCTGTAATCTTTATAGCAAGTCAGCAATGAGCGCTATAAGACAACGAGTGCAAAATTCAAGGTTGTGTTGATTACAAGTCAGTCGAAAGATGAAAAGCAATACATTTTGGAAGCATTAGGCGCAATGCACCTTCATGTTTAGCATGGAATGTAAGAGTATACATCATGTAATTGAAACTGAAAATAGAGCAAATTTCTGCGCGTACCTTTAGATACAGATGTAGATATTCGCTTCCTCCCAGATGTGTACCGTGTGTGCGATGCAAGTAGAAAAGAGCTCCAAGCTACGAAATTGCTTCCCTGTAAATTTCTTCAATAAAGTTAGCAACAGCTTCATAAAGTCGAAGTGAGATGCAATAGGCAGAATTGATAGAGATCAGATAGTCCGTTTGGTAGAGACAGGTAACGTCACCATAAGTTGGTATGATAGGGGCGACACGAAAGTTCATCATGATAGAAAGAAGGTAGGAAGGGGATTGCAATGAGCTTACCATTAGTGTGGCAGCCTCGAAAGGAGTCGATCACATTAGAACGACTCTTTCCAAGGCAGTTGGAGAGTGTTGAAGACTGATGAAGAAAATTCAAAGTAGAAAAGAAATTTCAGACCCATTTATGTGGTTCAGAGCGGTAAGATTTCTGCCAGCAGGAAAATGTACTTAACTCCGTCACGCGCCCGCGATGGCCTACTTTGAGCCCCACGCGAAAGAACCCAGAAATAATCTATAGTCACTCCGCTCTCTTGTCTCTCAGAGTTTGACCACGATTCGAATCTATTCATCAACCACTACATCAAGTGGTTCGCCATGTCTGACCGGGAGTTTAGCTGTAGGTGCCTTCCAGATCTAACCGCCTGCGCGCATCCTGCTGACATACGCGAATAGCAAATGATGATCTGTCGCTGCCCAAAGGTATAGTGCAATACTCTCATTTTCTTGCATTCTTTTTGGTCGCTAGAAGATCTATGGTGCTCGACGCCACTTTAACAGCTATGCACCTATAGCTCCACATGCATGCTTGCTAGTACTTTGCTAACATCTCGCGACAGCCACGGTCCAAAAGATTATTACAGAGATCTTGCCGCCTAGCTCCGGCCAAACCTTCTCAAAGGATGCGCGTGACTTGCTCATGGAATGTTGCGTCGAATTCATCACTTTGATCTCCTCCGAAGCCAATGATATCAGCGAGAAAGAGGCCAAGAAGACAATTGCTTGCGAGCACGTGGAAAAAGCATTGCGGGATCTCGGGTTTGCTGACTACATCCCCGATGTGCTTGCTGTTGCAGAAGAACACAAGCAGCAGTTGAAGGTATGTCGCATTGCTTGGAATTGTGGTCCCGTGAGGCGCATGCTAACTCCCATGTCAACTATAGTCACGAGAGAAGAAGCAGAGCAAGATGGAGCAAAGTGGTCTGACAGAAGAGGAGCTTCTGCGGCAACAGCAGGAGCTGTTCCGATCAGCCACCGACAAATACCATGCCGTTCCTGAATAGACTCGTGCTGGTCATTGAGCAAAAAAAGATGTTGGCGTTTTATGTGTTTTACTGGCTGTATGGGTCTGGAGTTTCCTCCTCTGATGATTACTGATGCTTTTTTACCTTCGCTTCGACAAGGCATTTTCAATGATATACTTAATGACGCGAGAGCGCACCATGCATTAGTGTATTGCATATGATTTGAATGTTCAACAGACATGGTCAAGGTGTTTCCAAGCAGCCTACCAACACATAACGTAGGTCACAGTAAGGTCAATAGATCGGAAACATTATCATGCTCATTAAGCAATGTTGCATTTTAGTAAAGTTCAAGCCTCAGTCTGCCTCACCAACACAAGACCTGAATCTGTGCGTTTAATACGCAATAGCATGTATAATCATGTCCAGGTCGAATTTCAATTGGTAGCATACTGAAGCTCCAAATGGCAAAGCTTGATGGACGTAGTGGTCATGTGACCCTGCTTGGATTGCTTCCTTCTACTTCTTCTTCTTCTTCTTCTTCTTCTTCTTCTTCTTCTTCTCTCTTCTCGGGCCTTTTCTCATTATCTCCTAGATAGTCATCCATTTTATCATCAGTTCACCAGTCGATTATCATCGTCGTTTTCCATCATCCTAGCCGTAGCCTTCATCAAAGCTCCACCCACTACACGTGATACGCGCGATTGTCAAACCACGCTAAGCCACATTGGGCCGATAGTGTAACCAACGGAAATTGAGCCACCGCGCAGCTCCTAGGCGCAGTCAACGCTCGCGCAACCCTCACATATACAAATCAATATGCCTCCTTTCAAGGATGAGCATGTCCTGGTATGATTAGCTCTTACTATTTGTTTGACTCAATATTAACTGTCACATCTAGCTCATTGCGCCGGGTTCGCAAATGACCTTGGCACAGCTCGGCCTGCCCGAAACGTTTACACCTGCGCGATTTCGATTCCCAACGCGCATGTTCCCTGCCGAGAAGAAGGGAGAATATGAGCCCTATCGTGTCCGCGAGAAACGCCGAGAGGTCAAGGTCAGCAATGGCACCGAGGCCCCCAAGCCAGATGTGGAGATGAAGGACGCTGAGCCCGCTGCGGTCGAGGGGGCCCCAGCCGCGGAAGGCCCCGTGAAGCCTGAGGATGGCACCCAAGAGAATGGAAATGAGGAAACGACCAAGACCATCGAAGAGGTGTATTATGAGGAAGACCCAGCATCCGACGAAGGGGCAATCTATCCGATTGAGAACGGGCGCATTGTCGACTGGCCCTGTTTCTTCGCCCTGCTCACCCACATCCACAACACATTGAGCCCGCCCTTCCACACACCAATTATGATCATTGCGGAGCCTGTCTGGTCGGCTCGCGATCGCGAAGCAATCACTCAGTTTGTCTTCGAGAAGTTCAAGGCTCCCGCGTTCAGTCTTATGGACTCCGCTCTTGCCGCTTGCTACGGCTATGGTACAGCTACAGCTACTGTTGTCGATGTTGGAAAGGGAAAGGTCGATGTGACTGCTGTGACTGATTTCACAGTTAATGAGCACGGCAGGGGTGTGGCACTGGAGGGATGTGGTGGAGATGCCATGACCGATCGTCTTGTCGAGCTGCTTGGTAGCAAGGGATTTACGCGCGAGATGTGCGAGCAGCTCAAACGAAGCAACATCGCTGAGATTCTGTCTGCTGGCACTCCGCTGCCCGGTTCCTCCGCTACTGCGCGCCAGGGAGCCAATCCTGCTGCTGCCGCGTCCACGGGAGGAGCAGATGCAAACGAGTCTGCTCCGCGAGGTCCGGGAGATGGCACTCAGACGGGGACAGAGGGCGCCAACGGTGAAGAGGATGAGGGTGTTCTCGATGTGGCTGCGATTGTCAGCGGCAACACCACGGAATACCTTGCCAACATTGAGAAGGAAAAGACAACCACCAAGAAGGGCGCTGCTGACCCCAAGGGAACCCGTCTGCCCAACTCAAAGAAGGAGAAAGCGTCATTCCAGTTTGAAGAGTATGTTCAAATGGATGGAGACAAGACAGAAGCCCAAGGTTCCCCCCAGTATATCCGTCAGAGTCGGGAAATCGAAGTCAGTGTCGAGCGTTTCCTCTTGACTTCGCCGAGCACAAATGTCGGTAACCGCTTGACCGGTGGTATTCTCGAGGACATTGCGACTCAGATCCACCATACCATCCTTGCTGTCCCAGATGCTACCAAGCGAAGTGAGCTTTGGGACTCCTTGATTATCGTTGGTTGTGGAAGCAAAGTAAAAGGTAAGTTCATCGATGAGATTCATATAATGGCTCTTCCGCTAACAGAAATCAGGCTTCACACAAGCTTTGCTCTCCGTCATCACGCAAAAGTTCATTCTTTCCCCGTCCGGCACCATCTTCATGTCTGAAATTCCGTCAAACTTCACCACCCCTGTTCCAACCGGTACCAACACACCGGCTCCTATGGGCCAACCTGGACAGATGTACCACCCCGCAGCACAAGGCGTCAACCCTCTCCTCGTGGCTGCCACACACAACAACCCTGGTATGCCCGGCGGTATGCCCGGCACGCCCTCCATGGACCCCAATATGGCCCTACACTACCGCTCAACCGGCCACTCCCAAACCCCGATCTCGGTCAAAACTCTGAAACCCCCGAGTACTTCCCCGATTTCAAAGACCAGGGCAACAGCAATGCCCCCGGTGCCAGCAGCAGCAGTGCTGCGGGTAACCCCGGTGCATCTGGCGCAGCCCAGGGTGGCCACGGAATGGAAGAGGCCATTTTCCTCGGCGCTCAAATGGCCGCCAAGGTCTTCTTTGTCCTTGATCAGGGGCTCAGTAAGGGATACATGAGCCGGGTCGAGTACAACGAGAGCGGACCGTCTGCAATTCACGAATACGTTCTGTAATACTTGCCAGAGTTGTTGGGTCAATAATCCATGCTACTTTTGTCGGGCTTTTTTTCGTCTATTGGAGTTGATCGCGAACTTTGTCTTGGCGAGGCCTGCTGGTTCTCATATGATCTATTTCTGTTTTACTTTATGCACGCTATGTATGATCCTAGAAAAGCCATCCAGGGATGCAGGCGTAGGATATGGGGAGTTTTGTCTTTGTAGTTTTTCTCAGATAGTCCAATTTATGGGTATTTGGAATTCCTGTATCTCATTACCTGTAATCACTAGGCGCCAGCCGAATGAACGACGGCTAGACGTATGGATGATGGTGCAATATGAGAGGACTTGCAAGAGGAATCCCACATTTGGCTGGACCACTGTGGTCTGTGATACTTCTCCCGTTCTCTCATTGGCCAGAAATTCTAGGTGTGGCGCGTTTTTGCCTTAGGCCACAATCTATCTCTCCACTCAACTGCGCCCCATCTTTTATCTTTCGACACGCCTCTTCTCCGATTCACTCCCCACGTTCCTACTTTACATCAAGTTCGATCTATTTGATTCAAGTCACCTAACCTTCGATCGCTCAACTAGTTCCTCGCGATCTGATTAGCCTATTGCTCCCCACTCCGAGTCCATAACCTCCAACATGCCTCGCGCCGAGGCCGGATCAACCAAAGCGATCGGCAACAGAATAAAAAGCAAAGGCCTTGGCCGATTGCGATGGTACTGTCAGCCATGCGAGAAACAATGTCGGGATGAGAACGGATTCAAATGTCACACCCAAACAGTAAGAATCTCCAAGTACCTCACGCAAGCTAGCACGTCACTAACCTCTTGACTTTCACAGGAAGCCCATGGTACGTAAGCTCTATACTCCTATGTATGCCGACCTCCAACTCACATATACCAGTCCGACAGATGATGCTCATTGGGGAAGACCCGAAGAAACACATCCGAGAATACAGTCGCGAATTCGAGCGCACGTTCATCGAGACCTTGAGAACCACACACGGAACTAAATCTATCAACGTCAATCATTTCTATAATCAAATTGTGGCCGATAAGCAGCACGTTCACATGAACAGCACAGGTACGTCGCGACGAGAGAAGATGCTTGGGAAAAAGCTGGATCTGGAATGGTACTAACGTGTGGCGCAGAATGGAAGAGTTTATCCCAGTTCGCGGCCTATCTAGGCAGGGAAGGAAAATGCCGAGTCGAGGACACCGAGAAGGGTTTATTCATTGCCTGGATTGATAACAGTCCGGACACACTTCGCCGCCGGGAAGCTATCTTGAAGAAAGAGCGCCAGGAGAAAGGAGACGAGGAACGCGAGCAGCGCATGATCCAGGACCAGATTAAGCGGGCTCAGAGTGCGGCGGCGGCCAACGCTGCAGCTGGTGCAGAAGAGGACCCCGAGGCAAAAATGTTACAGAGGAAGGAGGGAGAGAAATTGAAGCTGAATATTGGACTTGGAGCAAAGAAGCCGGATACAAAGTCCGCCTCGCCTCCTACAACAACGGAATCACCCGAGGCAAGTGCACCCACAGAAGACACTGGTGCTCCGGCTCCGTCTGCACCTCCTGCACCGGTCAAGGTTTCGATGTCGATGGGTGCGCAGAAACCGAAGAACGTGTTTGCTGCGGCTAAGAAGAACCCTCTGGCTGCGAAGAAGGCCTCTGTATTCACGCCACCCAAGAAGATGACTGAGCAGGAGAGGATTATGAAGGCTGAGATGGAGGCTATGGAGAGGAAGCGGTCGCGTCCGGACTCTGGGTTTGCAAACAAGAGAGCGAAGGTTACTTAGATGGCTCATCTTACATTATAATGTAAAATAATCGATTTCTGATGCCCGGGTGGACATGATACCCTCAAATGTGCAATTTATCTATCCTAATCAAGATTATATGTCTTTTTGGTGGATGATATAACCCGAGGGAGATAGACCTACATATGCACCAGATTTTAGGCCGCCCGACATGGCTTTCCATTTCCGCTTTAGTGCTCACCCCTAGCCGCTTTTTGCTCACTGAGTAAAACTGAGCACGTCCCTGAGTATTACATAATCATTAAACTTGCTCACTGAGCATCGCCTGATCATTACATAAGCCGGATGAACCCGCTCACTGAGCGTGACCTGAGCACTCTGATTTGCTCACTGAGGAGCCTATCCCGCTCCCTGAGCGTGACCTGAGTACTCTGACTTGCTCACTGAGCATCGCCTGATCATTACATAAGCCGGATAAAGTCGCTCACTGAGCGTCGCCTGAGCAAAGTTGGAGCAGCTAAGTCAGCAGCTCACCTCAATAAAATGCACCAAGCTAGCCCCATCCCAATGCAGTCGTTCACCCAGCACTCTTGACCGTTGTCCCCTTAACGAAAGGCTAGCGTCATCAATGTGGCGGTCGATCCTGGTTATTTCGCCTCTAGCTGGGAGGCATATGCACAGTGGGACCGCATTTGTTGGCATTACTATTCTGCGGCTATGCCACTATTCATTGGCCCGATGTAGCTTGCTCTAAGTATCTATCTATCTATCTATCTATCTATCTATCTAAGCTCTAAGATCCAAGAATATGTTACTTGCGCATCATAGCACTTTCTTGCTCATTCATTGGTTGGCTGTTCTTTCGGACCAATCATTTCGCCCGCTTTTGCTCCTCACTTGGTGCGGCCTGCTTCCTAGGCTTGGCGCCGTCTCCGCCAGTGTCTTTGATTATCAGCTATCATTCTTCTCTATTCGTAAGGTTCTCTTTTGAATAATCTTTGATTATGTCTTCGACTGTTCTCTGCTCTTTCTGTCGTCATTTCGGCGTCCCAATTCCGCCTCACCCTCTCAACCGAATCGGACCTCAATGCGATTATTGCCGGCGATTACCCCGTTCGGATCGCTTTCCTCGGTGTTACTGTTTTGCATGTCGTCGCCGGCTCCCAATACCTACTAACCGTATCGGACGGCTTTCAAGTCAGCGTAGTCGCTGTTCATTCAACTTCATCCTGTCTCCGTCAGAACCTTCGTGGAAGCCTTCTTTCCACCCAACAAAAGCAAGTCTTGATAGCGCATAGGTAGTCATGCGAATCGCCATCTTAATCCTTCTGTTTGTGAACCATCTCCTGTATGTACATCAATATCTCCTGCATTCGGTTCGTCCCAAGTATCGTGGCGTCCGCTCGAGTTAGGGCGAATGGATATCGAGTGTCCGTCTTGCAAAGCCCTCCATTGGATTTCTGAAGTGACAATACCTTCGCGTCCTGCATACCGAACCTTCTGGAGACGTTGTTATTGGGGCGCGGTTAAGCCGCATCCTTTACCTTCTCTACCTACGCAGATGGTCCATTACTTTACGTCGTCTGACGAAGATGCTCTACGGTTTCGCAGAAACATTCAAGCTCTGAATCTTGCCCGTTCCTACACTACAATTCGGTGTACCTTTGATGAGCGCCTACCATCTCATGAACGGCATTGGATATTTCAGATACGTGGTGCTTTGTACCATGTTCTAGGTCCTTTGAGTGGAGCGTCGGCTATGACTGGCCAGCTCGCCAGAGCGGCCCAGGTTTACTTCCTTGGTGACGGGCCTGAACAAGCATCTGAGCTTGCAACAAATGCAAGATTAGACTCGAATCCTCATCTGATGTCATGCCGTGATATACTGGAGAAACTTGATTTGGTTATTCGTGAAAATTTCCCATATCATCATAGGCTCTTCCTTCGAGCATATGAGTATCTCTCACAACATACCACTGTTGATGCCCTTCGCGTGAACCCTCAACTGCGTTTACTACCGAATGTGGAAGGTGGCCGGCAGTACGATTTACCAAGTGTTAATGCCGAGGTAGCTGCTCTGATCATCCCGTCCGAGTTCGGCCAGCGCGGCTACAGAGATATTCAATTATACCTTCGAGAGGCGCCTTCACTTACACGGGCCACCGATCTGATTTCAGTTGATGGTGACAACGCGGATAGTGATATGATCGAGAATCCGGCACAAGTTACGCCAGTCACCCAAGAGATTGATTCGGACGAAGATGATTGGGAAGATGACGTACTTGATCATGATATACGTTGCTTTTTCTTGAGTGCACGATGTCCGAAAGCTAACGGACCTCCTCCACGAAATGAATAGGTCAAAGCGCGTATCTAACGTGGTATCCGATTGACGCTCTACACTGGAAGACTTTTAGCCAGAAGATACTGGTTTTAGTAAGCCTCTTTTGGCTATTCTCCATCTTCGAAACTTGCTGCTGCATACGATATGGATCGAAATTTGTTTCGCCCTTTCTCATAGGAACTATCAACCAAAAATGAGGCCAAAAGTTTAGTTGTTTAGCTAGTAATTTTGTCCACAGAAATTGTCAACTCTGGAAAGTTTATTTTTGTTGAAATAAATCACCATAATTGCCCAAGCAGTGGAGACATGCGAAGATCATACCGCTCAAAATACCGAATAAAGAGAACTATACCATTGCGAAGGCCTGGAGGCCGATTTCATTCCTCGCGACACTGGGCAAGGTGCTGGAATCGGTCATCGCAGAAAGAATCTCACAGGCGGTGGAAACTTATGGCCTGCTTCCGACCAGCCACTTTGGGGCACGTAAGCAACGGTCAGCAGAGCAAGCACTCTTACTCTTGCAAGAGCAAATCTATGCGGCGTGGCGTGGCCGACGGGTCTTGAGCTTGATCAGCTTCGATGTCAAAGGAGCCTACAGTGGGGTCTGTAAGCGCGGGGTATACCGGAGGTTATGCTTCGATGGGTCGAAGCCTTCTGTTCGGAGCGAACGGCGACCATCCAAATCAATGGGCAAGCATCGGAGACCCAAAGTCTCCCACAGGCGGGGCTACCTCAGGAATCACCTCTGTCCCCGACCCTAGTCATCTTCAACGCAGATCTCGTACAGCGACAGGTTGACAGCCAGGGAGGAGCGATTGCCTTTGTGGATGACTTTACCGCCTGGATGACCGGATCGACTGCGCAGACCAACCGGCAAGGTATTGAAAAAATCGTCAATGGAGCACTCGACTGGGAAAGAAGAAGTGGAGCGACTTTTGAAGCAGAGAAAACCGCCATTATACACTTCGCCCCCAAGGCCCACAAATCGGACTCGGGGCCTTTCACCATTAAGGGAGAGGCTGTTGTACCCAGAGACTATGTCAAGATTCTTGGCGTCATAATGGATATGAAACTCAAATACAAAGAACATATCGCGAGGGCGGCGTCTAAAGGCCTAGAAGCAGCGATTGAATTGCGACGGCTTCGTGGTCTATCCCTAGCAACAGCGCGGCAGTTATTCACATCGACGGTGGCCCCGGTGGTGGACTATGCCTCTAATGTCTGGTTGCACGCTCTAATGTCTGGTTGCACGCTTTCAAGAACAAGAATATCGGGCCGATCAGCAGAGTGCAGAGGGTAGGAGCGCAAGCGATTATCGGGACATTCCTCACAGTCGCGACCAGTGTACAGTACTAGTTCCAGACCATCATTTACTTTGAATGGCTACGAACAGTAACTTGCATTTTGATGGCGTTCAAAGATACATATTACGGAATGATAGTATGTAGCGTGAGCTTAGGACAGATCTCAAACATGCCGTTCAAGGCCGCAGAAAGGGAGGTCATTGGAAGGTCGGAGGATGCTCTACTTGGGGAATAGCTATAGACATAGAGCCATAAATACCAGCACAACATCTTCCCTTACTCTTTGAAGAAGTTTCCGGCTGCTGGTTTTCCAAGGCCTCTGTTGCTCACAATTGACGAAACATAGTCCTTTTCATCTTCCTATATAATGGACTCCTCGGTAGGTTTACAAGAGTCCTCTAAAACGCCATCTAACCCGGTGGCCTTCTTCTTGACGCACACCTTACAGGGTCGTCCATGGTCACTCGATCTCCCACATCTTCCGTCGCTGCATTGATCACATGGAGGCAAATCAGTGGTCCCCTGTGGTCGACATGATACGCGCTGGAGAGATTCGCTACACCTATTGCAAGGGATTTTCCCGTCACAGGCCATGATCCTCTCAGCGCACCGGTAGCATTCTTTGTCTTGAGGCACAGGCACAAATCCGAGTTTTTCATGCCTTGCCTGTTTTTCAACTTTTCTTCTCTCCTGTCGATCTGTTGATGTCCTTGCTCCTTCTAAGCTCCAAATTGCACCGCATTTTTGCTTTTTGACATCCCTCGCCTTTGAGTCATTTGGGCTCATGAGGATGCAGTTGCGGTTTGTCTGGAAGCATCGCCTGCACGGCTGCTCCTGGTGTATCCTTCCGATCTGCACGGTTCTCACCAAGTACTAATCGTTTAGCTTCCCTTGACCGTGGTGGCTTTGGTACCCAATTCTTAGCGATTACAATGATGAAGGAGCAGTAGAAGCCTTTCAAATCTTCCCCAACATTCATGGACAGCACGCTATGGACGCCATCTCTGGTAAAAAGCGACCGGAGGAGCCCTTCTCTCTCCTAAATGGGCTACTTATCTCTAAAAAGTTTGTGCGTCATTTTGATGCCGGCAAGTTCGTCATAGAACCTGATATTCCAGATATTGTTCGGGAGAATACGCTAGTGTCCACAGTCAAGCGGTGGCTCCATCACAAGCCGCAGGAGTACCGGGTCAGGATAGTTGACCCAGACTGGGAAGTGAGTGAGGAAGGGATCTCTAGAAGGATCAGTCTCACATTTGGACAGCTTGACGGAAGCAAGCTGGTTTTTCGTTCTAGCTTCCGCCCTGCAGCGAGGTATCTGTACTTCCATTATTATGTGCAGGTGCTACGAATGTGCTGGCAACATAGCAGCCAGGGAAAGTCAAGCCAAGTATCTGCAGTCCAGACATGGAAAGGAAGCCTATTCTGGGGGCGCGTGGGGAGATATCTACCGCGTAATATGATTTTGGTACTCATTAAAGGGATGGGCCGCGAATATCAATTTGTGCTCAAGGAGGCTGCGGGGAGTCGGCCCGATAACGATAATCTTCTTCTGGGACGTTTCGTTAAAAGTTCCACGGTGCGACCATGGAATTTGGTACCTGATGGGTTCCAAAATGTTGTCTCAAAAGACGAGGTTTCGGATGAACTTGGAGGATAGTGATGATGGATAGGCTGTGATGGATAGGTTGTGCTTTCTGTATAATAGTCAGCCCATAGCAACATTAAGATTGTATGAATGTCACTCTACATCTACAAGTAAAGCTGCCGTCGTACCTGATTATGGAGGCCGTACGTCTCTGCCGGGGATAGAAAAGGTCTTCTATGCGGTTTATGCATTTTATCCCATGTTATATTTTCTACAGCCTGCTCCGTGCGATTGATCATTATCCCTTTTAATATCAATAAGATGAGAGATTCAAAAAGACCTCTGCGAAGGGCTTCTGAAAGAGATCCAAAAAAAAGCTCGGAGTGCTATTTTAAGATATACTTTCTGTTATGCCATCTCGAGTAAGATAGATCAGAGTATTAAAGAAGTCGTAACAGCCATCGGGACTGACACATCACTGCTATCTAAGAGGAGCATCACCTCCTTTGTGCATGCAACGCATTCCACTCCATAGTGTTCAAATTAAACCGATTCGCATCCACATCCACGGAGCCCGGGCCAGCCATCTCAGGATATCCCCACGGCCTCAAACTCGTAGGCATCTGTCCCCCATTGTCATAATCCATCGCAGGGATATTGAACTCCATATGCATGGGCACTGACAGGTTATCCGCATTGACAGCGGGTGCACCACTTGGCTGCGCTGTGTCCGCATCATGTCCGAAATTCGACATCATCTGCATCACTTTGTTTCGGATATCCGACACAATCCGCGGTGCCACTAGGGGCGTCTCCTGTTGTCTGGCTACCTGTTCACGCGCCTTCCAAGCCTGAAAGACAATCCGAGAGAAGACGATAAAGAAGGGGCGATCGTCCTCCTTGGCATCCATCATGCGGACCTCGTAGTTGTTGCTCATCACCTCCCACACCCGGTCTGCATGCTCTTCGACGGGCCTTTTCTTCAACTCCTGGAGGAGGTGGATGTACGCGGGGAAGGGGAAGTGGAAGTGAACAAGCCACAAGTATCCCTTCGTGAGAGGTGACGTCATGAGGTTGGTGTCGCACTCTAGCATGCGCAGTGCGTAGGAAATGCCAACGTTGCGCTGTGTATCTGTCTGCTGCGTGGAGGTTGTAGAGTATTGGGAGTAGTGTTGCAAGAGTCGATTCTTGGCCATGTAGCCCCGCATTGTCCAGATCGTCATGAAGTGCAGTGGGTTTTCTGGATTGCAGGATGCCAAGTATTTCCCCTCTATTGTCTTCTCTAGCGTTATAGCCCGTTCCATTTTGTCTATGGCAGTAGACCCAGGGGCGATCGTGGTCAAAAAGGGATTGGTCAAATCGAGGTGGAAGGCACTATGACGGACAAAGTCGGCGAGCTCACTGCGCACAACAGCAAAAAGCATCTCTGTTGGTCTGTCGTTTGGTGCGGGTGGAGTTTTGATCTCTTGCTGAAGTTCGAAATCACTCACATTGAGAGGAATGCGGCAGTCCCACGTAGGAGCCAGCGACGTGGTCTTATAATCGGCCATCTCGCAGATGCGATTATCAAAGATGATCAGAGACCACCATAGTCTTCGACGCATCTCCGCCTCTAGAGCGGAACATTTACCGTACGTTGACTCATCATGAATACCAATCCGCTGACCAATTCGTATAGCAACGCTAAGCATTGATGAAAGAGAAGTAGGGTCTGTGTCAGGTCTGATCGACACCTAGAAAAATCAGCGAGTGTAGAGAGATTGATTTGACACACCTACTAGGTATAGATATAACGCGGTTAGGCATTCCCGGTTACTAGATTGTAGAATACAACAACTCCGTAACGCTTGCTGGCATGCAGACTGATACGCTGTTAATAGATGCTTTTTAGCATATCCGAAGAAAGCACTGCATTGATCCTCGGTGAGACTGAGAATGGAGACGCTATAGATACTAAACATCAATGCTTCTAATGTGGGATTGACGTTGGATATATCGCTAGCAGCATCGATGATACGCGTTTGAAGCGTGGGAGTGTGCGTGACTTTGAGAAGAGGATTGACGTTGTCCAAGTAGATCTGCCAAAGCCTGAAGATCTGTACCTGGGTCGGATGAGAAGCAGAAAGGTTATCGACGTTCGCTGCCGGTGAACCGAATAATAGGTGGTGGTGGTCGTTGCTTTTGCCTTGAAACGTATGGTTCCATGCCTTCTTAATTACTGCGTGGCGCAGATCATCGTTGTCGCCCAGGAACCCATTGTCATTTTCATCATCTTCGCCGTCATTGTCGTCATCATCCTTGGGATCTGCGGTCTTTACCAAATGTCAGTGAGCCCCACGATCATTCGTAGAGTCGATCATACCTTTTGACTCATAGCATGCCAGAGATTTCTGCCATATGATTAGCCATCATGAAGTACGCTCGGGCGTCTGCACTAAAAGAACAAGACAGAGTGTCGTACAATGATTTAGACTTGGCTGCTTTGTTTTCTTTTAAGGGGCGAGAGTCCCGAACAGGAAGTGTACTTTCCGACCGAACAGCATCCGGAAGTTCATCTCGCTCACCCTCACTTGGAGACCTACGGCGGTCTGTAGTAGCCATGTGGAGAGGATCGAATCTGATGTTATGCTGGCGAAGCAGGCTCTCATAATGTCTTAGGCGCGCCAGAAGATCTCTCTCGGGAAACCTCCGGCGTCGCTGGCGGATTGCTTGCTCGCACTGCTCACCAGCACGTATACAGTTGGCGCATGGGAATGTACGATCACACTTGATCTTGCGTTGCTGACACAGAACGCAGGCCAGCACACGCCGAGACTTAAAGGTGGTTGTCCGTTCAGATGGAGAGATCGGCGTCGCCATTATATGAGACTATAGAGCGCGTTGCAGCAGTAACGTTATTAACAGATCTCGGACCCCGAATCCCGGATCCCGGGTTGGTTTGGGGAAGAAGGAAAGGGAAGAGAGAAAGAGGGAAAGGGAAGGAGGAAGTCGGGGTTTATAAGATCCGAGACGCACGCTACGTACTCCGTACTTGCAAACCTTCGCACTTTCTAATCCCCGACCATCATGTTGATCTTGCAAAATGCGAAATCGCCGGCCATATTTTGCCCCTTGGGGCCCTTTAAATATGGGTCCCCTCATCATCCCCTCATCATTAATTCTGGATAATATTAACCCTCAAGCATTAGCCGATTGATCGTGTCTTGGTGGGTGAAGCTACGGATACCACAATCACCATATCTCCTCCACGAACTCTGACAACACCAAATCCACTACGGTGGACGCTCCAGAATTGATGAAGGAACATAGCGAGGTGGCTACCAATGCATCCGTCAAAGACGATGGCCCAGCCAAAACTAGAGGCCATCCAGGTCCTCCAGGCCCGCCCGAAAATCAGTCCACACTTAGGGTTGTATGTTTGATCGTCTCGGCTTTTGTTGCCATGTTCCTCGTCGCGCTTGACAGAACAATTATCTCAACGGTATGTGTATCATACAATTCCTTCAGCACAGTTCTAGTGCTAAGTTTTGCACAATTGACAGGCCATACCTAAAATCACCGACGAATTCGACTCCTTCGATGACGTTGGCTGGTATGGAAGCGCCTACTTGTTAACATGCTGCGCGTTCCAACTCCTATTTGGCAAGCTTTATAAGCTCTTTTCTATCAGAATTGTCTTCCTTGCCAGCATTCTAGTGTTTGAGGTTGCCTCTGCTATCTGTGGGGCGGCTCCGAATTCAGTCGCCTTTATAATCGGAAGAGCAATATGTGGAGTTGGCGCTGCTGGTATTCTCGCTGGAACTGTATGTGACCCTAGTCCTATCCTCTTTGTACCATTTGCTGACAGATGGGTCTCAGATAATGTGCATCATTCATTCCGTGCCTCTCCAAAAGCGTCCACAAATTCAGGGATTGTTCGGGGCCCTTTTCGGTATTGCCTCTATCGTGGGTCCTTTGATTGGCGGTGCCTTTGCATCTAATGTGACATGGAGATGGTGCTTTTATGTAAATTTGCCCATTGGTGGCGCGGCAATGGTCTTTATTGCTTTCTGCCTCAAGATCCCTAAGCAAGATACAGCGAGAGTCTCATGGATGGAGAAGCTGCTACAACTGGATTTCTTCGGCACTACACTTCTGGTATCTGGTGTGGTCTGTCTGGTATTGGCACTTCAGTGGGGAGGCCAGACCTACGCTGTAAGTTATGTGCACTATTGTTTTCGACCACAACTGACAGTTTCTAGTGGAGCAATGGCCGCGTCGTGGCTTGTCTGGTTCTCATGAGCGTCTTACTTCTTTCCTTTGTTACTGTTCAGGTCCTCCTTCCAAAGACAGCGACGCTCCCACCGCGCATCTTTTCCCAGCGCAGCATCATTTCAGCCTTCTGGCAGACACTCTGCGTCGGCTCTAGCAACTATATATTTGGTTAAGGCACCGCACGACCTAGTAACATGCCCTGTTATTGACTTAATCATAGTGTACTTCCTTCCGATCTGGTTCCAAACCATCAAAGGTAGTTCGGCCGTGGAATCCGGCATCCGCCTGCTACCGATGATGATATCAATGGTCGTCGGCTCAATCAGTGGTGGGATCACAAACTCCAAAATCGGATACTACACCCCACTAGCTATCATCGGATCCTGCATCATGTCCGTCGGAGCGGACCTGCTCACCACCTTTCACGTGGACACCAGCGAGGGAAAGTGGATCGGCTATCAGATAGTTTACGGAATCGGTCTGGGCTTGTGTTTTCAAGTTCCCAATCTCGCCGCTCAGACCGTTCTTCCGAAGCCTGACGTGCCATCTGGGTTAGCGTTAATGCTTTTCGGTCAGATGATCGGGGCCGCCGTATTTGTCTCAGTTGGGGAAAATATCCTGGCCAATCAGCTCGTGAAGAGACTTTCCGGGCTGCCGGACTTCAACTCCCACCTTGTTACCTCCGGGGGTGTCACGAAGCTGCTGAATACAATGCCGGCTGATCTGCACGACACGGTTCTCCATTCTTACAATGATTCTCTACGGAAGGTGTTTCAGGTCGGTATGATCATTTCTTGTCTGACAGTACTAGGTGCGGCTACTCTAGAGTGGAAGAGTATCAAGAAGGGACAGCTAAACCCCGATGCCGAGGATAAGGAGCCGACTGGAGAGGGAAGGAGTGCAGAAGCGGAGGGCAAATAGATACCAGGGGGACTTTACGGTATTTGACCACTTGAATTGAGATTGGTATAGTCCAGTTTCTTTAGCTAGTTTTATACAATTGTAATTTAGTTCCAACAAGATAGTCGTTTGTATGACTGACCGTGTCGCTGAAGGACCGAGAGTAGGAGGTTCTTTTATGTCGATTGTCACTATTATATTCGCTTCATTACTAACTATCGAGAGACTCAAGGACAGGGTTCATTTTCAAGAAGTCCAGATCGCCATGTATTCAGTATCCGATCAGAATAATTGACCGCATCTAGATCCCTAGGTTTTCCTCAATCGGTATGAAACGGAACAAACTTTTCATGTTACGCAACCGGTCTGTATGAGCGTTAGAACGAAGCAGTCAAAGACAAATTGACTACTTCATTGGCGGTCCTCGACCTGGTTGTTTGAATACTAGAAGCTCTTTATTTGAAGTATTCTAATACAAAACTAACGCTATACCGCTTCTAACTAATCCCAATCACCGTCTAACAGATCCGCAACCTTCTTCCCAGCCAAAATATCCGCATGAATTTCCTCAATCGTCCACATCTTGAATTTATGGCCAGGAGGAAAGTTGGTATTCACAAAATTGGTCCCCAACACAAAATGTGAAAACGCCTGCCCATACTTCTCGTAGACATACGCCTCAGGGTCGTGCTGGAATACCCACTTAGGGAACCTGACCTTGACCTTCTCGGGATCCTTCTTCAGAACCTCATCCATGTCAACGGCACCGAGGTTCTCCGAATTGACAAAAGACATCTTCTGCACACAGCTAACCCGTTGGTATCGGAGTAGATTGTAAATGCGGGCTCCTAGAGGTCCACCACCTGGGGTGCCCCCAGAGCACGCGAGTTGCAAGCATGTCGCCAGTGTCACGGCATCCTCGATAGCCAGCGTTCCGCCGCTGATGGAGGCAGGAATTGTGGTATGTGCCGCGTCCCCGACCTGCACCACCCGGCCGCCCTTAGACGTCCACCCTTGGCGAAGATTCCGCCATAGCAACGGCCAATGCACCGTTGCGCCCTTAGGCGTGTTACGGACCAGCCCTTCGATTGCAGGATTCCAGCCTGGAACACGGTGAAGCACCTCCCGAACCTCCGCCGGATCCACGTCCGGGTCCCATGACTCGATCGGCTCATTCCCGCCCGGCTGGAGGAATATATCCCGCGGCGTGAGCCCGTACGCCACAAAGTCCGGCGATATAAAAAGTCCCAGATGCATGCCCGGGCCGATCCAGAACTCATGGTTTGAGCCACCCTGCTCCACAAGCTCGCCCCACCGCGCTTTGAATGCTGGATCTTGCAGCGCTAGCTCCGTCGGGAGCGCCGCTCGATACACGGACATGCCACTCGATCGCGTGGGAACGTGATCTCCCGCAATGAGCAGGTCTGAACGCGTCCTAAATGCATCGGCCGCGACGACAAGCTGCGCGACGCGGACGCTGCCATCCTCCGTGACAACGCCCGCGACATTAGCGGCTTCGTCTTCGAAGTACCGTTCTACGCGATGCCCATATTCGACTTTTAGGCCCACGCGAGCGACCTGACGCAGCAGCATGCGATAGAACTTCCGACGGACCTGATGCGGGGCCACGTGGGGTAGAACTTGTCGCTGGGCGAGAAGCTCCGGGCTATTATATCCCAAAGTGGTTGGCCCTAGGATCAACTCACCATTATGGCGCCGGTAGTACATCACACTCTCTGACTGATCTTCTTCGAGGTCTCGACAGATATCGGGCCAGTGGCGGAGGGTAGAGATGGCGGAAGGCCCAATGACGATGATATCTCCTATCGATTATCAATGATCAGTTATATGCCTCGGTCATCCATCCAGGCCAACAACGAACCAGTATAGACAGGGCCCTGGCTTCGTTCCAGGATTCCTACCACATTGTGTCCCTTTCTCCAGCATTCAAGGGCTGTGATCAACCCAGCTAGACCTGCCCCGACAATCAGGACATTGAGGTACGTATCCGGAGATCGCTTTGGCAACTGGCTCGCGGTTGACGACCACTTCTGGGGATTGAATTCATCTTTATCCCCGTGTGAAAGATAACCATTTGACACCATTTTGTATATCTAATTTGATTATGATCCCAATTGCGGGATGAGGACATCAGTGAGGGACGGTGCGAATCATATATGTAAATCATATATGTGTATGGTCTGCCCGGAAGCCTAGTCGGACCGTCGGGTATTTTATTGCTGTACCCCGGGCCATTTCTAGAAATCTCAACATCCCGGCGTCATGGCAGGTTGTCGGCGATTTATCCCCCGAAGCCTCGTAAAAAAGAAGACTATTGCCTCCACACAGTTAGCACAATCTCACTGTGCCTACCACTTATATAATCCGGTTTGTTTAAGGAATAAATAATTTAAAAATACATATATATCCCCACTAGGTCGGGTACGAACAGCGATGGAAACCTACGAAGATCATATAAAATCTTGGATCGAACCTAGTGATTAAGTATGAAGTACCTCCGTTGGAATTTAGGCAAAGACTTAGACGGGATTTATTATTTAAATATAAGCTGGAGTAAGCGGCCGGCGCTGGGGGTCTTGAAGTTGACAACTTGACCCACCGTGGTGAGTTGGAGACGGGCGACGACGACCTTTCGACACAGCTTGGACGCAGCGCGCGGTAGAAAAACCTTGTATAACATAAAACCCGTGACCTTTCACAACAACAGCCCGGGTGGTCTAGTGGTATGATTCGCGCTTAGGGTATTCAAAACCTGAGCAATATTGCGCGAGGTCCCGCGTTCAATCCGCGGCTCGGGCCTGTTATCTTTTTTTTTTTTTTTTTTTTTGCTTTTCCTACTCGCACTCTGAATGAAGTGAAGAAGATAGACAGACTGGATTTAATTTTGCGAGTTTCGAGTCGACCAAGTAAATAGAAAATGTGTCATGTATGTACGAGAACTGCCTGAAAGCGTACTTGAGTCCGACTATCTAACACAAGCTACCATTATCACACGACTGATCACACTTGTAAGATCCAATCCAGTTATCATCACCATAAACATCCAACCCCATAAACCAACCATTCAGCACCTGATGCAAGTAATCCAAGTTCTGGGGAACACCATTCGACTGGCCCTCAGACGAACAAGGATAATCCTTCGTCAGCCCCTTATTACCATTCAGCCCACTCCCAGCAGTGAACCACCCATTATAAGAACCCAATGCCTTCAGCGCATTGCCATCCGATCCATCCAGCTGGGAGGTAAGGTAGTGCGTTCCCGCATCGACGTTATCCTGGATGGAATCCGTGCACTCGCCGTTCGGGTAGTTCTCGCAGGACACCTGCATCAAACCCGGCGTCGGCCCGCCTGCATCGGCATTGCAGGACGACTCTTGCATGGCCAGCACGGCTAGGATTACCGGGTCCACCCCGTACTTGGATCCGGCGCTTTGGAAGTACTGATCGTACTGCTTGCAGCCTGAGCCGATGCCGTTGTAGAAGTCGTCGAGCGAGATGTGGGAGACGTCTTCCAGGGCTAGGAAGGGTGGGTTCCAGCCGCCGTCCTCAATGCCTTGATTGAGCCAGTCTTCAGATCTGGTTTGGATCTTCTTGTTAGTGCTGTGCTGGGTTGCTCAAGAGGGTGTTTCTCTTTTCTTACCCGTTTGGACCGGTGGTTGGGGTGACTTCGTCGGTTGATCCCTCGGCCTTGGGGTTTGCGCCTACTCCGGGGTTTGCGGACTGGGCGGCTGCATGAGTAGCCAGGGAGAGCGTGGCGAGGGAGAGATACTTTGATATGGCCATTGTACGGAGTAGTTGTTTGATGTTGGAAAGCAATCGGGTTTAGGTGGGATATCTACTTGGGGAAATGCTCATCTTTTATGTCTTCTGGGAAAGCAAATCTATTTGAAACTGTGAAGATTATTCCCTGATAGAGGCTTCTCATCGAGCAAGGTTGAAGAAGGTCACATCCGATCAAGCTCATAACACTCGACCAGTTCCTCAAAGTAGAAGTATACCCAGATTAAAGCACTTCCTTAATAGGGAATGGCCTCCACTCGGAGCCAATCAGTCCGGGCCGATCGTAATTACGATGTGACAGTACAAACGGGACCGGGGTAACTCGCACGGCCCGCTAGTATCCACAGTCCAGGCACGGGTGGCTTCGGTAGGCCACGAGGTCTCTCGAAGTCAGTTCTTGAACTGTTATGGTCTTCAGGCTGCTAACTACTCCGTATGAATACAACTATTTCGCCCAGCAGGATAATTTGAATTTCGTCAACTTCTGATCTATGTCTCTTTATTGGTCCTTTCTCATGCATACCACATGCATTTACTAATGGCCCCCTCTTTTCCAAACAGCGAGTATGTCGATCATCTCCGGTTGAGGTTAACAGTAAAGTTGATCCGCCAATTCCAAAATGTGAACATTCAACTGGCCTGGCCACTGATCGTTATGGGATCCAGAGCAGATAGTAAGTCTACAGTAGAAGTTATTCCACCAGTCAGCAACATCGTCGTTCCTACATAAGCGTGAGTAATCGTGTAACTGCCGCAGTCGAGTTCAAAATAAGCCTCTATTCCGACCACCCATGTATCCGCTAACACACGCTAATACGAGGCGCAGGCCCTAGAGCTCCGACCTCCCCCCCCCAAGCCCGTCATTTTCAGCCATTTTCAGCCATCTCCGTAATTCAGCTTATCTCAGCCCCATCCGCGTGTTTCTCCTGAAGTTCAATGTACTACTAGTCCTTTTTCCCCTTCTCAATCCAACAATACCACCCTCATCAGGCCGCCAGTACCTCCCCGAAAGCGATATGCGATCGACACAATGTCAGACATCCTAAAAAGCCCCTATGGACTATCCGTCCGCCGAAACGGCTCCTGCCTCAACACTGAAACAGATTGCGGCCAAACCTGGGCCCCCTTCCGCGCCTGTTGTCCGGGCGGCACACACTGTCCCGCCGGACAAGATAACGTGAAATGTTGCCCGTCAGATGCAGATTGCTCCGATCTGGTGGATAACACACATTGCGCAAATAGCACTGCAAATGTCTACAAAGCGAAGGGCTGGTTCTGCTGCGCTGCGGACACCCAGGCTTTCGAAAGACCGGATGGCTTCGTCGGCTGTACAGATGATATATCCGTACTGGGAATCAGTATGAGTCTTTTGGCTATTAAGTATCATGGTATGTAATGCGTCGGCGGGCGAATGGTTGCCATAAAAGTCTCACGTACTACTTGAATTTGGGTTCTGATTTTCGCCACAGCAACTACAACCACATCCCCATCCCCATCCCCGACGGAATCAAGCGCAATAACTAGCACCGCGGAGCCGTCGGTTACTACCACTGGACTGACTCCCACCGATGCGACCGGGGAAGGTAGTTCATCTTCATCTCATACTGGGGCTATTGCCGGTGGAGTTGTCGGCGGAGTAGCTGGGTTGGCGATCCTGGCTGGTCTGATTTGGTTCCTACTGCGTCGTCGAGACAAGAGACGAAAATACGTAGCGACACCCACGAACCCAAGCCCTCTCATGTCTACTATGGGTGGGACTAGTGCACCCGTATCGAGTGTGCCCGCCTCAGAACCGCCTGGTTCGAATGTTGTTGAGTACTTTAATGAGCTACCCGAGGGGTCAGAGCCCAAAGGACCGGCGGAGCTTCCTGCTCGGGAGGAACCCAAGATCCATGAATTACCAACGACATATCGGTGATGGTTGGGTGATTACCCAGGTGGAGTTTAGATACCCGTGCGAAATTTTGTCGATCTCATGTCTGATCTTCTACGCGTATGTAAAGAGCCGAATATACCTAATTCTGACAGTTAAACCAAACCCCTCATATCTCTGCGGTATCAAATATATTACATCGGATCGTAGATCAAACCGAGGCGCCCGTTCTTACATCTCGCTGTCAACATAATTGCCGGCCGCTGCCAGGGTGGCATAGAACAGCTCGGTCTCGGCGCAGATGACCATGCGTCCCTTACCGGCGAAGTTGAAGTTTGCCGTGCCTGTTCCAAGGTGGATCTTGCCGATAAGCTTTCCAGAGGGGTTCCAGACGTGAACGCCATCGGCACAGCCGGCATACACGTTGCCCCAGGAGTCAGTGTGGATGCCTGTCAAAAGTCAGTATGGATGGCCTCAGATACACTACCGGGGGAGATTTAATTTGCTCAACGTACCGTCAGGTGCACCGGAGTTGGAAAAAGCGAAGATCTTGCGGTTCTCAAATGTGCCGTCCTCCTTCACGTCATATCGGTAGCTAGAAAACACAGAGTCCAAGATTAGCCTCACTGCACCAGAGATTAACAAGAGCAATATCAATGACAAGACATACACAGCAGCAGGACGAGTCCAGTCGAAGCCCTTGAAGCCGTTGTCAATTCCGGTATCGGTGACATAGACGTAGTCGCCATCGGGAGAGAAAGTCAGGCCTATTGGAATGTCAGATGCATACTCACTTTCAGTCTCCGTACATGTGATTCCTTACCGTTGGGGTGATCGAACTCATCCGCGACAACGGTCACGGCACCAGTGTCGGGGTTGAATCGGTACACCTGGTCCTGGATGCCGGGAGCAGGGCGGAAGTCCTGCACATAGCCGTAGATAGTGTCGGTGAAGTAGATATCCTTGCTCTTGGGGTGAATCGCGACATCGTTCAAGGAGTTGAACTGACGACCGAAGAAGTTGTTAAGAATGACTGGCGTGCTGGTCAGTTACCAAAGACGCGAAGAGAATCGAACTGATCTGAACTAACCGGTAGTGTTATAAGGGCTCTTCGGATTCATGACTTGCAAAGCAGGCGCCTTGTTGTCACCCTGGCCTTCGCCGGTGAAGATAATCTGTCCGCGATAGTTGGTAGCGCCTAGGCTCATTGTAAGTTATGTCCAGATTCACAAAGTCCGGTATCTGTTTACTTACCATTGGGATTGAGAATGATTGGTGATGCAGGGACGGTGGTGATGTTCACGAGACCCACAGCATCGCGCTTGTCGGAAACAGCAGCAGCTTGCGCAAGGGAGATTTTCTCCACGATGGCGGACTTGTGAAGACCGGTGCTGGCGTTCTTAGCGCCTGCGTTCTGGACGAAAAAGACCTCATCGGTTCCCTTGGACCAGACAACGGCCTCGTGGAAAATGGGATCCTTTGAAGTGTGCCCGATGCGGGTGAGGGTAGGATGATCTCCAATGATCTTCAGGAACTCCTTGTCATACACATGGAAAGGCTGGTTGGCCAGACTGTCTCCTGTCGACCCTGGAGGAACAAAGGGCTATGCATGAATCAGCAATTGGCAATAGTAATAACTGATTGTAATTGGAATCACGTACAGTCTTCGCATTGAATTCAGTTGGAGGCTGGGTCGTATTCAGGACATTGAACGCTTTCTGATCAATGAATTGCGCTTGAGCAGGAAGCTTGCTGGCACTGGCAGGTGCCAGATATGAGCCCAAGAGCAGCAGCGTCGCCAGAGATGATATTTGAGGAGCCATCTTCCTTTCGCGTGACAGTTAGGTAGAATTATGCTCAAAGACAGGGGGCGGGGATCAGTTATTTTATCCCACGGAGTTCGGCCATTTCAAAATCCCACGGGCTGGGGAAGTGGGGGTAAATGCAGAAATTCTCCGCATATTTACTCCGTAGGTGAAGCTATTTCTCCCGTCAATTCGTGTCTCCAGGTGTCTGTCAAAGCTGATCTGTGATCGGAGTTCGTCCGATGGCACGGCAATTAGCCTCGGAAAAGGCCACCGACGTCACCGCCGACATCGCTATTCGAATCCAAGGTCATGTGTTTTCACCGAATTAGGGGAACGCCATTTTTTTAAAGAGCCCTGTTGAGCCTGTTCAATGCTGCTATACCCAATTTCTATTTGTGCATTTGAAGGGGAACGGCTGAGGTAACTTTACCTCAGCATGCTCAGACGACACATGATTCGCTGGGTCATGTTCACATGACCTGCCTAACCAAGTTAGGTTCAGCTCAGAAGTGTCGTCTGAGGAGTATTTTGAAATTTTGCCAAGAATTACCGACCAACAACTTGACCGCTCCTTTGGTTGTGTGAATTTCGATCTCAACGAACTCAATAACCACAGACCTGACCATCTTCAATCTTACAAGCGTCATAAATGCGAACTGGACAATTACTTTGATACTATTTTGAAGTTTCCACGCCTCCTAGAACGCAGGTCTTATGCTTGAACGTGCTGGTGAGCAATGTCGAGTTTTATCGGGCATCTACATGGCAATAGCCTGGTAGAGAACACGCGTTTTGAGACCCGAGCTGATGATTTTTCCTTCGATCAGTCCATTTATATCCATCATGCCTCGCTTAAAAAAGACTCTTCGAGGTAAATATCCTCGCATTCAATCGTCTGATACCTCGATCGAACCGCGAAACGAGACCGAGCAGCGGCTTCACGAAATTCAGGGGAGATTGGCCGCAGTATGTGATGAGATTGAGCGTCGAAACCTTATCACGCAAGCTGTCCAGCTCATATACCACTTCGACGCCCATTCAGGGCAGATCGACTGCATCTCATGGATGCTGCAGGAGAAGCGGGATTTGGTACTCGTCGCGAAGACGTCGTTTGGCAAGAGTCTGATCATGCAGGTGCTGCCGTGCCTCGTACCGCATTCGATCATTCTGGTTATCATGCCGCTGCTTGCATTGGGATACGAACAAGAAGAGAAGATTCGATCCCTAGGCCCCTTTGCAAGGCCCGTATTTGTGCATGGTGACAATGTCAACTCCGGAACGTTGTTGAGAGACATCCAACAAGGCAGATATACCCACGTGTCACCATAGAGGTGCTTGACGGTCTGGGAGTCACAGAGTGCTATTGGACATTAAGGAACACGACGACGGCGCTATCTACTCATACGAAGGTATGTATATGACATCTATATACGAAATCCGTCGTCGTGTTCCTTAATGTCCAATAGCACTCTGTGACTCCCAGACCGTCAGGCACCTCTATGGTGCGTCGCTTAACGCCTGAGCCTTGGAGATAGAATCCCAGCATACGCGCAAAGCGATTTGCGGTGTTCCTGGACGATTTCAGCAGCAAGATCGATGCCAGCATCACCAGATAGCCCTCCTCTTCCTTGCGTACGTAGCCGTTCATGATGGCACTGGTGTTGCAGGCTAGTTCGGTCATCAGGTTCGTGAATAGTGGCGCATGCTCAGAGAGCTCTTTTCCCATCATTGACATGTCTAGTTGCCTGACATCCTCGTCGGCCTTCCACTGGCCGAATGTAAACAGCCGCCGTAGCTCACCAAATTCTGCGCGTATTCCATGGACTAAATATTCTATCGCAACGTCCATAATATCGACCATGATAGGATCATCTCTTATATCTTTGATGATGGCCTCCGAGTCGTCCGTAAACAAGGTGCGTAGGATACCCAATTTTTTGTTTGTACGTCGCTTTCCTCTGGCGCCATTGTTGTGATCGATCCAGTATTTGACGAGCTGAGGGAAGCTCCAACTCCATTCTTGAAGCAAATCAGCGACATGGGAGACCCTTTCATGTACGCTTTCATGTACGTTGTTGATGCGACGTGGACGGTCATCGGTTGTGTCTTCCCCGCAATTTTGGGTCGAGCGCGGACGCTTCGATCTCGACGGCCTTAGCTCAGACATGGTTGATAGTGTATGGAGTAATGAAGATAAAGGAGAAGACGCTGGAGGCCAAGTTTTGAGAAGAAAATGGACGTGGTGGTCGAGATATTATGGTTCAAAGAGAGAGGCTCGTTTCGTGGTTTTCCCCCGATCCTTCTGGACGGGCGGTCAAAGACCTCCTCAGCCCAAACATTTGCGCTGGACCTAACCATTACCTAATTTGGTTAGATATGTCATGTGATTGCACATGACCCAGCTAGTATAATGTTTGGTCTGAGCATGCTGAGGTAAGAGGTAACTGAGGTATTAAGTCAAGAACTCAAGATCAACAATGCACGGGGCTCGTCTGTTTGGTCTGTTTGCATGGAATCTACCACTTCTGGAGGTGGCGCCACTACAATACTGTGTACACAGTAGTTAACTAGAATGCAAGTAGATTTCGTCATCCGGGTAAATAAAAGTTACAGGCATCTATGATGATCTCGGCCGAAACTCGAAAGCCATCAGGCTATCAGCTCAAGATGTGGATTGGGTCCATGAGTAGTGTAGTCATAAGTAGTTGAATGGTTGCATGTTAGAGGATATCCATTTTGCTCGGAAAATTTGACATTGAAGCTAAGAAAACAAGGATAGAGAGCCTAGACTCGTTTCTGGTCACAGAAACGCCGAGAGTCGGGCCGAGACTAATAATGACGCCTCTAGCGTCTAACTTTATTTCTAACCAAGTCTGTCTATCGACCTCGGGAACGAATACAAGAAGCTCAAGGTGACATGTTCAAGCCATGTCTATCCTCGCGCTTTCAGCAGAGCAGTCGTGGGTATCAGTTACTCCGGGGCCACGGATTCCAAGTGCCGACTGGACCATTGACTGACTGGAACGCAGCGGAGTAATAGAAGGAATAGAAAAATCGAGGGCCCACCGAGGAAATCTAAGCCGTTGTGGTTTGTAAAGATTTTAAGAGATTTACAATGGAATTTCCAGGAAGAAGAGCAAGCCAAGACCGACTCGTGGCCTTTTCCACAAAGAAGAGAATTCAAGTTCAAGACAGAAAACCCTGGAAAGTCCTCTGAACCATGGATCGCCATCCGAGATATTTTAAGCTTACCTCTGATTGGCTTAAAAGTAGCCCTTGCCCTGCCAAGACTTTAAATTGTTTAATGATTGGTCAGACCGTATTCCAAATTAGCCAATCGCATAACAGTTCCTCTTGGACCATAACGTCGTCACCCGTGGCACACAGCTGGACATTCCCTCAAAGATGACACAAATCAACACAAACCCCTGAATCAACATGATCGAGATACTCGAAGTTAACATAGCTAATTGCAATACAACAAGTGATATACACTTGATCTTGAACAACCTATGCAGCTTGGTAATGCTGCGGCCACAGCCAAAATCTCCTCGGATCTGGCTTCCTGACAGTTCCGCATCTTTTAGTCTCAGCCTAAGACGATCTGATCATACCCCCGTTGGGCCCACACTGGGTCATTCTTTTAGAGACCCTCTGATCCGGCAGATCCAGTTCGCAAACTCTTTCTCTCGCTTCCAGACCCACGACGTTTCTGGTCGAATGCTGCGTTTTTGGGTCACACTGGCCCCCATCTCTATGAGTTACCCCTCTCAGACGCTTCATATTGGGTCGATCATGACAGTGTCTAACAAGGCTGATATACGGCACAATTGGAGATGCGGAGAGTCAGCGCCTTGCCGCTACCAGGATCGTGGTTACATCCCGACCTTACTCCCGGTTTACTGCCCATGGACAATGACCATTGACCAGGCCCACAGTCTGATGAGTCCTCCAATGAGAGATCTCTCGGATATTCTATAATTCTAGAATCCACCGATGGCTTGGATCAATGCGGATGGACCAGTCAGACTGTTAAGCCATGGTCCAGATTTACCTCAGTTTCTACCTCGTAGTCTCCAATGAGGTTGTCTATAATCAGCCAAAATCCACCGATCCAAAGAGTTTACTTGCTAAACCCAAGGCCCAGACCACTGTGGGATCCATGGCACACGACTCCTTCCTTCCTTTCAACGGTCTGACGTACTCACGCCCCAGTGGTTCCTGTGGATGGCGCCAGGTACGAGGCTCTTTGTGGTACTTGTGGACATCTTGTGGTCTCGACTTACGAGGCAAGTGTGGCGGACTGAAGGTTCTGTCGATTTCGAAAGGTATTTATACCTCTTCTTCTCCCTCATGTCAATTCTCGAATCTTCAAACCACACTCCTTTGGTAACCTGTTCGTTCCTTTGCAGCCTACCTCTGTCTTTACTTCTGTCTTTACAGTCCAACCAAGGCACAACACTCTTTACCTATCTTCACTGATACCTACATTCCTTTGTGACAACACACACACACACACACACTCTCCACCAAGATGCAGTTCGCCAAGTCTCTCCTTCTGCTGGCCGCCCTTGCCACTAGCACCCTGTCCCAACCCGCCGGCTTCGAACGTCGCCAGGCCTCCACCACCTCCGCCTCTCCCTCGTCCTCCGGCTCCTCCGGCGGTGGCTGGACCTCCACACCCTCAGGCCCCGGCTCCAAAGATGGCTTCGGCAGCTCCACCGCCTCTTCCGGCTCCGGCGAGACCTACCAGGGCAATGTCGGCAGCCCCTACGGCAGCAACATCATCGAGGTCTCCGAGTCCAAGGCCAGCGAGTACAAGTACGTCGCCGAATTCAAGGGCTCCCAGACCGACTCCTGGACCGTCGCCATCTTCAACAAGTACGGTCCCGACGGTAAGATGACTGGCTGGTTCGGCAACGCCTGCCAGACCTTCACTCTTGCCCCCGGCGAGACCAAGTACGTTGCCTTCGACGATGACTCCAACGGTGGCTGGGCTGCCGCCTCCGGCTCCACCATCCCCACCGACAACATGGGTGGCTACGCTTCCACCTGGGGTGAGTTTGATTTCGGCTCCGCTACCAACACTGGCTGGTCTGGCTTCGATGTTTCTTGTATCTCTGCCCAGAACGCTGGCATGCCCATCTCTGGTATGAAGATTTGTGATGTGCTCGGTGGCACTTGCTCTTCCATCACCAAGGATGCTGCCCAGGTTGACAACGCTTATACTTCTGCTGAGACTGATGTCGGTGGTATCGGTGGTAACTTGGGCTCCGGTCCTGCTCGTCTGGCCGTTACCCTTGACTACAGCGGTTAAATTTTGTTTTCTTTGATATTATATATGACTGGATATGATCTTGAAGATAGACTCTTGGATCATTCTATTTCGAAGGATGGTCTAACCCCAGCTGGCATGGTTTCTGCTTCTTTGTCAATATAGAGACTTCTAGGCTGGCCCTTTTTGGTTATTGAATATAACACACTCTTTCATTTTTTTTTTCAATAATTTCCCATCTTCCTCTTCTGCCTATCATCGGTGCTATAAGATTCTCTGGAGCTTCTAGATGCTCGCGTGGCGTTAACCTTGGAACGTGGCGGGCGTGACCGCATGATTGCACATTCCCCCGCCTCCACCTTAAGAATACCTTCGAGAGCTACCCGGCAGTAGAATTAAACACAAAGATAAGAATAAGAATAAAGTTAAAGTTCATTCATAGAAACATCAGAGTATATCGACAAATTCGTTACTGACTTCAAATCCGCTGAACAGATCGCACAAAAAACATCACAGGCCTATTTCCGGGCACTAACCAAACCATAGAACTCAAGCGGCTTGATACTGAACGCACCATTCGACTCAAGCTTATAGTTAGGATCCGCCAGCTCAAACGTAGTATCCTTCAAGATACTAGCAAGAGTAAAGAACGACCACCGCCAAGCCCAGATTTTACCAATGCACTCCCGCTTACCGTTACCGAAGCCCTTCTTCGCAGCAGCGGGGAGCTGATCCCACTTCTCGCCGAGCACACGCTCAGGCTTGAAGTCCTCGGGGTCCTCGAAAACAGCCGGGTCACGGTTAACCTGGCTCAAGATCGCAATCATGGGCTGGTTGTGGGCGATCTGGTATTCGCCGCCACCGAGGAGAATGGGGCTCTTGTCGTCGGAGGGAATGGGCTCAATGTTGAAGCCTGGTGCGGTGGCGGAGAGACGGATCGACTCACGCAGGATGGCCTCGACGTAGTTGAGGCTCTTCAGGTGCTCGAGGTCGATCTTGCCGTCGCCGACGACGCGGTCGAGTTCCTCGTGCGCTTTGGCGATTGCACTGGGGTTCATCATTAGGTAGTACAGGGCGTACGAGATGAGGTTGGGGGCTGTGGCGGCCCCGATGAAGATTGAGATGATTTCATCAATGACTTGCGACTCGGTGAGCTTCTCGCCGCTCTCAGGGTCGGCGTCGTTCAGCATGGCGTCGAGGATGTCCTTGCGGGCTGTCTCGGGGTTCTCTTTGCGGGTCTTAATCACCTGCGCTGCGAAGTTGCGCATCGTCTTGGTGTCCTTGTCGAAGCGGCGCTGGTATAGCCAGTTCAGGAGCTTGGGCCGGGTGGGTCGCTTCATTGCCTCCATGGTGGCGCTCTCCATGGCGTTGATCATGGGTGGCTCGGCGCCTTCGAGCACGTGCACGCGCTGGTTGAAAAAGCATTGCATGCAAGATGCGATGAGGAGGCGATCCAGGTCCTTGGTGAGCAAAGTGCGGGTCTTGGTTCCTGCGCTCCACTTCTTCGTCAGGTCTGGGATGACCTCCGCCATGTCGCTGAAGAGGCTGTCGGTCGCGGACTGCGTGAGATGAGGCATCATGATCCGGTGGGCGATGCCCCAGCTCTTCTCGTAATCGTATGCTGTGAACAGACTGTCGTGCACGGCATGACGGATTTCCACTACTGGACCTGTTACGCATTTGCGGAATCGAGTCTCGTCGCAAATCTCTTCCAACAGAGCGACACTGCCGATAAATACGATCTCATGGCCGAGGGCGTTGATTTTGAAAATAGAGCCTAAACTGTTAGTTTCTTTTACTCTCAAAGGCTGGGTGAGCTGCTGCTTGCTAGCTTACCAAATTGCTTGGCCAGCTTGTTCAGCGAGTTCCACGTCTCATTGGGGTTGACGTCGAAAACATTTCCCAGGAGAGGAACTCCGGGCGGTCCTGGAATTTTTGTAGGCATATCGCTGAGAAAGGATGGGGTATATCTAAGTCAGAGAGGAGAGACAAGATTCGATCTCCCCAGCGGGCGGGGGAAGCAAGCAGCCTTAAAGCGCCATCGTCTTTGTTGACTTTCATATTGCATAAACTTGCATGGGTTTTCTGATCGACAGATCAAGGCGACCCGAGGCGATTGGCTCAAAAGGGATCTCACGCTCGGTCTATGTCCCCATCGTTCACTAAAGTTTCGGGACGAGCTGAAGAGATCGGCGCCATTGCGATGTAATAGCGCAGATTGGCGCCGCCGATCATTCCTATATTGGTAACGTATCAGGCTACATCTGGGACCCATCTGCAGCCATCTGGGGCTTCTGGAGTAGCCAAAGCACGCTACGGGCTGTAGTGCAACCAGTGAGGTCAATGGTGTTCAGCACAATTGTCAGCCGGAAGCTCCTGCAGAGTTTTCCATGTTTGGCTTTGCATCGCAGGTCTTGCACTGCTTTCGTCTCCACGCAGCTTGACCGCTTTGTGTTGTGTGCTTCGTACAACGTAGGGTGTAGTGATGGGGTCGATCGTTTCGTGAGGTGTGACTGCGGTTGGCCAACATCGTTATGTGACGAAGTAACACAAACGTGGAAAATAGAATACATAATCATCGAAACATGACTTGTCTGTGTGGCTGTCGGCTGTCGGCGGGGCTAGGTAGATCGCAACTACTGTAGTAACATCCCCCCAGCCTCCTCGTTCCCTGAGGAACGTCATCTGCCACATCACATTATTCTGCAGGGATATGCTATGAGTTGTGGGTATCGTTCATCCACTTGCCGAAGCTGCTCAAATTATGCGCGAATAGCAAGCCCTTCATTTCAGCATTTCAGTGGAGACTGTAAGGGCGTATGCTGGAGGAAGATCCCGAGGTCCTTTCATGAACGAGCCTGGCCATGTGGGCAGTCATTAGAACGATGGGAAAGACCACCCAAATTCTTCTAACAATATTATCGCTAAACGCATCTACTCGATCATGACAAAACATCATGGATACTGCCAGCCTTCAAACTCGATTGTAACTGGAGCCAGGGTATGCATGATGCAGGTCATAAGTACAGCGACTCCCTAACCTAGAATCCAAAGCTGTCCAGCAACGAATTGGCATCAGGCTCATGGAACATGGTAGGAGGCGGTTTAGGCTTGGGTTTTGCTCTTCTTTCTCTGCTGTACTCCCGGGAGTAGGTTCGGTAGCGACAGCTTGCACCGAGACATCTGCACGTCGCACCGGCATATCAGCAACCACGAGGCTGCTGCGCCGCCGAAGCAATTTACGGTAATCGACTCCGTTCTCGGCTGTTTCTAGGGAAGTGTCTGGTTTCAACGAATCCTGAGTAGGCAGTTCACCCAAGAACTCCCAGTGGCGTACTAAATCGAGAGCAAGAAGGTCGCAGCCCATGCGGTCATAGAGTCGGGCATTGCGAATGACGAACTCCCATTCCTCCCTTGGCCGCACTTTGGAGGCACCTTTGAGGGTTTGGAGGGTCATTGCGCGAAGTTGGTGATACAATACTACCAACGCCGGATCATTGGAAAGATAGGATTTGGACTGTAGGGTGACTCGCCCAGGGCTTCCAGGGGTGGCTGGGGTTGCTGATGATAGAAGGGTTTCGACCGGGGACTACGTCTGGTCAGTTGCGGTTCGACTAGCAGAGAGATATATATACTCACGATCAGTGCCCGCACCGCCATGTCCCGCCGTCCAAGCATCCAGAAAGCCCAGGAGGCCATCCAGCGGTTGCCCTCCGAAGCAGCCTCAGGCAATACTTTTTCTTCTAATAGTTCTCGAAGAACGGGTCCATTGTCCCCTTCCACGGCTCGTGTGATGACGATTGCAAGCTGGAGATCGCCCATTTGATTGATGATGACATTCGTAGCATCCCGCAAATGGTCGGCGAGAAGGAAAAAAGATGCTGCGTATTCTGGTCAATGTTAGCCGTCGCCGCTTAATTGTGTGACACGAAGTTAAGATTACCATATCGCCGCTTTCCAAGTAATGCATAAGCATTTTTCAGAGCAGATGTCCTCCATCGCGGTTCTTTGAAGTCATTCGCAAGTAGACGTTGGGTCGCTGCTTGTTCGCGGTTCCAGTGTGCAATACGCCAAAGACCCTGCAGAACATTTTTCTTTCCGAGGGCGAGGTAATACAGTGTACAGTCAATGGGGTTTCTCTCTTCCGTCTTAGTGTATTCACACCGAGCCAGTATTTCTAGTTGCACTCTCTAATCAAGAAGTTAGTCGTAAGCGAAGAACACCAATGACGGAAACGCACCACAGCTGCGGAATCTGACAGCCACATGAATAGACCGCTCTCACGAGCAGCCTTCCAAGTCAACTTTCCATTGAATTGTCGGGAGACAAGATCCGTCAGGATATCTTGGCTACTGCTATGGTAAGCCCAGACAATCTCTCTCCATGAAACAGTGTCTTTGTTAGCAACTCCTTGACTCCGTCGCAACATGTGCTGTCGAAAGAACAGGAGATAGCGTGCTGCGTTATCGTCCATTGACCGCCGGTGCTTATCAACCATGGCAACGCATTCAATGGTGTCTGCCAAGCGGAATTGTTCGTGGCTAGACAGTTGCGGCAGGGCAATTCGTGCTAAGCTTTCATTGAGAGCGACTGCGGTTTTTTCATCCATGACAGAGGATATTTCCTCATCGGTGTGATCGACATAAGAAGAGCGCATCTCCTTAGAAAACGCTTGTTGGGAAGACTGGCTTTGTGAGCTTTGAAAGAAAAGGCATATAAAGGGACACTTACGTCTGGCTTGTAGAAATATTCTACCGGCATCTCTAGGAAACCGTCTAGGTCGTCCCCCTCGGTGTAGAACTTCAGCTTACGGTGTAGTTTCAACAAGATTGAATGTACCAAACTAGTCTTGCCAGCCAGAATGCACTGTGCCAAGTACTGTGGATGAAATACAGGCAATGGACCGTTCAGCCTGCTGACAAGGTCGAAGAGATCAACAGTCGACAACCCTCGAGATGGCATCCGAAGCTCGGAAACCAGGCGATCTCCGACATCGATGTTCTTGTCATAGACAAACAGTTGATTTCCTGCTCCAATGACCAAATGGCCGTTGTTCAGCCAGCAAGAGTCTCCTATGGGGTGAGGTGTAAGGTCTCGAATCCAGATCTCTCGGACTTGTGTCCACGACGGTCGGGAGTCGAGATAATCATAACGGAGCTGAGACAAGAGAATAACCTTGTGCGGAAATCCCACGGCTAATATGGACTGCTTATCTGGGGTCGAGGTCCAATCCAAATCCCTTATGGTATCATATGAAGCGAAATGCTCCTCAAACTCTAGCTGGGCGTTATTGGTATCCCATATTGTGAGATGAGTCCGTTCTTCATCAACCAAGGCGGCCTTGCGAATAGAGCTCGCACTAGCCAGAGATGGGTTGACGATGCCAGTGTCAACTGTTGATTGAAGTAGCCAATCAATTTTAACGGCCACCGGGTCAACGGTGGCTGTCCAGGTCCGCACCACTCCACTGTGGGTATAGGAGAGAGCAATGTCGGTGGAGAAAGAGTCGAAGAACCCCGAAGTCTTCGCTTTAGGCCCAGCTGGGTCCACCGGGAGTATGTATGCGACGTCTTCCTTCAATCCCATGTCAAAGCTGCAGAAGTCTCGTAATTGATAATCACGTTCATTTACAGCTCTCTCCTTTTCTGCGTCTTGCACAGGGCGTCGTATCTCCCATGCAATTCCGTGCATGTCTCCCCAGATAGTCGCTACATAGAAAACATCTGCAGTCGCTTCAGTGCTGGGGATCGGCAACACGCACAATGGTTTGCCGGGCCTGGTAAATGGCAACGAGGCCAATTTCTTGGCATGATTCGAGCTGACATCCCATAAGGAAATTCCATTGTGGTGGAGATTAACAAGCAGATCCCCACACTCTAGTATGCATGTCCGATGAATGTGCTCATCCGAGAAGAGAACGCTCTTGCGCCCTAGAATGGAGCCACCTACTCGCCGCCGCTGTGTCCAAACGGTGGCTTTGTTATCGTTAGTACGTGACACCAGAGCGTCTCCAGTCGCATTTCGGACAATTTTTTTGACAGGGGCAGTATGACCAGACCAGGAGGATCTCTGTGCAACTCTCCTCGTGCGTGGCGCAGGGTCAAATAGGACATCCACGCGGGAATCGTACCATTCAATTCGACCATCAAAGTGGTGGACCAGAACACTCAGTTTGTCATTCGATGTCGTACTTTGGAATGCGCGAATTTGAGCATAGTCTTCATGTGGCGGTCGATCGAATGCAAACCCAAAGTCCAAGCCCTCGACATGGAGAATATTGAAGACGCTCAACTTCGTCTTTGCTTTAGAGCCAATATCTTCCAAAGCCCAGGCAGACATGTGACCGTGGCCATCGATTACGATGCAAATCTCCGGGGCCTTACTCGCAACCTCGATGATATGTTCCAGCGCGTGGTTTTCCTTGTTCCCTGTGGTCCGCTGAACAGCACGCTCGGTCGCGACACAGAAGTCACGGCTATCCAAGATGAAGCCGTACCGCCGTTGGAGTCCTATATCGTCATCCAAAGCATGTCTAGGTTGTACTGACACATTCATGTCAATCTCTGCCCAGAATTGTAGAGCTGAGAGCGCGTGATGGTCGGTCACTGCCCATACTCGAATCTTGTTGTCGGCGCAAAATGTATACAGGACATTATCCATAGATTGCTCAGGGTGCCGAGGAAATCGCCAGTGTATCCCGGTGACGACGTTCGGATGAGGTAGGTACGAGTTTTCGAACCGGACCTCGTCAGCGCCAAACGCGAGTCGTCTCCATACCTTCACCAAGCGGTCATAATGCCCAATTGTGACAATCAAGGCCGAATCGGGGGAGAATTGAGCGAATTTGACCGGCGCCGCAAGCTTTCTTTTCCAGACAAGACGTGGTTCATCGTTCATAAACCAAAGGGCAAGGCGCGAGTTACCCACCAGGAGCTCGTTGGAGGAACCCCATGATAGTGTGGAGATCGGTTCGTCATCGTCAGAGGCACGGAGCGTATAAAGTAGAGACCACTAAACTCAGTCATATGTTAATATCAATTGCGATGCTATCATACGCCCGTGTCGCAGGTAGATCAAGATCGGGGGTGTGGGGGTGGATGCGCACCTTCAGTGTTTCGCCCTGGATGCCGTACGGCTGGTACACGAATACATCAGCCCCACCACAGACAGCAATTTTGCCAGATATCTCGTTGAAAGCTACAGCTTCGAGTGTTTCGGTATCATCGACGTAGATCGTTTGGAGGAGGGTCTGCGGACCGCCGAGGATAACCAGCGCGTGGCCGGAGATGTACGCCTATTGAGTAGCGCGCGGGGGCAATGGTCAGTGACGGGTGGATTTCAGCCAGCGGGGGAGCTGTAAGAAAAGATGTTGAAACATCCGGTCACTCACAACAACACGAAGATCATTCCACAGCGCGGTGCTGAAAGACTGGAGCTTCGCTGGGGGTCTCCCCGGCAGTATCGCTCGCATCGAGGCGACTGATTGTGAGGTTGAACGCTCGTTGCGCTGGAAGCCACGTTACACCATTGCCAGAACAAAATGTTTCCCTGGAAATAGGCAAAGTTACAAAAAGACTCGACGATGGGTGTATGTGAGGTTGTCTGTCTGGACATATACACCTTACCTCAGCATGCTCAGATCTGGGCACGCTGATTGGCTAAGTCATGAAACAATTTGGCGGGCCGCTGACCCTAACTTGGTTAATGTCAGTATCCACGTGACTTTACAGTCACCTGACCGCTATTTCCCCACAGATATATCAGCCCCTGATGGCAGCACCGAATGGATTTTCTCTCTCTCTCTCCCTGATGGCAGCAGGTGTAGACCTTGTAATGTTTGCAGCGGGGATTGAAAGGCAGGACCTGATGGGCTGCGAGCCAAGTTTAGGCTGTGGAAGGGATGATCTTCTTCAAGAGTGTGGCACTGGATCCAATGACGTGCGATTCTTTTGCGAAGAGTCAGGTCTATTGGTTCTAGTCCTGCTTCGGTTTCAGCGATGGCTAGAGCCACCGATTTAAAGCCTCGGGTGATCAGGTTTGCTCCCATCCTTTGGATAGCTTGGAAGCTGGATTCAGTGCCACACTCTTGAAGATCGTTCCATGGCCTAAACTTGGCTCGCAGCCCATCAGGTCCTGCCTTTCAATCCCCTCTCCAAATCTTACAAGGTCTACACCCGGTGCCAAAGGGCAGCCTTGAGGTCATTAAAGTTATCGTGGAGCCTCCGACCACGAGAAGAACACCTAAGATCTTCACCCATGAACTACCGATACTAGCCAAACCTCAACTCAGAGTCATAACTCACGCCTCCTCCCGCCGAGGACTTCTAGGGGTAGGGTGTGTGGCCCTAATCGGAACGAAGCTGATCGCCCAGAGGGCCCAGTACATGGGCACCACAGATGCTGTGAACCTCTACTTCAGTCACCTAGGGGCCATACTGGTAGCCCTAGAAATGGTCCAAGAAACCTGCCGTCACCCCCCAACACTTCGGGATTGTTTCCAAGTGGTCATCGTCACCGCCTGCCAGGCAGCTCTCAAATATCTGACCAATCCCGGCTGGCAAAGCGGCCAGGCTCTGATCGTCAAGATCCTTCAAAAGGCAGACACCATGATCTGCGACGGATTCGATGACTGAGTCATATTAGACACATACTCGTTTTTGTACAGTTATGTCAACAAGAAACAGTTCACAGGTTCATATCTTAAGTTATTACATTCAATCATGGCAAAAGTACACAGCAGTACACCAAAGACTGAAAACCCCTTAAACTCGCTATATGCTGCGCCGGACGATGCATTGAATGAAACATGATCGCACCTATGGACAAGGCATGAAAGGAGGACTATAATCATCGCTGATGTACATGATGCCAAAGAAGCTGCAAAGAAGTCATATATCGGACAAGAACGTCAAGATCGTCGATTCGCTGACCTGCGACCATCCGTCGGAGACTCGGGAGGTTCCTCATCCACGAAGCGGACGCTATTCCCCACCGAGCTTCGCCGACCTGTCCGTGGGCGTTTGGAAGATGTTGAGAGAGCAGTCGTAGTCCCAGCCCGAAGGAGTCGACTTGCGAAAGGTGTGCGTAGAGGTGTGGCGGGAGTAGTGGACATTTGGGCAAGGGCTCGCGCACGGGCGGCTCGTTTTGAGGGGGAAGTTGTGAAGTTGGGGGTTGCCAGGGGGCTTGCAGAGATGGGATCATGGGAGGTTGCTTGGGATGTTGTCGTCAAGTCACTGATTTTGAAAGGCGTCTCAACCTGGTCTTGATACCACGGGTCGAATATCGCTGAGCCAGCACGGTCGCCATTTCCATACGTTGACATAGGTGCGGGTGTCAAAGATGGACCCGCAGAATCTCGGGCCTCCAGTTTCATTCGGGCACTGTCCACCCAGTCGCGGAACATAGCCCTTGAGTGTTTCCGCAAATTCCTCTCCCGCATGGCTTCAGCGGTTTCAGTGGTACTGCCGATCTGGAATATGCGAAGGCTGAGCTTGCGAAGAGAAGCAGCTGCCAGGCGTAGGGCGTGCAACCGGTACACGTTGTCTGCCTGATCTTCCATCTCACGACGAATGACAAAGGTTTCAGACATTTGCATGAGCTGGTCAAATGCAACCTGGCGGAAATATGAATCGTCGGCATCCTGGCAGTCCTCAAGCCTCTTGGTTGTTTTGTCATGCCATTGAATGAATATCTCGGATACATCAGCAAGCAGCTTTTCGCGATCGACGTCACTAGCTTGTTGCTGCATCTCCATAACCGTGCGAGCTTTCGATGACCAGGTAGTCAGCGCCTTGGATGCGAGGTTGATCTTGACTTTCCGCCGGACTTTCGCATACGCTTCTTGTCGCCGTCGTTTCCCGGAGTCAACTTTGGCCTGGTGCCATTGCTTCACGGTCTTCTTCATCAAGAAGTAAAATCGAGCGTTTTGGGCCCAACCTTCCATCTTGGACACCTGTCCAAGCTTGGACCGCCAGATCGTAAGAGACTCAGCTGCAAGCCGCGGTGCATAGAACTCTGATGCAACATACTCTCGCTCTCGCTGGAGCTGCACCTGGTCACGCCAGATGGCAAACTTGGATCGAACCAAATTATTGGTCTGATGATCCTCATGAGCTTCAGCATTGGTAAGTAGGCGGTTATAAGTATCCCGAGTGTTTGTCACGAATCGACCAAAGACTTCGCGCTTGATGCGTTGCTCGCGTATTCTTCGCATCAACTCAAACCTTTCCATAACGACCCACTTGTACATAGCCTCCATTTTAAGGCGCTCGTCAACACGAGCTTGAAGGGCCAAGCAGCGAAGCGTATCATTCCAGGAAACCCACGCGTTTTTTTGAATTCGATGGCGATCTGCCTCTTCTGCTTGTTTAAGCGTTCGGGCCTTCTCAATCCAATGTGATAGAGCATTCCGTACAATCCTGGTATCCACCATCTCAGAGACCCGAGAAGCAGCCGGGGCCAGCCGGGCTTGAATTCTCCATTCATCAAAGGATGCTCTGAGGTCATGCTGGCGCCGAGAAGTCTGAACTTCCTGATCTGCCAAAGCAATGGTTCTGGAGTGTTGAGACCATACCTGAAATGCCGACTTCAGAGCTGACCGTTTGTTATTGAGATCTATCTCATGGTCGCGCTCTCGATTGGTTCGTAAACTCCGAAGCCAGGAGAGTAGCGATCGTCTCTTGAGTCGATAATCGGAAACCTCTAGCACACGACGGTCGCAGAAGCACCACCACCAGTCCCAGAATGATGTTTTTTGAAGCCTCGTGTTGCGCACACTTATGGCCTGAGCCTCTGCTGCCTTCACATGTTGGACTTTCTTCCGCCAAGCATTGAAAGGTCGTTGTAGTGCAAAACGTTGGGCCTTCATCTCGTTGACGGCAGTGATCTCGCGCCATGCACTGAAATATTTGACGCTGAGAACATGTCTTCTAGCAGCAGACGTCCGGGCCACTTCTTCCGACGTGAGTTGAGCCCAATGGCTAAACGCCTTTGTCATAAGATATAAGTCACGCGCACGACTTGCTCGCGCTTCAAGGTGTTTGAAGAATCGATCTGTTCGGGCCGAGTGGCGTTTCTCTTGAATCACCGCTCGCCATGGTTCAAAGGCCTGTCGCATGAGAAGGATGCGGTCATAGTTTACCGCGCGTGTCTCCCTAGTCTCGCGAATTTGTCGTGCTTGAAAGGCCTTTTTCAGCCATTGTGTCAGAATCCGGCGGCAGTTCGATCGCTGTCGGTACATATTGAAAGTTGACGCATCTCGAAGCAGATCTGACAGCTGCGGGCGATATAGGAACTCGGGTGGCACCTCTTCTTTATCGAAAGAGTCGTGCTCTGGGCTCTGTGACATGATTGACTGCCCTTCTTCCGACTCAGAGCTGTCGGAAGATTCGGAAGAGGGTTGGCGGGGGGGACGTGAAGCTTCAGCCATTCTCTTTGAACGATCACGAGCAACAGCCGACCTCGCAACGACTCCGTTCGTCAATGGGGTCTCCCCTGGTGCTTCATGCTTATTTTCTATTCCATCAAACCGACTCAGCAACCGTCGACCGACATCCAAAAATTGGCTGATCAATTGTGTCCGATCCGGCGATTTGGTAGGCCCAGGGTTATGTCTTGGGGTAGGCGACAGTTTTGGCTCGAGAAATTCAGGTTTGCCAATTTCGAGCCTGGACATGGAGGACCGCGAGCTGGGGCGGTTGACGAAGCTCCTTTGTGTAACGTCCTCACCAATATCGTACGTAGTGTTGAATGATGCGCGCCGTTTGGGTGTCGGGGTGACTCCGTTCATGGCTGGGAGATGGTCATGTTCAACAGTCTGGCTGTGAGTGGCCTCCACTGTATTTTGGTCGTAATCATGTGTCTCATTGAGATTTGTAGATCCTTCATCGCCAAGTTCGATCACGATGCCCACCTGCTGGAGCGCATTCTCGAATTTGTCGAAGAGGGTGTCGCCGCGTACGTCTTTGCCCCCCATCTTGAACAGGAAGCGCAGACACGCATGACCTGAATCCGCGTTGGCGCCATGTTGTCCAATGACTTCGTCGTATGCCTCGAAGAGCGCCCGGAATGGGAGTCGATCCGCTTCGGGTTTTGTCTCGGCGCTGGCGACAACCTGGTAGAGAAAACCGACATCTGGGCATACGTTAGCCCTCGTCAAGTGAATGGGTGCTAAAGCGGGTCATACCATCATCTGAAAGAGATGAGTTCTCTTCGGTCACGGCTCGACGCTGAGAGGATATCGGAGGCATCGAAAATTCGCGATATTAAGGCGCGCTTGTCGCATTTGGGTCATAAAGCTGTACAACCAAATAAATCATCGCGAAGGCGGGGAACGCCAAAGATAGAAGATATGGACAGGCAGACACACTCTGCGATCAGTAAATCCAGAACAATAGTAACAACGGCCTAAGCCATGCGCCGACAATCGTATCAACGGCGAGCTCAGCTGGTTGTTTTGGTTGTCGCGACAGAAACATGCAGAGCGGTCACGTGCCCTTATGTAACATTCTTGGATTTCTACCAGCGGATGATTGGCTTTCAGAATGAGACTATTCGTCACATTCCAGAGCTGCATCCTCGCTTCATCCTATCAATATGCCAGGAAAGACTCGTCCGGTTGAGAAGATTGCTAAAGCTACAGCACAATGCTCTGCAGAGGTTTGTATCTTCCGAATGACCTTTGGCATTGCGTGGCTGATTAGGAATAGGTTGCTGCATATGGCAAGTGTGTTATGACGGATTACAACTCAGTACATAAAGATATGTGTGCCAAGGAGTTCTTGAGACTGAAGAATTGCTATCTGGTGAGTGACGAGCAAGGCAAGAACGAGTGCTGTACAGTCCACTAATGAACTTGAATAGGCGGCATCGAAAAAGGGCTAAATGTGCTGTCATTATGGGTTGAATAGCGGAGGTTTCCCTGGGTTTAGAGCGATATTTGATCTACTTGGGTACGGCGCAAGCAGGAGCACTTGTAATTGTGTATTGTGATGAATTCGCTTCTGAAGAATTATTCACGAATGACTATGATATCATTCAAAACAAAAATAAATCGTTGGACAGTAGAATTGATATCTACATATTTTTCTTTCGGCTCTCTAAAGCTTGAGAAGACGCAGAAGGAAAGTGGCGTTTTGCACCTCCTGTTCTTCCTGGGAGATAGTGCCCTCTTCGTTTCCAGTAGGGAGCTTATCACCACTGAAGTCACTCATCTCGACCGGGCGACGCAGAACCTTCTCAAAGGCCTGGGCTTGAGACTTGAATGCCTCGTCAAGGCCAATGTTGTCTGGATCCGAGATCACTGTGTATTCCATCTTCACATCGTCGGTTGGAACCAGACCAGCCTTCTTGCGAAGGCGTTGAACACGGTTGATGATCTCACGACCCAGACCCTGGTGAGCCAGCTCCGGGTACAGGTTTACATCAAGGATGGTCAACACATCAGCGTCCGTGTTGGTCTCCATGCCCTTGGAGTTGCCGTCTTCCTTGATTCCTCGCTTTACAACAAGATCACCCTCAACGAGCTCAATGCCATCAACCAGAATCTTCTTGTTCGCGAGATAGCCCTTCACATCATCACTGGTGAGAGACGGCAAAGCCTTCTTGACTGTTTGGACGGCCTTCTTCAGCTTCTTTCCTAGCACCGGCCAATCAGCAGACACTGAGTATTCGACTTGGTACTTGGCTTCGTCAGACGAAAGAATAAGCTCCAGGACGTTGAGCTCCTCGAGAATGTAAGGCTCAAGGGACTTGACATCCTCGAGATATTGCGGGTCATTGTGAATCACGACAAGGGTCTTCAGGGGAGTCTTCAGACCAATAGCCCGGCGTTCGCGTGAGACTCGACCGAGTTCGATGATGGTCTGCATGCGAGACACTCTGCGTTCGACAACTTCGTCAAAGAGTTCTTGACGGACTTCGGGGAAAGGAAGGAAGTGTACGCAACGGCTGTCTTCAGCACGGAGCGATTCGGGAATGTGAGGCAGGAGGCGCTGGTAGATGTTGTCGGTGATGAACGGAGTGAAGGGAGCAAGGCCCCTGACCAAAGTGTAGAGAACCTCGAAGAGAGTATTCAAGGCGTGCAATGTGTCATCAACGCCGTTCTCACCCTTAAGTCTCTTGCGGTTAAAGCGAATATACCAGTTGGTTGTGTTATCAATCAAACCCAGAAGGCGCGGCACAACCGTATACAGGCGGTAGGCAGCCATCTCCTGGTTGATGAACAGAAGCAGGGATTGACAGCTTGCAAGTACCCAGCGATCCATAACATTTGTGTTGGTGCTCTCCGCTGCAGGATCGAAGACGAAGTCGATGTTGGAGGTCTTTTTCAGGAGGGTCACCTGGCCCTCGAAGAACTTGTAACTGTTCCACAATGGGAGAAGCACTTTGCTGACAATCTCCTTGACACCGCTTTCTTTGAATCTGAGAGGCTCGGCACGAACAACCGGGCTGTTAATCATGTACAATCGTAGAGCGTCCGATCTGTTCGAAGTTGTTAGTAGGCAATTCTCTGCTCGGCAACGGAGAAAAACGATCGTTACTTACCCGTAAGAATTCATGATCAAAGATGGGTCGGGGTAATTTTTCAACCTGTGAAGTCAGTATTTTGGATATTGGCCAGAGCGCATGATATGGGCGATGACATACCTCTTTGACATCTTGAGGCCATTCTCCGCGAGCACAATGCCATTTACCACAACGTTCTTGTATGGTAGCTTTTGGCGCAAGTGAACTCCGATGACACTGAGTACGTAGAACCATCCGCGGGTTTGGCTAAAATTCAATATTAGCTGGGAATATTCGATGACAAAAGGCGGGAGGGAAGCTGTACTCAAGACCCTCGGCGATGAAGTCTGCGGGGAAACGGTCCTCGAACTCATCTTTACCCTCGAAGGGGTAGTGCACACTTGCGAAAGGCATACTGCCGGATTCAAACCAGCAATCAAACACCTCTGGAACACGTCTCAAAACACCGTTGCCCTTAGATGAAGGGATGGTGATGTGATCGACCTTATCCCGGTGGATGTCGGTGAGCTCGCCCTCGTAACCGCTCAGTTCCTTCAGTTGCTCAATGCTTCCGATAGCGACAACTTCCGAGAAATCATCACTGACCCACAATGGCAAGGGTGTTCCCCAGAAACGGTTGCGAGAAATGTTCCAGTCATGAGCGTTCCGAATCCAGCTAGCGAATCTGCGCTCCTTGACATTAGATGGGACCCAGTGGGACTTCTCGATGCCATCAAGAATATCAGGAATGATAGGCTTGACCTTCACAAACCAGGATGGCACAGCACGGTAGATCAGAGGAGTGTCAGATCTCCAACAGAATGGATAGCTGTGAGTAATCTGGCTGTCAACGAGGACACGGCCGTTGCCCTTGAGAAGTTTGATGATGCCCTTGTCAGCGGCCTTAACATTCTGACCAACGAAGTCCCGAACTTCAGCTGTGAAACAACCCTGTGCATCAACGGGGTTGGGAGGAAGGCGAGTCTCAGAAATAACGCCGTGGTTCATAGCAACCTGGTAATCCTCCTCACCGAAAGCAGGAGCCTGGTGGACAATACCAACACCATCCTCGGCAGTGACATACTCGTCATTCACCACCTTGAAGCCACAGTCCTTGAACTCTTCATAGAAGTAATCAAAGAGGGGTTCGTACTTCCATCCGAGCATATCAGAACCCTTGAGACGGTCGACAATCTTGAACTTGGCCTTCTTCGGGTCCTTGTAGATTGTTCGAAGGAGAGCCTCCAAGAGGATGTAGTTTTTCTTTGTAGCCTCATCGTAGATCTTGACGTACTCAAAGTCGGGGTGCGCGCACAAACCAGTGTGCGAGGGAAGAGTCCACGGGGTCGTGGTCCACGCAAGTAAGCAGGTCTCGGGATCATCGAGCAAAGGGAATGTCACAACAACGGCGGGATCCTGCACGTCCTTGTAGTTCTGCTGCGCTTCGAAGTTGCTGAGCGGGGTGTTCAAGGCGGTAGAGTAAGGCATGACACGGTATCCACGATAAACAAGGCCCTTATCGAAGAGCTCCTTGAAAACCCACCAGACCGATTCCATGAATGTCGGGTTCATGGTCTAGATGATAATCGTGTTAGCGAAAAACACACAAAAGACCGAACGCACTCGAACATACCTTGTAGTCGTTATCAAAGTCAATCCAACGACCCAATCTCTCGATAGTTTCGCGCCATTCTGTTGCGTATCTCATGACAATCGACCGGCACTCCTCGTTGTACTTCTCGATTCCGATCTCTTGGACAGCCTGCAGGCCGGACATGCCCAACTTTTTGTCGATCTCATATCTAACAATCTCGTGTCAGCTGAATCCTTGTCCTTAGAGCAGTTGTAGGACGAATTGAGCTTACTCGATGGGCACACCATGCGTATCCCAACCGAATCGGCGCTCCACATGGAATCCCTTCATGGACCAATAACGGGGGATCACATCCTTGATAGTCTAGCAGTAGGATGTTAGAGTTGTCCGATCCCAATCAATCATGGCAATGTCCTTACCGAAGCAAGCAGATGCCCGTAGTGAGGGGTTCCGGTAGCGAACGGAGGGCCATCCAGGAAGCCATAGCGTGGCTTTCCGGCCGAAAGTTCAACTTGGCGTTGAAAGGCATCAATCTCCCTCCACCGAGCGAGCATGCGCTCTTCTTCCGCGGGAAAATCCATGTCGTGGTGACTCCAGTGGTCTTGCAATTGTGGAGAGAAGATTGACTGCAGCTAACAATCGCTCAGGGCTTGCAGTCCTGGTGAGTCACCCCGCCTCGTTTTTCTGCCATTGTGCCTTATTGCCTTGACCCCTCCATACACACCGCCTTCTACAAACGATGAATATCGCGATAGGGCTAGAGGAAGGGCCTAGTTAACTATGCTCTACGAGGACGTACGGAGTTCATTGAAACATCAATTGGTTCATTTTACATTGTCCGGAACTCCATTTCCTCCCTCTGACCTCATGCCCAAATGCCGGATGTGTCATAAGATACTAACAACGATAACGAAGAATCACAAAAATGGAAGGAGGGCATCTGGAGCATCATCCGCGATCTAGTAGCGGTTGTATCCTCCTTGATTGTGGGAGTAATGATCCCGATTCTGGCCACCGCCACCTCGACCTCCTCGGCCACCTCCACGACCTCCGCGATAATTCTGCGATTGATACCCATTATTGTACTGACCACCCGGGTTGTACTGGCCACCTTGGTTGTATTGGCCGCCCTGATTGTACTGGCCACCTTGGTTGTAATGGTAGCTTGACTGGTGTGACATTCCCCCGCGAGGTGGTGGAGGCGGTCCCCTGGAGTAACCTCCGTATCCTTGGCCGGGAGGAACCCAGCCAGGAGGTACCATAGGGGCACCTCCGGGACCACCTTGGAGGTGCGCAGCGAATGGGTTCGGCCGATCACTGGCATAGCTCATTCGACCGCCACGTCCCCTGCCCTGGAAAGGTGCACCGCCAAATGATCGGCCCGAGTTCTGGGCACGGCCTTGCGTAGCCCTGATATCGTTCGAATCCAACATGGGCGTCGGTAGCTTGACACCACGGAGAAGCATAGATTTGTGCACGCTAGACGATTTTGGGATCGTGTACAGAACCCTGCGTTTGGTTAATACATGGATGAGGATATGAAAACGAGAAGGATAGACTCACGTGAGAGAACGATCATCCTCAACACTCGGCATGCCATGTGCCTCGAGTGGGGAGACCAAGGAGCTGTGAGGGATATAAGAGTCGCTACGCTGGACAATACCAGCCAGGCCGCCACTCACATCCGACTTGAGGTTATACTCTGCCGGACCCGGTTTCTTGGAGTAAAAGTTCGCCACAAGGTCTTGGTACAATGGATGTCTGTCGGAGACTAGAAGAACCTCCTGCCCATGGGAGTTGCGACTCTTTTCATCCTCAGTGAGAAGAGGATATACCTTCTCCATTGCTTTTAGAAGACGAGTCTCGTCGATGAAGGGGAGAAGAATGACGCCTTGCCAAGCAAATTTCTTGCCATTCAGATCCAGAGGGAAGTCCTCCGGGTAGAAGTCAATGATCTCGCTATCGGGGTTCTCCATGAGAGGATGGAAAACCTTCGGGAGCGCGTGGTTAGATGAGGCAGGCAGGACACCCATTAGCTGTTCAAATGGTTTGAAGATGGTGCCTTTCTCAAACTGGACGTCCATATCGGCGATATCAACGAAGTCGGCAGCTGTACAGATTAGGTTAGTAATGATAGAAGAAAGATGACATGGGAACAAAGATATAAAGCAAAACTCACCGAACGGAGCATAGTGGCGTGGGTAATACCAATTCTACAATCAAGTCAGCGCAGTCCCATCATATAAACACGGAATCGGAGGTGGGCAACATACCCAAGAGGGGCAGCCCTGGAAATAGTATCGCAAAACCCAACAAAGACCAACTGCATATTCACGAGCGACCTGGTGACGGAACTCCAAGTCTTTAGGGTCCACGCCGAATTTTTGCTCGTAGTAACGATCGGCATATCCAGGCTCCCAAAGCTTGACAGTGTCTTCTTGAGGCTCATCTTGTTTGGGCTTCTCGGGAACCGGGGGCGGTGGTGAGTCCCTGCCCGGTGTGCCTGCCTCCTCGTCCTCTTGTTCGACTTCCTGTTCGACCTCCTGTTCGGTTACTTCCGCCTTTCGCTTTCCGAGAACTCCGCCTCCAGGCGAAGTCGGCTCTAGGGCTTCAGTAGATGCTTCCCCGTCCTGGGAAACTGAGGGTTCGACGGCATCAGCTGCGCCCTGCTTGGTCTTCATGAGTTTGCTCTTCAGCACAGCAGCGGCACTCTTGTTCTCCATATTGGCGCGGTACACAGCTCCACGGTTGATGACCATGCTGTGTGTCAACTCCCTGGTCTCCTTGGCCAAGTGGCCTCGGCCAGGTGTGATCAGTTCCATGGGAGGAACGGCCTCACCGCCACCACCGCGCTGATTGCGAGACGGGGGAGAGCTCCGTCTGCGCTTCTGAGAGCGTTCTTCATTGCGAGCCGCGTCCTGCTCCTTCCTTCTTTTCTCATTTGCCTGTTTCCTTTCTTCCGCTTGTCTACGACGCGCGAAAATGGCGTCCTCCTGCTTTGCCAGCCCTTGCAAGATGATTTGAGCGTTTTTGAGATCAACACTTCCATCTTTGGTGAGATAGCTTCCCATTGCGGGGAGATTATCCCGCCAAATTGCAATCAAAGTATCAATTCCGTTCTCGCGAATGTCCAAAGAGGGCAAGTGAGGAAGGAAATCGTTTCCGACGAAGAAACACATGAAGACCCAGTCATCAAGCGCACGTTCCAAATCGAACGGGAAAGGTTGTTGAGGGACACGAAGTTCCACGGCAAGGTATTCTCTTAGGACAGCGACATGGAGCCAGATAAATGGCTTGAGAGGTGCAGCGTGCTGTTTCTCGTCGAATTCTCCATTCTTTTCCTTTGGGCGACCAAGACACTCTTCAGCCTTGTGGCCATTCTGTCCACAGAGTCTGCATCCGCGAGGCCTAGAATCCTGGGCAAACACATCTTCACGCAATACTCGGAAGTAGGGCTCGTGTGTACCGAGACCCAGCATGATAAGATCAGCATCCTGTTTGGTTTAAAGTTAGTGTCCTGGAATTACTCAGATACAAGATTCGTGTAAACGTACCAAACCGTAAATGACATGACGGGTATTGGGATCATGATCAGGCGAGGCTCGCTGCGATCGCACGAAGTTCATGATCTTGTGCTCGCCTTCTCCTGGAACCGTGGCATCTGAAATGATGATTTTAAGCTGTTCACGTCAGTTGAGTGCTAGCGCCGGGGAAAAAAGAGCAAAACATACTTTCTCCCAACCCGGGTCAGTGTTGAGTTTGTAGGCAATCCAATACCGCAGCGACGCAGCAAGGATGTCCATGAAAGGTGTTCCCGGCGTGATGACATTACTGTCCCATGTCTTCTGAACAACCTCCTCTCGCATCATTTTATCGCCACCGGTCTTTGTAGCATGCTGCTGAGCAAGCATTTTGTGAAGTTCCTCCTTCTTTTGATCATTCTCTTTGGCCTCTTGCGCTGAGCGGAATCGACGCGCGCGCTGCTGGTTCATCTTCGCTCTTGGGGCGACGCCATCTAGATATCAGGTTGAGGTTAGCTAAAATCCGTTGTCAATGCGCAAGCTCCGTTGGACTAATACATACCAATAGCAATCATGAGAAGCTTTCTGGGGCGCACCATGTTGACCACGCGATCAGTGTACTTGTAGATCTCCATCATCATCTCCTGCTCATCCGCTGGGGGAGGCTTGCCCTCCGGGTGGGTACACGGATGGACGATACCATTCATGTCTAGGTAGAGGTTGTCCTGCTCCTCGCCATTTGGATTAGGACCGGTGATATCAATCGGAATTTCTTCTCCATCCACTTGGTTGGGCTGCTCCTCGATGACCGGGGAGACGATCTTCGGATACTTGTTGGAGAGCCATCGGAACAGTGCAGGAACACCCATGACGGTAATGCGACACTCGTGGTGTCAAGATCTGAGAGGGTATCGCTTATTCTTGTGTCGCAATCAGGTCCTGGCGTTCATACAGGCGCAAGCGCGATCTCCGTGGGTGCAAGATAAGTTGAGACTGTTTGAATGAAGTACAGACTCCTTTGAAACAAATGGGACAAAGCAAAGCAATGTGCAACCGTAGTGATCACGGTGCAGGTTTGGGGTAGTGGAAGAGACTCGAGAGCTTTCCGGGGACGAAAAGATAAATCCCGGGGGCGGTCGGGCGATTCTGCGGGTTGAGCCAAGATCGGCGTTTAGCCCCCTTCGGCAGTAGGACAGCTTTCTACACAGTACTGCAACCCGCAGTTCATCTTCGGATCTCTTTTTTCTGTGTTCCTTAGATGACTATCAGTTCCTACGCCCTCGGCTGGCGACCATGATAGTGCAAACCACCTACGATGTTCCGAATCCTCGAGTCGCAAGCTCCGGCCAAACAAACGGCTACGGACACAATCGATGTATTGAGCAGTAGACTCCAGAGTGCTACATTGTTGGAAGATCGCCGAGCAGCAATTCAAGGGCTCCGAAGCTTCGCAAAACTCTACCCAGCATCAGTGGCCTCCGGAGGTCTGCGATCATTGATCAACAGTCTACGCAATGACAGTGAAGATGCGGACACCATCAAAGTGGTCCTTGAGACCCTCCTGATGCTCTTCACGCCTGATGAATCTAGTGTTGGTGCCGCGTATTCTGGAACAGACCCATTGGAGCTGCTCACACATTTTATTAGCCCGAGGCATCAGACGAAATAGCTCTGTGGCTGGCAGATGAATTCACTCAGGTACACATTGTTATCTTGGTCCCTGGGCAGTGTACTAACACCTTGAAAGCGACAAGATAATATAACTACTCTACTCGACCTTCTCGAAGCCCGCGAATTTTATCCCCGCCTTTATTGCCTTCAATTGATTTCCCACATTTGCAGCGCACGACCGGAACGGACACAAGAATGCATCTTCACAGCGCCACTGGGGATTTCCAAGCTAGTCAATGTGTTGACAGATGCGAGGGAGCCAGTGCGTAACGGTTAGTCTTTGTCCAGATCGCTTTTACATGGGAATAAGCAATTGGATCTGACAACTTGGTTACGTCTGCTAGAGGCTCTTGTCTTGTTGATTGCCCTGACCCCTTCCTCAGAAGAGCTACAAAAGCTTGTGGCATTTGAGAATGCATTTGAGATACTCTTATCTCTTATCGAAGCAGAAGGAGCATTGACTCATGGAACTGAGGTGGTAGAAGACTGCCTGTCTTTGTTGGCTCAGTTATTGCGATTCAATGTCTCCAATCAGTCGTTCTTCCGCGAGACCGGATACGTGAAACGGGTGACACGGCTGCTTCATGAATGTCAACAAGAACCAGAAGGCGACGACTCGGCACCAGAGTGGACCTTGATCCATCGAGACAAGAATGTTTGGGGGCTTTTGGCCATCATTCAGTTATTCTTGATTCGCGGTGGCATGACTACGCCCATTAATCAGACTGCATTTTGGCAGAATGGTGTGACCGAACAAGTCCTTAGCATCGCATTCGGTCAAAGATTCAGCGTCAGTGTTACAGCTAAGGTGAGATGCTGCCCTTGTAGTTGAATTGACTACATCGTGGACTAACAAGCCCAGGCTTTATCGACTTGTGCCGATCTTATCCGTGGAAACTCACCATTGCAGGAAAGATTTGGTGATATCGAAGTCCTGTGGGGGTCTTACCACGGCGGCGACAAGGCGGCCAACGGGCATGTCAATGAGCCCCTACGAATCAATGTCATCGAAGCATTCCTAAAGCTCAGCCTTGAACCCGCTCCTAATAACCTTTTGGATGCACGGCTTGCTGCCTGTGAATGTATGAAGGCGTTCTTCGCTCAACACTCTGGTATTCGTATGCATGTGCTTCGGCGAGCGATTGAAGGGCATACCAGTGGACAGGATCGAATCCCGAATATCCTATCTGTACTACTCGTTGCACCGGAGGCGAGAGGAAATGCCGATCCATATCAAGTGTGGATGGCCTCTGTCCTTATGTTCCATCTGCTTTTTGATGATGCAGAGGCGAAGGCAACGGCTATGAGGGTTACCGAGGGCGATGCTGAGAGCGGCGAAGAAGTAGTCACGAGTGTCCAATCTATCGTGGGTAATCTGATCACTGGACTGCAGCGCGGCGATGATGAAAGAATCACCGTTGGTTATTTGATGTTGCTCTGTGGTTGGCTGTTCGAAGATCCGGATGTTGTGAACGACTTTCTTGGAGAGGGCAGCAGCATCCAAACCTTGCTACAGGAAATCAAGCACCAGCGCACTCCCAGCAAATTGTTGCCTGGACTTTGCACAGTGCTGTTGGGTATCATTTATGAGTTCTCCACCAAAGACTCCCCGATTCCTCGCACCACTCTCCACAAACTGCTTATCGAGCAGCTTGGAAGGGAACAATACATTGATAAGATCACAAGGCTCCGAGAATGTCCATTAGTTCGCGACTTTGAGGTCCTACCCCAAACCGCTGGATCTCAGGTCGAGGGAGGACTGCCGGAGGTTTTCTTTGACCGCGCCTTCGTCGAATTCCTGAAAGATAACTATAGCCGATTACTTCGCGCCATTGATCGTGAACCCGGATTTGAGATCTCTGTTGTCACCAACGGCGTGGAGAAGGGCGTGTCGCGAGAGCTGGTCGACGCTTTGCGCGGAGAAATCGAAGATAAAACCCAAACGCTTCAAAAATTGGAGTCTGATCTTGTGAGCATCCAACGGAAGCTTGATCAGGAACAGCTGGATCATCGAAAGACGAAGGAATCTAGCTCGGTGGAGGTATCAAGGGTGCAACAGACCATTCAGTCTTTACAACATAGCCATGCGCAGGAGCTGTCGGAGCAGCTATCAAAGCTCGAAGACCAACATAAGCACCAGAAGAACGAATTACTGAAGCAGCATGCAGATCAGCTTCGTGCTCTCGACCATCAACTCAAGCAGGCATCGGCGGAATCCGAAAGCAAAAGCAGCAAACTAAATGAAATGAGCAAGCAGCATGAGCGGGAGATTGCTGGGCTGCAGCAAAAGATTCGTGGCTTGGAGGCAGAACTTGCCCGCGTCCGGGAACAAGGTGCAAGAGAACTTGCCACTTTCAAGAAGAAAGCTCAAGAGTTACAAAATACCATCAGTCAGTCCAAGGAGACTCACGGTGCAAAGGTCACTGAGCTTGAACAAAAGATCCAAGATCTGGAAAGCACCAGGAAATCCCACGATGAACGAGTCGGTGGTCTTAACAAGACGATCGAGGAGTTGCAAAGCACGATCAGTCAATCCAAGGAGGCCCATGGCGCAGAGATTGCTGGTCTTGAAAAGCAGATCCAAGACTTCAAAAACACCGAGAAATCCAATGATGGACAGGTGGCTGATATCAGCAAGAAATTGCAAAGCATGGAGTCTACGTTGGCCGCAACAAAGGAACAGCACGAAGCCGAAGTGGGTGACTACAAGAGCAAAATTGGAAGCTTGGAGGCCGACCTTGCTGCATCCCAGCAGCAACATGAGGCTCAGACTACTGATCACAAGGATACGGTTGGAACACTTGAGTCAAGTCTTGCTGCAGCCAAAAAAGAGCATGAAGCTGAAATCGCAACCCTGAAACAATCCGTCGCAGCCCTTGAGCCAGAACTTGCAAAGGCCCAGAAGTCTAGCAATGATCTTGCAACAGCCCAAGAAGGCACAGCATCCCAGACTTCTGCGTTGGAAGCACGAGCCAAAGAGGCCGAGGAAAAGGCCGAAGAGGCCGAGTCACGTGCCCGCAGTGCGGCCGAAGCCCTCAAAAGCATTCAGGCCCAGCTCGACAAGGCTCAATCAGAAGCTAAAGAAAAGGAAGAGGCCCGCCAGTCTGCCCAGGTTGAACTGGAAGACCTGCTGATCGTCTTCGGAGACTTAGAGGCTAAGCGAGCCGACGACAAGGTACGTTTAATGGCTTGATAACTGTGGAAGTTTTTAATGAGGATGTTACTGACAATGTCTAGAAACGACTGAAAGAACTTGGAGAGGAAGTTTCGGAAGCGGAGGATGACGATGATGAAGAGGACGAGGAGTAACGAGCATGTGCCCAGTCCGGACTCCGTAGATACATATTCAGCAAGACAATCAAAATCCAACTCAACGGTGAATGCATTTGACTCCCCCACTGTAGATATGGAAGCGGGAATCATCACAGCTGAGTCAATCAATACCATGGAAACGATTTGGAATAGGTAGAACTCTTCTTCTACCTAGTTTAAGCTGAACTAGATGTCGTTATCGAGGCTTCAAGCTGCAGACTCGAGTATATCTGAGGCATTATGATCCCTGTGAGATCGATTGTCAGGACCCTTGCATGGGATTATTGACACTTCAGCCCCGGCGGAGATGTGACAGATTTGGTCACCGGGCGGTCAGCAAACTGCCCGCGATACCGGAGGGGACGCCATGGAGATCATTCTGCTTTTTTTCCTTTGCTCTTGACTCTTAACCCATTATAGTCTTTTTCTTTAATTCATTGGCTCTTGGTCCAGCTCAATTCCAGGTTGGTTATTTCCCCCGCTTATTCGTCCTCTATTTCCCATTGGTGTGCGCCTTGCATCGCTGGCTTTATTGTGGCATAAGCGGAAAGTGGGATGCATCCTGAGTCATTGTGCATGACGGTGCTAATCTCGCAAGTTTAGAAAGCCACAGAATGAAATGAGTACTGTCTAGATCTTTTCATTACCGAATTCCTTACCCTCATTCATCTCTACAATGTCGGAACCCACCAAGATCAGCATCTTGGGCCGGGAGAGCATCATCGCTGATTTTGGCATCTGGCGCAATTTTGTCGCAAAAGACCTGATCAATGGCTTGCCCTCGACGACCTACGTTCTCATCACCGATACCAATCTCGGATCCCTCTATACCGCTACCTTCCAAAAGTCTTTCGAGGCTGCCGCCGCCTCGGTCACTCCAGCCCCTCGGCTCCTCGTCCACAATGCGGCTCCTGGGGAAAGCTCCAAGTCACGGCAGACCAAAGCCGACATTGAAGATTGGATGCTAAGCCAAGATCCACCATGTGGCAGAGATACAGTTGTCATCGCATTGGGTGGTGGTGTGATTGGTGACTTGACTGGATTTGTTGCATCCACCTACATGCGTGGTGTGCGCTACGTGCAGGTCCCGACCACATTGCTCGCCATGGTCGACTCCTCAATTGGAGGAAAAACCGCCATTGATACTCCTCTCGGCAAGAACCTCATCGGTGCTATCTGGCAACCGTCGAGAATCTACATTGATCTCGAATTCCTCGAGACCCTGCCTGTTCGGGAATTTATCAATGGCATGGCCGAGGTTATTAAGACTGCTGCCATCTCAAGCGAAGAAGAGTTTACTGCGTTGGAGGATAATGCGGAAGCTATTCTGGCCGCTGTGCGCAGCGAGGTGAAGCCTGGTCAGGGTCGTTTTGATGGAATCCGGGATATTCTGAAGGCTAGAATTCTAGCATCGGCACGCCACAAGGCGTACGTTGTCACTGAAGATGAGCGTGAGGGAGGTCTTCGCAATCTACTAAACTGGGGTCACTCAATTGGACATGCCATTGAGGCGATCCTGACCCCTCAGATTCTTCACGGCGAATGTGTCGCAATTGGCATGGTGAAGGAAGCCGAGCTTGCGAGGCATCTGGGTATCCTGAAAGATGTCGCTGTGGCTCGTGTGGTCAAGTGCATCTCAGCCTATGGCTTGCCCACTTCCATGAAAGATGCACGTGTTCGCAAGTTGACTGCTGGCAAGCACTGCTCTGTGGATCAACTACTGTTCAACATGGCTTTGGACAAGAAGAATGATGGCCCGAAAAAGAAGGTTGTGCTCTTGTCAGCAATTGGCCGCACTCATGAGCCGAAGGCCAGTGTCGTCTCCAATTCCGATATTGCTGTTGTTCTTTCTCCCAGCGTCGAGGTTCACCCCGGAGTGCCAAGTTCGCTCAATGTAACTTGCGCACCACCCGGATCCAAGAGTATCTCCAACCGTGCCCTCGTGCTTGCCGCGCTTGGCTCTGGTACCTGTCGCATCAAGAATCTTTTGCACTCTGATGACACCGAGGTCATGTTGAATGCCTTGGAGCGACTCGGTGCGGCGACCTTCTCCTGGGAAGAGGAAGGTGAGGTTCTCGTTGTGAACGGCAAAGGCGGAAAGATCGTCGCAAGCCCTTCGCCTTTGTACTTGGGTAATGCCGGAACTGCTTCCAGATTCCTTACAACCGTTGCGACCCTCGCTACTCCCAGTAGTGTTGACTTCAGTGTTTTGACTGGTAACAACCGGATGAAGCAAAGGCCTATTGGCGACCTTGTCGATGCTCTTACCGTGAATGGAGCCGGTGTCGAGTATATGGAAAGCAAGGGCTGCCTTCCTCTTAAGATTGCTGCTTCAGGAGGCTTCGCAGGAGGAAAGATCAATCTGGCCGCCAAGGTTTCCTCGCAGTACGTCTCTTCGCTGCTCATGTGTGCTCCGTACGCCAAAGAGCCAGTCACTTTGAAGCTGGTCGGCGGTAAGCCAATCTCGCAGCCTTATATCGACATGACCACTGCGATGATGCGCTCTTTCGGTATCGATGTGAAGAAGTCCACCACTGAGGAACACACCTACCACATTCCCCAGGCTAATTACGTGAACCCTGCCGAGTATGTCGTGGAAAGCGACGCAAGTTCTGCGACATACCCCTTGGCCATTGCTGCCGTTTCTGGCACCACCTGCACCATTCCTAACATTGGCTCCAAGTCCCTCCAGGGTGATGCTCGTTTCGCTGTGGAGGTTCTCAAGCCCATGGGCTGCTCTGTTGTACAGACTGATACTTCCACCACAGTTACTGGACCTGCTGATGGCATCTTGCGACCGCTGCCTAATGTCGACATGGAGCCCATGACAGACGCCTTCCTTGGTGCTTCTGTTCTTGCGGCTGTTGCCCGGGGCAAGGACTCAAACCACACGACCCGGATCTACGGTATCGCCAACCAGCGTGTCAAGGAGTGCAACCGCATCAAGGCCATGAAAGATGAGCTCGCCAAGTTCGGTGTCGTGTGCCGTGAGCACGACGATGGTCTTGAGATCGACGGTATCGACCGTACAACCCTTCGCCAGCCTTCCGGCGGTGTGTTCTGTTACGACGACCACCGTGTCGCCTTCAGCTTCAGTGTTCTCTCTTTGATCGCTCCTCAGCCCACCCTTATTCTGGAAAGAGAATGTGTCGGCAAGACTTGGCCTGGCTGGTGGGACGCTATGAAGCAGATGTTTGGCGTGAAACTCGAGGGCAAGGAGCTCAAGGAAGATGAGCAGCTTTCTTCGAGCGTTGAAGAGCGGAGCAGAGCGTCTGTCTTCATCATTGGTATGCGTGGCGCCGGAAAGACCACCGCTGGCAATTGGGTTGCCAAGACCCTTGATCGTCAGTTCATCGATCTTGACACGGAGCTCGAGACATCTGAGGGTATCACCATCCCCGAAATGATCAAGACTCGCGGCTGGGAGGGCTTCAGGGACGCGGAACTGGCTGTCCTTAAGCGCGTCTTGAAGGATCACCCCACTGGTTATGTCTTTGCCTGCGGCGGAGGTATTGTTGAGATGCCAGAAGCACGGAATTTGCTTGCCGACTACCACAAGAACAAGGGCAATGTTCTTCTCATCATGCGCGATATCAACCTGGTGATGGAGTTCTTGCAGATTGATAAGACTCGCCCAGCCTACGTCGAGGACATGATGGGCGTGTGGCTCCGACGCAAGCCTTGGTTCCAGGAGTGCAGTAACATCCAGTACTATAGCCAGCACTCATCCTCAAATGAACTGGCTCTTGCCTCCGAGGACTTCAGCCGCTTCATGCGGGTGGTCAGTGGTCAAGTCAACAGTCTTGATCTCATCAAGAAGAAGAAGCACAGCTTCTTCGTCTCATTGACCTTGCCTGATCTCCAGCCCGCGGGTGATATCATCACCGAGGCCTGTGTCGGCTCTGATGCTGTTGAGTTGCGTGTTGATTTACTGAAGGACCCTTCAGCCGACGGCGAAATTCCCTCGGTTGACTACGTCAACGAACAATTGTCTATCCTCCGCCGCCGTACCACTCTACCGGTCATTTTCACCATCCGCACCAAGAGCCAAGGCGGCCGCTTCCCTGATGACGCCCACGATGCCGCAATGCAGCTATACCGACTGGCATTCCGTACAGGATGCGAGTTTGTGGATCTTGAGATCGCTTTCCCTGATTCCATGCTTCGTGCCGTTACTGAGATGAAAGGTTACTCCAAGATCATCGCCTCGCACCACGACCCTAAGAGCACCCTGTCATGGTCCAACATGTCCTGGATGCAATTCTACAACCGTGCTCTGGAGTACGGCGATGTAATCAAGCTTGTTGGCGTTGCGAAGACCCTTGATGATAACACTGCCCTTCGGGAGTTCAAGACCTGGGCTGAACAGGCCCACGATGTCCCGCTGATTGCGATCAACATGGGCGACTCTGGTCAGCTCAGCCGTATCCTGAATGGCTTCATGACCCCAGTTTCTCACCCCAGCCTTCCCTTCAAGGCCGCACCCGGTCAGTTGTCCGCAGCAGAGATCCGCCGCGGTCTGTCCCTGATGGGTGAGATCAAGGCCAAGAAGTTTGCCATCTTCGGTTCTCCCGTCTCAGTCTCACGGTCTCCCGCCCTTCATAACACTCTCTTCGACACAATGGGTCTTCCTCATGAGTACACACGCCTGGAGACCACCAACGTTGAAGATGTTAAGGACTTTATCTCCGCCCCCGACTTCGGTGGTGCCTCGGTTACAATCCCCCTGAAGCTGGACATCATGCCCCTCCTCGACGAAGTCGCTCAAGAGGCTGAAATTATTGGCGCCGTCAACACCATCGTCCCCGTGCCCAACGGCGACAAGCCCCCTCGTCTGGTCGGCTACAACACCGATTGGCAAGGCATGATCCAATGCCTGCGCAACGCAGGTATTTACGGCTCCACCGGAAACGAGAGTGGCGTTGTCATCGGCGGCGGCGGTACCGCCCGTGCTGCCATCTTCGCCCTCCACAACATGGGCTTCTCCCCGATCTACGTGGTAGGCCGCAATGCCAGCAAGCTTGAGAGCATGGTCTCGACCTTCCCGACGAACTACAATATCCGCGTTGTCGACAACCACGCCCAGCTCGACACGGTGCCCCAGGTCGCCATTGGCACAATCCCCGCCGACCGCCCCATCGACCCTGCCATGCGCGAGACGCTCTGCCACATGTTTGAGCGCGCTCAGGAGATCGACGGTACGCTTATCGGCAAGACTTCTGACACCAGCAAGCCTCGCGTTCTCCTCGAGATGGCCTACAAGCCTTCTGTCACCGCCTTGATGCAGCTTGCCTCCGACGCCAGCTGGACCACGATTCCTGGACTTGAGGTCCTTGTTGGACAAGGTGTGTACCAGTTCGTTCACTGGACTGGTATCACCCCTCTGTACCACGAGGCAAGAGTAAGTAGCCAGCCACTCTAGTCAGACATTTCCTACGCCAAAATTTATCGCTAACGATGTTTTAGAATGCTGTTATGGGTACTGAATCTTCATAAGTGCTTTATGCTCTTTTTCTTCCATCTTATGTCTAACGCCATGTCATGTTTCAACGGCGGGTGAGCCGGTCCGCCAAAAGGCTTCAACAAAAGTTGACCCGGTTCGCAACTTCCGGCTTTGTGTGATTACATGTCATTTTCCTCATCTATATACAGTCTCCTAGCGGTAAATGATATTTGTTTTCCAACCTCAATACTGGCATACTGGCAACAGCTGTCTCCTGCGCAAACCTTCATTCCGCCAAGTTATGCAGCCTTGACCTCTGGCCGAGGAGAGATGGTCAACCACACGTTTTTCCAGTATCCGATACCACCCTTGACCATGAACTGAGCCTCGGGCTTACCCTTCACAGTCTCCGGCTTGTATTGGCGGAAGAACTGAACAATCATTAGCCGGCATCCCCAGACAAACCGAAACCGCAAAATAGAATCAGATATCTCACCTGCAAAGGCCCCTTAAACAACTCCATCATAGCAATATCCCTGCCCAAACAAACCCGCGACCCATACCCAAATGCAAAGTTATACTTATTATAGAACTTCGCCTTCTCAACATCCAACCATCTCTCCGGCTTAAACTCCTCCGCATCCTCTCCATAAAGCCCGGGATCCCGATGCACCAGATACGGATTGCAACTAATCTCCGTGCCAGCCGGCGCAAACTTCCCATAAAGCTCCAGCCCAGGCTCAGAAACATACCGGGGGAAAATATTCGGCGCCGAAGGACACAACCGCATAGTCTCCTTCACGCACCCCACATAAAACGGCAGATGCTCAAGGACCTCGTTATATTGCGGCATATCAGAGATGAGACCCTGACGCGTCGCATTATCAATCTCCGCCATCATGCGCTCGTATGCTTCCGCGTGCGTCAGCAAGAACTGCACCATTGCCTGGAAGGCGGTGCCAGTTGTGTCGGCGCCGGCGAGGAGGACGAGAAGGACTTCGGCGCGGATGTACTCCAGATCCAGGGGCTGGGAGTCTTCGGTTCTGGCCTCGAGGAAGGTCTGGAGGAGGTCTGTGCGGCCGATTTTCTTGTTGTTTGCGATGTCTTTCACGCGCTCGTCGATTAGACGGTCGCGGAAGCGCATGAGGACGCCGATGCCGGTGTTGTCTTCGGGCTTTGCGACGAGGTATTTTTTCAGGAAGGTTGTTTTCATCCAGGAGGTGAAGGGGTGCAGGCGGGCTAGGAGTCCGAAGGCTGGGAGGCCGTCGTGGAAGCCTTGGATTAGGCCGCCGACGTCTTCGCCTTTTTCCACGAAGCCGAATGGTGCGCCGAAGCCGATCTCGCTGATGATATCGTAGGCCATGTAGCTTTTGCATTGTTAATTGGGGGATTGGGGTTTGTTTTGCGGTTGTGCTTACACTGCCCACCAGGAGAAGTCGAAGGCTTCGCCGGTCTTGACGAATTTCTCGTCGAGCTTGGAGGTCCATTCGTTGATGCGCAGGTCAACTAATGGCTCCATCTTCTTGATGTTGCTGAAACTGTACTATACAGAGTGTCAGGTTTGATATCGACATCTGAGGCTTGTATATCGTTTCCATACCGGTCCAGCAACGTGTTTCCTGAAGACAGCGTGGTTCTTGTGAGACCTCATGTTGAACAGAGATTCGGTCTCGCCGAAACTTCCGGTGATATAGTGTCCAGTCTTGTCTGCATTGCGGTGGTAGACTTCGGGGAGCTTCTCGTGATCATTGACCAGCAACAATGTCGGGGTAATTCGAACAACAGGGCCTAGAGGAGGGGTTGGTTTGTTAACTACGCTCTTTGCGCATCGGATCATGAACCAACCATATTTCTTGCTAAGAGCGTAGACAGTGGGCACCTCTGTCTCCTGTAGATTGTGCCATGCTATCCAAAGACGAGTAACGGAGCCCCAGAAGGGACCGGGGAACTTGGCAAGAGGGTGGAAGAAGCGATAATAGACAATCTGCCAGATGAATTTAACCGCCACATACGCAACAAGACCCAATAGTAGATTGGTCACTGTCGCCAGTGACAGGATGTTAGCCGCGAGACCCATGTCGAACTTGGATGTATAGGTTCATGGAAGGGAATCCTCGACAGGAAGAAGGGCAGACAGCCCCTCCAGAAATAGGTACACAAGATTGCGATTAACATTATTCGCTCAAGTATCCCTATTTTACTAAGGGCAAACAGGTATTGGCCAGAAGGCTATGTCAAGCTAACGCTCCTACTCCACGACGGTGTCGTTTATGGATCATGCATGTCTAGACTACTCCATAGACTAGGTCTAAACGGTTTGAACGGTTGACGATACTCGGCACACGGCAGCTCTCGGGACACCTGCTCGTCTTCGGTGTGGGTTCTACCGTTATTCCTGGCGTCGACGATGTGGGGAAAGGGATTGTGTCTGGAACTGCTGATTCGAAATTGAAGCTTTGGGGCTGGGCGGTCTTTGTGAGAATTGTCCCTATTGTGTTATGGTTGCCTGAAACAGTAGTGATCGGCTTCGGATGGGGCTGTCAAGGAATAAGGGGCCTGTGGGTCTTTTCGGTACGCTCCGTTGGGGAAGAGGTCCCGGCTGGACTCGAGAGGGATGATCAAGATCAACATAGGAGAGAGATGCTCCTGCTCCTTCTCGTAGTATGTAATAATGTACTTTGTTCAACGTTGGCCCCTCAATTCACCAGACCTGATTTCGGGTCGGGTTCGACTGCAGAGGGAAAGTCGGGACAGACCGAAATGACAAAGTACCAGAGGTGTGGAGCAGGACGTTGTCGTGTCGTGGCGTGCTCCACTGGGGGATTAGTAGCCAGTCTTCGACTGGCCTTTGAAACTAACTGGGGTTGTTGTTCCAACGTTGCCGTTGCCGTTGCCAACCGAGCTCGTATCTCGTTATGAACCCACAATACTGGGCATTCCATGAACATGGTATTGGAGGCATTGGAATAGGCGTCGGGATAGTCTAAGTCCCGTGAGATGTAGCGATTATGCAGTAATGAACTAGCTAGTTACTGCACAGTAAGGTTGTGTAGCTACACAATGCAAGCCACCCACGGGTGACTCGTGATTCTCCCCGAGCCCTAACTTAAAACAAGTTAGACTCGGACTTTTGACAGTGGAGGTGGCTTGGAAGAATTTCTTTCCGATCCTCCAAAATAGAGAGAATGAGAGAAAGGTCTCTCATTCAGAGAAGCACAAGTACAATACTCCGTAGAGGGAAAAAAATCAGATATCGACAGCCTCGGGATCAGCTAGATTGACGACTGCCGTCTCTAACGAGATCAGCTAATTTTGAAGGAATGGAGTGATGTACTTCTAGTCCAGGAGATCATCAATAGCCCAGATTAGATCGATTGAGTCAAATATGAGAGCAAAGTACTAAGATATGGAATATTCAAGTGATTTCTATCACATCTAGCCTATCCATCAAGATCTATCCGATCTATACAACATCTGCAGTCTTCCAAATCATCCGCATTGTATATCACATGTCCTCGGCTTAATATTTGACGACCAGACTTTGATCTAGCAAGGAAGAGTAACGGATGAAGAGAGATCTTGCAGGCCTCCAACACCAATTCGGCAATTTCGCTTAACCAGTCACCCACAATGGGCCCACCTGACCTCTCTCCACTCCCCCACCCAGGATGGCTCGGAAAAGGGCAAGATGGGTCGTGCAGATCACATCCGCTCCAATCTAAGCTCCGGTGGCAGATGCCTCCAAGGCTGTGGGTGCATTAGAGGCAGCCACATTCCCCCATTGAGCGCATCGCAGACAAAGATCTCGGGGCCCAGAAACGTCCGCCCGTGCAGACCTTCTAACTCCCTCGCTCAGGCCCCTACACCGTACAAATTTCAGGATGGACAAAGTTAAGCAGTGGAACTTTGATCGTCTTGGTGGATAGAATAAGGTCTATGGCTTTATGTTCCCCGTGCTGTCAGCTGGATTGAGTTTGATATCTCGGAACAAGGGGCTGTTGATATTAGTTATGTCGTATACTTCCATTGCACATCAGGATACTGAGATCACAAGCTAAGTCGGTAGACCCACGAAAACTGTGGTTTCGTTCTATCATTTGATTTCTTGTCAATTCCTGTCATAGGAAGGTGTTATGAATTCGTTCAACTTGGCAATGTAGTCATTTCCCGAGGAAAGGTCCATTTTTTTCTTCTGAGACGTCGAATGTGTCGACTTAGCGGAATGTCTCGAGCCAATGCGATCCTTGTCTTGAAGTGGGTATGCCTATGGCGTCCTGAAACACAATGCCCCTTTCTACCAGAACAAGGCCTCTATTGATCATCATTGGGACTGGATCTGTCGCCGAGGGTGTGGATATCGACTTGAGGAATCAGAGTGCTGGGAAAACTATTGGATACAATATCCCCCTGTCTGAGCGAATCATCTCGGTGTCTTCGAGAGAATCCTTCAATTCCTGGCACTTCGTATAGACGGCAGGGATTCCACACGAATAGATCAGCGAGGGTCTCGAGTGGGCGGTGGGGATCGTTCTGACAGTCTCGTCTGGTTGGGGGTTTACCTGACAGGGTAAAGAATGGTCAATCCCTACCTTATTGCTTCTGTCAACGGTTGATATACAGTGGATCTCAGAGGTCACTAGAGCCATGCAGAAGGTGCATACCTGATTTCTGCGTTTACACGTCCTTTTGTTCCGAAGACCCCTGGAGCATATTCTTATAACAATAGACCGGGGTACGGCAAACCCTTTTTCTCTCTTGATGTTTCTCGATGATACTTGTAGTTATTCTCATGATCTGTTCTCCGTGAGATGGCCATGTGAAGCGACTGCCTGTGCCATTCGTTGATTTTTTTGACTTTCACTTACTCTCTCATTTCTCGTTCTTCTTCCATTATCCTCATCATGGCCGGTGACAACGGTTCCCAGGGCCCGGTTGTCGTGGGTATCGCTGTGGCATTTGCCATCTTGACTTTCATTGTTTTGAGTCTTCGTCTTTTCGCTCGCATTTATGTCCTGGGTAAAATGGGTCTTGATGATTGTGAGTGAAACTGTCATTCTTTGCCTGTCGAGACTATACTAACTGCTTCTTAGACCTCATTATCTGTGCTTGTGTAAGATCACCATCGCGATCTAATGGCTCCATAAGTTCCATAACTGACCGGAATAGTTATTATCATGGGCATTCATTGCTGTGACAATTCTCGGTATGTTTAGCCTCACTACTCTCAACTAGCACAAACTAACACTCCCCAGCTGTCCATCATGGACTTGGAAAGCACATTGCAGATGCTGATCCGAACCAGCTCATTGACTACTCTTTTGTAAGAATGCATACGCTCAAGCATGACTTCAAATTTCTGACCTTCCCCAGGCCGTCTGGCTGAGCTCAATGTTTTATCTTGCAACGCTCGGATTCGTCAAAACATCCGTCCTATGGTTCTATACTCGCCTCGGAGATCGCTACCTGACTCGCATGTCCTGGATCATGACTGGAGTCATTGCAGCGCAAGCTACTTCCTTTGTTCTCGTGGCTGCATTCCAATGTCAGCCCATCAGCGAAGCCTGGCTTGCCACTGGCAAAGGACAATGCGTCAACATCAACGTGTTCTACCTCTGCAACGCCGCCCTGAACATCGTCACCGATGTCTTGACTTACACCTTGCCCGTCAAGGTAATCTTCAAGCTCCAGATGCCCCAGAAGCAAAAGATCGTCCTGGCCATCATCCTCTGCCTTGGTCTCTTGTAGGTGTCCCTCAAAGCCTTTCATCTGATAACTTGCTAACTGGTTACTCTGTACAGTGCTTGCGTCTCCTCAATCATCCGAATCACCTACATCCCTGCCATGCTTACCTCAAAGGACTTCACCTACGCCATCAGCGGCGCCATGTACTGGTCCGTCATTGAGACCAACATCGGCATCTTCGCCGCCTCCATCCCCTCCTTCAAAGCAATTGCCTCTCGCTTCCTGCCTCGTTTCATCGGCGAATACAGCAGTGGGAAGAAATACGATCCCTGGTCCGGCAGCAACACTGCCAGGCGATATGGATCTGGGTTCGCCAAGGTCACAGAGCCTCACATCACCCTCGCCACTGTCAATGGCAAGGACGAGCCTACTATGGGTACCAATATCGGTGCGGCCAGCAACTCCAGCGAGGAGCGTATCATCCCACAAGGCAAGATCTTCACTCAAACGGAGATCGAGACTACGATCGAGACAAGTGACGACTATAGAGGCTTCAACTCATCATCGCTCGAGCGGGCTCGTCGATGATTTTCTTTATGTTTTGGTCTACGGGTTTTCGGTGTGTAAAATAGTATAATATTCGGTCAATGTGTTTCGGGTTGATTTTGTTTATAAAGAGACATTCAATGGACATTGCTGTCATAAAATTTATGTCTAGATGGCCATGTAGATCGTTCGATCGAATCTATCTGAAGGTATGCAAGTCGCTGAAATCAGAAGTTTGCCAAATACCAGAAAAGCAACAGATCCCCAAAATCTCTAATAACCATCCTCACAACCAAAGAAATCAATCCACCACATGATACTCCCACCCTTTACACAATCCCTCTCGCCATCTCACCTCCACATGCGAAAAGCCGTAACCCCAACACCAACCACAGCAAAGATGCAAGCCCAGCGCTTCAGCCCCCTCCACAAATGATGCTGAATGGACCTCTCAATAGCTTCCGAGTCATTAATCCGAGGAAACGGCACTCCAACCGGCACCTCAACCCCCAAAGCCTCACAAAGCGGCGTCCACCCATCCTTAACATCATAGAAAACCAACCTGTCCTCCGGCACCACCTCCTTAAGCCAAGCAACATGACTCGCATACGTCTCCCTCCCATGCTGGCCCGCAACACCCCCATAAAGCCTCTCCCACAACTCCGCAAGCAGATGCCCATACGGGATAAAATGCCTCAACCCCTCCAGCGGGAGCAGCACTGCGCGCGCAAACCACACGCCCGTCAGACTCTGCACGCGCAGCATGCTCGTCTCCCACAAGACGGGATCGCGGGTCGTGCAGACGACCTTGGCGTCTGGATACAGCTCCATGAGTTCCGGGACGAGCTCGGAGCCTGGGGAGTCGGTTATGGCGACGTAGCCGGCCAATCGGCGGTGCAGGAGGCTGAGCATGGTTTTCCGGCTGCTGGCATCTTGGTTGGGGTTGAGGCGGCTGCGGAGAATGGGCATCCAGTTGGTTATCTCTGTCGTGGGACCGCGCGAGATTTGCGTTCCGCAGTGGTACACGGGTCCATTGAGGAGGATTTCTAGCGCTTGGCTGAAGGAGGTTGTGCCGGTACGTGGGAGGCCTGCTCCGATGACGCGGATTTGGGCGCCGGGTTGTGGTATTGAGGCTTGTTGGCCCATTTTTGGGGGGAATAAGTATATGTGTTGTTGGGTTGGTGAGCGCTGGTTGGTGTTGTCTGGTTGTTTTGGTTTCAGGTTGGCTGGTTATCCTCTTTTTTTGGCGGGGGAATTCTCGTTTGCGTCCTCCCCGGCGCCTGCTACTTTCACTGTTTAGATGCCCCGGCTCATGTGTGTGAGTATTTTTTCGGGTCTCTTTCCGATATGTACAGATATGAATAGATTTGTGTTCGAGGGTGTGTAAATGGGTCAGGTACGGGCCAGATTGGAGGAGCCCAAATTTTGGGGGTTCTCCTCCCCACTTTCGGAGAACCCCCCGTCCCCCGGTTTCTGGTGTGCGGGCTAGCTTTGAATCTATAGACGTATCATATTTCATGTGATAGCCTCTCTATAGACTTATATTACATGTGATAGCTTCTCGTCAAAGAAAATAATGCCCAAGTCTCATCGGACTTCAGTTTTAGTGTGTTTTTCAGCGATTAATGTTTCTGTCCTTTTCTTCTCAAATCTGCTTTCATGATATTCCGTAACTTAACCAATAACTATGACTTCTCGATCGACTTTGTTTACAGGACTCTAATATAGCGCTTATCACAACGACACTAGTTAGGGCTCAAGCTTGACTGCGGGTAGACACTACATGCGTGGAATCTTTCTTTTGTTACCTTTTTAGGATCTGCCTTGCAGCTTGCAGCCTCGTCCTCCAACCGACATCTTGCGTATGGTCCACATCATAACCTTAGCCAACTTTAACCAGTCAAAGTAGGGCTACATGGATGTCGTAAGATCGTTAGTAAGGGAGAAGATTCTCAGTGCAACTTGAGCCTTGGGACTCTGTGTCACCAACTGTCCACGGGTCAGGTTTGAAGCGAAATCGAGACCCTATATCTGCTTGTAGGTGACCGACCGTATGCTCTGCTACCACTTCTATGAGTGCAACCCTGCGACGATAGCCCAGGGACTGTCAAAGAGACTATCACAGGCGATCGGCCAGGAGGCTGATCATGTTGGTTAGACATGGCTGAGCTCCTCCAGGCTTTGAACATCTCATACATTCTGAGGTTGATGGTAGGCCGTTACATCCTCATTTCTAGTACAGTATGAGAGACATGGATCATTCTACTGTGTAGAAATAGGGGTACGTACACGCTTAGGTAGAGAGTTGGATCGTCCCTTGGACTTAATCGTTCTGGGGAAAACGGCATAGGCAACCAAGTAAAACGGCTGCCCTCCCTTGCTGTGATGGGTGGCATAGCCACAACTCTCCTGCCAACAAAGCTCTTGGCCAACTCTTCCGATCATCCGATGTCTATCCTTTGTTTATTGGTGACGGATATCAGCGCTGAGTCAAGATGACCAAGCGTATACGGAACTCCGCGGCAAGTCCAAGGGATTCGAGGCAGATTCCTGACATCCCTTCAGAGGGCTGTGAGTCACAACGAACCAGACTGATAACTTGATTCCTGAATGCCGGTTACCCCAACGGCAACAGGCACAAGCAGAATGATTTCTAATCAGTGACAGTCAATAACTATGCACCGCGAAAAAACTCATCCGCACACATGGCGCCAAAGTCGAGACAAGGAGCATGGTCCTCCGAGAATGTCGGCGGAGCCCGGAGGCCGACATTCCGAGACGAAAATAGAAAGCTTCCAGAAGAATGAAAACAGCCACGCTTAACCAATAAAGAACTAGCCTCATGCATAAGCCACCAAAATATTTTCTGGAACCCACCAGAATACTGAAATACCATTACCTGCAGACAGTGGCTTACCCCAAGTGCTGTTCTGTAACAGGTTAAACCGGCAACTCGAACATCGTAACGGCAGTACCGATAAGTGGCTGTGCAGCCCTAGCTGTTACAGCCAATCATTTGCATTGAAAAAATTTTCGCTCCTGCATTACTTCGCGTGCTAAAAATGATCGTGCATGAACAATCTGGCAGGTCCGTGGCCGAAACCCCCGGTTTAGAGTGCTGACAGATTGCTTGGTCGGGTTCGCATGCCGGTGAAAAAATTTTTCCTAGGCGTGTCCTGGATTTCTTACACAGGGCCCCTGATAGGATTGATTATCAGCTGCCGTATTGAGAAGGAGGTTAGACACCTGTCAGCCAGGATGCTTCGGCAGAGATTTCCATCCATATTACCGTAGAGCGCTTTGATTCTACTTTTGTATACATCGTATGTTGTGCTATGTATTTGGGTGGGCCATTCCTTTAGAAATACTGGACCGGCTGAAGACTATTTGCCACTTCCCCGGACTCTGCGCCTATAGCGGTCATATTGTGGTGCATCCTGACAATCTAAAGTTCGGGGACCACGATCGTCCCGGATCTGTACATGGAGAATGGAGATCTGGAGTTGTATGGGCCAGACTGTTCGGTAGACACGGCAACCCCCGGACCCGTTTCGGCGTGTCCAGACCGAGAAACTCACTTGGCCCCGAGAACATCCCGGGATCGTGCGCTAGTGTTTCCACTTACGCAGTAGACAGTATTGGGCCAATTACGGCTACATTCATGAGATGGATACTCGGGTTCGCCACACCCTGATCAACAATCTGATATCAAATCTACATTGGCTGTATGTTGTATGCACGGTCTAGGATGAACAGCGCTAAGAAAGAAAATTTCAACTGTAAGCCGCAGTACATGGTCTTCCGCGTGCGACGAAGCCCGCGCTAACATTTAGCTACCAATCAATCTGCAGGGATCCAAAACTAAATGAGAATGCCAATCCCAGAATAAATCCCAATGCACTTTGTATTCCCAACAGTTACTCTGAGTCAAAGAAAGAAACATATGATTCACATGTGATCGTATCATCGAATCAGGCAATCAGTAAACTGTGCAACCAGGTGACCAACTCATCGCATGAGATTCTTGTGTTGCCTAATGTCAACCCCAAGTTGGGTATTTCCCGCCGACCTGTTGTAGAACTAGGCATGCAAAGGTAAGCGCTTACATTCGAGCGCAGAAGTGAGACATGGAAAGTATACTCCGTACACTGTTATTTTGCTTCGATCACTTTGCTAAAACATTTCTCTCAACAAGATTACAAGAAATATCCGAACCATTGACTGAGGTGACTCAAAGATCCAGGTCAGCTGGTCATCAAGTTCTCCTACAGACCCACGATCCATGGGTTCGTGTCCAACCGTCTCCAAAGACTGCATTTTGGACCATGAGAATGCAAATATGGTCAGCTGACTATCGCGTCTGTCGACTGCGGCCGAGAGGACCCCACCAATTGGCGCGGAGTGGGGAGACGTCGCGGACCATTTCAAGACACTTGAAAGACAACTACTTCACAGCCCCAATTCCGAGTAAGCGAGGATTGGTAAACAGACAAAGAATCGTGAAGAATGTGGTAGTCTGCAAGTCCATTTTCTCCATACAACGGCAAGAGCGTGATTACCGTTGGGACGGCCGTCCCGAAGCGATGGACACCAGCCACATGGGTCTCCCGACGTGGCTAGTGCAGATCAAGAATGCGAATACGAAAGCATAATGATCTACCTCGGCTGAGCAACGATGACTGGTAGCTATGCGGGTCTCGAATCCACGTTTGTTGTCAGTGGCTTTTTGAGTCACCAGGGATAAAAGATTAGGCTGAAGTTGTCAACTCCCAACGGACCACGATTTACCATGTAAAATGGGTACCAAAAGTCTGGGCATTGAAGGTGTGGCTCAGCCCTAAGGGGATTCTCGGCTCCACCCCCGTTACAATTCCTAATTTTGGCCCTTGTCCAGGTCACCTGAGCATACAAATCGGAGCTAGTGCTGGACTATGCAACAGATTTTCTTTCTCTAGGCGATAGAAATGCTTGGCTGAATATCTGCCAAGTGATGAAATAGAAAAATTCAACATTTAAAAAAATCTCAATTAAATGCTACAATTATTATTATTGACAACCAAAGCCCAATCAACGTACAAAAAATGGTGTGAAATATCTGTGGCTTACGAAGCTCATTTATCCTGTAAGCCACAACTCTTCCATACAACAGGAAAGAGCGAGTGAAAGAGATCCCCCGGATCAGATCAGTGGAACTCGGTACTGGCGTATTGTGATACGAATCCCTAGTCCCAAATTGGTCTAGCCTGGAATCGGGAATTCAAAAATAATTATTACGACAAATACGCTAAATCTGGTCAATACGGTAAATGTCATGTTCGGACACCCCGAGATAGCTAGGTGAGGTCATCCCCAAGTACAGACGGACTCTTTATTAACTCAATCATCCTCCCCGGCATCTTTCAACTTCATTACTCATAACCCAACTTTGACTCTTGAGATCATCATATCAGGTAAGATTCCTTCCTCCGGTCGAGTCACCCTCCAGAACCAAACTCACTCAACTACAGTCAACCTATTAAAGTTCCAACCCTTTTACATACATTTCTATCTGTCAGCCTCCCGACGTTTCCAGACTCTTCGCTACCTCAAGCTTTGAACCAGATTATTGATGCCACCGCTTTCAAAGCACGGCCACAATTGATCAGGAAATCTTAATCGGATCTTGTGCCCTCGGGTGCTATAAAAGCTCGCCTTCCCTCGGTGGCGAACCTTACCCACTTACTCTGACGTCCTCATCCCGTGATACCATTATGCCTATGTACCCACGTAAGGGTCTCATCACCGAACCATACAACCCAGAGAACATCATCATACAAGACGACCAATACCCACCTGATTGCTATACCGAGAACACCTTCTACTGTGCTCAACCTCGTCTGCAATCACCTTTCCAATACCCAAGTGTACAGCTCTCCCCGCCCTCTTCCGCGCCTTCTTCTCCCACTTTCTCCTCCCCGACCTTCTCAACCTCCTACCCGCAGACGTCGGACTCTCAGTCTTTGGGGGCTCCTTCGATGACCCCAGCGTCTTCATACGACCCGTCGTTTGACTACCAGGGTTCCAATTCGCCTTCTCACTACCTTCCTCAATATCCTCAGCAATATTATACGCCGATGTTGGCGCAACAGTCTTTCACCAATAACCAGGGTTGGGACAGCAACCTGCAGTTGCTGAGCCCTGCGCGCATTCCGTACACCGGTGCGCAGAAGAGATCTTCGCCCTCGGCCTCGTCGCGCTCAGTTCCTACGGCCAACAACTACCACCGCCGGTCCGACAGCAGTAACAAGCCGTTGCCCACCCCGGTGCAGACCCCTGTCCAGAATTCATTCTTGGCCACTCCCTTCCAGAACTTCGACCTTGCATCTCAAGACGGTCACAATGCCGAGGCCGAGTCCGCGATGAGGAAGGCTATCATCGACCAGCAGAAGCAGTCACCCTCGCAACAGCTGCAGAATGACTATTCGCTGGCTCCCTCGGTCTCAACAATGAGCCATAACTCGCCGGTGACTCCGCAGAACAGCTTCGACGAACTCGACGATGCAAAACCGCTGACCAATGGTGAGAATCGAACTCTTGATATAGATCGGTGGATGGACCAATACTTACAGCTCGACGCACCTCCAGATTATAACAATGCCAATGGTGCCATGTCGATTGGAGTTCCCAAGCTGAACAGAACCATTTCCGATATATATCAAGACGAGCTATACAACCCCGCTATCATGGCCGCGCCCCAGGTGTCCAAGCCAATGTCACAAAACCAGCTCACCCCGCGCAGTTTCATTGCCGATCGACTGCAGGCTGCCAGTCAGGGCCACATGTCTGCTCGCTCCCAATCGCCTGCCAACAGACGCGACCGTTCGCCTTTCCGTCCCCATTCCCCATTCGCTGGTGACATGGGCAGCGCTGCACTCCAGCAACAGCCTATGGCAACTAGTGTCCCTATGGGACAGAATGGTATGAATGATATGAACGGCATGAGCGGAATGAACATGGGCCAGGCATCGAACACTGGAGATATCAAGACCATGTCCCCCAAGGATGCGGTTTTGGATTTCCAGGATGGAGATGATGCCATGCCTCCTCTCTTCCCACCTGGTCAGGGTGATTTCAACCTGGGTGATGCACTTGGCTTGCGACGCGACAGTGGCCCAATGCGACCGATGGAAGCATTGCCTCAATACACAGCTCCCACCATGTCGCAGCCTCAGTTCGCATTCTCTCAACCCCAGCTCCCTCACTCTCAGAGCAACCTCCTCCAGCAGAGCACCGAATTCCCCTCGTTACCGGGCGTAGAGTCCAACGAGCCTACGCCGCAAAGCCAGATCAACATGCCAGTTACAGAGGGTATCTCCCGCCCGGCTAACACATCTTCCGATGCGGGCACCTACACTTGCACCTACCACAATTGCTCTCAACGCTTCGACACGCCGTCTAGACTCCAGCGACACAAGCGCGAGGCACACCGGCAAACAACCCCGGGCGGCCATCTCGTCAGCCGCGACACCTCGCTACGCAATTCCCAGGCTGGCCCGCACAAGTGCGAACGAATCAACCCTTCTACTGGCAAGGCATGCAACTCTATCTTCTCCCGACCTTACGATCTTACGCGGCATGAGCACACCATCCACACCGCTGGGAAGCAGAAGGTGCGCTGTCACATCTGCAACGAGGACAAGACCTTCAGCCGAAACGATGCTCTGACAAGGCGTAAGTTTACCCTTTGGATCTACCCCTACTTCCTTACTCTGATCATACGCTAATTACATTCATTACAGACATGCGAGTGGTTCATCCTGAAATCGACTGGCCCGGCAAGCAGCGCAGAAGGAGAGACTGAGTACGCCTTCTACGTCATGGTCCACCGGATCGGCATGCCGAACGTCATGAGTGGGTCCAAAGTTGGACCCACCCAAAATCTGGGGTTTCGTCATGATGACGATTCAGCTCCCCATCCTCTCATGAACGCTCCTTTGTATCAGTATTCGGATTCCGATTTCATTTTTCATGTGTACGATTTTACGTTGATGATGTCTTTTTTTGCATGCGGACTATCCCTTTAGCATTGGCTGGTGTGTTTTTGGTTTTTATTGTTATTACTGCGTCGATAAGAGACCAACGGTTTCGGTGTTGTACATTTATTGTACATCGTGTTGCTGCATTGTTATGACCCCCAGTACAGCGACCCTTCTTGTACCATAGTACATTCCAACAAAATATTGTACATTAGCTTTGGATATGACTTGAATCAAATTGAAAATAACGAGATTCAACCCACTACAACGATAAGATATTACCCGAAACGAACGTTGTTAGCTTCAGGATCTATGAATGCTTGCGTGTGTTTACCCACTTGGTCAAGCCACAACAGTTGATCTATGTTTGAATCCGTGCTGTAACTACGCAGTATGTTTCAAGTAGACTGGTTGGGATAAAACAGAAATACCAATGCAAAAAAAGGTATCCATCACGGAACACAGTAAGATATTCGAAACACGGAATGCCCCGACCCATGCCATCGAGTGTACACAATATACGCAGTATGCAGTACAAAGAAGAAAAGACCTGATAATTCCAAATCGCAGATCCCCATTTACGCAGTACTGAGTACACACTAGGTAAAAGCAGAAATCCCATAGTTCCTGCTCTTATTAGCCTATGATCCCATCATTGCGTAGTCACACCCAACCAATCTTGGAAACAATCCCGACCCATGTATTCCAGCCAGATAAGCAATTACCCAGTGCCCTGGTAGTCGGTACGGGGTTGTTTGGATGCGATCTGGATTGTTTACGTAGTTCCTATGTAAACCGGGGTAGACGTGTCGCCGGGGATAACGTCAACAGGACTGGGGAACTGGAGCTTGCTTTGTCTGGGTATATGCCTTGTTCAAGGTTGAGTTTCTTCTGTAGTGTCAGCCTGTTTTTTTCGTTCTTTATCTTGACCTGTCACGCATCCCTGGTCACATCCCATTACTCTTTATCGGCGTGATTATCGTCGTCATTGAACCTTGGAACCTGTCTTCTGAGCTTCTTTTGTAGCTCCAGGTTTAGATGCTGTTTTTACTGTACTCCCCGGTATTCTTCCATCGATACTTGTATATGATACACCTGCAACAGGGGGTTATCAAGGTGCAAGCCACCATGTAATTGGCGTACCCTGTATATGTTTTACATCCCCTACATCTTTGTACTTCGTATATACTTGGACCTTGGTGAATGGTGATACCGTGATAGACACTGAGTGTGGGTCATGGGCCATGGTTAGATATCACCAGTGGGTCCTCGTCACACCCGTTACCAGTGGAGTGCGCGGAGCTCGGAAGGTGGGTATGTGGGTACTTGTGGCTTGAGAGTCGAGACGAACTCAGCTGTCATTCGTGGTTTTCATGGGGAACTTGCGATGATCGCGAAGGTAGTCGATGATTAATCATTAATGTGGACATTGTATAATCGGTAATGGGGATTGTTCGTCGCTTTTCCTTAGATGGTTGGTTCTGGTTGGTTTATCGGACTTACGGTCTGCTCTTTGATGCTTCCTTTGGTGAACATGATCTGCGGCGATGGGCATCGTGTCACCGTGTGTGTGTGTACGCATGCCCCTTGCATGGTGTCTACCTACACAGTACATAGGAACCTCGGGATCACGTTTAAACTTGGGCTTTTACACAGTAGTGTTGTGGTATTGCCGGAATTGGGGTCGATTCATGCGGAGTTTGCGACGGCAGCGACGGCAGCGACGGCAGCGACGGCAGCGACGGTAGCGACGGTAGCTCGGCGTCGGTCGGTAATCGCTCTCCATGGCAGACACTCCGGTCTTGAGATACTGCTCATGCTGGGCGCTGGTGTGGCTCTCTGGATGCCTCGGATGATAACAACCTGCCATCTAGATCATGCTGGGTCGAAACCCCATATTCGCCGATTTAAACCCGGCGATATGAGTAGGAGACCACGGACTCAGGTCAATTGAACCATAGTCAGAGGGACGGCGTGGTCGATTGGTACAAGCAGTTTATTGTCTGCTATGGCCCATGGGGTACCAGGGATATTGTTAGAGATCCTTCGGCTCTTTGGTATGAGTTGCGCGATAGCATTCGCGCTAACACCACGTGACCCACAACCCACACAAAACACCAGCACCCTAGAATTCTCCTTCCTTTCTCCAACGAACCCTAATGTAAGGATTCCAGCTCAATTCGTTCTGTTGGCTAGATAAGATATGTACAAGAAGGGTTCGTTAGAGAAAGGAAGGATAATTACCAAGTGTTCTACGAAGTGAAGTGGATTGGTTACGCAGAGGCGACAAAGGAACCAGCACGCGCCTTACAAGATACAGAAGCCCTTGACCTTTGGGAACAAGAGACGAACGCGCTGGGACGCCAGGATGGGACACTCCCCGACGACTACCGGTCACCGCCGGCACCGCGATCGCGCGGATGAGAGCAGATTACGAAGAACAGACGAACTCTTTCGACGACGACGCCTGAAGCGGTAGAGGAGGGGGTATTGTTAGAGATCCTTCGGCTCTTTGGTATGAGTTGCGCGAACCCTAGAATTCTCCTTCCTTTCTCCAACGAACCCTTCTTGTACGTATCTTATCTAGCCAACAGAACGAATTGAGCTGGAATCCTTACAGATATTGATGTAGCTAAGGTTTCTCGGAATAGAGCTGGGTTATGGTCCATGGGTCACGGTGTCCCTGTCGGTTAACTCGGCTCCTTCTAACCACCCTTCTCTCCGTATTGTTTTGCGCTTCTGGTATGGATCTTTGTATGGGAGAGTCCAGCGGTAGCGCAGGAGGTGAAGCTGCAGTCATAAATTCTGTGACTCTTCTTTCTCCCCCTCTACTCCCTCGTACTGCTCCGTCTTCGTGCTCACCTTGTTCTCGCCATTCCTGGGTGAGAGTCGCTGGGGGTAGATCGGAAAGTTGTGCGTACAACAGATCGATGGAGTATAGTTTTTACTTTTGAATAACGGGTATCCAATCTCCTCGCTACTAATGTCATGCTATTTTATTGTTTGGTCTCCAGTTCAAAGAAGATGGTAGATCTGTACTCCGTAATTAGAACTGTCGGGTCAGCACGTGATCATAAGGCCAAGGCGAATCGAGACGCTAGGCCGTTTTAGGAAGTTCAACTGGGCTTGGCACTACGAACTGACATTGCGAACTACAACGCCATCTGGGTGCAATATGTGTTCATTCCATGGTGTTTCTTTGATTTTCTATTGTGTAGTCAGTCTCTAGTAACCAGTTAGTCTTGTCTTGTCGAGTATCAGGGCATTTCAACATGTTTATCGGGTGTCATCAGGTTCTGTGAGGTTTCAATATATATTCGTAGCACTACTACATAGTACAACTCCACTACTTCCAACACCACACCAACTAAAACAAATACATGATGGAATCCGAGGACGGTAAAACCACGACCCAAGATGATCAATCAATTTATATAGTGGTATACTTTAGAATTACCGAATATGCGCACTTGTATGGGTGAAAGTTACCTCAATGCGAAGGACTACATGAAACTAGTACATGAACGCCAATGGACCATGCAGCATAAGAAAGAGAAGATATCGAAATGGTCATATTAACCCAAGCAACTTGTGTGAAATCAATGCCACGCGTAAGTAGTCGTTGATACACATCGAAAATCCAAACAGAACTCTACAACTAAAACAACGCGTTGAACAACTCAAGGGTACGGTACAATGAAAGCGGAAGGACACAAGGCAAGCCCGGAATCGATTGTCAAGTACGATGCTCAAGTGACCCAAACAAACACGCGCCAAGCAGAAACCAGACTACAACCAAATACGACTACTCAATGAAGACCATATTAATTTAAGTTTTGATTGTATTCGTATCGGATCGCACTTGAGTGCTTGATCCCACCATATCCATGGTGCCAGCCGTGATGTAGAATGGCCGCTATGATACAAAAAAGCTTCAGAAGCGAACACTATGGATGCGCAATAGTGGTAATCGAGTGTTATGAAAAGCAAACCCAGAGACCCATGACAAGTGTGAAAAAATCAGAGAACACCCCAACGTCCCGTCGTACCGTGAACCAGCCCGGAAAAGAAAAGCACAAAAAATTTAGCCACCGAAACCGTAGAGGGTACCTGGAAGACACATGTTAGAGACGCGTTGCATGGTGGAGAGACGCGTGGAAAACTTACGGCCCTGGCGCTTGAGAGCGTAGACAACGTCAAGAGAAGTGACAGTCTTGCGCTTGGCGTGCTCAGTGTAGGTAACAGCGTCACGGATGACACCCTCGAGGAAGGTCTTGAGGACACCACGGGTCTCCTCGTAGATCATAGCGGAGATACGCTTGACACCACCACGACGAGCGAGACGGCGAATAGCGGGCTTAGTGATACCCTGGATGTTGTCACGCAAAATCTTGCGGTGGCGCTTGGCACCACCTTTGCCGAGACCCTTTCCACCCTTGCCGCCTAATGAAGACGCGTTAGAACGCGTTCTTTATGAGATGATTGATATGCGGGATGAGGAACTTACGGCCAGACATATTGAATGTGTGTATTAAAAGAGAAAAGAAGTTTGTGGTTGGTTGGTGAACTTCGTAGTCGGAGAAGTCGTCGATGGAGTTGGATAGAAACGGAGGGAGAAGAGGAGAGGAAGTGGACAACAGATATTTGTATGACACGGGAACCAGCGAACATTGGGAAATCACGCGCTAGGAATGATATCCGCCAATGAACGTTCAGGATCACAGACCAGCCTTGATCTACCGGGCCACCCCAGAGTCGGGACGCCAAGACTATCGACTTTCACATCTGATTTCCCTTCAATTGACCACTAACAACGTAAATCAATTATTTTAGATATGTAATTAAGCATTCCAAGCCATACTGAATGCCTTAGAATGCTCTGATAATTCTCCAAAGGGTGATGGGTGGCAGGATCAAGAATTCAAGGGTTCGGCATTCTACACTCTCTGATCCTGATCTCTCATTGGTCGATCCCTCGCTTAGTGGCAGTACCAGGAGATTGATTCAGTTGGACCAATCAGAAGCCACCGCAAATCGGTCTCTGGAATACGCGTTGCAGCCAAGTGGTCTACGCACTGATACCAGACTATGTCTGCCTCCCTTTAATTCGTAGTCCCGGGATCAAGCCTGCCCCTCCCGTCTCCTACAAATACTCTTCCCCCGCCCGTCTTCCACTTCTCTTCTTCATCTATCCACCGCCAACCAACTTTCTTCAACAACAACTTTTTCATCAAGTCTATCAAAGATGGCTCGTACCAAGCAGACTGCCCGTAAGTAATCATCAATATACCTTTTTCTTTTCCATTTTCTTCCCCTCTCGTCGACACCTGAATTATCAGGTGTCCGCCGCCACGGAGAAAATGACGCGTGTGACGCGTGATCAAGAACATCATACTAACAATTTCAATAGGTAAGTCCACTGGTGGCAAGGCTCCCCGTAAGCAGCTCGCTTCCAAGGCTGCCCGCAAGGCCGCCCCCTCTACCGGAGGTGTCAAGAAGCCTCACCGCTACAAGCCCGGTAAGTCCCATGTGATGTTGCATGACAATATCGAATATCTTCTAACATATCATATCAGGTACTGTCGCTCTGCGTGAGATCCGTCGCTACCAGAAGTCCACTGAGCTTCTGATCCGCAAGCTTCCCTTCCAGCGTCTCGTCCGTGAGATCGCTCAGGATTTCAAGTCCGATCTCCGCTTCCAGTCCTCTGCCATCGGTGCTCTCCAGGAGTCCGTTGAGGCTTACCTCGTCTCTCTCTTCGAGGACACCAACCTGTGCGCCATCCACGCCAAGCGTGTCACCATCCAGTCCAAGGATATCCAGCTGGCCCGCCGTCTCCGTGGCGAGCGCTCGTAATTTTCTTTTTTCAACGAGCTGGTTTTCTGAAAGGCGATAACGGGGTTTCTTTTTCTTTTTATCATGACAATCGGCGATACATGATGGGTTTGCTTTACAAATATCAAATGGGTTTTCGGCACTGGGTTGCTTCGCAATTTTGCTTTTTTTCGATGCTACTGCTCACCATCGATTGATGGATCAGTCATGGGCATGTACATTATGGGCTCCCTTAACATGATGCCTTAGCGCGCATCATCTCATGACAAGACTCAAATGAAAGTCTTCTATGATTCAAATACCTTCACTACAATTACTTCACTACAGTAAACTTGTAATGGTTCGACGCTTGGTTGCTTTGAGGCTATTCCTTTTGTTCTGATCAATATGCCTTCTTTAAAACACCAATGCCTAGGTATGGCAAACACCATTCCAAACGCTCAAGTAGCCCAGGCAAAGAGGTTATTCCAAGGTTTCCCAAGAAGCGTGTTGTCATGGCTGGCCATCGCCCTAAACACTGCAGGCATTACTCCTGCTCCCCATACACGCCAGCGATCACGTCAACACCCAATAATAATCTCTGGTAGAAACATGAAGACATTCAGTCTATGTGGCAGAGGAATCGCAGACTAAATTACCTAGGCTCATAACATTTCTCAACCGGGTCAGAACAGTGATTCCCAGCGCAACCAGGTCACCTCATACATTCATCAGTAGTTAATATGCGCTCTTATTAAATCATACTCTAAACAACTCCAGCTCAAAATCTATACGCACTAAAGTGTCTACATCTCGCCATCTGACCACTTGAAAAAATCAGCAACAAGAACGTGAGTCGTGAACACGCGGTCGGACTGGGGACCCGCGAACTTGATCGCCACTCAGCACGCAGCCCTAACCCAACTGGGAACTCCCCATGACTTCCTTCACCTTGACCAAACCGTAATCAACAAAGCAACGCGCTCGACCTTTGAAGCAGGGTCTAGAATATAATGAAACTGGCGCACCCCGGATTTGGGCTTATCATCCAGTTCATGTATATTATCCCCGTGTTGTAACTAAAGTCCTAGAGAAAACCCTGTATATTGCCACCCAGCTACCCAACTACAAGCCGCACTAGACTACTATCGACCATATATTGAACACGTCATGAAGGATGACTCCTTAAATGCCAAGGTAGTCCTTTGTATACCAGAATGACTCATTTCTGAACAGATACCCTGGCACGAAGTCCGGTATCCAACCAGACGAATGGGAAGATGGTGTAGGGTGTCAGATGATCTGGCCGGGAACTATCAGCACAAAGGATCCTACGAGCATACCTGCTAATCCTGGTATCTATCCATGGATGCTGGCACTAGCCGCACTATGGAGGCCTTTCGAGACTAGTTTCAACGGAGTTAGTGACCAGCAACCGGAGATTGGTTTAACAATACCATGTAGACTTGACAGTGATATTTACGGTGTATGTTTTCTGGTCAGATGATGCTGTGTTTGATGTAATCCATACCAGAACCGGAGGTTCTTTGTACATCATACGTTGTCCGCCTAACATAGTAGGTACTCGTCGGGTTAGATCAGACGATGCAGACCTGGTGGGGAGATCGTGTTCGCCTCGGAAATAAGGTGTCAATCGCAGCTGCCATGCGGATTCAAGTGGAGATCGAGTGACTTGCACTCGCGTTCTATTTCTTTGATCTTGGTACCAACATGATCGGAAATTCCTCAAAATTAAACATGTAAATAGCTGAAGTTTAGGGGCATAGATTCATATACATGAACACGTACGCACTATATCTGGTAGCAAGATCAAGACAATATCTTCCTGTGATGGATGTATTCATGTTAGTGGGTCGGTATGACAAGAATAGCTGCGCCAGTGGCCTAAGGCAAATGCAAGAACCAAGCCTGGGGCCATGCCATCGAAAGGAAATTTTCCGCTTAAGAATTAATGCGGATGGATTTTTTCCTTCGGTTTCTTTTCGATTGTGATTTCGAATCTATTGCGCCACCCGCCTGTGTGCATAACTTTTTCCATTAGGCGAACCGGAGGGGTGTCGCCGGGTCTCGGGGATTTGGGCTTCTGAAGTATCCGATCCTGAGCACGATATATTTGGACTGAAGCCTGGCGCCCTCCAGAGCGGCCTTGATTATTGATCTGATCTCGGGAGTCTGTGCATGATGTGATGTCAGTATTTCATATCATCTCTTCTTTTCATTGGGCCGACTCCAATGTAGCTAGTATACCTTACCTTGCTACCTACTGTGTATACTGTATGGTGTACGTATGCAGAGCGCCCTCTTTGCCACGAGTAGGTAGTTATCCATTGTGTTCTAATATTCTCTACCAATTCAACTGGAACTACATATATATATCTCTATATAGGAGTGGCACCACACGATTATTAGGGAATTCGCTGGTAGCTCGATCAATGGTTCCGTCCCAATATATATTCAAGCCAAGATAGTTGATGCCAGCTTGGTTCTGTCTGCTGGGCCGTCACCATGGAATAGAAGATCGCGTATCCGATAAAATATTGGCTTCGGAGTTCTCCGCCCATGGAAGCTTGACTTGTGGAACTCTGAAGAAGTAGTACTGTATGCACTTCCAGTAGTTGTGCATGCCATGCATTCACACCGGAGCAGGTGGGTGCGCCGATAGTTAGAGATTGATAATCATGAAACAGTTTGTAATCAGTATAAAGATGATCTGGAAGCATAAGCCTAATAATGTACGTGCATAGGAAATTATTTCTGAAACTCCACGAGATATGGAGAAAGTCCAGATCTATCCTCAGCCCGTAGCGCGTGGAGCTTCGGCAAGGTACCGATGCCGAACGTCCACACATGGCCGGTCCCGAGATGTATGCACGGCCCCGCCGAAGCCCTGCCTCATTTTTCTTCTCATTAATTTCCTTTCATTTCACATACAATAGGCGATAGTTGGACTGTGTACCAAAACCGATCTACAAAGTAGAAACAAATCGAATGTGATCGAAAAGACAATCAAGAAACCAGTGAGGTAGGCTCAGCGCAATAGTGAGGTCACAATGCATAAGTTCGATCGGTGCCGTTATACCCGGAGGGAGCTTGGCATAACCTACATAAATCACGTGGCGGAAAACGTGGTTTCCTCGTTTTCATCTCCATGGCCCAGGGGCTAAGGGGGCTATCTACTTCCCCTGAATTCATAAAACACATGTCCTTTGTACTATGTACATAATTGTTAGCGTATATAGGTTGTATCATAGAAGATACAAGACACATCTCTCTTGAATAATCAAACAAGCATGGAAAACACAAAAGCCCGGAATTTAGAAGTTGCGCCGGAGATAAGAGTTCTGCATCCGGTCTCCACTTATGCCAAGTTTGCACAGCTTCCGTTTCCTTCGGACTTTTCCAATCTGCATAGTATTAATGAATCGCTGTGCACGCTAAAAATTCTTGAAACGGGACTGTGGGCCGAAATGGACCATTTATATAATCGAAGGCTATGCCCAAGTGCTTGGTTTGGCTTCTGATTCTCAACTCTCCAGATTTAAGATTTTTCCCCTCATCCCCCCGCAAACGGAGCTTCCAGGAACACATACTCCTGAGCTATCTACACAGTACTACGCCTATAATCAAGTGACATTCACGTAAACCTGGACACTATCGAACCCCTATAATCGCAATCCCAGGACAAAATCTGCCCACCATGGCAGTCGACATGGAACCCCGGAGCTCGGACAAGATTGAGCCCTCTGCTCCCACGAAGATCCCATACTGGCGCTTAGTCTTCGATCAGGGCGTTGTCACCCAAACCATCATCGATCACCCATACTCCGGCTCAGGAACGGACGAGGACCCCTTCGCAGTCACATGGATTCCTGAGGACCCTCGCAATCCCATGAATTTCAGCGAAAGGAAGAAGTGGACTTTTACCATGCTGGTGGCCATTGCGACTTTGGCCGTTTCCTTGGTGTCGTCGGCCTATACCGGCGGTATCAAAGAGATCATGATGGATTTCAACATCGGACAGGAAGTCGCTACGCTGGGTGTCTCGCTTTTCGTTCTCGGTTTCGCAGTAAGTTTGTTTCTCGAGCTCGACTTGTTTGGCCTGCATTCTAACGGCATTTGCTTTAATAGATTGGACCATTGCTCTGGGCTCCACTGAGTGAGCTGTTCGGTCGCCAAATCCTGTTCGTTGTCACCTATGCCGCTCTCACAGCCTTCAACGCTGGTGTCGCCGGTTCTAAAAACGCCCAGTCCCTCATCATTTGTCGATTCTTTGCTGGTGCATGGGGCTCTTCGCCCTTGACCAATGCCGGTGGTGTCATTGCGGATATGTTCCCGGCTAAGCAACGAGGTGTCGCCATGAGTCTATTTGCTGCTGCACCATTCCTTGGCCCTGTTATCGGTCCAATCGCCGGTGGATTCATCGGCATGAGTGATGGCGGCTGGCAATGGGTTATGGGTTTCCTTGCTACGTTCTCCGGTGCAGTCTGGATCTTCGGCTCACTGCTAATTCCCGAGACCTATGCGCCTGTGCTTCTCCGTCGCCGCGCGGCAAAACTCTCGAAGCTGACGGGTAAGGTCTACCGGAGTCAGCTTGAAATCGAGCAAGGCAAGGTTTCCCTGAAGGAGTCTTTCAAGATTTCGCTCTCTCGTCCTTGGATTCTCCTATTCCGGGAGCCCATTGTGTTCTTGCTGTCTCTTTATATGGCTATTGTTTACGGCACCTTGTACATGATGTTCGCCGCGTTCCCGATCGTCTACCAGCAATACCGTGGCTGGAACCAGGGTGTCAGCGGTCTTGCCTTCCTCGGCATCATGATCGGCATGTTAATTGCCGTCGGCTATTCCCTCTGGGACAACAAGCGCTATATCGCGGTATCCGATAAATACGATGGTTTCGCTCCTCCCGAGGCACGTCTTCCACCCTGCCTCGTCGCATCCGTCGCAATCCCCATCGGCCTGTTCTGGTTCGCATGGACCAACTATACCTCGATCCACTTCATGGTCAGCATCGCAGCCGGCGTTCCCTTCGGCTTCGGAATGGTCTTAGTCTTCCTCAGCATCATGAACTACCTCATCGACGCCTACACCATCTTCGCAGCCTCCGTGCTAGCCGCTAATTCCGTCATCCGTTCCCTCTTCGGCGCCGCCTTCCCCCTTTTCACCACCTACATGTACCAAGACCTCGGTATCCACTGGGCGTCGTCAATTCCAGCTTTCCTGGCGCTCGCCTGCGTGCCGTTCCCATTCCTATTCTACAAGTACGGACCCGCGATTCGCACCCGCTGCAAGTTCGCCGCCCAGTCCGACGCTTTCATGCGCAAGATCCAGGAGCAGGCCACATTCCCGGCTGAAGACGAGAAAGTGGAATATGACCGCACAGAAGCTCCCGCACCTGAAGTGGGCTCGGTCTCTAGCGAGTCAGACGAGGGTGTCGATAACCATCTCTCTCCGCAGCGCATTCGCAGCCATACACGCTCTGTTGCTTCCGCCCGCACCGGTCACTCGTTGACTCGCTCGGTTACCTACGAGGGAAATCCTTACGATATTGACCGAGTCAATACTCGGGAGTCTTTCAAGGCATAGACGGCTGCTGAGCAGTTTGTCTTTGCGACTCCTATCATATCATATCCGGGCTTTGCATCTACGTACATTCATGCATGCCTGTGACGATTAATCTTAGTTTACGTTCACCCTCTCCGCCTTCCCCCCTTCACCTCCCAAAAGTTACCATGTTTGCATATACCTATTTCTGTTGCATTGATACCCGTTCATATCATGCTGAGGGCAACCTCTTCCGACTAATGTTTAAATGGGATGGATGCATTATAGAGCTGGAGTTTGGATTTTACTGAAAGTGTCAGTTCTCTGACGTGAATACAACGAGCCTTCCATTTGATCACTTCTAGTAGTATAGAATAAAGCGTTGTATACTGTGGAAACAAACCCGAAGTGTAGAAGATGGACGGAGTACCCGACAGCGGCTTTCACCCGCTTTTCGGCTGATTCTTATCGCCACAACTCCGAGGCTCTAATCTTTTTGTTTCTACTAGTCACACTCATTTGAGTCATTTCATTTCCTTCCTTTCCTTTCCCTCTTTATTATCCCCAGGTAATCACACATGCGGCCTTGGACATGAACCCCCTCCGAAACAGCCTTATCCCCAAGGTCTCATCCCCAACAACCCTCCTCCACCGACCGATACCCCCCGATCCCAACCCCAGATTTTGCGCCGAACACGCCCACAACGCCGATACAACTCCAACCCCGCGGAAAAACATCACCCCAAGAGCGACACACCACCTGCACCCGCACAGCCTTCACACTCTTCAAATGTTCCTCCATCGCAGCCACCAGACAGAATACCCGCGGCCGTCGCCGCAGCCGGAGCAACGACCACACCTGTGCGCCGTGGACTCCGCGAGGTGATCAAGGCTAGTCCTGTAGGGAGGTTTGGGAGATGGTATGCACGCGCGCAGGAGCGCAAGCCGTACACGACGCAGTTCTGGAGCTCGATCGTTATCTACCTGTTTGGGGATCTGAGTGCTCAATTGCTGTTTCCGTCGGAAGTTCCTGCGCCCGTGAAGGAAGGTGAGGTTGATGGGCATGAGGGGGCAACTGTCAGTGCTGGATATGATCCGCTTAGGACGTTGAGGCATTTGTGTGTTGGGGCGGGATCGAGTATCCCTTCTTATAACTGGTGGGTTTTTTTTTCTACTCTTCTCTTTCCTTTGGGTTTTCCGCATGGGATAAGAGCAGAGACTCTATGCACCGGGGTGTATATACTTGTTATCTGTTACTGATGTCTCCCCAGGTTCCTCTTCCTCGGAAACCACTTCAATTACCCGAGTAAATTCCTCTCGATCTTGACCAAGGTCGTCGTACAGCAGACGTGCTTCACACCGGTATTCAACACATACTTCTTCAGCATGCAATCTCTTCTTGCTGGTGCGACGCTCGACGAAACTTGGGAGCGGCTCAAGAAGGCTCTTCCCGTTAGCATTCAGAACAGCGTCAAGCTCTGGCCTGCTGTCACTGCGTTCAGTTTCATGTACGTGCCGGCGCAGTTCCGGAACGTCTTCTCTGGGTGCATTGCGGTTGGATGGCAGACTTATCTGAGCTGGTTGAATCAGAAAGCGGCGAAGGAAGTTGCTGCTGCTGAGCTTGCTGCTGAGGGACTGGGCGTCAGTGCTGGTGGTGCAGTGCATGCTGGCTCTCGGGGTAGCTTGATCTCTGCTGGAACTGCATAGGTGCTCGACATATAGACCGAGAGCACAGTTGGATTGGGGTTTGTATAGATTCATAGATTTCTGCCGACTATCGGCGATGGGTTCTGTTTTCAAAGCGATGCATGATACACCAAGAGCAATCAATTACTTAGATCAGTTGATCTTCATTTGGAAATATTGGGAGATGCTCAAAAAGAGTCTTAAGAAGTACGTGGTATGGAATGTGCGTCCAGTAAAAGCCGTTAACGCCGACGCGAGGCGAAGACATCGAGAACATCCGAGCATCCAACACATTCCCCGCAGACATGATCTCCTCCACTCGCAGGCATGTCCTGCCCAGAGAGAATTGACGACTCCAGTGACTATTCCGACTTCACGCCAGATGAAGAAGCCATACTGAACAACCTGCTGAGCCAAGTCGCGGAACACGCGACCGGCGCGATCGCCACTTCGCCCTTTGCACATCCACCTCCAATCGAACCGCCCCCGGCGCCGCCACCACCAGAACTTGACGAGCTACAGACCTTAGCACCAGAAGCCCTAGAGTTGCTTGTCGCAGATATCGAGGATGAGCCACCGGTCGTTCGGCTGCCTAAGGTTCTGGGTCGGGAAGCACCTCGCCGGCCATGGCAGTGGCAGCAGCATCGACCGGGCCAGACGGTTAGATGGGGTGCGAGTGCTAGGGGGAGGTCGAGTCCGTACGCTGGCAACGTCAACAAGTCCAGCCCCCGCCCGTCTGGTAAGTCCTCCTAATGGATCGGTCCGGTCGCATTGCCTGCAACTCGAACTGAGAACGAATATCATCCGAAGCGTTTAGTCGAGCACTCTAGTTCGACCGAGGGACGCGAAAAAGAACGCGAGCGCATGGCAGCCCGCGAACGAGAATGGACACGACAGGACGCTCCGGTCGATACACGAACCCCCGTCGAACGATTCCGACAAGCACCCAACAAGGCGTTTTCAGTGACCGATTTGGTCTCGCCTGCGTGGTGCGAGCTACAGTACTGGTATACTTTGACGAAACATGGACGGAAGAAGAGGACAGCTGCGATGAAGAAGGGGAGCTCTATGCATAAAACGCTCGAGGATGAGATTTACACTACTGTTCCTGTGGAGGTCACGACGAAGGAGGACGCGTGGGGTCTGCGGATTTGGAACGTCATTCAGGGATTGCGCATGCTGCGTGAGTATGGGGCCACGCGGGAGCTAGAGGTTTGGGGTGTTGTCGACGGGAATGTCGTCAATGGCGTTATCGATCAGTTGTCCTATGAGTGTCCTGACACGGAGCTGGAGGCTACTGCTGCTGCTTTCTATGCAGGTGTTGTGGAGTCGCGCACTGCGCTGCCGGAGTATCAGATGTCCTTGTCGGAATACTTGCTGTCGTCTTCGCAAGGAGGGATGAAGCTTTCTGATTTGGGGCAGAGCGTTGATGAAGCACCGCCCGTGGTCGAGCAGGAACTGCCGGCGGCTGTCTATGATCTACCCCGGATCTATCTGACGGACGTAAAGACAAAGGCTAATCGCTCGTTACCTACTGTCAAGAGCTCGGGGTTCAGACCGACCCTGCTCCAGCTGCAGCTGTATTACCATATGCTCAATCGGCTGATCACAAGCGACGACGTCTCCATTGATATACTCGCCGCTCGCTACGACTTCGATGCAAAGCGCCCGTTCTCAAATGACTTTGTCTTGGAAGTTGGTGGACTGAACGACCACTTCTTTGATGCGCTCTCCTCCCAGGAGTCTGAACAGAACGGGGGTCTTCCTACTGCCAGCCAAGACTCAATGAGCATGCTCCTAACGCATAATAACCTCTCCAGCCTTTGGAGTCTCATGATAGAGCAACTCCGCCTCACATTCCTCCCTGGCTCTTCCCTCGAAACACAACCCGTTGCACCATCTATCCCGGCACTCACCCAACCAGAGCTTTTGGAACCATACTCGACCCTCCTCTCCCCGGTCCTCACTGCCCGATATCTATCCTCTGCCGTCAATGAAGACTTGGAGAGACAATTCATAGGAAGTCGCTCATTCCTCTTCGACCCCACAAACCTCACCTCCTACCTCACAGATCAGATGACCTGGTGGCGCGGCGAGCGAGATCCTCGCGGCGTGGATGTCATGGATGCGTGGAAATGTCGCATCTGTGAATTCCGTGACGAGTGCTCTTGGCGTCAGGATCAGGAGATGACTTATGCTCGGAGGAATTGGAGAGCTGGGTCTTCGGCGGACATTTGAATTGGAAGTTGGTTTATTTGGAATTCATTGTACGCGTTTAGCGAAAGCAAAAGGGGATGGAGTTGGCATCTGATATATTCGCCCAGTGCAGATACTTTGGACTAGATGTTGGTTTCTATGGCTTCATATACATGACCAGGCAGTTGAAATGAAGATAGCTTCTTCTCTTATTGCCATTACTGAACCCACAAGGAGTCCATCATATCAAAAAGGATACTTCCTAACCTCCTCCTCCTTCTCAACATCCAACCCCCCCTCAACCTGCTCCTTATGCTTCCTATCCAAAAACTCCAACAAAACATCCTGATACTTCTCCCTCCCCTTATAAACCCCCACATCATCCCCCCAGCTCCGAATCGCATCCGCCAACCTCCCAGGCACATAATCCTCCTTCACAATCTCAACAATCGGCACAAAATAAGTCCTAATCGTAAACACAACCCCCCCAGACCTCGGCAACCTCCTCAACGACTGCCTCTCAGAACGGAAGAAATGCTTCTCAATAGCCCGATTCTTCTCCGCCGTATTCCACGACACATTCTCTCCATCCTCACTGCCAATACTCGGCGACCAAGCCAGCTCATCGTCAACCTGGATGAAATAATTATTCCTCAGCACGGGGTCCTCAGGCCGAAGCCGAGTAAAGAAATTCTTCATCCCTTTTTCCAGCTTGCTCTTGTATCCGGGCACATCGCCGGACGTGTGGATTTCAGATAGTCGCATGCCGAATTTGTCGCTTAGACGCCAGAATCCGGCTAAGAGGATTGCGCCCGCTAGCAGGTAGTATTCGCCGTCGGGCCGCTCAATCATTATTGCTAGGTCGTCTTGTACTAGACGCGCTGCTGTGGCCATTGGGTCTTCAGGGAGGGGTCGTTGGGTTATGTTGAAGGTTTCATTGGTTACGGTGTTGGTTATGCCTGTTGGGGTTTTGGTGAACATGCTTGGGTAGCGTTCTGGGAGGTAGGCACATCTAGGTATTGTTAGAATGGGGTCGAGGGCTTTGTTGAATTGGGACTTACAGCTCCTCTAGTAGTTCGATTGCCGCATCCATGGCCTCCGGCGCTGTGCGACAGCATTTACTTCCACGCTCTTTTATGCGACGGGCTTTGTCGCCGTGGTATTTCAAGTAGTGGTTGTCGAGTTCTGCGAGGGTTAGGGTATGTTTCAATGTTGGTAAGTTGTTCGAAGAGGACTCACCGATCCATTCATCCCATTTCATGCTTCTTAGACCCATCGTGATGAAGTATTTCCTGTCCCAGGTCAGAGGTCGAGGAAGAAGTATGGTGAAAGTCAATACTTACGGGCCATATCTGAAAGGTCGGTAGGGTATTGGCTTTGTCGAATGCACATCCCAGTCTGGGTATGGTGCTGCTGGTGGTCGCTTGAAGTCCGATGGTGTCCATTCTATATGTTTTAGTGAGTATTTCGGCTTGGATTGAGAGACTCCTTTGGACTTACCTCCTGGTGGCCTGGTAGGCTTCCCTTTCGCACCGGGTTTCTCCAAGTCAGGACTTGAAGACCTGGTCTTGTTGGATGTCCGTCTCCGGGATATGGCGATTACCAGCCATGCGCAGATGTTGAGGACGAGAAAGGCGCCCACGGCTTTTAGTGGGATGTTCGCTGGTATAGTTCCTTGCAGGGCGAGTGACATGATTATCTGGCAGCTATAAGGAAAAAGAACCTCAGGTATTCATATTAAGGCGAGATAATGTGGATGTAGGCCGTATGTAAGTATAGAGTAGGAAGTGAAAATGACCTTTATCGAGTCTATAGTAGGAATATTAATATGGCATTCTCTTGCGAACTGCCTTTTCCTGTTATCTGATGCGAGATATAAAGTCTATAAAACTGTCTCGTGGGAATAGAGCGATTGGTTTCGCGGGGAAGAGGGGAAATGACCTTTCTCTCCGCTCTGACTCTTTCGAGATGTTGGATCCGGGGCTGCATGTGCTAGTGAGCGTATAGGTAATGTATGTAATGTACATAGTAGGTGCCTTGAAGAGCATCAGTCTTTATCTGCCAAGATCATTCGTCGACACGGACTTTTTGTCCCCTTTGGGAAAGGCGATGCTGCACTTCTACTTGATAAGCTCTTTTGACTCTTTGACTTGAACCGATTGTGGATTGTTTGTATATTTACGAGCGGGTATTGTCAGGAATTCAAGCTCCTGGATCTACACATCTCCTACAGCAGTTTGCTGGAGAAGACAGTACTCGCCCCATTTGCGTCGGAAGCGGTCCGGAATGAGTGGCAAGTCAGGGATCCAGATCAACCGACCCAGCAGACCTGTCTGAGATGCATCCAAGAAGCTTGCGCAGGAGATCTTCTCCCACTGCGTCTTGTCCGTGACATAATGGGGCTCCAGTGCGGTCGCATCATGACCAGGGAAATAGGAATCAACCAGGAAAGAGCATTGAGAAATATCAACCTAGTGTCGAGTCAGCATACGAACAGAATACATTATAACAATACTGTGTTTAGACACTCACGTATTTGCTAGGGTCCTCGATATTGAGATCATTCATGCCAGACGGGATTTGCGAGGCCCCATTCAGACGCCCGAGATAACTCGGCGCATCCGGGAACTCACCCGGCAGCAGCCCTCGGAATTCGCTCCGGATGAATTTGGCGCGCATGTCGCTGGGAAGGAAATATGATGACGGGAAGCGATACCACTCCTTGCCGAAACAGACCGAGTCTCCTGTTTGCGAGAGATCCACCCGCTGTAGAGGCTCGAACACCTTCAAAGGAGCGTTATACGCAGTGACCATGCCTAGCGTGCGCAACATGCCGGCATTCAAGGCTACTAAAACAACAGACAGGGCTGCAGCCATCTTGAGTTTGGTTGGTACACGCCCAATCAGTTCCTTCCGGTCAGTGGAACCGAGGTAGGTTAAGATGATATGAAAACCTAGTGCTGCGCTGAGTGCCAGGAACGGGTATGCCGGGTACATGAAGCGCTCTTCCTTGTGGGGCTGGACCGAAAAGATCCCAAACCACATGTACCAAGGTGCAATTAGTGCCAGTGATCGCAATGAGGTTTGAATGGACGTAGTGTGCGATCGGAAGACCATCTGGAAGACTAGGAGAGGAGCGGATAGCATGGCGAGGACAAACCAAACATTGAAGTTGAGCAAAAGGTTTCGAATATAGAAAGTCCACGGCTCAGTCCCGAAGATGTCCGGTCCCTTACCCTCTCCTCCTAGGATGTTGTATGCAACAATATTCCATGGCACGAGGACGAGCTTTCGGAAGAAAGCATAGTCAACTGTAACTTCAAGAGCCTGCAATAATGTTCAGTGATGACTCGGAAGCCTCATGGAAAACTACTTACCAGAATTGACAAACAACGAACAATACCGTCAAAAACATTGTACAAAAAGGAGCCAAGTGACCCAGACATGAATCTAAGGATGGCCTCCTCAGCCAGAAAAGGGAGAACGAGAGCCCCAGCAAACGGCCAGCCAACAATTGTGCCCAGTCCGAACCACATGATGCCCTGAGCTGTTCTCCGGCCATTCTTCCAATCGAGGAACGAAGCCAGGCCAAGCATAGACATATACATGGTAAAGCTGGATGGCAAGAAGGCCGCCGAAGCATGGAACATGCCAGGGCTAAGTGTACCGACCATCACAAACAAGATACCAATGCGCGGGCTGAGGGTGCGACAGATCGCAGAGTATAATCGCGTCTGACAGGCAGCGCAGACAAAAGCAAGAGACAAACGGATTGTATAGAATTCGGCGGTCTTGCTGTGAACTACTAGAGACCCCAGCTTGCCTACAGCAGCATGGAGCGACACGTAGAGCCAGCTCCGAATGGAATAAACAGGAGAATACTCCCATGTTTGAAGCCCATATCCATGCTGTAAATAATGCGCAGGTTCCCAAAAGTTGAACACTTCATCGCAGTCTTGAATTGGAGAGAAAATTGCGGCGAGGCCGTTGGCGATTAGACATAGGTAGAGGGTGATGTTGAGGGGGAGGTAGTAGGGAGGAGGTGGTGGTCTATATAGATTAGATTAACATGATATTTGATCCCACGTAATCGCATACACATACAGCTTCTTTGTCCGAGGTCTATGAACATCCTCGGTGCCATTGTTAGACCCTGCCATGTTGGTTGAGGTTGAGTGGGAGTCTTGGAGACATCATTGACTTGATAGAGCTGCGATAACCGATAAGACCTCCACCGCCCTGACCGCCCTGTGAAATCCGGCAAATTAAAAAAAAAGTTTCGCGTCCGACATCTTTTTGATCTTGCGATTTGAACTGTTCATTTTTATTTTCTAGTCGATATTCCAGAATGCATGACCAGCAGAACCTGCCAGACCAGGCTATGGACACAGGCGAAGGCCCTGCCTTAAAGAAACCCTGTCTGATCAATACGCCGCCTGTTCCAGGGACTCCAGACACTGGCAGCGATTTCTACAACACTCCCTTGGCCGCAGGTACGCCAGCCACGAGTACTATCGGCGCGACTGCTGAGGAGAGCACAGACGAGCCATCTGCTTCCTCGAATCCCTCTTCCGTGATCCCCGGATTGAATCTTATCCACCACACCTCCGAACACGAAGCTGGCTCAGACTCGGCCGAGCAGAAGGTCAAGGAAGAGCAAGTTGAACCGACGCAGCAACAGACAACTGAGCCGGAGGCCAAGCAAGAACAGCACCAAACCATCTCACAACCAGGGCTTACCGAAACAGTGACGAAGGAGGAGCCAGAGGCGATCAACACCGAACAACAACCCACTGCCCCCCACGACGAAGCTATGGACGTTGAGCAAGGCGCACACAATGACAACATGATCGAACGAAATGTCGACATCATTGAAGCCACTGGCCAGGATGGTGATGCCGAAGGGGATGAACATCCTGAATGGGAGGAAGATTCTTCACCATACGAGTCATCTTCAGACAGCTCTGATTCCTCGGACTCCGATGATAGTGACGACGAAGACTACCCGATTCTCTCTGCTGAGGAGCAAGCCCGTATCCTCATGCTGGCCGAAGGTGGTTCCGATGACGAGGGAAATGGCAAAGGAAAATCCGGAGGTCCTCTGCGGACCACCAACGAAATTGAGCAAGAAATTCTGCCTATCCCCGAGGTCAAGATCACACCCGGAATGAAGATTGTCTTCCTGGGCAAAGTCCATGCCGCCATCGACAATAATGTTCTCATCGAGGCAAATACTTCTGGAGAGTATCAGGTACTTGAATCAGGCTCTTTGCTCTGCTCCGATGATCGCCAGGTCATTGGCGTGGTAGCAGAGACCTTAGGAAGAGTCGAGAACCCTCTATACACCATCGCATACGCCACAGCCGCCGAAGTCCAGGAGAAGGGTCTTGTCAAAGGCAAAGATATCTTCTACGTCGAGGAACACTCCACCTTTGTCTTTACCCAGCCGCTCAAGGGCTTGAAGGGAAGTGATGCCTCTAACTTCCACGACGAGGAAGTCGCCGATGAGGAGATGGAATTCTCCGACGATGAAGCGGAGGCCGAATACAAGCGCAAGCTGAAGCAAAAGCGACAGGAGCGAAAGGAAGCCAGAGAAGGCCCAAGAGGCAAGAGACCAGCCCCAGGCCCTTCAAAACTGAACCAGTCCGAGCTCAACTACGACGATGCCGGAGGCGAGGAGGGATACACTCCTCTGGCTCGCCCCACAAACCTCCACGAGATGATGAGTAGCCGCGAAGCACCAGTCGAGGGCACCGAGCGCGGCGGTGGCCGCGGCGGAAGAGGTCGTGGTCGGGGTGACCGTGGACGCGGAGCACGAGGCCGCGGCGGACGAGGCGGAAGAGAGTGGGAGCAGGAGCGTCGGCCCCAACAGGGCAGCGGCTCAGGCTACGAGTCGAAGCCGCAGCAGCAACCTCAAGCCCCGCCCGCACCATACGCCCAACCCATGTATCAGCAGCCCCAGCAGGCCGCATACGGGATGCCCCAGCCCTTCGCTGGATATGCGCCATACGCACAGCAACAAGCTCCGAACCCGCAACAGGCGCAACATCAACCGCAATTCGGCCAGGGCGGAGCGATGGGACAAATGCCCTTCCAGTTCCCCAATTTCCAGGCCTTGCAGCAAATGCAGATGTTCCAGAACGCCTCTGCCAACCAATTCTCGCCCCAGCATCTGGCTCTTATGCAGCAGCAACAGCAATTCTTGCAGAATTACCCGCAGTTCCAGCAGCAATACGCTCAGCCTCAGCAGCATTATCAGCAGTCTCAGCAACCGCCCCAGCAGCCTGCGCAAAACCAGGGCATGAACTTTGACCAAGTCAAAGCTCAGCTGGATCTGCTGCGTAACCTCAGCGGTGGGAACCAGGGTCCTCCTCCTTCTTGATAGCTTCGTTTTCCTTGCATGTTCTTCTGTGATATCCTGGCATCGGATTTGATTTGCATTTACAGCGGGGTCTGTGCGGGTTGGAAAATTTCACTCATGTAAAATTTCATGTAGTTTCAATTTAGTGTCTGAACGGCTTACGAAGTTGACGAATTCACTAAATGTTTGAATATGTGTGTATGATTTTAGCCATGAAGAAGTAAACCGCTATCCGTACAGGTACAATTGCCCTAGGCCTGATGATCAGCCGTAGGAAAGTCTCCCCCTTAACGCCCAGCTGCCTGAGCACTCTTTGCCAAAGTCCAGAAGTTCTCCATCTTCGCCCGGGACAATGCGTCTTTGGCTGCCGAGTCCGTTTCGCAAATACGAGCACCAAACCATCTCTTGAAAGCCCGGGCCTTGACCTGGCCTTCCCAGAGGAGATTGCAAGTGTTCGAACTGAGATCCCGAGGCTCTCCCTTCTCATCCTCAGTAGACAACCAAGACACCTGGGCTTCGGGGCTGTCTGGGGCTACACGATCAGAACCGGGGTTTTCGGTCCAGTCGATGCGGTTCATCATCAACTTTCGATAATTATTGATAGAGTGCTTGCCGCCTTCAACAACCACCAAATTGAACCTGGGATGCATGATGCAAATGCCGGTCAATTTATTCTGCTCCGCGTTCTTGCCGATCTTGAAACGGTTTCGCCCGCTCGCCAGACTGTCAATCCGGTACACGGATTGGAAGATGCCCATAGCAGCGTCCTTCTCCTGCTGCGCTGCTAATTTCTCGTGACGTTGCTCTTTGGTCAGTTTGCGCTCTTCGTTCGCCATCTCGTGGGCCTCCCTTCGCTCTGCGATCTCCCTGGTAACCCGGGCTTCAACCGCCGTGGGATCCTTGACCGCTTGTTCTCCCAAAACACGCATGAGGTTTGATTTCTTGACCTTAGGAGCCGGTGCTTCAATAAGACCCAGTCTGATCTTGGCTTGCTGTTCCTTGAGGTCCGCCATGCGTCGCTGTCGTCGGATCTTAGCTTGTTCCTTGGGAGTAAGATACATTGGCTTTTGCGGGGGCGCATGTTTATCTTGTGGAGGTTCAAGCTGAATAGGGTGCTGAATATAGCGGGTGATGATAGTGTCGGGGGTATCGATTTTGATGTTTTGCGGGTCATCAATTGCATTGTAGTCGCCACCATTGACCAGACCTTCGTCCCACCACTCAATAGCTGGTGGAGCAGGAACAAGGAACGCTTTCTCCACGTCAATGTCGTCCTCGAGACCGGCCTGTCGCGCTTTCTCTGCAATCCTCTTCTTCATAGCCTCCAACTGTGCCTGTCTGCGCAGAGCGGCAGCCTGCTGGATATATTTGCCTTTCTGGTTGAAGATAAGCTGTCGAGTTTGTCGGGGCTTTGCGATCGTTGCCTTGGGATTGAGAGCTGGATCGAAGTATGGGTTGTTCTTGATTTCTTCCACAGACGGCCCAGACAGATCGAGCTGGGGCCCACCGGCGCGTTTTGGCTTGGCTTGACGTCCACCACGAGGTTCAGGTATAGTATCGGAGAGAAGTGCAGGGTGAAGACCAACATCTAGGCCACCGCGGGCCTTGTTCATACCCTCATCGTCGCGAACCGGAGGTTGGTGGGATGGCGCAGGCGCACTAGGTCGTGACAAAGAGGGTGCATTGGCTCTTTGGGTAGCTGCAGCGACCCTAGCTTTCATCTGTTCTAATCTCGACATTCCGGGACTGGGCGCTGGCGGAGTAGGACTTGCCGAAGCCGGTGCTGATGGTGGAGGGGGCGTCGGACTCGCCGTCGCGCCGCTGCGTGCTTGAAGGCGAGCGCGGACAGCATCTGCCTTTGCTCTTGCCTCGGCGACCATTTTCGCGATATCTGGTTTTCCCGGGGCAGCACCTCCTTGAGCTGGTACCGGGGACCCATGGTTGGAGCGGGTCCTTTTCTGGGAGTTGTCGATTTGATCCTCGGCGTGAGGACGCTTCAACGAATTTCCCGATGCGTCGGCCATGATGGGAATAAAATCTCAATGGCTCGGTAGCCCGGCGATTTGAAAACCCACAAAGAGTTCAGCAAGTGACGATGGACAAGAGAGCTGAGAGGTGTATGACAAGCAGTCCACGCAGAAACCCAAAAGGCGGTAAAGCAGGGCAGAAAGAAGGTTGCTCCTCCGGGAAAAAAAAGTTCGCTCCAGAACTAAAAAAGCACTTGGAGACTTGATCCAGGCACTTTGATTTCGTGCGCCAGCGTTTTCTGTTGCTCAAAGAGCTGCAGGCTACAATGGCAACTTTTGCGCGCCCGGTCGCCTCGACCATTAATGGGGTCGACTTCAATGTCTACTCCGAGGAAGAGATCAAAGCTCTCTCGGTGAAAAGAATTCACAATACTCCGACTTTGGATTCATTTAACAACCCTGTTCCTGGTGGTCTTCAAGACCCTGCTATGGGCGCTTGGGGCGATCATGTGTGAGTTTCGAGTTCGTCGAGTATTGTTTTCAACCTCTAACGTGGGAGATTTTCTTCTACTTCTACAGATGCACTACCTGTCGCCAAAATTCTTTTACATGTACCGGACACCCCGGACACATTGAGCTTCCAGTACCGTTCTATAATGTTACCTTCTTCGATCACATTTTCCGACTTCTCCGAGCACAATGTGTGTACTGTCTCCGCTTGCAGATGGGCCGCAGCCAGGTCAACATGTACACCTGCAAATTGCGCCTCTTGCAATACGGCTTGGTCGACGATGTCGCTGTTGTCGATGCTATGGGAGCGGTGAAAGGTGCCAAGTCCAAGGCTACTAAGGGCAAGGAAGACGAATCGGACGATGACGATGAAGCCGATGATGACGACTATATGAAAAAGAGGTCCGAATATGTCTCTCGGCGCATCCGTGAAGCCAAGAAGGAGGGCAAATTGGACGGATTGATGGCTGGCGGGCAAAACCCTATTGCCGCAGAAGCCAGGAGAGAGTTGATCAAGGCCTTCTTCAAGGACATCAACGCATTCAAGAAATGTGTTAACTGTAGCGGGTACGTTATGCAAACTATATTGATCTTGGCTTTCCTAGTTAACACCGCGGCAGGATTTCCCCGTCTTACAAGAAAGATCGCTACAACAAAATCTTCCGGAAGCAGTTAACTGAGAAGCCGAAGCTTGCAATGCTGCAGGGAGGATTCCAGGCACCGAATACCATGGTACTACTTGAACAGGAAAGACACTCGAAGTCCAAGCAGAATGGTGTATCCGAGATCCACGGCGCTGAGGAAGAGATTCGACGCGGCGTGGCTGTCGTGCAGGAGGTACAGGGATCGACCGGTCAAGAATTCATGTCTTCATCTGAGGTCTATGCCGCTCTTCATCTTCTTTTCCAGAAAGAAGATGACATCATGCAGCTTGTCTACAACTCTCGGCCTGTGCCCAAGGGAGTGAAGGTTGTCTCGGCGGATATGTTCTTCATCAAGAGCCTCATGGTTCCGCCAAATAAGTACCGCCCTGCCGTTCAGCAGGGTGCCGGAACGGTCATGGAGGCCCAGCAGAACACTTCGTTCAATGCCATCCTAAAGGGGTGTGATACCATCAACCAGATCAGCAAAGAGATCCAAAACGAGGAAGAGAAAACCATGTCTCGGGCACGGAATTACAGTGACCTCCTCCAGGCTATCGTCCAGCTTCAGGATGTGGTCAACGGCTTGATTGACCGCGATCGCACCTCGGTCACTGGCTCAGCTGCCCTGTCACAGCCTAACGGTATCAAACAGATTCTCGAGAAGAAGGAAGGTTTGTTCCGAAAGAACATGATGGGCAAGCGTGTCAACTTTGCTGCTCGTAGTGTCATTTCGCCTGATCCCAACATCGAACCCAACGAGATCGGTGTACCTCTCGTCTTCGCAAAGAAGTTGACTTTCCCCGAACCCGTCACAAATCACAACTTCTGGGAATTGAAGGAGGCCGTCATTAATGGCCCCGACAAATACCCCGGTGCTTCTTCCATTGAGAACGAAAACGGACAAGTCATCAACCTGAAGTTCAAGAACCTGGAAGAGCGGACAGCGCTTGCCAACCAGCTCCTCGCACCGTCAAATTGGCGCCAGAAAGGTTCGCGCAACAAGAAAGTCTATCGTCATCTCACTACTGGTGATTACGTTTTGATGAACCGTCAGCCCACTCTGCACAAGCCCTCCATCATGGGTCACAAGGCTCGTGTCCTTCCCAATGAGCGCGTCATTCGCATGCACTACGCCAACTGCAACACCTACAATGCCGATTTCGATGGTGATGAAATGAACATGCATTTCCCCCAGAATGAGCTTGCTCAAGCAGAAGCCAGAATGCTGGCCGATGCTGACCACCAGTACCTTGTTGCCACATCAGGTAAACCTCTGAGAGGTCTGATTCAAGATCACATCTCAATGGGAACATGGGTTACGTGTCGTGACACCTTCTATGACGAGGAAGATTACAACCAGCTGTTGTACAGTTGTTTGAGACCGGAGCACTCGCACATTGTCACGGACCGGATCCAGTTGGTGGAGCCTGCCGTGCGAAAGCCCAAATGTTTATGGACCGGAAAACAGCTCATTACGACAATCCTCAAAAACATTCAACCCCAAGACCGAGGTGGTTTGACTTTGCAGAGCAAGTCTTCGACTCCTGGTAACCGATGGGGCGAAGGCAACGAGGAGGGAGATGTCCTTTTCCAGGATGGCGAGTATCTGTGTGGTATTCTCGATAAAAAACAACTCGGCCCCACTGCTGGAGGTCTCATCGATGCCGTTCATGAAGTGTATGGATATAGCATTGCTGGAAAGCTTATTGGTATCCTTGGAAGACTCCTCAACCGCGTTCTCAACCTGCGGGGTTTCAGCTGTGGTATCGATGATCTTCGATTGACCAAGGAGGGTGACCGTATCCGCAAGGAGAAATTGGCTACTGCCCCTCAAATGGGTCTCGAGGTCGCTCTGAAGTATGTCACCTTGGACAAGGCTTCTGGTGACCAGACTCCTGAGTTGAACCGACGATTGGAGGAGGTTCTTCGCGATGACGACAAGCAAAGTGGATTGGATAGCGTTTCCAACGCCCGGTCTGCGAAGCTCTCTTCTGAAATCACTGGTGCCTGTCTCCCACATGGTCTTGCTAAGCCTTTCCCTTGGAACCAGATGCAGTCTATGACAATCTCTGGAGCTAAGGGATCTGGTGTTAACGCCAACCTGATTTCTTGTAATCTCGGCCAGCAGGTTCTTGAGGGTCGACGTGTACCACTCATGATCAGTGGAAAGACTCTTCCGTCGTTCAAGGCCTTCGAAACACACCCCATGGCCGGTGGTTACGTGTCTGGTCGTTTCTTGACCGGTATCAAACCCCAGGAATACTACTTCCACGCCATGGCTGGTCGTGAAGGTCTGATTGATACTGCCGTCAAGACCTCTAGATCCGGTTACCTGCAGCGTTGTCTGATCAAGGGCATGGAAGGCCTGAAGGCCGAGTACGACTCCTCTGTCCGTGAGGCATCTGATGGCTCCATTGTCCAATTCTTGTACGGAGAGGACGGTCTCGACATCACCAAGCAGGTGCACCTCAACGACTTCGATTTCCTTGCTCAGAACCACATCTCCATTTCCAAGCAAGTTCAAGCCGACGACTATCACAAATTGGCCAAGGAACACGTCACTACGTGGCACAAGGATGCCATCAAGGCAGTTCGCAAGACTGGAAAGGTTGACGCTATGGACCCTGCATTGTCTCAATTCCCTCCCGGAGGCAACCTGGGTAGTACTTCTGAAGCGTTCGCTCAGGAGCTCAAGAAGGTAAGGACTCGACATATTTCCCATTGTCAAATTCATTCTAACAATCTTGAAATTAGTACGCGGACGTCAACAAGAGCAAGCTCATCAAAGACAAGAAGAAGAACATTGAGGGCAAGCTCAGCAAGAAGACATTCGAGGCTTTAATGAACATGAAGTACATGAAGTCTATCATTGATCCTGGCGAGGCTGTCGGAATTATGGCCGGTCAGTCCGTTGGTGAACCCTCCACACAGATGACACTCAACACCTTCCATTTGGCTGGTCACTCCGCAAAGAACGTCACACTGGGTATTCCCCGTCTACGTGAAATTGTCATGACTGCAAGTGCAAATATTATGACGCCTACGATGACCCTTCTTCTGAATGAAGAAATTTCCAAGGAGGACTCTGAAAAGTTCGCCAAGGCCATCAGCAAACTCAGCATCGCTGAACTGGTCGATACGGTGCGGGTTAAGGAGCGCATTGGCCAGGGTATTGGTCATGCCAAGGCTAAGATTTACGACATCGAGATCGATTTCTTCCCATCTGAAGAGTACACCAAGGAATACGCGATTGAGACCAAGGATGTCCTAATTGCTCTGCAATCCAAGCTCATCCCTCGTTTGGTAAGACTCACCAAGGCGGAACTCAAGAAGCGCAACGAAGAGAAGAAGGGTGTCAAGGGCACTACATCTCAGCCTGAAATCGGTGTCTCCGTCGGCAGAATCGCGGAGGCCCCGAGAGGCGCTGACACCGAGGCCCAGCCCGCCGATGATGACAACGAAGACGACGAGGATGATGCCAAGCGGGCAGCAGGCGCTCAAAACCGGGGCAACCAGGTTTCCTACGAGGGACCCGACGATGGCGAGCGGGAAATCATCCGACGCCAAGATTCCCCCGAGGAGGATGAGGACGAGGATGAGAGCAGTAAGCCTGCCAAGGGCACCCGCGACGTGGAAATGCAGGACGGATCTGATTCAGAGGATGACTCTGATGACGAGACTGCCCAGGACACCAAGGCGCGCGAGGACGATGTCATGGGCAAGTTCGAGGAAATTACCAAGTTCAAATTCGACCCGAAGAAGGGCAACACTTGCTCCATCCAACTGCAGTACGACGTCGAAACCCCCAAGCTCCTGCTCCTTCCGCTGGTTGAAAAGGTTCTCCACCTCGCCGTAATCCAGTGCATCCCCGGCATGGGCAACTGTGTCTACGTCGAGGCCGACGAGGCCAAGGGCGATCCCGCCAACATTGTCACCGAGGGTGTCAACCTGCTTGCCATGCGCGACTACCAGGATATCATCAAGCCCCACTCGATCTACACTAACTCCATCCACGACATGCTCAAGTTGTACGGTGTGGAGGCTGCTCGGGCCACCATCGTCCGCGAAATGGACGCCGTTTTCAAGGGTCACAGTATCTCCGTCGACAACCGTCACCTGAACTTGATCGGTGATGTGATGACGCAGTCTGGTAGCTTCAAGGCCTTCAGCCGTAACGGCTTGGTCAAGGATGCCTCGTCTGCTTTCGCGCGCGCCAGTTTCGAGACTACTGTCGGCGCCCTGAAGGACGTTGTGCTCGAGAGGGGTGTTGATAACCTCAAGAGTCCTAGTAGTAGGATTGTTGTTGGCCGTGCCGGCACCGTCGGCACTGGTTCCTTCGACATTCTTGCTCCTGTAGCATAGTCACCCTCTGACTGGATGGAGTTTTGATATGTGTATTTGGATTTTGTTCATGTGTATATTGTGTTTCTTCTGCAAAGCTCTGTTTTCTTTTATGTCGCTTCATCTTTGATGTGTCGATGATCTGGAGTTTGTCTTCGTGCAGGATCTTAAAAGTCTGTCCCTGTTCATATTAGCATCTTGACTAGTGCAATAAATAGATATTTTCGAGTTCAGGTCTGGAAGTTGGTAATATCGGTTAGTCTAATATGTACGAGGTTGATGGTGACTACGTGTAGTATCTACATGTGAGTACACTTAGTACCTGCATTGGCATGAACCAACAGTATGTATGGCAGGGTCTGGGACCTAAGGGCCTGTCCTAAGGGCCTGACCCTGTCCTAAGGGCCTCGCCACTAGTCACTACACTGGCTAGTTAGTAGAAGTTCTCGCCTTAACTACGGAGTACGCAGGCTACTGTGTAGTTTCCTCTTAGGGTACACCTGAGGTGCATAATGCATTACACCAGAGAGTCATGTGATGGCCTAATCTAGCTTAGTGTCCCATACGAACCATCACGTTTTCGAACTCCTTCGGACTCCTCGGGCCTAGGTATTGATGATGATGATGATGTTGATGATGATTTCATTAGCCCGATTTAGCTCACTTTACATACATACTGCTATGCATAATGCGGGAATCTCGGGCCTATTGGTTTTCTTCTTTCTTTTAACCCAGAGGCTCGGAATGAAGAACAGACGCTCGGAATGGAGAATCCTATGAACTCTTTACCACCAGAGTTATGGATCCAAATATGCCAAAATCTGGCGTTAGAGAATGTTTGCGCCATGCGACTGGCTTGTAGGGCAATGAGTATTGGGACCTACCAGTATTTCGCCCATGAGGTCTTCCATGAATTCTACCTCACTCTTACCTCCGAAGGTCTACGGGAATTAGAGTACGTGGCCCATGACGAGATCTTCAGCCAACATGTTGAAGTGAGTGCATTCCACCTGTGCGCCTGCTATCGAGTACGAACTGATCCTTGATGGTAGAGATTGTGGATTGTCCCCAGTCTTTTCAAAGCTGAATATACCTGGACACCTGATGAGCCCAAGGGGACGATTGAAATGGAGGAGTCTTTCCAATATCAGCGGAAATTTCAGCAATTTCACCGATTGAAGCGACGAATGCGAGCGGATCGACTCTCCGAAGGTGCCGTGAGAAGTCCAGCGTGCTCGACGAACAACCAATTTCACCAGCTTTACCTTGCTTCGCGTTCAGACATACCAATAGAAGATCGCTATGTGATCTACAAGGATGCAGTAGTCGACCACTTCCAGGTTCTTTTATCCTCTCCGGGGGAAACAAGCACAGACAAAAGTCGCCTCCAAGATACCCTGGAGAATTGTCTGCCTTTGCTTTCAAATTTGCACACGATAGGACTGAGATACTATCGTCCAGACGATGTGATGAGGGGAATAAGTAGTTTGCAAAGACAACTTGGCGTCAATCCGGTCGATCCTTTCGATCCTTGGGAAGGATATGGTAAGCCCTATGCTGAACGCTGCAGTATTCTTCGAGGCAGTTTATTCCAGTCCCATGTTTTCTCCACCCTTTTGGCAGCTGTCGGCACGACCCATACTCGTATCGCAGCGCTCGAGACTTGTGGCGGAATGATGGTGGATGATGGATTATCAGTCACACCATCAGTGGAAGAAGCCTTGGTCCCAATATTTCAACAACTACAGCGCCTTCGGGTTTATATTTCGTCGGCCCATACCCAAGACAGTGACCGGCAAAGTTTATGCGAAGATGAAGCAGAGGTCGCATTTCTCCTGCAGCACTCAGCGATCTGGGAGGAAAGGAAGAATTGCCCCGAAATAAAGAAGAACAGGCTGCTTCCTCTCCTTGCTAAGGCAGCTCCAGGAGTACAAAATCTGGATCTAACGATGCATCCCACTACAAGAGTATCTTCGCTCTGTCAGGAGAAACATGGTCTCGACCTGACAGATGCACACTTCGACTGGATCTCGCAACATTTCAAGTTTTCTCGTCTATCGGTCTTGTCGCTGAAAAGTATCATAACCACCGTTTCATCCTTCAAGGCGTTCCTCAAAACGGCCTTACCCACGCTGGAACATTTGACTCTCGACTATATCACTTGGACAAGTGATCTCGAGATCCCGTTATTCTATCGAGACGAAGGCGTGCGGGTCTGCCGAGAGGTGCTTACTTACCTACGTGATCACTCCAGAGTACAATGCCTTTCAATCGGTACCTGGTCATATCACAAATTCCCCATCGAGGTGGCCGACCATTTCCATACTCCATCACCTCCGCCCATCCCATCACCTCCGCCCAGACCACGACCTCGTCGAACCATTCCTTACAGTTACTGGAAGCGTTATGACCAAAGACAGGACGCGATTTCCTTTGTAGAGTGGATCGACCAACTCGTCGTCCGTGCAGACCGGCTCTCATCAATTCCACTACTTTACTAGTCATACCTCTAATACCCTCTCAACCGTTAGGGCCATCGCTTACGCTAAGGTGCTTTTCTATTACAAGGTTATAATATGAACAGTAAGTATGGAGAGCTCTGCTGCTGTAGGCATTTCCGCCCTATAAATAGTCAAAGCCCGGTTCACTGCTATTAGCCCTCACTTAAATTCCCTCATTATCACTTGAATACGTCTACTTTCTTGGAGCATTTCTCCATAAGTAATGAGCGCCGTTGAAGTTGTTTATCACTGGGGTGCCGGCGTCGGCGTCCCGGCTCCGATCATCGAATCAGAGCTTGGCTTCAGACCTTTTCACACCTCAACTACATAAAACCAAGTGAACCACCCTGGCACCCACTACCAACGTCCATACAAGCCGACCTACAGGCTGATGACGGGAATAATGTCTCACGCTGGATGATCAGCTCGACAGGTTCACACATGACTCCCCACCGATCAGTTTTCATCAACTTCAGGGAATGTGTTTTACCGATATCTACAGCTACAGGAGAAATCTTCTAGGTCGGCATTCCCACAGTCTATACCAAGCAGGTACATCGGAAATTCCGACGTCCGTCGTCCAGTCTTGCCATTGGCAATTTGAGATTAGCCAGCTTCCATAGCGCCAGGTTCATTTTATCCTCTATATAAATTTTAGGCAACCCTGGGTATCATTACCTAGTTGACTTTGATGGCCAGGATGTGGTGTTGCAGACATGAGCAGTTGAAGCCTGAGATCTACCGAGGTCCGTTGGACCGTTCGGTGATGTCGCCGAAGAGTATCAAGGCATTTCCCCGCATAATCGACAAGCCGACTTATTACTTCCGCCACCAGACCTGAACCTGTCAATATTGCATATTTTATCCAGACGAAAACTCAAAGAGGCTAAATTCACATATCGAAATGCAAGCCGTCGTGTTCAAGGGCCCATTACAGGTGGCTGTAGAGGAAAGACCTATCCCCAAGATCCAAGATCCAACCGATGTGATCTTGAAGGTCCGATACACAGCATTATGTGGCAGGTAAGAGATCACGACTCGCTCTTTCAAAACAGTATATAAACACTAACATGCTACAAAAGTGAACTCCACGTCTTTCGCGGCCACCAACCCTCCGGCACAGGCTTCATCATGGGCCACGAATTCACCGGCGAAGTAGTCGAGACCGGATCTTCTATCACAAACTTCCAGAAAGGAGACCGAGTAGTCTCCCCCTTCACCGTAAGCTGCGGAGAATGCTTCTACTGTGTCCGCGGTTTCTCCTCTCGATGCGCACGGAGCCAGCTATACGGTACCGCTATACTTGACGGCGGACAGGCCGAATACGTGCGCGTCCCACTAGCCGACTCAACGCTCTTCAAGATCCCCGAGACAGTCGACGAGAAAAAGCTGGTTTTGATGGCTGATATCTTCCCTACCGGATACTTTGCTGCCTCGAACGCTTTCTCCGGCACAAGTACCGAGGAGGTCCAGAACAGCACGGTACTTCTTTTTGGATGTGGGCCGGTGGGTATCTGCGCACTTATTAGTGCTCTTGAGCACAAGCCCAAGAACCTCATCGCAATTGATAGCGTGCCGGATCGGTTGGAGCTTGCAAAGAGTCTAGGAGCCGAGCCGTGGAATTTCGAGAAGGATGGTGACGCGCTACGGGAACGGGTGAAGGAGCTTACCGAGGGCCGTGGTGCGGATATCGTTATTGAGGTCGTTGGTCATAGTAGCGCCCTCAGGATGGGCTTTGATATGTTACGGCCCTGGGGACGGATTTCGAGTGTCGGCGTGCACAACCAGGATATCCCGTGGACTGGGAATGAAGCCTATGGGAAGAATTTGCGTCTGCAGATGGGTCGATGCCCTGTTCGGAGTATGTTGAACCTCCCACATGATATTGGGGTGACTGTTTGCTGATGAAGATATAGGTATCTTCGCTCCGGCTATGGAGTTTTTCGAGAAGAAACAGGACATCCTTGAGTGAGTTGCCTGTCCCGGCTATTCGCTTGTTCTTTGTTTCGGGTTCTAACAATCTCTCAGCTTCATGTCTCGAGATATCCGCCCACTTTCGCAGGCTGTTCAGGCGTAAGTTGTTCTCGGCCAGACCTTTGAGAGCTTTCAATTGACCTTTTGGCAGATATGACGATTTCCATAACATGCGTGCCCACAAGGTGATTTTCGAGGCGGGTAAGAAATAGGATAATGATTTCCCTCATAGTGTGCAAATGTACTTGATGAATAAATTAGTACCTGAGTTAAGCCTCGTCAACGGAGAGTGCTTTACTCCTTCGGTTCAATGTAGATACTCGTGGTTGATCATGAATTGAATGGAGAACGTAAATTATTCCAATCATAGAAACACCGCCCATGCTAATTGGCACTATGCCTAATTCCAAACGCCCCAGAGCCCATGCCAGTATATGTGCCTCTATGTACGCCCCGTAGCACAAGATTATTTTAGCGGGCGTCGAGCATCATAAGATCTTCATCGATATCGTCATCATACTCATCTTCGACGATCCGGGATGCAGAGGGTATCATCCCATTCATAGCGTGCCCGTTCCCATTTGCCGCCTCCTCTCTCATCATCCGCTCTTCTTCGGTCTTTCTCTTCGCCTCATGGCGCTCGATATCAGCCAATCCCCAAGTTGAGATGCCTTCTTGGTCCTTCGCTTTGAAAGGTTGAGCCATGGTCCGGAGGAAGTTCTTAGCATTTGATACAGCCATATCGGTGCTGAGATTAGTTTCGCTGTCCAGCATTGCCTGGTTGATCCACTTGGGTAGCTGAGGGCGCTTTCGCTCGAAGCGGCGATCTGCCAACACCATGACTCCGTAATCGTCCTTGCCACGCAAGACACGACCCAGGCACTGAGCGGCGTGTCGAATTGCATCGAAAGATAAGAAATCGTTTTCGCGGATACGATAATTCTCACGTAAGAACTCGAGGCGGGCTTTGAGAATTCGAGACTCGGTATATTGGAAGGGAACACCAATACACAACACTGCCCGACCATATTGATGATCGAAATCAATACCCTCAGATACCTTGCCTCGAGCGACACAGAACAAAATTGCGCCACGTCCGTTGCAGCATGCTGTTCGGTAGGTCTCTAATGCGAGTGAAGACTCTTGTGCATCAGGGGTTTCGACGAGAATCAACTTGTAATTCCAGATTTGATCTAGAATTCCCATACCTTGCCACATGCTGATGATCGACTCCATGTATAGATAAGAAGGGAAGAAGACCACAACGCCATCGGGTGTTATTCGAGAAAACTCGGTCACCAGACTTCCGTAATTTCGCACAACACCGGGGTCATTACGAATTCCAAACGAAGACGAGACTTGTGCCTGGTCCGAACCGCGAGTGACGATCATGGGCAAGAAAGATCGTCGGGCGAGTGTCATGCTGTATGATTCTTGCATAACGGCGGTGAATCCCAGCATTTTTGGATACATTTCTAGAGGCGATAAAGTTCCCGAGGTGATGATCACAGAACTGAAACGATCGAATACCGGCTTGATAGCAATGGCGGCATCCAAGCACGTGAAATGCAAGATGGGATTTGGTACAGTGGCCGCTTCGGACTCAAATGGTTCGAGGATCAGAACAAATCCCTTGTCGTAGGTTGCGACCAGTGTTGCAAAGGTGGCCACCTCCTGGAGAGGCTGATAGTCTTCGATGTTGACAAGCTCCAGCGTCCGCACAAGCGATGTAAGGCGCTCAGCGCAGAATCTTAAAGGTTTTCGTTCAATATAGGTAAGGTCCCTCAAGTGAGTGAGGAAAGAAGGGGGTGTTTCGGAAATGGTATGGGTCACTTTCATCCGAGTCTTCAAGTACTCAATGAATCTTTTCAAGAAAGAGATGAAATGTTCGGCCCGGCGAATATTACCAGGAACAGCTTCCTTTAGTAAATCATCTGGCAAGACCGGGTTCGAGATAAATTGATCTTCATCCCGGGCTCTCTCTGCTTCTTGCAGACCCTCAACCAATTTTGTGTATTCATTCTTCAGCTTCTCCTCATCTGTGCTCTTCATTTCTTCGATCTTGCGTTCCAGATTGGTTGCTCCTCGGGTTGCCTTTCGTAGAGAATCCTCACTCAGATCTATACTGAGTGACTCGATACAGACATTGTCGATGTTGTGGGCTTCGTCGAAAACCACGATGCAATCTTTAGAGAGCTCTTTGGATACCCGTTCGGCGATTTTTGGATCAAGAAGGTAGTGATAGGAGTAGATGATGATGTTGCACCATGGCATCTAGTAAATGTTGTCAGGAATAAGACGTTTTATACAGAGATCTGGCTTGTTGACTTACCATACGCCGAGCGGAGAAGTAAGGACATTGCTTATGCTCTTCTCCATATCTTAGCAAGCCGTCAAGTGTAAATACTCCTGGTGGTACAAGGTTGTGGGGCTCGAGTAGGTCAAGATTCTAGGCCGGTTAGCTCTCGCAACGTTCCATTGCAAGCAACAGGTCTTACCTCGTGGTACACGCAAAGTTCAACGTCTTCACCACGCTCCTTCTTCTCTTTGATGAACCCAGCAGTCAGGCTTCTACACCTGGCATCAACCACTGTGCCACTCTTCTCTTTTTTCACCGAAGGGTGAAGGCAAAGGTTCTTTCGACTCGTAAGACCAAGCGCTCGGAACTCCTCCACATAGCCCAACTCCTTAGAACGATGCTCCATCAAAGCCTTCAGCTCGGCCAAAGCTTTCTCAATCTCGGACATGGTTCGGGAGCAGTATATGAGCTTGCGATGCTCCGGATAGTGTTGTTGATAGGCGACAATCAACGACAATAGTGAAACTGTCTTGCCAGTACCCGAAGGCATTTCCAACACACAGTGACCCCCTGCATCGAGGGTCTTCTTGAGGTCGCACATGTAGGCATATTGTTCTGGATAAATGCGAGGATACGGGAACAGCACCGGAAGATCACTAACAGGAAAAGCAGGATTAGCTTGACTTGATCACTAATATATAAGCACATTTACGCAAAGAACGTACTCAATGAAGAACTTCATCTTGGCTGGGCTCCGATGCAGAACGCAAGAGGGCAACGGATCAAAAGAGGTGAGCTTGCGCTCTCATCTCGCGCGGCTCCGTCTTCGCGCTTGTCCTATCTGGGACAGCGATGACACCAGATCACGTGATGATTGCTATCTTTTGTCCCGCATCTTTCGGAGACTCGATTTGGAGATGCTTACAGCTTCACATACACAATTGAAGTGTGGTACAGGCTTCGGTCACATCTCGAACCATCAATAAGGCCAAGTGTCCCTCACTCTCTCCGAGGCCTTTACGAAATCCTCGATATCGAACTCCTCCCCCACTACTTCCTTATCCCGCTGACCTCATACCCCACATGAGCAAAAAGTTCAAGTCCCAGGCCTCCAGCAGTCGCGCTGCTGCGACTGCCTTTGGTACATTTGGAGGCTTCTCTGGACTTTCCAGCCACGGAAAGGAGCCGTCCAGTCTCACATACATTGCACCTCCGCCAGATCTTTCTCGCATTGCGGACCAACAATTAGTTATCGCGTTCAAGAATTTACTGAAGAAAGATGAGATTACACGCATGAAGGCAGTGGAGGATCTACAAGACCATGTCTTAAGTGTAGCGGAGAGGAATGCGACTCTGGATGATGGGTTCTTAGACGCATGGGTACGTATAGATCGCTTCTTTATACCCGCACCATGTACTAACAGTGGCTTCATTCAGGTCAAGATTTACCCCAGACTTTCAATCGATCTATCTCGCAGAGTTCGCCAACTTGCTCATCCGATCCAGGGTACAATTGCCGGCCTTGTCGGAAAGCGGATCGTGCCCAACTTACCCAAAATCATCGGAGCATGGATCGCCGGAATTTATGACAATGATCGACCAACACATCGTTCTGCCCTTGATTCATTTACGAGCGTGTTTCCCACGGAAGAGAAGAGAAACAATGTATGGAAGATCTATCAGGCATCCATTTTGAACTTCGTCGATGATGTCATTCTTCATCAAACTGCCTTGACGCTGAGCGACGAGAGGACAGTGAAGAGGGATGATGCCGAAGGGAAGTATGCTCGTGTGGTGGGGGCCGCAGTTTTGCTCTTTAACCGTGTACTAGGTATGCTGAAATGACTACCCACATGATTTCCCGTCTAACAATCGATTGTCTCCAGCCAATTCCGTCGACGAAGAATTGGAGAAAAACCTTCCCGAGATAGAGAATCTATTAGGCAGCAAGGAATTATGGGCACTCTGCTATCACGATGACCCATACGTTCGCCGGTCCATGTACATCCTGCTTCGATCTGCGATTTCCCGAGAGCCTGGATGGGTTGACTGGAAAACTGTCAGTTCAGCTGTCATTGGAAAATCCTTGTCTCTCCAGCAGATTGGATCCGCCTCCGAACTGTCGGAGTCGCTCCTTCTCATGACCTCGTTGAGGCCCCAAGTATGGACGGATGATTACACGGGCAAAACATCTGCATCAAGGAGGTTGCGCCAATACATGCAGAAAGGATCCCAAGGTGGATCTGGTAGCTACTGGTCAAATCTTGACCAATTGCTTCGAAACATTCCCCATGAAGTCCTTGCAGGTGCCGACAAGGATACTGCTGATCAAGGAATAACTTTAACGAGCGCAATCGCTTTAACTGATTCTTTACGAGAAGGCCTCAACTCGAGAGAAGAGCCCCGTCAAAATCTCACTGCGGGATGGAACTCCTATATCCAGATAGGAAGGTGGCTCGCGACTTTGGTTCCCCAAGAGCAAAAGTCCGAATTCATTGACAAGTGTCTTTCTCCCTTGGTGGTGCACTATGTGCGGATCGATCCAGAATCAACGCAATGGTCACTTCCTTTCCAGTCAGCCGAAGGGACTTGCGCGAACTATCTCTCCACTCTAGCTTCCACTGGACAAGTTCAGGAGGTGCAGTCTCTCTGTACATCTCTCTCTAATGGACTGCTAGAAGCTGTGAAGCTGTCATCCCCAGAGCAATCGAAGGACTTCCGTGAATCTCAAGACTCAATATGCGCCCAATCGAAGCGGTTTTTGAATCTGAAGTCTGCTATACTTAAGCGGGTTGCAGATACCGATGTGGAGCCTCCATTATCAAGGACATTCGAAATTACGACGACGTTGCTTCTCGAGGGTTGCATTGAAGTTCTGCGCAACCGTAATGGCAAGCCTTACGGAGCCGCCGCTGCGGTAGAGGAGTGTGTCCGGAGCATGCCATCTGTCGCAAAAAATTCGGAAAGCCTTCAACGATTCGTCCAGGATGATATACCGGAGCTTCTGCTCTCTCCGTCTGCTGGTCAATTAATTTCGACCATGCTAGAATGTCGGAAGTGGGATGAATTTGCTTCCAGCTTCGAGAACGTCGTTGAGCGGGCGCTGGCGCTTGAGCCAGAGCAGTCAAATGTACACGTACTGCAAAGCTTGCTGTCCTCCCTCAATTTCGACGATGCTAAGCACAAAGACAAGCTCAACTACCTTGTTGTGCAGGCTCTTACTAAAGCTTGCAACGGAAGCCACGCTCATTGGCCTATCATTACCACAGTTCTCCTGAACAAAACGTCGCGCGGTGAACTGTCGGAGCGGATATTTTTGTCTTTGATTGATGCATTATCCGTGGACGACAAAGTGATGGATACCTTGCACGGAATCTCTCATATTGGAAGGAGTGCACCATCTTCAGTTCGGGAATTCCAGGGTGGAGCTCATGGGTCAAAATTAGCAGGAAAGCTGCTCTTCCTCACAGAGTCACCATCTGAAGAGGTCGCAAGCTCGGCGGAAGCGTTGCTGAAATCATTGAAAGAGTCCGGTCTTGGCGAGGTGGGTGGCAGATCAGGTATCGAAATTCTCCAACATGCATTCAATCATGTGGATGCGGAATCGTTGTCGTAAGTGCCCTATAGTTGTCATATCTCGCAGTCGCCGGTGCTAACTATGGTCTAGGATTGAATCACTCCTTGCTATCGCTGATGAGTTGCTGCCTACTCTTACGGCCGAGGCTGCAACTGGTACGGTCAAAGATGTTCTACCCTCCCGCCTTGCGTGGGAGGAATCTTTGTCGCCGTTCCTTCAACTTCCCCCTCGGCCTTCCGTCGCTATCACAAGTCCTTTAGGGGGCGTGGTCCACTTGGTACAGCGTGAGCTGTCTGACTCCTTCAAGGCGCTATGGCCGACTATCCCTCGTGATTCCGACCACCGCTCGTCTGCATTTCGCCTGGCAGCCTTTACCATTAGCGTCCTGACCACTTCGGATATCGTGAAAAATCTTGACCAGGAGTCCCTAGAGACTTTGTTCTATTTCTTGCCCTTGGCAATCCAACTCATAGATGACGATCTGAGCATTGAAAACTGCAACGGAATTTCAGGCCTTGAGCTCGCTGATCAGCGCGAAGAGTACTTAGAAATTGTCTTCAGTGGCCGAAAGATGGTCGGTGAATGGCTTCGCAACAATGAACCACTCAGCTTTGCACCTGAAAAATCCATTTCATCATTGTTTGTCGAGAGCTGGGAAACCAGACTGGACGGATTACAGGGCACCTCTCCCCTAGACTATCGCGTTGGCGAAGTCTTTGTGAAGATCATGACCATCACAGATTCATTGCAAAGAACTAAATCATCGGATGACGTTGGAAAGATCTGCAGGGAAGCCCGAACAGCGAACCCCATCCGTTCTGCATCCTGGTTTGCAGTGCTGCGAAGCCCTATCCTTTCAAACCCTATTGGGAACAGAATTTGTAATGAGTTGGTTGCCGATTCGACTGGTCTCAAGGCCCAGGATGCCTCCAAGGGCGGTAAGTCCTAGGTATCAGATTTTTATCTGTCGGTTTGGTGCTAATTTTGTGCAGGATTCCGAAAGCTGGCCCTGTTGAATATCATATTGTCAGGTGAAGATGAGGTTGTCAGTGACATTCCGACCCAGCGTCTGGTCTTCCTCACTAAAAACTTGATTGAATGTCTCCAATCTGGCTCGATGCCTTCTGGTTTGACTTCAGAAGTGATCAAAACCTTGTCTTTTGTTCTGCCAGCTCTCAGTGAGATATACGGATCTCACTGGGAGGAAACGATGAACATTCTGGGCTCGGTATTGCGAGACACCAATGGAGGGGAAGAGGGTCTACCATTGCTGGTGTCATCTTTCAGACTCTTCGCACGGTTGAAGTCTATTGCGGAAAGTGACAGCAACGACGATGTGCAAGATGCCTGGTCAGATCTAAAAACCGGGCTATTCAACTCCTTGGTCTCCACTATTGACACGTTTGGTAAGCATAGCAGGATCTCCCCACAGCAGCTTGTCTAATAAGTTACAGATTCCTCGACGACCTTCCATCAACCCCGTGATGTTGCGGTTGAGTTATTACGACGCTTGATCACCACCATTCCCGTTGACAAGTTAGAGGATGTTAGCGAAACTTTCCATCTTCTGACTGCACACAGTCGAGCAGTTCAGCGAACTGCCTACACGATTCTCCATCACTACATCCCCCATGCCCAGGAAAAGGTATCTTTTGAACTGGCTCTATCAAAGACTACAGTCAGCCTTCCCGATGAGCTCATATCTCTATTACTCGAACCACCAACAATGCAGATGGTCTCTGCTGCTTATGGAGATGACAAGATGTGGACTACTGTGCGTTCGTACCTTCTCAGCTGGAAGGTAGTATTTGATCATTTCTCGAATGCTGTACGTTTTAACTCCTTCGCCCAAATCATGAGGCGGGCTTGCTAACGAATAGATAGTCGCTCCCTGTCCAGGAATACTACTCAACGAACATCAGGGAAAACAACATTCTTATCCCACTGCTGGAGTTCACGTTTGACTTCCTCCAAAGATCGCATGGAAAGATGATCGATGCATCCAAACTCGATATTCAATCATTCGAGCCGGATCAATGCGAAAGTGCCGAAAAGGAGACTCAGTGGCTTCTCGTGCATCTGTACTATCTGTGCCTGAGGTACTCTGGAAATATGACCAAAAACTGGTGGATTGACACCAAGAAACGCATCAAGGGGCCCGTGGAAGCCTGGACAGAGAAATACGTGAGTTGCCCTTGGTTCGACCCTTAATACGTGCAACTATAACTAATCTTGCTAATAGATCTCCCCGCTTGTAATTGAGGACGCTCTCAAGAGTGTGACCGACTGGATTGCCACCCAGGATGCCAACGAAGAACGGGCACTGGACGTGAAGATCTCTCCTAAAACGGGCGAGATCATTGCCAGCATTCTTGTCGATGAGGAATCACCCCCAGTCGCCATTTCCATCACGCTTCCTCCCGCGTATCCACTTCAGTCCGCTTTGGTTGTTGGTCGTAGTCGCGTGCTTGTGGATGAGAAGAAGTGGAAGAGCTGGCTGCTGATCATCCAGGGAGTGATTATGTTTGCTAATGGCAACCTGGTGGACGGATTGCTGGCTTTCCGAAAGAACGTTCAAGGTGCTCTGAAGGGCCATAGCGAGTGTGCCATCTGTTACTCTGTTATCTCAACAGACATGCAGACACCAAACAAGCGCTGTGCCACGTGCAAGAACTGCTTCCACTCGGTTTGCCTGTTCCGCTGGTTCAAGAGCAGCAACCAGAGCACTTGTCCTCTTTGCCGCAACAACTTTGTGTATGTTTAAGTGAGATACTCTTGATGTTTTATTGGTATATAGAGAGACATGACAAGACGAACAAGGATCTTTTGTTGGTCCAATAGTCAAAGGACTAATACTCCAGAATTCTATTTCTCACACTGCAAACTCCAGCAAGAATAGAAACCCCGCTCGACCGGCGAACTCGCATACCCCATAAATATCTGTCGGCTTTATTGCCTATATGAGCGCGGGGAAATAACACAAGCTATCTGCAGGCGTGTCAGCCATCCATCTGACATCCAATAGCCCTGTTTCGTTTCAGCCAATCTAGTCCTGAAAGGCTTATGCATCGGCTGGTAATCAGCCTAATCTGCCCAGGTACCTGCCCCAGTTCTTCACGGCTGACCTGACGATCCGCCTTCAAGGCCTATCTGTATATAGTTCCTACGCTAAACTCGGACGTCGGCTAAACAGATCAAGCAAACAAGCTGGGGAACGCTCCCGGGACGGGAAACGGCCATGGGGCGGGGGCCACAAACAATATGACAAAAAACGTCGTAGACCGTAGTTCTTGATTTAGCGGTTTCGAACGTTGAAGTCAAGTAATACTAGTAGTATCCCCATTTTTGCGCGTGCTAAAAGAATGACAAATACTTTATTCTTGCCTGGAAACCGTTTAGTTCGACGACATTGCTTTGTTCGACCGGTGCGGCGGTGCCGTGTGTGACCGACCCCCGATCCTAATATTAACTAGTGAAGTGGGAAGAGCGCGAGGCCGTCTGATATCGCAGACAGGACGATGGGAGGACTGCAGGCCAGGAGACAGTAGCAATGACGTTCTATGACCTACAGAGAGCTGACGAGAACCATATTGGAAAACTGAGAAAGAGGCAAAAGATGTGTATTCCGTGTCCGATCTGTCTGTGACTGTGCCCCTTCTTAAAGAATGAACGGTGAACGTAGCGCAGGCATGAGGCATCATTCCTGGAGGTGGCGCATTTCGCAGGTTATAGGCCATTGCACCCCGGGAAAAAGGTCACAGCACCCCCGAGTCACGTTTTTCACGTGAAAAGTGGGATTTGCCAGGCTGCACCCACCTCCCTTGGTATTCATCCCTGTACTGCCCCTGTAACCATGGAAACAAAGCATTCTTGCCATATTAAATAAAAAACATCCCTGTTTTTATCCCGTCTTAGCGTTACGCAGACAACAACAACTCTACCCTCCTGACGTCCTTCACAGCTACACTTCTGACTCTATTCTACTATGTACTACTACGCATTTCGCCGCCACTTCGTATTAACAAACCTTCGCAAGCTTCCGTACCAACCATACCAATGGCCAAGAGTTTCGCTCACAACATCACATGATGCATTACACTTTACTTCCGAAACCAGCACTTCTACCCTAAACCTTCCCGTTTCCATGTCATCACCATTCTTCAGATATTCTTCAACTTTCATCTACCGCCCACTTATATATCTATCTACCTCCAACCTCCTGCCTCTTCCCTTTCCTTCCCTACATTCTTCTTCACTACCTTGCTTCTTTTACCTACTTGCCACGCTCACACTATATCCAATAACACTGCTCACACCGCTCCCAGGGCTCACGCTCCTGCAAACAATACACATTGCACTTTCGCAGGGATCATTGAGATCACTGGCACCCCTCCGCAAGAACATTCACATGATACTAACATGCGTTTAATCGCTCAATCCGAAGGGCCCGCATACGATAAGCTTCAAAATCTAAGGTCTCCCGAAATTGGCCTATCGTTTGCTGTACATTTTTTTAATTGTTGGCATATCGATATTTACCCAAAAACAGTCGCTTTCCTCCAAGGCAGCCTTTCAATCGCTGCACCCCAACATCCATTTTTGGGTAAATATCGACATGCCAACGATTAAGAAAATGGACAGCAAACGATAGGCCAAGTTCGGGAGACCTTAGATTTTGAAGCTTATCGTATGCGGGCCCTTCGGATTGTGCGATTAAACGCATGTTAGATTGAAGAACTTCTGTCTCGGTCTAAGCCTGCCCATACGCACACCGATCTCGCGGAATTTGGAGTCTTCGTCCAATCCTTCGATCCCGAGGATCCAACATTCACCGATTCCGAAGCTTGTCTCTTCCTACCACTCACCCAGAAGGAGCTTGAAGAGTACAAGATCGATCGCAGAGGACTTACTAATGACGAGAAGCGTTATCTCTATAGATTCGAGGACACCTTCAATGATTTCCCACAAGATCCCTCGGACCCAGAGCATTACCAGATGTGGGACAGGGCTCATCAAATTCTATTCTCTCTTGATCTCTTCGCATCACATCATAAGAAGGAAATGAATAGCGATATCGTCACAATGGCAGAAGCCTCGTACTGGGATAATATCAAGTGAGCCTTGTTATAGGTCTATTAACTAAATAGTTAGTTACTAATATCTAGTTATCAGGGCTGAGGACTCTTTCCGCGGCACTTCAGATGGATCGTCAATCGGGATCAAACAAGGGCATTCGATGCCTCAAGCCCTTCCAAGATGGAGCACAGATTCTACTTGCCAATGGCTCAATGAAGATCTGCAGGCCAAACTTGATGATTCTGGCATCTTGAATGTTTGGTCCTCGCCGATTTACAATTTTATGAACAGCGACGAGAAGATGAAACTTTTCGTTCGTTACAACAATTGTAAACCCCGAGATGGCCGATAGTTCGAGCCTCTCCTTGTTGAGGATTTACAAACAGTGAACAGGACATGTGTACAGTACCTTTCGAAATAAAATATCAACAAAAATGCTCTGTCCAGTAGGTTGTCAGTATCCACTAGTGCCGAGTTCCAGACGGGTTAGCGAGCTTCCCGTCAACTGGCAAACCTCCAGGCAACTGGCAAGGGTATATTCCTAGTTTCCTACGTATTGCCGTAATAATCCCACATCGAAAGCTGTAACTAAAGCGAGCTAAATTGAGTTAACTAATGAGAACATCATCATCACCCCACAGTAATAGGTGCCGGGTCTGATCTGGTGTTTACTTCTAAGTTCTAGTTAATTGATTCAAGTATACTATGAAGAAGGATGGCGCAGTTTAGGAGTGCAGTGCCAGGTCCACTGTACTCCCTTGATCCAAGCGAGCACACGAGCGGCAGCCGACAAGGATGGGCGGCTGGAACGAAGGGGATACGGGGATGTTACGTGGTGAGATGTGGTTCTGGTCCCTACGGCCAGGAGTGCGACACTCATTTTTTCTGTTTTTTGTCTTTCCTTTGTTATGGTTTACATTTTTCTATTCTGGGGGCGACTGGTCGGAAATGCGCAAAGCGAGTTTCCAACAGTCGTCCAGTGGGCTGGCGCTCACACTTTCCAGCTGGCAGCTGTCGGCAGGCCTGATAGCAACCCCGCATAGCAGCTTATACTTAGAGCAAGCTACATCGGGCCAATGAATTTCTCTCTCTCTCTCTCTCTCTCTCTCTCTCTTCAAGTATACTAGGCCAACGCGGCCAACATGCCGTGTACGTAAAGCTTGAAGAGAAGGAGCGGAACAACCTAGCAGAACTCACGCCACGAATGGAGCTTCATACTCAAATAAGCACTAGGCAAGAATCACCATTCGGTCCAAAGGATTCTCATACTCAATGTCCATTAGGCAAGAATCTCCTTTCGGTCCAAAGGAAGCCCCGTGCTTGATACCACGCTGGACGGCTAAATGCAATGGTCTTCTAGCATCAATCGACAAGGGGATGTTGTCCTCTATATAAACCAAAGGTCGTCTCTTCGATTTGAACATTCAACCTTGCAAGCAGACTCAACAGCACCATGCTTTCCAACGTCTTGACATTCTCCCTCCTCGCCAGTGGCGCCCTCGCCATCCCCCTCGATGTCGACATCGAGAAACGTGTTACCTGCTCTAACGTCCATATCTTCGGTGCGCGCGAGACCACCGTATCTCCCGGATACGGCTCATCCAGCACGGTCGTCAACGGCCTTCTCAGCGCCTACCCAGGCTCTACAGCCGAGGCCATCAACTACCCTGCATGCGGTGGCCAGTCATCCTGCGGTGGCGTGAACTACTCTGCCTCAGTGGCACAGGGCATCGCAGCTGTCGCCTCAGCCGTCAATTCCTACAACTCGCAGTGTCCATCGAGCAAGCTCGTTCTGGTCGGATATTCCCAGGTAAGGCTCTCCTGTTCGGGATTATTCGCAAACGACACCAGTTGCTAATGCTGGATGCTTCAGGGTGCTGAGATCATGGACGCAGCTTTGTGCGGCGGCGGTGTCCCTAACCAGGGCTACACCAACACCGCTGTCCAGCTGTCGGCTTCTGCTGTGAACATGGTCAAGGCGGCCATTCTCATGGGTGATCCGCTGTTCAAGGCCGGCTTGTCGTATGAGGTTGGAACTTGTGCGGCTGGAGGTGTATGTATTTCCCTACCTTATTATTGCGTTTGGCTTGGACCTGACAGAGATACAGTTCGATGCCCGTCCCTCTGGTTTCTATTGCCCGTCTGCTAGTAAGATTCAGTCTTACTGCGACTCTTCGGACCCTTACTGCTGCAATGGCAATAATGGGGCAACCCACCAGGGTTATGGAGCTGAGTATGGTTCTCAGGCAATTTCCTTCGTCCGATCTAAATTGGGTTGAGCGCCGTTAATGTGCAGCGCTTCTGCAATTGAGCAGTTTATCGCTCCTGTCGTAAGACTTAGCCTAAGCTAGGACATAAAGGAACCTCGATGCTATCAATATCTGAGCTAATCAATGCCACCAAGTCAAGCTCTTACTGGGCCTTTTATCTGCCTCTTGGTGCATATTTAGGCCTTGGCACTACATGATCAATACTGGTGATCCCCATGTTCCGTACACGTATTTGTGGTCCTCATTGAAAAGGGAAGGAACCATCCACGCTCCTTCCAGAGGAACTCGTTTCGAAATAAGGAAGGCACAACCCACGCTCCTCCTCGTTCAGGAAGGACCCATCACCTGATTCAACTTCAGCGAAAGGTATAAATACCCCCTCCTCCTTATCTTCTTTCTTTTTCTTTTCCTTCTACACATCCCTTCCTTTTGCATCATTCTCACACTTCATCTCAGACATCACTCCATCTCAGACATCACTCCATCTCAGGCATCATTCCATCTCAGGCATCATTCCATCTCAGGCACCATCCAACCTCAGACATCCCAACCTCAGGCCACCTACCTTGAGGGCCCTTCCACCTCTGGGTGTCGTGGCATTCAGTCATGGTGCACCGTGACAAGATGCCATGGCATGTTACCCGTGATGGAAATGTTTGTGTTATTCGTGTGTCTCACCTTGACTACTTCCCCTATGCTCTCTTTTTCTCTTTTCCTTCTACACACCTCTTCCTTTCTTCCCCATAATCTCCATGCCACCGCCCTCTACTTCCTAGCGGCCAGTCAATATTGGTTGTGCTGCCACCAAAGAATCTCTACATCCCGATAACCGGACAAAACATCAATCATCCGCACTCATTGGCCTCTCGATACTTGGGCCATCATCATGGCTACCTGTTGCCTACCATGCCCAGCAATGGCTCTTTGCCTCCTTGGTTCTTGCATCTCTCTTTTATCTTGACCGCCAACCACCATTGACCATGAAACCCGTCTATCAACATGGACCTTTGACCTTTTGCTCTTCGCCTTTGCGGCCTCTGCGGGCTTGCTCAACGCCACCCAGACCAACCATCTCTCGATAGTTACCTATGTGTTGGTCATCTTGAGGACATGTCCCATGGGGCACATGGGGCATGGGCTTTCTATCATCCGCCCGGCCTCTGTGCATCATTCATGGCAGCCACCCACACTTACCGCCACGCTGCAACTCTCACGGATGAATCGTATCATCAAATCTCAATTCTATTTCTCGATACAACTCGCCACCAGATAATGATCTCACGAAGCGCCTGGTCCACCACAATCAACATATCAACCCATCACGGTCAAACCAGCAATGAAAGTGACCTTATCTCTTCACTTGACCTCCACGGTCTCCACTTTTGATTACACCTTAACTTTTCCGACAACCTTCATGGAATAGACCTCCGCATACAGGATCCAGCAATTCGATCAACATGCAACAGCCCGAGGAGGGTGTGTCGGCCGTTGAGTTCATAGAGTCACATACTTTGTTCTTCCTACGGATGCTCTATTCCAGGATCGCCGAGGTGGTTTCGTCTGCGGATGCCTTCTCTTCGTGTCCTTTTCTTTCGGTTCCTCTACTCTCACGAGATCTGTGCCTACATAACAAACTTTCAGTAGCTCAATCGATTCAGGATTTATTTCATTTGCTATTACAGTGTATTGGCTTTAGATCACTCAATTCCGCTTTAATAACTGCATATCTTGATTTCCAGGCTTGTCACTAAGTAGAGCCATTTTTCGTATTGTCCACGATCATGTCACTTCATCGACATTCGACCCATACCCAAAACCTACACTCCTACATTGACATCGCTGCGTCGTTGAACAGACCTATATAGTAAAATTCACAGCGGATATTGCGTGGGGAAAGGCAAACACCAGATCAGACGTGGCACGTGTGGCAGTGGGATCATTGAGGAAACTCGTACGGATACCTATAGCCTTGCCAGTTGGCGGATAGTTTGCCAGTTGGCGGGAGGCTTACCACGTCTGGAACTCGGTACCCACGTCAGGTCATATTTTGCGCCAAAGGCCTACAAGGATTATCCAATCTAGTCGTGGCGACTAGATTGGATAAGGTTTCAGAAAAGTTGAAAAGCGCCGAATAATGTAATTAGTATTGAACCAGACGCATATTCTGGCAAAGGAGGGGATAATGTGATAGAAGCGGCATGGCCGCATGACAACCCCCACCACCGGACCCGGGGACCTCTCCACGCTTCTCCTCCTCAATGGCTCACATCCCCAACCTAAACACTCTAAGACGTGGTCGAGGCCGAGGTCGTGGTACAGGTACAGATGATTCAATCCCCCCTGGGAAAGATCGCATTGTCCAAGGAACAGACAATGACGCAAGCGTGTCCCGCCTGAGCGCCGTCGAGCTCGGATACCTCGAAGATGCCTACGCCACAGCATTGACACCCGGGAGCGCGACGCGGCGACTCCCAATCATCAACAGAGGTGAGCCATTACACACCTCGCTGTAAGGAGAAGCGAACGTACGACTGACCTGGACACCTCTCCACACAGGAACCTACGTTCGCACAACAGCGATCGACCAGCTCGTGGCCAGTTTTCTCGGCCCTTACTCCCCGGAACCTACACAGAAGAAACAGATCATCTCATTAGGCGCCGGGTCGGACACGCGCGTTTTCCGACTTCTCTCGACGCGTCAAACACCGGACTTCGTCTACCACGAGCTCGATTTCGCCGTCAACACAACAGCCAAGATCCGCGCCATTCGCTCGACACCTATACTGCAGCGTGCATTGGGTATTGGCTCATCTACAGCTCTATCGGAGAATGGGAATGGAGTTACCGTGTCAGAGGCAGGGGACGCGCTCCATTCGCCGTCATACCATGTCCACCCTGTTGATCTACGGTCGCTGTCGAGATGCAGTGATCCCACTACAGCATTGCCAGGGGTAGACACGACATTGCCCACTTTGCTGATCTCTGAGTGCTGTTTGATATATTTGTCGCCCACCGAAGCGGAAGATGTGGTCGCGTTTTTTACACAACGACTTTTTGGTCCTGGGCCTACATCAGCCGGGCTCGATGGCAGCGCGCAGGTGACGCAAACAGATGCTGCTCCTCTTGGTTTGATCCTATATGAGCCCATTAGCCCGGATGATTCTTTCGGTCGTATAATGGTGTCGAATCTTGCGACGAGGGGAATCCAGCTGCAGACTCTCCACAAGTATGCGTCACTTGAGGCGCAGCGGGGTCGGTTCCGAGAGCAGGGGTTCGGTACTGGTCAGGCTGCCGCTGATATTGAGTTCATCTGGAATCGATGGGTTCGCGAGCAAGAGAAAGACAGAGTTGCTAGCCTTGAGATGCTGGATGAGATGGAGGAGTGGCAGCTACTTGCACGGCATTACTGCATTGCTTGGGGTTGGAGAGATCGGGATGATGTCTCGGCCTTTGCTGGGTGGAAGGACCTTGAGGCTCAACAAGACGAGTAGTTGCATTGTGAATACATGATGTCTGATTCTGTAGCTTGTATGTCTTTGAGACCATAACCCTCATCTTCATACAATCCTCTACTGTGTATGGCCCAGATGTCACGAGGTTATGGAGACCCCTATGTTGCACCGTCTAGGCCAAGCTTTAACCACAAGCGCTTCGGATCTCTTGGCCATGTGATCCGCGCCTATCAAAGCACAACTGGGGTCCGCGATCCTTGGTGTCTTGTCATTGGCTTCTGGAATGGATATGTGCAGACTTTTATGACGATCATCCGGTCCAGACCAGTTCATTGCGGTGGGTTTGATTGGGATTGACGGGCTACCAACCAACGAAGATTTCCACAGGTGATCGAGTGCTTCGGACGAAAGCCGTTGTCAATTGAAAATTGGCGTTAGTGTAATATAATCATGTTGAAACATTGTCATTTGATCGAGAATGATGCTTCAAATGTTATGTGTAGTGTCATGTGAGAGATTGGATGTTGCGTTCCGAGCAACCTTCCATCTTCGACCTTGACCTTCCTTTTCACTGTTGACAAAAGTCCAAGACACAACTCCACAGCTTCATATCATCCTCAGGCTTTATTGGCCTCTTTCACTGCTAAGCAGGAACCATCGGGGTTGGTCCACCTACCATTGGCTGTAGGCCATCACTACCCCTGACGCTAAGCCTCTAGTGACTCCACAAATGGAGCTTGTTGCGTGGGCATACAAACTCTGCGGAGGGTCCGAGAAAGCGCGCAGGTTTCCTGTTTCGGTGTGCAGCTATGTATGGGGAATTACGGCAATTATGGGCGGAGTTGGCGCCACTCACGAGGCTAAGGCTCTGCCCTGCGCCGGAGTGGTGTACACATCGGCCCAGATTCCACTCTCTTTCAGGTTAGCAGGACCCCTGGACCTGGAGGGCCGGGGATCTGCTCCAGGAGATTGCAAAAGTCTGGTTCCTTTTCCTGGTGCCTTTCCTGTCTCTTTCTTTTCCCTCTTGACCTTCATTCTCTGTGAGCACTGTGTCTGTCCTTGGCCATCGGCCGTATATTATTTTTGTCACTCGTTTGACTTAGCCATTCGCTTTATACATTCGTTTAAATTTCTTGGCCAATTGCCAAGTTTACTTCCCCTGACAATGAAGTTCCAGATCACATCATCCGGCGCCTTGGCGCTTGTCGCCCTCATTGGAAGTGCCGCCGCTAAACATAGCCATGGCCACAGCCATCACCACGAGATCCGGGATGTGGCTTTGGAGAAGAAGAGCGGGAAGTGCCAATTCCCCACCGACGCTGGCCTGGTTGCCATTACCCCGAATCTCGATAACGCCGGTTGGGCTATGAGCCCTGACGAGCCCTGCAAGCCTGGCAATTACTGCCCATACGCTTGCCCTCCCGGTGAGGTATCCATGCAGTGGGATCCCAAGGCCACCTCTTACACCTACCCCTTGTCCATGCGAGGTGGACTATACTGTGATGACGACGGCAATATTCAGAAGCCCTTCCCCAACCGCGACTACTGTGAGTCGGCTACTGGTGTCCTGAAGGCGCACAACAAGGCTGGAAAGTCTGTGTCTTTCTGCCAGACAGTGCTTCCCGGAAACGAGGCTATGCTCATTCCCACTTTGGTGGAGACGCTGGCCGATCTGGCCGTGCCTGGCATGTCCTACTGGTGCTCCACATCTGCCCAGTACTACATCAACCCTCCCGGTGTCACCACGGAGGAAGGCTGCGTCTGGGGTAGCTCCGAAAAGCCCGTTGGCAACTGGTCCCCGTACACTGCCGGTGCCAACACCGATGCCGATGGCAACACCTTCCTGAAGATTGGCTGGAACCCTATCTACCTGGAACCCACCACCCCCTTCCGCAACGAAAGGCCTGACTTCGGTGTCGAGATTAACTGCGAGGGTGACGGCTGCGAAGGCCTGCCTTGCAAGATCGACCCTGCTGTCAACGATGTCAACGAGATGGTTGGTGACGACATCTTCGCCGGCGCTGGCGGTGCTAAGGGCTGTGTCGTTACCATCCCTAAGGGTCAGACCGCCCATATCGTTGTCTTCGAGAAGGAGAGCGACGGCAGCACCTCGTCTGAGACGATTCCGGTCTCCACTCCTAGCAGCACCAGCACCTCGACTCCTACTCCCACCTCAACTAGCACAACCGAGACCACCACTACCTCTACTCCCACTCCCACTTCAACCTCCACTTCAACCGCGACTGCCACCTCTACCTCTACCTCTACCAGCTCCACTACGACTCACGCTATGAGCTCTGCTGTTTCCAGCACCAACCTGCCTAAGTCGAGCCCGACGCTGAGCTACACCTATCAACCCCACATTCTCACGGGTTCTGCCGAGATTTTCATGGCTTCCGCAACTACTGCTGCCGCCGCTTCCTCATCCACCTCCACTGGCGATGCTACCACCGCCGGCGTCTCTGTGTTGACCTTGGCCTTCGGCGCTATGGCGGCCATGGTTGCCAACTTCTAAATCAGCTTGGACTGACTGTACATTATTGAACATATGTATTGGGTGTCTTCAGACACTACCAGGGATCAGTCAATTTAAATGAGGCTCTACAGGCCTCATTTGTCTGACTACCTCACATTTTTCAACTTCACTTCTACATAATCCCTCTTCTTATGATACCTCCCTTCCCCGGGATGCTTTTATTGACGACGCTCAACGTTGGCCATTTCTGTACCTACTTTTTTCTCTACTTCACGATTATATAACCCACATCATGCTATCTTCCAACTATTGTCGGAATTAGATGTGAATTTAACATTGCACTAGCTATCGAGTATGATGCACCACGTAACTATATCCATCTCAAATTCCAAAGTATATGACCCTCTTAATATACAAGAACCAAAACGCCATTGGCAAAAAAAGACCCAGGAGTATGTAACGCATTCCACTCCCATTCAAACCCCCAAACACAAAATATTCAAATCTCCTCACAAACATGCTCATCAAGGATTGATAGGAATGATCATATCGGGCCTCCTAGCCTCAATAGCCAACCTATTCAGATTCCGGTATCTCGTCTCACGCATGTATTGCCGTTGCTCATTCGAGACATCTTTGAACTGTTCTGAATCGTCGAGACCATGGAACATGGCGTATACGCTGAACCCGATCAGACAGCCGAATATACAGCCAATGATGATAACAAAGACGTAGAGGGGATATTTATCGGGGTCACTCAGGCCGCTGCGCTTGAGTAGGGTTGTAGCCATTGTGATTGTGGTTTGTGAGGAAGTGGGTTCGGTTGACATGGTTGGTGGGATGGCGGGCATTGTAGTGGTTTGGGAGGCTGGAGATAGCGTTGTTTTAGTTGTAAATACGAATTGGATGAGAGGTCAATTGGGTAGGGACATACAGTGAGCCAGACGAGGAATTGAGGTCGCTTTGTGTATGTTCAATCCGAAGTAGTCTGTTGCTGTTCGCTATGGAAGATCTGTGTGTAGATAAATCAGTAGATTGCATTCAGTGTGCGGACTCGGACATTTATACAGAGGAACCCAAGCCCAAACACTAACTACCCAACTGTCTATCTGCAGCCGAGCACAAATACTGAAACGCGAAGGAAATGCTGCTAAATTTGAGCATTCATACGGAGTACTCCGTTGACGGTGTGATAATGTTACTCGATTGGGTATAGCGGGTAGCTAAATGTCCGCCAATGATGTCAGGAGCCGACCAGACCAATCAGAAGAATACAAATCCGAGCGAGCCAATCAGCAGAGACATACTTTATTGTAGGCCCACACTGATCAACCAATTAGGGCTGCGCTGGATTAAGCTAAAAGTTCTAAATATACTGCGTGGTGGCTTTGGTATGCTGATGGCTGACTCGCTGAGAAGCCTCTCTTCCAATTTCAGTGACTGCTCTTCGTCCCCCAATCAAGGGTATTTGATCTGAAATAGTGGATGCTATGAGCTCCATTTTCTTGGGTCTGCGTTATCTCGTCTTGTATTTTGATTGGGTCGCTCGGGTCTGTTATTTGTGGCTGCTTGAACTTGCTTCCTTGAGCATGCTTGGCGGGCATCGAGTACTGCAATTCGGCGGGGGGAGTGAGTGGTTACTCATAAGTTCATTCTCGTGGAGATTTCAAGTTTCACTGTCACCGGTGTAGACATTCGGAGTGTGCGGTCCAGTTCAGCCCAATGCTTCTCTACGGTCTCAAGGTGCAAATGGAATCTAGGTTGGCAGGGACTTTCTATTCATTGGCCAAATAGATGCCGTTGAGCACGGAAACAGCTCTCTGGGTTGTACTTTCCTGGTCTTGGAACAACAATGTAAAAGACATCTCGGGACCTTCCAAGGTAGGTACGACTTTCCTTACTAGTAGCGAATCGAATGCGCTTAGGAAAGTATAACAGCTCTACGCAGAATCAAGAGCCTCGTTACTATGTATTATTATGCGTTTCTCGAGTGGGCTAAGGAAAGAGGCATGTGATTTGGACCAGAGAAAAGTGAGCTGATTCACTTTTCCAGGACGCGCCTTCCCCTAACGGAAGGAGTCCGCATCCTCGACGGGGGGTCGGGCTACCCTGGCCCCTGTCGAGTCAGCTCGGTTTCTCGGAGTTTGGCTAGACCGGAAGCTATCGTTCAAAGAGCACGCCAAGAGGGTTCGCACCAAACTGGAAACCCAATCCCTGGCACTCACCCGGCTCGCCGGCAAAACCTGGGGTGTTCGTGTCTCTAACGCCAGGTAGATCTACACCAAGGTCATCCGAAGTGTGATGGCGTACGGCGCCAGCGCATGGCACACACCCACACCAAAGGACGGCAACCCCCGAGGCCCCGCCAAGTCCCTGCTCACGGCTCAGACCAAATGTCTTCGGGCTGTCATTGGGGCATATAAGGCGAGACCTATTCATAATGTTGAGTCCGAAGGGTGGTGCCCCCATTGGGCCTCTATCTCTCGAGGTGAGTGGCGAAGGCCGAGCAATGACTCGAGCGAACCGGAATGGCAGCACTCCTTCGCACCGTATGTGCTGGGGTGACAGCGAAGGTGAGAGCGCGACGAAGTAGGCGAACAGTCCGCGCCGCTCCACCAGGAAGCGTCTTACGAAGGCGAGAGTGGGCCGAGCACTGGGTTACTCCAGATACAGATGACATGTCTGCTTCACAAGCACCCAACCCGGCGCGGTGGACAGACGTGAACGTAGACGACCTGACGCTACGGGAGTGGAAGTCCAGGAGAAGACGGAAACTCGACGACGCGAGAGAGAGACGAAGTCACAGTGGGGAAGCAGCAGATGACTACGACCTAGACCCGATGCTCAACCCTCTCAAGTTACATTCGGGGCTTACCAAAGCTAAGAGCTCGCTCCTCACCCAAGCACGATATGTGCTTGGACCGTGGTATCATCCAGCAGCTTTGCTGCAATGGCGTCTCTTTCATTGGAAAGGAATTGAATCGGAAGGAGGGGAAAAAATAAGAAAATTTAGTGACATGCACTAAGACCTGTCACCAAGCTGGACGGACGAGGCCTAGCACCATTGGATTGAGGCTAACGATGGGAGTTGCGGGCGGAGGCGCGTGCGCCGGACGCCCCGTACGATGTACATAAAAAGCTGGATTCGAACCGAGGAGGCAGTCGAGGGACTGCTTGCCCACAGGGCGAGGCGGCCAACCGCCTAATCAGTAGTAAGAACAATAAATAAATAAATATTATGCGTTTCTGAGGGATCAACATTATGAACAAGTTCCGGAGGTCTCTGTCTTGTTAATCTTGTGCTGTGTAGAAAGGTTGTCGACCTCTCAAGGGCCATCGCCCCCACCCCGGCTACCGGTACCGGCCCGCCCGGGCAGTCGGCCCGGAAATGCGAATTTTATTGCCATTTCTTCGCCACTACTCCGTACACCCCCGTGCCATGTCACTTCCAGATGGAGGCAGTAGTATGCCAGCCATGCTGGACATGTCGAAATCGCCGCATCCAATGCGACCAGTCCGGAACACCCTGCGCCAAGTGCGAGAAGGCCGGGGTGGAATGCTTCGACAAGAGACCTCTGCGGTGGGTTAAGGGCGTGGCAATCCGCGGGAAGATGCAAGGCCATTCGTATGAGCGAAATCTAGAGAGGCCCCGTGCGAAATCTTCTGGAATCGTGAAGTCAGTTCGATCACCGAAGAAACTGTCTAGCGCTGTGGTCGCAGCTTCTGCAAGCAAAAGCCTGCCATTTACCCTGCTAGATCCATCCATCTCGAATCTGGATCAAGTCTCGAGATACTACATAGACTACTGTAAGATCAGCAGTACAATTATTCGATGGTTGATTAGGGAATCGCTGACATCGAGACAGATAATGAACGCATATGCAAACTGTTCATTGTGTACGACAGCGACCGAAATCCATTTAGGAGCTTGATATCCTTTGGATTGAAAGATCTTGTCTTGCAGAAGGCCATTCTTGCCCTTGCAGCGCGGCATCATGCTAATACAGGCCGCCCATTCTGTCAGATTCAAGCGCCGACATCTCCTGGCTTCATTAATGCGAATCGTGATGCGCTCCTTTTCAAGCATCAAGCTATGGAGGCGCTCACAAGAGTACTCGGTGACGAGGGATCAGACAAAAGTGACACAACTGTCGCTAGCATATTCCTGCTCATCTTCTTGGACCTCCTTGAGTCTGGAAGCGAAGGTTGGAACTTCCACCTTGAGGGTGCCAAAAGTCTGATCATGTCCCACCAGCCGCTGCTGGGGTCGGAGGCTGGACTCAATAATGGGCCTGGCCAGACCGTTAAAGAAATACGGGGCTTCATCACTAGCCAAATCCATGTGTGAGTTCCATTCGGCGTACTGGATAATAAAGAGATGTCAGAGACTAACTAGCCAAGTATTGAAACATTGGGAGCAACATTGTTACGACCAAAGCTGTTATCAGAATTTGTTGCCACGGATCAAGCGGAAACCCAAACCCATGAAGCAATTGAGAAATCCTTCCTTGGTTGTCCGGAGTTTCTGCTGACAGCGATTCAGTTCCTTTCCAATGAAAGAGACGCCATTGCAGCAAAGCTGCCGGATGATACCACTGTCCAAGCACATATACAAGATACCACCGCTATGCTGGAACTAATCCAGCACTTTGACTGTTACGCGTGGGCTTCGAATCTTCCCTCGAAACGGTGTCCTGCGAACGCCGTCGATGAGCTCTGTACATTGTCGCAAGTATTCAAACTCGGAGCTTTACTATATGGGAGGCGCGTTCTTGACGCACTCACAGAGACCGTCACAGAGCAGGACAATCTGCTCTCTGAGCTCTTGGGTCTGATTGACATCTTGAAAGACCATGAAGCACTCTTTAAGTGTGTCCTGTGGGCCATTTTCGTTGCAGGCTTGGAATGCCGATCTCAGGCACAGAAGAGGTTTCTGGTTGGATCTTTGGAGAAGTTCTGGATCGCTACAAGCTGTCTGAATGTAATCAACGCCGCGAAGATTCTCCACGAGTACTGGGACCAACGGGAAGGGATGGAAATTTCCCCACGGTGGATATTTGATATTGGTAATTTGGGTCGTGACTGCCTTCTAATATAAAGGACAACTTCATGGGGAAAGAAAAGAAAAGAAAGATGCCCAGACTCGACAAGGTACAGAGGCAGTTCCGAAAATACTACTACATCACCAGCATCAACATGTCAAACTTCTCTGAAACGTTACATTCATATCAGATGGCTCATATGCTCAACTCCAAAATGACATAGAGACCTAACCATCATCCTAGAAGCGACTTGAATGCCTGGAGCAAGTCATCCTTGAGATCCTCCCAATGCTCCAGGCCAATGCTCAACCTCAGCAGCTTTCTGTCAACCCTCGAATCTGACAGGGCCCGCCACTCAATCAACGACTCTACTCCTCCCAGGCTCGTAGCATGCTGAAAGAATCCGAGCTTGGTCGGCAACACCTTTGCAAAGTCCTCACTGTGCAAGACGATAGAGAAGACCGGCCCAAACCCATTTGGCATTTGCTTCTGCAACCATGGCTCATCCTGCAGACTAGCATGATAGATCTTCTGCACAACCGATTGAACCAGCAACTCGTCACTACCCGCAGCAGCAGACGAAACCTGCATAGCACCATGAAGCCATGCAATCAACTTCGTCGAGTTCAGGCTCGCGCGTTGGACCCTTACCTCCAGCGTGCGCAGACTCCGGACTCCAAGCCAGCTCTCCATCCCACCCATAACACTTCCAAGCGCAAACCTATCCTCAAACAGCTGCGACGTCCAATCGGCACGCTTCGTGGCAAGCACACCACAGAGCAGATCACTATGTCCGCCAAAATACTTCGATCCAGAATGCATGACAATATCCGCGCCCCAGAGGAAAGGATCTTGCAAGCCGGGCGGCGCAAAGGTGCTATCGACAATAAGGAATGCGCCGCGTGAATGGGCTTTGCGGGCGTATTCCTCGATGCTGTATGCCGTGCCGAGCGGGTTGACAGGCGTCTCGAGAAGAATGACGTCGCCTGCGTCCAGGCTTTCGGCGGGGCAGTCCAGCGCAAGCTTTTGTAGCCCGGAGAGACGGGATATCACGGCGATGACCTCGTGGCTGCCGTGGTATCCCTCACCGACGGAGACGCGGCGCGGGTTAAGCAGTGTTAGGGCGGCGTGCAGTGCTGCTAGCCCGCTTGAGTAGCTTACTGCGTTGCCCCTCAGGAGAGAGGAGAGGATTGCCTCGAAGCGGGTTGGGTTTGGGGCGAATTCACGGGAATAGACATAGTTCTTGCCGTTGAATTCATCCTGTCAGGATGGTTAGTAGGTACCTAATGTCTGTGCTTGGTTGAGACTTACCACCGGATCTTCAGATGGGACGAGCTGGGCTGGATCGTTGGGGTATCTGAAAGTGGTTGATAGATGCATTGGTGGGGCGACATCAGCCACTAGATTTAGAGCATCGTCGGCGTGCAATGCCTTGGTGGAAGGGCGACTGTTATGAGGGGACATGGTAGTTTTGGAATGGAAAGAGGAATCGAAGATTGCGGTACTTGTGCGGTCTTTATATCTTTGCCCTTCACTCGTCATTGCCTCTCCTCTCTCAGGTACCTCAAATCTTCACGTAGAAGGGCGTACGGACCCATTTTTTGTATTGGATCTCCATGCCGATTGGTGGATTGGTGGTCCACTCCTATCAACTGCCTAAATGGGAAGCCTCTGCTATAGCCAACGTGAAGACAATTGGATGTTGAAATGGGCAGTATCAGTACCATACGATGTCTTAGCTGAAGTATCCTAACGGGTAGTATGCATACATACAAAGACTAGTATTCTGGAAAGAAAGTCGTCATGCTAGAACATAGAGAAATGATGCGTCAACTTCTTGATAGAAGCGGTATCGAGCAACCAGTCGATATTTGAGAGAATACAGTCAGGTGGATGTCTATTGACGGTCATACTGCGTACACATGTGACTATGCACATGGTGGTAGGACTTGGGAGACCTCTTCTCTCTTGCCTATTCTCTTCTACTTATCCATCTTCATTTCCCTTACTACTCACTCCATCTTATATCACGTGCGTGACAGGATATCACATCGCTCTTGGATCACGCTTGACTCAACATGGCACAGAACAGCGAGAAAGGTGAGTCAACGGTCATTTACTGTTCCTGACACGGCAGATACTCACACTGCAAACTCAGAGCCCATCGATGAGAGCTCTGAGACCATCGACACCTCGAGCTCTCTTGATGCCTTGTTAAATGAGATCACAACCCGCTGCGACAGACAGACAAGAGAGATCAACAAATGGCTGGGTCTCGCCGAAGACTTCAAAAAAGCCACTGCCGACTTGCTGGAGCGTGCGGAGCGCCATAGGAGAGCAACCGCCGAGTTCAGAGCCCTGTTCCTCAGGACCCCCACGACGCCTTTCATGCCACAAAACACCGAAAACGTAATACAACATGTAGACATCTAGTTGGCATGCCATTGTGATTTTTGAATTTCTTGTCGATTTTTGAGGTCATTGTTTGGACAGAAAATGAAATCTGATTACAACTCCGAGTTGAACGTTGATTGTCCCGGCCTTGCCCCCTCACATTTCCCCTTCTCACTACCTCTACTTCTCAACATCACGCCCAAATGCCTCCTTCAGTTCAGACGGTAAGTCGATGTGTCTACCTATCTCTCTTTACTCTTTGCATGCGCATCTCTCAAAATACTCCAGACTTGCTGCCTGGAGCTCCCAAGTCTACCCCGCACTGCCTACATAACATCTGCCTCATGCGCCTCCTTCGTCACACAGAAACAATATGACTGACACAATCGAATCAAAGACTAGACTAGTTTCGACCCTCCGACTCCTTATCCCTCGTCTCCGCCTTCTACAAAAGAAAGACACGGCCTCTTCAGTTGTCCAGCGTCGCGAGCTCTCTCAACTCCTCAGCGAAGGCCGGGATGCATCTGCGCGCATCCGAGTCGAGAATGTCATTGCGACAGATATTGCGGTGGAGGTGATGGAAATGGTAGAGCTCTACTGTGAGCTGCTGCTGGCACGCGCAAATGTATTGGATCAAATAGCGTTCAGCGACCAGGGAACCCGGGCCAGATTGCGCGCCAAGGAAGTGCTCAAGAAGCGCACCCAGGCACAAGCTTCAGCCAGCACGTCGAATACCGCAGAAATCAAGGGCGCGGAACCAAGCACCGGCTCTCGATTCGGGTTCTCTTGGTTGGGAGGAGGGCAAAAGAAGGAGGCCCCGCACACTGCGGCACCTACCGGCGCAGCTGGAGATTTCGGTGATGGAGCTACGGAAGAGGACAACCCTTACATGGATACTGCACTGGATGAGGCTGCGGTCGTGGTCTTCTACGCGTGGCATCGCTTCCCGCACGAGGTGCGCGAGTTTACCATGCTTCGGACTATGCTTGGGGAGCGATACGGCAAGGAGTTCATGACTCTGGCGCAGGATAATAAAGTCGAGTCTGTCAAAGTTCCTGATCGGCTTCTCAGGAGTTTGCGGGTGAAACCTCCGGGGCAGGAGCTTGTTGAAAGTTACCTTCGAGAGATTGCGAGAGCATACGGAGTGGAGTGGCACGGCTTAGAAGAAGACCCGGATATTCAAGACGAACTAGGCAGCGCCCCGCCTGAATTTGTGGATGACCGTGGGGACGGGGGTGATGGTGACGCAGAGGAACCCCAATTACCTCAAACTCCTGGAACGCAGCAAGGTGACTCGGCCTCGGGACCGAGCCTCGCTGAAGCAAGACGTGCCTCGGAAACCAGTGAACTGAACAAAGCCACGCCCCCACGTGGACTCGCCGCAGGCAGAAGTCCTGTCAGCGTGGCACCGCCAGCTCCCAGAACGGACAACCCCAATCCTAAAGTGAAACTGCCTGGCACAGAAGGAAAGGCTAGTGCCGTCAAGAAAGAAGACGCTGCTTCGAAGAATAAGAGCAACAATGGAATACCGGAGCTGGATGAATTGACTCGGAGATTTGCGGACCTGAAGAGGAAACCGTGAGTGGTATTTTAATCCCCATGAATTGGCAACCTGTTACAGTCTTGTTACTTGGGAATGGCCGTGGTTTATGTTTTCTTCAAGCGTCTCAGCCAGGCGTTGATCTCCAGGTCAATTCCAATGTCTTCTTTAGCACTCCATAATGCAGCACATCTTTGCAGCCAATCACAGCCATGGCCCCTTAGACTACTGATGTCGATTGCCACTGACTGGCTCCCAATGAAATGGCGGCAGGTTAGAAACCAGACTAAGCGAAGACCAAAATATGATGGGTCATTTCTGATAGCGCCTAAATTGGAGGGTATCTACAGATTTACTACTTGGCAGACACACTGCCGTTTTCTCCACTGTTTATGTGTCAAATACGAGCTACTGCATTGCAATGCCGGTTAAGAACGATACATAAGCCCCCGAGTGTCCTGCAAGGTGCTATTGCAGTGGCCACGTGATAGAGCACGACATGGCCCGTTGTCAATGTGGATTGTTGCATGTGGCATTCAAAGATAGGACGGGAAGAGGCGGCTGGGTATTATAGACCTCGAATTAAGCGCAGTACCGAGTATTTTGAGGTGTTAAAATGGCCGAAGTAAATCGACCCGACCCCCGTTGAAACGTTGAAATTAGGCGCATGAGCACGGGACACACCCGCAAAACCCAATCGTGTCGATACATCCCCCGATTCCCCCCCCGGAAAACACGAGCAGTCACAACATTGCCTTAATATGCACTCCGAATTTCCTGCGAATCCGACAGCAACCGTCTCCCCAGCTAGCAGTTGCTAGACACTGCGACAAACCCTCACGAAACCGAATCAATCGAATTAAACAGACCCCGAATCCCACACGTACCATGCCGGTCTATATGCTCCACGGCTTCCGCTGGCCCCGCGCAGGCTTCACGGGGATTCGCGTGTACATTGTGCTCCACAACTTAGAAGAAGCAGCAGCAGAATATATCCAGCAACCGCTCACCACAGAGCTAATCGTGGAATCCTTCAAAAAGACACAAGCGGATCTCGTGTCGCGACTACCGGAGCTGTCGTTCATCGAGCAGTACGATCCCGCCGACGAGACGAGCGGCACCGTCAGCCAGGACTATGCATATGTTGGCGCGCGCGTACTGGAGATTCCGGACGACGGGAGTGGTGGTCGTGGCGGCGGACTGAACATTGAGGATTGTGTCGAGCAAGGCTCTGGGTTGACGGAGGACCAGACGGCAGCGCTGGAGGAATTGCGTGATCGTCTGGCCCCTGGTGAGAAGATTGGATGGTATCTTGTCTACAATGGGGATCCAGATCGGTGGTACCCTGATTCTGAGGAGGAGGAGTATGAGTCTGAGGATGGTTATGAGGAGGAAAGCCAGCCTCAGACTCAGCGCCAGAGCCAGATCAAGAGTCAATCGCAGAGCCAAAGGGAAAGCTTTGGCGAGCCCTCTAGTCCTCGGAGTGTTACGGTATGTGGTTCTTTTCTTCGGCTTCCTTGGTTGCCCTTACTTTTTCCCGCCGGCTTTTCGCCCTGTTACTGCTTCATCGGTCCTAATTGGGTATTTCTAGGCTCGTCTGACGAGGTTCTGGAATCGGTTAAGCTCCGGCTGAGGCCTGTGGCAGGCTGTCATGGAACTTGGTAAATCGGAAATATACCCTCCATCATGGCACAAGTCGCACGCGTTGCTCTATCGTTATACGTGTGTCACGGACTCATGATGAAGCTTCTAACGAATTCTACGCTTTATGTCTGTTGATACTATCTATGTTTGCAAATACTGTTATACTACTCGGTCACTGGATTGGAATGATTTATATGCCACTTCTTTTTTCTCCCATCTAGTAGAAAAAGCACGATCACTCTTGAAGCTGCTCTTCATTGTCACCTGCAAGCTCGATCATCCGATCATCTGGGCGGTGAATATCGGCAATATGGGGCTGAGGGGAGCTTCGATAACGGGAACAGCGGAGAAACATCCAAAGCTGTCGCAACACTCCCCCGAGTGGTTTCATAAATGCTGACCAGGTAATATCCTGGCTTTCTGTTGCAATGGTTCTCTCATTTATTCTGGTCCAGAATCGCCAGTGAGTGGCTCCTCCTCTCGGTCATTCTTGTTGCAATGCTAACGCCGGGTATAGGGGGAAAACGCGCCTGGCGAAATGGTATTCACCGTACAGTGTGGGTCCTGCCAGAGTCCTCAATCAGTATGAAACTGGATTATAAGCTGATATCAACTCGCAGGATGAAGAAAAAGTCAAGCTGAAAGGCGAGGTTCGTCCATGCAATACCACTCGCACCGCACTTGCTCCGAGGGTGTATCGTCCGACTAACCACCGACAACCGCTCAGGTCCATCGCCTCGTCGCTCCCCGAGATCAGAAATATCAATCCAACTTTGTTGAGTTCCGCCGGAGTACCAAGGTCGTCTACCGCCGATATGCGGGATTGTTCTTCTGCGTTTGCGTTGATGCGAACGACAATGAGCTAGCCTATCTCGAGGCCATCCATTTCTTCGTCGAAGTGCTGGATCAATTCTTTGGGAACGTGTGCGAGCTAGATTTGGTTTTCAATTTCTACAAGGTCCGTACAACTGGTTGGGAATGCGCTCTTGAATATGAACCGTATCACGAGTGGAATATTGGGTTATAAGAGCCATGATGCTGACCTGTGTCCGGATTTATAGGTCTACGCTATTCTGGACGAAGTCTTTCTCGCAGGCGAGATTCAAGAGACAAGCAAGCAGGTCGTTCTTACACGATTGGAGCACCTTGACAAGTTGGAGTAGAAGTGAACTTGGATTCGGGATCGATATGGAAAGCGTATCGACTACAGACCCGACTGCATTGAACAAGGAAAAACGAAGTCATTTGCAAGGAGTTTGAGGGGTATCGGTGGCTTTCAGACAATAATATTGCTGTTCGTGTTCATATTCATATTAAGGGGCATCATTCTGGAAATATCAAATCATCGGTCCGATTCATGGCACCACTTTGGGACCAATGTCGAAATCACGTCACAATCTGAATGCCAGTGACAAGCCAATCCTCTCTCGTATTCTCTTTTCCGCCGGCGCTATCGAAGAGACACATACTGTGTAGCTGTGGTCGCCAACTGCCGAAAACACTACCGTCGGCGCATTTCTGCGGAGACGGAATGTCCATACTGGAGCTATGCCCCTCAAATTAGATCCAGGGTTCAATTCAATCTCAGCCCTGTGTCCGTTCTGTGGACATATTTCCCAATTGGTCATGGCCTGGTGATGTGATCGTAGCCAACGATGGCGAACGTCAGTCTATGGGTCTTGGCACAGAACATTTAAGGAGCTGTGTCGCTGCTGACCCCGGAGAGTGTGCTTACTTTGCTTTTCCTCGCTTTTACTCCGTACACAGTACGCCATATCACAACTGCTCTGGTTAAATCGCCTGTCCCAATATCACTCGACCCTGACCATTTCACACCTAAACAGTCCTCCAGGATTGCTTCCGAACTATCATGACTACCCCGGACTCCGGGACAACGCTATCCGCCATAGCTGACTGGAATTCTTCACTGATTACCTACATGGCCTCGCAGATACTAGCTCGTCACTCGTTCCAGACGGTACGGAGTAGACCCCGTGGGAAAGAATACTGATCGTCCAGCGAACGAGGATATCTTGCCCACAGTGGAAGGTGCTCCCACCGACACGGGACGATTAGCTCCGTCGTTATTACTGCTGCGTGACAGGGAGAAACCACGAAAACCAGCGTACAACATACGACGTACATCTCATACGCCAGACGCTCATTACCCTGCCGAAGGAAGTCGAACCTGGTTCAAACACTCAACGTTTGACTAGACCCCGGACCACCATCTGGGGGTACTGTGACGGCCCGAGTTCACAACCATTGGGCGGATGATCCAGGGGAAGGAGCCCCTATTGACCGACTAAACAAGATGGTACAGTACATGCCCATTGAGGGTACTACTGAACTGCACAACAGTACTCCGTACAACTTGACATGTGGGACTTGTGGTTTTCAGTCTCAACCACAAGTCCAACTCTTATCAATTGTCGAGTGGGGCGTTCCTTTCTTACACCCAAGAACGCTATTTACGCTGCCCATCAGCCAAGTCCCATCTACTTGGGACGTTGTGGGTCGCGCTCGGCAGACACAATTCGACTTCACGCCCGATTTCACAGTTGCTGCTTGAAGTGAGGCATGACATGCCGCAAGGCCAACATTAGCGACTCAAGCATCTACAGTAGATGTGATACACTAATCAGAATGGCACTGCCTCCCGTTTCAGATTTATACACTCCACATGCTGATTGAAGGTGTACGCGTTGCCAATCTAGGCTCCACCAATGCCAGACCGGCAATGCACGGATCGTCATGGCTTTCGGCAACAAAACCTGGATGATCAACAAAAGAACGTTCGAAACGGGAGCATACGTGGAGCGAGTCATGGCATTCCTGTAATTTATATTTTTGGTACGCGGCGCACGGTCGGTACCAGATATCGATACCCGCAATACATGCCATGGCTCCACAAACTTTCACCCCTGACAATCCTGGGCATCCCTGTGCGCCAGCCAGTGACGTCGTGTGTTGACCTCTACTTGCAATGTCCTACAGTACATACTCTTCAACGTGTTTCACTAAGTCGCGGCCTTTGTCGATTTCTGAGATCTGGTCTCTCAGAACCAATTGCAATTGGACGACAGAAAGGGAGGAATTGACGGGCCAATACTGGAGCTGTTAGGTGGAAACGTTGCCACTCGCCGGGAAGACATATTTTGGCACTGAGAAAAAAGTGGTTCGAGACTTCTAATTGGCACTGCCACTTTGACAAGATGCCCACTCTTGATGTACGATTGTACTCAAATCGTTCTGTCGACCTCCCTTGAGGATCAGTCTAGCTCCGGGTCTCGATCTTTTTTTAATCGAATCTCCTTTTCCCGCATTTCATTCTTTTACTCTTCCCCTTATCTCTATATCAACTTCTTAAAGCCCCCTTCTAGACTTTTTCTATAAGTCTTGTCCCTTCTTTATCCGGCTCTATCAATCTCTCTATATCCTCCCTACAACTTTTCTCTCGTTATAGAACTCCCGTTTATAATTACAATTGAGCTTATAACCGCCCACCATGTCTCTCATGCTCTCCGATAATCTGGCTCCCCAGCCCATGACCGATATCTTCACCAGCGACACAAACATCGACCGTCGAAAGTGCCACCGCACAGTGCCTATGAAGGTTCTTGCTCTGGGAGTTGGTCGTACCGGAACTGCCTGTGAGTTCGATGTGTCGCGTGATTCGTCAGACGTGGTGTATATTCTGCACACCGGGTCTGATGGTAATTGAGAATATGCAGACTAATCCGGAATCCAATTCGACAGCTCTTCGCAAAGCCTTTGAGCGTCTAGGCTATGGAAAGTGCTACCACATGATGTGCGCAAGTGTTGAGAACCCGCCGGACTGCCTGATGTGGCACGATGCCCTGAACGCAAAGTACGACGGCGTCGGAGAGTTCGGCCGCAAGGAATGGGATCAGCTTCTGGGTGACTGTCAGGCCGTCTGTGACTGGCCTGCCTGCGCCTTCGCAAAGGAGCTGATCGAGGCCTACCCCAACGCTAAGGTTGTCCTGACCACCCGGGATGTCGACTCATGGCATGCGTAAGTGACATCGTATCGATCTGTAGTTACAAGGGCATACTAACAAACCCAATCCACAGCTCTGTCATGAAGACAGTCTTCTGGCGTGTCTCAGACCCAGAGCACAAGTTCGTCTCGAACTTCAGTTGGGCTGCTGGCATGTACTACCCCATGCTGAACAAGTTCTTCGAGACCTTCTTCCGAGGCGATTTCCCCGGCAAGGGCAAGCAAGTCTACGAGGATCATGTCGCCCAGGTACGCAGCTTGGTTCCTCCTGAGCGTCTGCTCGAATACAACATCAACGACGGCTGGGCCCCGCTTTGCGAGTTCCTCGGAGAGGAGATCCCCGATACTCCCTTCCCCCGCGGCAATGACATGGCCGACTTCTACAAGCGCTGCAGCACACGCAACCGTCATCAGATGATGAACGCCGCTTTCCAGGCTGTTACCATTGGTGGGTCGTTGCTTGCTGCTGGCGTCGCCGCTACCATGGCTTTCAAGCGTTTCTCCCCCCGCTAAAATGGATGTCTTTGCATTTTTTCGTCTTTGCGTTCTCTTTGATCTCTCATATTCCCCACCCTCTTACGTTCTTGTTGGCTATCAGGAGGCGCGGGCGTCTCGAGGCTATTGCCTTTCCACTATCATTCATTTGTTGAAATCGTTCCTCATTGGAACGGACCACTGCATCTATCACATCGATCTTTAATCCCTTTGATGCCCTTGTCACGGGCAATTCCAATAACGAGAGGGTTCTTGTGGCGCAAATTGGTCTACTACAATAGTATATACATAAGGAGTTCAATCAAAATCCAATCCTGCTTCTCCATCTCTACGCTTATTTCCCGAAGCATTTGTCTTATTCGTGAAATCATACAAGCCACATCGAAGCATCCACAACATCCAATGAATCGACGGAAATAAACCCCGAAGGTTGCACTCATCATCACGCATGACGCAGAAGCAAGGGGCCCTCAAATCTGAGCTGGAAAGAAGCCTTGCCGCCCACTGACTATCAAACGGGATCTACCGTGGCAAAGCAAGGTGCAATTTATCCAGGCGCTGAGAACAAGCACTTGCGCTTGAGCTTAGACAACTTCAATCCAGTCTCCCATGCTAGATACACGATGACCCTAGCGATCAGCCGGAGCACACAAACAAACAAACTGCTACAGACACTTTCTAAATCCGACCATCGACACCCGATTCCATTTCCAGCCCTGCCGCCTCTGTCTCCCACCCATTCACCCTATCTGATTAGACTCCATGCAGAATCAAAAAGATTGTCACTAGCCACATGTCATTGGAGAGTGTCGTGGGGATATTGTTATGTTAGCGGCTTGGCGGTGCGGAGGAAGGATCCACTAAGGTTTAAAACTTTTATTACGTCCAGGGGTGAAAAAGTACATAACTGTACTGTCTTTTGTCTGGTATGTAATTGGTATTTTCTTTACATGTACAAAACGGTGTATCCGTAATATCATTTACGTCTTTGTTCCAATTTGCAGAACTGGTTACTTTCATTCTAGCTTCCGGAGCGGATCTGTTAAGACTTGAGGCTGGAGCGGCCCCCGCGGGACTCCCGTGGTGTACGTGGACTGGCTGTGTTGGGTGGAAATTGGTTCATCGTTCGCTTAGGTAGACTCTGGCCCCTGGGATGGGAGAGATTCACCGGTAACGTGTGGATATGTGAGCTCCGGAGATAGAGGTGTTCGGTCTGGAGTATGCTAAAGCTCCTGGTTCTAGTTAGTAGTTGCCTACAACATGCCCTGACGATGAACCACGCGTCCCCGCGTGGTCTGATCTATTTATCCGGGCATACACAACAAGTCGCGTGTCTTTTCAGCCACATGCACGTGGCTTTTAGCTTTGTGTCGCGGACTCGAGGGGGTTTTCCGTAGGCTTCTTTCATCTGAGCTCCATGAGTGGACCCAGCCTATCTAACCTTGTCTCATCAACCTCATTTACCGGGCCGCGTCACATACCCGCAGTACGGAGATAGGAACGGCCTTGGACATCAGACCGGATTAGAGCGCCCGAACAAGCGAACAGGTCCCCCGGGCCCAATTCCAGAGTTATCTTGTTTAGAGAGGGCTAGTGTCAGCCACATCAGCTGGCTAACAACAGCCATGACGTGTCACTTGTCCGCGAATGATTTGCTTCAGTACGGTTCCCCTGAGATATAGATACCTGTACTATTACAGCCTCTACATGTGGATTCAGAGGCTGGATCGGAGAAACATAGAAACGAACAATCAAAGTTTTCCGCAGTAATAAATCAGACGATCAGATAGATGATCGAAATCTTTTCAGGGGAAGATGGCTCCGTCCCCGGGGCCCCGAGAGGCTTCTTGATCGCCCACATTGTTATAATCAACATCGACATAACATAGTACGCTTGGTATCAGTTATAGTCAATCAAACCTCCATAGCTTTTTCCCCCGCTAGTTGAGCATCATGCATAGAAGTAGAACAGCTGTAGTCGAGCACACTAAGCCTCTTGGCGCTGGGGGCCGGCGTTGCTTGATTCCTGGCTCTAAAATGATCTTCGCCAATGAACGTCGACGATCAGTTTTCTCCATTCCCCACTGTGTACTCCGTAGGCATGGATATATGGAAAAGGATCCGCGTACATGGTGTTTGTTCACCATGTGGCTCCTCCTGTGTCGTCTTGGTTGACTGACAGTCTACCCACCTTGGGGCTGTGTTCCCTGATAACTACGGAGTACACTTTTCTCAAAGACTCCATCTTCTGTTGGTTCTAATCTCCATCTGACAGTGATGCGAAGCACTCATGAATCATGATGGTTCCCATATCATCCTCTTCGAGGACGTCCACTCTGTTTTTCCTCGTTCTTCTTTGGCTATTTGCCGTTGATGGTGTTTTTGCAGAGGAAACATCGTTCTATAAATCGGTAAGTGGAATAAGTCAACCGCCTCTCTAAGTGTGTTCATCTGCTTACCCTCCCACTGGGTGTCACAGAGGCCCGAAATTTATGCTCCCGTCTTCAATGTTGAAAAATCGGAGCCAAATGTGCTCAGTCCGGGCTATATTTTCATCACTCCTTACGAACTTCAGGCTCCCGGCCCGTACATTTTCAATAGCGATGGGGTACGTATCTTGCGAGGCCAAGATTCTAAACACGGAGAAATTGACCGGTCATGCATTCAACAGGAACTAGTATGGAGTGGCTGGGGTGTTTCGGGACCGGGAAATGCCCATGGCCTTCATGTGTGCAAATATAAAGGTGTTGATCATCTATGTTTCTTCCAGGGCAATCAGCAAAGGGGTTACTGTCGCGGACATGGGATTATTATGGACAAGAACTACCGAGTCGTGAGATCCGTCCAGCCAGGCGGAGGGTTGGCCTCGAGCGACATGCACGAGTTTCGTCCAATCAACGACGGTAAAACCGCCCTCATGACCATTTACCAGCAAAGGCAATTTGACATGACGCCGTGGAATATCAAAACGGGCGTAGGGTGGCTCATGGAGAGTGTCTTCCAGGAGGTCGATGTGGAGACCAGCAAGGTTCTGTTTGAATGGCGGTCCCTAGACCATGTCGATCCATCGTTGAGCTATACATGGCCGTCTCACACAGATACTTCTGGCACTGGACTGAATGTACACGAACCTTGGGATTACTTTCACATCAACTCCATCGATAAAAATGCCGCCGGTGACTATCTGATCTCGTCGCGACATACTTGTGCCATCTACAAGATCTCTGGTATGGACGGGTCAATATTGTGGCGGCTACATGGTGCCCAGCCCTCTTTCCGGAATACCAATTTCAGTTTCTCACAGCAGCATGATGCCCGGTGGTTATCGGAGAATGCTACACATACAGTTCTCTCTCTCTATAACAATGGCTACAATGGCTTTAACCAGACGCATACCTATTCATCTGGCATGATTATCATGATTGACCACGTGGAGAACACAGCCATCCAACTCCGTGATTACGCACCAATTCGAGATGACCTGGTGAGCTCCAGCCAAGGAAATCTGCAAAAGCTGCCAAACCAGAATGTCTTCATCGGATGGGGAAATAACCCCTCTGTATCTGAGCACGACGAGGCAGGCAATTTGCTATTCTGGGGCTCCTTTGCCAAAGACACTGTGATGAACTACCGCGCAATGAAATTCGAATGGGACGGTTTACCGACGGACTCACCCGCCCTATGGACATACTCCCGGACAGCGGAGCCTCTCTCGTCCACAAGCTTCTATGTGAGCTGGAACGGTGCCACCCGCGTCAAAACATGGCGCTTCCGGGGAGCGACGAATAACACCGGACCCTGGACCTTGCTGGCTAATGTTTCCAAATCTGGTTTCGAGACCGAGTACGTCCACCCCAGTTTTTACCTTTGGTCTAAGGTCGAGGCAGTGGATCAAGAGGGCGCCGTACTCGGTACGTCGGCAACCAAATACACCTTCGTCCCATCGTTCGAGCTGCGCGAGTTCTGCGCCGACTCTACCTGCATGGATGCATCGGGATACGGATTCCCGGAAGAAGAAGATGGCCTTCCTCTCATTCCGCCAGTAGGAGTTAATACTGTGCCTTGGATGGACCCCGATAATCCTGGCTCAAATATCTGGACACATCCTACACGTCCCTCGAGCTCACCACAAGTTTCGGACACCAAGTATTCAGAAGGATGGAATCGTGGTGGTAAGTCAGATGTTCCAGTTGTTCACTTACAAGAGAATCGAACTAACAATCACAGACATGCTTTTCTTGGGCTGCATGCTTGTCGCGATTTGCGTTATCGCCGGAGCCTTCCTCGCATATAGATACTACACAAAACATTCACCGGACCAACTGCAGAACGTGATATCCTCTGACTCTGAGAACCACGGGATAATTGAAAGGCAACACTCCAGTACACATGTCTTACAGCTTCCCTGGTGGGATTGGCAGTGGACTGGAACCGCCGATCGATCGTTCTTTCCACTCCGGGAACGGGAACAATATGTCCATGTCCGTGACAGAGAGCATGAGCCAGAATAGTTACATACTAGTTACCTGCTTTTTACTTAGACACTTCTGACCATCTCATAGTTAGCAATAGAATGGGAATTGATACGCACACAACAGTTTTTACTAGTCATGCCAAAGTAAAATCTGTTGTGTCTGTGACAATTCCCAACCTGCAGAGTCAGTTAGGCATCACCTCATTGTCTGGAAGGGAAGAATCATAATGACCGGTTCAAGGTAAGAATTTGAAGTCTATCGTTGATCTAAATGATCAACTTATTCCGAACTTACCCTCACAAAATGTCCCAAAGTAACAGATCTTCCGCTTCCCTTATGTGCGCCCTTCCCCCCCTGGGGGTGTTGTACGAACATTTTCCAGCCTCGAGAGTCTCCAGATCGAAGCAGAGAAGCTATTGGGGTCCCTACAAGAGAACGGAAATGGTAACCAGTGGATTGTTGTCCCCAATTTGTCCACACGAACGATCCAAAAGCTCGACGAAGAGCACGACAGCAGCCTTGGGGGCATTGAATACCGCTTCCAGTGGGAAGGAAGCACTGGTCTTATCAAGGTGGTCCCGTCAAATGCCCACAATGCAACCACAGACAAGGTGACCAGGGTGATCGATAGCAAGCTTGATGCAATGGGACTCGACTGGTCGGATGCAGCCTGGGTTGCAACAACGACATATAAACCACCGACTAGCAAAGGCAAACAAGCAGACCAGGCATTCTTGCCGCCAGCCCGCTGCCCTATCGGGCTTCCAAGGTCAGGATGGCCGACTTTTGTTATCGAGACAGGAGTTTCAGAATCCCTAAATCGACTCCACGAGAACGCCACGAGATGGTTCGCGGATTCGCAGGGTGAGGTACGCATTGTTATGGTCATCTCCGTCAAGCCGGCCGAGGTCACATTTGAAAAGTGGCAACTAGCTCCCAACGATGCTCCACGCCCACTCACTGGTGTTTACCTCGATTCACTCCGCGCGCAATCTCCAAGTGTCCCTCCTTTAACATCCCAACCGATCCCTCTCCAGCAGCCTTACTCGGCGCAGAAGGTCTGCGTGCAGCCCGACAGAATTATCGGGGCCCCTCTGAAAATCCCATTCGTTGCGCTTTACGACCGATCCCTAGGACGAGAAGATGACATCGTCATTCAAGCGCCAGACTTCCGAAACATCACCAAGTTGCTGTTCTAATATATTCTAGTTCGCTGTCAAGCTCATATGCCATAATATGAATAATGCCCGTCTTCCCAAATGCCAACAGACCTATCTGGGCCATGACATGTCACAAAGAGTTACTAATTAGATAGTTATCACATACTGTAACTACATGGCGTTTCTCCACTGCATGTACTCCGTACTCGAAAAATACATGAACTCGGCAGCAGGCACCGGTGTACGCACAGGGCATACTTATGCTCGGAGCGCGGCCTTATTTCCTCACATTGGATAGTTATCTCAATTCTTGTGATTACTTGAATAGAGTACTACTGACTGAAGCTTCTACTGCTAATTATTCTCATGCATAACACATTTTGCCGATACGTCAATGGAGATGTGTATCCACCTGCAAGTACCGACCGGTACATGAATGTTTCCATGGTATGTACATACTGCGTAAACCGACACTTACCGTGTAATAATACAACACTTTGTACACACATGTTCCATGTTGATGTTGATCCAAGTATGGAGGTCATATGTAGGAGGTTTTACCTAGCATTATGCCGGCACACGACACGTTAGTTAGTTACTGCGTAGTTAAAATCTTCTAACTTCGCCTTGTAGGGATGTTAGGGCTGAATGTGCATTAACATCCGAAAAAGGAATCTCCCTGATGGCCCCTGGTGCTGGTGTATGATGGATGTTACCAAAGTACATATCGAAATGGGGTTTTCTGCGACGTGATCTCGGGCTAAGACGGATTGTCCAAGATTCTGAAGTTAACTAGTTAAATAGAACGTCAGATGCCGATTCAAAGCCGTTTTCTCGCGGGTTTGTGTTACAATCAAAGTTCAACGTGTATTCAAGCTTAAACGCTCAGTCCCGTGGGTACGGTTCCCGCCTAACCTTCCTTCACTATGGACTACTACACAGTACTACGACTACAAGATGAAGGACATTCAACATTATGTTGAGATTGCATAGTGCATTGTAACGTGAACCATTTACAGTACTGTGTACATAGAAAGTCTGAGTCTGCTCCACCTCGGTTCATTCTTTGCCAAGACCTCCGTCAAACCGTATTGAGACGGCGAGTCATGTCCCAGTGAGAAGAGGGGCTCCACAGGGAGATGTGGAGCGGTCGTCGCAAGTCGGACGTTGTCGATCTATTCGGTATTTGGTGGAAGGGAGAGTGCTCGGCTAAAGAGTGTGTCATTTAGAATATCTGTGATATTGAAAGAAGGATCTCAGACTCTACTATAGATGAACGAGTAGATTAGAACAAATAGAACAATAAAAGAAGCATACAAAGAAAACGCCGTGTAATATTCTTAAATTATCCCTGTGGGGTCTGATAAAGCACGGAGAAAATAGACGTCATGGATGACTTCCCCTGGAGAAAGCCAAGACGGTTGAATCAAAGTAAAAAAAAATACAAGGCGATCGCTTGTCACCTTTCTCTTCCCCATTATCTCTCCTCCCAGGGATGACCAATGATAACCAGACGCCCCGGATCAGACCACGCCAGTGCCGAAACCACAATAGATACGTGAAACCAAAGGGGTTGTTATAAGTTCCCACCTTTCGATCGTTACGGCGCCTACATTCCCCCCATGCCTGCTAGGACCGGGAACCCTAAAACGAATAATGCCCGCCACGCGCGCACGACATCCTGGTCGACTGGCTTCAATCTAACGCAAACCGCCGGCGAATCCTCCGAGAACACAAAAGGCCGCCGCCGCCGCGAGTCCAATATCTCCCTCGACGGCGTCGAAGAACGCTCCAGTCCCACCCCCGACTCACTCGACTCGCCCGCCGATGATATGATGTTAAAGAATACCTCGTTGGAGTTTGGCGGTGGTCACAAAGTCCAGCATGTGCGCGGCCGCTCGATCAGCCAGGCCCAGCCACAGGTACTGGACCTGCAGGACGATGAGTTCACGGCTGCGTTGCCGCCAGTCTCAGCGCGGGCCGGGCCTGTAACATGGATGTCGCTACCACGAAAGGGGCAATTGGTGCTGTTGGGTCTCTGTCGCGTGTTTGATTTCTTGCAGATCGCTTCGTTGCAGGCATACATGTTCTACCAGCTCAAATCCTTTGACCCGAACCTGTCCGACTCTGATGTCGCGACCCAAGCGGGTATTCTTCAGGGCGCTTTTACCGCTGCGCAGTTTGCAACGGCGATCCCTTGGGGTCGTGTTGCTGATGCTGAGTGGGGTGGTCGTAGGTTCGTTTTGCTTGTTGGTTTGGTTGGCACTGCGGTGTCTTGTCTGGGTGTTGCGTATTCGACGTCGTTCGCGCAGGCCGTGTTCTGGCGCTCGTTTGGTGGCGGTATCAATGGCACTGTTGGTATCATTCGGACGATGATTGCGGAAAATGTCAAGGAAAAGAAATATCATTCGCGCGCTTTCTTGATATTACCCATTGGGTTCAATATAGCTTCTCTGTTTGGTCCTGGTGGGTTCCTCGTCCTGCCCATGCTGTTCGTGAATACACGTCAATGTGCTAACCGGTCGCATAGTCATGGGTGGCATGCTTGCTGATCCCGTTAGGAGCTACCCGAGTCTTTTTGGACCCGGTTCTTCCTTCGGAGGCGCGGATGGAGTGCAATGGCTCGAGACGTACCCGTACGCACTCCCAATGCTTGCCAACTTCTGCTTCCTATCTGCAACCGCAGCTTTGGTTGCGTATGGGTTGGAGGAGACTCTGGCATCTTGCAAGGGCAAACCCGGCCTGGGTGCATTTGCTATGCACATCTTCAAACGCGGTCTAAAGAGAGTGATCCCCTCTCAATCTCACTTGTATACGCAACTTCCATTCCGCGACACAGAGGAGGACAGTTTACTGGGCCAGTCTATGGATCGCTCAGAAAGCTACGAGCTCGAAGAAAAAGCACACAAGCCTATGCGCCTCCGGCGTGTCCTGCCTTTCCGGAGAATCTGGACCAAGAACGTCATGTGCACGCTCGTTGCGCAGGCTTTCTTCGACTTCCAAATGGGCGCCTTCAATAATCTGTGGCTACTCTTCCTGTCTACGCCCCGTTACGATGCCAATGATCCGGCCAGCCCTGCCCAGAGCTTGCCCTTCGCCTTCACCGGTGGACTTGGCATGCTGCCACAGAGCGTCGGCTTTGCGACAGCCATCCTGGGTGTAATTGGCATGTTCCTCCAGTTCACCATCTACCCGACTATCAATGGCCGTCTTGGGACAGCCCGGAGTTACCAGTATTTCCTTTCCCTTTTCCCGATTGCATACTTTATTGCGCCCTATATTTCACTGGCTCCGTCGACGGTCCCTCCTCCTGGCCAAGCTAACGGCCCCTGGGTATGGATTTGGATCATCATCGTCCTCTTCTTCCAGGTCACTGCCCGAACCTTCACTCTCCCCACATCTATCATCTTGCTGAACAACTGCTCGCCGCATCCATCGGTGCTTGGCACGATCCACGGCATTGGCCAGTCAGTGTCATCTGCCTTCCGTACCATTGGACCTATATTCTCAGGCGCGTGGTACGGATACGGCCTGGAAGTTGGCATGGTCGGCTTCGCCTGGTGGATGATTGCCTTGGTGTCTGTGTTTGGCTGTGTTGCGGCCATCTTTGTTTATGAAGGTTCGGGGCATGAGATTATTCTCCCTGGTGAGGAAGAAGAGATCTGATGTTATACCATATGATGTTTCCTTTTCACGCAAGTTGGATTGTACATTCCTTAATATTTTGCATCATACGGTGTCGGTTGGTTGGATTTTTTTTTCATTGGTATATTCGCCATCTGAACAGTGCAGGTGATATTCATTCTCGAATGATCTCTTCCCTTGTTCGCATCCATCGTTGCACCCTTGGGCAGCGGCCAATTGGCATATTGACCTATTATGTCTACATCTGATTCTCTCATTTCCGTCTTGGATACCACTTCTGTGCATCTTTTGTTATGAACAGCATTTTCCTTGTCATACTGCCCTAGAATAGAAGATCCAGACACACTGGTCCATTGCGAGATCAGTCTGATTGAAGTCTAATATACCATGTACTATCTTCGTATCCTCGAAATCCGGTGCATCATAGAACTTCACCGGTCATTATTCAGAAGTTACGTTGTAGTTAATCTTGGATTCATACTCTTCACATAACTCAGTTCTTACAAGCTAGCACCATACCCCTTGGCATAGCTCGCATCGAACGTCTCCTTATTAATCGCATATTCGCGAATATAATCCCTCTCGAGATCATGCGTCCTCCGACCAAGAAGAACAAGACTGTGCAACGGCGCGCCCATGTCGACAGTAGACAGCTCCTTGAGGGTACCAGAAACAAGCTGCTGGTTAGCAGCGCCAACACGCGCCGCCCCGACTGCCAGACTGTCCGGCCCATAAATACCCTCCTTGCGCTCCTCCTCAGTCTCAAGCATCTGCGATGCGCACTGAGCAACGGTCATGTAGCGAGGGGGCTCAAAGATGCGGCGTCCGCGCGCCATGTTCTCCAGCGACTGCTCCTTGACCTTGATGTCAAGCAGTACTAGTGTGTGCAGACCGATCTGGATGTTCTCACGCACTCGGTCGTAGTATGACGAGGGCTTCCAGGTCTCTGTGAAGAACACCATACTGACTGTTTGACCGAAGTTGTACAATTGCAGTCCAGTGCAGCCAATGCCGGACATGATGGAGGCATTGGGGACGACATTGGTCTTGATGCCGAGCTCTCGGGCACGGAGGACGAGGTCGGTGTGTGTTGTTGCGCTGTTGGCGGGGTTATATTAGCCCTGTATCCAGTTTCGAGATAAATGAGAAACCTACCCGAATGGGTCTCCCACGACGAGAAATACAATGTCAGCTTTGTCCCCACCGGCCAGGATATCGTCACTGCCGGTCTCGACTAGTTCGCGGTCTGCTTCGATGACGGGGCGGCCATAGAAAGCTTCCTACTGGTTTTAGTTCAATTAGTTCATCTGCGCAGGGGATATGAAACAATAGATTGGGATATAGAATTGGAAGAATTACTCACCAATTTCGACTTGTCCACCAGAAGAATACTCGTGTATGCCTCTAGATAGACTCTCTCCGCCCGCTTCACAATCTCCAGGCCGCGGACGGTGATATCCGTCTCATCGGCGAGACCAAGACCAACAAGGTGCAACATTTTGTTTGTAGCGCCTCTGAATATTCAGATGGCAATAGGCTGCGACACAATCAAATTGCTGCTTATACTAGATCAATAGAGATCCTTCGAAAAATAAAAATTACCCTGCCCCGCGACAATGGCAGAATAGTCCGCCACCGCCGGACAAAGAATATCCGGCTATCGCTATCGCAGCCCGCAGCCCCGATCGGCCTCCGTCGACCGTTTAGAGCTCCGCCCTTCTTGCGCCTTTCCTTGTCTCAACATTAGTTTCACTTGAATCTCTCCCACTTCTCTTGGGCCGAAACCAGCGAGTGAACACTTCCTTCAAAGCTTCATACGACCACTCTGGTAGGATTACCGCCATCCACCATGAGCTCCGACCGGAATCCGAAGTATCGGCAGGAGATACAACAGGTGAGTTCCTTACCCTCTTAGCTTGCGGCTCTTGATCTCTTGGTCTCCCTGGCTCTCGGGAAACTTGATGGCAACTTCTCGGCGGGTCCCGAGTGACCTCCGAATACGACATGGCTCGGCTGGGCCTTGCGATGCGGCACACCTGTGACGCGATCCCGACATGCGGGAACGAAATCACGCGTACGCCGACTTTGCCTCTCTCTGAACACGATAGCCGGCTGCTCTGTGACTTCAAGGCTACCCTTGACGCCAGCAAGCCCTATGGTCCAACAACCCTTATACCGTATCACCATTGCTGTGCGTTGTCCATGTGCTCATTACCTAGAGCTCAGCCGTCTCATCCACCGTCCCAGCTTCTCCAATGCTCTGGGGCATTCCGGCAAAGACAATTGTTTGGTTCAAACGTCTGCGCACGGATTGGGATTGTCTTGTGCACCAGCATCCTTGCGCTGTGATCTCAAATTTCGGGCATCTCAATCCTGTTGGCTCTTCGACAGTCCTCCAATGGATATCAAGGCTATCGCCAGCGTGCTGGATTCATGGCTGTCTTACGGCTTTTTAGCACAGCTTCCCTGCGGCGGGGCATAACAACTGGAATCCTCGAAATGCTCTGCGTCATCTTGTCAGCCGATCCTATGCATATTGAAGCTTGGGCATTGAGCAAGTGTGGGGTACGGCTTTCAAGGAGAAGGATAGGGGACGTCTTGATGCAGGTCGAAGTTCCTAGACGTAAAGGCAGTCAATGTTCAGAGCATGCAGTCACACGACCTGGAGTGCTATCCACCTTATGGCCTGCTGTCAAAGTTCAAGTCAAGCGATTGGAGTGCCATTGGCCTTGTGAGGCATGCCTTCACCCTACGGCTTTCCTTGAAGTCTCCTGGGAAGCTTGTCGCTCTTACCTCGAACTTTGTCTTCAAAAAATATCTCCCTTGAACGCGTCGTTTTCGCCTGTTTCCCCCTCTATCGTCTATCACACCAAAGGTTTATCTACTTTACTGGACACCTTCGCTGCTTCGTACTTTCGCGAACCATGGCGACCCCCAACGAAAGAATCCACATGACCCTCTTCGCGTGGACGTTGAGCGGCGAACTTGCGCGAAACAATTTCTTCCGCGACTATAGGCGTGCTGTGCGTATGAATCTCCGCATGTCGCGTTCTTGGTCCGACGAAGATCCTGAAGGTTTCGACAGTGGTCGTGCTGCGCCTACCGATCTCCGCATGCCGCCTTCTCGGTCCGACTCGGACCATGCTGAAAATACATGCAAGGAGGAGGCGCCCGATGCCAAGTCCTTTAGAGATGGTCTTCAGGCCGACTTTCAGTCACTGGTGAGATTGTTCGGAAAGGCTCATGAGATGGTCCGGCCGGCTACACTAAGAAGAAGACTCTTTGCCGTTGTTGTGAAATAACGCAAAAGCGAGGGCGAACTATATATCAAGAAAGAGCGAGGGCGACCTGGAGATCAAGAACCACGCCCACAATGGTTGTTCGAATACTTTTGTGACTAACTCCCTAAAAAAGATGATGTTTGTCTCCGGCGAAACAGCCGAGCCGTCCCCTGAGACAACCACCCTGATTGAAGAAATCACCCGCCAGCAAGTGATTGAAATTGTGAGTACCAATATGCCTGCTGAGGGACTCTTTACTGACGAATGGACAGCTAACCCGCGGCACGGCACTGGCGACTCGCCGTGGCGTTCGCTCGATCTCCACCGATGATCTCATTTTCCTGATCCGCCACGACAAGGCCAAGGTCTCTCGTCTTCGAACCTTCCTTTCCTGGAAAGACGTCCGCAAGAATGTCAAGGACTCCGACGACAAAGGCGGCGGTGACGCTGCCGACTTCGCTGCGGCCGACGATGCGGCAGGCGTAGTTGCAGGCCCAACGGATGTTGCCGCCAAGCCTAAGAACAAGCGAGCCAAGGTCGGACTTGCCTGGGACGTCAACAGCTACTACTCGATCCAAATTCCCGAGCGCGAGGACGAAGAGGATGAGGAAGAGGAGGAACAGAACTACGCGACCCTCCAGCGTCTTGCTGCGGCCGATGAGCGCACCCGCCACATGACGAAGGAGGAGTATGTTTTCTGGTCCGAGTGTCGCCAGGCCTCATTCACCTACCGCAAGAGCAAGCGTTTCCGCGAGTGGGCTGGCTTTGGCATCGTGACTGAGTCCAAGCCGAATGATGATATCGTCGATATCCTTGGCTTCCTCACTTTTGAGATCGTCCAGACCCTGACCGAGCAAGCTCTCAAAGTCAAGGAGCGCGAAGATAACGAGAAGAGTCGCCGCGGTGGTACTGAGACTGGAGAGGACGTCAAGAAGCGCAAGCGTGAGACCGGCCTGTTCGACCCCCCTGAGGAGGGTCGCACTCCTATTGAGCCGCGCCATGTTCGCGAGGCCTACCGTAAGCTGCAGGCTACTCCCCAGAAGTCAGTCGCTATGCTGTTGCATGGGGGCCGTGTTCCTTCCCGTCTCCCTCTCGTTCTGGTGAGTTCATTCAATTCCATCCGTGCTTTCATCCACTAACCACTTGATCAGATTTAACAAGCTTGCTTCGGTGTCAACTCGACACCCCTTCATGAATTACGCGCACGACAGCGGGAGTTTACACGGATGATACCCATATTTCTTCCTTTCATTTCATTTTCAGCGATCTAACGAGATTTCCCCTGGCATGTCCTGCCTTGAATTATCTTTCATTTTTACTCTGATCTCATCTCCGGCCATTTGAGAGGATCTCCCCCGGGTGTTCCTACTTGAATTTACTCAAATGTTGCTCAATGTTATGTTTGCACATCAGCAATGATATTCTTTACTTTTAACTTGCATTTCAGACGCTATCATAAACTGGTAATAACGTAGGTATCTCATTGAGTCATACGGCATGGCCAGGGTCATGACTTTGTAGCCATTAGGCAGGACACGCTGACAGCTTATCCCCGGTGCGTCCGGCGCCCTGCAGAAGCGAGTCAATATAAACCCTGGTTACACATTAAGTCAGAAGAACGGGGTTGAACACATACACTCAGCAAGCTCCTCCATAGACAACTCCCGAATGCCATTGATTGAAGGCACATTCCCCTGAACAGCACCCTTGACAGTATCCACAGCACGGCCAAGCAGACCCTTAGTGGCAACAACGTGCGTTGCCAGCTTAGCCTCGAGCTTGATAACGCCAATCCGGGGGTCCGTGGGACCACCATCGTGCACACCGTCGCCCATATCACCAATCCACGCCTTGAGGGCGGGTGAGTAGTACTTTTCGACGGTGGCGCGATCGCCAACTACTGATGCCGTGCCTGAGATGGAGGCCCAGGCTCCGCTGACGGGGTCAAGGAAGGACATGTTGGTTTCTTGGGGGTGCACGGTGAGATCCATTGTTTTGCCGGAGAAGAGGTTTGTGTGGAAGATGAGGTCAATGCCGCCGTTCTCCTGTAGCATGGTAGATAAGTATGTGGTCGGTGGCTTGTATGGCAAGCTTAAAATGGTCTGACTGTTGGAGATGCTCATACCTGTGCGGCGAGGGCCATGCATCGGGAGGCTAGGTAGTCGCCCTCTGATTGCTTGGTCGTCAACATGCCAAACTTCACATCGGAGATGAATTTGGTCAGGTCTTCGATTTTCTTGGGGAGAGGAGGGTCTTCAAAGTTCTGGGTCTTGTAGGGGTCCACGGGGTGGCTGCCCGTGCTGGTGTTGATATTGGCATCGACTGTAGACATTTTGAGTTGATTTTGGATTAATTGGTATGAAAGAAGAAAGGATTGAGAGAGATGGTGGAAAGTAGAATTTATATGAACTGCTCCGAAGTATACACAAGGTCGTCAATCTGACGTCACCGATAAGAACCGGATCAGCTCATCTTTTGCTGAGCAACTTCGATCCATCCTTTGCAGCATCCCGCACAGCTCTTGGCGGAAATTGTTTCTTTCATAAAGGATATTTACTGTGGACCTGTAGAATCCTCTGAGGAGGAGACACTATTTACATGTGAGGCTAGCTAATGTGTTTGGTCAGACCTCTTCAGAGGACTCTACAGCTCCACGGTAGATATCCTTGATCATTTCTCCGTTCTTCACCTGCGGAGGCGTGTTTCGGTATGGCTTTTCCATTACATCCCAATCTCGATCGCCCACTTTCGAATGGCGAACTGTCATCACAGGCAGCTCACTTGAGATCCTGGCGGTAGACATGGCTGCAATTGTACCGCGGAGGACATGAAGTCGCTTCATGCGGATTCCCATTCATTGGGTACTTGTGTAGCGTCCTCTCACTTGCTATCAAGGTACACGTTCCTGAAACAATCATTCAGCACTCAAACCCACCTGCCAACAGGGCAATATTGAATATCTCACCTCGAGACAGTATTCCACAACAAATGCAGCAGAATAGCCATAAGACCAACCAACAAAGCTACGCACACACAAGATAGCATCAGCCAATGCCTCCACGGACGAAAGAAATAATTCAGTCGGGAACGAACCTTCCTTCCCCCAGTTCTTCATAGCCTTCACGGCTTTCCTCCTCCCTTGTATCTCTGCGTTGAACCAAGCAGACAGGCTTGCTGTCTGACAGGTTGTGCCATAAACAACCAGGCACCCACCCTGCTTTCGACGGCACTCGAGATGCCGCCGGCGGCGCTTCATAATGCCACGAATACGCCCGTTGCAGAAAGCCTCGTCGGTCCTGAATGAGCATTTCTCCATGGGACATTCGAGTTTGTTCTCGAAGCGTTCAACCAGCCAGTCTACTTTCAGGTGTACGCCTGTATAAACCAGGTAGTAGAAATGGGGACTACTGTGCTTCAGAGCTAAAGCGTCCGGGTAGGAAAGATATGTACTGATATGGATGTGAAGTTCTGAAGGGAGGGTCATCAGGTTAGGGCTGGTTGACGGCAAAAGTCTGGGGACTTGAGTGGATTCCATTTCGTTTGACCTTGGGTGGTTTCGAGGCTGTTTGGTGTATTCTGTAGCTTGGCGTGACTATTTAGCAGGTGTTCATCAATCATCTTATACTTGCGCCCAGAGGCTGTTGCCTATTGTCGCAGCCACACTTTGTGCTTGGCTCGTGATGGTCTCTCTAGATCTATTGGGAACTGTACTCGTTAACCTAAAAATAGTTGCTTCTTTACAAACCTATCAGAAGCTATGATCATTGTATTGGCATCTATTTGGCTACCTCCAGCTAAGGTACTCTGCTTATTACGGCGCCCAGAGGACACCAAGCACAGGACATGTCACATTCCTGGAAGTACCATGTAGAGCATAAGCACAGTAAATTTCCACTACAGGATATTTCAACCGACAAACCATGGCCCCATAACAATAACAAGAAATGAATGCAACGAAGGCAGATGTGTAGAGAAGTTGACCTGCCTTCCAAGGTCCATGTCTTGGCACTGGGACGGGAAGCTCTGCAGCCTTACATAATCTCACTGCCTGAATGCCTGAATCCGATGGATCTCAACTTCAAAGCTCCTTCAAATCGCCACTTCATAACCACACCACATCCAGACAAACCCTACTACAAAAATGTCCGGACCAAACGCCTACGGCACCCCGGTGTCCGACACAGCCTTCCGCAAAACCTGGGACCGGGAAGAATACGCCCAGAAAGCCGCCGACGCAGAAGCCAAGCGCAAAGCCGAAGGCAAAGCCCGCTATGAAGCCAAGCTCCTGGGCAAGAAATACCACGCCCCAGTCGACTTCAGTGCACTGGAAGAAACCACAGCGCGCAACCAGCGGCTGGACGTTGCGTCCATGGTCGGCAAGACGATGATCGTGCCCGCGGGCGCGGGAATGGGCAAGCGCGGACAAGGCGCCGGATTCTACTGCAAGGACTGCGATTTGACCTACAAGGATAATTTGCAGCTTGTGGAGCATTTGAACAGCAAGCAGCATTTGATTGCGACGGGGCAGAGTGGGGAGGTGAAGAGGGCTGGTGTTGAGGAGGTGCGGATGCGGTTGAGGATGCTGGCGCATCGGAAGAGGCAGAGGGAGGATGAAGAGCGCAGGGCTTGGCAGCTTGATCTTGGGGTGCGGCTTAAGGAGCGGGAGGAGCTCGATGCAAAGGAGAGGGAGGAGAAGAGGAGGAAGCGGAGTGAGAAGCGGAAGAAGGTTAAGCAGGAGGATGATAGCTGGGAGGGCCGGTTGGGAATCATTGCTTGAGCGCTGTCCTCAGAGTGTGCATTCTGTATACATTTGATACCCATGGTGTTTTGGTGTTTTGGCGTTTTCATTTCAACCTTTCTTTTACTGATCATTTGCTACAAGCGCAAGGATGGCAATGCCAGAATTCAAATTGTGATCTAGAAATCCAACAGTCACTCCAACACCTAAACACCTAACATGCATATTCATATTATCCGAAAACCATAGTGCGACTGTTCTTTCAGTCGATACACTCGATAGCTTCGAGTCGTCGCATTGCCCGGCCACCTTCCTTCTCGAACTGGCCGACGAGTCTCTCACATTCTCTCTTCAGTCGTTCTTCGCCATTCTTTGCGTTCCATACGATCCATTCTTGAACTGTCATCTTCTTCTCTGGGCTAGTCAATCCGCCTTTCACACCTCTGAAAAGCCCAGACAGATCTGCGTTCTCCTTGTCGCTGGTCTCTCCAAACAGCACTGCATCGATATCCACTGGTGTCCAGGGATGACCGGAAGGTCCGAAGCCACCATTGACATTGCGCTTGGATGGGGATGGAGTGCTGACCCCTAGAGGAGCTCGCAACTCGGGATGCTTTGGTGTGGACTGGATAGGTGGACGTGATGATGAGGGCCGCGATGATGGAGGACGGTTTTCAGCATCAGATGACTGGGGTGATGGCGAAGGAGTGCTTTGATGGGGCCGTGGGAGTGGTGAGACCGCCCGGTTAGACCGTTGAGAAATTCGTCGGGGCTCTACTCCATGAGAGGAGTCCTGTCGTTGGGCTAGGGTCTCTGCATAATGTTCTTCGTGTGGGATATCGCTGTATCGCTTGGTGGTCTTTGGTGGTGTATTCCGATGCGATTGTGGCTCTGGAGAACGTTCTCGGGGGGAAGATGAGGGCTCCTGAGGAGGTTGGACCATCTCAAGCTGATCAGGCAAATCATCCGCCGTCTCAAATTCATCATCCTGCTCGTTTACTGGCGGTTCATCCGGATGCTCCTCGAGGGGAGGTTCGGGGACAGGAGCCTGCTCCGCCTTTTGGCGGACTTCTTGGTCTTCTTCTCTTTGGATGAGGAATCCTTTTTCTTCGAAGTCTTTTTCGATTCGGTCTTGACCACTGGTTCTCTGGGCTCCGGTACAGACTCGGGCTCCTTGTTGATGATCTCGACGGAGATAGAGGAGTCATGACGCTTGGAATCATCCCGAGCATCAATAGGCTCGGATTGCAAACGTTCTCGAGGCTCTGGTGACTGCGCTTTTGGCTCTTCAGCCCTGGTCTTTTTTGCTCCTTTCTTCTTGGATCCTTTGGATGCCTTGACTTTTGGGGCTGGCGGCTCAGGTGCCTCCGGTTCATCGTCAGTGGGCTCCACATTGGAAACCGGGCGATACCCGATGTCATCAACATACTCTGCCTGATCATTTCCTACGGTCGGCTCGGGAGATTGAGCGGCCGCTTTGGGCTTTTTGCTTGACTTAGCCTTCTTCGATGGCCGTGTCGGTGCTGGCTCCGGCACATCCTCGGGCTCCGGGATATCTGCTTCAAGGCCTGCCTCTATCTCTGCATCAATTTCCGAGTCGCGAGGTGCCCGGATAATCGACGGAGCTTTTGGTGCAACAGACGCATCAGAAACCTTGCGGGTCTTGGACGCACTCTTTTTCGTGGCCTTGCGCCCTTTCTTGGTTTCAACATCTAAAGCGGCTTCATCCACAGTTGCTGCATCCGCCATTGCAGAGTCATTGGTCTCGTAATTGTAATTGCGAGTAATGCTGCTACTCCGCGCTCTAGTGGCCCGTCTCTTCGCCGGTGGTTCTGGGTCTGCTGGCGGCTGTGATGCCCCTCTTCCCTCCATGACGACTGACTCTGGTTCATCCTTCATGTCCTCACTGGGCCTCTTCTTTCCCCTGCCTGTACGTTTGGACTTCTTAGGCTCCGGTTGGGCAACCTCTTCAATGTCGGCTTCAATCTGGCTTTCAATCTCCGCTGGTTCTTCCTTCTTGCTCTTGGGTCCCTTTGATTTACTCTTGGGTGCCTTCTTCGTGGATTTCGATTTGGTGGTGGCCTCGGACATGATGCTGTGGTCCATCGAGTCATCCATGTCTACCTCCGGCGCTTCAGAGGTGACTGTACCAATCGATTGGGTCGAGAGTCGAGAAGAGGCCCTAGAAACTCGAGGCTTTTTGGCACGAGAACTTTTGCCTTTCTTTCCTGGGGGTTGTGCGAAGACAAAGAATGAACAGTCTGATGATCGGCGGTAATGTTCGTCACTGGACCAAAAATTAGTAACTGCACGTCTGAGGAAAGAGCGATCAATACCCACAATGGGTCATCCTTGGGCTCCCAGCCGTCTAATGACAGTTTGCAATACACACAGCTCGCCAAGTCGTCGCTCTCGTCTGTCGGACAGAAATACCAGCCGCTTTCAACCATCTATTGTCGTTGTAAGCCAAAATAATCGAATATGGAGGATTGGTGCAGTACCTTCTCTGACTGGCATAACCAGCCTTTTTTCCCATCGTGTGGCCATGCGGAACCAAATGTTGCGAGCCGTGCTTGTGTTATCCGGTCGCCGGTAGGGTCTTCAATTGTGGCGGGGTTGGAACTCCTCTGTTGGAGGTCCATCATGATGGCCCATCCACAGTCTGGCGCATGCTTGAGATGCTCTGTGACAGGGTTATCGTCTTCCTCCCAGCCGTCCAGCGCCCGGTGGCACTGGAAACATGTCGTGTTGTCCGGATTCGTCTCATAGGGTTTGTAGTAGAATCCAGCGTGCGCCAACTAAGCATGCCAAGTCAATCACTCTGTAACCGATGCGGTTGTTTGCTTTATGGTATAACATACCTCAGCTGGGGAGGGCCGCTGGTGCGGCCAGGTAATCACTTTAGGTGTTTTGGTGCCAGAAGCTCTGCGCTTCTCCGGCTTCAGCACAGCGTCAAAGCTGGCAAGGCGGGCCGCGAAAGTGTCCATTTCGGAGCCCATGGTGAGCGTGTGTGGCATCAGAGACAAATAACCACCAGTTCCGATATGTGAGGACACTCTTGTGGGTGAAATGCGGTGTTGTTTTGTCGAAAGAATGGTTGTTGTTTGTTCTCCGCGTCTGTTTACTTTGGTTGTTATGGTCGCATCCGCGGGCGCGAATCCACGTGACCTTTACTCAGCACCTGAAATGAACTGGGCCGGGGGTACGTCAGAGCCCGAAATGTTGACGGAGCCTCAATTCAACTTCACCTCGATTCACTCCTTTTGCTTTCCATGCGGGTCACTCATGCTCTTTGATTTGACTCAATTACTGCGCTCCGCGCCCCGATCTCTTTCATTTAACCTTAAATCATGCCGGGAGTAACTGTAAGTCAGCTCCCATCTTTACCCGATGATCCCGCTACAACTTGTCTGCTAGATCATTGCTTCTCGAGGAGCTAACCCCAGCTCTCTTTGGCGCTCTCGTGCTCTGCTCGCAACCCCTTGTCTCGATCACTCCTCGGCTCGCTACTTGTCAACCAATCGTCGTCCGAACACTCCCTACAATGGCCGACTATCAACAAATCATAGCGCTTCGACATCGCATTTGCTACGCAAGGTGACCAGCGACCATTCATCCTCATGTTCATTTTCGACATCCTCGTCTTCGCTGTTGCCTGACTCGGACTGGGATCACAACCCGGACTTATCCATCTCCAATTTTTCGGAACTTCCTTCCAAAAATTTCGGAGTCAACCAGCACATGATCATAAACCAGGAATTCAAGGAGGCATTGCGTATGATCCTTTGGCAATTCAAAGCACCAATCCGTTATGCATTTGCCTATGGATCAGGTGTCTTTCCTCAGAACAACAGTGCTGCTCCAGCTAGCTCTCTACACCCCTCGGCACCCACCGCCATCAATAACATGCAACAGGGGTCCGGAAAGATGATTGACTTCATTTTTGGAGTATCATACTCACAGCATTGGCATGATCTCAATTTGAGCCAACACCGGGATCATTACTCTGGCCTGGGCTATATGGGCTCGTACATGGTCTCCCAGGTGCAGGATCGCTTCGGCGCAGGCGTGTACTTCCATCCTTATGTTACGGTGAACGGGACAATGATTAAATACGGGGTGGTCAACTTGGACACTTTGTGCCGGGACCTCACTCAGTGGGACACTCTGTATCTTGCCGGTCGTCTGCACAAGCCTGTCAAGATTTTACGGGATCACCCGAAAGTGCGATTGGCAAATCAGGTGAATTTACTGTCAGCCTTGCGAGTCGCGCTGCTGCTTCTACCTGAGAACTTTAGTGAGTTCGAACTATACAGTACAATCGCAGGAATGAGTTATATGGGAGATCTGCGCATGGCTCTTCCAGCCGAGGACCCTGGCAAGGTGCGGAATATTGTCTCGGGACAGATGGCGCACTTCCGCCGGCTCTATGCGCCACTCATTGAGAATCTACCCAATGTCGATTTCCAGGATCCTCGCTGCAGCAGTGATGATTGGATCGATGATCCGAACGCCATCCTCTCCATGGCACAAGATATGGATCCGGTGAAGCGTGGCAACATGGTTCGCCGCTTGCCCGAATCTTTCCGGCAAAAGCTATACTTCCAATATCAATCTCGTTATGGGATTCCCCGGGTTGAATTCGACAAAATGATTCAGGAGAGCAAGGATTCTCAAGAGATTCTTCGCCGGCCCCAGGGAGGTGCGTTTGAGCAACGGATTGCGGGAGATGACTACCTCAAGCAGGAGGTCTCCAAGTCGATCGAGAAGACAATCCGCTGGCCAAGCACTGTTCAAACGATCAAGGCACCTTTCACAGCGGGTTTGGGTAGAAGTTGGACCTACCTGAAAGAGAAACGCGAAAAGCACAAGCAATCTCAGCTGAAGGCGACTCAACCACCCCGGTCCTCCGAGCAGTCATCTGAAGCGCCAGCAGAGACGAAGGAAACAAAGAAGGAGTAGGCAACTCAACATCTGTGTCTAAATTTAGCCCCATGTTATAGGTACGATGCATATGGAGGCGTTGTGGACTTTGTTGGCCTTGTAACGAGGTCGTCACAGACCTATGTATCTGCCACTGTCTGGTGTCGTGCGTCCGCAGGAAACGTTTCCCAAATACATAAAACATATATAGAGACTGCTGTCTGCAAACATATACATTAGCGCAGACTAGCTAAAAGATCACTTTTTCAAATGCCTCTTGTAATCCTTTGCCCCCTAACCAAGCCTCCAACGCCTGCATATCCCCCCGGTTAGCCCGCTGTCCACCCCGCTCCCCCAACGAATCCGTGATCTCCTCCATCCCAGGGAACACCCTCTGAACCCCCTCCGTCTCGCGAAACCTCTCGCTAACTTTCTTCTGATAACTCGGAATATCACCCCACGAATGTGTCTTGATAAAACTCATATAAGAATCGATATCTTGCGAGCAGCCCTCAAGACACAAAACCCCCGGCTTCCCCGCCAATACAAATCCCGTCAAAGCATACCCCGGCGCCAGATTAACCATATCATCCCGCTTTTTGCGGGTTGACAGAGACGGGAAGTAGAACCAGACGCGGACAATCGGTCCTCTATCTGTGTCCTCTGGAACCACGGCCTCGGACTGCTTGTGTTCAAGAAACCGACTGGCTTCTGCCTGTATGTACTCGAAGGCCTCGAGTGCGTCGTCGCCGGCTGGTATTGAGGCGGTGAGTCTGGCGACCTCGGCTCTGGACATCCACTCTGGTTGTCGGAGTGAGTAGCCCAATGGTGGGGAGTGGTCGGTTTCTGGGGTTTCACATTGGAGTGGCACGGAGATGTTGACTTGTATTGTCTTTTCTCCTTCTAAGATTGGGAGACTGACGGTGAGAGATAGAGTTGATGGGATTGTGGGTGGTGGGAAGCTTGGATCCTCGCACCAGCTGCGGAGTTTCTCGACGCATTGTGTTGTTGATTCGGGGATTTCTAGTTCGCCATCAGATGGGAACATTGCCGTCAGGAGGTCGATTGTGGACAATTGGGACTCCATGAGGTCCACTGGTAAGATGAATAATTCTTTGGCCATTTTGGATGTTATATGTGCAGAAGCCTGGAATCTCGGGGCATTGGCTTTGAGTCTATGCAGAGATACTTGTAGCTTTGAGTATGTGCAGAGCTACTTGCAGCTACTAGCCTTGAGTATGTGCTTGTTGGTTATGGCAATTGGCTTGTGCCTTGAGGCTTGGAGATATTGAAATGCGCTTGGAGAGGAATACGGAGGTCTGTAGTGTAGTTTGACTTTGGCATCTTACTGGTTCATGTCGCCCCACCAGACATAAATTCGGGATCTTTTGCTCCTATCTCGGAGTTGACTCGATTGAGGCACGCAACGTTGCTAAAGAGTCAAATCTCGATTCAAACTTCTCAGCATATCCTTGTCACTGTCAGGCCTTGTCCGGTTACCATACGAGACCTTTGAGATCCACCCCCAATTCATATGCCACATTATCTGTGCCTTTCGATTCAAGGCACGATCTATGTGATTGGGAATTAAGATCGTCTGGCAATTGGAGATAGAGTTCACGCTAAAGTCGCATGTTATTGACTACAGTCTACAGTCTACACACTAGTCCACCTTGGGGACTTGGGCTCTGGAATTTCTGCCTTGGAAAATAGGCCTCCTAAAGACATGAGTCATGTTCGAAGGTGAAACTGAGATGAAATGGATACTTGCAAGCTATGATACTGTGCTAGATTAGTACATATCCGTCGCACAGGTCTTTGTGTGTACGAGATCAATCACATGTATCATGGGCTAGTTTTTACTGTGTAGTTACCAAGTGCGTCTGCTTGATACTGTAGTTGAAGGCCGTACTGAGCCCTAAGTTCCATATAACAAGAATGGTATAGTAGAACAGTGATTGACAAGCATATTCTAACATAGGCCTAAACTTAAAGGTGAAACCCTAACTATGACTCCGTGCCTTTGGAATCATTGACAGTAAGTGCCCGCATAATTACTCCGTAGTAGATCGGCATTTGACTGATGCAACCTCCAGTCCCGATAAAAGTCCCCGCCACCCCACCAACTTTGCGTCCCGACATCTTGCACTCCTCACAACCACAATGGCTTCACGAACCTCTCCATTCAATTTGGCCACATGCGCCCGTCCTAACATCCTAGCACTGCAGCCCTACCGATGCGCCAGAGAGTACGCTGCCCTATCTAAAAGTTACCGGTACCGGCGAGCTAATGAGTCAGTGACTACAAAGACGATGGGACGAACGTCCTCCTCGACGCCAACGAGAACGCCTTCGGCCCTGGTCTTGCCCTAAACAGCGATGGCGCCTTGCAAAATTCTCAGACCGGCGATGCCACAGGGGCCTCCAAGCCGGAGATTGACTTCCTCGGCCTGAACCGTTACCCCGATCCGTGAGTGAGATGTTGACTGTCGCGCCCTCAATGGAGACCAATCTAACAATCACTGTGCCCGCCAGTCATCAGATCGAACTTAAGCAGCTCTTCTGCAACCTGCGCAACACCCACCACCACACCCAAAAGACTCTCCTCCCCGAGCACATGTTCTGCGGCGTCGGCTCAGACGAAGCCATCGACGCGCTCCTCCGCTGCTTCTGCGTCCCTGGTAAAGATAAGATCCTCACCTGTCCCCCAACCTACGGCATGTACAGCGTTAGTGCGCAGGTGAACGACATCGATATCGTCAAGGTACCCCTCGACGCCTCAAACGGGTTCCACCTGCAAGCCGATAAAGTCAACGAGGCCCTGGCCGCCGACCCCTCCATCAAACTCGCCTACATCTGCTCACCGGGCAACCCGACCGCAAACCTCATCCGCAAAGAGGACATCCGCAAGGTCCTCGAGCACCCAACCTGGAACGGCGTCGTAGTCGTCGACGAGGCCTATATCGACTTCGCGCCCGAGGGATCCAGTCTAGCCGAGTGGGTCACTGAATGGCCCAACCTAGTCGTCATGCAGACGCTCAGCAAGGCCTTCGGTTTGGCGGGTATCCGTCTGGGCGTTGCCTACGCGAGCCCGGAGATCGCACTTCTACTCAACAGTCTCAAAGCCCCATATAACATCTCCAGCCCGACCAGCGCACTCGCCTCTGCCGCGCTCACAGCGCCCAATATGGCCGTCATGCACAGCTACCGGTCGCAGATCATCGCGCAACGCGACCGTCTGCTCTCCGAGCTCCCCAAGATCCCCGGTGTAGGGAAGTTCCTTGGCGGCAGCGATGCGAATTTCCTATTGGTGCAAATGTTGGACACCGAGGATCGACCGAGTAATGTGATTGCGCTTGCGGCGTACGAGGCGATGGCGGAGAAGCGTGGCGTTGTGGTCCGATTCCGTGGTAAAGAACTCGGGTGCGAGGGCTGTCTCCGTATCACGGTCGGCACGGAGGCAGAAGTCACCAAATTCCTGCAGGAACTGCGGGTTGTGCTGGGCAGTCTGCGTTCTGGGGCTGGGATTCAATCGCTTCGGGACGAGGCGAAGCGGGAGGATGTGGCGGCTGCTGTGGTTGGATAAAAGTTGCGCGATTAATTAATTTGCTTTTTGATTCGTGGGATCATCATCGACAGATAACATTGTCACATTCGAAGTCCCCAGCTTTGGGGGCTAAATATGAGATAGAGGGAACGATACTAAGGGGATACCATATAACAACAGCATACAGCATACGGAGTACAGCATACATCCTGACTACTATGTACTATCACATGTTCTCCGTTGCACTTTCCAAGAGGGGATAGTAGAAGTCACTAGCTTATCAGCTTAATATTGCTACCGTGGTAACTATCCCAGATCCCAGGCTGTCTTCCCTGGTTAACATGTGCTCAACGTAACACAAAACTTACTCCGTATCTCGGGGCTTCCAACTCAATCTGGTAACACTCCACGTGTAGATGTATGCCCCTGGAGGTATAACTATCGTTATATCCTGGGAGTATACTGCGTACACAGTACTACAAGTACTGCGTACAGATTCATAGACCCGAGTCCTTCCTTGGCCAAGACCATCCCCCTCTAACTGGCGCCAACCCCCACAGAATCCTATTGGCACAGACAATCATCTCAAAGCTATTGTGGACTCTTAGTCTTGACCGTTCATTGTACGAAAAGTCTAAATTTCCCTCAACCCGCGCTCAGCGACTAAGACTCACCGCAATCTACCATCATGTCGATCCAGTCACCAAAATGAAGTCGTCGCTTAAATTAATTCGATGTGATATGATGCATGCTATAAGGGCAAATGACGAGTCTCTCTCGAGATTAGCGAGTCGAGTGTCACTGGTTTATACGAATAGACCGGGGCTTATCTGGTCATCCTTGAAATTGTGGCTATTTACTTCAGTAGCCTCCCATCCCCTCCCCCCGATATTCCTTCCCCTCTTATGGTTTGATCTGAAACCTACGTTATATCATCTTCTCCCTATATCTCCCGACTCTTATACATACATCTACCGGAGATCCCAGATCGTCCTTTACTTTAGTCTCAGCGATCAGCCCCATCGTCGTGACACTAAACAACTCTCCCCACACTTCCGCACGTGTGAGGAGCCATGTAAAGCTTTTCGTTAATCGCTTTCTGCGACTGGACTGCAGTTCTTCTTGATTTATATACCCTCTCTGTGAGGCATCATGGCCTCCGTGGCCATGTCGTTGGTCGCGCGTGGCATCTACCCGGACCCCGACAGCCTGCCAGCCCTGCAAACCAGAGATCAAATCAATCCGATCCTGATGATGAGCTGGTGGGCTACGATCTTCTCGCTGACTATCATCATCATCCGCCTGTGTGGTCGCTATATACGCGTTGAACGCTTCTTCCCCGAAGACAAGGTCATGATGATCAGCGTGTTTCCTCTATTGATCCGCATGGTACTGGTCCATTACGTTCTCATCTTGGGGACCAACAACACCACGACCGTCGGCTTGACAGAAAAGGAGATCCTGAACAAAGAGCTAGGCAGTAAGCTGGTACTTGCTGCGCGGATCTTCTACGCCATCTTGTAAGAACCACACACACCCAATACACTCTTACATCCTCCCATCTAGTTCAAAAGTAAACTGATTCAACCACAGCATCTGGACAGCCAAAGTAACGGTCTGTGAATTCCTCAAACGAGTCACAAGCCTAAGCTGGCGCCGCTCAACAACCATCTTCCTCCGCTTCATCTCCTTCTTCCTCTTCTCAACCCTAGTAGCGGTCGTCATCGCAACCCTAGCCGAATGTCAACCCTTCCACCACTACTGGCAGGTAACCCCAGACCCCGGCGCCGCCTGCCGAGTCGGCTACGTGAACCTAATAACGATGGGCACCTGCGACGTGATAACAGACCTCCTCCTCGTCGCCTTCCCAGTACCCATCATGCTCCTAACGCAAATGTCTCTAAAACGCCGCCTCGCCCTCTCAGCCCTCTTCTGCCTCTCCCTCCTCCTAGTCGGCATAACCTCCTACCGCGTCCCCTCAGTAATAGAACACAAAGGCTCGCAACCCTATCGCTCCCTCCTCGCCTCGCTCGAAATCCTCGCCGCAACAGCCGTCTCCAACGTCCTCGTCATAGGCTCCTTCGTCCGCGACCGCGGCCTCAAAAAACTAAAATACAAACGCACACACGGCTCAGCCTCCGTCTCAGAAAGCATGGATAAATCCTTTGAGCGCAGAAACACTGTAATGCAGAACCAATGGGGCTCGGACTCGGAATTGGCTGACGGTCTATGTATCCGTCTCAACCCGGAAATATACCCACCAACAAATCCCCAAACCAACGATGCAACCCATCTCCAGATATCAGCATCCGTCCCGTCTCCCCCGCAAATGCCTCTCGCAGTCGCCAGAACAGGAACTCTCGATCCATCATGGTCGTTCTCGACCCACTCAGACGACCGCCGCACCTCCGCCGCTGATAGTCTAGACATCAAAGTCTCACCGCGAGAGTATCTCCGCACAAATCAGTCCCCGCGTGACCTACCGCCGCCACCGGAGACGCCGCGCCGCGTGTCGTTTTCGGATGTTGGTGGGCTGTTGACTAGGGACTTGTCGGAGGGCGCAAGGCCGGGTCATGTACGCGCCCAGACGACTCTGTCTTCGCCTGTAGAGGCGGAGACGGCGCAGCAGCGTGATAGAGGGGGTAGGGCTTTTTTGGAGGATATGGGGATTGTTGCGGCAAGGCCTGTGAGGTTGCCGTTGCCGGCTGTTGGGTTGACGCGGACGCATTCGACGCCTTCTTGCCATTCTTCGGATGTGACGCTTGATGCTGAGATTGAGTTGCAGGATGTTGGGGGACTGTTGTCGAGGCATGGGACTGCTCAGCCCTGATGTGATGTGATTATGAAGGCATGATTTGATGACTTTAATCTTCGATTTTGACCTCTTTTTGGGATATTTGGTTGGATGGCGTTTTTCTGTTCCTTTCGGTTTGTTGTCTAATATGCCCTATCCTGTACCTTCACTACTTCCTGTTTCATGTTCTATTCCCCCTCATGCGTTATTAGCGATGGCGTTGGATGTGTCGTCTCCCGGGGAATCTTGGATACTTCCAATGGGCTTGGGCGTGGCTGACACTCCTTCTTTTTGAACCTGACTTGTTAATAGTGTACCTTTACTAATCTGCATTCTCTACATACATATACGACGAGAGACGAGTGTGAAGTGAGCTTTTCAATTTGGTTCAATTACCTACATGGAGGTATACCCATCACATGATGTAGCATAGCCCTGAAAGCGTAGACTACTCCTCCGTACACTGTCCAACGTAAGGGAACTGTTGGCTATAGCCATGATCTACCTCGTCTAATCAGACCTTACTCGAGATGACAGCCATTGATACATGAATTGAATTCGTCTAGACACGACCCTGGAAGAAATGGCCATTATGTAAATCAGAGAAGACCCCCATCGCAACCTCCCAAAGGGAAAACTTTGCGCCCGTACGCCATGCTGTCCATAATACAAGGGGGAGACAGAACTTTTTTTGGTTTTGTAGCTGGATCAGTCAGGAAAAAGCAATAAACTCCCATATGTCCACTCCTGCCTGGTATCTGCTGCTCTTTCTCGACTGCCAACTTCTCCTGCGGTGGAGCTCGGAGATGGGACAGATCGGAGACAGTAAGTGGACTGAATGCGATCCGAGTTTGCAAGGTGGATTGCGACGCAAACCCGGGTGTAATGGGCAAACACCCATACCGGAAAGAAAAAAGCCAATGGAGACGCCTGCTATCAGCCCATGCTGCCGCATCGCACATTGACATTGCATTCCATTCCCTTTTGTCTGCCACCTTTCCAGATTAGATGACCCAGCGGTAACTGGCATAGCGACCCGCAGTCTCAGACTTGCGGATGATCTTAACAACCTGGCCACGGCGCAGACCGAGGTAGCGAGCAACAGAATCGGAAATCTGAATACGCGGCAGCTGCGACTCCTTCAAACGGTAGCGCTCGAGAAGCTTGCCCTTCTCCTCCGGGCTAAGCAGAACGTGCTTGGGGACAAGCTCATGACGGGTGATGTTGACGAGCAGATCCTGTTCTTGGAAGTGCTCACAGATTCGGCCTGGCAGAGTAGACAAAAGACGGACAGCGGAAGGCGAGATAGGTGTTTGCGTGATGAAGATACCCGTGTGGAAGTTGTTCTCGTCGACAAGGTGGTTGAAGGCGCGGATTTGTTTGGTTCCGACACCTGAGGCGTCAGGGCAAAAGTCGACATAGATGGTGCCACAGTCGGGCTGGGGGTTCGGGTTTGCCTTGCTGGGCAATGGTGTGTATTTCATCTTCATGGTCTCGGTGGGGCGGGCTTGGATTTTCATCTTGGTGCGACTGTTGTTGCGGAAGAGTTTGTTAGCGATGTGGACTCGTTTCGAGCTCCTCGACATTGCTCAGAGCAAACCAGACAGTAGAGCCAGGTGATTTGCATACTCAGGATATCCCAGAGGATCGGCATATTTTGCGCGGAACTCGTCAAGTGGCAGTGCCAGCTCGTGGTCGGACACCTCGTAGCCCTGTTGCATCGCGTACGGTTAGCATCGATGACAGACCATTACGCGATAGATCCTGAGGAGTCAGGGACTCGATCTGGAGTGCCTACCCGGTCCGCAAGCAATTCGTAGACTGTTCTGAAAGTGCGCCAGAGCCGAGTCATCTCGCGCTCGGCCTCCATGGAGTATGCCGATTCTCCGTCCATTATGAAATAAGGTATAGGTAAATTCTCTGTGAGAGAGGAGAATCGTGTGGAGGAGATCGCGGAGGAAAAAGCGGGTAGTGAGAGCTCCGATGTAGAGATGAAGGTGAAGTCGAAAAATCGGCGGGAACTTTCTGCCAGCAACGCTTAAGCGGAGAATCAGACCGAACCAATTTAATTAACGTTAGTGATTCTCCAAGTTCCCCTTAGTGTCACGTTGGTCTTTCTCACGTTGGTCTATTTGAATACTTTCAAGACCTCTCAGAAGGTCTTTCTTCTCTTCTTTTAATTCCTCGCCTTCGTCATTCAATTCGTCCCAATGGCTGTCACTGACGCCGAGCCCCGGGTCAAGCCCACCAAGCCTGATGAGGCCGCCTACAAGGCCAGTCTCGCCGAAGCTGAGAAGGCGCACACTGCTGTTCAAGAGAAATTGGTACGGATACACCTTTCTTGTATAGTTACTGGACATTCATCTCATCTAGGATGTCTGGGTTGCGACGATGATCCCGACCCACTCTGATTGTCCATTATATTTACTTGTCCTCGAGCCCATGACTGACATGCGCAACAGAACCAAATCAAGGAAAAATTGGACAACGCAAAGCCCAACAACCAGGACTCCCCCATCGTCAAGAGGCAGCAGGAACTCCGGGCCGAACTCTCGTCAATCCGCCAAAAGCAATCCGGTTTCAAGTCCAGCCGGTCCTCGGTTCAAGAGAAGATCAACGCCCTGGATGCGAATCTCAAGTCTCGCATTACCGAGCTGAACAACTCTCGCAGCCGCCTGTCATTCAAGAACGTCGAGGAGATCGACAAGGAGATTGCCCGCCTCGAGAAGCAAGTCGACTCCGGCACCCTCCGCCTGGTTGATGAGCGCAAGGCTTTGACCGAGGTTTCCAACCTGCGCAAACAGCGCAAGAGCTTTGCTGGCCTTGAGGAGTCCGAGAAGGGCATCAAAGATATCAAGGCCCAGATCGCTGAGCTGCGGAAGAGCCTTGACAATCCCGAAGCCAAGGCCTTGAGCGACAAGTACGCCGAAATCCAGAAGGAGCTCGATGCCATCAAGGCCGAGCAGGACAGCGTTTTCAAGAACCTGAACGCCCTTCGCGACGAGCGCACAAAGCTGCACAACGACCGGCAGGAGAAGTTCGCTGCCATCCGCAGCATCAAGGATGCCTACTACAAGGCCCGCCGTGCTTACAAGGAGTACGAGGACGAGGCATGGCGTGTGCGCCGTGAGCGCCAGAAGGCTGAGCAAGAGGCTTATGCCCGTGAGAAGCGCAAGAAGGTCGCCGACAAGAAGCTGGAGGAGGCTTCGCAGCTTGCCTACGCCGATGAGATCCTGACCGCCCAGGGTCTGATCCGTCACTTCGATCCCGCTTATGACTTCTCTGCTCTTGGTTTGGATGAGAAGAAGGAGGAAGGCAGCAAGTTCCGTGCCGGAGTTGGCCGCACCGTTGAATCTGCTGAGATTAAGGGAATGAAGGTCGTGCGGAAGGACGACGAGGAGGACTACTTCGTCGGTACCGCTGGCAAGAAGGGCAAGAAGGGCGGTAAGAAGGGCGGTGCTGTCGCTGCGGACAGCACCAAGTTCAACATGAACGTTGGTATTATTGAGGACTTCGCCAAGGTCAAGATCGACCCTCCTATGAACCAGTCGGATGTCCCCGCTGCTGTGGAGAAGCTGGCCGCCAAAATCACTGAATGGAAGAAGGACCAGGCCAGCAAGACCGCAGAGGTATGTTCTATTCATTAACCCCAACTTTGATCATGTGCTCATCACCCCGCAGAACATCAAGAAGGCCCAAGAGGAAATCAGCCGCCTCGAAGAGGAAGAAGTAAAGGCTTCTCAGACCAACGGCCGGGCCACCGACGCCGCCAAGAAGCCCGCCAAAGAAAATATCGCTCCTTCAGCAGAGGCCGAGCAGGCCCAGGAGCAAGATGCCGTCGCCGACGTCGCCGAGGAGCTGAAGGCGGCCGCGATCGAGGAGACCGCATAGTCGCATCGCCCACACATGCCAATACGTCCGCATATGAAGTCTAGCGTTTGTCTAGCATTCTTTAGGGTAACCTTTTTTTTTTGCTTATATTATTTATTTGAGCACTTGCATATGCATTGTATCTAGGTTCATGAATGGACTACTCGAGTGATCGAAGTCATATAACTATTCCTCAAAGCACGGAGTACTGTGTACGTAGTCAATCACGATGCCTGGAGATCAACACCTCGGGAGGCCGCGTAAAATCTTGGAACCTTGTGAATGGTTGACTAAGCCCGCAACTGCGCCACTTCACGACTACGAATGCTTCATCTTCTCCCCTCTCGGATCACCGGCGCAATCTTCTTCTCTCGTTACAATTCAGCAGTACACCGAGTTCGAAATATCTGCTCAACTCTTCAATAGACACCACATCCACAGAGACAGCCGTGCAATCTCCCACTCTCAGCCCTACGGATAACACCACCCGCCGAACTCCACCTCCAAAACCCGCCATGTCTTATAACAAGCCCGTAAGCTACAACCACCTCAATCGCAAAACTCACACAAATACTAATCTACCCTAGACAAGCCCACCCCCCTCATACCCCCCGCCCGTCCACGACGCCGGCCCCTATTACTCAAATTCACCAGCACCACAAGGCGGCCCAAGCCCCGGAGCCGCACAGGATTACTACGGCGGCGGCGGCCCGCCGCAGCAGGGAGGATACTATCCCCAGCAAGGGTATGGCCCACCGCAGCAGCAGGGCTATTACCCGCAAGGCCAGCCGATGTATTACCCGCCACAACAACAGGGCTATCCTGCCCAGCAGGGATACTATGCCAATGATCGCGGGAACTCGGGCGGCGCGGCTGGTGGGCTTTGTGCGGGTATCATGGCTGCGCTGGCTTGTTGCTGCTGCTTGGATATTCTGTTTTAAAGATGTCTTGGTTTTGGAATGTGTGATGCGACTGTGACTTGGCACTTTGCTTTTGACGGCTTGCATGCGCGATGCTCTTGAGAATTTCGAATAGAGGCGGGCGCTTGCCTGGGATGTGAATTGGTCTTGGGAATTGGTGCTTTGGGGGTGATGACTTTCTTTTTTTCTTGTTGAGTATATATCCTTGACTCTTGTCAGTTCTGCCGGCGCAATACGGGGAGTTTGGGTTGGGCTTCATATTGTACTACACTCTTTTCTTACGTTGTCACTCCTACTCCTAATTGAAATGATATCAGTTGTCAAGAGGTGCGAACTTGAAACTATTGTCTGCAGAAGAGAATATCAATCAAACATTTTATATGCGCTCAATACAAATCCATCAAAATCATCAATCCATAGAAACTCATAAAAACATCAAGGGTATCGCAGCATCCAAACATCCCGAATCACCGCTGAGAACTATAATCACTCCCACCCCCATAAGCCAACGGATCAATACTCCTAACCCCACCACTTCTCCTCGACCTAGACCTCCTCGACGGCCTCGGCGAAAGATCAGAGGGTATAGTCGACTCATCCTCCTCAACCTCAATAACATCCCCCTCCCCCGTCGTCGAAGTAACGAGGGACTCCTCAACAATAACACGATCCCTTCTCGACGAAGGCTGTCTCCGATAACTATCCCGGAACGTCTCCCTCTCCTCGAGAACATCAATATGATCACGGCGTCGCCGTCCAGATCGTCCGCTGATACCTTCCTCCTCATCCATCATCGACGTCGATAGAGACGAGGCTGTGCCTGTTGCGACTGTGCCTGACCCGCCGCGCTTGATGCCGCCGGGGTTCAGGGCGAGGAAAAGGATGTACATCAACAGGCAGAAGCCGGCCACGCTGCCTAGCACGATGCCGATTACGGTGCCGGCTGGTGGGGATGTGTTGAGGCGGCCGTAGGTTGAGGGGATGGAGATTGTTGTGTAGCGTTTTTGGTGGGTGGTGTCGGTGTGGAGGAGATGGGTGTTGAGATTTGGGGAGGGGAGGTCCATTGCTTCGAGGTGGTTTGACATTTTTTTTTTTTTCTTCTTTCGCCTTCCTTCTTTCTCCTCTGGCTTAGTTGTTGGTAGAGGGGTCTGAATGTCGAGTGGAATTGCGATTCGAGCGAGAGTGACTCGGACTCGGAGTCAGCTTGCGGGGTGGAATGCGCTTGTGTAATTTGATGACATGCGCGCGGCTAACCAGAGGCGATGGGATAGGGATACTCTGTATGGAGTAGACTGTCCGTAGTACAGAGTAGACATAAGAGTAGACTAGAAATGATGTTTGGATTAAGAATTAGAGCGACGCTCAGAGGAGGCTGGGGGTGGCTGGGGACTGTGGAGAAGTGGAGTAAACAATCTACTTTGATACTTCTATCTCTCTCTCATACTTGTACGGAGTAGACTTCAACTACCTGCTAACCACCTCTAATAAGCCCCTGTGCGCTTCTTATACTTGGGCTGCTCCACCGACTTAACCTCCCCAAGCGCAGTCAACACCGGAGTAGTATAAGCCAACTCCAGATCCTCCAACTTCGCACCCTCCTCCAACGCCCACAAGCTCAAAGCCAAGTAATTAGTCCCCCGATAATTGAGAATCCCCTCAGGGACCGGGAAGCTCGTCTGGGGCCCAACATTGTTCACATACTTACCGTACTGATAGCCATTAACATAAAGCTGAGCCCGATAAGCCGCCGGCGGCGCGGTACTGTTCCCAAAATTGAAGAACAACGGCACATCCCAGCCCTTCTCGATATCCAAGTCAAAGCTGGCAGTGTAGAACTTGATACCAGGCGCCGACAGACCGTCAAACGGACTCTCAGACTTCCAGTCCTGCGTAGGCGCCTGCGGCTGGTGGAAGCCCTGACGCTCGGCGTAGAGGCCGCCCTCGTTGAGCGGACCGCGCACTTTGTCCTGGTAGTCCTCGCCGCCGAGGTTTCCGGTCAGTTTCCAAGTGACGGCGGTTGCGTCGCGGCCGGAGAGGGTGTAGTCCAGGATACCGCGGGGGTTCTTGGCGCCTTCTTGGCCGACGGTCCAGTTTTCGTCGAGGCCCATGTTGTCCACCACTACGGTCAGGATGTAGGTTTTGTCCTTTTCCAGGTCTGGGAGGGTGTAAATTGCAGTGTGGTCGGCGCTTGTGGAGACCCCGTCCCAGGATCCGATATGTTGCTCGTTTAGCCAGACGGAGCTGCCGAAGGCGCTGCCGCCTTGGGTTTGCAGGGAGATGGTCTTCTCGTCGCCGGTTGCGGTGAAGCGGCCTCGGTATAGGAGGGTTCCGGTGTGGAAGCCGTAGTCGGAGGAGAGGAGGGAGTTTGGGGTCTTGAGTTCGAAGGCGCTGTTCTTTGTGAAGGGTTGGTCGGCGGATACCCATGCGGAATCATCGTATGAGCTTTGGATCTCCGGGAGGGTGTCGATGGACTTCCACTTCAGGTCCTTCAGAGTCGGGAGCTGGACTTTCGGTGCGGTGTAAGAGACGCTGCTGGACCAGATTCCGTTCTTGTCGACCTTGACGGGCGCCTTCTTGCCGTTGATGACCAGGTTCTTGGCCTTGGGAGGGGCGCCAATCACCTCGATCGGGGTAGTGGCGTTGAAGTCAGCTGTGAGATGAAGGTCGCTGCCCTCCAGAGAAGCTGTGCGGACAAGGTAGCCGGCCTTGACGATGAGGGATGACTCCGCGGCTTTGTACGAGCTGTACCCAGGGTTTGTGCCCTTAGTTGCGACCTGGGGGGTCCAGTAGTTGTACGCAGAGTTGCGGTCTGTAATCTGGTCAGTCGTGTAATGGGTAGAACTTGTTTGAGATTCACCCACCCAATAGAATAATTTTCAGGTCGTCAACTTGCACGATACGGCGAGTGGTTGAGACATCCCAGCCGATGACAATCGCCTTTCCAATCTGCTTCGTAGTAATGCTTGACGATGTTCCTTCAATGACAGAAGCCTTCGACTTGGAAGAGACAGCCAATTCGTGGTGCTCCCCTGGGCCGCCATACAAGACGAGAGTCTTCGAGTTATCAGACTTCGTCCAGGTGAACACCTCAGCGGATGAGTAAAGGATGTTAGTACCCGCAACATCATAGTCCACGACGTGAATCTTTGAATCACGGCCACTGAGAGTCAGGCTCCCGCCAAGCTGGGGGATTGTCACTTCACCGGCACTAGTAGGAACCTTGAGCTTATAGTCGACAGACGCCTGGCTCGAGTAGTCGGAGTGTCGGACGACGAAGAAGGAAGAAGCAGTATCTTTGTTTCCGAGCAGAGGAGTCACAGCCAAGTCGGACGAGGTTGTGTACTTGGAAGTGGTCAAGTTGCCTGGCGTTGTGAGAAGATAGGCTGGGGATACTCTGGCAAAGTTCCCAATCAGCTTCAGCTCGCTGTACTTCTCGCGGGTGACATTGCGTGATTCGGTGATTACGGAGCCGTAGTCGTAGGATGTATAACCACCGGGGTGGCCCAGGTTGCCCCAGTTGGTACCACCGAAGATCTACATATGTCAGATTCCAATTACTGAGCTTCGGCTGAAGAGTCAGAACCTACCATGTAGAGATTGAGGAATGCAGCCCGGAAGCTGAGGTTGTTCTTGTAGAATACTCTCTCGAACTCATGGTTCAGGAGGGCAGCACACTTCGGGAAGCCCACACCTCCCCAGGGGTCAAAGGCACCGCCTTGGAACTAGATTTCAGTCAGTATGTGACGGGTCCCGATTCAGTAGAGAGTATCTTACCTCAACTAGAGAGAACGGGGTGGATGGACTCTGCGCCATATGGAGAGACCAGAAATTAGTGGGCAGGCCATTCTCTGGCCAAGTCGACGGATTCGCACAGTCAAAGCCAAGAGGATAGTTATCATGACCGTAGATATCCACGGCGCCCTCACCAGTTCCAGGAGCATTGTGTCCACCAGGAGAGGCATCGTTGCTAATGAAAGGCACCACGATTCCAGCATTGCGGGCCTGGTCCTCGACATATTGCATATACGCTCCGTCTGGGAAGTTGTCGACTCCACAGCATGCGCCACTGTATTCGTTCTCAGGCTGGTAAAGAATGATAGGTCCTCCGTTCGTGATCTGGCCCTTGGCGACGGTTGCGGCAACGTTGGCGACATAGCTAGTCGACATGTTAGTATGTCTGATGACGATGTTTCCATCGCACCTTAAAGGGTGATAACATACTTATCTGTCGCCTTGAGGAATGCTTCATCACTCGTTCGCAGGGTTCCGTTCACGCGCTGGATCCATCCCGGGAAACCACCACCCGATACTTCGGCATTGATGTATGGACCAGGGCGGGCGAGTAGATAGATCCCAGCCTCTTGGGCGGCATCGAAGAACGGCTCTAGGTCAAAGATGCCTTCGGCGGTGTATTCGCCCGGCTTTCCTTCCAGCAGAGCCCAATCGATATAGAAAGAGACGCAGTTGAATCCTAGGGCCTTGACTTTCTGGAAGATATCAATCCACAAAGATGGGACAGGCAGACTGCAGACTTTGAATCAGCATCTGTATTTCCAAGAAACAAAGCGTATCAGAGGCCCTTCGACATACCGATACGGGTGCACCTCGCCACTAAAGAGCATAATTCTCTCCCCATTGACAAAAAGAGACTTATCATCCCAAGTAATCTAGACACAAGCCCGTTAGCACAACCCCAACACTAGAATCAACCCCCAACATACAATTTTCTGAAGCAATTCCCGCTTAACAGGATCCGGATGCTCAGTAATGGTTAAACCATTCAATGAATGGCTAATGGCTGCACCAGCAGCCTGGGCCGCCAGACAGGCAATGGCCCATGTAGACGAGAGCTTCATGGCTCAAGGATTCAGGGTGTGAGGAGCAAGGAGAGCGAAGCACAACCTCAAAGAAGTCTCCATTTACAATGCAGGGGTTGCAGCTGCCATTCATATAGCGAGACTCGGGATATCGTCGACCGACACGGATCAATACCCGGGATCTTTCCAATGTCAATATGCTGTATGCAATTGGCATATACTACTGTAGCAATGACTCGTGCGCTTCCAATCTTCCAGACCTTTCGTCATTTCCCCACATCGGTAAATTGAGGGGTGGTCCGGGCCCTGGGATGCAGGAGACTTGTGCATCGGATACATGCCAGAGGTGATAACGGTGTGTCACCGTGTGTGTGTTTGCGGCCATTGTGGTTCTGCGTTGTGGTTGAAAAGTTGATTTGTATGTTCGAAGCAAAAAGAGAAAGACTTTGGCTCTGATTGTTATGTTAGCATTCATCGAGACACATCTAACGAATTCCGAGGTAGAGCAATCTTGGACTGTCCATGTCATCATGGCCGCAAGCCTCCACTGCCCCTCACAGGGTGACCAGGCCGGAGATCCCAGCTCCACTGGTTTGAAGTTGCGGGGACAAGCGCATTTTTCCACATATCGCATAGGAGCAGGAGATTTGTTCGATTTTGATGGCGTGTTGGTGTCGATCATTTCCCTTGGTCTGACCTACTGTGTATACACAGTACAGCCACAATGTTTACCGCAGAGTAGCCATAGCACAGCAAGCCCCCATTCGCACGGTTCTCGGCCTCGCTCTATGCAAGTCAAGCATCATGCCAACAAGGGCCAAGGCCAATGGCGCCATTACAATAGTTTTCATCTTTCCTCTTAAGCAATTCTCCTGCGGGGAAGCTATGGTTGTGAGTTTAGCCGGCAATCAGCTCCGATGTAACTCCGGAGAATGGGACTGCAGATCGCTCGGGGGGAAACTGAAGAAAAGTAAAGTCAAGCAATAATAATAATTGGGCTTTTAGTACAAAAATCATCTCTAGATACAATAGTACAACGATCCACCGTCTAAACGGTGGTGTTGAATCGGTCCTCTTCATCGCCATCCTTGGTGTAAGTCTCACGATCGTCCACGACCTCCTGCGCTACCTGTCCAAGCTCGGCGTTCTCCTCCTTCATTGCGACGTCCTCGGCATCAGCAGTCGGCTCGGCCAAGTCGCCCTGCTTCTGTGTGGTGTTGATGAGGGGTGTGGAATCGTTGAAGATACGTAGCAGCATGGCGCGGCGCTCTTCCTTGGGGAGCATGAGGTTGAGGGAATGGAGGGATCGCCAGAGCGGTAGAACCATCCGCTCGCTGTTGGATATATTAGCAATAGAAACATTAAGAAAATGGAAGAACAAAAAACTCACTTGAGACCATCCTCTCCACCGAGTGCTTCAACGCGGAGGATACTGCAGCCCATGGGGATGTCCTTGACACGCTCGCCGATCTCGCCAAGAGCCTTCCAGCCATCGTCGTTGACCTTAGGGAACATCTCCACAAGAAGACGGCGAAGGGTCTCCCGCTTGGTCAGGATGACGGACCGCTCGGGGCCCAGCCACGGCTCGGCAATCTTCAGGCCGTCGGTTTGAATACGCCATCTGCAGATGTTCTCGCGTTGTGCGTCCTGCTTGACGAACATCTTCACACCGCAGTGGACGAACTTCATTCCTTGGCCTTCGTTGCAAACAAGGATGTCGCGTGCTAGCGCACTGGTGTAGTAAACGGTGCGGGTGGGCAGACCTTCCGCATTGCGAACCATGAAGCGATCACGGGGGAATCGCTCGGACAGATTGTAGAAAGCGAAGATGGGACCAAGCTCCTCGTGGTTGGGATCAAGGTACTTGAAGGGCTCCTCTTGACGAGGGCCCCTCTTCTTGAACTGTGTAGGAGCCGAGGACGTAGCAGGTGTGCTGTCGCCAGGTGTATCGAGGCCAGTTCCTACGGCAGGTGCTGGGACGTGCACAGGTCGGTCACCGATAAGGACCTCGCTACCATCGTCGAGCTTGGTCCGTTTGGCAGGAAGCTCTTCTTCGAGGTCATCCGCATCTCGCTTGGCAGGTGTCGAGGCATCGAGCGTAGCAGAATAAGGGAGTGAGTGAGAGGCCTCGGCGACAGTGGCGTTCTTTGCCATCTCCGTCTGAGCCTCCTCGTCGGGGGTGACAAGCTCATCCAGAGTGTCAAGCTTCTCCAGAAGGGGCCCCTCTGCGCCATCTTTCTTAGCATCAAGCTCCGCGGCAAGGGCTGCAACAGAAGCCTTGGGAATCACGTTGCTGCTCTCCGGCTTGGCCTTGATCTCGGAGGTCTTCTCAAGCACAGTGATGAAGAAACCACCAGTATCCTGCTGGTGGGGGTAAACACGCATGCATCGCTCAAGTGGCAGTTCGGCACACTCGCCAGTCGGAGCAAACATGCCCTCTGCAAGTCTGGCAAGGCCGTTGATGCCTTCTTGGTCTCGGTGCTGCTCAATTTCCTGCCAGTTGTTCCATAAGCGGCCTTCGCGGTCCATGACCTTCCAGCTCTTTAAGCCAGGGGATCTCTTGAGGCCGGGCAACTCCTGGCTGCAGTCGATGATCTTGACATTGGCGGCACCACCGCAACGCTCAATGGCAGAGGCAATGACAGCCTCGTTCTCCACGGGGTTGAGACTGCAGGTTGAGTAGACAACGCGTCCGCCAACCTTGAGCATCTGCAAGGCGCGGACCAGAATGCGTGCCTGCGTGCTGTAAAGTCCGATAGCATTGCCAGGGGTCCAGTCTTTCCAGACACCAACGTTCTTCCGTGCGGTACCATCGCCTGAGCAAGGGACGTCTGCAAGAATGCGGTCAAACTTCAAGTATCTGTTCTGGGGCTTGCTGCCATCTGTAGTAGGCAGAGGAGGTAGTCTGATGGAGGGGAACATTGTGGCATCGTGATTGGTGACAATCAAATTAGGCGAGCTGAGGCGCTTCATCTGGTGGATAAGCATGTGGGCACGCTTGTAATCGCTGTCGTTGGCAATCAGGAGGCCAGTGCTTCGGCCGTCGTCATTCAATCCTTCAGGGCCGAGGGGCTCGGGTCCAACAGGACCGTTCTTGATTTGTTCCGTGACCTGCGCAATAGCGTCTTCTTCGCCTGCGTGGAGCAATTCCATGAGCTGCGCAGACTTGCTGCCCGGTGCGGCGCACATATCCAACACAGTCATTCCAGGCCGGGCATCAATGAGGAGAGGAGGAATCATGCTGACAACCTCCTGGCGACTAATGTTTCCAACGTCGGTCTCTGCAACAAGGAATTTCTGGAACGAGGCAAAGGGCGCAAATCGACGGATGACATTTTTAGGGGTGGTCATAGACCAAGCGAGCTGATCAGGGTACCAGGTGACAGGGCGCGGCGGCTCGACGAATTCGTCCTCGTACTTGATAGATGTGATTTCGGGAATGTGGTGGTCCTTGAGGCGCTGCTGAACAGCCAGCGCATGTCTATTGGAAGTCATAGAATAGTCAGTACTGTTTATCAAATTTGGAGGCGCCAATCGCAAAGAAAGGACACAGATGCGACATACCCTCGAGACCCAGTAAAGCGGAAACTGTTGGGGAGATCTCTGCGCATTGTTGCCCAGAAGAGCTCCCGTTCCTCCTCCGGAAGAATATCAAGTTCATTGTAATAGCGTTCAAACTTCTCGTTCTCTCTGGTCAAATCTTGCCACATAGAGCGCGTACGGCCAGCACCACCGCCGCCGCGGCCTTTACCACCCTAGGAGAGGAACACAGTCAGCACAACGAACAATTGAATTCGCACATGTGGAAAATTGAAGAACCTTTTTGCCTCCTCGTTTTCCCATTGTGATGAATTGGTATGTTCTAAAGGAAAGTGAGCTCAAACAAAATCGCCTTCAAAAAATCTCCGGATCAAATGCGGGATGGTTATGTAATCACGGGATCGACGTCGGAATTGATACAGGCACCACACGTTTGACTAGTTCACTTTCCTCTAAAACATACGATCATGGGGGAATCGCTCAGACAGATTGACATTGTCATATTGTAGAAAGCGAAGATGGGACCAAGCTCCTCGTGGTTGAGATCAAGGTACTTTATCAATTCCCATCGACTCTGCCCTAGCTGCTAGCAGGTGGACAGAGTCGAAACATGACCCTCATATCTATGACCGGGAACCCTTGGAGAAACGGTTGAGCCTCGGGGAAGTGCCTGAAGTCTGGATGGAGGGTGAGTGCTCTGATCATATCACACAGTCCAGGGGGTACGACCGTGAAATTATGTTCGATATATCTATACTCCAGGCATTTGATGGCGATATCCGAGAGCCATCTCTCAGTACGGGAGGCGAATAGTGTGGTGCCAACCGATTCAAAGAAAGATATTCCAGCCCGGTCTGTGTCCTCGGTGGGGTTCGTGTCCATCCAGAGGGCTTTATACCTTTCGATCAATGAATCGTCAAAAGGATTGACCAGCATCGCTGGCTCTTCGCCCCCGCCAAAGAGGCCCCGCGTACGGGATTGCTCATTGGTAGCCCGAATCGGGATGGTGCAAAGTGAAACGATGCATGAATTCAGCGACATAAACTCATCCCATATGAGCATTCGCGGGACCGATGGCTGACGGAACGGGAGAAAAGGATGGAGCACATCTGCACTAAAAGATACCGTCAATCCCAGGGAGGGAGCCATCTCCAAGTTGATTAGGCGCTCTTGATATTCTTGTGTCGCTTGGTTGCTTTCTTCTGGGAAATCCTTGGGGTTGTTGAAGTGGATTATCTCGGTGCTTTTCCAGCACCACCGAGGGTCAAGATTATCCGATTCGACGGGAATTCCTGCGGAATTGACCTTGGCCAAAGCTATTTTGCGGGTTTCTTGACAGACATGAGCCATTGTGGGATACTTGCGATTGAGCACCCAGGATTTCCTAAGGTCTTCGGGTAGTGTGTCTGGGTCAAATGGTTCCGCAACCTCGACTATACGCGGTGGAACCATGTACTTCCAGATCATTAGCTTCAACTCGTTTGGCAGCTCTGCGCATCGCTTGAGGTCCGCCATGATGGTTTGAATGCTAATATGTCAGCGTCGGTGTTGGCTATAACACGCCAATCGCAAATTTATGTGGTATAAGACCCCCAAGTGGTCTATTTGGACCACTTACATTGATAAAAAGAGTTCAACGGATTGAGTCAAGTGCGTAGATAGGGCTTGAAGTCCCAAGATAATGATCGGGGATATGAATTTGATGATTATGGTCGTGGAAATATGAGATCACGTGGAAATACGTGATTAATGCCGTGGAGATAGGTGAAGCGAAAGTTGACTGAGATGATCAGACAAGTAAAGGGTGAGGAAAGTGCGTGTTGTTTACAAAGGAGCGTGTTCGGAATAAAAGGACGTGTTGGGAAGAAAAGACCGTGCTGATTAGGAAAGGACGTGCAAATTAGGAAACTGTAGTAGAAAGAGGCCTGGACTACAACACAAGTCAAGCACAACCGACGGCAACAGCAATGTGACAGCTAGTAACGGCAATAGCCTTTTTCCCTTGGATTATGTACCGACTACTATAACATACGAACACGCACCTGAACTCGGCACCCACGCCAGGGTATTGGAGAGTGTATGTGCTCGCTAGCCTCTCCCTCTTTATGAACCAACTGCTCTCCCTGTATAGGCCTTTTCGCAAGAACTAGCGCACGGAGGAGCTCTTCTGGCTCGGCTGAAGCTGCATGGCCCTCATTCGGGTTTGATGCCAATACTATGTCACATTCGGTGCTTGCTTTGGTCGTCCAACTGTGAGGATGAGCATACCGTTGCCTGCAATCCTGATACAACCCCTGAGGAAGCACAGCTACGAATTAAGAAGCAGTCATCCCCTTTGCTCGCCTTCTGCTTTCTTCGATTTTTGTGAACCTAACCGAATGTGACTTCATAGTTTCACTTACCAAGATGCCGGCTTTCCGACTTGGGGTAAGAAGAAAGTCTACAAGTGGATACTCCCAACTGGACAGAGGATTTTTGTTGATACTTGATTCAGAAAGATACTGTACACATGTCCTGATCACTTTTGGTATGTAGTTAATACTTACAGGTCCACGCTTAAAGTGTTACTGGGGTGATTATCTCTCGCCGGGCCGCAGGCCTGGAGTTTGGGTCTTGTAAGAAGCCAAAGGTCATTGAAACAGAAGTAACAGACAAAGGAAATAATTGGCGTTTGTTGCAAAAGCAACAAACTATATAGTCTACTATGGCAAACCATTAATTGCTATTTCACACACGAATTTGGGATCTAACAGCCCAAGGCAATGATTGATAGTACATTCAAATCAAAAGCCGCCAAACAGCCTGGTTTTCCCAAAGCATTCAGCAGCTATCTTCACACGCGATCATACTCTAGGACAACTTAAGAGATCATGCGGGACATATCTCCACGGATGCGCTGGTAGTCGAGGATACCCTCGATGCTGCCGACGGCGCTCATGGCGAGGTCCTGATCCCACAGCTTGCGGGTAGCGAAGTCCATGACGTCCTTCTCGGTGATCTGGCTGACGGCACGCTCAATGTCCTCAGCGCTCAGGCGACGGCCAGTGGTGATGATCTGGCGGCCAATGTCCTCGGCGACGGCGGTGGTGCCATCGAGAGACAGGAGGATGGAAGCCTTGAGCTGGGCCTTGGCACGCTCGACCTCGGCGGAGGAGACGTTGTTGCAGAGGCGAGTCCACTCGCGGAGAGTGAAGTGGATCAGGTCATCGAGCTGGGTGAGGTTCTCGCTGACGAGGTAGATACCCCAGAGACTGATCACAGGTTAGCATGTTTTCCATTACATCATAGAATGTCAAGATTGGTAGGACATACCCGGTGTCACTGTAGCTGGTGGAGAAGCTCATGAAGCTGTTGGCAAGGTTGTGGTGGCTAACGTGGGAGCTGAGCTTGCTGCCGAGGAAAGGCGACTGGCCCATGGCACGGTCCCAGTTACCGACGATGGCCTGGGTGACCAGAGCGGTGAAGTAATCATCATCCTTCCAGCTGACACCCTCGACGGCGAGAGCGATGTGGGCGGAGGGGATGGTGTCATCACGGAGACGGACCTCAGAGCCAATGAACTCGGGGGTGCGCTTCTGCTCGGCGGTAAGAGCCAGGGCAGCGGAGGTGGGGGCCTTGCTGGGGAGGCTACCGAAGTGCTCCTCGGCGAGTCTCACGAGCTGCTCGTGGGGAATGCCACCAGCACCGACGAGGACCATGCGGTCAGCAGTGTAGTTGGTCTTGATGTACTCGGTCAAGTTGTCGCGGGTGATGGTCTGGATGTTCTCCTTGGGGCCGAGGATGGTGCGGCCAAGGGGCTGGCCCTGGTAGGCGGTGGCGTGGAGGTGATCGAAGACAACTTCCTCGAGCTGCTTGTCAACCTCCTCCTGCTCGCGGAGAATCACATCGCGCTCGCGCTCGATGGCACTGGCCTCGAGCTTGGAGTTCTGGAGGATATCGGCGAGAATGTCAACGGCCTTGGGGACATCGTTGTTGAAGGCCTTGGCGTAGTAGACAGTGTTTTCTCTCTGTAGTCGCGGTTAGTTTTCGATTCGATAGACGTTGATGGATGGGTTTTCCGGGTCGTACCGAAGTGTAGGCGTTGAGGTGAGCACCCATGTTCTCGATCTCGAGCTCCAATTGGTGTTGGGAGCGCTTGTTGGTGCCCTAGACATAATCATCAGATGAAAGCGCTTCGGACTGTGAGATTTGTGGGGCCGAACCTTGAAGGCGAGGTGCTCAAGGAAGTGTGCGGTTCCGTTGGTCTTGTCAGTCTCTGCCCGGCTACCGGCATCGATCCACACGCCGACCGTCGAGGTTTGGGCCCATGGCGAGTGATCAGTGGCAATCTAAAATACAATTAGCCGGCCTGCGATGTCATTGAGTCATTGGCCTGTTCCGTACAGTGAATCCGTTGGAGAGAGTGGTGGACTGGGTGGTGGACGGCAACGCAACCGGCGAAGCAAAGCCACGCTTCACGGGCTGGATTGACTTCAGGGCCGCACGAGTGCGGAGAGCCTGGTTCAGGTTGAAAGCAAGGCGCCGAGAAGCCATTGAGAACGACTTTTATAGGTGGAGGGAGGGGGAAAGGGGGAGATGGAGAAAAGAGCTGATGGAGACGCCCTGAGGTTGAAGTTCGGAAGTCTGAAATTGTTCGCCCAGCTCAGCCAATTACATAACCCGCTTTTCCAAACCGCCCTCAACATCCCGAATACTTCCTTTGCTCTACGTTCATGGGGGGTCAATGGACTGAATATGGTCTATCCTGGACTAACATCTTATTGAGTATGATTTAACGGACTATTTGATTCATTTCATTCGACTTCAAAGTACGCTGAACACCCCTACAATCTCCCAAATCCTCTAAATTCGGTCATCCAATTTCATGTCTATTGATTGGCTAGACCTCGGGTTCCCTTTTCATACAAACCGGCTGGCAAACCGCCTAATATTCTCCTCCATAGAAATATCCGCCGCAAAGCCCAACTCGAAAGCCCGAGTGGTATCAAACTGAGGAGTCCAAGTCTGCACAATCTTGTCGGTAGCAGCATCGTATTTCTCCTCCACAAGATCCCGACGCTCCTTACCACCGACTTCCAGAAGTGAATCCAACATCTGCTGAACAGTGACCTTCAATCCAGGCAAATTCACAGATCTTGACTCTCCAAATGCCTCTTTAGGGACTGTACGCGCATGCATCAAGTTCTTGATAATAGTGTATGGCGAGCAGATCCACACCTCCGTCTCCTTGGACACAGGTAGAACCGCCTTCCTGCCGTGGAAGGGTTCGCGGATGATATCACTAGCAAAGCTGCTGGCAGCCTGCGTGGGCTTCCCAGCTCGCACTGTCACAGTGGGTAGACGCATGCATCTACCATCCAAGAAGCCTCGTCGCGAGTAGTCGTTCAACAAGGTCTCGATGATGAGTTTCTGCGATCCGTATGAAGTTGATGGCGAGGCTGGGAAGTTCTTTTCGCTGATAACAAATCCGGGGGGTGCAAGGCCATAGACTGCCAGCGATGAGGTGAAGACGACCTTCACTCCCGGCATGGTTGCGCGTAGCCGGTCCAGGATATATCGAGTTGCGTCGAGGTTGACGCGGATTCCCAGCTCGAAGTTGGCCTCGGAGCCACTGGACATGATTCCATGGAGAATGTAGACTGTCTCGTAGGGACGGGATGCGCTGATCAATTCGTCGACGGCTTCGGTCGAGGTAAGATCGGCCTTGACGCAGGTGAGACGGCTTGCGTGTTCTTTGGCCGCCTCGGGGATCTCGGGCTCGACGACATCGGTGATTGTCACGGTTGTTGAGGCCGGTGTGCTTGCGAGGAGCGAAGCGGCCAGTTCCTGGCCTACATAACCTCCTGCGCCAGTGATGAGAATCGACATGTTGTGTATAGCAATGCGGTCTATGCAATTAGGTCGATCGCGGTATCGAAGCAGACGAGAAGATAGAATAAAACAAGATGATATTCAGCTAAAATAGAAAACTGGGCATGTATCCGATTTATAGTATCGCATTTTGCGGGGTTGAAGCGGAACTTGTGTTTCCCCCACGCTCTATAGTCATGAGAATATGCCCATCGGCCAATGGAATTCATATCCCACGAAGTTGTCCACTTGAGCCAAGTGTCGCGCAACAAATCCGAGTCTGTCTACGACATTTCTGGTGCAAGTCTCGGTGAGAAATCCGAGTACCGGCACGCCCGGCGCAAGTCCGAGGATGAGGTTGTAACGGCCAGATGACCTACAACTTTGTGAGAGACTACTAGGGCTTGTTCCTACTTGTGAGAATCATTCCAAACAAGGCCTCTGGGCCATTGCTTTCTTGTCAGTAGCGAGTAGTATCTGTGATCTATGGAGATGATTGATAGGCGAAGCGCCACCAGCAGAACAAGGCTGAACGCTTGCAATTCTCTTCAAGCACACTTAGAATGCTCATGTGTTGCCAACGAAATAACTAGCAAGGCTGAATCGCTTGTATTGGCCACTGATTGCTACCTACGGTGATCATACGCTATTCAGAGCTATCTCATCACCTCAGATCAAGACACTCAGTATGACACATTCCAGCGTGTAAAATTCATCGTAACGGAAAACTAAATTTTGAGACGCAGCCAAAAGTACATAGGCGAAAAGATTACCTGTCACAAGAAAGGTGAAAAACATTCGATACATCACAGAACACGAGACGCCGAGGGAACATAAAAGGGAAATGGGACATGACCAGCGATTAACACCTCTATGCGGAACGCTTGTAGATACCAGCGACAATGCAGTGGTCACGCTCGAAGGGCTCGAGAGTAAGCTGCTCCTTGGGCTTGATCTTCTCCTCACGCATCTTCTGGACCTCCTTGGCGAACACAACCTCAGGCTTGGCTGTGCTGTCGATACAGTTGGCCTTGATGGAGACAATGACACCACCCTCGGCCTTGAGGAACATGTGGGCGTTCAAACCGACAATACGGGCCTGATCGGGCTGGGCAACATCGGCGAAGATGACATCAACCATGGGGACGAGCATGCGGTAGCGGAGAGGGTGGCGGGCATCCTCAACAATGGGGATGACGTTGGTACGGTGAGTGGCCATGCCAATAAGATCACGACCAGAGCGGTGAGAGAACTCAACGGCGTAGACGTTACCGGTGGGACCGACAATATCAGCGACGTGAGAGACGGAGGTACCAGAGGCAGCACCAATGTAGAGGACCTTGGAACCGGGCTTCATGTAGATGTCATCAAGACCACCCAACACACCAGCGGCCAACTAGAAGAGGAAAAAGTGGTGAGCAAAAGATCATATGAGAGGCAGATAGGCTATGGCTATCACGGCGATTGAAGGAAGATCCTCGCAAGCGACGCATGTATCCATAGCCACCTGGAGATGGAGAGGATATTTACCTTGGAACGGAAGGGGTTCCAGACACGGTACTCGTGCTTGGTGGCAGTGCCATCCTCAGCTGCGGGGCCGTCAACGGAAATGCGCTTCTCGCCGTAAACTGCAGTACCGGGAGTCAAGTTCTTTGTGACAAGCATGTCCTCCTTGCCGCCGCGGGCAACGAAGATACCAGCGTGACGGTGAGGCTCCTGTTCGCAAGTAAACCGATTTGTCAGTTTTTGATCCCATTGGGAAATTGACGATATTTTCATCACTTACAATGACAACCTTGGCACCACCGCGAGCACCACCGCCGCCGCGGGGAGCACCACGGCCACCACGAGGAGCACCACGACCACCGCGAGGGGCACCACGGCCACCTCCACGGCCACGGCCACCGCGGTCGCCGAAACCACCACGGCCACCACCGCGTCCACCACGGTCGCCGAAACCACCTTATTAAGTCAGCGGGTGTGAACTGTGCTGTAACAGCAGGCATGCGAATCATGAATGTTCGGGCGAATAAAAAAATATCACCAGCACTTCGGCCTGCATGCTTGCTGCTTCGAATGGATTGGACTGAACAAACCTCGACCACCACCACGGCCACCACGGTCACCACCGCCAAATCCGCCACGTCCACGAGGAGCGAAGCCCATTGTGTAGTTTTTAAAAAGGTAAAACCCGGTTGTAGAGGGAATTAAGTGAGGGAGAGAGGTTGAGCTGTCGTTTCCGAGTGCTCAAAACCGAGGGTAGTTGAAGAATTTGTAGAAAGGTTCCGATGTAAGTCGAGAAGAGAGAGAGATAAAATTGACAGCGTATCTGTGATAGTTGGATCAAGCAGAAACAGAATTGGCCGCGGGCTGTCTGTCGGGTACGGGTCGATACCGATGCTGCTCGTTGATGCGGTCGAGATTTTTTTTGCGCCTTTAGGATCTTTCAGAAAATCAGAATGGCGCTAGGCTGTTCTAGGGTTAGCGTCCTTTCCACCTGAATGAGTCACGTGGTCTGCGGTTGCCGTAGGGTCACGTGCGTATATAAGCCCTGCTTTGTACCAAATGGAAATGGAGTTCGATGAAGGATGTTATTGTGGGATATTGTGAGGCAAAAGCATTGGGGACAAAAGAAAACGAGGTACGTCCGCGAACGAGAGGTTTGCCCACCGTCAGACAAGCCCTATACAGTACAGCGCGGGAGATTGCAGACTGATAATGATTCACATGAGGGAAGCACCACTGATTTCATTATCACCAGTTTATGATGGGTCGGAGGAGAAAAATGATGAAAAGCCGTAATAATAATAAAGTAGGTAAAGCTCCACCCATAAATCAAACGAGAGTCTCAACACCCTCCCATCGGAGGCCCTCCTTGCTATGTACAAAAGAGAAGAACAAACGCCCAGCTATTGGCCTATTCCCCAAAGAAGTAGTAGTTCGCAGCATACTGCATTTGGAACGCAGCTGGCATGCCCTTGCAAGTCTTTGGTGGAGACCCAGCCGCAGTGTCGACTCGGTAGACACTCTTGTAGTTGCCAACCGTGCCCTCGCTAGCGGTGAGGTAGAGCCAAGGGACAGCACCATACTGCCCCGACAGTGAGCCCGAGGGAGCATCAATTGCTGATACCTTCTTAGTCATGACAATGCCATCCTGCTTGTGGGGTGAGAGGTTCAAGTTGAACTCGGGGGTGGTTGCATCGTAGAAGAAATGATGACCCAACAGTTCAATGTTGGCAGGAGGGAATGCCGCATTTTCGTTGGTCGGTAGGGCAATTGGGTAGGCAAGTTTTGGAAGTCTTTCCAGTAGGTCGGGGTAGTTGGCTGCGATGCATGATGCATCGTAGAGTCGTGCGACAGCTCCTACGGCTGCGGGTGTAGACTTGGATGTTGAGTCGGCGCATGTATAGTTCTGGTTATGTGTTAGCTTACTAAATGATGGTGATGATGGTGGCCTATAAGGGACTTCTCATACCTGGGTACCCCTTCCCAGTGCGACGTATCGCGGCTTGAGGCCTGACGGGCTGGTCATGCCCGAGGCATAAGCAGGCAGGGCAATCTTGGAGACATCGCACGCCGTCGGTACTCTGATGTCTTTCTTTGCGGTATTGATGTACTGGCTCACTTTTCCATAGAACTCGGCCATGTCATTGGTCCATTTGTATGCATCGTTGAGGAAGTTCGTTGGGGCAGCAAGCGATGCTGTCGCCAGACAGGTGAGGAGAGGAGCAAAACGCATTGCGACTATGCTTTACTGCAAGTAGGTGAAGAGGCAGAGGCGATGGTGAATGGCAATGGGGGTTATTCTCTGATTAAACGAGGATTGACCAGCAACCCTTTGATATACTCGATCGAGTATGAACCTTGGAAGAAGAATAGGTAGGCGTGTTGAAGGAAGGAATGACCAGGGAGGATACTGATGGAATTGATCGGCAGACCGGGGTAGATATACATACTGTGTTGGACGTAATTTCAATCCTCATAACCCTCATAATCTCAAAGCATATATCAATAGTAACACACGTCCAACTCGAAACGGTGTAGCTATTATTAAAGTCATCGATGCAATATGCAGGTACTAGCAGGGATTAAAGCTCGATCGTGGGTTGTTATTGGCTGGTGGACGCGCTCAGGGCTGACCCTTCCAGCCTGTGAGAGTTCCGATTCGTCTAATTGTGTCGATGGCAACGCGCTAAGCAAAACACTTGGGGTTTCCCAGAGCGGTTCGATTGTAGCAGATTTGACCGAGTCAATGTGGTTGGTTCTCTAAATTCCCCGGACTATTAATAAATCTCACTGGTGAAGGCTTGAGCGGTTAGATGTGCAGGATTATTGCCGGGAGAGGTTAGTGTGCAGAGATGCCTTGCTAGGGCCTGCCTCTACATCGTAGTTAGTGCAGAATTCGGGTATTTTCACTGCAGGCATTGTACATGGGTCATTTGTATGAGATATAAACTATGTCGCTCTTTACTTTCTCTTTGGGGTTGGCTTCTTTAGGATATACTGCGTAGATTGAACTGCCGCACTGCGGAGGCTGACAAAAGAGTAGAGGGGGTTTTCGCTTTGGAGCCGATGTTACAACGCACTAGCGCTAGAGAACGCCATCTTACACAGAGCGTCCCCCACACATAGGTTTAGTCCACGGGTGTAGGTTTCCAACATATATTCTTGTGCCTATGCGATGACTGACACGGATCGCCGACGTTTGATTAGGTATGCTAAAGCCTAGTGATAATTATGAGAAAGAGAGACTGCTATTCTTCTTAGAGTGTAGGTGAAGTGTCTTGGCGGCCACATGACTGTATACGGTATACCTATGTCACTGTATGACGATTAGGTTAACTGCCTGCCACCTAACTAGGTTCCGTTTTATACCTTTTCACCTGCTTTTCTGAGCAGGTGAAAGGTAGAAGATGGAAGGTGGCAGGCAGGCAGTTACCTACTTTATACTTTATAATTGTTACCTACACAGTGACATATACAGTCATGTGCCGCCAGGGCACTTCACCTGGGATATCCTACGAGTGTTCTTCACGGACGACAAGGAAGCCACAATCAAATACTTAAATGATCCTCGCTCGATATTATGGACATTGGGACAGAATATTTGGTCCAGGGGATTATGGGATACGCGGAGAATTTGGTGACCTACGGCGGCTGTATATTCGGCTAGTGGAAGGCCGACGAGGATGTCAGACACAAAAACATGTCAATGGTGGGAAAGGAGCTCTATGAGCATGCGCCACTCTTCATGAACCTGATGTCTGACATACAGGCGATTATCTAGCAGAATATGCCCTTTAAATGTGAAAAGGAGGAAGTTGAAGAAAATCGCTGCAACTTAAGTCTTAGAATAGTGAGAAATGACCAACAATATGGACGGCAGACTCTACGTTTGATATGATACTTAAAACTTGCCCGACATACATCAAGAAGCCCGGGTGGTCTAGTGGTATGATTCGCGCTTAGGGTATTCAAAACCTGAGCAATATTGCGCGAGGTCCCGCGTTCAATCCGCGGCTCGGGCCTTCTTATCTTTTTTTTTTTGGTTTTTCTATTTCTGCATCTATGATTGATTGACTGTTTATTTTTGCACGATATTGCAATTGGAATGAATATCCATTGATATGAGAGCTAGCTGGGTGGATGTTGCGCTCAGACATCTTCGACTAGCCTTGAAACGGAGCTCCGAGCGGACATGGAAAGTAGCAAGTACTCAGTAACTAGGTAGCTAATTTCAGTAGGTAAGCCCTAACAATGCCACCGTTCGCTTCTATGAATAGTGAATACCTAGAGGCTAGCGGTGAAGCTAAGAATCCTTCGGATCCCCTGGACTTGCCTCCACATCGGCTAAAAATGGTGCCCTATCAGAAAGGCTTCAAGTTCCGTCGAATCCTTGGTGTTCTGAATAGAGCTGGGGGCGCTGAACTAGACATCTCTAAACATGGAAGGATGGCTACAGCATCGACCCACGGTCCTCGCAAGTGCCTTTAGACACAATATTTGCCGTAAATGAATCTACACACTATGAAGCTTGGCCCACATCTCAGAATAGTACGATGTAGAACATCACTCAATCCCAAACGCCAGGACTTATGATCAGTCACGAGGAAGTACAAAGATAGAAAGATTAAGAATAATAACTCCCAGAGCTCGTCGCTGAGTGGACATCAAAAGACGTTGGAGATTTCAAACCTGAACATTAGTTGAAACCCTCCTGCTGCCAGTCATCGTCATGCAACTGGCCCCCGCCACTACCCATGACCCCTCCACCTCCAGTACCACCGTAAGCAGCAGCAGCGGCGCTACCGGCAGCGCCCATAGCGCTATGCTTCTCGATCTCCGTAGTGCTCATCATATAGAGCACAGCGAAAAGGAGGAGATGTAACGCAAAGCAGTAAGCAGCGAACAAATTCCGGCTCGTCCTGTTGGCAAGAATCACCCGAGTGAGAGAGAACACGATCCGTTCTGGGAGGCTCATGCGTTTATATGCGCGTGTCGATTCACGACCCCGGAAGGCAGCGAATGGAGAGATCCGAGCCTCGTAGGCGGACTGGTATCGGTCGAGAGACAGACCAGAAGGGGTATCCGCGGAGGTGTAGACGGAAGTGGAGCTGGGGGTGTTGGCATAGGCCGAGGCAGATGTAGATGCACTCTGACCGCCACGACTGTAGGTCGAGACATAGCGAGTCTTTTCGTAGAGACTCAGATTGTCCTTCTGGAGTGATGCGACTTCTTGTCGGAGGGATTTGACAGTGGCGTACAGTTTTGACAGCTCTTCTTCGAGTTCGGCATTCTTCTTCTTGAAGCGGTCTCTTTGGGCCTGAATCATAGGCAGGAGGCCGGAGCCACCGCCGACAGCCTCCCCTGCACGGATAGATTCCATGGTATGGGCAGATGCCGCACTCTGATCAAAGCCAGAGATGATGGAGGACGTAGGCGACGATGCGCCCCGACGGGCTGAGTGGGGGTATCTGGAGGTATAAGTTCCCGCAACAGACATGGCCGCGGAGGGGAATGTATTTGCAGCCTCATCCTGTACACGGAGAAGGTCATTTTCAAGGGTGCTTGACAGGCTTCGTGACTTCTCCAGCTCTTCCTTCGAGTTTGATAGCTCAGTGCGTAGTGTTTCGAGCTGGCCTTGGATATCACGGTGCGAGACTCGCAGAAGCGTGAGCTCATCCGTCAACTTCTTGTTTCGGGCCATGAGAAGCTGCTCTAGCGAGTTCTTCTCTTTTGATTTCGCCCCATCAGCATTGCCGTCCGCCGTGCCACCCTCAGCAGCACCCTCTCCGACTTCATCATCATCACCACCGGCAAATTCGATCGACCTGATCATCTCCAGCTCCCGGCGAATCTCATCATAATCAGCCACCTTGGCCAATCGGGAACGCAACTCTTCCTTTTCCACTGCTGCCTTTGATGCTGCTCGCTCCGCCTGTAGCAGCTTAGCCTCCCAGGTATGCCGCTCCGAGTCCTTGGCATATCGAGCAGCATCCAGTTTTCGAAGCAAGGAAGAGTTCTCCGACTGGAGTCGAAGATAATCAGGGTCATCTTGAACAGAAGTAGGGCCAGATGAGTGTGATACAGCCTGAGCCAGCTCCAGCCGCATTTGCTCATTGCGCGCTTCCATGTCAGCCAACCTCAAGCTGGTCTTTTCCAAGTCGGCGGACAGCAGTTCAAGCTCAGCCGCTGTAGCGCTACTCCGAGAACCATCATTATCATCTCCATGACTCCTGCCCTCACCTAGGCGCTGTGAAACCTCGTAGCTCGCTTTGAGTTCCTTGATCAGCCGATCCTGGTTCTCCACTTTCTCCTCTAAGCTCTTCTCCTTTGCCGTCCAATTGTTCGTCTTTTCTGTCAATACAGCTTCCCACGATGCCTCAATCTCCTTGGCTCTTGACTCCTGGTTTTCCTCCAACTTTTTCCTCGCGGCACGTTCCTCCTGCAGACGTTTCTCAGTCTCGTCTTGTTGTTTGGTGAGGCGATCCACGGACTTCTGCAGTTGCTCCCGCTCAGAGTTCAGCTTTGGGACTGTGTCTTCTGACAGAACAAGGGAGTCAACGGAAGCTTCGAGGAGGGGGTATGGGTCCGGAGCCTCGGATAATGAGGAATATAGTTGTAAGAACGAGGAAGAGGAGGTTTTGCCCTGGTTGGTCAACAAATCGATAAAAGACTGATAGGACTTCAGCAGCGATTTATATTCTGAAAGTTTCGAGTCGTCATCTAGCTTCTTGAAGTCCTTCGTTTTCTGCGCCAGGTCCTTTCTTTGCACGAGTGCATCGCGCTGCTGTTCGACAAGATCCGTAGCGGTGGCATCGAGTTTCGCAATAGTATTAGCCAAGTCAATCCCTGTTCAAGTTAGTAAGGGAATCCCCAGCATACAGGACTGCAATTACCTCTCCAGGCTGCAATGGCGCGTTGGAACTTATTGGTCTCTTCGGTCAATTTGCTAGACACACCCGACTCAGGTTGGTTTTCGTGCTGGTTTGGGGGTACCAAGCTTTCTGTGATGGCAAATGAGTCCATTGTCGGTCCTAACCCCAGGGGTCTGCACTGTCACCCCACATCAAATAGCAGTCCACCAAGGGGAAAGACGGGGATCTGTTATCGCGAGGAATAGGACACGCGGCGGACGGGCCGATATTGTTCCGAGAGCGTACCAGGTCTACATAAGTTCAAACCCCAAGAGCGAGAAGATAGCCAGGCAAATCAAACATGCAAGTCGGCCAATGCGGATGTTGTTCAAAAGCAGTTGGTCCAAGGCAAACATGTATGATGTACCTAATGTATGTACATCGACGTAGTCCATTGTACTACCGTACAAGGCGATAAGGGCCGACCGCCATCAAAGAACTAAGGTGACCGCCTTGTTGCTCGCTCCAACTCCACCTCTACCTTCAGGGTTAATGCGTCAACAAAGGAAAAAAAAGATCAATAATAAAGAAGTAGATAAGTGTCAAAGTTATCTTGCAAGATTGTTGACTTTATCAAAAGCGCATTTACTCCCATTCTTCGAATATCAGACCTTATCCTAAGTGACTGGATTCTGCCAGACAAATACCGGCCAATGCGGCTCCAGGGGCATTGTTTCCCGCTGTCAACTGTGGCCCCTGAGCTTTGACCCAGCTGACCGCCTTCACATCGTCACTCTCCAAGCTTGCGGGGAGATGCTTGAAACTACAGCGGCATGATGGCTTCAGAGGACGCAATTGGTCCTCGGAAGAGGCGCAAGATTAGTCCACCTGGGACTATACCTTATGTCTTACATTCACTCTTTGAGGATGTGCCGTTAGCGACCGAGCACAGCTCCGATGTCTACATTACTTGTGTCGAGTACTGGAGTAAGCTCTATCCGTGGCTGACCGTGGGCGCTGTCTTATTGATAAGTTCCGATTGGACTGACCTTTATGATGGATAGATGAGAACCTGTACATCGGCACCTCCGCAGCCGAGATCTTGCATTTCGTATGCCTTCCGCCAGCCTCCCCAGACGATGCCGCCGAGCCTACCTTTATATTGGCATCCCGATTGCCGATCCTCTTCACCCAGAGCCCCCCGGCGGACGGTGGTCAAGAAGGCGTTCGACAAATAGTCATATTAGCCTCCGTGAACAAGGCGTGTGTTCTCTGCAATGGCACTGTTACGTTTTATATGCTGCCGGAGCTTAGCCCTGCTTTTGGAAATACAAAGGTCAATAACTGCCGCTGGATCGGTGGGTTGGATCTGAACTGGGATGCAGAAACAGACGGGGATCCGACTATTATGATAGCTGTACAGAACAGGATTATGCTTGTGCAGATAGGGGATGAGGCGCGACGGATCAAGAAGATTGAGTTCCCCGGCTGCTTAACTGCGGCGCGGCGAGGAACGATCGCCTGTGCTGCTGATACACACTCATACTCATTACTCGAGGTGGCTCACCAGCAGAAGATTCCGCTCTTCCCTATATCTTCTTCAAATGAAGTCTTTGAGTCAGGGCATGTGGAGGATATGAACCCGGCTCCACCAACACCACTCAAGCGTTCACCCTCTTCCTCCTACCCAACCTCGCCACCGACCAACTTGTCTGCGCATGGTAGAAGCACAAGCCTGAATACCTTCGTGGGAATGCCCTCCCCGCAGGCACAACCGGCTCAGTTGGATAGATCGCTATCAGGGACGCCCGACCCTTTCACAGCAACCGGTGAACCCAGAAGATCAAGTTCGTCGAAGCGAGAAGAGAGAGGCTCCCCCAGACCTCCTGATGATCAGGATCCAGGGAATCAACCTTCAACTAACGACGGTTTGAAGCCATTACCACCACTACCCCCATCAACAAAGCAAAGCTCGAAACGTCTCCAACCTCATGTAGTATCCCCAACGCCTTCCGAGTTCCTCCTTGTGACCGGGACCGAGGAAACAGAACCAGGCGTCGGCATGTTCGTCGACATGGATGGTGAAGTCGTTCGAGGCACAATAAATTTCCACAGATTCCCTAAATCGGTTGTGATTGACACCGAAAACATCAATCAAATATTCCAGACCGGTGACGATAAAACGGAGGAGTTTATTCTCGCTGTTATCGAAGATGAAGAGAATGGAAAGTCTCGAACGAGGCTTGAAATTCAATGTTGGGATGATGACCCAACGGAGATGGAGCGGCATAAGAGATGGCTGGAGATACCCTGTCCTGATGAATCACAATCTGTTCAGGTTGGCCTCGGGCGCACACTTAGCCCGAGCCACCTCGGTCTCAATGGAATAGCGCAGCTCTTGCGGATGGTCCGCTTGAAGAGCCCCACGCTGCCGCCACATGTGGCCTTGACAGATTCCAGAACCCAGGCATCGATCGAGCATCTGCAAAAGGAGAATGAGCTGTTTGATTCACATGAATTGACTGACTCAGAAGGATCCAAGAAGACGGACAACCACAGCTGGGAGGCGCAACGCGACGCAGAAGAAGCAAAATTTGCACTTGGACTGGGCAAGACGCAAAGTAGTCTTGTCGTGTGGTCTGGTTCTCGAATATGGCGCGTGCTACACAGCCCTCTGGTAGTCCAACTAGAGGAATCCCTGCAGGCCGCCCAGGTGACGGAGGACAGGCACACGGTGCTGCGTAGGGAGGTCATCCTGGACTTGCTGCTCTCGATCCAGGATACCGAGCCGAAGAGTGAAGCCGAATTTATCGGACTGGGCTACGTGAAGCAAAAGGCGAGCCTCATGCTTTACGGAGACCTCCTCTCTATGCCGCCCGATGACCGCAGTGATACAGCAATCAAGGGTACCGAAAAAGCCCTAGTGGCGGGTAACCTTGATCCTCGCTTGGTCTTGCTGTTTATTCCTCTACTGCGATGCGAGATCTTGCAAGGGCCTCAGGGCATATGGATACATGCTGGACTGGCAAACACGGCGGAAAAGTATCTCAAGCAAGTCGAAGAGATAGGCGTGGAGTCTTCTGGACCGGCAGCTTCTCGCAATCCCGTTCTCGACATGGTAAGACGATTTCTTCTCTCCTGGCAGCAAAAACGAGGATATGGTAGCATCACCGACGAGACATATGTTTTGGATAGCACGGATGTTGCGCTGTTGCATCTGACCTTGGAACAAGATGCCTACTTGACGCGAGACCAACGGGCAGCGTCACCCACTCGCTCCGAGCTGAATCGGCTGGTCGATAACTGGAAAGGCAATTTCGACAGGGCAGTTGTGCTTTTGGAAACATATAAACGACTCTATGTTCTAAGCCGCCTATATCAGAGCCAAAAAATGTCTCGCAATGTTCTGAAGACCTGGCAACGAATCGTTGATGGAGAGACCGATGCTGGCGGAGAGGTCTCCGCAAATGGTGTAGAGACGCAGATGCGCAGGTATCTGGTCAAGATCAAGGACGTGCAGCTGGTAGAAGAATATGGCTCTTGGCTGGCTGCACGTAATCCCCACTTGGGCATCCAGGTGTTCGCAGACAATTCCAGCCGGGTGAAATTGGAACCGACGAATATTGTTACTCTACTCAAAGAGCGAGCACCCAATGCCGTCCAGGTTTACTTAGAGCACCTGGTGTTTGCCAAGAACGTGAGACTCCTCTTATCTTGGTTCCTGAACATCTACTGACCTGCGATTACAGTACACACAATATGCCGATGATTTGATCTCGTACTACTTGGACACAGTACTCTCCGTGCTCGAGGCGTCCCCCGAAGCACGGGCTTCCTTGGCAGAGTCTTATTCAACCTATCGAGCGCTTCGTGCGCCCAAACCGACATACTTGAACTTCATCACTGAGAACACCCCCGCAGAACCCTGGTGGCAGTCCCGACTCCGATTACTCCAACTGCTGGGTGGAATCTCCAGCTCCCAATTCTCCTCCCAACCCATTCCAACAGGAATCAGCTACTCAATCCCTGCGGTACTGGCGCGTATTGAGCCATACCAAAACGAGCTCGTTTCCGAATGCATAATTCTCGACGGCCTCCAGGGCCACCACAGCCCGGCCCTCCGCCTCCTCACACACGGCCTCGGAGACTACGATTCCGCGATCCGCTACTGCCTGTTTGGCGGACCACGCAGCTCCTCCACTTCAACAGGCGCCCCGCCCGAATTAGCAGACTACAATCTGCAGAAGACACTCTTCCGCCACCTACTTGACGAATTCCTGCACATCCAGGACCAGTCAGACCGCATCGAGCGCACAAGCGACCTCCTCGCACGCTTTGCAGCCTGGTACGATGTCCGCGAAGTGCTCGATCTCGTTCCAGAGGGCTGGAGCGTTGATATTTTGGGCGGCTTCTTGGCACACGTGTTCCGTGATCTGGTGTCGCAGACTCGCGAGGCTCGCATTGAGCGTGCCCTGAGTGCGGGTCTGCATTTGCGGATTGCTGCCGAGTATATCGATGGGATGGAGAAGGCTGGACCTTGGATCGAAGAGGCAGAGGGGGTGAGAAGGCTGAAGGATGCCGCGCCACGGCGGGCTGACCTACCGCAGACCGATGGCCATAGTGATGCTGTTTCTGGTGATTCTACGGAATTCGGAGAGACGGTGGGGCCTACATCTAGGGGAGTGGGCCAGTAGATCGGAAATCTGGGGAGTTTTGACATAATAGCGCCTTGCTTTTCTTTACTTCTTGTTGATATTGAATCTATGATACCTACGCAATTTGCTTCAGAAACCTTCGTGTTGACTTTGTTTGATTTCTTTTTTCTTGATTTTTCCTATTGGCTTTGGCGTTGTGTATCATGAGCCACCCTTGAAGACGTGCCGTCCCTTCGCGAGAAGGAAACACAGCCGAAAGAGCAGCAGTGCTGCCATTCCCAGTCCATGTCGACAGAAGAAAAAAAATAAGTGAACCATCAAATTGCGTTCGTTCCCTTCGTAGCTCCTAAAGAGCTTATAGTCCGGCAGACCCGAGAATCAGTGGGACATTAAGGCGTAGTCGTCCAACCAGACCTAAGAGGTTCATTTCCGGAAAATGACATGCAGGACCCAAGGTGAGCCCCGGAAAGAAGATAATACGTTTGAGAATGCTCAATTACTCCTCCGCTTGGGTGAAGGGGTTGGGGATCTCCTCACTGCCATCGGCAGGCGAGATCAATACGATCAGAGTGCCACGAGCAACGATCAAACCCATGGAGCGGGTGGACGTGTTGCCCTCCTCATCTGCGGGGGTTAGTACAAGTACACAAATGAACAAGTAGGAAGATGCGGAACTGACCACGCATAGTCTCCTTGACATCGTCGAGAACGAGGTTCATCAACTGATCGTAGCCCTTGAGGACACCAGTGACTGTTGATAGTGTTAGCATGTATACTTAACAGGAAGGTCACAAAAGACCGAGATAGCAGGATATCGAAAGAGAACCAATGATACAAAGATTGTCTGGAAAAAATGGACTGAACATACCTTCACGACCACCATTGAATTTCACTTGAACCTCCTTGTCAATGTACTTGTTGAGATCCAGGATATTTTCCTTCTTAGGCTTCTCCTGTGGTGCACCGCCACCACCGCCACTTTTCTGCTGGCCCTGGCCGCCGCGGCCTCCACGACCGCGACCCCCTCGGAACGAGCCTCGTTCAGACATTTAAAGTATGCGATTAAATGAATGGAAAGGGAGTTGGAGGGATTGAGAATGGATCTGGGGGAACAGAGTGGGGAGGAAGTATCTCGGGTATCTTGTGCTCAGGTATCTTGTGGTACTCTTCTCTGGTATTGGGGAAGACACAAGGTGTGGACGTGTATGAGGGATTTTTAGGTTGAGTAGCCTCAGGCAGGATATCTAAGGTCGGGGTCCGCCCGGGTACGCGGATTACAGATTCAAAGTGGTATTTTTGGGTCTGGCGGGGGAGAGGGATCCCGCTCGGAGGTATTTTACAGTTGTGTTACGGGTATCCTTGATTTGGAGGTTTGATCTGAGGGCTTTTACATTCCGACATCGCGATTAATTATGGTGAAGGTTATCCCTTTGCTACATTCTACACTAGTTAACCAGGTCGAATGATACTATCATCTGAGTCTAACAAGATGCTATGGTGGTTCCCTCCGAGAGCCTCCGAAAGAATTGCGCGTCACAAAGTGTTTCAGCCCGGGCGCCCGCTCCAAGGCATCAGCGAAACCAAATGGGGGGGGGGGGCCTCCACAAGGCTCAAGGCTTGATTTTGATGATCGACGCCAGCAGAATGTGCAGATAGACTTTGACTTGTTCGGGGCGAATCATTACGTATCTCTGCACATATCTGAAGCAAAGTCCAGGCAAGGCGTGGTCTTGTACACCTGAAACCAGCGTATCGTAGGCCAGCGGAACCCACCGGCGGGACTCCGCTGGGAGCTCCAAGTGCAACGGAGGACGTATTTACGCAGTAACCGACTAGTGACTTCAAGGACTTTGAGTGGGAAGTACGTACCACGTGGAGATTACAACCGGAGTTCCTGTTGTAGCATAATTCCCTCAATCCTTAAGGGGTCCCCCCAGAAAGAAAAGGAAGAGTCCCCCAACGGTCCCGCGGAGACATCTGGGATCACGTTTTTCCTCTCCACTCCCCGTGCGCCGTTCCTCCCCTCGAGATAAGCGCGGTTTCCTCTTTCTCTCTTTCCCTTCCTCCACCTTCATGTTATGCTGCTCTGTTAAGAGTAATCTGCCGGTTCCTCTCCGCGCGCAAGAGATATTCCGCGCTCTTATGTGACGCTTTCCGCCGCTGACCAATCCTTTTTGTGCCCAATTCATTTTCCACTGCGACATCCCTGATCGCTTTGTTCCACCCCAAGACGTCCCGTCTCCTTCCCACAATGGAAACCCACGGCGCGTCGGCTGAGCCGTCTTCCAAACGGCCTCGATCTCCCAATGGCGATTACGCTGGGTCGTCGAAAGTCCCCAAAACACACTCGAACCACCTCCAAATCAATTATCTCGCGCGCCAATACCCAGACAACCTCCCACTAGTATCTGTCGATGATACGATGCCCGCCATCCAGCATTTGCTCGGCGAATACGACGGCGTGCTACACCGCCATGAAAGCATCGCTGGAAACCTAGGCGCATGCCCGCTGGGTCCGATCTTGATCAAACGATTTGAGCGTCTGTTCGATGGACCGCCCAAAGTGTTAAAGTCGCATGGTAAAGATGGACCTACAGTCACATGGCTGGATGTTGTCGAGTTCGCGAAGAACAAGCCCGAGCAGTTCAATCTGGAGAAATCGCGCAATGGCGTACGGGTCTGCCAGTTCTATACCAAGCAGTGTCGAGTGGAGATCAGCGAGGAGGATTTTGTGTTGATTGCTTCCGGCATGCCGCAGAAGATGATACCGCCGCAGCCAATCATTGAGGACGAGGAAAAAGAGCTGGGTGCGCTGGAGATTCTTGAGAAGAACTTGGCCCATATCATTCAGATGGCCGATCAAGGTAAGCTGTCGTATACTGTATATCAGGTTGGAGGAATCACTGACAGTGTTTGTGTTTAGTCTCTGCCAGAGCGAGACAGCTTAACCACCGGTTGAAGAATCGCCGCAATGCTATTGTCACCCGACGAGAGAATGATGCCTCTTTACATGCGCAATCCCGGCATGTCAACGACCACTGGCGCGATTCCAATGGTCACACTCCCTCTCACGCTTCCCCGTCCGGCTTCGTCGCGGTAAACGCTCATCGTCCCGAGGGCGAGCACCCGGAAGAAAACCCTTTATCAGCCCAATTCATGTTTTCACACTCCACCACCGATAATGTCACCATGATCAACGGGCAATCGATCAAAGGCGCATCGCCAACAACTCGCGCAGACTTGATGAAGCGATTCTTCACGACAGCGGACCGGCACGCTCGTGGCTATGAGGACGCGACAGCTCCGGCCAACCCCCGACCACTCTCTCGGCCTCGTACCTCCGAACTGGCAGAGTACAGTGTCTACAACCCCGCAACATCCAACCCCGTCGCCATTCCAAACACTCCATCCTCCCTTCTCCCACCGCCGAAATCCACACACCAAGAAAAAGACGACGGGGGCCCCTTCAAGCTCGAAATGATCGCTCGCATGGAAGAGCTTCAGCGCGGGGAGCGAGTAGTCCCCCCATGCGATCGCTGCCGTCGCCTGCACATGGACTGCCTGAAGAATCTCACAGCCTGCGTAGGCTGCACAAAGAAACACGCCAAGTGTTCCTGGCGCGACGTCAAGGAGGACGAAATCGCAGCAATGGTACCCAGATCCACGACTTCAACGACCGCCCCGCACGAGCGCATTGACAACGACCACACTACCGCAACCCTCGCCCGACCTCAATTCGGCGGGGGTCCACTACCTCCCATTTCAGCCGAACGCGAGCGACCCCGCGAACCGCGCTTCGAATCGGAGGCTCACTCTCACTACCAGAGCAACCGACGCGAGTCAGCCCCTTCCGCTCCGAACCCGGCTCTTGGCTCTGCGGTCCCGATGGAGCTCCCTTCAAAAAATACTTCTCCGCGACGGGCCGTAAGCGAAACAGAGAATGGCCACAACGGCCTTCCTTCTATTCGCTCCGCTCGTCCTGAGGATGACGACCCGGATGCCAACCAGCGGTTAAACCAGGCTATTCGCGATACCCAGGCACGTGTTGCGGCAGCTATGCAGGAGAAAGAGCGTGGTGCCGAGCGTGGTGGGGAGACTCAAAGCGGTGTTCTTCCAGGTCAGGCTCCGGTTCCTGCTGCTTATGACCGTGAACGTGAGCGGGAGGCGGATGATCGTGATCGGCGCATGGTGCAGGCATAATTCTTGCCTTTGTAACTTACACTTTGTTTCATAGTCTGGCGAATGGGTTAGGTGTGGGAGTACGGAGTATTATTTTAGATATCCCTGAGTTACTAGCGATGCTGTTTTACTATGGACTTACTTCTGAATGTGTACATTTCTCTGTCACTTGACCAATGAACTAGTTAGTACATAACTCACTAGCTACTGCATATGAAGGTATGTGAATGTAAACGAGTTGGAAACAGCTCATATGTAGCAGGTGTTGCTGTTCAGATGAGACAGCGGGACTATCCCTTCATACCCATAGAGCCAGCCGCGTAACTGGGCACTGGGTTTATGATACCTCTTACCCTGGGTTCGAAGTACTCGGCCGTGAAGCTATTTGCAATTTCTTGCTGGTGAGAGAAGACTCGGGTCGGCTCCGGGGATGGGTCATGTCATCAGAGTCTTATGCAGAATAATATCAACCACAACCTCGTGTTAGCTATGTCACTCGTACTCGCTTGGACTCGGATATCTCTGCCTTATGTCGGGACCTCTTCGATGACCTGGACCTGTCTGCGGTTCGCCGACGATCCAGCTCAGACCGATGGAAGTCAATAATCAAAGCCCGCCCTAGTTCAGCGTTCCATAGGATATTGTCAGGCCGAAGGTCTAGGTGTCGGACTCCCAAAGAGCGAATTTCCTTATTCGACCTTTTAGTCTCCCTGCGAAGGTCCGAAGTCTGCTCGAGTTTTGCTGTACTCTCGCCTGCCCAACCCATGACGAGCATGTGGCGAATCTCTACGCCATAGCGAAAATAGATCTTTACGAGATCGATCTTGCCGAGGAACACGGGGACTGCTGAACCCTGTGCCTTGCGAAGAATATGATATATGTCAGCCTCGTGGGATACGGCCTTGGTCCAAAGATTTTTCGTCGTTCCTTTCCCAACAACAGTATACCCATGAGGGGAACAGGTGAGCTTGAACGGGGCGCCATATGACCCACAGGACCCAAATGGAATGCACCGGTCAATGTCCTCATCCATTTGCTGCTTGAGAAGCGAGATCAACTCCACGGCGCTGATAGAATGCTGAGTCCCATTACCGCCTTGCCGGTGTAAATCCACATTTGGACAACAATCATCCAGAGGTCCGCCGGTTTGCAGCCCAAGCAGACAACGTTGGGTACAGAACTGCGCGTTGCGTCGTTGAGATATGTCGTTTTGACGGTCGTTCTCATTCTGGCGAGACGATCGTTGTGAAGGCGAATGTTCAACCTGACTGTAGCCTCGCTTTCGCGCTGCTGCTGCGGGGTCTTGTGCAGACGCTGCAGGATCTGACTCAGAGCCTGATGAGTCTGGTGAACCCATGCGGTCTTTGGGATCTAATCGCGCGCAGTTCCCTTGTGATCTTGTTTTTATTCGCCGGGCAGGTGCAGTTGGCGACTCGATTGGACAGGATGATTTTTCATACTCTGAACTTGTGGGGGCGGATTCCGGGCTGACATAGTCCGTGATATCAGAGGGTGGATTCTGTGGTAGTTCCTCTGTGGGAGCATTTGCATGTGTGCGATCAGAGGCATTTGCATGTGTGTGATCAAAGTTCGTCCTCCAAATGTGAAGATCCGAACAATACACATTTCGCCACTCCTGGTCACGCTGCTTCGAGCGAAAGCTCATCAGGCAAAGACAGAGTACCCTTGCAATGGATGTGTTTGGTTGTGAGAGATCACCATCTCGACCATCCACTTCCTGGTTGGGCACACAGAGATGGTAGTACAAGGTGCTCGGCTTTTCAAGTGGAACCCAGAGAAGCACAAGCGCGATGCCTGTAGTCAAGTAGGAATACTCAAGTCCCTCTCGAATCATGACATGGTATTCCTGAACAATAGCCGAGCAGACGAGCCGCTGTGCCCTGTATTGATCGGCTTCGTTATTCAGCACCTTGTTCGCCCGAACCATCGTTTTCCACAGATCCATATCACAGAGCCCCGCGCGGAGATCCTCCAAAGTAAGCTTGTGTGGCGGCTTGTATTCGACAGTGGTGAGGAGAGTGGTGGTTCTGCCATCAACTCGATGGATAAAGAACTGGTCCGGCCTGCCACCGGGGGTGTCCGATGATTGTTTGTATCCGTTTCGACCGTTCGGTTCTCATTCAGAGCATTGCGGTGGCTGTCGAAGAAAACCCCATCCCCAAGCCCAAATTCCTTACGGGCGGCTGGTATTTTGCATAGTTCCATGATGACTGCGCCGACATACGAGTCCACTGCGATCCGCTCATAGAGTTGAACGTTGGTCTCACTGGTAATCAGCTGCGGGAAGCTTATGAGGTGTCCCTCCAGCCGTTCACGAGATGGAAAAATGCGCGGTGGATTTTCTTCTGGTTGGAGGTAACGACGGACAGAGTCGTAGATGTCTTGTTGCTGGGCTGCGCAGTCAACCCACTGCTCCAGTCGCGTTGGACAGTACTTTCCTTTGGGGAGGGGTATTGTCCCTGTGGTCAAGCTAGAGAGTGAGCCAACTTGTAGCGGTCGCGATAATAACTCGTGGCAATGGCGCAAAAGTTCCACGAAGGTGGTCCGTTTAACTTGGTCCTCTGCCCGTTTACGCGCCTCCCTTTCCTGCAGAAAGAGTGCTTTGTAATCAGGTGAGCTGTTTCTGGCCATGCTTTCGATGGGCCGAGAGGCGACAAGGTTGCGTTTAAGATGCCTAGGATGGACCAAGGAAAGTTCAAAACAGGTGGGAACGGCAGAGGGAATGAGGGATCACATCACAATCACACATGGGAGCGGAATATATTCAACCCGGCACTGAAGCCTGGGAAGTTACCTCCTCAGTGAGTTGGGCGGCTGGGCGGCCCTGATGCCCATATCACATGATCCAATTCTGCCTTATTTTTGGCGCTAAACCTAATTGGATTGCTATATCTTTTGGAGTGAAAGGAGCGAACATTCTCATCCAAACAAAGGCGGTCGCCTGCATGCAACTGCACAAGCAGCATAACTACTGTAGTCATACGCAACTTAACTAACTAGTTACACAGTAGTTAACTAGTAATCATCAGAAACCATTACGATACATCTAGGGTTTACAGGTAAATCCGTTAATCCGTTATTCCGTACTCCAATTTCAATTGCGGGGAGACTTACATTTGCCAGCTTCTGATTGACCGAGAGAGTGGAATAAGCTCTAACCCCACTATCCCACCAACTGCCGGCGGAAATACCGAAAAGCTACTACGACTACAAGTACAAAACACCATTCCATAGCTCTATCATTCTTCTCTTTTCCAACATTATACAGTACACAAGAGCTCCATTCCTTAAAAATCAGCAATCATGGACCCCTCAAAAGTCAAGATCCCCTCAATGAAAGACCAAACAGTCGACAACATCACCGCCAACACAATCACAATCAACAGCCTCTGCCCCGACGAACGCATGAAATATGTCCTCGAACGCCTAGTCACCCACCTCCACGACTTCGCCCGTGAAACTCGCCTCAGTACCGAAGAATGGATGACCGGCCTGCGCTTCCTAACCGAAGTAGGCCAAATCACCACCGACGTCCGACAAGAATTCATCCTGCTCTCCGACGTCCTGGGCCTATCAATTCTCGTCGACTCAATCGACCACCCCAAACCTGCCGGCTCCACAGAAGGAACCGTGCTGGGCCCGTTCCACACGCACGACGCAGAGGAAATGCCCGCTGGCGAGGCCATGTCGCATGATCCCCAAGGCGAGCCGCTGCTGGTCGTGTGTTCCCTGCGCGATATGCAGGGGAGGCCTATAGAGGATGTCAAGATTGATATTTGGGAGACTGATTCCACGGGCCATTACGATGTGCAGTATGAGGGGAGGAAGGCGCCGGAGGGGAGATGTGTGATGCGCTCGAATAAGGAGGGTGTCTTTTGGTTTAAGGCGATTACTCCGGTGCCGTATCCTATTCCCCATGATGGGCCGGTTGGGAAGTTGTTGGAGAAATTGGGGCGGCATCCGTATAGGCCTTCGCATATGCATTTTATGTTTGAGAAGGAGGGTTATGATCACTTGGTAACGTATGTACACTTCTTCATTCCTTTTCATTTCTTTTTTTGGTTGCATGCTAACTTGATCAGTGCTCTCTACCTCCGCAATGACCCTTATGAAACATCTGATGCCGTCTTTGGTGTTAAAGATTCCTTGACCGTGGATATTGGTAAGGCGGATGCCGAGACGGCGAAGAAATACAATGTCCCCGAGGGCCATGCTCTCCTCACATATGACTTTGTGCTTGTGTCGGACGAGGAGACTAAAAAGCTGCGTGCGCATAACTCCATGGTGGCGCTGGACAAGCTGGGCCGGAAGGTCAAGATTGTCAATGGGCTGCCTGTGCCGGATTTGGATTAATGCTGTGGCAATCAGATATGATATAACTCGATGAAATGGATTATCTCTTCAATTTTCCTCTGAGTCCATAGCGAGGCATCATTGTGAACAAGGAACAAGGATCCGAACAAGTTCGCACCAACCACCATCTAAACATTAACCCTTGTCTGTATCCCCTTCTGGCCTTGATCACAATATGTAACATATCTCCGGCAACCATTGGCCATCAGCTCGATTGCTTCTCAAGTCTGTGCACTGTACAACGACCGGGTCCACAAGGATTGAACAATTCCCATCTCGACCGTTCAACGTCAGACAGTCGGATATCATGGGAATTGCCCCAGGTGAGGGGGTCCTTAGTAGATGGCTTCTATATATGCAACATCACAGTCGATCGAGCGTCTGCTTCTGCTAATCCCCCCGTGGATACCGGCACCATGCGTTCCACTTATCTTCTTCTGTCCGTGGCAGCTTTGGCCTCGGCCCTGGTAATCCCAGATGAAACTGTTCTCGCTGAGATAGTCGCTGAGACTCACCCGGCCGGGCATGAGCAGGATAGCACCGTAATCTCTGAGGGAATGGACATGGAGTCTTGGTGGGCGATTATGAAGAATCTGATGCGTGATGAGCAGTCTGCGGCAAATGTTGAGATGGGTCTTCTTGGCTTCTCTCCGGCTGAGCGTCCAGGCTGGAGACGGGATGGGGATGTGCCTGGTTATGAGCGTCCTGGACGCGGTGATTGGCAAAGACATGGAGGCTGGGGTGGGCATGGACGTGAGGACTGGCCTGGAGATGATTGGCGTGGGCGTGGTGACTGGCCTGATTATGGTGACTGGCCTGATTATGGTGACTGGCCTGATCATGGTGACTGGCCTGACCATGGTGACTGGCCTGGCCATGGTGACCGACCTGGTCGCGGCGACTGGGGCAGACACGGCGACTATCCCAACGAGCACCCCCATCACGGACATGGCCAATGGCCCGGCCAAGACGACGACGAAGAAAGACCCTGGCCTCCTCACCCGCACCACCCACACTGGCGTCACGGTCCCTCCTGGCCGGGCCACGGAGACGGCCGTGACCACGACAGACCATGCCACCGATACCCACCTCATATGCCCGACGAACCTCGACACCGACCAATTGATGCATGCCCAGGCTCACTCTGCCAGCCCGAGAGAACAATCTGGGAGCTCGTCAAAGAAAGCGAACATACATCCCGGCTCGCCTCGCTGATTGCCGACGATGACAAGCTAGTAAAAGTCCTCAACAGCACGGAGTCGAACTACACTTTCTTCGCACTGACGAATCAAGCCTTGGAGAGACTGCCGGGCGGGCCAAATGGTCCCAGTCGCAAGAATATCTCAAGTTTACTGCGGTACCATATCGTCGATGGGAGAGTGCCTATTGCGCAGGTCTCGGGTTATCAGACGCTATCGACGAAGCTGAAAGAGCCTTCTCTGGGATCGAAGATGCAGCAGAGAATTGTTGTTAGGGAGAATATGAATGGAGTGATATTGAATCGAAGGAGCTCGATAGTTGGGGCCGATATGGTAAGTAGACCTCCCAATCGCCCTTTATACCCCCGAGTCCAATCTCCTTCCTACCTATGGTAGTCAGATACCAACAAACTACACAGAAAACAAAAAATGGCCTAATCCACCTCCTGGATACACCCCTCCGCCAACCCCCCGAAACCCGCACCTTGCTACACCTCTTCCCAGCCCGATTCAGCACTTTCAATCAAGCCCTATCACGAACAAAGCTCAGCTCCGCACTTGATCCAGACCAGCGACAAGGCGGGACGGTCTTTGCACCTACGAACGCCGCGTTCCGAAAGCTCGGTGCTAGGACTAACCGGTTCTTGTTCTCGACACAGGGAGAGAAGTGTCTGCGTGCACTGGTGCAGTATCATATTGTGCCTAATCGGACTCTTTATTCGGATGTTTTGTATACGATGGAGGGGAAGGTTGAGAGGTTGTTTTCTGGTGAGGGGGGTCGGAGACATGGACGTGGACATGGACGGAAGGGGGGTTCTGAGGGAGGGATGCCTGATAAGCTGCACGAGGGGAATTCTGCTCATGTTGGGTTGGAGACTTTGTTGGAGGGGAAGAAGATTGTTGTTGATGTTGAGAGGGACGAGGGGGTGGTTATGAGGGTTAACGGGTTTGGGAGGGTTGGCCGATTAGATTTGTTGGCGAGGGATGGGGTGGTGCATGATTTGGATCGGGTGTTGATACCGCCGAGGAGGATTCAAGGGAAAGATTACGAAGGGGGAGATGATGAGAGAGAAGTGACGGTTGAAGAGCTGGTGAACAGGTTAGATGGTTGTGTTGGGGAGGTGAATCGTGGCGAACTGTGAAAGAACGGATGAGCTGGCTACTGGCTTACGGGCAAGGAAAGCAAAATTGAAATCTCTTGTGTTTGTATTTCTGTAAGATGCCCACAAGGGCAAGATTGTTGCAAACATAAAAAAGAGTAAAACGAAACTATCCATGGATGTACATAACGCAGTGGTGGCTGACCAAGTCGAGGGTGTCCATTCGTTGGATCGACACATGGCCCAAACCGGAAGATCTCGAGTGTTAGGAATCAAGCAAACCGGGAAAGCAAGCCACCAGCAAAGACCATACATATGGCCATGTATGTTTGGAAGCTCCTAGTGCATCCGCCTAGCAGGCTTCAAGAGAGCCTGGAAGGACGACTCGAATCCTTTCTTCAGCTCCTTGTATGTGACAATGAAGCTGCTCTGCTCGTCACGGCTGATCAAGTGGATCTTCTCATCAGTCCCCGCATCGAGCTTGTTTAAGCAAGTCAGCACATGGCCGAGGTCCACCACCGGTTCGCCGGCGGCATCCACTTGGTGGAAAACGTAATCGCGGAAGAGCTTCAGGAAATAGCGCTCTCCAGTCTCCGACCAGCGCTGGTCAAGTTCGTATTCAGGGCGTTCGTTGACGAATCCAAGTTTGCTCAACAAGCGCACGAGCCGTCCATTCTCCAGCTCGCGGCAAAGATCGGAGTTCAACTGGTCGTCCATATGAAGCGCCGAATCAAATGTCGACATCAGCTGGGAGGAAATGCCAGTTATGAAGGTATCAATGTTTCGCTCCTGCTCCTTCTGCAAACTACCCAGTAGCCACATGACAGAATTCTTCAACTGGGGACTGTAGGAGCGGCCGAAAACTTCAAGGGCTTTATTAAGGTTGTGTTGGACGGCAGGCTGGCCGGTGCCAAGAATGAGAATCAACTGGCCGAAGTTGACCAAATCTTGCCGCTGCAGGTCAGCCACAGTCTTCTGAGTATCGAACTGCACCACGTCGAGGATAGCGCAAGCGTTAATGCGAATGCGAGATTTAGCAGTCACTAGAATCTTGCTAGGCTCGAGGACTCGAGCGGCCAGACCATTGGCGTGAATGGCCTTGAGCCCATTAGCAATTTGGGTCATGTAACCCCAGAGAAGCTGCTCAGAAATAGGAGCATTCGGACGAGCAGGATACCGATTTCCAGTGTTCAGGTGCTGCTCTGCAAGTGTCTTGGACAGGGGGTGGTAATCAGTCACAAAGATCAAAGAGCTGTCTTGGAAGCTACGGCTGGTGAACGCGTCATGAACTGTCACAACACTGCCGTTGCAAACGCGTTTCCAGGCTTGCACTGAACGAATAGCCTTCTCATTGGTCAAACGAAAACCTAATATCATTAGTCTGCAGCCGACAATGAAGTCAAGAATAGGAGACCGTCATACCCTCAAGTCTGCGAAGAGCGTAGAAGCAACCATCCTTGCTAGACTGGGCCTTGTAGATCCAGCTCGGGTAGCCAAAGGTCGAGGCATTCTTCTGGTGGCTAAGATCCAGAGGCACAAGAGAGTGGAAGTAATCCACCTGGGCCGGGAGTTGCGTATCTACAATAGTGTCAGTACAAGCACCAATCTCAATGGTAATGCGACCTACTAGGGAGAGTTTGCAGGGTTGCCGCTGCCTTTTTCTGCAGTTCCTCACGCAAATCATTGGGAAGAAAAAGGTCATGGACGTTACGCTGATAACCCATAGTGTTTTGGTTATGCGGGCCAATTGGGGCGTAAAGATGGTACTGAACCTGTTTTGTGATTAGACCCGATAGGAAAAAACCAAAATAAGACCCAGAGGACGTCAACGTACAGGTTGCTGGAAGCCGGCTGGGTTCGCAAAGAAAGCGCCTCCCATGGCGGCTGCAGGGTCATGGGAGTAAGGATTCGCCGATACTGGCCCAACGCCACCTGGAGTCATCGTATTTGGGGTGGTGATAAAAGGATCAAAAGCACTAGTGGGAGGCATTCCTCCATTACCGTTGCTTTGAAGAGGGCTCTGGTATGGCATGTTAGCAATGTGGTCAATATACGGGTGCCGGTGATGAAAACGAGGAGGTTCCCAAGCCAAGGCCGGAGGATAGCCATGAGGAGCATCGGATTCATGATGCGTCCCGCCATGTCTGGACCGATGATAGTTGGACCGTGATTGGGGCTGCCAAGAATGTTGTCCGAGATAGTTCCTGGGCCCGGTCGGTATGTGACCTCGAGGCCCCATCGATGGATTGCGGTGCGGAGGGTCAATCTGCGTGGATGCAGGATGGAATTCCGCCGCCAAAGCAGACAACTTGGTCGACGAGTGGCCATCGTCACGGTGAGTACTTGCGGGCATCACTGGGATGCTGCTACAAGGAGCCACCGGGGGTCCGCGGTAAAGAGGGTTGCCATGACGAGGATGCGCTGGCGTGGCCGGAATACTTCCATAAGGAGGAGCCAACGGGGGACCGTGGTACGAAAGGTGAGTCTCCCCGGGTGTATGATGGATATTCGGCTCAAAAGCAGACAACTCAGACAACCCAGGCGATGGAAGGGGTCCATCACAGCGATGAGCCCCGGGCATCACTGCGGGCATCACTGGGATATTGCCATAGGGAGCCATCGGAGGACCGCGGCAAAGAAGAAAGTCACGACGAGGGTTCATTGGCGCGAATGGAATGCCTCCACAAGGAGGAGCCACCAAGCGACCGCGGTCCTGATAGTGAGTCTGCCCGAATATGAATTGGGGACTCGCTAGCAAAGCAGAGGGCCCAAATGATGGCTGGCAAATGCCATAGCGAGCACTCGGGGGCATGGCTGGGAAGCTTTCTTGAGGAGCCACCAGGGGACCGCGGTTTTGAATGGGAGTCTGCCCGAATGTGGAATGGAGATTTGCTGGCAAAGTATAGAGACCAAGTGATGGCGCACAACTGTCAGAACGAGGACTCGGTGGCATGGCTGGGAAGCTTCCTTGAGGAGCCACAAGTCCAGCGGTGCTCGGCGTGACTCTGCCCCGGTATAGGGTGGTTCTCAGCTGCTAGAGAAGACAAGCTACTCCTAGGACTGCGCTGGTGCTTGGTAGGGTCCATGTTGACGCGATGTTGTGGTCCAGATGGAACGTGGCAATGGGGAGTTTGGGATCAAAGAGAAAATGAAAACAAACGTGGGGTAGACTCGAGGTAAAAGGTAAGGACGACTTACAGCATGCTCAAAACCCTGGGGTACAAACTCCTGCACATCGGCGACTGCCCAATCTGGCACTGGATCTGACCGCCCTGTGGGTGTACCTGTATTTGAACCTTTCCACGCTCGTCAGTCATATAAACACTTACACCATCTCTCCTGCTCCCAAGGAAGCACATACGCGATGAGGTTGTTCGAGGCTGAAAAGGAGCTGCATTAGCAGCTTTTGGCGATATGGCAGTGGACTTCTTCGGCGCTTGTACGCCAGCCCCAGACAGTAAGGATGGGGTGAAACTGGGTGAGTCCACATTGAACCGCTTCTTGCTATCCGACGAACCAGTTCCTGTCAGCAAAGTTTGTTCAGATCTTAGAAGAACCAGTTTGCTTCACACCTGTCTGACTGGCTTGCATTGAGTTTTGACGGGTCATGATTGAAAGCACAACCTGGAGACAGAAGTTCCCAATCAGCTTCACCATCCACGCTGGCCATGATCAAGGTTCGTGGATACCTTTGTCTTCATAACGGCATCGCCCATAGATGGTCACATTACGGCATAAAGTGTCTTTCGCATTCTCTATGCATCACTGTTAGCAACTTCGTCTCAAAATGTGACATACATCTCCGGGTGGGCCCAGCATAGCCCTGTCACAAGAGTGATATCCAAGGGATATCTGATTCTTTATACTCGAGATCAACTCACCACGGCTCTTCATTTTCGGCGATCCTGTCGTTCGACGAGTGTCCTCCAAAGGAGGTTTCCCGACAGACGCCATGGTATCTGGCTGAGGTCCACTTAATGGTGCGGATCAGCGCAATGAGATCCCCATTGAAATAAGACTTGGTAGGGAACGAAGGGTGGCGATGAGAGGAAACCGCATTCCCTTACTTCGGTCTGATGTCGATGTCGATGTCGATGTCGATTGAAGTGAATGTCCCACGCGTTTCACGATCAGGCGGGTCGATTCCGAGGGAAGCCCACGGAGAACGTTCGGCGGTATCTCAGCCGATAACAATAGGCATGAATGGTAAGTAAGGATATAGTCAAAGCGCTCTCTCATCCCAAGGAATGATTGAGAGCGACAGAACTGATGGAGATCAAGACGCGGGGCGAGAAACGAACTCGAGCGAAGGGGGATATGTGCACGGACCAGGCGGTCAGGCGGATGAGCTTCAGGGTAAGGCCAGTTTGAGCTTCAACGTCACCGCCCACCGATTCCTTCGTGGTTTCCTTCAACGTCTTTGAGAGTGTGCACGTGCTCAATGACAGGAACTTTCGGTTGCTCCATGGCTATCTATCTTGAAAGCACCCTCGTCTTTTGAATTTATGGCTATACGCCTTGCACCACCACGATGTCGCAACCAGAGGTCGATCTAGATCAGCTCTCTGATAATGAGAAGACTGCGCTAGAGACGTACATGGCTGTGACTAGCCAAGAGCCCTCAGATGCGATTCAGCTTCTGCGTCGGTCAGAATGGAATGTACAGGTATGTTTGTCATTATCATCGGACTGGCCAAGCGCATGAAAGTTTTAACCTTTTCCCGCATGATAGATCGCTATCTCTAAGTTCTTTGATGGCGAAGGCCCGGATCCCGTCGAAGAAGCTCGCTCTGCAATGGAGAATCCGCCTCCGCCCCAGCCAAATCGCCGAACTCAGAACTTAATGACTGACGACTTGGCTGAACACTTCTCGCGGGCTGCTCGGGCCAGAGTCTCAGACCCGGCCCCACAAGTTGATACACAATCAGGAGATCAGCCTGTGTACAGGCCTCCGTTCATTCTCAGCATACTCTTCACTCCGTTCAATTTGATCTATCGACTCCTCTGCGGTTCATTCCGCCTATTTGGGGTCCTCTTTCCCTTCTTGCCACGCTTGTTTAACAGGACGGCAAGCCCCGCGCTGCGAGGTGCTCGTCGGAATACTACTGGACGTCGGTCGCTTGGCCCCCAGGACACTGCCGCTCGCTTTATCCGCGAGTTTGAGGAAGAGTATGACACTCACACTATCCCGTTCTTGGAGAATGGATACAACATGGCGCTTGAGAAGGCTCGCCGCGATCTAAAGCTCCTCGTCGTCATTCTTTTATCCCCAGAACATGACGATACGAACTGTTGGGTTCGTGAAACCCTCCTGGCACCGGAGGTCTTGGAATTTATCAACGACCCCCAGAACAACCTACTGGTCTGGGGCGGCAATGTGCAAGATTCCGAAGCATACCAGGTTGCCAACAAACTGAAATGCACCAAATTCCCTTTTGCAGCAGTCATTGTCCATACTCCGAACGTGTCGTCCACCGCAATGTCCATTGTAGGACGGCTTGCAGGAGTCACTACGCCATCCGAGGTCGTGAACAAACTGCGGAGAGTCGTGGCATCCAACAATGGACAGCTGGAGCAGCTCCGGTCCTCACGTGCGGAGCAGCAAGCTTCACGCAGCCTGCGCGAAGAGCAAGACTCAGCTTACGAGCGGTCGCTGGCGATTGACCGTGAACGGGCACAACAGCGTCGGGAAGCCGAGGCGGCACGTCAACGTGAAGAACAGGAGGCTGCCGGCCGGCAGGCGGCAGAGGAGCAACGGCGCCGCAATCTCGCACAGTGGAGGCTTTGGCGCGCGCAGACCCTTAGCGCGGAACCCGGACCAGATGTTAAGGATGCGGTGCGGGTCAGCGTCCGGCTTCCGTCCGGCGAACGAATCATGCGCAAATTTGCGCCCGATGTGGACATTGAGGAAATCTACGCGGTTGTGGAATGCTACCAGATTTCACAAGAGCAGGGTGGAGAGAAACCTACGGTGACTGAACCCGAGGGGTATGTGCATCAATATACCTTTCGACTGGTCTCACCCATGCCTCGCGTGGTGTATGCGGTTGAAGAGGGTGGGTCGATCCGAGAGAAGATTGGACGTGGTAGTAATCTGTTGGTGGAACCCATTGATGAGGACGAGGAAGATGCAGACGAGGGCGAGGCAGTTACTGACACCTAGTTAATTGCCTTGAATTCTGACTGGTGTTTCGGTCTAGGTAATGTGAATTCTAATATCTCAACTCACATACACCGCTTCACCAGGTGGTGTTGTTTTTCTGTTTCTAGCGTTCAATGTACGGAGTACCCTGGCTTGTAGATCAATTCTGATATTGAAATTTTCTCCTGCGGCGTGGCCGTCTTACTCTCGTATTTTGAATTTGTCTCTTGGCTTGCCTAACCGAGCAAGGGTCTTTCGCATGGCGTAGAAACTGTGCCAGCCTGGCCCTAGCTACATTCGGTTAGATGATGACCTCAATAATAGACCAATCGATTGCACATGCAAGGGAGGAGCCCATGAGGATCTGACGGTGCATATCTCCGCCATGTTCGTCCGTGGTCCGTGTACGAGAATCATGAGGAATCCCATGAGTGTTTCAGATTCGGACGAATTGCCCCAAATATTGATCCGCTCGGAAGAAATTTTAAGCATGAACACCGGGGCAGAGCCCCTTGGAGAGATCAACGGAGATAAGATCAGGTATCCATCGCATCCATCGATGCCCAGGGGTTATCGATATCCCGGTGGGGTTGAGCTGAGTCAGCGGTCTCGGATGCAGGGTATCCGGGCATCCGAGGCCATGTGAAACGGATCGCGCTGTTCCCGGCCCACTGAGCTTCTGGAACGTCTTCACACGTGTGGATGTATGCAGTACCACACAGTACCTGATTTCCCCACCTAATTTTGTTTGTATTGGCTATCGACATGAAGTAGCAGGTACAATGAGGATATGTACAATGAGTCACCATGTGTCTATCACATACACAGTAGAACGAATACGAATTATGCATCTCCGATCTGATTTAGATATTCTTGTTTTTTAAGTCCTTGGCAACAATAAGCAACCGGAACCGGAAAAAGGAGGCATTGTTAAGGGCTAGAATCCTCAAGAACAATTAGATGGAAGAAAAATAAAAATAACTGGAAAACCACCGGCACCCTGGCACCCGGAGTCTATCGACTCCGCCCCCGTGTCTGTATCAACGGGAGCCCCACTTTTATTTCTTCCCGGAGGAAGGATATTATCTTTCCGAGTCCCGATCTGAACGATCGCAAACCCTTTTTCTTTCTTCATTCCATACTTAATACCCTTCCCTGTCGTTCTTTCCGTTTACCTTGATTCGTTACAATTTCCTACTCAATTACTATCTTTACATCCGTTGATGGTCATCTCCTAATCTCCAATTCATCTTCCTCTGGGCCTGACCCACATAATCAAATCTATCCCCTATCTTCGACAGTGACTGGCCATTATGTCACTACTAGGGACATTGAATCCGAACCTTTCGGGCTCCCAAAATGTGCAAGAAGGCAACAATGCCAACACGGAGGCCCGTCGCCACGAACCCGCGGACAGTTTGAACACCGAGGACACCGCCAATGAGAACGGCGAGGTTGGCAACGAGGGCCAGATCGAGGCCGAGGTCACTCGCTTGGCCCAGCAACTCACACGCCTCTCCACGCACTACTCGGTCTCGGGCGACAATGCCGAGAACACCTTCCTCGAAACCAAGGAGGATTCTAGCCTCAACCCTCACAGCGAGAACTTCAAAGCTAAGAGTTGGATGAAGAACTTCTTGGCTATTACCTCTCGCGACCCGGAACGATACCCCACGCGACAGGCCGGCCTTTCCTTTACAAACCTCAGCGTGCACGGATTCGGAAGTCCCACGGACTATCAAAAGGATGTAGCGAACTCCGTTCTGGAGGTTGGTGCCTTGTTCCGTGCCCTCACTGGAACTGGCAAGCAGAAGATCCAGATTCTGCGCGAGTTCGATGGCTTGGTGAAGAGCGGCGAGATGCTGGTCGTTCTCGGCCGCCCTGGTTCTGGTTGTTCCACGTTTTTGAAGACGATTGCGGGAGAGATGAACGGTATCTTCAAAGATGAGGCGTCCAGAATTAATTACCAAGGAATCTCCGACCGGCAGATGCGGAGTCAGTTCCGCGGTGAAGCTATCTACACCGCCGAAACAGACGTGCACTTCCCACAGCTCTCCGTCGGCGATACATTGAAGTTCGCTGCCATGGCTCGTGCTCCCCGCAACCGTTTGCCGGGGGTCTCTCGCGACCAGTACGCAGAACACATGCGTGATGTCGTAATGGCCATGCTGGGTCTGACCCACACCATGAACACCCAGGTGGGAAACGATTTTGTCCGTGGAGTTTCTGGCGGTGAGCGGAAGCGCGTAAGCATCGCCGAGGCTGCTCTTTGCGGCAGCCCTCTCCAGTGTTGGGATAACAGTACCCGTGGTCTGGACAGTGCCAACGCCTTGGAGTTCTGCAGGACCTTGAATCTGATGGCCAAGTACTCCGGTACCACCTGTGCTGTGGCTATCTACCAGGCCTCCCAGAGTGCCTACGATGTTTTCGACAAGGTCACTGTGTTGTACGAGGGCCGACAGATTTACTTCGGCCGCACCACCGAGGCCAAAAAGTTCTTCACTGAGATGGGCTTCTACTGCCCAGAGCGCCAGACCACCGCCGATTTCCTGACCTCTCTCACCAGTCCTGCTGAGCGAGTGGTCAAGGCTGGCTTTGAGAACATGGTCCCCCGGACCCCGGATGAGTTCGCCGCTGCATGGAAGAGCAGCGATGCGTACAAGCGGTTGGTGAAGGAGATCGCCGAGTATGACGAGGAGTTCCCTATCGGCGGCGAGTCCCTACAGAAGTTTGTCGAGTCCCGCAAGGCAATGCAATCGAAGACCCAACGCATCAAGTCGCCTTATACCCTGTCTGTCAATGAACAGGTCCAACTCTGCATGAGACGTGGTTTCCAGCGTCTGAAGGGTGATTTCAGTTTGACGATCTCGGCGCTGATTGGAAACTTCATCATGGCTTTGATCATTGGTTCTGTCTTTTTCCAGTTACCGGATGATGTGACCAGCTTCTATTCTCGTGGTGCTCTCCTCTTCTTCGCTGTCCTCCTGAACGCCTTCTCGAGTGCCTTGGAGATTCTGACCCTTTACGCCCAACGCCCCATCGTCGAAAAGCAAGCTCGCTACGCCATGTACCATCCATTCGCCGAGGCAATCTCATCGATGTTGTGTGACATGCCGTATAAATTGACCAACGCCGTCACTTTCAACATCCCTCTCTACTTCATGACTCGTCTCCGCCAAACCCCTGGTGCTTTCTTCACCTTCCTGCTCTTCTCTTTTGTGACCACCATGACCATGTCCATGGTGTTCCGCACCATCGCTTCCTACTCTCGCACTTTGTCTCAAGCTCTGGTGCCCGCCGCCATCCTGATTCTCGGTTTGGTCATCTACACTGGTTTCACCATCCCGACCCGCAACATGCTTGGCTGGTCTCGCTGGATGAACTACATTGACCCGATTGCTTATGGTTTCGAGTCGTTGATTGTGAACGAGTTCCACGGCCGCAACTTCCCTTGCAACGCCGAGTCTTTCATCCCTGCGGGAGAGTCCTACCTCGATGTCGGCCCGCGGAACAAGATCTGCTCGCAGAAAGGAGCCGTGGCCGGCCAAGACTTCATCAACGGCGATGATTATTTTACCACAAGTTTCGAGTATTCGAACACCCACAAGTGGAGGAATCTGGGGATAATGCTCGGATTTATGGTATTTTTTATGGGTACCTACCTCATTGGTACCGAGTACATCTCCGAGTCTAAGTCCAAGGGCGAGGTTCTGCTCTTCCGCCGCGGGTTAGCCCCCAAGAAGACTGGCACCTCCGAGGATGATGTGGAGCAGACCCAGCCCGTTTCCCTTGCCGAGAAGAAGGATGGCTCCAGTTCCGATGACGAGGGTACCAGTGCCGCTATCCAGAGACAGACTGCCATCTTCCAGTGGCAAGATGTGTGCTACGATATCAACATCAAGAAGGAAGAACGCCGCATTCTCGACCACGTCGACGGTTGGGTCAAGCCTGGCACCTGCACTGCTCTTATGGGTGTTTCTGGAGCTGGTAAAACCACTCTTCTGGATGTTCTCGCTACTCGTGTTACTATGGGTGTTGTGTCCGGTGAAATGTTGGTCGACGGTCGCCCTCGTGACCAGTCTTTCCAACGCAAAACTGGTTACGTTCAGCAACAGGATCTTCATCTCCACACCACCACCGTCCGCGAGGCTCTTCGCTTCAGCGCTGTCCTCCGTCAACCCGCTCACGTCTCTCACCAGGAGAAACTCGACTACGTCGAGGAGGTCATCAAGCTCCTCGGAATGGAGCACTATGCCGACGCCGTTGTTGGTGTCCCCGGTGAAGGTCTCAACGTCGAACAGCGCAAGCGTCTGACCATCGGTGTCGAACTGGCTGCCAGGCCGCAACTACTTCTGTTCTTGGATGAGCCTACCTCTGGTCTTGACAGTCAGACGTCTTGGTCTATTCTAGATCTCATCGACACGTTGACCAAGCACGGTCAGGCCATTCTCTGCACTATTCACCAGCCCTCTGCTATGCTTTTCCAGCGTTTCGATCGTCTTCTCTTCCTCGCCAAGGGTGGCAAGACCGTCTACTTCGGAGAGATCGGTGAGAAGTCTTCGACACTTTCCAACTACTTCGAACGCAACGGTGCCCCCAAGCTCCCTGCCGATGCCAACCCTGCCGAATGGATGCTCGAAGTCATTGGAGCCGCCCCTGGATCCCACAGTGACATCGATTGGCCTGCTGTGTGGCGCGACAGCCCTGAACGCAAGGCCGTCCACGAACACCTCGCCGAGCTCAAGTCTGACCTCTCCCTCAAGCCTGTCGCCACTCACGACAATGATCCGACTGCCTTCGACGAATTCGCTGCTCCCTTCTCGGTTCAACTCTGGCAGTGTCTGGTCCGCGTCTTCAGCCAGTACTGGCGTACCCCAGTCTACATCTACTCGAAGACCGCTCTCTGCACCCTGACAGCCCTTTACGTCGGATTCTCCTTCTTCCATGCCCAGAACAGCATGCAGGGCCTCCAGAACCAGATGTTCAGTGTTTTCATGCTGATGACGGTCTTCGGCAACCTGGTCCAGCAAATCATGCCTCACTTTGTCACCCAACGCTCTCTCTACGAAGTCCGCGAACGCCCCTCCAAATCATACTCCTGGAAAGCGTTCATGACTGCCAACATCCTCGTCGAACTCCCCTGGAACGCCCTCATGTCCGTCCTCATCTACGTCTGCTGGTACTACCCCATCGGCCTGTACCGCAACGTCGACTCTGAGCACATCCACGAGCGCGGCGCGCAGATGTGGCTCCTCGTATTGACCTTCATGATCTTCACCTCCACTTTCGCGCACATGATGATCGCCGGTATCGAGCTCGCGGAAACGGGAGGCAACCTCGCCAACCTGCTCTTCTCTCTCTGTCTCGTCTTCTGTGGTGTCCTCGCCACACCGGCCAACATGCCCCGATTTTGGATCTTCATGTACCGGGTCTCACCGTTCACCTACCTCGTCTCGGCGATGTTGTCGGTCGGTACGTCGGGTGCGAAGGTCGTCTGCGAGGATATTGAGTTGCTGCACTTCAAGCCTGCCGACAACATGACTTGCAACGAGTACATGAAGGACTATATCTTTGGAACTTCGACCTCGCCTGCGCGCGGTGGTTACTTGATTGATGGGTCTTCTACCACTGAGTGCTCCTTCTGCACCATTGATTCCACAGATACCTTCCTCGCAGGCGTTAGCTCCTATTACAAGGACGCCTGGCGCAACTTTGGGTTGATGTGGGTTTTCATCGCTTTTAACATCGCGGCTGCGGTGTTCATTTACTGGCTTGCTCGTGTGCCCAAGGGTACTCGCAGCAAGAAGTCTTGAAGATGTCACTAATTTTCTCCGCTCCTGTATTTTTTTCTTTCTTCGTTTTACATACTTAGTGGGATAACCGCGCCAGCTCTATGAGTGATGCCTCCGGCCCCGTATTAGCTTATCCTCCCAGGAGGTTCAATAGGAAAAAGATACACTTCTCCTATCCTATGAACTGTTTCTCAGTATGACTCGTGATATCGTAGCACTATCTTCTGATCTGTGGTCTTCCGTTCTGCCTCCGACGTCAAACTGCCATCGCGCTCCTAGGTCCCATTTCAAAGTACATCTGGTCTGGATGGTCTAAACAATATACTAGTTGGAATAGAGCCTATTGGCTTCAAAATGTTATCACATCCATAGGTAATTACAATCCTCAAAGTAAAGTACCGAGTTCAAGTACAAAAAGACCGGTATGAAATGATAGTAAAAGGAATGAAGGTATTCCCTTTGCGTAAAGATTAACCCGCTTGCTATGCACATCAAAGGCAAAAGCAGCAAAGCTCGAAAGACATATTAAATATGAAAAAAACCCCTCTACCACGTAAAAGCCTCTTCCACAAAATCCACAACAGCCCCTTTTCCAATCCTCTTTCTCGTTGCAGCCCTAACCTCATCCGCAAAGGCCCCCGGCCCACAAACGCTAACCAGCGTCGCCCCCGTCCTCCCAGGCAAAATCTCATCAAGCACCACATCCGGCCTACAGCGACCAGAATGCATCAAGACAGTCGCTGACGGCGAAACGATCTCCGCCGCGCGCCTTGGCTTCGAGATAAAAAGCTTGATGACAAGAATATCCCGTCGACCGGGCAGTCGCAGGATCTGGTCCATGTAGCTGCTGACCCAGGCGAGGTGGTCTGTTGAGCGAACGGACCAGATGAGGTAGACTTTGCGGGTTGCGGCTGTTTGCTGTGCGGCTTGCGTGACTAGATGGCGGGTGTGGAGGAGGTGGTGGGTTATTCCTGCGCCGGCGCTGAAGAGGATTGTGGTGCCGTAGCTTGGGGGGTTTGTGGGGTGGGAGCCGTAGGGACCTTCGATGAAGCCGGGGAGGGTTAGGGATTTGGTGGGGGAGGCGTTTGCGGCGTTGTAGAGGGCGCGGGTCATGCCTTTTTGGGCGCTGATTATCAGGGAGATTTGGGTTGTTGGTTTCGTGGGTGGGAGTGGGAGGGTGGTTTGTTTTTCCAGGTCGGCGTATTTGGGTGTTTGTGTTGGGAGTAGGGATGATGTGGTGCTGTTCGTGCTGGATTCGGCCCAGGCTATGGAGAAGGGGTGGGACATCCACCAGGAGATGGTGGGGATGTAGACGAAGACGTGGCAGCCTGGTTGGACGGTTATGCGTTTTGGGAGGTGGAAGGTTACGCGGCAGGCTTCGCCGGGGAGGGCTTGGACGACCATCTTTGTTGTGCCGGACGTTGAGACGTTCAGGTAGATGAGACGGGCGAACCGGATGAGTCGGTCTAAGAGCCAGATTATGGCGATTGTTCGTGCCCAGGGTAATTGGGGGAGGGCGTCGATGTTGAGGTGCACGTATACGCCGAGGAAGGCGAGGATGGCAGCGAGTTGGTGTAAGTGCAGGAAGGTCTCGTAGAAGGCATGGCGGATGGGCGAGGGTGAGTGCAGACAGAGGAAGATCATTGAGGTAACGCCTACGAGACCCCAGGTGAAGAAGGGTGTATTGCGGATGCGAGCAAGCATGTGGGTGAAGTCTTGCTCGTCGACGGCGTTGACGGCCCAAGCAGATGTATGAACGATGGATTCCAGGACGACGATACGGCCCAGCCAGCGGTGGAGGAGATTGTATGTGTCGAAGCTGATGCGCAGGATCGGTATCAAGGGGTTGTTTCGGCCGGCGAGGAGGAACAGCGGGACCATATTGAGAACGGCCAGCGTCCCTGATCGACCACGGAGTTCAGCTATCAAGGCTGCTTTCTCGTTGACGCTGTAGTCCAGGTAGACACAGTATGTGGCTTGACTGACAAAGTACAGTATGATCAGAATGCTCTGCATTCGGGAGGGTAGGGTGCCGACATTGACAGCGGAAGAGAGCTGCAGTTCTCGATTGTGTCTCTTCCGTCCTATTGGGGCGTACAGAATGTGTTTCTTGAGGTTTGGCCACCATCTTGATTGTTCCTGGGCCCAGAAGGTCTGCTGCTGTTTGTTTAAACTGGACGCTGTAATCTGGCGTAGGTAGGCATGGCTGATCTGGGCGACTCGGCCACAGAATAATGCGAATGCCACGACAATCAGGGAGATGTAGATGATCCGAGTGATGATCGCATCTCGGGGGATATCCACCCCATCTAACCCCCTTGAGTACTCATGTACGTATGTAGCATTCGATCCGTAGCCTCGTGCTGCGATATGCGGAGAGGTTGCTGCCATTGAACGGCGCAAGGAAAGAGTTGTAGTCTGAGACAGAGAAGATGCAAAGATTCGGTGTTGACTCTTTAGTTGAGATTGCAATGTGCAATCTGTTCAAGCCGCTCAACGGCTGGGATTGAAATGACAGTGAAGCTTGAGATTCCGGTTGAAGATGGGTGTTTGCGGGGGGATCGAGATCGAGGATGCTAGTTAGATCGGATGGAGAAGATTATAAACAGGGAGCAATGAGTCGAATATAGGGAGGTTTCTTTGATTGTTCGGACAAAGATAATGTGCTATAATGGGAGCATTGTGTTGTTCGTTTGAGGTGAGCGAACAATGAAGCCTGTCTCAAGATGAATGTACACAATGGTCATGCAGTCACCAAAGCGACCCAGAATAACAAAGTCGATTTCTGGCATTCGAGAGAAATTAGCACGTCACTAAGAATCAGTGATATGTAGTGTCTCACCTCTCCAGGCATCAGGAATGCAAGGGAGATTCCAGAGCACGTGTTTTGGCCCAGAATGTAGATGGAGTAGATGAAGAGATCGTGTTAGCAATCGAGCAATAAGAAGTGTTAAGAGAGTGTAATGTCGAGACCAGCCGACTGTCTAAGAGAGTGGGAAAAGAGGAGAGCTACACAGTAGTTATATGACGGACCTTAAGTATCTCCGACATAGTTCGTGTCAAGCCCCTGATCGTCTGGGCCCATTTTTTAAGGCGTTTAAGTGCAGAACCTTGGTACACTTGGAACCTATCGGGAGATCAGCCTTTACTCCTTATGGGCTAACTAGTGACACATCCCATGGAAAAGGAGGCTCGAGCCCCTGGTTACGCCTGGTAGACTGTGGTAGTGATTTGTTGACTGCAGGGGCCTTTGTTTCAATCAAAGTCCAATTAACCTGTTGCAGTCTAACCAGTTGCGCATGACTATGCAGGCGACCCGCCTTTGGTTGGATGAGAATGTTCGCTCATTTCCCTCCATCCAATTAGGTTTAGCGCCAAAACCAGGCAGAATTGGATCATGTGATATGGGCATCAGGCCTAGCCGCCCAACTCACTGAGGTACTGTGTAACTTCCCAGGCTTCAGTGCCGGGTTGAATATAATCCGCTCCCATGCGGGTGTGATTGTGATGTGATCCCTCTGTCGTTCCCACCTGCTTTGATTTTCCTTGGTTCATCCTAGGCATCTTAAATGCATCACCTCTCGTTCCATCGCCATGGCCAGCAACAGCTCACCTGATTACAAAGCACTCTTTCAGCAGCAAAGTGAGTCGCCCAGGCAGTCAGGGGAGGCGCGTAAACAGGCAGAGGAGGCGCGTCAACAGGCAGAGGAGGCGCGTCAACAGGCAGAGGAGGCGCGTCAACAGGCAGAGGAGGCGCGTAAACAGGCAGAGGACCAAGTTAAGCGGACCACCTTCGTGGAACTTTTGCGCCATTGCCACGACTTATTATCGCGACTGCTACAAGTTGGCTCACTCTCCAGCTCGACCACAGGGACAATACCCCTCCCCAAAGGAAAGTACTGTCCGACGCGACTGGAGCAGTGGGTTGACTGCGCAGCCCAGCAACAAGATATCTACGACTCTGTCCGTCGTTACCTCCAACCAGAAGAAAATCCACCGCGCATTTTTCCATCTCGTGAACGGCTGAAGGGGCACCTCATAAGCTTCCCGCAGCTGATTACCAGTGAGACCGACATTCAATTCTATGAGCGGATCGCAGTGGACTCGTATGTCCGCGCAGTCATCATGGAACTATGCAAAATACCAGCCGCCCGTGAAGAATTTGGGCTTGGGGATGAGGTTTGGTTCGACCGCGTCCCCAATGTTCCAAGTGGGAACGAAATGGGTATGAATAATTCATCGAACACCGCCCATAGCAGGCCGGACCAGTCATTCATCCATCGAGTTGATGACAGAGCCGCCACGCTGCTTACCAAAGTCGAATACGTGCCGCCACGCAAGCTTACTTTGGAGGATCTCCGCGTGGGGCTCGGTGACATGGATCTGTGGGAAAAGATGGTTCGGGCGAACAAGGTGCTCAATAACGATGCCGATCGATCGGTCTACAAGGCACAGCGGCTCGTCTGCTCAGCTATTGTTCATGAATACCATGTCATGATTCAAAAGGGACTTGAGTATTCCTACCTGACCACAGGAAACGCGCTTGTGCTTCTCTGGGTTCCACGTGAAAAGCCGAGCACCTTGCACTACCATCTCTGTGTGCCCAACCAGGAAGTGGATGGTCGAGATGGGGATCTCCCACAACCAAACACATCCATTGCAAGGGTACTCTGTCTTTGCTTGATGAGCTTTCGTTCGCGGCAGCGTGGTCAAGAGTGGCGAACTTTGTATTGTTCGGAGCTTCACACTTGGAAGACGAATTCTGATCGCACACATGCAAATGTTCCCACAGAGAAACTACCACGGAATCTACCCTCTGATATCACGGATCATGTCAGCCCGGAATCAGACCCCACAAGTCCAGAGGATGATAAATCATCATCTCCAATCGAGTCGCCAACTACACCTGCCCGGCGAGTACCAACAAGATCACAAGGGAACTGCGCGCCATTAGATCCCAAAGACCGCATGGGTTCAGCAGACTCATCAGGCTCTGAGTCAGATCCTGCAGCGCCTGCACAAGATCCCGCAGCAGCAGCGCGAAAGCGAGGCTATAGTCAGGTTGAACATTCACCTTCACAGCGATTGTCTCCCCGAAATCCGGTAGAACGTCAATACGAGCTATCTCGGCGACGCGACGCGCAGTTCTGTACCCAACGTTGTCTACTTGGGCTGCAAAAAGGCGGACCTCTGGATGATTCTTGTCCAAATGTGGATCTACACCGGCAAGGCGGTAATGGGACTGAGCATTCTATCAGCACCGTGGAGTTGATCTCGCTTCTCAAGCAACAAATGGATGAGGACATTGACCGGTGCATTTCATTTGGGTCCTGTAGGTGATATAGCGCCCCGTTCAAGCTCACCTGTTCCCCTCATGGGTATACTGTTGTTGGGAAAGGAACGACAAAGAATCTTTGGACGAAGGCTGTATCCCACGAGGCCGACATATATCATATTCTTCGCAAGGCACAGGGCTCTGCAGTCCCTGTGTTTCTGGGCAAGATCGATCTCGTAAAGATCTACTTTCGCTGTGGCGTAGAGATTCGCCACCTGCTTGTCATGGGTTGGGCAGGTGAGAGTACAGCAACACTCGAGCAGACTTCGGACCTTCGCAGGGAGATCAAAAGGTCGAACAAGGAAATTCGCGCTTTGGGAGTCCGACACCGAGACCTTCGGCCTAACAATATCCTATGGAACGCTGAATTAGGGTGGGCTTTGATTATTGACTTCCACCGGTCTGAGCTGGATCGTCGGCGACCCGCAGACAGGTCCAGGCCATTGAAGAGGTCCCGACATAAGGCAGAGATATCCGAGTCCAAGTGAGTACGAGTGATAGTAACACGAGGTTGTGGTTGATATTATTCTGCATAAGACTCTGATGGCTTGACCCATCCGCGGAGCCGGCCCGAGTCCTCTCTCACAAGCAAGAATTCGCGAGGCTTCACGGCCGAGTACTTCGAACCCAGGGTAAGAGGTATCATAAATCCAGTGCCTAATTACGCGGCTGGCTCTATGGGTATGAAGGGATAGTCGCGGTGTATCATCCGAACAGCAGCTATGAGCTGTTTCCAACTCGTTTACATTCACATACATTCATATGCAGTAACTAGATCTTCTCTTGGTCTCGTGCTTCGACGTAGAAGTTGTTGAACCCTAACCATCATGTCCGTGGACGTATGAATGCCCCAGAACAATGAGATGGTGTAGGAAAAGGTAGCTCTGCAGTGACATAGAAATAGCCACCAAGTGAGTTGTGTCGGAGACCTTCAGCCTCCGACTGTCTCAGTGTCAGCCCACAATAACGGGGCTTGATCGAGTTTCACATCCGTCATGAAACTGCGTGGCGCACCTTCTGGCGGCTCGAAGACTCGAATACGAGGAGAATAGATGAAGGAGATAAATTGCAATCGTGCATTCCACTCTATTTGAGATATTATATGTACATTAGATCCATCCACTCCCAAACACCTAATTTACCGTCCCATCCAGCCACCATCCACCGTGAGGATCTCACCAGACACATAGCTGCTAGCCCGACTAGCCAGGTACACCACCGCACCCTTGAAGTCCTCAGGACTTCCCCAGCGACCAGCGGGGATGCGAGCCATGATACCAGCATTGCGCCCAGCATCGTTAATAAGAGCCGTGTTCATATCGGTAGCAATATACCCGGGGGCAATCGCATTGACATTGATGCCCTTAGCGAGCCAGTCGTTGGAGAGCGCCTTGGTCAGCTGTCCAATGCCGCCCTTAGATGCAGCATAGGCGGGCACAGTAATACCGCCCTGGAAGGTGAGCAGCGAGGCGACGTTGATGATGGAGCCCCGGCGACCGTCGGGGAATTCGGAGGCGTCACGGGCAAGTAGGTATGAGGCGAATTCTCGACACATGATGAATACAGATGAGAGGTTGACTTCCAGGACCTAGTTCCACAAGTAAGAAACATGAGCAGATCATGGATGGGGTTCCCGTTCGGCTTACCTCGTCCCAGTCTTCGTCCGGGAACTGTTCGGCAGGGTGTCGCCGTTGGATTCCGGCACAGTTCACCAGAATCTCGGGCTTGATCCCTTGGCTGGTCAATGCTGGCATGATGCCTTTGATGGCTTGGCGATCGCTCAGCTCGGCGACGTGAATGTAGGCCTTGCGACCAAGACGTATGATCTCATCTTTGGTTGATGTGTTGGTGTTGTCTCTCTAGCTCAATATTAGCATGTGCTCACAGTGCTATTTTAATTGCGCTCTCCCTCTCTTACCTGAACCAAAACAATATCGGCGCCGGCTTCGGCCAAGGCAATGGCCATGGCTTGGCCGATACCTCTTGTTCCACCAGTGACGATGGCGGTTTTCCCGCTCAGGGAGAAAAGGGACATAACGCCTGCCATTGTGATTGAAGAGGATTACGGAGTAGATGAGAATGAGAGTGTCTTTAATTTGATTCACATTAAAATGAGAAGAAGGACTCAAGGAGGGGCTCAATCTAAGAGACGATCGAATTGAGGGGGACTTCTAATCAGGCAATTCCAATAGCCGGGTCAGTAGCCGTCGGCAACCGTGGGGGTATTTTACACAGATCGTGAGATCAACTTGACTGAGGCTAGTTAGTAGTATGTAGACTAGTTTCAGTGTCAAATGTCAACTGTAAATGCAAAGTGCGTACTCCGTATACATCCATGTAGGCAGTTATAGAGGCAAAACGTAGAATCAACTCCTGAAAGTTCTTCAACCTCCGCACCTCACCTGTTGAGCATGGACGATGAGTAAGAGTTTCCCCCACGGCGAATTGTAGACTTGTTTTTATTGTTTCAAACTCTTCGATGCCTCTGCTAGCTATACTCATGCACCAATGGAGGACGAATCAATAGAAACCGCGCGTGAGATCGCCAGACGCGTGTCCCGAGCCTGCCTACATTGCAGACAGCGCAAGTCGCGATGTGACCTGTAAGACCATCTCTCTGTTTCAAATATCTCTCGTTTCAGCCACTGCAGTCTTTGCCCCAGATCTCAGTGACTCAGTCGAAGCTGGACCTCCGCTGATCGCAAGAAGTGACTCCAGCGGCAACCCCGGCAAACCGCCATGTCGGCGCTGTGTGCTCGAAAATCGCGAATGCGTGCTTGGCAGCTCGAATCGCGGCGGACGCCGAGTTCGAAAGAACAAGATCAAGAATTTCACACCGGCAGCTACTACGAGAAATAAATCGGATACATCCAGCCCAGCCAACTCCGACAATTGTCAACCGTCGGCATCTTATCCCGGCCCGTTGGTCTTTCTGCCACCTAACCCACCAGCAACATCAACGTCGGAGGTAGACGATACCTCAATATCAACTGTCCCGCGCAATCCATCAGATGCCTGGCAATGCCTCACCGGCATTGCCACCCAGGGTGCGGGAGCAACCTCCGAAACTCGCAATGACCATACCCCAACCGATTCCTACAGCAGTCTACGTAACGGCGTAATCTCAGACGGGATCAAAGCTTATAGACTCGTCCAGTCGCGCGCACTAGACCCGGAGACTGTGTGGCAGCTGATCTCCCGCTATGCTGAGAACTTCCATCAGTACCTTCCCGTCGTGCCGCGGAAGTATTTCAGACGCGCCGCCCTGGATGCTTTCGCCACTAACGAGAAGCACTTACTCACGGCAGTTCTCACCATCGCCTCTAAAGACTTGGTCGACCAGCCCGAGATCCACGAGTACTGCTCCAAGTACATGCACGAGCTGGTCTCCGACATTGCCATGGGCGCAGAGTGCGATGTCGAGGCAATTGAATCCCTCCTGCTGCTCGCGGAGTGGGAACCACAGGGACTGCGTCCGCGCATCGAGCGCGTCGGACGCGGCGAAGAGGACCGGGCTGCGTGGATGCATGTCGGGCTTGCGTTGCGCTCGGGGTACTTTATCGGTATGGATCGCACGTCTTTCCGTGGAGACTCTTCCAGTGATCCGGAGGGTGAGGCTCGTCGTCGCTTGGCTTGGGCTAGTTGCTATATCTCGGATCGGTTGATCTCAGTGCGCATTGGACGCGCTTTCTGGTCGCGTGGACCAGGGCCAATGACCGGTCTTGTTAGTCAGGATTTCCCTTCGCTGCAGCCGGACAATGAGGGGGAGGAGGACTATTCGAAGATTTTACAGGCTATGCTGGATCTAACGCAGCTTTATGGTAACGTTCATGAGGTGTTGTATTCGGGAATGCGCAGTAGCAACCATATGATGCTGATGGGAGACTATGTCAAATATGTCGATGACTTCCGTCTTGCGATTCTGCGATGGAAGTCAATATGGGGGTCATTGGACTGTGAGTTGCCTTTTTCAGATGCGATACCCGATATGTCTGCTTCAATCTAACACTCTGGTAGGTTCACCACCGATGCAAGCCACACTGCAGTTGTCATACGAGTATTTGCGTCTGTATACAACTGCTTTCGCGTTCCAGGCTGCGATCTCACAATCGCTGGCTAAACCCAAAAGCGCGTCACAAAGCCAGCGAGAACAGCTACGAGCGACGTTTAAAGATGTCGCATCGATGCCGGACGCGCGGTTTATCTATGAGTCCGTTGATGCAGCAAAGTCATATTTGACTATCCTTGTGTATTTGGTAGATCCTGAAAAGCATCTCCATTTCATGCCTCTCCGCTTCTACTTGTAAGTTCCCGCTTTATCACGCGCCGAGACATAAAGCTCATGATATGCAGGTATGGCATCTATTCTGCCGTTTTCCTCTACAAGGTAAGACCCCCGTTCAATCATCTGTTGAATGTCATCTGATCAATGCCATAGGCCCGTTCTTTCGGAATGATGGTCCCCGCAGAAGAAGCAAAAGTCCAAGACCTAGTCAGTCGAACCACAGAGGTTCTCAAACAAGCAAGCGCCGGGACCGACGACATCGGATCCCGCTATGCTCGCCTGCTAGAGCTTCTGTGGAAGCCCAAAGCCCCATCCAACCCACCTGCAGAGACACAGCAAAACAAGTTCTCGATGCAGCCAGCCCTGTCAAACCCGGTCGCAGATCCGGTCTTCATGGACTTCAGCCCTGCGAATGACTTTTCCTGGCTTGATTTGGAGGCTGTCGGCGATTATGTATCTGGAGATTTAGTCTCTGGTGGTCTACTGGGGCTAGATACATTCCCGAATGTCTCCGATATGGATCAAACTGGAATGTCACGAACACAGTCCTGGCAGCCGTCTGCTTGGATGGGAGATATGAGCAGTAGTCTTCTGTTCTAATTTGGGAGTGGCTTTATCGTGGAACTCCCCCACACGGCGAATGATGCGGGGCTGCGGAGGTGATCCGTCGGAGATGTCCCCGAGGGGTAGCCGAGGACTGCACTGCTCCATTTAGTTTCAGATCAGACATAGATTTCAGATCTTGTTCCTGTATCTGATCGTCACTGTCACACTTCAGCTTGCATCATGTCATTGAACGAGATCAAAGGTCGACTTGCCCTCATCACCGGTGCATCGGGCGGGTAAGTGGATTGCCGTCATATTACGCCAATGGTCAGGATGAAAAGCTCACAATTAATGTCAGGATTGGCTCAGCCTGTGCACACCAGCTTGCACAACATGGCGTCCACCTCGCGCTAACATACGCGACCAACCTGACCGCGATGAATGCCTTGGTGGCCGATCTTCAGAGCAAATATGCAGACCAGAACCTCCACATCTCAGTCCACAAGGTCGATGTCGGCTCCGCCGATGACATCGAGACGATGTTCCAGCAGATCGACGCCGAACACGGCCACCGACCTGATATTCTCATCTCCAACGCCGGCCACGGGAAACGGATTCCCAATATCTGGGACTGCTCCCTCGAAGAGTTCGATTACACTGTGAATGTCAACCTGCGCGCTTCGTTCATTCTGACCAAAGGGGTGGTGGAGTATATGAAGAGCCAAAAGTGGGGTCGTATTGTCTTCATGTCTTCGATTGCCGCACAAGGCGGAGGTATCAACGGATGTCGTATGTTATATAGCCGTTGCTTTTTTCTGGGAATACACGCTAACTCTCTTCTAGACTACGCTGCATCCAAGGGTGGCATGACTGGTATGATGAAGAACCTTTCGACTCGGCTGGCGGAGTTCAATATCAGTGTGAACGATGTTGCTCCGGCTATGATTGGCGACACGGGTATGATCCCTAATGCTGCGGCTATCCCGGAGGTGGCTGCTGGTATTCCACTTGGTCGGCTCGGGACGCCGGAAGAGACGGCTAATGTCGTTACTATGCTTGTGAAGACGGGCTACATGACGGGCCAGAGTCTCTTGTTGGCTGGTGGATTGAAGTAATCTCTCATTGAAGTGATAGAGCGTTCTGCGTCATCAAATTACTGCATCAGCATCTTATCTTAATCTTGTAAACTTGTCGTGATTCACTATATGCGAACTTTTTCTATATCGTCACAGGGTATAGTCATTAACACCACCATCATCCATCCTTTACAAAGAGCTGTCACCCATCAGTTCTTGCCCTCAATAACAACCTTAACAACAGGGTTCCCCTCCTCATCAACCCCCTTCCCAGCAAGTTCAAAAGCCCTCTCTCCCTCCTCAAACCGAAGCCTATGCGTAACGACCTTCTCCTCCACACTCCTCATCTTCCCACTAGCCAGTAACTTAATAGCAGCCGGATAAGCAAACCCATCATACCGGAACACACCAATAATATCAACCTCCCTCAAAGCCGCCGCCCCAACCGGCAAAGTCTGAACCGGATGTCCCATGCCAACCTGCACCAACACACCCCCAGGCGCACTAGCATAAATCCCCGCCTGCACACAAGCCGGCACACCCGTACAATCATAAACCCGACTAAACATATCAACCTTAAGCGCCCCCTCCGTCCCCGCAGCCTCCACCAACACACCCGCAACGCTCTGCGCATTCTCCAGCGCATATGCCGTCTGATCCACATTCTCCGGCTTCGCACCCCCCCTCGGAATAACCACAGTCTTCAACCCAAGCCCCATACTCTCCGCAATCCTCAGCCTGCGCTCATCAATATCAGCAACAACAATCGACGAAAAGTTCTCCCCAGCCGCCAAAGCCCCAGCAAGCAATAGTCCAATAGCGCCAGCACCAAAAACCAGCGCCGCAGTCTCAACCCCCGCCTCCCTGTTACTTTCAACCTCCTGAACACTCGGCGGCCGCGACCGTCTAATCGCATGCAACGTAACAGCCAACGGCTCAACCAGCGCACCGCCCGCATCACTAACGCTCTCCGGCAGCAGGTGACACATACTAGCCTCGTGGTTCGTGCGCTCCATCAGCGTGCCGTCTAGGTGCGGGAAGGTCTTGGCTGAGCTGCGGAACCGCATGGATTTGCAGATGTTGTACCGGCCTTGTTTGCATAGTGCGCAGGTGCGGCAGGGAAGTCCGACTTCCAGTGCGACGCGGTCGCCGATGGAGAGATTGGTTACGGAGTCGCCGAGGGCTGTTACGGTCCCGCAGGACTCGTGGCCCAAACATAGGGGTTCGCGGACGATGAAGTCGCCGTTGCGTCCGTGCGTGTAGTAGTGTAGGTCGGAGCCGCAGAGGCCGGTTGCGTTGATGGAGACTTGGACTTCGTTTGCGGTGGGAGTGGGGAGGGGGCGTTGTTCCTGTATTTTCATCTGGTGTTAGGGGGTTTTGTTTTTACGGAGTAGAGGTAGGGTGGTTGTTGTTTGGGGGTAAACTTACCACGCGGAGATCTTTGGCGCCGTGGAGGACGAGGGCGGTGGTTGTGGACATGATTGATGTAGTACTGTGTAGATGTAGTATGCGGTGTTTTACTAGGTACGAAGAGGTTCGGAATTGGAGAAGAAAAAGATGCGAAAGGAGTGGAAGTCGGATTTGGTTACTCCGTACCCTGACGGCCTTTGGGGTCAGTTCCCGTTTCCCCTCAAGTTCCCCCCCCACTTTGGCCCGGAGATGCTCCGCTGTCGGTGATTGATCTGAAAAGGGCATTCTCGATACCCGACGTGGGGGTGATCTTTTGTCTCTTCACTTGTCTCTGCAGAACCATGAGAAGTGATATGTTGAAGAATAATTATGAAGACATGGAATCTAGAGGAAGGAAGCCATGGAATAAGGTACCTACTCAATTAACTATACGGAGTAAGAGCATACCATAGCTAAAGAACATCCTCTCGGCGATCCCCCGGAATGCCGACATGGGGGTCTTGGGATAGCCGTACTGATAGCGGGGAGTTTCATACTCCGTAGTCTCTCCAAATACTCTTTTTTTGATTTTTGCAATTTGCAATCTCTTCATTTCCAAAGTTGCTTCTACTATTGCTTCATTCGCTCTATTCTGTTTCTTTTCTTTGATATACCTCTATAGCCTCAGGAGCAACTGTGAGCATAACTCCACTGACATCATTTGAGTCGGCGCATCTGACATTTCCAGAGAATACACCATGGCGCAATCAGCTCTCCTCATTGGAGAAATCACACACGCGCGCAAGGAGTGGGAGAGCATCTCATCTCTGTTGACGTTGAAGGTAAGCAATAGCCATTCCGATGCCATCGATTCCGCTGAACAGACGAACAGGAGTTCCCTAGCGGAACCAGAGAGGAATTCATCGCCAACTGCAAGGCTGGCCAGTATGAAGACGTGGTAGCTATCTACCGCTCTAACACCTCCACCAAGGTAGATAATCTGCCCCCACATCAACCCGAGAAGCCGTACTAACAAGTCCATGTAGTACACCGGTCCATTCAATGCGGAGTTGGTCTCAGTCCTGCCCAGGTCCCTCAAGTACATCTGCCACAACGGCGCCGGATACGACAACATTGATGTTTCCGCATGCACAGAGAAGAACATTGCTGTGTCCAGCACCCCGGTTGCGGTTAACGATGCCACAGCCGACGTGGGCATCTTCTTAATGATCGGTGCTCTGCGCCAGGCTCATGTTCCTCTCACTGCTCTCCGTGAAGGTAAGTGAAGGGCAGACATATAGTGGGATAACATATCCTGCAATAAGAGCCCATAGATTAACATGTGAACAGGAAAGTGGCAAGGCCCCATCACCTCAGGAGGAAAGGAGTACAAGACCACCCTGGGCCACGATCCCAAGAACAAGGTTCTCGGTATTCTGGGAATGGGCGGCATCGGACGGGTATGTATCGCAGCCACAGACACTATTCTGAGCCCAATTAACAATGACTAGGAAATGGCAATCCGAGCCAAGGCCTTCGGCATGAAGATTCAATACCACAATCGCTCCCGTCTCCCAGCCGAGCTGGAGGTTGGCGCTCAATACGTCTCCTTCGACGATCTGCTCGCCAATGCGGACGTGCTCAGCCTGAACTTGGCCTTGAACGCTAATACCCGCCACATCATCGGGGCCAAGGAGTTCACCAAGATGAAGGACGGTGTCGTTATTGTTAACACGGCGCGTGGTGCGCTGATTGATGAGAAGGCGTTGGTTGTGGCGCTCGAGTCCGGCAAGGTATGTGAAGTCGTATTGGAGTATAGATGTGCGGGCAATGCTGACTGGTGACCGTTGTTAGGTGCGCTCTGCTGGCTTGGATGTGTATGAGTGCGAGCCGGAAATCGAGCCCGGTCTGGTTAGCAACCCTAATGTTATGTTGCTGCCCCACATTGGTACTGCGACTTTTGAGACACAGAAGGATATGGAGCTCCTCGTGTTGGATAATCTGCGGTCGGCTGTTGAGAAGGGGGAGCTTATCACACAGGTGCCGGAGCAGAGGAAGTAGAATAGAAGCCAGCAAAAATGTATTTAGTTTATATAGAAGAAGTGCCAAAATGGGCGATAAGCGATTTTGTATCATCAATCACGATTTATCATTGGGTGCACATTGCACATTGTAGCTTGCTCAAGCTCATCATGTTATGTTCACCTTAGTTGATTCCAATTGATCTGACGCCAAGAGTCGGGGCCACATCAGCACCTGACATGTGGGTCCAGCGGCAAGGCACATGACTAAGGCCTGACATAATCCAAAGCCAAATCCACCCAAACCGGCTAGCGTTAGGGCTCGCTTAGGGCCAGAGCGCCAAGAGCGAAAAAAACCGCACCAAATCTGGTGGCTCAAGCGAGAGCCGGACGACGACGAAAAGCGACAACAACTCATCACCGAGGACCATCACACCCCCCTCGCCAACTCCTTCAAGATGGTGAGTGCTGCATGACCCCTTCTTTGACGATGATATCTGCGAATCCTATTCTCCTCGAAATGTCACCCGTGTGATACAAATCCAAGCCCGATCGCCGGGTCGACTTTCGCTGCCCTCAACATCACCAACCACGAATCCCATTGCTAACGAGCAATGCTCTGTACAGGTCCGTTACGCCGCCCAGGAGATCTCGCAGGCCAAGAGCGCCCGCGCGCGCGGCTCTTACCTGCGTGTCAGCTTCAAGAACACCCGTGAGACCGCTCAGGCCATCAACGGTATGAAGCTGTCCAAGGCTCTTACCTTCCTCGAGAACGTCACCAACAAGACCATGGCCGTTCCCATGCGCCGCTACGCTGGTTCCACTGGTCGCACCGCCCAGGGTGAGTCGCCTTTTTTACCCTTTCGTGAATAAAATTTCGGATGGGTCGGGTTGGAATTTTGGAGGATTGTGGGAAGAGATCACAGCATCACCATTACTACGACAACCATTTGCATGTACAGGGAATGAGGAAAATATGGATGGGTTGATGGACGAATACTGGCTTATTGGCGATGCTGTGGATATCTACGATCTGGATGAAATTTTGAACGAGTCGAACATCGACTGACATTTTTGTTTCATAGGCAAGCAGTTCGGTGTCTCCAAGGCCCGCTGGCCCGTCAAGTCCGCTGAGCACATCATCGACTTGCTCAAGAACGCCGAGGCTAACGCCGATGGCAAGGGTCTCGACACCTCCGCCCTGATTGTCAAGCGCATTCAGGTCAACCAGGCTCCCAAGGGCCGCCGCCGCACTTACCGTGCTCACGGTCGTGTATGTTATTCCGGAAACATGCGTTTCTATCCTATGCAGCAATCGCTGACCCTTCCCAGATTAACCCCTACATGACCAACCCCTGCCACATCGAGCTCATCCTCACCGAGGCTGACGAGGAGGTCAAGAAGGGCCCCTCCGACAAGGCTGTCCGCCTTTCTTCCCGCCAGCGTGGCACCCAGATCCGCCGTGCTCTCATTGAGGCATAAACGGATTGCCAGAAGGTGTGAGGGGTGTGGTTACGCGTGAAAAGATTTTTGCGGTGGACGGGAAGGATCGGAGTTCTATTCAGCTGTTGTATGTTGGAACGGAATCGATACCGGATCATACAAGATTTTTAAGGTCATGGCGCCAACCGGAGGAGAACCCAATAAAAAGTTTAAACGATATGGCCCAGGGTGAAAATAGGATTCTGTACTTCCCGATCCAATCATGATACAAACGTGGTTCTTTCTCCGTCACTTTCTTCTGATAGAGGGTCTGTCTTTTGTCTTGTTTAACTGCACTCCTGATGCCCTGGTCCTTCGATTATGATAATTTCATTTTATGTTGTTCATTGCGCTGAGTAGGGGTACTACTCTAGCATAAAATCGACGCTTCGAGAGGAAGTTGTATCTATATCCGCTGCTTTAGGGCAATTCATGCCAAGATCTGAAAAGATCTGCTGACATGACCCTGGTCAATCATGTAGCTCTATCTTGCCTATGCCATTTCCGGCCCCCGACTTCCCTCATGGGTTCCCGCTCAATGTAATACTGCCAAGAGAATGATTTGAGTGGATCTGCGGGGGTTATAAGTAGATCCCGAGTTCCCTAAGACCTACAGTTACTGTGCCATTCAATCCTCTTAAGGTCTACAACATACAATACAAACAACGAGAATGGCCCTCACCCCGTACCGCCTCCTCTGCTTCGACGTCTACGGCACCCTAATAGACTGGGAAAGCGGTATCATCACCGCCCTGGCCCCAATTCTGTCAAAATCCACCAAGCACTTCACCCGCGCCCACCTACTAACAACCTACTACGCTCTCGAAAGCGCCCAACAGATCGCGACCCCGGATCTCCCCTACTCCGCCCTCCTATCCAAAATCCATCCCATCTTAGCCGCCCGCCTAGGCCTCGACCTGCCAACAGAAGAGGAGAGCCGCGCATTCGGGGATTCCATCGGAACATGGCCTGCCTTCCCAGACACGGTTGACGCCCTGCGCCGGCTGTCAAAGCACTACAAGCTGGTGGTACTGTCGAACGTGGACCGGGCCTCGTTTGCCAAGTCCAATGCCGGCAGTTTGCAGGGCGTGCCATTTGATATGGTCCTTACGGCGGAGGATATTGGCAGTTACAAGCCTGACTTACGGAATTTCGAGTACATGTTGGAGGCTGTGAAACGCGAGTTTGGGGTTGGGCGGGAGCAGGTGCTGCAGACGGCGCAGAGCCAGTTTCATGATCATCGGTCTGCGAGGCGGGTTGGTATTAAGTCTGTTTGGATTGAGAGGCCTGGGGCTGTTATGGGGAATGTGGAGGAGCCGATCTTTGATTGGCGGTTTGGAACTTTGGGGGAGATGGCTGATGCTGTTGATGCGGAGTAATGTTTAATCTCATAGATCGATCGAGGTTAAGTACTGGGTACTTCTAAAATATAGGATTCATGCATGCTTTGTTGATGTATCGTCTACCCCACGTGGCTGACTCACCATAAAACATCTCGTTGCCTGGAGCCTGGATGAGAATCACCTTGGCGATGCAAGACGCGCGAAAGCGTACGTGGAATGGTGTTTGCCGCGGGAGATTAGAGATAGACATCATATATCTTGTTTGTCTTTCCTTCTCCTGCTTGTTGGAACTCTTAGCGAGGCGGTATCCTATTTCTGCTAGATCACTGCAGTTACCAGTCACCAGTGTTACTAGTTTGTGGCTGCATTTGCCCCCGCTAGAATTATACCCTTTTGGCATCTAGGCGGTTAGATCAGATCTTTCCTTCTTTCACACATTTCCCCTGAAAATCAGCACGTTGTGCGATCATCTGTGATCATGAAGCGCTTTTTCCCAATCAGGCGCTCAAGTGAGTCTCTCACCGTCTCCACGTCTCCCCGCAACTTCGCTAACTCGGATAGCCTCCACCAACAGTGGCATTGAACAGGGAGACTCAGCAGAAGCCATTATATCGAGAGAATTGGTAAGGATTGACAGTACTTGAAGGGAATGACGCACCACTGACACCATTTCAGACTGCCTTCTGCGAATCGGATTCGAACTCAACCTCAAACGGCGCTTCGCGTGACGCGGTATGTGCCTCGGAGCTGACAGACCTTCCCCATTTCAAGCCTGACAATCGCATTTGCACAACTCTAGCAAGGCACCGAATTCATCCACCTCCCGAAGATCGTCGAAACCGCCGAATCCAGCCCCAATGCCGCCAAGGAAGCAGCTCTGCGCATTCGCAAGTATCTCGCCGATCCCGCCGGCACCCCAAACCACACCCAGTACAATGCGATCATGCTCATGCGTATCCTGGCCGATAACCCCGGTCACACATTTACCCGCAACTTCGACGCCAAGTTCGTGACGACGATCAAGGAATTGTTGCGCACAGGACGCGATTGGTATGTACAGAGCTATCTTCGCCAGTATCTGGATACTCTTGAGCAACAGCGCGGATGGGACGAGGACCTTAAATTGCTGCTGCAGATGTGGGCGAAGGAGAAGAGCAAGGGTTCACGCGGTCTGGTAGGAAACAACACACTGGTACCCTTTATGGGCTCTCGTCCTTTACTAACCCGTGCCCAGATTGACCGATTCCCAATGGCTTCCATCACAGCACCCCCGATGCACCCAACACATCCGAACAACCAACGTCCACCCCAGCCTCCGCCCAGAGCCCTTCCAGACCCAGTGGAACTGGCAGCCCGCATCGAAGAAGCGCGCAATTCAGCAAAACTGCTAACGCAGTTCGTCCAGTCCACGCCACCCCTCGAGCTGGAGGACAACGATCTCATCAAAGAGTTCGTCGACCGCTGTCGGACAGGCTCCCGCGTAGTCCAGAGCTACATTCATGCCAGCAACCCCGCTCCGGACGAGGACACGCTGTTGACACTGATTGAGACGAATGACGAGATCTCGGTTGCGCTCTCGCAGCAGCAGCGCGCTATGTTGAAGGCGCGCAAGATCAGAGGCTCGTCATCCCCGAGCTCGTCGAACGTTAACAGTCCCTCGCCGACGTCCCAGGTCGTCTCCTCCGGCTCTGGTAACCATGCTGCGCCACGGCCTTCAGCCCGGAGCCCGGAGCCTCCTGCTGGAGTGCCGGAGCTGCCTTCGACGGTTATGACGGGTGGCCGGGGACATGCTTCTAATAATGCGACGGCAACTGGGTCGAGCAGTCGATATGAATATAAGGCTGAGGATTTCCAGGTGCGGAATCCTTTTGCTGATGACTATGCTACGAACGATTCGGATCAGGAGACGAGTCGGGTGCAGCCTACTGAGCAGAAGCGCTAGCGTTTGTTGCTGATTCCCGGTGGTGCTTCTTTTTGTTTCGGTCTTGGTGGACTCTTTCTGGTTTAAGTTTTGCGCTTTGGTGTTTCTTTGCCAGCGCGTGTTACTTTTTGGTTGTTCTCTTTCGTTTACATTCTATGATACCTTGCATTCTTTTGCTCTACATATTACATTCTTACCTGTGGATAATCCGCACCATATCCATGCAACCTTCAAGGGAAAGGTAGGACCTCTCTAACGCATGGTGCATAAGTTGACAGACAATGTCGTTTCGAATTCTTGCACAAGCAAAGGCCGAACGCACTAGATCTGAATGAAATCACAGTAGCTATGCATATTTCCAAACAAAAGCTCAATATTCACAATGTTGCAATGGATCCCACAAGATATCCCGCCTATTCGAGACACAGGACCACATGGACACGTCAACTTCTTTTATATCCGAACCACCCTCTATTCGGGCTCCGCCTTTATAACAACAGAAGCCTCCCTCGCCGCAACCTCCTCAGGGAAAGGCTTCCGCGCCCACACCCGACGACTATTCCAGTTAACCATCCAGAACAACACAAAAACCAAAAGCCAAAAAGCAAAGTAAAGGGAAAGGGAAAACTCACGCGCGCTCATAAATATGAAACTTCGGATTCTTCAACTCCGCCCTCAACTTGGCCACATAAACAATAACCTCCTCCTGCGTCCACGGCTCCGGCGCCCCAAACTTACAAAGCAACCACATAGCCCACCCTTCCATACCAGACATCCAATGCTGGAAATTTACCGTGCCAGCCTCCTTGTACTTCTGGTCGCGGGCCCAGGGCCCGATGGGCCACTTGTACTCTTTTTCGTGGACGTCCACGAAGCCCGCTTTGCGGAAGGCGTCTTGCATCATGTCGATTGTTTCGAGGGGACGGCCGGCGCGCTTGCCGCAGTCTGAGAGGGCGGGACCCCAGGTGCGCAGGATGTTGTCTTCGGGGAGACTGTCGTCGTCGCATTCGATGTAGGGGCTTGCTTCTAGTTGTTCGAGCCAGCCTCCTGGGCGGAGATTGCTGTGTTTCTTGGTTAGGAAAGAGCGGGAAGGGAAGGGGAGGGAAAGAGAGGGAAAGGGAGGCTTTTACTTGTAGCATTGCTGGTAGACGCGGTTCCATTCTTGGTCGTCGAAGGCTCCGATCATGATGCGCATGTGGATTAGGTCTTGGGGTTCGTTCCAGGTCCAATCTTCGGCGATGTTGTCTACTTCCAGGATGCAGTTCGGGGGCATCCAGGTTACTGGTGGTGGGAACAGATCCACGCCGCGGACGGTGGCTGGGATGTGTTAGTTAATTTTCTAATGGTATTGATGACGGTTGAGGTTCTTTGGCTTACCTTCTGGGAACATATCGGCGACATCACTGGGATGGGTGAGTTTGGGTTATTCTTATACGAAGCTGGAGGGAATTGCTCTTCACATACATGGCCCAATTACCCTGACCTGTTCCGAGGTCGAGAATGTGCTTGGGGTTCCTGACTGGCGATCGGAAGAGAGGGTTCTCTTGGTCTGAGTCCATCACGAGAGCTACCAAGTGCCTGTGGCTGTTGGTTAACATGTGCCAAGACTGATAGAAAGGCAAGGTGTTTTGCATACCCTGCTTCGTATGTCTCGAACTGCTTCTCATCCGAGGGAATCCTGACCAGCAATTAGCAAGCTATTCCTCAATCTAGAAAGGCAATGCGTACAGATATTCTTTGTGGCTCAACGTTTGATACCGTCGTCCATTCTCTTCTAATCCTCGGTAGATGGAGGATCCGATCGAAGTGGTTTCCCTACAATTGGGTGGCCATTGTGTGAGAGCTGTTCATCGAGAAAAAAGGGGATGATATTTACGATTGCCAGTCATCGCCATAAACGGTCGTGACATGGAGCTTAGGGTCCTAGTAGCTTGTTAGATTAGGGCTTTTAGAAGAGAAAGGAGAGAAGATCCATAACATGATTAACATACCACCGCGATATCCTCCTCGGGCTCCGATTTTATTCCACCTCTCATTGTGAAAACAACGGATATAATTTCCGGTAAGGAAGAAAAGGAGAGAGAAGAAGAAGAATCAAAACCTCCCTTAGTCCTCACCGTCTTACGGAGTAGTTTAATCCCCGCTCTCTCACACGAAAGGGTAAAGTGTCATGTCCCAGGCCACGTTAGGAATTCAGTGCGTCAATTATCATAGGCCTGACGAAAAGTGGAAACCACTTCCACGTGGATTTGTGTGGGATTGGCGGTTAAGCAGTTGAAGCAAAAGTACGGATCAAAAGTACTGTTTTTATGACATATGTGGGATACATCATACAATGTGATTGCACCATTCAATGAAGCTAACCATCTTTCCCGTTTGTGCTAACTACATGACACTACGGAGTACTTTATCCTTGTTCACTCCCCTGTAAATGCGCTAAGGTACGCGGCCGTACGCCCCCAACGGGCCCAACCCCACTCTGAATTACCTCTCGCACGTCAAAGCTTGTTGTGGGATTTTGGTTTATGTAGAATGTCTTGATTCTAGGTGCGAGAGGATTGATCGCAAGGATCAAATTCAAGGCTTCACGGATGTCTTCCAATTGGTGTATGCAGATGGTACGGGGAAAATCCGGAGGGACCGAGCACTGGGACTTTTGTTCAAATACGAAGTGGATCAATGGAGAGTGGAGAACTGGGCTATGGTTCCATGGTTCTATGGTCTCTTGGGAGGTTTACCAAGATCCAACGTAGCTGCCTAATTGGGATTGTGATGGCAGAAGGCAAGAGCAATGGCCTCAACTTTGTTTGCCTTACTTCAAACTACAAATACTTTGTAATTTCTCGTCTAGACAATTCCACTTCTTCCTCTTCTCTCTCTCGACTCTCAGGACTCTCAGACTCTCACCCCACAATCCACTCGGATCTGATACTCTGCGATCCATCCGAGAGAGTCTTCTAGACCCTGAAATCGACGGCTCGGACCTAAGCCCAGATCAAGCCACATAGCCGATTTACCAGCCGCGGATTCATCGCATGTGTACCATGTGGCTGGGATGATCTACGGACGTGAGATATGGAACAGCACGGAACCACGGCTTATCGACGGCACTTATTCCGGTTTACGGTTCTCCAGTACGGATTGGCAACCGTACCTGGGATCTGTACCATGCGGCGAGAGTGACTCGGTGTTGGATCTTGACTAACTCTTTTGCCCATGCATTAGTAGATAGCTCTACCCTTGTACAAGTCCTACGATTACAGTCTATTGGTACAGGACATCAGCTCCTGGACCAGTAACTGGAAGTGTCAGGCCCTGAATCGATCCATGAGCAATGGACTACTACCTAGGTTTATTCCATCCGCTATTCTCACGCAGCAGTATACTTTGCCCAGCCTTCCATCCATGATTTCTTTTACATTTAGATCTTCATGGAATCTGTCAACTCCTATCTTCTTCCTCTCCATCTTTTTCTTTCTTCTCCCGTCCGTCTTTAATATTCTCATTTGAATGCACTCTATTGTAGACGACCAGCTATCTTGCTATTTCATCAGCAACTTTTCAAGCTGCCTGACAAGTGGACATATTGCGCGGCCAGTCTCTCGAGCGGTTTGTATTTGAATCCAGTGTTGGTGATAGTGAGGGTTTGCTGCGTATCTATCGACCGGAGCCACGTTACAGGGTTATCTCACCCTCTCTGTAGCTATTGCGCTACCAAAACGCAGGAACACTCGCTCCAGACAATCCAGTCACTTGGTCACAGCATCTACGTGGCCTGGTGTAACCTAGTTATGTTATCAACCGGACGTAAGGTTGCTATAGCCTATCTATGCTCATATTGCTTGCGTAGATCTCTCTTCTGACATCTCGTATTCAGGCGAAACAGCTCAGATCGATTGACAATTCAATGTTGGTGATCAACCACGTCTCATACCACGTGTACCTGCTCCCCAGCAACGATGATACATTTGAAACTAGTCTAAAGAGCGAGGTTAAAGTCGGACCTAGTGTCTGGGTCTGGGAGTGTGAGACGGTCTAGAGAATACTCCCCCGCACGCCCTTCAGCCTCGAGGGCCAGATAGCCCGGAGCATAAAGCTCGACATCCTCCACCCATTTCTCTCGATAAGACGATTTCATCGCCTTTGATAGTTGGTCAGCAGCCTTAGCTTGACAGAGAATATCGATGATTGGCAGGCCCATGTCAAGACTGATAATGTGTATTAGCCCCAATCCTCTGTATGGGACCCAAAGAATACTCACGGTAGATTCTGGTGCGTGTAGGCACCATCAACACGATCAAGGATCTTATCAAAATCCATCATCGCATGACTGTATGGCCTTCGCATATTGAACGGGCGGATGTGAAGACTCTCCTTCACAGTCCCATTGACATCATAATTGACCAGTGTCAAACGACCGGTTCTCAGACCCTCTTCATCAACCAGCACATATGGGTGACACCCGATGTTGAGTACAGTGCCAGTGTGTGTGAGGCCGATAATGAGGAAGTTTGCGGTCTCCAAATACTTCCAGGACAGAAAATCCTCTATCGAAGGATTAGTGGTGATCTCTGGGTTTAGGATAGCTTCCGAGGGCATGTAATTATCGTCAAGACAGTGCCCGGTCACCATCTCATAGTTGTAAAACAAAATAGCGAGTTTGACCCATCGCTCCCGATTGGCAGCGTGGGCCTCGTCGACGGGGACGGTAGAAACCAGGCCAGGTTGGTACCGGCAGGTAGTTCTACCTAGCTTAAGAGTCTGAAGAGTGTCATCTATGTGTGATAATGCTTCGGCTGGATACTGACAGTAAGAAGACGTAGGCGCTCGCGATTGGTATGACTGAATAGAAGAATTAGTGGATAGACTGTGAGGAGTTGACGGTGGAACTCACATCACGAAATTCCTGTGTGGCTGATGCCCATTTTTCAATAAGCTGGCGTCTTTGATTCAGCTCATATGTTCCGTCAGAAGCATTGGCTCCAGGAACCCAATTTTCCTGGCAAATTAGTGGCTAGCAAATCCAAGATTCCGTAAAGACATACCTGTACAAAGAGTAGCCAGCCCTTGACTTCCTCCGCGGCCTGGTCGAGAGTTATCTCCGTTTGTGGGTGTGGTTTGATACACCTGGGGATTCCCCCCGGCCAGTGTTGAACGGAACGTGGCATGAGTGTAGTTCTGTTTGTTCCCCGATCCTGGTCTCTGGAGATTCTAAGTCTGACGCGGGGCGTAGAGGAAGACAGAATGTTTTGGAGGAGAGAAACACTCGTATGCATTCGTAATCAACTAGTCAGGTAGTTTCTATTTACTTCGACTTTCCACGCATACAGCCTGCTAAATCGAATGAGGATATCCCAGACTCGGATTGGACAAACGGCCGAGTGCACATGTCAACTCAAGCTTATTCCATGAATTAATGATCTCCTCCAATTCAAGCTAAATGCCCAACCTGAAACTCGGAGATCCCTGTTCGGTGGAGTCCGTGGCAACCCCAGCCCCAGGCACGTTCGTCTTGTCTCGGGAGATCAGCCTGGTTTGATATCGCCATGCTATCCCCATAGGATGAGATCTACACTTACCATCTCCCCGAAGGTGCGCTGTCCCTTGGGCATATCCGATGTTTCAGAATGTCATGATAACTGCAATCGGTTCTCGTATCGGTTTGACTGACTCGGCAGCTTATGTCTGAAGTTGATTAATGCCTCGCGCAGCTCAGCCTGGAGATCAAGCTCATTTCAAACATGTCTACTTATAAGAAGCAGCTCACCAGCTCGACAAAAGATCCATCTTGCTGGCCAGTCTTGCTTACACTTCCGTTCACATTTACATTCGTTTCTTTCGTTCTCCTGGTTTGAGACCCTCCCTTCGTTCAGTACACATTCATCACTCGGTTAACGGTTTACCGATCGCTTCCAATCACTCCATATTCACTCGCCAACATGAAGCACTTCACTTCCTTTCTGGCTATCGCCAGCATCATCTCCCTGGTCCACGGCCATGGCTTCATCAGCTCGCCAAACCCCCGTATGCCAGGCAACGCAATGAAAGCCACCTGCGGTGCGCAAGCCTACCGCAACGAACAATTCGACAAATACGACAACATCCAAGGCCTCCACCAGGTCGCCGCCGGCCAGCCCGACTACAACGCCGCCGAGTGCAACCTCTGGCTCTGCAAGGGCTACAAGTTCGCCGACAACAAGGAAAACGTCTACTCGTACAAAGCCGGAGAAAAAGTCCACTTCACCATCGATATCCTCGTCCCACACACCGGCGTCGCCAACGTCTCTGTCGTCCACGCAGCTTCCAACGCAGTCATCGGCAAGCCCCTGATCTTCTGGGCTAACTATGCGTCCGTCGCCACGGGCGTCACCGACGACGAGACCAACTTCAGCATCACCATCCCGGATGACATTGGAAGCCAGTGCGCTAAAGCCGGCGACTGTGTGCTGCAGTGGTACTGGGATGCGCCGTCCATTGATCAGACTTACGAGTCGTGTGTCGACTTTACTGTCAAAGGTACTGGCCCTCGCTCTGGCTCTGCTAAGCCCTCGGCTACCAGCTCGAAGGTGGTTGCCGTTACTTCCTCCGTTGCCTCTGTCCAAAGTCAAACGCTGAATCCGACCCCAACTCCGATTGCCGTTCGGCCTAGTACACTCGCTACTAGCGCCCGTCAATCGGCCACTGCCGAGCCGGAATTCCCCACTTCTGCTGCGGATGAGCCTGATTCGGATGGTACGGAGCTGGATTTCCCCACTGATAGTGCTGCAGATGTCCTGGACTGGCTGGAGTCTTTGCTTGGCGACTTGCTTGATGATTAAAGTGGGCTGGGTAACAGCAAGCGGGTTGTGCTGTGCTGCTATAGATATGCCTGGATTCAATTCTGTTAGCTAGATTTGCGTACTCCGTATATCGGTAATGAAATGTGAGATTCAGGAAGCTGAGAAGCTCCAACATATTGGCGATATCGGAGAGATCACCGAACCGCCGACCCACTTCCAATCAAGCTCATCCCCGGGCCCCCAAGATAGATGAAGATATAAACGAGTATCTCCCCAGCGAAACATACCTACAAACATCTCATTGGACATAAATCAAAATGCCCCGCCTAAACCCGACAACCAAACTCCCGACCCTATTAACTAAGGGATTAACGAGAACCCTCACGACCAAGCCCAAAACAGACTGGAACGCCACGCAATACCTCAAATTCGAATCCGAACGCACCCAACCAGCCCTCGACCTCCTCACACACATCCCCCTCAAAAACCCCACATCAATCCTCGACCTCGGCTGCGGGCCCGCAACCTCCACAAACCTGCTAGCAACGCACTATCCCACGGCAAAAATAACAGCCCTAGACTCCTCCCCAGCGATGATAGCGCGCGCCAAAGCGCAAGTCGTCCAGCGCACGCCCTCAATCCTCTTCGAAACCGGAAACATTGAAACCTACACCCCAACCGGGCCCATCGACCTCTTCTTCTCCAACGCCGCCATGCACTGGCTCAAAGCCTCCGAGCGCATCCCGACTATCGAGCGTCTGATGCAGCCGCAGACGCCGGGGTCGGTGTTTGCGATGCAGGTTCCGCATAATCTGGATGAGCCTTCGCATGCGCTTATGTGGGAGACGGCGGCTGAGAAGAGGTGGGGGGGACGGTTGGATTCGGTGCAGAGGGATGGGTTTATGGGGCCTGGGGAGCTTTATGATGCTGTGAAGGGGTTTTGTAGGGAGGTGCAGATTTTTGAGGTTTCGTATTATCATTCGTTGGACAGTCATGAGGAGATTGTGGAGTGGGTTAAGGGGACGGGGTTGAGGCCTTATTTGGATGCGTTGGAGGAGGGGGAGAGGGGGGTTTACTTGGAGGGGTACTTGGAGAGGTTGAGGGGGGCGTATCCGGTTTCTGGTGATGGGAGGGTTTTGTTGAAGTATCCCAGGTTGTTCATGGTTGCTGTTAAGTGAAGAGGTCCGTTTTTTTCTCTTGGATTGAATGGAACTATGAACTAGAGAATCATGGTAGAGCTTGCAATGTATCCATAGCATGCAATGTACTGTGTATGGCGTGCAAATAAAATCAGGACTGTAACCCCGAAATCAGGAATCTGCCCTGAAACCAATGTAGATACCGAACTATCACATCCTAGACAGTCCCAGAAGAAGCAATCTTGATGGTTCCGTCAGTCTTCCCAGTCCTATCCAAGCTCTTGCTCTCCATTTTCTGAATGATATCCTGGCCAGCAACAACCTCGCCGAAAACAACGTGCTTGCCATCCAAATGGGGGGTTCTCACAAACTGCTCAAGTTAGAACAACAGAAGATCTCCCTCCACACCTTACATATACTTACAGTGATGAAGAATTGAGACCCATTGGTATTTGGGCCAGAGTTCGCCATGGACAACAAGCCACCCTTAGTGTGCTGTACCTGGAAGTTCTCGTCTGCGAACTTCTCGCCGTAGATGGACTTGCCGCCGGTGCCCTGAAGAAAGTTCAAGTCAGCGGGATGGTCGTGTGATATTGTTTATAGGTAGACACTGACGTTTCCACGGGTAAAGTCTCCGCCCTGCGCCATGAAGCCGGCAATCACGCGGTGGAAAGCAGAACCTGCGTAGCCGAAGCCCTTTTCACCTGTAGCGAGGGCACGGAAGTTGGCTGCGGTTTTGGGGACGATGTCATCGTAGAGCTTGAATTCAATGCGGCCCCAGTTTTCGACTGTGTCTGGTTAGGAGCATATACGACTACAGTTCACATTAGGTGGGTTACCCTTGCCGCCAACTGTGACGTATTCAATCTCGAAGTATGGGTTGGCCATGATGAATTGAGTTTGGGCGTTGTAACTTGTGCTGGAGAAGTGGGAAGATGAGAAGTAGATGGACATTGGATCTTATAAACCTCACGTGCGGGGTAAGCAGGGACATGCAGCAATGAGGTCATCTTGGAATTTGCTCAATGGCAGTGAACCAGCTGCAGGATCTCAGACATTCGTTTAGGTTTGTTTAGCGCTTAGTGACAGTTTGACTCCAATCCATTGAATGTACGAATCAACGTGTATCTGCCAGCATTGTATTTGCTTAATGCTTATAGATATTAGACTATCGAACCAATTCGATCTAGACTATAGATCTCCTTAAGAGTAGTGTACTTCATAACTATTGTGTACACAGTACGTAGTTCCCAATTAAAGTTGTTGCCAAGTCCAAGTGGATCCAACCGGGATCTGATAATTCCCGATAACGATAAGGCCTACTCGCGTTCACTGCCTCACTTGGCCTTTTTTTCCCCTTTCTCCCCTTTCCTACATCACTCCATTCACATTCTATCTTCACACCATCATGGAGGAACACTTGCGCCACAGTCTTTCCAACCATCCCAATGTCTTTCAGACCATCCACCACACCAGCTCACCGTCCCATCGGTCCGAGAGAATCTCTCTTTCTTTCAACGAGGGGACCACCACCGCCCTGGACCATGAGCTCACCACCATGCAACAACACCGCACCGGGAGCTCCAGTGACGAGGAGGGTCAACCTCCACCCCGATATACCCGTGAAAATGATCCTTTCCAGCTTGCCTCAAAACTCAAGTCCGAGGAGGAGATTCGACAGATCAAAGCCAATAGCTCGCGGAAACGGGATCCCACCGGCACAAACAAAGGCCGGAAGGTGGCAGATCTCATGCATCACACAACCCGTCTCGGAAGAACAACTTTTATCACTAAGAAGTTGCAAGGCTTCTACGAGTCTCAGAATGAAAACATCGAACGCATGCTGAAGCCAGTCGAGGAGCACCGGCGCGCCGCCCGCGAGCTCAACATCGACAACCGCCTCAAGTACCGAATCGCCGTGTATGGCAGTTTCGCTGCGAACATCGTCCTCTCCGCCATTCAAGTGTACGGTGCTGTATCATCTGGATCACTCTCGTTGTTCACCACTATGGCCGACGCCATCTTCGACCCCATGTCCAACCTGACCCTCTTGCTGTGTAACAAGGCTGTCAACCGCGTTGACGCGCGCAAGTTCCCCGCTGGAAAAGCCCGTCTCGAGACCGCAGGCAATATCTGTTTCTGCTCTCTCATGACAGCCGTCTCTTTCATCATCATCGCTTTCTCCATTCGTGAGCTGGCAGTGGGCTCCGAACATGAAACGCAAAATTTCCATCTCCCCTCCGTTATCGCTGTTGCGGTTGCCTTTGCCACCAAGTTCTGCCTGTTCCTGTACTGCTGGGCCCTGCGCAACCAGGTCTCGCAGATTCGCATTCTATGGGAGGATCACCGTAACGATCTGTTTATCAACGGGTTCGGTATCCTGACCTCCGTCGGTGGCAGTAAGCTGCGCTGGTGGATCGATCCCATGGGTGCTATCATTCTCTCCGTGTTGGTCAGTGTGCTCTGGTTGCACTCTGCCTATGGCGAGTTCCAGTTGCTTGTCGGCGTAACTGCCGATACAAACATGCAACAGCTCATCACCTATATCTGTATGTCCCACCCCCCCCCCCCCCCCCACCTCCTTTACAATTCTTTCAATGTTTCAATAAGGCATATGCTAACATTCCTCCAGCCATGACCCATTCGCCATTCATCACAGCAATCGATACCGTCCGCGCCTACACTTCCGGCCCTCGCCTCGTAGTCGAAGTAGATGTCGTCATGGACCCAGAGGCAACCCTGCGAGCCACCCATGATGTCGCCGAAGAGCTACAGATCAAGCTCGAGTCACTTCCCGATGTTGAACGTGCCTACGTGCATGTCGATTACGAGACTACGCACAAGCCCGAGCACTCCCTCAAGAAAGAGCTCTAGGAAACTCTGCTAGACAGGAACTGCTCAAGTGGCATGGCCTTTCTACCACCTCGAGCATGGATTGCATAACGGCGTAAAACTTCGTAATCTGGAGTTCGAAGTTCAAGTCCAAGTTCAAGTTGCCAAGTTGTCAATTCCATCGGGCATTTGGCCTTTACGATTGCTATTGCTATTGGAATACATTCGGAATTTTATATTCTAGTTGGTCTCCACAAGTGCCTTTAGTCCCATGCCACAGTCCAGAATTACTTGTAGACAGTACAGTAGACAATCCACCAAATTCATCCATATTCATAAAGTCGTGTATCGTCGGATCAACAGTACATCATCATCTATCAATCACGTTAAGACTGTAACTAGAGAATAAAAGAAGCCTATCCCCTATGTATAAGAGAAAGGAAGAATCTATTTACGAGAAAATACAGGGAAAAGAGAACAGGATATAATATTGTTTCACACAACAGAGTCAGGTACAGAAGAAGTTTGATAAAGAATAATTCAATGAAGAAAGCTCAACAGCTCAAGCAGACTGCTCAAAGAGTGCAATCGTGGAGCAGTAGTTACTCTTATTCGGTTTCCCAGGAACCATCTGCTTCCCATCAGAAGAAGTGACCATGTTAACAGCGGCCTTAGTGCTAAGACCGTACAGCTTGACATCCGAGCAGTCGACCTCAACCATATTCTCCTGACAATCCTCAGACTGAAGACAAGATTGAGCGTAGTTCTCGAAGAAGCTGTAGAGACCAGCACCGTAGATGTACACATCCGATGAGCCGAGGACACGCAGACCCCAGGCTTTCCGACAGGAGTTTGTCTTACAGTTTGCGAAGGTGGGGTCGTTCCAGGAGTCCTGGGGGGTGTACGGGGTCAGAGAGGTCGGGTTGGACTGGTAGTATGGAGTCTCGGACTGGATGAGACCCATGAAGACGTTCTTGGCGTTGGACACCTGGTAGTTGTAGAGCTGGTGGTGCTCGGACGAAGTACCCCACAGCCAGACGGGGTTCTGTGACTCGATGAGCACGCCGCGGCCGGTGTACACGTTGATCTGGTTGTGGTCTTTCAGGTCGAGCTCGTGGTCGGCTGTCCAGAACCAGGTGTTCTCGAGGTAGGCGCTGCCGGTCTTGGTGACGTGCAGCAGCATGAAGGCGGCCATGCATTCCTTCCTGGGGGTGGTCTTCTCCTTGGGCGTCTTGGGGCAGGTGTCGCTCTGCAGCTCGGTGCCGGCGGCCCCGCCGATGCGGAAGTGGACATCCCACATGCCGGCAGAGCCTTGGGATGTGCCGGCGACGTTCCATTCCATGAGAATGGCGCCGGGGGCGGCACCCTTGGTGGTGATGATGAGGTCGCTCATCTCGACGGAGCCGGTGTCACCCTTTTGGCCAACTTGGAAGAGCGGGACTGGCTTCTCCTGATCACTGAACTTCGGGCCGTGAGCCATGAGCATGGGCCAGATCTCACCAGTGATCTTGATGTCCTTGGGAACCTTGATGGTGGAGGTGATGACATAGGCACCGTGGTCGAAGTAGATAATCTGACCATCCTTGTAGCTGTCGAATATCTTCTGGATAGCCTCGGTGTCGTCGGTGGTACCATCACCCTTGGCACCAGCGGACTTGACGCTGATGAAGGAGGAAGCCGCAACGTCGGTGTACAAAGGCTTAGAGCGTTCGAAGACAGCGCCGTTCTTGAGAAGGCTGGCAGGCTTGGAAGAAGTCTTCATGGTGCTCTGTGTGCGGGCAGAGGTGACAGCTTGGTGAGCACCGCAAGTGCCAGAGCCGCTGCTGTCGCTACCAGATTGCGAGCCCTTGGTGGTATCAGATCCACTACCAGTGCTGTGGGGACGGGCAGCAGTAGCGGTGACAGGAACAGCGGGCTTGTTAACAGAAACAGCGCTCGGGGGCGAAGGCTCAACGGGTACCGCAGAAGTTGCAGGAAGCTCAGCAGATGGAGCGGGAGCAGGGGTAGGCTCGGGAACTTCGGAGTTCTTAGAGCCTCCTTCGATGATGGAGAGGATAGTGTTCAGGCCAGGGATTTCAGTGAGGACCGGGGGCAAGGCAGAGCGAGCACTGTCGTCGCCGCTATTGGAGGGCACCGGAGCTGCGGAAGAACGATCATCACTGGCCCCCGGAGCAGGCGAGGGTGCAGGCGCCGTCTCGAGGGATGAAGTTTTGGCAGGCGCCGGAACATCGCTACCCAGGGCGCTGCCACCGGGAAGCCCCTTAGAAACGGGACAGGCAAGAATTGTCTCTGTAACTGTCTCGACAACAGTAACCACCTCAGGCTCAGCCTCGGTAGCCCGCTTGTTGATAGTCTTGGATGGGGTATAAGTGTTACCCTGTACCCAGTTGTCGACGACGGAGCCGCCAGCGAGAATGGTTTTACCGTCAACACCGGCGACAGCGATCTTAGAGCCAGAGAAGTCGACGTTATCCAAGATGAGGTCACCACCACCAACAGGGATGCTCTGCTGGGTCCAGGCTGTGACAATGCCGATTGGAGTATTGGTGAGTTTGCTATCCAACATCAAGACAGAGCCAACAGTCTGGTTAGAGGGCGAGGTAGACATATTCAAGCCAACCTCACAGTTGTTGATCTTGACAGACTTGAAAGTCCAAGCCCAATTCCAGTTCATGTAGATAGCAGTTTGGCAATCGTTGAAGACCAAGTTACGTGTGGTGAACTGTTGGTTGCCGAGGAACATGCCGTAGTTACCGCCATTGAAGGTCAGGTCAGACATGAAGCCACCGGATCCGTTATCCATAAAGATACCCTGCTGCTTGTTGGCATCGCCACCACCCTTGACCATCTCGAAGCGGATGTTCTGCAAGCTAGTGGCCTGGCCAACCTGCCAGTGAATACCAGCGCCAACGCTGGGGGGCATACTGGTGAGATCGATGACCAGGTTGCGAATGGCGCGGAAAAAGTTGTTCTGATTAGTGAACCAGTTGTCGCCGTTGTCCTCGTATGGATCAGAGTCAATAACTGCCATACCTGCGAACTTGGGTGAGGCCTTGATGACCGGCAGCTCAGCTGCGTCACCGACGATCTGGGTGTAGTAGTATTGCTGGATGGGCTTGGAGACAACGTAGGTACCCGGAGGGAAGTACACGATGGCAGGAGTAGTGGTGGATGAGTCGCAGCCCTTGCCGCAACGGCCTCCAGAGGAGATAGCCTTGTTGATGGCCGCAGTATCGTCGCTGGAGCCATCACCTGCAATATAGTCAGTATCCCGTCCGAGAACCCTGAACCCAGATAAACCACTCACCCTTGGCACCATAGTCCTTCACATTACGGAAGATCTTGTAATCGGGGGTTTTGGCGAAGGGAATAGTGCCCTGGCGCTCCACATTGGAAACCCAGTAGCTTGATGGGGCCAATGTCTTCTCGGTCGTGGCCAACACATTGTTGACTGCTGTCACAGGATTGTTAAGAGGCACAGCTGCGACCAATGAAGCCGGCAGACCGATCAATAGGATGATATGGGCGACAAAGATCGCGATCGAAGTCTGGAAAACGGCCATATTGACAATGGATGCTGAACCAGCAGCAAAGTAGAAGATGTTTCAGAAAAAGATGCTAGAGAAAGATAGTTCAGTAACCGGCACTGAAGAAATAAATCGAGTCCGACGCTTGGCCAGCAGCGATATGCAGGAGGAATAGTAAAGAAAGAGTGGGTTAATGTAGAGGTGAATCCCCAGCTGCACAGCAGGCACCTTCCACAATAAAAAAGAGTGAATGAGGGAAAGACAATAGGACTGCCGCCTAAAGGGAAAGAATGAAGAGAAACAAAAGAAGGAAGTCGAGACAGAAAATCGCAAACTATAGGATGGTTAGGGACTTAGGGTAAGACTCATACCTCTAATATAGCAGAGACCAGTCTAATAACCTCAAATTCCCCCTTTCAGCCTATCACACCTGAGCCCTGAACTTCTCCCAACACCCCACCAATCACAGACCCACGCGGGCCTTGTAACAGCAAAGCTTGAAACGTGATAGTCGCGAGTTGAAACGAACAGTCGACGAGAGTATTGCAGGCTAAAAAATTAGCTTAAGCGCAGGTGTTTCGGATCGTAAATTAAGTGTCGCGTCCGTTGGTAAATAGCCAATGTGCTCAGTATAGAACAAACGACAATAACTCAAGATCGGTTTCAAGAACAAAAAAGACCAACAGCAAGTGGCTAGGGAAAAATAGCCAGACGAGATCCCCTTAACCCGCGATGGGGACTCTACGGCACTATATAATTAGTAGGCCCATATCTTAGGGTATGCGGATTATCCATTCCATCCATCTCAGATTTTTGTTGTCGCATGGACAGCACAGGGACTCGCCCAGCGGCCCACTGTAGGAAGGGGAGTCTTTTTCCCGGCGCCTTTATTGCACGACCATAGCACGGCAGTTATGTTCCAAGGAGGCCGAGCATTGCAAGCTGTCGCGTATCATTATGCCTTGATCCGGGTGGAGCCCCCTGCAGACACAACAAGGTAATGGCCCTGCCGATGATACTCCGATGTCAATCCTGTCAATCCTATGGAGATATGCAATCGAGACCAGGCTATTGGGTCTCTGTTCTCCTGGTCCTCGTTAACGTACTCTTTTTTCCTACTGGTTTGCCAAACTTCGGGACAATCGCGGACTTTGTGCGATAAAGACGCGTGACGTAGTAAATGCTCAGTTCATGCCAACTCCCGAGTCAGAGTGGGTGCGTTTGAGCCTTGGGCTCATAGAATCACCCCCGGGCCCGTGCCGTTGTCAGGGGGGTAGACATTGTTATGGATGAACATTCCGGGGGCCTCGAGGAGGAAGGATTCCCGATGACGACAGACAAGAGGCGAGCTGGTCATAGCCAAGTCTGGAATTTGACTAAGTGTCAACACCTGCTTCTTTAAATGAGCAAAGATCTAACAAGAAGGAGAGTTGTGATCCACGGCTACCACGGCTAAGCTTTGCCAGACCCCCTGAAGTCCGGCACGGGATGGACTTGCCCCGAAGCCGATCTTCAATTTTCGATCTCAGTTGATCCTGTAAGATTTAGCAAAGTACATTGTACAACGTAGGATGTACAGACAACGATTCAAGTGCCGTCATGAAACGAAATGTTCCAAAAATAAAAAGGTCGGGGCCTAAATCGAGGGCCGGACATGCATCGTCGCTGTCAGACGTAACACCCAATGAAGAGCCTCAAATGTACATTGTAAATCCAACTCTGTAAGCGTGTACTGGCAAGGGCTAGGGAATATTTATTTGAATAGGTATTCGCTAGTATTTGAATTGTCTATTTAAATTTATGCATGCCACGCGCCCCCACCGTTCCTGGCGGCCACGCGTGGCTGGTGGCGTAGACCTAAATCCAGCGCAATATGTGCCTAAGTACGAGCCATACGCTTCAAAACATGCGCTAGCCTACGCACTCCTTCAGTCAAGTGTCGTGGCTCTTCCCACGCAAGACAGAGTCGTAGGTGGTCCGAGAACCCCTTATTGTCCTTCTCAGGGACCTGGAAAGCGTCACCAGGAGACATAGCTAAATTCTCTTCGCTTTCCGCCCGCTCAACTACTTCCGTAGCATCTAGGTGTGCCGGGAGACCAATCCACACAAAGTAACCTCCGGCTATATTGCTGGCTGCGTGGCCGGCTGCTGGGACTGTGACGCCCAGCGGGACGAGATGCTCATGAATTGCGGATAGGAGAGCCCCGTAGCGCTCGGCGAATTTCGGTTGGAGGACGTCGCGGATGTGATTTTGTATGATTTTCTTGGGGAACATCTGGTCGATGATGACAGCGGATAACTGAGAGGGAGCGCCGCCAGATCGGGAAGAGCCTCTGCAAATATCCCGTTAGCTTATAAGTTCAGGTCAAGGAACAAGGATCATCGATGAAGATATCCCAAAGGGTACCCCGTACGTTTGCGATAATCCATACATCAGCTTTTCGGACGACTCGGCCCAGCCAGTACGGACACCGGGTCCCATCAGCTTGCTGAAGCTACCGTTGCTGATTACGTTTCCCCATTCATCGCCACCCTCCATGTAGCGCTCCACGTCGACGATGCGCGGAGCACATGCGCGGTCACCACGGATTCCCTCCCCACCATCTGAGTTAGCCGGCCATTGGAGGAAATCATATACATCGTCCGTGACGATCAGCGCATCGTACTGACGAGCCAGGCGAACGAGCTCTTCCCGCCTGCGTATCGACATTACCTTCCCAGAAGGATTCGCAAAAGTGGGCACGGCATAGATGACATGCTTGTAGATTTTTCGCCAGGGTCTGGGCGGTTTCATTTTCTGCAGGGAAAGAGGGGCAGCATCAGTCCAGGACTCAACAAACAATAACACAGAGGCATGGCACAGTGACGAGCATTATGCCACCTCTGTCATGGGCCAGGACTGTCATACCGGCTCTGTATTCCCAGCCTGTTGTGCGGCCTCCTCCGCAGCACGCAATCCACTCTCGAGCACCGCGATGTCGATGCCCTCGTCGTCCTCGGGAACCCCGCGTAGACGCCCGGCGAAGCCGGCGTCTTCCATAATGCGCGCGGCCAGGTAGTACGTCGGTGCTACCAGCCACACATGCCGTGTGTAGACTGGATCAGTGAAGGTCTGCAGCACGCAGGCCAGGTTCTGGCTGGCCCCGCCTGAGATGCAAATGCGCTGCGCCGAGATGGGCTCACAGGGCTGATAGAATTCGGTCAGCCATGAGGCTATGTGCGAGCGCAATGGCTCGTGTCCTTCGTCGGGGCCGTAGAGTAGGGCTTGGGTTGCAATTGGGGGATTGGATAGTGCTGTCGTGGCGGAGTCGCGAAAATCGGGCGCGGAAAGGAGCGCGGGGTTAGGCCATCCGGTTGATAGGTCGATGGACTGATCGGGGGGAATGGTAACGGTCATGATGATGGGGGGATGAATATGTGCAATATATTACTGGGTATGAACGATGTTAAAATTGTCATGTTGGTAAAGGGGGGGAATCAATAAGTAGTGTGATGCTTAAGAGCTTAGCTTGGGACCTCGGGATGCGGCGCGGGCAACCGACACATCCGAGATCGGGAGGTATGGGAGCAGAAATCTGAGCACGATCATTTTGAGGATGTGGTTGAATTTAAGCCTGAGGGTTATCAGAGGAATATAAAGGCAGTCTTGAAGGTTCCAAGGTCATGTCTTGGATATATATCGGAGTCTACTTTGTAGGTACCTACATCACCACAGTGTCTCTGAATATGTCATAAAAGGATCTTCTTACCAATACCAAGCTAGTATTTCACTTGTAAATAGCCCCGGTATGCTACAAGGATATCCTGGATCCCAGTGACGTGAATCCTTGGAATCGTGGGTTGGCGATGCTTCGTTATTGGGTAGAGGTCAATGGGCCTTTATTAGGAAAGAAATAAATAGTTCCATGACTTTCAAGGTTTTTGTTAGTGTTGAGAATGGGCTATGGCACCATGGTTGATGATATTTCATAACTTTATGTCTGAACTCTTTTAGTTCGGTTATAGTCAATCCTACATGCAGTGTACAAAGTACGATATATCTGTGCCTATTGTCTTGTCCTAGGTCTATCACACTGCAATAGAACAAAGTGATTGTTTCCTGTCATTACGATAACCATCTGATCTAATTCTCCGATTTCCAACCTGATGTGTATATTTTGTTGGGTCCACACATCCAAGACATCCACAGCCAACGAACCATTTATTCTCTTCAGTCTATTATTGGCAAAGAACCGGATCGAATCGCTTTTCACGCTTGTATTTATGAATATTCATGTATTAGTTATGTACTCCGTACTTCGTAAAATAAAATAAGGCTCCGATTGCCTCTAAGCAAGAAAAAAAAAAAGATACTAAAAAAAGTTCGTTCATAACTTCCTCAACTTCTCCTGAACTTTCACTCCCCTAACTTTAATCCTCTCCTTCTTCTTTGTTGTGACCTTGATCTTCAAACACATCAGCTTCATCCATTCCCTGCTTCTTGTCCGGTTCCGCACCATTCTTGCAATCCCTCCTGCCGATCCATTCCCCAACCCCTAAACCAGCTCCCCCCTCCCGTCACCTGCCAAGTACACACTTCATTCCTCGCTCCATGCGGGATTGACCTTCTCTACCTCACTGCGGGTCGCCTTCCTCCCCAAACTATACTCCTCCACCTCTACAACCACCCAAGATGCTGTCGGCTCCCGTTAAGTCGGCGAAGCGCATCTCTTCTCTGTTCTCACTGGGATCGAAGGATCGGGACTCTCAGACCTCCCCCGTGTCATCCCCAGTGTTGAAATCGTCAGAGAATCTTCCGATCGATAAGCGACGCAGGAGCAGCTCGAGGCCTACCCGTCATGTCTCGACCCCCAATGCGGTATATTCTTCAGAGCCACGAACCATGCCCGATAGGCTGGACCTAGAGAGTTTGCCTCCGCCACCTTCACTGATGGCGGTGAACCAGGATTTGGCGAGCAGTGCTCCGAGCTCACCCGTTGGACGTCCCCAAAGCAGAGGCCGGGATATGAGCAGGCCCTCCAGCTCGGCCGGATTGGCTATCCCGGGATCAAACCCGGACTCCCGCCCCAGCACACCCTCAAAGCGCAGGAGTTGGATGCCCGGCCGGTCGCGCGCCAGTTCAATGGATAAGCGGTCAAATCCACCACCTTCACCCATGCTCCCGGCTGCATGGATTGCCGGGCTAGACCAGAAGGTCGTTTATGATCTCGGTCCCTTGTCCAGAGGAGAACAGGTACGCCACAAGCCGATTTAGTCCACGATGATGCAATGGTGAAATTAACCGTTTTGTTTTTTTGTTGCCTTTCCAGATCCAAGAACTGTGGAACGATCAAGGTGACACTTATGTGTACCTGTTCCCCCAGAATACCGGCCGTCCCCCATCCTTCAAGGTTGATTCCACCATCTTCGCCGAATCCCCCTCCCTCACCTACCTCGCACGCGGCAACGATGGCAAGAGCGGCCTCGAACAACCGACACGATCCTTATCACTCAACCCGATGTCTCCCCCCATGACCCCACAAGACCGTCTGCCCGAGAACGACACGGACAATGATAGCTCGGGAAGCCAGAGAATGGCGTTTGAGGATACACTCGACGAACTGCCGGAACTTCATCTATATCTCCCTATTCCTCTGAACTGCGATGTCTCCAATCCACAAGCACGGCTCAGCCAAGAGGACACAGAGACCCTTCTGTTATTCCGCAATCTTTTCGCATTTCTGCTGGGGCAGTCTTTGATTGCTTCACCCAAATCCGCTACCCTCTTCTCCATATTCATGGACGTGGCAGTGCTCTTGGCTCGTTTCGAGTTCTCCAACCTGGATGCGTCCAACTTCGGTGAGACGGCCACATCCAGCTTCAGCAACTATTGTGAGGAATTGCGCTTGGCAGATGTCCGTCGGAGCAGAGAGAAGACCATCGAGGCCATCGTTCTCGGCGAGCGCCTGCGCTATTATCCGCTATATGTCGAGGGCTTTGTGCACGGTGTTGGCAAGCTGGTTGAGTTGAAGCAACTGCGAAGCCCTAAATATACATTTATTCACCCCATCACACAAAAGCGGATGGAACGTGCGTACATCGATCTCGATAATCGTCTGCGCGGTCTATATGCCAAAATCGAAGATTTCGACTTCCCCTCCGTTTTCTCCGGTATCGCCAACTCGACCACCTCCTTGGAAAGTAAGGTGGTACGCTTCAAGTTCTGGAGGACGGGATTCCAAGAATTCCGCCGCTTCACCATTCAGTATTACCGACAGAAATATGGCTCGTGGCCACCCAAGGCCCGGTCAAAGAAGAATGAGTTCGAAGAGAGCGGACTCAACCGTCTTCTTCTTTTGGATCTGTATCACGACTTCACTGATCTCTATGACTTGATGGTTGACCGCACCTCTCTGACAACTCGCACAATTGATGTCTCGGGGGCGGGTAATGACTCCGCTGATCCCTCTGATCCGAAACAGATGACCGTCCGTGCTCTCCGCCAGGTCCTCTCCGAGTACGACCGCAGCACCCCGCCTGTGCTGCCCCCCATTCCATTTGACATTCCACAGATGCCTTCGCTGCAGCCCTTGCACCGCAAACCGCTTGACCCCAAGAAAGAGGCCAAGCAGCGCGGCAAGAAGCTCAAGGATTCGGACATCAATGCTGTATTGATGGGTTCTTATACTCGGGAGGCCATGCGCCCCACATCCTTCATTGAGAGCTTCATGCAGTTCGAGCGTCGTTCCGCCCACGGCAAGAATATCCAGGATATTACCGACCTCCGATGTGGCCAGTGGATCTTCCTCTACGCAGTCATCCAGGCCCTCCCCATGCTCGTGGTGGATGTCCCCGATGTCCACTATACCGATGGTGTGGAGTACTTCCTATGCATTGCCCCTCGTGGCGGCGCTCCCTGGATCCACAACGACACCAAGACTGCTCGCAGCTGGTTCGGAGTCGCCGGTGGTGCTGGTGTTGTGAGCCTGCCATCTGACGTCGTCATCAACGGCGTGGAGGGTGTATACCGCCGCAGTCACTGCTGGCAAGTCGCTGAGCAGTGGGCTGAGGCGGGTGCTCTCATCGAGCCACCAATGGTGGAAGACGCTACGTACGATGATGAGGAGTCCTCTATCTCATCCCCGTACCAGGGCCAAAATTCCTCAGCGGGATCTTCCTCTGAACCTCAGTCCAACCACATGATGGTCCCCGGTGGGCTGAGTTCACCCCCTCCAGCGATCCCGCGTAATCGCTCCCCCAATGCTACCCAGCGACCGGAGCACCGACACTCATTCTACCCTGGACTGGAAGCTTTGCCTCTCCCTGCGGGCATCGCTCCTATTGAGCCACCCACTCGCCCGATCAGTCGATTCAACCCGAACATGAGTTTCGACGATATATTGAGAGAAGTCCCGAAGAAGGACAAGAAGAAAACATGAACAGCCATGGCATTGGCTTCTTCATTCGACCAGATCTCACTACCCCTGAGCTGCATATCAGAATATGCGCCGACTTTCATCATCCCCTTAACTGTTTTCTTTTTTTTATATTGTTGATAGGCGCATTTTGTGACATGAACCACCGGGCTGGATCGGCGTGATACACAGGGAAGGGAGACTAAAAAAGCAAGACCTTTTGAATTCCATTGGCGGCAGCATGCATGGAGAAGCACATCATAATTATCAGCATATCAGCATCAGCATCTCCGGAGGAGGAACCTTATTTTCACTGTGACATTTTCGTTGTTCCTTTCTGCTTTTCTCTCTCCGCTTTGGATTCCCCCTGTTTTCCGTAATCCGTGCCGCTGAAGCCACCTGATTGAATATAGAATCCTAATATCTGTACAATGGAGAATTCGAAGAAGGGTTTACTGTGTATTCGTATATACTGTGTAGTTGTAGTGTTTATTTGTGTTCTTTCTGTAGTTCATGTAGCCATTGAGTTTCCCGCATCCATGGATCCGGCTTGAGTTACCAGATCTTTAATTTCTTGTTTACATCCCGACTACATGTGACCTTCCCATAGATGTAAGTATAAGTATACCTACTTTCTCACTACGACAATCTTTGTATTATCCCAATATAAACATTGAACCCAGGAAGCCCATGCTATGCCGGGCAGCTGGGGTGAAGCCCACCAAAGCAGGCTAGCAGGCAATACGAGAAGAGGATCCAGCCACACAGCCTCTTTCCTCCAAGCCCCGCCGGTTACTAAATCCCCATGGGAATAGGGGGGCCAAATGAAAAAGACGCTTCAAGTCTGCAGATCTCTTCCAGACAAGGCCAAGGGCCATCTGCCCTCGCTTGAGCTTGATTCAGGACTTCAAGTCTAGCCTTGTCCAAGTTTCTCCCGTCCTCGTCCTCGACATCAGCCGGAGGAAACGAAAGGCAAATACGAAAAAAAAGACAAAAAGGACCTCAGCAACACAACGCACGTAAAATACTAGCTGGTCATGGATTGAACAACACCCTATTCACCATTATATACTCCGATACCTGTGATACCCGAAAAGCGCACCAACGGAACCACTCAAACCCCGTAACGCCAATATGCCTCCCTCCAGCATAACCAGTGACAGCCACGAGCGTCTGGAGCCCCGGCTTCTCCGCGCGGCCGAAAACAACGACACCGACTCGCTGAAGAAAGTAATAGACCTCGCCCGCGAACACAACCAACTAACCGACAACTTCCTGCGAATCGGGCTAATGCGCAGCGCTGAACGCGCATGCGTAGAAGCAACAGAATACCTCCTGACTCTGGGCGCAAAAACCGACGTCCCCTCCAACCGCGCCCCGCCGCTCCTCCGCGCCGTCGAGCGCGACCACTACGAGATCGTCCGCGTCCTGCTAGACCACGGCGCCAGCCCGGACTCCGCCGATAAAGAGGGCCGCACGGCGCTGATGACTGCCGCGTGGAAGAACCACGCGGATATACTGCAGCTGTTGATTATGCGGGGTGCGGATGTGAATAAGCGGGATCTGCGGAGGCGGAATGCGTTGCATAACCTCGCGGCTGATAAGGCCTGTCGGTGGGGGTGGGGGGATGAGGTTGTGAGGTTGTTGTTGCGGACGGAGTGTGCGGTTGACGGGCCGGAGGGACATGATGAGCTTGGGCGCACGCCGTTGCATTGGGCTTGTGCGTCGGGGAATCGGAGATTGGCGGAGATGCTGTTGGCGCGAGATGTTTGTGTGGATGAGAAGAGGGAAGGGGGAAAGGTTGGACCGGTGCAGATTGACGCTGTTGAACTGCGGGGGAAGACTGCATTGCATGTTGCTACTGCTCATGACCGGGGGGATATTGTGTCGTTGTTGATTGCGCATGGGGCTGCTATCAATGCTGCTAGTGATGGCGGCTGGACGCCGCTGCATTATGCTTGTGATAAGGGGTGTGAGGCTATTGTGCGGATTCTACTGAGCGAGGGGGCGCAGGTCAATGCGCAGCTTTTGAATGGTGTTACGCCACTGCATCTTGCTGCGCAGGGGGGACATCGGGAGGTTGTCGAGTGTCTGCTTGAGAGACCGGATTTAAAGAGGAGGGTGAGGGATAACTTTGGTAGTACGCCGTTTCTGCGCGCGGCGCAGTTCAAGCGAAAGGATATTGTCTTGCTGCTTGCGCCGTTCAACAATGTCGGGAGTCTTTCTGAGGACGTTAAGGAGGCGAGTGCGGCATTTGATGCTACTGTTGTTGATTTTGGAAACTTCCACAATGAGAACCGGGTTAAGCGCATGTCTGTGTTTAACCTGCTTTATGGAAGAGACCAAGAGAATCCGAGGAAGCAGGCTGTCACCACTGTGCCGGCTGATAGTCGTGCAACTGATTTCCGGTGGATTCATTTGCCGGCGAACAATATGGCCTGGGTCGAAGCTCTGCTAACCAAATCTTTCATTGAGGAAGGAGCTCATGATGTTGATGGATTCAAGGGCCTGGAAAAGTCTTTCAACTATCAGCATCGGGGTCAAAGGACTCACGCGCACTTCATGCGGCCATTGTGTCAAAACACGCCGCGAACGATGTTGCGACGCTATGAAGAGGATACTTCGGAGGAGCCAGCATCTGACCAAGGGTCTTCAAGGCCTGTGGAAGGTGTAACCCGCAAGCAAAAGAGTCCAGGTGGCAAGCTCGACCGGACGAGCTCTTACCCCAACGATGAAGCAGACGGCCCCCAAGGGAAAAAGGGAAAGCACAATCAGAAGCGCGGCAAGTCAGGCAGTGCTCCGGGGACCCCCAAACCTGATAATAAAGGAAAATCGCCATGGGGCCCAGGCGATAGACACCCTAAGTCGTCGCCTTCAATATCCTCATCGACGACTCTGTGTAAAGACCCACATCCTCTTGTTTCGGCATGCAACGTCTGCGTGTTCATGCCGTATCTGCATTTCGAGACCGAGGAGCGAAGGCAGAAGATGCAGAATGCAATTTCACGGGCAGAAATGCTGAAACTTGGATCGCATGGGTCGAAAAGACTGCGTACAAGAGATGAAATGCTCATCGATGCCCATTTGTCATCCTCAACAACCTCACTTCACGTCCGCCGCACGCTAGACCAATTCTTCTACCCTAATATTGACACCCAGAGCCGCGACCGGGATCAAGTGGTCTACCGGTACCAGACGAAAAGCCCTGGAATGGGCGAAGACCCCAAGATATTCATGGTGGATCAATTGTGGATGTGGGTTCTAGGCTCGAACTTGATCGTTACAGCCTTCCCCCAGAGATGGGACCAACCTAAGAATGACCCGCTCAACGTGCTCGACGGAATTATCGAGGATATCAATTCCAAAACCCGGGATCCGGTCAGATCTGTTTATGATCTAGCCATGATAATCACCAATCGATGCTCTGGGGTCTTTGACCGACACCGCTTGGGCGACGAGCAGTATCAGTTCTTAGATATGTTCGAATCCTCCATCGGAATAGCGACGGACAAAGAGACAGTACTCTTTAACCAGTTCAACCACGCCTCCGGACAGGCATCGGAATGGCTGAAAAGCCACCGCAAGTTGAACGGTTCCTACAGCTCTCCCCGAGGTCCAGCAGCGTGGACAAAGACGAAGTCTGCGACTACTGCGACGAGGATGGCCAGCCACTGTTCGTCGATCGCCTCCTGGATATCGGACAGGAGACTGATCTCCTTGCCGAGACGAAGGACATTCGGGACGAGCTGAACATGATCCGAACGGTGCTGGAGCATCAGACCAATGTATTGATGGACTTCCAAGATGTCGTCTGTGAGATTTATCAGGGCCAGCACCGCTCGCAGTACGAAGTCAAGAAACGGTTCAAAGACCAACAGCGCATGATTGACATGCACCTCAAGGATATCGATCGCATGGATAAACAGGCCGAACGCATCTACCATTCCATCACAGACTTGCTCGATCTCAAGCAGAAGCATGCCAATGCCTTCGAAGCCCGCTTTGCCCGTGACCAAGCTGCTGGTACAACCCGCCAGAGCAAGACGATTATGGTCTTCACCATTGTCACCATCGTCTTCCTGCCGCTGTCGTTCATCGCCTCCATCTTCACGATCAACCTGAAAGAATTCGAAAACCTCAAGTTAAACTATGTGGCGAAGTATACTTTTGGCATTGGCTTTGCAATCTCCATCCCACTCGTCTGGGTCGCCCTGACGGTTGATGATATCGGTGGTTTCTTCCGTGGAGGCAGCCGGCGCTGGCTGTCTAAGCGGAAACCGGTGGCAAAGAGCGAGCACGAGGGGACACTCCAGGCCTTGGAAATGGACCGAATTATAAGTTTGTCGCGCATGCGGAGGAGCATGGATGGCGCTTATGGTGGTAACCTGTTGCCTGTCTCTACACGCGAAACGGGCGTGTCGAGGGCTGATTTATATGGCGGGTTAGGCAATGGCACTGTACGGACGAGCTTCGATCTACGGTCCAGCCAGGACTACCGATCACGATGAAATGATTGATGGCTAATGATCTGGTAATTTGTCTTATGCTACCTAGGTTGTCATGTGTCTTGGTCATTTTCCTGTTTTCATTGGACAAAAGTTGAATATACCCCCATCTATATAGCGCTAGAAGCAAACGAATCTGATTCTGACAACAAAATGCAAGATCTATGTCTATAGTTCCATTGTATCCGTGTAGCCCCCATTAGCCTTCCCATCACCCAAAATCTCGGCAGGATGGTACACATTCATGACTACCATGGCGAGCCACATCAAGACCGCATCAAAGACGTACATAAAGACCTCATGCGTCATGATATACCCATCATACCCTTGAATGTATTCCACCAAGCGGAAAATAGACCGCACCAAGATCAGGATGCTGACAAGATACAGTCCGACCAGGATGGTCACCCAATTGCGTCTTTTCCAGCCATCACCGCGGGTAAGATCGCGATCAGCCTGCGATTTAGAAGTTGGCTGGCGGTTGATACGGGCGTGGAAAACTGTCGTGACAATAACGAAGAAGCCGAAGAAGAGTAGCTGGATGATTAGACCGCCGATTGTGACGTTTGAGCCGGTCTCGTGCATGGAGCTTCCTGTGGACATGAGACCACCGCCTACAAATGGGAGTTAGTAATTGGGATTTTCATTCTGAATGAGATTCGACTCACCAGCACATTGCAGCAGAAACGAGAGTACGTCTCCCGTCACGAAGATCTTCGTCATCCACTTCACAGGCACCAAGCTCAGACTCTCGGCGTGGAGGTAGGTCACTGTCCGACCTAGGATCATATAGATCGATGCTGCGTATAATGGTGGAGCAAGCAGGATGAAGAGCGTCTGCATTGCGTATAGGGGAATGCCGGTGAAATTGTCATGAGAGGCGGCGCGGCAGATATATCCTATTACCTGGACTGTTCGAATCAGTTAGCTGTGTTCCTCTATAACAAACCGAGGGAGTACGTACAGATTCCACCAACCACGAAGGGAATGAAGTACCAGCATCGCGTCTTGGTGAGCTGATAGCCATGGTAAGCGGTCGTAGCGGCGAAGAGAACAATGAAGATGACTGCCGCTGGTAGGGAGGGATTGTACCCGTAGATATTACGGTCTGTCATTCTGCGACGGTACTACCTACTAGGGCCTGTATGGGATGAAATTGATCTCAGCTCGGGGTCTACGACTAGTCTTTATATGAGCCATGATCGAGGTGAGACTTAATTCGCTTTAGATCCACTATATTTTAGGCGACACATTAAAACAGAACATTGATTCGAGCATCGGTTCGAGCATCGGTGTCAATTAGAGAAATCTCTTGGCCTTGCGGAGCTTTGACAGGCGTTGTGGGGGCTCAGAGGGCTTATCTGGTCCGTTTCCGTATTCGTATCCGGGTCTCGTATCCGTGACCGTACCCGCGACCGTATCCGCATCTCAGTATGGAGTAGCTTCAAGTCTCCTACACAGTTCTGTCTTGTATAGCTTCTTATAATGGGACCAAGAAGATCACATCGGAAGTCACGAAATGGCTGCCCACAATGTAAAGCAAGAAGGCTCAAAGTGCGATCTTCCCCCCAGCTTTACGGTAACCCACTTTCTAACTCCAGCTGATACAGTGCGATGAGCGATATCCATGTACAAACTGTACCAAACATGCCATTCAATGCTCCTATGTAGATCGCGCAACTTCAACTCCAGCTGGAACTCCAGCTGGAACTCCAGCTGCGCGTTCAGAGCTATTGACCCCATCTTATATGCCTTCACCATCAGGCCTGTCGTCATATCCAGCAACGCCGGCCGAGAACTCAGAGGCACTAGAACGAGCAGATCCCAGACCAGAAACTAGATCCGGTCTACTGCAATTTCTAACCGACTCATCAGATGAAACCTCGGTCTTGAATACAGATGACTGGGTATCGGATCTTGAACTCATGCATCACTACTGCACCGTGACATGCAACACCCTCTCAATCCGCGAAGACTCACGCCATGTATGGCGCGTCGTCATGCCAATTGAAGGATACTCAAACAAGTACTTGATGCACGGGATCCTGGCCTTGGCCGCCCTGCACCGTGCATGGCTTTATCCAACGCAAAGAGAAAGGCACACCAAGGCTTCTGCTTACCACCAGGCAGCTGGATTGAAGGAGTTTCGGGAGCTTATTTCCTCCCCAATTGACCCGAGCAACTGGCAGCCCGTATTTTGCTTTGCTTCTATGATCTCGATATACGTTTGTGCTTCACCAATCCGGTTGGGCGAGGATCGCTGGCCCGCTCCGATATCGAACATGGTTGAGTTGTTTTCTGCTGTGAAGGGATTGCAGACTATCATGAAGCCGTGGATGCACTCTCTTCAAAGGACGCAGCTTGCTCCGCTAGTGAACAGCGTTTGGCTTGAGAATGAGATGCTCATTGCAAGGTGAATACCCGTAGTGTTTTGAATACAGTAATCGAACCAACTAACTCGGTCCTAGTCCGGCAACTATGAAACAATCACTTCTTCCTCCTGATATCGAGCTGCAGATAGCTCGTCTTCACAGGTTTATTGACGATTATCCGCTTCCTCATGTACAGCCACACTCTCATCAGGACCTGAGTGACGCTGATGAAGCACCGCCCGCCTTCGATTATCGCGAAGACTACAAACGCTCTATCAAGTGTCTTGAAAATTCGATTCGTCAAATACAGCTTGCGGGGCCTCATGTAGAGGTCGGCATGGTTTTCATGTGGGCGTACTCCGCTTCCAAACAGTTTCAAGATAGTCTGGAAACATACCATCCTGCTGCTCTTGTTCTTCTGGGTCACTGGTGTGTGCTATTGCACATCGTTGACGATGCCTGGTTCATTAAAGATACTTCGCGTCAATTGTTGCGTGAAATTGACAACAAGATATATCCCAGCTTTAGAGAGTGGTTGATGTGGCCAAAGAGATGGGTCTTTGGGAAGTGAGTCAGCTCTTCGCTCATGGATGGAGGCAGGCCGCCGCAGGATGCCATCATAGGTATTCATGCCAGGATCCCAAATCTGAACTCACAGATGAAGTATGTACATAAGAACCGTCAGTGCTCTGGAGACTGACCTGCAAGAGTGCAAGACTTCTCAAGTTATCTTCGGTAATCGTACCAAGCACACCAACACTGTCCAACAGCAACACACCTCTTAGGCTCTTCGAGTCTTCCATAAAGAACGGAGGTGTGTTGACAGTTGGTGCGTTTGCTACGATTATTGCATGTGGCGTTGCCAAGACCTAGCCTAAATTGGAATCACATGACGCCTAGCTTCCTTCGAGAGGCTGTTTGTTGTTCCCGATCTATTCTCCTTCTCACGGCTCATTATCAACCCCTCCAGGGCTCTTGCAGCTGAAATTGATCCGACAGAGCTCTTCATTACCATGTGAATAGCATGTGTCTGGGTCTTCCGATCGTTTCCGAAGCCCCCTTTGGTTCATTCTCACCGGCTGCTCCGAAGGGCGCCGGGCGTCTCCACGACTCACGAGCTTGGTACGAGGAGCATAAGCTATTCTCTCCAACGAGAATTCAATTACAGATGAGCATAGTGGATCATGGCCACAATGTCAGCCTCAAGATCCCGATCCAGTATCTCGTTCCCTTACCCTGCCGAGGATGAAGTCATTGATATGTCAGCGGACGAGGTCGGGCTCCATCACAGGTCTCCCAGTTGAAATACATAGCAGGTGTCGGCACTGGAGTAAGGTCATTTGTTATTCCTGATCTGCTGTCCTACTAATCTTAACCGCTGTGCCATGCCAACACGGCCATTGAGCGCAATGCTTCCTCTGCAGCGCCAGGCCCTACGTCTCCGGAGTCCATTACCCTGCATTGCCTATCGCCTCAATACTATACCCACATCTTCCGAGCTTCCCTCAAGAAGCTACAGACCTCGATGGAGGTGTCTTGCGACACAGACTGAAACCGCCACCGCCCCTCGGCAGTCTGACAATGCAAAGGAACGCGTCGTCATTCTCGGATCCGGCTGGGGTGGATACTCCCTCTCACGCAGGCTTTCCCCAAAGACCCATTCAACTCTTATAATCTCACCTCGCTCATACTTCGTCTTTACTCCCCTTCTCACCGACGCAGCCAGCGGTTCCCTCGATTTCTCGAATATCGTCGAGCCTGTACGTGATCCACGGGCCAAAGTTGACTTCCTTCAGGCGGCTGCGCGAGCAGTCAACTTGGAAAAGAAGACCATTCTATGTGAAGCAACGGTTGTCAAGAGCGGTGTCACGGAGTCATCTCGCACACAAGACGAGGAACGAGGCGCCGAGAAAGGTCCGGGTACGACAAACTTAAAGCCGGAGCAAGCGCGTCTATGGGAACAGGGTGAAATGTTCGAAGTGCCTTATGACAAGCTCGTGATTGCGGTAGGTGCCGTCAGTCGCACCTTTGGGACTCCAGGGGTGCGCGAGAACGCAATGTTCTTCAAGGATATCGGGGACGCGAAAAGGGTCAAGCGGCGCGTGCGCGAATGCTTCGAGTTGGCTGTTCTGCCAACTACGACCCCCGAGATGCGGAAATGGTTGCTGAACTTCTCGATTGTTGGAGCCGGCCCAACAGGCATTGAGCTTGCGGCGTCGCTGCGCGATTTCATCCACGGGGATATGATGGCGCTATACCCGAGTCTCGAAGAGCTTCCGAGGATCATTTTGTATGATGTTGCGCCCCAGGTGCTTTCAATGTTCGACGAGTCGCTTTCCCGCTATGCAATGGAGACTATGAAGAGAGAGGGAGTTGAGATCAAGACCTCCCATCATGTCAAGAGTTTGCGCTGGGGTCCGCCTGGTGCATCTCCACCGTACGAGATGGATCCCAAGCGTTGCTTGACCCTCACAACCGAAGAGGACGGGGAGGTTGGCGTGGGCATGTGTGTTTGGGTGACGGGTAATGCCATGCCCAAGTTCGTCACAGAGTCACTTGATTCAGTTGATCCCTTCCCCAAGAACTCAGTTCATACCATTGAGCAATCTTCCTCGGCACCCGTGGATCTCGAAAAATCCTCGTGGAAATTCAAGAAGGCTCCCAGAAAAGGCCCGCTGCTCGTCGACGGCCATCTCCGCGTGCAGCTGCAAAATGAAGCAGGCCAGACGGCCGTTCTCAAGGACGTTTTCGCTCTGGGTGACAATGCTATGCCGGAGACCAATGGGCCGCCCGCAACAGCACAGGCTACTTTCCAAGAAGCCAAATGGCTAGCTGATCGCCTTAATAAAGATGATCTGGATCAGGCCCGGCCGTTCTCTTTCCGCAACCTGGGCACGATGGCGTATATCGGTAGCGAACGTGCATTGATGCAAATACCCCATAAGAGTGACGGTGGTAAACGCAAGTATCTCCCCGAAGGACTCCGAGGACGTACTGCTGCGCTTGTTTGGAAGACGGCGTATATTTCTATGAGTTTCAGTTGGCGCAATAAGCTACGTGTGGCTTTCAGGTGGACTTTGAACAAGTTATTTGGCCGGGATGTTTCGCGCTTCTAATTGTTGAATACCCAGAATACATGGAGATATGTGATCGAATCTAGCGGATACATACAGTCCCCAGTCCTATGTCTGACCTAGATCGGTACTTGCAGGTCTATGTCTGAACCGCACCTCTTACGTGGAATTCGATAGTCTCAAATGCAAGTGCTGAAGTTCTGACGAAAGCGAAGTCTCTCATAAGTCAAAGCAATCTATAACATCACGAGCCACAACAAAAATGCCAACCACCATCACTGATTCAACACAAACAACCGTATAAAAACCTAACCAGGTCCACAGTCTCTCAATCCAACCGCCTCAAACCAATGCCTCCAACGTCCACGCTCAAGTAAATCTATAATCCAGTTAGTATCAACCCCCGACCAAAGGAAACCCTAAACATACCTCATAACATAAGGACAAATCTTCTCCCCACCATAAGAAGTCCAAATAGCCTGCTCCCTAACCGGCGTCCCCGTCCGAGCAGCATTGATCATCCACCCATCACGAATGAAAATGCCCACATGAACAACCCCACTCTTACAATTCCCATTCGTACCCCAAAAAAGCAAATCACCAGGCTTAGCAGCCGACCGCTTAACCCTCTTCCCCAGCTTTGAGTTATACTGATCCTGCGCAACCCTTGGAATAGTCTTCTTCAAAGCCTTGCAGATAGCATACTGCGTCAGACCAGAGCAATCAAACCCACCCTTCGACGGACCAGAGCAGCCACCACCGCCCCAGACATAGGGGAGACCCTTCTTACTCTGCGCGGCGGAGATAATCGCCTTGCCCTTGCTGGAGCCGCTGCCGCCGCCGCTACCACCGCCGCTGGAGCCGCATTTCTTGGTCACGTAGCCGTTTATGCCGGTTTTCACGTAGTAGTCGGCGACGTAGCAGCCGTCGGTGGTTTTGTCCCAGATGTTGTTGCCGAATATGGTGGTGCCGGTTGTTTGGCAGGAGATTTTGACTTCGTGGGCTTTTTTGTAGGTTTTCACGATCTTGTCGCTGGTCGATGGACCGGAGCGGCAGCGGACGTCGTTGCCACTGATTGGGTAGGCGTTGACTGCTGTTATGGCCGTTGAAAGGGAGAGGGCCAGGAAGGAGAGGAAACGCATGTTGATTGTATTTCTGCAGGCTGCAGCTTTGCTTTGTGATGTGCTGGAGAGGTGTTCGAGATGTATTTCGAATGGCGATGGATGGTGAAGGCTTTATAGAGAAATCTTCTACTGTATCCCCTTCACGGACATTGATGGTCTTCCGTTGCATGATGCATTCTTCGTGTTCGTCGAGCTATTTGGAGTTTCGTATTCCTCGTGTCGTGAAGGCCGGCCCCTTCGTGTTTCCTGACATGGTTGACAGTGGATTTCGCGGTATAGAACCAACTCGAGAAGAATTCACAGGCAACAAAATAACTAGATCTGAAGATTTAGTTTGTACAACCTAGGATCTGTGCTGATCTTTGCCTCGTAAGTTCGTGTTCCTGCATTCATACTCCGTAGGAACTCCGTAGTTCCACTCGCAACACGAGGAACACGAGACTATTAATAGTAGATGCAACCTCCTTCAGCCCCAAATTGTATGGCCAGACCTCGATCGGATTTATTCGATGCTTGTTAGTTATTTTCCAGCATGTGAAATGTGGATAGCCCGATATTCCCATCGTCGTAAATGAGATCAATTGAAAGTCTCGTTACTTCAAGTTGATGTCTCGGGTAGTCTCGGTCGAAAATGAATAACCACCGGCCCCATCAGAAACACCCAACATCTCTAGATAGCCATATTGGCACAAGTAAACGCCGGCGTAACAGAGCCCGAGTAATCAGCAATAATCGCCTCAACAGCCGCATAAAGACCAGGCCCCAGAATGAACAGACCAACAACCATAACGAAAACATGAATTAACGTCATTACAGTCCTGCCCAAATCACTGAACAGCGATCCCCTATACAGCTGCCAATAAGCGACAGCAAAGTAAATAAATCCGAAGAACGAGTCGAAACCCGCACCGAGCAAGGACAGGAAATCGCCCATGCTGGGAATAATCTCTGCAAACACGAACCCAATCACCCACACACCGATCATGATCAGCCCCCAAACACCCCACCCCGTGATGGTATGGCTGTGTGCGTGTCGGGACTTGCCCAGGATGCGTGTATAGATAAATTTCCCCGTCACGTTGGCGTAGATCACGCCGATGATGAGTGTCGGGACGATGACGAAGCCGAAGGAGGCTTTCTTGTAGGCGACTACGCCCAGGCTGCCGAAGGCTGGGGCGGTGGAATATTGGCCTAGTAGATGGAAGCCGATGGCTGAGGGGACAATGAAGAGGATGGTGGAGATGCCTGTCAGAACGGCTAGGGCTTTGGGGAAATCTTGCGGTTTCTCCATTTCGGAGATGAAGGTTGGGAAGAGGATTTGGGGGACCCAGAGGAAGGTGATGTTTAAGACTGCGTTCATGCAGGCGACCCATGTGGTGCCGGGAAGAGGGAAGGCGTAGGTTCTCACGGGTCCGGCTGTTGGGTAGTTACCATGGGAGCCGTAGAAGGGGGCATCTTCAATACCGGCGAATACGAGGAATAGGATGATTGCAATGCCCATGCAGGCGGCTGGAGGGGCATTAGTTGAGATTGATTGAGAGCTTGGAGGGAATTTTGGTCGCTCACATGAGAACATTGACATCAGACTGATGTGCTGCAAAGTCCGGGGTGCGGACATGGCGATTCCCATAATTGTGGCAATCACCGAGAAGATAGCAGTGCACAGTGAGTGGTCCGAAAGGGTGTTCAAGACCTTAGCGCCAGTCAAGACGTGGAATCCGACGAGAAGTATATTGTTTGCTAGCATCATGAATGAAGAGAAAACGTAGGCAGCTTTGCTTTGGCCAAAGACATAGTATCCGAAGTCACCTTTTACACGAATTGTTAGGTAGGTGCTTCCATTACATTCGCGAGTAAGCATATCTGCCGCAGACTCACATATATCCATGATATATGGATGCTTCATGATGTACTTGTGCATCGTGATCGAGGTTATCCAGAAAAGCGATCCGGAGAGGACCATAGTAATGATTCCGGGAACCCATCCGAGCACACTTAAAGGTAACTCCAGTTAGCGCCAGTGACAGCAGCAATCCATATATAAGGAATGTAGTACTCACGAGAGAGACCAGGACTGGGCCATGATGGCCAGACAGACCTGTTCGCCAGCTAGCAAACAGGCCGTCTTCTGCCAGGACATCGTCCGAAGCTTGATGTCATGCTGATGATCTGAGCGCAACAGAACAGTCAGTCAGTCGGCTCGCCGGGATAAACGAGACCGCGTAGTACGTACCTGCAACTACCAGAGCCTTGATAGTATCGAGTGTGGAGTCAGTTCCATCCAACTCGGAGACCAGACCATAGTCCGGCTGTTTCTTGTCGTTTTCATCAGACATGGTGATTGAATATTTGAGACTATTCCGAGGATGATAAGAGGGAAGGGATCGGCAGATCCTGTAGTTCAAATGAGAACGATATTACACGTATCATATATCATTTCGAAGTAGTAATCACTAATCATTTTATTCTCTTTAAAGTTTTAATCTCGCCAGTGCCAGTCCGTAGTTGGCAAATGGTAGATCATAACGCCATAATCTAGAGGATCACGATATTTCGCTTTAGACCCGTTTAGCGTTGGCTTATCGGCGATGCCGAGATCTAGCCCGATCCCGATTGATTTCAGCTTCTGATCGGTTAAATAGAGACTCTGCAGAATTAGGCAAATTAGGATTTAGGAACATCTCTTGGCAGGGGAAACATCTTGGCTTTCTAGAAGTCTTGGAATATTCCACCAATGCTTCTTTTCTTGGTATTGTGGGGACAAGCCATATGGTGCAATCTTCTTATCGGCCTATCGTAACTTGTGATAAGGGCTGGAGATTCACCCGGGGCGATTTCTGATTGGGCAAGGAGAGAAATACCCGGGAAAGGTGGAGCCGATTTCTGTCCTACGTACGATCGAATTGAATATCATTGGCCCCGGTTGGGCTGCTATATACGAGCTGATAATCCGGACTACAGCTTCGCACTCGAAGAAACCCCACGACCCTGTACAGCACGGTCGATAATCTCCATTGCCCGGAACAACTGGTGATCATGCTGTTTGGGAGTGACAACCTGCACACTGAGAGGCGAGCCGAGGTAGACCCGACGGTCAACCGTTTTCTCGTCCCCTGTAAAACCGAACCAGATTAGCAGATGATCACAGCAAGATCCAATTAATATCCCAAAACTTACACAGCTTTCGATTAGCCTTGTCCCAACTACCCAACACAGGCTCCTCCATAGCCCGCCCAATCTCGAGATCAGATTCGGCGAATGCTCGGACTGGAACCACACCGGCCGGGTAATCAAGCAGCACAAAAGTCGAAGTATACCCGACGGCATTATATCGGTCCAGCTCCGGGACTGGATGTGGTGCTACGGGACAGATGATTGCGTCGACGCGTCGAGCCACAGAAGAGGCCTGCGAGGATAATGTCCACATCTTCATCATCTCTCGCTCCACTTCGGCGCGCTGAGCCTGCAGCTTCGCCAACTGGTCAACCGTCAGCGCCTTGCCGCGCTTCATCCGGCCCTGCAGCCACGGCATCAGGTCCTCACCCATGCTCTCGATAAGGTCTAGCATGTGCGAGCCATCGTCCAGGCCCATCAGCCGACCAGCGAGGGCCTGGCATTTGGGCAGAACAGAGGGAAGGGGAATATCGACGACTTCAACGCCGGGAGTATGACGGAGGGTGTTGGCGACTTCGTTCAAAATGCGGGTGATTGGGGGCAGGGGCGTGACAAGCCCATCCGTCTTGAGAATACCGATGGTGAAGTTGCGCGGGGCAGACAAAGCTCCTGACACAGAAGGTGCAGGCCAGTATCCCGGAATGCAATCCTCGCCAAACAGTTCCGCACGAGGCACGATCTCGGCCATGATGGCGTTGATATCCGCAACAGAGCGGGCTAAAGGTCCAGCTACAGGTTGCAACCCGATCCGGCCTTTGCCATCCATCTGACCGCTCTCTTGGCCTCCATATGGCACGCGCCCATCGCTCGGTTTGAAGCCGTAGATACCCTGGCACATAGCCGGTACGCGGATGCTACCGCCGATATCCGTTCCAAAGCCGACCATCGACCCGCGCATGGCGACCAACGCGCCTTCGCCGCCGGTGCTGCCACCCGCAGTCCATTGTCGGTTGAGGGGGTTCAGTGTGCGTCCGAAGAGGTGGTTGCAACTGTCTAATGTTGCCAGTGTTTGAGGAATATTTGTCTTCGCGATCACTACCGCGCCGAGCGACTGCAGCAAGTCTACCAATGGGGCATTTGCTGTTGCAGGTTTAAATGCCAGCGCAGACAATCCAATACTCGAGTCCACGCCTTCTATATTGAATGAGTCTTTCACTGATACCGGGAGGCCATGTAAGGGGCCGACCGGGGTGCCCGTGCGCTGGAGGTGATCATCCAGCTCTCGGGCTCGTTGCAAGGCGCGGTCGAAGAGGGGCTCGGTCAGACAGCGGGTGAGTTGGTGAGCGACGGCTGCTCTCTGTATTTTTCCAGCGATATTAGCGAATGGCCAGTGATATAATGTAACTCAAAACAACATGCTATGCATACCTTACAGAAGCCTCGCACCACCTCCTCAGCCTTCAACCGACCCTCTGTCATTTCCTCGACCAGTCCCCGCACGTCGTATTTCTCTGTGATTTCCAGCTCCTTGGCGGTGAGTAGACCACAGGTTCGCGGAATATCCATCACGCCAACTCGTTGGTACTCTTTCGGGCCGACGGTAATCGACTCGGAAATCGAGAGCATTCCTTCAGGAATGACGTGTGCGGGCAACCGCCATTCGGCGGGAATAGCTGCAGCAAGCTGAGCTTGCTTGCGCTGGGCGATTGCGACATAACGGGGTTCTTGGGAAGCCATGATAATAGTTGTGCAGTGGGAAAGATAACGTGGAGAGGGGTTGTTTTTGAATGCGGAGAGTGCGGGGAACGGTAACCTCGGCCCGTGCAGGTACGTCCCGATGCGGGGTGCAGACTCAGACTACTACACGTAAACATCTTCAATGAGTTGGTCGTTAGTTATTGAATTCTTGCTTGGATTTTGGTATGAGCTTCTCCGTGCTAGGACAGGCTCGGGCCTTTCTAGATAGGTCTGCCTTTTCTAGTAAAAACACTACTTACTAACCACGGAGGTTTATCAACAATGGTGAAGCGAGATATGCATATCAGATCAAATGCTACCTACTAGGTAGGTATGCTTGGTTCAAAGAAGTTATATCGAGTGTATTGTAGCGTATTTAATGACAGTATATCCATTCAATCTCGAGCTTTGGAAAACAGGCTAGCACACCCTGACCCTGGGCCTGACCTCGATTCAGACACAATCTCCCCGGTCAAAGACATCCTCAATCCTCATCCCTATCCGTCAAAGTCAGGCTTTAATTGTTCACGATATGAGAATCAAAAAAACTCACCTCCATTTAAGCCGAACGGGACCCATAAGCGGAGGCATCAAAGTCCAAGTTGATGCAGCGATCTTTCTTGAAGGTATCGCTGCCACCATCCGCCCAGTAGTCTACCCACGGTTGTCCTCCAATGCACCTGCCCTCATCATAAAAGGCGGCACGCTGACGGTGGGCTCCGTAAGCCAACACCCGGAAAGACCGTGTCGACGGGACATCGGTGTTTCTGCAAGTGTTGTCCCAGACGTTGACTTCCTTGGATGATCCGGAGCAATCCTTGCCCGAGAATGCCTGGATCTTGAATGCAAAGGCTCCGGAGCCGAGGCTGAAGAAGGCGAGGGTCTTTCCGAGATGCATTGTTGCGGTGGATGAAATTGAGTAGTAGTTTGTTTGATTGTTAGGATTGTAGTTGCTTGCTGGATGAAAGACTGCGTGTATGCTTTGTCTTTTATATCCGATCGCGACGTACTGCCAAGTCTTGGAGATTCAGATCGAGTAAGTGCAATGAGCCTGGGAATGCGATGTACTGCGTACTCGAGCTGAGTACATTGTGCAAGGCATGACCAATACGCACTTGTTGTTCCAATGAGTGGAAGGCCTAATTTGAAAAAATAATTCATGTAGCTGACTTCAAACCTCTGGATCGACACCACAGTCGCGTACCTCTTCGAGAATAGAGGGTAAGCAACAACGTCACATTCAAGCTACGACTGCGTATCTGTAGGATGAGGTCCGCTATCACGAGCAGGGACAAACATGACCAATGACCTAGCGGCTGGTGTATCCAGATAGGATTTCACAAATATCGGTGAGGAGGCTATGATTGCATGTCCGCGAGGAACCGAATCAAACCCCAACGAATGGGACCAAAGAGGAAACTTGAAAATAAGGCAACCCAAGGCCTGAAGAAGCAAATACAGCTGGTACCTTGAGCTACAATTAGATGAGGCAAATCGAAGTGTGGGCCATGTATAGAGATCATGCCAAGCTAGCTGCGTATAAGCCAGGTCCCAGGAGATACGCGCACCAGGCCACCAGGGGTCCAGGGCTGAGCGAGCTTGGCTACCGAATCGGGGTATACCATGCGCCGGAGCCGTCGATCCGACCCTTATTTCCCCGCTTACTCTACCCGTGGTTCGGAGATCACTCAATTTTGTGGGAATTCGTGCAGGCACACCAAGCGTATTCCTGAAGCTGACCGATTAGAGTGGAGGCTGTGGAGCAGAGTCTCTAGCCCCTGGATATCCCTGCAGGCTGCGGAATGAACGTATTCCAGCTTCTTTGTGGAAATCGATATGTCGATCTGCGCTATGAGTATACGCACATTCACGCTAGTTGTAAGTATCGTATTTATTGGCACATCATACATTGTAATTTATCCAATATACTGCGTTATTCGATCCCGCGTACTCGTATTACCGCATTCCACCCTTGAGGCTTGGAAGCTAATGCACGCGCGGGAGATCTCCTCTTGGCCCCCACGTTACTTGAGTGATACGCAGTGCAGATAACTGCGTATCGGTGGTTGCTGACTTACATCGTATACTTCCACAAGTTTGTAGTCTGAACAAGGCAGATTCAGTGCAGTGTCTCTCATGGAGGATTCGGAAAAGCCTCAGGAGGTATTCACCTTCAATCAGCTAAGGATTCTAAGACTTGGCATTCTCACTCATCTACATATAAAAGATGGTCCCACGGAGGAGGAATAACTCATAAATCCAGTTTCATCTATCTCATCTACAATCAACAGATCCAAATCTACTGCCTACAATTCATCTACCTACCAGCAACCATGCATCTCGGAAAAGCCCTCGCGTTCTTCTCCCTCGGCTCCGGCGCCCTTTCCTTCAAGATTCGCGCTTTCCGCGACAAGGACTGCTCGGGCGAGGCCACTGAGATCAATATCTGGGACAACACTTGCAAAGGCTCCGGTGTCCCGAAGACACAGTCCTTCCAGGTGTTGGCTTACGGAGCTCACCGTCAGCGAGCTGGGTTCTACTCGGATGGCTCTTGCAACGCCTTCGGTCGTGAATGGACTGATTGGTGGGCCGATGGTGGCAGCGACACCTTCAAGAAGGATCGCTGCGTCAATATTGGCTTTGGGGCGTACTCCATGGGCTCGCGTTCAGCTTAGTGAACTAGGTTTAGGTGAGATTTCTGTTGAATCATTGTTTGGTACGTCGGATTGACACTAATATTGATGCTATAGGATCGAAGTCGTGGTTTTTGTGGGACCTGGTGGTGTTGTGATAGCAGGGGAATTGGTAGCTTGGAAGTGGATGTGAATTGGAGTGCAGTTACTCTCGTTAAGAATATTCTTGAGAAAGTGAATTAAGTGGACCATGTCTTTGAGCCGCTTTGTAATCATCTACGATCCTGAATGATAGCTTATAAGAGAATAAGTAAATATTGCCAACGCTTGTGTGTTCGAATGAGATATATGGTCCGTCATCTAACTTCATGAATGACTCTACAGTCTGCCCTTCAGAACAGCTCCACCGTCTGTCGCAATGACTGCTCCGTTCAGGTGACTCGCAGCCCTGGACCCGAGGAAAACCACCAAACCAGCGATATCCTCAGGCCTGCCAAGGCGACCATTGGGCGAGAATTCCTCCATCTGTTTAAAGCCACCCTTTGCCTCAATAAGTCCTGAAGCCATTTTGGAGGGATAGAACCCCGGGGCGATAGCATTGGTCAAGATATGGCGCGGGCCAAGCTCGACAGCTAAGTTCTTCGCGAGGTGGATAGCAGCCGCCTTGGAGGCAGAGTAAGAGGGGGTTGCGTTCTCGCCAATTGAGCCGATACCAATACCTGCCACGGAAGCAGTGATAATGACCCGGGATGGATCAGTCAGCGTCGCCTTAGCTGTGAGGAGGGGAGTGAATCTGGCTCAACGTTAGAATGATGTTTTGGCTCTATTTTCGGGTTGTATGCATTGCTCACTTCTGGATAGTGTAGAACACACTCTTCACGTTCAAATCCATAACCTTCGAGAACATCTTCTCAGGGTGAGTGTCGAACTTCTCACCCCATGTTGCGCCTGCATTGGCGAAGAGGATATCGACATGATCTGTGGTCTTGGCCACTTCGGCAACAAGTCGATCTAGCTCTTTCATGTCTGAGCTGTCGGCTGGCACAGAGATGGCCTGTGCGCCAGGGCGCTTGTTGGGGATAGCATTGAGAGCTGCGACGGCTTCCTCGCAGGCTGCCGCCTTGCGGGAGGTGATGTAGACTTTGGAGCAGCCGGCTTGAAGAAGACTATATTGACATGAGCATATGGTGCTTAAGGGGAAAAGGTTATACATACCCTGATGCTGCATGGAGTCCCAGTCCTCGGGAGCCGCCCGTTACTACGGCGACCTTGCCCTCGAGGGAGAAGATGCTGGAGAAGTTGGAGAGCGTGACCTGTTCCTGGACCGACATTTTGAAATTATCGAATTGATGTTCTATGAAGATGAAACAAAAGAACTGAGGGGAGAGCAAAGGAGTTGGCTCTTGTATTTGTATAGCAAAGCCGAAGTGACCGAGACCGAGGCTTGTTGATCTCTCCCCGAATACCCCGACTAGTTACCCCGCACCCGGGTAATTGATAATCGCGCTAAATCAGGTGTGCCCATGAGCCCTGGTCCCCTGGAGCTAGGTATTCAAGTTGTAATTGATTCAATTATTCAAAATTGAGTGGAGGGTTCTGTAATCGGCTTCTGTGTCTGTGTCTGAGTTGGTAGTTGTGGTTGGTTCCTATCGTGATCAAAGGTAGAGCTGACTTAGTGAAGGCAAGAACGCTGCCCGTGATGCCCTCGGTTCAGAACCTCAGATCACAATTCAACTACTAGACTCATCTGTTAATTGTTGTCCACTCTTCTAGCTGAATGCTCAATGCTAAGATCAAGTGAAAGCTCTACGTTAGAGCGAGCCGTATGACCGGCAGATAAGTGACGACCCTTCACACTCCCGAGTCCCTGGGTGAAGGCCGACTTGCAATTCATTGTTCACTCCAATTGAGGAAATGTCCTGGACTCGATCAGATTGGAGGGCATCACTCCATGTCTAGGGTGGCCAATGATGAAGTTTGCGAAATCTTCCAGCACGTACAAATATTCAGTGTGACTGTGTGAGCCCGGTTTCGCTCCTGCTGAGCCACTCATTGTTTGTAGGTCGGTACCGTCGGTTTGCAGGCAACTGGTGAGTGTGTGTTGTTTGAAAGACCAGATGGCATCGGTTGCTTCATATAACTCAGATTATACAGTGGAGAAATAAGTAAGATTCACAGACCAGCCATAACCAAGTAGTCACGTCATGAGCGGATTAGAGCAGCTTTGGTGAAAATGTGCTCAATTGATCTCATCCCACTTCCTGTCCATCCGCTGTGGGTATACTACCTTGGTGGCCTTGCACGTGTTCTCACGTCATTTAAAACAAACATCAGCTAAGGGACCTTGGTAGCTCCTCTTTTGCCTGTACTCACTTCAAATCTTCTACTCTTCTCTTCTATCCATCAACGCTCACATTTGATATCTGCGAAATCACAATGGCTTCTCAGGCTACACACACTCTTCCTCCCCTTCCCTATGCCTATGATGTAAGCTACACCCCAGCACCCGATAGACAGACAGCCCTCATCGTCGATACTAACAACCCTCAGGCACTGGAACCCGTGATCTCCAAGCAAATCATGGAGCTGCACCACCAAAAGCATCATCAGACATACATCAACAACCTTAACGCAGCCCTCTCCGCTCAATCCTCTGCAACCCAGTCCAACAACGTCCCGTCTCTGATTGCATTGCAGCAAAAGATCCGATTCAACGGCGGTGGTCATATCAACCATTCTCTCTTCTGGAAGAACCTGACTCCCCCAGGCACACCTGGAACTGACATTGGCGGTGCGCCTGCTCTGCGCGAAGCCATTCTCGCTCGCTGGGGCTCGCATGAGCAGTTTATCAAGGCGTTTAACGCTGAGCTGCTGGGTATCCAGGGTAGTGGGTGGGGATGGCTGGTGAGCAAGGGTGGTGCCAAGGGACGACTTGATATCGTTACGACCAAGGATCAGGACCCTGTCAATGCGCCCGATGTGCCGGTCTTTGGTGTGGATATGTGGGAGCATGCTTATTACCTGCAGGTGAGTTGGCTTACCCTTGCGAGATACTGGTGTGCATTGATCTGATATTCGTTTAGTATCTGAGCAACAAGGCGGGCTATGTCGAGGGAATTTGGAAAATCATTAACTGGGCAGAGGCGGAGAAACGATACACTGCTGGCGTGGAGAACCCGCTGAAGCTGTGAGCTGCGTTTCGATCCATCCATGTAGTCTTGCCTTTATTCTAGAATTCAGTTCTGGATCTGATATCGTCAACTGGTTAATATCCAGGCAATATGATTTACAGTATGATCCAATTACGGCTATGAATGTATGTCTACATCTAGTACAAGAATGGTCCTTCAATTGTAGCCCACGATTCCAATCCCCAGGATTGAACCCCCTTTTCTCTGACCGTCACCTGCCGGCCAATGACACCCTTCTCCGAGACGCCCAGGTCCAGCCTTTCGGGCAGCTCGAACTCCATTTCCGTCGGATGAGCCGATTTCAAGTCCTTGTGCTTTTTCATATCCAGACTGAACTGGTAGAGCGGAGAGCTTGACTGGGATGTGGTGGAGAGATCGCCGGATCTCCTGCAATGAACTATAAGCCCTGTGTCCATGTATAAAACATTGTGGGACGGACTCAACTTACTCAATGCGCATATCGACATTGCCGTGACTTCGGAGGGCATTATAAGTCTCTACATCTTCCGTTCGGAAGATGGCTCTGGTTTTGTGATTTGTTGCATCCGTCTCGCGGAAAAATAGTGAATATGATGACATTGACGACGATGACAACGAGGAAATCGATTCCGGCGAGGAAGAGAGTGACGCCTCAGCGGATCTTGGGCTCGGGCGAGACTCTTGGGGGAAGAGAACGGCGATTGTGCCTCCGAAGGCTGGTCGGTTGGTTTCACCGCACATTGTGAACTATAGAACTGAAGATGAAGAAGTTAAGATGAAATGCAATGGAAGAAGGCTCATATACAAGTTGGTTTCTATTGACTGTAGGCAACAAGGAAGAATGAATCTAGGCAGACAAGACTCCATATAAATAGGCATAACCCCCAAGGTGCTCCCTCAGTTACCAAAGTGAGAGTGATCGAGCATGAGTGAGCAGATTAAACTCCACTAAGATTCAGCCGATCGTCTCAAATCTGCTCAAGTGGAGCATGAATGCCTCGCTGCCTCGCTGCCTTGTTGCCTTCCTGCCTGAGGACACAAATTAATTCCATCTGCCTCAGGCAGTAATGCTGAACTGTCCAGCCTGTCTAGACAAAAGAACCAACATAACTATACTACACCCTGCTATAGGCTCTTAATACAATCGTGACTGATCCAACCCAAATGGCTCGACAAAATGCCGCGGTAGGGCCGCGTTGGGCTACCATACCCCTCCTCCTCTCCACAACATACACAAACCCACCAGCAACAAAATGGACCAGCCATCGCCCGCCGACGGCTACTACAATCTGGGGGATTACCGACGGAATGTGAGCACCACAAATGAAGAAGCCCAACTCTGGTTTAGTCGGGGTCTGATTTGGGCGTACGCTTTCAATCACGAGGAATCCGTCCGGTGTTTCGAGAAAGTCGTCGAGCTGGACCCGACATGTGCGATGGGATACTGGGGTATAGCCTTTTCCCTGGGGCCGAACTATAACAAGCCGTGGCAGCTGTTCGATGGACAAGATCTCTCAGCTACCACGACTCGCGCTCATCGCGCGATCCTAGAGGCGAAAAAACACGCTCCCGCCGTGACGCCCTTGGAAAATGCTCTAATCGGTGCTTTGCAGCACCGATATCCGCAGGAACAGCCTGTAGACGACTGTACAGAGTGGGATAAGGACTATGCCGAGGCTATGACATCGGTGTACAATGATAACCCGGATGACCTCGATGTGGCCGCGCTGTACTGCGATGCGCTTATGAACCTGACACCATGGGGTATGTGGGATATGGTGACGGGTGAGGCAGCGCCCGGCGCGAAAACCTTCGAAGCAAAGGAGGTGCTAGATCGAGTTCTCGAGAACGATGACTCGCTCGAGCATCCCGGTATCCTGCACCTCTACATCCATCTCATGGAAATGTCTCCGACACCGGAAGTCGCCCTGCCGATAGCTGAATATCTGCGCGGTCTGGTCCCCGACGCAGGTCATCTAGAGCACATGCCGTCTCATATCGATATTCTATGTGGAGAATACAAACGCGCCGTCACGGCCAACGCCTCTGCAATCCGCGCAGACGAGAAGTTCCTCGCGAACCAGCCTCTGGGCCATACCTATAACGTCTACCGCGCACACGACTATCACTTCCGGATGTACGCCGCCATGCTCGGCGGCCGATCAAAGATTGCACTAGAGACAGGCGCCGAGCTAGCGCGCATCATCACCGAGTCCCTCCTGCGCATCGAATCCCCGCCAATGGCCGACTGGCTAGAAGGCTTCGTCTCGGTGCAAATGCACGGCTTCATTCGTTTCGGTCGCTGGGACGATATCATTGCCCTGAAACTGCCAGCTGATGCAGAGCTATACTGCGTCACGACGGCCATGATGCACTATGCGAAAGGCATTGCGTTCGCCGCTACGAGCCGCGTGCTCGAAGCCGAGGCGGAGCGCGAACGGTTCCTGCGGGCTATGGAGCGTGTTCCGGCTTCGCGGACGATCTTCAACAATCGCTGCGTGGATATTCTTCGCGTTGGCGAGGCGATGCTCGATGGCGAGATTGCGTATCGACGTGGCGAGTACAATACCGCGTTTTCCTATCTTCGAGATGCCGTTAAGCGAGATGACTCGCTGCCATACGATGAGCCATGGGGCTGGATGCAGCCCGCTAGGCATGCGTTGGGGGCTTTACTGCTCGAGCAGGGCTATGTTGAAGAGGCTGCTGCTGTCTACTCTGCGGATCTTGGGGTAGACACCTCGCTCCCTCGTGCTTTGAGACATCCGGGTAATGTCTGGGCTTCGCATGGGTATCATGAGTGTTTGGTCAAGCTGGGTCGAAAGGGTGAGGCGCGTGCTATGGGGCCACACCTGAGGATGAGTCTTGCTTGGGCGGATGTGCCTATCAAATCGTCGTGTTTCTGTCGGCAGAAGACTGGGTGATACTGCTTGTATATCCTGGATTGAGAATTGGTTTTGATATCCCATGAGAGACTGATGAGACTTGTGTGCACAAGTTGAACCATTATATTCCTCTTCCAAGACGATGATACGGAGGTACCTTACAAGAGCTTTGACAGGTGCATGGTTGTGTTAGTGATGTTCACGGTCACTGGAGCCTGCATAGGCGAAGATATGAGGAACTATGGCAAATGTTATCATCACCATTTGTTGGGGCTTTATCTACCTTATCTACAGAGGCACATCTGTGCATATCCATAGTATAGGCACCGTTAAGGCAGTTCAGGTCGATTAAACAACAGACGACCAACATGGTACCCGTATGATAGCACAAGTCCAAACCAAGACACCATGAGTGAAATTCAGGAAAGCAGAAGAGATAGACATAGATACAAGTGGCACAGGTAGAATAAAATAAAAAGCATATGTCGTGAAAAAAGAAAATAAAAAGTCATCGCGCTGAATCGACCGGAGATCTTGCGGCACTCCCTCATCAGGCGATACGGAAGGCGCAACAGACGTTTGGGTTGAGTGTAACAATAGCGGGATAACAATACGAACCACTCAACCGCTACACCACACGTCTGCTGTCCTTGAAGATTTGGACGTTTGGCTCCCTATATGGGACGTTTGCCTCACATGTGAGGCTGATATTGAGACTTGTGATCACATGTTGAATCATCCTATTCCCTTGGCAATGATTACCTTACAGTAAAGCCAATTTCCCGAAGCTTTCACAGGTGCATGGTTGTCTGTTAGTGGTGTTGATGGTTGTCCTACGTACAGATATGAGGAACTATGGTAAACGTTCCAGTTATCATCAGTCGTTGGGACTTTATCTACCTTTATCTATGTATTGTGAGGTCATTATCTGAGACACTGTTTACCTCAGAAGTAAGGAAAGAGCTGCCAGTAGACACAGTTGCTCCTGCCTGTCACTAAGTACCCTCGGGGACGCTCTTACATGTAGGGTGATGGGCTATATTGACCTACGACTTACGTTACTGGAATGGGATCTTCCACAGCTAACACGACATCTAAACCATGAGATAAACCATGTATCAATAGCAGCTAATAGTATCTCCGCTTCGATATGCCCCAGGTGATCGACGCCAAGACGAGACGCCTAACATCGACGGTAACTACATCATCTGCTTGATTTAGCAACCTACGTCAATCCGAGTTTGGGGGCCGTTAACACAATAACGTTAAGATCGACCATCGCATCGAACAGCCGCAGTCCGACACCCGATCCAAGTGGTTCATTTTAGGTTCGTGGGGTCCGTTGATCGACCTTGCCAATGCTTTCGAGGGCTGTGTTGCGACTAAAGAGGAATGATTGACACCATGATTCAAACCATGAATTGAACGAGAGTGGCTCAGATTTCGCCAGACTACATATATGCCAGTGTTTTTGGTGCTTTTGGGATTGAAAATTGTTCATTCTACGATACCCATAACCCTAACCCCGTTGTCACATGCATCCGAAGCATTCAACTATGAGCGACGAAACCTACCCTTCATGGTCTCTGGAGGCCTTGCCTAGAAAAGAGAGAAAATGGCTCTCATTGTTCTCCCTGCGATTCGGTGCCGTACTATGTACCATGACTGCGATCATCTGCTTCGCCTGGGCAATGCAGGAGCATAATAGAGTCGGCGTTGCGACTGATGGGCTGGGCTCGGCTTTTGCTGCCATCAATCTAGGCACCGTATGAAAACCCAAATTGTTCTTTGAAGAGAGAAAGAAAACACCCGCTGACTCTATATTCCGTCGTCAAGGTCTCATACGGATTCGTTTGGTCTTCCGTCGTTCTCATTGTTGTACTTTGCAACTGTGCTGTGCATCCCGGGATAATCATTGCATTTGACTGCATTGCCTTCGTCGCCCAGATAATCACCGTCTCCTTCGAATTGCATGAGCTTGCCTATTGGCACGCCGGGGGCTATAAGATGCGCAATACTCGTGCTGCTGATGTGCTGTATGGGGTAGAGTGCTTGGCGTGCTCTGTGACGCTTCTTGGAATGTGAGTCTTCGCTCCTATTGTGTTTTGCCAAGTGGCTGATTGGAGATTATATCAGTCTCTTCAATGTCATCCTCTTTTTACGTGCCTCTATGACCTGTTATAGACAGCGGAAAGCTGGAAGGCAAAACGCTAAGCAGACTTTCGAGGCTTGAAGTCGGGTCTATTGATTTAGGATAATATGCAGCGGATCTAGTATCGCATCGATAGAGGCGGAGGAACTTAATGTCTAATAGTTATCGAATTTCTAGTACAATTACCAATTTTACCATGCGTCAAGAAAGCATTCCCAATGACTCTCATGGTCGAGCTAGTCCAGGCACGGGTTTCGATTGGTGTACTACGAGGCCGTCACCTGATATGTCCGAACGTAGCAATAACTCCACTATGTATCTAGTAAGGCTACTGTTGTATTTCTCCTTATAACGAATGCAGGAACAGAAGGAACAAAAGATAATATGCACTTATGGATAATAATGGATACACTATCTACTGCATTGGCAGAGCAACTATACCAACCATCGACTAAGTGTGCGCCACACGGAAAGGATGAGCCTCGGTGTTGAACACGAACTGGTTCTTCTGGCCCTTTTGAACTTGCCATGGGGCATCTGGATTGATGGTTGTTAGCATTCTTCTAAGAATCTGGAATAGACCAGCAACTTACCCTCAGCATGTACAAGGTACGCATACTTCATGACCTCGGCAAAGAGGAAGCTCTCCTCATTGTCATATTTCGAGCCACCGCCGACTGCGTTCACATTGCTTACAGCAGCAAAGCCCGAATCAGTGCGGCAGGTCTCATTGATTGCCTTGAAGCCATTCCAAACCCAGTCACGGTACTTCTCCAGGTTAGTATCGACGAGATTTGTTGGGTATAGACAGAAGAACTTACGATCTCCTTGCCTGTGATGCGGTAGGCGTAGTAGAAACTCTCAATCACTTCGGGACGCAGAACATATGCCCCACTGCTGATATAGAATCCGGCCTTTTCATAGAAATCCTTCTGGTCGGCAGGCACCTTTTTGGGATCCCAGCCCCAGGAATCAGGTCCAATGCCGGTCAGTGTCTGGTTATACGTAGCCTCGCAGCCGTCCACAAGCGTCAAGCCAAAGTCGATAAAGTCACGTCGATCCAGAACAGTTCCACCCAGAATGAAGTTGCCTCCATCAAAGCAGGTCAGGTGCTGCGAGTTGAGATCCAATTTGCCATTGTTGTATGAGGCCAAGAAGGTCAACTCCGGGCGAGGATCGGGATGCGATTGAAGATGTTTGATTGTCGACTCGGCGGCCAGGACCCAGCGGTCCTTGTAGGACGCAAATCGCTTGGGGTCGTACACATACATCTTAATCAGGTACTCGTAGAAAGAGTCGTCTCCACCATTCCACGAAACCGCACCATCGGTGAAATGGCCGTTGGAGATGTTGACGTTGCTCCCCACGAGACCAGGGAATGGCTCTCCGCTCGATGGCTGGGGCTTCAACAGGTAAGACTGGGCCTTCTGGCTCATCTTTGCATACTGGTCATCGCCAGTCAAATCTGACAAGCGGGTCCACTCCATCACCAGAGTTCCGGTGACCGCAAGTCCATTGGTCTTCGAGCCATCATTCCCCTTGGAGGTGATGTTGATATTGTTGTAAGGCACGCCGGATGGTGTGTCAAAGGCGAATTTCAGAACGTCTGCAAGTTTCTTCGACTGGGAAAGCAGAGCATCTACCTGGGAAGACTTCGGAGCAAGGTCCGCTGCAGGGCCTTTGAGCAAGTCATATCCGGACAGCATGCCAGCCAAGTAACGGATCGTGGTCTCGAAAAGGCTGACCATGTCATCGGTCTTGGAGAAATCAATGGTCTCGATGTGATCCAGGATCTTCTGAACTGCGTCCTGGTTTCCCATAACAATAGCAGTTGAGAGTGCATCCACAGCCGAGGCTCCCCATCCATTTCTATTGTCTGTCAGCTAAGTCCAAGGACTGAGGCCAAAAATACTAACCTGGAGTTTCCGAAGCCATTGCTCACTGGAAGCAGCTCATCATTGGGGAAAGCGTATTTTGTATATCCGTTCCATGCATGCTGGAAAGCCTCCTTGACTGCATCGGCTTTGGCCTGGTCTTCTGCGGCGCGTCGCGTGATAGTATCCGCCTCGGAGTATGGATATGCAGCGGCAGAGCCCACAAGGCCCAGTGCTGCCAAAGGGAGTGACAAAGAGGAAATGCGCATGTTTACGCGGTGGTGATTGGGTATAGATATATGGTGTTATTTAGGGAGCGTCGGTGCAAGGGGCACACTAGGGAAAGATCGCGAAAGAAAGGCCACCTGAACTGCAATGCAGCAGGTCAATGCGATGCTTAAATATGAAAGGACTGGGTATGAGGGAGTATATTGAGGTTGCAGTGTTGCAGTCGACGGAAGAAACAAAAGGGGAAGGCAGCACGCGGGCACGCGACCACCCCGGATTGTTTACTATTTATCCATGTCACTTGCATTCTACCATGTTACCTCTGTGGGTTCAATGGTGGAATGAATTCCAATATTCTCAATTCTCATTCCTGCAAAGGGATCCACTTCGGACAAGATTCAGGGGCAAGCCCTCGGTGATCTGCAAGAATGCCACCTCCCCATTGGTGCGTAATGTCGGGGAATGCCGACATCCCTGGTCTGGGCGAGTATCTCTGATCTCGGTTTTCGCATGACTGACATTGTTCTAGATGATTCAATGTTCTAGACTATCGTGTTTTCCACTTGAACTCCGAGTCGGCAACCCCAGACTATCCAGGGACGAACGGGTGACCATGACAAACGACCATTTGACGTCCACAAGTGACGATGAAAGATGACCTCTCCCAGGATGCCGAAATTGAGTCCAGGACGTGCCTGACTAGCTCGGCTTTTTGCCGGAAAAAAGCGAAGCTATCACGCCGGGTGTTTTGACACTATGCAACGTACCCCTCAATGCGATGGGTCCTGTCACCAGACGGTGGTGTCTGACCGTGCTGGATAGTTCAAGTTCACTTCACTTCCAAGGCCGTGGGAAAGAATCGGTAGATACGGTTCCACCACTTGTGTCTATTGCGAACATTGAACAAGTCTGTGCTGACGCATTGGGCATCTAGACTTGAACTACCTGTCTCAAGTGTCTGCAGTCCGAAAGTTCCAGTCGAGAATACAATATCTGGATTGTGATGATCAGCAACAAGTCCAATACCTTGACTATATCCAGATCTGAACAGGGTCATCACGCCTGGAATATGTGCCACTTACATTCAGCAAATATGGGAAATGGCACTCCCAGTAGGGGTCTGCGTCGTCGCAATAGCATTCGCCAATCATACACCTTTTCTCGGCCGTTCTACTTCTTCGGGAACTTACAGCAGATCTTGATCTGGGGATACTGCCTAATAGACTTTGGGCTCTTTAGGCATCGGAGCCATTTGTCCCGAGTGTCGCTAATTTCCATGCCAGAGGAATTCGAAGTACTAGCCCCGACACTTGCAATTAACTGCATAGTCGTATAGGACGACTCCACTTCCAAGATCGCCCAGGTGGACGCTCGCGCTTGCATTTGTGGATGTCTCCATCCCTCAACATGACACCATAACACGTCGCTGGTTTCAGTGTGCCGCCAGGAGGTTACCCGACATCGGTCGAAGAAGAACTACCTCTACCGACCTCCGGTGCAGGTCATGTGCAAGTCAAGGTATCGCATGTCGCACAAGACCCAACAGATAGTATAATGTGGTCTCCTGCCCCTTCGACTCATGTCACTCGTGCTCTACAGCCAAGTCCTTTGATACCAATTCTTTCGGAAAGGGGCTGAGCTCGGGTGTGATTTTGTCGGACAAGTCACCGAACTCGGAGACCTGGTCACTCGATATGAACGAGGCGACATTCTAGCTGGATTGATCAGCTGGATCGTAATCCCGCAAGCAATGTTTCGATGACGGACAACCTCTGAGAGAGTACAAGGAGAGATACCCGGACGAGGTGGGTATAGTCAGTACACCATTGCAGACCAACGTATCTCCTTCCAAGTTCCTGCGAGCATCTCGCGGGAGGAGGCAAGCGCTGCTCCTCTTGCTGCAGCTACCGGGCTTTTGGTGACCGTGGCGGCCATCTATGCACCGTGAGGCCAGGCAACGTGAACACTAAACAGGTCACTGCCAACACGCATGTCACTGATGTGCTGGTGTAGACTGCTTTCTTGAAGAAATGTGGCTTTGGCAGATTCCACTGGCCGGTGCATCAAGCTTTGAAAATTCCTTTGGACATCAATACCGATCATGACTAGGCCTCGAAGGAGGACCATGAGTTGGCCAGCGAGCTATTGGAGGGATTGCCCCGGTGGTCGCGAAGAAAGGTCTGGTAAGACCGAACAAAGCCAACCTGGCAACCTCTTCTCTGGTTTAGAGGATTTCAGGAGTTTCGCAATGGCAAAGCCTCTGCCTATAAGATTGTCTATGAGGTGGAATCATAGTTGTGGTCCAACGCTCAAGTCGGAGAAACCCTTGCTATATCCTCGGTACGGTTGTGGAAGTGCAGAAATGCAGCAGACAATATATTTCGCGCTGTGATATGTCACGGTCTCAAAGGAAGAATATCTGACCATAAATCCATAATGTACTGCGTAGATAAGTGGCTAATCGTGAGGCGATTCGATGATTCAGCGAGTGGATGCGGGCATCCGCGATTGCGGGCCGGCGAACTGGAGAAAAAAAGGCAGCGCGAGGAGTCATCGCTCTCCCACCTTCTTCCCTCCCCACTCAAAGGGTCCCAAACATCTTAAGGGGAATACAATTCTCCCTATTTAATCTTTATATACTCTTTTCATAACCTCCAACCCATCATGGCGACCCCATTCCTTATCTCCTACGACCCCTCCTCCCCCACCTCCGGCTCCGGACTCTCGCTCAAGCAAATCGCCTACTTCGGTCGTGTACTGGTCAAGGTCTCGACTCTCGCCCAAGCTAAAGAATTCTTGCGCCAGAACTTCCGCGCCCTTGATGTCTTCGTTAACGCAACCGAGATTTCCTCCTCCGGCGATCTCGTCGATATCCTCAATGCCGGTGCCGCCAAGATCTTGATCACCTTGGATCAATTGACCGCCCTCTCCGAAGAACAATCGGTGCCCTCATCCCGTTTGCTCGTCAATGCCCTCTCGGACTCTCAATTGGACGCTTTCCAGCAATGGATCTCCGTCAATGCCGAGCGCAGCGAGGCTAGCGTCTGCACTGCACCCGCCTCCGTTTCCGCCGCCGCCGAGAAATTGAAGATCAGCTCAGATTCCCCACGACTCTTCACAACCTTTGGCACCGGGACGGTATCAGAGGATGCAATTACGCAGGTTACACAGCAGGGTGCGATTGCCATCATTCCCTCGCAGGCGTTGACCGTTGAGCGGGATGTGGCTGGCCAGATCTCCGCCGCTAAGCTTATCGCGTCGCGGGCTGTCACCGACCAGGCCAATGGCTTGTACGCCACTTCCGTTACTGATGAGCGAGGCGTTTGTCTCGGTTTTGTTTGGAGCAGCGACGAGAGCATTGTCGAGGCTTTGCGTACTGGCACCGGTGTTTACCAAAGTCGGAAGCGCGGACTGTGGTACAAGGGCCAGTCCAGCGGTGATACGCAGGAGCTGATTCGCATTGGCTTTGATTGTGATGCCGACTGCTTGGTCTTTGTTGTCAAGCAAACTGGACGTGGTAAGTACTGGCTTGTTTATATTGAAGCTTGATGTTTGTATACTGACCATGGTGATTCATTAGGCTTCTGCCACCTCGGTACTGAGACCTGCTTCGGCGCATCTACCGGTCTGTCTCATCTCCAGAAGACCTTGGACGCCCGCAAGGCGGATGCCCCAGCTGGCTCATACACTGCGCGTCTCTTCAATGAACCCAAGCTTATTGATGCTAAGATCATGGAGGAGGCTGATGAATTGTGCCGTGCGGAAACCAAAGAGGAGATTGCTTTCGAGGCCGCAGATCTGCTTTACTTTGCCCTGACTAAGTGCACTGCTGCTGGTGTCAGTTTGGCTGATATCGAGCGGAACCTTGACCTTAAGAGCTTGAAGGTCAAGCGGAGAAAGGGTGACGCGAAGGGACCCTGGGCTGAGAAGGCTGGGCTGGCCAAGCCCGAGTCTAAGCCTGCCCCTGCTCCTGTCTCAGCACCCGCTCCGGTTGAGGACCGTACATCTCGCATTGAGATGAAGCGTGTGATTACCGCATCTACTACTCCCCAGGTGGTCACGGATTACCTCAAGCGTCCCTCCCAAAAGTCCAACGAAGCCATTGTCAACCTCGTGAAGCCAATCATCCAGGACGTCCGTGATGGCGGCGACGCCGCAGTGCTCAAGTACACCCACAAGTTTGAGAATGCTACCTCGCTCACCTCCCCCGTTATCCACGCGCCTTTCCCCGCTGAACTCATGAAGCTCTCCCCCGACGTCCAGGAGGCAATCGATATCAGCATTGGTAACATTGACCGTTTCCACTCCGCCCAGAAGGGAAGCAATGATACTCTTCAGATGGAGACCATGCCTGGTGTGGTCTGCTCTCGTTTCTCGCGCCCTATTGAGCGCGTTGGTCTGTACATCCCCGGCGGTACCGCTGTGCTGCCCTCCACTGCCATGATGCTTGGTGTTCCCGCCATGGTGGCAGGCTGCAAAAAGATTGTTCTAGCCTCTCCTCCCCGCTCAGACGGCAGCATCTCCCCCGAAATCGTCTACGTGGCCCACAAGGTCGGTGCTGAGAGCATTGTCCTGGCCGGTGGCGCCCAGGCCGTCGCTGCCATGGCCTACGGTACCGAGAGCATCACCAAGGTCGACAAGATCCTTGGTCCTGGTAACCAGTTTGTGACCGCCGCGAAGATGTTCGTGTCCAACGATACCTCCGCAGGCGTCAGCATCGACATGCCCGCCGGTCCCAGTGAAGTCCTCGTTATTGCCGACAAGACCGCCAACCCGGCCTTTGTCGCATCCGATCTTCTCAGCCAGGCCGAACACGGCGTCGACTCGCAGGTTATCCTCATCGCCGTCGACCTGAGCGAGACTGAGCTGCGCGCCATCGAAGACGAAGTTGATTCCCAGGCCAAGGCTCTGCCCCGCATGGACATCGTCCGCGGCTCCCTCGCACACTCCGTCACCTTCGTCGTGCGCGACATCGACGAGGCCATGACCCTCAGCAACGACTACGCTCCCGAGCACCTGATCCTGCAAGTGCAGAACCCCGAGTCTGTGGTCGATCAGGTTCAGCATGCCGGTAGTGTCTTCATCGGACCCTGGACTCCCGAGAGTGTTGGCGATTACTCTGCCGGAGTCAACCACTCGCTACGTAAGTACTCTTTTTTTTTCTTGCAATGCAATCTTCACAATCTTGGTATCATATTGCTAACCTTTTCCCTCCAGCTACCTACGGTTACGCCAAGCAGTACTCCGGCGTCAACCTCGGTTCGTTCCTAAAGCACATCACTAGCTCGAACCTGACCGCGGATGGCCTGCTCGGTCTCGCCAAGACCGTTGAGACCCTCGCCGCTGTGGAGGGTCTGGAGGCACACAAGCGTGCCGTTAGCATCCGTGTTGCCCACATGCAGAAGAACCAGTCATAGGAGGGACCGCATAGAGTTCTCGTTTTCATTTATGTTTTGAATTTATCATGATGGGATGTGCCATGAACACCATATATAGCAAAAGCAACTTAGTCGCCATTGAAGGCTTCAATTGATCATATACAGCTAGCCAATGATATGCATTGGAAGTAATCAAGTCAATTCGGTTATATTAGAGGTCGATCATCCCACTATGTACTAGTATCGGATCTAACGCAGGCCGAATGACGTTGGGGTCCACTACACAGTAGAATTGGAATTGTCAGCAATTCATTGAGAAAGCCATGAATACGAGTCATAGACAAGAAACAGGATGATCAATATAAACAAACGCTAAATAACCGTTATATGATTCTGTATGAAACTATCCCAATAAAAAATCCCACAGATGATGAACCCCAAACCCCGCCCTCCGGCATCGGAGACCAGAGGAAAAAAAGATAAGCCCACACCGTAACTTTATAAACATCTCAAAGCTGCGCAATATCATTCATAATCTGGACCTCTTGGCCAGGCTTGAAGGCAGGAAGACCCATGTAAGGACAACCGTCACAACGGAAGGCATCACCGAGAGCACAGCTCCCACAAGAACCAGTCTTGCCCTCGACGGTGAAGTCCAGCTCATTCAGATCCCCCGTATCCAACTTCATAACGTTCAATTGTTTATCTGCATTTGCGCGACGCTCTTTATCCTCCGCCTCGAGGCGATCCGCTAGACCGCACGTGCAGTCTTTGCAGGCGCGGCGCCGACGACCGGTCTTGGGTTGGCATTCTGGGGCTGGAGGGTATATGTTAGAAACAACGTTGAATCAGCAGAATTGAAGTAGAGTTCGAGAACATACGCGGCATTATAGGTCTTGTTAAATCCTCCTCGGTGAGGAGTGTATCTTCATTAATGAGCTCGTCGTCCTCGTCGCGCTCATGATTGGTTGCTGGTGAATCTATCCCCATCGGCGCAGCGAATCCCATAGGAACACTAGGAACAGCGGCCGCCGCGGGCGTGGTAGTCTTATTCTTCTTCTTCAAGCCGAACTTCAGCGGTACAGCGGCCGTGGGGTCGAAATTGGGTTTCTCGAAGCCTGTCTCTGTCTGCACGAGTCCGGCCAGCACAGCTTCCATGGACTCGGAGGCATTGAGTGCTGAGTCCTGTGTCTGTAGCTTCGCGCCTGGCTTCATGGCTGGCACGAGGGTTGTGTATACGTCTCTGGTGAGGAGCTGCAGCGCCTCGGTGCGCCGTTTGCCATCTGTGTCTGTGAGGAGAAGGACGAGGTCGTAGGTCGTTGGAGGGAGGGAGACGACGCCTGCGGAGAGCCGGTCAAGCATTTGTAGGTCTGTGCTTGAGCGGTCGAAGGTGCTGAAGAGGTTGCGGAGTTTGTCTTCTTGTGTGGCGATCGAGGGGGGTGCGAGGAGGAGGGTACGGCTTGCTTGGACGGGCGCGGCGCCGCCGAAGTCCACGTCCGCGTCGTTGGTGTCAATGGTCATGAATGAGGGTGCCATTGTTGTTTGTTTTTTTGGTGTAAGAGGGGATTCTGAGTCAAGGGGAAAAGAACGAAAGATAACCCCCCGGTGGGGCCCTGGAAAAGTGGCGAAATGATTATAAAGCCTTGCAGCTGCGGGGCCGCTGATTTACCTCAGTTACCTCAGCCGTGCCCCTGCAAAAGGCGGTGAAGTCTAAAATCCACCGCCTGCTGCTTGCAGCGATGATGATTCAGCTTTCTTATCAGGAAGCAATCTAATTGGGTTTAGCGCGCCAAAACTCTGGCAGAATTTCTGGATCGTGCACTGTGTACTGTAGTAAGGTCTGGGGTTACTGAGGTACAATTTGCCTTCCTCCTTCAGAGGAACACACAACACATCCATGTCTCTTCTCTTTATCTTATGAACCCGAACCGTTTCTCACTATGGTCCCCGTAATTTCCCAATAGGTGCCAGGGCGACCCCTGCTACTATCTCCCGATCTGCAGTCCTCCCATCGTCGTGTCTGCCAGGTCAGACAGCCTTCGCGCTCTTCCCACTTAAGTACCTATCGTTTTGTGATTTGTTGAATGAGCTTTGGGACGGGTCGAATATAATCAGCCCCTGCATGTTTGATTGTCATGTGATCCCACGTCTGTCGGCGTTTGCACCTGTTTTCCTTAGTCCATCCAAAGCACAACCTTAAACGCAACCTCGTCGCCTCTCGTCCTCTGTCCCATCGAAAGCATGGCCAGCAACAGCTCACCTGATTACAAAGCACTCTATCTGCAGGAAAGAGAAGTGCTCAGACAGGTAAGAGAAGTGCGCAGGCAAGAAAGTGAGGCGCATAAACAGATAGAAGCACGCCGGAAGGAGGTAGAGGAGCAACTCAAACGGAGCACCTTTGTGGAACTTGTACGCCATTGCCATGACTTGTTATCGCGACCGCTACGAGTCGGCACACTCTCTTGCTCGACCACAGGGACAATACCCCTCCCTAAAGGAAAGTACTGTCCGACGCGACTGGAACAATGGGTTGACTGCGTAGCCCAACAGCAAGACATCTACGACTCTGTCCGTCGTTACCTTCAACCAGAAGAAAATCCACCGCGCATTTTTGCATCTCGTTATCAGCTGGAAGGACACCCTGAAATAGTCCCGCAGCTGATTAGAAGCGAGCGCGACCTTCGGATATATGAGGGCATGGCAGTGGACCCCCATGTCTGCAAAGTCATGTTGGAACTATGCGAAATAGCAGCCGCCCGTGAAGAATTTGGGCTTGGGGATGAGGTTTTGTTCAGCCGCGACCCCAATGTTTTGGGCGGGGACGAAATGGTCGAAACGGATATGATTCCCCATAGCAGCCCGGACCAGTTCTTTATCCATCGAGTTGATGGCCGCGGAACCACCACTCTGCTCACCACTGTCGAATACGTGCCGCCAAACAAGCTTTCTTTGGAGGATCTCCGCGTGGGGCTCGGTGACATGGATCTGTGGGAAAAGATGGTTCAGGGGAACAAGGTGCTGAATAACGAAGCCGATCGATCGGTCTACAAGGCACAGCGGCTCGTCTGCTCAGCTATTGTTCATGAATACCATGTCATGATCCAAGAGGGACTTGAGTATTCCTACTTGAGTACAGGAATCGCGCTTGTGCTTCTCTGGGTTCCACGGGAAAAGCCGAGCACCTTATACTACCATCTCTGTGTGCCCAACCAGGAAGTGGATGATCGAGATGGCGACATCCCACAACCAAACACATACATTGCAAGGGTACTCTGTCTTTGCCTGATGAGCTTTCGCTCGCGGCAACGTGATCAAGAATGGCGGAATGTTTGTTCGGATCTTCACACCTGGGAGATGAACTTTGATCACACACATGCAAATGCCACCACCGAGGAACTACCACAGAATACACCCCCTAATAGCACGGACTATGTAAGCCTGGAATCAGACCCCACGGGCTCAGAGTATCAGGCATCATCATCTTCAATCAAATCACCAACTACACCTGCCCGGCGAGTACCAACAAGATCACAAGGGAACTGCGAGCCATTAGATCTCAAAGATCGTATGGGTTCAGCAGACCCATTTGGCTATGAGTCAAATCCCGCAGCGCGAGCACAAGATCCCGCAGCAGCAGCGCGAAAGCGAGGCTATTGCCAGGTCGAACATTCACCTCCACGGCGATTGTCTCCCCGGAATGAGATAGACCGTCATAACGACTTGTCTCAACGACGCAGCGCGCAGTTCCGTACCCAACGCTGTCTGCTTGGGCTACAAAACGGCGGACCTCTGGATGATTTTTGTCCAAATGTGGATCTACACCGGCAAGGCGGTAATGGGACTCAACATTCTATCAGTGCCGTGGAGCTGATCTCGCTTCTCAAGCAGCAAATGGATGAGGACATTGACCGGTGCATTCCATTTGGGTCCCGTGGGTCATATGGTGCCCCGTTCAAGCTCACCTGTTCCATTCATGGATACACTGTTGTTGGGAAAGGAACGACAGCAGTTATTTGGGCGAAGGCCGTATCCCAAGAGGCCGACATATACCATATTCTTCGCAAGGCACAGGGTTCTGCAGTCCCCGTATTCCTGGGCAAGATCGATCTCGCGAAGATCTACTTTCGCTATAGTGCAGAGATTCGCCACATGCTCGTCATGGGTTGGGCTGGCGAGAGTACAGCAACGCTCGAGCAGACCTCGGACCTTCGCAGGGAGATTAAAAGGTCGAACAAGGAAATTCGCTCCTTGGGAGTCCGACACCTAGACCTTCGGCCTGACAATATCCTATGGAACGCTGAGCTAGGGCGGGCTTTGATCATTGACTTCCACCGGTCTGAGCTGAATCGTCGGCGACCCGCAGACAAGTCCAGGCCATTGAAGAGGTCCCGACATAAGGCAGAGATATCCGAGTCCAAGCGAGTACGAGTGATATAGCTAACACGAGGTTGTGGTTGATATTATCCTGCATATAAGATTCTGATGGCTTGACCCATCGGCGGAGCCGGTCCAAGTCCCCTCTCACAGGCCAAGAAACCGCGAATAGCTTTCATGGCCGAGTACTTCGAACCCAGGGTAAGGGGTATCATAAGCACAGTGCCCAAATACCCGGCTGGCTCTATGGGTATGAAGGGATAGTCCCGCCGTATCATCCGAACAGCAGCACCTGCTATGAGCTGTTTCCAATTCATCTACATTCACATACATTCATATTCAGTAGCTAAATCTTCTCTTGGTCTCGTGATTCGACGTAGGAGTTGTTGAATCCTAACAACCATCATGCCTGTGGATATATGAATGTCACGGAACAATGAGATGGTGTAGCTCTTAGGGTTAGCAGTGAGACATATATAGCCACCGATTGAGTTGTTGCTGACCAGCTATGTCAATGCCCGGCAGACCATCCCTCAGACGGGCCGTATGTGGACTCGAAGAGAAGGTAACTTAGACAGCAGACAGCAGTATAATCCGAACCAAGTGAATTCGCAAACAATGAAGTAGTTAAAAAACAACATAACTAACTCCTTGCGGTGGAACATTCAGAAGCTAAAGAAATAAAAAATAGTCGCGCCCGGGATCGAACCGGGAACCTTCTGAGGATGCGATCCATCTTGTGAATCAGACGTCATAACCATTAGACCACGCAACTGTTGAATGGGAAAATTATCCCTAATTAAATTTATAGGGGAAGATCTTGATACACGTGAGCTTCTTCCACATGATAGCGGGTCTTGCAGCCTGACATCCCAGGCGTCAAACTCTTATCGCTCACTTTTTTTTCTGTCTTATCCCAACTTTTCCTCAGGCACAAGGGCACGACAACACCCTCAATAACCCTCTGTGTACACCAATTTCACAATCCCACACTCCAAACCACAAGATCCAAGAGACCACAAACCGAAATCGAACCTCAAACCCACACACGGGCCTTACACCTCCCTCCACTTCCACCTCCAGCACAAAACCACACATAACCAATGGACGCCCAAGCCTACCTTATAAAACATGGCTGGTCCGGCCCGGGAAACCCATTGAATCCAAATCCACGCCCAGGCGCGCACGGCGGACTGGGTCTCACACGCCCGCTCCTAGTATCACGCAAAGCGAACAACCACGGCGTCGGCAAGAAGACGACCAAAGACCCGACGAACCAGTGGTGGCTGCGCGGGTTCGAGGATGCGCTGAAGGGCATCGGCAATGACAGTTTCGAGGCTACGTCTGCGCGCGAGAGCAATGCGCTTACCAGTGAGCTTTATCGGCATTTTGTGAGGGGGGAGGGGTTGGCGGGCACGCTTGATGGGGTGAAGAAGGAGGCGACGGTCTCTGCGTCTACATCTACGGCTACTACTTCTAAGTCGAAGCGCAAGAGAGAGGATGGGGAGGAGAAGTCTGATCGCAAGGCGAGGAAGTTGGAAAAAGCTAAGAGGAAGGAGGAGAAGGCTAAGAGGAAGGAGGAAAGGAGGTTGAAGAGGGTTGCTAAGGTAGAGAGGAGGGAGAAGAAGATTGCTGAGAGGATTGCGAAGAAGGCGAAGAAGGAGTTGGTGCGGACTGCTGAGGAGGATTATCCGACTCCTATGTCCATTGGGCAGGAGTCTGCGGAGACTACGGAGACCGATGAGGCTGCTGCGCGGTCGAAGGAGAAGGCAGCGAAGAAGGAGAAGAAGGAGAGCAGGAAGGCTAAGAGTGCGGAATCCGAGGTCGATGTCGAAGACCCAAAGAAGAAGTCTAAAAAGGAGATGAAAGATAAAAAGGCCAAGGCTTGATGTTTGTGTTTTTGTTTCAGTGTCGCCTTTTCCATGTCGGAGCGCTTTACATGCATGTGGGGGCTATGTACAAATTTTGGTCTCTCTTACGCCTGATAGCAACCAAGATACCCTTTTGTTTGGCGGAATCATGACTATTTCATTGCAACGTTAACGAGAGACGTCTTTTTTTCTTTTACCTGTAATGTGGTATAGCTAAGCTGCTGGTAGTTTTCCAGGTTTGCCCGATAGAATCCACGGCCTTTTCTCCCAGAACTCATCTTTAATGATGTCGACATGGTCAACGACGACCTGTGCTTTCCGGCGCAGTTTCCGGATCTTGTCTTGCTGTGACCTTGACTGTTGCGTCTGGGCCACTGATGGTTCTTCATCTGCTGATTTTGTAGACTTGGGTTCCTCTAGCTCGTACTGCTTGGGATGTTAGAACGGGTTGAGCTGGAAAGACAATGCGGCAATAGCTTCATACCTGGCGATACAGAACGCTGCCCTTTTTATAGATCTCCAGCTCATTATTGTAATTGATTCCAAACCTCGAGAATAGAATCTCGTTCTTATCTGCAGATACAGTGCCCTGGGATGAGGTCAATCGCCTGCGTATTGAGTGGAAGAATGATAACCTACCTTGAGTTCTTGCTCGGCATCTGTGTTGCTCATTCCACCCTGCAGCACCATTGTCCAAAAGGTTGTGTTGTACAGGTTATTGATGTGACCTAGGACATTTGTATGAGCCAGACCTACTTATGGAAAGGCGACCTGATTGAAATCCACTTACAATCAACTTGCCTCCAGCTCATATAATCGCGCAGAATCTGACTATTCGGATAGATGACCGCACGCCCATCGAAAGAAGGCAGATACGGCGGCTGGAGAGGTTTACCAGGGAAGTATTGGTTCCACTTGTAAATGTAGTGCGCTGTGAATGTAGAGACAATGGTGGTCACTAGTTTCCTAGTCCGGGGAAAGGCCATGTCAAAGCTGTCCTGGCGGTGCGGATCGCACGGGATTGGGGCGAAGAGCGACTACTCACCCATTGCGTCGTTCGAAGAGTTGGCAGCTGGGATGGAAGACGAAACTGTATTCGTCACTGACGCCATAGGCAATGCAAAGGTCTGGAAGATCTTTCATGACTTCAACTGCAGCTGCATTCATCAAGTCCAATGCCGCACGGTCATTGGGTTTTGCGAAAGAGTAGTGGTCCGACAATCTATACATGTTAGGTTGTAGCTTGAAGATGTATGCATTGTTTATAGCATTCATGATAGATGCGCATAGAGCTTCTCTTTGCATAGAGATTGACTACGATGTTCGGAGAGATACTCACTTGTGAAATCCTCGTCCATCGATGCGGACCACAATCCACGTATTGGGGAGCAGCACGTCCGGCTGCTCGAAGGACTTGACATATTCAAATCTATGTATTTTTTTAGTACTGTCGTTACTAAAGTGGGTACTAAAGTGATTCCTACTTACCTTGAGTTTGCCATATCCCAGATGTCGTTGCGTAACGAATAAAGTGAAGAGGCTGAGTGTGTGGCCCAGAGTGTGGGCGATTTCTGCCCGCCCGCTCTGCCCCTCGAAGGTTGGTTGAGAACTTGAGATACGCCGACTTGTATTTATCAAATCGAAACACTACAAATTACTAGATCGACTAGACGCCAATGAGATGAATATAAAATTGTATGTGAGATGCATATCAAAAACCCTAAGAGAGAATGAGATATTCTTAGAATCTAGGAAATGAAAATGAAAGAACAGGACCAAGGTCCATAAATACAAGCTCAGATCTCAGCCCCCTCCGTAATCTCTTCATCGCCAGTCTCACTAGCTCGCTCGCTAGTCTCACTAGCCTTGTCGGACTTGCGGGACTTGCGAGAGAAGAATCCTAGACTGCGGGTCGATCGGTCGGCAGATGTCATACTCGAGACGGTACTATCGACGCTCTTGCCGAGCTGGGCTTCGCTGGCTTCCTCGTCAATATCTCCTTGCGAGGAGTCCGCCTTCTTAGAAAAGAGTCCCGAGCGATCCTTCCATGAGCTGAATTTGCTGGAACTGCCTTTACGGGTAATCTTGCGAATGAAAGATTCCTTAGAAGCATTGTCCAAGGAGGCTCCAGATGGCATGCGCTCCAGGGATTCGTATGAATCGCCGGTGAAGTGCGAGAGGGAGCGGGATGTGCGGGATTCAGAAGGAGATCCATCGTACTCATTGAAGTTAAACGGACTATGAGAATCACTGGCTCTGCCTTTCTCTTTTCCTTCCGACTTTTCGTCCGTGAGAACGGTTGTGAATGCAGGGGCAGCAGGATTCAGCTTTGGAGTCAGTGGTCGATGAGACGACGACGGGCGGGTGCCAATCGGTGCTTGGAGTGGTCGAGGGTGTCGATCAAACGTGTCCTGCACAATATCAGGCTCACCGGCCAGACCAAGAGGAAGATGGCCCGATGATCCGTACTGGATTGAAGGCCGCCTGGAAGGGGCTCGAGACCAGGTGGAAGGCGAGGCCCAGTCAAATCCAAGCGGGCTGTTGCGATGACCGGCGCCTTCAGTCGATGGCCATCCGAAATGGCGATTATCTGTCGACGGATGAGGAAGCTGATTCTGGTTGTCGAACGAGGTCGGTGAAGGCCGTGGCGACAGAGAGCCACGTCGAACGCCGCCAAGAAGCGACGATGGATCAATAGGATCATGCCGAGGACTGAATTGATTGTACCCACTGCTAAGATCGGAATTCCCGCGGGTTCCAGCACCACCAAACCCAAATTTGCTAGATGAGAAAATATTCGAAAAGGCAGCTCGTCGTGAGGGTGCATGGTCAGAAGAGCTGTCCAGAGTAACACCGGCTGTGTTGCTTCGAGGGAACAATGACATCGGATTCGCCCAGTTTCCGGTATAGCTAGATCGTCGACGCCGTACGCCAATTGGGTCCAGCTCGTCGACGTTACGGGGGAAGGACTGGCTCTGGCCGGGCTTCAAAGTGCCCAGCATAGGTGATTCGTCTGCCAGAGTCTTTCCACGAGGCCGATGGAAGCTAAACAGTCCAGAAAGCCTTCGCGATGCACTTTTCGGGGCATCCCCAGCAGCAGATAAATGCACTCCTTGAGATTCGTCCTGCCGGGTTTGGGGTTCCATTGGGCTGGCAAAAATGCTTCCAGCTCGACTGTCCGAAGAAACGGGCGACGCTGGGCCGTGGCCGAAAGTGTCCAAGGGGTTGCTAGGTGTCTCCATAGTCGAAAACCTCGGACGAGTCACGCGTGGGAATTCCGGCGACTCCTCGTCACCAAGAAGGTCGGATGGTAGGAGGGCGCCTGCGCGGGGACTCATCTGAGGGTTATTGAAAGCGACTTCCGTATCTGAGCGCATGATCTCCGGGGGTTCAGACAGACCGGCAAGGGCCATGCCATTGTTGATATTGAAAAACGCAGAGCTCGGGGGAAAGGTAGGTGAATGACCAGATGTATTGTAATTGAAGCTGTTTGAAAACGACGTCTCGATGCCCGGGAAGTTCACAGGGGAGGACACATTGCTATTGAGTGAGCCGCGATGGCGACGGGGTCGAATCGTGGACGAATTCGTCATGTCAAATTCCATAGTCGGCAAGGCAAAGGGGCCTGCGCTTCCGGGTCGCTGAGCTGTAAGCCACTTCAAGCGTTCTTGGGCTTCTTGATATTGTTGCTGGGCCTGCGCATGCAGGTTCACAAGCGTAGCATAGCGCGAGTGAAGGGCACCGAGCTTGTGCTCCCACTGACGAGCTCGCTCGTTGTCAATCCGGTCTAGCTCCTTGCCATCCTCGCTATCACCTTCTTGCAACCCCATTCTTTCCTCTTCGAGCTTCTTGACCCGTCCACCTTTATCTTGGATCTCGTCGTCGATTGTCTTCATCTCCGCCTGCTCTTTCGCGATCTTGGCCCGGACCTCGTCTGCGCGCACCGTCCCTTCTTCTTCAATCCTGGTCTTGTCTTCCTTCGCTTGCGCAGCGTCGGCATTCATGCGCGCAATCTTCTCCTGCCACCGGAGAATGTCGTTTTTGCGTTTCTTGCGCTCCGCCTCTTTTTGCTGGAGAAGTCTCATGCGCTTTGACTTTTCGCCCTGCACAGACCGATTGACACTTTCCAGCTTGTAGACGTGCCTTTTCAGATCGCCACTTGCTTCGTCCTTCTCCCTAACGCGCTTCCGCAGTTCACTGCGCTGATTTTCAAGGTCTTTTAGTAATGCAATGTGCTCTTCTTCCTCCTCTGCCCCCTGCTTCTCCACGCTCTCATTCTCATGCTGTAAAGTCTTCAGACGATCTGCTAGCTGCTCCAAAGTCTCATCTCTGGCAGTCTTTGCTCTGCTTTTGATGGTCTCTTCGAATTGTCCGTGCGAAACGTCCATTGTGCCAGCTGCGGGCGACATCTTCCGTCCAGCTGAGGGCCGTTTCGGCAATTGGCCTGCACTATGCTCGCGAGACATGATGGGAGCAGATGGCGCGGGCAGGCCTACAGTAGACCTAGGTATTGATGCGCGGATAATCGGACCCCCGGCATTGCCATTTTGCTGGCTTTCGGACAGCGGAAGGGATTTCGTGCGAACATGAAGGATCGCACTGGGTGTTTGAAAATTGGCGGCACTCAGGGAAAGAACGCAGACGTGGTAAATGCTCCCGGGTAATAAATTCGATATCTCCACCGCTGTTTCCGCTCGTTTGGATTCACCCACTGCAGACCGTTAGTACTTTCGTTCACTGATAGCAGAGACCAAGGCCATCCCATACCTTTCACGTTATTCACTTGAATAATATGCTTATGTATTGAGTTATGGAAGTCTGGCTGTTTCCAAGCAATGCGAATTTCGCGAGCCGTGATCTCCTCGAGTGTGACCTCTGGCGGTGGAGGAATGTCAAGGCCCAGTTTCTCCACCAGGACATCATTTGAGGTTTGACAGACCTGCCATGCCCGGTATAGAAGCCTTCATACAGCCCAGTCAGCCAAATAGATGAATCGCCGGAACGGACAATGGACTCACCAGATCAAGGCCCACAAGATCGAGACGGCGAGGAAGAGGGTCATGACGCCTCGCACTCTCACGCGGGGAACCACTGCTGGGTAAGCGTCAAATGCAAAGTAAAGCGGCTCATACATCCCAACTTCAAGTACCCATTGGGCGTGGGCAGCGGGATATAGAGGAGAATTGCAAGGATCGCAAATGCTGGAGTGGGCGGTGGGATAGCAGCCACGTGATCTGGAATCTTACTAAAAAGTAACCAGTCCGAATGGAGTTAGACTGGAGATCAGCCGCTAAGGGACCTCGGCAGGTTTCCAACTCAAGTGTGATTACATAACCAGAATTGTTGGGCGTTGAATGGCGTTGACAAAACCAACAATATTGTCCGCTTGCATTAGTTGGGTACTTCTGAATAGGCCTTGTTCTTTGTCTACGGAGACTCCGTGATCTTAATTGCTGTGGCCGACTTTGTGCTGACACCATCCCGTCATGGTTATGTAGCTGCATTATTCTCTCGAGTGTCAGTCACATGGGCCGCTTAACTTCCCGACTTCTCCCAAAACCTGTCTCAGTTCTTTTTGATCGTCCAGACCTTCTTTTTGTTATTTGGCTTCTAGAACTTGCTTCAGATTGGGCTACATTTCATTTCCCACCACTGCAAAGGTGTTAGACACTCTCTGGCGGGATGCAGCTCTATCGCTCTATAAGCGGTTCCGTCTCCAAGACATGGAATTCGATCAACCCGGCCACGCTGAGCGGGGCTATTGATGTCATTGTCATAGAGCAAGAAGATGGTATTTACAATCTCTGAGATTTTGGATTACTATTTGATACTGACTTGGCTTTTCTATTTGAAGGCACCCTCGCCTGCTCGCCCTTTCATGTCCGCTTTGGCAAGTTTTCGCTCTTGCGTCCGTTCGAGAAGAAGGTTGAATTCAAGGTGAATGGTGTCAAACAAGAGTATGCCATGAAGCTGGGAGAGGGCGGTGAAGCATTCTTTGTCTTTGAGACGACCGACGAAATCCCCGCATCGTTGCAGACCTCACCGTTGGTGTCTCCCGCAGCCAGTCCACGGCCCCAGAGCGAGCTCGATCTTCCGCCTTCGCTGCAGGAACCAGATTACCTTGACCTGGATAAACATGGGGATGCATTGTCGGAAGGCGCGAAGACCCCACCGGGGATGGTTCCTTCTCACCAGCTACGGGCAAGCACAGATATAGGTAGGCCAGAACTCCAACCCCGTTATCCATCCGAAGCTCTCGTTGCTGACCGATCAAACAGGGACCATAACGCCCTTATCGCAATCCCTCGATGAATCAAACAGGACTCGTCCACGGCATGGTTCATTGGGTGCTCAGCCGCCACTTGATCACACAATGTCGGACAATGTGCTCCCAACCAGCTCTGCCCGGAACTCTTTGACCGGTCCACCTGTGAGTGGAAACAATGAAGTGCGCGATTCTGAAGGTGAACGCTCTCGCAGTCCTGCTCTGTCTCCGGAGGAAGCGGTGTCTCGCGCCATTTCGCTATCAAAGAAATTGTCTGGGTCCAATATACCATCGCATGTCACCGAAACTGGAGACTTGATGTTGGATATGACTGGCTATAAAAGCAATGAAGAAGATGCCCTCCGTGCAGAAGTTGTTGCGCGCAAGATTCTCGCAGAGGAGCTTGAGGGGTATTACGATATTGGTGCGCTGATTGGAGTTGATGAACACGGTAATATTTGGATTTACAGCAGTGAAGAGTCGAAAGAATTGGCAGATCGAAGAGCCACTCTCAATTCGATGCGGCCGAGTATAGGTATGAGCGATGATGCTCTTTCCGATCCCGGATACCACAGCGAGGGCGAGCACGGTGTCATGGAGCCTTCTTTGGCTGCTCGCCATCACCGAACCAAGTCAGATGTCCAGCCCGGCTTTCCTACACCTCCTCAATCGCCTCTAGGTGATTCTTTTGCTGGCGAGACCCGCAACTATGCCAAGACACTTCGGTTGACAAGCGATCAGCTCAAGGCCCTGCAATTGAAGCCCGGTGCCAACACAATGTCTTTTAGCGTCAACCGCGCGGTTTGCAGTGCGAACATGTTCCTGTGGAATGGGAACACCCCAATTGTGATTTCCGACATTGATGGAACCATCACCAAGTCGGATGCGTTGGGACACGTGCTTAACATGATCGGACGCGACTGGACGCACGCTGGAGTGGCCAAGTTGTACACTGACATCGTCAATAACGGATACAATATTATGTATCTCACGAGTCGATCTGTCGGTCAAACAGATACGACACGAGCCTACCTTCACGGCATCTGCCAAGATGGATACAAACTCCCGAGAGGTCCAGTGATTTGTAGCCCTGACCGCACGATGGCGGCCTTACGACGAGAGATCTATCTGAGAAAACCTGAAGTGTTCAAGATGGCATGTCTTCGGGATATTCTCAACCTCTTTTGCGGCAAAGAGAACCCCTTCTATGCTGGCTTTGGAAACCGACTGACCGATGCATTGAGCTATCGCTCTGTGAATATTCCGTCTACTCGGATTTTCACAATCAACTCCAACGCCGAAGTGTCACTGGATCTGCTCAGTCTAAACAAGTATAAGAGCAGTTATGTGACTATGCAAGAGCTGCTGGACCACTTCTTCCCACCGACCAGCCTTCTTGTGCAATCGGGTGGCGAGGAATACACAGACTTCACCTACTGGAGAGACACACCGCAAGTGCTCGACGACTTCTCGACGACGGATAGCGAGGATGAAGATGAGGAAGACATCGCTGAAGAGGATGAAGAGGGTGATGATGAAGACTACGATGAAGAATTGAGCGAGGGTGAACGCAGCGAATACCTTGACGAGGCCGAGATGGCGGAAGAAGATCTCGGCGCAAGCTACCTATCACAGGACTCGGCTGCCCTGTCGAACCCCGCGGGCTCCATCATTGAATCAGTCGAAGGGGATCTCTATATTGAAGAGGAAGCTGGCGGCGAAGAGGAGCTGTCTCCTATCGAGGAGAAACCGCAAGAAACAACTGAGCCGAGAATCTCCCTTCCCATCCGGTCCAAGATACCCCATGAACGCTGAGCACCATACCCACCAATACGCCTATCCGCTCACGATCGATTTCTGGGCATTTCCTGCGTCATAGATACCCGTCTTGCGTGTGCTTTACTATGTCAGATTCTGCGTTAGACTGCTCTGACAGCGATATATCCCGTTCAACACTATTGCATGCAGGCTTGGAGATGCATACTACACTATACATGGCCGCTTGTACCCGACTTTTTCTAATCCATGGCATCGGCGTTTCTGGGTTTCATTTCTGATAACATTCATGGCGCACATACTTGCGGGGGACTGAAGAGGGATCATAAGATGATTGGAATGCAGCGAATGAAAGCAGTGAATAGAATTGTGCAAATACAACATATTGTGTACAATATTATTGTTCAAATAGGAAACAGTACAATACCTACATCGGGCACCTACCTCAGTACCCTCAGTCTTCAGACCTTCTCACATGATCCAAAAGTTCTGCCATATTTATATGGCGCTAAACCTAATATGATTGCTTTCCTCAAGAGACTGAGTCAAGGCGGTGGATGGTCAACTGCACCGCCTTTTGCAGGACAAGCGGCGGGTTTATGCCCATCGGGATATTGCCGCGCCCCGGAGCTCACATTAATTGCTCGGTCTTTTTGGTCTCAATTAGCCATCAACTTCCCTCTAACTGTGAACGCTGTTCCTACATCTTGCTGTCTCTAGCTACTCGATAATTCAGTCGCTACGGGAATGCTGCCCATCCATCCTCTCCAGGCCTTCTAGTCATCACATACCTAGCATCGCTTCGGCGTTCACTGCTTGCGCAGCATCGCAATCCACTCTCTTCCACAACTGAACTCAACCTCCAGTTCAGACAAGAATATGGCCTCTCCAACTCAGGCGCAGGCCACAGTGCCTACAGCTCAACCCCTCACACCTCCCGCCGAAGCTACCGCTACGACAAATGGTGTCTCCGCGCCCGCCGCAGCAACCTCCCAGACCCAACCTCACACCCCAGCCACAGGGCCTACAACAGCGTCACAGCCCCCTCCAGTCCCCGGAATGTCCACCCAAGACAGCGGCAAATCTCGCCGGCCACGGGACGTGCGACTGGTCCACATGCTCCTCGCCTCGCTCGGCGTAACCTCATACCAAGACCGGGTCCCATTGCAGCTGCTCGACTTCGCCTACCGATACACGGCCAATGTTCTACAGGACGCCGTGCACCTTGCCACAGAAGGTTATGCTGCAGCGACAGACGGCACCGCCGGCGCAAAGGGTTCCGCCGAAGTGGGCAGTGTCTCTCTACCGGCGTTACGTCTCAGCATTGCTTCGCGCTTGCATTTCCAGTTTCAGGCCGGCCTGCCCAAGGAGTTCCTCATGGATGTTGCGTCGGAGCGCAATCGTATTGCGTTGCCTGGTGTGTCGCGTGGCTTTGATCCGGCTGCCGGCGCGGCGAATGGCGCTGCTGGCGCTGCGAATCAGAGTGTCATGATGGGTGGTATGCGCTTGCCGCCCGAGAGGTTCTGTCTCACTGGAAAGGCGTGGGATATGAAGGATGAGTGGGATAGTGAGGGTGAGGGAGAGGAAATGCCTGATGTGTCGCAGCAGCCTGGGGCTGGTAGGGGCGTCAGTGGTGATGCCGCTGAAGATAATGAGGGAGGAGATGAAGACGAGAATGATGGCAAGATGGAAGATATTTTCGGTGAAGATACCACGATGGGCGAGGCTGGTGATGGAGATGAGGACCGGAAAATGACTGATGTTTGAGTGCATGCCTTTTCACGTTCGCGGTGTTCTCTGCCTTTTGGCCTTGGGCTAGTGGTGTTTCTGGCGCTCGGCGTTATCATGGTCCTTTTTCCTACATGTACTTTTTCTACTCATTCTACTATGGAACGGAACCCTGGATTTCACGATCACGGAGGCTGTTGTTTCCGTCTTTCCACAAAACGGGTGGAGGTTCCTATGTCTTACCACAGAAGAGAAGATGCTAATAATCAAGAAGAAATCCTTCTGGTCAATTGAGCCAAGATATGCAATCGTCTGTGTGTATGTTGTACATAATTCAATCCATCCCCCGGGGCCATCGCTCCGCATTCGGGATGTTCATGCAATGTAATCGAGATGCCCAGCAAAAACGCCTGCTTTGTTTGCCCCTGTGCGCCATGAGGAGAGAGAAAGAAGACACGAACTCCATCTGGGGCATGACGGCCTGGGTCGGCCGGTCCGGACCGGTTTAGTCTAATACGTGTCCGTCAAAGCGCGAGCATTAAAAGTCCATAGACTGGTAGGTAGGACCAGGCGTATTAAGACCAAGCCAATCGGGTGCTCAGACGAGGTATTGTCCAACAGCGAGAGCGGTCTTCCTCTTGCCCATGCGTTCAGCCCAAGGACAAAGGTCGGTCGCCCTTTGACCTCGGACAAACGCAAGAAGCAGAATACCCAAGACGCCAACCCATATAGACAAGTAACACTCACCCAAGGAATGAAGAGCGTGAAAAGAGAAATACAGAGAGTAACGGGTAGATATCAATCATTTGCCCTCCGCTCGCCTCCGCGCTTCGTCCTCGCGCATCATGCGAATAACCTCCACACGCCGCTTCTCGACACGCGCAAGCTCTTCCTCGCGCGCGCGCCGCCGTTCCTCATACGAGGCGAACCACTCTTCGCGTGCACGGTCTTCTTCTTCTGGCTTTGCGTGCGCGAGCATGCACGAATTCATTGCGAGACGCTGCTGGCGACAGACCCACGTAGCAGTGACTGTGCGGTTAACGGCACACTCGGCGAATGCTATATCATGAGTAGATTAGCTATTTGTTTCAATTATGCTAAGCATGGACTGGGGTCACGAAGGCGGAAAGTGCTCGTCCGCATGAGGGTCGCGGCAATCTTTCGACAACTTCGATGTCATGTGCCAATTGGGAGAGTGTGGGGTGAACATGTGGAATCAAAACTGGTTACGTACCCTTGATCTCGGGTGCGCAATAGGACCGTACTCGCTTATAAAACAGCTGCTTCACTTCTTGTTCTTGGGGGGCGGAGAGCGGAAGAGGATTGCGGAGGTTATATTTTTTTGGTGCACTTGTTGAGGGCGTCTCGGGGGATGTGGAAGGCGTAGCCATTGAGATTGTAGATCGATCTTAAAGATCGATATCAATCAGTTGAGTGTATAGGATGGTCGATCGGGAGGTTGCTTCGGAGATGGGTTTTGTCGCGGGGTTTGAGGACGGACTTCGAGTTGGAAAGCTGCTCCACAGGTCGAGAAGGCGAATTGATTGATGTAGAACTAGATTCAAAGAGGGTTCATCACACGGCTTTGCAGACAAGGTTGAGGTCAAGTGGGAGTGTTGATTGCGAGTGAGCCGAGCTCGGGCGGAGAGAGCGGTAGTTAGGGCAGAATCAGAAAAAAAAAGTTCTCCGACTTTGCCCAACCTCAACTTGGACTGGACTTTTCTGCTAGAGGCCTTTGCATCTTTTACTTTTTTTTTCTCTGGGCTCCCTCTTTTTGCATCTGGTAGTATCCCAATCTTTGTGCCGAAATTCACCAACACCAAAGCCAGCATGTCGTCCATGCGTAACGCCGTTCAACGGCGGAACCACAAAGAGCGTGGCCAGGTCTCCGGCCGCGAGAAATGGGGTCTCCTCGAGAAGCACAAGGTATGTTTCTGCGCAAGAGCTTTGGGGTTCACGGATCCTATAAACTTTCTTTCAGCTTCTTTCAAAATACAAGCATCATACTAACTTCACCAGGACTACTCGCTCCGTGCGAAAGATTACAATGCCAAGAAGGCTAAGCTGAAGCGCCTCGAAGAGAAGGCGCGGGATCGCAATCCCGATGAGTTCGCCTTCGGTATGATGAATGAAAAGAACAAAATCCAAGGCCGACATGGACGTGGAAAGGGCACAGCGCGAGACTCTGCTGCAGCACAGGGATTGAGCCACGATGCAATCAAGCTGCTGAAGACGCAAGACAAAGGATATCTCCGGACGGTTGGAGAGCGTGTGCGCCGTGAGATTGAGCGCCTAGAGCGCGAGGTGGAGTTGCAAAAAGGCATGGACAAAGTCCTAGGCAGGGACGGGAAAGCAGGCAAGGATAGCGACGAGGACGACGAGTTCGACGATGATTCCGACGACTTCGACTTCGGTGCTCCGCCGAAGATGAAACCCAGCAAGACGGTATTTGCTGAGGATCGACGGGACCAATTGGCAATGAAAAGGCAGCGGATTCAAAAGGAGGAATCTGCTTTGGATGCAGAGGAAGAAGTTCAGTCGTCAAGCAAGACCGGCAAAACCAAAACACCTAAACAGCTCCAGGCTGAGCGGCAAGCACTTGTGGATGCCAGGCGAGCTCGTAAACTCCGCAAACGAGCTGTCGAGGCCCGTCACAACAAGTTAACTGCGCTGCACAAGCAATTCGCCGAGATCCGGACTGCAGAGCAAGAGCTTGATTGGCAGCGGGCGAAGATGGAAAATTCCGTCGGAGGCACCAACAAGGACGGTATCAAATGGAAGATCCGTGAGCGCAAGCGCTGATGGTTTGTTGTTTTTCGGAGTTTATGAGTGATGACTCGCTATCATCTTTTTTGTACATATTGATACCAATTACCATAGAGGCAGTACGGCGTATACATTGAAGGAACTCACTCAAGTCCTGGCCACACTGCCCTTATCAGCCCTTCTATCGTGAATATCGGGAGGACGTGTGACAAAACCGTGCCCTATTCCATACTGCCAAAGCAGCGAAGTTCTCTCGAGGGTAACCTTGGATGTTATTTATGCCTTTCAGCTTAGCCGCTCCTACCTCCCAACTGGGCTTACTGTGTATACTCTGCACGTATATTCTGGCTGGTCACCTATCAATGGCCAGATTCTTAATAGCTAAATCCAAGCTTAGTCATAGTTAAACAGTTGCGTGGTCTAATGGTTATGACGTCTGATTCACATCTGCTGAATCGTTTCCTCAGAAGGTTCCCGGTTCGATCCCGGGCGCGACTATTTTTGCTTCTTAACTTGTCGCCTGCCGTATGTCTTCATAGATATCAAATTGCAATCCTTTCCTATCGCTAAGTTGCGTGGTCTAATGGTTATGACGTCTGATTCACATGATGGATCGCATCCTCAGAAGGTTCCCGGTTCGATCCCGGGCGCGACTATTTTTTGTTTCTATTTATGTCTTTGGTGATAGTATGGGATATTGGACTCCTTTTTGGTTTGAGCATTAGTTAAAACAGTTCCAAGGTTGTGGATTACAGCATTTTGGTTGGGTACCTCTATAATCTGCTCGGAAGAGGTAGAAACAATATCTATATTGTGAGTGAAGCAAGAACAGGCACTGCCGCACTGTTGTGTGTTTGGGAGAGCGAACACTCAAAATACGTGATAGCGTCTTCGGCACCGACGGCGTTATTCTGAATGCCTAGGGTAAGGCGGTCTTCAGGGCACCTGTCAACAGTCCAGTCCTAACAGGAGCATCTACATAGACCTCAATCAAACTGCAAACACGTGGCTAGTCCCACCTGATCAGTCCAGCGCTGACTCTACCCGTTGATCTAAGCTCGTCCTGATATCTAGTTACCCTGGCAGCCGAGTCTAGGCCACGGTGCCCCTGTCCAAGTGATGACAGGTCGACAGCTCCATAGAAAACATAGGGTCTAAGAACGGCACAGGAGTATCTATTTTTACCCACGTCCCAAACACCCAGTGATACTGTACACAACATATGACCGTAAGTAGGATGATGTACATGCATCCATCCGCAGGCAGTTAGGTACAGATTAGTAAGGCTTGAACCTATCCTTCTTCTTGTCCTTTGATCGAGGCTTGGACGATCCGGACTGGATAGGTGCATCACTTTGCTCAGCAGGCTTCCATGCTCGCACGAATCCATCTTCGCCACAGGTGAAGACAGATTGACTCTAATTGGCAGACAATAGTGTCAGCGAAGGTCGAAACCAGGAGAGCCAGAAATGGCGAAAGAAATAACACCATAGGACAAAAAAACATGTCTCGACAACGTACCCGTTCATCCAAATACACCGAGCGCACAACCTCCTCGCAATGAGCACGAGTCAATCGCCACAAATTATCCCGGTCCAGCGTCCACGATGGACTGGAAGCGAGTGGGACAAGATCGAGACGGTTGTCACTGTGAGACATCAGTCAGTAAGGGTTGCCCAGAAACCGACGAAGGAGACGAAGGAACACAGATACGACCGCATGTGTGTTGTGACACCTCTCTTCCTCGAAAATGCAAGACAATACAAAATACCCCACTTGAAGGCAAATATACATACATCTTGTTTCCAGCCGCGATGTACTGCCCCTGCGCTCCAACGCAGAGTTGCGCAACATACTCGCAGCCCAGCGGGTCGCGCACGTCACCGAAATGCACGGGCTCGGGTTCTTGGGCGGTGTCGTCCGGGTCTGTTGCTGGGTACACGGAGAAGTGCTCGTCGTGACTGAGAGCAAAGATTGTGCGATCCGACAGGAACCCAGCATGATGTACGGAACCGTGATTGATCACTTGCACCAGGGCTTCGTCTTCGTCCGTTACTGTCGTATCGTAGATGTTCACGAGTCCATCCGTGCTGCCGGAGAGTAAAATGTTGCTGCGCGTCGGGTGATATTGGAGCTGTGTACAACAGGTAACCGGCAAGGTGCCGATACAATGGTTAGTCTGACTGATAGTGCATGTGAATTGACGTGGTGGTTAGGGGATGAATGTTGGGAATCGGGAGATTGATTATATACCTCGGTGATATCATCGTTGTGGCTTTCCACATATTGTAAACGGAATTCCTTGGGCGTTCTGATATCCCTGTCTGTGGGTTAGTGGACTGGGAAATGATACTCGAGTATGGCTTTTCTGGTCTTAGGACTGAACGTGGTCCCGACACATCGTGGAATAATGATGCAGGGTACAGCATCCAGATAAAACCCGAAGTATAAGCTGAAACTTACCAGAATGCAACAACAGCCTGTGAGGAAACAAGCTCAGTCCCCGCTACCACGGTGTTTGTCTCCGGGTTGCAAGCCACAGACAGAACAGGCGAGCTTTTCGCTATACGCAAACAAGAAAGTATCAGTAAAGACGCATTGATAAAGAGCAACAGAAACTCAATCTCGAAACGGGAAGCATCCTTGCACCCAAGTCCCAATAAATTCCCCGAAAACCAATAGCAGCAGCCCGGAAATGCAGCAACAAAACGCAAAACGCACTGGTCGATTATCACGCAGGTTCCCGAAGACAAGCCCCAAACAGGCAATTGATGCATAAACCCACCTCCTCCACAAAAGCAAAAATAAAAATAAAATAAAATAAAAGCTTAACCGAAACAAACTCACCTGTCTCCATCTCCACAACCGGACTCCCGTTCCCGGAGCGAGCATCCCAAATCTTCACCTTCCCATCACGACCACCTGTAGCGAGGAGATGGGCCTCGCCCATAGTGAAGCTCTGCAGCGAGGTAATACCGCCATCGTGCGCAGTGCGCGAGACCACAGATCCACGGTCGAGATCAGAGGCGTCAAACACGCGCAGCGAATCATCGGATGAGATCGCGGCAAAGGTCCCCGGTGCCGATGCGACGATTGAGTAGATGTAATTATCCGCCGGTAGGGACAGAGTCGATGAGGCTACTGCCTTGAGGGTGTGCATTTTGGATTTTCGGACGCTAACCTCTGTCCCGCAGTGTGGCTGTTGGGTCCTTGATTTTGAAATTTGATAGAGATTATTTGATCTCCAGGTTGATGATCTCCCTCTGGCTGATGCGGGGCGCAGTGGGCAGGATATGTGGGATTGACTTGGTGTGTAGTAGCTGTAATGCTTTTTGACGGATTTTGTTTATTTTTTTCTTGTTCACTTTGTGCCGCAGTTATTCCATTGGCTTTGGTTGACTGGCGAGGTTTCTGGTCGGAGGTTGGCCAAGGAATTTTTCGGGACGTGGGGCCGATGTTGCTGCCAGTGTACCTACTACTTCGTACCTACAAATATCACCCACCTACTTAGTACTCCGTACAAGGTTGACTACCTACATGTATAGGTACCTAAGTAAATTGGCTCAGGGAGGTGACAAAAATACGTTATTTCTGGTTTCTCATTGGAAGCATACACATGGGCAATGACTTGAAAAGGCAAAGAGGCAAAGGAGCCAAGGGGCGAGAGAGAAGCGCGTTAGTAGTTAGCCTATCCTGAATCATGGGCTGCGAATAGTTAGCCTGTTCTGAATCATGCGCTAAGAACTGAGCCCGATCGCATGATCTGCCAGTGCCAGTTTCAGGCATAAGACGATCGATACCGGCGATTTCATGCTCAAGATCAGCACCGTAAGCGCCCCAAGAGTCTGGAATATCTACTTTAGTGCCCAGGATGTATCATGCAAGGAGTGGCGGAGTTCGGATTTGACGGAGCTCGGACTTTTACCCACACCAGGTAAATCCTGTGAGATTATATCCGGTGAACATAAGATAGGAGCCGATCTTGCTGGGTGAGAGATTTTAAATACCTAAGTATCATGAACCAGTGTCCTGGGAGTGAGTGGGAGGCCAATGATATGCCAACTGCCAAATAAAGAATGGCCCCCGATCCTTGGAATCGTTGTTGGGCTGGACTGGGGGAATGTTGACAGGTTCAGCTTGCATATACCCTGGTCATCGATGGACATGTTACTACCTGTCAGTCGCCTGGAGAGGAGATCCGAGATGAACATGTGTCAACATGGATGCCGTAGTTAGCTTTGACCGTTCCGAGTCATTTAATTTAGGATCCAGCGGAGTGGTCATTCTTACACTACATATCACAAACGAGAATCAACCAGGATCGGAGTGACCAGGGGCCCGGTTGCGCCATATTTGATTCGTTCCAGCGTCACATCCACGGACCCGGGGCTTTGGGTTGCGGTGAGGGGGGCAATTGTGAGAAGCTGCAGACTTGGGAGATTTATAATAAGTTCTTATTCGTACGCAGTAAAATCTCCACAATCTCATGGGAATACTCAGAACATACCTCCATACGAGTGTACTGTGTACTGAGAAAGACCAGTGAGACGCATTAGACTCGTTTACCACTCCGCTGGGCTCCCTCGTTAGTTTCGTCCCAACTCAATCCCTGGAAATGACAGGCCCAGACGGTCCGCGTCCCGCCCGCTCTAAATAAGCGTGGGTCATCTTGCGTCCATGTCGATCTGGCTAAAGGCTAAGTCTCGGTAACTAAGAAAATGATTTGGAAGGATTTAAAGCGAGGCAGAAAAACAGGCAAAGAAAGAGGCAAATGAAAGAATGGAAGAAAGGAAAATAGAAAATGAAAATACGCGAAAAAAAGAAGGTTTCTGCTGGAAAGTTACCAGGGTCAAGGGAAAGCCCTAAGTAGTTTAGCTCTTCCCATTCATCTGGCCCGATGGTCTGGGAAGTCTGTGCAGGTGTGCAGGTTAGTGGACAAGTTTAGTATCTGGTTATTTACTGGTACAACATACGATACAGTTATAAGATGGCACTTCGAAGTGGAAAGAACTATATTCTATATTACATCGATATATACTACTCTTAGCACCTGAACAACAAGCGAAACAACATCCTTCTAGTTATAACGCTCAGCAATAAACACCAACAATCGAAGCCAAGTAGTGACCCCAACCTTGGGAAACGCCCCTCTAGTACCACCTACGCAGTTAGCGCATACGCCGGGTACTCATACTTTCCCACTGTACTTCGTACATCGTACTTCTGCACTTCTGCACACCCCTACAACTTCTTCTATCCCAGATTTCCCCCTTCTCTTATCCTTGTTCTCTCTCTCCCTCCTCTCTCTGTTTTCTACCCACCTCCCCCCCACTACCCGTGCGCCCCCAACGCGAATCCGCGGTTTCTTATCCTTAAGGAACTTTAATACTCGCTCTTGACCCCTCCTCAGCTCCGTGGGCATTTGACTTACCCTGTGCCAACGTGAGCTGATGCTGGAGCTGGCCCTAGAATCTGCGCATTTGGGGATATTTGCAATTCTCCAGCTTTTGTACTTTTGAACTTCTGCGGTGTGGAAATCACGACTCCCTGAGCTTCGCCCGACCGTGTGACTCGACCTATGATCGCGGAACCGGTCCCATTCGACTCACACCCATCACACTCGCTCGTGTGCTTTTGTTCCAGCGTTTTAGCGATTCGCAGCTGCTCTGAACTTCTGCTCATTCAATTTTCGTGACTGGCATGCTCGATCGATTGGCAAATACCCTGGACACCTTGCGCGATCATTGATTGATTGCCGACATCAACCGCAGTGATGTCTTACAGAGAAAGCCCAGGATCGTTCCCGGCTCCCGGACGTACATCATTGCCAAAAATGTTCACGAACGGGGATGCCAGGTTGCGACACCTGCCTCCGATATCTTCTCCCCCGCCGCCCAAACGATACAAGTCCGAGTCGACTACAGCGAGCGATGCCGGCCATAATCGATTCTACTCGCACTCTGTCGCGCTGAGCGATCGACCCCGGTCGCGACAACCGTCTTCGGCAATGGACTTATACACGCTCATCGACAGAGATCCGGCCGATAAAGATCCCCGCAGGAATGCTCGGTTTACCAGCAATGGGTCGGTAGCCACACAAGCATCCCAGGTGTCGAACACCTCTCAAGTGTCGCGATCGTCCCCGATCATAATTTCCAATCGCAAGTATGTCAATCCCCGAGCCAATTACGTGTCCTGATGACTGACCCTAGTTCTCGTTCTCATAGGATTCCCGAGAAATACCCATTCCACAAAGAGAACGGCCGGTTGTACCATGGCTATCGAAAAGGAATATATCCGCTCCCGTGCGACGAGGAAGAGCAGGATCGTCTTGACATCTTCCACAAACTGTTTACGGTTGCACGGGCCGAGGGTGGCTTGATTTATGCACCACACCCTCCAAACTCCAAGATCCTCGACCTGGGCTGTGGAACAGGCATTTGGAGCATCGAAGTTGCGAACAAATACCCAAATTCCTGGGTGGTTGGTGTTGACCTTGCACCCATACAACCTACCAATTTCCCGAAGAATTGTGATTTCTATGCCCCGTTCGATTTCGAAGCTCCCTGGGCCATGGGAGAGGATTCATGGGACATCATCCACATGCAGATGGGGTGTGGTAGTGTCGCGAGTTGGCCAAGCCTCTACCGCCGAGTCTTCCAGCACCTCCGTCCCGGTGCGTGGTTCGAACAAGTCGAAATCGACTTCCGGCCACGTGTGGAGGACGAAAATGGGGAACCCGGACGCGCTATGTCTAGCTGGTACTCGACACTGAAGCATGCCACCGAAGCTACAATGCGGCCTCTCGCTCATAGCTCGACCGAAACAATCCGAAATTTGCAAGAAGCAGGCTTCACCGAGATTGATCATCAAATCGTGGGGTTGCCCATGAATCAATGGCATCCTGATCCCCACGAGAAGACGGTTGCACGGTGGTACAATCTGGCTATCTCGGAGAGCGTACAGCCTCTTTGTCTGGCTCCCTTCACCCGGGTCCTGTCTTGGTCGAAGGAGCAGATTGATCGCATTGCATTTGACGTCAAGCAGGAGGCCTTCGACAAGAATATCAAGAGTTACAACCTCCTGCACATTTATCAAGCGCGAAAACCTGTCGAACAGGAATAGGCGAATGGATCCTATCAATACGGCAGTTGTATCTGCATATCCAGGTGGAGCATGGCAGTTTATCAAAGCGCAGCTCTCTCCCAACTGATTAGAGCCGGTTCCAACAATCGCCTTACTCCCGCAAGCGCACCTGCCTGATCATCGGGTTCAGGTAACTCGGGTGCTAGCTCTCAAACTTTGGCTGGCCCAAAGTCTTACGTCGAACATGCGCTGTCGCAAGTGAACCAAGTACAAGTTCATCCCTGAGCTTGTGGCATCACAGCACAGCCATGTTCATGATCTTCGAACACAGATCGACCTCAACTGTATGAGAAATGGGATACCATCTCTGAAAGAGCATCGACGTTTCCTGTCCCTATAGCCACTGACTGGCTGTATATTTCTCGATTCGGGGCTTCTTGAGGAGGGTTGAGGATTGCTTGATGGTTGATACGATGTACATGCCATTGTTTCCGTATGCGTCCCCGACTATTATCTCGGGTTCTGACGCTTCTTTATACTTCACTTTGACGTCTCTCTCATTTCTTTTTCTTTGTTCTTTTCACTTGCATGTGACTTGCATATCTTGGCGTTTTGGACTTGGTCGATCATCTCACATCTCGGCTTGTGATATATACCCAGATTCCATTCCTAGCTATTATGCTTCCGTTTGCTATCCGGATGCTCAGTCAATATTTCTCTTTGAAACTTACTCTTGCTCTTAATTGTATTCTTATCTTCTATATCTTATCCAGTCCACTTTAGTTCCAAGGGTCTGATGGTACCCTGCTAGGTTTGCTTCAAACTTGGTTCCTTCCAGGCACCTCTAGACCAGCATCCATGAAATTGGAGCCACGCCGTTGACGACCGCTGGATTCCACTGGATTCCATGGTCATCGATGGGTAAACATAGGTGGGTAGCGGGTAGGATGGTACCTATGTCTTAACCTTCCTTGATATGTAATGGACGGCACGGCATTGGGATATATAGTCCCGTGGATAGTACCTCCATACAGAACCAAACAGCAATCAGGCGAGGACGTTAGGTAGGTAGCTGCTTAATATTATTTTGTTCTCATGTCATCATCCCAAGACTGCAACATGGACTGAAATGAGACCCAAGAGCTTTTCTTTTCCACGCCATCTGCAGTCCGACCATCTTCCGAAAAATAACGCCACAATATGCGAGTCATGCGAGTACAAAGCCGCCAACACCGGAGATGTAAAGACACCAAAAAGAAAGACACAGAAATCTATCGCCGTCGCCTAGCAGCACCCCTCGAAGTCCCATTAGCCGCCGGCTTCTCATCCCCATTGACACCCTCCTTAGCAGCCCCAGGCGTCCGCCGCCGCATAGTCCCGGGCCCAACAGCAACAACATCTTCCCCAGAATCACTATCCTCAACATTCAATAGCACTGGTAGAGAAAAAGGCTCAACGCCATCCGCGTCCCCATCCCCCTTCACCAGCTCAAGCGTCACAGCATCCGGCTCCTCATCCTCCTGATCGAGTCGTCGCTGATGCACCTGTTCAGCAGGATGCACATCAAACTCATCCTCAGCCTCCATATACTCAACATTCTCCTCAACCTCGCCGAAATCTGGCGCCAGCGCCGACCATTTCTGCGGCGAGACAATCGACCACGTGTATATGCAGCCAGTTTCAAGCCCGCACGCAACGACCATCGGTCGGCTAGGATGCCATTCGACGACGCCGAGTTCCTCGCGCGGACCCTCTAGAATCTTGACCAGCGATCCGTGGCTGCGTTCCCAGACATAGATATCCGGGTTCATGAACGTTGTTGCTGTGACAAATTCACCGGTTGACGAGAAGGTAACGTGATTCCAGCTGAGACGGTTGACAACGTCTTGGAATTTGTGCTCGACTTGCAGTTTTATGGCGGAGGGTTCGAGGTTGATGCCGAGTTGGGAGAGGTCGGGCATTAGCACGGTGCGGATTACGCGGTCCGAGCTGTTGACTAGAAGGTCGCGGCCGTTGCTGGCGAGGTGGAGGAGGATGACAACGCCGTTGCAGAGGCGCATTGAGTGGATTGTTGTGCAGGTTTGCGTTTCGATTATGTTGATCCAGCCTTTTGAGGTGCCGGCGATTATGTGGTTGCCGAAAGCTGTGAAAATTGTGACGCAGGTTGAGTGTTTGGCGTCTTGGGCTGCTTGTTTTGCCGCGGCGGCTGGGTCGAGGTCTTCGCCGCTTGCTCGGAGCGGGGCGGAGGGGAGGATGCGTTTTACGGGTTTTGGGCTGGAGATGTCGACTAGGACGGGCTGGTCTTCGAAGAGGGAGGCGACGAAGAGGAGGCTGATGATCTTGGGTTAGTTGATTGTGCTCTGCGGAGGAAGGAGATTGGGACGGCTGTACTGGTTGAAAGGATGTAGTTCGGCGATGTAGACTGGCGCTTCGAAGCGGACTGTGCGGACTCGAGAGCCGTCTTTCAGATCCCATAAGATGCATTTCCAGTCTTGAGATGAGGTGAGAAGATAGCGGCCGTCGCGAGACCAGCTGTAACAGGGAGTCAGTAGCTTTTCACCCGATATAGAGGTATAGATCAGTGTAGACCTAGTATGAACCTGGGGAAATGTACCTCAGAGACTGGATCTGTCGCGTGTGGCCTTGCAATTTGCGCGCCACGCCATTGGTTTCAATATCGAAGATCACCACTGTTCCATCCACCTAATGTGTGTCTTAGTCTCTCAGATCGTCATATAATCATTGGGATCCACGAACTCGTCCAGAAGCAAGATAGTCGCCTTTGTGATTGAAGCTTAAACATGTCGCATGGCCGCTGCCTGTGTCACATTGGTTCGGTCAGGAGAGCTCATAGAAAGGGAGTAGCAGTAACACATACTCAGCTTCTCAGTCAGAGTGTCTGGGTATTCCTGTGCCAACACAAATGGATCGACGAGTGAGAGATTCATTGTGCCGGCCTAATGAACATGAATGAATGTTGACAGTTGAATTCGAGAGGAATCCTTAGCCTTTAGAGATAGGCGAGGATAGGGGATATTGTTCGAGCATCCAGCAAGAACCCAGGGACTAGTTGAACACCTGAGAGAGGCACCTGCACAGCTTTGTGTAGTGATAATAATCCATGGATTCTGCCAGGCGCGGTATCGGGGCCGCCAGGGCGGTGCATGAACCCATCTAAAACTCTCTCTTATTGATGCCTGAAGCGGGTGCCTACCCATTCACCGCCTCTGTCTTCAATAGTGGAAGGGTACATTCATTCTGCCGAAGGCAATACTTTGGGGAAGGGACCCGCAGTTCTGCCAAGGCGGTGGACTCCGTTTAGATGGCAACGATCTTGCAGGGAAAACTCAAGCCCCATCACAGTGAGGCAACCTCTGAACATCACCCTTTCAACTCCCCGTTACGCCATCCAACCCACCACTTCCACCACGTAGGAGTTCGCGCTTTCCATCGCGATTCTTCTTCAGGACTCGTTCTACACGCTTCTTTTCTTGCCGCGCGCATTCTTTCCCTCTTTTTTTCGTTTCGTGACATCCGGGACCCCCAGGTCGCCGGCGCCCTCGTGGCAAGGGCTGCCAAAGGCCTCAGCCGGCCAGCTGCTTCCACACCACCTTCGTTTCATCGTCGCTACGTGTAAACTGGACTTCTAGCTTGCTAATCAGTCGCTCACTTCATTTTTTGCGACGTTTACGACCCCTGCTTTTCCGTTTACACGAGTCACTCGCCTACGTGCTCGGCCATCTTCGACGTTTTTCTTTCATCTAGAAAAACCAACCACGACACCGCAATCATGTCGAACGTGTTTTTCCCATATTCCAAGGCGCCCTTGCGCACCATCAAGGAAATCCAGTTCGGCCTTTTCGCCCCCGAAGAGATCAAGCGAATGAGCGTCGTACACATCGAATACCCCGAGACATTGGTAGGTCGGAATCGGTTTATTAAATCTTTGCGCGTACGCATGGCAGAGAAGTATCCTTTCCTGCGCGATGAGAGGTCATTTGCTAACCTTTTGGAAGGACGATCAACGCCAGCGGCCTCGAACGAAGGGTATCAACGACCCGCGTCTCGGTACGATTGATCGTCAATACAATTGCGAAACCTGCGAAGAGGGTCCAAAGGAATGTCCTGGTCATTTTGGTCACATCGAGCTTGCGTCTCCGGTCTTCCACATCGGTGCGTGCATCCTTGCCTCTGTTTCCTCTCGTTTTTTTTTTTGCTCTTACTGACTCTCGGCCCCGCTGCAGGTTTTTTGACCAAAATCAAGAAGCTTCTTGAGACAGTCTGCCACAACTGTGGAAAGATTAAGGCCAACACGGTTAGTCATCCCTACTGGGATGGCAAATCTTGAGTGGCTCATTTTGCTGACACGTGGATACCAGGCCGATCCCAAGTTCATAGAAGCCCTCCGATACCGTGATCCCAAACGACGCTTCGACGCCATTTGGCGACTTTCCAAGGATGTCTTGGTCTGTGAAGCCGACGAACCAGACGACGACGAACTTTCAAAGGACGCCCCGAAGAAGCGCTCTCATGGCGGCTGCGGTAACGCCCAACCCACTGTTCGCAAGGAAGGAATCGCTCTTGTCGGAACATGGAAGCCCAGCAAGGCTATGATGGAGGACGAGATGGCTCAGCCAGAGAAGAAAACCATCACCCCTGCGATGGCACTGAACATCTTCCGGAATATCTCTCATGAAGACACCCGCATCATGGGTCTCAGCAACGACTACGCTCGTCCCGAGTGGATGATCCTCACCGTCCTGCCGGTTCCTCCCCCAACCGTTCGCCCCAGCGTTGTTATGGGAACCACGAGTGGTGCCCGTGGTGAGGATGACTTGACTTACAAGCTTGCCGAAATTGTCCGCGCAAATTCAAACGTTCAGCGCTGTGAACAGGAAGGAGCACCAGAGCACGTAATCCGTGAATTTGAGTCCCTCCTTCAGTACCACATCGCTACTTACATGGACAACGACATTGCTGGCCAGCCCACGGCCATGCAGAAGGGAAACCGCCCCGTCAAGGCTCTCCGCAGTCGTTTGAAGGGTAAAGAGGGTCGTTTGCGTCAGAACTTGATGGGCAAGCGTGTCGATTTCTCGGCTCGTACCGTTATCACTGGTGACCCTAACCTGTCACTTGATGAAGTCGGTGTCCCCTTGTCAACCGCTCGTGTTCTCACTTACCCGGAGGTTGTCACCCCATACAACATTGAAAAGCTGCAGCAGTTGGTCGCAAATGGACCCAACATTCACCCCGGTGCACGATATATTGTTCGTGACAACGGTGAACGTATTGATCTTCGTCACGCCAAACGTGCTGGTGCTCAGCAGTTGCTCTATGGCTGGAAGGTCGAGCGCCATCTCGACGACGGTGATTATATTCTATTCAACCGTCAGCCATCTTTGCACAAGGAATCCATGATGGGTCACCGCGTCCGCGTCATGCCCTTCTCCACCTTCCGCATGAACTTGTCTGTCACCAGTCCTTACAACGCTGATTTCGATGGTGACGAGATGAACTTGCACGTTCCCCAGGGTGAAGAGGCGCGTGCTGAGCTTGCCGAGCTGACGCTGGTTCCCAAGAACATTGTTTCTCCCCAGCGTAACGGTCCTCTGATGGGTATTGTGCAGGATACCCTTTGCGGTATTTACAAGATCTGCCGGCGTGACACATTCCTTAGCAAAGATCAGGTCATGAACCTTATGCTCTGGGTTCCTGACTGGGACGGTGCAATTCCTCCGCCTGCTATCCTCAAGCCCCGGCCGCGCTGGACTGGAAAGCAAATGATCAGCATGGCTTTCCCCTCTGGCCTCAACCTTCTGCGTGTTGATAAGGATGGTTCGCCTTTGGCTGAGAAGTTTAGCCCCCTCAACGATGGTGGCCTCTTGATCCATGGTGGACAGCTCATGTACGGTATGCTTTCCAAGAAGACCGTCGGTGCTAGCGGAGGCGGTGTCATTCACACCATCTTCAACGAGTATGGCCCCGATACTTGTGTCAAGTTCTTCAATGGAGCCCAAACCATCGTTGGTTACTGGTTGTTACACCATGGTTTCAGTATCGGTATTGGTGACACAATCCCCGATCAGAATACCATCGAAAAGATCGAGGAAGCTGTCCGGAATCGCAAGCAGGAGGTCGAAGAAATCACTGCTAGCGCTACCGAGAACACCCTGGAGGCCCTTCCGGGTATGAACGTGCGTGAGACATTCGAAAGCAAGGTCTCTCGTGCTCTGAACAACGCTCGTGACGAGGCTGGTGATGCGACCGAGAAGAGTCTGAAGGATTTGAACAATGCTATTCAGATGGCGCGCTCTGGCTCCAAGGGTTCCGCAATCAACATCTCACAGATGACTGCCCTTGTCGGACAGCAATCCGTCGAAGGCAAGCGTATTCCGTTCGGATTTAAGTATCGTACCTTGCCTCACTTCACTAAGGATGATTACTCCCCCGAGTCTCGTGGATTCGTGGAGAACTCTTACCTTCGTGGATTGACTCCCACTGAATTCTTCTTCCACGCCATGGCTGGTCGTGAAGGTCTCATTGATACGGCCGTTAAGACCGCCGAAACAGGTTACATCCAGCGTAAGCTGGTCAAGGCACTTGAAGAAGTCATGGTTAAATACGATGGCACTGTTCGCAATTCTCTTGGCGATATCATTCAGTTCATCTATGGAGAGGATGGTCTCGATGGAGCCCACATCGAGAACCAGCGGGTTGACCACATCAAGTGCTCCGACGAGAAGCTCAGGGAACGATTCCGTGTGGATGTCATGGATCCCGAGTGCACCCTTGGTCCGGAGGTTTTGGAGCAGGCTAACGAAATTGCTGGTGACATCGAGGTACAAAAGTACTTCGATGAAGAATGGGAGGCTATTCTCAAGGATCGTGAGTTCTTGCGCACCGTGGTCAAGGAGGATGAGGAGATGATGCAGCTTCCCATCAACATTCAGCGTATCCTTGAGATGGCTAGAACTACTTTCCGCATTCGCGAGGGCACAATCAGTGATTTGCACCCTGCCGAGGTCATTCCTCAAGTGCAGCAGCTCTTGGACCGCCTGGTCATCGTTCGTGGCGATGACCCAATTTCCCGGGAGGCGCAGGTCAATGCGACTTTGCTTTTCAAGGCGCAATTGCGCAGTCGCCTGGCTTTCCGCCGTCTTGTCACGGACTACTCGCTCAATAAGCTTGCATTCCAGCATGTTCTTGGCGCCATCGAAAGTCGCTTCGCTCGTGCGGCTGCTAACCCTGGTGAAATGGTCGGCGTTCTTGCGGCTCAGTCCATTGGTGAGCCCGCTACGCAGATGACCCTGAACACCTTCCACTTTGCTGGTGTTTCGTCTAAGAACGTTACGCTTGGTGTACCGCGTCTGAAGGAAATTCTCAACGTTGCCACAAACATCAAGACGCCATCCATGACTGTCTACCAGGAAGGCATGCAGACTCACGACAAAGAGGGAGCCAAACTTCTCCGAAGTCTTGTGGAACACACCAGTCTTCGCTCTGTCACGGAATCGACTGAGATCTACTATGATCCCGATATTCAGTCGACCGTTATTGAGAACGATCGGGATATGGTCGAATCGTACTTCATTATCCCTGAGGATAACGCCGAGGATGCGTCCCGGCAGTCCAAGTGGCTGCTCCGTATCATTCTCAGTCGACCTGCTCTTCTTGACAAGGGTCTCACAGTCCAGGACGTCGCTGCTAGGATCAAGGGTCAATACCCTCGTGACATTGCAGTCATCTTCAGTGATAACAACGCCGATGAGCAAGTCATTCGTATCCGACAGGTTCAAGACTACAAGGATGATGATGACGAGGACGTTGAGTACGACGTTACACTCAAGAAGCTAGAGCAGCATCTTCTGGACACTTTGACCCTTCGTGGTGTTCCCGGTGTTGACCGTGCTTTCATCAACGAGAAGAGCAAGGTCCGTGTCATCGAAGATGGTTCGCTCCACACTAGCAAGTCCGATCCCCTTTGCAAGGAGTGGGTTCTGGAAACCAGTGGATCCTCCCTCGCTGCTGTTCTCTCGATTCCTGGTGTTGACGCCTCGCGCACATACTCTAACCAGTTTATTGAGATTTTCGAGGTCTTTGGTATCGAGGCTGCCCGTACAGCGGTGCTTCGCGAGTTGACACTGGTGCTTGCCTTCGATGGTTCTTACGTTAACCACCGTCACTTGGCTCTTCTTGTCGATGTTATGACCGTTCGTGGTTATCTGACTCCTGTTACTCGTCATGGTATCAACCGTGCCGACAACGGTGCTCTCATGCGTTGTTCGTTCGAAGAGACTGTCGAGATTCTTCTCGAGGCTGCTGCTTTCGGAGAGCTTGATGACTGCCGCGGTGTGTCGGAGAACTTGATCCTTGGACAGATGGCGCCCGCCGGAACGGGTGAGTTTGACGTCTTCTTGGACCAGGGCTTACTCAACACTGTCGTGTCCAATAATGCCCGCTTCAGCCTTATGGGTGCGGTTGGCGCCAAGGATGCCATCCTTTCGGACGGTGCTGCTACCCAGTACGACACTGGATCTCCTATGGCCAGCTCCCCCTACATGGCCGGTGGCGATCCCGATGCGACGTTCTCGCCCATGCACCAGATTGGGCAAGAACCCACTGGAGGATTCACTGAGTACCAGCCTTCCGCTGTTAGTGGTGCCTTTGGTGGGCTCAGCCCTGCTGCTCGCAGCCCCATGTATGCTCCGACAAGTCCGTTCAATACCAGCCCGACGTCTCCTGGATACTCTCCATCGTCCAGCTACTCTCCTACCTCTCCAGGCATTGGCATGATGACCTCCCCTGGCTTCTCGCCTTCCAGCCCCTCCTTCCAGCCAACATCCCCGGCTTATTCCCCAACTTCGCCTGCATACGGCCAAGCCTCGCCAACTTCGCCGTCATACTCACCGACGTCTCCTGGGTTCTCGCCAACTTCACCCAACTACAGTCCGACATCACCCAGTTTCAGTCCGGCCTCGCCAGCGTTTAGTCCGACTTCGCCGAGCTACAGTCCTACCAGTCCAGCGCTTGGTGGTGCTCGACACTTGTCACCCACATCCCCAACTTCTCCTAAGTACACACCCACTTCGCCTGGCTGGTCTCCCACGAGCCCCCAATCATACTCGCCAACTTCACCGAACTTCTCTGGTTCCCCGACGTCGCCCACCTCTCCGGCTTACAGCCCGACATCTCCGGCTTACAGCCCTACGTCGCCTCGCCAGTGATCATCGGATGAACGCGAGCTACCTGTCTCAGGCTGGTGCTGCTGTACATCTGTACCATCATCGAACGCAAGTTCACATAAACAACAAAAAGAATCTTTTCGCGCGACACATCTCGGAAATGATTGATAATTTTTCTTTCACGATATCGGGATTCGTTTCCCCTTCACTGTATCTGTTTACTCTTTTCGAAACCAACGCCATCGTGCTTCGTTCGGTTTCTAGCCACCAGTTTTTCGAGATTGCTTTTTGCCCCATTTCGCAGGCGCACATGGTTAACGCCCCATTGTGAACAAGGAACTTTGCACACTACTTCAGTCAGAACCAAGGACTCAATCCATGGACGCTGTCAGAAGAAGGTGCAGGCTTTGATTGCGACTGGGGGAGCTCTGGCTGCCGGTTTTATTTTATTGCATGGACAGCGCTCTGGGGATGTATTTTGCTTGCTTTTCCCGTTCTGTACACACCCTACCAAGGGGCCGAGGAAATTCAAACAATGATAATGATATTTCCAATTTCCTTTGCCATAATTTGTAAAGAGATCAATAGGATCTTGTAGAGTACTTTGATCACATGCAATGTACAACGTAGAACGTGGCGGCCACTATCACGGAGCTGATGTAGATGCTCACCGCTTCTATGATGTGTCGGAGGGCCTTCATGTTGTTGTATCATTGACTAAGGATCTAGAATATATAGTTATTACAGTGCACTTAAATAGCTCTAGAAGTCTTGGTACAATAACTGAGAGAACGAAGACAAACGGTGCAAGTCCCATGTACTGTGTACACAGGTGATTCGCCGTCGGCAGAACGAAGCTCCGTCAAGCCAAGTGGCCCGTACTCTGGATCTACATCATCTCCGTAATCTCACGATCCCCAACGCCGTTACTTTCGTGATCTACACTGCCTTAGAGTCGCAATGTGCTTCTCACCCAAAACTCATATCCGTATCTCGCAGGCATTATGAGGACGCCGCTATCTCACCTACTCTCGGCCCTGCGTAAGTCCCGCCCGCCCCTGCAGGACCACAACGGCTGACATCCCTTTGCAGTGCTATTACAGACATGCGCAGCTGGGCCTAGCCAACTGCTCACTGACCAAACAAGGTCTACGGCACTCGGAAACGATGCTGATCACCAACTCCCGTTCGCTGCCGAGCAACCAGAACCCCGACCCATGACCCGTGAGTAGAGGGCTCCGGCGCATTATCCTTTAGCGCCTTGTCATTTGCCGTCTGATACTGATCGAAATCATTGTCTGAAAATAGAACGGGTCGAAAATGCTTGGAATATCCTTCGAACATCAAATAACGCAGTTCTGCAACCGGAGAAGTCAAGAGGATTACTAGGGACTGCCGTACACTTTGGCCGCCAAACGGTCCGGTTTCTATTTTTGAATGGCCCTAACACCGGAAAGACCGAGCGAAAACTGGATACAAAGCTCGCAGGGGCAGTGGAGGAGTTGAAAGCGGTCGCAGATGAAGACCGCGACCCAGACGCGATGTTCCTGTTGGCCGAGATGAACTTCTATGGCAACTTCTCCCACCCCCGCAATTTCAAAGAGGCTTTCCGTTGGTATCACGAATTAGCCTGGCTGGACGGAAACAACACAGCCCAAAATATGGTCGGATTCATGTATGCCACAGGCATTGGGGGTGCAGTCGAACGCGACCAGGCAAAGGCTCTCATGTATCATGAATTTGCAGCAGAATCAGGAAATACCCGCTCGCAAATGACGCTCGCATACCGCTATCATACCGGCATTGGAACACCTAAGGACTGTGATCATGCGATCTTCTACTACAAGAAAGTCGCAGATAAGGCGGTTGAGCACTACCGCTCTGGCCCTCCGGGTGGTAGCGCTATGATTCGAGAGTCTTATCGTTGGGCAGATGAAGAAGGTGGTGTCTACGGCCCGGGAGCCAGTGTGTCGAGCTCGGGTCAAAATGCACGGGACTCTGCCCATACTGCGTCTGAGGCTAGTGTCGAAGACATACTAGAATACTTGGATCTCATGTCCCGGAAGGGTGAACTAAAGGCCACTTACACTCTCGGCAAGATGAATTTCGAGGGAGCTCGAGGCTTGCCGCGTAACTTCCGACGGGCCATGAGGTATTTCAAGGTTGTGGCAAAGAAATATTGGAACAAGGATGGCTCCGTCCACTCGAACCCACCTGCCGGGCTTGATAAGCTGGCATCCAAGGCCGCAGGACATATTGGGTTGATGTATCTTCGCGGCGAAGGCGTGGAGCAACACTATCCTACTGCTCTCACTTGGTTCCGACGTGGCGTTGCGAACGGTGATGCTTTGTGCCAGCATTGGATGGGCCTGGTGTACCTCAATGGTTACGGGGTTCCACAGGATGGTTACAAAGCGTCTCAATATTTCAAAGCGGCGGCAGAGCAGGACCTCCCGGCCTCAGAATCACGATTGGGCGCTCTGTTCCTGGATCAAGGAGACGTGGCTACCGCAACACGTTACTTTGAGTTGGCTGCCCGCTGGGGTTGGATGGAGGCATACTATTACCTGGCCGAGATGGCCAATTTTGGCATCGGTAGACAGCGACACTGTGGCGTGGCCGCCGCCTACTACAAAATGGTTGCCGAGAAAGCAGAGATCATACACTCGGCCTTCCCGGAGGCAAACGAGGCTTACGAAGCTGGTGACAAGGAGGGCGCACTTATCCCATCTATGATGGCCGCAGAGCAAGGCTACGAGAACGCACAGGCTAATGTGGCTTACCTGCTCGACGAGCATCGCTCTGTACTCTCCTTGAACTCCATTCTCCCGTGGGTTGGAAAGGCTCGCTCCTCGCTACTGCGCAATGCGCAGCTGGCGTTGATCTACTGGACCCGTTCTTCGAAGCAAGCTAACGTTGACTCGTTGGTCAAGATGGGTGACTATTACCTGTCTGGCACGGGTACAGCCATTGACGCCGACAAGGCCTCGACCTGTTACCACAACGCCGCTGAAGCGCATCACAGTGCGCAGGGCTATTGGAACCTAGGCTGGATGCATGAAAATGGAGTTGCAGTCGACCAGGATTTCCACATGGCCAAGCGGTATTATGATTTGGCTCTCGATCTCAGTCCCGAGGCGTATCTACCTGTGAAGCTCAGTCTGATCAAACTCCGTATCCGTGGATATTGGAATCGCATCACTAACGGTGATGTCAATCCCATCCGCGAGGATGAAGGTAAAGCAGCCTCTTGGTCCCCTTGGCCCCTCGAACTCAAGCCCATTTGTTTAGCTCGTCGCTCACACTTTTTATTAGAATCGAGACCCCGTCGCACATTCAGTGAGTGGGTCAAAACCTTCATCGAGAACGACGAGGAAAGCTATTACGAAGACCTTTACGATCAACAACGGGGCGAGGATGATGAGTATCGTGGCTTGGAATCTGAAAGCCACGAGGATGGCTACTATGATGACTTGGATCTCGATATCGACGAGGGTATGCTCGAGGGTCTCTTAATTGTTGGATTGGCAGCTGCGCTGTTGGTCATGGTTTATTTCCGACAACAGCAGCAGCTACGCAATCGACAAAACGAGAACGCCAATGGCAATGCCAATCCCCAAAATGGTAACGGGAATGCCAATGACCGTGGCTTTTTCCCTCAGCCTGGTGATCCCGAGTTTGGGCAATGGGTAGCAGGAGGAGTTGGCCATTGACACTAGCGTGTATACATTTCAGCACGTCATTTTTGTAAATAAATTCCTTATCGATAAGCCTCCATCTCCGCATCTTCATTATCTCTATTCTCCAAGTTCCGAGCTTCTTGTCTCCACTCTCTTTGATCAACATATCAACTTCGTAGTCTGCAGTCATCGGATGCATCATGAGTCACCAACCTAGCAAGCGTCGTCGCACCGATGCAGCTGCCGCTCTTTCCAAACCATTTAAATCCCCACTGCGCAGACCTGTGCCGACAAGCACCAACGACTTACCATCTACACCTGTTGCATCCAAGACTCCCATCGGCACACAAGTCTCAGCGACTCCTACTACACCTCGGGAGCCCCAACTGGACCCGAATCCACCCCACCCCGCAACTCCAGTACCTTCTCAGCGCAAGCGCAGTCGTTACTCATTAGAAACACCGCTAGCACCTCCGGACCCAGAGGTCCTGGAACTGCAAAAGCAACAAAGAGCACTCCAGTCCCAGGTCGACGCACTCCGCGCAAAACTGGAAACAGCAAACCAAGCACTGAAACTCGAGTCCTCGACCAAGACAACCGAGCTGCAAACCCTTATCTCGAAATGGCGGCTCGTCAGCCAAGATGCAGCAGATGAGGTGTTTGTCGGTGCTAAGGAGCGGGTGTCTGGAATGGGAGGTCTGACGGCCTGGAAAGCGCGTTCGAAGGCTGATGCGTCCCGGTGGGATTTCGATGGTGAAAGACATGAGCGGGAGCATGCTGATGATGATGAAGCGGGTTATGACTATGCAGAGTCATCTGAAGGGCTGCAGGATGAGAAGGATGATGCTGAGCAAGGCGCGGAGGGGGGTCAAGATGAGGTAGGTTGATGCTGATATTGCTGTGGTGCTGGGTACTAACGTCGTTGCTTAGGAGTTTACCATGGAATACATGCTCAAGAGTCTCCATGTTGATCCTAAGTTGATCGGATATGATATCAAGGCTCAGGGATGGATCAAGAACTGAGGCTATTGGGCTATCTTGATATGGCGTTTGTTGACTTGAGGAGGTGAGGAGGGGATTTCATGACTATGATGTACTTTTATGACCTGTTTCACTATATCCACGGCTTATCTTATATCTAATAGAAGAAGCATTCAATACGAGATCTAGAAGCAATGCTTATCTTCGCCTAGACCTTCCTATTCCAGCGCCCTAATAAGATGGACCGACCTTATCGCGTTCCCCGCATTTCCTCTCTTCTACATACACCTGCATGTCGCGCCCCCTGAAGCCTAGAGATATAGCCTGCGCGCGCTGTTTCCGACACAAGCGAAAATGTGACCATGCGAAACCTTCATGCGGCGAGTGTCGTCGCAAAGGCGCAGAATGTTTACCTGCTCGGTCCCGTAAAGCGGGAGATAACATCACAATTCCGCTGGAATACTTGAGACAACTTGAGCAGCAGGTTGCCGAGTTGGATCGTCGATCTAGTGTAACAGATTCGACAGTTGAAACCTGCGACGTCGGGGTCCAAACGGATCTCGCGAAGGAAGATGGCAATGGGCTCGATATTGTACCGAACTACTTGATGGCCGACCAGAATATCAGCAGCGGAGCAAATAACGTGGATTCTCTCATGCCACTACTGCCTGAACTGCAACAGGCTGTTCAAGGCCCTCCGTGCACTCCTCCATCTTTTTCTTCAGACGAATTTTCTCTATTTCCTGAAGCGACGTTTGAATTTCCATGGATGGAGATGTCGCCCTCAATCTCCCTTACGGGTGATGATTCTCCTTGGCTGAAAGATCTCTACACCAACGTATACTTCGCCGTCACTCACCGTGAATGGCCCTTTTTAAATGAAGCAGCGTGGAAATCATGGCACGCTGATGCGATCCTGGACGGCCAGGAGGAATGGAAAGCTTTCTTCCTGCATATGGTATATGCTATTGGCGCATCCCTTTGCAATAACATCCAGCGAGACCCCTCGCACCTAGTCCGCGCAAAAGAATTCTATGCCTCGGCCATGAGATACTACCCTCATATCGTGGTGCATCCGTCTATGGTGCTGCAAATTCAAGCCTCGCTATTCATGATACTCTACGCTATGCATTCTCCCTCCTCTGAGGAGATAACCACGAGCGTCTCTTCTGTGGTACCCTTTTTGCACAGCCTCGATGACAGAAATGCGCAAACATGTCTCAATACGCGACGACAATGGCTTGATGACCGAGTCTGGAGAAGTACTGTCGGAGAATATGTTTATCACTTGCTATATGCTCAATGAGATTATCGTCTCTGGCTGGGACAGGCCTGCATCAGATGTGTACAGGGTTATTGACGATGATGTGAGTTACCTCTCCATGCTACCTGTTAATTGCCCACGGTCACGAACCTGAAAAACTTAGTTGTGTACATTGGGAGACTCCCTCCAACCCACCCGCAGCACAAACCCTGCTATAAGTCATCTATTTCGATTACGCAAGATCCAAGCCAGCATCAGAAGATCGCGGGAGAGCCGGTCCCGCAATGCACTGAACAGAGACGGCAAAAGCTACAGCTCCTCTTTCAAGTCCGCTCTCGATAGATGGCGACAAGAGATTCCACACTATGAGTCAGATAATGCCCAATACGGCTACCTACATCCGATATGGATGCGAAAGCTGTATGTATACAGCCTCTTGATTCTGATCGAAGAGAAGCGGGACTTCATCGAGATGGAGGGAACAGAGGAAATCCTTGCGACGATCGCGGAAGCATGCCACAATTTCCGGCGTTTGCAGGAAGATGGACATGTAATGTGCTACACATGGTCTGCAGTAAGTAAAACGATCTTGAAATTTTGGATGTAGTGTCATTCATTATTGACTGGCGATTTCATCCACTAGCTTGTTTTCCAATTCCGAGCAGGCATCATGATGCTCTACATTGTCTGGGCTACAATGGCTATGACTGATATTCAGGGTCAAGAACGGATCAGACAAAACTCCCAACAGGGCATTGCTACTTGTGTCGCGAATATGGCGGGCTTCGTTGATCGGTGGAAGGATGCGACGCCGTATATGAATGTGCTTGAGTTCATTCGGCAGAAGATTATGAGGGATTTTGGCTCATTCGAGGAGATACCTAGTGTGCCTATATCTCTGGGAGAGGCTGAGTTGCAATTGGCGCAATTGAAGAAGAATTATTTGCATCGAGCTGTTTTGGGGATGATTGAGGATATGTTGTATGTGGGGTGTACACAGCAGGACTCTTTGGGGGATGATCCAAAGGTGATGAGATAACAAGGAGGCTTTGTACTGTTAGGAGGGTGAGATATACATAAGACGGGGGATGGATCGGCCGGAGAGGTTGCAGAAGAGAGTTCATTGCATTGAGACATCAAATGGTTACAATAATATCAACTTGCCCGCTGTCGAGCCAGCCTTCGTACGAGCTGTGATGATAACGATTGTCTGCCTCAAAGCAGGACTCGACCACCTCTCCCAACTTTGATCACGTTCTGACGTAGGATATGAAGCCACAAGGGACCATCTCTCGCCCTCTATTACCGGCCTGAACGGTTCACCATTAACATAACATTCCAGACTCTCCAGCCCAGCATCATTTGGCACGATCGAACCCTGGATCTGAACCACAACATTGGAGTCTTGGACTTTCTTTCCCTGCGTTTCCACCACCAACTCAACAGTCGACCGAGAATTCCACGGCTGAACGTCTTGACCGACCTCAATACTATCCGAGTCAAGAGCAGGCACCAGTGGTGGCTGAACGCGTGCCTTCATTGCCTTCTCAAAAGCAAAGCCATACTTAAGCAGACTGTTATCATCGTACCCCTTCCCAGCGAATGTGAGGTTGACAGGCATCCCAGTATCATGCATAACACCCATCGGCACAGAAATGGTCGGCACACCAAGATGACGCATAGGCCGGTTTCCATTCGAGTACTTGACGCCATTACTCCAAGCGAAGAGCGACGCCGCCTCATCGCAGTCCGCATTTGCAGCACCGACATCACCATTAGCAGGGAAAACCACAGCATCCAGCCCAAGCTTATCCATCCAGTTTTCAAGTGTTTCCTTGCGCGCATTCTCTAGAGCTTGGATCGCCTGTTGAAGACCGGGGATGTCGTAGACAGATTCAGGCCTTCGTTGCGGGTACTGGACCATTTCCTCCCATCGTAACGCATTGGCTGCATCAGGCGCACCCTTGAGCGACCCTGGTGCAAGCGGGAAAATAGTCGCTGGATCAACCTTAGCCAGAGATTCGAACCCCTTCTGACCGTTGTTGACCAGGAAGTCGTCCCAGATATGCGCGACTAGCTCGCACCGCTCCAGTGCAGGCCAGCCTTCTGGTAGTCCTGCCACGGTGACGAGCTGGCCCTTGTCTGCGTTTGCTTCGTAGGTTGTTACGAGTGGGAAGTCTGTCTCGATGACTTCTGCACCGCACGCTTCCAGTACCGTCCTGGCATGCTGCCAGAGTTTGATGATAGAGGGTCGAGTGTTGACTCTGCTAACTGGTTTAATGGAAGAGTCATCGCCGCCAATGTACATTGATGGCACACCGATACGCTTCCCGCGCAAGGATATATCGTCCTGTAGTGTCGAATACGTCTCTGGTCGGAGTGTGTCAATTGAAGGGAGAGAGACGAGTTTCTGTTGCTGATAGAAATCGCCCGTGGGCCTAGCATCGGCGACGGCTAGAACGTCAAGCACACGGAACATATCCGCCACAGTCCTGGTATGAGGTACCAAGACATCACACGTAATGTATAGCGGCCAGACACCACGAACAGGAAGAAGACCCTTAGAAGGCGTGTAAGCCACAACGGCATTATTCGACGCCGGCGAACGACCCGAAGAAACAGTCTCGCTACCCAGCGAAAAAGCACAAAAGTTCGCCGCCGTCGCAACAGCCGATCCATTCGATGAACCGGATGCATACGCCGCAGCCAGATACTGACTGTTATACGGGCTTTCGGCGCGCCCGTATGATCCGCGCTGCATGCCGCCGTACGCCATTGCGGGCATGTTCGTGCGGCCTAGAAGGACAGCGCCTGCCTCGCGGAGAAGCTGGATACATGCGGCATCTTCGTTGGCGATGAGGGTCTCGAATGCAGGCGATCCACATGCGACTGTCATGCCCTTGACTTTGATGCTGTCTTTTGCTAGATAGGGGATACCCTCTAGTGGACGGGGCGGTAGACCTGCCGCGCGCCGGGCATCGGAGGCGGCTGCTTCGTCGAGCGCGGAGGGGTTGAGGATTGGGATGGCGGAGAGCTTTAGGCTGTTTGCGTCGTAGACGCTGATTCGTCGGAGGTATTTGGATACCAATTCCACGCTAGAGAGAGAGCCTGAGGAGAGTGCGGAGTGGAGTTCGGAGATACTGGCGTCTTGTAGAGAGAATTCTTGTGGAGGCATGATGGTTGATGTGGGTCTCTCTTGAGTCTTGTCAAATGTTGTATGGGAGAACAATGAGTGAGTTAACTGATTCTATCTGACTTATAGTCTCGTCTTTATCTCATCTTAGCCGTTTAACAGCGAAGGGCAAGTCCATCCTTACCCCCCACGTTGACGCACTAAGCGGACAAAAGTCCGCTGTGGCTCGGACTAAAGTCCGCGATCATCGCAAAGATAATCTTTCAACCTCTCAAGCAATGACAAGAGATGATAAGATATCACAAGATCACTTATAATGAGGCTAACATGGGCTTATCTACTTGGCGATGGGCCCTAGCCCCCGCGAGTTTCTTATAATAAGCCGGCATTACACCACGGGGATCTCAGAATGTCGCGCAAATTGAACTTGCTACATACAACAAACCACATTTACGATGGAAGTCAAAGAGACAAAAGCAGAACAAACCAAGGAGAAAGATGTCGCGTTCGGCGAGACTCGCGATATCGCAGGGACTCACGATATTGGAGTCAATCTGTTTCTGGAGGCAGAGCAATTGACGGCCGAAGAACTGGAGACTGAGGGGGCCCAGGTGCTGAAGATCCTCGATTGGAGGATTATGCCAATAGTGAGTAATCCTACTGACATATGGTGTTATTCATACTAACATTCTCTTCTCTAGCTCTACTTAACCTATGTTATTCAATTCCTCGGTGAGATTGAGCACTCCATTGCCCTCTTGATGGAGAGCTAACCCATTGCCTGTGCAGACAAATTATCACTCAATTATGCATCTGCATATTCCCTAATCCCAGATCTCGGCCTCGAAGGCCAACGATATTCATGGGTTGCTGCCATTTTCAATTTCGGCTACCTCTTCTGGGCCTTGCCAGCCAACCTTCTGATCCAGCGATTGCCGGTCGCAAAGTATATGGGATGCATGCTTCTTATATGGAGTGTCCTCGTCACTGCCCATGTTGGAGCAAAGAACTACCCAGGAATGCTGGTCTTGCGATTCCTACTGGGCATGGCTGAAGCCGGAGTCAGCCCATGCAGTGAGTAGCCCTGACATAACACACTACAGTGACTAGTTATTCCCAAAACACCAAGAACAATGACTAACATACCCCTTTTCCAGTGATGAACATCACCTCCATGTTCTACAAGCGCTCAGAACAACCATTCCGCATGGCAATCTGGCTCAGCGCAAACGGCATGGCCACAATGGTCGGAGCCCTACTAGGCTTCGGCCTCGGCCACTCCCACAACACCGCACTACACAGCTGGCAACTAATCTTCCTAACAATCGGCCTCATGAACTTCGCCGGCGGCTGCCTATTCCTCTGGCTAATGCCGGACTCACCCAGCTCCGCCCGCTTCCTAACCCACCGCCAGCGCGTGGTAGCCGTGCAGCGCGTCGCCTCAAACATGATCGGCGTAAAGACGCCAGACATCAAGCCCCGACAGGCCCTGGAGGTCCTCTACGACTTCCGCGTCCTCTCCTACGCCGCGGTCGGCATCGCCTGCGGCGTCATCAACGGCGGCTCATCAAATTTCGCATCCGCCTTAATCAAAGGCTTTGGCTTCAACGGCATCTACACTACACTCCTGCAACTTCCCACCGGCGCGATCGAAGCCGTGATCGTCCCCATCTGCGGCCTTATTGCTACGTACGTTAAGGACTCGCGCTGTATCGTCCTCGCAGTCGTCTGTCTCATTCCCTTCGGCGGTTTGCTCGGTATCCGTTTCACAAGTCTCGACCACCCCTGGACGCTGGTCGGATGTACCTGGCTACAGTACCTCGTCGGTGCCCCGGTTATTATCTCGTGGAATCTGCTCGCTACCAATGTTGCCGGACACACGAAACGGGCTGTTGCTAATGGGCTTTGGTTCACTATGTATGCGGCTGGGAATGTCGCTGGGGCGAATATCTTCTTTGCGAGGGAGTCTCCGCGCTATTTCTCCGGTCTGCTGGGCTTGTTGATTTGCTATGCTGGTATCATCGTTCTAGCTGGTGGGGCTTATGTGTCCATGAGGTGGGAGAATGCTCGGAGGGATGCTACGATGGCTGTGGGGGATCATGCTGAACATGTATCCAACCAGGCTATCTTGGATGGGTTTAAGGATATCACGGATATGGAGTCTAAGCACTTTAGGTATGCGCTTTGAGTGTTAGCGTATGAATTATTGGAATCCTCGCTACTTGAACATTCCAAAACCCACGGGAACCTAGTGTTGTGGTGAATGTGAAAGATGATTTACGATCAACGTGATTCTGTATGATTATTCACATGTAGGATCTTCCGTAGTATTTGCTCCTGCCAAGTGCTTCATGGACACAACGGCTGGTCTGCCTGTGAACATCGCAACTTTCGCAACTTTGGAAGTCGTGACGACATGGCGAAGGTCAGTTCCAGGGTCGCCGGTCTGATCAACTCTTGGGGAGTGGGGGGAAAGCGAAGTCCTGTTTTCTTCGCTGGACGAGAGATAGGTACATGTAACGATGACAGTCTACACCTGACTGCAGCTAGGGCACCATTGAAAAACCTCTTCGTAAGCTCCTCACATGCCATTGGAGCTTCGTAGTGGCAATTTGGTGAACTTTGAATGATCACGAAGTGGAGTGCGAAGAGCCCCAATGGCCCGATTTGATATGTTGTTTACTCCAAGGGAAAAACCGTCTCAACATGGTCGTCTAGCAACAACCACAGTCTCATACGGCGTTAAGCCAATATTGTCTTCAAAACTCAACTCAGAAAACGGTGACTGAGTAAACCGCGACTCATAATCCGGCCAATCCACCCTTGGCCCAAGCCAAATAATCATCTCCACAGCTTGATCGCCATATGTGTCAATGTACTTGGTGACGAGCTTCGGGTCACGAGGATAAACAAACATCCACGCAGCGGCTTGTTGGGCGGCATAGCAAAGGCCCCAGCCTCCGCCAACGATGTTCATGTCTTCTTCGGCAATGTACCGATTGATAGTGGAATCCACTTCGACCCCTGCGACTGACACATTTTTATCGCCGTGCACGATGAGAGCCTCAAGAAGACCCGATCCGCTACCGATTGAGATGGTAAAGGCGGGTTTTCGGGGGAGAAGCGCGGCGAGGTGGGTTATTAGAGTGCTGGAGATGCCTAGACAACAATCTGGAAATCTTGTGGGTGATGGAGAAAGCTGGTTTGAAATTTGGAATATGTTCATGTTTGGATTTCTTTTACTGGCAATTTGCGTCGGAGATTTGTTGAATTGAAGACTTTCTGAGGGTTGAAATTTGAGGGTATTGTGGGAACACGTGACTAGTCTTTCCTATGAGAGTGACGAGACCGTGTTAGCTGCTGCACTGTACAGGATCTGCTCATTCTGTATATGTCAATTATGGCTAGTATAATAGTATCGAGTCAAACTAGGTTGTTCTACCTATTGTTCCAAAGGTTGTGCGCCAATCAGCTTGAATATGTGGCCAATGAGTAACCGGTTGTTTCCTTGAACTATGAGACCTCTCATCCTACCATCTTCAGTTGGTTGCTATTTATGGCGATAGTTGACACGTACATATCAATCAGCGGGAGCACTGAAATTCCAAGGTTTTGCTGTAGGCTCAATACCAAATCAGGTTCACCCTTCATGCATACGACATGGATGATTCTCATCTCTTGCAGAAAGCATACAGCTACCACTTCTTCGATTGTCGTTTTTGATATCATATCTAGTTAGTACAATCCTGACACAATATCGAAGATGATCAGTACTCTGGATAGGTGACCTCTTGAGCAACAGCTGTGCCTTGACAGATCCATCCTCAAAGATGTACATGCGTCTTTTTCTCTTTTTTCCCCTGGAAGTTGAATGCGCAAATAAAAACAAAGGAAATAAAAAATAAGGTTCTATGTACGCAGTATGCAGGGTAACGGAGCCTAAAGAAGAACCATGCCAAAGTACACAGTAAATGGTTCGTCGTAGTTGGTCGTTCACGTGGGTAGAAGAGCCCTCTCTCCTGGAATCATGTAGCCTTCACGGATTGTATTTTGGTGGACCATTTATTCAGACGATCGTCAAGTAATTTACAAAGAAGCTGCCGTAGATATCAAGTTAGTTTGCTCGATTGCATCCGACGCTCACCTTACATACTTGGATATAGATCCTGAGCTCTTCTAACTTGTCCTCGCTTTTGACCATATCCGGTCTCCAAGATTCTTCAACACAGACATCCAAAACGTGCTGAAAGCGCCTTGATTCGTACCTGTGTTTTCGTGAGTGGTGTTTTCTCATATCGTAGCATTTCCTTTTCTTATCCTCGGGTTCCTGTGTGGTGTTAATTGTGATAGGTGTTTTCTTTGTCCATGAACAATCGTCGTTGTGTCGTCGGGTCCCCAGGTTCTCGTGTGGTGTTTGTCATCGTATTTTGTTTGTTCATGAATCGTCGTCGTCGTCGTCGTCGCCGGCGAGGCAAGGACCCGGCAACTATATCCTCATGTTCTTGTGTAGTGTTAATTGTGATGGTGTTTTCTTTGTCCATGAACAATCGTCGTTGTGTCGTCGTTTCCCCAGGTTCCCTTGTGGTGTTTGTCATCGTATTTTGTTTGTTCATGAATCGTCGTCGTCGTTGTCTTCGCAGGCGAGGCAAGGACCCGTCAACTATATAATCTTTCTCTTCACTTGTGTTGTTCATTCCTCTTCATCCATCGTGCTCTTCATCCATCGTGCGCTTCATTCATCGTGCTCTCCATCTATCTTCGTCTGCATTCATATTCAACTTTCTTTCTCTTCAATCACTGGTCTGTTCTCACACCTTGCTTCCTGGCGTCTTCCCGTTTTTGGTGACTCTAACGTGTTGTTTCCAGAGACATCTGACCAGCTGTGTTCCGACACTCATTTCCCCGACTGTCACCTATTATCCAACTCGTCAACAACTTAGGTAAGTTGAAGCACCCATCCATTCGTCACCACCCTGGTGCCTCGTCGCAGCACTCTCTAACTATAACGTCTCTCACAGTGCTTTGCTCCCTGTAAGCACTGCAAGATGGCTGCGAAGGCCAACCCGACTCCTCTTGAGATTGAGGAACAGAGGCGGAACGAAACTGTGGACTTCCTGCAGTCTTGCCTGTTGGCGGGTGGTAATATACAAAGGAAGGCGCAACTTGATCTGAATTTTCGTCGATGGTTGACGACAATCAAACAGCATGGCGAGGTCCCCTCTCGGGTTCCTGCATTTCTCTTTGGTGTCTTGATCCATTTTACCACCGCCAAGAAGGCGGAGGACATCAAGGACATCCAGACACCGGAAGCATTCACGGATTTAGAAAAATGGCTGGTGAAGGTTCGGGCCCTGATTGACGAAAAGGCAGACGAGAGGCTCCTCTGCCACTTGAGCAAGTTGCCTGGCGGAAAGGCAAAGGTGACTTCCCAAGAATTGCTCTCACCCGATTTAGGTAAGTACACTGCTCAACTCGGTCATCATTGAGTGACGTTGACCATACGAAACTCGGTAGAGAGCCTTGATCGCCCGCCTGTGAGTGTGAACTCCACCCGATCAGAACCATCCGCGCGAGAGATACGTGACGCCATCAGATCCGGTGACACAGAGCGCATGAACCAGATGCCAGAGGTGTTTTACTTGACTGGTAACATTGCCGGGACCGTTCGAGCACCATATTGGCATGTTGCCCTTGCGACGGATTCCCAAGGCGATCGCTTCCTGTCGGATGATGTCCTTGACCGCGCTCTCCCCAGGTGGAGACTTATTCTCAGTGGCGAAACAACCCCCGATGTAGCTTACTCGAAGACCGTCGAATCTTTCGGTGCGTGGCTGGCTGCCGAGCAGCGCAAGGCCAGTCGTCTCGGCAAGCCTTGGGCCCGAGTTCAGCCATCTACCACCGTTGAGGTCTCTGCGTCAACTCCGAAGACAGCAGGCTCTGATAAAACATCATCGGCCTTCCGCTCTCACCCTCGCTCCGGTGGTCATGCCTGCATGCCTTCCTCTGAGAAAGAAGATCCCAACGAGGTCGAACAAACTCGTCTGCTTCAAGAGATACTCGCGGAGACCAAAGAGACGAGGAAGGTGGTTCAAGAGTTTCTGGGTGCTCTTCAGGGACGAGGAGGTCAACTTTGATTAGGATTCCAAGAAGAACGAAAAGCGAAAACCAACAAAAAAAAAAAAACGGAGGCAATGAAATCATACGTCGCAATTTTCTGCTTTCTGCTTTGTGCTTTTTGGTTTTGATTTGCTTCAATTTGCAAGGAGAAGGTGAACCCGGGATGACGGAAAAGAGCAATTACTGGATGTGTGTGAGGATGTGTCCAGGCACCGCCGCCGAGAGTTCTATCCCTTGTAGATAGAGTGCGGGTTATGTGTAAGATGTTGTTTGACTATGTAACACACTACTTTTTGTAGGCTTGGTTTCACAATTGAATCTACAGTAGTCGGAGCACAGGCATCACCATGGGAATATGACTGGTTCTTTTGACAATTGGACACATCATCGTTATGCGCACATCCGCGCCAATAATCACATGGTATGGTATGGCAACAAACCGGAAGGGCACAACGTTGCTCCTCACCAAGTTTAGCAACTGTTCGACAATCGATTCTACGGATATAGGAGCTCTGGGTCTCTTGCCAGCTGGAATTCATCAGTGACATACTGTTGCAGGCATTGCCTTCTGTCTCAAACGGATAGTCGAAGCTGAGGCCCTCTGTTGCTAGGTTAGGACCACCTGAGACAATGTCAGGATTGCGAGGAATCAAACCGCATACGGAGCTATATAGATGATGATATAGTATTTTAGATCACTTTCGTACCAAACTATATAACTCTGAGGTCACCCATATAGGTTGCCTACCTTGGTACATTGGCTTTAAGCCTGGGCTTTGTACGCATGAATCACCCTTCGCTCAATTTGCCCAACATACCTAAAGCTATTCAGTATATCCGAAGGTAAAGGGACGACGAATCCGAAATAAACCCGAAAGTCCGGTACAGCCAGTGAGGATCGAGGTACGAACCAAAATTATCTCAAAATTGGTCCAATCCAGTAGTCTATTCCGTCTATGCGGCATACTTCCATAATATTTCCAACGGGGTATAATGACGGACTCCGAACCTGGGTGTTTCAGGTTGTCGGAGTGCGCAGGATTTCCGCAATATTGTATTGCATTCGAGTGATTTACCGTGTAGTAATACTAGCAGTAACAACAATAACAATTGTATTGGTTCCCACCGAATGAAAAGTACGGAATATTGGGCCCGAATTAACCGTTGAATCCGACGAAGGGCGGTGTGTTTAGGGCGCCACGCTAGCGGATGGAAGGCTGCCCGATTGCTTCTGCCGTGGTTCTAGCGCCAAAGCCAAGACCCGTTGTGTTCCGACTGAAACTTGAGAATCGCCACTGGTTTTGACATACTCTATTGATCCTCGAGTCGCCGTCAGGACGTGGGATGTCCCAGACGGTTCAAGATCTCGCAGAACTAAAAAGGGAAGGAGAAATCCAATCGAGAATCTGCATCGTGTTATGCTGTTCGGTACTTGGGGACTAGAAACAGCACCAGCCCCAACTACTGAGAGCTGTTCCCGGAGAGCTAGCTGTGACAGTGTGTATCGCTATGACGGGGTGTATTAGCAGCAGATCAGCCACCCAGATCTCTTATCTGTGAGATCACCCCTTGCAGATGACCCCAGATTTACAGGGGATCTAAGTTTCCTCGGCATCTTGATGTTTACCCAGTATCTGACATTCATACGCCGTATATAAACTTACTAACGTGCAAATTGCAAGGCCAAATTTCCATGAAGATGTGTAAAGTGGGGTCTCCCTCTTTAACATTAAACCATGGGTGAAAAGCCCGCTAACTAGTGGCAGGAGAAAGTGTTATTTACAGTACGGAGTAGCTGCTCCACTGCAGCGGGAGGCCGACGGTAACGTTGATGAATAGTTATTCTCATCAGACCGATTGAGGTATCCGTCCAAGTATGTATGCATCGTATCCAAATAAGTAGGTCAACACCAATCAGCTCGACAAGTAGGTTGTATATAATAGCCGGAGTGGTACTTCCACTTATCCTCAGAATATAAGGTATCACCATCATCGACTCCCGGGCCAAGAAAGCTCATTAGTCATAAATTACAATACACTAGCCGTTTCAAGTAATCTGATATGATACATACCGATCATGACGTTCGCTCCTGCAAGCGGTGGACATCTTTAGCTCTACTTTCGACATAACTATACTACTGTATACGCTTCCAGTAACTTAAATGTAGATTTCCGACTATTTGTCAATTTGACCGCGATAGTTCAAGATCTACAAGTACTGAAAATCAGTCTCAACGTAGCCGCTACATGATTGAAATACACTGGTTCGGAGCCAATTCGGGCCCAAGATCCGCAGTGAAGCCAATCACGTGGCTAAATACCGTACGGCGCCTGTCCCAAACCGGAAGCGTTGCCATCTCATACCCCGTCTCTTCATGAGCCTTTGCCCCTGCTGTTTCCCTTATCACTCTTTGATCGCAATATATCATCTCTCCCTGATCTGGAACCTTTAAACTCTTCAGATCTATCAAGGTCCCGTAGAAGAGGTCTACCCATCCGAGAGACTCGACAACTTTCTGCCAAAGCGGGACATCATCCGAGGGTGGGCTCCTGCTTGTGATTCCGCCAAAAACCGCCCATCCACTCAAAAGTCCACTTATCGAGGGGCACCGACCGTCTTCACGGCGCATTCTCGTTCTCTTCGGTTTTTTATCTTGTGTGAGCTTCGTGCCTCGACACGGGACTCGAAGGAACACATACACTTATCAGCGTCTCTGAGTTTGGCGTGACATCGCGCGAGACCGGACAGGGTACTAGGATACCGAGTCGTCAAACCGAGACTCGATTTCTTATCGCAACAATTTTTGGTACCCTAATTTTGATACTAGCAGTCCGTCACGATGACTGGCGCCACTCCTATTGATATTTCCTCTCGGCAGTCGGCCTCGGTGTCGCCGCCAGGTCAACAGGCATCCAATCTGACATCGGCGTTGCAGAGAGCGGGCACTGGCGAGCGGACAGGTAGCTTTTCACATCTTCCCGGAGGAGGACTCGGGGTATTCAAGGCACCGCCGCCTCGTAAGGACTCGATCGGCGCAGCCACGGCACAATGGGGCAATGGGACGAAACCCATCTCCATGTCGGGGTCTGCTCGCGACAAAGGCCGCCGTGAGTCGCTTGCAGGGAGCTTGGTGGGCGGTATGAGCTGGGGTGGTGTATCTGTTGGTAGTTGGATACGCGATGAGTGAGTGGTCTACCCGGATTAGGAAGCCGCGCGGAGGAATCACCTTCCGTGTGTTGCTATGTCGTACTGCATCAAAAGCTAACCACGGAAAATCTCCGCAGTATCATAATGACTGGCACTTCGCCATTCACCTTCCAGTCGCCCTCTTTCCACTCCTCATCGTATCTCCCGAAATTGGAAGCGAATTTTATGCGAGACTTTTCGTGCTGCGGTGTGACATTACCGACGCTGCATGACCTATTACAACACTACGAAGAAGCCCATGCGACAAAGTCGCCCAATCAAGGGCACCGCCCGAGCCAGGGTGAAAATCGAGCTGCCTTGGCGGCTGCCGCAATCGCACAGCAACATAACCAACAGCATGGCAGCCAAGGGCGTGGCCTGCAGTCCGACCGGACCCTGGACATGCAGCGGAAATTGGGCCAGAACCCGTCGCCATTACAGCACGCAGATATGGACACAATTGATGACATGGAGTTAGACGATGCCTTAGGCGACGGAGACGGTTCAGGCTCGCAGATGTTCTCCTCTCAGCTGCATGAGGGCGGACAGGGTGGGTTCGGCAACTCCAACCAGCCGCAGTTGAATCTGGGCATGCTTCCGAGCCATCAAGGATTCAGCACACCCTCGCAACCTGGTACACCGATTGGGTCTGGACGGCCTCTTTCCCTGCAGAACAATCCGACTGTCTCTTCCGTCAACACCCCAACATTGATGGCCAACCCGCTTCAAAACTCGCAATTCCGAAATACCCCCGATTCGTCTGGACCAGGAACCCCGGCTGAAATGGATGAAAGCATGATGGGTGGATTCGGTGATCTCAGTATGCAGAATCACAATATGGGTCAGAACCAAAACCAGTTCGGCCGTTTCAATGGGAACAACGACATGGTCGATCTCTGCATCGACGAGCCCGCCAAGCGGCTATTCAGCCCTAGTGGCGGCATGGGTTCGCCCAATGCCCACTTCAAACTCAGCGGAGCTCAATACGGTCCCAATAGTGATATTGCACGACGGATACGCGAGCAGCAACTGCTGGCCGGTGTTCCTGACACCACCGTCATTCTCCCCAACGAAGAGCCTAAGCCATTCAGATGCCCCGTTATCGGCTGCGAGAAGGCATACAAGAACCAGAATGGACTCAAATACCACAAAGCAGTAAGTTTTGTCTCGAAGTACCCGTATTCGTGTCATTTTTCTAATCTTTTCATGTCTTGTTTCAGCACGGCCATAATAATCAACAACTCCATGACAATGCCGACGGTACCTTCTCAATCGTCAACCCCGAAACCTCCGCGCCATACCCTGGCACGCTTGGCATGGAGAAGGAGAAGCCCTACCGCTGTGAGGTGTGCGGCAAGCGCTACAAGAACTTGAACGGACTCAAGTACCACAAGTCGCACTCGCCACCCTGCAACCCAGACTTCCAACTTGGAGGCCGCAACCTCGCCCTCGGTGGTGGAGTCATGCAGGGACAGAACATCAACGTCGCTGGAGCTGGTCTCCCCGGAATTGGCGAAGAAGGCCTTATGTGAACCTTGTGAACAAATACGTCGTTATGTCCATACATAATCACCAAGCTAATTGACACGAACGATCTCGACGGCCTCCGGGGTGAAGAGCACTCCTGCACACACGATGTCATGATTTTTGAAATTGGGTCCGGTGACTGGAGTTTTGCTGTTCTTTTTTCTCTTGGAAATCGTTCTCTGCTTACTCACCAACGGGGGTTTACGAGACCCTCTTATGTTCTTCTGTCTTCTCATTCTACTTTCTGCTGGAATGGTCGATTTCTATTCCCTCCCCGCTTGATATCCCTCGCTGTTCCCAGCTGCTCTCTACTTGGCCTGGCAATAGAGCAATCCTTGAGATCAAGACATTTCTCAGCAAAGATCTAGAGCCGTCTAGAACAAACCTGCTTGCTCCCGCTTGCTTTTTCCACTCTGATATTCTTTGCTTCTTCATACATTGTTCGCCTCGAAGGCAACCCAAGGAAAACGTGGACACACCCACAAAACCCCTTCCCCCATCCCATCTCGCCATCGCTTCTGTTTTGCTGCGTTCTTGCAAGGGCTGGCTTCGTGTTTTGACCGTTGCGTTCTACGATTCCGCTCATGCATCTCTTCCAATCAGCCGCTCCCCCGCGAGTCGGAAATGGAACCGCGTGCGAGAGATTCGAGGTCCTCGTTTACACACATACAGTTGGGTGTTCGCTTTTCTCTCCCTGTGTCTCTTTCCGCGGAGAGAGACTGGATCTGCGATCTGGGAATTAGGAAATTTCTAAAAGTGCGGTTTCTCGGCGTTGGACCTCTGTAGATATGGATTTTCTTTTTGGTATGGAATTTGGCTTTTTCTTGCCCATTGTCACTTATTTTGGTTCCCTTGTCTTGCTGTTCAATCACTACATCCGAGTGCAACTTGGTATATCCGTTTGTAGATCCGGGTTAGGTTTAGATCTAGTCCTGTAGTAAGTAGTCCTGATTTTCATCTGTAGCCTAGCTGTTTAAGCACAAGGTAGAGCCGAGACGAGCCGTGGAAGTGAAGTAAAGATTATTCAAAATTTGAGTCTTATTTGTCCTACTTTTGGACCTAATGATATGGATCATCCATTCTAACACAAGCCAGCCCCGGAACGGATGGCAGAGAGCAACGTGGAAGAATAGAGTAAGGGGAAGAAATAAAGAAGCAGAAGCAGAACCATCCTCACTTGTAAGCGCCGAGAGCCATTGAAAGCTCGAATTGAGGAAAGAAACCCCCGAGAGGACCCAGTAGCTGAGCATGGGGAGTGAAAATCATGAAAAATATTTCGCTTGCACAAGCCGTTTCGAAAGCGTAATGGAAAAGACGTAGAGAGTTGTTTTCGTTTGCGTCATGAGATGGCACATGATGAGCAGGAAATGTTACAGAATGTGGAAAGAGAGATGTCGTCAAAAAGATATCGAAAGATGGGTTGGAAAGCATGGAGTGGTGGTGTCGAGATGACTACCATTCAAACTCGCCCTGGCCCTTGTGGAAAACGTACCTAAGGAAATTAGTAACTGTAGAGCAATATGTGATGGGAATGACTTACTCTTTGCCACCGGTGGTCAGGATACCATCCTTCAGGGTGCACTTCCACTTGTTCTTAACCCGTTGGACCTTGTCGTATGTGCAAAGCATGACCTGACCCTCTGAATCATCCGCATCGTTGTCATCAGCGACAAGGTCATCCGGATCATCAAGGTCGGAGTTGATAGCATCCTCATCTTCCTCTTTGACGTCGCCATCCGTGCCATCGAATTGACCAGTAGCGCGGGGAGTACATGACGTTGACTCCGTAGCAGTATTTTGGTTAAGGGGTGCAACGAGAGCCGCACGACGAGCGACCTTCGAAGAAGACTCGTGCTCAGCCAAGGGACGGAGAAGACCGCCGCCCTCATACTCAGCCATGCGCTGATTGAGGTGCGCGCGAAGAAGTCGATCACGCTCTCCACTCTCGGCAGCTGCTCTGCGGCGAGCTACCTCTGCTTTCCAATCTGACATAGCGTCATCTGCCCCATCGGTCTGTCCAGGGCCCATATGCGGGTAACCTGGTTCTTGTTTTACTTGCGGTATCTGCCCGTGAGCATTCGGGTGCATCTGCTGGTATCCATGTCCAGCTTGTGCCTGTGCTTGCATTTGATGGACAGAGTTCGCGGCGGCGGCGCCGTACTTCTGGTGAAGAGCATTTGCAGCACGGTCGCGCGCCGATTGGGGGTTCAGCCCATGCGGGGGCATGGGTGTCGTCATCTGCGGCAGTCCGGGTTGGCCATTGGATCCTGGCTCGGCCTTGATGCGAGGACCGCCCATGGGCATCGAGTGCGAGGGTGCACCCTGGGCCATTGGGAGAGGTGAAGGAACATATTGGGGTTGGGGCGGTGGGAGGGGAGCGTTGGAGGGGACAGTAGCAGTGGGGAGAGGAACATTCTGAGGAGTAGGCTGCTGCGGGGCCGGGTCCCAAGGGAAATGAGCGACGTTCACGGAAGAAAGCTTATGTTGCCAGGTCTAAAGATATAGTATTAGTATAGGCATCCAGGTAACGAGAGATCGAATGAGATAATCAAGTATGATGGGACAGAAAGTCTTGGCGGTCTGAAAGCGCCTAAGCGGTAACAGCGGTACATATGCCACATATAAAGGGAGACACATAAGCCGGTGTTCCCCCATAAGCAGCGCCTCCCGCACCACCTCGGACCTCCCCGCTTTTGCGAGACCACGATCACCCACGCCGGACGTGCAACACCAGACCCAGAAAGGGATGAAAAAGAGATAGTACTAACCTCACGCAGATCATGCAAAGTCTGCTGGTCAACGCCGCTTTCCTCAAAGTCCACCTGAGAGGCATCACAGACCTCCTGGATGACCTTCTCGAACACCGAACCCTTATGAAGCAATAAGTGTCAGTTGTCATCTCGGATCAAAAGAAACTTCAAGAAGAGAACCAGGAGACTCCGGTCACCGACAAACAACAAGAATGCGAATGACCGAGGCAAGGTGGTCACCGGAGGCAAGAGACGTTGGGACTTACCACTTGCTGGTTAGACATATTTGTCGAGCAAGTACACACCGATCAAGTGGTAAATTGTTATCCGATGAGTTAGGAATACCAAAAAAAGAGTGTGGCGCAGTGTACTGGATAAGGAGAGGAGGAGGAAATAAGGTGCTCTTGTCGCGACTATCAAGTCGCCGAAGTGCTCGTCGATCACACCTCACGAGTGACGCAATATCAAGCGATTTGGGAATTCGTATCGTTTCGAGCAAAGGCAAGGAGCGAATAAGGTTCGTTGAAAGATGACTGAAGCAAGTACAAAATGTTAAGAAAGGGAGACTTGCGATTTGCGATGGGTCAACGAAGGTGAAAGTCACGGCTATGCGGTGGAAATCCCACTGCAGCCCGGATGCTTAGTAATCTGCCACCCGCCTGCGCCTTCCAGTAGAAACAATAGATCTATGAGAATGGATCAATAGAACAATACAACAATAGATCAATAGACCTGATACAATCACTGATCTTATTGTTTCGAGCAGAATGAATTAGAGCAGCCGAAAGAATGGCATTTGTGCAATTTGGACAACCAGCTTACGGCAAAATGTACAGAGAACACCATACAAACACCCACAATCATCCAAATCAAGAAGACACCATTACACCGAAATTAAGGTCCCAGCCCATCAATGCTTTCAATATCACCATGAACCTGGGTATCGAACGAGAAAGAAAGAAATCGTGCAAAAGAAGCTTAACGGATGGTCATGGACTTGGTCATTTGAGCCTTGCTGCCGACACCACCCTCACGAGCGGCAGACGCACTGCTGCCAGCTTTGCGCTCGAAGATCTTCCAGAACTTCAAGCTCTCGTCAGCGGCAGTTGTAGCGAGCATCTGTCCATCGGGGCTGATAGCGCTGTGGAGGACACGAGTCTCGTGGGCAGGGATTTCGACGTTGCGGACCAGAGTCGGGTAGCTCCAGATGCTGAGTGAGTTATCAGGGAAGCCGCTAGAGCTGACTATCTCGCGGTAGTGGTTGCTCCAACGCAGGGAGGTGACCTGGGAGCCAGTGTCAATGCTGTTGGTGCGGGCACCCGTGGTGGTGTTCCAGAAGTGGATGTGACGATCGTAGGAACCACCGCCAGTGGCGAGGAGGTTAGATTGCCAAGGGCACCAGCTGAGGGCCTTGACGGCGGCGCGGTGGTTGGTCTTGGTGAACTTGGGGGCACTCAAGGAGCGGGCATCCCAGATGTTCACGAGGTTGTCGTTGCCACCAGTTGCGAGCTGAGCGCCATCAGACCGCCACTCCAGACCGCAGACCTCTGAGGTGTGAGAGACAAGTTCGGCGATCTTGTGCTCAGCGATGCGTACATCGTGGTTGTAAACAAGACCACTGCGAGCTCCAGTGGACAAAGTGTGCTTGTTCCAGCCCATAACACCGACGCGGGAGTCATGACCGTACATGCTACGAAGCTTGGAACCTTCTTCAACATCCCAGATCTGGACCTCGCCAGTCCCCAAGCCAACACCAACGTAGGCACCGTCTCCACTCCACTTCACACTGCTCACGTATGTATCGGGGGAGGTTTCCAAAAGGCAGTTGACGGAGCCAGACTCGGCAGACCAGACATACACATTGCGCTCAAGGCCAATGGCAACCTGGTTGCCAGAGCTCCAGTCGAGCAGGTTAAGATAGTAGTCATCCAAAAGGCCTGGGGCATCCAGGACCCGCTCGGGGGCAGTTTGAACACGGCGACGGAACTGAGCAGCTGTGGACTTGGCAGGGCGGAGGGGACGGTTGTATTGAGCACGAAGATCGATAGGCTTCGATGACTCGGGGGCGGAGGCTTAAAGGCGAGAATACGAGTGTTCATGTTCACCCCACAAGCTTCAGCCAAGGATGATTTGTAGGCCACGGCATCGGGGGCTGGGCGAGTATAGGTAGCGGGCTCGTTATCGTCCAGACCCAAGTTCTCCAAAGCAGCAGCGAGATCATCGTCGGAGCCACGGGTACCAATGTCAAAAGCGCTGGCAGCTGAAGCAAGTACAGATGATCCGTCACCGGTGCTACTCTTGGGGCGCTGCTTCGTGTCTGGCTTCGCAGCCCCGCTAGTGGCTAGACCTTCACTTGCAGTCCGGTTGGGGATGAAACGGTCTGCAGCGTTGTGAGGAATGCGTACGGTTGTCTTGCTAGCACGAGTGCGGGTGGGAATTTCACGACGGATGTGTTCCTTGGAGGGCGTGTTGGCTGTGGTCGCACTTGTACCGGTCAAAGTCCAGTCCGAAACTCCGAGTTCCAAGTGTTTGGGTGACTTGCGAGTGCGAGCAATATTGGATTTGCTGTTCTTGGGAGAGTCACGGTGGGTGGAGCGAGCTGCTTTCGAGATTGACTTGGCAAAGTGGGCAGAGAGATTGCCGCCATACACTGATTTGGTTTGGCTGCGGGCAGCATCACACTGGCGAGGAGGAGTGAAAGGCGATTCGTTGCTGCTTGCGCGGGGGTTGGGAGAAGGACTCAGAGGCATACGGCCTCCAGCGGTCTTGGAGGAGAAAAGCCCGTGGTGAGTCTTCACCGGAGTGGACGCAGTAGCAGAAGCCATATTGATATGAAATCAAGTAGATGCAATGGGAGCAACCCCAGTAGAAGATGCAATACAAATTTATGCAGAGGTCAATACGTGATCAACCAATGGAAAAGTATGCAAGCAATTGAAGATATGTAAAAGAGAAACGTGAACTGGATGGAGAAAAGGAAAGGGGAATCAGGAGAATTGGGAATAAATAGAAGGAAGCTATCTTCTCGTCTCAAAATGTATGAGGCTCTCGCCATAGCAACGGTTACCTCAGGGACATGATGCGCTAACCCAAGTTGGGGCTAGCGTTGACATACCGCGCTTGCCCTGTTTGGGTATGGTTGACTTGGCATCGGTATCATCGCGATTGCCTTCAGTTGGGCAAGAACAAAGAAGGTGCAATCCTGTAGGACTGTACAAACTACGCATATTGTAATAGACCAAAGAGATGATATTGTGATTCATTGTGCAGTTTCGGATTCCATCTGGAGGCCCCTTTTTGCCACTGGGATGGCGCATCCATCTCCATTCTCCTCGTTCTTACCCCCACCACGCTTCTCGAACCCAGCTCCACCGAGACCCACTCCGACTTCTCCCTGCGTGGCCACGATCTTCGAGGGCCTTCACGATATCCTGTTGTACTTCCCCTCTGGCAATGCAGGATACCTACCTGATGCCTGCCAGCCAATCCGGCCGTCGCCGGAGCGGTGCGGACTATCGGCCCAGCATTAAAAAGGCCCAGGGCCATGTCCCCGCGTGTCTAGTCAATGCCTCGGTGACGTACTGCAGCAATGATCGCATATATGCATTTGGAGGCTTTGACCAGTTTACCGATGAAGGTTCGCATCTCCTTTGATCTGAGATAATTGGATTGGTACTAATGCATCCCAGTTTACAATCACGTTCTCAAGTTAGACCTGGAGACTTTGCGGTGGGAGCTTATGGACAACTATGGCGATATCCCCGGAGTTCGCATGGGTATTGTTGCTCTCTTCCCATTCGTCCATGTTTGCGACAATCAACCTAACTAAAAATATTCTCATAATAGGACATACGGCGACACTATACCAAGGGGATAAATTGATTGTATTCGGGGGCGAAAATGAGCATCGCGAGTACCTTTCCGACGTTGTCATCCTCGATCTGAATACCTTCCATTGGACACTTCCGGAAATACACGGACCGGATCCGCGCGGTAGAGCCCGCCATGCTGCCGTTATCCACGAAGACAAGCTTTTTATTGTGGGTGGAGTGACAGGTGTGGGCGCTGGGACGGGAGAAAAGAATGTGGTTTTGGATGACTTAAACTACCTGGATCTACAAACGTGGACGTGGTCTCGGACATGGAGCTTTACCGCTCGTTTCGATCATACGGCTTGGGTTTGGGGCACACGCCTCTGGATATTTGGCGGATTGGGTCCGAACATGGACCGATCGACCGATATCTGGTGGCTGGATCTCAAGGGCTCTCCCTCGCTGGCCGGAAACACTACTCCGCAAGGTAGTGTCAATTCCCTGGCCCTCAATCTCTCCACCGCCTATCTTCCAGACTCCATGTCTAGCAGCCCTCTCCTGTCTCCCCGCTCTGGGACTTATGCCGCAAATTCAGGTAGTGTACAGGTGCGCCATCTAGGTCGCCGCAAGCCAGTTGCGCCTGGTGCGATTTCATGCCTTCATTTTGAATCTGGGCCTCATGTCCCCTCCCTTTTCTCTGGTACTCATTTTCATTCATTTGCCTCAGGTGTTCTACTTGACCTGATCACACCATCGGAGACCGTACGGTCGCATGACTGTAACCTGTCGGCTTTGGAGCTCAGCTCGCTGCGCTGGCAGCGGCTAGCTGATGGTCAGGAGATATTCCGGCCCGGCTACCGATGGCACTACTGTACTATCAATGATGCGGGGACTAAAGCGTGGCTCTTGGGTTGTAGTCTCGACGTCGCAAATGTACCAGGGGGTAGCGATGAGAATCACATGAGTGAAGTCCTGATCATTGATCTGGAGAAATATGGCTTGTTGGGTAACGGCCTGTCGGCAGAAGCCCCTGAGCCAGATGCACCATGGCCTTCTGACCAGTCAGGCCTCTCTCAGGTCTCTGGGCTTGGTACCGACCTAGCCGCGGTCTTTGACCAACCACCTGAGTCGGGAAGTGGTGCTGACTTCATCGTCACTGCTATTCGTGACGATCACGAGGGCTCAGTGTCGGACGATATGAGTGAAACGCCAGCCGCTTCACCAACGCAGGCACCGCCAAAGTTTGTGGAAGCTAATGCTTGGACATCGCAGCCCATCCATGTTCACAAGATTATTCTGCAGCTGAGGTGGCCACACTTCAAGCGTCTGTACTCTGCTCAGATGGCAGAGTATCACACTAAGCGGATGCACGTCCCGGAGCCTTATTCTGTTGTGCGCGCATTTCTTTACTACCTTTACACGGACAGTATCGCCGGTCATCCCGAATATTGCTCTAGTGTTATAGATGTGGCTGGTATGCTTGTCATGGCCAACCTCTACGATATGCCGAGGCTTCGCCTGCTCTGTGTCAATAGGCTCAGCCGGGAGCTCGATGTAGACAACGCAGCCATTGTTTGGGAGCGCGCAGGTCGAACCAATGAGCACTGGTTGATGCGCCGAGCCGCACAGTTCTGTCTGACATACTGGGGTCGCGTGGTGCGAACGGAGGGGTTCAAATCCCTCAGCCACAAGAGTTTGATCGAACTATGCGAGGTGGTTGACACGGAAGGTCGCATCATTGCAGGCCCTGAATTGGAGATGGTTGCCTCCGCAGCCGACGGAGACAGAACCCGACCGCGGCTGGGGTCTACAGCAGACGAGATGTCCGAGCTTGGGGACGATGAAGGAATGGAGATTTCATGAATTGCACGAATGGGGCACGCATCATAGTCCGGAGTTATCTTGGCGGGGATCTTTTCATATTTTCTTTCCATTGAACGTAGCATTTCTCGTTTTAAGTGTTTTGTATTGCATCTGGACACAGGGTTCTCAGTTATGAATCCACTGTACAATTTTGAATATCAGACTTGAAACTTCTCTTTGATCGCGGTATCCTGGCCGTCCAACCCTGTTCGTCACGAGGATTGTGGAGCCTCTCGACGCTCTGGGCGCGGACCTGACTCCGGATCGCGGAGGTCATTCCTGTCACGATAAGGAAGCCCTTTAACGTTGTCTCAGCCTTCCCAGTTTGGACTCCATAGAATAGGATGTTGAAATCACATAAATATCGACGGACGCTCGGATTTTGGATGGTACACGGTTTTTGCGGCCATTCCTTTGTCCATCCGTGATATTATTCGATTCAACATGGGTTCCATCGAGCAATCCAATCTTCCATCGGACTTCCTCTGGGGTTTTGCAACGGCGGCATACCAGATTGAAGGAGCTGCAAAGGAAGATGGCCGCGGTCCATCGATCTGGGATACCTTCTGCAAGATCCCGGGCAAGATTGCCGGCGGTGGTTCTGGTGATGTAGCTTGCGACTCGTATCACCGCACACACGAGGATATTGCCTTGTTGAAAGAATGCAACGCTAAGGCATATCGATTCTCTCTGTCATGGTTCGTAAATCTTGCTAGCCTCAAAAACTTTAACCCCTGGTTGGCTGACCTTGGCTTGCCTACCTCTGCAGGTCCCGCATTATTCCCCTCGGTGGCCGAAACGATCCCGTCAACAAGAAAGGCATTGAGTTCTACCAGAAGTTTGTGGATGATCTGATTGATGCTGGCATCACTCCTTTGATCACCTTGTTCCATTGGGATCTGCCAGATGAGCTCGACAAGCGATACGGTGGGCCTCTCAACAAGGAGGAGTTTGTGGCCGACTTTGCAAACTACGCCCGCTTGGTGTTCGAGGCCTTCGGATCCAAGGTCAAGTATTGGATTACTTTCAACGAGCCTTGGTGCAGCAGTGTTCTTGGATATAACAATGGTTCTTTTGCACCTGGACACACCAGCGATCGTACCAAGAGCCCTGTGGGCGATAGCTCAACCGAGCAGTGGATTGTCGGACACAGTTTGCTGGTTGCTCACGGAGCTGCAGTGAAGATATACCGTGATGAATTCAAGCAGAGAGACGGTGGTGAGATTGGCATTACACTCAACGGTATGTTCCCAATTCACCCCCGCATATAAAGGACCCCGCACTAACTAGATGGAACAGGTGACTGGGCCGAGCCTTGGGACCCAGAAAACCCAGCTGATGTGGAAGCCTGTGACCGAAAGATCGAGTTCGCCATCTCATGGTTCGCCGATCCTATCTACCATGGCAAATACCCCGACAGCATGGTCAAGCAACTTGGCGACCGTCTACCAACCTGGACCCCAGAGGACATTGCACTGGTCAAGGGCAGCAACGACTTCTACGGTATGAACCACTACTGCGCGAACTTCATCCGTGCCAAGACGACAGAGCCGGAACTCAATGATGTCGCTGGTAACTTGGATATCCTGCTCGAGGATAAGAATGGAGTTAGTGTCGGGCCTGCCACACAATCCCCTTGGTTGCAGCCGTCCGCCATCGGATTCAGGAAACTGCTCAAATGGCTCAGTGAGCGGTACGGCTATCCCAAGATCTATGTCACAGAGAATGGCACTAGTGTCCTGGGTGAAAATGACATGCCGCTGGACGAACTGCTCAACGATGAGTTCCGCGCGAAGTATTTCCGGGACTATATTAGTGCTATGGCTGATGCGTATACCCTCGACGGTGTCAATGTGCGGGCATACATGGCTTGGAGTCTTCTAGAGTAAGTTTCATCTTTTTTCTCGGGATGTCGAGATAACGTCAAGCTAACTCAGTTCCTTACAGCAATTTCGAATGGGCTGAAGGCTACGAGACTCGTTTCGGTGTGACTTACGTCGATTATGAGAACGATCAGAAGCGAATCCCGAAGAAGAGTGCTAAGGAGATTGGCAAGGTCTTTGACCGGCTGATCCAGAAGGCCTGAAATAGGCGCGCTGGTTGATTGGGCTGGTGGACTCTAGCTGCCATGGCACTAGAATTTTGGAGTTTTATTTTATTTTTGGCCTCGGTGGACATTGTACTTTGCTATAAAAGAGTCCTGCAACGATAAACCAGGTATTCATTTTTCCAGGGTCGTTTTCCGTCAGGCTCAAGATTGGCCAGTTGGTGACCAGGCCAAGGGCATTCAAGACATGGCCGCTATAATACCTCCGTAGCCCGACACCGCCATTGAGGCTGACATGGTGAACATGGATATTTCTCGCTGATATTCCTAGCTCTTTCACTATTCTCGAGTCCAAACCATTCGCATTGACGCATTCTGCCAATGACTGAAACACAATTTCAGATCTTGTCGGACCTCCATCTGGAATCCCCTAGCGCATACGATATCTTTCATATCGAGCCCAAAGCTCCATACCTGGTGTTAGCCGGCGACATCGGCCACGTAAAGGACAATGGCTTCTTCAACTTCCTACGCATACAACTAGAGAATTTCCGTCTCGTTTTTCTAGTCCTGGGAAACCACGAACCATACCACAGCACATGGCCAGAAACCAAGTCGCGGATCAAAAGTTTTGAAGCCGAGCTAGCGTCTAGCAGAAGCGAGACGCGTGGACAATTTGTTCTCCTCGATCAAACCCGCTATGACATTTCTCCAACCGTTACCGTTCTCGGTTGCACATTGTTCTCCGAAGTGGTGCCAGAACAGGAAGAAAGCGTCAGCTTTGGCCTGAACGATTTCTATCATATTGCTGATTGGTCTATTGAGGCACATCGGGAAGCGCACCGTGCTGACCTGGATTGGCTGAACCGCGAAATTGATTCTATTTCGCGCTTGGAACCTGAGCGGAAGGTTGCTGTGTTCACTCATTACTGTCCCTTGGTCGTCGAAGACGTTATTGATCCTAAACATGGAGACAGTAAAATCTCCTCTGGTTTCATGACTGATTTGTCAAATGAGTGTTGCTGGAAGAATTCTGTCGGTCTTTGGGCTTTTGGCCATACGCATTATAATTGTGACTTTCAATACTCAGGGAAGAGGATGGTCTCGAACCAAAGAGGATACTACTTCGCTCAGGCCACGAATTTTGACAGCACCAAAATAGTTGGACTCTAGGATATTTATTCTGGGAACGCGTCGTTCAGTATTTGGGGAGTATTCGCGGCGCAATTGCTATCCAGGGAGACAGCTTCTACAGGGATACAAGTTCATGATCTTATACTACTAGTACCAGAATAGATCATGAACCACTGTCAGTCAAATTAGTCGGATCTGTCCATCACATAGGGCCGGTGCTAAGCACATGAGAATAATAGTCACGACCGACTAGGTAGTTATACAACTTCACCTCCCATGGATGTTATTGTTGCACGGTCAACAACTAACCTAGATATTAGGCAATAATCCGCTCCACGCCCTACTTTTCTCCTCGGGACTCGACTCTTACAACCCACTTGTTTATGCGTCGAGCATTTTCATTTCTTCTGAATCTTGCTACTTCACCTTTCGTCTCCTTCCCCTTGTCGCAATGTCTTGTTCCAGGGACTTCGTCTTAATGCCCCCCTGGGTGAACTTCGATCACCTGGTCGGCACCGAAATCGAGCTCGACCAGCCTTCCCTCTCGCCCCCCCATTCGTTTGTTCTTGACCAGAAACGATGACCCAGGAGGAATATGAGCGACAACCGGTGCCTCCGTGGGCCGTCATGAAGTTCTCTTGTCACAGCCTTAGAGACCCTACTCAGCAGGGCTTCCTGCGGATCTATATGCAGATCCCTCTTGATGGTACCTTTTCTAGCGCTGTAGAAGTCCGGGCCCAGCAGGCTCTCAGCCAGCAAACTCACTCGGAGCTCCGAGCGCTTGCATGTCTCGATCGCGAAAATTGCACGGGGTAGTGTGAATGGCACCTTTGGGACAAGAGGTTGAACAACCTAGCTTGACTGGCGTAAATAGAGTCTCGTCCTAGTAGCATTGCGGATGGATTTTTGAAGTGGTTCCACTGTTATGCAACTGCAAAGGGAATTGATAACTAACTATCAATTCCCAACTGCAAACTGAAGGTTAAATAAGCTTAAACCTGCTTACAGTCACGTGATATATATGCTGCTTCCTCACGTGACATTAGCTGATTTCCCATAGTTTCTCTCCGCTCTAGGCGGGGGTGAACAACATCAAGTGTGAAGTGTCTTTCCTGTGAGCAATTCAATAGCCCGAGTGGCTTTCATAGGTCGAGTAACGAGCCTCGTGTTGTTTGTACTATGGACACGTGATGTATCTTAGTCAGCAGTCAGGCGGAAGGCTGCTACCCAGCCTTCCACCTGAACCCCTTTAGACAAGAAGAAGAACAAAAACATTAGAGCATTCGGAATCCGATCCCTGTGCAAGCAATTGCAACATCCTGCCCTTCGTCTGAGACAAGCAGGCAGTAGACCTGCCAACACCTCGGGTGTTCAGGGTTAACGTCCGCTTACCGGGCATACAAGTTACAATTACAGTACAATCTCACACGTTTCAGACTTTCAGTTGGTACCTGTACGTATTAACTACACAGTATATACAAAAGAGAGGAGAGTACCTTTCAAATAAAACATCAACAAAAATCTTGTGTCCAGTCGTCAGTATCCACTTGTAGGTGCCGAGTTCCAGGCGCGTGTTTAGCGAGCTTCCCGTCAACTGGCAAGCCTTCCGCCAGCTGGCAAGGCTCCTACGAATAGCCCCAATAATCCCACAGCGACAGCAGGTTGCCGTTGACTTCAAGAATCTCGAGGATTTATCGATTCAATCTGCCCTCTCTCTGCGCGGATAAGTATTCTACTGCCCATCACGCCTTTGCGGAAAATATCAGGCGTCCGCGTGTACGATGTTTTAGCAAGCCGTCCTTCTTTGTCACCTTTACGTGCAATTCCCGTTGTGAGTTCGATCTTTCAAAATGGAGAGCCATAAGTTGCCGACAATGGCAAGAGGACCCTGAGAACCCAGGCACAATCCGCCCGCATATTGTGCTTATGATATGCGGGCGGTGGTCAAGTCTAACCATGGATCTTCTCCATGGCTAGATTGAGCCAATCTCTTCAATGCAATTCAGTGTCGTGACCCGTTTCTCCCAGGAGGAGTTGATCAGACTGCGCTAATCTATACCACTATTAGATTCTCCTTATCTCGTTTTTTCCAGTCTCTAGACCTTATGGACCTGCTCTCCAAGGTTTCTCGGCCCGGAATGTGGCACATTCCAACTCAGATAACCTTACCTCTACCTCCAGATAACAAGCCTCTCTACCCACTCTACATTCCGACTTAGAGGATATCAGATAAAGGGAATGAGGGATAGTCGCCCGTCTGAAGGAAAAAGACTGGTGAATAGACGGAAGGGGGAAACACGATATCGTCGGACAATATCTTGAGACAGCTACCATGTAAAAGCCTAAAGACACAGCCGTAAGACGGAGGAAAACAGCCCTAACCCCTTTCCGAGAACCAACCCAACTATGTATATGTATCATCAGCGGGTAATAAATGAGACGTAGGACAGATCATAGTCATCTATTTAGAACAAAGTACGTGCATTGTCCACGAGGCCGATGAAGCATATCTCGAAAATCCTACTGTGTATAACAAAAGCACATGGTAACACAGATCTGTTGTTTACAGAAGTGATATTCACAACTGGCCGGTGAGAACCTTGGTCCTAGTCCAAGCTCTAAGGACCTTGGTAGTTCTGGGTAGTTCTGGGTAGTTCTGGCCAGTTCGGAATCCGAAAACCACGATTCTCCTTTTTGCCGCAATGTCGCATATATTCTCTCATATGGTTGGAGCAAGTCAATCCTATCGGACACGGGGATGTTGTAGTGCAGAGACTATCGATGGAGTCGGCTAAATAGTGTATATCATAGCCCCAGATCTTCACCGGGAACAGATGTGGAGAAACTCCAGGGCTAAAATAGTAAATAACATAGTGGGGTTGAGACATGAGGGGTAAAGGGGGACAATAGTCTCATCGAACTACAAAGAGAGTCGCAGTTGCAGGTTGATGCTGGTGGATCAAGATTGGTGTTGTACTGACAAGCCAATCTAATCCATGAGACCATCAACGTGCAACGAGGTTGTTAAGCAGTCACAGTAAGATTGGCAACCAGGAGGCTTGGCAGGATTGTCAGAGCCGCAATGCGACTTGCTGGCTACACATTCACAACGCACATTGATGTAACTACATATGACGGACACGGTTGCCTAGGCCGTGGACCATAATCCGCGACTCCCAACCCCTGCCCGGCCAAGACGGGGAGCATCAGATCGTACAAGGCTTGGCGGAAAATCCTCCTCTTGGCAGCACTTGGCAGGTATTTTGGGATTTCCCTTGCGTCCGGCGGGATTGGGGATTCTTCTGCATGGTCAGGTGGACAGTGGACTGTGTGATACGCATGAGTTAGTGGCGAAACTAAGACGCAAAGAAGGCAGGATGGTTTGTGAAATGTTGTTCATTGATAGCTAGCTCGCCCATCAGGCAATGTGTATGCTTCCCGGAAGCGAAAAGAGATAGATGTTGAATGAAAAGAGGAATTATAACTTGAAAGCGCCATAAAACACCCCTATTGGTCTCCCCTGCCATTTTCCCATGTTTGGTTATCCCGAACCTTCCAAATTGGAGTCCTCAATTGATTCAGAGATTGCAAAAGAACAAGAAAAGAAAAGAAAGAATAGAAGAAAAAAGATAACATGGCTTGAACTGAATGCACCGGCCGCTGTGATGGTGGTATATGAAGGAGGAAGGAGGATTGGAGAGACAAGGCTAGTCAATGGCGATGTGCCTAGTGCTGCTTCTTGCCATGGCCAAGGTAGAGGAACCCATTGGGAAGAGTCGTTGTCAAGTCATTGAGGGAGACTGAAGAGTTGGTAGAGAGGGAGCTATTGGTGCGAGCACGGCTGGCAGGAGCCAACTCAGGGCTTTGCTCAGTTGAGTTGGTCTCAAGTAGTGACAGGTCTTCCCAGGCACGAGGGTCTGGGCCAGATTCGGTGGGAGACAAGACAAGGAACTTGTTGGCAGGGTTGTAAGGACCAGTCTCAGCGGCAGACAGGACCAGGAAGCGGTGGGTGGGTGTGTAAGTGTACATTTCGAGAGAACTTTCTGAAAGTTTTTTTGTGTGGAAGGGGTAAGTCGGTTAAAGACGGGACCTTGGAGGATTGAAGACGGAGCGTAGAGGTTATTATTTTGGGATCCGAATAAGAAATTCAGGGAGATCCGGCCTCACTTTATAGTACAGAACCGAGATTAGCCAAGAGGAACCTTGAGGAATGAGGGGCATGCTGGTATCAATGATGTCCGAATCAAGCCGATCCAAAGCATCCAGCACATCATATCTGGGCCCGGTGCGAGGTGGGTACGCAGGTCATGCAGTCAAGCCAACCCCCGCAATTATCGCCCAGTAGACCATTCAAGGAGGTACTTGGCAATCCCAAACATGGAGAGCTTCACATGTCTTAGTCCAAAAAAAGGGGTGGAGGTCAGAGCCAAGAGTTCATTATTGACCATCACCCTTTCTTTTTTTCTGAATGCTTCCACTTCGCCCCTCTTGGCTCCGGTATTGTTGTTGCACCAAACCTGAGTGTCAGCTGACACTTATTTTCAGCGAGGGCAAAAATGTTGAAGGCAAAGCCGCAAATTAAGCCCTGTATTATCGTGCAAGACTTTGCCTAGCCCGTTGCCGGCCGAAACTCAAGGACCTCGGAAGATCAACAGCCAGGATGAGGGTACTGGATCCGACTCATAAGTTCTCGTGCCATCCACACCTACAGTACTCTCTGAGAGCTGTTATTAATGGTTTCGGGTGAGCAAGCCCTAGACATTCCGGGTTGCTTCGTGCATGTTGCCCTGCGCCAATCATCCCGACCGCTGCATGGGCGCTAGGATCAATCAGTTATGCTGGGGTATTTTGATCTCCCCGGCTTTTTTCTCAGGGACCCAATAGTTGCGCATTTCTTTACCCTTTGCAGAAGGGAAAAAACACACGGAAATATGACATCATCTCGAATTTCCCCAGAATTGAGAACTCAAAACTGAGAAGATCTTCTTAACGTTGTCTAGCGGGTAGTTGTCACTCCGAGAGCCCAGCATGTGAAAAGCAAAGCAATAATTATTGCAATTTGCAGGTGTTCTGAACTGATCTGCTGGGGTAATATGGGATTTGATTTCGAAACTTCTGGATTAGAATTAAAAATTTAACTTGTCACGTTTAAACCTTCAAAATCGAGGTCACGTGGTGCTGTCCTCATGCAGTAAAATGTAAACTTTCCCTTTTCATTATTTGTTCGCTCAGCTGAATTTCCCAGAGGAACGGTAAACCAACAGCGGCAAACCGGATCGTTGAGCGACTGGTCTCGGCCTGTCAATTGTGTCCGATGTGCCTTGCCGCCCCTAGCTCGCGCGCCTCTACTCGCCCGGAGTTGATCTCCCGGTGGGCCCAGCGGCTGAGCAAAAGCGAGAGCCTCAGTTGAGCCCTGTACCCTAGCTGAGGAACTCGTGGCTTGTCACCAGTTATTTACCCTCTATAAACAATTCATAGGCCAGCATTCATCGCTTTTCAACCTGGCCTCCTCTGCCCGATTGCACTAAATCCGATAGAGAACCACCCTTGTCTGATATCACACACAGCCAACACTCATTATACTAATCCACGACGCTTTTGAGATTTCTTGGCTTCAGACTTACATCTAATCGTTTTTCTCGCTTATGTCCAGAATTGAAAAGCGCCTTGTCGCTATGCACTCTTTTACATTTTAATCGCGCAAAGCTTGCTGCTGTCACCAACTGCGCCATGGAAGAGAGCCCTTATTCGTCTATGCCCTCAAGTCGATCCCATTGAGATGAAGTCAATGAAGTCATACCTTACCATATCGAGAGCCGGTTCAAGTGGGCTGGACTCAGTTTGCATTGAGATTCGCTCTTCTGATTTTCAGTTGGTTCCTCATTCGACTTCCAGCAGTATGTCTCTATCTCGTCCTGCAATACTAGCAGCGTTATGCATATCTAGAGTTGCCATGCGGTGACTATTTCGATCAGAGTTACATTGGGCATTCAATGAATGAATGATTCAATGTCTGAAAAGAGCCATTGCAACTTATCAGCCTTGGGTCTCCAGGGTCCCACCTCCTGCGCCACACGCAATCAGATGCGAACCTCCTGAGGAAGCTGTGGCAGGTGCCTTCCAGAAGATGAAGAGTGGCTAGGAGACCGGGTATTAAGATCATTCGAGCTTTTCAGAAGAGGAAACCCTTGTTGTTGATCCACTCTGTGGCCGCAGTGTTTGGCCCTATGGGGTGGCAGCCGGGAGGGGTCACTGTTGGCGCTCAGATCAAGAGCTTTACCATTGGCTGCAGTGCTTTTAAAGTGATGTCAATTGCACCCTGCAGCCTGATGGGATTGGGAAGGTCCCTTAACGGCCTTGCTTAGAGCTTGGGTAGCCTTGACCCCTGCCGCTCATCAACCCCATGTCAATACTGACGACTCTACCCAGCAGCACATCACTTTGATGATCCACCTAACACCAACTCTTCTTGGTGTTGGTAAAGGCATTTGTCCTAGAGATGGCGCATGTATATACCTCTTTCGTGCCCCTCCCATCACCTTCTCCATGACTGCGCAACGGCGTGACTGCCTGCATACGGCGCATCTGGATGGACAAGTTGCAGCGCTTGTGGGCAGACGAAAGGACTGAATCTCCTCTGCAGCCCTGAATGGCGTGTTCATACTTTCTTTTTATCGAGTTGCGCAGTCAATTCTCTCGTTGCACTGTAGACATGAAGTCTTATAAAGTCTGACACTTCTCTTTCCTTGCCTTTATTCAACCCGATCAGTCTCTAGACTTCGGAGCCTCCTATCAAAAGTGAAAGACCAGTCAATCTGCATAATCTGTTTTTGTATATCTGAGCCGACTTCTCCATTCAATTCCATCATGTGTTCTATCTACATCTTCCAATACGACTGCGGATGCACCCATCAAGAAGATGGCATAGTGCCCTGTGCTAAGCAGGGCACCATATTTTGCGACGGTGTCAAGGAGCAATTCCGTCGACGGATTGGTACCTTGTGCTTCAATTGCGGTGGCAAAGGTGGTCGCTGATGTGCGTCTCTTGATTCGGGTTCCGAATTGACTACGTTTATACTAACATGACTACAGACGAACGAATTCCTCAAGAGCCTGAAGCCATCTATATTCGTTTCCTCGGCTGTCCCGAGTGATCTGCTTCCCCGACCTGTCTGTGTCTACCTCAAGGCCAGAGAAAAAGAAGATATAACTGTATCACATCTGCTACTTGGGGGAATCTTGCTTTCTACATGTACCTTGCATCATTCCAGCGTCTGGGTGGACACCATTTAATCATCGCTTTCATGCCTTGCACTGTTTTTGCATCTTGTCTGTCATCTCTGCATCGAGCTGTCTATATCTTTTGTTCCCAGGCTTCCTCTCCTTAGCGATTACTGTCTCGCGGCACATTTGACACGCCAGAGAGATTGATTACTCATAATCAATATACTTCGAATTTCCCATACTAATGCTTTTGTCACTCCTGTTAGTACTGGGGCATATATATTCGGGTTTGATATTAAACAGAGATAGCGAATGAATAGTTAGCGTAGACAGCTGTTTTTGTGAGGGGAAAATTAGAGCCCGTACCTGCCTACTGATCATTGATCATCTACTGACCTGATAGTTCTCTCTGAATGCCGATCTGTACAAACATTGTCCCTGTCCAACATTGACGGCGAGAAAAGACGTTGGGTCATATAGCCAATAGCAGAGACCGGAAGATTTCTGTGCTGTGCAAGATGGGGGCCAACACCCGATGGCGCACGTTCGCAACGTTCGTCGAAGCTAGATAAGAGCTCGAGCCAAGATTAGAAGGTCAGCCGAATACTTCGAGTCCCTTTGGAAGTTTGCAAATGAACGAAACACTCCTATCAGCACGGCATGACGGCTTTCTGGGAGATTCGGGGCTTTTCTTTCGCAATACATTTCCTCGGTCTCTTCCTCAGTGGGAACAGATTAGAGACCCGCGTCCCGAGAAGATACCGTAGACGATGCGGCTAAAGCTCGAAGTCAGTGCAAGATACTTCCACTGCGCTCCGCAGGCGAGCATGGGTTGTGGCCCGTGATGTCCTACGCGAGTCATGCATCCTGCGATCTCGATCAGGCAACTGTTGGTTTGTACGAGCTTCCCCGCGAGCTCGTCACATCAGAGTTCAGTTATACAACAACGGTAAAGGCATGTGAACGTGTATTGATCTCACCGGGGAATAGGCTGCCACGAACAGACGTCCCTATGAGTTGCATTGGTCTTGCATATACTTTGTATCAGCTGACTTTCGAGAGTAGGGATCGACCCATGCCCACACCGCAGGGTCCTGTTGAAATAACCCAGTTTCATATAATAATCCATGGGTACATGTGCAGCAGTCCCTACGTCACCTTAAACGGTACCTGAACAGGGTGAATGCGCTTATGTCGACCATGTGGAAGGACTGAGGTATCCGATCCAGATTTGCTGGGTTGCTTTGTTGATACATCAGGGCGGGGGTCGCCCACATAACACATAGCTAGTCAAAGCTCCTTTTTTTGTTCGGTTTCTGTCGGCGCTTGTATCCAGCTAGAAGTCGAATGTTGGGTGGGGCCATGGAATGTTTACCGCTCCGAGCAGATTGACCCTGTCGATGAGCAGTGGGAGATTTGTTGAAGAGGTCCAGCAAGAGCAGCAAAAATAAAGTGTGCTACAGAGGAGAGATTCCTTCGGATAGTTGTCAGTGCATGTACGGAGTAGGAATGGATGTAGCCGACGACCGCCAACTGGCAGATCGTAGTTCAGTTCGACCACGCCAACTGGCCGGAATGTCATCATGCATATCACGTGGTGATACCGTCACTCCTCAGTCCTCAACATCCAACTTCCCTCTCCCCTGCACAAGCACTCAGAGCTATCGCATTGCATATGTAATGTCAATTGAGGTTGACTGGGCAGCTGCCACGTCCGGCCCGGATGGGGAAGCCCTGGCAGAGCGAATTCGGTCATTCGTACACGACAAGTTCCAGGAGATCACCCTCCCGCGCTTCATCCGCTCAGTGCAGGTCCACTCCTTCGACTTCGGGACCATCGGCCCAGAGCTCGACATAAAAGACTTCTGCGAACCCTTCGCAGATTTCTACGAAGAAGATGACGACGATACAGACACCTCAGTCACATCTGAGGAGTTCATTCCCGACCTCCGCGAATCCCAATACGAAGACGACATGACCCTCAATCCTGCCGCGCATAGCCCTCACAACTTCAGTCACCACCCATACCCCGGCGAAGGCTTCCAGCCATCCGCACTTCGCTCTCCGCTCGGCGACCACCTCAACTCACACTTCCTACCGCGTGCCGGCACGCCTGGGATCCCCGGCGGCACCTCAACACTGGGCTACCACATGCGGTCACTGGGCGGTCTCTCCGGAACCCAGACACCCCTCGTCGCCGTAGCAGGAGGCACACCGTTCGCAAGCGGCTGGTCAGATTCCGGAATGGGCATCGGACAAAGACCGCCCGCGGTTCGCCCTTCTGCCGCACATCATCTCGGAGAACCAGACCTCGATACCATCAACTCCGCCTCTAGGCCGTCAACCGCCAACACGCACCCCTCCCACCCTTCCATGGGTCATTCGGGCAGTGGGGGCTCGAACCGGAATACCAGTGATCCTGCCGATGCGCCGCAGCCCTCGATTGAACCGTCAGATGACCCTGTCGCGGATCAATCATTCCCCACCCCGCCGCGGATGCGCGAGCGTCGCCCGGAGGATTTCCAGATACTATGTCATGCTAGATATGCGGGTGATGTGCGCATCTCGTTGACTGCGGAGATCTTACTTGACTACCCGATGCCCAGCTTCGTGGGGCTGCCGTTGAAGCTGAATGTCACGGGCATCACGTTTGATGGGGTCGCTGTGGTTGCGTATATACGCAAGCGCGTGCATTTTTGTTTCTTGTCGCCGGAGGATGCGGATGCCCTGCTTGGCTCTGAGCAATCTCAGGGTAGTCAGAACCCCAGCGATGATGGGCGGCCTCGGTCTGGGAGCGATCAGAAAGACAAGGATCTCAAGCGGCAGGGTGGGTTGTTGCAGGAGATCCGGGTGGATAGCGAGATTGGTCGCAAAGAAGACGGGAAGCAGGTATTGAAGAATGTTGGGAAGGTGGAGCGATTCGTGCTCGCGCAAGTTCGCCGGATCTTCGAGGAGGAGCTGGTGTATCCTAGCTTTTGGACGTTCCTGGTCTGAATGTTCAGCTCGCCATACATTGGTTGGCTGATCTGTATTTACATCTACAAAGAGCTTATGAAAACTACAAATGACGATTTTCGCTTTGAGGGGCCAATCGATAAGAACATGACATTGAAAACCCAAAGTTTGATTGATATGACAGACGTTATAGAATAGGCTCTATTGATCCCATCGAGAGGTCGTTAAAGTATCCGCCGATGCGTGGGGAGGACTGTAAGGAGAGCTCGTGTCGACCGCATTTCCCGGATTGCTCTCTACAAGACAGAATGTATTCCATACACCGAGAGAGGTAGATAGGCATAGACAGTCCTTGATCCCGAATTCGTGTAGTAATTTTGCCGAGTGGTTCCCATTCCTGACAAAGGTCGGATTCAAAGCAGATGTAAAAGGTGCGCAAGCGATGTTCGACCGATGTCCGAGCTTCGACAGTCTAGAACCGCGGAATCGAATGATGTGACATTCTCAGAGGTCTTTCTTGTTCTTCTCGTTCTTGTCGCCCTTCTCAGAGGAAACCTGATCGCCAAGACTGTGGTACTCGCGGGTCAGACCTTCGCACTGCTTCTTGAGAGTCTCAATGTCGCGGTCCTTGGCAGCGATGATCTCCTTGAGGCGACCGATCTCGCCAACAGAGCCAGCCTCCGCAATGCGGGCAGAGTCCTTGCCGCCGGCCTTCTTGTCGCCCTCAAAGAGACGAACGCGGTCCTCAAGACGGAGAGTCTCCAGAATCATGGTGTATGTGCGGTTGAGAATCAGGGAGAGGAACAGAGTGAATCCACAGAGATACATGTTGCGCTGCGAATAGAACTTGCGGGCCTGGACCTCCATGCGGTCGGTACCGAGGTGTGCGGCTCTGTTGACAAGGTTAGTTAGAAATTTTGCGGAGGTGTCCAAGGTATAGTAACTTACCCCATGCCGGGACCATCCTTAGTGAAGGCAGACAGTTCCTGCTGCACGCGGTAAACTCGGTTGACAGAGTCAATGAACAAAATGAGGATGAAGATAAAGGTAATCTGAAAGCCAGGTTAGTAATCGTACTAGAGAAATTATGCTTTTGATCTTTTAGAGGAAGTACCTTGAGTCCATATTGCAGCTTCGCTATGATCGGGCTCTCAGAGATGAAGGCAAACAGCTTGCGCTTCACGGTGTGAGGCAGAGGTACAACGAGGGCCAGGAATACACCCATCTCGAACACCAGAAGCAGGAACACCTATTTAGAAGCATTGTGTTAGTTCAACTTGGGTGGACATTTGCTTGTGTTGGGCGGACAACTTCAGGCACCAGGCTGCAGTGATTGCTGAACAGCCGGACCGTACCAGAAGAAGCCACTTCGGAAGGAGCTCATCGGACATACAAGTGAGTAGTAGAGAGTCATTTTGCTGTGTTTTTATCGACGTAACAACACTTGAAAATGGGTCTTGGGTTTAATCAAAAGGGGCGGGGATGTTGAAAGCTTCGAGAGGATAGCTTAGGGGAAGGTAAACAAATGGAGGATGAGGCAAGAACTCCGTGGTGAACAAGCAGCAGGAACTGAAAAGCTGGAGCAAGGGAAACTGCTTGCTTAGATCAAAATGTTAGACAATTGAGAGTCGGGGAAATGACACAAGAGACGAGGTGGTCTTATGGGGGGAAGTTTTTCAGGTTCGGAGGAAGACGTCATGGCGGCTTGGCCTGGGAGCTTTGCACGTGATACCGTCATCAAGCCTAATCCGGATGTCATCGACAAGATTGGCTTTTGGGCGTTTACGCTTTCTTGAGTTACTGTGTACATATTTTGGCGCCGATTGTCTCGGTATACTTCAGTCCCTATGAAATAGTTTCTTTCTCTATAACGATCCCACTATATGAGATACATACACAGCCCGTAACTGGATACATGTCGTCATCAGGGCGGGATCTACATCGTAGCTTATTGATAAGATGTCGGAATGCAAGTAGATCCGCGATATGCATTGAAGTAGTACTTGGCAGTTCTCAGGCACATATCTCGGACTAGAGAAATATAATAAACGACTACAATCGTTAGTGGCGGAAGACGGGGCACACACTCGAGCTGTCACGAGCTGCTTTTCCCATCAAATTCACTTTTTATCGGGGTAGTAGGAGAATTGAATGTCTTGATGCGATATGCGCACATGCATTCACAGTGATTCTATGTACAATTTTATGTGGTGTAAGACTTATAGGACAACGATATTTAGCCCTCGGCCTCGTAAGCGTTCGACTTGTGCTTGGGCTCGAATTTGAAGGTGTCGGGTGCAGGGCCCAAGAACATTTCACTGTAGAATGGATAAGTCAGTCAATGGGTAGATTAAGCTGCTTAAGGAGAAAGAACTTACCTGATCTTGATCCAGTCCTTGTAGTTAGCGCTACCCATGAGTGTCTCCAACTCGTTTCGGCCACGCCAAGCAGGAGGTCTGTCCTGAATGTTCGGAGGAAGATATTCCAGCAAACCGATCGGAACATAGCGATAAGTAAAGCTCAACCACTCTAGCAAGAAGCGACGGGTGGTTCCGACACCATGCTCATCAGATCCCCAGGCCTGAAGACCGTACTTGACGAATTTCTCGATATAGGCCAAACGCTCGGTTGCAGATTTGTCCAGATACTGGCCGGTTTGAATCTCCTCGAAGAGCCATGGCTTGATCAAAGCTCCACGCGCCACCATGACAGAATCCACACCGGCGTTGTTGACGTGGTCGTCATAGTCAACGTGTGAATAGCAGTCGCCGTTTCCGAGGAAATAGGTCTTGCCCCCATTAGGCATGTGGCGGGCATCTGGTTCACGGATGGTGTCAGTAAGTGCATCCTGCTTCTTATTCAGGCGCTTGATGAGGGCTGCACAGTCTGAGATATATCCCCAGTCTGCCTGTCGGGTGTAGCGCTGCTGTCTGCTCCGTCCGTGCAGAGTGATGGCTGCAGCACCCGGAGGTCCGAGGTCCAGAACACTGGACTCGTATCCACCGAGAACCATACGCTCCACCAGCTTCTGTGCGGTAGGCTGATTGTCCTTGGTACCCATGCGGATCTTGACAGTAATCGGAATCTCCAGTGAGACGGCATTCATGCCACGAATCATCTTCTCCAATTTGGAGTGATGGTCAAGGAGGGCTGAGCCAGCTCCATCGCGGAACACGAGTTCAATGGGGCAGCCGCAGTTCAGGTCGATAACGCGCAAATTAGGGGTAAACTTGGACAGCACCTCGGTGGCCTTGAGCGCCTGCCAGGGCTTGTTGGCGGCGATCTGTGCACCGAACTTGGAGTCTTTGGAATTATCATAGCCCTGGACAACGTTGTCTCCCGGGATAACGGTTGGCGGAGCCATTTCCGACTCATGTGCCTTCAACAGGGTCCATTCAGACTTTGATCCTTGAATCAAAGGCATGCTCATGGCCATCTCTGAGTAACTGAATTGGGCACCCAGATCTTCACAAAGCCGTCGGAATGGCATATTGCCTTGAGTTGTGAGAGGTGCTAGAACGGGTGTCTCTGGTCCGAAGTAGATGCGTCTCTTCTCCGATGGCATGAAAGGAGGTTCAAGGAATCGAGCGCGGTTTTCCTCTCTGTCAATCTTTGCTTGCTCGTCTGTTTGGACAAGCTCGCCATTATCACGGACGGTTGACCGCTGGTGTATCGCTGCCTCCAATTCAGCGGAGACTTTGACGGACCACGTGGTGTAAGCGTCGGCCCGCGGGGTGTCCTCTCTTTTCCTTGTAAGACTGATTTTGTCTTCGACAGAAATGACGTTGACGATTCCGTCTGGTGTCGCGTGAGGCACACGAGGCCGAGCTTTCTCCATGCGTTCTGCGTCCTCCAGCAAGATCAACTCTTTTCTGCCGTCTTCAGTCTCTCTCTCGGTCGAGTGTGAACCGACCAAGCGACATTTCCAGCCGGAGTAACACTTGCCTAGCGCTTCGTAGGCGGGGCAAACCTTCAAGGTAGTGAGGTCTTCGCGCTTATGCTCTTTCAGATAGACACGAAGATCGTGCTCAAATCGACAAGAGTCCCCATATTGGCACTCCGGAGCGGCGAACTCGTTGGCAAACATTCTTGTGCTGCAAAGACCCTTCGCATCTTGAGATTTGCCATAGCTGCGGTTGGTGTTCTGACCCTTGTTCTTCTTCTTCTTTCCTTTATCCTTCTTATTATCGCCACCATCACGTCCATCACGCCCATCTCGAGGGGCAGCCTCGGCGGCATCGTCGGGGCTAATCTCATCTGCGGGGCGAGGCTTCGGCACAACTTCGATGCGATACCTTAACAGACGTGTCAGTATTTTGGCACCTTGGGGAGAACCGTAAAATGTACTCTGCCTTGATGGGCGCAATTGCTCTATCGCGCATGTCGCGCTTGTCTTGCTCGGTAGGCTTGGAGGACTCATCCAATCGCGCCTTCTTAGAGGGAGGCTCTTCCGTGCCCGTCGTGCCAGATTCGTCATTTGCGGCATCGCGCTTCGGAGCCTCGAGATTTGGCGCAGCAGCGCTTGCTTCTAAGGCTTGCGCCTTTATCGTTTCCGGTTCCATTGCAGTTCAGGCAAAGAGCAAGCGGTTTAGGAATGTTTTCGCTATAGACAAGGAACACTCGGTCAAAATTTCGATGCTTGTTGTAAGTTTGCACTGTTTGCGCTTATTATTATTGGCTCGTTGTGATGACTCATCCATGTCTTTACCTGTTAAAGACTAGCGCCAACTCAGATTAGCCCCGCTTTGTCGCCCCAGGCATAGCCATCTACAGTACACAGTAGGTACGTACTGCATATCTCCGATGGGCCTTGAGCTCTTACTGTGTATCAGAGAAACAATAACACTCCTTGGGGCTTGGAGTCACATGTAAGGTTCCGAACCCAATAATTGTGGTTTTGGTGTATACCCGATGATGGGTAAACCGTAAGGGTAAGGGTAACAGCAAGACAGGTGCAGAGCTAGCTGAGCTGACGTACTGTGTAGAGATATCAGGCGAGTTCTATAGACGTACTCTTATATTATTGCAGAAGTAATTTCTACAACAACAGGGCATGTAGCGCAGTGGTAGCGCGTTCGTTTTGCAATGGTTCTATCTTCGAACCATACGACTACGAAAGGCCCGGTGTTCGATCCACCGCTTGTCCATTTCATTTTACTTTTTTTATTTCTCACTTACATATTCGATGTCCTCCATCATTTTTTTTTTCAGAATCCATGGTTAGTTGCGTGTATTTCTGTCTGTCTCTCTATCTGGAAAAGGTTCGATCTTCATTCACCCTTGTCGAAGTCGGCTTTTCTATGTATGTCGCGGTAATTCTCCTTTTTGGCGGTGTTCCCTAGAATAGCAGGACTGCCTCTATCCATATGACACCTATCGTGCTGCAATCGGTCATGCCTCATGGATACAACCTAGGTTGAATCCTCAAGTCCTAGCGACGGCTAGCGTATGAGTCAGATGGTCTTAGGTTTCGTAGGTTATGGTCATTCCAGGTGCCCAGGCCTCGCAGGTTGGCAACGAACATGTACTTATGTCTACAGGACGGGTATTGGTCGCCACCCTTCTCGGAATATGTTCCCCTGCCATGGCCTCAACGGAATCCATCCCCGTAATGAGTGTACTTTGAGGCGCCGGTGCCTGTACCGTACAACCTTACATGAGTCAGAGGTACAAAGCGCATGCCAGATTTGAGAATCGGGATAGCTATGCATTCAGGTTAGCGTTTGGTGAACAAATATTCCGGGGCTTGCGACCGCGGGCGGGTAGGTTTATATTTTCGATACCTAATGCCGACCATCTGGGGCTTGCCTACAGCTACAGTTGCTCCGAATATTTCTGTACTTTGTTGGTCTTGTAGGTAGGTGTACCACCGGATGAAGCAGATATATATAGGTATGACACAGTACCAAGTCGCATAATCTACCCGTGGACGGAGACTTCGTAGCGAAGGTCGGATGAAGAAGCGTACAACCAAAACAGGGGCCATAGGCACAACAGCGTTGATTTGAGTTGAATGGTTCCGAACAAAATCCCCCATGACTATGAGTATGTACAGCAGGAAGGGAAAGCCAATGTGGGGCATGAGAGCGCAATGTGGTAACCTCAACGACGATCGCGATCGCGAGGGAAAGAAAAATACAGTACAAGGTCGCGAGTAGGATAAGGAGGCTGATGAGTATGCCTGCGAAGAAATCATTGTATTCCACTATATAAAGATCCCTCCTCTAGGAGCCAGAGCCACCAATATGGGCAACAAGTAGTTAAAAGACCCGAAATACCCGAGGGTGAAGAGAGTCATCATACAACATCAAGCTCGATGACGGAAAGTCAAGGAGGCCGATGAAGTGTTGTTTTTCAAAAATTCCCAGGGTCCCCGGAGGAACACCTGAAGCAGTCAAGGTGGTAGTTTTCAACTAGCAAAAACACGATCTCGGATTTCTCCTCACTGATGCGTGTAAAACCCTTGCACTAGGATGAAGAAGAAAGAAGAAAAGAAGAGGAAAGTTGAGGGGGAGGAGGGGGTACTTATACCCTGATGCATCAGTCAGTGACTCAGTGGTCACAGGACCCGTGGGTTGTTTGTTTGTTCTTTAAACCATCTTAGTTACTTCCTCCTAACTAGACTACTTAAATGACCCAGTTAACTGACTCGTTGTTTTCCGACCGTCGACAAGTCATTATCACACTAGTACTGCGACAACCTATATTATTGAGCTGCATGCGTTCTCACCCTTACAGGGTGCTTAGAAGTCCGATTCTTCCTCGTCGTATCCTTCCTACATACTGTGTATATACTCACAGATCTGCACTCCCATCTTGTTCTTTTCCAGCTAGCCACAAGCGATAGTCAAATTCAGGATCCATTCTTTTCGAGTCAAATAGTAAGAGAATTGAAGTACCAACGACTCAACAGTTTCTTAACTATGAGTGGGCTTATCTATTTGCTTATCTTGCAGTAAATGCGGGGTCGATTCACTTCCCCCGCTCTGCTGTTGTTTCCCCTCATCTCGAGATCAAATGTTACTGTCATAGTAAACACACGGATGTCACACTCAGCTCGGAAAGAAGTTATAATCGAGTCACAAATTCCGAGCCTTATCTGTAGCTCTCCTTACGGTTAATCGTCTCCAAGCTCTCAGGCGCTAAAATCACAGTACAACCGCCCTGGACGCATTAACGGCAGCCACCAAGCTCCTCGATGCCCCAAAAATTCTGCCGGATTTTTATTATCGGCGCGCTAAACCTAATCGGTAGCTTCCTTCACAACGACGTATCGCCGCGGATTCGGGTCTGCTACTGTATTTCCCCTGCCATGGCTCCGCTACTGTAGGAAGGGGGAAGAAAGCGGATACAGCATCGGGCCTATGATACCAAGTGTGTTTCTATGGTTGAATTACGACAATGATATCTCAACTACATAGGATCTTAAGTGGAAACGGCACAAGAAGACTAAGAACTTCATTGTTCATTGAGCAACCGGGTGTAGCGCACCTCCATTGTTCTTCGGGCCGAGGACGCCTCCAGCTTCATAAAGCACTGGTAGGTCCAACCCACCTCGAACGGAGCACCACTACACCACGGTGCGAAATAGTAAAAAAAGCAAGGGTACCCAAAAAGCAAAGAGTACATGTAGGTACTAGGCACCACAGGAGCCAAAAGGCACCCGAGGAATTCGTGCTACCTCAGATTCCAGAACGCCACCAGATTTCCGTAACAGGGTATTTCGAGTAAAGCAAAAGAGACCACTTGTGGTCAGAGAAAACGATGAAAAGTGCCACCGCCTAAGGCAAGTAGGCACTGCCAGCAACCACCAAGTTCATGTTCGTGAATTTGACCTTGTAGACAGTGGACTTTTTGGTTGGGAAGGCACTGATCTGGTCCGCAGTGACCACGCCATCCTTGCCCTTTTTCTTCTTGTTCTTGCTAGCAGATGGCGCTTGGTCACCGTCAATTGCGCCACCTTCGGCAATGACACGCCCCTGTGTGGCCTCCTGGGGGCCAGCGACGTCCCAGACACGCACGGTACAATCAGCTCCGCCAGAGACCAGTACTGTGGACTCCATGCTCCAGCTGAGAGACCAGATGCCGCCCTTGCCGTGACCGCGCATGCGCTTGAGTAGTCGACCAGGAGCCAGATCCCAGAGGATGATGCAGCTCTGGTCATCAGCAGAGGCTAGAATCTTGCCGTTGCGGCTACATTCCATCGCAGTGACGTTGCCAGTGTGGCCGGTGAACATACGAACAGCATTACCGGTCGTAACAGCCCACATGCGGACAGTGCGATCAGAACTTGCAGTGAAAACATATGCAGAGTTAGGATGGAAACACACAACATCCACATCCTGATCATGGCCAGCGAAAATACGCTGCTGCCGAATATGATCGCTCACCCACAAGCGGGCAGTTTTGTCGCTCCCGCCAGAAACAAAGTAGTGACCAAAGGGTCCGAAGCGGACATCCCACACAGGGCGGTCGTGGCCCCTGTAGACGACCATACACTGCCATGATTCCAGCGACCAAAGGCGGACTGTTTTGTCGGCCGATGATGAAAGCAGCCAGCGTGCATTGGTAGGGTGCCTGTCCCCAACCGGAACGTCCTCGCGAGCAGTTGCGCACAGCTGGAATTCGACAGCATACACAGGGCCAGAGTGGCCAATCAATCGGCGCGAATTGGTAGGCGTCAGATCATCCAAATCCGGGTAAGCGGCTTGAATGGGCGAGCCATCCAGAGACCAAATTCGAATGTATGATTGCGCGAATCCGGCGGCGACAAGCTTGCTGTCATCCGAAAAATCGATGCAGTTAATGCTGTGCATTTGTTAGCAAAGGTCTGCGTTCGAAGAATAACTGGAATGAACATACCTATCATAAGTATTGTGGAAGGTGAACATGCAAACGCTGACACCAGGACCAACACCGCCGGTGCGAGCTTTGATCTCGAACCTATCGCGATGCTCCATCACCTTCATAACCTGAACCTGGACGTCACGATCAATGGACGGGGGTAAGGAATGTCGGCGCGAGTAGGTGCCTCATCATCATCTTCGTTCTTGATCATCTGATCAAATTCTTGAACAAAGGTATTATGACCAGGTGGCGTAGGCTTCTTCGCGTCTTCTTCAGCGAGTTCAGCCCGCACGTCCTCCATCAGAACTAATTCCATAGGAAGTTTCCCGAGCTTCAGTCGGGGCAAGCTGCCAGCCATGGCCGGGTTGTCGCCAGTACGAGCCGAGCCAGGATGATGTCCCGGGATTCCCTCGTCTTCGGCGGGGAAGGTCTGATCGGCACCGATCTGGCCCAGCATAGCAGCAAAACTGAATCTGTTATCCGCTGCTCGATCCATAGTCTTCACCGAGCAGTGGCAGTTAAGGATCGCATTCATGACGGAACCACCCTCTCTTTCCTTACTCTCGAGGAACTGGAGGAGATTGGTGTAAGCCGGGTTGCTTAACACGAGGCGGTATTTGTTCATGCGGTACAGATTAGCGATGGAGTTCTCCTGCAGTTGCATCGGCAAAGTGATTGGTTCAAAGTGACGGATATCGTCGGTGTGCTCAGGAAGAAACATATTTTTGTTTGCATCAAAGAATGCTTTTGCATACTGAGGATAGAAAGACGTGATCATACTGAAGAATGAATAGACGAATAACGGCCAGAGGATGCGACGAAGTTCGGACTGTGAGACAATTAGGTTGAAGTTCTGGACTCCTGCTTTGTTTCTCTTACCTTGTAACAATCGAGGCTTCCCTCAACCCAGTTCTTGAGCAAATCTGAAGATCGCATTAGTTGCTATGTTGGGCTATGCAAGTGCGGCACTTGAGCTTACCGAATCCTTGGCAGGTCCTGGGGCGAGAAGCCTCCCACAACTGAGCGCGAGAACGTCCGTCAACCTCCTGGGCAGATTCCATCCGAAGCATTGCCTCTGTTTGATTGTAGCCTTTGCAGACTAGATAGTTGGTGATCTATACACAATGAAAGGTTAGCATTCCATTGTAACAGAAAGTGATTTGACCAAAACAAAATGTGAAAGCAAAAGGTATAGAGAACAGACCCGTTGAGCCAAATCTGCGGGTGAAGCATTCGTAGATCGAGGCTCTTGGCTTTCTCCTGGGCCGACGGTGGTAGAAGATCCGCGCTGAGCAGCTTGCATCACCTCGCGATGAGTAGTTGACATTTCTTTGTGTTGAGCAGATGTTACGGCAAGGCGATGAGGAGCTAACACCTCCTCGTGCTCGCGCTGAGTAGTTAATATCATTTCCGGCTGAGCAGGTGGTACAGCCCGGCGCTGAGCTTCCTCCTGCTGGGCAGCTCGCCGTCCCTCTCGCTTTCTGACTTCGAGTTCCGCCTTTCTCTCCTCCTTAGACTGCGGCATTATGGCAGTCTCCGTATTAATAGCGACGAGGAGTCGATGGAAAAGATGTGAATTGGGGGTAAGATGAGACGTGAAAACAAATGAAAGATGAGGTGATAGACGTAGACGATGGTAGTGGTGGTATGTCGAAATGATAGGGAGGATAGAATAATGCGGCCGAGTCTAGCAGGATGTAGACATGCGGAGATAGTGGCGTGAACAAGCCTGAGTGACAACTGATAGCCCTCCCTATCAGTTCGACATACCACCACTACCATCGTCTATTTCCATCACCGCACGTCTCATCTTACACCCAATTCACATCTTTTCCATCGACTCCTCGTCGCTATTAATACGGAGACTGCCATAATGCCGCAGTCTAAGGAGGAGAGAAAGGCGGTTAGGAGGAAACTCGAAGTCAGAAAGCGAGATAGAAGGCGAGCTGCCCAGCAGGAGGAAGCTCAGCGCCGGGCTGTACCACCTGCTCAGCCGGAAATGATATTAACTGCTCAGCGCGAGCACGAGGAGGTGTTAGCTCCTCATCGCCTTGCCGTAACATCGCCGTTGGCGAAATGCACCTCAAGCGGGCTGAAATAGCCAAACAGGGGAAGCAGGGTATTGTTATACCGACTACACTGTCGGCAATGTATCATACTGCTCGCATATGCTGGACTCAGCTGGTTCCTCGCCGCGATCTCATTCGACATCCTCGTGCTGCAATAGAGAAGGCACAGGAGACTGCAGGGCTTGCTAGTTGCAACATTCGAATTTGTGTTGAATGGTGGGTTCAATAGACCACTCTGGATGCACAACGCCAGGATGGGAAACGCCAATGCTTATGAGACTCGGTCATATCGTCGGCGATGTTGTGAAACACGAAGGATCCTCCGCCAAACAGCTGAATGGATCTCGGGTCGAAAGCGGAAAGGCCGTCATGTATCAAGCCTCTGTGACTTGCCTGCCTCGGGCTTGGACTGGGTGGGCACATCGGGGGAAACAATCATCGCAAAGAGCCAGAATGGAGGCAGGGGAGACCAGACTTGCTCGGGGAAAGGGCAAAGAGACCATGAACACACTTACGATTTGGTTCACCACTTCTGTTGTCATCGTACCACTCGGAGGGGCACTCTGTCCTGTTTGCGGAGCCGGCTGGATTGGTGTCTGTGACACAGACTGCTGAGGCATCGCTATGCCAGTGCCGCTTGCGCCAGGTCCCATGCTATTGCTGCGTGGGGCCGGGCGAGGGGCACCACCCGGAGCCGACATAACTAATCAAAGATTAGTTGTGACTAAGCGCTGAGACTGCGTTGGCGACTGAGCGTCGGCGACCCAGCAGGCACTGCTACGGAAGCTTTGGATGACGATCAGGCTCGACAACGGTCGCTGGGATGAGCCTTACTTGCGAAGGTAAGATGAAGATGATAGAGGGAAAGCAAAAATGATGGAGGAAAAGCGAAGATGATGGAGGGAGAGGGATGGAGGAAGAGTGATGGAGTAGGAGTATGAAGCACAAGCAGTGATAGTTATAGTTATCGTCTTATCGATATCCTCTTATCGATATCTCGAGTTTGCTCGATACCTACTGGATTAATCTTGAGGCGGTGAATCGAAGCTACAGACCGCCTACCCTTTGGAGACACGCCCCGCACCCCGTGGATCTGCACGTGATACCTATTCACCTGATTGTCTTCCAATTGTTGTCTCAGTCACGTTCTATCCTAGCAGAGTCGCTAGTGTTGAGGTTCCCCGCACGCACTGGCTTCTGTCTCCATCGTGCTTTCCACGGTTGGCCAGCATGAGCGATGATACATCCCCGAAGGAGCCGCAAAGCTTCAGTCCTGCCGATCGCATCGAGCAGCTGAACGCAGTGGATAAGGTTCTATAACGGGCGCCATTGATGCACGGGTACTCGCTGACTCTTATTGTCCAGGACTTGAACAAACTGGTATGGTCCGCTGCAAGTGCAATTGAGGTTTTAACCTCTGCGAAACTGGCCTCTTCATCCCCCGCGATCGACGGCTCGGTCGGCTCGCGGAAAGCTCTGTTCTCACAAGCCTGCATGGTCTACTTTAAGCTCCTCTCCTCGGTGGATGTTCAGCTTCGCCGCCAGGTACACGCCCTCGAAGAATATTTCTATACACACGAACTCGGCGCACCCGCAGTCGACCCAATGGCTGGAGCCAAAATCGAGGGAGGCGCGGATAATAAGTTCTCCACTTCGGGCTCACTGGATATCGGCCAACTCAAAGTACGGAAGGATGCAGCCTGGAAGGAGTTGGAGGCTGAACGGTGGGCTGCTACTGAGGGTTTCGTTGTGGAGGATATTCCGCAGACGACCCAGGACGAAAAGCCTGCGAATGAACTGCAGGATATGTAGGTGGATTGAAATGACGAGCTCTTTAGGGCTCGGTACGGCCGGTGGTGGCTACTTTATGCGTTTATATGATACCCTGGGCTCTTACTTTGAGATTCTGCGATTACAATGAGTGTCAATAGGAGCTCCCGAAAATATTACCTGGTATCAGAGAGGATCATGGATTTCATGTAGGATGTTGAACCGTGGACCTGCGCAGCGCTGACAACTCCATAGGAAGTAACACTTCACATCGAGCTAACCAACTAGTTAATAATTTCTTAAATAATGCCATTACATAACAAATTGGGCATGTAGCGCAGTGGTAGCGCGTTCGTTTTGCAATGGTTCTATCTTGGATCCATACGACTACGAAAGGCCCGGTGTTCGATCCACCGCTTGTCCATTTCTTTTTGCTTTTTTACTTCTCATTCACCAAATCTAGGAAATTTTCAACCTTGTCCTACCAAGAGTTTTCACTTTTTTTTAAAGCATGTCTAAATCCAGTGTATTCCAACCTAATATTCTCTCCACTGTGTAGTGTTCCATTACCATCCAGGGTCATGGATGTCGACATAGTTATATATCAAGATTTTAGGTTGTGGGGATAGCACTTTATATAACCCAAGGTCATAGGTATTACATGTAGACAACTATGGCATAAGCCGCTCCCGTCTCATGGAATCACCCAAGAAACCACTGGAAGTGTATTAGTCCTCCAACCTATTCGCAGAATCACGCAGATAGTAGTTGACAGTTTTGCGAGGGGAATAAGATAGTTGTCCCTCCATTTCCATAACGGTGTGGCATTGGATCTCAAATGTTGGTCATGCTCTCAGGCACCCGACTAACAACCAGCTCGTGATAAAAGGGGAATAAAAGTGTCGTGCTTGCTAGAGTACGGAGTAATAGCCTTGCTCATTGCTGATCATTCTCTTGCCGGTAACCGCTAAAAGGGGTCTTTGTCTACGTGTATGTAGACATATATTGGGGCCAAATCCCTATTACCACTAACCAACATGACTTACTATGGAGTAGACTGCGCCAGAGCATTGCAAGGATGTCTTTGTACTCCGTAAAGGAATTCCACTCGTGGACAATGCTGTGGTGTTGGCCCAGCTAGATGTGGCTGGTGGGCCAAGTGGCGGTGTAATGACAGTGTGGCGTAGCACAGCCTCCTCCCCTGACGGCAGAGGCCCCGGCCCGGAAGGCTCCATTTATCTAAGCGCCCCGACGAGGTGGCCCTTAAGTAACCCCTCCTTTGCTGAAGCCTGGAAAGATATCTATCTCATTCCAATCACCCTGACAACCATAAAACTCTCCCTTCGTGTCCTCATAGGTGTCTTCTGTCTCTCAGTACCATCAGAGGTGTCATCGTTATTCGTGCCTCTTTTTACAGTGAAGTATCGAAAACCAGACGACGTCATACCTGCGTTATCAGCAACCCAAATCGTGGGCAACCTCGATACACGAATTGCGACAACAACAATGTCGGGCGCAACTCAAGATCCTCGACTGCTCTACAGCGTCAATAATATTCGTGCTTTCCATATCCAAGATGGCGAGGAGCAGGAGCTTACCCCATCCGGTCCCCAGACTCTCTCGTTGCTAATGGTCCCCACGAACACAGCTGGTGATGGAGCTGGGGCCGATTGGCGTGAAGAATCACCCGAAGAGGATTTCTATCTCCACCTGTACCTCCCGCCTGAGCTGGATCTCGCGATACCGGCAACTACACAGATCTTCCATCAACCTCCCGACAGTTATCTGATTCCCCGCTGGGACATGGGCCCCGATGCTGGCGCCTTTATCCGTATTCAGTTTCCTAGTATCGGTTCGGGCCCCACCAATGTCTCCCAGGATGACATTGATACGTTTGAATCTATCCTTGCGCAATGCACTGCATTCCACGAACACGTCTCGCCCCCAAAGGATCAGGTCCATACCGCTTATAACCCGGCCGAATACGCACCGGGTGAGGGATACGTTGGAACCCCAGATACAAAGAAGGCAGATGGACACGGGCGAATTGTGTTGGTAGACGAAGAAAACGGAAGTGTGGTTGGAGAGCTAGGAGATGGTTACAATGTAGTCGAAGACGCTGATGTGAAGCCTGGTTCCAAGAGTAAGTGATCTATCCCGCTGTCGCAATCATCCCGAGTTAGCTGCATATTGACACATCGTAAAACAGGACCGGTAGGGATTGAACTTCCCACAGAAGGCCAAGGCAACCAAGTCAGCGTCAGCAATGTCTCTGAAGAATACCTGGCGTTGTCCCGGCACCCGGCATATAAGGGCTCGACGCTCGTGCAAAGCTCAGCTACCGCATCCCGTCTTATTGTGACTGGATCGACGTATCTGGCAAATGCTATCGCAAGCGGCGCCGAAAGCTTCCAAAAGAGAACGCAACCTACTCCCAAGCCTCTCAAATTCTCGGACGCTACCCACTCGCGCATTCGAAAGGTTGGCACTCTCTCAAACAGCGCAGCAGATTTTTCTGCTCGCACAGTTGGGCAGGTCGGAAGAGTCGCACAAAACTTAGGCGCATCACTGGCGCGCAAACAAGATTCCGACCGAAAGAAAGGCGTCGACAAGCGCAATCCACCACCAGATTATAAGCCTGGTGTGCTGAACAAATCAATGATCGCATTCTCAACATTAGCCGACGGCATCGAGCAGGGAGCCCGGAACATGCTATTCTCGGGTGCCAGCGCTGCCACCTCCATGATCGACTACCGCTACGGTAATGAGGCAGGCTCCGTCGCACAGAACCTGACGGGCGGCATCAAGAATGTCGGATTGGTCTACATAGATGCTTCAGGTGTCAGTCGCCGCGCGCTTCTGAAATCAGTTGCCAAGGGCATGGTCGTCGGAAGAATGCGCGACGGCCAACAGGTTGTAGTTGGTGGTGGTGACGGCGGCCATGTTCCAGCTGGCGCTGTGGAGGGCGTTCCGGGCCCTTCTGATTTGGGCGTCAGGGACCCCAATGCGCGGCGCGCGTCGCCTAACCCCACACCGCCCCCTGCATACGGCGCCTCTGGGACAACGTCCCTCGGCGGGACATCGTTGTCAGGGGGTAAGCGGTAAAAAAACACGGGGGCTGGCGCGCATGGCAATCAACTTGTGTCTGCTTGATTATTCGATTTTATTTGAATTCGCTTTCGGCGGGCGGCATGAATTCCCCCATCTGGAACATTTACTGTGTAGATTGAAACTTGAAGACTGCTGAGCCTTCGTCTATGCTCTATTTTGCCTTTTTGATACGTAGATAGTGACCTCGCATATTCAAGATAAAGTTCCGACCGCATCGTAATGTACGATGTATGCACTATGGACGTCAATTTGCTGCTTCTCATCAACGGTTGAATAGGATTTGGGTTTTGGCCACGTAAGGTCACACAGCGCCATAATTGGATGAAGTAAAGCTAGACCGTCTTTTGAGGCGGAAATTTGACTTGTATTGCCAGTAGACACAACTTGAAGATGCGAGGGTGTGGGCTTGTTGTTGACAACGGCGACGGGCAATTAGATAGGCTTGCTTATATGCCCTTGCCGCTGGACGATCTATCCGATATCGATTGGATGACAATATACAACGTTGTAGAGGCGAAAACTGCCAACGCATCGTTTGACAGTTGTCCACGGCCCACCGACGCCCCTTGCCCAATGGGGATTATCAGGGATTGATTGATAGTGGGAACGGCTTGACGCTACGCCTGGTGTATTAGCGATCCGGTATAGCGCAAAAAATGGAAAAGTTCCCGAAGTGTTAAAATTACATGCAGAAGATTGGATTGACATGAAGACTGATTATGTACTTTTCCGTGTGGATAGCCTTAACTAGGCGTGGTTAGAAGTACTCCATACGATGCACATGGTGCATGAAGTGCATGGATGATAGTGTAAGGTTTAGTGTTGCAGACCGGACTATTCAGGGACCGCATTACTCGTACATCACCCTTTCAAGGTTGCAGTTGAAGATGAAATCCATGGATGCGAAGATCTACTGGGATCGGGATTCAACCTACCATGGTTTGAGCCAAGCATCTTTACCGTGGTTGGGAGCTATGGTTTCCAGGGTTCGACACATCGGGATCTGATCTTAAATGTTTGCATATTGAACATCTTCGATCAATTACGAAGTGTACTTGTATTGATGGCTATGAGAGCTATGTAAGTACCTTCAGCTTTCCATGTACACGGTCAAAGCCCATGCGAAATAGAAAATAGAAACAGCAGTTCTTTAGCGCTTACCGAGAACCACGCTAAGCTGGGGTACTGCGACTACTGCAAACCATCTTCAGGGTTCGTGAACCCGGATAATTGGAGCTCCCCAATTGATGGAAATCCATAATCTTCAGTGTACTCTGTAGATTGATTGAAGTGATATTATTTACCGATACTCCGTATATCAACGCAGCTAGACCAATGAAGAAGAACAAGGAAAAAAAGAGATCCGAGCTTCTGTTTTGGGAGGGCTAATAATGACGATCGTCCGAGGTGTCCACACTTACACACTATCAACATTCGAAACAGCCGGTGCAACCCCCTATTTTTTCTTCTGAAACTGGGCCTTTTAGTTTTGGCACTTTTGACTGGATTGAACTATTAATATTTCCGAGCTCAGAGCACATACTACTGTGTACACAGTACACTTTGTGTGCACTTCTGTCCCTTCTTTAGCACATGCGAGGATCAGCCCTCGGTACTCGAGCCCTTCTCTAGCACAGGCACAGGTCAACACGCAAGGGATTCGCGATCAATATATAGACAATCGATATCGAATCCACCTTTGTGTACTCCGCTCCCGTACGCGCCAATTAGTCCCAACTCTGTCCTCGTCAGTGTTCTGGACGTATCATACCCTAAAGCTTCGGATAGCTGACCTCGGGCTATGTATGGATTTACATACTGACAGAAGGTATCAATCTTGATGAAAGATTGTTCTAGATAGTATAATAACTCAGTAGAAACATAGCTTCTGCTATAGACTTCATCAATTAGCTCTAGTCAAATAGAAATTCATTAATTGCTCAAGCGGTCATATCAGCCAAATCCTCATCCAAGGCTCAAGAGCCAAAGACCCGCCTCCCCCAGACTAAGAAAGAAACTACCAAACCTGGATCTCACCTCCTCTTTTCTTCTTCACCTTCTTCCCATCTGGCCTTTGCTTCCCTTAGGGCCATCTTTTTTCCTTTTGATTTGTTCTTTTTTTCTTCTTCGTTTCTTTGATTCTGTTCTTTGGGGGTAACTACTCCCCCCCCTTTTTGACTCGGAATCCCCGACCGGTGCTTCCCGTCTTTTCCTCCCCTCGCACCCCCTGTCCGCCCCTCAGTACCCTGTCTTCGACAATGTTCACTGTCGCCGCAATTGAATCCGAGTTTTGTTGATCGGGTTCGCAATCGCGTCTGAGACATTTGTTACCGCGTTTGCTTGCGGATAACGTGCGACCCAAACCCCAAATCGGGGGTCTGGACAGAGGGGACTCTGGAGTACTGCAGTGCAGGTAACTTTAGCTTTTCTTTCCTTATTTGGGAAACCTATTGCTTTTCGACGCGTCTTTACATCTGCAGAAGGTCGTGACCTGGCGTCCTCAGTGATATTCTAACCCCATCTAACGGGGTTTGCGCGATTGGTGGTAAGCTTGTTTCCCCCCATTCCTCCGATCGATCTCCTGTCACCGGTGGCGCCCCCCCCATTCCTGGATTAAACGCACATTTTTCGCGATTATCGATAAGAAACTGGGGAAAGTCTATACTGACAAGTGTATCAATATCTACAGATTGCGCTTTGAATCGTTGTTTGGCGAGTGCGACCGGTCGCCCCAACCCCCCGACTTTCACCAGACATCCCCGGACGTTGTGCTCCCTCGCGCCAATCGTACCAATCGCAATTGATACCAAATTTCTTCAATCGAGTGCCCGCAGAAGCTGCCTCGAGTTGTCACACAGCAAGTCTCATAAGGCTTTGCGCATTTACTTGACGAAGGTATGTGGTCAGCCGAGCTCTGAATCGCCTCATGAGCATGTCCCTACCGCTCAATTCGGTGGATAATTTACTAATCTCTTCACAGCCGTTTCTGAGGCCGGTCCCGAACAGCTTTGCCGACTATGAGCACTTCTCATCAGCAGGCCGTGCCACTCCCCACCCATGCTCCAACGGTACCGACAAGCACATCGTCTACTGCACAAAAGAATGCGCGCACAGCCTATCCCGACATGTTAGGCACACCTCCGATTCCTCCCCCGAGGACTTCTTCCACACACCATAGTCGCCGCAGTCCGAATGGAACATCCGCAGACAAGACCAGTAGCTCGAGACAAGGCAAGAGCAGGTCGGATAGAAAAGAGAATCGTGATAATCGCGATCGCACGCGCGATGACCGAAATGGCAAATCACGGAGGCATCAAGCGGAGGAAGCTCCGCGCGAAGCACAGCAATCAAAAACGGCTCCCCCAGTGACAAACCCAGCTGAGTCGGAAATGGAAAATATCTCTAGTCAAGGAAACTTGGTAAAAGAACCAAGCGCAGTGATTAGCTCCGTTCTTGTCAGTGATCCTGCGGTGGACGCCGTGAGAGAACAAGCGCGACAAGTTGGCGCGGAACATACCCCTTCTTCTGGTTTCGATGGCATGGGCGGCGACGGTGCGGAGGAGGCTCGCGGGCCCCGAAGTCGGCACGACTATGGCAACGGGAATGTTATTAAGCGCAAGGAAACCACCTTCGGCTCTTACATTCTTGGACAAACCCTCGGCGAGGGCGAGTTCGGAAAGGTCAAGTTGGGATGGAAGCGCGACGGCAGCATCCAGGTTGCTATCAAGCTCATTCGAAGAGACACGCTGGGAACCAATCCTAGCCGCCTGCCGAAAATCTACCGTGAAATTGCTATTCTGCGCGAGCTGGCACACCCCAACATTGTGCGCCTTCACGAAATGGTGGAAACCGACCGTCATATTGGGATCATCATGGAGTACGCGTCAGGAGGCGAACTTTTCGACTACATTCTGAACAACAGGTATCTGAAAGATAACTCCGCACGTCGACTGTTTGCTCAGCTCGTTTCCGGAGTCGGCTACCTGCACAAGAAGGGCATTGTGCATCGTGATCTCAAGCTGGAAAACCTGCTGCTCGATCGAAACCGCAACATCATTATTACAGACTTCGGATTCGCCAACACTTTCGACCCTGTGGACCCGCTAGACGAGGAGATCGAGTATAACCTGACCAACAAGGAATATGTGAAAAGAAAGAAGTTAGACAAAATCGGTAGTAACGGTCTACGGCGAGGCGATCTAATGCAAACGAGCTGTGGCAGTCCTTGCTACGCGGCCCCCGAGCTTGTCGTGAGCGACTCTTTATACACAGGCCGGAAGGTGGATGTGTGGAGTTGTGGTGTGATCTTGGTATGTTTCCGTGCAGCCGCTAATCTTGGATCGACTAACCCTCCGTGAATCTAGTACGCCATGTTGGCAGGATATTTGCCTTTCGATGATGACCCAGCAAACCCAGACGGCGACAACATCAATCTTCTGTACAAATACATTGTCACTACTCCTCTCACATTCCCCGAATATGTCACGCCGCATGCACGCGATCTATTGAGGCGGATATTGGTTCCTGATCCTCGGAAACGCGCAGACTTATTTGAAGTTGCCCGTCATAGCTGGCTCAGTGAATACTCGAACATTGTGTCCCATATCACAAGCAGCACAACGAACGTTATGGATATCGCAAACACCACGATCCCATCTGGTAAGAGCAAGTCAAGGAAGCGGTTGAATTCAAATTGCTCACATATATCTACAGAAACTCAAAAAGAAGCACCACCTCTTGTCCGCAGTGCCTCAGTACGCGAGCCACCGAAGACACATCAGAACAGTGTGGCAGCTGTTGGTGGACTCAATCATCATGCTGGGGATATTTCCCAAGACCCGCCAACCGAAAAGTCCAGGACCCCCCGCGACGCCAAGCGGAGAACGGTACAAGTCGAATATGTCGCTCCGCAATCACAGACGACGAGAGGCGACCCCCCGGCGGAATCCTCTGCACCACGCGGCCGACTCCCGGTCTCAGAGGCTCAAAGTGCTGCTTCAGCGCAAAGACCGGCAGACCCAGCCCGGCACGTTGCAGAAGTACCGGCACTCAACCTCAACAAACCACTTCCAGGACACTTCCCGCGCTCTACTTCGGACAATGCAGCCCTTACTGGGACGCAAACAGCTACAGTGCCTCAAGGCCCTCGACCGGCCACTGGTGGATCTATGAATTCTTTCGGCAACACCGGTCGTTTGCCTTCCCGTGGCTCCTATGGTCAGCCGGTGGCTCCTACTGTTACCGCGACTAATACAGAAGGCCGTCTGGCACAGCCCAAAAGCAGACAGTTTGCTCTTGCGCAGGAATCCGCGCAAGCCTCGAGCACATCTATCTCTCGCCCAAGCACCCGCAACCCACAACTGCCTCCCACTTTCAACACTACTCCCCGACAAGAGCCACCAAAGGGCCACAAGAGGTCCAATACTGTCTCGAGTCTGGGAGAGAAGCTTTTCGGTCGTTCAGGGTCGATTTTGGGTGGCCGTACGCAATACAATGCTCCTCGCACAAAGCAGGACAGGCGTCCACCCCCTAGCATGAAGGAGCCCATACCGAGAGAAAACTCAAGAATGTCTGTTGATTCTCGCCACTCTATGCAATATCCCCACAACCGCAAGCAAAGCGAGTCTGGCGCAGAGAACCGGCCACGTCGATTCTCATTGCTTCCACAATCCTTCTCGTTCCGAGGTTTCTCGAATGCCCGAGCCCCGACGCCCGAAGAAACCTCGCAGAACCGGCGACCCGTCGACGCTCGTGGCCCACAACGCCCCGCAACGGGCCCTGCAAGCCCCAACCAGAATCGTGCTCGTGCGACAAGCTACGGTACTCAGGATGCCATGGGAGTAGTCAGCGAGCGATCTGGCGAGGAAGTTCAACATGGATCTGAGCTTCTTAGCTACGAGGCTCAGATTGATCAGCAGTTCGCAGATCTGGGATCCCAATTCGATCACCAGAACGGTTCCTTTGGGATACCATCCGCTGAGCAAGTCTACCAGAACTCTGCAGATCCATACTCTGGTCATCAAAACTCTCGGTCCAAGCCAAACTACTACGATGATTACAACAGCCCATATGACAATGTGCCTAGACAGTCAATGCAGGCTGGCCGATCAGGGCGTGGACCCGGTGTTTTACAGAAGAACCACCGCAAATTTGCGGACGCCTACGAATATGAGCGTGATGGATCACACCATTCCGGCAGCTCCGGGGCAGCCCGCAAGGTCATGGATTTCTTCCGAAGACGTGCCAAGTCCCGCGCTGGCGATGACCGTTGAATTCAAGGTGCTCGAAGAGGCAACATTCCATATCGAACAGATGTTGAAACTGGACAGATCAAGCAGTTATGTGGGTCCCTTTGCCCTCGGGCAGATGCAAACCCTCTCGCTCTGATGCTTCATTTGAGTTGCTTGAAAGAGCAGCGAGGTTGTTTGAAAACTACGTGATACCCTGCTTTTTTCCCTTTCTTATGCATGGAGCGATTCCTCTTCATCCGTCGGGTGTTTGACGCATTATTCTAGCATGTTCTATTATTTCCTTTGTCTGAAAACATTTTCCTTGCTTCCTAATGTCTTGTCCTCTGCCCCGTTTTCCTGTGAATTGCATTCCCTTCTCCTGTTACTATTATCTCTGGCTGTAAAGTGAGATCTGTGTCCTCATTCAGAGAGCATTCTATTAGCCCTGGAATCCTTTGTTTTGCGTCCCTTGTTTCCCTCTTAGCACTTGTTTGTTCCTCTATGGGAGGCTTTGTCCGATAATTCAATTGTGACACTATTGCCATTGTGTGCATCATTTCCCCTGCCTATGTTGCTCTTAATGACTTCCGCTAAGGGCATTCTTCTGGCGGCTGATTGCTCAGGTGTCTTTTGCTAGTTCTCGGTACTTTATTTTCTAGGACCAATAGTGTCAGTACATTAATTCTACATGGCTTGAACTTCATCTGTCTTTCCTGTCTAGACAGTAGCGTATAACTCCAGCCTACCTATCTCACTTAACTATCAAATGCTCAACATTCACCAAGTCAGCCTCCCTATTCAAACCTTCAATCTCAGCCATAGCAAAAGGAATCCCCTCAACCAACCGCTTCTCCTCCATAATCATCTCAATCTCCCCTGGGAAGTAAATCCTCTCCACGCCCGCCATTTTCTCCGACCCAACAACCCTCTTATAAAGATAGTCCATCCTCCCCTTAAACTCCTCCAGACTCATAAATAAATCCGGCTTAATAGCCACCAAGAAATGCCCCACATCCGCCTCCCTCGACGGATCATAAGGGTTAGTAACATGGCCCGCAAAAGCCGACCCCGAAAGCACCCCCGAAAAAACATCCATCATAACCGCCAACCCAGACCCCTTCGGGCCCCCCATCGGCAACATAACCCCCTTCAAAGCCTCAGCCGGATCATCCGTCCTATTCCCCTCCCCATCAAGCGCCCAATCCTGCGGAATCTTCTCTCCCCGCCTAAGCGCCTTATAAATCTTCCCCCGTGCCGCAACCGACGGCGCCATATCCAATATAAACGGCTTTCCATCCTCCCCACCAGGCGCACCACACGCAATAGGCGAAACACCCATCAACTTCTCCCTCCCACCCCAAGCCGGCAGTGCAGGCGAACTATTCGTGAAAACAAGCGACATCATGTCTGCATCCAGAGCTTGCTGAACCAGCCACGCCGACATGCCGAAATGATTCGAGTGTTTGATGGAGACCATGCCGATGCCGTAGATCTGCGCCATGGAAATGGCCAGCTTCATGCCCTCGTGCGCGGCCACGAACCCGAACCCGTTGTGCGCGTCGACTTGGCCGACTACGGGGGTTACTTGGTTGATTGTGGGGATTGCGGAGGGATTTAGGGCTTTCTGCCGGATGCGCTCCATGTAGGAGGGGATGCGGTTTGTGCCGTGCGTGTCGACGCCGCGGAGGTCGGCGGCGATTAGGCATTTGGTCACTATTTCTGCGTCGGGTGGGGATGTGCCGTTGGCGATGAGGATTTGTTTGGTGAAGGTGTGCAGGTCGGATGGGTGGATGTTGTGCAGGTCTTGTTGGTTTGGGTCTGGCATTGTGGATTGAGGATTGAGGATTTGGTGGTTTATAAAATGTATTGATGTCTTGGTCGTATGTTGGGATTGTGTCTGTTTTATAGACGGATTGGGGAGCGGATGTGTTGCGAGAGACGGGGTGGGGCCGGGCTGGGGAGTGTGGGGGCGTATCAGTTTGATTTCGGAGTCTCGTTGCCGGACGACGAAGTTAGCTGCCGATTTTTGGCTGTACACAGTACTTGCACGACTATCTACAACACCTTGCAAAGGCACTCAGATAAAAATCTCAAGAATTGTGAGAAACCTGGACGTCCCCCCGTCTTGGATACACGTACTCGCAGACTCATTAATTTACAGGCCCGTCGACATCCGTTTTGGACCTACAAACAGCTGAGCGTTACCTGTGCAGCCCATCCGTCCCCCTCTACTATTCGTCGAGTTCTCAGGCGGTTCGGAATCTCTAAACGCCGATTGAAGCAGAAGATTCCAATCAAGCCCTCTCTCGCAATTGGGCTGAGGTTCGCGCGAAAGTGGCGGCGTGAAAGCTTTCAATCGTGGATCTTTTCGAACGAATGTTCGGTGCAACGAACATCGAACTTTGGTCCATAATGGTGCTTCCGCAAAACCTCTGAGGGCCTTGGAAAGGAGTTTGAGAATGCGAAGGCACACAGGTAGAGCTCAGCTGTTTGTACGTCCAGAACGGATGTCGACGGGCCTGTAAATGAATCAGGCTGCAAGGACGTCTATTCAAGGTGGGGGACGTCCAGTTTTCTCCTGAGTCCCGATTCTCGAGCTTTTCATCTGAGTACCGTTGCAAGATGTTGTAGATAGTTCTGTGAGTACAGCCAGAATCGGCAGCTAATCTCGTCTGTGTAGCATCGTTCTTGTGGGAGTATACGATAGCTGACCTTTGCTCAATAGAAAGCTGAGCTCATTGACATTGGACTGTTGTGGGTTAGAATAGGCCTGTTGTGGGTGGTGTAGGAGAGAAAAGAAAAACATGGGTTGGTTGTTGGGGCAATACCCGGCCTAATAACTACCCACCGCCTTTGCGGCGATTTTGGGCAGTACGGGTCTACTGCCCACACCTGACACCAGTCTAATGCCCAGATCTCAAACCCATCAATTTCAATTGCAATTTATCAGTGCCCACCAACAGTATCTATAATCCACTCGCAAGTAGGCTCTTGATGAGTAGCTACCGCATCATTTCCATCCAAACTTGCCTCCTCCTGCGCCGCCTCGGCGGCCCTATTAGCGAGTAAAGTCGAAACTCCAATGAACCGTTTCTTCGCCAGTCGGATTTCTCGCTCCAACACTGCATCATCACGAGCCTTAATGTGCCTTTTAGCACTGCTACAGGATAGAGGGCCCCCATATTAACCCTCTTCTTGGTTGTATTTGCATCCTTTCGTCGTTGAAGGTTGAGGATGTTGATGTTGGCACGTGGCGGTCGCGTACTGAGCACCCGCTTCCGCGAGAGCGAGGCCTCCCTCCAAAATAGTAGCCAACTCACGGCGAAATTTAGGAGATAAAGCATCAAGTTCGGTCCCAATTACATCGGTTATCTTAAGCATTTCCTCGGCCTCTTGACGAAGAGAAATAACGTCCTTGATAGGTGAGTTTGGGATCGAACTCGACGCTGGGGGTGGGTCATCCCCGTCCCACATCTCTAGAACTTGCTCAGGAAGATCGGGGTCCTCAATCTGCCCAGGTGTAACTGCTTCGAGCCTATCCTTTTCCATCGGCTTTTGTTTGATGTAGTTGTAGGTTGCTGGGAGTCTTTTGATAAACCGGTAGGCCCAGTTCCGGCCGAAGGTGCGGGCGGGGTCTTTTCTTCGACTTATCTCGTTTGCACAGGCCTGAATCATATCGGCAGTGGGGGGTGAGTTTGCTTGGTTCAAGGTATCGATCCAATGCATCAAAGCCTGTTCCTGATCTGGAAGTAGAGCTTTGTTGGGGCCAGTACGTTGAGATCGTGAAGTGCGACCTCGAATCCGACCTTTGAGGGGATTGTACGGGATATTATATTCCCGCGCCAATTTGGTGATAACAAGTTTTTTTTTGCTATCGTGGTATGCGGATACCGCTGCTAGAATACGCGCCTCTAGATCCTGAGATTTAACGGCCATGGTTGGGGGTAACAATCGGGATTGAATTTGATGGGTTTGAAATCTGTGAGGGCTGTGTATGTACTGAACGATTCGATACCGGAGACTCTTTCTGTATCACGCGTGACGCCCGTGAGTCCCGTCGCCAGAAAAAGGGTTATATCGGTATAATCCAGAAATCGCTGTATGATAATCCCGTCTAAAGCTCTTCAGAATAAGTCTTGGGAACACAAGTCTCGTCCTCTTCGATACCAACCCATTCCCAACAAGCCTTCCAGATCACTTCGCGTTTGGCTACATTTTCGCTAGCAAGAGCAGGAGCCTGAGGCTCCCTCCCATTGAAATGGCCCCTGACCGATGCAAACCCTGGAGCCAAAGCCAGCGCCAAGATATCACGAGCGGAGTCTGCATTCGATCGAAGGCTGTAAGTGAAAAGCTTGATGACCGGAAGCAACAAGCTTAACAGTTTGAACACGACACGAGTGCTTGGAAGCTGGACCTCATGTGCCCGAGAGTCGACCATGCCACCGGGGTCCATAGCCGTCACCGTGATTTTGCTGAGTCGCGGGTTCTGCAATTTGGAGTCGGTTAAACAATCTCCATTTTCGTATAAGTATGCACGTACCTGCTGAAGACGTTCATTCAAACTGTGCATGAACATGACGTTGGCAAGCTTGCTGTTTGCGTATCGTTGCCATCCCATGTCATATTCTGTTCCAGCGGCATCGGGGTCAGGTTTGATCAGCGAATCCAGGTTGTCATCTGAAGGAAGCTCGGCGCCAAGTTTGGCGAGAGGGTTTGAATGTTCAGGATCGTGGACTACAGAACTAAGCAGGACCACACGGCCGTTCTCAGGGTCCATGCTTCGCAGAAGTTTGAGGACCAGTAAGAAATGCGAAAGATGGTTGACCTGGAAAGTGTTTTCCATCTGGTCCTTGGAAAGCCGCTGACCGTCCAGCGACCATGTAAATGCATTGCAGATGATGGCTGAAATGGGTGGAAGTTCCTTCTTTTCTACCAGACCGGCAATCTCGTTCGCAAAAGCTCGTACATCTGAAAGAGAACTCAGGTCCACGCTTTTGATTAGGAGATTGCTAGATGGATTCTGGCGGGAAAGTCCTTCTAGACGAAGTAATTGAGGGCTCTTGGGAGTCTTGGTTGCGTTTCGGACAGTGCCAATAACTGTCAACGAGGGGTGCGTCGATAGAACTTGGTGCACAGCTTCAAGAGCGAGTGAGCCGGTTGCGCCGGTGATTATTACCGTGCCTGCCATATTTGCAGTTACTTACAAGTGATGGCGGAAGGAGCGATGGAGCAGGTGCAAGTTGGCCCAATACCCGAGGGAGGAAAAGAGATGGGGAAGTCGGGAGAGTATGTGTTGTCAGACAGGAGGCTTATAAATCTCTTCGAAGCTGACCGAGGTTTAAATAAGATTACAGTCAACTATAGTAGCAATCGGGATGTAGGGATGCCATCATTCCTGGGCAGGTGAGATGCCAAGACCAATCAGGAGTAGCCGAATACGCCCAACAGGTGGCTAACTGAGCGGCAAATTATTGAATCAGAGGAAATATTTGAGAGGATTGCCTCCAAAAATCCCATTATGTGGGCGTATAGCGATCGATTCGTGATTGCGTGCAGACACCTCAAGGTAATTGATCTCGCACTAGCGATTGCTCATAGAGAGCAAATTGCTGCTGTTTGAATTTCCACGAGCCAATCATATTATTGGTAAATGCGAGACCCCATATAACCCCAATGAACAGAATTCCGATGAGAGGCCCGAGAATCGCAAAGACTGTAAATCCATACGAAGCGTCCTGGAACGGTGAACTAAGAGCCAGGCGGTTGGTGGCCAGACCCACCTGCATCGCCGTCAACACCAAAGCAACATAGATAGTCGCTGCAGTCACCGGAGTCAAGTAGTCATGAAACAGCTCACCGTACGTGTGGTAGGTGATCTGATACGCGCTTAAAGGGCGGGCATGAAAAATCATACAGATTTTGTTGAGTCGCGACAGTCTCAATTCTCCAAACAAGTATCTCGAATTGATGTTTGCTGGGTTGTTGGCATCGTTTCTCAATAATTGCTGGTTTAGCTTAAGCCACATCTCCCAGGTAATGGTATTTGGTAGCAGACGGTAGGTTTGCGCAATGAAAAAATCACTTTCGAACCGCACAAGGGCCATGTATGAACTCAGGAAACCAAGAGCGCATTTGTGTAGCTCCTTTCGGCAACCCAGCTGCTGCTCCTGGTTGACCTTGTCTGGTGCTGAGACACAACAGAGGCCTTTACAAACGAGGTGGGATTCCCAAAACTGGGGATCAAGCAAATATCGTGGAAGTGGCTTCAGGTGGATACGTTGAGAGTCCTCCCAGACCATATGCATGTCGATTCTCTCGTCGACGGCAATTTCACGACATGTTGCCACCTGGTAGTTCAGGGGCTTAGGCGGCATCGGTTGACCGGCTAGCCACAGGTAGGGACCGATCCTATTCAGCTTATCCACCATCAAGTCTTTCTTCAAGAAATTCCGGATTTCTCCTGTGGGGCTGGCGAGTTGATGATCCGCCGTTCGAGCTGAGGCTGGGAGGAGACGAGCGTCTCCGAGATCTTGCAGACTGCCAGGGATGAATGCATTGTTGTCAAATGGAAGTTTGTTTGCCATTTATCAGATCACGATCTGGTCGAATGAGCCAAGAAAGGCTCAAGGTACATAGGATGGATAGGGACGAGGGGCTTCTGCAGGCTTGGGCCGCTTGGCGTGATGCGGGTGGATGAAGCCTCAGGCTTGGCACCGTACTAGTCTCAGTTAGTCTCACATCGAAAGAGCTGCTGCCTGACACATGACACACACATGACACAGCTAACCTGAGACAAAGTATAAGAAGCCATCACTGCAGAGCTTTCTCTGTCTTCCTTACCATATCAAAACCATACCACACATATCCAAATATCACCATGGCCCCCCTAAAAATCGTCGTCTATGGAAAATCCTCCGTCAGCCACGCCCCAGAACGTGGCATCCTTAGATTCTCAGTGAAGTCCAACGGCGAAGAACAAGAAACTGTCGCCAAAGAAGTAACCACAGCATCCACAGACCTACAGCGCTGGTTCAAATCATCCTACTTCTCCACAGACTCGACAATCGATGCTCCTGAGACAAAGTTCTCCTCCACAAGCATGAGAACCTGGAAAAAATCAATAGATAAGCACGACGCTGTGCTGCGCGACATGCCCCTGCCAAACCCGTTCAATGCTAGTATCTCTTTCAAGGCGGTCTTCCATGACTTCTCTAAACTGAACCACGCGATCGAGCAATTGCTCGCGTATCCCAATGTGGAGATCGATTCCCTGAAATGGGGCCTCACTGACGAAACCGGGGACCGACTTGCATCTGATGCGCGCAAGTTGGCTTTGCGTGATGCCATCCAGCAGGCGAAGGACTACTCCGAGGTTCTTGGACGAGATGTCGCTGTGGTAGAGATTTCCGACCAGGGGTCGAGTCCTTATGGGACTGCTAGGTTCCTGAGTGCTACGAGTCATGGTAATCATCGGTCCGAGCATGCGTCGTTGGATTTGACGCCGCAGGATATTGAGGTTGAGGGGAATGTTCAGGTTACATTTCAAGATGCGTGAGTCGCATGGTCATTCGCTTTCAAACTATGGAATATGATAATCTCGATGATCATTGGATTGGAACTGAAATTGAGAATTCAATGCGTGACCCCTTGTAACAAGCCAATTATTGCTGTCTGAGATTGTGGGCAATGGGGTATCTGAACTATATCATTTCATGTTGTTTGCTATTATGGATTAGCATTAAAGACCTCCCACATGAGAGTGTCAAAGTCTGGAGCCCCACTGAAATCCATGAAACCACCGGCGCTGGAATCGTGCAGCCAACTCATGGAATCGGTAGCAGGGTCGTAATCGTCCATGAAGGGATTGACCGGCACGTTGTCAAAACTAGGGTCCACATGAGGGGGTACAGGAGGCAGCTCTGCGGATTCATCCGCAGTTTGCAGCCGCTGAGCATTTCCCGTGCCGGGGGGTTGCCACATTCTTACCCTGCCTGGATGAGCTCGACGTGGCTTCTAAGCTTCGCATCTTGATCAGTTTCTGAACAGTTGCGCCGGATAACTCGTGTATACAATCACGAGCCCGCTTAGCTTCAGCCCAGTACTCCCCAATGCTACTTAGGATATTCAGACTGACGCTCGTATCAGTCACCACTTCGTCAATCTGCACTCCAGAGGCAATGTGTGGCAGTCTCCACAAGCAATGGAGCATGATCAGGGTGCTCAGGAAAATTGAGTGAACAATGAGTCGGCTGTATAGGAGAGCCTCCTGTCGGTAGAGCTCCCCAAGCCCGCGGAGTAGATCCACGGCGTGTTGGAAGCATCGCGCGAGCATCTCCTCCGACGGCTCTGGGATTCCAGGGCTAGGCCTGAGAACCAGGAGCATCATCTCATGAAACTTCGTTTCGCAGATTTTGGTGATGGCCTCGCTTCCAGCTGCGCGGGGAATGTCCGTAAACCAAGACTGAAGACGGTCGATGATTTGCGTTTGCCATGCATGGATGTCAGGTACTGGCGGGTAGGCATATCGTGGAGGATCCCTGCAGATGCTGTGCATGACATACTTAATCTCAGAGTTGATACGGGCTAACTTGAATAGATGAATGGAGTATGTCATATGAGATATTGAGTCGCTCTGTGCATCATCGCCGGCACTTGACCGGGAAAGTTCCTCGTCGGAGATATTCAAAGGGAGCTAATGTCACAGTCAATAAAGGCTAGTCGCGGAACCACATTAGCTCAACCACTTACTCGAAGCTCGCACGCTTCATCCCTCACTCCGATGGGCCGGCCCATCATGGTACCAAGTGTACGATCGAAGCTGTATACTACCCAGAAAATCCTAGTCCTCATCTCCTGCTCTAGAAAAGAGATAGGAAATGTGGGCGAAGCACGAACATTTCGTTGAAGGCCCAGGTCAATAAGAGCACCCAGACATTGATAGTTTAGGCTCCAAACATTGATGTTGCACGAGGGATTGTGGAGTCCATAGACCATCAGCAGGAGTAAACACTGCAGTCCTTCCAAAGAGCCTCCCGCACATGCGCGTTCAAAGTACTGGGTAGCTGCTGTATAATATCCCTCCGCGGGAAGAGGGATTCTGAAGCGCCTTGACAGATCCGAGGCTGATATTGCTAGAACCATGTATACGTGGAAGGCATCGACCGCATTCGGAGTTGCTTGATCGGTATATAATTTCTCGAGTCTCGCCATATGTGCCGGTTGGTGTAAAAACGGGTAGACGAGATGGACGGATGCAAAGTACTTCGATGTAAGTTCCACTGTGTCTTCTTTGCGACCTGGGAGTGGTGCTGGACTGTTGAAAAACCCAGACGATAATGACATTGGTTGTTTCGGGATGTCACTGCTTTTCGATGGTCCCGTTCGTCGGCCAGCACTGGTAAAGATGAGGTTCGCTAGGAAATATCCACTTGAAGGGCCGATATATCTCGGCTCTTCACCCGTAGAAAGAGATACAAGGCCGATTTCGTGAGCCGGCCTGGATTGTGCCCGAGATGGTTGGGTGTCGGCTGGCCCTGGCTGTTCATGACTGGGGGTTATGGACCTGCCGGTGTGGGTGGGCCCCAGAATTGAAGACTCGAGTTGAGTACATTCATCTGTTGGCTCGAGCTGTGGAATATCTGATGGATCTACTTGGGGTCCTTCCTCAAGGCGAATGGTCGGATCATGTTCCTTGACCAGTGACTCTAACCACTGCACCCGCTTCTGCAGATTTGCGATGTAGCTAGACAACTATTAGTCCCACACACGACCTCAGTCGACGGCAATACGTACGTGCGATTGACCTCCTGCTTGCCGTCGTTCACACAGACTACATTAGCCTTCCTGCAAGACGCGCATCGGGGAAGGTCGCCATCACAGCGGATTTTCCGTCTCTGGCACCTTCGGCAGGCGGCACGGTTCCGGGGTCGCTTTGGGGAGTCCATCGCAAAGCCGATAGGGTCCTTACGCGGGATGAAATCGGGAGTCCATCAAAACTTGATAAGATACCGGATAAAATTGTCCTTCGTAGTCCCTGCAGGAAGAGAAGAAAAGCCCCGAGTGGATTTGAGTCAGGCGGGAAGCTTCCGCCAAGGACGGATCGGATCCGCCGGACGCGCCTTCTATAAGAAGTACGTTCCAGCCAAACCGGGGGATATACTGCCTACGACTTCAATATTCAATCTTTGCATTGTTACAGCTTAATATTCAAAATGGTCCTCGTTCACATCGGTATAGTGCACCCAAACGTCGATCGCATACCGATCTGACCTCTATAGTGTTGTTCAAGTTTCGAGCAGATGTCGGCGACGAGGTGAAGCAGGAATTCCTTACACAAATCAAGACACTCAAGTCTCTACCATGTGTTAAGAGCCAGAGACTTGTGGTGGGAGGACCTTCAATCACCACTCCGGCCGAAAAGAGCAAAGGGTTCCAATATGCTCTCGTGAGCTACCACGAGAACCGAGCAGCGTTGGCTGAGTACCAAGCTAGCAGTGAGCATGAAAGGTAAGAACTCGAGACTTTTAGCCCTTGGAACCTTTTTCGGTAGATAGCTGATAATGTGTCGATGGCTAAGGGTGACCGGCACATACTTTATTCCATATAAGGAGGATCTTGTTCGGTTTGACTTTGAAACCGACCAAGCTGACGAGGCCCTGCTTGGCTTTTGATATATTTGAAGTCAAATTTCGCGGAAGTGCCTAGACCTATGAAGTAAGCAACTGTCACGTTCAAGTAGGTGGGCACTTCTTGTTTTGACGACATTGTATAACGGAGAAGACAAAGGGAATGAGTTCTAGTTATCTATAAGTTTGCCCTATCTCATTTCTTAGGTAGGTAGATCCAAATTCCAAGATGCTTGTTAAACTGCGCAATTACCTCTACTTTTCTCTGTCAAAATGTGGTATATACAAATGCCAGTGGTCGCTCCGAGGAATAGGCCTGGTGGGCGCTCAAAGTACACCACTTCGCCATCACCGAGTTTGCTGTTGAGGAATGCATTTGCACCCAACTTGGTCCTGGGTGTTCGTTAGTACGACGCTGTCAATGCATTCCTCAACAGCAAACTCGGTGATGGCGACCTAAGCGGTTAGTTGGTGGCGATTCTCGACAAAATATGCTCATCAGGGCGGATCGCCCTCCACCCTCAACTCATCAGCAAATCAGTCTGCCCGATTAAGTCAAAGCCTCGATTGTTTTTGGTGTTCCCATTGCGGCCATCGACATTGCCGTCCTTGGGAACATTCTAGGTTTATTTCTGGGTGTCGAGGTGCTTGTGCTGTCGAAGGATCGTCCGGGCCGAAGGTTCTGCCGCAGGTCCACTGAGCAATGAGCATCACATGATAGTCTTGAGGTTCTCCCTAGGTATTGCAGGTAGTTTGAATGTACATCTCACGGCAGTGACAGTGGCTTCAAAAGACAAAAGGTGAAAAGGTCAATTAAAAATTATCCTCAAGACCTCAATATGACATTCAGATCGAAAGTGGTTTGTAGTGCAGCAGGGCCTTGTCTTCCCTTCATCCAGGGGGCAGCCTAGGTTAAAGCGGCCTCAGCCCCACACAGGCCAACAGTCCCCGCGAATCCTCAGCGCCGCCGATAACCGAGGCTCAAACGCTCGTGACCATCACGTTCACATTCATTCTTTACTTTCTTGTCCTTCCTCTTTCTCCTTCCCAAAATTAGCTCGCTTCCCCTCAATTCACGATGGCTTCTATTATTCGCGCCCTGCGGCCCTTGTCGCGTACTGCCCCGGTCCGCCTAGCGGGCAAGCGCCTTGCTACTGGCCGGCCCGTACAGAGGTACCACCAAGCCCATGAACGCAATGCATAGCCCGCTAACGTATTCCTCCATCCTGACAGCGCATATGCATTTTCAACCACCACCCGCCGGCGGGAGGCTGACCTCTCCGAACTGACACCGACTCCGATCACCCTTTTGTCCGAGACTGAGTCCCTGATGGCCGACTCGGTGTCCAAGTTTGCAGTGGAGCAGATCGGCCCGAAGGTCCGGGAAATGGATGAAGCCGAGACCATGGACCCGAAGATCGTGGAGCAGCTCTTCGAGCAGGGTATCATGGGCATTGAGGTGCCGGAGGAGTTTGGCGGTGCTGGCATGAACTTCACATCCGCGATTGTCGCGATCGAGGAGCTCGCTCGCGTCGATCCCAGTGTCAGCGTGCTGGTCGATGTCCACAACACCCTGGTCAACACCGCTATCATGAAGTACGGTAATGCCCATGCTCAGCGCACCTGGCTGCCCAAGTTGACCACCGGCACCGTCGGCTCCTTCTGTCTCTCCGAGCCCGCCTCTGGCTCCGATGCCTTCGCTCTTCAGACCAAGGCCGAGAAGACCGCCGATGGCTACAAGATCAATGGCTCCAAGATGTGGATCACTAACTCCATGGAGGCCGGTATCTTCATTGTCTTTGCCAACATTGACCCCAGCAAGGGTTACAAGGGTATCACCGCCTTCATCGTCGAGAAGGATACCCCCGGCTTCTCCATCGCCAAGAAGGAGAAGAAGCTTGGCATCCGCGCTAGCAGCACCTGTGTGCTCAACTTCGACGACTGCGTCATCCCTAAGAGCAACCTGCTCGGCGAGGAGGGCCAGGGATACAAGTACGCTATCAGCGTTCTGAACGAGGGTCGTATTGGTATCGCCGCCCAGATGACCGGTCTGGCTCTTGGCGCATGGGAGAATGCCGCCTCGTAAGTATTCCCTGCAAGAGCCGCATACAGATCCTATCAGCTGACCACAACCCCAAAGGTACGTCTGGAACGACCGCCGCCAATTCGGCGAGCTCATTGGAAACTTCCAGGGCATGCAGCACCAGATTGCGCAGGCCTACACTGAGATCGCTGCCGCTCGCGCTCTCGTCTACAACGCCGCCCGCAAGAAGGAGGCTGGCCAGGACTTTGTCCAGGATGCTGCCATGGCTAAGCTGTATGCTTCCCAGGTTGCCGGCCGCGTGTCCAGCTCTGCGGTTGAGTGGATGGGTGGTATGGGCTTTGTCCGTGAGGGCATTGCTGAGAAGATGTTCCGTGACAGCAAGATTGGCGCTATCTACGAGGGTACCAGCAACATCCAGCTGCAGACTATCGCCAAGCTTCTGCAGAAGCAGTATACGAAATAGATGAAGTTTGTTTATAAATGGTTTCGTTTCATGGATGCACACTGCGGCGTATAGCTTTTTTTCTTTCAGGACATGCAGGACATGCGGGACATGAATAGCATTGATTCATTGGATCATGCCTGTGATTGTATAAACTATGCTCCACCCGCAGCTCATACCTAGTTAAATGCAATTCTATATCCGGGATGAGTGTCAATTGGTCACAGTCATGGCAATATGCCCATTGCATATCAATATCGTGAAATCATTCTGTCGCTTTTGGCGTGGCAGTTGGTAGTGTGATAGATGAATTGCAGGTTGGGAGCGGAGCCTCCCCGCCAGGGTATTTCAAGCGCCAGGATATTTTAAGCGCCACGGTCGTTGTTTCCTCTTGCGCGTTCTTTCCCAACCACTAGTCACACCTTCCAAAAGTCTGCATTAACAAATCAGTATGCATGTTCTTACTGGAACTTTTCATCAGACTTACATGCTGTAGGCCCACAAGAATTTACGAGGATCCAAAGCCTTGTTCACGCGGCATTCAGGAAGGAGGCTCCCATGGATATTCGTATGTCGGGTCTCTTTGTTGCGGCTGTGAGTATGCTGACCCGGAGGGCCGATAGACCCGGACGGGGTTTGGCTGAGGGACTGGCCCGTCGTTTGAGATTGGGAGGGGCCGAGAGCTGTACGAGTACTGAGAAAAAGCAGCCCCTGAATGTTGCTGGGGTGGACTTGAGGTGCCGCCAAAGCTGATTTGAGGTGCATGGGGACCGATGCGTTGCCCTGGATGTAGATGAGAATCCATTGCATATGGCTCCATGCGACAGTGAAACTCCGGGTCCGAGGTTGCACCTTGCGACGGCGATCTTGTGGATGGATATGGTTGGTGCCAGTCATGTTGATGAGACGCTCGACGTGTTGCTGAATGTGCTGAGGACTGTTGCGATAGTGAAGGCTCCGTCGTTGGAATCCCCGGGGATGATACGCCATGTGAGGATTCCCCTGACGGCCAGACACCTCGGAACGGAGCGATGGGTTCGGTACTTCCCGCAAGCTCTGGTCGGCCAGTCAAGGAAGCGACTTGGCACTTCAACCGCCTTACTTCGTTCTCCAAGAAAGCATTGTGCTTTATGAGTTCGTCAAAACGCTCGTCTCGGAGCCGCATCTCCGCAATCTGCGACTTAAGACTGGCGACCTGAGCCTCAAGTTGCTCTATATGCTCCTTGGTGCGTTGTCGAATGGACCGCTGAGCATCGCGGTCATTGGCACGTTTTCGCTCCAGTTGCTCCGCAGAAAGCGCTGACACTTTCCTCGACCCCGACCGGGACTCCCGTCTTTTTACCGGTGGCATATCTTGGGAGCTCATGGCTACTTGGTTCCTTGCAAACCTGACACTCAGAACCAAATGATGACTGGGGAAGCTGTCTTCCGTTGCCCAGTTTCGTTTTCATAAGAACCGCCCGTGGTGACCATGAACCCAGCACCACTAAACGGCTGGAAAGTGCTTCACATGGAGGGGGAAAGGTGGATCACTTATTTGTCAAGATCGTGTGTGGATGGCTCGAGGCTATGACCGAGCCGAGCAGGGATTAACACAGAAAGTGGCAGACCGTGCTAATTCATGGGTCGCCTTGGACGACTGTAAAAAGTTATGAAACGCTATGGAATGCCTTAGTCATGGACACTCTCAGGGGAAACACACACTAAGCAATTAGGCGGACTGGTGTGGTTTGGATTACAACGGCCCCGAGACTGTCAATCAAGAAGCCAGGCCAGGCTCCTAGTGATGCGACGCGGCGAGAACAACGATTTGGGTTGATTCAGAAGCACCCAATAGGAGTGGAGAGATAGACGAACCAAGTGGATAACTATGGAGCACGATGTACTTCCGTACAGGCTATGGAGATAGCGTCGTCCTCATAGCCGAACTGACCCCATCGCCAGTTTCGGCTTTCTTTCCACCTTCTACCAAGATGATTGAGCCGCGGAGAATGTGCTGCACCGCAGCATGATTCGAGTACATATGTTGTACCTGTTGTTTGTCCTCCGCACAGCGCAGGATCCATTGGACCATTACTCCTTTTCGGCATTTGAATGCCGTATCCAGGCCCCCAGTTGGCGCTTGAATGCTGATCCATCGGGGCACAAAAGTACGAGAGTGACTGCCTTGCGCTAGATGGGACCCGCGCTAGATAACGAGACAAGACATCCACACTTCGATGATCTCCCAAACTATGGCCCGCTCTCCCGTTCCGATGGCTGTGGCTGGGCTGTATAGAGGGATGCAAAGGCCAAAGGTGCTCTGGGCCCCATAGTATGAATGCCGAGAGGATTACCAGGCGTGTTTAATCGCAAGCGCGATGTGGAGTCCCGAGTCATGCAAGCTTGTGGGGAACCAGGCAAGACGATCGAATTGGCAATTTGGTTCTCTCAAGTCTCAACAATCCCATACATAACGTCCAGCATACCCAGACCATAGCCGGTAATGCACAAGCGAACGTGCGCAGCGGCACTGTGGCTCCGCACACGGACGTTCCGTGCTCCACGGCCGATCATTGCGGATCTAGTGCCAGATTTAACCAACTTTGATGAACCATGCCAAGGCTAAATCGCTTTTGCTTAGCCTGTAGATGGCTTCACCGGTTATTGACTGCTTGAGTGTGAGAACGGGACTATCTCTATCAAGCAGGTCATTGAGGATGCCTCGAGGATAAGTGAGAATGATTGCCTGGAGTATGGGAGCTATCCCGCGACTAAGTGGTACTAGAGCGACCGTACAGGCTCCGCCAGGAACAGGATCGGGGATTGTTTACTACAAATGTCCATCAAAACGAAATATCGGTCTTCTCCCCCTATTGGGTGATCTACGCTATACACTAGCAACTAGGGCTGCGGGGCGAATCACGGATATTGGCCCGAAGGTCGCCGAATCGCTTTGCAAGCTCTTCGCGAAAAGGAGAGCTCTGATTCTGCTCTGGTGAGTCTTCCAGCTTATTGGAAATTGCTTGTACGATATAGTTATGCTGTAGGGCTTTGCTTATCTCTAATTATACTCGGCATGGCGTCCGTAGCTTAATCCAAAATTGGACATACGCCGACTAGAGAAGAATCCCCCTTGCTGACATATGTGTCAGCATCGACATCAAATCTGAAGGCCTGGGTTAGTTTTTCGACTTTGCTGAGACTCACGACATGACATTTGCTATAGCTTTTCGGAAGGTGTGCTGTCACTTGGATATCAGCCAGCCCCGGCATGCGAACTACCATATGCGGTTAGCTTCACTTTCAAGGAACAGGCCCATAGAGAGAGAGAGAAAATCCATTCGGCTTAACAGGCCCATAATACACGTGACATCAAGCGAACATAGTGGGCCTTGAGTAACCAATCACATGATGTTTATCAGGCTTTGAGATTATCTCAAATGCTTGGCAACAAATTTATTTTTTTGTCAAAATATAAACTTGAGAGATTCACATCAACCTTGGAACAAACATAACTCTTACTTTTGCAAAACTTAGGAAAGAAGAAAGAACATTGCTCACTCGAACCTTCCCTCTGTTCTTTCACTGCCCATCAAACAGTAACACTCGTTCACTCGCCACTTTTGAGTCTGAGTTTTCACCCAAAGCAATTAACTGCAGTTTATTTGAAAATAAACCGACCTCATGGAAGGTCCTGAGATCAACGATGACAGCCAGCTGTACTCCACCATGGCTGGAAAGCTAGATGCCAGGCTTCTCAAAGCTCTCGACGTGATGGGCTTCACTCACATGACCCCTGTCCAGCAGCGTGTTTTGAACGAACTCCCAACCTGGCGCAGTGACTGTCTTGTCCAAGCCAAGACTGGTACCGGAAAGACCCTTGCATTCTTGTTGCCTGCATTGCACTGCCTGCTTCAGGGTGAATACGCGCCACCCAAAGGCAAGGTCGGCATCTTGATCATTACCCCAACCCGAGAACTTGCCCAACAAATTGCAAAGGCGTGTGATCAACTAACCTCGCAACTTCCCACTCCTCTTGAATGCCACGTTGCAGTTGGAGGAACGGCTCGTGCATCTGCTCACTCCCGCTTCATGAAGGGGGCACCATCCATTCTTGTCGCCACCCCGGGACGACTGTGCGACTATCTGTCAGAGACTCCCACAGCCAAGAAGTTGTCTAACATTCAGACGTTGGTTTTGGATGAAGCAGACACGATGCTCGAGAGTGGCTTCATCGCCGACGTCAAGCGGATCCTTCAGCTCATTCCTCAGAAGAGCACTGGCTGGCAAGGAATGTGCTTTTCGGCCACTGTTCCCCCTAAAGTCAAGGATGTGGTCAACATTGTGTTGAGAAGAGACTACACCAGCATTTCAACCATTGACCAGAATGAAGCACCAACACACGAGAGAGTCCCTCAGTACCACGTGATTATTCCCTCCGTGGGAGACACCTTCAACGCACTTGCCTCCCTCCTCAAGCACGAGATCAAGAACTGCAAGAAGATCATTGTCTTCGGTGTGACTGCACACATGGTTGCTCTCCTCGCAGGAGTCTTCTGTAAAGGCATGATTCACCTGAAGGTATTTGAGATTCACTCCAGACTTAACCAGGGTGCTCGCACGAGAACCACGAATCAGTTCAAGGAGGCCGAGGCCGGAATCCTGTTCGCTTCAGATGTTATTGGCCGTGGTATGGATTTCCCCAACGTCGATTTGGTCATTCAGGTCGGTTTGCCGTCCAACGGCGAGCAGTACGTTCACCGTGTCGGCCGTACAGCCCGTGCCGGCGCTGATGGCCGTGCTATCATTCTTCTCACCGAGGGCGAGTCATTCTTCATGCGGAACAACCGCCACTTGCCCATCAAGCCCCACCCCGATACCGCCGAGATCCTTGCTGGCGCCCCCGCGTGCTCCAAGGCTGTCATGCAGGCCATGTACACCATCGAGGAGGAATCAAAGCAGCGCGCTTACTCGTCTTTCATTGGTTTCTTCGCTGGATCGGGCCTTCTCAAGCAGCTCCGTCTCGACAAGGCTGGCCTTGTTCAGCTCGCCAATGAGATGGCTGTCAAGGGTATGGGATGCCCTGAGCCTCCCCCAATGGACAAAAAGGTTATTGGCAAGATGGGATTGAAGGGTGTTCCTGGCTTCACCTACGCTGACCCCAATGAACTGGCTCGAGCCCCTCGCAACGGCGGCTCTTCAAGAGGTCGCAACCAGTCTCGAGGTGGCAAGCCCCGTGATGCTCTGAGCCCCGGAGCTGGAAGTGGTGTTGAAAAGCGCCGCGGAGGAGGCCGTGGAGGCCGTGGAGGTCGTGGCGGCGGTCGGAGATGATGATTTTTTTTTGCATATTGGGTTAAGCACAGCGTCTGAAATGGTCATATTCATAGACTCTAGAGGGTTACGAACTGCTTTATGAACTTCATTAATCGAAACAAAAGTTGCATAGTTGTGCTCATGTCCGTCCTGAGGTTCTTAGTTGAATACATGTAGAGTCAGCACTATGACCGTGCTTGGTCTTACTGGATAGAAGCTATATGTAGAGCTAGGTCTGATCGGAATTGCCATAATATCCGACATACACAGTAGTCGACAGAGTGTCATTGTTGATCTTGACAGTTGTCCTTCGGATTGAACACCTTGGAAGACAGTCAGGTGATCGCGGGTAAACATAAGTTACATTTGAGAGCTTCAACTCCACGTCATTCCACCACGTCTGTCGTGATTGAATAGAATTGAGGGGAACAGCTGTCTTCATTGATACCTGCCCAGTATGGATCCGAGCTACAAAGCTCGCAAGGAGGCCTTTGTGTCTAATCTTGCAGGAAGCACAATCCTCGAAATCAACGCGGTCACCCTCGTTGCTTCAGTGAGAAATTCCGAAATATCAGTGCAATTGATGTAATTCTGACCGGTCACCACTCCAGACTTCTGTCATTCTCTGGTCCGCCCTTCAATCCCGATTATCCTTCTTCACACCTTACGGCCCTGCGGCACTCGTGACCGACTTCATCCTCAATGTACTGGCCATCCTATTCGCAACAACCGCATACTCCTCCGCGCCGCTTCTCCTCAACATCTTCCTCATCTCCCCCGCCGTTCTTCTCTTCCTTACCCGGAACGCTCCGCGCACACCCCAGAAAACGAAAGCCCCCCGCAAATTGAAGGCCAAAAATGAAACCCCCCCGGACGAACAGTCGGCCTTGCCCATCCACCCATTCTTAACGACATACCGCGCAGCCATGATGATTGTGACCTGCGTAGCCATTCTCGCAGTCGACTTCCGCGTGTTCCCGCGCCGTTTCGCCAAGGTCGAGAATTGGGGAACCTCTCTGATGGACTTGGGCGTGGGGTCCTTCGTGTTCTCCGCCGGAGTGGTCTCTGCGCGAGCAGTCTTGAAGGGTCGCAACTCGAAGTCCCCGAAACTGGCTTTGCATAAACGCCTGATTGGCTCAGCTCGACACTCTATTCCGCTACTCGTGCTAGGCCTTATCCGTCTGTGGAGTGTCAAGGGACTGGATTATGCGGAACATGTGACGGAGTATGGCGTGCACTGGAACTTTTTCTTCACGCTTGGCTTCTTGCCGCCTTTCGTGGAGCTGTTCGATTCCTTGACTACACTGGTACCCTCATATGAGGTGCTTGCTCTTGGAATCGCAATCCTTTATCAAGTCGCATTGGAGTCGACTGATCTCAAGGGTTACATCCTGGTGTCTCCCCGCGGCCCAGACCTGCTATCTAAGAACCGCGAGGGCGTGTTCTCTTTCATTGGGTATTTCGCCATATTTCTTTCAGGGCGGGGTGTTGGAGTCCGCATCATCCCTCGGGGTACTTCTGCCTCCAAGTCGCCACAGCAGGCGCGCACCTCTGTTCTGACTCGGTTGGCTATGCAGATTATGTTCTGGTCCACCATGTTCTTCTTCAACTCCACCTACGCATTTGGCTATGGTGCCAACATTCCAGTGTCGCGCCGGTTGGCAAACATGCCCTATGTGCTCTGGGTGTCGGCATTCAATAGTGCCCAGCTTTTCCTATTCTGTTTGACTGAGACTGTGTTCTTCCCTGCGGTTTATCGAGCGACTACCAAGGAAGGCGAGGCAGAGCAGACGTCCTTTGCGACCAGTCGGATTCTACACGCATTCAACCGTGGTGGCTTGGCGTTGTTCCTGATTGCGAACTTGCTTACTGGAGCCGTGAACCTGAGTGTTCCTACCTTGGATCTCAATACGCCCCAGGCAATGGGGATTCTGATCGTATATGCGGCAGTGCTCACGGGTGCTGCTCTGGCGATGGACAAGTACAACATTAAGTTGAGCTTGTAAATGTACTATATCTTGTATTATACAGTTGACACGCAATATATACGTGCAATTTTGCATATCAAGGAATCGAATCTGTATGGTGTAAATAGAAGAACCAAGATTGTATGAAGCTCCACAGTAGTTTAGCCTCGGCATGTGAGAAGTGAGATCATCGGTGGAGTAGCCCCGTAACTCAAGCTGAACTCCAACAAACTGACTGCACAAAACTATTCACAAGCAACACCATGTCTGCCAAGGAACAATCTTTTCTCAATTACCCCCCACCACGCGAAGGCCCCTCGGTGCCATACAAGCACGAGGACCAGGTCATCCCAGTCTTCCGCGGCACAAGCCTAGCCATCGGCGCAACATTGTAAGCATGTCTCCGAGCTCCATTCCTCAATCACATACTAACCCACTGCTCCATGACAGAATCCACAACATCGGTTTCATCCAAAGCCACTTCTGGCGCAGTGCCGGCTTCGGCATCATCCGCGAAATCCCCCACTTGAGCCAGTACCCCGGCCGCTACGATCCAACCGTGATTCCAGTCGACAACGACCGTACCGCGGAGTCAGCAAAAGCCGCATTCCCCGCTATTCAGCGCAGGAAGGGAAATCGTGGATATCATACTTCAGCCGACTATCATGCGCTCTATAAGTCGGGAGAACTGACACCGACAGCTGTCATCGAGACGCTGTTACCTCTGGTGCGACGTGACGTCCAGCCGCCGGGAAAACACTCAACTGCCTTCCTCGAGTCTCAGGCTGAGTTGGTTCGCGCGGCAGCTGAAGCTTCTACAGAGCGGTACAAGAATGGCCAGTCCCTGGGTCCGCTTGACGGCGTGCCGGTCGCTGTGAAGGACGAGGTGCATCTAACCGGATATAAGCGCACGTTGGGATCGAAGCTGGACTTTAAGCATGGGACTGATGAAACTTCGTGGTGTGTAAGACAATGGCTGGATGCTGGGGCTATTGTTATTGGGAAGACATCTATGCATGAGCTGGGTCTCGGTAAGTCATCTTTTTTTTCTCCCCTTATTCGTGCAATCACTGACTCAAATCACCAGACACAAACAACAACAACCCCAACTACGGAACACCCAGAAACCCCCACAACAAAGAATACTACTGCGGCGGCTCCTCCGGCGGCTCCGGCTACGCCGTCGGCGCCGGACTCGTCCCCATCGCCCTGGGCGCAGACGGCGGCGGCTCAATCCGCATCCCCTCTTCATTCTGCGGTATCTGGGGACTAAAACCATCCCACGGTCGTATCTCCGGCGCACCATCCCAAAGTCTCGCACCAACAGTCGGTGTCCTAGGCCCTATGGCATCTAACATCGACGATCTCGCCCTCGCCTATCGCACCATGGCTATCCCAGCCCCAGCATCCGAGGACCCCATTTCCTCCCAATTCCCCTACCCCACACCTCCCAGCCCGACAGACACCACCAGACCCAAAACCATCGGCATAGTCCGCGCCTGGATCGATCGCGCCGAGCCCCCCGTCAGGGCCGTACTCGATCGCTCCCTCGCTTACTACCGCGAACACGGATACAATGTAATCGACATCGAAATCCCCTATCTACCCGAAGGCCAGCGCGCACACGTCTTAACCATCATGGCAGAGATAGCCTCCGGCGTTGACGCCAGCAAGATTAAACATCTAACCGCGCCAAATAAAGTCCTCGTGTCTATGGGCATGTACCAAATAACAGCGCAGGATCTGCTCGCTTCCCAGCGTCTGCGGAATCTGCTTATGACGCATTTGGCGCATCTGTTTAAGATTCATCCCGGGTTGATGATCGTTACGCCGACGACGCCGATTCCCGGTTGGCATATTGATGGTGGGGAGGCGGATTTAGTGCGTGGGTTGTCGGATGGGAAATCTTCGGTTAGGAATATGGAGTTTGTTTGGTTGGCTAATTTTATGGGCTGTCCGGCTATTAGTTGTCCCGCGGGATATACTGATGGGAATGTGCCGATTGGGATTATGGCTATGGGTGAATGGGGGACTGAGGAGGAGCTTATTGCTTTTGCGAGAGATGGGGAGGGGATTTTGGATTTGGCTACTGGGGATGCAGAAGATACAGGTGTTGCGGCGGTTAAGGGTTTACGGACTCCTTCGGATGATTTGTCTGTTTGGGAAGATGTTATTGAACAGGCTAAGGGGAAGATGTCTGTGTAAAAAGATGCATCTGCACACTTGGGAGGACTATCAGGGAGATTGTATGGACCGAAACATAGGATTCGACTAGGTTGAATATGCAGCTATATAGACCTATTCAGTGGGTATTGGTCAAGCCGATAGAGAATGACTGTAACTTTGCATATGTAGAGAAAGAACCGTTCATTCACTTCTCAGTTGTCTGAAGAAAACGCACTAGTTCTGGGACATCATCGTGCTCATCGCCTATTGCAGATGACGGGCCAAGTCGCTTATAGAAAAGCGATTCAAAGTATTGCGGAAAGAACCCAGCGTACTCCCAGTCTATGATAGCTCGGATCTTTAATGTGTGCGGATCCACAATGATGTTCTGCTGAGACAAATCGTTGTGACAAAAAACATATTCCTCATCATCAGCAATCTGCTGAGACCAGACATCCTTGTCCGTGCATTCCACCACACGACTAGGAGGAATCACTATTCCGGAAGGGCCCCCAGTTTTGTTTGATTTGATCTGACGGAGGGCAGCTAAAACCTGGGAGAGTTCGCCCTGCACAACCGTTTTTTGATCTTCAGAAAGCTCGGACATGGAAGAGCCGTCGATGTATTCCGTGACCACGAAATAGGAGCCATCGACCTCGAATGATCCGTACAGAGTCGGGACAGGGATATTGCTGACACGGCGAATGAATTGTAGGCTTGCGGCCTCGTTTTGTGTCTTTCTTTGCCCAATCGTGGAACGTAGGTTGTTCCTTTGAGTGTAGTCATGTATTCGCTAGGTCGTAAACTTCGTTTGATGAAAAATCCGCCTCGGTGATAGTCTCCCTTTCGGCAGTTCTCTCAGTCCATTCATCAGATGATACAGTGGAAGCCTCTTCGTGGTTTGTCTGGGTTTCGCGATCAATCTCAAGCATCTTCAGCCACGGTGTTACTGTCGAAAGCTAAAAAGGAAAAAGAAATCAAGAAGGAGATCGATCCTTTGCTGTACTGCACACAAAGTAAAAAGTCTGAGAGAAAGAAAGAAGAAGAAGAAGAACAGGAGGTAAACAATCAAATAGACTCTTCCCCGCGATCCCTGCTCCTTCCCTTCCTGATTGCCCACTGGCTCACATGACTTGTTCCTGTCCACCGTCACACACGGGAAAAGAGAGATTGGAAATGGTATAGAACAGATTTTACCAACGCTGGGATATCCTGCATGATAGTAACTATACCGCTTGAATAGATTCTGCTTACTTAGAGCCATGGCCCCAGCTATGAGTGGATACCCGTAGCCAGCCTTCGCATGTCCATCGAATAACTGTCCCAAACTTCGCTTTGACTTCACAAAAGCGGTCTTCCTGATCATCGAGGCCCCATATCACTGCCAGGACTGTGCAGCCGGCCCTAGGATTGGACAATAATTACCAATAATGAGGATGGCGCCAAAACAGGCCACGTGACCCGGCTTGGGCTCTCCACAAGGACCACAACAGAGACTGCCCGTCAGACTGAGACTCCTTAGCGATTAGTCTGAATACAGGAATACCCCTTAGGATTTCTTCACTCTAGTTCTAATTTCTAAACCCCTCTGCCTCATTTGGACCCGCCAGTACGCCGGTCCTAACAATTTTCTTTGTTCGATCCGAAGGGCGAGGCTTGATGTTGAACGCCAGGAGATAGCGACTGCTCATCAACTAGAACAGGCTCGATTTCTGGACCATCTCGGGGTTTGCAATTGTTGTAGCGAACGAAACGCTTTATCTTTTCATCGCTGTCTATGAAATTGTAGATCCGCGAGGATCGGACAAGTAAGGTACCCGAGTTATCGAATTTAGCCTGTAGGAGACGACCGTGTCTTGGCCCAAAGAGCGAGATGACGAGTACCGGGAAGAGTGAGGTATCCTTGAATTCTGGCTGTTCGAGACGGCAGTAGAGGGCATTTGCAATAGGCGCTAATTCACCATGGAGTAGTTCATTTTCTTTAGCCTTTGCACCAGTGAGAGTTATAAGTTTGATGTGAGGGCGACTGGTCTTCGGATCCTCAAGGTCGTCAAGCCATTGGCAAGTAGAATAGGCATTCCATCTCGGAAGATCCTGAGGCTTCGAATGTCCACATGTAAAACCCCATAACATTCCTGTTGGATTCTCGAGGAAAGAGTCCTCGGCCCTGGTAGCCTATGTTAGCGACTTATCAATTGAGCATAGAGTGAGACTCACTTGATATGATCCCAATGCGAAAGGTCCTCTATTGAGGATATCAATCTCCCACTCTTCCTCTCGGCCTTCGACTCGAAGACCTCAAGATAGAATAGAATTTGACCAGCTCTTTCCCACTCCTGGCAATTCTTTGGAATCGCGTCTGTGATGTCATGAAGGGTGTCCTTGAATTGGGTGATGTAGTGATGCTCGTCCTTAGAAAGTCTTTTTTTGTCGATTACGAATGTTTTAAGCTCTTCATGGGTGAGTGGCGGGAAGAGACAAGCTTCGGAATCGGTGAATTTGTGATCCTCCGGGTCGATGGATTGGACAGACACTCGGAATTGAGCGAGCTCAGTGTGCGTGTAGGCAGGCTTGGACCGAGACTGGAGCTCTTGGATGATGGATCGCGCTGCTTGCTTGTACTTGCCTCTTAGGCGAGCGCGTTCCTGCGGGTCAGCCAGGGAAGAAGCCATGGTGAGCAACAAGAGAGAAAGGGTGATATTGTCGAGACGTAAAGACAGAAAGATGATTTTGTGTGTGGACTTCAGAGCTGGAGGTGAAGATGTGTGGATAAGACTGATGAAAGAGACAGGTACAACTAGTAAGTAGTAACTACATAGTACAGTAGTAGTGAAGGCCCACCCGGGCGAGACCCTCTTATTAGTCACGTAATTCTAACTCGCCGCAGAATAACTACAGAACCCGCAGAATACCCGATATAACGAACTTGGAGCTCGGGCATATGTAAAAATATAGGTACCATTCAATGCTTGACCGAAATATGCATACTGGCTAATATGCAGCAATGAACAATGCTCTGCATCGAAAGAAAAGAACAAAAAACCCCCTCATAACCTCATGAAGCGTTCAAATCCAAATCTCCTCAGCAGGATTCGGAAGTAGGAATTCACAACCCAAATGCGCCGCTTCACCATGGGCCCGAAGTTCCTCGATTATCTGAACTCCAGGTGGCTCCCCGTCAGCCAGACTATCCTTGACATGTATAATGTAAACCCTCACTCCTTCCAGCGGAAGGGGTGTAGTATCAGCCCAAGATTCAGGATTCGGCGTTTCAACAGAAGGGCCATCTCCGCTACCGCTACCGCTACCACCATCCATGCGGGGGATCTGAGGTACCTCGAAAGGATCACTCCGCGGCAACTGAGACTCGAGGAAGGGCTCCGACTCCCTGCTTTTCTCGGCAGAATCACCCAAAGACCGTTTCGACCGCGGGCTCAACCCCTCGCCGCCGGTAGTGGCGGGTCGTGCGAGCTCGCGCTTGCGCTTTTTCACGCCTGGTTTTGAATCCCGGAGTTCTAGGACTCGGTTGGCCAGCACGCTGAGCTCGAAGACAAGATGGCGCGGACACATGTGGCCGTACAGATATGCGTCGTCGGTGCTGTCGCTGTAGGAGCATTCGATGAATATGGCGCGGAGTTTGCCCGTGACGATCTTTGGGGCGGCGGCTTCCCAGACTTGTCGGTTGCAAGTCCCCATGGAGACGGAATCTGGTTCGACGTCGCCGAAGACGATGATCTCTGAACCGGTGCGGAGATCGCGCAGGAAGAAGGCTGAGCTTTCGACTGTTGCCATTGGTGGCTCTTTTTGGCTGGAAGGCATTAGACGCGGTGAGCCAGAGGGCGAGAAGAAACTGGTGATGGTTAGAAGATCTCGTGAAGATATCGGGTGAATCCAAACCTACCTGCCCTCGGTATGATCTACCGAGATTGCCCTCGAAGGAACCGATGGAACCATCAGCTGGTGATCAGCGAAGACGGTACTTCCGATTCGATGGTGCCTTTCGCTTTCCGGGTTGTATCGTTGCTTGCACCGACCATGGCTGACACTGAGGCATTTCGTCAGCAAGCCAATGCAAGCATTGACATAGCCTCTACTCTCGCCGCGACCGAAACGAGGGTTTCCTCCTTCCACTAGGCGTTGGTACGTGAGTAAACCTGCACCGCCATCTTCATCGGACAGATTAGGCCAGATGACATCGTTGAACATGTGGTTTTTGATGGCAGATAATACTGATGGCAAGGCAGCCACGGACTTGGGTCCATTCCCGGCCTCCAGAATTGGAGTGTTGATTGCCAGAGCTGAAATATGATCTAGATGGGGGTGCGTGACGAGAACCGCACCAATGAGGTCGCGAAATATGTGGGCTGCATTTGCCTGTGCTGTTTCGAAGGGCAGCTCGAGCCCTTGAAAGGGACCACTTGTCAAGATTCCCTTTTCATTTCTGTGTTCGGGGATGGACCGTTCCAGCAATCGGATGATGCCCGCAAGAAGGGTGCCCGCATCGACAGCCACCACCGAGTTTGGCGACCATTTTGTTGCTGTCGATCGGACAAGGATGCCTGTGACATTATCCTCACGAGGTCCACCCGTTGGGCCCTAAGGAAGTCAGCATCTATCGCCAAAGTAGAGTCGCGCAGTTCTCGGACGGAACCAGTCCATCAGGCAAGTTGAGAAAAGCGATAACCGCATCGCATATCACGCTCGACACATGGCTCTGCACGTGATTCCTGCAGACGAAAGCAAATAAAAGGTTACTTACCAAGACAATGACTTGGAATGCTGCTTTCTCGGCCATTGTTCGACCGTCTCACTAAGGGAGTGGTGAGACACGAACAATGAGCTGGCCGAGTTGTCGCAGCCCCAGCACGAGTCAAACTGCCCGAGCGCCTCACTGATAGCAAGCGGGTCTCAAGCAATAGACTGTCTCACAAAGGCACTAACGGATTGGTTGCTGTTGGAATCGCGCGACAAAAGAGGCGGCTAAGATAAAGACAAAGGGGGAAAAAAAGCAATTATGTCGCGCGACACGATAGTAAGCGCGTGCAGGGATTCGGATTCAAAAAAATATGGGTGCAGAACTAGACAGCTCTCTGCATACCATTTACGCAGTACTCCGTAGCGCGATAAGCCGATTTCCAGGAAGCACTGACGGTTTGCGAGATGCTGGTCAGATAGAGATTCGCACGAAGCGGAGACTTGGAGGCTGGTCAGACGGGTCGAGTGCAGATCAGAAGACTCCGATCTTTGATTGATGGGACTTCCCAACCTCGTATCACGAAAGGTCGCGTCTGTGGGACTGTCCAGACCGTGTAGCCGATTGGCGGGGTCTGGAGTCCGGAGTCCGGACAGAGCGTGAGAGGCGAAAGTGGATGCGACTGGGGCCAGTGGGGAATCACAAAGCGGATAATGAAAATCTGGGGTTCAGTGAGATCTCAGATCTCAGACTGTGGTGATTGGATGATTTGATTGAAGACTGTAGACAGCATAGATAGATGATGTAGCTAGTTGAGTGGAAGGATCAAAGCTTCGGGTCTTGGCAGGTGCTCCGACTCTGTAGACTGTGGGGATCGTTAACAGTTAAGTACTGTCACTACTGTGTATTAAGACCTTTCAACACTCTTTGTGTCTGCAGTTTTTCAGCTTCGATCAAATAGAGACTACGACTGGGTTCACATTCACTTCAATGATATTCAACAAATCCTCAACATCTACAGCACTTTACTGTGTAGTTATGGTGAGGTTTAAGTTTTCATAAATGAATCTCTGGAATTTTGGTTATTGAAAATATCCCAGAGAATGTACAGTTTCAGCTTAAGAGAGGGTATGTGGTAAAGGCAACAAGAATAGCGAGACGATGTTGCCCTAAGAACTCATTGACTGCGAGGGTAATCAAAGAGACAAAGCCCGCGGTCCAGCCAAAGAGCGTTCAATAAATCTCAAATCAATCTGCCCTTGCTAGAACGCCATCCGTGAACCCGCTAAATAAAACAACAAAGAATAGATCAGACAAAAGCCCCCAATGTATGTTCAAAGCACAGGAGGTGCTGCATTAGAGCTGGTTATTGCTCCCTTGAATCTCGTTCATTCAAGTCTCTCTCCACCACAGTCTCATAACTTGGCAAGTTTTGACCACCCGACTCCGAATCATGTGGATAGTTGGGTTCCTCAGAAGCATTCCTGGGTGGGAATTCAAGAGAGGCATCACTAGCCCGGCGACTGCCGTCGGGGCTATAGTACTCTGGAGGAGGGGCCTCTGGTTCATTGCCTGAAGCTGCCGCAGCATCCGCCTCTGTATCCCCCATTGTATACCGGCTGGATCCCTCGCCAGCATCTTCATGGGAAGGAATGTGGTTCAGCTGAGCCAGGGAAATGTCAGTTGGTGATCGAGCAGGGCCGGGACTAGGCGCCGGAGGGATCCTAACACTTGACCCTGACGCCGCGTAGTTTGCATTTTGGTATACGCGCTGAGAAATTTGAGCCGCACTCTCGCGACCCGATTCAAGGAGAATGCTGCCTTGCTCACTGCCATAGGGTGGGGGCGGAGCCAGGCTGCCAGTCATAGGGGCCAAGCCCCATTTTTTGACATTGCCTTCGATGAACACAAAACCCATTTGCCCAAAGTTCACATGCACGGTACAAGGCCCGTTGGCGCCAATGGTGGGGAAAAGATTCTGTGAGCGGTAATTATGAGCGACGTCTTCGAGTTTCTTGCCGTTGCGTGTGAAAAAGATGGTGCCGGATCGAGGTCGGTAGCCAACACCGATGACATCGCCCTGGAGCAATGGAGGGCCGTATGGGGTTGGGGTGAATGGTTGGTTAAGTCTGCGATGCCCCGTGGATTGGTAGGCAACAGAGGTCTTGTGGAAGCCTGGATCTTGTCAGTAGGAGTCACTTGGCAAAAGTAGCACCTTCACAATACATACCGGGCATTCGGAAGAGAGGATAGGGTTTGGTGGTCACACCGATAGCAACCATTGTCGACTCCGGCTTGTCGTATATCTTCGCTTCCCAGTAGTAAACGTCGTTCTGCTTGGGGAGTGGCAAATTCGTCTGTACACTACACTCGGAGTCAAAGAACTCGATTTCCGTGCGTGCTTCCACAAAGCAGTTTGCAATCTCCAGCTCTGGCTGGAATTCCCATGCCGACACACCCTTTTCCTGAATTGCGAGGAACTGTGATAGCGAGATATCGGTCTGCACGGATTCGGGAGGATTTCCTTGTACGAAAGCTGCATACGATTAGCCGAATGATCAGAGCAAAGAGATTCACATCCAGCCTTACCTTTTGCTCGCAAGTATTCCGATCGGGCTAAGTCATCCATTGACTCTAGCGCCGCCTCTTCCTCGCGCGCGAATGCTTGCTCGTCATCGTATTCACCGGGTCGGCCGATGCGATCGAGCATAATCCGACCGCGGCGGGTATATTTGAAGAAAAAGAAGATCGCTAGAACGACAAATGCGACGGCGGCCGACCCAAACGCAGAGAGAATCCCAATCAGTATGCCTTTACCGGTTGACCCGGTTGAATTGCCACTGGCGGCAAGCGCGGGCTCGGGACGCAACTCCATGGACAAAGAAGACAAGACATTCCGTAAATTCACTTGGATTTGATGCTGTGAAAGTGACGGGTCACTCTGTATCGGGGTAGGGAATGAGGTGGAGGAGACGAAGCTAGCCGGTGACGTCGTGGGGTTGCCTATCACCGTTCTCAAGGTGGATGGTAGGCCCGCGAGCGCACCGGGGCTCGAAGCCTCAAGAACCTGCATAGTTCATGTGTCGGGTGGGATCGGGGGAAAAAGCAAGAACTCGCGAAGAGAACAAAAGATGAAGAGGTGAAAGAGGAGGTGTGAGAGAGTGACCAGAGAAGCGGGCGCAGCGGATAAATCAAGGCGGTGGTTATCTAAGACGTTTCCGGGCACTTGGGGCGGCGTTGGGGCCTGGCCACCAATATGCAAGGCTATGAAGTGTTTTGGTTCGGGGATTCTGCAAGATCCTAGAAACCTGAAGGTATGAAGGTATCTCCTTTCTTGTGACCTTTATCGTCTCCCTCGATCAAGGCAAAGAGATGCTGGTGGAATAGCGGTATCACCGTATCAGAAGGGTTGTACGAATCTCCAGCTATCCCTCGTCAGGATAAGCCTCCTTCTCTCCTCTTCCCCTCTCTCTTAGCTCCTTACTTGTGACCCCTCTCATTCCCTCACAAGGTTTACTTGAAATGCGTTCAACTGCTGGTGTCAAGGGCTCCCAGACTCGGGACGTCATGATTAATGCCCTCGACTCCTACAATATCCGCGTGGTGACACCTACCTCCTGCGATAAATACCCAGGTCAGTTCGCTTCTTCCTAGAGCGGGGATGGCAAGGTCGGAACACCTTCACTTGCCTCCTTCGCTCTTTCCATACCTTTTTGCTACTCCCCTGGGTCCGACCGGTGATCATGCGAGCTTCGAGCTGACCAGACCACCCTGACTAGCTAAGCACCACGCGCGCAATGTCGCCCGAAAGCTCGGTGCTTCAAGTGGCTTGATCTTCCTTTCCGGCCAGCCAACAATTAATTTGCGTGACTCGGATCAATCGCGTCCGTTTCGACAACGGCGCTACTTCTACTATCTATGCGGAGTTGACGAGCCCGACTGTTCTCTGACGTACGATATTGGACAAGATCTGTTAATTTTATATGTGCCGGACTTCGATCTTCACCGTGCTATTTGGATGGGACCAACCCTTTCACGCGAGGACGCACAAGATCGATACGATGTGGATTGTGTACGGTATCACACCGCGCTCAGATATGACCTGCAAGCCTGGCTAGACGAGCGAAAACAGGGCAGTGAGCTGTATCTTCTTCATGAGTCGGAGAAGCCCGAAGGGTTACCCAAGGATCTGCCACTGGAGCTTGAACAGCTTGCGCCGGCTATGGACGCCGCCCGGGGCGTTAAGGATGAATACGAAATCCGGATGATTCGCCAGGCCAATAAAGTTTCAGGACTTGCCCATCGGGGAATTCTGGAGAACATTCAAACCATGCACAACGAGTCACAGATTGAAGGATCATTCTTGAATACATGCATCTCACACGGTGCCCGGAATCAGGCATACCAGATCATCGCAGCCTCAGGTCCCAATGCGGCGGTTTTGCACTACGATCGGAATAATGAATCTCTCCACAAGAGACCACTCGTCTGTCTTGATGCCGGTGCAGAGTGGAACTGCTACGCAAGTGACGTGACACGGACCTTCCCGCTTACCGGCGACTGGCCCAGCGACTACGTGCGGGATATCTATAAGCTAGTAGAGCGCATGCAAGAGGAGTGCATCCGAAAGATCAAAAAAGGGGTGCGATTCCTATCTCTCCACGACCTAGCCCATGACATCGCCATCGAAGGTCTTCTAGCTCTGGGCATCTTCAAGAGCGGCACAAATCTCGAGATCCGTCAATCTGGCGCATCCAAGGTTTTCTTCCCCCACGGCCTGGGTCACCATGTCGGCCTCGAGGTCCATGACGTGTCAGAGCGGTCGATCATGGCTCTTCACAAAGGCTTCGATCAACAACAGTACGGGCCAATCTTGAACTCTACCTGTCTTTCGCCGTGCACGCTCTCCGCCCCGCTGCTGGAAGAGGGTATGGTTGTTACTGTTGAGCCGGGACTTTATTTCTCGCCTTTGGCTTTGGCGAATGCGCGCCGCCAGTCGTATGCCCGATACATTGATTTTGATATTGCGGAGAAGTACGTTCACATTGGCGGAGTGCGCATTGAGGATGACATTCTCGTTACGGCTACTGGCTACGAGAACCTCACCGATGCTCCTAAAGGTGAGGAAATGCTTGCCATTATTAGAGGTTCTGTATGAAGCGTGGAACCTGCCATCCATAGAATAGAGATCATGTGAAAATGTTTTCATTTTGTTCCTGACTGAAAGTCTGCTAGAGACGTGCGCGACTCAGTATAAGTAATAGACCACTAACTACGACATCACCACTACCTTAGTTAACTCGGATGTAATACAAAAGATAACGGGAAGCCAAAGGCGCCGATTTCAGAAGCCATGGCTGCCGATCTCTGTCACTAACCTCGGGTTCGTACTCGGATAACCCTTCTCCAGCGCCGATCAACTTGAAAGCGAGCGTGAAACCCCCTCAATGAAGTCAATCTTCATACATTCATGACTTATGCCCATCTACCGGGTAACGAATCAACGGACAGTCTTGACAGGCCGTGTTTCCCCACACGCAGGTACTTGTAAGGCTGCTATCCCCGCCGTCATAGTAGTGATAACCCCGTTTATACCAATCCTCGCCCCCGAAACCAGTATCCAGCACTCAAACTCAACATGGGAAGCATCGGCGCGTATACACCTAGGCATGTTGATACGGAGCTCTGCTTCTGGAGACGTCCGGATACCGGCAGGAGTGTTCAGATCGACTTTACCAAGGGCAAGCCCGAGGACAATGTCAAACAGATGCACGTCCTTGACGAGACACACAGCGTGCAAGTGCAGGATATCCGAGATGAATCGTCATACACACTCGACAAGAGCGGCTTCGTGTATTTATCGCACGAGATACCCGAGCTGGACAGAGTCTCAGACGGAGAGTTTGTCCGGGACAGCATCATTCCAAAGACAGAAGAGCTAGTTCGTAACGTGTAAGTACTATCCCAGAAACGAGGACAGTCGGTGTATGCTTGTGCTTCGGGAAGCTGAACAAGGTCACAGCACCGGCGCGACTAGGACAATCACATTCGCACACCGGGTGCGATGCCTCGCATCAGATCCATCCATGCTCGCCGATAACCGGAGCCCAGCACACAGTGTCCATTCAGACTTCACACCTGCGGGTGCACTCCACCAGCTCGAGACTATCGTTCCAGACGAGAAGGAGCGCAACCGTCTCCTCGCAGGCCGCGTGTTGGTCATTAATGTCTGGCGGCCATTGAAACTTATTCAGAGGGACCCTCTTGCAGTCTGTGACTGGAGTTCCCTCGATATCGAAAGCGAGGGTATCCCCAACCGTATAACGCTACCGCATGGTTGGAATGAACTGGGGAGGTACGCGTGTAGTGCGAAGCAGCGATGGTGTTATCTCGGCGGTCAACAGCCTAGTGAACCTCTAGTCTTCACACAATTCGATAGCTCCAAAATGGAGGAAGGTGGTACCACCGTGCCTCACAGTGCGTTTGTTGACCCGACATATAATGATTTTGCTGCAAGGGAGAGTCTGGAAATCAAGATGTTTGCGTTTGTTTAGTCTGTTTGTTATGTTTGGCTCAGGCAGTTTAAGGAGAGAGAGTCAGGTCTCAGTCCATAGGGCTAAAATTAGAGTCCTGACAACTCAGGCACTCCATAAATTATTCCAATTCTGAGTCAATAGTCAGAACCTTCCAAGTTTCTTTGAAAGCTCCCGAGATTCCCCATTTAGCTCAGTGAAAGAGAATGAGTCAGTTCTTTATTGCTCGGCTTTCGGCTTTCCGTTGAAAATTCTTTTCACCACGTTGCACACGTGCATTTGTTCGATGCAAGGTGTAAAAACTCAGATCTCTCCCTTGCTACCTGAGCGAATTTTTAAAGCGAATGATACGTTCAATGTGTCCTAGTATTGTGGACCGGAGATTGATGAAGGCTCCGGACCCTGCATATTTGCCTTATTAGGGCCAATAGGGCAAGTTTAAAGGAGAGTCACCCCTTCATTGCCTAACGGGATCTTTCGGTCCGCACGGCACTAAGGAATCCGGCATCGCGGCATCGGGTTTAAGCAGGACACCGGTCACCAGTCACCACCGCTTGATGACATGGCTTATGGAGCATTTCGTCATTTGATGTTTCAATCTTTTCATTAAAAATTTTTTTTTTCGAATAGTTATGCAAATCTTCCACAGGATTGCTCATATGGCTAAGCCCTCGTAATTAGCATTCTTGAGTCACGCAAGTTTAGTATGCCTAAAGTCTAATTATTACGCACCATGAAGGTCCTCCAATGACATGAAGTGGGGAATGTCATCTGGATGAATGAAAAATCACGAATAGATCACGTTATTCACGAATCACGCCTTTCTAAGGGACCTTAGGCGCCATTTTTAAAGTCATAAGGTGTTGGGTGATCTTCTCTCGGGATGGGCCCACTCTACTGTGTAAAAGTGGGCCCTTCCAAAGTTTTCTCCTTTAGTGACTCACTTTGTACTTCTCTACATAAAGCCACTCACCCCCGGGACCATATCGATGATTCTTTTTCTCAGTACCTCATCTCGTCCTTTCCAGGAGGTGATGGTCGCTCCCCTTTCTCTACTCTTCAGCTCTTTTCTTTCGGGGACTTCCTTATACTTGACTTCCAACTATGGGCCAGAGGCATAACAGACGTCGCACTCGTCGTTCCAGCAACCGCAACAAGATATCTTCCACATCATCAATCCAGACCCCTCAGCGCAGCTTTTGTGAGCCTGTCTGCTTTGACAGCTCTCCTACCGCATGCAGTTCACGTGGATCTCCGGCAGTGACCCTCGCCCCATCATGGCACTATGGGTACACAGCCTGGCAGACCCGTGAGCGATCTCTGCGAATGGAATCAGACGGGCTAGAGGAGTGTTGTCGTCTGTGTGGCGGAGAGCCAGGCGATGACCCGAGTCTCTGTTACCGGATGCTTGAGTATTTTGCTGGACTCGACTACATTGAATCGTGAGTATCAGTCTCAAACCTGATTCATTGGAACCAATCCTGACTTTCTTTCCAGAACAAGTGGTCATACCCTTGGAGATTGATTGTCTGGACATCATCCGCAGAGCTTCTCGGATGTATCGCCTCTTCGCCAATTTTCTTTTTCAACCTCAAACAAAAAAAGACAAACCCATATACGATGTTTACGAATATGCGACGTTCGTGAATCCCGCATTCGATAAGCAAGACAAGAAAAACACCATCGAAACTATCTCGACAACGATGCTCTGCGTCCTCTGTCGGCCACTGCAAATGCGCCCTACACCGAAGTGGCAAGAACGCCAGATCCCATGGATTTCCCGGGTCCCCGACTTGTAGCAATGAAGATATCTCTTTGGAGGTATCGGATTGGTCCCCTTCTACCCCGGCTGTGTGGATTCTGGTTCTATCACATACACAAAAAATGAGTCATAGACCTTCTGCGAGACTTCCCAACGCTTTGTCTGGATTGGTTGAGTTCGCGTCCGACCTTGAGTTGTTGACGCTTGAACACCCTTTCTGGGTAAACTGGGAGCTTTGGCTATGTTGGTCATGAGGGGAGATATCGTGTGTGATAGATCTGTTCTGTCAATACTCCTAAACTGGAAGGAAAGGTCAAAAGCTGGCAGCAGCAAGTGGTTCGATTGGTTAGCCACTCCTAACTGTAACTCTATTAAGAGTGCATCTAAAAGTATTGTATATATGAAGCCTTGAGCTCATCCACAAAACTGTTAAGAATACTTCAAACATTTTGATTCCGAAAACTTTTGCATGTCAACGTATTGTAGAATCATGTGAGGCGTTTACTCCGTAGATCACAGATCACGGGCAACTACTAGGAAGAAGAGCGATCAAAACTCGCAGGCGGCGGCAGAAGAATGTCGATGAACAAGCATCTGTGCGGGGCCTCTTCGCTTCTGCGGGGTTCGATCGTTCGTCTTCCCAGTTGCCAGTTGCCCGTAATAATGTCTGAATTTTAGTGATGGGCAACAATCACAACCGATGCACGCTAGGGCAAATACGGAGTACGATGTTGTCTGTTTTGTGGAGGTGCCTCACCGCCTGCCCTCTCAATAAGGAACTGCCACCTGTTGACATCCCCATATAGTAGGCGGTGGGTGGACCCTGCTTGAGGACACGGTCATCACCAGATCAGGAAGTCCGATATTCACTTCCCCTTCATCGCTCCTTTGTTTCTTACGGGCCAGACTTTTCGGCTCTTACTAGGCTTTTACTTGCTTTCTACAACCCAAAGGCTTTCTCTCCACAGTCCGAAGTGGCCACTGTCACCAGCCCTGCGCAACACAAATATTTTTAGTTCCGCGGCCAGCGGCAACCGCTGTCTGTACCCTAACCTCGCCGCAGAATGTCGTCAGACTACACATATGATGAGCAGGTATGAGTGGGATTCGATGTGGAAGACACCGTAACACTAACTTTGGCGTACAGGGACAATTCTTCCCCTTCTTCATCCTCACCTTGACCGGCTTGGTCACTCTCCCTCTCACCTATAACCTCCTACGACCTAGCAAAGGTGAGCTTTGGCAAAACTACCGCATTCTTTCTTTCTCATATTCTAATCATCTTTGTGAGCACAGAGCTCGAGAATACGGCTCCCCGCATCAAGTCCGATTTCAAGCCTAAACATGCAGATCTCATCGATGCGCAGAAGCGCAAGCGCTTGCGCAAAGAGCGCCGAATCAAGCGTATTGTCACTGTCATCGTAGGATATGCCATGATGGCATGGATGGTATATTTGATTACTGTCACCGCCAGGACAACGACGAAGGCATACGACCCTTATGATATCTTGGGTGTCTCGAGGGTGAGTTATGCGCGAGGCCGCTGAAGGCACACAAAGAATGCAAATTGACACTTTATTCCTGAAAAACAGAGCGCAGATGAGAAAGCTATCTCCAGGCATTATAAGCGCATGTCTTTGATCTATCACCCCGATAAGATTCGCCCTGACCCCGCCAAAAATGAAACGATGGACACGCTCAATGAGCGTTTCGTGGAGCTCACCAAGGCCTACAAAGCCCTCACCGACGAGGAGATCCGAAACAACTACCTTCAATATGGCCACCCCGATGGCAAGCAAAGCTTCAGCATCGGCATCGCCCTTCCCAAGTTCATTGTCATGGATGGCAATGGCAAATATGTTCTGATGGTCTACGGTGCCCTTCTGGGTGTCCTTCTCCCGTATATAGTCGGCAAGTGGTGGTATGGATCGCAGCGTTATACGAAGGAGCGTGTGCTGGTTGCCAGTGCCGGTAATATCTTCCGCGAGTACAAGGAGGATATCACTGAAGGTGGCATTATCGGCGCTTTGTCGTCCGGCGAAGAGTTCAAGGATATGCTCAAGGGTGCTAAATCCGAGTCTGGGTTGAACAAGCTCGAGAGGCAGGTATTGGCGGATGACAACTCGTTCCTTGCTGCCAAGGATCGTGAGGTTCTGAAGCAGTTGGACAGCTCCTCCCGCCGCAAGGCTTTGGCTTTATTGTGGGCTTATCTAGGTCGGGTCGACCTTGGCGACGCCTCTCTCGATGCTGGTGAGAACCCGCTCTGAACCATCTTATAAAAAGCTTTTGCTGACCCCTTGGATACAGAAAAATATGAAGCCGCTCCTGTTGCCCTGTCTCTCACCGAAGCTTTCACCGCTATCGCTCTCGCATTTGGTAACCTCGGACCGATCGTCGGTGCTTTCAAAACGTCTCAGAATCTCATTCAGGCTGTGGCCCCCGGCTCATCACCACTACTACAACTTCCCAACTTCACCGACGCTGTTGTCAAGTCCGTGGAGGGGGAAGATGCCAAGGAACACCTCACCGTTCAAAAGTACATGGAACTACCAGAGGCTCAGCGGCGCAAGCTGGCTGTGGGCGCTGGTCTCTCTGATAAGCAATACACCGATGCCATTTCCGTTGCCAAAGAACTTCCCGTCCTGCAACCCGAGCGGATCTTCTTCAAGGTCATGGGCGAGAAGGTGATCACTCCCAGCAGTCTGGTACAGCTGGTGGTCAAGGCTCGGTTCATTCCGCCCGGTAGCACATCCGTCCCGCCAGTGAATGAGCTTGATCTAGAGGATGTTGACCCCGACGAGGACGACCTCGAAGCCCTGATGGGCCGCAAGCCGGCCAAAAACATCGCTACCAAGATGGTCGACGGCAAGAAGGTCGAGACTAAGATCGAGACCGTCCAGCCGCCTCTGGCTCACGCACCCTACCTAGCCCGCGACCACTCCCCGCGCTGGAACATCTTCCTAGCAGATGCCAAGCAGGGCAAGATGGCCGTGCCGCCGTTTACGTTTACGACATTTGACAAGCCTATCTTCGACGAGGCCGGAAAGCCCACATTCAACGTCCAGACCCTTAAGATGCAGTTCCAGGCTCCCCCGCAGGTTGGCGACTTCACTTTCGTCCTCCACATGCTCTGTGACAGCTACCTGGGTCTCGACAACACTGCACAAATCACCCTGCACATTGATGACCCCGCCAAGGCAGCCGCTGTGGAAGAAGAGGACGACATCAGCGAGCCAGACGAGGGTGAGTGGCCAAAAATACTATTATTATAACCCCCCACGTTATCTTGTTCCTTTACTGACCACTTTCCGTTTTAGATTCCATCGCCGGGCAAATGCAAGCCATGAAGACAGGCCAAGCACCCAAGAAGAAAACAGTCAAGGATTCCGACGACTCCAGCGAGAGTGATACCGACGGCGACGCGGGCGATACCAGCGACACTAACACGGAAACGGAAGACGAGGATTGATTTTCCTTTTTGCATTGATTGATCGATTGTACTCGCGGCCTGTGTGATGTGTGACACCGGTCTCTGATCTCAACCTAGACCTTGGTGGTCTTTGGTCTTTGGCTTAGGCCTACTGTTGTCACTTGCACGTTATGAGGTCTGCTCTTTTATTCATGGGTAGCTTTTGGGTTTTTTTGTTTTATTCATCGGTACTATTCCCTTTTTCTTGGACTCGTTTCTTTACAAGTTTTGTGTATGTGCATCAATCGTACTTGTCTGAATCATAGACTCGAGGAATGAAAAGCCATTCAAATCCTTCTATCCTGTCCATGGATAACGACCAGGAATGGGGGCTAGAACAGGATACATTGTAATCACCAGTTGGTCATATCTAAGTGCTGTCACTGTGTATGGGGTTATCCCCTCTCCTCTCCGGAGGTATAAGTATACCTATGGGCACCACATCAACCCAAACCCTAGGTAACAAGATGTACCGAGAGAAAGACAAGACAACGACGTACTACCACAAACTCCAACCCCCAGATCGGTACACAAACCACTCGCCCAAATTACCCGGACGAGTGGGGGTGAGTATAGCTCGTACCCATCTGAGCCTCCAGCTCAAAACAGACCATAATATCATGATCTCTGACTTAATCTGCATTTCCTTAGTCACGTCCTCTTCCAGCTCCCCGATCGGCTCTAGCTCCCAGCTAGCTGCCGGCTTCGATCTTCCCTTTCCAGCGGTGTCGGGCTAGATCCGCTTTGGGTACTGGGTTCATGCCTCTGTGTTGGTTCATGTCCGGACTCATCTGTGCTAGGTTCATGCGGCGTGTGTGGTACCACTTGTATGACTCGAGTTGGTGCTGGGTACCAGATCTTGTATCTTGTGGATTGTGTTCAGCTTGGGTGTTAGCTAGGATCAGATAGATATAGGTTGAATCTATGTATCTGCCTGCTTGTGTGTTTCCATGTTTAGTTAGCATTTGATAGGTAGCGAATGTGGGAATTTTGCGTATTCATCTCGGAAAAGGGACAATATATGTCCAAGTGAGAAATGGTAAGGGCTAGGTAGGTAGGTTCCGTATCCATGGAGTGCTGGGAAAGGCAACCAGAGGAATGAAAACTAGTACCAAATTTATAGGACGAGTCTAGATAGATCATAGGAGAAAGGAGATAGAATTCCAATTCTTCCGTCGAGATCAATATAGAGTCTGGAGGAGCTGACTGAGCCCGAGAGAGGTAAGAGATAGAGGGGGGATGAGAAGGAAAGAAAAGGAAGCGTTCTGGTTAGGAAGGATTAGGCATTGTGCCGGATTTCTTCCTATATGAATCTGCTCCACGCTCCGGGGAATAAGAGGATCCGAATCCAGGTGTTGGGGGTATAGAAAAGAAGGCCAAGAAAAATGTAAGTCAGGATACCGTGATAGATGGACCAAGGGAAAGAAAATGGTGAAGTGGCAAGGAATATAAATAAGAAGTGAAATGAAGTCCCAGAAGAGAACCAAAGAAAAGAAGAAAGAAAGAAAAGGTGAGCTTCAGCCAAGTCTACCCAGAAGGAAAGTTCCACCCAGGAGTAAACCCAGCATAAAATGCCGAATCCTGTGGAAACTGGTACTCCCCCATCATCTCCGCAGACAGATTCCCGTCCATGTGATGCGTATGGTGCGGATGCTCCATCAAACCAGCCGGCAACCTCGACAAAACAGGCTTGACATCTTGCTGATTCCCATCACAGCACCCATCAAGTACATACGGGAACGGTTCGTGGTGAGCATGGCTATGATGAGGGGGTAGACCGGACGGCGCACTCGCCATGTCGACATGGGGCGGGATATCAGCCCCCATGTCTGGCCCGCTGAGGGACGAGCGTTGCTGTAACGCCATCAGCTCGTGGTATGCTGCGTCAGGGTAGCTGTAGCTTGTTTGCTGGACGGGCTGAAGATCCCATTGCCAGCTTGTGCTTGCGGTTGTGCTTGTGCCTGTGTCAGTCCTGCCGCGGAGTTGGGCTGAGGTGGGCGTCGGGATTGGACACGGGGGCCGGGAGAGGGAGAGGGTTGGGGAGGGTTCTGGAGGCGTTGTTGGTTCTGGGGAGGGCTCAGCTGTGACGCTGCACTCTGTGGATGTTGAGAGGAGGCGGAGGTAGCGGAGGTCTTCAGAGTCCTCCTCTGGTTCATCGGCGTTTTCTTCGGCTTGTTTGATTAGACCTAGACGGTCGAGAATTGCGTGGGTTAGGGGGTGGCCATCTGGGGCTTCAGCAAGAGGATCGCCGGGAAACCCTTCGTTGTTGATGCAAAATTTGTAGAGTTTCTGAAGGGCTTTTACGACCAGGGAGTGGTGGGATTCGAGCATTTCGACGAAGCTGGGTGGGATTATTAGTGTCTGAGGATATATACGAGGCTGTGTTTAGTTGTATGCACTCACCCTCTAGAGTATACTTTGGTTTGGGTCGCCTTTCTTTCGCGGAATAGACATGGATGGTTGTATACCGAGCAGCGATTGCAAGGCTGTTTCCCATCGCACTGGCGGATGTTAGTTTGATATAGAGCACTGTAGTTATCAACACACCTTAGTCTTCTTCACGCGACAGCGATCGCAAGCCTTCAGAACATGCTTGCGCTTGACCCGGAAGACGCGCTGGTCACGCTTGTCCTCGACAGCCCGAGCCCGATGCTCCAGCTCCGTGAGCGAAGCCACTGCCGCAAAATCATCAATGCTATGCGGGAAGCCCTTGGGGCGAAGCTTTGGCTGCCATGACATGGTGGATTGTATCATATTGCTAGCCACACCGGAAGCGCAGCTTTAGATATCGCAATGCAGGAGCAGCAAAAGGTGGAGGAGGAAAGGAAGGCAAGTCAAGACGAGGGAGGGGAAGAGAGAAAGAGCTTTAGCCAGCAAAGAATAAAAAAAACAAGAAAGAGTAGAAAAAGAAAGGAATCGAGCAGGTGGGGTGGATGATAATGGAACAGGCTTCAGCCGCCAGGGCCAAACGTTGATATCATGATTATCAAAGGTGAGAGCCTAGGAGACAAGACAGACAGTATCCCCGCATCAGCATGGTCTGCCGATTTGGCCGATACCCAGTGACGTGGAGAGTGTCCCAAGCGTTCGAAGATGACATGCGACCAGACGAAGAGAACGTCCGGGCACTTAGGCCGTTCAGGTACCTATATCACCGTACAGACACAAGATGGGCATGGGATTTGACCTAGTCATCGGGTAGGAAAACAGTCAATAGAGGGCATTGATGTTATCGTAACGTCTTGTCACACTCGTTTATTCTCCTCCTCTCTATGCTGACAGTGCCTGCACGTCAGAGACCCCAACACGTGCAATCCTGGGAAGGGGAGGGGCAAGAAATTGGGGATGAGCCAACTCCGGGTTGTGACGAGGATCAATCACCAATCAACTTCCCGGTCAAGCTGCATTGTTGGTGTTTCGAGGGGTCAATGCCCTGGAAACAAGAAGAGATCCAGAGGGAGAGAGGGAGATGAAAAGATGTCGGTGTGTTGAAAGGAGACATCCTTGCCAGCTGCACCGAAACGTGGTACAGCGTGATATGCCAAGAAAAGCGAAGCAATCAAGTCAGGTGCCTCCCGGGAAATTAGAGACCCTTAGAAGGAAAGAGAAGGCTTAGAGAAGGACTATGATTTACTCCGTAGTATTCTGATAGAAGGTGGTGGTGAGGCGACTATGATATTAGCCTATATAGTCTTCAATTTACCCTCTTCGATTCTTCGTTCTACATAGACACCCCTGGTACTGCCTGCATTCTCGCACAGAACCAAATCCCGAAACAATAAGGCCAGCCCTAATCTGAACAGTTGTCAACGCTAGATCTTTGCATTGATCATCAACTTCCCGCATCTACCTACAGCGGGTATTCAGATAACTAGAACTAACTGTGCTAGTGTCAGTGCTAGTGTCATTATGTGGCAGTGACAGTGGCAGTGGCAGTGTCAATGTCAATGTCAGTGTCAGTGTGCAGAGGATACCAAGTATACCTACCAGGCAGCACAGTCTTCAGCTCGACCTGAGACACCATACACCATCCAATGTGTCACTTTCTGTACTCACTCTCTTTCTCTTCCCTTTCTCTCTTTTCTCCCGTGGATCATTCCCTCGAGTGTCTGAACAGATCATCCTGAATCCCCGGTTTGCCACCGTGTCTAGACCGTGGGAATTCAAGGACTACATACACTGCCATACCTCGATAGCAATCGATGTATGTTTAACGTCTCGTCTCTCAGCTGGGGAGACAAGGCAGGGGACAAGGGACAAGGGACAAAAACGGACACACGGACTGTCTGTCTTTGCTCCCAGACCCCAGAAGCAAGAAAAGAGGAAAAAGAACAAGAGATAAGGTGGAATTTCCATGTCAATATTGGCCCACTGTACAAGGGCTATGGACTATCGATTCTTGTATACATAATTTCCAAACCCCAAGCACAACTGCATAAGCAAAGGGGAAAACCTGGCCCTATAGAAAGGCTTGGTGGCGAAGCACCTCGCGCGGTTAACTAGTTCACCGACAAGTTCAAGGGAGACCACGAGGCCATAGATTTGTGGGGAGGAGAGGGGCATAAGAAAAAGCAAAGGGTAGAAGCAGGGGAAAATGCAATATGTAAATAAGTTAATATAGACATGAATGACGAGATCTCGAAAACAATTGGCTCATCCCCTCGAATGAATTTCGAAGCCTGAAACGTTTCAAGGATATCAGATATGCCGACCAAATGTAGATGACAACGGGGAAACATGAGAGAGACAGATGCAGGACGTGAAATGAGATACTCGAGCCAATAAGCACTGGGACCAGTCAAAATAATCAAATAAGCAGAGATCAGCAGATGCGAAAAAAAGTAACTGAAGACTCGCAACCCGACAGGCAGATTGTTTGCTTTACGGGAGGCTGGTTTTCTGACTCCATCTCATGCCTTATTGGGGAGCATGATGCTCGCTTCACCCCGCGCAAGCAAATCAAAGCTCTCCTCGCTGGTCGGCGTGTCGGGTTCACTAGGCACCGGCTCCTCTGGTAATGGGATCATGGTCTTCTCCAGCGCAGCAGGAGACTGACCCTGCCACCGGCGATCTCCTACCCATTCGACGCCATCGCCGACGCCACTCATGTCGACCCTGCGACGTTCGTGCTCGCGCTCCAGGAGCGGCAGCCCCTCGCCGCCAGGTGCGTCGCTGGCCTGTCCGATTTCCAGGGGCAGGTTGCGCAAATGCCATTCGCCCGCAAACATGCCGTCTGCGTCGACTTCGCCTCGCACTTTCATCCACGAGTCCATGTCCTCGCCGTATACCCTGCCCAGCTCTGAAGAGCCCAGTGTGCGGAAGTTCTTTGCCCAGTGTGGTTTTGCGCCCATCTGGCGCATTAGCCATTCGAAGGCTTCGTAGTAGCGGTCTTTGCAGGGCGGGTCGCGAAGGTACGGTCGGTAGAGCGTTGCGTTTAGGTAGAGTGTCGGGCCATCAGAGCAAGTCGGGTCCAGGAACGGGCGGGGCTTGGTGTTCAGCGAGGTGTCGGAAACTCGCACTTCGACCGGACAGTGCACGTACAGGCCCTTGGACGAGAACGGGATTTGCGCGGTCTCCATGTCGCCGTGCAGCCATGCCGAAAGCCGACCGATCGCCTCAGGGCCTTTCTCCAACGGAAGCGCCCATTCATTAACGAACTGCGAATACAGGCAGTTCATCAATAATCCTGTGCGCCCGGGCTCCACGGCCTCGGTGACGGTTGACCCGGCCCGGAAGCCGTACTGCATACCAAAGACGAACCATTCGACCCAGGGCAGGATGCGCGGGACATACGTGGAGAGCGCGAGGAGGTTATGATAGATGTGGTAGCCGAGCGAGTCGCCGTAGAAGTTCTGTGGGGGAGGGCGCAGCGGGAGGTCGGTTTTATTCGCACGCCAGACCACAGCACCCTTCGCATAAGGCAGCCACCAGACGCGCACGAACTCGTGTGTAGTCCACAATCCCGTCGACCATTCATCCAGTACACGATCCAGCGAATACCGTTCCTGGCGCCAGGCAATCTTAAACGAAGGTGTCGCCTTGAAGGTAATTTCGACGACGATTCCCAGCGCTCCGAGCGACACCAGCGCGGCGCGGAACAAATCTGGATTATTTGTCGCGCTGCAGCGAACGAGCTGACCATTGGCGAGAACCAAGCCCAGCGAGTCGATGCATTCTGATAGTAGGCCGTGGCGCAAAGAGCTGCCGTGAGTGCCTGTGGCGATGACGCCGGCGAGAGACTGGCTGTCGATGCTGCCCAGGTTGTCGAGTGTTAGACCATGTTTCTCCAGCTCAATGCCTAGGTCCCTCAATCTTATGCCCGCTTCGACGGTAACGGAGCCGGTGGTGGGGTCGACATGTAGAACGCGATTGAAGTTATCGAGGTTGACGAGCCAGGACGAGGTGCAGGTCAGATCGGAGGGGGAATGGCCGCTGCCAACGGTCACGATTCGGCGACGACAACGACGGGCGAGAGTGACGAGTTGTTGAATCTCTGGGATAGTCTCTGGGCGGATGTACAACTCCGGGCGCGAAAAGAAGGTCTTGGCCCAGGTGTGATGCAAATGATCAGTTGAGGCGCGGAACGGTACCGCAGGGTCGAGCTTCGAGAGCTCACGAAGAATGGAGAGGTCCATGAGGATTTGAAATCAAATTAAAATCACATTGCCAGGGGAAATAGGAAGTAAATCAAGACCAGAACGAAGGAGATGGCGACATTTTTTTTAGATTTGAAATCGGAGCATTTTCGATTCCTTTTTTTTTTGGTCTCCGTCTCGGCGTACTCCCGGCTCCGTGTTATGCCCGTCTTTTCATGTCTACACCTTAACACCTACCTATGCCATATGGTAATCAGATTAGATTTGAATTTTGATCTATAGTTAATGTGACGGGAGAAAAAAAATACATGTAATAAGACCAGCCCTCGGTCGTAAGGATCTCAAATTCCAAAAAATTCAAAGGCTGACATGTAAATCGCAGGAGTTCTTCACGCCTTAAGCCTGTGATATCGATTTGACTCCTCCTGTGACGTATGGCCGGATGTAGATAAGGGAAGGAGCGAACAATAGGAAGGAGCGAACAATAGGAAGGAACGAACAATAGGAAGGAACGAACACGGAAGAACATAAGGAGTTCCTCTCACTCTCTGCTAGTCGCTGACTATTGAGTTACGTGAGTCTCATGACTTCCATTGGTATTCAACCCCCATTGTTCGCAGCCTGACATTCACGGTTGACAACTTCGGATGCCTTGAGCTCAGTCTATAAAAGCCCCCACTTCCACCATCCTTCCTCTCTTCTTCCTCTTCTTCTTCATCACGCTTCATCATCAACTCTTTATCACTCTTCATCTCCACCACTCTTCATCAACCTCAATGATTACTGAGTTGATGAGTTCAGACCTTGTACATCACTGCTTCTTGATTGTGGCCTCTACTCCGGTGGACCGTGGAACTGAACGTGAAAGGAGGTACGCTTGCAACTTCTGTCTATGTGCTGGAACCATTCTCTAATCTATACTATAGTCCCCTTCCTTTCTTTCTCCCTCTAACGACATGGGGCTGACAAGTGAGATTCGACGGGCACCTGCCTACCCTATTTAGGCAGGACGCTGCTTCTCAGGTCGTATATCTCGCTCTGCTTTGAGGACCCTGTGGCAGAATGGCAGATCAAAGATATGCCTTGCTGCTTGACTTGTCGAACCTCACCGATGGTACCGCACCTCGTGGAAGGAGGAAGAAATGCTGGGTCCACTGCTTCCATTGGCTCGGATCAGGCGCGAACAGAGTTTGGTGCTCTTCGCCTCCCATACTTCACCCGCCCGGGGCCGTTTCTTTCTACCATGTCCTTTGCCTTTCCTTCTTTCTCGAATGACCGATGGCATGCAGACCGAGGAGCTGTACGGCTGTCTCCACAGCCCTCCTCAGGCATTGCGAAGGTGCGACAGCACGGCATATACGTCTCTTTACGAAAATGACAATGCCGATCTCCCTCAAGTCTATTGAATGGGAACAGCGAGTGTTCGCCCAATCAGTGGGTATGCATTTCAGGCGGGATCAGGAGCTCCGAGCTCACAACACACTAATGGGTGTCTGGCCTGAGAAAATCCAAAAGTGGTGTGACGGTGGACAGTTATCGAGTACTGGATGAGCAAGTCATGTGAGCCAGTGGGCAAGCAGGAAGGGAAGGAGCAGGGATCGCCGGGAAGAGTTTATTTGATTGTTTACCTCCTGTTCTTCTTCTTCTTCTTCTTCTTTCTTTCTCCCAGACTTGTTACCTTGTATGCAGTACAGCATCGGATTGATCTCCTTCTAGTTTTCTTTTCCCTTTTTTGCTTTTGACAGTAACAAGTGGGCAACTCACTGGACAAGTTGAGCCACCAGCTGTTTCAGCCATTGACAAGAGAAGAATTGGCACTATTGAATCGTTCCTCGTTGGCATGGTTGTGAACCCGCAGCACCTCGCCTTGGGCAAGCTGTCAGGCTCATCATGTTCCGGCCTCGCTTTGTTTTGATCGAGGTGGCTTCGCAGATTTCAGGTCTTTTTCATCACCCAACATTGGATTCATCGTCGTACATGATTATGCTCTCACGATTTAGGGCTTTCCTAGTTCCGATACCCAACTAGGTAGGCCCGGGCCATCTGCACCATGCTGTACCTGTTACTCGGCTTCATCATGAGTCGACTGGGCACTGCACACGATCACTCGACAACTTCGGCTCAACCTTCACCGTTTCCCGCTATCGCTGCATCACTACCGGTCCCGTTCATGGAAAAGAACTAAAAAGGCCCGCCAACTGCAAATTCTCGCCGCCTACGACAGCTTCATTGAGGAATTCAAACAAAATCCAACTTCAACAATTCCTGCGGCAACTCTTGAGCAAATTGAAGCTATCCGCGCGTCCTTCCGCCGGTAGAGAGAAACTTGAGTTCGCCACCGGAGGCAGGATCTCCTTGGGTGTATTTGTTATACACTAGTCCTTCAAGTTGCTCCGCCCTTTTCTGCTTCTTATTCTTTACCGCTGGAAGAAAGATTCCCTTTACTATATGTTTTATACCCTGGTCCTTCCAAGTTGCTCCGCCCTTTTCTATTCGCTTTTTTTACTGCTGGAAAAAAGGTCTTCCCCAGTGCTGTTGGAATTCCCTACTCTATCTAGATATTGAAGAGGGGAACGCTCTAAGGCTGTGTGCTCTGAGGCACACGGGTCGATTCAGCAGATACCACCTAGCATAGCATCGAACTAGAGGAACAAAGAGGTTGGGCGCTTGCGCACAAGAAGAGAAATCAGAGATGTGTAGGAGTGTGTGTTGCTACTAAAGGCTACCTCGCGACTATATCACCAACTCACAACTGCTGACGTAAGAAACGCTCACGTGGAAATCAAGGGAGTGGACGGGGGAAGCATGCCTGTAGGGGGAGGTCACACCTCCCCACTACAATATCTATTAACGCGGTTCCTCGCGACGTAAAAAGGCGACACCGGGAGAGGTAACGAGGTTACAAAACAGCGTATTAAGGCGCTAAACCTGAGAAAAGGCAAAACTAATCGGATACATAACCTCAAATGCGAAAACCCATGCCATCTACACATTCCCAGATGCTCCAGGATCCTCTATGACACAATATGAAGTACACAAAGACTCCTCCACCGAAAATGCCCTCTATCCAGAGCCTGTACAGACCGAAATATGCACACAAAATTTCAGAAAAAAACCACCCCAAAGGTAAAAAAGAACAATAAGACAGAGAAAAAAAGAGACCAGGAATATCTCACTCATCCTCCTCTGGCGATCGAAGCGCTTCAATGACTACATCCAGAGGGTACACAAAAGGAGCATTCTGAGCGCGTGGATTCCATTTGCGGAATGCGCTTTGGCAGCGATCCGGGATGCCACCTAGTGCCACGAAACTCTTCGGGATGAAGGGTCTGTCCTGGAGGGAGGTGGCTAAGATACCATACTCATGGGCGAAGACCACGGCCGAGGCAAAATCGGCAGATTTCTGTGTTGCTTGGTCGCCGATAATGCTAAGGGAAATTAGCTAATCTGTAGTGGAGGGAGGGTATTTGTGGGTGACTTACACGTAGATCTCGAAGAAGGTATCCAGAACGTAAACATCCTTATCGGTGATGTCTCGGTAGCAGAATGGCTCGATCTCCTGGACACAGTCATTGGGCTTGACAACCGGTGAGCCCGATCCCGGCCGACGCAGGTTCCAGAATCGAGTTGGCTGGTTCAGTTCGTGATCAACGCGGAGGAGGCGCGTGCGGTAGTGGTTATACTTTGGTTTGAGCTTCCAGTAATCCTGCGACATGTGGGGCGCGGATTCTTTAGGGCCGGCGAAGACATCGAAGAAGTCTTCGGGTTCTTCGCCCTCACTGACTTCTTCAAACTCTCCGGTCAAACCAAGATCCATACCGATCAGTCGGGCAGCACCGGTCTCTTCGGGCCCGCTGCCTTTGCCTTTCCATAGGTAGAGCTTGCCGAAGGGAGCAGAGACAACGTAAGGGAAACCAGAGCAGAGATTGCGCAATGAGTAATTCACTTCATCGAAGGCCATTTCGCCTAAGTGTTTCCGTCCGCAGAGCATGTAAAGAGCGGATGAGTTGTGGCGCGAGTTGGATCCCCGACGTGTGATCAAGATGCCGCCAAGCGCTTGGATGAACCGGGTTGGTTCCTTGCCCTGTCGGATGATCTGTAGCTTGCAGCTGTTCTCACGGGCGACTTTGCGGGCGAATGGCTGTTCGTCGTCCACCGAGCTATCTGGGACATCGTCTCCTCGCCACAGGTAGACTTCCGTAGCGCTGTTCCGTTCAGTCTCGTAAGTGTGCACGCAGAGATACATGCTGCCTTGGTACAAGATGTACTCTTGATGAGAAGGAAGTTCCTGGCGTCTGCCATCGCCTGTGAGTTCCCACATCTGGCGCCTTACGGTCCTGATCTTCACATCGTCCGGTTGACGCATCAGCATCAGCCCGGGATCAATGTCCATGCGGTCTCGGGGGTCGGGGAATGATTTGAAGAAACCACCAATGACTTCGCGTGCCTCGCTGGCTTGGGCAACCAATGATGGAGCAGACATCTTTCTTGACAGTCTGCGCGGATCGGTCGGCTTGTTGAGTCGAACATCGCTATCTTTAGGAGGCACCGGCGGCGAGGGATGGCTCAAGGGTCGTGCAAGCGAGCTGCGCGCTGATTCAATGACTACACCGGGGATGGGCTTCTGCTGACGCATCTGGTTCTCCAACTGGCTCGTTCGGAGAGGAGATGGCGATGAGGACACGAACTGGTCTTGCTGGACCCATGTCGGCTTTGACGCTACGGGCGATGAAGATGTGGTGGAATTGGACTTTGGTGGAACAGGTGGTCCGCTCCCTGGACTCACCTCTCCTGGGCTTTCGGGGTCCCTCGGGCTGGCCTCAAGATTGGGGGAGGGAAAGATGTTGAAATCAGTGGTCAGGGAACGGGTCGGAAGAGTTAATGGGAAACGGCTTTCGGGAGTATCGCGCTCGAGGATATTCTGGGGAGGATCGTTCACCTCCGGGAGCTGCTCGGTGACTAGGCTATCTGAACGGATGTCTTCGGTGTCAGGAACTGAATTTTCATCGGGTTGCAACAGGCGATTCGGATTGGAATCCGAAGATTCAATAGGGATTGGAGGAGTTTGTGACGGGGTGGCTTCAGAGTATGGAATAGCACCAACCTCCTTAGTATCATCCCGAGGGGACGGGTTCGAGGCACCAATCGTCTGAGGAAGCCGTCTCTTCGGCCCTCTGGCACGACCCTTTGTGACGTGTGTGAGGGGCGCAGATGGCGACGTAGAGTCGTTTTGTGCGGTGACAGCGGTCGGCAGCTGCTTCGGTCCTTCAGGGGCAGGCGGACCCCGAGTAAGAAGGGAAGCAAGCGCAGGGTTGATTCGGCTCGCCAGTTTGCCTTTAGCTACACTTGGTGTTGTAGCAGCCTCTTCCACAGGTGCAGGGGGCCAGGCACGAACTGGGCGGGTGGTCGTGACCGAGGATTCTTCTACCTTTGCTGCGCTGGGCTTGGTGGGCTCCACGACTTCGTGGGTTTCCTCCTGGCTCACGGGTGAATCCACTTTACGAAATTCCTGTATGTTGCTTGTCGCTTGGGGTGCCTTCTCTGGCTCTTTATCGGCGGAATCATCGGCAGGGAGCGGCGACAATGGTTGTATCTCCCGAGATGCTCGCGAGGCACCGATATCTGTCAAGGGCCAACCCGGCTCATCACTGGCACGGAATGGTGACGAGGGCTGCAGGTCCCGAGAAGTCCGCGATGAACCCAAATCTTTGAAGGGTGAACCTGCGGACGACAGCGGCCTATCCTGCGAGGCTCGAGAGCCAAAACTCTTAGTGGGCGAGATCGGCTCGACCAAGGGGTTCTGCTGGATGCTGTTTGCCCGTGTCATATTCTGTCGTATCGCGATTGCCTCTGGCACGGCCTCGGCTGGTTTCGGTCTATCCTTCTCTCCAGCAGTATTCCGTCGGATGGAGCCTCCGCTGGCTTTCATTTCTTCTTTGCGTGAAACAAGACTATTCCTGAACTCGTCGACTCGCTCGGTCTTCTTTGGGCCGCCTGTGGTATTCAAAGCAGCTTTACCGCGCAGGATGTTTCCCTTGAGTTCATCGGGAGCAACATAATGTCGGGTTTCGGTCTTTTTGAGGCGCCCAAAGACGTTCTTGAACTCAGGTTCTTCATTGTTGGCGGTATCTTTGACAACTTCGCGTTTTCGAAGGTTTGCTCGGAAGTCCACCAGGGGAGGCTGCGCAGGCTTCACTTGTGGGGAAATGCGTCCGCGCGAGGAAGTCGACAAAGAGAAGTTCGGTTTGGGGCTCAACGAGTCGGGAGGCTCCCTGCGAGTGGGGGTAGATTGAGGCTCGGGTGTGGTCTCAGGCTCTGTAGATTTCAGTGTGTCTTGCGATTCAGCCACCACTGCATTGGGTGAGGCAGACTTGGGCTCTTCTGTCGGTGCACCTCCTTCAAGGGACTCTGAAGCTTGTTCGACGTGCGACGACGGCTCCGGAAGCACCTTCTCGGGAGATTCGAGACCAAGCATCAGCGGCGATTCCGGGACTGTCTCCTTCGCTTTTCGTTCGGGGGTGCTCGGGATCGAGGGCCCCGAGATACTGGGCCTCTTGAATGGGGAAGTCGATGAAGATTCGGGAGCAGTATCATTCGTAATTCCTCCGGAAACTGAAGACCCAGAGATGCTGGATTTTTTCAATGGGAAATCCGCCGAAGTGGCGGAGTTTCTGTGAATTGATGAACCCGATATACTGGGCTTTTTGAAGGCGACTCCCAGGGGAGACTCGGGCGCTGCTTCTTTGGTTCTGCCTCCAGGGCTGCCTGTGGCGGATGTTCCGGAGAAAGTTGACTTCTTGGGGGAAACCGCTGAGGGAGACTCGGGGAGTGTCTCCTTAAGAGGGCTTGAAGGCATCGATGGACCAGAGATGCTAGGCCTCTTGAGAGGGAATTCAGAGGGAGATTCTGGAATGACGTCCTTAGTAGGGCTTGGGGGAACTGAATGACCGGAAATGCTAGATTTCTTGAAAGGAAATTCTGCCGGGGAATCAGGCACAGCACCCTTGGTAGGGCTTGCAGGAAGCGAAGGACCAGAGACACCAGATGTTTTGAACTGAGTGCCTGGTGGAGGTGTCCGCATCAGACCAAGAGGAGTGACCTCCTTGAACGGGCTGACTCGTCCCATATCAATGCTCCCGCGAGATTGTCGGTCCCTGGCCCAGTTCGGTTGCGACGGGGGTCTACTGCTTTGCCGCGGGGACTCAGGGCGATTGAGAGCGCTCTCTAGCCAAGAAGCCTTGGTGGGACTCCAGCGCCTGGGATCCATGGTTTTCGAAACGAATGGGCTTGTTTGGCCATCGGTGCCATCCGCAGTGACAGCGCTGGCAGATCGGGAGTGGAGAGGTCGGGGTGGTCTGCCTGGGCTACCTTCGAGGCGCGCATTATCTCGATCGGTGAGAGCGGGTGCAGAAGGTGTGGTCGGTCGTTCAGTAAAACCTGTAGGTGCCTCACTGTGGCTAGAGCCAGGTCGTTGGAGAGTGGAAGGCTCTCGCCCATATTTGGAGAGAGTTGGTGTTACTTCACTCAACGGACCTGCCACACTGCTTCGATTTGAAACAATAGAATTTGACCGTCCGAGCCCTTGCGGAAGCTGCGCACTCCATCTCTTTGACACACTATCTGATCTTCTCATCATGGCACTCTGGACAAACCCTCCCAGACCCTTGGTGGGCGATGTTGACCGAGACCGCTCGGGTGACAACCGTCGCTGAGTTGGAGACGGCAGCACAGGTTCCTCGAATGAGGACTCATTCTGTCGAGGTTCGAGTTTCGGAGCCTCTGACAGATGAACCGGCGAGCCCAGCCCAGTTGCCGACACTGACGACACAGAGAAGCGGTGGCTCATGTTGCTATCACGAGAACCAGTTCTCGGAGGCGACGATGATCGCTCTTCCACTGCCTCTAGTGTATCTAGTTCGGCATGTGATTCTTGACCAACCCCCGCCTCTTGCTGGTCCGGTCCCAAATCTGTCTGTTTATCCGTTTCTTCCTTCTTCACTTTGTATGGAATCGATCTCGCCTCGCGATCCGGCGACGGAGGGAGTACAGTGGCGTCATTGGAGGGCCGAGGGAACCCAAACTGGAGTTGAGAAAACTTGGTATCGTCCGACGCGGTGGACAGGGTTCTCAAGTGGCTTGCGCGGGTTGGGGAGCGTGTTGGGGATGTTGAGCCGGGGGACATGTTGCCAATATCCCGCGAAGACGGGCGCTGCTGCCATGACAAGGTCCCCGCACGACTGCGCGACATAGGTGGTCGGACCCGCGAGGGAGAATCCATCCCAAGGTCCGGCACAGACCCGCGCCGCTTTTCCATGTCGGCCTCCATGTCTTGCCTCGGCTCGGCGCTGGTCAGAGTCTCAGGTCCCGGGGTGTGCGGTGTTGGCTCGAGTTGTTCCGGAGGGTCGATAGATCCAGGGCTGATCGAGGAAACGCTCAGCCGCGCCATATTGAGGGTTGATGAATCGTCGGTCAGGGCCAGTGATCGTGCCCGCTCTGTTTTGAGTCATTCGGATGTTAGCATATTCACACAGCAAATGCTCAACATTCCCTGAAGGATCGGAGGGGCATACCAGCTCGGCGAGCCTGCCTTTCCTTCCGGCCCTGCAAGATCTCTTCCTCCAGTTTTTTGGTGCGCTCGTCGTCTTCTTTGTCGCGACGCTCGCCTAGTTCCCGGATGCGCTGAAGGAAGTCATTGACATCCTCGGAACTCTCGTTTGGTACAGTCATGATCCAGGAGTCGTGTATTCATGCAGGCCTCCTAGAAACAAATGAGGGGAGGGAAGAGTTGCAGAATGGAAGTCCGAAGGGCTGAGTTTCTCCGCCCTGTTTAAACAACTCCACGATGATCAATAGGTCATTGCTCAACACATGATAATTTTTAAAACAGAATAATTTCATTTTCTAACGTACTTTATTTATTTTCTTCTGGATAGATGCATTTTACACCCCCAGACCAGACCCCAATAGTCATGAAATGGCTTGTTTACTCGGAACATTGTGGAGCAATCGCTTCCCAGGTTTTAAACAGGTTGAAAGGTTCCGGCCCCGCAACCTGTTCCTGTCGTTCCATGGCTATTGTTTACTTGGACTCTGGTTCTTCGCCATCATTTAAAGGGGTCCGGTGAAGACATAGTTAGCTCATATTTGACATTCCGGAAAAATGATATATCAGTTCCGTGCCTTGCATCATTAGTCTGTAGTGATTCCACAGCCGAACTCTCTACGTACTCCTGTTCACGGGCACTTGGGCACTTTGTATTTCTCTGTATTCTCGGATTCTATCTTCAATCTACTGTGAATGACCCAGTTCCCATGCACCGTTGAGAGCGGAACCTTTCACTAGCTTCTCCTTTAGAACGTCTAAGCAGAATTGTAAAGACCTGCATAGAATGCACGACATCAACGATTTCAAGAGTAGCCAGCAAAATTCAAACTTTGACCAGCATGTTCGTTTAGATAGGTAAGTTATAACGGGTGAGATGGCATGGACCAGTGGTTTTGGCCGTCCACTGGGCAGATCAATCTGACAATCGAATAAATCCAACGCTTCCATTGAATATCAAATATGCATGGTGGATATCATAGCGAAAAACATACACTCTAGGACGGACCTAGTAAAGGAACAGCCGGTCTTTAGCATCTTGTACCACCCATTCCAAACCTTCGTGCAAGTTCGTGCCTGTCATTGCACTACATGGCAAGATAGTCCATTTGTGTGTTTTGATTGAATCCAAGTCAAGGCGCTGCAGAAAACATCAGTCAAATCCAACAGCGTCACGAAGAAAGATCTACCTCTCGAACTTCCTGCTCACTCATGCAATGTTCCACGTCTGTCTTATTCAAAAACACCAACAGACTGGCTCCCGTAAGTCGCTGGGAATAAATTTAGTTGAGCGCGCTGAGATTTGCGGGGGAGGTCATACCTCTTCAAGCAGCAGACCCGACAGTTCCTGTCGACAATCGTCAACCCGGAGTCGATCCGTGGCGTCAACAACCCAAACTAGAGTATCTGTCTTTTCAAAGTAGTTTTTCCAATAAGAGCGGAGTGTTTTTTGTCCTCCGACGTCCCCTGGTGCTGTCAGTAACCCTCCCACCAGAGCATCGGGTTGGCTCACAGATGTTGAGTTTGTATCTGCATCGAGTCAATAGAGTCCATGGTTCAAAGGATAACGACTAACCCCATAAAGTCAATTGTTTTGATGATAAACCCTAGAGTTGGGCTGACTGTCGTGACATCCTCGTTCATAATTCGCTTGACGATGGTCGTCTTGCCCGCATTGTCAAGACCCCTGCGATTATTAGTATCTCGGTCTGAAGAGCGTCGCAGGACCCATACAGCATCAATATACGCATTTCTTTATCCTTTAAGCGGGCCTTTCGAAGTATGGACAGCATGGTTGAGCCTGCCGCTTGGAGTTGGAGTGTTGGAAGGGGAAAATTGGTGCGCCGTGGAAATGGATTCCAAGCCGTCCATCGAACTCTCAACCACCAACTGGCCAGTAACAACCGCATCCAATATTCACCACCATGCAGGGGCCAGTCTGACAAATTGGTAGATGTCATTCACTGGATTATCCTCGCTCGATGTCGATAGAAAGCACTTAGAATTGCCGCGGGGTCTACGGGGTAGCGAAGCGAGAGAAGCAATGGTTTCATCCCGGTTATGTATAGATTCATTTGGGATATTTATGAACCTCGAACATTTAGGTAAACATCCATGGCGATGAGATAGGTAATTTAGGTAGTATTCATATAGTAGTACGGGAATACACAGGATAGCATTGTCATCAATTTAGTGGTCGAACCGTCGATCTATATGTTAGAGGTCACGTGACCTCGCCTGCTCCTGGAGACCGGAGTCCCGCACACACTTAGTCTCACTCTTGTAGATATCTACTGTGGAATAGTAGGTGCTCTGAATGATATCATATAACGTCTAAAGAGGGAGATGGATTTTCTCTCTCTCTCTCTCATCGAGTCATCTCCCTCTTTAAGGCTACATGTGACCTTAAGTTACGAAAAGCCGAATGGATTTTCTCTCTATCTCCCTCTTTAGACGTTATATGATATCAGTCAGAGCACCTACCATTCCACAGTAGTCCTCTTCTATCACTATATCAGTATCATCTCCATGGCGGGAAGTCTCAACAGGGGAACACTGTTGGCCCAGGCGAGGTCTGGGCATAAGATATTATGCATGATCCCAGGCAGGGTGCAGAGGAAGGTTGTTGAGACTTGGAAGTACTCACGCCCTCTGGTAATTCGTGTTGGACCTTGCGGAGCTGGGCTGAATGGAAGGACAGGAGGCAGAGACTTCCATAGGAACTCAAGGAGACAACCCAAGACGCCCGACTCCCGACTTATCTGAGATCTGAGGGTCATGATATATAGTATACAGAACAGTTCGGATCGAGTGAACTTCTCCAAGGCTTTCGGATATGCGAAACTGAGGGATGGGGGACGTAGTACGACAACATGGTATTTGTATGATAGCACAAGTCCAAACCATGGAAGGCACCATGAGTGGAATTCAAAAAGAAGAGAAGATAGACATAGACACAAGTGACACAGATAGAATAAGAATAGAAGGCATATGTCGTGAAAAGGAAAATAAAAGGTCATCGCGCTGGATCGACCGGAGATCTTGCGGCACTCCATCGTCATCAGGCGATACGGAAGGCGCAGCAGACCTAGCGTTTTGAGTGTCACCATTAGGGGATAACAATACGAACCACTCAACCGCTACACCACACGTCTGCTGTCCTTGAAAATTCTGACGTTGGGCTCCCTATATGGTACGTTTGCCTCCCATGTGAGAGACTGATATTGAGACTTGTGATCACATGGTCAAGCATCATATTCCCCTCGACGGTGATTACCTTACAGTAGAGCCAATTTCCCGAAGCTTAGCTTTCACAGGATGTTGACGATTGATAGAGCCTACATACAAATATGGGGAACTATGGTGGTATCATGTAGAACAAGGTGTTGATCAAAGTTTGGTCACTACCTTTGTATAACAGAGTTGAATGCCTCGGGGTAGTTGTAGCTGCATAGAACGAGTGTCTGGAACCGACAGACCCCGGGGGCAAACGTCAAATACCTAGTAAACAAAAGACCACACGTAAACAAGACAAATTGTACAGAATAAATACGTTGCCCGGAGTGTGTGCATGAAAGCTGCCACTTCAACTCTTGACCTTCTTTTCTTCCTCCCTTCCTCCCTCTGTCTATCCTCTTTTACCTCTTTTCCATATCTGTCTTCTTACGCTATCCAACATTCATCATCACTGTCTATTATTTTCTTGTTTCGCGAGTTTTCAGCATACAACTAGGCTTAACTCTAGTCAAGTCTCGGCTCACCTGACTGCAACTAAGCCAACCATTCAGGTATGCTTGTTTCCCCATCACTATAAGGCGACTCTGGACGAACAGCGTTGAGGCCTCCATCAAAGTGCACGTGTGACTGAAAGACCTACCACGCGGGGCGACTGGGACCGGAACAACTCCTAACACTCAACTGCATATGCTCGCAGTGGAAGGGAGCGGGCCGCGAAGAGACCAATAACAGAACAGTGATTGCCAAGAACACACGCTGACTTGACCATTCAACAGAAAAGCTGCTTTCGATCACACACAGCCTCAGTCACATACATAACTATGGCAGAGGAAGTGGAGAAGCCTTTCCTTGCCAAGAATGATGGGCGTCAAAAGCGTAGCCGCTGGAGCAGGGTAAAAGCTTTTCCCCCGCAAAGAGATACGTTAGCCAGGCTGCGTGATCCTATGGACGAAGAGGAGCCAGACAAGCTGATACAAGGAATTGGCCCGCAAAGAGATACGTTAGCCAGGCTGCGTGAGCCTATGGACGAAGAGGAGCGAGACAAGCTGAAACAAGAAATCGGCCCGCAAAGAGATACGTTAGCCAGGCTACGTGAGCCTATGGACGAAGAGGAGCGAGACAAACTGATACAAGGAATCGAGAATCTGACCTGGTCACAGACCATCGAGTTTTCCAAGCAGTACGACAAGGAAAGGCGACAGAACAGACCCGTGCAGCGCATCGGGATGGAAAATGAGGATGACGCTTGTAATGAGTTGCTCCCGAAAGCGAGGGATGGACCTGGCGTGGACCCATCCAGCAGTGTCTATAAGTCGCTTGAAAAGCCCCGGTTTGCCAATGAAACTGAAGAACCCGAGCGATGGGCAGTCTCTGACCCGCCCGACTTTATCTCTGACGGTGAATACAAGGAAGAGATCGACCTGGAACCTAAATGGTCCGGAAAAGACATCGATACAGAGAAGTATCGAGCTCAGTGGAATGAATTGCAGAATGCTCAAGCCAGGGCATACGGAGAATCACCGCACATCTTCCCAGTTGTGGAAGACGGCCGTCTCATGTTCACAGCGGAACTTCACGAGGCCATGTATGAGCCTAAGCAGTCCATTGATGACTGGATGGATAAGGAAGCCGAGGATGATCTCTGGAAACGCCTTCAATACAGAATCTCTTCATATACTCTTTCCCACTCGGATCTCAGAAAGCAGTTTCACAGCTGGTGGGATCAACTCCCGAGAACGTACCCCGTTGTCGACATCTATCATGCTGCATTCTTCGACGGCACCGCGATGCCTGATGGAGTGAGTTCGATGTTTTTGCCTGATATTAAGCATATACCCACCCCAAGGGACATGAAAGATGAGTTGACGCGCCTGCATTGGCACGAGACCTCAGAAGGATATGTGTACAACCTCGGGAAGGTCAACCAGGAGCAAAAGAGAAAGGAGAGAGAGGAAGAAGAGCACCGTCGACGCATGGCGCCGTTTCTTGCATGGGAGAACTTGCCACCTGGATCAAAGGTCGTCCCGCCTAACATCTATCTACGTCCCGCGGAGATGTACGATGCCCGTTGGGTCGTCGAAATCATGAACTGGTACGCGAAGAACTCAGCTATGAGTAGCGACGTCATCGAGATGGATGAGAGCCATTTCGAGAACCTCCTTGAATCTTGCCGCAGGGAGAGATTCCCTTTTGTCGTTGCCGCACGACGTCCTCTAAAACGTTTGTACCGCGATGTGATTGACCCTGCTGTTGGTTTTGCCTATGTCGATTTCCACCGTAGCAGCAAGAGTGCCGACGCGCACATGGGTGAGCTGCATGTCTTTGTCGAAGAGGACAGCAAGAGGATGCACATTGGAAGGGCCCTTGTCAACGTGGTCTTGTCTTGCTTCGAAGACAGACCAACAGAAAGCACTGACTACAATTTTGACCAGACTGGATCAGTGCAATATGGTCCAGGCTATGGCCGACCTCTCAATACAATGATCTGCACTGTTGCATCGTCCCCTGGAGCGCAGGAGGACGACACCTGGATCGCGAAGTGGCTGGAGAGGGACTTTGGTTTCCAAGAGAAGGGTACTTTCGAAAAAGCCAGAGTCAAGAAGGGCACTGCGTAGGTCTCCCCACTGTCTTCTTGCGTCTTGGAGTGTGCACTTACTTACGCGAATATCAGGTTTAACCTTTGTTACATGGCGCGTCGTATTGATGGCTCGAATCTGAGAAATGATTTCGCTTTCCACCCTCGGCCGCAGCCGCAGAATAACGACAAGAGGGTTCATCTTCAGGACTTCCTCTAAAATCCTGCGTACGCACAAGCGATGGAGAACTCCGGACAGTGGTACAATGATTCTGGCGATAGGGGGATCACGAAGGCTCTGAAGCACTAAAGGGCAGACAAGGAGTTGATGAACTCAGACAATGATACGACTGAAGACTCGATGACGCACATAAGCGCCAAATATGATGATCTATGCAGTGTGCACTGCGATGTGAATGTCTCCCAAGGCATCTGTCTTGCAAGCAATGATGTGAGATGTCTCAAAAAGGGGAGGTCAAGTAGTCATGCAGGATACCTGAGAAGGGGCAAATTTTCTAGTTATCATGTTATGAGTCTAAAAATGCATGAATACTTGTTCTTCATCTCGGTATCAGCATATGAAAAGTGACTTTGATACAGCAGTAGCCTCCAGTAGGACTTCTACTGTTGTCTGTGTATGACTGGGCCGGCTTGGGCCGCGGCCAGGACAAGTGATTATGTCATCCAAAAATTTCCTCTCACCGCCCGGGGAACTTTTTTTTGCATGTTGATCCATCTCTTCTTGACGGGACTGAGTTGATTGCACAGTGTTCGGGGGTCCAGATTTTATTTACTGAGGCTGTTTGAGAGTGTGTGGAAGATACCCAGCTACCAAATCTACACAGGATTTGCGCCAGCTTACAAAATGGCTCCCCATTCGACGAAGCGGAGTTCCGCCAAGGACGACGATTTCGTCTTCACGCTCTCTGACGACGAGGTCGAGCCCCAATTCGACGAAGAAGATGACGAAAATGAGATGAAGGGTAGCAATACGCCGGCGACAGACAACAGAAAGCGCAAGCGCGAGGTCGAAGCCGCCAAGCCCAAGAACAAGAAACAGAAGCAGCAAGAAAAGCAGCAATTGAAAAATACCAAGAAGAACAAGAAGAACGCCGAGCCCGTACCTGAGCCCGAATCGGATGAGGAGGAGGAGGATGATGCTGCTGCGGATGCGGCCGAAGACGACGGCGTGCTGGACCCCGAGTTCGAATTTGATGTCGGCGGCGCCGCAAACCGTGGTGTCACTGAAGGCTTCGATGCTTGGGATGCTTCTGAAAAAACGGAGAAGCGCTCGGGTGACAAGAAGGCTGTCGATATCGACGATATTATTGAGCGGAGACAGGCTAAGAAGGCGGAGGCTGCTGCCAAGAAGCAGAAGAAACAGGCAGCCCAGGAGAAAGAGGAGAGCGCCAGCGCATCTGAGGATGACGCTGCGTCCGGTGACGAAATGCCCATTGACTTCGAGGACGATGAGCTCATGGCTGAGGACGCCTTCGGCATGGCTGTGGATGGCGATGAGGAGGAGAGTGATGCCGAGGGCCCTGAGCCTGGCTCTGGCAATGAAGACGAGGAGGACGAGGAGGACGAGGACAAGGACGGGAATGAGGATTCTGATGATGACGCTGCATCCGACAACGACTCCGTCGCCACGCCTGTTCAGCATCCCGACGATATCTCAGACAGGGAGTCCGATGTAGAGAGCGAGGTGGATGAGGAGGAAGCGGAGAAGCGCAAGGCCTTCTTTGCCCCTGAAGAGAAGGTCGACACCAAGGCCAACATGGCCAAGATGACATTCCAAGAATTCAACCTCTCCCGTCCTATTCTCCGCGGTCTTGCCGCTGTCGGATTCACTGACCCGACCCCCATTCAGCGCAAGGCCATCCCCGTTGGTCTGCTGGGTAAGGATATTGTCGGTAGTGCCGTGACTGGTTCAGGAAAGACCGCTGCCTTCATCGTCCCTATTCTCGAGCGTCTCCTCTTCCGTCCCCGGAAGGTCCCTACAAGTCGCGTTGTGATTCTGATGCCCACTCGTGAGTTGGCTGTTCAGTGTTACAATGTTTCCGTCAAATTGGCCACCTTCACAGACGTCACATTCTGTCAATTGGTTGGTGGTTTCAGTCTCCGCGAGCAGGAGAATGTGCTCAAGAAGCGCCCCGATGTTATCATTGCTACTCCCGGTCGTTTCATCGATCACATGCGTAACTCTCCCAGTTTCACAGTCGATACCCTGGAGATCTTGGTTCTTGATGAGGCCGATCGTATGCTTGAAGACGGTTTCGCCGATGAGTTGAACGAAATTCTCACCACCATTCCCAAATCTCGCCAGACTATGCTGTTCTCTGCCACTATGACGGAGTCAATCGACAAGCTCATTCGTGTTGGTATGAACCGCCCCATGCGTTTGATGGTCGACGCCAAAAAGAACACTGTATCCACTCTTGTTCAAGAATTTGTGCGTCTCCGTCCTGGACGTGAGGACAAGCGTCTTGGTTACCTTATGTACCTGTGCAAAGAAGTCTACACCAAGCGTGTCATTATTTTCTTCCGACAAAAGAAGGAGGCCCACCGCGTCCGCATCATCTTCGGTCTATTGGGCCTCAAGGCAGCAGAGCTACACGGTAGTCTATCCCAAGAACAGGTATGTGCCAATACTCCTTGTCTTTCATGGACTGTACTAACTCGAACAGCGTATCAAATCCGTCGAAAACTTCCGTGATGGCAAGGTTGCCTTCCTTCTCGCCACAGACGTTGCTTCTCGTGGTTTGGATATCAAGGGTGTCGAGACCGTCATCAACTACGAGGCTCCCCAGAGCCACGAGATCTACCTGCATCGTGTTGGTCGTACCGCCCGTGCCGGCCGCTCTGGTCGCGCATGCACTATTGCCGCCGAGCCCGATCGCAAGGTTGTCAAACTTGCCGTCCGAGCAGGCAAGGCGCAAGGTGCCAAGATCGCCAGTCGTGTGGTTGAGCAAGCCGTTGCAGACAGCTGGGCCAAGAAGGCCGAGGACATGGCCGACGAAGTCAATGAGATTTTGCAGGAAGAGAAGACTGAGAAGCAGTTCGCCCAGGCCGAGATGCAGTTCACCAAGGGCGAGAATCTCATGAAGCACGGCCGCGAGATCATGTCGCGGCCCAAGCGGACGTGGTTCGAGTCTGAAAAAGAGAAGACGATTGCTCGCAAGCTGGGTGCTGTTGAGTTGAATGGCCCCAATACCAAGAAGAGCAATGTCAAGCTAAGCAACAAGGACAAGAAGCGTCTGGATGATGCTCAGATGAGACACGATGGTAATATCGGGTGGAAGAAGGGTAAGGGCGATGCCGACACTGCGAAGAGCAAGGGCAAGGGCAAGGGAAAAGGAGCCAAGAAAGGGAAGAAATAAGGGATCTATGAATGTATACAATTGAATACCATGCAAATAGCTGAAGCATTTTACTCGTTACCATCTTTGATATTCCTTTCCTTTACTCCGTACTGTGAGAATTGGGGAACACCAGTGGAGCCTCAATAGTGGATGCCGTCCAAGATCACTCTCCGACTCGTCCACCAATAATCGCGCATACCAAAGTCTTTAACCTGTTCAGCTTGGAGACTTCTCCAACTTCGCAAGTCCAGCAGCTGATCAGCTGATTCGACGTCAACACTATCTCGCCCGTTTCAAGGTAAAAAAGGCTTATCCCCGCGATTAGCCCCACGCGTTTTGGGGCCAAAATTTCTCCCTCCCCTGATTTTGACACTTCCCTTTCATTCTGTTAATCTCCTGTTCTCCTTTTGGAGGAGGATGATCTCATTCCAATCTCCAAAGGTCACAAGTGAAGAATGGCCGAGTCTCCCAAGACTAATCTTCCCCGGAAGAGCGCCTTCTCGTGTGAGGCCTGTCGCAAACGCAAGGTGCGCGCGGATCTTCTCGGACGAAGCCCGAGATTACGGAACTGATTGATCGTATCCAGGTCAAATGCAACGGTGTTAGTCCGTCCTGTTCGCGGTGCACCGCACGAGGCGAGCAATGTATCTACAGTTTGTGAGTTTGTCTCAGATCTTCTCCTTGGCAGTCGCTCGATTACTGATACTCCTTCTTACCCCGCCATTAGAGCCCCGACCTTATCGTACACAAAACAGCTCGAAGCCCGGGTTGCGCAGCTGGAGGAAGCTTTGGCGAAACGCGGGGAGGGGGATGAGACACACAAGAGATCGCCCTCGGTGGCTGATTCCAGTTCGAGCGGGCCGAAGACGAGACATCACGATGCGGAGGATCTCGCTCGACAGTTCGACGGCCTCAATGTTGAGAATGACGGTCGTGTCTCGTTTCATGGACCGACGAGCTTGTTTCAGCTGCCCAGTGGGATGGTGAATGCGACGTCGAATGCGCAATACGCACAGGATTGTGAAGGGCGCAAGGAGCGTCTTATCAATAGCGCATGGCGGGAAAGGGCATTTGAGCAGATGGCTGCTATGCCGGTATGTCTGTTGAGCTGACTGGGAGATGAGGCAACATACTGATGCAGTCTGATAGGAGCCTTTCCAGTATCTTCTTGATTCGCACTGGTGCTGGATCCAGCCGCTATGGAACTTTGTCTACCGGCCTGCATTTACACGTCCGTTCAATAGTTATCATTTCAGTTGACATATTAGCTGACTTCATCAACAGGCGATCTGAAAATTCAAGGCAAATATTATTCGGATGTCTTGTTGAATGCGATTCTTTCTCACTCAGTACGTTGGTGCAAAGCGGAGCCTCAGGTTGGCCCGCTTCTGGACGCCTTTGATGGCGGAGCACAATTCTCCCATCGCGCCGTGACCGGGGTATTCGAGTCTCTCAAAGTTGGCTATGCTGGCATTCCTACTATTCAGACATTACTCCTTCTCAGTGCACAGGAATGTGGTCGCGGAAATCGGACGCAGGCTTGGCTGTACAGCGGGATGGCCTTCCGGCTGCTGGACGACCTGGGTATCTCTATCGATAGCCGGAAATATTCAGGGTCGGCACAGTTGAGTGACGAGGATATTGAGATACGAAACCGATTATTCTGGAGTTGTTACTTCTGGGACAAGGTGCTCTCGTTATACTTTGGCCGAGCACCGACGATGCAGCACTCCCACGTTAGCCCACCGCGGATGATTCTTGACGATACTGCTGAGATTGAAATATGGACGCCTCATGGTGTGACGTTCACAGATGGCGCTCACTATCCGCCCACTCAGGCACACTCAACGTCATGTTTCATGAAGATGTGCGGTCTGGCAGAAGTATTGAACCAGATTCTGATACACATCTACGACCCAATCCGCCAGATCACGGACTCTGCATTCTATGATTGCATCCGGGAGCAGGCCAAGAACCTGGGTGACTGGTGGCAGGAACTACCAGACTACTTGAAGTTGGTAGCAACAGACCTTCCTCCATACTCACCACCAAGCCATATCGTTATTCTGAAGTATGTAACCAATACCTCGAGTCGCCTACGTAGCTAACCGAAGCCATCTAGCTGTTTCTATCACACCATCAACATCCTTCTCCATCGACCAATCCTCTGCAATAAGGAGCGGTCTGACACCCGCCCCGAGACACAAGACTCAAACCATCTTGTACAGTGCATGGCATCAGCAACATCAATCCTAGCACTCTTCGATCTCTATCGCCGCACCTTTGGCGATAGCCACGTCGTTCTCTCTCTCGCATACAGCATCTACACAGCATCATCAATTTTTTTACTCGAGATCGAAGCTCTGAAGTACGCCGCACCAGGCACCCTAGACAAACTCAAGTTCTGCATCTTCGCCCTCGAAAGAGTCAAAGCCGCCAATCCAGTCATCGGAACCGCCCTCAACCTGATTTCCCAGCAGCTCCAAAAACATAATATCAACATCCACGCACCAATGTCCGCAGTATCTGAACTCAACCAAGAACACCATTCCCAACATCACCCACCCCCACCTCAATCTCATGTTCATCCCCATCACCCTCAACACAGCCAGTCGCCGTCAATCGGCAGCAACCCCTCCCGCCATGTTTCTCCATCCCAACATCATCAAGCACAAGCACAAATGGGCACGCATGCCCAAACCACAGGACCGGAAAACCCGCCCCTAATGCAATCCTACAGTACCTTCCAACACCAGGGAGTTGGTTTCAATATCCCCCACTCGGACGAGATGCCCCAAATGCAGGCTACACACTTGCTGGGTGGGATGCCAAATGCCGCTATAACAATGGACCACGGGTCCTATGAAATCACGCCGGAGGTGTATGAGGCTTTCTCTTATGCACAGCCTCTCACGACGAATATGACGCCTTCCTTTGAGCAGGGCTGGGGTGGGCCTTCTCAATAATATTATACAATGACATATGGGATCTAACTTGCGAGTTGATTCCTCTCTTTTCCTGGATGGGCTTGTATCTGGTCAGCCATGGCGGGTCAACGAGGTCTAGTACATATACATGATGGGCTCTGTCCTCCCACTTTCTGGAACTGAAATACATAACGACATCACAATACATATGCACATATGTGTCTCTGTACATGAAGGTAGATAAAGCACCAACCTAGGTACAACCTAATGGTGATGATATTGGAAGGTTTGCCATACTTCATATCTGTACGTAAGCTCCAGCAACCGTCAACATCACTAACACAGGACCATGCACCTGTCAAAGCCCCAAGAAATGGCTTTACCGTAAGGTAATCGTCGTGAAGGGGTATGATGCTTGACTGTGATCACAAGTCTCAATATCATACGAGTACCATGTTGGTCGTACCATATCCCCCATCTCCGCCGTTTCGCATATCCGAAAGCCTTGGAGAAGGACACTTGATCTGAACTGTTGTGTATATACCTGGTTGTTCAGGACATGACCTTTAGATCTCAGATAATTATATTTATAGAGCCGGGTGCCTTCTCTCCTCCTGCCCTTTCAACCCAGCTCCGCAAGGTCCAACCCGAATTACCGGAGGCTGGGGCACAGCTACGAGAATTGGAATATTGACTTTGTTAAGAACGGGAATGCTGAATATGTAACGACAGAACGATGAGGGTATCACTAACTAAAATGCTTAAATACATACAGAAGCCAGGCTATAGCCACAGAAACCTTCGCCAAGCCTACAAGCCACGACTATCCTTCGACTCAACAATCTGCGCCATAGTAGCCTGTGAAACAGTACTCGAGTCCCTAGGCCTAGCCCGCCACCTTGAATACCACGGCCCCTCAAACAAATCCCCCATCCGCTCAATCGGCACGCCCTTCGTCTCCGGCATCCACACACCGAGGATAATCAGCCCGGAAAAGCAAATCAGCGCCCAAAACAAATAAGCACCCCAGATATCAAGCGAGACGAGCATATTAGGCGTGACTCGCACAACAGCAAACTGGAAGAACCAGTGCAACGCCATGCTGATCGCGTAGCTGACGTTGCGGATGCGCGTGGGGAAGATCTCAGTCCCATACAGATAGGGCACGGTGCAGAGGCCGATGGACCAGCCGACGGCGTAGATGAAGACGGAGGCTACGGCTGCGTTAGCGGCGTTCTTGTTGTCAGCCGAGCCCGGACGGAGGCCCTGGTATATCCCTGTGTAGATATGCGCGCACAGCTGCAGGCTTAGCCCGGCGAGACTGCAGCGGCGTCGACCGAGGAGGTCGATTAGACACCACGTGAAGGCCATTGTGAAGACTAGTTTGACGATCCCGTAGGCGCCAGATGAGACGAGGGCTTCGGAGTCGCCTCCTAGACCGGCGTACTATTTCAATTATGTTAATTAGAGCTTTATAGAATGTAGCCAGCATTCTAGGGCAGTCTTCATGTCACGTACCTTGAATAGGGTTGGTACGTAGTATGTAATACCGTTACCACCGGTCCACTGGGCAATAGTCTGCATCGTGATTACCAGCCAGAAGCGCTGCCGGTAGTTCGGATTTGTCTGTGTTTCCTTAAATAGAGTCCAATGGGAGACAGATGCCAAGCCTTCTGCACGCTGCCGTTCCTGTGCATCGATGGACTCGAACTCCGATGTGATTTCAGGATCGTCGATGGTCTTGCCACGCAGCCGTGCAAGAGCATCGAGCCCTTCCCGATAAAGCTTTTTTGAGACCAGATACCGAGGAGTCTCGGGACAGAGGTACGACAGACCATATGCGATACCCACAGGGATCAATGGTACGGCCTGCACTAAACGGTATTGGCTTTGCGTGTTCGCCATGTGCACTCTAGCGCCATAGTTGATGAAGAACCCTGCAATAGCACTGTCAGCTAGGACAGTGCCGGGTACGGGCGTACAGCATAGAAGAGAGGGTCATAGCTCACCTGCAGCCAGAAAAGTCAATAAGAAGACCATGTACAGCCCCACAACCAGGCCCCTTGTCCTCGCAGGGGCTATTTCTGTCAGATACAGCGGGGCCGTAACGGTTAAAGCGCCCGCGCCTAACCCGCCCCATATTCGACTAAACAATAGCAGTCCGTAGATACCAGATGCGAATATTTGCATTAATGTCCCGGATGCCCACACGATGCAAGCTAGCCGCCACGACACCAGGCGCCCGAGGCGATCATTAAGGTCAAGGACTATCAGGGCACCAAATGCTGCGCCGAGAACATTGAACGAGGTGATGTTCGCTTTGCGGTTGGCTAGCCCAATAGCATCGTGCTCCCAGTGTGATTTAACGAGGTTGAAGTCAGACCTGAAGGAGGGCAGGGAAACGCTGGCGCTGTAGCCACCCTCATCATAGCCTATTGAGGACAGTGCGGCAATTAGCTCAATGTCTCTTCATCATTGCAACGTTGTTTATGGGATTGGGGCGGTAGGTGCGGCGGATCGATCGCTGATCCCGGGCCGGTGCAGCGAACTCGTACCTTTCGGAATCCCGCCGCAGGCGATGACGCTAATCACCAGGGCGCAGTAGGGATTGGTCGACCATCGTGAGGTGGTCCATCGCATGGCGATCCCCTAGTATAGATTTTAGAGGCGTGTAATACACAGTAGATGGGTCCAATCGTAAGGAGGGCAGTATCGTGGTCCAAAGCAGTGAACAAGAGGAGAAGTGGGGAAGTGGCCAGGATCTCAGCCAAGCAGATTTATCGGTCAACGTCCGAGCTTCCTGTGTTTTCCCCTTTTGCCACATGAACTGAGCTTGAACACCAAATTGCTGCCATGTGCTGCGTGCATTCTGGAGTCATTTCACATTGAGCTGTACTATGCAAGTGATTCCATACTTCCAATGTTCGGATCGCGCCGCAACTATCCACTTTCTGGGTCCGCTTAACGGCAAATGGCTCGTCGTTTCATTTAACCGGCCCATCTGGCGGCTCAAAGATTTACATACGGACGACTTCCGCGCTCGCTTGGCTTTTGGTCCACTATGCCAGGTCTTCAAGCGTGTGGATGTTGGAGGGTGGGTCATGCAGCTTATGGACATAGCCAATGAGTTCCGGATGAATTCGAGACATACTCACATGCAAAGGGGAAGCTTAATTTGAAAGCAGCGGAAGTTGACCGACGGAGCTCCAACGTGCTTTTTGAACATCTACGAAAGGGTGAATAGCCATGTTGGACCTATTGGTGTGTGGGTAGTCGTCCCCCATGGCTTCAGTTTTGCTCTATCATAACCCGCCCTCTTCGCTTTTGTTCGATCTACTTATCAACTCACCGTCGCCTCAGTCTACTTCGATAATTCCAGGATGCTGATCGCCACTCAGCCTAAGCCTGTCATATTCTCCAGGCTTTCGTCAATATCGCTTGGCAACCGCTCAGGGCCACGGCTCTCAACCTATGCCTCGCCCGTAAGGATCCCACTGAAGCAGAGACTCCCTGCGAGGTCATGGGATAGCCATATGCATGTCGTGGAACCGTCGCGGTTTCCTGTCTCTCCGACAGCGGTATACAAGCCAACCCCGCATACGCTGGCTGAAGCTCTTGCCTTTGGGTCCGAACTGGGCTTAGAGAATTTTGTCTTTGTGCAGCCCTCAGTCTATGAGACAAACAACGCATGTCTATTAGACGCATTGAAAAGAGTCGGACCCTCCCGCGGCAGAGGGGTGGTCGCGGTGGATCCTGCAACTGTCAAGTCCGAGACTCTAAACAAATGGCATGACCTCGGAGTTCGTGGACTAAGAATTAATCTTCAGTCAGTAAGGAAGTTCATGGATAAAGCAGAGCTGGAAGAGACATTACACCAGCACGCTGAACTTGCCCGGCCTCGAGACTGGATCATTGAGCTCTATCTTCCCCTCAGGATGGTCTCGTTGCTTGAATCGATTATACCACCACTGGGCGTGCGCATTTGCATCGATCACTTTGGCAGTCCTGAATTCCCAGCGTGCGAAGGTACTTCGGGATCCAGATTCAATCCCTACGGTCTTGATGGATTCTCATCGTTGATATCACTGCTTCGTCATGGGAATACTTATGTGAAGCTGTCCGCGCCGTATAGACTTACCGATGACCATCATATGCGTGACCTTCAGGCTATGGCACGGGAACTGTTGTCTGTCGCACCTAATAGAGTCATCTATGCTACTGATTGGCCACATACTCGATTCTCCAGGATAGATATCAGGCCTTTCACTGAATTTTGCTTGGACTTATGTACGAGCCAGCCGGGGCTGGCAGGGCGTCTTTTTCGTCGGAATACTGAGGAGATGCTTGGAGTCATCTGAGTGAAGTGCAGGCGTTGCTCCTTTGTCTAGCATTTTCAGCGTCCAGGATATGGCTCTGGATATCTTTCCTTAGCATTGTTGAACTTATTTCATAGCGATACAGCTAGCATATCTTGGATGTCGATTATTAGGTACCTATCTACGCAATACTACATTAGGTATGTGCTCCCATACAATCCTCAAATTCTATTGCAAATATGGGCTTATGGTCGTCCCTCCAGACAGAGAAGCGAATTGTAATATGTATTCCTCGAGATCCATCCACCATTCACTAGAAATTATTGACACCAAACCGTCCAAACCGTTACCCCTTGAAGCCGAGCAGTCTCTCATCCAGCCAGTCGTCAGGCAATTGCATTCAGCCATATCTTGTACCCGTCCTCCCCAAATCAAACGTCTTCCGCATCCATAAAGATAGCATGGGAGGTACAGATTTTCTTCGGGCCCTAGGCGATGAAAAGAGAAAATATCAGCGAAAGCCAACCTTGAAAGGCAAATAGAATCCAAACAAACTCACAATAGTGTAGCAGCAAGCTGGCCGAGATTGATCCTCACACAGCTGAGGCACTTTCAATTCATCGCCTAGAAAGATTATTAGCGAGATGCCACTGCTAGGTATAGAAAATTTCACGATCATGATACATACAGTCAAACGCCTCATTCGCCTTCGGGTTTCCTCGTGCGGGCTCCAAGTCACGGCAGCAGTAGGGCGACTGAACCATTCCGGTGTGGTCTTCGGCGAAGTTGCAGTGCATATTGATCTGCTTGGCCGAGACCAGAGATAGGACGGCAGCGAAGGCGAGGGCTGAAACGCGCATTGTGGTGGTTATAGATAGTATGATCGCTGGTAGGAGATCGGTTGACTTGATGTCGAGGTTATGAGAGCGCGTTTGGCAAACTGTACAGGTGTATACCGCAGGGGAGAAGCGTTCTAGGGCAAGGTTTCGTCTAATGAGGACAGGACTACGCAGGAGAACTCGGGCCAGATCAAATGCCTTGCTCCCTTGGCCGGGCAGGCTGGTTCTTGCTTTCTGTTCTGCCTGGCCAGCTATGAAGGATGCTCATAATCGCTTTCATTGGTGGATGGGTAGCGTGGTTGGTGTCTCCTTGCATTCTTCGTTCGTTGTGAATGTGGAGGTTTCGGAGTGTTTTGGTTTACGTCCATCCAGGTACGCTGCACAGGTTCTGGGAGGAGCCTAGCCAGGGGCAAAGCAGTTATGTAGATCAGTGCTGTTGAGTGTGGCTCGGTGCCCTTGTGAGTTCCTCTGTAACCCTTGGTGAATGGGTGCTATCAAGGGATACGTCCACTTAGACAACATGGCAGTGACCTGGAAAGGTTGCGATATATGACCATCCTTATGTTCAGACAGTGAAGCTATTCAGACAGGCATGCTGCATGAGAATTATCCTTGATACTGAAAGAGTTGCCAAGCTTGGAAATGTCCAGTCCACTCTATTCGGAACCTGCCGAGGCTTATGCAGGAACCACGTGGAGTACTTGGATGGTGTTACTAACTTACTTGCCGGTGTACTGTCCATGCAGTGGTACCTGAATCTGCGTGTTCATTACTTTGAATATTGTGATTTGTGACGTAAATGTGGCCACTTCTATTTTGAATGTAGTCAACTGCCTATAGACAGTGCAGGTAATTCCACGTGTTCTAATCTGGAAGGAGGCAATGTTGAGTCAGGTGATATTTTGTTGAGGCCCCAACACAGTTACCTAAGCAGGATAAGATTCCAGATAACCACACCGCCCCCACGCCCCGGATTCTCTTATACTCCCTGCACCCCCTCATTTTCAGATCTTCAGACACATCGCTGTGCTATCTGCAGCTGAACAAATCATGAAACGCAACTCCTCCAACCAGGTCGATATGGAACGCTCTGTCTATATTCCCCTGTGCTTCTGCGTCATCTCCTTTGCTGTTCTCGCCTACACCCACTAAGTGCACGTTATCAGCTGGCGATAGCGTTCTGCCCCAACAGCACCCAGACACAGATCACTAGAAGATCCGCCGCCACGGTCTTGAATTTCGCTGTCTGGGATGCCTGTATTCTTCCTTCCTCTCTCTCCATTTCATCTCTCGTGATCCGACATGCGGGGTCTCCCCTCTGGCCCCCTCTTCGCCTATACCCAACACCGATGACGGCCCCTCCATCGCAAGCCATCGCAGCATTGAATGTGAATGGGAATAGGGGCGCCATGCTCCCTCTTATCACATGCCATATGGCTGTCTAGTTCCGACTTGAATGACCGGCTAGACATAGCTGAGCCTCAGTCTATCACAAGCTGTTCTCTGCCAATATGCCTTGCATGCTTGATCACCCTGTCCATACCGGCGATTGTGCCCAGGACGCTGCATGTCTCTGGCGGTTCGATCGCACATTGTGGTGGACAGAGCAAAGTCTTACTGTTCGACTCGATGGCTTGATTTGTTTTATTCCGTTCCTGCATTTCCACCAATTTGATACCCTTCCCATTTGTTCTTTTTTATACCCGATCTTCATGTTCAGTTTGATAGGTAGGGCCGGGTCCCTTCTCTTCTGAAACATCTTCAACATCGATTGGCTGTTACACTGGTTTCTTTATCAAACCCTCAGTTCCTGACTTCAACCCTGAATCTTGTCTATGAGGCCACTCTCCGTCGCTCTTTTCTGAATTCCCTTTCCTTCCTATACCCCCCGCATATTTCTCATACGAATATATTGCATACGACAGCTCTTCAATATCTAAGTTCAAGTAAACTTAACGTGATATATGAATCACGAGTCAAATTCATGACCACAAGACCTCAACGATCTAGATCTGCTGACGTAATCCATCATGACAAATCGGCCGGCGATGGGCCAGTGAAACGGCAGTGAAGCCCAAGCAACACGCATAATTAGCCCGATATCCTCAGTGTTTTCGTCCCCGCTCTTGTCTTCAGTCTGTAGATATCTTTCCCCTCCTCCCCTCCCATACCTCTCCATGCTCTCCCGCTCCATTCAATCATCTCGGATAAGCCTTCGAGCCACTACATCTCTGACCCGGCCTTCCGTTCGGCAAATCTTTGGCGAAACCAATAAAAGTCTGGCGACCTTCAGCTCTCCCCGCACAATCCCTGCGGACTCAATTGCTCCTACATCTCGTCTCTCTACCATCACCCGACACTTCAGCTCCTCCTCCAAGAAACAGCAATCATCCAACATGGCCCCCGTGGAAACGAAACAGTATGACTACATCGTCCTCGGCGGTGGTAGCGGTGGCAGTGGCAGCGCCCGTCGTGCCGCCGGCTGGTACGGCAAGAAGACGCTCATTGTGGAAAGCGCACGGTCCGGTGGTACCTGTGTCAACGTGGGGTAAGCTTGTCAAATATGCAATTCTACTGCGTTCAATCTGGCCCGTTATCTGACAATTTTCAGATGCGTTCCTAAGAAAATGACGTGGAACTTTGCAACCATCAACGAGATGCTGCACCTCGGAAAGAACTATGGCTACGATATTCCTGAGAACATCACCATCAACTACAACCAATTCAAGAACACCCGTGACGCCGTCATCAAGCGGTTGAACGGCGCCTATGAGAACAACTGGAACCGCGAAGGAATCGACCTCGTTCACGGTCGTGCTGGTTTCGTCGAGCCCAACACCATTGAGGTCAAGCTCGCCGATGGCTCCGCTGCTCGCTATTCCGCCCCCCACATTCTGATCGCAACTGGTGGCCGGCCCAATCTCCCCGCGGTGCCCGGTGCCGAGCACGGCATCACCAGCGACGGTTTCTTCGAGATGGAGGAACTCCCTCCCAAAATCGCCGTTGTCGGTGCTGGTTACATCGCCGTCGAGCTTGCCGGTGTCTTGAACGCCGTTGATGTCGAGACCCACATGTTCATCCGCGGTGAACACTTCCTGCGCAAGTTCGACCCCATGATCCAGAAGACTATGACCGATCGCTACGAGGCTGCCGGTATCAAGCTTCACCGCCACCACCTCGGGTTCAAGGATATTCAGCTCATCCGCGATGGTAAGGGCAAGGACCGCCTGATCAAGCTCGTTAACCATGACGGCTCTGAGATGGAGGTCAACGAGCTTCTCTGGGCTGTCGGCCGTGCCCCCGAGGTTGAGGACCTGAACTTGGACATCCCTGGTGTTAAGCTGAACTCTGGTGGCTACGTCGTGGTTGACGAGTACCAGAATACCTCAGCCGAGGGTGTCTACGCTCTCGGTGATGTGACCGGTCAGGCCGAGCTGACTCCTGGTAAGTTTTATCCGAGGTCTTGCACTAGTATATAGGACCAAGCAAAAAGACTAACTACGTATAGTTGCCATCGCCGCCGGTCGCCAACTCGGTAGCCGCCTCTTCGGCCCTCCCGAGCTGAAGCACGCCAAGATCTCCTACGAAAACATCCCCACCGTCGTCTTCTCTCACCCTGAGGTTGGTTGCGTCGGTCTCACCGAGCCCGAGGCTCGTCAACGCTACGGCGACGACAAGATCAAGATCTACCACACCAAGTTCACTGCCATGTTTTTCGATGTTGGTTTGTCTCCCGAGGAGAAGGCCAAGAATCCCACTGAGATGAAGATCATCTGTGCCGGTGCCCAGGAGAAGGTTGTCGGTCTGCACATTCTTGGTCTCGGTGTTGGCGAGATGCTGCAGGGCTTCGGCGTTGCTATTAAGATGGGTGCCACTAAGCAGGACTTCGATAGCTGCATTGCTATCCACCCTACTAGTGCCGAAGAGCTTGTGACTATGCGGTAATGGTGAATAGAGATAGTTATACTATATGTGCATAATGGTTAGGATTTCAAAATTTCCATAACTTTTGGCCAAAGTCTGCCATTCTTGATCTTTTGTCATTGGAGTATTTTCTTTCAACAGCAATTTGCTTGATCTTACCTTTCAGCATACGACTGGACAGCATCTCTACCAATGACCTACATGTTCTATGTACTCCCCTAGGAATCTCCATATGGCTTACAGTCTCGGAGTTGTAAGTCAAAACAGCCCTAAAAAGAGCCCCATATCAGCACCACATTTCAGCCCCGCATATATGGAGAAGTTCCCCACTTGGGGAAGAGCTGGACATAACTATGGGGACATCTCAGATTTTCCCTCTCGCAACCCTCCGCAGAAACCTGCGAGATCTAACAATCCCAATTCCCCATATTCAATACCCATATCACCATGGCCCCACCATTCCGCGCCGAGCAGATGGGCTCCCTGCTGCGTCCAGATAACCTTCTCGAAGCCCGCGAGAAGATCGCCACCGGCGTTTCCGCCGAAGCCGCAGGTCTCCCCGCCATCGAACAAGAAGCCGTCCGCGAAGTCGTCAAGATGCAACGAGACCTCGGCTTCAAGGCCGTCACCTCTGGCGAGTACAACCGCACCCGATTCTGGGGATTGATGTGGGATGAGTTTGAGGGTTAGTAATTAACACTTCTCACACTTCTCCAGCCCTTATATAACTAGCTATAAAAGAGCTAATTTATATTAATATTTCCCCTATCATTAAACGAACAAAAGAAAACTAAAATCCCTCTTAGGAACAATCCGTCTCCAAGACGCCGAAGCCTCGATGTTCAGACTCTACCACCCGGACGTAGTCAGTCTAATCGAGCCGGGAGCCAAGGTGATGCCGGGCGACTCGGTCATCGCAGGAAGCAAGCTATCACTCAGCACCGGCACAGCGTCCAACCTGCACGAACTGAAACTCGTGCAAGCGTCGCTGCCGCAGAGCGAATGGCGCAATATCAAACTGACGATGATCACGCCAGCCTGGTTCCACATGCGCTACAAGCAAGGACGAGCGTATGCGGCTTCCGCCTATGCCAATGACGCCGAGTACTTTGCCGACGTTGCGAAGGTGTACCGGGTGGAGCTGGGTGCGCTTTACGAGGCTGGATTGCGGAACGTGCAGTTCGACGATCCTGGTATGGCGTATTTCTGCTCTGAGGCTTTCCGGAAGGGGTGGGAGGAGGATGAGGATAATGTGGGTTCTGTGGAGGATTTGCTGGATGCTTATATTCGGCTTTATAATGATTGTCTGGCTGGATTGCCGGATGATATGCATACGGGCATTCATCTTTGTCGGGGTAATTTTATTGGGGGGAGACACTTCTCTGAGGGGTCGTATGATGTTATTGCGAAGAAGTTGTTTGAGGACCTTGCGGTTGATACGTTCTATTTGGAGTATGATACTGAGCGGGCGGGTGGGTTTGAGCCTTTGAGGTTCTTGCCTAAGGGGAAGAATGTCGTTGTTGGGGTTATTAGCACGAAGTTGAGGGAGATGGAGGATAAGGAGGCTGTTAAGCAGCGGATTTATTCGGCCGCTGATTTTGTTGCTGAGGGGTCTGGGGAGACGAGGGAGGAGGCGCTTAAGAGGGTTTGTGTCAGTCCTCAGTGTGGCTTTAGTACTCATGAGAGTGGATATCCGCTTCTTGTTGAGCACCAGAAGGCGAAGTTGCAGCTGGTGAGGGAGGTTGCTGATGAGATTTGGGGTGAGGCGTGAGATTAACTTACTTTGGTCTACTTAACGCTCTACTGTGTATATTGGTATAGACTCTCACTAGAGAGTCAAAAGAGATGACGAACAAGCATAAAAGTCGAATTGAAGAGAGAGGCTACAGTAATTGTATCGAGAATGCAAAATTCCCCAAAGGATAACCCAATCCAATATGCTTACAACGCGAATAGCGCTTGCATCCAAGACGTAAAGAATCACATTTGAAATGCAGAAATCGTAGGAAGATGTGTGTACCAATCGGTGGTGTATCGTCCGCCCTAAATGGCAATGGCGGACGCAATGATTATTCCCAGTCCGTTTCGAAAACACAAGATGCTCACAGATCGTGATAGGAAAGTTGCAAAGAGAGCCACAAATACTACTTCGTAACTGGCCATGGCAACGGTCTGGCAATGCCAGAATATGCCTTGAAAAGACAGAACGTTGGCCAAGGCATGTCGCCCCGAAGAGAACAGGGATGCAAGTCGCGGCGAACGGCGCCTGCGCCGTAGAAGTGGGCCTCCCGAGGACCGGAGGATGCAAATATTCGGAAAAACGCAAAGCAGAACAAAGCTCAATCATTCTGTGACGGAGCGTGGGGATCGTCTTCGGAAGGAGTTGTGCCAACTTTATCCAGTGCAACGGCGTGAAGTGCTGGCTTCTCTGAAATGTGGAGGCGACCCTCTGCTTTGAGCTTGAGTTGCTTGTTGACCCATTCGGCGACTTCTTCGTCCTCTGTCATGAAGGATGAAGGGGGAGTTTCGGGGGAGGGTTCTTCGGCGCCGTTACTACCTGACTCGGTCGGTGGCTTCATGAGGGGTGCGATCCAAGGGTGTCGAAGGAGCATGGTATAGTTCGGTCGGTTTTTGGGGTTCTTGTCAAGGCATGCGCGGACGAATGCGTGTGCATCCTCGGAGAAACCCTCAGGTAGGGTGGGGGGATCTCCATGAACGATGGCCTAAATGCAGTTGGGGGTTAGAAAATTGAAGAAAAGACATAGTGATACACGAGATACTCACGTGTAGCTGACTGAAGATGTTGTTGAAGGTTTCAGGTGGGTATGGGTATCGGCCCATGGAGCATTCGATGATGGACAATCCTAAACTCCAGATATCGCTCTGCACACTGTATGTACCGGCACTCGGCGCTCCCGACTGTTGCATGCCACCTCCCGCAATTCGCTCAGGCGCCATGTAGCTTTGACAACCGATGTTGGTCTTTGCGATACTGGAGACCAGGTTTCCGCTGACACCGAAGTCGCAAATCTTGATCTGGCCCTTGGTGTTGACAAGGATGTTGGTAGGCTTCACATCACGGTGAATGATGTTGTGGTCCTCCTTCAACGATCTCAACCCCATGATAGTGGACAGGGTGACCTTGCGGAGGACACTTTCAGGAAGGCCGCCTTCGTATAATTTGTCGATCGAGCCACCATCCATGAACTCAACACACATGTAGACCGCACCTTCCTGGAAGAAAGCTCCGTAAAAGTCGATGATGAACGGAGAGACGCAGCGGTGAAGGATGTCCAACTCCATGATGATTTGTGCGAACTTGGCTTCATCCAATTCCAAGCGAATCTCTTTCATGGCCATAACAACTCCAGAGAGTTGACTCGACCCTGAGTCAGGGCTCCCTTTGTCGTCTTGGCCTGAAGACCGGCTGACAATGCCACCCAGCCCCTGGCCTGGCTTGCGGAGATGCGGGCGACTGTGTCGGACCTTGTAGACCGTTCCGTAATTGCCCTTGCCCAATTCTTCCAGTCGATCGACCTCATCCAGGGAAATCTTGAAACTGTGACCTGACGAAAATTCGACGCCGCCTCCGTGCAGAACGGCCTTGTTGTTGAAGTTCAAGGTGCCCGCTTGCGTGTCGATATATTCGGAATACTTACTGAACGCAGATTCTCCATTCTGTTCACCCTGCTTTTGATCGGTACCTGGCGTAGGACTGGAGGTGACATCCGAGAGTTTGAGGTTCGGCTTCATGCGCTTGGCTGCGAGCCCTCCCGGTCGGGGAGAAGCCGGGCTGGCGCCAGACGCGGGGATAGTGGGTGAAGAAGCCCAGTTGGGAGGGTGAGGCCGGCCTGAGTTTTGGGGCATACGACCAGCGAGCGGGCCGCCTGCGCCCGCTCCTTGGGCCGTGGGGACATGTCCCGTCGACGCCGCAGAATGCGGCGTCGGAGCACCCTGGCGAGATAAAGAAAATGCCTTCATTTTCGCCATAATATCCTGGTTTAGACCGCCAGCTGGTTTCCCGCTCCTTGACCCGGGGTGTGGTGAACTCCCAGCGCCCCGCCGGGCAGCGTTGATCTGGCCCAGGTGCGTGGAGGAGGCAGATAAGCCAGGTCCCCCATTTTCGCGGGAGGGAAGACTGGCGGGGTTAGAGGCTGGCGTTGGAACCGGGGAAGCCTTCGGATCGCCGAGAGAAGGGTCCTTCTCAGCCACTGCCTCGCTGGCAAAATCCCGTGAATCAGCCATGACGAGTCGGAGGAGGGCTATCGGGGACAAAATCGAACCGATGCCAATGGTCGTGATTGCGTCGAGGCCGTGTTGAACTTTGGTGCGGAGGTTGTCGCTAAGAGATCAAGTAGCCCCCAAACGGGAAAACAGAAAAAGATCAAATATGTGAGTATGGAAGGTCTGGTGGAAGAGGAAGAAAGGAGGGGCAGAAATGCAAGTTGAATTGGCAACGTGAAGTCACTTGGGCCCACCGTGATAGAACGTGGGGAAATCGAACTTTTTTACTTTTTTTCGCGATGATGTAGGTAGTTTGTCTTTTTTCACTTGATTGTCAATTTTCTTTCTTTTTTTATTAGTCTAATTTCATTGCTCCGATTTGCCCCTTCTCTTCTTTTCATCTCCATTCTATATACTCCAGTGTAGCTCCGTACATCTTGAATCTTCCGGGCCGCCAGACCAGCCAATCACATGGCATGTGGACAAAAAGCAGGTTTTCCCAGACAGAATTAGAAATGAAAACATTGGCGTTAGGGGTGTTGATAGTGTTTAGCTGACGACAGATTAGAGGCATTAATTAGCTTGGTTTACACAACTACTGTGTGAGTACAGTAATGAAACACAATCTAATGAAAATGTTCATTAGATGTGCATCGCCAAGATACGATAAACTCACTCTCGCTCTGAACCACGGAAGCATAGTAACCTTCGAGGTCATCCAAATCTGGTACACTCGTCGCCCTTGCTGTAAGTAAAGAACGGAGAACCTCATTGTGAGTCGTTGACGCATCTTGCTCCAGTGAGCTCCACTATTCTCCTGGGGTCCTTCGTTGGCTCCGGTCCAATCCCCGAGAAACACAGTGGCCTAGAGACAGCCCGATCATGAGCTCATTGCTTCTGACATGCCATAAGCTCCAGGCCAATCCACTTGCCTTCAGATACACCGATACACTTTCTTTTCATCGTTTTGTTCGAAATCGGGAAAATTGCGCCTAGAAAAGGGCCTCGAGCGCTTCACATGGCGGGGCGAAGATGGCTGTGGGCACAGGTGGTCTGATTGAACGTTCTAGCCCGAATGTGGAGATTGCATATAACTGCTTCGCCAAAACTTCACTTAACAAGGCTGCGAAGTTTGCCAGGTTTGCAGTGCATGTCTGGCTGGCTTCGTCTCCTTCTCAACTAGGAACGCATTGCTACAATCACTTCGCGTTTTGCAGGTGAAAGAGCTCTGTAGCAGTTAAATGAGAGACATCCATAATTCCATACAGCCTTAGATGAGCAGTATTGGTCAGCTGTTCAAAGGTTTTGGAGTGGGCATGATGTGGATGTGTGTCAAGGAAGCATTCAAATAGATTGTACGCAGTCAAGAAGGTAGTTCATCTACATGGAGTTGACGTACGGAGTAGCCTTATCGAGGGTTGATAGCTTCAATTTGGCGCTAACCGCAAGAGGAAATGAAGCTTCCCATCAAGCGCGTAAACATCAACCCCTACACTTCTGGGACAAACAATGCCTCACCTGCGTCGACAACCAAATCCGCGCGATTATATATCTAATGAAGACATCAACGGGCCCCGCGACCTCCGCGCACAATTCCAGACCCCGCCAACTCGTCACACTCCCACCAACCCAACCCATCACCACCCCTCCACCGGTCCAAATGCTTTCACGCCCGATCCAGTCGCACAAGCGGGTCATCCAGCGGCATCAATAAATCCGTTCATGATATTTGGTAGACCGAGAGCAGACCAGCAAGCGCCGCAAGCGCCGCCAATGATGAGTTCCGACGATTTTGACGATGATTACGATCCGCGCGGCCACGCCATGCAAGAGCTCGATGAGGATGGCGGGTACCTGGACCAGGACGATTCCTTTGGAGAGGATCAGGTTGAGGAAGATCAATTTGATGATGATGACTCTGATCTTGAAGACGAGGAATTGGAACAAGAAGTCGAAGATCAGTTCGAGCAAGAAGACGAAGATGGAGACGTCGACGAGGAAATGCGCGATCAAGGTAACTGATTTCATTCTACGCTCATCCACGATTATGATTTTCGAAATGTAACAGTGGGCTAATGGCCTTTTTACAGAAAAATCACCATCTCCCCTGCCGCCCAACTTGCGCGAAATCTCCTCACTTGCATCCTGGACTGTCTCAACCTCCAAACCAGGCTGCGGCGTCGAGGCTCTCCGCAACCCCTCCCCAGCACAATACTGGCAATCCGACGGACCCCAACCGCACACGCTCACCCTCCACTTTTTCAAATTAGTCGCCGTCGTGCGCATCCGAGTCTACCTCGATTTCGAACTAGACGAAAGCTACACGCCGACAAAGATGATCTTCGCAGCAGGCATGGGCGGCAACGACCTCGTCGAGTTCGCAGCCTGGGAAGGCGAGGGACCACGCGGCTGGGTCGATGTGCCGCTACAAGGTGTCGGCGGACGAAATGGAGGCTGGGTGCGCAATGATGCCGGGAAGACGAGAGGACGCTCGACGAGCTCGCGTCGACGGACAATCGTTTATCGGAACTGTGATGACCCTGATCATGAACACGACGATGAGTGCGATCCGTTGTACGATGTTGAAGACGCCAGTAGCGAGGTGGATGAGGATGACCCGTATTCGGGGAATGTGCTTAAGGCTATGGTTATCCAGATGCGCATTATGGAGAACCATCAGAATGGAAAGGATACCCATGTTCGTGGGTTCCAGGTCTTTGCTTGTGATGATTCTCGCCGTCGGATGGCGGCTGCTCCGTCGGCTTCGGCTGATGCGAGGCGTCGGCCTTCTTCGCTGCGTGGGCTTCATGATCTTCGTGGGCGTGCGGCGAGTGAGGAGGTTGATAAGGGGCTTACTAGTACTGGTCTGGATGAACCGGATTGGATGGGCGAGCCAGTGATTCGATAAGGTCTCGAATTCAAAAGCGAACATAAGTTACAGGCGTTGATGGCGGAAAGCCACTGGGGGGAGGTTTCATTATGGAGTTACGATGTCTTCAAGATACCCAGTTCCAATTGATTGCATGGGTTTGGGCCGGTGAATGTTGAATATCATTATGCAGGCATTCTTCTGTACCAATGAAACGTGTTTAGCATCTTAAGGGTATCCAATTTTTGGGTTTTCTATGCTTGTCATATCTCGTATAAGAACATTTTGAAGGAATTGCTGGTATCTACTTAAGCAGCTTCTCCAGCTCGGCGGCAACGGCATCGCCAACCTCAGTGGTCTTGGCTGTGCCACCAATGTCGCCAGTGCGGACACCAGCCTCGATGACGTTGCTGACGGCCTTCTCGATCAAGCGAGCCACGTCGATCATGTTGAAAGAGTACTGCATCATCATGGCGACGGACAGGATAGTGGCGACGGGGTTGACAATGCCCTTGCCAGCAATATCGGGAGCGGAACCTGAGCCATCAATTAGCTTACCAAGAACGGACATAAAACAGTAGTCAAAAAACCAGAACACATACCGTGAATAGGCTCGTAGATACCGTTAACACGGCTCTTGCCATCAGGAATACCACTCAAACTAGCACTGGGAAGCAGACCCAGAGAACCGGGGATAACACTAGCCTCGTCGCTAATGATATCACCGAACAGATTGCTAGTAACAACGATACCGTTCAGCTTGCGCGGATCCTTGATCATGAGCATAGCAGCCGAATCAATAAGATGGTGACCAATCGAGACCTGGGGGTACTCCTTCTCCATAATCTCCGTAACGACCTTACGCCACAGACGGCTAGTAGCGAGCACATTAGCCTTATCCAAGCTCCACACAGGCAGGGGCGGGTTGTGCTGCAGGGCGAGGTTGGCGGCAAGACGAATGATGCGCTCGATCTCGTGACGCGAGTAGGGCTCGGTATCCATGGCATATCCGGACCCGTCGTCTTCCTTGCGGTCGCCGAAGTAGATACCGCCGGTCAGTTCACGGATGATGTTGAAGTCGACGCCGCGGCAGACATCCGCCTTCAATGGCGAGCTCTCGACCAGCGAGGGGGCGGCGAAGTTGCACGGACGCAGGTTGCCGAATGTGCCCATCTCCTTGCGAAGCTTCAGGATACCCTGTTCCGGGCGCACGGCGCCGGTGCCCCATTTCTGTTTCCATTGTGTGTAAGTAGGTTTGTTTTTCGTGGGGATTGTTGTGAGGGTTGGTGAGGAGTGTTTTTTCGAGTGAGGGTAGACATACCGGACCTCCAATGGCACCGAGGAGAACGGCGTCGGCGTTCTTGGCGGCGTTGAGAGCCTCGTCGGTCAAAGGTGAGCCGGTGGCATCGATGGAAGCCTGTAATTGTTAGCCTTTGTTGCTTGCGGTAGGTTACAACGAGTGTGTACGCACGCCGCCGAGCAGATGGTCTTGCAGGTTGAAAGTAATACCACGGGCTTTCTCAATGACGCGGAGGATCTAGGGCAATTCATATTAGTATCGCAGGTTTACGGCGTGTCTAGCTTGCAATGTACCTTGACACCCTCGGCGGTCACCTATACTCATGTCAGTTCCACATTCTCATCTCCGTTAGGAGCTAGCAGCAACATACCTCGGGACCACAGTGATCACCACCAAAGACAACGATATTGTAGGAAGCCATTATGTAGAAATCTAATGTAACAGAAATAGATTGACTCAATTGTTCAGGAGAGCTTCCAAACTTATAAAACCGTTGGGTGGGCGAGTTCGACCCCGCCAACTCCGAAATCGGCGCTGACATAAAATCCAATCCTCCATCGGTTATGCGCGGTCCTGATCAATACTGTGTACAAGTTTGTCTATGAAGGGATCCTGATACTCCTCAAAGCCAATTGCTTCTCCTTCTATACGCGAAACGTGTAGGACCGATTTGAAGACTTATGGTGGCTGGGTAGTAGACCTGGCTCTCCACGGGTAGTTCGGGAACAAGATAAACAGAAACAATGCATTAAATGATGTGTAATGGCATTAACAATGATAATCCGGTAGAGGCAATGACTAAAAAAAGGTCAAGATTGAAGGACCAGGGTGTGTCCACAGCCTGGAAAGCAAAGAGAAGAAGAAAAGGTAAAGAGGAAGAAGAAAGCAAAGAATGGTGGGAGAGAAGAAATGGCAAACGAAGAAAACAAACACAACCCGCGTGTGTACTATACAGGGCCCCAGAATCCGGACCATGCCTGGTCACCAAAAGCCATTCCTGCCCCAAGACGTTTATGAATAGGATCCCAACTATCATTCCCCGAGGAAGGGACAGCGCGTAAGGCTGTCTCCTTGGAGATCCCTGAAAACACAGACCCTAGCTCCAAAGACATGCATGACAAGTAGGAAGGAAACAGACATTATAGGCTATAGCCACCATGTAGCTTTTAGCGTAACAGCCGCCCTTTACTTCTTGCGGTTAGCGCGGCGCGCCGCGCGATCTCCCTCCGCGAGCCACTTGCTGGCGTTCACCATTTGCACGATGTTGACAAATTGTTTGAATGCCATGACGGGGAAGGAGATGCCCGTGATGATCCACGGCCAGGTGCTCTCGAGCTTGTTGGCGCGGGCCATCTCGAGGGCACCGGCGCTCCAGGGGCTAGCGAAGAGGCTGGCTGGCTCGGGGTGCGCGGGGTTTCCGGGCTGGGCGGAGGAGAGCTGGGAATCGGAGACGGGCTGCAGGAGTGAAGGGGACAGCGTTGGCGAGCTGAACGACAGAAGGTACAGGCCAATGAAGAAGGCCTCGTTGAGGGCGCAGCAGATGAAGAGAACGACCTAACAAGAGACTCTGGGTAAGCTTGGAGACACGAAAGTAGTCCGCGGCGGCGATTTCTTACCTTGCTGGTGTAGTACTGGTACATGATCCAGCTACGGCTCGGGTCGACCTTCTTGTGGCTCTGGCTGGATCCGCCCATGCTCAGAGTGGCGTACATATGCATATAGTGACTGGCCATATCCAGGCAGATCAAAGCTTGGAAGACAATCGCCCACCGGGGCCAGGCGGAGCTCAGGAAGACGAGAAGACACGCGGTTGTACAACGATCCGTCACCATGTCCAGCACTGCGCCGAAGGTGGTAGATTGGTTGAAATATCGAGCTGCATACCCGTCCAGCGCATCCAGCAAACAGGATACTGTGTAGAGGAAGGAGCAGGTACGGGGATGGAGGGGCATGTAGTATAGGGAAGCGAAGGTCAGCACGACTCGGGAGTACCCTATGGTGATATTAGTTCCCACTCCACGTGAAATTTAAAGCTGGATCATCGAGCTATCCTACCGATAAGGTTCGGGGTGAACAGGAAGATGTTCTCCTTGCTCTCTTCCCGGGCAGCGGACCTAGCTCTCTTTTTGGAGGGGGTGCGCTTTGAAGGTGTTGACACAGAGCCATTGCCGCTAGGTGAATCTTCACTCTCCTCGGCAGCGAGAGCAGCCTTTTGTCGTCGGGTTCTTGCGCTCATTGTGATGTGTGAAGGGATGTGATTCGGGGAACGGGGTTCGAGCTTGTGTACCTCGGTGCACGGGGATAATGAAAACAGCCGAAGGTTCACAGGTTACTAGGCACCAACTGTCAGCATTGGGGTGTCTTATATGCAGCAGCAAAGAGGGGGAGGAGGAATATACCGTGTCAGATGGAAGATAAGAATAACGATGGAATTCCCTCGGGATAAGGATAGGAGAACTGTTCAGGGAGAAATGGTAAGGCCGGCTGATAAGGAAGTGATAAGCGCGTCTTTTTTTTCTCTCTTGTTTGTCGCACACACTTAGGAAGTCCGAAACAAGAGGGTTAGAAGAAGGGATGGGGGATATGAGAGAGAAAAAGAAGAGTGGAATGTGTCCTGATATGGAGTCCACAGTCCCTGACACGCGGATTACTCGGAACCTTGGGCCTTGGAAGCTTTCCCCACGCGGGAATCCACCTCGTTCTTTTAATCTGACGATATTGTTTAACAGTTAACTAACTAGGGCATACATTTTGGACTTACAAGACATAAGATGTGGCGGAGTATCTGATCTCATCAAGAAAAGCCCGTAAGTAGTTACTGTGTAGTATCAACTACAAGTGAAGCAGTCTCTCTAGATGACGTATCATAAACAAACATTCGATGCGAAATAGTGCCTGTGGACACTTGATTATATTTGATACACTGGGGCAAAAGATATGTACTGAATAAAGCCCAAATATACAAGAAAACTATTCACGTCCGTGACCTGCGCGGATCAGTAGCATCCTGTCGACGCCACTCGCGAGACTCCTTGGTACCCATGCTACCAACGCCGCCTTCTTGACGACGCTCCCAACCGCCTAGTCGAATTACCAGGCAGGTAGCATTGTCACCCTCATTGGTGACCTCAGTCGAGAAATTGACCACATCGTGCGCACCCTGATCCGGAGTCTTGGCTTCCTTGACGATATCAACAATCTCCTGGTCGAGCAGTGTGCCGCTGATGCCATCGGACACCATAACCAAAAAGGAGAACTCGGCGGGGCCAAGTTCTATCCGATTGAGCTCCGGCTCGGCAGAAACCCCGATGCGCTTGGACTGGACGTCACCGAAGGAGCGTGTGTTCGCTAGCCCGCTCATGCGCTCTTCGCCAAACGAGTCCGTCACGAAGGTTGCGGCATACCGCCGGAGTCGGCTGGCCTCGATTGGCGAGGAGGGGTGGTGGTTCGATGTAACGGGGATGGCTTGGCCTGTCTCTGTTGAGCAGAGGAGGATTCGGGTATCGCCTACGTGGGCGACTAGGAGCGTCGATGGCGCAATAGGATGCCAGAAGGGGGTTGGAGTTGGGGTCGAAATCATGGCGACACTCCCGGTACTGCCGCCCTTGAAGCGGGCGCGTCCACCAATTTGGGGCGACCGGGTCATGCTGGGTCTGTGAAATATTTCATCTTCGTTCAGAGGCCTCTCAGCTTGAGCTAGATCATCGTCTCGCTTGGCGGCTTGTGCATTGACAAAGTCTAGATCCGCGCGCAGGAAGGCGTACTCCACGACTTCCTCGATGGAGATGTGATCGGTGATGCTTGGCACGGTGGACTCAGTACCATGATAGGTAAAATGGGGCGGTTGGAATCTCTTGAAATAGCCACCAACTACCCGTCTCCAGGTCTGGACAAGGTGTTTCTCAAGGTCCCCCATTCGACGTCGGTCGCCCTCTTGCATCACAGGCAATTCGCTGGTGGTGGGTAGTTCTTTAGCACCGCGTCGTAGGCTGGACTGAAGCTCGATATCAAACGCCGCATTCTGAATATACTCGTGCAGATAGTCCCTCAAGAACGAACTACACTCGGTTCCGCCATGGCCATCAAACACCCCGAAATAAAAGACTTGGGGGTCTCCAGTAGCTGTTTCTGCACCGCGCGACTCCCGAGGGTCGGTAATATTTTGTTTCTTAGATCGCTTGATCGTCAGCGAGGCCGGAGGTCGTTTTGCAAAGGCGGGGATGTCGATGACGCCAGCTTGGTATGTATCTTCGTTTGAAGGGCGGGTTCCGCGGGCGGTGACGGCGCCAAAATGATGCTTTGCGTTGCGCAGGGGAATCCGAACGACCGTTGTCTCACGGTCTATTAAGGCCTGGAAGGAAGTTGGCGATTGTGAGGTTTCTCCGCTGTGAGGTATAGAGGCGGAGCGAGGAAGTTTATGAAAGGACGAGGACGGACCACGGGGGTCCGGATGAAGCGAGGACGAGGGTAAATGGGTCACAAAGTAATCGCGAAACTGTGGCTGCTTCCTGAAGGTTGTCTGACTGGGCGCAACAGGGTCAGTACTGTAGCATCGCGCTGAACGGAGAGCGAAGCCTGGATTGCGTCAGCTATGGTTGTTCAAAGATCTTCATAGAGCCCGGAGAGCACCTACTGTAACTGTCGGCCGAGGCCCAGACCCGGCCTGTTACTCGCCTCGCTGAAAGGAGAGTCATTGGCCCATCGAATTACAGGGACGTAGAGGGTTGGAAGATCCTTGAGACTGTTGAAACAAGGCGTGGGGAGAATAGATATGGCCCGAGCGTCGGCAGATAAAGAACACCTGGACCGGCACATTCTTTCCGATAGCTCTTGTTAGTGCAGGATCCGCTATTATACTGTGCAGTATGTCTTTATTACTGTGTACATCGATGGTGATGGTTAATCCATTCACATTGGATGTATTTATCTTATACATTTTGTTCCATTGAATGTCGAAGACCCACGTTAAAGCATCTGTCCTTACAAAAAGAGACAATCCATTTCACTCGACTCTGGTTGGGCTACATGTAACTACTACAACCTAGAAGCAAGTGTGAAATATCTGAATTTCAATTGAGTTGGAAAATGATGCTGTGGAAATATCTGCCGACCTCCAGTGAAACTATACGAAAAGGCAGCCATATGCTGTAACCTGCTAAAAAAAACGATCATCGCGGCAGAAACGTCCACAGGAGTGGTACAAACACAAGAAAAACAATGCTGAGAGAGTGGCACCTACCGAACAGCAAACCCATCCAGGGAGCCCAAGCAAGAGACCAGGGGGGATCTGCTTCGTAGAATGTGCCAGGTTAGAGATCAATCAATGGATCTGCCCAGGGATGAGCATTTAGATAGCCTTGGTCCGGGAGAAAAGAGTGCTGTATACAGCATCCACAACGGGTTGGGCAGTAATCTGTCTGCCACCGAAGAATCGACCGTTGAGGCCCTTGATGGCGTTCTCACCACCTTGAACGCGGTCGAACTTCAGGTAGATATCTCCCTGGGAAGTGGCATCTAGAGAAATGTGAACAACGCGGCCGTATTTGTCCTCACACTCGCGGCGAACGTCCTCCTCCAGGACCTTGATCCAATTTTCGCCGGTCTCTCTGCAAGCTGCGTCAGTATTCATTTCTAGTAGTAAGGACACAAGGGAAACTTACTCGGCAGGGTCAAACATATTGCGGAGCAGAACGCACCGACTAGCCATGTTAACATTGACAGGGAGCGGCTTAGTTTCAGTCTTCGGTCGGAGGAATTTCTGTTGGTCGTCGACGGAAGGCTGGGGTTCATCTGTTCGTGCAAGCTTCCTCATCAATGCATCTCTAGAATAGTTGTTGAAGTTCACACCGGCAACATCCGTGTCATCGAGGGCGCTAGCACCGGCACCCTTCTGGGATTCCCTGCCGCTAGCACGGTCAAAGGCATTGGAGCCTCCGGCTTGAACGCCTCGGCCACCCTGGCCGGAGAATGAAGATCCCTGGAATTGCTGGTTTGTAGATGAACCTGACGGACGATTGCCGTTCGAGTCAGGGGTGAACTTATCATTGCCGAGACCAACGCGAATAGCTCGTCCAGCAAGTTCAAATCCGTTCATCTTTTCCAACGCATCACGAGCCTGCTCGGGATTGGCAAATCTAGTAACGTTAATAATCGAAGTAATCAACAAAGGAATTTGACCATATAGGGAAAAACTTACTGGACAAAGGCATAACCCTTGCTTCGACCGGTTTCGTCCTTTTGCAACTGAACGAACTCGAGCTCACCGAACGGTTCGAAGACATTATTGAGATCAGATTCGGTGATACTGAAATGAACATTACCCACATAGAGTCTGTGAAATGGCGCGGTGTGATGACTGCCTGAAGTAGCCGCGGGATTGCGAGCTTGTCTGTTCTTCTCCGCCTCGGTCAGTTGCGCGATGATCGGGATTCCTAACAGTCTCTGGCCGGTGAGTTGAATAGCGGCTGTCACGGACTCCTCCGATTTGAACTCGACATAACCAACACTGTATAGACATTAGCAAGTGCTTGTATAAAGTAACGAGATGAAAGTTGATTACGTACCCTTTATTGCGTCCGCTAACGCGATCCTTAACGATTTGAGCCTCCTTGACGGGGCCGACCTTTTCAAAGAAGGCTATCAGATCCTTGGTGCGCAGACGAGCAGCCAGTTGCTGCACAAAGATGGTACGCTTGTCACGTTCATCTTCGGTGAGTTCAGGGGACTTGCGAGCGGGGGACCCACGGCGGGCATCGTCACGGCGGGGGCGCCTTTCTTCGTCGCGGTCACGGCGGTTTGGCCTGTAATGGCGATCACCATAGGGCGAACGGGAGCGGGAATGAGCACGACCTCCACCACGATAGAAGTCACCACTTGAGCGGTAGCCGTCGCGGCGAGGGCGGCGCCGCTCGGACTCGCGGCTCCTGCTTCTCTTTCGGCTTCTAAGGCTTCCGTTAGCACTAGCAGAGTCGCTTTTCATTGCATCATCGCCGTCAGTGTCTCGATCAGGCCGGCGATCACGGCTGCGTTCGCTACGGCGGCGTCTGTCGCGGGAACGGTCACGTCCTTCCGGGGCGGCGGGCGCAACGGCGGGAGCAGCCGCGGTAGACTCAAGGAGAGCCTCTACGTCAAGTGCGGACATTGTTGGAAGGCAGCTGTCGTTGGTTGGAATAGAAATCTCGACGTTCGGAGTGGCGGAAGTGGAGGAGAGACGGATAGCGAAAGTGGACGCAGAGCGGGCTGTTGAAGTAGCAGGGATTTTATAACCTATCCCTCGATTCTGTTTTCACGTTCCGATTGTTTCGTTGATACTCGCAGGGAAAAGGTACTCAACTTGAAGCGCACGGTTGACGGTGTGATACCTAGTTTAATTTTGACTCTGTTAAGTTTGAGGTTCAACTTTCAAGAGACCTGAAGGCGGTGTCGGGGAGTGGCAGAAATTGCAAGTGGCAAGCGGCACGTGAGGCCTGGGTCAAAGCAAAGGCGGTGAGAGGAAAATGCCGTAACTAAAAGGAAGGCGGTAAGTGAGAGACGCTACTAGTCCTAGAATATTACTACCCGTAGCTATGGGGAGGCACCACGTCCATCTACTAGGGTCTAGGGCTAAATGGAAATGGAATACCATTTGTGAGTTGATTCATCATTCTTGAAGGAGATCCCTCGTTGGGACCTTGAGATCTCGCGTAGCCCACATGGTCGTTGCTTCCAATGTTCCAAGTTCTCTTCAACTCCACCACAGCTCGGTTACCGGGACCTAGACTATATAGAGGAACACACCTCTGTACCTAGGTAGCATGCTGGACGCACCCAGTGTGAGAAAGTTCAACGTAGTGATAAAAGTCATATAACTAAACATTTATTATTTCCTTAAATTACATTAACTGTCATATACACTGATAAGTGATACTCGAATGTATGAATATGAATCAACTCGACCTTGTGTCCTGCTTTATCACAAGAGCTGACATGGCGAAGCCAAGTGCACAAGAAGGAGATCCGAACCAACCATAAACTCCGCTTTGACCAATGTACATTGGAAGTACCGAGTAGCAGCAGCTCGGTCGTACTCCGCGTGAAATCGTGACATAAGGACCGCTGGTAGCCCTCTATTATTGAAATGCTTGGATTTGAACTGCTTACTGGGCCTTCGCACCCTTTGGCGTTGGGACCACCAACTCGGTGCCAAAGACGCGATCCCAGAAAGGACTAGTGACGCCAAATCCGTTCTCGAAGTCAGCGAAATGGTGCTGGAGGTGGTACTTCTTCAGACCCTTGTAGTACGAAGGGAGACTAAAAGTCTGTCAGCGGTGATTCATTACATAAAAGGTGGTGTAAGACTTACTTGCGGTGGTGCAGGAAATAGTGGGTGAGATCATAGCAGATATATCCAAAGACGCCTCCACAGAACACCGACAGAGCCGCATACCAGTTGTAGAAGAAGACTGCATGAGCCAGCTTCCAGAAAGGGGTAGCTAGGACCACAAACAATGTCGGTGGCATGACAAGTCGATATTTGTCCATTGGTAGATAATGGTGGATACCGTGGAGTAGGAAATGGAGTGTCAGGCCGACGCGGTTGTCCGGAAGCCAGTGATCGATGTGGAAAAGGCACCGGTGCATCACATACTCGATCAGAGTCCAGAGCGCCACGCCACCGAGGAAGTAAGATGCAGCAGCAATTGGACTACTGAGACCGGCAGCTCCAAGCCATATTCCATAGGCAACAGGCGGCAACCAGATCATCGGCACGACGTACCACGCGGTCTTGCTCAGAGGCTCGAGGAAATTGCCGAACAGAGGGGCAGACTCTCCTCCTCGGTAATGACGAGGCCGATGGATCTGCTCCAAGTAGAACTCCTTCGAGAAGTTACTGTTCCACAGTTGCATCAAAAGCGGCTTATTCAAGTCCAAAAACTTGTGTGTCTTGTAGTCTTGAAGGGGGTCCGTGTCTATTGACAGGTCCTCCTCACGAGACATTCCGGTAGTTGCATAGACAGGGCCGGACTGAGTTTCGGTGACAGTTTCGATGATGGTCGTCTTGGTGGTGGTGGTTTTCGCAGGTGTAGAGACATCGGAGACAAAGCCAATGTGGTAGTCGTCCAAGATTTCGTAGGCAGCGTCGCTGTGTTCGTGGGAGATCTCGTCCTTCAGGATATCTGTCACATCCTGGCCGGCATACTCCAGGATCAAATCGCCACCACCGGGATGAGCATCGAGAAACTCAGTGACATCGTACACTTTGGAGCCCAAGGTAACGTAACATGACTTTGCGGTGTTGTGAGAATGAACCTCGACCGAGGTAAGCGTTGGCATATCCCTCCCAGGCATGATGGCGGAAGAAAGATTGAGAGCTCAGAAAATAGTCGACAAGGGAGGGAAAAACGCGAAAGGTGCAACAATAATAAAGATTGTTCAGGAGGCGTGGCGTGACACCAAATCTCAACCAGGGATCCGCCCGCTCCGGCAAAATTTCGAGTGCGGCTATCCATTGGTCCAGCAGAAGAAAAGTACGCACTAGTTAATGGTGGGATCCACTTTGGACATTTAATGGTCCTTGTACATAAGTTCTAGCCCTATGTCGAAAGAGATTGTGAGTGTAAATTTAAGGTGCTACTAGTATTCGCAATGTGCCCTTGGATCACCGCACCCCCACCTGCCTGAATATCCAAGGTTGATTTTCCTGCTACTGCCTGACCTTTCTGGATTGACCAATCAGATCACCCCATTTTATGCTTCAACAAGCTACATAGTATTTCTACATACTGCGTTCTGAACTTCTGAACTTCTGAACTTCTGATCGTGAGAAATTGGCATGTTTCTGGGCGTAAACAAATGTTCGATCGACGAAATGCGTAGGGTAGGCCCGTAGGGTTAAATAAGGTCATTCTCATCTCCGTCAGATGATGCAGATAACAGTCCGGATCAAGCGTACGTCTCTAAGGCTTTCGGATATGCGGCGAATTCAGGAAATTTGGTCGTGGGATCGGAAGTGTTATCTTGAGTTGGTTCGAGGTTTGTCGGGTCGTCAGGGGGATGGATTTCATCGTTAAGGGTGTCATGGGCCTCCTCATTCTTGTCCCAAACCATCAGTGCGAAAACATGGGCTTCATTCTTGAGGGCTTTCGCGAATTGGTGAGGGGTAAGGAGATCGAAGTCTTTGCGTGTGTGGCCGAAATGCCAGCGATAAGATCCTGTATCGAGTTGATCACCGATCTCCCGTGGTAGGTAGCGGTGAATGATTTTGGCGTCGTGGGTGGCATGGAAGCCCTTGTGGTAGGCGGTGGCGATGGCCACCAGGCCATCCTCAATGAAGATATTGCGAACGCCGCCAGCGTCGGTGTTGCGGTGCCGGATGGACAGCAGTTCAGGGGCACGAGCGGGCTGGCCGCTGCAGATGTGAACCAGCACGGACAGCTTGCGGCGGAAGGCGACTACCCGTTTCATGTAATAGTCGATCTTGGCCACCCGCGGTTTCCCCTGCCGGAAGAACTCCCGGTCGACGTCGGGGTTAGTGGCGATCTGGTTCAGCATCCACTGCTCTCCGTCGACGGGCCACGGCGTTCTGGTGTCCTGGAGAAAGCTCCAGCCGGCACCAACATTGGTGGGGTCGATACAGAAAATCCCATGGGATCTGGGGGACTTCCGTCTTGTGGGCAAGCATGAGGTCATCCTTCAATATCTGTCTTGCGTCATTCACCAACACATGCACATAACGGAGCCAGGAGTTGGTTTCATCCCACTGTTGTGTTACAAGAAGCTGACCTTCACCTTGGGCCAATTCACCGGATTTGTGCATGTCTTGGTGAATGACGCCAGACAGATCTTGAAGGATGACCTCATGCTTGCCCACAAGACCGAGGTCCCCCAGATTCCATGGGACTTTCTGTATGACGATCCCACCAACGTTGGTGCCGGCTGGGGCTTTCTCCAGGACCCCCGAACGCCGTGGCCTGTCGTTGGAGAGCAGTGGATGTTTGACCAGATCGCCAACAACCCTGACGTTGAGCGGGAGTTCTTCCGTGGGAAACCGCGGATGGCCAAGATCGACTGTTACATGAAACGGTTAGTCGCCTTCCGCCGCAAGCTGTCAGTGCTGGTACACATCTGCAGCGGCCAGCCCGCTCGTGCCCCTGAACTGCTGTCCATTCGGCACCGCAACACCGACGCTGGCGGCGTTCGCAATATCTTCATTGAGGATGGCCTGGTGGCTATGGCCACCGCCTACCACAAGGGCTTCCATGCCACCAACGACGCCAAAATCATTCACCGCTACCCACCACGGGAGATCGGTGAGTTGGTGGTGTGGTATCTGTGGTTGGTGTTGCCTTTTGTCCACGCCTTGGAGCTGTATCAGCGCCATGAGAGGGAGCAACCGGTTGACCATGAAGTGTAAGTGCAGTCGTGAGGGTGAATTGTTTGCGATCCAGGGCTAACCGCGACAACAGACGCAAACGCGAGGCGTACATGTGGCCCCCCGACCCCCATTCTGATAAACCGTGGTCTTCTGAGCGCTTGCGCGAAACCCTCAAGGAGGAGACGAAGGGCATCCTCCACGCCGAGCTGAATCTGGTCGCCTACCGCGACATTGCGATCGGCCTCAGTCGACGATTCCTGGGATCCACGCACCAGTTCACACACAACATCCAGGAGGAGTCCGGGGCCGAGGTGCTGGACGATGACTTCGACGACCGTGAGATGGGGGCTGAGGAATGGAGCGGCCACATCGCCGATTTACAAGCCGCTCATTCCTTCCACGTCGCTGGCATCGTCTATAGACGTCTCATCACCGAGCAGCCCGGCACCACGGCCGACAAACGGCACTTCTTCCGTATCTGCAGTACGGATTGGCATCGCTTTTTGGGTTTTCACTTCACCAAGGCCGAGTCGCTCAACCCCTACCGCCGGACCGAGCTATCTCCCTGGCAGAAGGAGGCTGAGGAGAGCCGCATGCTGCGTCGGTGGGACTTGCGCAATACTCCCCTGGAGCCACAGTTGCAGGCTATGATGGGCGACCCCGAGGTCCGATTCCGCGGCATGCAACACCCGGCCATGGTGGCGATCCAGAACGGGGAGAGTCCCGTGCTTGCCGTTTTGCCCGCCGGCGGTGGGAAGAGTAAGGATCGCGGCTAAGAGGCGGTCATCTCAATTGCTGGGGAATCTGTCCTGAAGGACAAACTTCAATTCTTTTCGTAAGGGCTCGATAAGTTTCGCGAAGAACCCAGTTACCCGCTGTTCTTCCGATATCTCTATCTGGGATTCGATAGACTGAAGGTAATTGTGGAAGGCGATGGGATCCTGGCCAGGGCGTTGTTTGGCCTGGAAATAAGTTTCGGCCTTTAGGGTGAGGGTTTAGGGCTTACCCCTAAACCCTCGATGGCGGTGTTGCGTCCTCCACGGACACGTGGTCTCCCCGCGCCCTGTTACCTCAGCATGCTCAGACGAAACATGATTCGCTGGGTAATGCTCACATGACCGGCCTAACCAAGTTGGGTTCAGCTCAAAACCTAACTTGGTTAGGTATGTCATGTGACTACACAGGACCCAGCCAATAATAATGTTTGGTCTGAGCATGCTGAGGTAAGCGCCCCTGAGGGGTTCGACTATCCCGTAAAAAGCAGGCGGAAAGTCGAACTGCTTACTTCCATAGGGAGAAAGCGGTAGGGTAAAAGTAGGACCGGAAAGGGCAAACCATCCATAAATAGGTACTGCAACTCCGGAATAGGCAACCATTACTACGACAAGCAATAAGAGGGAAATAATTCTGCCAGAATTATTTCCGGGGTCGTTTTGGCCGTAAGTAAGGCGACGCTTCGCGTCCCAACGAATAAGGGACGTTTGTTTCCCATGTGAGAGACCGATATCGAGGCTTGTGATCACATGTTGAATTATGATAATTTAAATTATCACATTCCCCTTGACAATCAATGATGTACCTTACGGAGTACAGTAGAGCCATTTCCTTGGAGCTTTGACAGGTGCATCAACCATGGTTGTCTGTTGGCGATGTTGACGGTTGCTGGAGCCTCCATACAGATATGAGGAACTATGGCAAACGTTATCATCACCATCCGTTGGGGCCTTACTTACCTACCTTAATCTACAGAGACACATCTGTGCGTACCTATCCATGCAGTATAGCCATAGGCACCGCCGCACCGTCCAGGCTGTTCAGGTGGAGTGAACAACGGACGACCAACATGGTACGTCACCGCACTCGTATGATAGCAGAAGTCCAAATTATCACATCGAAGTGGCGCAGATAGAATAAGAATAAAGGCATATGTGATGTGTCGTCAAAACGAAAACGAAGTCATCTCGCAGGCTTGACCGGAGATCAAGAGGCACTGCGATGTCATGGGTTAGGCGACATGGAAGGCGCAGCAGATGTTAAAAAAAGTGGGCTGAGGTCCGGCAAATAAGGAGATAGATGAATCAACCTGACTCTAGCATCAGTACATATCTGCGCAATACGTTTAGAGTCGCGAACTGGTGCGTTTATCTATGTCCCAGTTTCGGCTCCGGCGCCAACATGTCCCAGGTGCAGAGGTTTATACGAATCATGATGAGTGGAACCTGAACCTAGGATCGTAGAATGACAGTCACAAGGATGATAAACTAGAAGTGCTTGCTTTTGTTAGCCTCAGTTCCAACGACTCACCTTCTCGCATCAGCACCTGATGGACACGTAACATGATCAATTGGCCATTCATGGGATTCCGCTGGAGTGTCCAACGCCTCCTCGGCTATCTGGCCCTGCGGACGGTCTACACCAAATGCTGGTGGTGGCGGGGCTGGTGTCAGTGGTCAGTTCATCACGCCATCCCCTAGCACTTTTGACACGCTCGTAGAATATTCAAATTGCTAAAAGATCACAATTTGTCAAGGGAAAACGATGAAAGCTCTAGAAACCAGTCCCAAACTAGCTTGTCGATAGCTCGGCCCTTGTTGTGGGTACTCATGTTCTGCGGGAAAACGACGCATACCAACGATACGCTCCCCATGAGTGGGCCACAAGCGTTAATAACTTGCTCATATATAACAAGTCCTGTAACGTCGCATATTGTACGAAGTACAAGGGACACCTGAGCATTCATCCATGTACCACAGTGCGGAGATCATCGACGCTAGCCCAGTATGGTTAGACGCGCTACTATCCCCTATCTAGGAATAGATATATGCACTAACCCAGACAGGCTAGACATATCAGGTCACATTGGTAAATAGCCAAACAGCCGAAAACTGTTATTATTGTCGCTGTTGGATGAAAAGTCCCTCTTCAGTGTTTCTAAAGGCCTTTCTTTCCCAGGCCGTCTCCTCGTTCATGGTTCTGTTTATTGAACAACATAACATGATTGTACATGGCACTCGAGGGTCCGCACTCCGCAGTCAGACCCATCTTGAGAGTTGACAACTTGACTCCATCAATGGGGATGGGCCCCACAAAAAACACCGCCTGACATTGGCAGCAAATCCCCTCTGGGGCCATCTGGGGCTGAAATGAAACCCGCGAGCAGAGGAAAATGACCCGTTGAAAGGCCACCATTGTGATAACAATACCCAACTTTGAGGGTAGGACAATCCCTGTATCCGGTTATCGGTGTAAGTCTCCACTGAGAGTTTTAGTCCCGACTCCCAACACGGCACGCGGGGCTATTGCCGGAACGATTTACGTTGTCGGAGCGGAAGTGTTGATGGGGGTTATTTATCGGCCTCTAGTCAATTCAAGTTCGAGGCAGGGATTAGACATCACACTAGTTAGTAGTGGAGTTTTCCACCCCTCTCCTGTCCCAATTTCTCAAACACCTTCTCTGTCTTCTCATTCCTCTTTCTTGTGCTTCTCCTCTCCATTATAATCCCCTCCACTCTTGACACCCCTTCCTCGGCCCACGATGTCGACAGCAGGGGATTGGTCCCCCGAGAATCCCATCCTGGCCTACCTGCAGACACTGGCCGCAAACAAGAAGACCCTCCCGTATGGGCAACCTGTGGTCGCGTACGCCTCCGTCAATCATATTGACTCCGCTTCACTTCTACGGCAGGCCGCAGAGATCGGCCCCTATATCGCCATACTACAAATTCCAGCGATTGTCATCGATGACTGGTCCCACGACACGATCGAGCAGCTCCAGTACTTGTCCAGGAAACATGCATTTCTACTTTGGGAGGGAAGCAGGATCTTGAACCCGATGATTAATTTCATGGGTAGAGCGGATGCGGCGTTGGAAACAAGGCAGGCCTTGGTAGACTTGATCAAGAAATCATATACGGGGGGTCCATTGAGGACAGCGACGTGGGCTAATCTGGCCACCTCTTGGGCCCCTGCGGCCCCACTGGACCAGCAGGAAAACGATGTGTTGATACCAACCTTGAAACTGGCAGCTCGTGAGGCAGTTGCGACAACCGCGAAGACCATCCAAACCGAAATATCCGCAGAGACAAACAACTACTCGTCTGGGGAGGAGGTGGAAGTCACTGTGCCAATTGGGGAAACAACCAACGGGTGGAAAGAATTCAGTCCGAATAACACAGGATCGGCGCTTCGAAAATCATCAACCATCTCCGTTACAACCGAGTCTGTGCTTTCGCATGCACAAATCCAGGCAGATAACGGTGTCCCACCTCCACCTCTACTGGCCCGCAGCGTTGCACTCTGTCTACCCAGCGCCCTTGAAACCGCGTTTACCCCCCAGTTCCGCCAAAGTACGATAGTTGCCGCATGTGCCAACTCCGAATTTGTCATCGGGTTCTTAACGAGCGACCCCTTCTTTGTGAACTACCGAGGAAATGATATATTTGAGCTGTCATCAGCGAATGCTAAAGGGGATGCCCAACAGGGTATAGACAGCAGCAGACTCGCTGCCTTGACCTACGTCACCGAGCACCGAAAGTCACTCGGTGTATTCTCTCTTGTACCACCTGCTCTTGGCGCCGGCTTTGTGTTTGATCCTACCTTCAAGCCTGATGGCAGTGCACCATCTGACACCGAGCCCGAGACTCCAGAATCAGCGCAATACATATACCATATCATGGGGCAAGCGGTGGCCCTTCGGGAACAAAACCGAAAAGAGCGTGAAGCCAACGGTTCTGCAAAAGAATCATCCGCCGGTCCCAATATCATGCATATTCCAGTGGTCCTTCTTGTATAATGTCACACATAGCGCTTGGTATCTTGCATGCTCGCCCATTCATCATTGGCGGGCTTTATGATCTTATGTTGGAAATTGCCTTTAATCTGCCGTGCGCCTTTCTTGTATTACCTTTTTGCGACCCGTACATGTATGTTGCTGAAAATTTGTATGTCGGCAGGATCTCGCACAGAGTTGTGCCTTGACTCTTGATACACGTATCAATGAACTGGATAACCGGTGACTGGCCGACTTTTCAAGCTCAGTAAACTCATTATGTAGTGAGGACGCAACTGGGCCCAGCAGCCCTACTAAGAGATCAAATGCCGTGGAAGAAGAGGATTTTGGCTTGAAATGTCGGGCTGGAAGCTTGATTCCTTCCATTGGACGGGAGTGCCCGGCACGTGTTGATTAGTCACCATTGAATGCCTCAGGTGGATATGGATATCAACATTCAACAGTCGAAGCATTTCAAGCCATATGATCAAATTCTCTATCTTCCCCTCGAGTGCTATTTTCAACCATTTTATGCCGTTTGAAAACTTTGCTTGGCAAACAAATAGCAACATCGACTACAGCCACCAAATCACACATCCAACATGAATATCTGCCAAGATTGAAAGGACTCGTGATGACGGTATGAGGCAGAGGATCTTGACTCCAATTCATTTGATTATTACATTTCCAATGCTTTACCGACCACAGTCAGCAGTCTCACCGTTTCACGTCATAATTCATATTTCATTCAGGCCAGGAAGACTCGGACAGTGGACACTTCAACAGTCATGAACCCAGGCCACCAAACTGAGCCTCTTGCTCGAAAGCTCGATGAAGAACATATTGAACACCCGCCAATCACAATTATTTCGGTGAGCGGTGACCTAATTCTTGAGTACATTGCTCCTGGTACATCTTCATTGTCAAACAGCAAGCGCAAATGGCAGGTGGCAAGCAAGTGCCTTACCTCCAACAGTCCTTACTTCCAAGCCTTGTTGGATCCCACTAAGTTCTCCGAAGGGAGGCAATTCAGCGCTCAGAAGCAAGCATGGAATGAATCCCAGACGGCAGACTTGGCTTCACAGCATGCCCTACCAACGGTCAAGCTTCCCGAGATCCGGTCCACAAGCCTCTGTGGAGAAGATGCCATCGAGTTGTTCCTGAAAATATTATGTTTTGAGTCTTTGGATGAGACAGAAAGAACTGTTTTTGAGAATGAGCTCAGGGTCCAGTCTACATCACTTGTTGCCAGAATGATCGACCTGGCGGACTCCTTCAGTTCCACCAGCATTATCCGGAAAGTTCTGCAGAGAGTCGGATATATGTATGGCAAGACGAAGGTTGCGCTTCTGTCCAGGGTCACGCCTGCATTATTGGGATTGAAGGAAGATCGGACCCGGCAGATCATCTTTATAGCCGCCTTCCTCGATGACTCAAGACTCAGGAGAATCATGACCCATGTCTTGCTGGTTGCAGGCTCCAGATTATGGGCCAATGGGTTGGAAGACCCCGAAGAAGAGAATTTGCGCTGGAAACATCTACCGGATGGTTTAGAAGGTGAGTCTCAACAAAGTGAGCACTGCTCAGTACCTCTCAGCTAAATTGTAACCCCAGAGGAAATCTATTATCGACGCCAATGCGTTTTGAACACGATCACCGACCTACAGGCCCATTTCCTCCGAGTTTACGGAGGCCTGGAAGACCCCGACAACGCCAGATCTGCCGCAAACAACCGAACTTTGGGCGCGGCTTTTACCGCATCTGCACACACGCTCCTTCAATCCCGCCGATTCCAATGTCGAGGTGGCTTCAATAATGCCAGTCAATGCGACCTCTTCCAATTGGGTCAGATGATCCGATTCTTCTCGATGCGCGCCAAAACCATCTTCTTAGGATCGACTTTGATAGACCCCGATTTTGACTTGAATCCAGAAGGCGATCACACAGTTGGCGAAGCCAGGAACGACCAGCCTTCAGGTCCACCAACTGATATTGCCGCCATCATCGCTTCCATGAAACAATTCCCCGATTATCCAATCGACGAAGCTCACACCGGCTGCGGTGTGAGACGCAGAATCATGCCTGCATTGGAATGCGTCGAGAAATTCATCTGGGATGACCGCGGCCTACTTGGGATAGCCCCAGATTACAAAGACCCCACCCGACCCTCCAAATGGACGGCCTGGGCAGATCACCCGCGCAAGAAACACATGGTTGATATTTCCTTTGCGAGAGTCACGGCTGTGTATTATCCTTCGGCACCGACGAAAAACCGAGTCACCCGTTCTACATCACATGACGAACTTGGACGGCTGTTGTTCACTGCTGCTCGGAGGGATTGGAGTGCGGCAGGCTCAGGCTGATTCTTTGGTCTATGTACGATCTACATTCCTGCTACAATGCATGCATATAGAAAGCCATTGGGCTCAATTACACGTCGATGATAAAGACTACCATGTCCTGACTTTGACATTTGAAAGGGTCAACGAAACCCTAATGATTAGCTCCAGTTCTGAGCTCTAGAGGTTGTTTGGCTCCAGCGGTCGAATGTGTCCTGATCATAAGCGAGTCAAATCAGATACATAACCAGACCTGACCAAGATGGCCGGCATCTCCCGTGTAAACGGCGGACCTGTGAATTACTGTATGCGGTTAGTTTTGCCTTTTCTGGTTTAGCGCCCCAATACGCCGTCACGTAACCTACCTTCATGCCGCCGACATAAAAGACCCGTCTTCGCTGCTCCTCCTCCCTTTCTCTCACTTTTCCATTATTCTGCCTCTCTATCTTGCACTCATCGCCGCCCCCTTTCTTTTACTCTGGCCCCCGCCGACTACTGCACATTTGCTTTCAGCACGACGCACTGCCCCTTTCATTTTTACCGGAGATGCCGCTCGATCCGACTCCCTGGTCGTTCTGACCTGCGTAGGCTGCAATGCTATCCAGTCGCTCAGGAGCAGAAACACTGGGGTGATCCAGCCATCCACTGCATCGCATGATTGTGTCAATACTCCATTTTCCAAAGAAGTCTACAATCCTATCTAGATCGCCTGCTTTCTGCTGGTGAGGCCTTTCCGTTGAGTGTCTGTTATTCCGGTGAACCCCTTGTTGCCGAGTCTTCTCGTTGCTACATGCTCCGCTTCATTCGCCCCATTTCAGGCTCCTACCTGAGGTTACATTGCACAGCCCTTGGTGTCGCAGATCTACTCTCGGCCGCTTTCTCGCAAGTGCCTCGACCTCCCATCTGTCGTCATCGTCGGCCTCCCCGGTCTCTCCGCACCCAATCCGTGAACCTCGAAAGCATACCACGGTAATGCGAGCCAATAGCGGAAATACCGCACACTCACCTGACCTCGGTCGATGGCTGCATCATGCGGCCAATGCTGCACTGCAACCGCGAGAACCATGCCACGATCGTACCATCACCTACCGAATGGAGAACGGGCTGACGACTAGTGTGGGCATACGTCGCAAAGGTCATCAGCGAGGGTAGTGGTAAATGTTGCCGGTGAACTACAACCCGTGGTTGTGAAACTGGTGTGGTCCTGCGGCTTGGATGAAGTGTCCTGGATTGCAGGAGCTGGTCGGGATCTTCTGCGCTGGGTAGAGGGCAGATTCCGCCTCACGGGCGACCGTCGTCTATAAAGAGACTACAATTCCGCCCAAATGGCAAACTTGTAATTCAGAACCGCTTCGAATTCTCCCCTCCCCTGCACCCTGTCCCCCATCCCCTATCCCCCATCTCCCATCCCCAGTTCTCTGTTCTCTGTTCTCTGCCAGTTTCCCTATTTTATGAGTACCCACAAACACCACATCTCGAAGACTTTCTCGGCTGTCTCTTCCACACAATATGTCAAACGCTAATTCTCGCCTGGAATCCTTTCGGCCATGGAATCCTTTCCAGGACAAAGCCCAGTCTCTGCGAGATTCTTTCGATATTTGCCGCACCCAAGTCCTGTCTCGATGACTCCCACCCCGCCTCCCTCCAATCCTATCAACTTCGTCTCTAAGAATCAAAATGTCATTCTCACAAACCTGGCCGGCATTCCCTTCCTGCCCGCCCGCCGTTGGAAGTTTGCTTGGATGACGGCCTACATTCGGATGCTCAAACCACTCGCCACGAGCCGGAGGATTTGGGCCGTACTACCTTCACCAGTCCTCACGCTCAGACTTTCGACTCTGAAGACCTTTTGCAATTGCAAGACCTACGGAGCACCAAATATATCGATTGTGCTACAATACCCGGTGTTTGTCTGGGTGCTGAGCATCCGGTTTTGGATCATGCGACTTAGATCCTGCCGTTATTGCTGGTTAGCACCCTCAAGCTGTCGGTTCTGGAAATAACATTAGGACTGAAGACCTTCCAGGCAATGAAGCTATCGATCCCGCAATCCTGAGCGATCATGACTGCCATGATTCTGAGTATATCCAAGCAACGGAGAATATCATCGGTATCGCAACACATCTGGACGAATGTCCCTCGAATTGCTTTCGCTTCCCGAATCAAGACCTGTCTTTCCGGCGCAGACGACATAATCTAAAGAAGACGGTATATCATGATCGCCAGTCCAAAGTAAAGAAATGTTCACGTACAGGGAAGAGACATACAAACAATGGTTCCTGTTGGTCCACTAGAGGGCCTGGTCATGGAAAGAGTATTTCATCTCCTGCCGTGCCCAATTCTCGGCCGTTTTAATTGAAGACCGGCTACAGTTCGTATACACCAGTGTACGAAGCGAAGCTAATCATCGCCTTGATGGCCTCGGACCATCTCCCCTTCAGGACCGACATCCCCCTCTCTAATGAAAATCTCCCTCCGGGAAATCCCCCCCCCCCCCTTCTCTCTTTTTTTTGACAACTTGTGTAGAAAATCCTTTTCCTCTCCTCAAATCAGGATTATCAGTTGATTCCTAGACAAGCTGTAAAGCACGCTCTACCTGCAGTACTCAATTTGTTGAGGGTGTAGTCAGAGGAACAAGCCATGGGGCTTTATCCCGCGAATACGAGGATCACGAGCAATTTTGCCGCGCCAATGCCTTGGCACTTGGCAGTAAGCAAGCGATCTCTCCGCTGGGATTTAAGAAATGGAGAGTGTTCTTAACTTCTGATTCTCCACAAGTTACTACTTTCTTTAGTTCCTGTGATTTTGCAGTGCTCCATTTCGTTACGACATAATCGACATTCACTAGGGCTACCATGAGGAGAAAGGACGAGGTATAGAATAAGATACTTATCGCCATGCACTCTTGGATTCCATTTCTACCATATCTCCTTTTCCTGGTCTCCACATACGCATCAGGTGTCGAAGCAAGACGGGGTGGCGGAGGCGGAGATTCAGACGACTACTACACAGGCGACAATAGTGGTGGTGGCAGCAGCAGCGGCAGCACTGATAGCTGCCACACGCCAAGACATCCAACAGTCTGGAAATGGGATCTGATCTCCCGCAATGCAGATAACTACACCTCCGGCGGTGTCTCAGGCGAAGACACAAGCTACGATGGGTCATTCTTCAAGGGCGAAGCCTCCTTCCACTACACCATCACCGAGGATGAGATGTGTACTTACGGGAACATGCGGGGCACCGAGCATACCATGCAGATGCTCGGGTATGTCTGGGTTGGCCCGCAGGCACCGTACCCTGTTGGCCCAACCAACCCGATAATAATCGGATTCAAGGCATGGGAATCGAGCAAGCCATTGGACGAAATCGGGGACTCGTATGGCTATATCCAGTGGGATGAGGACGGGATTGCTTGTCCCAGTTATCCGGACCTGATCAGAATCACGACAACCTATGGATGGTTTGATTTTGATACGCGATCGTATGGGGCTATGGATGTGATGAATATGGCTATATCTGAGGCCCCGGGTCCCCATGACCAGGGCAGGGTACGATTCAACGCGACAATGCCGGATAAACTCGATCATGAAACCGACTTGCTTCTGAGAATTCCAGGATCGTATCAATGTACGAATGATTATGATTACATGTTCGATACTCCCCCCGAACGACTGGCTATGAATGGCTCCTTTACGAATACGACGTTCGACTTGACTCTATCGGGGAAGGGCAATGCATCGTCAGAAACGACAATTGAGAAGCGTCAATTGACCACTGAATTTCGCTTGACCTTCTCGGGAGTGTTTGACGGGGATAATTCCACGGAAAAGCTGAGTCTGCGACAGCCTGGTCAGCCGCTGGTCACGTGGGTAGCGAATTCTGGTCTGCGCCTTGTCTCGGTTGGTTGGATGACCGGTCTGATATGTCTCGGGGTTCTTATGGTGTTTATGTAGGTCAGAATTGTGATGATGAAGTTAGACAGATATTAATGATTAATCAATTCCTGTACATAAAAAAACAGGACTGGGAAGGAAGGACGCAGGAGAAAGAAAAAGATTATGAGGTAAAGACTAAGACTAAAGAGCGCTACGGCCGAACTCGAAGTCCTCCCATCGCGTGATAAGTCCTTGGCTCGCAGTCTGTGGAGAGGCTACGGGCGGGCAGTCACTCTGTGGCCTACACTGTGGAGAACCCCAAGCAGGGTCACGTGGCTTGGTCGAACCCTGGTCCCTGGCAGACCGGCACGTCCAAGTCCTCTGTGAGACACCCGCTCTTGGTAGAGTGTCGTAATAATTAGGATCCTGCAGGAGTCTGACATATCATGGAACTAAGCGCGGTACAATGTCTGCGATCCAAAAGACGAACGAATCGACATAGATTGTTCTCAACATTGAGGACAACAGACAAATCTTTATCTGCCCACTGGAACAGATTGGACTTAATTCCTCTCTCCCGGGCTTCCTGCAATCTCGGAGCATTGGGGAAAGTCCCTAGGTCTAGGTTGAGGGAAGGTTATCCACCTGATTCTCCTTGACATCCAATCGCTGATCTATTCTCGTCGCGTCAACCAAAGAGCAAATATAGAAGCTGCACGATTCTATAGATGTAATCACCCTAATTAGGATTAGTGCTATATGTCCAACTGGGTTTAGTGCATGATTTGTCCCGATCTTGCTCTTCCATTGCCTCAGTTACCTCAGCCGCCCCCGTTTACATAACTACTACTACTAGTAACTATCACCATGACATTCCGTTCTTTCTTCAGTTTCTTGAACTGGCCCGCGACCACTTGCCTTTTCTCGCCGTTCTGGTCTACTCCTTCCCAACTTCCGTATCCAAGTCTGCTGTTCCAAATTACTCCAGCTCCAAGATGTCTCCCCAACATTCACAAATCTCGGTCTCGAGCTCCTCAGACTCGGCGCACGACTCGTCGAGTCTATTTTCTCCCCGCGCATCTACGGCCTCTGTCTCGTCTCCAGACTCTTGTCTCGAGGGCTCCTTTTCAGCTAGGCAATTTGACCACCAGTCAGGGTTCACAGAATCTGTTTTGACTCTCCTCGAACAGTGGCATCAATCCACGTCTTCCGACACAGAATATACCTTCACCGAAGTACCTCTACACTGGGGCGGAGCAGTGTACGACGCGGTTGACGAGAAGTGGCGATTACGGTAAGTGACTCGTTAATGGCTCGTCAGTGGCTCTTGAAGGGCTGACCTGGGCAGCCTAACTTGGAATGCGGAAGCCCGAATTATCCGGGTGAAAATGCCCACTCTGGCACACGATTGTGTACACGTTTGGCTGCAGGAATGCCGGATGCTATGGTCTCACTCCCCTCTGAGCCTACCTGAGGTGTCCTTATTTCATTGTGGGAGTGGAACTACGATCGATCTACGCTATTCGCCATTACATCAGAGCAAAAAACAGCCTGATGCCTTTTTCCAATTGAATGGACCCAGCCTATATCCCTCCATCGCCTTCGAAGTGGGTTGGTCTGAGTCGGAGGAGGAACTAGCTGCGGACGCTGAACTCCTTTTACGAGGGAGTGGTGGCTTGACCCATATGGTCGTCACGGTGAAATGGACTGCCTCCTTAGACACTCGCACAGTGACAGGGACACTCCAAGTATGGAGGCTCAGTCAGCGGGAACAACCATTCATTTCCCATTCCCAGGTATGTTCAAGACCTCATGTCAGACTTAAAGTGATATAGTCTAACGAATACAGACCATATTCCCTGCTTCCAGCCCGCCGCAACCCCAGTACCTGGAATTCACCCTGGCCGATGTGTTCTTGTCGGCAGTACCGCAAGGTCGGAGTCCGACCGATGTCCTTCGCTGTGATATCAATTTGCTCCGGCGGTACGCTACTGAGGCTTTCCAGAAGATGAACTTCCGGCCGGCATAATGCCTAACCTTTGAGCAATCGCTTAGTTATCAGTTATAGCTTATACCAATATTATTATTCCTGATGCCAATATTATTATTCCTGATGCCTTTCTCTGATTGAATAGACCCAGCTTATATTTCACCATCGCCTTCGAAGTAGGTTTGTCTGAGTCGGAGAAGGAACTAGCTACGGACCGCGAAATAACAGCCGCCCTTTAGCATTAACGAGGGATTCTTTATCACGCATCATTAAGTGGCCGCTTGCGATATAGCCTTTCCCACGGCCCACCCTGCGGAAAATGACGGTCTCGACATCAGCCCGACCTGGAACCCTTGTATTGTCTTCCTGTTCCATACGAGGGGGGAAACGATGCGCTGAAATGGAAAGATATTGACCTATATATGGTCAAACACCCCGAATATCCTGATGCCCAAGTTCTTCTTATGAGGGCTAGGCACAGGTTCAACAAGGAAAGAGAAATCAAGGAGCCCCGTGAGTCCTAGTCTTAACCCACCAACTACGAGTCATTCTAACACAGAATTATTACACCGGCTCAGTATCATGTGCGGTTAGGTGCATTTTGGAAACGCAGACGTAGCTCGTTCTCGTAAGCCTCTTTATCTTTCAGCTTTTGCTCCATGACATTTTTAGTATCCACAGCCCAGTACTCGGATACTATTCTCGAGAAGTCTGATGGGTGATCGACTTGAGATGGCGCAAATTTTGGCTGAATATGGTCTTGGAAAAGGTTGAATAGGCCCTTGGTGCTGTCCAAAGCGTGGAAAAACCAAAAATTTCCAACTTTCCAGCCCTTTCTGAAATTTGTGCGGAACGCGCAGGTATTGAATAGAGGCGGAAATTGTTTCTCTTCCTGCTCAAAAACTTCCATGAATTTGTCATGTTCTTTGCTGAATGTGGCCAGGCATTCATCAAGAAGACAGTCTATAGTATGACCGGTCAACCAATACGGAGGGCGCAAGGTCTCAGCTGGAAGTGAGCATGTCCATTCAAGGTCGACTAGATATTGGATATGCCATTGATCGTCGACAAAGATATTGCTTGGGTGCAGTTCTGTGAAGCGGTAGAAGAACGGTCCTTGGCGGAATTCTCGGTTGGTGAAATGAGGCAGCAGCGCCCGCATGATGCTCAGATTCGCAACCTGGGCACGCCCGTCTTCCTCATCCTCGATAGAGTTCGGCTGGTGCCGTATACGGCTGTCGTGGCAGGACAAAATATCTAAGTAATATGAATCGGCTGATGGATATGTCAAATCCCTGCTGATGTTGGTCGGGACACCAGCATTTTCCAACTGATGAAGGCGAAGAGTGGGAGGCCGATTGGAAAGTTGTAATACTTCGTTTGAGTCTATCGTCCAAGCCCCTATCCGGGGCAATGGAATCTGGCTCAAGGAAAGCATAATGCGGGATAGGTTCCGATAGAGGTTAATTGTTCTTTCTGGATCATGTGGCACGTTCTGCCAAGTTTTTGACAACATCTGCACATCTGGCTCATCGATATAGTCCATGATGAGGTATCCGTGCTCCAGCACCTGTTGACGATTATGGATGACATAAGGGCAAGGTAGTGGAAATCCTAAGAGCCATGACACGCATCGCTAGAGGCACCAAATCGCCCTGATCATCACAGGCATGCTCTCGGGTGTGGTGAACTGTGAGCAATCACTGTTAGCCTCTAAGTTAAAGGTCCTGCTAGGTCTTTAGGACGTACAGTTTCACCTCCAGCAAATCCAAACCCCCAAAGGCGAGGAATCGGGATACCAAGGTGATGCTTTCGTATCCAAATGAAAGTGGCGGCCTCACAACGGAGTTTCTCATCGGCATCTCCAGGATAAGTTGACTCCCCCACCTTGTACGGCAGAGGAAACCGGATGAGGACACGCTTTAGTTGACCCCTTATTCCAATTGTCGACGTAAACGGGGATGCAAACGTTGAAGCTGCCATGCAACCACTCCCCCGGATATCCCAGACGACACTGATTGGATAGATATAGTCCCAAATGCTCTGGAACGAGTGCTGCAATGTCGTCGCGATGATTGAGGAGAAAGAGAAAGAAGTTGAACCGGGAATCTGGATAAGACACTTCGAGAAGCATATTCTCTTACTGCTCAAGTCCTTCTTCTAATGTTATAGAGCCCCGAAGTAGCGGAAGGGTTAATGCTTGACTTGTGATCACGGCGCAGAGAATGCTTTTGTAGAATGTAGATAGAACCTGATCTTTCCACATGTGTGATGTATACGCACAATACACAGAGTCAATGCCTGAAAACAACAGAGCACATGTCCAGTTACTAAATCCAGCTAGCCTTCCAGCTGAAACCCAACTACCTATTCACGTCACAATGACTGATCCAGGACCACGGTCCACGATATGGCTGTCGCCCCCACCGCGGCGAGTCCGAAGCTCGACCCAAGATATGGAGCCATGATGCAAGGCTGAATACATTGAGAACCAAAAGAGAACAATGGGGCTATATTCGACCGGTCTAGAATCTTTGATCTGTCCACGGCTTTCTTCCGGGCGTGTATCTAGGTTACATGGATCTGGATGATCTGGTGCTGAGAGAAGCTTAGCATCTTTGGCTTTGGAGAATCCATGGGAGAGATGAAGGATGTGTAGGTTGGGGATACATGAAACTACATTTGTAACCGTGAGTGAGGTGAAATCTCAACGTTATACTTTAGCATCAATTTGGACTGTATGTCTTGTGTTACTGGGGAAGAAGTTCGGAAAAACATGAGTCGCTTTTCTGTATAGCATCTATGGCGTCTATAGCATCTAAGTATATGAAGACAGGCGCGAAATGATCTCTTTTGATGGGTTGCAATTGAAGGAACAGAATAAAAGAACCCGAATCCAAGTCACTGCAGATGTTTTTTTCCAATCTGGTTCTGCTCCGTTTTGCTTTGTATGTTTTCTTGTTTTCTTTTCTTTGCTTTTTCGCCGCCATGGATCATCCTGGTCGTTCAACACACCGGATCACCCCAGAAATAACCCATATCAAGTTCCATATTCGGACCAGATGGGAAGAAAGAACCAGTAATCTGACCGGTGGCAGGGTCGTATGGGAAGCACTCGTCATACGAGTTGCAGCCCGAGAGATCCTTCTCCTGCTTAATGAACTGCCCGAGTAGATCCGGCGCCTCAAGACCATAGGGTTCTTGCATGTCGAGAGACGAAGGGTCGGGGTTGCCCATTGGCGAACAGGCGATGGGGTCCAGCTCTGCGGAAATAGCGTCGACTGCGACGTCTGCAGGAATACTCGCAGATGGATCGAATGCCACATCATCCGCCGGCGCTTCTTCTGTCGAGTCTGCGGTGCCAGGAACATCAAATAGAGAGTCTGACTCTTCGGCTCTGGGGAAATCGTTCACGTTGATTCCGATGCGTGGTGCCATACGACGGAGGAACCCGTCGCATAACTTCCAAGCTCTCTCAGATGCCATGTTGGTTTTCGACAGCGCCGACAGCCAGTCCAGGGCTTTCTTGGCAGCTTTAGACACCATTGTGGCTTTTTCGGGGACGTGTTGGGCCCGGAATGCCAGCTCAAGTAGGAGGACAGTAACTGCCTGCATCAGGTAGTGTAATGTACACCACCATGGCGACATGCGGTAGAGCAGTACTGCGTCTGGGGTGTCCGGGAATAGTGTAAGCATATGGCAAGCAGCCTCGACACATTCTGCTGCAGTCTTGGTGCAGAACTCATAAGTCTTGTCATCCTCGGTAGGTGATTGATCTAAGCGGCAAAGACATGACCGGGTGATTCCGATCTTGATGCTGTAGAACAAGAACGCGAGACCCATTCGCTGGCTTATGGGGCATTGGGAAGTCTGTGTCGAGGTAAAATCGTATGCCGCGGGAAGGTTCATGAACCATGAATCGATTTCCAGCATCAGGCTCTTGATGGTGAATTCGGTGCTTGCCCATGGGGACTGCAGTGCTTCTGGGCTGTAGAGTTTCACTGTCATCCGCTTGGAAATGCTAGTCAAAGAGGCCAGCTGTAGGAAGTAAAGTGAAGTGCAAGGCGGAAGGCTTTTGAGATACTCGGCTCGACTCATCTTTGGCTCGCTCTCAGTAGGCACATCGTTTGACTCAGAACCAGCTGTAGACTCTAGGTCTTCTGGGTTGCTGTTGGTGGGCACTCGTTCCAAAAGGCTGGACGTACGGAGTACAGCTGTGCCCATCAGCCGAGCAACCTCTTCTTTCTGGAAGTCGCATTCATCAAATGGAATGGGCATTGGCGTAGTGCAAGAGCTGTCAGTGACACATGATGGTCGCCCAGTCATGATGGTAAGTAGATGCTCCAGTGTATATAGCGACCACCACACCCGATAGCGGATCTCCTTGGAGGTGTCTGAGATGCTCGCGCCCACATTGCGCAGATGCAATCCAAGAGCAAGGGCCCCTCGAATAGCACTTCCGCATAGCTTCCAGGCTCTGCATAACAAACGCTGTGAGCATGTATATCGGCGGTTGAGAGTGTATTAGCTTACCGATTGATGTGTCCCGATGCAGTCAGATAGAACGAAGTAAGCCCTTCAACTTGCAATTGCTGTAGATCGGGATGGTGAAGAATCTGATCTTCTGAGCTCAGCGCCCGTGCCCTCGAGAAGTACATCTGATGATCATCATCCTCTTTCTTCCAGTCCGAGTTCGTCAGAAGTCCGTATTTTGCAGCAATGGCAAAGATGAGGTTCAGAATAGCAAGCCACTTATTGCCCGGCTTGAGGGAAGGCTGGCTGAAGAAGACCTGGAATTGGGGCACAAATGTCGAGACCCCAATGATTGGGAAGGAAGGATGCACCGACGTCAGATAGGCGTTGAGCATTTTGCTTGCTGTCTCCCGCGACGGGACGCCATACATATCACTCTGATCTGCAGTTGGAATATCCAGGTCGTCAAGATAGTAATTTGAAGCTACCACCCATGGCTCGCTTGAATTCTCCGGTCGAGGGGTCAGGGTCGGGGAGGGCAGACTGTTGTCGTCATCTGTTCTGGGAATCGTTCCAGGCCAAGCTTCGCATTCGCTATTGACCTCTTTGCTGAGTCTTTGGAGCCAAGTGATCTCTGAGCTCTTTCCAATGAATCCTGTTGCTCGGGCGGTTTCATCTCTGTTGAAGTCCTCCTCTGTCTGGTCGCCCAATTCCATAGGAGTGATAGACGATGCTCGGGAGGGCGGTGGCTCAGAACCAGTATGCCATGAGATTCTTCGCTCACCAGCTGCTCCGAGGCATGTTTCTGGATCCAATGCCACGTCAGGTGCAGACTCCTGTACAACATCAGGGAAAGTATTCATTGGGTGTGTATGGGATTCCATACCGCTGCCAAGGCAATGTTAACGAGCTGCTCATCAGAGACGCCGAAGCGATTGCTCAGCTTGCTGATGACATCTTCGTATGCCTGCACTTTTGCAGACAAGCTTGCTAATTGCCTTGGTTAGTGAACCCGAGTGTTAGTTAATCTTTGCAATGGCACCAGGTCTCGTGGGCCAGGACACATACCGCTTGGACTTCTCCCGTTTGCCATCGGTATAACAGCAGATGATTCCAGCCTCTCGACAGTTGCGGCATCCAGACTTATCCCCGGTGCATTTGGTCTTTCGTTGTCTGCAAGACTCGCATGCTCGGCGAACATGGCGGCGGTGAAACCGGCCAGGAGACGTGAAAGCAGACTCAGCTCCCTCCGCGAGTCGCGGGATGGCCATTTTCTTAGTTCCACCTTCAGGGTCACCTCGTTGGAGTTGAGATGCTGGGGTATCCTGTAGATAATTTTAATCAGATAACTCTTCTTGGAATTGGAATTGAGCATGATTTCACACTGACCACACTGGACAACTGATTACACGTATCTGCATCAGCGCACGATAATTTGAAGAGGCTCTGTTGATCACTCCACGGGGGAAGTGGATGTTGCTCATGGTGAACCACAAAAGCTATGATGAATGAAGCTGCTCATCGAACGTCAGTAAAATGTCCACCAAGAGGATCTGAAGCTGTTGTCTACTTACTTGTAGGAGTGAACAGAATTTAAACAATCCATAGGTCTGGGAAAGCTTCCGGTGTATATTGAGGTGACAATACCAGCAATTTGTTCTACCGCCGTATCTGTCAAGTCAAATACAATGCCACGAGGCCAGACGGAAGTCAATGGGAGGATTTATAGAAGAGCCCCAAGATTAGACCCATGAGAAGCATAGATCGGGGAACAGGAATGAGGGGAAGGGTCTCGAGCACCGTTGGTAATCGTGAGCTGGTCAAGTCGATACTTTGTGATGACGTCCTGCTCATTTAGGGCACTGAGTAAACGCGCAATATGGCCACCGTTCACCAGAATAGGAAAGGTTGCATGTGAGTTTGCCTCAGTCTCCTCGTAGGGCATGGGGCAAATTGTCCAACGTTTTCATGAGCAAAATAACTCCTTTCTGGTTATTGATCACGCTATTTGCCATCAAACAGATAGCTCATAAGGACTCGCATCTGTTTACCCCAAGGGATTGGCCGCATTGGCCCAACCAACGTATCCCCGCCCCCGGTGATCCATCTCTTGACAGCTCCAGCTATCGGTTGTTGGTACCGACTGGCTCTGGACTCCGATGCAGCAACCAAGGGTTGTGCTATAGAGATCGAACAGAGCGGCAACTCCCATTCAAGGAGACGCACACCTGAGATCGCCATTGAAGCTCCAAGTCGATTACCTCAAGGATATCACGAACAACACTCAACTCACGCGGCGTTAAATAAGCGATCTTCATCGAGATGAAGTAAATCCATCCTAATCAGCTGTCTCCACATAGTAAGTAGAGGCCCAGACCCGGGATTCGAAGTAAAACTGACGTTAGACGGTGGCGGCGCCAAGTTTAAGGTGGTTTGTCCCTGGTTGGCACTCAGGGCAGGACCTCATTCGGAAATTGGATAATGATTTCTCTGAGGGGACAGAAAGCTTGACGGCAATTCTCATTTGTTTTCCGCATTGGTGTGCCGTGTCTGTCTAGTATGATTGAGATGCGCTGCCAATAATTCTGACGTGGCCCAACTTACGTTCCAATGATCATAGCCTTCCATGCCCAGCCTTATGGCCTTGTTCGTTAGGCTTCCACCCCCGTTGTTTAGAACAGCACGTCAATTTGACAACGGATATTGGGCTCGACAGATATTTGAGAATTATATTACGATGGTGAGTGAAGAGGTTGATAAGAGAAAGAAATCAGGCATTGGCTTCACACGATCTTGGAAGAAATCAAAAAGGTAACACCACAATCCGAACATCATTAGGAACTCTATACAGTAGTAGTGCAAGCCCATTTTTACTCAATGAGGAAGTTTTCCGCAACACTTCGGACATCCTTTGAGAAAGCAACATTTTCGTCCATCTCCAGCAGGGAAACACTAGTGACGTCGACATCCACGAAAGGTTTAGTCTTCGAGAAACGAACACTCATGGGGAAGAAGTCGTTCTCGTCAGCATCGGTAGACTCAAACTCAAAGCTACCAGAGGCATTCGACTCATCAACAGCGCCCAAATTCCAGTCCAGACTGTCACCGGAGACCTCATAGACCGCATCAAAGCTAGATACGGCAGGCTCTGCCGTGCCGTATGGAATGGTAACAACCACATCGCGCAGACTGTCTTCACCGGTGAGCTCATACTCTACGGTCACAGTGGTGGAGTCGGAGCCCTTGTTGAGCCAAACAGTGAATGTGATGGGGAGGATATCGGCGTTGTCGGCCGAGCTGGCCACACGCCATCGGAGCACGCCGATAGAGTTGTTGGCAGGGAAGCGCTTGGTGGTGTCCTTCAGTTGAATCGCAGAAGAATTGGTGAAAAGAGCTTTGTCGACATTGGGGTGGGTGCGGAACTGTGCGCCATGTGTGGGGACAGCCTGGCAGTCGAGTCGGAGTTTGGTGAGTGAGGGATCAGTGATACGGAGCTGGAGGTCACCCTTAACCTCGAACGACTTCAAAGCTCCCTCCCGAGAAAGTGTAGCTGAGATCGTCTCAGCAATTGTGAGTTGAATGGGCTCCCGGTCGAAATTGAGAGACTCGCGTGCTGACGGAATATCTTGCACGGGAGCTGAAACTTGTGGAGCTACCAACGGGCTCTCCTCTTCAATTTCGGGGCCCATATCACCCCGGACCTTCTCGTAGATATCAGTTGCCTTAGACTTTTTGCCCAGTTGCATGCCCTTGCCGCGAGTGGGAAGTGGTCTAATGATCACACAGTTAGCAGTAGTCCCACATTGAGCAGATCCTGGATCAGCCAAACATACTTGGCAAAAGATTTCTTCTTCTCGGCCTCATATGAATCATAAGTGTCGGGCACTGAGGGGCGCGCGGGAGGTGTGTAGACAGGGTAGGACGGGGCTCTTGGGGCTGCGGAGCGACCTGAGCGAGCAGCTTCTTTACGCTGCATTTCAAGCTGCTTGGCTTTCCGCTTGCGCTCCTCACTAGCTTCCAGCTCCTTGTTCTATTCATGTGTCAGCCGCGCTCAACCTTTGGTGGTGAATCCATGACCTACCCGCTCAATAATCTCCTGAATTCTCTCCTCATGACTCTCCATTTCCAAGAAGGTCTTGATCTGAGACAAAGAAAGATTCTCCCGGTACCCTAGGGTCACCAATTCATCAAACGCGCTGAGGAGCTCAAAGGCATTGCGAAGAATCTCCCGCTCGTCCAGGCTTTTGCAAATGCTGGTAGTCACTTGCGCAAACAGATGGAGACTGTCAATATCTTGGAGAATGTTCGATTGGCGGTTGGTGATCAACACAATGTACAGCTCGTCCAATGGCTGGTACACGAAGCGCACGTTGTCTTGCTCGACGGTGGTATGCTGGGTTCCAGAGTCCGCAAGCTTGGGGAAGGAGGCGAGAAGGGCTTCAATTCGCGAACGAGATATCTCCCTGAATTGGCGAGAAAGGACCGCTTTGCCTCCGCGGGTGCAAATCGACGCTGCCAGAACGACCTATTGTGTTGATTAGTCCGACAGCCCCACGAATTGAGTGAAACAAACGCATACCATGATGAGGAGACGGCAGCACGAGAAGGGCAGATGAAGGACAGAGAAAGAGTGAATGTAGATACGAATTTGGAACTGAGATAGAGAAGCGTAGGGTGGACTAAAAGCGGACGTCCTGTTGTTGATGGTTGGCAGCGGTAGGGAGCTACTCTGTTCACTTCGGCGGCGGTTGGCCCGTGCACTCCTTTCGCTTAGTTGTTGGACCGGCACTTTCTCTTTCACTTCATCTTTTGCTCACGCGTCAAGTACACCCACAAAGTCTCAGCCCATTCTTGGTCTTACCTTGCTCTTACTTGGGGTATTTCCAAGCATAACTTTCTTTCGATTTGAACTCTCATTTTAACCGCTTTGATGGAATGTCCGTTCTGAACGTTTTGGCACTTACCACGACCCCTAAAGCACCTTTACGCACTTTCTTGCTATGACAACAGTACACTTGATTGCCGACACCCTGATGGAAGTCCCTGCTATGGATGATTCCATGGAAATGGCCTCGCCCTATCAAGGGCAGGCTGACGATTTCGACATCGATATCGACCTCATGGAAGACCAGCTTTCGAACATGGACAGTGATATGATGGGTGCGGAGGAATTTACGAACACCTCCCAACATGATACTCGCAACAATGACGCGATCTACGATGCCGACATGGCCGATGAACCCTCGGAAGGATCCATGATCGACGCTGACAACTACGCCGACGAAGACAACGACATCGACGTCCAATACGACGAGCCATATGAAGAGGAAATGATTGAAAGTGAGCCCGTCGCCCAGGCCGATATTGCTGTTTCCTCCATTCAACTTGATTTAATGGCTAGCAATGAGAATGCTGCTGGTCCTGTTCAGGAGGATGCCACTATCCCTATTGCGGAACCACTTGAGGCAGCACCCCAAGATTCAAATGACGCTGTAGAAATTGCCCCAGCTCAACACGGAGCTCCTGTCTCCGGAGCTGACGACCCTGGCACACAGGCCGAGTTGAGCACGACTATTGATGGTCTTCCCACGGAACCGTCCGCAATCGTCAAGAATACCGATATCAGTGGTAACCACGAAAATCCAGAACTTGTTGGAAAAGCCAACGAAGTCTCGCAACCTTCTGTGTCGGAGACCGAGGTAAGAACTGCGTCCAACGAGGGCTTGGAGACCAGCCAAATCAAGAGTTCCCCTCAGAGAGGTCGGATTGATATCAAGGCCGATGCCACTGTGCATCCAGAAGTCCAGCCTGAGTCCGAAGAGAATCACAAGGCTGCGCCCACGGAGGACTCTCTCCACAACGTTACATACACGGATGAAACTCTACACCCAGTGAAAATCCTGTACCAAAACTCCGAGATCGCTCTTTTCCCTCCCCTTGAGGGAGATTCGGCAGAGACATTCTTCCTTCCGGATGAAGATGTAGCCTATGACAACATTGGTGAATTGTTCAAGCAACTGCGAGAGGTCCTTGAGGACTCCGTTGGAACTGACGTCCTGGTCATTGACGTCGACCCCCTCGGCATCCAAATGACAGAGGTAAGCTCCCAATCAACCTACCCCCATTGAATAAATCGCTAACCGGCTGCCCTTCTAGGACTCGTCCCATACATCTCAAGTTACGCTGTATCAGATCCTCGACCTTTACCTTCGACTTTGTCGCAACGATGGCATTGACGAGCCTGATGCCCTTTACCTTACACTGAGCAGCAAGCGTGCTTTCTCGGATGAGATATTAGAACTCAATACCGCCGCAATCGCTGGAAAGACACTTTCTGAGCTTCAATCCGAACTTCACTCTTGGGATGAGTACGACGAAGCCGGGCCAGGCTCCGAGGAGGATCCTGAAGCCCGTGGTGCGGAAGAACATGAAGATGAACTGTACTACACCGGCGAGGTTCAAAAAGAGGATACGAGTCGCGACACCCAACCAGTTGCAGGGCCTGAAGGAGAGGAGGCTAGCGCTCAGGCTCCGGTTGCATCCCAGACAGAGACCGGCCGTGCACAGGATGAGAATGGAACCGCTTCTGGCGAACAGGAGGCGGAGTCTGCAGCTGAGTCTGCAATCCATGCCATCCAGCCCCAAAGCGAGGAACTGGAACAACACGAGGAATACAGGGATAACCAAGCTGCTGAATACCATGATGGTCCTGACGGTCCCACAGAAGAGCATTATGATTCCGACGGTCCGCATAGCGATTCGAGTGCCACGGTAGCTGGCTTCACTGGAGAGAGTGAGATCAAAGGTAGCATCCACGATGCTTCTTTGGAACATGGACATGTTGGTACGGGCCAAAATGACAACGGGAATCACTACGAAGAGGACCATGGAAATGGCGAACTCGAGGGTGAGGAGTATCAGGAACATGAACACATGAGCCCGTATGAGGATCCAGGAGTTTCTCAGGCAGATATTACCGTTGGCGAAACTGGTGATGCTGAGATTCAAAAACCTGATGACCAGGTGCCTGTCCTCGATGAAGAGGACGCAGACGAATTAGATGCCCCGCCGACGAATGAGATCGTTCCGACTGGTGACGCTGACATTCAACAACCTGAAGACCAGGTGTCTGTCCCCGACGAAGAGGACGCAGATGAATTAGATGCCCCACCTACGAACGAGATCGTTCCGACTGGTGCTGCTGAAATCCAAAAACCTGATGACCAGGTGCCTGTCCTCGATGAAGAGGTCGCAGATGAGTTAGATGCCCCACCGACGAACGAGATCGTTCCGGCTGTTTCCTTACAGGGTGGAAACGACGATGTTTCCCAGGACCAGACCGCTCGATCGCTTCGCGGCGAATTGCAGGATGCCTCTGGCACCAAGGAGCAAACGCCGGAGCCCACAAATGATTTACCTGGAAGCGCCGAAGAGCTACTACAGACTCCCCTTGGAGTTAAGGAGAGTGATACCCTCGATGACTTCGAAGGCATAGATTATGATGAGCTCGAAGATGGATCCGTTGCCTCTGCTACAGCTGGAGATGAAGACGCCGACGAACAGGAGTTCGATCAAAACGAAAACCATTTCGGCGACTACGAGACTTATGTCGAAGAAACGGAGGCCGTAGAGGTGTCCGGAGACCCCTCCTTGACAGACTCCCCCAACAATAACATGTCTTCCAAACGGTCCCGCGAAGATGAAGATGACTGGGACTTGGAGGAACCCACTCTCGAGACCAAACGTCGCCGCCCTTCGTAAAGCTTGCTCTTGTCTTCTCATTCCCGGAATTTTCTTTTCACGACTTCTGATCCGCCATGTCTCGTGGGCAGCCAGTCTGGAGATCAATGGCTCGCTTCATCCGTCTAATTCCTCTTCAACGTACTAATATTCATACTTGCCAGCAACGACCTCGACCGGTGGACGGAGTGTCCCGTTTGGCAGCTAACAAGAAACAGGTATGTTCGACCCCTTCCCCAGCAAGCGCACGCCCTTCGAGTTTTCGGAGTGTGCAGCCTCTTTCCCATCTCGCGCCCGGATCCAATTCCAGGTGCCTGCGGCGCATGACCCAATTCACAATTGCCCACCATTTTGCTCTTTGAGATTCCTTCTTCTCTTGTCTTCATATGCTTCCCCTGCGATCCAATTACGATACCTCCCCGGTCTTTCGGGCAAAACTTCTGTTTGGTGTTTTGGGCGCCCGTTTGGGCTGTGTGTTTTTTAATTGCAACCCCTTTAGGATCTGGCGATTCGGTGCATTGGCGCGAGGGATTAGTTTACCTATTGGTAGCATTCTTCAATGAATCTTTTGCCCTACACGAAACTCCGGTGTGTGTTAGCTATCACGTATAACCTGGAAGGTGTATATGCCATAAACTTGCCCCATATTAGTTCCCTTCGTCTTATAGATCGCCATTGTACTAGTATATCCATTTTCGTCTAGCTATGAGGATAATATCCAGGTGGCTCCCAGGGCCTATGTATAGAAACACATGCCGCATTCGGCCCGAGCTGAAACGCCGATCTTGGCTTCATTTCAGGGTCCAATTGAATTGGTTGAATCCAATACTCCGTACCTTGGCAGAATACAAAATACAAGGAGAGTCAGAGACTGTACAACAATCCAAGTGACACGTACACAGTAGTCGATGAATGGGAGATAGGACAGATACAAGGTAACATTGTTGACGGTTATTAGCCTCTCCCGGTTCAAGGTCCACCGGGCTCTTATGGGGCATTTCTATTTCTGCGCTCGGATCAACAACAGTTACGACCTAGACTCATCTTATTCACATTTAAGAAAGAAATAAAAATTCATAAAATTCAAAGTTATCATACATGTACAATTGTAAGCCCCTTCGGAACCTCCAGAGCCCTCTCAACCGTTGTTACGCGTCCCGATCGGCCTTGAAACGGAACCCCACCGCACGCAGGCACAAACACCTTTGTCTTCATCATCTGCCGCATTTTCATCCTCCTTACTCATCCTACATTGCAGAATCTCGGGCTGGCTCGTCTTTCTGGCTCACTGACATTCGTCATTCCCTTCACTTTTTTTGTTCTTTCCCCCCCTTTGACCTTCGTCCCTAGGGCCAAGCCCATTACCGATTCCTCCCTTCGCTCACCCGAGTCTCTCGCTCATTCCCCAATTCACTGCCACACTGGAGGTCTTTCGACAGTAGGAGCACTCGGCTCCTAAGATATCAGCTACGTCAAGATGGTTCCAGACAAGTATGGCTCCCGCAATTCCCTTTGAATTGGCCCCGACAACAAACTGGCCACGGGCTAACTTGGTCGCGCACTGCGCCTCTATAGATATGTTGGGCTCATTTTAGCCATTGTATCGACTATGGCGATCGGTACGAGCTTCGTTATCACCAAAAAGGTCGGTCTGCCACGAATCCCCCGGAAAATGGACACGCTGGTTGGAGACTGCGGAGCTTCGGTCAAAAGTGATGGAAATCGGATCAGACTGGCTAACGGGTTCAAATACAGGGATTGATGCAGGCCTCCGAACGCCATGGATTCGAAGGAGAAGGATTTGCATATCTGAGAAGTCCGGTGTGGTGGGGTGGCATAGTGACACGTACGGAACACAATGGCCAGATCTCCCGTTAGGACCAACAGGATGCTAATCGGCTTATAGTCGCCCTCGGTGAAGTCGCCAACTTTGCCGCATACGCCTTTGCGCCTGCGATTCTGGTCACGCCCCTGGGCGCTCTGAGTGTTCTTATCGGGTAAGGGATTTCAGTCAGCGAGGCACATAATCACATAGCTGACATCGCGCAGTGCGGTCTTGAGTTCTTACTTCCTCAACGAAAAACTCGGCGTATTAGGGAAATTGGGCTGCGCGCTTTGCTTGCTGGGGTCGGTCGTCATCGTTCTTCATGCGCCTCCGGACAAGCAGGTTGAAACAGTCAATGAGATCCTTGGATATGCCGTCCAGCCAGGTACGAAAATACGGTCAATACCCGGCGCCGAGAACTTCTGCTGACTTTTGCGATCAGGGTTCCTTTTCTACTGTTTGACAGTTGCAGTCTTCTCAACCGTGATGATCTATCGAGTTGCGCCGCTCTACGGCAAGAAGAACCCCCTCATCTACATCTCGATTTGCTCAACCGTTGGATCGGTTTCCGTCATGTCCGTCAAGGCCTTCGGCATTGCAGTGAAATTGACCCTAGGAGGCAATAACCAATTTGTCCACGCATCCACCTACGTCTTCGCCATTGTGACCGGATTCTGCATTCTGACTCAGATGAACTACTTCAATAAGGCTTTGAACTCTTTCTCCACCTCAATGTGAGTGTGAGGACCTAATCAGGCGAAAGATCCGAAGCTAACACAATGTCTTCAACAGTGTGAACCCGCTTTACTATGTCACCTTCACGACCGCGACCCTCTGTGCCTCGTTCATTCTTTTCAAGGGATTCAACACCACGGACGCCGTCAACACGATATCCCTGCTTTGTGGCTTCCTCATCATTTTCACCGGCGTTTACCTCCTCAACCTCTCGCGACATGACCCCGATGGACACAGCTTGGTGAACTCTAAACTGGACGAAGATGGGGTACCAACGGATGCTTTGACGAGCTTCCAGACTAGGCGCTCTATGCAATCCCGCCGAAGCTCATCAAGCGCATATCATGGAAACAGCGATCGCGAAGGGCTCATCCACGCTTATGACATGGAGAATGGAATTGGCATGAGCACCTTGACAGAAACAGTTGATGGGGGGGCAGGTCCAACCTTCCAGCGGACTGATACGCAGACTGCAATGCATACCAAGCGGAACAGTCAGCTGTGATTTCGGTGATGCCGAGGTTCGGTTCCGTCGTCTGATCACAAGGCCATCTGAGATGTTTCTTCCTTACACAGTCGACTGCTCGAAAGCTTTCCTTCCACGGGCTTGATCTCCACTTGTATTTTTACTGTTCTCCGACGAAAGTGCCAAAGCTGCATTATGACTCGGGCGAACCCATCAGGCACTGGACCTGTCTGTATGAACGACTGGATATGACTCTGGGTTTCTCTGGATGGTTGCGATTTCTGGACTTTTTTTTGGTTTCTCTCCTGTTCCTTTATTTTCTCCGTGATATGACAGGAGACTTGTATATATTTGTTTATGTTGGATCTCAGAATAGATTGGCAATGTATTCAGAGTGGGGCTGGGCCGATGATGTATTTGCAGGTCAGCTGTCGAACATGCCATTCCAAGATTCTTGCCCTCAACTTCAGTTCTCTTTCTCCAATCACCTCAGTATTTAAATGCTTCCATGTCCTTGGATATACCTATAGCTTCTTGAGGGCTAGTTAGACGCCAAGGGCAGTCGTGTGATTTGTTCCGGATCTTGAATCGCGGGGAACCAGCGCGATGCCCACTTTATTGCGCAAGTTGGCCGTCGTCGCCGCGGTTGATGGCCTCATACTGCATGCGCAAGCCAACGGTGCGCGGCATAATACCGGAAGTGACAATGAGACCTCAGCTATCCGAATTGATTATAAGACGAACAAAATCACAGCGCTGCCTACTTCTGCCTCGGAATCACTCGACGGAAAGGACGCCTTGGAGGCCTATGGTTTAGTGGGTATGTGGATGATGTGGGTGAACTGAGCGAAGAAGACGGTAGACTAACCAGATGATTCTGGCTACAGGTCTTTTGTCTGTCGCTTCATACTCATTCATCATTTCCATCACGCAGCGCCAGCAGGTGGCACAGATTCAAGGCCACCCGATCTATACCGTAACCAACGTCGCGATTATTCCGACCACGTCCCAAGCAGATGCCTCCCGCGCAATCGCCCAAGCTAAGAAAGAATCATCGCAGGAGGAGGCTGCCTTTGACTCGTCTTCAGACGAAGATGACCTTCCCGACAACGAAACTGACACAGCCGAGGCGGAGGCGGAGATCGGCAGCTTGCCATCGTCGCCCACCCGCAGCACACCTCACGCCCGCGGGAACAGTGTCAGTAGTATCGCCGAAGATGTGCTTGTGAAGAAGGTCCGCTTTGGCAGGTTTGCCGCCAATTGGCTGTCCCGCAGGAACCTGGGCTTGCCTAGACCAGGCGCTCTGGAGCCGGACGTACCAGACTCTCCCTTTGATGGAGCTTCCCGCTCTTCTGGCGACGCCAGTGAGGCAGCGCATGATGCTATGGAAGAAGTTCTCGCTGAAGGGGTTGAGGCTCAAAGCAAGGCTGAAAACCCCAAGTACGGGCAAGCTGCGGAATTGTTACCGAAGCTGCTACGGTATACGAAGCTTTTGTTTGCATCGCATAACTTTTCCTTTGCATACGATTATGATCTTACACGCTCTTTGCATATGCAGGAAGCTCGGAGAGATCGACTTCCTCTCCACAAATTGGTGGATCCATTGGTATGCGTGATCCATGGCCTTGCAGGATATCTGCCGCGAGGCTTTGCTTGCTGACCGAGTCATAGTACTTTTGGAACAGACATTTGATGAACGCATTTATCGATCATGGAGCTCATGGCTTTGTTCTGCCGCTCATTCAAGGTTTTGTCGGTCAACGAGAATTTACAGTCGCTGGCGCTGGAAAGAAGCAATCGAAAGACTCCTCAGAGGAACTATCTGAAGGTCGAATTCTCGGTGAAAAGCATGAGGCTGAAGCTGCCGAAGTTGATGACAGCAAGCGTGACTACCTTTTGACCCTCATCTCTCGACGGTCCGTCAACCGACCGGGTCTTCGCTACCTGCGCCGTGGTGTTGACGACGAGGGCAACACTGCCAACACAGTGGAGACTGAGCAGATCCTCTCAGTGCCGGATTGGGCTCCTTCTCACTCCGCCTACTCTTATCTGCAGATCCGCGGTTCGATCCCTCTCTACTTCTCTCAGTCACCATACGCATTGAAGCCAATTCCCGTGCTCCATCACTCTGCAGACACCAATCTGCTTGCCTTCGGCCGACACTTCCGAGAACTCAGCCGACGATACGGGAAAGTTCAAGCAGTTTCTCTTATTGACAAGCTCGCAGGTGAACTGAAGCTAGGAGAGCAATATGAAAGATATACCGAATCATTCAACGCTGCAGGTGGCATTGACGGGACCCCGGTGCAACTGGAATGGTTTGACTTCCATCGCGAATGCCGGGGTATGAAGTTCGAAAATGTATCGCGGCTGGTCGATCGTCTGCAGGATACTTTGAACGAATTCTGCTACACCATTGTCACTGACAATAGTATACTGCAAACCCAAAAGGGCATCATCAGGACCAATTGCATGGATTGTCTCGATCGCACTGGTGTTGCTCAGTGTGCATTTGGCCAATGGGTCCTTGAACATCAGCTTGAGAACGAAGGAATTGACATTGATCTCGGCGGTGACTCTGCTACTCGATGGTTCAATACGCTTTGGGCAGACAACGGGGATGCCATCTCCAAGCAGTATTCATCGACCGCGGCTCTGAAAGGAGATTACACTCGCACACGCAAGCGAGACTATCGGGGTGCCCTCAATGATTTTGGGTTGACCCTCTCCCGCTATTATAACAACATAGTCAACGACTTCTTCTCCCAAGCTTGCATCGACTATCTCCTAGGCAATGTCTCAACGCAGGTCTTCGACGAGTTCGCCATTGAACTTCAGACCACGGATCCAGGGGTCTCAGTCCAAAAGCTTCGCCAGAATGCCATTGACACCAGCTGCAAGATCGTCATCAGCAGCCCGTCCGAAGAATTCCTAGGCGGCTGGACCATGTTGACACCCCGTCAACCAAATACTCTTCGTACCCTGCCTTTTGAGGAATCAGTTCTGCTGTTAACCGACGCCGCGGTCTACAGCTGCCGCTTTGACTGGGAGACCGACAAAGTTCGCTCATTTGAACGGATTGATCTGCGCTCTATCTCCCGCATCCACTATGGTACATATATCACGTCCATTTTGACAGATAGTCAAGCCAACGAGGAAAGCAACGTCGGTCTCGTCATTGTCTACCGCGATGGGGACATCAACACTCTCCGTGTCAACACTCGGTCCCTACAAAGCGATGTCGATCTAAGCACCTTGGAGACCACCACAAGTGCCAACAGTGAATGGGACCTTGTCTCCTGGCTGCGTGGGAGCAAGCGTTCCGCGACTCGCTTCGTCGCATTCAAGGGTCTACCACTGTTGAACTCAGTATCCAGTTCGAGGCTTGGTGCTAGCGCAGCAACAGTTCGTGAGAGGGATCGGATCCGTTCGATCTGCTTGGATATTGAGCGGGCTATGTTTGCAGGCCAGGGTCGTGATATTGATGCAGCTTCTGCTGTGGAGGAGTCTGATATCATATCCTCGGCTGATGCCAAAAAGAGGACTGGATGGTTGGAATATCTTGTCTATGATCTGAAGAAGATGGTTTGGGCATGATATTCGAAGCTGAGTTTGCAGTCTTTGCACATATGCGTGGCATTGTCCTGATACATGCCAAGGTGTTACACGGGTCTCTTTAGGCACCGTTTTGCAGACTATGGCACAGGCTTCTCTGTCAAGCGCACATACATCGATTAAAGGATCTACGAATGGCTTCGTCGCTAAGATCTATTATAATGATACAGTTGGGATTGGCATTAGTGTAATTTGTAAAGCAGCAGCCAGAGTGTGTGTATGTTAACAATGACGAGCAAGTATCTTATTGTACTGGAAGTCCGGGATAAGACCATAAGACTGAACACAGATAAGGCTATCTCCATGAAATTCAATATCCGCAGGTAGTGAAGAGGGAGAACCGGGATTCTTTGACGAATTAAGTCACTCATAGGTAGACCTTGAATATTCTAAGCGGCGGCTCCCGCCATATCTTGTCATTCGTGACTTCCCTTTGACACATACTCTCCTCTCCACCTTCCTTCATCACATATCAACATGATATTCATCCCTTTGATCGAGATTCGTCACCGCCAGGCCGCCTGGACTCCCTGGAGAACGCCCTACATAAGGAATAAATAATATCCGATGATGAAGATTACGATAACGATGGATGCCTTGATGCCTTCACTCCTCATCAGTTACTGGTCATCAGTTACTGGACTTGTCTTCTTTGATACTACAACTTTCTGACCGCCTACTGTCTTCGGCTGTCTCTTTTTTTTTGCCAGCACATACACACACCCCTCAATCTTCGATAAGTCCGACGTCCATCATTTTTCTACCAAATTCGACTTGTCAAAGCGCGTTGATCCCCCTCAATTACCTGCTCATTCCCACACCTAGATCTGCCTCAGCAGATCGAAAATTTCGCTTTGTTTCCTTGATCTGGGGAAACCAAAGGGGCCCGTTCCCACATTCTCGGCGGGGCTCCTGTGCTACTCGCACTCTCAACTCTCTCCCGTCGCATCGAGTCGATTCACCGCGTCAACATGAATTGGCAACCTGAGGAGGCGCCATTGAGGCAGCTAGCTGGCTACCTTCGTGACTCGCTTAATGGAAGTAATTCGCAAGGCCGCGCACAGGCGGAACAGGTAAATAGACCGTCCCGTCCTTATTCCCTGACAACCGTCCACTTGTCGCAGTCGCATGCACCTATTACAGGAAGATGAGACTTACAGCTAAACTCACTGTGACAGATGCTTGCCCAAGCGACATCCTCTCCCGATTACATCAATTACATCACTTACATCTTTTCCACTCCTCATCCTGTCCCTGCGGGAATCAACGAGAAGGAGTATTCCACCGTTCGATTCGCCGCGGCCGTGAACGTCAAGACGAAGATTTCTCTGGCCTACAACACCATATCCCCCCAAAGCCTGCTCTACATCAAATCCGCCGCACTGCTTACCCTGCGCGACACCGACCGAAATGTCTCAAACGCGGCTGGCACTATCATCACTGCGATAGTGCTTCAAGGAGGCCTTTTGGCCTGGCCTGAGATTATCAGCGAGCTGCTGACCCTTGTTGCAAATGCCTCACAGGCAGGTGACGTTCCCATGCCGGTTCGAGAAGCTGCGATGGAAGCCCTGCTCAAGGTATGCGAAGATAACCGCAAGGTCCTGGATCGTGACTACCAGGGCCAACGTCCCTTGGACATGATCATACCGAGCTTGGTGCAGTTCACGTCGATCGAAAGCTCACGCATCCGAGTGGCAGCTCTCAAAGCGATCCACGTTTTCTTGCCTTTTAGACCCGAGGCGCTGGTGAACTCGCTAGATCAGTTCCGTACGCAATTGTTCAATCTTGCTGGTGATGATAACACTAAAGTCCGACAATTGGTGTGTCAGTCGTTCGCCCAACTTCTGGAGGCTGCACCAGAAAAGCTGGTCCCGTATATGGAAGGATTGGTGAATTACATCCTCATGCAGCAGCAATCGACCGATGACCCCGAGCTTGCACTTGACGCAGCTGAGTTCTGGATTGGTGCTGGAGAGCAACCGCTCTTAAAAGCGGAGTTGGCCCCCTACATGCCCAAGATCATCCCTGTCCTGCTCCAAAGCATGGTCTACGACGAGGACGAGGTGGCGCGGTTGATGGGCGAACAAGACGATGCGGAAACCGAGGATCGTGCCGAAGACATGAAACCCCAGTTTGCCAAATCGAAAGGTGATCGTCTCAACATGACTAAATCAGGCGAGCAGATGCAGTCTGGGGTTCCTCAGCAGCAGGTGGAGGATGATGAAGATGACCTGAGCGAAGGCGAAATTGAGGACTCGGAATTCGGTGATGACCCTTCGGGTGAATGGACTTTGCGAAAGTGCTCCGCTGCTGCGCTTGATATTTTCGCCACTGTCTATCACCGTCCCGTTTTTGAGATCCTTCTGCCGTATCTAACAGAGACTCTGCGCCATGACCAGTGGCAGAACAGAGAGGCGGCTGTCCTCACCTTGGGTGCAGTGGCAGATGGCTGTATGGATGCCATCAGGCCCCACCTTCAAGAATTGGTTCCTTACCTGATTACACTATTGAACGATGCACAGCCTGTTGTGCGGCAGATCACTTGCTGGTGTTTGTCCCGCTATTCTGGTTGGGCAGCGCACATCCCTGATCCAGAACTAAGAGCCCGATTCTTTGAGCCCATGATGGACGGGATTCTCCAACGCATGCTGGACAACAACAAGAAGGTCCAAGAAGCTGCTGCTTCAGCGTTCGCTAGTTTGGAGGAGAAGGCGGAAGAAAAACTGGCGCCCTACTGTCAGCCTATCCTGCGCCAGTTCGTCCGATGCTTCGACAAATACAAGGACCGAAACATGTACATCCTTTACGATTGCATTCAGACACTCGCTGATTGTGTCGGGGGCGAGCTTGCGCAGCCACATCTCGTAAACATGCTGATGCCTGCCCTCATCGCTCGTTACAACATTGTCTCTGATGATTCTCGGGAGCTCTTTCCTCTTCTTGAATGCCTCGGATACGTCGCTACTGCCTACGGCGATACCTTTGCTCAGTTCGCTCCGCCCATTTTTGGCCGCTGTATGAAGATCATCTATGGAAATCTGCAGGCTTCCATTCAATCGGCAAATTACCAATTCGAGGCGCCGGACAAAGACTTCCTGATCACCAGCATTGACCTAGTTAGCGCACTTGTCCAGGCTATTGACCCCCAGAAGTCTAGCGAACTCGTGCGTACCTCTCAGCCACCTTTCTTCCAGCTTCTCCGCTACTGCATGGAGGATGAGAAAGACGACGTCCGCCAGTCAACGTACGCTTTGCTGGGAGACTGCGCCATTCACATTTTCCCAGACTTGGAGCCTTCTTTATCTACCATCGCCCCGATTCTCATCAAGCAGCTTGATCTTGATCTGATTCGTGACGACGATCGTCAGACCGGCTTCAGTGTTCTGAATAACGCCTGTTGGTCGTGCGGCGAGATTGCCGTCCACGAGAACGCGCCACTCGCGCCCTACGCGGAGCAGCTCTACCGCGGACTATTTAATATCATCATCAACGAGGAAATAATTGACTCTGTGAATGAGAACGCCGCATTGGCATTGGGAAGGCTGGGATTCTGCTGCGCGGATCAGATTGCGCCCCATTTGAGTGAATGCTCTCCATATTTCCTGAGGTCGATGGACAAGGTTGATTTCACGCGCGAGAAGGCTTCGGCATTCCTCGGCTTCAACCAAATTGTGATGAAGAACCCTCAGGCCATGGAGGCCAGCTTGCTCGACTATTTCCAGGCGATCGCCATGTTCCCGGCTCGCTCGCTGGCACAGGAAGAGTACCGTGATATCCAGGGCTCATTCCAGCAGGTACCGATATCTTCCTCGCTTCTTAACAATAGTATGCTAACCACGACGTTTTACGATAGGTACTCCAGGGATACAAGAACATGATTCCCGACTTTGACACCTTCCTCGGCCAACTTAACCCACCCGTGGCCCAGACACTGCGCACAGTGTACCATGTTTAAGTAGGGCCGAGTGTCTATCGATCCAACCCTCCCTATGGCGTTCAGCCGACGTTCCCTTTTGTGGCAAGTCGGTCGTGGAGTTTTGTAGATGGGATGGATCTGGGACTGAAAGGCTTACTGTTAATTTAATGAAGAGGAGGAGATTCAGGGGTTCCAAAAAAAAGAAAAATTCATGGGATGGAGCATGTGCAATTCAGCTGTGTCCACGTTTTTTTCACGATCACATCTCATGATTGCGGCATGGGCCCACGGTGGCCCTTTATGATGTTGATGTACTTGTTTTCTTCTTGATTCCTATCATTCTTCTGTGCATAGTCATCAAGTCAGGGCAGGCCATACCCTTTTTCTTCTTGTTTCTTTTGGTTTTTCTCAGCGTTGAGCTTGGGGGTTTTCGCATCGCATATTGATATCCCCCTTAGATAGATATTTAGATAGATAGACCTTCATTCTTATGGAGGTCTTAAATTACATATTGTGAAGATATCTGCTGGTGTGATATTCAAGTACTGTGGGGTTCGAGCGTTGGTGGGCGTACATTTCGGTACTCGCCAGTTGACCCAACTCCCGCCAGTTGGCGTACCCTTGCCAGTTGGCACATCATACTCCAGTAACTAGTGTCTTTCTGGATAACGTTATTTTCTGTGCTCGTAGGTTATAGTGTCGTACAAACGCACAATCCTCTTCTAAACAGCAAATACCCCTTGAGTAACACTTGGTGACACTGCAGTGCTTCTATTCTGCCGACTCATATGCCATCTTCAAAGGATCCAAGTTGACCCTGTCTCGGCTCGAAATGCGGGAAGCCAAGGGGGAGTGGTTTATCCTCGCAGCAATGTAAAATTAGGAAGGAACGATCGGTCCCAATGCCCCATTGTCAAGGCAGGAGCCAGCGCCGATGTCAAGATATGCTCGAGGTAGAACCATAGAACAGAATCGGCACTTTATTCCATCAACCATGGGCCAGGAAACGACCTCGAAAACATCCATTCAGCCATCTGACATCTCCGTCCAGAACAAAGATAGAAATTGCACAAAGCGAGCCTTGGAACTTCCGTCTCTAATGGCAAGCACCTTGGAAAATTTACTATTCCGACTCATATACAGTGTACTACCTATCCCGTTGGCTGGCAGCGCTAGTTGTATTTAGCATCATTTTGAAATAGTAATGGTTATTGGCCAGTTAGCTTCACACTGCACGTGTGACTCGAAATAGTTCTTTCCAAAACTCTCTGTTGCCGAAATGTTCTTCCATCACACCTTGGTTCTCTCGCCGAACTCGAAATCAGGGACAGATTTTCTGATTAGCTCCTCTAGAGGACCGAACTCATAGATTGTTTCCCCACCCGCGGCCCAAAGCGCATGAGCAAAACAAGGTACAATGTGCATATCTGCTGCGGTCACCCTTTCTCCAGCTGCATATGGCATTACAAGCATTGAATCGAGTTCGCGAAGCCCGGCTGGGAAGACCTTGTAACCTTGGTGCGAATCATCAAAGAACCGCTCATGTTCAGGAATCAGGTCCAATCTCAGAATTGTTGTAGAGATGGGATAATTCTCCATTTTCTGGAGTAGGAGAAGCATACAACGGGATTTCCAGGTGTGCAGCACCGTATTTGGTAAGTTTATCTTGTCGGCTGTCAACGAAATCATTCCAAAAACTTGCTTTCTTCGGATTTAGTTCCTGAACATCACGCGCTTGTAGCAGGATGAGATTTATCGAAAGTTGCGGTTGATGAACATGCGCAATCGGCTCCTCAATCTTGGAATGCTGTTTAGGGTTCTCGGGCAACAAAGAAGGACCCTTTGAAAGGTTGGAATCCAGATATTTCAGGACGTCCGCGCTTTCGACCAAAGGCTCTTGAAGAGCGGCTGATATCAAGGATGGAATAGTGCCATCTGGGCTGAATTTTGACGTATTGAGGTGCGAAATTCTCTCCATCACTCCATCCACTATGAGGCTCTCATTAGGTATATAGTCCGTACACCTCGCAGAATCTACTTACCTAGGCCAATCTGCTTGACTTCATACTCGCTTGGGTCATACCCCTGTTCATCGAGGGTAAGGTGTGCACCATAAGCCCAGTGGGAAGCATCGGAGGTATAGAGGGTGAACTGTATTTGTTAGATATAGAATGCCAGGGCTTTCAACTTCGCCTGCCATGAGGTGAGGGCGAGGCGGTGTTGGCCATTATGCAACCCGTTGATTAGGAAGGTCGGGAAGGGGAAGTAATGGCTGAAGTAGGAGGAGCAAGTTGGTACGGGCGTGGCCAGTATGTATGGCTCATCTGTCTTCTGGAACAACTAGGACAAACATTTCGATGACGGCTTGAAATTTGTAGCAGAGTTTGCCGGGATTTGGCCCAAATCCCGCCAAGAAATCAGATGACACTGCTTAGTATCACTACTTGGTCTGGGCATTGACGAGCGCAAGGACCGGGAGTGCCATCGAAGACGCTGGATGGATACACAGTATCATTGGCCGCTGAGTGACCGCTCAATTGACCAGCCCTCCGGAAATTGATATCGACCCTCTGATAGCTGTTCTAGCTTCAGGGTACTATGCATCATATGATGATGATGATAATGATGATGTTCTCATTAACCCAATTTATCTCGCTTTACAAACATGCTGTCGCCGTGGGATTAGGGCAATTCGTAGGAATAGTCTCACCAGTTGGCAGAAGGCTTGCCAGTTGGCTGGATATTTGCCAGTTGACGGGAACCTCGCTAAACAGGCGACTGGAACTTGGCAGTTGGCACCCACCAGTGAATTCTATTTCTGACAACTGAAGAGAACTTTTTTGTTGATCTTTCAGCTAGAAAGGCACTGTACACATGTCCTGTTCACTTTTTGTATATAATTAACCTACCCTTAGGTAGGTTCAGGTACACGCTTAAGGTGTTAAGTACCAGGTTGGGTGATTCATCTCTCGCCGGGCCGCAGGACCGGGTTAGTCCTGAGTATATCCCAATTAACTCCCGTCTGAATTCCCGTCGACACAGTGGAGTATGGAGTACCCCGTCCGTATTTCCCAAATAGCACGAGCCAAGAAAGCAATAGCATCAAGATCGAGTAGCAGAAATCAATCAAAAGTAAAGATAAATATAGAAGTACGAGGTCAGAGATGCGACGATCATCCCAATTTCCGCTTGACATCCATGATAGTTATTCCACACCAATATGGAACGAATTATAACTATGCGAAGAATTTAGCTAATACCTAGGTAAGGAACATCAAGAGCCGAGCTGAGTGAAGAGAGCCACATGTGAACCAAAAATAGACTTCCGTAATAGGGCTATAACGATGTCATCGGAAGCTATGTAACGCACGTAAGATGTAAATAGCGATCTGGCCCCCATCAAACCCACTACCCCGGGGATTTCCGAGATCACTTCTTGCAGACTTGAAATATACATTCAAAGCATATGTCGATATCCCGATCGGTGCTAGCACGGGGGTTTATAACCACATTTGGAGGGATCGGAGGAGCCAAGGCTGCCGAATACGAGGTCTGGGGAAGGGTGGGCGGTGGAGGGTCCAATCGGAGTGGGGGATCAATAGTCTAAATTTCTTTATTGTCCCGTGCTTTTGGGAAGATTTCTATTCTTAGGTTTGATGTTGTATGGAGGTCGGAGGTTGGCGTGCCTGTGCCTGTTGATCAGGGTAGGGTTCCCGTTATGGGGAGGACGGGATGGAGGTTGCTATCTTTAGATGGTTGTTACCGAGGTCAGGGTACTGGATGGGTTAGTGAATCGTGCATAGGGTAGGTTTTGTGATAGTCTTGCAATGGGTGGATGTCGGGATGGTTTTAGATCCATTGCCCAGGTGAAAGGTAGACACCATAGACACAGAAACTGGCGAAGAACTACCTCAAGTCAAGTTCAATAAAAAGTAGAGTAAATTTCAGGGTATATATGTCAATACAATATCGAAAGCTCAGTGTAAATCAATCAACCGAGTACAGAATTCAATCCGAGTGTCAAACTCGGATACAAAATCACAGACCACCACCAATGTAAATCCAAAAGCTTCACCAACCACGTATAGGTATCCAACAAGCATATAGTATGCTCCATGATATGTGTTTCCTGTTAGAACGTAACTCTCTCATCTCAAGGGAGACATCATGTCATTCATTACTCCTGGTACCAAAAAGTCGAAATACTCCTGTCAAGCCAGGGTGGTTGTCCCTGATTTTCCATGTTTCTTGTCGCTTTTCGTTTGTTTGCTTATAAACTCGCAATTTGGCGCCTCAAGTCCAAAGAGAAGCCGGCGCAACCAAGCTCGGCAGCTCAAACGGGTGTGTCTGCGGATATACTTCCACATTCAAGCCGAGTGCACCGTCCGCGCGCGGTAGATCAGCACACAGCGTCTCATTACCATACGGCGGAGTGTAAGCCATGGAATGCGGAATAGGTGTATGGATAGGAAGGCTGGAATGGTGCGTATGTCCCATATCCGATAAACCAAGGTGTATGTCATGATTATCGATCAGTTGTGGCGAGCGTGGGGATAAAGAATGCGAGGGAGCAGCGGAGACGTAACCATCCTGAAGGGGGAAGGAGGAGCCGGCAATTGTTACGGCAGGAGGAGACTGCAAGGGCGGGGTATAAGCAGCATAAGAGGGTGAGGCGGAAGCGGGTGAGGAGGCGACGAGCGGGTACTCGTGAAGAGAATGGTGGTAAGGGCTCGGCGGGCCAGGGGAGTAGTGGTCAACCGATGGGCGGGGGGACCAAGGAAGACGGCTGCGATATCGGTTAACGATACGGCGGGGCAGATCCATGAGAGTCATGGCCAGCCGGCTATCAGGATTATAGGGGTCTGTGGCGTTGTGGGTGGCTATTATGCGGTACATCTCTTCAACGGGGCCGACGGATGGGGCCCCAAGGTATGCGCCACCCAGATCTGGGAAGAAGCGGTCGAGGGCGATGCCAACGGCGAAGAATTGGGCTAGGATTGGGAGGGTGCTGATGTCTGATTCGCTGTTTCGGAGCATGGAGGCTGGGAGCCAGAAGAGCCAGCGACGGAGGGTTTGGATGCTTTCGAATGATTTTGATGGAGTTTGATTGGGGAAATTATCGCAGAATTGCTGGGTAAATTCGATGAGTTCTCCTAGTCGTTGCGAGTGCTCGAGGTTGTGGGAGACGCGTTTCTGGGCGACTTGTAGGGCCTGGATTGTTTGATCTAGATGGGCCATATCTTCATCCAGGGGTTGGTAGGTTCCATCCATTGAGCCATATGTCGTGCTGAGTGCTCGTTGATTCTCTATGTATTGTGCAATATCTGACTCCTGTTTCCAGAATGGATGCATGGATTCCAAGACACTGGACATGCCATGTTGCAAAGAAACCCAGCTTTGACTATTTTGTTGTTAGTTGACGGCACTTCACAAGACCAACGTAGCACTCACTGTTCTGTTGCCTGCCATGACAAGAGAACAGACGCTGCGAGGATTGCATCGCAGTTCTCCTTGGAGAAAGAGGCTAGGGCAGTTTGCAGTCCCTGAAGGGCTGTAACTTTGTGACTGAAAGCCAGCTGCCTCGTCTCCTGATTCCCCGTTAGGAAAGCCAGATGGAATGCTGACAAGCTTAAGATAGAGCTCATAACGAAGTCGCTGCCCAGTGCGATAGCTAGGAAACTGTTGAACGCCACCCGTTAGCAAACGCCCTAGAACCAGCGAGATCCATGGAGGTGCTTACTTGGGCATCTTCTGAGCCCAGACAGTGCTACTGCTCAACCCTCGGCGGTGCAAGTCAATAGAAAGCCCAACAATATGATGGATCAGGCGCAAATCAGACCGCGACAAACCGGACCATCCGGCGCGCGGGCACTGCAATAGCTCTGGATACGGAGGCACACCAGAGCGATGCCAGTTATCTACCTCCATCTCGATCTCGGGTGACATGAGGAGGTCAGGACCACGGCGCGGCGAGGGAGGACTACCACCTCGAGCAGCAGGCTGATCCTGGTAATCACAACGGCAGTTGTGCTTTGTACAATTGCGACTAGATGAGGGTTAGCGGGCGTATACTGCTGTAAGAATGGGGGATTGCAGGAGCATAAAGAACATACCATTGCGGGAAAGTCTCATCGCATCGAATGTGTCTTCTCTTACATGTTTTGCACCCGTTGCGAGACTTGGTGTGGCTCTTGCGTGGTGGACCGCCGCCTGGACCAACCATCTTGACTGTATGAAGACTGCGGAGAGGAAGCTGGGAACTGGAGTCACGGTTGGCTCCGCAGAGGAATGCGAATAGTGAAGTGTTTGACGATGAGCACTATGCTCTGTTGACCTGTTTGACTTGGGAGAAATATTATAAGGAAGCTTGAGGTGTATCGATGTTTATAAGAGTTGGCTCTCCAAAAATAACTTTGGGGGCCGTTGAAGTTCGGAGACCAAGTTGAATTAAGCACCTGGAGAATACGAGAACTCCAGATCTTCCGAGATAGACTTGCAAGAGTAAGGAGAATCAAGAGGAAAGAAGAAAAGCCGTTGTAGAGGGGCAAGTGCTAACAGAAAGATATGATTAGTCTGACTTGGGCTATTTAACGAGATTCCACATGATTCATCCTTAAAAAAATAGGTATTATTACTGTTTTTTTTCCATTTCCTTATTATTTTCCACTGACGATCGAGATTTTGAGCCTCTGTCTACAGGGGGGTCGTCAATCAGCTAAGAGATTGAAAAAAAGCCAAAAGGAAATTAGCAAAAAAAGAAAATAAACACCTTTGAGGAATAGCCCACGTCTAGGATAGCCCTCGGTCATTCCACATGGGAAGCTTAGGGTAGTTATGTACACAGTTGCCTTGATAGGTTTAGGCCATCGACTAGGCGCATGTGAGCCCATTTTTTCTGACAGGGATCTCAAATGGTATCCACGTTTATTGTGGAAATTACACTTTCTTTTTACTTTTTATTTCTTCACTTCTCAGCCGTGTGGGCTGAATTCGACTGGTGTTTAGCAAGAACTGTTTGGCCTCAGGCTGATATCCTTCCAACTATGCCCTATTACTGGATAAGAGAACCCGGATAAAATAAAACCAAACAGAGTACGTCTAAGGGGCTGATTCATCTCTCATCATTCCCGCTCTTTGCTTTTTCTGTCGTTTCTGGTTCTCATCCCGCGTTCCAGAGGACATAGTTCCAGCCAAGACCATGTATGCAGGGGCCTGTGAATAGACCCCAGAGCAAAAACAAAAGATAGTAACAGAGAACAATAGTCAATGCAGAAAAGCGTAACTAGGACATACAGTTACTAGTCCATTTGCCTAGGATCGATCTCTACGGAGTACCTCACGCTTCTTTCGATCATAAAGATTCTTATAGGTCGCCTGTCAACCTTGGAAAGGACCGTTAGCCCTATCCGGTAGGAGCAGGTGCCAATCTCCGCGCTATTCTAGACGCGATGTCCGCTTCTCGCTAAGGTTCAAGTTTAGCCTGACAGGCGGACGTCTACCATTTCTACCCGCCTGGGAGTCAGATGGGAGCATAACCATGAAACGCTGAACTCGGTAAACACAACCGAATATACCTACAACCTTGGAAATGCAGAAAGTCTTGACATGACTGTATAACTCTCCCAGTAAATGGGGGCAAAGAAGGTGAGGTCTTACACCTCTTGGAACCTGGGGATTAGAAGGCAACGCATCCCTAAGGGTTTAGTCCGCGACTAGGGGGGGATGTAAGACCAATCTCTCGGGATCGCCGCATTTACATCTCAATTTCACTGCTTTTTGCGCATCTGCGCATCCCTTATCCTGACCCTAATTCGACTTCTCACCTATGGCGATCGTTCGCTTCCCCCGGCCGAAACCACCCTATCCCCTTCTCCGGTGCAGCTACCACTCGGCTGGAACCTGGAACGTAGGGGAGCCATGTCCGGTGAGTCGAAGATGTACAACGTCAAGAGGCCCAAACGGGGAAATGCGACCCCTGGTAGTTCATTTTCTCGGCGAACAGGGATCATATGGAAGTCGTGAAGTCAGTAGTTCCCAATATCTGTGAATCTATAACCATGAAACAAAGTAGATGTCCGGGGAGCTCCGTCGATGGACTCATTCCGGCAGGGTCCAGGGGGGCTGAGTCCAGCGCAGAAGGGTTGGAATGTTGAAAGCAAAAGGACTTTTGAATCGGTTCTCATGCATCCGCGCTGGAACGAGGGTAGCTGGAGGGCCAGTCAGCTTCTAGAGGTTTTTAATATGTATGGGGGTATCTACATCTAGGTCAGAGTTCAAGCGTGACTCCCCTGAAACTTCCCTGCAGCTCTGTGACACCGCTAGATGGAGCCGACCGACCACGTTTTCTGGGGATCGGACGTGCGACAAGACATCCATCTAAAGGGTTCTAAAGTCGGTGTACCGCCCTTCTGATCTGGACGGGAGCGTCTGTCCTACCACGATCGATTACTGCAGTCATGACGATGATTACTGCCAGCCCAAAGGGCTAGCTCGCCACACGTGGCACCATACTCGCAAAGCGATTTAGATTCTATCATGATACACGAATCTATTTGGTCTAAATTCCAGAGTGCCCGTGGACATCAACATCACCAACACAGATGACAGGACGACAGTCTGACGAATACTCTACCTACCATCTTAAGGGGGAATGCGCGGCCCGGAAATGTTCGGGCGACGCTAATCTCCGCAAAAAGATGAAGAAAGACAAAATCCAAGACGGGCCAATCAGCAACAGTCAGTCTCGCTTGCCGCGACATCTGGCCAAACACGGCGAAGCTTGGGGGCCAAAAGCACCAAGAATGGACTAGCACTTACTCACTCAGATCAACTATAACCGTCTTTCTTGTCTTTCTTGGTCTAGAATGGTTCTTGGTTGACATAGTTAACCATGTCAGTTTTATCTTACCTTTTCCGCGGAAATCCCTTGTCTGGTTGACAGCTCTAGGTTCGCAACTAGGTATAGACTAGAACCAAGGAATACACACGTCACTACCTTAGGTCATTACCACATGGGTTCATGTAGAGCTTCAGATCTTGTAAAGATTCATGGTAACCCCAGTTCTCTACCGCATCTCCGAAGAAGCACAGCCCGTGGGACGTGGGACGCCAACCAACTTTAATTTGCCAAGATGCCAAGACCTTGGGCTACTCTAGACGGTCTGTGGGGGGCACTTCTGACCTCTAGATCAGCACAGATCACTTTTTAGACGACCAGTCTGCTGGGTTCCCAAGCCTAATGGCCGTTGGGTCATCTGCGATGTAAGAATCCTGCACTGATATGTACCTAAGGGTGTGTATCTCTCTGCACTGTAATTTAAAAGACTTGACATGTAAGAGAAGAGTTCAGTAACAAGTACACAGTAACTTATGACATCTCGAACTTAAAGCTCTGAATCAAGAAATAGACTGTCAAACTCCCTGTCAATGAGGATCATACAAAACGGGATAGCTCATAAAGTGGATGCAAAACAAGAGAGATCGGCGGGGGAGAGAAGCTCCGACTTCCGACCAGGGTATTGTTTCTTCCCAAATAAAGTCGTTAGCGTCAACTCTGATTTCAAAGCCACAGGCCATCGCATGCCGATTGCTCATTACACTTAATTCGTTTACTCCGTACTAACGCCCGACATCTAGAGACGTGAGGCTGACAACACACGCTGCGTCTGCATGAGATCATCGTGACCTCCCGAGAGACCCACGCCGGTTAACCAGCCGCGAATTTGACATTTCTCCACGGATAACTATCTTACTGTTTACGTTAGGAAATTGCATAGTGGAATTCGCATCCATTTCCCACTGCTCACGCCGAATGTCATAATGAGAAAACAATGATGGAAGAGCCAGCCGTCTTCTGTCCAGGGAGACATTTCCAAATGGCCACAGCAGACATCTACACAATACCGATGTCATCAGAGGCGACAGAGCCATCTCTACAATGATTCAATATCATATGTATCCAACTCGCTATTTCGTTTTCTTCTTTCTTTCGCATGTACTACTGCCCTGACCATTCTGTCATCTGAATAAAAGATACTTCCTACATACCGAGGCAACGTCCAAACTTGCATACACATCATCCGCCCATTTACTCCATCTATTGGTCGATACATACCGCACGAGGCTGAAAAAGCATCTCCGTGATCCACCATGCCCCGTGATAAATACAGTTCGCTTGAACATGGCAAGATGGGATTCCACAAATCATCCATGGGAATCAGGCTCAAGGACCAGCACATCCTCACTGCTTACTGCAAGCGGCCTTCCGGTGAGGCGGTCTACTCCGAGCTAGATCTAAACAATTTCCTGGGGACGAGAAAAGGTAAGGGGGATCTCAGACGTGCATATCTGACGCAAAACTCTAACCTTGCTATACTCTAGGCGACTTTGCTTGGGGCAACCGGGACTTCATGAAGCAGGCGCGGAACATTGATTTCAAGCTAGAAGGCCCGGAGAATGAGCCAGTGCTGCATGCTGATCTCGACGATGGCGAAGGACATATGAAGCAGCGACAGGTGAATCTGGGGAGTTGCATCATGAACGAAGATGGTAATTTGAGTTTCATGCAATGTTTCTAGGTGCATCGAGGCTACTGTTTCATATCTCTGAAATTGTAGCCAAAAAGACCGAAATAAAACTGGTTGTTCTAAGTAATTACCTATCTCCCCGCTGTTCTAGAGTGTCCGCCTTGTATGCACAATCGCACGTGGCGTTCAGGTCTGACAGTTTGACTGCAAGGCAGAGAGCCAGGCTAAACTCTATGCCGTGAATTCAAGATCAACAGGATAGTAGAATTCCAGCTAAGGCGGAAAGTAGACCCACACAGAACCTCCAGCACAGGCTCAGCACTCTAAATAACCCGAAACGCGATCTAGCTCGTGAGATAGAGCCTAATTTAGGCAGAGCCTAAATAACTCAATCCCAAAATGACACAGGGACAGCAAATAGGAACACGAACCACCAGCCCCATGAGTACATGTGAAGAAAGTGATAGCCTATGCCTACAATGGCCCACTCATCTCTGCAAACCGCAAGAGGTATAGCCATCTTCTCAATTGGGGTACGAGATGACCCTGCTCTAGTGCAAGCCTCCATTATGCCCCGGTACGTACTAGTGTATCTGGGAACCCTGCAACGCCTGTCGCCCGCGGCTGTGGTTGATCGGGGGGAAATTAGGGCATGCGGTTACGCCCGGTTCGTCAAATCGAGTAGTTAAAGGAAAGGCTCGCGTCTTGGTTATCCGGGTGGGCTTGTCTGAGCGGCGAATGGGTGGGGACATGGCGGTGGCTCCCGTTGCCGAGTGTTAATTATAACGCGCCAATTAGGCGAGGGAGGGAGGTTTAATTGGAGGTAGCATATTTGGATTGGTTGTTCTAGAGATATAAGACGGGGTTTATTTGAGTACCGTGGTTACATTCGGTTGGTTGAATTCGGTTATGGCCCTTATGAGAGAAGTTGCTGGAGCTCGTGGGTTATCGATCTTTCCTGACAAGGTGGTAATCTGCGAGATGGGTGTACATGTTGCTACTAGGTCAAAAGCGGCAGGCGACGAGTTGGCGTGCATGGATGTTGTCTGTAGTGGGCGATCCAAAAATAAGAAGGGCAACGGCTTTGAACGTTGCAAGGGCCCTGCTGATCTTTGATTTTCGTTACTTTTTCCTTGCTAGTAGGAGGTCTCCGTCTAGCCAGCTGATCACAATCTTGGGTGTCGTTTCTTCTGGAATAAGCCCTGATTTGTGTGCTTGTCTCTGGTCGACGGAGATGGACGCTTCCATCGACGATCGTACTGTATGGGGCCAGCGTCCAGTTCCCAGGGAAACTGAGGTAGCCTTCGACATTCGGCCTCTCTACTCTCTCAACCATCTACCTTCTCTGTACACAGTAGTGCCTGTACACAGTACTGCGTAGATACTTTGATCTGCGAGTCTGTGTACTTCAAAGTTCAACTTGTATGATTTCACGTGACCTCCAACTGAGCAGACGTTCCACGTGACAATGACATAATTGCATTCCCATTTGGGAAAGATAGCAACCCTCGACATCGACAACACCTCGCTTACCATTCAATCCCTCTCAAAATCCACCACAGGCAGTCAAAATGGCTGATGCAGGCGGCTGGAGCACCATCGAATCAGATGAGGTACCATCCGCCCTATTTTCCATGCGAGCAGCCCACTAACACAACACAACACAGGGCCTCTTCACCTCTCTGATCGAGACGCTCGGCGTCAAAGACACCCAATTCGAAGAGCTGATCTCCCTAGATGCAGACACGATCCGATCACTCGGGTAAGCGGCACAAATCCCATTCTCGCCCGCAATCCCCAACACCAGCTAACAACCACGAACAGCCACGTCTACGGCGTAATTTTCCTCTTCAAATGGACCCGCGAAGCATCCGGCGCCCGCGCCGAAGCCCCCCTCGATGGAACCTACGACCAAACCGCCACAGACAACAACGTCTTCTTCGCCGCCCAAACCATCCAAAACGCCTGTGGCACCCAAGCCATCCTCTCTGTAATCCTAAACCACGACACCGAGACCCCAACAAGCCCGAACCCGGCAATCCCTCTCGGCCCTGAACTGCAAGCCTTCAAAGATTTCACGACGGGGTTCCCGGCCGAGCTGCGCGGCGAAGCACTCTCAAACTCGGAAGCTATCCGCACGGCGCACAATAGCTTTGCGCGGGCTAGTCCGTTTGCAGACGAGACGGCTAGACCTCAGGATGACGAGAAGGGGGCGGACGTTTACCATTTTATTGCTTACACGCCTGTTAACGGGACTTTGTATGAGCTTGATGGGTTGCAGCCGTATCCTATTAGCCATGGGAGTTGTGAGGCTGAAGCGTTTCCCGAGAGGGTGATTGAGGTTTTGCAGAGGAGGATTGAGAGGTATCCCGCTGGAGAGACGCATTTCAATCTTATGGCTGTTGTGAGAGATCCGAGGGAGAGGGCGAGGGAGATTGGAGATGTTGAGACAATTGAGAGGGAGGAGAGGAAGAGGGCGGCGTGGCAGTGGGAGAATACATTGCGGAGGTGTAATTTTGTTGGGTTTATTGGGGAGGTCATGAAGGGGGTCGTGGGAATGAAGGAGAAGCAACCTGGGGGGAAGGCCTATGAGGAGTGGGTAGAGGGGGCGAAGAGGGAGACGCAGAAGAAGCTTGAGATGAGACGTTAAGACGGTGCTGCGCTTCTTTCACCTCACGGTCTCCCTGCAATGGCAACATTGGAATCTAGATACCCTTTGGACAGGATACGAAATATGATATGGTCATGGTAATGGTATTCGATGATGATGTTGAAACCCCAACGCTATTGTAGTATTGTAGTAGATACAGGTAGGTGTGATAAATCACCGATTTGACGCAGCGCTATATGTACTGGCGTCCACATCGCAAGTCATGATGTGCATGGAACACTAGCGTTATTCCCCCTCCAATGTTTAGTATTCCACAAGACGAGACTTGACGTGCTCCACCAGCGGCGCAGGCAAGTCCTCTGCTTTGATCAGATTCATGGACAGCAGATCTCCCCAGAAGAACATGACTCGGTCCTGCGCATAGGCCAGGTAGTCAAAATCACCCTCATCTTCTTCTTCGACGCCGGAGGTCGCTGTCGGCGTCTTGTCGCCATCGCCCTCGCCATCGTCGTTTGACCCATTGCGAGCAGCAAGCATCTCCGCAATGCCTTCTTCCATGCCAGGCACTTTGGCCTGGACGATACCCCAAGCCACCCACTGCGCGGAGTTCATCGCTCGCCACATCCGTGTCTGCTGGATGAGAGCTCGCACGTGGGCGTCAAGGTCGTCATCCCTGGATTGGTCGATTTGCGAGAGACGGGAGTCCGGCCTGTCTGACCCGTCGTCTAGGTCTAATGGTGCAAACGCGGTAGAAGTGCGACCGCGGATGACTGGTGAGGCCATAGGTGAGATATGTCCACCGGCATTGGCAGGCTGGTGAGTGAGGTAGGTCGATACGAAGTGGTACTGCTCCTCAGGTGTTGGGTAGATGCGGTTGTTGCAAGCCCATGATCGTTCCTCGTCATGGTAGTTGTAGCACCACTCAGTCTGGTACGATTAGTATCTCTGGTCTGATGAATGGGTAGTGGTTCAACTCACGAAATGGTTAGCAAACTCGAGTCCAGGTGTATTGGCAGACGAGTACTCAAAGTCAATGACCACCAGCTGCTTGTGTTCATTTGCAGGCAAAAGCAGCGGGGACTGCGTGGCTGGCTCCATGCGTAGCAAATTGCCATATTGAGTCTGGACAGCAAGTTAATACCATGTCGCAGCAGATGAGGGAAGATAGTCACTTACATCATTATGCGCAAACACCAGCTGCCGCTTGATCTCGTCAATTCCACCAGAACTGGCGATCAGCCAACGCCGGTAGTTTTCCACAGCTTTGCGGAACACGTCCCATTTTACGCCGCAGACATAGCCACGTCGACGCCATGGTTCCAATGCAGCCTTGGCTTCATTGTGAGGAGACTCGAGTTCTTTGTCTAGCCAGGTCATCACTTGCTCGCAACGGTCCACCCATTTATCCCAATTTTTGAAGATCATGGGCCCTCCTTCGCGTTCTTCTTCGAGAAGTGCAACGCCATCGTGCAATTCTCTCATTCGTTTGGCAACCTGTTTTGCCGTCTCGGGCATCCGCAGCTCCTTGGGGGTGAGTGGGCGAGCTTCGAAGTATTCCTCGAATCGACCATTCAGGAACGTTCCTAGAATGCGTGGACCGATGTTCTTTTTCCCTAGGCGACGAAGGATCTGCAGCTCGTTTTCTCGGTCGATCAAATGGTCGACTTGAGGACCGTAGATACGTAGAAGAAGTTTACTGTAATACCAATTAGCGGTAAATCCCAAGTCAAAGTCTGCAGCCCGACACTTACGGTGGAGGCTTCCTCGAAACCAGCGTGTTGCTATCGGTCTTCGGCGGAGGCAGGTTCTTTGGCGGCTCAACTACATACACCGCGTTCGTGAGAGCACCGCTGAGTCTGACCACCTCGATATCTCCAGCCAGTTCGGCGGGGACCTTGCGCCAGCCTTTGAGCTGCAGCGTGTGCACAATGCGCACTATCTCGGTCTTGAAGATGAGCCAGGCCTCTGCATCTTTGGCCTGTTTCACACTCGCGCTAGAGTCGGTAATTTCTTCTACTGCACCGCCGCCGGTGTAGGCAAGTGTCTTGGTGTTATCAAGGAAAGCTTGCACTTCTGGTGGGGGAGCCTCGGTATCTGTCATATCAGATTCAGATACTGAGCCTCTTCGAAGGCCCCTCAGTCGACGTCGAGAATGGCGTTTGGCAAGGTGTCTGTGGGTCGAACTCAGTGCACTGCCGGGTCGGGTTGTCGCATATTGGTGGAGGATCTTCTCCAATTTATCCAGGGAAAAGCTGTGGTCTGAGGTGTTCGGTCTGTCTAAAGGGCCATCTGTGACATCTGATTCGTCGCCGGTTGTTGCATGGGAGGTTGTTTCGAATTTGCGTGCTTTACGATTCTGTCGTCTGGATTTCTCATGGTGAAGCCATTCGTATACTTGATGGAATAGGCCCTGGAAATCGTCCTCTGATTTGGTAGATCGCTCGCGGACCTCGTCATGCTTGACGCTCGATTGATCCTCCAGAGAAGGCATGGTGAATAGTGCTTGAGGTTTTGGTTGCGCGATGGGGCTTTTGGGGCATGTGACCCAATACTGTTTCAGATATGTTCCGTCTGGCGGTAAGCCGATAACGGTTCCACTTGGGGGCGAGGTCTTGGTCAAAGAGATGATATCCAAGCCGGTTGCCGGAGTATATGAATCTGTTGGTGATTAGTATGGTTGTAATTGAGCGAAGATGGGAGGTTCAAGTGCGGTGTTGCTGGGGCGCGTGTGGAGTGTCTCCGATAGAGACTGAATTACAACCAAGGGAAGAGTGCGTGCTTATACAGCGACGACAAACGCACAGCGATACAGTGAATTCCCTAACTACAGGAGAGTCGCAAAAGGAACGTGGTGGAAAGGAGATCGTGCCTACCTGCTCTTTCAGGACAGGGGTAGTGTCGTCTCGGCGTACGATGACATGTGATCCACGTGAAAACGAGCCAAGACGTGGAGGCTCAAGGTCTTATCTGAGAGGCACGCGACCAGTTGAGAAGGACTTCTTCAGTGAGAATAAGTGCCCTTCAAATAAGTCCTGGAAACAAAAAAAGAAAGTGCAGGTGGGGGAACAATTGGACCCCCCTAAATCCCCGGTTTGACAAGCGAACGAAAACGTCCCAGCGGTCAAATTAGTGCCGATCTGGTCCCTGGAACGCTACCTCAAGCTCACTGGAATTGAAGAAATCCGGGGAAATTCGAGAGCTCCAGAATAAGCGCAAAGCGAGAACACTGAATAAATAAGAAACACAAATCTCTTTGATTTGAGCTCTGATTGTTGGTGGGGAAATTCAACAAAAAAAAAAGTGGCGAAAAATTGGAGGCTTATCGCTCAGGTGACTGTTCCGGGTGCCTGGCGGATCGGGCACTAAACAAATGCGGCCACGGTCCCTGGAGGTTTACCACCGCAGACTTTCACTCGACGACATTCGTCATAAGGCTCCATATTTGGTGGGTCATACCCTCCCAAAGCCATGGGGACGTCATACTGCAAGATGTATGGCCGATAAGGATTTGGGGGCCATAGCTTTGGATCGGAAACGGCCAGGCGTAGTACTGTGTATGGAGGAACTACCACACCGTGAAGTTGGGAAACTGACGGCTGGAATAGCATAGGTCGTTATACATGGCGCATATGGCTTTGAATTTGTCGCATGTGGGCACAGCTGGCGCCAGAGGAAGCCTCCAGGCTCCTGGTCATCGGAGCCGAGGGCCTCGTCATGGGCGGGAGCGTTTGTAGATCCTTTTGTATTGACTAGCATAGAATGTCTGGACGCTGAATGGACCGAAACTTTGCTTTTGTTCGTCTCAATCCATGTTCTGGTGTACATATCAGCATTGACAGATGCAGAGAAGAAGATGGAGGTTGGGAAGGGGGAAGATGCGCATTAGAGGGGAGCTGGAGGGTAATTTACCGTATTGAGTGGTTCCCGTATTATTCACGGTTGACAGTTGGACGGCCTCAATTAAGCCATATCAAGCAATATTACCCCCTACACCTTTTTACAGTGAAGCTGTCAGGGCATTCTCATTCTCCTCCTCCTCTTCTTCTTCTTCTTCTTCTTGACTCTTGTCGGGGAATTGTATATAAAACAATCGAGAGACCCCCGACAGTAGAGCCGTCTAGGTATGTATTAATGCCTCAGGCCATAAATTTCACCCGTATTTGCCCGTGTGTTCGGGCGAGCAGCGGCAGCTTTTATCAACCACGAAGCATGGAGACAATATCCGAGCACCAGGGTTCGTTCCGATGATCTACTATGAATTGGACTCTTGCTCTATTTTTGAATGAAGCTCACTTACTACCGGACGAAACAATATTCTTGGTCAGCTCCCGCAGTCCCTACTTGGGGACATTTGGCCAGAAGGGAAAAAGAGCAGCAGAGATAACTTATTTTTTCCTGTACTAAGAACTAAGGTGACACAACCGAAGACTTAGAATGGAAATTGGAAGAGGAAAGAAGAAGAGCTGCACAGAAGAACTCCTTATGTTCTACTGCCATGCTTGCTCCTTCTCTTAGCTGTCGTTTGCTCGTCGCCTGATCGTCACGAAGGCCCCGGATGTGAATCCGGTTACGCCAACTACGCTGCCTCGCCTCGCTGTTCTTCTCCATTATGTGGGAAGTCCCGGCAACAGCGCTCAGCCAACCAATGCTTAGCGGGCGATGTGGACCACTGGACGTGATTTGCACTCTCCCTGGATACAGGATCGCACCTCAGTCAAAGGGAGATGGTAGTCCTACCATTAATGATGCCCAAAAGGGCAAGTGAACCGTCTACATGCAGCCTCGGACAGGTGTGGTTTTTCTTTTTTTTTTACTTGGCTTATTATTACGGACATCAGACTACACATTGTTTCAGAGAGGTACTTTCTTCACTGACAGTAGGTCTTGTGGAAGGAGATGGCTGGATGTTTATGAGACATTCGATGCCGCCAAGAACTGTTGAATGCTGTGGGTACCAGACTAAAGGGGCTTGGAGCTGTAGAGAAGAACAGACAAGCCAAGCCGAGAACAGTGGCGTCGGGCTGAAAGTGCAGCTCGGTGGGACTTTTAGGCAATGGCTGCATCATATCTATTTTGGAGGCGTCATGTCACAAAAAGTACCGCGGAGCATCTGACGGTACAAGAATTATAGAATCTCGTACTCGTGACCCGAACATAGGAATGATATAGAAAAACCACAACAAAACCATCCTGAATACGTGGCGAGTGAACCTCTGAGCACTATACGAGACCGACAGAGCCTCGTACCCGTATCCAAGTCCATCCCCAGATCTTGCTCGGCACAGCTGATCACCGATCTGCGCCAGCCACCGATCATGCACGCCTCGGACCCACGTCCGACTTGGAATCCGAGTCAAAATGTGGAGAGACAGAGTGAAACCCCATCACTCAGAGCTTGCAGCAGTTTTAGCGGCCGAGGCTAAAATTAGAGAGCTTCTTGGCTTGTCAAGTACGGAGTCCACTTCCTGCTTGGTATAAAAGCCCGGGGATCTGCAGGACCGTTGAAGATACTATTTAAATCCAGACACCCATCCATCTGTCGCTGTCTACCCATTACCAGCAACCGAAATCCAGAAATGAAGTTCACAACAGCTATTGTCGCCTCCCTGGTGGGAACCAGTACTGCCTTGTTCGACAAGAACCAGCGTATGCAATTCTATACCCCAAACAGACCCCAATAATGCATCACATTCACCTGGAGGTTCGCCTTGCTGATAATTCATTGATCGGTTAGCTTGGGGTAAACGCGACTACGCCTGCGTTAATGTCTACCAAGGCATCCCGGACAACTCGACTGTTTCCGCTGGTCAGACTGTGCAAGTCCGGTTTGATCGCAAGCCTACTGGACGCTGCCCCGATCCGTTGGCCCAGTATCCTGGCGACGACTACAGTGTGTGGTTGTATAATAACCCCGTACGCAATCGGGATGTCATCTCCTTTGACCAGTCGATTAAGATTACCGACGGTGTAAAGGAGAAGGCGGGTGTTGTCTCTGTCACTATCCCTAAGAACTTGCCTGAAGTCAAGGATGGCTCGGTTTGGTATTTGAGGGTTGGGACTACTCTTTCTACGGCCCCTCAGGTATGCCTTCTTTTTCTTTACTTGTATTGGTTTTGCGGCTGTCTACTTTTGGTTCTGGTTGGTTGCAATGCTAATTTTTCTCATGCAGATGCCCAGCTTGTTCAACGCTGCCGGTCCGTTCACAATTGCCCATGCGTAAAGTGGCTTGGACTTGGTCTAAGATTTGGTTCAGGGGAGGTCTTGGCCTTGTATCTGTTTGCATATAACATTCATTCCTCCGTCAAGGTCAATATAGGTTGAAGCATGTGTATATTCATTGAGTTCCAGGACGCCAGCCTTTCCCGTCCCTCGTGTAATTCATATAAGACCATTAACTCAATCTTCGGGGACCAGCCTCGATGAGATGACCATGTTCACGCCGTAACATCATCAAAGTGACTTATTAGTCACGATAGGAAACACTGAAGACTTTGTAGCCACTGCCAGGAACGGCCCCACTGTCAGGCACATTCAAGTGACCCTGCCTGTCAACATCAATGTACTGCCCCTGCTCCACAAATTGCATGATGTGACCGCGCCCATTGCCCAGGAAGGACAATTTTACATGAGCCGCATTTGCACTCTGGCTCTTGGGAATCAAAGTACCCCCGGAGCCGATCCATCGTCCGTCTAACGCGCTGGATATGGTGAATACATGACTCTCCTCGTCGTCGTTGTAGTGAATCACCCAACGCTGGGATTTTTGGTCATGTCCAGGACTTGCAGGGGTGAATATGAGACGGTTGCCATTGGCTGGGTTTGTGATGGCTAGTCCATACTTTTCGAAAACAAGGTAACGGCCCTCGGTTAGGTAGCCAACTACCTCTTTGAACCCCTCCTCAAACCAAAGGGCATTGGGATCTGTCTCATTGCCCTGCTCTCCGTATGGAACATCAGGCCGCGTTTGCGCGTGACGAGACTGGCAGTTGGATGAGCCGGTATAACCGCCATTTCCGTTGGTATCGGGGGTCCCCGTATCCGGGATATAAGGAAGGGAGTAGTCGGGATGGTTAAGATCGAGCGCATTGACAAGGTTTGACATATGCTGACGTCGCCACGGGACCATCTGATCTGTTCGGATGTTGGTGTGTCCGCGAGCCGTCAGCCACTCCTCAACGAAGAGGATTTGGGAGTTGTGATCTGCCCGCTCGGTGAAAACGCGGTTTCCTCGAGTCCAAGGGGAAATCATATAAAATGGTACTCGGAATCCAGGTCCAACAAAGATATCCGAGAAGAGGCCCATTGGATCCTGCATCCAATCTCCTGGTGTATCTTTGGGGGAGTGGAAGGGAGTAACATGGTCGCCGAAGCCACCGGTCTCGTCGTAGCTGATCATCAGCAGCGTCGAGTTATATTTAGGGCTCTTGGTGACGGCGTCGACAACCTTCTTCTGGAGCCAGGCTCCATCCTTTGGCATGTACGGTGGGTGCTCCGACAGTTCGGCTGGTCCAACAATGAAACTGACCTCGGGTAATGTGCCGTTGGCGGCAGCCTGGTAGAAGCTATCGAGGCCAACAAATGACATACCCTTTTGTGCCCGAGGGCTATCCTTGGATGCGTTCTGGAACTGCTGGAACCAAGCCAGGGGGTTATCATCAAAGTTGTTTGTGTCTTGGTATAATTGCCATGAGACTCCTGCCTCCTCATAAAAGTCGTAGACGGTCTTCCACTTCAATGGATAGCAGTTGATGCCGTTGTTGTCGCATCCTAGAAATGTCAGCAGGCCATGGAGCAATTAAGATAGTACATCCAAGAGAAGATAGGCAGGATAATGAACATGGGGGGATATAAGAGACAACACACCTGGTACTTCGTTGTTGTCAATATATACACCTCCCTGATCCTTGCTCTGGGGGCTACCAGGAACATTAACGGAGCCGCTAACCAGAGTGACTCGGTTGGGGTTCGTCGCAGTGATTTGACCTTCCTGTTTCAATCCACCCTACTTAGTTTTGAAAATTTTCAACGTCCACTGAAGCCACTCACCTGGTACATATCTCCCGATGTCCATCCCTCAGCGATAGCAAACTGAACCGGGATATCTTGCCGCTTCAGGTATCCCCAGCTCCAGGGAGTATTCTTGATAACCCACTGGTTATTCAATCCATAGTTCAGAGATTGTTGGTTTTCTTGGTACCCGTTGCTTCCTGCAACCATGCACTGTATAGCGTCGTGCCAGTCACCACCTTGATGACCAAGGTACCAGGGCAGCAATGTATTAGTTTTGCTGGACTGCGACGGGTCTACTAGCCTGACAACGAATATTAGAGCCTGTCAAAGCCGTGAAACTTCTGTGTTCAGCACTTACTGATGCCAGACTGAGTTCCCATCGGGATTGACTTGTACATTGGGATCACTAAAGCCCCGGACTCCGGGCATGGTGCCAAAATACTGCAGTTCGATAAGCACAAGTCACAACGCGGGTGTTTGGTAGGGCGAGCAAAGCTTACACTGTCCCACGAGCGGTTCTCCTGCATGAAGATGATGACATGTTCAATATCTCTCAGGGATCCCCCAGAGGCAAGGCTATTGCCCAGCACCATCACCAGAGCGATGCATATTGACAATCTGGCAGCCATGATTTGGTGATTTCAGGAGGGATGAAAGAGGGGGGAAATCACAGAACCAACAGAAGAATGCACTCTTTATGTACCTAGCCGCCCATGACAGAAGTCGCAAAATCCCAAGGAACATCACGTACTAGGTGCATGGATGGACATATTGATTCTCCAGCAGGACTTTGAGACTATGTCACATCTGCATGATTTGTTCCCTCATGGCACCAGAAGATGTAAGGATATCAAGAACGTGCAAGGAATGAACGAGTCGGAAGCCGGGGATTTGAACACAGGGATGGGCTAGAATTCTCGGAAGCCATCTGGAGTCATGTCAAGAGTCATGTCGATCATCCCTAATGGGGGCATCCCCGTTCGAAGTGGAACCTTCATGGAAGAGTAGGTGCATTGTTCGCTCCAATCTGATATGCGGGTAGCTCCACGTGAGATTCTTGTTCCAAGGTTCGGCCGACGCTAAACAGAAAAAGAGACTTTCGGCAGGGACGATCCATATACTTCGGGTTTAGTGCACATGTGCAACATCCATCACAATGCAGATTCACTACTTTATCCATGGATAGGATCCCCGTGGTCCATCAGGAACACCCGATCATGATTTTCCCCTGGCCTGATTTGATCAGGAGGGGCACGTGGGTTGCATGCATTTCTGTAAGGTCGCATTGAACGTTGATTCAGACGTGCATTCCCCTTGGCAGCAAGGGTGGAATGAGGTCATAGCGCGGACTCTTCTCCCTCTGACACCTACTTGACATTTGTTACACTTCTCAAAACCCTTTAGGATCAATCATCTATGCTATACTCGGTCGCTGGTAGACCATGCAGAAACAGAGCAGTGGAGGTCGGAAGTCTATTCCCACTCAGAAAGAACCTATCCCTCCTTCAAGACCGGAGTTCCTATACCTGCCATGGTCAGTTGTGCGCTGCTCATTGGCTGCATGTCTCTTGATCGGACTAGTGTATCTGCTACAATTCACCCCCGCCTTCTCTCTCACGCCCATGATCTTACTCGGCGGAAACTACCAACAACCCCAAACAGAAGCCATCAATGCTCGGCCACAAATAGAGCTTCATCCGGAAGATCATGTGTACCGGGAACCGACGACTCAATATCTGAATTGGCGCGTGACATCGGATGATCGCAGACCAGATGGTGTGTTGAAGCGGGTCTATCTTATCAACGGTCTGTCGAATCAACCTATTGGTACAGTTATCACCAATCTGACTGGGAAATATCGAACTAGGCTTGTTCCCGGGACCAACTGTGGAGGCCCGCTCTGGTGACACCTTGATCATCACCGTTACCAACGCCTTGCCGGAAGAGTCGATTGCTCTGCATTGGCACGGCCTTCATGTAGCAAGTGTGTCTTCCCCTTTCTATTATTGGTTTAAAGTCTCAGGCTGACTGTTATAGATGTCATGGATGGGGCGGCCGGGGTTTCCCAATGCCCGATAGCTTCCGGAAGCCAATTCGTCTACAATCTGACGATACCATCTGATCAGAGTGGCACTTCCTGGTACCATGATCACTCAGGGGTTGCGCGTGTGGATGGGCTTTATGGTGGGCTGGTCATTCATGCACCAGCTTCCAGATCGACTGTCCGGGGCCTGATATCCCGGGCTCGCGATGAGATTCATCATTATACTTATGATAAAGAGATTCTGCTACTTATCGGTGACTGGTATCACCGCCCTGCGGTTGATGTCCTTGAATGGTATATGGATCCAGGAAATTTTGGTAATGAGGTGTGTCCCGATGCGCGGCCATGAGAATTGAAACGTTATCTGACATTGGTGTTAGCCTGTTCCTGATTCCCTCCTTATCAATGGGGCAGGGTATTTTGACTGCATGATGGCGGTCCCTGCTCGGCCAGTTGACTGCATCAATCAACTGGTGGACTATTCAATTTTTAACCTCGATCCTCGCACCACCTATCGAATTCGGGTGGTCAACACAGGGTATGTAATAGCACTTGAAGCTCAAAGCGATTCTAATTAACCATATTTTAGAGCACTTGCTGGGTTTAGTCTCTTGTTCGATCGCCATTACCTGGACCTACTCCAGGTAGATAGTGTTGATGTAGAACGTTCCAAAGCGACAGATATCAACTCCGTCGGTGTACTCTTCCCTGGCCAACGCATGGACTTTATAGTCCGGCCGGTCTCAGGGACTACGGCAGAGTCGTCATCCATAACAATTCAATTGGATAAAGAGTATGAAGAGCCTTCTCAAAGCACTACCATCTCCAGGACATACTTACTAATATTCACCAGTTGCTTCAAGTACCCCAACCCAGCATTGACTCCAGACCAGACCTTCCCCATCGACCACCGGCCCAGTAACATCACCCATCACCACCTCGACCTTGAAGAAGTGCCTTCTGCACAATCTATTATTGATGCGATTCCACCCAAAGCGGAACAAACACACGTTGTCTACACCAAAATCCAGAAACTGGCCCAATTTTCCAACAAGCCATTCGGCTACTTCAATCAAACCAGCTGGAAGCCCCAGCAACGTCCATCCGCCCATCTAGCCTCCCTGCCAAGAAACGAATGGGATGCAAATCAGCTGGCAATAACTACAGGACACGGGCCGACGTGGGTAGACCTAGTGGTCAATAATCTAGACGAAGGCTCCCATCCCTTTCACTTGGTAAGGCTGCTCTCTCCCTAACCCACAGATCTATTCACTAACGAGTATTCATCCAGCATGGGCACCATTTCTACGTTCTCGCAGTTCACCAAGCAGAATTCGGCTGGGGTTCCTACGACCCTTTCACGGAAGAAATCCCAGCACACCTAGGACCTGATTCAGAACCGGAGAAAGATGGTACAGAGACTGTTCACAGCCCCAAGACTGCTTTTATTTCCGGCCTATATGGCAAGTCGCGGGTTGCTTTGCGTGATACAGTCAACATCCCAAGTCGCGGCTATGCTGTCCTCCGTTTCCGGGCGGATAATCCTGGCGTGTGGTTGTTTCATTGCCATATCCCTTGGCATTTTGCGACGGGTATGGCCATGATTGTTGATGTGCAGGGTGATCCGGCGGGATTGGCTGCGCATGTTAGTAGTGAGGGACTTTGCTCTCTTTGAGGTAGGAAGTCCTAGTTACTTAATATCTCACTGATTTACTTCGTAGCCAATTCTAAATATTTCAAGGTAGGAGGAGGATTGGTAAGACAACGTTGGATTCTCTGGAAAACGCTTAAGATTTTTTCCATGACCATCTATACGGGTTCATAGGCTCTATATGTATAAAGGAAATGCAAGGATATCAAAGGACCGAAACAAGCCAAGCAGCGAAAAGCGACAATGCAACAGAAAAAGAAAAATTGACAAAGAATGAAGCGAGGTATAAAGAAACGTAATGAAATGGACAGTGAAGGTCAAAATGAAAAGGATGTGAGGGAGAAGGAAGCAAAAAGAGAAAGAGTGAAAGGATAGAGAAAGAGGAAGCATCTAAACACGCTTTTTGTCAAAGCCCTCAGCAGGCCATCCTTGGAGGGTATCACCATCTTCAACATGGTCACCAGAGAGGACGAGCGTATGCTCCAGAAGACAAGTATCCTGGCCCATCGAAGCACCAGACATCAACCGCGAACCAGCGCGCAAGATACTCCGATCTCCGACCTTCAAGGTATGCAACTCAAATCCACCACGCGAGTTCACATGGCATACCAAACTGGCATCATCAACGGCAACACGATCCCCAATGGTGAGGAGATCAGGCTCTGTAAAGTAAATGCTGGGAGTACCGTTGGCATGGATCGCACAGTCCTTTCCGATAGTCGCGCCCAGCAGACGGTAGTACCAGCTGATATAGGCAGATCCAGTGATCATAGGCAAGAGACCGGAACCACCGTAGCAGTCCTTGATGAGAGTCTCGCAGGAAAGCAGGAATTGCCAGCGCTGGTTGTAGCTGCTCTTGTCCCAGTGGAAGTGGCCTTCCTTGCGACGGCCCATGACAAGCCATTTGATGCAGACGATGATACCAAGCGCAAGGAAGGCTTGGACCAAGCTGATGCCGGCGAGGAGCGAGGAGAGCATTCCAAACAGGACGAATGGGCGCCAGGGACCTTGGGCGAAGCCGGCGGCGTTGCTGTGAGTGAGTGCGGCATTGAGGGCGAGAAGGGCAAAGACAACGGTGAGGAGCCAGTAGACTGTTGTGATGACAACGGAAAGAACGGAGTAGGCGACGATATCGTGGATGCGGAGAACGTGGTAGTCGGCTTCGTGGCGGTAGAAGGCGCGGCCGAAGGGTTTGCAGGTGTCCTTTTCGGTGAGCTCGCTGACGGTCGGGGTCTGTGGTTTCTTCTCGTTGGGGTGTTTCTCATCTTCACTGGCGCTGTTGGCGCTACTGCTGCTGCTTGCGACGACGGTGGGAGCGGCGGACATGGTCGTCGTGGTGGAGGTCGAGCTGGGGAATTGAACGGCTTCACCACCCTTGCTACCAGTCCAGACGGTGTTAGCGGGATAGTCGCCGTTACGGCGGAGCAGAGCACCGGAACCAATCATTGCTTCACGGCCAATGGTACTACCGGGCAGAGCGACGACACGGTCACCGACCATGGCGCCGTCGCCGATCACGATGCGGTCGCGACCGTACCCATCGGAGGTGACGAGGGTGGAGCGGGAGCCAAAAACAACGTCGTTGCCGACCTCGATGAGATCGAAGTCGGGGAGAGCGGGACCGACACTGGGCCAGTAGACGCGCTTGCCGACCTTGCCACCGAGGGCACGGATGGCCATCGAGACAAGCTCGTAGTGACGACCGACGAGACGAGTGAGTTCGTGGATATCACCAGAGGGCAGGATCTCCGCGAGCACAGCAGCTCGTACCTTCTGGCGGGTACTCTGCTTTGATGCAGGACCGGGCTGGGGCTTGCCGCAGACGATGTCGAGCAGGGACTTGATAATCCAAACAGCCGCAAAGAGTACGATCGGGCCACCGATCGCACGGCAGATTCTTGCGGTGATGTGGAAACCAATTCGCTGGCCGTTGGTGTACCATTGGAGAGTGGCCATGAACATATCGGCCGTGGGCTTGGGGAACTCCCGGACCATAGGCACGAGACCACCCATCCAAGTGAGACGAGCAGCAGTCCAGACGAGGATCTTGATAGGCTCGACAATCAAAAGCTTCCAGATCCAATGCGGTTGAGGGACGCGAGAGGTGAGCAAGTCGCGGTTGGACTCATCAGCATCCTGGAGTTCCCAGCTGGACGAGTTGGGACCAATGCATGTGTTCTCGGGAACATCAGCGCCAGCAGCGATGATGGACTTGATTCCAACAGAGCAGTCCTTGCCAATGCGGATGCGCTTCAAGAGCATGGAGGTGTTACGCTCCACAGCGAAGGGCCGGCACTGGGTTGCGGTATCCATGACGACGTTGTCACCAATCTCAATCAAATCATACTCACCTAACTTGGTGGATGGAGAAAGTGTGACGTTCTTGCCAATCTTTGCGCCAAGGAGACGATAGAAGAGCACGCGGGACCAGTTCCAGTGGTTGAACATGCCCTTTCCACACACCTGCAAGGCCTTCTGAGTCAACCACCAGCGGGTGTGGTACGGACCCCACATGGGAGACATGCCCTCCTTGTAGCGACCGATGACAAGCCACTTCCAGGTAATACCGCAGATAGGGAAGACAATGTGTGCAGCTATGCGAGAAGCAAGCACAGCCAGAACGATCAGAAGCAAACGGCCAATGAGGAGATCGCTAATTGGGAACCGCCACGAGCACTCGGCCACAACGTAGGCGAACACAAGCCACTGGAAAGCACGCTTCATGGGGTAGAAGAAGGTGATAGGGAACAAGTGCAAGATCAGGAGAAGCGGATTCGTGCTGCTGTATGTCTTCTCGCAACCAGGCAACTCGACCTCCTCGTCATCGCCCTTCGCAGCCTTGACCTCAACGGCTTCGGTGACCTTGTGCTCGATGGCACCAACGGTGCTGTGGTGGAAGAGAACATCGCCGGCCAGGAAAATGTTGAATTCGCGACGAAGTTGGGAGACGAGGCGGCCGGCACTGAGACTGTCACCACCAGCGGCAAAGAAATCGGTAAGCGCGGAGATGTCCTGTGCCTCACAAGAAAGCGCCACAGCGAAAATCTCCCGCACACGTGACTGAATGGGCGACAGGGCGCCGTCCGAGTTGCAGGCGCGAATTGCATCGTCGATAGCAGCTTGATCGGGTTTTCCATAGAAGTCCAGTGGCATGGGTCCTTTCAGGGCAGTAATGCGACTGGGAACAAGGTATCCATCCAGGCGGTCGTGGAGATCGCTGGGTGTGACATGAATATCATCCGGGTTCGGGGCGAATAGAACAGCCTGAGCGAAGCCATCGCGGGGGTGCTTGTGGATGTGTACCTCAGCAGTGTTGGCCATCTGAGTAAGAACCGAGCGAATGATGTTGTTGTCGATGATACATGCCTCTTTGGGGATAGATTGACTGAGCGGAGTACCATTTGGCGGGCACACAGCTTGGAAATGTCGGTCGGCCAGGGGCGTGGTCGGAGTCAGAGGTTCCAAGGCCAAGCGCTGTGCGAGCTTGATACGCTGGATTTTGTTGTTCGACTTTGGCACACGGTCCATGTACACCACAAGAGCAGGCCATTTGGGCTGGTGAATGATGGGCTGCAGTGCTTCATGCAGCTGACGAAGGTCAGGCCGGGTACTGCCGGGGGTTGAGACGATGACCACACCGACGACTTCCTGTAGCACCTCATCGGGGACAGAGAACGCCAATGTCTCAGCCACGCGGCCGAATAGTGGAGAGCCGGGGTGCTTAGCCGCGGCCAGGACAGCGTCTTCCACTTCGACGGGAGAGATGATCTCACCCCCACGATTGATAACCTCCTTGCTGCGGCCGGTGATGTACAGGTAGTTGTCGGCATCGAGGTATCCCAAATCACCGGTGTCGAACCAGCCAGACTCATCGAATGCACTGGTGTCGATGTTACCCTCGGCGTTGAGGTACCCCTCAAAGGCGGGTGATCCACGAATGCAAATGTGTCCGAGCATTTCAGGTTGTGGGACATGCTTGCCACTTTCAGTCAAGATTGCAACCTCAGGACCAACAATCTGTCCTGATGTCCCATGACGGTCCAGAGTGTAGTTCTTTGGCGGTGCGGCAATGGGCATACATTCAGTCATACCATAACTGGGAAGAATCACACAGTTGAAAGTATTACGAAGCTGCACGGCAAGAGTGGGTGGAAGACCAGCACCGGCGTTACAAATGAACTGGATTTCACTTTGCTGGATAGCCTCGGGGCGGTGCTCGGCTTCACCAAGGATCATCTGGTGCATTGTGGGTGTGGCATAGTACCACGTAGGGGTCATGTGAGGGCTTTGGACGGCATCCCAAAACATGCTGGGGTCGAAAGCCGGGCAGCAGATGGTAGCACCGCCGGCGAGGATTGGAGAGAGGATACTGCGAACGATGCCACCACTAATTTCGTTAGTAACTTCCTATGCATTCTGGCGGGGGAAACATACACATGGTTCAGCGGCATCATGTTGAGACAGGTATCTGTCTCCGACAATTCCACCGACTCGATAGTGGCCATCGTTCCCGCGATGAGATTGAAGCTCGTGATAGGAACCAGCTTCTTGTTGCCACTGGTACCACTGGTGAAGAGGATAATGGCGATATGATCACCGGTATTAGGGGCAGTGTGTACTGCAGCAGTCGCATGTTGTGCAGAAACCACCCGGAAGGTCAGGTCTTCCAGGGGCTCGATTCCAAACACTGGCCGGCTACCGTTGTCCAATTGCAGCTTGCCAATGTCAGCGTCCAGCGCGACAACAGCATCGGCTTGCACCTGCTCGATATCCACGTGCAGTTGCTCTGGCACCGTGTTTGATGCCATGGGTACAATGGTGTATCTATTAGCAAATGCGAGAATCGCAATTGCCAGGAGAGGACCATTGGGCAGAATGACAGCAACGCGAGGCTTTCCATGGCGAGAAGGTCCCACGGGTAGTTGGAAGTTCTGTACAAATTGCCGGATGCCGATATGGGACAGATGTCGTCCGGTTGTGGCGTCAATGAAGCCGGCACGAGAATCTGTCCCTATTACATCTGCAATGCAAGGAGTAGCTGCCTTGACTTGTGCACGGAGGCGAGCAACTGATTCATTATTCTTCACTTTGAGGGACTCGGGGAGGGACTTGTAGATGTCCTGGAACGTTGAAATTAATTGACGGAGTGGCCAAGGGCCGGAATGTGAGGATAATAGTGAAGAGAGGTTCTGGGCGGCGTCTGGTTGTGATGCTCCGTTACGGAGGTCTGAGAGCTGTTCCACGAGGCTGTTTGATAGTCAGTCTTCAGAGCAAAAGATAAGAGGGACCGGAAAAATGAGCACATACGACGAGTCTGGCATGACTGCCATACTGTATATAATAAATTGTATAAGGAATTTCCCGTGCAAAAGACACTTCCCGCAGACTATCAATGCACGTCTATGGAATATTGGAATCTGAAACGAGGAGCCCTCGACAACTTATACTCTTCGATGGCAACACCTACGCCCTGAGATCCACCGTCGAGTTGAAAATTACGATGTACGACGTGCTTCGTACCTCACGGACCCATCTGCGAGTCTGCTTTGCTCCATGTGGTTAACTGGATCAATAGCGAGTCGAGAACGACCCGCAGAGCGTCCGGGTGCTCATGCTTGGCTCTGTCCCATGGAATCCCTATACAGAGTTGGAGAAACAGGGGAAGGGGAGGGGGGTGGAGATGCATCTCTTGGCATGGCAGTCCACATCTACCGCACGGAGTCCGATGTACGCAGTATATGCCTGGCTGTGCTGGCACTGGCCAAGGCAGTTGTTCTGTTATCTTCAGGAGACCAGGGGTCTAGCGATCTCTGCAGCTTTTTGACTTTAAGCCGCTTCGCATGATCTAGCATGGGTTATTTTCACAATCTGATGTATCTGCTGCATGTGCTTTATATTCATTCACTCACCAAATGTACATCTCCTACTGTGTATATGACCTTATCCCCAAGCTTTGTCGTACCCGCCACATGGGATGCCTTTCCCTGGATCGTCATCGATCGTCCACTAAAGCGAGAACCCACGTGGGTCCACAACGGACGATGCTTAGCAATTATTGGCAATCGGATCCCCTACGGAGCACACTCGGTGTGGATGATAGTGTAGAGTAACTACTGGGGCCGATCAACGAAAATCGTAAGGACCTCCCAAATATCAGCCTAAGGACCCACTTTGACGGCAAACTGCAGGCCCCACTGATCGACAGGACCTCTTCTCTTGGCTCGGATGCAGATCTTATGCAGTTCGACCCTGGACCCCTTATACTTTGTCAGCCCTGAGGGCCCCTTACAAGACACTCGAGAACCTTTCCGGGACCCTCCAATACCTGGTACTACCAGGCCATTGTCAGTGCCTTTTTCCATTTTCGATTTATCACATTGCGTGCTCTTCCCGGTTAATATGACGTTATGCGGCACCGGAGGAATCCCGAACATGAATAGATTCGGCTTATCAGTCGGGAAATACATCCATCCCGACACCTCGGGGTCCCCGGACCTTATCTTGGGCTTCGGCAGGTGTCGGCATGGGGAATTGCACATTTGTATATACACATGTCCAAATCAGATGGGTTTTGCAGTTGAATTCTTTTTTTATTTTTTCTATCAATTGCGTCGGGAAAGCTGTCAAATCGTTATCTTGCGCAATTGCAGGGATGTCATTATCTCAAAGTGGACTAATCCGTGTAATGTGCTGAGCTGTCTGTCTATTTTAATCTGATACATTCGATACGACTTGTACATGTCAGTACAGACCCTGAAGGATAAACACGCAAACCAGATCGAGCCTTTGTCGCCTCCCTCCACAGAAGCCGTTGCAAGTAAATTGCCCTTGTACGTGTGCGCTGTAGTGCATAACATTGGTCTGGACAATAGTGGAGAAACTCCCACGCTTGCTGCCATCACAACGGATTAAACTGAAACAAACCTTCTCCTCCCCAGAGGATGCCAGCCCAATCCAGGTAGATGTTGTATCCATGGATGGAACTACGATGGCGTTACATTGCGAAGCTGCTGTACAGAGTATCTCCCAGCAAATGAGATCACCGCATGCGCCGCAGACTTCCAGATCCAGACAGTTCACCTTGTCGATCATGGCCCACCAGCACCATAGAGGGAAGAAGTCGGAAGTGGAAGTCGGAAGTCCCCAATGCCTTTCAAGGCTGTGTCTCGCCATTGGAATTACCCCGATAAGATCCATGGTAACTTTGAAAGTCTCCGGGAATTGGCTTTCGAGAATTTTCCATTTCCAGTCTTCAGTGTCGGAAGGTTCCAAGATTCCAAGGTTACGAAATAGGACCTTGGTAGTACCGTCCCGGGGGCTCCCGGGGGCCCCATGGGCATTATTACCTAACACATCGCGGCAGTGGACTCCGGGTACCAACCTTTACGTGATATCATTGTCGTACTCGTGGGACGTATGTAGAGTGTATATGGAGCTGTATAAACTTTTGGAGTATATCGCATTCCAGGCGGGAGCATAAAGTGAAAAAGCATTGGGCGTTCTACGTGCACGACGGCAACGAATCAGCGCTCACCATGATGAAAGTACGTTATCATGCCAAGCCTTATCCCTGCCAGGAATCCTTGAGCTCGAACATAAGTACGAGAGCTGACACATGAAGAAACGCCATAGGCAGAATTATGAGCTTTCCCGATAGAGATTTTGCTTTTATGTAACTTACAAGATCCCCAAGTTCAGTGGAGTTCACTTCGGAATATTTCAAAAGAAATAGGTAGAAGTCTCCTCACCTCGGACACAAATACTCCGTAATGAAATTTCTAAGTCTATGCAGAAGAGTTTGAGTTGATCAAGATTTATCTGATCCGTTATACTAACGACTTACAGGGGCAGATCGCCTAGTGAGCTCCATGCAGACAAGATCTGCGCCACAGCGGATAGTCAGATCAACTCTGAATTGATCTTATCAGATGGGCGTTGTGTACAGAAAAGGAAAGTTTACCGGTTTTCGGCGTGGGGAACTGGATTTTCCCTCCTCTTTTTTCTCTTGAAGGGTCTACGGAGTACGAAAAGTAAACTTTCAGGGCTGGACGGGAACATCGTAGTTCGTCGGAACTTCACTATGACCTAACTGACCCACCCGTACCGTCTAGCCATGGGCCATGGCGATCTTCAGGACCCACAGTCCCCTAGTCCACGCAAAACGCGCGTGCAATAAACCATTGGCCTCGGTTGTTTCAATATGTTGCCTGAAGGGTCTTGGCTGTATGATGTATCTTGTACACAAAGTACTCTGCAGTATGGCATTGTCATCACGATCTCGATCGTATGGCTTGAAACTATTCATGCAGGGACATGCAGGGCCCGGAGCCATCAGCGTCGGTCCCGAGGAGTCCGACGGAGTTTCGGTCGTTATACTGGAAAGGTATGGAATTTAAGTTTTTACCGCCGAATTGGTGATAGCGGAGGGTTCAGCCGGTCTTCTGGTAGCTTTTTCTCGCATGCTTTGCTCAACTCGGCTTCCCTTGGCATGCCTGCCGCCATCCTCACGGCTTGTCTCCCGGCTTGTGTATGATGCTGAGCGGACGTTGGATGGAGAACATTGGAGTTGCGGCTCGGTCCTCAGGGGAGGTGCAGGGGATGCACTGGCGGAAGATAAGGACAATGCAAGATGCCGCTGTTGCCTTCGCCTTCCAAGCAATTAGATGCATTCGCGATATCGCAAGACAGTCTCGATTGATGATCCTTCTGAGGATTCGTATCTACTGTGATTCATTCTCGTGAGAGATAGGATCTTTGATCTGAAGATCAATCGACGAGCATTGCCAATCGCGATGGCACACCTATCAAGTCGGGAAATGGCTGGTAGGATTCCAGTGCGATGCGATGTCACCACGAAGATCCCTCGGAAGTTTGTTCACTCTGCTGCGTCAATGTAGATACAGAAGATCAACTTGGGATTCAGCGTACGCCATACCTTGTACATCGTTACATGACACGCCACGAGCAGACAATAGTGACACCATACAAAGAGCTGCGTGCATCGTACAGTAGATCGAATATGCTGATCACCAGAGCAATTCGGCCGCATGCTCAGTTGAATGGTCGCCAGCCGTCACTGTTGGACCACTTTCTTCCACGCGAGGTGGATATTGATGACCCTATCCTCGCCAAGAGTGATCTTCAACCCTCCGGTCGTTGCGATGTCTGCCTGCCAGTGCTTGGCGCGCGGCCATTGTGATCTGTTTGAAACCTGTAACTAGTGGATAGTTAAAGTAACATCGGAGCTGCGTCAACGGCCCACTCAGCCTTTATTGCGAGATATTCTTAGGTATGTAGTACAATGTGTCGTAGTTGGCCTCTGACGCCACAGCCGGACTATTAGACCCGTGGGCCGCCGCTGTTTCATGGAGTCCACTTCCGTTCAGGGGTGACGTCTGAACGAAGCTGCTATGGCAAACAAGCAGGAAAAGAGCTTTACGGCGTACGCAGTAGGCATCTTGCCAAGCTTAGTGTAGTCTTGAAGATTCTGTACTCCGTATGTTGTATCGGATTATCCCAAGCAATCGAAGGTGCACGTGGACTCCACTAATTCAACAGTTATCCTCATCCGATCCATTTTCGTGTCCATCTCCCTGCACCTCCGCCATCGTTTTCTTGTCCACAGCCTTCTTGAACAATAGGACCTGCCTGTCCAACGGATATTCCAGCAAGAAGTCCCACGCCACCCAACAATATTTCTGCGGCGCTCCCTTCAGATATCCCTCCGCAATAGCCCTCTCCAAGCCAACAGGGACATTGAGTCGCCACAATGCGAGAATCTCATAGCCGTACTTGGAGCTTTTCATACCAGCGTTGAAGTCTGCATTGCCGATACCTCCGTCTTCGGGAACCTCGCCTGGGTCTTTCCCTGGAGATATACGGGCGACGTATTGGATTTCTTTCGTTGGGCTGCTGGTGTAGAACCAGATGTACTTGATGCTCGGTGAGAGAAGATAACTGCGGTATTCGTGGTTCTTGGATCTCGAGACGATGTTCTGCATGTGTTCTGGCTTTATGCTCATGAAGATGTCTAATGTCGACTTGGTTAGAGCCCGTTGCATCTTGAAGAGGTATGTATGAGATAGGTAATCTTTCAATGTAGCAGTGCTCATCAAGGGTGAATCCATGTTGGGACCTCGGGAGCGGTGAAGCTGCAGCCCGGTGTACTGTGTAGGGGGCTGGAGTACTTACCCACGCGTAGGTACTGTGGACATACTTGAAGGTTGAAACACGGTTCAATAACGTAGACTGAGATTTATTCAATGTTCCATACCTATGGAGTGACAACTGAGGTTGTAATGTCTAGGCATCACTCTACAACTTGTTTGGTACCTAGGTAAGCAGGAACCGCAGTAGGTATGGTATACAATTCCAAACAATAATCGTAATCATACTGGGTTCACAGAGTATAAAGTACAAGACTGCGTGTTCTGTGCAAAGAATGACGCCTTATTGAAAGCCAAAGCCCCCGAGAGAGAAGGAAAGATATGATTACAAGGCTGTGCAAAGACGGCCATAGAAAGAAACCAGAAGGAAGAGAGGGAAAGACCAGCTTCGCCATTCGGGCTCCCAATATTATGGTCATAGACAACAAAGTTATGAAGAGGCAGCAGCCCACTCAACAACTTCTAGAGCAGCCATGACCAGTACGAGCGTAGATGGAAGGATCCTAGAAAAGGGCCAAGATGTTAACAATGATCAATTGAGATTGACGGTCTGGATAATGGTGCGTCATGTAGATAAAATGGAAAAACTCACCAGACAACGTAACTCTGGAATAGAAGCTTCGACATGGCGCCGACGTAGACATTGTTGATCTGGCAGATCTGCGCCAACTGCAACGCCGAGGGTGCACCGGTAAGCAGGAAGCAGACGATAACAAAGATCGGATCGTCGAGGATGCTGACCGGCACAAACTTGGCTGTGAGTGCCAGAATCGGCGCCATGATGAGAGTAGGAAGAAGCATACGCGCAAGGAGAGAAGCAATGATAAGTTTGCGTTCCTCGCGGGGATGCTCCATGTCCTCTAGTGCCTCTGCGGGAATCGTGTTGCGCGCGAGATTCGCGCCCAGCACGACCAATATCAGTGGCACAGCGACCTGTCCGTTCTGTTCAATTGCGCGAGTGACTGAGTTGCGGACGAATGTACCGTCACCGAAGAAGAGGCCCTGGAGCGCCGGAACAGATGCGACAATTATTGACACCAGCATTGCCCACAGTGGCGGGTTCATGAAGTCCCATGCGCCACGGAAGAATCTACGCACTCCACGCGTGGTGGAAAAGAGGGCTTTTTGGGCATTTGGCGGGAGACGCGTGTGGAGAGCGTCGGTTCGTTTGTCCCACCACCGACCGGTACGGTCTCGCGATTTCCGTAGATGAGCTGCCCAACGCTGCAGTTGTGTCCTCTCGGATTCTTCGGCTTCTCGCGCGGAGTTTTCAATATCCGGAAATTGAAGGATGTCGCCCCGAGAGCTTTGGCGGGGGAGGAAGGGGCCATTAGGTGGCGGCCCGATGAATGAGGGAGTGTCATCCAGATCAGGCTCATCAGAATGGGTGGATGATACCTTCGAGTAAGCATAGGGTCGCGATGACACGGGTGTCTGTTCTCCAGATGGCAGCCGGCTGTCAGGGTGGATGTGGTGTAGATCATCTGAGCTGCGTGTTCGAACAAGCGGTTCATCCGGGTCTGTCTGTTCCGGATTGTCGATGTATCGCGCCTGACCCTGCTCGATGATTGACTGGCCACTGCCGTCACTCTCCCCCTCCTCGAGGTAGCGATCCTTGGGCGCTAAGAGAACGTGGTATCCCCAGCTCCAGCGCACAAGTTGGCCTAGTTGCTGGAAGATCAACAAGTATAAAATCCCGCGGGCAGCGACTTCGTCATCGTTGTCATTTGGAATTTGGTCCCAGTGGAGGCCTTTGAGGGTCTGTGAGAGCGATACGACGAGAGAGATTGGGAGGGAGTTTGAATTGCCGAAGACCTATAGATAAGAAATGGTCATTAGCACTGGATGTTCGATTTCGCATATGACAACACCAACTTACCGCCATGGCAGCCACAAAGTTTGACTGTCGCTTTTTGAATCGGCAGCATTTTGAGACAATAAAGGAGCAAAAGTATGATACGAAAGTCTGTACGATAAAGATCACCGGGATGATAGCCAGGTCCGTCAGCTTTTCGGCGGTCAATTGTGAGCCCAACTTTGTGAAAACTAGTGAAGCAAGTCAGCTATCGACCGCACTAAGGTCTAAGCCCATACCAAGAGATCGGGAGAGGAGTGCATACTGAGGCACGGGGTGAACAGAGTCACGTTGAGATTTGCCACCAGCTTCTGCGCGTCGGCATCGAACATGCCCTGCTGGGCGGCAATATAACCAGGGAAGCTGACGCAGATGACCTCTAGCACAGCTTCAAATACAAGCAGCACTAATTGAAAGAATGGGGGGTGGCTCTCATGGGCGGTTGGCATGAAGCGGCTGATGCCCATAGGAGCCTGAGGGATGATAGCATTGACATTCTGAAATGATCGGGGCGCGGTAAAGATGGCCATCAGTGAGCGTTGTGAGGCAGATATCGGAGTCCTTGATAAATAGGGGAACCCCAAGACAGGTGAGGTGAAGTTGAGAAGGAAAGAATCACATTCGTGACATTCCTTGGTTTGGTCCTCAAGCTTGGCAGTCTGGCCCACGTTGATAGTTCCATGATAGAGCTTGATTTTGTCTTATCGCCCAGCTGCATTCGGCCTTGATTGTGTCCTTAGGCTCCAATTCAAATTTAACATGTATGGCGCAATGATGTCAAATGCATTAATACAACATCTTCGTATAGTACAAGGGTTACTACATGTTTTCTTGTGCAACGAAGTATTAAACAAGACCAGTTATGACTTATGGGCGATCAGCAATGACGCGTTTGGGCGAGATGAGGCGATATCGTCACGCCAAGACTTGGCCCGTGCTTGTTACTGCACTGCCCGGGAGAGATAGGAGTACGGAGTAGATTGCCACAAGGGTAGGTACTCCGTAGTCCGTACTGTGTACTTGAAGCCCGTATGGCGTATTTTGATATATCGATAAATGTCAGAGGAAATTGAAATTAGACTAAGTGCTCAATGAACTCTGTCCCAAAGGAGATGGGACTGGTATATTAACAAAAAAGTTCGACAGCCCACTGCTGCCTGTGAGGCTGTGCCACTTTAGGCGCTTCGTTCCTCATTCACAAACCCCAATTTTTCACCAATCTTGATGCGCTGGCCCTTCTCAATACTCCAGGTCCAACCATCGCTCGGGCTATCATCTGGCCAGCCGGCATCAACAGACTTGCGAGTTCCCAATGGAGCCTCAAACACAAGTACGATTGAGCTGCCAAGCTGGAAGCCACCCATCTCCTCTCCACGCTGTAGGGGATGTCCGTTAAGGGTCCGGCTAGCATGACGGTAAGTCGCTTCGACAAAGCCGGGATACTGTTCACCGCGCTTGGCAGCCAAGGCCGCAGCCAAGTCCGCAGCGGTATCAGTCAACAGGCTGTTGGTGCGCAGCTCTGAGTCAAAGTTGATTTTGATTGAGCCTACGTTGGTAGCTCCGACCGGTGTGTAACTGAAGAAACCCCACCGCCACCGACCGAGAAGTGCAACTCGCTCGTTGAGAGTGAATAGACCAGGCAGATGCCTCTGCAAGTACGGCGAAACCGAGTATAACTCGCCTGCAAAGTGGCGGCGGCTCTCGACCACCCAGGCAGCGGGGGAATGGAACCGATGGTAGTCGCCAGGCGCTAGGTAGATCACAACGTAAAATAAGGCGTGGTTCGCTGCTTTTTTGGGTGCGTACCAGGGAGAGCCATCGCCACGTGCCAATTCCTCTTGAACCTGGATTTCGGAAGTTGCCTTGGATGCAGTTGAAGCATCCATAGAACTATGCCGTTTAGGAGCGTCGTTCTCGCCAGACAGCAGGCTAGGAAGGGTGTAAGAAATCCCGTTCATGCGTGCGAACTCCTCATGCGCGGCCATATGCTCGGCATCCTTATGGTCTTCTGTTTTCATGTCGGTAAGACGATTGGTGTGGTCAGCGTGCGCAGGAGTGGCTGATCCTAGTAGAGCATCCAAGCTGTATGTCATTCCTTTCACTTGTTCAACCTCGCCCCGCTCGATCATGCCAAATTGTAAGATCCGGCCGTCGGAGGGTGCGAGAAGAGCGCGTGGGTCGGGATCCAATGGACGAACCCCAGGTTTCAGTTTGCGGTAGAAGAATGCTGCCAGGTTCGGATACGTATGCAAGTCGGGCTCAGCAACCTCATCGAGGTTGACGCCAAAGGCCCAGGAGTAGAGCTTGAACCCAGGGACACGGAGGTAGTACGGAAGTTCGATTTCGTTGAATTGACCCCACAAACGCGACATAGCCTTCAGGGGCAGCGTGGACATGATCTGTACATGCCATGGCCCCGACAGGCTGACTCTCGGCCGACGCGGAGGCCGTTTTCCATTTTCCCATTCATCGCCAGCCGCCTCACGACGTTCCCGTTCCCGTTCTGCGCGCTGCGACTTGTAAAAAGACAGCAATCCTAGTAGACCGATTCCGAGTCCGACAGGGATGGGATACCATTCGACCTTGGTATTGCGGAGAGCGAAGCCTAACCGTGAGCCAAAGCCTCCTTTGTTGTTTTCGGGATTATTGTCCTTGTTGTATTGTCTCCATGATTTGGACGAAAAATGCCGGAGGCTGGCCTTGTGACGGGCCGTGGCCCGGAATGAAAGAACCTCCATCGACGCAACCCCAGTCCGAGGCGCAGCGGGAGGGCAGTGGTGGAGAGGTAATGAAGTGAAAAGGCGCTTGGCCATAATGTTTAATCCATCGGCCTGGAGCGCTAAAATCGACCCCTAGGCCCTGAGCGCTTTTTTCCGAGAATGGAAAATCCCCTGTTGCCGATTGACCGCCCGGCAGAACTGCACGTGGATGACACCAACTGTCTATTCAGCTCGTTCGACAAGTCGCAACTGTACTTCATCGCTTAATAGGCATTTCTGTATCGCTGAAGTCTTTGCATCTTCCCAATAGCTGTATTAAACCTATGGCTTCTTCTGCTCCCGCCTAATCTCAACGCTACGAAATTGGCCCCTCTCGTCATTTGACTGTTGCCAGGTATCAACAACTTGACCAGGTCGATATCTGCATTCAAAGGTTGCTGGCAACTACAATTCTGGCTACCTAACTCTGTTTATCTTCTCAAACATAGTTCCACCAGCTTCTTCTCTCTTATTGAGTCCGCAGAGATACACTACGATACATCCAAAGCTCTTATCAATCGACCGATGCCAGAACCCGGCATTTAGATTACTCTGACTTTGCATCGCGCCTCATCACTCCTGCTTCTTACGTTCCTTTCTTGCTCCTACGGAGTGCTACCAAGGGTTGCCTATATCCATTTCACGTCAATTCGTTGATACTCGGTACGCGCAATCAGATGACGTCGCTCTAAGCAGTTGGGAGAACAGGAAACTAACAGTCCACAGCAATGGACTCGGGTCAATCCTCACCGCAGCCCGTGAATGATGGAGACACACCGAGCTTGATCACGCTGCATCTACTGTGTCAATCTCTGCCTCCTCCAAGCCGTTTCACACTTGACAGCGTCCCACTCTCTATAACAGTTGGCCAGCTGAAGGAACGGATCGAGCGTTCCTTCCCTGGGAATCCTGGAGCATCTAGCCAGCGGTTGATCTACAGAGGGAAGGTGCTCAGTTCCAATGATGCCATGCTTCGAGCGGTGGTATCGTCTATGGTAAATAACTCTTTTCCAGCCCACGCCCATGTGATATCGTGCCCTGACTAGACTGATCTCTGCAGGAAACCATTGCCAGTATGCACCTTGTACTGCCACCGGAACCAGCGAACCCAGAAGCACCCTCTATACACTCTCCAGAATTCAGTCCAAGTTTTGCTTCGGCACCCACCGTTCCAAGTCAAACCAGTTCTATTACTGGAACCGGAGTCGGCGCATTCCCGGCATTCCGCCCTAGCACTTCGAATCTCCCAGGTCTCAATCAAAATATTCCCTCGTCATCGTCTGAGACGCAATCCACCACTGCAAATTTATCAGAGACCGATGATACATATTTCCCTCGGGTTGTCCAATCATTCCGCAACATAATTGAACATGTCGAGCGACAACTGGACCGCAACATGCCGATATCCATGCAGCATATTGTTCTTATACGGACATCAATTTTTGAATTCCAGGATATACTAGATGCAAGACAGCTTCATCTGGCGGAGGTTTCGGAATTAATTGGCCGTCTTCTTGAGGCTCAACAGCGCACTCGCACATTGCTTAACACGCAACCACACCTTTTTCAACCCGAGTTTATAGCCCAGGACCGACTCTTTGGCTCGAACGGCATGAATAGAACAAATGCTTTTACGGCAAATAGCATATATACAAGCGGAGGGAGCGGCGCTCAGATGTTCTTGCTTTCTTCGCCCACAGGACAGCCTCATATCGTGGCAAGCGGACAAGCTGTGCCATTACCCGAAGTTCAGCCGGCCGTCCCGTACATTCCAGCTGCTACTCGCACGGCAGGCGCACCCCAACCCCCTGATCCACATGCAGCGGTAGTCCAGAATGCTATCCGCCAAGCAATGGTTAACCAGCAGCGTCAGGGCGACAACATTGAGCACGCCGGTTTAGCACGCCATATCCGCCGTATCTGGCTCTTCGCCCGATTGTGGTTCCTCTGCTACCTTGTTAGCGCTCCGGACACCTGGAGGCGCTGGATCTTTGTCGGTGTTGCGCTGCTTGTAACATTCCTGTCAGAGACCGATATTCCGCAGCAGCTTGTACGTCTTATCATTACGCCCCTGCAGCGCCATCTCGAAGGTCTCACCCATGCTGGCGGACCGGCAGACCCAGCAGCTCAGACTAGGCCTAATGGCCCCGCCGCAAGGCTCGATATTTGGGACTCGATTCGCCGCGTAGAGAGATCCCTTGTTCTGCTTTTTGCCAGTCTGGTTCCTGGACTCGGTGAACGACAGGCCCAGGCTCGTACTGCTGCAGAGCAAGCTTTTCTGGCTGAGCGAGAGCGACAAGCACGCGAGCGACTGGAGCAGGAGCAGGCACGGGAGCGACAGGGGCAAGAGCAGACACCGCAGGGTCAGGAGCCACAGCAGGCGCCCGTGCATCGAGAGTAAGAACAGGTTGAGGCGTACACCTAGGTATGCCACCAATGTACTGGGCAGAAAGTTGGCTGGGAGAGGATGCTACCCACACACGCCGATTATGGTCAACATGACAGATCTGGACGAGTTTTGGAGATTCTAGCATTTCTATTCACGGCTCTTCTGATCATATTCTATTCAGCAGCAGCGTCTTGAGTCTATTCAATCCAACTTCCCATCTCAACCTATACTTACAACTTCGTAGCCCCTACATTCGGAGCCGGCTCCGAAGGCGGCCCCATAGGTCCCCCAGCCGTATTAAACGATTCTTCACCATCAAAGTGCCTACAAGAGCTCAAAATCAGTTACAGTCCCAAGTATTGCCATCAAAGAAACATAGAGAATCAACTTACCATCCACGCTCAGCACCCCCACTCAAAAACCCACAATCCCCATTCGCAACACAATCCCATCCGCCCCCAACACCTGCACCTCTCCAAGCCGGCGCAGAGGCCGACACCCGCATAAACGTCGTCCCCTCAGCCAGCGGACTCTCATCCCCACTCCCATCCTTCCCATCACCACCCTCCCTACCAACAGAAGAAGACAACATCCCCCTCCTCTTAAACGTACTCAACCCAGCCGTAAAAACATTAAAATCCTCCTCCGAACTATCATCCGGCATGCAACCCGTCAAAGCCCGACCCATAGCAATCAGCGGCGCCGCATGCGCGCATATCAAAATCGCCTTACTCGTTCTCTGAGACGGAGCCAGTCCGGCTTCGGATTCGCTGATCTCGGCGTCCACGTCGGCGATTATACCTTCCAAGGCTTTCGCGACGCGATTGTGTAATTGGGTTATTGTTTCGCCGCGGCGGGAGGGGATTAGGAGGGGTTTGTAGGTTTGGGTTGGGGTTAGGACGGTTGGGAAGTGTTTTGTCATTGTTTCTTGGGTTGGGTGTGGCGGGTGGTCGAAGAAGTTTGTTGCGCCGAACCATTCTCTGGGGTTTGTTAGTTTGATCTTTGCTGGAGAGGTTTGTAGGATGGATGGCGTGTGGATGTAGTTATATGGGAAAAGCAAGGGGGGGGGGGGAATGCTACTCACCCAAGCCCGTTCTCGAGTCTAATGTCCAATTCCGCATGTCGGTCAATTGAGCCAATTCGTCCTTGTTGGCTGTCTGCGTCAGAGTGTATCTTCTTCAGCTCTTCGACTGTGGGCTGGATTGTCTGGATGCAGCGGTAGAAGGGACTCGAGTAGATGCGGAATGGTTTGGGGTGGAATTGCGGGTTGGCGATGTGTGCTGCTAGTTCGTGTGACTGGCGCACGCCGTGAGAGGTCAGCGCGGGGTCGGCTGGGTTTCCTGTTGGCGTGGGGAATTGGGCTCTATAGGTTCCAGTGCGGAAGTCGATGGTCCAGCTGAGGCGGTGCTGTGGTTTGTTAGAGAGATTTGGTATAGGGTTGTTTGGGGTTCATACCCCGTGGCGGGTCAGGTATATCGTGTCTAAAGGCATGGTGTATGTATACTGGAGAGTATGTGCAACGATACTCCGGACTTGAGTATGTTGCGGGGAAGGCAGAATACTTGTATGCTGGAAGGCGGTGAATGTGTACCTCGGCCCGTGGCTACGATGAATAGAAGCTACTGAGTACGTGCGTGCTAAGGAGAGAGCAGATGGACGAAATTGCAGACCAGATCTTTTAGCATTGATACGAGCGAACCATGTACACTGTAATCAACCAACGTGCGGAACAGATGGGGTATTTTGTTCACAGCTACAAAGTCCAGATTACAATCCAGGGTCCAGCCCATCACCAGCGCCATGCTAAACCAGTCAAAGCAAGAACTTTTCTCAATTCTTTTTTAAAGACTCTCCATCTAGTAGAAGAAGCCGAGGAGCTTGCCGGCAACGTGCTTGCGGCGAGCCTCCTCGTGGTCCATGATACCGGCGGAGGTGGTCAGGACGACGTAACCGAACTGACGGGAGGGAAGGAGCTGGGTAGCCCACTTCTCGAGGTCACGGAGCTGAACGGGGTAGCGGGGGTTGATGACACCACACTTGTTGAGGCTAGAGAGGGAAGGTCAGTTTGCCATTCTGGTGAAGTTGGTAGGTTGTACTGGTGAATACATACCGGCCGTTAAGCTGGATAACGATCTTGCCGGAGCGGTGGTCATCGACCTCCTCGAACTCGCCAATGTAGCCTGAGAAAAGAAGAGTCAGTATGTTGCGAAGATTTAAAAGTAGTCAAATACAGAATGCCATAACAGCGCTTTTGAAAACGTGTAAGATCTTCACAGATCAATATATCGGACACTTAAAAGGCAGACGTCGTGGGTTGGTTGAGACCGGCCGCCTAGTTATCAGCCCGAATGGCTGTGACAAATGTGCTCAAGACAGGAGAGAGGCAGAAAGATAGAAAGATAGAAAGAAAGAAAGAAAGGAAAAAGAAATCGATGTAGAAGGTTTCAACTCGACGTACCGTGCTTCTGCATGACAGACAGGAACTTGACGATGACCTTGGAGGAAGGACGGATGAGGACCTGGCGCTTGCCAGCCTTCTCGGCGTTGTTCATGGCGTTGAGCGCATCGTTAAGGACGGAAGTCTTGACCATTTTGACGGATTGGAATCGAGATTCTCAAAATCGTAAAAAGAATTTAAAGGATTATGAGGTATCTGTTGGTAGCAGGCGGGTTCAAGTCAGCCACCACTAGTCTTCGAGCGCAAAGAGTGCCCCTTTTTGCATTGCAAGGAGTTCTTCAGCCCGTGCCGAGTTGGGAGATGCGTATCATCTTGGCTTCCTGGATCACAGTTCCTCTGAGAATTATCTATAATTCCCATCTTCGGAAGCAATCTAGACAAGATGATTGCATCCCCAGACTAGCTGAGCTGTCGTTGGGGTGGGAATATCACATACCTCGAAGGATGGTCGACGATGGATGAAGCGAAGAGAGAAGTTGGACGATCAAACTTTGCTTTTCGGGTGGTGCGCGGGTAGGGTTAATCCGCACAACAACCCTTATCTGAATGAAGAGTCACGTGGTGATATACATACTCATCGATCTTCTTGCCTTAGGCACTAACTATTCTACATTAGGTTTAGCTTATCACAAGCCCCTCGAAAGTCGAAACTCTACCAGCACCATATTCACCATCGGACACTACCGCAAGCAACAAGAAACCAAATAATCATATATCTTAATCAATATCAATATCAATATCAATGCACCAACGTGGGTAATAGTACAAATTCTTTACAACTACAGCACATCATTCACTGTTCCATCCTCGGGCAAGGGTTGCGGCGGTTGTTCTAGACAAATTTTCCAGCATGGGAGCATGGTGATGGGCAGTTTTCGGTGTATACGAGGAAGGCAGGAATAATCAGGAAGGCTTTTTCATGACAATGGCTCTTTCTCAAGTGGGAGACATGAGGGCAATGGGATACATGAATGTGGGGAGTACAGGTAGGGGATTGGGGGTACATGAATTCTTGGGCTACATGAGTCGCAATGCTATAGAATGCGAGCAGGGAAGGGGGGTGAGGGGTGGATCTTGTCTAATTAGAAACAACGTAGATGAGGACAGGAAAAGGTGAAGGATGAAAAGTGATATTTGAAGAAGAAAAAACAGAGACAGGGCCAAAAGTTGGGTAGGGTAAGGGTTTCATTCGAACGTATCATGAGGGTCGGACACCAGCAAAGGGTTTGGGGGACGAAGTCCGGACCAAGGGGAGTCAGGGGAGGGGGGTGAGCCTGTGCCGGGGAATAAAGGGGAGGGGGAAAACTCATGCGTATCAGGCGGGGGCTTGGATTTGACCATTTGGACGGAGACAGCCTCTTGACGAGCATCCATCAGTTAAACCAATCAGGTGCAATGCCGAATCGCCATAGAACATGTTGCTTCCAATTTGGCGCAACCATTCCCATGTTAATCACAAGTGCTTCGAAAGGCCGGATCGGACCAGGAAGACTGGTGATCGAGGTGATCGACGGGATGGGACAGTGGTGTCCTTCAAGCCATGCCGGCACCCAGGTTGATCTGGCGCTTGACCTGCTCACGGGTCCAGCGGGCAGTCTCAATTGTGCGCTCGCTGTAGTGTTTGGTTGTGCGGGTCTCTCTCACGAGAGCGGTGACCCAATCGTTGCGGAAGTACGCAGCGAGCTCACCATTGGGGAAAGCATCGGCCAAATCACTAGCAAGCAGTCAGCATAAAGAATCAAACATGGGAAGAAAGGCAGAGACATACCCAATAACACCCATGGCCGACCGCATGAGACCTTCACTGCGGTTGCTCTCCTGGGAGATGATGTGAAGAAGCTGGAAAATGGACTCGATGAAAGGCTGGAGCTGGGTGACTGTGGTTCGGTTAGCATGACTATGGCTTGTCTGGATGAACAATGAAGAACGACTTACTAGAAGGAGTGCCCTTATAGGACAGGAGAATACCGCCCCAGGCATCCATGATACCTTCACGGAGAGAAACGATGTAGTCGACCATGTCGTAAGGAAGGTCAGAGCTAGTGGTCACGCTAGAGGCCTGCTGGAGAACCTGGCCAACGACAGCCAAGTAGGTATCGAACTTGGTTCCGATGGCCTGGGCAATATCACCGAAGGTCTCAAGAATCGCAGGCTTGAGCTGGTTGGTCGAGGTCTGTTGGAGGGAGTTAACATACATACATCGAGCTTTGTGCGGCTGAAACAATCTTACCTGGAGAGTCTTAAGGAGGAAGTTCATGAAATCGTCGCAGTAAGGCTGAACTTTGTCGTTCAGGGCACGAGCAATGTCACTGACCAACCCAATGGCCATGGCGCAGAGGCCGGGCTCCTCCTGATTGCCCAGGGCATTGTACAGGAAGGGGCTGAATGATTCCATGTACTTGATGAAGTCATCCTCCAGGGCACCGGCAATAGCACCAACGGTAGCAAAGACAACATCGGGCACGCTCGACTTGGGGCCAAGAGTATTCAGAACCAGGAGCAGCACATGCATGATACGGTCAGCCTGGGGCTTAATATCAGCCTCGAAGCGCTGAACAATAGCCAGAATCACACTGATCAAGCTTGTCTGCATCTCCTCCAGAAGGATACGGTCCTCGGCGCTGACAACCTGCTGCTGCATAGGAACGGTGTGCTCCAGACGCTGGAGGATAACATCCGAGAGAGTCGCAACCATAGGGAGGCTGTCGTTGGCCGAGTTCATAACAAAAGAGTTGAGTACTTCGTATCCAGCGGTACGGAGCTGGTTGTCGGCATCTTGTCTGGATGGGTGTTAGAAAAAGAACGGTCAAAAGAAGGATCGGTTAGGAAACATACCGCTCAGTCACTGTCAATAGGGACTTCACACTGTCCTCAAAGTGCTTTGACAGGGGGTTGGTCTGGGAACCATCATCACCAGCGAACCGGTCTGCGACATTCATAAGAGCCCAGCAGCAGGAGCTGGCAATCTTGGGGGAGTTTGCGAGGCCGTTGAACAGGCAGGAGATAAGAGGCTGCAGGTGGACCTCGGGGTCCAGAACCTCAGGGCAACAGTCGCACACGCGACCCAGAGCATAAGCAGTGGAGTCGCGGACAGAGACGGAGCTATCCTCCATCATGCCAAGCAGCACAGGCAAAGCCTGCTTGATGAGAGGCTCCAGAACAGTGGGCTGGGGACCTTCCATGATAGCGCCGAAAGCAGCGACGGCAGCATCACGGCGGTGCCAGTCCTCGTTGCGGATGTTCTCTTCGACAAAAGTCACGACGGGCTGAATGACATCGTCCTGGACACACTGGGCGTAAAGCTGCAAAGCCTGGTAGGCAGCACGGGACACGTTGTATTCATCGTCCCCAGCATCCTCATCCTGACGGCACATGGACTGCAGCAAGACTGGGAGGACCTCGCGGGTAGCGATACGGGCAAATCCGAAGAAAGGACGGGCCTCAGTGCCGTCCTGCTGGGCCTATAACAAACGTGGTGTCAGTACATGGTCTGGGCCACACAGGTTTGTGCGCTTGACACATACCTCAGCGTTATCATCCTCGATAGCGATCTCCTCTTCGCAGACAGTGCACCAGAACTCAATAGCAAGTTTGGCAACTTCCTCCTCCTCGCTCTTCATACCCATAATGCTCAGGCCAAAGAGAGCCTTCTCCATGTAGAAGCGCATCTTCTCGTAGTAGGATCCCATGATACGGTTGAGACAACCGAATGCTGCGGCCTGCACACGGACCTCATCGGCCTGGGTGGCCTCACAGACGACCTGCATAATGTAGTTGCGCTCTCCCTCGTTGTCCATGTTGGTGCGAACGAAGTCGACAGCATCACTGAGAGCGGCGATAGCAGCGAAGCGAACATCCATGTTCGGCTCCTCGCGCCGAGCGCCCTGGACGACCGCAGTAAGGATAGCATTGGAGTGTTGAGTCAAGCTGGCGCGGAGATCGGGATCTTGCGACTCGCAAATGTAACCGATCGTAGTGAGAGATGACTGCTTCAGGGAGTCGTTTCCGCTGGCGACATTCTGGACAAGGATGCTCATCAAATCGGGCCACTCACCACGCGGCAACTCAATTGCGGCAATGGAAACGATCAGGTTAGCGGCGGCATTTCCGGCACGCGCGTCAGCTGACTGTAGGGTCTTCAGGGCGAGCTCCTTGACTTGTGACTTGGTCTCGGGGTTGATGCTCTGGGCCCATCGCATCTGCACTTCCCGCAACTTGGCCTGATCCCGGAAAGTGAAGGCGTTCTTCAAGGCGATACCGGCGGCGACACGGATGTGGGCGGGGCTGCTCTCGTTGGCGAGTTCTTGGCCGAGGGTGATGAGGTATGCGGCCTATTGGGCGACAGAAGTATCAGCAATGGGATTCCAATCTTGGGAGAGGGGGGATGTATTTTATCACGCGTGGGCAGAAACGGGGGGGGGGTTCCAAGGGGAGAACACGTACGAAATCGACCTCCGCGGCGTGGGCGAGCTGTTGTTCGGCATTGCTACGCTCAGCGGCATCTGGCGCGAGGGTGCTCTGCAGCACCTGGCGGGCATCCATGGTGTGTAAAAGAATCGAAGGTTGTGGTGGGGGAAGGAGAAAAAAGAAGGAAAAGAGAGGCGAAGAAAAGATTAGGAAAAAAAGACTTGAGAACCCCTCTAGACCCAGATCAATCAAAGGGTTTGACACTCGATGATCACCACGATAGAAGCGGTGGTGGAAAGAGGAATTCCGTTAGGAGAGTGGGAGGAAGGGACGGGTGTTTTTGTGGATATGACGAGGCGGCATGCACTAGGTCTTTCCGGCGAGAGACACAGAGAGGAAAAGGTGCCTTGAGTGCACGCCTAGATTTTTTCAACGCACAAAGACCAGGAGAGAAAGTCTCAGTAGACGGATGGGTAGAGCTGATAAGCGTGTGAGAGATATGTGAAGAGATTAAAATACACATTCGAAGCAAGAAAGACGACAATGAGTGAGGTTCTACGGGGGTAGCCATCTGATTGGCTGCCGGGCAGGTGTTAGTCATGTACACGTGATCTTATGCCTTAGGCTGCATGCTCCTTGCTCCTTGGCTGACTCGTACTATTGTCCGATTGATCTAGACAATGAAGCATGTGAAATAGAGATCCTATGAGAATGCAAGTTGTGATTTTAATGTACAGTTGTGTTGATACGCTCTATCTGGCTCATGGAGGGGTTGCCCCTCCATGTTTTTTTGCTTATTTTGGTTTTTCTCCTTCGAGAATTGTTAGTCTGTGGGCCCAGCGACCGATTTTCACTTGTGGGGGGAAATAACACAGTACACAGTAGTTAAAGAGAATCCTCTAGAATGGCATGCTTTTCTTTGCTTTGTTCACTTTCTTTTGACTCTTTCATGGCAGAGACTGTTTGTACTGTTTGTTTCTGACAGGTCTCTCGGATGTATTTCTGTTTATATTAGCAGATGATAACTAGATCTACTAGACTATCCCCGACTAATGAATGTATTGCTACTGTCCTGTGTAGTGTGTGCTGTATGATCATTGCTTAGTCCCGGCCATTGATGGGCATGCATAGGCATGGGTCAAACGAAGGCTAGCCCAATGCACTGATGTTATCCTCCAGGACAAAGGATACCTACTTCCACTGCCATCAGAGCCAACTACTTGTATTGACGATGCCTGTTTCAAATTTGGGAATTGGTGTTAGTGGGTGATAGCCAAGCTTTGACTGACATCGATTAACAGACGGTAAACAGTTAAGACATGGCCTTATGGGTGTGACATTATCCAAAGCGAGAGTATATCAGTCCCCTTGGCGGGGCCACTGCCGTCACAGGTCGTGCTCGAGACATAGCCATAACTAGTAGGACCCCATCTACCGCCCTAGATGACCGCGTTTGCTCTTAACCTATATGATTGTTTACTTTTCAATCACGAGACGTCGTCGCGTCGTCGCGTCGTCGAGAAATGTTGTTGAGAACCGTCGAACCGTCGTACAGAGAGTTCTCCCTTGCAATCAACGCCTTTCCTCATTTCTTTGCTAGCAGCCCTCGCTTTCACCATGCCTCATTACTACTATCCTAGCATGCCAAGTCTTGCGAATCGTCCTATCCCAGACTCGAATCCAGCTGGCCAGCATACTGTGGCTACGGGTAATGCAAGTGGCTCCGAGGAGAATGAACGCCCAGCACACGACAACTTTACCATCATGCTTAAGTGGCACTTCGTGTTGAATTTGACCGTTGAGGGCGTCCAGTCAGTCATCCATGAATGTCATCCTGATATGGTCGTTGACTCGGACCCATGGAAAGAGGTACTCCGCAAAGCAAGCCACACCATGAGAAGCTGGAAAGTAGCCAGCCTTAAGGCTATGAAGGTAAGTTAAGTAGAGTACCTAACCAAGGAGAGTTGATACTAACGGTTCTTGATATAGGCCCATATTGCATCTCAAATGCTTTCGTCCAACTCTGAAGATCCCGAGTCCCTAGTTAACCTGACCGATGCAAAGACTCTGAACTTCTATCGGACATTTAACGAAGAGGCTTTCTACACTTGTTTCAGATGGACATATGAGATCATCGATCTCAAGAACTCTCCGGAGGTAGGACGCAACTACCTTCGGAATATCTGGGCCAATCTAGCCGCCCACATCAAAATTTGGACTGACCTCACCCGAGATACTGGCGAGGGACAATCAACGGCAGCTGAGAAAATGGATGAGATTCACAATGTCTGGTACACTTTGACAAAGCACGACCATCTCAAAGGTGCTACGAAGGATTTGTTCGCACCCCGCCTCCCCAATGTTACTTCCAGGAAGCGCCGGGTCGACCACGAAGAAAGAACACGCCCTGTTGTTTACTACCATGGAAAATCTCATCGCGAACAAGTTTCGGATGCTTGAAATGTTACATAGGTTGTCACTGTATCCTGCCCGGGCCTGCCATCTCAAGTGGTTGGACGGTGGACCCCTTCGCTAGAATCAGCATTCAGCACACTAGGTAGCCAGAATGTCAGATCATGATTAACCATTGAATCAATATGTATTAGTGCCTATCAAGTCCAGAATAAAGAGCTAAAAGTGATTGAAAGTGTTTTGGTAAAGCGAGTTCACTACGGGAGCAGCTCCTCTGCCATCTGGGTCCACCGAATTAAAAACTGTCCGAACCAAAACCTGACCAGTCCCGGTGTAATAGCTTCTGTGGGATGGCGCGAAATGTAGGTGCCTCTGCAATTAGTGGACGGCATCGTCCATGTCGTAAGGCTCTTTGGAACCACCACCCATTCCCTACAGGCGACGTAACTTGGTACAAAACGGGAATTCCCAGGGGGCAGTCAAGAGAGTGAGTCCGGGAGCTTGGAAATCAACTTCCTGCTCAAGCGCTTCATCGTGAAGGCGTCGTATGTGGGCCGGGATGAAGAAAACAACCCGGTTGGTGAGCCATTTTCGTCCCAGTGTTGGAATCGGCTAGCCGGGGGCTTCGAAAACAACTTCTTGCTGCTCGACTGCTTCATCGTAGATGGTGTGTCGTATGTGAGGCGGGACGAAGAAAGCGACGTGATTCGTGAGCCGTTTGGTCCCAGTGTTGGATTCTTTTTGAATGTGGATCTGGCGGCCTTTGCAAGGCACTTGTACATAGCCGGCGGGTGTAAGATCCTCGCTGAGAACTTCGTCTGGATGAGTTTCAGGACGATTTGGAGTTAGGAGTAAAACAGTGTTGATGATTCCGCGGCAATGAGAGCCTCGTCACTTGGCAGGAGCGTACGGATCTACTTTGGGAAGGCACGCTAAGTTTTACCTGTCCGGTGACATTATTACCTATTTCAGTAGCAACCATGATTGAGACAGATAAGCATACCCTAAAAAGGCAAGGATCAATTGTCAGATGCAGAAGGAACAATTCATACAATAGCCAAATAGGGGCAATGTGACATTAGATAAAAACTTTGATGGGCCGCCTTCGTTCATCGTCACGTAAGTGAACGTAACCCTCCAACGACGGCAGGATTTACAAGCAAACATTTTGCTTCCACAGCTGGGCGCAGGAGTCCCTTAGCAAATTCCCAAGCCGTGAGCAGTAGATTTATAAAGCCTCCTCCAGCAGCAACAGTGCGCTCATACGCCTCCTGGAGCCCGTTGAATACCATCAAGTCAGTTCCTGCACCCTCATGTACATGGCCAAATACATGTAGTCTTGGCCGAACTCTCCATAAGGTCTGTAGCAAATAAGGACAGCCAAACCCCAGGAAGTCAAGATAAGCAAGTGGTGGGCCATGAGTAATAAGCACAACAATTCCATCTGGTACTGAATCAGCCCATACATCTTCATTTTTGGGATATTGAAAGGCCCAGTTAGCATGGCGGATAGAGTAAGGACTTCCGTAGACCCTAAGTTGACGACCATTTGGGCAGGTAATTGTTACTTCCTCGTTTTCTAGGTAGATGATATCTCCCCAGTCGAGGCGAGCTCGCTCGGAGGCTGCTCAACCAGACACATCATCCCGCGCTGAATCAAGTAACAGTTCATGATTTCCAGCAATCACAATTTTGGTGGGATGCTGTAGGCTGCGTAGCCAGGTGATCGCATCTTGAAGTTCTTTAAGAGATCCAGACTGTGTGAGATCACCAGCATGGATGAGGATGTCTCCATCATCGACGGCAGGCCGGGCGTTATGCGTATCGGATATACAGACAACCGCGATAGGTTTTGTGACTGGCGTAACTGGAATAGGTGGGTACCAACTATAAAGCAGTCTTGCAAGGAAGATACAAGGCCGGGCGCGGAATTATTGCCAATTGCCATCGTCCTGGTCGCCGTCGATGAAGGAGCTCGTGAAGACTGGACATGATTGGAGAGTCCAGACCCAGGGACCAGGGACCTATCTGCACAGTAGTTAGTGGCAAGCAAACACGTGAAATGCTGGCTGTTGGGATTAAATATGTCCAGGGATTTCGGAGTTAGTTGGCCGTCTTCATGAAGCTGAAGAGCGCACTCGCATCCATTATTGCTTAACACGCAACCACACCTTTTTGAACCCACGCGGCCCGCGCCTATACCCCGGGACCGACTCTTTGGCTCGAACGGCATGAATGGAACAAATGTTTTGACGACAGACTATTTGTCTAGCCTATTTGATATTGCCATAGATGGCGCTCGGTTTGACTTGAGTGGCTTGAAGTGACTTTCTTAGGTCGCCAACAGTGTGACGCATGGCAGGGTTTGGAGGTCTGGAACAACTGAACAAGTCTTGTGACTTGAGGGGAGCGAGTGTGGTTTGGGATGGGACATGGAACTAGGACTGCTATGGACTGCGAGGGAAGGACTACGTTGTCATATATGGGAAATAATGACCACTAGACCACAACAAAAACCAAGTTTGTTGGCAGGTCTACTGCCTGCTTGTCTCAGACGAAGGGCAGGTTGTTGCAATTGCTTGCACAGGGATCGGATTCCGATTGCTCTGATGTTTCTTTGTTGTTGTTCTTCTTCTCTAAGGGGTTCAGGTGGAAGGCTGGGTAGCAGCCTTCCATCCGCCTGACTGCTGACTAAGATACATCACGTGGCCATAGTACAAACAAGTACAACAAAGTTCCTGTTTATGAGGCCTTATCCCAGTGTATCCCAGTCTGACATCACATGAAGGAGGAACTGGCTGTAGTGCTTTACCTCTTTCTTCCTTCTGTTTATTTTCTCTTTTCTTTTCTCTCCAGTTTTGTTACTTTCGTTAGAGCACAGAAATCTCAGCTTTGTTTTCCTACTGGCCCTTACATAGTAACAAAACTCCTTGTATTCATTTTCATTTCGAGTTTCCGGACCAGGTATCGGCTGTCGCTTGTCGATAAGTCTCACCACCCGGATACTCACCGACGAGCCGAAGAAGTCGACAAAACTACCCGACTCTGCTATGGGCATACAGCTGAACCCCCCTCTGCTATACTGGATGATGGGAAACTAGTGAAGTTTGCAACCTGGAAATCGGATATCAAGAAGTTACGACTCAATCATGACCACTACCCGGCTCCCGACCATCAAATCGCATATTTGAAAGAGTCGTTGCGAAGGGAGAGCCTTGCAGTGACACTTTTACTTGCAAAATCTATAACACTTGTGATGCTCCCATCGAACCAAATTGACGTTGCGTTGAACAGGCCAATTATATCGAGACAAGCTCTGGGCTCAAGAGAACATGTGTGAACTTGCCCGCTTGTATTTTGTCAGTGTCGGGATATATTCCCTTGTGACTTGGCGGCCTGCATTCTTGCATGCCGCCCGGTCGGCATGACCGTTGACCGCCCTTGGGTCACGTGCGGGATCTAGGGGTGTTTTCCACCCCAGGCCACCTTAGAGAAGAGACAGACATCAATCAATACAGAATACAAGACCATTGCGTTAAGCACAACTGTCCACTTAACTGTGTACACAGGACCTAGCTGGTGTTACCAACAGTCAGGCAGTTCGGACTGAGTCCAGAGCATGTTCAGAAACGATTGAAACAATACCCGAGCCACTCGCAAGAACCTCATTGCGTCATGGGACAATTTTGATTACAGCCGGACTGTTCGACATCAACAGGCTGTAATCCCGCAGAGCATGTGGGGATAGACTGGCCGATACAAAGCTCCCCAGCGGTGGCAGAGATATGTCCTGCTGGATCAGGAATAGATTGATATCGAAGAGTCTGGCTGTAACCAAAGTTGTCCCATCACACATTGAGGTTCTTACCAGGGCTCTGACGTTCTGTTGCAATCGTCTCTGAAAACTTATGTAGGTAGTCAGCCAGGCTTGGCTCCCATTGCATGTAAATACAGGCCTATCAGCATGTATAGCGTGGCAGAATCATATGCGGTGGTCTGAGGAACTGAGGTAACGATCTCTGCGTCCGGGCCCTGCTGACGCACGACTGTATCTAGCTCAACTGTGATGTTGAACTGGTCGTCCGTATCCAGCGCATGCAAGTCGTTGGGGCTTGAATCGAAAGACATGGGGGATACTCCCGGCGGACCCCCTCCGGGTATAAGCTCAGGTCTCAGGCTGGATTGTCGGCCATTGCGGATTTGCGAAGGTATTGTTGTTGTTGCATTGTTTAACGTCCGGCGGCCGTTCTCACCCGGCGGGCGCCGGACGTTAAACAATGCAACAACAACAACACCTTCGCAAATGGGGCATGTAGACGTGCTAAGCTGAGACATTTGCGAAGGTGTATACAGTAGATTGTACGGAGTAGAGACTAGAGAGAGGATAACTAGAGTGGGTGTTGTGAAGGCGATAGCTTGACGGGCTAACTGTTTAGGGGAAGGTGAGGGTAAATGATGGATGTGTGCGTAATAGGCAAGCGGAGTCCTAGGGCTTTTTCGCAAAAATCCAATCAGGGAAGCATTCTGCCAAGTGAGAGTTTGGCGAGAAACTGGGCTAGATGACCCGGTTTTCACTGGGTACCCGGTGAAGCTCCAATTTGATAACTCACATACTCACAGACCATTGGACTGTTTACCAAGGAGTCCTCCTAAGCTCCTCAACTAAGGACGAAGCTTTGGCATGTTGATATCCATCATCACTGGCTGCGTCATTGCAAGGCCGCCGGCTCTACTATGTCTTTAACCAGACAGTAAACGAAGAAATGAGATCGGAGATGGTAGGTAGTGATGCAATATCGAAGATTGTGTGCTATCGGAGTTATCATCAGAAGAGAATAGGAATATACAACTGTCTAGGCTACAAGCGATCATTAATATTTATCTTGAATCAGAGAATCTAATTCTCATCGTTCTCTTCATCGCTATCAAACTCCTCGTCCTCGTCTTCATAACCTTCGCCCTCGTCCACTTCGTCCCCATAGTCTTCATGCTCCTCATGTTCTTCATCGCCCATAGCAGCATCCAAGTCTAGAACCTCATACCGCATGTGATCACCGTACAAAACACAGACAGCGCGTCGACCCCTGCGTCCATTGACGTCGACATGTATAGGCCTTGCCTTGGGGCCGTGAAGAGCGAAGCGATGTACGATTATGCTTGCATGAGGAGATTCAGGCGACATGTCTAGTGTCATAGCTGGGATACTGGGTTTGGGAGTAGACGGCTTGCTGTCACATGCGACGTAGTCGAGGACCAACGGTGATGGATCGAGAGCCTCGTCTTGAGACTGTGCGGTGGGCTGGAAGGGGAAGTTGAGAAGGTAGGATGATCCTTCTGCGAAACATTGTTAGATTTATGGCTATACGCTAGAGTGAGATTATGGTATGTCCGGAGGTAAGTGACTTACTGCTATCACGCCAGAGGACCATGAGCGTATCGTCGGCGACAAATTGGAGCTGACGGACTTCGCCGTCTTGTAGGTTGAGGGTTACCATGCAGGTGCTTCTTGTTGAGCTGACGCCGCCGACCGAATCGAGGATGACACGGTAGAGATACACTAATTTCGAGGGGTTTGAGTATAAGCAATTGAAATCAGAAGGAATTGCTTTTGCACAAACCTTGATATTTTGACGTGGTTGACCGGGTAGCGATGTATACTGAGCAAGGCTGATCTTCCAAGGCATCCTGTCACAAGTTAGTGTATGGAAAAAGGCAAAGATCAACGGCTGTAAGCTTACCTCGTAGCAGAAAGTAAGATCGATAACAGATTGATCGCAATCAGTGTGAAGCGTCAGAGGCGAGCGATGGAGGATTCCTCTGCGTTGGGTCAAGGCGATTTCAGTGAAGACTTTGTCGAATTGGATGCCCAGACGCTTTGTCAAGTCATTGAGCTTCGGCGTCTCAACCGAGCTACCATCACCACCCTTATCCTGGGCCTGGCGTTGCTGCTGAAGAAGCGACTTGAAGGTGTCATAGAAAGAGCGGTCGTGCCCATCTGGGAGCCACTTATCGGTGACAGGGACAGGAGGCTGAACGACTCCCATCATGGGGAGTTGCCGGATGAAGTTGCGCAGCGCACTCTTGGTCAACGCGCCTGTGATATACTTCACCGTGATAGGGACCTCGATTGAGTCCCTTTTCTCTTGCGCATCTTCCATTGTCTGTGACAAAGGCTCGAGGTTGAGGATGTTGATCTCGTAACGCAGCCAATTAGAAAAGGAGCTGAACTGCTGCAGTTCCTCATTAGCATGGAGAAGGATGCGGTGCGCCAGAAGATGGAGGCAATCAAGTGTCTCCCCAATGGCATTGAGCTTGATCGTATCAAGGCCGAGGACATCGCTGAGCTTCTGGAATTTGGATAACCCGATCAACCGACTGAGAAGTACTTGGCTGCGTTCGAGGGCCGGGAGAAGACATTCGTGTGTCAACCGCCGGATGTTCTCATAGCCACTCGAGACAGCCTTATCCCATCTCTTCTGACCCTGTATCATTTGTTAACATCTCGTTTTCCATATCATGAGACCTACGTACTCTGTCCCCAATAATATCCGTGAGAAACTCCTTTAGAGGCTCAAAACAATGGCCAGTGACCACGAGGTGATAGATAGCAGTAATGAAATCACACTGGCATTTCTCCTGCAAATCCATATTGATATTGCGCAAGAAACGCGCAGGAAGTTCCTGGGCATTCTTCCATTCAAGCTCAATCTGCCGCTGCACCTGACCGATGTAGCGCAGCAGATTCTGAAGCTGAGTCGTCTTGGACGCAAGAACAGACAGATATTTCCCAGAGTTAGTAATGAAACGAAGATCCATCGTGACCAACTCGAGGGGGCCCCGAGCATCCCCCTTCGCCGGCGATGTCAGGAGAGCATGTGTTGAGCTCAAGGGGTGAGAAGCATGTCGCAAAATACGACACGAGTCGGAGACGCCGGGAGAACGGCCAATTGAGAAAGAGCCAATTTCAAAGCAATTGAAAATGCGCAGGTGGACAGTACCATCGTCAAATCCAACAGACAGCACATCTACGGAATCGTCGTTACCTTTCGAAGAATGGAATATGGAATCAAGCAACACGCGCGAGCTAAACACGTCGTCATCGCCGCCTGTCGCAGGCAGGGTGCTCAGCTTCGGCAGCGAGCACTCGATGTCGAGCAGGGCAAGTTCCCTGGGCAAATCTGCCTTCAGCAAAGCGGTTGCCTTTGAGGGATACGTTCCCGGGGCTAGCATGTCTTCGATGGAGATCTGGCCTGCGGACTCGTCCAACTGCCGCTGTGCGGCTTTGCTATCAGTGAAATTATCACCCCATCCTACACATGTTGCTTTGGGCATCGCACGCTCAGAATGGTTGGTGAGTGACCCTTGCTGCTGATAGCTCTGATAGTGGTGCACCGTCTTGCCGCTGTGAGAATTGATGATGCGCAGCGAACCATCTCCACACGCGACGGCGAGGAGGCGACCTGGTAGAGCGTTAGTCAATTGGCGAGTACGATATCATCGAGATTCAAGAAGACATATTCAATCATCGAAAGACACGTAGAGCAGCCCAGCGGCAAGGAAGTCCGAACTCACCATTCCCTTTCCATGCCATCCCTCTGATCTCGCCGTCCTCCTCATCCTCGCCGAGGTAGGGATCTCCGCCGAAAGATCCGCCAAAGACACGCTGCCCGTTAAGCCGGAATACGCGTAATTCCTCGTCCTCGGTGGCCAGTGCAATCAGGTCCATCGTGGGGCAGTAGGCCACGGCTTGTGGTTTGCATTTTGCCGATAGGGAATTCTCCCCGACGGGAGTCAGTTGAGGAACCTCTGCCATTTTGGATCTGTCTTGACACAGATGATAGATTCAGCCCATTCTTATTCCGAGAATATCCGTACAATTATTGAGCTGTGGCGCAATTCTTTGATGTTTGAAGCTGTCGTGGGTGGATACAGGGATTCTTGGCGCGGGTCGACGTGTCGGTGTTTGTATGTTTGTAGGAGCCACCTTCACTCATCATTAAGGTTACTCTTATGCTATCTGCGACGTCTAGGTATTAAGTATTCTTTTTATAGAGGATGGAAGCGTCAGAATAAATCTTATAACTATGAATTCATTTCTATTTAGAGCTAAATGATACATGTGCGGAGTACAATACTCCAACCCGGTGACCAGCACCAGGTTTATATGAGAATACAGGAAAGTGATATCAATATACAACGGGAGATCTCAGCCATCTCCCATCAGAACGGTGTCCCATCCATGTCAGCCTGAATGATATTCTTCAGATAACTGAGCTCATCCATCAATTCCTGCATGGTAGCATTTCCTTGGAAAGAAGCATTGCTACGACGAGAGCGAATGCGGTCAAGAGAGGCCTCGCTCAACTGCCGCTCAGCAGGGGAAAGCGCACGCCCAGCCCCTTCTCTGGGGACTTGAGGCAGTATGATCGGCGAGCCATTGGGGCTGCGTGACATCGCGAGAGCCTCCATGGACTCAAGGGCGCTGAACAGGGCGGCATGGCGCTTTGGGTTGCTTTCCACTTCATCCAAGTTCTCGATGCCAAGGCCGGAGCCGTCGATGCTGGGTGTGGAAACGGAGACGGTAAGTTGTGGGAGCCCGACGTTCCAGGGAGGGAGTTCTTCGGAGGCTGAGTTCGGTGACGAGGGTTTGGAATAGACGGTGAGATGGGGAGTGTTCGGGTCGGTATTGGTTGCGCCATCGCCGGACTGCGATAGATCTGGTGTCCTCCATCTGTCATCCGAAGACTCGTCTTGGTTGTGGTTGAACGTCGAGGCCGACATCATTGATGCGTGCGAGTTGTAGTCCGTCTCGGTGTCCGTACTCCATTCGGAGAACCGGCTTTGTTCGGGCACGAAGCGGGAGTGGGTGGAGTCCTCGGTCGATGCTGTCATGGCCGAGAAGTAACTGCGCGGGATCTCTTCATCCATCGCTTTGTCTCTCTCGTCAATTGCTCGGACGGCTTCGTCCATGACTGAAGACGGCGTGTTGGGTAATGTGGGAAGCCTTTTTTCTTCCTTACTTTTCTCTTCCCTAGTAAAGGCGGCCGTTGGCGTGGGCAAGTCACTAGAACTTGCGAGATCTTTCAGGGCTTCCCTGATCGCACGAGTTTCGTCGAGCGCTGTGGTCTTCGCGTTGGGGCTGGCTTTGCGAGGCTCCGGGCGCGTCTGCACTGTGAGAAGACGACTAGGTCCTGATTCACCGGCGCTGGCTTTCATTGCGCGACGACTTTGAATAGTGGATGGGCCAAGTTTGTCGGCAGAGCCTGCAGAAGACGGGATCGCAATTCCAGCGTTGACCTTGATTCCGGGGACATTGCGGCGGTTTCCAATCGGCTCATACTGCTGTGGTAACACGGTAGCCGCGTGTCCCGGTTGCATTGGCTCGAACGATCTTTCGGTCTCAGCGGGCTGCCTCAAAGCAGCCAGAAGAGCTCTCGCTCTTGGAGGAGACATAGACCGCGAATCCTTTTTGTGGCCCTTACGAGCGGCGCTGTGCGGTTGAGACGCACTTCGATGGATCCCAGTCATGGGAGATCTGCTAGCAGACTGCGCCGGGGTCGGCGGGTGGCGGACCGATGCCGAGGTCTGAAGACGCATGGGCTGCGGCTGCGGCTGCGGCGGTGGCTTCCGTGGGTTCATAAACTTGTCTTCGGGGTTCATTGTTCGAACATGCTCGGAATTTTGCGAACTTGCGCTTGCTGAGCGCCCATGGGCGCGACTGTCGGGTAAAATGATGGGGACATTCAGAACATTCACCGGTTGCCCTGGGAGAAGAGGGCATTTTGTGGTTGTTGGCTCCCTCTCGTTGTAATACTCTATATCGTCATCGAGCAAGTACTGTTCTTGTTAGCCTTTGAATCTGACAAGTATGAATGTGAGACTCACGTAATACCAGTATGTACCACCCATCTTCAACCCTCCAGTTCGCCATTGGGTCTTGTCCGGGCCATCGCCCATCATATCCGTAAAGGTATGACATCCTCTCCAATGCCCTGGTCCGACTCGCTTATCTCTTTCCATTACATATTTCTTAGAGAAATTATCCCATGATCCGAGCAGTTTGACCGACCGGACCTCGGGTTTGGTAATCCTGAATTGCGATCAGCGCATGAAGATGCCAATTGCATCGGGGCACACTCACAGCAGGAAAGTCATAAGGGTCTCCGATATCATCTCAAAACAACAATAGTAGAGAAGAAAATGTATCTCACTGAGCAAAAGCAGATGGTGGCACAGATAAAACAAACAATCAGAGGAAGAGAATGCAATGCGCAATGCAGGAGAAGCAACCCCAGAAAAATGCTGAAAGACACGTAAAATGCAAGGCTATCAAAGGACAGTGGTCTATAGATAGACAAAATGGCAACGAGTCTCGAGCCGAAAGCAGGAGTTCATTTACCAAACCCGCAAGGCTCACAAGTACTGTCGGACCAGCCCAGACACAAAGCCGAACTCCACAAAGGCGGTTATATAATTACCAACCCGGGGGTTGGGAATAGCACGCTGTGCCTGTTTCAAGATCGAGTGACAGGTCTAAGAATAAAACAGTTCGTTTCAGGTGTGTTCGGGCGACGTCGTAGGTAATCACAACAATGCCATGGCCTAGACACAGGGCCCAAAACAAATGTGACCGGGTTGACTGGAGCGACTGCTTCAGGAACCGCGACGGTGCAATTTCCCAGGCGCAGTGCAGGGCGACAAAGTTGGCCAATGGGCGGGAGGAGGAAGCGCCGACCACTCGGGTTGAGCTGCAGGTTGGGGTTGGGGTTGAAACAGGAGGAAATTGAGGATGTTTAGTGTCGAATTGGCGGTTAAGTGAAGCCCTGAAGCCTGGCAATAAGGAATGTCAAGAGAGAAGGGGGTGGGAGGCAAACTCGAGGTTTTTTGAGATGGAGATCGGCGCGGGGGTTTGGTGACTTTGCGCCGATCACAAATTGGCGGTGATGAGGGGTGGAGCTAGTTTCGATATACTGTGTACTGTAGACAATAATTACGAAGTCTGTGCTGGAGCTGAGGTACATGATTTAGTATGGGGAGACTGGTAGTAGCAGCAATAAATAGCGATGTGATCTCAGATCGTTCTCACGCTGTGGGCTGTGGCTTGCGATCCTAGTTAGCGGATCTCCACGCAAGGTACGAACAATTAAATTCTGCTATATTAAGAGCACAGTGGCGTTGAGATGCATAGAATAGGGGAAGATATGTCACATTGGAAACGACAGCAAGGAATAAAACGAGAATACAAGGGCATCCATAAGGACGAGACAGTGCTGGCGCAGGGTAAAGACCGGCTAAATATTTCGTTGTTTTACAGGATGACGTTGATCCCATACACGGAGCCTCAAAAGCCGAGTCATATAGCAACTCTCGGCTCATGACGACGTGCGCTTGTCATTTCACCACGTCAGCTCTCGGTCGTTCTGGCTTTACGAGCTAGGTTGTTGCTCAACTGTTCAGCCCGATGTTCATGGCTGTGATGGGGACAATGCTTCCCGAGCTCTAACTACCGAGAAGGCGTGATTGGCGCTGAGTTGGTCTTGTTGTTGGCGGGGTATGGTTCTGATTGGTTCGACCACCAACCAACTGGAGATTACCATGGGCACTAATGCAACTAATGCAACCTATTCTGCTTCCCCACTGTTTTGGTGAAATCCTGGCAAGGCTGGCAGTAAACAACAGAGACATGTCACATAGTTAACCAACGAGTTGTATATACAGAGGCAACAGAACTATAACCTCATCAATCAGACCGTCCGCCTATCCAACCTCTTATTAACAGCCCCAAGCACAGTCTTCAATATCCCATCCCCCTCCAACCGATCCCCATCCCGATTCCTCCAAGAGACAGTATCAACAATATCCCTCATATGGAGATCCCGACACCTTTCCCCAAGATGATCATCCAAATCCTCCAAATACCGCCTAACATTCTCATCATTCCCAATCTGGAAAAACTGAATCCCGACCTGCCACGGAATAGCATCACAACTAGGTCCATCCAACATCTTGGCCGTCTTAACAATGATCCCCTCCGCATCATCCGTAAACTCCCCATCGGTAATCGTAATGATATTGACCGGCTTCACAAAAAGCGCCGGGTGCAGCGCATTACCGTGCTCACGCTTCGCAGCATGCATCGCTTCCACACGGCGCATGTATGGGTCGAGGATATCAAAAAGGCGACTGCCGACCCTCGTCGGACCGCGCGGGTGCACCCGGTTGAAGATGCTGTGCACTTGGCTAGCGGTCGTGATGTTGTGGTAGCCGCCTGCGGTGTCATTGTAGTCGCGGTGGTTGAGGAAGTAGATGTCGATTCCGTCGGAATCGTATTTTGTGCAGATGGGGGCAATGGCCGCGATGGCTGCTTCGGCTTCTTTCCAGCGCCGGCCTTGCATGCTGCTGCTGTCGTCTACGAGGAAGATGGTGTCGAAGTCGGCGAGGAAGGAGTATTGAGAGTCGGACTCCGTCTCTGTCGCTTCGGGGGATGTGATTTGGATGGCTGGGATGGCGGTTTCGGTGTATGGGGGTGGTTTGTCGGATATGTCCGAGCTATTGCCGCGGCCTCGTAGCCATGATGGGTAGTGTGAGGAGCTGGACTGTGTGGTCCTTGGGGTGGATGACGATGCTCTGCGTTCTTTACGCTCTTTACGCTCTTTGCGATGGTCGGATGAGAAGGAGTGCCATATCGATGGCTTCTCCGTTGTTCCCATATTTGATGATTGTGTTTGGCTTGCGATGGCACTTATGCCTAGGAGAAGAAGAGATGCCATAGAGTTGGGAATCGAGAGATAGTTAAATGTTTTAGATATTGTTGGATGGTGTGTTCCAGACAAAGGAGTTGACCCAACAGGAAACACCTTCTTTATATCTTCGTGTCTTACATCCTTCGGAGGCTCGGCTGTGGAACCCAATATCAAAGAACTGCGTATCGTAGGGCAGTGACTTGGGCCAAGACAACACTTAGGCCGTTAACCCGACACGACGAACACATGGTTTAGACACGAGTGCCACTGTGACGACTAGACTTGATACGCCAACCGCGCGAAACGTCACTCCATGACAAGGCAGATTTTGGTCGATACTGGTGTTGGAACAGGCGTATCAATGAGGGGCAAATAAATGGGGATGTGCCACGGTTGCTCGGTCGTGTAAAAGCCACCGCCCTACATGAAATCGACTAGCTTTGTAGGTATCGACCCATGTAGTGTCATTAGACCTCCCTGCTTCATTTCAATTTGACCAATAATACGAGCGTGTTGCTTTGTGAGAGTTTGGAGCACCGCCAATTCCAAATTGCCTAAGGCACTGGTGGCGGAGTTGAACACAGCCCCGCATAATCCTAACAGGGCGCAGCGTATGACTCCGCACAATGAACCCTACATCTCGATCTAGGCGGACCGAAGAATTGTTGATTAGGGTTATGTCAGAATCTTATCGGAAGTATGACTGGCTATGATAGATAATGACGGCTCTCGTCCTCGCCTTTCTGTTGATTGTCGAAAACCTCCAAGAATTTCCGGGTCCAAATGATAAATACACAAGGCGCCCTGACTCCAAATCCGCGCTATAACGCAAAAGATAAAGAAAGCAGTCAAAAATGATTACACAAGAATAAACGCTGTTGGTGCGGTGTAAAGAAACACAGGGGAAAATCAAACACATCACTCGCTCTATATCCAACCAAGTAGTTTAACGAGTCGGTGCAACCGGATGGGGAAGTCGGCTCGTCAGATCGGGCGCACCAGACACTTCAATAAGAGGATCTTCTTCCTCGGTCACGAACTGGAGCACTCCAGGATCAGCTGCGACCATATCTGCCACTGCCAACGCCTGGTCAATACCCATGGTATTCCCAATCATCTCCAGACACTTGACGACCCAGCGGCGCAGCCCGTGTCTCGGATTCTCAACAATGCCTGCCACGAACAGGGGCCAGAGGAGCACGAGACCTCCAATGTAACTTTCCGGCGGCGGGAGACTGGGTTCCTTGACTGCCTGGTGGGCGTTGAAGTAGAACGGAACCCCCCGGCAGATGTCGACAGCCAATCGCCGCATTGTTGATCGTAGCGTTCTGCATTGCAGGCGGAACTCTGTGGACAATGAAGATAGAGAGGTACTGTCGGATATTCGCCGTACGTGGGAAAGGATGATTTCGCTGACGATGATTCGGGCGCTGCGGTATTGGTTCCACGAATTGCAGACCCAGAGGTTGGAGTACACGTGGTATTGATCATCGTAGGTATCAATACCGCGGAATCGTTGCCGGAAGGCGAAATCGAAGGGTGATTTTACACTGGTTTCATAGTTGAACTCGGGGGGAAGAGATGCCAGCCAGGCAATTAGATCGGCTTCAATGGCGGATGCTGCTGAGATGATTTCTCGCTCGTTATTGAATACGTTAGTGCGGATGTCTGCGCGAAGATTTGACAGTTTTCCGATGATCATGACTAGACGGCTGCCGTGAGCTTCTGCTGGACGAAGGAACATCGCAAATTGCGTGCAATCGAGTAATGATTGAGGTACTCGTGCGTCTCGTTGTAAACAACTGATAATCTGGCAAGGTGTTAGTTTGGAACCGAGGTACGAACCAACGGCACTCACAATCTGATACCGAAGATGCAGAAACAAGCGAAGACCGGCATCGCTCTTGAGCTGTTCGACCCCCCTTAGATCGAGCAGGGCCGTCGCACCATTGATATGGTTGGTCCAACTGTCAATATCCTCCGGCGCTCTTGACGTCACTACCTATAAGACTGGGTGTCAACAACCTTCTGACAGGTCAAATATGCAACATTTCCTTACTTCATATATGGCAAGCAGCACGACAGTGCCTAGAGTCTGGTTGGATTTGGCCTGGTCAATGTCGGCTAAGGCGGTGTTCAGAAGTCTCAAAGCGGACCCATATTCCCGGTGGGCTACATCATTTAGCGATGGTATCTTTCTGACGCGCGAGAGCATAGCTGTGGCTGTCGCAACGACGCTAGCCTGCATGGCTCTCTGACTTGCAAGGCCCCCTGCCTTCAACAAGAACTTCGAGATAATATCAGTAGTCCAGAAACTGCCGGGAAGAGCATTGGACCGGAGGAAATAACAGATTGCCTCATATTTGGCGGCTTCGAGCTCTTGTGATGGCTGAATCTCCAATGGACGTTGCCCAAGCTGTCGCAGCAGATAGATGTGCTGTGGATCTTCTGTATTGAGGTCAAAGTCCGACTCCACCACCACTGGAGAACGCCCAGACCGCACAGGATTCCGTTCTGGGATTGCTTTGCGAGCTGGTCGGTCTGGTCTTTTATTCTTATGTGTAGAAGCAGCCGCCTTTCGGACTACCGACTTGCTTTCGTCGCGGAACATTAGCGATAGCTGATCCCGGTATCCGGGGCACTCCCGCTTGGCCCTGGTGCATTGCGAACAAGCCGGTCGGACTTGGTCACACCGGATCTTCCTAGTCCTGCACTCGCCACATCCTTTGCTTGGCTTGCCACAGTATACCATTTCTGCACTTTGGAAGTCGCACAGTACCGTTGTTGAGGCTAGAAGTGATCAAAGATCAGAGATGCTGGTCAGCCCCAATTTCCAACATAATGGTTCGGACCGCGCTTAACCGTATCGGGTATGCATTGCGACCCGAACTTTTAGCTGTCGATCTTCTCAACAAGTCAACATGGCGCCTAGAACATACTTAAACCTTGGGAGTCTTATGCGGCTCTTATATGGAGTTAAGGACTCGCATGATCTGGGTCCAGACAGCAATGAGTTGTCTTAGTTGCCAGTACGAAGGTCATGCTGAGCGCCGTCGGGGTTCACCTCTCAGGACCTTCCTCTCGGATACGCGACTCCCGACTCACAATACGGAATACTTCCTTAGCAACTTTACTCCTGCCCTACCGAGTCTCAGAACGAACCCGAACTTGGCGGTCTGTGCTCCGTAATCTTTCAATTTTGACTTTCACTCATCTCTTGTTGAACTGATTTAGTATTGACTTCTCTTTGGCTGTGTCAAAGATCGACAGCATGTGTCCGTCTTCATAAATTTCGAAGGGACTTGTAACCATTACTCAGCTCGCTTCGATGGAGCTTCACTCTCAACATCTGCCTGTCCCCCACGCTTCCTCTTTCCTTTAGGCCTAGAAGGTCCACCTGAGTCCGAATCTTGTTGCACAAAGTCACTAGTCCCATCATCATGCCATTCGCTGAACTCCCATTGTATGGTCGTGGATTGATCATCGCTGACTCCCATTCCACGCCGAGCACGCATCAGACGACCCAAGCGGCTTCCTTCTACCATCTCTTCGAACCAGGGGATTCCTCCGGTTCTACCACGATGCAGACTGCGCGAGATATCCGACGATTCAAGAGACGGAACAATGATTGAAGACGAAGCCATTCCTAAGGCAGGTGCTAGATCACTTGAAGTCGCGACATCGGCAGGCGAAGCACCCTCCTCAAAGTCGCTTGGTAGTAAATTCAGATCATCCAGTACGCGCTGGTCTTTCGCCCGTAAACTGCCAATTGCGACAGACATGAAGTTTGATTCTTCACTTGGCACCTCTGTCCAGAAAGTTAAGGGTGTACCGCAATACCCACAGAAGACGCGCTGTGTCTGGGGTGCATGGTGTGGTGAGAAACTTCGGCGGATGGAAGAGTGTGTTTCATCTGGGAAGAAGGACTGGGTGTAGGACTGATACCACTCGAGAGGCACGCGTAGCCATGCCGCAAGAGGTGTGCCGTGGAGTCGACCTAAGCCTCGATATCAGCCGGGAGATCGACAACTCGGCCGATGGTATCATGGTTACTCACAACTGTCTCGACCATTGTCGAAGTATACTTCGGCATGGTCTGTTACATCGTCCGGGATATTGATTTGATATGCATTTCGACCACAAGAGCATGAGCCACGAAGCGGCTCAAGGGCCATAGTGGTACAAGAAGCCCTGTGGCTTTGGATTGTTCTAGACGGAAGATGAAGGTTCAGCCAAGCGTTCGACTTGGCAGGATACCAATGCGAAGTAATTGTGATCGCCACTGGTAGGTTGAAGCAAAGGTGGAGGTTTTACGGATGAATTAAAGTAAGAAAAAGAGAAGAAAAGATGAAGCCAGCGGTGTTCCGTGGAGACCTCTCTATGACGTTTTAAGGGTTGCCAAGGCTGAAGTTCCCGGCATCCATTTTCTCCGCATTGGCTTATCGCTTCCTATCGCTTTCCCTTTTCTCCCCTCTGTGAACTCTCTCCTCTTTTCGCATCTTACCATTGACTCGCCACCACAATCATCCTCCTTACCTATATGCCTTGCTCAAATACAGTCTCTGAACAGCAGCGAAGACAATCTGATACTTGAAACTGAAAACGCGAGCCTCGCACCCTGTCCTCCCTCGGCGCATCTACCCCACGCCTTCCAGTCCCCCTCGGAATCCTCCAGTCACCAAGCGCCCACGATGAACCCAGACGATGAGCATGACCGGTCATCCTCCACGCCAAATGGCACCTCCAAGCAGCCGGATAAAGATAAGCCTCGCCTTACCGAGCAAGAGAAGAAGAGCAACCACATTGCCTCAGAGCAAAAACGGCGTGCGGCCATTCGTGAGGGCTTCGATCGGTTGACAGAACTGGTGCCTGGCCTGGAGGGTCAGGGTCGGAGTGAAAGTATCGTTCTACAAAAGACAGTGGACTTCATCCACGTGAAGCTCCAAGAACGGCACGATCTCATCGCAGAGATCGAGAGAAAAGGCGGCCGTGTGGATGACTCCTTCCGCCCGACGTGATAACCGTTTTCCTCGGCTTTTCATTTATTACGGATTGGTGCCTTGCAGGCTTCATTGCCCTTCCGCTGGTCGAGTTGGGGCTCTGGGGCTGAAGGCATGTGCCATGTGCCGAGGTCCGATCCAACCACATGGATTTGCGGAGATACCCAAAGCTTGAAGTTCCTTTTTCGGTCTATGGTTCCAAACCTTTATTACAGGAATATCTTTGATGGACCAACTGCGAGGCTCCCTCGTTCCCTGACAGATCTGGTCTTCACATACGCAGTATTATTTCAGTCAACCCGTTTCCACCTCATTCGGTGCATTTTACGGCCGTCTATAGTTATGTTACCACGCCCTTTTTGTAACTCTTATCTATCTTTACCTTCAATTTGTGACTAGTTATTGTACATTGATTATTCTTCTATTGCGTTATTCTGCTCGTCGGCACCAGAATGTACATTGGTTATGGCTGTTGCTGCAAAGCAACTGGGGCGTTTGTTCTTCGACCTACTGGACGGCTAGGCCAAAATTGTCTTGTCTATTGTTCTGGATGCGTACCCACTTCCATGTCTGTCCAAAAATCAAACCGGAATTTTTGACCCCCCAAAGGCTATACTTTCATCACATCACGTGTATACACGGAGACAAGTGGCAATCCGGGCCTCTTGCCATTTTACTAAAGCCTCTTCCCCGCCTACCTTAATCCCGCAAGTCACATGTTTTACGGAGTACATGGAACTATGGAAGTGTACTGTGTAAAGTGAGTAAAGTACATGGGAAGGGAATGGCAAGATCTTCTTCCGTGAGTCAAGTTGGCCAACTTGCCGTACGCCAGAAGTAGGGCTAAGCGATGAATGAAAAGGGCGAATGCCCGGGACTTGAAAGGGCCTCAGGGCCTGAGAATTGAGTGTGAACTGAGAATATAAGTTAACTAGTTATCTGTGCCTTTCAGAAGACTGGCCGTGGGGCCAATGGCCATAGCCAACGTATTGCCTAGGTGAGATCTGTTCGAGCCCTGTGTATGCATGTGTTTCCTGGAGTGTACCAGTTCAACGAATCCAAAGACACGCTAACGAAGGCGGTATCCTGTTCACTAGAGCCGTACAGTGAGTTTCACTTACCGCCTCATTCTGCTGGGGAAATCGAAGCCGCTCGCTAGTTCACCAGATCCAATGGATTATTGATGTGCTTTGTGATAAACCACCTGCCAACAGACGGCTCCATAAGTTCCATATATTGCATATATTTCCACACACACGACATCGCAAAGATCTATTGACCTGTGTCAAGTGAACGGAGGAGCATCTCATCTCATCAATACTGTGTACTCGCAACACCTTTACATCAACCTACACCTCAGACAAAAGTCAAAGACGAAATATGACAGACTCCAAAGAAGCCCTCCTCGCCCAAATGGAAGGCATTGACACCGCCGAGTCCGACCCACCCCCAGCCTACGACAAACCACCCCCAAAGTCCACTCGCGGGGCACCCCTCCCACGCCCACCACCCCTCAACCTCCCCGTCCTCAACAACCTCCGCAGCCGGCGCGTGATCCTCGCCTCCCAATCCCCACGCCGCAAACAAATAATCTCCTTCCTTGGCCTCCCCAACCTCGAAATCATCCCTTCAAACGCCGCCGAAGACCTCCCCAAAAGCCTCGGCGCCTTCGACTACGTGCTGGCCACAGCAACGAAAAAGCCCACGCAGTCTACGAACAGGAAATCAACAACGAAGACAAGGGCGAGCCGGCACTCATCCTAGCCGCCGACACGGTCGTCGTCGATCCCTCCACCGGAGCTATTCTCGAAAAGCCCCGCTCGGAAGCACACCATCTTGCTATGCTGCGTTCGCTGCGCGACGTTCGCAATCATAAGGTCTTCACGGCGCTTGTGGCTATGGCGCCGTTGGATAGTGCGCGGGACCCCGGGTATGCTATTGAGACGATGGTTGAGGAGACGGCTGTGAGGTTTGATTCTGAGGTTACGGATGAGTTGATTATGGCTTATGTGAAGACGAGGGAGGGGGCGGATAAGGCTGGTGGATATGGGTTGCAGGGCTTGGGTTCGATCCTTGTTGAGAAGATTGATGGGAGTTATGATAATGTTATTGGGTTGCCGCTTAAGGCGACGCTCAAGGTTATTGAGACTGTTATGCAGAAGGCGGATGATGATGGGGGGTTGCCTGGGGATGGGGAGGAGAGTGAGGAGGAGTGAGGGTTCGTGGTTTAGATTGGAATCGACTCTTTTGCTGGCATTTTCTGTGGGTCCCGGGTTGGCTTTGCATTTTCTTTACTTTTTTCGAGACATATATCCATCAGAATGGCTGATTGGAAGTCGTGTTTGAAGGAAGGAACCATCAATCATGTACCCCGTGCCATGTTGTTTCGCACGCCATGTAAGTGATAGCCTTCCCTGAGGTAGTTATACCTAGGTCTATACTTGACACTTGTCAACAGCAAGGGAAAATACACCTGCTCACCATGTCATGGAAATACTGGCTGGCCAGAAGGTACCTCCAAACTATCACATATCTAGCGGGAGTGGACGTAGGTATGCAAAGCGATGTGCAGCCCCGAGTCCAAGAACATACTCAGTACCTACCTAGTAGATGCCACTGACCTATGGGGTATGTTTGTTATACTTCTTTTTTATATATTGTAGCTGAGAAACAACCTTGAACAGGAATCCAGCACCGATCAATAGATTCGGGCAGAGTGACATAAGAAAGATAATCAACATTTACAGAGGTGGAACGGAACGCCTGGATAGACCAGAACCATAGATAAAAGGAAATAAAAAGACACCATGTCTGAAAAGAACTTGTAACACCCGTCTATGCCGTCCAGATGCGGCGCAGGGCCTCTGTCACACCAACATCGTTGGTCTCGAACTCGTACAGACCAACGGCGGTGGTGAGGGTGAATGCGCGCAGAAGCCAGTTGCAGAAGGTGCGGAACTTAGGCACACGGGCGGGAGGGAAGTAGTCGACAATGGCGGCCCTGGTGAAAGATGTTAGATTATGATCTTCGGATCGGAGATCTGGGGAAGATCTGGGCCGGATAGCGGGCGGATAGCGCGGGGAGACATCTTACTGGAATCCGATGTGGGAGTGAGCGACAAGCAGAGAGCACAGGATGGCGTCCATGACGGGGTTGAGGGAGCCGGCGGCGAAGGGGGCGATGGTGAGGGGGACCAGGCCGACGGAGACAAGTCTAAGTGGGCGGTTAGTCGGGTTACATTTGCGCTTTGCGGAGCGGTCGGAATGGGTAGTTTGTTTTCGGAATTCTGATGCGCAAAGGGGACCACGAACCTCTCGAAAGACCAGTGGTAGCTGCCCTCAGAAGGGTGAGTCTCGGGGATGGGGGCAGGGTCGTTCACTGTCGGGATAGGTTAGAATCGAGGATGTCAAGGGCAGTATGAGCGCAATTTTATTCGAGGCATCTTTGAGACCTGTGGAAAGCCATGACCGGATATACCCGTGCATTGCTGGGTGTTCCATGCTCAATGCCATCGAAAAAGGACTGGAGGATCGGGAGATCGGGATAGGAAAGGCGCGGAAAATCACATACTGGTTCCCTGAATGGTCTCTGTATCACGAAAAGCACATTAGCAATTGCTCTACACAATCTCCAAAATCGCCGGCCATTGCGGCTCCTTCAATCTTCCTCGTCGCATGGCTACTTACGAGGCAACGGGGGCAGGATCTGCTTCTTAGCAGAGGCGTGGAAAGCCACGACCTGCGATACGCCGACATTCTTCTGGAGGAAGGTTCCCCGGGGGGCAAGAGTCTGTCGCAGCAGAGCTGAGCGTGCGAATGAAGCCATTGTGAGCGGAGAGTGTATGGTCGTGAAGAAGCAGAAACGCCCGTACGGAAACACAAGCGGATGAAGTTGGAGACCTCGGGAATCCGTGTCGGTATGTCATCCTTTTACAGGGAAGTTGATTGGCTGCGGTCCGTCCGCCCAGCCGAAATTGCCCGCCTATGGAAATGTTTAGCCCTGCAATTATCTACTTACTGTTTATTGTCAAGTCGTTGACTACGTTTTTACTCTTTGATGTTTTGAATTTTGTTCATAAATTGTGCGCCTTTGCAAGAGCGTTGGATTCGCTATTGGATAAGCGGATTCCTCTCATCCTGCATACTAAATAGTCCTAGCCGAGGTATCGCATACCTCACTTCGAATGTTGAACACAAGTCATTACGCCAGACATCTCGTTATCTCATCAGTCTCGTGAAGCACTTAGAACTTCAGGACAGCCTTGCCCTTGTTCTTGCCGTGGAAGATGCCAATCAGGCCATCGGCAGCGTTGTCAATGCCAACATCCTCGTGAATGAGCACCTTGAAAGAGCCATCCTTGATCCACTTCTGCACATTCTCCTGGTGCTCCTTGGTGTAGACATCGCCCATGCCCTTGTCACCGACAATGAAGCCGCGCATGGTGAGACGCTTGACCAGGACGTTGTGAATATTCTTGATGGGGTAGGGATCGGTGGTGTTGTACTGGGAGATCAACCCGCAAACGACGACACGGCCGAAGTTCTTCATAGCGTCGAGGGCAGCAGCGAGGTGCTCGCCACCGACATTCTCATAGTAGATGTCCAGACCCTCCGGTGCAAGACGGGCAAGTGCATCAGCGGGCTTCTCGGTCTTGTAGTTGAATCCGCCGTCGAAGCCGAGAGTCTTGGTGATGTACTCGAGTTTATCGTCGGATCCGACGGATCCGATAACGCGCAGACCCTCGTGCTTGGCGAGCTGGCCGACCAGCTGGCCGACAGCTCCACTGGCAGCTGAGACGAAGATGGTCTCGCCCTTCTTGGGCTTGCCAATTTCGTACAAGGAGGAGTATGCGGTCAGACCGGGCATGCCCAGGGGTCCGAGGAATACACGGATGTCCTCAATACCGAGGGGGTTCTCGAGCTTTCGGATGCGGACCAGCTCCGGCTCGCTGAGGGCAATGTACTCTTGGATGGGGACGTGACCGATGACCAAGTCACCTTCCTTGTAGTTGGCGTTGTTGGAGCGCACGATCTTGCCGATGCTGGCGCTTTGAACGGGCTTGTTCAGGTCAAAGGCAGGAGCGTATGACTTGATCTCAGCAGGACGCATGCGGCCACGCATATAGGGGTCGAAGCTGGTGTAGAGAGATTGGAAAACCACGCCATTGCTGGGAGCGGCAACGTTGGCGTCATACTCGGCGGCCTCGATAGTCAAGTGCTCCCCCGCGACGGGGTATCCCTGGGGAATTTTCTTGAAAATGAGACTCTTGTTGGTAGCCATTGTGAATGTGAGGTGAGGTATGTGAAGGTAGGATAGAAGATAGGAATTTACCGAAGTACAAGAATGTGCCGAACCGAGGGGAGCTCTTTTTATATGACGAGCTCTCCATCGAAGCGGGGCTGCCGAGGGTACCAGATTACAATATTTTTTAATTATAAAGCAGACTGTCGTCCGGAGAAGGTTCTCGAGTAGGTTCTGATGTACTCCGTATAGATATGATACCCCACTTTCTGCAGTCTTCTGTACCACAGTAGTTCGTTGCATTAACTGACTGGCATAAATCCCCTCAACAACAAGTATGCCAGAGTCCAGACAGTGAACACATAGTGGCAACGGAACCGGGTTTAGAAAAACAGTGGAGATTCGGATGAATTGAAATCAGCCCAGGCCGACGGAAATCACCACTTTAGGTAGGAAGACCGTGCCCCTCCAAGAGTGGTGTGCTATTCGTTTTTTTCTTGTGTACGATGTGTGGCTGATGATGAGTTATCGTATTGAAGCTTTGCAATGGCTGATGATTGTTAAGCAGCGGAGCTGGCTACCGTTTTGGGACGAGAGTGGATAGAGGGGCATCTCGACCGGACTTGTAGATCGACACAACCAGAGAAAACTATGCACTGAAAGTTGTGAGAATTATGCATTAATTACATATAGTTGCGACTTGCGAGCAAAAAAAAAACCATCACACCATTGCGCCGGGCCGGCGGCAGTTCGAACATCCACAGGGTCCACAATAGGTTAACAAGGTTGTCCCACGCCCTGGAACTTAGGCCTTGCCATGCACTATACTAGCTGCCTTTTCAATGAAGAAGTGCTTGCCCTTGATCAACTTGACCATGAAGCTGAAAGGCACAAATCCAAATATCTGACCAGTACCACCAGCTTCACCCACAGGTACGACCATCATGATACTATCGCCCTGATTATAGCTCTTGATGGCCTTACCACCGACAATGGCGGCTTTGAGGTTGGCTGCCGCGACGTGTGCTTGCTCCGAGGCCTTGAAACTGAGACGCATCGAGTTGTTGGTGATATCGCCAGCAGCAAAGATAGGCAAGACTGATCCATCAGCCGACTGAACGCGCATCTCACTGTTCACCTTCACCCAGCCATCGTTGTCCAAGAACTGAGGCGGAATGAAGCTGTTGTTGGGGGTCACACCAGTGGTTGGGATATACAGGTCAGCCGAGAGTTTGTCGCCGCCTTCCAAGGAGACAGTCCAGGTGGGATTATCTTCGACCGGTGTTTCTACGCCAATGACGCGTTTCGAGGTCACGACCTTGATCTTCTTCTGCTCCAGCATTTTGCGTGCAGCAGAGCTAGCGGATGACTTGAGCATCGGGAGCACGCGATCGGTTGCCGACACGAGGGTAATGGAGACCTTGCCAGTATTTCCACTTTCTTCCACTGCTTCAGCCAGCTCTCCAGCCAACTCAACACCAATAGGACCCGCTCCACCAATCACGATCTCTTTCGCTTCCGCGATATGTCCCTGCGCCGCCTTGATCAACTCTTGGATATCATTGTGGTTTGACGGCTTGAAGGGGATGGATGTGCCAGTGAGCGAGCCAGTGGAGGCAGATGTAGTGCTGCCCGATGCGATAACGAGATAGTCATACGACAGGGTCTTGATGTCGCCCTCGTTCGGAGTTACGGTGACCGACTTGGCAACGGGATCGATAGCGGTTGCGGTTCCAGGAAGGAACTCGAACGCGTCGGGCCGGTAGCCTACAAAGGCATCCTTGATCGGAATCAGGTACTGTTCTGGGCGGAAGGCTTTCGGTTTCGCGAGAATGCGTGGGGCGGCGATGTTCCAAAAGAAGCTGGTTGAGGGGTTAATCAGCACGACCTTCGCATCAGGCACATCGTGAAGCACAGAGTGAGCAATATGAAGGCCCGCAAATGAGCCTCCAATGATAACTACGTCGATAAGTGACATGATGTAGAGTCAGAAAAGTGGACAAGAGTGGGTTTCTTGTTTTATTCGGGGGACGGGTCGTCTTATATGTGGGCTTGGATGCCTTCTCCGCGTATGCAGGGTCTGCAAGTAAGGCTCGAGATACTTATCCGTATGTTTCTGTGGTATCTCCTTGGCTATCCAGCACGACGTACGCAATAATACAATATCCAAAAGACACCTTGACACGTAACAGGGTTGGTCAGCAAAATCTCAATTGATTTCCAATGCTGACGTTCTGACGTTCTTCATCATTCCCTTCCCGCTTCCCGCCAAGGTGTGAGGGGAGGCTGGCTGAGTGCCTATCGCAGTGGCTTCGAAGTTACTTTGTTTTGATTGGATGATAAGTTTGGGCTGGCCCGGCGAAGCCACGGGACTGCTCACGGGACTGCTCACACCTTTACACAATACACATATCTAGGACTTGGGGGTACCTTCCCAAAAGGCCCTCTTTTCGTGTGAATTACACTGCACTTCTCCCCAAACAAACATTACGATCCTTCTGGGTCGTTTCTCGCCTTGCACCCATCCCTGATGGTCGCCACCACCAATCCCCCGATCCTGGATCCGGGTCCCAGCGCCCCGAGCCTCAGCAAGTGCCGCCGAAATTTACTCCTGACACTACGACGAAACACTCCGCCAAGCCCAGAAGAAGAGGGACCTTTTCGCCCGGCTTGGGAGGCATATCGACGCTTCGTAACGAAATGCGAAGATATTCATGGCGCTAGGGCCAGGGAGATGCGTGGCAGATGTTTTGGCAGCAGCTGTCTTCGTGGATCGTCACGAATATATTCGCATTTCGTTACGAAGGAGTCAATGTGCCTCCCGAGCCGGGCGAAGAGGTCGCTCTTCTTCTGGGCTAGGCGTAGTGTTTCGTCGTAGTGTCCCGGATCGACTGGCTGATCTTCTTTTCGTTCAGTGACGGAGCCAGTGCGTACACAGGCGTACGTCCAATCAACAACTTCGCTAAACCGACTGATCCATTTGCACAAAAGAAAAGCTGCCAGTGTCGGGATATATCCCCCTGTCAGGACAAACCATCGGTGACTTAGTGTTGGAACTGGTGACTTGTTTGTACTATAGCCACGTGATATATCTTAGTCAGCAGTCAGGCGGAAGGCTACGATCAGTGTTGGTTTTACACTGCAATATTGCTGGTATGCGAAACGTCGAAGACTACGGCGATTACTGGGCAGAGGGCCTACTCTCGTGGAGGCTCCTGCTCGGTGTAATCTGTGTAGTGTTCGTTGTTTTTCTTAGGGGTTCAGGTGGAAGGCTGCGTAGTAGCCTTCCGCCTGACTGCTGACTAAGATATATCACGTGGCTATAGTACAAACAAGTCACCAGTTCCAACACTTAGACCTACTGCCATATGTTGCAAGTTATTGATGAATCACTACGATAATCCAAGAGAGATAGACAAATAGTTAGTTCATACCTCGCTAGTTACTACTTGTTGTGAGACGTTACAGAGTAACAACATACAAAAGTGGATGCCTACAGGTGATATGATAGAACAAGTTGAGAGTACGGGATAGTGGTCTTCAATGATCTATCCATTTCAAGGGTTGATTGCCACAATTCCAAAGAAAAGCCGAATATGGCGATTTTGATATACAGCCAGAGCCTCGAATCTCGATGTGAACCGAGTCATGACCTCCAGCCTAACCATGTTGGAGTTTATCCAGCAGACTTTTCTTTTACATTGATTGGCGGACCCCAATTTGATGTTCTTTTTCTTCTTCTCTTCTTCCGTGTTTGCCATGTTTGCCACAATTTGTTTACAGCGATTCCCCCTATCTCATGTTATCTATCGATAAGATCAGGTGATCAATTATTTTTGCGCTTCTCCTAGGAGCGCCTTAATTGTAATTTACAACTTCATCATCTCCCCATTCATTTTCTTTTCTTACCAACATTCATTATGTTTGGTACAGTTCGTCGCTTTGCGGCTTCCCAAGTGCTGCGCGCTGCTGCGCCTCGCTCAGTCTCAGCACGATCGATTCCCCAGTTGCAGAAATGGCAGTCCCCCTTGAGCCTGTCATCTGTTGTTGCGACCAGATCGCTTCATTCGTCTTTCCCGAGATTGTCTGCTGTCTCTGCTGAGGCAGTCGAGGATGTCCTCGAGTCCTCAAGGCCGGCGGCACCGACAGGAGAGTTTGCTCAGCTCGCGACTGATAACATTATTGATGGTAGTCTCATCAAGAACATCATTCAACCTGACCGCATGGGTCTGAAGACGATGACTGAGGTGCAATTCCTTACTCTTAATGAGATTGTTAAGGGTGATGATATGTAAGTTTACAATCATCGCATGTGATTCGATATGAGATTATTTTGCTAACCTGCGAAATTTTCTTCAGTCTCGCCCAGGCTAAAACAGGAACCGGAAAGACTCTTGCTTTCCTTCTGCCCACGTTACAAAATATCTTGAACGATCCCTCTGTCGACCCCAAAACCTTTGCCCGTCGCGCCAGAACTGGCCCTTCGGAAATCCGTGCCCTTATTATCTCCCCCACCCGTGAACTCGCGGAACAGATCGCCGTTGAGGCTCGCAAGCTCGCATTTGGCACTGGCCTTATTGTTCAGACCGCTGTTGGTGGCACGCAAAAGCGCGCCGGTCTTGCCAAGATCCAGAGAGAGGGCTGCCATCTGCTGATCGGCACTCCCGGTCGTCTCAAGGACATCTTGTCTGACCCTTGGACCGGAGTCTCTGCCCCGAAGTTGAACACTCTGATTCTCGATGAGGCCGATCGCCTTCTGGATCAAGGTTTCTCTGCCGAAATTGAAGAAATCCAGGCATTGCTCCCCAATCCTGCCGAGGTGGACCGTCAGACGCTCATGTTCTCGGCCACCGTCCCCAGAGAGGTTATGCAGATGGTTCGCAAGACCCTGAAGCGCGACTTCAAGCATGTGAACACTGTGCGCGAAGATGAGGTTCCCACCCACGAGCGCATCCCCCAAAAGCTTGTCTACCTGCGCGGTCTTGAGAACGGACTGCCTGCCGTCCTCGAGCTTGCCCAAAAGTATCAAGAACGCGCGGAATCCGAGAATCTGCGTCCTTTTAAGGCCATCGTATACTTCAACTCCACTGCTGAAACCAAGATCTCCGCAGAAGCATTCTCCTCTCTTGCCAACTCAAGGGAATTCCGCATGTCTCCTCTGGGCAACGTGAAGATGATCGAGATCAACTCCCGTCTCACCCAGCAAGCCCGTACTCGCAGCGCCGATAACTTCCGCCGCGCTCGCGAGGCCATCCTCTTCTCCTCCGACGTGACTGCCCGCGGTATGGATTTCCCCGATGTCACTCACGTCATCCAAGTGGGCGTTCCCCGCGAATACGAGACCTACATTCACCGTCTCGGCCGTACCGGCCGTGCCGGCAAGGAGGGTGAAGGCTGGATCTTCATCCACAAGGGCGAACACGAGACGTACAGGAAACGCCTCGGTCGTCTCCCCATCAAGGGCGACTCGCCCACCAACCCCACTCTCCTCACTGCCGGTGCAGATATGAGCCAGCCCCAATCCCCCGATACCCCGGAAGGCCAGATCATCACCCAGATCCAAGAGGCCTTGGCTTCCGTCCCCGCCGATCTGAAGGTCTCCTCATACATGGGCCAGCTCGGTACCGCCACTAGCTCCTTCAGCTACAAGGGCGAGGCTATCCAAGCCCTGAACCAGCTGTCCAGCATCGGTTACGGCATGGCTACTCCCCCCTATCTCAGCCCTAGACTCGTGCAGCAGATGGGTCTCAGGGGTGTCACTGGTGTCTCTGTAGGCGACCGCCCTCGCGAGAGCTTCTCCCGCGGCGGTGATCGTGATGGCTTCTCCCGTGGCGGTGATCGTGGATTCTCTCGCGGTGGTGACCGTGGATTCTCCCGTGGTGGTCGTGGTGGTCGTGGTGGTAGCCGAGGTGAGAGCCGTGGTGATTTCTTGTTTGGCGATCGTAACCGTGGTGATCGTGAGGGTTTCTCTCGCGGTGGTGACCGCGGTGACCGCGGTGGTTTCTCCCGTGGTGGTAACCGTGGCTCGTTCCGTCCCAGTGGTCGTGAGCGCTACAGCGATCCTTCCTTCAAGGAGGGTGGCTCCTTCGATTTCTAGATTTGAGTCGGAGATGGACTCTCACCAGCGAGGTGGTGACTGCAGCTGTTCTGGTCCACTGATTGCTTATCAGTGATCAGACCAGCCCAAAAGTGAGAAGATGAAGCAACCATTTGGCATTGGGCGGCGTTTCTCCCATTTGTTTACTTACTGTACTATCTTATCTTGTACTATATACGCCCTTAGCTTTAGGTGCATTGTGTTTTTAATTCAGACTTCTCTCCTCTGTCTTATTATCTGTTCACTTTCATGTACAATATCTTGTCATTTGCGACCCAGAACAATATCAATCCAACTTGACACATCTACTGAACATAGTAGCACCCTCTGATCCCATTCTAGAGACATCTAAGTAGAATATGGCACAAAAAGGAAAACATTGTATCACACCCATGTAAATGATATAAACGAAACCAACATGAACAAGACAAACTAATCACGGGCAATCATGTGCTCTCTAGCAGGACCAGTCCCAATCCACTTAACCGGCACACCACCAATCTCCTTCTCAATAAACTCAATGTAAGCCCTAGCATTAGCCGGCAAATCCTCATACCTCTGCACACCCATAGTATTAGATTTCCACCCGGGCAGAGTAACATACTCAACCTGAATCTGCTCGACAACCTTAGGATCGGCCGGGAACGAGCCGGTAACCCTCTTCCCATCCGGCAGGATATAAGCCACGCCAACCTTGATCTCATCAAAGTCATCAAGAATATCCAACTTAGTCAGATTCAGCGCCGTGTAGTGGTTAATAGCGTGCGAGTAGCGACACAGCACAAGATCCAGCCATCCACAGCGACGCTTGCGGCCAGTCGTGACGCCGAATTCACGGCCGACGACCTGCAGCTTCTCGCCGTCGGCGTTGAGCTGTTCGCTGGGGAAGGGGCCGGAGCCGACGCGGGTTGTGTAGGCTTTTACGACACCGATGACGGACTTGATGCTGGACGGGTTGAGGGCGAGGGCTTGAACGGCGCCGCCGAGGCCGGTCGAGGAGGAGGTTACGAAGGGGTAGGTGCCGTGGTCGAGATCGAGCATCAGGGCGTTGGCGCCTTCCACTAGGGTGTTGGGGGAGTTCTTGTGTTCTTGGAGGAACTCGAGTTGGTCGACGATGTGGGGTTTGAGTAGAGTGCGGTATTCCTGGGTTTGTTAGTGATGTTTTTCTTTCAGTCTTTCAGATATCCCAATTTTCTTCTTGAGGGTTTTTCATTTGGGCACTGCCGCATTTATGCATACCTTGAACCGGGCAATCTCCTCCTCGACATCATAATCCAAATCACCATAGCGCGCGCGGTACGCGATATCAAGGTGTCGCAACTTGCGCTCGAAGGTCTCCTCGTCCAAAATCTCTCCAACACGCACACCGCGACGAGCAGCCTTGTCACTGTAGCAGGGACCGATACCCTTTCCGGTAGTACCAACCTTACGTCCACCGAGACCCTTCTCCTCGAGACCGTCGACGACAGAGTGGAGATCGAAGCAGACGTGGGCGCGGTCCGCGACGAAGATGCGCTTAGAGGCGCCCTTCAGACCCTTAGCCTCGATAGCGGCGAGTTCCTTGAAGAAGCTGGGGACGTGGAAGACGGTGCCGGCTCCGATCAGGTTGATACATTTTGGCGAGACCAGTCCGGAGGGCAGGATGTGGAAGTCGTAGGTGACGTTCTCGTGGACGATGGTGTGGCCGGCATCTGGGAAAAAAAGAAAGAAAAAGCCTCGGTTAGTTGAATTCTTGCGGCCCGGTTGGAAATAGTAGTAGCGTTACTCCGGGACAGAGGAATTGGAGAGAGGAGAGAACATACTGTGTCCGCCGGCTGCACGACAGCAGAGCGTTGCGTCCTGCGACAGCATGTCTGTGATCTTTCCCTTCCCTGGTTTGGCTTGTTAGTGTGGCTTCGTGGAGGAATTGAATCTCGCTACGTACCTTCATCTCCCCATTGACTGCCTAGAACGATAGAAACCATGATTGCGGTTGATGTCCTTCGAGAAAATCCCGACTTTATTGATCCAGGTTCAATTGCTTTGGATGCTTTGGATGGTGGGGTTCGAGAAAGAGATTCTGTCTGGAGCCGATAAGCGGGGCCAACTTTTGCCGGTCTGAGTTCTCAACGAATTCGATCGGCGGGCAATTCAATGCGCGAATTTATAACCTGCAGGGAATATTCAGATTGAGCTATTTTTCAGTGACTCAGACCATGTTTCCCGCCAACTCCCGTTGTTCACAGATCCGGCGGGGTGGCGGGGCTTGTGGCCTTGTTGCCTTGTTGCCTTGTTGCCTGGGTGCCTTGTCCTTGGCAGACAGGGTTAGGGCAAGGGTCCGTTATCTCCTGCTCGTAGACAATGAGCAAACGAATGGGCATGCTTCGGATCATTATGCTTGCTTTTGTATTAGACAGTCCGTTGAGTGGTATTGTATTTTGGCATCAATATGCAGAAACTTAACATACAATTCAACGCCGAGACCCATACAACGTTCATACATTCAGTACTAGTCAAGTGGATTGCCAGAGACAGCCCAAAGGCTAGAAGACTCGAACAGATTGGAATTGTTTAGGCCAAATCTACTTATAGACCAAATGTCCTCCGACCCCCCTACCATAAAGCGAGAACCAGACACCAACGCTGATGATAGGTGATAAATTCAGACATCCCCCATGCAGATGTGGAAGAACCCCCGGTATATTCACAGTAACGCCGACCCTCCATTATGCATCGCAAGTCAAAAGATAAGAACAAAACAAACCATGGGTAGAAGACATCAGTAGAAGTGAAGTAAAGCACACAAAAGGCGTCAGGCGTGAGAAGGAAAGCCAGGTAAGAGCAGGTGAGAGCAGGTCAGACCGAAGTAGACAAATACTCAAGCCGAGTATACTGCTTCAGCCCTGACTCTAATACATTCATCACAGACTCAGGTGATGAACCTAAGCCACTCTCCCGCCTTCCCGAATCCACTCCCTTAGCCGTCCAAGATCCAGGATGCACTCGCGATGCATCTCACAGGCAACATCCCAGTGCTTGCGCACCTGAATATCCTCCTCGATACCACGGAGATAGGCACTATAGCCCCCCTTATTTGTGCCAGGAACCAGAGACTCCTCGACATGATCGTCAAGGTCCTTAGCGGTCTTATCATTGCCCTTGGTGTCGTCATCGTCTGTGCCATTCATTTTCAGGCGAGTGGAGTCTCCTACAGCACTGATCCAGCCGGGCGCGAGGCCGGTCTTGTTCGCCTCATGGCGTGCATTGAAATGCGTGAGCATGCGGCCGTTGAAAGCGTTCCACTCGTGCATGTACGCGCCCATTGCTGAGACGTACCAGTTCCATTTATCGCGTGGAAGAACGAGATGTCTGGAGGTGGGTGTTGGGAGGACCGGTTTCGGGGCCCAGGGCCGTTTGGGTGGATTAGGAAGCTGAAGGAGACGGGGGCGGATGTCACTTTGCGTGGTCTTTTGCTGCTTGGCTTGAGACTCGAATGGAAGGGTGGTGTGGATGTCTTCGAGGTTCTCAATGCCTCCCCCGGTTGCGTTGCCTAGCGGAATTGTATTACGCAGGTTGTCAAGACTGAACAGAGGAGCGCGGGAGTCAGTGTTCGCAACTCCTTCTGTTGGGTGAGGAGGCTTGGACTTCTTGACTGGAGGGGCGTCTGGTGAGACTTTGGCCGGAATCGGCGGTTGGTCTGGTGGAGTAGAGAATTCCTCATCGAGGTCCATCGCCTCGACATCAGGTGCAGCTGGCGCAGTTGGAGGGATGTCATCATTAAAGGTTCCGTTAGCTTCTTCTGCCTCAGTAGCAACACTTGCCGGCTGCGGAGCACTCCGCACTTTGGTACCTGCTCTGGGCTGTTTCTTGGGACTCCGAGGAGGCGCAGCATTTGCAGTGGCCTTGGCCTTTTCGGCCTCGGGTACAGTCCACGAGAGATTCCGAAGTTGCGCAGCCCACTGATCTGCAGAGAACTTTGCTTGCGCGAAGGGTGTGGGTTGCTGCGGCTGTGCTGGCTGTGATCCTTGATACATAGGCGTAGTGCCAAAAGGATTCGGAAGTGGTGATCCAGTCGTTGATGGTTTTGCCGTGCCGTTTCGATTGGGTGTACGTGTCCGACTTTGTGATACAGGCGACCTTGGGAAAGGTTCCTTGCCTGGAGAGACGGAGCCCAGGAAATCAAGATGGTTCAAATGATCACGCCAATCGTCCGCGGAGAATTTCTTATGCAAGTTACTCGTGCTGCTGCGACCAAAGGCAGCCGATTGAGGTCTTGGTGCATTGCTTGCCCGGTGGTCAGTACTAGAGCCGAATCGGTTTGTCAGTCGCGGTTTGGAGTAATGGAATGTGAGTCGATCATACTTGACAGAAGAGGAAGACCCGGACGAGCTGGGCTGCTGGTCCGGTCGAAACGAACTTTTGGAGAAAGCAGCGCTATCTGAGGTGTGTCCTTCGAAGTCCTTCATGTCAGCATGCGTACGTTTTTTCGAATGGGGGACCTTAGATAACGAATAAAACCTGAGACCACCATTGGGTAGTCTTAGGCTTTTCGCTCCACGCGAGATTGCGGGGAAGAATGTAGAGCCCATACCATTTCCAGGGCTTGCTGATCCTCCTTGCCAGGCGTTGGCAAAAGTCTGATGCGGTTTAAGTCGGCTCTTGGGTACGGCCTTCGGTTTGGGGATTTCTTCCTCCGAGTCAGTTAATTCACTCGATTCACTCGAGCTAGTAGAGTCATAGTTGGCGGTAGTTCGTCTGGCCTTGGGGCTGGCGCTGCGATGTCTGCCAGATCCACCAAAGGCGGGACTACTGCCCTTCTGCGCACTTTGGTGAGATCCTGAGGGTGTGCGCATGGTCGAAGATCGCCCTAACCCAGCGCTTGAGAAGAACGTCTTCTCGCCTTTACCTGTTTGGGCGTATCCTCTGCTGGTCCGCTCCAGATCCGGGGTGAATGAATGTCGTGACTGAGGCTGAGACGGCTCAGGTGATGCTGCTTTCTTCGCAGTTGGTGGTGGAGCAGGATTGAAGTACTGGCTGCTCGGCCGCTCAGTGCGACTGCTATTGCTGTAGGCAGAAGTATTCCGGGCCATGGGCTCATCTCCCCCAGCGGCCCCTGGTGCAAAGCCCTGCTTCTTCTTGGCGGACTGTGCGGTGTTGGCGCTTTGGCGGGCCTCAAAGGCAGACTTGGCCCGGCTAGACTGCGCAGAATTTCCAAAGGGACCTCGTTGTGGTCCGGAACCTGCAGCACCACCAGCCGTGGCGCGACCAGTTGCGGGATCAAAGCCCTGCCATCCAGACGCCTGACCTCCTCTCATGTTATTGAAGCCACGGAACGCATCGGCCCTCGTTTGCGCATTATCTTGTTGTTTCCATTGCGAACCTGCGCGCGCTTGATATGCGTACCGCTGTGCACCGGCGGATGGGCCACTTCGGGGTGTCTGTGATTGCCGAGGCGTCGAGTAAGTTTCCGTAGGGCGAGGGTTGGTGGGAGGCTGTGCTTTGCGCTGGGTATTTGCCTTAGGCGGACCGTAGACCTTCCCGTACCCCGCGCGCAAGCGATCGGTATCATATTTCAGGCGTAGGGTGGGATCACTGAGGATCTCGTTTGCAGCTTGGATAGCTTGAAATTTGGCGATGAACTCGACTTCTCTTCCTGGGTTCCTGTCCGGGTGGAATTTGAGCGCTTTCCCCTTGGTTAGCATCCAATCATCGCTTCATGACGCAGCCCCTCCAAAGCTCACCTAGCTTCCTAAATTGCTTTTTGATCTCTTCAGGCTCCGCGCTGGGTTGCAGCCCAAGGTCCGCATAGTAATCCTTTCGCACATCTGCTTTCACCATCTTGTCCAAAGAACTCCGGCGACTTAGGCGGTTGTGTCACGATCAAATCGCATAACGGGCGTTCAAATAGACAATGTAGGGTTGAATTTCCAGTTGTGGTAAGGTGTCGCTTAGATATTTCCAAGATCACGTTGTACGAAAGCAGGGTGTTGCGAACAGGACCAGGCGAAACAAATACTATATTCTGCCGACTTAGCAAGTCCACAGCCTTCGCGGGCAAAATTGCAAAAGATTGCAAGAGGATTTGGTTTGGGAGGCGAAGAAAATGCAGAGCCTCCTTGTATGCTCCGCGGGTCTCGGCGCTTGACCGCAGGGTTCGCTCTGACAGTGCTGATCAAAATGCGGGATGATCAAAAATGCTCGCAATATGGTGTGAGAAGTCGATGCGATTGTACATGGTCTTTCGAAATGAAATCGAGAGAGTGCGGGGACTCAAATGCAGATGTGCCTTAAGAGGGAATCGAAGATCGAAGTGGGCACCTGATGTCGAGATCAGGCAGTTGGGTCCAAGCGCAGATCAGAGTGAAGCAACCAACAAGGCTGCAGTGCTAGCCTGCGAGTTTCGTTTGTGCGGTGAGTGCCACGATCGATGAGTGGAGCAAGAAGCAAGAGAAGCGAGAGAAGTGAAGTTGGGTTGGAGAGGAAAAAGTGCGGGATTGTTTGTTTTGACATTTGACAATCGGTGCCCGAGGCAATAATCAGCATACGCAAGGCAGCGACTAGATACACGTTATTACAGGACTTTCTCTATTTTCTTCAACTCAACTACTTAGTTCCTTGCAGATATTTGTATGGTATCCGTATATGTAGGTGGTATCCAACCCAGCAGTTAAACAATATGCACGAGTCAAGCTATACAGAATGCCCTTGAGGCCACCCTTTGTCTTGTAGACCCAAGGGAAACGAAATGAAGAAAAGAGTCCAAACGAAGCAAGCATTTACAGAGACAAGAATTACTGAGCATCCCCTCCTGAGGGGCCAGCACCAGAACCACCAAAGAAATACCCTTCCAAAAGATCATAGTTGGGATTCTCACTCCAGTCATGCTGGAAGTCCATAGCCATGCCAAAGCCAAGGTCAATCCCAACATTCTGGCCCAAGTTCTGACCATAAGGTGGCACAGACATTATGTCGTAATCAGCATTACCGTCGCCCTCCAGATTACCCTGGCCTTGAACTTCGCCAGTTCCGAAATCCAAGAAATCGAGACTCATCCCCTGAGGAGCTTCAGAACCGACAGACGGCATGTCATGGGTGTTACCGCTCGGAGAGCCGGATCGTTGCGGCGAGTTCGAATAGTAGAACTGCGGAGGTTGGGGGGAGTTCGAATTCTCGTACTTGAGATAGTAATCCATTGAGTTGCGATATGACTGGCCAGATTGGTCTGCTGGGCGGTTGGGTCCCAGGGATTCTGGTTGATATGATGGCAGTCCGGATCGGACAACTGGTCTAGACTGGTCGGTCAAGGGATTGCTATCAGAGAATAGATCAGCCAAGTTCATGTCGAACTTGGGAATGGGACGCGATGGACGTGTTTGTGTCGCCCGCCTGCCCTGATCTTGACCTGTGCGCTGTTGGTCCATAGGCTGTCGCCCCTGGTTGTACAGTGGGTTGCCGGCGTTTGATGCAGCGTGAACTCGGCTCATATCTACTTGGGCACCGAATCCGGTTGTGGATAGACACATCTGAACGGTGGCTTTGCTCATGCGCTCGAATGCATCCCGACATGCCTCAGCCGGTGGGCATTTCTGCATCAAGTCGCCGAGCACAGAAGTTGCGGCAAGGACGGTGAAGTCGACTTCATCGAGGGTCTAAGCGAAGGTTACGTTAGCATCAGGCCAGACATGAAGCTCGGAGGTTTCGATACATACCAGGTGGCTTCGGACCAAAGGTGAATGCCAAATGGCATATAGGAACGAGATCCCTAGTGGAAGGTCAGTAAGGAAGTGATGGTAATCGAGTGCTGAAATAATTGCATACCAGCCATGAAAATGTGATGTGTTGCAAGGTAGGTATAATTCACCAAGCGAACTCTATGCAATTGACGATAGATTCGAATGACCTTCTGGCCAGCCTCAGCCACATTCAGATAGACTTGATCCTCATCGTCACCCGCATCCGGATTTGAAAATGACGGACTGGAGACTTCATCTACGGGAGTAAGCTCTCCCGCCAACTCAGCAGGAACAGTCAAGCTCTGCTGGTACAACAAAATGATAGCCTGCCAATAATTCAGCTCGAGCAGCTCGATAGAGAATCTCACGCCTGTTTCTAGGCGTGTGGGTGCGCTCTCTAGCCACTCGACCAACCGACGATGCACATCATGACGCCAGGAACGGAAAGAGGCAAAGCCCTGGAGGAAAGGGGAGGAAAGCTCGGCGTGGGGGAGGATTGCTGCGCCGGACGCTCTCCTCCGCACAGCGCGTGCCTGCTGGTATTGTAGAACATCGTGGATTTCAGATTGAAGAAGCCGTAATTTGAAGTAGTGGAATGCAACATGCTTATATGTAGGGGCACCCTCCGGTGGTGTCAAAAGGCCGGACTTGGTAATATATTTGTCGTCCATCATGGACGGAAGATCGGTGCTGATGGCCTGGTCGCTGATCCCAAATGGCCGTCCCACACACGTGGCGACCAGACGGTCGAAGCTGTAGACGCACCACCACAAACGGCGACGGACATCACGCACCCATTCCCGTCGTCCTCGTTCACGGGGATCGATCCGTGACTGTACTTGGTTGCCGTCTTTCGTTGCAGAGTCAATGCCTGTCCCGTCTTCGTAGTGGAGCCCAAGATCGACAGCTAAGCGCATGGCCACGCCGACGATATACCAAAGACCAGGTGCAACGGGTCGCAACAGGGCAAAGCTGGCTAGGAGGAGCACTGCCTGCAGTTCCTCCAACCCTCCGAAGCCCTCGCTAGAAGACGAGCCAAGGAACGAATCCAGATGGAGAATCGCCGAAGCGTGGTATTCCTCGGGCTGGTACTGATGGCTCGAAAGCTTTCGTCGCTTCGTCCCAGACGCAGACCTGTCACGACCATTGCGATCCTCATCATCCGAACTTGGAGGCTTATCCTCAAAGATGATCCCGGCACCAATAGCAAACACGATATTAAGCACATAAAGCGCGCGCGGCGAACGTTTCTTCTCCTCTTGCAGATAAGTACTGTCAAGCAGCTCCATAAAGTCTCCTCGGTGGAGAATGGGCATCTGAGGATTCGCATGCTCAAAGTAAAGATCAACCAGCCGCTCAGCAAGCTCCCGCTCAGGGAACGCAGCGCACTTCATCATCGGCCTCGTCTGCAGTCCGAAGAAGGAATCACGCATACTGCCTCCACCGCCAGCAGTTCCAGCAGCACTCTGGGGCAATTTATCGCTGGTGCGAACCTGTGCACGCTCCGCATTGCCGGGGAGTGAGCTCCTCACGGCGGCGAAGACAATGCGGGCAAACGAAATCCCCGATGTCGACCCCAGATACCGCGGGTCAGAAGTACCTTGTACAGAGACCATGCCGATGTTTGAAACCAAATTATGCAGACGCCAATTCTCCTCGTTGGCGGGGTCACCGGCCGCATCTAGATTTGACTTCCCATCTCCTTTCTGCCCCGACCGAGTGGCATCTCCTTTTGAGAGGTTCTTCCGCCGTGTCTTTTCCTCCGCAGAACCCTCACCCGCTTGACCATCATGACCAAGCGCTTGCGCGGTGTCGCCTTCCGACTCGACCTTGATAGCCTCCTCCTCGTCAAAAGCAACGGCTTTCTTAAAATCAATATTATTATCCGTCAACTGTTTCTCAAGATGTGCCACGCGCGTCTCGAGGAAATGGACGTAACTGCGCGGGATCTCCCGCTTGGTGATAGGGTCGTATCCGACGCAGCGCACGCCAGCCTTCTCGCAGGACTGGCAGCGCGGAAGACGCTGATCGCAGCGGTTCTTGCGCAATCGGCAGCGATTACATGCTGAGACATTGCGGAACGATGACGAGGATGCGGACGCGGAGGTGGCGGTGGGATGGGCGGATGAGGCGGTTGAGGCGGATGCAGCTGCTGGGGCGGGGGTGTTAAGTGCGGGATTGGTCCCGTCACCTTGCGCCAAGGTCTCGGAGGGGTGCGGTCTTTTCTTTCCTGAGGAAACTGGGGATAGGGGTGAAGGAGGGCTGGGCATTGTGAGAGGAGAGCCGCAGGGTTGCGATCATCTCTTGATGATAGGGATCTGCGGAGACTGCGGTCGGAAACTGCGGCTTTACTCCCTGGATCAGACCAACAATCATGATAAGATCACGCAGTACGACGCAGTACGTTTGTCCTTGTCTGTTGGCAGAGAAGTTCGGAGACATAGAACCTTGGGAAGTTCTCCAGCCAATTCGATTCGGAAGGCGGGAATCGCGGCCCGCAAGCGAAGGGAGTCTGAGAGCAGCCAGACTTCCCGAATTAGATTAAACTCCGAGTAATCAGTTCGTCCCACACAGACGGTGACAGACGGTGACAGACCTATACACAGTAGACAACTGAATGATAGAATGTTCAAAAATATGGGGAACAGAACGACTGTGGAGATCTCAGATGCCAGCGAGATTAAGTTGCCCTCGGGAACGGCAGAGATTGGGGTCAATCGGTACCCCGGATTATCGAGAGCCAAACAAAGACCATAGCGATCCTGGTCCTCGTATTGTGGCTGTCGACAAGAGCTAGGTCCCTAGGATCTATGGTGGCCTCATTTGGGCAACCTAGGTTCAGGTGCACCACCCCATGTTGTTCCCGTACAAGACAAGATCTTTCACAGATGGAGAGAAATGTATCGAACGAGTTCAGGGCCTGCCGAGGTAGGAGATCAGAGGGGTTTATATGACGTACAGCCGATTGTGGTATGATCAGCCCACTGCTATGTACACTGGAGCAAGTGCTTATTTTCCGGACACCGTCGGGATACATGGATGCCTGCTAGTGTGAAACCACTTGTCTGTTCAGGGTGGGTATGAGGCAGCGCGAAGAACTACTCTATGAGGCTACGAAGAAGGCTTTGGAAATTTGGTAGAGATGCAGGAAATGGGTGGTAATATTGAGCAAGTCCGTAAGAAAATACTCTAACCGACAGAATCAGATCTTCGAGCGAAGGATCGATGGTAAGATAGGACGAAAAAGCGAAATAGAAAAACACAATTAGCCTCCCAGATGCACATGAGTATGGTCATAATATAGCCCGTTGATGCTCCAAGATGAGATGACAAGAGAGAAAGTAAAGAGAGACCCAAAATGTATGCTTCTGCATATGCAATGCAACCATCTATAATTGCGCCGGCTCCTGGTCTGAAGAAAAGTCGTGGGAATGAAAAGAGAAAAGCAAAATGAGGTATCATGAAAAGGAGAAAAGAAGAAGAAGAAGAAGAGAAAAAGAAGAGAAATCCGTGTTGCGCCTTAGCGCTGAAATGTAAACGCCTTGCCAGAAGAGCGGCAGAAAATAAGAGGCGAAGATGCAAAATAACCAATCTTCACATTTTTAGACATTGGTATCGTGAGTGACATCACATTCAGCCTTGGGGAAGTTGTCGACGACCTCCAAGTTGAGTTTCGAGACATCGAAGTCATGGTCGATGCTAGAGCGCAAGGACAGCAGCCGCTGCTCTTCCTCAGGCAACTCATCAGACTCTTCGCCCAGCTTGGCAAAGTCCGAGAGAGCATCACGCTTCAACTCAGATTCTTTGACCTCGGGCTGACGGGTCTTGAAGCGCTCAGGCTCCGCAGACTCCTCCATCCAGAAACTTTGGATGGCACCGACCAGGCAGACAAGACCGCAGCCCCACCAGGCCAGCACGGAGTATCCACTATCGAGACCCTTGGAGTGGAGCAGACCAGTAAGAGTAGGACCCAAGGCCCGGCTGAGACTAGCAGTCGAGGCGGCGACGCCGTTGATAGAGCCCAATACTTTGGATGACGGGGCGGCATTGGCCAGGAGGATGGCAGTGGCGGGGAAGGCGATGACATGGAAGGTGATCTTGCTGATCAAAGAGGCATAGACGGCGAAGGTCTGCAGCTTGATGGGGAGAAGGACGAGGTAGGGCACGGCGAGGTAAAGAGGGGGCCAGGCAAGCAAGACGAAGCGGAAGGTGCGCAAAGTGCCAAAGTGCTTGACCACAAATGGGAACAGCCACAGTTGGGCGATCATCGAGTAAACGCCCTGAACAGCGAGCATGAACCCAATGGTCTTGGTGGCCATGCCGAGGCCGCCGGTAAACTTTAGGGGTAGCACCACCTCGTCATCGGATCGAGGAGTGCTCAGGAAGACAGGCATCAGCTGATCAAACGACACGCTGTGGCTAGAAGAGGGAAATGCAGGTCAGTAAATGCGCTCAGGCGTATCGGAAGGAAGGGTGTGGCGCCGAAGAGAGAGGGGAGCCAACTCACTAGGCAAGGATCCCGTAAGCAACAATAACGACGATGACTTGTCGGGTAAAAGCCTTGGGCGCGGGGCTCTTCTGCCCCTCCAAGTCGCAATCGACGGGCCGCAGGCAAGGCGATGATTCGGCGCTTGTATAATCAGGAGGCGCATCGAAGTACTTCTCCTGAACGTCCACGTCGGAATCATCAGGAAGTTGCACGCGGGAACCCCAGAGCTGATTGACCAACCAGTGGCCAAGCTCCAGACCGGGGTCGCGCTGGTGCTTCTTCTCCGGGTGCGTCTCCTCCAAAAACAAGAATCCAACCACGATGCCGCAAATCAGCACCGTGATGCAGACCAGGTTGGGCAGCAAGAACGGGAATTTATCCCACAGGGTGCTGCGCGCAAAGAGGGCCGGGTAGTTGTCGCAAGGTTGGGCCAAAGCGCCGCCCATAGCCGGTCCAATGATCGATCCCAGACACCACACAAACGGCATGATCGAATAAGCTCGTGGCTGGTGCTCCTTCTTCGTCACGATCTCCGCAACCGTCGTCTGCAGAACTCCAATATTGCCGTTCAACATGCCGCCCAGGGCGCGCGCAATCATCGCCGTGGCCAAGTTGGGCGCAAATCCGAACACTACCATGCTGATGGCCGTGCCCACGAGGCCCATGATGAGCACTGGCTTGCGACCAATCCTGTCACTCATGCGGCCCCAGAACATACCCGCCGAAAATTCAGCGAAGGTGAATGAGGAGGTGATCATGCCGGCGTACAGCGCGATCTGGCGGTCGTTATCCGTCACATGGAATGATTCGACCATGTGATATACGTATGGGAAAATTGACATGAAAGCAATTGGCTCACAAATTCGGACGAGTGCTGCACCATGATATCGTCAGCAATCTATACCACCGGTACAGATCTGGTTTGCGGCGCAATATGCGGCAACCATGTCTTCCATAGTTCATCGGCGGGAACAAAAGTACGAGACTTACCTAAAACGAACAATTGACGAACAGGGAATGTAGAGAAGTCCTCGCCAGAGCCATTGTGTGAGCGACGGCCCATCAAAGAGGCTAGTCGTTGGAACATTGTGAAGGTGAGAAGTCGAAGGTTTGAAATGAGCTGGAAGACGACAAAAGGGGATTTTTTTGCAAGAGGCTTCGAAACACCCCGCTTCCCTTTGGAAATTGATAGATTCGATGTCCCGGAAAAGGGCGGAACAAAGTACCAGATAAACGGTGCTTTGGGTTGCTTAATTTCCTCAGAGTTAAAAGTGAAAGGGAGAGAATGTCGCAGTGAAGGGTGTAATTGGAGCAAGGAGCAGCGTCTTTTGCTTTTAGGACTTCAGCATTGCTCCCCCTGTGGTTATCAATTCAAGATCGGATGAAGTAGGCCGGAAGATCTTTGGGATTATCCCAGAGACGAGACAGCTGCAAGGGAGTCGAGTTTATAACCTTCTTTGTTTTCTCGGAAGAGTGTATAGAAGAAGATTGTCAAATATCGATCGACTTGGTTGAGGTTGACTTGGTGTGGCTAGGAGATGATCAAGAATGGAGGGATCTATAAAGAATCCCAATGGAGTGGTTCAGGAAGATGTTTCAAAGGTTTGAGTCTGGAGTTTCTTTGAAAAGAGAGGGAAATCTGGAGGGGAAAGGGGAAGTTATTATAATGTAAAGTTGTGGATAGGTCTATAGCAATGATCAGGCGCCATAGAACTAAAACGTCAACCGTTCAGCATCACAACTGAACATTTCGGTTACAGCTGTACAGGATGCAGTTGGCAAACATTGGATCAGGATAAAGACGGACGAAGTGGGTCTTGGGGAATTTCTTTATTATTTTATTTTAGGTTTTTCTCTTAAATTTTCGAGGAATTAATAAATCCCTTGTAGGGTGGATCTCTGGTAGTCTGGTAGAACCTGACATGTTCGGTTTGAGGGAGTAGGGGGAAAAGAATCACCAAGGCAAGGAAAGGGGGTGGAACCAATAGGAAGAAATCAGTCATATTTTTGGTTCTACAATTTGGTGTTTTTTTTCTTATTACCATCCTACCCACCAGGGCAATTCATCGGGGGAAAGTCTTTACTCTTCCGGACCACTGGTAGAAAATGATGAAACCAAAGATGTGCCGATGTATATACATACAAAGCAGGAAAGCAATCCGATCAGATCATTTGCGAATTGTAACACATAGAAAATATTAATCTGAAATTCCACCTTCGAAATGGTTAATGGATTGAAAAAAAAAATGAATTAATCCAAAGTTTCAATGCATTCAACCGTCATGATTCGACAGATCTATCCCCCAGATCCAGAAAGAAGTTAGATTGGGTACAGAGAAAATCCTGTTTGTTCCAAGGAGAGTAGTAGACCCACGGTCCTGAGCACCGGGCCCCGGGGAACAACATTAGGTCTACTCCTAAGAGGGCGCTAACAGTACCTGACCCGTATGGCATAAAGGATCGACTTTTTGTGTTTTGTTCCCAGAGCTATGGTTCTAGTGCACTTTAGGAAGATGATAGATCTCGCCTTATGGTTCCGCGGTATCTCTGCGCCTCCCCGAGAGCTATAATATACTAGCACACAATGGGCAGGTTGAGAGTGTAAATCATTGTAAGATTTAAAAAAAAGGTTGGGATTCTTCCCTTACCCATTATGAGTCTCTATCGTTCCATCTTACCAACACTTGAAACTATCGTCATACTCTCCACCCAGTGGAATTGAAGGAATATCAAACCGGTACCCGCTCTTCCCAGACAGCTGGGATGATCAGGAGAAATGAACTTTACCGATGATCGGCCTTCATAAAGTCGTTGGAACCAGCTGACTGGGTCGAGGGTGAAGTCGTCCCTTCCATCCACATGTACAAGCACATATCGTATTGAGGATACGACGTACACGCAGAGTCCGAGTAAGATGCGGTGTACTACCTGAAAGGGAATCTCTTGATGCTAGAATGGAGCCCTATCTCGTCCATTGTTTCATCGTCATCAATTGAATTGAAGTCGGGGTCAGGCGACTCTGGCCACAGCCGTTAATGTTCCCGGTCTACCGCTCAGCCGAGATTGAGGTTTCCCCGATAGGCGAATTATTGATGCAAAAAATGTCACATCGATCAGAATCCAGTGCAGTGGGTCCCATGATGCCCATACACATACAAGAGAATCTTCCTTCTCCCCAGTACCACATAGCTATGGAGAAAGAGAGATGATTATCCCCCGGAACCCAAAATCAAGCGACAAGCGCGGCACAGTATGGAGTCGGATGTCCGCCTGTTTCCACCGACTTGGTTCTGATGGGGCTGATGGGGCCGAATCGACGTGGAAGTAAAGAGGGAAGGAAGCTATTGAAACTCTTCTGACGGGGAACGGAGATCTGTATGATCGTCCTATCAAAGGTACCTCGTACTTACATCGTACACACCGTACTTCCGTCTCAGTAATTTATGCTTGTACTTTGTACCATTAGTGCCGGTTTCATGATTGAGACCTTCGAGGCTTCGAGAAGACTCGGACCCAGCTGAGCTTGTCACAAATTCACCGACACTCCCGAGCCCCATCTATTGGCCGTTTGGCGTCGATCGGCGACAGGGGATAGAAAAGCACAATGCCCCTCCTTCCTTCCCCCTATCAACCACCCTAGGACATTTCAGCCATTGTGGCAACGTCGGGGGGTGGATAATGAACCGCAATCCCGCAGGCACTTCCGATCGGGCTGAACCGTTGTGCTTCTACGGAGCTTTGACTCTCTCTATAATATACTTACTCCAATCTTAGTCGAAGGTCAAGATACAGATGCATACGCCAGTACATAGTAGTCCCGACACAAGGAGACACTGCAGTAGAACCAAGGGGCCGAGTCGAAGTGGGGCGATCCTACGAGCTGTAACCATGGAAGCGATATGCCCTAGTTGCATTCTTGATGTACGACAGAAAAAAGCTGTTTGGAGCCACGCGAGCGAGCGAGGAGAGGGGCCAAAAGCCGGTGAGGCGAGGTCACCAGAAGGGAGAGAAAAACAAAAAAAAATTAGCCTAGAAATGAAAACAACGTCATACCTCGAGGTACAGCGGCTTGAGCCTCTCAGGGGTGCGCCTGGTAGGACATGCCAACGGGAAAAATAAAGAAACGGTGAGAGAGTTGTAAATGGAACCAACTACCAAGGCATGGGACAGGGGACTCCTGCAACCTGTAGAGTCCCCTTCGCAAGGTTGTTCGGAAATACCCCGATGCACACTTCGATAGTGTTGCAAGCAGTCCTCGAGCAAACATCTTGACCAGAACACAAATCACGTAGGCAAAAGAGCGGCTGATGTGAAAGCCAAGCTTCGAAGTCTGACAAGAGCGTTTGACAAATCCTTCTATGCATGAAATACGTCTATCGCACTGCATGCATTCTGCCGAGGGCGATTGGCTCCAAGAGAGGGCAGTCCAAGCGCTTGGACGATGGCAAGCGTTGAAACGTCGAATGCGATGCGCGAGTATTCGCAACCCAAGGAGCCAGGAGACAGCCTCCAGGAGCCCGACGTGCTTGACGCGGATGTAGCGGTGACAGCCAGTTCATCGATCCAACAAGCCCGTCATCTTTTGATATGCATCACGCGACTCAGTACGTTGCCGTAGTTCCGTCAGACAGTCGTGTCTACCTTGATATCCATTCGGACTGTTCGGAAAGAAGGGATTGCGACCCAACAGGTGGAAAATCAACTCCATCAAAGCACACTTCGTTTCATACATATTCCGCTTTCGATCGCGACGCCGATCATGTGAGTACATAGACTTTCATAATTCTACCTGCAGCCAACCGAATCATCCATGTCTGGCGGGGGAAGAACATAATCCCTGCTCATGTTCTTCCGATTATCGCCAGTTTGGAAAAGAGAGGGGGAAGAGAGGGGGAGGAAAATGAAGATGAATCGTTGTCCGCCGGTCTGCATCAATTCAACCGGGTCTGATAGCATCAACATCAAGCGGTGTGTCTCTTGGCTGCATTCCTCAGGTGCCGCAGAAGATTGCTTTGACGTCTCTTAGATCCTGACCTTCTGTGGTTCGTCCCTGGCATCATCGAGGTAGATACTCGGTGAACTGCAAGCCCTACATGGGCATTGTTCGCACGGCTGTCCCGCCATTTGCTTCTGCACCGCCGGTAAGCTGTCCGACCTTGGATCGAGGATTTTCGACGTTCATTGCGATTTGAACCGGCCTTGCGCATGTAGGCCGCATTGATATTCAAACGTCCGCGATTATTTTAGCCCAAGAGGAGCTTTCCAAAAGACGGTGAGCCGTGTCATGAGTCAACCAAGACATCTAGTCTGAGGTTTACGATTTACATTGACGCCGATTTATCCGTGATGCTCTTGACAACACCCTAGATAAAACATGCCAGATCTGCCGCAGTCTCGCCGAGCCGTGTCCGTGTCACAGCATATGGCGGGATATAGTTTCAGATTAGGGGTGCCGCTACGTACTAATCCGATCTCTATTCCCCAGTCCATCTGCCAGCAAAGATCACATTCCTTCTTTTTGTCCTTGTTCTTTACCTTCATTCCAGTGTGAGCAAGTTATTGCATCACGAAATACTACAGCTCAACACGCCTCTGATCGAGACCAATAGCAAGGGCCGGGTATGGCTTCCACAAAACAATCGTCTTGGCCTCGTTCACACCGCGTGTCCACAATGGCTGGATCGTACATTCCCGCCACAGTGACTGACCGGCCGCCAGCATACCGAACTATGTCCGATTGTGGACGATTCAGCCCCACAGATCAAGCCCACAGATCAAGCTACCACGAAGCTCTCTTCCTCGGCAAGACATCTACGGCACTAATATGCAGTTCGTAGGTTACGTAGATCAATCTACGATGTATCGCGAGTTATTCTTGTGGTGGCTGACGCTAACAAAAAGAAATCCCAACCGAAGGGGTCCACGATCCACATAGGACAGCAGCTGTCGCACCGTATTGTCGGGTTCTGACAGACGCAGCCTCGCAGGATCCCGAGGCTGAAAGCGTGGGGCCGTCTGTCTCTCAAAAGCCAAAAGCCCGCAAATTAGTATCCAGTCGGTAAGTGGAAAAGACTTCCCGACATATAGGAATGCTCCCTTTGGACCTGTCTGCTTTCCGAATCGCCAATTGGGGGGCGTCTTGGGCAAAATTGCCGGGGGCGGGGAGGGGCTGGAAATGCGCAGGCTTGGTGCGACCGCCCTTGTGTGACGGGAAAAGATCACTGTGATGTATCAACTTTTTACCTTGTATTCGTTGTTCGCCACCATGGATGTAGGATTCCGTCACTTCAACTTCTAGATCATTATCATCGATGACATCAAGTTCAAGGATAGAAAGGGGAACCCTCCACAAAATGGGGTGAAAAACAAGGGTCCAGACAAACATAACGCCTCCTCGAAGGAGTTCGCGTTGTATATCGTACGTACATCCATTCGAGGTGCGTTATAGTACAAAATACAGATTGCAGATCGTTCAAATTCAATTGTTTCAGGCTTGTCCAGATCGCGATCTACTCAATCTCGAATCGGACAGATGCAAGTTGATGCCGAATCCGAGTCGTGTTCTTTGCGGGTTCAATACCAGAGTTCCGCAGGTCGTGCTTTCGACGTGTACTTTTGAGAGGACCCGATCGATCGGAGGTTCAAAGTTAATTGCTCGCTGTCAAGCTTCAATACGATTTACTCCTCGCTTCGCTTCCGATCTGAATCTTGCGCTAAAAGCGTTTGGGACGATGGAAGTATGGTGCCTGTGGACGTTCTTCCTTGGGGCATCGCTGATCCCTATTAGGATATCCATCTCGGACTTTTACCACCTCAATTGTAGACAGTATGACCTTGACAGTCACAGGGCTCTAGAATGCATACTACAAGATACGTTGTATATCTATGAAGTTGAAGTACTCCGTAGTATAGCTAGACTCTCTCGGATTGTTTTGGACTAGTCGTCGGTGTCACTATATACGGGGTGTTGTGATTTGAAATATCGATTCAACCTAGACTCTAGTTCTGAATTAGTACTCGGATGATAGAAAGCGAAAATTCAGGTACTTTTCAAGACACATGTACGCAGTACTTTGTAAACTCGGCAAATAGTCTCCGCGGCAGAGTCTCCATGCATGATGCATACAAGATCCGAACCGAACTGTCCTTCCAGCCCTTGCATCTCTGATCTCAGCTCTTCTTTTTAGGTCTCCTTAGTGCGTACCAAGTAAAGACGAAATCAGGCACTGGTACGGCTTCCGAGCGGGATCTCCCCGGTCCAATCAACTCTCCAAGGCGCCTCTTACATTGCCAGTCCCCGCCAGCAAAACCACGGAACCACAGATCCAGTTCCACGGTACCCAGTCAAGAATAATATGGAGTACATTAGTGTCAAAAGGATGTACCACCTAGCCCTGTAGTGGACGCCATTCCCAGATCTTTTTGTCATCTCTATTTCCGTAGCCAACAGGAACCGATCGCCCTCTTCCGCGCCAGTGGCAACGGAAGGCAGGGATCCGGTGCCGCGGTGACGGGTAGAAAACAAAAGTTCCGCGAGTGGACACCCAATTACAGTACGGATCTTGACTTTGCAAGGATTTATTCACACTATTGATTCTCCTCGCGGTCATGTGAACGCCCCTTCTCTTTGTTTCCGAGGCTTCTTTGTTTTTCTTTTTTGGTTTTTGCTTTTACTGTCGGGGTTTTTCTTTTTTTGCTTTTTTGGCCTTTTGAGTTCCCCCGCAGGCCGCAAGGTGTCGGATCTGAGCCTTGTGGACTTTTGCTCTCTCAGCGAGACCTGTGCAATGTACTCGTACTATTGCCATCGTACTTTGTTGCCTTGCTTCATCGATTCTGGACTCTTTGGGCCTGATCGATCGAGATTGATTTCCCCTGCAGCGGTCTAGACACCTGATTGTGTTGGGTTATTGCAGTCACGTGTGTTACGGTGGCTGATCTGTGGCGGTGGTACTAAGGACTACACAGTATGAGGGAATCTATCAAGATGCCCAGGCTCCTCGAGATCATTTGACAAAGGGTTTGTCTATTATTCAGAGGATACGATGTCCGAAGCATAATACATTGCCCCAAAAATTCTCTTTAGCCAAGTTGTCTAGACCCTGTCTGATACTGTGTATGAGGAAAACAACCTTCTATTGTAGTCAAGAGTTAACTGTGTCTTGACTCAAGACACCTGTGTACTTGTGTCACCACTCGGCACTCATGCTTGTTCAAGGCCTACCTCGACATTCCAACTTATCACATCGAGAGCAAACAACAATCTCTCCTTTCAAGCATACTACTAGTTCTCGAATAATCGATGCTATCTACGTGAACAACGTATGGCAATCTATCTACCGAAAGTCAATTCCACCGAGATCTGAGATCCCCCAATACGAGCTCGACCCCGACGCCTCGTAGCAGATTGGAAATATGCATGAACACCTCCGCTTTCTGTCAAACTCTCCGGAATCATGAACGATGGAACCCCTCCAAAAAGTACCCCCACCGATCATTTCTAGATAAAGTCCAGACATGAAACCGCATGGATTTTCAGATACTCCAAGCCAAAAGTACAACCCATCTTCACACATCCCCGTGGTACGGTTGTACTTTTGCTTGCCGCCCTGTGACAAGCCAGGATGTGATCGCCATCTCTGACATGGATGTACGTACGCCCTAAAGGTGACAGCAGACTGCCGACTTCTGCGTATGATGGACCTGACGGCTAAGCCAGGGGCCAATCAGCGCGGATGACAGCCAGTTCTATGATACATCCGCAGTACAGGTTGTTTAGTGCTACACACTAAGTAGGTTCGTAGTAGTACATATCGTCGGTAAGGTTTGATTAAAGCTGTTCCACAGACTTGGTTCTGATTCCAAATATCGAATTCCAAATAATTGATCATCTATGTATTCCATTCTGTTGCAGGAAGGTTGCTGTTGCTGTTGCCGTTGCCATTGCTTGTTGTCGCGGGTGGCCTATTGTGTACCGTACTTATGCGGCCTGATACCTTCAAGTACGAGATTTCTTGACTAGATAGTCTAGAGTTACACATTCTTGGGAGCATGCAGGTCCGTCGATAATGAAAAGAAACAGCAAAACGAACTGTAGTTTACTAGAGGCAAATAAGATACACCCAGTGGGGCACTTTAGATACCTTATCACCATGTGATCTTATCGGCAGCTGGAGAAATCGGCTGAAGTCATAATTCAGTCCGAGAAGTTAGTAAAAACCAGTATCTGCTTTGTACGAAATCCCAGTCTTGATCACACCAATTCAACAGCCGAAACTATATGCCCTACAGCATGAGCGAGAGGTAGCCGTCAACCACACACCATGGCGCATCCAAGAGCCCATCTCCTCCCCATACGAACACTCTTTTCAAGACCACCACGTTGCAACCGAGTCTTTCTACACAATACCCCGAGACCATGCATATTACAAGTTCGGCTCCAGAGCACCATTCCCGAGCCGACGGTTCCAGCCCAGCCCAGCACCGGTGCCGTAACTGACGAGGTATCACCCGACCTGTCGCATCTGGACCCCCCTCCAGAGGAATATTCGCGTTTCATTTTCCAAGACAAATGTCGGGTTAAAATGCACGCTGGTGCTGGCGGACACGGCTGCGTTTCTTACCTGCGCGAGAAATACGTCGAAGAGGGACCCCCGAACGGCGGCGACGGCGGCAGCGGAGGTGGTATCTACATTCAAACTGTCGAGGGCTTGAACAGTCTTCACAAGCTTGCCCGCAGAGGCATTATCAGAGCGAGCAGAGGCAGGAACGGACAGGGTAAAAGCAAGGGCGGCAAACGAGGCGATGATGTCCTCATTCAGGTCCCCGTTGGCACCGTGGTCCGTGAGGTGAGCCGTTATGATCCCGTTGAGGAGGCATGGGCTCGCATCAGGGAGGCGGAAGAGGCGGCTTATATCGCCAAGAACGAGAAGAAGGTTTTGGAAACCCTGATGAACTCGACCCGGAAGGCGAGGGCGAAGGCGAAGGATTTGAAGGATTCGAAGAAGTAGAAGACGAGTTCAACCCCATTCAGCACGACCGCTGGGTGCTACACCCATCTTCGAAACCATCTGATTTCCTGATGGTGCAGTTTCCAAAAGCATACCCGCGACGACAGAATATAGCTGCCATGGAGCCCAAGGCACCGATCTGGCTGGACCTCTCTAAGCCGATGGACAAGCCCATGCTTCTGGCTGCTGGTGGTGCCGGTGGACTGGGAAATCCGCATTTTTCCACTCGCAACATGGGACGACCAAAGTTTGCATCCAAAGGTGAAGGCGGCATGATGCTGGAGCTTGATTTCGAGCTCAAGCTCCTTGCGGACGTTGGGCTAGTTGGAAAACCAAACGCCGGCAAGAGCACGCTTCTCCGCTCGTTGACCAACAGTCGGACCCGCATTGGAAATTGGGAGTTCACCACGCTTTCCCCCAGCATTGGCACTGTTATCACCGATGATATGAAGGGCCGTCCGCTTGTCGAGTCGAAGGCTCGCCGCACGCACTTTACTATTGCAGACATTCCGGGTCTAGTCGAAGGTGCTCATCTCGACCGAGGACTTGGTCTTGGGTTCCTTCGCCACATCGACCGAGCTGGAATCTTGGCTTTCGTGGTTGATATCAGTCATGACGACCCTGTACAGGAGCTTCAGAAATTATGGCTGGAACTTGGGGAGTACGAGCGAATGCGCGATTCACCTGACCCTGTGGAGGAGGAGATCGTTGATTGGAATCCATTCGACGAAACTTCGAAGGGCATGCGACAAGAGGATCGGTTTGCCCCTATCACGAATACGAATCCCGATGGTTCACTGCCTCCTCTAGCGATGACACCTCTCCACCTGAAGCCCTGGTTCGTCGTGGCCTCCAAGGCAGACCTGGAGAACACACAAGAGAAATTCCGAGCCCTGCAGGATTACCTGACTGGCGTTCAGAATGGCTCGATTGAGCATCCATCTGGGCATGCAAAGGGCTGGAAGGAGAAGGTGTGTGTCGTCCCAGTCAGTGCCAAACGGGGTGAAGGTGTGTCTCGAATCCCTAAACTGGTCATGGAGCTCCTCGAATGAGGCATCGGGCCCTATTATGAACCAAGTGTACTATATAATAAACAAATAAACAATGTATCAATATGTGAAGCTAAATGCCTGACATTCGTCACGGGATTGTAGGTTTGCTTGAAGTTAGTCTCTTGTAAACGTTCCGGTAGAGTAGTCACGATCGTCCTTCCTAGGTTTGAATATATCTCCTCGTCACGCGACATAATCCACTGGACCATCCGTAAAAATGCTCTTAGTATAACCGACACTTTGACCCTCTCACTCCTTCATCCTCCCTAGGTCCTTCATCACTAGGTTTGCAGCCATGGGCCTCTCATCGGTGCTCTGTGACGCGTTGTCCGTTATCGCGGAACCGAGCTCCAACGATCCCATTCTTCAGTATGAAGACCCTCAGCTTCAAAACCTCCAACATCTCATCTTCAACGAGTACGAGAAAGCACTCGAGCTTGCCAATTCAAAATTACACGTGTTCCCATTCCACAATGTGCATCCCTGCTGGCATCGTCTCTACACCGACGCGTCTATCGTCAAGGCGTGCGTCATTATCATCACCAAATGCGGCCTGACCTCCGAACAAACCTTCGAATCCCAACTCGACATCGCACAGTTCATACGCGACATAAAGAATGCACCAACCGAGACAAAGATCTCCCCAGATGCACCATGGCTTTCAGATGTCGTGGAGATTCTCGACAAGCTCTTGATCATGACTGGCGCCCCTCTCCGCGAGAAGCTTGTTGAATCCTTGCTTTCCACGCTCCAGACCGCCGCAGGATCAGAGAATGAGCAGGACAGCGATAGCAGCGTCGAAGGTCGTGCATCCAAGCGTAGGAAATTCTCGCCTCCTCTCTTTCCTCCCGATGCGATCCCTAATCCCGACCTGGAACGACCGATCCCGCGTTTGTCGGCGCCGTCGTTTGATTCCATCGAAGACCACATTGCAAACGTACGCACTCCACTGGTGATTACGGATGCCATAAGCCATTGGCCGGCCACTTCGACGCGTCCATGGGCTTCGCGGGACTACTGGTGGAAGCGCACATTCGGGGGTCGCAGATTGGTTCCCATCGAGCTGGGAAGATCATATACCGACGAGGATTGGGGCCAGAAGATTATTCCATTCAAAGACTTCGTGGACAGGCATCTGTGGCAGGGTAAGCTAGCCCCGACTGGCATGCCAACGAAACAAGCGCAGGCCAACGACCTCGACGGGGAGACAGCATACTTGGCGCAACACAATCTGCTCGCGCAAATACCCGCCTTGCGCAATGATATCAGTGTACCGGACTACTGCTATATTACTCCTCCTGGTCCGGAGCCGGGAACCCCAGTCTATGAGAAGAAAAAGCAAGAACGTGAAGCGAAAAACCAAGCCCGAGCACAGACTGAACACCCACACCCTAAAGTGGACACGCCAAACGAATATGACACGGCTGACGATGGTTCGGACGTGGGAATGCCCAGTGACCCTATTATCAACACATGGATCGGGCCTGCCGGGACCATCTCCCTCTTCATCATGATCCTTATCACAACATCCTCGCGCAGGTCGTGGGCACCAAATACATCCGTCTCTATTCGCCGCGCACGCCTGCTTCTCAAATTCACCCACGCGGTCATGAATGGGTCACGTCGATTGACGAGACGGCAGAGCCAGACCCCGTGACCGGGGTTCAGCCACCGATTCGCAGAGAGATCGACATGTCTAATACCTCCAAGGTGGACCTTGCTGCTATCGAAATGTCCCCCATTGAGTATGATCAGTGGGAAGAGATGTGGCCTGGTTTTCAGGACGCTGATTATGTAGAGACAGTTCTCCGTGAGGGTGAGTGTCTCTATATTCCCATTGGGTGGTGGCACTACGTGCGTGGACTGAGAGCTGGAATCAGCGTGAGCTTCTGGTGGGAATGAAATGGGTTTGCGGATGGATATGATATCTCGGAAGTAGAATTAACCTCTCCATGTGCCAGATGAATCCATATCTATATGAAAATGACATTGATACCCACCATTTTGCATGATATCCATTTAATCCATCTTCATCTTCTACGTATAGCACATTTAGGACCACCAACGGGGTTAACATTAGAGCTAACTCCAGGCTTCCACCAACTCACAGAGCGTCTCCTCCCCACCCACATTACCAGGGAAGACAACAAAAGGCACACCTCGATGCCGACTCGTCTCCTCATTGCACCTCCAAAGAGGCACACCCGGAGCCGCCTGGCCAACGACAGTAGCACGCTTGATATTCAAGCCCTTAGTCGCAGCATCCGACGAAGTAATCCCACCCTTCTCAGTAAAACATAGTTAGCTCCAACACATCCCTCCACCAAATCCCAAGAGAATCAAACAACCATACCTTAGCAATAATAAACCTCGGCCGCACCTCAATCCCTCTTAAAACACCAACCAACGCCTCAGCAACCAGCGTGCCAATCTCCAGTGACGCCAACTCATCATCACCAGTAACAAGCCTCCGACTCGTCATAACAAGCGTATCCATCCCATCCCGCAACGAAGCTTCCGTCTCCAGTACAACACGCCGCACAGCCAACGCCGCACTCTCCGGCGACGCAATAAGCTCCTCGACTTTCATCTCCATGACAGCTAGCTTGCCCGTTGCACAGCGCCGGTCCGTCAGCACCTTCAGCTGTGCTGTGGTCTTGGGCACGTACGAGCCGGCTATAATCAGTCCGCCGGTTGTACGGGGTGAGGGGAGGAGCAGCTCTGCTGCTGAAATGGGTGGTTTAGAGCGGATGCCGAGTCGTGTTGAGACGAAGGCTGCGCCGGTGCGGTAGAGGAAGTGTTTTCCTTTTGATTCGGCTGGAGTAAACATGAGTCAACATGTAAATGTGTTGGGGTCAAACGCAGAAAAGAAGGAACCTATAGAGCAAGAAAGCAAAGCAAATCACATACCAAGTAACAACCCAGCAACGAATACATCCATATCCGACTCCGCCGCCGCATTAACAATAATCACGCCCCCAACGGGGACAGCAAGCAATTTCTCACAAACAGCCTCTGGCCCTCCGATGCGAATCTCCTCTATCGTTACAGAACAAACCTGCCCCTCCGTAAACCTCCCAGAGCCAGCTTTCTCAGCCACATAATCCCTCAAATTCGAACTCTTATATCCGAATGTAGCATCCTTCGCGAACTGCGTCATGCCAGCAGGCACAAGCCTCTCGCCCTCGACAACGTAATGCACATCATCGATCGTGAACCTTCCACCCTGAAAGAAGAACGGAGCGAGAATGACTCCATCGGCTGGCCCGAAGACTGACTGTGCGACGTCTGGTTCCAGCGGGAAGTGGCCGCGGAGAGTGCTGTCGCCGCGGAGGACGATGTCGACTTTTTGGTTTGTTATTTTCGCTGCTTGGGCCACGTTTGTGCAGATTTCGTGGATGAGGGCTGATGCTTGGGTTGGTGGGAGGGCGCGGGAGTTGGTTAGGATGAAGAATCCGGGGGTTTGAGATCGGAATTCGACTGTTAGGGTTGGGATGTCCCAGACTGTTAGGACGGAGATGTTGTGGCAGGTTTGTGTTCCTGTTGGGTCGTCGTCGAGGACTACCAGGCGGTTTATCGGGGTTGTTGTCAGGATTTGGGTTATTTGGTCTTGGACATTGGTGGGATACTCGGCGGGGAGATTGGTGAGGGTGTCTGTGAGTGGGAGGATGGGGTATTCGGTTTGAGACATGGTGTAGCGAGATAGGTCTCCTGTTCTTGTTCAATGGGTTAATGGTGTCTTGGTTGGATTTAGAAGACAATCAATAAACGAGGAATATGCGGGGATATGCGGGGAGGTCGGAGGTCTCGGAGAGAAGGCCGAAAATGCATAGATTCGATGCAACTATGGAGTTATCACTAGATAGCATTAGACATGTCTCCCAGATGTAGATAGAAACACCATAAACGCCGGAGACAGATGCAAAGAAGGGCAATGCTTGCAAGAAGTATGAATTCATGCAACAGGTCATTATGCAGCCGGTTTCAAAGTCCATCCTCCCAGATATCCCAGAGCCATCCCATGCTTTAAAAGAACAGCGAATGTCAAAGTCGTAGACTGCGTGAATTGTTCGTAGTTATCCCACCACACTGCGGAAACTCAATGCTTCGAGGAATCCGCCGAGATCATCCTTCTGGACCTCGACAACACAGTGTTCGAAGCTGTCGATGCGGACACGCGCGTTCGTCTCCTGGACCACCTCTTGGAAAGCAATCCCAAATCGGTTGCGGAGGAGATGCTTCTTCCCGTGGTCTTCCTCGTCCTCGGACTCCGATTCCGATGAGGACTCGGATTCTTCAGAATCTTCATCCTCGGCGCCAGTTCCATCTTCACGCTCGGCACGCTCCGCTGCCCGCTTCGATCGGCGCTCTGACTTCTCTTTCTGTTTCTTCTCCTTGGCTTCTTTCTTCTTCTTGCGTTCGTCTTGACGCTTGTGCATGGCGGCAAAGTCAATAACACCACCGCCACCACCGGTGCCGACGACAACGTAAAGATCGCGATCTTCATCCAGACCAGCAAGGACAAGAGGAGTACCAGCTGCACGCTTGCGGCCGATCTTGACTGAGTCGCCTCGTTCTTTTTCTTGGACTCGAATGGCCTCCGCGATCCACAGGGCCAATTTTGTCAAGGCCCCAGGGTTTGTGAAGAGCTTCACGTCGGGTCCATCTTTCACCACGGCAATCCGGAACGCCCTGAGGTGACGGATTTGATGTTTTGAGAGCAGGGAGGTACCGGTGCGAAGGATGGCACGGTGTAGATGTTGGGCTAGAGGGAGCGACTCTAGGAGGAGCGTGGGTGATTCAGATGTTAATGAGAGGGCGTCGTATGCACTCCAGAACCGGGGTAGTAAACTAGCCAAGTCGGATTCGCCCGGGACACCGCCGCTTTCTGCATCATTGGGCTGCCGCGGCAAGCGTTTAGCGTCCCAAGCAGTTGAAGTCTCGTGAGGCCCAACTTCCAGCATTGCACCCACAATGACACCCACATCCGTGGCAGAGAGACAGGCCTTCCAGCCCCAGAAACGTACGAATCCCCAGCCCTCGCGGGCACTAGCACTCGCAGCTCCTTCTGCGGGCACAAGTCCGTCCAGGCCATACACTGGAGCAAACTGGAGTAGACGGCTGCGTAGAGCACGCTTCAATTCCATGTCCATGTGTGTATAGTATTGGTGGCACTGGGTCAGACTGATACCCATCTTGGCCAAGAACTTATGCAGTCGTTTGCGACCGTTCTCAGTCCAGACATGCAGCCTTGGGGCGAGGTAAGGACTGTGGAGCATACTCTCGTATAGCGACCAATGCCGCACAAGGAGAAATCGAGGTTCAGGAGAAATGCGAATGGACGTATCGGTTGGCGACCTCGCAGTTGTCGGAATCACACCGTTTAGTTCTCCTCGATAGTCCCGATTTTCTTCGTTAGGATCAGGCGGGTTTAAACGATGCACTTCATCACGGAGTATTTGGCGGATGTGTTCTCCACGTTGGCCACCCCAGCCTGCTGAGCCTCCAGATTCTGATGTGTTCGAAATTCCCACTCCAGTCATTGTCCGGCCGCTGAGTTCCAAGCTAGAGACACCGACAATAGCAAGCCACAACAGATCGTTATCATCACGACCGAGCTCAGATGCCAGGGAGTAGATCAGGGACGAAATTGGTTCGGAGTACGACGTTCCAGACGAGTAGTATGCTTGCAATACGGAGTCGTGTTTTCGCTTAAGTTTGAGTAGACGTTTCTTTAATGCTCGCGCCGAGGGTTGCTTGGTCTCCGCCGGTGATGGGGAATCGGTTGTCGGTGTCACAGATCGCGACGAGTTGGAAGAATCGAGTCCAGTCTTCTTGCGGCGCGTTGGGGTCGAGGCAATGGAAGAGCCCTATACCATACATTAGTGCCATGCTCCGGTGCTGCAGAATACCGGGACTTACTGAATTGCTTCTCCGCCGTTGATGCGGCGGCTCATCGCCTTCTGAATCCTCGTCATCTTCGCGACCTGACCACGACTTGCGCTTTTTCGACCTTGGTTGAATCTCATCGTCCGATTCATCTGCACTCTCGTCATCGTCTTCATCATCCACCTCTGGCATTTCCAGCAGTGCGTAATATGCTTCTCGTTCGTTCCGAAGTTCCTCCTCAATGTCTCCGTCGTCATACACGACAATGCCGCCATTCTTCGACGTGTAAGCGGAAGTAATGCACCCTTTGTCCACTCCACGCGTCCGTTGTCGCGCATTAGGATCAATTTCGGCCATGGCCTGACCCATCCCCACTTGTCCTCCGAAGACGTTACTCAGGTTCCACGGCCGTCGCGCGTCGAATACCCAGATCTCCACGCCTCCCATATCCTCCACCTCGTCCTCCGGATTGCTCAACGCCAGGATCTCGCCAAGATCAACCAAGCCTCCCACACCGAGACAGACCACAACACCTCCACTGCCGCCATTTGTGGTCTGCATCGGGCGGATCAGTTCCTCCCCCGCACGCGTCAAATCGCCATATCCTGCAACCGGCTGGATCTTATGAGGGATGTAGTCGCGTTTTAACAACGCCGTAAGAATTCGACAGGCACATAGCGCGTCTGGCTCTAATGCCACGAGGATTAGGACGGGTGGAGAGAGTGGATGGTGAGATCGGAGGAGTTGTAGATAGAGGTGTGAGATGAGCTGCCGAGGGAGATACATGGCCAGCTTTGAAATTTCAGATGCTCATGCGACAGCTCATGAAGAAAAAAAGCCTGTAAGAATAAGAGCAAGAAGGCGAGTTGGTGCAGTGGTTATCGGGGGGAAGCCCTTGCAGCAAGACTCTCATAGCGTCGGGGAAGTGGACAAGCGCGACGCGTCGAAGGCACGTGCCGAGTTCCATACCACTTCATCACCTTGACAAAGACCAAGTATTTACTCCACTTCGGAATTATTCTCCATGTTCTTTGTCTAACTCCTTAGCTCCTGTATTAGCCTGAGGGTATTTGGCCTGCTAATTGGTGACTTATATCTGATTGCTCGAGTTCCCAGGTTTCAAAGTGCTCAACGCGAAATTACCCCATCTATACTTCAGCTGGAGATTGGTGAAAAAGTGCGCCAAAGCAATTGTGTTTCATGGACACAGTCTATCGCAAGCAAATCAAGCTTCTGCACGTTGTTAGCTGGCAAAGGACCGTTGGCGGTATACTTGATGTTCTGAACTGCACGTAAACCCTTACGACATGAGGTTGCCTTTCCTACCTATTACAATGAATCGGTTGTACACAGTAGTTCTCGGGGAGCTAACTATATACTCGTTTGCACGTATATCGTCAGTGCTGAACTTCAGTAGGCTGATTCCATTATACGTCTTGAAAGCATGAACCCGAAAAAGTAAGAAGTGTCAGACCAGAGGATCTAGCCTGGAGGATATCATTCAGAATCAACAATTACAAAGATAACGCCTTGCGCCATGAACATGCTATATCCTTCAAAAGTGTCCGACAGAACTTGAAAGCCGGCGACCAGACAAAAACTAGACGTACATGCAAAGCACAGCTTCGGGATGGTTGCATGAGTTCATACAGATGAGCGACCCAGGATTGAGCCAGCCACCCAGATAGCGGTGCATGCACCAACGACAGAGGCGCCTACGAGCCGCTTGCCCCAGCCGTTGTCTTCGGCCATTTTGCTTGGGCCAACAGTAGTCTTCGGCTTTAGGTTCAAAGTTGATGAGTGCAGATCCTCGGTAGAATTCTGAGCGGAATTGCCCAGTATGGCGGAATATTCCTCGTCTCGCTTCTGCCACCTCTCCACAAGACGCGCAATCTCAGCCAAGTCTTCCTTAAGAGAACCAGGTTCGGTTGCGTTAGCGTTTTCAACCTCCACATTCTGGACATTGCCGAAGAAATCCACCACAGTCCGCAGACGGCCTTCTTGCTCGCCTCCGGGGAATAGATCCCATCGAACTCCCGGCTGAGAGTGAATCTTAGACTCGTCATAAGAATCAAACAGGTCACCCAGATTGAGCTTGGAAGTGACGCTCGTCACTTGTGTCTCGAGGAATTCAAGGACATAATATGTCCAGCGGTCAATGACAGCGACACCGACGTCATTGTCGGCGTGGTGGGAGTAGGAAGACTGGTCGATCTCGCTAGAGCCGGTCGCCACAATGTTGGGCGAGTAGAAATGTGTGTACATCGTGTTCGCCTGGCAAGTGTCGATCATGAACAAGAGTTCATGGTAGCGCTTCTTCTCCCACATCTGTCCAAAGGCGTCCGCAAGATCCCAGGCGCCGATCTCTTCAGCGTCCTGGAATTTAAGGAATTGATCGCCTCCGTGCCCCGTCATGTATACCAGCACATTGCTGCCGGCGTCAGAACCCAAGCGCTTGCTGCGCGGTACATCTTCGTCGAGGCGGTCCGTCAAAAGTCTGATGAAGTTCTCCACCGTCACTTCGTAACCCCTGTAGTCTACTTCGATGTTGTCACCGTAAAGATCGACGGCGCGGTCTGCGTTACTGTAGACCGTACCAGGGAAGGCGTTCCGGGGGTTGCACGCCATGTCATCGGGAAGCATGAGAATGATTTGTGAGTCGGGAATACCCAGGCGTTTAACGGTTCGGTATAGTGAGAGGACATTGGCGAGGTGGCGGTAGTTGAACCAGAAGCGGGAGGTAGAGACGAGGACTGCCCAGTTGGAAGTATGTTCAGCGGCCACTGCGCTGGCAAGAAGTAGCAAGGCGAACGCCTGTAGAAAGCGGAAGAGCAAGGCCATTGCGACAGAGGATCAGGTCATAGTAGGGAAAGTGGAACACAGCTTATCACTGGCGGGTGAATGCGGTGGCAGAGCAGGGATTATATCATAGACCGCGTATTTCAATCACAAGGATCACATCAAGACCATAACACTTTAAACGAAGGGAAGAGGACACCGGACAAGACAGCTCCAAGAAGGTGAGATAGGAGGTTCGAAACGCCGGGGAAGGAAGGTTGCCAAGTTCCCAAGGCATACACATAAACGCACGGGCCAAGTGAAGTACATTGTCACCGCCTTTGTCGGAGTCGGCATATTGGTCCCGCGGATCGGATCATGTAGTAGAGGCTCCATTCCATCTTGTTCTTTTCATCTCCGTTCCTCAAAATCTGTCCAGCGTTCACTAGGTATCTTTACTATACATATATATTACCATGGGAGGCAAGAAAGCAGCAGGAGAAAACACCAAGAAGGTCGCTGGCAACGCTCGTGTATGTTTTTCTTTCTTAACCCCGCCCCCACTATTATTGCCACAGCTCTCGAGCAAGAGATCTTTTGAACGAAACTAACAGTACTGCGTACGTTACAGAAGGCGGAGGCCGCGGCAGCAAAGAAGGCAGCTGAAGACCAGAAGAAATCTGCAGAGGAAGAGAAGCAATGGTCAAAGGGATCCAAGGGAAATGCTAAGAAGTATGTCAATTCGACATCCCGAAGAGACCGCCTTTGAGCACTGAGCTAACCACCCTCGTTTAATTGCAGGGAAGAGGCCGAAGCCAAGAAAGCTGAAGCTGCCCGCAAGAAGGCAGAGCGCGATGCTCTACTAGCCGAGGAGGAAGCTTCCCAACCAGCCAAAGCCAAAGGCGCGAACGCAAAGACCGCACAGAAGAAGACTCGTGGCCTCGATCTTTCACAACTGGACGAACCTACCAGCACGAAGGGCTCTGCCATTAGCGCCACTGGTATTGACAATGCGCTGGACGCCCTGTCTTTAACCTCGAAGGATACCTCGAAGATCGACCGACACCCAGAGCGACGATTCAAGGCTGCATATGCCGCTTTCGAGGAGAGGCGGTTGCCAGAAATTGAAAAGGAACACCCTGGTCTACGCCGAAACCAGCGCATGGATCTTTGCAGGAAGGAATTCGAGAAGAGCGAAGAGAACCCATTCAACCAGGTGCATGCGGCCATCAATGCTACCAAGGAGGAAGTCGCCGCGCTTCGCGAGAGCGAGCGCAAGAAGGTCGAGACCAGACTCGGTGGCAAATAGATTGGTCTGTCGCTGGATCACATGCATACGCAGTACAGACGCATAGACAATTGGGAGATTTGCAATATGCTGAGAGCGCACTGACTCGGATTGCCAAGCCTTTTGCTATCGAACTCTAATTGGGTGGTCTCTTCAGAAGTGTGCTGTGTGCACCTCCCGTGATTTTGATTCGATGGATTTCGTGCTGCACGATTCGATAATACTGAGCGTTTCTGACTTTCGAGTCGCTGCGGAGCTCACACAAAAGGCTGCATAGGTCAGGGTTCAGACTAGCCGATGAGTCGTTGGTATATTGCAATGTGCATTGTGTTTTTAGACCGTCCACTCACAAAATTACGAAATAAAATGATCAAAATCTTTCGACTCTTCATTGATGGAAGCTGTGGTATGCAGGAGTCCGCTTCGATTGCAAGCTCGGGATCGATACTGCCTATTGTTCCTCTCATAAGACCTCTCGATATGTTCTCAACCCATCTGGCTTGAAACCTTCTACGAGCCGTTATAGGTACGGACCCTGCGCAGGGTCTTTTAATTGGATAATATCCCAGCTACCCTGCCTAGGTCATCGAGGCTCGTACATCCCACACATAGAGGTTTTCATCCCAGCCAACGCTAGCACACCAGCCCTCACTTCCAAACAAACACCAGTCTATGCCGGTCACAAACTCAGTGTGTCTACCCATGCGCCCTAGTTCAGCGCCAAGCACTGTAGATCCTGGACCAGCGCGCATCACATCCATGTCGCCGCCCGGACCCGCCTCTGACCGGTCACTCCACACCCGACAAGTCATATCGTAACTAGCACTCAAAAGGACATTAGAAAGATGGGGCGACCAAGCCACCTTTCGGACAGCATATTCATGTCCAAGCATAGTGGCTAGCGGGCCTTGTTGCGGGGCCCGAATATCAAACGTCCGAATTGCACGATCAACACCCGCCGTAGCAAGAACTGTGGGACGGTACTTGTTCCAGTCATGAGTGAGGGCCTCAGCGGGGGAGCTGGACCGCCTGGTTGACCAAGCATTCCAGGCCCGGAAGCAGATGCGTGTATGGGAATCTGGGTGACGAGGTGGTTGGAGGCTGAGGCCGGGGTACGAAGATCGAAAACGCGCACGTATGAGTCTGATGTCACGCATGAGATGAGGTCTGGGTTGTGCGGGCAAAATGATGCGGAATAGGTGCAGCTGTGGGTTGGGAGGGTGAGGAGGGACTGCGGGCGATGTGGCGACCAGACACGGACAGTGCCATCCCAGCTACTTGAGCAGAAGCGGTCCTTTGCGACTGGGTTCCAGTTTACGCTGAACACTTCCCGTCCGTGCTCCTTCCAGCTTGAGATTGGGAAGTCGTTCGCTGTGCAGTCGAATAGCTTGATGCTGCCGTCGCCTGATGCGGCGAGGACTTGGTTCTCGTGGAGTTCGGACCAGGCGGTGTCATATAGCGAGTCTTGTGTTGTAAAGCTGTCATAACACCAGATAGTCAGCTTGAGTTTCTTATACTCTTCTTCTGATGTGTGCACTCCGCGGCGGGGTCTGCCATGATCCCACCTACCTTTTTAGAGGCTGGATACCATTCGCTGTCAACTCTAAGATATGTAGGCGACCATTGCCAACAAGGCCGAAATTTGCTGAGCTTGCAACAGCTAGCCGATTATCGAAGAAAGGGGAGTATTTGACAGCGCAACCTTGGAATCCTTGTGTGCGGTAGTGGAGCATGACGGGCAACTGATCGCACAGCGCCGGTCGCGCGAAGGGTAAAGAGAGGAAGAATGAATAGAAAAGATGGAGAAAGATCTTCAGGCTAGGGTATCAAAAGGAATAACGTCAACGGTCGCGAAGATGCTAAGTTCAAAGTCCACGTCCGCGTATGATCTCGGGATTGCGGGGATCAAATGGGCCGAGGTCATTCCTTGGCTTTCAGGCACGGACTTTTCTAACTATAACTTCACATTCAGCTTCTACTTCTTTTCCCTTTGAAGGCTGAGATTACATCCTTATTGGAATTGCTTGATGCTTCATTTCAGTTCTCGTGTTGACGTGTGAGTGTCAATGATTTACATGCATTAGTCAAGTCACTACCTGCACAAGGCAGCATTGGCTCATTGGCACATGCCATAACATCGTTCCTACAAACGGATTCCTGCCCCACAAAATTACTGCAAATGACTGATTGGCATAGTTGCTTCAAAGTCCAGGGCATAGCTACTATTACAACAGGCGTCAGGCTGGCCAATGGGCATTTGAGGTCCAGGTACGTCGACTTATCCGAGAATATTGACGCCAACAGTCTATAGCTGTATCCGGCCCTGATTGCAACGGAGTTGAAAGGTGAATTCTAGACCTTCGATGGACCATCTTTCAGTGCCAATATGCGCCAGTAATGTTGCCTTATCAGACTCCGAGCCACCGAACACTTGCCCCAGACCCCACAAAGCATGAGAATAGCGCCACGCTTGCCTCCTCCAGATTTCTGAGCTTCTTGACCTGCGCCTCACACTTTTTACATCTCACACCATGTTCAGAGAACATATACACTACAATGCTGGGCTCCAGGCGCTACGATACCCAGGTTGGTCCCACATTGGGATATAGCAACCCAACGCCAGAACCAACACAGTATACATCTCCAGCCAATCTATTCCTGGAAGAAGAAGTCTACCAACTCGGATCGTGTCCAGGCGTCAGGTCCTTACCCCCAGGCGCAGAGCGCGACTTTCTCACTCTATCATGGGGTCCTATCGTTTACCGTACCTCCTATGCCCCCGAAACAAAGCGTCTCCTACCCGTATTTCTCCGCTGTCTCAACGACGCCGTAAGTCGATCATTGCACCGGACATTGATAGGCTCTGATGAGGAGATTCAAACTCTCAAATCTGCATACTCTTCCAGATTCTTCAATGCGCAAAACGAGTACGCTGATATGGACGTGGAAGGTGTTCGGCAAGCGTTTCATGATTTCAAGGCGTGGCTGGCGATACCTAATACAGAGCTTCCGAGCAGGCTACGTGTATGCCTGATGGTGGATGATAGAGTGTTGTCGCATTTGAAAGGTTTGTTGGATCGTTCATCGATGGCTGAGAAGGATGCAAATCTCAGAGCATGTTGGGTGAATCTGGTCGAGGAGAACTTCCCGGATTCGAGGATGGATGATCATCCCGTCGACGTCAAAATGGAATCATCCAGTTGCATGACAGAGTATTGCGGGACATATAACGGTTCGACGATGGTGGCGCTCGATGCATTGGTGGAGGTCTTTAATGGACTTCGGCAGATGAAGCGTTTGATCGACTATCATCGGGAGGGACGTGTGTACTTGGGTGAGGGCAGGTGGAGCTCGTAATGTCTTGAAGATGTGTAGGAAAGTGAGCCTGAAGCTTTCTCGCATCTTCTATCAAACACGAAGTTCGACGATGTACATAAATGTATGGACGGTAAGAACCATATTTGCAGTCATAGAACACCCATGATACCTTGAGAATTCTAAATATATCGACATCACATACGTCTATGTCCAATGGTAGGAATCAATGGTCTCAATTACGACTGCATCTATATGCAGTAACACAGCAATCTGATTGGCCACTTCGAGGGCAGTCATGTGCCGATAAGCGCTTTATCAGTTACCTGTGGGCCGCTGTGGCTTATCAACCATTTTGACCATTCATCCATCACGTTCTATAGAGCCTCAAGGGAAAGAGACCAAGATAGAGATGGATGCATTTGTATCCAGGAAGCGTCCGAGGCTCTCTGATAAGGGCGAGGAGTCGGAGCCAAACCACGTCTCATCGGACCTTTCTGAAGACTCCACCGACATCAAGATAGCAATACTACTATCGCTTTTCCCGAACATCAAACAAGAGGAATTATTGGAGATTCTCGTTTCCTGTGAGGGATCGGTGGAGAATGCATCTGCACTGCTCTCTGCGAAGGATGCTACATTATGCACGCCCGTCAATGCAAAGCGAGTTGCGAGTAGCTCATCACTTGGAGTGCAGACATCACTCTCATCGCATATCCTCGCAACGGCTGAAGATGGAAGCATGAAACCAATCCGTGAAGTTACAAGCCAGAAAAAGCCTCTACCTCCAAGAAAGGGCAAAACACTACATCTTTACTCGCCCGAGGATATTGCAGCCTACACGCCTTGCACTATCATCCACAACTTCCTTCCGGCCAAAGAAGCAAATGCGCTTCTGGTTGAGTTGTTGGATGAATCAAAACACTTCACTCGGGACAGTTTCCAGCTGTTCAACCGCACCGTTCAGAGTCCCCATACGCATGCTGTCTATGTCTCCACGCCCGAAGAGCACCGGCAACAGACTTCAGAATACACTTACGGAGGAACATATCGCTCAAATGTGCGTCAGGCAACGCCACAACTACGAGTAGTGTCACGCCAAGTACAGAAGGTCGTCAACGAGGAAATCAACAAACGGATCCGAGACGTCTACCCAGACGGAAAGAAGCTACAATACCAGTCACCAAAGGAGTGGCGGCCAAATGCAGCTTTCGTCAACTGCTATGATGGACCGAATGAAAGCGTGGGATATCACTCAGACGAACTCACCTATATCGGCCCCCACCCGGTGATAGGAAGTCTGAGCTTAGGCGTGGCACGAGAATTCCGAGTCCGTCGAATAGTACCCCGAGAGGAGGAGGCGGCTTCTACAGAACCCCATGACAATAATCACACAACCTCGCTGCCAGACTATCCACAGAAGCGGACAGGGCCAGCCGAGCGGATAGAAGCCGAAGGCCAGATCTCAATCCATCTTCCTCACAATTCCCTCCTGGTCATGCACGCAGAGATGCAAGAGGAGTGGAAACACTCTATCTCTCCCGCGCAGAATATCTCACCACATCCGATTTCCGGTAACCGACGGATTAATATCACGTATCGATGGTATCGCGATACTCTTCACCCGCGCTTTACTCCGCGGTGCAAATGTGGCGAGCACACGATTCTCCGATGTGCACAACGCAACCAGGACACGCGAGGAAGGTATATGTGGATGTGCTATGCTGGCTTTGCACCGGGAAAGGAAGGCTGTTCTTTCTTCCAATGGGCCGAGTTTGATGATGATGGGGATCCGGTGTGGGCAAAGAAAGCGTTGGCGGATGATGCCCCTGCTTTGACCGATTTTTCGGCATCTCAATGAATTGTCTATGTCTTTCTTCTAGGTAGAGAAGTGAAATATACCCGTTGTTTACCCCGCAGGGATAAGCAGTCTGGACTCTGGGGGTGCATAGCCTCGCGGAAAGTGGACTCTGAATTCCGCCCTAACATACGAACAAAGTTCACTCTGGCCCCTCGACCGAGAGACCTGTACCTATCAAATACAACCTTTGATGTACGTGAATGGGCCTGTCACACAATCCTGCAGAAGTCGGGGAGGTTTACCCAACACTACCCCTCAAATATGCACGAAGTGAGACGGAAATACGCGGGATCAACTTCCTGTGGCCGCGATACGTCCGAGGTACAGTTTGAAAGGGCGAGGTGAATCCTTTTCTGTTCGGTCGGCGGTTCTTCGTCAGTTCTTGTCCTTGTTCAATTGACAATTGTGAAAGACATCCATCATGACTTCTACAAGTGAGAATACATTCGACTATATTGTCTGCGGGTAGGATAAACCATCACAATGCAGATGCCCTTGCTAACCATAAGCTAGAGGAGGGACCTCTGGATGTGTTGTTGCCGGTCGTCTGGCCGAGAACCCCGAGGTCAGCATCTTGCTGATTGAAGCCGGACAGCACAATAAGGATCTGGAGAATGTACATATGACCGGCGGGTAGATTCCCCCTCTAATTGCTACTTGTTTCATCACTGACAGACCAGGTGGTCAAATAACTTCGATGCAGAAACCGACTGGAACCTCATTACTCCTCCTATGGCGGGAGTGAACAACCGCCAAGTGAAGTTGAGTCGCGGCAAGTTCCTCGGAGGATCAAGTGGATGCAACGGCACGCTTTGCATTCGTGGCAACAAGCAGGATTACGATGATTGGGGACTGGAGGGATGGAGTGGAGAGGAATTCTTCAGGTATATGCGGAAGGTCAGTTGGGACCTGCCCGATCCTGACAACAGGTGAAACTGACAAAATGAGCAGGCAGAGACCTTCCATTCAAAGCCGTGGTTCAAGGCCGATAAAGAGAGCCACGGATATTCAGGACACTTACACACAGAACCCCATGATCTGGCGCCCATTTCCGAGCTCTTAATGGACTCTTATGTCTCGAAAGGCATGCCTTTGCACCATGACATGTTCAGCACCGGCGATGTTGCACACGGATGTGGACATGTCCCTCGCACAGTGTATCGGGGACTTCGCACGACTGGCGCTGACTTCGTTACGAACGAGAATCACCGTGCGAACGTCACTATCAAGACAGATACCACGGTGGACAGAATAATTTTCAGCAAAGAGGATGTCGAGACCCGCGCTGTCGGCGTGGCTACACTGTCATCAGATGGCAGCTCCACGACCTATCACGCCAGGAAAGAGATCATCATCTCCGCAGGTGCATATTGCAGTCCTGCAATCCTTCTTCGATCAGGAATCGGCCCCAAGGCAGAACTAGAACAACACAAAATCCCCTGTGTGGTAGATCTACCAGGCGTCGGAAAGAACCTAATGGACCATCTCGTAAGCGACTCCCACATCCATCCATTCATAAGTAATACAAACTCATCATCTCTGCCCCCAATCTAACCGATACCAGATCGTCTTCATGTTCTACGAAACCTCCAAAAAAACCTAACAACCGACCACCACGTTCACCACGACAACAACTTCGAAAAAACCTACGCCCAGTGGAAAGAAACCAAAACCGGCTTCCTCTCCACCTTTCCCTTCGGCGTCTTCGCCTTCGCCCGCCTCGACGGTCGTCTAAAAGACGAACCACTTTGGCAAAACGCCCCCCGCAAACCAGGCCGCGATCCAATGGGTCTAACACCCCGCCAGCCGAACATCGAGCTCTTCAGCACGGAATGCTACGGCGGTCCCAAACAATACGACCAAGCGCCCGTGAATCACCAGTACGCGTTTTCGATGATTGCGGAGTTATTTGCGCCGAAGTCGCGTGGCTCGGTGACGCTTAGTTCGGCGAATCCGAGGGTGAATCCCGTCGTTGATTGTAATTATTTGGATGATCCGTTGGATTTGTTGGTTCTTAGTGAGGCTTGTAGACTTGGGAATGAGGTTGTTATGCAGGGTACTGGGACGAGGGATATTGTTAAGGGGTCTTGGCCGCCGAATTTGAATCATCATACGTATGGATCGAGGGAGGAGTGGGTTCCGTATGTGAAGGAGCATGCGACTACTTGTGAGTTTGGGAGTTGGATTGTTCGTGGATAGGTGCTGACGTTAAGACAGGCTACCATGCGGCTGGTACTTGTGCTATGGGGAGGAAGGATAACCCTATGGCTGTTCTCGACGAGAAGTTACAGGTTAAGGGCGTCGCGGGGCTTCGAGTCGCTGATTGCAGTGTTATGCCTACGTTGCATGGAGGGCATACTCAAATGCCGGCTTATGGTATTGGAGAGAAATGTGCGGATTTGATCAAAGAAACGTGGCGAATGGCAGGTAATGTCTACCCTCGCATCTGATTTCCATGTGAGATTGTGGCAATGTCTGGAAAGGGGGTCGTCGTGATGAACGCACGGCTCGTGTCTACACCAAACCCAGTTTCCATACTCCATTGGGATCTCAATCAAACAGTCCAATACCTAGCACATTGCATTCAATGAAAGATTGTAGTCCAATGACAAAAAGAGAGCCGTCCTATGCAAGTATAAATATAAGCCCGAACCAGACCCTGTCCGGAGGAAATCAGCGACAAGCCCAATAAGAATAGTATAGTTTTCCAAAAGTGCCATCCAAGCGATTAATCTGAGCTGCTGTCACTTGCAGACCCCAAACTGAGACTGAAAGTGTCATCATCCATTTCATACGACACTAGCCTCGTATTCTCCTGATGAGGTTCAGAAGCCTCAGACGGCACAACTGGGGTGCGAGAGATCGTGCAATGAGTTTCCAAGAAAATGTCATGCTGTGTGGGAAATAAAGAATGCCTGTACTCAAGACGGCCGCTAAGGACATCTTGGGCAGTTGGATAGGTAGAATATGCCTTCAAAACACGGTTGATCTCACGAATCAAATCTTCAAGCACCGGGTGCTCAGTGAGTTGAGCTTCTTGGTAGAACTCGACGGGTACATCGACCTTCATCTTGAGAATCCACGTTTCTCCAGGCCGCAGCCGCGCCAATTGACAGGATCCAATTGCGGACTCGAAGTGGCATCCGGGCCCCTGATCAATAAACAGTCTCAAGTCTGTGATCATTCCAGGGCAGAGGCCGGTACGAATCTGCCGCACGAACTTAGAGACCTTCCGCATGAAATGAACTTCACTCGATCGCGGATCGTCCGAGTCTGCATCGTAGAAAATATGCCAGCCCAGTGGATGGTTCATCGTGTCAATAGGAAAGGAGAGTTGAGGTGAGATGGTATGCACACCGATAGCAGTGTCAAGGCCAGATATAACTAGACCCTCTGGCGGATGCGCCGAAATAAATACCAAATGACAAAAGGCCGCCCTGGAAGAAGAGTAAAACAACTGAGAGACCTGGCGAATGGAATTGCCCGCGTCGGCGCATGGGACTTTCCTTTTCTTCAACTGGCGGAAAGAAAACGTATTCAATGCACTTCTTGATGTCTCGAATGAATGAAAACCCAACGGAAGTAGCAACTCGAATCCATTTCGCGCTCTTCCATCAACACATGCCATAGCTATCCTGTCACGGTTCGGTACCAAATTTGAAGCTAGTATTGAGGATGCCAGGACCATTGGCGTCAAAATGCTAACAGAGGGTTGCTGTCTGTTTCATGGTTAGCCAAACAAAGGTGTCCTGGAGAAGAGAATGCTATCCGGGCCAACTAACAAGCTGTCAAAGAGTATAATCATGTCAATGGGTGCAAGACTCGAGTCATCAGGCAAGGCAATGGGTTCAACATCAGCAGATACATTCACTGAAGCCCATACAGACATGGAGTCTGAACTGAAGCACGGCAAACCCGTGTAGGACCTCATTGTGGCATATGTGATAGGCGGATTCAGCGGACAAAGCAAGCCAGAAGAGCTTCGATGCGTTATGCCCGACAAAATCCGCGCGCTATCCATTCTCAGCTTCCGTTTTGAGACTGAAGCTACGGGCGGATCTATTGCATCAGAACTCGAGCTCGACTCCGCCTGAATGCACGGCTCTGCATCACCATAAGACCCAGAGCTCCAACGAACGAGTAATTGTGGAGCTCTTCGATACCCACTCCGGGTTATGCGTGCATCGCGGGGGTGAAGACGGCCTTGTGGTGTCTGGATCGATGAGTTAGCAGATAGAAGAGACTTGGAACCGGAAAACAAATTACATGATCGACAAATGGGTCCTCCTCACAATCAAGACCGGTCTTGTGGATGTCTCGGGAAGCTGCAGCACGATCTCCTCTAATTTTCACCACATCGATATTGTAAAGGCTATCGCTGAGAGATGGGGTTCTGGTCGATGTCGCATGCTCGCTTGAGTCATATTCCATGTTCGTAGACAGAGAGGAACGGCGAGTAGGGATTTGCGGATACGGAAAGCTCGACAGGGAGCTAGACGTCGAGCTGAGTCTGTCCCTGGATATGATGCTTGGGTTGTGGCGTCGAAGCGCGGTAAGCGGTGTGAATGTGAGCTCCATGATTCACGCGATCTGAACATGCAACCTGTCAATGTCAGGGGGCTCAAACTCGGGGTGGATGATATCCGAGGCTCCCGTCACACGAATTGCAATCGGGTGCGGCGTGACAGCGTAGCACTCTGAGTCGGATGAGATCGTCCTGCGTCTCCTTTGCTTGATGAGACCAAAACACGACGGGCACGATAGGCACAAATCTTTGAAGGAATGAATACTCCAGTAGTTTGAACAGGTAAGAGCGATGACAACAACGAAGATGAGGAGGACGATAGGGACAAGGATTAATGCGATAATTATAGCTGAGCTTTTGGGATCATAAGATAGTCTATAGGACATTTTGCTCAGACATATTGATGCATGAGGAGGGAGGGAGCCAGGAGCACTGAAGTCATACGCTCCTGCCACTGCGTAGAGGGCCGATGTCAAAATGACAAAGGTGAGGTCATCCCGATAGCCCCTTCTTCGAAAGGCTAAGACCGTATGTGTAAACATTGAATAAAAGAGGAAGCTGCAAAAAGCGGAAGTAGCATCGGGTATAGAACTATATCTCGTTCCCTGCCATAGCAGCCATCTTCTCCTTGACTGAGCTCATGGTCGAGTCATCCAGCCGCGAGAAGCGAATCTATGGACTTGTCAATGGAAAGGGTCACGCTAAGGTATCGGTGAACATACCATTTCATCCGCAGTACCCCTAGCAGCGCTTCCAAAAAGCATCGGCTCAGAATGGGAATTATCGATCTCATCTTTAACCCGCCTGGCCCAAATGCCGTCCCAGTGCCAATCGCCTGGAAGCCGAGCCTGTGGACTTCCTCGTTTCAATTGCCCCCGAGAAACACCGCCTCGGCGATGTGCCTGCCATGCATGCCATGCTCCAGGGTTTCCTGCAACCTCGAGAGGCAGCGAATCCAGAACCATCTCGTCGTCAAACGTTGATCGGATGTAATCCAAAATCTCTGAGACTGGAACTACAGTCCTTCGCTCTGCAAGCTGATCTGAAGCGGGCCCCTGTGCTAAAGGTGGGTTTCCTGCATCGTCATCCTCACGAGCCGCCGACGAAACCGGAGGGGTTGACATGTCCATCCCGTCGCCATCATCCATAGCAGGACCACCAGAGCTCCGTCCTTCAATCGATGCAATACTTGCACTGGTGCCGCTCACGTTACGTGAGGTGTTCCCCGATACTAACCCGCTCCGCTTTGCCCTGCCGAACCAATGAGGAAATCCATGTCGCAGACTGAACCCGCCGGGTGGTAATCGTTCTTCATCCGTTGCGCTAACAGGATTGTCGCTTGCTGAACCAGTGCTGAAGGTGTACGTGGTGAGGGGTACAATCAATGGGTGGAACAAGTCGGTCGCAAAGGTAACCAGAGGGGGGAGATCGGGGTAGGTGTCTGGGAAGCGGAGCTGAAATCGGAGGACGGCCGAGGCATACGGGCCTGCAATGGCATCAGTCGTCGTGTCCCAGTAGAATAGAAATTTGGACTCACCTGAGCGAACAAAAATTACTCCATTCCAGAGAGTTGGGTCCCCCGGGGCGAGGCTCATGTAAACCCCTGGCGGTGCTGCATGTCTTAAACTCGCACTGTAGCCAAGTCAGTACGCGGACTGTTTCGCACTGAGTAAAGAACTGACAATTCCAGGTGAAGCTGCTGCTTTCGAAGTGAAGGAATGCAGGGTAGCTTAGAGGTAGACATTGTCCAGATTCAGGAAGTTTACACGTTGGAAACACCTGGGGATGACGCCCGAGCTTATCGATTGCTTATCGCCGATCTACAGTACAACTCACTTGATGGACGGAAAATGGCCCCACATCTCCCAGGGCCGGGCCAGGGGGGAATTTTTCTTTGCCCAATCATAAATCACCTCAGGTGAAGTTCCTTAGCCCTAATTGGATATAGAGGGAGAGTCATACTCATGGTCAGGGCCCACTGCCCAGGGCGAAGGTCACATGATGAGCTGCGACCTCGCAGGAAAGGGCCCATGAGGCATGAGGTAATGCAACTGCCTTAGGTTGTTTGTTTTGTTCTTCTAGATTTAATTAATAATTTGGGAAACCACGAGGGTTCGAGAATCGAGGAAGGAACGGTACTCTCTCTACTACACAGTATACGGCGGTCCACATTCGGCCAGTGGAAGGCAGAGAGACTCTCAATGGATATGAGGCAATATCTTCCGAGTACGATGGTACCTATGCAAGAAACTCCCCTCATAGTTAGTTATGGATACGAGGGCCCACTCTATGTGCTACTTTGCGGCTGAGCACCCCCGGCCGTATCCGTCGCCAAGGCGTATTCGTTTATTTTACCTACGGAGTACGGAATGACCCCGATGTAAAGGCTAGCGTAGTACCTCCACCCTAGCCTTTATATTGGGGTCATCCTTCGTACATTCTCGCCACATGTCCAAGTGACCATCTGACAGCCCTCTTCTCTGGTTGAGTTCATAAACCCGTTTGAGATAGTCACGATGAAGGCCATCGGAATCTGCATCCCAACAATTGAAGGTGGTGTCATCGTCCACCAAGAGATCGGACGAGAAGCAGCGCGACGGGGTATTGCTTATCCTCAAATCGTCACCCATACCCCTCTCTCCGAGGACCTGATGAAGGCACTCAATAGCGATGATCAGCAGGCCCTTGGGACAGTAGTCGCTGATTCGATCAACCGTACCGCTAAAGCTGGCGCAGAGTTTGGCATCATCAGTGCCAACACCCCACATGTCGCTTTCGACTTGATTGCAGCCCAAGCAAACATTCCTGTTCTCAGCATCTTGGATGTCTCTGCAGGTCATTGTGAGAAGAACGGTTACAAGTCTGTTGGGATCCTCGGTACAAGCTGGACTGTCAACCGCCGTCTTTATGATGCTCCCCTACAAAGCAGAGGCATTGCTGCGGTTTATCTCTCCGAAGCTGACCAGAAGATTGTCATGAACGCGATCGTGAAAGAGTTAGTCAATGGCATCTTCCTGGAAACTACAACCAACGAATTGTTGCGGATTGCAAAAGATCTCGCGACACGATGTGATGCCATTATTCTCGGTTGTACGGAGCTTCCGCTTGTTCTTCACGAGGAGAACTGCGGGATCAAAGTCGTTGATACAACGCGGCTTCTCGCCCACGCTGCGCTCGACTATGCAACCAAAGATTGAGGCAATACAATTTTACATAGTCATTTGGTTTGGGTACTCCGTATTCCGAACTTTATTGGACTTCGTGAATCTAAACAGTTGCTCTCATGAGGACATTATCTACTCTAAATCATATCTATTTACCCATTGATTGCAATGGAAGTCTATCTATATCCGCTTCTTTTCCCAAGAGACCCAAATGGAGCATCCCCTCACCCACCCCTTCGTATATTCCTCCAGCCACACCTTCCATCCACCAACCAGCGAAATTTGACAGTGCAGCACCAACCCGTCCTTCGTTGAACTTACATACCGCAGCTCCAATATTCAGACTGCCTTTGCCCAACCCATCAGCCGCATCCAGCGTGGTAGTCATAATGCGCTCAGTGATGCGATGTGTCCGCTCGTACTCATACAGCTGACACAACAGCAACTTCGCATATGGTAAAATGAACCGCAGCAAAATAAACAGTTGCACAATCGTCGAAGCAAGAGCTTTGTGGAGGTAGGATTTCGGATGCGATTCTACCTTGTGACTTGCGTCTCCCAAGTACCGCGGCGGCTGTGAGCATGTCATTAAGTCCGCCTTCACCGGCTCTGGAACATGGTGTCGCAGCGTGGAAGTCTCCTCGGCGGTCAAGTCGGCAGGTAGCGCATCGAGCAAGTATACCAATGCATTCACGTAAAGCGATCGAACCAGCCGTCCGTCAGCCTGCACCTGCTGCGCTTCGTATCCCGCATTACGGAGAAGATTGATCGCTTCAGTCGGACCACGACCCTGTCAGTGAGATGCGCGCGTACACCCATATTCAGATAATCCTAAGGCTCACCAGGTCCTACTCGATTCCACCGCAGTCCTGACTCAGTCTCGTATTTCGCCGGCGACCCCATCTCCTCCCGGGAACTATCTGATCGCCCAGAACTAGAGTCTAAGTCCAAGTCATCGCTAGCCGTCGAAGGCCTCTGGACCTCTGGTATCACTGTGGATATTTGGGTGTGACACAATAGCTGCGGTTCGGACGAAGAGGCCAATCCGTGGTGCGGATTCCCGTTTGATTCGGTGCCCTTGATCTCGGCCCGGTGGAACGAAGATAGGCGGGGCAGACGGCGCCGGATTGAGGCTGGCAAGGGGAAGATAGAGAACTCGGAGTATTCCATGTAGGTGGATGCGATGGACAGCAATGAGCAATCCTTCCTATCAAGTACGCAGCATGTGGGTTTGGAAATGTGAGGTTCAAATTGGCTGTCAAATTCGCGACCAAAAAATCTCCGGCTTTCACATGTCAGCCGTCACTTTGATATGCCGATCCCGATAAGCCGTGGGCCATCACGACAATGTGGTTTTTCGCTCTCGACATAGATAAGTGGGATTTCTTTTCTTAGATTCACAGGATTAAAAGGTTAAGCGATCAAAATCATCAAATTTAGTAGGTGAAATATTCCTACTAGGAGTAGGAACTACTGCGTCGTGGTTGAGAAAGACACCCTTGCCACTTCCGTTGATGCACCCGTCCGGATAACAGTCCAATGGGTTCCTCACGGTCCAGATTACCTAGTAATGTCACAATGTGCAAAATATGGAAATCTGACAGGTCATAAGAGACCGCCCAGTCAAAAGCAGCGTCTCTGGTGCAATTAAACCTGACAACCTCTCAGGTTGAGACACGCAGCTAGCTCAATGCACAAGCATTAGCACCCCTGCTAGCACAATGTCCGCCAGCTCAGGGCTGTGTAAACATGTCGAAAAGACCCATCAAAGAGGTATATAAGGAAGTCACGGGATGGGTCTTTCTCAGTGAATGCACTACCTAGCAAACAAAAACTAGGGCAAAGACGGGAAACCGCAGTAACACCGCATCGCACTACAGATCATCGAATTTAAAAGCCTACCTATAGCCACCTCTTGAGTCTCGCCCTCCAATAACTCAGTCTTCTACTGGTGATGGAACGTTGCGGACATTGTGCTCGGTCTTTTGTTGACCAACAGGCCCTGCAGCAGCATATTCGAGCCTCCCCAGCACATACTACCTCATTCCGATGCGTGCCATGCAACCGATCTTACAAGAGTCAGGCAGACCTTGAGAAGCATATTCGAGCCTCCCCAGCACACGCTAAATCATTCCGATGCGAGCTATGCAACCGATCTTACAAGAGTCAGGCAGACCTTGAGAAGCATATTCGAGACTCACCAGCACACGCTAAATCATTCCGATGCGAGCTATGCAACCGATCTTACAAGAGTCAGGCAGACCTTGAGAGCCATATTCGAGACTCGCCAGCACACGCTGAGTCATTCTACTGTACGCTTTGCAGAAGAACCTTCAAGAACAAAGACGGACTAGACCAACATATCAAGTTCTCGACGATACACAATGCGCCACCACCAGTCACTCCCCTCGATCGGTTCTTCCAATCCTTTCGGGGATTTGAGTATAATACTAAGTCTTCTCCATCGAAGATATTTGCCCAGCTGTCGAAGCGCAACGGCTGGAAAAGAGATGACGAAAATCATAAGTCAGCCTGGAAACGATACCAGTCGGCTCTACAGGAGGAGGTGGCGGTTTGGTTTGGATCAGAGAATGATCTCAGTTCCTGGCATTCGCTATGTCGTGCCATCGAGATTGAGCCTCTGCCTACAACCTGTGCGCAGGGCGTGAAGGTCGGTACCCATTTCACTCATCCTGCATGTTATGTTGTCTGAGTGTGATTTGAGTTTGAGCTGAGATTCAAAATCCTGCGAGGAGATACCCAATTTGCGAAGTTAGCTAACAGAAAGTCTCAAGGTCGTCCGAGGTGTTTACGTCAACATCGTTGATCTGCTCGAATGGGCGCGAAAGGGAAGGGAGGGCCTCGGAGTGCGAAAGTTCTCGAGCTTGAAGGACTTACGTGCATATACCAAGAAGACGCGCAAGATCTTCTCTGGTGACCCGAGTATGGAGCGTGGGGGTAAGAATAATGTTGTCCTTCGGCACCTGCTTCGATTCATTTTCCGGTGATTTGCAGACCCTTAGGAAGGTCTCAAATCGTCAGGGTCAAGACCCTGTTACCAAGCCTGTTCAGTTTTCCCTCATCACATAATGTTGAACTTCGCTTTTGCCTCTAAACACTAGGAGTGCGCTTCTATAAGCTCAAGTTTCGTTCCTTTCATTAGCCTCTGTAATCGCTGTCATCGGTACCACGGGCCGCGAAAGGTGGCGCCGTCACCTGTTCCTTGGCCAGCAAGAATGATCACTCATGAGGTTGCAAAGAGATCGCTAGATGACGATAAACATTGCGCATATATCGAGACTATATTGGCCTATAAGTCGACTAAACATTGCTAAGATCTGCTTGTATAGCCCCCGACTTAACACCCAACAGGCAAAGCCCCAGTCGAAGAAGCCTCGCCAAAGAGCTCCACCTCCTCGGCCCGACGGCGCGTTAGTCCATCAACAACAGCCCCATTAGCTTTATTCCACTTTGGCAGCTCCTCAGACGCAACAGTCCCCACGTCTTCGCCAGCATTCATGCGGCTGATCAGACTGGAGCTCTGCATGTTCCCGTTGCCGACATTGAAAGTCCACGACACGAGCGCCGCATACTGGTTGTCGTTCAGAGTGACCGCTGTGGCAAGTGCATTCGTTACACCATCCTGGTAGCTCTGTTTCGCGTGTTAGATGTATACTCATTACGTACCTGGCGCCCAGCTGACCATTGGGCGCTAATGATTCCGAGGGAGTAAAGGCGCTTGTAGAGACTTACCACCAGGTCGTTAGCCAGTAATTGGCTCGCCGTCTCCTCCGTCAATGGTTGTGAGAATGTCACTTCTGAGCAAGTGGCGTCGCCGCAGAGATGTCCGTAGCCAAGGGTTGGATTGCCGAAGCCATCGTCGTAGACGGTTGGTTGAAAGGACTCGAAGCTCTTGATTAGATTGAGGCCGTTGGAGTTAATTGCTGGGCCGGTGCAGGCAATTGCCAGTGCTGGAAGAGTGGCAAGAAAGAGTTTGAAGGACATGTTGCGTTTGATATTGCCTGGGTCGTGTGATTACGATTGAGTGAGTTTAGACGGTTATGGGCACTCGGACAGCAGGTGCTAATGACTTATACTTTTCGTCTTACCTAGGTGGTATTTGATAGTTCATTCTTGCCCAGGTGGTTATCTCGCTAAATGAAGCCAATTTTGGGATAATCGACGTAGATCATGGTTATAGATCTTAGGGTTACAGTGACCCCTCAGCTTCCCGAGTCTCGACGCCCTGGAACATTCAGCGCCACCCGAGTGCCACCCGCTGCGAGATTGACTTCGGTTTTCTTTACACGCTACGCTACACCATGTGGCCTCATGGTGTTCTCTACATGCAGCCTCGGTAGACCACGGCTGCTCCGATGAATTGGGATTGTGACCGACTGTCACGCTAAATTAGCGCGTTTGATATCTTGCTGTTACCTCGACAGCACCGGGGCCAACGTCCGAATCTAATACCGATCCCTTATTCCCATCCCGGGGCCTGACTTGATCGACAGAAATAAAACACTTGGCATGACCCGATTGAGAAGGCCACGTGGACAAGGGCGGCATACATAGTCAAAGTCTGCATAATCCTGTGCCAATTAGGCCAGCAAAGATCTCGAACTGATCTTTTACAAGAGGCTTGGTGGATCCACCTGCAGCATTCTTCTTGGTATGACTCGATGGCGTAAAAGCGTAATTTATCGCATCCTAGGACAACTCCGATATCAGGACATAATCATTGGCTGCTTAATTTGGAGCAGCCAGTCCCAATGAGAAATCCCCAATTCAGGACCCAGTCTGGCTAGAAAAGCTAGCATGAGGTTGCCTTGCTATTGTATCTCGGATTAATATACCTGGGCCTCCCTTCCAAACCCTATCCTAGGGTCGTGCCTTCCCTACAAGCCATTACTTCCCAGGTAGTCAGTACAGGTGACGACAGTGACGTACCATCCATTGTAGGGTACAAAATGATCTTCTAGCAGTTTTCAATTCTTCCCCTTTCATGATCCCAAGTATTTCTAGACATCATCAAATGTTTATTAATCCTTTTCTATTGTCAGTTGCGGCCATGTGTCAATCCGGTAAGTTCAGAACTTCGGTCTCTTTTCCAACGTCTTTCTGACAGGCTTTTTAGCTCCAGTTTCCTCCCTCCCGCGGCACCAGCCCGGATGAGGACGAGTCTTTTCTCACTGAGCTGTTTTGAATGGCCGCCGAGAAAGGCAACCAGGCCGCGGTCATAGCCATTCTTGAAGTCGGCGGTTCCATTTTGCTGCTCCTCTTGCTGCGGCTAAAAGCCAAGCTGGTAATCTCGGACTTCGGTCTCTTTTCAAACCTCTTTCTGACAAGTTCTTTAGCCCCAGTCTCCCTCGGCAGACCAAATCCGGACGAATCTTGTTCTGGGAGAGCTCTTTCGGCTAGTTGAGCTCAAAAGCAGCCATACGGCTGCCATCGCCGTCCATGAGGTCGGCTCTGCGATTGTGCTGGTTCTCTTCCTATGGAGGATGCTAAAGCTCCTGGTCTGGACTGCGGAGGGCTGTGCCCGACGGTATGTCACTTAGTCTCTGTGTGGGATCCGTTAGAACAGCATTCTGACTTTTGGTGCAGCCATTACCACAGTACCACAGCCATGCTCCCTGTCACGTGTGACAGGTTTGCTGTTTATTATTACTTTTGTTGTTTGCTTTTGAAGGTGCATTGAACTAGACGGAGGGATGTGCCAGAGAACACATGACGTGAGGATCTATGTCAAGGCCCCATCTCTCACTTCCCTTCTTCCTTCTTCTCCTTCCCTCTCTGTCTTCAATATTCTAGTTCAAATGCACTCTTCTATCTTTGAGGAACTGGCATCATCGTAACACTCCCGTCGTCCTTTCTTCACGTGATAGTTAAGCGAGGGATTGCTCATTGCTGCCTGAGGCAGCCTGACAGCCAAGCCACGATGATGTAATCCACCCGATGGTGTACTCATTGTCCGACACATCGTCCTTGATATTTGTGAAACGTATCTGATCGGGTTGGGTGTGGGGAGTTCATGTTCAACGGGTTAGCTATCATATCGAGAGGATGAGGATTGGTGACAGGGTTGGTGTCCTCACTCCTCGGAGTCCTCACTGTCAGTTTCAACATCAGCCATGGTTGAATAAAGCTAAACGGAGCTTTTGCCGGCGGGTCGAAGGTTATCTAGACATTATTGGTCTGTCCAAGGTCCGTGCACGGGTTTCACGCACGAAAGTGGGTTCCCTGCGGGGCCAGATCGACGATGGGTCGGGGTAAAAGCTTCACTGCTTCAGAAAAACGATTTGCTAGTCCAGCTAGCAAGAGAGGCTCATAACCTCGTGGAGATGCGACATATGGGTTAAATTAATAGAGAAAACACTGTATCTATTGGGGTGACAAAGAGAAGAAAGAGAGAGTGAGAGACAGCAGGCAAACTATCTGAGTTTTGATTATCATACATGAGATGCCTCAGGCACCCAGACATGAAACACTTATCTTTGATTGACTGTGTCATTTTTCGTGCAGGGACCGAAGTTTATCTTCTCCATGTTTTCATTCGACCATATGCCCCGAAAGGCAAATGGAACTTCATTGAAGGTCATTATAACCCCTGTTTGGAGAAACTTCAGAATGGTACCGCTTACGTACTATGACCACGTGGGAGCAGGATCATCTTCAGTACCGCCTAATATGGATACTGTGCAGTATGTATTGTGTAGCATAACGAGGTCCTTTTTAGCGAGCAAAATAAGCTAATCCACTTTGAAAATCATTCACCCAATCGAGGGTGCACGTGATCAAGTGGGGATATTGCCGTCACAGCCTTCCCCAACCATTGCGCGAACCTCATCCCCGCACTCCCGCACTCTACAGCAAAATGAGTGGTTTTCGCAATACTATGAAGGGTGGCTGGCACCCCGAAGGCAAAGACGGGGGAAAGGAGAGCTGGCGCGGTGATTTCAAAGGCCTTAACCAAGTAGTAAGCTCGCCTCGCACTGTCCAGGACATCGAACAAGTTACAAGGCCATTGTCACTGACTTATGATTGCAGGCAGGATGGATGGGAAAGGGCAAAGACGGTGACTCTGAACGCTCTGGTTCTGGCTCAGGTGCTGGCTCTGGCTCTGGCTCTGGCTCCGGTTCTGGACTTAGTTCTAAATTTGGTTTTGGTTCTGGGTCTGGTTCTGGACAGTCCTCCCAATCGCAAGGGGGTATCAGAAACCAAGTCAAAGGCCAAGTGGTTAGTTCGCTCCTCCCGGACTCGAGGACTCGGTCATTGATGTTGACATGTGTTCTCTATTAGGCTGGATTTTTGGGAAAGGGCAACAACACCGAAGTCGACCGCTCTGATCATGTCTCCCAACCATTATCATCGCTCAAAGACCCCTTATCTTTCGGGCCTCCTCCCAAACACAGTCACTACCATGGAGCGGCAGCGGTGCCAAACCGAACGACACCTGACCATGGAGGTTTAGGAGCTCCACTGACCCAGGACCAAATAAACGCCCAGCACAGGCACGAACAAGAAGCGGCTCAAGCAGAGGAGGAAGAATTACAAAAGCGCGCAGCACCTCCTGTCCCATATCGCGCGGATACAACCGGCTTGTCTACGAACAACCTTCCTCCGCCACCACGACGAGTAGATTCGACGAGTCCCGCTTCCACGGCCTCAATCTCCAAGTCCAACCCGCCGAAGCCACCCCCGCGGCTTCCTGCCCGCAATAGCCCTTCCAGCCTAGAGCCACCCCCGGTGTATTCAGCCACACCTGTGATCTCCGATGATTATATCAATCAAGACGCTACATCTCGTCTGGCAAATGCGGGCGTCTCAGTTCCTGGGTTTGGAATCGGACAAGAGAAAGCCCCGTCACCTGGAAATACGCCCGTGAATGAACTACAATCACGGTTTTACCAGATGAATACCTCGGGGCCTCCAACGGCACCCGCCCCGCCGGCCAGGGCCTCGACGAACATAGAGGCGCAGTCTCCGAGCAGCACCTCCTCTATCCAGAACTTCCGCGAACGTCATGGGGATAAAATTGATTCGGGCAAGCAGAAATACGCCGATTTCCGAGAGCGACATGCGGACTCTATCGACTCTGGCAAACAGAAGTATGGTGACTTCCGCGAACGCCATGCCGACTCAATTGATGCGGGCAAACAGAAATTGAGCGGTGTCACCTCTCGTTTCACTGGCTCTTCTCCGGCACCCCCACCCCCGGCTCGAGCCTCAACGATACAAGCTCCGGAGCACACGCGCAGTACATCCTCTGTTCAAGATTTCCGTGATCGCCATGCAGACAAGATCGATGCAGGGAAACAGAAGTATGGTGACTTCCGGGAGCGCCATGCCGATTCGATCGATGCTGGCAAACAAAAGTTGAGTGGTGTTGCATCCCGTTTCACTGGCTCGTCCCCAGCACCCCCGCCGGCTCGGCCCGCGTCGAATACTTCGAGCATGAACCTAGAACCAGCGGAGCCTGCACGGGGCACATCCTCCGTGCAGGATTTCCGTGAGCGTCATTCAGACAAGATCGAGATGGGCAAAGAGAAGTGGGGCGGGGTCAGCTCGCGCTTCAGCACGTTTGTTGAGGATCGCAAGTTCTCTGCTGATGCCAACAAACGTATCCCTCGCCCGCCTTCCCGTCCCGTCTCGATGGCCCAATCGAACTCTCCCGCGTTATCACCCGCTGAGCCAGATCTCCAGACTCAAGCTCAACGCAAGAAGGCACCTCCGCCGCCCCCGCCCAAGCGAGCCGAATTTCGAGCTCCTGCGGTTGGGGCTTCGCCGTCATCATCCCCGGCACCTCCCCCCATTCCTCTTGGCACTAAGCCTCGCTGAGACCTGTAATTTACTTGTACAGTCTGTGCACTTCGCATTACTGGCGTCAGAGTCCTCTTTTCAAGGCTTTTCTTATCCTTTTTCTCATGTTTTGTTTTGGACTATCGGGTTTAGGTGTACGGAGTACTGCGTACGGAGATCAAACCATTTTGTCATGATGACGATATCCATCTGCAGCTCTGCCCTGTTCTCAATGGATTTAGGGTTTGATGTCGAAATAGTCTCCCGAGGTCACGTTTGCAGGTGACCAGCACATGAGTCATGAAGTATATTTTCACTCAAGCTTCAACCAAGATACTCGTACTCCGTACACTCAGCGCCCTCTAGCAGCATAGAGCATTCCATGGACGTTGTAGAAAAAGCTTGGCAGCCCCACCTCAACCGACATCTCCCAGCCCTGCGAAAGAATTCCCGAGGCCGCATGTGACGGTCGGCTTTTTTCTTATATCTGATTTACATATTCCCAACCTGTTGAAAAGATTGGCCTGTTGGGACACTGATAGTGGCTCAAAATTCCCAACAAGCAGTCGATCTCCGTGAACGTTTGAAGTTATCACGATTGGTCTTGTTTTGTTTGTGCGGTCAAACCTTGTTCGAGGCTGAGTCAGCAAAGTTTTTCCCCAGGCCCGCCACCCGTCTCCAGGTCTCAATCGTAATGGTCTTGGAGATTTTGTGAGATGCAGTGCAACGGCCGGCTTGTCCGGAATATCTAGTCTTGGGCTCGGAGGAATTGGACGAAGTACGCAGTACAACAGGTTGACAATGGTGGTGTCTCCAATGTCTTGTAAATTTTGTTGGTATCTTACAACTACACGAGAATGGACATGATATCAGTTCAAGAAGCCAAGATATGACCTGATAGTAGATCAGTAAAATGTACTTATCAGTATACTTCTCAGTATCATAGTCATGGCATCACATCGAAGTATTAAAGTGGCAACGTTATGATGCCTCGGCACCTTCTCAAGCCAAGCCTTGGAATTCCCAACAAACTAAAGCCCGGGCGATCGAGATCAGCGGCGATTGCCCTTGTTGAGAATTTTGTCACTGTTATCAGTGGATCCACTCAACCTCCAACTACTTCCTTTTCTTTTTTTTGGACTTCCTATCTTTATTCTTTCTCAAGTAGAACTTCCTCCTGTTCTCTTCTCTAACTGTATTTTTTTTATACCTCTTCCTGAGTTGAACGCGTCGAATAGATTCCGCGTGGCTCATTCATCATGCACGACATCAATGTGCCCACCCAATTTGGCGAAGGGACCATTCGCCTCGGCTTCCCTCCAGCTTCTCTCCTTGCCTTCCCTCCTCATGAGCTCCCAGTGACCATTCCCGCCCCTCATACCGATTCTCCAACATGGGATCACCCCTGGAACATCCCCAATGACCTCTACACAAAGGTGCTGGATGTCCGCGTACCCATCACAATCGCCACCGTCTATGCGATCACCGTCATCCTGATGAATCGCATCAACAAGAGCCGTGGATACAAGCCATATGCCTTCAGCACCACCGGCTGGTTCAAGGCCTTCGTTATCTTCCACAATGTTTTCCTGGCCGTATACTCCGCATGGACTTTCGTTGGCATGTTCTTGGCTTTCCGCGCCTCTTTCCCCGACAGTGATGATCCTCACGGTGCAATTGGAGTTATTGACTCCCTTTGCAAGCCCATGGGACCCCGCGGTTACGGCAATGCTGCTACCTACAGCCCGATCACGAACCAGTGGTCGATTCCCAACTCCTCCTTCCACTTGACCAACGGCATGCCAGACCCCACCGATGTCGGCCGTCTTTGGAACAATGGCCTGGCTTACTTCGGCTGGTTCTTCTACTTGTCCAAGTTCTACGAGGTTATCGACACTGTCATCATTCTCGCCAAGGGTAAGAAGAGCTCCACTCTGCAGACATACCACCACTCTGGAGCTATGATGTGTATGTGGGCTGGTATTCGCTACATGGCTGCTCCTATCTGGATCTTCTGCTTGGTTAACTCGGCCATTCACGCTCTGATGGTAAGCTGGACAATTTCTTCCCACCCATATCATTGTACTAACTCATCCCTCTCTAGTATACTTACTACACTCTCACTGCTCTCCGCATTCGTGTCCCCAACGCCATCAAGCGTACCTTGACCAGCATGCAAATCACCCAGTTCATCTTCGGAACCAATATGGCCGCTGCCTACCTGTTCGTTCAATACACTATCCCATACCCGTCCGGCAGCGCTGCTTTGCAGCAGATCACCAAGGCCGCTTCCCTTGCTGCCACTGCCACTGCCGAGATTGGTTCCATTTCCTGGTTGAAGAAGCTGGCTTTCCGGGCTGCGGGCGCTGAGGGCATCGCCGAGAACGTCGGCACTTCATTCACTGCCGCCCCCGTCCAAGAGTCTGGCTACTCACAGCAGATGGTGACCTGCATGGACACTACCGGACAGGCCTTCGCCGTCTGGCTGAATGTTTCCTACCTCTTGCCCCTCACCTACCTCTTCGCCCGCTTCTTCGTTCGCTCTTACCTCAACCGCAAAGACCCTGGAGTGAAGCAGCCCACCCATATGGAGGCCGCTGAGAAGGCCGGCATGGACGCGCTGAAGGGTCTGAGCCGTGAGATTCGCAAAGCTGCCATCGAGGGTGAGAACAGCGAAGTGACCACTGACGACGAGGTCATCAAGGCCCAGGTCCAGAAGATCGCGGAGAAGATCTCTCCTGAGTCGCAGATCCGCACTCGCTCGGATGCTAAGGCCAAGACTGCCTCAGCTTCCAGCCGATCGGAGTCTGAGGAGGGCTTCGCCAAGGTCCCCGCAAAGAAGGGCGCCAAGAAGACCAAGGCCGACAAGGAGTCCCGCTCCGGCAGCCCGAACACCAAGGGCGAGAATCCCTTCGGCGTGTTGGATAACAATGCTTGATACCAGATGACAGCATAGTTTTATACCGCATGACTCTGGAGTTTTGGGGGTTTAAAAAGAGAATTATTGACGATTCGACGCTCAGCTGTGAAAATTGATGGCTTTGATTTTGTGTCTTCATCCCGACACGCCGTTCAGGTCTTCCCTACAAGTTGGTGACTGCCACACTTGTTGATGGCACGCCCGGTATCTCCGGAGCATCAGCCTGTAGGGCTGCCTTCTCTCTCATGACCTATGGTCTCATAGACAGACTAGGATGGGTTGTCCGTATGTGGAGGACGGCTCTTTCTGGATTTTGCTTTTACAGCGACTTGCTCTGAGTGTTTTCTCGGCTTTCTGCTGGGCAAATTTTGCTTTTGTATATCTTTATCACCCCTTGGGGAATGAGAAGCCTAGAATTGTGTATTATAGCTGAAAAGTCCAAATGTGACCGTTCTTCCATTCTTACTCCCACTTCCCCACACGATCCACCTCGGGCTACGCCCGGAGTAACCTCGTTCTCGCGATGTGAATGGAGGAAAATCATCCACCGCACACCGGAGATTCGACAAATGTAGCCAGCAATTGGGCCAGGCCTCCCTTGGAGCTTTGCCAACTCCTCGATTGACATACCGATCGGCAATTAGGCAAAATAGCGACGTAAAACCCCCTGATTATAAGCCAGTTATAGGTACGCCGATGCTTCAGAGCGCCTGCACCGTTCAAGGACGGTCCACGGCCCAAGATGCCGCGCATCCTCAACTGCCTGCTCGTGCTCCTAGCCTGCCTCGGAGCCTCCACCCAAGCAGACACCCAATCCACCACACAATGGCCACTACAAGATAACGGCCTAAACACCGTCGTCCAATGGGACCACTACAGCTTCCAAATAAACAACCAACGCATCTTCATCTTCTCCGGCGAATTCCACTACTGGCGCATCCCCGTCCCAGGCCTGTGGCGCGACATCCTCGAGAAAATCAAAGCAGCCGGCTTCACAGCCTTCGCCTTCTACTCCAACTGGGCCTACCACGCCCCCAACAACGAAACAGTAGACTTCAAAACAGGCGCCCACGACATCACCCCCATCTTCGATCTCGCCAAGGAACTCGGCCTGTACATCATCGTCCGGCCCGGCCCGTACGTCAACGCCGAAGCCAATGCCGGCGGGTTCCCGTTGTGGCTTACGACCGGCGAGTATGGCTCGCTGCGCAATAATGATACCCGGTATACAAAGGCTTGGACGCCTTATTTTACGGAAATGACGCAGATCACGAGTCGCTATCAGGTTACGGATGGGCATAACTCGATTTGTTATCAGATTGAGAATGAGTATGGGAATCAGTGGGTTGGGGATGCGAAGCTGCGGATGCCGAATGATACTGCTATTGCGTACATGGAGCTTTTGGAGGCTAATGCGAGGAAGAATGGGATTACGGTGCCGCTTACTGCGAATGATCCGAATTTGAATTCTCATTCGTGGGGAAAGGATTGGTCGGATGAGGGGGAAATGTTGATGTTGCTGGGGTGGATTCGTATCCGTCGGTATGTATTGACTCTCGATAATTCAAAGCTACGATGAAGAGACGGATTGGGCATTTAACCACTGAGACTAATACTCATTCTCAGTGCTGGACCTGCGATATCAGCCAGTGCACCTCTACCAACGGCGCATATGTCCCCTTCCAGGTCATCGACTACTCCGACTACTTCCAAGCATCCCAGCCCAACATGCCTGGCTTCATGCCCGAGTTCCAGGGCGGCTCCTACAACCCCTGGGGCGGACCGGAAGGCGGCTGTCCGGACGACATCGGCGACGACTTTGCCAACCTCTTCTACAGATGGAACATCGGACAGCGCGTAACAGCTATGTCGCTGTACATGATGTTCGGCGGCCAGAACCCCGGCGCCATGGCTGCGCCGGTTACGGCGACGAGTTACGATTACTCGGCGCCCATCTCGGAGGACCGGTCTCTCTGGTCGAAGTACCATGAGACAAAGTTGCTGGCTTTGTTCACCCGTTCTGCGAGGGATCTGACTATGACGGAGTTGGTGGGCAACGGGACGCAGTATACGGATAATCGGGCTGTGAGGGCATACGAACTTCGGAATCCTGAGACGAATGGCGCCTTCTATGCAACGTTTCATAGCAATACTTCTCTCGCTACGAACGAGCCGTTCCATTTGAAGGTTAATACTTCGGTGGGGGCGTTGACGGTTCCGAAATATGCTAGCTCTATTCAGTTGAATGGGCATCAGTCGAAGATTCTCGTTACCGACTTCAAGTTTGGCTCGAAGACGCTGCTGTATTCTACAGCTGAGGTTCTAACATACGCTGTCTTCGATAAGAAGCCTACACTGGTCCTCTGGGTTCCGACTGGCGAGTCGGGCGAGTTCTCTATCAAGGGAGCTAAGAGAGGTTCAATCAAGAAGTGCGAAGGATGTTCGCAGGTCAAGTTTAGCAAGGAGCATGGCGGTCTGACAACCTCGTTCACGCAGCACGGTGGTAAAACTGTCCTTGAGTATGACGATGGTGTAAGGGTAATCGTTCTTGATAGAACGACAGCGTATGAATTCTGGGCCCCTGCACTTACAAACGATCCATTTGTACCGGAGGACGAGAGCGGTATGTTTCCTTCTTATATGCACTTGTTGCCCAGTGACTAATTATATCCGCAGTTTTGGTCCAGGGTCCATATCTCGTCCGCAGCGCCAAACTATCAGGCTCCAAGCTCGCCATCACTGGTGACGTTGTCAATGCAACAACACTAGAGATCTTCGCACCAAAGGCAGTCAAATCCGTCACATGGAACGGAAAGAAGGTCCATACCCATATGACCGACTACGGCAGTCTCATGGGCTCGCTCAGTGCCCCAAAATCCATCCAGCTGCCAGCTTTGACTACATGGAAATCCAAAGATAGTCTACCAGAGCGGTTCCAATCTTACGATGACTCCGGTGCGGCGTGGGTTGGTAAGTTCATTCATCCACAGTTACCTCCGAACATACGAAGCTGATTCCAATCCACCACAGACGCAAACCACATGACAACCCTCAACCCTAGAACCCCAACCACACTCCCCGTCCTCTACGCCGACGAATACGGTTTCCACAACGGCGTCCGTTTATGGCGCGGATACTTCAACGGAACAGCAACAGGAGCCTTCATCAACGTCCAAGGCGGATCAGCCTTGTAAGTTCCCCCTCATTCTCACCACCGCCCACCCCTGTACCTAAAACCCACATACTAACCAACCCATCCCACAGCGGCTGGTCCGCCTGGCTAAACGGCAACTTCCTCGCCTCCCAGCTAGGCGACCCGCTAACCTCCCAATCAAACCTAACCCTATCCTTCTCAAACACAACCCTCTCCACAACAACCCCAAACACCCTCCTAATCCTGCACGACGACACAGGCCACGACGAAACAACCGGCGCCCTCAACCCACGCGGCATCCTAGACGCCGTCCTGCACAACTCAAGCTTCACCCACTGGCGTCTAGCCGGCACAGCAGGCGGAAACTCAAACCTCGATCCCGTTCGCGGCGCCTACAACGAAGACGGTCTATACGCCGAGCGTCTCGGATGGCATCTCCCCGGCTTCGATGATACAGACTGGCACCAGGAACAACAACCTGTTGACAGCTCCGTGCTTAGTTTCACAGGAGCCACGGTTCGCTTCTTTAGAACTACTGTCCCGTTGGATCTGCCGAGGGGAATGGATATTTCTATTTCGTTTGTTTTATCGACGCCGAGGGACTCGACGAAACATTATCGAGCGCAGTTGTTTGTTAATGGGTATCAGTATGGAAGGTATAATCCGCATGTGGGGAATCAGGTTGTGTTCCCGGTTCCTGTGGGGATTTTGGATTATAAGGGGGTTAATACGCTTGGTCTGGCGGTTTGGGCGCAGAGTGAGGAGGGGGCTAGTGTGGGGGTTGAGTGGAGGGTTAATTATGTTGCGGAGAGTTCTTTGGATGTTGTTGGGATGGAGACGGGGGGGTTGAGGCCGGGCTGGGAGGAGGGGAGGTTGAGGTTTGCTTGATCATGTTGGTATTTACTTGGCAGGCGGAGTATCATCCGAGTATCATAGTATGAGCAGAGATTGGATTAAAATGTGTTGGTTAGTGCTCAGCTGAGCCTCTTATGTTGGCAGTTGTGGGTGTCTAGGTCATGTTGTTGCTGTTGTGATAAAATACACGTGGTTAGCATAGCCCTATATCAAGGTCACCTCCGACTCCTAGTCAATTGTAAGCTGATTCACATAGATGTTCCTACCGTATCTTCCAGGAATAATGTAGTTAGCATACTCGCCATTGAGACGAGTCATGTAGTACACTACATACTACGTCCAAGACGTTCACCCAACTACTAACCCCCCTGTCCTACATCATCAGATGAAAGGTAATGCATAGAACAGCTCCATTAGTGCGCAAAAGACGAGAACCGCCCGTACAGTTACAGCAAGGAGATACATACAAAGAAATACAAAATGAGATACCATGCGAAAAGACTCAGACATTGTATTCGGCGCTGAGTGATAAGATATGAGAAAGCCTGAAGATGATCACGAACAATGTGCTAGAATAACAAGACAAAAGAGGGAAAAGAGATAAGAATGAAAGAACAGTCCAGTAACCCACGCTCCCAGTACTCGATGACAATGATTCAGATGCACAATGCAGAAAAGAGAGGAACGAATTGAAACGGCAAGAAAGAAGTTGTGAACGCGACCGTTACACCGATTAGATGGTAGGGGACATTCGTTAGATTGACGCCGATGACAGATCCTCGAGGGCGGAGGAGAATATCCCGGCTCTTTGCTGGGCCGAGGTAAGTAGGCTCCATCTAAAGACCGTACTTTTCGATATTACCCGCTCCATTTTTTTGGGTTGGCGGAATGTCCGCCGGAAGCACATTTTTATTGATTAAATCACCATGGGAAGAGGATGTATCGATCCATAGAATCAATTAAGATCCACCAGGACAATGAAGTCTCCCAGGCGATGAAGAAATCCAACACCCTATTTCGCCGGTTTGATGCATGTCAAGACAAGAATGCAGGCTGGTTGGATTGAACACTGGCTAACGGTGACCAGGATCAGCTAACTGAACGCTGCGAAGAATCCAGTTCAAAGCTCAAATGAAGTGTGTGTAAATCTTGGAGTTCTCATGGACTTCCATCTCCTGTTAAAGTTGTTAGTACATCCACAAAAGCAGTTCGTAACAACGACAGTACTCACCATTTTGAAATTGTTGATCTCCTCCCGGATTTGCTGCGCAAGGAGGGGAGTAAGACGATTGCAGGTTGCAATCTCTCCACGTCGATCATACTCGCCGCTAGGCCAAGTTTCGTGGAACTGAATGCGAGGGCTGAAGACGATATTTCTACCACCAGCTGACGGGCTAATTGGCGCACTCTTCGCCTCCGAGGGGAACCGCCCTGCGTTCGAAAGGAAATAGTCCTCGCCGGCAATCTTCACCGAATCACTCTGCTGAGCCGGGGATCGTCCAGACTCGTCAGGTGTAGGAGGAGCACTGGAGTGAGGTGAGTCGCCACCGGCCAGTGCATTTGGAGGCGAGACACCAAAGTCCGAATGGGTTTCTAAAAGGGTAGATTAGCATGATGTGCAGCCACATTGTGAGATTAAGATACGCACTCTTGAGGATGCCCTTCCGAACGGCAGCCAGAATCTCTGCCCGTTCTCGGTCTCCCCCCACGATGCTCTTACGCGATTGTGGGGACTCTGTGGCAGCCCTTTCCCGGAAGGAAGCAACCTCCGAAGCATTGCCCTCGATCTTAGGGAAGACAGTACCTCCACGGGCCAGATCTGAGGGTTCAGGATTGACTTTGACGCTATCTCGTTCAGCCTCAACATTTACCACGGTGATTTGCGGAGGCGAAGCGTCGTTGTTGGCACCCTCAATAGAATTGATGCTGGCAACTGATTTAGGACGGAACATGCCAACCAATGAACGGGTGGAGCGCTTCATGCCCTTGCCCATCTTGCGGAGCATCATCGACGCAGAAGAAGCGGTCGAGGACACAGACAGGTTGTCAGTGGATCCGGTGAAGAAGTGGCCTTGATTAGAGTAAATGTTTTCACCCAGCCCACTCAGTTCCTGCTGTTCCGCAATGGCAGCTTGTTCTGGCCCCAGTTGTTCCCTCAATGCAGCACGGCGCGCGTGTTCCGCCGCAATGGCTTCCCGCTTAGCAGCATTGCTCTGTGCAGATGTCTTCAGAAGCTCGGAGGCGCTGCCGAAGGAGAAAGCTCGCCTTAGGCGCGACTTCCCGGGACGCTGCGATTCATTTTTCAGATCCGTCAGACGCTTGGCCGCGGGGGAGTCCAATGGAGACGGTTTTGGCTGGTTTCGAGTTTCGGGTTGAGGTTTGGTTTCGGGGGTTTCGGGTTGTGTCGCAGGTTGTGACAACGGCGAAGGCTTGGTCGTGCGCTTTTCTTCTGACTTGCCAGTTTTGCTAGTTATGGAGCTCGAGTCCGGCAGGGTCCCTTCTCGTGCCTGAGAAAAAGATATGGTTAGCTTGATGTTATTTCCCCGGGTCGGTGTGAATGGTCATACCGATGAAGCTGAAGAGTGTGTGGAGTGGACGCTCCCGACGCTGTCCCGCTGGGAGTGGGCAGAGACAGGCCTTTGGTTGGCATCAAATGTGATAAAATCGTAGGATCCTGACTGAGCAGGAGACGGGGTAGGGAGATCCAGTTGTAGGCTAGGATACGCCGAGGTATCCATGTTACCCAGGCTACGTCGTCGATACCGCTCAGGCTGGGCCCTCTCCACATGGGATGAATCATCCACACTTGCAACTCGGTTATGGGCATTCGGTCGTACTGGTCGTGGGGCACCCAAATCATCAACAATAACCGTCGGAATAGTAGCTGGAGCCGCAGCGGATGAGGGAGCAGCAGTGGCTTCCGCTCTTTGGGTGGTACGGCGGTACCGGTTTGGGGAGGGTTTTGGGGAGTTCATGGTGGAGGGAGATGGAAGGTTGGCTGTAGATAGGGGACGAATAGGTTGGTCGCTGCGTGGTTGCCGTGAAGGAAGTGCGCTGTCGTCCTTGGAAACATAGGGACGGGGTAAGGAGTTTGATGAGGAATTGGATACAGAACCAGCTGCAAGATGGGGGGATCGTGGACCAGCGCTGGTGTAGGTTTGGTGAGGGGTGCTTGGCGCTGAGAGTGTGCGATTCTCAGGACGTAGATGTGGTGTCCAAGACTGCCGATTAACGTTCGCAGAATGGCCTACGTTCGGATTGTAGGCGTATGGAGCCACAACCTGGTGACCTGCTCGATAGCTCCCAGAATTGCCAGCATTGAATGATCCCCAAGACATAGTCTGAAAGCGAGAGCCGTTTTGTGATGGAGAAGAGAAGGTGCCTGATGAGGATGAAGGACGTGTCTGAAGTACGGGAACCGAGCCACTCTGTTGCGGAATTGTTTGGACCAACGCAGCCATATTGTACTCCGCGGCGACTTGTCGAAAGGAAGAAAATCACGAGATTTTCAGGGTCGTGATCTAAAGAAGCTTAGAGAAAAAACGATATGAGACGAGCCCGAGGTGTTCGCGTCAAATAGGGATCCGAGGAACGAAACCGAATGCTATGACCAAGGAGCTGTCAGCCGTCAAAATCAAGACTCTTCACGTCAATGCAGTATGGAAGGTGGAGTAGTGTGCAGAGGAAAGGGGCATGCTAAGGTAGGTGCGTTGCTTTTTTCTTTGCGCTTTTCCTTGCACGTTGGGGGGATTGATAAGGAACCGCGTCAGCTAGGGGGTTGGTAATACCTGTTCTAAGTAACGTGGACATAGGCTATAGTGGTACAACGATTGAAAGAAAAGGACGCTCGATGCCAGAAGAATGGAAACTCGACACCAGGCGAGTTGGTAGAAACGAAAGGAGGTAAGACGAAAGAAGGGAGAGATCTCCAGGATGATGCCTCTAGAATAGGAGAGCCATGTACAAGAAAAGAGAGAGGAGAGAGAGAGTGAGAGAGTGAGAGCAGAAATAAGAGGCCCGGAACCTTCAAATGATAACACACAGAATGTGTTCACTGAAGGAGTGGAGGGAGAGAAGAAGGGGGAGGTGGAAAAGGGAAAATAGGAGGGGTTTCCGGAGAAGATCACGATTGACTTGACACGCTTTAAAACGGGGTATATTAGGGGATACCGAGCTACCAGCGATAATCACCGTTTAGAAATTGAGCATTTCGTACATTTCAAAGAGAAGTGAAAATTATTTCTTGATTCTCTCCTGAGAAACCCGACAATAATTATGCTTATGCGTCTTTCTGCATGGAACATGATACAAAATGTTTTGGCTTCACTTTGCCAGTATCTTCACTCCACATTGTACGGAAACACTCTTATGGCCTATGGTGTTGAACTGGAACCCATATTCACTTAGTTATCACATCCACTCATCTTACTACCTTCTTTCTCTTTCTATCTGGAATCCTAATCCCTTCCACCTCCTGAGGCCGTTCATGAAAGGGGCCCGACCATATACCAAATTTACGTGCCAATCATACACTGCGGGTCTTCCCCTTAATGCTCCATCTTGATATTCTTAGACATCTCCATAGCCACTCATCATTGACCGTTCCATCCGGTTATCAAATTTCTGCAACCTGCAACGTACGATGTACGTTCATCTCGATGTATATGCCACATCGTGAGGTTAACTACAAAGCTACAACCGGTGCAGTACATTATACATTGTGCACATTATGCCTCCTTCAATACTGCACTAGTATGGCACCTGTAACTGTCACCCGGTTCCTTGCCTCCACAAGAATGCTCCTGTCAAACTGGAATTCGACGCAAGACAACATTCTGCAGAGAACGTGGGCGAAGGAATTAGCGACCCAGAGCACATACGCAGTACATCGAAGCTGGGATCCGATCTGCCACTGTGTCCCGCGATTTACGACTGGGGGCACGGTCACTAAGGTAACTAAGTGCGACGCTATTCCTCGATGGGCTTTTCTCCACAAGTCCACAGATGCTCGGCGAAACAGCTCTGGCTAGAAAGTACCGTACGCACTACGCAGTAAGATCTTGTATACTGGCCATACTCTGGACTTAATGCTGAGTATGTATGTCATTCTGTCTTGCTCGCCAAGGACTCGGAATTTGAACATACCAATACTATGAAGCCCTAATCTGATGAATATGGTCGGGGAAAAATTACCCGCTTCTACGGTCGAAACGACATAAATTCCGAAGTTTGGGGAGAGGCCGAGATGGTTCCATGGTTATGTCTTCTGCCAATCCACCCGATCAACCTAATCTATTGTCATGATGTCGCTTATTCCTATTATCTTATCCATTGTCTATGTCTTATATCCATACCGCTTTGGTTTGATGCGCCGTTCAATGTCACACTGATGAGGCTGAATCTTCTAGTTCTGCTAGACTGCTGTACTATCATAACCATATATTGTAGTGTGGTCCTGTCTTGTGCTATTCTGACACCGAGTCCGAACTGGGAAATTTGGAACCTAGCGGGAGTTAATTTGAGTTCAGCCGTCTACATCGAAATCGGGCTTACCTCGTCTGTCTCTCTTTTCGACAACCCGTATGGATGCCTACACATAACACACAATATATATTGGAGAGTGTGCCGACCATGCTTGGAAATGGCTACCCAGCGATATCCCTCAGCTTCTTCACATGTGCAATCAACCCAGTTTGACGGTTTAGTTCAAGCCGACAACTGCAGTGGTGCCTAGGGTTGTACCGCAAGTCATCGGCCGTGGCGCCACTCTAGGGCTGAACCTATCCCTCAACTTTTCTAAGCTCTCCACACTGTCGGTTCCTTTGTGCCGGATATCCGTGTTCCTCCTTGAAGGTTCATGTGCTGATGTTTGCTTTCAAGGTCGCCCGAGTGTGTATCCATCGTTATCTTGTCTTCTATCTGAATCTCCACGCCAGAATTGTCCCGCTTTCCTGCGCCTCCACCCCATTGCTGCAAACCACTCAATCCGTCGATCCACCGCAAAGACCGGAGACCAAAGTTCCCGCGTGATCGACACGCGCCAAACCCATTCAGCACGAGGGTGTTTCGGAAATCCTGGAGGCTTGGCTTTCGCCAAATGCCAATCAGCGACTTTGGCAAATCCTTTAACATTTCAGACTACATATTGAAAACGTTAAAGTCACAGGTGCGCTGGATACTTTAGGTCTCCGCCATGTGGAAACCTCGTCTCAGAGACAGTGCGGCGACTCCTTCTCTAAATGGGTTGGCACCGAGCTTTCCCGGGGTTAGCGTGCATTTTAGATTGCGCCTTGAGGGGAGGGGTTGCGTCTGATACCGCAAGCCGTCGACAATTAAGCATCCTGCCACCCCCTGTTCTGTTTACCTCGGAGATATGTGCGCTGAAACTATCGTTTTATCCAACGGTGCAACGCTCAATACTACCATTTGGTATGCACGGCGTTCGGTGGCTGATCAGGGACAGCAGTTTTGCTATAGGCCAAGACCACCCACCACTCACAAGAAGTTTACAGAAATTCGTGGAGAAGACAAGGATTCTTCTTCACTCATGGAGGTGCTTATTCTTCCTCTTCAATGAGCACTGGTTGTTTGTATGAGGCAGATTTGGAGTATACGTACACTATGGAGTCAATCACCTCTAGGACATCGCAAATCCCGAATGCATGCTATGGTCTGCTGTTTGATAGGTCGATAACCATTCCAAGGACAACGCTAGCTGCTCATTCGTGCGGAATAGGTAGTTCATGCAATGTGTCAATGCATACTCCGTACTAATGGAATTGCCAATCTACATTAGTACTAACCACTATGCTAATCATCAGCACTAATGTCTCCACTGCCAAGATAACGTCCCAGAGAATTCCGTGCTTGCGCCAGTACTTGCGTGGACATGACACTAAAATCTTAGTATGTCGACGTGCATCCGGGGAAGCATGGCTGATGTGGAGAAGATTGGCTATCATCGTTATGACGTTCCGGGCTGTACTACTGTATTTATGGGCTTGTTTAGCGTTATCTTGCCCGGATCACGTTTCACATGGTGACTAGTGGGTTCAACTTTCATAACTTTGTGAACGTAGGGGTATAACTTCTATTTTTGATGTCCTCGGGGGCATAGATCCTATCTCATAAACATTTCACCCAGATCATATACTTCCAGGGTTGATCTTGAATCAGTAGTCCTGGTCTTCTTCTGAAGCATCCATATCATCATCTTCATCGAGACCCTCAAAGACCATGAACTTCTCATTCTTGGCGTCGGTATCATCAGGAACAACGTTGCCGTCTTGAACCTCGCAATCCTTCAGCACGGATTCGCGACCGATCTTGCTGCGACGTCCAACGATGGTACCTGTCAATTGACAACGTTCTCCGACAACAGCGCCATCCATAATCAAACAGCGAGTCAAACGGGCACCACTGGCGATGTAGCAGTTGGAACCAATAACGGTCTCTTTGATCACACATTTCTCCTCGATCGTCGAATTGCTATCAACCAGGCAGTCGCCCCTCGTGACGGTACAACGCTGCGCAATGGTAGCTGTGTTGGCCACTTTGTGGGCGTGGGCGAATGCCGATGAAGCGCTTTTGCCAACCTCCTCAACGGACTCCAGCTTAGCAAGACGCAGTGAAGTGGAAAGAAGAACAGCAGATGAGTCAACACGCCTAACGAAAGGCGTCTGGTCTTTCTGAATGTAAGCGAGCATTGGCGGTAGGGTTGACATCGGGCTTTTGGCGCTCGGAGAGCTTGGCGCTGTGACACGCGACGCAAGTTGGGGCTCTGATGCCGCTGTGTTGAATTTGGCCGGGGTGGCTTTGGTGGTGCTCATGCTTTGCAGATCAATCTCGTCCTCCAGCGATTCATCGTCGGGATATTCACCATCATGAGACTCGCTATCACCGAGAGTGTCGCTGTGACTTGGGCGCCGGCTCTTCTTCTGGAAGATCTTGCTAATCTGCAGCTTGTCGCTAAGGCCGCGTTGCCACTCTGACTTGGCCCACCATCCGACCAGGTCCTCGCTGACCGACTGGAAATTCTCGTTCAGACGAGCCATATCCTTGACCCAGTGGGGAAGAAGGTAGATGTGCGCATCACGGTAGGTCGTCAGAAGTTTTACCTGCGCATGCGCATCCACTAGGGAGTGACGCACAAGGAAGCCCTTGTCAGTCTCCAATTTCTGTTTCAACGTGTCCATAGGCATAGAAAGGACTAATTTGGTGAGCGAGGAGCGGGGCGCCGCATGGGACACGGTGGGAGCTTCATTCAGTTCAAGTGGGGCAACAGCGATGAAATCTGTTGCTTCACCCTTGACACTCTCCTCCCGTCCCTGTGTTTGATAGTACATGCTGAGCCCATTGCGACGATCCTTCTCGCCACAAGACACCATCCATGCCTCAAGTAGTGACTCCCCAGGTAATTCGCAGACGAGATCACAAGGCAAGAGAAGGAAATCAGATTTGATGCAGTTTTGAACCTCCGGAAGACGAAGGAGCTCCGCTGTTCCGGTCGTCATCTCGAGGTCCGTAGGCGCGATAACTGAGGGCAAAGGGAGTGAGGTAAGGTGAGGGTTCTGTCGTAGGGCGGCTTGAATGGGAGCGAGCGAAGACGGAGGGGTGACCAATGTGACATCTAGTATACTCAGTATTCCATCCGATGCGATACAGCAGGGCAGTCAGATTGCCCCGCATGCTATCTTCAAAGTTGAGATGCGCGGACTTACCAGTAATACCCATCCTTTTCGACCAATCGAGGGCATACCAGAGCATCGGACGGTTGGCAACAGGGATAAGACATTTTGGGTATTCCTCAGGGTTAGATGTAAATGTGTTGAGCGATACACCGGGGCCACACTTGCTTGCTTGTGAGCTTTTACTTCAGGCATATGGATAGGATGTATTTGCTCACAAGAATTAGGGCTTGAAGGCCCGTTGGTGGCACAGGTGCCGAATGAGGCATGTTCCGAGCTGGCAATATGTTTGCGAGTCACACCTAGTCGTATGACTTCTCGAGTCTCAAGAAAACCGATAGTTAAGGGTTCAAAGCATCTGAGTCAAAAAAATCATGTTACGTAATCAGCGATCAAATTTGCACGTGACTGACATGCGACCCGCCTCCGGATTTAATTGACGCAAACAGGACAAACATAAGTAAACATCCGCGGCAATCACCAGCCACATGTTTCTGGTATCCGAGGAGAGACCCAGTTGCCTCCTTTCTCTCATTCTCCTTTCCCCAACCTCTCCTCTGGCAAATTGACAGGTGAAATGCGACCTGCGAGTCATTGCGACCGCGATCTATAACCGATAAATGTGCCACCGGTAATTGCACACCTGCGATTCCAATGTCCTTCCCCCAAGATCCTCAGCGTCGCCGCGGCGGAGCCGGTACGGGTTTTAGCTCAACTGGCGGACGAACTGCTTTGGGATACTGGCTTCCTCTGGCCTTGACTGCTGGAATTGCGACCATCAGTATTGCTGCCTGGATTTGGAGTGAACGAAATGACGATGACGATGACGATGACGACCACCCCCACGGAGACGGCCCCTACCCGCCCCCTGGAAGTGACTACCCCCCTCCCTCCTATGCTACCGGAGATTATGTCCGAAGCACAGGCGCCGACCCTCTGCAGGGCGATGCTTCCTATGATCATGGCATGATGGCTCGCATGCAGGGTGCTTTGCGCCGCACGCCTAGCCCTCAACAGATATTCGACGGCGCTAGCAAGAGGGTCGTGGCTGGTGTCACTGCTGCAGGAGCTTTCGTTGGTGGAGCTCTTACCTCTATCCGTGAAGATAACAAAGGCGAAGGTGACTTCGAGGATCACTCCAGATGGTCCGAGGAAGCTCAGAACAGAGCTCGAGAGAGAAGCCAGCCAGGCACCATCGAACCGACTATGAGCGGTGCTTTGCCAGCTCGTGTCGCAAGCGCGGGTCCATCCTTTGACAAGAAAAGGAAGACCGTTGCAATTGTCGTCTCCTCCCTTTTCTCAGCTGACTCCGACGAATTTGCCTCGGAGCACGCAGTAAGACATAGCCCTCCCTCCTTGGCGTCTATCTAGGCCTTTCTGACCAATGATCGCAGTCTATTCTATCCCATCTCCCCGAGCACGTCGATCTGGAGACATCCAAGATCTTTGTCTTGGTGTATGCACCAGACTTGAAACACGCCATCAAGAAAGGCGGCTCTTCGCGGCCCACGCCTTCTATCGCCTCATCTTATTCCAACATTGGCACCGAAGAAGCAACTTCTCCCGGAGAACTGGTCTCTGGTGATTTGACCCCCGTAGAGCCACGTCAGGATGATGAACTAGAGGGCACCACCCCCTCCTTCAGAACCATATACCAACAGGCACAAGCGCTAGTTGAAAAGGAGAGCATGATCATGCCTTTCAGCACCGCTGGTGGCTATGTGCATCTCGTTCGCCATCTTTCCCCAGACTTGGTCTATGTTCAGGAATCTTTGACCGGAGAGCAAGGCGAAGCCGTCCAGCATATCTCTGGTTGGGTCCGACAAGTCATTGTCGTTGTTGGAGACGAGGGCGGCCGTGGCGGACTTATCGACAGCGATGACGAGTCGGCGCTTGGTGAGAAGGGAGAGAAATGGTGGCAGAAGGAGGGCATCACAGGACTCGGCAAGCGGATCGACGTGGTTGACGTTGTCCGTGTCGGAGACGACTGGCGACGCCGAGTGCGTGGTCTGGACTAGTTTCTTCCGGCTGTGACTTCCATGATTTTGATGTTGATATTTGATTTTCGCCTGTCTATACCTGTTGTTTTACCCCTGATGATTGTTTGACCCTATTCCCCTGTTATTTCAAGTCCTTGTTTTTATTTATTGATCCAGTCTGTCCTGGGCCACGTCGAAGCCGGGAAGTACTAAGTCCGAGGGTACCCTCGGTCGTGCCCACAGTGAGACCCATCTAATCATCAAGATGGTCCTAGAACCTCGCTGTGTGCTGGTTCTTTTGTGTTGGAACTGCCACATCTTTGATAGCATTTCTCTAGGCATTCGTATGCTATCTCTAATGCCATCTTTTGCGATGCCTCCAATGGTTCTAATGAGGTCCTGCTTCGTTTTTTACGTATACTTGAGGAATAATTTCTTTCTTTCCGGGCGCAAGCTACGCTGATTCAAGACACTTTCAGTATTTCAGTATTGCCTCACTTGACTCCTACTTTTGGGTCAATAGACCTGTGCAGATACAGTTGACTCAGTTGACTGTTGAGACATCAAGATACAATATCACAGCCAAATAGCCGTATCACTTGACCTATTCCTCACGTATCATCTCGTTGTTTCACCCTCATTGTCTTGATATCGTGCTAGTCCCGATGCAGAATGGTCATGTGACCAACTTCACGTTGGCCCGCGGCTTGGCATCATCAGTTGACCTCGTCTCTCAGCAATACCTCACCTAGTGACTTCTCCAATTCAACCCTTCCCAGTAGCATTATTGGACAGGCGTTCTTCATTCTTTCATTCTTTACTCCGACACGGTTACTCTCCACCTGATTTCCGCATTGCTTCCAGCTGTGCTGGGGACCGGTGCCGCCCTACCTATCCCCACATGTCTCGCGCATCGGCGAACTCATTCATTTCCCAACCCCGGCTTTCCTTCAAGATCATCAAACCGACATACTACTAAGTCGCATTTTTCCTTTACTGGCCGCACTGTGGTCGCGCAACCGGCGCAGACATCATGGCGACCGCAATCTCTAAGCCGACCTCCCATACCCAGAAGATGAAGCGGCCGCCCCCGCCTTTCGGCCAGGCCGCGGTCAACGGGGTAAAAGGTCAACAGTTCTCAACTTCGCCCACATCCACTGCAAAGCGTCTTCCGACAGGTGCCTCCCTCAACGCGAGCTCCAACCTTACAAATGGTGTCGCCAATGTGGCGAATTCCATGGCCAAAGGACCCCTTAATCGGACCCGGAATCAGTCGCAAAGACCCATCGATCAGACCTCGCGCCCTGGCCGGCCAGCCACAAGGACAGCTACTTTGGACCCGGCGCATCGGGTCGGTAAAAGGGCGCCAGAACCCTATGGTAATGAGTCCTGCGACATTCGCAATGGCAACGCGCAACCACTGACATGCTTGACATTATAGTGAAAACCACTTCTTACATTCTCAAGAAATATTCGAAATGCCCTCCATCCCTCATCGTACATCTACACCCTACACATTTCCGTTTTGAGCAACAAGATGGAAGCTTCCCCTACAATTCCGAGATGAAGGTCATTATTGAGCACATTCGCGCCGGCACTGTTCCGCATGATCTGATCGAGGAGCTTCTGCGGGGCGGTGTCCAGTTCTACGAAGGTAACTACTAGCCTGGCCTGATGGGCCATGGTATCATTGCTAACGTCGTCAGGCTGCCTCATCGTCCGTGTCATCGATCACAAATCTGCCTCGGCGCAAGCACGAAAGACGCCCGCTGCCTCGACGAATGCCAATAATACACCATTCTCTTTACACAACTACAACGAGCATATCACACCGTCGGCGTATGTTCCATATCCGAAACAAAACCAACTCACGTCAGCCACCCAAGGCTCCAAGGCCGATACACCACAGATTGCAAATCAACAGTCGGACAGCCAGGCCACTGACGAGCAGAAGAATGGCCAAGTCAGCGACGCAGTTCAGAAGAATGCACCGGTGAAACCTCGGGTGTTCACCACAGTACTTCATCCCACTGCTCGAACGTTGCAGGCAGAGTTGACATTGCTGGTTACCACGCCGGACCCGAGAGCCAACAAAGCACCGGCCCAAACAAACTCATCCGCGCCACCGAATGCCCCCGGAAACCCTCAAGCGGATCGAGAGCATATTCCAAAGAGACAGAAAATGCTGGTTGAACCAGAAAACCTGTTGGAAGTCGAAGCGAAGATGGTACAGGCAATGGCGCCACCCCTCTTCTTAGATCCAGTGCCTAGCTTCGCGGCTGCCCAAGATTTGTTGAAGATGCTGAAAAACCCGTTGCATTCCGACCCGCCTCCATCGCCCAAGCGCCGAAAGAGAACGGTCGCCGAACTTGCGGCGGACGAAGCATTGGCAGCCGAAGAAGAGCGGTTCATGCTCATTATGGACGAGCGTTTGGAGCCGACGGCTTCTGGCACTGGAGGTGCCGCGAAGGCTGCTGCCGTGGATGAGGCAGGTGGTGTAGCACCATTCGAGCCTCGATTCTCCCGTTTCAAGACATTGGAGACGATTCGCATGCAACACGAGGACAAGGCTAAACGTGAGCATGAGATGAAATTGAAGCAGGAGCTTGCCAAGAGGCAGCAGCAGGAGCAGGAAAGAGAACGGCGCCGTGCGATCGAGCAGCGGCAAGCTGAGGAACACGCGAAAGAGGAATCTCGTAGGCAACAGATTGCTGCGCAGCAGGCGCAGGCTCAACTCGCCGCGCAACAGCAGAGTCGCCATGTCATGGCTCAGCCCAACGGCGTGGGCCACGGCCAACAGTCTTCGCCTGTTGTGCGCAACCAGACCCCGCACAATATGTCCTCACCACTTGTTGGTAACACTATGCCGACACAGGCGGTTCCGATGACCATGAGTGCATCTGGTTCTGGAAGCCCGCCGCGACCTCCTTCGTCTTTGCAGCATGCTCACCCGAACGTGATGAGCCACCCGATGGGCCCCTCGAGGAGTCAACAAGGACCAAGCCGACATGGTACACCGCAGATGGCACAGGGTACGCCGGCTATGTCACATGCCACGCCAATCATGCGCAACGTCACGCCTACCCAGCGGATGGGCCATGGCAGTCCGAGCCACTCGATGGGTCAGACCCCAGTGATGAACCAGGGCATGGCCGCCAATCCTCAGATCAACGGGGGCGTCTCTTACACACCTCATCAGCAGATGATAATCCAGCAGCGACAGCAAGCGCTTCTTCAGGCACAACACGGGCATATCCCGCACAACCAGTTCACGCCGCAGCAGCTAGCACAGCTTCAGGCTAACGCGCACGCTCAACAAAATCTTCAGTCTCATCAGCAGCAATTGTTGCAGCAACAGCAGCAACATCAACTCCAGCAGCAACAGCAAAACCTTCACGGTGGAGCCAAAGTTCCTCAACCAGGCCAACAGGGCCACCAAGCATATCAGGCTCAGCTCATGCGCACTCAATTCGCGCAGATGCAGATGATCAAGCAGCAGCAGCAGCAGCAGCAACAACAACAAGGCCAGCAGCAACAGGGCCAGCAGCAAGGTCAGCAGCAGCAAGGCCAGCACCCACAGATGCAGGTCTCGCAGAACCAGCCGCACCAGGGCAATCCACAAATGACAGCGCAACAGCAGCAGATGTTGATGGCGGCCGCTCAGGCGAACGGTGGCCCAGTAGCACCTAACGGACAGCCTATCACGAATCCAGCCCAGAGATACAGTCAGCTCTATCACCAACGACTGCTGCGCATGCGACAGGAGATGGCATCGCGGTGCATGGCTCAGTATGGGCCGCCCGGCCAGTATCCTGCCAACCTTGCAGCACAGTACGGGCCGGGGCTGGAGAAGACCGCGAAAGCGTGGGTTAGCGAGATCATGCGCCGCGAGCGGGATGGGGGCCAGCAGCAGCAACAACAGCGGGCTGCTTTACAAGCTCAGCAGCAGCAAGCTCAGCAAATGCAAGCACAGGGCTCGATGCACAGTATGGGCGGTGGCATGAACAACTAGGCCATGAATGCTAGTTTGTTCGCTGGAGTCTGGTTGCTGGCAGTTATATTACCCAGCTACATACGAGACTGATGATAAACCTGCTACAGAGCAGGGAGTTTTGCATATTTGCAATTTCGCCAGTGTACAATCTGGCTGGAGTGGATATATGACGAGCATCTACGCAGTGGCAGTGGGAGTCATTGGTCCGGAGCAGTTCATGTTCTCGACCTCTTGACGTTTTCTTTTTCACTTCTTGATTCTATTTTTCGTTCCTTTTTTTCTGAATCCCCGGGACATTGTACAGGGACCAGGCATCGTGGAGATGGGAGGTTGGCGTTTTGCCATGGTTGTTTTTCCCTTTTTCTTTCCTTTTATTCTGTTCTTCGATTGTACTATGTGGGCACGGCTTTCAGTGGGACACTGGGATATTCAGACTCGATACCATTCTGTAAAGGAGTTTTTTCATTCTTATTATGCGAACATGGGAGGGTGGGTCGGTTTGTGGAAATACTTCAACTTTGATAACACAAAATGCAACTGGATTCGCTTTGAGTTTCTGTCATTGGTCGTAGGCATACAAGTTGATAGGTGGCATATGCATACTAGATCCTGCATGTCCACTGCCAGGTACTCGAGATGTGCCACTGCCAGCCCTTCCGCACCTCGGACCTTGGAAGGTTGCTACTGTAGTTCAACAACTAATGATTACACGAACCAAGAACCAAGCATGATGAAAATGAACATGTATTTCAAAACTATAGAATCTACTCAAGACAGTATGTCCCAGATCTTCAATGGATGTTTGCCACCTCGGGCGAACCGTAGGACAAAAATCTAGTACTCACTGGCTAGGGAGACGAATCTCCATTTCAATATAAGCACTTCTTCGGCGCAACCGCGGCCATGAAAGGGCCGGATCGCAATTTGACATCCGTGCTATGGATTGGGACTGGAAAGGAGTTGTATATGGTAAGTGAGGTTCAATTGGTATCAGAAGGTCAGCTGAGCTAGAAATAGAAGAAAAAAGGAAAACAAATGTTAGAACAACATCGTCAGTATCGAGTATGCAAGATGATGCAATGATGTAGAGTATACAACTGGACTCATATTCTCATGGTCACCATACTCAGACTGTTGAGCTTGATAGTTTGAGACACTCATGGAGAAAGTCGTGTCAGTTTTGTGTGATCATCACAGTAAGGTAAACCAGAGGCATCTTGTGAAGTGTGTGAGGGTTAGATAAAATAGGAAGCTGAGCTGAGCTGAGCCATTGATCAGTAGACGACATTAATCTCTGAACAATGTGCTCTGCAGCAGCTTGTTGGCGGTTTGTTGAAGTTGGTCGGAATTTATCTGGAGGAGAGGCGGAAAATTCTCGCGCGGAGTTTTTATATAGTGCGGGTTACGTAAGTGGTTAGTCATCATGCGGGTGGATAGGTTTCGATGACTAAGGGGTTAACTGCCTAATTGGGAATGGTGTCAACACTGACCAGTTGACTCTGGTGTGTACACAACTGTAGAAATGGATAACTACAGTAGATGTGAGACTGTTGTTAGTTAACATAGGGACAAGATGGAAAATATTAGATTTGCAATCGAACGATCGTGACTGTAGATCTGATGTTCGAAACTAGCCAGCTCTCCAGAGTCCGGACATGTAATAGAAACTTTGGAAGCAAAAGCTCTCTGCGACATTGAATGAGCACTCTGCACGGCCGAGTTAGATAAAAGCACTTAGGAAGAATGTGGAAGAAAGATGGTGGAGTCAATGAGTGAGTCAAGACTCAAGTAAGTTTTGATTGTGTTGCAAGAACTTGATGATAGCAGTGATTGGACTATTGACTGGGTCAATGTCTCATATTCGTCGCTCAGGCTATTCAGCACCCAAGCAATTATCAGTTGCTTAGGAAGAAGAATGTTCTTGCCCTTGAGATCGTCGTTGAGTGTCTTGACCTTGATGAGGTACTCCTCCATGGTGTCGGAGTCCTCAACCGTCGTGTTAAAGAGTTCTTTGAAAATGAGGTACTCGGTCGTGAACCCTTTTGGGTGGTAGCACGACTCGAGGGTTATCCAAGCTGTTTTGGCATCGGAACAATCTTTGATGTAGAGGAGAGGGCCATCCTCACAAAACAAAACGAGAAGGCTTTGTCTATCATACAGCTCCTGTGTGAGGATGGCCCTCTCCTCTACATCAAAGATTGTTCCGATGCCAAAACAGCTTGGACAACCCTCGAGTCGTGCTACCACCCAAAAGGGTTCGCGACCTAGTACCTCATTTTCAAGGAGTTTTTAAATACGACCCTTGAGGACTTCGAAGGCAGATTATCAGGCACTGTATATTGCGAGCACAATTTCCAAGATCCGGATCACCCGGGTCCCGAAGCCAGGGATAAGAATAAGATATAACGATCTACAACAGCCGAGCAGGTTCAATCTACCGGCAGACAAGACCATGAGCATTAAATGAATAGGGACTGTTACATTGCATAACCCAAGAACCAAACCTGGAGAACATCTCGGATCCGATCCCTGAAACCCAAATAGAATCTAGAACATCGTGACAGCACACGCCACGCCGTCACATTCCAATGCATGCACGTTCATAGTACCTGGGATGTATGCATATCTCGCTTTTTGGCTTTTACTGGGGAAATGGAAGGTTTGTAGATTAGTTTTTCAAAGAATTATGCCTCATAACTTAGAATGCACTGCGCTTATTTCGACTCAACGCGCGTTGTACGTCCATTGTACAGGGCATGCCGATGCGGTGTGCTGGATATCCGCCAATGGGAATTAGAATCTTAGGAATGTGGAGGTAGATGCACATACTGTACTCCGTACATGCGTTGGAAGTTAGGTTGAGAGTTGGAAAGAAGTTAGTAACAAAATGGAAGACACAGTTGCGCTGCCTAGCTGGGATATCTGCAGTTAGATCTTGCATCGTCGATCCGTCGGTTAAATTATGTTGAGATGGAAAAGGAACAGCGCTGCAGGTATGGGATACGATAGGGAATTCACACCAATAAGAAGGACGGGAATTTACCTGGATGTTATTCCCGATATTCCAGATTCTACGGGATCTGTACCTATCTCAATCCGTACAGCGTGGCATATACATAACGTCGTGTAACAATGGCCTGCAGCGTGGGATGGGTAAAATGGACCTCGTGTGTGATTACCACACCGCATAATCTTGGAATAGGAGGATCGGTGTAGATGTGGGCTTGGTATTTGGAATTGGGTGTTGGGATTGGCTTGGGGTTGAGGTGGTGGTTGAGGTTGAGGTTTTAGATGCATTGCAATGAAATAGTTGACTGAATGCATTTAAGTACCTGATCTATAGAATTACCGTAGACGGTGGTTTCTTCTAGTCAAAGAGAATAAATGGAGATAGGAGGCAGACGAACACTTACCAGTTGACGAGAGAATGATATTCCATGCAACGAAGATCAGTCAAAAAAGCAAATATGGATTTGCCGGGGAGAAAGGATCGGAACTTTCGCTTATAACTAGCCTTGGAAGTAACTGAGATTTAACTAGCTGGTGACGCATGAAATAGATCCTGGTAAGAACGCGGCTACTGATCGTGGCTCACCTTGCCATGCGGCTTTAGCTAGCATGTTCACATGTAGTAGATCTATCAGACTTCTCGATATTTCCTTTTCCCACCCGGTGCTATTCATAGAACTACTACATCATTGCAGCAAGTCTAAGCCTTCTATTTGATTTCCAGAAAAAGGAAAGAGAACACGCAGGATCCACATATCAGTTTGCTACATACTAGCGATATTGGCTGCCGATCGAGGAAGTCGAGCATGGAATCATGGTTACAAGGTACACAGTATACATAGCAGATTGGGGTGCATTCGATTAGGCATAGCATAGACCTTCGGTCTCGTGTCAGAGCTGCGGTGAAGAGATGATGACATGGTGAGACAGATGACGGGACTTCGCTTGGCTGTGGGGGATTCCGAGGTGAGTTTGAGTAGCAGGGACTGTGTGGCTGTGATTATGTGTGTGGCCTTGTTGGGAAGATGGGAGATCCACTGGACAGATAGATCTGTTTGGAGAAATCCAGGGCTAAATCTGGGTGTGATGTGTAAGATTGAGGCCCACCATGGGCTAGATGGCTAGATATGACGAGGAAAGTGTTAGAAACGAAGGGGATGACACGAGTATTGTAGATCTAGTATTGATAGTAAAGTAGGAGAGAATGTAACAATCCATAGATCTCGATTTTTGTATATTATGCCAATGTGGTAACGAGGTGGTAGTACAAAAATGATAAAACAGCAACGAATTGTACACGTTCGCCCCAACCTCAAGGGCGTTCTGATTACTGCAAAAATAAATAAAAACATATGCAACGATGTCCAATTCACAAACACCTCCCAGCCTGTGGCACCAAACAAATTATGCAAGAGAAAAAATATAAATAGAAGTCTCCAATTCACCAAGAGACATGTACAACGCCAGGACGGCCAGCGATGATTTCTGGCCCATGCCTCTGATCCTCCACGGAGGGTATCAATATCCAGGGTCAATAACCCTTTCTTTGTATTCGATTCACGTATTCGTATCTTTTTTTTTTTTTTGTTGTTTTTGTAGTTTTCACTTTTGTTGTTGTCCGGGTAGCTTCAATCATCCCAGCCATCGACGCTGAGCTCACCACAATCGGCCATGGGATCCTCAAGCTTGCTGCCGTAGATTGGGCGACCATCAGGAGTGAGCTGGCCACGGAAGTCGGGATCGAAATCTTGACTCGTCTCATCGAGGGTTGCAACGTAGCGATTGCGCCCGCCCCGCTTGCTGTGGGTCTTGGTATAGTGTGCGTTGAGATTGTCGCTGCGAGAGAAAGCACGGTGGCATCCGGGTACCCAGCAAACATGGGGCTTCTCCTTGGAGTGGCTCTTCATGTGGCGCTTGAGATGTTCCTGGCGCTTGAAACGGCCCTTGCAACCGGGTTCCTTGCACTTGAACTGGACTTGCTTGATGATTGGAGGCAGGTTTTCGAGGCTGAGGTGAGAGCGAAGGAGCTGCTTCTTCGAAGGCTTCCGGGAAGGCTGGCGGTGACGTTGGATCAAACCATCACGGTAGACAGGAGAGAGCTGGAACTCTTCCTGGTAATCATTGTGGCCCGACATCCGGCTGACCGGAGTGTCGGACCCTGAGGGGGTGCCCATAGAGACTGAGCGGTGGGGAGTAGAAGGAGTGTGGGTCTTGAAAGTTGGAATGTTGGTAGGGAAATCGGAATAAGATGAGGAAGGGGGAGTTACGGGTCCGGTAGGGAATGGCTGGACCTGAGCGGGAGTGATGGTTTGAGGAACCAATGACTCTTGGGAAGGCATCCAGTGGACCATGTTGGACATCGATGCCGAGTTGGGCATCCGCTCGTTAGGCTGGTTGAAGATGGGACGGGAGAGGCAAGGATTGGAAGCTGATTCTGGCAGGTAGCCAGCCTGTTGGGGACGGTGGTAGTAGTTGCGGGCCATCTGGCTGTACTGAGGCATGGATGCCTGATATGGGAACTGGGGCTCTTGATACGTCTTCGGCATGTCCTGAGGGATCCAGAGCTGGTCCACGTTGTCATCGTATCCAGGAAGATAGTCGGGAAGAGGCATCTGGTCCTGTCGTTCGATGTTTCCACAGGACATAGTCATCATGCCTTCCCCTGATGTCAGATCGGCCATTCTGAATGCGCTGCGCAGGGGCGTAGAGGAAGTTCGGCGCTCCATTGGGAGGCCATGGTGGTATTGAGTGGCTTCGTGCCAGACGGGTGAAGCCATTGAGCCTTGGCTGTAGAGACTGGTGGGGGTCGGGGTTGGAGAGTCCAAAGGAGAGAAGCTCGAAGTCATCGAGGGGCAATCACTGGGGCCCAGAGAGTGGCAATCAACTTCGACAGTCAAACGATCAGAGATTTGCTGTCCCTGAGATCTCATATCGTCCAGGTCTTCAGTTTTGAAAGATCGAGATGAAACAGGGTCGATTGTATCACCTGTCCAGGGTAGTTGTTTAGCAAATAGTCGATATGATGTGTCTTTTCAACGAAAGGTGAGGTCAAGTAGTTGACAGAGAGGAGAGTAGAACGACAGTATAAAAAAAGAGACTAAAGGAAATGACGAAAGAGAAAGTAGGGATGGATGATGGAAGACAAGAGAACGAAAGTAGAAGAACAAGAGCACGAGACAAGAGAATGTGTATTAGGTCCCAGAGTATAGGGAAAGGAAAGAATGTCAAGAGGGAAGGGAATGGAGGACAAACGAGCAGAAATAAACAAATTGGTCGAGCATACAATCCCGAGAAAGTGGAGATCGAACTTACAGCTATACGCCATGGTCTAAGCTCGGCAGAGAACTCTCGGCCAGAATTAGAGTCGCGTCGCGTGCTTGAAGTGTAAAGCAAGGCTAGGAATGTAGACTATGAGCTCCTCCGTTACCGCGGCAAAGGCTCAAACGGCAGGATCTGGGCTGGGATCGACTGGCGTTTCCTCGAGGACTGCAGCTTTCTCGCGATGTTTCGCGTTGAAATGCTGGTGAATTACCGAGTTGGGACAATAGAATGGGCTGGTATGGAACACTTGGTACCAGATAGGCGTTATTGGTGTCAGAAGCCCTTTGACGCGGTTGACTTTGAAGGGGAGGCTGGTCTCAGATTGATTGAGTGTACGGCAGGGGAGGGTGGGGGAAGGAGGAGGGGAGATTATATGAACAAGGTACAGTAAGGGGAATAGTGTAAATGAGGAAATCGAGGGTTGGGGTTGTCTTAAAGAGAGATATAATGGAATTAATGATCCACGGGGGGAAGCTTGTTCCTGGTACCTTTTTGGGCTGAAGCTGGAGGTAGAGACTTGGATCGGCGGATTGATTGACATCCCTCACCTTTTCTTTTTCTTTTTTTTTTTTTTTTTATTTTATTTAGGTTTGAATTCTTATTTTATTCTATTTTAAAGGTGAATTAAAGGTGGATGGTTTCCTATTTAGTCCATCTAGGCGTTATGTTGGTCCAGTCTTCTGGGAACTCAATCTGCATAATCCTATTATCTAAATATTCTTTTTATTTAATTCTTTTCTCTTCGTTCATGCATCTCTCCCGAATCTTCACTCTCCACTATGGAATATAGGCAGAGAACAGCCAATCCCATTCACCCTCAGAGCATGCTCTCTGTGCATTGGAATGTCTAGGCTGTACCTCTTGAGGTTCCGCGCAATGTGAGCAGAGTCTATTCGAACATGCAGGTCGATCGTCTCCCCGGACTTTCTGGCCGGTGTCGATCCTCAAGCACGAACCATCTGAGACCCTGATCTTCTTCTCCACTTAGAGTCTCAGATGGGGGGCAACCTTGGAAACCTTGAGATTCACTAGAGTGCATGGAACTACAGTTCACTATACACCACATAGAACATTCAATATATTTGGCTATCGACGACGATATCACCGACATCGAAATTCAAAAATATGAGCTCGCTCGGACGTGCAGTGGAGGCTTGGATCGATCTCATCCGTACTTTTGCGACAGGTCAGACGTTAACCATCTTTTGGTCTGTGCGAACCTGGTTGAGGCTGCAGCATCTCAGAGAGTAGCAATCTCAGATACCAGTTCCCACATCTTGCAACATTCTCACTTTCTCCGCGTCGTTTTGCCATCTAAATCATAATCAGCACAGTTCCATTTTATTCCATTCTTTTGTGAACTTTTCTATTTTCAATTTACTGATATCCTCTAACCCTAACTAGGTCTAGTGCCCTTCCTCCCGGACCCATCGGCTTTGAGCCGGACACCCTTGGGCCTTGGCCTTCCTTAGTGACAAATCACCATAAACATAGCATCATCGGACATCACTGGAATGTGAGCAAGAAAAAAGCAAATAACTTGCAAGCCTTGGGGAACAATCTAAAACCCACCCTGCTGGGTCTAGAAAGTAAAAAAACTGAGTAAGCCGCAAATCCGTCCCAACGGTTCGGAAACCATCGGCGTGAGCTGCACCTGCGTCTGACCCATCACGCGTCAGTTGAGACCAGAAGAGTGAGAATGTCTTTTGGTTGGAGGGCGTCTATTTCGCACTCAACCTACCCTGCGTGTGGCTCATAATAAGTAATAACAGGCATGGTTTCACATTCTTTCATGCTTGGATGTGCCACGCCGTGATGTCTTCGTTTCAACCGTCCAGATAGTGATCGGCCTCGAATGTTTGTCTCCGCTGCGGGCGACCGAGGCCCCAGTCGTAACTTTACCGAGAGGAGGAATTCTCCTATTTGTTATTTGTTCTTACTGTTTGTCTGTGTATCACATTGCAACTTGCGTGGCCCGTCGAGTGGGTCGAGATGAAACAGTACATACTAGCGCTGAGAATAGACGAGCGTTTGACCCAGCCATAAGGCTAAACGGCTTTGAAATCCTCTGATTGTGAGATAGGTGACACTTCTAGCGCGATAAGGTTTGGACTAGGTGGACCAGGACTGCTTCGGTCTTTGATTGTGGCTTCGGCGTTCTATCGGACCCTCTTTGTCGATCGTTGTCGCGTTCGGGTTGGTTGGTGCTATTGTTCAGTGTCGACTGTCAGATCTTGTCCAGGCAATTCCCCCACATTGGCTTCCCGTTCTATTACATGCATCACTAACTCTTCACGAAATTCATCGCCATGCTTTATTGTTTTCTGCATACTTCTTTAGTGCCATGAGTTGAAAACCGGTTTTGACGTGCTTCTTCACATTCCTATAATAATCCTATTGATAAGATGCATCTATTTTGCAATAATTCAGATTCATTGCACATGTTGAGTACCGCGGACCTACTGTGTAGAAGAAAACCAAACCGCAGCATGGACCAGGCTATTGTCGCTCACTTCTGTTCGTTCATTCATCTCATCGATCTTATCATCTTGATCAATCGAAGTACGTATTCCAGGTACAATGTAGACAAGTGTGATCTGTGGATATGCCAATAAAGTTTTAAGATTTCCACGGTTCAGACTTGAGTGTCAGACACTGGTAACCAATAAAGAGCTTAAACAACATCCCCCATCTTCACCTGAGCTTCCTCCCGGGGTCACACCGGCCAATTTCCTTATTCGCACAGACCCAAAAGCAGCAAGGGTGACTGATATCCCGAACCCAAGACAATGAGACTCTCCCCCAGATCTCTCGGCCCCTGCGTCTGAAGGGATATCCTCCAACCATCATCGTACGCGGCTCCTTTTCACGAACCCACCAGGTCAGTTCGGCATTTACCGACACTAAACACCACTATCACCAACTACAAATTCTATTGCAGAGGGTCCGAGATCAGATCTCACCATGGGTCCATACCACGGGAAGCTAGACTACTGCCGAAATATCCATCCCAACCCACACCAGATACCGCACTGACGCTGGAAGGTTTCGATAGTGGCTACACTCCTGTCACATCGAGTCATACCAGAGTGCACTGTCCTTAGAGCGCGCACAGTCGTTCGTGACTGCGATCGCTGGGTGGCGTTGCCTATGAACTGTGGCTTAGCCGGGTGATTATCAGGCATTTGGCCTGAATCAGTAACATGCCTCTTGTCTGTGCCTACGGGATCTACGGCGATCAGCTCGCCACCAGGTTGGCGAATGATTTTTGCCTTGACTATCCACTCGATGGAGCCCGTGGATCCCAACCCGGCTATGACCCATTGAGGCTCTCTACAATGTGAAAATACCTGTTAATCGCATTGCTGGTTTCAAGTGCTAGATGTGGCAAGTGAAACCCGCAAATTTGCCATACCTGTAGCATATCGTGCTGGCCACCCATGAAATGGCACACAGAATACTACACGGTGACGTACCACCATCGATAGACGCTAAGATATGTAAGAAATTGCATACATCGTTGACACTAGACCAGAATTCTCATAGTATCACTCTCGACCCAGAAACCAAAAAAGGATAGAAAAAATGATAGACCAGGCTCCAGTTCACCCACAAATCAAATCACGAATCAGCAAACCATATATGGTCGCCAGCAGTATGACTGCATTAGCACCACTCAGGAACCAGGTACCCGGATAACACCAAAACGGATCTATCAACTCCCAAGACCTTCTCCGAACCTTCCCCAATCTTCCAACCCCAAAGCCAAACAGCCGCTACAGCTTAGTCCAGTCCAGTGACTCTCAAAACATGCAAGCCTCCCATTAAAGCCATGAACATGACACCAACGCCCTCATTCTCCCATACTTCATGAACCCTATCATATTTGTGCCTATTTCTGGACCTCCATGCACACCTGCTACTAGACCAGCATACCTGTCCGTCTATTGTACTATCGTGTCCCTGTTTCCTCACTGATCATTGATTGACATTGACATTCTTCGGCATGCATAGTGCTTCCCCCGCCCCGCTCTGTACGTAGATTCGGGACTGGAAGTGCTGCAGGTCCGTTGGGTCCTATGACGCCACTGTGAATGTCGACTTAGGTGCTGACCGTGCTTCTATTGAGTCGTGAAGTGATTACGCTTTTCATGCCAATACTTCTACTTAGGTTCCATGTACATTCTTTTCAATAAAGGCTAACTATCGAGACATAATCCGCGGAGTTTACTCGTACGTCGGGGACCGTGCTAATTGTTTCTGATTCATGGTGTTTATCTGTATGTCTAAGAAGAATTCTAGCGACCGGCCGTATTGGCGGAAATAGGAGCGACTACACACAGTCAATTTGAGAACTGCTCGATCTCCGGCAAAATTATCCGGTGGAACTCAACTCTTGGAATCTGAATAGCATCATGCATATATTTTATAAACATCTCCAATGGACGAGCATAAGCATCTCGAAGGTGCAGCTAATGATTTGTCTCAAGAAAATCTAGGCCATGAAATGCAGGGACCGAGCGACCAGATAAAAGGATCAGAGATGCAAAAGATAATATCGATAGTCACCTAGAACTCATGCACAACCCCTAAAAGAGTAGCTTAGTTGGCTCTCTGAGTGCTGCCTCGGTCTTTCTGTGCTTTCTTACTTTTGCCCCTTGCTTGCCTTCTCTTTTTCACCTCACACAGACAGTTCTCGTTCGTTGTTCCAGATGGCCTTCGAGATGGATTTCTTTATTTTCTTTTTCATTGTTGCACCGGATATTCCACGTTGACTTGCATTGCATTGCCTTGCATAGATGCTTCCCGGTTCTCAGGAACCAACTTTGCGGTGGCGAAACGGACAATGCCCTACATAACGTTGGGGTGATCGACCTAGCTTTGGTCTTCCTGATTGGTGCTGCGTTGTTCATCGGTTGGTTAGCCTGAATGCTGCTTCAGGGGTTCCCCAGGATCCTCGTGTGCCTGTGTACCTGTCTTCCTGTGTGCCTGGATACCTATAAACCAGTGCACATCCAGGAGCGCGACACGATGTGAGTCGCGATGAAGGAGAACATATACCACCTCAATACTGGAATATATTCAGTATTCAGTCACGTCCAGAGCAAATCCATTTCCTGAATTGGATCCGAAATAAATCTGAAAATTCACACCGAAGCCCTTCCAATGCGCGATGCAGCGTTACAATAATGCCGCCTGTCTCACATACCAGCGCAAGCACACTGCTCTATTGCACATCGGATCCCCAACTCCCGTGCATATACAATCTTATGTAACCCAGCATCCAAGCAGACCGGAACATCTACTGTGTAAACTAGTAAGTACCTGATGCCTAGTAATGAGCAGATCAAACCCAGACGCAATCACCGAGCCAGATCGACGCTGCACATCTCTACCTGGAGAATGTCAGACATGGGTGCTTTGCAGCAGCCAGCCCTGCAGCGCACGAACCATGTCTAGCTCTAGCCTGCCCTCGATGTGGCCTTCTGATTGGGTGCTAGCAGACATGATCGACGATGGGCACATCCGATGAGGTCATTTTCTAATTTATTGGAACCCTTGCCGCAAGCCTGGAGGCTGTTGTACATGCTTTATCTTGGTTTCACTTTCATTGTCTATGGTATTTCTTACATTATTGGTATTCTGGCCGCTGGCGCGAATCGAGACTAAAGTCTTGTTCGTGTTCGAGTATTTAGAGTGTATGTCAGTCGTGTTGGGTTTCTATGAGTTCGGTATGCGTTGATGCGTGTTCCGGGGATGGACTCGAACTCCTGCAACGCGGATCATTGGGTCCGGGTCTCGGCCATGTCTTGGTTTTGGCTCTGTGGCTCTGTGCGCTCTTTGTTAGGCACGGTCGCCTCGAGATAGGTGAGATGGCTTGGTTGTCGTAAGCTCCTCATGTAGGTTCTGGGCAAAAATGCTAAGGTCTGAGGTCGGATTTGGGGATATATGGTGTGGAAGTCTATGGATTTGGATGGGTGGTTACCGGGGAATAGCCTCAGAAGGTCTGTGTGTCCCTCAATGCTTGGATCATTAGTGCGTGTGTTGCTGGAGGGATTAGGTCCTGGGAAGATTGCTTTCTGTAGTGCGAGGCACTGCGCCCGCCGTTGCTGTGGTATCATTTTATTGGGACGAGCTGCAAAATTGGCTATCTACTAACTACTAGTACAGATGTAATTTCACATTGCTGATGGCTCGCTAATTTGCATGAAGTTCTCACAGCATGTCGATATATTGGATGTGAATATACCTATTGAAACGTCGTCTTGCAATGCATACATGCAATTTGTGCCATTGCCGCTACACTACGGTGGGCCGACTGGTTCCCACATTAAGTAGCTTATGGGAAATAGCCCGAGAAAGACGTGTAGCATAGCTTGTAGAACTAGGTCGTAGGTGACTCTTCATACCTGATAATCTCAACAGACATATCGGCTACCTACCTACAGGCTTAGATTGTCACCGGGCTAGGACTCGAGGTCGCGGGCAGTGGCATCCGAGTAGGTATGTTCGTGCTCCCGTCGATATATATCAAGACCAGCCCGGCAACCACCTGATTTATTAGTAGGTACCTGTTCGGTTTCTACAGTAGGTAACTGCCTAGGCATAGGCATAGAGCTCACCTGCTTGATGTTTTTACCTAGAAGTGCTAGGTACATGCTCAATGGATGTTGTTCGCCCTTCAGTATGTACCTGGCTGGGTCCATGGTTGGCTCCCTCCCGAGCCCACTAAGGATGAGGCTCACCCGTGGACCCGGACATGTCAACCCGCGATCCCACCAGACTTTCGAGTTCCACTCCTCTTCGACCAACCAGGACAACATTATTATAGATGGCATCCATCTAGCACTCCGATCTCCAGCTCTAATCATACTATCGACTGGACGAATGCGGGAAAGGATACCGAAGCCTTATACGACGACAGTTGCGGACCTTGAGCTGCTACATTTCCCCGACCGACATCGCCCAGCTTAGGTTCCCCAAAGAGCAGCACATTCGACAAATATGGAACCCGGACGGGAGTGAACGGGCCATACGCTCGATCTGGCTGAAGTCTGATGTGCACCAAAGCACACGTCGATTATCCTCAACCTGACATCTAGTCGATACAGCGACAGGAAGAACCTGATTCCAACTGGCCAAAAGAAAGCGCAAAGCTTCCATAAGATACAACAGAAGACTGGGCCCAGGAAAACGCTCTCAGGAATATTATGCTACAGCAACGGGGGAGGCTCCTCGTTTGCCGTGGACCATAGCGGAACAAGCAGAGGACAGTGAGGTTGGGTGTAGTGACAGCGCCCGGGAACTTATACCCAGATTCAATGGGACTGGTGCTATTATTGAGACTCTTCATGCTCACTACCGATCAAAACATCTATCGTGCCAGCCATGCTTCAATCTACTCCATGGCCCCCTTCAGCCTCTCCGACGCCATTTTCAGCCATTTTCAGGGGAAGAGACGCCACGCAACGGCCGCTGGTGCTAGCGTAAGGCAAACACGCAGCCAGAAGAAAAAGCAAAGAAACAAAAACTCGCTTAAATGTCGCTTAAATCCCCGAGCGAATTCTCCGGTGTCGTGGTCTTGAAAAGATCTAGAAGTTTGCATGGGACCCAGGCAGCTTGAAAATACAGCGGCCCCGTTCAAAACCCCAGGGAGAGTTCTCGGGTTCATGCAGAAGACGAGGCAAGACGGAATCCTGCAGTTGATGTATGTAAGCCATTAGGGGAATCTGGGATCCTCCGGATGCTAGCCAGTACTTTTGTCTTCGTGACAGATGACAATTGGAGCTTTGCGCATCGTCGCAGTTTGTGAGCGGATATCTTCCTTGAAGCATGGCGATCCCCGAACTGGTCTTTTTTGCGACCGTGGTCATCGAGTTTTCGCGTGCGCAGGCGTTGAAGGACTAACTGGCTCGTGCTTTAGAACCAGGCTGATGGTAGGTATCGGCATAAAGACGGAGTTTGGTATGCTTCTGTTGGGAATCCGGTGCTGTAAGTGCAATTGAGACCGGAGAGAGCGGGAAACAGGTTACGCAGCAGGTGCATTGTTGCACTTGCCATGTTGTTCTCGGTCAAGCGTCCATGCTTGTGTTTGGTGGTACGAAGGCCTTGACACGATTTCCGTCACTTCTGTTGAGGGTCTTTCGTATGCTTGTTTTTTTTATTCCTCTTAACTCCGTAGAGTCGCTAACGGCTTATCGAGGCCTAAATTCTTACATTCTCACTGGTGCCTTGAGACCTGTCAGGTCGAACTCCGAATTCCGAGCTCCGAGCTCCGATCCAGATAACGCAGAATCCGGATAGTGGACGATCGTCTTCGATTTGTTGAATCAGAAGCAGAAGCAGAATCTCTGACTTCTGCTAAGGCCCACAACAATATCTTAGAATTGATGTCTTGAGAGCCTAGTGGTGTGGGAGATTAAGCAGGAAACAAAGAAAAACAAGCGGGGTCAGCCTCCCCGGTCAGGCCAGGCGTCCAACCGTCCGTCCGTCCCCTAATTGGGCTTGGACTCTGACGACATATTGATTAACAATTCAGGGCATATCTCCAACGAGTCAACGGCTCAACTTCCTCTTTCTTTCTTTTTCAACATTCCGATCCTTCAATCCTTCATGTCTAGGGCCCTTTCCTGACAGTGACTGGCCCCTACGGACGCTTCCGCCCTGTATCCTGTGACAAAAGCAAACCAGGCATCTTTCATAACGGCTATCGACACAATGCCAGCGGAGACAGAGCCACTCTTGGGCTCAGGGACGACCGCCCGGCCAGCGCGTCACCCGAAGAAATTACTGATCTGTATCCTCTGTGCCATATTCTTGCTATCGGCCGACTTTGGATTCTTCATGTCCACCGCGCCGCAGGTGGCAGTCTATGAAGAGATCATCTGTCGAAACTACCAAGCAAACCTTCATAAGGCGGGAAATGAGACGTTAGGAGACTCCAATCCGTGTAAATCCGAGGCTGTACAGGGAGAATTAGCGCTTGTGATTGGCTATCAGAACACACTTGATGTGCTGCCTGGTACGTGTGCTACACAATACTCTGAAGTCTGGATGCTGATAATTTCCAATTACAGGTATGGCGCTTTCGCTGCCGTACGGGGTCCTCGCGGATAGCTGGGGGCGGAGGCCTGTCCTATATCTTAGCATGCTGGGCATCGTTCTCGGAGAAATCTGGGTTAAGATAGTTTGTGAGCTGTCGCCGAATAACTTCCAATTCTTCGATGTCCTACTAATCTCTTCTGCCAGGTCTTGGTTCAAGATTCATTCCACTCCGCATGGTCTGGTTCTCTTCTCTTTTCAAAATCATCGGCGGAGGCGACCAAGTCGTTACGGCCGTCGCCTTGGTCATAGTCGCCGATGTCTTCACCGACGATGAGAGGTATGGCATGCCTCGATTACTCGAATTGACATCATGATAAAGCTAACATACACGTAGGGCGACCGCGTTATTCCGCCTGCAATCCTGCATCCAGATTGCGGAAATTCTGGCCACTCCGTTTAGTGCTTATCTGATGAAATTTGGTCCAATGTTTCCATTTGTTCTCTCAGTATGCATTATCATCGTGGGAAGCATCCCATGCTTGTTTCTCCCCGAAACTCTCCCAACCGCGGAATCAAAGCGAAGCAATCCCCAAATGTCGGACCCGGACAGTGGAAATGAGCAACCCCAGCCCCCGAGCAAGAAGACAGTATTGGGGGAGCTTACACGGCAAGCTCGCGAGCTCGGTCAATCGACGCGCTTTATATGGAGGGACTCTAATATCTGTCTGATGGTCCTTGTACTGTCCGTCACAGTCATGAGTAAACAATGCACGAACCTGCTTCTGCAATACGTGTCGAAGAAGTTTGACTGGAGCATTAGTCGCGTATGTTTCTGTTCTTACCGTCAAACAAGCAAAACTAACCATTTTATAGGCTAGTCTCCTCATCTCGCTGCGCGGGATATTCTCGCTCGCAACATATTTGCTCATAATGCCGACCTTGACATTCTTAGCTGCCAAATATCTGGATGTCCATGGCAAATACAGCGACCACTTGATGAGTAAAGGGAGCGGTGTGCTTTCAGTTGTCGGATACATTGCCATCTTCCTGGCGCCGACACCAGCCGTCTTGATCGGGGGTCTGGTTATCCTGTCAATTGGTGCGGCATTCATGGTCAGCACGCGTAGTCTTGTTACTTCGCTCGTGCGACCCGACAACGTTGGCACTTTATATTCGACGATTGCCATTGCACAAGGTATGGGAACTATTGTCTCGGGCCCATTGTTTGCCAACCTGTTCCGGCTGGGTATGCATCTTGGGAAAGTCTGGTTGGGACTACCATTCTTGCAAGCTGCTGTCTTTTTCGGCCTTGCTGTCACTGCCGTTTGGCATGTTCGTCTTAGACCGTCTCCGCCCGATGACAGAGAGCAGGAACCGTTGTTATCTGAGTAAAAATCTAGATCTTAATTATCTCTTTGACCAATTTATCCGTCCAGGCAATTTGACACGGATTTGTGTGGAGCATGGAGTCTCATCCTGCAGGGGGAAGGAAACAGCCGTTAGGACCTCCATGTTTATCCCACGTGGGTATTTCCCACCTATTGCTCTACTGCAACATAAGCGTCGAGCGAAGCGCCCAATTTCAGATAAAACACCATTGTCAAACTGCGAAACCCAACGCTGAAGCATTCTGGTTCGTCAAGTCCGGGAGATTTGCAGTATTCATCTTGCGGGGCTGGAATCAAAACAGTCGGAGATCCGAAGGGGCAGCTGAGCAATGCAACCTCAGTCAGCATCTCGTCAAACATCTTCAGACGATAACCGTCGGCCTCCACACTTAGCGCTTGAGTCCGTCGTCCAACTGCGTTTCACCATTGGAGAATAGCCTACACCCGTCACGCCCCGCCCGATGATCGTCTCCCGCTTCAAGCAACACCCGTACCTTATGTTACTTCTTTCCCGAGATGATAGGCATACACGGTGAATCCCGAGAGCAAATCAGCACTGTTTACCGGTCCAAATGCGACATGCATCAGATCTTCTTTGTCCGGGGGATGGATTATGCCGAAAATAAGGGGGCACTATGTGCAGCGTAAAACCCCATAAGAAGACCGATGCTCCTCCCCATCTCCCTCAATTCCTCTCAACCCATCTCCCATCTTATCCGCAAAATGTTCCAATCAACCCCCTCAAAGAGCATGCTCGCCCTGGCAGCAATGACCCTCGTCACCGGCACAAACGCCGATATTGGAACCTGCGACACCGACTCCGGCTTCAGCTGCGCAAGCTCCTCGACCGAAGCAACCTGCTGCTTCAACTACCCTGGCGGCGCCCTCCTGCAGACCCAATTCTGGGATACAGACCCTTCCACCGGTCCTTCTGACTCATGGACTGTTCACGGACTCTGGTATGTGTAAATTACCACACACAATTCGCCCTGCCCTTCTCATTCACCGGGCGAAACTATATACTAAACCACTTCCAGGCCCGACAACTGCGACGGCACATACGAGCAAAACTGCGACTCGAAGCGCGAGTACAGCAACATCACCGCCATCCTACAGGAGCAGGGCCGAGACTCGCTCCTCGACTACATGGACAAGTACTGGATTGATATCGACGGGGATAACGAGTCATTCTGGTCGCACGAGTGGAACAAGCATGGCACTTGCATTAACACTCTCGAGCCGAGCTGCTACTCTGATTACTCTGCGCAGGAGGAAGTTGGTGATTACTTTGAAAAGGTCGTTGATCTGTTCAAGGGACTGGATACGTACAAGGTATGTGACATGTCCCAGCCTATACCCCGTGTGAATTGGGGGGTTGCATCGATTGGATTGGATACTGACTATGTTAGGCTCTCTCCGCTGCTGGTATTACCCCGAGTACTTCCAAGACTTATACCTCCAGCGAGATTCAGTCTGCTCTGACTGAGATGCATGGCGCTGAGGTTTATCTTGGTTGTTCTGGTGAGAAGCTGGATCAGGTTTGGTACTTCTATAATGTCCAGGGTAATGCTATTGAGGGGAAATACAAGGCTGTTGAAACGCGTAAGTCTGAGATTTCATTTCGGTTGGTGCTTTGCTGACAGCTTCATGCTAGTTACGGACTCTGCTTGCCCCAAATCTGGTATCAAGTATGTGCCTAAGTAAATAGATGGGAAACTTGACTTGTCGGATGATTGTTAATGTCGGTCCGCACACTGGATGTGCGGCTGGAAATGGTATCTCTGAATTATGGATATAGTACATGTTGGTAGTACAGGTTTCGAACTTGTTAGTTTGACATTATGATGATCGTATTGATGGACAATAACGTTCGCTGTGTGTTGTGTGGGCTGTAGGCAACCTGCCATTGTTGGGGCAGGGACACTGAGGAGGTTGGCTATTCCATGCATGCCTCCCGGTCAACATTCCTGCCTTGTAATGAAGCTAGGCACACTGCAGGTTGAGAGACAGGTAGAGCTGAAGAAGGCGGTCATTTCAGTCGAGGTCAGATAGCGCGTTGGTGGAAGAAGCGCTGTGCTGATAGTAATCAGTGCGGTGCAATGTAGGCCACTTTGGCCTGCAGGGCGAGTAGGAATTAGTCGTCTCGGCTCTGTAGGAAGTCACGTCGGATTTGCGGCGCATGGTGTTAGAGACAGGTTAATCCGATGGACTGCAAATCATATGCCCTTAAGCCGCGCAGCACGCCTTTCCTCTTCCCTCTTGTCTTCCATCCGACCCAAGAAATCCATACGACCAATATAACCTTCCTTAGCTTTGCTGTGCATGCGCAGTTCGTCTTCGATGCCAGCTTTATCAACGTACGAGGCCCAGTCGAGCCTTGATTTCTCCACGGTATTGATCTTTGGCCCGCGTGCATCCTTGTCATCAGCAACAACCTGTTTCTCCCAGCTTTTCTTGATCGTGCCGGTCGGATTGGGATCGAATCGCGAGATTCTGCGCAGCGGTCGCCGCTGATTCCGAGCAGCATTTGCAGCAGCCGCTTCCTCTTCGGTGAATTCGACGTTTTCTCCGCCGGACAGGAACGCTTTGGCTTCTGCTGAGTGCTTGGGTACGACCTTCTCCTCGGTGATCCATTCTCCGGCGAATTTGTATGTGCGCTTGATCTTGATCATCTGTTCTGCGTGCGCGTCCGGCTTTTGTTCTGTGTCTCCGGTGTCTTGGTCCTGCGCGGTCGGTTTATCTGTCTGTTGCTGATCGGGGGCGGATTCGCTTGCTTCTTTTGTGGCGGTCAAGCCAGCCTGACTCTCGGGTGCGTTCATCTGCGCCCATAATGCGTCCACGTCGACGGTTGCACCGTCGATTTTGGCTAGGGGCTTCCGCTCTTCTTCTTGTCTGTTCAGGAAATCCCGTGTTAGACCATAAGCTAAGATGGTACATAGCATACATAGAATGCAAAAGGCTTACATGTGCTTCCTCATTGCGCGTGTCCGCACAAAGCCCCCAGTGCCGCCTTCGTCGTCGTCCATGTCAATGTCGCTATCATCTTCGTCGCTATCACGCGCTCGTTTGCCCTTGGATGTCGTTCCTTTGGACTTTTTCGTTTTCTTCTCTTTTGCTTTGCGTATCGTAGCCTCATCTCCAGAGTCAAGCTCTGCGCTTGGGATCTGGGGTTTTTTGTCTGTCTTTCGCTTCTTCTTTGCGGGCTCTGCGGGCTCTCCAGTCTCATCGGCGTCGGAAGATAAGTCTGAGTCGTCCTGTGCCGCGTCTAGCGAGAAATCTTCATCTTCAGCTGAGTCATAGGCCTCCTCATCAAGGTCCTGAATTGCTGGCACGGTAGAATCTGCCATTTTCAATGTTGTCTTCTTGTGTGAAGGTTTCTCGGGGTAGTGTAGAGAAGATAGGGCGTCGCAATGCGGAATGCGATGGGGTTCTGCCAAGGCGGTGTAATGGTGCAACCTGAAGCTCCTGCCAGAGGCTGCCTGGACAGAAACCTACGATCTACATTCTACAGACTACAGTACGCAGTAAGTGATTTTGCTTCGGCTCGGGCTTAGCTCCTTAACAGCTTCTAATGAGGTCCAATTAACCATTTGGACATTCTGATTCAACAATGAGTTCATTCTATTCCGCTCTGATCTCCCTGGATCTGATCTCTCTAAGACTCCCCAGCCATCATAGGACCGTATCTGGATGAAGCTCTGCAAGCAAAGTACCGGAATATGCTTTAGACCCATGACTCCCTTCAATTTGACAACAGAGGGGCCTTGCCAGCCCACTCTGAGTCTCCAGATATCTCGCTCAACACCCAAGTGGCCAAACTCTTTCTGGACAAGGACATCCCATCTTTCCCAGTTCCGGTATAGGTGGCGGTGACTGGTGCGTCATCGCCGTTGGTCAAGAAAGGAACTCGAACCAATGTCCACTTGAGTTGTGACGCGTCCTGGGATGCCACAAATGAACCGAGGCCGCTGAATTCTTCAAAGGCCGACCCGCCTACTATCTTGATAAGGACAATCAATGCCTTCCACTTCAGACCGCCCTGGTCCTCTGGTGCGGTGTATGAGCATGTGCCAAGTACCATTGCCCTCTTGTAGTTATTAGCCACGAGGATGGGGAATATCTCTTTCATGGCATCGGTGATGGGCTACGAGGCTCGGTCAGTATATAAGTTCTCGATTTATTTCCAGGGCTCATGTTGAGATGATAGACCATGGACTGGTGAACCGATTTGTTGACGCACCGTTCCCGTTGAATTTGACGTTGGTCCCGCGAACGAGACGAAAACCGTAGGGCCAGAAGCTGCTGCTTGTTGGAATGTAGCCACATCTTCCAGAGTACCCTTCACCACGGAGACATTCGCATTGTCGGTTATCTCAGCAGGTAGCTTGTCTGGGCTCCGCACGTAGAGGGTCAGGCTGTGACCCTGCGTTAATGCAGCCTTACAAAACTCCAAGCCCGATGGACCTAGCACACGGTGAGAAACATTGCTAGGGAATATGAGAATACTGTCAAATATAGAGACTCACCAGTAGCTCCAATGACCAAAATGTGCGTTGCCATCTCAGAGAGTGTCTAATCTAGTAGCCAATGCAGGGAGTTGGGTTATCCTTGAGATTGGACGAGCTGTTGTCGGCATTCCCCGAGGATGGTTCCAGGAAAGCGCCGGGTCTAAATAACCTTGGAACCTGCAAGCCGTTACAAGCCATTATTAAGTTTTATGGCTGCTTTAATAAGCTTGTATCCCCGGACCCAGCTGAATGGTCTAGTTAACTAGTTAGTACAAATGTCATTACAAATCTGATTATCAACCCGCACTTGGCAAATTTACCTGAGTTACCTCAGCCGTCCCCTGCAAAAGGCGGTGGATCTGATTATCCACCGTCTGCTGCTTCCAGCTATGCTGCTCAGGCCTTTTGGTGGACAAGCAATCCGATTAGGTTTAGCGCGCCAAAAGTCTGGCAGAACTGTTGGATCATATCAACGATCAGAAGTTCAGAACTCTTTCCCGAAAGCATGCAGAGCTGAGCATGAGGATTGAGATATGCAATGAGAATGGTAAATAAGAAAACCATTCAACTCCCAGGAACCCAACTCGGAGATGCCGCCTTCGTTCTCTCTATCCGATGTATCAGACTGCTTCGGGTGAGGAAGCCCCTAGGGCTAGGAGCGCAGGCAAATATTGATAGTTCGGGTTGTATCAAGAAACAAGGTGGTTGTCGAGCCAATGTGCTCCGGTGCTCCCAGATCCACGTTCAAAAAACGACCCAATCAATGACTGTGCACATGGCCAGGACTCAGGTACCCATTCCAAGCATTCCTAATGCGGCTCTGGAATATTAGCGATTGGCTAACGGAAGTAGACTGACTGGCCGAGGAATGTAACCTTTATCTGTGGAATGCGACTTTGAAGAAAGTCATGATGTCAAGGAAACACCACATCACTATCATCTACATCTTTGCCACTCTGCAAGCCTTTATGCGCTGAGGTCTTCCGCTTTAGGACGACTTATCTCTGACCGGGCTTGTGGTCCACGATGCCTACCAGGTATACGGTCAGCATGCTATACACCAATTTGTATAATTGGCACAATATCCATGGCTTGTGCATCCTGGGTCAATGTTCACTTCAGTGCCATGCCGCTCTACTGATCTTACGTCCGAAGAATCAGTGCTGTTTCCCAATGGTGCCTGGATAGGCCCCTGATCTAGTGGAACCCTATTTCCTCTCCACGTGGGGATTTGCGTCACTCCACTCCTGTCAAAGTGCTGCCAGGAGTAACACGACGTGATGGAAAGATGGGCTCAATGGTTCCATTGTATCTCCAAACAATGTAACGTCCAGGAACCAGCTTTCGAGCTTAATATAAGGCCTTATCCAATTCCCCTTTGTTGCACCCGACATCCCAGAGCTCGATCGTCACCACCAAGCTCTAGCACAGCGCAGTTTCGTTTCCCTCCCTGACCTAGTGATCCGTCTTGTTACACTACCAACATGCATTTTACCTCTCATCTTTCCCTTCTCCTCGCTACATCGGCTACCCTCATCGCCGCCCAAGATGCAAGCTCAAGCAGCAACTCACACTGTGCATCCCAAAAGTAAGCTTCCATGTACCAGAACCTAAGACTAAGCCCTTTCTAATAAAGTACAGACTAGTAGACTACTGCGTCACAGCCATGAAAAAGGGTCTCAACGAGTGTACCTCAGGCGACTGGGACTGCAAATGCTCAGGTGCTGCAAATATCGCCAAGTGAGTAAATCATTTCAGTTCATCAACTCTATCTAAGCTGTGCTAACAGGTCCAAAAAGCTGTTACGTAGACTGCTCTGACGAAGACCCGGACCGCGCCGAGGCCCAAAATCTCAGCATGAATAATTGCGCTACTGCCAATGCATACGATCAGGGATTGACTACTGTCGCTCCCACGTGGACTCGTCCCGGCTCTAACGCTGCACAACCGACGGATACGGATTTTACGTTAGCTACTGGAAGTGGCACGTCTCCTACGGCTAGCCCGACTAAGTCTTTGAAAGGGAATGAGAAGGCGGCTAGTCCTTCGGAGGGAGCGGCACCGGCACCTATGAAGGCCACTGGGGGTTGGTTGGCGCTTGTGGGGTTAGGGCTTGGGATTGCGATTTGATATGGGGAGTTCTATGGGCATGGCTATTGAAGCCCTGTGATGGATTTGGTGTAGAGGGCGATTTCGTGTCTTCTTGGTCTGGAAATCCGATGAGACTTGCATATTCCAATATAGTTCATACGAGTAGATCAAAACACCCAACGCCACATTTACACAGCGCATGCAAAAATTTCAAACCCCCAATCCACAATCGACTATAGCCACTCAGTATTTCCGGTTCAGGTCCGGGACACCTGCTTGGTAGCAATCTCCAACTTCTCCAGTTGGGCCTGCGCATCCCGACGACGAGACACATCCCGTTGAACCCATGTTCCAGCAGCAGCAGCAAGTCCCAATGAAACCTCCATTCCAAGTAGTACACATAGCATCACGAAGCCAGCGCGAGTATTGACACAGTCACGAGAAAAGTGACTAGGTGTCTTAGAGCCGCTCGTTCCAGTTTGCCACTTGCACGTCCAGCTGTGTAGGGTCTCATTCTTGCTAAACCCAGCGGGATACCCCGAGGAGGGGAGGTATATTATAAATAGGATACCGACCAGTGTCGTGACAAAGCCTGCGACGGCCGAGGCTGAGGAGTAAATGTTCAATGGCTTGATACGGGGATATGGCTGCGATGTAGGTTAGTATAAGTGGTTCAAGGTAGACAGCCGCGCATGGGATTGGAAGACTAACATATGGCAGGAGTGCAGCGGCAATGTAAACCAGGTTCAAGACAGCGACTATACAGCCGCAGGCAATAGCTGCGATTGTCGGACGGAGATCAAAGTTCAATGGCCACAGGGCGAGCCCGGCACTCGCCCACTGGGAGGTACTCTTGTAATGCTGCAAGGGTGGGGTCTCGCATGTGACGACAGCAATGGCCACGCCGAAGGTCAAGAACGATAGGCCAAGACGTATGAAGTGAATGACACGATTGCGTTTCAGGAATCTTGATTCATCCATGTCTGAAGAATAGGCATGGCCTGATCCGGTGAGGGATGAATTCGAGGTCATGGCGACGGATGAAATGTCGTTGGGTCTCGTGAGGAGATAGAGAATGGTCGAGAAGACTGTGTGACTTGACAACCTTGCCAGCAAGGATGTATTGAAAGATTGAAAAATCCCCCCAGGGACAAGGGTCAAAAAAATGAACGGCAGGTAGTATTCTCAAACAATGAACAACGGACATCAAGTGTAATATGTATATTCGTGGAAACAGAGTGATGATATTGTCTCAGGAACTACCGAACGAGCGCTAATGCCATCACAACAGGTAATTTCCAGATGAGCGCGAATCGATAAGCAGCTGAAGTACCGCATGGAGCCAAGCCCAGTGCCTCAATGGGTAATGCACTGTGCTGATTCGTTTGAGACTGAGAATTTAGATTTCTAGGACCACTCGGAATTGCGAAGAATGGGTTTGCGACTGGACTTGTACATCCCCGAAGCATAGATTGCCTGGGCCGGCGCCAAAGTGCAGACTTGGCGTACACATCAGTGAACAGCCACCAACGAAGCGCCTACTTGGCTAAAATATAGCCTTCTGAGTGGGGCAACATCCAGATTGTGTTTCAACAGTGGTTCTCATATGCTGCCCTGAATATCTTGCTTTCTTCACGATGGGACGAGCGCGGTCTGTGATAGGCGGCGTCGAAGCGCCGGGGATTACGGCAGGGGGCCACCGGCGGCAACAAGAATTTAGGAACATATGCGGAGATCCTGGCCTTGGCTTATTCGAGATACCCATGCATTTGGATGGTTCTGGACCTTTTGCCTCTGTACCTTCAGTGTTTGTATATCATTCTTTGGCCCCGAGTACGACTCCAGAGGGATAGCGGGGATTCAGACCATAGTCCGTGCAGAACAACGTTGCAGATGAGATTAGTGAGTTAATGTTCGTGAATCGATGTTTCAATATTTCCCTATTGTCGCTCATTTCAGATTGCTGACTTAGAACGATGGCTTTTCCCAGCTCGACTCCGAAGAAAAATGGAGCCAGTGGCGGGGACTCCGTCGCCAGTCGCCACCGCCTCCGGCAGAATTCATAGAAAATGGCGGGGCAAATGTGAAGATCGAACTTCCGCGTCAACTTTGAACATATCAGCCGGGATACACTGTGCAATTGGCCTTTGTTTGGACTTTTGGAATCAACGCATTGTCAAATCCACATAATGCCTCTTTCAAAGCTGCACGGAGTCAAGCTCCCTGCTTCGGCCGACTTCCATGGTACTAAAAAATTCCGGGGCGAGCGCTGATAGACGATAGATGCAGCGGGCTAACCAAAGACAGTCCACCTTCGTGAAGGTCCAATGATGGAGCTGGTGACTCCTACTATCCGCCAGGGAGGTGTGAACACCGTTTTTGTTATGGTAAGAAGATTTTTTATTTGCACGGTAACAGATGTGCTCTGAGCTATCGCTAATACACTCGATAGCCGAACCTCGTGCCACCCATCACGACCGTCGACCGTGCCTTGGACTACCAGAAGAGCCTACAAGCTCTCGAGCCGAATGTCAACTTCCTCATGTCGCTGTACCTCCACGAGACCGTCACCCCGGAAACCATCATCGAGGCTAAGAAGCGCGGCATCATCGGTGTCAAGAGTTACCCAGCCGGTGTAACGACCAACTCATCTGCGGGCGTGGTCGATTACACGCAGTTCTACCCCGTCTTCGAGGAGATGGAGCGGCAAAACATGGTTCTGAACCTGCACGGAGAAAGTCCCTCCGGGGGCGACGTGACGGTGTTGTCCGCGGAGGAGCGCTTCCTCCCCAAGCTCTTTGAGCTGCACTCCAAGTTTCCCAAGTTGCGCATAATCTTGGAGCACTGCACCACCGCTGCAGCTGTCGAGGCCGTGAAGAAGTGCGGCCCCACAGTGTCTGGTACTATCACAGCACACCATCTGTCCATCATCATCGACTCGTGGGCCGGTGACCCATTCTGTTTCTGCAAGCCAGTTGCCAAGACCCCGGCCGATCGTGACGCCCTCCTCCGCGCTGCTGTCTCAGGTAACCCCAAGTTCTTCTTTGGTTCCGACAGCGCCCCGCACCCAGCGGCATCCAAGCGTGGCGGCGAGAAGATTGCTGCTGGGGTCTTCACCCAGCCGTACACCACTCAAGTTGTGATTGATGCCTTTGAGCAGGCGTGTGACAACGGTGTCCTCAAGGAGGAGGATATCACGCCAGAGATAGTCGATGGTTTCATGAGCAAATTCGGGCGGGCCTTTTATGGCCTTCCTGAGGAGAATAAGGAGTTCATCACCATCGAAAAGAAGGGCGAGAAGATCTCAGAAATCCTTCAGTCAGACAAGATCGACGTGGTGCCCTTCAGAAAGACCCAGGAGACATGGAGCGTCTCTTGGTCTTGAGTAAATATCCATCAAATAGAACTGTAGAATCAATCATATCCCACATGAACTTCCTCCTATGCAAACTTGTTTTGCGTAAGCATGTTGGCCACGCTTTCGAGGGCGTGGGCCTCCCTGATGTCGATCCTGCGCCCTGCAACGACGGCATGGCCGTCGTCACCCATGGCAAGCTGTCCGGCTCGCTCAAGGTGGAGTCGAATCCTGCTCTCGATGTATTCCTTCCTCTCGTCTCTCTTGGTTTTTGTGTCCATTGGCACGGTTGCGTTAGGCAGGGCTGCCAATTTCGGGCGGAGCTGCTCAAGGGTTGTCTGTAACGCCGGTAGCTGCGAGAGAATAAAAGTGGTATTGGTCGTAAGAGGCGTCGGTTTGGCATTCGGCCCAGCATCGACACCAACACGAAGCTGACGTGCAGCTGGACTGGAGGTCAAGAAGGACAAGTCCACTGGTTTGTCTTCGGTCGGCTTGGACACGCCATCCACCTTCGCCGATTCAACTCTTGATAGGATAGATTGGAGTTGTGCAATGACTGCATCATTTCGATCGCGTTCTTCCTTCAGTGACCGGTTCAGTTTCTTCGTTTCGAACAGCTTCTTGCGTTGCGCATGGATAGTTTCTGGTGTCGGCGCATCTAATGAGGGTTCAAACGAGAGACCCTAGCAGGACACGCGTTAATACGACCTATCTCTCTGACCGTCCCAGAGAGTTGAAACCCAAAGGCCTCGTGACTGAATCCCACATACCTCGTAATGCGTCAAACGCACCCAGGAGAGCAAGTCCCCAGGCACCGTGAGAATGTTGCGCAGCACATAAATCTCGAATTTGTCAAATGCCTTATCGACATTAGCCTCCAGGAGTGTTTCCAGCTGATGAAGGCCATTCTCAATCTCCAGTTTCGCTTCAGGATACACCACATTGCCATCCTCGTCTGTTTCCGCGATGCTGGGACCGCTGCTGTCGTGGGAGAAACCGAGGCGTTCGGGTGGTGTATTGAGCAGTCCAGACTCCAAGCTCGATATCGCTTGGTATATCAAATTGTTAATTGAATTGATAATGTCGTCTATAAGTGACTGGAGGAGCTGTCAGCGATATGCCTTGCAAGGGGTGGGTCCTGGGGTCGCAGGTCGCGTGTGCAGCACGAGCCGGTTTGTATCGGTCTAGATCAGCTTACCAATGGTGTGTAACTGAAGTGCTCAGTGAGCAAGGAGGTCGTCGCATCATTCATCGCGAAATGATTTGCCTGGGAAGGGGACGCGTTGAAGAAGCAAAACACGGGGCTTAAATCCGCGAGCCACCGCCTTCGACAACATTCTTGGACAACCAACCTTACACAGTAAGACAGACCTTGCTGTTTGATTCAAGTACGGATTTATTTCCTTCTCTCTGGCATTTTGATGTGGCTCTTTTTCTAATTGTTTTTTATTTGTCGTTTCCAACGGATCCTCCGAGATAGTTACGTTGTACACAATTCGATGTCAGACTGGCACAGTGCCATCCAGACTTCAGTCCAGTCACCAGGTACCCGGCAGCGTTGATATCCAGCTGAGGCCCGGAAGCCCCTTATACGTGGCCGTCAGCATTGTCTAGAATCAATTACTGGACCATGGCAGATGACCATCCCCGGTCGATATTCTGTTTTCAACGACCCAGATTGTCGGGCCATTGGAAGGTTATCATCCAGCCCGGGGAAGAGACCGAACATTTTGCCCCATGTACCTGTAATCAGAAGAATCTTTCAACGTGGTTCGAGCACTCCAGGAAATCTTTAAATGCTGTAGTGGGCCTCGACAGGAACAGACAAGTCGTAGAGTAAAACCACACCTGCCTCGCTGACCTATATCGGTAAGAACCCCTTCCAGACAACCCAAGGGGACTTCCTTCTCACATCTATAGCCCGCCATGTCCCAGAGCAACCCCCTCCGAGTCCTAGTCATCGTCTCACACAGAAGTTCACAAATGACGAAAGCGCAAAACAACCCAGAAGCTCTCATGCCCAAAGCCATCCGCCTCCTGAAAACAAGACAACTTTATACCCCACAAGAGTCACACCCAACTACAAGGCTGGTGGCAGCACAGAAGTGGCGGACGAGAGTGTTCTTTGTCTTCGATATCTGCCACACAACATACGATGCCAGGCTCGGCCATCTGCCTGAACAGAACAAGCTCCCCGTTGCCGTTGTCCATCTCAGCAAGAAGAATACGGCCTATGCGGCGAACGCCTGGGTGTCCAACAGAGTGAACCGAGATATTGCTCTGTTCCACAATGCCAATGGGTTTGGCGCGGTGCCGCCTTTCGTCGAGGACCATACTGTTGGAAAGCCTCCTGAGTATGTAAACCCGAGGGATATTTCGCTCTTGCGGGCCTATTGCGTTTGAGGTCGGAAAACATAAAAGAGAAGAGAAGAGAAATGTTGCATGTGCTTTGCAGGTGTTGTGGTATCTCGATAAACAATAACCCCTCCCCTAATACATGATGAAGTTGAACCAACGCCGTACCCCCTTTGCAGGAGAGATGCAGATGCTAGAAATCCATTGTAAGCTGTGGCGCCATCTTCTCAAGATCCTCAACCTGTATCATCAATCAGTATGAAAGTCACAGCTAATTGAAAAAGCAAAGATATAGGGGGCTTACTTCAAGGAACCCGTCTCCAAGACTCGTACCCACAGCATTTCCATCTGACTCGGCCCTCTCATAAGCTGCTCGGGCAATCGCTTCCCTCACAAATACATCGACATACTTAGCCACGGCATTATTGGCATCTTTCGCAACCTTCGTCTTCTCATTCTGGAAATGATGGTGCAGCAGACGCGTGAGCAGTTTCGGCGGTACCTTGGGATCACTGGACGTCACATCCTCCTCTTGGTTTGTAGTTGTGATCTCTGCAAGGATGTAATCCGGCTCTTGGGAGAGTGAACGCGAGCGACTGCGGCTCGATTGATCGGAGCCGGACTCTGATCCAGACTCGGACTCGGCATGAGCATTCGGTGGAGACTCGGATCGCGGGCGTTTCCCGAGACTTGTGGATTTACGTTGTGTTGTGGGTTTGGTTTTTGTTTTTGATGTTGTGGATTTGGAGGCTTTGGTGCCGGTTTGCTTCGCTTTGCCTTTCGCTTTGGGCGCGGAGTCGGATGGCCCTGCGCTTGTTGTGCGACTTGGGGGTTTGAACGGAAGGCGGGGGCGTTTCTGTGCTGGTTTAGGCTCGGGCATTTTGTTGTGAGACTTGTGGAGAGGGTATTATGGGTGCTGGTCTTGCATCTAGATCGGCGAGGCGTAGTCGGGGAAATTGGGGATACTCCAACGCGGGCGCGAATCGCGCGATACAGTGGACGCGTTATCAGGTGATGAGAGGAGTCATACTTTGAATTTCAGCACAAGATTTCAATTTTCCCAATTCATTCCATTTTGCGATTCTCCTTTTCGACTTCTCGTCTGCATTAGAATTACGTACATGCCTCCTTGGCTAGTGTGGCATCCGCGACCATCTCCATTCTTAACCGACAATAAAGCGATGTCCATCCGCCGTACTGCTTTAACAGAACCACCCGGTAACACCCCCACCCTTATCCCATATTTGCCCCTGGTGAGGAGAAAGATCTTGACGCATTGAATTACCCCCTGTGCTCCTCGGAGGGAGGCTGCACCCGAATGGGTCGACGTCCACGGTTGCTAGGCTCATAGGGGTAGTACACGTTGATCCGCAGACCGATTTCATTGATCAGCCCGTGAATGATCTCCCAGGGGATATTGAAAATGCCGGTGCAGAAACGGCTGGAGTATAGGCCAGAAGGCACTTGCTCGCCGACTCCGCTATCAGGATACCGCCGGCAAAGAGTCTCCAGTTGTTCCCTCAAGTCAAGCAGAGCAGCATGAGTGCTAGTGATTATCATCTCCTCTTTATCGACGCGGGCACCAAAATCTTTCGAGGTGAAGAGACAGATTATCCAGTGGCGGCGCCGGTGGAGAGTGAAGTCGCTCTGCTGTGGTGGGATCACAAGTGCGGTGCCTAGCGGAAAGTCAACTTCCATCGAGAAAGGGCCACGCAGATCGGGGATCTTGTGGGAAACTCGGTTGTCGAGGTGGTCGAGACAATGCTTGCGATAGATCTCGTAGGCGGCCGGGTACTGTACAACGAAAGGTAGCATGCAATTAGTCCTAGAACACAATCCATCAGGATCAGTAGGGGAGATTGACTTACGCGCTCGCGAAACTGACGAGCAAGTCCCGCACCCCAGGTACCCTGGCAGTTGCATGCATCTAGATCATATGTCAGTAAGGACTCTTTTTCGATAGCCAGCCATATGGAGGGCCCTCACGGATCAGAGCAGCGCCGTTAGGGGCGTCGAAGAGATCACCAGGCGTCTCGTGAACAAATGCTGCATAACTGCGACCAGGGGAGGTCAGCAAAATTATGGAATCATCGCTATCCCGATGACCATGGGCGCTGGTAATGGCGAAATCGCCTCTTCGGTTGCCCGACATGATGACTACGATGTTGTCGTTAGAGGCAAACGAAGTTGTCAAAGTTTGCTTATAGCAAGAAGAGTAAGTAGAATTGATGGAGAGAGCCGTTAGGCATCATATGCTATGTTTCCCTCCTCTTTAAGCAAGTCTATGGCTCCCCTCCATCTACAAAAGTTCGACGACTCTTCTCCTCCAGTATAGCTCTTTTAGACAGACCACACCATTTTTATCATTCTATGATACTCAACATGAGCCGCTTCAACAGATACGCAACTGTCTAATCGCCATTACTTTTCTTATTAGGAAGAATGGCTGACTGCCTTTACTTGGAATTTGATCGTATGATTGGAAGAACGGTGATATTGGAACGAGGGACCTCACAACACCTGAAGATATTGCCCCGTAGCACCTTGGTTCATGCCCGGCGAGATGCAAAAGGGACATAATCTTTGTGGCAGTGGACTAAAGATACATATTGAGCCTGCAGTGAACGCAACAGCCATCGCCTGGTTCCTCTGCCTTGGGTTCAGGTCGGTCAATTCTCCTTCTGGGAATCGTTGAACTCTTTCTTCGATTTTCGCTCGCCCGATCCGCTCAGACGACTGAAAATATATTTGAAGCTCGCCTTCTTGCTCAGAGTTTGCCCTGGCTTCACATCTGTAGGTGGAACCTGCTCTTGCTCCCCCTTAGGCGACCTTCCTGACTCCGATCGATCTGTCGGCCTCTTGTCATCCGGCTGGTATGGGTGCCGCGAAGAAGTTTCAGCGGGATCAAAAACTGAAGGAGAAGACGGAGTGCTGGTTGTGACATCGGTCCTGGGTGAAAAGAGTGACATTGGAGCGCTGGTGCCGCTGCTCAGTTTTATGCGCCGACTGACGGATCGCGAGAGAGTTTGGAAGACTGAGGGGCTCATGCTGCTCACTCTTTCGAGACGATCGATCTCAGCCCAAGCCGTGGTCCCGTTTCTTCCCAGATTTTCTTCCATCACCGGGGTGAAGATGACTATTCCTCTGTCGGAAGTAATTCCAAGGAGTTCTTCAAGGGTGCATTGCATGTTGTTTGTAATCCGCGCGTTGACGCGTGGTGTCATCATACTTGAATGAGCACTGATCTTCAACAGGTAAGCTCCAGAATCGGATGGGGTGCCAAAAACTAGATCAGCATTTTGATCAATAGTGACGAGCATTTGTGTCTCCGGGCGGTCGTAGAGCTGGGCAAGACGGCGGACAAGTTCCGACAGTATATAATGTGTATCTTCTTTCACCTTTTAGATTAGCAGTAAGTCAGCCTCGTTAGCCTGAGAAGGAAGTCGGCATGTAGCGAACCTTGATGTTGGTCTTGAGCTCAACGACAAAAACACATTCAAAGGTGACGCGGTCCCGCGGCGAATTAGGAGACCCACGGAGTGAGAACTTGTCGTCATAGAACGATCTCTTTGTCAATGTCAGCGGCGAAACGTCTGCTGGACATCCCTGGGGAAGACGGAAAGACGAGGTATCGGGCCCGCGCGCCACTGGCGGAACATTCTCCTCTTCGGGCTTGCCCAGTTTGATCAATGACGGTTTCTTCGCCGGAATCTCTGGCAGGATGGTCGGAGATGTCGTGGCATCTGGGAGTGCCTCCAGTGGTAAAGCATTGCAGGCTGCATTAGAGGATTGCTCTAGCAGAGGTACGTTGGTTTTCAGGCGTGGCAAAGACTGTTTTTTCTTGCAAGTATCCATATTATATCCCAGTAAGCAGAACAGTGAGTTGATGAAAGTGGTAAGATGACAGTATTGACAATATTTGGGACAGTTCCCAGGTGCAAAGATGACCGTACATAAAGGGCCATCACGGAAAGTGCGGCCGAGTCCAGCTTAGGCAAGAAATGCCAATTCCTTGAACGCCGAGTTTCCACTCCAAAATATCTTGTCAATGCGCCTTCTTCGATCCCAAACAATCTCTCCGTCGGTGTGTCTGATGTATAGCACACGGTGTTGTGGAATAAATTCCTCATCGGTTGTCTCCTTCTTCCAGCTGCCCACAGTGACTTCCATTTGTCCTTCGAATCGGTCGACAAATCCAATCACATAGTCACTTGGATCAAATGCTGAATCCCAGATAATGCGATTGATGATGTCTGTAGGTAGTGAGTGGTCAGACTCCGTGGTACGAACATGGGCGTTTGAGCTGAGAACTGCTTACCACCAGCCGGACGTAATCTGTTCTCGCCTGCCTTAGGGTCAAACCTATCGGGCGAGACGTTTCGCTGGCCCGAGTTGTCCTGGTGTTCTTGGTGCTCTTGGTGCTCTTGGTGCTCTTGGGGTGATCTTGGGGACTCCGATGGGACCGGATAAGAGTCCTTTGTCGTGATGCTATCGGCATCTTGTCGGCTCGGAGTATCATTCAAAGCCATCGTCTTTAGTCAATTGGAAGAGGCCCAGGAATTTTTTGGTGTGTGTTTTCCTTTTGTTCATTGTTGCTGGCCTGATATATATATCATCCATGGAATCTAGCCGGGCCATGCTGGAAAATCTCTAAACAATCCCGTCCCCTGCTAGATCAGCCTCGTGGCACTTAGGTCCGAGTGCGCCTAATGATTCACGTTCAAGGGAGCTAGTATATACTAGCGCCTAAGCACCAATAGTTGGCTCATCCCATGGGATGGCAGTGACTCAGAATGCAGGGGTCTTCCCGGAAGCCATACCCAGAGGGTGGTTATTTGTGACTCATCCCCCATATGCCGACAATTTCTCGTATGAATGGATATTGAGTGGTAGGAAAAAAAGGAAGAAGGGGAAGAAAGGGAACTAGTTATGTCCACATCAAGGTGCTAACCTAAAAATTCAACTTGGACAATGAAAGGGCAAAAGAGAAAAAATGAAACTCCGATAGGGGGAATCGAACCCCCGGCTGCCGTGTGAGAGACGGCGATGTTAGCCACTACACCATATCGGATAATTGCTTGGTAAAGATTAGCTCTATGCAATGAAGAGCCTTGACGCAAGCGGTCTTTGTCCGAATGCGTTCCCGCGCGATAAGTCTCCCTGGCCCCCTGTATGTTCGTCGAATCATCGTTTCTTACCTCCTCCGAAGGTTGACCTGGTGAGGCGGTTTTCTAATTCACCCGCATCCCCGAGCTTCGCCACATGCATTGTTCCCCGCGCGACTAGGCAGGCCCCTCATGCAATTTGCACTGCTTCACTCGCTCTTCCCTATTTCCGTTGCTAGTCCCGCTACAATCGCACCGAGCCAAAGGCTAGCTAATCTGACTTATTGGATTACACTGATTACGGAAGGGCTAGGTGGCATCGCTCTGTCAAGATCAAAATGCCAATAACCTCCTCTTTCACCTTCCACGTCGCATACAACGGGAAGAGGTACTAAAGCAACCCTGGCCAAGCCTAGTGGCCCCAGAGCAGGGATGGTAAACGCCTGGACAATATAGTGCCTGACGCATTAGCATTGGGGCCCCTCTGGACTGTTCAAACTACATATAAAGGGTGTGATCAAACACGTCACATGTCAGTAATCAACTGGACCTTGAAGATTGTAGTGGGGAGGTGTGATCATTGGTGGCATAAGACTAGGACTCACGGGGCTCGTTGCTTTCTCTTTCCCTTGTTGGGCCTGGACCTAGCCCTCGTAAGAAGAACTTGGGCATCACGATATTCGGGTTGTTTGACCATATATAGGTCAATATCTTTCCATTTCAGCGCATCATTTTCATTCCTCCTCGTAACAGGAAGACAATACAAGGGCTCCAGGTTGGGCTGACGTCGAGACCATCATTCTCCGCAGGGTATTCAATTGAAAAAGAACCCGAACCGCGGCCCGTGGGAAAGGCTATATCGCAAGCGGCGACTAAATGCCGCGTAGCAAAGAATACCTCATTGATGCTGAAGGGCGGCTGTTATTTCGAGGTTTTGTCAAAGGTCGTACTCTATAGCCATTGATTGGGCCAGCTTCTCAAGTGGGTAAAGGACTAGGGGTCAGACTGTAGAAATCATACCTAACTAACTAATGTCCTTTCCAAGTTTATAAGGAAGGCAATGACCTCTTTCATCCATCCAGTACATTCTGAAAAAACGCAAAATCGGTCATGGAACCCGACTTATAGTTTATATCGTGCTCATCCAGATACCACTCGAAAAATCCTTGAATAATTCTCAGCGTGATATGCGAACGCCTTGACATCATTGGAGCGGTTGATATTCCAAGGGCCCCACTGCCTGATCAGAGGAAAGCCCTCCCCGTTGTCGGGCTCATTTATATCCAGCAGGAACTCCTGATATCGGTCATTGCGGACGGCCATTGCGATATATAACCGGTCACCGTCCTGAGACACTAGGAACGCCCTAAGCTACAAATAAGCAATTGATTTATTTCTTATAGTAGAGATGGGTGATCGCAAAGTAAGTAAACTTACCGGCTCCTTCGCAGCCCCCTAGGGGCGGCGTGTGGAGAGCGGCGACCAACTCCGCGGCTTCCTGCCAGAACACATTAGGGGCGTGGTACTCGCGGCGTCTGGCTTTTGCCTCCAAGATGACTTGCGTTTGGGACGTCAAGTTGGAGTAGAGGAACCCGTCAAGCATGCTAACCACGGCTGATTTCCGGAACCGTGCAGTGAGGCTGGCACGCTGCGGTGTCCATGTGGCGTGCACATTAGGGTGCTTCATTGTGATGGCCATGAGTAATGACACAAGCGAGGGATTTACGACTTCCTCGTTGACTTGTCCGAGGCCATTATGGCTGCTGATGACCTTGCTCGCCTCGCGCTGTTGGCAATAGGCAATATCAGCATTGATAAATATTTCTCTAAGCTTGAGTCTTACAGTGCCCAATGTGCGGTATCTTGGGGGAACAAGCGGGATTGCGTGAAGCACATAAGAGTAAGTGTTCGTGACATGTTGATCTCGAAAATCCCTATATCCGGGCCCTCGGGGTGGGAGTGGTCGGGTTGCTCAGGCTGCCTAGATACTGTTGGAAAGGCTCGAATGTTGGTAGAAAGCTCACAGCTTGTTGGTGGAACTCGCCTAGACCGAGCTGGTCCCGAGCGTCGACGATATCGCACTCCTTATCCCACAGAACCTTCAGTAGAAGGTACTGGTCGTGGGCCTCATGGCTGATCTTGGACCCTGAGCGCAGCCTGGCCCGCTGGTGAATCGAATTGGTCGATATTTGGAGTCCCGATCGTCCTGAAGCCGCGAGGCTCGCCACGGTGAGACTCAATATAACTGACTGGACATAGTTCAAAGAACGTGGATAAGATAACGTTGCTGGGTGGTAGTTACCATATCCAGCCTCCCGATTGTCCTGAAGCCGAAGCCCGCCACGGCGAGGCTGGATGTGGTTAAGTGAAAGTGACTTAAAGGTGTGGGACAACGAAGTGGATGAAGTCGAGTCGATGGAGGAGGGTAGCAAGCCATGGAAGGGTCAAAGCAACTTGAAGGTTTGAGGAAGGTCGAGGCAGCATGGCATGGAGTTGAGGGAGGATAGGGATAGTGGTCAAGGTAGAGCGACACGACTCATCACAACAAACATTTCATCATGTGTCACATGCCGTGGCATCTTGTCATGTGGAAGGTCCCTAAGGTAGGTGGCCTGAGGTTGGGAGGTACTTATGTGTATATGGTACCTGAGGAATGATGGTGCCTGAGAGGTATGATGCCTGAGGAGGGATGGCAATGACGAAGGAAAAAGAGGAAGAGATATGGAAAAGGAAAAGAAAAAAAAGAGAGAAGATGAGCAGGAAGGGGTATTTAAACCTTTCCCCTGGCTGGAAAAGGACGAGGAGGGAGGAAGGAACGTGCTTGTGCCTTCCTTATTTGGAAAGCAGTTCTTCTTTGGATGGGAAGGAGCGTGGATGGTTCCTTCCCTCTTGCCAGTTGACAGAAGGCTTGCCAGTTGACAGGAAGCTCGCTATCACCCGACTGGAATTCGGCACGCACAAATAGATGCTGACAACTGGACAGAATATCTTTTCTGATATCCTATTTAGAAAGGAGCTGTACATACGTCCTGTTCGCTATGCTGTCAACATTTGGATTGAAGCTCGAGAGGAATTGAGTTCCTGTCCAGATATTTCACAGGGTCACCACGAGGATAGTACTTTATCTCAATATAGTCGGATATGCCCTGTGATAGGGATTCGGCAATCCGTGGAATATTTCCAAGAAAACCATGAATCAGAGCGTCGCGTAGTAGGTATCCATGGATGGGTTGCAGATCTTCTTCGCTCTCACTACGGGAACATCGGTCCCTCATGTATGTCATGGTTACCCGGTATGCCTGCAGTCTATCTATATTTATCCGAACTGCCCGCTCTTTCACTAGGTCTCTATCTCTAAACGAAGGAGGTCACCGTAAACTGTTCTGGAGGGAGCGACTTTACCAGATGTTTTATGACCGGTCAATACGCATCCTAGCCGGGGTCCGGGAGAATTTGTCCGTTGATTCCAACCTGCTATCATATTGGCGCTAGTAACGCTCATATGTTCAAGCAATTGGAGCGACGATAAACGATTGAATTGACGATAAAGACGATGAAGATGCTTGAAGATAAGAGTCCCTCTGTTGAACAGGCAGCGCCCAAATACATGAAGCCCAACGAGCAAACGAACGAGATCATGTGCCACGAGTCCACCAGATTCGACATGGCCATGCTTATTCCAGATCAGCCTCATCTAGCTGATATAACTCCCTTCCCAGCTCCCCATTCACTCGATACTTCTCACCAGTCTTTCCGTCCTCCCATAATTGCATAGGAAGCGACAACTGATCCCATTCAACGGCAACATCAGCAAATGTCTGCTCATCGAATTCTGTCCGGGTCTCTTGGACAATATTCCTCTTCCCATCATAATCGATTAACCGTAGCATATCTGTTTCAAAAGCTTCCTGATCCGCAATAGCAAGATAGCCCTCTGAAGCTATTCGCCGAAGGTATGCAAACTCTCTTTCAATATAATTATCACGATTCGCCGTCCATTCGTCGCTTTGTTTGAGGGTCGGTAGTCTCTCCTTAAAATCCTGTCTCTCCCGTGAGATACTTTCTGGGTCTGGCAGGCGGCTATAACCATTCAAAGGGCCGGCTAACTCTGGCAAGATATCGAAGACTTGCCACCACTGGTCACCAAAATTGAAGAGTTTGGGATTATCAAGAAGTGCCCACCAGGCTGTCCTCTCCTCGTGGAGCTCATCGGACCCTACTAATTCCGTGATCTTGTGGTTGTCATCGGCATTGTAGTGGGTGCGTAACAAAATCAACTGATCATTATGACACCCCCAAATCCTCCACGCTATCTTCCGTAGGTCATCAGAGCGCCAGGGGCGAAGGATAATGTCAATTTCATAGGCCCTAGGTGACAGTGTTTCGTAAGTGTCCGAGGTATGACCAGTAGGGTCCAGTTCCTGCGGAATCTCATCTAGATCTAAGAACTGATGGATCAGTCGGAGGCGCTGGTCTCCAGTAGGCTCAGATGAGGAGTGATCCCATTGTTTCTTTATAGATATTAGCCACGCAGGGGAAACAACAACATTGGCGCAAGACACTCACGATCAAGTAATGCTCGACGGGTAACTGGCCCCATTGCGGAAGGTATGCCTTATCCATTACTGTCATGGGCAACAAAACAGAGCTCTGGACGGTAGATGGAAAGGCCCTGCCTGTCCAGCACGGGGAAAATGACACGTTAAACAAACACTATTTTGCACTGTTTGCATGTAGTGATCTCAGAACTGATTAGTCATCAAAGTCCGCCCCTGAAGTACATATAAATAAATAAAAACCACCACCTTGTTAATTCCTACAATTGTTGACGGTACAATATCCTATACGGTTCAGAGATTCCCCTGCTTAATACCATAGACTATACAACACTTTGGATCTTACGTTTAGTCTCGCGGTTCATAGCAGCAATCAAAACAAAGGATCAGAATACATTTCTATACTACTAGCACTATTTTGTCCTCCTATTCATGGTCGTCCTCATCCAGCATTGGCACACTTTCCACTTCCCACCCAGCAAAGGTGCCGATACTTCGCTTGCTACTACTACTGGGGTTCGCAAACTTCACCTCGCACCTAGCCATGTTGAAGCCGACATTCCAACCTGTGAGGGGGCTACCGTTATTCCTTCGGCAAAGGCCATTATAGCCGTTTGGCAACTTATATACGTTATCCTGGCCAAAATGGTTAATCGCGCAAAAGATGGCATCCATCCCTGATGGGCCACTGTGGGTCGTCTTTTGGAACTTGTGACTCGTCGCTCCCCACCACGTACTACCATCGATAGTGCTTGGGTCTTGACGGATGAAGGATACTTCGTAGTCCTGTTTAAACACCCAGGATATTTTATCGTTGTTCTAGTTAAAGTCAGAAATGTTGTTTACCTCTCTGGATATGAGTTGGTGACACTTACTCGCGTGGTGACTCCGTCAGGCAGGGGCTGCTTTTCGGGGTATTCCTTCAGTCTCTGCTCGTATTGCGAACCTTTAGATCCGTGCTGCCCAGGTTTTGTCCATGCTGCGGGTTGGCATTAGTATCTTTTTAAAAGAAGACTGAGTGAAAGATAGAGTCATACAATCCTCTCTCCAATCCTGCCAGAAGTCGCCGCGGTCGTCTCCGTCTTCCCTCTCAGGCTCAAGCTTGGCCCAGTTTGATTGCATGTATCCTATCATCCCTATAGGAACCAATCAGCAAAGTCCTACAAAGGTGACCAACAGACCATGACGTGACTTACGAAGACATTGCCCATGCCAGTTATTCTGGTAAGATGCCACGCAGGTACCTGTGCGAGCGTCACTAGCGAGATAGTCGCCGCCTTGCTCGGAAGATTTCCAGGGGAACTCGTCGCACTGCAGCTCCAGCTTCTTATTCCCCTGGTGGTCTCGCAAGTCAGTAGTTGCCTGCGTGCAGGTCCCTGATTTACATTGTGCGTTATATCGTGCCTCCTTCCTTAATTTGTCATTCGAGAAGGTGAATAGCTTCTGGCGTTTATTGTCAGGGATGTTCAGCACGGGCGTACAGAGACCGGTAATAGCATCCATTTTGTCATTTTTGCCCTGTTCAATAAAGTCGTTGAGGAAGTCGCAGTTAACTGTCCTCAGTCAGCAACGATAATCGGAAAGAATGATGGACTTTTTGTTTAGGGAGGGTTGGTTAAGGCTGGGTTGGCTTACATCGAATTTCGGGCAGCCGAACGTCTCCACTGGTGCCCGGGGGGCACTTGAGGTTCTGCGTAAACTCTGGAGCATTGGGGCCATCTGGAATCATCAGTAACTCAAAGCGCTGGGACACTTTTGGAAGCCACTTAAGAGGGCGACTTTTCACGTACCGATATCCATTTCATCACCACGTTTGGACAAACCCGAGGCGGAATCAAGGTATGTAGGGATAGAGCCGTTGGTCAACGAGCCGACCTCGACAAGATTCTGGTGCAAAGGGCCATCGATGGCGGCCTCGCGCTTTGATTTAGCTGATGACGACATTGGGATTGAACCCTTCTTCTCGTACAGCTTGAACGTCTTACGCGGGTCGTATGCCAGTCGAGGCGCTAGTGCCCAATCGATGAAGTTGAGAATTTGGGCCGTGGCCTTGTACCCGAGATTGTAGAAGAGGTACGCTCCGAAGCTGTAGTTGAACTCGTTACCAGTCGTGTCATAATCACCGTGAGCCTGGAAGGATAAGTCGCCCATTACGTAGCCGGTTGACTGCGCGTCCATTAGGGTAGCACCGCCGACGAGTTTCCCGCCGCCGATTTTGATACCAACATGTGCCTCCGGTGTTACGATAATGTCGAGTTGCGCGTCCAGAGCCACACCTGCTTCAAAGACTGGCTCAACAGAACCAGGAGCGGGCGCCTGTACGTCACTTTGGAGCCCTAGCAGTGTCTCATACTTATCCTTTGCATCATCATTCTGCGGCCAGTAAACCTCCGCCTTCCCGAAGGACAGTTGTGCTCCGGCAGTCGCCTCGCCATGCAAAGTTACCTTGCCTCGGATCTGGATCGATGTCAGTTTATATGCATATCTACTGGGAGGTTTTAAAGTCTTACTTCGCCATAAATGTCTAGTGTTGGTCCGACTGCCGCAATTCCCTTCACGGCCAGTCCAGGATAGGAAAGGGTGTCAATGATCTTCTTGCGGTCGGTTGTTGTCTGCATCTGCGCATTTCCCTCGATGTGGAGTCCGAGATAAGCAGTTGGATTCATTCCGAAGTAAGCAAACGTTTCGGGCTTGCCGGGGGGGGATGAAGGTGGCGGATAAATAGTAGGCATAAGTGGCATCCATCACGAGGTCAGCTTCCAAATCCATCCGGAGGTTAGCTGAGAATGTCTGGCCGGGACATCCCCATTGCGCCCGGAACAAATTGATGGTCTTGGAGAATCCCAGTTCGATCACGCCCAAACTGGATTTCTTTCGTCTTGCAGCGTTCCAGCCTCGAGCTATCCGTATACCTACACGCCTTTGCCAACGGCGACCACGATGGTATCCACGCCAACAGGCGCAACATCGACCACGCCACACCGACTTGTACTGGCCACACCTATATATCGATCGAAGGGGATACTTGCAAGTCAATTTCTAAAGCTAACTCTGTCAGTACCGATCAGCTTATCAAGGTGAATAAACTTGACTATTCATGCTCAATGCTCGCTTCTGGGACGCCGCTTTGCATCCAAGACACCTGTACTGTGTTTACAGTCCAGCAGAATCAAACATGCAATGATATTATCAAAGCCCAGCCATTTTGGATTGGTGCAACTGATAGGATGGAATCCGTACGTTAGCCTACCTTCGACTTGACTTTTTGACAGCGGACTCACCAAGCATTCAGAACAATACACCAAAACTGCGATAATCTTGATTCGATGGTGGGAAGAAGTATTTGCATATCGTAAGTCGTGTCCCAATGGCATGGAGCTATTCTAATTGAAATAGGCCCCCAGGAGGAGGAGAGTTCAGCCTCCCCGACAGCACAAATAAAACATCCGCCGGGCTTCCGTCTTCTTTAATTACCTCACGGGTACCAGGAACTCCGGTAACCACAATGGATAATATCACCACTTCATGGTATTCGCCTATCATTGATCCAAACTACACGCCTTCCATTCCCACATTCACGCCAAACGCCACACTCTCAAGCCTTCTCGCTGAACGAACCAAGTACTGCTGGATTACCGCCGAAGATAAGGATAACGGCTTTATCCCAGAGGATAATCTATCGGATAACTGCTATTCGCTTTACGAAAGTTATTGTGATTTGGGCCCTACAGACCCAGTTCCGTCCCCATCCCCGAGCGCCATTCCCACAAGCTGCACGCATACCTCGAGAAGTGCCAGCACAACAGATAGCTCTCCAGCAACAACCACCACTTCTGGCATCGCCACTCCAACGCCCACGCAGCCAAACATGACAAAAGACTGCACCAAGTTCCATAAGGTGGTTGACGGTGACAACTGCGCAACGATCTCGAAGGAATACGGGATCTCACAAGCTGATTTCCTGACATGGAACCCAGACGTGGGAGCCGATTGTAAAAATCTGTGGCTTGACAATTATGTCTGCGTGGGCTCGACACCGACGTCTACTAGTGGTACCCCTCCACCCACATCCACCAGTCCAGGCGTGGTCACTCCAACCCCAACCCAGCCAAATATGACAAAAGGCTGCACCAAATTCCATATGGTGGTTGACGGTGACAACTGCGCAACGATCTCGAAGGAATATGGGATCTCACGAGCTGATTTCCTGACGTGGAACCCAGATGTGGGAGCTGATTGTACAAATCTGTGGCTTGACAATTATGTCTGTGTGGAGGCTAGCCCAAGCTCTAACCCCAGCCCTACCACCACACTGAGCCCTTCACCGACCTCTGAGGCGACGCCGACGCCCACCTTGCCGAATATGGTCGATGGCTGTATTCAGTTTCACAAGGTTGAGGATGGAGACATATGTGCAAGTATCGCAACGCAGTACGGGATCTCACAGGCCGACTTCCTCGCGTGGAATCCCTATGTGGGAGATGGCTGCAAGAATTTGTGGCTTGGTTACTATGTATGTGTGGGTAAGCAGTAGTGGTTTGTTGCGGTCAGGAAAGAACTGTGTTCAGTATGAGGAGCAAGTCTGTTCAATTGACAGTTGTATTGTACTATTTCTAGAGTTTTCTAGTAGGCTGTTTTACAACTAGAATATAGGGACCTGTGAAAACGACGCCGAAAATGACAGCCTCCGGCGCCAGAAACGGCCGCCTTTCCACCCGTAACTTTGGACAGCGAGCCGCTGCTTGACCGCCCAGTGCCTTGCACCGCCCGCTATTCTGCACCCAACCAGCACTATTAGTTATCCACCTTTCGTCCTGTTGTTGGCGCTTAACTTCAACGATTATTCCCCCCGTTTCCACTGGCGACTAAACGACGCCGAAAATGGCTCCCTTCTACCTCCAAACCAAAGGCCCCCTCCTCTTTACCTAGCCTAGTTGAGCGGCTATAAGATACTTCGCCTACCGTCTCCCTTAGGGGTCTTTCAATAACCTTCTTATCCCACCTCCGTGTTACGCGTAGCCGACTGGTCACTGTGAGTAGGGCCGAAAGGGTAATACTTGCCTAGTCCTACTTCGGGTTCTAAGAGTATCTCTCAATCGTACCGTCGCTATACAAAGCCTTACTGCGGGTTGGATCCTGTTGAGCTTCTTGCAGAACGTGCCAGAAGTGCGCGCCAAGTCAGTCAGTCACTAAGTATTGCTACTGAGTGAGCTCCCCTACTGTCAGCCTATGTAGGTGTGTGGATGTATATGCTTATATGTGTGTGTGTGCTTTGTTGAGATGTGACGGACCCACTTTTCTTTACCCCTCGTTAGATGACGAGTTCCTTCCGATTAATTTTACCCGCAGAAAAACCCCTCTGCATACCCCTCTTCAACAGAGAGACTGACCATGGCCTAATTGGCTATTTGACCAAGGATCATAACACCTTTTCTGCACATTTCCATTCTGCATTAAGATCTATCAGATTGTTAAGATCTTTACACAATTTCCTTGCTGCCTAAACCACTGCGAATCGTGTATTTAAACGCCTCGTTTACACCATTGTTTAGCCAGCAGTTCAATCGACTTTATTGTTCTCAAGACCTTCTTTCCTTTCCTAGACAGTAGGATCCTATGACCAAGAGGAAGCTACTGCCTAGTCCCCTTTCGTCCTATATGGATCAATACCCGGTACACTAGGGTCTGTCACCTACTTATAGGTTGGGTTGTCTTAAGGTGAACTGTGAAGTGCAAAGTACTAAGGTAGTAACCAAGTAACAATGTGTAATTGATCGCGAAGAACTAAATATATAATGGTAAAAGAGTGTCCTTATATATTCAGTCCTTCCTATTAGGCGATAAGTCGGGACTCATCACTCGATGCTATCCGGGCTTATCACTAGATGAGTTAAGCTCATCGCTTAATGAGTCGTTACGTGACTGCTTGTTCGGGTAGTTCGTTGTGCTAGACAATATCTGGTATATATGCGGCTATACACACAGGATATTGTCCGCCCTAAGGATACGGTGTCCTTGATCACCCTAATCGATCACTGATCGTGGTTATGTAAGACGCCCTCTTACACGGACGCACCTTTTCTATGTGATCTGGTTCCGGGGAAGCACATGTGTAATGCTTCTTATTAGCTGCACGTGACTCCTATAGGTGTCGTCCTTGCGGGTTTGGTTGGCTGTCGTTATCCCCCGCGGGTTTCTGATGGTCTGCCTTGTAACATTATCCCCCCTCTTCTTACGCCGGTGTCCTTAGCGGCTATAAGTAGCGTAGTCCCTAGTTCGCTCGTGCGTATATTTCTGTTTTCTTATTTTCTTCGTGATATCGTCCCATCGTACTAACCATGTCTTCTAAGGCTTCTGTCCGTAAGAATGCCTTGACTCGTCGGATCGAGGACGAAGGTTTTCGATCCGCTATTCCTTATGAACGTTGCGTTCGTCTAAAGAGAGTGTGTATCCGTGCCGACTATTCCGACCGCTGTAGTGATTGTGTCCGTGGCGGTGGAGGAGTAAAGTGCACGATATCAAATCCTACCTTTACCGATGCCGAATAGAGACGGTTAGTAAAGTCTTAAATTTCCTTGGAGGAGGAGGAAGAGGCCATCCTTCTTTAGCAACAAATAATGTTGGCTAAGTTAGCCCGTCTTCGAAAGCAAAAACGCTTATTATAAAAGCGTGCCGGTGATTTTATTGCTCCGGACTTTAAGGAAGTTGCCGAGTTAGAAGAGCTCGAGCGTCGCGAGGTTAAAGAGCGCGAGCGCCTCGAAAAAGAACGTATTAAATCTAAACGGAAAGAATATTGTTAAGGGTGTACTACTTGCAGGGTAGGTGGCCTGTCAACTAGGTAGGAGAGTAAAGCACCAAGTCAAATTGTCACAGAGACTGTTTCTTGAGGAAGAGCAATCCCACTTCGTCAAGCATCAATTTAAATACAACAGTTTTAGTGCAAACAATAATCAAACACGAATAGAGGGGGAAACCATGACGAAAGGCCACCGCATGGCCAACGTATGGCACATACTATAGACGTGGGCTGTATGTAGTGTGGCTATCTCGAATCGCTGCCGGGGGGTTACCGGTTGACCGCCGGTTGGCCACCGCCTTGGCAGAATCCTCGGCCCATGGGTGCCTGAGGCACCAATATCAACATGTGAATAGCCTCATCAAAATACCATAACATTAGTCTTTCTCGTTCTCGTTTCCTCCTGATTTAGTTATAAAGGGAATACTTAATATTATAGGCAAAAAATGCATAATTTATGTAGTCACGGGCCTTAGTATATATATTACGTTTGTAACCTAAGTTAGGGCCCCGGACCTAGGCTGGGTTACCTAACTGTAACCCGGACCTAACGCTAGGTCGGAGTCTTCGACCTAAAACCCAACCTAGCCCGGGTTGGGTCCGGGTTGGGTCCGGGTTATATTGGGTCGTGCGGAAGTCTAGATCCACATAGGACGTTAGGATGGCCAATCAAGATAGAATCTCCTCTAGCGAATAGGACCAATCATGATCGGATTGACGGTCTTCTAGTGCGTAGGATCTTCTCTATGAAGTATTGATGGTCAAACGAGATCAATAGGATCGATTGAAAAGTGTATTGAATCTGAACTGCTAAACTAATGAGTGAAAGGGTGCTTAAGTACACGATTAAGGCAGTTTAGGCAGCAGCGTTTTGATCAAATCAATGATATAATTGATGATTCGATGAATTATCAATGATTCGATGAATTGATAGATCAGGAAGGAGCTGGATGTTATGATCCGTGGCCTAGATTGGCCGATTCGTCATATAAAACTTCTCTGTTGAAGAGATAGATGCGGAGGGATCTTTCCGCGGGAAAAAGGATGGTCCGGTCCGGGCCGCAGGGTGGCTGACCGATCAAGAAGCTCACATAGCCACACACATAATCTGACACCTATACTAGTAATAAGTATATATATAATATCAAGATTAAATTATATTACCTACTGTAGTGGGGGAACTGCTGACGGATTTTGGTGCCATTTTTGATTAGTTAGGTCGCCGGTCCTTAGGGATTCGGCCGTGTTGGTCTCTTTGGTCCGGAGTACTAGTTTGGAGGATTGTTTTTCATGTGGTCTGATCGGCTTCAAGACACACACTTCATGGAGATAGATATGCGCATGCCACACATAGCAGGGTAGCTCTTTCTCTATGCAAGATAGTCATTCATTCATTACCAATTCACGTTGTTTTCTCTATTCTTTTGGTCATTGCAGTTTTCCCGCAAACAACGGCTTGGCTAGAGTACACCTTTCATCCTGACTAGGCCGAGTCCTTGTTGGTAGGGGTGTTGTGTGATCTCTGCTTAGTCCTTGTTGGGTGGTTTCCTTTTCTCTCTTGGTTGCCTATCTTTTTCGTGCCTCGACCTGTCTGTCCCACTCAGACTGCCACAGTGCATCCCCTCGTTTACTACTAAGGATACAACGGTTTGACTATAGCGACGATTCCTCTAGAAATAAGTCTACCGGAGACTTAGTAGGGTACCGAAACTCCCGCTTCCTCTCTCGATTTTAATATAGTAAAGATTAACCCTCGGTTAATAGCGCCTAGTTCTATTATAGTTATAGAGCTATTAACCTACCCGCTAAGCACTAAAATTTTCCCCTCCTCTTCTAACTATTCGTTAACTACCACCGATTTAAACTTAACGGAGCTACACGGCGAGTGACGAGGAGAGCAGCAAAGGTGGTAAATCTAGATCCTAGTACTCAGCTTCCATCATAGCATACGACGCGCTCGTCTCGAAAACGCGGGCGACCAGAAGAGCAGCCTAGTGGGGAGCAGAAGGGGAAAGGGCAACCAGGTAGAATAGAAGCGTCTACTATCAAATCTACGCCTCGTCGGTCAAAGCGATTAAGAGCTCGGTGATTCGTGGCGTTGGATTTTTTTTCTCTTTTTTTCTTCTTTCTCTTTTTTTTGCATTCGGTTCCATAGAGTATAGATCCTACCTCTAGTTCAATAACTCGAATTTCACCATGGAAGCCGTTCTTCCGCGTTGCATTCTTCGCCTGCTTTCGGTTGGCTGGACAGCTGAAGGCTACTGTCACGTAGAGGAGCCACAACGCGCCATCTTAGCGCCCACCAAAGAGCTCAACGCGCAAAAGACCACGGTTTTCCTTATGAGAACACGGTTTCTTGAAAGCGTGTATGCCTACCAGGCTGAACATACCAGTCAACTTAGTTATTTCTGTTTTGGGAGGCTGGTTTGGCCTATGCTCGCATAGTTGACTACTTTATCCTTTGCTGCTATTTAGACCGCGCTTATTGGCATTATGGATATATTAGCAGAGATCAAGTACAAATCCTCTTTAAAAGAGTTCAGACCCTCCATCTGGCTAATAAACTTTGCCTTGAAATGCGAAGTAATAAATGGGCCTGCAGGAGAAATAGAGGAACGGAACTAAGAGAAGAATAAACGCTCACAAGGAATCACATAGGTGAGTGAACAAGTGGAAACTCAGACGATGGTCTTCTTCCAAGAATGAGATAAAACTGGAACACCGTATGAAAGTCTTTAGGTGCAATGATACATAGTGAATCATTAGCGTATAGATGGTGCTTATTCCATTGGCAACCCGTAAAAGCTCGACGATTGCGTCCGCTTGTTCTGAATCCAACGGAAATTCTGAGAGAGTCCAGTAAAGCTTCTGCAAACTCACATCTAAAGTCGCAAAAATGATTGACGTGATATCACTGGTTCTCATGCAATAAGGGCATAAATGCAATGTCCCCTCTTCCGGGGCCATATCGTCACCTCACATAGTATTATGACAATAATTCTACCAGAAGTCAGTTTGTGATATTTAATGGGGAAGTTCTGCTAGCGTGTCATATCTGTATTACATTCCGTTTAATGACCCTGAGTCACGCTACTTTGAACAGTTGTATCAAGGATATTACAGAATCCTTGCAATAGTATAAAGAAAAGAAAATATTTTATGATAGCAGTTAGTGGCGAACGGTTCGGCGATATGTATAGCGTATTTCACAAATCTCCCACAACGACTTCATCTGGGGATGGTTGGGTTAAATTTGCTTCTTAACAACCTCGTGTAGAAATCCCATATTTTTCCATGCCTGAATGTATTTGAGGACCAACTCACTGCTCACGCGGCCCAACTCCCTCAAGGTGGGTGAGTGCGCTCGACTTCTGGTGGTATCCAAGATCAAGCCGCCGCAGGACATGCGCACAAAATTCTGCGACAGGAAGTCCGCCAGAGGCTTGGCGGGATTATCTTTGATCGACCCTTCGAAACCTCTGACCGCATCCAGCCAGTCTTTAAAGGGGATGAGATTGCCACGAGGCATACGAAGAGCGTCACTCAAGATCTCAATCATCTCCCTCCAAGATTGCCGGGTGGGATTCTCAATGTGATAAAAAGGATCCGAGGTCCGTGTCTCGGTCACAAGCAGTAGCTCACCCAGGGTGGCGGCAACATCGTTGACAGGGCACCACGACAGTTCCTAAGATTGAGTCAGTCGAATTGCACAAAGACAGGGGATGCGGAGTTTCGGGGTGAATTGCACATACACCATCAAGATCTGGGAGGATCTTCAAAGTCTGCGACGACTTGGAAATGAAGGCCAAATGCTCGACCGGATTCCAATATCCGCTGTCCCGCGATCCGGCAATTTGTCCAATTCGCACCACCATTGGCCGGAAGGCCCGCGGATGATTATGCAGGGTCTCATCTAACAGTCTTTCACAGACGAGTTTGGCATCGCCGTATCCCACTGGCAAAACTGAATCTGCGGCCATTCGCTCCTCGGGCGCGAGGGCACGACCGGACCACAGAGGGTAGTGTCCTACTGTGGCTATCGAGGAGATGAACTGGAATGCGATTTGAGAGTGCTGCGTGGAACTGGCTTGAACAGTGAAATCAATCAGATTCCGCATGACCTGGAACTGAGGGGCGTATGCTTCAATCGAGCGCGTGAGGCTCATAGGCCACGCATTGTGGATGATGTGTGTCACCGACGTTGTGAGATGAGAATACTGTGCGGAGGACAGTCCCAGCCTTGGTTTTGTCGTGTCAGTTTCGAGGACTTCGAGTTTGGACAACGCGGTCGAGTCCAGATGAAGACCACGGGATTCCAGGGGTTGTCGTTGACGGGTGAAGCGTTCAACACTGCTATATCGGTTGACACAAATCACTTTCTCCACCCCGGGCAGGGAGGCAAAATACGCCACGAGATGCGAACCCAGACTCCCTGTTGCGCCCGTCAGGAAGATGACACTTTTCTCCGATGACGATCTAAGCCGCTTATCTAGACCACTGGAACCAGTCGGCATGCTGAATCCAGTGGAATACTCTTTGATATAAGCATCGATCACATCTTGGCGAGCAGTAAAGTCAGTGGTTTGTCTGTGGAGCAGTTGAAGGGGTGTATTTACTCGACCAGAACCCGATGCGAGTCCAATGATAATGCGTTGAATGGCTGCTTCCGGACGACGTCCATCGGACCATTCGACTTGCGAAAAACCAACCGATCGCATGGTGCTTTCCCACTGTGATGGAGATACCAGCGCGTGTTGACGGCCGTCGTCAAAGAGCCACCAGCCTTCCAGCAGGCCAAAGACCAGGTCGACCCACGGCAGGGGCTGGGTCATCTCCAGCATCATTAGGAATCCATCTGGGCGGAGAATCTGATGGATATTTCTGGTCGAGGTGGCTAGGTTGTGCGTGGCATGCACGCAGTTGGTGGCGATGACAAGATGCTGGCTTTGTAGGAGCTCCGCAGTTGGAGGTTTCTCAATGTCTAGGACGCGATACTCCATGAACGGGTATTCCTTGAACCGCTTCCGGGCCGCAGCCACCAGGGAGGGCGAGAGATCTGTCACGGTATAGGTGACTGGTACGTTCAGCCGGGCGAGGAGTGACACCAACTTCGCGGTGGTCCCCCCGGTCCCCGAGCCCATCTCAAGGATCCGGATCGGGCTGTTGTTGCTGTCACCCTGAGCCAACCGAAGAAAGAGTTGCCGAAGGAAAAACTCCATCTGCTTGATCCAGGCCGTGTTGATTGGTGATTTCCCATACATCCCCGACACAATCTCGCGACCTTCCTTTGACGCAAAGATCAATTGGAGTCCATCTTCTTTCCCAGTCAGGCAATCAGCCAGTTTTGACCCGGTTAGATAAGTGAGTCGGTGATCGTACACGTGCTCAGGAAAATCATCAATGAGTTCCTGTAAAAGCTCGCTTGCTAATTTGTTCGGAATAGGGACAGCAGTCCGAGTGATCTCGGACCCATCCATTCTCACCAGTCCCGCGTCCTGGAGAATGCCGTAGAGAAATTCAACAAATTGCTCGTGGCGGGGCAGATATTGGATGCGACGCAACGGTTGACCGGCCTTTGCCTCTCGCAAAGACCATCCAAGCTGTTCGAAGCCATTCACGATGTGAAGGACACACAGTTCGGTCGACTTGGGCAGGACGAGTTCGGCGTAGTTGGCGAGTTTGTTCTCTTCAATGAAACGATCAGTGGCCCGCCGCGTCTCATTAAAGGTGTCGAGAATGACAGAGGTAGGAAGATGCATCTCTGAGGTCGATTCGCCGCCATCTAAGCTGGTCACCGCCAAATCCCTTGTGACTGATCTGTTCTGAGGTACATTGACGCTGTGGCCATTTGACTCCATTCCATTGCTCCAAGCCTGGCCATTCGTCATCCCATATTCTGCCGTCTCCGCCTGACCGGAGACACCCAGAGTTTTGCCGATGCAGTTGACGAGACTTTGAAAGTCAGTCAGTTCGACTAGATCTGACACCTCGAGCGTACATTTAAACATGAGTTCGATTTCACGGGCCAGCTCCATGCCCATGAGCGAATCAATTCCCAGATCTGCAAGATCTGAGTCAAGCTTGATCTCGTCAGATTCAAGACCGGAGAGTTTACACAACAACTCCCGAACCCTGTTGGTGATGGGTAGGCCAGCTGGTTCTTTCTTTGCATTGGCCTGTTTGCTCAGCGATGGTGTCAAGGCTGGTTCCCCGGTCACCGAAGATGAGACATGCTCATTGCCGTTGGGAATTTGTATCTCCACCGCACCTAGAGGTGGCGTGTCTGGTGGTGTACGATTTGTCTGCAGTGTAAGTTTGGATAGGAGCTTTCCAAGTCCGAGACGCGAGACCTTGACGTAGTGGATCCCCATGATGACCTCAACCAGTTTCCCACCAGCTGCGTCAAAAACGAAGACGTCACTTGTGTATTCCTTGTCATTCGGATGGTGATGGCATGCGAACACCTCCCAGGTTTCTGGCTTCGAATTTTTTGACACGGTGGGCGAGCGGAGCCACTGATCGATTCGGTCGGAGATGTACATCTCGCCATCTGCCCTGTCCGTCATGGTATTCAGAAAGATGCCGGCCACTTGACAGAAGGAGTCAGCAAGGCCCAGGTCCAGCCATGTTTCCCCTGAATTCTTCTTGACGATCCGTCCGGCTGACTCATTTGCATTACCAGCAAGCTTGATGAGACCCTTGTACAAATCATCTTTGTACTGGACGATCTCGGAAAACGTCTTGTAAATATTACGCCTTCCTTGAATGACCTCATCGGCATGTTCCCCCTGAAGAAGGTCCAAGCACCGCTGCGATTTAATGAGACGCTCGTATCGGGCGAAATCAGTATGATAGTCCGCGTCGCCCGTCCGTCGGAATCGAATTATGCCCGAGACGTGCACATTCGCAGAGGATCGGCCACTGTTCTCTGAGAAGCTGATCATCTTCCAGCTCCAGCGGTGTTTACTGTCATCCTCGCTTTCCGCATCTAGCCAAACAGTTCTCGAGTTGTCCATGCACATTGGAGCATGACTGACCGTATCACAGAGCTCAGGTTGGAGGTCAGCTATGGTAGATTCCGAGACAATCGATGACAATGCATCTACGGCAATCACCAGCTGAAAGGTGCTGGCGCAAACCGGGGATGACTGTGCAATGACATGGGCTGACACATATTTTTCGTATTTCTCGTTCATTGTGTTGATTCGAAAGCGAGCCCTGCGCTGTCCAGCGTCCTGATACCCCATAAATGTCCAGAGCCCTTGGGGAGCTGTGTGTGAATCTGTTGCAGCTGGCGCTGCAGTGATCGTTGGCTGAGGCTTTTTCAGATCCACCCAATGTCTTGACCCCTCGAATTGGTATGGTGGTAAAAGAATGGGAGAATAATCCGATATCTGAGCCTGGTGGTGGGCCCAAAATTGCACTTTCACGCCCGCTCGCCACAGGCTCGTGGTGGCATTTGTCAAGGAGCTAAATGAATCATTGTTGGTGATATGGATGGGTTGGAAATGAGAGGTACTGGGAGAGCCCAGAGCCCGACTGGCCATGGTGGTAACGGTCGAATTTGACCCCGCCTCCAGCCAGACACACGCGGGGTATTGCTGCGAAATTCTCTGTACGGCGTGATGAAAATGCACTGGATCCCGCATATGACTTGCCACAAATTTTGAGGTGAATTTGCCTGGACCGGCTTCTTTTGTCGCGCGTTCCAAAGGAATTATTGGATCTCGAAAGACCAGGTCTCGTCCGACGCAATCCAGATCTTCCATCAATGGCTCGACCAGGGCGCAATGAAAGGCATTCGTCACATCTAGCTTCTTCATCCGAATTCTCGAACTGGTAAATTCTGTGTTGGTTGCAATTTCGCATACTGTCTCGATCGCTTTTTCAGACCCTGCTAACGTGAAGCTTCGGGGACCATTGAAACATGCGATCGAGGCGGCAGATTCTTCCGAATTCTTCTTCTGTCCCGCCTCGAGCAAAAGATCCTCTACATCTTGCAGGTTCCCCTCAACCGCCAAAATGGCGCCTTTTTCTGGACCCCAGCTGTCACGAATAATGCGGGCTCGGGATGAGACCAACTTTAAGGCGTCCTGGACGGACAAGATGCCCGAAACGCAGAGCGCTGTCAGCTCTCCAAAGCTGTGGCCGACGACCGCAGCAACTTGCAATCCACAGTCAATCCACGACATGGCGCACGAGTATTGGACGGCAAAGAGCGAGGTCTGGAGTAGGACAATGTCACTGATTGGCGTTCGTTGGAAGATGTCAGGGAAAATACCGCCCAGCCCGAGCGATGCGCAAGTATCATTGCAGCGGTCCAGATGGTGCCGGAAGATTGCCACTCGTTCGTATACATCTCTGTCCAGTCCGATGTAGCTGGAGATTTGCCCCCCAAAGCAAAGAATGACTGGCCAAGGGGGTTCCGACTTTTGCGTCGCCACGAGACTTCCCTGTCCGGTTGAATAGGCCTTCAACCTCTCCTCCAACTCTAGGAGCGAGCTGCAGTTGGATATTAGACCCCACGCAAGGGATCGATTGGACTGCCGAGATATCTGAAAGGAAAGATTCGATATCGTGAGCTCTTCAGTGCATTCCCTCCTTCGTTTCAGGAATTCGGCCATTTTGGCTGAATAGGCACGGACGCTTTTCTCGTCGAATCCGCACAGCCAAAATGGATAGCTCCTGGTGGTCTGGGCTGGAAAGGGGCTTGATGATGTCAAATAGGACGGCGCTTGGATTACCACCAGGGAAGCGTTGGAGCCAGAGGCTCCGTAATTGTTGATGAGGGCCGCCCGATACTTGCGATCCCACAGTTTGAATTGTCGCGGGATCTCGATCTTGTCCGATGGTGAGGCAGCGATTGCGGGATTGAGGGCGTGAAAACTCGCCTGTGGGGGAATACCCCCTCGAATCATCATCAAAAGAACCTTGATGAGCGCGACAATGCCGGAAGCCGACTCGGTGTGGCCCAAAAGCCCTTTGACGGAGCCTAGAAATAGAGCGTCCTGTCTGCTCGGTCCGCCAAAAACTCGGCGCACGCTATCGTACTCAACCGGGTCACCCACTGGTGTACCCGTCCCATGTGCTTCCACCACAGAGACTTGACTTGGCTCTAATTTAGCTTGACGAACCACGTCCCGGAAGAGGTCCGAGAGAGACAAGGCGTTGGGCACTGTAATAGCCGTGCAGTTTTGGTTTTGATACACAGCTGATCCAGCAATCACGCCCAGGATTTGATTTCCATGTTTAATCGCGCTCGACAGTTTCTTCAGAAAGACCGCTCCAACACCTTCAGCCCTGCAGTAGCCATCCGCCTGTGCATCAAATGGTTTGCACTGTCCCGTGGGGCTGAGGAATGACGCGCCCGCCAGATTCTGGTACCATTCTGGGCTTGTCATCACGTTTACGCCGCCTGCGAGGGCAGCCGAGCATTCCCCGGTCCGGATGGCTTTACAGGCTTGATGCACTGCAACCGCGGACGAGGAGCAGGCCGTGTCGATCGTGAGGCCCGGCCCCGTCCAGCCAAAATAATGGCTGATCTTTCCTGCGGCAAATGCCTTGAGATTGCCCGTGGCCGAGTAAGCGTTTGCCGGGTAGCATGCGATATTGTTTTCATAGTCGACCAGCCCCACGCCAATAAAGCATCCGATGTGCCGGTCCTGGAGTGATGAATTAAAATATCCCGACTGCTCCACTGCCTGGTAAGCCGCCTGCAGCATCAGGCGGTGTTGAGGGTCAGTGGACTCAATCTCTCGCGGACTCTTCTTGAAAAACTTGTGGTCAAAGGCATCATAGTTCTGGATGAAGTTCCCATAGAAGGTCCTTTTGGGGTCAATATCTCGCCAGGCTGTTTGGAAATTGAACCGCTCAGGCGGAGCCTCTATGTGTTGTGACTTTCCCCCACAGAGAATGTCCCAAAATGCTTCCAGGTCTGCGGCCCCTGGCAAGTGGCAGGACATGCCGACCACAGCGATGGCTTCCTCGGAAGTGGGGCCCCCTGTGGGATTCTTCAAAGCACGCAATAAACTATCAGTCGCGCCCGCCTCGGCCATATTAATCCAACGCGGGCCAAAGGGTCGCATGAGCGAAGGAGGGACACAACGCTCTGCGCCAAACGCAACCACCAGTGGTTCTGGACCCGGTTTGGAATAAATCCGAGCAAATGGCTGGTACCAGTCTGACTGCTCTAGAAGGATGGATCGGACCACTGCGTCGGTCATCTTTCCACAGTTGATGTAGTCGCCGCCATTGTTGGGTCGAGTAGGCACAGCCAATTCGGACCCATCGGGAAATTGGAAAGGCAGATTGGCGTCACAGAACCCGATCAAGGATTCTGCAGAATTGAGATGGTGGGATGAGTGAAAGCTTCCGCGCAATGCGATCTCAGTCACACTCAAGCCGGCTTGTTTCAGCTGGTGTTGTAGCGATGGCACACCGGCTTTGGGGACTGTTAAAGTCATCCGTTTCGTCTCTGGAAGAACTGATATGTATGCCTGGGTTAAGCGGTCAATTAGTGAATAAATAGAAAAGATGGAGAAGGTTCCGAGCAGTGCATCAGGCTAACCACTTACCTCTGGATGTCTTTCGAGTATCTTGAGCAGGTCCTCTTGCCGGTCTGTTGAGTTCCAAGCCACGGACAGAGAACTCCATCTACCAGTGTCATCTTCAGTGGTGTCCTGCGCATCCACCACTGCCCCTATTGCCATTGCTAGGCGAATTGCGACCCCTCCATATTTTTGCAGCTGGCTCGGGTTGGTAGAGCTGGACGCCACCACTGCAGTCAACAAGCCCGTACAGAGGCCGAGGGTCTCATTGGCAGCATGATTTGCTCCTACTATCGATCGATATTCCCAGTATTGTGTGAGCTGTGCAATCACGACCAAGGGTGTGAGAAGGATGTTGGGAAGAGGGAACGACCTGTCCGGAAACCGGCCAGTTCGGAACCACTCATCCAATATCTTCAGGTGCTTGCTGCCAGGAAACGTGTTCAATGTCGGGATGGCTTCAGATAGGGCCATCCCAGTGATGAGAAAGCTCTTGGATCACTGTCGAAATCCATGCCAGCTCTGACCTCTCCAGCAAGGCCGATCTGATCTGATGTGCCGACTCTTCGTTGAACTCGAGGGCTTGCGATCCGAACACCAGGATGGTATCTGATGCCCCGGAGTCAATCGATGATAATCCCATGGTGTGTAGGTCTGTCGATATAATCTGTGGATTTTTGGAAGGATTATGACCTGTTGCCTCTAATCCCGAAGCCAATTGCGATCATAAGAGACAATGTATAGTGTGCTTCTATTATAAAACAAAGAACAGAAGTTCCGACGAGAATAGCTATCCTCTACGACTTTCCTTAGCGACATTCTATCCAACTCCGTGAAACGTGTTTCCATGCTCATCGACTTACGGTAAAAGCGCAAAACAGCTAGCAAAACATGGGCTTGCTCCGGAGTTTCCATGTGCGATATGCCCGGGCGTCCCCACCAGACTGCCGCCGCAGGTTCTGGGCCGATCTACTGTTTTTTATGATTGATCTCCCCACAATTAAAGGCTAAGGAAGAAACTCCGGAACACTTGAGCTTTATACAATTTTACCAGACAGCAACTCTGTCGGCACTCGTGCGTTTTTTTTTTTTGGCTTCATTCATTTCTAATTTCAGTTTATCTTATTTTTGACCTTGTCAGCCACAGAATGAAGGCAAACATTATCCTGTCCCGGGTTGGATGATGTGCAGGACGCTTTGCCCAGATTCAATGCCACCTTTTGAAAAGTTTATGTCTGCCTCCTGAAAGTTCAAGCACCCTCTCCGAGCCGGCTACCTATTGCCCCTCATCCTATACTAAGTGGCAAGATGTTATTTCATGCAATCGGCTTTGAAGACGACCCAACCCTCCATTTGCCGCGCATTCTCTGCCTACACGGGGGCGGATCGAATGCGCGAATTTTCCGTGCACAATGCCGAAAGTTCATTCAGAGGCTCCAGACCCATTTCCGCTTGGTTTTTGTGGAGGCGCCATTCATTTCCCAGGCCGGACCATGCGTTCTCTCTGTTTATTCAACCTGGGGACCCTTTAAGAGATGGCTGCCTTGGGCGCCTGGGGACCCGGATACAGAGCCCACCTTGTCTGCGATCGATGAGGCAATCCAGCATGCAATGGACGAAGATGACGACAAGGGAGCCACAGGCGAGTGGGTGTCACTGATGGGCTTTAGCCAAGGAGCCAAAGTGTGTGCCTCTCTTTTCTTCCGGCAACAAGCACTGGTCGACCAAGGGAGACAGGCACTGGCCACCCCTGTTTGGGTAGCGAAGGAGAACTTTCGGTTCGCGGTGCTGCTGGCGGGAAGGGGACCGTTGTTGTGGATGGAGCCCGATCAAGATCAAGCACGGCCTCCGGAGGCTCATCATGCTTTTCCAATAATGACCGCTGCCTGGACTGACCACCACAGCCCGGTGATGGTCAACTACGAATGGCAAAACAAGTTACGACTACCCACCATTCATGTTCACGGGCTGCAGGACCCAAATATCGACCTGCATCGGCTTTTGTTCGAAAGATGCTGCCAACGCGGAACGGCAACGTTGGTTGAGTGGGATGGGGATCATCGGGTACCATTAAAGCCTCGGGATGATGAGGCGGTGGTTGACCAGATATTCGAGCTTGCTAGACAGACAGGGATTCTTCAGTAGCACCTTACTCCTTTTTGCCACGATCATTTCGATGTTTGGACGAAACAGATGATGTTATTTGGTTAGCTAGCGACAACTATTGGTACTTTCCTAGTCTCTATCAATGATTTCCGCGTATGACATCCATTCCGAATCCTGCTTGAGCTCCCGCAGATCCTCCTCCTGTAAACAGACCTGGAAGTCCTGGTACCCCTCCCTGGTCTTGGGGAACATGATGGCAGTTGTCGCGCGGGGGATAAAGTTGGGTCGACGGAACAGCGCCAATTTGCCCAGAACGCCAAAGTCAACATGATATAGATCTGACTGGGCAATTGACGTGAACGCTACGTCGGTGTCCCGGTTCATTTCCCCACCATACATGATAGTCGTCTTGTCTGGGGTACGATCGAGAAGGGTGACAAAGCTGCGCACGGCGTATTCATTCACATCGTCGATCAAATTCTTCCGCATCACGGATGCCAACGTCGCCAGCGAAAACGAGTCCACTTCCGCAAAGGTCAGAGTGGAGAACGTGTTGTAGACCATGTGACCCATGTACTCATTCGGCACCCCCATCGTGGAACGGACATCCACCGCGCGGACAAACTTGGACCTGGTAGCCCGGCGATCGTCGACGCGACCAAGACGGAGGCGAACACGGGTGATGGCCTTCCAAAAAAAGGCTGTGAGAGCGTCGTTGGAGGAGATGAAGGTGACAGGGCTCACGAACTGGGTCGCATCGCTGGCGTTCGATTTCAACTCGGCCAGCTTTGCCGCCGTGAAGCCGAATGTACACCAGGTCCCGTTGGGTGCGGGCACAGCAGGCACCAAGGAGTCTAGTAGCGACGGACGGTGAAATTGGGAGAGGTCGATTAGTGGCTCATGGGGCCCCAGCAGCTTCACCATGTTCCGTCTGTCCCTATTTCCCTGCTCGATTTCAAACGGTGAGATGGTGTCCCCGCAGAGTACCTTGGCCAGCAGCTTCAGAAATTGCAACATGCCACCCCCCGACATGATATTATGTTGGCCCGCGAGATCCAACAGCAAGCCACCGCGGACCACATTGGCTTGTAGGGCGAGGACAAACGCAGGATCGGACTCGGTTTCCTGGTAGCTCTGCGGAAACGCCACGCTGGGGGCGAGCACGACTGGATCGAAGAATCGGATAGGGCCCCTGGCGTCGACGATCTCTTGGAATGATGGACACACTGTGGTGCAGTCTTTGACCCGGAAGATCGAGTTTGGGGGCTCCCATCGCGAGCAGCGGGCTACTTTGAACAATCCCGAATTGCCGGACCCGCTACCCTCAGTAATCACCTTGCCCATGAGCCATGGGAATCTAGACGTCACTTCGTCTGTTGCGGCCTTGAGAGCGTGGAGGACTGATTGGGTAGAGCTCTCGTCGGCGATGGGGAAGCAGAGGAGAAAATGCGTATAACTTTTCAACAATCGAAGCTGGCCAAAGATGTCTTGGTAGCGATCCAAGTCATGATAGTTCTCCATGATTTGGGCATTGAGCTTTGGATGAAAATGTTGTCCTACTGCTTTCTCATAAACTGTCAAGGTTCGGCGGGGGGGGAGAGTGGGCTCAATTTTCCTTTGCCGCCAAGTGACATGAGTTTCATTTCTTTCAGAATTCAGTAAGGCTACTTGAATACAATACATGCTAGAAAAATTGAAGGGGGATAGGCTACTGTCAACGTGATGGACATTTAGAAAGTCCGACGTTGTGGGATCTTGCATATCTCCAGTCAGTCTAATGCCTAGGCCTACAATATTTAGGAGCTTCTGAAAAACATATTGATAGAACAGAACACTGGATACCTTTTATCTAGCTTATCACTTTTCTAGGCAGATCATGAACAGCTTTCTAGCATTCAGTATTGTACTACTGTATCTCCTCCCCAGGTCTGGATAAAGAAACTCCGATGTAGCCCTATTTCCGGAGTTTTGCGACACATCCAATTTGAGTCCCAAGGCATCCGTATATCCTGTCCCGATGGATCCATATTTTTCACAGCGGAAGAAGGACTAAGTTGTAAGTAAAGTCCATAGTCTTGGGTGTAACGAAAAAAATATCATGCCTGGAGTCTCCCAGTCCTTCGAAGTGGCCATTATCGGTGGCGGCATCGTGGGGTTAGCCCTAGCCACGGGCCTTGTCCATCGAGGCGTGCGAGTGAAGCTTTACGAGAAAACCTCGTCATTCCGACCGATTGGCGCTGGTATAGGATTCACACCCAATACCAAGCAGGCGTTGGAATTGCTGCATCCTGGGGCCCTGGCGGCTGAACAGAAAGTGGCGACGGCTAATGGGGACCCCGACGATCCCAATGACTGGTTGCGGTACCTAGATGGGTTTCACCATACAAACGACGAGGCGGATGAGGAAACGCTGCTCTATGAACTCTATACCGGCTATCGCGGATTTGAGGGCTGCGTGCGGGCCGACTTTCTGAATGAACTACTGAAGCTCATCCCCGACGGAGTGATCGAGTTTGGTAAAAGCATCCACAATATCTTAGACCTCGGGGACGAGCGGCGGGTGCTCCTTCAGTTTGAGGATGGAAGCGTCGCGGAAACAGATGCCGGTATTGTTATGATTCTTCATGGTCGTCCTGTTGCAGTTCTTGATTTTCTCTGATTTTTGTGTCTTTTCTAGTGATCGGCTGTGATGGGATCAAATCGCGCGTGCGTAAGATGATGTTCGGGGCCGACCATCCGGCCACCGAGCCATCGTACAATCACCAATATGCCCTGCGCGGGGTGATTCCCATGGACAAGGCAATTGAAGCGTTGGGAGAATACAAGGCCCGCAATCGGCACATGCATCTGGGTCCCGATCGCCACGTGGTGACTGTGCCCATCGCGCTGGGCAAGGCCCTCAACGTGGTGGCCTTCATCCCAGATGCCGAGCAGTGGCCCAGCAGCACGGCACAGCTGACGGCGCCGGCCGACCCAGCCATTGTCCTCGACGCCTTCAAGGATTTTGGACGTCCTGTGCGTAATCTGATCCAGACTCTGGTCGATCTGACGCCGCAGCTCACAAAATGGGGCATCTTCGACAGCGTCGATCACCCGGCTCCGACCTTCACCGAAGGCCGGATCTGTATCGCCGGCGACGCCGCCCATGCGTCGTCGCCACATCACGGTGCAGGAGCGGGTATGGGCATTGAGGACGCCCTGGTACTCTCGGAACTACTGGCGGAGGTGGCAGTGGGGACATTCTCTTCCAGCAAGAGCCGGGCAGAGGCAGTTCGCGCAGCGTTTCAGGCCTACACAACGACGCGCAAAGAGCGCTCACAATGGGTAGCAGAGAGCAGCCGCGTCATCGGCCAAATGTTCGAGTGGCGGTACCCCCCGACGATGCGCAATTGGAATAAGTGTCTGCAAGAGCTCACCGTGCGGTCACATCGGATCTGGCATTTCGACCAGGAGGCCATGCTTCTGGCCGCGCGGGCCGAGTATGAGACATTGTTGGTTAGGAAACAGTTGGGACAAGCAGAGAATACTCCTGCAACACTGGGTACAGAGATCTCCTGATCCGTTGGTGGAATAAGAATGAATTTTATTGCAAGTATAGATAAAGCTAGAGCAACTATTCATCTCCACATGGTACGAGCTTTGGAAACTGCCTTTCGTCCACCGTAGCCCCTCGAGATTTTAGGGACTACAGCCCGGCCACGATATCCGGAATCATTGTGGCCGTGTAATTCCACAGCTGCGATGAGCCCGGCAGGAACTGCACCCCGGTGTACCAGGTGTTGCGGTGACCCTGGAGCGCATACATCTTGTTCCAGTAGTTCTGCGCAATGGCTTCTTCTGTGAGACCGACTTTGAACGGGGCGTGGCTGTTGAACGCGACCATTTCCGGCTGCCCATGGGCGTACGGTGCGACCTGCTTGGCGAATCTTCTGATGATAGCCAATGAGCGGGCGTTGGCCTCGGCAATCGACAACGAGAGGTCGTTGTCCCAGTATTCGAACCGGTAGATCCCGCTAACGGCGGTGGGAGTCAAGACTGTCACGGCCGGTAGGGTGGGAATGTGATAGGACGTGTTGGTACCGACGTTGGTGTAACGCGTGCCGGCTGGCAACCCGCTCACCGTCACCAAGCCGACCCAGAGACCCGGTCCCCAGAACCGGGAAAAGATATCCCTTTCGCGTGCATCCAGGTCAAACGGGGCCATGTTGGTCAGTGTTGTGGGAACGGTGACCAATGCTCTCTTGGCCTGGATAAGCCTGTTGCCGGTGGGCGTGTCGACCACAAAGCGGATCGACGACGAACCTTCACGTTGGGCGGCGCTGATAGTGGAATTGAATAGGACGTGAGAGGAGCCTATTTTGGCCAGAGCGTTCATGTATATTTGGCTGTTGCCGCCTTCAATGTCAACGGTGTTAGTCGCGTCCAGGGAAAGCTCCTCCAACCCGGTTTCGGTGATGACGTTCAGCACGGGGGTGTTCAGGAGAGAGGGGCCAAACCCTGCCGCGATCTCAAACGCCACGTCTTGCAAATTGTACTTTCGGATAAAGTCCGCAAAGGCGAGGGCGAAGTCGGCCGGAATGGGATCCGGAATGTTCGTGGTATATAGCAAGTAGGGGTATTTGCGCAGCTGCTGCAGGTAGCCAGAGAAATTCGCGCTGGGAGAGAACTGCTGCAGGGGCTGCCCGGTGGTGAAGTCGGTATATACCATGGTATTAGCGGCGCTAGATACATGGTCGGTGTACGTGACACCCAGTCGTTTGAAGAAAGCCAGAGTGCCGGTAGTCTTTCCATATCGCTGGACGCCATAGTCAATAGGGATGTTGGTCGCAGGATCGATATAGGTGTTGGCCTGGCCGCCGAGGATGCCGGTTGCCTCCACCACGGCTACGCGCCAGTTGAGATCTGCAAGCGTGATGGCCGCATAGCTGCCTGTGGCACCGCCGCCAATGATGGCCACGTCCACGTCAATCACCTCGTTTGGAGCATAGGAAAGAGGATCAAACTGGCGGCCATGGCATGCTAGAATAGCGATGCCGTAAGCCACCAGGATGCTGGATGGCTGAATCCATTGCATTCTCATTCTCAACCTCCTTTTCGAAGGAAACACGAAATCAATGGGGTGCAGATGCAGTGGGGCTAATATCACGTCCTACAAGATTGATGTACTGCGAGAATACCCTGCCTCGGATATCTCCAGGCCATTCCAGCCAGCCCAGGATTTGTAACGAACGGATTTCAGAAACTCCGACAAGGACGCTGCGTCACTGATGATATTTCAGTCCTACATTTCCGTCTTTCCAACTTTTCCAAATCAGAATCCGACGCCTACCCCAAATAAAGCAAAATTCAAGTTCCAACAATATTGAATCTACTGAATCAAGTCCCCCCGCTGGTACTTACACAAGTGCCCGTGTTGTTTGAGTCCTTCATCAGGTAGATGTAAGCCTCTCCCACCTCCTCGGGTGTTCCCACCTTCCCCAAAAGCGCTCTCTCCGCAGCGGTCGCCATCTTCTGTTTGCGCTGCTCGTCGGGGCCTTGGATTTCCGTGTCCGTCGTCCCGGGACTGACGAGATTGACCCGAATGGGGGCCAAGTCTAGCGCAAGGGTGCGCGTAATACCGAACAAGGCTGCGCCCCAGCCCGCCAGCACAGCCGCTCCTTTCATGGGTTTTTCCGCAATACGACCACTGGTGAACGTGATGGATGATCGATAGCTTTTGGTCATGAAGGGCGGGGCAATCTTGGCGATTAGAAGTGGCACAAAGACCAAAAACTGCGCATCACCGCGCAGAAAATCGATAGTCACGTCATGGAGGAATTTGAACTCGAGCTTAACAGCGGTATAGACGATGTGGTCGAGGGGACGGCCCGTTGCTGTCGTCACCTCCGCAAATAGTTTCTCGAGTCGAGACTCGGCATCATCCCCACTGACATCAACCGTGTAGCCCTTGATCTGGGCATTCGGCACGGCCATTTGGATTTTTTGGACCGTATTTTCCACACGGGCGAGATTGGACGAGGCAATCGAGACGTGAACATCCCTCTCGGCGGCGGCCAGCTGGGCTACCGCTGCTCCGATCCCGGACGAGCCGCCAATTACAAGGATGTTGGAACCTGTGATTGGAGGCATGGTGGATCAGGTCAGGTCAGGTCGTTTCCCCCCTTTTTCACCGGCGGTCGTGAGAATTGTATGGGATTGGAGGTTTCAAGATTCCTTGGTAGCGCAGCTATCATCGAGATGGTTGATTTTATATGGGCTTTCTGCCGTCAAGACAAACACTAGAAGCAAGTCCGCCAAAGTCCGCTATCTGCGGTATCTCCGCTTTAGTTAGTTCCCTGTAGAAATATAACTAGAAAAAATATTTCAAGGAAATATAACTATATTGTTCATTGATATCGAGCAAAGTGGGGTAGTAAAACACAGCCGAATAGTTCAATCTTATTTGCGTAGTGATTTCTTTGTCTGGACGCTAGGTAGTGATTCTCGACCTCACACTCTGAGAATCGGCGACCTTCAACCCCCTGTCTCTACTCGCGCAAACAATAACACCTAACATGTCCTCGCATCAATCCGCTAATTGAACTCATCGTTTCTGATTGATCCCCTTTGGTAGATGAGCCCCATTCTTGCATACAATTGTGTGACAGCTGATTAATCCCAGACCCGGTCTCCATAAGAGTTGCCAGCGGCTCACGGAAGGCGATTAACGAGGAAGGTGGAACAGGCTAATGGATCTAGGTACTCTTTCGATTAGTATTGTATTTCGTTGCTTGAACGTGCTTCTGTATACGGTATGAGTGGGACGCGAGATAACCATACCATCTATCCTTTTTTCCATACAAGGGGGAGCATGATATAGAAGATAACGTCGAAGCCCATATTGGACTCGCAGGAAGGCGAAACTTTAGGGTGCCATGGTCCTAAGGCGTTGCCTGGTACGGAATCAGTGGACAGGGGCTCTACATGTCCGCGGAAAAATACTTTCACCGAGCAACCCCAGCTGACATTCGACGATAGGGAAACTGACGAACAGCCTCGCCATGGAGTTTCCCATCTATCTCTTCCCGTACTCACGATAAAGATGAGTGGGGACAGCTCTCCAGACTACAAGGCGCTTTTTCTCAAGGCAGAGGAGGAAAGGAAGCAGGAAGCCGAGCTGAGACGCCAGGCAGAAGAACGCGAGAGGCAACAGAGGGAACGCAACCGATCGACGACTTTCCCAGAGTTCATCCACCATTGCCACGATCTGCTTTGGAGGGCCACTCCGAGCGCAAACACCGTCTCGCTCCACGACCGGCAAAATTCCTGCCCCTATCGGGAAACACTGTCCCATACGACTGCTTCCATGGACTGACTGTGAAGATAAACAGCGGGAGATTTACGCATCTGTCTGCCGCTACCTGCAACCTACTGAAGAGAATGCACGACAGTTATTTACGTCACTGGTTGCGTTGGAAGACCACGGCCGACGATTTGCACGCCGACCGATTAGCAGCGAACAGGACCTCGAGACCTACGAACGACTCGCCGTTGAAGACCACGTGCACGATATCGTTGCTGAGTTATGCAAAATACCCGAGGCTCGCGAGGAGTTCCGGTTAGGCAATGGGTTATGGTTCGATAACCACTCCAATGCTCTGGACGAAGATGAAGAAGTCGATGCTAGCCAACCATCGAGCACGAGGCCTTCGAGGCCGGATCAATTCTGCGTCTATCATGCGGACGGTAACCGACGTACCTTGCTCACCACGGTCGAGTACAACCCCCCCCCCCCCCCCCCCCCCCCACAAAGTCTCCGCTGCGAGCCTACGGATGGGACTCCGACCGATGGACTTTTGGCGAGAAGTGGTCCAACCTGATCGGGTTCCGGCGGAGGAGCCAGAGAAATCGAGATATCACGCCGAGCGGCGGGTCGGATCAGCCATCGTACAAGAATTTCACGTGATGATTCAAGAGGGTCTGGAGTATTCATATTTGACGAACGGCTTGATGGACGTGCAGCTCTGGGTGCCTCACGACGACCCGACGACCCTTTATTACCACCTGGGTGATCCCTGTATGTACGGGACGGCAGGTGGTGCAGGGCCTAGAATTCCCAGGACTCGAATTGAGAGGGCCCTGTGCCTCTGTTTGATGAGTTTTCGTGCTCCCCTTCGTGACCAGGCGTGGCGGAATGCTGTCAAACCTACATTACCGATATGGCAAACGAGCTATGATAGCGATCGCGCTCAGATCGTGGTAGTGGAATTACCACAGGACCTGGATCTGAACGATGCTACCTCTGCTAGTCCTGAGCCGTCAACCTCTGAGTACCTCACATCCTCGTCTCCCATCTCCAGCGGCCCTCGAGTGACCACCCGAGCGGCCGCTAGCTGCGCGCCACTGCCCGGTCCGTATCACCACGAGACTTCTTCGGATTCCGAGGCCGACCCGACCGCATCTGCAGGACGGAAGCGGGGGTTCAGCCAAGTCACGTCGTCTCCTTCAACCCAACGGTCTGCACCGCGAGGAGATCGCCAAGGGCACCAAAGCGGGCAGTCTCGCTCCCATGATGCGCCATATTGCACACAAAAGTGTCTTCTTGGCCTCCAGCAAGGCGGCATGCTTGACCCTAAGTGCCCCAACACGGAGCTGCATATGCTTGGTGGAAGGGCAGACCGCCATCCGATCGGCGCAGCTAATTTGGTGAAGAAGCTCAAGGCGCAGCTCGATCAGGATCTGGATCATAACTGCACTCCAATCGGCCCTTGCGGGTCCTCCGGCGCACCATTCAAGATTACGTGTGCCACCTTCGGATACACTGTTGTTGGAAAGGGGACAACATCGAAACTCTGGGGGGAGGTCTCGCGCGAAGCCGAGGTCTACCGGGTCCTCCAACGTGCCCAAGGATCGGCCGTTCCCGTCTTTCTCGGGGCGATCAACTTGGCCCTAACCTACTTCCTCCACGGCGCGGGAAGGATCCGTCATATGCTCCTGATGGGTTGGGGTGGCGAAAGCGTGGGCCACACGACTCCGGATACAACGACCCAGCGTGCGATTTCTCGGTCAGTGAAGGAGATCCGTCGTTTGGGGGTTGTCCACCAGGATTTTCGCCCGGAAAACATCTTGTGGAATGCTGAGCTCCAGCGAGCTCTGATCATTGATTTTCATCTGTGCACCTTGGTTCGTCGACCGCTGGACAGACGGCCAGGTGCACTCAAACGATTACGGTATGGCCCTGACGAACGTCACTCCAAGCGGGTGCGTGTGGTGTGAGTAAAGGACACTGGAGCCGGGAGACGTTGTCAAACAACTCGGGCCTGTCAAAGGAACCTTTCATTGGTAGTGTTTGCTACTGTAGCCACGTACAATGACCCGACTCTCCCGACACTGACTAGTATTGTTTGCAGCCAACCCGGGCTTTGGCTTATATAGCACTGAAGAAACCACTTCTCCCGCTTGATACTCTGACCACATTACGTCCATCCTCCCAATACTCTATTATCAGCTTTCCAGTTTTCCAGTTTTCAGGATTCGTTGAGCAATGACATCACGTACAAATTTCCACCAATTCCCCAGGCGAGTACGACCCTTTACTTGGTACTTCCTAATGCTGACATTAATGAAGCACGTTCAAGGATCCCCCAATTAAGGTCATTGTTGGCCCTCAAAAGACTATCTACTACATCCACCCAGGAGCCCTCTCATCGTGCGGCTCACCGGCATTGGAGACTAGCGTCAGCGACCAGTGGATCAATAATGGTACTAGTGGGGTCATCGACTGGACGGAATTTAATGAGGACACTATTGAATGCGTCTTGAGCTATCTATACATTGAGGATTATGACGTGCGCGGCCGAACATTTGACGGTAAACAAACTGAAGGAAACGACGATGGTCAGCTTGGTACATCGCATGATCCCCTCTTACACCTATTTCCTACTAAAGACTATACATTTTAGCCCGACAAGCCTGCGGCTCTATCAAAGCAGAGTCACCTGTGTCTGACTCCGAAATCGTAAACGAAGAGCCCTCGGAAGAGCCCTTAGAAGAAGCACCCTGCGAACGGCCTTCGGAGCGGCCGCTAACCCCTTTGAGTCGGTGCCTGCAAGCTGGTCTGCCGGCAGAGACTATGCAAACAGCCGCAGCAGCATTCGCGAAGTCGCCTAGTGCTTGTGACGAGAACCTTGGTAACATTGCTCTTATGCACGCCAAAGTCTACTGCTTTGCCCACCAGTACCTGTTCTCCAGACTCGAGCGTCTGGCTTTACAGCGCCTGACGCAGATTCTTCTGAAATCTGATACACCAACTGACCAGTTCTTCCTGGGTCTTGCCGATGCCATACGCCTCGTTTACGATTCAACACCGAAATCGAAATTGAATGATCCAGCTCGGGAACTGCTTTCTCAATATGTGGCGCTGAAATACACCACAATATCGGAGGATAGTCTGAGAGCTTTGATAGCAGAGGGGGGTGACTTTATGATTGATGTCACGCGCAAACTAGCCCGGAGGATAAGGAACATCGATCTAAGGTTTAGAAGATCGTATTGATGAGCTGGAAATGGATGTTCTCAGATTAGAACATCACGCTGAACATCAAGCTTGCTTGCTTAAGCGAGCAGAGGAAGAAATTATGGAATGGGAGAGCTGGAACCGAGGAATTTCAGCACATTATAAGAAAGCGAGAAGGAAGGTGAAGCCATTTAAATCCAGTGCGACTCATGAACCTTCAGTCTAAGCATGTACGTACAGTCGTACTGTCTGATTGACGCTGCAATACGAATTGAAATGATAAATCTGTCTATCCTCCAGCACTAACGTAGTGATTCAAACCGTTCTTGTTTTCTCAAATACACTCTTCTGTATTCGGAGCGTATGGGATCAGATACCTAATACAGACGCCTATGAAACACTTAACACCTCTTTAGGGCCAACATACCAACATACTTCCACTCTTCATGAGCCCCAAAGACAGTGTATAATCTGCATAACAGCCGTCTTTCACTATTTGGATAATTCTAGCTCGTTGCACGTGGTCGTCCCCTCCACAGGCGGAATCCACTCTCTCCGTGACTTGCAAAAGACTTCGAACTGAGGTGCCCATTCACTCTTTGAAGGCCCTAAATCCATCGTGCCCGAAGTGACGGTCAGCATACCCTTGTGTAGCGAGCTGGTGATGTATATTGGCGAGCTGCAATTCGAACAGAATGCCCGAGACAGAACATTTCCTGAGGAGTTATTGCTATCTTTGTAGATCTTCAAAATGTCTTCTCCCGAGATGATGCGAAGTTGCTAGGAATTAGTCCCGTCAGTGCATGGTTCGTAGATATGGGGAGTTTACGTATTAGAGGTGGATCGTTGCGTACGTCTTCCTGATATACTGAATTCGCCATGAAGCTCGATCCTGTCACCTTGCGACAATTATCGCAATGACAGAGAAGCTTCACTTGGGGGTCTCCAGTGAGTTCATACCGGACCTGCTGGCAGAGACAGCTGCCAGAAATAGTCGGGTGGCCTGACATGGATTCGGATTTCGAGGTATACGAGGATATTGGAAGATGAAGGTATAGACAGATTTTATTTAGCTCACATTGCGCAACAGGTAGAGTGCTAGCTCTCGGTCTATTTATCTTCTAGGACATACCTGAGAGAGAATTATATGGAAATTGGGAGAATGCGGAGATCCCAGACGTGACTCCTACATCCACACTGCATTATTGGTCTGAAGGAGGTGGGCAAGTCTTGGCGTTATGTCCCCATAGTCCCCTTTGGCTCTAGTGCTGACCTTCTCGCCGTTCTTGTGGCTGGGTAGGATCAAGCACTGGACGCCTGGGAGTTACCGGAGCTAGTTCTGACCCAGACACGTATACCCGTTTTTTCGACGCCGACCGGCGCTGTTCAATCCACTGGCGCACTTCTGGTTCCTCCTCTCCTTGCCTCCATCCAAGCCGCGGTATCGTGAGGCCTCGGTGTTTTCCGGGTTCATTGGCAGCGTCATATAAGTTGGGTCGTTGTGTTCTCGGCGCCCTTTTCGTGGCGATTGTCAGTATCATATTACCAAACCCTACCAGCCATTTTTCAGGATCTGGGTGGCGAATATCTCTGGAGTCACTCATCAGGGAACGTGCACCCTGTTGGTTGAAGTCCAACTGCCAAGAGTGATGTGTAGCGGGGAACTGGACTCCTTCGAGATCGACAACCATCGCTTTACTGCTGTTGCGCTCTCCATTATCGCAGAACAAGAAATTATCCCGCTTCTGGTCCCAGTATATGGCTCCGTACGCAGATAAAGATTTGAACAGAGCCTGGAGTTGACTTTCCATCGTGCCCTCGTTGACAGACTTCTTCTTATTGCGAGCGAGGTCATGTAGAGTTATCTGCGAGAGAAGAAGTGCCGGGACCCCATCGAATTCAGCCGCCCGAAGAGTTGAGGTATCAAATTCCCTTGAAGGTCTTTCATAATTGTATAAGCTTCCGTTTCCCGCTGGAACTCCTCCCTCCATCCTTCTTTCTGTTCGACTGATGGTCCGATGGATAACGCCCCTTGCTTGGCGGCCTGCTACCTTGCGTGCCTCTCGGTGTTGTGACCGCCCGGCGCCGAGGGCCAGGGTTGCGTATTTTGTAACATTTTCGCAAAAAAACGGTATTTGCCAAAAACAATGTCAAAAAGATCAAAATCAAGTCGGAATGTCCACTTGACTGTGTCCTAGCTGGTGATACCTACCAACATAAATCAGATAGTAAGAGTACCCGTACTGTATGCTTTCGATTATGGCCCCGAAGATGTTCTGTGACCTTGGGCAGTGAGATGAATGAATTAATTGAAGAAGAGACAAAGCAGTAGCCAGGACACGGCACGTTGGAACTTGAAGTGTCTCGCTTATACAACGGCACGTGAAATCACGACATCCGCTAAGTCGTATCGACACTAGCGTCTTTCTACCATGTCTACTTTCCAGGACATGTAAATACCCGCAAGAGTTGCAGTTGCGTTTGACAGTTTAAAGAAAATTCTATCACTCGCTTCCCAACAAATACAACCATCACCCTCTTCAAATCACAGTGGAGCTCACCACAAATCACCGCAGCCTTGGAACTCACCAACGTAGACCACGGGCCCGCAATGGCCTGTCCCCAGTGTCAGTGGCAGGAGTCCAAGCAATTCGACCCATCTACCTCAAAGCTCATCAACGAACGCCAACGGCCCAACAGGTCGTCGTTCATTTCATCTAGAACGTTGTCGATTTCGGGGATCTTTACTTCAGTCAAGCCGAGGGAGGTCATTGAAATGCAGCATGGGAGATTCCTTACGGTGAATGCCTTTCTATTTCTGACTGCTCCAATAGTGAATCTCCCCTTCATCCGATTATACTGTGTGTAAGCTTCTGGATGACCTTGGAAGCTGGAAGATGCCCGACAATTGGTGATTACAAATTATGATTACAAATCGGGGGGCTTTCGTGGAAGTCGGAGCATGACGATCTGTCTTGTTGCCAGAGATCAGCACAGACTGTGTGGTATAAAGCCCCATCTACTTCCCAGGTTGTTTATTAGTTTGCAAATCAAAAAATCATCAGATCCCTTCTAAGTCCTACATTGTGTCGGAAGTCCCCGATTCAAACCACGAAATTCAAGATGGCCTCCCCATTCTACAACTACACTGTCTCTACCTTCACCCGGGGCCTCAATGCTCTCTCTGCCATCCTCAAAAAGGCCGAAGAGCACGCAGCAGAAAAGAACATCTCGCTGGATGACTTCTTCAATGCCCGTCTGGTCGAGGATATGTTGCCTCTCTCCTCCCAAGTTGCCATTGCAACCAGCACCGTCTCCAAGGCCCTCGCCCGCGCAACCTTTGTCGAGCCTGCGCCACAGCAGGAGCCCGACGCGACCTACCAAGACCTCTACAAGCGAGTCGATAGAGCACTCGCGGAACTCGAAAAGGTCGATTCAGCTACTTTCGCTGCCAAAGAAGGACAAACTTTCAAGGCTCCAATTGGAGACAATGTGTTCGACTATACAATGGAGGATTATTCCGTGCGATTTGCGATTCCCAATTTCTACTTCCATGTTGTGACGGTGTATGATATCTTGAGGATGAAAGGTGTCCAAATCGGGAAAATGGATTATCTGTCGGGGTTCATCGCTTAGGATCACTGGGAATTTGGATTTGAAGGGGTAGCTGGGTTTTACGGAGCTCCAATCCTACGCTGTGTACATAACTTCAATAGTTAGTGACACGGGCTGTGAGCCTTTTGGCTCATGCCATCGTCAGCTGTTTGTTTGTGACCGAGTAGACTTCGGAGTTCTCGAGTCTCCTAGGTAGCTTTTCGCCCTGGCTAGATATCACAGGTCTATCTGCAGATCACTACCTCATCAACCCATTAGGGTGTTTTCTTCGACCTTTGTGTGTCCCGAATAAATCGCACAATAAATTCGCAGTCTCAAATATTGACTCTCTCATTCTTGCTCGCTTCAATAACAACATTTAACCCTTGGCTATCAAAGACAAAGATTACATTCGGCTGACAGCATGTTCTGCCTTCCAGTGGTGACTCGCTCACTCTTCTCGTCGCCCACTCACCTCCTCCAGACTCACCGGCGATATTGATATCAACAGCCCCTTCCTTCATGAGCTTCTCACCTAGCCTCATGCACCTGGGATTACCGTTACATACCGTACATACATCACTCGCATCTAGCATACATGCGTAAGGGATTCGACTGTTTCGAATGTGTGAAGTAGATATAAGGTGCTCAGCACGTGGGGTCGGACGGCCACAAGCCCAATTGGGACTAGCGCTCCATGGGCCCCACTTGCCTTCGGCCCCACTATTTACACTTCCAAGGTTCCAAGGTTGGTTCTAAGGTGTCCAACCAGTACGTACTGCGTACATATACGTCGTATGAGCTTTTCGAGAGATACGGCGAATACTCCGACGCGAAGGCCATTGGTAATACATGGTTGGTGCCTTGGTCGATGACCGATTATGTAGGATGGCTATGATTGAGATCGAGTCCGGAATCTGGTGATAAGCCCTGTCTTGGAAAAAGGTGTAGATTCGTCTTTAGTCAGGAGCGCGGTTAGACGACTCGAGAATGGCTTTTAGATTTTAGTGCAAAGAAAGGCCAATATGGGTGGAAGATGTCTTGCATTTGATCACCATCCTAACAGCCATGAGAGCTGAGGGACTTGGCGGAATCGGTAAGCTAGGATTGAATGTAGAATTCTGTTGAGGATTGATTTAGTACGGTTGTTGAATGCACCTGCCATACTTCAATATATCTGTTCCTTCCTTCTTGTCCATTTTCTCGGTCTGCCTGTTCCAAGTCCCACGGCGCAACGTCTCTTATCCTCCACCTCTCACTTCCCATCTTTCAAACTTCCAATTTCTCAGACTATCTATCCTTTCCCAAATACTTGGCCTACACGGGTAGGGAACATGTCTGTTGTCGATCACCGTCCTGCTGGTAAGTTCATCTCAAGGCCACCGTCTGATCCACCGACCTAACACGATGAACAGTATGGCCCACGGCAGATCCAGGCATGACGGAAGAGATCCTGGACCTAGTGCAACAAGCTAGCCATTATGGCCAAATTAAGAGAGGCGTGAATGAAGGTATATCGCTCCTGGAAGCTCCTCAGTGAGACCCTCTGAACTGACCTTATATCTGCTCAGTGATGAAGTCCATAACTCGCTTCACGGCCGAAATTGTCGTTATCGCTGCGGACACCACACCTCTTGCGTTGGCGTCACCTCTCCCGTTGCTTTGTGAGGGCAAGGATATTGCATACGTTTGGGTGCCTAGTAAGATAGCACTGGGTCGTTCCTGTGGTCTCAGCCGACCTGTTGTTGCGGTCAGTCTCACTGCCAACAAAGAGAGCACTCTGTCTCCCCAGATCACACTGCTCAAGAGCAAGGTCAACCAACTGGCGATCTAGGACGAAGGACTCGGGAATATGGGGTGACATTTGCTATTTTGATTTACAAGAACCAATGCACGTTCATATCTCTAGCGGGTTCCAGTGATGATCATGACTGTTTTGAAACTAGGTGATACCTACTACATTGAATCTACTATCTGCTTGTAGATTGTTTGTCGCACCTGATATAGAGGAGCTTCCAAGATTGCGAGGAACCTCCAGTAGGCTCACATCACTAGAGGTTGCGATGGCAGTACACAGAAGAGCCAGCCGACATATATTCAAAACGTGCGAAAAGGTAACGATGTACGGACTGCTTTCGTCTGAGCTCCCGTCTGAGCTCCCATGGTTTTGAGCGTCATGGAAGCACCTATGCAATGTCAAGCCGGGGAAAACCCCATGCCCTTCTGTAGCGAGCTTCTTTCGTCCCTGGAGCGCAGCCTATGACCACCCCACCTCCCCTGCGCAATGGAGGGACAGAACGTTAAGCACATTGACTAACGGGCAGAAATCGAGCACGAGGCCCATGCTGCATGGATATAATTGGGGCGCCGTGTTCCCGCAATATGGAAAAGCATGAAGCCGATCAGGTTTCTCGTTTAAAGATAAATTCGCCAACTAAATATAATGTTGCTCTAGCCTTGCGGCCGGCAATGTTCTATTGGCATTTTTCTGATGAATAAAGAGCGCTATGCAAAAGAGAATCTGTTTGTCAAAGACCCTAGGTGTGTATAAATGCACGTACGCTTGTATATGGTGGCTGAGTATATCGACAAAGGCAAAAGAAGAAAGCCCAGTATTGAGGATCCAGATCTATCCACTCACAAGAGGATCGGTCGTCAGCTTGGTGGCGTTAATGGCAGGCTTCTCGCCTGGTGTGACAGTTTGTTCACAGACAGATGTGTCAGCATTTTCGGTCTTCTTCTGTTCATTCGTATTCGGGCCGGGAGGCTTTGTGCCCTTTTCCCGCATGGCTCCACTTTCGAAAGCTTCCTCGGGTAGTGGACGGATGTAAGGTTGGCAAATCCACCATGGTCTTCCATATTCCGCAATGACAGCTTTAGACCCCTTCAAGATTTCGTCTGGTTGCCTCTCAAATTTCTCGGGGGAGGCCTCGTACTCATCAAGTCCACCTCTGACGGCTTTCTCAAGAAGGGCCAGGGTGTGTTCGAAAGCGGCCATGTCACCCGGCCCCGATCTCGCAAGCGCATCTCGGACGTGGGTATGGGTTGCGACCATCGGGCGTAGAACTTGGAAGAGATGACCCTGCATAAAACCGAGGCTTGGGGAGTGGCTTTTCTTGCCCTTCTCCGCCTTGCTGCGCTTTTGTTTCTTCTTCAGCGGGCCCTCTTCGCGCTCCTGATCTTCATGATCATTCGTTTCTGCAAATTCATCGACTGGGTCGGATGGTAGATACAGCGGCTTCCGTTCGGGGACCGGCTGATCCAGAACATACTTATAAATAATATCAAGGTATCGTCGCATGATGGCATCAACACGGTAACCGCCCTTTCCATCCCGTCCGCGCCAATATTCTCTTCCTTCCGTACCGACTGGGGGCGGCTTGCTGAATATGGATGGGTCTGATAGATTGCCTTCTGCGCTCATCACGGCATCGGCACCGGTTGCCTCAAGACATGCTTCGATATCATCGTAATTAAGGATATTGCCATTGGCAAATATGACAGTGTCTGGGGGAAGGTTGTCTCGTAGGTAACGGATGTAACTCCAATCAGCAACTCCAGTATTGTGACCCTTTTGTTCCCTTCTGCGCCCATGCACAGTGATAATGCTGGCCCCAGCAGAGAGAATCATTTTTGCGTACTCCAAAGTCTTCTCTTTGGTCTCTTGGATACGGAACTTCACCGTTACCGGGATGGGGAGTTCCGTGTGTAACCGATTCACAAGTTTGTAGATCAAGTCCCAATCTTCTTGAAGGAAAGCTCCGTAGTGTCCCCTTTTTGCGATACCTTGCGGGCAGCCGAGGTTCAGGTCCACGGCGTCACAGTGAGGTACCACATGACGAGCAGCCTCGAGAAATTCATCTGGATTATTTGTACAGAACTGAACGAAGAGTGGCCGGTCGATCGCAGGGTTTCCATCGAGAAACAATTCGTCGCTCTTTCCGCCGATGGCTTTACGTGTAGGTTGGAAATGTTGGTGACGCACGCGCTCTTGTTCCCCAAACATGCGGGCATGGAACATAGGCGAGTACGCCAGTAAAGGCTTTGAATCGTTGGGAGGCATAAAGGATCGAGTGAGCATGCGCCACGCCTGTGAAAGATATTAGTGTCGGTCAACAGATGCCAGTATAGCGGGGTAAACGCACAAACTCGGAACGGTCCACCATTGGCGCGACGACATATCTTGGGCTACCAATACTCTCGTAGAACTTCCTTCCGAAGAGCTTCTCGGACTTGGGCGCAGGCGCGGAGACCTGCTCGAAGCTCTTCTTGGGGCTTGTTTCAGAAGCCATTTTGGGGAGGTGTGACGGGGAAAAGTAGTGGAAAAGTCGGCCCAGCGAGGGGCTGAATGGCCTCAAGACAGCTATCTTGACTGCTGGGAGGGAATACTGGAGATTGGTCAATGATCGCTTCCTGTCGCAACACAACGCCGCGAGAACTTTTGCGAAAAAAAGCGCGGTATTTCGGCCGGAAATTCGATTCCCCGCCTTATCTTATCGCCACAGGGCTTCATCGGCTGTTTCTAGTCGGTGTTTGGGGAGTGAATGTGCCAGGTTTCCTCCATGGCATTATTCTCGGTCCTTTAACTAACTTTGCGTTCCAATAACCTGGTGTCCTGGTCTTGCTCTTATTGAGAGGTCCAACGAATTCCCAGGTCCAACGTACTGGTTACATAATCCTGGACCCGCCACTGGAGCCAGAAGCCTTTAGGCTTTGAGAACCCCAGTCCAATAAACGACAGAGACCCAAGGCCAATACACATTCTAATGGTATGAGACAATGTGAGAGGATGACATTGCGAAGATAAGGTGTTTACGTTGCACAAACCAATAGTCAATACCATCATTAAAAGCTCAGGGCTCTTTCATTTCACTTGTCAACAATGGACGTGTCTACCGGGCCAGGAGGTACGTTTATATGAGGCTATGTCGGACTATCACTGACTGTGGACTAGGTCCTTTGAATATCTGCTTGTCTGATGATGGACTCTATGCCACTCACGTCAGTGGGAAGGCTCTGATAGTGCACTCATCTGTGGCTTCGGAAAACAAAGAAGTACAAATTGCAAGCGTCAAAGAGAATGGACTTAAATCACTGAAATACTTCAACGTGGGAAGCTCCCTGGGTGAATCAGATAGTCAGATTGCTTCTCAGCGCCGAATTTTGTCTGCCAATGACGCCCGAATTTCAGTCTGGCAGCTTACTCCGCTAGAAATATCTGCTGAGATTGAAGGCATTGAGCCAGGCGCGTTGGCTATCGATTTCGGTGCCGATGAGAACGAAGTCCTTGTCTTTCATGCATGGCACACCAAACTGAGCATCCACTCATTAGTAAACGGTCGAAGCTCTGTCATCAAATCGCCAAAGTTCGCCCATCATCTCGGGTTTGGTTATCGCCCGAATACCAGAGAACTCGCAATTCTGCTGAAACCGGAAACCTCAGATCTACTGACAGTTCATGAGCCTCGGTCTTATGACCTCATCAATAGGATGGTGCTTCCAACCATCGACGCACAGGGGTTGAAATGGAGCCCCGACGGAAAGTGGATTGCCATCTGGGACATTGCTAGTGCAGGCACCAAGGTGCTGATATTCACAGCCGATGGTCAGTTGTTCAGGAGTTATTCTGGGCCCTCCGGTGTGGACGATACATTCGACTTCGGTGTGAAGCAGATCGAGTGGAGGCCTGTTTCGCACCGGGGCACCTCGGAAACATTGGCCGTAGGGAAAGTCAACGGAACTATCGACTTGCTGCGAACTCACACTGTCAGTGATCTTCTTAATACTCGCGACCTTGATTGCTGATCCTGTCATAATAGTTCTCTTCCGTTGCAACACTCTCACATGTCTTTCAAGCACACCAGCAAAGTCCCAACATTTGGCGGGAACGATACACTAGCGCCGCAGGGGATGCCGATTATGTTGAAGCATCCTGTTCCTCTGCTCTGAGCATGAGCCCCGAGTCGGCAGGGCTTTCACGTGGTGTCTTGACAATGACTTTCAGCTCAGACGGTTGTCTCCTTGCCTCTGTTGACACTGCACGGCAGAACGTTGTTTGGATTTGGTCCTTAGACGGCACACCAAGACTAGCTTCAGCGCTGGTTCATGAGCAACCTGTTCGACAGATTGCTTGGCATCCCTCGACTCCACAACTCTTGATCAACACTGTTACCAATGCATTACCTGCTATCCGGTGGTGGTCACCACAAGATCATCCACTTATTGCCCGTGTTCCTGTTCAGCGGAGCGAGAGTGGGAAATATGACGTGAAATGGACCACAGGATCAAATGGGGACTCGACGTTCTGGTTTGGATCAAGCGAAGAACATGTCATTGGATATCTGGCCGTCCAAGACGGGGGTGTTCAGTTTGAGGTGTTGAACTCAATTAGCAGTAGAGTTAATGAGGGCCACGTAGGTGGCTTGGGTCGATAGCTCTTCGTGACGTTGATGGAACATTCTGTGTATTATCAAATCCATTAATACAGTGATGCAGCGCCCTCTTTGGCCAACCCAATGTGATGGAGCTACCTAAACTCACGCAATTTACCCAGCTATTGTTCTCCCTGCTACACTCTTCGCCTTACTTCCGATATCAACTAGATGGTCCCTGTCACTCAATCTAGGGTGGAACTATTTGGATACTCTTAGCCTTTTCGATTCTCGGTACCATTCAGCTCACAAGGATGGGTCGGAGCCAGGCAAATTCAAACTCGGGAGAGGAAAAAGGGCCAGGAATTGGAGATTCCGGCAGCCATGAATTACTTTTAACTTTACTACTGGACAGCGTCAGTCTAACAAGCCCCGACTAATTCCTGTCGTTACTCAAATCGTGTTAAAAAAATGAAAATAAGACTAAAAAAGAAAACTCCGATAGGGGGAATCGAACCCCCGGCTGCCGTGTGAGAGACGGCGATGTTAGCCACTACACCATATCGGATAGTTGCTATATAAAGACTAGCTCTATGCAATCAAGAGCTTTTAAGCTAGCGGTCTTTGTCCGGCCCACGACCTCCCTATTCCCGGGAACGACAGTGCTGAGGCACGAAATTGAGACAATTGCTAGAGAAGTCTTGAATGAGCTTCACCTGGAGTTTCTGGAATGTCAGGTCAACGGAGGACATTCAAAAGTCGAGCCTGAGCCGGAATTCATTCCAACGGTGGTCATTCAAATGCCTAACCGACCGCAGCCAGAGCTATGGTGCTATGCTGCCCGGAAAGTGCATCAAAAACTAGAAGGGCGGGGACATTTCGGGATTTTCGGTTGAGCTTACCGAAGCTGCATTGTTTAGGGGAATATACTACCGCTCTAAGGCGACATGTTCACGTTGTTGACGTGGTGTCGTTGGTACGTGGCAAACCAGTGAACGCCGGACTCTGCAATGCCGTAGAGCGGTCACTGACTCACAGATCAGTGTTGGCAGATCTACTGCCTTCTTGTCTCAGACGAAGGACAGGTTGTTGCAATTGCTTGCACAGGGATCGGATTCCGATTGCTATGGTGTTTCTTGGTTGTTCTTCTCTGTCTAAGGGGTTCAGGTGGAAGGCTGGGTTAGCACTTAGCAGCCTTCTCCGAGGAAGGGACGTATCACATGATAGGAAGATCTCGGCTGCATTGTTCTTTACCCCTTTTTTCTCCTCTCTTCTTCTCTTTTCTTTCCTCTCTAGTCTTGTTGTCTTAGGTAAAAGGAATTGAAATCACATTCACAACCTTCGTCATCACACTACAACAAGACTCTGCTTTTGCTCCCCGCTGGGAGTCGTCGACTCGTCGTTCGGATGGTGTTGTGAAAACCCTTGTTGTCGTTCTCCGCGTGCGGTCTCGACCTATATGAGAAGTTGAAGATGAAAGAGGGTGAGAGCTTTAACCTCTTTTACGGGGAATTCACCCGTCTGGCTCTCGAGTCGAAGACGGACGAAGAGCTCCAGAAGGGAGACCTTTTCGAGAAACTAGTACCGGATCTCCAGACGCTGACGGTGTCGGACGCGTTTAATGACCGCGTGACACTCGAAGGATTTGTGGACAGTTGTAGACGCAGCGCTCTAGGACTGTCACGCATGCAGACCTCGACCCGATTCCGAAAGTCCAGGTCGAGACCGCACGCGGAGAACGACAACAAGGGTTCTCACAACACCATCCGAACGACGACTCCCAGCGGGGAGCAAAAGCAGAGTCTTGTTGCAGTGTGATGATGAAGGAATTGACCTCACATTCACAACCTTCGTCATCACAAGAATGTTTGCATATCGAGGGACTCGCCTAGCACCTTTTCCCATATCACATATGTGATAAACCCACCAGGGACAATATCGCCTTCTTCTTGTTGATCACACTGACATCCAAGGAGCCGAGGAACAACATCGCAGCCTTTCTCTTGGAGAGCCTTGAGAGTGGTAAGCGCCGTAGGCTCATATGACTTGACAGCCTGTGTGGCTCGGATTGAAGCCGCCTTAAATTTGGTGCCGGCAATAGGTGCTTGCTTATACACTCGCATAAATGCAAGTGTATTGCTAGAGCCAATAGGGTGACAAAGGAACTCCTCAGTCACATATGATGGGCCAAGGCCATTAGTGACATCTCCCTGAGTCATAATATTAGTGCGCTCCTGTAGTTTGTCAACGATTGCCCATCTCGAAGGGCCAACGTCAACAACATTCAAAGGCGATTCTGGTGATTGGTTGAGAGTGGCCGGGGATCCCTCGGGATGGGTGAGGGATTCGGGTGATGACATGGTGATATGTGATGAAACCTGAGCTGTGAAAAGGAGATTACAATTAGCAAGTAGCCTAGTAGTAACTAGTAGATATAATAAATCGACACATACATAAATATTGATCCAAACTAACTGTCCGCCATTATCATTAACTAGTTAGGGTAATGATATAGTTACACTTACGCCCTTACCTCCGCACGCTCTAAACATGATTGGCTGGGTCAAGCTCACATGACATGCCTAGCCAAGTTAGGTTCAGCTCCGATGAAGTCAGGCCAAATTCAGGCAGGGTGGGACGAAACTATCCAAAGGTGTGGGCATCACTCCACCATGATTCATCAGATAAACCCCATGCACACTGACTCACTTCAACAGAACTCAACTTAACTCTCCTATACGCACTACACATTCCTAAATCCTAACTTAACCAAGAATCCAAGATGCCCGTCATTGAGATCACCAGGTACCGTAACCCACCACCAGATCCAAATCCCACCCCACTTCCATCAGCTAACACCTCACAGCAAAGCTGACTTCATGGACAAAATTCTCGGCTCGGAGGAGCCTGTCATTCTCGACTGCTACGCTGAATGGTGCGGGCCCTGCAAGGTTATCGCGCCCAAGATCGAGGAGTGGAGCAATGTCTATTCCAAGGTCAAGTTCTACAAGGTGGATGTTGACAAGCTCGATGATGTTGCACAGGAGCTTGGTGTGAGGGCGATGCCGACTTTCGTTCTCTTTAAGGGTGGACAGAAGGTTACTGAGGTTGTTGGGGCTCGTTTACCCGCAATCGAGCAGGGGATCAAGTCTCTTCTGGAGGAGTGAGGAATACTCCTCTGATCCTTTTTGTCTTATCAGCAAAGTCTCTTGCATCTCTCAGATCCAAAATTCAAAGCCCTTGACTGGTGTCTGGCTATTTATCCACAAGCTTCTGACGCATTCACCCCTAATATGATGTCTCCCTGAGTCAATGCCACTGAATGTCGTCAACGCTGAATTGCAGTCTGCCTTATGTATTCCCTGACATCCTGGATGGACTGTGCAACCTAGGAACAAAGTGTCTCAAAAGAGACCTCGTAGGTATTACCAATAACCTCCTTCCTCCCGGAACAAATTATATATCAGTCCCTTACACAGTCTCATTCCACAACTCATATATACTCCCAAATCACCCCATATGAATAGTCACCCCACTCACTAAAACCCAGAATCCCTCAGATAAGTCTGCGGAATAGTAGGCCAAGCATCGACTCCATCCAAGATAGCCAGAGCCATTCCCCCACTCTGATGGACCTGAATATGACAATGCATGAAGAAAGCTCCCGGATTAACGACATGATACCTCAAAGCCAGCCACGTCGGCCCCGTAACCGGCGCCGGCGTATTATACGTATCGCGATACTGCGGCGTCTGCAGATTGAAGCTGCCGGGGATGGACTGCACCGCCTCCGCCACGGTGGACCAGTTGAACGTGCCGGTCCCCTCGCCGATGATGAAGTGCTTGTTCGAGTGCTTGTGGATCGGGTGCATGGGCTGCATGATTGTGTCGACTTGGATTATAATGTCTACCCAGGTGTTGTTTTTTGTTCTGATGATCAGGTCGCTGGGGATCGAGCTTTGGTTGAAGAGTAAGGGCTGGGATTCTTCGAGCTCGAGGCCGTAGCTGGAGTTGCCGAGGCGCCAGCGGTAGGCGGTGCCCACTTGGCTGACGTGGAGGAAAAAGGTTTGGGCTATGTCGGTTGAGGGGGCGATGGCTGGGAAGGGGACGACGAGGGACTCGTTTAGGAAGACGGTGCTGGTCGTGGCGTTGAGGTTGTTGACTAGGACCCATGGGTTGGAGGGTCGGTTTAGCTGCGGCGTGCCTTGGTATCGCCATATTGCGGTCGTATTGAGGATTTGCTGGACGCTGGCGCTGACCATGCGCACTGTGTACTCTCCTCTTGGTTTGTTGAGGGGGACTAGCACCGAGTATCGGTTGGAGTTTGGGATGCTGAGTACGTTCACTTGTCTGGGCTGGATGTACCGTCCATCAATGGCGTATACCCACATGACATGCTCATCGATTGAGAATGTGAGCTGCAGTAGACCGGCAGTGCTAATGAGGTCTAAGCTTATGTATTGCTGGGATGCATTAACTGTGAAGACTTCCTGGGGGCCTCGCGATGGCACGCAGCCTTCAAACATTGTTGGGAGGACGGCGCTGTAGTTCTTTGGGAAGTTGAAGACTGCGTCGGTGAAGTTTGCAGGGAAGCATCTAGTGCACAGCATCAGTCTAATTCATGGCAAAGGTTTCTAGCTGGTCAAGTTACTCACCCCAGATCTGTCAAACTCCCAGTACCCAGGACTCGCCTCTGGGCTGGTGTCGTAAGTGCGTCAATCTCAGCACGCGGCAGACAGGAAACTGATCCCTTTCCGTTGATGAGCAAAGCATTAGCACAGAATGAGTCTGTGCCAGAGGCTACCTCAGCAGCCCATATCTGCTCCGACGTGAGCACACGCCATTCCGACAGCAAGACGGGACGGGTCATTCTCTCCGCGTCGATCATAGCATTCAACTGCACGGGATTGGTTGAGATTTGATTAAAGGGCTTTTGAACTGAAGGCGCTGGGGTGATATAGATGGGTCCGTAAAGCCCGTCCTCCAGGGAGCCGCGGTGATGCGCATGGTACCAATACGCCCCGTACTCTGTTGCTGTCCATCTATACAAAAATGAAGTCCCTGGTCGAATTGATCTCTGCGAAACACCCGGAACTCCATCAGACCATGGCGTTCCTAGCTGTTCAATTCCTGCAGCGCGGTTAGTACATGACGACAGGTAGCATCTATTCAGCCATGCACTCACCATGAAAGTGAATAGTCGTATTGAACGGGCACCGGTTGTCCACCAGGAACAAAACATTGTCCCCCTGATTAATCCGCAGTGGAGGACCTGGAAATTGGCCATTCGTCGAAATGACCGGTCTGGTCACTCCGGCTACGGTTCTGTTTGACCAGGTCAGCACAATTGGGAAGAAGACCGTAGCCGCGGATCCCCATTGGACTAGGCATATAAGCCAGAGATAGAAGTTTCCTATCAGGAACCTCATATTCAAAGGATAGGATATAACTAGACTAACAGCCTATGTCAAACGAAATGGTCTACTGCTGATAGCCCGTACTGTACTATTCACGGATTTCTCACCCTCTTATATGGGCCCATGGAGAGTCATCAGTCATTGCGTCAGCAAATGCGTCTCAATCTCAGCTGGAAATACCGTATGCCGGTCTATCACACCAGGTGCAGGAATTCCATGAGAGCCGCGTTCTTGCGAGCTCGTAAAGCCATGAAGCAGACAATATCCTGCCAGCGCAGTTGTGGAGAACCTATCCAACTCCCTGAGGGGATGGACGGGGAAGATGTTCATCCGAGAACCAATATATTGATGTTGGCTCTGGGATCATGTCTCACGGTCAATCCAATCATGTCAAGTGGTGGAATGGCACGGGGTCTGCCAATTTTCAGCAGTGAACTTGCTTTCGTCGCAGCAGGACGAATCCGGTCAATGAAAGACTCAAGATCTAAGAGCTTGATTCAGATATCGGAGGGATGGTAACCCCGAAAGGTGATTTGGCCATACTGCAGGGATAGGCCTGCGCTGCGTGAACCCAGAGCCCTGGATCAGGTCAGAGACAGGGAGGGCTTCGAGGCTCGGCACGTTGCTGTGGTGTATCCGGGACCGAATCATGCATGGCGAATGGAAAGTTTCCATAGCGATGGGAGCATATGACTGAGGCCATGTTCTCGGCCCTCTGCATGTCAGACTGATGTAAAGCAATACAACTGGCTGAAACAAAGGACTGACTGTCTCATCGTCACCGGGCTATGAGTCAACCAATCACAGCCAGGTTCAGTGAAAGAAGAGTCGGCGGAAGCATCAACTCCGGCCTGGGCATCGCCGGGGACGCCACGTGCTTAGAAGTATGTCAAGATATGCAAGGCTCAGCATGAAACAACCCCCTTGAGTGAGAGAAGGTGTACCAGGGATACCGTGGAGCCCGGTTGTAAACTGGACCACCCTCCACGAGAATGTATGAAAGCTGCCTGGATAGGAGCCGGGTCTCAAACTCAGGAGGAGACAATGGAAAAACTCCAAATTATGTATAATATTCTCGCCACTGTGATATGTACAACAAAATGATATGCTATAACATGGAATGCTCCAAATGAGTTTCGCGAAATCTACTTTTTCCTTGCCATGCATGACCTGCATGAGGCAAGACAATATGCAATAGCAATCAAAGCATTAGAGTTGGCCAGCATTGTCAAGATACCCAGGCATCTCACGATAGGTAGCATCTGATGTGGGCGGGTCGCCCTCTTTGGAATTGAGAATAGCATTTGGATCTGAAGCAGGTACCGCACTCACGAGACGCTGTGGGATGGCCTGATCAAATAAGCCTGTGTTTGGCCATCCTTGCGTCTCGGCAAGTTTCTGACCATCCGCCCCATTTAGGTGCAGGTAATCCAACTCATCAGGGTTGATCTGATCGTAACTATCATTGAGTCGTCGTAAGAATTCAGGGTCAAAGCCCATTTGCACCAGAGGGTCAGCTGCCGCTTCTCCCGGTATAGATGCACTTGTCGGGCGAGTACTGGCCCGATCCGTAGAGAAGGATGGACCGGTGCTAGCTGAAATCATCCCTGCACTACCAGCGTAGCTGCCAGACAAGCTCCCCGGGCGACTGGGCCCAGCAGACGAAAACCCGGTTCCAGCAAACACGTGGCCGCGAAGACTAGGGCTGGAGGCCGCGGGGCTGGGAATTGGGGCGCCTTGGCAGACAGCTCGTGCTAGCGAATTCATCTCCCGGGGTGTAGTGCGTAGGCCACCGTTAACAGCAAAAGGAGGTTGCATTCCCAGATCAGCGAATTGTATGTTGTTGTTATTCACGGCATTTTGCAGTCCACAATCACGCTTGAGAATACTTAGCCAAACAACGTTATCCGCGCAAGTCTGGTTCCAAGGATCGTCACATCCATAGATGACGCGTCGGGCTTCTGCTTGTATCATCTGATCTGATGGCACGTGGCCTTGGGCCAGTTGGTTGTGTATGTATGTGGTGAGTTCGCGAGAGAGCCGATGGTAACAATTGACATCAGTAGGGACAGGAAGGTTAAGCGCTGTGCCGTCATCCACCATCGCTTGTTCGGTGGCCCAAGGATCAGGAGATCGCCATTCATAGTCAATCAGGTACGGAGGAATGGCATTTTCCACCCGAGCCTGGATCTGAGGATCGAATCCCCAATCCCCTTGCCATTGAGCCATGCTGGCCCCGTTCTTGAAATGGCCGGCCAAGTGGTCGACTCGCTCTTTCCAGGTCTGGAAGATGGAGGCACAGAACCCACAGCGAGACTTGATATCTGTTATACTGCTTTGCCATTTGTCCATGCAGGGTTGGAACTTGACATTGTGCATCAAGCGGAGGTGCTGATTGAGATGATCCTTCCGGTAAAATGTTCGCTCTTGCACTGTCTTCTCCTGGCAGCCGCTGAAGTTATGTGTTTCTAAATGTTCTTCGTCGGGGTTAACTGCCGAGCAGAAGACACAAAGAGGTATACCGTTGTGTTCAATCGAACCCCCATGAGGGGAACATGTCCATTTGTCCAGGATCAGATGAATAGACTTCTCGTGCCGCTGCCAGTCATACTTAGCAGTAAACGAGTCAGTGCAGAAGGTACATTGGAATGGACGAGCCGATTTGGCCTTTGAATGGGCCAATATGTTGGCAGGTACTGAGGCCTTGCGGCGACGACGACGTTCCTTCCGATCCATTGAGCCAAACGATGGAGAGGATCGATGAGAGAAAGCAGATGCAAAAGACAGCTCAGAAATAGATGACCTGCTGGTATCTAAACTACTGGCAGAAACGGCACAGAGTTTATGTTCAGAGCTGGCATGGCTTGACTCATTGTTGCTAGACCCAGGGTGACGGGACCTCACGTGACTCGAGGGGCCCCGGCGTGGACGGGAGGGATCGAACGGGGGATTGGCCAAAGCACGGGTAATATCACTGATCGCAGCCGGTTCGTTTTCGGGGGCGAGTACTTCCAACGCTCAAGGGGGGTCATGAGGGATATGTCGACGGATTGCTTCCTTGGGATGTCCACTGCTCCTGGAACGGGAGAGCCGCCCCCACGCGAGGGATGGACTTTTCCGCGTCGTCGAGCATTGGCCAGCCAGTTGGCAATTTGCGTGCGTGTAAGACCGGTATTTTGCTTTAAGTCATCCCTCTCTTGCTCGGTGGGATAGGGGTTGTCGTTGTGGTTTCGTAGCCAGCTCTTCAGGATACTGATTGCCTTGCGGGAGAATCTCGCACTGTTTTGTTGCGAGCGTCCCTCTGGATCATTGGGATAAGCGTTGTAGGAAACCGATTTGAGGGCTTTCTTTCCTGTGAGACTGCCCATAGGTACGTAGGCATTCTCTGACACGCTATGTAACGTTTGGAGGAACTTCCCCGGGGTTTTGGCATGAGTAAAACTGCATTCACGATAGAGAGAGATGCAGCAAGTACAGCCATAGTTCATTACGCCGCGCTTTGCAACGAAACAGTCCAATCCCATTCGCCGGCAAAAGTCACATGGGTCTGGGGCCTGGAACATGGGATAAACCCCCTCGGGATCAATGGCCTGTCCGGCATGAATCTCGGACTGCTCTGGTGTCGGGTCATTGGGGAATGTCGACGTCTGATCCTGAATCAACGACTCGAGATTTGCGGCCTGTTCTTCGGCTTCGCCAAACTCAATATCAATGGAACCGATCTCATCATCTTGCTGGTAAGAGCCATGCGCAGACGAAGCGCCCTCAAAGTCGAAATATTCCATGTTGTGAACAGCTCAAATTATAAATGCAGGGAGTTCCTTTTGGCGTGCCAACAGGAGTGATGGGACTAAGGCGGACACAATAGGAAGAAGGAGAGGAGTCAGTTACGCAGTAGAAACTTGTCGAAACTGCCCTGGTCCGGGGTAGGGAAAAAGGTAATCAGTTCGGGGTGGGGCTCCGCCAGCATGTTGGAACGACCATTCAGCCGCTCGGATTCACTTGTTTGTAACCCAGGGGTGGAGAAAGCACAAGAGCGAACAAGAGCGAACATGCGTATCTTTCCAAAGTCCGACCTTGTCCAGAGGAGCAGGAGGAGAAGGGGCTCATGGATGATCATGCCCACTTGGGTCAGAAAATGGATGCATCGGCGCGCCCTTCGAATGACAACGCCAAGCCTGATTGGGATAAGCGCGACCGAGACGCCAAGAAATTCTAAATTAGGCAGGAATGATTCATCTCTCCCTGGCGATATCGGACGTCAATTCATTTCTCGTCTCTGCTTATGTCTCCATATACGAGAAAGGGCACGTCAAAATCCTCGTAGTCAATAACCTTGGAAATCTTCCTGGATACTCAGGAGGATTCTCTGGAGGAATTTCGTCCTTGAGGCCACTTGTAGTGGATTGATGGGTATGTGGAATAGGCCTAGGGCGTGGTGTACGACTGTACGTAGTTGCAAGTGAGTAGAATTTCGACAAGCCGAGCTTGAGAGCTTCACCTTTCAGCAACAGCCTACACATCAACAACCTACAAACTATCGAAAAAAATCAAAATCAATACACGGATTGCAATCAGCACTTGTCTGTTCCTGTGCTCCTTTTTATGTGGTCGGCTTTCAAAGTGCCCCCTCCAGTAGCCTCGGACCTTCAAGATCACATCTGTTGGATCTTGGATCTTGGGGATAGGTCTTTCCTCTACAGCCACATGCAATGGGCCCTTGAACACGACGGCTTGCATTTGGGTTGTAAATTCATCACACGAGGAGGGCGTCGGGCCGTCGGCGGCTAGCGATAGCACCCTAGATCTCAGTTCAAGAGGCCTTGGTTCTACTTAACGCCTCGTTTCCTGTTAAAAATAGAGAAGTTAATCAGTTTAGAGATTCCAGCACCTAAATAAGACCTAACGGACAGGATTGAAAAGACACAAAAACTTAGATTAAGCGCTCGCTGTTCGACTGAGTGTTTCCGAATGCCTAGGGGGTTCCAGGGGCCCACTCATGTGAAGCCTACTAATCGACCGCTACCAAGTATAATAGTATTCAACTTCTTCGACGAAGCGTCATAAGTTGACTCATAACTCGACCATCTCCCGTTTGCGCATCACGTTCTATCACGCTACTCCCTCTTCTGCATCGTCACTTTTTTTTCCGCTTCATATCCTGTTCTGTTTCGCGACACCTCTTCTGCTGCCATGGCTTCTGGTCTTCTCAAACCTCTAGCGGTGTTTTGCAGTCAATCGCAGTCTCAACGATACATAAAAGCTGCCAGGAACCTCGGCGATGCATGGCGTAGCCTTGCTGAAAAGCCTCTATCCAAATCTGAAGAAAACTCTGCTCTGGTGGAAACCAACTTTGACTTTGTTTTGAAAATCACGAATATACTGGAAGAGCAACGCCAGTCAGAATCAACCATTGTCGAAATGTCAGCAAACGAGCCATCCATATCTCTATTGAACGTTCCTTCTGAATTATCTCTATCGACTCAGTCATCTACAACCTCTCTGTCAACCGGGCCATCTACATCAACAGAAACTCCAAGGCACTATCGTATCTTTGCTGATTATGGCACGGATTTTATCTGGCGAGATCCCGATGACCTTAGGCCTGAGGAAGGGGACTGTATGTTAGAGGTTGAAGAAGTGCTCTCTTCGTTCCCTTTATCAGTGTCAGAATTATACAATGCGTGGGTAGACACGTACACCGATAACTTCAGCGAAAGACGCGAAAAAACTGGAAACTACTATGCTGATGTTTTTCTAACCGCCTCCGAGGAGGTGGCTTGGAACGTGGCGGGGTTTTTGTTGGCTTGGCGTATCACATTAGCGCCTCAGGTTGGAAGAATTGAATTCAGCGCCGGTTGTTCAAAGTACCTTCTGGAGAAAGGGAAGGAAACCAGTGTGACTTTGCAATGTCTACAGGACCAGGTGGATATTTTAGCTGAAGGAAAGCCTATAGCATAGAGACTTCACTACCTACTTGACTCCTTTACTCTGATAAATCGCTTACCTTGGAAGATTGACGATTGTCATCATGACTTTTTCTTTTAATGTACCATTGATCACTGTTAAGCCCTCAGCAGGACGACTTTAACCTTGTCGTACGAGGTCATGATATCCCTAGAACCGATCTTGCGAAGCGCGGTCTGAAAGCTGTAGCCATATAGACGCCAAAACGCCCAAAATAGGCATGTAGGGAGGTTGACTAAGATTCATTTCTAATAACCTAAGTTATGGATTGACTGGGAGCAGTGCTCTTACCCTGTGTCTCGGAGTGGAAGAATATATCAGCGGATTAGTTGCGTTCGGAGAATCCCAGTTAGGCTAATATAAGTAAGAAGCCGTTCTGTTCTTCGCTTGCTCTTGAACAAACCACGAATCTAGAGAATTTGTATGGCGGAGATAGGCATTTGCGTCATCATAAACTAGACTGAGGGTCTTTTCTCTAGTTTGATATGCGAAATGGGGATTTGAATATAGAATCGTAAATTGAACTCAACGATGATTGTCTCAAGGAATCCAGAGCTATGTACATTCATTCCTACACCAGGCAGCAAAAAGTAATGTTCAGATCGGCGGAATTCAGAAGCACAGTTTACTTTGATTTGAATGTTCACTGAATCGATTGTTGACTTCACGATGGTGTGTGCCACCAAGGACATATGTACCGTCCTAACTTGGGATGCGCAGAAAGCGACGAGTGGGGCGGTGAAGATCTTGGCCACGCCAATCGCAAGAATGAGCCCGGGCCCTGGGTCGCTTGTCCAAGGTGGTTGGGAAGTATCATCGCCAATAAGCACGTTATTCTCATTGACAATCACCGGTCAAGGGAATCATGTTCCATCATTCCAAGCCACGTGTGGTGTTCAAGACCCCACTGTGAGCGAGACAAAAGTTTGGGACAGCCTCCTCGTTGAAGGACCATGTGACGACGCCGCAAGTCTCGATGTCGACGTCCAAGAGTCTACAATTGGCTCCCTGAATGTGGAACCGCGCTGGTGAGGTTTCATTCGGGGAGCCAATTGTAGACTCCTTCGATGTCGACATCGAGACTTGCGGCGTCGTCACATGGTCCTTCAACGAGGAGGCTGTCCCAAACTTTTGTCTCGCTCACAGTGGGGTCTTGAACACCACACGTGGCTTGGAATGATGGAACATGATTCCCTTGACCGGTGATTGTCAATGAGAATAACGTGCTTATTGGCGATGATACTTCCCAACCACCTTGGACAAGCGACCCAGGGCCCGGGCTCATTCTTGCGATTGGCGTGGCCAAGATCTCTCGAACTCCACCTCCCCACTCGTCGCTTCCCGCGCATCCCACGTTAGGACGGTATGTCCTTGATGGCACACACCATCGTGAAGTCAACAATCAGAGAGTTAAAGGTGTTACTCGCTCATGGGGCTGACACAGGTTGTCTCGCCTCCCTAGGAAGGCGACAGAAGGGCTTGAACTCAGCGCGGAGCAGGAAGATCGTGCGAGCACCGATGTGGTACTCATGTTTCCGGAATTGATCTGGATATGTCAGTCTTAACTCCCAAGTGAAGAGGCGTGGAGATGGGGAAGAGTGGATTCCATGTAATTCTCTGTCTTACATTTCACGCTGAAGCTTGAAGCACGAGTGGTGGTGTTTTGCTTCTTGGGCACAACGGCACCTTCGATGGAAGATACTGCTGCATCAATATCATAGCGGGCAGGTCACTTGTCGGTGCCGCATCTCTTCGGCACCTCTGGTGGCTTCTGCACAAGATCGTTGTCAGCCAGGCCAGTGTGGGACATGGCAAGGCAGGTATGTTGGATGGAGGCGGCGAGGTTTGTTGATTGACGCGTGCTTCCAACCTTCTGGTAAAAGGAAGCACGAGATGGATAATGCCAAAGAAGATAAAACAAACGATAAAATGCGAGAGAAAGGATGGCCAAAGCGATGAACAACGATGGTTGGAAAGGTCAAGAATGAAAGGAGAAGAGGCACCAGGACAGAGAATTTATAGCTTCGAAGGAGATGGGACGATCACGGGCCTTCGGTGATGCTCGTGATTCCCGTGACATCACGAGCCTTCGATCACGGGTTTTTCATAGCAATGGAAAACGAGGCTATTCCCACATCCATTTTGGGGAAAGGGCGGGATTGATTGATAGAACAGCGCGATACCGCTTCAAAAGGCCGAATACCCTCGACCTAATTACCAGCTGACGTCCTATCTTCGATATATTCCGTTGACCATGTCTATAACCTCCGGAAGAATGTTGATACAGCTCCGACTACTAACAAGAGATGATACAGCCCAGGTTTGGTCAAAGGGATAGTGTAACTGTGTAACTGCCAACTGGTGTCGGATTAGGGTCACGTGGGCATGTGACCCAATACCTGTTTGCACACTTTGCACCGCTCCCTGTGCGGCTGTGCCTACTTTCATGTTTCTTCAAGCTTCTGATAGATTGCATTCTGGCCCAGCTGAATTGAGTCAAGTTTGGCGTCAGCCCTTCACAGATAGAACATTGGAAGTTTGCAGTTTGCACTCTGGAATGATTGCATTCTCCTAAATGGACTAGTTCACGCATAGAATTCCAGCTTCCAGTGGCGCAATTCGCCGCTTGTAGGCTGTTCTTTGGACATTCATACAAAGACAGGCTGTTTCCCAAGGCTGATTTAGTCTCCAGAAAGTCCCACCAAAGACACCAGCTTCACTTGATTTAACTCCATTCCCGCATTCCTCCGAGGCTCCGTTTACACATAAGCCCGCGGCAAATGTGGCAGTTGCCCGGCTTTCGAAGATGGAGTATGACCGCTCATGGTTCAAACATCGCGTAGAAGATCTCTATGTCAAGAAACTTGGACCAAAGTGTGGAGGTGCTTATCTCCAAGGCGTTCAATTGTGTCTTGGTGCTCCCAACTTCCTTTATCAACACAACCGATGACCGACCTTGGCCTTCGCGTTCCGCAGATCTGCCACCACCCAGTTATGACATGGCTTTTATGATTGCATTGGTTTTTATGATCGTTGGGGATGGATACCATAGAGCGGTTTTGGTTTGTTCAACTATGCATACATGATCAATCAAAGTTCTATTAACCTGTTGGAGCCTAACTCGTACGATAGTCCGGCACATCACGTTTGTTGACACGCGCCAGGAAAGCATTCCTAGTATACTTTCCGGAAGCAACAACCCGTGGCCAACATGCGGGCTCTAGTACAAAGAGAGCCTCGAAGAGTGGGAGC